ATTCCTGGGGGGGTGAATATCAACAAGGACATACACCCCAGCCCTTATCGCGCTCCGTTGGCAGCGTGGACTAATTCATCCATTTCTTCACTCCCCGGATATCGCCGTTGGGGGTGTCCAGCCTGGGTCCATCGGCATGGACCAGATAAACCTGGAAATAAGCTTGATTCACGTTCTCACTGCTGTTTCCTCATTGGCCAAATTAGTAGCCATCAATATCGTGTTTGGGACCCTAAAACTGACACCGTCTTTGTCACCAATGATGTTATATTTGATGAGGATTACAAAGATCCTACAACTACCACTCCCAAAGGTCCCAGCACCCCTACCGAAGAAAACCCAACTCAATTAGTTGAAGATGAACCTCTCAATGACCAAGATATATGGCTCCGACCTGCCAAAGGCATGTCCCTAGCTTACTTTGCCACTTCAACCATTCCTTCATCAGAAGACAACACGCCTACTTCTTATAAGCAGGCCATATCCCATCCTGATGCTGCTAAATGGCAAGCTGCCATGCAAAAGGAAGTCAACCAACTCAAAGAGAAAGGCTGCTGGCAACTCATTCGCCGTTCTGACCTACCACCAGGGGCCAAAGTCATCCCTGGCCGGTGGGTATACAAAAAGAAAGAAATCCCCGGCATACCTATCTCAGAGGATTATCAGGCTAAAGCCCGCTGGGTCATTCGTGGCAATCTACTTGATAAAGACTTCATGGAATCCTACGCACCAGTGGTAAATGAAAATACTACCAGAACCCTCACGGCACTGGCCACCCTGCTTGGCTGGCATACCCGAAAAGCTGATGCCACCCTTGCTTTCCTAAATGGGAAAATGCCCACGGACAAACGTGTCTTTATGACCCAAGTTCAGGGATTCAAAGAAGGTTCTGGAGATCTTGTCTGTGAACTCCTTCAATCCCTCTATGGATTGGTCCCATCTGCCCGCATCTGGTATGATACTCTGGGTGCTTTTCTACGCCAAATCAGCTTCAAATGCTCTGAATATGACTCTGGTCTATGGATCCACACTACCCGGACCCAACTCTATGTGACCACCCATGTGGATGACTTCAAAGTCTATGCTAAACATGAAAATGATGCCATCTGGTTTATGGAGACTCTCTCCGCCAAATTTGACATAAAAGAAGTTGGAAACTCTACCAAATACCTTGGCATGACCATCTCCCAGTCTGAGACTTCATCTTCTTTATCTCAAGCCGACTACACTGAAGATGTTGTTGCCTCTTTTGGTCAAGCCCAAGCACATCCTGTTAGGATTCCAATGGATCCTAGCCTAATAATTGATGATGAACCAGACCCTACAGTCAACACCAAAGAATATCAACGTGGTGTAGGCTGCCTTACCTGGCTAGCCACCAAAACCCGGCCAGATCTTAGCCAGACGGTTGGCATACTATCCCAATATAACGCCAAACCCACCCAAAAAGCATGGCGTGCCCTTATACACGCCATACGCTATCTTAAAGGCTCCATCAATCGGCAAATTACCTATCATAAACCCACGGAGTCCATTACATCTGACCTCCTCATGCCAAAATGTTATACCGACTCTGATTGGGGTGGCCAACTGACAGGCAACCGCCGGTCAGTTTCTGGATACATCTTTCTGCTTGCCGGAGCCCCAATTGCCTGGAAAAGCCGCAAGCAAACATCCGTTGCCCTTAGCTCCAACGAAGCTGAGTATATGGCTCTAAGCGAAGCCAGCCGTGATGCCCTCTGGCTCCGGAATCTCATCAACGAGCTTAATGTGCTCCCAACTGAATGCCCACCAACATCTCTTCATATCGATAATCAAGGTGCCCACGCCATGGCTGAAGCCGAGCTCACCACCAAGAGATCCAAACACATTGACATACGCTACCATTACGTTCGGGAGAAGGTCCGAGACGGCATTGTTAAACTTCAGACCTGCCCTACCAAAGAACAGGCAGCAGATGGCCTGACAAAACCTCTCCAAACTGAACGATTCAATCATTTCCTGGAACTCACCGGCATACATTAAGCGGCGCTTGTTCCCCCATTTTGGTTATACTTTCTATTCTGATTTACGGCTTCTGATTGGCCAAAGCGGAACCTCTCACTTCTCTGCTTAATTTTGCTTTTACTCTCTCATTTGGAGGCCTGAATAGAGGCCGATTTTTGTATTTAAATTCTTTAGATTAGTCTTTAGGCCAGCTCGTGCGTGGGGGGGTGTTGGATCACGTGGGATTCTGCCGCATAGGTCCGCCCTCGCTGACCCTTTTCACCACGTAGGCCTATCTAGCTAGTGACCAACCAACAATACACCTCCATTACCTTAACTGGACAGCTATCTGCATTAAATATTCAACTGTCTCCAACCCTGGGGAATGTATGCCTGCGGTTTTACTATCCCAAGTCGTGTTATACAAGACTATTTTGTGGTAGTCCTGGCTGAATAGTTGACGGACACCAGGCAATTTCTAGATTTGGATCATCAAGGGTACATGAAAAATGTGTGCCATTCCTCGTTCAGGGTGATATTCAGGAGAACTCGTGTTTAGAACCGCGTCGCGGTTTCAGCATATGCTGGTCCTCCTTTACGGCAAAGGCTCAAGGGGCTTCCAGCGCTTATGCAGAGCCGGAATCCATCTTTTTCCTATTATCGTAGCATATCCGAGCTACTTGGAAGTCGACAAGTTTGGTTGTCCCTCCGCTCGGGGCTCCGGTTACTTAGTATTCCTGTATGTACTAACGCCCATATTGAGCCTGGTGCTATCGGACTGCTGCGAATATAGCCCTAGTACGCACAAATACGGGAGACAGCGTTTCCCATATTCGGAAAGCCGACCGTTGTTTTAAAGGGACTTTAGGAAATAGTTTGGAATCCAGTTGTGCTATAGCCCCTGCTATCCGCCGTACAAGGCCTAGTTTATCGATCTCGAGAGCTAGGATGTATAGCTGGATATTATGAAATCCGAAAGGAATTTACAAAGAACTACTGGGGGAACTGGTCTCTACCCATTTTCGGCACGCTCCACAACCGTTGAGCAGACGAGAACTTAAAAATAACCAGTGAAATTCGTCTTTATTGATGAGGACGGAAAGACAGTGTTCTCATGATTCTGCGATGACTCACAGAATCTCAACAGCTACCTCTTTAGGCAAAGACAGACTTCCTCTCACCAGATCCCGCCGGTAGTAGGACACAGTGCCACTCGCCATGGATCTAGAAGTGCGGTAGGACAGATCATCGTCCACGTTGATGGAAGGGCCGTCACTTTATTGAATGGCAAAGTCCATGAATCAACCTCCGTGCTAGAAAAGACCCAGACGTAATGAATGAGTTGGCGTTGTGAACTTATGATTCTACATGGCCAACCGTTTCCCAATTCGGAAACTCGGCCCACTGCCCTAAGTCTGCTCCTACCCACGCATGGATATCCATCTACATCTTTTTGGAGATGCCCCATATTATTATGGACCTTTTTCCATAACAGAGTATAGGGCAGTATGGGGGTTTTCTCCTCGGATCAAGCAAAGTAGAAACACAGGCACTAGAAAAAGCTAGTCGAGGATCTGTCCCACGAGTCAATTGATTGTTGAACGTTTGGACCTCCGCAAGACCGAGTCGCTTGCCCCCCATCCAGTCTGGAAGGAGAGACTGAAGACGTATGAAATTCTGGAATAGCATATATCTATCTATTCCATCGAAGAAATTCGCCTCTGCAACCAGCTGATCTGCCAACATCCCGTGGACGTGGCGGAGTCGCCATGGATGCATCCACTATGACCTCCGGAAAGAATCAAATCAGCCGAATCGAGAAAGTGAAGAGACCAATCGGAATCAGCAATGGTCCAACAGAAATTCTGCTTGATACCTGTCAAACAAAGGGGCTATTGACGGAATATGCTTGTCAGTGCATTAGACTTCGCCCCAAGTTGGACCCCGCCTGCATTTCACCAGTTTGGAAGCTTCTCTGTTTCCAGGGCGCCTGGTGGAGCAAAAGATTGAGAGATCAAGAGCCTAGCGGCTTGGCTGTAGATTGCATATTAGTATTTACTATTTCTGTCGGAAAAGCCTCCTTATTCTTAACCAAAATTGCCGGTGACATCTTAGCCACCGAGATAAAAATTAATATACGATGCAGGCCAGTGACATCACATGTAGGCAAAGTTTCAAATGCAAATAAGCATTGACATCTTGACATTAATGATCATATCACACCATAATCCGTGAGCGAATATCCCCGCGAGTCTGCCTGCCTGGTTTAATGGTCTGACCTGATTAGTATTGCTCTCAGGGTTCAGGAGGCCGTTTGTCCCCATCTATCGGGGCAGTTACTGGGAGTGGAAGTTGGTCCGGGGGGCCTGGCTGCGGGTATGACATGACGGCAGCTTGATCTGGAAGAAAGGAGACACGAAAACTTTTTTCGATAACTGAATCTGCGAAACTGGCGGCGCAGATGTTGGGCGTCGCGCAACTAAAACTAGGGCTGCGACAGGCCAACGCGCTAATGCACCCGCTTTTACCCAAAAAGGCAAATGAACATCTTGTCCACCGGGCCCTTCTCGCGCTCCCTTTCCATGCCAACAGCGTGTCTTTTTGTCGCCCGCCATGAGCAGAACCGCAGACTGAACACCAGCCGTACTTCTTTTGTCACTTCGTCCATGGTCCCTTCTATTTGCCGTCTGAATTCCCGAAGCCTGCATGCGGGGCTTTGAGGGCCAATCCCCGTTCCCAATCTGCCCGAACGCACCCAGAAATTCGCGATTGCAGATGCTACATGCGGCTGTCGCCTGCTGGCTGTATTTGTACGTGTTATCCTGGGTGCATTTCTCGTTACGGATAATAGACCGCAGCTGGTCCACGCGACGGTCAACTTGGGGGCTGCTGTCCTGGTTCTCAACCGGCCCCCTTTCCGTTCATCCTCCTTTCAATACGATCCCTGCTGAGACTTGATGTGGGACGATGGCTGCCAGGGTGCTATAACTTATATAGAACCTATAAGATCTGATATGGATATAATTATCCGTGGCATGGCCCACGACCGTAACCGTTCCTCCACACCCCGACTTCCTTTAATACAAAGCTTCACCACCGTCGACCTTCAATGCTATTTGGGCATCCGGTTTCTGGTGCAGTCTCCCAGCAGCATGTCTTCTCATTCGCGCTCATCTAGCTCATCCGTGAGCCCCTCGTCGTCTCTGTCTTCGTACTTCTCCCACGATAGCTCTTCCTACAACTCCTCCCTTGAGTCATCATCCTTCACACTGAGTCGGTCCTTCGACAAGCTGAGTCGGTCAGATCAGGAGCTCATGACGCAGTGGTGCAGCTCCACCTACCGCTTATTCTGTTCCAGGAACACTGTGCAACAGTTCTGGCAAACTGTGGTGCCCCATGAGTCCTTGCAGCATTTGTATCTGAAGCATGCTATGTTCGCTTTAACCTCCCTACATCTTGCAGTGCTGGCTGGCAGCGGGAAGAGGCGACAGAGATATCGAAAGAGTGCGAAGGCGCAGCGGTCTCAGGCCGTGACTTCTCTCCAGCGTACCATCAAGACCATCGACACCTCTAACAATGTCGCTGTGTTTGCCTTCAACTCCATCATGATGATCTTTGAATTTGCGTATCACCTCGTGAAACCCTTCTATGACGAGGATGTTTTGGATGACCTCTGCAAGAACTTTCTCCTCACTCGTAACTGGATCACCGGGGTTAAGCGTGGTCTGGCATCAGATGCAGACAGCCGATTGAGGCCACTGATCGAGAGTATTGAAGTGCATCCCAAAATGCCCGATATGTCTCGACTCGCTGTTCTGATGTTGCGGAGACAGAATGCCGCTCTAGGCGGGTCGGAACCCCAGCATGAGACGGCCATCTACGAGGAGACTATCAGGCATCTGGGAGATTCGCTGGAAAACCTTTCCAGGGGCGGCGAGGCCATGGCCGTCGCTTTTCGGTGGATTTACCGAATCCCTGTCCAATTCCTGGACCTGGTGGAGGAGCGTCAGCCATTTGCGTTGGTTATCCTCGCGCATTACACGGTCATCATGTACAACTTGAGGGACCACTGGTGGATGGGAGATTGGGGGGAGAGAGTCCTTCGTGTAATCTGCCAACACCTGAATCCGCAGTGGATGCAGTGGATTACATGGGTCATTGATGCGACGGGATTCTGTGCTTCAGAGCTGTGAAAGGATCGGGGCCCTCCATTTACGATATTCTTCATTGATTGATGGCAAAGAAAGGCAGCTGAAATGATTACATTCTGGCGTTGGATCTGCTCTCTTTTCACTTCCCAAAAGCGTTTCGAAGTCATGTTTTGCACACTGAGCAGCATCATGTTGCCATTACATGAGAATCTCCATCCTCTGGGATCTGTTTGCAAAGCCATTCAACTGTGCTATTTGATACCTGAGGACCGGGCAGGCAGTGAATGGGATGCAGCATTGCCACGCCTGACTCTGGCATCTTCCTCCACTTCTCCTCAGATTCCCTTCTCCTCCCTCCTCTGCTCTCCCTCAGTCTCTCTCCTTATTTCTCAGACTCTTTTCTCTTCGACCTTTTCTCTCACTGAAAACATCTCTCCTCACTTGCTTCTGGCAGCATCTTGACTCGCTCCAAACTGGCAAGAATATCAAATGCCAATATCCTACTAATACCGCCAAAATGCCTATGGTTTGGAATGACCAGGCGGATGCCAAGGTGAGATAACGTCCATTCCGCTTCAACCTCGATGCAAGTTTTGTACATATGGCTGGTTCCTAATTTATTCCACTCGCATTAGCTGCTTGCTGCTATCCTTAATACCGCAAAGCCAAAGCTCGATTTTGACGCGATCGCGAAATACATGGGTGATGGTATGTCGCTTCCCAAAGCTAGCAATGCTAGCAGCCTATATTTGCCTCCCTTGAGTTGATCATGTTCGCTTACACGTACCATGACTAGATTGCAGTGGATGTGCGGTTCAGAATCGGATCCGCAGACTGAAGGGTAAAGCGAAGGGTGACGACCAGGACGGAGCGACATCTACTTCACCCATCCCTTGTAAACGCAAGAAGGACAAGCGGTTCGTCAAGCAGGAAAGCGGGTTACTGAAGAAAGTGAAGATAAAAGAGGAAAATGGCAATGAGGATGGCCATGGTCATAAATAATTGGGGATGGCTTGTGAGATGTAGGGACTCTGGTCTGTCATGCACTGCGCTGTTCTCCTTCTCGAGACAGGTGTCTTATTATTCTCAACCGCATCAGTGCTGCGATATTCGTTTCTCGTCTTTGCCAGAACAGACAGATATTTCCTACGAGGTGTACTCTTATAGAGGGCTTTAATGAAGCTCGAGGTTAAGCAGCGTGTTTCTCATCTGTAATATCTATAGCAGTGCCCTGCAGCATACTTACATAGAGCCATCTGAGAGCGAGACAGCTTTCCATGAAGTCCCCCTCGGGCATCCAGTAACACTACTATCTCCTAGGATGAAGGTAGCCGATACTCGTCAATCTACTATGCCTTTGAGAGATTCGATCCGTGAGCCTGCCAGCAGCTGGAGGGGGGCTGCAATGCTGCATTCACTTCCATTGCCATCACCAACGGAGTGCTCCACAGACGGTCAGGTCAGTCTTTACTGAAGAAAAGACAGAATCAGTTGCCTTGGAGACAGATATATTTCTCTCTCTCTCTTCCTCTCATACCCTCTTCTTCTCTTTCCCCCCCTCTCGTTCTCTCCTCACCATAAGCTACATGATATTATCCTCCCCTCTCTAACTCCTCGCATCACAAGACGCTCGAAATCTTCCAAAGAACAAGAGCAAGCAGAATCCAAAATGCCTGTGAAATGGACACCTGAAAACGATCAGCTTGTATGTACTTTCCTCCTTGCATTTCCACTTCAATCCTCTGTCGTGCAGTCTATCCACTGCCTACGGTCCACAGTTCACCCCCCTGCCCTTTCACCTTTCCCCCAGACATCTTTCAAGCTGACAACTGTAACATCAACAGCTTCTCTTGAAGATATTGGAAACTCATGAACTCTCAGTCGATACGAAGAAAGTTGCTGCGGCATGGGGTAAGTACTTACAAGGCCTCCTATTATCGTCATCAACCCTTTTTCTCTACGCAAGAAACAACCCAAACTGACCCTCTTGCCCAGACGCCACTGCAAAAGAGAAACCCACTCCCCGCGCCATTACTGAACGTCTCGTGAGGATTCGCCAGTCTGCTCGCGAGCGTGGGGGTGGCAATTTCTCCGTATCCAAAAAGTCCTCCAGCGCGACGTCTACCCCCCGCAAGCCCTCACAGAGGACCGCGACCACACCCGGCTCTTCAGCGACCAAACGAAAGAGAGGGGTCCAAGATGAGGATGAGGATGACTTAACTATAGACCTCAACACTCCTACCAAAATCCCGACCTCCGAGTCTGTCCTCGCGGGAAGTACCCTGGACCTCGCCGGTGTGGATGATGACACTCCTGTGAAGCGTAGTCGGAGCCGCCCTGCTCCTGCTCCTGGTATGGTTAGTCAGTATGTAGTTGACAGTGATGAGGAAAATGAGGAGGATGGTGATGAGAGCGGGGGCAGTGAGTATGTGCCGGATGATTCGCTCGTTGAAGTCAAGTATGAGCCTAATATTGAGGTTGTTTGATTTGTGTCGGCGACAGATTGGCAATGGCTCATCTCTGCTGCCTCTCTGATTTACAGGTGGTTTTGAGAGTAGTCTATTCAGGGATTACACAGGATAGGACTGGTATTACTAATTTCTAGGGAGATTGGATCGGAACGCTGTCTAGAATAGAAGACTTAAATGAAGCATCTACACATTTCGCATCCATTTTAGTAAAGACTGAGAAAATAGATGATAACATCCCCAGAAAGAGAACGGCAAAGCAAATTATGAAGGGCAATTCCGGAATCTCAGAGAGGTCCTAATAATGTCTGGAGTCCTCCATAGCAACCACCAAGGGACTCTTGCAACCTAGATAACCACTCTCTCACTGTCACATATCTTCCTATACCTCCAGCAAATCATCGGCATCGCCATCAAGCAGCTTCTTGATCAAGCACTGAACTCTCATTACCTCTTCTACATTACTCTCTTCACACTGTCTGACAAGCATACCAAGAAATGCACCTACGCAGTCAAACAGACACATGGTATAGACAGTGAAAGCTCGACAGTGAATGCCATCTTGTCAAAGTCTTGACAGTAAGTTTGTTACTTTCTCCCCCTAATGTCCATAAAACCATGGAATCTATCTACTAATTTTCATCTTACTACCAGAACAAATCCTCGAACTCCCCATCTAATACTGAGAGTAAGTAAATTCATCATCACTTCTGTCAGAAGTCAAGATCGTCTTGCTAACCGCCACAAGACATCTAGCTACTCATTCTCTTCCACTTCGATAAATACTTTCAGACACAAATCCCTCTCCGCCATCCTCGTTCTTAGCAAAACCTTCATCGCAGCCTAGGTTCCCTCATCTATCTCGTCAAAATGGTGAACTGGAGGACTGCAGGTTCGACGGACCGGCTTTTTGGTGCCTTTATAGCAGCACACCCAAGTCTGAAAGTATGTCTTTAAGAAAATTAACACCCCTTCTCCTTCAAGACTGACGGAACAAAAGATCCAGTACAGTGCCATCGCTGTCTACTTCGGACAGGATGCTACTTACGATGCTATCAAGGGACAGCTCAGACACTACAGACGACTCGCGGAAGATCTCTGCCGCGAAGCAGAGGCAAACGGTGTGGGGATTCCACGTGGTCGAAACTCAGCGCAGGGCACGCCTCGCACTCCACGCATAGGTATCAGAAGTGGAAACACCGGATCAACGGGCAGATCTAGTAAAACCGCCACTCAGCCGGATGTCTCACCTACTACTACGCCCACTAAGAAGGTCAAGATGGGTGCAAGTGGTCTTGGATCCAGCATTCAGAATGCAATAACTCTCGACGATGATGATGACGAGGACGGCGAATTAAACAATATCAAAGACGAGGCTGCTGAACAGCAGATCAAAGAGGATCTGAACGCCTCCGTGAAGTTGAAATTGGGAAAGAATCAGTCTCATGATAATGAGCTTTTTGTGAAGCAGGAGACCTCGACTGCTGGAGCGAAGAGGACCTGGGATGACTTCAATGGTGGAGAGACAGAATACCACGAGCGCGTTTTCAGTATCGCGGCTAATGATACAGTTCCCGAATACGATCTTTCTGGTGATTTGGAGTTTGCTTAGATGTTGCTGAGGGATGGAAGATAGGTTTTTTGTCAGTGGGGGGTTTGATACTGTTGTTTGAACTTGGGAATGTGTTGGGTGGGATTGCGCATATTGTGGTCGACTACAGAGTACGTACTGAACAGCGTCACTGTGGGTACAGAGCACAGTATTACTGTCTAGTCAGGACTGAATTGGGAAATTTGCTTCATTGAACCACTACGATCGAAATGATATGTCCCTTTTTCTGGCTGTTCTCTCAGAATCTCCACTGCTTTCCCAAACCCTAAGCGGATCGGCGACCAAGCAGTGGCTCCTAGAGTTAGTGGGACAAAGATAACGATTCCAGAGCCAATGATGATTAAGAAAGATCAGAGACCCAGATCTCTCGAGATTAGTGATTCTGACGAGGAATTTGCGTTGAATTGGGTTTTTTTTGTTTGACTAGGATCTGTGCCACTCACGTGATGAGCACGCGACGCGGAAACCCGCGGTGGGCAAAAAAAAAAGGGATAAAAAAGAGGCGAAAAGAAGCGGGAAGAAATGGAGGGGGGAGGCCAAATTGCCTGCCACATTTTTATCCACATCGCCAGACAGTTCTCTGGATTGATTGTCTGTTCTACAACAGCCAGACAACATAGCCAGGATAACAGCCATACACCATTCGGCTCAGGCCGTCATGGCAGACTGGACTATGACTAGCATCGAAAGAAAGGGGCCGGAAACACACCCGCCTCATCAATTACTCACACCCGACCAAACCATGCGTCCGAACGAATACAAGGTCTACGAATGTGAACAGCAGCATGAACCGGGGTGTCGCGGACTACGACTTCGACCGGAGGAAGAGCTGTGTCTGGTTCGAATATGCAAGCGCCATATGAGCAATTACAACGTGTCGGACCATCCCAAGTCGTTCTGGATCGAGATTGCCGATGTGCTACTGCGGGAATGCGGGAGGGTCTACTCATGGCAGTCGTGTCGTCGACGGATCTCAACCTACGTGACCAAGAGGAAGACATTCCGTGCTGCCTTGGATAGGGGACTACCGCCGCCATATTACGACATCGATCAGGATGTCGCTGAGGAGGTAGATAACTGGATCGAGGAATCTGATTCCAGGTGGGAGGCTTTGCAACGGGAGAAAGAGCTGGGGAGTAATGAACAGGCGATGACTTACAAGGAGAAGCTGAGGCTCGAACATGAGGCGCGGCGTAGGCATCTCGTGAAACGGGTCCAAGATTGGGTGGACAATGTGCCTTTTCCGGAGGAAGTGATGCTATTGCCGCATAATGTGGAGAGACCGTCTGCGCCTAATAATAATGATAACGAATACCCGTCTGTTCCTCGCTCTCGCTTTCAGTCTCGATCTCGATCTCGATCTCCTCGCCGACCAGAAAATTACTTCCCTTCCAATAACCCATACCGTCAACGACCTCCGCCTCGGCGGCCCTTGACTGTTCAGGAAGTTTGCGATTCCCTACAACGGAATATGCGGAAAGGGTGTGATCGTGAAGGAGAACCATCAGGACTCTATATTGACCGACCGGACCCAGTTTCGCCCAAAGACGAAGGGACAGATCATCATAAAATGGAAACCTCCGTGGAAGAACCCGCACCTGTACCTATTGCCCAGGAAAATAATCACTCATTGTCTCCACATCGCGAATCGGAAACGGTAGATAAGGATTGTCAAGCGGTGCCCGAAATAAGGACTGCTATCGACAACGCTTTCAAATCAGCGTCCGCAACATTCAGTCAACAGATGAATGAATTGGCGGGGAACCCGGCCATCCAGAACCAGAACTTCAGGCTGTCTCTCAAGGGTGTCGAATCGGCTGTGAATGCACTGTACCAGAACATCGGAAAGATGGTGGAGAGCATGGTTGAAATAGCCACTGACAGCAAATCTTCGGAGACACGCGCATAAGCAGTCTTGGTCAAAGGACTGCCCCCTTGGATTCGGAGATTTCATTCTTTATTTCATGGTCTTCAGCACCATTTTCATATTTTGCTTTGCTTTTGCTCACGCTCTCTCCACACCTCTTCCCTTTGGTCTCTATCCACGTACTTCATTCCTCACCCACGGCTGCTCCATTCTCCTACTATGTCTTTTATTATTATTTTTCTCCAATTGCATTTCGGTGGCTTGTTTGATTAGAATTAGCGCGCAGCATATTGATACCCGAGATGCAATGTCCTTGCTTGTTTCTGTCCGTGTACAATCCTCGCATACGCTGCTTCCTGCATCGTTATGTTGTTCCATATGTGCATAGAATGAATTTATGCATCCGGTTGATTGCAATGTCTTCATTCATCAACAGAACCGACACGGTATGCAAAGCAAGGCATGATACTACATATGATCTTGCCTGATCAGGAAAGTAAGGAGTAGATAGACGTAATGTACGGCACGTGCACTGTTCGTGTCCACGAGATCTTATCGTTGCTTAGTAAGCGACATGCCCATTGCATCACAAAACACAGGAGCTTTTGCCAGGACGCGTCTCTCCGCAAAGATCCCAGATGGTATAGCAGAGCAGATAATACCATCTTTCCTTCACCATGTTTTCTGCTAGGAGCGCCTTGAAGACCGTATCCGGTAACCGCATCCGGCTTTTCTCAACAACCCGCGCCCTCCGATCAGAACTATCCTACCAAGTATGGGGACCTGAGGGTGACCAGGTTTCGCGAAACCCAATTATCTTTCTACATGGGCTATTTGGATCCAAGTCCAACAACAGGAGCATCAGCAGGTATGTTTCCGCCAGACCAATTGCAGATGAACTCACTCGCTATGAACATCTCCTGATTGTGGACTCCAGAGTTTTAGCACGTGATTTGAAATGCCAGATCTACACGTTGGTATGTAGGAACAAAATCCATATTATTATCATTGTATCCTGGTAGAAGCAGGGTTTTGTTTTTGCCTTCTAACAGGGATGCTGCGCGCAGGACCTCCGAAACCATGGTCATTCATTCCATGCTCCCGAACATAACTATACCGTGATGGCCAATGATGTGCAGAAATTCATCCATGACAAGAAGCTAGGAAAGTGTGTCTTAATGGGACATTCAATGTACGCCATAGCAATTGCCGCCCAGAAGAAATTGAAATGTTTTCATTTATCCCAAGGGGGAAGAAGGGGCAAAAAATAAGTAACAAGTCAAAACTACCAGGGGTGCCAAAACAGCTATGGTGGTAGCTCTCCAGTCGCCGGATTTGGTTTCTGCGCTTATTCCTATTGACAATGCTCCTGTCAACGCTCCGTTGAGGAGTGATTTCCAGAAATATGTTCGGGGCATGGAAGATGTCGACAGGCAGAAGGTGACCAAGTCTTCCGATGCAGATAAGATTCTCAGCAACTACGAAGAAGTATGTCTGGGTCATTTCCCCCAGCTCATGGTCCCCCATATCATGGACTATGACTATAACTAACCGAAAACGATAGTCACTGCCGATACGACAGTTCCTTCTAACGAACATGATCCGCTCCCCAGAATCTCATACACTGACATGGCGAATCCCTCTGTCCATTTTGAGCCGTTCCCTCGATGCCATGGCTGATTTCCCCTGGCATGACCCAGGTGAAGTGACATACCTAGGCCCTACCCTGTTTATTCGCGGCACAAATAGTAAATATGTCAGTGATGACACGATTCCTGCAATCAAGAAGTTCTTTCCCAACTCGAAGATTGCCGATATCAAGTCGGGCCATTGGGTGACTTCGGAGAATCCAGAGGCTTTCCGGCAAGGTAGGCCATGTCCCCAGTTTCACTTTTATTCTAAATTTTATCGATTACCTGGTTGACACTTTGTTTTCTTAGCGGTTGTTGGCTTCTTGAAAGAGGTTTCCTGATCCTATACTATACGCCAGCCTTATAGAAAGTCGTACAATACTACAATAGAAATAGAAACTAGAATAGGAACCACTGGTTTACAAATAAAATATGAAGATCTAGATACCTACCAACTGCTGAGGATGAGAAAGGAGTCATGTGATAAAAGCCCTGGTCTTTTCCAGCCTCCTCCCAAATACCGCATTCTTCCATCTATTTTGCGACGCGACCATGCAAATCGACAAGAGCTTTTAATTATCGCTTGAAGACGTTCCTCAAGGCAATAAAGGATCGTGAAGATACAGTCATCCAGCAGGGGCGGTTGAAAGAGCACCAGCGGCTCTCCGGTCCTATGCAGAAGAGCTGGGAGAGTAGGGGTTTCTGGATCATATATGCAGCATTGCACAGCTTTGCCTTCGATACAATCTACTGGCAGAAGGTTGATCCATGGTTTTTTTGGGCCAACTGAGACTCAGAAGGAGCAGGGAAAGAGAGACTTGACTTGCTGGATCCAAAGGGAAAGATGAGATGGAACAATTGGTGCATCGGACGCTGGAAGAGATGAGAAATAGGGTCTTAGCATGGGACCCGGGTGAGTATACTGTGGCTTTCCGCGAGCAACTGAAGAGAAAGCGAAAGCGGATGACACTCACGAGATCTAGGACAGCGGGACGGAGGAGGATAAGGGTATGCCATAAGTAATAAGCTGGCTTCGACCTGTTTAGGCCGAGCCAAGTTTTAATTCTATGTTATGGCAACCAAGGATACATGCCTCGGGATCTACTTGCATTCCTAGGACTGTACGTCCACAGTGTACGCTCAAATGTGCATAGGAAATCTCTGCATTAAGGCCAAAAGCATAAACTGTTGCGAATGTCCAGGGAAATGTAATTATGCTATTATCAAAAAGGCCCCAATGCTGGGCCGGAACCCTATCTTATATACGGTCTGTTAGGGCTGGCCCCTAAGCCCTGGTAGAGATAGATACAGAAATAGGAGTATGTCAGTTCTTATACAACTTATTGACAAAAATGTACATAGCAGCACTATGCCCCTATTTGGTCAATCGATGCCTTGCCTGGGGATTCTCTGCATGATGTGAGAATATATACACAGATGATATGGCATATTGAAATGGCAACCGCCAACTGGACAATCATAGATGCATCCATGCGGCATGGCGTCATAAATGGCTATTTTTGGAAATCAAAAGTGGGTTCTTCAATCCAATGGGGGTTCTAGAGTCCTTCCAGAACGCATTTCTAAAATGCCAACTCAGTATAATCTTGGCAGACAGGCAGCCATCATATTCGGACATGGAGAACCCCCAGTGGCATGCGATGACAACCTTGTGAATCGAGTTCCATATCGTCTTCACAAAATTTCCAGCGTGCCAGTTTCAGGATCTAGCTAAGGACTAATAGTTAGAAAAAAGTTGCATAGCATGAAAATAGACTCCTGGTTGCTAACCTTTAGACTCTTTGTCGGATCTGAAATCGCTGGACGCATCAAAAAGTGATTAGGGTATCAAGCCCGATGTCACTATAACAGATACCATAGTATCTAAATTGCAAAGTTGTCATTGCTGCCTGTCAACCCAGCCGGGCAACGAATGATGCATGGCATGTGTGGGGACTGCTGAGATAAGATGTGCCCAGGAAGAGAAGCGAAGATGCATATCCCATAGGTTTCCACCTAGTCGATGGTAATGGGTTCACCCACATGAAACTCGCATTTCTTCTTTTTAGGTTTAATCTTCCCTCGAGAACCATGCGATCCGGCATTGACATTTTTATCAGCGACTGCAGGGTAGTTTCCCTTCTGTGACGCGGACGGAGTATTACTACCACCTGACGTCGACATTTCATCTTCTGACAACTCCCATAAATGTTCTATGCCTGCTGCTGAAGATCGCTTTCTCTTCTTTTTCTTATGATTGCGTACAGCGACAGCCGCGTTGGCCTCCGCTGCCATGCGCTGTTCCCTCGCCAGCTCTTCGGAGGAAGGGTGAGAATTCGGTTCAGGGTCGAGCTCTGCCTCTGAGGCGCTTGGTTCCGTCTTAGGTGGTGGGCTAGCGGACCAGGACAGTTTGGCTGCTCTTCCTGTTCCTTCACCGGGATGCGGACGTGCTGAAGAGGAGCCCTCATCCCGCTTTTCACTTTCCTCCAATACCTCTTCAACCTTCTCCAGACGGTCAAGAATAGATTTTATGTAGCGTTTGGCTTCCTGCGAGTCGACCTCCTTAGCAGATTTCAATTCCGAAACTTGGCCAGTCAGGCTTTTCATTTCGCTGCTCAACAATCCCACCTGACCGTCAAGCCGGTTTCGCTCCTCATTCAGGCTCTGCATTAGTACTTTGTCTGCCTCTTGCTTTAATTTCGCTTGCTGCTCCATTGACAAGACATGTGAACTTAGTTTTTGGTCAATGCTGACTACGTTGGTCTGCAGCTCCTTGAACTGCTGGGCAGGCCACTGAGTTTGCTGATTAACCTTCTCCCATACAGCTGCAAGGGATTGGTTTAGGCGATTCCAGTCATCTGACATCATATTAAGCCTCGCCCTAAGATCAGGGAGGGCTAGATTATTCACTTGCGTTCTCAGAGCCGTAACTTGATCGATTAACGCACCCGCAGAGGGATACATTTCCTGCATCGCTGCAACCATGTTTTTCAAAATTGGTTCCGTTGACAGACCATTATAACGCATTTCCAACGAATGCAGCCCCATTCGAACTGTTTCAACGACATGCCCCAATCTTTGAATGGATTGCGACTGATTCTCAATTGAACGCTCAAACGCGAGGGGGTTGGCACATGCAAGGCTCTTCACCTCTTCTGAGATGCGGTTGTATTCTGTTGAAACGTGATCGAGGCCATTTTTCAAGGCAGCACATTGCTCCGCAACTTGCCCCATCCTCGTGGTCAATGATTGCTTCACCTCTTCAACAGTGGAAAACTGAAGATCGTCTTTCATGGCTTGCATATCACATATTCTGCTCAACTGGGTAGAAAGTTCTTCGATCTTGGCATCCAACTCACGGCAATGAAGGACGACTTGTTCGACTCTCTGCAATCGTGATTCAACATCCTTGACTCGAAGTTCAAATTCAGAGCCGTCGCTTTTCTCTGCCACTGTTTTTGAAACACTGCTAAGGCCAGATTCATACTTGTTATCCAGCGTCGTTAAGCGGCTGTCGAATGGCCCGATCTTCTCCATCGATGCCTTTTCCAAATTGACTATCTTAGCCTCCATGCCACCGAGTAATTCAAGCTTCTCCTCATATTTAACAATGGTATTGTCCATTCGAAGAAGCTGTTCAGAGCATGATTTCTGAAAAGCCAACAGCTCTGATATTTCACCCCTAAGTGATGCAAGTTTCTGATCAGTTTCTGCTTGCAAGTAACGCTGCGATGAGCATTTTGATTGCGTGGGCTGATCTGTCGGGCTTTGACAATCGAAGGGAGATGAGATGCGCTGTTCCATTTTGGACGTTGGCCTTTCTATTCTCTCTTCCAACCATTTCTGAGGCATGACTTGGTTTGATAGAGTGGATATTGATGTGGAATTCAACTTTTCCATGCGGCCCTCGAAGTCTTTCGATTGTACTGATAAGGCGCTGATAGCCTTGGAATGATCTGCTGTTAACTTTTCCAACCTCACGACTCGGTTCTGCAAACCTGTTGTCCTCTCAGCTGACTCCGGATGGCTGCGATTGGTGTCACGTAACTTCTCAATGTCGCGTTTAACATCCAAGCTATCAGTTTGTGCTTTCTGAGCGACTGAACGGATTATGATGAGTTCACCTTGTAATCTATTAAGGTGAGATTGTTGGTCTTCTATTTGACTCTGCCGATTGGAGAGCTCGGTTCGTAGTCTTTCGTTCTCCGCACTGAACTCGGCTCGCAGCCGACTATTCTTTCCATCAAATTCGGTTCTTAGTCTGGCAACCTCTTCTTCCGCCCTAGAACAGCGCTGAAACATAGAGCCAAATAGAGACTTTAGACTGTTTTCAAGTTGATGGAGAGCCGACGAGCGGTCTTTCATGGTCTCATCAAGGCGCGTGGCCTCGACCTCCTCTTCATTCCTGGCCTGCTGAAAGAATGTCCCAATAGAAGGAAAATTTGAGTGTGCCTTGGCTCTTCTCAATAATCCATCTGTTTTCTCTATTCTATTTTGTAGCCGTTCCTTTTCGTTGCGGTGGTTCGCTGCAACTATACATTCTTGGACAAGGTCGCTGATTCCTCGCACAAGAAGGTCACCCGATGTCTCGTGAGAGTTTTGCGGTTCGTTAGGCAGACTGTGAGAGTCTCTCCCAACGAGAGGAGGTCGGCCTGGTCGGCTTGCGAGGCGTGGATCGCGCGAAGGAGCGTTTGCCTCCGGAGGTCTTGGAACGGCAGGATCCATGTTCTTCGACTGCCGGGAGAGAGGAAACTCAATCTTCCAATATTCTCATTCTCAGAATCATAGAGTTATTGGCGTATTGTAAAGGAGGATGAAGAAATATCTGTCTGGATTCGAAGCGGGTTTGGGATGTGACTGGAGAGCTTCCTGCTGCAGACGGGACATGGATTCTTTTTCGAGTTCCCCAAGTCGAGAGGGTAAGCCCCAGTCAACTCAATTGGGGAGAAATGGAGTTAAAGGACAAAAAAGAACAGACGCGCGTGACAGCTGCCAGCGCCGTTCTTCATGCGTAAATGATTTTGTCGAGGGGAGACTAGGGAGGCGTTTGTTTGTCGATCAAAGTAGGGCCCATTCTGCCAGCGGTGAACGCGGCGGTGAAGAGGGTGTCTTTCTGCCCGCGCGTTGCCTTCTCTCTTCTCTCTTTCGGCCAGATCCTGAACTCTCGCTGTCTAACGAACTTACGATTCCACTAGGACGTTGCCATGGACGCTGTATGTCTCCGATATCTTACGAATTCTTCCTGCGCTAACTTCTGGAAACAGCCAATTTCCACAGTCGCGGAGACTAAAGAGCTCCGCGGGTTGAATCTCATCGCCGCCCATTCGCATATCCGGGGCCTTGGTGTCGATGCGGACTCTCTCCAGCCTAGACCATCCTCACAGGGTCTTGTGGGCCAGGAAAAGGCACGAAAAGCCGCCGCTGTGATTCTACAGATGGTGAAAGAGGGGAAGATTGCAGGTCGTGCCGTGTTGATAGCAGGGCCCCCAAGCACAGGGAAAACCGCCATCGCAATGGGCATGGCGCAGGCGCTTGGCTCCGACGTTCCTTTTACGATGCTTGCTGCATCGGAGATCTTCTCAATGGAGATGTCCAAGACGGAAGCCCTTACACAGGCATTCCGGAAGTCGATCGGTGTTCGGATTAAGGAGGAGAGTGAGATTATTGAAGGTGAAGTCGTCGAGATTCAAATCGATCGAAGCGTTACAGGAGTAAGCATACAGCGTTAACCCTTCGTTTTTGTATCGCCTTGTATGTGACGTTGGCCATGCTCACTATTGTAGGGTAACAAACAAGGAAAGCTCACGATTAAAACTACCGACATGGAGACGATCTATGACATGGGGACCAAGATGATCGATTCGATGACCAAGGAACGGGTAATGGCTGGAGATGTTATCTCGATCGATAAGTCTTCAGGTAAAATTACCAAACTGGGTCGTTCTTACGCGCGTTCTCGTGATTACGATGCGATGGGAGCCGATACCAAATTCGTGCAGTGCCCGGAGGGTGAACTGCAGGTCCGAAAAGAAATTGTACACACCGTCAGCCTTCATGAAATCGACGTTATCAACTCTCGGTCGCAGGGTTTCCTGGCCCTCTTTTCGGGTGATACCGGTGAGGTCAGGAGCGAGGTCCGGGATCAAATTAACACGAAAGTGGCAGAATGGAAGGAGGAGGGCAAGGCAGAAATAATCCCGGGCGTTCTGTTCATTGATGAGGTTCACATGCTTGACATTGAATGTTTTTCATATATCAACCGCGCACTGGAGGCAGAACTAGCACCGATCGTCATCGTGGCTAGCAACCGCGGTCAAGCACGAATTCGTGGGACGACATACACCTCTCCACACGGCCTACCCCTTGACTTCCTCGACCGCGTTGTCATCGTGAGCACGCAACCATATTCTGCTGATGAAATTGGCCAGATTCTGGCCATTCGAGCGCAGGAAGAAGAGGTTGATCTGTCACCGGACGCCCTGGCTCTCCTCACCAAGGTCGGACAGGAGTCCGGCCTTCGCTACGCCAGCAATCTCATCACAACCTCTTACCTTCTTAGCCAGAAACGGAAGGCTAAGGAAATAAGTATAGATGACGTCCAGCGCAGCTATCGGTTGTTCTACGATCCAGTTCGAAGCTCCAAATTCGTCAAAGCACACGAGGATCGCTTCATTGGCAACGAAGGTGCTGTATCTTTTGCTGCGCCCGCTGCCAATGGCGATGCTATGGAAATATCCTAGTCGCCTAGCTAATAGACATTAATTCGACCTTTCCGATTGTGCGAGAAAAAGCTGGGGTATTTTCGTTCCGTGTTTCTTTTATGGATTTCTACCACTGCATGATGTATGATAGGGCTGGCGCTTGTTCAGAACCATATGGGTAATTGACTTTTAGAACTCGATTTTGAAATAATACATTAAGGGAAATCCACGAAATCCTATATCTTGGTATTCGCTTTTCATACCATTGCGTATCGGGGGTAGAAATTGTACAACGCTGCCAACTGGCTTTCTCTATGCAAAGTTAGCCATGCTGCTCCATTCCCCTGTGTCACCCACCCGTCTGAATTCGACGCCTTGTCCAAAATATCCAGCATCATTCCACGACTTCATCATCGCGCTGTCATATGGCCCGTGGACGTTCCCACCATCTCGAGCATCTGACCAACGATACTCCCACATTGTAGGCTCCTCGCCAGCCCCTGGGTAATTTTCTGAAGATTCTAAAGGACGATCAACCCACTCTTCGCCTGTTTCATGACGGTATTGTCTGGTGAGTAGCTCCCGTTCAGTATCGTAGATGTCGTTCTCTCCTCTGCCCAAGAGAAGATCTGCTGCGCCAGTTATGGCTTCAATGGCTTGTCTTTTAGCAATTTCATTGGGATCATCCTCTGCCATTTCCACGTCTTCGGCCCCATTCTTCTGTGATGGTCGGTTCTTATTCCGTTGCTTTGTCTGCCACTTTGGCTTCCTGTGTAGACCCTTGCCGAGCCTGGCGAGGGCCTCCAGGGCTGTCTCGCCTCGTTGTAGACGGATGATGAGAGTCTTCAGCAGATCTGCTGTCAAGATATCGTCATTCATCCGATCCTTTAATTTTCTTTCCCTTTCCCGTTTCTCTGCTGCCTCCTTCGCCTGTCTGATATCCTTCTTCGAGACTCCTTCCAGCCATGAATCGTAGACGGCGTCCGGATCCACCGCTTTACGGATGTAATTTCCCTGGTCATCAAATTGTCCCTCTTCCTGTTCTGCGCGCATGTTGAATGCGTCCAGCAAGGGTGCATGTTTTTTCTTGCCCCCTGCGCCTAGCTCAGCATCCATCCCCATGCCAACGCTCGCACGCTCTTCGTCTGCAACGTCACTGTCGCTCTCGGGCTCTTCCACGTTGACTTGGCCGTCGCTCTTCGTAAAATCTGCGCGTAGTGTCCGTCCACTCGTTGAAGAAGCTACTTGTCCCTCGATTTCATCATTCCGCAAGAAACGGACTGTTTTCTTATTCTTTCGCAGCGCTTCATCGGCATCGATTTCCTCAGCACCAAAATCCTCCTGTAGCTCTGCAAACATGTCATCATCATCCGCATCGTGTTTGGCCCGGCTCCGCCTCGCTTTAGCCTCAACTCTCGCGGAGAACGCTTCAACGTCGCTGTCGGATTCATAGCCGTCTAGGTTAACGGCTTTGCGGCGAACCTGTTGCCCGCGACGACCGATCTCGTCAGCATCCAAGACCGGATCTTCTTCTAGAGCATCAGGGGCAAGTGCTGATGGGTTCCGAAGGTCAAAACGGGGTTTCTTGTGCGACGAGGGTCCGCTGGGGTTGTCATCGTCGTGATGGTGGGTGCGGGCGAAGTCTTCACCTGCGCGCTTGGGGCGCGCGAGATACGCGGACATGGCTGTGATTAATCGGGCAGAGGACTGCTGGATATAATTAGGATATTGCTTGTTGGCTGGTGCAGAGAGCGCGAGTTGAAAACTGTCTTCAATCTTGTCTACAGTCGGCTCGGAAAATCGTGGCGTTGCGTCACTTTCTCCGCGATAAGAAGGACTTCAGCGACTTCGTAAGTTCTTTACCTTCTCCGCTGCAAGTCAGGGAGCTTCACATCACCCCTCAAAAGAACTCTGAGATTCCTCAAGCTGTCATCTGTTTTATTCTTCCTCCGAATCTTATAAATATATGTGGATTCTTCAACTTGAGTGAATAGCAACGTCCTAACACACACCCCACAATGGTGAGCTCAACCCGAAGTGATATATGCCTCTTCTGTTAACCATCTTGCTCATTCTCAACTCGCCATTTTAGTTTCATCCCGGGTACTGGGAAGATGATCCCATGGAGGGAGTGCTAAGCTCAACTTCCCTCTTCCGCCATAGGGGCACTGCTCGTCGCTTCGACGAATACTATCGATGCTACCCCGTTGCTATGATGCCCGGTCCTGATCGAGAGAATGTGAATCATGGCGGCAAGGTTATCATGCCTCCCAGCGCTCTGGACAAGTTGACTCGATTGCACATTACGTATCCTATGCTCTTCGAGCTTCACAATGGTGCGAGGCAAAGGATGACCCATGCTGGCGTGCTGGAGTTTATTGCTGAGGAAGGGAAGATATATTTGCCTTTCTGGGTAGGTGGGCTACTGCCTTGGCTTAAACCCCTTCTCTTATTTATCTTGCGGGGTTGTGATACTTGGTACTAATGAGTCTGTACATGCTAGCTTATGCAAACACTACTACTTGAACCCGGTGATCTTGTTCAGATCAAATCGACCGATCTTCCCCCCGGTCAGTTCATTAAGATTCAACCTCAGTCGACATCTTTCCTCGACATCAGTGACCCCAAAGCTGTGCTGGAAAATGTCTTCCGCAATTTCTCCTGTCTTACCAAGGGCGACGTTTTCACCTTCGCATACAACGATCAGGTATACGAGATGGCCGTGCTGGAAACAAAGCCTGCTAATGACAAGAACGCCATTTCCGTTCTTGAAACAGATTTGGAGGTTGACTTCGCACCACCTGTGGGATATGAAGAGTCACTGCGATCAAGCGGTGCTACGACGCCCCTTAGTGCGGCTGGTGCAAAGGTTCCTGCTGGGGGTCTGCTCCATCCTCATGGCACGATGGCCCAGGCGATCAATTACGCGGCCATTGCACCGGAATCAACAGACGCAACTAAAGGTGCCAAGGCAGTATCATCTAATTTCCTCTCTGGGGGTCGCCGCTTGAATGCAAAGAAAGACAGTAAAGCTCCCACCCCGCAGCCTTCGACGCCCGTTCCAGGCGCGACCACCAATCCACTGCATCCTCCTCCATCTCGGAAAACGAATGGGCCTCAGCCTCTACGCCTGCCACCCAATCAGCTATTTTTTGGTTACGCGATCAAGCCTGTGAAGAAACGAGATGAGAGTGGAAGGGTAATTGAGGAGGACGAAAAGCCTCGATTTCAGGGAGCTGGTCAGACCCTACGAGGAAAGAAGAAAGACCTAGGAGGCTCTGTCTCACGCTGATTCCAGCGATGGTTCCAATGTCGAATCTGCTAAATTATCATGCGATGGTCGTCTTCTCGAATAGGCAATAAGACTGGGAAGGTTCTGTTCATAAGCATCGAGGCGTTAGGCAGGGGAGTTATAGGTTAGCTACGGGGTGTTTTGCTTCTGCCTTCATTTAATCACCGAGTAGACCTCAGGAAGCGGCAGGCTTGACTGTACACGGTCCATTATGATGTATTTATGTAGTTCTTTATGGCAGTGCTCCGTATGACCTCGATACTCGGTCACATCCAGGGTTAGCGTTCCTTCGTCCACACACACACTGTACGACTTCAAGACGATGAGCGTCTTGCTGCGTCCCAACAGGCACCAATATTAATATCAGATGGCATCTGCTTCATTCCAGATAACAATTCCGTTCTTTCGGCTGTCGGTACAAAAAGGCATCACTTATTCGCTTGTGAAACCGAGGAAATATGCCGTCTATCGCGAACGGTCAGCAAGCCTTTCTTCTCTCCTCCTGAGCTTCCCTTCATGAGGATAGAATAACTGCTCTGGGTATCTTATTAAGAGGTTGCCGCTTGCAGGCTTTCCCAGAATTCCGCGTGTTTCGAGCGCTTGTTCAAGGGGCTGATTAGCCTCATCGGCTCCTCCGTTTCGGCTTCTTCCATGGCTGGAAAGACAACTGGCGAGGATCCTCTCGCGCCTTTTGTGCGACTTTCTTCATGTGTATATCTCCGACAGCCCTCCTCGCAGTCCGGCCATGATGGGCGCCTCTACCCTAAGACGATTGTCATCGCCTTCTGGATGAACGCCCCTCCGCGCACTCTCGTCAAATACGTCACTGAATACACGCGACTGGCGCCGTCAGCGACAATCATCTTCATCAGGACCTCAAGCAGTGACTTCCTGGTGCGTGGCATGGCCTGGGCGCAACGGGTTCGTGTTGCTCCAGCCGTGCAGGCAATCCGTACTGCTTCCCCAAAAGCCGATGCGCCGGTATTCCTGCATATGTTCTCCAACGGAGGCGCGTCCGCGACGGCTTATCTGCTGGAAACGTACCGAGGAGTTACAGGAGAGCCGCTATGTATTTCGTCGATGATCATTGATAGCGCACCGGGCACGCTAGCCCTCAATCCATCCGTCAAGGCCTTCTCGTTTGTGCTTCCCAAACTATGGCTCTGGCGATTATTAGGGAAGGCCTTTCTTTACGTCATCTTGATTAGCGGCTGGCTGCTTCGGAAACTGACTCGTATGCCTGATGCGGTCACTCATGCCCGTACAGTACTCAACAACAGTCGGCTAATACGCGCACCGGACTCGAACAGCGGATTGAGAAGGTGCTACCTATACTCCGATGCAGATGAACTGATAGACTGGAGAGACGTGGAGAGCCACGCTGCCGACGCAGAGTCGAAGGGATGGATTGTGCAGAAGGAAATGTTTCTGGGAACGCCACACGTTGAACACATGAGGGCACATCCGGTACGTTACTGGAGCATTGTGAAGACATTCCTAGAGATACAGGCAAAGGAGAGGGAGGTCATCGTGGCGAACTGATAAAAGGCATATCGGCATACTAGGCGCGGTCCCCAGACAAGAAGGGGGCAGGGGAAGAATGGGAAGGGCCGTTTTCTCAAGTCCAGAGAGGACGCTCAGATGATTGTTAAAGATGCAGTGAAAATACACGGCGCTGAGCAGGCGCATTGAAGGACTCTCGACGGTGCATTCCTACCACAGTTCCGCCTGAGGGGCTGAAGTAAAGATGTAAGAAGCAGTGCCACTTACACTCTGCATGCTCTCTCACGGCACAAGGACGTCATGGGAAAGAGCTTACCCCATTTCATCAGAATTCTTGGGAGCTGGGCTCAGCATCGGCCTCCTCGGCCTCTCTTTCTTCATCGCTTCGCAATGATGACTTCATTGTCTGATCTCAACGCACCGGAACAGAGTCCCGTCTACCTATGTTACCAGACAGAAAGGATGCAGGACATCCGATTCCCTAGGGAAGTGCCCATTTCTATTCGGATTTTGCTGTCCGCGGGAAAGATAATATACACCGGTTCGGCTTTCATGCTCTTTGAGCTGGTCGTAATGTGTCAGCTTTCATCAAACTGCAGAACAGAGCCGAGTCTCCCTTTCATATCAAAGCCTTCGGGGGCAAAATGAAAGGCCATGGGACCCTCGGCACTGTTCCCTTGGAAAATGATCCCGATCCTGGAAGCTCTACGACAGCTCTGCATCATTCCCACTGCACGTCTGACGCATCCCTGTTCCACCGGTTCCACAGATGATACCGTGTTGGATCCGATAAATTAAATAATAATTAAAGAAGCATCGTTCCTATCTATGGTCTTACACATCTTCCTCCAGTTAGGCAGTGGGAATACACTCTCTCCTTGTCTGTGGAGATACCATTTCTAGTCTACAATTCGTTCGCCCACGCGATTTTTCGAATTTCGTACGATATATTGATGATAAAGTCGTGTCTCAATAGATGCCACGATGTTCCAGTCTGCCCCAAGGACAGAAGCCTTTCGAAAGTTCCCAGATGAACAACAGGACCCGTTGCATCTCCCTGGGTATCAGCTACCACTGGACTTTGCACCCTTCCATAGCAACGTCTACGGTGTTCTGAGGCGCAGCCTGTTTCCAACTGCATTGGACGACCGCGATATCCAGAAGGGATATGCTGAGTAGGTCTAACAATGATACCTTTCCAACGGTTCTCTCGGTTTACTAATTATACCCCCAGCCAACCTCTTCTAACCATTCGTGAGATCAATATGATAAACTTTATGGAAATCCTCACAGATATACCAAATTGGTGGGAAAAGGTATGTATGCTGTCGATACTATGAAGCCTCCTGTATAAGGCGGGAGGCTCCTGATAGTAATCTAAAGCAGTTACAGCATCTGCAACTAATCTCTGTCTATATCCTTAGATTGATGACCCTCAAACGGCTGAGAAATGGAAGAAAGATGCCTTGGAAAGTGGTTTTGACATAACACCCAAGATGGCCAAATGGATCATTGATGAGTTGAGATACAAAGCAATGGTGTACAGGCTTCAAAAAACAGTTACTTTGCGTAATGGTGGTATCTCAAAGTCCGACTCTGCCGTTCCTCTACCACTCATCGAACGCATGCGGCGTGCTATGACAGACCTTAAACCGGGGCCTCTGCATCGAGTGGAAATTATCCCACGCACCAATGGCCACGAACGAAGTCTCATTCCTCTGGGATTGAACCCACTAGTTTATGGGAAGAGTCGCATCCTGCCTGACAGGCTCCTTTCGATAGACGATGCCCTTTCCTCCATCGGGGCTGGTGAAATTATTGACCTTCCACAGGAGACAGGGATCACCCGGGAAGATATGGTTTGGAAGGTAGCTTCTCGCGCTGACCTTAAAGTCAAGCCTTACAGCACCAATTTCCAACTGCTCCCCAGCGACCTACAGCTGGGACCGGACGGAAAGTGGCACATTGTCAGTTATATCAACAATTTGCACCCAGAACAATTCCGGGAGATGTACGAGATAATCGCGGAGATTTTCAGCGAAATGGAACCTGTGTGGAATACCACCTTAACACCACTAAAAGACATGCTCCATTCGCGGGCTAGGATCGAATACCATAAAGTCGAGTATTACCCAGTTCCACAGGAGGCGATGAACATTAAGCCTCAATACCGTGAAGGCGAGTCGGAAAATGAGTTTTCCGAGAGGTTGAATAATTGGCGAATTGAGCATTACAAGGCAATTCAACCTGATGCCGATGATTTCAGGCCCTGGGCAGTTCCCCTTTCCATGATGTATAACTTGCCCACGGACCTATCCGAACAAGTGCGCATCGAGGAAGGGGTTCAACTGAATAAAGATTATGGAAAGACGGGGCTGCAGGCATTCTTCAGCTTGCTTGAGTTCACCTTGACACCCGAGGACCCGGTCTATGAGCGTCCATGGCATATAGAAGGACAATTGGTGAGTCTTTTTTCTCTCTTCCTATTCTATTTCCTCCATATCTAATGCAAGCCGTAGAACGAGCATATCTGTGCGTCGTCAATCTTGTACCTTGACAGCCAGAACATTGAAGACGTCTACTTGTCATTCCGCCAAATGTCCGAAACAGCATCCCTCTCCGAAGTGCAACATGAGCTCGACGACTGGGTCTGGCTTAAGCAGATCTACGGGCTTGAAGCGGGAAGCGCAGCCGTCCAAGAAATCGGCCGTATCAACTTCCGTCCTGGACGAGTGATCCAGTGGCCCAGCACAGTGCATACCCGCGTGGACCCCATCCGTCTGAAGGATAAGACCAAACCAGGTGTGCTGCGACTGCTAGCCATATATCTCGTCGATCCCAACATCCGCATCATCTCGACCGCCAATATCCCGCCGCAAAGGGTGGACTGGAAGCAGGAGATGCAGGATTTGGGGCCGAAACAATATGATGAAGTGAAGAAGTTCCCTCCTTACCTGATTGACCGTGTGTTGAACAGGAAAGATGGTTTCCCCTTCCTGCTGGAAGACGCAGAGAATTATGCCCAACAGATCTGGTTGGAGTGTCTGGAGTTCAGGGAGTACCAGAGTGTTGCATTTACCTCGCATGTCCTTGAGCCTTAGGCCTGGTGGATTTGTTCCTCTCCCAATATGTCTAATCAGTACTTTCTGTAGAACCATGGAGTTACTTTTAAAGAAAACAAAAGACTTCACCTGCCAATGCAATACTTCAACAATATGATTTCTCATTGCGGAGAATGATATACAACCCGATAACCAATGTAGTAAGTAATAAACATAATCGCAACGCTATGCACACTTTATACAGGTGGTTAGAACATTTAAGAGAAAGGAAACGAGGTCTCCAGCGCCGCCCACAAATTTTCTCCCAGATAGATAATCATACGCTGGCTTTTGTTTTGTTGTAGAAGTGAGCTCGATCGACCATGAAAATGCGAGGAATTGAGTTCCATCGTTAGATCTATACCAGAAGAAAATCATGACATAATCCATCATACAGAACAAATAAGGCAATTGGATTGAATTCGTCCATTCATCAATCAACTTTTTTCACCTTGGTTTCGTCATCTTTTCGTTTTCTTCTTCCCTCGGATCGGGGAACTCGTCCTCAAGTTTCAATCTCGCCGTAACATTCATACTCATCAGTTCCTGGATGAGCAATTTAGCGGCGTAGGGGATGACCATTTTGACCACCGTGCGAGAGGTCTTGCAACGCTGACACCAGTTGAGGTAGCCCATGAACCCACACTTCTCGCAGACGTCGATCTCATGCCGGTCTGAAGAGATCATCAGCCGTTCGAGGAGAAGCTGGCTGGTTCCGTAGGCGATGAGACAGTCACGTTCCATTTCACCGAGACGGAGACCACCGTCGCGGGAACGACCCTCGGTCGGCTGACGGGTAAGGATGGCACGGGGTCCACGCGCGCGGGAATGCATCTTGTCCTGAACCATGTGCTTGAGTTTCTGGTAGTAGATGGGGCCCATGAAGACGTAGTACGGCAACGGTTCGCCTGTGATGCCGGAGGTGAGGTAATCCTTCCCGCCATAGGAGAAGCCGTGGTCAATGAGGATCTGGGACATTTCCTGGACAGGACTGCCGCCGAAACAGGTGCCGTAGCCATGCTGGCCAGATAGAACGCCCGCTTTTCCCGCGACAAGCTCGAGCATCTTGCCGACTGTCATGCGAGACGGGAAACCATGGGGGTTCATGATGATGTCCGGACAGATACCTCTGTCGGAAAATGGCATGTCCGCTTGGTCAGCGATGATCCCAACGACACCCTTTTGTCCGTGTCGGGAAGAGAACTTGTCTCCGACCTCTGGGCGACGGGTCTGTCGTGTTAGCACCTTGATAAGTTCACTTTCTCCTTCTGTCGCAGAGAGCATGACTTTATCAATGTATGCAGGGTCTGGAAGCTTGTAAGTCATCGGCGTGGATAAATACGCGACCGGTTGGCCGACTTCCGAACCAGTGAGCCCGGACGTGGGTGACTGGTCGGGGGTGGCCTTATTGATGTAGACCTCGCCCGCGCTGACCTCTTCACCGACAGCAGCCAGACCATCGCTTTCAAGAAGTGCGTGTTTTCGAATGGGAGCGTTGTTCTCATATGTTGGAGGGCTGAGTCTGTCTTTTGTACCGTTCGGATAACTCTTGAGGGTCGTAAGGTATTTCCGGAATACCTGGCATCGCCCGAAGCCGCGGTCAACAGAGCCCTTATTCAGGACAAGGGCATCCTCAATATCATATCCCGAGTAACTCATAACCGCAACAGTAGCATTTTGGCCAGCTGGCAGCTGGTCATACTTGACAAGCTCGATGGTGCGGGACTTGACCATAGGTTTCTGTGGGTATACCATGAGATAAAGAATGGAATCGATGCGAAGAAACTGATTCGACGCGATAGCACCGATGGCTTGTTTACCCATAGCACATTGGTACGTGTTACGCGGCGACTGATTGTGATGGGGGTAAGGAATGAGACCGGCCACCGCTCCGAGGACAGTAAACGGTTCGATTTCGAGGTGAGAAGTCGTGTCCCTGATATCTCTCTCGTAGACGGCAATGTACGAATCGTTCTCCTCATTCACATCAAGGTATTCAACTAATCCTTGGGCAAGGAAATCATCAAACGCCATTTTCCCTTCCCGTAGCTTCTCGAGATGATGCGTTTTGACTCGAGATTTGCCGTTCTCGACAATGATGAGGGGCCTGCAAATCCGTCCATCGTCCGTGGCAATATGGACTGCCGTGTGGTGATGATTGATGTATATGCTGACGAACTCGGATATCCGACCCATGCGGCGTAGTCTCCGGAACGAATCGAGAAAGTATTTCGGTCGTCTGGTCAATGCCATTGGCGTACCGTTGATAGATATCGTGTAACAACCAGGACTGTATAGCTCTCTCCCGCCAACTGTCTCGATGTCTTCCGCACCCAGCATGAAGACCAGATTCCTTATCGGTTCCTCTTCGTCAAAGGTTGTGACGTGCGTCATAAGCGCCAGGTTCTTCACCAAACCACATGCTTCTCCTTCTGGGGTATCTGCCGGACAAAGCATGCCGAACTGTGACGGCTGCAACGCTCTAGGACCGGAGACCTTCCGAGTCTTTTCGAACTGACTGCTAATACGAGTCATCATACCCAGCGCAGCTATGTAACTCAACCTACTGAGTACGTGGGTGACACCAGCACGTTCCATACGGAAACGCTTCAGGCTCCAGTTTCCAGTCGAAATAGCACGGTTCATTCCCTGAGTGATGTGATTGCTGTGCATCCTCATGATATTCCAGGCGTCAAAAGCCTCGGCTCGGTTACGCTTGTTCAGCACCTTGTCAATGTTCATCTTGACATCGAAGCAGAATTTCTTGAAAAGATCTTCAAATAGAAGAGCCAGGAGTTGGCCAGCCAACTCCAATCTCTTATTTCCAAGGTAATCACGGTCGTCAACCAAAGATGCATCATTCTTGGCCATCAGAACTCGACGAGCCATGTGAGCGACATAGATCGCTTTGGGTCGGAAATTCATATCCTTGACTTCAACGTGAGAGATGACAACAGATGCGATCGCCTCAACCGCCTCTTGTATATGTGTTTTGGTATAATTCGACATTTTCCGGTTGATCTTAATGCGCGCACCAATCCATTCGAGAGCTTGTTGCTGAGTGAATATGCCTAGTTTGATAGCCTCTTCGAAATTGACGGCGAAATCTTCCTGGTATACTTTGTCCATACCGGCCACCAGGAATAGCATTTCTTTGTCTGTATGGACGCCCATCGCTTTCAACAGAATAACAATGGGGATATCTTCGCTTAGCACGTTGTGCTTCAAATAAAGTTTTTCCTTTTTAAGAACAATATAACTTTTCGACTTTCGCTCGTGCGTAGAACTGTGATTGAGTTAGACAGAATGCTCCCAGAGAACGACGGCCAATGCGCTCAGGAATTCACCTTGTAACCGAAGCCTGTACAATCTCCTTCTTAGGATCAGTCTCCACGATGATCCTATTCTTGCTCAATTGCTCCTGAACTAAAATGACCTTTTCAGTGCCATTCACAATGAAATAGCCGCCAGGATCCAGTGGACACTCGTTCAGCACACTCATCTGGGAGGGTGTCTTGTTCGCCAACACGCATTTGGAGCTACGAAGCATGACAGGAATTCTTCCAATGCACATGCCCATCTTCCTCACTCTTTGCCTGCCACGGAGGTATTCGAAGTCGACCTGAATAGGAGCTGCATAAGTTGTGTCACGAAGCCTGCACTCCTGCGGTGTCACGGTGGACTCTGAGTTGAAATCGGCATCTTGTGGCTCATCTGCGCGTCGAGGAGAACCGAGGTAGATATCTGTAAACTTGATAAAGAACTGATGGTCCACGTCGCTGCGGATCGTCGAACTCGACTCGATGATCTTCTTCAACTGCACCTCGATGAAATCATTGTATGAGTCAATGTGCTGTTTCACTAGCCCCTTGACCTTGAGAAACGCCGGGACCAAATTCCATTTATCGCGAGGGGTATCTATCGGGTCCGTCAGGGACTTGCTATAATAAAAGGGCTCGAGGAGTGCATCGAAGGGATCCCGGTGACGGTACGGGTAAAACGGCGAGTCGTCCTTTTTTGGGCCATCCTGCTGCTCGGGAGCCTGTGCCGGTTTTGCTGGTTGTGATGACTGCTTAGATTGGGAAGAGCGCATGCGCCGAGGAGGATTCGCAGCGGTTGTTGGAGTGGAGTTGGCAGCCTGGAATCAGTCAGGACGGTGGTCTTTGAAGGATGCGGAGCAGCCTTATGCCTTACCTGTGACCGCTTGCGCGGAGGCATCGTGGAGGAAAGGGGAGAGAAGACTTTTAGGAGAGAGATATATGAAGATGATTTTTTATGTGATAAAGAGGATATGGCAGATGCCTGTGCTTCCGGAAGGCCAACGTTCCTTCTTTTGACTAACTCGTGCTGGCGATGGGTAATTTTCGATAAATCGATATTTAAAATCTATCTCCGATGGAGGGGCGATTATGTAATCTGAATAGCTACCCAGAAGGGGTTAAGCTGTATTTCTGTACTAACCATAGTGGGATAGCGCGATTGTTGTATGTAACATATGGCTGACTAATATTTTGTATTTTACACCCCGTTACGATACGCTGCATACAGCGTACAGCATACAGCGTAGGACATGCAGCTGCACCATCTCGCCTCAGAAACTCAATCAAGAACAGCATGGAAAGCCATTTACGCGTGTGAGATATCAATATCAATGGCTCGCACAGAGTATCCATTTCAGTGATTCACATGTGGGCTGAGCTGCATGATCCCCCACTATCTGGAGGGCCAGAAGAACAGTCTCTGTGCACTTCCCTTTTCCACCTCAATTTTCTCCGGACCTATCACTCTAAGCCGCATCGAGGCGTTTATCTGAGACAAGGTGATGGGGATTGGGGACTGCAGGTGGTGAACCGTGCGTGCCGCAGGTAGCCTGCGCTGAAGCCCCATGCGATCGTCATACCCGACGTATCAGATGCCAAAAGAGTCACTTCGTATTCTGGCAGTTATCGGCCGCGAGGGATGGAAGGGGAGCTGTCTTCTACCCTGATGTGTGTGGTTCCAGTCCGGTGCTCACCTCCTGTTAGGAGCAAAGAGACGGTGTTTTTGGCAATGATTCCATGATTACAGATGGCAGACACGCCATGCGCCTAAACCACAGCGAAAGCTGGCTGGGAATGATTGGTTCCGGACATCAGGGGCGGCAGATGGATCGGACTCGTCGACGCATGGACCATGGACAAGGAAGCAAACTTTGGTTGCTATCGATAGATCAGCAATCGAACTGAACTGGCCTTACGGAACATACACCGCTTGTCCTCGTGCTCTAGTTACGGGGGCCTTGAGGCCTGACGTCTGCAGTCAGCAATGGTGCATGCAGCAGCAAGCAGGATGCCGAGCTAACTCCCAGCGTGCCGCATCTGCGTTCTCGAGATCCCGTTCCTGGTGTCGCTAGGGAAGTACGCTATAGAGTACAGTACTCCGTACTCCGATTTCAAATGTCAGGACGGGCGGGTGTCGGTCCATGGGACGATCGAGGGAACCGGGGCACAGAAGACGTCTCGAAGTGCAGGATCCCTGGGACAAGATGTCTGGAGAACCTGGTTCTCGGATGGACAACTCACCGCAGGACGGACGGACTGTTGGGCTCGGGCACCTACTACCAGTATATACTACGAGGAATAACAAAAGAATGGCATGGCTAGTACCTAATAATAACATTATTTATATTGTTCATTGACTACAAGTCTTAAAGACGCCAGCGCATGAAGGGCGATTGCAGGATGCATCATGCTGTCACCGGTAAATATCGACGATATCCACAATATTCTATCAATCAGGCATTCAAAGTGGGACACGGGTTTGGGCGTCACACAAGCTGCAGCCGAGAGCGGCGCGCGCGAGGGGATCTCGCTGTTTCCCAGTCGACTGGACTATTCTCTGCGATGTCTAATACTGGCACTGCAGCACCAACAATGGCAGCCAGACGCCAATCAGGGGGCTGATGCGAGGATATCGGTTTATTTTGCCGTGTGTTTCGTCCGTCTGCTGGAGCTGGGGATGGAGTGAGGCGCGATGTTAGGAATGATCCCAGCCGCCCATTAGTAGAGTAGGATGCTATTATTATTATGATGGTGATGGTGATGATGACAATTCTCTCCACCAACCTCTCCCAGTAGGATAGGAGTCTGCTGTTCCCGTCTCAGATCGTCGTCATAATAATAATAATAATCTGCCCCTTGCACCTTGTCGCCCACTCCCTCCATCTCTCTTCTTCTTCCCTGCGCTCCGGTGTTTCCACCAGCCTTTCCACTCGTTTCATCCTCGCTTACTTAGACGCGCGTGGTAAGTAAGCATCCTCCCCCAAACCCCTTATCCGATGGGAAACGCGCTCTGATGCAGCATCTCATCTCCGCATTCCAGGATCCCCCTTCAGCTCGCCCTCCACAGATCACTCGCAGAACAAGGAAAAGAGGCTTTCCTTGCAGTAGCCATCGCGCGATCTCCTTCTGGACATCTTGGTGCGTTTTCCGGCGTGCGTGAGGCGTCTCCTAGGTCGAGATCGGTTCAACTCCCGCCCAAATCACCCCGCAGCCCCTCTCCATCTCCCCTGATCCTCTCGCCTCCAAAACGGCACATACCGTCCCTCCCCTCCTCCCCTCCTCTGCCTCCCTCTCTCCCTGTCATTGCTATTCTCTCCCAGCTCTGGTTGCGCTTGCTCATCGCCTTCTCTCCCAGACAAAGGCTTTATGCCGTGCATCGTAGTGGCCTCCAACCCGTCCGTTCGCCGTGGATGATTCATACAGCCAGACCGTGACTCCGAACCCCCTCCCATCATGGCCTTCAAGAATGGTCTGAGTGAACGCCTGGACGAGCTGCGTTTCCCTTCTCCCAGGTCTCCGTCCGAGTCCCCGTTCCCGGCATATAGCCCGCTTGCCGGACACTCGAATCTCATCTCGTCCTTATCGCGTCCCCCCAGCGATGTGCGCTCGAACCTCCAGCGTCGGTTCACTACCGACTCGAGTAAGCTCTCTTCGTGGAGCTATCTGAATCATGGGGCAACTCAGCTGCCGGATCTAGATCTGCTGTCTTCGGTAAGCTTGCCACTTTCATGAAAGATCAATCGCCATGTGCCCGTTTGGGGTTCTATTCACATTTCGCTGTTTCGACTCGTACCTCGTGTCTTCTTTGCCCTTGCGTCTATAGATCCCAAGTCTCACCGGAGAGTTTTTTTTTTTTTTTTCCGTACCCTGTAGCGATTACGTGCTTCTGCATTCACTGCCGCTGACCTGCCTTACTGCAGGCCAACTTCCTCTACAAATCTCAGCTCGTGAGCCCTCTCTAGATCCCCCCCGCCCTCTCTCTCTCTGACTGTCTCTTCCAGTTTGAGAAGAAGCGCCAGCACATAGAATACATGCGAGAACAGAGAAGACGTTTCGAAGAAGACATGAAGCTGTTGGACCTGCAGCACGAGAAGGAGAAGCAGGAAATGGATCAGCTTGCTCGGGACCTGGCCAAGGTGGGCATGTCTGGCCCAGTCAGCGAACCTACGACTCCCCCAGAGTATCGTGACAGTGGCTTCCCAGGCGTCTTCTCTCGCCCAGCACGCTTCTCAACTTCAAGCGTCACTTCTACCGGTTTTCTTAACGCATTTTCTCCAAGTCAGCCAACTTCCACCCAGACCTCGACCCAACGTTTCTCTGTCCACTCCGTTCCAGGTTCCCGTAGGAACTCTGAAGAGAAGGACATTTCTTTCCAGGACTCTTCATCGTCTGTGCGCCCAGGACCTTTGTAAGCACTTTCCCTCTCTTCTCTTCTCTCTGCCATGGTCAAATGATGCCATTAGGATGCTAGCTATCCCCTAATATAAGCTCCTTTTTTCATGGCATGGGTCTTTAGAGACCCCACTACAGTTCATTATGCTTACTGACATTCACTGCAAAGCCTTCACCGTTACTCAATGCCTTCCTCTGGACTAACTTCCCAGGTTCGCCCCAACATGGCTGTCTTCAACAACCCCTCCAACTTTGATTCCTTCTCTGCTGCCAAATACTTGTTCCACGGTGACGAAGAGCAGTCGTCTTCAAAAGACGGTGATCGAGTGTCCACGCCAGATATCAAGAGCTACCTTAAGATGACTGAACCAGACGATAAGTTTCTTACCCTGTCACGTCGTCACGATTCCGGGTTGGTAAGTAACTAGATGCTACCCAACTCCCTGAAATTAGGAGAGCTGTTGTCTGCTAACACTCGGTTCAGCTTTCAGAAAACTCAGACACACTGGATCTAGCAAACTCCCGTACCCCAGGACCTGAGCCTTGGAACACGCACAGCCGCCATCGGTTTACTCACCAGAGCATGCCTCAGAATACGTTGAATATGTTTCGCCTTGAACAGCTTGGAGCCTCCACCAGCGAGAAGCCCTCAAATGCGTCCCAGCCATCTCGTCATCTTTCAAGACACTCCCTGGAAGCAAACCTTCTCTGTGACAATGAAGTGACCCATGAAGACATTGCCTCAGTAACGCCTAACCGTCCCGATTCCATGCAGTCATCCTATTCCGGAAATGAGGTCTCCACTGCTAAGGGCAAAGATTTTAATGGCCCTCTCACCTCTCCCAAGATGAGCGCAGACTCGTTCCAGCCATCTAACGCCAGCTTTGGAAGGATCCCCGCAAACGTTGCGAATAATTCTCCTGAGCGTGATGAAGCTAAGCCCACAGCAACCTACCCCCAGCAGACCACACTTCAGGCTAGCGCCGCGCCATTTGGTCCTCAGTTAACTTCTACAGCCTCCACTACAAGCGCTCCGGGACCCATTCCCCCAGCCGGGCTAACCAACTTCCAGGTTCCTTATTATGGATATCCTCTACCGGCCTACATGGGAAGCCCAGCGCCAGTCAATGGTCAGGCTCAGAACTACAATCTATCCAGTCCTTATTCGGGCTACGGTGCATATGGCAACTATCGCTTCGCTGAGAGTCCGGGCAGGGCTGTCAGCACTCGCCGCAGTGGGGAAGGAGAGTCTCTCCAACTGTCCCGCTTCTCGAATTTCCCTCTGGAGCATTACAAAGGGGAACTGTATGGCTTGTGCAAGGATCAGCATGGCTGCAGATATCTTCAGAGAAAATTAGAGGAGCAGAACCCGGAGAATGTTCAAATTATCTTCAATGAGACTTATCGCCATGTTGTGGAGCTTATGACCGGTTCGTTCATTCCTTCACTATCTTGTTCATATGTATATGACATTAACTTCGCCTCTACAGACCCCTTTGGTAATTACTTGTGTCAGAAATTACTCGAGTATTCCAATGACGATCAGCGGACTGTTCTCATTGACAATGCGGCTCCCCAACTTGTGAAAATCGCATTGAACCAGCACGGCACTAGAGCTTTGCAAAAGATGATAGAGTTCATCTCAACCCCAGGACAGACTCAGACCGTGATCGATGCTCTCAAGGACCACGTTGTGGAGCTGGTTCAGGACTTGAACGGTAACCATGTGATACAGAAATGCCTCAACCGCCTGTCTGCGGAGGATTCTCTGTTCATCTATGATGCAGTCGGTGCAAGTTGCGTGGTCGTTGGGACTCACCGTCATGGATGCTGTGTCTTGCAGCGCTGCATTGATCATGCGTCTGGCGAACAGAGAGCTCGTTTGATCGCTCAGATAACCGGTAATGCTTTTGCCCTTGTACAGGATCCGTTTGGCAACTACGTCGTGCAGTACATTTTGGATCTTGCCGAGCCCCATTTTACCAAGCCTCTCTGCCAGAGCTTCTGTGGAAACATCCCCGCCTTGTCAAAGCAGAAATTCAGTTCAAATGTGATTGAGAAGTGCCTTCGCACTGCAGACAACCAAGTCCGTCGCCAGATGATTGATGAGATGCTTGCTGGAAACGAGCTGGAGAAGATGCTTCGTGATTCTTTTGCAAACTATGTGGTTCAGACTGCAATGGATTTTGCCGATTCAGAGACACGAGCCCGGATTATCGATGCGGTTCGCCCCATTTTGCCTTCCATCCGTCAGACTCCCCATGGCCGCCGCATTGCCGGTAAGATGATGGCATCTGAAGGCTCTGGGAAAGGGAGCGCAGCAACCAGCGGGCAGGTTACGCCGAACGAAATGAATTCTTCCCAGCTTCCGGGGCCCCTGCAGGCTACACAGAAGCCTTTTTTGTACCAACACAATTCTTACCCTTCATCGAACACTGGTAACCAGTTCAGTAGCCAGACTTTTGGTTCCGGTTCTGTTTCCAATACCCCCTCTGGTGGAACGAGCGAGGCCTCCTCGGTTATTTTTTCCCAAGTCCAGCATGCCAATGGCAATCTTGGTACCCAAGGCCAGTTGTATACATACTATTGATCTGCCTCGCTGCGCCTCTTATCAGTGAATTGCACTTGGCGGAATTGTACTCATACTGAATGATGCTATGATCTTCACGATTTTTTTTACGGCCACGTTAAGATATTGCCACCAAACTTGGAGATACGATACCCACGGGGAAGTATGGTTCCCACAGCAAGACTCCCTATGCTCATACAAGCGTCTTGGGTTTTCTTAACGATGCATACATATTCCACTACAGAATCTTCCATTTTATGCCTTGTACTATTTGCAGATCTTGGATTCCTTGTGCTTGCAATTTTCTTGACGACAAATAGCTGACATTTTACGTTTGTTTTCATTCATCGGACTGGAGGATCGTCAACCGCAGTCTCTCTCAATAGCGGGAACATAGCACCGCAGCGGCTGGAGAAGGTTCTACTTCCCATTGCGCCTTGGAAAGTTGAATCCAATTCGCTCGCATCAGTTTCACTCCTTTCCTCCCCCTTATTCGGTTTTCTTTCATGGGATGTGCTTTTAGTTTCACTGCCACCCTTCTATCTTCTGTATTTTTGATTTCCGATTGTGCTGCTGCTGTTTAACTTTGGTCTTGAAAACGGCATCACTTAGCATTCTGGATATGCTATCAGTTTTTTGGACATCGAATGAGGTGATAACTGTCATCTCTGTTGAATCAGGGCCACGTTCAACAAAAAAAACTGTACGCATCGCATCTATATTGGATGAGATTGTACTGTTTCTTTGTCTTCGCACTTCATGTTGAGATGATCTTCTCGCATGGTTCCTGACAGTTGTTCTGAGGCCTGTCCCAGCAAGCACAGTTAGTAGACTAGATGTACTCATATTCAAGAAATAAACAGCATTTCTTCCCTGAACTGCGAGATGAAGAGCAGAAATTACTTCTATGTAGTCTGTATATTGACGCGCACGTGACTCCCCGAGGAACGCGCTTCTTGATGAGTTTCGGCTTCACAAACGATGCTCCTTTCCCTTCTTTTTCTTCCTGAGACAAACCCTCCTGTCTCGGGGAATACTTCCCATGCTCCCTGAAGAGATTATTCGTTCCCTTGGCCAGCAATGGCCTTGCCGAGACCTCCAGATTAGGCAGCTTGCGGGTTTGCTCAGTGTGAGTATGGCTGTTCCATGACGCGGCATTGGCATTCCATCACTGTTTATTTCTTCGATTTTACAATACCAGCAATAATAATATGCCAGTCAGGATTTTCAAATCTATAGCCAGACATTGCTAATGATAGTATTTCCTAAAGCCAGACATTCCCAGTCCACCAGCCGTGGTAGTCCACGGCATTTCAGGGACATGCAAATCGACCATGGTCCGTGCCGTTCTCTCCCATCTTGAAATCCCGCATGCGATTGTCCGAAGTACGGAATGTATTACGGGGAGACATCTCCTCACGAAGATCTTGTGGGGTATTTTGGAAGCTTTGGGTCTGAAGGATGAATGGGAGAGATTCGGGAAGGGTAGATGCGAACATGTCAGTTTGCTTGCGGTGTTGCTGGCCGAATGCCTAGCGTCACCAAAGGCAGCAGAAAGCCGAAGTGGGAAGGTTGTGCTGGTTCTGGATGGGATTGATAAGCAGAGAGAGGCGCCGCAGACGCTTTTGTCGGCGTTAGCTAGGCTGGGAGAGGTGGTGAGTTGTATTATGCTTTGCTGGTGCTGCGTTTCGGATTCGAAGTCGGTTCGCTGACCATTTGGCTAGATACCGTCTTTGTGTGTGGTTTTGATCCTCAGTTCTACCCCACGACCGCTTTTCCTTCAGTCTGCGGCGGTTCCTCATATCAGTTTTCCTCCTTATACTCGCAAGGAAGCCATTGCGATTATTCTCGGCTCAGAGCCACCATTTGTGGACGATCTTGCACCAGAGACTGTGTCTAAGTTATACCCGCATTTCGTGTCGACTGTCTACGATGCCTTGGTTGGTCCTACGGCGGGCACAATCCCAGTCTTCAAGTCTACGTGTGAGAAGCTCTGGCCGCAGTTTGTTGCGCCAATCGTGAACGGTGACACTCCGCCTGGCACAGATAACACGGAATGGGACTTTTCACGGCTGCTGGTCAGAAACCGTGCAATGTTCGGCCGTCGGGGCGAGTCCACACTTGTACATCACATTGTTCCTCCGGAAGCGGAAAGCGTATCATCAGCATCGTCGAAGCTGTTATCTACGCCGTCTGAACCCGGCCCTCCTCTTCCTGCGCTTCCTTCCTTGCCCTATTTTGCGACCTTGGTTTTGACGTCTGCGTATCTGGCAGCCCATATTCCGGCCAGACTAGACACGATATTCTTCTCCAAGTTCTCCTCTTCTTCCCTATCTGCCCGAAATAAACGCGCCCACCATCGCCGGCGCCTGAAGAAACTCTCCCAGGCCCCTGTTCAGGCAGATGATAATGTCCTTGATCTTAATCAAGGCCCTTCAACGCCTAGCAAGAAAGGAAAGAGACAAAAGACGCGCATCACCAAGTCCACACTCGAATCCGCATTTGCCACATCATCCGCTACTATTTCCGCAATCCCAGGAGGGGGAGCAGGTGCTGGTGGTAGTAGCGCTGCCGCTGGTGCAGGAATCGCTGGCTCGTCAACCATTCTCACAGCTCGTCCTTTCCCCCTGGAACGTCTAATCGCGATATACCACGCTATTGATCCTAACCCACCCTCCAATCCCATTCGCGTCGCGCCGGCCGCTGACGTAGTCTACACGGAGCTAGCGACGCTGCGACGACTCCGTCTTGTTGTGCCTGCTTCTGGAGGAGCAACGGGCACCGGAACGATGGCTGTGGATGCTGGAGAGAAATGGTGCGTTAATGTCTCTGGGGGTTGGATTGCAGAGATGGCTAAGGGGATTGGGGTGGAAGTTGGAGAATGGTTGGCAGGCGGCCTTGATTGATTTGTTGTTCTCTATATACATAAAACTTCCTTTGATGATTATATTATGTATTAGGCCAAAAGGATGCCAATACCTGAATGTAAACCCAGTCTATAACCGGCGTTGGTTATCTGCGTAGGGACTGTATTTTGCTTCCAACGCGGAGCTCGACTCCAAACAAATCATAGATGGCTGCAATAGTGGCCGCTGCTTTCAGAGTTCGCAGTGCCGTCCTTTGAAATATATTTTAGCGAAAGAACAGAAATGACAAAACTTATGTAGATCTAAGTAGGGTGAGTACTCCAGTGGAGTGAGCAGCACGTAAGATGTAACCCTCAATAAAATGCTCCCAGCTCTAGGGGTTTTGACCACATCATTGTTTCAGTGCCTTCTTAGAACAAAAACTAGTTAGATCCAGACATTGCCTGTGTGATTTTATTGGGCTGATTCTATAAGCTCTATGCTACATGAGTTCTGTCTACAGATACCGCCCTCATCTAACTGAACCTGCAGCTTGACAGTGATGATAGAATAAAAAGTCTATATAGTGACATATGTAGCATGCGTAACAGGGCTTCCTTGAAGAACACATCACAAAACATATTCAGATCCAAAGCCTGAATCTGCATAATCAATTCTGTTCCATCCCATCACTTTGCCCTCCCTCCTTGCAGCGGACATGATTTGATTTATGAGACTAGTGCAAGAATCACATAGGAGAACAAGGGGCGTCAATGGAATGGATATTATTTTAAGATCAGCGGATCTCAATAAAAATTTTTTGGAAGAAAATCTGTTAATTAACTTGATGTTGATCTCAAGGTCTTCCAGAACTGGAAAATAATAGTGATGAGATGAAGACCAAGAGAAAACACCAGAGCTTCAATGTCATTAAATAGATAAACCACAAGGACATATAGGCATGGGGGATCGAGGGTGCCTGATTATTCACAAAGAGTTATATATCCAGTGGTCTGTCTTCATTTCTATCCTAGAAGAGTAAAACTTAGCAAGTACAGATGGAGCTCTGAGCATCTACCAGCTCCACTCATCAACTACATCCCCTGAAGAAACCAGTAACTTTGGTCTTAGAGAGGCAGGAGTAAGTCCAGAAGAATGCGAACTGAATGTAAGAGGTGCCAAGTCGACGTCGGTGTAGTCCTCAAATCGGACGCATGAGATTGGACTTGGGTATTTGTATTCCGTTACGGGGAGAAGAGAGGAAGAGGAATAAGAACAAGAAGGGAGTTGCTGGCCGGTCCGAAGAGAGAATAGTTGAATTTTTCGTGAGTCCGAGGCTGTGCATACAAATGTAAGTATCTAATGTCATATTGAGTGCTAGTCTTCCTGGATCAGAAAAGGAGAAACATACCGCTCGCCAGGATATTTAGTTCAGTACTCAGGTCGAAATCAGAGGTTAGAACTTCCGGAGAGTATTCTGGAAAGGTGACATAGGGTCTTGTCGATGTGTGACCGGATCGAGTAGGTTTGGGGTTCCGCTGGAGTCCATTGGGCGGATAGCGGATGTCGTACATATTGAGCTACGCATTTCTAAATCAGCTTTTCTCCTTTTGTAACCGACAAAAGAACGAGAAGGGCGTAGTACATACCGACTTCTGTCCCGCTACTACCAGTCGATAAGAATCGACTCTTCGGATCTTCGACACAGAATGAGGGTGCTGCAATCGAGTCGCAGTACCTCCACTTCGAAGATCATGGAGGAAAACAGCCGAATCCTTGAGGCCACAAGCGATTACGTCTGATGATAGCCATTCAACACTGGTGACAACTGCATGGGATGAGCCAATATGACGATTTGAAACGGGTCGCCCCGTGAGTACATCGTTCGGAAACGGCTTCTTCGACAGCGTCCAGCGATACCCAACACCCTCCACTGTGTACAGGCCGTCTGAAGTCCCGATTGCGAAGAGTGTATTTTGTCCCGTTGGACATGGAGCGGAACACCATAACGATTCAGGAATACGGATCCGTACAGCATCGGTGACTAGGACGGGATACATTAAACTTTCTGACACAGCATGTACCTTGCACAAGGCATTTACATACAGGTAGAAGACGAGTAGAGAATTCCATCGGTGTTGGGATCAGGTAACATTAGCAACCCAAGGAATGAGTCGCCATTTGGTCCAGAATCCATTGTCGCGCTGATTCGGTCAGGAGGTGTGACAAAAGGAGCACAAGAGCGTAAAACCATCAAACTTACAGTAAATAACCCGTGTGGCTCAGGGACATAGAAGATAGCTGGTTGCGTAAGTAAGCAGGAACAATTTCTGAGGAACGGGAACTCCGGCTATTTACCCTATATGGCTCCTTGAAAATAGCGTGTTCCATTCGCCTGGGGTATGTCTGCTTTCCTTGACTATATTCCGGGACACAGAATCTTAAAGGGAAAAATTAATACACACAAACTTGCGCGGTGTGCCAGGTGAAACTCACGAAACAGATGAGTTTGCACCATAATTTCCACCTTCAATCTATGAGCAATCATCCATGCTATTCTGGAGTACAGGAGCGAGCGATAGAGACCTACCCGCAACCAAAACCCCAGAGACCTTACTTCGCACGATGTGGCCGACGGAAAACCGACTCGGCCACGGCTCAAATCTGTGTAAACATCTCCGTTGGAGCTGGCTCACATATGCCTGGCCCTGCCATTCAAGCCTCAGGCCTTTCGAAGCGCTGTGCGCACCAATCTGCTTCTCAAGCCCAATAAGCGGATGGACGAGGAAGTCTGCTTTTCTAATCTTCTCTTTCGCAGCTCGATGGCTGAGGCGGACTTTTCTTTGTTGCTTCTGTAAGTTGTCAGCGGCAAATTACTGTCATCCCCTTCTGTTACTAAGAATAACTGGACCTCTTGTTCTACACATTTCCGCTTGACGGCATCCTTCGAGTACTGTGAGCCCGGAGGTGCTGCATGATTGGCTTGGATCTTGAAGTACTTTTTCTTCTCGGGATCTGAGGATACACGTTAGTCTATAGAAATGTAGCAAGGTGTATTAGGATTACTCGCCATAGTAGAAACCAGGAATTTCCCGGTTCATTTTGGACAAGAAATATGCGTTAAACGGGCAGAGAATTTCCGTCGGTGATAAAAGCCCATGCAAGACCAGATCAGATTATTTCCTGTTTCTGTGGAAGTCCAACATTACGCTATTTGCGATCCTCGGAAACTCTGTCCACGTCTTTAACCACTATTGCAGGCCATCCTGACTGCTCAGAGATCAGGCACCTCTCGCGCTTCCAAGTGTATGCCTTTTTCTGCCTTTTTCTGTGACGTCGGCTGGCCAGTTGTTATGTAAGCGCCGATGGTAACAAGAGAGTGCTCTGATTGGTTGATAGGATGAAGAAGGGAAAGAACCTGAAGGCGCGTCGAGGAGAGCCTGAAGACTAGGTAAGATTGCATGGAGTGTGTACAATGTAGACATGAAGAGATACTGGATGAAGGAAAAGTGCTGTTTTGTTTGCGATCGAAACGGGTCATGTGCCAGTCCGCTCCGCCAAGATCAGGGGTTCGTCCTCCGCTCCGCCCCGTCAAGGCTTGGCACTTCAGGGACTTCGTACGACAGCACGGCATCACAAGCACCAGGTTCTGCGACTGTGCAACTGAGTAAAGTCTGACGGCCAGAAAATTTATTCTAACATAGTCTAGCAGTACATGAGCTGTGCAGAGCCCATCTACGGACCACCGGTGCTGCGGCACTTTCGTTGCTGGCTTGCAGGATAGCAACAGCTCTACGACCGCAAGAATCAGTATTGCAGTATGCGCATGGCTGCATGCAGCCTGTTCTCTCCCATCTAGTAAGTACCGCCTCTGCTGGCACAGCAGGCTCTGTGTTGCCTTGCTGGGCCGAGGACAGGTCAGTTACACGTACGTTACCTCGCCGTGCCCTCATTCCTTCCTATTCGGGTAGTTATAGCAGCTGCCTAGTCACCTCTTCTCCTTCTGTCTCGCTTCTATTCCCCTGCTTCTGCTCCTGTCGCTTGTCTCATACTCATTATCTTCCATCCCTTCGACCCATCTGTTGCCTCGTTCAGCCAGAGCTACTCATCTCTCCGGAATCGTGATTGCAGTTTCCATCACCCTGTTCGCCTCCTTCCTCCTCATCATTTTCCCCTTCTCCATTTCATTTATTCACTGGGACTCCTTCCTTCAGCATACTTTGTTCTCTCAAGGAGTGCCATCCTGTCCCTGGCTCTTCAATCCCCTTGTATTGTAGGCATACGCTGTTGAATACCTCGTCCATTTACTCCAGACTTGCCATTCTATCGTTCTTTTTCTATCTTCTCACCTATCTCTCCGCATAATGGCGGACTGCCCCGGACAGGTCCCTTATGGGATCTCTATTTCTCCAATTCCCGGTAGTCGCTTCGCCGATTTGACTGAAAAGAATCAGTTTATTGGAGAAGGCTCGGACGCAAAGAAATCTTCAGAAGACGATGCTGACGACAGTGAGGACAATATGGATGCCCTTATTGAGGACTTGGAATCGCATGATGGCCGCGCAGACGAAGAATACGAAGCTTCTGATGATTTTGACAGTGCTGGGGCCGTTCCCGACGAACTACTCCAAACGGACACCCGTACTGGCCTCACTGACAGTGAAGTCTTGGCCCGTCGAAAGAAGTATGGTCTCAATCAAATGAAGGAGGAGACGGAAAACCTCTTCCTTAAATTCCTGTCGTACTTCGTCGGCCCGATTCAGTTTGTTATGGAGGTATGTCAATCCTGCTGTGTATCATAGATAACTGTTTCCGATATATCTATCTTACGCATATAGGCCGCTGCGGTTCTGGCTGCCGGGCTTCAGGATTGGGTTGACTTTGGTGTCATCTGTGCTCTCCTCTTTCTTAATGCCGCCGTGGGTTTCGTCCAGGAATACCAGGCCGGGTCTATTGTCGAAGAACTGAAGAAGACTCTTGCTCTCAAAGCTATCGTGCTTCGTAACGGAGATCTGTTTGAGGTCGAAGCGTCCCAGGTAGTACCAGGCGATATCTTGCGAGTTGAGGAGGTGAGACTTTGACCATGCACTTTTTAACTGTCACTGCTGCTAATCTCGACCAGGGCACGATCGTTCCCGCTGACTGTCGAATTATTACTGAGCAAGCTTTCCTTCAGGTCGACCAGTCCTCTATCACGGGCGAATCTCTGGTAGCTGACAAACATTATGGCGATACCTGCTATGCATCCTCTGCTGTGAAACGAGGCGATGCATTCGTTATCATAACTGCAACTGGTGACCACACGTATGTTGGACGTGCGGCTGCCATGGTCAAAGCTGCTTCCGCTGGTAGTGGTCACTTCACTGAGGTCCTCAACGGCATTGGCACAGTCCTACTCATCCTGGTTATCATGACCTTGCTCGTCGTCTGGGTAGCCTCCTTCTATCGGTCCAACGGCATTGTCACGATTCTGAAGTTCACCCTGGCCATCACAATAATTGGCGTGCCTGTCGGTCTACCTGCGGTCGTCACAACGACAATGGCAGTCGGTGCTGCATACCTAGCCAAAAGGCAGGCTATTGTGCAGAAGCTTTCTGCCATCGAGTCTCTGGCTGGCGTGGAAATCTTATGCTCTGACAAGACTGGCACGCTGACAAAAAACAAGCTATCACTAGCAGATCCTTACACTGTCGCTGGCGTGGACCGTGAGGACCTTATGCTGACTGCCTGTCTGGCCGCTTCCCGGAAGAAGAAAGGCATAGATGCTATTGACAAGGCATTTCTCAAGGCACTCCGACAGTATCCCCGCGCGAAGAGCATGCTCACGCAGTATAAAGTTCTCGAGTTTTACCCGTTCGATCCTGTTTCCAAGAAAGTTACCGCTGTAGTGCTGTCCCCTCAAGGAGAACGGATCGTCTGTGTGAAAGGAGCTCCGCTTTTTGTCCTGAAGACTGTCGAAGAGGACAACGCTGTCCCCGAAGAAGTCGTATCTGATTACAAGACCAAAGTCGCTGAATTTGCCACGCGTGGTTACCGTTCTCTGGGCGTTGCTCGGAAGCGTGGTGAGGGTAAGTGGGAAATTCTAGGGATTATGCCCTGCTCAGATCCTCCTCGGCACGATACTGCTCAGACGATCAATGAAGCAAAGACGCTAGGTCTTCAGATAAAAATGCTAACTGGCGATGCCGTCGGAATTGCTCGAGAGACTTCGCGCCAGCTCGGCCTTGGAACAAACGTGTACAACGCAGAGCGTCTTGGCCTAGGAGGTGGTGGTACGATGCCCGGCTCTGAAGTCTACGACTTCGTAGAAGCGGCGGATGGTTTTGCGGAGGTGTTTCCTCAGCACAAGTATAATGTGGTGGAGATCCTACAACAACGTGGATATCTGGTCGCCATGACAGGTGATGGCGTCAATGATGCTCCATCACTGAAGAAAGCCGACACAGGAATTGCTGTCGAAGGTGCTTCAGATGCTGCCCGCTCCGCCGCGGACATTGTCTTTCTTGCCCCAGGGCTCACAGCAATAATTGATGCTCTGAAGACTTCACGCCAAATCTTCCACCGCATGTACGCGTATGTGGTTTATCGAATTGCGCTGTCCCTCCATCTTGAAATTTTCCTGGGACTCTGGATGGTGATTCTGAACGAGTGTCTCAATTTACAGCTGGTCGTTTTCATCGCCATTTTTGCTGATATCGCAACTCTGGCCATCGCCTATGACAATGCTCCCTTCTCCAGAACACCTGTCAAGTGGAACTTGCCAAAACTCTGGGGTACATCCATTGTCCTGGGTGTCGTTCTGGCGATCGGTACCTGGATTACACTCACCACCATGTTGGCTGGCGGCGAGGACGGAGGAATCGTGCAGAATTTCGGGAAGCGTGATGAAGTTCTGTTCCTGGAGATTGCATTGACAGAAAACTGGCTGATCTTCATCACCCGTGCCAGCGGCCCGTTTTGGTCGTCAATTCCCTCCTGGCAGTTGACGGGGGCGATCTTGATAGTGGACCTTCTGGCAACCTTCTTCTGTCTCTTCGGGTGGTTTGATAATGGCAACACCTCCATCGTTGCTGTTGTCCGCGTTTGGGTCTTCTCCTTCGGCGTGTTCTGCGTTATGGGGGGCATCTACTACCTTTTGCAGGGTTCGAAGGGCTTCGACAACATTATGCACGGTAAAAGTCCTCGGAGTAGCAGCGTCAAACAGCGTTCCTTGGAAGATTTTGGTCAGTTGGCAATGTCTACCCCCGTTCTCACAGCAGCTAACATGGATGATATAGTTGTCTCATTGCAACGGGTGTCAACGCAGCATGAAAAGAATCCATAGACCGGTATTACAGCTGGGGTGGCAGTCCGTTGCTAAAGGGCCCGATTATTTGAATGTGTCCCTTCCCTCGAACCTCCAAGAGTGTCTTCAAATTTTGAGACCAGCTTCTTCTGACAACTTGAACTTTTCTGTCCTTTCTTCTTACGCTTAATAGGACTCAGTCAATCACGGCGCTTGTGTCCGCTCTTTATTGTCATTCTGCGTATATATTCTTGAGACTGCCCTTTCCACCTTCTCTTTGCCCTGTATGTTGTATTGCGCGTATGGCTTAGCTATGTGGTGTCTCGGCGGAGGGGATTTTACTTATGACTGTTATTGATCGACTTTGAAGTTGTTCTTTTTTCCGTTATTGGAATTAATTAAGGGGGCCAACAATGAGGGATAGGATCCAGTTCCCTAGCTAGGTATATGAAAGCCGTTTCCAGTTTCAGAGTCGTTTAATAATATTGAACAAGGAGCGCTGCGCATTTTAAACACATGCAGCGAGTGATTCCACATTATACAACATTCCAGACAGATGATTGAATAGTAACGAAAAGCTACAGGGCTGTTGATACTCAACTAAGTCGAGCTCGAAAATTATATCTAACTATGTCATTTATATTTATGATGCAATAAATAGTGTCTCACATATAAAGCAGAGAAGCAGATTTCATGCAGTAGAGTACAGTACTGCGCACTGTATCTTGTCGGCCTCCAGCCGGCACCTGGGATGTTTGTATAGTAAATCACACTCGCCAGGGACTGGGTCTCATATATTATACTAGTCACGGTCAGATCAACAAAAGAGACGGAAGTGAAACGAAGAATATCCCAAGAATATACACAGGTAAAGGGATTATGTAGGAATTGCGCAGGCGTAAGAGAGAGAAAGAGAGAGAAAAAAAAAAAAAAAAAAAAAAGGAAAGAGAGGGAGACGGAGAGGGGGATAAATGTGCAAAAGAAGGAATGCAATATACGTAGTATAATTATGGGTTTGAAGTCAAATAATCCACAGCCTATGGATATCCGGTTAGTTAGCGTACAAGAACATCCAGATAAGTGATCTAGAAAATGAACGGGACAAAACTCACCTTGTCAAGATTATAATCGAATTTTTCCAACGCATCGAGAGACTTGTCACGTGGGAAGCCCATGCCGGTCAACCGCTGAAGAATCAGATCGTCTTCTCCGTCCGCGGCGAGCGCCCATCCCGGTTCTCGAGGATCGGAAGCCGCAGGCTGAGCTGACTTGTCGTTTGAGGTTCCAGTCTCTGCTCCTGCAGATCCAGCAGCAGGAGACTTGGCGTTTTCTAACGGTGCAAATATGGCATCCCAATCATGCTCGACTGGCTTTGGATTTGCTGGCGCAGGAAATGCAGAAGGCGAGCCATTGGCGTTGTCATTAAAACCGAAGAAGCCCGACGGGGGTGCCTGACCAGAGTGAGAATTCAGAGTACCAGTTTTAGACTGTGGCGGCGAGTCAAATGAGAACTCAAAATCCGCGGGGTTTCCGTTGCTGTCACCTGATTCAGAATCCTTGTCATCATCTTCCGTCTCCTTCGCTGGAGCTAGATCAAGGCCAGCGAAGGCGGCCTCAAAATCGGGCGCAGTAGACTTCTTTGCATTGGAAGTGGCTCCATCATCTTTAAGGGTGTCATGTTGCGGTTCCCCATGAACGATTGGTGCACCGGTAGATGACTCCACAGAATGAGGTGCGTCAGGAGGGGCAGTAGGATCTGTACGACTTGGAAGAAGGCCACCGAACTCAGGTGGGAACCCCGCTTCCTGTTTTTGGTTACCCTCAGTATACTTAGGTGGGCTTGTCTGAGCATCTGCAGGAGGAGGCCGTTCCGTAGTCATCGCGTTGGGCATAGGAAATGCTGCCAACTGAGACTGGTCGATTGAATTGGCTCCAAGATCTCCCTGGACTCGTGGTGGGGAAACCGGTGTGAAGTTGTCATCGAACCCCATCGGTGCCTCACTGTCAGTGCTGTCGTCGTCGTCATTGTCTAGTTCCCGGATGGGAGGAAATTCAGTATCGGCTGCGGTTGCATTGCCATGGGGTTTGCCATTCGCTGGACCATGATCTATGGCGGCAAAAGCCTCATCGAAGTCTTTCGCTCTCTGAGACTGTGATCTTTCGCGCGCACGGTCGCCAAATAGTTCATCAAAGCTTGGGTCCTTTGCCTGGCCCTGCTTCTCATCACTGAGACTTGGGAAAGCCGACCCAGATTGGCTAGAAGTGGCGGCCGAGATCCCCGAGTCCGTTGTCTCCGATTTCCCTGCCTCGTGCAGCGGCTGCTGGGCAGTAGCACTTTCATGGCTAGGCTCCGTTCCACTGCTGGTGACCACCGGCGGCAAAGCTGCCGCAGTAAATGGCTGTTGAGTTGCCGCGCCACTTGCGGGCAGCGCAGCTACAGCCGAGGCAGCAACTGATTGAGATTCACCAAACGGAAGTGGTGTGATCTGCCTAGACTGTGCGAGTGATGCAGGTTCGGAAAAGGGCCCGGAACTAGCGGGAGGAGGCGACGTTGAGGGCGTTAGTACTCCAGGACTTACTGGAGACTTGGACCTAGACTGCTGCACCGACGGAGATGCAGAACGGAAAGAAATTGGGGGTGGGGGAGTTACACTGGCAGGTGGTGCAAACGCCGGGCCGAAGAGGTTGTCAAAAGCCGCCTGCTGGTCAGGCGAACTTGCTGGAGGCGAACCGTAGTCACTTGAGCTTGCAGTAACGGTCCGCCTGAAGAAAGGGTTCGTGTTCTGACTAGTGGTCGATGCAGCCGGGCTAGTAACAGCTGCCGGCGCCACAGCCTCTTCAGCTCTCTCATTTTCCTTCGAAATAGTGTCTATCTCGCTCTGAATCTTGTCTCGTTCGTCTTCCACCGTAGCTAGCTGCTTCTTGTTGATGGCAGCAAGACCCTTCTGCTGACGGGCATCGGAACGTGCCTTCTCGAGAGCCGGCTTCAACTGAGCAATTTCAGCGTTAACTTTGCGAATCTTCTCCTTAAGACCTGCGTTTTCCTGCTGGTCTGCAGCCAAAGCAGCTGACACTTGATTATACTGATTTTGTAAATCCTGTCTACTTCCATCAAGCAAGGCATACTCTTGCTGCAATTTGGTAGTTTCAGCTTTAGAAGCTTTGAGCCGCTCTTCCAAAGCCTTGAAATTCTTGACTTCCTGTTCATACATAGCTCTTGCTTGCGAAAGTCGGGTTTCAAAATCACGCTTCTGTTGGGAAGTCTGTGATAGTTCATGCTCGGCGGATGTTCGTTTCTCTTGGATGTTATGCATCTCCTTCGATAGAGAACCTATCTGGTTAGATAGATTTGCAAGATCCGCTGTATCCTGAGTAAGTTTCTTGGATTCTTCGGGATCATTGTCACCGAGCAGATCCTCTGAAGCCGAAGGAGCAGGTTTGGGAGCCGGGACGCTCTGTCCAGTGAGCTGCGGCTGCAAGCTCTGGCCAAAAGAGGAGGTAGGGACAAAGGGTTTGAAGTTCGAGGGCGGGCTATGTTGAGGTGCTCTTGTAGATGGCGACCCAGGGGGAGCAAATGGTGAATTCGAGCCCCCAGTAGACTGCGGCACCTGAGAGGGAGCTGCAGGTGCCGGTACAGGTGCCGTGAATGCATCAAGGCCAAAAAGGTCTTCCGCGGCGGAGTGTGGAGCTGGGGCAGGAGCAGAAACTGGGGCAGGTACTGCTGCTGGTGTCGATGGAACATTTACGGGTGGTCGACGGCGCATGCTTGGAGGGACCAATGCTGGCGGGATCGCCTGGGGCAGCGGCTCCTTACCAGAGCGCACTAGACGCACCAAATGCATGGCAACAGCGAATTCGTCTCTGCTCAATTGTCCGTCAGCATCGATATCAGCCAGGTCCCAGATTTGAGCTAGGGTCTCCTCGGGCAGCTGGGCATTCATGAAGAATGTGACAGCCTGATCGCCACTAAGGAACCCAGATTTAGCTGTATCGACGGTAGCGAAAATACTATCAAATTGGGTCTTTTCCTGAGGAGTGACAAGCCAGTCCCCGCCAGTCGACTGTGCAGAGAGCGGTGAGGAGAATTGCTGTCGATTGATAGGACTCTGCGTCCGCTGCGGCCCAGTGAACTGTTTTGGAATGGAAGGAAGAGTTGGAGCGCCAAAGCCAGACCGTGGGCTGCCTGGGGGCCGGAGTGAACCTCTTCGGCTGGCGGCCTCGTACAGCCCTGGAGGTAGGGTCTGGGGAATAACTCTCATCGCGCCTGACTTGTATGAAGTCAAGAGATGCATAGCAATGACGAACTCGGTGGCATCCAGAGCACCTCTCTGCTTGGTATCCGCCAGATTCCATATCCGGCCAAGGATTTCGTTGGGTAATCTCGCACGTTCGAATATGTGTTTTGCGACCTCACCTATGCGTATTTGCTCGTTAGCTAACACCAGGGCCGAGATGGGGCACTGAGTTTATACGCACCAGAAATAATACCGTTAGTCCCACCCGATTTCTCGAAAAGCGATGCAAATTTGACAACGTCGTCCGGGTTCAGGGGAGGAACCCGAACGGAGCCAGTCGCTCCTGGGGGAGGACTACCCGCGCCTGCATCAGAACGGGGAGCACTTGGGGGAATATCAACCGCGATTCCGTCAAATTTGGGAAAGGGGCCGGCTAGAGAGCAGAGCATCGTCAAAATTTTTCCCCGTAAGAGAATTTCCCATATTTAAAAAAAAGAAAAAAAGGGAAAATAAATGGAACACTCACGTTGCAACGCCAATTCTTCTGTAGGGACACGACCTACTTGAGCGTGTCCGATTAACCTCAGGACGACGCTGAACCCAGACGGGGTCAGGAGACCCCTATTCTCTTTGTCCGCAATCTGCCATATCTGCAGCAATCACATCAACCATTAGCTACTGTTCTATCTCATAATCCCAGTTATCCGGTCAACTATCTTCAGATTCGAAGGAGCTGAAAACGTACGAGTCCGAGGGTTTCCGGTGGAAGCTTCGTCTTCTCGAAGAACGGAACCGCAACCTCACCGGTGATGACACCGAGATTAGTCGTATCAGCGGCCTGGAAGAGCTGGTAGAAGACGCGCTTCTCCTCTGGAGTGAGATTTAGATTCGTATGTCGCGGTGCTATCAAAAGGAGCCAGGAAATGTCAGCACATCCATTCGTTCAGCGAGCGGCTTTACTTTCTGGGTAATGCGCGGGCAGCGGCAATTCAGCCATGGGCTCATGAGGATCAGCGACTTACCGCCGTCAGCGATGACCGACATGGTTAATGATAGTGCAGGAGGCGTCGACCTCCTTTCTCTATGCGGGTTCCTGGAATGTTGCAAGACGAGGAAGCGGGAGCTGTAGCTACCTAGCAGGAGATGCCACGGACATGGACGGGTCCAAGCGCTAGCTCCCGGATTACGGTGACGTGAGCAGGGGTGAACAACAGGGAAAGAGCAAAACAAGAACAACAAGCAAAGATGAGATGAAAAGACAGATGAGGAGGTCTGTTGTGTTGGAGAGCAACAAGAGGCAGTGGAGGTGATGGTGGTTTAATTGCGAGTTGGAAGGTTGAAGTTGGGAGTGTTTAGTTCGTCACCCGTATTACGAGGTAACACGGTACACTCCCAAGTGCTTCCGTCTATTCTTACAATTGTCACCACTGCATTCTTCTTTCTTTTCTTTACCCTGCTTTTTTCCCATCTGCTTCATGCAATATCAAGGTACTCCTTGCTGAGAGAAGTGAGGGTTGGCAGACCGGCGACTACACACTACCTATTCGGCCATTCTTACAGAGCAAGAATGCCAGTAAGAGTCACCATAATATAGGCGTGGACTTGAAACGAGTGGGAATTCATCAATTGTTTGGGGATATTAAAAGTGTATCGCGCAAAAAGAAACCACGCTGCTAAACCAAGCTGCCATATCTCCACACGGTTCAACTTTAAGCTACTCGTCCAACAGGCCCGCCTCCAATGCAAGAGAAAGGAATCGAGATATTAAAGGGTCAGTAACCCAGTTTGCCTTATTTCCAGTACCCAAACATATCAGCGCGGCTGCCTGTCTGGTCACAAGCTCCCAACTTAGTACTCAGCCTCAATCTCCTCTTCCAATGAGTCGCTTGCAACTTCCTCGTAATCACGCTCCAGAGCAGCCAAGTCTTCACGGGCCTCAGAGAATTCACCTTCCTCCATACCCTCACCGACGTACCAGTGAACGAAGGCGCGCTTGGAGTACATGAGGTCGAACTTGTGGTCGAGAGCGGACCAAGCCTCGGCGATGGCAGTGGTGTTGGACAACATGCAGCTGTAACATCGTCAGTACTGAGGCAAGAGAAAAACAAGGGGAACACTTACACAGCACGGTTGACTTTGGCAAGATCACCGTTGGGGACCTGCTGGGGAGGCTCGAAGCAGATACCAATCTTGAAACCGGTAGGACACCAGTCGACGAACTGAATAGTACGCTTCGTCTTGAGGGTAGCAACAGCGGCATGAGTGTCCTTGGGTACGACATCTCCGCGGTAGAGCAGGCAGGTAGCCATGTACTTGCCGTTACGAGGGTCACACCTGACCATCTGGTTGTTGGGCTCGAAGCAAGACATGGTGATCTCATTGACCGAGTTGGACTCGTGGGAGGCCTTGTCAGTAGAGACAACAGGGGCGTAGGCGGCAAGCGGGAAGTGAATACGAGGGTAAGGGACCAGGTTGGTCTGGAATTCGTTCAGATCAACGTTGAGAGATCCATCGAAACGCAGAGAGGCGGTGATAGACGAGACCACCTGGGCAATGAGACGGTTAAGGTTCTCATAGCTGGGGCGCTCGATTCCAAGGTTGCGGCGGCAGATGTCGTAGATGGCCTCGTTGTCGACCATGAAACTGCAGTCAGAGTGTTCCAGGGTAGTGTGGGTGGTCAAGATAGAGTTGTATGGTTCCACGACCGAAGTCGCATTAGTGGGAGCGGGGTAGACGCAGAATTCCAACTTGGACTTCTTGCCATAATCAACGGAGAGACGCTCCATCAAAAGGGCACCAAAACCAGAACCAGTACCACCACCGAACGAGTGGAAGACAAGGAAGCCCTGGAGACCAGAGCAATTGTCAGCCACCCGGCGTACCTTATCAAGAACCTGGTCGATCATCTCCTTTCCAACGGTGTAGTGACCGCGGGCATAGTTATTCGAGGCATCCTCCTTGCCAGTGATCATCTGCTCGGGGTGGAAGAGGCTGCGGTATGTGCCAGTGCGGACCTCATCGATAACATTGGGCTCGAGATCGCAGTAGATGGTTCGGGGGACATACTTTCCCTGACCTATATAACAGCAAGTCAGATGATGAGCGAAGGGGGGCAAAGAAAAGTCTGGACCATACCGGTTTCAGAGAAGAAAGTGCTGAATCCCTGGTCCGAGTCGGACTTCCTGCGTTCTTCAGTGAGGTAGCCGTCGGGCTAGATAAGGATGAAGCATTGGTGAGCTAAATGATTCCGGGCCAGAAAAAAGGGGGAGACTCCAGAGTATCGTGTTAAGGGGCCAAATTCCACATACCTGGATGCCATGCTCAAGGCAGTAGAGCTAGATAGAACGGGCATGTCAGTCACATTACAATCCTATTTAGATATCCTTTTCTTTTATTTTTGAACAATCGCCTCGAAATCAATGCGTACCTCCCAACAGGAGTTGGCGATCTGGCAACCGGCCTGACCAACTGTTCATCACAACCAAAAGTAAGAAACGGTCACAACGCGACGGTAATAATGAATAAGAAGGAGGAGGGAGAAACAAACCGTTCAAGCTGATGACTTCTCTCATTTTGTCGGGTTTAGGCGGACAGTTTCAGAAGTCAGATGGCAGGGGGGATTGGCGGAGTGAAAGAGATAGAACAGATAAAAAGTCCTAGAGGGGCAGACTAACGGTAGAATTGAGGTAAGGATACTACAGGGACTGACACCCTGAGAACAAGAACAACAAGCAACTATGCTTGAACGAAAGCTGGGAGGAGGAGGGAAGATGGCGGTTCACGGGTCAATCGTCAGGGAAAAAGAACAACAACGGTTTTGTTGTGCCCGTCCGGAGGATCTTAGCGTGTCCGCCCCGGTGGGTCTTGGCTCTGCTGGCAAGCCAGCCGCGCGCTCTGGTTGGTCCACAGCCGTTCCCACCTAGTCCCTCTCGGGAAAGGCTTCCCCGCTTCCGCCGCTGCTGATTGGTCATATCTGCGTCCCGTGACCACCATGAGTCGGTGAGTAAGTCACGTGTTGTATGTTGAGATATGGTCACGTGAGGAAACTCCTCCTGTTCACGATGACTTCATCTCTTAGTGGATGACAGCACGCGTCGACGTCCGCAGCGCGACTCCCACCCACCAGCACGACAGCCATGGTACCTAATGTGATCACCTAAAAGTCTCGTTTGCGCAGCATGTCTATTATCCCCCTTCTTCTATTTTCCGTCATTGCGCTTCTCTTCTGCGCTGCTGAGGCGAATGTAGAAAAGGTCGTCTTCATCGCACCGCCTCGTGTAGCAGTCCCTTCAGAAGAACCAGATCTGGATGACCTGGGCCTGGAAAGGTTATCCCCGGAGTCTCCTGTCATTCGGACGCAGTTGAACCCGTTGTTTCCGACCGATGATGCGCCTTTCGGAGCGGATTCTTGGTTTTTCTTAGAGAATCTCACACCGGGCAAACGCTACGAAGTCAGGGTTTGCTGGTTGGCGACGGTATGTATGGCTGGTCACCATTCCCCCTACTGTCCTGTCAAGCAGACTAAACGCTGAATGCTCAACCGTCTCCGCTAGCAACCAACCTCTTTTACCCTCTCAACGTATACAATCGGCAATACCCTTGAAGATCCGTCTCTCCTGGCCGCCATTAGTCGTTTCTCTTCATTCCGCCTTGCTTCTGTTGACCAGCTCCAAGCAAACACTGTTCTTCAAAAGACGAAAGCGGGAAAACATGATTCATCCGCTTCGGACCTTGCGCCGACTTCTGATTCGGCTCTCTTTCTGCGCATTTTCTCTGCCGCAGACTACTATTCTCTCGACACATCATTAATGGACAACGTACCGCCTATCCTGGTGGATATAATATTGGATCCGTTCCTGCTGAACGTTTTTCCCAGGTCACTCGTGCCAACGGCTTGCTGGATTACCGTCGTGGCCGCCATCGCGCTGCTTGTTGCTCGCTGGGTGACGATGCAGTTTCAAGGTGTCATCGTGGAAGCAGAAGCTGGTATGAGAAGAGATACCAACATCCAACAGAGTCTAACCATTAAATCGAAAGATGAAAAGAAAAGGAACTAACCACAGCAACGTGACAATCGGGAGTACTATACTTATATATATGGAGTACGCATGATCCTTTTAGACTTCCTATATATTGCACGTTCGCAAGAAAAGCCCTGTATAACTCATTCATTGTTCTAAAGAGCCGTGTCGTAGATGCTGTATATACTGTTAAGTTCAGTGCGTATGATCCTGTGTAAATAGAGAGCTGGCCTCCTGCTTTAAGTAGATGCTGCTTACACATATGCTTTCAGCCACGCTGGCCCCAGTAGGGAAACACCATCTTCGATAAGGAAACCCTTTTGTCCGGGCTGCTCCTGCAACAGTTTCAGGAGCAAAAATCGTTATCACGTGGTGGGGACACTCGAGGTCCGTCCATCAGAGCCCACGTCCATCTCACTAGGGATTCATTTCCCTTAATTCATCTTACCTTCAAGCACCGGGTCTTCTCTTGGAGCAGGTTCATGTTTACCCTACTGAGGACTGCGTATAGAATACACCGCAGATGTTGACTTGGAGTACCAAAACACGCACGATGTTGAGTCGGAATTACCTGTCAGCCACAGGTAGGTTAAACACCTCGTTTCAACCAAACTGGGTACACCAGTTGATGACAGCTGGAAACATCAGGCTTCGTTGCAGACTCGAATAAGGCTCAGAGAGCGATATATAGGGAGCAACTTCGATACCAATCATTCTTCATGAAGTAACCTTGGAAGGGTATGTATGAACCATTGTGTGCTTCACTGAATATAAGATACAAAAATGATTCATTAATAAAAAATAAAAAATCAGCAAAATACACTGGGGGGAAATAAATGTTACCATAGATAATCATTGCAAAGACCATGACTACCAGCAAGCACATCACAGACATCATGGGGAATTGCCAACATCCAGAGACTACCTAAGAAAGGCCCAGACAATTAAACGAGGATGACAAAATGAAGAAAAACAGATCGGATGCTCGTGAATACACAATGCAACGTCTACCAATTAGCAAGACTCAAAAAAAGAAACTTCTATCATCTTCGAGCCGACTTCAATCGAGTCGCGAGGACAGAGTTCATCAAAATCAATGGACAGATAACAGAAACATGCTGTGAGATGACAGCAAACTTCTGTCGGAAATGCATCAAGAAGGGTGAAGTGTATTTTCGTTGTCTCCTTGTTCCTCAACCGACATGGCTAGAAAATGAATTAGGAGCTCACTTCTGCCCAGCTCCGTGTTGCTCAAATTCGTTAATCCTCAAAGAAGTTAAGGATTGCCCGAATACCCTTGGAACCCAACCCGTGTGGCGGGTAGCAAATGAACAGTGGTTCATCGTGAGCACCAAGTTTCATCCGGAACTCGCTTTTGCGAACCAGATGGAACTGATTGGCAATGGTGTCATAGGTGCGCTGGAGTAGCCTAATTTTGGCTCCATGCAAATTCTGTCCTGGGGTAAGTTGAGTGGTAGCACCAGCTCCGAAGGTGAAGGACTTCACTCCTGACTTGGCAGCAGTTTGGATCGCATGGGTCAGAATATACTCGATGACGCCGTTGGGCGCGCCAGGGAAGTCGAGACTGTATTTTATCTGCATACCGTTTCTTGGTGCCAACATAACCAAGGCAACAAAAGCGCAGATCGTCCCGTTTTTATCAACGGCATAGAAATACTGGCGGTGCTTGTAGTCCCTCCAGGGAGCAATATCAGACAGATGGATCTGGGTGCCCTTGCGGTTCCCGAGCCAGTCCTGGATGCGCTTGTCAATCTTCTGACGGATATCCTCTTCCACCATCTCGCCGGGCTGCAGGGAGACAATCTTAACGCCCTCGGCCTCAGCGTGTCGAATCTTGCGACCGATCTCGCCATCAGACGCGGCTTGATTGCGCGAAGGATCGACACGTTCCTCGGATATGCAGGATAAACTGCGCCAGCCATACTTTTCACCGAGCAGGTTCTGGACGTCACTAGAACAGAGGATCCAGATTGGCTTGTACTTGGTCTCGCGTCGTAACCACTGCAAGAACTGATTGATGGTATGGTTGTACTGGGTAGGATCGCAGAGAGGATTTCCCGGGACCATAATATAGTTGTTGGAACTAGGGACATAAGCAACCGCCGCGCCAGTGGTCATGTCTCGCCAGATCTTGAAGCGGTCGTCACCCCATGACGTGGAGGACGAGTCGCCGTAATTGGCAATGAGTTCCTCAAGGGGTTGCAGCTGGCTCTGATCGGACGCCTTGAACTCCTTCTTCTCGCGTTGCCACGGAGGGCTAAGGGTGGACGAGTCGGGATGCCGTAGCTGCAGAACGGCTGGCTTAGCTGGGAAGCTCTTGGGGTCGCGATGGAACATAGATGCCAGGCGGATGTTGCCCACTCTGAGCATGAGCATAAGAAGGCGCTCTAATCCAATTCCGGCACCAGCATGGGGTGGTGCTGCCCAACGGAAGCCTTCCAGATAGTCGCTCATATCCTCTGCTTTGATGCCCGCTTTGCGCATATTCGCCTCCAGCATGGCTGGGTCGTGAATACGTTGACCGCCAGAGACAATTTCCTGACCGCGGACGAAAATGTCAAACGAGTTCGTGAACCGAGGATCCTCCGGATCTGGCATGGTATAAAAGGGACGGGCATCTACGGGGAACTTGTCGAGAATATAATAGTCGGTGCCATATTTCTCCTTGACTAGCTCACCTAAGCGGATCTCGTCTCGCGTGTGGAGATCCTCATCATCGTGAAGCAGATTACCGTCTTCATCGCGCCAGCCGGAGTCGTTGAGCATCTTAATGCCATCGGAGAACCGGATGACCGGTGTCTCTTCCAGCCAAACTACGTCCTCAGAGGGGAACTGCTGCTTGATGATCTCAATCTCGCGACGATTGCGCTCATAAACCCCCTTGAAGATATTCTTGATGGTCGCGTCGATGACTTCGAGCGTCTCGTGATAGTGTTCTTGAATCTGCATCTCGATATCCAGGCCAGTGTATTCGGTTAGATGGCGGTGGGTGTTGGAATTTTCTGCACGGAAGACAGCACCAATTTCATATACGCGTCCGAAGTCAGAGGCGATGGCCATCTGTTTTGCCAACTGAGGGCTCTGAGCCAGGAAGGCATCACGGCCGAAATAGTTGACCTGGAAGACGCTAGCGCCAGATTCAGTGGCGGAGCCCTGCAGCTTGGGTGTGTGGATTTCGATGAAGCCGCGGTCGTCAAGGGCGGAGCGGAACAGGTTACAGACGGAAGATTGAATCCGGAATATAGATTGGGATGTAGGAGTGCGCAGGTCGATGATGCGGTTTACGAGGCGGGTGCGGTCCGGGATGTGACTATGACGACCTTCGATGTTGTCCTCGTCCGTGGCAACGACCTCGGCCTCGTAAACGCTGAAAGGCACAGGGTCCTCACGTCTGACCACAACGTGGAATTCCTGGATGTCTAATTCTATATCATGGAGTGTGCAGCTCTGAACAGGTACTTGCGGGGACTGAACGATACCGCGAACGCGAACAACACAACCAGTACGGAGATGCTCTGCCCACTGGATCATTGCTGTTGAGATAACACCAGGCTTCTCATGCAGGACACCCTGGAAGGTATCAATCTGTTGACGGAAGACAAAGAATACGAGCTTCGCACTCATACGGCGAACAGTGTGCAGACGCCCTGTAAGAATGATTTCTTTGCCAACGCTGGCAGCGGAAAGTTCAGTGAGGGAGACTTCATGTTCGTGCTTGCGCTCGTGAGATTGGACAAGTGGAAGATCGCCATAGCGCGCCTTCATCTCATCCGTTTCTGAATCATCGGCCCTGCTACGTTTCTCCGACTCGGAGCGGTGCTCCTCGCTGAGGCGACTCCGCGCTTGACGGCGCTGCTGACGAGCTAAGCGCTTCTGCTGGTTTTTGCTAAGGGTCCCAGTGGACGAGGAGTCATCCGAAAAGTCATCGGAAGAAGAAATATAACCGCGCTCGCGCAGGAAGTTGCTGAGCATCCGGCGATGGGAGCGGAAGTTTTGCGACGAATCGCTTGGAGTCCCAGGCTCATCATCTTTGGTCTTCCTGATCTTTGACAGAGCACGCTTGATCGACATTCTGCGAAAAAGGCTCCTGGCAGGAGAACAACAATTAGGCACAGAGTTTCAAGGGGAAGGAAAAGAGAGGAGCACTCATCAAAACGCACATGTGTACGCTGGACACTCCACTCCCAGTTGCGAAATAACGCTACCTTTTTTTGTTTTTGCCGTGCTCTCTCCCTTTTCTTTTCTTTTCTTTTCGTTTCTTTTCTTTTTTTTTAGAGAAGGAAAACTCTCTTTCAGAGGCAATCGGGAGTCGACATCAGGCGAAGGGATGCAGAACAGGTTTGGCCACAGTGAGCTGAGAGCTTTGCAGAGGATGATAAGAATATCCGACAGGAATGCGGAGGGACAAGAACAAGCCAGATTCAATCAGACGTTAATAACATAATTCTATTCGGAAATTCGGAGAGAACCAGAGCCAGCCGCCGGCTTTTCTCAGTCTGCAGCGCCGTGACATCACCACTCCCACCTTCAGGGGCCACATTGAAACAGATCGGCAGCGGTTTTTGCTGGATTCTTCCTGTCATCTCCGACTCCGAACAGGAGCTGCTGACTCACTGCCAATCTATGAGGCCTGAAGGTACGCTGGAATCGTCTATCTACGCCATGTTGCTTGGCGCCAATGGTTGTTAACTGTGTTCCTAGCCACCTGCACTAGACACCATAATGTGCAGCAGCTAGCGACTCGCACGACTCGCAAGATTTCTTAGCCGCATCGAATGGGCTCGAGCATGTCTTCTGATGATGGGAAGCGGCATTGTTCCCGTTCATAATAAGATCATTATTATAATTCTTCTTGTCTTTCAGCGTGATACGGAAATTCCTTGCTGCCCCCTGCTCTCTCTCCATTCTTAATCCTTTTGACGCCGTCAGATTTAATTGTCGCGGCACTAGCCAATAATTAATATCCCTAGACGCCCTGGTAAGTCCAATCATAATATTTATCACTACGTGTATGGTGCTATTCCGGCGGAGTCCAATCGCTCGCACTGTTTAGTCGATTTGCTTATGCTGCGACGGTCTTCCTTTGCTGACCATAATGCCAGTAATGCTTTAGTTGGCGAGTTCATTGTTTCCAGGCAGACAAAAAAGCACAGCTGTACGACATCGATGGCTTCTCGCTGGCTGCTGTACATCCAGGCCCTTTTCTGGCGCGCCCTGATGCGCGTGGGCATGTTCTTCCACACCATAGCAGCACCTTATCCACCCAAACCCTCCTTCACACGCTCCATCCCGTTCGAGGACCACCTTCACAAAGTCGTCTTGCATTTCTACTGTCCTGATACTTATATTGAACGCAAAAAAGAGGGCCACCTGTCTCCCGTGGTAGTTAATTTCCATGGAGGAGGATTCACCCTGGGCAGTGCGACCGATGACAGTCGCTGGGCACAATGCGTTCTGCAAGAGGTGGGCGCTGTCGTGGTCAGTGTCAGCTATCGACGGGCTCCCGAGCATCCTTTCCCCGCTGCTGTCGATGATGGAGTCGAAGCTCTGCTATATTTGACCTCGCATGCTACTGAATTGGGATTGGACATGTCGCGCGTTGTCCTCAGCGGTTTTTCGGCCGGCGGTAACCTTGCTGTCACCGTTCCCTTACGGCTACGGAGCATCCGTCCTGGCTGCTGTGGATCGAGCCATCTTGACTTACTGGATCGCGCCTACTCATCCAACACCCTGGTAGATGAGATGATGGGCGACCTGCGCATTGTGGCCATATTCTGCTGGTATCCCATTCTTGACTTTCAGGAATCTCGAGAGGTTCGTCGCGCGGGCAGTATCATGCCTAGCAAGACACTCCCTGCCATTCTTACAAATCTCTTCGATGACTCGTATCTTCCCGACGAGGCTTCACGCGCATCGCCCTATGCCTCCCCAGCTCGCGCGTCTGATGAGCTTCTTGCCGACGGTCTCCCGCACCATGTCTTTCTCTACGTCTGCGAATGGGATATGCTCCTCAAGGAAGGGCAGGTCTTCGTCCGACGACTGCAGAATCTTGGGAAACATGTTCGTTCTATGATGATCGAGAAAGTGAGGCACGCGTGGGACAAGTCCCCAAATCCATTTCGCGATCAAGGACAAGTCAGCGTGCTTTATCGGGACGCGTGCGCCGATATGAAGGCTATTTTCTCCGAGTAATGACTTATATTACATCCTCTTGCATTCCTCTATATCGCTCCTCGGTTCTAGTCTACAGTTACATCCTATCTCCTTTTTCCTCTTCGCTCATTGACGCGCATACTGCACCCGCACACACACACACGCTCTCTCTCTCTCCTTCCCTCCCTCATTCCCCATTTTATCCTCACTCCCTCTATCTTACGAGACAGTTTCTCTTTAGCGTGGCGATTTCGACTTCGTTAACCAGTTGAACTCAGCGTCTACATTTAGCGGTTTTGGTTCCGACATTGGCCTTTTTCGGAGTCCCTTCTTTCGTTTTGCCTTGCTCTTCATCCTGCTATCATCGCTTGGGAATTCTGGTGTTCAAGGTGTTTCGTTTACACGCGATAGAGATGGGCTGCTTGTTTCCTTTTTATTTATTTTTTTTTTTTTTTCAGTCATTGATATATCCATAAAACCTGTTGACGCCGAATAGAGAATAAAGAAGATATACATATATACTTGATTTTCTACAGCCTGGGCAGAAAGACCCTAGATTGTATTCAGCAGCGAGACTTTCCATTTGTATAGCCTGTACTAGGGTTCGTGACAGGGAACAGCCAAAAGGATCCAAGTTTTCCGCAATCTCAGATGACAGATTCGAAGAGACCTCTTCCGACTGAAGCATGAACAACCCCCCAGGGAGAAATTCTACTTCGATTGAATGGCCCCGAACATGTCTAGAAATCGCCGCCTTGATTTCTGCCTCCAAATTCTTGATCACAGTCTTGAATCGAAGTCGAATGTTCTCCGTTTAGTGTTGGTCGCTCTGCACAGAAAGCCCGCCCAACCATTGTTGTGCATATTGATCCAATGGCTTGTGCCAACTAGTCAAGCCACAGGTTGAGCAAAGTTGTTGACCGCTATGGATCAGAGCTGTCCAGATACTTTTCGAAGCTTATTTCATCTTCAGACCCCATCTCTTCTAGCTGGAAGTATCAGACATATTCACTGTGGTTTCGCCAGGACGCATCAGTCAGCTTCTGCGTATTATGCATAATGACATAATACACAGATCCTGGGGCGTGCAGCCAAGTGTAAGGACGGAAAAAGCTATAAAGAAAAAAAAAGAAAGGTTCGCGGGCTGCATCCAAAAAGGGAATGTCACAGTGAATATAGAATAGACATCATTTACATTCGCTATCTCAACAGATTCTTGTACATGACATTCAGAAACAGAACATGAAACCTCTCGAGACAAAAACATCAAGAAATAGAGACACCCGTTCGCCACGCTAAGACGCTTCCAGTCATCGAAAGAAAGAAACTTAAATAGACCCCAGCTTTTTGTCTCTCGGAGACAGACTGTAAACGAAATGAGAAACACTTGGGGTATTATGTGAAATGAACAAGAAAGGAAAAGGATAGATGGGGGGGGGAAGAAAATAGAAGTTAGATGACCCCGAAGCGAGACAAATAAAGAATAGAAAAGAAGAACAAAACGAAACGAAAACGTCCGTAACTTGAAAGGCTAGTCTTCATCGGACCCTGTCACATCGTACTCATCCAGACTTTCGTCATCAGCGTCACTGTCTGTATCAGTATCCGACTCATCGTCTCGGTCATCCATGCCTGGAATCCCCCGCCATTCGACATAATCGCCTTCCAGCCAACGCCGACTGCGCGGCAACTGGTACGGATCGAATGGGAAGTACGCGTCGAGCTGGTATCCCAGATCGTCACCGGCTCGGATCTCCCGCTCAACATGGCTGTAGCGGGGATCTGCCATGGCAGACAAACTCCGGAAGGAGGAGATGCGGAGACGCTTATTTGTCTCCAGGAGTGGGAATACATACAGCAGGCGCAGGTGGTGGGCGATACGTGCGAATTCGGACACGATAGCCGGTGAGCAGACTTTAAGTGGGTTGAGCTTGGAGTAAATCGCCTTGTGGAGGACTTCTTTGATAGGCGGAGGGAAGGTAACATCTTCTGGGTCGAGTTCATCAAGTTGGCTATCGCTCTCACCATCATATGCCGCAGTTGTCAGGTCACGCCAACGGAAGCAGAAAATGTACAACAGAGCCTGGGCTGCTGAGTAGAATGCGCCATATCTGCGGAGGTCAGGGCCACGGCAGTTGACTTCATAGTCGGCCCGCATGTTTCCCAGATGTGTTCCCAGCAAGTCAAAGACATCACGGACGACCTCCCCAGAAACATGAGCGCCTCGGGCAACGAAGCTAGCAAGGTATGCCGCCGCAGACTGACGCATAACGCCCGGCTGCAGCTTGTTCATGATAAGTTGAACGCAAGTGGTGGCAAAACGATCGACCAAAACCGGAGAAGACTGCGAGAAATGGAACAGAAGGAATTGAGAATGGCGAGAGCGGTATGTAGGGAGAATGATGCTCTGAAAGTGACTCAGAAGAAGATCCAATGCATTTTCCTGATCATCCAAGCTACCCGAGATGAACGGCGGCGCATAGAATTCGAAAAGAGCATCAATCATGCCATCAATTTTGCAGATGTTATCCTTGATTGTCTTAATGCGCTGAGACTCAGCATCCAGAGACTCATGGCTGGCGACCGACTCATTGTCATCGGCATCCTCATCGTCAAGTTCGTCATCTTCAGGAGACACATCTTCCACGAGATCTTCGCCCACCTCGTCCTCGAAATCCTCCATGTCGACCTGGATCTGGACATCGATCTTGACCAGCTTCTCGGTAATAAGTGCCAGTACGTCCGCCTGCAACTCGGGAGTGTAACCGATGACCCGAATGAGGTTGCGCGTGTATGCAATATTTGCTTTGGCTGAATCCGTGTCGAAAGGAAACTGTGCCGCCAGAATCGGAGACAACGCCCCGCTCCCAGCAGGAATTAACTGCAAGACATGGCGTAAAGCCATATGAACTCTAGTATAGATCTCCGACACATGAACGATAGGGTACCCGGGAATCTTGCCCGTGCCCTTCGGCACTTCACCCAGATAACTGACCAGCATCCGCAATACCACACTGAGATACATCCCCTGAGCCGCTGCCAAATTGCCCAAAAATCGAATGTACAGCTTCACATACGACTCGTCACGGCCAAGCCATTCACTGCCCAACACCGCGTTGACCAGCCCACTGCAGGAACGATCGAGCGCAGCGACATTTGACAGCAAGCCCATGAGGTGGTACTTCAATGTTGTACGAGTGGGTACTCCATATGGAAACAGTCCATCATTGTCCCGGTGCCTGGGATCCGCAGAGAAGATCTCCTTGACTCGGTCGTAAGCCTCACTGTCCGAAGCCGAGACATGTCGCTGGATAGCTCTGCGCACTTCTTCCCTGATTACAGCCGCGCTCTTCTCTGGTCGGTTTTCATCATTATATCTCTCATGCACTTCCACCTCCGACTGAAACTGCACTCGAGCGCGCTTCTTCGGACTCGGACACATGTCGCTCGGATCTGAGGGGATCGACGAAGACGGAGACAAGCTGAGGTCCATGGATGTTATATTTCGCTTCGTTTGTACGTTCGTGGTAGCCAGCTTTGGTTTTTTCAAGATTGGTATGGGTGGAACCGTAGTCTTTGATGGCTTGGAAGTCAGCGGAGCGACCATCGCGCTACGCGACGCTGTGGCAAATGAAACCATATCAAATAGGGGAAATCAGATAATATCAATACAATAATCCAGCGGCATCTATCTGGAATAATTGAAATCGTTCTTCATTGGATAGTCGACGCTTGCGACTGAGTTACGACGACGGCGGTTGACCTCACGTGGTGTAGAATAACCCGTGGTGACGGAACAAATAAGGATATATATGGGGGATGCTTCTTCTGTCTGCACCTGGGAACACTTGAATGGCAGATGCTCTCGGGCAACGAGACAGCAACTGGATGCAGACAGAAGAGCGCTGGGCTGAGGGAGAGCCGGCGTGGAGAGAAAAAAAAAAAGGCGTTAGTGGAACTTGAAAGTATCAGGCAGACTTTGTGGGACCGCGTCATGCAGCCTCAGGCATCGACAAACAGACGCGTGACAGTATGTACCCTAAGCTGATTATATTTCCCAATCTGGTTAGGTCAATGTTCACCAATCAGTGCATATCCTTCCTATCTTGGACTAGCCTCAGGTTGCATGTACCGAGGTTCTTTCTATATATATATACTTTCATCGTCCATGCAAGCCCCCTTCACTGACTTCACTTGTCCGATACCCCTAGTTGTTGCGGATATAATCAAAAATGGCAGGAAGCAAGGACATCACTATCACTCTCTACTGGTACATTGAATTTAATGTCCATATTCATTAACAGTCGTGGTTCTGACATATATGTATACGACAGGCTCAACGACTCCCGCGCCCAAAACATCGTGTGGCTCCTCGAGTCTCTCCGGTTACCCTACCAAATAAAGGCCTTCAAGCGTATGCCTTCTGGTCTTGCACCTCCAGAGATGAAAGATATCCACCCCCTCGGCAAGTCGCCTGTGGTTTCCATCGAGTGGCCCGGATCAGGGAAGCCATTGGTGCTAGCCGAGTCGGGGAATATCATCGAGTACCTCATCGACCACTTCGGGGGCGTCGAGAAGGGCCTCGTCCCGCAACGGTACGCGCGAGATGAGAACGGCCAAGACACGGAGACGGAGTCTTGGTTGCGGTATCGCTTTTTCATGCATTACTCGGAGGGGAGCCTCATGCCCAATTTGGTGCTTCAGTTGATTCTGGAACGTAGGTGTTTCCTCTTGATGATTTCTTGCTGATACTGAACGACTATATACATGTACAATGCATATGTGGTTTTCTCTCTTTCTTCTTTCTCCAAGACAGCCATAATTAACCATATCAATCATTCTTCAAAAAAAAACAGGCATCCGAAACCCTCCAGTTCCATTCTTCATCAAACCCCTCACCAGGCTGGTGGCCAATGCCGTCCAGACTTCCTTCCTAGACAAGCAGTTTGCTGTCCATTTCCCATTCCTGGAGGACCAGCTCAAAACCGCCCCTGGCGTGGACTCGAGCAATGGACACAGAACCGGTGGCCTTTGCGGTAAGGATTTCACCGCTGCCGATATGCTTATTAGTTTCGGGGTCATTGCTGCGACCGATGCCGGGTTGATTACCGAGTACAAGTTCCCGGAGATCGTGGCGTATACCCGACGCATTAAAGAGAATGAAGCGTACAAAAGGGGTCTTGCTAGGGTTGCGGATATTGAGAGTGGAAAGGTTACTGCTTCTTTATGAGTAGGTCACCTGCCTGGGCCGTGTTATTCTTGGTCCTTTCTCTGGGTGTCGAGTTGCAGTATGACTCGATGCGAACGAAGCCAAAACAAGATACCGCTGCGCCTTAAGGAGATCATATATGGAAGGATTCAGTTTTAGTCCAGAGATAAGTCTCTTCATGTAGTGAAATGTCAGGGTAAAATCAATCTAATACCATAAAACCAAGCCTGGCCAACGAAAGGAAGAAGAAAGGGATAATAAATAAATATACCGGAGAATGAAAATAAAAGAAAAATACCCGCCCAAGCCATCCATCCAATTTACTCCTCCCAACGCATGACAGTTTACCCTGACATAACCTATTGATCCGGATTGTCCAAGCCGGAAGACAAAACCAAAAAAAAAAAAAAAAAGAGGAACAGATGGAGACAAGGAAAGCGTCTCCAGTGGTATAGATGTAAGAGCAAACGTCGTACTCAGATAAGGAGAGAATATAGTCGGTCATTACAGTGGTCCCACAAGCAGGGAGGGGAATATCCAGTTCTCCTCTCCATGCGTGGCTCCGGAGTCGTCAAGACAATCCGTAATAGGAATTTTTAGGTCTCTGGGTATTTTATACCCAGGCCGCAACGGGAATAGGGCCAGCGTAATCGTCATCAAGCATACTGTGGTACAGATCTTCAATCTCGGCAAGATACTCCTCCGCCGAGAACCTATGAAGTCCCTTGAGTTGAAATATTACTTCTTCTTCGTCGAGCAAATGACCACCGCCGAATTCTTCTGCAATCTCCCGAACCTGTTCGAGTTCTCTCCCGAAGGGGTGTGGTTCAAAACCACTAATATCCTGGATGGATCGCATCGAGGGACTGTCGCTGATCGTGTTGAGAGGCGGAGGGGTCATTGCCTTCATGGAGCGCTGGCGAGAGAGCTCCTGGTGTGATCGTTTTGTATGCGAGAGCGCGCGCTTCGGAATGCTTGGTGTATGATCGTGGACTCGCGTGGTCGACGGCTTGACCGGGTCTGCCAGAGTGTATGATCGCTTGGGAAGGGGAATCGGCATAGATTTTGGATCAATAGGTGACCCCTCACGAGAGGATGAACCGGGAGACGTGATTGGGGATGCGGCGGAAAGAGCTGATTCAGACATGTCTGAATCGTCGCGGAATCTCATCGATGAGGCCGAGGACGAGGAAGTCGCAGAGCGCAGCTCGGGGGCATCGAAGGCCAGCATGTTAGTAGTCGAAATCAGCTGTATAGGCGCAGAGATCTTCCCGCGTTTGATGGTACCCGCACTAAACTTGGCATGTCCTTCATGGTAGGGCATGGGTGCCGATACCTCAGGCCGTTTGTTGCGCCTGGTGAATGCTCGGGTGATGCCCGCCATGGTGATAGTTATTTCAAGGGGGTGAATGATCAGATAATTTGGATGTGAAGAAGCTGCAATTTCATTTATTTCTGTCTGCGAGAGCGGCCTCTTTCTCGTTTCTTCCTTCCGACAAAAAAATGTACCGAGAAAAGTATAGCACTAGCAACCACTGCTCAAGGTACCGTGCACGCCGTAATGGTTGGAAATGTGGATCAAAGGGAGTGAGGAACTTGAGCCAGATTTGCGCAGCAAAAATGGACTTGTGTCGACGAACAGTTTGCCCTGAGAGGCGACTCAGGGATACTGGTCGGTGAGTGTATTCAGGAGAAAGGAGCGGACAACCAGGACGCGCTGAGGACAATAGAACTGGAAGGGCCCAAGACCGCGGACGCAAGGGCAACAAATGAAGGAAACGAAGGGATAGCAAACAGAAGGAAGGAAGCCGTGCAGGGAAAAGGCAAAAAAGGAAAACGAAAAGAAAAGAAAAGACGATAAGAGGCCAGTGCCGTGGGGGAGAGAAAACAGCGAAGACAGCGAAGAGAACCGCGGGCGGCGCCGAGTGCCTCAAGAGGAGGCCCAGCGCTTATGCAGGTCGGCTGAAACATCACTTGCTGAACCGTCTCCTGTCTCCGCCCGTGCCTTCAAGGAACAAACGCCTCTATGCCAATCATCCCCTGTTCGCCTTTGTCCGGCGGAGACACCGACAGCGTATCTGCTGCAGCAACCACGGTTCCATTCCGCTTTGTGCATGGGCGCATACGGTGCCATTATCCATACACACACAGTCTTCTGCTGGCCAGCCCTGAACAAGCCCTGAGCAAGCGATGAAACCACCGTTTGTCTGCCAATCACTTTTAATTTCAAGCCATCTCGCTGTGACAGTGGTGCGTGCCACCGTTGGGTAGCACCGCCAGTCAAAGTTTATTCTGAGCAGTTGGCACTTGGCAGATGCCGTTATTCCAGCTGTTGACTCTGTTTATCTGCTGTTTTTTTGTTAGCTGTCAATGTGGTACGGTGGACAGTGGACACGCATGCCAACACACAATCCTGGACCACGCCACGCCGTGAGCGATGATGCTTCTCGCCTTTGCAGGGCGAACCAAGGATGAAGCAATCAAAGTTTCGCCTTGATTGGGCTGCCACGTGACGTTCTAGACGACTGTCATGTGACTGTCCGGAGTCCGCCCGGGGTTTTCTTGGTTTCCTCAATGCTACATAAAGTTATTATTGATTATATTGGTTGATTTGCTGCATGTACTCCGTAGCTGTTGAATCAATGATGAGTTGGAGATAATCGGTTACAGTTGCACTAGTTGCACTTACACTGGCATCAGGACGGAAACACAAAGCTAGATAGATAGGTATGAAACAACCGGGTATCTCGATACGTCCCATTGCCTGTATTTGAAACCTTACATGTCTATGCCGATCCAACTTTTGTCACTGCATCCCTTCAATCCTCGTCCATGGACTCCCACCCGTCTGCACCTTGCTCCACGGGCCCTGCCTGGCCGCTTTCCTCCCCCTCATCCTCCGAATCGTCATCGTCAGCAGCGACTCCGACCGTTCGTTCCTTCACTTCGCCCTCCAGTGCAGGCAACCGATTCACAAAGGCACGTCGCACCGACGCATTGGTTGACGTATCCCAAACCTGAACCGCTCCTTTGCTGCCGGCAACCGCCAGGCGGAAGCCCACCTCCGGGTCCGGAGCGAAGCTGGTCGAGAACACCTTACCTACTTCCAACTTACGCGAAACGACCAGACTAGGCCTGTCGTCCTGAATGTTCCAGAGCTTAACTTGCTTGTCGGTGGATCCGGTCACTAGGAAACCGGGGATACTACCGTGGACGTCAAACGAGGAAACGGACGAATCGTGAGCCTGCAGAGTCCATACGGGTTTCGACTCCTGTGGGCTGGCAGGCACGTTTCGGACGTCGTAGCGGTAGACGATCCCACTATCCGTCGTAACATAGAAGTAGTTAGGATCATGGGGGTCCCATCGTACATTTTCGACATCGGCATCGACACCCCATCGTGCCTTGGCATCGGGCGCTCTCATGTCGGCTGCGACCACCGTACGGTCATAACTGCCACTGAGTAGAACGGTGGATTCCTTCGGATGCCAGTCCAGGGAGCAGACCTTGTCCGTGTGGTTCGAGTACGATTTGGCGCACTTGGTGGTATTGAGATCCCACAGCTTGACTGTTTTGTCGGCTGAGGATGAGGCCAGAAGGTTTCGATGCTGTCGGTTGGCGGCCAATGCGAGCACAGAATCAACGTGGTAGTGGTCGTTGGGTTTGGAGCGCTTCTTCTTCTTGGACTTCTTTGCGCCGCCGCTCGCCTCGTCCTCCCCACCTTGTCCCAGGATAGCATTGGGGTACATGCAGTCCACGATATCGAGATCCCAGATCTCAATATCCGGCTCCATCGTCCCCACGGCCACAAAGTTGCCCGTCGTGCGGCCCTCGGTATTCTTCCCAACAGGAATATCCAGCCATTCCAGACAGAGAGGGATGGCAGGTAGCATGATATCATGGTGCACGTATAGGTTGTCGGCTTCATCCTCGTAAACGTAGACCTCGAGGTGCGCGACCTCATCCTCCACCTTACCGGTGAGAAGTAGGTTATCTGTAGGCATGATCTGTAATTCTTCTCTTTCCTCCTCTTCGTCCTCGTCTTCGGGAATTACAAGGTACGGATCCTCTTCATGGGGCTGATGATACGCCAACGATTTGACATTTCCGAACATTGTAATCTTCTCGCCATCCTCATCCACCTCGTCGCTATCATAATGGTCAAGATTGTATTCTTTAAGGTCGTCATCATCGTTGTCACTTTTCAATTGAATAAGTTAGTTCCGTCGATCTGTAATAAAAAAACATATAAAAAGAGAGAGAGAGAGAGAGAGAGCTCACTCTGCTTTTTTCGAATCACCAGTCTCCGTTTCCTTCTTAGTATCCTCCTCCATAGCATCTTCACCTTCACCCATAGCCTCATCATGATCAGCACTAGCATCCTTCTCCTCCTTGGCAGCCTGTAAATCCTCCCTGGCACCCTCGAGTTGAATCCGAGCCAATTTCGATATGCGATCCATCTCCTCTTCATCAATTTCATACTTCGTGGGGAACTGAGCAGCGACACCCCGTCGCACCCAGGCTGTGGTGGTGATCATGGACATCTTGTTTGTTTTCTCTTAACAGAGAAAAGAATATATATTAACCTAAAGTGTCCAGATCAGGAGAATATCAAATTTATAGATATTCTTTCCTGGATTTGTTAAATAGAAAATCTCCGTAACAACCGTAACAATATTTTAAAAAATGTTGCGCTTCCGCCCGGCAGAATAAATCTGACCGCCTTCTCGGGTCGTTGGAATGGATCATACGGCGTTGATCCGACTCCGAACATCTTCCTCGATTAACATCCAGTTTGACAGAGAAGACAAGACGAGACATACGAATCATTTTCCTTCATTGAGGGAGAAGAACTGGAATTGAACTTGAAAGAGCAGAGTAAAGGGGCATAAGCAACCCAAGAAACCAAATCAAAATGCATTCCCACCTCCACACACCCTACAACGCAAGTATGTTCACGTCATTCAATTCAATTCGACTTGATTCGATTCGATTGCTTCAGCTGTTTTTATGATATGCTCTTTCAGGAGATAGTGACTAACAAATAATCCATTCAGACTGCGAAGATATCATGAACGCCCTCGACGAATGCCACGCAAGAGGCTTCCTCTACAAAGTTATGGGCAACTGCAATGAAACAAAACGTCAAGTGAACAAATGTCTAGCCGCGGAGCGCTACGCAAGAGCCAAGCGGAATCGGGAAGATGCCAAGGAGAACAGAAAGAGAATTGAGCAGATCTGGGCTAAGGAGAGGGAATTGGAAAAGGGGGAGGCGCAGGCGTGAAAAAGGTTCAAAGTTTGAATTATTTTTTTGTTACCTTTTTGTTCTTGGAGTTTGTTTGGATGGAATTGGATTATGAAAAATTTACTTAAATCTGCGTGTATAGGTATAGTATAGGCATAGCTGGGAGAGATCGGGGTCTTCGCTCCTTTGTACAACACTGTATTATTGAACTGTCTAGCCTCCTAGTACCGTAGAAGCATATATGACTGCACGCTTACTGAAAAGTCTACTTCTGCACTTAGGAACTCATGCTGTAGCAATGATAAACCAGACTTTTGAGAAGCTCCCAACCAACGCCATACAGATATGCGTATCAGTAGAAAGAAACAAGACAAGGGAAACGCCAATTAGACGCGAATCATTCTGCATCCGCGACACCCGCCTCTCCATCAGCAGCAGCAGCATCCCCTTCTCGCCTGGCACTCTTGTGATGGCGTCTCTTCCTTTTAGGCTTGACGGCCGCCGAAGCCGAATCCCCATTCTCCCCTCCAGTAACCTCAACCCCTTGCGTATCAACATTCATCTCTCCACCGTCATGTCTCTCCCAGTGTTCCTGTTCCTTCACGGAGGAGGTTTTCGCAGGCCCAGACGGCCCATCCCTCTTCTTGGGCTTCTTCACACTCAACGGATTCGGTCCCTTAGCCTTCTTCAACCCCTTCCGCTTCTTCTTTCCTTCCTCCTCATCCTCTCCTCCTCTCTTCCTCTTCCCTAGCGCGGACTGCTCGTCCAACCCAGCCCTGAACTTCCCTTTTTCAACACCCTCCCTCACATTCTCTGACGGTGCACTCATAGGCTCCAACACCATCACAGACCGCTTCACATACACAATCGGCACGCCGGGGATAGACCTCGCGCCGCGCCGGATAAGCTGCGCACGACGCAACGCCTCCTCTGCCTGAATCTCTGCTTCCGAGCGCTTGCGCTTCTTGTTGCCGCTGCTATCATTTGTGTTTGTCTTCGCAGGCGCGGGGGGGTCGGCCGTGGCGAGGATGTAGTGTTCTTTGTTCTTCTTCACTTCTGGGTTCGGGGATAGGAGAGATAAAAGACAGCTCGCTTCGTCGATGGGGGTCGAATCCTCGTTATGCGAACAGTGGCGTAGGGGCACTGTTGTCGGGGGAGGAAGGTGGCGGGGTCGGAATGGGTTGTTTGTTTTCGGATTGATGGGTTGAGAGGCCATTATTGCCGCCAGTGAACATTTTGTCAATACTATAGAAGGGTCGGTTAGTTGCATGTGCTCATTTTAAAGGTGTTCGTGTGTTGCGTGTAAGCAAGTTACGTACGCGGCTTTACTTTTCCTTGGAGCGTACGCTCCAGGGCAGGGATGAGGTCCATTTTGAAGGAATGTACTGCATGCAGTAAATTTGAGTCGACTGGGCCAGACAAGGTAGGTTAGTCGCATTGAGAGCAATCAGAGAGTGCGTAGGAGATCATGATGGAAGGGCATACCTAGAACCTGATATGGTTCGCGAAAGCCGAATGTGAGGTCATACTGGTGCATGAGCTTGCGATATCTCTTTGAACGTTTGGCCCTCATTTTGTCTGGCTGTTATTATTAGAGTCCGAGAGATAGAAGAAAGCAAATGGAGGGAAGACGGTGGTTGTCTATTCTTGGAAAAGTTCTTGAAACTTTTTTGCCGGGCGGTGCTGGTTTAGGTGTGGTCGGTGCACGACTTGCGGCGTTGGCATCTCTTCGGGGAGAAATGCCCTGAAGTATTATTACTCGAATTATCATGATTGTTATTATTTATCTGGTGTGGATTGCACTATGTGGGTTCGGATTAAATTCTAGATTGATGGTTGGTTTGCCTATGTCTATTCATCTGATTGTGTGCAAACCTATATGGTTGCCCAAAATGCCTATGCATTTGACTGCCCGCCAAGTACAGTATACAAATATACCAACCAGTATTCTGGTGACTGGTTGATATTAGTGCATTATCAGGCTTCCATTGTCTACCAGGTCGGTGGTATATTCTCTCTCGACGGCATCCTTGGCGGAGGAAGTATTTTCTCTGTATATATAGAAACTGCTGGCTTTATCCCTCACAGGCTCTGTCGGACCATGGATACTAGCCTCACAGCAAAATGGATCTACTCCCTGGGCTAAAAGTCCAGTCCCATATGGGTCACGACTCAGCCGCAAAACTATGTTCATATTCTGTAGCTGCAAATAGGATCATCCTGGTCGTCTTTTAGCCTCTCTCCTCTGGCAGGAAGCAACGACGACGCTGATATCGTCCATTTTGCCTGGGCAACCGTCAACATGGGAACGAGAATAGACAAACCAGACTTCACGAATCCATACCTCCTCGATATGAAAGACCTTCATCAATTGCCCTCTCCATGTAAGGGCTCTCAGAATAGGGGTCTTGAGCGATAGCACACGCAGCCTTGAGTAATTCCCTAGCCACGAAAACCATCCTCTCGTCAGCCAAGGCCGAGCCAGGAATCCACAGATCACTATGTCCATGACCATGATCATGAGTCCTGTGATCACCGTCTCGACTCCGCGCCTCTTCCCATTTCCTGACGCTGTCGAGGGTGATGGTCAATAGCTCTTGTTCCCAGAGATTATCTGTGACACCGTCGGACAGGGCCAGGACGATGTCATCTTCCTCCAAGGCAATCTTCGACAACACCGCATTGTCGTGCGGAGTGTCAATGCTATTGGTACCTAGCTGGTAAGGACAGTCAAACCAGTGCCATTGCTCATCAGTCCGAAAGAGCAGCTTCTTCTCACTCGGCCGGATGACCAGAACCTTTGAGTCTCCTAAATTGGTCACGTAGAGCAATGGTCGGGGATCTCCCGCGTCATCAGAGGTCCAGTGTAAGAGAGCCGTGACTGATGTTGTTGTCCCAAGCCATTTGTGGGGAGGCATGGTTGCACGAACGGTTTCCTCGTAGGCTCGTTGGAGGAACTCGACCGGATCCGGGTCTGAAGTGCCGTTGACTTCGCGCTCAACTTGGAGAGCCCAAAAGTGGATGAGTAATCTCGACCAGAGACTATGCAGAAAAAAAAGGGCAAGAGTCAGTAAGCGAAAAGTATTAATAGAGGTTGTAGTCGAACAACAACACGACTCACGCAGCATGGCCCCGCGGCCGAGTAGCCCAAGCACCTACTCCGTCATTAACCCCGATAAAGTTCTCCGCCGCTAACACGGCATCATCGCCATTATTCAGCCCACGGACCAATTCCTTCTTCACAAACAGTCTCCGATCCTGGCTCTGGGAGTGGGTGGTCAGGGGATCGGAGAACGATGACGATGGCGGGGAAAGGAAGGGCGGCGGGAACGGACGAGGAGGGCGTTTCGCACGAAGAGCGTACCCCGTTTCGAAGCGAAAGGGGGATTGGAAGATGGGAAATCGATCATAATTCTCGGGAGCAGGGGTCGCGACGCCATATGCAGGCAGGACGGGAGAATGGTAATAGTGTCGCAGTGTTCTCGTCGTCGTTGTCGAGTGGCGGATTATGACATTGAGGTGGGAAGCAGGAGAGAAGGCAGTGGCAGCAGCAAGCTTGGTGACCATGCCCGTGTCCAAAAAGCGCACTTCCCAGTGCACATAGAGACGGCCTGAGGGAGGAGAGATGATTGAGTCAACCGCATGTTCTTGTTGGGGGAGTTGCAGCCTGCAGGCAAGAAAGTCAACGAGTCAGACGGAAGCCAGTTTGGGAGCACAACCGGCGCACGATAATAATTTGGTTATTCTAAGAATAACAGCCATGCAGCTCGATAATGGCCAGTCCACTCGACGGCCGTGGATTGAAGACGCGTGCGCGCTGATTGCCTGCATCTCCTCTCGCGCTGCTCTGGGCGAAGGGACGTCTCTTCTTCTTCTTCTCTCCTGGCTTACCTCGGCTCTGCAGATCTCACAAGGACCGGCGGATCTACCCTTCTCGCCCGGCGATTAATTGCGTGGCCAGGGAGATATATCTAGTAACTCATATCTATAGGCGAGCTTGAGCCTATTTATGTCTACGGGGAGCGGACAGCATGATCAATCATACGATATGCAGATGTATACGGAGCAGGAGAGGTTTATAACTAGCACGACATGACACAGCCGACGGTCATCCCGAATCAAGGCTAGCCTTCTGTCGGTAAAGAGGAGTCGGAAGGATGAGCTCGGGGATATGCCAGAGGAGCCTGTTGGCTGTGTCGGCGTACTCGGAGGGAATGTTCGTGCACTTTTTGAACGAAAGGGACTGCATTGAGCATCCGTCATAAGTCAGCTATGAAGATGCTGTCTCTTTCCTGCTTCATAATGGCAACTCACCTCGAGGCTTTTCAGTCCTCTAACCCATTCAAGCCCGCGATCGCATGTATCGGCGTTTTCGTCCCGATTGTCGAGAATCTCACTCGGATTTGAGAGGAGTTGTGTGCAATTCTCGAGCCATAGGACCTTTAGCCTTGCACCCGGCGCATGTGTATCTTGATTGCTTTCTTCTTCAGGAGAGCCATCCTCTTCTCCGTCTCCGGCTCCGGCTAGACCCCCGAGCCAATATAAAAACTCGGGCTGCGCACCGTTGCACGTCCTCAACTTCAACGTTGTAATCTCCGGGTTTTTCTTGACCAGCCTCAGCAGCTGCCATGGCGTGATGCCAGCCCGTTCGAGAATCAAAGTCTTCAGACGAGTGATGTTTCCGAATTGCTTGCACGTCCCGATCCCACCCAATGCATTCCAGGCCGTGCTGGCTGGCGGCGGCCCAAACCAAGCTTCCGGTCTCGTGAGCCCGTCACGAACGTGTGGGTGCTCGAAACGCAGCGCAAGATGACGCAACGAGGCACCACAATTCATGCCTAGGGCAGCAGCACCCTCCATGTTCAGGTCGTACCCCATGAGCTCGAGATGACAAAGCGAACCTCCGTACCGACTGAGTACCTTGGAGAAGATGATGTTCTGTATGCGGACCATCTCAGCCAATGATCTTGGCCGCTCTCGACCAGCCATGAGCTGACGGATTCGCCATTCTTTTCCCTCGAGGGGATAGGTGAGGCTGTCCTCACTGACATGGCTGGTGCGGGGTAAGATGATGGACACGGTGCAGTCGACATCTGCCCCCTCCGGGTGCTTGTCGAATGTGAGCATGTCGCCCGGTAAGACCCAACCGGCCTGGATGAAGGAGATCATAGAGTAAAGGCGTCTCTGGAAGACAGCCAGCCGGAGACTCTTGACGGAGAGGACATGACGCTCGTAGTTCAGCCGGGACGTTGCTCCGAAAGCAAGAAGCGACCTGAGAGGGAGGTGCGAGAGAATGATGAGGATCAGCTCTGTCGGGAGAGTGCTGAGTTTGTCAGCCATAAGTCTGATTGTTTCTTATTACTCCTTCCGGTTCGGTTGAAGGGGAGCTGTAATCCAGAGTGGGCCGGTCCTTCAAACGTCCCAGTCCATCCCTCCCAGAAGAGTGGGATACAATTTGAAAGGAGGACTGAATGAGGTACTGGGATGCGAGCGAGGGTTCTTCCGTAGGAAGAAGCGGCAACATGATGGAAGATGAGGACCATGGTGAAGAGACCATCGATCCAGAACTGCCTACTTCACATGAACCCATGGATTGCCCGAACTGAAAAACGGCCAATGGCAAAAATCCAATGGAGACTCCTCAGACCAAAAATCAGAAACCCGCGAATGAAGAAGCGATCGACCGGGAAAATTGAGGGCGCACAGCAAATGAGCGAGTCTGCCACGGCGGACTAGGGTGTGCCCATCACGAATCAGACTTTTGACTCCTGGTCGGGACTTAATACTGTTGATATATTTCATTAATAGATGGCTCTGCTCCGAGCCCAGACCCTTGTCTCGTGGAATCGCCGTCGGGTGGGGATGTTGCTGCCTCCGGCGCTGTATACTATGGACTATGACTATAAGTATAGACTATGGAGGCTGCTAGCATCGGCCATGTAATGAGGATTGATCTGAGATGGAAGCACAGCAGGTCCGCCGGTATGATCCCCAGATGGAGACCGTTGAAAGAAAAACGGACCTGCATCTCACGAGTCTGATCATCATCAATCCGCCTTTAGGTCCCTTTCGGCTCATATCCTCCATAATCCCCACAAATCTTTCCATAAATAGGCAATATATCTCATGATCAATCTCCCTAGCCTGCTGCCATTCTGGAATGGGAGAAATTACTTTTACTTCCTATTATGGTGTACATTGTACAGTGGTTTAGTATACTCTGTGGAAGACGCCATGTACGCTGCAGCGGCCAGACTTCAATTCAACTCTTAACTGCATCCAGGATATTTCTTTAGGAATTCATATCCAAACAACCAAAAGATTAGTGGAAATTCACCGAGTTAACAATCAATCATCGAGATTGCCGGGATCCACGGATGGCTGTCAAAAGTCTCGCACGTTTCGTTCCCTCTTACTGAAGGGCGTTCGTTCCATTTGCTTTCATCGAAACCGCATCTGCGGTGTTATTAATATTATTAATGTTGACTCTGGCTGTGACATTTCCTCTGCACTTCTTGTGGATTTCTCACGGGCAGCCCAATCCACACATTAGGAGCAATGGTGAGACGAACATGACAAGTGACTCCGGAGAGAATTACATGATCTTTATTTCATGACCAAGAATTAACCAACCCACTTGACCATGGAGGACGGCACCCGTGTCTTCTTCATTTCCACATGTAAGTCTGGTAGCATCTTGTTAGGGTTATTCAGAGCAAATCCAGTCCTGATTCCTGATCCGCAAGTTACGGCAATTCTCATTCCTGCACCATTTACACATGGTAGGGACCCTAGTCTCCCTGGATTCTCAATACATATTGACGGTTGCTTACTTCGTCTGAATATTATCCTCAACACAGCATCAGAGCCGACCTCCACAGCCACCCTCAGACGGGTTATGTTGTAGATTCACCAAAACCAGAAAATTGCAGGACATTTGTTCATGCAATGATGGCAATATGTGATACTTAACATAGAAGGCGGGAGAGAGAATACCTAAGACTCGGAATGGAGCCCCTCCATCTCCTGGCAGATGTTGTAATCGACACGATAGGGGGCCGTGTACACCGTGGAGCCCGAAAAGCGTCGGTCTTTAGCCTTCGGGCTTTTTCGGTGACTAACCAGCATCTTGCTCGTGGACGCCGATAGAAGGGTGGATGAAAGACTATTGGAGAACAACTGCAATGGAATCATTGTTTGGGCTTGGTTGGTTGCCGGTGCCTATGTCTTGATCATCTGTAATCATGGATGAATGTGCCTCCAGCATGTTCCTCAGGCCTCAACCATAGGAGAATGGAGGGGCAGAATATCAATGACAAGGCCCAGTGGTCGAATGAAAGAGGGGTGGGAAGAACCCAGCAATGAGCAGGCAGACCAGACGAGCTTAGAGTAATATTTTTTACCGGGAATTTTTGAAGTTATATTGTGCAATGAACACATCGACTGCAGACTTGACAATAAACTGCTAAGATACTTAGCAATGTAAAGGTGAAATAAATTAAGAGGGAATGACAGCATGTGTTATCCTCGATGGTCTAACGGTCATGATTTCCGCTTGTCAATCCTAAAAGGAGTGCAAGCGCGGGAGACCTGGGTTCGACTCCCAGTCGGGGAGGATTTTTTTGTTTTTATTCCCTCTCTGGAATAAATCCAGCGAATCTATTCAAAAAGAGTTGAACGGTGAGGCTTCGAAACCATTAAGAAAGAAATGAAATCACGAGGTTGGAATGCTAAGAACTACCCTCCCTTGGCTGTCTCTTTTCCAAATTGAAAGAAGCTGAATGTATTTGAAAGATTGCCTGATCAAAAAAACTAGCTCATGGGGAATCCATCCCATGCTTATGCTATGCCTGTCAAGGTGCAGGTTCAGGACGGTCGGGAAACAGATTCAGTAGATTGGGTTGGACGCACGGGTAGCTACAGGTCAAGCCATGGACAGATTGATCGATTGTATTATTTAACGTCTGTGGAGGCACGTGCATAGCACGACGTAGCTCGAAGAGAACCAACATTGTGACTGGTTCCAGCCCCAATTTTGCTCCTAAAAGGAGATATGTCTACTATGTAATCTAGGATACTAGGATCAACGCATATGCTCAGAGTGTTGAAATAGTCAGCGATACCGTTTCTCTTTCTTTTGTCTTTCTTACTCCCCTTCTTTCAGAAAAGGTGTGCCATTCATGAGATTCACCTTAGACAGTCTAAGTACTTGAGTGGGCAGCATGAGTAGGTTGGTTGCAAAGTCTTCGGTTAATGATACTCTGAGACACTATATCCCCATATCCCAATAATCACCTTCGCGGACCACAAAAGAATAATAAAATAGTATCCTAGTTGCGTTCCTTGAATGAGGTAATGAGTGCGTTCCTTGCTTCTTCAGCGTTGGGCTTTTTGGGGTCGACGAGCACCTTTCCCAAAATAGCATCGCTATCCTTTTGTGCAGCTTTTTTGACCTCTAGATCCTCGGCATTTTTGTTTGCTTGAAGTATAATCTCGAAGTTGCCGGTCTCCGAATTGATGGAGCCTTTGTCAAGGCGAAAGTTTAGGGTTGAATCGTTCTTAGAGTTCCTGGAGGGCCAAAGACGATCTCCCCTATCCTTTGCCCGCCAGCCTTTTCAATTACTTTCAACCATGGGACCTTTGCGACAAATGTCTTCACACTCTTGCTGCCGATACCCATACTTAGACGATGCTATACTCATCCGTATTAAGTATTCAAAGTGGGTGGTTTATGCATACGTGTTGTTCAATAGGACGGTTATTGAATGTAGTCAATGACAGTGTGGTCCAAAAGCCAGGAAACTGAAAATAAAATGATGCAGGAAACGGTGGTTATATTCAGAATAAAGGCACACCAACTCATTTATAGAGAAGTTCCACAAACTCAAAGTCAGCCATTTCTCGGGTAAGGAGAATGTGTCCTACCTCCTCATACAGGCAGTGGCACACAGCGCATGCGTAGTATATCATTAATTTCAATAACGAACCAGGTAGTCACTATTAACAGGCAAAAAGGTGAATTGAGAAGGTCACCTCACATTGTTCCTTGGTTGCCTAGCGAGGAACCAATGAAGGAATTATTCTAAGCGCTTGAGTAGACACTGCACAAATTACACATAAACTAAAACATTCAACCCTGTGACGGGAGAAATAGTTGGTGAAAATATGAGAATAGCCCTTCGAAGGCGGCGTCGCAAGACTCCAGGAAAGGCAATTGTTGTCCATTATTCAAATGGTTCTCCACCACGAATAACGCCTGAAACAATGATTGGTTGTTGGTCTGGCAGCCTTGCAGCTTGGTTTCGGATATACCCATGAAGTTTGCGGGATCTGTGATCCACACGGTGGCATATGTGGGGCAATCTATCACAGCACGCATGGGGTTCATATTTAAAGATGTGATGACTAATACCCAAGGAGACTGCCTACCAAACCGAAAGTTATGCCTCCTGCGATAATCTTTCCATGATCACCTGATAGTTTGCAATAATCATGCCTATATTTCCACGCATGTTAAAAGGGATTTGGAGGATTTTGCCAGTATTATCGAGAGAGACCATCCTGTTACCCTTCTCAAGCCGACGTTATTCCTATCAACACCCTCAGCTTCAGATGGCTAATATTGTCGGAGATCCACAAGATTTCTTTAGTTATACTAGTGGACAATGGATTTGGGATGATAGGCAGCAACTTCAAGAGAGGTATCGCGTATTTGATATACTTGAAGTGCAGAAAATTGCTATGGAATCATCATTGTCAGGGCCCTTGCCATGTAGACCAGGACGAGCACGTGAGCTTCCTTACTTGGATTAGCGTGGCGCGTGGATAGGAGTACGTCGTCCAGCTTCACGTAGATCTCTTCCCTTTCTCCTTCCTCTCCATGCTTGAAGTTCTCGTCGATAGCTGCCTAGATAGCTGAATAGCATCCTATTCATCGTCTAGTTGAGTTCCGTGACAGATAGTGGTCATATCACTAGCATCATTGACTGGCAAAGCACATGGGCTGGTCCTTTGTTCCTAGAAGGCCATCATCCTCATTTTCTCAACTATAATGGTGACTTGATACTTGAACTACCTGAAAATTTTAAGCAACTGGATGAAAATATGCAAAGTGCTGTTAAGTAAAAAGTCACTAACTCAATCCTATTATATCTCTATGAGAAATATTGTAATGGGGGCGTACGTGCGTTGTTCCCTGCGACAGGAACCGGGTTGTGATCGAGGGATCTCAGGAATGGACACACTGAACAATCTAGCAAAACGATATAACGATAAAAGAAAACACAACGACGAAGGAGCCTCGCTCCGCTCTATACGACAATAACGATACTAGTGAAGCAACCTAGAAACCAAAAGAATGCTCTCTTTCTCGTAACTATCTGGGAGGGAACCCTCAATTAAGTATTCCGGCCGCGGGATCCACCATACATTAGTATGTCGGAGTCCGCGGTTCTACGGTGTTCCAAACTAGGGAATATGGGAGATCCGGGGTTTCGCAGTGCCTCCGGCACAATATACAGTGGAAAGAAACCCAATTTTGAGCAGAGTGTTCCAGTATCCAAATGGCAAGACAATAACAGATCCAATCCACTTTGTGGGGAATATATGGGATGGAGATATCTTACCACTATGAGAGTCTTTAATAAGGATACAGAAGTAAGTGGTGAGATGATTCTGCATACTTAACCAATTGTGCTTACTGAAAAATGTTTGAAGTGGAATTTATTAGGCTGTACAGTTGAGTGCCCCATCAACTTTTCTCCTGGAGAAATTCGCAAACATTATGAGGATGGTGAAGGCTGGAATGAAGTACAGGACTTCTGGGACACCTTATCAGGAATCATGAGCAGGGATGGCTGGACTTCACATGCAACATACGATCAAGCTATTTCCATTTATTCTCAGATGCAGGCAAAAATAACACCTCACTCAAGCCACGATATATAGTACTGGAGGAGTAAGTTAATTCTGTGCAGAGATTGCTCCAGAAAACAATTTTGGTTTTCATCGACGAATGAGATTTGCATATAACGTAAAAAGGACTGTCAAAGTATGCTTGCCGTGACTGAGGTGGCCTCCGTTTCTGAGATATCCGCTGCGGAAGCTGTCGAATCCTCCCGCGAGAGATGAGTTTCCGGCAGACCCCGATCTCACACGAGATAGGCCCAACCATTCATCCGCATGAAAAGGCTCTTCTCCACTCAGATATCTTAAAACTACCGGGGTTGGAGGGGAGGATAGAGGTAAGAATTCAGGAGATCTAGTGCATCCAGAGGTTGAGACTGCTGGTGAAGCCCCTACAGCACTAAATTGTCACGTGATCCAACAGTATCTGTTGGATCACGTGGGATTCTGCCGCATAGGCCCGCCCTCACTGACCCTTTTCACCACGTAGGCCTATCTAGCTAGTTACCAACCAACGATACACCTCCATTAGTATCCGGTAAACGAGCCGATCACCCCTCCCCCAATTCCACCTTTTCTTCAGTTCATATCTGGAAACTCACATTCCAAGAAGTCCTCGATGGTCTAACGGTCATGATTTCCGCTTGTCAACCCTAAGGGAGTGCAAGCGCGGGAGACCTGGGTTCGACTCCCAGTCGGGGAGATTTTTTTCGTTTTTAATTTTTTGGACTTCCTTCTCCTTTGGAACATCTTCTTGCTATCTCATTTCTTTGCCTTTCAAGCCGTACGTCCAGGATAGTCCAAATTAATCCTCTATACGGTTAAGTAATAAGATACTGGGAACAGCTATGAATAATGGGGCTTCCTCATGAAAGGCGTAAAGTGGAAGTAATGGGAATATAAAAAATCTAATTTTTTCAAAGAAAAAAATAAGTATCTCCCCGACTGGGAGTCGAACCCAGGTCTCCCGCGCTTGCACTCCCTTAGTGGTGACAAGCGGAAATCATGACCGTTAGACCATCGAGGATTTAGTTAGTAATACCGTTCCGCTTTTAATTTAAGAAGAAAACCATCTGTTTGACACATCCAGGAATGACTGATCTCTGCAAGGTTCCCAGCTGTCCCGTCTCGCCCGAATACGCTCGGGGTCTACTGATTCCTGAAATAAATGCCTGACCGAACCCCGGACCACTAGAGCCCAAACCAGAATACTACATTATTGATTACTTCATTTTGCATATGTGCGCCAATAGTGCGAAGAACATGCTGTAATGGTGTTTACGAGAGGGGTAGTAATGTCAGATATGTATATATAACAGCCACTGCCACTGCCCGGATTGTGGCCGACCAATTTGGAAACTCCTCGGTCGATGTGAGCCATTCAATTCAATAGGTTCCTATTGTTATCGCCAGCATCCCGCCAGTTGAAGAGCCCTGCCAATCGGGTGGGTGCCTCAGGTCTCGCCCGAGTGCATCGGATATGTGGCAATCTCAGGCTTTCCCAAAAGTAAGCCAGGTTAACCTGGCTATTAAATGGACTATGGTCTCGCGCGTCTCTCCTGTAGGTCTCCATGTGTGGTTGCTTAGCAACTGTCATACGACCTTCAGCGTTTCCCCGCAAACTGGACTTGGCTTTATATATTTCACACCCCTGCTTGTGGCAAGTGAGATGCTGAATGTCTGCTCTCTCGCCAGTGAACGGGGTCAAAATGCCCAAACCTTCGCCCATAGCGTGCATTGAATGCCGTAAACACCATCTAAAATGCAACGCTGGAAAACCCTCATGCGCTCGTTGTGCCAAAGCTCAATTACCCTGCGATTATCTTCCTTCCCGCCGGGGAGGCAGACGCAATGTCCACAAGAAACGCCCCAACCAGCAAACCCGAGAAATCCTGGAAAAGGTCGATCCATCTTTCATAATGCCATTGGATGCTTCTCATCCTTATTTGACCGATTTAGACATCGCCCCCCAGATCCAGCGTGCGAGCGACAATCGACCGGCGAAGTCGCCGATTCACAACCTTCTAGACCCATGTCTGTTGGAGCTACCAAACACTGCTCTCCAGGAACCACAAGAGTTCCCGTTTGATAACTCGATATCCCCCCTTCCAGGCAGAGCATCAGAAGGGAATTCGATCTGGCTGGACCAGTCTCCGAGTGCCATGCCAGAAAGTCATGGTTGTCTTCCGAGTCCTTCGAACGGTTCTCCGATTGAAGAACAGCCCGTCCGCGTTTTCTATGACAGATTCTATCCTGCTCATCCATTCCTGGTTCCGATGAGAGCGTACGAGGACCGCCAATATCCGGAATTCCTGCAACGCATTGTGCGATTCATCGGCTGTCATTATCACTCCTCACCAGCCCCGGACGGGTGCACCTGTGAATCCATAACTGCTGAATTGGACCTGATCAACGAAAGACCCTCCCCCTGCCTGGTCCAGGCTCGATTACTATGGTCGCTCTTTTCGTACTTCCAGGCCCGCCAGGCAGAAGCTCGCTCTTGTCTCTCCCGAGCCATTGATACCGCGATACATCTAGGAATGCACCAAAGAGAGTTTGCTGCGTTATTTTCCCAGTCCCATAGCATCGAAGCAGAGAGTCTAAGACGAACGTGGTGGGAACTTTTCATCGCAGAAGCCCTGATGCAGATTCCACGTGGGGAAGAGGCTCTCTTTCGGTGTGGAGATGCTCCCTACGACGTCGACCTCCCCTGCGAAGAATCAGTATATGTGGTCTGCGACCCGATTCCACAGCCTCTGACAATCTCGTCGTTCGATAAGAGGATTTTCCTCGACGCAGAATCGCGTTTCTCCTCATTTACCTACCGTATCGAGGCCGTGCGGATCCTTATGCGGATTGTATCGTTGAATAATTCGTCAGAACAACACCCGGATAACCTGCAGGCTGTTCAGAATGCGCTCGTCGGCTGGAAAAGCCATCTACCGTCGAACAAGGTGGACATTGTGGACATGTATGGCGAGGAAGACGAGATGCTATTTCAGGCCCATAGTATAATCCACTTCGCAGAAATGCTCCTACACCTACCTCGAAGCACACTCAAACCTGCATTCCCGGGGACAAACGCGGTCAGCTGTCCTGCGGTTCCTCCTCGACTTCCTGCTACCTTCACCAGCCGCGTTCATGATGTCAAGGCTATCGAAGCCTCGAAACAGCTCTCGAACCTTCTTTCCATTGCCCCAAGAACTCGTCAACACACCCCCTTCTCCATTTGCTGGTCATTGATGTGTGGTGTTGTACAACTAGCCACCTGTAAGTGCCACTCCCAGAACTGTCTGGACCACCACCTCAACCGCGTCGTTCTAGTCCTGGGATGCCTGAAAGACCTAGGGAACACGTGGACTCTCGCAAGGAACGCCCAGAGCCATCTGAAACGCATCTCAGCCGAGACATTCTGTCCCTGGATGGACACATATTCTTCTCGGCGACGTAACACATATTCTGCCGGAAGTGAAACGTCTAGACATGCGTCTGACAACCCTGCAGGGATTAGTGCTACCATCGACGAAGATGTGCAAGGGTCTGACTCGTCAATACCGGAGATTATATCGACGTATTTTGAACCGGTCTGCAGCGACTCATTTTTACCTAGCCGAATCGCCGGGATTGATTAGACGGTCCAGTTGGTGTCCTTTTTTTGGTCCTCCCCGGTGTCAGACGCTGTCAGTAGAGCCTGTTCAAGATGATACGGGCATTCAGCCGTTACACCTGCTTATGATCTGTCTTGAGCCGAACAGCTGGTTTGGCCGAGTGTGTTCTCTGCACACTAGACGTGTCCATAGACCAGTGGTTAGTTCAATAATCAATACCCTTATATCTACATATATGGACCTGCATCATAGGCACTAATAGTCATATTTACTTTGAAGGGAGGATATCCATGAAGTCACAGGAGATGCATCTAAAGTGCCGAGAAAGACTGTCACCCCAATGCATGATGTAACAAATTGGCTAAGTGACGAAAGTACAACATACAATATCCCCGACAAACTAGGAGAGTTGTCGGTACAGAGTACACATGTGCTCGAAACTAATCATCTGCTTGGCCTCCAATACACGTCCATCTGGATAATGTCGCCACGCATCAAGTGCCAGGTGAAGCCTTTGCTGGATGCATGGATCCAGCAAAGGCCCACCCGCAATGAAGGCCGTCTGGTCAGCAATCTTGCCATGCCGCTTGTTCGTGGATTCCAAACCCGTTCTTGTCAACGGTGCCGGAAATCCATGTGTGCATGATATACCCAGCTCCGCCAACTTTGCCTACGGCCCGTCTTCAAAGCGTCCACGGTGATGGAAAGCCGGGTTATACTGCGTGAAATGCACGTCCATCTTCACCCCAGCATGTTCACCGCTCATGCGCTACTCGCCACTCAGTAGGCCACCATATTGCTGGATACCAATACACGTTAGTAAACCTGAATCTTCATAGACAAACCGAATTCCAGAATCGGAATCAAGTTCAGAAATCAAAGGGCGTTCTCGCAGGGCCGATTTGCCTGGTGTTCCGGCTGTGTGATGATATTTCTGGTAGCCTGTTGCGCATTAACTCGGCCACCAGAAACAAATGGAGAGTGTATATTCATATTATAATTCCATTTATTTCTGACCATGCTTGTCTCCTTCAGGGCAATGGTTATCGTGACCTTGCGTATTTCCTCATGTCAGCCTCCACGCCTGAGGACTGTCGTGCTCACCCGCGACGCATTTTTGACACCTACTCCGTCCGATACGCTGGAGGCCAACGGGATCACAGTCGATCGGGACACTGCTTGCAAACACCACCGCCTCTTCACCCTGGACCGGTCGGATTCGGCCATGACTTCTTTGGATAACAGACTGTACGGGCACTCTATGAAGGCACTCACCTGGCAGCTGCAGAATATCTCAGAATGCGTATGGGAAAATGATATCATCTCGCTACTTCTGAGGCTTTCGACACTGGTCATGTCTGACAGGTATGGATTGAATAGAGTTTTCCCAACGGTCTTGTCCATACAGCTGGGTATCATTGAAGCAAGCTAGAACTTGCGAGAGAGTTTGAATTGAATTCTGTCAAACGGCCACTGGGCCAAGAAGAGCCAGCCAAAGGTCCTAATAGTTCCTGAAGTGTTACTGAAGTCCTGGATCAGCTCAACAAATTCATACAATCGCTTCTTCACGGCAGACGATCCTAGTGTGTTGTCTTCAAATATAGTAAGAATGTTGCAAGACCTGATTGAGATGTGCATGGAACTCTAGGCCCCAGATCGGTTAATAATACCAACTGCCAAATCTGTCCCTAGATATTATAGGTTTCTAGATTAAAATAACACTGGGAATGGTGAATGGTGGAACAACATAAGTCACATGAAAACACAAACCTGAGGCAACGAGGCAATAATCACGTGTAGACAGGCGGCATCTCCGTTTTTGATTTGCCGAGAGAGATGTTAGAGGTCACGTGTATTCTGCCATATTAGACCGCCCTCGCTTGGCCTGACACACTAAAATAGCTAGACCAACCTAGATAGAGACAAGATAAGCAAGTTGATCCAACAAGAGACTTATGTAACACAACACGTGCGCATTCTTCGACAAGACCCGAAAATAGCATCAGGACTACTCCGTAGCATCGGAAACCTCTCCTGCACTTGTCGAGCTTGCTTTCAAGTCAGCACAGCCGTCCATAAAAATAGAAATAAAACAACCCAGATCAGTGAGTCGGTTGCATGGTCGAACGTGCCGAGACCCTCTCCCCGAGACCCAAACACGCAACGACCTGCTAATTCCACTCAAGGATCGACGGGGCCGCACGGCGTATCAGGACGTGCCTCTTCGCGTCTGCACCGTGGGACGTGGTGGCAAGTGGAACGGCGCGGAACGAAAGGTCAGCAACATGAGACGTTCCTGCGACAAGGGCGTTCGGATTGACAACGATAAGCTGCGATCAGAAACTGGACCGGGCAAGACAATAACTTGATACGTCTGCGGCACTCTAAAGATATATTGATCTACGTGTATTTGCAATCGACAAGGGCCGAGCTTGCGTTGCTCAAGATATGCATGCAGTCTTGATCTGCCAATTAAGTCTCGCCACAAGCCAAGCCCGGTCGACCATGCGATCGTCGCGTCTCGGTATCATTATTTTTTATGCGTTCTGGAATCTTATTATTCCTTCCACTGACGTTGCATATATCACCGACATGAGGTCACTGCGCTGCATAGACCGTTAGCCGGACGCTAAAAATTAAGGACTCGGTGCTGCAGAGCATTAGCCTGCGATCATAATAATTCATAAAAATCCGTAACATATTGACGTTCGATGTGGCAGGTCTAGACTCTGTGTGTGCGACATGGATAGGCCCTTTGCATACCGCCGCCGGGTGGCCAAAGTTCCTTGCAAAGGCTTGTTCCATTTCCGTATATCGGTTGTCCATGGATCAGCCATTACCAACACTTATTTTTTTTTTTATTCCCCCTTGGAGATAACACAATAAAGACTAGCAAGTTCTCCATCTTGTTGATATTGTCCTCCGAGACCCCGCATCCTTTACGGCGTGGATTTCGTCACACTCATTTGCTTTGCCCTCCATTTTCTTTATCCCTCCCGTTCTTTCTTTCTTCCATGACTACACTATAATATTCTCTCACAGATAACTGAGATGTCTTCTCCCACTCTCAATGAAGATAGCAACGGCAGTGATCCGCGTAATTCACGCCACTCCGATGAAAGCACGCTTCATAGCCACCGGGGTTCGGATCTCTCTCAGTACGGCGAGACCGACGCGCTCAACCCCTTCGGCGACCACAATGAACAGAGAGACCACCGCGACAGCGAATCCAACCATTCTGAAGTCCCGAATGACCCAAACGATGACACCCATAATGCAGACAATGCCGGCCTTTCCGCCGAGCCTGTTCATGAGACACCTCGGTCCCATAACCGCGTGAGATTTCGATCTATTAGCAGTATTCACGGCCCTGAGCTGAGTCACAGTCGGCCACTGGCGTCGGAACCGTTATACCATCAATCTGAAGACCTGACGGAGATTCCTCTGCATGAACGATCAGAAAGGGAAGAAGATATAAATCCAGCGGTAACTGCATCAACGGATCGTACGCCGACAGCCAGGAACGACGGTGAGGCCTCCCATTACCTTGATGTAGAAAAACAACAAAATAGTCAACCCACTCGTTCCAGATCCGTCAAGGATCGGTTTAAGGATGCTGGTCAGGTGATCAGACAGAAGACCGTCCGCCTGGGAGAACGGCTTGGCCGACCACTCGATGACGGAGAGACGCTCAGTCCGTCATACTTCCCAGAAGATTTGGATGGAGCCAGGGAATACATTCCTCTGAAGAGGACGCGAACGAGGGAAGGTGGAGGTCATGGCGAAGACCACGGCCGTGGCCAGTCGAGCTCACTTTCGCGTCCGCATACACGTCTGCTGCCAAGTTCGGAGGCGCATCGCTTGGTTCAGGGAGTCACTCAGAGTAGAGCCAACCTGTTTCGACGGAGGAGGCCCAGAAGTGCATATTCACGTTCAGGTCAGAGTACTCCCGAGAGACCCGGGCTCGGTTCACGGCCCCCGTCGTTCACTGGTGGTGGCGTCCTGTCCCAGCTTCTGAGATTACATGCGAACCAAAGTGCACCGTCTCAGTCTGGGACGGACACTGCGTCCGTGACGGAGTCTGAGGCGAGCGATAGCCAACCCCCCTCGGGCACGACGACCCCAGGAGCAACGACCCCTGGCACGGCAACCCCTAAGAAGGAGAAGGTGAAGTGGTATAAGAACAAACACCGACGAAATCAACATTCTATTGGCTCTCTAGTTGAGGCAGGCATGAATCTTAGCAGTGCCCATTTGCCGGCTGGTGGCGATCTAGTCGCGGCGATTGAACAAAAGCGGCCCAAAAAGAAGAAGAGGCGCAGCACTCGATTGGAAGATGAGATCCGTGTCACAGTCCACATTGCCGAGATAATTGCGCGGCAGGGATATATCATTCAGCTCTGTCGGGCGTTCATGAGGTATGGGGCCCCGACCCACCGACTCGAGGAATACATGCAGATGACGGCCAAGGTATTGGATATAGAGGCCCAGTTCCTCTATCTCCCTGGCTGCATGCTCATGGCCTTTGACGACCCGTCTACCCGAACGACCGAGTTCAAGCTGGTCCGGGCTGCCCAGGGCGTAGATTTGGGCCGCCTGGCAGACGTGCATAACATCTACAAGAATGTAATCCATGATATCATTGGTGTTGAGGAGGCGTCTCGGGATCTGGAGGAGATCATGGTTAAGAAACCTCGGTTCAGCAAGCCAATCGTGGTTCTGGCTTATGGCGTTGCTAGTGCAGCAGTCGGGCCATTTGCGTTCAATGCGAGGCCTGTTGACATGCCGATCATATTTCTGCTTGGATTGCTGGTCGGATTCATGCAGAATGTGCTCTCCAGGTATTCAGTGTTGTATGCCAATGTATTCGAGGTCACAGCGGCCATATTGACGTCGTTTCTGGCACGAGCATTTGGCAGTATCAAGGTCTGGCGGGATGGAGAGAAAGTCAACCTGTTTTGTTTTGGAGCACTGGCGCAGTCTTCTATCGCACTTATTCTCCCTGGTTTCCTTGTCCTCAGCGGCAGTCTTGAACTACAGTCACACCAGATGATTGCCGGATCAATCCGGATGGTCTATGCGATGATCTACTCCCTCTTTCTCGGGTATGGCATGACGGTGGGCATTACCCTTTACGGCATGATGGACTCGAACGCGACGAAGGATCCGACATGCCACGACTTGTCGGTTTACGGCAACAAGTACGCACAACGCATTCCGTTTGTTGCTATCTACACGATCCTCTTGGTAATTGTCAACCAGGGGAAGTGGAAACAGGCTCCTGTGATGGTGATGATCTCTGTCGCAGGCTATGTTACCAACTATTTCAGCGGGGTGCGTCTTGGACCCAACTCTGAAGTGGCCAACACGGTCGGCGCTTTCACAATTGGCGTCCTTGGCAATCTGTACTCGCGTCTGTGGCACGGCCACGCGGCCACTGCTATCCTTCCGGCTATCTTCGTGCTGGTGCCGTCTGGTCTCTCGGCCAGCGGTTCGTTGCGATCGGGTCTCGCGTATTCGGAGCAAGTGGAGAATGCGAAGCATAATGGGAGTAACAATGCCACAACGCTGTCGTCGGACTCGTCGGCAAGCAGCTTGGGTCTTGGAATGGTGGAGGTTGCGATTGGGATTAGCGTTGGGTTGTTTGTTGCAGCGTTGGTGGTTTATCCTCTGGGGAAGCGGAGGAGCGGACTGTTCAGTTTTTAGATTTTGATCTTTCGGAGTTGAAACTTGAATGTCGATAATGTAATGTAATAGATAAATAGGAATGTATATAGCATTATGATCGTTATGACAAGAAGAGCAAGAAACAAAAAAGCCTACGAACAACCCAAGAAATGCCCCGGATTAGCCTCAACGTGGCCCATGACCAAATCGTCCTCGACAAATCCAACGCCAGGGAAAAACCGATCCCACCGATTCAGAAAGGTCGCATTGAGATCAATCCAAACAACAATCCTCCTAAGCAACCCATCAAGACCCAACGCATCCAACCCCCCCCGTAACTGAACGGCCCTCTCCAAACCCCGCATATGCATACTATACCTCTCTCTCCCCCCAAACATAGCCTCATAACTCGCCATCTTGGCAATAGCACCGATCAACGCATCGCCGAGAAACGGACTCTCCTGCGCAATGGCGATATTGATGGCGCGGACGGTCTCGTAGCGAAGACGCAGGATGTGCTGTTTTAGTTCGTAGCTATTGTTGCCGTGCGCGGAAGCCCAGTGCGAGGCGGCGAGGAGTATGATTACGAGGAAGAGAGAGGCCTCGGACATGACGAGGGGGAACCAGCGGGTGCGGAGGAGGCCTTTGTTGCCTGGCTGGTCGAGTTCGGGGATGTCGACGGCCATGCTGACTATGTCTTCTGTTTGTTAGTCCTCATTACCGTTTTAAAAGGAAGAATATTGTGGGAGGGGGGGGAATACAGTGGTCAACTAGCTCCGGGATATACGGTCTGAAAGGGATGGGATAGGACTGGAATGGATCGACGCGACAGCCGCCCTGGAGACGGGGGATGGGAGGGGACTGGGTGGATACGAGGCATGTCTCCGTGTTCTGATGCTGATTTTGATGTTGGTTCTGTTCATTCTCCTGCTCCTTTTCCGCCTTAAGGTTGTTCTTTTTCGTCGATGTCGCGGGACGACGACGCGCAGTGCCGGGCCATTGACCCGTCCTTATGGCCAGTACTGAGGAAGCAGGAGCAGCAGCATCAGAGGGAGAAGAGGAGGAGGAGGAGGAGGAGGATGATGTTGATTTAGAAGAAGCAGCAGCTTTCTTCTTCAGCCGTTGAAAACTCGCGACGTGGGAGCGGATATCGGCATCCTTGGAGCGTTGACATGCCTCGCGCGGATGATTGACGTTGACGAAGATGATATTGAGCGATGGCTGCGACATGATCTGCTTTCTATTCGATGGAATTGCAATTTGGATCGATCCAGTTGAACCAGGGCGAGAACAAGGTTGACGCTGTATAAGCCTGAGAATTCTATCTGACACTGAATAATTAAAAGTTCTAATTCTGCCAATATAAATTATAAATAGCAGATCGGCCAATATAACGGCAATCGCAAATAGTTAGCTTCAGATAGATATGGAGCCATATTATTAGATCCAACTAGTATGTAAACAGAAATAGAAATACCCACACCATTCTTGGCCCTCCGGAATCCAGTCCAAGAAAAGAGATGGACCCATTCAGTCGAGTTCCCTGGTTCACATGCAGGACATGCTCTCTCGTCCTGACGATCTGCACTTGTCATCTGGGATGAGGCTAGGCTGAATGCTTTGGGATTCCCAGGGAAGAATGCCAGAGCCATGTGCTTTGCCTGGTCATGTACCGTGTAGATTGGACGACTCCTTATCCTATGTATTCATGTGCTGTCCAGCTACGATCTTTATTCCAACTAATTCGATTTCTCAAGACAATAAGCACTTAGGGCTTTCACCTCGTATCCGCCTGACGGGTCACGTGGAAGTACATTCCTACAAGTAAGCCTCGTTCACCAACATCAGCATCATCATTAAAATATCATCAAAACACGCAGCGTTCTTCACACAGAGATTGATCAAGATCCTGCTACCATCGCACTCCTAGCGACTTCATGTCTCGTGCATCGCACTCGCTGACAATCACCACCCCCATCCCGCCGACTCTCCCACCGGCCAGGGTCATCTCCGCTCTACACAACCATACCGCCATCCTCTCCCTCCAAGCGCTGACAACAGACTACAAAGACATCCCCCTCTCCCAACTGGCAGCGGCAGAGATAACCCAAGCAGACGCGTACTTCCAGCCAGTCTACAGCATCGACCCCACCACTTCTTCAAACAACCTAAAACAATACCTCGCCACAGAAGCAATCCCCATCATCCCCGGCGCAGGAGACTGGGCCAAGATATCCCTCAGCTTCCTTGTCTGGTTCCAGGATACGCAGTCTGGAGTGCGGACGCGCGCAGATGCTCCGGCCGGCGTTGTGGTTAGGGCGGAGTATACCGTGCAGACCCGTCAGAGTCAGGACCAGGACCTGGGAGTTGGACTAGGATCGTCGGGTGCTTCTTCTAATAACAACGCTAATAATAACGACAGTGAGACTACGGGGGATCACTATGCTAATGCGTCGTCGGATTCTTCCGAGTGGGTGCTGGTGGAGAATGTCTCGGTTGAATGTAACTGGTTCCTGATGCCATTTGTGAAGAGGCAGATGGAAAGGGCGCATCGGGATATTTGTCGGAGGGTTATTGAGACGTTGCATTGAGTATTATTATTATTATTATTTTTGAAGGGATTGTGTACTATGATAATTGTTTACTGCAAGGCGCACTTAATGAAACAACAAAACAAGTAATAAATAATAAACACCCCAACGGCCTCCATCGCCAACGGCCAAAATACCACGTCGGAGAAGAGCTTATATTCGCTATCTGCGGGATCTATACGGGGACATTAAGGAACCGCTTCAGACTAATCAATTCTATTTCTATTAAACCTATTCTATTATAATCCCGTAGAATATAAAATGACAAATCCCCCGAAATACAATCTCGACGTCCAGCTTTTGATGGTCAGCTTTAACGCTGTGTAGATACACTGATCAAGACAGGGTGAATGAAGAAAAACCAAGAAAAAAAAATCAAAAGAGAAAAGACAGTGTAAAGGAAGAATCCCGATGAAGCTGTCACTCCGCCTTCTTGGAAGCCTTAGTCCGTAGCTTCATCAACACGTACACAAGCGCATACGAGCTAATCGCAAAGATAACAACGATCGCAGCGTCACGCCAGCCGTAGTAATAATCCTTGAGATTGATCGCATACAGATAGTCGCTTCCGCTGCGGTATTCACAGACATGGCAATAATCGGTGGCATCGGGGCTGAGAAGATGCATTCTGGAGCCCGGTCCCGCCATAAACTCGCTCAGGTACTCTCCACATGTGCTACCATTGGGAGGGGGAAAGACTGCTAGCTCTTCCTCCTTGCACTTGACCTTGACACCAAACACGTCAAACACCAGCATGGACCCCATGAGATAATTGAACGGGTTGAGCCAATATATCCAGTACCTCCAGAAGACTTGGATCTGCGCGTACGGCACGAGGACACCGCAGAACGAGACAAGAGTGCCGATTATGACAGGATTCGTAAGGGAGGCGAATACAGCGTTGGGCGCGTATGCGGCGATGAACTGGCCAATACCAGTGTAGACAAATTCGTACATAAGCATCACAAAGAAGGTACCACCAGCCTTGTTGGAATCGCTCGAGAAGCCAACCGTGTAGTACCAGCACACAAAGTAGAGAACCCCACAGATACAAAGATAGGGGATCTCGGACACTACCAGCGCCGTGACGAACGCTATCCAGGAATACATTCGAGACTTCTTCTCCCGCGTATCATAGATGTCCCGGCGCTCGATGAAGAGCGGCTGAAGCTGATTGATGACACCAGGGGCCACGAAGATGAAGTTGAAGATGGTGAAGAGACGTAACTGTAAATCGCTGACATGCTCACCGATCATCCAGAACGAGAAACCGTTGAAAAGGGCAGAACCAATATGCAGGGCGAACTTGTTGTTCACGTAGTCGGTGTTTCGGAAGAGGGCAACATTCATGCGATGCGACACAATCTTGATTTGTTCCCAGAGAGGCATGGCGAACTCACGTCCATCGTCATGAGTAGCGGGCGGCTTGGATGCGGCTTCCTCGATGATTCGGTCGAGTTCCTTCACGGTACGTTCGTATTCAGGAGATTCAAGCCAGACTTTGTTCCAGTCCCGACCCTGGGAAAGACTCCCAGAGACAACATCAATCATATGCTCCGCTGGGTTTACGTCGGGGTGGCAAGGAGCACCATAACGCGCAAAATAATCCTTCACCGTCTGTCCGTTGTCTCCGATATCACCGAAATAGACCGTCTTCCCACCATATGAGAGCAATAACAATGTATCGAACTGGGCAAACAGCTGGGCAGAAGGCTGATGGATTGTCACTAAAACTGCCTGTCCAACGTCCGCGAGTTTGCGCAGGAACCGAACCGTGTTAAAGGCAGACTGCCCATCGAGACCCGAGGTGGGCTCGTCCAAAAAGATCAGAATGCTCGGCTTTGCAACCAGCTCCACGCCAATGGTGACGCGCTTCCGTTGTTCCACGTTCAGTCCATTACCGACCTTGCCGATCAACGTGTCGGCAATATCATGAAGCTCTAGAAGGTTGATGATTGTCTCGACATACTTCAACTTCTCCTCGCGCGGGACTTCACGTGGTTGGCGAAGAACGGCAGAGAATTCCAAGGCTTCGCGAACAGTAGCAAAGGGTTCATGCACATCCAGCTGCTCACAATACCCCGCAGATCTTTGGAATGACACAGACAGCGGACGTCCATCCACCATAATCGACCCGCGGATAGTACCTTCGGTCTTTCGCTGAGCGAGGACATCTAGCAAGGTAGTCTTGCCGGCGCCCGACGAACCCATTAACGCTCCAAGCATTCCAGGCTTCACCCATCCCTGTACATTATCGAGAAGGAGTCTATCGCCGGACGGTGTTTTGACCGTGTAGCAGAGGTCCTTCCAAGTGAAAACCGACGTATTTTGAACCAGTTGCCCTTCAATCTCATCCGAAACCTGCGCGCCAGTCTTCTCGGGAGTCGCGCGACCTTTCTCCGTAGCTTGCGCTTCCTCATCTGCTGTACGTTCTTGCACCGTGTGCTTCTTTAATCTCTCGCGTGGTATGAGCAACGAAGCACCACTCTCGCTCGGGGACTTCCATCGGCAAGTGGCAATGATTGTAGCGGCCACAAAGAGCCCCCACCAGGCCCAAACAATGCCGAAATTTCGCCATACGTGGGCATGGCTGTAAGACAGTGATTTCAGGTACTGGTCCCCTCTCACGTAAGTGGCACCGCGAGTCGCACCAGGAACGCCGGTACATGCCTGATAATGGGGATTCCCGTAGTTGGGGCCATTGGGAACGAGGTTGGTACCAACACATGGGAAATCCAGCCCGTGAAGTTCATTCGAAAGTAGAGCCTCGAAACCATAGGCCAACGGATCAATCCAGTATATCCATACGAACCACGGGTGCATGTGAGGTTTCTGAATCATGTAGCCGGTGTACATGATTAACGCACTGATGCAGAAACCGGAAACCTTCGAGGCTCCGTCAAATGTGGTAAAAAGAGCACCGACCGCACGGAAAAACGCTGTCATGCACTAAAAGTACGTCCTCGTTGTTAGCGAGCCTCCAATCCAAAATACCACGCAGAATGAGAAGATCTGCTAAGAGCACGCAGAATATAGGGAGACGGAAAAAAAAAAAAATACAAACTTACCATGGTTACAGCAAAGACCAAGATCCAGTAGGTGAAGAACTTAGCCGCGTCCATGGTAAGGCCGGCCATGAAGTACAGTATGAGTGAGAACAGTGAAACCTGGACTAGGAGGATTGGGATGTCTGCAGCGATCTGTGCAATACAAAAAGCCGAGGGATGGAAGAAAGCGAAACCCTTGTGCTTGATGAGCACTGGCCGGCCACCGAAGGAATCCGTGACCTCGGACATAGATAGCAAAGAGTTGAACAGCAAAGAAAAGAAGAGGGCACCGCCTTTGATAAAGAGACCACCAGAGTTATTAGGGGCATTGTAAAAAAGAGACCCGGCAATGAGGGCTTGTATTATTGTGGAAGCTTGCTTGATCATAAACGTAGCCTTGTCTCCCCAGATGATCTCATACTGTCGAATGATACAGGCCATGACCTGCTGCGGGAAGCTGACCGTCAGCGGGCTGTCTTTGGGCAGCCTGTTGGATCTCCCCTCGGCCACGGCCGCCTTCAATTCCTCTGTACGCTGCTGGGCAAGATCGCTGTCGGGGTAATCATATTCGGTAGCCATGCTCGCCCGAATGGGTGACTTTTCGTATTCGGAGAGCACCATTTCCGCGTTCCGAGGGAAACGGTTCTCATATCCCGGGCGGACAAGACGCTCTGTCGGGACGGTCACGCCGCTCAGGAAATCGGCGACGTTGGAGCCCTCGCGACAGACGAAGCCCAACTGCTCCATAAACGGCCGTGCCTCTGTCATTGGACCGTAGTAGATCTGCTTCCCCTCATCCAGAACCAGTACCTTATCAAAGAGACTGTAAATGCCATTGCCCGGTTGGTAGAGGGTGACGATGGTAGTAAGGCCAAGGATGTCGGTCATCGCGCGAATGGCCTTGGTCCACTCGAGAGCAGTGCTGGCATCCAATCCACGGGTACTGTTATCCCAGCAAAAGATGGATGCGCGGGTCGCCAAGCACTCAATGATGGAAACACGTTTTCGCTCGCCTCCCGAAACACCACGCACAAATTCGTTGCCGACTTTGGTGTCATGGGTGTGAGAGATACCCATCGACTCGAGCAGAAAACGCTTCCACTCCTGGCGATAGGCTTCGGGGGTCTCGGAGTTGGGAAGGCGGAACGGTAGCTTGAGACGGGTTGCAAAATCCATCGTCTGACCCACGGTCAGGGTCGGGAAGTAGAGCTCTTCTTCCGTATTCATCACAATCTGAGCCCGGTACTGGGCAGCCTCTTCAGGTGTCATGGACCCGAACCGAATGTCCCCCTCGACAGATGCGTAACCCTGTTGATGGTTCGCCAGCATCTTCAGCAAGGTTGTGCACCCGGAGCCAGGCCGTCCGAGAACCAGGAGCATCTCGCCAGGCTTGACGCAGCCGTGGCTGTCCTGGAGAATCTTTCGCATGGGAGGTTTGTGTCTCGACTCTCCGATGAGCCTTGGGATGTTGAACTGCGACAGGACGTTCTCATTGATCGATGCATCGGCGGACACGGCCTGCACGGTCAGGTTCTTCCATGTCACACCCAGTTCCTGTCTTCTAAAGCCGGACTCAGCCTCCAGCTCCCACCGCTGTTTGACCTCTGCCGCCATGGCCCATTCCTTGTTGATAGGACCGGCTACCTGTCCTTGTTGGGACTCATCACCCAACACGGTGATGGCGGCACTGTCGGTCTCGACATCGAAATTCGTACGTTGGGATGCAATGACCTTCTCCGGGTCCTCCATTGTCGCGGAACGGTCTGGCTTTTACAGACTCATGCGAGACAAAGAAAAAGAGGAAAAAAGGAGAAGATCGGTTAGGAAGGAACTCCCGTATTATTATACTCGTGAAGCGAGATGACGATAGTTTAAATCCAAACACCGCAGCCTCCAGTGGGGTCAGCGAGGCTAAACATGGAGGAATTCTTAGTTCCGCTTCCTAATCATAGCTTGTTTTGGCTTTCATTTGCATCCAGAATGTGAGGAATGGCGGTTTGCAATTCTGAAGCTGCCGGTCCAGAAGTGGGTAGCGCGATGGCCTGAGCGTGTGATTCGCCATTGTTGAGCAAGCTGGAACTGTACGCGAAGCCAAGATCAGCGGAACTACCTTAGATCGCCGTGGAATCGCTGACGCAGCGGGCGTTGCGATGCAGAGATTCCGCTGAATCAGCCCGTTGCAGCGAGGCGAGTGGATGGAATGCAGAAGTTGAGGCAAATTTGGGAAACGCACGGAGCGCCGCAGGCATCAACTGCGCCGCTTTCCGCTTAGTCATCGGCATGTCGGAGGCCCAAGCCGAAGCCAAAGCCCGAAGATTCACTGTTCGGACGGAGATCGGCGCTCGGAGATACCGACTCACGTGGGGTGCTTATATAATGAAGATGTTAGTGTTAGAGGTCACATGTATTCTGCCATATTAGACCGCCCTCGCTTGGCCTGACACACTAAAATAGCTAGACCAACGTAGATAGAGACAATCAAGCAAGTTGATCCAACAGATGAGTGCCCTAGTTAACTAAGCCCCAATATTAACTATTGCCATGAGTCTGCCCAGCATACCTCTAGCTGGAGAGCGTTGTACATATGGAGGAAATGAAAACGAGATTCATTGGCTAGGAACTAGGAACTATGCGCTGATCAACACCGCTGACTCCTAACTGACCACTATAATCGATCTTCACGCTCAAGCACACTGCGGTTCAGATGAGCCGGATCAGCCGATGGAATGCCAGCAAGATGAAGAGTAAGCTGCATATCTCCAAGCAGGGAATTCAAGACATGGCCCACGCCATTCTCTCCTCCCAGCGCCAACCCGTACACGTACGGCCGGCCGATCAGACACATCCTCGCTCCCAGCGCCATGGCCTTTGCAATATCGGCCCCGGCTCGAATGCCGGAATCGAAGAAAATGTCCAGCTTGTCGCCAACTGCGTCGACGATCCGTGGGAGAACTCCCAGTGAGCTCACACCTCCATCCACCTGTCGTCCGCCATGATTGCTCACTACAATCCCCTGGACACCCATTTCGACGCATTTCTGCGCATCCTCCACGGTCTGGATTCCCTTGAGAATGATAGGGCCATCCCAGTGTTGCTTGATGAACTCAAGGTCTTCCCATCCGTGGCTCAGAGAGGGGAAGACAGTTTGCGTCCACTCTGCGGCAGCGGTATGCATATCATCTTCGATTTCGACGCCGTACTTCTGCTTGAATTGCTTGCGGAAGACCGGGTCGGTGAACCCAATGGCCACTCCGATTTGGTCCGATCGCAGGAACGGGTTGTACCTGTCAGCCCAGTTTAGTATGTCTATGCGCTTCCATTTTATCATTTTTGGCCGTGAAGAGAAGGGAGGACTCACCCATTGTCCATATCAGAAGGGCGCCAGCCAAGGATATATGTGTCCAGGGTAACAAACAAAGCGGAGAAGCCGGCCTTCTTGGCTCGTGAAAGTATTGACAGTGTGATATTGTTGTTCTCGTTGGTCGGCCAGTACAGCTGGAACCACCTGACCCCGTCTCCATTCGCCTTTGCAACCTCCTCGATGCTGGTGCTGCTAGCCGTGCTCATAATATACGGTGTCATGCTCTTGGCCGCTGCGGCGGCCGAAGCAATCTCACCCTGCGGGTTGAAGATCCGCTGGACTCCAACCGGTGCCACCGCGATGGGGAAGGGGAACTTCTGACCGAGGACCTTTGTGGACAGATCCGGCAGGCTCTTGGTCTTAACCAGGCGCCTGGGCACGATGGACCATCTCGCAAATGCCTCCCGGTTCTTGAGTGATGTTTCTCCGGTTCCCGCATTGCCAGCCACGTAGCCCTTGGACTCGGCGGACATGCGTTCCTTGGCATGAGGCTCCCATAATCCTGTCTGGAAAGTGAACGGGGGTCGTGCGAACTGCAGTCCTTTTTGGTAGACCTCCTTCTCGTACTCGACCGGGTTGGGAGGGAGCTTCGTTGGCCGGCTGGTACGGTGAGCTATGCTCTCAGCGTTGGACGACATTCTCAGTGGAAAGAGCAATTGTTTTGGTGACTCGACAGGATGAATTGATTCAGGAACACATCTTCCGCGCACTGCAGCCCTTTTTATATCTCCTCCATACCTGGGTGATCCAGGTTCCTTTTCGGGTGTTTGGGTCCGGAACTGCTTGACGTCACGACCGACTTCATTATGACATCCTACGTGGATACAGCAGCTTACGAAGGCATCTTTCGTTCCTATCTCAGACACCCGAAAGTTAATTTGAGGGACGCAGGATGTGAATCGAGTTTAGCCAAGGTTTACTTGTTCACGGGAAACCTGACAGTGGTGCCGATCCAAGACTCGATTAAGCCAGTATGCTGTAGTCAAGACAGTGGAGTAGCTATATATATCTGAGAAATGGTGGCGATTCTCAGCTTGATCTTGCTCAGCAACCTATTACCTGGTCGCCCTGATGCATGCGCCTGCAGTATGAGCTTCTCGCAAAGGCAGAGTCGCACCTCATCCAGACGGGTGGAGGCGACCGGACCAACATCAGAGCTCATCTCAGCGATCGGGACGGGCGGTTGACGGTAACTGCGAGCCGCTTCATCCCGCTCGAAGCCGCTGCGGGTAGAGAAGCGGGCATGCGTGCTGTCCTTGAGCAACGGGCCCTGAAGTTAGGGACAGTCAGCTCCCAGAGATGGCCTCGGACGACGGGAGCGATGGACTGTTATTCATCATCATCAGCGACCGGAACTCTATCGGTCCATCGGTCCATCGGTTCAAGATCCATTTCATTGCTGTAAGACTTGGATGTCTTCCACGACCAAGCGGCTGGAGTAATTCCTCGCCTCTTTGGACAAGCGAGAGATGACAAAGGCTAGGACCTTGAGAGAAGAACCTGTCGTCGGGGTCCTGAGTCTTGCCACTGGTACGGGGCAGTGTATGTAGAAGACGCTGCATCTCGGAATTAGGTGCAAATAAACATCAGACACAGCATAAGATAGAAAGAATAGTGAACCAGAAAGGATCGTGTTAAATATGTTCTGAGTCGTGAAGCTATTCGGACTCCGGAGTAGACCCCTGGCATGACATGCCACTGTCTATCTCCGTCTTGCGGGGCAATAAGAAGCATCTGCTGTTATTATTGTCGTCATGATCGTCAAGACTGGAGGTGATGATAATAATAACTTCATGTTTATTCTCAAGGAAACCTGCAGTTCAGTTATTTAAGATACCTACTTATTGCCAGACCACTCTGTCAATGACACTGCCCATACTCTATTAACCACTGACGCTTCAAGTCAATATATACCCAACCATATATTATGATATACTATTAATATTATCAAAACAATAAGAAACAAGAAAAATGCCCAAATTTACCAAACTCACCCGCTCAACCTCTGGCCCTCAAGAATGCGCCCTAACAGGCGCCGCCCTCCTGCAATGCCCCTACTTCAACAAAGGCTCCGGCTTCCCCCAGCACGAACGCGAAACATTCAGCCTAGTCGGCCTGCTCCCCTCGGGCATCAACACGCTGGATGAGCAGGCCCGTCGTGCCTACGAGCAATACCAGAACTGCGGCACGGCGCTGGCCAAGAATACGTTTCTGACCAGCTTGAAGGATCAGAATGAGGTGCTCTTCTACCGGCTCGTGCAGGATCATCTGCAGGAGATGTTTCCTGTTATCTATACGCCGACTGAGGGGGATGCTATTGCGAATTATAGTCGGCTGTTTAGGAGGCCTGAGGGGTGTTTTTTGGAGATTACACATCAGGAGGATATTGAGGTTGCGTTGGATCAGTGGGGGTCGCCGGAGGAGGTGGACGTTATTGCTTGTAGTGACGGGGAGCAGATTCTCGGTATGTTTTCTTCTGTTTCACTACAAAACAGATAAGTTAATAACTATAGGCATTGGCGATCAAGGTGTCGGTGCAATCCTCATCAGCGTCGCCAAGTTGATCATCTACACGCTGTGTGCTGGCATCCATCCCAACCGGACCCTGCCTGTCGTGCTCGACGTCGGCACTGATAACCCAGGCCTCCTGAATGACCCCCTCTACCTGGGTCTGCAACAGCCACGAGTCCGCGGCGAGGAGTACGACAAATTCATCGAGCGCTTTATCCGTGCCTGCAGGAAGCGCTTCCCGCAAGCGTACATCCATTTTGAGGATTTCGGTCTGCATAACGCGAGACGTATCCTGGATAAATACACCAAGGAGATTGCTTGCTTCAACGACGATGTCCAGGGCACGGGGTGTGTGACGCTGGCTGCCCTCTACTCCGCCTGCCACGTCGCCAAGTACCGGATCCAGGATGTTCGGGTGGTTATGTTCGGCGCTGGCTCCGCGGGAACAGGCATTGCAGACCAGATTCTCGATGCAATTGCGCTAGAAGGCCGGAAATCAAAGGAGGACGCTATGAAGCAGATCTGGTGTGTTGACAAGCAAGGCATACTTCTACAGAGCGAGACTGAGAGTCTCACCTTGGCCCAGCACTATTACGCAAAGCCGGACGGCGAATGGCAGGGCGTGGACAAGAGCTCTCTGGTCGAAATCATCAAGACGGTAAAACCGCATGTGCTCATAGGCACCAGTACGAAGCCCAAGGCATTTACAAGGGAGGTCGTGCAAGAGATGGCGAAGCACGTCGAACGTCCTATCATCTTTCCCCTGTCCAACCCAACGAGGCTTCACGAAGCAGACCCAAAGGACCTTGTCGAATGGACAAATGGCAGGGTCTTGACCGCTACTGGCAGCCCATTCCCCCCGGTAAAGATCGATGGTCGCATGCGCGAGGTTGCCGAATGCAACAACAGCACTGCGTTCCCGGGCATTGGTCTTGGAGCAGTGCTAAGCCGCGCCAAGCTCATGACGCCCGCCATGCTAGTCGCAGCCACTAAGGCCCTGGCCGCGCAAGCCCCTGCACTCCAAGACCCCGATGCTGGGTTGCTGCCAGACGTAATAAACGTGCGCGAAGTCAGCGTAAAGACCGCTGCGGCGGTTATTAAACAAGCGGTCAAGGACGGTCTGGCCCAGGAGCAGCGCATCCCGGACAACGATAAGGAACTGGAAGAATGGGTCAGGGATCAGATGTGGGATGCGCAGTATCGGCCGCTGAAGAAAGTAGACTGGGTTGGAGCGAGTCCAGCCGCATTGGGAGAGTTGGGCAGCAAGAGAGCCCCAGTATCAAGGCAGTTTTAATCCTTCCGTCACTTTGAATTGGCGGTTGTATTTCCGAATTCCCCGATGTTAGCTGTATCTATCTTTGTATAATTCCCCATTTGAAAGACATATTTATATCTCTAGCTCAAATGAAGTTAAACTGTTGCTTCAGTTCACGAACCGGCGAAACTGATGGAAAGTTATATCGAAATAATGTTCTGGAGAGAACTGGCGAGATTCCTATATCGTGATTTGAGGGACATAAGAAGTAGGTGGATGGATAAAGTCTGAAAGTGGAAATACCTGGAGACTGCTTGTTGGGCCTTGACTTGGGCCGCGATAGAGTCGACAAATATGCAGGACAGCCGACACGGTCCGCAACTAGTCTGACGTGTCTTCCTTGCCTCTTCGGAGTTTTCAGAGATTGGATATATTCTAGAACCACAGATCATGCTCTCCTAATCTTTAACCTTAACATAAATGAGTGCAGCCCCATCTTCTGTCCAATGGTTCATTGCGACTCGGAAGAAACGGCCCGGGAGATGCCTTTCCGCGGATCTGATTGAGTGCAACAGAAAGGAAACGGTATATAGCTTAAGAACTTTGTAAGCAAAGGGTGTAACAGGATGCTCTTATCTCCCGGCTCTTCTCCATGGCAGGTGAGGGTATTACATGGCATCAGAGGCTCATGATCTCGATGACTGCTCGTAACAGCCTCATGAACCTTGCTGTACACCCTGAGTCGAGAGTGTGTCTCTCTGTCCGTTGACCAGGCCATAGTAGAATATAACATTTCAGTCGGGAGTGCACATGTCCATTGTCTTGACGGCCATGCCTCAATCAGCTGATGATAATGACGATGGCGATGAACATGGCTGAAGTTCAGAGTCAACCTATGCAGGATGCTACGCTGTCATTCTTCGACAGCAGAGGAAGCAATCCCGTGCCACGGCAGTTGAAGGCTTCTCGATACGACTGGTCCCGTACGCAGGCAGGAGTCGGAATTGACGTGGCAAGGGATTCAGCCCTGCAGTCGCAGAAATAGCGGTGCGACGTTAAACACGTCGGGTGACAGACCTCATAGACGCATGTAGGGACCTGCAATCCGGACAAAACTCGCCTTGGCGGATATTCCCGATGGCCGGGGAGGCGAGAAAGCGAGACATTGAGCGTTGGCAGCAGAAATGGACGAGTCGTGGGAGGGACAGGACGCCCGTTGGCGCCTCAGGCCATCGTATCTGCGTGTCGATAGGAGCGGGTGCGTGGCATGACGTCAAAACAGGCGTCCGCTGCCGAAAAGGGCAACCGGCTGTACGTTCTGTCCTAACCTAGGTACCAGCAGGTGCTCAGGCAGACTTCCCAGTTTCTGGGCGCCCATTATATAAATAGAGGACAGGCCCAACCCAGTCTTCCTCGTAACAGTCGATGCAGAAACAAACACAGCACGTTATAAACATATATATCAGGAAAAAGAAGCCATGTGCATTGCAATTCTATCAACTGCTCATCCGAAATACAGATTGATTGTCATCAATAACCGTGACGTACGTGCGCGCACTCACTCGAACAGCTGATTTACAAGGTATCTAAACTAACCTCGACGTAAAAAGGAATTCCTTCACCGTCCTACCTCCCGAGCAGGCTGGTGGCCAGATCCCCATACACACGTTCTCAGCGCGCGAGACCTCGCACGGCCAGTCCATGGGACATGGCTCGGAATCACGAAACAAGGCCGCATCGCTATCCTCACAAACTACCATGAAGACACCTGTGAAAAAGCCATCGGAGCGTGCAGTCGCGGGACGATTGTGAACTCTTGGCTTGCTCTCCCCGCAGACAGCAAGCAGACAACGGAAGAGTTCGTGACTCGGTGGGCTTCGGATGAAAAAGCCATCAAGAATATTGGCGGGTTTAATCTGGTCTGCGGGAAGGTTGACGAGCCGTTGGCTGTTCTGTCCAATCGGGCTGAGGAGAAGGATGCTAATACCGGGAAAGCCACTAGCATTCGTTGGATTGCAGCAAAACCAGGCCAGACAGTGGCCTTGAGCAATACTGGGTTGTCGGATCGATCTTGGGAGAAGGTTATCTCCGGGGAGAAGCTGTTGGAGAAGGCCATCGCTGAACATGCTGCAAGCGAGGGGAAGGAGGATGAGGACCAGCTCATACAGAGATTACTCGGGGTTCTCAGTGTTGACACCCTACCTAGGTTAAATGATGCGGCGGGGGTGGAAGATTACATTAAGCACATGCCCAAGAGCATCTTCGTGCCGGTTGTTGGTCCCAATGGTAGAGGTGAAGGCGAGACGACGGCATCCGGAATGAAACCATCGCAGACCCCGACTGAGGTGGAGGTGCAAGAACGCCGTGAGGAGGATGGTAAAGAGAAAGAGGCAGAGAATGTGACTGTACTCCAGGGGAACAATGGGAAGCTCAATGTAGCCTACATGCAAGGGTTATACGGGACGCAGAAGCAGACGGTGATCTTGGTCGGGTATGATGGGCGGGTGAGATACTTTGAACGCACGCTGTACGAGGATGATGCCCGAGCTACGGAGGTACATAGAAGAGACCGGTCGTACGAGTTTGTAATTGAGAAGTGAAGACGGCAGATGCGAAGTAGAGCTTCATATTACATCACCCAAGAAATCCATGGATTCTAGGCCTCGGCTGGGCCCTCGAGCGTTGGGTTTAAGTCTACAGCGAATACTAATTACTACGAACCACCAGCAAGAGTCCCCGGCTTTCTCCTAGCCTGACCCAGGCAGCAAATCCTGGGATAATAATAGACACTTAACAAGAACATACTGAGTCAGGATCGAGTCCTTTGCGGGGTCGCCCGCATCACATGACACCCATCGTATGACTCCTCCTCAATCATGAAGTCATGGCCCTTCGTTCTCGCAGGCAATATTTATTGGCCTGGCTCGACTCAGTCCTGTCCGTGCGTGCGTGTTTGTCGATTGCAAGGATCAATCTCAGCACGTTCTATCCAATATACGAACTAATAATCTAAACATATTACGAGCTTAACACCCAGCACTGACACCATTGATCGGACGCTATGATTCGCTCTGCCGCATCTCGCCCTCTCCTGCGTACCCGACCTGCCATACCGGCCCTAACCAGAGCATTCTCGTCGACATTACCCGTCATGGCAGAAGGAGATACCGGTGCCCCCAAGTCCCGTGGATCGTTGGCAGCGTCAGAGTAAGGAACCGAGAGGCAACCAATCGCCTCAAGCTGACCAATATGACTAATGCATGGGGTTCTGATTCTAGAAGAGATTCCTTCAACAAACGCGAAGCCGCCGCTGAGGCCATATATATCAGACAGCATGAGATGGAGAAGTATGTTACCCGTGGATCTCGATGATATTGATATACGGCAATAACTCCGATGCTGACAATATTCTCCGAACGATCCAGACTCAAACAACTCCAGGAGAAGCTAAAGGCTCAACAGAAACACATGGAAGAATTGGATAAGCACCTGTATGCCCCTTCTTCGATACTGTCGAATTTTGGTTATCAGATGGTTAACCGGTCTTTTCTCTGTACAGTGAAGAAATTACCAAGGGACAGGGCGGCGAGTTGAACTGAACGAGATCACATCACGAATATCTCTTCCGTCGTTGTTCGTGCGTTTGTAAATTCATGGGATTGGGCCATACTGATGGATGTCATCTATGTGAAAGTGACATGGATTTCGTGAGCATTGCGCTGCACATTATTCACATTAATTCTGGGATTTGAATTGGATCTGAACTATTTGGATGTGAAGGAGTTAGCACATATCAGAGACCGTTGTAAGTAATAATGCATTGTGTAAATGATGAATCTGAGGCTTCTGGACTGAACTGGTTAAACAAGGGTGTGAAAGGGAAACAAATCAAGGAAGAAACTCGACAAGTACTCGCAAGCAGTCCGCATGGCATACGATATATATGATTATGAGTAAGAATCAGATAATCATGCCACTGTAGTCTGTTCAGAACCAAGAAGACAGTTGAAATTTCCCACTGCAAGAATGCAGAATGCGTTGTACAGTAGGCATCGTGTATGACCTCACCTCGGTATCCCGATGGAGACACCCGGTGTACGACGCCCATACGGCATTGATATTGGACAACCAACACGGCCCGCGGATCAGCTAATATGCAATCCACTTATTCTCTTACCGGAACATTCTTATCAAGCAACAGAAGAGCACTGTATCATGTCACTGTGGGGTTTGAAAAGTGGCAAACAAAAAGGGGTCAAAAAGAAGAAAGGGAAAGAAAATAAAAAAATCATATGTTCTGGACCTAGAAGCTCTCAAGACTCCCAAATCTTCTGATGCTGTGGATTTAATGCAGATTGAAAGGGTCGACTAATTATAGAAATGGCATCAAAGCTTCCGGCTGCTTTCGGGTCGGCATGCCGAGTGTTACGCCCAACTGGTGATGATTACATACCGGTGAGGAAGAATCAATTATACCAGTACGCACGAGCCATGCTACGTCCTCCGTTATTCGAACGCCATTTAGTACGCAGAGGGACTATTCTATGATCTCGGGCATTTGTGCTATGTAGTTAGCAGGCGAATCGATGTTGCTGTTGTTTGCACGTTCGCGCGATGCACTTCGTATACATAATTAATTTGTACGGTCTGAGTGCAACCTTGGAAGCCTCAACATGTAAACCTCAAGGTCTTACTCCCCACTTGCCGTGGTTGCAGCAACCTGAGGCATAATGACTAAGCAATTACCAAAAAGGAAACGTTAGCGAGGAACCCTGCAGCGGCCAACCTGGAGATATTCCCGACAATTAATTAGCAGGATGCGAGTCTCGTATATGTACAGCGTATCTAAGATATTTTCCTGGGGGTAGAGCATGCCTAAGGAATCCATCCTGGTTGCAGGTGTCTATAGCGTATACATTCACTGTCCCCAGGGTCCCTGTTCTGGGACAACCTTGGTGGTGAAGGCGATTCAATATCTTCGCTTCAACTCCCAAATCCTTCCTTTTCACTTTCTTTTCTTTCTTTTCCTCGTTCTCCTTGTCTCTATCATCTGCAAATATCCAAATATCCTCCCTTACGGCCTCCGTCCACATGACCTTCTATCCGCATCTTATCCCTTAAAAACGACAGTCAAGGAACCGCATCGCATTATTTCCCAGGACTTGGAACCAACCAGGACCGCCAATCCCCTGCCGGATCCTCCCAGCCACGGAGGAATGCCGAATCTAGCAAGATCTGTGGTTGATACTCCTCCTTACGCTATGCCGCACCGCATGGCCCCTGGATTCATGCCCCTCCGTATGGACCATGGCCGGGCGGGGTATCAAAGTCGATTATCTAAATCCCACTAGGAGCTGCAGAGATGAAACGAAGCCGTCCTTCCAACCGGCCTCTAGAGGGAGCGGATACTTGACAATTGCGGTAAATGTACTGCTACATGTGAATTCACAAGGGTACGGACCGTGCGCTTATATGCCCAACGTTATCCGCATCCGGCTTTCCGGGAAATGAACTGTCAGTCCGTTGATCGAAGGAATAATAATATTAGAATTTATTTTTCTGCCGTGAAAGTCGGGATCCCATGGGGTACGGAGCTTGCAGCGTCGGGGTACTGCTGCGAACCGCGTGCGATATGGAGCCCCGCAATCAGCGGTGGATACACGGGGTTCTGCGGGGTAAGGGGTGGACCTTCGTTATTGCGGTAAGTTCGCATTCGATACGCGGTATTATTATGCAGAATGGGTGACTTGGCAGTGGACACGCTGTATTATGCAACACAACCTGAAGGATGGATACCGTGGACTTCCTGACTCGTATACCGCCGTCCAGAGGCGTGCCGTATCCGTGGCCACCAACCACATACCCGATCGGGCTGGAATTGGATACCAGGTCCAGCGGCCGGAGTACTTCAATCCTAGCCTAGGCCAGTATAGATGTCATATTCAGAGGGATATTATTATTATCATCATGTAACAGTGCCGCGGTGCAATACCCATCATACCACAGGCCCTCATTGCATGACGGCTCCTGTCGCGCCCCACTCTGACCGCCAGCGTACCGTACCGTGTATTGCGGCACACCACACTGTATCGATACCAGCCATTACCGAGGCCCTATCGGTACTTGCTATGACAGCTTATGCTCTCCATGGTGGCAACTTGAACCTGACAGCCATTCGACTGTGGAACTGGATTGTTGAAATCCAAGCTCGTTCAATGAAATTGAGTACATCCTTTTATCTTCTGGAGTACAGTGTTTAGTATTGAGAACCAGCCATGAGGTTCAATCCATGAAGCTCTATTGGATGATCACTCCATGCCGGGCCATTGGCATCTCTGATAATTCTAAGACTATTTCGCACAGGAGACCTTTTAATCTTGGAAACACCAACTGCATGAATACCTCACCATGACTGCATGATGCTAAAGTTATGAAAATCCAGGGCTGGGTAATGCTGGTTTTCCCTGTCTGAGACCCTGAAGCTCCATGAGCGCCGAGCTACTGTTCTATACCATGACAGGATGTTCTATAAACTGGTGGATCATAGCCAGACCTTGAAAGCGATCAAGCTGTCACATTGAGCTTAAGATGAGGGAAGCTCATTCATGTACAAGAGCATGTCGGATAGATTGCGAGATCTGAGATCTTGATTCCTTCGACGTCAATAGACTAGTTTGCGACGACTGACAGGAGGTCGATTGAAGACAATCTAGGCCGGTAGTTTAGTAGCATTCTTTGCATTCTAGATCTAGGCCATGGAGATCTCCAGCTAAGGCTAAGCTTTGAGTACCTAGGTAGCTCAGCTGTTGCAGGTCACCTGCTCTCCACATTCTGTTTAGTGTTCTGTGGTTAGGTAGTTCTGCTTCACGACGAATGATATATGGAGAATATACTGTGTTGACTACGCGATTTTGCTAAACAATTTTAGCTAGGTGTTTACTGGGGTTGGCATTCTAAATGGGGATATGGTCCTTATACTCTGCATCCATCTGATAATGATAAATCGTGATAGTAATATCCAGGTATGAATACCGTATCGGAAATACATATTAATACCATACCATATAATACAATATACAACGTGACGGGCCGCCGTTGACGTCACCGCTGGAGATTGTCTGATCTTCCAGCGATCTGCCCCTTTCGCGCCCATGGAAGTCTTCGTTCTGCAGCTTCAAATTCACTCTCTATCCAACCCGGTTATCTGCCAATGACGTCCCGGCTTCCCAGTTCCCATCTGCTGCCCCTCCTTCTCTGTCCACTGGTTGTAAGACTCGCATCTCGAGACCATGAGGAGACTTTCTCGGATCCGCACGCGCCGCTTTGCTGCACCGCTGGTCTCCTCCCAGCTACGGGGTCCATTACCTGTTCCTTTTGACTTTCGTGGTTACACCCAACTCAGCAGTAGCTCTTGTATAAGAACGCGGTCGTCGCCCTGCCCTGCTCCTTGTTTGTTGTCCATCTCATCACACCAATCCAAGTACTACAACTTCCATCGTCTATATTTGACACGCTCTACCAGCACTTTCACTCCAATCACAAATATGTCTCTTCCAAAGCTTCAATGGGCTCAGGTCGTCGAGGAGGCCGGCGGCCCCGTTATCTACAAGCAGATCCCCGTCCCAACACCCGGCCCCGATGAGGTCCTCGTCAACATCAAGTACACTGGTGTCTGCCACACAGATCTGCACGCCCGCAAGGGCGACTGGCCCCTCCCGGTCAAGATGCCCCTTGTCGGTGGCCACGAAGGTGCCGGTGTCGTTGTCGCCAAGGGTCAGCTTGTCAACAACGTTAACATCGGTGATCACGCTGGTGTCAAGTGGCTGAATGGCTCCTGCCTCTCTTGTGAATTCTGCCGTACCTCCGACGAATCTCTTTGCCCCGATGCATCTCTCTCTGGCTACACTGTCGACGGAACCTTCCAACAGTTCTGTATCGCCAAGGCCGCTCACGTCTCCATCCTCCCCAAGGATGTTCCCCTGGACGCCGTCGCTCCCGTTCTGTGCGCCGGTATCACCGTCTACAAGGGTCTGAAGGAGTCTGGTATCCAGCCGGGTCAGACCCTTGCCATTGTTGGTGCCGGTGGTGGTTTGGGTTCTCTTGCTCAGCAATACGCTAAGGCTATGGGTCTGAGAGTCATTGCTATTGATGGGGGTGAAGAGAAGAAGGAACTGTGTCAGCAGTTGGGCGCCGAGGTAACGATTTCCTCTCCTTTCCTAGCGTTAAACGCGCGGAACTTGCTAACATTCCTTTTCTCCCTTCGTCTTAGTCCTACGTCGACTTCACCAAGTCTAAGGACCTCGTTAAGGACGTCCAGGCCGCCACCCCCGACGGTCTCGGTCCTCACGCTGCTCTCTTGTTGGCTGTCGCCGAAATTCCATTCCAACAGGCCGCCGCCTACGTCCGCCCCCGTGGTGTCGTCGTCGCTATTGGTCTGCCTGCAGGTGCCTTCCTTAAGGCTCCTGTCTTCAGCACCGTTGTCCGCATGATCCAGATCAGGGGTAGTTATGTCGGTAACCGACAGGATGGAATCGAAGCCATCGATTTCCTCAGACGCGGTCTCATCAAGGCCCCATTCAAGACTGTTGACCTGTCTGAACTTCCCAAGGTCTACGAACTCATGGGTATGTTGACACTCAATTTTCTACACTTATTTTCCGCAATTACTGACGTTTATTTCTCCAACTTTCAGAACAAGGAAAGATCGCTGGTCGTTACGTCCTTAAGGTTCCTGAGCCCGACCTTGCCTAAACGTTGTACCGCAATCGAAGGCCACTGGTGGAATCGAAAAGTGAGACATAGCCTCGTGGGGAAGGTTAATATGTGATTATTCTTACGGATTTTTCTATTGCTTGTACCTTTTGTTATATTTTATTATTTTTTGGAGCGTTGTAGATATGATTTTCTCCTCACGAATGCGACTGGAATCGATGCAAGATGAATCTTTACTCCTGCCAGCTGTGCGCCGTAAATGTGGAATTTTTCGGTTATCGGGTTCGGTGCTAGGGCTTCACTCACTGTAGGAACAGGTATAGATACTACCAATTGGACATCAGTCCTTGGAAAAGAGCTCATGATATTCCCAGTCAAGCTACAAGCTAACTTGCGCGCGTCATGGACAGTAGATGAGGTAATCACCGCGGTATCTTTTTATGCCCCAGACATAAAGAACATCATGTGATCACTAGTTCACCGCCTACTATTTTAGGCTAAAGCATCTATCAAACCAACAACCCCCGGATCCTTCATCTCTCGACAGAACCCAACGGCAGAAGAAGAAAAAAAAACATGTACGTGAACATCAGCAATACCCATCTCTGGCCCCTAGGCGCAAAAACGAAATGGTAAATGGACTGTAACGTCAAAAATGGCTCTCCGTGGGCCGTCAAAGCCCTCACATCTGAGGCAAGTCAGTGCCGCCAGCTTGGAGTCACTCTCCACCTACCGATCCTCAGGGACATTCCATCATCATCATAATAATAATAATACTATCAACATTCCGTCGAATAACCATGATTCAGGACAGGTGTCCGACGGAAGATCCACCCCGCTATCCTTCCAGATGGGGCTGAACAACCGTCTTTGTTCGCTGTGGGTTCACGATGAGGCCTTCTGCCGGGAGGAGATTCTTTTCAACCAGGCTGTTTTCAGCGATTCCGGCATTAAATTTGGTGATGTGGTCGAGATCCTCCCTGTCCGGGCGCCAAATGATGTCACGGGCCTTGGGGAGAGGCCGAAGCGGGATAGTTATCTTGGCGATTCGACGTCGTCAATGTCTGGACCCGGCAGCGGCGGTGGTGGTGTTGTCAGCGGTAGTGGTACGATAGGCATTGGCGCTGGTGCTGATGGGAGGTCTAAATTCAAAACGCCCCTGCAGAGTCGGTGTTTGTTTGTGGTTAAACCGCTTCCGCAGGATATCAAAGCCAGACATCCCCGGCTGGAGATATCGGTGACGAGTAGCGTTGCTAATATCTTCGGTTTCAAAAATCGGTCACAGGTGCTTCTGTCGGCTGTAGATCGTGCGCAGTGCGCGGCGTCGCATATTGAGATCTCCTTTCGTGATCAGTTCCTCGTGCGGTCTGATATGTGGCGGTTGGTCACGTCGGAACTGGTCGATAAGATCGTCTACAAGGGCCAGAAGATTCTGTTCATGGGAAGTATCAGGGCTACCGTGAAGAATATCTTTATCCGTGGGAAGAAGGTGCTGTCTGGTTATTTCTCGCCGCATACCATACCCGTCTTTCGGAGTGAGTCGGCCAAGTATGTGCTTTTTATCCAGATGTCGAGGGAGATGTGGGATTTTGATTCCGAGGGGACCGGGGATATATTGTTTAGCAGGATGATCAATGGGTTCCTTCCGGAGCTTTTTAAGCGATGGGCCAATATCGACGCCCAACATTTGGTCACCATTGTGCTGTTCACAAGGGTGGAATACGATACCTCGAGCGGCATCGGCCTGGCGACCCTAAGCTCGGAGAATTTAAAGACCATCTCCAGTCAAAATCAGGTTCCTACCCGTGACTTCTATCGGGTGGTGGTAAATGATATGCCGAGCGGTCACTGGACGGCCATTTTAGACGAGTTAAAGAAGGATTTCCGAACTTTCCTACGTGATGTGTCAATTCTCAAGACTGAGGATGCCGATACTCCGACAATTATGGGCTCCAAATCCCCATCAAAACCACAGACAGCTGCTATTGTGGGAAGGCCCAGTACCGCGCTGCGCGGGAACATCTTAGAAGCAATCCATCTGGCATCCTCCCACCTTTCCTTCGACCATATTGATCGCGATATGGTCCGCACGGGGACGTCAATTATCGTCATAACACCTGGAAGCGGCGTCTTTGAGGTCTCCTATGAATCACTGGCATCGACTACAGAAGCACTTACGAACCGTGGTATTGCCATTGATCTGGTTTGCCTCAGTCCGATGCCTCTGCATTCAGTTCCTCTTTTCAAATACCGGGATCCCGTCCAACGGCCATCAACCTCTTCAACGTACAGTGACCCTAACAGCGGTCCTTCCTCTCCTGAGTTGCGTCATTCGAGAAGCAGCCTGACTAGCAGGTCGTCCCACCCGTCTTCTTTGTCTACCCCATACGGATCGCTCTCCGTTGGATCGGGGCCAAGGGACCGCATGCCAAATAGACCCAAGGAATGGAACTACGGTATTCCTCATTGGCTAGATATCTCTTATTGGAACCCAGAGACCTACAGGGAGGCCCGGAGAATCTTGAAACAGGATCCTAATGCGCCTATCCCTTTTACTGTGACTAAACCGTTCAAAGTCTTCGTGCCACGGGTGAGGATGTACGAGATTCAAATGATGGGCGTTATGGAAAGCGAGCAGTCCAATATTTCCATTCCTTACCTCTTAGAAGGACAGGGCGTGCACAGATTGTCTGGTTCTGGACGTTCCATCTCCCATAACCTCGCCTCTAACAAGTCCTCATTTAAACATGGATCTTCTTACAAAGCGCCATTCAGCGATAGTCTCCGGCCGGAGCCTTTTCTCCCGAACATGCCACATCCAAGAGATATGATACCGTCGGGACATAAAAAACAGCAAAAGGCTATACTTGCCTGCATGGACCAGTATGATCATTCCGTGTTTCGGCGTTTTCCGAAACCAGGCCGTCCCCCGAGAGGCCCAAAACTGAACCGTCCGAGCGAGCCTGAAGTTCAGTCCTCGGGAGCCCATGAAAGGATATCTGCCAGGTCAATATCAAAGCTAAGAGAGCATGAGGACAATTCGAAGAAGTCACCTCCGAGGAAACCTGCTCTTAAGATGGCTAAGAAACCTTCTGCGATATCCCGCACGATCAGTTTTGCGCTTCGGGGACTGGGTACGATGCCCCCTAGGGCTCAGGCTAGTACGAAGCTCAACGTGGAGCATGCGGTGCCTGTCCTCCCTCAGACAACCTCTGCTTCTGCGAGTGGTAGTATCATTGGAGACAAGAAAACTGCTCCCTCCATCTGCTCTTCGGACACAGCTTCGCTTTCAACTGTTGTCGATCTATCATCGAGGCCCGGCACGCCACAGAAGCATAGTCAAGAGGGCTCCATCACTCCGTCTAGGCCGATATCCATCAAAGCCAAAAAGCCGTTGGATGATCCAGAATCGTCAGACCGCGGGGCTATTCCGGATTCATTTTCTACAGCAGCTACGGCGATTCCTTTCAACGATGCTGCCCGTAGTATTGATAGCCGCGCCCGGAGGCCGCTGGCATTGAAGTTCGAGGTTCCTACCCTGACACGTGACGGATCTGCCCGAGATTCGCCAAGAAAGGCCTTGTCGCCCTGGGTGCGCTCGATCAACCCCTGCAATACTTCAAAAGCAGTGCTACGTGATGCCAGCTGGTTCGGGCGCTGGCAACACGCCTACCCACGGCCACCCCACATTGCTGTGGTGAAGTGGAAGAGTTTGAAGTCGCCTGCCGTCCTACCATTGACGACAGAAGAGTTTCCCACGGCCAGCGAATTGGCTTCTGACTATCTCCAGACCCCGTACCGGGTATTTCCGAACGATGATGCGGATGGTGTCGAGGCGCTCAAGACGAGAGACATGCTTCTACGATCAATGATTTCGTTGCGTCTTGCTCGTGGTTTCCAGATGGTGACCGGGAAGAACGTGGCGGAGGTGTCCGGGCAGTCCGCACTTGAATCTCTTAACATCTTCGACCGACGGGATCTGGAGAGGGATGGTACAACTATGTTTCTGTCCAAGGGGAATGAGATCCATCGACTTGTTTGTCTTGACGGCGAAGGGATCGAAGTGACGCGGTTCACGCATCGGACGTCGATGATCTGGCCGTCTGAAGAAAAGAAGAACGATCCAGAGCTCTATACGCCTTTCATGCGGACTATCCTAAGCAAAGAATATACTATCAGGGAGCTGCATCTTGGCTCAACAGTCGACGAATATAATTGGAACTATGCCGACAATTACATAGCCGGGCACCGAGACTATCTCATGAACCCAGCCCAACAACTTCACTTTTGGCGTGTTCGCTATGTTCTGATCCCGATGCGGCTCAGTGTCAGCTCCAGACACCATCCGCAGTCGTCATACAATGAAGACAACGAAGAAGAGATCCATTTGCTCGGAATCAGCCAACTTACGCACATATGGCAGCGACACAAGTACGTTCCGCCGGAGGAGAAGAGGGTTGACACATCTTCCCGGCGAAAGAGAATTGAGAATCCATTGAATATCATGTATCAAACTCGAAATCCCTCGGAAGTCGTTGCAGCCGAGCTGGACCGGGTCTTGCTTACGGACCCTGGACTCGACAATCCGCCTGCTCAACTGCTACCGGAGTCCGAGTTACTAGAGCGGTCAAGCATCAGTCTCTCATCGTTGGCATATATCATCCAGGGAGATAAGGGCGTCCGGATGATGGATCGACGGTGGCATTGGCGGTTGCATTATAACTGTTTCATCGGGTTTGAGTTTACGACTTGGCTTCTGCAGAGCTTCAAAGATATTGATACCCGTGAGGAAGCAGTCGAGTTCGGGAACGAACTGTTAAAGCTTGGTCTGTTCCAACATGTGGAGAAGAGACACAACTTCCGCGATGGGAACTACTTCTATCAAATATCCAGTGAATATCGTATCGCCCGGCCCGAGTCAAGAAGTGGCTGGTTCCCTCAGAAGCGGCCAGACAAGTCCGTCCCGTCGACTCCCGCCGGGGAGAGTGTAAGAGATTCTCCGACGAGTGGCCATGCACGATCGGACAGTCTTGAAGACAATATGTCACTGCGATCATCGCAAACGCCGCTCACGCCCTCTAAGGTCAAGAACAAGGCTGCCATCATGTTGTCCAAGTCGATGAAGTACGACGTGGATCCTCGGAAGCGGTCGTACCGGCCTGAAGTCGTGGACCTGCATTTCGACCGTCTACATAATCCTGACAATTGCTTTCATATCGAGCTGAGCTGGATGGTAACGACGCCGAAGTTGATCGAAGATACGGTTTCGTCGTGGGCGTTGACGGCTGAGAAATATGGCCTGAAGTTGGTTCAGGTTCCTGTTGCTGAGGCTTGTGCTATTCCCAAGACGCAGCCGTTCCGCAAGCCGTACCGGGTCTCATTCAAAATCAAGCCTCCCATCGGTCCTACTCCAACGATGTTTGGTACCACGTCTTTCGCGCAGCCTGGGCCTCCGGATCGGTTGTTTTACCAGAAGGCGCTTTTGCGGAAGTTCGACTTCGTCTTGGACTTTGAGGCCGGCTCTGCATTCCCTCCGGACGTCGAGGTATCGTATTCCTGGGGCAAACCAAACTACACATACCCGCAGTATATCCATCGCTCGGGCGGTTTGATAGCCCAGATTACCGATCAAGGGGACTTTCTACTCCTCGCCAACCGTCTAGCAAGTGCTCGGAGCGCGGTTGGAAGAGACACCAGCGCATCAAGCAGATACGAACGCTTCGATAAGGGCGAACAATATCGTCCCCGCTCATATACAGTCGACAACCCCCTCGATCATCCTTCACCCTTCCTCTCCCCCGTGGCCGACAGCAACAGTGCCACAATCACAATCACCCCGCAAGGAGGCCCGCATTCACATTTCCAACCACAACTTGGCGCAAGCGCAAGCTCAAGCTCATGTGCCCACAATCCCGACACGACAAACGCCTATAGAGCCCCCGAATCCCTCCTGCTAGCCATCGACGACTTCTGCAACGACCCGGTACGACTGGAGCAATTCTACTCCGAACCTCACACACTCCGCCCCACCTCGACCAGAGTCGGCCCTACTACCGCCTCGTCGTTCATGGAATCCTCCATCCCTTCGTTGGAGTTACCAGCTAGCTTAGTAGGTAGCCACACTATCCCGACTTCGTCGCCGTTGGCGTCTCGCGTTTCATCTGATGCGGGCGGAGCTGGAAGTGGATCCGTGTCTTCTCCCAGTGAGAATAATAATTCATCTCGGATGGCACGGTATAAGAGTGATAGTCGTAGGGGGAGTCCGAGGACGGGAAGTGGGAGTTTGAGACCGTTGATTTGAGAGTTGGTCAATTGTGGCTATAACTAATCTATGCCATGTTATTAATTATCTTCAGATTACGTCTCTCTATACTAGTGCTCCTATTACTATTGTACTCTAGGTTTAGATATTAAATTAAAATCAAAATCCATACCATAGAACTCATCACATGAGAGTGCTAGTTATCGTTTTAATTCAAAAGGTTTCTAAGAGTAATGTTATGAGAGACTTCTGCTCCAGTATTTATGAACAGAGCAGAGGAACGGAAGCAGAACTATCATAATCCATCTCAATTCAAATCCCGAAATGCATTGCAATATTAAGAAGATAAACTCAGATGCTAATTACACATGGGTATCATGGCATGCTTCATAAGCGCAAAAAAGAACAGAAGATTCCAGGAAAATGTTGAAATAAGCCGGGCTCCGGAGCACACTGGTCGTGACGTGATGAATGACGATCTCAAAATGAAGACAACAAACAGACCAGATCATAAACCAAGGGCTCGAAATAACCCCTACGAAACAAAACCAGCGAGGTACGAACCAGATAGAGTAAGCTCAAAAGAGTGAAATGAAGAGGAGAAAGGGGGAAGTAGAGGAAATAGAGAATAAGTTAGATGGGCAAGAAAGAGCGAAGAAAACAATAAACCTTGGAACAACTACCAAGATTCTTCGGCATTGAGAAGCCATCTCCTGACCCCTTCTCTCAAGGTATTGTCTGTTCCTGCCAAGGATCTCTTGCGTTCTCGGTCAGCAATGTTGATCCCATCATCGGCATCTTCACGACAATGTTCAGCAATCACACTGCGAACTACTTCTTCCAGAGCCCCGAGGACTATTTTGCGGCATTCGCCCCGGGGAACCTCGGGATAAGCTGGCTCGCCTCGAGAAGCAGGTTCAGTGCTGCTCTTCTCCTCTCCTGGACGATTCCGAGGTGAAGGTGTCCGAGAATGTGCCAGTGAAGATTGGCCACTCTGTGCAAGAACGCGTTCCACGGCATCAACGAGAGTGCCATCAAGATCCATGACCGTCTCTTCCACAAAAACCTCCTCATGACCGGAGGGATTCCCATCGGTACAATTGGAAGAGGTCTTGTTAGAGCTTGTACCATGGGAAAAGAAGCCGGAACTTTGGGTTACAGTGGAGCCAGCAGATACTTGGCGTGGAGTAACTGGGCGAGATGGGCTGACAGATGAAAATAAGCCTCCATTATCCACGTGAATCTTCCGTCTCAGACGCAACCGTTTAACAGAAAATGTCCGCGTATCTGCTATGAGTGTAGTAGCAACATCAACCCACTGCTCTGGCCCATCAAAGCTAGGAGTGAACGGAGGAAATGGCATCGCATCGGCTTCAGCCCGCATCGCACGCCTAATGTCAGTCTCTAAAGCAGCATACGGCCGTACTGCTTGGAGCGAGAAGTCCTCGTGAAATGTCTTCAGCCAGCCAGCGACGTTAACATTAGGGCAATCATAGTCCCGTGGTGAACAGTGGAATCCAACAGAGCCACTGCTGTGTGTCGATGCCATAGCATCAACGCTCGTTACCGAAGTTCGTGGTTTCTTAGGCGAGGCTACAGTGGAGTCACCAGAAGACGAAAGAGATACAAACCCAGGTAGAGGGAGGCCAACATCAACCACACCATCCTCAGCGCGTACGAACAATTTCAACGGAGACTCCTTGGCATAGTCAGCCATGGAAGGCGACTCTTGCAGATCCTCTGCAACGTCGTCGGACGTGGCAGGCGTCTTCGGGATCGAGATATTGCCACTCGCTCTGATTTCCGAAGCATGTTCGCGGATAGGGGTATTCGAGGCTTCTCTGACCATCTGACTCAGGTTAATTGGGCCTCTTCTTGGAGGGCCAACAACTGCAGAAACTGATCGCTTGTGGATCTCGGGGACGGTAACTTCACGACCTGTGGAGGTCCCTTGGCGAGAGCTCCAAAGCCCTGACAAGAGATTGCCCCAGCGGCCACCCGCCGAAGAAATGCCACTGTTGCTGCTGGCATTAGTGCTCCCGCTTCTTTTCAAGCTTTTCAACAAGGTTTCTGAGGCAAAGCTCTCATTTCCATCGACCACAGTGGAGTCGGTTCCGTCGTGAGCAGACCTTCCTTGTCCCGAAGAAAAGTGTGGCACAGGGACTGTGGCACTCGGTGTTGCAGCAGAGACAGTAGCTACACTAGCCCTAGTACCTCGAACATCTGACGAATGCATAGGGACATTCAGGGTTCTTATGGAACGAGCATCCGAACCTCTTCTGCTGCCCAAGTAGTCGGTAGGAACGTTTGATTCAAAGTCGTCCGTCCCCCTATGTGAAGTCTCATTGGACGAGACGCTCACTGATCTCTCATGGTCGTCACCATCTCCCAGATTCAAGCGTTGCGCACGGGACCGGCGCTCAATGACCTTGCGAAGTTCTTCCTGTCGGAGCAAAGGAACGCTGGGTGGGCTCTGTGAAACATTACGCACAGACGCACTAGTTTCTGGCCTGACAGGGGACGAAAACGGCTCAAAACGTTGCTTTGCTGGTAGAAAGGCAGCCAAAAGAAAGATCAGCTTCCTGGCCGTCATCTTGTCCGGAGAGATGATTACGGTCCGTTGCGATATAACAGGATCCGAATCTTGCTGGGCCTTTTGCCGTAAATAATTACGGCGCCTGTACCAATCCGGACTCATAGAGTTGAGCCATTCCGTATGGTTTCCCAGAAATGCAGTGATCAAGACCAGAAAGAAAAAGCTATGCTCTTTGTCACCGAGGTTACGGACGATTGAACGACCTTCTTCCCGCCAGACACCCCATCGGCTTTGTCCAGTCACAACATACGGTGTCTGGAGAGCCCTGCTAATCCTCCGAGTGCTTTGCAGCGATTCATCCTTGAGGGTCGAATTCACTGAGAGTATATTTGCGGGAAGGTGGACAATGGTCTGGTTCGTCCGTTGCATATTCGGAGCCTTGGCAGGCTTTGGGTGAGGGCCGGACAACGCATCAACTTTCTTCAAGAGAAAAAGGATCTCCTTCCGAGCTAGTCTTTCCAGGTGTGACAGGGTGCGAGTGATGACGTCCCAGTGGTCCACCAACACGTCAATCCTTTCATCTAAGCTAGCAGGTGGGGAAGCGAGAGACATGCTGTCATCGAGGAACCCGTTTCGCCAACGCTGACCGGAATCGAGCGAGCATGACATGGGCAGCCTGGGGGAATCCGGGCCGACCCGTGATGAACGGCCTGAGGTCCGTGACAGTAAGGGGATTTGAATGGTGATAGCTACAGCGTACATTGGAGTCTTCTTTTCTTTGATCTTCTTGAACTTCGTGGGATCATGAAACGGAAAACCTGCTTCGGGTGGCAGAGACTCTTGGTAGGTGGAAGCGACGGAACTACGCCGGTCCACGGACGAAGCATCACCGCCATCGGGGAGATTGACACTGAACATTCTGGTCAAGAGCACAGTCACCTTTGACGGAGGCTTGTTGTCATTAACCCGCTCAGGGCTATGGCTCGAAAGGCCAGCAGAGCTCCCTGTGGTGTGCGCCCGAGAGAGCGGGCTCCTTGCCGGAATACCCCGCGGATCAGTGCTCTGAGATGTAGACAATGCGGCCCCTGTGTTTTCCGGTTCATCGTCGGCCGATATGATGTGCATTTTTGTGGATGAGCCCCGATAGCTGAAGGCGCTGCTGCCAAATATACAATTTAATAGACCGGAATCGTTTGAGTCAGCGGAATGACGGGAATGATATGATTCGTGAACCCCAGCTGTCGGTGACAATGTCGAGCTGCGACCTCGAGCGCGTGAAAAGGCTCCAGGGCTAACTGGAGACGACCTCCGAGCATCAAGCGGGCCGAAGTACGAATTCTGCTCGTGACCCAGCATGTAGCCACGCCGCGAACCGCGGGAGAGACTGGAGACCGTACGAGCATGATTGAATCCAGACGGCTCAATGACCGGGGGTTCCGAAGATGGCGCACGAGTATCCAGCAGCACACACGCATCCCGATCCCCGAGGGAATTCTGCGCGATAATCACCCGGAAATCCTTCACCGGATCCAAATCGATAGCACCGCGATCATCATAGGCACCGGCTGTCGAGGCATTTGGAGAATGGAAGGACGTCTGAAGAGGATAGGCATTGGTGTTGGAGCGTCGCAGTAGACTGGCATCCGGGAACAGCAACCCAGAGGTGTGTTCCTCCTCGGTAACGGACTCGAGGTGGGTGGTATTCCGCGAGGTATAAGCGGCTGGGTTCAACGTCGAGGCAGCCGTGCTCAACAGTCGCCCCAGCATGTTGTTAGGCTGCAAGTGGTTACGCAGAGCGATGGCAGACTAGGTTAGAATAGACAGAAGCAACTAATGAGGATAAAGAGACAGGCGGGATTCCTCCCGTACAGGTCCGGCAAGCGGCTTTAAGGATGAACAGTAGCTGCCTGGATTCCGGACCCCATAGTCCCCTGCTGCGTCCACAAAGGTAGGAACCACCAAGTGAAAAATGTGTCAAGTCCTCTGGATGTAGTAGGAATGGGTATGAGATTATGATAAAGGAAGGGTCTTGTTGACTCGATAAAGCACAAGTATCTTTCGACAAACAAATTGGTGCGTGGGGGATCAAGTCAGAAGAAGTCAAGACAGCATATAACCAGATGCACAGTGAAGAAGGAGCGGCAGTGAAAGCACAGCTTCAAAGGACAGATGTGATAGAGAGAAAAGACAGAATGATGCTGCTGGAGGTGACGGATGATCTTAGGATACTGGCGATATTCACTCCGCGCAGGAAAACAGAGGAAGGGCCAAAAGGCGGTAAGGTGTATGTAATTCTGTAATTCCGTTACAGGCCGGTATCAGGAATTCCCTCCACATGACCTCTAGGTTGCCCCTTTTGAACAGCAACAACCACCATCTACTTGGTATCTACAGGAGGACTATTCAGAGTAGTAAATACTGGACAAGATGCCGGGAATACAAGAAGCTGTGTACGCTGGCTATCAGCGGGGAAGCTATGTCCGCTCTCATCTCTCAGCACGGATTACCATCCCCGTAACATGCATGCGCGCTGCATCATTGACATCATCACTACGGAACAATAATGATAGTAGCACTCAACAAAGCACAGCCTCATGGATATATCTATCGAGTGTATTGAAGCTCACTTGTTGGTACGGAGGCGCTCCGTAGCCACATCCTGGATATCCTCAACCGACCATGGCTGGAAACAGATAACCCAAGCACGGCGATAATAATCCTGCTGCCTCTGTGCCCCTTTCTTACATCTCACAGGATGTACTAAAGGAAATAATGAGGGAATGCATAATGAGCCAAAATCAAGTCTTTTGCGTCTTTCGTTTGACTTTCTCGACCAACTTTTTGAGGTCATCCTGTCCGTCAGCCGCCCTCTTCGCATCAGACTTCTTTCTCTGTTTCTTGCTTCTCTCAGGGCCCTCATCCTCGTCCAGAGTCTCCTGGTTTCTCCTCCGCTTACGTCCCTCTTCTAGCAGCGCTTTCATGCCAGATGTCGGCTTGAATCGTGGGTTGGTCGGGTCGATCGCGAATTCGTGGCTCTCGTACAAACGAGCAAAACGTGGATCGTCGACGTTCATCTGGAAGTTGTCGGCGGCGGCTGATGTCTCATCCTGTCTGCTGCCTGTTGCCTTGTTCTTGCCCTTCTTCTTCTTGCGAGCCTGCTTCTCGGCTTTTTCTATTTCATTCATGTCAAAATGCTTGATTTCAGATTGCTTGTCGTCCATCATCAGTAGCTCCAGTTCCGCGCGTTTCGCGGCCGCTGCAGCTTCTTCAGCTGCACGCTCTTCACGTTTCTTGCGCTTCTCTTCTTTGCGATGTGCCTTTGCTGCGGCCTTGCCGTCTGGGTCGTCGAAAAATGGATCGTCGAATCCTAGGTCTTCTTTCGATTCTGCATCATTGGCTTCTACTTTCGCGGCGGCAGACTCGTGGTCGCTTTCCTCGTTTCCTGGTTCAGCGACCGTCTCGCCGCGCTTGGCTGCCTTCAGCCGCTCCTTTCTTCGCTTCTTCCTCTCGCGCTCCTTGCGCACGTACTTGTCGATCGTAGTCTCCTCGGGCTCAGGCTCGTTCTCAAAGATAGTGTCCCGCTTGGGATCGCCGGCCAGACCCGACGTAAAGGTGACTTCCATTTCCCCAACAGGCCCATCTGACTTGGAGGATTTGGACGGCTCCGTGCTCAAGCCCAGTAATGCGCGCATGCGTTGCTTCTCTGCCTCCTTTTTGGATAACTTGGAGCTTGATTCGCCCTTCCCGGTAGTAGCATCGACAACTTCCACTTGTCCATCTTCATCCTCCTCGTCGGAATTATCGCTAGCCAAATAGGCTTTAAGATCATCTTCATCGATTTCCTTCCGGCTTCTGCTGAAAACGCGAGCTTGTGCCTCTTGACGAGACTTGTCATCCGCATCCCAAGTCAACTTGACTTTACTGTGCTGAAGTGCATCAGTGACAAACTCATTCGGCCTGTACCCATCCGGTATCCGTTCACATTCATCCCGGGGCTTGTCATAGGTGAAGTCTGTTTCGTTGGGTACAAATCGAAGGTCGAAAAAGTTGGCACTAGACAGATACTCGGCGCCATCCACCAGATCGTAGACATGCTTCGCTACGTCCTTCGACGAAAAGGTCAGAATAGCATAGTAGTATCGTAGCCTCTCGAGCTGATAGCGACGTAGTTGCGTGGAATTGAAGTCTTCACCCTTGTCTTCCTTCAACATGGACTTTTTAATCTTCTCTTCCTCCTCGTCAGAGTCGACTTCTTCTTCTTCTTCTTCTTCCTCCTCCACGTCACTATCCTGTTTCTTTGCAAATATTTCCCTCGGAGGTCCTTCGATTTCTTCCCGCTCTATCCGTTCCTTGCCAAATTCGCTTGGGTACACAGAAACCTTCAACACCCGACCCCCGGGAGGAAGAAAACTGTGAAAAACCGCCATCAGATCCTCCGCACGAACATTATCCCAATCGAGGTTCACGACTGCTATTCGGTCCGTGACTTCTCCCATCGGCACATCAGCCTGCTGCTTATCTGGGAAATCGAGCTCCTCGCCAGAATCCTCGATCTCATCTTCAGACTCTTCCTCACTCGAGCTTTCCTCCTCGGATGACGATTCAGAGTACCCGCCATCTCTCGCAGGATCGTAAGGTCGATCTTCGACCCTTTTCAGTTCTCGCTGGACTTCCTCATCGTCATCAATGCTGACCTCGCTTTCCCTTTCCTCCCCGTCCTCTTCTTCCTCCTCGTCTAGCTGGTAGAATTTCTGCAGCTGCTTCTTCGTGTCATCACGGGCGAGTTTGCGGCCATATCGATCTACGGCTGCGTTCCGAGAGAAATCCTTGTCGCGCAGCATGCGCGAGAAACGCTTGTCGAGCTTCACATGAGTCTGGCGTTTGCTAGGAAGACGATAACGAGGGTCGGTCTGGATGCTGGCAAATCTAGGATCGGCTAGAGAGTGTAATCGTATATGTTAGCAGGTGTAATGCAAGACTTGAAAGGGGAAGAGTAGAAATACGGCACATACTGATCGCAGAGGCTTGAGCTTTTTCTCCGCCGCTTTTTTTGGATTTCTTCCTTTCAGGATCTGGCATTGTGAACGTGTGTGCTATATTAGAAAAAAATAATCAATACAATGAGAGGATGCCTCGATGGTTTATAAATAATTTGAATTTTTTTTTCCCCCTTCGAGAATAGGACGGACCCGGCCTTGTATACTTTTTTTGCGGCGATATCATCACGTGATATGGGCTACCTCGACTGATAAAAACAGCACAATAACATTAATAACAGTCAATAATAGTCACTCCTCGCAGGAGACCGGGAAAGTTATATATTTCTAGGATGATCTGGTATCATGTTTGATATCACTTTATTCATTACTCTACTGGTCTTAAATGCACCTAATATTCAACTCCTTCCATAAACATGCGTCAAGACAGATATATATACCCAGGTGAAGCACCATACACCGTGCTTGAATGCAGATTAAAATCACTTCATAGACAATCCATCAAACTTACCAGTCTCAACAAACTGGCAACTTCAGCACCCAAAATACCTCTTTTCTATCCATCTGGGCTCCCCCTCCTCTTCAATGCGTCCCACTACGACCTTGACCTTGGGGTACACCGTGCTTAACCGCTTCAATCCCTTGTTACCGGCAGCACATGTCACAAAAACAATCCTCTGTTCTTCAACACCATGGTCAATCAAGACCCGGACTGCCATTAAAGCAGCACCGCCGCTCGACATTTGAGGATCGAGGAGCATGACAGTGGTATGGTGTTCAATACCTGGAGGGAGTTTCAGGTAGTGTAATTGAGGCTCTTGCTTGTCCTTATCCGTCTGTATGAGAATGCGACCGGTGATACAGTCAGGAATGGTCCGTTTCAGCGCCGTCTCCATACAGGACCCGCCACGGAGAATTGCAACAGCAGACGTGATGCCCACTCGGGATAGACCGTTATAAGTATAACCCTGGGGTGTCGTAGCGGTCATAGGCTCGTATTCCGTATAATCCAATGCCCTTGTCGGGAGTTAGCCTGCCTCTTCTTTCCTTTCCCCGCATTCCACTCAATGTCAAAGAGATATATGTACTCACTTCTCGATCAGCAGAGCAGCAAGCCTGTCAAAATAGAATACGAAATCGACATAGTCCGTTGATGGATCCTGCAAGATAGTATTCATGCCGAGAAATTGCGACGTCGGGGACATCACCTGCACGTAAGGAGATAGATCCCCATCTAAGGCGATAAGACCGAGTTTGCGCAGATCTTCGCTATGCTTCTCAGACTTCTCCTGTAGTCTGCGTTGAATATGCTTCACCACCATATCTGAGAACGTTTAGCTTCGTGGCATGACCGCCACAATTCACCAGGACGTCTTACCGATAGCTGTTTTGTTTTCAATTCCGCGGGGGATGATAATATCTGCCGTCGCCATTAGAGCAAGAATCAACCGGGGATACAAGGAACCGCAAACCTGAGATAGCCCTCTGAGGTTCCACGTATTTCCTGTAGGATGGCTTGACAAAGCCAAACCATTGTTTTATGACCCCTTCAATATCACGCCCTCTTTCGCTGACATCACGCAGGACTTTACTTCCGTTCTTGTTAGCAGAATGCTTGCAAATTTAATACATATGGCATTTGCCTACTTCTACGTCCAAGGCATACATCCATGTCTGCTTCGACAAAGATCTACGTGATCGTTAGAACGGCAGCTGGGACCCGGGGCATTCAAAGGGCCAGCTCACCTTGACATCCAACATCTCCAGGATTCTAGGGTCATGAAGTGCAAGAATTCCCTCTAGTATAAGGACATGCGGCGAATAGAGAGGTGTGGTGTAAGGCTGACGTTGGTGTTCCGCGAATGAGTAGACAGGGATATTCGTTTTCTTCCTTTTGCAGCCATAATCCTGTCAGTCGCTACGAAACACAATGGCCAGACAGTTGAAACAACAACAAATTAGCGGCAGTTAGCAGGAGAAGCACAGGCATTACCCTTGTTTCAAGTCCTTTAAGGTCTGTACTAGGATATCGAAATCCAGAGACTCAGGGCAGTCAAAGTCATATTCATTGGCATGGGCTTTGACACTTTCCTCCGGCGTCAAGGTTTTATAGAAGGAGTCCTGTCCACAGAACGGAGGTTAGAACCTTGATGAACGCGGCGTTTTGTTCTCCACCTTATGACGGATAATAGAAGATAATACCATTACGAGGATGACGACCCATGGAAGATTCAGCGACTTCACAATCTGCATAGCTACCGAAGTCTTCCCCGAGCCGGAAGAGCCCGCGACACCGATGATCGTGACATCGTCCCATGGAGGAGAGTACCGCACTTCCGTCGTGGAGGATATGAGGGGGGGTTTGGACTCCATCGTGGCCAGCTGCCAGAACCGAGAGCGCTGGACACGGAAGATTCCGAGTGACGAAGCTTTTTTGGGTGTTGATTTTGAATATGCTTATCTTTCCCGCTGCGGCTTATCTCCCGTGACCAAATAGGGCTTAGTAAAACCACGTGATTCCACATGACTTCGCTTGCACCTGACCACCAAAATCCCCTTTCCCTTCTTTCCCTTCTTGTCTTCCTTTTCTTCTCCCGTTACCTCTGTCCTCAGACAGACGGACTCACAACCACCACCCGCATTTGACACACACTCTACCCTGTAGCAGAAAGAGCTGCTTGGAACCAGCTCACCATGTCTTCAGCGAACTTAGTATGGTTCCCGACATGTGCGGTGCACCTGGTTGCCTAGTTTTAACGGGAAGCAGACGTCCCCAACTCCCTCGACAGCAACGCCAACATGGCTACAGTTCGAGCGGAAAGTCGAAGAGGTCAAGCCGTCCAAGACGTAAGTCACTTCCTTCCATTTATCCTCTCCGACGGTCGGTCTGGATTGTTTCCACGTCGGTTCCTCTTCACATGATGTGTTTAAATTCAAGTTGGGAATCTCTCTGAAAATATCTTGAAAGAGAACATATTAACTTGTACCTCTGATTTCTTCCCTTATGCTTTTTATATGTGATGACCATTTCCATTCTGTCCAAGTTGGTTGTTAACTTTCTATCTCCGTACAGTGATATCAACTACTTAGTGATGGACTACCTCATCACAAATGGCTATCCTGCTGCTGCGAAGAAGTTTGCAGCTGAGGCTAACATTCGGCCGAGAGTGGATTTTGAGTCGATTCAGGAAAGAGTGGATATTCGCACTGCGATCCATTCTGGCGACATCAAGACCGCAATCGAGAAAATCAATGAACTAAACCCTCAGGTATGCTTGGCCCATCGTGTTTGTGCCTTCGCACCCCATCGCCTTTGCTATGATTATACCAGTTTCATGCACCACTCCTAAGTGCTCCCTTCGGGGGTCTTGAGGAAAAACAAACATCTTCAGTCCTCAGTATGAGCGACAATGCGTTGTGTTCTCAATATTGACCTGATTGCTTCTTGGTGTACTATCACTAACCCAGAACATAGATTCTAGATGAAAACCCATCGTTGCATTTTTCCTTATTGCGTCTGCAGTTGATCGAACTGATCCGTGCCTCCGCGTCCAGTCCTGATAGAGATATTGGCCCTGCGCTGGAGTTTGCAACCTCGGAGCTTGCACCTCGGGCACCTACCAATCCTAAATTCCTCGATGACTTGGAAAAGACACTGGCTCTGTTAATATTCCCTTCAGATAATCTCGATCCCTCCCTGGCACCTTTGTTAAGTTCAGACTTGCGTAAGGAGATCGCAACTCGTGTGAACGAGGCGATTCTACAAAGCCAAGGTTCCCGTAAGGAAGCTCGCCTACGCAATCTCGTTAGGTTGCGCGCATGGGCGGAACGAAAGGCTCGTGAAGCTAAAAAGGATATCCCCGAGAAGCTGGACCTTGGCCTCGTTGGAGAAAACAACCTCATGAGTTCTGACCGGAATGGCAGCTCCAACGATACTGAAATGACAAATAGCGGGGATATTGACCCGATGATCTCATGATTGGACACGGTCAACGACAGTTGACGTGTGATGCAACTCTTATGACCTCCATACTGTTGTCTTTGTCATATCTAGCGAGGCGTTTTGGCGTTCTTTTCACTAAACCTAGCAATAGCTGTAACCTGTTCTACATGTTTGTGAACATAATTTAATGAAAGTGGCCTGGCTGCCAGTTGTACTTTTGTTGCTCCACTTCTATACGCAGCTAGACCAGAGGGTAAATGATGTACTACCAATCAGAACTACACTCACAAATGGAGTAGGGTAAGTCAGTCCATACGCCTGTCGCTGAAGCCACAGGAGATCGTAATATGTCTGGGATGGACTCTTGAGTTCCCCTTCTGGACAGCGCAGCGACTGGCGACGATAGGGCTCTCTGGCGGAGGAGAAAAGCAGCAGTTCCTGGACCGTGTTCTGATCCTGGTGCGGTCTCCTTCAATAGGGGGTGAGCAGCATTTCGGCCGTTGCTTCGGCCTCTTGGAGGGCCGGCGCCTTACGAGCATTCGCGCAGCGATGGCGAGTAGCAAATACCACTGCGATGAGTCCCGCTACCACCATGCGAACGAGACAGGAATTCATGGAGAAGATTCCCAAAGAAGAAAATACATGAGAAACCTGAGACTATTCAATCGAATCAAATAGAATGCAGAAGGTGGGACTGTTCGGTTTGAACCAAGTATAACTACTGCCCCCGTAGGCCGTTCCACGCTGTAGAATGCCTCCAATATGCCGCCATGGAGGTTCGGACCCGTTCCAGAGGAAGATGAGCTCCTAACAGTGTGTGCGAGAGAGAGAGAGAACAAATGGAAAGAAGTAGAAATCCAAGCTATGTAATCTATAATTTAGTCAAAAAATTCGTACACCATTCCAAGGCATAGTAGTAATAGATATATTGGCATCCCAAAAGACAGAAAATGGCCAGAGATGACATCACCACTGATATCCAAAAAGGAGTATCAGGAGAAAAGGGCCTTTCTCTTGACGGAATAGCTGCTCCTCTCTGAGGTGAGACCCATCATGTGTATGTTTAGTAACTCATGAGGTCTGGGAAAAGAAAGTCAGTTAAGAGCCGTTACATCAGGCCACAGGGAAACACACCTCTCCCAAAAAGAGTTCTCTTAGCCCAATCCATGGCCAGCATGCAACGCGTCCGGAAACTGACACTCTCGGCAAAATAAACGCTACGCCAGAGGTACATGGCTAGGAGACCGCCGCTAAAGCTCAAACCGCTGAAATCGAAGATTGCTGAATTGCTGAGATATGCCAAGCTTCCCAGATGCTTATACTTGAAGGCTTTGTAGACGGCGGCATCGAGATCGCCGTAGTCAATCTGGTTGGCCCTCAAGCCGGGGAGTGCGGCTGCGATTTTGGAGAGTTTGCGGCCTAAATATTCACCCTGCTGGTTGGCGCGTTGGGCAGTGGCGGGAAGGGAGGTGAGCTTCGAGTCTATTTGGCGGAGGAGTTCTTGTAATTCGCCAAAGTCAAGCGTTCCAGAATGATCAATGTCGTACTGCTCAAAGAGCTTATCTAGTCGGCGGAGATGGCTGCTGGCTTGGGGAAAGCGCTTCCTGACGTGAGCCGCGACCTGCATCCACTCCTTGAAGGTGATTTCTGTCTTCTCAGGATCCTTGCCCCCTTTGAGAACCAGAGCCCGTAGGAAGGAAACAATGTTGTCGGCCAAATTGTTTTGAACCGTCGAACAATCACCGATAGCATATACGTCTCCCAGCGGAGCGCCGATCACACGCAGATGTGAGTCCGTCTCCAGTGCTCTCTTGTTAGTCTGTGCCTCGAGCTTGTCAGAGAGCTTCTCGCAAAGTTCTGCTCGGGCTGCAACAGAGGTCAGTCATGGATGAACTTCGATTCTGAGAGAATGGCATTACTCACAAACTCCAGTTGACCATAAACAGAATCCCATTGGGATCTCTTTGAGAATAGGTTTGCCATCCTCCATCTGCGTGAATAGAACTCTATCCTTTTGGATTTCCTTTACTCGGGAGTTTGTCAGAACGTCGACATGGTCGCGTGCAAAGTGGGCCTTCTCAAATCAGCATCCATTCTTCCAGCAAGTATACAACAAAGCAGACGTACCTCAGCGTATTTGGAGAGTACCTCATCATAGGTATTCAAAATGTGAGACCTGCTGTGGATAACATGCACAGAGATCTCGTTTCTAATAATCTTGGGGAAATGGTTAAGGATATCCTCGTTGAGCAAGTCAAATAGCTCCGCTGCGAATTCAACGCCAGTGGGGCCTCCGCCGCAAACAACAAACGAAAGCAGACGCTTGCGCTCGTCATCAGAGGTTGTCGGCAAACAGGCTAGCTCTAGGTTTTCGAGTACAGCATTTTTAATCCTCCGAGCATCATCAATAGTTTTCAAGTAGTGACAATGGTCAAGGCCCTTAACGCCATGTGGATTTGTGATACAACCTGAAATATTGTATTGTTAGCCAACGTATTTCCAGAGCAAATAAAATTAGTCACCCCGAGAAAGGGACGGAGGAGCTCAGCCATACCGACGGCAATTACGAGTTTATCATATGGGAGATAGAAGCGCTGTTCCTTGCCGTTGGCATCGACCTGGGAAACCTCTACCAGTTTCTCAGCGAAGTCCACATCTACCGCCTTGCCCTTCAAGAAATGGCCATGAATACGTCGGATGACGCGCCGAATAGGCTCGACCAGCGACCTGAGCCCGAGTGTCCCCACCGTTGCTGAAGGCAGCATCGGAGTGAACAGAAAGTAGTTCGAGGGAGAAACCACGGTGACGTGGTAATCGCCCGGATGGAGATTCTTGAGCAACGCAACACTTCCCCAGCCGGTTCCCAGAACCACGAGTCTGGGCTTGTCACTTGTAGCCGCCCTCTCTGGGGTATCCTCGTCTCCCACCAGGACCTCCGCCATAGGGAGATTCTTCGGTCCACCACGCCGGGGATTCAGTGCAATCTGTGGCACAGGAACGTCCTCGACTACAGGCTCTTCGCGGTACGTGGTTGCATCGTAGATGAAGAAGCTTACAATAACTGCGCCAACAGACGAGACAATGACTCCCAAAAAGACAAACACCTTCGTCACAGCTTTGAAGCCAGGAGACTGACGTAGCTTTTCAGTGACTGATGAGTTGTGACGAAGGAAGGACGCATTGGGTCGAAATGGACGCAATGCAAGGCCATTGGTAACGGGCCTCCGACGAGGAGCATGAAGGCCACGACGTGCCACGAGTCCTCTCACCACAGGAGACCTCAGAGGGTATAGCTGGTGCGATTGGAGTGCAATTCGCCTCAGCGCCAAGCCATCCAGCCGGCTCCGGAGCAATGTTGCGCTCATAGCTCAGCAGGGTGCGGGAACAAGAGAAGACCAGGAGTAGCGAATACCATTCACGCCAGGATGAAAGGCGCCATAACCAAATGCTCCCAGGACAGAACGAGATCAGGGAAGAGAAGGAAAGCAAAGGGAAGCGACGCGCTGAGAGAGCTTTGAAGCTCCTCCGACGTCATCACGGGCAGGTCACGTGGCGGGACCGGTTAGGACGGAGCAGCCCCAGCCACAGCTATGCCCATTCTTTATCACCGGCAAAAGCATATTCTCGATTTGATTATGATTATGGAGGTTGCATGGAGTAATAACTTACGTTTATCTATCATTAGAGTCTGTATCTGCATAACATCGCATGGCTCAAGTGTCCTGCCCAAAGTCCCGAAGATCCATAAAGATAATAGATAATAGATCCATAATAGTAGCCATAAATCTCGCCCTTGAACTCTGAATAAATCCTTAGAAAGCTTGCTTAAACGCCAGTAGACCCCGTATGCTAGCCTTGTATATCATACAATATGACCAGTGAGCAGTTTTGGACCATAGTGCCTCAGTCCCAGCTTTCCTCTTCCGATTCCATGCTGGCTCTTTTTCTTCCACCGGTGCTTTTTCTTCCCTTAGGCCGCTTGATCGGATTACTCCCAGAAACAGAATTCTTCCGTTTGCCAGGTCGACGGGTATCGGCAGCCGTCTCATCTAGATCAGCAGACCCATCGATGCCGTCGTCGTCTGCGTCGTCATTTGCAATCTTGAATTCCTCGTCAATGGCAAGTAGCGTCGCAAATTCCCGGCATTTGGTCACCATACTGTCTTCGCTATCTAGCGCTGCCATATTTCTTGCAACGGCTTCCCAGAATTTGTCACCAGTTACTCCATGCACCTTCGTGGGCGCTTTATGCAGTTCTTTCGACGCAGCTTTACCCTCCTTATCTCGGATTTGAGGTCCCAGCCCATAAAGGCGACGAAGATAAGTTCGGGCTTCCCAGAGCATGGAAAGTACTGCAGATGCAGTGGCCAGCAGCCGCAACGTACCAGTGTCAATTTGGCGTGTAGGGACCCGGTTGGCAGGTGGCTCGGTAGTGGGGATCGCAGAAATACCACCAGGAAGAGGCCCAGTCTCATTCTGTGCAGGAAAGAGTTCCGTTTCGATTGTGTGAGCTACAGCAGTCCCGGTAGCGGCAACGATACGTTCCATGCATCCAATTGTCGGTACAAGCTCGGCTAACTGGCCGTATTCGAAAAAAGCGAGATTTTGTGTCATGAACCTGGCGAGCAGTAGATGCTCCGGTGGAGTTCCACTGACGTTAAGGTCCTTCAACTCAAAATTAACTTTTGAGCAGAGATTAGAAAGGAATTTCTTTTGATATCGACTATTGCTAGTCTTGATGATCTCAAATAGAGGGGCGAGTTTTGCGGTGTATGGCCGAGTAAGTGCACCGCTAGGATCACCAACAACGTCACGCTGGTAATGGAACGCTTCTTGAACGGCCCGCATGTACTCCCTCTCAAACATGGATTCGTACTGTTGGTGAAGAGATTTATGGGTGTCAAAGGCAACCTTAGCTATGGCCGGCACTGTCGAGGTCTCCAGTGAAACAAGAACTCCTGCGCACTCCTTAGGATGTACGAGGCCCTGGCGATTAATGCTGGCGATAAGTTCGATGGCGGTCAGTGCGTAGGTGTCCTGACGAGACTGTGCGATCCTGAGCATGTCGTGGAGGAAATGCTGGGCGATCAGTGCCGCGGCCCCATCGTTGTCACTGGCTTTTAGTGAACCCCCAAATACCGTGGAGCTCTCCTGGTCCTGGTCCGGCACCGCAGCGGACGGCATGGTTGACATGTCAGATTTACCTTCATGAATGGCGAAGAAGTCTGCAAAAGATCTCAGAACGATATTTTGCAGGCTCGGATTGTCCTCCTTGAAGATCATGGACAATACACGCCTTGGTTCTTCCCTGCTGAATTGACCGGGCCAAGACTGGCAGATCGAACCCAAACTTTCGAAAGCCATGACTCTCAGTTCCAGAGGCTGTTTGGGAAGAGTGTAGGGGATGATAGCATCCACCAATAGGCCAGCTACAGAACCCCCCTTCCATGAAGGAAACGCATTCTTGAAGTACGGCTCATACTTCTCGAGGTTGCAGTGTCTTCCAACACATCCAGCAATTCGGATATAGCTCCGGGTGCGGGCTAGATCCACCGAGGATTGGATTCCCTTCACCACAGAAATTGTAAGCTTGACAAGGCGTTCAGTATTTCGCAGCACGCCGTTAATAGTCCAAAGACAAGACATGACCTCATTCAGCTCTGCGCGAGCCAGCTTAGCCACGCTCTTAAAGAGATCATTCTGAACTTCTTTCAATAGAGTATTATGAGCTGAGGATAAGTACGGCAAAACATGACGATAAATCACAACAACTGATCTGAAAACAAAAAGATCATCCGCTGTGACAAGATTTCCGATGTAGGGATGAAGAGCTTCCAGCTGGTCGGGACTGAACAGCTTTGCATTTGCATTGGCAAATACGGCAATTGTTTGTAACAGAGCCTGTTGATGCTCCTTGCCTAAAGAATCGGAGTCCTCCACCAACTTTTCAAACATCGTAGAGACCATTGCCTTGCATACTTTGAAATTGGACGACGCGGACTTCGAGTTATTGAACAGCAGTTTCTTAAGACAGGTACCGAGTGTTTCAAGCGCGGATTCACTGCGCTGTACCAAGTTGACTATCAAAGTCACTTGTTCTCCCAGAGCTACCTTTAACTTTGGACTATCCTGAGAAGAGCCAATGGATCCATGGAATGGAGCGAGCCATATTTCTTCAATCGTTTGTCGTCCTAAAGTGGCAACGCTATCCTCCAAGTCCTCAGTCCGCTGAAGGAAACTGTCAAGAATAGCAAGCTTCAGCTCATTACGCTGCGTCTTCAGGTAGATGTCTTTCAGCAAAGGAATACATCGTTTTCTCACCCCAGCTGTAGGGTCAGCGGCACAAGCGAGTATGCTACGGCAACCCTCTTCTTCAAGTGCAGGCTTCAAGGAAATGCACTTCGCGATTAGCGATAAGGCAGAGTCCCGAACCATGGGGGATGCGTCAGCGGCGCACCGAAGGATAACACGCATGACTGACGCGTCCCTATCGAGAAGATTCGGGTCTTTTTCGAGCATATAAATTACACTCTTCAAACTACGACTGCGCACCTTGGCTTGGTCGCTGGCAATCGAGTTCAATAACACCTTGAGGATCGTGTCAAATGCCTTACAAAAGCTCGAATTCAAGACCGTTAAGATATAGGCAAACTTCCCATAAGAAGCGGGAATGGTTTGGAAAATCCTGTGACCTTTGGTTAATATTCCCATAAAAGTAAGGGTGATCGATTACATACTTATTAGTCTCCAGCCACCGTGGATCAGAGAATAATTTGGTGAGCAGAACGACAAGGTTGTCGGTTGCATTGTCATGAGCAATTTCATCGTTGTCTTCGGAGTTGTAATAAAGAGAGCAGGCCATCTTTGCCCACTGTGACAGATAATAACCCCGAGCACTAGTAACATGCCAATTGTTTGAGCTTTGGTCTTGTAAAGAGTACTCAAGCGTGATCCTGTATGGACCATCTACAACTATTAGATCTTGAGGGTGCAACGCGCGACGTGAAAAATCATCGAAAAGCTGTCGCAGATAATCGCTGAGATCGCTGCTGGAATCTTCTATGGCAGGTAACAGGTGCTGCGCCGTGACGGTTAGATCGGATATAGCGGAGCCCATCCAGCCTAGGAGCTCAAGCGCCATACTTTTGGCTGTAGCTGGACTCTTGTCAAGATCAGCAATGCCAACCATCTGAGATGCTAATATCCTGAGCATCAACTCTGCGGCTGGCCAATCCATGGAGCCGAGGACGCTAATAAGATCTTCTGTGAACAGATCAAGAATGTTTCGATAAGGCTGCTCGCCAGTTTTCGTAGACGTCATGGCACGCTGGACGATGAATTTCACAATGTACTGCGCACTGCGAACGGAATTATCGTACAGGCGGTTGACCTTAGTTGCAAGATATTCCAAGGACGCATCTGGATCATCGTCACCATCGGTTTCATTATCATTATTAAACTGTTCATCCACGTCCTTGTTAATCGACGTCGTCAATCGCCGCCTGGCCTTGAGCGATCTGCAAGCAGGGGTTTGCAAAGCAGTCGTTTGAACTAACTGCATAACCAATGCCGTCAGAAATTGAATATTCTTGCCGTCAACAAGCTTGAATTGTCTGGCACTCTGTCTAGTAGAGGGCAGCTTCTCCAACGACACCAGGATTTCGTCAAGAATATAAGGTCTTTGAGCAGGATATTTTGAAAATATTTTTGCCAGAACATCCATTGCTCCACGTCGGACGGACTCATATTTCTGGTAGCCAACCGCCGAATCCTTGTCTGTATGGGCGTTCTCAACAAAAATTAACTTGGCGGCAAAAAACTCAATCGCTGTAACTGTACCCTCCGAAATATCAATACGGGACAGGAAATCGGCCAGAGAAACCAGGACCCTTTTGCTTCGGGTAATGAGGCTCCCAATGACTTGCTTTTCAGCAGAGAAACACTCGAAGTACTTCGAATCCTTGCCGCCGGGACGTGATTCAACAACAGGGATGATGCAACGATCAAATGCCTGGTTCAGAACGTTTGGAATAACTTCAATCAACCCTTCGGGACAGAGATCTCGTTCATTCTGACCTCCGGACATCGACTGAAGAAGGGTGCCAATTGCGAAGAGCGCATTGAGAACATCCTCCAATTTCCCAGTCCAGTTCTGAACCTCGGATTCATTTAATGCGTCAGTCAACTCGAGATCAAGAGCCTGTGCAGCTATAATAGGCTTTTCGCAGAGTTTTTGCACGCGATTGATGTAATCTGATGGGATATCCTGGAGTCTCCCAAAGGCCGCCACTTTTACCATGGCCTTCTGAAGAAGATTGTGATAATCCGAAGATAGAATGTACCCGCTAACTTCAAGTGCGTTTGCAGCCGTGAATATTGCATTCGGTTGATCGACTGTCGTAGCGGAAGTATCTGGTTCGAGTTGATCCTCAGCTTCAAAGATCTCATGAAGAAGGTCTTGCAACTTTAAAAGTGCAGCATCCGCTTCTTCTTTTTGATCTTTCAAGCGAAGTGCCGTGAAATTGTCTCCGCCATCGGTATTCAGTTTGCGCCTTTTCGGATTTCCAGCGTCAATGGCCTGGCATCCCGAGAGGGGTTTCACAGGTATAACAACGGCCGGCCGGGGAAGATGAGTGCTGTTTTGAGAATCGATGATTTGATTGTTTGTTTCAAAAGCTCGCTCATTTATCGAGGATGCAAGATTCTGCGGAGACCTCTCTTTCTTGACCTTCGTGCTTGGAACGGACGAAGTAGGATCTTACATCACCCGTCAGTTTTCCAGTGTGAGAGGCCCCCGGCAAAGGAAAACTTACAGCGAAATGCCACATCTGTAGAATCCAGCATCATACTTGCGAACGCTCCGATACCGTTGCTACCGTGAGTATGATCGTCGATAGCTTTTTGATCCAGTATGATGGCGGGTTCCGTAGGAGGCTTGAATTTGCTAATAACAATACTGATAAGCAACTAGCATTGCCGAATGGGTGTCCATATACACTCACAATTCTGTCAATTTCTGTCCATCCAACAACTGTTGTAGGTATTCACGGGATGTCTCTAGGCGAGATGATTCGCCATGCCCAGATCGAATTTCGGTGTCAAGTTCGCTCTTAACTGTGCGACCAGCTTGTATAATATGATTAATTGATGTCGCAATAGAAGTTCGACCAATGTCAGGACGCAGTATGCAATCTAAGAAAGCAGCAGCAGCACGTATTAGATGAGGCTCCTGAACGCATGGCAACAAACGGATTTCGGACATGTCCAACCATACCTAAACCAAATACAGGCGAGCTAGACATAGGAGAGTACTGCAATGCCTCATCCACAGTCAATGGCCTTACTCGTTGCTGGGGCGGGCCATTCGAGCTGTACGGTTGTGCTTGAGCATGGCCGTTGATGATGACCTGCACCGTTGGATGTACAGGTTGGTCCATGGTGAGAGCTGTTTCGCTAACGAAACACAGAAAGGAAACAGAGGTGAGGGATCGAAGGGTGAGGATAACATGTCCCAGTCAGAGACATGGCTACCAGAGACAGGGGAGTGACCAAATTGACAACGTAGAAGCCTCTCAACTTCCCGTTCGAGAATCAAGTGACGGCAGTAAAACGCAGTACATAGCGATAATTTGATCCAGGCTGCCGTCGTCCTGCCAAGCTTCGTGACCGCCTTCCCTAGCGACTTTTAAAGGAGTCCGATTGAGTGGCTCGTGCGGACTGATCGGGAAAAAGATAAAAAAAAAGTTTTATGGAATCGAATACTATTGCTGGACATCTTCACAAATAATTTAAAACCACTCTAGGAATTTCTTATTTTTCGTCTTGGGACTGCAATATGTCTGCGATCGGTTCTTTGATCTTCTGCACAGATTGTGGAAACCTTCTACAGGAGTCAACAGGGAACGAGGACGCGGTGTTGGTCTGTGAGGTCTGCGGTGCTCGAAATAGAGGTGCGACAGTTTGATATTAGTGAGTTGCAATCGAATTGACTAAGGCTGACTTTTCTTTCAGATACATCTTCCACAGTAATCGTATCCGAGTCCAAGCCGAGCGCTTTTCCTTCCACTCTAAGAGCGAAAAGATCCGCAGTTCAAACGTTGACTGCAGAAGACAAACAGACCGAGGCTCTCACCCAACATACGTGTGCCAAATGTGGCAGGAAAGAAATGTACTATACTGCGCTACAGTTGCGTAGTGCAGATGAAGGCAGCACTATCTTCTATTCCTGCGTGTGTGGTTATAAGTATGCTTGCCCGCCCGACCCCAGCTTATCGATTGCATGTTAGGAGATTGTATGCTAATACTCTAACTCTACAGAGAGGTTATAAACAACTGAGAAACAAGAGAACTTTTATTTGTGGAATCAACGCTGTGTAGCCCTGCGAAACCTCAAGCAGCAGATACGGCCTCGGAGGGCGCATCCGGTATCAGCGCGTACTCCATTTCACCTGTTTTCTCGTATTCAGCCATGTCAAGTGCTACAATGACGCTATCCTTCACAACCTGCTCCGGGTCATTCAAGAATTCCCTCAGAGTCTCTTCCACGCCTTCACAGTCACCCAAGCTACCGAGCGCTTCCGCAGCTTCATGCCGTACCATACCCACTTCACTCTGGTTTCTAAGAGTGGTCGTGAGGCTAGGGATGGAGGCAGGGTGGCATAGCTGTCCAAAAACGAAGGCAATCTCGTGTCGGAAGAGTGCAGAAGGATCATGGAGCCCCTTGGCCAACGCCTCGACGGCACGAGCTGCCGTGGGCAGGTCTGGAGGAGAGGCAAGGTCACGCAGGGCAAACATGGCGCGGTATCTCTCAAACAAAGGAAGCTTTGTGTCCAATAGTCTTTTTTCCAATTCGGGGATCGAGGGTTCGGTAGTAGCCATTGGAAGAGGCGGGGCAGGGTCGATAGAAGTGAAGTCACTTAATTTCAAAGAAGAATTAATGCCAGCCATCCAATTTCTCCTAAGCGCAAATAGAGACTACAACGGAAAAGAAGTATCGTCAAAGTAGCACATACCTGGGTTTCAACTTCTCCTTTTTCCTTTCCTCGGAATTCTCCCACAAAATCCTATCCACAGCAATATCGCATGTCTCCCGGATCACCTCGTGCTCATTTTGATTATCCCTCAGCTCCTTCAGGAGATCCAAACTGTTCTTGTTGCCAAGAGCTCCCAGAGCCTCAGCAGCTTCATGACGACACATCATATCCTGAGCGCCGTCCCGCAACGCTTCCTTCAGGTATGGAATTGAATTGGGATTCCGGGATTGACCAAGACAATATGCAAGTTCATGTTTGAGCAAGGCTGAACTGGATGTAAAACCAGCCGCAATAGCTTCGATGGCAGGCAAGGTCCGTTCTGTAGGAGGCTGCAGACAGGCAAAATGTTTGAGGGAGAAGAGAGCGCGGAATCGACGTGCCAGAGGCTCAGATTCTGAAGTGAGGACTTTGCGGAGGGTGAGGATCGTGCTGTCTGCCTCCGCCATGGTGTTCGCTGTGGAGATTACTATCTCGTATTATTCGACGGATAATCGAGGATCGAGTTCTGAGTCCTGAATCAGAGTGCGAAGACAGAGGAGATATTTTTCATCCTTCTACCTTTTCTTAATCTTATCACAGCCCGATTAAATTTAGGTGGGGTGGCGGGGCGTTTAAAAGAACTTCTCTTTCCTGGCATCAGGCCATTATTCGTTTCCTTGAATTTTTCTTTTCTTCATGTCTCACTGTGCTATTATTAATACTATGTACTGGACTTATGATTCTAGCCTCTTGGGAAACCAAACCAACCGTAGTCCAAGTTAACTAGAATATTTGCAGGAGAAGCGTTCATGTTGAAAAATGGCCAGTTACTTCAGTACTACTCATCAAAAGGTCCTGTTGGAGAGGGAGAGAAATGGGTACAGCCAGTTTAATTCTTATTTTCTGTTGATGTAACCGCTATGCTTATACATATCCTCGTGGGATATATTGATGAGTAGGCCACTTCGGGGAACCCGCGAGTTGACGCCTATGCTTCGGTTAACTCAACCCGAACAGAACTGGCGGCGGAAACAAGGTAAAGATATCTTAACATTAAAGCTTTGAGTGCAGCATCAGCGCACGATCGTCCATCTCGATGGGTTTTGCGCATGGACCCATATGCTTCCGCGAGTGTACGGATATAGTCTCCGGTAGAACCATCAAGATATAGTCTTCAACATGAATTACGGAGCATCATGGCCTGGAATTCTCTCATATCTCATCCAGAGTGTAAAGTGCCCTGGGCTACAGTTAGTCCGGTTTCAATCCCAACAGACCATGGCGTGATCCAGGGAAAGATGCGTCAAACTCAAACACCTTCCCTTGTCTTCGTGGAAGGGATATCTGGCGTTTTTAATTTGAGGAAGTATCGGACGAACATCCAACAATAACGATCAATTCCACACAAAGCTCCACGTTATGTACATAAAATGTCAACGGACCATGGTTTATTTGGTCCGGATGTGCTTCAACTTCTTGGGCGAGTGAAGGAAGTTGTTTGCATACGCCTTTGGAACAAACTTGCGCTCATTAGGTTCCTGGACAAAATATTCATACCCCTGCCTCTCAGCAAAGGCGATAGCATCCTCCTTCGACTTGAAGTTCAGGTGGGTTCCCTGCATGCCATCGGCGGATGACTGCCAGCCCATCAGGGGGTTCTCCCATCGGTGTCCCCTCTCCAAAATATCCCAATCCATCCGCCAGTGATGGCCGTGCCAAGTTCCCGACTGAGTGGCAGGCTTCGTAGGACGATAGATTCTGGGAGAGGCAAGAGTCAACAAATGCAATCCACGCATCAATTGCGCTTACATACCTAACAGTTCGAGCCTGAAGATCCATAGGAGCACCAGAAACGATAGCAGCGGCCAGTGTGCCAGTTTCGCTGCCGTTCATAACACGCTTCGGCACAGGAGAGAAGGTACTGAAAGGGTGAAAATAATCAGTCAAAAGGTCACGGATGAAACGGCTAGAGTCCATACGAGGTGCCATGGTCAACACCAGCATTGTAGTCTGGCTGGTGACGGGCCATTGCTTCGGCAGGGGTCTCCTTGTTGATCAAGGAGCTCTCCTTGGGGGGCGTAGTCGGAGCATCCTCAGGGCTGGTCTTGCGCGCATCGGTACCGCGAGCAGCGACAGAGGAGACGAAACGTGTATTCACAGGTGCAGCGAGTTTGCTTACTCTGAAACAGACAGAGCCTCCCGTCCTAATGAACGACATTGTGGCCGATACTCTGGTGCGAGGCGACAGTGGATTGCAGTTGATAGCCTGCAGGTGAAGTAATTGGCGAGTTGCTGCTGGTTGAGGCGGAACCGAATGCGGTTAGCGCAGGTTGAACCGCTTCATCCCGATTCCCGACAGTCCGCTTCTCTTTGGCACTTCCCTTCGACTCGTCTGCCTTTTTTCCTGGTCCAATTGCCTGTTGAACCAAAGTAAGCATAGTCGCAATTTGCCCTGTGAAACCTGCAAGTCGGTTCCTGCCCGGTTCTAACAGTCCGCAGTTCAAACAAAATGAGCTACATCACCCGCCGGGCCCTTTCGACCCTGATTCCTCCCAAGGTAAGGACGCCTCCAGGAACAGAAAGAGTCACTTCCATTACTACTGTAGATGCTAATGACAATACAGATTGCTTCTCCTAACGTGAGTTATGCGTGTATTCTTTTCATCATCGCCTGACCGACCGGTGCTTCCTTCTGCCAAAGTTTTTCTTTGCGCCTTGCGACCTTCCGAGTCCATTGCGCACTTTAAAACCATCTCATTTACCCCAATTTGACTGACCTTTGGAAAAGGCAATCGGGGCTGCCCAGGATGCCGCTCGCATGGAACGTGTCGTGAACTTCTACGCCAAGCTTCCCCGTGGTGCTGCTCCTGAGACTAAGCCCACCGGTATCTTGGGCCGCTACCAGGCTCGCTACTTCAACAAGAGCGGCTCTGTCACGCGTAAGGGCTATACGAATTTCCCTCAATATGTGATTCATACATCATTTACTGACGACACCCTGCTAAAATAGCTCTCATCCACGCCGTCGGTGGTATCCTGCTTATCGGATACAGCATGGAGTACTACTTCCACCTCCGTACGTTTCATACCCCTACTTGACTACTTACGCACCTGAGGCATGACTGACTTCATAACTTTCTTTTTGCAACTGTGCAGGCCACCACAAGAACCACCCCCATTAAGCTCTAGCGTGAGGAGCACTGATGTATATACTTCCTGGACTAGGAATTACAATGGTGCAAAGGGAGTCTTAAATATTCATTGTCTTCGTGTGTCAGGATCACTTTTCAAGCGAACACATAGCGTAGCTGTCTCGTAGTCTGTTGAACCGATTGTATCTATTTGTGGGCTACAACCAGTGTCTCAAACAAGGACTTTTCATGGTAGACTAATGCAACAATTATTTCACATTCAAGGCGTTCTCAGCCAGAAAGTTCTTATTTGGACACAGATAGCTGCCAAACCTAGACAGCATGGGCGTTCTTAAAGCAGCAAGCTGTTTTGCGGCTGTGTGGTAGTACTTCACTTTATTACACGCTAACCGAATACAGTCACCTCACTTCCCAACCGGACTCTTCACCATCTACTCTGTACCCGACTCCAAGTTATCCAACCTCCCAAACCCCAGACCCTTCCCCAAATTCCTTCTTGGGTTATCCCTGGGTAGTGGTGAGTACCTCATCTACCTTCTATCCGACTCGGTCGACCACTACCTTTTCGACTTGTGGAGCTACTTCCTACTGCGCCGCCATCCCCGTGTGCAAGACACCCTTAAACCAACCAACCCCTTCAAGGAGCTCAGACAGTGGCGATTCTTGATACCTGACAATAGGTACTTCATTTTCAGTGCTTTCTTCTTGCCTGGGTTATGAGTCTATGAACCATCCCCGCGACTGGTCCCATACTCAGTTTCAGAACGCATGTCTAACAGATGTCGCAAATCCTCCATCTAGCAGACACGAGTATTGTTATGGCAGAGCAGAGCAGCCACGATGTGGTAGAAAAAACCCTGTCGGGCGGCGACACTTCGTCTTCCGACGTTCCTGCGAGCAACAACGCCAAGCTATCTGCTGGAGGGGACGTGGGGGAGATCAAAGATACCGCGAAAACGACTCAGACACAGACTCATGCAAACGACCGCCCAGCTGATGACAAGACGAACGCATCTACTTCCTTCGAAGCAAAGAGCAGTGATATTGGAAAGGATACCGGAGGTTTAATGAATGTGGGTGGTGTGATGGTGGGAAGTCCGAAGGCGTCACTGAACCTGGAACAGGATACCTCGAGACATGGCCCAGGCCCCGTTGAAAGCAGAGCGCTTGAACTGAACGGGATGGCATCGACATCGGATGGTGGTGAAGATACAGCTTCTCAAGGCGGCTCGGAGTCCGACGCCAGTCGAACAGAGAGCAAGAATCCTCGCGCCGGTTCCACGAAAAAGCCCGCAACTTTCAAACCCGTTTCCTTTGCCAAATTCACAGTCCCTAAAGCACCGGGAGCCTCTGTCTCATCTAAACCTACTGAAAAAGGTACGTGCCTTTTGAGCTGCCCATATGACTTGGATCTAACCAGCACAGCGACCTTGTCTTCTACAACACCCTTGGGTGCACCTCATCACAACCCGCGACCCCGATTAGTCGCGAAATCAACCAGCAGTATCCGCGACTCGTTTTCCAAACTGGGAACCGGTGGTGTCAAGCCAGGTTCAGGCCCTGATCCGAATCGAGTGTGGAATAGAAATCGACGTATGTCTTCTGGTACCGTTGGTGCGTTGAAAGAGTGGCTGACATTTTAATTAGCAACAGCAACTCCACCAATGCCGCAGAAACAGTTAACCGATGAGGAGCTTAAGCAGCAGTACGGGATCCACATGACCTCACGGATTCAAGAAGATGGTGGCGGGACAGAGGCTAAGTGGGCAGATATCGAGGATGACGAAGATGACTGGGCTCCAGAGACGATTGAGTGGACTGATGGAACGAAGATAACTCTCACTCATAATGAACCTGCACCGCCTCCACAGCCTGTTCAAGAACCCGAGCCTCCGAAGATATCCAAGGACATACCACCACCAAAGGAGCAGACTGCCTTCCCCGATGTTAAGAAAGTCGTTCCGAGGCCTACGACGACTATTGGGCCAAATCCCACAGTTCTGAGGCTCGGAGCAAGCGCTGACCGACAGGCCAAAAATGCAAACGCTTTGTCTAAGGGAGGAAATGGTAGATCGTCTCCAGCATCGACTAGCCCTGCTCCTGTCCCTGCTAAATCCCCGTGGGCACCCTTACCCCCTGTTGAAAAAGTGTCTCCCGTCGTTCCGCCCGTCCAGACTCAGCGTTCTCCGCGGCCGTCATTTAGGGGTCTTCATTCCAATGACAATATCAGCGGACCTGTTCCTCCAAAGGAGATTGCGGCTGACGACTTTAATCGATCGTGGAGAGAAGTTCATACAGGGGCTCCCCGAGAACTCTATAATTCAAGGTCGGGCCGATATGAACCTGTCGCTGAAACCAGGAAAGGGTCTTGGCGTAACGAGCAAACGTTCCGTACACCGTCTCTTTTGCAAAGACCCGTGCATCATGAGCCAGCCAGTCCCGCAGAGCCTTCTGCGGCATTCCAAACTCACAGATCAAGTATTCAAGATGGAGCTCATTGGAATCGTCGCCGGGCATCATCCAACGTCAGCGGGGGGAGTGGAAGCTTGGGTCCTAGAGGCTCAGGTGGCCGGTCAGACCTATCTCAAGAATACGTTGAGAGTTGTCGGGCGTCCCAGGTGAATGGGACTGTCGATCAATCGTCCATTTCTACTGATCTCCCGCACGAAGGTCCATCTCCCACTCAGAAGGTTCCCGGTCCAGCTTGGCGGATGCGGAGTCCCTCGAATGCTAACCTCACAAAGATTGCTCCAACTGTTGGCCCGCATGCTCCTACAGAAACTGCTACTTCTGAAATTGCCGCAGCACCACAGGTCTTGGAAGAAGATCCAGTTGCTATGCAGGAGCGTATAATGAAGGAAAAGAGACTGGAAGCTCGGCAACGGAGACTAGAGCAGGAGCAGAAAGAAGAAGCTGAGAGACGTGAAAGGATTCGCCTGAAACTGGAGGCATTGGGGCCACCTCCTGAAAAGCCAAAGTCGAAGAGCAAAGAAATACAGGAAGCAAACAAGCCCGAAGGGGTCTCTGCGACCCCACCCACCCCATCTCAGCCACCTAAACCTCCAGTTCCCGAACCTACTGGGGAGCCAAAGCAATACGGGATGATGAAGGTTCACCATCCTGATAGTGTAAAAAAGCTGGTTGCAGCGAACGAAAAGGAAAGACATGCAGAAAAACCGGCTGCGATTATCAATCCCCCAAAGGCAGCATCGCCTCCTCGTGACTCAGTGCCCGATGCGGTGTCTACTCACAGACTTCGACGGCTGAGCGAAACTCACGCTCAGGCCCACGACAAACTTTCAGAGCCCAAAACAGAGAAGAATGGTTCTCAGTGGAGAGGTAACCTAGGAGTTTCGGGCTACTCGCCATGGACGCCAAACGCAAAGCTTGGGCCGGTCTCGTCACCTGTTACGAACCCCTGGAAACCGTTGAGCAATGATAAGACGCTGGGAAATGGCCTATTTGATCAAGCTCTTGGTGGGTTTCCACCCAGGGACTTGCCTCTACGGAGCCATCTTAGCCTTGATCAGCAACCTATCGGGCCTCCGACAACGAGCGACAGAATCTCCGGTCCACAACCGTTCCCTGCAACTTCAAGGCCACCGCAAGAACAATCGTCTATGGCCTCTTTACCGTCACCCGAGATCAAGCATGTGAACCCAATTGCTCGACCTGCCCCGATTGGTCCTCCGAGTTTACAGAACGCGCAGTGGCAACAGCAAGAGGCCCGTCGTGCTCAGTCGACAGCGGCGTGGAGCAATTTCCAAGCTGTTGCTACCAAGAGAGAGGCAGAGGAAAACGAGAAATTGCTTCGGGAGATGAACGCGATCCGTGATGGGCCATCTACATTACAGGTTAACTTCAACGAAACTTGGCGACAGGTTCGAACGGGAGAGCAGTCTGGCCAACGGCAGGTTATTGGGATTACTAGGACCACTGACAATAATGCTCCACCCTCGAATCTACTACCTGGCGTTGACCCCATCAGTGGTCTGCCTCTTCCAGATAACCACCCTCGTCCGTTCGCCGGCGTTAGCGTGCGGGGATCACGATTCTTTCCACCAGCCGAACCCCCAAAGAAGCCTGTTATTGATGAGCATGAATACCAGCGAAGCTTTTCTCCGCCTCCCCCAGAGGAGTCAGACCATCCTGTATTCACTGGCGATTCACACAGGCCGTTGGTCCACCTCCCCGCACCGAAGCCTGTTGTTAAACTCCCTCCGAAAGTTGTAGCTCCCCCTCCGCCCCCTCCCACCTTCGCCTCGATGGCTGCAGCACCTCCACCCCCACGTTCCGTTGCGCAACATATCTCAGCTGCATCAATCTGGCAGGAAAAGATTAACGGTCTCTTTGGCAAGAAGACCCTCACTGAAAAGAAGAATGCATTGGCGGTTGCATCAGCTTCCAAGGAACCTCTTGATGTTCAATTGCCCACAGCGGCTGTTTCGGTTTCTCTTCCCCAGAATGTTGATATTGAGACTCGGATTGGAGATGGAGAGACTTCTTCCCGACAGGTCGAGGAGGAAGAGGATCTGTTCGAAGATCGTGAAGCCGGCTCTTTACCTGTTGTCCGTGTGCCTTATATGGCTCCTCCAGCAGCTTGGGTTGCTGCTCTTCCTCCGTCCCAATCTCGATTGCGGTCAAAGCATTTGAAATCGACGCAAGTTCATAGTGTCGAGCCCTACTTTATAGGAGCCTATGACAAAGATCACTCTGGTAATATCCGAATATCAATTCGCCTTCCGGGGTCTTCCATTGCGAAGACGGCTATTCTGCCCAAAAAGGGCGCGGGTAGTGGGCCACGACAACGTGGTCCAAACTTCAAACCTCGGAAGAATACGAGATCTCGCGAAGGGCCTAACTACTACAACTCTAAAAAGCCGTCCCCTTCCCAACAAGCTAACGCAAGTGCCTCCTCTCCGCGTCATCAGTCGCGAAATGCGTCCTCCTTGGGACTGCGCACGGCTGGTGGACTTAACTGAGTTCAAGCCTATTTTTGCCGAGGATTTTCGATGCAGCACGGCCGTCAAGTCATGGTGCAACGCCCAGAGACAATTTTCCTCAGCTCCTAGTTAACGGTTAAGCATTATTTGCGGGTTGTCAGCCAGTTATGTATGCGAGGAGTGTGATGTGTCTTCATACTCCTAGGTTTTTGCTCCTTTCTTTTTCCATTTCCTAGCTACTCAACAGCTTCTCTTTTACCAGTGCTCGTCTTGAAGTAAAACTTCAGCGCTTTTTTCCTCCTCACACTGAAGCTCATGCAAATGATGGGTCTGACATTGATGTATTGTGTCTCATCCTTTACTTGGGTCTTACGTTACAACTGTCTGGCAGCACCCTTACTTTTGTCTCTATGCTCTTTCATTCTACCACCCATGTGGTGAGCAATAGTCCTCTAGAAACAGGCTAATTCTTAACTTCGTCTTCTTTTCTTCTATTTCGCATTTTCAGCGTCTTTGGATTTTCTCTCCTCTTTTTCTCTTCGTCTCATCCCGTCTGCGCCGTGTATCTTCACGAGTGAGATCATGGGGCCTCAGAAATAGACCGCTGCATCCTGCAGCAAGCTTTCCCTTTACCGTTCTCATTCCCAGGCATGCTCGTTTTCCCTGTTGAAGACCGGCTTGGGGAGAAATCAAGGAAACCAATTTTGAGTGATGAAAGCGTGCTATGTGTAAGGCAGGGAAGAGCAATTTAGCTGGTTGTCTTGAGGCAATTATCTGTCTATGACTATGTGTAGTTCACCTATGGTGCACTCAATGAATACGCATTAAGTATCCTTTAATGTCTTTGGCTTTTGAATAATGTCGGGAAGGGTTGAAACAGGGAAGACACAAGTCGAGTAATAGATAGAAGTGCAAGCTCTGGAATAATCATAAAGCGTAAATTTATATTGTAAGAATCAACCAGCTCATGGAACTTGGAACGCTTTGGCATGATGAAAAGGAACAGACCAGACTAAACTCCAATATGAGAAAAAAGACCCTCCAAACATTTCAGACTCCGTAAAAACCGAGCTACAAATAAAAATAAAAATAAAGGCATAAAGAGAAGGAGACATCAAACATGCAAGCGAGGATTTCACCAATTCCATGTCCTACTGGACGCAGTGAAGACGGGAGGTTTCCATTGGAGGCGAGCAGGGTCGATCTTGCGGGTCCCTTTAATCTTTTCTTTCTCGATGCGCTTTTTGTGTTCCTCGATGGCTTGATCGGTGAGGACGATGATCCAGTTTCCTTTCTGTGAAATAAGAGTTAATTAAGTTTCTGAAAGGGGAATGAATTCCGGCAAGGAAAGGGAAGAGTGCTTACATGGTACCTAAGCATGTTCAATACAACCAGTGTCTCGTGAACATCTTTTTCAGTCATAGATGTTAAAAGAGCGAGTTCGTTTTCGCTGACAGACTCGCGCCCCGGTTCCACGAGTATTTCCACGAGCGTTTCCCGCCAGTACTGTCGATAGCCCAGCAAACCAAGGTCACTGAGGGGCTTCTCCGGTGAACCTAACTTGCCTTCACGCTTGCTAAGCTCGTAGCTGAAGGAGATAAGCAGTCGTCCAAATCCGCGACGCTGATACTGAGGTAGCGTTAGGATACAGGCGAGGTTGTAGCCTTCTGCCGAGTCTTTCTCCTTGGAGAAGTAGCCGACAAGGTGACAACCGGTCTCGTCTCTCGTGCACATGCAGTAGAATAAGAAGGGATCGACATCGTAGTAAAGGGTCTTGTGGTCGAGGAAGAGCTTGCTCAAAAGACAGAGATTTCGGCACCAAGTACGCTGGCGCCGACCATCTACTTCAAAGAAGGAGATATAGTCGTCCCGATAGATCTCATTCCCAGGGGGGTGGAGAAGGGTGCATTTAGATCGGTGCCGTTCAAAGGCCCTCTTGTCATCGAAGTAGCTCAGACAAAACTCATCGATGTAAACCATATCAACGTCAGTGAAGGAAGAGGGGTACGGAGAGAAGTACCACGGCTCTATTTCGTACTTGCCCATCTGCAGACGGTTCAAATTACGGACACGATGGATTTCCGTCGGGTTCTGGGTCATACTTCCGCTGGTACGCAGCCTTTCGATCTCCTCTTCCCGAGTAGCGGGCGCCATGTTCTTCTCATCTTCCAGTTTGATGGAATGTGCATCGGCCACATCGACCATCTCGACATCCTCGGGATCTTTCTTGGGGGTGATGACGGCCTGGGCGCCTTCTACAGCGTCTTCAACGACGCGATTCTCTTTCCCTCCAGCCTTCGATGGGCGCTGAGCCTTACCAACATTGATATTCTTACCGACCAGACGATCTGGGGTCGCCGAGACATCACGACTACCAGCTCTCGCGCGTTTGTTCTTGCTGGGCGCTTTGTTCCCTGCTCCAGTCTTTTTCTTCTCGGGCTTCTCGGGCAACGGCCATTCAACCTCTTGGGATAAATCAATTCTAGACGCAGAGATCCATTCTAAAAGATAATTCTTAGCCTCCAGGACAATGTAAGCTAGCAGGTCACTTCAATCTTACCGTCAAGACGTTTGTTGAAGTCCACGTAATGAACACTGAAGACCAACCGTCAGCACCATGCACACGAGAACGGCAAACTTGGCATCAAGACATACTAGAAATAAGGCCCATCTTTTCGTTGCCTGAAAGAGAGCAATTCTGCCTTCCGAAATTCCCCATCCTTTCCAGACACGAAGACAGTCAGTTCAGTTCAGACTTGTGACATGTCACGTGATATAATATTGAGTCGGAACATGATGGATGGAGGAAGAAACCAACCTTCTGAACCATAGCCTTCACACCGATCCTATCATTTAAATAAGCATATGCGACCGATGAAATAGGGGTCAAAATCACCATTTATGGTGGCTTTGAAATTCCTAGCGACTCACTTGAGCGTGTCAAGGGTAGCAAATCCCTTCTCGACAGCCTCGGGGGTGCCAGTGGCATCCCCATGGGATTCTCTAACACCCATTATATGCAGAGAGCAATCCTCTATAGCTTATGGTGATTCTCTTGATGGAAATTGACGGCTTTGTTGCGAGATGAGATGGACAAGTTCAACGCAGGGTGTGGGAGAGACTGGGTAAAGGTTGGCGATAATTTATCCGTTGCGGTTGATTTTGGATGTTCGCCATCGGACAACCACCATATTTCCTTTGTATGTGTCTCCAGCAGACATGCAGCTAACATCATGTCCAGACATATTATTATATTTGTTGTTGTTTAAGAACTGATGCAGACCCTCCTTTATACTCTCAGCTAGTTCTGGAAATCATTTTCTCTTTCGAGTCCGTAGGTCGTTCCTCTTTCTCAAGAGACTGCGTAAAGTATAGTCTTCAGTTCTGATTCCAGACTCTCCAGTCTTCTCGTTATCTCTGTACAATTTTTATTTTTTATTATTACTCTTTTTCAATAGATATGATTAGCAACTTTTATGTAGGTACGCTGTAGATGATGATATGTAAAAGCGTGTATTTGGGTATCTCAATTAGACTATATCAGAAACCGTCAATAAGGAAGAGGAATAGACCACAGATGTACACCGAGCTCATCGTGAAACTCATTTCTTATCAATATCCATCGCCGTAATTGCTTCGACTGTAACAGGAGCAGAAGCAGGGGCGGGAACATCATTGTTTCCACTAGCAACCGTCTCTTTCTCCTTCTCTGCCTCCCTTTCCCGGGCAGTAGGATCATGATCATCGCCAATATCTCGTCGACCTTCCTTACTGTTCCCGCTGAAATTAGTCTGATCACCTCTAAGGAATCTTTCGGGGACTCCCTTGGCAGCGACCCCGACAGGACTCACATAGCAGCCAAGCATAGTACTCCAGATATAATTCTGTGAGACTGCTCGCCGGATTTCGCGGTACGCATAGGCGTTCGCGTATGGCAGGGAAGTGTCAGGGTCACGATACCGAGAAGGGAGGGATGTGATAACACAGAGGGATGATGAAATTTCTGTTGTGGCTGTCAGTTCTGCGTATCTTTGGGCAAAAGAATTTTCTCTCTACAAAAAGAACACATACTGGAAAGCCTGGGTGGCTTTTTGGAGTTGAAGTAGATGCTGTATTCGTGGTCGTGGGCGGTCCTGTCATCGAAGTTCTCGAGTACAATGAGATTCCGTCCTGTGTGTTCAATTGTCGGAGGAGCTGGCAGCGGCGCTTCGAGTTTTGGTGCGTTTTCGCTCTCAACTAGATGTTGTTGATCGGCGTGAATCTGGGTTTCAGTCGGTTTCGGCTGGACAGCTGCAGGTGTTGCATCTTGTTCTAGAGCTGATACTATTACAGTAGGTGCAGGAGAAACAAGAGCTGGTGGCTCTACACGAGTTGGGGCCGGACTAGGCGCCGGCTGGGTAGATGTTGATGATTCAGGGACAGGGTCTTCGGGGACAATGTCCTGCTTGCCTTCTTGAGATGGCGATGGTAGATTTGACTTCCCGGGGCTTGTCCCTGGTGGTTGCTCTGGCGTTTGCATCGCTGTTGCTTCTGCATCCGTAGCCGGGATTCCTTCGTTCTTCTCCGACTCTGCATCTGCAGATACTGCTGGTACTGCCTCACTTTCCTTTACAGCTTGGCCAGTCAATTGGTTACTAGCTATGTCTTTTGGTGTCTCTGCCTCTGAGGGTTGCGGGGCTGAGCTCAATGTTACGTTCGAATCAGGTGCAGTGGGTGCAAACGATGGTATTTGGGCTGGTAGAATCGTAACAGTTGTTTTGGCCTCAGGTGTTTGCTGAGTTGTCGGGTTTTCTTGCACGGCATCTGGGAGATGGCGGTTTTCCGCTGGAACCTCATTGTCCTTAGTGACAGTGGAGTTCTGTTGATCTTCATGATCCTGTTTTGTAGTATCTGCTTCATCAGGCCCTGTTGGAACAGGGGTTTCAGGAACAGGTTCGGATGGTTTCTCCAAAACGCCGGCATTAGTGACGGTCTGGCCTGTCTCACCCTTCTCCTTTTCCGCTTTCTTGGTCTTCTTTCGTGATGTCTCCTCCTTGGGTTTCAATGTGACATCGACCTTCCCAAGGCGCGTCAAAACGCCGTTCGTCCACGTCGCAATACCACTCCACCAAGACATGACAGGCCCCTCAAGTCGACGATTCTGGAGAGCTTCAATTTTCGCCCGTCTCTCCTCCGCTTTCCTTTTCTCCATCTCCTCCCACCGATTCAAACTCTTGCTGTTGAGTCGCTCAACCCTCTCTGCCTCTGCTAAACGTTCTTCCTGAGTCATCTCTTTCGGTTTCTGTAGTGCCTTCTTCTTTGCTGCCTCCTCCATACTGGCTATAAGTCGAATGCGCTTTTCCTCGCTGTCTTTAAGTCTCGCGTGGGTAATCTGTTTGTTCTGCATTGTCTGTCGACGGGAAGATGATCGTGTAGGTCCTTCTTCGGGAGTAGGCAACCATGAGATCCGCTCTGACTTTTTCCTGGGCCGGGGGGTAGGCGTTGAAGTGGAAACGGCGGTCGGATCGATCTTTACCTTCTTTCGTAGTGCTTGAAGCCTAAGGCCTTCTTGCGCTTTGCGTTTTTTGCGATCAGCTTTAGCTTGCTTTTCGAGCTCCATTTCGCCTTCCAGCTCATCCTCCGGGGCGTTTGGGCCCTGATCATCCTCGTCCTCGGAGGAGGACTCGAGGCGCATATCGTCTTCCTCTGCAACGTCAACGTCTGCATCGATTGTGAATTCATTATCATCCTCCGTTTCTGCAAATAGTAGTGCCAAGTCATCGTCTGCTTCCGCATCGATAAGAGCAGACATGTTGCGCCCTGCGGTACTTCGCCTCGCGCGACCCTGGACGAGGGAATCCACCAATTTCTCTTCGGCCTCCATAGGGGACTGGGCTGCTGAGGAAGCATTGTCATCGGCCATGGTGTGTTCCCAACGCTCACCGCGGTGGTTTTTTGAATATATGATGGCGACTGAGAATCCGTGGTTCCGACTGTAAGATGGTTGAAATGAAGACCAGGAGCTGTGGCTTGACGTTGCGGCGCAGGAAATGTCAGTGACATGTGGCGGCACTGTGCACGTGATGGCAGCCAACTTGTTTCTGCAGTCTCTTTGACTCGTCCGTGTCGTCACTCACTGCGCCCGTCCAATAGTCAGATCTCGCCGATTCAGTCGATCTGGATTGGCCGCCGCTGAAACTATAACGGCTACGCTACGTTTCAAGTGTTTTCAGGGGCATCGATCAAGGCTCGTTGCAGATCCGACAATATTAGCCATATGGGTTGCAAAGCTGCCAAGTTTGGAGAAAGTTTGAAGAACGCCTGCATCTCCCTACATCATTCCACCTTTGGGAGTTCTCCGATGCAACGGGGAGAGGCTGGAAGCCATAGCTGGATAGGAGCTGCCATTATCTATCCATGTGTACGCGTATGCACTTGCATCCAGCCACTGTGAGGAACGCCTTTGGAAGATTGGGAGCGGGAGCACATATGACGCGTTTCCATACCAGCGAAGCGAAGCGTGCGTGAAAGAAGGCTGTCTGGAGTGAAGGGACAACTTGAGCTCGCCAATTCGCAGCTACGTGCTTTTCCAGGCCTCTGCTGTGCATGAAGGATGATGATGGACTAGAGAGGAGGCCGAGGGTGGCTCCGTTGTTATAATAATAGTAGGCATCGCTGGAAACTATCTGCGCCCTAAATCGCAGGAGAGGGCGATCCTCTAGGCTCTCAGTAGTATCAATACTGTCAGTGCGGATTCACGATGAATATGCAGTTTATAAATAGAGCAGACCCTAGCATCATGAACAATGAATGCTGTAGTGCGTAATTGCTCTGTCGACAGGGAGAGCGCAGGGTGTTTGTGTTGGGCCGAGTCCATGACATTTTCCGGGGATCCGGTAGCTCGCTGTGTTGTGTCCTCGTCCTCCCAGACTTCTTCTCCTCCCCTCTCCATCCTCGTCTCTGCCTCCCTTCTTTCGTCCTCTCATTCCTCCCGTCCTCCCTCTTTCTCAGCACTCTTCATCCATCTATTTTTAGCCGCCTACCTCATCTGTATCTCTTTATGCCATTTTAGGTGAACCTTGTGCTTTTGGCCGTCTTTTTCCCGCGTTCCTTTTCGCTAAAAGCTTGCGCCTGCTCTGCTTCGCTTTCTTGGCTCTACCTGCTAGAGCCGTGCATCCCGCCTTCAACCTCCTCAATTAATCCCGTCGTCTGTCTTCTCGTCGCTTCATCTTCTCCCTCCCGTTCGCTTGACAGCTGGGTCCTCGCGTGGCCTTTTCATGCCTGCACGGCCCCTCCAGCTCTGTCCGTGGCTTCGTGATAGATTTTAGTACCGGGCTTTCTAATACACGGGGATTCTTGCAGAATCGCATCTGGACAGCTAGGATCGTTCTTCATCCGCTGTGACAGTGCTTCTGACGTCGCAGATACTCTAAATATAATTGATATTGCTGTTTTGATTCTTCCGGTGTTGAGTCGTGCTCCACTGTCCCGACCTTTCCCGCCGCAAGCAATTCAACGCATCGTGCGGCCTCTTGACACGTTCGAAGAGTTATATTAATTTTTTACAAACAAATTTCCAAATTGTCGATTTTTAAGACAGCAGCTTGTTGTGACGACAGTTCTTGGCCCCCGCCACATGGTCCTCTCGAATCGAGTTTTCTGATTGAGCAAACAGGCCTAACTCTGAACGTCTGATCTTGTCTTTCTAAAAGTTTATTTATTGTTACGGGTACTACGGAAAAAAACTATTTTTTTTTTCTTTCATCACGTTGAGGCAGTGAGATCTTTGTTTTTTATAATGCTGCCTGTTTCACGACCTGAAGGTCATCTGAACCTCAACTACATTCCAACAACCCAGCCAATGTCGGGGCGCAGCTCACCCAATGATTTGTCCACGTCCACCACTATCAAATCTTTCGGTGTATCATCTGGGCTGAATAGTTCTGCGGGGTCAATCGGAGGTACAAGGCTAGGGGCTGGATCCCCTTCCCACGAACTCGGGGCTCGTCTGTATTCTAAGCGGTAAGTGAGATCAATCTTCCCAGTGCCGGTAAGATTTATCTCTGCTAACATCTCATCTCTCCGGTGACTGCAGAGCACGAGAGATTCAAGCCCAGGAAGGTGTGGCCCCGAGTATTTGGGGCCCCCCAACCAGTGGGCATTCCACCCCCCTGCGTGAGAATATTCCGGAGTCTCCGACCCAGGATGAGTTTCCCGACCTTGTACCGCATTCGGACTCGTCGTTGCCACGGAGAGCGAGAGCAGGCACGGTCCCCTCTAGGTTTTCGCCCGTCGGTGCGGTCAACGGCCTGAGCATTCAGCAACCGTTCATGCCTCAGACCTCTCGACCTACGCCGTCAACAAGCCCCTTTCGCCCTTCCGGCGTCTCCTCGGGAATTGATTCAAGCGCCAAGCCTACGACAGCCGTGCCGGGGGGTATTACTGCCATCCTTTCTCGTCTTCGGGCTGGTTCAATGCCGCAGAGGACAAACTTTCTGGGGGCTGCAAACCCGTTTGGGCCTTCCCTTTTTTCGACAAACTGGTCAACGGGGCGTGAACGAGCAACTACTCTCACGAGTATTAGGTCATCTGAGGGTCCTAACTCACCTACCCAATCGTCCTTCTCACGCGATGGTCTTGCAGATAATGATGTGAAGACATTGGACTATTTGGGGCTAGCGGAGACTCCGCAACAGACGCGAGTCACTCTTGCCGGATCTTCCGTCGATGCTCTCCTTCATCAGCAGCAGCAACAGCAACAACAGACGGCTGCGCTGCCACCCCTGTTGGCCGAGTTGGCAATGATGAAGAACAACAACAGGATCAGATCATATTCTGTAAATGCTAAAGAAAAATATGCAGAGGATGACGAACTTGAGTACGAAAACCGCTACTCTGAACTCCCTTCCGGCACCCTGACGCCTTCGGCGGCAGCAACTGCTGCCCAGCTCGCTGCGACGCAGGCCCAGATACATCAGCATAACCTTGCCGTTCAAGCCTTTGCTAACCACGCCTCCTCCAGTCGTCCGCGAGCCAGGACGGCTGGAATTCTGGAGGCTCCTCCCCAGCGGTCTTCGATCCGTAATTATCTCGCAACCCCGTCGCGGCTCGATAGCAGCATTACGGCGGCCGATCTGCATATCCCCGAAAATGGAGAATATGAAGAGTTGTCAGAGGCGGTGCATATGATGCATCTTGCTGGTGGTGGCGGCGCCAGTCTTGGAATTCGATCGACTGCTGAGATGGGAGATGAGAATACCCTGGATGGCCCTACAAGAGCACTGTGGATAGGTAGCATCCCCGTATCTACCACTGTCACTTCTTTGGAAGCGATTTTTGGTATATACGGCAAGATCGAATCGACTCGAGTTCTCACCCACAAGAACTGCGGGTTTGTCAACTTCGAACACATTGAAAGCGCTATCCAGGCCAAATCCGTGCTCAATGGCAAGGAGATCTTCCCGGGTGCAGGGCCTGTCCGTATCGGTTATGCGAAGGTTCCTGGGACTTCCGCGTCCGGTACCCCTGGACCAAATGGCAGCCACTCTTCCCCGACCCCGGATCCAAATTTCAAATCGGACAATGCTACGGGCGAAGGTATCGATAAATTTGATGGTACTGGACCAAACGTTCCGCAAGTACCAACCCTCATTGAATTGCAGCCAGAGATGGTACAAATTGTCAAAGAATTCGGCGCAACCGAAGAGAATTCCCTCCATATTACATCTAGCATTCAGAGGGCCATTGCATACCAGAGTTTTGAGGATGAAATCCCGCCGATTCCTGAGCCCAGCCAGGCCAGGATTTTTGATGCACCGCGCCTCCGTGATATTAGAAAGAGGATAGATAATGGAGCGTGCTCGATTCAAGAAATTGAGGATACGGCGACTGAAATGCTTCCTGAAATCGCGGAACTTTCATCGGACTACCTCGGCAACACAGTTGTTCAGAAGTTGTTCGAATATTGTTCTGAACAGACCAAGGAAAGTATGCTTGTCCAGATTGCTCCCCATTTGGCGGAAATCGGCGTCCATAAAAACGGAACCTGGGCAGCGCAGAAGATTATCGATGTTGCCAAGACCCCATCCCAAATGAAGATGATCGTGGATGCTCTTCGGCCGTTCACTGTGCCCCTCTTCCTGGATCAATATGGGAACTATGTTCTTCAGTGCTGTCTACGATTTGGAAGTCCCTATAATGATTTTATCTTTGAGACTATGTTGAGCCGGATGTGGGCGATTTCCCAAGGCAGATTCGGTGCTCGTGCCATGCGGGCTTGTCTAGAAAGCCACCATGCCTCCAAAGATCAGCAGCGGATGCTTGCGGCCGCCATCGCTCTTCACAGTGTTCAGCTGGCCACAAACGCGAATGGAGCCCTTCTACTGACTTGGTTCCTTGACACTTGCACGTTTCCGCGCCGTCGAACCATGCTCGCTCCAAGACTCGTGCCTCACCTTGTGCACCTCTGTACTCACAAGGTTGCCTACCTGACCGTTCTCAAAGTTATCAATCAACGTAACGAGCCTGAAGCCCGTGAAATTGTGCTGAAGGCTCTGTTTTTCAGCCCTGGAGACGAGACCCTGGAGAGGATCTTGAGTGACCAGTCCTCTGGGGCAACGCTGATTTTCAAAGTCCTGACGACTCCTTTCTTCGATGAGTCTATGCGTGTAGAGGTCGTGAAAAACGTGTCCAAAGTTCTTACAAGGCTAAAGGCTACTCCAAACCAAGGATATAAACGCCTAATGGATGAGGTTGGGCTCTCATCGCGCGGGAATACTCGAGACCATCACCACCATGGACGGGAGCATGCTGGAGGACATTCTTCCAACGCGGACAAACAACAGCACCGTTCGGCGCCTCGTCAGGCAAATACTAATTACCACTCCCAGTCTGGTATAGAGAGACAATACAGCGCGCCGTTTGCTCAAACCTTGGACGGCCCGCGGCCAGTTTCCTCTGAGCAGCAGGCAGGCATTCCGCCATTTGACCCTTATGGGATCCATGGTATGAACGGAATTGGTGCAATTGGAGGCGTTACTACTTTAAATGGAGGAATCGGCGGGGTCAACGGCGCAGGCTTTACCCAAGACCCCATGATGCCAGTGACTCAGCAGCAGCTCCAGTACCAGACTTACCTAGCGGCGCAGTCGCGAGGTGTTTCTCCTGCCGGGGTTTACCCACCTATGGCTGGCACCAACTTTGGATATACAACTGGAACGCCTTCCATGGATAGTCTGCGAACCATGCAAGCGAACTCCTCGCCTTTAACTGCTGCACCACCTCAGATAAACACCGGTCCTATCCTCGGCCAGCCAGCTTTTGCCGGCCAGTCGTTCAGTCCGGTGGTGAGTACTCCACAGATGTATCAATACGGCCCGCAGTTCTACTCCCAGGCGCAGGCTCCGCAAGGGCAATCCGCCGGAGGGCGGCGTGGGCGAATGGGTCATTCCCAGCGCGTGTGAGGGATATAACGTTAGCGTGACCTTCTCTATAGACTATGTGCTTCCTTCCTATGACCTCCAGCATGTGAAGACGTCCAGGTATAGCCTTTTAATTCGCCTTGTGTTCCCTTTTCTTTTCTATTGTTTCTACATGTATAAATTTGAAACCTTTTTTATCTCGGAAATATACAGAGGATATGCTTGGCTATGTGTGAAGGGAACGACCATCTTTCCACTTGTACTGACGCTGGACCGTCTAGGCAAGGCAGATATACACAAACAAGAGAAAATGAACAGTGGATTAGGAAAAGTCTTGCACGTTCTATTTGCTTGGGGAGCTAGTACTTTGCTCTCTTGGTGTGTTTTTGACGAGTCTTTTTATATTTCGAGGCAACATAAATTCTTGTACGGTTTTCGTGCCCTCTTTTCTATCTGTTCTCTGTTAAAGCGTATTCAAGTTTCCTCTTCTCTGTATTATCTGCCTGTCTGCTCGGTTGTGAATATGCCTGTAAGTAGCGACGAGTCTCTTTACTCTTGCATAGCATTTGTGCTATGGATTACATAAGGTTATGCGTATGATACACGTGATACTGTGGCTATCTCGACTCTTCGCTGCCGCGACGTCTTCACCCCAGCGGTCTATTCGTGTCCGATGCAAGAACCGCCTTCTTCTTCAATTCTCTACCAGAATACAGGGGGAACAGTCTTCCTGATAGATATTCCGACCTCCATTGCACTGGGACAGGAGCTTTCGCCTTTACAGCAGTCACAGGGACCAGTACAACAACGATTCTCATCCAAACTAGACTCTATCACAGGCAATAAGCCGAAACAAATCCCTGCGAATGATGACGTTGCAGGCAGCTTATGGAAGAAAGGGGAAGGAAAGAAGCAATTGCTCTCTTCTCCGCCCATGGAGTCTCCCTTTCCGGTCTCTACAGAGCCAAAAAGTGATGTCGCCAGGGAACGGGTTCTGAGGCAGATCTCTGCTCCTGAGAGACACTACCGGTGTCTTATTGAGGGACTGGTCTTAGAGGGACTGAGAGAGATTTCAGAAGGTCAACGAGGAAAGGGGTGGTGTCTTTCTAGACGAGTTGTTAACCAGGGAGGGCTTCCTCCTTTGTCTTCTTATAGGAAGAGGGGAAGGGAGACTCGAGGGGAGAAGGTTAGCATCGAAACTGCCAAGTTTTCGTGCTCTTTTGTTGCTGAGATGCCTCATGGCATTCCTGGGCCCCCTGTAATTTTGTCATCGACTTCTCAGAATATTTTCGAAGGCATATCTGAACTCCATCATGGGGTCGTCAAAAATCCATCAAATTTGGAAGCAGCTCTGATCGTTCCCTGTTGTAAATCAAATGCTGAGAATGAGAAGCACGCCCAGTCTATTGATGAGAGCCATTGCACATTCAATGTGCCGCCAGAATCGAATTTTCTCCTAGGCACTTTGCCCCTTGGACAGCAGTTGCAAAATGCCGGACTATCTTCCACAAGCCCTATTCCCGGCATGCCCCGGGACAAGCGGTTCAATCTCATCCTTCTCGATCCTCCCTGGCCTAATCGCTCTGTGCGTCGGAGTCGCCATTACCAGACGCATTCCTACGCCGATATGGATGTTCTCACACAGTATTTATGCGATGTTCTTCGCGCACATCTCCATGGTCCAAGATATATCCCTGACGCATACACGAACACAACAGAAGCTAGTACGCAGAACAGTCGACGGACCATAGGCGCAATCTGGGTAACGAATTCCGAAAAGTCGCGAAAGGTAGCCTACGAATCCCTTCGTGGCGCAGGACTTAGCATCTGCGAGGAATGGATATGGATCAAAACCACCATAAATGGAGAACCAATCACCCCTCTCAACGGGCTCTGGAGGAAGCCGTATGAGATACTTGTTATAGGGGAAAGGACACTACATTCTTTTCGTGGTACACCGGCATCTACTGGTCCCACGACTGGTGGTGATGGTGGTCCAAAAGCCGATGATAGCATTACGAGGAGAGTCATTGCAGCCGTTCCGGATATTCATTCCCGCAAGCCCAATCTGCGGGAGATTTTTGAGAAAATATTCTTCGTTCCCAACTCGTCTTCTGGTACAGCATCTGAGCAGGGAATGTATTCTTCCCTGGAGGTGTTTGCGCGCAACCTCACTGCCGGGTGGTGGGCTTGCGGTGACGAGGTTCTCAAGTTTAATTCTACAGAGTGGTGGGCTGATTGACGTTGTCAATATCATTTTAGGGCACTTTGGTCATGTTTTACGAGAATTGCAGATTCAGGAACTGTAATATTCCATGTAACAAATGACACCAGCATAGATGGTCATCCATAGTATGCAGAAAAGCAACCACCCATTTCCCCAACGACGGCCCTAAGATTCCAACAGGCCGAACGCCAATGCCAGAAAAGAAAAAAGAAACATAAATCAATCAAAAACTGGACCCAAACTGATAAGACTAAACCTCAAATCACCCCCTGATTGACCCGCAGCAATCTCATTCTCAACCTTCAAAAACCTCCTAACACCCCAATCCAACGCCTTCTCACTCAACATATCCTCATCTTCACCCAATCGCCCTCTTTCCAGGGGTCCCTTCCTCCTCCCATCCAACTCCCACAACCTCCCATCCTCACCCTTGACGAACGCCACAAAATGCAAATCCACACTATCGTCCGCCTGCGGCGCCGTGGTATCCCCCAACCTAGCCGCATCGGCATGTGCACTCTCCAACGCCTTACTCTCGTACAGTAGATCCGCGCGTTCAACAGGCGGTAACGGCTCCGCCTCACGAAGGAGCGTTTCGAGATCCGATCCGGGAAGGATATTTTTCCTAGGAACACCATTCGAAACAGCGTGCAGAAGACCGATCAGGCCGCAGGCGTTACGAATAGTTTGCTTGAACCATGTTATCGGTTCATTGGGGCCGTGGCCGGTGTACTCGGATCGGTTGCTGTCTTCTGATTTCCGGGTGGCCTCGTAGGTGGGCGAGATGGGGAAGACGAGGAGAAGGGCGTGGGAGGGGCGGGGGACAATGCTGATGAGGTCTGGTTCATCGATGGAGTAGACGTCTGTGAAGCCTAGGGATGGGGAGAGTCCGAGTTGGTGGACTAGGTGGGACATTACTTCGGGGTTGTTTTCTAGTGTTCTTGTGAGTTGGGTTGTTTCTTTTTCCTTTCTGTCTTGAGGGCTGCCTTACCGAGTGGCACGAAGGCCTTGTTTGTCTTGGGGGCGTCAGTGTCTGTCATCGTTCACAAGCGCAACAGTGGATTGGATCGAGAATAGGAATAAAAATAAGAAGGTAGATCACCTGTAGAGCACTGACAAGATGGTTGATGTTTTGACGTTGAAGATCGCGGGGTAAATTAAACCAGAAGAAAGTCACAAAACCACGCTTTATCGATAAGATAAGATGCTCCATCTCCAGCGCTGTCTACAGAGCTGTATATTATTCTATACCACAGCAATCATAATATTAAACATATGCTGTTCCACCTGATATCGGCTTCTTCTCCTCTTTCAACTGTGCAAATATAGTCGCCCACAGCTCACTCGCTTCGCCAAGGAAGTAGGTTAAGCTGACATCGGCCATACTAGCGTTTTCGTCTCCAGGAAGCGTTTCCAGTTGCGAGATGATGTTCTCTAATCCAAACGCCTTTCCAGTAGCTTGAGTTGTGCCTGCTTCTAGCATGACATTGACAACATGGATGTGAAAGTGGTAGTAAGTCGGTTGATCTGAAGGGTCTAATTAGCGACCAGGAAAACGAGAAAAAGAAACAAAGCTGGAAGAGAACGGCACTCACAATGCACATAGAGTTTAATCTGATCCTGCTCCAATTCAGGGTACATTTTGACCGTCGCCTCAAGCAAGCGCTGTCTCAAATACCTCAGCCAAGGAATATGTCGTTTGCTCAAATCCCGCAAGCTCCAGATATCCCTTCGTTCCACAAGCGCCAACAAGTGAAGAGAACCTATAGTTTTCCGATCCCAGTTAAGATCAGGCAACATTAAGAACCCATCATCCGGCCCATGTCCTGAGTCCTTGAGTATCACGTCCTCCTGTTCTGTGCGGCCCTCGAGAATATTGAACACCCAGTTCAGTCTCCCTTCTTCACGCTTCGCTTTCATATATGGCCTGACATATCCGCGATAGATTTCAGGCGTTTCGGTTACCATCCGCACCTTCTGCGCCGAGTATTTCTTGATATGCTGTTCCGTGCAGGGCCAGATGATGTTGATCTTCAAGTCGGGCGGTTGACCATCTGCGCCTGCTGCTGAGGATGCGAGGTACCAGCGGTAGATGTCATTATCGCCTAGATTGCTGATTCGACTGATCGAGGAGTGAAATGCCTTGAGGACTTGGAGAGATTCTGTTGCGAAGGCTGCTCGCTCTGCGATAAGGATGCCTTGCTTTCCATCAATGGAACCGAGAAGAGCGATTCGACGGCCATTCTGGTCTGTACAGTAACTGTCAGCAGAGTATATGACGCCTACCCATATATTCTGGGCACTGGAATTGTGCGGAGTTTCATCGAACCTTGATTCAGTAGTCCTTCAACCTCGAATTTCGAGACCAATGCCTCAGCAGAGGCCTTCTTATCATTGTTATCTACGCTCTGCATTTTGCAAGAGTGGCTGGTGACCGGCAAACCCCACAACTCGACATGAGAACACCCTGAAGATAGAGTTGAATATCACCGGTCTTTCTATGATCTCGGTCGGCAGAATAATTTGGCGGTGAGCTTATCAAAACGCAGGTTAATGAAGTACGCATTAATCGAATAGAAACACCAAATCATGGCTAAGAAATTGCAAAATTCCTGTTCTAGGGTATAGATCTCCTATAAGTCTGGTCTTCCAAAGGCCTTCGCTAATGTGGGCCTTGCTGCATTGAGCCCATGGTATAATACATCCAAAAAAGCATGTCCGTATAAGAACTTCCTGGTGGAATAACCAGGCAGTAGTAGTATTGTAGTTCGTCAATGGACCTATGCGGTGTCGAGCACAGAGCAAACCAAAAATCCTAAGGCCTTCTTCACTTGAAGTTTCTTAGAAATCCTGAAAAAGCGGACGGGGACCGGCGCTGAGAGCGCGCGGCCTTGATAGCATTCATGGCCTCTCCCAAGAGCTCAATGAGTCTTTTCAACGCCAATTACTGTGGGAGAGCACTCGGGAACTGAATCACGGCCTTAAGCACTTGGCTCAAAATTCACCAAATACCTCAGGTGACATGAGTTTGACAGCATATGCAAAACGCTGCTCATGTCGAAGCCTTCTTCTCACTGTCGCCGGAAGAAGTCGTATGTATCTGTTCGCAACGAAGTTCAAGTCAGACACGGAAGAGCTCAGTATCAACAGGAGAATACCAAGACGTGAAATCATACCGCTTCAGCAAGTTTCAGCCATTCCTCCACCCCTTTTACGAAATGGTCATCGGCCGCCGGCACAATCTCGTGATCCCATACCATTAACTCATCAAATGTGGCCTGTTTCTCAAGAATCTTAACCGACTCGGCCTCCGCATCTTCATCCTCCAATGTAGAGCCATTCTTGCCACCTTGGCTTGGTGGAATAACATTATCCGTTGGCGTCGCAACAATTCCTGCCAGAGGATCGAATAGTTAACCATACAGGACATCCCATCACGCTGTCACATTCCATACCTTGGTATCCTTCGGGGAGCACAACGCGTCGACCACGGAGCTTGCGACCACGGAAATATGCGGTCTGCGTGTTATCTGGATACCCAACGAGTTAGAGACAGTATTTATTTGTTATTGCTAAAGCAAACGGCTATATCGTTACCTTTCTCGTGGACCGGTGCCCAGTAGCGGTCAACACTCTCAACGAGACCATCATGGTGTATTCGGCAGGGGAGAATATTTGGGATGAAGCAATTCATCGCCGCCTCTTTATCAGAGCTGGAGGGCTGTGTCGAAGGTGATCGGATAGCGAACATGGTTGTCTATTGTGGGCGGTTCCGTGAAGAGTTGCGTAGATGAAAAATTGCTGGATTTTCGTGTATCGGGGTAGAGCTCCGGGTCGACTCTTCAAAGTAGAATAATATTTATGAAAATCTTCCTGGGTTTCAATGGAAAATCAACTGCCTCGTTGACGATATAATTCAAGTAACGGTGTTGGTGAAGTCCGCGGAGACGCGCGACGCGCTGCGCGGAAAATGCTCCTAAATTGCTTATCTTAATTTACTCCATACGCTTATTACAAACCTTTTCGAAGACAGCTTAGACAAGAGAGCCCTCTCATTCAATTATTTGTACTCTATATGCGTGAAAGCAAATATATAATCGCTCATCGACATGGAGACATAAAGCAAATGTTCATTATACAACAAGGGGTATAAAATTTGGCTTAGTGACCGCAATATCCTCATCATCGCTTGCGAGTCTTCTTCTTTTTCTTCTTCTTGTTCTGATTGCTTCCCTTTTCCGTATCCTCTGTTGTCACTCGCACTGGCCACTTCTTCGCATGTTCACGTTCGAAAGCCGCCTTATCCCGTCTATACAGGAGCATTGTAGCTCTGGCATCCTCCACACTGGAGTGCGCACCCTCCTGGATTTTCAGCCCTAGATATTCCTCCGCCAGCATCTTCAGGCGAGGAGACCCGCCGCCTGCGAGTTTCCGATACGCGGGATGTTTGCTCGTATCTCTGATATCTCGCTTGGGGTGGCCCAGCAGGAGGGCGTCCAAATCGTTCCTGACCGCATGTCCCACGAGAATTCGTCCATCAAGAATTTCCGCAACATCCTTCTGGGCCTGTTCAAATGATCGCGCATCCACCATGTGTTTTGGAGTAATACCGCTCACATGTGTCCGCCAGTCCGTGACCATCTCCTTGGGTCTTACATACGAATCGTATACCTGGTCGCCGTTGAAGTTGACAATACTGACACGCGCAAGAGCAGAATCATTATCAGGATTGGGACCGACTCCCACCATCTCACAGTCAATCGCAACGTATTTACCTAATTCCGCACTAGATGGTTGTTAGAATTTTTAGTATCTGGTGCACAAGGAGCACATGAAAGAAACAGGAGACAACTAACGTTGAAGATCGCCCTTCATTAGGCTTTCCAACCTTGTATTGTGACTTGACCTGAGCTTGGGACTTGTCGCTTATAGATATTGTAGAATTCCTCCTCGAGGTAGTCTTCGTAACTGCGTCCCGGACATCTTCCTTCTCCGTCCCGTTTTCGCGAACTTCAGACATTCTCCCTTTTTTAATCACCGATTTATGCTGTTTTAACGTTTTTTCCTGCGAAATCTCTGCTCTTCTTCTCTTCACACCATGCTGACTAGCGTGAGTTTCACGGTCTGATGCTTTGCGTTTGGTGGAGCTCGAAGCGGAGACGCTCTCTTTTTTCAGCGTCTCTTGGAGCTTTTTCCAATTGCTGGAAAGGTTTTTCAAGTCCATCACAGCGTAGTTATAATGCCATAATGGGTGTGTTGGTCATGAAAAAGGTGGGAAGGAGTAGGAGTAGCTCTCAAGAACTTTTTAATCTGGAAGAATTGAGATAAAAGATTCCGCGCTTAATCTGGACGGGCCGGATCCACCCCATAACAAGGCCTCCATATTTACGTTTAATAGGAACAGGGTGCCTCTTATACTGAATGCTCATATTCTAAACCAACATGATTATGTACTATATCATCAATCAACAGACAGACGCAAAAATCGAAACCCCCCAAATCACGCCCCAGGAACCTTAAAGTCCTTGTAGGCCCACTTCTCCGTGAGCTTCCTCTTAGCCTTGCGAGCCTGCGAGACAGGCTTGCGAGATTCTAGCTTTCCCTGAACGATCAACGTTCTGAACCGGTCGTCGAGAAGATTGCCCTCTGGCTTAAGCAAACGAAGCGAGTCTTGAAGTTCATCCGGAAGAACCACTTCCAACGGTTTCTCAGGAGCCCTGTCCTCTAATTAGTCGCTGTAGCACGTACGGGGATGTACTGGTTAAACTCACGGTGTCTTCCCAAGAGGCTTCCGTCGGAGAACTGTATCATCTCCCTCCTCGGAAGAATCGCTTTCTGACTGCTCGGCACGCTCCAGCTCTCGTTGCTTGACTTGTTCAGCAATGGCTTTGATCTTTTCTGCTTGTTGCTCCTTCTTCTTCATCTCAGCCTCCCATTTTGCTTTCCTTTCGGCTTCTTTTCGCCTCTTGATCTTATTCCTTTGAGCTTTAGTCTTCCTCTCTGGTCTCTTCTTGTTCAGCCACTCTGGCCTTTCATGTTCGCTTTCGAACCCTTCCCATGCACTTTCATCATCAGATTGTGCCATGCCATCATCATTATCATTCTTAGCCTCAGCGATCAAGCGCTGTTTTTCTTCCTCCTTACGCGCCTCTTCCAAGCGCTTCTTTTCAGCTTCGACTTCTTTCTTGCCTTCTTCGGTCAAGAGATTATCCCACTCTTCAAAGGTTGGGTTGTAGCTTATGCCAGCATTGGGTGTTCGAACCGATGGAACGGGCTTTCCATTCGCAGCCAGAGATATGGGAGCCATTTTCAATGTTGGCGGCGCAACCTTTTCCTTTGGTTTTTCTAGGAAATCAAACTTAGGGTCGTTGATGGGCGCTGTATCCTCTGTATCTGCCCAAGGATCATAAAGGCTGTCTTCCTTCCCCTCATTGGCTGGATTATTATCCTTTGCGACTTGCTTCAAACGTAGCCATTCCTTCCGACTGACCCAGTCGCTCTTCTGTCTCTTGGTTTTGGGTCCAAGAACACCATCGGTAACCTTTGAATTGCCACGCTTGCGAGTATCCACGGCTGGGATAGCAGAACGCTGTGCCAAGATTTCATCGGCCTTCAGAGGCTTGTGCTTCCTATCGCACGTCTTTTGGATTTCCTCCGATCCGGTGGTGTCGATGATGAACAGCTGGTCGGAGGTTTTTTCAGATAACAAGCCACTGCCATTGAGAACAAAAAGTGAGCCATTTAAATCCAAGACCACCTAAGGGATTGTAGCGTATTAAAAAGTACCCTTTGATTTCCTCATCCTTTAATTGACGGAGTCCTTCCTGGACCTCTGTAAGGTCGACATTTTTCCTCCACGCCTTCTTGCCCTTCCTGGAAGGCTGCTTATGCTGCTGGGGAGCAGAAACTGAAGTCGACATTCTGTGATGATATCCTGGAACGTCCACTGTCTGGAACCAGGACTTTTCTCTATTTTTTGCGCCGATAACAATTTTATCAGGAATATAAAACCTGAAAGGGACTAGCGCAGGATATGGCGTCTATCGCGTTAAAATGTATCGCGGCTATCGCGGGAAATCCCTCTTCCGCTTCAAGACTCCAGCTTCCTTTCCCATCGAAATTCGCCGTCGACGCTGGATTTCCTGGGCCGAGAATCTCAGTGATTAACTTTTCTTTCAAGTTGATTCATCTACCTAGAACGGCTTCATATATTGTGTCTCCCAGTCGAATCGGTTTTGCGCTGATCACAATCACGCGTCATGCCTGTGGTCAAGGGAGGTGTTTGGTAAGAAACACTCCTGCAAATGCGACCCAACTCGGCTGTTGCTAACTATCTCCTTAACAGGACAAATATTGAGGATGAAGTGCTTCGTGCGGCGGTAAGTGGCATTTACTCAAATTTACAAAGGCTATCATTGCAGTTATTCATGAGACTGATTATATCTGTTCCCCATAGGTCTCCAAATATGGCCTCAACCAGTGGGCGCGAGTGTCATCTCTGCTCGCCAGGAAGACTGCAAAGCAGTGCAAAGCACGTTGGGTAGAGTGGTTGGATCCTGGCATTCGCAAGGTGGAATGGTCAAGGGAGGAAGATGAAAAGTTGTTGCACCTGGCCAAGTTGATGCCAACCCAGTGGCGCACTATCGCGCCTATTGTGGGACGGACTGCGACACAGTGCCTGGAACGGTATCAGAAGTTACTTGATGAGGCGGAAGCCCGTGAAAACGATGAGCTCGGACTGGGAGGTCCGGGGGGAGAGGCGGCCGCACCGAAGGCAGACAATGTTAGGAGATTACGGTACGAAGCAACACCATGAACTTCTTTCGTATTGGTTGGATTTCTCTTACTGATCCGTTCTAGACCTGGAGAACTTGACCCTGACCCTGAATCGAAACCCGCTCGCCCCGATACAATTGACCTAGACGAGGATGAGAAGGAGATGCTTAGTGAAGCGCGTGCTCGTCTCGCGAACACCCAGGGAAAGAAGGCTAAGCGCAAGGCCAGAGAACGGCAATTAGAGGAGTCGCGACGTCTAGCAGTACTTCAGAAACGCCGTGAACTTAAGAATGCTGGTATCAATATCAAAGTCACGACTCACAAGAAGGGCGAAATGGACTACAATGCGGACATCCCGTTTGAAAAGCCCGCCGCTCCTGGATTTTATGACACTACGGAAGAACTGGCAAAAAACGAGAGGCAAAGGGAGATGTTCGATCCTCGAAAGCAACAACTCGCCAATAAACGCAAGGGAGATCAGGACGAAGAGGCTGAGCGAAAGAAGAGGAAAAATGACAAAGGCAGTTCTGCCTTTTCTGCCGCCGCCAGAGCGGGTCAAATGCAGAAGATCCGTGAAGCAGAGCAATTAAGTAAAAGGCGGCCTCTCGTTTTGCCAAGCCCTCAGGTTAGTGAGAACGAAATGGAAGATATCATCAAAATGGGTATGGCAGGAGACAAGGCCGGGAAGTCCGTTGGGGATGAGGAGACTACTCGAGGTTTAATCGGAAATTATACTAGCATTGTCGGCGCAACACCTATCAGAACACCACGAGCCCCCCCGGAGGAGGATCATATTTCCAACGAAATTCGAAACATCCGAGCGTTGACAGAGACTCAGTCGTCCTTATTGGGTGAGGAAAACACACCTCTCCATGAAGGTGTATCCTCGACTGGATTCGACGGTATTGCGCCTCGACGACAGCAGATTGTGACCCCCAATCCCATGGCTACGCCATTTAGGCAAGCTAATGGCGTTGGTGCCACACCCATGCGAGGGGGGATTGGCCCGGGAGCAACTCCTTTGCGCACCCCTAGAGACCACTTTGCACTCAATAGGGAAATGGAAGGCGGGCAACTCGTCAGCAATACTCCAAGAGACATTAAACTGCATGAGAATTTTATGCGCCAGCAGATTCGTAGCAAGTTGTCGTCACTCCCCAAGCCCAAGGAGACTGAATGGGAACTGGAAGAGCTCCCTTCGGAAACAGCGGAGCCGACTATATCAGCGGAGGCCATGCAAGAGGACTCGGCTGAGCTTGACAGAAGAGAGAAAGAGGCTCGTGAGAAGGCCGCCCAAGCTGAGTTCAAACGCCAGACGCAGGTTTACCAACGGTCTCTTCCCCGGCCAAGTGTTCTCGATATTGATGCTCTGCTGCAACGAGCCTCGCAGGTCACCGACCCGATCCTCGGTTCCATTGCCAAAGAGGCAGCGTTGCTCATTGCCCATGACGCCCGGAAATTTCCTGGTCCTGGCGCTAAGATTGAGGGCAAGGCTCCTAAATTAGGTCGATTGAATGATGAACTGCTTGCATCAGCTCGTGCAGCTATTGCGGCAGAGGTAGCATCTTCAGAACCACAGAAACGAGAGTGGCAGGAGAGCTTTGAGACCTGCTGGACGTCGACGTATGCCAATTCTCTCCCAGGGTTGGCAAACTATGACGATGACGAGGAAGACCCGCCTAAACAAGAGCAGCGCATGATGTCTATCTTTGACAATGTGCAGGCAGCGTTGGTAGCCGCAGCAGAGCGGGGAAATAAACTAGAAAAGAAGCTAGCACTGCACTATGGTGGATACCAAAATCGCGCGAAGACGCTGCGGACCAAGATTGTCGAAGCCAGTTCAGCCCTCGAGCAAGCCGAGAACGAGCTGGATGCCTTCCGTTCACTGCAGATCTCTGAGGAGGCGGCCATCAGATCGAGACTCGAGAGACTACGAGACGAGGCAACTTTTGTTACAAGAAGGGAACGAGAGGCCCAGGAACTTTATAGAAGCCGACGGGAGGAGCTGGAGGGGCTTACTGGAGGGACTGGTGTATCAGCGAACGGATGGCATTAAATCTTTTGTCATTATAGTCTGAGATTGATTGGACATGGAGTCTGTATTATAATAGTATGATGGCACTTGGTAGGGAGATGAAATCAGTATACGGTAGTACACGTGATCTCTTGTGGCCTGAGGCTGCCATATTCGCGGCCTCCAGGCAACTACTATGTGTTCCCAACAGTTGCTTTAGTGGACGGCTAACCCCATATTCTGTGGGAGACACTAATGAGTGGAAGCACACTTGATAGATAGCTCTGAACACTGAGTGAGATACATGGCTTTCTTATCATCTATATGTGGTTGAATAGCTTCAAATTTGAAGTTGGCGTGGTGGTCGAATTCGGGCGTCAGGTGAACTAGAAGCCATGTATTGTCGGTGTCAAAGGTGCCTCTATGCTGTGCGAGAATGTATGCAGGACCTGCAGCATGGTATGAACCAAGAAGTCAAAAAAACTGATCAGAAAAAGGTGTGAAGTCTTTCCCAGTATACATCGGGACTTCAGTCTTTCCGGCTGTTGAAAAGGTATTGGGTCCGTTTGGTCAGGAAGAGATGGTTTTAGGCATGCTCAAATCTACTCAGCGAGCAAAAGGTGCCAAGACCTGAGCATTAAAATGGAAAGGGAAGGCCTTCAACGTTGATAGGAAAAAAGTACATATGAATATCCAGCCTACTTAGTCCGCAAAGAATAATACACTCTCTCGCATCTTCCTGTCATGGCACATCTGTATCATGACCAGTATACTGTCACAGCAACAACTCCGATTTACGAGGTAAGTTGACGCCTCGTGCTGAACATAATGCATCCATCTTTCTGACTATCTTATACCCAAAGTGTTGAGCGGTGGACGATTGTCCGTCGGAGGAAGCATAACTACTCCAAGGCAGGGAAGCATTTAACCAATTCTGGCATCACCTGGATGGTGTGTGGTTAGGACACACCGCAACATTGATTCGCCCGAATTGAATTCATCAAGAAGAGTCACTGTGCCGTAATAATTGGCAGCTTGTCGAGGTATTGTCGACTTGAATAACAGTGTCATGACATCTTTTCAGGCATGATAGGATTGAACTGTGGGTAGTGGCTCCATCTGCATGAGGCCTTTTTGTATGCGTACATTGCATGTCTGACTGCGAATGGCGGTTCCGGCAACGGCGGCGGGTAAGGCATGCGGTGCCTTGGTCCAGTCCGTTTTGCAGGCAGGTCTAGAAGGGATGATTGACCTGGAGCAGTGGATGCAACGGACTGGGGCGGGACCAGTCCATGACTGCATGCCGTGACGCAAGTTTTGGCGTTGAAATAATCAAGCATGTTCGAGACACTGGTTCCGTACTCTGTCTGCTCTGGCCTGAAGACTCGCAGACGAAGCTTATCCGAGACATCGGGCCATCTGCAGCAGGACAAATCGAGACTGGGGTCGGTTCGGCCGAGCCGCGAAGACCAAGTGGTGACACGTAGTTACCTTGCAAGTGTTAGCTAAAAGAAACGTCAGGATAATAATAGATGGTGAGATGCTGATGCATTTCTGCAAGTCTGAAGATGAGCCAATATAGGTTGATGCATTGCTCACGGTGACAGACACTGATTGGCTGCTGTCCCGTGACCAGCTGACATAAGCTCTTTCACCAGCCACGGCTAGTGGGTCCTTTAGGGTCTAGACCTGTGGCTAGTGCATCATGTACCAAGCCAATCACAGCGCGGATGGACGGCATGCTGCTCGACGTCACGGGAAGTCGTCTGCTACTATTTCTACTCTTCGTCTCGTCGTTTCTGACTTGGATTCTGACCTGGCATCTCTCTTCTTTTCATCTCGTCAGCGGCTGTTTCCATCAAGCAATTCCCCTGCAGTTGCTCGCTGCCAACGAGATCTCCCGGGCACGGGAGACAATCACCCTAAACCCCTGGTACGTACACTTCTCTCTCCGGCCACTGTGGACAGACAGCATATTCCTGAAGATCCCCGGGGGAATTGCTCCTCAGCCTTGTCCAGAACAGGCTATTCGAGCATCCCTTCGCATGATACGATCCCCTGTGAGACCATCCCAGGCATTGCCTGTCCATATTGATTCTTATCTCTCCCCACTTGCCTATCTCCCAGATCCCCCAATAACCGGCGGATGATAAGCCCGCCATGGGATGCATACGAGCTGAGCTGACCTGCTGGTTGCCGCAGTTGGTGCCACTATTCTTACCCTTCATAGAGCACCTTCTGCATATTATCCTGCATCTTGCACTCGTGACCGATCGCTTTTTTCCTGAGCTTGTTCGTGCCAGGGAACTCTGCGCTCCCTCTGTCCTCCCTTCCGTCGACGATTGCCTCGCGCGGTCAATTCCCACCAGGGGAAACCGGATCGTCATCTTCTGCTCCACTTGCGTCTTTTTTTAGGGCTGTTTAATCTATATGTGGTCGATTTAATAGAGGCTTTATTTTTCTCCAATCGTCCATGTCTCACCGCCATCCAATGAGTCAACCCGGGTTTCCATCCCAATCTCATCCTCCTCCTCCCTTTCTTTCTTCCCATCGTCGCTCTGTCTCTTCCTCTCATACCCATCGCCTGAAATCCTCTCGGCCTGCCACTCCTCATTACCGGAGACACGCCTCTCTGCCCATCTCCAAGTTGGGTTCGGGGTCGGGCCTTGCCAGACGGTCGCTTGTCAACGACGACGACCACAGCCCCGAGATGGCGGTCAGTTTCCTCAATTTCTGGTATGTATTGTCCGGCTCTACCCTGTTTCATGTTTGTAGTACTTCCGGTGCGACATGACCGGTCATTTATTTTCTCTTATCTGCCCTTGCCTTCCTGTCTTTGTTCCTCTAGCTGCAAAGAAAATTTTATGATCTTCTTTTTTCCTTCTCTTCTTCTCTTCTTCTTAATCACCAACTGACTCCGAGCAGCGCCATGTGCGAAAAACAGATTACCGTCCCTGACAACTCCCTCCTCTACTGCAGTGCCAGGTATGTTCAATTTCTCGGCTACCTTCGGCTGCCTTCAATTGACGTGAAGACCCACAGCTGCCGGCGTAAGGACTCCCGCAAGCCGCTCTCGGCCTCTCTCATAACGACCGCATCTATGGCCCCTTCCACTTCTCCTCCTGCTTCGCCCCCAATGTCTCCACGGTCCATTGCTCCGATGACTGCCTCCAGAACCCCAATCGTGCCTGTTCCTTCCATCCGGATACCTCCAGAGTTCCATGATGCCAAGACAGATCTTGATCCCACCGAATGGAAGCCTAAGATATCGACCAGTCCTTCCCGGATTTCCAGCTCTCTGGCGTCCTCGGAAGCCTGGCGCTATCTGTCGCAGTTCCACGGCGGCGACGAGGCCATGCTTCCCGCCCGCCGTGCCGGTGCGGGTCACCGCAGCACGAGCAGTCTGTCGACGCTCACGAGCACCAATGGAACCGTGCCCGGACTGATCCACACGCCGTTCACCGTGGCTTCGTCGTTCAGCAGCACTGCTTCGGACGACGTGGGCAATGCCGATTCCGTCCATCGGCCGCTGCCCCCGCGGCACAACCCGTTCTACTCGGGTGGTGCAAACGCTACCAAGGGGTTGGACCTCGTGGTACCGCACGTGGAGACTCCGAGCGAAAGTGGCGTGGTCGTCAGTGTCGCCCCGAGCAGGGCTCAGTGGGAGGACCTGAGTGAGGAGGCCGTGACCGTCACTTCGATCGCCTGTGACGGGGAAGATCTGTCCTGAGGATCGATGCAGGCGGATGCAATAGTAGTATTGTTACATTCTTCCATTCTTCTATTGAATAGAGTCTATACCCAGGCATACCTGCGGGATGGTGGCATTCATTACGCAGTTGTATATGCAATGTGGTTTGCCTAGTATTTGGAATACAAGCACTGATAAGTTTAAATACATTAATTAACACGGTACGGAGTGCAAGTAAGTGTAAACATGTTTCGCATAGTTAATATTTGATAATGACATTTATGCCGGGCAGCTCACATAACCCTAACCTAACCTAACCTGCCCGGAACTCGACTTCAACGATTACCTGCAATCCAACATATTCGTTCTGACCAACACAGGACATGTAGGACAAATGATCCTCATAACACAAACCGAAACCTAGGATCATCATCTCCCATATTCCGCAAGGCACTCTCCACGCGCAACCGATAATCCCTCCCACCCCTCTCCCGGCGTCGATTCTCTGTGGCCACGCCCCAGGCAAAGACCGAACTCATCACCCCACACAAAAGCATCATACCCAACGACACAGCATAGCCAGCCGTATACTGCGGCGCCAGATCGGCATTGAAGACATTACTCGCGATAATCCCGCCTACATTCCCAACCCCAACCTGAACAGCCAGCCCAACAGCACGCTTGTAATGACCAGCAAGATTATTCGCCATCCAGACCAGCGTGACAGGCTGAACGATATACGTGCCCGTTGTGACGAAGAAAACGGCCATATAATGCACGCCTACGGGGACGGTAGACGACGGGCGGCAGAGCAGGAGCACGTACCCGATACTCGCGACGAAGACGCCGAACATGATGAATCCGTATCGGTGCTTGAGTCTGTCTGTTGCGACGGACACGAGGAGTGTCACGACCGCAGCTACTATCCAGACAGGGATGCTGTGTATTTGGCTCTGGATGCCGCTGTAGCCGAGCGAGGCCATGATGGATGGGATGAATAGGGCTGTCGCGTACCCGGATACCGTTACGCCGAGGTAGATGATGCTGCCGATGTAGATTTTCCAGTCGGAGAGGATGCGCTTACAGGCTGTGCGGTCGAGCCGGTCCATTGTTGCTATGCTAATTCCTCTGTAACCGTCGGTTTCGGGTTGCCTGCGGACAAGATCCCTCGCAAGACGGCCACGAAGCAACTCCTTCTCCCTCCCCGACAAGAAACGTGCCTGATCCGGCCAGTCGGCCAGGATGAATTTCATCGGCACCGCAAGCACGGCAGAGAGGAGACCTTCGATGATGAAGATCCAGCGCCAGCCCGCGTAGCCCTGGAGTCCATCCATGTGGTTCAGCGCGTAGGCGAGAAGACCGCCAAAGGCGCCGGCCACCAGCCCCGCGACCCAGAACAGCGAGAAGCGCCTCTGGTACTCGTGGCGTTGGTAGAACATGGCCATCAGGTACGTGCAGCCGGGGACGAAGCCAGCCTCGAACAGGCCCATGAAGAAGCGGCAGGCGATGAGGCCGGAGGCGTGTTTTACGAAGCCTTGGCACATGGATGTTATGCCTACCATCAGTTGAGCAAGAATGAATCTAATTGTTTCAAAGGAAGGGGAAGAGAGGGAAATACCCCATAAAAACGCCAACGCGCTAATCCAGACAGACGGCGCAACCCTCCTCAGGACAATGTTACTCGGCACATCGAACAGGATGTACGGCACGAAAAATACCTGCATGGCAACGGCCAGCTGGGTACCGGACATATCCAGGTCCTTGACGACGCCGAGGACGCTGGCGTTTCCGAGATTGATGCGGTCGAGGAATCCGAAGACGAAGAGGACCCATAGCGGGAATACGAGATGGAGGTCTATCTTGCGGAGGAGGTTCCGTTCTTGTTGTTTGGCTTGTTGGATGTCCCTGTCTATGCTGTCGTCCGGTTCGGGACTGTCTGGGATGATGTTGCTGTTGGGTTCTTTTTCCATGGTGAGGTTTATTAGGGTTATGGCGGCGTGGATTGATGATGAGAAGAATATCAGCATTGAATGCAATGGAACCATCTACTTATATCCCCAATCCATAATACCCCTTCCTCTTCCTTGAAGATATCAGCAGACAGGGATCTGATCCTTCATGCAATAGATACTCCCATCACTGCATGAAACATCCATACCATCCTCGCCCCCATAGAGCAATCAAACATTTAGGAAGAAAGGATGGTTCCAAATGACCCCTGCACATTCACCCGAACCTGCTGCATGGATGCCGTGGTCAGAACGAGAATTCCTCCTGCCTAGCGAGCGTTCTAGCCATCCTGGCGGTGGTACAAAATGTCCACATGCTCGTCTACTGGAGAGATACTGGAGAGATACTGATTCGGGCTGGGTGGGCACTGTCGTGCTCGGATTCGGGCTGTTTTGTGTAACTGTCTACACAAGGTCAGGATAGACATGGCCCTCGTGTTGAATCTTCTGTTGAGTAACGGTGGCATCGTTTCTGGACTTGGAGGTTGATGTTTTCTTCCTCTTTTGCTCCATCTCCTATACGGATGCTGTAGTTTAGCGGATTGACATCGTGATCATCCCTGCTGGTCAGAATCAACATCCATTCGAATGCGCCCTTCAGGTCATCAGATGCAATATAATAAGCATGCCCAAGAACTCGTCAAGGCCGCTGCTCGACATGTAACTAGTTGGGCTTTTACTTCCACTATCCCCCTCTACCGGAGACCGCAACCGACAAATCCAGGCTGAACCAACCTGAAATAATTGATATGCCCCTCTTCAGCCACTACGGAGATATCCCCGACTGCTCCTCGAAACTGTCGCACCCGTCTCTCGTCTTCGCCGTTGTCACTCCGCTGGTGGTGCTGGGGAGGTTTTTGAGTCGAAGGGGTTCCGGGAAGATCGGGGGGGATGATTGGGTTGTTTTGGGTGCTTGTGTTTGTTTTCTTTCTTTGCTTTTTCAATCTATTTGTTCTCTTTCTGCTTGCTACAGTCCTGCTGATAGAGTGTAGGCTGTCGCGGAAACAGTGTCTGTTCAGATGATTGTGGGTAGGTACTCGTCTCTCGACAAGGGGAATATCTTTGTCTTGATATTGATGTTTACAAGTCTGCGCATGGGCCTTTGGGAAACACGTTTCAGATATCCAGCCAGCTCTACTTACGAGGACTTTGAAGGTAGGATACATGCCCATATACTACTGCTCGTAAAAATGGTGAACATCCCTAACAAGAAAGCTCTACTTCATCTCCCAAATCCTCTACAAGGTCAACATCGGCCTGACAAAAATCAGCATCCTTCTCTTCTACATCCGCCTCTTCATCCGTCCCCGCTTCCTCAGAGCATGTTGGACCTGTCTCGTCCTCGTCGTCGTCTTTACTCTGGCGAGCGTCCTGGCGAGTGTCTTCCAATGCACGCCGGTGGAACATGCATTCGACGGGCCCAATTCCACGTCCGAGACGGATCTTGATTACTATTATCCAAGCTCGGGTTCGACCCGGCTCGAAAGTGGAAAATGCATCAATCTAACAGCCTTCTGGTACGCAAACGCCGCGTTCAATATCCTCAGTGACGTGGTGATTATACTCCTCCCCATTCCCGTGGTGGTACAACTGCATCTTCCGCGGAGGACTAGGGGGGGTTATGTGCTATTTTTGCTGTGGGGGTTTTGTATGTCTTTCTCCTCTCCTCCCTCCTCATTCTTCTGGACGGGTTCATTCGTTCTACTGCACATTAGTGGCGGTGTTGACATCGATGTTCTGACGAGACAAGTGTCTGCATAACCTCCGTCCTAAGAATAACAACCCTCAACATCGCAACCTCGTACAAAGACATAACATGGGACTCTATTCCCTCGTCCATGTGGACCGTCATCGAGTCTAATCTGGGCGTCATCTGTGCCTGTCTGCCTGCGTTGCGGAGGCCGTTGCTGTTTGCTTTTTCGGCTAGGGGTGGTGGTTCGATTAGTGGTACTACGAACCACAACAATAATAACAAACACAATGACGGCGACGATGATAATGGTGGGCAGAGAGGGAAGAGTCACTATGGCATTGAAGAAGTGCTGGAGATGGATGAGGATGAAAGTACAACTGCCCCTGAAAACACATGCAGAAGCAGAAACAGAAGCAAAAGTGGGCATCGATCTGTTTCCGTGTCTCCCGCGCCGTCTATATTGGGGCTGTCGAGGAGTTTCAGGTCGAGGAAACGGTCTGTTCAGGATACAGGTGCACACGCTGAATCTGAAAAGGATGCTGCTACGACTACGACAGCAGATTCTCCAGGCGACGGGATCAGGAAAACCACAAAAGTCGTCGTCAGCTACGATTACAAGGAGGATGGTCATGATGACAATATGCGTGTTTACGGGTATGTTGCTTCTGCGGCTGGCGCTGGTGCTGCTTTTGAAGCCAGTGGGGGAGTATATACGGCTTCTGCGGAGAGCGCAGGCTCGAATTAGGGTTTCCGGTTTTGTATCATATAGAGGCTTCATATAATATATGGGTTATGGTGTGTGGAGTTGCACTTGACAATGGACAAGCCGGTAGAATGACGATTCCATGTCGCTAATAAAGCTAAAGGTATCCTTTTATTGTCAAAGAAATGTTTCTTTCTCGCTCATCACATCTACGGAGTGCATCGTCCCGTGAAACGAGGGTATAGACAGCACTCCCGGACCGTGTAGCGCGCACACAGCCACGCCAGGAATCGCTCCAGTCCAAGGCCGTATCCTCCATGCGGAGAGGTTCCATACCTAATCAATGTTAGCTAGGGCTTCAAATGCTCAAGTGCTGCAAAGATGATACACTTACTTTCTTTGGTCAGTGTACCAGTAGTAAGGCGCCGGGTCCATTCCCTCGTGCTTGTACGCAGCCATAAGCTCGTCATAGTCGTGCATCCTCATGCTGCCACCGACGATCTCGCCCACACCCGGCATCAACACGTCCACACTCTCCGTGACCCGGGGGTCCTCGGGATCCCGCTGCATGTAGAATGCCTTGATATCCTTGGGGAAGTGGGTCAAGAAAATAGGCTGGTTGATGATATCCGTCATCTTACGCTCGGCTGCCTCCGCGATGTCGTCGCCAAACAGATGCGGCTGTCCCTCTTCGTTAGGGATGTCATGTTCGCGCAGCCATTCGATCGCATCGGCGTACTTCATCCGCTTGAACGGCCGGCTGGGTGGTTTGAAATCGGGGTTGAGCTGCTTGATGTAGCCCGCGATGACTGGGTCTGCCAGCGTCAGCTCAATCACCCGGCAAACAACCGCCTCCAGATGGTCGAGAAGATCGTCGAACGTGATGAAATCGAGCTCGGCTTCGATGTGCGTGTACTCAGACAAATGACGGCGGGTAAGAGACTTCTCCGCGCGGAATGACGGGCAGACGCAGAATACGTCACCCAAGGATGGGAGACACGTCTCCAGGTACAGCTGGGACGACTGCGTCAGATACGCATTCTCTCCATAGTAGTCGAACTTGAACAGTGTGCTGCCTCCCTCGACCTGCGTCTGCACCATGGCCGGCGGAGTCACTTCCAGCATGCGTTGCTCTTCGAACGTCTTGCGGAATGCTCGGAGCACCGCTGCACGGACCTTCATCACAGCAGATGCCGTCTCGCCACGGAGGACAAGATGCCTGTTGTCGTAGAGTGTTTGAGGATCCGCATCCGGGGCCACACGGGTCGTGATGGCCTCCTTGTCGCCAGCAGCGCGACCGATGACGGTGAAGAAGTCGGCGTGAAGTTCGCGATCGTTGGGGGCGTGCTGCTTGGGGGGCACAGCTCGCATCTCTCCGTGGATAGCCATGGAAGTCCCAATGGTGAGAGTCATCGCATCGTACGTCTTGACCAAGTCGCCCGTCAGGACGCATTGCAAATAGCCATAGCCGTCCGTTAAGGTGATGAAAATCACGTCTTTCTGAGCTCGCAGCCGGTGGATTCTTCCGAGCACACGAACACGTGTTCCCGGGGTGTCAGAGTCATTAGCGCGCAGCTTGACAACGGCTGGGTCCGTCTCATCTAGTCGGATCTTGACGGGTTTGGGGAGCGATGGGTCCTCCTTGATGATAATTTTCTTGGCTTCCTCCAGGACCAGTCTGCGCTTCTCTGCCTCTTGTTTTTCCCGAATAGCCAGTTCCTGCTCCTTAGCAGCCTTCCTCTTCCTCTGCTCGTACAGGTTGGTCGCCTTCTTGATGGCCGACTTAGCAGCCGGCTTCCACTCCAATTTGGCCGCTGGATCGACGTTCTCGCCGGCTGGCTCCGTCTGAGACTTGCGCGTGAGATACTGGACGTCCTTTGCGGGAGGATGCTGCTGGAAAGCGTAGATCAGGGTCTTGTAGGGGGCCGATTCGGATCCGGTCGCGGAGGTATCGTCCTTACCCACATCCTCATCGATGTAGATAGAAATCGAGGGAGAAGCCATTGTGGCAGGTGGTCACGATACCGTGTCCAGAGACAATTGGGAATCGGAGTAGCCAGGGGTTTTCACGAGAAGGAGTGAAATTTTAAGGAGAGAACCGAGTTGTCGTGTGGAATATAGGTCCGCTGGGTTTATCAACGGGTTCGTGCAAGTGAGTCAGAGCCTTATCGGGGTGGTTGGTGCATAAGCCAAGCTGATTGGGAAATGAAAAAAGTGGGGGAGAGGCTCACCTGAATGACTCTGATCAAGGGGTGGGAGTGTCTAATTCCCAGAAGCGCGATGGAGGGAGACAGAGAGAGCGAGCAGTAGCGAGGGGCAGCATTTTTCGTCTTTTGGCGGTTCTGAGGGGCATTTCCCGGGGGGATCTCGGTGATGCCTCAGGCCTCGATACACGTGATATTCTGTTATTTCACGTGACTAATGACGGAGACTCACTGGACGGAGTGGAACAGGCTGGGCTGAGGTTGCGCGGACATCGGACGCATGGAATGGGCCGCTTGCAGCTACCTGCAGGCCGTGCCCAAACCATGAGCCGTGCAGTTTCGTTCCTAGAAAGGAGTGGGATCCCTGCCAGGGCCAGGTCCGGAGGCACTTAGAAATGGCGGCTATAAATAGTACGGCGGGTTGTCTCAGCCCAACTGCGGGTACCGAAGAAGCGACGGACAGCTCTGACTCTGAGCTACGATCTGTTATTATGATGATGATGATGATGATGATGATGATTATTGTTTTGAAGCAATAAACGCTGCAGCATGAATCCATCCATCCTATATAAAGCGTGTATGTACCTGATCCAGTGACCGCTAGCCGCATGCGGCTAGCGGTAACTTTAAGCTCGCAGCAACTTTCTGTCTATCTGTCTTTCTCTCTCTCTCCCCTTTTCTCCATCGCCCTTCGCGCATTCAATTCTTGCTCGGCTTTATTATTATTGTTATTATTTTACCCTTCTTCCTTCGTTTCTTCCTTCCTTTATTCATTCGTTTCTTCCCCACACTCGTTATCCTTCTCTTTCGTTCCTGGCGCCGCCCGCCCGTCGTTCTCCTGTCCGGTAATATTGTTACTGCTTTACCAACCAGCGGCTTGCTTCTCCCCCTTTGAAAAAAAGAAGCGCTGAAAACCCAAAGCCCCTTTTCCCCCAAAGAGGGCCCTGGTTTGATTGGATTTTTTATTGATTTGATTATTTTTATTTTTTATTGTTTTATTATTATTATTATTAATTGTTCTTGTTTCCTGTGTATACCATTATCATTGGTTTTCCTGCGCCCTTTTTTTCATTTGCTTGATCCGTTTACTCCTACCACTTGCCCATTTGCAGTTTAATCATTCGTGGCTGGTTCTCATAGTCTCCTGGTTCAATTTCTTCTTTCTCGTTATTATTATTCTTGTTACTATTCTTCGTTTCTTTGCTTTCTCCTTCTCCTACTTCTCCGTTCTTTCGCTCACCCTGGTCCGCATCCCTTTTCGGGGGGGAAAAAGCTTCTGCATCCCTTTCTTTTCACCGTCTCCGTCGACTCTTTTCAGGGGACCCTTCTCTTCGTTTTAGGCCCCGTTCTTGGCCTTTGACTCTCCTTTTTTCTTTTCTTTTTTGTTTGCCGTGATTGGCCTTCAAACACCTTGCTAGGAGCAGGCATTCTCAAGACTGGGTCCTGCGGAGGTTCGTTGCGTTCCCTGACTTGCATCCTTCCCATAGGCGCGTCCGCGTTTCAATTGACTTTTTTTTAACCTTTTCTCTCTCTTCTGCCCTAGGCACAAGCTGTTTTTGGGAAGCTCTGCTGCTTTGCATTTGTTCGTTCTGCTCTCTTCGCCTCTTAATCTTTCCCTTTTTTTCTACTCCCCGCCGGGCTTTCTTTAGGGGTGGTGCACCGTATATACGGCATACTTCCTATTCTCCCTGGTCGCCAATCCTGTATACCAACACTGGAAAAAAAAAAAAAAAAAAAAAAGAAAAGAAAAAGTACATCACTCTTTTTCTTCCGCGGTCGTTCCTTTCTCGAAGCAAAAGAGAGAGGGTAAACTACTTGGGTCCTGTCGTGCTATAACCTCGCCATGCAAACCTCAGATGCCGCAAGCATCCCGAATAGCTCTCGCCTGATCCATCCCGTTTCTAAGTTCTCCCACCTCAACGCAGACAACACGGGTTTCTCGCACACTGCCTACAATTCCAACCATTTCCCTGTTCAGGGCTTTGCAGACCGTCAGTCTCGCCGTGCCAACATCCCTGCCATCAATACTTCGGCCGCCGGGCAAAACATTAACGACATGGCCTCCTCTGGCACCGCTTATGACATGAACTTCACCCCTCTGCTACCCTCCCAGCTCCTTCTCGGCAGCCCGTTCCAGCCCGGGACGCCTTCCGCCTTCACCTCCCCTCAATTCAACTTTGGCGGCTTCTCCCAGCACGGCGCCTCTGCGCATGCTCAGAATTCTCAGAACCAGCTGGGAAGCCCCACCCAGGGCCCTCAGAATTCCATCTCTCCTGGACCGTACCCCGGGCTGATGTCTACTGATGGTCTGGGCGGTTCGCAGCTTCTCAGTAGTCCTCAATCTCCCATCGGTGGTCTAGGAGGCCTGGGGAATGCAGCTTTTGGGAGCCCGCCAGCCGCGGTGACCCCTAATGTTCTTTCGGGGACGAGCCGTACCGTATACCTGGGTAATATCCCTGCGGAAACGACTGCCGAGGAGATCTTGAACCATGTCCGCAGCGGTCAAATCGAATCGGTTCGCCTCCTTCCCGACAAGAACTGCGCCTTTATCTCCTTCTTGGATAGCAGCTCGGCCACTCATTTCCACTCGGACGCCATCCTGAAAAAGCTGGCGATCAAGGGGAATGATATCAAAATTGGATGGGGTAAGCCGTCTCAGGTGCCCACGTCTGTGACTCTTGCGGTGCAACAATCGGGTGCCTCGAGGAATGTCTACCTCGGGAACCTGCCAGAGGAGACTACGGAAGACGAGTTGCGTGAAGATCTAGGCAAATTTGGCGCCATTGATACCGTGAAAATTGTCAAGGAGAAGGCCATTGGTTTCGTCCATTTCCTGTCCATCAGCAATGCAATTAAGGCCGTCACTCAGCTCCCCCAGGAGGCCAAGTGGCAGGCTCCCAGACGCGTCTTCTATGGGAAGGACCGTTGTGCCTATGTCTCGAAGACACAGCAGCAGAATGCGGCTCAGTTTCTCGGTATTGCGCCGGGATATGCGCACATGCTCAACTCAGCTGATCGTGATCTGATCTCCAATGCTCTTGCTCAGCAGTCTGTCGCTGCCGCTGCCGTGGCCACCACGGCCGGCGGTGTCAATAATCTTGGGAATCGGACAATCTACCTCGGGAATATCCATCCTGAGACGACCATTGAGGAGATCTGCAATGTTGTGCGTGGCGGTCTACTTCATCACATCCGGTATATACCCGACAAGCATATTTGTTTTGTTACATTCATCGATCCAACATCCGCGGCGTCTTTCTATGCCTTGAGTAACCTACAGGGCCTCATGATCCATAATCGCCGATTGAAGATTGGCTGGGGAAAGCATTCCGGTCCACTCCCTCCGGCGATTGCACTTGCAGTAAGCGGCGGTGCCTCGCGTAATGTATATATCGGCAACTTGGATGAATCATGGTCGGAGGATCGGCTCCGTCAGGACTTCTCCGAATATGGTGAAGTTGAGTTGGTGAATACGCTTCGCGAGAAGAGCTGTGCCTTTGTTAACTTTACAAACATCGCCAACGCTATCAAGGCGATCGAGGGCATGCGTAACCGGGAGGAGTATAAGCGATTCAAGATCAACTTCGGCAAGGACCGCTGTGGTAACCCTCCCCGCCAGGTGAACAACGCGCAGCAGAACCGCGGCGGGTCTGGACTCGATGGCCCGCAAGGTAGTCCACCCGTGCTGAACGGTCTCCAGCAGAATCTGAGCCAGCCCACTTCCCAATCCAGTCCCAGCCGTCCGGCCCTTTCACCTGCCCCTGGTTCAACTGGCTCTCAAAATGCCCAGCAAAACCGACCATCTATCCAGATGTCGACTGCACCATCTGGAATGTTGAATGTCGCAGCGAACAACCCATTGACCATGTATCTGAACCAGGTATCTGCTCAGCAAGCCCAGGAACAGGAGGAGCGGTTGAATGACCCCATGGCTGCCTTCCAGCAACAGAAACAACAACAGCAGCAGCAACAGCAGCAGCTACAGCCACAATCGCAACAGCCTTCTCTTTATGGCGGTTCTGGCTCTGGCGAACTTACCAACGGGAACCTCGAAACATCGTTACACCAGCGTCAGCCTTCGACAAATGGCTTCCTGAGTGTCACCAACGGCGCTACCGGGCCAAGTCACCATGCCACGGCTAGCGCCAGCACATTGAACGTGCCGCGTGCCCAGCATTCGCGCGCTGTTAGTTTGCCCTCGTTCTCTCAGGAGCCGTTCGGTCCTGTATCTGGTCAGCCGGGACAGGCTCGACCGGCGGCCGCACATCAGCCTCAAGGCAGCTTCTCCAGCTTCACGTCTTTCGGTGGGCTCAACCACGCCAGTCTTGGACTAGCCATTCAAAACGAAAACTCCCTACCTGGCTGGACAGAGGAGGAAGTCCGAGCGAAATAATGCTGCATGCAGCTTTCTTCCAATTCTTCATGCAACCCTTCTTTTCATATTTTTGTAATTTTGTCCTATTATATTATTGCCATTTAATCAAGTTCATTTCTTTGATGTCCTTGTCAGCACGAATTTCTCATCTTCACCTTGACCAAGATCTCTCTTCTTACATCCACACAGCCAACCGGTCCCTACAACCTTTTGATTGATCTTTCTTCCATGCGATTGTATTGCTAGCTGGCTACGAACGTTTACTCCTGTTGGCTGTTTTATCTTCTATCCTTGCAGCTAGACGCGCTTACTTTCTGATCCTAGTTGGCAGGAGAGGGGACATTCCTTTTGAAGAAGTGGGCTATACCCTAGACTGGTTTGGAATTGTTTTCTTCTTACGTATGTACACGTTTGTTTTATCCAGTTTTATTCATTTCGTGATGTCATTTGAATGTTTCTTTTGTATGATTTTTGTCGGAGGGTGAAGAGGGTGAAAACCATGCCCACGCTTGACGATCCGAGGAAGGCAATTATCAATTGGACAGTCAGCCATGACAGCATCCCTGCATGCATGGTTTCGTTGGTGAGAGACACCTAGTACTACATAAATAATACGATGTTTCTCGAGGTATATTCTATTTCTCCTCATTAGGGCTGTTGCCCACGTGACCTTTAATACTCTCATTCTCTTAGTAGTGATTGTCCGTCTTCAAGACTTCTTACTAAATGCGCTGGATGACAGTCAAGGTGGGATCATGATATCCAAGCTCCATTGGAACAGGTCAACACTTGCCCAAGGATTCAATTTTGGAAGGTGGACGTCAAGCTTTCCAACAGGTTTCAAAAAAGGAGACACATCTTGGCACGGTTCCCTCATTGGGATTAGTGTGTCGTTTTTACCATTCTCCCAAGTTCCACGCAAATGTCTTATTTACCACCAGGATGGACCATAAAGCGACTTCAGACTGCAACTGTGGATGATCTACACCAGATACCAGAAGATGTAAGTGGTGCAACCGGCCATTCTAAAGGTATTATTCCAGCATAGATTGCTAACCACCATTTTACCTGTCCAGAAACTCCATGAGATAGATGAAGAATCGATTCCTATTGAGAATGTTCAAGCCCACATAGTTATCAGCCGTGCAAAAGCAAACAACTACTGACAACTGGAATATGAGAGGGCTGGGTCTGCCTCCTGCTCCTCCAAAGCCACTTTTGAAAAGAATGATGATCCAGTTGTGGAGGTAGTAGAAAGATGAGGATTTGATGGCTTTGGATTCATTGTCTTCAGAACTGATTACTCAGATGATCAGTGCTGAGAGCAATGGGAGGAACAGTTCCACAACAGACTGGATATCTCAATTGCAAGTACCACTGGAGGAAATAAGATCAAAGGCAAATGCTTAATGCCAATCTTCGAGGATAATGTCTACATGGTGCCAATCACCACCAAATTCAGCAGTGAGATAAACATTCTTATGTCCCATGTTCAGCCAGTGATAATTATATTTGATCTTTGTCTAATCATGAGGGCATAGGGAATTCAATACGTACATGGAAAATGAGGGTGTGCCCCCAGGCCTTGACACTGGGATGTGCCTGGTTGTTGATAAAGTTGCCATGGATTCTATGGCAAGTGATGAGCCATGGGTATTTGCATTGGTAAAAGCCTCTTATTCGCAGTCCCATTTCACAGAATCAACATGGATCTACGGCTGCTGCAGTCTTCAGCTCCATCCACTTGGTCACAGAATACTTCCCCGGCTCCCTACCATAGCTGCTCTGCTTCCATCCCCTGAATGGCATATCATGCGTCATCCAGGGGCTTGTCACATTTACGCTGACGTTGCCTGCTGCAACGGCCTTGACGAACTTGAGAGCGCGGAAGACATTCTCTGTATAGATACTAGCATACAGCCTGTATCCTTGTCCTTGAACAGGGTCAGGCACTCTACAGGCCAAAGATCTCCTCTTCATGACCAGGCTATCCTCAGCCGGGTTCCAGGGGAGCGTCAGCTTAACATAGCATCCCTTGTCACTGTCGCGGTTCCTGCATCACCCTGAGCGTCGGCTTGACAGTGGTGGCATCCAGAAGGGGAAAGTCTCTGTGGCTCTAGAATAAAAAGTACGTATAGGAACATACAGAACTGAATCGAATGGAAAACCCATAAAAAACATCAAGATCTACCGGTAACCCATCTCTCCACCATCCTCGCAAGCGCCACACATCTCACATCCACATACCTCGTATACAAATCCGCCAGGTAAACCACCACTGCCCCCATAACAAGAAACCCCCCAATCCACGCAAGGCCAAACGGGACAATAGCGGTCCTACTCGCCTCCTCGGTGCTAGAATACGGGCTCCTCGTAAGAATCCACCAGATGAAATCCCTTACCGGGTCCCTCGCAAGATGATACACAGACTGATGCACCAGGTACAGCGAGAAGGAAATCCGACCCAGATACTGCACGGCACGGACGTTCAAGGCCCGCTGCAGCGAGGACGACTTGTCGATTGCGTAGACGAGGAGGACTGCTCCAGCCGCTTTCCAGCATTTGCTCAGAACGGCCCAGTCGTCGTCCCACCGGGAGGATTGGAAACGAGCCAGGAACTGGTAGCCCGGTGGGAGATAGCCGTCGTCGCTGAGGCAGATTAGATGGAAGCCGAATGCGAAGGAGATTACCGTTCGGATTCGGGCTAAGTTGAAGGACTTTATCCTTGTTTTCCAGGCTGCGGCCAAGGAGGAGCAGGTTCGACGGTAATCCGGTAGTAGTTTCAACTCTGCCGACTGCGTTTCACCCGATGCAAGCTTCATCTCTGCAAGATACAAGCCTGCTAGAAACGCAAAGATATCCCACAGGCCATAGTGAAAGAAATACGCCATCATGCCTACAAGCGCCCAGCGCCGGAACGACGGCCTCCAGAAGGCCAGCGCTAATATGGTCAAATAGACGATACACGAGCCGCGAAACTCAAACGGCATCGTCCACAGCTGACCATTCAGGCCGGGATTATTGTGAAACTGGATGATGTTCATGATATCCAGGATGTACCGCGTTAAAAAGGTGACGTGCAGCCACGGAGCCGTCCAGGGCCGTCTGCCCCAGACGACCTCGTCGCCGAAATCCCAGCGGTAGAGATTGCAGAAGTAGAGGAGCTGCGAGATGCTGGCAATAGCCACCACGGGGAGGTAGATGCGGAAGATGCGGCGGGTTGCTGCTGATGAGAGACGGCGGACGAAGTCGCCTTCACAACTAGCAGCAGCAGCAGCAGCAGCAGAAGAAACACTACTGTTATTCCGAGCCCTGAGGAGGTTTATGGAGATTGCATAACCCGATATCACCAGGAACAAAGGCACCATGGCATGCGAGGCGAAAAGCAGTCGGATGGGAGGCAGTTGGATGAATCGGCGGTTGTCCTCTGGGGGATCAGCCCAGAAGGACCGGAAGGCCACGTCCAAGACGCCGCCCATGAAGTAGTGATCCAGGGCTACGATGGCCGCGGCGATGCCGCGAAGGCCATCGAGCCAGGTAGTGCGGTCCATGGGGTTTTCGTGCTGACGGAGGATGGGACAGGGAGAAAGCTGGGATGATATAAACGAAATGTCTCTTGATTAAGCGCTAAACTAGTGGATCCTTTTATCCTGGCCGATCGTTACTACCGCGAGGCAGAAATAGGGCTAAATGAAGATTATCATCAACGGAATCCTTGTTGTGTTGTTGTTGTTGTTGCTGCTGCTGCTGCTGCTGCTACTACTACTACTACTACTACTGCTGCTGCTGTGGTAGCCTCCAGTCTGTCTGCAAGCACATCTACTATTTATTCCGGACAAGTCCAGCCCTCGACTCTGCTCTTAAACCAGCCGCTGGTCCAAGGCAAAGACGTCTGTCGCCGTGAGTCGCCCTCTGGAATCCCGCTTCCAAGCAGAACCTTGCTGTCCATCTTGCACCGGTCCTCGTAGAAGCTCCACTGCACGCATTCCCCCCAGGCCACACACGCGGCTTCGCAGGCATCGACGGACTTCCAGGCGTTGCGCCATACCTCGGGGGAGTCGACTGAACTCGGCGGCTGCACGCCGGCGGCGTTGTTGGATCGGACTTCATGCTTGGATGACCCGTTGTCCCACCACTCGGCGCGAGGACGAAGGAACGGAGCGACGAGTTCGTGGAAGATATCGCGGTACCTCAGGGGACCTCTCTGTCAACGTCAGCACGGTCTGCGTTCTGCGGTGGTTTCCGGGTACGGGCACACCTGAGTGTCCCAGGATCGCTCCAGGTGATACAGCCTCGCGACATCCTTGCTATGCGTATGATGCCAGCTGTATACCGGCTTACACCAATTGGCCCGTTCATACCACGTCGACCAGTGCGGCTCCGGGTTGAAGCCGTAGGTAAACCGACTATCGCCGTGCGTCTCGCCAAACTCAACGCCGTATTCGCGCAACACATGGCCAAGAATATGATCGCCGCACCCGTGTTCCCTGGTGAAGGACTCAAACCTCTCCACGATGTCGGGGTCGCGTCCGAAGCTCTGCTCCCAGGCTGCGCGGGAGAGCGCGAACCCGGACCCCCCATGTGCGAAGTAGTCGCCATGGATCCACGCCAGACTGCCTAGGTACCAGGGGTCGGTATAGTTGAACCGGCCCAGGTGGTGGACAAGATTGCAAAGGAAGATGTACGAGTCATCCTCCATGAAGATGTACCATTTGGCACGGGGTCTGTTTCGCCCGGCGTGCTGGATGATCGGGAGGAATTTGTGTTTGTCCAGCTTCCAGCCGCCCGGCGGCCCCGCGGCATCGCCGGGCATGTTGGATATTTCCGCGTAGTTCTGGCGGGACTCATAGTCTTCCAGCTGGAGGTAGGCTTGGAAGGTGTCGGATTGCCGCGCGCTCTCGGAGGCGTTGGCTAGCACGTCGATGATCTCCCACGATCCGATGCGCTCCGGGTAGTCGGAGTAGATGAGGACGTTCTTTGGGTCGATACGATCGCGAGACAGGCTGGTGGCTAGGTGGATGGGGAGTCTTTTCCATAAGACTGTGGCTCCGGTTTTGAGCATGAGGACGACATCGTCGGTGGTTAGGCTTTCTTCCTGCTCCTCGACAGGAACTGTCGGAACGGAAGAGGGGACAGCGGGGGGGGCAGCAGAAGAAACGCCAGCAGAGGAGACGCCAGCAGAAGAGACGCCAGCAGAAGAGACGCCAGCAGAAGAAACAACAGCATGGTGAACGCCGTAGTCAACAGGTGCATCCACATTGTCGTCCTCGACGGCCAGCTTCTCCGGCACGAACTTCGTCTCGTCCAGCGGGCCCGGTTGACGGAACCGGAAGTGGAAGAGAAAAACAAAGACGGTCAACAGCATGATCCCCAAGGGGACCCTGTGGTTGTCCTTGTGGAATGCTTTTCGCATGTCGAACGAGTGTTGGGGGTTGAAGACAAAGCCATGTCTACTATTCCTTGCACTCAGCCCATTCCCTCCCTATGTTATCACTATTATTGCATTGGCACTCGGTATGATTAGTTAAATGGCTAGTTACGGTTAGTTATATTGTAGCTAACTCGTAATGCTAAGTAAGATGGCTAATATCTAATAATAAGACGCTCTACTCGTACGGGAAAAAGGAAAAAAGGGGGCTCAATGAGCAACTCCACATGCAAAAACCAAGCCCCTTTTAATGAGAGCATCGTCCGGACAGCCCCATTGGCTCCAAGTAAGCAGTTTCGTAAGAATCCGAGTCTCAAAAGGCCGCCAAGTGTCAGCATTCCAAGCTGGGCGCAGAAGAGTGGTTGGTGTTTGGGGCTAGCACCCTTTAGTCCTGGCTAGCAACGGTGGAACACAACCCGGAATTGAGCCTCAATATTAATTCAATTTAACATCGAAGAAAAATTAAATAAGAGCATGTCGTAAAGCCCATGGAACACCTTGGCAGTCAGTCATCATGGCCTCGATTCACCACGCTCGTTTCGTTCTATTCTAGATGGCAGGATGGACGTCAATGAGAAAAAACCGTATCCTGAACCCTCCGTGTTCCAACACTGTGGACCGGACGTCTCTCGTTTTCGACAGTTTCTCAACTTCCTGGGATGTCTGGTGATCATCCCCGTTTACTACATAATCACCGGCTACACGCTTCATCCGTTGATGCTGGACGTCCTCTTGACTATCTTCGCGGCCGAGTACAATCGGTTCGCCAACGAGAATCGAAGAGGCCGGCTTTACTGTGGCTTGGATGGCGACCCGCAAGCAGGCAAGGATCCGGAGAAGGCAATCGGCCCTAGACCTGGACCTGGACCCGGACCAGAATGCATGGCTGCCATAGTCGGGTATCGTGAAGATCCCGGCTTGTTTGCGCGCGCTTTGGACAGTTACAAAGCCGCTGGGGAATGCCGGTTTGTCTTGGTTGGCGTGGATGGAGATGAAGGGCCAGACCTGGAGATGGTCCGGGTTTTCCAGCAGGTTCGTTCGCGCGTTGGGTTGATCTTGAATCCGCTCGGTAATACTGATCAGGAACAGGTCTTCCCGGAGGACTCGACGGTTCTTCGGTTGGACGAGCCCCTTGGCGAAGTGGCTGTCCGGGCTTTCGAGAAACTCTCAGCCATCGATCTCCACGCCCAGCCTCCGCAAGCATACATGGAGGCTGCTATCTCCCACTGCTGTCAGCTGGCTCGAGAGGTTCTAGCGGAACACGACGGCCTGAAGCTGGGAGCGGCCGGCGGAGTGACGAGACTGTGTCTGTTCCAGCCGCATCTGCACAAGAAGGGAATCATGTTCACCACGTTCATCTTCTCCATTGTGATCTCTCAAATGCTTGGGATTGAGTATCTCTGGTCGTCCGATTCGGACACCATCGTCTTTCCTAGAGCGCTGCGGAGCACGATTGAAACCATCGCCGGCGATCCGCATGTGGGAGGAGGCAGTTCGGGGCTGGTCGTGCACAATGAACACGACTCGCTGACTACCAAGCTGGGCAGCATGGTCTACTGGTGCGAGCTGTACTTGACGCGGTCGACGTCGACGTCCGCCGGTACCAGTGATTGTCAGAGTGGTCCCAGTACTGCATTCCGGGTGTCTGCGTTGCCTGCGGTTCTGTATCCGTGGTATACTCAGACCGTGCTGGGCCATCGGATGGTCAGTCCGTTTCTATTCATCCGCATAAGAAGGAAACATGTCTGATGTCGAATTGTATACAGGTTGTCAATGAAGACCGCCATCTCACAACAAATCTCCTGATGCGCGGGTGGACCGTCACGTACGTGTCGGACACGCTCGTCGCGACAGACACCCCGACGACTCTGAGCCGATGGATCCTTCAACAAGTCTGTATCTCCTTGCTTACTCTGTCTCCACACGATGCTAATGATGAGCAGGTCCGCTGGAGCCGAGCAGGCCACATCGAATCCTTCCAACAGCCCGGCGTCTACCTCCTCAACAACCCACTCTTTTTCTGGGCCGCCATCAAACGGGAGGCCGGTCCTCTCCTGGGCTTCTTCTACGTCCTTTTCTACCTTTTCACGGGGAAATGCTTCGCCTACTTCTCCTGGCAGGACGTGGGTTACCGCATCGCCTACACGGTTCTATACAACTACTTCCGGAACCCGGACCGCGGGCCCAAAAACGCGTCGTTGTGGATCGCCCCGGCCCTTCTATTCTACAATGTCCCTCTTCCCATGATCCATCTCTGGAGCCTGGCGACGATCTTCCAGGACGGGTGGGGCACGCCCATGCGGTCTAATGCGGAGACGTCCCGGCGCGGACGGGCGTGGAAGCGTTTCAAGGATCTGGGGTTCTTCGTCGTCTGGATGGGCATCGTGGGAGGATCGGTGGCGAGGATGGCTGCCAGTACGGCTGGATGGGATGAACAGAGCACACTACGTGCCATACTTTGGGGTGTGGTGATTCCGTCGATCGTGTCGTTTTATGGCTTGGTTGTCCGTGGATGACCGAATTTGCATATCATTCAGTACTATATCCCGTCCATTAATCTAACTGCTAGTTGGGATGCAAAGCCCATCTTCCGATTCAGGAGGAAGAGGCAATGTCAACCAACCCGTCTCTGACCATCCTCGCACCGAATAGAGGCCATTCGATGTCATACCTCAGGACGAACCAAATACCCGCAGCCTCTCCTCAACTGGATTGATCGTCTTCGCTTTCGGGCCTGCACCTCCAGGCTTTCCAAAGACCAACTGTGCCTTCAGCTTCCACGTTGCCGGGAGATTCCACTGCTCCTTCACGTTTCGAGCAAAGTACGGGCTGAAGTTGTAGTGCTGCAGATTAGCACCGAGACCTTCTTGTTCAAGCGCAGTCCACACTATAAACTGGTTTATTCCGCTTCCATGGTCAGACCCTGCAGAGATATATCAGCGCTGAGGTCGATTAAGCAGATAGGCGTATTCAAATGGTTCGGTTCTCTTACACTCCCCAATTAGCGGCTTAATTGCAGGTTGTTTCTCCTGTAGAGCTGTGAGAACGGCCTCATCTTCGAACCAGAGGACCTATTCGTGTCAGTAATCTCATTGACTACTGGTGAAAACCATATAAAAGGCAAAAGAAGACGGCTCATACAGTGCCATAAGCAGCGCGAAAACCAGCCACCTTCGGCGCCAGCGCATCATACGCAGCCGGCAAGTCCTCCTTGAGGGCCTTGTCACCGATATCCCACAGTTTCTTATGCTCATCCCCGAGGAGGATAACCGCTCTAGCTGACTGCACATTGAAACAGCTGGGGGCATTCTTGATACCGAGAGACACGATCTCCTTGATTCTCTCGTCGGAGATAGGGCTTGCATCCGTCAAGTTGTATATGGAACGTCGCGCCTCGACGGCAGACAAGAATGCTGTTGCAGATGACATGATTGTATACAACTATACTTATAAGCAATAAAATAAAGGAAATATATGTTGATATAGAATGGTGCTGAGCAGGCTGCTCTTAAATAATTCATCCCCGCCGTGCGATTGCGTGCTCTGTTCGCCGATTCCATCGGCGGCTTTAAGAGCCGACTGCCGCTTTATGGAGCATGCTGGATCACTGCTTATTCTGCATAGTAGCAAATAGTTCGATGGCCAGGAAATAAACAGGCGGCGTGAGAAAGGAAACTGATACTTGTCGACGGCCCTCTAAAGAGTGCCTATACTGGGTGCGTTTTATTGATGATCACCTGACTCAATCCGTGCTAAACCAAAACAGGAAAGGCATCTCACGGCGTCGAAAAGCCTCATGACTTGCCACTTTCGCTCCTGCGGCCATCATCTATTGCATTTACTCACGCGAGCAATCATGGCTCTGCCCCCGGAACAGATCAATATCAAGCGCCGTCGAGAGGAGGAGCCCGTCGAAACTCTATGTACGTTTCCTGAGAGGCGTTTGTTTACCTGTCTTGGCAGCAGAACAAAAACAACAAACATCCCAAGCTGATGCATGTATGACATATCGAAAACTTGAAGACTAACAGGAACGCAGACATCCAATCCGACATCCATCAAAAGAAACGTCGGTTTACAGACTTCATCTTTCAAAGAGTCAGGGTTGGCGGCGATGATGGATCGCCTAGTCCTCCTCCAGCTGCGCCTGCATCTGCATCTTTATCACTTGCGCAAACGCGCCGTGCTCTCCGCGCCCCCAGATCAGTGAGCAGCCTCAACTTCACGCCTCCTTCCAACGCCGATTCTGGCGTTAGTGTCAGGAGTGCCAGCGCTTCTCGCGGCACTGGCGTGCCCGTGGTACGTGCCACGTCTCCTGGGGCGGAGATAAGAGAAGAGAAACGTCTCGCTGCTCTGCGCAAGGAAAAATATGAGGGTCTGAAAAAGGCTCTGTATTCATCTCAGTCACCACCTCCACCTCCGAGGTCAACGCCTCCTAGCACTGCTGGGCGTGGGAGTGGAAGTGCCCCATCATCACCTGGGAGTGGCGGTGCAGCGACCGTCCGGAAATTCCACATCTCTCGATCGAGCATGCCGTTGAGCCTTTTGAAAGCCACCAATGGCGGGGTTCAAAAGAGGAAACCCGGAGATGGGACGCCGGCGGTGGCCATCTTGGTTGAAAAACTGAGGCGGAAACCGCATTCCAGGGAGGCTTCGATGGTTGCAGACTTAGCCATGCAAAATGCTACTGTGTCTCAGGGCGTCTCTGTGGCTCTTTCTGAAAGGGAAGAGAAAAGCCAACCCGTCCGTCCCAGAAAGCGACCCGTCATGAATCAGGCAGAGAAGCGATGGAGGGAGGAACGCAAGGCGGACGTATCTGCTGCCAAGAAGCATATTGCTGAGACTTTGGAGAAAGAAGCCCACAGAACCCACCATAGTAACTGGGAGGACGAGTCAGATGATCTCGCTCGTCAATTCGAAGAGATTGCCCTGGAGCTTGATGAAGGAATGGATAAGGAGCCGACTGGCACGAGAGAAGTGCCTTCTCCAGCGACACATACAGCCAGACTGTCACTTCCAAAGCCACCGCTGAAGTATCAACCAAGGTCGTCTAATAGACCGCGAACTGTTGCAGAACATACACGAGAAAATATGCAAGTTGACTCTAATCTTCCGGAAGACCAAGAAGAAGATGACGATGACGCCGATTACGTCTACGACACATACATCCGACGACCAATACCGGAAAACATGCAGCTGACGAATCCCCTCACCAGCGCGGAGTCAGACTGGCAGAAGAGCATCGGCGTCGACCCTGCCCATCGTCAGAATGTGGGTGTCATTGTCATCGCCCCGGAAGACGAGGAATACTGGGAACATTTCATCGAAGAAGACGAAGACGAGGATGAGTGGGATAGCGAGGATGCAGACTCGAACGGTGAGTCTAGTATTTGTTATTGTTCTAAACTACATTACTGATGAGAAACCCGTCCAGCCGAAAATAACCCTGCAAACGACTACCCCGACGAAGAGCTCTCTTCGGAGGACGAATACGATGATCCAACGGCTATATATAGCCGGTACAGACACCATGCTGCGTCTGATGATGAGGAATATGATATCGCGGGCTCTTATGATGATCCTTACAGCATTGGCCACGGTGGACTCGGGTTTAGATCTAGGCGGCTTGTGGACGAGGATTCGGAAGATGATGATGATGACTCGCGTCGGTGGTGGTAGATGGCGTATTCTACGCTGGACGATGTTATTCAATGATTATTTACTGGTTAATAATGTATGGAGTAGCATTAGCAACATACAACTACAGTATATCTAATAAGGAACAGCTGCTGAGTACAGCATCCATCCATCCATCTATTCACTAGGCATCTACAAGAACAGAAACAGACTGCCAGTCTCCCATCTCAATAAGACAAGAATGCAATATATATTTTACATTTATATATTTAGTCGTATGTATGTAGTATGCAGATGCAGGTAGTATAGACGTCCCAGGTAAGTATAGTTTTTTGGAGGTTGAACACAATGTGACCATAGTCCTTCTCTAAAGTATCCCTCCCCTTCCAGAGGGAAAATATGCAACACAAAAATACATATTGTTCGTGTTAACAGACTCGATCCGATATAGAAAATCTCCAGGATAGATGACAAAGATCGGCATCGGGCGACGTAATACTGGAAATGTATAAGGAAGAGATCAAGAAAGAAAAGGAAAAGTGAGGACAAGGAAAATGAGGAGGGAAAAAAAGAAAAGAAAAGAAAAGAAAAGAAAGAAAGAAAGAAAGAAAGAAAAGGTATCCTTAGAAAACAAACTGATTTGAGGCCGTAACCGAGGTCGTCCAGACATATAGTCCAACCCAACATATCTAACAGAATCGAAGAAGCACAAAAGTCCGCCCAATTGCTAAATTCCAACTCCAGCAGGCTTGTGCCCGAGTACTTGTTCTTTATCCTCGCGCATCCAAGGATACCACACACCGGCCCACTCGACGACCCCAAATTTGGGCGGAGTAGGCTCGGTTAATGCAGACCCTTCTCGAAGGAATTCACCATCACGCATCCGCCTCTGTTCCCGCAGTGTCGGACATTTCTTTTCCTTGATGAAGCGGTAGAACTTGCACTGGATACCCTGGAAGCCACTGCGTTGCCGGTGTGGAAATTGTCGATTGAAGCTCTCCCGCACTTCTTTCCACTCCTGGCAGAGATCAACCCGGTGGTACCAGATAAAGTACATCTCTTCTTCTTCGTATTTGAGTCGTGGCGGTCGACGGCGTTCTGCGGTGTTGCTCGATGTGCTGGAGACGGAGTCATAACGCTCTCGGTCATACGAATTGGGAGATGAATTCATGGACCGAAGTCCATACGAGAAGTAGGACTGATCATGGTTTGTACCAGATGCGTCCGAGTATGAGCGACTGTCGTGAAATGGTGAGTAGTAATAGCGATCTGGACTGGAGGAAGTCGTCGGCGAATGGGATTGTTCTCTGTATAAGCGTTGTAATCGAGAATCCATTTGCGTGTCTGGGGGATTCAGCAGCGAGTCGATTGCCATAGGGTCTCGATGAGACGTTGGCATAGTGTGATGAACTGACGCCATGTTATCGAGCAGGAAAGGACTCTGAAAAGCGTTCTGGGACAGCGGCTCAGAAGGGTATCAGGGCGAATACTGCTTCAATTCGACAAACAATGGAAAAGAATGGCGTTGGATAACCTTCTCCTACGATGTGGCAACAGTGTCGACTAGCCTTCCAGGCCTAATACAGCACGCTAAAGTCCAATCTCGAGGAGAGTGGCCCTACTTCTGGTGCCCTTTGATAAGGTTGAAGACAGCGGCCAAGTGCGACCAGGAACAACACCAGCGGATTTCGAGGAGGTATGTTATCCAAAAACGAGCGAACCGACCACTGGATATGGAATAGGTTTTCCGGTCTATGCAGCAGTATACAACGTGCTAGGCGACGCTGCCTGCCTTCGTTCTCCAGATTATTTCGAAAGAAGTACTCTGCAGGATCGTTGAAACGAGCTGAGGGAAGTAAACCAAGATGGATGATATGTGAATACTTGTTAAACTGTTATAACAGGATTATTAACAGTATAAATGTCTCATTCGTCTTCTCCGAGGGCGGGTTTCATGCTAAACTGGTTAAGGATGGCCGCCCTGCATGCACGAAAGCCCAGAATGTATTTCAAATTCTTAGTGGCAAGGCGATTACTGAAACTTCCTCGTCCCGATAAACGCAACAATTAACAAACTTGACAAGCTTGATAGTCTCGGGTCGGATTTTTTTGGACTTTTTTCGATGAAGAACAACAGCCTATAACACAATGATACTCCCAGTCAATGGAGGGTCTGATCAACGCAGGGATTGAAGTAAGGGATCAAGCATCAAAAGAAAAAGGAAGAAGAAAACGAGCTGATGATAGTAACTCACTTCCTATTATTATTTTCGATACCTAAACGAGTCTCTTTAAGTCCGAGCAGAGCGGCCATATGTCTTTGATGGCTATTCATTACCCAGCGCCAAAGAAGTATTATTATTGGAGATCAAGTATGGTCTAAAAGAATGTAGCAAGGGTCAGACGGGCCAGGCGTCAGCCATCCTTCATAATTATTCAGACAACCTAGCATGCTAGGAACTTTGGCGTGCACACAAGCTGAATCCACTAATAGTCGCGCAGTGTGATAGAGACAGAAAAATTGCGCCGTAATACGAAGCACATACGCAACGGCTTAATTCCACAGATCGCTGCGGCTTTGAGAATTGCATGAGGAACTCTCGGGTTGCAAGTTGATAGGGCAGGCATGTTGCAAGTGTCGATGCGGCATTGACCGAACCAAGGCGTTGCAGGGTTCGGTTCTGTGGATACTAGCGAGAACATCAGACAATTCAGACCAAAGTCGTATTGCTACTGCAGGCCATTGCTCATGATTGTGGGAGTACGGAGAACGCAGTGTCAGTGTCTGTTTTCCCCCATCCATGCCAATCAATCTTCAGATCGTACCAAAAACTTTGCATTCTCCGTGATATGACTGGAAGAAGCATGAGGGCGCCGTTTAGAAAAATCAACGTAATACCCGCTTTTTCCGAACAGGGGGGTCAACCTGAGGTTTGGAGATAATACACACAACACAGTATGCGGGTGGGAAAGGGCCTAGCCAATGTGGCCTTCACGAGAATCAGGGATTTTCTCTGGACCCGCTGATCCCATGAAGAAGCGATTATTATGCCTCGAAATTTTTTTTCTATTTTTATTTTCTTATATATAAAATTTTTCCATGAGCAACAAGGCCAAGTGAAATTAGCGGGAACTGCAGACCTGGTCAATTAACAGAAAAGCAATGGAGAAAAGGCTTTGGAAGGTAATTACTTCGTAACGATGGCAAAAAACCAACAGTTTCTCGAGGAGATCAAGATTGTCTATTGGATGTCAAGCAGAAAACGCCGGCAGCGCAAGTTGCAGGTGGCTTTTCTCTTGAACCATGGTCTTGGGATGCGGCTGCGAATGAGAGAAACCGTCTAACGCTGTCCTACAGCATATGGTCTCAGATGTACATCCGCAGGGAAAAACGAGCGGGCGGCGGCGGAGAGCGAGGATCGTCAGGTCTCCAGGCGACAACACTGCCTCATCAGGCTTCTTTGCCTCTTTCCTTCCTTTGTTTTTGTCTCTGTTCCCTGTGCAGATAGCAATGCATCCGTCTGCTTTTGGAATTTGTCCATGCACGTGAGCATGTACAATCCAGCCTTGGGGTGGTGCTATTAATGCCTCACCAGCCAACTGCATATTCCTTTTGCTGCTGCACGGCTTGTTCTCTTCTGTGTCTTCCCCTGAAGAAGTGGTGGTGTACTTTGGGCCGGAATTCTTTTCCAGTAAAATCCCGGAATGAAGTCCGGAGAAGATACGAGTAGAGGCATAGTCAGAAACCGGAGTCCACATAGACTAGCAACGGTCTCGCCTGTTCCCTGGAAGTAACCACGATTGGAAGCTTATCAATGAAGACGCTAGTCATGTTCCACGGCTGGATTGAATTTCGTGGCGGGCCAGGATGGATAAATTGATGAATTCCCATGGAGACATTGGAGAGAGATGCGTGGTGGGGAGAGAAGACAGGGAAGGGAAAAGTTGTGAGAGTGGGGGATGCATGGTACGGTATTGTACAGTACTTCGTATTACAGTAACTACAGCTTCGCGAATATGGAATCTCACAATACGGTATGGTACAATACGGTATGTCCGTATCCACCCTGCATCTCCCTCCTTGCTGCTCGTCTCTTCTCTCTGCCTCCTCCCCGGCTCCATACGCAAACTAATATAATATTATTTCCATCGCAGCTAGTTTCCGCAATCTATCTCCAGTGTGGAGGCTGCTATCGACTCATCTATGATCGTCAAATTGCGGCGCAGTGAAATGGCGTAGCTTCTGGAAAGGCTAGCCTACGCTATTTTCCTAGGTCCACTGGGGCTGTTTCGGACATCCGCGTCCGAGATGCCGCATCCAGTTGAATATTATTTCGCTGATGCTGACAGATGTGACAGGTCCCTGCCCTCGAGAAGAAAGATCAGGAGGACGAGAATACAGCGTACGGAGCGGAGTCGGGGTAGACAACTTGAGCGTTCAGATACTACCACGAGGACCACACCACGCGAGCCACGCGGCTACCTGGCCCCTGAGTTGGCAGCAGGGAAGCATATTTCTTTTACCGTTGGATTGTGAGCTCCCAATTACCAAGCCGATGGCGTGTGGGTGTTGCTAACAGTCGTGCAACGCTTACGCGCAGCTCTGTTCGGTCACGTGATTTAGATAAGAAACGATCTGCGCCTTCTTCAGATTTCGGCTTCGGGTGCCTGTTTTCGCAACGGTTAATTATCCTTCAGCTCTCATGTGCATAGTGCATACTACTACATCACCCAGGCAATCATAGTAATAAAGGATGTCCAGTGAAAACAGGCCATTCGATGTCCACGGAATCGATTCCGCACCAGTACAACCCACCAATTACTTCCCCCTGAGACCGTGGTATGCGTGTGGACCTGCTCGTACTTTGTAATAGTTTAAAAACCGGGGCAAGATGGGGGCAAGATGGGGGCAAGATGGGGGCAAGATGGTAAGCGACGCCGTTATGCTCTTGAGGATCTTTGAGTTTACTCCGTACCAGTCGGTGATGTCCGGCTTGAATCTAAATCATAATTATACATAGGCTTGCGGAACTAATCTCTTGGTCAGGTAAGCGTTTTTAACTTGTTTTAGGAAGCGATGTACAGCATCTCCACTTCCTTTGTGTCCCTAGGTGGATATTGTCCAGGATAATGCCTTTCAAATTCTCGATTCCAGCTGGACCCTGGAGTCGAGTATGACGTGCGGACTTCCATGGCTGGCCTGAACTTGAAGACTCCCTCCCAACCTGAACTCGGCCTATGTTGTTGCTACGCCTGAAGAATGTTCTCCGTATTTTGCCCCGGCAGGGCAGAGATCAAGGTTACGACTGGGGGATGCCGACATGATTCATCATACTGCTCACCTTTCATGCAGAGGATTTTCCTGAAATTTTCCCGGATACTACAAATGTACCGTAAAAACCCGCAACGACTCCGGGGCATCGGCCATCGGGGCTTTTCATTTCTCGAAAGCGGCCTATCAATTCTCAGAACAACCCTCCGTCAGCACCCCACACCGTCGAGAAACAAATGAAGATCTTGAAGTAAGCTAAGAAGATCCATCTTTCCGAGATGTCAATCTCCTCCGCTTTCTGCACCGCGCCACTCGACACTATGCTACTAGTAACTCCTTTCCACGTCCCGATGGCAGATCCAGTTATCGACAGAGAAGTATCATTGTTGAAACACAATTACAATGAAAAGACGTTGATCAAGGTTCATCTTACCGTGCACTGGGACATGGACCCCGCCTGCTCATCTCTTTTTTGACCATGATCGACCCCTTCCGGTACGATTCGAAAATGCACATGGATGAAAGTTCTTACCAGAACGGTGAACTTGCGTCTAATCCGTACAGGCAATACCCTTGTTTAGAAGACCATGGGCGACTTGGGCTGCGATATGCGCATTATTTAATCGGCGCTAGGTGCAAATGATGCACTAGAGCCAGCTAAACAGTACAGTAATATGCGCCCATTTTCAAAACCTCCTGTTCCAGTAACTCAACTCCGGCGGAAGAAAACGCCGAGTGCAACTCCCTGGTAGGCCAGCGGCGACCCAACAAGCGAATATAGATTTCACCACTTCCCATTGGCATTTACAGCGTGCATAATCCAGCAAGTCTGCAGACGGTCCATAGCATTCCAGCCTCTTGTGGATCTTCTTCAGCCGCGAAATGGGGCCGGAGTATTAAAATCACTTGTACGAGAGATTAACAGTGCATAACAAAGACGATAGACGATTTCGTCAGACGTGCAGAATGGCTCTTCTGCCGTTCCCATCCCCACACCATTGCAAGTACAGCCGGTATGGTTGGTGGGTATGCGGATGGCCATTCCAGAAAGGCAGGATCAGAATTAGTTAATATTTGCGAGGGACACGCTTGTACTTACGCCGTTACCTTTCACCTCTAACAGCGGCGACAGATAAATTAAATCCTACGGAGTCCGGAGGACCAATATCGTCCGTATGGCTGCCTGCTTAAACGGATCGTTGCCGAAGATGGACCGGGGAGCTCACAAGAGCTCTCCGCTGCACTCCGCAGTGCAGAGGACAAATATACTCGGCATGTCCAATAGGCTACTCTGTGCAGTAGCAAGCTGCTTACTGCATGCATACACCCACTTGAAGATGGGATGATCATCCCTCAGCCTGCTTGTCGGGGTACCTTTGTTCTTTGGGCAGAGTGCCATCTTGATTCTTGCAACGTCTGACCTCGACCGTCCCGACACTCTGGATAAGCTATGTGAGAAGTGGTGTGCTGTGATATGTGTCTCTGCATTAGTCCAGAATGGATCCAGCGCAGTGCAGGTCTCGGCCCCCTGACGCGCGGCCACAAAGAAAAGGGGGAAGCGAAAGAGTTCGACAAAAAAGCACGCTCAACTGTGAGTGCGCGATTCGTCTGAAATCCAACATATACATCTGCTGGATGCTGAAGGACTTAAAATGGCCGTCCGAGCTTCCTCACAAAGAAGGTTATATGGATTAGGCATTATTCTGCATGCTGTATCTACGATTGCATGGCTGTGATCCTGCTGAATCAGTGCTGATACTGAACTGATGCTATATTATTAGTATTAGTATTATTATTATTGGCAGGAATCGGCAGATGGACCCATAAGACGACTTGAATATGACTACATTTCGATATATGAACAAGCAATACGCGGACGAGCTGAAGCAAAAAAATAAATCTTTCTAGGCTGTTGCTATTTATAGCACTCGTTTTTAATTCTTTGTCCAAGATAGGACGAATATCTTCTTCTCGACAGCGCATGGGCCATATACTCGTTTATCGCTTAATATAAAAATTAATTAAACCCGAATTGACCCCTTTCTACATTGCCCTTAACAGGGAATGGCCTCCACTACAGAATATGTTATTTGCTGCTTTTTCCCTATTCACATCAGCCGATACTTGCATCGATCTGTCATGATCGATCTGTCATGTCATTTTCAAGTCTAATTATGACTGTAGTTATTGCTCTGTACAATGTGCAACATACATTCAGTGTCTGTGCAAATGCTTCACCTCAAGTAATTGGACATGTGAAGCTGTACAGGTAACAGGACAGCACTATAGCCTTTTGTAACTATGTATTTCCTTTAATATATTGGATATTACTGCCACATTCATTATCAGGGGATAAGTAGTGTAAACACCATGCAGTTACCGATACAGTATTATTATATATATGTATGTACTGTACCTATACTTACTATGCAGCGCATGATCCTGTGTGATGTACCCTACAAAGCAAAACAATGAACTACATATACAGTTTGCAGATAAGAGCTATAATTAAATATTCTGTCAAGAATAGCATCCAACAGCGTCTACCTACCCATTACTATTTGGTGTCTCTCATTTACCAGCCTTCCGGATCAGTCGATATACATACATACATGCATGCTCTGCAGGCTACAGCTCCATAATTACTTTTTATCAGATGCATAGAGGGAAGAGTGACATGCTAATCACTAGCCTGGACTGGACATCCCAAGTTGTTCGTTGTCATTAGGAGTGGGATGAGTAACAGCTATGGTATGTACTACATAGTGCAAACTATGTTATTTTTGCTTTTCCGTTAGGAAGCCTCATCCTACTTTATTTTGTATTATAGTATACAGCTACCGGTCCATAGTTAATTGATACTGATATTAATGTGTAATACTTCCAAGACTGGAAAGTTGAGGCCTGTACATGTAGACTACCTAATTTATGGATGCCTATACGTACACGCCTCTACTCTCGCTGGGAAATGGTTAACGTTAACGCAAAGCTCGGAATCGATTCTACCGCAGTTGTCGCGGCAAGCACCGAGAGTCCTAGCATCCCAAGCTGTACCTGACGCCAAGCATCGGTCATGCTGTCAGAGATGTCCAATTACATCTGGTAGTCGAGTAGCCAGGTTGGCAGTAGAATTGATATGTTCAGTCCGCATGGAAACCGGTGGCCTCGCAGCTGTTCTGGTCAGCTGGAACTCCATAGATAGAATAGAATCCTGTGGGGATAATTCAAGATATTGACAAGTAGGGCAAGACTCACGGATCTTTAGCGTACTGGATGTTACAATGCTCCCAGTCAGCATCACGGATGATCAAGGAACGGAAGCAGACAGCGTCGTCGATGCTGCAGAAGCGGAAAGTGACATTGCGCGCCTGGATCTCGTTAGCATATGATATGAATATGTCGTTCAATGTGTGAAGGGGCTTGGTACTCACTTCGCCAGGAGTGTAATGATCCAATATTTTTTCAACCTTCCTGTTGTTGAGAATGGCCAACTTGAGAAGCTGGCCCATGGTGATATTCATATCGACACCAACGGCACGGACAACTCTAGTAGCGCCAACAGAAAGGTTAAAGCTGAGCTGGGAACCGACGATATCAACCTCCTGGCCCTTTTCGACGAAGACGACATTGCGCCTGTCCTTATCCAGAAAAATGCCGTTAGGGTACCTGTCGTAAAAGGCCTGGCAGGCTTCGGGTTCGCAGAACAGGATGTGGGTGTCGCCGTGAATAACGGAGATGCTCTCGATGGCGCCCCCGTGGATAAAACGGAGAATCTTAGCGTTATTGAAGGTAGAAGGGATGCCCTTGAGAATGATACGTCTAACGCGTGCAGCTATGAGGATAACAATGTTAGTGAGAATCTAATACTTCGAACGCAGCTCGCGGGACCTGAGATGTACCTGGCTTGTCACGGACTTCAGGAGTGCCCCAACTCTTAAACGTCAGGAGATGCTCGCGATTCTCCTCGCCGGCAGCTACAGCTGTCTCAGCGCTAACCGCAGAAGAGGGCGTTCCAAGGGTGAGCGCATCCTTAGACGTGACTGCGACTGCGACTTGGCCAGAAACAGACTCAGTGGCCACAGGATCGACGGCCGCACATTCAGCAGCCGTATGATTCGCAGCCTGGGCTGGGTCTTCGAGAAGCTCATCGGTGCTGGACTTGCGCTTCTCGACATCCCACTCGCCAAATCCATCGTCCTTCTGGTTGACTGCGCCAGCTATGGGGGAACAGTGGCATCAGGAGTTGATATTTCGATGCGAATGGGCAAGGAGAGAAGGTAAGAAGACTTACCGGCAGCAACATCATCGCTATCCTTTGCATCGAAGCCAGTGTCAGTTGCTACTTTACCAGGGGCAGTACTGTCTCCAAACGCGTCCGCATCTGCGTCTACGTTGGTTCCAGCCTCAGTATCAGCGTTGCCCGTCGGCGACGAAGCAGAGGTATACTTGGAACGACCCAGTCTCAGGGAACGAGCAGCAGCCAAGAAGGCCGTGGTATCATCCACGTCGTGAACCCGATACATCCTGTCTGACTTCTGACTGCAGAGCCCAGATAGATGAGAGGTATGGTGAGACGCGTTGGGGGAGGTGTCGTAAGAGCTGTCGTTGTAGCGGAGGGGATTGTTGTGGGCGACAGGGCTCGGGCCAGCTTCAGTCTGGAGGGCTACGTCCTGAAAAGAAGAAGGCTGGTCGTGGACGATGGGAGATTTAAATGAACTGCACTCCCTCTGGGCTTTGTCTGTGGGAGCACTCTCTATGGAATTCTTTTATTTGTTACAACCAAAGGAAACTATTAGCTTGACAGGTCTCTTTGAGTGAGATGACCCGCTTTCTGTGAGCAGCAGCATGGGTGACTGGGATGACAACAAGGAGGGGAGCTGGAAGATTCTCAGAGAGAACAGGCCAGCATCACAGAGAGGAAAGAAAATAGACAAACCTCGGAATATCCAGACACCCAGACCCAGTCAGCCTCTGTCCTGGGGGGGGCATGTATGCTATCTGCCAGTGTATGAGGCCCAGCAAAAGAAGCTACGACATTGTACATCATAGCATTAAGCTCTTCCAGGTCAACCATGATGAATGAATTCTTCTAGGATGATCAATGATCAATGATGTATAGACAAGCTGTGAGGACAAAGAAGAAATGTGAGGGACAGCACCAGAGAGAGGAATGATGCCGGGACATAAATAGTACAAGGAAAGGCGCTGTGGACAGTGAATGTATACAAAGGCGGGGAGCTCCATGGTGCAACAGCAGGACATGAATTCTCAGCAAGCAGCAAGATAAAAGTGAAATCATATGCCGGAGACTTCCATGACAGGGTATCTATGATTGGCAAAGGAAGGTTATAAATGGAATCTTGCAGCAAGAAGGACTGCACGTGTAAGTAGAGTATAGAACAAAATGAATCCCCCATAGACATCAACAAACTCCTGGGTACCAATAATGCCCCCAATGTAGGTGAAACACCATCAAATGCCTCGGCAAACGGCGTGTATGCAATATCCACCTTGATGCCAGGTCTATTTCAAAAAGAAAACAAGTCATCAGCGAAGCAACAGCACAAAAACAAAATGCATTTTTATCTTTCTCAGGAAAGGCTTATGGCTAGCCAAAGGATGTATAATTGCCAGAATCGGGGGGACGGATGACCTCCCACCCCTTCTGTCCTTTTTCTCGGTACTCGACGATAACTGAAAGTTCTCGACGACCGCAGAACCCGTCATTGCCGGCGGTCCTGATGATTGACCGGAATGAACCGCCTCCTTCCGCAGTTCCATCGGAGACCCAGACTGTTTCGTTCACCGTTTGCCCAGGAACTTCTGTTCGGCGAATGTTGGCGTGGGGCATGCCCGCGATATGGTTCACGATACTATGAATAAAGGGATATAATCTCTCGAACCGACGAGTGAACCGAAGCCACGACAGCGTGCTGCCGTCATAGGCAACTCGAACGAACGGATTCATGTATATTCCAGTGTCTATGATTGCATCTACATCGGACGGGGCATCTTGAATGTCGGCATGGACGATACAGCATTCGGATCCTTCCCAAAACAAATCCTGTCCGGCACGGAAACGGACTGGCAACGTATGCCCGGCAGAGCCAGCATACGGGAAGCTGTTGGATTCGCCGTGTTGGAAGAATCTGGCGTCGAAGGCCACCATCCCCCCCCAGCAGCTGCGGACACGAACGGCATCCTTCTCTGCAAGGACGTCGTTCCGGCTTTCACCTCTTCCGGCTGATGAGAACCAGGGAAAGAACGGGACTCCCATGCTGTAGCCCTGCAAGTCACGCGTCGCGAATGTGTCATAGAATTTGAAGGGATTGGAGAAGTCCACGGCGCAAGCGGCCCGGTAGTTCGCAGCTCCTTTCTCAGCGGCATTTGTGGAAAAAAGAAGCTGGATGGCGTCGATAGGGTCGAACACTACGTCATTCAAGAAAAGGAGCTTGTCGTAGCGTCTTTCGGGATGGTCATCTAGTGGTCTCAAAGCGCGATTCCGGACCTCGGCCAGATATTCAATGCGTTTGATGCGTTTCGACCCTCCTGGCACGGTCACGGTGGGGAGGGTCTTCAGATCCAGATGTTCCTCGAACACCAGAAGAGACTTATCGCGGGTCACTTGGGCCTCCAGGTTGCGCAGGGCACTCCTCCCCTCCGGACCACTGTCGTTCTCGTAGATACTCAGGAACACGTTATCCTTCCCCAGCAGATTAATCAGTTCCAAAACCGCACGTCCCCATTGTCCCCCAGCCAGCTCTCCTCCACGGTCATATAGGCTCGCAGCGATAAAGATCGACTCGTTTCGGGGATTGCCCCTGCCGGGAGCATGTGATTCTAGGGCTCTTTTTCGAAGTAAGGCGTAATGCGGCGGCAGGTAGGTGTAGGAAGGACGAAATATTGCGGTTATGACAAGAAGGAAGAGGATCGTCCCTGTGAAAACAAGGGAGTAGAGGTAGAGACGCCGGGAGCATTTGGACCTGCGCCGTGGCTTCAATGTACGGTAACCGGTGTAGTAGGACGGCAGCAATTTGGACAGTAAGGGTGACCGGCGGATGGAGAACTGCCAATTTGCCGGACGTTGAGACTCGAAGTCGAGTTCATTGAGATCCAAGGTCCCGTCCGAGTCGAGGGACGAGCGGGAGGCGAGTTCGTACTCGTCCGGACGCAGCAGACGGGAGGACATGGCGAATGCTTCTGGCGAAGAGTTGCGGACTACTCAGCCGATTCCGAACCCATTCCCAGCATTGCAGGAAGAGACAGGATCACTTCCGAGCGGCGATTGAAGGGGACACAGCAGAACATGGGGCAGGCATCGAGGACGGCGCAGCGGTGAGCGGCGAAAAGGCTAAAAAGGATAGCGATGACACTTGCCAGGATTGCTGGTGTTTATTACGCCCCCAAGGCTAGGCTTATGTCATCCTGGCAGTGCCTGGGATCTGCGCTGGAGCGGCCCACGGATTGGCGCGCCGAACTTAAGACTTCCCAGATGCATTCTTCTTCGGGGCTGCATGCGGCGTCTCTGGCCGGTAATTTGCTGAGACTGTACATCGCTCCCAGGTCTACGTCAATCGCTACAGTTTCTGCGAGGCTGGAGGTGTGAGATGGACGGTAATAGGTGTCTATCGATTACTGCCTAAATGGCTTTCCGTTGGTCTATGTACGTTGCAAGACCTCAGAACTAATAATAATAAGAGTTGATTATCCGAAGTGCCTGAAGGATCATTCCAAAAAGCCTCTGACAATGTTACCAGTCAGGGACCCGGAGCATTCGCCGACGCAACGTGTGCATATCAGACACCGCATCGGTGCGTTGTTAACGAGTGCCTTTGCATGTGTGGCATAACGTGAGGGACCATTCCAAAAAGAGGAAGAAACGAGGCGCACCAGCGCTTAGCTCTTGGTCCTTGAAATTTGAATACGAATGCGAACGTGGAGGAGACTTTGCAGATCCTTCCACCAGCCATGGATCCGGTTTTGTTTGCGGGGGGAGAGAACCGTGTCTTCGAAGCACCGCAAAACCGGTCCTTGGGAATGCATCATCCTCCTCACTGCAGTCGATGCTGTACCTGGGTCCATGCAGCGGGCCAATAATGACTGCTCGTAGTGCAGCCCCTCCTCCATCTGCCCAGGTGAGGTCATAGCAGTTCCCCGCGGCGTCCAACCTCCCACCCTGGTGGTCCAAAGCAATATCCATCTTACACGTCTAATTCTCGATCCGGATTACTGTACTACATAGCGCAGGAAAGCTTGAAATCTGCAAATCAGTATCTCTCGCTTCCATTCATCATGCCCGAATTTTTCTTTGCCAACTCAACAGACAAGATCCCCGGCAGCAATGGACATCTCCCGGTTGATTTCAAGATAAGAGCGCCTCCGTCGACGGATATCTGGTCCAAACCTCCTTTTACAATCAGTTTCAACGCCCCCATTCTGTACCAGGTTGTGTCCCTGACGTCGTTCAAGAGGGCCCGGGTCGCGTTCAATGCCCGGTGGACAGAGATATATGATCAAGCTGGTCTTGTCCTCGTCCTGAATGGCCGTGACGGCGATCGCAAATGGGTGAAAAGTGGTATCGAGTTCGCACACGGCAGACCACACCTCAGTACCGTCGCCAAGGATCGTTGGGCAGACTGGAGCCTGCTCCCTGTCCCCTCAGACGGTCACGCTGCAACCATTGAAATAGTCAGGGAACCTGACAACAGCTTGTGGGTCTATCAGATCCAGGGGATCCAACGATTTCCCATCCGCGAAGTCACCTGGGTATTTGAGGAAGGCGGTGCTACCGAGGAATGCTGGATTGGTGTGTATGCAGCCAGACCGTCTAGCGAAGGAGGCGATCTGACCGTCAACTTTGGGAACTTGGTCATAGAGCAGGCTCATTAGAGCTCTCAAGCCACGTTTGGACTAGCAGAACTATCACCCAGGCTAGTCGTAAGTTGGCACTATGTTGCATCCATGATGATTATTAGTGCGCGGTAGAAGATAAGCAGTAAGGCGGGTCGTCATTCAACTTGGTACTAATAGCAAGTGGCACCACTGAAGTTTTTCAGCAAGCATGATCACAAAAGTAAGCGTTGCTTTAGCGAGTGGGAAGATGGCTATGGCTGGGAGGCAATTAAAGAGAAGGAAATGCGCATACGGACTCCGGAGTACGCCCCTACATGGGTGCTCGTAAGCCCTGCCAGTCCCCTTCCCACGTGCTGTAACTGATCTTGGCACGCCTTCTGTGTTTCGTCCTGGTTTATAAAACACAATGTCACCTCGTAATTCCAATAAGGAGGGGACGTGGTTTAGTGGTATAACGCTCGCTTAGCATGCGAGAGGTCCGGGGTTCGATTCCCCGCGTCTCCAGTCCCTCCTTTTCCTTTGGGGTCGTGGTTTAGTGGTATAACGCTCGCTTAGCATGCGAGAGGTCCGGGGTTCGATTCCCCGCGACTCCAACCTTTTTTAGTTTTTCGTTTTTCTCCTTCACCTTGAAAAACTGTATTTGGTTTAGTTTCTATTTTGTCAGGTGTTGTTGGTTGACATCAGTGTCGGAAGACGATAGAGGCGGTAATTGATTGGCACCTGTAATGATTGCGATGGAAGGACCAGTACGGAAGGAGTGGCTGGTACTAGAAGGTCCGAGGAGACGCTCCAGTATACTCGTTGGATGACTGGAAGGGACTTTCTCAGTAGGTCCTCTGTCTCTCTCCTCTGTCATCGATTCATCCATTACGATGCATTCGACTTCCTTGGGCAGGAATCATCTCAGTGGATATTTGTCAGGGCTACTTCCCTGCGCTACTGCCAGGTTTCTGTATTCACTCTATTCAGGGTCCTTTGTCATGGTTCTGGCTTTCCAGTGAATATACCCTTTCCATGGATACTATGCGTCTATGTCTTTTTCAGTCACCGAATGTAATACTAATATCTGATTTTCCGGGGCTCTAATATGAACCTCTACTCCTGGTCCCGTTGATCGCTTTGGATGGATACGACCCATGTGGTAAATATCATTGTCCTGGCTTGCATTTCGGGGTGAGGCAATACTCCTGTTCATGGGGCGTGGTATATTCTTGGGCATCGTGGAGCTGGTTTGTTTCTGGCTCGGCTGAGATTTGGTTTCGTATGCGATATCTCCTGAGCTTCCATGTATTGTTGGCTATTGGGCTGATACAACATGATGCTAGACGGTTATAGAAAGATGCCAGATGGAGCCCTATGTACCATCTACGAGAGACGGGTGAGCTCGCTAAATTCTTCTACCAGGGATGCATGGTCTGTGAATCTGTTGGTCAGAGCTATCGTTACACATCGAGCAAGTTGGTTTACAGGACAGTGCCAATGTCCACCGGGGGCTACACGCGCCGCAACAAGCTCGTGGCAGGGAAGCCAGAAATCGAGAGCTACAATATAAGTAGCTACCGCCACCAATAAATAACTACTTCTCCTACTTCTACTGTAGTGACAACGACGGCAACAGCAGTGGAGTTAAGGAGTGACTGTTATACCTATGCCTCATTCTGCTTAGTATTGCACGGCTATTCTGATATCGACATTCTGTTGCTACATAGCCGGGAAAGATGTGGGCTTCGGATTGCAGAGGGTATCAGTCACATTGGAGACAGTGTCGTTAATTTTCCAAGGTCTTGGGTAAGTTGTAGGATATATATCCACACCGCACAATGTAGTCCAGCCACAAATCAACCAATGTAGAATTCGCCAGTCCGAATTTGGCACCAACTGATATGGGTTTATAACAATAATACCACACTCCTTCCCCCACCCCAAAAAAAAACCAGGAGGATCACCCCAAGATGCTTAGAGCACAGGTGGATATATATCCATCCATATAAAAGATATGAACGGCAAAAAATGTGGAGTCGCGGGGAATCGAACCCCGGACCTCTCGCATGCTAAGCGAGCGTTATACCACTAAACCACGACCCCAGCTTGTTAGAAGTTGGAGTCTTATGTATAAAAAGGTATGAGCTGTTCTTATCAGATTACTACAGCGCCATATTTAATATTATCTCTCCCGGACAAAGAAAGTGAAGCGGAGCGGAGTGGACAGGAGCAATCAATAGATGGCCACAATGATGTGGCCTCTTGAATACAGACGTAATAGCGCACACGCTACTCTAACAGGTATGAATTATCGGTATTCTTCCGTCCTGGTGGGTTTCAACGGGCATGAATACGAGGTTGGGTACAGTCAGTACGTACGACTACGTAGTACGAACAAACGTAAGGGCATATAGCATGCATATAGAGCCACATTTTGGGGGAAAGATTCGCTCCATGCCTTTCGTTAAGGGCTATGAGTATTTAATACTGACAGGTCTATATTTAATATCCGAGACGACCCGAAAGGGCTTCAACTTTTAGGCCTCAATGAACTGATCTTATCTGATGGGGCAAGTAAGGTTAGGTATCGACAATCCCGGCGTTGCCACGATGCTTTATCCACCCGCCCCTCACGGCTATCTCTGCAACCTCCGTCAGGAATTATTACCACCTGCCTGCTTCGTCCCCCTTCAGGCCGTTTAGAACATCGTTTTTTTGTCTTCGGAACCGCAGTGCCTCGATCTCCTTCGTGCTCAGCAGCGGCGGGATTTCCGACAAACCACTTGCGTCAGCAATTCGCAGGGGGTGTGCTGCGCATACTCTCGACTAGTCTTGCATCCCACATCAAACATGCATAAGTCGTCCTGCCTAGCGTTTGAAATTTGATTTGCTGTTCTGGGCCGTCTCCCACGCGTTTCCCGACTGATTATTCCAATTCTACTCTCGTGTGGACGTCCGCTGAGCCAACCCGCGCGTGTCTGTCCTCCGTCCGAGATCTTTGATGCCGCAGCCGCAGCCGCTGCAGCCTGCCATGTCTTCTGACCCTTGTACTTCCTTTCGGGCGCTAATCTGATTTATCTTCTGCTTCTCACTCTCCTCCGTTCTTCTCCCTTCAATCATCTCAGCAGCCCATACCCATTCATCTCCCACACAACTGGCTGGCCCGGGCAACCTTGCCGATCTACACCTGCTTGGAGGCTAGGCTAGTTTTCGACGTAATCTCCGCTGCCTTGCCTAACGTTTCACGACCGGCTACCCACCTGAGACTCGAGCCTTGACCGCCGTTCCATGGTCACATCTACATTTTGGAGCGATCGTGCCCTGTCATACATGGCTGCTGGCAGCAGCGAGACGAGACAACCCGTGAGAGCTTTCCCGTTTCCGCCCGGTGGAACCCATCTCCGTAATGCCCTTTATCGATCCCCGGTCCGGCCCGTCGTACGGTGCACTAGACCATGAAGAACGGTACAGTGACGAGGAGAGGGATGCACTCTTATCACCCGAGGTTGAGGCCCAAGACTCTCGCCGGGATGCGGTAGAGACTCCAGAAGAGTTCCAGGAAGGCGTTCGGAAGATCGAAGCGATCAACCTGACATGGACCACGAGGTCTCTAGTCATAGCCTACATCAGGTCCGTATGCTCTTCACGCCCCTGACCGCTGTCTTATGTTGACATGTGAACAAAGCATATTTCTGATGGCCTTCTGCGTATCGCTAGAAGGTCAGACCATTACATCGCTCTCAGCATATGCCACGAGTGCCTTCAGTAAACATTCCCTGATATCGACAGTTCTTGTCGTGCAAAATGTAGTCAATGGTAGGCATATGGTCCGTCCCATCCCCGCACGAGTATCTTGGAAGGCTAAAATCATCGATAGCCGTAATCAAGCCACCAATGGCTAAGATGGCAGATGTTTTCGGTCGGTTCGAGGCGTTTTGCGTAAGCATTCTTATCTATATTCTTGGGTATATCCAGATGGCTGCCTCGACGAACGTCCAGGCCTATGCATCTGCTCAGATATTCTATTCTGCAGGATCGACAGGTTTGCAGATTCTTCAGCAAGTCTTCATTGCAGATAGCAGTGACCTACTGAACAGGGCGCTGCTGGCAATTTTGCCAGAGCTGCCTTTCCTCGTCACCGTCTGGATAGGTCCGATGATAGCGGAGGAAGTCCTCAAACATGCGTCGTGGCGTTGGGGTTACGGCATGTGGTCCATCATCCTGCCTGCGTCCTTCCTTCCGCTGGCCTTCTCACTACTGCTGAACCAGCGAAAGGCAAAGAGGCTAAATCTACTCAAACCCAGGCCTAATCGGCGTCCGGGATTTTTCAATGCTGTGCGGCACACGTGGTACGATCTCGACGTGTTTGGTCTATTGCTGTTGTCTGCCGCAGTCACCCTGATTCTAGTGCCTCTTACCCTTACAGCCAATGCGCAAAATGGATGGCACAACAAGGGAATTATCGTGATGATCGTGTTGGGGTTGGGATGTCTCTGCGCATTACCTTTCTGGGAGACTTCAAAGAAGTTGGCCCCCAATCCCCTTTTATCCTTACATCTCCTTAAACAAAGAACTGCTCTTGCTGGCTGTGCCTTGGCATTCTTCTACTTTAGTAAGTGCTTGCCGAACATCCCTGAAGTGCTTTTTTTGTGAATATCACTGGCTAACGCAGATGCAGTGGCGTTCTACTTCTCCGTCCAGCCCTATCTCTATTCTTACCTCCAAGTGGTGCAAGGATATGATGTCACTACCGCTGGTCGCGTGACACAGACCTTTGCATTCACATCGACCATTGCAGCGTTTGGCGTGTCGATTCTGATCAAGTACACGCGTCGGTACCGGATTTTTGTTACTGTAGGATGTGTGATCTACATATCGGGAATTCTCATGATGCTTCTCTATCGACAAGAAGGAAACTCGCCAGCACAGATCCTTGGGACCCAGATAATTGTGGGTATGGGAGGCGGATTGCTGAACGTGCCGGTTCAACTGGGTGTTCAGGCATCCGCCAACCACTGGGAAGTCGCAGCAGCTACTGCGATGTTTCTAACGTCGATGGAGATGGGCGGGGCAGTAGGCGCCGCGGTGTCTGGGGCAGTCTGGGCCCGTTATGTCCCGGCAAAGCTCCGTGAGTATTTACCTGCGGAAAGCCAAGCAGACGCCGCAGAGATCTTCGGCAAGATCACTAAGGCTCTGTCCTATGATCTGGGGACCCCTACGCGGATCGCGATCAACCGGGCGTACCAGGAGACGATGGACAAACTGCTATGCCTGGCCCTGATTGCCATCATACCGCTCGTTCCACTGAGTCTTTTGATGGTGGACTACCAACTGGATAAGGTGAATGAGATCAAATTTCCCTTTCCATGCGACGGCTGCTTGCTAACTGATTATTAAACTCGCAGATTGGTCGAGAACCAGAAGGAGAACCAATCCCGGTTGAGGGGGAGTTGGGCGAGGACGGACGGCCCAAGCAAACTTGACGATCCGTGGAACAGTTGTTGGGAGGTTTTTTTGGATTTGCATCGAGACAAAAACTCGCACAATGTGCATGTCGTTATAGACCAAGTCTCGAAGGGATATTAAATAAATCTTACATTGTATAGACAGAGTACCATCTGAATGAAATGAAATGAAATTCCGTGAAGCAAGGAGTCCAGACCGGCATTAGTCAGCAGCCCAATTAGGCGATGTACTCTAGGTGCAGAAACAATGGGCGTAACTTACCGGTGCCGTTGAGTTCGATGACGGTAACTTACCTGTCGCAGTGAGCCACAGCGGCCAAAGCGCCGTCGACACCGGTAATCTGGGTATGGGATTGGTAAACATACGGTCAGGCAGGTGTTTTGTGACACCCCTCCTCTGTCCTGAGGCAGACTTTTTAGGAGTCGCCGAATTCGAACAGGGCTTTATCAGCGTCTCCTTTTTCTCTTTTCTTTACCTTTTTTTTTTTTTTTTACCTTCTCCCCCTTATTATTCCTAGATGCTTGTTTCATCGCCCTGAAGCCGGTTTGAAACGCATCAACGGGGGGTTTCATTGCTGTCTGTTCCCTTCCATCTCCTCCCCTTGTAGATATCTATACGGAGTACACCCTGAAGAGCTGCACCGCAGGCTGGACAGTGCAGAGAACAGCTGCACTGAGATAGTAATCCAGCAGAGTGAATGGATAGCCCCAGCGCCTAAATTAAAATTAAAATGGCATCTCTGGACGTCCAGAAACAGCCTGCATAACTTAAAACGTCGGTCGAGCTCAGCCTTCAAGTAGTCGTGAGCAGTTCTGTGGGTTATACACGATTACAGCACAGCAATTGCTCCTCCGCCTCCGACCTCCTCCCGCATCAACTCACCAAGCCTTTCCCCTAACCACATTGTCTCTGCGCTCCTCCTGCTCCCAGGAAGAACAATCGCCCTTGTTGCCCCTGCTGTGGCTGCCAGTCTCCGGTTCTTCCTCCTGCCTGGCCTCTGGCTTCCCTCCTATCCTCCCCCCTCCCTCTCTCCAACTCCCTATTTCCTCGTCGAACCGACTCTACTCCCATTCTTCTTCCACCGTGTGGACGACGACGCGTGGGATCAATTTTACTTGAAAAAGAGTAACTCCGTCATCGATCATCCTTCTTCTCTTCTGGCTCCTGTTCCTTTCTGGGAGTCCCCAATAATCCTACAAAATGGTAGTAGCTACAATCAAGTATGTCGCTCCCTCTTTCTCATCCCCACTCATCGCATCTTTTTGTCGCCGGTCCCAAGCTTTCTTTGTTTTGCTTGATTTCTTGGCTGTGCTTCCAGTCTGTTTGCGTGATATTTTCTAACTGTGGTTTCTGGTCAACAGGTGTGTCGTCGTGGGTGATGGTGCTGTTGGAAAGACGTGTCTCTTGATCTCATATACGACCAACAAATTCCCCTCCGAATATGTTCCCACCGTCTTCGATAACTACGCGGTGACTGTGATGTAAGTGGGATGTCCCTGGATACCAGGCTCGCAACCTGCTTAGCCGGTCACACCTCGTTCGCATCTACTTCCGGACGCGATGCCCGACTACTGCAACTCCCCCTTCCTCATCCCCCCCTTTTGACTCCGAGTTGCGGACTCAACTACATTCCTCCCACGTTCTTGTACACGCTGGTTTACTGATGCGGGTTTTCTTTTCACTTGTCCAGGATCGGTGACGAGCCGTACACACTGGGACTCTTCGATACTGCCGGTCAGGAAGATTACGATCGCCTGCGCCCTCTTTCATATCCGCAGACAGACGTTTTCCTGGTCTGCTTCTCCGTCACCTCTCCCGCTTCCTTTGAGAACGTCAGGGAGAAATGGTTTCCCGAAGTCCACCACCACTGTCCGGGCGTCCCGTGTCTTATCGTCGGCACCCAGACTGATCTCCGCGACGACCCGGCCGTTCGCGAGAAGCTCGCGAGACAGAAAATGCAGCCCATTCGGAAGGAAGATGGTGATCGCATGTGCAAGGAACTGGGCGCAGTGAAATATGTCGAATGCTCCGCTCTGACTCAGTACAAACTGAAGGACGTTTTTGACGAGGTACATTCCCGCTGCGATGACGTGTTGGATGGTATGTGATGCTTACTGGTGTTGAACAGGCCATCGTTGCAGCGCTGGAGCCAGCTCCGAAGAAGAAGTCCAAGTGTGTTCTGCTGTAGCTGAAGAGATTCCCCCCCCCAACCCTCGAAGTTGGTAGGTTTTCTCCCATAGTTCCTGTTGTCTCTATAGCTGACTGACTTGTATAGATACCTCGTTTCTAAGTTGATCTTATCTATTTTCTTTTCTTTTCTTCGAAAACGTTTCTTTTTCTTTTTCTTTTTCTTTTCTTTTTTTTTTTTTTTTTTGATTTGGGAGACTGGGTTGAAAGCGATTGATTTAGATATCATGCCGTGTCAAACAGGACTATTCCTTCCTTTCTACCGGCCCGATTCGGTTACCTCGACGCCTACCACGCCTAAGCTGTGGTTATTTTAAGGGTTATCATCTTGTTCTTCGAAATCGGATGAATCGTCAAATTTTCGCAGCTCTTTTATCCCAGGTTCTCTGGTTAAACTAGCGTCTTCTTTTACCTTTTCTTCCGACTTTCCTCGCTTTAATTCTGTTATGCTGCGTCACCGATTTTCGAGTCAAGATGATAATTCGCCTCCTCCAATCTACCACAATTAGCCGTCCTACTACTCTCTCGCACCGTCCCTATTCAGTCCTGTCCATTTTCTTTACACTCCTTGCCATATGTGTTCGTCGAACCTTTTCGCGAATCTGTTACCCCGCTTTTTTCGGTTGTGTAGCTCTCTTCGTCTCTACCGGCGTTGGACGTCAGGGCGTCGTGTTTTGGCTGGTTATGGTCCTTCCTCTTTTTTTTTTTTTTTTTTTTTTCTTCTTTTTCCCCCCATTCCTTGTCCTTATTTCAGTCTCGAAGTCGTTTTGTGTTTATTTGCCTTTCGATCTTTTCACATGGCTGTCCTTGCACTCGCGCGGAGGACAGACCTAGCGAGCGATTTGATACGAAGCCAGTGAAAGACTTATTATTTTTATCATTGTATTCCGGACAGAACAAGAGTGTAGCAGTGTAGCCAGCCACTTGCGTGGTCGCTTTTTGTGAATACATTTTAATCTGATGGATATATACAATGACTTCATTTATCACTTAGGTATATTACATAGTAGGCCAATCCATCTCAATCCCCTCCAAATCACCAGCCCCCTCAAAAAACTCCAAAACATGCGCCTGCTCGCTGAGCAGATACCGATCCGTCTGAATGCCCGACTTGGATTTTTATCATTTATGAATTCATCTGCAGGGACGACCTGCCTGGTTGGTGTGGCTGTTTCTATGGGTTTATGCTATGCAGTTGCAGTATGCATGCAGGACTGGAGTTTTAGATCTCATGTTAAGCAATGACATCAGGCAGTTTATACTTCACCCCTACATGTCAGATCGGATCTTCAGGCATTATAGATTATTCATTACTATGGCAATAGCTTACATACACTGGACATAAACAAAGTAATGCCGTCCATCCATATGACCCGTGGCATTTCAACATGGCTCGTGTCTTCATGTCGTATACCCTCGTAGACCGAACGACGAGTGTACGCCTCGACAATCTCGTGCGTACTGATCGACTCATGGTGCAGCCTGGGGCTAGTCATATCCGAGTTGCCATTTGGTTCATCGCTATTGCAATCAGTAATGATCCAACAACAACAGAAAAAACGATCGATCGTTTATCCAGCTCACAGTGCAGCAGAGAATCCATAGGAGCCTTCTTGGGTGCCACTTCTTCTTTCTGAACGAGTGTCTGTGCTGATTGAAAGGATGCCCGGTCTTTAACACTCGATGTGTAGTCGGTGCTTGGCCTTGTAGAGATGGAGCTGGAGCTGCAGGCAGACTGTCGTCTGAAGATGTCCTGTTGCGTCTTCTTGGTGCTGCGGAAGCCTGGGATTCCGAGAGGCATGGTTCCGTTTCTTTGTTTTGTTTGATTGAGGACAAGGCTGATGGACTGGATCGATAGTGATGTCCTCTTTGCTTTGTTCCTTGCTTTGTCTGGACTTCGTGATGACGATGAGGATGTAGACAGAGACCTCCAACCCAGTCACTCCCAGGGTTTATATACCCAGCCAAAGAAAATAATTCCCACATGCCATGACAAATTCACTCCGTACTTTGCACCCAACGATGATGTATGAGTATGACATGAGGGACATATCCGCCAATCGAACTCCGAATGTTCGGAGTTCGGGGTACCTCGTTGGATGCCAGGATGATCATGCAGTGAGGAAAAAACTGCAGGTCTAGCCAGATGTCGGAGTGAAAACATCGTTGCCTGCGCTTTCATCATGGGCACCGCTGTTGGTAGACTATTGGAGGCAACTATGTGTCAATGTGGTAGGGATATGTCGTTGCTGAAGAGTCTAGATGTCAGCCCTAATTCAATGGATTTCCACTGCGTTCTTTTAAACGCCACGCTAGCATGCCATTTTGCCCTATTACAAAGACAAAAATGTCACCTTGCTAGCCTAGGGTTCACAATCTGCATGAATCAATCACATACCGTCTGTAGACGATGATAGCCGATGATATTGTTTCAGCTACAGCTGCAACTCCCGAACCCACTTCAGGCAACGATATTGGTTAACTGGAATGGATCCCATCACAAGTCAAAGCTACTCTCGGGATAGACATGGCTTCTCGTAGTGCCGCTGTCATTCTTCCTATTCATATTCAAAGATCGACTCGCAACTTCGACATTCTGCATATCTCAGGGAGTTCAGTTCGTCATACAGTCTCATGCCTCATGCTTCTTGCTCTCTCCCGCCGATCAACTACAGTCTCCCCCCCATCGTAGCTTGTCCAGTCTTTCTTTCTCCATGCTCGACTACCGACTCCTCGCGTCCGTACCATCCACCTAAATCCTTCCCTGCTCCGGCCTTCACCAACGTGGAAAGGATCTCAAACGCCACCTGGGCCGCCGCGAGAGCCGTAGTTTCACCCTTGTTATCGTAGCTGGGTGCCACCTCCACGATATCAGCGCCGACAATATTCAGCTTTTCGATTCCTCGCAGGATCCGGATAAATTCGCGCGTGGTCCATCCACCAGGCTCAGGAGTGCCAGTGCCGGGAGCCGTGGCAGGGTCCAGCACATCAATGTCAACGGAGAGGTACACGGGCTGTTCCGAGTCCAAGCCTGTCCGCTCGATAATCTTCTCCACAATACCCACCGGTCCCAGCTCATCGATGTCATCTGCATGGATACGGTAGAATGCTTGCTCTGGACCTGGGTTCGTGTAGTCTTCGAGGCCCGTGCCTGTCAAGCGCGTGCGGAGACCCCCGTGTACAGAGGTGGTGTTGGAGATAAGTCCTTCCAAGCCGGCAAGATGGAAGAAACTTCCATGTGTAAAACGAGACTGTTCCGAGACCCAGTATGAGTGATACCGGTCCGGGCTCCAAGTATCCAAGTGCGCATCAAAGTGAAGCACCGTGATAGGCTTCTGGTAAATCTGGTAGAGGGCCCGGAGGGCAGGCAGAGCAATGCTGTGGTCGCCACCAAGCATCAACAGCTTGGGCTTGCCAGCCGAGATTCCTTTTGTACCGTACTTGGATTCAGCCGGTGTCACGGCCGGGCGCTGGCCGAGCTCTAGCAAGGCCTCATACATCTGGCGCTCCGCAAGTCCATTATCAACAGGAGTGATCGGGATATCACCACAGTCTGTGATAGTAGCCCAAGACATATAGGGGTTTATGGCTGCTCGCGCGTTGTACGATCCAGCAGGAATCTGGCGGGCGCTGGCGGCGCGGATTGCACGAGGGCCGAAACGGGCACCTGCAATGAAACCAAAGCCAGTTAACGAGTGATGATAACAACGAAGTGAAACACCTAAATCCCGTACCAGGTCTGTAGCTGGTGGCCGTATCAAAGGGCGCGCCAATAATGGCGATATCATACCGTTCATCGGGCTCAATGAGGCATTTCACGGACTTCAAGTGGGCAAAAGTCGAGATGCCGGCGAAAGGAATCTTGACAAGTATTAGCATAAATAATTCACATTCGTAGAGCAAGGGACAAGGATAAATACTTCTTGATTCCATTTCTTCAGCAACTCCTCTCGCTGACTTTCGCTAACTAAGACATCCCCATCGTCGTGGTGACCTGGATGAGACAAAGCAGAGCCGGCCAACGCCAGCAATGCTACCACTGCGCTCTTCCAGCCGGGCATTTCCAAATGACTAGAGCCAGATATAAGACTGAAGAAGTGACGCAGGAAAACAGAAGGCGACCGGTGCCATCGGCACCAACGCCGGAAGACAGCTCGGCTATATACCCATTATCAGGGCCTGTCGACAGACAGCATCTCCGGTCGAGTTCCTATCTTCCAGAGATAAGAAACCAAGAGATCTTGCAGTTCGCCGAAGCAGTGAAAGGGAGGGTAATTGGCGGATAACAGCGTGGTGGACGGTGGGGGGATTCCTTCAACTTTCAAGTCGGCGCCTTTCCGTCGCTGACGTCGTGCAGACTTTCCCTTCTCGTCGGTCGTCTCCGAGCTATCATAATAATACGCAACCAGCTATTCACACTTCAACATCGTCCAACAGGCGATTACCTCGAAACCGTGCCGGGAGAGAACCCAGGATGCAATGCGTCGTGTTGTCGTGACGGGTCTGGGAGCTGTGACGCCTCTGGGAGTGGGTGAGTGAAATTCTTTTCTTGCGGCATCGTCTCCATCTACCAAGAGAAACAGCAAGGAATACGCGAGCGAAGGATCTCTTTCGTTTCGTGCTCTTTTTCAATTACTTCTTTCTCTCCCCCACCTGCCTAGCTAAACTCTGCGCCTTCGTGTCCCTTCCGTAATAGCAACGTTCGCTGCGAGGTAGCTGAATTCGATGCCGCTTCTGCAGTTTGTCGACACCAATTGTGGCTAATCATACGATCTTACCGAATAAGGAATCCATCGAACCTGGAAGCGCCTGTTGGATGGGCATTGCGGTATCGCCAACGTCAAACATCGAGATCCGAAGTTCTCTGAATTACCATGCCAGGTCGCTGCGGTAGTGCCGCAAGGCACGCGGCAGGATGGTGGATGGAAAGCGTCCGAATGGCTAGCAAGAGACGTGCGTCGGTTCCTTATTCATGCTATTGTTATGATGGACAACGGGCTTATGGGAATCTTTGCAGGATGAGCGCAAGATGGCTCGGTTTGCTCAGTATGCTATGGCTGCTACGGAAGAAGCGATTGAAGGAGCTGGATGGAGACCCAATGCTCCTGAAGAAAGGGAGGCCACGGTATGTATTGCACCATTGCGTCTCTTGTTGGCGGTCCTAACTGGTGGCTTGTTCTCAGGGAATATGCCTGGGTTCTGGTATTGGGAACTTTGACGAGATCTACGACACTGTCTTGGCATACGATAAAGGGGTCAGTCAGCATACGGAATATAGCCTAGAAAAGCTTGGTAGCCCTTTTGCTGACGCTGTTTTAAATAGGGTTACAGGAAGGTATCCCCTCTGTTTGTGCCGAGACTGCTGATCAACCTCGGGGCCGGCCATATCTCAATGAAATATGGATTTATGGTAAAGTCTCAGCTGGAATTCTTAAGCCACCCAAAGAATACAGGAAGCTAACGCGATCAGGGTCCCAATCATGCTGTTACCACCGCGTGTACCACTGGAGCGCATTCTATCGGCGATGCTGCTCGCTTTATTGCTTACGGAGATGCGGACGTTATGGTGGCCGGTGGAGCAGAGTCCTGCATTCACCCACTGGCTATTGGGGGCTTTGCGAGGGCAAGAAGCCTGGCAACAGGCTTTAACGACAAGCCAGACAAAGCCTCCAGGCCATTCGACGCTGATCGTCAAGGCTTTGTGGTCGGTGAAGGTGCTGCCGTAATGATTCTAGAGGTATACAGACACCAAAAGTCCCCCTTTTTGTCCGACTCTTTTGACGCTGACTTTTGATTTCGAACAGGAACTGGAGCACGCAAAGGCTCGAGGCGCTCATATATACGCTGAACTAAAAGGGTATGGCTGTTCAAGTGACGCGTACCATATCACGGCTCCTAGGGAAAACGGAGAAGGCGCGTTCATGGCCATGAAAAAAGCATTGAAGAACGCGAAAGTGCGACCATCTGCGGTCGATTATGTTAATGCACATGCAACCTCGACAGTGATAGGGGATGCTGCAGAGAATGCGGCTATCAAGACGCTCATGCTGGGGCCTGACGGAAAACAGAAAGCGTCAGATGTGAACATCAGTAGCACCAAGGGCGCTGTGGGACATCTCCTAGGGGGTGCGGGTGCGCTTGAGGCTGTGTTTACGGTCCTCGCTATCCATGAGGTATGTATTCGGTTTGGAACTCCCCATAAAAGAAACAGATGCACTGATAATGTCCCCTTGGTAGAATGTGATGCCTCCAACAATCAACCTGGAGCGTCTAGCAGATGGTTTCGACTGCAACTACGCAGCAAACGTCGCCCAACAGCGGAAGATTGACGTCGCCCTGACGAATAGTTTTGGATTTGGAGGGACTAATAGCAGCCTCTGCTTCTCCAAATATCAATCATAAGCTTGGATGCGTTTCGTGGCTGTGGTTTTGAAGTCGTTAAGAAGGGTGTACCTATTCGGGACAGATAAAGGCTACACAGTGCTGTATATCAATATTTGAATGCATATATTCTCTCCAATGGATCTCTTCAACGAACATATTCCGTAGGAATGAAATATTGACTTGGAATGCTATTAATTACTTCGATGAAAGAGACCGTCCATTGTCCGATAGCACATATCACGTGATGAGGGACACGCCAGATCCGATGACGACGTGTCGAGCCTCAAGCTACAAGGGGCGCGACAGGACAACTCTCCATGTATTTCAATTACTGAGCTGAGTTGAAGGGACTGATAGACAGAGGAGAGAACATAGGACTTCTAGTATTTATGGCGGCCAACGGAGATATAGCCACAGGTACGTCATGCGTCTCCTTCAAGGAAGCAGGGGATGAAGATGATCGACCAGCTAACTCGGAACAACCTTGTAAAATGGAGCAGTGTCCGCCTCATCAAGTTTGGGAAGCTTCGTTGATGCGTCTGGATACAAATATGCCGAGAAAGATATGAAACCGGGGAAGATTAAGCTGAAGAAGGTGACGAGTAAGGCTACGAAGGCGAAAAAAGGAGAGGGTATAGTGACTATCTTTTGTTCATATGATTCTTCTTACTCTTCCTGGTGCGTCTTTCAATGAAGAGATGGCTGATACGAACTTGAAACTCTTACAGAGAATAAAGGTGCACAAGCTGAATCGGCAGCCTCGTCGCCCATTCTTCCCGACGTTGACGAGAAGACCATGGCAGCCTTTCCGACGGGCCAACCGCGCGAAGATCAGTTAGAGACGGTGATATGCAAGCATTGCAAGCGGCCCGTTATGAAGCAGGCGGCGGCGGAACACATTCGGGGTTGTCTAAGAGCTAAGCAGGAGAAAGCACGCCGGAAGAAGGAGGCGCGTGATGCGGCGAATCGGGCGAAGGAGAAAGTCGAGAAGGATGGGGAAGATGACGGCGATGGGGAAGAAGGTACCGGGAGTACTATGAAGGGACAGAAGAGCGCGAAGAAGAGCGCCGTCAAGGGGATGGGTGATGATGGGACGAAGAAGGGGAAGAAGCGCAAGGCGGACGGCGAGGATGATAAGGACAAGGAGCCCAAGAAGAAGAAGAAAAAGGATGAACAGAAGCCCAAAGTTCCTAAGCCCAAGGGTCCGGTCGACGTTGAGAAGCAGTGCGGAGTTACGCTACCTAATGGAGCTCAGTGTGCGCGCTCATTGACGTGCAAGAGCCACTCGATGGGCGCTAAGAGAGCTGTTCCTGGACGTTCCCTGCCGTACGATATGTTGCTCCAGGCATATCAGAAGAAGAACCAGGCGCGGCAGCAAAGTGAGTTTTTTGCCCACCCTCTTTATGAAATGTTAAGAATGTGGATAGCGGGACTGATTGCTTGTGTCTCTGAAAAACAGAGGCGGCCATCGATGCCAATGCACCACTCCAGGACGATTTGGACAGTGGTGGCCCGGTTGACTCGGATGAGGAACGGGATTCTATCATGGCAGCTATCTCTCGCTCACGTCCACAGCCTCTCGTCACGCACACTCTGATTTCGACAAAGAAGAAGTACCATTATGTCCGCATCAAAGAGATGCTGTCGCATGCCCTGGGTGGCTCTCGTGGTAGTAGCCTCTTCTCAACCGGAGATATGACATCGGTTTCGAACAGAAACATCTTCGAGCCTGTGGAGAACATCCCATTGCAATCCCCCGTTGCTGTGAGTACGAGCACATCAGATACCTCTCCGGACGCAAAGAAAGCTCCTGCTGCATCTGCTACCAGGAAGCCTTCGGTAATTGCAGGCTCATAGGCATTACTCTGCCTGTGTGAACTACGATTTATTCTCGTACGTTCGGGCGTCTTTGGTTTGGTAAGAGGAGTCTTCGGCAAGGTGTTACGGCGTTATGATAGTCTGTGGGAGGCAACCATGGTGGTTTCTGTGAGGGCTGTGTTTCAATATGATGACTTGATACCCTTTCAGTGTACATACGTACAGATAGTTTGCGATGCTTGCCTCTGGGGTTGTCTTCGTTTCTGCATCATTATCCTTTTGAATGGCAACGTCCCTAGTGCATTTGGTGGCATTATCGATGACAAGAATACCCAAGCAGAATGGACTTGTTCGACCCGATAAGAGTACTTCTAGAAATTGAAATCACAGCTGGTCTGTTCAGTTACTTCCATTCAACTGTCATATAATGAAGCCCTGATTGGGGGTAATGAATATTGAATGCCTGAGGCACACGCGAAATATTGGTCCTGAGATTCCGATGTTATTTTGGCGCCTCATATTCGATTCACAAAGAAAACTTGTCGCGGCACTCCCCATCCTGCCTCCCATCTTCCCTCCGATTGAGGACGGCTCTTTGCTCCCTGCGCCTGTGGGCGTGAGTGAGCTGATCGCCTCCGAGCGACGATTCCGATTCAACCCCCGTTGACCAGCTCGTTATTATATTCCTCGTCACGACTTGTACTGAGATCCCGTCACTGATTCGATCCTTCTCGACCCCTCCGGCCATTTCCATCATATACCTCCATCATGGGCCATTCAGTTCCCGATCTCGACGCAGTTGGCATCCTCGCGGAGCGAGAGTTGGCCGATCAGTTCCGCAGAGAAGTCGCAGAGCTGCTTGGCCGCAGCAGCTTGAACTTCCCCGGTGCGCAACCCGTGAGTTTTGCGGCGCGACACCTCCTGGAGCTACAGAAACAGGATTACTACGTTTGTGAGAAGACAGATGGCATTCGATGTCTTATGTACTTTGCGCGTGGGGATCCGGAGTCTGGCACACCTGAAATCCACTACCTGATCGATCGCAAGAATGACTACCGCTACGTGCCTGGTTTACATTTCCCCTTACCGGACGATGATACATTCCAGTCCTTCCATGTGGACACCTTGGTGGACGGAGAATTGGTGAACGACACTTACGAAGGTGGGACGCAACAGCTCAAGTATCTCGTGTTCGACTGCTTGGTGTTAGACGGACAGAGCCTCATGCACCGCACCCTGGACAAGCGCCTGGCGTATTTCAAGGAGAAGGTCCTCAAGCCGTATAACGCCATGTACCGCAAATTCCCGGAGGAGAAGCAACATCGGCGGTTTGTGGTTGAGGACAAATCCACGCAGTTCAGCTACGGCATTGAAATGATGTTCCGCGACATCATCCCTAAGGTGAAGAAGATCCATGGCAACGACGGTCTGATCTTCACCTGCCGAAGTACACCGTACCGCATCGGAACGGACGAGCATATCCTCAAATGGAAACCTCCGTCCGAAAACACCATCGATTTTCGTATGCGCCTTGAGTTCCCCTTACTGGAGCCAGACACAGACGACGAGGCCGACGGTGTCTCCGAGCCTTACCCGGACTACGATGCGCTTCCTATCTTCCACCTCTTCGTCATGCTGAATGCAGGCGAGTACCGCCATTTCGGAGAAATGTACGTTACCCCTCCAGAATGGGAGAATCTTAAAACCCTGGGCATTCCACTAGACGATACCATCGTGGAATGCTATAAGGACGAGCACGGAAGGTGGCGCTTCCACCGACTCCGTGACGACAAGAATGATGCCAACCACATATCGACCGTCGAGAAGGTGCTGGAGAGTATCGAGGACCGTGTCTCAGAGGAAGATCTAATCCGTGCGGCTCCGGCGATCAAAGCCGCTTGGAAGAAACGACAGGCGCAAGCGGCGTTTGAGGAGGAGGAGCGCAGACGGAGAGCAGGAGCAGCGAGGCCTCCACCACCGAACAGCTTGAATGGGAATGGTGTGAAGCGGAAATTCGAGGAGTAATAAATATAAAGTACCCAAGGAAAAAAGGGCAAAAAAAGGCGACGGACAGTGTGTCCTGGATGGGGATATCAATCTATCTAGCTGGCCTCGATTCTATGCGTATATCCCATGCGCACATTGTTTTTTTGATTTATTATTTTCTCCGTTCTGAGCTCTTACTGCTCTTACTGGTTCACAAGGTGTCCATCTGGTTCGGCGTTTCTGGGGAATCAATGCCTAGGTATTACTATCATGGCCCTCTTAAAACTTGTTTTACGTATAGAAATATAAGGACCTGTGAAAACGACACCGAAAATGACGGCTACTGAAGCCAGAAACAGCTGCCTTTCCACCTGTAACTTCAAAGCTGCCACTGGACTGCCAAGCACCTGTCAAGAATTTTTAGCTACCCTCCTGAGCTGATATAGGCACTCAACTTCAACAAGTTCCTTTGCAGCCACATCCTGCTCCCTGTCACGGCTCGAGTTCATATGTATATTAGTCAGTGTTGGTGGTCCTGTTTTGTCAGCTCCTTCCTAGATAGTTAGCATAGCGTAGATAGTTTGCCTGAGGCCTCCCTAGCTACGTCAACCAACTCAACGAGTTCGACCTTCGTTCAACTTTCTCTGTCCGCCTCCCCAAATTCGTTTCATCCATCATCTCCATCAATCATTCCTCTTCATACACTTCGATGAGACCAAGACCGCCTATTACAAGAGAGTGCCCTTTTTCTTACTGTGTCCTCATGCTCTCCCCTTTACTCCTATGCAATCACGGATTTCGAAAGCCCGATGTGATATGCCTTTGTTTAAGTTTTACTGACGCGGGGACCTGGATCTTGGACTCTACAGCGCGATGCGTTATGAATTGGCATATGGCTATCTATATTTTCCTCCGTGCCTTCGCCGTACATATTTTCTCTCATTTCATGCGAGGCCCACTGCAATGCGTTCAACGTCCTGCTTGGAGGTTGTAGATGCTTACGATTTGCATTTTATGGCTATTTTGATACAGGACAAGACTGAAGATACAAAAAGAAGACAAAAGTGAAAAAAAAGAAACCCGATCCATTTAGTTCATCGTTTCTTGATACTCACGTCAATATTACCAACGAGCCATGCGATGACGAAGACCGCCAACACCCCAGCAGTGATTGTGAAGGGTTTGCGCAGAGCATCCAGGGACGTGTAGTGGTAGGTGACCTAAAGACACAGCGTGAGTTCAAATCGAAGCTATTGATTACAAACAGACCAGCGAAGGTGTATGAAACTTACAACTAACTGAGAATCTCTGGCTCCATCTGTGAGATTGTCGACTGTAAGAGTTAATACGGTCCGGCCTAAGGTATCCATGTAGGTCTTGTGGGTAGACAGATGAGACTGGATCTGGTTGCGTCCAGGGAGACCGTTGCTGGAGGATCCTTCCAGGATTTCGTACTGGACATTATTGGCTCCCTCCGGGAGAATCACTCGGATAACGACCTTTTCGTACTGGATGCCTTCCGAGACTTTCGGTCCCTCTAAGAAAGGAACTTTCAGGACAAAAGTATCGGCATCACCGGCTGTTCGGCGGAGGAAGGAAGAAAGGGCGTTGTTCCAGCCAACGCGGAAGCTGTAATTCCAGTCACCAAAAATAGGGTACCTAGGTCGTAGCTCCAGGGATGCTTCCCGGTTGGGGTTTCCGGGTCGGTAGTGGCTGGTAGAGACATTACCAATGTCATCGGTGAAGTAGGGATCAACCGAACCCGGCTTGAGGGGATATTTGAGCTCGCGGACTGCAGAGGAAGGCAGCCCTTGGAAGTTAACCATGGTCCATTGCACGCGGGAGAAGTGATTTGACAGCCTGGAGCCGTTGTTGTGCAGCCAGTAACGTTCTTCCGTCGCCAGGTTCCCACCCCAGTGGGACACTTCCAGATCGCGTTCTAACAGAGAAGCAGTGATTATGGGCTTTGTAAATTCGTAGCGAACTGTGATCGGGTAGACAGTTCCTGGAGCAATCTTAGCTGTCTTGTACGGACCATAGGTGTAAGTTGTACCCTGTCGCTCAGGATCAGCTTCCGAGCCGGATTTGATGCCGGAGGTTGTCGTGTAATCTGGGACATTGGTGCTGGGGAACTTCAGTTTCGTCTTCTGGGTAACCGTCTCGTATGGTGAGGGGAAATAGGCTGAGAATGAATATGTGAGGTACTGCCGGTCATTCTGTTCGATGGCTGCAGGAAGCGGGCGCAGGGAGGAAAGCAGAGAATAGGAGATTCCCAGAGTAATTTGTGACGATGGAGCAAGTGGTTCGGGGAGATGAACGACAGCGTATTGAGTATCCCTTGAATTGAGAATGTCATCAGCCTGTCTGCAATTTCTCGTTGTCCACCAAACCCCAGAGGCATTGACAACAATTAGTCTCTTACCTCGATGAATTGAGTTCCGTAATATCAACATCAAATCTGCCCTTCCCTGCGGCCTTTTTATCCTTCACTTCGAGGCTGCCTAGTTTAGGGAATACGTCTGTTGGAAAGGACAGGTAGTAGTCGCTCTGCGGTTGCTTGTCGACATTCTCCACGACCACATTGACCGTCTCCCTAACATATCCTTTCTCCAAATTTGTATTCCGAACCAGATTTGTATTCTTAAAGACCTGAGGGGGCTTGAAATCTGCAGGCAATGACAGTCGTGTAGAAGATGTAATGTCACTGGGTTCGGCGCATACTAAGCTCGCGGGCAGTACCAGCCCGGACAGCAGTGACAGTGCTGTCAGAAACCTCATTGTAAAAATGGGAGGTGCTGTTTGCTCCAGCACCTTAATCCACAATCCTAGCCAGGACGGAGCTGGAGTGAAAGAGAATGGGATGAGAGGGAGAGCCTTGAGAGTTGATGCTGATGTGTCCGTATACGGATGGCACTGCGTCGATTACGGCGGCCCTTGCGGCTGCAGCGCGCTCCGGTGTCCTTCGTTACCTCCGACAGCCCCTCACGGTTGCAATCACCGCTGCTCCTTGGCTTCATCAACCCTGTTCTGGCTATCTTTGCACAGCTGACAATGCTCGCTTTGCGAGTTGCTTCGCGGACTGGCTTGCGGCCAGCGAGTTCAACTAAATGGCCGGTGTCCAGTTTCCCCAAGCCCATTCGAAGAATCCATGGCCTGGCACAAAGCAAGTTCTTCAAGGTTTCAGAAGAGATCCGGGATGCTGTCGCTACTGGAAAGCCTGTAGTGGCATTGGAAACTACTATATATACACATGGTATGTATGAATCCTACCCATTTCCAAGGAATAGCTCGACTCACGGAATCATCAGGATTCCCATACCCTGATAACGTGGCACTCGCGTCGTTACTAGAATCCGTGGTTCGAGTCAATGGAGGAGTCCCTGCTACAATTGGAGTTTACAATGGCGTGGCACGAGTTGGTTTGGACCCGGAAGAGATCGTTGAGCTGGCTGCGTCCGCGGAAAAGAAGAGCGCGTTGAAAGTTTCGAGGAGGGATCTCGGTTACATTTGCGGCCTGGTACCTTCCATCCTTTGAACAGAAACCAGACATTGACATATATATACTGAGACCTGTTAGGGAATGGCTGGGAAGCCACTTCATGGAGGCACCACTGTCTCAGGCACGATGGTGTTAGCCCATTTGGCTGGTATTAAGATTTTTGGAACGGGTGGACTTGGTGCGTATGCTTGCACATCACATTCACCTTCTCTAGTTGACCATATACAGGTGGAGTGCATCGTGGAGGAGAAGCGTCGATGGATATATCAGGTGCGGAACAAACGACGTGGTGATATTTCCTATTCCGACCCGGCCACTTACTTGTATATGCAATAGCGGATCTTACCGAGCTTGGACGAACGCCAGTTACGGTTGTTAGTTCTGGATGCAAGAGCTTCCTTGACATTCCACGAACGCTGGAATACCTTGAAACCGAAGGTGTATGTGTCGCAACCTTTGCAGATGGACGTCAAGGACCGGTGGATTTTCCTGCCTTCTTCAGCCGGGACAGCGGAAAGCGAAGTCCGAAGGTTGTTCAGAATGAAGCGGAGGCTGCAGCTATTGTTTGTAAGTCATTGCAAGCTGGGGCTCTGAGTGCAATCTGCTAATTCAGATATCCAACTGCAGACGCACAGTCCAAACTTCCAGTGTCCTCAGGAATCCATTTTGCCAACCCGGTGCCGCTAGAACATGCAATCGCAAAACCGGAAATGGATAAAATCATCGACGAGGCTCTCCACCTTGCCCAGATTGAGGGCCATACTGGAAGCGACAACACGCCTTTTGTGCTCTCCAAGATCAAGGAGCTGAGTGGCGGGAAGAGCGTTGCGGCCAACCGAGCTCTGGTCGAGTCGAACGTCGAGATGGCGACCAAAGTTGCCGTGGAAATCTCCAAATTAGAGCAATCCGACAGGGGCGATCGGTGAGTTTGCATCTCGACTTAAGTCGATCTTGCTAATTTTGGAGATCTCCTATCATGTAGACATATGGCAGCGATCCCGGTAGTCACTCCGAACACAAAGCGTGACAAAAAATTTGCAAATGCCGTGGAAGATGCAAAGGCTGTTGAAAATGATGACCTTCACATTGAGAAATTAGGAAAGGCAGATGTACTAGTGGCCGGGTCTCTTGCAATCGATCTCTCTTGTGATTATGCACCTCTTACCGAAGACAAGACTAATATCACGCCTATCTTGCATACGTCAAACCCAGCTATAATCGGACAGAGCCTAGGTGGTGTAGGATACAACGTGGCCATTGCTAGTAATTACCTGGGAAGCTCTGTTCTCTTTTGCAGCCTTGTCGGGAACGATCTTACAGGCCGTGCTGCCTTGTCAACACTCCAGCAGCAGAAGCTCAGTACAGATGGAATCCAAGTTCTTCCAACCTCACCGCGAACTCGAACTGCGCAATATATTGCCATTAATGATGCGAAAAGAGATCTGCTCGTGGCCATGGCGGATATGAGCATCATGGAACTTCCGGAGCAAGACCTGAACTTTGACGCTTTCTGGGAACCTCTAGTGCGCCGCACCAAGCCTCGATGGGTCGTCGTCGATGCAAATTGGAGCCCGGGGGTTCTGGCAAAGTGGGTCGATATTGGCAAGAAGTACGGGTCTCGAATTGCCTTTGAACCCGTATCCACCCCCAAATCACGCCGGTTATTCAGCAATGGATTGGGAGCCAATGCGGCGATCGGACCGTCGAATTCTGTCCCAGACAATGCAGTCAGCCTCGCAGCTCCTAACAAGCTCGAACTAGCGGCGATGCACATGAGCGCACGCGAGGCCGGGCACTTCGACTCCCCGGGCTGGTGGCGTGTCATCGATGCCATGGGCTTACCGTCCTCTGGCTCTAGAGAGCGACTTGCGGCGATGACATCTGCGGCACTTGTCGACGAGGGCACGCCCCAGCAGAGCATTCAACTCTTACCATTTATCCCGTGCATTATCACCAAACTCGGCGCGCAGGGCGTCCTGCTGACGCAGCTGCTTCGTCCTGGTGATCCCCGTCTCACTTCGCCTGATTCGATGCCATATATCCTGTCCCGGGCATCGACGACGGACGAACTCGTTGGGGGAGTATATATGAGGCTATTTCCTCCTGCAGAAGTCATCGCGGATGGTGACATTGTCAGTGTCAATGGAGCTGGCGACACGCTCCTCGGTGCGGTGGTGACTGGGTTAGCGAGGGAGACAGACGGGGTATCGAGACGAGTAGAGAAGCTGATTCCTATTGCACAGGAAGCTAGTGTGAGGACGTTGAAGAGTGCTGGGGGTGTGAGCAGCGACATAGCTAGTTTGAGCAACCATATTTAATACGGAGTAGCAAATATGGATGGACAGCACATTCGATCTAGTCTAGTAGCATAAACCAAGGTAGATAGATACACGAATAGACAGAAATCTATTATATCAATCATCAATCATCCATGAAAAGCCAAAGTTCTAAAACAAAATAAAATCTAAAAGTCAAGCAGCCACTCCCTCTCACTCTTTACAGACGAAGAAGACGAATCATCACCAAACAAATAACACGCATACGCATCCCTCGCAAGACTCCTCCGCGCAACCTCACAGTCAACCCGGATATCCTCCACCAAAGCCTCGAGAGAGACATAGTCGTATTCAGGACGGATATACCCCAGGATAAGCAAGTTGAGGTTCGTCCCGTAGAAATCGGGGAGTTTGTGGAAGTGTTTCTCTTGAGCTTGAGATTCAGCTTCTGCTGGTCCGTTAGGTGCAAAGGGGGCCATGATGTGGATTTCCTGTTTCTTTATTAGCCCCCGTCCCAAATTCTCATAACATAATAGAAAACCTCGTGAAGGGAGAACCCAAGAGGGAAACCCAGGAGAGGGGGGAACATACAACAGAACGAACAGTATTCTTATAATAAGGATTAAACCCGATGCTCAAGACGGCGGGGAAGACGGTTGTAGTACTCTTCTTTCCCCCCCCATTGCCATCACCATTCGCGGTCTCACCAGAAGTATACATAAACCGTCCCGGATCAAGCGCTACAACGCCATAGTAAACGCCCGATTCAAGATCGGGATACTCTTTTAATCCGTCTGCGGGGATGTTGGCTGTTGGGATGCCGAGCTGTATTCCTTATTAGTACCACACATACATAAGAAATAAACAGATACATATATACAATATTAACGGTATTCTTCATACTAAGAAATAATAGATATAAGAAAGAAAAACTTACCTCTCTACTCCCCCGCCCGAAACCCTTGATCACCGGTCCGGACAATTTGATTGGGAACGGGGACGAGGGCCCGCCGTCTGGTCCTGCGACGAGGGGGCGGTTCTGTCTATCTGGCATTTTTGTATCGAATATATATGTGATCTGGACTGGGATTGGGAATGCTCGATGAAATATTGCTGATTGAGTTGGGTACTTTGTATGGATTTATAATGATTATAAGATGAGAACTGGGAGCAATCCAGGGTCTGTCATTGGCGGGGTTCTTCTAGTCACGTGCAGTACTGCTACAGTTCTTTTTCTTTCATTCTTTTTTCTTTTCTATGTCCAATGCTCCATTTCATAATAATAAATAAAAAGAATAGACAAGATTCACTGCCTTGTCAGGCTGATACGGCTCAATATATACCAAGAAAGGAAGAAAACATACATCATGATGCCAAGGGTATGAAGCAAAAGTAACAACAGATTACAAGACTTTGGTATCCAACTGATCCATGAGAAAGTTACTGCCAACAACAGAATCAAATACATGGTAAGAACTGTAGACAAAGTTAGCGGATACCCCGGGCAGAAGGCAACAGAAGACACTCACATTCATCACGATCAACATCGGTATGTCGAACACGTCTCTCTTGACCGTCCAGCAGTATGCGCATTCGACCTTACCGTCCTTGGACCCCAACTGGTTCATCCCTGCCTCTCCGGCAATCCCCCCCTTGCGCAAGTGACCGTTCCATTTCTGGCTATCCTCGCCCTGCGCAATCTCCATTTCTTCCTTGGTCTTGTACTTCAGGAGCTTGCATGTCGTCATGACGCTGCCGCGGGAATCGCCAAAGGCAAGTCGTGCAAAGTCATCGTAGAACTCCACCACGCTCTCGTCGTCCAGCAGTTCCGCCAGGAAAACAGGCTGTGTTCGATGGTTGCCGTTTCCCATCGACGTATTCCGCTGCGTATAAGCGCCGCGGGACAACGCTCCCAGATGAGGACCAGAGCCACCCGTGTTGACGTTCAGATTGGGCTCCTTACCCAGCAGCACCTCTTTCTTCCAACCCGTGAGAATGCTGAACTCCTTGCCTACCGCGGCAACCTCTCCAGTGCGTCGCAGGACGAGTGTCGGAGTGCCGCATGCGTTGATGAAGTCCTCGTATTCCCAGAGCGTCCGCTGGAAACACTTCTCCATGAAGATCAGGTCATCCCGGTTCAGGGTCTTGCTGGTGGCGATGAGAGACGGACGGATAGACGCCAGCGACTTGGCAATCTGCAGCCGCTTCTGCGGAGGGAACCGGTGCTGGATAAAGGCGGTCAGGTTGTGGAAGCCGCTGGTGTACGGATACGGCTCCTTGACGCTTTCGTAGATGGCCGACGGATTGCGATGCCGCTTTTTCGCCCCCGTGTGCTGTTGTTTGAGACCGGAAGCGGGAACCACGGACCGTTGTCCGTTGGCAGGGAGACCGTTCGACTTGCTGCCATTGCTCATCGCATTGAACGTGTTGTCCTCCAAACTGGCCGTTACCTGGGGGCTGGAAATCGAACTGGGGCTGGTGAAACTGGCCGGGCCGCTTTCAATGGCAAAAGCATGTGGCGCATCAGGTTTTGATGCAGGCATGGGCCCCGTCATGATGTTGTTCTGGTACATGCTGTTGACGTTCACGTGCTGACCCGAGGCTTGCCCGTTGGGCCAATCGTTCAGCAGAGGATCGGCGCCGAACATGAACGGCTGGGTGTTTCCGGGACTGCTGGTATCCCCATACCCTGTGCCGGCTGCCGTAGAGAATGGGATTGAACCACCACCACCACCACCACCAATTGACCCGCGTTGGGTGGCGGAATCGCTGGGGGAGTCCCCGGCGCCGGTAGCCATGTGGCCCAGCATGCCGAATTCGAGGGCACCATAGCGATTCTCAAAGTTCATGCTGGAAAGATCAAAGTTGAACAGAGCGGGATCACTGGGGTCGAAGAGAGATCCGGCGAATGGGTTCTGCGCCTGGCTGGTGGTTCCGGTGGGTTGCTGGCTGACAGTGGAAGAAGACAGGCTGGGATGCCGGCCCGCGGCACCCGACTTGACGTTGTACGTAGGGGAAGCTGGCGACTGGGTCGTGAAGGGGCTCTGACCCATGGAGGTTTCCGGGTAGACGTTGTAGGAGCCTGACTGGGGTGTCGCATAGAAACTCGCGCCGTTGTTTTGCTGCTGCTGCTGCTGCTGGACGGCGCCATTGCCATTGTTGCTGTTGCTGTTGTAGAAGTTGCCGCCGACGCCAGGAATCAAGGCACCGTCGGGGGCATCATGAAGATATTTGGCCTTTTTGCGCACACCATCCTGGCAGGCGTTTTGAAGACCACGCTTGATACAACGCTGGCAAGGTCTCTCGTCACCTGTAGAGATCAGCATGTAGGCAGGGAAGGGGTTGATGTGGAAGAAAGAGAGGGTGAAAAAGCATACCGCAAGTCAGATGGGCTCGCTGACAAGCGAAGCAAGCTCTTCTCGCCTTCTTCCTGCGTGGCCTCGGGGCATCCTTAGCATTGGAAGCAGCTGAGGGCTTCTGGCCATCGTCGTCGAGTTTTCTCTTTACAGCAGCCGGTTCGGAATTCGTTACAGGGTCTGACTTGGTGCTTTCGCCGCTGGCATCGGCAGATGGGGTATGAGGGGTATCCTTGGATTCTACTGTTATCTCGGCGTGCATTTTGGAGATTGCGAGAGTATCCAGTCGTACAGTAGGGAGAGAAAGACGTCGCGCGACGGGTGTGAAGCGTTTGCCGGGCCGAGGTCAAGGGAAAAAAAAAAACAAAAAAAAATTTTTTTCTGGGCAGTAGTTTTCGCAGCACTCTCGAGCGGTGCAGGAGGATAGCATATGATGGACAGTGACAGTCCACGGCAGACGATTATCCCAGCCAGATCCAGCAAAGACAAATTGAGCGCAGCAGGATGGACTGCTGGTGTGCAGCGAGCGCGACGGACGAACGGCCTAAGCGCGAAGGGGAAGGCAAGGGCGACAGTGGGAAGACATCCAGCATAGATGTTTTGAGCCGAGAGAGAATGAGGATATGAGAGAGATACTCCGTCGAGACAGAGACAAGACAGAGAAGGGACACAGAGAGGAAGTGTGGCGGGGGCGGCTGAAAGAGGAGTGGAGAGTGCAAGCTGGATTGATGCGGGGGAACCGAGAGCTGGAGTCGAGGCGTTCGTCCGGACGTCTGGGCCGACGATGACGCGGAGCGACGCAGGAGAAGAGAAGAGAAGAGGAGAGAGAGAAGGAAGAGGGGAATGGAACGAAGGGATGAAGGAAGGGAAAGGGAGGAGAAGAGGGAGATTGATGGAGTTGAAGCAATGAAGATGCCTCTGATCACACGAAAAATTGAAATTAATCAAATAAAATACCTGAGATAATATTACTTACTGCGGATAATAATAACTTTTCATATTATGCTTTCAGATAATGCTAATAATACCGTAGTCTACTGAATACCGAATACAATCCTTGTCTTTACTGTCTTCTACTACTACTTCTACCAAAGGACTGCTGGAGTAATAGAAATAGTAAATTGTGAAAGTAAGGGAAGATGAGCGTTTCCGGGATTTTCCGGATGGCCAGCCTGCTTCCGGCCTGTTCCGCGCAGAGTTGTCTTCATCACCGCTACTTCTTCTCTTCTCATACTTCCATGGTAATAATCATCGCAATAATAATCCGGTTGATGCCATGCGGTGGCCGTGTCCAATCGTGTCGGCATCTGTCTTTCCCTCCGCCTGCTCCGGGAGAAAGCGTTCGGCCTCTGCGACTCGGTTCTGGCACCGAGAGGACATGGAGCGCCTAGAGCGTACAATGTACATACTCCAGACAGAGAAGCCCCAAGTGGGGTGATTCAGCCATTATTATTCTCAAGTAACTGACTTTGGGTTCGTCCTCGATAGATTCATTCTTATCCCCGCACGGATACTCTAGAGAGAGTAGAGTAGAGAATCGTGCCCAACGACAACGCCACTCACCCGCCACAGTAGCTATCGCGGTGTTTCAGGTTCCCATTATGTACACGGAGAGCACTTTATCAGAGAGGACATATCAAAAAGAAGAAGAAGAAGAAGAAGAAGAAGAAGAAGACATCACCAGACACGGCTGAGGTACAGCCCCTTTCCTGCCGTGTGGACGCCCACGATGATCGTGGACCGCAACTCCCGGCCCGTCGCGTCGCATCGGCAATTGAGTGTTCGATATCGATTTAGCTCTGGAAAGCAAGGCTGTTGTCTGTAGATTATTGTTCTAGAAGCTGACTTGAAAATGGGGTTGCTATTTTTGCATCCCACGGGCCGTCACACGCTGCGACGCCAGGCAGACGGCCTGAAGATGAATCAGGAGACAAACTTTGACAAGCCGGTGCGGCTTTTTTTTCTTTGGTTTGGCTCATTTTCATTCTTGTGCCGCATTGAATCTGATAATGTGATGGATACTATGGAGTGTATCCACTGCGCTGGATATGCCGTCCGGATCCATGGATGCTGCTCCAAGTGCCGATATCCGCCTCGAATCTCTTCACGGCCCGCAGCGATTGGCGATGGAGGAGTTTGAATGGGGAACCTGCATGTCGCGATGTCGATTATTGCTGGAGAACACGAGAATGCATCGAGGTTTGGGCTGTAGCCACGTCAGCGTCTTCATCAGGAGCTTGCTGCTCGACACCCACGAGGCTTTTTTTTTGCATGATAATGGAAACAAAAATAATAATGAATAATAATGCTACAGTACCCTCCAGACACAGACACACGGACCGGTGCATCTCCTTACCGGCTGCTGCTCCTCACTAACCGCCTTGTTCTGTCGCAACTCCCTGTCTCCCTTCCCCTGACGCCCTTTGCCACTGCCAACGGCCTGCACCCGCGAGTTGCTTAAATCCCCCATCCTGTCCTGCTTCTCGTCTGTCTTGTTGGCCCTCCAGTTCGCTTTCATCCCTTTGCTTTGAGAAAGGAACAAACACACCTCACCGTCACAATGGTCCATCTTGCTCCCGTCAGAAGGGGCAGCAACGCCATCGAGTCCCTGCATCGACGCGTCAATTCCATCAAACTCGAAAAGGAAGACGACGATGGCTTCTACTCCAGCGTCTACGGCACCCGCTACGCCGCTGAAGCTCTCCCTGCGAACGAAATGCCCGAGAAGGAAATGCCACGCGAGGTCGCATACCGTATGATTAAAGACGAACTTAGTCTGGACGGCAATCCCATGCTCAAGTACGTCTTCTCTGCCCCCTTGATTTTCTATTTTTATTTCTATTTTTTTTTTTTTTTTTTTTTTTTTCTAGAAGCAGACTGTATGCATTTCAGTGGGGCCTGTATGCTAACCTAATCGATGTACCTCAGCTTGGCGAGCTTTGTCACAACCTACATGGTGAGCATTGACCACGGCCTTGCCAAGGCCCGATAAGGACATGTCCAAGTCGCATCCTGCAGTGCTAACCCTTCCTCCAGGAAGATGAAGCCGAGAAGCTCATGACCGAATCCTTCAGCAAGAACTTCATCGACTATGAGGAGTATCCCCAGAGTGCTGAGATCCAAAATCGCTGTGTCAGCATGATCGCCAATCTCTTCCATGCTCCCCAGGGAGAAGATGCTTCTGAGCATTCCATGGGTACTTCCACCATCGGCTCCTCCGAGGCTATCATGCTGGGTACCCTGGCCATGAAGCGTCGCTGGCAGAACAAGCGTAAGGCCGAGGGCAAGGACTACTCCAGACCCAACCTCGTCATGAACAGCGCCGTCCAGGTTTGCTGGGAGAAGGCTGCTCGCTACTTCGATGTTGAGGAGCGCTACGTCTATTGCACTGAGTCGCGTTATGTCATTGACCCGGTGGCTGCCGTTGACCTGGTTGACGAGAACACCATCGGTATCTGCGCCATCCTTGGTACCACCTACACCGGCCAGTACGAGGATGTCAAGGCGATCAATGACCTCCTGGTCGAGAGAGGACTTGATGTTCCTATCCATGTCGATGCAGCCAGCGGTGGTTTTGTCGTTCCCTTTGTCAACCCCAAGCTGGAATGGGACTTCCGACTGGAAAAGGTGGTGTCCATCAATGTATCCGGACACAAATACGGATTGGTACGTATCTGAACTGGATGGAGCATATTTTTTTGTCTCTCTTCTTCCAGTCAATAAGGCTGACCTGAATAGGTATATCCTGGTGTCGGTTGGGTCGTCTGGAGATCTCCCGAATACCTCCCCAAGGACCTGGTCTTCAACATCAACTACCTAGGCGCCGAACAAGCCAGCTTTACCCTCAACTTCTCCAAGGGCGCCTCCCAGGTCATCGGCCAGTACTACCAGATGATCCGGTTAGGAAAACGCGGCTACCGGGCCATCATGGTCAACCTCACCCGCATCGCCGACTACCTGTCCCAGGAACTGGAGAAACTGGGCTTCATCATCATGAGCGAAGGTCGCGGCCACGGCTTGCCTCTCGTGGCCTTCCGACTCTCACCAGACCGAGACACGCTCTTCGACGAATTCGCTCTGGCCCACCAACTCCGCGAACGCGGCTGGGTGGTCCCTGCCTACACGATGGCACCGCACAGCAACTCCCTCAAACTAATGCGGGTGGTGGTCCGGGAGGACTTCAGCATGAACCGCTGCGACAGTCTCATCACCGACATCAAGCTGGCGTTGAAGACCTTGGGCGACATGGACAAGACATTGATGGAGAAATATAAAAGGTGAGTTTTCTTCGTTCATGCCGTCCCGGGCCGTTCAGCTAGCTGCACTTGACGAAAATATTTCAACGGAACGTGATGTAGACTAAACTAACTTCAAGAGCTCTGGCCAAACGCAGTCATGTCCGGAGCCACAGTAACTCAGCCAAGGGGGCTATGCACCCGCATTACCGGAACGAGACGCATTCGCTGCAGGGGAAGACTGGGAAGACACATGGTATTTGTTAGTTATTAGACTTTAGAGTGGTTTTGTTTTGGTATTTTTTTCTAGAGGTATATAGGATTGGGGTTGAATATTGAATATGGAGTACGTGATGCTTACAATTGATTTCTTTCTTTGGGTGTCTGAATGAATGAATGAATGAATGGATTGAAAGATCAATGCAACCTCAGCTTTTATTTCCATATAGACAGATATCAACATAAATCAGATGTCCAGCAAAATAGGTAATAAGATAATCAAACAGGAGGATCCAAACAAAGCCCATCAACAGTCAAGTGAAAAGAATCCCCCCTCAAATAACCTCCTGCAACATCAAAATCCATCTTCCCACGTACACAGTCATCAACATCAATCTCTGACACAGCCAATCCATCCCCAATCGCCACGCTAGACTCCAGCTCATCCGTCGTCGTGAACCGATCCGGATTATCATCCGTCGATACCTCCCAGATCGGACCGGCCAGGACCTCTCCGAAGGGCGAGACGATACACGAGCCGCCGCGGGAGACGAAGGGTGATATTTTCTTTCTCCCTGCTGTTCCTGACTTTCCATCGAGATCTATCTGGCTGCCTGGAGTGCTAGTTCCGCTACTATCGAGAATAGATCGGGACGGAAGAGGCGTCGTCCCCATCGCCGTTCCTGAGGGTGTAGGGGTTGGAAGCGGTTCTTGGATACCAGCTAGCGAAGCTCCTTCTCCTTCTCTTTCATCTCCAGCTATGGTGGTAGTGGCCCTAATCCACTCAGGCAATTCATCATATCTCACACACTGATTTGCAGAGAGAACGAATGTCCTCCCCTCACAGCCTATAGTACGCATAAGCGGTAACCACGTCTCCCTCCCATCGGCCGTGGGGGCAAGATATAAATTGACATTCTGCGAATACAGACTCTGCCGGAGCAGCGGCATGAAATTCTCCCAGCATATCGCCGCTGCAAGGGTGACGCGGATGCCGTTTAAGGTTGTCGTGACTGCTTTCAGGGTAGATGGGGAACCCTGAGCCCAGATGAGACGTTCCGAACCCGTCTGTTTTCTTCTGTCAGAAAAGCACACACACCAAAAACACAAAGCAAGGGGGGGATTAAAGGGAGGGAAATGGGAGAGATACAGGCATAACCTTCCTCCTCTTCCCCAGTACCCCGCGAACAGGATCAACATAAACAACAGCACAATACAAACTCCCCCCCGCCCTCTCCACGACGCCCGTAACCACAAAAACGCCCGATTCCCTCGCAATCCGTTCCAGCGTCTCCCTCGTCCCATCCCCACGATACTCCATCTCTTCTCCTTCCTCGTCAGTGCCTACGGGAAGTTTTCGAAGCACCCATTCCTCCCCGGCCCCCTCGGGTGTATCGCCCAGATCAACGGCCGACTTGAAGTACTCCAGGAACTGCTCGCGGCCGTGCGGGGCGCGCGAGCCAACTGCTGATCCGAAGTCGCAGGTGCGTGGGTATCCGCCTAGGTAGGCTTCTGGGAAGAGGAGGAGGTGGATGCCTCTCGAGGCGGCGTGGTGGGTTATGCGCTCTAATGCGGAGAGGGTTGCATGGAGGGTTGAGAGGGTGCGGGATTGGGCGACGGCGACGGTTAGTTTGGGCATTTTCTTCTTCTTTCTTTCTTTGGATTCTTTTGGTTTGGATTGTATTTTATCAAGAGGATGGAGGCTGTGGTTGATTTATTGGATTGTATGTACTACCTGCAGTATGCTGGTGTAGCCGATCGTTATTGTGACATCATCCGCAGATGCTTGATTCTTGAAGACAACACCAACATATCCTTGTCTCTATAGACATCCCTAAAATACAAACCACCTTTCTCCTTTTGTACAGTTAATCAGTAAATCCAGCACTAAATGATGACACCAGACCCGGTGGTAGACAAGACAATAGGTTGGTGCAATTTCCAAGGCAGTAAATAACTTGCACGTACGCTAGATGAGAAAAGAAAGAACAAGAAAATCCAAGTGCTGCTTGCGTAGGGGGAAAGGGAATAAAATGTAAAGAAAGACAAGACTGCACGGAGTATAGCTCCTCGCTAGAAATACATACAAGAAAGCATCAAGCAAGGGCCGCTATGATAATAAGAACAAAAAAGAAATGCAAAGTGCAAGACCAAATGCAGATCGTAAATCATCAAAACAATGTGTTCAAGCATTTAGCCGATGCAAGATGAGTCGAAATAAGGTGATCATTGACCTTAATTAAACTCACCTACTGCCCCACGGCGTTGGCCGCCTGCTGCAGCACTCGTGGCCAGCGAGACATTATTTCTACATCGTCCAAGGCGCCCTTGCCCTGGTTGCGCACATACTGCTTGCTCGCGTCAACATGAGGCTGGTGGTCCCAGAATGTTGGTGTTCCCTTGATCAGCGCGGAATACACGAGACGACGACGACGCTGCGATTGCAGCACGTCTTGCTGAATCTGTTTCAGATCCCAACGCGCGCGCACCTCGTCCACGAAATACGCAAGGAGTTTCACCGGATCAGTGGTATCCGGCAATGCTGTATGCACCGCGGGACTCGGAGTCCGCGGAGGCGTTGGGAAGGGGAATGAAGTTGCAGAAGCGCCATTCGGCTGAGGATGAGGTGACGCACGTGGAGTGTCGTTGGGAGTGGGCGGGGCCTTGGGATTCAGCTGAGCAGTGGGAAGAGCGCTGGCAGGCTTCTTTACGACATCTGGTTCGGGAAATCCGGCGACCAGGTTCACTCTCTCCTCAGGATCGGACTTCACGTCAAACAGCATGGGAGGATCAAGCAGAGAGTATACAAACTTCCAGCGTCCACGGCGGATCATTACAACAGGAGACTGCGTGCCTTCGCCCATGTACTCGCCCAGAACTGTGTCAGTCTTCACGCCATCCTGCCCTGTCAGGTAGGGCATCAATGACACTCCATCCATTGGAAGACCAGGCACCAGCGGAGCACCAACGATATCAGCAAAAGTTGGGAGGATATCCATGGTCGATACGTTTTCCGACACGCGCTTCGGGGCAAAGCGATTGGGCGCATGCACGATGAAAGGTACACGGGCCGAGTTCTCGTACCAGACCATCTTGTACCAGAGTCCACGCTCGCCCAGCATGTCACCATGGTCACCAGTGAAAACCACAATGGTGTCGTCACGCAGCCCGCAGTTGTCAAGCACTCGCAACAGCTTTCCAATCTGGTCATCAACGTAGGTGCACGCGGCATAGTATGCGCGGCGGGCGGCCTTGATGCGCTCGTCTGACAGCTCCTTGCCCCATAGGTCAATGCACTTCAAGACGCGCTGTGAGTGGGGATCCTGCTGGCTGTGCGGGATGGCTGGGGTCTTGGGCAAGGGGATATCAACATCCTCGTACAAATCCCAATACTCCTTAGTCATAGCATACGGGTCATGTGGATGGGTCATGGAAACAGTCAAGCAGAAAGGCTGCTCGTTGCGGTGACGCACGTGGTCATAAAGATACTGGGTCGCCTTGTAAATGACCTCCTCGTCAAAGTCAAGCTGGTTTGTGCGGACAACGGGACCTGCATTTTCGACCGAGGACATATTGTGATACCAATCCGCACGGATATCCTGTGTGCGCGGAGAAGACATCCACCCCCGGTTAGCAATGTCTCACCGCAACTTGCTCTAGACTTTGATGGCCAACTTACCGGCTCGTCCCAATTGACTGACCAACCATAATCCCCGGGGTAAATATCACTGGTCAAACGCTCCTCGTACCCGTGCAGCTGATCTGGACCACAGAAGTGCATCTTCCCGGATAGAGCGGTATGATAGCCCTCGCGACGGAGATAGTGGGCATAGGTCGGAACGTCAGCAGGGAGATCGGCGGCATTATCATAGGCACCAATCTTGGACGGAAGTTGGCCGCTGACCATGACAAACCGAGAGGGAGCACACAGAGGCGAATTGCAATATGCAGAGTCGAAAGTGACGCCCTCCTTGGCCAGCCTGTCCAGATTGGGCGTCTTCATGGGCGAGTTCTTGTCATGAATGGATAGCAGCGGAGCGGCCATCTGGTCCGCCATGATATAGAGGATGTTGGGTTTCTTCTGCGTGGACGCCATGGTCTCAACGGGATTGCCAGTATAGAGACACACACGACACGCGATCAACGCCTTTGGTTGTTCGACGGTTTTCTCTGGAGCGGCGTGATGTTAAATACGGCCACGGAAAAGGTGCTCGAGGAAAATACGGAGAGGGAAGGGCGAGAGAAATTTTTCCTTTTTAAAGAAGCAATCTTTGATAATTATAACTCCCCGACGCACAGGACAAGAGCTGAGGGGCCTTCAAATGCTTTTTGGTTCTCCAACCATCGAAGGACGTTTGTATAGATGGTGGAGCATGCGAAAGGAGTAGATAAGGATCAGACCCGGAGTTCCGAACGGGCGTCGACCGGGAGAAACACCGGAAGAACAACAGCAAGATACAACAAGATACAATGAGATGAGAAGAAGATAGCGACGACGAAAATGAAGATGCTGAAGAAGAGTACAAAAAAAAAAAAAAAAAAAGAAAGGCGCCACAAACCCCAGATGAAGCAATTGCTCATCGCCTTTCATTCTGACGTGACTGAAGAACTGCCCCCATCGGGAATAGTGCCATCGGCCCCAGCGATGTCGTGATTGACACAACACGTGACCATGACCCATTTCTAATGGAGGTGTATCGTTGGTTGGTCACTAGCTAGATAGGCCTACGTGGTGAAAAGGGTCAGCGAGGGCGGACCTATGCGGCAGAATCCCACGTGATCCAACACCCCCCCACGCACGAGCTGGCCTAAAGACTAATCTAAAGAATTTAAATACAAAAATCGGCCTCTATTCAGGCCTTCATATGAGAGAATAAAAGCAAAATTAAGCAGAGAAATGAGAGGTTCCGCTTTGGCCAATCAGAAGCCGTAAATCAGAATAGAAAGTATAACCAAAATGGGGGAACAAGCGCCGCTTAATGTATGCCGGTGAGTTCCAGGAAATGATTGAATCGTTCAGTTTGGAGAGGTTTTGTCAGGCCATCTGCTGCCTGTTCTTTGGTAGGGCAGGTCTGAAGTTTGACAATGCCGTCTTGGACCTTCTCCCGAACGTAATGGTAACGTATGTCAATGTGTTTGGATCTCTTGGTGGTGAGCTCGGCTTCAGCCATGGCGTGAGCGCCTTGATTATCGATATGAAGAGATATTGGTGGGCATTCAGTTGGGAGCACATTAAGCTCGTTGATGAGATTCCGGAGCCAGAGGGCATCACGGCTGGCTTCGCTTAGAGCCATATACTCAGCTTCGTTGGAGCTAAGGGCAACGGATGTTTGCGTGCGGCTTTTCCAGGCAATTGGGGCTCCGGCAAGCAGAAAGATGTATCCAGAGACTGACCGGCGGTTGCCTGTCAGTTGACCACCCCAATCAGAGTCGGTATAACATTTTGGCATGAGGAGGTCAGATGTAATGGACTCCGTGGGTTTATGATAGGTAATTTGCCGATTGATGGAGCCTTTAAGATAGCGTATGGCGTGTATAAGGGCACGCCATGCTTTTTGGGTGGGTTTGGCGTTATATTGGGATAGTATGCCAACCGTCTGGCTAAGATCTGGCCGGGTTTTGGTGGCTAGCCAGGTAAGGCAGCCTACACCACGTTGATATTCTTTGGTGTTGACTGTAGGGTCTGGTTCATCATCAATTATTAGGCTAGGATCCATTGGAATCCTAACAGGATGTGCTTGGGCTTGACCAAAAGAGGCAACAACATCTTCAGCGTAGTCGGCTTGAGATAAAGAAGATGAAGTCTCAGACTGGGAGATGGTCATGCCAAGGTATTTGGTAGAGTTTCCAACTTCTTTTATGTCAAATTTGGCGGAGAGAGTCTCCATAAACCAGATGGCATCATTTTCATGTTTAGCATAGACTTTGAAGTCATCCACATGGGTGGTCACATAGAGTTGGGTCCGGGTAGTGTGGATCCATAGACCAGAGTCATATTCAGAGCATTTGAAGCTGATTTGGCGTAGAAAAGCACCCAGAGTATCATACCAGATGCGGGCAGATGGGACTAATCCATAGAGGGATTGAAGGAGTTCACAGACAAGATCTCCAGAACCTTCTTTGAATCCCTGAACTTGGGTCATAAAGACACGTTTGTCCGTGGGCATTTTCCCATTTAGGAAAGCCAGGGTGGCATCAGCTTTTCGGGTATGCCAGCCAAGCAGGGTGGCCAGTGCCGTGAGGGTTCTGGTAGTATTTTCATTTACCACTGGTGCGTAGGATTCCATGAAGTCCTTATCAAGTAGGTTGCCACGGATGACCCAGCGGGCTTTAGCCTGATAATCCTCTGAGATAGGTATGCCGGGGATTTCTTTCTTTTTGTATACCCACCGGCCAGGGATGACTTTGGTCCCTGGTGGTAGGTCAGAACAGGGCGAATGAGTTGCCAGCAGCCTTTCTCTTTAAGTTGGTTGACTTCCTTTTGCATGGCAGCTTGCCATTTAGCAGCATCAGGATGGGATATGGCCTGCTTATAAGAAGTAGGCGTGTTGTCTTCTGATGAAGGAATGGTTGAAGTGGCAAAGTAAGCTAGGGACATGCCTTTGGCAGGTCGGAGCCATATATCTTGGTCATTGAGAGGTTCATCTTCAACTAATTGAGTTGGATTTTCTTCGGTAGGGGTGCTGGGACCTTTGGGAGAGGTAGTTGTAGGATCTTTGTAATCCTCATCAAATATAACATCATTGGTGACAAAGACGGTGTCAGTTTTAGGGTCCCAAACACGATATTGATGGTTACTAATTTGGCCAATGAGGAAACAGCAGTGAGAACGCGAATCAAGCTTATTTCCAGGTTTATCTGGTCCATGCCGATGGACCCAGGCTGGACACCCCCAACGGCGATATCCGGGGAGTGAAGAAATGGATGAATTAGTCCACGCTGCCAACGGAGCGCGATAAGGGCTGGGGTGTATGTCCTTGTTGATATTCACCCCCCCAGGAATTTGGGAATTGTATAAGATGGTAGATGTAGGGAGTCGATTTGTAAGATCTGTGGCATATTGGAGAGCATCTACCCAAAAGCGTTCTGGTATATATGGGGCATCAAGCATCATAGCTCGGGCCCGTTCAAAAGGATGCGGATGCCACGTTCACTAACGGCATTTTGCCATGGTGAATATGGTGAGCTTGGTTGCCATTCTATGCCTTCCTGACGGTAGGTTTCCATCCATTCAGTGGAGCGGAATTCATTATCAGAGACTAGGTAGGCAGGGGCAGTGAAGCCATGGTTCTTCATATTTTGAAGCCAGTTCTTGAAAGCGGTAATGGCTGCACTTTTTGTCTCAAGGAAGAGAATCCATCGATAATGTGTGGCATCGTCGGTAATAAGTAGGACATATTTTGCCCCAATTCGGCCAGGGACAACATCGTTAGGGTTGTCAAAATCAAGAGTTTGTCCACCGCCGGCGATATCTAGATGGACTCGGGCAAGGGGTTTGGTAACTCTGGACCTAGGGACCTTGCTATAATAGCGTGTCTGTCTAGCCTGTATACAGACTTCACAAAATGGGAGTTCTTTAGAGCCTTTGATTTCGATGCAAGACTCAGGATCTCGGGCGAGGCGGAGGAGATCGGCTTGATTGAGATGGCATAGGCGTCGGTGCCAGGCCATGATAGGTAGGGATATCTTAGTAGTTCGCGGCTTCCCTAGAACCAGGGTCTCTTTTGGAGTAGGAGCTTCAGCTGGTGTCTTAATTGTGGGAGCCTTTGCAGGTGGCTCTTCTGGGCGGTTAACTTCTTTGCCAGACCGGGTGGTGACAAAGGCATAGGAATTTTCTTCTTCTCCAGGAGATAGACAGTCTTCAAGGAGGTAAACATTGTTTTTGAACAATCGGGCTTGGAATTCAGCTCCAGATGGTGTGGTAATCAGCTTGACTTCACAATCTAGTGTATATTGAAGCCTAAAGCCTTGTCGTACAAGCATGCCTTCTGAAATGAGGTTGGAAGTAAAGGAAGGAACATGGCGGACGTCTCTTAGGATCAGAGATCCGTAACCAATATCTATAATCACGGTGCCAATGCCTTGAGGCATAGAGATATGGCCTTGAGCACCTTCCATATAATCTGTCTCCACCAGATCGTGCTTCTGCAAGGCCTTGTAGGTTGCAAAAAGTGAACGGTCAGGTGTAGAATGGAAAGAGGCACAGCTGTCAACAAACCATTGATTGGAAAATGAGAGAGTCTTTGCAGACTTTACAATGGCAGATTTGGCATTGGAGAGTTTCTTATGCAAGACAAGTTCCTGTGAAGCAGGGTGATCCTGGTTTGATTGTGGGTTTGCTTCAGATTGTTGCTGAACACGGAGAGCATTAGCCATAGTAGTATAGAACTTGCGTCTATACTCTGGTGCTTTCTCAGGATGTTTAAAATAGCATATAAGTCCATGGCGATTTCCACAGTGATCACAGTCTATAAGTGTATGACGAGATCTATCTTGGTTGTTGGAACGTTGAGGAATTGTGTATTTGGTTCCAGATGCTTGTTTTGAATAACTGCGGTTCTGGGAGTTCTCTTTCTGTTGGTTTGACCGGTCTTGAGAATGAGTATCACGGAATTTAGTGCCGGTTCGAGTAGATAATTGGGTCTGGATAACATTAAGATCCAGGTTGGTAACCGGAGCACGGCCAGTAGAGTAGACATCATCTAGCTTACTCTTGATAAAGGCGCGGTTCCAGTCCCGGAGACCTATAAAGAAGAGGTCATGTTTGAGATTTTCAAAAGATTCTTCTCCAATAGCGTGTAGGCGGTCAAAGATTCGATTGAAGGATGACTGGTAGGTGAGATAATCATTATCCTTTATATAGAGCTCTTTGAGCTCCATGGTAAGAGCCATTCGCTCTTCACCGGTGGATTTGCCAAAAAGTGTGGCAGCTCGGTCCCAAAGACCATGGGTAGAGAGGTCATATACGGTGCCTAGTTTATCAGAAGCAGGGGTTGTCATGGCATTGAGCATACGGGCTCTCATGACAATGGCTTTTCTGTGCCAAACTGCAGCATCAAGTGGAGATGATCCAGCAGGAGGAGAGTCCTGGTGAAGAGTTGTAATAGCATTGAGAATACCAGCTTCTTTTTGTATGGCAGAGCTCCATGCATCGTAATTATCCAGTGTCAAGATGACACGGCATCGGTCAGGCAGTAGCGTATCGACATCGGCTTGGACAAGGGCAATAGCATTGCTGATATTTGTGTCTGAGGTATCTCGCAGAGGCGGTTGGATATCCATTGGTGTAGTATCTTGGGTTGTATTTGAAGGCAAGGAAGCTTGTGGAGTATTAGACTGGATGATAGATGCCAGTTTTAGCTCCATTCTAGCTTCACGGTCTCGCATATCTTGTTCCATCTGATCCTGGCGAGCAAGCATTTGTCGCATCATATCAGCAAGATCAGGGGTAAGTTCGTTTGTGGAAGCCATGTTGGCGGTATTGGTAGAGCTCAGATTGGCTCTGGAAGGCGTTGGGGTCTCTATCTCTTCAGAGACAACTGATGAAGAGGTCTCGTCTATATTCGAGGACTTGTTTTGGAGATTTCGGCGACGTGATCGTCGTATAGCAGTAGCGGGAGGCGTAGTAGGTTCTCCTGACATGCTCAGGTTCGGACCGTATCTGGGATCCTGGAATTTTTTTTTTGGAATCTGGGGTATGGAATTTTGGTTCAGCCAATCAGAGGGCTTAAATTGACCACTTATACGGGCCTAAAATAGCTCATATTTCCGAGCAAGAAACGGGCTCATAACCTAATGGAGGTGTATCGTTGGTTGGTCACTAGCTAGATAGGCCTACGTGGTGAAAAGGGTCAGCGAGGGCGGACCTATGCGGCAGAATCCCACGTGATCCAACAATTTCCTATTTGGGACATCAGTCACATTCGAAACATCTATATATTACCCTGAAAGTATCAAGTTTCACTACCTGCACTGTGAAACATTAGGAAAGTCGGATGTCTACGTCTATCGCAGAAAACAGTCTCGATGCGGTTATCCGGTCCGGATTTCCGGTATCAGAAAAGAAATACAGGACTCGAAAGTCCACATGCAAGTTTCAATTCCCTATCCCCGTTGAAACACACCCCTGCTCAGAGATTCTCTACGTACCAGTGCAACAGTCCCCGACAGGCCAAGGCATCCTCGAGACTGTCATGACCTCGTCGGCCCTTTTGGATCTGCGTGTGCAATATTACTTCAGCTAGGTGCTTCAAGGTCCGTCCCGGGATAGGCTCTTTTCTCGACGCCTCAACTCGAAGCGTGTCGATGATGCGTTGGTGAATCCATCGCAGCGACATCAAATCGGAGGGTCCCCCGTGCATCACCAGGATGGTCTCGGGGCCGACAAACCGCCACAAGTGCGTCCTTGCCTCATCCCGGCCCATAATGCATTGCTTCCTAATACGTGCCCGCTCTAGCATCCTGCGGTCTACGCCTGAATAGCGCGTGTTGAAATGCAACATCGGCACCAGAGGATAGACAAGGGAGTCGACTAGAGTCTCGCCCGTGAAATAGTCAACGGCGGTCACACGGATCAACTCTGAGTCGCCGTGTTGCGAGATACCCATCTCGCAGTCCAGCGCGACAGCTTTACGGTGTGAGGCCTGTCCAATTCCCCCAAGGAGCGATGGAGTCTCATGAAGCTTCCACTCCCGCTCGAGTTCTCCTGCCGCGTAGTCTTGGGGGGTATGCTTTTCCGCAGTGACGCAACCTGGCTTGGAGACGTGCAATTGGCAGCAGGTGTAATGCTTGAATGCGTCAGTGGTATACGAAAACACCAAGAACAGACCGGGAAACACCGCCTACGTAGGTAGCGCGCATGATATTGTCAACTCACCTTCGCCATGACCTTTCCGGTGTGAAATCGGCAAGATCCAGTCTTCTTTTTCTCTTTCGCATTCTTCTTCCCCTCCTCACCCTTTGTGACAGAACCACCATCGCCCTCCGGCGGGGCTTCAGACTGCTCATCAACTGTAACGATGGTAATTTGTCCGTTGCCGGCGCTATTATCCACAGTAGGCTTCAATTGTCCCGAGACTCTCGTCCCACCGTAGACAGTATTCCTAGCACTATCAGCGTCTTTTTGATACTCTTTTTGAGCTTCCTCCTTCTCTTTCGGCTTCTTCCACTTCCCAACCCGAGCTAGAACATAAAATGGTTAGATAACCCGTTGCTTCTGTCCAAAACAACACTTAATGATAGACCAGGACCCCCAAACCAAAAAGAAACAAATAATAATAATAATAGCCATCTATATAAATAAATAAATAAAGGAAGGAAGGAAAATCAAAGATAAAAAACAACATACCTCTACACTTCCCACACCGTCGCAACCTCGACAACCCCTCCCCAAACTCCTCCGTCCTGTACCCCTCCTTCCTCAACTCGTCTGCTCCATGAACCATCCCTAACATTTTTTCCCAGTATGGCATTGATAACGGGATAATGAGTGGTTCCAGGCTTTGTTTGAGAGTTGGGTCTGGTGGTGCTTTTATCTTTGAGTTTTTTTGTCTGTATCTGTGTCTTGGTTTGGGGCTTGGACCATTTTTTGTTGTTTCTGTGGGTGAGGTGTCCATTTTATTTTTCTTGATCGTTCCTTTTGTTTTGTTATCATTTCCTTTTTATAACCGTCTTTTTAGTATGTTCTTTTTGGGTGTATGTGTGCAATAAGGGAGTTTGCAGCATTGATGATCGAAGATGAGGGGCTACTGTAAAGCTGTGTGAATTGTCACATGCATCCACTCTTGCTTCCTTTGTGAGGGCAGCCAGCCATCCTCTTTCCTGATATGCTTTATTCACAATACCCATTGCAAGAAAATCAATGGTCTTCCGAGGATATCAATTCTAAGTCTTCGTTAGTATATACTGTATGAAAGGGCTGCCCTGTTGCGAAAGACAAAAACAATCATAACGTGCCATGAGAGCAACAAAGTTCGGAGGGAAAAGAAGAGAAAATGATTCCATATACTGGTGTGACGGTTAGCAGGCGACAGAAAACGGCAGCACTTGACGCCGTTTTAGGCGTCTCTCTAACCAACATTCCGTTTTGGCGGCATGTGAATCAAATCTCACGGCCACGAGCACAATTTCCACGTAGGGCCACGCTTTTTTGGTTCCTGACACTAGTGCGGTCAAGTTCCATTGCTCACCCTCAAGAATTCTTCCTCAATCTCCCTCATGCCTAGACGCCCACGCTCCGGGAGGGGAGCCAAAAACGGCCCCCCTCGACCATCATGTCTCTCCAGCTCCAATTACCCAGTGCTGACCGTGTCCTTTTCCTGTTCCCATCCATCCTTCCTCCCCAAGTGTCTCTCGCAACGATTCCTGCCCTTTTTGACGCCATCCTCATCCATGAGGCCACCATTCTTCTCATTCTCCATCTCTTACTCCAGGATTTCCCTTGCCTGCCAGTTCCCTGCCTCCTGTCTTGATCATGGCCCCTTACTCCTGACTGGTTGGGCCAGATGGCAAAGAGAGTCAGGGCAAGAGTGACGCCAGTTCTGACCTAAGTGAAATCTTTTTCAGACGATGGTTCTGATAGTGACTTCAGCAGCTGTCTAGAACTCAACAGTGAGGATTCAGATGAAGAAGATGAGCCTGACAATGATACCTTTGATGATGAGGGCCAGTTGGCCCCTGAACACTACTTGGCTCAAGCAGAGAGTCTGGACATTTCTCAGTTTCAACATAAGCAGTACAGCAACGCCACTCAGGAAAAACTTGATGAAGCCCCATGTACTGTAAAGGGGGGCGTACGTGCGTTGTTCCCTGCGACAGGAACTGGGTTGTGATCGACGGATCTCAGGGATGGACACACTAACGATCTAGTAAGGAAACGATATAATGAAAGAAGAAACACAATGATGAGGAGCCTCGCTCTGTTCTATACGATGATGACGATACTAGCGAAGCAACCTAGAAACCAAAAGAATGCTCAATTTCTCGTAACTATCTGGGAGGAAACCCTCCATTAGTATGTCAGAGACCATGACTCTACGGCGTTCTACGATAGGAAATATGGGAGACCCAGGATTTCGCAGTGCCCCTGGCACACCTTGATGTAATACTAGGTCCTGTGGATGAAATAACAATAAAAAATAAAACATGCAACAGCCGGGATTCGCTGGTGGTCACCCACCCAACTACTAACCGGCCGGCGTGTGGCTTAAGTACGGCTGAGCGGACGGGAAGCCCTGTTTTCCACACCCTGTGGTCGCATGTACTGATTATTTTATTGCAATGGATTATATAGAGAACGAGCAGGTTAGGAATTCAAAATTTGCAAGCCTTCATAATCACCTGCAGCTTATCATCATTGGCCTTGAAGATGGAACCCAGTGAACTTGTGCTCAAACTTCAGCTCACATGCGGCGTGACAAACAAGACGTCTTTTTCATAGTCGCCAAAGGTGACCCAGTTGGGGGAAAGGCTGGCTGTGGCGAGCGTGCCCTCATAGCTATCTGAGCCAGAGAGAGTCAAAGCAGTGGTTTTCTCTGCTATAGTCAAATTGTCATCAGTTGAGTTGAGTTCTGAGCATAGGATCTGAGTCCCATTGCCCAACTTGCAATTAAAGTCTGTTGAAGCATCAGTACGCAGCCTAGAAGGGGGGAGTAGAAAAGTGGATGTACAATTCATCCCATATCCAAGATTCAGCATAGTTTCCCACTGTGTGGTCGTACTTATATTGAATATGAAATCATCCGAGAGAATGGTGGGAACCAGCTTCATCATGTATTTGACATAATAGCCAAGCATGTCATCATAGCCATTATTCACGTTGGTGTAGTTTGTATATGCAGTATCAAGCATGTTAATGAGAACCCACAGAGTATAGAAGGCAACACAGTCTGAGCACAGCAAACTGCTCTGGGCTGAGAGGGTCATCCAGGCTATCAAATGTCTTTGAATAGTCGCACATGTCAAAAGAATCCTCTAGGCCAGTACTGAGCAGATCGCCTGTGCTGTTGTTGAAATATGTCTGGTTCAAGTCAACTGCCCAGTTAGAGGTGCTGCTAAAATTCAGCCCGTCAGTCCAGCTGCGTCGCGAGGCATAGCTGGATGGGCTGAGCCAAGACGCCCAGTTCATCTCATTATAGATCAACACGTCACCTTCATCTTCGTACTGGATGGTGCTAATGTTGCTATAGAGATCTGGGTTCTCAGCCTGCACGAGAATCTCGTACATCTCGTAGTTGGCCAGGTAGCTGGGCCTAGACACATGAGCAGGGCAACCCGCGGTCAGTATCCTCTTCATCAAGGGAATAAAAAGCAACAAGAACAAGGAGATATGACTGGAGCTAGACATACATCTGGGTGCACTCTCCCGCCTCAGCTCCCGAGTCTGGGCCGGTAAAGAGGCACTCGGGTCCTGTGTAGTTCGCCTCGGCCATTTTGACGCTGCATCCGTACAGGGCCAAACTGGCGACCACTTGCTTGCCGGCACGCCCGCCTTGGTAATCATTGCCAGTGCATATGCAGTCTCTGTCTTGTTGACTTGGCTGTGGAGACAACCGCTGTTTGGACATCCTGGGCTTGGAGCCGCCGCCAGTACAGGTAGGCGTTGGGTGATCAAGAAGGGCGATAACTTACTCGGCATATGTCCGGTCGTAGTCCCACTGGCCATGGAGGTCATAGATCATGTACACGATGTAGTCCTGCCCGTCAGGGTAAGTTAGTATACCAGGAACAGCCCATTGGAAGATGCAGGGCAGACCACTACAGTCGCCATTTCCTTGATCGGAAAGGCCCGGAGGTACCAGTATGAAGCTGGCGCAGCGATTGACAGAGACTTGCTCGAGGGAAACTGGCTGCGGACTAGCCGGAGGAACTCTGGATAGTTCTGGGGTGAATCCAGAGAGTCGGCAGGGATCCCTGGGATATCCTGGGCCTGTCGGGGGGGGGAGCGTCAGTGCAAGAAGTGTGTAGCACAGGACCTCAGACTCTCAACCTCGTCCTCTACCCCTTCCCCTCCCTCGCCCACGCGCTAGTCGAGCCTGTGAAGCCCGTGAATTAAGTCTTGCTTGTTCCCCAAAGACATCTGAACCCACAAGGTCTCCTCCATGGTTGCTTACCTGCCTGCAGAATCAAAACATGATGGCTGGGACCAGCACTGATGGGACTTTCTCAGACTGGAATACCTCCATCATAATCTCTCACAGCCTGCAGTGAGTATACTCAGCAGATTCCCTCTGTAGATCCTATTTGTACAGATTATAGTGTTTCTGGGCCTCAGCTAGCTTCTAGTAGTTAACTAACTACACCTTAATCTGGTCTTAGTCATCCACATCAACAAACTGCACGTGGGCATCACCCAGCAACCTAAACAACCCAGACTACACACTAATCTAGCAGTCAGCATGGATAACAATTACTCACATAACCACTATCCACTTGGGAAGGTAGGGAAGAATCTCCAAAAAGGCCAGATATGGGGTCAGCTGCAGACTAAGATCCTAAGCTAGTCTGCTATAAAGGAGCTGCTGCTGCAGCTAGTGACCTAAGCTGCCTATTAAGTAAGGAAATTTAGGGATGACCTATCAATGCTAAAGTCCACCTCACAGGCAGGTGTCCAATTCAAGTGTACCTGATCTCAGGTGGGGTCCAGCCAGGAGACAAGATGTGACGTACCTGACTACCAGCAGGGAGCCTTAGGGGGAGGAGGGTCTACTAGAAAGTAGCTACTCTTGAAGGCCATAGCCCACAACTCACAACAAACCCGAGTGATAAGTGGTGGGTATCTGTTGGCCTAAGTAAAGTTACTAAGGTCACATAGGAAATAGTGTGGTGAGTGAAAGATCACTATGTTGAAAGGAATGTCCAATTTATGGACATAATGGAAGGAGATATTAAGTTTGGGGAAGAAATAGAAGACAGCAGGCCCAGAAGATAATATAATTGACTTACTTACTGCAATGTAGACATAAAGAAATGATAAAAGTACTATGTTAAGCTTCTCTCACATGCAAAGCAGCCCCTCAAGGTACTATATACCTTAAAAAAGGGGCATCAGGTATTGACCTAAAAAGATGTTATGACACCCTGGCATGCTGTAGGATGTAACTCAAGTCAACAGCGGGTGGGACTGAATGGTCTCCGAAAAGCTTTTTCCCGCTAGCTTCATTTAAACCACCTTTCGTTCTTTGTTAGTGGAGGCTTATATGGGGATGCATATGCCATTGACTTGTATTTACACGCATGGATAATCGCTGACAGGATGTTACTAACCGAGAAAAAGAGAATAATATAGACAGATGTGCATCATACAATAATCAAGGATGAAGACCTATATACGTAACCCCCAGAAAGCTACCCAACTCTCTCACAATGGCCTAGACAGCCGGTTTCCAGAAGAGAAGACTCAGACAAGGGGAGGGGAAAAAAGGAGATGTAGTCTAGTGAATGTGAAGACAGCACAGTGTCAAGGAGAGTCAGCATTTTTCTGCCCAGATATCAAAAGGTAATATAAAAAAGTATATAGAGCTCCAGTGGGAGAGCAAAAGGTATATCTTCAATAATCAAGTCAACTAATTGACTTGTGCTCAAATGCCACATCGCAAATTACCCAAGGCAGGCTTCTTTTGGGAAAAGCTGTGCACAGCTCCGACCCAAAAACATGAGAGAAGCTGATTGATCATTAAAAGAGATATCCAAGAGTAAAAGTCAGGATACCGACTGAAGCACATGATCGGCAAGTAGTTTGTTAGGCTCTTTGATTGTCTTTTTCCCATTTGTTTTAGATCATTCGCATTGAGCTTTTCTATAGGCCATTGACACGGATTCAAACTTGTCAATCAACTTTAATAGAGCTGACCGGGAGTTCAACAGTTAGCAGTCTTATCTTAAGCTGGTAATAGTCAGGCAGACCGTCACTTACTTATAGATACGTCTGACGAAAGTATATGATGCTAAGAAGCCGACAGTTCCTGTCAACAACCCGTAGACTGCGCACGCAAGGAAGCTGTAGCAGAAGAAAAAGAGGCTTGAAACGAATCCGGTAACGTGCAGCTTGAAGAAGTAGTACCAGATGCTGTATGTGAAGATCCAGAATGCGCTGCTGCCACCAGTTATGAAGCTCTGCCACCACCAATGATAATTCTAGATATACGTTAGCATGATGTTAAGCGTCAGCTAAACAAGAAAACCCATCATCCACTTACCTCTGCGCATAGCTGGCTGTACGTTGCGATGATAGTCACCTCGCTGACCGTCACAATTAGGATTGCACAGACAACAGTCAGGAAACCGAACACATAATAATATCCGCTCTTATCTTGCCAGAGATTCTTGAACAGGAAGAGGAGCTCAATGAACAGAACTGCAAAAGGTATCAATCCGGCTAGCAGAGGCCCGCGGATTCCCCGAAGGTACCATGGTTGAGGGGGAATCTGACGGGGAATAGCATCCGTCTTGGTTGGATGTTCCCATGGTGTCGCTCGAACATAGCCGTACCAACCTCCGGCATAAACCAGCGGGACCTGAATCAGCAACCAAAGTGCAACTAAGCCGACCAAGGTACTAAAGGGGATTGCTGTGCTGGAAGCTTGAGACCAGACAAATAGGTTTAGAATGAATATAAGGCAAAAGGTCAACCCGGGGAATAGCAGAGCCGTCTGATCCCGTGTCAGCGACGAAATGTGTGATTTTAACAGGAGGACAGCACTTACGATAACGACATTTCTTCTCCATCTAACTCCTCCGAATGTCTTGAATAATCTGGTAGAGAAGTAGCCTGAAAAGAGCCCAGCGAACACAAAAAGACCCACCCCAACACTGACGAATCCGCCGCGGAAACTGGGATTTAAGACTCCCAAGGAACCGAGAACCAGGAGTCCAGATGCCATAAACAGGAGCTGCATGCCTGAACCGACAAGTGGTGCAAGGAGATCGCTGCGGGCAGGAATCCGGAAGATATCGCCATGCAGGAGCTTCCATCCACTCACATCTTCTGCAACATCATCTGCAACTAGGTCTGCATGTCGTTCGACGTCTGATCCTTGCTCCAAGAGTCCTAAGCCCTTCTGCGATCTAGACTGCCCGTGCTCCATAACTGAGTCTCCACGTCCCTTGATATCTCCCTGTACCGTCCTACTCCAGATGACTATTACCGTCACGCCAAGAACGCCAGAGATGGTCAGAGAATTGAGAATCGCCAGCCAGTGCGTCATAGAGCCATCTTCATGGTTATTGAAATAAAGATCCCATCGGTTTGACCACTCAATATTATCCTCTTCTCTGAAGTAGACGGAGTAGGTATAAGGAATTTTCAAGGTAGCACCATCGTCTACCTTGTCGTCGGGTTCCGGAGTATATGAAAGACCAGCGTACTGCTTCAGCTTTGACGTATCGGGCGGAATGTACAACTCTAACGGGTCATGGTCCTCATGCACCTGCTTGGGACAATCGCCCTCTTGACGACCGTCGGCGGTGATACTCTTCGGATAAACCTCGAAACCAACAATTACCTTACCACCCTCCTCACCAGCCTTCCCAGGAGCCTTCCGCCAGCGGATTACAAGGGTGAAATGATTGTTGATGAAGAAGCGTGGCTTCCCGTCGGGCGTCGTAGAGATATCCTGATATCCCAGCTTGAATCCAGTTGCATAGTATTTGCGAGTCCGGTCAACAGTCACAAAGCTCGTTGCGCCGGGTAAATTGTCCACAATCCATTCTGCAACATAGCCATCCTTCACTAACTCACGAGCCCATTTGACGTCGCTGCGTTTGACTTCCCTAGAGCAAAGCGGCTGGCATTCCACATCTTTGCCCATGAATAACTCGAAATCAGAGGTCTTGATACGGTCACCCCGCAGAACTTCGCCCAGATTGAGAGAAATACTCTGGCCAGAGCCAAAGGGAGAGCCGGCATGTACCCTCCCACTTGGGGGACAGACGAAGGGGAGATCGAAATAGGCATACTGGAGCTGCGTGAAGTCGGAGAAGATCTTGTTCACGAGAAGGGGAATCGGCTCATCGTCGCGATAGCTTTTGAATGAGTAACCTGGATCGCCCACCACCAAAAAAGGTGCAACATGTCAGTGAAGGGATCACAGAGCAATCCATCTCGTCGGCACAACATAAGATGGGCCATTACACACAACGGGCACCTACCAGGTATGTAGAACGCGGAGGTATACGGTATGAACAACACCCACAAAGCCCACAACCGAGAGTGCAGGAACAGTCGTGACATCACCATGTTGCGCAAGGGTGGCGGAATCTACCCACGCTGCCGGGGAAAAGAGCCAAAGTTGAGCCAGTCATGCACAATCTGCCAGATGGCGATAACACTTGCTGTACGACGGTGGGCACGGAGATTCGGGGCGGATCGACGGAAGTCGAATCGACCGTCGTGCTTATCTCGCGAAGAGGCTGACGATAAGAAAGAGACTGAGGATGATAAAGAGAAGAGAAAGAAGCAGATGAGAACGAACGGACGCGGATGGACGTTGAGATGAGACCCTGGAGGCTGTCTGGAGATGAGATCCTGCTTTCTTGCTTGCCAAGAGCGAGGCTGTCAGCCAAACAGGTAGTCACCAGCAGCACGGGCCAGACGCGATGGAGACGGGCAAGACCGTTCGGCACAGGGCAGAGAATAAAGTTGACAGATTAACACGAGGATGTCTAACGAGTGGAAAGGGCAGGGCGCCTTAGAAAGGAGGCAAGGAGGGGGCGAGGGAGGAAGAAGGCGAAGAAGGCGACGGGATGGCAGGAACACGCAGCATTTCTGGACGTTAAGCCTGACTGGAATCAAATCAGAAACAACAGCAATCACAGTCTCGCTGGCGATTATTATTCGGTTTAGTTCCGGACCGCAGATCGGGCCTGGAAAGGACGGATTCCAGATCAACGGATCGCCTTGGAATATAGCGGGAAAATGCAGGATTAATAACAATGCAGATGTAACTAGTTAATTGCATCTCGCCTATGTCTACATGAAGCACTAATATAGAACAGATCTGGTCCACCAGGCCTTCGAACATAGCACATCGTCTCATATTCCACAGGAAATAGAAAAAAAAAAAAAACCCAAACATACACACATTAGAATAATGGTAGTAGCAGGTACCATGGATTTGGCCCGCTCCCTCTCCCCGGGGATGGCAAAAAGGCTAAATAGACACCATGGAAAGAATCGGTACATGAATGGAAAATTGGAAAAGTCTCCTTTTACGACGGGTGACTTAGCAAATACTCCACCGCCCCCTGCACGCTACCTCCCGCCCGACGCAGAGCTTCTACGTTCCTCTCAAATTCATAGAATCCCATGTCGTTGAGTTGACCAAGTTGTACTGCGTACCTTTCTTCTGGTGGCCGATTGTCCTGTGGTGCCGGAGCACCAAACCCGGCCCCTCCCCCGAAAAGAGCTGTTAGAGGATTCGCTGCGCCTGCCGCACCGCCTTCACCTGGCTGGCCTCCTATGTTCTGCATCACTTGTGACAGCAACGCCGGGTCACGAAGGAACGGGTTCTGCTGTGGGTTGAACGGGTTGAAGCCGGCCTGACCTGCCTGAGCCGTGTTCGGTGCTGCTCCAAACAAACCAGGGTTCAACAGGAAGCCCAAGGGATTCTGCCCTTCTCCAGCTGCCGTGCCCCCAGCTGCTCTTTGCGGAGTGTCAGTCTGCTCGCTGCCTGTCGCGGTTGGCGCAGTCGGCGTTGGGTTAGTACCCATATTGGGATTCCCCCCGAACAGGGCTGCGAAAGGATTACCCGCTCCAAGAGCTGCGGGGATGAATGGATTCAGCGTTGGGGCAGGCGGATTTCCGTTGTTCTGGGCACCCGACTGAGAGTCTCTATTCTCCTGAGGAGTAGTATTTGTTACCCCGGGCGCTGGGAATGCGCCACCACCAGCACCGGCACCGCCATGCCCACCCATGGCTCTTTGAAACTGTATCGCCTGTCTGATAGAGTTGGGATCTGTTAACATGCGTCGGAATTCCGGGCTTTGCATCATTTGTCGTACTGCGGGACCCAACTCGCGGAGCATGGGGTTTTGCTGGATCATCATATCGATCATCGCGGGATTCTGGAGGGCCTCGTTCATCGTGGACTGAAACTGAGGGTTTTCGAGCATGCCGAGCATGCTCTCAGAGTCAGGAGGCGGTCCCATCTACGACCCAGTGAGTACATGTGTTATAGCGCCGAGGAAAGTTATTTCGCGAAGTGTAATACTAACCCCACCGTCTGGACCAAATAAGCCAGCACCAGGAAGTTGCGCAAACCCTGCGTATCGTGCGCCTGTCAACCCGGCCAGGGGGTTATTGCCGGTGCCAGCAGCGAGATTGGTCGGAACTCCAGCGGCTGCTTGACTAGCCGCACCAGTGGGTACAGAAGTAGCTGCACTGGCAGAAGTTTGACCCTGACGTTGATTGCTGGCTGCGCTCTTTACCAAATGAATCGTATGGCCATCCTTAATCTTGTAGGTAGCCAAGGTGTCGTTGTCTTTGAGCACTCGACCAGAGTATATTAAACGCTGTCGCTGAGCGGGGGTATCTGCATATTCAGAACCAGCAAGCTTTTCCTTGAGCTCTAAGACCTGAGTAGAGAGAGGGAGAGTAAGCGTGTACTTAGCATCGTTGGATGCTTTGACGGTGAAGGTGATAGGCGCCTCCTCCGCCGCAGGAGCGTCATCAGCCATGACGGGCAACTTCCAATGGGGGATGTGAAATCTCCGGGACTGGGATGTGTATCGCACGGATCTGACAGGTCGATCGAAGTACTGGGAGCTGATATTGGGAACTGCGTAGACTGGTATCGTGGGTCGAGAGGAATCAGGAGGTGCTGGGACGATGTCAAGTGTCCTTCGTTCAGCGAAGAAGCCGGCAGAAACCCATCGTCCGCCTTTCCAGTGTGGCTCGAGCCTTGCGATGCGCTGCGAGGCACGGGCGACGGACCACGCCTAGTGCGCAAATTGACACGTGATGGTAAACAAACAGGCCAAACAGCGCGAGCTCTGAATTTTCCTCCTCACACAGACCTCGACAGTTCCTTCGTCTGTCTGAACTCCCAGGCCCGGTTCTCCTGCCTCCCTTTTTTTTTTTTTTTTTTTTTCTTCTCCTGGGCTTTACCACCCTGGAGTATCTCTTTATTCCTTACTCGAGCGGCAATGGGATTGATTTCATCCTAAGGCTGATCAGACTGTAGTCGCGCAGCGCTCCTGAAAGCATCTGGCCTGCCTAGCTGGAGAGCAGCTAGCTGTCCATCATGGCTACTACGTCGCATATGTTTATGTACTCCCTGACGATCCAGCCTCCGACTGCTGTTACCCAAGCAATCTTGGGTCAGTTTGCTGGAACCAGGGAGCAGCAAATCGTCACCGCTTCAGGCTCGAAACTTACCATCCATCGTCCCGATCCCACGCAGGGCAAGATCACACCGATCTTCTCTCAGGATGTCTTTGGTATTATCCGCTCCCTGGCTGCCTTCAGGCTGGCTGGAAGTAGCAAAGGTATGTTTAACGCGTTGCCTCCTGATGTCCAAGAACAACTTAGTGATTCTTCAAGCTCTCCGGGCAGCACGACCCTTGTCTGCGGGACCGACTCCTGGTGGGGACGTGCCCCGGTCGGCGATGTTGATGCTGGGTGTTCATTTGGCTGTTGAACTGTCGCTGAACTATCTGTTCTAGACTATATCATCATTGGTTCCGATTCGGGACGCATTACCATCATTGAATATGTCCCATCGCGTAATCGGTTTAACCGCATCCATCTCGAGACCTTTGGGAAGTCAGGTGTGCGCCGAGTGATCCCGGGTCAGTACCTGACAGTCGACCCTAAGGGCAGGGCATGCCTGATCGCATCGATTGAGAAAAATAAGCTTGTCTACGTTCTCAATCGGAATGCGCAAGCCGAGCTGACCATCTCGTCGCCGCTCGAAGCCCACAAGCCTCAGACCCTAGTCTTCGCAATGACAGCACTGGATGTTGGCTATGAGAACCCCATCTTTGCAGCTCTCGAGGTGGATTACTCCGAGTCCGATCAAGATCCGACGGGCCAGGCGTATGCCGAAGCAGAAAAGCTGTTGGTGTATTACGAGCTCGATTTGGGACTCAACCACGTGGTTCGTAAATGGGCCGACCCCGTCGATCGTACGTCAACAATGCTCTTCCAGGTTCCTGGAGGAGCTGATGGCCCAAGTGGCGTCTTAGTTTGCGGAGAGGATAATATTACCTATCGCCACTCAAACCAGGATGCTTTTCGGGTACCGATTCCTCGTCGCAGCGGCCCGACGGAAAATCCAGAGCGTAAGCGGTATATCGTCGCAGGTGTCATGCATAAAATGCGAGGCGCGTTTTTTTTCCTTTTGCAGACCGAAGATGGCGATTTGTTTAAACTCACTTTCGACATGGTGGAGGATGATAATGGCCAGTGGACAGGCGAGGTACGAAGAATTAAAATCAAATATTTCGACACTGTCCCTGTCGCATCGAGTCTGTTGATTTTGAAGAGTGGTTTCCTCTATGTTGCAAGTGAGACGGGCAACCATCATTTCTACCAGTTTGAGAAGCTTGGTGATGATGATGAAGAGACCGAGTTCACTAGTGACTCATTCTCTGCTGATACCTCTGTTCCCTATGAGGCCGCTTTCTTCCATCCTCGGGGTGCTGAAAACTTGAATCTCGTGGATACAATCAATTCCTTGAATCCATTGATGGATTGCAAGGTTGCAAATGTTACCGAGGATGATGCACCGCATATGTACGCTATTTGCGGCACTGGCGCTCGGAGTACTTTCAGGACTCTTAAGCATGGCTTAGAAGTATCTGAAATCGTCGAATCTGAACTGCCCAGTGTGCCTACTGCCGTTTGGACAACGAAACTCACCCGGGCAGATGAATTTGACGCTTACATCATTCTTTCTTTTGCCAATGGCACGCTCGTTCTAAGCATTGGTGAAACAGTCTTAGAGGTTTCGGACACCGGATTTCTCTCAACCGCCCCTACTCTGGCCGTCCAACAGCTTGGCGAAGACTCCCTGATACAGGTCCATCCACGCGGTATCCGGCATATCCTTGCCGACCGACGCGTTAACGAGTGGCCTGCTCCCCAACACCGGACAATTGTTGCGGCTACAACAAACGAGCGTCAGGTAGCAATTGCCTTGAGCTCGGGCGAAATTGTCTACTTCGAAATGGACGTGGATGGCTCACTTGCTGAATACGATGAGAGACGCCAGATGTCTGGCACCGTCACTTGCTTGAGCCTAGGCGAGGTCCCGGAGGGCCGCGTTCGTAGTTCATTCTTGGCTGTTGGGTGTGATGACTCGACAGTCCGCATTTTGAGCTTAGATCCTGACTCAACTCTGGAGAACAAGTCTGTTCAAGCTCTAACTTCCGCTCCTTCTGCCCTTAATATTATGTCCATGGCCGATTCCAGTTCAGGAGGCGTGACTCCCTACCTGCATATTGGTCTTTACTCTGGTGTCTACCTTCGAACTGTGCTGGATGAAGTAACTGGCGAGCTTTCGGATACTCGGACGCGTTTCCTGGGAGCCAAACCTGTCAAACTATTCCGTGTCTCTGTTAAAGGCCAGACTGCTGTCCTTGCTCTAAGCTCTCGTCCCTGGCTGGGCTATTCTGATGTCCAGACTAAGGGCTTCATGCTCACGCCCTTGGATTACGTGGGCCTGGAATGGGGATGGAACTTCTCCAGTGAACAGTGTGTGGAGGGTATGGTCGGTATTCAAGGGCAAAACCTTCGGTATGTTACCTTTCCATCATCCCTTGCAATATACGTCCCTTTCGATCGCATGATGAAATAAAGTTTTCCCGAACACTCGTGTGGTAAAATATTTTTTTTCCAATTGTTCCTACTGAGATCTAAATTATCTCGAAAATTCTATTGATCGCCAATTATCTTCATGGCTTCTACTGACTTGAAGTTAGGATATTCTCTATCGAGAAACTCGACAACAACATGCTCCAAGAGTCTATTCCTCTCGCGTATACGCCCCGACATTTTGTGAAACACCCAGAACTGCCGCTTTTCTATGTAGTTGAGTCTGACAGTAATGTTCTGTCACCTGCGACAAGGGAACGATTACTCGAGGATTCCAAGGCTCGCAATGGAGAAGCTGCAATTCTTCCACCAGAAGAATTTGGCTATCCTCGAGGTATTGGCCACTGGGCGTCATGCGTCCAGGTCGTTGATCCGGTCAATTCCAAGTCGGTGGTCTCGACCATCGAGCTTGAAGAGAACGAGGCTGCAGTCAGTATAGCTGCAGTTTCTTTTTCCAGCCAAGATGATGAGACATTCCTTGTCGTGGGAACAGGGAAAGACATGGTCGCCAGCCCGCGCTCCTTTTCCGCTGGTTTTATTCACATTTACAGATTCCAAGAGGATGGTAGGGAGCTCGAATTCATCCACAAGACGAAAATAGAAGAGCCTCCTCTTGCTCTTCTTGGATTCCAAGGCCGTCTGCTTGCGGGTGTGGGCTCAATTCTCCGAATATATGACCTGGGAATGAAACAGCTACTCCGCAAATGCCAGGCCACCGTTGTCCCAAGATTGATCGTTGGTCTCCAGACGCAAGGCAGCAGAATTGTTGTCAGCGATGTTCAAGAAAGCGTCACGTATGTTGTTTATAAATATCAGGATAATCGTCTCATCCCTTTTGTAGATGACTCGATTCCTCGCTGGACAACCACATCTACCATGGTCGATTATGAAACAACCGCCGGTGGCGACAAATTCGGCAATATTTGGCTGGTGCGCTGCCCCAAAAAGATTTCAGATGAATCAGACGAGGAGGGGTCCGGCGCACATCTCATCCATGAACGTGGGTACTTGAATGGCACCCCGAACCGCCTGGACTTGATGGTCCATTTCTACTCCCAGGACATACCCACAAGCCTGCAAAAGTGCCAACTTGTTGCCGGTGGACGCGATATACTTGTCTGGACTGGGTTCCAGGGCACGGTTGGGATGCTGGTGCCATTTATTAGCCGAGAAGATGTCGACTTCTTCCAGAGTCTCGAGATGCAGTTGGCAGCTCAACATCCGCCCCTCGCTGGACGAGACCATTTAATATACCGAAGTTATTACGCCCCTGTCAAAGGCGTCATTGATGGGGACCTGTGCGAGATGTATTTTCTATTGCCTAACGATACAAAGATGATGATCGCCGCGGAGCTGGATCGTTCCGTCCGGGAAATCGAACGGAAAATATCCGTAAGTGTTTTGCTGCCATCAAACGCTAGGTTTGCAGGACGACTGACAGTGTCAATAGGATATGAGGACGAGGGTGGCGTATTGATTTCAGCGGGGACTTTTTCCGGCGTTCGATTCGGAGAGCTTCCTTTGTGTATCAGAGTTCAGATTCCCTGGGACAGTAGTTATTTCTCTTTTCTTGTCCGACAATGCACTTTTATGTATAAGCTTACCTCTTTGACTCTGCAGCGGTTTCGTATTTCCTTTCATCTCTTTCGTCGGTGTTTCGGAAAATACCGCCTGCAGGGCCTACTTCTAACCGGAGCCGCATTCTTCTATGTTGCCTGGTGGTAGCTTGCCTGTTGCAACATGTAATTGCGTTCGTTATACGCATTGATGTCTCTTGCCTCGCTCGGTCTGTCCGTTTCTTCTCGGCTGATCTTGAGCTGGATGCAGCTTGGCCGTGTGGTCTGCTGTATGAGACGAGAGAAAGGGTGCCTTTGAGCAACCGTCGACGATCTTTGAGTACGATTTTATCTGGTTATTTTGCGCAACGGACTGAATCGTAATTTATCTGTCGAGACAAGCAAGCATTGCCCAGCGGCTGATGCTCTGTAGATTGTCGAAAGGCGAGATAGTATCAGCAGACATGCACCATGCCAGGGCTAGCTAACGTAGCTGCAGATACTCTGGATAAAATGCAATTAGTGTTCTTGATCTCTCACCACTGAATTTCCCATATGTCTTGTCTTTCCCAGCATAGCCACGAAAAGCACGAAGCCAAGATGATTCCGCCGACGCGCATGAGCATCTCACCAGCGGAATTGACTGAAGAACAGCGTAAGCAGCGGAATGCGATATCGGTTGGATTGCTAATCCCGTTTTCTAACAAATGCACATGCAAGTGGAATGAGTACAAGCGCAGATGTGGGAAATGACGCCCATGTCAGACATAGGGCGTGGTTAACGGGCTCTTTGAGTTTCGTTCGCCAATACGAACTTGCAGCCGTGACTCACGAACTCGCATATTATACATGCTCGAGCGAACCTCGGAAATGTTATATATCCTCAGACCAAATGCCTAGGCTGTCTGTTCTGTGCTTGGTGCTGTTATGGTCGGCAGCGTTCTCGCTGCCATGTACGATCAACTCAACTTCACCGACACCACGATGACGGCCCCTACTATCCTCACGCGTGGTTACGACGCGCTGGACTTCGTGACAAGTCGCTTTCGCCCCAAGGTCGATATCAGATTGACCGGCCAAGATGAAAGCCCCGTCCGTTCCTACACGACCTCGGACCGCATTGATGGAAGCGTCGTTGTTACTGTGGACAATCGCACACCCTTTGATCGGGTCGAGATCTCATTTGAAGGTTGATCCTCCACTTGACACTGTTTCTCATCGTTGATGGTATCACAAGCCTAGGTACTGACTGGGTCGGATTAGGGACTACGAAAATCTCCTTGGAGCGGGCCTCAGCTCTTGGCCGGACCGGCGCCACTCATCCTTTCCTTAAAATGCGCCAGCCGATGACTGCATATGACTATCCAAGTCCTCGTGTGTTGGAGAGTGGCCGTGTCTACACATTTCCTTTTACTTTCGTCGTCCCCGATAGGCTCGTCCCCCATGCCTGCAGCCATCCCAAGAATAACGTGCAGATCGGATATGCCCACAGCATGCTTCCTCCCACGCTGGGGGATCCCATGCTTTCTGGGAACGGAATGTCTCTGCTGGATGATTTCACGCCGGAATTGTGCAGTATCTCGTATTGTATTAGAGTATCTATCCTCAGGAATCCCCCAGCGGGGAAAAAATCATGTGGGACCTTGGCTTCTGCTGCCAAGCGGGTACGCATCATCCCGGTCGTTGACGAGGAGCCTCCTTTGAATATTTCGAAGAGCGTTCCTGCATATTATACCCGAAAGGAGAAAGACGTCAGACGCGGTTTTATGAGAGGCAAATTTGGACGATTGACGATGGCTGCGCCGCAACCCGGACCCATCCAGCTGCTTTGCCCTAACCCGAAGGGAGCTACTGCGGAGAGTACGGCGTTGACGGTGAATTTGAGATTTGATCCTGTGAGGGATGAGCGGCCTCCTCCCTTGGGGTCTCTACGGAGCAAGCTTAAGGCGGCAACGTACTTCAGCACATATCCCTGGGAGGATTATCCTTTCAGCCTAGAAGAACTGACGGCGTTTGATACGAATCGAGGGCTCTACAAGGAGACTGTTACGCTCTCCAACTTCTGCGTCTCATCTACTCAATGGATGGAGCATTGCATGCCAGCGAGAGACTGTCTCCAACCAAAGACTTACTATACCGCGTCGATCCTCATGCCAATCACACTCCCGAAGAAAAAGGCCTTTGTACCAACATTCTACTCCTGTCTTATTTCCCGCGTTTACTCTCTGGAACTCAACGTGTCTTATGAGACGCCAAACGCGAACCTTCTCAACCCCTCGATCACGTTGAAGCTTCCTATCCAAATTACGTGCCAGCCGGAGACGGGCCGAGAGACCGGGCCCTTGTCTTACGAGGCTGTGATCCAAGAAGATGCAGCGGAGGAATACATTCGTTCTCTTGGCGTTTGATTCTCGGGAGCTGGCCTGCCCCCCGCAAGCAGAAAGAGGATACCATGCTTCTTGGAGCGCCGATGGACGATGGATGGACGCCGGAGTAAAAGTTTGGTTTCTATATTGGGCGATGATTAGGATTGAAAGAGCAAAAGATACCCCCGCTAGGATGGCTAATTTGGGTACAGCATTCTCGGTTCGACCATTGAATAATTATTATGCTTTTGTTATTGTGCCGGGGGCACTCCCCTATCTTCTATTTTCCTGTTTTAGATACTGCTGGGCCGCGGCCTCCGCCATACCTAGGTATGGTGGAGCTCGTGGCCGAAGGGGTACCTAAGAAGAGTCTCTTCCCGAGATAGTTACGAGAAATTGAGCATACTTTTGGTTTCTAAGTTGCTTCACTGGTATCGTCGTCGTATAGGAGCGAGGCTCCATCATCGTTGTGTTTCTTCTTTCGTTATATCGTTTCCTTACTAGATCGTTCAGTGTGTCCATCCTGAGATCCCTCGATCACAACCGGTTCCTGTCGCAGGGAAGAACGCACGTACGCCCCCCTCTACAACAGAGAAAGGAAGGGAGCATACTAGGGCTGTGCAGGGTTGAAGTTGGATGCAATTATCTCTGCAAATAGGATAGGAACAAGGTAGAGAGTGAGTGGTGAGGCATTTTATATCCTTGATCATTTAAACAGGTCTTGCAGATAACCTAGTTCCAGCATGATACTACCATGCATCAATTATGCTCACTGAGATGGGCAGGATCCAACTGGGCCACTACACTGCTCTGCTAAGTATCATGGAAGCTTTTGGGAGCTGGCTGGGTGCAGGATTCAAGGGTAGTGTTACGCCCTGGGATCCTCCTCTGTGTCACTTTACCTCTCGTGTGGTAGCTGCAGGGGTTTGAAATAGAATTCATTGCATGCTAGATACATGAAGAACTCCTTGAGAGAGGGAAAGAACAAGGAGGTATTTTCACGAGACAACGGCTTTTGTGTACAAGGAAATAGGTGAGCCGGTAACGAAACAGAACAAACAGAACAAACAGAACAAACAGAACAAACAGAACAAACAGAACAAACAGAACAAACAGAACAAACAGAACAAACAGAACAAACAGAACAAACAGAACAAACAGAACAAACAGAACAAACAGAACAAACAGAACAAACAGAACAAACAGAACAAACAGAACAAACAGAACAAACAGAACAAACAGAACAAACAGAACAAACAGAACAAACAGAACAAACAGAACAAACAGAACAAACAGAACAAACAGAACAAACAGGGCCAACGCCTGAGTTCGCAATATAGAAAGTCGAGAATCCTGAGGCAGAGTTCCCGAGGAATGGGTGGGAATCCTAGGAGAGGGTTTCAAGTTGCGCAAATGTGAAAATGTCATAAAGCCTTATTTCACTCTTCTCCAACGAAGAGCATGCAAAGAACTAGTTGCTGGATGGGTAGAAACTGGTGCTTCCATGTGGAGACTGCAAATTACTCAAGATGAATACATGGCATGACAAGGTGTTAAAAAACATAGATATGACATGGACATTTACATACAGTATTGGGCTTGTTTTGTTACAGTAAGCTTTTTCATTGACTTTTAAACAAGCCATCATTGTATTTCGCTGACCTGAGTATAAAAATCCTATAGTCATGTAGTAGCGCAGACCCAAGTTACCAGCCACTTCGGAAGCACTCGATAGTAATAGTGGGTGGGAAGTGGTGGAGAGTTAGGGCTACACACTGACCACCAGTTTGCCTCCACTCTTCTTCACGCTCTCGAAGCTGAACGAACTCTCGTTCCTTCAGCCTTTCCACTTGCAGGGTTCGGTAATGGGTATATTTATTAGTCTTCAATAGATCAGGGTCCAGTTCGCAGATTAAGTTAACCTTGAAGCGAGTCTTGTCTCAAATAGTTGGCCATTTTTGCTCCACGCTCCACAGGGCTAGTAGATGCATCACATTTTGCTGGTAGAGGAACTCGGGCAGTTGCCGAATTTGCTTCGGATATGCGGGCTGTTGATGGTGAATGATGAATCCGAGGTTGCTTCGGGTGTCTTTTTTCTTTTCCCTCTTCTCCTATGTGGTAGTATCGGGTGGGGTTTCCCAGATGCCTGTTGCACTTTGTATCGCTACTGTTTTTGCTCCATCCGATGCCAGCAGAACAAGGGGCATATGTGATCATTGTGATATGTCGCCTTTGGGAATCGAGATTAAACCAAGTTACCAAGGAGACACGATTCAAAATGGGTTATTAAGCTTTCTCATCGAGCTCGTTTTTACGTTTTTGCTTCGTTTTCGCCCCACTGGTTTCCTGCCATCTTTTGCCTGTCCAGCAGCCACTTAAGCTATTGTCTCTAGTATTTCTTTCAATTGGGGAGTCTGCAATGGAGATTGCAAGTATATACGTTTAACGTGTATGTATGCACATTCTTCTCTCGGTTGAAGTTGCTATTGACATCTTCACAGACAGCGAATGCGTTAGTGTGCCATTCAATGGAAGACCTTGGGACCGCAGCCGTTCCTGCATACGAGGAACGGAGAAATCCCGGCTCTGATTGTATCTGAAGACAACGAGGCTCCATCCTGAAGGAAAGATTGGTCCCACTGCTGTACGATGGGTCCGGAGGCGTTCGTGCGCTGCATCCGACTGTGGCCCTTGCAGATGCCACTGTTGTTCTGCACGTCAGTTCTTCGACATTGGCACAGAATCGACAGCTCAAACTCCCTGCCCCCGGAATATTTCTTTGTCTTTCCAGCCAAGCTAAGCATGCAGTTGGTGCCCATTCGTCAGCTCAGGAGTGCGAGCTTTGGGGATATCTGTGGAGTATACCAGCCTCCTTCTGCCTTGCCAGAGTAGCAGCGTTGCTTCAGGCGTGAAGAAAATTTTCATTCACTGTGCGACATTCCAGGTTGTGTATGCTTCACTCATGGCCATGGCGGGCTTCGAGGAACCTTTGCTGCTGGGTACAAATATGCTGTATCCCCCCTTTCTTTCTGCCCTCGCTACCCCAGTCTTCCAGTCGCTCTCTTCCTTGACATCCAGATCATTCATTCTCTTCGTTCCCTAACAATGAGATTGTCCTTGGCATATACATTGTGCCTTGCCTGGACAGCGTGTGCAGCTGTTATTCCTCGTGGGCCTCCCTACTTCCATACCGCGAGCCTCAATGTATCCCACCCCACAAGCTTCAATCACACTGCAGCTGGCAATCATACTGTGGGCAGGAAAGTGTTCATACGGCCTCGCAGGCTTTCAAACCGTGCCGTGAGACTCAATGTATCCGGCATTGCGCCTGCACAAGTTAGTCAGACACCGACGCCTACGCTCATGCTCACGCCCTCATCCATACACCCGTCCTCGTCCGCACCCAGTGTCTCCTCCATCTCCGTCTCTTCCTCCGCCTCTGCCTCTGGATATCTCTCGGCCGCCTACTTCGTGAACTGGGTTAGTAGTCTTCGGAGTATCTCGACCTCGTACTGAGATCTGACTGACAGTTTCATCTATCCAGGCCATCTACGGGCGGAAATATAACCCCCAAGACCTCCCAGCAGAACGCCTCACACATGTCCTGTACGCTTTTGCCAACATCAACCCCAATACTGGAGAAGTCTATCTCTCCGATACGTACGCGGATCTAGAGAAACACTACTCTGGAGATCCGAGCGACGGCTCCGGAACAAACGTCTACGGATGCGTCAAGCAGCTCTTTCTGCTGAAGCAGCAAAACCGCAAGCTGAAGGTCTTACTGTCCATCGGTGGATGGACGTATTCCTCCAGCTTTGCCCAGGCTGCCAGTACGGAGGCGGGAAGAAAGGCTTTTGCAAGTTCTGCTGTGCAGCTATTGCAGGACCTGGGGTTTGATGGGTTGGATATTGATTGGGAGGTGAGATTGATCCAATTCTGGGTGTTGAGTGCTTGAAAGCGGATTGCTCATGCTATATCAGTATCCCGAAGGCGACGATGAGGCAAGAAACATGGTGTTGCTCCTTCAAGAAGTGAGGACCGCTTTGGACGAGTACAGCTCAGCCCATGCAAATGGGTATAAACTCCTCCTCACAGCTGCTACATCAGCAGGTAAGAGCCAGACATGGCCTCATATATGATCCGTAGTAACAAATAATGCAGGCCCACTGCACTATGAAAATCTCCACGTCGCGGAAATGGACAAATACCTCGATTTCTGGAACATCATGGCCTACGACTACTCCGGCAGCTGGGACACGATAGCCGGTCAGGATGCCAATGTGTATCCCTCCACCGATAACCCGGCGAGCACACCCTACAACACCAACCAGGCCGTGACGTATTATCTATCGTCTGGCGTTAGTCCCAAGAAGGTCATCCTGGGTATGCCGCTTTATGGTAGATCCTTCATGAATACAGACGGACCGGGTTCGGCCTTCTCCGGCATCGGTGGAGGGAGCTGGGAGAATGGAGTGTGGGATTACAAAGCCTTGCCTCAGGAAGGGGCGGAGGTGACTGTCCTCAATCAGGAGATTGCGAGTTACAGCTATGATTCGACGAAGAAGATGATGATCAGTTACGACACGCCGGACGTGGCGAGGATGAAGGCTGAGTATATCAAGAGTCAGGGGTTGGGGGGTGGAATGTGGTGGGAGAGCAGTGGTGATAAGACTGGGGATGAAAGTCTTATCTCTACGGTGTGTTTTTTATTCTTTTTCTTCCTCTCCCTGCTTTGATAATATGCTCATCCTCGACCAGGTCGTCGATGCATTCGGTGGCACAGCCGGATTAGACCAGTCCCCGAACGAACTCAGCTACCCCGTTTCCAAGTACGATAATCTCCGAAACGGGTTCCCGTCTAGCTAGACATGGGATCATGACCAGAGGGAGAAAGGATAAGGGTTACGTCTTCCACGAATCGGAGTATCTTTCTAGTCTCGTCTAGAAAGGATGTCCATGAAAGACAGCATCACGCATATTTACTTGTATTCATCACCTACATCGAGCCTATTACGTGCCAGGGGCCATGATTTAATGATCTAATGGTGATATGATGGAATTGATTTAATGAGGAGATGGTTATGGATTGTATTCTAGCTCAAGATAGCACTGATATTACTGATATTGTGAGATTCTATATTTATTTATTCATTATTGTAGGATAAACCTCAAGCAATTTGAGCATGTCATGGGAGCTGGAGAACGAGAGTTGTTACGAAATTCTCCTATTCCCGTGCCAGCTACAAATATCAAGCAAGCAAGTGCTAATGATTTCATATTAATACCCCCTCAGTACTCATCTAATGCACAGAGAATCCGTGGATGATCCAACAGGGTAGCTGGCCAAATACCGGATAAAAAGAGATATACCAATTTCTGACCGTTATGGTGAGCTTGAAGGATCCTCCCCTTCTGTTAGCCCATACAGGAGAATATAAGAATTTGGGAAAGAATCAGCAAGGCCATCACGAAGCATGTGGCATTGAATACGGACAATCCTCTTGGCAGCAAATGCATCATCCTGAGGACCAAAATGCCGACTAGCTCAGACTCTGAATCTGAATCCGACTCTGTCTGAGCCCGAGTCCATGAGAAGGATATTATCCTCATCATCTTTACGGATGGGAAAGGCTTCAAGACATGGTCTTCTTCTCCCGTAAGTTCGACTTGACGGAACTTGTCGATCTCCAAATTGAGCGACTCGCGCGTGGAGACTATTTGCATCTAGTCGAGAAGCATCGGGCATCGGCGCGGATGGTTTGGAGTCGGTCTTTTTGTCGCTTTTTTTGTTTCTTTCAGCTGCATGTTGGGAGTGAGATTGCTTGTCATTTCTAGGGGAGAGAAGTCTGAATACCTGAAATGGGTTATACCACTTTCCGTGGAAGTCTTCCAGGCTTCCACTACCCAGGTCGATTGATATACGCCGTGATACTGGGGTATTATACAGGCTACAGACTGAGCATATATAATGGAGAATGCAAATGAAACTGCATGATGCTACAGTCTGAGCCCTGCACGTGTTATCTGTTATCCTCTTTCCCTTTAGAGACAAAGTGATTATCTCCTTCACTCCTTTCTCGTCTCTCTCTCTTCTCCCCCTCCCTATCTCTCCCTGCTCAGAACTTCTTATGAACTTCCTTCTGACAAGCAACACAGTCAAAAGAGATGTAAGTAGATTTTGAGCGATGATTTCATTTGATGCGGAAAACTAATCGCTATACTTATAGGAGCGAAAACGCAGCAACTCATCTTCCCCCGCGAATCGGCACTCCACCACCACCGCCAAAGAAGAGTATGTTAGCAATCAACATGGACGGAAGAACATATAATAACAAAGTTTTAGAACATGGCAATTGCGACTGGGAGAATCTTTTTCACAGAGGCTAGGGCTGACCATATTGCCAGCCATATACCAGGCGCCTGTCGTTGCATTCTCCCCCCAAACGAAACAACTAACTCTCCGTCCATTACAGCTTCACTGTGGTTTCGGCCACTCCCGCGGCCGATGAAGGAGAAAAAGGGAAAGAAGAACTATCCTTTGCATTTGTATGTTTCTATGTTTTATTTTCTGTGTAGATTTTGTTGAGATTATATTTCGTGTAAGCCCAATCTGTCCAATCCGTAACCAGCGTTGGCTACATCTTTTGTGTCTCCAACATGAGCCATGCCGGCACCATCGCTTCTACTACACTGCACACAGCAAGTAGCTGCACAGACATGCGATAAATACAATAATGTTCCTGCCGTTTCTCGTTCCTTTCTTCCGTGATCATCTCATTAGATACTCCATCAATAATATGCAGAAACACAGAACGATCCTGCCGAATCGCGTCATCGCGGCCCACGGTGATGTTATGAAGATCGATAGATATCGATAACTGCGGACAATCGCAGAGCATGAGGGGAATCGAGGGGAATGGAGGGATAAAATGGAGCAGCTTTCTCGTTGCTGTGGACTTTTGTTCTTGGAATTCCTGAGAATCCCTTCTCGTCGAGTGCCACGGCTTTCCCCGAACAACCATAACCATGTCTGCTACAACAACAGCTACAGCGGATCAACCCCGCAAGAAGCTCATTCTCAATGCCTTTGTTGAAATGTGTATGTTTGTCTTTGCTTCTTTTCAGTCGAACGTGCTGACAATTCCAAGGCAGCGGCCATCAATCCCCAGGACTCTGGAGACACCCCGAAGACGAATCCTACCGCTTCAACGACGTCGACCATTGGGTCGAGCTCGCCCAGCTGCTCGAATCCGCTAAGTTCCATGGTATATTCATTGCTGATGTCCTAGGTACTTTCCTCTGCCACCAAGTCCCCATGGAATTTAAATTTATACCACGGGCGCCATCGCTCTAACTGTTCATAGGAGGATACGACGTCTACAAAGGACCAAGGAACCTTGAACCGGCTATCATCTCAGGTGCTCAATGGCCCGTTAATGAACCGCTGGCTGTGGTCCCCGCCATGGCTGCTGCGACAAAGAATATTGGTTTTGGGGTCACGGTTACCACGACGTATGAGCAGCCGTACCATCTGGCTAGACGGTTGTCTACAATTGATCATCTTACCAAGGGACGGTACGTCGGGCTCTATATTTCCTTGGATCCTGAGGTGCAAGGGTGCTAATGTTGCCTCTCGATGGTAGGGTAGGATGGAACGTGAGTTGACTCTCGCCAAAATATTCTGATAAACCCAAGCTAAACCGTCTAGATTGTCACCGGTTATCTTGACTCTGCTGCTCGCAACCTGGGACATAGCCAGCAGCCCCAGGTTGGTCCATTCCCTATGGTTCCTTCATACAAACCGCTGACACTACGAATCCAGCACGACGATCGCTACGCCGTCGCAGAAGAATACATCAAAGTAACCTACAAACTCTGGGAATCATCCTGGCGCTCCGATGCCGTCATCCTCGACAGAGAACGCGGGATATACACCGACCCATCCCGAGTCCGCGAAATAAACCACGTTGGCAAATACTTCAGCGTCCCCGGCCCACACATCTGCCAACCAAGCCCCCAGCGTACCCCAGTGATCCTGCAAGCCGGCACCTCGAAAGCCGGAAAGAACTTTGCGGCACAGCACGCAGAGGCAATATTTGTTGCTGGACACAGTCCCAGCGTTGTGGCAAAGAATATCTCCGAGATCCGCGAACTGGCAAGAGAGAATTTCGGTCGTGACCCGCAGAGTATCAAGTTTTTGGCCCTTCTTTGTCCGGTCCTGGGACGGACAGAGGAAGAGGCTGTGGAGAAGTTCAAGTATTATCGGAGTTTGGGGTCGATAGATGGTGCCCTTGCTCTCTTTGGTGGGTGGACGGGTATCGACCTGAATAAGTATGGTGACGATCAGGAATTGCGCCATGTAGAAAGTAATGCCATTCGGTAGGTTGTTGCATTATATGTGCTTGATCCATTCTGTGCTCATACTAACTTGCCGTACAGCTCTGCCGTTGAAGGCTGGTCTAAAGCAACTCCCGAAGTATCAAAATGGACCAAGGCAACCGTAGGCCAACATATCACCGTGGGCGGCCTAGGCGCAACACCAGTTGGCACGCCAGCACAAGTTGCAGACCAAATGGAGCGCTGGGTCCGAGAAGCTGATGTTGATGGATTCAACCTTGTAAGTTTCAATGCGAACGGTCGAAGCAGACGGTGAAAATATCAAGCAAACTAATACTGTACAGGCATATGCCATTAAACCCGGCTCATTCAAGGATATCATCGATCTCCTTATTCCCGAGCTTCGCAAACGCGGACTCTTCTGGGATGACTACGCCGTCGAGAAGGGGACGTTCCGGGAGAATCTCTATGGGAAGAAGGGCCAGTCGGGACCCCCGGCGGATCACCCTGCCTCGAAGTATCGGTGGAATGCTGGTGTTGATGCGGCGGACCATAAGATTCCAGACGATGAATAGACCGCCGTACATGTAAGTATCTAGATTATTCTAAGACTACTGTAACAAGACAGAAAGAACGAGGTTGTCTAAAACAAAGATGGCATCCGAGGAGGACGCCAGTACTCAGTAGGAAGCTCCAATGTACAACCCTCGATGGGCTCGAGCTCCCCCTTATTAACAAACCCATCCCTCTCTACCTGCTTTTCATCCTCCGGCGGCGGTGCGTTGCGCACCACCGAATTCAACGCCTCATCATTCACCTGGACGCAGTACCGGTACCGCGGAGACTGGCCCGGCCCAACGTTGGTACTGCCCTGTTCTATATGCGGTGCAGCAGCGGCCCATTTCCGAAATGCTCCTGGACCTTCATTGTAGTGGTCTGGTTGAAAATGGAACGTCTTCGTAGAATGGCAGTAATGAGTGATGCTGGGTGGAAGAACTCATGGAAATTGTGGCTCTGGAGAGTTGTTTAGTACTCGCGAGAATCAAGCACTATTAGTCGTTCTTAGGAAATCATCATTTAATCATCATTTGAGCAGTGGTACAGAAGTCTTAAAGCCAAAATCCGCACCAGATTATATGCACTTCCAGGGTTTATTCTCTCCCTTGAAAGTAGACGTCAATCGACACAATCAAAACCGCAAAACATTCCCTAACCTTTCCGTCCTAAACGGCTCATAACTAACCGAAGTATCATCCTTCCGTTCGATCCCCGTGGAGTCCCGAATAATAGTCTCATCACTGGTATTCCTCGTATTGGACATGACGATGGTTTTGGCACAAGCACCGTGATTCGGATCGACGACTAACGGTTCAGGCGCGGATATAGAAAGCTTGCCATATTTCCGACACCTGCCGTACATAGGCAGTTTGTAGGAAGTGTTTCCGGACGAGCTGCTCTGGCCATTTCTGCCATACCAACACGGATGTAGAGGGACGCAGGACGGGGATGGATGAGCACATTATCGTGACGCAGCTTTCGATAGCAGACCAGATTATCATTGGGACGGTGTCGTCTGTGGTCGGTTAGTTTCTACTACTATTGTAGCTAGAGGTTGAATAAAGAGAATAGAGAGGACGTATAGATGTACTCGGATGCACTCAAAACGGAGAGTGCTACAGTGCGGATGATGCCGCATACTCCAGTGCTAGTTAGATTATACCTCGTTAGAATGACAGTCCGAGAGAAGCAAGTGATCCAGACTTACAATACACCAAGGCTGAGACCACAGGCAATGGTGATCTTTTCCTTCCGCTTCATTTTCAGCTTCCAAAGGACGAACCACGGAAGAATGGCAAAGGAGAAGTCGGCGGCGACGAACCACGCTGGAAGAAAAGTATCAAGCTTAGCATTCTGACTTGAAGGGAGACGTCACGATGGAACACCCACATCCAACAGTATATCCAACCTTGGAGAAATCCAGCCAACATGATCCTGGCACCGTTGGATTCCAGCTCTTCTCAACCGGCACACACTGTACAATAACCGTAACGGTAGAGAATACAATAATGGGAACAGTAGCCGCAATGCACAACCAGATAAACCAGATCTGGGTTTTATTCTGCACGATCCGAAGAAGAAGCATGCCGACAGCCAGTTTCCTATGCCGATGCTCATGAGACCGGCTGCCTGGCTGAACAGTTCATACTTGACAGCTGTGAAATAGGTGGCTGGATATTCAGCTTCAGCGAAGAGTCGTCCTAGACTGTAGGTGGTGGCTATGGTGACGAAGATGGTGTAGAGGATATGGACGGCCTGCCGTGCAGCATTGTCAGTATTCGCATACTTTACCAAGCTGTGATTGCTCTCACCAGCGCAATAACAGTTAGATAATCGTCAGGGCCAACGGCATTCAGGATTTCTTTTCGTGTGTAGAGCCGTAGCCCGACGAAGACGGAGAATATAACGAATTCCACCCAGAGGATGGCATTGGTCATGGGCCCTAGACCTCCGTATGCGCCCAGGCTGATGACAAGGTCGCAATAGATAGAGACTGAACAGAGTAGAGGTAGTCTATACAGTTCCCATATGTATTCGAGCGGAATGACGAAGAGAAGATGCAGTCTCTGGGCTTTTAGCCCAGACTTCTGGACAGACATGATCGAGAGACAACATGTCGAGCTGCTGATTTTACTGCTTGCCAACGATAATCAGTCGACACATGGAGTGCTTGATCTGGCCGTAGCAGGTTGACTATGGCATCTTAATATGTACCTAAAAGCCGTAGTAGTAACTACTATGCACGGCACGTGCTAGTGCTACGCTAATCCTAATTAGGAATTGACAGACACGCGTAAAGCAACGACACAGCTTATACTACTGACTAGTATACAGCACGACAGATGGCAGATGACAGATGACAGGCCAAATTAATTGTCCTCGGGGAGAAGAAGTCAGTATCCGCTCTGGACTGCAGTGGCGTGGCACAGAGAGAATCTTCAGTGAGTTAACCGTTTGCAACTCTCCTCCCGAGCGCATTCCCGTCCTGAAGAATAGCAGCCGTTGCACGACGATCTCATTCCCACTGCAGAAAATGCATCGGATCTGGCTTAAACCACAAGTCAAGCATGCATCTCCCCCTGTCTCATGGAGGAGCACTGCTACGCACTCCAGCGTCGCTCCAACAAACCGGAAGAACATGCTCAGAACGACAGCTTACGACTCGAATGTGCTGAAACGCCAGCGCAGCTTGGCGAGCCACATGGGATCGAATCATGGATTCTTCAGCAACTACGCCTCGTGGGCTGAGTAGTCCACTGGTGGATTCCAGACTGATGGAATCTACATTCCTTAGCGAGGGATGAACATTGGACATACCTCGGGAGTCTGTTATCTGATACGAAGGCCTGTGGCTTGCATATATTGCAACGTGGTATTCAAAGCATGAGGGACTATTGTGGGGGCATTGTGCCTTCGAGTGCTGATGAATTTATACTGTTGGGCTTACTTCCATGTCCGAATCAGGCAATGGATATGATATGGCGTGGCATTACACTTCGCGCATAGGGCACTTACTAGGTAACCCCTGGAAGGTCGATGCAATATTAAATGGGCAGGTATATACTGTATCCAAATCCCAGTTGTTCAATATAACATTCTCATATTATCCACCAGCACTTCTTCATACCCTGATCCGGCTGTGAGCATGCCGTCTCAAGCACAAGAAATCATCGCTGCTCTCGATGCAGTTCACCCCGAGGCCTTTGGCGGCAACGAGGTAGAACGCCTCCGAGTACGTGCTGCAGCACGCCGACTGCTCGCCAGGCTGGAAACTCCCTACGAGCGCGCCTGGGGCTTCTGCTTTGAACACCCCGTCGTCTTTGTCGCCCTGCAGACATGCATCGACCTGGGCCTGTGGAAATCCTGGACTGCCACGGGAGGTGGTGAGAAGTCGATCGACGAGCTGGTCAAGCTCACCACTCCCACCATCGAGACGAATCTTCTGCGTACGCTTCATTCCTCACCCCGGTGGCGCATGAGTTTGGCTCGCTGACGACAGGCGCACATACAGGTCGTTCTTCCGCTTACTGGCGGCTTTCAATGTGGTCGAGGAGACCGCAGAAGACAAGTTTAAACCCACACCGTTCTCGTACGCCATCGGTGACGAGAGTACCAAGGTTCGCGCCTCACTTCAAGCAGCGTATGTCCTCCAGCCATCAGCCAGTTCATGTTGCCGTATTCATGCTGATGTTGTGGCCAGGACATACCAATACATCGCAGCTGGCCACAACCTGCCAGTATATCTCGCCAAGACCCAATACAAGGAACCCACCGACGCCAACGTGAACAACTACTTAGATAGCGACCCAGACGGCCTCAACTTCCTCGGACGGTTACAGAAGAACCCCGCCTACTTTGAGGCCTTCACCGGCCACATGGAGGCCTGGACAGCATGGAAGACGCCCTGGACAAAGGTCTACGATACGACCAGACTGCTGGACGGCGCTAAGCTGAGCGATACTTCTCCATGCGTTGTTGATGTTGGTGGAAATACGGGGATTGACATTTCCCATGTTCTCACCAAGCATCCGGATCTTCCTGCTGGATCGCTGGTTTTGCAGGATCTCCCGGAAGCATTGCTAATGCTCAGGTTGATAAGAAGATCACAGCTATGGCGCATGATTTTTCCCTTCCCCAGCCTATTAAATGTGAGTGACACTACTCCCTACTGCTAAGAAAGAGAAAGCCGGGAACTGAATGCTAATAATACCAAAACCACAGGAAGCCGCGCATACTTCATGCACGCCGTCCTCCACGACTGGCCAGATAACAAATGAGGCGGAGGTTGCTTAGGTTCAGGTTGGTTAGACTTGAAATTGAACGGACATAATAATAAAAATACCTCTGTCTAGTTATTCAATAAGCGTATCTATGAGTAGTAGGTGAAACACTTTTGCTTGCTCCAGCTTCCTGCAATAACCCAATCTAGAAAAATTCTATATACTAAGGGCGTTAAATAGACTGCACGATAAATATTCACTGTACGCTCTTTTTCTTTTTCGTCCCTTCGGGAACCCATAAATAAATGACAGCAGCAGTCCACTATGTCAACATATCATCCAGTCTCTCCCCGAGAACATCCTCAATCTGCTTTACCCACCTCCTTACCTCCCGCTCGACATTCTCATCCTCATCCTCCATCAACTCGCTGATATACGGGAGCATCTCCGGGAGAAGAGCAAGCCATTCCTCACCAAGCTGCTCCGTGAGGGCCTGCTCGGCCTTCAAAGCCGCGAAGCGAGTATGTGGGTTCTCACCTCCCGCCACTGAGGTGAAAATGGGTCCTGACGAGGGCCGGAGGAATTTCATCAGCGCCGAATTGAGCTCTTTGTGATTGTCCGTGGAGTCTGCCGCAACGGCAAGTTCCGTAATAGCCGGGATGGCCTCGGAAATGACGATAGATGCGGTGGAGGAGTTGGTTGCGTGGGCGATTTGGGAAATTAGAGGACTCGAAATCTGTGTGAGGTGGGAGGGGGATTGCCAGAATTCTGGTGGTGACGGTTAGACGGTCAAGAAATTTTACATAGATCAAAGGGATAGAATAATGCGTACCATCTTGGTCATGTTCAAACGCACTGCGGAGCATGCGCATTGTCGCCAACCAGAGCGTTTTAGTGGTTTTGTCGGTTGGGTTAGCTTTGGCAAGGACTTCGACGACATTCTCGATGATGTAGCTTGCATATCCGGTAACGATGGACTGCGTAATTCATCAGATATGACCTTTCAAAATGCTTCAGAGCTGGATACGTACCTTGAGAGTGCCAAAGAAAACCTGCAGGAATTTGTATAATGTCGTGAGGCGCGACATTCTGCCTTGAACATCTTTCGTCGGCAAGCCCGTCGTAGCCCATTCAACGAACTTGACGAAAATCGGACGGAACGTCGTGTCGTTCAGCTTATATATCATATTTATGGCGACCTGATTGACCGTCTCCTCTATCTCTTCGAGGTCAGGTGCATCAAAAACCGCTTCGGATCCAAGAACGACTTGCTCCCGTCGCAAATCGAACGCCTTGAAAAGAACATTTGACAAGACTCCAACGTTCTTGATAGTGGCAGACTTTGGATGCTTTTCGATTGCAAGACGGACAACTTCAAGCGCTTCTTTCGTGGCTATTGGGCCCGCCTGCGTAGCATGCTGCCAGTTGCGGTCAATGGTAGCGAATGTCGTACCAACATCGAGCTTCCTGGCCATCAATCTCAACGTTTCCTGGCGACTATCGTCACTGCTCTCATCAAGGTCGGAGTTGGCAGATTTGAACGATAGGATGAGAATCTTGTCCAAATGAGCCCCCGAGACCATAAAGGGAAGATTGATGAAGAGGGCAGAGAATAAGGAGAACACAGCATCATGCAGTCTTGAGTTCTCCTTACCCTCCTCGAGACTTAGCTCCAACAAGTTCAGAGACCGTTTGAGAGTTTCAGGGAGTGCAGGGATCATAGCCTGTCCGAGTACTTCGGCCAGCGATGCGAGACACAGCACACCCATTATGCGGATACGACCATCCTCCAAGCCAATGCAGGATTCACTAGCAACGACCTTGGCAGCATCCATAACCTTTGAAGGATCTTTTCTGCCATACTTGTCGGCAATGCGATCGATACAGGCAACGGCAGCGTGCTTGAGCAGAATATCTGGTGATGATTCGACGATGCGCACCAAAATGGGCAAGAAGTCCAGAACCCGATTCTGCGACTCACTATCCCGCTCAGGATTGAGACGCAGTCGGTTCTCCAACAGCCGAAGGACCTTGCGCCGAAGGTCATCATTTGGTCGTTGAAGCAGAATTTCGATAGTATCAAGGAAGTCAACAAGAGACAAGGTGCCAAATAAGGCGCTAAGAACATCGCCACAAGCTTGATTGACAGGCTTCATGTCCTGTGTGATGTCGCCAATGCGCAAAATCTGTTCCAAAATGCGCGAGAAAAAGACGCGGATTTGATCTGATGCCTCGGTATCTCCCGAAGCGAAAGTCCTTGCCATCTTTACCTTGAGTGAGGAGTGCTTAAAAAGGTGTCCCGAAACTCGCAGCAAGTCAACAGCGACCTTCTGAGGTTCGCGTCCCTCGCCGCCTCCAATTCCAAGTAGAACTTGTGAAATGCCGGGCTTCGGATTAAGCGAATCGCTGACTAGGTTCAAATACTTGCTATACGTCTATACAAAACATAGTCAGTAAAAATTTGAATGCGAAAAAGATAGAAGAAGGCCGGGATAAACATACAATGAGTTCGACAACGGCACTGGCATCCGACACCAAACCGATCATCAAGGTCAAAACATCCTTGTCCATCGCATACCTGTTCGCGAGCATCGCTATTACGGCAAACAGGAAATCCTGTGTTCCGAGCTTCGTTATTAAAGCGTGGAAGAGTCGCAGGCGGCGATGAGAAGGAATATGCTCGAATGCAGCGGTGAAACTCAGAAGCAGCTCCGAAGTTCCAGAGACAACATCACGCTTCTGATTCCGTAATGACTGGATGAGAGCTGGAACAACTTGGTCTATCGTCTGGTCAATTACTGAAACGGAGTACTCGTCGTCTTTCCGGAGTACACTGGTGCCCATGAATGTGAAGATGGGCATCACGCTATGGAGAACTAACTCCGGCGCAATAACGGAGAGTCCTGCGACAAGAAGAAGAGCCACGTTCTGTACTTGCGGGCTCCCTGTTGTTCGAACGCAGTCCACAACCAAATCAGCCCGGATAACTGACGTATCAAACTGAGGTTTTGAAACCCCCTTTATTTGAAAAGTCAGTGGCGTTAAGACAGAAACCTAGCTGCAGGGCAACATACCTTAGATCTGTTAACAATGGCTAGAAGACTGCCCAGGGTCAAGCTAAGTAGGTAACTCATCCCAGAATGAATTTGGGTCTTAAAGTGATGAAGGGCTGCAAGGGTTTGGAATAACCCGTCAGCCAATTCTGGATGAGCTTCCGGCGTAGAGCTATCCACAAGCTCCAGGATGAAAGTCATCTTCTCCATAAGTTTCCTGAACTCCGCATCATCTTTGACGGTCATAGCGACCATGTTAGTCTGGCTGGTGCGGCGTCGCTTGGGTGCCGGCCCAAGATTGTCAACATCGGTAAGGGATGCCGGAATCTCTCGCAGGAAATGAACGAGAACACTTCCAGGAAGCTCAACAGCACGGAGAACCTCTTTGCAATTGTCAGCCAGTGACGAATCACCTGTAGATGGACCAAGAGATATCTCCAGCAACTTATCCGCAGCCAGGTGCTGTCGATCTTCTGGAATCTTAGCCCAGATGTCTTTCAAGCGGCCAAGAATTGCCGTTATGAATGACGGTCTCAAGGAACCAGAGTCGCCAGATTTGATACTAGAAAAGATAATTGAGACAGCATCCTTATCCTTAGGCGTGACAATTCCCGCAATTTGCTGCTCAGCATCAGAGGGAGAAATGTGTTCCTTCTCACATATTACTTGAATTTCCTTGTCATCTAAGCCGCGCCACTTTTCTAGGACAGGTTGAAGTTCCTTCGTACGAGTGGAACCACCGGCCTTGTCAACGTTGTTGAGAAGTTTTAATAAACCAAATCTAAAGGCAAATGGCGGCAATTGGACAGCATGGGAGCAGAGAAATGTGAAGAAGCTCAGCCGAAGAGATTTCTTCAGTTCACTTGCGCTCGAGCCTTCAGGGGCAGCAGATCCTCGCAGGGTTCTCACTAGGACTTTACCAACATGGGCTGAGTCCAGGACGTACTCTTCCAGATCGGGAAGCAGGGCTCGCTCTAGGATCTTGTGAGCATCACGGATGGAGAGCCACGATATGTTGTTTGATATTTTGCCTTGCCCGTACAAGATTTGGGAGGCCTTAGCGTTCCCTGACTGGCCCTCCTCCTTTTTGTTTTTCTTATAGAGATTGCCGAGAATGGTCAAAAGCCCAGCAGCCTCCCGGCGAATCCTACCTGAGGCATCCGCAAGACTAACAAGCAGGAAAGGTAGCATAGCCTGGAGATCGGGATTGACAGATGGGCCCGAGGAAAGCAAGAAGGAGATGACGTTGAGTGCCTGGGCTCTCACGCTGACAGGGTATGGTCCCGAAAAGACCCTAACAAAGAAGGACAGGAATGCGGGGTTTTCAGCAGCCACAGCCTTCCCGAGAATTGGAAGGTTGACGAAGGAATTGATTCTATTCTCCGAGCCAATAGCCAAGGCAAAGGCCTGAACAAGCTTGTCAAATAGGGGAATAGACTGTTCTTCAAGGAAGGAGGAATCATATAGACTTTCAGCAGCCAAGGATTCCAGTGCTGGAGTGAAAACATCCTGTTCTTCTTCACGATTAGAGGTTGTGTCCTTCATTTCTACGTCTTCTTCTGCAGGAGGTTCAGGCAAAGCTTCGATAATCGTTTGAAGGTTGTGTTCCAAAGAAGCAGCATCAAAGGGGGATTCTGCCAGAGTCTTCTGGAAGATGGGCTGGAGGTAATCGGAGCGGTTGAACTGCTGAACAAGGTCTGCCAGATACGTTTGGGCATCCAGTGACAATATGCCGTTCTTATGGGCATCACTGACTCCATGGAGGATCATGGCCATGCCTTTGCCCGTGTCCGATTCACCCAGCAATTTGCTCTGTAATATGGCGGATAGTAAGTCAAGTCGCACGGTGTCCTGTTTGTTTAATTCCTCCACACATCCAGCGACAACCCCGAGCAGTAGAGGAGATGCGTGGTACTGCATTGCAATGTCGGATAACAGTTTGATCGGATCTTCCAACCGGAGAATGGCCATAAAAACTCTCTTTGGCAGCTTGACGTCGGATTTGTGCTCTGCGAGAACAGATAGACATATGAGACCAGAGGTAATTGTTTCCTCAGTCCAGGATCCTGCAACAGCTTCCATAAGACCGTTCAACACCTTATCTTCAAGAGCAACCTTCTGCGCGAGAACCACAGAAACCATGTATCCACCAATAACCAACTCTGAAACCTTCTTCATAGAGAATACATCGTTCAGAACGGGAAGAACTCGCAACAATATATCTTCGTGCTTTTGCTTTTCGATCTCTTTCCGCCCAGAGCGTGCTGAATCCAACATTGAAGCCACAGCCTCCGTCATGATCCCCGCCCAGAACGCCAGCAGTGCATGGTGATGCGCCTGCTGCCTGCTCACTTTAAAAACGTAGCTGTTCAATGCCGAGAAGAAATGCTTGTTTGTTATCGCACTGTGGAGAATGGGGTGTCGAGGAGGATTGATCTCGCTCCGCTTGTACGGATTAAGCACTTTGAAAGTCGACGTAAGGTCGTCTGGAAGAATGGACATCAAATTCAAGAATAGTGGAGTCGTATGATACGGGAGAAATGTGAGAATAACACATGAGGCGTTGTATTCATGCACCCTGAAATTCATTAAATTAACCGCTCGTCAGCCAAGGAACTTTTTTCCATCTCGACAATGGAGGATTGCTACCGTACCGAAAACGCCTCACAAGCCAATCGACTGCCTTAACTGCAGGAGCCAGCAGTAGTCTCCCTCCAACCAGAGCAAGGAAAGACTCAAGAACTGCGTCTAGTTCTTCGTTCTGGGCAGCCGTCATTTGTGTTCGATCCTCATTCTTGCTTTGCTCGCTGAAAATCGTACGCTCGAATTTGGCAAATCTCCTGTCCAAGAGACATAGCTCTTGAAAGCCCTCGTAGCATATTTGATAGATAGTATCAAAGTCTTGTGATCCAGCAACCTTTCTATCGAAAATCAAGGATTGTGAATGAGATATTCTCTGCGCTTTAAGATCGAGTTCGTTCGTTGATTTTGCCGCAATCTGCGACAATTGCGCGGCGAGAGAGGACATCTCGACAGAGGGGTATGAAAGAAACTATCGAATCAAATAAAAGAAGTTCATCCCTTAAAAATATCCTGGCCAAGAAGGATTATCTACCGGCTTCACAGAGACAACGCGGCAGCTGTTCTGCGTTGCGGAACTTTTTTCGGATTTCAAAAAAGTTGCGGATCCGGAAAGGAAGTTTTTCCTGCTGCGCGGAGTTTAGGGCGGAGCTAGCAGCGACTTTATTGTCAATGAACGCATTTGAGATCAACATGCCGAATATCCAGGAGCATGGATTCATCTGGCTCCCAGGTGGGTGGATTTTCATCTTAATATATTCTTGAAAAGATGGACGCCTTATTTCTAATGATGTGCCATCCACAGGAAAAAAAGTCGATCCCGCGATTCACCAGCTTCAAACCTAAACCAGCGCCTCCACCTGAAGTCAATCGTCCACACGAACATCGCGATCGCGAGAAGTTAAGTCGCGATGAAAAGTCTCGACATAACTCCAGGCATAGGAGTCATCGCGAGCGCCGAGCTGATCGGAGAGAGCACCGTCACCACCGGAGGGACGACCATTCATCCACCTCCCGTCGCGTGGAGCCCATTGTGAATGAACCTCCACAACCAGAAACAGACTTGTACATCGTTGATCTCAAGGGTGACAAGTATAACCTTGTGTATGGGACATTACACCGCTACAGTGTTCCTGAATACCGCCGAATCGGCCGAGGACGGGTTCTTGGCCTTCCTCCAAGTTACAGGATTGACCGTGACTCGACGGAAGGGGACGCAGTGGTTATAAGGACGGATACATGGCGCGCCGATGCAACACGGGCTAAAACAAGAAGCGTGTTTTCAAAACAAGACAGACGACCGGCTAGATACCTACGGGTACGAAAAGATGTTCATACAGATCCAACAGATGCGTCGAAGGACTTCCTTCCTCTGAATATTTTCGGAAAGCGGAAACGTAGCGCAAGCTTGGGTAGAGTCGACTCAGAGGATGAAAAATACGCATACCGCTCGATCCACGGCAAAGCAAAGCCTGAAGATGTCCTTCCGAGCGAGTTCGAGGTTGTATCAGAGTCAGAGTCGGACGATGAAGAAAAGCGTCGTATCGACTTGGAAGATGAAGTGAAGCAACAAAATGCAGAATTTTCGCGAGCAGTCGAGCAGAATCCTCATGACGTTGCTGCGTGGCTACGGCTTATCCATCATCAGGACGCCCTCCTCGGAGGCGCTGTGAATGAATCGCGCCCCCTGAGCTATGCTGAAAACATGAGCCTGGCGGATATAAAACTATCCCTGTACAAGAAGGCCTTGAAAAGAGTTGGAGATACTCCTTCCAAAGATCGTCTCTTGTTGGGATTATTGGAAGAAGGCTCGAAACTGTGGGATACTAAAAAGCTTTCTGAACAGTGGCAGGATACCTTGAAGAATAATGCTGGATTTATTAGTCTCTGGATCAAATATCTTGATTTTCGCCAGACTGAATTCCTTGACTTCACCTATGATAGATGCATGGCAGCTTTTGTGGACTGTTTGAAGTTGAATGTGTCAAGTCCGGATAGTCGAGAGAAGGTCTACATTCAGACATACTTGCTTCTACGCCTGACTGCTTTTATGAGAGAGGCAGGGTTTACAGACCACGCAGTGGGCTTATGGCAAGCCATCCTTGAGTTCAATGTCTTCCAACCAGATGAACTAAACCAAAGCAGTGCCAAAGACCAGGCGTTGTCTGCTTTCCGTGAATTCTGGGAATCCGAAGTTGCTCGCATTGGTGATGCTGGTGCAAAAGGCTGGAAAAGCGACAGCAGCGCTCCTGTCGAGCCAAAAATGTCGACTTCAAAGTTCCATGTTGATCGAAGATCGGTATTCGCATCGTGGTCAGTTTGTGAAAGGGAGCGAATAATCAACGCTCGAATGCCTGCTCGCAGCTTGGACGAGTCAGATGAGGATGATCCGTATCGGGTTGTCATTTTCTCTGACCTTCAGGAGCTCTTGTCTCAATGTTGGGGGCTTGAGTTGAAAGATGCACTGATTGACGGTTTTCTCTATTACTGCCACCTGCCTCCCTTGCTAACTCCAGACAACACAGAAACCACCAGACGCTGGGGTGGTGACAATTTCTTACGAAATGAGTTGATTGACAACCCTGAGTTCACGTTGAACAATTGGCTTCCCAGGTTGAATACCGACACTGAAGACCCTGCAATCTCCCCTGTCCTGTTCCTTCACAATAACCTTATCCACACGACAGACATCCTTTTTGGCCGGCATCAACAATGGTTTTCCTCCTTTAGTCAGTGGACCAGCAACTTGGATGGGCGATCTGATATTGATACCGGCTGGGTACGAAGAACGTTGCGGATGTTGGCAGAGGCAAATCCGACCAACGATGGCCTCGCCGAGTATGCTCTAGCCTTCGAATCTGCGTGCGATACCAAGGATGCCAAAAAATATGCCAAGTCGTTGCTGAAAAAGAGATCGTCAAGTTTGCGACTGTACAATGCTTATGCCCTTATGGAATGTCGCACTGGAAGTCGCGCAGCCGCCGAGCATGTCTGGGCAACGGCTCTCTCGATGAGTACGACATTTCCAGATCACGACAGAATTGAATGCGCTCTGCTTTGGTGTACTTGGCTTTGGGAACTGCTATGGATTCAGGATAACGCTCGAGCGTCCCACTTGCTGCTTTCAATGCCCCAGAACAACGTGGATTTAAAGTCGTTTCCGGAGACGTTAAGTCAAGCAGTCTTTAGCCCCACTGGGCTGTTGAAGATACGAAGTGTAAGTGCTAGTGACAACTGCTCTCCCACACATTATAGTTTTCTAACATTACCTAGTTCTTAGTAGAAGCCCAGGAAAACGCTCTTAGCGTCAGAAATGCCGGCGCATTTGTAGCCAATGTCGATTGTCTGGCTATCCTCTCATATCTCGCACACAACTTGGATTTGGACAATGCCCTAGAAGCATACAACGCTGCTGTAAAGAGACTCTCCAGCTTACCTATGCAAGCGACAACTTTCAAATCCTTCACAACGGAGTTAATCCATCAGTCTCGATCCAAGCTCCTTTATCACCACGTCAGGACTCGAGGCACCTACAGGCCAGCCCGGATCCGAGAGCTCCTTGTAGAGAGCATATCCCACTTTCCACATAATACCGTATTCTTATCCCTATTCACCTGGAATGAATCTCGCTTCCGCATCGAGGGACGCGTCAGAGACGTCCTTGAAGACGTTACCACCAAAACATCCGAACCAACCGACCAAGATAGCCTCACAGCCACTACTCAGCAAATCCCAGTCACGTCCCATTTATTTGCCATCTACACTGAACTCAATCGCCCGATATACACGGGGTCAACAGTATATTCCGTCCGAGCCGCATTTGAAAAAGCCATTGGCGAAACAGAACGGCGGGCAGGTACTCGAAACACCGTTAATAATACTACTAAACCCACCAACGCTTCCGCGAAGTCGAACCTTTCCATTTGGAAACTTTACATCCTCTTTGAACTCGCCCAAAACGATATCCAGCGAGCAAAGGATGTCTTTTACCGTGCCATTCGCGCATGTCCTTGGGCGAAGGAGCTGATCATGCTCGCCTTTTCACATCTCCGTGCTGACGTCGTAAATCAACACCACCCGAAGGATTATTCAAATAAGGATGTTCGTGCGGCTCTTTCTGGACCTATTCCGAGAAGAGGGGATGGGATGGATTTCCACGAGCTGCATCGCGTATATAATGTGCTTGTAGAGAAGGAGTTGAGGGTCCATGTTGACATTGAAGGGCTATTGGATGAAATGGTAATGGATATGAGCAGGGATGGTCATGGTGGTGCAGCGGGTATATCTTTTGGCAGAGGAATAACTATGCCTGAGGATAAGGAGAGTGAGAGTGAGATTGAGAATGAGTATGAATAGAATTGTGTCTTGTAGCAGAAAAAAGAAAACTGAATGATAATGTGAAGGAAGAAAGCCATTAATGAAAAGTAACCGACACCTGTCCATATATACATATACTCCAGTATAAACGGCCGGTATACATACGTACAATGCCCGCGTCCAAACAGCTAAAAATGCTCTTTCCAGAATTTAAACTTGACGTTGTCAGTCGAAGCGCCCTTAGCCGCATCCCGGATCTGTCTAGCCACAGCATTCGGACCACAGAAGTAGACGCCTACCTCCTTGGTCGCGACTCTCTCCAGACCGGCTTCAGGCATGTAAGACTGATCAAGGAGTCCATTCCGCATATTGGTAAAGAGACGCGTCCAGTTCGGACGACCGAAATTGGTTCTACTCTTCAGCTCCGTGAGCGGATCGAGATCCTGCCCCACGGTATTGAGGTAGATGTTCGCTGCCATGTCTTGGTCCATGTGTTGCGTGAGGTACATGTGGATGCGCAGGAATTCGACACCATCCTGGAACAAGGCGTCGGAGGCCGACTGGGCTTCCAGCGAGGAAAGGAGGTCGTGGAACCATTCGAAGTTTTTCGTGTTTCTGCAGACCCAGATGAATTCGACTCTGCGGAGGCGCTGGGGCCGGTCGGGTCTGCGGCGCAGGTGCCAGATATTCTTCAAGATCGAGGCCCAGGGGGTGATGCCGATTCCGGTGCCGATGAGGACGGCGATCTCATTGCCGAAGACGTCTTCGGCTGGTGCGCCGTAGGGGCCGTCGATGCGGATTTTGGGCATTGTCTGCCCGTTTTGGAGGGCGATCTCGTACATTCCCATGGGGTCGAGGCCATCAAGGTCTTTCGCCTGCGCAGGACCGCAACCTAGCGCATTACCGAGGGCACGAGTGAAGTCGCCAATCTGTTTCACATGGATGCTGATGTACGGGTCAAAGGGGCAGGAAGTGATTGTGAAGGGGTGCCATTGGGTACTGGAGACTTCGGGGACTTGGATAAAGAGCCACTGGCCCGGTTTATATTTCATGCTTGGTTTGAGAAACTGGATCTCCATCGCGTCTGCCCACTCTTCATGAGAATCTGTAGAATATTCAAAGGGGGATTCTGTACGCAGACGTACCATGTGGATGGCGGATGACTTTGATAATCTCCGTCTCACGCCTAGCTCGGATTTCACGATACAGTCTTTCGAAGAGGTAGAGACCGCCAGAAATGAGCTCCCACCTCCAGCCCTCCCACCCATGACAGTGGTTCCAGAAGGCCTTTCCGGCAAGGGGCGATACCGGTTGTGTTGAATCCCGCACGAAGCACCCAGTGGCGTGTGTGTATAAGCTTAGGAAGAATGGAATAAAGAGATGATGCGTGTACCAGAACGCCTCGAAGGACTGTTGACGGATGCGGTGATGAGAAGTCGTATACATTAGTAGCATGCAGAGAAGCATGATGTGACCGGTGATTCCCCCTGCCTGGGTATAGTGAATCTGGACTGCCCTTCCTGGCCGGATCTTTTCCCTCTCGACGTTGTAGAAACTAACAATACAGTCAGAAATGAGGGATTGTAAGAGTAAGCATCTTCTGGCTTACTTGACATAATGACCAGCGGTGTGAATAATGCTGAAAAGCAGCATGGCATACGCCACTTGACGGTGAAACCAGACGGCTTCATCAAGCGGGAGCCATTTAGCCCTGGGCCTGACAAATCTTAGCACGTTCCTGCACATGGGCAGGAGGATGAGGAACGCGTCCACGGTGAGGGTGAGAGCGGAACCCCTGGAGATCCAGACGGAGAAGGAGAGGTGCTCATTCAAGGCAGCCAGCTCGGCATCGCTAGCTTGGAAATACCTAACGGAAGGTCAGCCGGCGTAAGTACGTTGAGGGCTTGTCAGAAACCGTACCATCCAAGGGCGAAGAGGAGAATATGAAGGCCCCAGAAGAGGCAGTAGAACAGGAGTTTTGAGGGAGCGAAGTGCGATGACAGCGGATATCGCATGCCGGCCACGTTGCTGTGGAGTACCTTGCACAAATAAACAGAAAAAATCGCAGAAGAAGAATAGATAATGCACGAGAGGGTCGAAGAACTGAAGATGTCAATCGACTATGCCGTCGCAGATGAGATGTGATGCTTTTTTGTCTGAACCTGGATCTGGGAAACAACCGACACAGAATCAAAGACTTGCAAAGATTATTCAAACAAATGATCTGGTTCAGTCTATGCGCAGTCGTCCATCACCATCAAGGCAATAGATATGGAGAATACAACGACGTGGGATGCAGTGACGAGAGGATATCCCGTTAAGTGTCACCAGGATATCTGGGCAAGGATGCTGGAGTGTCCCTGGTCCAAAGGACCCGTCGTACGATGGCGCGTCCATTGTCACCAACAAAAAGATGCAATTGTCCTCTATCACAGTGAATCGATGGTTGCTGGTCGAGTCAGGTCTGTCGTATCACAGACATTCTGCAGGCGCTTCGTTCTCGTCACAGCAAGCGTTGGCTGCAGAATGCGCATTGACGCTCGGCATCAGAGCCTGTCTGTCAGTTTGGCCAACCGCAAGAGGCGAGATGCTTCATGCATATCGACTACTGTCAGCCATCCCGGCGCCTAATCCAGCACGCTGATTGCGTCGCACATACCGAGGAATTCCCAGCGTTTGTCTCGATGCTGCGATTCGCCATTGTTCCTGTTCCTACTTGAACTTCATGCAGCATGAGCTGAAAACGTATCTCCTCTATTCGAGCCATCACATTGCAGCGATGAAGCTCCATGCAGCTCCATCAATTCTGCGCTCAGGTGGTGTGCCTCTGGGAGTCTTCTTCTGAGCGCTGGCGTTTCGTCCTGTCTGGTTGTCTGCTGGTACACTGCACAGCGCTGCTTTTGCTGGACAAAGGAGCATACCAGCTTCCCGAGGACCCCTCTATTCTCTACGTCTCGAAGACTGCTCTTCCACTTTTGCAAAATGGGCAGGCTCATCAAGAACCACTGGGCTCGTCTCATCGTCCTCTCAGCTGCAGCGTGTACGTTTGTTTCCATGCCTCTTTGAAGATGCGCGATGCACCTCCCATCATACTAACGTGGCGTACGGGACAGACCAAATAGGCAGCGCGATCGAAGACTTCATCTGGCCCAAAGTCTTCTGGGACTTCACCACCACGAATCTAAACGGCGCCGTCAAACCCAGCCCGGTTTTCCAGATTTTCAATCTCGTCCTGGGGCTCCTAGGAATTGCTTTGGAATGGCCACTTCAACCGCTGGCGGGAACCGTCGTTCACAGAAGCATTGAGTATCGGATGATCATCTACCCGCTCAACGCATTGTTCGCTGCCTTGATTTATCAGGGGATGGACCCGGCACTGTACTATCTGATTGGCATTGGTGTGTATTTCTGGGCGTATACCGAAGGGGAGGTATGCTTTTCGTCCAACATCTCGCCTGCTGCCGTTTGCCGAATCTGACTTCACATGGGAATAGGTTGTTTGTCCGGAGCCATGGATGTTGCCGGAGAAAGCAGAGCTGAAGGTATAACGTCCTTGATCTATTCGAGTTATTACTGTGCTTCTTTTTACGAGTCGAAATGATACCTCTCTCCCATGACATGTATGACCTTGTAGTACAAATTGTCGATTATTGAACTACACGCCTCAAGCCCCTTCGGATGAACTGTACCATTAATTTTGTGACCATTAAAATGCATCTCGTACGATTTCATCTAGAATGAACATGCTAGAAACAAGAACAATAACACTGTTCATTTGACCCTCTTATGATTCTCTATGATCACGTGTTGAGGATGGATCTTCAACCACCGAACCTCACCGTTCCTCTGTAGTACTTCGTATTAAACCAAGGGCACTCCTGGATGGAAACTCCTGTGCTCAGCGCTGTTCTAATGGGCAACAGATCACGATGATGAGAAACTAGCCCTGCAGATTCTACAGTTGCCACCTGCTGAAAAGTTCCGGATTGGGAATTTGGAAACCAGTGGATAGAGCCATGGCTCGCTGCTCTAGACAGCCCAGACTCAACTCATCGCTAAACACAGATATTTGCTCTCAAGAACACTGACAATCTCCTTTTGCAAAGCGTTTCCCAGAACAATGGCTTACTCAGTATCCCCCGTCGATGCTACGAACGGGGCCGATGATCTCTATAATAAAGGCGCGGAAGAAGACGTCCCCGTCAACAAAAAGACCAGCTTCAACGGCAGACTGAACCAATACTTCCATATCTCAAAACCTCAAGATCCCGCCTCCATCGATTCCAGAACCCCCACAGACAGCCCCAAACGGAAACTGGCCACAAGTAGTGAAGGGGGCACGAGCATGAAACGGACGAAGCCGATCCTCAAAACTACGACAACGACAACAATAGCACGAGTAACGCGTTCTTCATCATCCTCTAGATCCTCCACGCCATCCCCGTCGGCACGATCTACGACTACAAGAAGAAAATCTGCCCTAGGAACAACTCCCAGCCCCCAAAAAGCCCCATCCCCCCTCCTCATCAGTATCTCTCCTCCGCGATACTATTCCACCGAATCTAGTCCTCCTCCTCGTGGGCGTGAACCCGGGCATAATGACGGGTGTCACAGGCTTTGCCTACGCCCACCCCTCGAATTTATTCTGGAAACTCCTGCATTCCTCCGGCATCACCTCCATCCGACACCCGCCGTCGGATACCTATAAACTGCCAGAGTTGTATAGTGTCGGGAACACTAATATTGTCGAGCGTCCCACGCGCGATGCGAGTATGCTCAGCAAGGCTGAGATGAACGCCGGCGTGCCCGTGCTGGAGGCCAAGGTCGCGTCGCAGCGTCCCGAGGCGGTGTGCTTGGTTGGGAAGAGTATCTGGGAGGCTGTGTGGAGGGTGCGGAAGGGAAGGGCGATTCGGAAGGAAGAGTTCCGGTATGGGTGGCAGGACGAGGAGGAGAATATGGGCAAGGGGGATGGGTGGAAAGGGGCGCCTGTTTTTGTGGCTACCACGACAAGTGGACTGGCGGCTGGAATGAGCATGCAGGAGAAGGAGGCTGTTTGGGCTGAATTGGGGAAGTGGGTGGTAAGGAGGAGAGAGGAGCGTGCTGCTTCTGCCGCTGCCACTGTTTCCAAGGGAGACCAATGATGTGTCCCTCAGAGAATATTGGTTATACGGCTTTAAATAACTACTGCTTTGGTGGTGGTACATACCCTACGAAGAGCCATCATGCTGGACACTGGCTGCCTCTCTAATTGAATAGAGTAAGATGTTGACCAAATGACGCGTCTACGGTCCTTGCCTCCGTCAACAAGGTGCCCATGCTTCTCATACCGAGGTTAATCCAGAGTGTTCTGCAATTTGGGAACCAGGAGTCTTTTTGGAATTGATTTTTGTTTTGCTTCATTAATTGCAGCCCTGCAAACCATAATTCCTCTTTTTCAACTTCCTGACAAACATAGGCCTGGAAATAAATATTAATATACAAATGGCAGAGTCCGAATGATTCCTCCGGGAAGAAGCTTCATCCACGCGTTTACCTTCTCTTCAACAGAGAAGCGCGGTTGTATGCATGTATGCACAGCTCTCACTCTGCATCGAAACGCACATGCCTTCCCATCCCATTCCCTTCCAAGGGAATGATCGGTTCTGATCAGAAGTTCTACCTCAATATTGATGGACCTTCATTGGCCACGTTCCTCTCGGCCTGGTGCTCGCGTTGCTGCACGAAACTCAGTGTCAGTAATTGAACTGGCCATGGGAAGGGACTCCCACTAACCGCAGAAAGCTGGTACTCTCCCCTCTCGAGGATTTTCTCCATGCAAACATCTTCATTATATGTTCCGAATTCATTTTCAAGACTGGCTCGACTGGCTCCGTCTAGCACTCCCTGAGCTCCATGCCTAGGGCAAAATGGGTTAGCAAGAGGCAAAACTCGTAGTAGCCCGATACCAATGGCGTTAACGGTACCTGTGAGTAGTAAATATTTTCCACCCGTTAACAACATTCGCGAGAGGAATAGTGCGGTCCCTGCGCCATTTGTTTAAGGTGTCGAGATCGTCAACGAAGACGATGAAGTCGTCCGAACGGCCCTTGTAGAAGAGCTTGGAGCTTGGATCGTTGGCGCGAGGCATGGTCAATTAAATGCGGTTGGCTCTTCTGATTTCTGATTATTCTTCTGTCAGGAAGAACGTGCTGTATTTGTGAAGAGCAGCGTTGAGAATGCTGGGTCGCCCTTGTCGGTGTCGCGAACAGTGACGTCACTGGGATGTACCCTAACAGTATGGAGTAGGAATCACTGAGATGCTGAAACTGCAGGAGAAAATAAGGTATAAGCAGCCACGCTAATAAGGAGCAATCAACTTGGTGAATTTGAGTTACCACCAAGACTCTGGCAGCCTTTAAATATAGGACAGGTCTTCGACTCCCAGGTCTTGTCATCAGCCATGGATCTTTGACGTCATTCATCTTGGTGCCAACTGATCTACAGCTTCCAAGGTCATTGGCGGCCAGCAGATCCCGAGCGTTGTGGACGTCATGGTCAGTTGGAGCACTCAATTGAAGGCATGGTGGACCTATTAACAAGCGATCTACAGCTTCCCCAGCGATTGCGTGACATAGTAGTACGCGGGAATAAATAATAATGCCCAGCGAAGGTTCGAGCAATTGACGATCTGTTCGTAAGAATGCGACTTGTTTGATATGCTGTTAACCTATACCTCCTGCATAGTGGGTATTGCTCCCTCCCTTGATTCATCATGGTCATCGTCATGGTCATTACCTCCACTTCATCCCCACTGCTCTCATAACCCGTAACGAAATAACATCCAGGCACAATTGCATATGCGCAGTAGTGGTCGCGTGACATCCATGCCACACTCTCGTCTGTCATTTAAGTGCTATCCTTCTTGAAGCCAGGCTTTCTCACGTTCCTCGGAAATAGGACAGTGCGCAGGAGATTCCGCTTTTTCTTTGATGTAGGCTCCAGATCTCCGTTGTAATTATTTCCCGCTGCTGCAAGGTCGGTTCCAGATGCGTGTCTACATGAGCCCTTCAGCCCCGTTGCCTTGGCATGGCCAGGTGTCTCTCGGGGAAGTTCAGGCACTGTATTTCTAGCCGGATCTAATTGAGACTCGGTCGGAGGTCCCCCGCGTTTGCTGTTGTCCGATGCCTCGTCCTTCGCAATGGGATGCTCTTCTTCGATGGAGCCGGTGTCTGCAACAATGGACCTAGCATACGTTGTGCTGAGGGAGCTAGAACGCCTGTTGAATCCCGCGTGAGAACTGATACGCCTGATAAGGGAACCAGTCCGGGAGAAAATATCGCCTTTTGCCAAAACCATACCAGGGAAAGGCAACACATCGCGCGTGTACACATCGGCAACGAACCTCTCCAAACGAATCCGATCTTGTCGCCGGGGAGCCAACACAATGGGCTCCCGTTTTGAATGTACGGATTTTGTGCGGCCTAGGTGTCCATCCTCTGGTTGAAGCCCGGTTTCTTCCGTGTTGTTTGGGTAATTGGTTTTCTTGATGTATACCTCCCGCGCGCTAGATTTCGATCGAGAAACAGCAAGTGAATGTATGGAAGGCGTCCGTGTGAGCGAAGTAGCCTGATCAGGACGGTCATTTAAAGGTACCAAATTCAGCGACAAAAAGGAGTACGTCCTTGGCTCAGACGGCACTGTCTGTCCTGCTTCAGCCAATGCTGCTGCAGATTTGATGATTTCAGTTTTCCACTGTTTTTCCTCCCTTGCTGATGAAGCGCTTAAAATAAGCTCGAACATGTCTTCCCCATTTTCAAATGAAATTTTCCAAGAAAACAGGGCACCACGGCAATAAAGGCCTATGCCACTATGAGTATTGCAGTAGCATTGTTTACCAGAGAACGCTTCTCTTCCAGTACTTAGAGCATCAATCTTCATGTCGCAAACATACAAGCATGCCACAGCCTGAAGCTTGCGATAATCTTCGTCTATCCTCGCAAGAAGGAAATGACTACTGAAAAGAACACAGACCATGTATTCACCTTGTACCGCTTCTGACGACTGGTAGGCGACATGAAGAACACCGCACAGACACATTGGCCCCAGTTGCCGATATATGTTTTGGAACGGGCCCTGTATAATTGTTCAGTAGTTAATTCAATGTGTGCCAGACATAATGAGGTCATTTACAGGCTCACGAAATTCCAGTTTCTCTTGTAGGAGCACTGTCTTCATGATTCGGTCTTTATGCACAGGGTTGCCAGTGGCAGCATTGATACGAGCAACTGAATCACGCATGTTTTCAAAAATTTCCCGAATACCCTCATGAGAAGATGGACAATCGCTCGCTGCAGTACACCGGAGCAGATCCTGGAGTAGCAGCGGATATTTGCAGAGCCGCTGGATAGGCTGAACTCTACATTAGCGGGGATAAACAAGGGATTTTGGGAGGCTAGAACCTTTATGAGCAGGTCGCTCAACGACATGGCCCTATTTCCTTCCAGCTTCCGACTGTCTATAGATGCCACTGACTTTGACAATGCCTCGATTCCCTGATCGAACATTGCCCAGTTAGGAATCGACCGTCGTAGAATAGCAAGATCCTGCGTCAGCAGTTCATACTTGCTGCAGAACTCTTCGTAGACCGGAAAGAATGTCGACTATGGTCAGGTAATTGAGACGTTAGCACTCACTCAAGAGCTCATGGACTGCCAATCTTACCAGTTTCTCAATTTCGCGAGCGACTTCCAAGGCTTCATACGGCTCTGCAGATAAGGCCTTCATACGAGACGAGACCGACGCCCTCAGACTTCTAGTCCTCAGAGATCTACTGTGCAAGACCTTGATACTTGAGAGGTCTATGGTTCCCAGACGTCGTTGCAACCCATGTGTAGTCACGCTCGACAGGTCAATTCCTATGAGTTCAACTGATCTTGGGGTCACATTTTGGAGAAGAGTAAGAAATCGACCATGTATTTCGCGGATCTGCTGTATGTTGAAGTATATCTCGGGCCTTGTAGTGGAAAAGATAGAGAGAACCTATCAGTTATCGCATTAGATTAGTGATGCAAGCTCGTAGTATATAAGGTCTGACATACATCGGATAGAGCCTTCAGGCCGAGAACATAGTCAGATTCTGTGGTGACAATCTCCTGCAGCACCTGACGCCTCTTAAGAGCACGGCTCTGGGCAGCCTCATCCAACGGGGGGCTCAATGTCGTCCTCATGCTATCCATGGACATACGAGTATCTGTACCGGCACTTTGGTTCGTGGTGCTTTGGGTATTTCCTCTCGACCTCACCACACTTTGACTGGCGATGCTCATTGTCGCTGTTTTGACCGTTCCCAATTGAGACGAATGCCCCGACAGCCTCTCCCACTGCTGATCTTGAACCGCATGATTTGGAAATAGGTTATTATTGCTGTTATTGTCTGCCTGTGACTGATCAAACCAGCCTTCGACGAATCTTTCAGACAGGGGAAGAGTCTGGTGTCTTTTCACTCGAAAACTGTCCATCCATTTCTTGAAGGGATAAGAGGCAGCCTTATTGAAAGGGACTTGGCTCTCATCTGTAACTAGAAGACTTGACTTCTTTTTGGGATTCTCCAGGACCAGGAGAGGTCTTTCGTTTTCAGGTTTGTCCTCGCGATCCGGCTCCATCGTGTCACACACGCACATGGATGTGACGTTTCGTCTTACCCGGACGCGAGGACCACGAGGGATTGAGGTCGCAGGGCGAATTGAAGAACAGCCGTTGACAATTCAGTCCGGAAACCACTGACTGGGCACAGACATGGTTCTGCCTTGGTCTGGTGGAAGTCACGACCTGCTTCAATGCACGCAGGGCAAGGGGTGTACAAAGGAAAGGCTTTGTGCTACGGTCACTAGGGAAATCTCATTCACTGCGATCATCAAGATCCCAGCACTCCTTATGGGAGCAACAGTAGAATGAGAGGAAATAAAAGAAAAAAAATCTCCGGAGTCAAGGGGGTGGTACAGAGACCGCAAAGAGTTGTAGGAGAGGGCGTACAGGCAGTTCGTTTGGACTTCCATCCAAACACTGCGGTAATGCACGCCATCGTTAGAATATGCTACGCGGCTTATATATCTTAAAGACGATCAACAAAGACAGAATGAACCAGAGGAGAAACTGCAGATGCGGTGAATGCAGGGAAGACGAGTAGCATTATCCATCATCGAGCTAAGCAGCGCCAAGCTTACCTTCTCAGCCTCGGAATGCTCCTCATAGGATGATCATCTGCGTCTATGCTGCCACTACTGACGGACTAGCAACTTGTTCCTGGGTCCCTTCTTCCTTTCTGGACAATGATCTGACTGCTTTTGCTTTCTTCATACTATGGGCATCCCCATGAACGGTAATATTCACGCCCCCACCGTCCCCTCCGGTCCTTCGTCTGGAGGGGCGTTCCGCGACTACTCCCAGATTTCCATGGTGGCTTTGATGGAGGAGAAGGAGCGTATCGAGGCAGAGCTATCGGCTCTCAGCAGCGTCCTTGGTTCCGTAAGTGGGCATGTGGTTGACTTTCTACGACGGCGAAGCTGATTCCTATGTGCCTCTTCAGCATGGAGTCAATATGGAGACGCCGTTGACGACACCCGACGGATTCCCTCGTAACGACATCGACATCGCTCAAAGTAAGAATACAATACTTCTTCCGCTCCGGGCAGTTGTCTAATTTATTTGTTTCCCAAGTACGGACGATCCGAGTGCGAATAATCCACCTCCGGAACGACCACAAGGAGGTCATGAAATATCTCGAGAAGGGCCTCCACGATCATTTCGCCAGTCTCCAGCGCGCTCAGGGTGCTACAGCTACGGGTACAGATCCTAATACGTCTACGGCTCCTGCTCAGCGACCTACCGCTACGGGTACTAGCACAACGGATGCTGCGTCCTTGGGGACACCATTCGCAAAGGTCAACAGCGTTGTGCCTAGAAGCCCGGCGGATCAAGCAGGTCTGAAAGCAGGAGACGCTATTCGAAAATTTGGGAATGTGAATTGGTTGAATCATGAGCGTCTTTCGAAGGTTGCGGAGACTGTGCAGCAGAACGAAGGGGTGCGTGTCTATCCACTGCTTTCCTTTCTAGGCTACGGCTCTCTGATGTGTTATGCAGCGAACGATTTTGGTCAAGGTAGTTAGAAAACAAGATCCTGGCTCTGGTACTACGACTGAGTTAGACCTGCAACTCCTACCGCGGCGCGACTGGGGCGGTCGTGGGATGCTCGGCTGTCATCTAGTTCCATTGTGAACGATCACTTGTCGCCGTGCCAACCATCTACGGACAAAGACGGGCGAATGCAATCTCATGAGGAATGTGGCATGATTTCTCTTGCTGGCGTTTGTAAGAAGGCTCATTCTGGGGGGGCTGGAGTTGTGAATAGGGACGATCTGGACTAGGAGAACAAAATATCAACATCTTTATTTTGACGACCAACAGAGCAGACACCAGCCGTAGAGACCGCTGTAACCTGTAAGCTGTAGTGTCCACGGAAGCTTCCATCGTCGCCCAATGCTGGGAGGTCACGTGCGGCGCCACTCCTGACCGACTCGCAGCAAAAATTCCATCACCAAGCGCCATAACAAACTCGCATTTCTTTCTGCCCCTCCCCCATCCTCCTCAGTTCTCTTGAACACCCCCATATTTGGTCATTCACTCATCATCAGTGTACCAGGAGACCCATATTAGCGTCAGATCTCTTGTGAATTAATTTTTTTTCTAAGCATTTTTGTCGGAAACACCACGAAAACATAATGGCTGCTCAGGCTCCCCCAACATTCAAGCTCGTCCTTGTCGGTGATGGTGGTACTGGAAAGGCAAGTGTCATCGGATTTCCTCTAATACTTGATCTACTGGATCAGATTAGACCGCTGCGTCGTGCTGTCGGTTGTCTGAGACTGCGACCTTCATCTTAATCCTCAGCCAGCAACGCTTTGCTTTTATCAGCTCCCATGTATTTTGGGGGATCGATTCGCTAACGTGACAAAATTTTTACAGACCACCTTCGTTAAGCGCCACCTCACTGGCGAGTTTGAGAAGAAGTACATCGCAACTCTCGGTGTCGAGGTGCACCCTCTGACTTTCACGACCGTAAGCCCCGCCATCAACCCCGCTTCGCCTATCGCATTAGTTCGACTCTTCGTCCACTAACCGCAGTAACAGAACCTGGGTACTATTCAGTTCGATGTGTGGGATACCGCTGGTCAGGAGAAGTTCGGAGGTCTCCGAGATGGATACTACATCAACGGCCAGTGCGGTATCATCATGTTCGATGTTACCTCCCGTATCACCTACAAGAACGTCCCCAACTGGCACCGTATGTTGTCGTCCTCTACCAAATGGTCAGTCCGTTAGCGGAATATCTGACATTGTCTCATTAGGTGACCTGGTCCGTGTCTGCGAGAGCATCCCTATCGTCCTTTGCGGTAACAAGGTCGACGTCAAGGAGCGCAAGGTGAAGGCCAAGGCTATCACCTTCCACCGCAAGAAGAACCTCCAGTACTACGATATCTCCGCCAAGTCCAACTACAACTTTGAGAAGCCCTTCCTGTGGCTCGCCCGCAAGCTTGTTGGCAACCCTCAACTTGTCAGTATCCACCGTCCGTTTTTTTTTTTTTTTTTTTTTTTTTTTTTTTTTTCACTACTTGGATGCGTATTTCGCTAACATCTGTTACAGGAGTTTGTTGCTGATCTCGCCCTTGCTCCTCCCGAGGTTGAGGTCAACCCCGAGCTTATGAAGCAGTACCAGGAGGAGATGCGCGAGGCAGCCAACGAGCCTCTTCCCGACGAGGATGATGCAGATCTGTAGGCGATTGGTTAAGGAAAGAAGTTCGGGCACGGTTTTGGCAACCATGGCAGCGGTGGTACAAAATTTTAGTGGCTTTGTCATGAACAAGCCTTGATCTCATGATACAATGGTAGTCTGGATGGTCGGCATGATTACGGATTTCATTATCTCATTTTCCCTTTTTTCAAACAACCAGTAGTTAGACTCTTTGACCTAAATTCTTCTTTTTATATCTCCAAAAGGATGACACCATTACGACAACAAGCATACCAACTTCATCTTTGAAACAGTCCTATTCTTTTGTCCCTTAAGACGAACGCAGTAATTAATAGTCACCACACCACGCAAGATGCAGGTGCCGCAGGCAGTTGACTTCGCAGGATATTTTTTTGAATACCACCGTCCAAAGCTTCCGCATTCACAAGGACTCGCCCACACGACTTCGTCCATTAGAGTATTATATTAATCTTAATCTTGAACCGAAATAAAAATAAAAATAAAGAAAGAAACCCCTAGTCTTCTTACCTCGGCTCCTCTACCCATGTACCAATACCAATAATAACGAAGTTTTCGAGTCAGTGCCAAGTCTGGGGTAATTATCCCTCTATCCGCCTATCTCCAGATGATTGTAGACATGGACAAAGGTCGGCCTCTTTTTTTAGCAGAATATTCTGTATATAAGCGAAATATAATTAAGTGAAAGGAAAGAGGATTACGATCTAACTACTTAAGTTTTCTCCTTTCTCATTAGTCCGTATTATTATTGTTGTATCTATTCCCAAGACCAACCGGTTCCTTTCCAAACTCCACTTGTTAACCCAGGGTATCTTGTGCTGTTCACATCTAAGATAGGGGCAGTATATCCCAATGAAATAAACGAGACGAAACATGAAAGCACAGGTGGAAGGGAACAGAATGAACTGGTAGCTAGCAGATGAAATTCGAATCGAAATCTAGTTTACTCCCTGTAGTTTATGAAGAAGACAGAGGTTAGTAACAATGAAAGCAAATGCAATGAACTTGGGAGGGATGGCAACGTACGAATAAGTAGGCAAGCTCCCTAGTTCCTAATCTGGAGAGATTCCTGCTAGCATTCTCATCAAGAGCGCCTTCAATAAGCTCGCGTTTCTTATCCTGAAGCTCTAGGATGCGATCTTCCACAGTATTCTCGACCAAAATGCGATGGATACTGACCTGCCGCACCTGTCCGATGCGATGGGCGCGATCGATCGCCTGCTCTTCGATGTAAGGATTCCAGAAAGGATCGAAGATGATCACCTGTGATGCTGCGACGAGGTTCAGACCGGAGTTTCCGGCTTTCAAAGACACCAGCATGATCTTGCAGTTTGAGTTATCGGTGAAGTCAATCACAGCTGAGTTTCGATCACCTGGTTTCATGCTGCCGTCATAGCGGCGGAAGCCCCATCCTTTACGCATGATGGGAATCTCAAGCAGATCCAGCAGCGAAGTGAACTGGCTGAATATAATGGTTTTTTCTCCCTCTTCGCGATCTTGTACTTCCTGCAAAATCTCCATCGTCTTTTCAATCTTGGCACTTGTCACCCAAGTTTTCTCAAGGCGACGCAGGTACTTGCGTTTTGACGCGATATTTTTCGAAGAATCCTTCTTGAGCTCCGCCAAAGACTTCCTGGGTTTTCCGACCTGTTTGCCCTTGCTCCTGCTCCTTTTATCTCTAGATGAGCTGTCTTCGTCATCATCATCGACTATGAAGCGTGACAGGCTATCGTCGTCGCTATCACAATCGCTCTCGTCCTCATCTTCGCTAGGAACCGCAGGTTTATTCTCCTCAGGTGTATCATCAGTGGACTCATCAGGGAAATGAATCTTCCTAAAAGAAGTACGGTCGGTAATTTTCTTGGGATCAATTTTGGTGCGGCAGTTGGGACACTTGACTTCAACCATGCCGTCGTTGCCTTGCATCACGCCTGCTGTGGGATCTGTCATTCGCGAGAAGCACTCGGAACATGCGCTATGGCCGCAGGGAAAGAAAATGATCGGATTGTCGACTGCGTCGATGCAAATGGGGCACTCGAGATTGTCATTATCTTTCAAACGGACAATGACTTCTTGGCTAAATCTCTTTGCATTGACAGTGAGGTCCAGATCTTGAGTCTCTGAAGTTACTTCAACACTAAAATCATTCATCAAGTGTGGGTGACAACAAGCTTGTCGAAGCCGAAGAAGCAAGACGAGAACGTGAGAGTAGTTACGTCCAACAGTGCCATTTCTGAGATACTTGTTGAACTGCAGTTGTGTACGCGTCTCCAAGGCATCGTACAGCTGACGTTCATCGTCGCTGAATACAGCGTGGACCTTTTCTGAAATCCTTGGGGGTAGTTGCAGAATGGGCCGGCCGTCTATCTTCGAATTTTTAGTCCGCCGCAACAGGACAGCTTTCAGCAGGACCTGGAGCTGCATCATTGCTTTCTTCGTCTGCTCTTCCACTCCGCTCTTCAATGGGCGTGTGAAGTCCTTTCCCCCCCCAGAAAACGTGAGCTTATGCTTCAATAGACAGGGGATATACGATAACTTACGGCATTAAATTTCTCCAGGTAACAATAAGGTCGAATACGCAGGAATTTCAGCAAGGAGTGTAATTCGCCCACGTTGTTCATCATGGGAGTGCCGGTCATACACCACCGGTAAGTGGCATCAATACGGCAACAGGATAGGGCAGCTTTGGTGTTTCTGTTTTTAATGCACTGAGCTTCGTCGATGATGACTCGATGCCACTTGCTTCTAGGCCCGATGACTGGCAAAGTGTCGACTCTGGCAGCAGTTTGGTCACCATAACCTTCCTTCTCCATTTTATCCAACCGCAGACTGCGGTTCAATTCGGATGCCATAGTTCCAAACGTTGTGAGAACGACATCATAGGATTTCAGGTTCGCAAAGCGTGCATGGCGCTTGTCACCGTGCAAAACGTAGACAGATAGCTGATGCCGGCCAGGTTTGAGCATCCTGTGAATTTCTCGCTTCCACTGGTGCATTAGAGAAACAGGGGCAATAATAAGGGTAGTTTTCCGCGCCGGATCAGTAGACAGGCGTGATACTATGAGGGCGAGAGCTTGTATTGTCTTTCCCAGTCCCATATCATCGGCAAGTATGCCACCCTTCTTATCGCTCTCTTCCATCGACTTCATCCAGGTCAAGCCGACCTTCTGGTGTTCCATCAAATTAAACTTGAGAGCCTCCGGGGTACCCTCGCGACTCTGCGCGGAAAGTTCCAAATCTGGCCTGATTGTTTCGAGTAGTTGCTTGATTTCTTCGCGAGCCCTTCTTGGGTCTCCTCCATAGTCATCAAAGTCACTATTTTGGTTTAGGTTAGAACATTAAAACACATTGAAAAGAAACTGGACTCGGGGTGAATGAACATACCCGGAGTTAAGCTCTCTATATTCCTCAAGGGCCTCCAAAGCAGCAGTAGGGTCTAGAGCACCTCCTAATGCAGGGTTCCTGAACCGTTCAAGTAATGTATTCGGATTAATCCTTTCCATAGTCCGGTGTATAGCGCTGGGAGAGTACAGGGAGTTGAATCCTTTTGTGGCGCTATGGCTTGGAATGGAATCCATGGAGGGATATGGAGGCATCGCTTTTTGAGACAGAGAACTATTGCTCGCCCATGTATAAGACTGAGGATATGCAGTTTGCCCACTTCTAGAAGCCTCTTTACAACCACGAGGATGACGGATACTATTTTGGAAATCCAGTGGGGTTATTTCAGCAAGGTCGCTGTCACTGCTGCTAAGAGAGGTTGAATAAGGGTTCTGGGATATCTGTGTATTCGTAGGACGGAAAGAACTGGGGAGATGCGAATGGTTCGAATACGAAGGTCCGCCAGCGTACGGGTTTGTTGGTCGCAGGGGGCTGAAGTTAGAAGACCAGGCGCCTTGTGATCGATCTAGTGCGATACTCGGCGAGGCAGGGCGAGACGAAGACAGTAACCCGGAATTTCCATGAGAGGAGGCGCTTGCAGCAGAGTCTGGTCGCGGAGGCTCGTACAGACCTTCCTGTAGCATACGGGCATACTCGGCGTCTCGGCGCTCCTGTTCCTTGCGCTCTTCAAGCCACTGCTCTGCCTTCCGTTGTTCCTCCTGAAGCTCACGAAGAGTTTCGGTATCATCTAAACCTAATAACTGTCGTAGGCTATCCGCACCGTCAATATCATCACTAGCGTCGGAATAAAAACCACCGACCTGGCCGCGGGCGGACAGGATGCGGGGACTAGAAGGAATCGAATGTTGGAGATAGGGGCGTTTCAAGGCGCGCCCTGCATCTTCCCCCAGATCTGAACTCTGATGTGGACGTTTGGACGGCGCTGCCGAAGAAGGCTGTGAAGGTCGCTTATGCTGAGAAGGACGCAACGGATAAGACATGTCAGAAGGCTTCGAAGGCCCAGGGAAATCCGGCGGATCTAGATCAAAACCTCCATCCAGCTGCGCTCTGCGCACACTTTTATCTGATGCAGCAGCACGCACTGGAGACCGTTCTCGACTAATGATGTTCTTAAAGCGATCTTTGCGCAGGTCGGCTAGCTTCTTTTCCAGCCGTTCGATTTCGTCAAGAATACCATCCCTTTCGTCGATTGCGTCCGGTTCTTCTTCCTCTAGACTCTTAAGTAGGACATGGTGCAACTGGAGGTCGTCCATGACGCTTTCAATGGACTCATCGTGCGACGTGGAAGCCATGGTTGTTTCTTTGGCATCGAAAGGGCGTCGGGCTAGGTTTGGAACTTGGACCAACCAGCAATGATCAGCTGGAACTCAATAGGCTGTAAAGGCATTCAGGAGGAATATGCTGTCCAGAAAGCTTTCTTCTCGCTTTGGGATTTGAAGGAGGGAACGGACAGGGAGGATAAAGTAGTGGAGCAGTGAACGCGCGACCTGGTGAACTCGACAGCGGAGACAAGGGATTGGCGTGAAAAAAAAAGAAGTAAAAAGAAAAAACAGAAGAAGGATAGACGACCCCAAAGGGCAAATGGGTAGCAGTTAAATTGCCACCTTTTCTGATAGGACGGGGTTGTCCTGGTAGGAGTTGTCTGGGGAGCGAACGAAGTCGGTAACAAGTAGTCTGTCCGTCATCTTAACTACTGACTGCTCCGAAGTTCCTTCGACCACGATTGCAGGCGTATATTATTCTGGTCGCATAGAAATCGCCCAAAGCCACTTTGTTTTTCTTTCTTTTCTTTTCTTCCCTTTATTTTTTAATATTTTATTTATTTTTTAAATAAGTCCCCGTCGCCCTGACTGCTTTCCATCGATAACCAACGGACACGTACAGCTTGCCGCTCTGCGACTCACGCATCATTACTCCGCATGCATGGCGTACTCGGGAACAGGACGAATAGGCTTGGTGGACTTGAAACTTTTCCGCATGAAAGTAATTCTAGGATAGAAAAAGACTTGAAGATGGAACGGCCATGCTGAAGCTGAAGTTGCATCGCGTCCAATCACGCGATAACGTGACTTGAGCCTCTTCAGAATCGAAAGCTTGAATCCCTGTTCTGTCCACGGCGTGTCTAAGTTGTCTGGAAATCCTATCATTGAAAAGCATCGGGCACTGGTGTCTTTCCGGCCTACGTGAAGCCGACTGAGCTCTTAAGACATAAGGGTTGGGAGACGACGGTACTCAGTGCTGATGCGGCAGCATCATTCATCTGACGCGATGACAGCTTTTCCTCTGATGAACTCACTACAGCGTCTTCTGGTCATCGCAAGGCCTCCTAGCTACAACCGGTAGAAGCGTCTCGAGCATCCAGGCCGGTGAAAGCATTCGATGTTTCTCCTTTCTAATCAATTCCGGGGGCAACGTCTATCCCCAACATAAGCAGTGGTTTAAACGGGGTATCTTTGTTCTGGAGACGCCAGTCGCTCGTATAGTACGGAGCTTTGAGCATGAATGTGGCAGATGCTATTTATGTCCCGAGTTCAAATTCGAAAGTCGCCTCGGAACAAGGAAAGCTCTAGGGCTCCTGACTCGCACGATCGAAAGGGATAAGCAGCGGACAGAGTCCAAACCGGAGGAACATAGAATGGTTAAATCCATTGTATTCCGCGCTGCAGGAGGGAGACTGTCACCTGCAAGGCTGCGAAGAGTCCGCAATTCGGATCATATGAAGAAATCTTCTATTGTCATCGGTATCTTAGCTGCAGCCGCCAAGGAGATCGACGGCCTACGGGGAAATCCATGGACTCGGCGAATGGCGAACGGATTGGGGATTATTGCCCTTAAGCTTGGACAGCGTAGAAAATTGGCGCGCGGCTTTCTTGCCCTGACTGGATTAGCCTGCAGTTCATCTGGCAGTCCACATGAAGCCGATTTGGCGCGTGTTATTATGGCAGTTGAGCCAGCGCCGGAATACCATCAAGGTCGCGCGACCCCTTTCATAAGCAGCCAACAGATAGTTAGTACAAGTAGCTGATCTTCATCAAATCAGAGAGCACCGTAGATGGATTGCAGCAGCTGTATATGCTATGTGTATGTGTTTTGACACGGACCGCCCAACAGCCTCGGCACCATGCCCCCGGATTCAGACACGCCTCTCGCTGTTCACATGCGCCCGCTCTCGCTCTTCCTATCGCTCCTCTCCTCCATAAAAGCTGCATTCTTGTCCTCTCTCCAGCTCTCACACATCCTGTCTTCCTCCTCTTCTTCTCCTCCAACAGTCCCATAGACTCGGCTTTCGTCTTCCCTACGCAAGACTCTCTCGATAAAAAACACCCTTTACATCCTCCTTACGTACCCATATCATCAATCACCATGTCTCTCAAGGACGGTATGTGAATACCAAATATGCAATGTCATCGACTATGTCCTGTTGTCTATTTCTCTGTCTTTTCTCTTCCTTTTTGCTATTGCACACAGATGCATGCTCTCTTTCCTTTTTCCCCATTTGTACCCATGTTTGTTTGATTACGTATCTCCCCAACGCTAATATCACACCGTATTTCGCGCAGACGCTTTCCCCTCCTCCGCCGCGTTCGACATCATCAACGCTACTCTCCAGAACAGCGAGGAGGACCGCAAGGAGGCCATCGAGAAGGCGAAGACCATCGTCGGTATCACTCTCAAGAACTCCAAGGGCCAGGAAGCCAGCTGGTACGTCGATGTAAAGGAGAAGGGTGTTGCAGGCAAGGGCCCTGCTCCCCCTGGAGGAAAGGCTGATGGTATGTGTATTCCTCTTTCTCTCTGGAGAATGATCCGCCTCATCTCCCTACCCATCATCCTCGGTACAATTACAATTGCTGACGGCGGTACTTGTCGCACAAATACAGTCACCCTCATCCTCTCCGATGCTGACTTCGGTGCTCTCGTCACCGGCAACGCCAATGCCCAGCGTCTTTTCATGGGCGGCAAGCTCAAGATCAAGGGTAACATGATGAAGGCTACCAAGATCGAACCTGTTTTCAAGAAGGCTCAGAGCAAGGCCAAGCTATAAATTACGAATATTAATTTTTTTTCTACCTTCTATCTTCGTTTTTCAATTCCTTCTACTTGCTTTTCGGGGTGGGGGGTTACTTCCTGCCGTTGTCGTGCGGTGTTACTGTCATACCCCGGAGGAGGTTGAAGATAATGGGCTGAGAGTGGATAAGAAGGGGAGTGCTCTGCTTCATTGCGAGCCAAGGATGCTGGGCCTGTTATGCGCATATAACATAACGACCAGTGTTTATATACTACCTGTTGTATGATATCCGGGTTTCCGTCATCTGTATTCAATAGGTTTATGGATGTCGTCATCGAGCTAATTGAAAATCGTTCGGCTCATATTACTACATACTTTGACTCTGAATCATAAAGCAAAAGTAGCTCTGAACATAGACCATGACCATAGTCTTATGACCTAGGTTGCACCGAAAATGCAGCAATAGTCCCCCCATACTCCGCGAGATTCTCACTGGAATCCCCCAACGACTCCGTCCCAAACGCAACCATATATTCCACACCTACCGTATTCAGCGAATAAAGCACCAGACTGGTCGAGTTCCCTTCCACGGAAAAGATGTGCGTCTGGCATCCTTCCGTGGGAAAGTCGGAGCACGACGTATCGTAGTAATTGAAGAAGCTATACAAGCCTGCGCCGTAGATGAAGATGTCCCTGGTTTCCAGAATGCGGAGTGCCAGTGCTGAGCATTTCCCTGGAGGGCACCGGCTGTAGTCTGGATCGTGGAGGGTCACGTTCATTAGATAGGGACTTTTGTCGGCTGGGGGGTTGGGTTGGTAGTATCTATATGCTTTATTGTTAGAATGGGGGAGGTAATATCATTAAATGATATTCATTTATGACTTACGGAGTCTCTGTCTGGAGGAAACCCGCTACGACTGACTGGGCGTTTACGAATTGATATTGGTATAAAGAGAAGTGTTCGACGCTGGTACCGTACCTGGATATTTATTCCACTATTAGCAATGCAGTCAAAATGAAGGCAGACATGAGTGAGTCCACTTACAGCCATATGTTCTTTCCTTCCACAAGCAGCCCCCGGCCGCTGTAAATGGAGATTCTGGTATGGTTCACATCATGCATGTCTGCAGGGGCATCAAGATCATGATCAGCTGTCCAGAGCCAGACATTCTCCAGGTAAACCCCACTAGCCTGGCTCGTAACATGCATGGCCATGTAAGCAGACTCGCATGTTGACGAAACACCCCCCTCGATGGGACACTGTTGAACCTGAAGATTCGAGCCCGCGAACCCGCCGATCCGCGCGTGGACGTCCCACATGCCAGATCCCTGGTCTCCGGCTAGATTCCACTCGATGAGCACAGCACCGGGCGTAGAGCCTTGTGTGCTCACCAGCATGTCCGACCACTCAATGGAGCCTTTTTCTCCTGGTTTCCCGACTTCAATGACCGGCATAGGTCGGTTGATGTCCGACCATACAGCGCCGCTTGCCAGGATCGCAGGATATGCCTCCCCCACGATGCGGGAACCTGGAGGGATGTAGAGAGTTGAAGTCACTTTATACGTTCCCTGATCGAAAAAGAGGATCTTGCCTGATGCTGCCGCGGTGTCGATGGCAGACTGGATCGCTGAAGTATCGTCGGTCGAGCCATCGCCTTTGGCACCAGCGTTTCTCACGGTCAAGAACGACGAGACTGGATAGGCTTCGTACTGTGGTTTCGGCTTGCTGTAGTAGTTCAAAGAACCGCTGCTAAGCAAAGCGCTGGGTCGAGGAGGCAGGGTTAAAGAGCCCTGGAAATTTTCCGGGCCAGAAGGACTGTACCGGTGACCCTGACCCCAAGTGGTGATAATCGTACTACCTGCCGTGCCAGGTAACACAGCACTCGCGACATTTCTTACCGCAATGGAGACGTTGTTCAGGCGGATGTTTTCCAGAATCAAGCTGCCGTTGCTCCATGTCGAGCTTGACCGAGCTGTGTCGACGAAGACCGGGCTGTTCTCGATGACGCTGTCGATAATATTGACCGATCCTACCTGCTGGCTATCCGGACCCCCCGAGTCCATCGAGAAGGCTGTCCCACACTGTGACAAATGCAGTCCTTGCCATGTCCAACCCCAGTCCCATATTTGGTATACGCAGGTTACTGAATTCGAGACGGTTAAGTTGCGGACGGTAAACTGTTGATTCCCGACGCTAACCCCCCTGTATCCTCCAGTGACAGAAACGTCTGAAATAAAACCACCAGAGCCTTTCAGTTATAGGATGTCAGCAAGGCATCTCTGCTTTCTGTTATGTTTGACAAGTCTAGATCTCACCGTTTTCGATGAAAAGACCTTGATGCTGGGTTTCTGGCTCGGAATTCAAGGCAATATGCACATTCTGAATACTCGTGGCCTGTCCGGTGGGCCAATGAACGCCAATTGCTCCGACATTCGCTGGAATTTGAGTCGTGTCAAGTCTAAGATTCCGGATTTGTCTGAAGAACACATTTGTAGAATTCCATCCTTGAAGCCCATCGCTCTGATACTGGTCACCATCTATCAGGTAGCCCCCCTTGAACCCTGGGCTAGCTTTGATAGTTGGGAGGGAGTTTGGATTGCCAATTAGCTGGGTGAAATAGAAATCAACAATGGGCGTGGAAATCACGTAGGTTCCAGCCGGGAAATAAACGATTGCTGGGGTCGTGGTGGACGTCTGGCGGCTTGAGGGAGCAAAACGACCGCCGTCGCTGATCGCTGCGTTTATGGCAGCAGTATCATCGGTAACGCCGTCGCCTAAACAATCATTGGAATTAGCAGAAGGGGACCAGTCACCTGGGAGAATGCATGACGCTGTACCTTGGGCTCCATAGTCTTTAACGTTGCGAAAGACCTTGTAATCGGAAGGACTTGGGTTAAACGCCGCAACGCCCTGATGAGGGATGTTCGCCAGCCAGTACTCGGGATCCTTAACCGGTTCAGCATGGATGCTGGCCAGCAAAAGGAACGAAACCAGAATAAAGAGACGCCACATCTTCGATTGGACGTTGCCCTTGTCCAGTGGACAGCTAAGATGAGACTAAAACTACAGGAAAGGCAAGCCGAAAGAAAGAGGGTGTACAACCCTTCTTATGCTAATTGCTCTCCTGTGCATGCTGGGTATTGCTGGTAATTTCTTTGCGTTTTGTGATACCCAAATTCCCTTGCTCGGTCACGCAGATATGTTTAATTTCGCTCGTGTCCAACACCATAAAAGGCAGGAGGATGACCTTGGCGAGCGGAATGCCTGCTTGGACGCTGCCAAGTACTAGAAGGACGACTTCTCGATGGTGGACGCATCTCTGCAGGCAGTCCTGTTGAGAATCGTGGCTGTTTGGAGGCCATCCCAGAATGCAGGCGCATGTGCACGGGGATGTGAAGGATGGCCAACACTTGCAGGAGCATTGATCTATCTTGAGGACCACTGCACTATGGCACGGGAACTTCACAGGAATGGTTTTATCCTAAGTTTATCGATCTTGCAGCAAAGATGTAGTCGATGATGCACGAGGACCAGGGATGAGCCGAGGAATGGCTAGTCGGCAATGAAATTCAGGAGCAGTTTTGCAACATAGTCATACGTTGTAGACTGTCAAACAGGCAATCATGTCAGTACGCTTCGAAGCCGTACGATAATCGCGTCCTCAGATCATGCTTTCCTCTGTCGATACAACGCTAACATAGAGCCTGTTGAAGTAGCACAACACCCATACCGCTGTGCGTCAAACGATACGCCCCCATCTCACACGGAAGTCGTGACAATAGTCGGTAGTGCATCATAGGAAGTCAACTGCTAATTTCCAAGGTCTTTGGAATGCGAGTCATGGCATGCCCTTTCCATACCCAGTCCAGCTTTATCAGTGCATAGGTCGTCAGTCTCTTCCTGCAGAAGCTGATTAACAGGCAATTTATAGGCAACCCACCAGGATAAATGCGGCTGAGAAGCCATGGCAATGCACATGGTACTAATGAAGCACCAGCTGGGGATAGTCCTTCGCTACCGTCTCCCCACAGGCAGATTCAGTTGGTTGATCCGGGGTAAAGAAACCAACTGGTCTGAAACTTCCGTATAAAATGAGGGATAATCATTATTGGGAAGCACCAGCTCAGCCATCGGATGTTCACATCAGTGTGAAACCAAGGGACACAAGGTCCAGGGTGGTGCTTTATACCCCCCTTACTCGGCTGAGGAATACGTGAAGCCGTAACTATGTTTAAACACACCGTTAGTTGGTCGCCTCTGGACACGAGCGGGTACACTCGAGTTCATTGGAGCCTACCACATGAAAATATTGACTATTTTGTGCGCTTTCAAGTCACCGCAGAGAGGGGACAGAAGTCGCTTGTTCCGTCGTTCATAATCCCTTCTGAGATCCCGGATGACGTGAGAGAGATCGAGAAACTTCATTAACATGAGGTTTCTGGCTGGGGCTTATGGTGTTCATATATAGCCCACTAAAAAGAAGCAATCGCCGATCTTACTTTGCCTAGTTTGTGAGCTGTGTGGAGATGAGTTGACGCAGTTGATCATACGGGAAAATGGGCAAATGGGCAAACACCCGACCCTCCTTTTTGGGTTCTGAAACAATGACGAGGTCAAAACCCCTCGAGCTGGGTGGATCGATTGAGGCTACATCTTGCCTGCTGCGCATCCAGAACTCACCAGGGAGCTGCTCAGGCTATGCTCAGAGTGTGTTTAGATCTACTCAGTGAGAAATGGAAGGCCTACAATCTGTCTAGAACATCAAGTACATATGTATCTGGGTATACTGTACGGAAGACATGCTTTTTGACAGAAAACAAAAGAAATGCAGAGTGGCTCGGAGTTGGTTTTGTTCAGAGTATCGGATATGTGTAAGGAGCAAGGAAAGAGAGACAGGAATTAAAAAGAAAGATAGTAATATATAACAAGAGAAGGAAAGATATATATACAACATTTTCAACTTTTATAACATCACTCCCTGTCTAATTTTTTTCTTTTTCCAGTCATAGATCAAGCAGGAGAATGGGACCTCTCAACAACAGAAGCCAGAGCAGCGCTCACCAGACTTTTCCGTCTCAAGCCCTGCTCACTCCGTTTCCGGAGGTCACGACCGTAGCTCTTATCGATCCGGTGCGAGGAAGGAGCATACGAGCTGCTTGTCCTCCTCGACCTAGACTCGGATACGGTGAGTTCGTAAGTCCCCGGCTCTGGGATGGATAGTTCGTAGACTCCCGCGGGACGGGACCGGCTCCGTTTGGACTTCCGACGCGGTGATAACTGTGGGGGAAGCGAGTTGGGGTGACATTCGTCTTCTCCGAGAGTGTCTACCTCGAGTGCTTCCTCCTCCATGGCGCGCCGGACGGCGTCGATGGCAGTATTTGCGCCGCATTGAAAGCGGGAGATCTGTTGCCGTTTTGTACGGACGCTTTGCTTATCTGGAAAGGCGACGGAAGCGGAGATGGGAGAAAGTTCGCGGCTCCTATCTGATAATTGATACTCTGGCGGGACCGATGTCGGACACAGGAACGGGGACTGTGGAGTCGATGGCTGGGAGGAAGTTATCGAGGATGAATCGTAGAAACCCTCATCGTCCTGGTCGGTATCTGGCGGTGTCAGGAAGTACCCTGGGAATTTGGCTGGAGTATGAATGACATCGGTTGTTGGCGACAGCGGCTGATCCTCCACAATCTCCGGGTTGTTGAGAGTATGCTCGTGCAGCTTTCTCGTCAAGGTGGTGATGGATAACCGCTTATCGTAGGGCGACGGGACGGAGGTAGGCGGCTGTTGGGTCGGGCGGAAGAACGAGGAGCGAGAACGGGACGCCGGTTTCTGAGGCAGTCGATAGAAGGACCTGGGAGAGGGACATCGCGAGGACAGAGGCGACACAAGGCTGCTGTCGCTGTCGGCCATGACTCGATCCTCGTCGGCATCAAGCCTAGTGGATAGGGAGAAGGAGAAGTCCTCGAACATGATCACGATGGCAAGAAGATGGATTCGGAAAGACTGGATCAGTTGACGTGAAAAAGATATTTATATATAGTCGCCTCCACGGGTTTACTCTCGGACAGAGGGTCTGGGGTGGCGTTGCGCGAAGAGACGATGAGATAGTAGACGCGAGGATATTGTCGGGAAGAGACAAACTGTGCGAGGGAGATAGAGAGACAGACACTCGCTTTTCCTAGTCTTCTTTCTTTCCCCCCTTCCAGAACAGCAAGGACAGGGAAGATTCATCGAGTGCAGGGAGTCATCTTCAAGGCTTCTTCGCGTCTTCCAGGCCCACCGTGACTAACCCTGGCTGCAGCCGCCATTCGTTGCGTTTCCGCCACCGGCCAAATTCTGCTGAATCCTGGCTCGTCTCGACGAGTCGGTTCTTCTGCGGCGCATCCACTGGGCGTTCTGTTGGGCGGCGCAGCTTAACCACTGGCATGGCTGTAGTCGAGAACGACCGCGCGCGCACACTTTCCAAATCTACGAATCAAAAAGGGTGCCATGTCCAAATAGACAACCTTATTCCAAGAATCTCACGAGATGGTTACAAAAATGGGTATATTGGAACTGGACATATATTCCTTTCCGATCATCCGGAACATATATCAATTGCTTTTTTATTTTTGGCTGAATTCCAAAGCCAGCTCGACCGACACATAGATGAAAAAAGCCCGACCGGAACCCCGTTATCAACCATAACACACCACGTAGTCATTCACTTAAGCCTCATCGATGACGGCGGTCTGCAGGCCCTTAGGGTTCTTGACGTTGACGGCCTGGACGAAGGAGTAGAGCTTCTCCTTGCTCTCCTCGTCGTTGTTACGCTTACGAGCGATGCGGACACGGAGACGGTAAGGGACACCCTTGATGCCGGATTCCCAGACCTTCTTGTTGAGCTGGGGGTCAAGGCGGACGTCCTTGGTACCCTGTTCACAAGAAAAGAGAAGAAAGAATCAGTAAACACATCCATCGGTCGGCCATTTAACAATTGGATTAAAGAAGGGAAAAAAGAACCCACCATAGCCCGCTCAGCAAAATCCCTGATGGCCTTGATGGCGCGAGGAGCGCGCTTCTTGAAGGTAACACCGTGCAACTATTCCCAAACAAGAAAGAAGTTTAATTAGTCTTCCGCCCGAATGCCATCTGATAACGAGGAAATAAGATCCTTTTCTTGCGAAGATGCTGTTGCGGCCATAGAGGTGGACTTCATCAAACTAATTTTCTTCTTTCTTTCGTGGTTGTCCTTCTCTTTTCTTTGTTTTCTCCAAATCCCTCGCAACTACAATGGGCGTATATATACCCTTGCAGTCTATATTCTCCACATCATATCCTCTCGACTTCCATCATCATGACAGGTAATGAGTGGTATGTCTGCAATGGAAGTGGTTGTTCTCTGTCCATGCCTCCAGATCGAAATCGCATTGGCTCGCAGGATAGGATATAAGTTGGGGGAGGGGGGATGTTTAATGTTTCCTCATCAAACAACTGTTTCTTCAACATACCCTCTTGTGAAGGTTGATGGTGTACTCGCGGGTCACGACATCCTCGGTCGCCGCACGCTTGCCGGGTCTGGTAGCAGCCATTTCTGCGGAGCGAACTGTGAGTTAGAAGAAACGTCTGTTGGTAGTCGTTCTGTAGAAAATTAGGAAATACTGACTGAGTTTAATGTGATGAACTGGGCGTGCGCTGGGCGTTTGGCTGCTGAAGTGGTCGACTGTCGAAAGAATGGAATTTCGCGAGGATCTTTGTTTAATTCCAGTGCGGGCTCGCTTACGCCCGCTGTTGTTCCTGATTGGCTGTTATATATCACGTGATCATACACCAGGAGCAGATGCAAAGCCAACATCAACCCTGTTGTATATTGTTGCACATTTTGAACAAATTGTAGTCTTTTTATTCATAGATGTCTAGCATGCATTCTGTAACTATGTGCATAGGTGGCATTGTCTCCGGCTGAAACAGCTCGGCCCTCATGAATGACTCCCCTCACCACTCACATCAGGATATAGATCAAACCTCCGCTGAGAATAGATCGGGATACCCTTCCGGGTATTCTCAATCGTCTCATCATTCAAATCAGCATACACAATTGTCTCCTCTTCCGCAGCCTCGTCCAGAATCTCCGCACTAGGGTTAGCAACCAAGCTATGACCCCAAGCATGGTACGTGGCATTCATATCCCTCGCAGGACTGCAAAGTGCCACATAAACCTGGTTGTCTACCGCGCGCGCCCGGCCGAGCAACGACCAATGCAATGGTCCGGTTGTCAGGTTGAAGGCCCCCGGATAGACGAGAAGGAACGCACCCTTGCGGGCCGCGATCATAGCTGACTCCGGGAAGCGGATGTCGTAGCAGATTGCGAGGCCAATTCTCCCGTACTCGGGCAGATCAATAATAGTCAACTGCTCGCCGGGGCTGAGGACCTCGCTTTCCTTGAATCTGATCTTTCCGGGAATGTCGATGTCAAAGAGGTGTGTCTTGCGATGGGTGCCAATGAGAGCCCCCGTGGGCGAAAAGACGAGAGATGTATTGTAGTATTTCTTTGTCGTAGGCTCTAGTTCCGGGATGCTTCCTCCAACGATGTATGCTTTGGCGTCTGCTGCTATTGCTGAGAGCGCATGGTATGTTGGGGACTGCTCCTTCGTTGGAGGAGAAGGGAGAAGCGTCTCGGCGTATTTCGGGAAATATTGTGTGCCGTAGGGGGAGTTGAAACATTCAGGGAGAATGATGAGCGATGCTCCAGCTTTTGCTGCCTCGAGAACCTTGGTGCGAGCATGAGCGAGGTTGACTGCTTTGTCTGCGCCTAGTGATTCGAAGGTTGCCTTGTCAGTTATGGACGTATATCTAGGAGCGCCAAGGGAAGAGTGGTACCGGAAGCAAGCTGCACAAGGGCGAGCTTTAGAGGCTTTTTCAAAAGAGAAACCATGGTCACTGTTGAGCCTTTCTTTGGGCTGTCCACTGCTGCTCAAATATGGCGGTGCTAGAGAGATAGCGGGGAGTCGCCGTGAGCGGAGATAAGAGGTGATGTACTAAGCATCACCACCCACTGTCGCCCATCTTCGACTGTTGGGTTGAGTACGCCCTTTGTATTTGACTGTCAGACAACTAGTGCACCATCATGGTCGCAAATAATTTTCATCTGGGGTGCAAACAAGGGAAAGAACAAAACGTGTGGCTCTTGACAGACAAGATGTAGTAAACTTTACCGATGGCAAGCAAAGTGGAAGCAGCTTTCTAAATAGGAGACAGAGCAGTCTACGATTAAAGGAAGCAGTTGCTTGTTAACTTAGAGATTATCATTTTCTTCGCCGTTGGTTTACCAACAGCGTAAAGCGACCATAAACAACCCAGTTGTAAAGACTCGATAATCAGACAGACACGCTATGCAAAGTTGCGCCTCTTTGACCCTGTCGACAAAATGCTCCTGTAAAGGAATATGCATGCGGAAATCTCAGCAATGCAAGACATGTGTGCGCATGTAGTTTGCAGAAAAACGTGGGAATAAATAAGCAATGGAGAAGGGAACAACCAGATTCAGCTCGAAAATACAAACAGACCCTTGCTCTTCGTAGAAAGATACAACCTGAGAAAACCAAAAAAAAAAAAAAAAAAAAAAAAAAAAAAAAAGAGATGCACGTGCAAATTTTGGAATTGAGATTTTTGCGTTCATGAAGAAATGGAAATGGAAATGGAACAGGAAGGGACTTTTCAAGACAGGACGACCACCTAGGCGAGATAAACTTACCAATCTCGAACGTCACTATAAAAGGAGTTCTGAGAAAGATGAAGAACCTGAGGGCATACCCTCGGGCCTTCGCCAAGCTTTACTCGCGGGGCCAGTCCTGTCGTGAAAAGGTCTACTTCTTGCATTCCTCCAAAGTAGATGCGAGGCGGTCCACTTCCTCCTTCTTGACCCGCAAGGCCCACTGCTCAGGAGGACCTTCAGCCTGTGGCACGAAGAACCGCACGTTGTTACCGGAAGCAGAATAATCAATCGCCTTGTTAAGCGCCGTATTCAGAACAACCTTTCCGCTAGGATCTGCCCTGAGAATGATGCGCGAACGAGAGGTGGTACGATGTTTCAAGACACGAAGGTAGCCGACGCCCTGACTTTCCCATCCTGCCCCAGGTTTGATTTTGAGACCGCGAGCTCGGGTTTCCAGTACGAGGTCCTCATTCTCCTCACCCGCCGTGCTGCGGGCTAGATCGACCTGAGGCAAGGGCTCGGCGGCATCACCTGGCTCGGTCCCTTCTGCCCCCGTCTCGGAATTGGGTCCTGGAGTGGTCGAGCGGCTTGGGGTATCGGAAGTAGCAGTCGAGGAAGCCAAGGCAGGCTTTGCTTGCTGCGATGGGGCACCAAACCCAAACCCAAACAGGGGTTGTTGAGGGGTCCCAGCAGATTTCGCACCTGCAGACGATCCTCCGAAGAGGGTAGAAAATGGTTTTGACTGGTCGGGAGTAGCCATTCCAGATGCCGACTCGGACTTTGACTCAGAAGTTGCAGTAGCGATAGAATCAGCCGCGAACTTTATGGGGGTGTTAATCTTCCAAGTATTATCGCTGGCCGGCTTGAAGGTTGAACTGCCCAGTGTAGTGCTGGAGCCAAATATATTACTGGTGTTTGAGGGGGTCTTCTCCAGCGTTGACGCAGCTCCACCATTTGAAGAAAAGATATTGGAAGTGGAAGATCCGGAAGCGTTGAACGACGACCCGAATTTAGAATTTTTAAACAGGCCCGAAAAAGGCTTATCTGAAGCCTTTTCATCTGACGTCGCATCTTCACGACGTTCCGGGTTTCCATCCTTATCATATTGGATACAATCGAAAAGGCTGCGTCCACCAGAGGGAGCTGCAGCGGTAGCAGAGGAAGCCGGTACCGTAGGAAATCCGCCGTCTGCAGCAGAAGTCTTCGTATCCTCGGATTTCTTCTCCAAGGTTTTGGAAATGACATCGGCACTAGCGGTTCCATTGCCTAGAATGCCTGCACTAGTGGTCGACACAGGTGTCGGTGCCAATTCCTTGTCTGTGGTAGCGCGGCTGCTCTCAGCATCGCTTGCTGGAACAAAAGACGGATCCTTAGTCTCGTCCTCGTCACCAGAAGCTTCTTCCGTGTCATCCGCATCGTTCTCTTCGACTTCAGATTGTGTTGCAGACAGGTGACCGAAGATGTTAGTCGACTTAAAGGAAGACGCGTCTTTTGATTCAAATATCGAGGTCCCGACACTGGACGTGGATGTATTAATCGCAGAGTTTTGATCGGTATCTTTAGATTCAGTTGAAGTTGCCGGACTTTCTTCGAAGGAGAAACCCTTGCCCGGAATAAACTTCGGGCGGTTTTTGGCCAGGGCTTCAATTTGCTCTCGTTTCTTCCTTTGCTCCTCGGCATCTTTACGCTCCCACTCATCTTCGTCATCCTCCTCCGAATCATAGTCTTCCGCTTTGCGCTTTGCTTTCTCCTTTTCAGCATTTGCCTCAGCCTGCTTCTTGAACTGAGAGAAAAAGTCGGTTGTACCCGTAGAGAACTTCGGAGGCGCAGGTGCGGTTTTTAAAGCCGAATCCGCATTCTTATCCTCCGTTGGTTTGAGAACAAATGGATTCTTAATAATAGCTGGGCTAGCAGTAGTGGACGCATCAGACGTTGGTTTCGAGGCGGCTGCTACCGAAAACAATGGTGCTGGCGTTGGGCTTTCTTTGGGCGCAGCTGTAAAAGAAAATGGAGGTTTGGAAGGAGAAGATGTCGGAGTAGTGGATCCAACTGCAGACTGCTTTTGCTCTGACACGGAGGATTTGAAGGGGGAAGGGGTCTTAATGCCAGAGGTCTCATTGCCAGCATCTGGTAACACTGATTTCGAGAAAGACTGGGCAAAAATGCTTGCTGTCGTGGATCTTTCCGACTCCTTAGTGCGCTTTCCAAGAAGGGAGCTGGATGCACCAGCACTCTCATCATCATCGTCTTCATTGGATTTCCGCTTCTTACTTCCCGAAGCAGCATGGCTTGGCGTTCCAAAGAGCTTGGAAGGCGTGCTTGTTATAGGACTTTGGGAAATCGTCATGCCTAAAGCGGTCGACACACTGCCCTGACCGGATGCACCAAAAACGGGCGGGGTATCAGCAGACTTGACTTTTTTCGAAGCGGGCGCTTCATCAACAGTTGGTACAGTAGCACTATCATCATGAGGCGCCTTCCGTTTCCTTAGGCTGGCGGGAGCGCCAATTGCTTCACGTGCACGCAAATAGAAGAGGACAATGTTGTCAAAATCATCAACTGAAGGATCCAGGTCCGAAATTATTCGCTTAAAAGACGTATTTAAAGCGCGAACACGCCAGAGCAATTGAATCTGATTCCTCGTATTTTCGTCCAAATTAGCAGGAAGATCCTCGGGACCTATGTCCTTTAAGCGCATGAAAGCCGACGAAGTTTGAGTAGTTTGGCTAGAGGGGGCAGCTGTCTCTGCCCCATTAACCCTAGAGGGAACTTGTGCAGGTGCAGTCGGGGCCGGAGAAGACTTCTGAACCTCAGGCCCTGTAACGGAAGTAGGGAAAGGCGAGGGTTTGGGAGAGAACATAGTCGACGGCTTAGAGACACCAAAACCTGTCGCGGAACTTGAAAAAGGAGAAGTACTGGCTGCTGGCCCTTGCGATTTATTCGTCTTGGGTTCTTCCGCAGACGGGCCAGGCTTCGACGTGAAGAGACTGGGGAATGGCTTTTGAGTTGACTGCAGCTCATCTTGCGCTGGTTCTTTCTGAGGAGACGATTTTGCCGCCGGAGATGCAAAAAGACTGCCGAAAGGGTTACTTGGAGTAGCCTTGGAAGCCTCTTGGTCCGCAGGCACGGCAGTTTTAGGAGCAAACAGATTGCTTGCGCCAACTGCAGGTTGGGGTGTGCTAAATGCAGGTGGTGAGCCAAATAGTCCATTAGATGCTGTCGTAGGGGCGGCACTAGTGCTCTTAGAGAACAATGAAGTACTACTGGGAGTGGATGGCGGAAGCTGGAATCCTGGCTTGGCTTCTGCAGTGCCAGTGCCAGTTTGTTTCTGGCTTTCATTTTTCTCCTCAGATGGCTTTGGTGCAAATAAATTGCCGGCTTGAAAAGGGTTCTGTAATGGTCCAGCTGTCTTGGACAGAGATTGGCCAAATGGATTCGAGGTGGTAGCAGGGGTAGCAGAAGCGGTGACCGCAGATGTGGTAGTGGCTGGCGCAGCAGAAGTCGTTGTGGCAGCTTGAGAAGTGGAACTGGGCGTGCCGAAGATAGAAGGAGAGGGCGTCCCTATAGGCTTTCCTCCAAAAACCGACTGCGCAGGAGTGGAAAAGGTAGTTTTTTCTTCGCCTGCAGTCTCATTTTTGGCTTCGGGCTTTGTAAACAGTGATTTTCCACCAGTGGCATTGATAGAGCTTTGAAATATGGACTTGGACGAGCCATTAGTGTTGGTGTCCGGCGAAGTCTGCATCGAGTCGCTCCCAAAAGCGATGGACTGGCCAAACGCAGAAGGCTTCACCGGGGTAGAGGGGCCGAAGATACTGGATGAAGGGGCCGCAGCAGTAGTGCTAGGCTGTGTAAATATGTTACCAGTTACAGCTGACATCGCAGGTGTGGACTGGCTGGAAATTCCAGTGGTAGTGGTAGCAGTGTTGCTGCCAAATCCACCAAACGACGCACTCGTGGAACTGGGCTGTTGAGAGCCAAATAGGCCTGTGGCAGGAGCCTGTGCGGACGCGTTTTGGTTTCCAGAAGATGGAAAGTTGAATATACTTCCTTTGAATCCGCCGTCACTTGGCGGCTGCGCCGGAGCGGCGTTATTCAAGCCCGAAAATGGGTTATTCATGTTCGAGTTAAACGAATTGAAACTGAAAGAAGAGGCGCCACTACTGGCACCAAAGGCGAACGGAGTCGACGCGTTTTGGCTCGGATTTGAACCAACCCCAGGGAAGCTCTGAGACTGGCCAAAGACGAACCCGCTAGACGGTTGAGAGCCCGGCATGGAGGACTGTATATTGGGATCTATAGAGCTGAAAGGGCTCCCAGACGGAGGTGCCGAAGGTCCCGAGGCGGATACTGGGCGTCGTCTACGGACGTCCTTGATCCTGTAACGCCGGCGTTAGCCACTGTTCCGTTGAAAACGTGTTATGGAGATAGCAATGAGATATTTGCAGAGAGAAGAGAAGAGGGTCGCTGGTGAAATGAGAGCCCGATGCTGACGGGACGCATTGGAAGAGGTAAGATGGAAAGAGGAGGGGGGGAAAGTTGAAGAGAGAAGAAAAGGAGGGAAAAGTGCGTAGACACGAGGTGAATCAAAACGGTCATGAGTCTCCATTCACTCACTTTCTGTTTGCCATTTGAGCGGCGGTCGCCCGCTGAGGCTTGTCGCTCTCCATATTGATTTTCACTACCACCTAAAGCGGGTCTTCTGGAGTCCTGTCAAAACCTGCGCACACTCACAATCGATCTGGCACCCGTGATGCTACTTCAACGCAGTATGTGGATCATCCACGGTCGCAAGAGCTATCTCTAAACGCACGAATCTTGCTAGGTGAGCGAACCTCCAACCGATCCGCGTCTCGCAGACAGAGTGATCGATGGCCAGGTCACCGCAGTCTACTCGACAAAACTGTCGCGGAGTACGACTGTGGGTTTGTTCTACACCTTGTACGTGGTAGGCAACGTGACCAGTAGAATCCGTATCCTAAGATAGCTGCTCGGTTGTTGGTGGCTCGAGGTTAGGTCGTCGAGAGAGAGGGAGAGAGTGTGTGGTACCCGGCTGATGTTGGCGGAGATGATTACTGTATGATCGCAAACCGTCAGTGGCTGGGACAGGGCAATGTGCGATGGCAACACTGGAATATCTGAGGGGGCACACCTTTTGCCTATGGCAAGGGGTTTGGCCAGATTAACAGGGCCGGCCTTTGATGTGGAGTGAATAATAAAGGATGGGGAAGAGGATCGATCAAGACGACCTCCCGTTGCTAGGACAGACTTGCTTGGGAATTTTTGCCCCCGACGAGCGCCTCTTTTTTTCCTTCGAACGCGCCTGTCACGTGCGGTCACGCGCTGAAATCACGTGGCAGCTCCCAGCCTCGTATCCTTAGTAGGTACTCCGCATTATACGGAGCATTCCTCGAAGTTCCTGACTATCATGGCCTTCCATCGAATGTTTGAGCAGTCCCTGTGGCAAGAGCTCAAATATAGCCGCTCTCCTGTCGCACCGTGACCGACCTATGTTCCCTACTCTGGCCTTAATAAATGCACCCAGCTCTATAGGGTTTTAGTTTCCCTCCTGGACAAAGACCATCAGGCATTGAGCATTGCTTGTATAATCAATTGCATTTGGGTAGAACATGACTGGTGATTGCCCTTTTTTGATATTATTTGGGCTGGGCATCAACGCTATCTTTGTCCACCGAATCTACAAGTAATTCTTGGTCACAAGTAATCTAAGCTGCAGTCTATCTTCACGGGCCTCGGCTGGCCCGGGAAAATTTGGCAAGACCTGGGAGTCTGGAATGGAAGAACCTTCGGCAAGCCTCGAGAATCTCGAGGTCCGCTGAGCCTATGTTACCCTCGGCTTTAACTATCCTTAAATTCCCTAATCCTGGAGTGATTGATGAAGGGCGCATTTTCTCCGACCTAGAAATTAACTCCGGCCACCTAGCATGGTGCGGAAAACTCTACCAAGTTAACCTAATTTAGCTAAGTCTTCTGACTAAGCCACACTAAACCTAACTAACCAGTTATAGGAAGAAGCTGACCCCACCAACATAATTTATGCGGTAACACAACTCCTGGATAACACAACGAACTGGCAGGAGCAGCCATAGAATAGGACAGCATCTTAGACCTTACTGACCCCGAGTTAGCTATCTTCCCCTGCTTCGTTCCACACTTATGGAGTAGTTCCTCCTATCCCTCCACACCGAAAACCTTGATTAGGTGAGCCTCGAAACAGAGAAACTAGCATTTCTATTCAGTAAGAAACCATGGCGCTAGATACGCTACCCTTGGAGATTGTCAGCTTGGTGGAGCGTCAAAGTAAGACCATAGCAGACGGCTACATCATTTCATCACGCCCATCTTATACTCAGAGATCCAGTTGGGTATCTCTCTGCTGGGCCTGAGAAGTGGGAAGAGACGATGACTGGACATAGTCGTGAGTATTAATTCCGGAGCAGATACGAAGCTTGACTTTGGCAGTGCTTAATCGTCCGTCCCTTGCTCTGTATGTGCGCTCGCTTGATATTGAAGGGCTTGTCGGTACGGTCTGGGATTACGAGGAGTCATCACTCTCTGGGCTAAAAGAAGGTCAACTCAGACCTGATGATGTTGATGAGGATACCATGACTCTCATCAATGCTGTTCTGGCCTTGCTGGTCCCAGTAAAAACAGAAGGAACTGGCAGGATGCACCTGAAGCCAGGCCTCGAGTTCTTTCCATCAGTACTCAGCCACGGCAAGATCTGTTGCTCACTTATATTTCCTGATGGCTACATCTTGGTGATGATCAAGGTTGAGGGAGAAACACTTGAAACGCAATGGCACACAATCTGTGGTGATATAAGGAACACATCCGTTCAGAGGTCTACAAGGCGATCAAGGTCCTAAGTATCTCATCGATTGTGGTTGATCGTGGGTCGCATGTCATGGACTCAAAAGCCCCCCATCAACCTAGTTAAGCCTGCAGGAATTTGCTGACAAGCACGTATGCCTTGCTTGTACAAAACGTCAAGTGCTATATGGAAAAAACTGCCTTGGGATCTATTCTATCGTGATACAAAGTGGATTTTTTGAACGGTTGCTCGCCAGCGTGATCAATGGCTATCCCCGGGTACAATAACTGGATGCCTTTCTCTTCTCCATGTTCATGCTCTGAAAAACAAAAGGTGGCTAAAGTTCCTTGTAGATGCTGTGAAGGATTGTCTGGGATACGCGGGCCTCGGACTCTTTGGTACTCCCCCATGTGCAACAAGACTGGAAGAAACTGATCCTTGGTTTTGCTCGAGCCCAGTCCTACTTGACGAGGCCTGATGTCTTTATGGAAGCTCGTAATACAATCGATCTAAAAAGAAACGAGTTGGTCTCCATATTCTTGAGGCTCTTGGAGTATTATGAGATATGAGCCTCCCTCCGCAGGCCCGGAGAAAGCAGAAAGAGCTAACAGGATGATACTACCTACCCAGGGAATCTTATTTCTTACAACAAACCACGCTGAGCATATTGGCACTGCTTTTGAATCTCGGATTCATGCGTCCATTCGCTATCCAGAACCCACTCGGACATCGAGATGCCAAATCTGGAGTCAAACCCATCGCCGATATAGATATCAGGCTATTCTCAAAGATGAGCTGGATTACGTCTCAAATTGGAGCTAAATGGCAGATAAATTAACAATTTTCTGAAAACTGCACGTTTGCTGACCCAGGAGGAGGGATGTCGACTGCAATGTAACTTATTCGAATAGTCTCGAGTTTAAGCGACTATGAGAAGACAGGGGATATTCGTGTTTAAAGTGTGTGCACCACGCACCACCGTCTCATTGTTATGTGGAGTATCTCATCTTCAATGGTACATATTTAGGTCATTTAGAGTTAAAACTGCCCTATTGATATTGCTGCCAAGATGGCCGATTTAAGTTGTGTTGTTTGTTTATTTACTTAAAGCAGTTAACTAAGCTTAACCCTAATCCTATCATGCTCGCTCACCTTCTATTAGACATCCTTTCACCAATTTATTAAATCCATATGAGAAAACAACATTCCTAGTTTAACTATCTAACTAGTATCACTTCCAGGAATTGGCATTATACCGCTTACTCTTTTGATCGGGGTTAGAGGTGGGAAATGAATCCACTACTTCTGGAGATAGAATCCATTCATAAACTACTCCGTACTCCGTACAGCTATAGAGACATCCCGCTTGTCAGCGCCAAACAAACCCCCCAAAAATCCAAAATCCACATCTCAATTGAAACTCCATACCATGCGCATGGCCAAAACTAGAAATAGGCGTCCCCCCGCTTGTTGTTACTTATTTCCCCTTCTTGCATAGACCAATCAATTCCCAGACCGAAACAATGAAGACATCCACCCAAACCCAAACCGGGACATCTTCTCCTTCATTTGATTACGGCTGACTTTCCGCTTATGTTTCCTCATAGCCTCCGTCCCTGGCTTAGGCAGCCAGGTATGGATCACCATTTCATCCTGGTCTGCCCCGGATCCATTCCCCGGTACCGGTATCCGGTATCCGCCATCCGGGTTTGGGATCGGAGTTAGATGGACTATGTCAAATCTAAATGGATGGTTGCTGTGAGAGTCGAGCCGTTCGGAGATAGAAGGGATGGGCGGATCTGAGAAGTCACCGACGAGATCGAGGTGTGCATTATTATTTCCGCTTTCCCTTCGTGTTCGCATTGCCGGCATTGAGCGTTCGCGTCGTAGATTGCGTCCGTCATGCATGGCGCGGTCACGTATACTCTGCTCGCTGGGCTGATTAGATAATGGTCCTGGGCGGATCAGATGGCGTGGGGTTCTGGGTAGGTCCCTGCATCGGGGCAGAGCCGCGTAGGGGTTCGTCAGGTCCATTCCCGGAGATGGAGAAGGGATTTTTGGAATGGTCTCCGTGGAGTAGCTGGATGGTAAGTAGTGGAAGGAGGAATGCAGAGAAACCGAGGATTGCTTCTTCTGCGCTGTGAATGATGATGATGATGACTCTGCTGGGTGATTGTGCTCGGATTCATCCTCCTCCACTAAGGTCTCAGCACGATAAGTCCCAATGGGAATTCCGGAACGATCACCGGTGAGGATCGAGAAGCGGTCGGTGTCCTCGATGAAGGATACGATTCGAGCGGTTTTCAGGGATTTGCGAGGATTGAGGATCTCAAATGGCGTTCCATCGTGAGAAATGGTGACTTGTGCTGATGGCATAGCTGCGAAGTACGAGTCCTCTTTGGATTTGGAGTGGAAGCGGGATGCGGTATTCGTGGGCGTTTCGTGTTCTTCATAATCATGTAAAGTATCCTAATCCAATTAGCTATATTGCCAGTAAGGCCATATCGAACCTGTTGAGTGAATGATATGATGTGGCAAAGGGAATAATGGGTCTTACCAATTGCTCTGGGGAGTTCATTTCATGCGCTTCAGGGATAGTATTCACTTCAGAAAAACTGGAAGAAGCCACAACTACACACCAATCAGCATACGACTTGAGATTCTTCGATTAAAATTCCCTCCTGAAACAGACATAACCTACCGGAAAGAGAACCTTCCAGCTCAGACTCACTCCTCTGGGACATGACACTCAGCGAATTCGATGGCGATAGAGGCGGCGGACTCGATGGCGCGGAAGACCCTGATATGGAAAAAGAACGAGCATGAGGACTCACCAGCGGCCGTGCCGGGTTCAAGTTCACGAGTCCGTTCTTCCGCTTGAGCCTCTTCATCCTCCTGGGGCTTTCTGGGGGGATAACGCTCTCGGACTGCGTGCGCCAGTGGAGCTCCCCAGAAGGGGGACTGGGGAATGAATCTGCCAAAGGCGTAGTAGAGTCCATCTGAGGGAATTCAAAAGCAGCAAGAGCAGAGATAGGGTCTTGGGCTGAGACGGAGCAACCGTCCTGCGATTGAGTCAGGGCACTCATTTTTCGATCTTCATAGGTCGAGCGCCCGTTGATATTTATAGAGTCTTCATAAATAGTACCGATACAGGTACCTACATTAAATAGGCCGTTTTCCTTTCGTTAAAACAATGCTATTATTCAGACAAAATTCAGAATGGAAGGCTTGCAAATGTATGCCTCGGAGTCTGTTTATACAGGGTTAGAGGCGATACAGTTGCCGGGGACACAAAACTCACCTTGCAGGGAGAAATAGAAAGGATAGGTCAGTCCAGGAACCATGCAATATATGCAGTCAGGTTTCAATGACAGGGGACAAGGGGTAAAAAACTGGACATGTCAAATGCCCAATGAAGCGAAAGAAGGGAAACAGTCAACAAAGGCTGAACCGCTACCCTCCTAAAAAAGAAACGAGGTAGAATATAATGAATGCCCTTTATACAGAATAGGAAAAAGAAGGGCAAGAAAGGAGAGAAAGAAAAAAAAAGATAAGGCTGAAAGTCGACGAGCAAAAATGGCACACAGTGCTTCTCGGACTGACGGTATGAGCCGGAATCGAATTGAACTGAAATGAAAAGAATCCAAATGGAAGGACAGGAAGGAAATCATTCCCGCACCAAGGGGAAGAAATAAAAGAGGAAAAGCTTACAGCGAAAGAGGCGAACAACAGACAGGATATACTAAATAAGATTTCACCCAGATCTGAAATCCATGATGTCAAACCGTATCACAGCGAAGGATCCCAAACAACCTGGGAGCTGACGGCCGGGAAACAGCAGCCTTTCGCTGGCAACAATGGTCAAGCCGGCTCTGCGTGTACTTCTCACTCCAAACTCTATGCCTGCGTCGCATCTCCACCAGTCGTTCCGCCAGTGATCGTGCGCGGCGGCAGTTGAGCTATCGAGTCGATGGCAAGATCGGTGGAGCAAAAGAAGGCAAGATTCCCTCGGTTCCCGGTTTTGAACGCAATCCCGGCTTCAACCCTTTTTCTTAAGACCTGGATCCATGGGCCCCGGACGGTTGAGCATTCGATCGTCTGGCTGATGTGTGCCCAGGTACACGTACACAGCAGGCGATGCAGAGTGGATAAGCCCACTGAGGCAAGAAATCTAGAATGGAAATCCATCTCAGATCGTTGTCCTGCAGTAATTCGTATTCCCAGTCGAATCAGCTGTCGCCGCGAGAATTCTTCACGCTGCTTGCATGCGCATTGGTTTCGGCTGATTGCAGCCACGGTCGAACCGGAAGCAAAAAGAGGGAAAATCATCGTTCAAACAATTGCATTGATCGGTTGGTATATCTGCGTATTTCCAGCACAGCTCAGCATTCTATCCACATTATGATCATTCTTCCACAGCCAAAATAGAGAGAGTCCAAAAATAGCAAAATTCCTGAAGACCAAAAACACTCCAGCCCAAACCAGGTCCAAAGAACACCAATTCATGCTCGGAGCAGCAGAAAGCAAAGCAAAGCAAGGCAAGATAAAACACGCGAAACACTCCAAATGCTTGTCTACAGATTCCAAATCGGTATCGTCGTCAATTCGTCGTCATCGTGGCCGTTGTAGACTCGAAAAGTTCCATTCCCCGCTGATCTGCAGCCTCCTTGCTGTCGCACTATATACCTTGTCCTGCCACTTTCTTGTTTATACCCCACAAATTGTTTTAGATCGTTCTTGTTCCACTACTATCACGGGTCAAAGGGGGTCTCGAAACCAGAATTGTCAATTTCAACTGCTGTTGGACGAAACCGTCACTTCTAATGGTGCTTGTATTTCTGCGAAAGGAGATCAGGTTAGCACGACATCCCAGTATAGAAAGGGTAAAGGGGAAAAGATAGGAGAAACATACGTCTTCCATCTTCCTTCGGTTCGTTGGATCCAGGGTATTTCCAGCACCCAACAGCGTCTGTCCAACTGCCCTGGACATCCCAATAGCTGGCCGAAGGATGATGGTCGGGGTCCGCTTCAACACAGCCTTTGCCGCTGCTTTCGCACTGCCACCCTCGACCACTTCGCCCGGGACTGCAACGATAGCATCGCGTGTCAAGAGCAAGTCGCGCTCGAGACCCCTGAATGCCCCTCGCAAGCCCTGGACAACTCCGACCGGCTGGTCAGCATACGGAGAGATCTTGTTTGTCTCCTCTTCATCAACCACGTCCTCCTCCAAACCCGCAAATTGTGCCCCCGGGGCGTTGAGAAAATCCTCCGCCCCCTGCAGAACTGTTTGCGTGCCAATAGCAAGTTTGGCTCCAAGCTTCACGAGCTCGCTACTGGTAGTTTTGGCGAATGACAGTGCACCCTTTTGGATGCTTCGCACAATGCGACCGTCCTTCCTGTATTCGCGCATTGGAATAACTACCAGATCTTTAAAGCCTCCGCCAACGTTCACCAGAGACCTGATAGGGGCCAAGCCCGCAAGGACACCCGGTAGCTGATTCCTCTTGATATCTGGCATCCAGATATCATTGAGCGTGCTCCCAAGCTTGTCGAATCCTGAAACCCCGTAGATAATCACATGCCGCAGGACCATATCCGCACCGTCCAGAACGAAGAAATTCATAAATTCCGTCGTGCGACCGGATCGAAGACCTGCGTAGTCGACTCTCTTTGGCTTAAAGTCGAGCCTGACTTGCACGGCATTAACTTCCACTCTTTGCAAGAATGGAACATCTCCGGGCGCATTGGGAGCAGGAGAGGACTCGTCTCTGAACTCGAAGAAGCGGCACATGAAATCAAGGGCGTCCTGATCCACATGTAACCGAAGGGGAAGAACAGTGGCCTGTGAAGTAACTAAAGTCAGTGCCTGAGACTCATCTGTCGCTGTAGCCCGACTCCTTGCTTACCTTCAAAACAATCTCCGATGCAGCCAATTCGGGAATGGGCTTCACAGTTAATACCTCCAGATGTACCATACTTGTTCCACTCTCTTTATCCCCAGCTTCCCGCATGTAAGTAGCAAACTTCTTCCACGTTGAAGTTGCCACATGGTCGAATATATCCAGATCTTTGATACGTACATCTAAGGAACTTTGTGTCTCCCCCGAATCCGGCGGAAAGACGACAAAGTCTGCACAGATGCCTTTCAATTCAAAGGTCATCTTGTGATGTCTGCTGCGGGACAAGCGTAACTTCTTTCTTTTATGTGGAGATACAGCCCGTCTGGATGTCATGGCGGTCACAGTTGTACTTGTCGCGTAGCTGCCTGTTTCACTCGCCAGGTCGTCAATATCGCGATTGATGTCCTGATGCAATTCCCGCGGATCTCTATTAGCGGGAATGCCAATGTAGATCGAGTTGAACAGAAAGTCGCCAATGACTGACTCCTCCTCTTCGCCTGGGCCTGGCGATGTTCGATTGGCAGCTCTGGCCCGCCGCTCTGTCGCCTTTATCTCCACATCCTTCACGGCTTTAGATATGGTATCCCTTGTTCGCTGCCAGTCGTAGCCATCAAACAGATTCCAGATGACGTGGACGTCTCGCACCCTAACTCTAAGCGGGCTCCTTCGGAGCTTACTCTCATTCGAAAGCCCGTAGGTATTGTGTGTAGAATCCCACCGATGAGCCGTTCCCCCAACTGCAGACTGCTTTGAGAAGTGGTCTTCCTGGAAATCGAGCTCTGAAACGCTGGACGAAACATAGTACTGCGAGTGGAAGCTATCAAGAAGAGCCTCTGACGTCGACGGAGCGAGAGCTGAGGCTGTCATGCTCTCGGCGAGGAGACCACCCTCAGCTTCTGGTATCGTGGGATGGAAATCGCTCACGTAGTCAAGCTCATCATCTAGATACTCCTCGTTTCCATGAACCTTATCAAACTCGGAGATGGTATCAGGGATGTTTTCCTGGTTAAGGACGGGCTCTGCCGTGTACGCGTCTCCTGTAAAAGACTGCAGCATGTCCTGAATGGGCATCACCTCAGTCCTATACTTGAGAGTCGTGCTAGGAGGTGCTGGGGGCTGTAGTCCGTTCAGGATGCTGATCAGAGTCTGTGTCGAATCCGCACAAGTCTCGAGAATGAGTAGATCATCTCGAAGTTCCACATCCAGTGACTTCGTACCGTCGTCCAACGGGATTACCTTCACAATGGCTGTAGCTGATGATATGGTAGAAACAGGAACGTAGCCCATGTCAACGAGCGACTGGTCTTGACTCCTCAGAGCAGCAGTGGCGCCTCGTCGACGCAGGTTGTCCGTGTATCCCACATTTCGAATATCGTCAATGATCATAAGAGATGCCTTACTGAGATCCAAAGTTACCTCTGATTGCTCATTATCATTAATTGCACCAAAAAATCGGGCGTTCGTAAACATGACAAAGCCTTTTGCCGGAGTATCACGAGGATTGAGTCCGAGGAGACAATCACACAAGAAAACCTCTATTCTAGCCGGCTTCACAGACCCTCCCGTCCTTTCAGATTTTGTGGATAACCGACGCGAAAGATGAGCTTGCCCTTGCTGAGATGACTGCAAGTCACCAAGATTAGCCAACGACTGTGCCATACCCGCGGCTACGTTTCCGCTTGCCACCTCGTTGTTGATGCCAAGGAATGCAATCATCGCTGGAAGGGTATATTCTGCCCGAAGGTCAAATAGCTTAATCTTGACTGTGGGGTCCATTTCATCAGCGATAAAACGGGCCATTAATACTGGCTGCTGCGTCCGAGGTAGGTCATGGCCCTCGCCCAGCGGCAACGCCGGTCCCAGCAGTTCCTCCGTCTCATTTCTGTTGACAGTCGCTGCCCCAACTCGAGCAGCAATGAGGGACGGTATACTGATATGAGCCACTTCCATATTTTGGAGTTTCATGTCGATGAGACCAACTTGCCCTCCGACTTGAACCTGCCCGTCAAGCTGTTTCACCAGGACCAATGTCAAAATACCAGGTCGGTCGTCCTCTGGTAAATATTTAGTGACAGTAGATAGCGCACCCAGCTCGTTAACGAACTGTGAAATGGAGTCCAAAGTATCCATGCGAGAAAGAGCCGTCTTCATCGTTGAAACAGTCACACGAAGTACAGAACCCTGTTTCCGTTGTTTGAAAAGGGTATCCAGCAAGATATCGTCATCTTGTTCGTACCTGTCCTTGGACGGGGTAATCAATGCTAGCAGACGGTCCAAATCAGCCTCCTTCGGCGTAAAAAGATACTCGACTCTGATATTGTCAAAAGTGACTTTAGCAGGAGCCGCATCACAAGCATCATTGGGTAGGAAGGGACCAGTTAACTTGGCTTTGTCGATCTGTACACCAATCCCTTCGGATCTGCTGACGGCTTTGAGGGCTGTCGTTTTCAGCTTGAAATAGGTCTCTCCGACAACGTCCACTACCACGCCACCGACTCTAACATTCACCTTCCAAGATGCGGAGTTGGATCGGCACTCATCCCTGGCCGGCGGAGGATGGGATTCAAAACGCACACCGCGAGAGCGTTTCTTTGGTTCTGATCTTGCTCCTTTCATAGTTGAAACCGACGAGATAGAACTTCCAAGTTCCAAAATAGTGCTGAGGCCTCCGATCCAACCTAAAACTTCCTCTAAGCGCTGAATATTGAGACTGAGATGCAGTGGAAGAGTCGTCGCAATGACCTTAGCAGAATCTGAAGATTTGACGACGGAAAGAGATATGTCGGCGTGCACAGGTGAGAGAACATCTCTAACTGATTCTCGCATTTTTAAGCCCTCATTAAAAGAGACCAGATCCTCTGTTGCAAACCCAAATGCAAACTTCGATACATCGAGACGAAGCTTTGACGTGTCGTTCTCTAAAGACAAATTGGCCTTCCAACCGGACGATGAAATCCTCAAGATCACATCTTCCAAAGTGGAAGGATATGATGAAGAATATAACCGGGAATTCTCAAGGGGAAACCCAGGTAAGTGTTCGACGAACCTGACAGATAGTTTGCTCAGACCAAGGATACAAAATGTCCGGCTCTGCGCTGCATCTGAATCGTGTTTTGGCCCGTGGAATTCCTCATTATTGCCACCAAAAGTGTGAAGTATCCTTTGCCCCATTTTGGCAAGGAGCCATCCTGTCGCAATATCGAACTGCGCTGCGACGGAGGAAACTTCAATCTCGATATTGGGATATGCACTATCAGCATCCGGACGAAGCTGTTTTTCGTATTCAGGATGACGAGGCAAGCTTTGCTCAATAATTTCGGTGAGCTGTGATGACTCCATAGAACCCTTACGGGTTCTGAAAGAACTGTAGACTTTAGAACCAAGTAGCCCATCTTCAACAATAGAATCACGCAAATTTTGCGATGAAGAGTCTCCTAGATCACTCTCGGCCGCTTTTTCATGAAGCTTGACTGACTGCTCGTCTGTCTCCGCGACATCGTTATCAGTGGACGGAAGCCACAATGAGATTTTGTCAATTTCAAAAAATTTCTTCCCCACCATAAGTTTGTTTAAATCTGGTGCAAATGGGCCTGGTGTCTCCCTGGCTGACCCCGATTGTTCTTTAGAAAATGATATCGACTGAGCGGTAAGCTTGGGAGTGGAAGGCTCCGCTTCAGCTTGCTCTTTGTAGCTGAAACGCCCCTCTTGCTCTTGATCAGCGTTTACCTGGTCTACAGGGTGTCCTTGAATTGCATTGTCCCTGAAGCTCCTTCCAGACACCCAAGCACCTGGTAGTGCAGGCATAAAGCTTTCCGATGCCGAACCATGGCTCACAGCACTCATATACATGCTCTGAGCCTCGTCGTGAGAATAGAGTCTAGATTCTGAAAGATCATCATTAGAAGATCCGGACTGCGAGTCAGTACTCCCAGCATCTGACAGAGGAGAAGGGTTATGAGATTGTGATATTTCATGGACATTTGTCTCAAGGGACGAATGAACACTCCCTTGGACCGATGAAGGAGGATGTCCGACTGCTGTACCATCCATATGCACATCGTCCCCATGGCTAACTACACTGTTCCGTGGAGAACTCTGAGTGCGGAATTCTTGGCTGCCACCGATCGAAGTCCTACTTCGATCCATGCCATGTTCTGATGTCGCTTTTTCAGATGAAGACAGCGGTTGGGAATGTTGCAGCTCTTCTTGTGGGAAAGCTGTTGAATCCTCTATCCCATTACCGCCCGGCTGAAAATCAAGGACGGAATCTAGATACGATGGATCATCTAACACTCTATCGTCGCAATGGCCATTTGAAGAGCTCGGCGAGCGTCCCAGAACCCCATCATTTCTCTCACCGTAGTCCGTATCTGCATCTGAAAACCTTCCATCCAAGCTATAAGTGGAGCCTTCCATCGGCTGAGTATCAGGAGGGGTAATATCTCGTGGTGGCTCAATATCCCGAGACTCAGTATCATGCGGATGCTCAGACTCCAGGGATCGCTCAAGAATCGTTGAGCGCGTCATGTCCAGAGCAGAGCCTGAGCGAGACAAGCGTGAGGGCGGAGGTGATGGCGATCGCGATCTACTCCAAGGCTGGCCTTCCTTCGATTGCATTGTGGTGGATGGCGACGGCGGAGCCGCAAAACGAGAATAGTTTGAAAAAACCACGGGATCAGAGATCAAGGATATATTGACGTCGGACAAAGAGATTAGTCGCCTTCCTTCTTTGCGAAATGGGACTCCGTCTGTTTCGTCAGGTGTAGAGACCGCATTCACAGATACATCTCCAACACTCAACAGACCCGAAACCAGATCCGGTTGATCCTCTGTCTGCCTCTTAGACATCCCATCTTGTCTCAGCTCAATATCAAGCCGTATAGAAATATCCTTAACCTCGACCCGGAGTCTGTCTGTGATACCCTTCAAGAATCTAGCAACGAAACTTGGCAGAGACACACGTTCGTCTCCGAGCCCTAGATCCTCTTCATCATCGCCAACAGCTGATGATTCGCGTTTCAGATATTGTGACTGTGAAGATATGGCTGCTTCTAACTCCTCTTTCTCTTCCTTCGGTTCGGTTTCGAGGAACGACTCCGCGAGATCGGCTGCTCTAGGGAGTATCTGCTCTCCACCGAGATCATGAGCGGAACCCTGTTGAGCTGAAGGATGGCATTGCTTCGCATCTTTTCCCCTGCCCTGAGACTCCTCAGATAGCGCTTTTACATGTATATCGATTCCGCTGGCTTCGCAGACGATACCGCTACTGTAGATATCGGCTGGAACGGTGATTCGAAGGAACTGAACCCGAGCGCTGAGCAACTCAGTCGACGGAGGGAGATGAAGGAGAGTAGATAATTTCTAGTCATTTCATGAGATTGTCAGAAAGCTATTATTTCAGTTTGGATGAAAGGACGGGATGAAGAGAAACATAAAGAGGGCAGTGGGGAGGCTGGGAAAGGCGTAGGTTCTGATGGACTGCGGCAAGAATTGCTGAAACAAAAGCTGGTCACAATATCCCTCTCACCTCTAACTTCAAGCCAATATCCCGTAGCTCGACAGAACTTCTTTGGCCCCATCGGATACCCAGGCTGTCGAGATCGAGCGCCTCGGTATCAACGAGCTCTAAGCGGGAGAGAGCATATCGCAGCAACCTCTTTTGGAAGAAAGAAGGCAAAAAGTACGCCATGTTGAAGGCAGAAGAGCCAAGGGCTCACTTATGCCATGCGAGCCGTCATGGAAATAAATTCATAGTAGAAATGTAGAACACAAGGAATGAGCGATGAAAGTGTCGTGTGTCGTTGCTCAAGGTCACAACCGCGGCGAGAACTTGGATGACGTTCCGGAGGCAATAGGAGATCGCAGCGTCGGAACAGAGCAAGCAGCAGCACCACGTCAAATCCCTGTCGTCTCCAGGTGACTATTTATCAATGTCAAGCAGTACCGCCACCGCAGATGATGATTTGACTGAGAGATAGGGGGTTGAGCGAGAATCGAGCCAGCGACAAGTGTCACCAGTCAGAAGCCGTCGGTGGAGGAGGGGAACCTGGAGCCGCGAATGACGCCTATCAGCCACTCTGGGAATCTCTTAAGACATATGGAGAGAAATGGCAGCACCAACTTGAAGGAGCGTCGATTCTACTTTCTTATTCCATTTATTTTTCGTTCTTATTTCATTGACATAAGGTGCGTATGCTATTTCCGGTGGAACTTGTGTCATTACTGCCCACATTCTCGTGATTCTACTCTATGAACAAGGCCTTGCACCTATACCACGCGTCTCCCAGGTCCTGCCGTGACTCAGGATTCAGGATTCTAGTTTTCTTCTTCATCACCAAACTCAGACACGATCCACCCGCAGAACATCTCAAAGTCCGCATACCACTCCCGCAAGCGAGCAGCCTTCAGGCCCGTACCCATGATCCCACTTCGAATCTCCCCTAGCCACTCAGTGGTCGATTGGTCTTCGTAACAGCTCCATCGAATCGAGTTTTCGACCATCATAGCGAGGCCCTCTATACCCATGTTCTCCAGCCCCTGCAGTGCCTGCCAGAAGTCATGGGTCAATCCATTCTTCCCGTGACCGAGAATGGCTGGGTCGTCGTTGCACAGTGACACCGATACCCCACGGGACAGAAGGGCAGGTAATGGATGAGCCTTTATGGAGCTTGTGAGTCTAAGGATTTCATTTGAGATCGGACAACATTCAATGAGGATCCTCTTCTCCTTGACAAGGTCAATCAGCAGAGGATGCTTGTAAAGGGAGAAGCCGTGTCCAATCCTTCTGGTGCCCAAAAGTATGGCATCGAAAAGGTTGTGGTCCGTCTCATCACCGTCACCGAGGCACTCTCCGGCGTGGAAGAAGAATGGTATCTCCACACCTTCTTCCACGCATCGCTTCCGGAACCAGAACAGGATAGGAACGAGATCGACCAGCGGTCTCCCTCGGTCTTCCTGCCCGACTACGTCGAATCCGCAAATAACATCCGGGTGTGCTTTCTTCGTCAGAATGCACTGCTTCATGCTCTCGACGATATCCTGATCCGAAAACCAGCGTAGGGTCGTCCAGATGATCCGTGCCCCGTAGAACGCCTCCCCTTCTGTCGCCTTAAAACGCTCAATCTCCTCTCGGAAAACCCGACAGAACTCGATATAGTCTTCTTCGGGCGTATCGGTGCCTTCCCGTTGGTAATCGAAGTGGAAGGCGATTCTAAAATCCACATACCTTATTCCATCATCAACAAGCTGCGAGAGCAGACGGCGCATACAGGATCGTAGAATGGGCTCGTAGAAAAGGATTGTTCTAATTATGCCAAAGGTGCCTTGAAAGATGGCCCAGATCGCATCCACCCCGTGGTAGTGGTTATACGAGTGCTCTGGCATGATGATACATCTGCTCTTCAACCATGCGCGGAACCCGGCGTCACCACCGTCCGGGAAGAATGCTGCTGCGTGTTGGATATGAATCAGCGACGAAGACTCGTAGTCCACGTCCCACACAGTAGGCTTGTTCTCAGACTTCTTGGCCGGACGAGAAGAATACTGGAAGCTAACAGGTGCCTCCTCGTAGTCCTTCCGGGTCAACAATGGTTTCGGAGCCGACATATGCATACCCGGAGTTGAAAGTGCCTGGTCTATCAAGAAATCGATATCGAACATAGCTTCCAAATGAGCATGTAAGAGCGAACCCTTAGGCATCCTCTCCACAATCTTCCAGAGGTTCGTCTTCTCCATCCGATCCTTGGCCAGGTTAAACATCACACCCGGATAGAGGATCTCATCGGATTGGTGAGCAGTGTCTTCATCCATACCCCTGGTCCAAACATGCTTCAGCTCCTGTGCACGGATCTGAGAGACAATCTTGCTTGCTTTGGCCGCTATGGGAGAGAGAGTCCTGCGGAGATTGTAGTCTGCGACAGGAATGAATCAGTTCCCATTTCCCTGGAACAAATAAAACTTCTAACCGTGTCTCTGCCTATGTTCCTCTTCTACCAGGGCATCTCGTCCCTGGAGATACTTCTGGATGAAAGGATCGTCCACCCGCGGCACACCCTCCTCCGTCTTCCACTTGAGATCTTCGTCTGTCCGCATGATGGAGAAAACCGTAATCGTATTATCTGTGCTTTGAAAATAAAAGAAAGTAATCCGATGTAAGCCTCCTTTACCGCTCCTTCTGGCCCTTTTGAAAGAAAAAACTAAGCACGGGCACAGGCCGTGGATGAGGATACCGATATGGACAACTAAAGAGAACCTTCCTTTTTGTGTTCTCTCGATCACAAAAAGAATATCAAGGGCAAAATAGAACTTGAAAGAATGAGACGAAAGTGGGGGACGAAAAAGTACTACGAGGGGCCGACGGTTATCTCCGTTAAGCTTTCCCCCGCCCTAAAGATAGGTGCCTAGCCAGATGGATATCTAACCAGCACCGATTGATGGATGAGGAGGGAATCATAAATCAACAATGTTATAGACCTATTAATTGTTATCTAAACCCATGAAAATCGTCTCGTTCTTCAAGTATCGATGCTCTCGAAGAAAAAGATGCCCCTTTGTCCTTGGAGCTTACACCGCCCGCTGAAGATAGCCTTGAACTCAACCCGAACAGGACCCCGCTGCATGCTTGTTTTCACTGGCATGATTCTGGATTTATATAGCATCTACGGTTATGGCCGGGCTGCAATAGGTAGCATTGTTTATCTGACAACATGCATGGATTATTCAATGCGAATCCATTCCAATCAGCCCTATAAAAACCAAGTCTCGTTGCAGTGACATGCAGTGTGGGTTGAATCAATATATAGGGTCAAGCCCTGCTGCAATGCCTTATTGCCATCTTACTATGAATGAAGCTGTGGGAGCTCCCGGCCGCCGATGCCTCAAAATACGCTAAACTTACCAGATTAAGTAGTCTATTTGCAACGGTCCACATAGCTGGCAAGGCTGGCAAGCGACCAATTTAGGTTCTCGAGAAGGTTCTTAGGAGAATCCACAGACGAACGAACCCAATCCTTGTGCTGCATATGATTATCAACCTACAGCGTAGATCGATCTAGTACATGAGATAATCTGGAGCACTGTGAATCTCTACGCCCAGCAACTGGCTTGGAGAGTAATCCGTATCAACACCTCCAAAGCTCTCTGCAAGCTCTCTCCGAAGAAGTGACATCAAATGGCCATCTCCGACAAGTCAAAATCCCGTTGCGACCCAAGAAATACAGCCATAGGATGTAGATATACAGAAGCACCGCCAAGACTGCAAAGTTCAGCGGCCAAGAGACGTATCTTGCAACGTCGCAGGAGGACACGGGCTGTATCTGCTTGGCATTTAAAGATATGGATAGGCACGTGCGTATCCCAATTAGGTTTTTCTAGGCGCTTGCCAGAAAGCGACCAGGATCAGCCCAGCGGCGGCATTGCATGACAAGGCTCGCGGCGATCCAGGGCCCCATTGGCCGTGTCTGTTGCGGTGGCGTTCTAGCGTTGTAACCGTCTTATCGGAGATGTTCTCTGTAACATGCCGCTGCGGGATGCGTCGATCCCGGCGAATACTACGGATCGTTACTATGGAGTATGGACTGATAAGAAGGCGAAAAAAAAAAAAAAAAAAAAAAGAAACTAAACTAGGGTTACCACCGTCGGGCTTCCACTCCACGAGCACACGAATAATGAATTCAATTCCTTTCTTCCCCCGCACAGTCGGTTCAGCTGCGAGTTTTGCCGCGCAGGATGCTGCTTGCTGGCTCGTTGGCCTGATTGCAACTGGAAAGACTCACGGTCTTGCGTCGACGCGTGAGATTCGTATTTGCTGCATTGTCCCTTTCCTTGCATGAGCTCACCTCTGCTTATCTGCTGACTATTACTATTTATTTTCTTAATATTCATTTTTACCTGCTCACTGTTATCACTCCCGTCCCTTAATATCAAGACGGGCGAACCCCCTGCGTCCATGGTTCTGGTTCACAGTTCGTTCTTCCTCCACACTGTCTGATCGATTCCCAACGGTTCCTCTGGAATCGTCGAGTCGAGAGAGCCGCAGGTGAAGAGCAATAGACAAGGGAAGAAGACGGATATTCCCGCTTCGTACACCACCCAGCATGGCCGCGGACACCCCCGAGGTGACGACGACCACCCTTACACATGCAAGAGATCCTGCTCTTGATCCCGCTAATCAACATCATCATGCGCATCATAACCATACAGCCTTCGCGGAGCGCGATCGCGAGGACGATGTAGTCTATGCCAAGGACCCAACTCTCGACAAGACCATGGCAGCAGACCCCAGTCCGCTCGAACATTATACCAGGAGCTCCAGCGGCGACGACCCGGAACAGACAGGCCAGAGTTACCCCAAGCGCCCCTGGCACCGCCGGGTGCTGAAGCATTGGCGACATGCTATCTATGCCGTCATCTTCCTCTTGTTCACAGGGTGAGTGGGAGGAGGGGATCATTATATCGTGCGCAAAGAAATATTGACTGATTCCTTTCATTTCTCAGTTGGTGGATTGCAGGCCTTATCCTTCATCGGTATGACTTGGGCTGGATCGTCCCCTTCTTGCTTTGGCTCGCAATCACGTTGCGCATCGTCACCTTGTATATTCCAGTCACCATCGTGACGAAGCCGACGTTCGGCCTGTGGAATATAATCGTTCCACGGTTAATCGCTCTTATCCCTGAGAAGCTCAGGATTCCCAGCGCTGCATTCGTGACAATCGCAGTCATCCTTATTGGCACATTTGCGTCTGGCGAAACGGCAGACAATACTCGCGAGAACCGCGCTGTCAGTCTCTTCGGACTGATCGTCTTCCTCTTCGCACTGTGGGTTACCTCGAGGAACCGTAAGAAGATCGTCTGGCACACAGTTATCGTGGGCATGCTGTCACAGTTCATCATTGCCCTCTTCGTCCTCCGAACCAAGGCCGGTTACGATATCTTCAACTTCATCTCCGAGAGAGCTCGGGATCTCCTCGGTTTCGCAGATAATGGAGTCGTCTTTTTGACCACCAGTACCGTCCCATCCACGGGCTGGTTCCTTGTCACCGTTATCCCAGCCATCATCTTCTTCGTTTCCCTGGTCCAGCTCCTGTACTACTTCAATGTCCTGCAATGGTTTGTCGTCAAGGCCGCCACGTTCTTCTTCTGGCTCATGCGCGTTTCCGGTGCCGAGGCCGTCGTAGCTGCTGCCTCTCCTTTCATCGGACAGGGAGAGTCCGCCATGCTCATCCGTCCCTTCATCCCCCATATGACCATGGCCGAGATACACCAAGTCATGTGTTCTGGCTTCGCGACAATCGCAGGAAGCGTGCTGATCTCCTACATCGGCATGGGCGTGAACCCGCAGGCGCTCGTCTCCTCTTGCGTCATGAGCATCCCCGCCTCCCTGGCGGTGTCGAAAATGCGCTGGCCTGAAGAAGAAGAGACACTAACCTCCGGGAAAGTCATCGTGCCAGAGGACCCGGAACACCGTGCAGCCAACGCCCTCGATGCCTTCTCCAAGGGAGCATGGCTCGGCCTCAAAATCGCCGCCATGATCGCTTCAACCCTGCTCTGCATCATCTCGCTCATTGCCCTCTGCGACGCTCTGCTCACCTGGTGGGGCCATTATCTGAATATCAACCATCCACCCTTGACTATCGAAATGATAGTCGGTTATATCTGCTACCCCATCTCATTCCTCTTGGGCGTATCCCGGGAAGGCGATGATATCTACAAAGTAGCAAAACTGATTGGAATGAAAATCGTCACTGTAAGTCGATTAGATTTACCTTCGTGCCGAAAAGTCAAAAAATCCCGCAATTCTAACCATCTCCACTTTTTTTAGAACGAATTCGTCGCCTACAATGACCTCCAACATTCAGAATACTACGCCGACCTCAGCCCCCGCTCCCGGCTAATCGCAACCTACGCCCTCTGCGGGTTCGCCAACATCGGCTCCCTTGGCAACCAGATCGGTGTCCTGGCCCAGCTCGCACCGGGTCGTAGCGGTGATATCTCCCGCGTGGCCGTCAGTGCCATGATCACCGGTGCTCTGAGCACGTTCACCAGTGCGTCTTTTGCGGGCATGTTGATTATGGATGAAAAACAGTATTTTACTGTGTCGAATGCTACTACTTCATAGCATAGCCTTTTTTTGAGATTTGCTTACAGTGGTGTTGAGCGGATGTATATATATCATATGCATGGTGTTTCTTCTTTTGGTTCTCATTCTGGCCCCTCTCTTGACTAGCTAGTGTTGTTTTTTTTTTTTAAGTAGTTGACTTCATCGTTATAGTTTATGTACCATTTTGAGACTTGTGGGTATGTATGATAGGCTGCTTGGATTCGACATGTCTGTGACCGTGACTCATGAATTTGGTAACTACCTTGTGCAGTGCAGCAAGTACGTAGTAAACAGGGATGAGACGGATTGGAATGGGCGTATGATAATTAGAATAGACTTGAACAATCTCAGTCCAAGTCCAGATATAGACACTGCTATGAAGGACTAACTGTACTCCACACTTCCACTGGAGGAAGGAGACAATATTAATACGACAAACAAGACATAAAAACGATGACAAAAGGCAAAGAAAGTAACCAGACACAACAGATAGCTCCAGACTCGCGGTTCTTCCTGTATGGTGCTCAATTCCACGGTCCTAAGTCGCTGTGAAGAAAGGAAAACGAAAAAAAAAGAAACCCAACGCGGAAACTCCAGAACCAATGTATCCGATATGCATATGCACGCATTGCGCCGCGTCGCATCCATGGCAATATTCATAGCCAGGATAATCACCGCAGGACCTACAGGTATAGTCCCCGATCTACTCGAGATCCTCGACGTCGCGGTGTCGAGCAAGCACATGCTTTTTGAATTCCTCCTGGTCTGTGTCCCAAAGCTCTGCAGCCTGGGCATTCAAAGGACTCGAACTATTATCAAACAAGTCAATAACCGTGAACCATTATCGCAGAACCGCATACCCATGGGCGCAACTACTCACTTGTTGGGCTCCCCCAGCAAGCTCTGCAAGCTCAGCAACACGCTCTGGACATTGTACACAGCACTCCACTTGTCCTTCAGGATATCCAAACAGATCCGCCCGGAGAAATCGACATTGGGGTGATAGATAGGCGTCTTAAAAAGGACTGTCGGAGGAGAATAAGGATAGTTGTTCGGAAACTCGAAAGAGAGCTTCAAAGTCAGCCCTTCGTAGGGTGTCTCTGTCGGGCCCGTGATCGTGGCAGTCCAGAAGAGCAGGTTACCGTCTGCGTTGGGGAAGGCAGAGATTCCGGGGGAGGGGGAGAGCATGAGTTGCATTAATTCGGATTGCAGGCTAGAGTATCAGAAGGGATATCCCATGTCAGCAAGGTCTGTGTCTTTCTCTATTGTCCGTATTTCCTTTCTAGGAGTCTTGGGGTAAGTGAACGAACCGTTTAGTCACGCTTTGCGTATCGCTTCTTTGCGCGGATGAATTCAACTTGGAGACTTCGTGGGCATCTGGGGCCGAGTTCTGTGTATCTTCCATGGTGTATTCCATAGTGCTTGATCGGTGTGGGCGATGAATCCGCTCTGTGACCGTGTATCCGGTGTCCGAAAGGGAAGAATTGTTAGGTGCAGAGAACAGAGCCGAGAGACTGGACGTTTCTGGCCAGTCTCTGACGATGACGATGATGCGAACAAAGAACGAGGGTTGGTGATATGAAACGATAGAATGCCCGACAGAGACGTCGTACAGCGTAGTTATTTATTGTTGGAGCAAGGAGGGCAGTGAGCAAGAAGAGAGCGGCAATGGGAGGGGCTGGGAAGATTAAGAAGATCTGGTTCTTTTGTTTACTCGCAGCAAAAACTCCACTAGGAAGTACAGACCCCGGCAACGCATTAGACTGATACAATTCATATAATAATTCTTACGGAGTATTCTTATTGCTATTCAAGGCTTAGGGCTTGGAAAACAAGCAATTTGGACTTGACAAAACAGAAGCAAAAAAGAGAAGAAAAAAGGCCCTAGGTTGTAATTTCTGCGCCTCCTTCAGAATCGAATAACTACGATGCTGATGCTTAACATGCAGATGCCACTGTCGCTTGCAGTCGGTTCTAATGGGGATGTGATCAATTGGGATAAAATATCTCCCACTTCAATCTCAGGATAAAATATCGAGTGAAGAGGTATTTAATATCGCGCTTCGCTGACGGCCATAGCAGGACTGTCAACACATTACTCAAAAAGGATAAAGTGGCTCGCGCGCGGTGCCGCGCGGTGCGGTCTCGAAAACCCTCGGAGGCTTTCACAATATTCATTATAACCACCTTACAGCTTGACATCGTGTGCGTGCATTATGGCCTTGGGGCTTTCTTCACTATTAGCTTATTCCAGACTATACGGCCACGTATAGCGACTTTTTTTTTTCTTATTTTAGTCAATCGTCCGGTTCCCAACCTGCGTCGCGATGCACCACTCCCAGCTGGCCCCTCTGCCGGACGACCTACCCTTCCGCATCGTGTCGCAGACAATCGGGCAGGGTGCGTACGCGTGGTAGGTAGTTTGTTGGACTGTCTGTGTTTGTTGAGTTTATTGTCTGTAACGATTCTAACCTGTTCCTTCTGTTCCACAGTATCAAAAAGGCCTGCCCAACCCAGTCCGATAGCCCTATTTTCGCTGTCAAATTCATCAACAAAGAGTATGCCTCTCGCCATGGCAAGATCAGTCCCCGACAGTTGCAGATGGAAGCAACTGTACACAAGCATGTCAGCGGTCACAACAATATAATAACCTTCTTCCAGACCGGGGAAGATGTCAACTGGCGATGGATAGCGATGGAACTCGCAGATGGCGGCGATCTCTTCGACAAAATCGAGGCAGACGAGGGCGTCGGTGAAGATATTGCCCATGTTTACTTCTCGCAGCTCGTCAGTGCGATTAGTTATATGCACTCTAAGGGCGTTGGCCACCGAGATATCAAGCCAGAGAACATGTTATTATCTGCGGACGGGAATCTGAAGATTGCGGATTTCGGCCTTGCAACTCTATTTGAGTACAAGGGAGAGACAAAACTGGCTACTACGTTTTGTGGCAGTCCCCCTTATATTGCTCCAGAAGTCATTTCATGTAGCTCCCGGGGCCCAATAAAAGGTAAAGGCTACCGTCCGGATCTGGTCGATGTATGGTCGTGTGGGATCGTACTCTTCGTACTGCTCGCCGGCAACACCCCGTGGGACAGTCCAACGGACGATAGCTACGAGTTCCACGAATACATTGCGACGAACGCGCGAACTACCGATGAGTTATGGCAAAAGTTGCCAGCTGCCACAGTGTCCTTGATACGAGGCATGCTGAAAGTAGACCACACGAAGCGTTTCACGCTTGAGGACGTGCGAAGACATCCTTGGTTTACCCGTCAAAACAAATATCTATCGCCTGATGGCAGGTTGAGAGACCCGATAAATCTAGCAACCACCATGTTCGAATCGCTTCACATCGATTTCTCAAAGGACCCTCTCTCTTCTTCTCCAGGTGGCATCAGTCGGGTTACCGACATAATGGAAGTAGATGGTGAACCCGATGCGGGTACCACTAGACTCTCTTCCACTCAACCAGAGGTACCGGTAGGGGACATGCTAGTAGAGTGGGATACACCTCACCATCTGATCAGTGATGCCTTCTCGTCTACTCAACCGACATCCAACCCCTTTTTAGCCTCCGTGACAGGCTGCCTCGAAGATGAACCGTCCATGTCTCAATTCTCTCCTTGCCCTTCTGTGCCGTTAAGCCGAACACAGAAGGCGCAGAAATTCTTCGATATCGTTCCATCCCGTCCTATGACACGCTTCTTTTCGACTTGGGAACTCAAACTGTTGGTGCCTCTTATCTGCGAAGCCCTACATCGACTTGGGGTTCCCGTGCCTGCAATCCCGGCTGTGTCCGCGGGAGACACCTCGGCGGCAATCCGAGTAGTTACAAGAGATGGAAGGATGTGCATGCTCCAAGGGAAAGTCATCATGGAGTGTGTCTCTGATGGCCTTTATGAAATTGAGTTTCTGAAGGCCAAGGGCGATCCTCTGGAATGGAGGCGCTTCTTTAAGAAAGTGGCCATTCTTTGCAAGGATGCCGTGTACAAACTGGACTCCTAGGTCTGTTGAACGGTTCTATGCAGATGCTCCCTCCTATTATGGCTTTGCAGGCCATGTATTTCACCTCCATTTCTTTTTGACCATTCTTCACTTTCCCCGCTTTAATGTAAGGATTATTACACTGATGGACATATGAACTACTGATGATCGAGAAAGCGCCATGGATATACAGATGAATAATGTTATTATGATTTTGACTGGGCCGCATTTTCTATACAAGGGGGTTCACAGTTCACACAGTTGGACAGGGGCGATTCAGGCCGCGATCTGCCACAATAACAATAATCCCGCTGCATAACTTGAGTAGCAAATGCCGGACCGCTTAGAAGCAATCCAGGTACAGTGCTGGTGTCTATATACGGATCGTAGGCCACGATTCGACGCAAGAACTGAACATGACGTTGCCCGTTGGATCGCCGCAACCCAAACCCGACAATGAATTTCCGAAGGAGCCGCGACTCTCCGGGATAGTGATGTAGGATCGAATCATACTCAACGCAGCGATGGTCTGCCGAGAGACGAGTTGCTCCAGCATTTCATTTCGAACTGACGTTCCCAGTCTGATTGAATTTCACGTGATGGTCTAGACTGCCCCCACGATTGCTGATCTCAGCGGGGAATAATGCTGTTCAGCTTCTCGCTGTATAAATGCTCCAGGTACCTAGAAGCTTCCTCGTCCCAGAATACAAACCGTCCATGTTGTCCGTTCATTCCACACCCATCCCCTCATGGACAAGTTGCCTGTTGAGCTTCTGACCAAGATCGTCGACTGTAAGTGACGACTGTAGGCCCCTGCACAGTCCCTATCTGTTTGCCGATCTCTGCCCGTCGTCGGATCTGATACTAAGCCTACATTTGCTTTAGATCTACCTCCGCAGGACCAGGTGAAGCTCCAGTCGGTCTCAAAGAGGTTTTTTGATCTGGCGCGTGATAACACCAGGTGGAGACTGCACTGTTATCAGGAATCATGGAGTGCCACCCAAGTCTCCCGTTCGAGCCCGAGGACGGTCGAGAGCCTCGCAAGGAACTTACAATCTCCTGCGCCTCTTAGTTCACTAGGACAGAGCTCTCTTCGTTCATTGATTCAGCCGCAGTCTGGCCAGCGGCTTGGTGATTCGTCTGGGTTGTCCTCCCATGCGACACAATCCAGGGCCGCAGCCGCATGGGACCCTTCGTACGAAAAGGAAGATGTGGATTGGTATTCGGAATATATAGCCCGACATGGACCAGTATCGCTCAGCTGGTTACAGCAGCCGTATACTAAACGAGAAAATAGTCGTCGGAAGGAATTCTTTGAGGTCAAGGGCATAGGGCTGCTCAGGGACTGGAGTTCTGCGAGGGGAAATAAGGTGGTTGCACCGCTGGAAGATGGCAGTGTTTGTATTTGGGATCTGAATCATTCTCACTGTTCCGAAACCCAGGGTACGAAGGGGAAGATCATTGGAATGAGTGCTCCGGGAATCTTGATGACAGACATGTCTCGAAGAAAGGAGACATCCCCTGTGTCAAAGTCGAAAGCAGTCGCGGATTTCGTCAGCGTCGGCGAATGTGTGAGTGTGGATTCGATCCGTCGGCGAGCTTATCTTGCTGTCGGGAATATTCTTAATGAGGTTGATTTAGAAACCCTGAAAGTCGTGTCTCAGCAGCGATATCCGTGGTCAATATTCGCCCTGTCGCAAGAAACAGACTATTCAGTACCACTTACCCTGGCCACCACATTGAGTCTACAAATATACGACTCAAGGCTGTCTGCACCGGAAGAGGAAGAAACAATAAATCTCCGGTGTGAGAGAGAAATTACGCCCATCGTTCCGGAGTCCAGGCTCTTCACTCATCCAGATTCTCCTCTCTTGCAACTTCAACCGAACGGGCTGCCGCCACGCCGTATCCGAAGTCCAGTCCCTTCGGAGGAGGATACTAAATATGCACCGCTCTTTCAACCCGGCCCCCTCTCGATTCTACATCCTCCGGCTCCTCACGTCAATACTATTCTTCTTGCGGGCCGCTTCCCAAGTATATTGTGCTATGATCGGCGGTTCTTCCCTCGACTACAGAACACAGTTCATTCGGGCGGCCGACTCTGCGCCCTTACTTCTGTCCCTCCTCCTCAGTTCCCTCTTTTCTCTGACTCGACATGGCCCACATCGCACACTATAGTGGCCTGCGGTGAATATAATGGTCGAGGCTCTCTTGAGCTTTACAATATCTCTTCGTCGACTCCGGATCAGAGCAATGATCTCTCTGATATGTCTTCTGATATGTCGTCGCGGTACCGTAATCGGCAAAGCGCTGCAAAGTCTAAGTTGCTCTCTGTGCAATCCCACGGAACTCGTATCGTTTATTCCGACGCCGAAGGAAATATTAAATGGGTTGAACGAGACGGGCGGGTCGAGGTTCGTCGCTTCAACATCAATACCCATCAAACACTTCCGCACACCCGATGGAATCGGCCTGATAATTCACGCATCTCTTCACACGAGAGTAACTCTGATGGGGCGCAGGAGACGACACGTCTATTCTCCACCGACTCACTCCATTCTGGGCCCAATGAGGTCGCTCGCAGGATTCTTCCCACTGGCGGGAACTTGACAGGAGATGAGCTTCTCGTCTGGACCGGTGAACGGATTGGTCGTGTCAGGTTTTCCCCCACGGACCCCGAGGAAGATGAGGATGAAGTCGACGATATGTCAATCGACGAAGGTATTGATGAAGCCTCGCACGAAGAGTTGCGACTCCGATATCGTGAACGAGAACAACGAGAACGAGAGTATGCCGAATTGATGCGGAAGGCGCTGGAAAGGCAGGCGGACGAAGTACGATGGATGGGGAGACTGGGGATGGCTTAATTCGTTTGACGTGTCGTACCATTAAGTACTCTCCTACATCTTCCTTTCGGTCTCTCTGCTCTCCCAAGCACGCATACTGTATGTAGAGTCATGTTCTGGATGGATAGCTCTGGCAGTGTTTGGGCTCCAGGAGTTGTTGTATATAGTTGCTATGACGTGATGCATGCTTTAACATCCACTTCAAATAAGTCGAAACTGGTCTGTTTAATATTGATAGACCTGTTAACTACTGCCTTGTCTTTCTTGAAGGTTAGACATACTCGACGATGCCGTTGTTGCCGGCGTCGGCAGTGGAGTAAGGGCTAGAATACTTATGGCCTCGGATGGCCCGATTTGTCAAGCATTAGAGTGTCCTTATTAATGGCCATCTCTTCCGTGGTTCTGTTTTGCCTTATATTCTTCACTCCAGGGCTGTTTGTATCCATATCGATTCCAAAACCATCTGTATTTGTCTCCAAGAGCGATCGTTCAGTTCTCTACGAAGCGCAAAGAGACCTCTCGAGACGACATCCCCGCACTCCTAATCGCCGAAGCCCCGCAGGAATCATCACGCCTTCTATCAAATTACGGCTGTGACTCAACCAGGAATAAAGATAGTTAACTGGGACATTCGCTGCTTCTGGCTCTTGCGGTAAATCCTTGAATTTGGGTCTTGAGGACCGGAACGGGGCGCATCTTTTGTTAAGCTTTTTCTATCCCTCCCTGCTTCATCTTCCTTCCCTCCAACCTCTGCTGTGAATACATTGCCCGCCATGCCTTCATCCGACCAAAGTCTTCAATTCGATTCTATCGAGGATACGATAGGTGCTTTCAGTGAGTACGCATTCTTTTGCATTTCCCCCTTCTTCGCCTCTCGTTTCCTTCGTTCCAGCGCAAATTCAAAAAGAAACCCCAAAACTCCGCCTCTTGCCGGACGATCGCTAATGAGCCGAGCCATGCAACAGAAAATGGCGAGTTCATAATTGTTCTCGATTCTCAAGATCGCGAAAATGAAGGCGATCTTATCATTGCTGCGGAGTCGATCACGGATGCTCAGATGGCTTTCCTGGTCCGACACACAAGGTACAAAAATCCCTTTCCAACATTTCCAATGCTCGTGGCAATCATGTTTGCATTTCCAACTGACCATTCGCAAACCTACCGAATATGAAATAGCGGCCTAATCTGTGCTCCTATCACTCCCGAGATCGCTGCCCATCTCTCCCTCCCCCAGATGGTAGTCGAAAATGGCGACCCAAAGGGGACCGCATACACGGTCTCCATCGATTCCAGCCACGCCTCTGTTACAACCGGTATATCCGCGCAGGACCGCGCTCTGACATGCCGCACCCTGGCAGCGCCAAATGCCACCGCTGCCGACTTCCGCAGACCCGGCCATATCCTACCACTCCAGGCTCGTAGTGGCGGTGTCCGTGTGAGAAAAGGCCACACCGAGGCTGCCGTTGAGTTCTGTCGTCTGGCGGGAAAGCGCCCGGCGGCTGTGATCGCGGAATTGGTAGAGGACGGCGAACAGACCGTGGGCGTCGCAGAGATCCGGGGGAACAATGGAATGATGCGCCGAGATGGATGTTTGAAGTTTGGAAAGAAGTGGGGGCTCAAGGTCTGTACCATTGAGGATCTGGTCGCGTATCTTGAAAAAGTGGAGGGACCTGGTGTCCCTCCTGTTGCTAATGGGAAGCATTGATACATGGGTGTTCAGTGAGCTTCTCTCTCTTTATTGTATTCTTCCGCTTGTTTTCATGATGTCTATGTGACATGTATTTTGTATTGCAGCTTTTTTGGTGTTGTTTCCCTTGGTTTCCTTTTCTTGCGTTCTGTCTCTTTTTATCTTTTTGGCATCTGTACAATTCACGAGAAAACTTAGATGAGTCCGAATGGTCTAGATGTATATGATAGATAGAATTGAATATGCTCAGGCAATGATTTCGACTTTTCAAATCGTTTTAGGAATTTGGAAATGTGTAAATCTGCAGTGTATAGTTTTAAATGTAAAACTATGGGATGGCTCATAATATCAGCATACTTTTATATTTAAAATGTATTCATTTCGCTCCCTGTGGGTATTATTTCTTAGACTTTTGTTGTACATGGCCATACCGCATTAAAAGAAATATTATCAAAGATGCTTGACCAAAAGCATAAGAATCTCCTGAACAAGACAGAACCGTCCTCCTCAAGGTAAAAAGTCGCACCAAAACGCCAATTGCAATGAGGCAACCCATCCAATCTAAAGACAATATTTTCTAACCCGAATAGTAGAAAAAGACAAAAGGAGAACGTAACCGCCCATGTTAGGGTTTGAGATGGGAATAATCCCTCAGGACACCCATCATATGGACATTAGTCGTCTTGCCACTTCGTCGAGGCTTCCTGGCCTTCTTATGTTCGACCTTGGGCCGCACTTTGACGATCTTGTTCTTGTTCGTTGGCGTAATGCCGGCCTTCTCTAGCTCCTCTTTCACAGTTTGTTGATCGGGCACCTTAATCTTCTCCCAGATCTGACGGAACTCCTCATCGAAGTGCTGCATCAGCGATGGGTCGTTTGCCCAGATCATCTTGGCATGTTCGTCCTTCTTATTCCGCGTGACAAGCAGCTTGCCCTCCTTCTCCAGCTGATTGATCGTCTCCTCCACGTTTGGCCAACCCTCCCGTAACTCCCGGACGCTCATACCTGCTGCAGTCGTCTGCGATTGTAACTTTTGAAGCAGCTGTTCTGGAGTGCGGATATTGTGTGGCGGGCGGAATCTGAACGTACCCTCCCCATTAGCGCCGGTGGGATTATATTCGACCTTCTCGTGGACTTGGAGAATGCTCCGAAGAGCCTGCACATAACCCTGGTCATGCGCACGATTTTGGAGGGAAAGATACGAGACGATATCCGAGAACTTGAGCGGTATACCTTTCGACTTCATATGCTCGATCGCAAAGAGAACTTGCGTCATGATATCCTTGCCCGTGCCGGTATTGGCAGGCTGCGAGTAGACAATGTCTGCATCACGTTTCTTTTTAATATCGCCGCCGGGCGTCAGTGTTGGCGTAGGGACAGAGGACGGTACTTGAGAGCTGCTAGCTGACTGATTGATGCGCCTCTGTTGAGGTAGTCGACTCGCCGAGTCGATGACGCTGGCGTTGAAATTTTTGAGCTGCTGCTGGAGGTATGACATGTTTCATGCAGAATTATGTCCAGCTATTGCCAGAATAAGAAAAGATTTGCTTGGGGAAAGGAGACAGGCTGTCTTGGGTTCAGACGAAGGACCTTTCTTCACTGGGTGATATGAAGGACTGTAAGGCTGTGGATGGAGATACCCATCATAGAACGGAGAGTGCCAGAACGGAGAGTGCCAGAATAGAGGCTCATAAAATATAAAATACCATCTGTGAATGTGTGCTTTGCAGATAAATACTTGACCTTCATCCAGACTGAAGAGTTGAACTCTTCAACCTACCCTGCCACCGTCATCAAGTTTACGATGCCCATCACGTGATGCAACGCTAGCTTCGCCGTCGAAAGCTCGAAGGCGTCTGTAACAATCATCCTCTCACCTCATTCTCAGCGCTTTCGGATAGGGTGCTAGCTCATCATCCACCCGTCCATTGTTTTTTCGTTTTCATTTTCTTGTTCTGCTTTTGTTTCATTAACATCATGCTATAAGTCTGTTCCTTAGAGAGTTGAATGCTTTCATTTTCTAAGCAGTGCGCAACACACGCGCTGTTACCCCGTCTGCATCAATCACGTCAATATAGTTCCCGCGACCTCCTTTTTTTGTTTGTGACACTGCAGCTTGTCAGTGTCGGAATACTGAGCATTTATTTGCTTCGGTAGCCATATCACCAACATGGCTGCGGCTACAGTGGAATTGCCCTATATCTCAGCGCATTACTCGATACCCGAGTCGACCCTCACAACCCTTGCTCAAGCCCCTACCGTTGAGCTGGTCAACCAGTTGTTAGAAGCTATAGCAAAAAGGGCGCGGGAGAATGACGAGCTAAAGTCCGACAAGCTTCGCTTGGAAGTAGAGCTCGAAAATGCTGTCCGCAGCAGTGAGTCCAAGATCAAGGTGCTCAAGGCTTCCGTTGAGAAGAGCCACGCAGAGGTTGAGGGTTTAAGACAAAACCAGAAAGAATCAGGTGATTATTACTGCCTAATGTTTTACTACTGTACCATATCGTCTAATGCCATCTAGAAAACGCTAGGGCAACGTTAGAGTCAGAGATTGCCACACTCAGGTCATCAAACACATCGAGCGAGTCCGAATTGAGCTCGTTAAAGTCTCGCATTTCGTCTCTTGAAGCTTCGAATAGGGATACCCTAGCTCTACTTGAGTCCAAATCGGCTGCTTATGATAAACTAGCGGAAGAGCTTTCCAGCCAGCACCAAAAAACCATCGAGTTGAGGCGAGAACTCTCCACCGCTGAACAAAACCTCCAGGCCTCAAATTCGGCGTCTGCTAGCGCTCGATTCCGCGAGCAGAGCCTCCAGCAAGAATTAGAGTTGACGAAGAAGAACAATGACTGGTTTGAGATGGAATTGAAGACCAAATCTGCCGAATACTTGAAGTTCCGCAAGGAAAAGAGCGCACGGATAACGGAACTTCAACGTCAGAATGAGGAGGCAAATGCTACTATCGAATCGTTGAAACGCAGCGAGAATGCACTTAAGAGCCGCCTGGATGAGATAGAGCAACGGTATGAGGAGTCACTAAATAATATTCAACAGCTCAAAGAAGAGGCTACTCAAGTTTCTGAGTCTTTCAAATTCGAATTGCAGAGTGCCAATCGACTCGCCGAACTACAAGGAGCTTCTGCTGAAACTGCCAAACAACGTGTACAGGAGTGCCAGGCGGCTTTAGAGAAAGCGAGGGAAGATGCAGCAGAAGAAATTTCGCGACTTCGTGTGGAGGTTGAAACGGAACATTCTGACAAGGAGATAGCTGAGCGTCGCATTGCAGAACTCGAACTGACTATTAGTCAACTTGAGTCGGATGGCAGGACTAGATCTATGAGTCCAGCCCGCAGTTTTAATGGAAGCCCCAGCACCCCCGTTCGTCCTGGAACTGCTGCCGGAATATTTTCTCCTCGGTCAGCACGAGGAAAGGGTGCACCCACGCTGACACAGATGTACGAGGAATTCGACAAGATGCGCACACTACTTAATGCGGAAAGGAAAACCAGTCAGGAGCTTCGAACAACATTGGATGAAATGGTTCAGGACCTAGAGTCAAGCAAACCCGAAATTGACGAGTTACGAGCCGATCATGCACGACTTGAAAACGCCGTTGTCGAAATGTCTAACATTCTAGAAACAGCCGGAAAGGAAAGAGATGCGGCAACGAAGGAAGCAAGGAAGTGGCAAGGCCAGGTCGAAGGATTTGCCCGTGAAGGAGAGGTCCTCAGACAGCAACTCAGAGATTTGAGCGCACAAGTAAAGGTTCTAGTCATGGAAGTTGCTCTCGTGAAAGAAGGCGAAGGCAACTATGACAGGCAAGAGCTCGAAAAGATTGCTCGCGATGAAATCGACGAGTCGACTGTGGATCTCAGCCCGACAGCACGCTTTATCAGCAATAACTTGACAACATTCAAAGACCTTCGTGAATTGCAGGAACAGAATGTCACGCTCCGGCGCATGCTGAGGGAGCTTGGCGAGAAGATGGAGGGTGCAGAGGCCCGTGAAAGGGATGCTGTTCGACTAGAAGAACAAGAGGAATTGAAGGAGTTGAGGATTCGTGTACAGACCTATCGTGACGAGATCTCAAACCTCGTCGCCCAGACTAAGAGCTATGTGAAGGAGCGAGATACCTTCCGTAGCATGCTCATGCGCAGACGCCAGACTGTCGACGGCGGCGAAGCATCGGCATTTTCCCAGTCTCTTCCCCTTGGTTCTGTTCCGCCTACCGCCACCGAACCGAAAGACGGACCAGACTATGGCGAGTTACTCCGTAAACTTCAGGCACATTTTGATAGTTTCCGCGAGGAGACCGCAACCGACCATAGCGCCTTGAAGCAGCAAGTCAACGAGCTTTCGAGAAGAAACAGTGAATTGTTGACCGAAATAGGCCGCTCGAATAGCCAACTTGCAGCCGCAACCCAACGCGCGGAGCTTCTGCAGAGCAACTTCAATATGCTCAAGACTGAGAATACGGAACTCCAGAAACGATATGGTACCATTTTGGAGAATGCCAACAGGCAGGATTTGAAGACCCAGCAGGCTGCTGAAGACCTGGTGGAAGCCAAGGGGCTTGCCGAGAGTCTTCAAAGGGAAAATGCGAACCTGAAGGCAGAGAAGGGTCTTTGGAAGAATATCGAGAAAAGACTTATTGAAGACAGCGAGGCGTTGAGAAATGAGCGTAGCCGACTCGACTCGCTTAACGCCAACTTGCAAACGATCCTGAATGAGCGGGAACACAGTGATGCTGAGAGTCGCCGTCGACTGCAGTCAACTATTGAATCCCTTGAAGCTGAATTGCAATCCACGAAGAGAAAACTTAGCGATGAGACGGAAGAATCGAAGAAAGCGGCGTTGCGCAGAGAGTACGAACACGAGCAGAGCCAGAAGCGGATTGACGACTTGGTCACAAGTTTGGGCGCAGTGCGCGAAGAATTGGTTGCTGCGAAGACGACAAGGGATCATTTACAGTCAAGGGTAGATGAGCTCACAGTTGAACTTAGAAGCGCCGAGGAACGGGTTCAAGTCTTACAATCTAGACCTAGTGTATCTGCCCCGTCTGTCGAAACGCCACAAGTGACGGAGGAAACGACAGAAGTTAGCGGCCTGACCCGTGAGCAGGAATTGGGAATCCAAGTTGCCGAATTGAAACGGGATTTGGAATTGGCTAAAGCCGAACTCGAACATTCTAAGGAGCAAGTTGAGGACTACAAGGCTATCAGCCAGGCAACCGAGGAACGCTTGCAGTCTGTTACTGAGACGCAGGAACAATATCGTGAAGAAACCGAACGTCTTGTCGAGCAAAAAGACAAGGAAATCCAAGATCTGGAGAAGCGGATAGAAGAGATCTCTGAAGAATTATCTACAACGAACTCCGAGCTCACTAAGCTTCGCGATGAGCAAGGGGATGTTGCACGTCGCCTGGAAGAACAGAAGATATCGTATGAAGCCGACATTTCCAGAATCAAGGATGAAAATGAACGACTCGTTGCTGCGGCCCAGTTCCATCAGGATGACTTGAAGGCTCAGGCGGAGATCGCTCAACACGCTCAACAGAATTACGAAAGCGAGTTAGTTAAACACGCGGAGGCTGCAAAGAACCTACAAGCCGTTCGCGGGGAAGCCAACCAGCTGAAACTTGAAGTCGTCGAATTAAAGTCTCGGGCTGAGACATTAAAGAAAGATCTTTCTCAAAAGGAGGAAAGCTGGAACGAACTTCGGGCTAGATACGAGGGCGAAATTTCGGAGTTACAAAAGCGCCGCGAAGAAGTTCTCCATCAGAATTCTTTGCTTCACAACCAACTCGAAAGCATCACTCACCAGATATCTGCCTTACAAAAAGATCGCACTACTTTACCCGAAACTGAACAGGAGGGGGAGACCATGTCACCCAACTTGGAAGGCCTTCAGGAGGTTATCAGATACTTGCGACGAGAGAAGGAAATCGTGGATGTACAATACCATCTATCTACCCAGGAGAGCAAACGCCTTCGCCAGCAACTGGATTATACGCAAGCCCAACTTGATGATGTCCAGCTCAAACTGGAGCAGGAGCGTCGTGTCGCTGCAGATAGTGAACATACTGCTTTGAATCACAACAAGCTTATGGAGACCCTCAACGAATTGAACCTGTTCCGTGAGAGCAGTGTCACGCTTCGGAATCAAGTCAAGCAGACTGAAGCCGCCCTCACGGAAAAGTCTGCTCGTGTGGACCAGCTTGTGCAGCAAATAACTCCTCTAGAAACACGGATCAGGGAGCTGGAGAATGCTGTTGAAACGAAGGATGGAGAAATGAAGCTTTTGCAAGCAGACCGGGACCGATGGCAACAGCGTACACAGAATATCCTTCAGAAATATGATCGTGTCGATCCTGCTGAGATGGAGGCATTGAAGGAGAAGCTTGCAACACTGGAAAAAGAGCGGGATGAAGCAGTCTCCGCTCGCGACACTTTGCAGGCCCAGGCCGCGACGTTCCCTGAACAGCTCAAACATGCTGAGGACCGGGTGCAAGACTTACGTGCGAAACTCACAGAACAATTCAAGGCTCGATCCAAGGAACTTACCGGTCGTATTAATGCTAAGCAGTTGGAGTTGAATGCCGTCATTCAGGAGAAAGAGGTACTCACGGAAGAGTTGAAGACTACGAAGGAGGAACTGAATGATCTTAAGACCAAGCTGGCTGAACAAGAGGCTGCACCGGTTGTTTCGGAGACTGCACCACGGACCGATTCCACTCCAGCTGCTCAATTCCCTACTCAAGACATGCAGGGCATCGTCCAAGGTGACGCTGAAAAGATCAAGGCCCTGGAGGATAAGGTACAGCGCTTGGAGGCTGCTCTTGCAGAGAAGGACGCTGCTTTGGCTGAAAAGGAGACAGCTCTATCCAGCAAGAATTCAGAGCTAGCTGCCAAGGATGCAGAGCAGGAAACAAAGATCAAAGAAAGAGCAGACAAGCTCAAGGAAATCTTCAATAACAAGCTTGCTGAAATTAAAGCGTCTCATAGACAAGAGGTTGCGAAATTGACAGGCGACCTGCAGAAAACTGCTCAGCCGGCAACTGATACTCCTGCAACTCCTGCAACTCCCGCAAAGGAAGGACTCCCGGAGCTCACTGAAGGTCAAGCGAGAGAGCTAGTGGCGAAGAATGAAACGATTCGGAACATTCTTCGTAACAACATTCGCGCGCAGGTAGCGAAGGAAAGAGACAACTTTGAAAAGCAGACACAAGAGTCAGCAGGAGCCAGCCAAGAAACTCTTTCTGCACTTGAAAAGAAGTTTAACGAAGAGAAGGAAGCGCTTAAAAAAACACACGAAGGGGAGTTGCAAGAGAAGATTAAGGCAGCTGTTGAGTTGTCAGATAAGAAGAGTCTCGCCAGAATAAGCATGCTTGATACACGATTCAAAACTTCACAGGCGAAGCTTGATGTGGTTCAGAAGGCAGCCAACGAAACGCCCCAGAAGCCAGTCGTGGAGGTGTGGGAGGTTGCAAAAACTGCAAGACCTTCACCTGCTGCACAAGCCCCAAAGCCTCCCCAAGCAACGACTCTCCCAACGGTGACACAACCCGCTCCTGCAGCTCCTCCATCCATCCCAGCTCAGACGGCCGCCCCAAATACTGTCGCTCCACCCCCAGCCGCACCTCCGACAGGACCTCAGACACAGGAGCTTGCTCAAGCCCAACCACAGCAACCACAACAAGCCCAGGCATCACCGGCAACAGTTGCGGCGAATGCTACTCCAGGTTCACCTGCTCAGGCTCAGCAGAATAAGCCATCACCGACGTTACCCAACAAGCCACCGGCTGGTACTGGCCCAGGGGTACTAAGAGCGCTCCAGTCAGGGCTACCAGTCGCTAGAGGTGGTCGAGGAGCTGGACGTGGCGCTCCTCACGCACAAGCTGCTGAGCAGCAGCAACAACAGCAGGGCGGGCGCGGTTCAGGCCTCCCTCGCAGCCGAGGTGGGCGGGGTGGAGGGCATGGTTTACGTGGAGGAAACCAAAATGTCCAGAATACGAATACCCAACAACATACGACTGGTGGTGGCAGAGGCGGATTGAACGTTCAAGCTCGTCAGTTTATCCCCCAAGGGAACAAACGTTCTCGAGAGGACGGTCCAGAGGCCAGTGGTGAGGGAGGAAATGTCGGGAAGAGAATGAGAGGCGGAGGCCATGCAAGAGGGTCTTAGGATGGGGGACTATCTTTTTTACTTTTGTCAGTTCTCGTTTTCAGATGATTTAAGCATATCTGCTATTGATTACATTCTTATCTATATGCCATTTTGTCTTGAGTGTCTTCGAGCTTTTTCTGCTCATTGAATTTGGTTTCGAGCATCTGCCCGAAGAGAAGTGAGATCTGGCAGCCAGAGATTTTATTACCTTATTTTCATTTGTTTCATCTTCCCAGCACTATGTTTACTGGTGCATGATGATGATTACTGTTCTATTGATTCTTCTTGACGTGAAAAGGGACGGGATTTTTGGAAGGAGAGAAACATGTAAAATATCGAACATCTATTCATCTATCCTTTACTTGGGTATACAGAATTAGCACCAAAACGAATAAAGTGGTATCATCGCTATATACGGATCTCATAGAGGTTCATAAAGCAAGGGGAAACAAATGGAACCGATGCAAAAAGAATTCCATCCTGATACTTCTTCCTCCATATCATCTTCTCCTTCCCGACCCAGCAGGAGCAACACCGACCATCCTCGCCAACGCTTCCCGTTCTCTGCTCAAGACGATCAATCTCGCATCCTCGATGACCCTCCCTTCCGGCGACTTCATTTGATCTCGCTGTACACCCCCGACAACATGCGGAGAAACGTCCATAGCACCCTTAGCCCTCTTCCTCCTTCTCTGTCCGAAACCAGCCCCAGCGCCCCAAACGACGGTCCATTCACTCACGACTCCATTCTCGGGAATCTCGCACCCCGAACATACTTTAGAGTGCGCACCTATGTCTGCATTCCTATTGATAGTGACCAGAGTGTCGACTGTGGACGCAGAATGAATCTGCACCCCTGGGAGGATGGAGGAAAGGGGACCGACCGAGACAGCAGTCGATATGCGGATTGTTTTCGGCGTCGTCGACTGATCCATAGATGTAGATGCGAACGTGAATGATGCCGTAGGGGTAAATGTAGTAGATCTCGGTGATGATGAATTCATCGTCTCGGGAGGTGGTGTACCGATTATGCTCTTTTCTGCGATGGTGCAGCCGTCCCCGATGATGATCGGTCCTTCGAATGAGTACATCCTCGCGCGTGGATGGATGACTGTCCCTGCGCCAATGGAGATTTGGTATGTGCCTTGCATCACGGCGGATTCAGCTACTGTTGCCGTTGGGTGGATTGTGAGCGGTGGTCGAGGAGCAGAGGGGGATGAAGATGCGGATTGTGGTGAGTGTGAGCGTCGTGGGTGAGGCTGAGCGGTAGGAGGCTTGAGGTGGGTTGATGATGCTGTTGGCATAGATGCCTGGGTATAGGGGGTTCTCAATGAGGTGTCCATGTTGGCAATATGAGGATGCCTTTCTCCTGCTTTTTCTTTGAGAGGCGCGTTCAAGCCGGAGATGGAGAATGGGGAACGTGGACGTGGTGAAGCTTTTGCGGGAGTTGCGATTAAAAGAAAGCTTATCTTATCTGATCAGATCTATGGGTTCGTTCTTGGGATCCAAGGAAAGGAACCATGTTTGACAAAATGCATCGTTTAATCTCATGATCTAGTTGTTGTAAATTTAGCATATAAAGTCAGGGTATCTTGTGTATATACAGCATAGTCTTCATGGAAAACCCAACCAAATCCAAGTCCGTAACCATGTAAAAACCAATCCAATGATATGCCACCCCTCAAATCTGCACTTGCCCATTCTCATTTTGCTCGGGAGCCTTTATACTGTTCCTCTTTCTCCAGGCCCAGACCCCACGGTCAACTTCCTCCTTGGTCATTCCGTCTCTGACGAGACAGAACGTGACCCCAAGCTCCGTCTCAACATTTCTATTCCGCGACTCATCATCGAAGAAGAGCATGTCCTCATAGGGGATGCCGCTCGCTTGGTGAATTCGTGCAAAATGCTGTGTCTTTGTTGCGGGGAAGATCTGAATGTAATTGAAATAATCCAGAGCCCGAGCGGATTTAGTATTGGCCGCAGGGTTATCAGAGAACGTCGGGATGATGTGAAGGGCTTTGAGCATATCGCGTGCAAGATCGGGAGCATGTGTTCGAGATGCCAGGGCGAGAGGGATGGACCGGCTTTTGCATGCATGGACAATAGAAGAAACTGCGGGGTAGAAGGCGAAGGATTCACCCCATCTACATATCAGGAACAGGGAAGTCAGTAGGCTGAGACAAATAGTACTCTGGAACAAAGTTCAGGCGCATATCCATATTGAAACGCATCTATATTGCATAGTTAAAGAAGGCCGGATCCTCACCTATCCACGCAGCGAGAGTTGTTGTCTCTTGGCTTCACGGGAGCGCTAACATGTGTATCAACCCAGAACGGCCACAGTGTGTAATCTAGATCAAAGGCAAATAATTTCGGTAGTGGCAGTCCATCATTAAATGTTGCTGGTGCAGTCGAGGCATCTTGGGGGGCATGAGTAGCCTGTCTCAGCTTCCGGACCATCTTAGGCAGCATAGATTAGGAAGCCACTTATCCAGTGTGCACAGGGATTTGAAGATGGTAGTGCACTCAAACAGATCTGCACTGACAGTACTTCAGTATATCTGCGAAACGGACAGTAAAACCAAGTAGAAAAAGGTGCCTGGTTCCTTGATCAATCAATCCGTGGTTTTCATGAAAGTTTCCCGCCGAAGGGGTTTCTCATGTGACTTCACGTGCCCATGCCATCGCCGCTCGATTCGACACTTCGATTCTACATTCACGATGCGACGTTCTCGATTCTACATGGGATCTTTCTTACCTGCTCTCTGGAGAAGAAAACTAAAAGATTGGAGATTTCCTCTTCCTTCAATTTACTATAGCTCATACTTGCAGTGCTTATCAACTGGCTATGAATCCACTAACAAGTCCAATGCTCTCGAAGACATTCTCCACACCCTTCTAACTACTCCGTACTCCCTTCCCTAAATTGTCATCCCTAGAAAAAACAATTATGAAAAGACAACTGCGACTGCCCAAGCGCGCCTCTGAAATCGCCGGATGATGGGTATTTCGAGAAAGAAAGACAAAATGAAGGCAAAAAAAGCCAGTACCTTTTCTGGTTGTGGGTTTTCAATCGGATATCCTGCCTCTCAATAATATCCAGACATCGGGCTATAGGTAAAACAATTGACCATTTCCAGGAATTTCCACATTTTCTCCTCGTCTCGGGCTCCCTGGATTGCGATCTCATAGGCGAGAGCGTCCCAGTCAGAGGCGTATCGCATAATGAGTGTTTGCTGGTCTTTATCGAGTATTCCGTTTGCGCCCACGGCGTCTGCGATAATCTTGCGCCAAATTTTAAAAGGCAATCCATAGCGCCAGCTTCGTTTCTTAGCGACCGTCAACACAGGGGCACGTGCGTTTTTGAAACGCTGGGTATGACTGCGTGGAGGTGAAGGAGGAGGGGTCTTTTCCTTGCTCTCCTGGATTGGTATATCAATATGCATATCCTTGATCTCTGCTCCCTGGGTTTGACCATCCTGGATATTATGGGGATAATTGACCGGAATATCAATGGATTCTGGTTGAAGAATTGGAAATTCCGCTTCGAAATGCTGTGTTCCAGGGTGAAAGGGGCCAAACGGAATCTCCGGAATGCTTAATTCGTAATGGTTCCACTGCGCCTGTTTGGTGCTTTCCTGTGCACCGAGAAATATATCCTCCTCTGGGACCATTGCTTGCATGGGAACCTGTTTCGTTCTCTCTTCCTCTGAAGCCTCGTCCTCCTGTTCGGTTTCCGCTTCAGGACAGACTTTGACATGGCGATCTCTATCCTCCAAGAGTACAGCCCGGGATACAAGCATCATTTGCACCGCGGTAGCCCAGATCTGGGCGCTGTGAACTCCTTCAGTCTTCAGGGTTTCGATGCGGACACGTTTACGGACTCGGGAATATTCGAAATCGAGCTTCTTCTTTTCCTGACGTAGCATCGTATCTGTCGAGTTTTCTGTGCTTCCCGTGTCGCTGGACGAATTCTCATTGTCACCCAAGTACTCTTCGCCAGATTCAGACTCCGATGCCTGCTGGCGAAGCATCTCGGCCATCTCGAGCAGCCTATGCTCGGATTTCCCGAGGTTCTCATTAGGGAACCAGATTAGTCCTTGGCAGCGGTCTCCTGTATCAGGAAGAGCAGGCGTCTTTCCTGCCGGAAGAAACTCGAGAAGTTGGTCGGGTGTTCTATGGAGAAATATCATACTCGCCATATGGATTGCACTGCCGCTCGTCAACGACAGATTTGACAGGATTAGGTAGGGAATTGAACGCAGCCCCCGGGTGCAAGAAAAACGCTTTAAGTCCGCCTTCGTCAGCTTCCCTGTAAGGTGTTCACGTCCTAGAACGAAGCAGGCATTAATAACATCCGTGATAGGTGGGGGAAGGGACACTCACCATTTTGCCGAGTGCTCTTTGCCTTTCCGTTCTTCTTATGAGATCCAGAGCTGAGCGGCGCGTTCTCCTTTCCGGAACTGATTTTCAAGCCGCCGAGTTCCTCTACGAGCTCGTCTTTCTCTGAATCGGACTTTATTTTTACGAGTTCTTCGGCTTCCGTTTCAAGGAAGTCGACCTCGCTCTGAATATAGACACGAGCGAAGATTTCCATGCCGCTGGGGCCGAGTGGGTTATGCCCGAGGTCGAACTTCTTCATCAAATAACAGCCTTTGAAGGATTCTAGGAATGTCTGCCATATTTCCTTCTGTTCCTTTGAGACTGCCTCGATTTCATTGCAGGATATGTCGAGTTCTCTCAGGTCTCCTGTACTGAGCGCCACTACCTGAGCGAGTTTCACGAGAGATTGAACCGTAAGCTTGTTTCCCTGGAGATGGAGCTCGGTGACTCTGGCGGCTCCTTCGGGATGCTCCTCATCACGGTATATGATACAGCTCATCAAGTCATCGACGAACTGCGAGAAACCATCGTCGGTTAACTTCTTTCCGGTTAAATCGATCTCAATTGCAGGGTCTCTTCCACTAGATCGAGCGGACGATCCTGGCGGGATTCGTTTTTTCTGTGATGCCAATGTCAGTGTCTAGAGATAGCATCACGGGCAGCGACTTCCTTGCCAGATCTTTACAGACGGCCTGTACGGCCTTGGGGCCTTCAATCTTTCTCTAATAAGCCAGTCAGTTCGACATCATGGCTGCTATTTTCAAGGATATCTATCTTACCGCAACATAAGTCAACTTCACCATTTTGGCGTTCTGCTTGCTGAGTTCTGTGGATCTTCGTCAACATGCAACGTGAATGGATTGTGTTGGGCCTTTGCAATTCACGAAATTGTCATGCCAAATAAAGAGGAACTCCATCATAATGGACCACAAAGGGAAGAAGACAGTGAGGCTGCTGTGAAGAAACAGGATAAGGTGGACTGATATGCCACTACGTCTACATGTTGAGTGTCTGCTTCCTCCTTCTGTGACACGTTTCTTTGAAAAGATGCATGGCTCTTTTCTTCCTTGATTTTCCTAGAAGAAAACAAAGGTGAAGAAAAGGAAATATGGGACAGAGGCTTACCTCTGATGCTTTGCTTCTCAGTGGATCAGAACCAACATAAAGTGGATGGTTGAAAGGTATTATAAGAGAGAAGGGGCCTGAAAGGAGATATGACTCCTAAAGGGGATCAACTCTCTAAACCATTTGCGTGAGTCAGTGAAAAGGACCTTCTCTCACTTTCACATTGTCAAGAGATAAATATACACAAAAGGCACTGCACTTACCAGGCCCTATGTTTCCTTTTTCTCTTCTTCCTGAGGGTGATCAAGTATATGATGTGATAGTGGGAAGAATATTGAAGGCGAGAGATTGTCAGGAAGATGAATGATTTCCCTTTTATATGTGCAACATCAGGGCCTGGGGAATCTAAAGGGCATTCTCCGGCGTCACTATTTCCATTCACTGAAAATTCCCGCTCTTTTTGTTTATGGAGGGTGGCGCGACGCGCTAAGGCACTACTAATGCCATTCTCAATGGATGCACCATTTGCAGTCTCCATCCTGTCTGCCCACTCTGCCCCCTACAACAAGAGCTTTCTAATTGAAATGGGGGCTCCCTATATTCATCTCAGAATGTGCAGTCCCCAGCAGGCTGCTTGTGTACTGCCAACGGCAGCTTTACACGGGCTGTCTCTCTGCTTTACGCCTCTGCTCGAAATGTATGTGGAGACGAGGAATCTGTGTAGCTCTCCCTGGCGTTGTCATGGAAGCAGGCCTCCCAAGGCCAACGCGTTGACTCTATTCCTTCGGCATGAAGTCGGGCAAGATGAACCTTTCTCTTCGACCCGATCGGGGCATCTTGTAGTAAGGCTACCATGACCTTAGCAAACATTCTCTCTATTTCAACCTATTGCCAATAGCAATAAAGATATGGCCTCCTCTGCAGCCAGATTCAGCCCCGTTCCAACTTCAACCGTGTAAAATGCCCCTCGTTCTCCCTTTCTGTCCATTTCTCCTTCCCATCCTCCTGGGAGGAAAGAAAATGAAGTTCTGGACCCAAACATATGTGCAATAACTAATCATTACCAGAGGACTACATCTCTTGCACATTCGCATCCTGGGAACACATTTAGACCACTTGGCTGATCAGTTCCACATGCCTCTTCGCCATGTTGGTGACAGATAATGAATCTCAGCCCTGATATTCCCGACCTGCCTTCCAAGATAAGATCTAAAACCCCATTGCCTGCACCTGTCAGGGGGACGATCCCGCTTGAGCCATCGAAGAACGTCAGGCCGGTGCTTCACGCCTACGGGCTTATCCTGATGGCTGTTTCTAGTTTTTAAATTTTCACTTATTTTGGAGCAATATTGATGGCTGCCCAACTATAGGCCATACTATAGGCCATACCAGTTTTTTGGCGAGGAATCAGAGCAGCAGTGCTGACCTCTCCAAGTTTTGTTGAAATGAGAATACGAGTACAGCCACTGCACCAAAAACCAATGCTGGTTATGGGCAGGGCTTACGCAAAACATATAATTTCAACAGATTTCACACTGGGTTCATTTCCAGGGTGGGAAGGGAGATTTGCATGTTTTGTTTGAGTATGGGACGTGAATTTATTTACTGTCACTGAATATACTTCTTCCATCCTTCCCTATTTGTTACCACCTCTTCCTCCACATCTCTCTCCCTCTCTCTTTTTATCTTCTTTTTTTTTGGCCAACTGATATGCCCCAGCCTATCTATAGCAAATGGTCGACAGGAAGAAGTCAGGAGAACGGAAGCTCTACCTCCAGGTCCTACCCAAGACATCGAATTAAATACCGTACCCACCAAGCCCCCCTTTTCGTTATTCAACAAGGGTATTCGGTATTCGGGCCCTCTTTGTCGAAGTCCAGCCCTTGATGCCCGGAATGTCTCGCGTTGGAATGAATACGACAAAAAATGGCCCTGTTCTTAGGGACAAAATAAAAACCCACGTGGTAATTAGGGTCGTGTTGTGGTGTCCTAGAAATCTACGACGAGACCCCCTTATGCCCCAGCTAGAACAAAGGGAGCCCATATCAGGTGTGATATCGAACGCTGTTCTGGAGGCACTGACGCAAACGCGAACAAAATAGGTGTAAAAGTTTGTTGTGAGCACTTTGGCATATGATGATATAACCCCCATTTCGCGATGAAGTTTTTCAGTCTGGCACTTGTCAGCAAGAATTACCACTCTTCGGCATCTCCTATGGCCTGTATTTGCTCTAAACATGGTCAGATCCGACTTTGTCTTCAACGGGCGCGGGTATATGGGGTGTACCTAGAGACTGGATCAAACCACTTTCGTATTTATTCCTAATGTTAGCACCTTCATTAACATTGTGGCAAAGTACACACAGTATTCACGTCAATTGGAGGTAGCTCAACTTATCAATTGCACTTCTGGGACCGAGTTGATCTACAGTGCTCTCTGCTACAGACATCCGGAAATGATGGGCGTATTAGCAACGTGTTCAGACTCAGATATCATCTACGCGACGACTTAAAGGAGCCTGGAAGTGATAGAAGGTGTGAATAGTGACATTCTCTTTACTCTGTCAAGCCCATCAGCTTTCTCCATTTATATTTCTGTAGCAGCAACGTCATTTCAACATAAAACGTCTTTCCCTCACGTTGGCAATTTAAAAAAAATTAACAATATCCTTGAATTCATCCAGCAGAGCCGGATCGATATCTTCCCAGTCCTTCGAAGGCACGGCCCCAGTGTCGGTGCCAGGTGGGGTCTGAAACACGGGGTCTTCGAAAATAGCACCGTCATTTGTACTGTGGTAGGCAGAAGTTGACGTCAATGTTGGCCCGTTATCGATGATGATTTCCTCCTGGGTCAAGGGGTTGTGTGATGATTCGGTTTGTTTCAGCCTTTTCACATTCGGGCTGTTCTCGTGCCCATTTTCGTTTGCTTGGTGGCAGGGTTTCCGCTTTTGCGTGCAAGGAGTATGGAGATATGAGTAACCTGTAATGGGTGTAATACTACTCGGCTGGTTTAGATTGTTAGTGGCGCCGGTGGATTTTTGATCCAGATCTGCTCTTGGTTTGGATAAAGGAGTCCATGTCTCTGGTGACTCATGTTGTATATTTGTCAAGGCTGGTTTGGCTGGTTCTGTGCAGGTCACATTCACAGGAGTCTCGGTTTCGGACTCTCCCAGAAGGGCATCGAGATCAAGCCATTCGTCAATGTCAAGCCACTCCGTGTCGACATTTGGGGTTTTGAGAATTTTATTTTCCTTGATAATATTACCAATCCCTGGCATATCCTGGTTTTCTTTGTTCGAGATCATCTCATCGATATCATCTTTTCTTTCATAGAGTAATTGTGATGAAGATGGTAGGTCGTATAGGATGTCGTCTTCATAGTAACTCGATGACTTCTTACGACGAGAGAAACCATCGAGTTGGTAGTCAGGCAAATAGCCATCTAAAGCATCCTTAAATACAGATAGGTCTGCTCCAGATGGCTGTCTCACATTGTTCTGTTCAACCTCTTGAAGCGGTCGTGGACAGTTGCTTGACGGTAGGACATTCTTTGTGATGACCGGCAGTGTCAAGTGACTAGCCTTGTTTCTCTGCTGATTTCCGCCTATAGACGGCTTTTTGCTTGCCTTGGGTGGCTTTTCAAGGCCCTCACGACAACAGAAATGTTTGCATCTACACTTTTGTTAGTTTTCACCCTATGATGGCAAATAGATGTAATATGGTCGGCTGTCTTACGTCGCCTTGTCCTTGCATTTGTGATTGCACGCCCACCTGCCATTAGGAAGTCGGATAGAGTCTTCCTCATTATCCATGGATTGGAGCCCTCCTTTTTCCTTATTATCTCTTACGAGATCTTTGGAATGAGCTGGCTCTTGAGGTAGGTCTGTAGGCTCATCCTCGATGACTATCGTTCCCGTTTCCTTGGCTATACACAAAAGGAAGTTAATAGGAAACCAGCCCTGTACGAAAATAGATATTTACCTGCGGAAACGAAATCATCAAATAAATCATCGCCGTCAAATGCGTCTATGGTCTTACGACGGGTTAAACCATTATTGCGTGGGTGACTTATATTCGTCTGGGTTCGGTTTGTTGAGGCTGCCGAGACTGTGCCATCTGGGAGAGGCGGTAGAAAAGACAAAGTTGGGATGTTAGGTTTTAATTCCGCAGATCGTAATGTTCCAGCTTAGGGAAATCAGCATTGAACAACACAATTGCTAATAGTGGGGGTCCGTTTAAGTACATACCGATCTCATCGCACATCGCATAGCAGTTGATATGCTGGTTTGCACTCGTCAACTCTGCAATAAGCAGTATTTCCTGAGTGTCATGAAGCTTGTTTGCACTAAGACAATATCAACATCCGAATCGGGGATAAAAGTCATGTGGCTTTCCAACCTCATACGCCGGAAATCAATGATACTCCCATCCGACGTCTCCGCCAGGAAGCAGACGTAAACAGGACGTCTCTGGAAGTACGTTGGAATCTTCTCATTCATAAATGCCACCTCAGCTTTGAAGCGAATCTTAACTGAATGGCCAGGCTTTATATCCTAAACGGAAAAGGATGAATAGTCAGGAGCTATTATCCCAGTATGTTGTGTGTATGACCCAATGAATACATACCTTTCCCATCATTTTGATACTCACTCTGAGTTTAGGGAACTCTCCCAGTCGAGCAAGGAGTTTCATACCGAAAGGTGGATTCTTGCTGAGAATCATGTCAATTCTATACGCCTCCGTAAGTTCTAGGGCTTCGATGCTCGTGACTCCGGCAGCAGCCAGTTTCCTAACAGCAACCACACCAATCTGGTCCATCTGCTTCATCTGCAGGGGAGAGTTATCCCAGACTCTACCCCCAAAGCTTCTGGCGAGCTCCAGCGCATTCCTGGCTGTAATGGAATCCCTAAGGCAAATCTGACAGTCAATAACGCAACGGATCAAGCGGCTAATATGGTTGAATATAAAGTTCTTGTCCTGCTGGAAGGAGAACTTATGTTTCTGGAACTGTTCACCGTCGCCAAATTCAAATCCTCCCAGTTCAGATTGAATGAGAAGCGAGATTTTGTGGGCTGGAAGTGCTATGTCGACTTTGATTGGAAAGCGAATACAGTTGGCCTTGTTGATCTCCTTGTACAGTGACTTTTCCCCTGGTTTGAGCCGGATCTCACGAAATTCTTCTGCTTGAGCGATGACGTTAAGCTGGGAATAGTTAGCTCAAATTACATCCAGTCCCCGGCGTTAGGTTTAGCTGCTCTTACAATCTGAGATATTGTTGACCTACGACTTAATGAAAGTAGAGTCTTCATCGTCTCGAATCGCACATAGTATCGGGCCATTGCATCGCCGAATTCCGTAGACCGCAAAGCTCCCTCCACTGATACCAAGCCGGTGTCTTGGAGAAGCTTAATATCCTTCTTACAAATCTGTCGAAGAATCTCGTCCTCATCTTCTTGATTTGCGCCTTCCTTAATTTTGTAATGAGTAGGGTTTCGTCTTAGCCTGACGAACAAAAATGTACCGGCAAGCCACTTGACAGCAGATTCAACATCCCTGACAGTCCCCAGCCCTATCTCCACGTTAAGATGGTCAACCAAATTAAGATGCAAACAGCTCTCAACATTCTGAGACCCGGATACGAGCCTTTGGTAATGACCGACACGTTCCTTCCTCGTTAGAATCACAGCAGTAGCACTGTCATCAAATTGTGGCCGACCTGCACGACCGAGCATTTGCATCATTTCAAGATCAGAATACTCTCTGCAACCACCTTCCTGCCACCCGACTGTGTTTTTGATAATGACTAGATGGCACGGTAGGTTTACACCCACGGCAAGGGTGGAGGTGCAGCATATGACACTGATCTGTCCTCCTAAGAAACCCGCTTCAATAGCGTGGCGGTCAGCTGGATCAAGGCCCGCATGATGAAATGCCACTCCTGTGATAGAAATTGCTATAGGCTATGAGAATTCCACTTCTAATACGCCCCTGTCGTTTCTCGTCGGACAAGAGAAGGTGGAGGGGGGTGTGACATACTCTTTAACTCCAAGTTCTGGAGATTCAAGCACTTGCTCGACCCTTTCCACAATCTTGCTGGGGGATTGGTCACAGACCACAAACGGGAAAGCTCCTTCGCAGTAGTAACCGCCGAGTTTCGTGTCGAACAGAAAATCATAATTGGCTTGTTACAGGAATGCATACCAATAATATCAGGCAATCTGCAGGATCTTGGTGTTAGTATAACCTATGAGAGAGAGAGGTAAAGCATGGAGGTGTATTCTCACTTAGAGCTACACATCTTGTCAAAGGCGAAATCATTTCCGCTGGAATGATACCCATAAACAAACTTCTGCAGTCTGACAGGACGAAAGTCCTCGCCAAAGTGCTCCCTATGGGCCGGCATCTGTTGATTTGTTGCATCTTTACCGAGCCAGGTCGCAATGTCTTCGGAATTGGGAACAGTAGCACTCAAGGCAATGAACCGAATGTTCGACCCGAAGGACTTCATGCGAGAGACGACAGCCTCCAAAGTGGCTCCACGGGTTTCCTTGAGAATGTGGACTTCGTCTATAAGAAACAGCTTAACCAGCTGCATCAGTCGTGAATGGTCCTTCCACTTCCTTGTTACACTATCCCATTTCTCCGGAGTCGTGATGATTATTTGAGCAGTCTGAACGGACTTCAGCTGGGAATGGTCAGTATCACCGGTCAGCTCTGCACATTTAAGATCCAGAGAGGAGAACTTTGCGTTCCAATCGCGATATCTCTCAGCGCAAAGGGATTTGGTGGGAGCTTGATAAACAACTTTAAAACGTTCATCTTTCAAACTATTCAGTAAGCGGCAGATAGCCAGTTCCATGACAACTGTTTTGCCACTCCCGGTAGGTGCTGCGAGCACAACATTATCATTACCCTTATACACGGGTCGGAAGCACTTGGATTGAATGGCATTGAACAAGGGAAAGCCGAACATAGATCGAAAGTGAACCGGGAGCTCGTTCACAGAGACAAGCTTTATCCCGCGAACAGAAATTGGGATATTCATGAAAGGTGTCTCACCAGTATGGTGAGTCGAAGAAGATAGCTCTCTACTTGTATGGGAGGACAGTCCCTCGTATGGGTTCCGGGAAGGACGCCCCTGGCGAGCTTCCCTTGAACCCTGATCATCTTGTCGGGTTAAAGGAATTACCTTCCTGAGTTGCAATCGAGTCAGAGGACTTGAAGGAGTCCCCAACTCAGAGCCACTAGACTCCAGTCCTCGAAGTGGCGTCGTCTCAGCTTTGGCTGCTAATTGACCAGCGTTGGGCATGCAACAATTATTACCCCATATGAAAAAAAAAAAAAAAAAAAAAAAAAAAGAGAGAGAAAGAGAGAGAAAGGGGAAGGAGAAGAAACCAACAGCTAAAGAAAGAGGAGTCCTGCTGAGAAGGACGTTCATTATAAGACTCCTGCAACTGATTCGAGGTTGTAACACCATCAGCGTCAGAAACGGTAGGATAGCTTCTCCATCCTCCATCAGATTGAGCCAATAACTCGAGGTCTATGGATTCATCCTATCATCAGCACATGATTCCCATTTCCTTAGAACAAGTAGTAGAAAAGAGCCACTTACCAAAGGCATCTAACTGCAGCTCATCGTCGGCCTGAGTGAGAAATTCCGACTCTGTGGAACGATCACCATCATCATGACCGTGTCTTTGTCCGAAGAATGGAGAATGATCGGGTGCTTTTATCGAAACATCATCAGCCTTGCCACTAGCTAGCAGGAATAGGATAACCCACGAGGTTTCGCCAGTCGATTGGGGATCTTCGGCTGATGGTCGAAGACAAACTGCTGTCCTTCTGTTCCCATGGCGATTGAAGTAGATACCAGGTTGGTTTCAGTTCAATCAAGAACATACGCTTTCATTGCATGCACACAGAAACATAAACGATCAGCAATAGCTTAGGAAGAAAGGGATCAAGCAGAGATCAGAAAGTGGGAGCGGCAGAAATCGGGCATGTTGAGGTAGAGAACACGTGCAGGTCATGCCGTAGATGGTTAGAGCATTGGAATGGCATTGCAGTTGAAGACGAAGTGTAGAGAAGAGCGAAAGAGTACGTCCATGACCTGATGGCTTCTATGATACCATATAATGTTTCACATGTACTCATAAACAGTAGGGAAATGAGCCCTCCCCAACTACCGCATGAAAAGGGTGTATCGCCAACAAGCTTATCCATATGAAAAGAAGATACTTGACATGGGGGTGAAAGGAGAATAAGAATTGAATGCAAAACAGCATAGGAAACCACACAGGGAAGTATACGCTCAGTCTGTCATAAAAGAAATAAAAGAGCACCGCTCTGCATCTCACCCAAATATATTACTTTTGTCTTGCATACGGCTCTAAGGAATTACTCCAGTGCAGATCTCACTGATAACAACACCAGAAATGCACGGGGTCTGGATCACCATATTGGAGTGGTCTTGGAGTGTTCACGCATGTTTTGCAAAGTAGCTATTGCTGGTAGCCCGACCTGAGCCGGTTCTGGCATGACCTGGAGACGAAGGTCGGGACGTCGAAAGGCCCGCATCGAGTGCAGCTGGCGTGGTTGGAAGTTTCACAGAGAATTCATTGTTAAGGCTCTCTTCGCTCACAGCGGCATATTTTTCGTGACCCTTGATACTTATCGCACGAGGCCTGGCTTGAAGTTTGCCATCGCCAGCACTCGAGCTTGGATTCCCGTATAGATAGGTGGCTGGAACTACTGCAGCGGTGCCCAGAAGAAACTGAAGGGAATAGAACCGTCAGTTCTCACAGGAAAAGGAGAGAATTAGCTTTTAAATAAGACGCAATTACATACGTTACCGGTTGGTTTAAACTCCGAAAACCAGATACTCAACAAGGTACTGAGAACAATACTGGTGGCCGTAGCCAGACCCTTTGAGGCGTGCTTTATGCAAAACGGGGCTACAATGCCCCCAATAACCTGGACAGCAATGCTCAGCCAAACAGTCCAGTTGTAGCCCTGGAAAAAGCCATTGGCGCTGATCTTTTCGCCGTCCAGCACGACGCCAATAAACAGTGCTGGAAAAATGGAGTAGACGGCCAATTGAACATTGCGAACCCAAAGAGAAGAAGGCGTGGCGCTGTCTTTCAGTACCCTCTCAAAAGACACACCGGCTAGGCCAGACGCAACGCAGGCGCCAACCGTTGCCAGAAGACCAATCATCGAATTGAACTGAGGGAAAATAGTCAACATATCTTCCTCAATGCCTTCGTACGTAGCAGAGCGTTTGCGAAGCCGCCCAGCGGCTCCTTTCATGGCCTTCCATTCCTCGAGGGTACGTGGGAAGGTAAAATGCTTTCCCTCATCTTGATGAGACACCTCTTGAGAACCGACATCAGCTATCTGCACCAAGACCACCCCCGTCGTAAGAAGTAAGAGGACGGTCCACTTGCGCAGCGGGACGCTTCTCTTTAGCAAAACCAAGCCAGAGATGGCAGATATGAGAAGCTTCAGCTGGTAGGTATCCTGGAATGTTGGAGCCGGTAGATTCGAGAGCCCGACATACTGCAGAGAATTCGAAAGCGTGTAGAGACTCGCGGGGAACACGAGTTTCCAACTATCACCGGAGAAAATGGCACCAACAAGGGACGAAAAGAGGGAAGTTGCGGGCATCGATGCAGGTACTGCTTTGGAAACCTCGTATAGAGCCATAGTCAAGGAGATGGCCAGCTTCACGACTTCGTTGAGAAAGACGGCGGTGGATGGGAGGTATCGTCTTCCGCCGGCAGGAGACATCACCCTGGAGTAATGTACGAGCTAATAGGCCGAAAGGAAAGAGTTAGTAGTGTCTCGCAAGGATGGAGATCGTGCTCGGGGAATGCTCACCAATATAAATGTCGTGGAGTGTAGTGCCAACTGCATTCGGAGGCGAAGAGAATCAGTCGAATATCCCCTTTATGTCCAACGAAACCAATTGCAGTCGATGGTACAATGCCATCAACACGATCAAGGAATGCCTACCAGAAACCAAGCACTGCGGTCCAATGCGACTCCCAACCGAGAGCGTTGACGCTGCGGCATGATGGACGACTATCGGGGATGAGAGAGCCCTTCCTTCAGTCCACTGTTGTCGTTGTCCACGCCAAAACCAACCTCGCAAATTCAAGCAGGTATCCAAGATTCTCTGAATTTCAATATATACTGAATGAGCGTGATGCAGTCATTCGACTCGACAGACGGTGAGATCTGGACGCATGCGTATTAGTCCGGCTCGGGTAGACGTCGACCGCTTCACGTGCGAAAACACGAGTAGGCACGGGGAAAGGAGAGTCCCGAAATGCTCGTACAGAGTGTGCGTAGGAAAGATCGATCAACTCTGCAGGATGTAGGAGTAAGTTAGTACGGCTGCGGATCTGCAGTGACAACGAGACCATGAGAGGGGACCGGGCGGAAGGGGGGGACGATGGATTCACGGAACCGATTGCGTATCTGGGGTAAGAAATAGGTTAGTTACTTAATTAGAAGTTACTACTGTGGCTGGGCTCGCCGAGATTTACTTCATTTAATATCGTCCACGAAGATCGTCTTCCTCTCTTCCAATAATTGCGCAGCCGTGCCTGGAGCAAACCTTAACAATTTGTAATAATGCCCGAGCATTGCATTCTACGCATCCCATTCAAATCGTCGTCGTATTATTATGTATTCTGCAGAACCGCAGCATTATGCTATATACATGCCACTATCGGAAATAATTCTTCCGGTACAATGAACGTTCCCAGAGGGGAAGAAAAAGGAAGACAACAAAGGACCAATCAGCCCACATGTCTGCTGTATGCAGCGAACACAAGCGCACCGCCTATGCAACAAAAATAAAAATAAAATAAAAAAATTAAATATATATGGCAAGGACAGTATGCAAGCAAAAGGGGAAGAGAGAGATGGGGGGGAAGAGACAGAGAACGTGCCGTCTAATCTATCGGTCAAAGGGTGATCAGGAAAAAAGAGAGACAGAAGGATAGCAGGCGAGATAGATAGAGAACTTCCGCTAAAGGGCTTTCCAGATAGCCCAATAATCATAAGAAAAAGCCAGAAAGATAGCGAAAAGAAATAAGATGAAAGGATTGAGATCAGGTGAGGAAGAAAGAGAGAGAGAGAGAGAGAGAGAGAATGAACCAAAGTATTTGCCTGAGCAAGACTGGGTCTCTCAACGCGTCGATGCGACGCTACCCAATTCATTGCACCAGCCATAGGCCCAGATCGGAAATTCATCATCTTCCTCTTCGGCACTGTCAAGGAGTAGGTTTCTGTCGGTTGCGCGCTGCTTCGAACGTACGTCTGGGAGTTGGGGGATGGCGGGTAGAGGTTGCTGCGGAGGTGAATGCTGGTGAGATTTCTGTGAAGGTATCGGAGAGAAGCGATAGATAGGAAGGACAGGAGTCAAAGGGGATGCTCCACTCGTCGACGAGGGAAGGCTTTCAGAGTATACCAAGCTGGTTCTGCGGGAGCCGTCCGAAGCAGCCGTCTTCTCAACATCGGAAGATGCACCAGGTGTAAGAAGACTATCGTTATCGGCGTGACTTGCGTCTTGGCTAGTTTGCTTTGTCGGAAGCGGAGGAACAGGGCTGAGGCGTAGAAAAGACGTATCACCGCCGTAGAATGAACTTCGCGACGGCCCGGACAAAGAAAGCATGGACCCTTGCTCGGGGTCGTTGGGCTTAAAGCCAGCCTCGCGGAAGAGACTTGGAGTAACCTTCCCCTTGCGGTTTCTCATTGCTTCAAGAAGACTTTCCTCTTCTCGGGTCACCACCATGATGCGGCTCCTTCTGTCGGCCTCTCTCGACACGGAAGAGACGCGTGGCCGAGGGAACGAATTCTCCGACGGGTGTACCTCTGATTCAGAAATGGTCGGTATTCTCCCTCGCTGAGAGTGGCCCTTCGATGCCGCAGTAGATGACGTTCCCGTTGAAGATTTGGAGGCACGTCGACCCAGGGACGACCTTCTCTGGTGCCGGTGCGATCCATGGTGGTCAGTGGAGCTTGATCTATCGAGCCGATTACTTTTCGCTTCTCGTGCAGTCAGTCTGCTTCGAGGCACTTGTGGAAATTCCCGGTAGGTAACTGTCCTTTTCGGGCGACCATCTGCATCCGATCGATATTGTGGTGATCCTTCCTCGTCCTCATATGAAGCTTCCCCCTCTTCTTCGCCTTCGTCCTCTGACGAAGATAAGAAGAGGAAGCTGGATTGACGCAAGTCAACCGTCTTCAGTATATCCTTGCTACTCTTCTTACACAGCGGGGCTGCATCACCTACGACATGTGGACGCGCATGAGTATTACGTGCCTCGGTGGTAAAAGGGAATCGGAGATCAGGGTCCAAGTATGATTCCTTACCCGAATCGCTAACGGGGTTGCGGGAGGAGACACCTCCAGTCGTCGTCCTCTCGGCAAATTCCGGCCAGATAACTCGATTCGACGTCTTTCGGCCTTTTGAGGGGATGTCAACGCGGATGGGATCAACCTTTGAAAGCCGCTGTGGCTGGAGAGCCCGCTCGATGTCAGTGCACTTCACTTTTTTTTCGAGAGAAGCATCAGCCCAGTCCGGGCTGATCGAATCAGCAGGCACTGGTGCCTCAATTATCTGACTGTAATCAACACCTCCCGGGCCAGGTTGCGTCTTGGTACGGGCCTTTCCCGCTGAATTCTTCCCCGGAGAGGAACCAGAACGCACTGAAATGGGAGACGGCGATTTTGTCATCCGCTGCGGCGACAAAAGGGGGGCTTTTGTAGCCTGTGGTTTTGGGAACAGCAGAGAAAGATCAAGTCTATGCGGCCTCGTCTTTCCTCTGGACTCCTTTTTCGGCTCTTTTGTTTCCTTGGACCCATCGTGCGATTCTAGATCGGGCTTTCTCGAGAAGGGATTATTTGCTTTTGAGGTGGAGGTCGGGTTAGGGTTTAAGCTGAATGATCCCGAATGATGACGTTCCTTCGGTAGGGAACTCGGTCGCGACTCGTGGGACCGGTATTCCCGTCCCAAAAGAGGGGACGATGCTCGTGGACGGAGATGTGAAGACGCCCCTCCGGTTTCCTCATGGATCGCTGAAAAGGGCACGAAGCCAGGTTTCAGGGGCAGCTTCGTCTCCGATGTTGTTCCCCCAGACACGGATGGTCTCCTTTCATGCTTTTTCTTGTCGTTTGCGTTCAGGTTTGGTTGAAAGTGAGTCCCCAAGATCTCCTGCGCCTTGGATCCATGCTCGTACAAGCTGGGTTTCTTGTCAATGCTTCGCAGATATCGCTCATTCGTCGCGGCATTGATGCTCGATATTCTAGCCGGAATGGCCAGCGGCTTGCTGTTCTTCGCCATGAGGGATGATTTTTTCTTCGTCAGCTTGTTCCGCCGTGCAGTTGCAGAGTCAGACGTGAGACCATGGAAATTGTCGGACGTCATTTTCCTCCCTGGGAGACGTTGGCGACTTATTTTTCGGACCAATTTCTTCTTGTCTCGGCCGCAGATCGGGGTGGGGATCAGGCAGTGAGCACTAATTAGTAGAATCTGAGTTTCGACGCGCGGAACACTTCGATGAACACCAGTCTAGGCAGGGTATGATCAGCACAGGGAAAGTTTTTAGCTGCGAACTCTTCCACATACCAAATTTGTTCATATGAATTGAATACAATGGGTATTGAAACTTGACGCTGTTGAGACTGAAGAGGGAGGGACAAGTGCGGAGCTCGACGAGCATCCGATAAGAGCTCCACCACGGTAACAGTCGGTGTGCAGCTGGATGCAGCAATGATGCTTCTGCGGATTCCAGAATCAACGTGTCAGACGACAAGCAGACGTCCCGAAAGACAGCACCGAGGCGAATGACGTGTAGGAATCTGGAAAGGGGAGCGAGTGCATATTTAAAAGGGGACCAGCAAAGACGGCTGGAGGAATAATAATAGTCTCCGCAGGGGCCAGCCACAGCTGCACTGACCCGAACTGGAAAATGCAAGGGGGAACTAGATGCATCAGACCTATTATTACCGTTATCATCCACTGCTGGCGGTGATCCCGGGCCCTTCAGGGTCAACTCAGGGTCCTGGGGCTCCAGAGATGGTCGCGCAGTATCTTTTCCATTGGCCGGGCTGGATCTCCTTGAAGATGAACGATCTCGGTGGATAACTGACTATTGACAATACTGTTGATGGACAAGGCTGCCTGTAGTATTGACGGAGGAGTCGGGGGCATGCTGTCGCTTAAAAAAAAGGCAAAACTGCACTAGCTAAATTTCAATATTGTCAATCTATTCCTCCAGAAGGATACCCCTGATGGAATGATGGATTTAATATTTAATATTCGGCCCAGGATGCGCCAGGATTCGCATTGAAATTCCTTCTGTGGCAATAGACAGAAATTGTTATGATGGAATGATATTCAAGAATTATTTGTGTTTTGTCTCACTCGCCGGCTATACTACTATTCGAGGATGTATCACATCTCTCGCCATGAGAAGAGTCAATATGACAGGCATTATATTAATTAATAAACTGTCTGCAGGATTGAGCTGGCCGCGGGGTTTAAACCGCGCTAAGTGTGTATGTTCCTGCGTGTCATTTGACAAAGGTTACATTCTTCATGTCAAATCAGGCTCTTCCCGAAGAAATCCACCAGTTTCGCCCCGGCCGCGTCAACCTTGTCGTATAGGTCGGCATGCGTCAGGCCTTCGACGACGAAAAGCTCCTTCGGCTCCTTCGCCTTCTTTACACCCTCCTCACTATGCCACTTCGATGCCGCTTTCGTCCCCGTGATCATCAGCAGCGGTCTCGGACTGATCATGTCATTGAACGCAAACGCGTCGAAGTTCGCCATCAGATCCCAGCTCCTCGGCAAGCTTGTATTTGTTGCACGCGGATGGTAAGCTCTCGGTGTTCGATAATACGACATGAGATCACGGAACGATTCGGGAAAGTTCGCGGGCGCATCCTCCGGCTTCTCGGGTAGCAAGTGGACTATGGGGACCTTTTCACCCGTCACGTCGCTGGCTCGGTCCTTGGCCGCGGCTTCGAGCTGGGTCTTCAAAATGTCCATGTTGGATGAGTCTTTGTCCAGGCCACGTCGTGCCATAGTACCGACACAGACAGCAGCCACAGTCGCGCACGCCTTGATACGCAGGTCTGACTGCGTTGCGTAAGGAGCGTATCCGCCTGACGCACAAATGCCAAGGACACCAATTGCATTGGGATTGACTTCTTTGAGGCTGGTAAGGTAGGTGACGGCGGATTTGATATCTTCGACACGTTGGGCTGGGTCCTCAAGGGATCGAGGTTCGCCTTCGGATTCACCTTGATATGCGGCGTCATAGGTCAGGCACAAGAATCCCGCCCGCGACAGCACATGGGCATAATTAGCCGGAGACTGTTCCTTAATGGAGGTCCAAGGGTGGCATATTATCACGGCAGCCCCGGAGCGGTTCGATGAGCCGGTAGCTGGGAGGTAGAGATGGGCGGCGATCTTGAGGTTGCGGGAGAGGAAGGTGACATTCTTAGGTGCGACAGTGCCCATTTCGATGTGTGGATGGTGTATAGAGTAGCGTGGGTATTATGCTGGTATGGCCTTGCAGAGGTGTCACTCTCGATGGAGGTATGTGATGTTCTGATACGCTTCATCTTCCAAGCCATCCGGCTGGGCTTTATATAGCCGGTATTCTTGCCATGCACCATGTCAGGAACCCGAATATCGGGCTAGCAAGTTCGTCGGAGCTAGTGGCTACAGCATGTTTAACAAGAGTTGTCCCTTGAAACCCGATATACATCGGCCGAAATTTTCCAGTAGCGCCGATGCTGTCGGTGTTTAGTAACAGAGTAGCCGGACACTATGATGTCATGGAAAGGGTTCGGCCGACCTCAACGCACGACACATTTTATTTCGTCAAGAAGAAAGTGCTAACGATACAAAGAAGAGAAGGAATATTTTCTCCAAATTTAGCAAGTGTAGTCTTCAACAATATCTGATTATATAACAGACTCCCAAATCATGTCGGGGTCAGAGAGATTCGAAGGGAAAGACTGGATCTGATCCAACTGCTCCAGCCAGAAGGCCTGATCAAACGTGTTTGTTATAACAGGGAATTCTAGCGTAGGCAAATCAAAATCAACATCCCCGGTGGACAAATATGGGTCGCATTGGGAACCTTCCTGGGGCCCAATCATCAACTCCCGTCTGATGTCTCGCAATCCTGATCTCGGGGGTGAATGTGAACGTGAGGCAGACATCATTCCTGAAGTATCACTGATAGATTCAGTGACCCCCTTGAGCTTATGATAGCAACGTTGGAGAATGTCCAGTCCCGATTTGGCTATTGCATTGTAGGCCTGGATATGAGATAGTCTCTCCATAGCTTGCTGTAGAATGTGATCGACATACTTTTCAGCTTCGGAGCTTCGCGGTGGGTGTACCGACATAATAATGGAGAGAAGAATGGAAGCATCTATGGTATAAAACGCAAGTCCAAATAACTTATAGTGATGTTTGCTAATCTGTCCGAAAAAGCGCTGCTGGGATTCCAATGTAGCAAGGGCAGCCTGCAAGGCAGCCTTTCGACTCTCAGAATTGGCGAGAATATGTGGCCGATGCAATGTCATGAGGAAAAGATTCGCCATGATCAAGATCTCCTCACGCTGTTGAGGCAGGTACGGGTACTCCGAATCCCAGGAAGTGTCCGGGTTCTTGGGTCGGAGGAAAGGTGGCACGTTATCCATTAACGAAATTACCTGGTCGTGAAGCGTTCGAACGACAGAATAGTCTTTAGGATGGGCCTTGTCTGCCTTTAGTGCTCGCATCTCATGAACCTTCTTTGCAAGCGCATATCGGAACAAGGACGCCGAGACCGTCGTAGGGCCGTTATGACTCTCGCCAGGCTGTAGCGTCATGGGCACTGTCTTGGAAGGTTCCCGGGGAATGTTGCAGTCGATCGGTGGTTTCGCATCACAGTCATCTGCATTGATCGCTCGAGGACGACCAAGAATCATAGCCATAAGACTATCTATTTCTTAGCTCAAGGGATTCAAATCTGTAGCCAGTGGTATATGGAGATCTTACCTATCCCAAACAAACAAATTGAGCCATATACGTTTCTTATACTCTTCATACCAGAACATGCTCAGCGTTTCGTCTATACTGTTCGGGCCCGTTTGCTGGATCTCTCTATGCCGATGCAAGCCGAGTTCTTGTGCTTGCCTGAAGACGGTAAAATTAATCACTGGGTCACAATGAGACGAAGCAAAAGAAGAAATTTTGGTCCAACAGACCTAATCGCATTTCCAACACTATGCCAGGACTCTATACCTCTGCCAAAGTTTTTCAGCCAAGACGTTCGAAGAAAATCTGCCTGAACTGCAGTGAGAACGCCATGTTGTCTTCCTAATAATGTCACTATTTTGTCGCCCATGTTACTATATGATTGCGAGGACGTTAGCGGCAATCGACTCAAAACGGGCGCGTCAGACGGCAAAAACTGTAAAGTAACAGCCAAGACCTGGAATATCACAGCAGGAAAGTACTGCAGTTCCAGTGAAAAACTATCAGGCTTTAGATATTTAGGGTGCTCCTTTACAGGGGCTTGCCAGCGTGAGAGCATGTCATCGAAGTAGAATCGTTCCAGAATAAAGTAATGCCAGTTAACTTCATCGAAGAAGATGGCAGAGAGCTCTTCAATGATAGGTCTAGGTGGCAGCTTCGAAGTAAGGTCGCGTATGTTCCTTTCAAGCGCAGAAGATAGGAAACGAGGACGGTTATGGGCAGCCGTAATCACTTGAAATTCATCTTCGTTTTGAAGAACCTGCGTCTGATTAGTGATGGCAGATAACATAGAGCTTTCTTTCTTTCTTTTTATATACCTGGTTCAAGCCCACAAAGGCATTGCTTCCAGCTACCAAGGAATATCCAAGATCACCCGCATCCTGGGAGGCTGTCCCCTTGTCCTGTTCCGCCTGATAGACATGGCTACTAGCCAGCTCATCTCCAGGACGGACAGAGTGTTTAGGCCTAGGTCTAAATAACGGCATTAGAATGCCACAAGTCTAGTCCATGTGCTAGAATCAAACTTGAGCGTAAGAATGCTCGACAAACCCACGTTAATGAGGTATAAAAGCATTTGCTAGCCACATTTCTTGTGAGACAGTTATTACAAGGATGTTTGCGGTCACACTGGAAACTTATTAGAATGCTACAAAAAAGACAAGCTTGTAGGCAAATGGGGACAGGTACCTTTTGCTTCCTGCGATGACACTCAACGCAAGATGTCACAACCCGTTTGCGCTTCAATGGCTGGTTGCTGTCGGTGGCGGGCATAGTACTGGGCTAGGTTTATGCGAATAATTGGGGATGAAAGCATGCCGTCAACTTTGAATAAAACCAGTCCCGGTTCAGGGTTTGCAATTGTCAGCCTAGTCATGAATCATGGACATCAACAGGGCCAGTCCAGATGCATTGGGCTCCAGTTGATAATTGTTGAAGAAAGAGAAGAATGAAATCGGTGGAGCTCATGGACCGCGGAGGATGGATTGACGCTACGGCGATCTACACGGATATCTCGACCAAAGTTTCAACGAGATTCATATTCAGTATCCAACCTCCATTTTTCCACTTCCCATCTCTTGTGGTGAGGTGAAACAGCACTAATCGATCACTCAATGATCACCACAAGCAGACTGCCCGTCTGCAAATCATTTCTATCCAGATCGTCTCTGCGTCTTGTCACAGCGACGCGCTTCCTTTCCTCTACGACCAACAGCTCCTCCACGAATACCAGAATCCCGCTCCATGGCCTCACACCATCTCATATCTGCTACTATTGGGATACGCAGATCCCTAATAAATCCCAACTCGCGTACGCAGACAAATTCTTCAAGCCCTCGCGCCACTCCCCCGTGAAATTGTGGTCCGCCAGCAAATTCCGCACTACACCCCTCTCCTCGTTGGAGCCCGAGGTTGCCTTCCTAGGTCGCTCAAATGTTGGGAAGAGCTCCCTGTTGAATGCGATTATGGGGAAGGAGATTTGTTGGACGTCCTCGAAACCTGGGAGGACAAGGGAGATGAACGCCTTCGGAATTGGGGGTACCAAGGGTGGGGAGTCGAAGATTGTCCTGCTGGACATGCCGGGTTATGGGGCTGCGAGTAGAGCGGAATGGGGGAAGGAGATTATGAAGTATCTCCAGGGAAGAAAACAGTGGGTTTACATTGATAATTCTGTCTTCTCCTTTTTGATATCTGAGGGATTTGCCTAAAGAAACTGACTTTCTTTCCCAAAGGCTCCGCCGCGTGTTCGTCCTCGTAGACACCTTGCACGGCTTGAAGACTACTGACAATACCATCCTTATGTTGCTGCGGCAATACGGCATCTCTCACCAAATCATCCTTTCAAAGGTCGACAAGGTCCTCATGAATAGAAACAAACAGGCGAAGAGCGGAATATCCCAAGCCAACATAACCACGCTGAAGACCATCCTGGAAGGTCTAAAACCCGCCATCCAACCAGACGGCCGACTAGAAGGGCCTGGTGCTCTGGGCGAAATCATCACATGCAGCGCAGATACGCCTGCCGGATCATTGGGCATCAGCGCCGTACGATGGGCTATTTTGTCTGCCGCTGGGTTTGACGGGAGCGTGCAGGTGAAAGACGCATCCGCATCACCACCACTGCTTGAACCTGCTATCTCGAAAGTATCCACGGCTGCGTCCTGATGTTTATGTTTTCGAAGACAACTATCACTCGAAAATATAATTAATAGGGTGTTCGCCATTGTTCATGGGGGGCCGCAGCGCTCCCGAGCAATGACCTCCAATGGAATGCTTTCAAGCACATCCTAAAAGAAGTCTCGAATCACACAAGCTCATATGTGAACAGTTTGGAATGCGGAACTGCAGGTCCATCTTCCAAGTTTGCGATGAGCTTCGTTGTCAAAAATTTCGAGGCCCGCGTTTCTCCCTTGAGGCAGGTGAAAATGCAGTGCTGTCTGCGGAGTATTTACAATCCAACAACATCGACTGTGCTGGGTAAACTGGATTCCCTCTGTCCTAATGACTTGTTCTGAGATTTAGGAGGATTCTGGGCACAACTTTTATCTCCAACTCATTGTTACAAGCGAGGCTTGATATCTGGTCATAAATTCTGGATGGGAGTCTCGAAAAGATATACCACGTTGCCATTAACCTGCACTTTGTGTCTAGAGTTTGTATATTGCTTGGACACTACGGAACTATAGACAAATAAAGCATCTCTGTTTTTTTTTTTTTTTTCTAAATGGGTAGATGATTTAAAAATGAATCTTAGAGATACAGGTCATGAGAGTCCTTGGCACGCCTAGCTATGTTGTTGATTTCGAGTTAGGCATCAGGAATAAAACATTAGACATGAATAATACCGCATGTAATGGGTAAGATGCGACATATGGTAGTAAAACTTTTTGAAAGTAAAGAGAAAAAAAGAAACACGCGGCAACGCCGGTCCTTTCATAATGCCAGACGACACCAGGATGCCCCCCCTCCCCCCCACGCTATGCAATGTCTCTCAAATAAAAACGAGGTCCGCAAGAAATTGGGTATAGGGAATATGTCATTAAGTTGGGAATTTGGTTGAGTTGGAGAGTCGACGAAAAAGTCACCCCAATAACTTGAAGTTCCAACGTCGACTGTAAGGGCGTGATCTGATCAATCATGGTCCCTACCTAAGGCACACAGAGATCATGACTTTGATATCCTCCATCATGCATCAGACATATCATGATCCGAGACCCCGGCTTCGTGGCCTCTTTCATCGACAAGTATACGTCGGCCCAGTCGGTTTGTAGGGACTCCATCGCGGAAAGCACCGAAGTCGAGAACCTAGAACCGATCAGTGGAGTTACCGAGAAATTTAAGCGTAGTGCTCACCTCGATATATGTTACATGGTCACGCTGCACTGCAGCAACACATCGTCGATCATTGAACTTGACCTGCCACACCCCACTAAGGTCGGTGAGCAAATCGCGCACACACTCTCCGGTCTGCACATTCCACATTTTCAGAGTCCGGTCAGACCCTGAAATCACTTTTTGGCCATCGTGCTGGAAACAGGTGATTGCACCCGTATGAGCACTCAGAGTGCTTTTACATTGTCCATTCTCTGGATCCCAAATCCTCAGCGTTGAATCCGCCGCTGCCGAAACCAGCCTGTCACACTGTAAATCGAGGAGACCAACAAGCGAAGTGTGACCCTCTAGGTTATACAGAAGCGAACCAGTCTCGATTGACCATATCTTGACCATGTTATCCATGGATCCACTGATGCAGCGCTTGCGTTTGTGATCAAGGACCACGCTGTAGACTTTCATGTTGTGACCTTGCAGTCTGTGCAGTATCTCTCCGGTAGAAATCTTCCAGACTCTCACGGTAGAATCATAGCTTCCGCTAACCAAGGTATCGCCATGAGCGGCTATGGCACGAACAGAGTGCTGATGCCCGGTAAGCGTGCGAATATAGTATGGACAATCTGAATCATCGAAATGGTTCGGAGCCGGGAAGAAGGGCGGGTCATCGGGTTTAGGAAGCTTCCACACACGTAAGTTGGAATCGCGGGAGCCAGTAATGATCAACGGTTCCTTTGGCATCATAATAGGGCTGCCATCGGCGCTCTGACCGACTTCCACAGGCATCACAATTTGCAAACACCGTACGGTGGATGTATGTCCATGAAACACCTGGGTGCATTTTGCCTTTTCGATATCCCAGACCCTCACTGACCTATCAGTTGATCCGGATACAAGCGTATTGCCATGGTACTCGAGAGCCCAAACACCTCCCTCATGTCCCTCCAGGGTAGTTCTTAGAGCACCCGTCTTCGTATCATACACATTGATATTCGTGTCATCGCTTCCAGTCAAAATCTTATCTGTATCGAATTGCAAACAGGTGACCACGTGGCGATCGTGGGCACGGAAGGCAATATGCTTTGGCTCTATGTTTGGATCCATCCAGCTCTGACGGATAGAGTGATGCCGTTGATAAAGAGACTTGTAGAGATGAAGACCACGAAGGGATGGTAAGCCAACGTCGGGATATGGCACGGCGGCGGCGGCGGCGTTGGCAGCAGCATACGGACCTTCAGCCGCTGCGATATGGCTTCTCCAGTCTGGAGGCTCAGGGTTACTATCGTTCGGGCTAGACGATGTCTTCTTCTTTGCCAGCTTACGGCTGGAAGTGCGGGTGGCGGCCTTCCTTTTGTTCGATCGGCGATTAGGCAACGATGGAGTGTCAGTTGCCTGTGCCGCTAAGCCGGAAGAGGAAGGCGCTTTACTCGATTGGGAACTCAGGTCCTTGTCGAAGTACTGGTCGCAGTCAGGGAATTGCCAACCCCAGCCCTCTTTAATGCTGCGCTCCAGCTCACCCTCCTGAAGAACAAATCCATCGCTCTCAAACAGCCTTTTCCAGGTCTTCTCATCGGAATTCACAATGTGCCTCCACTTCTTCGAGACCTGAGCCGCACGACACATGGTCTTGGAGTCAAAATGTTTGACGATATTCAAGCTAAGTTCCAGAGGGAGCCGATCCAGGAAGTCACATTTCAGAGCAGGGTTAACCAGATCAGCAACGAAATGGAGAGTCGGCTTAGAGCAGCGCTTTAAGAATTGGTACATCAGATATGATTTCAACTCCTCCGGGACCGAATCAAAAAGGTCCACCATAGCAGGGATGTCACGTAAGGATGGCCGTGAAGTCCCGCTGCTCATTGGCACGCTCCCTGCATTTGCCTTTCGCGGTTTTTCAAACTGCAGGGGCCGGGGGAATTGTGAAACGCCCTGATCAAAACTGGAGTCCGTATCGCCATCTGGATCCTCGGCCGAGTCGAATGAAGAATCGGCATTCAAAGCATTCATGGCAGCGACAGGGGAAAGGCTGGGGCTTGGAAGACACATGTCTTGGGATACTGCACTATCAATCGCCGGTAACTGAGCAGATAGCGAGACTGGTATTTGCCTCGAGGGAACTACCGACACATCGCCCGTGGCTTGGCTCGTAGGAATGGACTCCAAGATGTCTTCCTCTTTCACGTCTGCTTCTGTCTCCTGTGTGGAGCGTTCTCGCAAAGCGAGTTTCTCAGGGCTCGGACATTTCACGTCTAACCGCTCACCTGCAGAGGAAGATCTGGAACTTTGTGTAGTCTCATGCGTTTCCAATTCGAAAGACAATGGCGATCGTAGAAGGGTCTCCCTCCGTGGAATGATGGAACTGTGGACGCGTCTTTTCGGTAGTACATTTCCTCCCGGGATAAAGGAGCTGCTATCGGCCTCGGGAGTCGTCAATCCAGACGCCATGGGATGCGTTGTAGTATGGCCACCATGGTGCGACCGAGGCAGAGATGCAGCCAAATCCCGAGCAAGTCGAGTCCGCTGAGAAGCTTGACCCGCATCGGGGATAGACACTGGGGATACGGGACGCATTTTGGACTTCGAGGAATTGTTCGACGACTGAGAGGATAGCCCGTGGGGTCCAGGTCGTCGAGGTCGATTGCTCTCATCGGATGTAAATGAAGACACCGATCGGATCGTCCCATTAGCAGCCCTCAATATATCATTTTTCGCGTCAAACTGCAGTCCTTGTCAGCCAGAAAGGAATAAAAGAAGGCGGGAAACGTCGCCGCCTTGGACTAAACACACCTCCTTGAGGGCACCAGCTGCGTCTTCAGGTTCATTAAAGACAACGGATCTCCCACCCAGCTCGAACTTAAAGTTTCTAAGAGATTCAGGGGTAGATGAAGCTGCGAGAGGATAAAGTTTGGGGTCGAGGTCTTTGATAGCCCGTGGGGGCTTGACAAGCAAGGGAGGGAAGTTGGTAGTTGTAGTAGTTGTCGTCGTCACGACAGTGGTTCGAGTGACGGGGGCAAAGGAGAACTGGCCAAGAGAGCTACTTGGCGGCAACTGGCCCATATCGACTCTTCCACACTCATCCATACCGAGTTGTTGGGTCTGTAGGGAGAGACTTGAGCGGAGAGACACATAGGACAGCGGTAGGACAGTCGGGGGAAGAGGACGCGTCTTTTTGGCGAGGTTCCGACCACGATCTCGTGGGGGAGGTAAACCGAAGCGCGAAGAGGAAGCGTCAAAGGGTTACGTCAAAAAAAGGCCCTTGAAAAGGAACGTCTTCCGCCCCCCAAAGCACCAGACAAGCCTCGAGGGAAGGTGGCCGTGGTGGAACGGGGGGTTTACTAGCTAGAGAACCCCGTAAGCGCGGTATAGGTGTATCTGCAAGAACATCAGAGAGCACACACAACCGAGGGTTTGAGTATTTTCAGAGCATGTTGAGAGAGAACGAGACAGCAAGAAGTGGCTGGTGGAGGAAGTGGAAGAGAGAAGGGAGAGGGAGGCCAAAGAGGAGGCGGGTCGTGGCGTGTTCTGGGAACCGGGTTTGGCTTGAATTCGGGGGGGCGGCGGAGAACAATCGAGGGAAGAAGATCTGGAGTCGCCTCTTAATTTTTTTTTTTTACTACTCCCGTTGAAACTTTGGAAATTTGGGAACAGCAACACAAACTGGATACAGCTGGGTCAAATCATTCACTATGAATTATTATTCTATCTCTTACGATGGGGTCTTCATTACTATTATTTCCTATCGATGACACCACTGCTCCTGCTGCCGCCGTCGGTCCAGATACCTGCCGTAAAACCTACCCGTAAGATGGCGTCCACTCCGTTCCTGGAAACGATAAGATGCCTAAAAATAATGTTTCCCGGAAGCAACACACGGGCGGATTTTGGACAGGTCCTTACGGAATACTTCCGACATGCTGTGCAAGTAATTACTTAGTAGGTTAGTAGTTCCCAGTTCCACCTGCATAAATGATAATACATCGATGTATCTGGATGGAGTCGGTAATCAACGTAGCCACGGCAGACGATGGGATGGGTCCTTTATCTTGCCGCCACCGTTTCTTCTCCTTCTCGGTCCTTCGGCGGGCCATTATCAATGGGAATTGCTGCTTATCGGTCTTGCTATCTCACGTGATCGAGCGGGGACAGTACAGAGCTCCTTTCCAGAAGTAACTTTCCCGTGCCTGGTGTGCATTAAAAAAAAAGAGTCGCCGGTCGGATTCGAACCCCCAACTAGCCCATATTTCCTACCCAGACGCGGAAGCGCATACCTCAAATAGGGCCAGGAATAAAGCAAAAAGACAGAAAGCTCATATTTCATAGAGCGTATCATCCTTGGCTCAGGGTCATGCTAATCTTCTCTGTATCGTCGATCGACCAGAAGCGAAGACAGAAAGTTTGAACTTGTTGGATCTCTATATATGGCATCTAGTATGTGTTGATTGGCTGGTGGTTTGCTATTAGCAATAGCGGGCCCCCCCCGGGAGCTAAACCGTATCCGGAGTAGTCCTATATCACGTGAGTGGGGTCATTTTCCGCTCATCCACAGCACTTTTAATAGTCTACTAGACAGCACTACTGTACTAAGTACCTACTTAGATACAAAGTCACGAAGCAAGATAGGTTCACTGGACTTATCAATCTGACTCATCAGCATGATTTGACTGGAATCTGATCAATTGTATATGCAGGGTCCATTGTAAACTGCAGCTCATCCAATTTAGGTATTGTCACTCATCCTACTGTAGGAGTAGTTATATCAAACCGTAGAATAATTATAATGCTTCTCCAGCATAATAACCTACACTTGAATTGTTTTATTAGGCCCTTTTCAATATATATCGACCAGATGTTCTGTAGATGCCTGTGTTCGATGGAGTTTATAAGGGCGAATGCCTTGCAAGCTCTTGTCAGCTGAAGCTTGGCTCAGTCCTTCTAGACAAAGCAAACGCAAGCTTCCATCGAAACCATCGATACCAGCCTTTCTGCTACATTAGCATCACGAAAATGGCCCTGCGAAATTTTTGACTTTCTTTTCTCGTCAAAACACTTCTTCCACGATCTCTCTTCCTCAGGCCTATTTATCCATCTCGTACTTCTCTTCTGTTCTACCGTAACACTTGCTCAAACGTGGAGACGCCAGGAATCTTTTGACATGGTCCGCGTCAAGTTCACCGCGCCGGTTCAGGCCGTTCAATTACAACCTAAATCATCAACTCGTCCTCTGGTTTCGAATGTCCCTATTTCTGTCGACAAGGAGACTTGCCGCGAGACCGTTGAGCAAATCCCTCAACTGGCTCTCCAAGAATCCCTCGCACAGAGACAGCAGCAGAGTTTGGAAATGGTACAGATTATGTTGCATGTGTCGGTAGGTTCCTCCTAATCCAGTCCGTTCTATATGGCCAGTCTCTAATAGAGCAATTGATAGTTCGGCACGTTGTTCTATCTCCGGTTTGATCCGCCCACACTCTAGCCTGCGATGGCCCAAGAAAACAAAACTGATATTTGATTCTCTGACAGGGAGTTTCTACCGCTTTCATGTTTCGATGACCGTGACCTGAAGCAAGCTCAAAGGGAACGGCGATTCTCATACCGAGAATTCATACATGGGAGACCGGGCTCGGAGAATGCTGGAGCAGATGCAGAACATTCCTTTGGCCAAGGGAAACGCTCCCAGCCTCTTAAGGTTCTGGTTCGCAATTCCGATCCCAAAGCCGATACAATCCTGGATCTTCTGGTACGACTGTCCACTAGGTGTCGCTCCAGTTCGACTTGATTGACGAATGCAGGAACATGGTATCTTCGATGCACTCAAAAGGAACGTATTGGAAGCCGTCCAATTGACTGTCCTTGTTGACAAGGACATGCCGACAAACGTTCTCGAATCATACACCTTTACATTCAAGTATACTGGAGGGCCCGGCGATATGAGCAGCCGCTTGGAAAGTCTCTCACTACATCCTGTGGGCTGCGTAGCTGACATGAAGACTGCCCAATCGGCCAGAATGGGTTTGGAGATGATCGTCAGGCGTTTGATAACGTTGAGCGCTTTCCTGCCGAATTTGCCAAGTATCCCAGTTCATTTCCTAAATGAATATCTGCGGAAGCTAATGTTACATTCAGACAAAAGAAACCTTGGGATTCATCTATTCTATACCGAAAACTGTCCCCCCGACTATGAGCCTCCTGGCTTTTCTGTGGCTGCAGATCATACCATTAAATACCCACTCAATAACAACTGGATGAAGGAATCGCAATCTTGTGGCATCATGGACAGTGGATACCATACGTGAGCAGGGCACCCTTTATTCAAAGTTTCTATCTAATGATGACAGTGTCGGACTCAAGGTGACTTCTCTTAAGTGGACTGGGCCAGATCCAGGGAGTTCGGAACTCCAGCCTGAGATTCCTCCACAAATCGAATACAAAGACGCTGTACCACGTGAGAGAGACATTGGATTTACCCAGGAAGACAATATGCAAGCCGATCTGAGAAGTGAGCAGAGTAAGTGCACTGCAAAGCATACTGTACCGAAATTCCACAAAGAGCAACCTTTAATAACGATTTATTACAGCAGGTGCTAGTTTTGAAGAGCGAACCCAAACTACACAGACTCAAGAACGTCAGGACATTAGTGCAAAGCAAAGGCTGCAGGAGATGATTCCCGTAAGGAGCCCCATAGGGTATCACGAGAGTGTAAGCTCAAAGAAGGCTAATTGAAAGAGATACAGGCTGCATCCCCAAGTCAGGATAGTGATCTCATTCCTACTCAGCCGTTTAATGCGAATTCGATCTCTACCAATAAGGGAAGGGCGTCTCAGGATAAGGCTCAGAGGATGGTCCTTTCTCTGTCAAAAGCCGCCGAAATAAAACAATACTTATGCTCGCAGAAATCCGGCTTCTCAGGAAGCGCTGACGGCAGTGAACAAGGCCCTGTGAAATGCCAATGTGGCTGGGATGGAGAAGAACCTGCTATGGTAAGTTGGCTGGCTGATGACCTGAAACACTTCATACTGACAGAGCAGATTGAATGTGGCTTTTGTCATACTCGTCAACACCTTCTATGCTACGGATTTACAGGTCTTAATGACCTGCGGCTCTCCAACATTCATGCTTGCTACCAATGCTTGCTAGAACCAAACGAGTCTCATTTGCTACGGGAGATGACTACTTTGGTTCTTTTGAGGAGAGCTCTAGTCATCATCCTCGACGAAGGATATCCAAGTACCGTTTCGGCCTTCACACAGAAGCTGCGTAAGATCACTAGATGGAGAAATTATTCAAAAATATTTACTGATGATGTACAGATTGCAATGGGCATACCGTGATTCAAGTCACCGACCTTCTAAGAAAGCAAGGATTTCTTCAACCAACACCCGGATACAAGAGCAAGGGGTTTTTACGGAAGGGTTTACCGAAGTTCAACATCCCTCAATCCGAAGATGTGAGACGCAGAATGGAAAGGGAGATCCTAGATCCTATGGCGAAAATCCGACATCACGTAAGTAGTATCTGACATTTCACAGAAAATATTCTTCTAACGAAACATGTCTAGTATGACCAAGACACAGCAGAGAACATGATAGAATCTTCTGAACGTGATAACTCCCAACAAAAAGAATATATGGCTAAAATGGATGTTGAAGTTAGCAAAGTGCTTCCTACCAGAGACACCGGAAATGATAACGATGACCAAGAGACGCTTGGCTCCGGAGACGAACTCCTTGAACTGGGAAGCAGCAACGCGAGTCTGAAGAGACGACTTTCGCGGGACGAGCTTGCTGACTCAAGTCAATACTCGAGCAATGTTTCCAAGGGAGAGAGCAGAGCAGGTAAAGCCCTTGGAGGCAGCCAGGCGACGAAACCGGGCGAATTGTCTCAGAGTCCTAAGCAAATCGGAATCCGACGCAGCCCTCGAAAGCGGCGCAAGATCAGCAACTACGCGCAGCTGATTGATGTTGGAATGGCCACAAGCGATGAAGATGGTATTTGAGATGGCTTAACTGTTATCACGAAGGGATGGGTGGAAAGCACGTTTCTTATTTATCATACTCCTGTATCATTATTGCCTATTCGGAAGGACGGCTTTCGTTTCAGGGATTATTGCAAGCTTGACGAAGAGAAAGTGGAGGTAGGATAAGTGGGTTGATGGTTCACGGTTTACGACTGCTTTGCTTCTGTTCTCCTTGTTTGTAATACTATGGAAGTAATACTAGAATTGACAACGCTCTTCTTAACTCATCGTGATAGTCGACTCGCTGAACCACTGCTTAACCGTGTAGTAAGGCCGACCTCCCTCGGGGTGATCCTTATTAATGCGCAATGGTTGGCTATATTCGGCACATTCTCTGGTGTGTGGTCTGGAGCTGGGTGATTTTTTAAACAATGTCATCTGGTTCAATGTCGTCCTAGGAGGATTGCCCACATAGTCATTATCATGTACCAAGAAAGACAGTGAGGTATTGTTGGACACTTGATCCTTCCATGGATCCAGCAGCTGGAACATACTGTGACAGCTGAGGAAGTGCTGATGGTACCAGTCTAGTAGAAGCTGCGCATAGATTCTCATCATCCCCATGAACCTCTGTCACTTTCAACTGCTTCACATGTGTCAAGTATGTCTCTTCTGGGAAATCCGTGATAATTCTGGAAATCTTGAGCTCTTGGATTTTAAGAGGAATTTGACAACAGGCCAAACCAGGTTGAAGATCAACATTGAACGGCAGTATCGGCTTGGGGAAGGGGTGATAGGGAAGGGGTGATATATGCCTGGGAGTTGAAGGGTAAGAAGGCAGTTGAATTCGGAAAGAAACAGTGTGTTATTACTATGCAGTGGCCCCCTGAATAAATAAAAAGATATTTACCATAATTCATACGCTATTTGAATGGTATCCAAGGCCAATATAATATCGGGCCACCTGCATGGATGATGGCACAGCCTGATATCAATATGAATGCATCATGCCATGCTGAGGCCCTGTTTTCAAAGAGGCTCAAACGGAATTAGGGGTCTTGCTAACTCCATCCAATTCCGACATATAACTGACTATCTTATAATGGACAATGTTACTGCACAGCAAGTCTTCCTCACATATAAAGCACTGTACTCGGTGCAGCGAAGGACAAGATGCCAACCCCAAGCCAACTCAACCCCAAACACTGCGAGGAATTCGTCAAAACCCTCCACACAACCCCCTACGCCTCCATCGACCCCAGCCTAACCAAACTCCCCACCCCCTTCGTTGTCTGCATAATCGGCGGCCACGGCGCAGCAGGAGACGGACTCGCGCGCGCCTACGCCAAAGCAGGCGCATCAGGAATCCTCCTCGCCTCGCGCAACCGCACGAAGCTCGAAGCAACAGCCCACCAGGCCCGCAATATCAGCTTACCCCCTCCCAAGGTCGTAACGGCAACATGCGACATTACTTCCGCAGCGAGCGTACAAGCCCTCGTGCACACAACCATGTCCGAATTCGGGCGTTTGGATGTTCTCATCGTGAACGCAGGCTACTCAGAACCGATGATAAGAGACGTCGTGCAGGAGTCACCGATTGATTTCAAAAGCGCCTTTGACGTACATGTTTTGGGGACGTTCCACGCAGCGCATTACTTCCTCCCGTTGCTCTTATCGACACGGTCATTATTCGCGAGTTTTATTTCCATTAGCTCCATGGGCGCGCCAACTGTTACTGGGATAGTTTCGCATGCGCATTACTGCGTTAGTAAGGCGGCGCAGATGCGGCTGATGGAGGTGATACGGGAGCAGTATGGGGCTTATGGGATTTTTTGTGTCTCTGTGCATCCGGGGGGGTTGGTGGGTGAGATGGCTATGATGTATTCTTCTAGTGAGGTTTTCAGCTGTATGCCCTTCCCCCCCATTGCAGATTACAGCCATGCTCAAACCTTGCTGATATGATGGATGCAGTGCTGACAGATAGCCCCGACCTGGTCGGTGCGTTTTGCGTCTGGCTAACCCGTCCCGACTCTGGTAGACGGCGAGAAGTGCTTAATGGGCGCTTTCTCTCGTGTAAATGGGATGTGAAGGAGTTGGAGGGGAAGTTTGGGGAGATTTTGTCGAAGGACTTGTTGAGGTTTCGGATTGCTGTTGGTTGATTTTTTGATTTCCTGTTTGCTCTGCTGATGTGCTTTGTTTATACCCAGTTGGTCGTATGGATTTCTTTTCTTTTCTTTTCGTTTCGTTTTGTTTCGATGACAGTCTATGATATGATGATGTGGGTGAGCATTCAACCTGAGGTCAGACCCTAGCACTCCGTACTACGCAATATATCAAGCAGCTAGCCCTAACCACAGAAACTTCTAAGATCAGCAATTCTATTTTGTCACAAGCAAACATAATAACTACCTAACCGGTCAATCGGATTTATCGAAGAGGATTAGCAGGTGTAAGCGTACTCGGGATGATGTCTCCGATGTTAGTGCGTTGAAGCCCTGCATACAGCGTTTATCCTGCAGAGGAGCTACTCGGTCAAAGCGAGAACGGTGAATGGTTCATCAGGAAGAATAATAACACCCCGATCTATCCATTGGAAGATCCGAGATGGTACGTTTGTTACATTGAAGTTTTCATGGAACCAATGGAAATGGAAATTACACATAACAGAAGTATTCTCTCTACCGATACTATCAACAATGCAATGCCACTAGGGATTCAAATTCAGCGGTGACACGCAGGTGAACGAGGTCAACTGTTGATCCTCGAATGCATCCTTCATTGCTAGAGGGAGTTAGCAGTGTCCGTCGATCGAGCAGAAGGAAAGAACGAGGGATAACCAACCGATAATAGCAGCATACAACCCCAAGCCCAACGTAGCCAGAGAAGCCAAGAAGTAAAGGACATGCCAGATGTTGGTGCAGACCTGCAGGATTCCACCGCTGAAGAAACCGCGTACCAGCCGCCTCACGGTGCCGTCGTATCGTACCACCCTTCCCGTGGTGGGGTCAAACCCCTCACCCCGTTCCGGACGGATGGCATTCTTCTGGACATCAAAGCCTAGAGCAAAGAAACCGGGCATGACGTAGGTCATGGGGAGGAGCGTGGACGCCGAAACGACGCTGACCAGACCGAAGAAATCCGGGATGGCAGCGGCGATGATGAAAGCGATGGCCCACCAGACGGGCACGATGCAGGCGTAGATGATCTTTCCCGTGCGGGTCGAGAGGGTCGGGAAACCGAGGATGTCGAGGAAGATATTGTTGTAGACGACCTTGATGCCGATGTTGCTGTACAGGCCGGCGGAGATGAGCGCGCCGACCAGCGTGAGCATGTTGCCGACGACCTGCCACCCGTACGGGCTGACGCCCATGTAGGCCGGGTTGAAGCTGTACTGGCCCTGGAAGTGGTAGACATAGCAACCGTACACAAGATAAACGGTGTAGATGAAGAACTGGGCGCCCCACATGGCCTTGATGAAATCGCGCGGGCGCCGCATCTCGGCCAGGAACTCGACGAACAGCTGCGCGCCGGCGTAGGCGAGCACCCCGGACATCAGGCCGTTGATGGAGCCGACGAGGCCGTTGGGCGGCAGGTTGCCGTAGTGGCGGATGGGGGGATAGTTGCCGTTCTTGTCCGGGGTGATGCTGCTGCGGTCGACGGAGCTGCCGGCAGAGCCCAGCGTCGCGATGGCGAAGTTGGGAGGGGAGTGCGCCATGACGCCCATGTTCATCCAGATGGTGAGCAGGTTGATGAAGACGGCGAACGTGGCCACCCAGCCGTAGTTCCGCAGCGTGCGGATCTGCGTGAGGAAGAAGCCGGCGCAGATGAACAGCACGGGGCAGACGACGTAGCAGAGGCGGAAGCGCGAGGTCTGCGAGATGTTCTCGCCATACTGCAGGGTGACCTGGCCCGTCAGCAGGATCAGAGCAAGCCCCTGCAGGATGTTGGTGACGTGCCGCGCTGCTCTCCCCCAGGTTCGGAAGCCCAGATCGCCGTAGTTGCGCGCAGGGTATTCGTAGCTGTCGACGCCCAGGTACACGCGCCAGATGAGATAGCCGGAGTAGCCTGCAAAGAAGCCGAAGATGGTGTAGAAGGCGACTCCAGGACCCCAGCCCAGGGTCCCCAGGGCGAACCCAACACCGTACGGCCCCAGGATATCAGTGGTGATCAGATAGAAACACGCGCCCCACGATGCAGTGCGCATCATGCGGCTGGCATTCGTCCACTCCTCGTCGGTGATCTGCAGACGACCGGCGTCGTCGACGGTGGACGGAGCAACCGCAGCCGCGTCGGGCTGCTTGTTGTCTTTCTTTTTCATGAACAGCAGCTCGGCCCAGTCGGTCTTGGGCGCCTCGAGGTGCTGCTCCTCCTCGCGCGTCTTCTGCGCGTAGTAATAGTACTCTTCGAAGGAGATCGTGTGGTCGTACGCCTGGCGATGCTGCGGCCGGATGCAGGTTGACGATGCGACGGCCACATCCTGGGCGTCGGCTGGGCTGGAGAGGGTCATCTTGTCCATGATGCATACCACGTCGGTCCCACGTTGTGCTCTGCTCTGCAGGACAGACGTCGGAGAGAGGAGATCCAGATATATAACGGCAGCCCACCGTGCTGGTGAGCACAGAGACTGGATGTAACCCTACTATCAGAGCATCGCAATCATCCGACCAGACAACAGGGACGTTCCTGGGGCAGAGCAACACTAGAGTTCGTCAGAGTGCCACTGGTCCGCTGTCTTAGCAATGCTTGAGCCTGACAAGAGTCGGATAAGCCGATCTGCTGTGGAGAATACGAGGTGAGGGCAAATGAAGCTGCGTGTTTACTCCGGATGGCTTTGTTCTTCCTATCGTTCCTATCGTGCTCAATGAGATGCTCGGATGCTCCTATCTCATACTTCAGTAATACTCAATAATAATAGCATTCTGGTGCTGCTTACTCCGTACTCCGACCCTTGGGGAGCCATGCAGCATAGACGCAGCTATAAAACAGGCACCATGCATGTCCAGGATCGCCTGGCTCCCTCCTCGATTCATGGCATCCAGGATGAAACTGAGCCTCCTTGCAGCGCTCCCCCTCCTCGCTCTTGCCGGGGCAAGACCCTCTGCACGCTCTTCCTCCATCGCCTATGTCGACGTCTCCGTCACCACAGTCTGGACGGACCCCAGCAAAGTACGCCCCGTCGATGGGCCTGCGCTCTCCAATCCCGTCCGCATCCAGCAGTGGCTGGACACCATGACCGTGGATGATTTCCGCGATCTCACCAACTCGGGTCGCACGCAGACGCAGGCCCTGTACGGCACCCCTGTCGAGATCCTCGGCTACCAGGACGGCTGGTACGAGGTCGCCGTGTCCGGACAGCCCACGCCCAAGAACGCCTACGGCTATCCGGGCTGGATCCCAGCGGTGCAGGTCAGCTTCGACGACCGCTTCGGCGCCCTGCAGTCCTCCAAGCCCTTTGCGGCTGTCGACAAGGTCGCCAATACCACTCTCTACCGCGATGTCTGGCTGACGGAGAAGTGCATCGACGTCGCCTACGACACGCGTCTCCCCGTGATTGGGGTGTTCGGCGAGGCTGTCCAGGTCGCTGTGCCGGGGGGTGGATCGGCGTACATCCGCATCTTCGATGTCAGCATCTACGACTCGGTCAAGCACATCCCCTATCCCACCGGCGAGGATCTCATCCGGTCTGCCAAGCTGTTCCTCGGTCGTCCGTATCTCTGGGGTGGTACGTCGGGCTATGCCTTTGACTGCTCTGGTTTCACGCACACCTTGTACGATGCCCATGGCATCACCGTCCCCCGTGATGCCGATGCCCAGGCAGACTTCACCGGCCATGGCAGCCCTGTTGATCGCGCGGATCTGCAGCTCGGCGATCTGCTCTTCTATGCGGACAATACCAGCGATCCCAGCACTATCTACCACGTTGCTATGTACGCGGGCGATGGCAATATGGTCGAGGCGTACGATTCCGGCACTCCCATTCGCGTTACTCCGGTGCGCTTCAATGAGGATTACTGGGGTGCCGAGCGATTCCTGCATTGATGGTTTGATTCTGTATATACAATAGCCTCATAGACATGCTCATGTACATACACACCCACTACTGTGCCAAATATATTAAACATGCTCGGGCCTATTGTTGTGGAATATGCATGTAACTCAGGGAAGAAGGGCAGAACGAAACTGTATCGGCTACACGTACGTAGCCTACTAAGGAACGGATGCCATTTTTCTTGTCTCTATATCCCTCGCTCTACATACAATCAGGGGCTCGGATTCTCAGGGGTTGGAGAGGGAGCCAAGCCGCCATACCACGTGACCTTTTCCATATCACCTATCAATCAACTCACAAAGAGCATCAGAGCGTTGCGATATTCCGCAGTAGTATCTGTGTCCAGATACCTCGTAGTGATCTAGAACTTAGAAGGAGTCTGGAAGTTGACGTTAGGCTTGTTTATGCCCGTAAGCCGAGCCTTGAATAGTATCGTTTCTGTTGTATCACGTGGGATTCTGCCGCATAGGTCCGCCCTCGCTGACCCTTTCCACCACGTAGACCTATCTAGTAACCAACGATATACCTCCATTAGTTTCTCCTCATGGTCTATCTCCGTACGCATCACGTAGCCTCTACCAAGCATGAATATGTGGCAGCGATTGTGTCCCGTCCACGGATCATGATCATGGACGAGGCGACTGCATCCATGGACATGGAATCGGATGCGCGCATCCAGCGGTCAATCCGAGAGGATATCCAAGGGTGCACTTTGCTGGTCATTGCGCATCGACTATCGACCGTTGCGGATTTCGATCGGATCCTCGTCATGGATGACGGGAAGGCAGTGGAGTTTGATACGCCGGCAGCGCCGATGGGTATTGAAGACGGCATTTTCCGGGGATTAGTGGAGCAGAGCAGCGACAGGGTAGGGATAGAGCGGGTGGTATTTAAGTCATAGCTCTAATGGAATAGAATGACGACCGACCTCATGCCAATGCCAGGCAAAGTAGCTGTCGCTGGCCCTGGGAAAGGTTCCAACCTCCTTCCGAGATCGGGGAGGAAAGGCTCAGGAAGGATTCCACGTTGGAATCGGTTTCAGTCTCGGCTTCCTCTACTGGTGCCGGGTAAGCCTTGTTCAGGGCACCTTGAAGTTCGTTCCCATCGTAGCGATCGAATGGGTCTAGCACCTCCCGCACGGTGCCTGAGAATACGACTGGATGTTTTGCGTGGGACCATGAGGCTTCCCTCAACAACTTCGGCTTCCCCTATGATAGACTGAAGAAGCAGGGTTTTGTCTGAGCCAGTTCTGCCCAATACAACACTGAGTTTTCCAGATGGGAAATCAAGGCAGAGGTCTTTCAAGCAGAATGTGCTCTGCGCCTCCTCAGACTCCTCTGTCAGCCAAGTTCTTGTGGCTTTTCTGAACGAAATCGTATCACCAGGCAATCTATCATCACCGCGTTCTTGCAAACCCAGAAATTCCTCCACCCATCAAGCGCTTACTGTTGCATCAGACAATTCTGTCAGCAAGTCCAGGAAGATTGATAGTGTATGTTGCATGCCTTCAAAAATTGAAATGGCAGTGAAGACTGTTGATGTTGTGACCTTGTGGTTGATCATGACATATGTTAGCAAAGACATAACGCTCATGCAAATCGGCCTGAATAACCAGATGGCTACCATGGTAAGACTGAACCAAAATACTGCACATTGGTATGAAAGCTCAGTCTGACACAGCTTAAATGTTTTATTGGACCACCCCCTTTCTATTGAGCTGAATTTGACCTGTCAGATTCCTTGCAACACTTCAATAAGCACAGCAGACTTTTTATCACATAACTTCATTAAAGTTTTCTCGGTATCTTCATCAAAAACGGTATCCCCAAAGTCATGTCAAGTGATGTTATGGCTATAAGACACAAAGTTGGAGATCTTATCAGTATTGATACCAGGAAGATTGAGAATAGAGTTCTTTGTCTTCAGAGGACTATCTTTGTCAGTTTCCATCCCAGTAAGCATTTGGTGCCCAGGGAATCAACAGATTGGTTAGTGTTAGGATGAATGCCACTGGTACCTGGATCTAAATCAAAATTCTATCCAGCTTGGAAGGCTCTAAATCTTCCTGTGACCAATTCAATGTATTTATGAAACTGACCACAGCCCTTTCCACTAGACACTACTATCGTGCTGTAGTATCTCAGAATGTATCTGTCTTGACATCTGCTGCAGGTGACAAGAACGCATTCTTAAAATAAAATAACGATCTTTTTTTGATTAGCCATTGCCATGTCCAACTGGGATACCTGCATTGTCGCTTACCCAAGTAGCCAGTTGTAAAATTTGGGACGTCCATGGTGTACCGGTTCAACCATTGCCAACCACGTGGAAGTCAGTACTGAGAGAGTGATAATGGCGGCAACAACTGCAAGAACAATCCTTTGATACACAGCTTTCGATGAATAGGTCAGCACATATTCATCGGAAGAGTCGGTGCTGGTATCCACTAAATCTTGGTATCCTTTCCCGGGTTGAGCCACAATGGGTTGGCGCACATGAGGGATAGAAAACAAGACTATCAATGCCAACACTACAGCGAAAATGCTCTCCGAGCACTGGGAGATCGACTCGAAAAGGTCCATGGTAAGGTGGATATGTTGTTCAGGACACCCGAAGAGAGTGGAAGGCAGGCTCCATTGCGTCTTTTAAAGAAACAGGAGGTCAAGAGTTAAATAATAATAAAATAAAATAAAAGACATCTCAATAGACAGGATTGTGATTTAAAGAGTCTCTGCTGCAGCTTACTAGCTGCAGCCTTGTACCTCCAGAGTCAATATAATCAGATTGTCTTGTCGGTATCCATTTTGGGACATTGGACATGTAAGCAAAATAGGATGCTATGGAATAATTATTCAATAATGGCAACTGATTAGAAAGTGTTGCTGGCATACTGAGTAGACAAATATCAAATACTGAAGGATGTATGGAATTAGTGAACACTGCTTATTTACTTGGAGAACGGAAATCCAGACATCTTCCGCATCCGGCTTAGCCCCGACACATGACGCAGCAATCATGATCGATAACAACGTATTCGTATGTTCAGCAGAAGACAGCGTCCATCAAGAATAATACATCTGTCGACCTACGCACTTAAATCTTGAGTATATCCCATCATCTTTCGCTCGGACCACGAGTTCACGCCCAGACGCTGCAAGATGATCAATGCCGTCCTGGTTTTCAACAACAATGGGCAGCCACGTCTTACTAAATTCTACACGCATATCGTGAGCTTCAACTGTGGTCGCCGAGAACTACAATAAAGCCAGATTCGTTGCTGACATGGAGATAATTCGATTTCACTAGGACACGCAAACCAAACAATCACTCATATCACAGATTTATCATTTGGTCTCCCAACGCCCACCGAGTGCCTGTAATTTCCTCCCCTTGCCGCCGCTACTATCTCAGGGTGCTCGTCCGAAAGCAGCAAATGGGCCTTCTGATGCTCCCACTCAGATTACCTACCGAACATACGCTACGTTGTCGTTTATCATGATCTCCACATCGACCGAATCCCCTCTCGCCCTGATCGACTTGATTCAGGTCTTTGTCGAAGCGCTGGATCGTATCTTCGAAAACGTTTGCGAGCTGGATTTGATTTTCGGGTTCGAAACTATGCATGCTGCTCTAAACGAGATGATCGTGGGAGGCGTCGTCGTAGAGACTAATATCGATAAGATCGTCGCGGGGGTCCGAAATCAGGAGGGAAATCTGGGCAAGAGGAAAGCCATTCAGGCAGCGAGCTCTGTTGGGCGCGGTGGAATCGCTGGGCTGGGTGGCTGGCGCTAATCCGGCGTGTCCCTATGCGCAGGTACAGAATGAATTCATACAATGACTCGCATGGAGCGTATTTTACTTGTGGAGTTTTGGCTTAGATATGACAGGAATTTGGAGGCGTCCAATGGGTTGTTTTGTTACCATGTTCCATCGATGCATCTACCGTTGTAGCCTGAGGCATTAATAATTATATACAAGTAGGGTTCAGCCCTTTATCACGTGTTAATAAGCTCGCCGGCTCGCTTGTTTTTCCGCACTAGCGTGACCCACGAAGAAAGCATTTCTGCTGCATCTCGATTTTCTTTCCTTTTGTTCCCTCGTTCTTCTCGTCAATCCCCAGTCGCCCAGCCCAGCGGATACTTAATCGACAACAATGGTAAGCATTTAACATTCAGTTTGGCTTGTTGAGAAGTCTCGTACAGAACAACCTTCGTCACCTCTGCGAAATGTCCTGAGACAGTTTGTTCCGTCTCGAACCCGCAGGTTTCGAAGTGTTTTCCGCTGATTGCGCACGGAATCCTTACATGGATGCGTATGCATTCAGTGATGATTTGGCTGGAGTATCGAAGGTAGTGCAAGTAACATTGCGCTACACTCGTGCTCTCTAGAGTTCAGAGAAGATGCAGCATTTGGTGGATGCGATTTGCTGATCTTCTTTTCTCAATGACAGCCTCCCAAGTCCGGAAAGAAGGCCGCGCCTCTGCCTTACCCTCAGGGTAAGGCTGGTGCTAGCAAGAAGGCTGCCAAGGTAAATACTATTCCTTCTCCCATTCATCTATGTCAGTAGAAAATGCATTCGTGAGACTAACGTTTCGATAGAACCCTCTCCTCGAGAAGCGCCCTCGCAACTTCGGTATTGGCCAGGACATCCAGCCTAAGCGCAACCTGTCCCGCTTCGTCAAGTGGCCCGAGTATGTTCAGCTGCAGCGCCAGAAGAAGATCCTGAGCCTCCGTCTCAAGGTCCCTCCGGCTATTGCTCAGTTCCAGAACACCCTCGACCGTAACACTGCTGCCCAGACCTTCAAGTTCCTCAACAAATACCGCCCTGAGACCAAGGCCGAGAAGAAGGAGCGTCTTCACCAGGAGGCTACCGCTGTTGCTGAGGGCAAGAAGAAGGAGGACGTCAGCAAGAAGCCGTACAATGTCAAGTACGGTCTTAACCACGTCGTTGGCTTGATTGAGAACAAGAAGGCTTCTCTTGTCCTCATCGCCCACGACGTCGACCCCATTGAGCTGGTTGTCTTCCTTCCCGCTCTCTGCCGCAAGATGGGTGTCCCTTACGCCATCGTCAAGGGCAAGGCTCGTCTCGGAACTGTTGTCCACAAGAAGGTATGTTCTGTTAGACAATCTTGTACTGTAACCTTCAGTTCTAACTTCTATGTAATAGACTGCTGCAGTCCTGGCTGTCACTGAGGTCCGCTCCGAAGATAAGACCGAGTTCGCCAAGCTCCTCACTGCCGTCAAGGAGGGCTACTCCGATAAGTACGAGGATGCCAGACGCCACTGGGGTGGTGGCATCGTCGGCTCCAAGGCCCAGGCTCGCATTGAGAAGAAGCGCAAGGCCGCTGAGGCTGCCGTCAAGATCTAAATGCAATAGCAACAACTCCGGACTCTAATGAAAAAAAGTCTTCTGTTATTGCGTTTCATGATCGAAAAAATTTTTTCCTTCTAAAAAGGGCAAAGGCATGTGTTTCGGGACTCCTAATGATTTGTCGCGACGGTTTTTTAGCTAGCTGGGTGAAGAGGATTATCTTCTGGCAACCCTGTCTGTCCCTAAAAACAAACCAAATGAATCCGTCTTGATGGCTTCTGATTTATTGATCGTTATTGCAAAATTTTTTATGTATACGTTGCAGATACCCGTGAATGCATTTCAGACCTAACATTCAACACACCGGATCATTATAGCATTCATGTGACGTCTGCTTCTGTAGAATAAACGAATATCGCCAATTTGAAGGTAAATCCATCCCGTGGCAATTGTCACTACGAACGAGCCGATATGAAATGAAAACAAACGAAAGTACTTCGCGCATCGCCATGCATGCCACCCTATTGACTGATGCAACCATTACCACACCCCTGCTTGTATGCTTTATTCAAAGCAAAAAGAAACAAGTCCACGACAGAAAAGGAAAGTGTTTTAAGGTAGAAGAAACCCTTGTCAAGAGAAGCCGAGAGAAGCAATGGGTATTCATTGTAGCAAAAAAGGAAGACATTATTGCAAACCGAGGATACTTGAAGAAAATAATGAGCCAGATCCATCCCAAAGAACATCCGTCGTCAAAACCATCACTCTTGCCGCCATCACATATTAATTGGCATTAGGAGGAACAAAAGAAACAGAATGGAACAAAAAAAACATTTTTTGGTCATGTTTCAGCGTTGGCCATGTCGTCCGAGACCTTGTCTTGCCTATTTGAGTGACCGCAACATTGAAAATCAGCCTTCGCTTACCTACTACAACTGAGAGGGGGGAAGAGAGGACAAACCTTCATTTGCTCAATTCGTGCCTTCAGCTGGCTTGTTACCTCCGCTGCCCTCTTCCAATTTTCTGCCGGCTCAGTAGGTCTTGTAGAGTTGTGTTCATCCCTCGAACCTACTCCAGAGCCTAAGGTCGAGCGAGTCGGGCTTCCGATGCCACCGTAGCTTGCTCCAAAGCTAGGGCTCAGTTTTCTCCGACTGAAGCTTCCTTCTCTACTGAGACGGCTTGGGGATTCCGATCCCGTATTCTCCTTCTCCTCGCTTGGACTGGCTGAGATGTAACTCCGAGGTCGCTCACTCTCGAACCTAGAACCCATATGGAAACCAGCTCGAGAATGAGACACGTATCCATTACCAGCAGATTCGTGATATATCGAACCAGCATCAGAGAAGCCCGTGCTGAACCCGTCTGGACTGCCAGCAGAGGAGCGAAGTGCTCTTGTGAGTTCACGTTTCAAACGTTCAATATCTCTCTGTTGTTTTTGAACAGTCTGTTCCGCAGCCTCAGCGTCACTCCGTGCCCGGACCAATTGTGTCTCTTTCGCCTTGATACTAAGGACATCCCGTGTATGGTCTTCAATTAGCTGTGCATTCTGATTTTGCAGCTCCGCCACTTGCGACTTGAGCTTTGTCCTTTCGGATCGTAGATCTTCAACCATCTTGGTGAAGCGCTCACGTTCCAGACGCAGTTCTTCGAGCTCAGCCCGTTCGATTGCAGAGATGCCGATCGTCGGGGGAGATGTGGGAGCAGGTGCCGGTTCAGCAGGTGCAGGAGCCAGTGGTTTTGCTATCGGACGGCCAGCAAGTCCCCGTCCAAGACCAAATTTGGGAGCGGGTGGTGATGTTGGTGCTGCCGCCTCTGCCGCTGGAGGAGAGACAACTCGTCGTGGAGATGCCAGGCGCCCCAAACCGGGTGCCGGTTTCTTGAGACCAGAGCCTGGTGTTGGAAGACCACCAGCCTTCGGACCAGATTTCGGAATAGCTTTGGTTGCTACTGATTTTGGCGGGGCTGGAGCAGAAGGTGGTTCCTCGGCACTGCGCACAGCTGGAGCTGGTTTCTTTAAACCAAGCGTCGGTTTCTTCCCTGGGGCTGCCTTCTTACCGGACGGAGCTACTGCCGTTTTGGGCGGGCCAACAATTGGCTTGGGCCGATCTTTTGCCTTGACTTGAGCGGTTTCAAAGTACTCCTTGATCTTTGTCTTCCTAATATCGTCCAGACCGTCTATATAAGGATTCATCGCCCGCTCGCCCAGTATCTTCATCAGAGTACCGAGTATTTCTGCACCTCCTGAACGAATAACCTCACTGGATTCCGTAAGAAGCTTAATAGCTGCTTCAGCTATTGATTTCGCCTCCGCCTTAGAAGGCACATCTCTCGTAGTTCGGAGACAGCGGATGAGAAATTTCACGGTTTCCTGTTTCACTTGTGGATTCTTGTGTTTGAGGAATTCAAGCGTATCTTCCAGACACTCGGTTAAATCGGTCGATGCAAAAACTGAGTCCAGGGCCTGACCGAGGGCATCCGCAACACTTTGCTTTTTCTCTTTCAAACGCTCCATCATAGGAGCCATGATCGTCGCTCGATGTTTACCAAAGTCCTTCCGGAGACCCTTGGCCAACAGATCAACACAATTGGCAGCCACAGTGACAACAGCAACGTTGGCGTCCTTCATGCACTTAGCCAATGCCCTGACTATTTCATCGTATGGCCCATCCTTGATCCTTGGGACATTTAGCACGCCATGAAGCGCGTCGAGGGCTTCTTTTCTGTCCTTCCATTTAGACGAGGATAGCTGTTCATGAAGGTCCTTAGGCACTTTCGGCATTATATCCACGGGCTCCGCGAGGTCAAAACCATCTACCTCACCACCATCCTCTTCTGCATATTCTTCTGCATCCTCTTCACCACCATCTTCACCGGCCGCGGGGGGTGGGGCCTCCTGCTGAGACCTTGTGAGTCTCTCCTGCTTCGGCGGTGCCTCCTGCTTGACATTTTCAAATAGTTTATCCAGATCCTGCTGCTGGACAGGTTTTAGTTCACCAAAGAAGACTGGTTTTATTGCTTCCTTCAACCATCTGTAGAGCTCCACGGTCAGGTGTTGTGCTTCGGCACGCACGTTCTTATCGGCATGCCCGAATACCTTGGGCAAAGCCTTCAGAACCGGTTTCGGATCGGCAATCTTGACTCCAAAATTGTGATATATAGCCGTCAATGCAGCTAATGATGCGGCAATGACCTTGGGTACTTTGTGTGAAAGCATGGGAAGAATCTCCTCGATGACAGGATTCGCGGTGTTTTCTATTTCGACGCAGAGTAGGATAGCTTCAAGAGCATTGGCCTTTGCAGCAGGCCTCGCGGAGGGAAGGCCCTTTTCGGCAATCGCAGCGATCGTAGTTCCGCGGGTCCTATAAGAAAAAAAAGTAAAGGCATTGTGAGCTAGCTATCCAGGGAAACGGAGTGCAACCACATGAGATAGAAAAACATACCTGGTACATGCTTGAAGGCCCCCGAATTTTAGAAAGGAGCAATATGCAGCTAGACCGTCCTGTTGCGCTGCAACGTTCGAGTCTGCAACCGCGCCTTTCCACAGGCCCGGATCTTGTAAAAATGGAGTGAAGACGGAATCTGATTCATCCGCAGTCTTCTCAAATTCCTTTTTCGCATCTTCATAGCCTGCTTTCCTGACCTTCCAGACCTATATATCGCGCCATGCGTCAGTGACAGGCTCCTATGGTGGTGGGCGATCCAAGACAAAACGAAACTGTCAAGGGACAGACAGCTAACCTTGTGGGCGAATCGGTCTGGTAATGGTAAAGAAGAGAAGTCTGCCTCAGCTTCAGCCATGTTGGCAGATGTGAGGAATAGGATGCGATCTGTTCAGCTGTATTTCTTCTTAAGAGAGTAGTACATTGATCAGCCTCCTGCAAACCAAAGCGCACATGTTTGAGTTCAGAGCATGTCGGTCTGTGTGTAGAGCAACCGGGTTTCACTTTGATAAATATGGATAAAATATATCCAGGATGGGATCCTTTAAGATCCAGGAGAGAGAGAACCAGTATACGCACCTCTGGCAGTGACTGTGGCTGATGAGATCGCGTGGTTATGGCTAGATAAACAACAGTACAGCAGGCCCAAACAGACTGGAGAAACCCAATTGTGGGCAGGGAACTGGTAAGTCTGTTCTATGAGAAATGCGGATAAAATGAAGATAGAGGACCCTTCTGGACATGAAGTCTGAGAAAGGAGAGGGCAAAGGTGAAAGAAGAGAAGGGTGAGGGTGTTCTTAGAGTCTGTCTAGGAAGAAAGCCAACAACAAGCGGAGGCGAAAGCAACCCGGAGAATTCAGAGATTCCAGTGAAAGTGCCACAGTTAGTCCCCATCCGCTGAGTGTTCATTTAATGCCATCTTACAACAGCTTCCTGCTTCTCCTTTTGGTCTTTTCTTTGTTTCTCTCTCTATCTAATAGGACACTCCATCTACGCAGAACCAAAAATGGCTGCAATCGCATCTTTGTGGCCCGTTCCCACCGCAACCAGCTCTTTCTTGGCCCGTCCATTGTGCAGTTGAAATGCTGTCTGCAAGTCATATTCCGCTGTATTTTTTGTATCAATGACAGATGCAAATCAATCTTAACATATCTCTCCCCTGCATAGCCGCGTCAGAAGCATACCAGTTTGTTGCAGAAGTAGCCGTAGCCGGACAAGCTTCTGAAGACCGACAGTGTCGGAAACATGGGCACAAAATAACCAACTCAATTCAATATAAATACACTTGATCTCGCCCAATGTCAAGAATAAAACAGGAGGTTCTCGAAAGATAAAACAGCCGGACAGGATAATCGAACACGAATTCAGGCCTCAGTAACACTTTGCGCAGCAGAAGAGGAATCCAAAGCTGCGACACCCCTCCGTTCGATCAACCCCTTAATCCTCCCAACATATTCTTCAGTGACCACATTACCACCTTCCTGAGATGATGCCCTCCTCTCCGCCCTCCTCTGCAACTTCGCCGCCCTCTTCAACGACCTCTCCATGTCCCTCTCTTCCCTCGACAACACAGCCGGCCGTTCCTCCACCGACAACCCAAACGGCGCAATGATCCTCTCCACAACATGATGCACCCGTCTGCCCTTCGGATATCCAGAGGAAAACTCAATCACATCCCCCTCCCGCAGCGAGTTCCGCGGATCCGAAACAAGGTACGTCGTTACCCTGGGGTAGAATTTTCCGATCTGCTTGTCCCAGGTTGTGTGTCTGTGGGCGACGCGGACGGTGCGGTCCATTCGGCCTGCTGAGACTACAGTGCCGGTCTTGAGGGTGTAGGGATATTGGCGGATAGGAACTGCAAGTTGTTGCTTTTGTTTTTGTTCTTCTTGTCCCTGTGCTTGTTCGGGTTGGACCTCCTGCTCTTGTTGTTGGGTCGGCTCCTGCTCTGGTTGTTCATTTTGCGCGGTAATTGTCGTTGAGAAGCAGGCTCGTTGGAGAGAACTCGTGGGGATACTTTGGCTTGTTCTTGTCGACTTGAGGAAGGGCGCGTGTGTTATTCTGCTTGTCGTCGATGATCCGGAAACGATCGATCGCAGGGGCAGCATCGCCCGGAAGAAATTGTTCGGAGGCATTATCGTATTTCAATGTAAGAGTTTCACGCAACGCGGTTTAGATCAGGGATGTCCTAATATTTGTGCACAAGACTGGTCCGGTCTATCTGTATGTATCTGGCGGGATTCAGTCAAAAAGCGTCCGGATAGCAGGCATGCAATGATCCGAGGCTTCACTAACCCAGAACCGGCTTTCAGTGCCTGCCCGTTCGATTTAGCCACTGATATTAGACTTCTCCAATCAAGAATAGTGACAATTGCCTCGTGCAAAGAGAGTCGTTGGCCAGGTAAGATAATCGGGTTGCGGAGGAATTCAATTCTTCGAACAGCGTGTTTGCACCGTTTGTCTTGCTCGTGTCCGCCATTCTCCAGAGCATAACGTGGGTAATTACTGCTTACAACACTCCACAGAACAAGCAAAACGTTTTAGAATCCTTCAGAGTGGCAGTATTATTCAGTTCCCCAGTCGACTACCTAATTAGCTAACCCTATCGCCAAACGCCACTGTAGTCTAGCCCGAATGCCTTGGGACCATGCGAGGAGAGGAAAGCCCAGTTACCGACCGGAATGCCCAACGTACAACCAACATGCCCAACCTTTCCACGGGACTAAACAAAAATGATATTGTCATAAGACTCCATATGATAGGGGATTTTGAATGCGAAAGAAGAAAAGAGCCAAGGAGAAGGTAAAATTATTACGCCCCATCCATTCATACGTTTCCATGCAACGTCAGCCGGTAGTGAGTCACGCCAACTGTATCTCCTTGTCTTGGACATTGGTCGCAGTCAGATGTTCACCCACATGTGCACTGGCCGCAAGGGCAGCCTTTTTGTGAAATTTCCTCTCTGATTGGGAGGATATCCTGGTGAGTTCGGTGACAAATGAATGGCCCCAGAAGGCACTAAAACGTGTCAGTGATTATTATCCACACAGAAAATGAAGCAGAAATACTGCAATCATCCGGTCATACCTGGTATATTTGGATACATATTTGTCCAATTTGGAGAAGTTGAGCGTTCTTTGCTCTTCACTCATCGTCACAGCCTCTTGGTATGCAGCGGCCAACTCCTCCGTGTTCCAAGGATTGATGATTATGCTGCCGTTAAGGCTCTGGGCTGCCCCAGCGAATTCTGAGAGCACCAAAACACCATGGCGCTTTTGTTGTGCCGCAATATATTCGTAGGCAACGAGATTCATCCCATCACGGGTAGAGGACACGATACAAGCATCTGAGACAGCATACAGAGCAAGAAGCTCATCAAAATTGACGGACTTGTGCATGAAATGGATGGGCATGAATTCAACCGTTCCTGCTACGATTAGCAAAGTGGACTGTATCGGAATAGATCAAGAACGAGGCAAACAGAGAGGAAATAGCATTGACTTACCGAATTTGCCGTTAATTCTACCAACCAATTCGTTCACCACTGCTCTCAGATTCTGGTATTCCTCGACATCCTGCCTGCTGGGAACTGCGACCTGGACAAGAACAACCTTGCCAACCCACTCTGGGTGATCGCTGAGGAAGACCTCCAGCGCGTGCAGTTTCTGAGGTACGCCTTTTATATAGTCAAGACGGTCAACCCCTACCATGAGCTTGACCCCTTGGAACTTCTGCTCAAGCGCTGCAATTCGTTTCTGGACCTTCTCTTTCTTCAATCCTTCCTTGAACTTCTCCGGATCGATACCGATTGGGAAGGCCCCACAGGCAACGATCTTGCCTTGAAATTCGATGCCATTGGGAGTAGTTGGTAGCCCACTTGGGCTCAAGTCAGTTTCTACAAGCTTCGGAGGAGGGCTTTTTTATGGCAGGACCACGCTTACAGCAAACGGGAGCAGCTGCTCAAGAAATGCCTTGCATAGTCATAGGTGTGAAAGCCTATGAGATCACAATGCAGGACACCAAGAAGTAATTCGTTCCGGACGGGAAGGATCCTGTAGATCTCGCTACTGGGGAAAGGCGTGTGTAGGAAAAAGCCAATCTTGATGTTTTCCTTGCTGGACCCAATCTCCTCACGGAGTAATTCGGGTAGCAGCATCAGGTGGTAGTCATGAACCCAGATCAGGTCACCATCTTGGACTTCCTTAGCGACTGCTTTGGCGAAGAGGCGGTTTGCTTCCTTGTATGCTTCCCAGGCCGATTCATCAAATGTGATCTCACCAGGGTGGTAGTGGAATAGTGGCCAGAGGATGGAATCTGATCAGCGTGGGGGGGAAGGCATGTCAGCAGACTTGAAGCATTTAAGGGGGAGAGAGGAGAGAATGGATGAACAAACTGGAAAACCCATTGTAATGCCGATCGGCCAGTTCATCATCAATAAACACTGGAACAGCACCATATTCATCCTTCAGACGCTGCTTAACCACGGGGATCTCCTCTTCTGGCACCTCCAGACCCGGCCAACCATACCATTGGAATGTTGTTGTTTTGGACAAACCGCTCAAACCACTGACGAGGCCACCGGAAGACATGGAAAAGTCATATTTGCCGTCTTCAGAGCGTTTTATCGTGATGGGTAATCGGTTTGATACGAGGAGTAACCTGGAGGTATTTGGGGCGTCGTTCTCGAGAGAAGGCATTGTGACAAAGGGCGAAGAGGAAAGGATACGGAAAGAAAATGGGCGCGCACGGCGACAGTTGTGCTTAATAGATTATAGGTCCAGAGAGACACGGGGTGTACTGTACACCGAAGAGTAAGTCAATGCGAAATGGAGCAGTCAACGCCAGAGACAAAAGGCTATGGTATTGCAAGGTAAGGAGAGGTAGAAAGGCCTGGCCCACCTGGGGGACGAATGAGCTGGGGGATGCGAAGGAGAAAATAAGAGACGACTGCAACCCCGGAGACGTCAGTCCATGGGCAGCAGAGAGAGCCGAATTGGGGATGCAACAGCGGGAAAGAAGGTTGGATGGTGGGGAAGGCGATGATTGAAATATGATGGTGACGATGGCGATGGGAGCTCAGCGGGAGCAGCTGTGACGGTGACCTCACAGCGGACGCCTCAGGCAGCGTTACAGTAATAGTACCCTTACCCGTCTTTGGTATTACCATTGTCGACACCACGTGGGCAGCTTCTGTGATATCATAGCATTATATTCTTCTTGTTACTTGGGCATGTTCTATGCTACCTAGGTAGGTATGCTATATTCTGCAGGAAGCAGACTGCAGATGCATGGCAACGCAATCAGGATCATGCAAGTGTTCCCTTCTGCCGATTGACAGGCTGAGTCTAGACACCTGCAGTATTGCAGTATCGCCACTGTAATTAATTATGGCGGATGTGAATTATGAATAAGTCCCAGGAATCATCATGATTCATCGTCCACTTTGTCCAAATAAGCTTGGCTGCACCCCGGAGTTTCCCGAGTTTAGATCAGTCCATCTTATCGTAACCGTTGAGGCATCTCCACTTGCAGCATAACGCATACGGTATATACGAGGTAGAATCCTGCTAGAAGCATATTATGTTAAAAATAATTCTATCAATAATCCATCACAGTGCAGGTCTCCCGCTACTAAAAGTCCATTTCCCCGACACAGAATCATGCACCGTACGGCCCTCATCTTCCAGTTTCATCAACACCTGCAGCACTCCATGCGAGGCAGCAACATGTAGACTCTCGGGGATATCCTGATAGATAATTCTCACCAACTCAGGAAGCTCCCAGGATGTCTTCCTCTCCGGCGACTGCTCCTGATCAGAGACATCAAGCTTCCCATACCGCAGCAATTGAACGATCTCATCTTCCCGCTGCTGTCGATGCTTGATGTAGTCCGATATCCTAGCCCTTGCATTCGGAATAACAGCTCCATGGCCGGGATACGCCCGGCCCGAAACGAGATCAAGCATCTTCCGCAGACTCGTGACATAGTCACTTAGGTTTTCAAAACTAGAGGTCCCATGGCCCAATACATCTGGCAGGAGTCAGTTGACCTGGAGATAACAAGAAGACTAAGGAAAAGCGCAGCAACTGACTGTCAGCCGTGAAAATAGCATCCTCCTCTTCAAGCACAAACACCATATGGTCATAGGCATGACCCGGTGTGTAATGCGCTCTCAACGTTGCTCCTTCGACCCTGAATACCTGCCCATCCTCAATGTCCGAATGTCCCTCCTCATCGGGCTGGTTCTTGTACACAGTCGCCTGTGGACAGATCTTGAGCAGGTCAGAAATCCCATTCACATGGTCTTTGTGCCAGTGTGTGATAAGAGCCTGGTGCACTGTCGCGTTCTCCTCCTGCAGCACTGTTCGAAGCAAAGATGTCCAGACAGGCTTACCCTCCCCTGTGTCGATCAGAATTCGCCTCTGTCCTCGTCCAACGAGATATGTGTTTGTTCCTGTAGAAAATTTACCACCCATCAACAGCTGCGACAGAAATTTCATATCAAAATGAACTCTCTGGGTTTCTCACCTTGTAATGTAAACTAAATCCATAAATTCTAATTAGTCTGCTAAAATCTATGCACGATGTAATAAAAACCCACGGACATCGGGCATACCTTCCCAGGATTCCCGCCCAATATCCTCACGACAGAGGCACTGAGCCGCTCCACTTCTGGAAGTGGGACAAGTTGCGTCGCCATGATGAATACGTCAAGCACCTCTCCCGTTGAACCTGTTCCAACGATGGCGCAGATCCGAGAATTAGAAAAATACTGATACTAATCAGTGATCGCTACTTCATCAAGTACATGTATAGACTCCCGGTGGCGGGGTAGCGGATTTCGACCTCGGTAAGAATATGAGCTGAACTTATCTGTATCTTCTACGCCGTAGAATAACAAAGGCCTTATGTCAGCTCTACCATTTCTGACATTGACAAATCCTCTTCCCTGACGGTGTGCTTCTTCATCTAGGACTGCTTCAACAAAGTGTAAGGTGCATACTATCTATCTACATCAAATCTCGCATGGTCGGAGATGGCAGCTTCGTCTACTGTTGCAGACAATGTCCGAGGATGGTGATTCGCAAGATCAATGTACGGCAGAATTTTGGTTTTATATGGCGACAAGAGGCAAAGAACAGAACCAGAATCTAATAACGAAAAATATAGATGCAAGTTTAACCTGTACCAACTGAAGATAGACGAAAACACTATATCCATGATGCCGATCCAAACTCAGTAGGGAAATATAGGGCCAGAGAAAAGGAAAAAGAATCGTTAGTCTTTCAGAAACCCCACAAATTTCACCACCTCTCTTCCATATCCTAATGTTACACTCCCAAGCGACTCCACCTGATTCAAAAGTCACAACCTTCGTAATTACGTTTAGTGCTTGTTAGCAGAGTGGCGAGCCATGGTGTTCAGGGCAGATCCATCCTTGAACCACTCAATCTGGGACTCGTTGAAGGTGTGGACAAGCTTGATGTCGAAGGGCTTGCCATCCTTAGGGTGGACACGGAGGGTAATGGGCTTGCCGACAGCAAGCTCGGTGCAGAGGAGGTCAACCTTGTCATCAGGCTTGATCTTGTCGTAGTCGGCGGGGTCAGCGAAGGTCAGAGGAAGCATACCCTGCTTCTTCAGGTTGGTCTCGTGGATACGAGCAAAGCTGCGGGTGATGATGGCAAGACCACCAAGGTGTCTGGGTTCGAGGGCAGCGTGCTCACGAGAGCTACCCTCACCGTAGTTCCAGTCACCAATGACAACCCACTTGATGCCGCGGGCCTTGTAGTCACGAGCAGTAGCAGGAACAGCATCATACTTGCCAGTGAAGGCGTTCTTGACCTTGTTGGCTTCACCGTTCTCAGCGTTAATAGCACCAATAAGCATGTTGTTGGAGATGTTGTCAAGATGTCCACGGTACTTCAGCCATGGGCCAGCCATGGAGATGTGATCAGTGGTGGTCTTGCCCTGGCACTTGATAAGAATAGGGATGCCAACAGCATCCTTTCCATCCCAGGGGGCAAATCCTGCCAGAAGCTGGAGACGGTCGCTAGTGGGAGAGACGGCAACGTTGATGCTAGCACGCTCCTTGGGAGGAGCCTGGTATGTGTCACGGCCAGCATCGTAGCCCTTAGCAGGAAGGCCGTCACCGGTAGGAGGCTTGAGGAGGAACTCATTGCCGTCCTTGTCCTTAAGCTTGTCGGTGAGAGGGTTGAACTTCAAGGTACCGGCAATGGAGAGAGCAACGACGAGGTCGGGAGAGGTGACGAAGGCGTGGGTGGCGGGGTTGGCATCGTTACGGCCAGTGAAGTTACGGTTGTAGGAGGAGACGATGGTGTTGGGCTCGCCCTTCTTTACATCATGACGGTCCCACTGACCAATGCAAGGACCACAAGCATTTGCAAGGATCACACCTCCGAACTCTTCGAGGGTCTTCAGCTGACCATCGCGCTCGGTGGTGGCACGGATCTGTTCAGAGCCAGGGGTGATGGTGAAGAGAGACTTGGCCTTGATGCCGTGGTCAAGAGCATCCTGAGCGATGGACGCAGCACGGGACATGTCCTCGTAGGAAGAGTTGGTGCAAGAGCCGATCAAGCCGACCTTGACCTCCTCAGGCCACTTGTTGGCGTCAACAGCCTCCTTGAGTTTGGAGATGGGGGTGGCAAGATCAGGGGTGAAGGGACCGTTGATATGGGGCTCAAGCTCATCCAGGTTAAGCTCGATGAGTTGATCGTACTCGGCACCCTCGTCCTCACGCAGATCCTTGGCATATGAGCGGGCAAAGTCACCAATGTGCTGGCGCTTGGTGGCCTTCAGATAGTCGTACATGCGGTCGTTGAAGGGGAAGAGAGAAGTGGTGGCACCGATTTCAGCACCCATGTTGCAAATGGTACCCATACCAGTGCAAGAAAGTGAGTCAACACCAGGTCCATGGTACTCAACAATGGCACCAGTACCACCCTTGACAGTGAGGAGACCAGCAACCTTCAGGATGATATCCTTGGGCGCAGTCCATCCGGATAGCTTGCCGGTCAGCCTGACACCAATGACCTTGGGTGCCTTCAACTCCCAAGGAAGACCGGCCATGACATCAACAGCATCAGCACCACCAACACCGATAGCAGCCATACCGAGACCACCGCCGTTGGGGGTGTGGGAATCAGTACCGATCATCAGACCACCAGGGAAAGCATAGTTCTCTAGGAGAATCTGGTGGATGATACCGGAACCAGGCTTCCAGAAACCAATGTTATACTTTGCAGTCGCAGAAGCAAGGAAGTCGTAGACCTCCTTGTTGATCTTGTTGGCACGTTCAAGATCCTTTTCGCCTCCAATCTGAGCTTCAATCAGGTGGTCACAGTGGACGGTGGCCGGAGTCTGAACGGAGGGCATGCCAGCGGACATGAATTGCAGGATGGCCATCTGAGCAGTAGCATCCTGGCAAGCAACACGATCAGGGCGCAGCTTGAGGTAAGACTTGCCGCGCTCGATGTCTTGGCCATGAGGGTCATCAAGGTGAGAGTACAGGATCTTCTCCGCGTATGTCAGAGGGCGGTTCAGACGGCGGCGGACAATTTCCAAGTTCTCGGACATCTTCCTATAAAGATGGCAGTCATGTTAGCCCATTGCTCAAGTCGATCTGAGCGTGCTCCCCGAGGAACCGGCTAGCTGCAGCGCTAGAGCAGAAAAAGAGAGGATCTCTCTTACTTGTAGTTGATGTAGTTGCCCTATAAAAACGTCATTAGCTATGATTCTTCGGACCCGGCGTAGCCGAGGATAATGCCATGTGACGAATGCACCACTCACAGTTTCCCAGTTGGTCATCTCGACCTTCTTGTCGAGGGGATCGCTAACGGTGGCCATACCACGGGTCCGGAGCAACTGCGTAAAGAAGATCAGGTTAGCAACCATTATCCAGTGGAAATCGAGATTGCACGAAGCAATCCTGTCGATAAATGGTGACCGCTTACAAGCCGGGACCTCGGGGCCTGCAGAAAGACGACAGTTAGCTTTTCAATCCATGCGAACCAACGGAAAATAAACAGCAGTCTGGATTTGACACTGCAGTAACTGGTTGCACTACAGAGGGGGAGGAAGAGACTTACCAGACCACCCGCGCGCGCGAGTCTGGTCGAGATCATTATGAACGAAGCTCTCTTAGACAGTAGGAAGCAGACTGTGTGGCATTCAAGGACAGAGAGGGCTCATTCAAACAGCAACAGCCAGCATCAGCTGTCGAAGTAGGAGGAGTGGAGTGGGGAGAGAAAGACAGATGAGAATGAGAGGAAGAAAGAAGAGAAAGACAGCAGCAGGACGAAGAGAAGAGAAAAAGAAAGGGCTGTTTTTAATATGCGTGGGGAGGGAGAACCGGAGCAGACAGCCGTAACCGCCACGGGACGACGACAATACCATTTCCGCGAGTGGACGTGTATTTCGGCAGTGCTGCGCTGGTAATTTTGGATACGCCCGGAGACAAGGAAGAGCCCACTGTAAACAGCGCAGAAAAAGTCCAGATTAACTCAGTTCCCGCCCATCCCGGCATGTCAGTCCCCAGTAATTGCTAAAGACCTTGCTGCGAGTGGCCTGTCTCTACCAGCAGAGAACAGGATTGACAGTGTTCTCTCTTTTGGGTCGCAGAGGCTACAAAGCCCATTACCGTACGTTACGCTACTTGGGGAAAGCTTGATGCCGCATGTGACGGCAGGGCCAATCATGCCGGCCCTGATTACAGCTTCATCTTCAGCTTCGGCGGTTGCCATGGCGAACGCTTCTGCGCGGCACCTCGTCCAAGGCTCAAGACTTGCACATCACAATGCCACCGGCCCTACACAGCTGCCAATGCTTGTTTTAGCCCAGCAGCGCGCATTCCGTATTGAAACTGCCAAGGGAGCATCCCAATGGCACACCACATGCTGAGCGCATGTCAACGTCATGCATCCAAACACTGCAATATCGTAATAACCCTGCTTTCTCGACGGAATTCGCCCGGAGGGAGCAATGTGGGAGGCCGAAGCAGAGCCGAGGCGTACCGAAGACCTGCGAAAGACCAGGTTCCCGCTGCCAAGATCCCTCAGCCGTAGCAACCAATGATGCGCGTGCAGTTTCAAAAAGATTTCTACCTGCTAAAAAAAAAAGAAAATAGAAAAAATGTTACCCATTATTGCGACGACCCCGCTCATCTACTTCCATTCTGCCGTGTATCGGTGCTTAGGATCTGCGGAAATTAAAAATTAATTAAGGGAAAAAAAAAAAAAAAGACGGGTCGACTGCTACTCTCGGTTATCAGATATCCAAGGATATCCAAAATGGGTGCCGTAAGAAGAATTAAGACCAAGCGCAGGACAAGGTATTCTTCCCAGTCACTACAGCAGACCTACTGGCCTTCTAGCTGAATACAGCTTCTGACAAACATCACAACCAATAGAGACTACGATCAAGTCCGACAGGATCTCGGTTCTCCAAAGCATCTTGCGCAGTACAAGGCCACCAAGGACGCGGAGGACCTCCCTGGTCTCGGGAGACACTACTGCGTCGAGTGCGCAAAATGGTTTGAAAGCGAATACAACCTGCAAGCCCACACGAAGGGGAAAAATCACAAAAGGAGGTTAGTTTTCAACGATGGGCGATTGCAAGGAAACCCCCGTGGTCTCTCAGATCGGTTTCCTTTTCTTTCCTTCGAGACGCTGACTGGAAGTGTCTACGATAGACTCCGTCTTTTGCGCGAGGAACCTCACACACAGAAAGTTGCAGAAGCTGCAATAGGCTTGGGAACAGATAACGGCCAGCGAGCTGAGCGTGTAGACATGGAGGACTAAGCTGGAGTACCATACTGCCATGAAGCGACTGGCATGAGCTTCAACTCACGCAGTCTACGGACTTCCGTATGCAGATACGACAATGCATTTAACGACCACGTCAATAATAAATAAGCAATAATAATGCAGATTCTCAACTGGATCCTTCCGCATAAAAATCTTCTCTTCCTGCCCTCAGGACACAAGGATATCACCTTTATGCCGAATACCGGAACCTCGATCCGTTTCTCCGGTTTGCGGTCCATGAAATCCAGTGCCTTAAACCGCCGCTTTTCGGAAAATACGATTATGGTAATATGCACCTCCGGTGGAACTTAACCGATGCTTACCGGTAACTACCTACCTAGGTATGTAGCTAGATTGTTTGCCATAGATAACATATGTACAGCGTACGGAAGGTCTTGATTCATGAGACAGCCTGACCTTGCGCCCCCTTCAATGGATTATTGTTGCTGTTGGTAAAGGCCTTCATAAGCCATTCGTACGTTGCCCACTGTGAATCGTGAGCTGAGTGGATTCATCATATATCGGTTTCAGAGATTAGGTAGTAGGTACTCACCTGGACCGCATTTACTATGAACGCCCTAAGACTGCAAACCCCTAGGCCACGATAGAAAACCTTCAATCCCTCCGTCCGATACACCTCCTTGGCAAGTTGGAGAGAACCAAGCGTCTTCCGGTTGCTCGCGGGCAGCAACGACTGACCTTCTAGCCAGGAAGAAGAATCCCCAATCGTCTGCGCCTGCAATCTTGTCTTTATCACATCCAGCGGGAACACCGATGCCCAGGTGACAATTCCAGCAATGCCCCCGCAAAGAAGGACCTTAATTGCAGCTTGTCGTGTATCTTCTTCTTCGGATGTCATTAGACGCTTGCAATATTCATAGGACCAGAAACTGTTGGGATTCGCGTAGGTAAATAAATATAACTCGTCAAAAAGCAAGTAATGAAGTGAAATTTGAGGGGGAAGGAAGGGGGAAGATTTCTTTCATACTAAAATCCATAACCGACCGAGTCTCTAATGCTGGTTATCACTCCCCCGTAGTAGAGTCCCCTGAAGCCTCCCGTGTGAATGATGTCCTTGGCAACGGTCCATGATGAAACCTCGGGACGGGAGTCCAGTTGCGCTCTGCATTTGATAAACTCTGTCGGCGACGAGACAGTCCAACTGGCCAGCCCACCTGCGGCACCGGCAAGCCAGATCTTGTATAGAGGTACGCTGTCAGGTGCTGTGGGGTTGGTAACTGAACTATCCAGAAGCATCAATGAGCGATTATAAGCGACAAAGAGCAGGGCATTCAGCGCTCCGTATCCGAGGATAGGAGCCGCAGCGCCTATTTATTCAAGTCAGCTTCTTCCAGTATCGTTACCGGGGGCGTAGATTATCACTGAACAGAAAGTGAATGGAAAGGAAAAGCCTGAGATATACCTCTCACAAGAGAACTGGCATTCTCCAAACCGCTCAGGCCCGGTCGTCTCGAGATATCCGCAGATTGGCCTGCTTGTAATCTAACTTTAACAAGATCTAGAGGGTTCCCAATGACAATCCCTATAGCCCCACTGAGGTAGCCCGCAAAGAAATCGGATGACATGGCCGGATTGATAACACAATCCCGCAATCGAGAGTTTGTAACCGTGTCAGTTGCTTTTCTTTCTTACCCCTCTGTTTTGTTATTTCTATGGAATTGCGGGGTAGCCCTAAAATAGCAAGCCCTAGCTAGTATTATTATCACATGACTTCACGACTTGAATGCTAGGGCTTGGCAGTTAACATGCATCCAAAATAAAAATTCCTGCGTGAAACCATTCGGCGTTAGCACTCCAAAATATCTGAAAACCTGTCCATTACTACTCATAGCATGATTATCTAGAAAGTACAATGTGCATGCTACACGGTGAGAAGGAAAAGAAGTTGTAGATAGATATTTGGTGCTAAGCCACTGTACGTCCCTGCGACGTATGAGATGTTGGTCACGAGGTAGATACTTGCGGACAAGCCTCCCCTTCCCGTCATTGTTGCGCTTCTAACGATATACCATGGGGTAACGAGTCTTCGAACTGGATAATATGCTCGTTTGGTGCTAGATTACCCGGACTTCTGGTTCCTTGGATGTATGAAGTCCATTCTTAATCCACTACTTCAGGAAATCAAGAGAAACACCCACAGCTCTTCAGAATATGTCAAGCAAGTACAAATAAACACATCGGGAGGAAGTAATTCGTATTCTGGTTATTTTTCTCCTTCCTTTTTCGCCTTCGGTTTCTGGCCATATACGAGGTACCTGAGAAAGATCACGAATGATCAGTAACGATATTAGCAGCACCTATAAGAACATTGACAGAGGAGGATGCCAAAGTTCAACCGGGCTTCTATCGCAGCAGACTTACATGGTAATGTATGAATGGATTCTGGGGTCACGAAAATTCTTGCGGACTTCGGCGAGATGCACCTGCACTTCCTCCACTGACCAGCCAAGCACACGATTGAATAGGCCCATTGTCCATCCTTCAACCCCTTCCAACGCCTGCAGTTGGTTCCAGGCACCGAGTTCTTTCTATAAAGTAAAATGTCAGTGACAGGCTGGCGATAACTGTTGCATGCTGAAATTAAGAGTCTCAATACAGCTAGCGAAACCCACCATTCTAGGATCTTTAGGCCAAGGCCCATATGGCAGCTTGAAAATATGTTCTTCGATGTTTATAAAACCTGCATCTTCAGCCCAATTTTTCAAGTGCGGTCCTGGGCTGGCTATTTGTCCCACGATATCTGCTGCTCTTACACCCTCGGAGATGTTGAGACTAAATGCCTCAGATAGTTTGTGAGTACCATCATCGGAGTCCAGGACAAAATTAAAGTCAAGGAATTCTGCATAACCCCCTGGTTTGAGATTTCTTGAAGAGCGTCAGTAATTCAGGTATGGAATGGCGTTTGCATTTGCGCTACTAACTCGAAAATCTGCCGGAATAACCGAGGCCAATCCCGGATTGATGTAGCCAAGTACCGAGCATGGATGAAGTCAAAGGGGCTTTTGTAAGTCCAGTCACTTTCAATATCATCCACCTCAAATTGCACATTTGGAGGGACCCTTGTGATAGTTGTCAATTGTCTTTTTCAAACAGTCACCATGTATTGGTACACATACAATTTTGGCTGGATTGGACTGAGATCGTTTCCAATAACCTGGAAATTTACCATCAGTAACCCAGGCCGCGATCATAAAGTAATGGAAAAAAGGATTCCCACCTGTGCCGAGGGGAACAAGTCGCCTATATAATGGTGGTTAATACTCCAGCTAGTCAGCCTGATCCCATACAGACCACTCACCCATTTCAATCGCCCACAGCCCCGTACCACATCCTAAATCCAGAATACGCTGTGGGTGTTCATCAATGGGGGCTAGATATAATCTTCCATCCAGAAGTAATAAGAACATGTGCCCAAGGATATCCATGTGGTCTTGCTCCTTCTCATCGTTGGGGAGGAGATATCTCCCCTCTCGGAAAGCATGGTATCGTCGGCCATTCTCATAGCGATATTTGAGGACACTAGAGGTCAGCGAAGTGGTATCACTCTTGCTATTTAAACAATCTAGTTAGCCATGTCATGTGGCGACGAGGAAGGAGAGGTCGCGAGTAATGAACGAGGCCCATACGAATCGCCGAATGTGGAGTCCAATTCTGAGATCTAGTAGGTTGTGAGGCGTAGTCAGAATGGGGTTAATATGGTCAATATTCTGGGGGGACTGACGGTATCATCGACCACGATTTGGCCGTTCTCTGCGGTATACCACACTGGTTAGCTGGATATGATCCGGATCTGATTGAGTAACTACACACCTTCACCTCCATGCATGTCAACTGGGGCATCAGCCATTGTCTGAATTGAGTCTATCTGTGGATAGGTGAGACCGTAACGCAGGGATTAGATGGAGAGAGGTAGGACAGGGGGACGCATCTCATGGGTCTGGAGTCGGGTTATTATACCACTAGCGTGCCTTCCATCTCTGCAGAACAGTCTTATGATTGTGAACCTCGACTGTTGGAATGGATCAATGAGAGGTCGAATTGTGTGTGCCGACTGGTGAACGTGCATTAGTCCATACACGCTATGCATGCTGTACAGTGGCTGTTAGGACACAAGAAAGCAATGTTACACTGCTGCATTACTTGGAATGTAGGGAAGACACTCCAGTGGTAAACTGTATGTGCAGAATCTACTTGAGAGTCTATTCGATATTTTCGAGCATTATTAGGATTTATAGCATAGAGTGCTTTCTACAGCACTGGAGTTATCTGTCAAGCCGCGGATGATTCCGTCTGATCATCCCGTCTAGTCAATGCCAAGTCGGGGTTATTATCCGCCGGCATTCTCTTCATGTAAGGCCGACATTTTGGTAGGTTGGAATCGGTTATAGTCTGTCAACGATGTTTCATGGTGCTCCGCTGAGCTTTCTTTCGTCCGTTCGACAACATTGACAAATCCATCGGGACAAAAGAAAACTATTCCATCGCTTTCTGGGCGCCTTATCCCCCTGTTTCTTGCATGTCCAGCTTGAAATTGAAATAAACTTGGTCTGCTGGCACCTGATGCCTTCCTGTCCTTCTCCTCCTCTCACTTCTGCTGTTCTGCTGCATCTTCTTCTCCTCAACCTGAAGTCCGTATCAAGAATTCTCCGTAGCTTGGTTTGCTTTTCGACAAACAGCTGAGAGCGCACCGGCTGGACTGAGTGGCAAGGCAGTTGAGATAAGCGAGAAAAAAAAAAAAAAAGACAAAGGTAGAGAGCCAAGATAAGGCATGGGAAGTAGGTCAAAGATATTTTCTCCGTCCCACTGCGGAGTTATCATAAATGAAGATATCCAGGCTCAAACTGGGAGACTGGTTATGAACCCAGTAACTTAGCATGGACGTATTAGTAGCTTCGGACTTGACAATGACAATCAGCCATACTGGCCTTGTCTAAGAATACCAACTGCCGTGTGGCATGTCTCATCATACAATCCAGGTTTTGAAGAGGACCAGCTTAATTCTTGTATCAACCCTGATTTCGATGCATTAAATTTCAATGATGGGAGTAATTCGAACGTCACGTGAGAGCGCGGTTTAGGCGTCTGCCTGAGTGCCCCAGGAACGCGCTGGGACGCGTGTTGATCTTAATGAGATCACTAACCACCACGCCAACTTGGAAATCTGGAAAATAAAGGGAAAGGCCACTCTTACCGACTTGACTACCACAGACACAAATGTAAAAGTTGCTCTTGGATACGGCCCTTCAATCAACGCTGTACTAACATTCTCCAAGGTATCGGCCTCGACTGGCCTCAGCAGCAGGTGGCGAAAAGACACCATCGTCGAAGCCTTTGCATCGCAGCGCATCGTCAACCTCCATTGATCGTCTTTCGAAACCCTTCAAATGTCCCAGTACTACTACGCCGACCCGATCTTCAGACAAACCGGCAAGAAAACGACGGAAAGTGAACTACGCAGAAGCTGACGGAAGCGTTGAAGATAAAAATGAACGATCCTGGATGACCGAGGAGCGCCAAGCTCTCGCAGTGAGAGATGCAAACAGATTCCCGGTCTTCAAGGTTAAGGATAAGGAGACTATGTTCAAACAAAGATTCAGGGTTCCGCTAGTCAATAAGCTAGCAGCTGGATATGACGCTTCTAGACCAGCCCCGACTTTAGGCATGAGACAAGGCACTGTATTTATAGTCAAGCCGTTGCATGACCCTAGCGGGGAGTTTGCCATAGTACTATACGACCCGACAGTTGATGACGTTGATGAAACTCCCGAGCCGAAGAAGCAGGATGAGGCAGAGAAGCAAGAAGACTCAACCCCAAAGCTAGATGTACCTCTCGTTCACAGGAGCCTTGCAGATATCCTTGGGCTCAAGAAAAAAGTGGAAGCTCGTCCCAGGGTCCCGGTAGTCATTGATCCGAGGCTGGCGAAAGTCCTACGACCGCACCAAGTGGAAGGAGTTAAGGTAAGGCTCCCATGACAAATCATTATCAAGTGTAGGTACCTGGCTAAGGCTGTTTTCTATAAAGTTCCTCTATAAATGCACGACTGGCTTGGTGGACAAGAACGCGAATGGTTGCATCATGGCGGATGAGATGGGACTGGGCAAGACGGTATGGACAAAAAGGTATTTCGAGAACATCAACGCTGACATCCGCAGCTTCAATGCATTACTTTGATGTGGACACTTCTTAAGCAATCCACAGAAGCTGGAAAGAGCACAATCCAAAAGTGTGTGATTGTCTGTCCGTCAAGTCTAGTTAGAAACTGGGCCAATGAACTTGGTGAGTCATGTATGCCTCTTGCAGTCTACTACTGCTAATAAGTGCAGTCAAATGGCTCGGAAATGATGCAATAATACCATTTGCAGTGGATGGTAAGGGCTCTAAGGCAGAGCTGACATCCCAATTGAAGCAATGGGCCATTGCCTCTGGACGATCTATTGTTAGACCAGTGCTCATCGTTTCGTACGAAACGCTGCGGCTGAATATCGATGCGCTTAAAGACAGTCCCATTGGCTTGCTTCTTTGTGACGAGGGTCATCGTCTAAAAAACAAGGACAGTCTGACTTGGACTGCTTTAAACAGCCTCAACGTCAGTCGCCGCGTCATCCTTTCCGGCACGCCCATTCAGAATGACCTTTCTGAATATTTTGCACTCCTGCACTTTGCAAATCCGAATTTGCTTGGGTCACAGGGTGAATTCCGTAAAAGATTCGAACTTCCGATTCTCCGAGGGCGAGATGCCGCAGGAACAGAAGACGATGTCAAAAAGGGCGAGGAGCGTTTGGCAGAACTATCTGGTATAGTCAACAAATTTATCATACGTCGGACAAACGACATCTTATCAAAGTACTTGCCAGTCAAGTACGAACATGTCGTCTTCTGCAATCTGTCCGAATTCCAGGTCAACTTATATAGACACTTTATCGAAAGCCCGGATATCAAAAGTCTGCTCAGGGGGAAGGGAAGCCAACCGCTGAAGGCGATAGGAATATTGAAGAAGCTCTGCAACCATCCAGATCTTCTCAACCTGTCGACCGACCTTCCAGGATGTGAGCATGCTTTCCCGGAAGACTATGCACCGGTCGAGGCCAGGGGCCGTGACAGGGACGTCAAGACTTGGTATTCAGGGAAGATGATGGTTCTCGACCGTATGCTGGCTCGCATACGACAAGACACAAATGACAAAATTGTCTTGATTAGCAACTACACCCAAACTCTCGATCTCTTTGAGAAACTCTGCAGGTCCCGAGGATATGGCAGTCTTCGACTGGACGGAACTATGAACGTTAACAAACGACAAAAGCTTGTTGATAAATTCAATGACCCCAACGGTGAAGAGTTTGTCTTTCTCCTCAGTAGCAAGGCCGGCGGATGTGGTCTGAACTTGATAGGAGCAAACCGCCTCGTGCTTTTTGATCCCGACTGGAACCCAGCTGCTGACCAGCAAGCTTTGGCGCGAGTATGGCGTGATGGCCAAAAGAAAGACTGCTTCGTTTACCGTTTCATTGCGACTGGATCAATTGAGGAGAAGATCTTCCAACGCCAGTCCCATAAACAGTCACTCTCTTCATGCGTTGTCGATTCTGCGGAAGACGTAGAGCGACACTTCTCCCTTGAGTCTCTCCGTGAACTTTTCCAATTTAAACCTGACACCCTAAGTGATACGCATGATACGTTCAAGTGCAAGAGATGCAGACCTGACGGGACGCAATACATCAAAGCCCCCGCAATGCTATATGGAGATACTAGCTCTTGGAATCATTTTGTGAATGATGGTGAGAATGGGCCACTTTGCAAGATCCAAGACTTGCTGCTGCGACAAGAGACTGCAGAAAGGGACGTCTCTGCCGTTTTCCAGTATATCAGTCACTGATTTCTTTGGCGTTATGGCTTTGGAGCGCATTTTTCTTATGATAGGAGTATAGAATATTGGCGTCTTGAAGCATGTTTTTGATGTATATGCAGGAATCAGTTACTCCTTATTCATTTTGTGTGTCTGGCTATGATACATTAGAGACATTAGAAATATGGATCCTTTTGTCTGCTTCTTTATGCTAAGAAGCTCACGCTGCCAAGCTTCGTCACGAGGACACTAACTACGTCACAATATTTAGTGATAGGAGCTAATCCACTCTGACAACACATCCTGCAGCTATCGCTAAACGGAAAAAGAGAGAGAAAGGAAAAAGGACAGCCGCAGCTGTCACCCAGATTATCCAGGTTTGCTACCCAGTGCTCCAATGCGGATCCTCAGCTGGCCATAGTAACGCGATAGATTGGTTGTTAGTAGCTACTAGTACACCGACCGTCAGTTGCCTATTCGAGATTCCTACACCGAGTGCCAACGGAGACGTCTGCCCTTCCACAATGAGATTTGCTTGACCACGACTCGTCCCCAATCCTCGTTGCAGTACATGATTTCCTGAGCGATGGATCAGAGCATTCAGCGTCTGCTGAACGACAAGCTCTATGAAAGGAGGAAGCAGGGAGCTTTAGAGTATGACCGAAGAATACTGATTAGGGGGTCGTATCGATGCATGCCTACTGGCTCTAACTACGGTTATATTTTTTAGGCTCGAGAAGGTCGTTCGCGATGCCGTTTATAAAGGAGACCACGATAAAATCAAAACAATTGTCGGTCAGCTTTGCCATGACTATGCCTACGCCGTACACCAACCCCACGCCAGAAACGGTGGATTGATTGGATTAGCAGCTGCATCAATAGCACTTGGATCCGTGAGTTATGCTGGAATATACCTCTGGTTTCTTTCTGACTGATGCTGAAAACCGATGTTCTAGGAAGGAGTTGCACCGTACCTTAAGGAAATCGTACCCCCCGTGTTAGCTTGCTTTTCCGACCAGGATGCGCGGGTCAGATATTATGCATGCGAGAGCATGTATAATATTGCCAAAGTTGCTAAGGGGGAGATACTGCTGTTTTTCAATGACATATTCGACGCGTTAGCCAGAGTAGGCTCCTACAAATGCACATTTGTCGAAGCTTAGTTTGATCCTGACAAGCAGTCTAGTTAGCCTCCGATTCAGAGCTGTCCGTGAAGAATGGTGCGGAACTCCTTGATCGACTCGTGAAGGATATAGTGGCCGAGTCCGCGGCATCTTACGTCTCAGTCCTACAACTTTCTGAAAAGAAGGAACTGGAAACGGGCCACGAGGCTGAGGGAAAAGAAGAAGATGGGCATGAAGAAGACGAATTGGTGTCTGAATCGGACCTCCCGACCGCATTTTCTCTTGCCAAGTTCATACCACTTCTCAAGGAACGGATCCACGTTATAAGCCCATTCACCCGTACATTTCTGGTTTCGTGGCTCACTTTGCTGGACACAATTCCAGACTTGGAGCTTGTCTGCTGCTTGCCTGACTTTCTTGGAGGACTGATTAAATTTCTTGGTGACCCGACTAGGGATGTTAATGTTGCTACGCAGAATCTCCTCGAGAGATTTCTTGCGGAAATCAAGAGGATTGCACATATCAGAAAGGGAATCGAGCATAGCCGAAAAGGACGAGAAAGCGACCGGAGATACTCAGTTGTCAGTGGCAGCACACGTGAAACACCTGACCGAGGCCCCGAGACCGAAAAAAGTGAAAATGCTATAGGGGATTCGGAATCGGAATTTATCGAGGATGATGCAACACACGTTGAAGGTGACTGGATCCCAGGACAAGATGTGCACATTGATTATCCGAAGATCCTCGATATTCTTCTAGGATTCGTGAACACCTCATTTGGTAAACTGCCCTTCTAACATTCATTGACGGGTTTATGCTCATGTTTTCAATGCAGAGGAGGAGATGCAATTGACTGCACTACGGTGGATCGACAGCTTCTTCGAATTCAGCCCTGAGGATATTCTTCCCTTTGTCCCACGACTTCTCACTCAAGTCCTTCCTGCAATGTCTAGCGGCTCAGACCAAGTACGGCAAGCTGCAAATCGAGTCAACACATCTCTCTTGGAGTATATCGTTTCGTTGTCCGAGGATATGTCGCACGAGAATCAGTCAGTGCGGTCGATATCGCCAACCCTCACTAGAAGGGAGTCTGCAGCCAACGGAAAGCCATCCGACGCACCAGGGAATGATACAAGAAAGCCTATCTCTCAGCAAGGCTCTACGCATGACTTCACGCCGCGAAGCGGTACTCCAGCTCCACCAGCGGATCTCGACTATGCCGCAGCCGTCAACTCACTCACGTTACAATTCCTGAACGAGAACGAGGCCACCAGGGTTGCAGCTCTTTCCTGGCTAATCATGCTGCATCGAAAAGCCCCTCGGAAAGTCGTGGCATTCAATGATGGGACCTTCCCGGCTCTCCTAAAAACACTGTCTGACCCGGCGGAAGCGGTTGTGACAAAGGATCTCCAGCTTCTATCCCAGATATCAAAGAATAGCGATGATAGTTATTTCACCTCGTTTATGGTGAACCTGCTTCAACTGTTTTCCACAGATAGGAACCTGCTTGAAGTTCGCGGAAATCTTATCATTCGACAACTTTGCATCAATTTAAGCCCGGAGCGTATTTATTGGACACTAGCGGACTGTCTCGAAAAGGAAGAGGTGAGCAGCTGTCTTCATTGCGAATGACCATTTCTGCTAACCATTTTATTTAGGACATTGAATTTGCTAGCATCATGGTTCAGAATTTGAATAATAATTTGATAACGGCACCAGAGCTTTCGCAACTTAGGAAGAGATTGAGGAATCTCGACTCTAGGGTAAGGATGAGATCTAGCCTGAGTTCAAAAAGAAAGGCTGACCTGTCTTGTTAGGAGGGTCAAATGCTCTTTGTGACTCTGTTCAGATCCTGGTGCCATAATGCCGTTTCTACCTTTTCTCTCTGTCTACTTGCGCAGGCTTACGAGCAGGCGTATAACCTTCTACAGGTCTTGTGGGTAACACGCTACTTATGCTTACGCGATAGTTTGCTGACTTCACTCTCAGCGCCGAACTTGAAATGACGGTCAACATGTTGATTCAAATCGACAAATTAGTACAGTTGTTAGAGTCTCCTGTTTTCACCTGTCAGTGCCTTCTGAGTCTATCCGTATTTATTGTTTAGGAATCTAAACTTTTACCAGATCTTCGTCTTCAGCTTCTTGAGCCAGAACGATACCCATACCTGTATAAATGTCTCTACGGGGTTCTCATGCTTCTTCCACAGAGCTCCGCCTTTGCGGCGTTGAAGAACCGTCTCAATAGTGTCAGCAACATTGCTCTTCTTCATTCCGGACCACGAGGGTAAGTTAGATCTAAGACACGAGCTATCTTCGAATGTGTTTTCCTTTTTGACATATTCGAGATCCTTGCTAATTTAAGGATTTATGCGTCGCAGTTCCATTTCTAGCTCCATTTTGTCATCCTCATCCGCATACGAACGGCCGGCGGGTGGTAGGCTGAAAACACGCGATGAGAACACAATCCGTTGGGTGGAGCTTATAGACAAGTTCAAATCAGTCCAAGAGCGAGCTAGAAGATCACAACGAGGATCTGCGCGTCTCGATAATGAGGCTAGTGGAATACTACCCTCATCGCTTGCTGCCGCTCTTTCTGCTGCGGCAACTACCGACCAGGCCCGCCACAAGGAGAGGGCAGTCCCAGACATTCCTCGAGGAGGGCTAGGTGGCAGCGGACTCGGGCCTGGCGCGCGCAATGCTGGCCCTGAAGCTGGTGCACAGAAAGGCGCTTCACCTGCACACAAGCCTAAATCTAGCCTTTCGAATCTCGGCCGACTTGGGATTGGGAGTAGGAGATCCAAGCGCTGAGCCTGGTTGAATGTTGGATAATTGCTGGGTTATCGGGGTGTTTTATTTGTGGATCGTGTCATCCTGGCAGAAGTGAAGGGTTACATAATAGCTCATCAACATACAAAGTACGGAGTATAAAAAGCACCTTTACATTGGTGGATGGATAGATTGCAAAGGGGTTATTGTTTATTCTCTTACAGCTCATGCCTATGCTCTGCTCTTTACTTATACCGTCAATCGGTTATTGATCTTTTCTCACAGGATACCGCTGGCGCCTTTTTTTTTTTTTTTTTTTTTTTTTTGTTTGTCTGTTTGTTTCTCTTCTATTTATCAAGATTACCCTAGACAGGTTTGAGCTTTCCACGTTCCTTTTTGTCTTTCCATTTTTTCTATCTTCTATTCACATTCAGACTGAGTTTTTTTTATAATACTCACGTCGTCCTGAATAGACCAATACCCACCTATCCTGTTGGCACCACCTGCAAAGTAGGAAATGAAACCATGCAATCCTAGTGGAATGAATGATAAGAAATAGATGGGATAGCTGAGACAGTAGGATATATAGAACTTTATATTTCCCAAAACATGTAGTATGTACAGCGACACAGATGCATACACACATGTCTCCATGTATCCATGAAAAGGTATACAGAAAAAAAAAGGCTAGTATGTATGTACAAAGCAAAGAAACAAAAGTAAGACAACCGCTATTGAAATGCAGTCTAGTCAACGCTGCAAAACACAAAGGCAAGCAAGAAGAAACAGTTAAAATCCAGCTGTTTCTGTCGAAATAAAAGATGACGAATATGCAATGCATATACCGACTTACATTGAAAATGCGACAAGAGGGAATCCGCAAAACATAAAACGCAAAAGCCGTTAAGTTGAAATGAAGAGCAAGAGCCCGTATAAGGTGGACATAAGGTGAGGTGAGAAAATAAGAAGTCCAAGGATAAATGAAGAATCAGAGGGTAGTAAGAAAACCCTTTCTGTATGGTCATCATCAGTCGGGACCAGGGGGATCAAGAAAAACGAATCCATCGAACATCCTAGCCCGAAATCATCGGATAGGAGGATTTCAGCAAAGAGATTTCCCATCCACGTGAGACGTTACTGCGTGGGACAGCAGTCCTTGTAAAATAACGCGAGAAGAAAATGGCAATATATGTTTTGTTTCCCAGCACGCATTACCGGGACCGTGAATTCCAACTAGGCGGTTTCCAGTAACTGCCTGTGGATTGCTTGGATACTGTTCCTGTCGGGGAATTGAGTCCATTTGTATAGACATATTCACCATCGACGTACTGAACGCCTGTGTGGAAGTCGCTGCGGTGCTTACGGCGGACATACCGCTGCTCCAGCCGGTAGAGCTCGATCTCTGGAGTTCTGCGCATTAGTATTTCTCTTCCTCCAGCAGTGCATTGCTTTACTAATAGACAAGATAGAAATCCCATGCGAGGCGAACTGAAGCGGAAGAAGACATGACGTACTTGCTTGTAATTTGTCGAGGAAACCCATTCTGAATTGTTTATATAGTAATTATAATGATCGGGCTCGTTCGGTGGGTGGTCTTGCAGGGAGGGAAACGCAGTGAAAAGAAGAGAAAAGATAAAGGAAGGGAAATAATAAAAAAGAAGTGTCGAAAAGGCCCTCGCCTTCGCCGTCCCAGAAGAAGGAATCCAAGGATACGTCAGCCCGCCTCGTACCGGAAGTGTACTATGGATGGTTAACGATTGAACCAGTTCATGCAACCACCCTCAGATACCAATGACGATAGCCGATAGGGATGTCTGACGAAGCATATGTTCTTTTGACAGATGCGCCTTCAAACACGAAAGGCTGATGCCAAAAGGTGGCGATCGGCTCTCGACGGAAACGGGGATGGGCGGAAAGCAGGAGCCTGTAGGATACATCGGACTCGAGTAAGTTATAGGTCACTCCACCTCTGGTGACGGGTACATTGAGGATCGACGCGACAAGACCCTTCTGCAGTCCATCGTGGATTGCGCAGGTGAAAGTCTAGAAGATCCACTGCGCACAGGGCAGGAGAAGACCGGTTGCGGCCACATGGTATGGATGACGCGGACTCACCTAGCAGAGGGATTATCCAGTGTAGATAATGAATATTAGCTGGATATATAAATATATGGATGGAAACGAGTCGTCAATCAATGAAGATGCAGGTTGCTGAGCTGGCGAAGGAAGGTGAAGCTGTGCAGCGCAGCGAAACAACCGAGGAAGTGGAGGTAGTGATGGTAATAATAATAAAAGGAGAGAAGAAGGAGAAGAAGAAGAAGAAGAAGAAGAGAACGTAAAGCCCAACGAGGATCTCGGATGGCCAGTGCGGAAGGGAGATGCTAGCGATGCATTGAGGGATCTCCTGAGTCTCGAAGAACAGAAGACACATGCGACAATGATAACCCCAAGCAGCGCTTGCGTGTCTGTGGGGGAAACGAGCACGCCGTCGCCCACTAAAGAACTCTCTGCGTCGCAGCAGCCATCCACCGTGTCGTCCACGGCCCGCAGAGTTTCAACCGTCGTTCTAGAAGCCTTTTTACCCCTGGTCGGAGAATTATCATTCTCGTATCTACGACTGCATTCCGTCCCGATTTCTCTCATCTGATACTGCGGTGCAACGTAGCTGTCATTGGCACGGTGCAACCAGCAGGAGTTCGTTCATCTATATACACTGACTCAATTCCAGGCTGATCGTATTTAATTCTCCTCATTTACGGATTAATAATTCCGACCGTCAGACAGAGCGCGTTGGCTTCGATTCCTCCGTCTGCTCCCCCTCCGCCTCCGCTTCGTGGTCATGCGCCAGCGACATTTCCTGGGCTATAATTCAGAGAGAGAGAGGAGGGGAAAAAAAGATTAGCTAGCTTTCCATTAACGTAAAAAAAATAAGACCAGTTGGTTCCATACCATGCCAAAGTTGTGCGTAGATGCCGTTTTCCTCCAGAAGCTCCCGATGCGAACCCTGCTCTGCTACATGCCCATCCTTCAGTACAAGGATCTGGTCGCTGTCATAGATAGTTCGCAAACGGTGCGCGACAAAGACACTGGTACGATTCTTCTCTTTGAGAATGCTCTTGATATTCTGCAACAATGCCGTCTCCGTGTGCGTGTCAAGTGCAGATGTCTACAATCGTCCTGCGTCAGCCACCGAAATTCCCGAAACTGAACAGCGCAACAGGGAGAGATAAGATTCATACCGCCTCATCAAAGAACAGGAGTTGCGGATTCTTCAAAAGAAGCCGGGAAATAGCCAGTCGCTGCTTCTCGCCTCCAGAGATCATCATCCCTCTCTCTCCAACAGCGGTTTTGTATCCCTCAGGCAGTCTTTCAATGAGTTCGTGGATGTGAGCTCGCTGCGCAGCCTGTCGGACTTCCTCGTCCGACGCGTCTATCCGGCCGTACCGGATGTTGTGTTCAATGGTGTCGTTAAACAACGGAGTGTCCTGGGGAACCACCCCGATCGCTTTGCGAAGACTCTCCAGAGTCACATCACGGATATCCTGACCATCCACCAAGATTCGGCCTTCTTGAACATCGTAGAACCGAAACAACAGTCTGAGAATTGTTGACTTGCCACAGCCGCTGGGACCGACGATAGCGAACTTTTCGCCCGCCGGAATCGTAAAGCTGACATTCTTCAGAATAGGTCGCTCAGGGTGGTATCCAAAAGTGACGTTTTCGAACTTGATTTCGCCGCCCCGCTTGAGCTCGAGTGCTTTGGCATCGGGCTTTTCTTTGATGTTAACGTTCACTTTCTGCAGATTGAACAAGGTTTCCATGTCCAACAATGACTGCCGAAGTTCTCGATAGACCGATCCAAGGAAGTTGAGAGGCACGGACAGCTGGAAGACAAGCTGGTTGACCATTACCAAGTCTCCAACAGTCAATGCTCCGCTGGCAACCCCATTAGCTGCCAGATACATCATGCCAGCAAGAGCGCTCGAGAAGATCATGTTCTGTCCGGAATTAAGGAAAGCAAGAGACGTCGTCACCCTGATAGAAGCATTTTCATATGCCTGAAGTGCCTTGTCATATCGCGCGGCCTCAAACTTTTCGTTGTTGAAATATTTGACGGCTTCGTAGTTAATGAGAGAATCCACTGCCACCGTTGCACCACGGTTGTCCGCCGCATTGGCCCTCTTACGGAACTTGGTCCGCCAGGCGGTAGTTGTGATGGTAAAAGCAGTATACGCGACCATCGTCGCAGCCGTGATGGCTGCAAATTGCGCGCCGTATTGGTACGTCTACTTATTAATGTATCTCTCAACATCAATTGGGACACGGGTTTTCCATACCAATATACCGCACACCATAGATATTTCCAGAGCAGTCGGGGCTATATGAAACACCATAGATGTAAGAAGAAAGCTGATACCCTTGGTACCACGATCAATGGCTCTGGTCAAACCACCAGTCTGGCGGCTAAGATGAAAGTTGAGGTCCAGCTGTAGCAAATGCTCAAACACATTCCGCGCAACCTTTCGAATGGCCTTTTGCGCAACGCTTGCGAACACCGCATTCCGCAACTCTTGAAATAGAGTAGCTCCTATTCGAGTGACGCCATCTGGAAGATTCATGTTAGAGAGGTTCGTTCAGCTATGGAGAGAGTTCCCTCACAAGCTATGATCATTGAGCCGGCCACGGTATAGGCGGTTCCTCCAACGGCCGCAATGTCAATGTTCATTGCATCGACAATGCTCTTGAAGTAGAATGGCACCTCGACATTTAAAACCTGTTATTACTATAAGTATCCGTATCCTCGTCTAAGAAAAGAAACTTCAAATAACATACCTTTGCCCCGACTAACAATGAAAGAGCAGTGCCAACCCGAAGTTTGGTGCCCCAGTCGTCCTGCGGTTATACGTCTGTTACTGCTGAACGCTATACCTTTTCCATACCCTTTTGGCAGATCGTACCTTTGGCCAAAGATACTTAGACATCTCCTTCATGATCGCCCAATCTGCTTTCCTTTGCGCCTTATTGCCTAAAGTAGTCTCACTGAGCAAATCCCCTTTCTTCGCAGACCCTTTTTTCTCGTCATCCTTTGGCTTTTGTACCGATGTAGTGACAGAACCCGCCAACTTCTGGTCTGGGGTTGTACCCTGAGAAACCTGTTTCCTCAAGGAATTCCCATTTGTTGTGAATATTCTTAACTGGCTCCTGTACTGGACGGCTGTCCTCGGGGTACGTGGAATTGCGACAAGAGGATGCACATAGAGCGCCGGCGTGCGCCAGCAGGGCGATTGGGCTGCTCTGAGCAGCATGACAGCCCGCAGTGTTATCTCAGTTGCCTATCGATATGTCCGAATTCCACACTGTTCATTGAAGCATGGTGAAATGGTCTTCGATCCACGAGGGTCGCCTCGCTGGCAGAACTCCGGGTTCGGAGGAAAATCGGCGGAAAGTATTGCGTGCTGAAACACAGACACAGCTCGTTCCACAACCAATTTGGTCGCACCCAAGATCAGAAGGGAAAGAGGAGCACAAGCACGAGTTTGAAAAGGGGAGCTGGAGGGAGAAGTAGAAGTGACTGTGCAAGACAAGCATTGCCATAGCGCAAAAGGCGTCTTGTCTGTCGCCATAGATGGATGCGTTATCCACCTGTTTGCGCTGTTTGTCTGCGGCCGGAAACTGACGTAAAGTTCCCGTCTGCGGCATAATTATTTTGTGCTTCTCGTCCGCCGAGAGGTCGACATTGATTGTTGAACCCAGTTGGTCTGACCAGAACCATGCGCGACGTCCTCCGGAACCGTGCTCAGGCGCTTTCCCTTGCCAGAGGTCTTGCTCGACGGCCACGGCAAGGTGTGTCGCAGCGGGTGTGGCAGACGAGATGCATCCAGATCCGACCCGCGCCGTCGCGAGAGCCTGTTTCGGTCAATGGCGACAATCTCCCCATTGCCGGTCCTCCCAGCTCAGCTGAGACTCCTGGTAAGTGTGCCTAGCCATTTGACTCCTTCCGCGTGTGGTTATGTGCAGAATTCGCTAACGGTTTGGGAATATAGATGCGCGGTTCGATGTCATCGGGGCTCCATACTCTTTGCTTTCCGTCACGCTTTCTGCATCGCAAAATCTCTATACTCGGCGAGGAACGTTGCTTGGACTGAGTGGGAAAGCAGATAATGTATGACAGGCGCTTTTGTTCGGTACAATTGCGTTATAAGCTGTTCCGTTGACCGTTGAGCTTTCCCTTACTTAGGTCATTTCGACTCTGAGCATCTTGGAACCTACACGAAGAGCTATCTTCGGGGTACCTTTCCTCTATCAAAAGGTCCGACTTATTTGGCCCCCCTTTAATGACTGAAATTGGCAATTAATGCTAGGTTAGATTTCATCCGCTACCCCGGTCAATGCCCTCGTCTCTGTCCGATCTCCCCTTACATCCTTTACTGTCCTGCATCTCAATGGCTCCGTGGATTGGATGATTGCCCAGAGACGGGCGCTACTCGCATGGTCGGGACGCTCGCTAACAATCCGACCGAAAATTAACTCGAACCTGGTTAGTTACTATTACGGATTCCTTTGAAAGTTTAAGCTAACTCGTGAAGAGCATCGCTTATTGGGGTAGCTCCGAGGTTACCGGAAGAGGATTGCTCGCCTTGGTTGGGAACGGACAGCTATATTCAATCGATTTGAAGGCTGGGGAACAATATATTGCTCATCCTAGGTATGATTTAACTCTCTATCACCTATTGACCTTGGTGCTGGAGTGCTGTGCTCACACTCAAAAGCAACGTCGTTGCATATACTATTACCTCCAATCCTCCTCGTCCCTACCGTTTCAAGTCGACGACCCTGAAATTCCAGGTTCCAGGTCTCAGAAGCTTCCCTCGCTTCCTTCAGGAGTCTAAATTCCTCCGTGCTATGTCTGATACAGATACTTGGAAGACGTCGATGCGGATATTCCACAAGCTCCGCACTTGGGCTCGGATGACCATCTGGGGAGATAGGGTATGTCGACTAATCCAAATCTCACCTCCCATTACGTATAGCTTCTAACAAAAATAACCAGCTTTTCCTTCAATTCGACGGTCCCACAAAGATCCTCGTGCAATCCCGCGGCCCTCGCCTGAATGACGTTCTATCTACTCGCGAAGTCAATGAGATCGCCGATGCCCCTCGAGGCGTGACTGCTGAAGCCGTAAAGCCCTCGGATGAAAAGAAACAGCCATCCAAACCTAATCACGACGAAGAATACGAAAAAGCCGCTGAAGAGGCCGTTGATGTTCAAGCTGCTCCTGTACCTGCACGGTCAGTTGGGTTATTCAAGCAAGAAGTCAAAGGCGTAAACAGCGGTTACGCGGAAGTCACCAAAGGAGGGAAAGTAGTAATCGAGACTCAAAAAAGCTAGGTTGATATACTATGGTTGTTTGTGACTAACTCCCTTTGGATGACTACATAGCATGTATTATGCATCGGGGGCAAAGCGCGAAGAGGTTTTAACGTTATATCTAGTTTCAGTGTATTATAACCATATAGCGAGTGGGACAAATCCATCATTATTTGTCTATTTCTGCTGCTGCAATATTTCCCAAATCCCATCATCCATGAATGACATATGGTTTAAACTTATATATCCCGATGTTATGCAAGAAACAGAGGTTGATTCCCAAAAAGGATACGTGAAACGGAACCAAATGCATAACAGATAGACTAGTCGAACTGGTCGCTAGAAATAGGATTTCAAAAGCCAAAATAGGCTCAATGCTGATGGAAATATCCAAGCAAAAATAATGCAATGCAAAGGCAACCTTACACCACAGCAGAAACATATGCAGAACGCCAGAAACACCTTGCTGGGTGGTATGGAAGGAGAGAGGTAATGAGGAAGACAATAAAGCCAAACAATACATTGCCATGCTCATGGGAGGCGAAAGAGACAAAATGACTTTTTGCTCTTTAAACAAATACACCGTTTCTCATGTTTTGGACAGTCTTAATACCAACACCTTTCAACTTGCTTAATTCTGAAAGACTGTTCACTTGGAATTTCCGAGATTCGTCTCCGGCCGCAGTACTGCTTGCGTCTGTGTCGTCCAGCTCTTGATCCATCTCACAGAGACGGTCGACAATGGCTTCGGCCCTCTTGGCACCGACTCCCTTCAACAACTTGATCTGAGAGATGTCGCGGGAGTTTATGATTGATAAGAGTTGCATGGTACGGGGTGAATTCAACTGCTCCAAGTCATCGGAATTAATACTGCTGATGGGATCAGAGGGGTCATTATGCTTTGCTCTCGCCCGCTTCTTGCGCACAATGCGAGGATGGTTGGGTTCATCTTCATCAGATGAAGGCCGCTCAGCGTCTTCATTTTCTTCATAATCTGCATCAGAATCTTCGGCCTGACGCTTGGAACGCGCCTTATCCTGGTCCCTGTGTGAATATGTAGCGGTTTCCAGATTCTTTTGGATGGTAGCAGTGGTGTTGAGAGTAGCAGAGTCTTGTTGCGTCCGCGATGATACGTCCCTCGTAAGTTCCTCTAGAAGCGCAATCTTTGAAACTAGCTTTTCATTATGGGGAAAGAAAGGCAACGCGAGCCGATACATTCTCAATGCAACAGCATCTTCGCCCCGTGCTTGATGTTGTTTCGCCGTCAATAAATATGACAGTCCTTCAGCCCTTGCGTCTTCCGTACCCTCAATCCGTTGCTCTAAGAGTTCCAAGCGGCGCTGCATTTGTTCATTGATGTCGCGTGCCCGGACATGTCTCGACTGCTCACTCATGGCTCTTGCAGCAAGAATTTCCTCCACTTTTTTCTCGACCAGCTCCTCAATCCTCGACGCAGAGATATCTGCATGAGTCCTTTGTGGATGGAGTTGAAGCCCGTCTTGCCGAGACGTACTCATTTGACGACTCTGGGAGATTCCAGGAATGCCCGAAGTTAAAGAAGATCGCATCGGCCCCTCCGGTTTCCTGAGTCGAGTGGGTTGAGGTTTGTCCGAGTAGACGGAGAATGCCTTTATAGGCTTAGTATTGTCACTAGGTTCTGATGGGTCCCTTTTTGATGCCGTTAGGTTCGCATTAACAGAAGCTGTTAGTGGCCGCAAGGGCTGCCGTGGGACAGAACTGGCCACAGACGGCCGCGTGATGGGCCTTGCAGGGCCTCTAAACATTGGTTCGTTTTCAACCTCCCGGACCTCAATTTTCTTCGTCCGATTCGCAAAGTTAAGGGAGCTTAATGTATCCAGGTGATAGGATCGGACAGGAGCGAGATTCAGGATCATGACTGTCAACCCATTATTCTGCCCCAAAGACAAAATCCTCGTCATCTTCGACTCGCGGTACGGAATTCTTTGTTGCTTCTTGCTGATGGCCTCAACACACTGAGCCAAGACGAAGAGACTCTTGTTGATACTGGCAGATTCGACCATGCGCTCTTTGTCATTGTCAGTCCGACGGTTATCCTCTGAACCAGCAAGGTCGATAGCGGAAGCGGTGCTGACGCGTGTCTTATCTCCAGAAGTAATAGTGACCTTAACACAGAGAATGGCATGCGAACGTGAAGAATGGGCATTCAACTATGTAGGTCAGCGAGACTTCCCAATAGAGATTCCACCTAAAGCAAAGTGAAAGCACCGACCTTCGTCGCAGAAGTGGACCTGTGCATGTTCGCTTGGTCATACAAGGACTCGAATTCCTTCAGATTCGTACAAGGTCTCTCTGTCAATCCTACAACAACTGTTCTCCCGCCGTTATCTCGAAGAGGCAGACCGGCCAGAGTTCTCTTCTCTGGAGGCTCGAACAAGTCGAAGACCTTATCATTGTAAATTTCGTAATAACTCAGAGAAACCCTCACGGCGGTTCTACCCTCGCTATCTTTCTCGATTTTGCGACTGCGTCTATAAATACCGCTTAGCAGACGGGGAATCACACCTCTTTCAGCGAGACTTTTACCACCTCGCATGGTATGAGTCTTCCCCGTCCCCGTGACGCCATATGCAAATATTGTGATATCGAAGCCGTTAAAAAGGTGTTTCACTGTAGGAGACACTGTGGTATCTAGTGAGTGTGTGCAAGTTATGTAAGTTGGACCGTAAGACAAACCTTCGGCATCGAAGAGTTCCTGCTGGGTGGCGTCTGCGTCGTACACCGCATTGAATTGAAAAGCATATTCTTCGCTTTCATTCTTAGGATTTGGAATCCGCACAGATGTATCCCGGTCTTTCAATGCTGCTTTGTCCTGGGACCATTTCTTATCACCTTTGTTCGCCAAAGATTTCAGCCCCGATGTAGGTAATGGGTTGGACGAGCCTGTGCGGACAATCACATCGAGCTCTCGCTCTGACTTCAAGAGTGGCCTGATACGCGCAACAACACGAACACTCATTTTCCAGATGCCCTCTGACTGAGGTCCCTTTCTGTCTTGGCAGACAAATCCTTCTCTTGCTCTCGTATGGTTCAACCTGTGCAATGCTGGTAAGCATTCCAAGCCAATTGCCTTTGCCGCCCACGGCCGTTATCTGTATCCTATCAGGATAAAGACAGATCGTCTCCCAGAAGGATACAGGCAAGTAACGAGGGAGTCGTTCAATTGACAGATATTTGCAGTGTGAGAGCCAGGGGGACGTCGTCCGTTTTGGTGTGGTCAGCGAGCGGTTGGCACGGCAACCACAAAACGCACCACGTCTAATGGGCTTATTTGTCACCTCCAGACGCCTATGGGGCGTAGGAGAAGCAATGTATACTCTTCAGGCTGTCTAGAAGACAAGAGAGACTCCTCTCCTCCTGGATAATCGCATTATTTTCGTTGTGGTGTCGACAATCCTCGGAGGCTGCAGAGCCCGGGCGGTGAATGGTGGATCCGGCGGTCGCAAAGGCCACCGTACACCGTCACCTTCGTCCCTCCGCATGGAAATCGCCTCTCCTCTCGACGTCCGTTCTGTGCGGCATCCTTGCGCTGCCCCTTTTTGTACTTTCACGTCGAAACGTTCGTTCCACATAAGTTTGGCTGTCAGTATCTAGTGCCCACTGTTACCCTAATCATACCCTCCTCCAGTGGTGGATGTGCTCTTTGTGCTGACTCGTGGCATAGTGAACCTGTGACGATCTCTCGCGTCTTTGCACATATTCCACAGGAGACCGTTTTGCGAGATCCCATTGAGATTTTATCATCGTCGGAGACGTCTCTTCAGTTTCTCATGGCAGCGCCACAGGGGGACTATCCTCCCCAAGAGGGATACGGCCAACAGTACGATTACGGCTCCCCGTCCTCTCCTGTTCAACAGCCCGCCGGACTCGCTCCTGGCGCCACTTCGCATAGTCACGCTGGAGGCAGAAAGAAGCGAGCTTATGCTGGTGAAGCGTTCGAGTTTGGGCACGGTGCCAATGCCGCCATAGGTGGACAGCCATTAGCTGGGGGCAGCTATGGAACACCGTCCCAACCGCAACCTCTGGGCTACCAACAGCCCGTGTACGGAGCTGAACCAAGTCAGGTACAGCCCGCAGTACCTGGATATGCCCCCCCGACTGCTCCAGGAGTTGCGCAGATAACCCAACAATTTGGCGCCATGGGTGTGGCCGACGTCAATCAGCCCGCACAGGCTCCGCGAAGCTCTGTACCCCTCAACCAGCTCTATCCAACTGATCTCATTTCCCAGCCATTCAATGTTGCAGAACTTGACTATCCTCCTCCTCCCATCGTTCTGCCACCGAATGTGAGTTTTTCTTATGGGTTGGGTGCAAGTCTCAGAAGGTGCTTACTGTACTTAGACAAGCGTTTTCCCATCGCATTATGCGAACTGCCCCCCGAAATACGTACGATCGACCCTTAATGCTGTTCCTACAACGCACTCTCTTTTGAAGAAGTCGAAGCTGCCCTTTGCTCTTGTTATCCAGCCTTTTGGTGCTTTGCATGACTCTGAAGATCCTATCCCGGTCATCCCAGACCAGGTTATCTCACGATGCAGACGTTGCCGGACCTACATTAATCCATTCGTTATCTTCCTTGATCATGGCCACCGCTGGCGTTGTAACATGTGCAACCTTACCAATGACGTGCCTCAGGCGTTTGACTGGGATAGTACCCTGCAAAAACCGGCGGACAGGTCATTGCGGCCCGACCTCAACCATGCCGTGGTCGAATTTGTTGCGCCTCAGGAGTACATGGTCCGACCTCCTCAACCCTTAGTGTATCTCTTCCTGATCGATGTGAGCTACGCCTCGGTGACCAATGGGCTCTTGGCCACAAGTGCACGGTGTATCAAAGAGAGCCTGGATCGGATTCCTAATGCGGATCGACGGACACGCCTTGGCTTCATAGCGGTGGACTCTAGCCTTCACTACTTTTCTATTCCCAGGGACGGTTCAGAAAGCCTCGACCCGAAGATGCTTGTTGTCAGCGACCTTGATGAGCCTTTCTTGCCCATTCCGGGTGAACTTCTAGTCACTTTGAGTGAATGTCGGGAAAGCATCGAGACGTTCCTTGACAAGTTACAAGACATGTTCCAGAATACACAGAATACTGGCTGTGCGATGGGATCTGCTCTGCGTGCCGGCTACAAATTAATTGCCCCGATTGGCGGAAAGCTCACTGTTCTCAGCTCCTCTCTACCTAACATCGGCCATGGCTCTCTCTCGATGAGGGAAGACAAGAAAGTTCTGGGTACCAGCAAAGAAAGCAGCCTTCTGCAAACCGCCAACAGCTTCTACAAAAGTTTCGCTGTTGAATGTTCCAAGGCCCAGGTTTCCGTGGACATGTTCTTGTTCTCGTCTCAGTACCAAGACGTGGCATCTTTAAGTAACCTTCCGAGATACACTGGTGGCCAGACGTACTTCTACCCTGGATGGAACGCCGCCCGCAGCGAAGATGCGATCAAGTTCGCACGCGAATTCTCCGAATACTTGTCTTCGGAAATTGGATTGGAAGCCGTCCTCCGTGTTCGTGCGACAACTGGTTTACGTATGAATACCTTCTACGGCAACTTCTTCAACCGTAGTTCCGACCTTTGTGCCTTCCCGGCGTTCCCTCGTGACCAGGCATACGTTGTTGAAGTTGCCATCGATGAAACCGTGGCGAAACCGGTTATCTGCTTGCAGACAGCTGTTCTTCATACCACATGCAACGGCGAGAGGAGGATCCGAGTCTTGACTTTGGCGCTCCCAACAACGCAGAGCCTTGCCGATGTGTATGCATCAGCAGACCAACAAGCTATTGCTACCTTTTTTACTCACAAAGCCGTCGAGCGGACGCTCGGGGGAAGTTTAGAATCCGCTCGCGACGCACTGCAGGCCAAGGCTGTAGAACTCTTGTCCACATATCGGAAGGAACTTGCAGGTGGAAGCGTCAGCGGTGGTGGTCTCCAATTCCCGGCTAATCTGAGAGCATTACCTGTCCTTTTCTTAGCGTTGACTAAAAATGTACGGACCGTCCTGATTATCCCTGGACCGTGAATTCGCTTGATTAATTGGCATATACTGACTTCGATATAGATTGGTCTCCGGAAGTCCGCACAGATCCCAAGTGACATGCGGTCTGCGGCCCTTTGCTTGCTCTCGACTCTCCCCCTCCCTCTTTTGATCCAATACATCTACCCGAAGATGTATTCTCTGCACGACATGCCAGACAATGCTGGGTTGCCGGATGAGAAGACGGGCGAGATTATCCTCCCGCCACCAGTCAATCTGTCTTCTGAACGCCTTGTCCCGTACGGGCTGTACCTCATTGATGACGGGCAAACGCAGTTTCTCTGGGTTGGGCGGGACGCGGTGCCGCAGCTTATTCTTGACGTGTTCGGGTTCGCGGACAAGTCACAGCTCCGGGTTGGCAAGCAGAACTTACCTGACCTGGACAACGACTTCAACCAGCGGGTTCGCGCGGTGGTTGAAAAGAGTCGGGATTGCCGGGCAAAGGGTGTGGGCAGCATCGTTGTTCCACACCTGTACGTTGTGAAGGAGGACGGAGAGCCGGGTCTGCGGCTTTGGGCACAGACTATGCTGGTTGAGGACAGGGCTGATCAGAGTGTCAGTCTCATGCAATGGCTGGGTTCATTGCGGGAAAAGGTCTGATATCAATCCTACCCCTTCTGGTTGAGTTGCTTTTCTTTGATTTATTTTATGTTTTGCTGTTAAAGAAGGCGAAGAACAAGCGAAGTCCCAGGACTGACATGCTTTGACCCGCCCACAGGTTGTCCAGTAATGATTGTTGTTATATCCTTGGTAAAATATATGATACAACATCACCAATTCCAGTCATCTTTTTGTGCTTGATGTACGTATGTGCGTGATGAAACCGTGTAGTCTGTATTATCGAGGACGAGTAGATCTGGGCCTGACTGTACAGCAACATGCAGCTGCAGGTGTGACTGGGCGTGGCCATGCATGCAATGGCTGGCCACCGCAAATGATGCAGGAGGGAATCGTGAAACTGACTGTTGTGTTTTCTGTCTGAGAATCCACTGAATGGGCCAGGGCGCCTTGTCATTGATCCAGCAGCCGCTGCGGCCAAGTGTGACGGGATGCGACTCTCGATCCAGCCGTTTCCTCGAGGGAATTAATATTAATATTAATTAGGATTGTGATTGTAATTGTGATTAATTATTACTCTCTTTCATGCGAATCCTGGAGATCTTTTTCGACGACGCTGCCCCACATCCAGCCCCTCTCTCCTACTAAGTTCTAACTCCTCTTCTCTTCCTTTGTTGACCCTTGGGGCTCTCGACTTCTTCCTATTTTTCTTTTTTTTTATTTTATTGTCTTTCTCTATCCTGCGGTGTTCCGTATTGCTATTGCGTACCCCTGTTCTTCCAGCAAACGGACCGATAAGCTTCTCCAGCGGCTCGCCATCCTGCCCAAGGTACGGAGTACAGCACGCTATTGATGCTTCCAAAACACCGGGTTCGCGTGCCATGTCATCTATTTTACTGTCATCTAACTCCTCTGTTCTTCCTGTTGTGACAGTGCGGTCTTTAAATCCTGCCTCACATCAGCTACCGGTGTTAAGTTGATCACTTTACGTCAGGCTTCGTGTTCCCTCTCGTCGCACCTAATCTCCTCGTCCTTGCCCCCCTCGCGATCCTCTGTCTACTTTACGCATTCGGTGTATCGTTTACTGTCGTTGATTTCGAATCCATCTGGACAGCGCATCTTATCCATCGTCCCTTTTTGGATCTGCATCTGAATTTTCGTCGGTTTCGAGCAGGCTCTCGCGGTAACCCGATAACCTTGCTATATCCATTGTCTCGGAATTACGAAAAGCCATTCCAACAGTCTTCTTCAACGTATATACGGGTTGTGGAAAACTATTCTTGGAAGAGCTTGCATCCATACATTGGTCTTCCTGAAAACTCGCGAGCGAGCGGAAACGAATGTAAGCATCTTTCGTTTCCATGCCCCCAGTGGCCCTCTGGAATGCATAGAGATCTTTAACGGAATGGTGGGCTGGTAGGGCCCAAGGGGTCCTATATATTCGCATGTTGTTTGTTGGTTTATCCTGATCAAGACTGTCGGCACTGACAACAGGATTTTCCAGATCAACCATCATGGTGCAGCAACTCCCTCCAGGGGGACCTAGAAAGATCTCTTTCAACGTCTCTGATCAATATGAGATCCAGGATGTCATTGGTGAAGGCGCCTACGGTGTTGTCTGGTACGTGATATGGATATATACGATTTCACATAAGGTGTCTAACCTGTTGCAGCTCGGCAATCCACAAACCTTCCGGTCAGAAGGTCGCTATCAAAAAGATTACTCCATTTGATCACTCAATGTTCTGCTTACGGACACTGCGTGAGATGAAGTTGCTGCGATATTTCAACCACGAGAATATCATCTCGATCCTGGACATCCAGAGACCCCGCAGCTTTGAGAACTTCAATGAAGTATACCTCATTCAGGTACTATATACCTCCACATTCTGTTCATACTTCATGCGCTAAACAACAATATGGCAGGAGTTGATGGAAACCGATATGCACCGGGTCATCCGCACACAGGATCTTTCCGACGATCATTGCCAGTATTTCATCTATCAGACTCTGCGTGCATTGAAGGCTATGCACTCTGCCAACGTCCTCCATCGCGATCTGAAGCCGTCTAACCTTCTTCTGAATGCCAACTGTGACCTAAAAGTCTGCGACTTTGGTCTTGCTCGTTCCGCCGCATCAAGCGACGACAATTCCGGGTTCATGACAGAATACGTTGCAACCCGCTGGTATCGTGCACCGGAGATCATGTTAACATTCAAGGAGTATACGACAGCGATTGACGTGTGGAGCGTTGGCTGTATTCTGGCTGAGATGCTGAGTGGGAAGCCTCTGTTTCCAGGCAAAGACTGTAAGTCCTCTTTCCCATCCCAAGTTCTGAACTTTTTTTAACCCATCTATTCCCGGCAGATCACCACCAGTTGACGCTGATCTTGGATGTCCTCGGAACCCCTACCATGGAGGATTACTATGGTATTAAATCCCGACGTGCTCGAGAATATATACGTTCTCTGCCTTTCAAGAAGAAGATCCCTTTCAAGGCTCTCTTCCCAAAGAGCAATGATCTGGCATTGGATCTCCTGGAGAAGCTGCTAGCCTTCAATCCTGCAAAGAGGATTACAGTCGATGACGCCCTACGCCACCCTTACCTGGAACCTTATCACGACCCTGGTGATGAACCCACGGCACCTCCTATTCCCGAAGGATTTTTCGACTTTGACAAGAACAAGGATGCTCTAAGCAAGGAGCAGCTGAAGTGTATGTGAATTCTGTATCCATTTTTGTATCAGTCTGCGTACAGCTGCTAACATGTTCTGTTTGAAGACTTGATGTATGAGGAGATCATGCGATAGTGGACTACTTTCCATTGAGGAACAGTTGGATAGGGCTGCGTTCAACTTATGGAACTATCTTTTTTGACGAACATATAGCCCCCCAAGAATCGAGTCTGAGATGCACAAAGGAATTTCTGCAGATTGCAACGATGTCCTCAACCGCCGGAGGACAGTCAGATCCTGCGATTCAATTGATTCCAATACGACCTTCTTGCAAGCTTGGTGATAATACTATCGAAAAGCTTCTCCCCTATCTTCTACTCTTTTTCACCCTCTTTTGTTCACTGACGGAACGTTTTCCTTTGCGATGATCAGTAAGACTACCCCTGATAACTATCCCAGAATGTCCGTTTCAGCACTTTGCTTGAATCGTGATTTGACTGCGTTTCTACATTTTGATGTGATACAAATTATGCCAACATAGCAACTCAACTTCTTGAAGATACTTATGTGCAACATGACTTGAATTCAATCAGCTTTTCTGTTGACTAGGGTATCTATATAAATGATCACTTCCTTCATGCAACAATATCCAACAGAGAGTTCTTCTTCAGTCCACAAACCGGTACATATATAAGCAGCAACCCTCAAGACCTAGACTTTGACAGCATAAATTCCTCTATTCCCGCTCCCACCCCATCCTGACTAGGTTTCTGGGCACAAACATCCACTTGAACTCCATACTTCAAACGAAGATAATCCCTCGTCGTAGGACCAATAGTCGCCACAAAAACCCTCCGCCGACCACCCTGGTCAGATATCGAAGAAGCAGAAGTAGTAGTAGAAGGCCCCAATTCAAGAACCCGAAGCATAGCATCGCACCCCGTCGGCGAAAACACAACAACCCACATCACTTTCTTCTGATCGGTATCGGTATGGGTACGAAGATACCCCCGTCCTGCATCAACGACAGACCGGAACTGCTCCTCAAACGACTCCATCACAGCCGTCTCGTACACGACGCGTTCGTGCACTGTTATCCGTTGAGAATCAGGTAGTGATTCGCTCATGAGCGTTTTAGGTATGATGTCGCGGCGTTGCTCGCCTACCAGAAAGAGGAGGGGGGGTTTGGGTTTAGGTTTGTCGCTGTGCCCGTCGCCGTGTCCATCATAATTATCAGTGTGGTATAGCGAGTTATAATGCTCCAGGATGAATTTTGCCAGGTTCTCCCCGTTCCCTGCGTTGGAGCCGTGGATCTCTGCGTAGGGAAGGTGGGAATCTCTCAGTGTTCCCAGAGACCGGGATGTTGCGGGCCCGACGGTGTAGAGGAGTAAAGAGCGAGATGCTTCTGTTGCGATTGGGACTAGATATTTCCATCAGCAATGCGATATGATATAATTTATTTGGTTTGACAAGGAGAGGGGGAAGTAACAACATACCCCCAATCTCACCAACGACTAATCTCGCAAACCCCTCTACAGCCCTCTGGCTCGTGAATATCAGTCCTCCATATTTTCTTTCCGGCCCCGGGTTAAGCGATCCAGAGACGAATAGCTTCTTGACTTCGTCTAGACTCGGGGTGTTAAAGCGGTGTTCCAGGACAGGGACGAAAATGGGGTGGTAGCCGCGCGCGGAGAAGAACTCTTCGTAGCCGTCGTGCGGGGTGGATTTGGTCTTTAGGAGGAGGATGGGCGTTGATGTGAAGTTGTAGGTGTCTGTGTTTGGGGGTGCCATTCTTTTTCTATTCTTCTTTTCTTATTTTTATTCTTTAAGTGATGCCATGGATATGTCCATTTGAAGACGTTTCTTTCCGCGGGGAATGAGAGCTCCGCCGTCCCCGACTACGTTATGACGTTGTTGGTCTACAGGGTAATTCTTCGCACAGCAGATAACGGTTAATAGGGTATTCAATTGGACTTTCTGATTTATTATCTACACATAGTAGTACCTAGAAACACTGTAGTAACGCCCGAGGAACAACAAAAGAAATCGATTCGACTAGTCAAGTTTATGTACATATCTAACAAACGCAGAGAACTACTGATCGTCCAGGACGTGCACATACTGCCTCTCTTCCTTCTTCTCCCGCTCAGTCGCTGGGGGCAGGTCGTAGTAGGAAGAGCTCCGGTAACCTTGCTATGAGATAGTAAGCCATCTACATCCAATTGTTGTCCAATGCCACAAATCCCACTTACCAGGTAGTGGAAGGTTAGGTTGCTCAGCTCTGCTGGCTCAATTCCAAGATCCTTGAATGTCTTGGCAGTCGGGTCGATCTTCTGATCGATGAACTCCCGCTCGACTTCGTCGGCAGAGATGATGTTCCACCACAAGAACTTGTTGAGGTAGTGAGCTGCGGGCTTCAAGATCGCCTTGGGGACATTGATGTGACGGCGGTGCTTGATGATCTCGCGGTCAACGAGCTCCGCAATTTCAGCAGTAGAATAGTTCTTCGGGCCATAAAGCTCAAAGGTCTCGCCGGCGGTCGTATCGTCGTGCAGCATAGCTTCAAGAGCGGCGCCGACGTCAATTGACTAATACTAGGTCAGCAAACAACTTCCGTCAGTAGAGATGCGTTACCTACATGTACTGGCCAGAACCGCTCCTGCATATGGTTGGCCGTGAAGAGGTTTGTAACGCCGGCAAGCTTGTGAAGAAGGTTGTCTTCGAAGCCAAACACTGGCGCTGGACGAACGATGGTAGTCTCAGGGTAGATGGAGCGCGCAACTTCCTCACCCCAGCCCTATAATCAAAATTAAATACTCCAGTTCCTTCTTGGGTAACTTAAAATAGAGTGGGACGAACTTTAGTGGCAAAAAACTCAGATGGAGAGTCCTTATTTGCGTTGTAGGAAGAAACGTGAACGAATCGGTCCACATCATACTTAGCGACAGCCTCGGCGATGCGCTCAGTTCCATCGACGTGAACATCTACATAGGAAAAGTTCCTGTAAATTTTATTAGAAGAGTCATCTGGCAAAAGATACTCCTTCGCAACAGCCTTACTTCGTAGGATACTGGCGACCAACGAGGTTGTAAACGATATCGGAATGACGGACACTTTCCTCAATCGACTGGGTATTGCGCAGGTCATATTCCTAGGAACGGGAGCGGTTAAATTAGCGATAGCCAGACGGGCACCGGAGGTAGGATGGCCTATACAATGAAAACAACTCTTCCTAGATCACCGGAGACCTTCAGATGACGCTTCATCATCTCCTCTCGGTAGGGTACAACCACGGTGCATCCCTGGCGCGCTGCGTATCGAGTTAGCTCCTCCTCGGCTTCGTCTTCCCGCCGAATAGCCTACCAAGTCTGTTGACAATGTATCGACCCAGGAAACCAGTAGCACCGAAAACCGTCGCGGTATGGCCTGAAAAGGAGAGGATCTTATCAGTTGAGCTCTAGAGAACGCTAAGTAGTTCGGAGAGTCAGCATACCTCCTAGGGACGATCTACAAATGGAGACTGTTAGCCGTGCACATGTTCCTAACATAATCACCACCTTACCGTCCACCTGGAACTTTTAAAATTGGCTTTCCAGTTCTAGTGATCGCGACATCCTGGATATTCCGGCGTTGAATTTGGAATTGAAGCCTTGAGGCGGGGCCTAACGCCCTTGAGCCCAGGCCGGGATTGATGGCCCGGCACTTCTGCATGGTCTCTCAAAAGGATATGAGTAGAATGAGACCGCGCAATTGTGTCCGAGCTCCGAGTTAGTCAGGGATTGAAGAAAGGATGGAGCAAATGCGAACTGAACTCAGCAGATCTGGACAGGACGGTGCAGGAAGCTTGAAGTTGTTGTCGAGGTCGGCCAAGCACGGGACTTTGGCGCTATTCCCAATTAGGTGCAATGCGCGTCCAATTGGATTGTATGGGATTACTGATTATTCTCTTGTGCTGCTACACTTGCTCTGGATTGCTCTGGACTGCAGAAATCGCTATGGAAGACTACGGCTTTCTCGAAGACATGGAAGTCGAAAATTAACGCTTCGCCTAAACACGCCGAGCCCTAGCTATGAAGATGGTCTTTTCAACAGCCACCCCGTTTCTCGTGTGTGAGAACGGTTCATCCACGACCTGGTAGTCGAAATTTGCGCTCAATCCGGCGTCTTCAAATAGCTTTTTCATATCATCTGAGGTAAAGCCATGCGTCTTGACGGTATGAGAGACGTCTTCTGAGATTCTGTGATTGTCAGGGACGAAGTCTATGACAACACAAGTGCCGCCACTCTTCAGCCTGTCTCCGAGGCGCTTCAGCGCCAGGCCAGGATCAGCAAAGTGATGGAACGCCATGCTGATGAGTACTAAATCGAAATTGAAGAATTTGGGGTCCGACAATTCAGTAGCAGCAGTCGCTGCGACGAGATCGCCTTTGTAGGCAATTAATCGGTCCGATAGTGCAGCTTCTCGCGCGTCTTTGTTGAATTCATTGACCATGCTGTCGGAGAGGTCCAACCCTATGACCTTTGTCAAAAAGGGGGCCAGTGTCTTATCATACAGATTAGTATCCAGACGAGGACAATGGATCCTGATCCAACTGGGGAAACCAACATACAATAGACAGGATGCCAACTCCACAGGCATAATCAAGCATCTTAACCTCCTGCCCCTTTCCTGCTGGAGTATCGGTCCATTTGTCACTGATCCAAAGTCGACGGGTCAGGACCTGATTGCACAGGAGTCTCAGAAGGTGAGAGAATTCTGTTTTATAGGACAAAGCCTTCTGGCTACGGTGCTTGTTAGAAATAATTCCATATGATATGTAACATACTCGACAGGAATAGGAATGATCTCACTCGAAATGCTGGCGATTGGCCTCGGTGAATTCAGCCATGACTTCAAATACGTTTTCCCAGAGTGTGACTATGAGGATCAACTAGGGGTTCGAATAAGTATCTAGAGAAAGAAGCTGATATTTATTACATTCCAAAGGCTACAAGGGACCCCACCTAGCTCGGAGACATGTCGGACACTTTTGCTGTTGATGCGGTTGATTCGCTGCGAGGGTGAGACACTGTCCAGCTATAGTAGAGCTACGCTAAGTAGAGCTAGGTACAAGAAATGCGTGGTTGGATTGGATCTTTCCGGGCAGAATGAAGGAGGGCCATGAAACATGTAGGTGTAGATGTAGGTGGAAGTGGAAGTAGACGTATAAAGTGGAGTAGGGCGGCGCAGAGGCACCTGTTGAGCTCCGCATCGGCCAAAGCGCTTCTTCTCCATCACAGCATCCTTCTTGTCGTCATTCTCGCTGCCCAACTCCAGTTCTACGAGCTGCTTCTCACCCAGCCTCCATCTGCAAGCTCTGTATTTGCGTCTTGGTCTCCTCTCTCAATCCAGCTTCCCTTTCCCCGTCTTCGCTGCTCCCAGCTCCCAGTACCGACTGTTGATCTATCGTGTTCAGTACATCCCCAACAGCTCTGCTTCCGCCATGGAGGCCGAAAAGATCTCCGATTTCCTTGCAGACCAGCTGCAGCAAGCTCCTCCGCAATTACAGGCGGCCTTTTTAACCTTTGAGGACTACTGGGAGCGAAAGCTATGGCACCAGCTCACCAACGCCTTGATTGACTTCTTCCGCCTACCAGAAAGCGCTCCGCAACGGTTACCCATCTTCAAGTCCTTCATTCTCAGCTTTGCCGACAAGATTAATCAGCTCAAGTTTGTCTCTCTAGGGCTGATGGCATCGACAGAATGCTCCGGTTTGTTTATCCCTTCCTGTTACGCGTCCGACTCTGGAGGCTGCATCAGGCTGGTCGACATTCGCGATTCTCGTTTTCAATGCTAACTCCGAATTCATTCCAGATGACCAAGAGAGACTGGCTTTCCTTACATCACTCGCGGATAGGGTGAACAAATCAGAGACACAAGACGCATATGTTTACGCGCTTGCGGATGTCGCCAGTGTCAAACTACGACTACAGAACCTCGAGGGGGCGCAGAAGGACCTGGAAACGTGCCAGAAAACCTTGGACACATTCGACTCTGTTGAAACTGTTGTTCACGCATCCTTCTACAAAGTAAACGCAGATTACTACCATGTGAGATCCCCCGTTCCGCTCTTCACCTGCATGTTTTTCTTTTTGGAAGGACAGCCTAACTAACACCCCCCATCCACTCCTCCCACCCTCAGGCCAAAGAAGAATTTGCCGCATACTACAAAAACGCCCTCCTCTACCTTGCCTGCATCAACCTGGAAGACATCACAGAGCCTGAGCGCGTGTCCAGGGCCTATAATCTCAGCGTTGCCGCTTTAGTGTCCGACTCGATTTACAACTTTGGCGAGCTGCTCCTGCACCCAATCCTGGACTCTCTTACAGAGACCCCTCACAACTGGCTCCGCGACCTCCTTTTTGCGTTCAACCGTGGGGACCTAACGGCCTACGACGTTCTGGCAGGCAACATCACCAAGAACAAGCTGTTGGAGCAACATCGCATCTTCCTGTACCAGAAGATCTCCCTCTCAGCACTGACGGAGATGGTCTTCCGCCGACCCCCTCATGACCGCAACCTCACTTTCAACGCCATTTCCTCCGAGACCAAGGTCAAGCCTGACGAGATCGAGCATTTGGTGATGAAGGCGCTGTCCCTCGGCCTGCTTAGGGGCTCGATTGATCAGGTCGCTGGGGTCGCGCAGATCAACTGGGTACAGCCTAAAGTTCTCGACATGAAGCAGATTGAGGGTATGCGTAACAGGCTTAAAGAGTGGGACGCCGGGGTTAACCAGCTTGGACACTGGATTGAAGGGGTTGGCAAGGACGTTTGGGCCGCATAGAACGAGTTCTATCCTAGCAATATAGGAGTCATTGCATCCTTGCATTATAAGACTTGATTTTTAGAATTAGAGTTATTGTGGTAAAGAAGCAGTACTCTGAGTAATGCATATGCACAATTGCCCTACAACTTAACTGATAGTTGTTTATGCTACAGCTCGTAGCAGAATGTGATGCTAAGGGTAAAGTTTTAGATGTTGAGATTATATTTCGTGTAAGCCCAGCCCATAACCAGCGTTAGCTTTTTGACGTAGTGGCTACAATTTTGTTCAACACTGGTATGTCTCTATCTCCGCCTCTTTCTCTGTGTCCGATTATGTTACAGTCATAATGCCTACTGAGGAGAAAGTCAGCTGAGCTCGACCATATTCATAGATCAAAGTCCTCTTACTTCTATAGCTAGGAGAGTCGGAGAGGATAAAGCTAGCATAGCTATTAGAGTGATGTCCCTTGAAACCCCTCAAGTGGAAAACATATGCCTGTAAAGTATGTATTTAAAGTCGCGACCAACACTCCATCTACCAGACACATAGGACTTTTCAATATGAACAAAACACAAGGAAAAATAACTAGCTCAGCAATGAACAGCCCAGTAAAACCCCTCCTACCAACCAAGAAGGCCACCAGACACACCAAACAACCACCTGCGTCCACATGCCCCATACATCCCACCCGAAGGCAGCTTGAACAAGAACCTTCTCAACATCCACGCCGAAGAAATGGCAGACAACTAGAAGTACGACAGGCGGGGAAAATGCGTTCAGGACGAGTAACCCTATTACAGAGAAAGCGTAGCACAGGGGGCCATTACTGGGGATCGGGGAGATGAAGCTGAATGGAATACAGAGGAGACCGATCATAAAGGCGAGGGAGAAGTTGAGCGTCGCAAGGGTAGACAGGAAGATACCAAGGAGAAGGAGGGAGAATGATTTGATGAGTAGATACTGCTGTGGTGTCGGAGAGTGGACAAGGCCATGTGTCAACACGGCTGCGAGGAGAAGGGGGAGGAAGAAATCGACAACTGTGAAGGTGTAGGTTGCCATCGTGAAGTACTATTCGTAGACCCAGGTTAGTATCTCTATATTTGTTTTCCCCTTTCTTGTCCGACAGGTCGATTCCAAGGATTCGATATGTGCGCTACTGACCTCGTGAAAAAGATTGTTGAAGATATACAAAGGGACCAGACCAAGGAAGTGTAGTCCAACGACAAGGGTGAGAGGAAGAGCCAACTGTCTTTCCATGACCCGGGTATCTTCTTCGTCCATCTCATTCGAGCCCTGACCCAAGGTTCCACGCTTTCCTTGCGCATCGACTACCATAGCTGTGGCGGGCTTTTTGTCCCTGGATTTAGCTATGGCAGAAGATCTTAGGCGATCCTTTCGATAATAACCGGTTCGCAACCACACCGCAATCGCCATGATTGTAAAATTACCTGCAATCAGCATCGCACTGGGAAGATACGTCCCGATACTGACGAACCGATTTGCTTGCATGAGCAGATAGAAGAAGAAGCTCTGGTGCAAGTGTTCTAGTAGGTTATTCAGACTGCGGCAGAGACTTTCAATAGTCCGTCCCAATGCCATCTCGTCCTGCCAGCCATCACCCTTGGTTTGTATAGTAATCGCATCGATGTGGTAGGGCATAAAGCTGCTGTGAGCTCCAGTGGCATACCCAAATCCTTGCTTAACCATCCCTCGAAGAATGGTCTCCAGTCGCTTCCAGTAACTATCATCATGATTCCACATCTCTTGCAAACTGGTACCAATCCCCATCTGGCCACTGGCGATGGAGATGGCCGTATTGAAAAGGTCCAGGTTAGGTAACTGCCCATTGACGCCATCGTAGACAATATGCAGTGACTCGAACCGATGATCAAAAGGATACTCAATCACCAGAGCCCCTTGCAGAGCTCCGCTCTTCAGCGGAAGAGGTTGGACTGTTGGCGGATGCATATCATGGTATGCATCGATCCATGCCTGCGTCCCAGATTTACTATCTGGCGGGAACAAGAATATAATATCCTTAGACCATAAAGACCATCCTGTAAGACAAAAAAAATATTTTCCGTCAGCTGTTGTTCGCTTCGCCCTCCCAGAAATCATAGACAGAACCCACTTTTGAAATATCGGGCCAAAGTCAGTGCAAGAATAACCGCGTTCAGGTTCAATTCCTCTTCTGCAGTCCTCTGCGGCACGACCAAGACGATTGCCTCCGTAGCGTCTCCCCGAGGTGCGTGAATAATGGCATAGACATTCTGCCCCTTATACGAAATACCAGCGGAAGTATATTCGTAATTCTGGGTAGCGACCTTCAACCCAGCAGCTCGCAAAATCGATTGAACCTTATTGGAGACCCTAATCGCCATTCCAAAAGAAAGCAGGAAACAGAATTCCTCAGCATAATTTTATTCAAGCAAACAGATGCAGCCATGTTCTAATATATCCATGATTCCAGCTATGGGTAGGTTCGAGAGAAGAAAAAGACGTACCCTGGTGTCAAGTCTCCAACCTGACCCTCCTCTTTATCCAACAATCCCTCTAGCTCTTTCTTGTACCCACGAAAGATGTTCTGCTCGCTTCCTCCAAAATACGTATGGACCTGGCCCGGTAAGAGAGCGTTCTCGGAGATGTACGTCTGTCGGGAGTATTCGTCGAGGGGCAGAAGAAGAAGCCAAATGACGCCAATGATGATACATAGGAATGACAGAAAGTATGGCAGCCGCACGAAAAGAAGGTGGGGGTTACTCCGCAATTTGCGGATTGAAGCTGCATGTAGCTCATGGCTTTGATGTCAGCAGCTTGAAATGTGCGGAGTACGCGTTGATTGTTGAACAGATGGGGGCGTCCTGCAAGCGAGAGTATTGACAGTGTATCGACAAATAGGACTCACATTTCAGCGCCATTAAATGAGATCATTCGACGACCTTCTTCAGTTTCTTCCCATGCTGCAGCGATTGACGTCGGACGGAGCTGGGAGCTCCCAAGAAGCAACAGATATATAGATTTACGTCATGCTCTACAGACCACTTGCGCAACTCGAGATTGAAATCCATCACGCAGCGATATTAATACAATTTCTAGATAACCTAAATATACACACGAAGTTATGACATAGAGCTAAATTATAATATTCCGCATCGTATGCGCTCAAGGGCCTAGACGTTGTGTGGATCCTAGATAAGTCATGGGTGCTGGGCTTGCTCCAACAACACCTGCAGTCGGCAAAACCCCATAACGGCCATATGTCTTTTGGTCCACAGAGACATAATGGGGAAGCCGGCCCAAAAGGTTCAGTTTGCCTTCAATCCACCTGAGAATTTTCTCGGGGGGCACAAACACCTTGAGATACCCAAGGCCGACTAATAAGAGGTCAGCAGTCAGCAACCAGTAGGTATTGGATCCTCGCTGGTAACTCACGTAAATAACCGATAAGAATCGCGCATATATGACCCAACAAGCTCGTGTTTGGCACGAGAAGAGAAACGAAAACACAGGCGATCAAGGGAGATGTCCACGTGGGAATCTTGTAAGTACCGAGACTGGCAGACCATCAGCTATGGACATGCAGACCATTATGCAGGCTCACGCAGGGAACATACGCAAAATAAGGATTGGACTTGAATGTCCTAATGGCCTCGGATGCCAAGAGAAGGAAGACCCAAACACTGCCCAGAACAAGTTAGATACCCTTTTTTCCAACCAAGAAGTGAGGGTTCCAACACTAACCTCGCACCAATAATGGCTACATTTCCCCGTAAAATAAATTTCTCAATAAATATGTAGAGACCGGCTGGGAAAGTAGAGAGAGCTACGGTAGAAATATTGTTAGCACAGAAATTTGTCTCCTTAGTACTTGTAGAGAAAAAAAGAAAAGGGAAAACTCACGACCAAGAAACAAAGCAACGGCAGTAAGGGTACCATGCTCCGCCTCAAACCGTTCCAGCAAAGGCATAAGAGCCAACGTATTCAAAAAAGCATGGAAAAACCCCAAATGGATAAATGGATAGGTATTGAGCCGGTACACTGTTTCATTCCTCAATTAGCCCGGTTAAAAAAAAAGAGAGAGAGAGAGAGAGCCAATGCGAGCAACATACAGGACGCAAACCCAACATCATCCGGGGTCACTGCCCCCCACTCCACAACGTTCCATATATTTGGCAATTCGACTATCCAAAATATAACGATGAGCAGCAAGACAATCCTTGTGAAGAGCGGCAATCGTAGTACGTATGATCGTATCTTGTTGGGGTTGATCGGCAACGGAGGCAATGAAGCAGCGGGAGGAGGAGCCATAGCGACTTAAGGTCGTTCAAGGTCGTTATGTGTCGTTATATTCGTCACACCGGAAAGTTTCCCAAACAGGCGCAAAAGGTCTTCTTGTCCTAATGGTACACCGAGTACCGATGGATCGATTATGCAGGGGGTAATGGAACTGTATTCATCAAAGGCGCAAGCTGGCCTTCTTCACGGGGCAACGGAGACTGTCCACCGGCGTGGTAAAAGCAGAAACACTTGCAGTGCAAAAAGAGAAAGGATAGATCCCAGAAATGCAGTCGAAAGGAAGGGATCCGATGTGTTACTCCGTTAATCGACAAATTGAAGAATGTGCGATTATAGGGGATGGACGCAGTCAGGACATAAAAGGCAGTCTCGAAAGGGATGTTTTGTTGAATTTTCCTTAATTTTTTTTCCAACAAAGCCGTGGTCCTGAAGATCATGCAGGGACTAGAGGGAGTTAAAGGGATCTGCCCCTTGAGCCGGTCGTTCTCCGTAGAATTAGATGCATGCGACTCCTATTCCAACTTCTCCAGCGAGACCCGCAGCGATTTCCCACGGAAAGTCCAAGACTGGAGTAGGTCATGTGACTGATTGAGACGATAAGATTACCTGGTCTACGCTGCTCCATTTTTCCGCAGAAGGATCTCTTCATACAACGTGTACGTTCCATTGCTCATGAATCACAGGGGCCAGCTATCGTTACTACCTGCGCGCATGTCCCAATATATCTACAGGAAGTTCTTGAACCACTGGATGGCCTGGCAGAAAGCCTGCTCCTTAGCCCACTTCTGGTACACATCACTGAGATCAGTGCGAACCGCGAATCCATGCACGACACCGCTGTAAAGGTTTATCTGCCACCGCTGGCCGGTCTTAATGAGTGTGTCCTCAGACTCATGGCGGAGCTGGGTAGTGAAGATGTTATCGGTTTCTATCCGTAAAGACGGGAAATTAGTTGGGGGGTTACATAGCATAGCAAAACTGCCGGAAACAGGGAGCCTTACCAGCAGCGGCAATTGACAGGGGACCCTGAATAGCCGCGAGTTCCTCATGTGTAACGAAGGATGGGTGGGCGACGTAACCGACGTCAACTTTGTCGGCCTTCAGCCAGCGGACAACGTACTATAATTATAACATTTTGTCAATAAAGTGAAAGCATCTTGGCTATAGATAAGGAAATGTACTCACCTTGGCACCGAAGCAATATCCCACAGCGCCAATCTTCTTAGCCCCCAGCTCCTCCTTGGCGTACTTCAAAGCCGCGCCAACGATAGGTTCAACCTGCTCAGCCTGGTGGTTCTTAAGCCAAGAAGGGACATCGACCTTGCCGGAGTTCATATCCTCTAGTTTGAGGGCATCCTCGCGGAAATAATCCGGCAGCACAGTCGCGTATCCATTTGCCGCGAATTCGTCCGCGAGAAGCTGGCTGTTGGTGTAAATGCCGAAGACATCGGGCAAGAAAAGTATGGCCTTTTCTGTCTTCTGGCCCTTGGGGAGAGTAACGTAGGTGTTTACTTTTAAGAGGGGCATTAGTATAAACTCAACAACCAAGGGAGAAGAAGAAGACAGAAAGAAGTCCCGACTCACCACCTCCAACGGTCTTAATTTCACCCACTGGAGTTCCTTCATGCTTGAAGCCGGAAGCACAGCACTGGCCTGGGGGGTTGGACGCCATTCTGAAAAAGGAGATATATGTTTACGGAAATAACAAAAGACAGATAGATCAACGTAGATACAGACGCAGATGCAGGTACTATATAGGATCAAGTTAGTGAGAAACGGATGGAAGACGAAACAAGCGGCCTCTTAATAAGAATGCCCCTCCTTCGTACAGCCAGCTCCATTAATTATTGTACCCCACCAGGTAAACGGAAACACATAATTGATTAATATTTGCTACTCCACCATCCTAGCGTCTTTTCCCATGCCTGAGGCATGCAATAAAGCAACACCAACTCCAATGCATCAAGAGCACCAATTCCAGCACTTGTTATATTAAGCTAATTATAATACATTTGAATACCATAGAGAGTATGCTTTTGAGGTCTTTGTTGTAAGGGATGTAGCTGGATAACCTAGGCTCACCCACAAGGCCAAAAAGACCAGCACTATCCACGCTCAGCGGATAGGACCCAGACCCTGCCTAAGTACACACTGAGGAATCCTGTATAGCGCTGCCACTATGGGGCTTGGCCTGTGTTCGGCGCTTAGATTTATATGGTCAGTTCCACCACAATTCATACATTTATTTGGGCCTCAACTACTTCGGATTGACTAGGCTCCTGCTTAGTACTCAGCCTTGGAATGGTAGAGCCTCAAGGCTGTGCTGGCTCAATATGCCGGTGAGGTTCAAGGAGCAATTGTGCAATCCCTTCATGTATTAAATGCCAATGCGAGTGGAAATTATCAAGTATAATGCCATAGGCTACGCCCAGGCATATTGCAAAACTCAGGGCCAACAACTGAGTATTCTGTCTGTCCCATTTGTTCCATTTGTTATCAGCTCACCTATATCATTGTACACAAAGGCCGCTGTCTCTTGAAAAATCCCACCTTGTTCTTCTCCCTTTCTCAAGGAATGCTTCGTGTATCTAGCATACAATGAATTCTATATTCAAATCCTTACACTGAGAATGCTGGCTGACATTGAGTAAGGGCTGCTGTGTTTGCATGCCAAAGGCAGAGGAGTGTTGCAGCAGAGGGAAAGATAGTTAAAGCTGCATTTATAACTGCAAGATAGCAATCCATCAAAATAACAGATGTGTAAGGGCTTGTAAGGGCTGGATGGCAGTGATGGCGTGAAGAGGTAATCAGTATACAGAGAATGCTAAGTGCGATAGTAGGGAGGAAAACGTAGGGTCCTTATTGTGTAAGAACTAATCACTAACTTCTCTACGGTGTTGCAGAGTTCAGCTAAGTACATATTATCTTGTGTAGCCTAAGGCTGCTGCATTTACAGCCTTACAGTTCTGACCTGCACATAAGTCTCATTGTATAGCTGCAATTTGATTATAGATATCTTGCTATGTAGCTAGAGAGCCACTTTGCTACGCAACTACTTGAATCTCTTTTGGCAAAATACCAGCATTTGAAAAGCCTGCTGTAAAGGGGGGCGTACGTGCGTTGTTCCCTGCGACAGGAACCGGGTTGTGATCGAGGGATCTCAGGAATGGATATACCAAGGCGATGCCGCTATACCACACGGCACCGAACGATCTTAGCAAGAAATCGATATAACGATAAAAGGAAACACAACGACGAAGGGGCCTCGCTCCGCTCTATACGACGATAACAATACTAGTGAAGCAACCTAGAAACCAAAGGAATGCTCTATTTCTCGTAACTATCTGGGAGGGAACCCTCCATTAAGTACTCCGGCCGCGGGCTCCACCATACATTAGTATGTCGGAGTCGGCGGTTCTACGGTGTTCCAAGATAGGAAATATGGGAGATCCGGGGTTTCGCAGTGCCCCCGGCACACTGCAAGTTGTGAAGTGCCTCCAGAGAGTGCTGATGTACTGGACGGGCAGATAGATGGTGGATTAGCTCATGGTTATATACAGAGAAGTGCAGATTCAGATTGGCACAATGCTTTAGAATCTGGCTGCCATTAGTTTACTCTTTAGCTAAGACTAAAAAGGGACAGCTAGTCTTTTGAATAGTTGTTTTCCTCTAGCGCTCCTCCAACATCTTTAGGTGGATGGTGGCTTTGATCACATGTGTATACGACTGTACAAGAGCCATTCTTCTCTCTTGTAGATCTCTGGGTAGTGAAGGTGTAGCCTCTTGTCCTAGCCCGTAAATTAATTGAATCACATAAGGCTTTTGAGACGTAAAATAGCCTTCCGGAGGAAGGCAGTTGGGCGTTGGTGTTCTACATGCTGCGCTGCTCTTGTAACTATTTGCACTTTCGACGATTACGTAATCTTTATAGATTAGTTAAATAAGCACACGGATCCGTCAATCTAGTGAGAGCCTGAGGTTTGGCAGAGCTTATGAATCTTAAGCGCTGCGTGCGATGTTCTACAGGCAGATACATCATTCCATGTATGTATCACAATATTCAGGACTTGGATGAGGCAGCTTCTGTTCAACGTGAAATATCATTATTTAAATAATCTTGCCATTGGATGAACGCCAGGCATTCATATGTACGTGCATAAACATTAAATCCACAGAGCTGGCAGCCATTCATTCCCTCCCAGCTCAGACACATTACATGTCTCCAGTCCAGTCGATTCCAATAACCACCTCATTATCGCATCTGTGACACATTCGTTCGTGAGAGGAGACACCATTCAGCATAACTGAGAAAAGGAAAGACGTTAAAAAAGTTGGTTGTCCTGTCCACTGGAATGGAAAGGGCACCAATCATGGTAGATAGCATATGTCCGACCGACGAGAAGCGACATATTAAATAATCAAAGATCAAAGAATTTCGGGGTATAAAACTGTTTCGAAATCAATGCGAATTCGCAAAATATTCGACCATTAGCTTATGTGCTGGTTATTTTTTATATTTTTTCTCCGGCATCATCTGTATTGACGCGGCAGGTTGACAAAATAAGCGGTCGCAGAACCGTTCTCAATAATCGGTGTCTCGCGGGGTTTAAGCCGGGAAGCGATACGCAGTGGGTTGCGGAGGCATTTCCCTCCTCACGGCCCAAGCCTTGAGGGCGACAGCCAGGACCTCGCAGGCCATGATGAATGCGGTCAATCCCATTCCTACGGTCATCGTGAACATGGAATCTACCTCGAAGTACATCATGGCTTGGATAATATTCCTGGTCTGTTGGAAAGGTCAGTGGGATTCACGACTTTTATTCATTAATGGGTAAGGGTGAACTTACGCTCATCATGAAAATGAGACCGCCACCCATCAGGCAAAACGAAGCAAGAATCTCACTGGGAGGGCGACACGGGTAATGCGAAGTTGGGGGCTTCAAGAACAAGATGACATATGTCACAAGTCTAGCAACGGCGAACCCACTCAACAGGTTGCCCCATTGCTGGTGTACCATTGACGAAAGCATGCTATCTTGGTGGTGGGATCCCATCATAGACCCCAGCAGAAGAATCACCAAAGCAGGCATCGGGTTGAGTGATACACTCTGTGTGCTAGGAACACGCCAGGAATTGTTTTCGTTGTAGCCACGCACAGAAAGATGAGAAGGGAACTGCAGGACAGTATTGTTGATCCATTCCTTAACCCGCTTAGATTCAAAGAGCATTCCGCACTATTGAGGAGAGGTATGTCAGCAATGATTCCCGATTAACAAAGAGACGGAATTCTTACCAGGCCTCCACCAAAGAACAAAATGGATATAGCCACATGCTCCAAATCTACAGCAGTCCACGCACCACCCCAACTCGCCAGATGCTCCAGGAACACATTGGAGGCACCGTACAGGAAGATAACAAGAGATTCGACGAACTCGGCGGTGGGAATTTTGGCCTTCCACTTGCCGACAACCTCTGCAGGGGGCTTAACATTCCAAGCCCAGCCGAAGTCCGACCAGCAGCCGAGGAATCGTCCCAGGGTCAGCAGACCGTACCAGAAGAAAATGCCGCCCTTGATGAAATGTGCGAGACCGTTGAATACTTGATTTCCTCTCTGTAAGGTTTGCATTAGCGCGAGGTACGCTCCCGAGTAACACAGAGGATGAAACAAAAAGAAAAAGACCGCTTACCATGATGCCACCGTAGGTAACACCGCCCGTCGCAATGGCAATGAAGCCGAATGGCAAAATTATCCTGTCAATGATCACGTAGACAACGTTAAGGATACCCAGGACACGGCTCGACACCATTCCAGGCACGCGGCTGGCTAAGAAGCGGTCGGCAACAGTGTTACGCAGCCAGCTCCGAGGACCGACCGGTTTCGTGGGGACGTAATTCTCGGGCTTTTCGAAGTCATCGTATTCTGGAGGCACACAGGTTGGTGATGAAGGGCCGCTTTCATTTGGCTCTGTCCCCTGGCCACTGTCTCCAGACCAACGGTATTCATGGAGCGCACCGGATGGGTACATACGCTGGTGGCTGGCGGTCTCATCCGTGGAGACGGGAAGGAATGCCGCCCGCTCGGATGGGGCGACATCCGCATCACCTCTTCCGGCATAGGTGAAAATCAATGACATAACTACTTGCGCGCCAGCAACACACGATGCGATCCAGCCAATTTTGTGATGGGCGTTGTTCTCGTAGAGGTCGGGGGTTTGGCCATTGTATATGATTCCAGTGAGCATGCCGAATGCGTTGACGATCAGGAAGAGGAATTGCGTAGGCAGGGCATAGCGAGAGCGCGCAACGCTGAGCATGACAGCTACAACAATAGGTGATTAGTTGACCACTGCGAAGGGAGCTGGGTATGGCCAGTGGATAGTAGCTCACCTGCTGGAAGGACGAAGCACCATCCAAGAACCATGAGCCCCGCGTGGGCGACTATGGTACCCGAATGAGCTCCGTATGCAAAGTAGCTCATAGGCGTATCAGCCTGGGCCTGCGCTGTTGGCGATGGTTGGGGCTCTTCATGAGCCATGCCTCCCATGTCCATGTCATCGTCTCCATGCGGGAGACCACTCGCGAGAGTCGCGAGGGCCAGAGTTGTCGCCAGTAAGGCGAGGGAAGTTGAGCGCCTCATGAGGTTTGCGAAGAGCTCAGGAATATAACGGCAATGATAACGAGGGCGCTGATGACCCTTTGGATGATACACTGCAACGCGGTAGCCGGTGTCGTAGGGAACCTTTCCTGGTCCCTTCAGTCAAACTGCACAAGTCCTAATCCTGTGTAGTGTGAGGCTGAAGGACGATGGCGATGAGAGAAGAAGCTCCAGGGGAGGGGTAGATCCTTAAGGCTGCAGAAAACTCAGAGACAAGGACGTAAGGGGTGGACGGAAGGAAGAAAAGAACTGAAGAAAATAAGAGAAGTGGAGGAAGAGAAAAAAAAATTATTTAAAAAAAAGCACCTTTGACTTTTTATTGCAAATTCAGTAGTAATAATAATAGAGAACCGGCAATAAGTCACCTAAGCCAATGAACCCGCTCTTTTCTACGGAATCAACCATTCCATCGAGCGGGGATGATGGTAAATAATATGCAGCAGGCCGTGGAAACAAAGTGCCGAGTGACCGTCCAATTCTACGGAGGAATATCTGCTGCAGCTACCTGCACAGGCAAAACAGCTGCCGGGCTCCAGGATGCGCTCATACGCCGTAATCGACGCAATGGGTCTGGGAGTCGATGGCAAGGAACAGGCTACAGCTTCACCACGGACAGTGACCTCATCCAAGGTACCGGGAGCCACTTCAGGAGCTGGCGAGCAGGTACAAACCAGCTTGGATACAAGCATGCTTCCCCGGGGGCACATCTCGGTCTAGGGCACTCTTATGACGCGGATGTGCATTGCGCTGGCGCCGGACAGGGCGCCACCAGTCCAGGCAGCCAAGGCCGTTGAACGTCCCGTTGATTGACTATCATTATTATCGTCATTGGCATGCCTCGTCTCCTAGATTTTCCAGAGGAATCCAGGCGTCTTGGAAGTTGGGACCTCGACGGAACTCCGGCGTTGAGAAGAATGAATAATATCGGCATTCGGCACCATGCAGAGTAATTTTTGGAACCGCAGTTCAGTATTCCCCCCTTTTTCCCTTTTTCTTTGCTTCCTTTTTCTTTTTTCCTCAGCCCGAGGCATTTACCCAGCCTGCAGGTATACGCAGCTTACGCAGCTATACGCTGCAGCCAGTGGTGATATCGGATCAGCCGAATCCGAACAACGGCCATTCATTTTCTAGCCAGGATGCGGAGAACATCATGGCACATGTTGGCCACGGCTCAAGCGAGAGCAGATATGGTCACCGACCTCATCTATCTTAAACGATGGCTGCTATTGATGCATTGCATGGCTGGCGCCCGGACGAGTCGGTTGGGCTCCATGCTGCAGCACACTCGCTATGCGCCATTATTAATGATTAATTACGCCTTTGCCGGCGCGTAGTCCGTATCTTTTGCGATGATCATCGTTGGACGATCATCAATGAGCATTCACAAGACCTTCTGATTCCTGAATCATTCGGGGTCTTGGACAGCCTGAGCCAGCGGGTTGCCCGCGGTTCCAACCTTGTCCCAGGGTATGCGCGCATATGGATAAAGGAGACATAATGTCTCAAAGCGAATCAGGCCATTTGCAGAGGGCATCTATCGCGCAGTTATACTCTATATAGCATGATGTCACGGCGTTCCGTGCTCCATAATCACAATCTGCAGATGGATCTGGTCTGGGCACAACAGAAGAAACCGGGATGGAACGGTTCAGTCGGACTCGCAGTGGACTGCCATGCCCATTCTTCAGATTTTTTAAACAGTCGACGACCATGAATGCAGCGGTCCGGTCCCTGGCAGTGTCTCATCCCGTACCTAGCAGCGTCTTCCCTGTGGGAGCCAAAATATTCAATTTCAATGGCATCCAAGGATCATATTATTAACTGTTCTCCACACCGCGTCATCCCTGCATCCCGAAGCTTCCGGCGCGGGTCCTGACACCTCTTATGAACACGCACTCGGCTGTGCGTACACGGCCTTGACCAGGTTTTCCATTGTTTCTGGAAATGGAAACCCCTACAAGGCCGGATGTGGATGCAATTGATGCTATTGGCATATGCTACATTGCATGAGGGGGGTTGGTTCTGGCTGGGAAGCTTCATATTCGCTTCAGTACAGATCCCAGAACAACTTCGCGAATTATGATGTACGTGGCTTCGCCGACCGGTTGATATCAATGCTACCGAGAAGTTATCTGGAGCCCATTTGCAACGGGAGTTCCTTGCGATTGCTTCGATGACGCTTGAGGACAAGCTTTAGGAATCGGTGAGTCAATCAGCCAAACAAGATTGCAAATGGTACCTCACCGGGTGCATTCTGTAATACCAATTACTATCCATTCTCCAGTAACTCCAATATCGAATGATCCAGGCATGTTGCGGCATGGCGTCTTCCCATGGCCTGCACCCTCTCCTTGCATCTTGAACGGGGTCAGCGCCCATAGAAACCCATGCAGTTGATGCCGACGATAATTGTCCCAGATCTCATCAATGCTTAGCGACGGGCCTCCAGCTTTCTTCAGTGTCCTCAGATAAGTGTGAAGAAGATCATGCTCATAAGGACAACGACCCTCTAGTTCCAGGGCTCCAGCAATGAAACACACGAGAGGTCATGCAATGGCGAACTGATATGCACGTTCTGGTGGTCTAAGACTCCAATCTGTCTCTGTGGTGTCATGAAGGTGTTGCTGCTATGTGGATCACCATGCACTGCGCACTGAGGGCCAGGCGTCGTCCACGGAGTCTGGAATGCCTTCACAATGTGCTCACAGTCACGGTATGCTGTGGGTATTTCAGGCAACGCATCTCCGCTCGCAAATACGCATTCCAATAGTCTTCCTTCAGCAGAGCCTGCATCATGTCGCGCAACACGCTTGCGTCCGAAAGCCACGGGTTCTGGCCGTTGGTAATCTCCCACGTTGCGCCGTGCAGCATGGCCAGCTGCTCCACCCCTGAGGAAACTTGCTCTAGCGACAAGGGGTCTGTGCAGCCCGGAAACTATGATCCCCTGGCCCTGTGCCGGGTTCGTCGTTGCATATAGAGCGCGCGGTTGAAGAGTGTCCAGTTGCGGACTGAGCTCGGCAAAAAAGTGGGTTTCTCGGATATATGCCTTTTGGGTGTTGTAGGCATGAAGAGGAGAGTTGAAACTACCTTTGATACAGACGCGCTACGGCCATTGGTGGCCCGAAGCAGCACCAGTATTGCTGGTCGTTGCTTCGCCTTTGTCATAACTTAGGTCCACGAGCACTTCATGGCTGTCCCATAGACTACCGTGCGCACTTTTACCTGGTGGATGCTAGGGTCCAAGACTTTCTGCATCCAGGATACTGTGATCTCGTCGACAGATGAGGGAAGTTTGTCGGCTTGGCTCAGCTCCTGTTTCGGAGGTAGTGTATTACTTGTTCCAGTAGCCATGCTTCAGAGAGGGTCTGAAATATACTACCTTATTCTCTTGAAGGGGAGTACCTGTTGACACCAACTATTTCAATGATCTCCAGCTTGGACATAGTTATATTCCATTGGCCTCGACGATGGGTTTGCTTGCGATGAATCGTGACGACTCGTAGGCCATGATCACGTGGCCGTTTGCCTAGCTGAGCTGCAAATCGGCTTCTGATAATCTCCAAGGCATATTATCCAGGTTTTTTATGCATGGAATACTCTCTGAATCTTGCTTTCTGCTTCTTTGGATGCACTGGATGCACATATAGTAGCTCATGAAGGCTACAGACAGGTCATGTCTAATTGTTGGAGAAAGGGTGAATCAATGCCAGATCCATAGATAGAATAAAAGTTCCCATAAATCGTAAATCTGCTTTGAGATTCATTTATCGTCCTTTCAATATCCATAGATATGCGAGCTATTTGTCGATCGGAGTCAGTAAGATCATTTACCCTGGCGAGATATCTGAAGTATATGTTGATCACGTGATCAAGAACTGTCCCAAAACGGCTAGTCTCGCTAAAGCCCGAGCCCGCATCCGGGGACAGGAAAGCACACAATGCATTAATTTCAACCCTAGCCTTTTCGTTCGCCCTCCACCCCTTCGTTCAACATCAACGACACCGTCTCCCGCCAAACCTTTCAAGACCGCCGTCGACGACCAGGTTCCTAGCCTCAAAAAGAACCAAGATGACTCACGAGTCCGTGTGGTACAGCCGGCCCCGCAAGTAAGAGAGCCGATCCGTATCCCTTTGCTCCCAATTGTTTTCTGCGAAATCTTGAGATAGGAAGAAGACTAATCGGTGATTGTTTATCGAATAGATTCGGCAAGGGCTCTCGTTCCTGGTGTGTTTTACCTACTCCTTCAGCTTGGAAACAAACAGATTTTGGTCGGGTGATATGTGTGTGATTGTGATGGAATACTGACGAGACGATTTCAAAAATGAATAGCCGTGTCTGCGCTAACCGCGGTGGTATTATCCGCAAGTACGGGGTATGCGAAAACCTGATCCTGCGAGTTGCTGAAAAATGTTTGAATTGGTTGAAAAGAAAAAAAGAACGAGATGGGCTGACTCGGGGTTTTTCTTGCTCTGTTTAGATGAACATCTGCCGTCAGTGCTTCCGGGAGAAATCTCAGGACATCGGTTTCGTCAAGGTTGGTTTTCACGTTTTTTTTTTTTTGAGTTCCAATTTTTCGGCCCCGGATCGCGGATTGTCTCCATTGTATACGATTGGAGGGCTATTTTGTTTTCTCGCTCTCGAAATACCTTCGCTATTTTCGGTTTAAAACGACTCTCCATCTAACGTGGACCTCTTCTCTAAACAGTACCGGTGAATTCGTTCGTTTTTCCTGCTTCAAATCCTTCGATGTTCACGACTCGTTTCCGTGCTCGGCGCTTGGTAAGATCGACTTGATCCCATGGGAAAAGAAGGGGGCAAAAAGAAAAAAGCAAATAAAATCAACGAACGGAAGGACGGTAAAACTGGGATTCAAGGGCCGAATTGCTGGGGATCCCCCGATGGGCAAGAACCTTTTCTTGATTTAGCGAAATGAGAATTAAATGGCCCGGTGTTGAGCATGTTTTAAGGGTTGTTTGTTCATCATATTCGGAACTTTGAATTGAATCGATGAGAGGGAAAAGTGAAATGAATTCCCGGTTCTGCTTTTTCAATTTGTTCATTTTTCTTTCTTTCTTCTAAGATATCGGAGGTTCCCTCGGGGTAACAATGACAAGGGGTATGGCATATTCTAAAATCCATTACAATGTAGCTGTTTTTGCTCTATGGAAATGCCGAACTTGGCCCTTCCTAATTGCGACTCTTCCGGGTGAATTGCCGATAAAAGACAACTCAATAACTCCGACATATCTTCAAAGACATATAGATAGGACAGCTATCCGTGGAAACCAGGGCCGTACACTGTAAAGATGTATACTATGGCTGGGCATTGCTGGGCAACCGGCGCAGGCTGTAAAATAGAAGGTAGGCGTCGCAACTAAGCACCTCAGACTCCGACGCAGGGGTGACTTTGTCGTCATCGAAACGCATCCACTTCGAATGACTATGTCAGCGTGAAAACAAGATCACAACCCCAACACAAGAAAGACATTGAAGACAGGTAACCGAAAAAGAATAAAAAAAGTAGACGAACCTCATCACCGTGCCGGCAGTACGCATAGTAATGCCCTGCGTCCAATTTGCCCTTGTGCACAACAGCAGACGAAAGATCATATATGAACTTTGATCTGTCTATAGATTTACTGCACTGTTTTGTGGTGTATGGAAGCATATTTATAGAAAGAGGGAAGTCAATCCTGCCTTCCACTTTCTCGGAAACAGAGGAGTTGTGATCAAAACGCTAGTAGTAAAATGTGAGATTGAATAATGTTGTCGGAAGTTTGAGAGAAAAAAAAAAGCTCACCTTCAACTGCATACATAAGATAGATGGGAGTTTCTTGATGCGTAGCTGTTTCGTAGCCTTTTGCTGGGTACCATCACAACCACTGCAGTTGTACACACCAGCCATGAGTCTCTCTGGGGAGGTGAAGCTCTCAAGGCATCCGCTCAACGTGGCCGTGGCTGTCGCACTCGAGCCACCCATGACTCGTTTCTTCGCCTGGACGTCAAGACTTAGATCCACCATTGGATCTTCGGTAAGTGTAACATTGCCACATTGATGGCAGGTCACACTGCTCCGTAGCTTACCATAGAAGGCTTTGTGGAAGAAACAAGGACAGTTTTGGTCATTGTCGTCCAGATGGTCATCAGCAGTGGCGTGTAGTCTGTCGACGAGGAACTGATAATATTCATGTGCATCCTGTTGTCGATATCCCGCAAGGGCCTGAAGATCAACGAAAGGAATGGATTAGCTATCCTTATTTGTAGTTTCCCGAGAATATCAAGCGGTGGCTTACTGGACTCGCTTTCCAAGATGCTAGGAGTAGGTTGAGAGCGGCGAATCCTTCGACCTTTTCAGTATTGTTGAAGTCGTAAAATGTCTCTGCAACAGCACAGCCTACGCAGTCTGGCACTGTACAGTCGTATGTTTGGTGACCGTTCCCGAGAAAGTAAGTGCTCAGGAGGGGATCATGGAGCATTGCTTGCAAAATGACATTCATATAGCAAGTTTGTCCGAGATTATATAGACCTCTGGCACCTTGTCTCGTGCATGGGCGTTTGTTGGCGTTGTTTCTGACATAGATCTCGTCCGCAGCCACCTCACTGTGAGGCCGATTTTTGGAAACTAAATATGAATTAGGGTATTTTTAGGGCCAGCATAGCAGATTAGCTTCACACCTTGATATTTCAATGTGGGCGACCGGAAACGTTCCAGGCCATAATCATAAACCAGATCGTCGCAAGCCTGGCAGTACAGCGAACGACTCCTAGACTCCATGTCTGATTGCAAAGTTAGTTTAGGGACACAAGTCTTGACTATAATAGTATATCGGTACTTACAAAACTGATGACCCGTTTTCTCTGTATGGGTTTTCCGGTCACCATTAACACATGGTTCAGAGCAAGTCAAGCAGACATATTTTGGCCTTAGCAAGTCCATAGATTGCAGGAGTAGACTTTCAACAGGCTTAGGAGATCTGGTTAAGAGATTATGCGTTTTCATGAAATCTCCTTTGAATTGCCCAGCAGCTTTTTCGTTAAGCATAAGAGCGGCAAGGTGCTCTTGATCTAGGTCAGCAAATGACAATCCAAGGAAACCAAGCTTCAAAAGAATGCCTTGCATACCGCAACCAAATGCTGACTCAGAAATAGCAGATGCGCTATGTATGCTCGCCATTGCGATATGCAAACACCCAAAAAAAAAAATCGTCTAGAAAGCCGAGATCTTTTCCGTTCAAGACACTATAGACGATTGGCGCCAACACAACACGACGAAGAAGAAAAGAATACGAGAATGACGACGAATTTAAGCTCCTAACTCCGGGCAGTGTGAAAAGGGAATCGAGACGGATCGCAAGAAACGCTGGGTGAAGGTATCCATTGATGGTGAAGACGATAAGGAAACCCTGGGATTCAATATAACGGCCGCATTAATAGCATGCCCGGCCGATTATGCGATGAGGACGGACTCCCAATGTAGAGAGAATAGAGAGAGGTATTCCGCGCCGGTGGCTGGAAAGCGACGTCGTGAGTGTCCCGCTGCTTCACTTGCGTGGTGCAATTCTATGCGTTGGTTGTCAGCGCCTGCAAAAATGTGAGTGTGGCAAATTGGCTGGGGGGTGATATACTTGAATGGACTTGACAGCGGACAATATTCCACATCTCACTTCCTCCAATATAGTAGACGTTTCGCAGGAACTAAGGATGTAGCTTGATTGAAGTGTCAAGCTAACAGTGGGAGATCTCGAGACGACAGAGTCGGAGGTGCCGCGGCTCGTTTAGATCCGCAACCAGCGAAGCTTAAACCGCCCCATGCACTGGAGAATGGCCTTCTTTCGCTTAATTAACGTGGATCTAGAACTTGACTTTCTATTATACGACGTAGAGGGGAGACAATACCGTTTCTCTACTGTTCTTCTAGAGGTATTGAGCGTCTCGAACCATGACGCTGACGCTACACCTACAACGGTCCGTACAATGGAGGATGATTTGAGCACATAATCATGTCTTGTCCTTGTGGAGTAAATTGTAGTCCTAGATAACACGAGCTAGTTCGCTATGGAATAAACCCAATAATCCCGTTCCCTCCAGCCGGACCCAATCCCAAAAAGGACGAGACTTGTCAAATAATCTACCCAATTAATCAGGAATATCCGTCGACGTCGCAAGGCTGACTGCAATCGATACCCTGGTCTCGAGAGCGTGATTGTACAGTCAGGACTTTATCGTTGGGTTTCCTTGGGTTACATGTCTGATATGCGGGAAGCAAACCGCAGGTGCATCTCACAGAAAGATGTCCATGGGTCCATAATGCTGCAATTGATGAATCGGCACGTTTCTGTAACTGAAAATATACAGGTCACCGGATCCCGCGCCCACGGGGCAGCGCGCTTGGGCGGGCTCGACCAGTGCCTCTGGTGTACCTACTGCCAACTGAGCCCCGAGTGGAGGGACCTCGAGAAGCTCCTCGGCCAGGAACGCGTTTCGAAGAGGTTGTACTAGGGGTTTTCTCAACGTAGGTATCTGTGGACCTGTATCCGATATACGGTAAGCCAAAGAAAGCCAAGGTGACAGAAAGATCAAGCGGAACAGTGGGTGATATCTGTCACTCACAGAACAGTCGTCTCCTCCTCGTGCGCCGGTTGCGGGGGAGCAATTTCAGTCTCTGGACTTGCCGTTAGTGGCAGGATGGAAACGAGGCGCTTCATACTGTAGCCAATTACCTCTCTGGGCCTCACCCTGCTTAGCTCTACGAAATGATTCCGATATTGGCGCCTGTCGCGTGTGTTTGCGTCAGATCAGAATCTGGGGAAAAGGGAGATCTTCTTTCATATGTATTCGGCATATTCCGTTGCATACCTCGGGAAAATCCACGCAGAACGCGTTCATGTTCAGACCGTAGAGAAAACTGGCGAAGCTCTCGCTGAATCGCGTCAGACTCTCGTGCATCAGCTGCAGGTGCATGAAATTGGCCTCGAGATCCGCCATCGAGTCCGCCAGCTCTGCGAATTGCGGTTCCAGGGCATTGATGGCCGGCTGGGAGTAGCCAGCACTGCTGATGTTGGCACCGTAGCCATGTGCTTCTCTGATCGATGAACGTGAACCGGGACGAAGCGGGGTCGTAGGCCTGGACGGCGGCCGTGGACGCGATGAGGAGCGGGGGGCACTTCCGTCCATTGGATGCAGCGAACGAGGTTGGTGATATAATCTGCAGGGGTTGTATTGGCCGTGGTAGTCTGGGTCGACGGAACCAGGCGCAAATGCCAGTGTGCTGGGAAATGAACAGGCTTATGCGTGTGCAGGAAAAACGTCTCGGTTCATGTGGGCGAGTGACGGCAGCCCGCAATCATCGTATCAACCTGCTTGTAGCAATCAATAATTGACTTTGCTCTGGGACTCCTGCGGCGGCACGGGCCAGTTACAGGGGAATAATCAGGCTCGACATAAAACACACAGAGGCACTGATTCAGCTCTTCTTCTCCTGCGCATTGTCGACCGCTTCTTTCTTCCCTGACAGCACATGCTTGCGTGCTCCCTGTCTCTTCGGCGGAGTCTGCTACTTCCCTCGGCCAAACACCTCTCCCCCAGGACGCTTCGAACTATTATTCAAAGCCCCCAGTTCTTCCCTCCGTCGTCGTCTTGCGTGCAGACTCACCGGACCTTCATTCGACCTGCCTCCGTCCTTCCGTCATTACCCGTCGGAGCTTCGAGAAACGCATCGGTTTCTGCCTGGGCCATCGCACTCACAGTCCTCGCTCTCTGCGGAGGAACTACTTGGTTACGGTATAACTCAGATTCTACGGAAGAAGAGATTCCAGTCAATCCTCCTGCCTCACGACCTGAGCACGATCCGTTCCTCGGGATACTTGACACGCTCAAGACAATGCCTGTCGAAATTCCTCCCGGACACGTGGGGAACCTCTCCTTAGAGCAGGAGGCTAAATTGCAGGAGCTATGGATTTTGACACTGAAAGTCTTCGGTGTGAATGTTGATATGCTTGAACGAGCACGTAGCAAGGCCAGTAGTAAGGAATCAGCGCCGCAGGAGAAGAAGAAGGCCAAACGCGGGTTTGGATTCTTTGGGGGTGGAGGAAAGGATACTGCAACCGAGACCACAAAGGACAGCAACTCCAGTGATCCCCTTGCCAGCACCCTAGCCACCCTGAGTATCGCGGACGGCGATGACAAGTACGGGCTGTCCAAGCAGTTCCAAAAAGCCCTGACCGATATGACTCCGGAGCAGATACGCACCACGTTCTGGACCATGGTCAAGCTCAACAACCCGGATTCTCTACTCCTCCGATTCCTGCGTGCCCGTAAATGGGACGTCAAGAAGGCTCTGATCATGTTCGTCTCTACCATCCACTGGAGATTGGCGGATATGCATATCGACGATGACATTATGCTGAATGGCGAGGCATTCGCCTTGAAGCAATCGGAGAGTTCAAACCCCAAAGACCAGAAATCTGGCAAAGAGTTCATGTTCCAGCTTCGACAGGGAAAGAACTACTTCCGCGGAGTCGACAAGTTTGGCCGACCGATCGTTGTTATCAGCGTTCGCAAGCATAGAGCAGGTGACCAGAGTGTTCCGGTCATGGAAAGATACACTGCCTTCACGATCGAAGTGGCCCGGTTGATGCTGGTTCCTCCAGTAGAAACCGCAGTAGGTAATCAATCTCAGCTCAAAAGAAAGCCATCTAACAGGAATATAGACCATCATCTTCGATATGACCAACTTCGGTTTAGCAAACATGGTAGGTCTCCTCTACCTTCCCAATCCGACTGGCAGTAGACGCTTTTTTTTTCTAATTATATTACAGGATTACGCTCCGGTGAAATTCATGATCAGGTGCTTCGAAGCAAACTACCCGGAGTCTCTAGGAGCTGTCCTTATCCACAAGGCTCCTTGGATCTTTTCAGGTTCGTGGTCTTCCTATTTCTTTCCCCTTAGGAATTTCCGTTCTCTGCAGGGTTTCTAAGATTAGTTTTTGCAGGCATTTGGAACATCATCAAGGGATGGCTTGACCCGGTAGTAGCCTCCAAGATCCACTTCACGAATACCGCCAAAGATCTTGAAGAATATATCCCCCATGACCGAATCATGAAGGAACTCGATGGCGAGGATGAATGGAAGTACGAGTACATCGAGCCTCATCCGGAGGAAAACAAGAAGATGGAAGATACTACCACTCGTGACACACTCATCGCCAAGAGAGGTGAGCTTTCAAAGCAGGTCGAACAAGCAACCATAGCATGGATTCAAGCTACGAAGAGCGGTGACAAGGACGCCAAAGCTGCTGCCACAGAGAAGAGAGACAATGCCATTAAGAAACTCACGACTCTATATTGGGACCTTGACCCTTATATCCGGGCGAGATCGATTTACGACCGATTCGGTATTATCAATCCAGGTGGGAAGATCAATTACTACCCAGACAAGGGAACGGAAACCCCGGCAACCAACGGTGCCTCATCAGTGAATGGCACCAAGACTGCAGCGACTGAAGCAGAAGTCCCCATCAAGGATGAGACTGCACCGTGATAGTTTCTTTGAGCTGTGGAGGAACTGGAAGAAGACTTGTTCCCCTCCCCTCCCTTTCTAACCTGTTCTTTCTCCTCTATGTGAATGTGTGCGTGTTCCTCTTAGACCTGATTTCTAGAGGTATGCTTGGGAACTCTCTCCCTTCCTTTCCTCCTTTGTTGATAAGACTGAATGAATATATAAGATACGTTCCCGTTGCTATATTATCTTCCCTTCATTTTTTATTTTTGAATATCTGATATTCCATGCCGAGATCTTGTATATGGGGGCTAGTAAGTATGTAGTTGTCAGTTCCTGGATAAGAACCTTATTCCCTGGGACCAGAGTAAAGTACAAAACTTGTAAGCCAGTTTTTGTAGGGCACGTGGAGACCTTCTAATCCGGATGTTAATCTACTGCTACCAAGCGTTTCTTGGACGATGAGCAGAACAAGAACTCAGCAATCCATGCAGCGGCTCAATTTTTTCATACAGCTAGCTATGTTTTCGACCCCGAAGAGAAGAATATCAACATTCCAATTCTCCGTATTGGACTTGATGCATTCAGTTAAGGAGGAAGCCAAGGAATACTTAAACCTTTGGCTGAAGTTGCTCTTGCAGGGCCTTCAGCTTCTCCATGTTTGTTTCCTGCATGGGCCAACCCACACCGAGACCTTGTTCCTCGTTGGGTTTAGGGATCTATTGAGGGTCAGAAGGGCGAAAGAAAATTGGACTTTCATCTGAAAAGAACACGATGGATGCTCAATGAGTGCAAAAGAGGAACCTGTACATACCACATGGAAGTGAACCTGATATTATCAGACGCAACCGTCAGCACAATAGTTTAAACAGCTGGGGGAAGAAACGAAAGAGATCCTCACATGATCGACAAATTGGTGCGCTAAGCGGCCATTATTCTGCAAGATGTTGTAGTTCTCTGCACCAGTTGCTTTGGCGATCCTCTTTGCAATGGGCTGTGGTGGTTCATTAGCAATGCATTCACTAATCCAAGACAATGGAACTCAAATCCCGATAGAGGACCACAAGAGGTCCCCCAAAGCCCACCACCAAGGTCCTCGCCACCAAGGTAGGAAGTATATAGGGCATGTTCGACCCTAGAATCTCACAGGAGACACTACTACATACCAAGATTTCAGTGAGAGTATCGTCGGGGATATCGATAAGTTTTGCACCGTGGTATTTCGGAATCACGAGCTATTTCCATTGCTACTATTAGCAAGCCGCTCTCGAAAAGGGGCGAAATACGGTGGTTTTAACAGATCGAAATGACGAGCCGTTGTGCGAATTCATCCATGGAAATTGAGCATCGGAACACCGGAGGATAATAGCTCATGGATGAGTGGTAATGCGAGGGACAATGAAAACATGGAAACAACTCACTGCGTGACCAGAACTAAGAGGCTGAATATCGAGGAAGGCTAGCACCTTATCGCTCTCGTAAAGCTTGAAGGCCGGGATTTCACCTGTTGCGAATAGAGACTCAGTAGGAGTATCCCAGATTCTCGACGACTTGCTATCAGGAAAAGATCGGAACCAAAGTAATTGAGAGTACGCAGGGAAGTGGTGGTTTCCGGCGGCTGGGGCAAAGAAAGAGTGCATTTCAATACATACCCTTGATTATTCTGCAGAAAATGCAAGCAGCGGACGCCATGTTGATCAGTAATGGTAACAATGTTAACAGAGGGTGCAATGCTGCAAGTACGTCAGTGTGGTTGTCGGATGCGGGGCGAGGTAAAATAGTAATTAATGGACGACGAAGTGAGGAGGGCTCGAACTCCCGCTGTCCGAGCATCCGTCTTGTCATCCTTATATACCGTTTACAAGTGTCTACTCCGAGGAGTGGGACAGGCTAGTGCAGAACCCATTTCTTGCCTTTTACCAGAGATGGCCGTGGTTTGCCCAAAATACTCCTCTCATCAATCTTTGGAACGTCATCATCGACACAGTTGTCGATTTATTTTGTTGCCGATTTTACTTTTTTGGGTTTTCGTTCTAAACTCTAGAGAATATTATTTGTCTTTTTAATACATTTTAATTGGGAAAATGGTCGAATTCTTGGGTGATGGTGCTTAAAAGCAATCGTCTTCCAGTATGTTGTGCGTGCACATTAGCTGACCTCTCACCGTGCCGATAAGCCAGGCACATTGCTCCGCCGTCCAACGCCTTCTTTCCGGCTTCAAGGATACATTCAAATGGCCTGCTCTGCAGATCTCTTCGTACCTTACCTTTTGTATGGTTTCACTCAATGTGTCACTTATACTATTTATGTGCCAGGGTCAACGTTCGTGTTCCAGGTCAGGATTGTTTCAAGATCCCACTCCCAACTGGCAACTACGGAATGCTTTCCGATGACTTCGGTTTAATATCTGGAGTTATCATGCTCAGCTCAGATCCGATACAGTGATAAGGCGTATCTATGTAGTAGTCTACAGTATCGCTGTTACCCCACTTGAACGCTGTATCTTATCCCGAATCGTCGTTCAAGGGGACGTTATAAAAGATTGAAAGCATTCTGCTCTATTCAACATGCATGGTCTCTGTTTCTCGTGTGCTGTCGAGATCTGCATATCGATGTAAATTGCTGTTGAATATATCCCTATCTCCTCTTTCACAACACTGTTGAGCCTTCTCGAGTTCTTGGAAACAAGCCATGTTGACCACTGAGCTTTCTGAGGCGCAGGTTTCTGCGCTGAGAGCCAATAAAGACCGATTGGCAAAGGATCTTCACTATAGCTGTCAATGGGGATCTGGGATACGATGGGGGGAGTAAGTTGACATCGCCTCTTGTTTCAAGAAATTGCAATCCCTGTCGTTGTGCACTTCAGATTGTCCATCATCCCACACTATAAACTCCATATGCTCCTTCCACGCTGGACTCTTTTGGGGCTTCAACTGACCAAGTGTCCTGTAGTGGCCCGACAGATACAGGTATGCAGCGGCTTGCTCTGTCAGAAGATGACAAAAAGGTGCGGGACTGGTTCATTGAAACCACAAAGGCATTGAAATGCGAGGTTACTATCGATGAGTTGGGAAACATCTTCGCTGTGCGTCCTGGAAAAAGGAAAGACGTCGCCCCAACATTCATCGGCAGCCATCTCGACACTCAGCCAACAGGTGGTCGATATGACGGTATTTTAGGTGTCTTGTCGGGAATTGAGGTGCTGAAAACTATGGATGACATGGGCCTGGAAACTGAAGGGGGCATAGGAGTTGTAAACTGGACCAAGTAAGCGCTTGCTTGTCATGAGCAGATCTTCATTCAAGAACAATCCGTTGATGTATTCACAGCGAAGAGGGGGCTCGCTTCCCGATCAGCATGGTTTCATCGGGAGTATGGGCTGAGTGCATTCCTCTTGCGAAGGCCCATAGCCTTGCAGAAGTTCCCACGGTTGCCTCGCTCCCCACAGCAGCATCCGCCCCAGAGACAATGAAATCAGCGCTGGAGAAAATCAATTATCTGGGAACTGTTCCTTGCTCGTACAAGGAAACCCCGATGGCAGCCCACTTTGAGCTTCATATTGAGCAGGGGCCCTACTTAGTAACTGCAGGCCAGCGGGTTGGAGTCGTCACGGCTGTCCAAGCATACCGATGGTACCGGATCAATGTTGTCGGCAGAGATACGCACACTGGTACCACCGCATTCCAGCACCGTGCAGACGCACTCTTTGCCTCAGCTCGAATGATGGTCCGAGCTCGGGAAATCGCCGACTCCAATGGCTGTTTAGCAAGCATTGGCATTCTTGAAGCAAAACCAGGCAGCGTGAATACAGTTCCCGGGTTGGTCAGCTTCACCCTCGACGTGCGTGGTCCCAAGACAGAACTGGTCACAGTCGTCGAAGCGGAGCTGAGGAAAGAATTCGATGCCATTGCCGCGGAAGAAGGCAAGGGCATCGGAAAGCCCTGCCGAGTTGAGTGGACCCTCGACTTTGATTCTCCGGCAGTCAACTTCCATGACGATTGCATCAAATGCGTGGAGGAATCTGCAGAGGCTGTTGTGGCCAATGCTGGCGTGTCAGATCCCAAGTCCCTTGTCCGAACCATCATGAGCGGTGCCGGCCATGACAGCGTTTTCACGTCCAAACGGGTCCCAACCAGCATGATTTTCGTGCCGTGTAAGGATGGACTGAGCCATCATCCAGAGGAATTCTGCTCTGCAGATGACTGTGCCACGGGAGCATCAGTAATCTTACAGGCTGTGGTTAGATATGACCGTAAAAGATTCATGTCATAAAATAAGGCGCTCTCAAAAGAACGCATCGGGAACCAGATCTGTGGCTCCTGTAGGACGATCGGGTGGCCAGCCATGCAACATACGATGTCAAATACAAACCACCATTTGATTATGAACTGACAATCTGGAACGAAGGTTGAAGCAAAGCTCTTGAAATACATGGTCATATTAAAATGAACATCTATGGGACAAAATATTGCGTCATGATGATCTTGTCATTGATGCTATCTAAATCGTAACAGAGGGTCCTGCAATTCATATCCACATTTCAGAAAGGGAATGCGCAGGCTAAGATGCGTAAGTGCAGCCATTTCAGATACTTCACGATACCTACTCAAGCCACATAAACGACATCCTTTTTTTAAGAAACCCCTCGGAAAACGCAAGCGGCGAGTGACACTTTTTAAGAAGGAGGGGCACCACGGCCACGACCGAATCCACCACGGAAGCTGGGAGCGAACTCGCCAGGGGCACCACCTTCCTTCTCCTCACGGCGCCTGTAGCCACCCTCACGAGGCTGGCGGGGACCAGGACGGCGCTCGCGCTCCTCACCACCGAGCATGCCGCGAGGAGGAGCGTGGGTGCGCTGCTGCTTGATGTGGGTGGCAGGGACAACCTCAGCGGGGAGGTGAAGCCACTCACGGAGGTAGTCAAGACCCTGAAGATTACAATTAGATCATGGTCATGGCAATAAAAATCATCGCGAAAGGGCGTACCTCAGGAGTAAGGGTGTAGTAGTAGTACTGCCACGAGAAGCGAGTCTTGACGTAGCCGCGGGAGTTAAGAGACTGGCAGGCCTTGATCACCTATCATACAGCCAAAATATGAAATGTCAGAGAATATGAACATGTCCGGGACGAGAGAAATAGAGAATTTGGATATCAGGACCCGGCAAACAACATACGTAGAGGTTCTTGGTGTCAATGTCGCCATGCTTGGGAAGGTTGAAGTCCTTCTTGGCCACGAGTACACCCTCTATTCGAAGAGAAGCGAATATGTCAGTTACGAAGCCATGCGATCATGAAGAATGCGAATGAGGTGGCTTCACATACCGCGGAAGAGGTACTCGTGGATCTTCTTGCGGTCTTCCTTGGGGATAAGCCTATAACCATGTGCATTAGTCTCCGCAGTATGGACGCTAGAAAGAAGGATTGAGCCTGGATGTTAAGCTTACATTGTCGCGAGTTCCTGGCGCTATTCGGGGAATCGCTTTGACAATGCTGAAAGCGGGTGTTCTTAAATGACGGAGCGATGGAGTGGAGCGAAAGCCGATGAGTGGAAAAAGTGCGCTTCTTCCTGTTTTGGAGGTCTCGCTAGGGCTGCCGCCCTAATCAGCCGGGCCCGATAACGAACGGAGATAAGAATATATCACGTGATGTACTCTAGCCTTACAATCAACTTCCGCCTCTCACGGCGTCCTCGGTTTCACCAAAGATCTCCTCCCTACGTGACCTACACAGCGACAACAACCATCAAGAGAACACCTAAATTACTATATTCAGATTATTACTGCACTCATAACCTAGCTGAAAGACATATCAGATCGCAAACGCGCCGTTTAATCACAAAAATGACGTCACCAAACGTGAACGTCCTCCTTTCTTCCTTTCCTGGACTCTCTCTTCCTCCCACGCTCTCATTCTCTCTTCCTTCTACATCATCGCTTACAGACCTCACTGAAAAAGTCATTTCATATCTACCGACACCTATTCCGTTCTACTCACTGGTTCTCACGACTACCAGTAACCAACAAATCCTTCCGTCTCCTAAGAGTCTAATTTCACTTCTCGCTGGCCGTGATGGCACTCTATCACCAACAAACAATCTTTTGCCACTTCGTCTCACTGTTCCCTTGCGGGGAGGTAAAGGAGGTTTCGGTTCCCAACTTCGAGCGGCCGGTGGGCGCATGTCAAGCAAACGGAAGCGTAACCAGGGAGAGAACAACGGCTCCAGTCGCAACCTTGATGGCCGTCGCCTTCGTACCGTCAATGAAGCCAAAGCATTGGCCGAATACCTCGCTGTGAAACCAGAGATGGACCGGAAAGAAAAGGAGGAACGCAGACGCAGATGGCAGGCTGTCGTCGAGGCGGCGGAAAGGCGCCAGGAAGAATTGAAGAATGGTGGTGGTAAATTGAGGATCGATGGCCAGTGGATGGAAGATAGAGAAGAGATGGGTGAGAAGGCTAGAGAGGCGGTTTTGCTGGCCATGAAGGACGGCACCTGGACGGACAACCTTCATGATGCAGTCAATGTCGGTGGATCCAGTACGAGCGCCAGCGAGGGTAGCTCGAGGGCGTCTACATCCAGTTCTGACGAAGAAAGTGAAGGCGACACGAATGAACTCGGTCAAACACCTTCGCCTTCAGAAGCTCCCCGCGCTCCGGTTGCGCCTAGAAAGTTTATCGGATTTGACGATGATGACGAGTTCATGAGCGACTCTGAGGAAGAGGGAGTAGAGAAGGTGGATGAGCCAGAAGGTAAGGGCAAAGCCCGAGCCTGAGTTTTCGAGTATGGTACTTTACACGGCTGTTGGGGCTATTGACTTTGGCGGTGTTTTGCGATAACCGTAGGGGTTAGTCAGGGCAGCTTATTTTCTATTCTATTAATATATCACATATGTATCTTCATGGAGTCCTCTTTAAATCGTAAACACTAATAACTATCAGTAAAGTCCATCTTGTTGAACCTTCTATGGTTGTCGCTGTTTGCCACTTATGTTATCCATGCCAAGACCGACTGCATGGCTTTATCTACATTGCTCCGTTCTGAAAGTCAAAAAAACTTCCAGTCATGTCTGCATTCATCTTTTTGCACATCTGTTTATTATGTCGTGTCCCAGCTGCATGATATTCAGAGCCTTTAGGACGGTGCGTCCCCTCCAGAAGCCATTATACTTGCTATACCAGAATCCAACGAGAACAGCCTTATGGCCACACCCGTCGCCGACGCGAATACCACTGCGGCGCAATGCTCAGCTGGCTAAGAGCCCTTCAGAAAAAGCTCCAGATCAATGCAATTCGTCGACTTCGTCAGAAGCCCAACCCTCAAAGGACTCTTCTGAACTCCTAGCCGATGCACTTCCTCTTAACTGTCCGGGATGTGGCGCATATGCACAAACAATCGAGCCAGACCAACCAGGTTACTACAATACAGCCAAAAAACACACACGAAAGGTCATGGCTGCGAGATTAATGGCCTCTAATTCATTAAAGAGTAAATCACCGCGATGGGATGAGCCAAGGCTGATATCTCTGGAAAAACTTGCCCCTGGTTTTTCCCCCAAGTTCTTGTCGTCTACTGGAGAGAACCAGGAAGATATGTCTCTTAAAATTGCTCGTCCTTCCCTCAGTGCGTATTATCGCCTGGCCAAGACGAATTTTTTATTATGTGAGCGGAACTAACTATGATAATTTGAAGGTGATTCCCTACTCAAAGGCGATGTAACCGCGGACCAAGGCATCCGTTACCTCGAATCCTCGAAGCAGCTACCTCCCGTTTGCAACAGGTGCCATGACCTTATGTACCACAACAAGTCAGACAAACTGCCTACGCGTGCTCCCACGATCAGAGCCATCCGTAGATATTTGCAAGACTCTCCCTACGAAAATAACCGCGTGTATCACGTTATGGACGCTGCGGATTTCCCCATGTCACTTCTTAAGCACATTTGGAAAGTTCTAGAACTCGAGAAACTGCGTTCGCGGAATCGGAGGCAGAGGACCAGAAAGGGACAGAACAAGCCATCTGTATGTTTTCTTATAACGCGCGCCGATCTCCTAGGCCCAACGAGGCCGATTGTGAATAGCAAGGTGGAGTATATGAGAAGAGTCCTGCGCACGGCGCTTGGAAAAGAAGGTGAACATGTACGTCTGGGAAATTTTCGTTTGATCAGCTCCCACCGTGGCTGGTGGACCAAGGAATGTAAGGAGAGCATACGGGAACACGGAGGTGGGATTTGGGTAATTGGCAAAACCAATGTTGGGAAGAGCAGTTTCATTGAGGCATGCTTTCCGAAGGAGCCAGGGAATCTAAAGAAGATTGCAAAAGTAGCCCGTCTTCGAGAAGAGAAGGGCGAATTTCCTTGGAAAGCAGATGGAACCAAGTTGGACCCTGACAGTCTCTTACCACCAGCTCCCCCGGAGGAAATGTTTCCGGTTTTTCCAGTTGTGTCCCCTATGCCGGGAACCACTGCGGCACCAATTCGGATTCCCTTTGGGGGTGGGAGAGGCGAATTATTCGATCTACCAGGACTCTATCGCGGTGGCTTGGAGGAGTTTGTTCGCGAGGAGCACCAGCGCGACCTGGTCATGACTAAACGAATCAAGCCAGTGCAATACGTTATCAAGCCAGGCCAATCACTTCTTCTGGGAGGAGGGCTCGTTAGGGTCACTCCGGTAGACCCGGACGGCGTCGTACTGGTGGCCGCCTTTCTGCCGATCGAAGTACACATTACGAGCACAGAGAAGGCTATTGAGATGCAGAATCAGAAGCGACCATACCCTGGAAAAAGCATCGTCAATAGCGGAATTGAGGAGCATATGCGCTCCGCGGGCGTCTTCGAGCTGCCATGGGAGGTGACGCGTAATCACCTACCGAGGAAGCTTTCCAAGATCGAGGATCTAGACCAGCTAATACTTCCATATAAGGTATTCTCGGTAGACATGCTCGTCGAGGGATGTGGCTGGCTTGAGCTCTGGGCACAGATCCGGACCAGAACGCACGATGAGGAGTTCCGGCCCAAGGTGGAGGTGTTCAGCCCTGAAGGCAGACATATAGGCTGGAGAGAACCGCTGGGAGCTTGGGGCACGCACATGGAGAAAATCAGCAGAGACAAAGAAAGGATGAAGGGGATAGGTCGACGAAGCATATCGCGGAAGAAACGAGCTGCGCATTCGAAAAAGCTGTGACGTTCTATATATGTACTTGGTCCGTATAATAGCGGACATGTGTGGATATGCCTGTATTCTTGCTACGGCGGCGTTATTTGAGTGGCTTGGAGCATCTCCTACTATGGGCATGACATGGATTACATTTATATACCAGTCAATATGAAATATTCCTCTATGTTTTAACAGGAAACGAGACGTCTCACAGTAATATCAACTACCCTCAAGGTTGAGCATATTACGATTATACGCATACGGTTAGTCCTGCGGGGATCAATACCATCGATCGATCCCATGCAGTCTTATTCTCTTTCTCACTCATCTTCTTTCCAGAAAATATCCAGATTGTCAAAAATGCTCTCTTCTCGCGGTGCCAGAAATGCCGTGTTATTCGACATTCCCTGGCGATATGCTCCGCCTCACACCTACGACAAGAAGACGAATCCCTCAGGATTGATCTCTTTCGGGATGGCAGAGCACGTACGTACCAACTGTAGACTGGAGCAATCTGTTCAGCTATTCTATTTCTGACCATCTGAATAGCTCCCTATGCGCCGAGAGATCGCGGACTACATCAACAGCAAGGTTGTCAACCAAAACTGAATCCCGATTCGTAAATAAACAGCGTTGTTCCTGATGATCTCCATGTATTATTCTTCTCCAGGTCATCTTTACAGAAGACTCGGTCGGTTATCGGGGTGATCCCACTCATCTACCCAAGGCAGTGGCGGCTCATCTGAACAGGATTCTGAATCCCCATGTCCCAATCAAACCAGCCAATATCGTAGTGGCAACCAGTGCTACAGCGCTAGGGGGAATGCTCGGATTTACACTCGCAGAGTCTGGTGATGGTATCCTCGTTAGTCGGCCGATATATGGTCGATTTGAACTTGATTATGGCGTTGAGGCAGGCGTTGAGATCGTCTACGCAGATACTGACCCAGAAGAAGCGTTTCATCCTGATTATGCCGTTCTCAAATATGAGATGGCACTTAAGGAGGCCGAAAAGAGAGGTGTTAAGATTAGAGCTGTGATTATTGTGAATCCACACAACCCTGTGGGTGAGTATACATGGATACCTTGCTCCATATACTTCATCAACCCATTGAGAACCAACGGCAAACCTAGGTCGCTGTTATCCAGCAGAAACACTCAAGGAGATCCTCAGATTCTGTGACAGGCACCATATCCATTTCATTAGCGACGAGGTTTACGCTTCCTGCGTATTCGACTCAGGTGACCCCGAGGCTGTCCCATTTACCTCAATTCTGTCTTTTGATCTGTCTGAATTTATTGACCCTGACCTCGTTCATCTGCTATACGGGTTCAGCAAGGTGACTTGCCCAGTTTTGCATATGATCACACATACAATCTGCTCATCAACAAACCAGGACTTTGCAGCAGGGGGTCTCCATCTTGGATTTCTCGTCTCTCAAAACGCACAGCTTCTCCTAGCTTGCCAGGCAACACTGTCAGATCTCTCTCTTTCTCTTTGAACCAGACAAAACCCCCAAAACGGCCATTAACATAACACTCATTCATCACACAGGAGATTGCACAGCCCATCAACTGCAGCAATCACAATCGGCACCACAATTCTCGAAGACACTGAATTCACCTCCCAGTTCATACAGAAATCCCAAGAAAGCCTCTCCAGATCTTACCGCCTCGTCACCTCAGTCTTTGACAAAGAAGGTATACAATATATCAAGGGAGGTAATGCTGGCTTCTTCATATATATAAATTTGTCCCCTTATCTCCCCAGGAATATTAGCGTCAAGGACCATGACCCCCAAAATGGTAATAATAATAATGATAATAAGAGCACCGGGGATGTCCATCGTGAATTTGCATTAGCACAGCATCTATTTGATGCGGGCGTCTTTCTGCATCCAAATGAAGAGCACGCGAAGGAACCTGGGTGGTTTAGGCTTGTGTTTGCTCATGAGGAGGATACCCTTCAGGAAGGTTTAAAGAGGTAAGTGAGGCTATCTATTGATTGTAATCAGGAATTTGATTCCCTTCCCTGCTGTTTAACCTCGTGGACTGATACACTCTTTCCTTCCCTTTTCTTTTTGGGAGAGTAGGATGCTCGGTGTTTTGAGATCCGTGAATTGGAATGATCCTAAATAAATAAACGGCTTAGTGTTTGGTTGTGATGATGAATTGGATGAGTCTCTTCTGAGAGAAGACAGGCTTATATTGTCGTTATTTGCAAAAATATTCAACAGTATATAGATCTTGACCCACATGCACACAAAACCTGTCAATAATAAAAAATTTAAATCATTACTAGCTCTTTCTACTTTTCTAGACATAAAGCATCATCAACAGGGCGAGAAAAAAAAGGTTCGGATCGAAAGACTTATGAGTGTATGCCATAGTTAGCTCCAATCAGCTGTTCACTCTGCAATATTTGCAAAGGTGAATGTTGGCTGGCCAGGGATGGCGTTCTCAGCCTGCAGACCCTCCCTCTTCTCACCAGTACCGAGGACCTCTCCGGTCTTCCCGCCTTCATCGACAGAGACGACTTCAATTTCTTTGCATCCAGTGATCCTCTTCAGGTTGCCGATCATCTCACCCAGAACAGCAAACTCATCGAAAGGCAGCTTTCTCTCAAACACAATCTCCGGTGATTCCTTGCCCTGGATAAGACGTCGCTTCAAGTTCTGAACGAACGGCATTGCCTTCTTCATCTCACCAAATTTAGCCACCTTCGGGTTCAGCTCCTTGTCGTTGATCGAGATACTGACGGCATCGAAGGCTTCGCGGACGAGGTCGATATACTTTTCCTGCCACGAGGGATACTTCTTGGCAGCGTAGATGGTAAGCTTCTTGGGTTTCCGGGGATCGAAGGTTGACGCTTTGCCCTTGGCTAGCTTCTTTGCAAATGAAGCCTCGGAGGAGGTAATACTGGAGGCAGTGGTCCGCACGTAGTTCAATGCGGCAGACAATTCTGGGGACGGCTCCGGGACCTCAGGGAAGCGTGCATAGTGAATAGATTCGGGCTGTTTAGACGAAGAGAGGAAATGTGAGCAGCACGTTTGAATGAAAAAATATCCCGAGGATTAAAGACGAACCTTATTGAGAATCTCGCGCCAGATATACTCGGCCCAGTGAGGAGCAATTGGAGAGAGCATAAGAGCCTGAAGCTCAATGTAGCGAAGGACAACATCACGATGCATACCCACGCCTGCGGCAGTTACCGCCTCACGGTAGGCATCACGTGCGCTCGTGAAGTCATAGAGACAAGACTTCAGAGCAAGCTTGAAGTTCGTGCTGATTATAAGTTAGCGGCTGATAGCGTAAGTTCTGGTCTCCAGCAATTCTTACTCTCTATAATGTGTCCTTGCTTCGCGGACCAGGGTGTCCAGTTCATTGACAAACAACTTGTCCCAGAATGCATTAGCAGGTCCAGTACGCAGAGTCTCATCTTTAGCAATCTCCTCAATCCAATCTTTCAGAGTGAACAATCTCAGAATGTTGCTGTTTGCAACAGTCTCTTCAAAGTTAGCATCTTCGATACCATCACCTGCATCAGCGAATGCGATACGAGCCGCATCAGCGCCGAATTTGTCGACAGCATCCTTAAGTGTGAGGAAATTTCCAGTGCTCTTGCTCATCTTCTCACCATTCAGGAGTAGATGGCCATTGACTCGGATGGACCGAGGCCAGTACTCCGGTGGGAAAAGAGCAATGTGAATGTAAAGGAAGAAAGTAAGATGGTTTTGAATAAGATCTTTCCCGGATACCCTAACGTCTAGCGGGTACCAGTACTCAAATTCTCTCCGCATAGCTTGCAGTGCCTCTTTGCTAATGCCAGTCTTCGAGATGAGTTCGTCGTTAAGTTCGCGTCTTGTGAAAACGTAATCCCAGACCTCGTCTGTCATTTGTTCGGCCTTCACATTGAGGAGACCCGGCGTGTTGCCATAACGGTCACCGTGCAGGAGGTGAGCAATTGTGTAGTAAGCCATATAAACGGTGCTGTCGCTCAGACTCTCTACGAGGAATTTAGGATCCCACGGGAGCTTGGAGCCCAAGCCGTATGTTCTTGCACACGCCCATCTGTTAAGCCAAGTAAGGTTCTTCTCGAAACCATTCTTTGTTTCCGGAGAATAGGTGTTGAGGGTATTCTGAACAAAGTTAAGAGTCTCATGCTGCCACTGTGCATCACTCTCGCCATAGTTCAGGAACCACTGAGGGAGATAGGCAACGACGCAATCATCGCCGCTTCGGCTGACAACCTTACCCATTGGATCGGCGAAGGGGAAAGCATCACCGCTCTCGTACAGGGACTTGCGGATTTTCTCCTTTGCAGCACTCACTGGCTCACCCTTGAACTCTCCCACTAGCATAGTACCTTTATAGAATGCTTCGCTGTACGCGAGTTCCTTGGCCTGTGCCAGTTGGTTGACGTCCTTGGGAGAGTTGATCTTGAGTTTCTTAACTAGCGCAGGAGCGGTTAGGTTCCCGTACGTTGGCGTTTCAATAAGAGGGATGATGTCCAGTTCCGCCCATTCCTTCTTGATCCCGTAGAAGTCAGGCTTCTTCGCGAGATCGGCCATAGTGGCGTAGTCGTCAGGGCTGTCAGAGGGCACCGAAGTGACAACACCAGTTCCCTTTGTTGCAGAAACGCTATCCATAGGCAAGATTCTGACACCCTCAGTGTGGAAAGACAGCGGTGCATTGACGAGAGTTCCAACAAAGGTGGATCCTGGAATATCAGCGACGATCGGCAGCTGATCCTGGGACTTGGGGAAGTGTTCGTAGTCAAAAAAGAATCCTTGGAAAGCCATGTTCCAGGCAGCCCTCTTAGTTGCAATAAAGTACTCCTTCTCTTTAACCCTAAAGATGCTATAGTTGATCTTCGGGCCGACGAAGCAGCAGTTCTGCCCATACATGGTCTCTGGGCGGAGAGTAGCCGGGATGAAGTAAACATCAGCATCATCCTCAATCTTACCCTTGACAAGCTCCGCAGCTACTGGCGACCATTCCTTCACTTTCAGCTTCATAGCCGTATATTCTTGAGGACCAATACCTTCACCTTCAGTCCGGTCGTGGTCCATACAGGGTTGGCCGTCCTTCGGGGAGTAGATGGTGTATCGGTTCCCGTACAAAATCTTGCCCAATTCATGAAGGCGGTTCATCTGCCAGCGCACAAAGGCATCGTAATATGGGTTTGCATCTGTGGTGACCATCTGTCTCCGCCAATCAATTTTCGCACCCAGGCTGTCGAGATGCTGAATGGTGAGAGGAGGAAAGTGCTGAAGCCAATATGAAGCATCTGAGAATTTATGGATATCCTGGAGCGGTATACCGATTGCTAGCATGATTTGGAACTGGTACTTCATCTTCACGGTCTTTGCAGCGGCCTTGCTCTTCTTCCCGGAGAACTTGTCCGGTTCTGCCTTGATGTCCTGCGTGGGAGCCGGGGTAGAAGTGTCCGGTGCTTGTTCATCCTCTTCCTTGTAGTGCTCAAAGTTCTTTCCAAACTTCTGAACCTCGTCTGCGAGCTTATCCGCGCAGGCCTTGATGGGCATACCGGTGCAGTGGAAGCCGAGAGGGAACAGGGACCTCTTACCCTCCATACGTGCCACGCCGGTCATGAACTCGACTTTGCTTGCGGTAAAACTGTGACCAGCATGTAGGGTACCGTTCATATAGGGGTATGCCATGGTTCCAAAGAACTTCGGGAACTTTTCACGAAGTTCTGCAGCAGACATGGTGCCAGGCGGGACCTCCGAAAGGGAAGGGGCGTCGACTTCGAAGACCTTTTCCTTCTTCCATTGTGCCTGGTATTTCTTCTCGATTGCAATAAGAGCGTCTCTTTTCTCGGTCTATTGGGGAAATTGACGGTTAGTCTTTGGAACATGCCGCGGAGAAGCGGAGGGAGGAGGTGTTAAAGTAGGGAACATTTTCAAGCTTCAAAGTGGTTTTGGAACTATTGCTCGGATCGAGCTGGGCTACAGAAGCAGCTGCGGCTGCCATGGCTCTCTGGTTGACCGTTTATGCTCCGATTCAAAACAGAAAAGGAGCCTCGATGCGTTGTTGGAGGGAAAAGATCAATCTACACGATGATCGCGGGGTTTTGGGTTTGGGACAAAAAGAGGCCTTGGAGTCTTGAAAAATATGAGTCAGGTATGTAACGGTATGTAACGGCGGTATTGACGCTGCGCACGTGCCCGCATGCTCTGGGCGGATTTTCCAGGAATCGAAGATGAACTCCGAGCCAGCTTCAGGTCCAGCGCTGCAAGCCATATCGCTGCTGAGAGCAGTTGGTTTTATATCTCTATCTGCTACTCTAATTCAATTTTTTCCAATTACGATTGTCTTCTCCTGCCGAAATACAATTTCTGTTCGCCGCAGTTTCCGACCATGGTGAACCTATTCAAGCGATTGCGGAAACTGAGAACTGTACGTTGGCTTTGTACCTGAATGCCATCCATTGGGGACATCTCGGATTGTTATTTTACGGATTTACTGACTTGAATATTGTCGCTTTCTAGAAGGTACATATCAATTGCAATTCGCTACACTCCCCGTGTTCGCGAGGGAAATCCCTACACTGAACCACATTGAACCATCCACCTATACCTTTGGATCATATCCATATTCTCGTCAATCGTTACTAAATTCTCTCTTTTAATTCTTCTCAGATCCTCCATGTCCGCATAGGTCAAGGCGCCGCAATCCTACCATCTATCACATCTGCAACAAAAGAGCACTCAGCCATCACCCGACTACACCTTACATACGCAAAGAAGATATATGGCGGCCACCAAGGCGCACGGCATTTCTGGCGGAATTGCCTCCCACGACTCAAGTATCACAACCCCGGCGTTCAGATGACCGTGAAGCAGACGCAGGACCAAGACGGACCCGCAGCCTTAACGGTATATTTCGCCGGACGTGCAACTGACACCGCCATGCAACATTCATCACAAATTAAAGACACCCATGCTCCGCCGCCGGAGGCAAATGAGAAAACGATCGTTCTCGATCTGAAAGATCATGATTATAAATCCATCTGGAACAGGTTGAAGGCCGCCACGGGCGCGCAGGATGTTGCTGCGACACCAGAGGAGACAGCGGAGCTTCAGAAGTGGGAGAAGATGCGTGCACAGTCGGAAAAAGACCGAGCACGTGTTGCGGCCATTCGACAGGCAAAGAAGGATCAGGAGATGATGCTCAAGAAGGCCAGAGGAGAAGTAGAGATGTTGAGGCAGCTGTAAGCCGCGCTCGTTCTCTATCTTCTCCTTTGGATTGTAATCTTCCTTCGCTCCTCGTCCTCTTCTTTCCCTGTCCAGTGTTCTGGGTATAAAAGTAGTCTCTATATTGCTTGAAAATCGGGATTGACGGGAGAAATGTGATTGACAAGTCAGTTTCAACTGTAAAATAGTGTTCATTATTCCCTTTGTTTTCTTTTTGTTTTTCATGTTGTTGCTGGGAAGGCGCAGAACATCAGTTCCATATACATACAAATCGGAAATCGATTCGAATTTTGGTTGCCTGACTGCGAAAGATAATGAATAGAACTTCGCCTAGTCTTTTATAGTAGACAAAAATGGAGGCATTGCTCAGTCACAGACAATAATGAATAGAACATGGATATAGGAGCTGGGGTTGGGAAAGAAAAGAAAGGGTAAAGAATAAAATAAGATATAGAGCGCTTGGAAAAGCAAAAGAAAAGAATATAGTTTACTCGTTACCATCATCAAGAGTCCACTTTCATGCCGGAGACAATAACACAAGGGAGGAAGGAAATTTTTAACCGTACGCTTAAGAAGAATATATCCCGTACACCTAACCTTTTCAGAGAAAGCCTCATGCATCATTACGTTTCTCCTTCATGTAATCTCAAGCATGATCCGGGGTATAACTTGTTCCACCCAACATGCCTTGTCTCGTTGAGACAGTCGGTGTTGCTGGGGGCTGGAGCGACTGGATTGACGAGGGTTGGGATTGCCCTCTCGCTGCAGCTGCAGCTTGAAGCCTCTGGTCCAGGGCCCTGAGCGCAAGGGCTCGTCTTCGCTCTGCTTCCTCACGCTTAGCCATTCCTCTCGTTCCTCCACCTCTGTCGTTGCTCAAAAGACTAGGCAGGCCTTGCTCCCCTCTCGCGAGGGCTTGTTCGTTGCCCGACGCGATGTCATCTGCTGAAAATGGTGTGCATATCTTCAAGGTCACTAGAGTACTGTATATTCTGTCCGCGATAAATGAGATAGGAGGCTGAATCGCATCAGGAAAGAGACATGCGAATGAGAATGTCTCACTTGCATCGCCCTTGACACCTAGCCCATCAGTCGATGTACCGGTAAGATCAGGCTGCCGTTTATAGAACCGAAGATACGTCCAACTCGATAGAAGACCCGACCAGGCAAGAATCGCAGCGGTGTCTGTTCTAAGGAAGATGCCACTAATGGTGTTCAAGAAGAGGAAGAGAGCAGGGAAATGCTTCACTCGCATTTTAATAAGACCCTTGAAGACAGTAACGGTATGTTCAGGGACAAGCTGTTTGAAAGCAACCAAGAAGGATGCTTGTATCGATACGCCGCCGCATATCTGGACAAGGCTAGAGGGACAAGGACAAGGGAGTTAGCCAGGAAGTCGAGAATAGAAAGTGGCGTCTGCACGAAACTCACCCTCTATCCAGATTTCCTGAAACGGCTGCCCAAGCAATATAGATGGGCAAGGTAATTGCATTGGGAATCAGCGAGACGATGAGAATGAACTTGCCAAACTCCGAGGAGCCCCAGGCGCGCTCCAGGTATTTGCCTCCATACAAGAGCGTAGCCGAATTCAGCAACACGGTAAAGATATTCTGCTCAACAAATGTCGCAGTAAGGAAGGTCCAGGGATAGAAGAGGAATTGGGACGGCACAAGGGTTAAATAAGGTACTATCGGGTTGGGGTGAGGAGTGACACCCGGGGCGCCAATCTGCCGCCATCTACCGATGTTGTAGAGCAAGGAGAGACCGAGAAGGCTGAAAAGAAAGATACGGGTCGCAGGCGGAAGGTTGATTCGAAATGCCATATTGCAGAGCAAACGGGCTTCTTGCGGCTGCAGGGGGAGGTGCAGGCCGCAGGCAGTCGACAAGAAGAGTGTTGAGGGGATAGCAGTGGATTCAAGTTTAAGAATGCGCGGTGAGTTCTGCTGGCGTGTCTTAGCTGAACTTTACTAGTAGTAGACAACGACACGACAACACAAGAAAAGAACCTTGAACCCGGTTCACTGTAACGCCCCAGGGCGCTCCAAGAGTGTGGAAACCTAAAAGGCCAATTCAGGACTAGTTCTTCGTGATTAGAATAGCTCTGCAGATCTGTCCACATTGCACACAATAATAATGCTGCTGTCAATCGTTGCCGTCTATCCTTCTGCTGGAACAGGCTCTAAGAAATGGCTCCTTGGTGCACTCTTCTCGGTATGCATTGGACTGTACCTTGTTTGGTGTTGATGTTCCGATTAGTCGACCGCTATCGAGGAGATAATAATACACTGGCTTTTCTCGACGTTTTCTTCTGCAGCCATCTGGGGATTCTGGAGTGTTTCGTTGACGCCTGAGGAGCCAAGGCCGCCATATGGGGATTTCTGGAGACATAAAACGCTAACCGGATCAGGTTAGAGCCGGTATTGACTTCAGCAGGATTTACACGTCCTGCAGCTGCAGCTTTGAATTTGAATTAACAGTGAAGTGGGTGATGGTAACGATGTTGTGTAGCTTTTAATGTAATCAGTGAAATTAGAGATGCAGTATAGATAAATTAGATACGACACTGGAAGAGATAAGTAGGATGGAAAAAAAATCCAATAATTGGAGGTCTGATCAGCTGTTGCGATGAAATTCAGCCGTCACTGTTGTACTATGAAGGATACTACAGTATGAAGGCATAAGATTAACTAAATATCTACACGTAGATACTAGACAGACTCTAAGTGTATGTTAATTATTGCCATTGCAACGAGAGATACTCTATTTGCAGGATGAGCAGAACCGATTATTACCTAAGGCAGCCGATCAGGGCGCTATGATCCCGGCAAGGGAGAATAATAACTGTGGATTTATCTCAGAAAAATGGACCAGACCAGACCCGCTCCCTTCGGCTCCACGCAGCACTCTCTTGTCTTTCTTGAGTTCGTTTCTTGACAGCTGCTTCTCCATTCTTCCTTTTCGCCCTCCGTCTGCCAGATTCCACTGTCTCCAACTGCATGCCGGTGCATCTGGCTTCTGCTCATCCTTAATCCTCATCCATCCTGCCCCCCGGAATACCCGTCTTTCCCACTCCAATCACACTACCGGCCCTGGCGCTGCTATTCCAAGCCACGCGGTTGGTGTCGAATTCGTCCCGTTCCCTTGTTCCATCGGCCTTCTTTGATCTCTCTTTCTCTTCCTTCCTCTTCTTCCTTCAACTCAGCTGGTCCAGCCTGTCAGCACCTCTGGCCTGTGCTTCCATTGTTGATTATTTTCCCCCTCATCTCTTCTTGCCTTGCCGTGTCTGCAGACTTTCATCCCCTTGGAGCCCTTAGTCCACAACTCTATTGGGGACAAGAGGTAGAAGGTGAACTGACAAACCTAAAGAATCTGGATATTATTATCTCTTTACAAACCCATTCACTGTACAATATTGTCTATTTCCATTTCCGTGCAACCCCTTCTCCCTTCGCCTCTGGCATGTCAGTGGTTGTCCTTCTGCTATTGCGCACAGTGCATATGTAACAATGGAACACCCTGATCTAACATCACATCACGTCAACTACCTAATATGGAGGTAAGTGCCCAGCTAATCCATCAAAACTCATACGGAATTCATACAATCCGTGTTGTTACTTTTACTGACTTACCTATTCCTGTTAAATAGGTATCTTCAAGAATCAGGTTAGTTCCCTTTTGGCTTCCTTTTTCAGAGGAGGCAAGAAAGAAACACAGCTCTCCGTCTCAAATCGGATTTCAAAGATCTCAAAGTGAAATGTATGATTTTCTCTGACTATGATTCCACAGGACTTGGCGACGCTGCAGTGACGCTGCAGCGCGCATGGAATCGGGACCCGCAAAGTTTGCCTTTCGCGCCGTACATCAAAACCCATGCTCTGGTGTCCTTGGTACAAAAAGGCCTGCAATATTACGAACTCGAGCATTCGCTCGATAAGGCACGTTTTCTTTGAAAATCCACTCGTTTTTCTGCTTGTCAGTGGGTGGTAAGGACAACGTAAAGATTTTCTAACAAAAGCCCCACAGGATGGTAATCCTATTCCGATTTCACCGTCATCGTATTTTTTTGGCCCGGAGCCTCTGGATGCGGAAGCACTGAAAAGTCAAGGTGGTGGCCCGGTTCACGAGGCGGGTGATCATGGCACAGACCAACCGACATCCAAGATCGCCGAGACGAACGGCTATTTGACAACCGCAGCCGTCACCCGTCCAAAGAAGAGTCGCAAGGGTGAAGTAGATGACGATGGCGATGATATGGAAATCGACGCTATTAATGGGATTGTACGCGAGCCGCCATTTCCTGCAAACGTGGTGGACGGCGATGGGGACGTGAGCATGGCCCAGGATCAGGAACCTGTCGCGGCGCCGCCAATCTTCACTCTGACGAATGGGCACAGCGTTGGCGTTCAGATTACCCCCGCCAAGGCCGCCGACCTCAGCCCCAACACCACCATCCTCGATGTGGCTGTCAGTGGCCACGTGACCAATACGCTCTGGCGCCCACGTGACCCAACTGTCGTGGCTGCGGCCGGCGACACCTTCTGCAGCTTGTGGAAACTGCCTTCATCATCATCGACGCCGGTGGAAGAGAAACTGATTGAGAATAACGGCAATAATACTTGCGTCTCAGCTGTTGCGTGGGACTCGACAGGCCAGAAACTGGCCGTTGCTACGTATAGCGACATGAGGGGGTCTATCACCATGTACGACGTGCATGGGAATGCTGTCGATCTTTTACCTGAAGTGCCTAGGATGATCACTGGGTTACATTGGGCGGAACAGAGTTCTCACCTGGTTGTTGTGGCATCGGACAGTAAAATTTCTGAATTGGCTCTATGGGACGATTCTGTCCGCCCAGATGAATTCCCCTCGCCGCAGGTGGTCGACAATTCCATCTATGACTTTGTATGGTTGAACGATCGTCAAGCATACGCCTGTGGAGATGGGACAGTTTATCAGTGTGATGTCGACTCAAGAATTAACATATCCCAAACTTTCTCCTCTGGTGGAACCAACGCTGCCTGGACCTATGTTCGCTGTGCCGAAAGAGAAGGCTCACCCGCAGTGGTGGCTGCATCAACAGAAGATGCGAGAATATGGGTTCCGACGCATGATATGGTTCTTGATAATGCACATCAAAGCGAAATCACCGCTATAGAACTGCGTTCCCAGGGTCCAAGGTCTGACTCAGAACGGCTAAGTCCACACTTAGTCCTTGCTTCATCATCTACGGATGACACTGTCAAGGTCTGGAATATTGATTTGGACTTGAAATGTTTCAATTGCGTTCATCGCTTGTTTCTCGGGCCGTCAACGCCGGCTCTTACGTCGAGCATCTCTCCCGACTGGTATGCCCTAGCTGCTGCCAGCAAAGATAAACTTTATATTTGGAATGTTGAGCGGGGCGGTGTTCCAATGGCATCCTGGACAGTGCCTGATCACGAAGAAAAGAAAAAAGAGGATGGGCCGAACGGTTCCCTCAACGCACAGAGCGTGTCTGAAGAGCTTTTGCCTGTTCGCTCTCTGTCTTGGGATGCCGACGGCAAAAGACTTGCCTTTGGCTTCGGCAAACAGGTACACTCTATTTCTCTTCCTCCCTTTTTTCTGCCTTCTCGAAAATTTCATAGTGCTGACAGCTATGTTTGTAGGTGGCTATCGTGAACATGCAGCGTTGAGTTAATGCAGCGTCAAAGATCACCGTCCCATTCTGTTACTGGCTGTATCGAAGTTCGCACATTGCGACTGGTGCTACCACCTTCTAGACATCCTTCAGCTTCTACCTTTGTTCTACCATTGGCTAGGGGACGAGATGGCGAGAAACATGTGCTCATCTTCAAACGCGTTACCTCTAAGAACAGCGGCGTTGAATGTCGCCTTAAGCCCATGAAAGATCTTTAATTCCAAAGGGCTTTACCCTTTATTATGGGGACACTATTTTTGCAGTTTGTTTATTCTTTATCTCTTAGATCTTTGCCGGTTCCACCTCGCGCAACATCTGGTCATACTAGACGATCTTCTATGGTTTAAGATACCATGGACCTTGGGGACTGTTGGCTATGGCGAACGATATGAATCTCCTCCGGTGATGATAAATGGATACATTCTCTTGGATTGACAGTTTTAGTTTCTTGGCTAGAATAGTCAGCCCAGGATTCAGGGAGATAAAAGCATGGCAATTGCCGACATAGGGTCGCGACAGGTATGCATACTAAGCTTTTGCATGCCCCTTCGACGGGTCGATACCGGGGCTATCTTCACTTCCAATGACGAAGCCAACGTTTCTGAAAATTAGAGACGATGATTTATTTTTATATCGTTAATATTATCGTGTCTCGGATCTCCTCACTATGGTGTTGCGAGGTCTCGCCTTGTGGGTCTGTCCTATTCGCTTTCTCAGACTCCTTTCCTTTCTCTGCCTACGTTCTTCTGCCTTGAACTTCCGCATCTCTCCAGCCACACATCCACGCAGTGGTTCCTTCGATAAGTGCATTATTGTCGTTATCATTCTCATCCTCGCGTCCATCTCTCTTGCTCTGAGTGGGCCATCCACGTTCTGGCCACGTTCAAATCATGCTGTTGTTGTCGCATCTGTTCCCAATTCTCGAGCGTGTGGACTGTACCCTGATGCACTTGATTTTTGATATACCACTCCAAGACGATAGATGGTAATTGTGAAGCAATATTATACAACTTGAAAGTGTCTATAAAACTTATATTTCTATCTAGGTAACTATTGGACTGGAAGTTTGACAGCCGGATGCTGATCACTTAAGGATATAATAATTTCTTGTACCTAGCCTAGAGCGCATAGGAATCTGAATTGAACAAAACTAAACCCAACTGAGCTAAACGGGCTCATGATGCTTAAAACTATCCCCAGGTTCCTTAGGATTCTCCATATTTCTTCTTGGGGATGAGATTTCAGTAACACCGATGCGGAATTATCCGGACTAGGGAACACTGGTTATCGCTGGAGATGTTGTTGACTTAAGTAGTGTCTAGTATGCTACTCATCATGACATCGAAGTAGATTTCCACTCCCACCAGACATCAAGCCCTTCAACAGTTCCTATCTCCATCTCAGACTCTGAATAGATCGCAATATGGCAACTCCTAGTATGAATCCCTCGCAATCACCACACGCCCATGATGAGCAGATTGATTGCTCTTAGGATTTCTCGATTTGGGTGTCATAAATGCGTCGCCCATGGACAGTTTCCAAAGATATTGTCAAATTTTGAAGACACCAACAGGAACTGTTCGTGCCTACCCTCGATATGATTGAATGCTTGAAACTTCTTCCTGGGAATTTCTTGTTCCTTCATGTTCCATTCAGAAGAACGATATTTTATACCCAAAGAGGGCCTTTGTTATCTCCTTTGCTGGCATGTCGCTGGTGACTGTATGGATGACGCTGAAATCGGTCGTTACGATCCAGATGAGGGCCCCATTGAATCGGAGTCCGTTACTTTCGGTCTTCCTATAAAGAGAAAGAAATTTTGCCTTTATTTGCTTGAGTACTTGCGACAAGCAGCGACGCATCATCTCCACATAGTCTGCGAGCTTTGCAAATTTTTCAGGCTTCGACTCCCTGTACGATCAATATTGTTCGTAGTAAAATTTAGTTTCTGTTTGGGGTCTCACAGAGCAGACACCGATGCCTTTCATTTACCAGCCTGTCTCATCGATGTTTCCAACTTCAGTGAAGAGGAGGCTTCAGAGTTTGAAGTTCAGAGTTGTGACAATTACAATTCACCATCTCTATCACATAGGTTAGTTAGAATAGTGGTATGTGTAACTACTAACATGGCAGTTATCGATAAAGGGAAGAACTGATACGCTAAGCCATTCCTGGTAATAATTGGAGATCTCCGACTCCGGTTCAAAGCATGAATAAAAAAGACCTTAACCTGCAGACGCTCTCGTCAACTTAATCTTCCTTAAACATCTCTCCAGCTCCTGGTTTTGTGGCATTTCCATGCAGTCAATACTAGCTGCTGGGTATTTCTATTGAGTTGTATTGGCCCAAGGTCATCCCCTCGCGCACACAGATAACCACACCCGCCAGAACAAGAACATCAGGCAGGCCTCGAGAATGGCGCCGTCTGTAAGTTACTTATTCACATGTGTTTAGCGCGCTGCTATCTTGTTTATTTTTTATTTTTTATTTTTTTATTTTTTTTTTTTTCATGGAGAGGGGAAGAAGTAACGAAAAATGTACGATTCCGCGGGATATCACTGGGCTAATTGCTTTCGTCAAAGATCACCACGGTGCCATCTTTCGAGACCGCATGTGAGGTCGTTGCTCAGTCGAGGAACTCAGAGTATCCACCGAATCTGCTCCCGATCACTGCGTTGGTTCCGGCGGATCTGTTGACTCCTACGTTGGCCTATTTGAAGCTCTCGGAGAAGTGAGTCATATCTGTATAGAACTGTCGTGCGGGACACATTTGAACTAACTACGATGTAGCTCCAAGTTGTCATTTTTGTTTGAGAGTGCAGCGACTACAGAGACCATTGGGCGGTATAGCTTTGTTGGTGCAGGTTGGTGATAATGCCTTTCCATTAGACCAAAAGGAACTGCTATTGACTACTCGGCTGTATTTGCAGATCCCCGAAAAGTTCTTAAAACCGGCCCCGGTCATGGCCCCGAGTGCGATCCTCTTCCAGGCCTCGAGAAAGAATTATCCCTGTTCCGCATTGCAACAGTGCCAGGGTTGATTCTGCCACCCTTGACTGGTGGAGCAATTGGATACGTTGGATATGACTGTGTGAGATACTTCGAACCCAAGACCGCACGGCCTCTCAAGGATGTCGTTGGTGTACCTGAATCGTTCTTCATGTTCTTCAATACTATTGTCGCCTTCGATCATTTCTTTCAGGTCGTCAAGGTGATAACGTACGTGCCCATTCCGGGAACCGACGCAGAACTGAAAGTGGAATACCGGAAAGGCCAAGAGGTTCTTCAGAAGATCGTTTCGATGCTGTTGCGCCCTGATACCCCCCTGCCACCACAGGGTCCGATCATCCCTGGCCAAGAGTATAAGTCAAACATTGGTCGCGAGGGCTACGAGCGACATGTCATGAGGCTGAAGGAACATATTGGCAAGGGAGATATCTTCCAGACCGTGCCGTCGCAGCGCTTGGCGCGTCCAACTTCCTTGCACCCATTCAACCTCTTCCGCCATCTGCGCACAGTTAATCCGTCGCCTTACCTCTTCTACCTTGATTGCCAGGAATTTCAGCTTGTGGGGGCCAGCCCGGAACTGCTCGTGAAGCAAGAAAATGGCAGAGTGATTACTCACCCAATCGCCGGTACAGTCAAGCGTGGGAAAACGCCGGAGGAAGATGCCGCACTGGCGGACGAGCTGCGTGGGAGCTTGAAGGATCGTGCGGAACATGTTATGCTGGTCGACCTGGCACGCAACGATGTCAACCGTGTGTGCGACCCCATGACTACTCAGGTCGACCGACTTATGGTCGTCGAGAAGTTCTCACATGTCCAGCATCTTGTTTCTCAAGTATCCGGCGTTCTTCGTCCAGAGAAAAGCCGGTTTGACGCATTCCGCTCGATTTTCCCGGCAGGTACCGTCTCCGGGGCACCGAAGGTCCGAGCCATGCAGCTGATTGCGGAGCTTGAAGGCGAGAAGCGAGGTGTATACGCTGGGGCGGTTGGCTACTTTGGTTTCAACAAGGCCAGCAGTGACGGAACAAGGGAGGTACCGGGGGAGATGGACACATGCATTGCGCTCCGGACGATGGTACTCAAGGACGGAGTGGCTTATCTCCAGGCTGGTGGAGGGATTGTGTTCGACTCCGATCCATATGATGAGTATGTCGAGACATTGAACAAACTGGGAGCCAACATCCAATGCATCCGCGGTGCAGAGGAGAAGTATTTGCGCTTGGAGAAGGAGGCAGAAGGCGCTTAGAGGGAAGAAAGCTGCGAATGAAGGAAAAGAAAAGCAAAATGAAAGGCGGCTGTCTAGCTTTTACTATGCTTTCTTGTACAGAATCATATATGATGAATGAATGAAAGGATCAGAATTGATACCCAGTCTCCATAGATATGTAGTTATAGGCATCGGCACAGTGAGGTCAAGAGCAACAGGCAATAAAAGAACAGTATAAACAGGGAGAATTAATGCCAATCGACCCGATACCTGGAAGATTCCATCCATCTTTTCTACCTCCTATAAAGCCATCGAAGAACCAGACAGACAGCAAGGTGGCTATGCAGAGCCCGCCTCCTTCCGGGTCTTGGCATTTCCTCCTTCGAGAGTATCGAGTCGAGAGAGTCGAGAAAGAGAAAGATTGTGCAGGACCAGGTTCTTTGCAGGCCAGAATCATCCAGGTCCAGGCAGATAGAAGGTGAGTGGGACTACATCGCAAGGCCAAGAGAAACTTCGACAGTCGTCGTCATTGTTCGACTTTCCGTGCCACCCTAATTATTAGCATCGAATAACCTATTTAATATTTCAATCCTTTATTATATGGAATTCTGATCAGCCACTGACGCTTTTCTTGCCGCGTTTCCCGTCAAATCAGTTGATCGCATCACCGCTTTGAACTTTCCTGCCACCTCTGCTGCTGCTGCGCTCCGCTTCCTGCGACTTCCATTCCTTCGTCCCTCCTGTTCTTCCTGCGGCAACGTCAGCTGGGAAAGATAGACATCATTAAAAAGGAAAGACAGAGAGAGGGGAAAGCTCTCACGGTTGAATTTCTTATCTCGATCTTATTCTGTCATCCCTGACTCTCATCTTAGACTGGAGAAGACCACGTTGGGCTGCGATAAGGAGAGCGACTGAGGTGGGCTGCAATTTGCTGACTTCATCATCAACAACCACGCCTTGTGCTTCATCATTGTCCTCTGTGCGATCTCTGGGGGTCCCTCTTTTGTTTCCTTTTCTCCTTTTCATCCCATTAACTCTCACTTCTTCACATACATCACATCACTCCCAACATGTCCAAGGTTGTGCGCAGCGTTAAGAACGTCACAAAGGGCTATTCATCAGTGCAAGTAAAAGTTCGAAATGGTATGCCAATACTCCAAACATTGATGTGAGGACATCATCAGAATACCCCTGTAATACTGACTGTTCATCCTGTCCCAGCCACAAGTAACGATCCTTGGGGCCCCACAGGCACTGAAATGGCTGAAATCGCTGCCTTGACGTTCGGCAGGTAGGCTCTCGCTGCTATTATCCCTTTTTTTCTTTTCTTTTCTTTTTTTTTTTTTTTTTTTTTTTTTTTTCTTTTGGCGTCGGACTGGCCCAGACTGATCCGATTTCTCCTGCAGCCCAACGGATTTCTTCGAGATTATGGATATGTTGGACAAGCGACTGAACGACAAGGGCAAGAACTGGCGTCATGTTCTCAAGTCGTTAAAGGTCCTGGACTATTGCCTTCATGAAGGCTCGGAGATGGTCGTAACGCGAGCGAGAAAGGAGGTCTACATCATCAAAACCCTGCGCGAATTCCAACACATAGACGATGACGGAAGGGATGTTGGTCAGAATGGTATACTAATCTTTCATGTTGTCTTGATGTCTACTCTGTCCCTTGACCACCAAACTGACGCTACGGGATCGTTATAGTCCGTGTCGCCGCGAAAGAGCTTACAGCCCTCATCTTGGACGAAGATCGATTGCGACGTGAGCGAGCAGACCGCAAGCTCTGGAAATCCAGGGTCCATGGCCTCGACGAGGAGTATCCGGGTCACGGCTTCGAATCAGAACCGCCAAGACGGCGCGAACGTTCGAGACGTCAGAATGATGATGACGACGTGGAATATCGCTTAGCAATTGAAGCAAGCAAACACGAGGCTGAAGAGGAGCGACGGCGACGGCGAAAGGATACCTCTTCCCAGGAAGAGGATGCAGATCTAGCCAGGGCGATCAAACTGAGCAAGGAGGAGGAAGAGCTTCGCAAGCGCGAACTGGAAGAGAGCAACGCGCAGTCTCTGTTCGATGATACTCCTGTTGAGCCGGCGCAGGCGCAGCCCACTGGTTACAATCAGGGGTATCAGCAGCAGGGTGCTGTCGACTGGTTTGGTAACCCAATTACTCCTCAACAGCCCTTGTCGACTGGTTATTTGAACAACCAGTATGCGCAGGCACAACCTACCGGGTTTACAAACCAGTTGACTGGCGTGCCGAATGGATATGCCAATGGCTTCCAAAACCAGCCAACTGGGTTCGATCAGTATGGCCAACTTCAGAATAACTTCCTACAGCCACAACAGACTGCCTTCAGCACGAACAACCCCTACGGAACAGATGTTTACTCGCAGCAGCAACAGCAACTACAACAACAGCAGCAGCAGCAGCAACAACAGCAGCAGAGCTTCCTTGCGGCGGGTAGCAACAATCCTTGGTCTTCAAACCACCAGCAGGCAGATGCTCTTAAACCCCTTCCCACTGGATCCAACAATCCATTCGCCAGCCGCACTCAGACTCAGAACAAATTTCATCCGACAACCACACTTGCCCCGTCTCTGGGCACGCTTGCTGAAGAACGAGCGACCACCCAGTTCTCATCGAACAATCCGATTAGCAACTTCCAGGCTCCGGCACCTCCGAGGAGCACCCCTCCTCAGATACAGCAGCAGCAGAATCCCCATCATGCACGCCTCAACGCTCTTCTTGCGAGCGGAGAAGGGCTGGATACGTTCGGAAATGTTGGCGATTTACGTATTCCCGCGCAACACACGGCACCCGGCATTTTCGTCAATTCTGCTGGTCAGGGTATTGAACGACTAAGGGCTGCCCAGACAGGCAACAATCCTTTCCTTAGCGCACACTCTACCGGAATCCCAAGTCAGACTGGCTTCGGACAGCCAAATAACAATCCTTGGGCTACTCAGCAACCGTACCAACAGCAGCACCAAGCCGGCAGTCTGATTGACCTGTAAATGGCGCTCACTCTGTTCGGCTTTAGAGAGAAAACAGACATGGAGACATAGGCTATCAATCGTGGTCGAAATTATGGGGGAGATTTGAACTCGAAGAACAAAAGGAAATTTTGCTACCGAGGCACAATCCCTGTCATGGTGACTATCCGCTGATTTATTTTATTCTTACTGTCGAATGATTCTGCTGGGCAAATATGATCTAATTCCTGATACCAAAGAGTTTCCACTGTTTCAAGTTCCTTTTATCTCTGGTTGGGTCGTCGGCGATTGTCTTCATGTTTTTGGCTATGCGGGATATCAATCAGTCTTTGCTCGCAGTAATCCATCTGTGAAGAGAAAGGGGGAGTGGGAAAGTTAGTATTTGAACCATGCTAGCTTTCCTTTCTTTTATTCTCTCTTTCTCTTTTTTTTTTTTTTTTTTCTTCTTCTTCGTTCTATCCTTTCTCTTTCTCTTTCCTGTTTCTAGTTGCTCTGCACTTTACTTCAATCATGAACTCTGTGCTCAAATACGTTGGTTGCATGGTCATGGTATGACTATTCGGTTTGATTCAATATTTATTTTTTCTTCTTTTGTCCCGGTCGCTTTCATATCACACCATACAGTGCTCTATATATCCCATTTGTTCCTGTCACTCTATTACAATAAACTTTTTTCTTTTCTCTTTTTTCTTTCCTTTCCCTTTTGGAATAAAAAAGTCACTTTTCTAGGGCGCTCTTGCTACCTACTCGACTGTAAGTACAGAGCGAGTTAGCTATTTAGGTACTCTACTTACTTTCTTCCCGTTATTATTATAGAATTAGCGTAAGAGGGATGTATTGTCCTTTTGCTGTCCATCCATTCCATTCATCTGCTATATTATAATATAAAATAAGTACGGTTCAAAAGTATGCATCCAACCCACCGACATCAGCATCAACATCAAACAAGTCATTGAACTCCCATTTCCCGAATGAATGTAATGTAATCTATATACACACGTAGGAGAGCCATGAAAAAAAGAAAAAGCAAAAAAGAATCAAAAAAAGTACCATTCCGACCCGCTTACACCCATCATCCCGGAAAACCCTAAAAAAGATAAAAAAATAACACAGACACTCAATAATTGGTTTCCACCCCATTTCTTTCTCTTTCCTTTTTAATTCATTTGAGTACCAAATTCGCGTATAACCCGTATGGAATCCTGTTTGAAGAAAGAAGGGAAACAAGCCGTCCAATCAACCACCACGTTCCCCGAATTTCTCCGCCCATTCTTCATACACCCTTAGCCCGTCCCGGCTTACACTGGGGCGAATTGAAGACAGACTTGCCTCGAAGTCCTGGGAGCGAATGGGCCGGATCTGTTCTTTGGGGGTGTGGAGGAGGGCCTCGCCTAGATTGCGCAGGGGGCCCATCGCGGCATCTTTTGCCAGGGCGGTAATGTCAGAGCCGGAGAAACCTGTCGATTAATTATAATATGAGTCTAAAGTAATCAACTAAGTAGGTAGTCATGATAATCTGAAGAATGCATACCCTCAGTGGCCAGAACCAGCCGGCTAATATCCTCATCACTCAACTCGTGCTTCTGATAGCTCAGCAATTTCCGCAACTGCTGTTCTCGAACATGATGCTCTGGAAGAGGAATGTACTGTCTCCGGACGAATCTCCGCCTGGCAGCTTCGTCGATGTCCCAAGGCATGTTGGTGGCAGCGAGAACAAGCACGCGGCTCGCGTCTCCACCTTTCTTCTTATCCTTAACTCCATCATTTCGCTCACGTCCTGCGGCGGCACGCTGGAGGTCCGACCACTGTATGAGGAATTCTGTCTTTGACCGTCGTGAGGCCTCATTTTCAGTCCCCGATGATCGGGCGGAAAGCAAGGAGTCGATTTCGTCAACGAAGATAATTGAAGGGGCCAGCGCCTTGGACAGGCCGAAAAGTGCACGGACGAGCTTCTCGCTCTCTCCGTGCCATTTTGATGTAAGTGTCGATGCGGAAACGGAGAAGAAGGTTGATTTGGACTCTGTGGCTACCGCCCTCGCGAGCATAGTCTTGCCCGTACCCGGTGGTCCAAAAAGGAGCATACCTCGTGCTGGTTCACGGAGTCCAGAGAACAAGTCCGGACGGAGGAAAGGGTAAACTACCGCTTCTTTAAGAGCCTTCTTTGAAGCTTCCAGACCGGCAATATCGTCCCAGTGAACTTCATCCCCTCTCACAATAATGTCATTGAGGATCTGACGTGCCGCTGTGACATCGATCCCTTTGGGAAGCTTCTTCAGAATATCAAAAACGGCATCATCTTCGGAGTCATCGTCATCTTTCTCCTCATCCGTCATTCTATGGTCGGAAGAATCCTGGTCACTTGATGGAGGTGTTACCTTGTGTTTTGGCAGTTTTTTCCGTCGATTTACGTCGTGCGTTTTGGCTTCTCGTGAACTAATCATATTCAGTGCAGTCCGGTCTAGATCATCGTCAACCCGCAGTGTCGAGTTCGGACTACGATGCCGCATGGCCCTGGAAGAAGTAGAGGCAACCGCATTTGATCTTGAAACCTTTTTCGTCTTTCCTGACGGTTTTGGCTTCCGATTGGTCTCTGGAGTTTCAGGTCGAAGGTTAGTCTCACGACCTGAACTATGTAGTGACGGCCTCGTAGCATATGAATATGACGGCCTTGACGCCTCGAGTCTAGGCCTCGTAGAGGGTTCAGGCGATTCGGCTGATCGCGAGAGATCTTTAGAGCCCGATAGTGGTAGAGAAGACGATGACCTCTCGCGACGATCCGACTCCCTGAGGGGCGTAGTAGCGGCTGGTGAGCGTCTATATACTTTTGCGGATCGTTCTGGTTCCCGTCCTCGCTGATTTCCACTAAGATTAGCTGCGCCTCCCGTATCTTCAGAGCGAAAATTCCTCGATCGCTCATCGAAGCTATCTTTCCGACGCCCCGAATCGCTTGAGGTCCGCTGCAGCGAAGACGCGATGACGGTGTCATTTGCTGTCTTCTCCGACGACGGATGTCGGTAGAGACTATCCCAAGCAAGGCCAGCAGCTTTCGACGCGGCAGGACGTAGGTCCATTGGTTTCGGGGGTATATCTGTTTTCCTGGACTCGCCGCTGCTGTGTGAATATTTCTTCTGATCTTTATTATTTTTATTATTGCGAAGAGTCGTTAGCATTTGCAATCGTCTTTCAGGGCTCTGCCCACGAGACATATTCCTGCCAGAGGAATTCGAGTGGGCTCGGATTGTCCTGGAACCCGATCCGGTCACTGTCGATGAAGAAGAGCGGGCGTCGTCGTTCAACGTCGACTGCGATCCATTGCTGGACAACGTCCCATGCAAAGGCGCCGGTTTGGATAAATCTGTATAATCGACCGGGGGGATAGTCCCGTCTCCAATCCATCCCGGTGTGGTTGGAGCGTTGGTTTTGATGGCGTTCTTCCCTTTCAATGATTCTTCCTTGCCGCTGCCGCTGCCGTCGCCTCCCTCTTGGTCTTGGACTTCTTTCCTGCTTTCGCGAAGAGCGCTGAGTAGATCGACACGTTCGCGACATTGGAGTTCTAGATCTCGGATGGAGTCCTGGAGAGCCTTTTCCGTCTCGTTCTTTGGTGTGTAATTTGACGGTACGCGGTATGCGTTGTGATAGTATATCGTCTCGAGCGCGGAACGCCAAGATCTCAACGCTTCGGCTTCATTGTTCTATATCGGAGGATATACGAGTCAGTAGAGAAGCCGATTTATTTCCTTGTTTGATAATAAAATCAAGGAGCACAGAAAGCAGGGGATGTGCATACCTGCCCCTCAAAGTATACAGCAGTGGAGCAGATGAGGTAGCACTCATCGTACGTCTTCTGCAGGGAAGACGCGGGCTTTAAGCGCATCATTCGCGCAGTGAGGTGCACGCCCGCCCGCTCCGAACATGCAGGCTGACAGACAAGCAAGATGGAGACGAAGAAGCGTCCCTTTCGATGCAACAGCTTAGGGGGGCAGCGTGGTGGGAGAATTGGTCGATGGAGAGAAGTTGTCGAGGTCTGAATCAGGTTTTTCGCGTGACGTCGTTCAACCATCTCATGGTTCTCTGCGCCTCTTCCTCCCCGACACGGATGGAGGCGGCTTCCTACTGAATACAGTGAAGAGAAGAAAAGATCCCGTCATCTCTCGAGTCGAGGTCTGGAACATCATCAGGAAAATATTTTGCGATGTCAAATGTACTTCCGATCGAAACTTTCTTTTTAAAAAAAAAATACGCTTTGGACACGTTGTGTCTATAAGTACATGATCAAGTGTAAAACGTAAATAGCAAAAGAAACCCATCCCAGAGACATTAATTAGGGTAGCAGAAGGAGAGCGAGCATCTGCCGGAAAAGTCGCCTCCGCAATTCCCTTGCGGACCAAACGCCAGGACAAGATAAGTCAGAACAGTGGCAGACACATCGGCGCAAAGCGAAACCGTTCATCGACGATGACTCTAGAATCTCAAGGGGAACGGGGCGGGAAACAGTTAAATGAAGGCAAAGAGAACAATCACCCCGTGGCGCTTTACAAATGTACATTTTTCTTCAAAACCGGAAAAGGCAAGTGATAAGAGGAAAAGAATATAATTTTTGAGGCTGTCCAAGGGGCAGCCCTTCATCTCGAATTGACCCGGTCCTCCGGACAACAGCCAAGGTCGGAGCCCCTGGAATTCGCACTCACGTCGCAGATGTAAAAGGAGGATCCCCTTCCCACACACATCCGGCAAATGGAGCCAGAGAACAACTCATCTCGTGCCGTCTTCTTTTCGTGAATCACCCAGTTGTTAGTTTCCGGGAATTCGGCATTCATATTTTGCAATGGAAAGTACTATCTTGGATCGAAGGAAGGGGTGCCTCGGCGTGGTGTAGATCGCGGCCGTGTGTTGTAGATTCTCAGAAGATCTAGCCTCTTAGCTCTCAATAACCTGGCGCTTGAAGTACGCCTTCGCCATTTCATAGGATGTCCTGGATTAAATGTGTTAACAACAGATACCGGCGAGAGGAAACAGCATCACCTACCAGCAAATTGCAGTACTGGGCATCGTGGAGATGATCCGTGGGCCCATTCCGCGTAGGAAACCAGACCAACCAAACTGACGCTTAATTATGGCCGCTGCATTAAATAGCCCCTTTGCGGAGCGAATCTCGGTGTCTTCAGCGAGACCGCGTGTCTGGAGGAGCGTCTTCACGACATCGAGGGGAGTGGTAATGCCGGCAGCAAAGGCGCCAGCCAGACCACCAGCGATACAGTGTGTGAAAGGGTCGTATTCCTCTCTCGGATTCATAACTTTGGAGATGGACTCGTATGCCATGAACTGGGTGGCCGTAAACGGGACAGTCATACAGAGGGTGGTGGGATAGGACACATAGAACGCCTGAAGGCCCTCAGTGCGATAAACGGACTTGGCGCAATGAAAGATATTCCTATGTACAGAGCCGTGAACCTGCATTCGTTGCTTGATCACTATTTCCGGAGAGCCGTCAGCAAAACTATCCTCCTGTCTTTCTTTTCGGACACGATTCTCTCCAGGTGAACTCACCATCAAACGGATTCATTAGCGCGTCACTGGCAATAGTAGCTGCCGCTCCGCTTGTAGCTTCACAGAAGCCATCAGTATATCCCTGTACACAGCGCTAATAATACCATGCAAAACTTACCAGCAGCGATCGGGTGGTGGCCAGCATCCACATTCCCACCCGCAAGCTCCTTGACAAGTTCATACGTGGCGAAATAAACTGCATGGGCAGGACCTGTTTGAAAGAGACCAGAAAGATCATCAGCGCACGCCTTGGGGTATGTCTATCTATTTTTCAATGCTCACCAGCACCAACAATCACACTCGAAACGCCCTTCCACAAGGTCCTCCAGCCTTCAACACGATAAATAGTCGAGGCAGCATTAGTTAACCCCGTATAAAGACCGCCCGCCGAGGGAGCTATTATTTGCATGCGAGTCTAGGACAGACTAGTCAGCCTATCTTTCTTGGTGTTTTTTCTTCCTAGAGAAAAATCACACATACCTTCAACAAATCCACCGGATACATAACCGAATGTTCCTTTCGCACAACACATCACAGTCAGTATATGCGACACGGCTGCAAATCCCAGATTCCCGATAGAATAGACATACAGCTATCCCGGCAAAGGCGCCAGCCAGCATATTCCGACCGAGGCCATAGTTAGAAGGAAGGGCTTCATAACTAAATGCAGAAGAGACGAAAGATGAAATACACGTTAGGAATAATTCGAGGCTAAAGTTAAGGAACTCAAAAAAAAAATTTGAATTGGTGTTACATACTCGTATTCCTGCTCAGGAATGTGGTCGGAAGCCGCCATATGAGCTGTTATAGCTCTAGGCGGAGCCGGAGCCACTGAGGAAGCCGTTTTTGCTGATTTTTCTGTCCCTTATCGGCAAGAGGGAGATGCTTCTTGAGCACTTCTGGCAACGAGGAGAACGGACAGGTCCTCGCTGGAATCGAGCAGACGGCGGGAGGTAGAAGACACGGGAGTGCAAGCGTACGGGTTAAGAGAATAGGAGGAATGGCAAAAAGAAGAAGTATGGAAGAGTTGGAGAGAGGGGAGAGAGGGGAGAGAGGGGGCAGAAGAGGAGATGAGAGGAAAAGAGGGAGAAGAAAGAGGATGGAGATGGAGATGATTTGAGATACAAATCCACCAGGAAAGCTGCTGGGATCCTCGCGGGCTGCGGTCGAACTGAAGCTTCCCCGGGCAGTGGAGGGAAAAATTATGACGGAGCGCCGGGCGAGTCCAGTTGGCAGTAAACAGGTAGCAAGTGGACAAGTCCGAGAAAAAGAAATGTTCTTCCTTTTCAGTAACTTTTGACTCTAAAGTAATTATTGCCCTTACTTTTTATTTTATTTTATTTCATTTTTATCCTCTTCTTTCCAACTTCCAGACCGAACATCTCTTGTCCCGGTTAATAATCACAATACCAACTCTTCATCATTACCCAGGTACTATTACCCGGCTATAGTAATACAGCTGTACAAATGTACAATATAACCCCAACAGCGCCAACACAGCGATTCCTCCATTAGACTCAATCTTCGCTGCACATACTATAAGTCCCTTCGGCAATTCTCTCTGTGCTTGTCTGGCACAAGCCTAATTTAATCCCGAGGAGTTTGTGCAGACGCTGCATGTCCGATGGCGGAGAAGATCCATCTTCTAATTCGGGGGAATTTGACCGGTATATCGTAAAACTGTTCTGAGCTCGGACTAAAGGATACATAATAGCACATACTACATAGTACATACATGCAGGACTGAGTCTGCCGCAGTCCAGATTCAGAATACTAATTTTATAGAGCGCGATTTATCATCAAGATCTCTTGAAGAGGCAACTTGAGTATTTCTTGCTTTGCGCATCTGCCTACTCTGTAATATACGGTAATAACATACACATTGCTTAATACAGAACAACTCGGCGACGGGCCAATTTCCTAAATCGGGAAGCTTCGGCCTCCGAACCGCGGAGTAAGCATCATTCATCTCAGATAAGATCCATCTGATATGATAATCCATAGTAAAAATGATCAGCATCCTCGAAGAACGCAACAGATAGCGTACTGGTAGGGCTGGAACCTATCTATCTGATATCATCGCTGCTCAAGCCTCACGGCATGTTACGTGCAGAATTTCATGTACTCCATAGCCCATACCCATCACTGCCTTGCCGTGCCCCAACGGCACTTGTTCGGTCGGCGTTTGCTGGAAATGACTAATCTGATTATGCAAATGTTGGGTCTGGAACTTGTCTTGGCACGCTAACTTAAACAAGCCCAATAATAATCATAATAACTCCTAAGTTTACATTCATTCACGTCGTCAAGATAGCATCAACTATGGTTTCCGCCTCGCCATGAGTTCGGTATCAAGAAGTGGGTCGGGCGTCTGGATACAGGATAATCGTCGAGGTATATAGTATGAGAGAGAGAGAGAGAAACACACAGATCATGCAATTGAGACCCGTCTGGTTATAAACCGCCAGGTCTCTACCACTCGACATTAAAAGACCATTCTCCTGTGAAATAAAAGTTAGCTTCATTCGCTCACCACTAGCTGTCATATCGGCAAAACGGCAATTGCTCCAACTTACCCTTCTTAAGGTTTTCCGCCGTATCAGTTAACAATACAACCCTTCGCTTGTTGCAGTATGCTGTCTTGTCCAATATATCTCCCTTGAGCTTCGCAAGTTCCGGTACTGGCTTCTCGAACATCTCGCTAAGATTCTCCACAGCCAACTCCAGATCCTTCTGGTTTTCCTCGAAGATCTCCGTAATGTTGTTGCGCGCAAGGTAGTAGGCAAATGCATACGTCCACTTCAAGGTCTGCCGACACAGCTGAAGAGTCTGGGAAGCGGTATCAAGGAATTGCACTTCGATCCACGACAAGTCGGACTGCGACTGCAGACTGGTCATCTTCTTTTCTGTCTTCAGGTACAGATCCTTGTCGAGCTTAGCAGACTGCTCGTGATTTGCGTATCTGTTATAGTAATGAAGATACCGCTCCAGTGATGCTCTGGAGCGAGCCTGCGCAGTACGAGCCTCGGAGCCCGACTTCTCTTCAAAGCGGTTGCAGTTGTACCAACTCGTGCCATGCTCGGACCACAGACCCATGCAGATCCAGCAAAACTCGTGCTTGCACTTGCGGCATGTCATATGGTTACAGCCCCCATTTTTCTCAATGGTCGAGTGGCACTTGGGGCACTCCTTGGTGTTGGCGGAGATCCAGTTAGCTGTCTCAGAGTCATCCTCGCACTTCTTCAGCCACATCTTGACCAACGCACACGGAGTCGGTTGGTGATCGTTCAGACTGCAGCCAAAGCAAAAATAATGCTTGCATGAACACTCCACCGTGGGGACAATCCGTTTGAGGTCACGTTGTCTAACCGGGCAGTCGATTGCATACTCGCAGTTCGGAGCAGGGCACCACTTGAGATTTTCTTTATCATCAACGTATGTCCTGGTCAGGAGGATCCGATATCTGTGAAGAAGAGCTCGTAAGTAACCACCGCGTAGTTTAGCCATAACCTCAGAAAAGAAAGCCCACCTCGCCTTGACATCATCTGTAACAAGCAAATCCAACGACTTCGAATCCACAATCCGATGGCAGCCTTCTCCTGGACATTGTATCCTAGCCGCCTCGCCCTCTTCTTTAATTTTCTGTGCAAGATAATGCCTGTAGCAATCAACACAGAAACGGTGTCTGCATCGCATAGCATATGTCTCAAGGTCGTCCCCGTCTTCGCAGCAAATCTCACACATAAATCCAGGGACAACCTCGGTCTTAGGGGTGCCCTCAAAGTTGGTCCCAAGGCCCGCCTCCTCCAGTGTCTCCTCTGGATGGTCCATATACGACTCTATTAACTTTTCCCGATTCCATCGCCCAAAACGCAGAAGTATAGCCGCCGATTCCGGCGGCAGGCCCAAGATCAAGGATACTTCATTTATCTGTTGGTTCTGCTCTCGCTCAATATCCGACGGGCTTAGGACTTTGAAGTCAACCTCGTAAGGTTTCCGGGGTTTCGCGACAAGGTCCTTGTCTTGGGAGAATCCGCCATCGAAGTCATCTCCGAAATCTGATAACAGAAAACAACTAAGTCAGTATGCAAGCCTTGTACAGAGAGTCTCAGCGCGAAGGGACAAGAATAGAGAGTTCAGAAAAAGAAAAAGAAGACATGCCTTCTAAGCTCTCATCCTCGCTACCCTGAGTATCCATAAAGTCATCCTGACTGGATGCATCACTCATAAAATCATCTTCAGAGTCCATACTGCCACTACCAGTGGTTGTCGCGGGTGTATCGATACCCAACGCTCTCTTCTTTGAAGAAGAATCGACCTGAATGCCCGTATCCCCCTGAGCGGTATTATTTTTCCTACCCGTCCTGCCTGTGTAAAAGGAAGACAAATGTAGTCTGGTGGCGTTCTCGTTTTTTTCTTGCGAGGCGTCAGTGGCGGCGTCGGCGTTGGCGTTGGTGTCTATCCTCCTAGCCTTATCACCCACAAAGGCCGCCTCGGCCGCTTTCCTCTTCCTCGTTAAGGAAGGCGTGTTGAAAAGCGGAGAACCCGAATCTTGACAGATAACAAAAATGAGACAGTTATTGTTAGCAGATAATGAAGGAAGGTCTTGTGACGATAAGACTGTCAAGATCCCCCTTTTTCCCTTCGTACTTTTGCCCTTTTCTCCGACACGCTTCGTTTAAGACCTGTCAAATGCCTGTTTCTTGATATATTGGTTCTTGAGACGGACAGTACTGGGAAGGGGAAGGAGGAGGGATGCAGAAGGGAAATGAGCCGCAAAAGGTTATCTGTGAGTTATGTGTGGCTCGGCAGTCAGCTGTGTTCTGATGTTGTTGATGGCTCCAGATGCAGTGTCAGCTAGTCAGATCCAGGATATAATATGAAATGTATCCATCTGAGTATATGAATATTATAGGCACACAATATATTGCATTATATGACAGAGTAAAACAGGGTTATCAAGTGAATGGCTCTTCCTCTTGTACAAGCATGCAACGGGAGGGCCCGGTGTGGGGGAAAGGCACCAAAGTGTCAATTGTGAAGCACACAGGGGTAGTGTAGAAAGACAAAGAGCAAGTGCATGCAAGGGAAGTTCGGTCTCATACCTTTGTCTGGTTCTTCGACAGGCCTGGAAAGCGTCTTTGCTTGAGGTCGAAGATCTACGGATGATGTAGTTAACTAACTTGGCGGGAGGAGGGGTATGATAGCGTATCCCGGCGGAAAGGCGTGACTGTGCTGCCTCAGACAGCAATCTGGCTACATTGTAATGGATGCCTACGGGTGAAAGCAAAGTCATCGCCAACCACAAGGTAGTGAGATCGTCTTGTTTACTGCCTGGCGATAAGTCCTTTTTTCATATTCCTAGCGTCATCTCAGGACTCATTCTTCATCTTCATCGTCATCTTCCTCTTCGCTACTCTCTTCCTCCTCCGCATTAGCAAGCCAATCCACAAACTGCTGTGTCTGACTTCGAACTTTCCTCATCTCCTCGGTCTTGGTGGAATTCTCATTGGCCCACCATTGCTCGTAGGCTTCCTCCTCCACAATCTCCAAGTCATACAACTCCTTAGCCGCGAATAGAAGAACCGTCTCGCCTCTACTCCGATGTGCAAGATCCTGCTGAATGAGGAGTAATAAATCAACCTGATCCGGTTTCTGTGACTTTTCATGGTCGAACAGGCTCCGTTCCACGACCTCACGGTATGTCCCAAAGACCTCGCGCGCTGCTTCGCCGGCACCCTTGCCGGCGTCCATGAGCTGTTGGATCCGCTTCATGAATGCGGCGACCACAGCCTTCCGCACTTGATGGTCAGAAGCGTTGGCTGTCATTCGTAGACTGACCAGTTCCAAACCGACCACGTCCGGTGTCACGCCGTCCTTCAAGCTGTCGAAGACACTGGCAGCCGCGTCATGGTGGAAATGGTCCTGTTCCTCATCCTCCGAAAGAGAGGTCGCCATGCTTCCCGAGCGGGATCTGGTGTAGAATTGTTCATCGGATATCTCTGATGACAGCGTTGAAAGGGATTCAGACGAGAGAGCTAGCTCTGACATATTGTAAACTGCCCATGATAGGTGCTGTCAGTATCTCTTCTACGACGGAAGGCATGCTATCTGCCCGAGGTTGTAAAAGTCAAAAACTTACGTAGTCCTGAAGAAGCCATGCTCGCGGTGTCGTCTTCTTCCTCATCCTCGTAGTGGACGAACTCGTAGCCCTCTCCGCCCTCGCCAACGACCGCTGGATCACTGGGGCGACCACCCTGTACATCACTCTGTGACTTTGTTATACGCTGCCCCGTGCCAACAGTCTTCCCATCCGCGATCTTCACTCCGAAAGAGAGAAGGGCGCCTGGTTCAATGGTGCAACCCTTTCCTACCACAGCCCCATCAGCGATGATAGCACGACGGACATCGGCCCCGTCGCCAATAATTACATCATCCCAGATGTAAGTACCGTCCAGAGTCACATTCTTGCCAATCCTACAATTCCTCCCGAGAACAGTGTTACTAACTGTGGTTTTGTCGCCGATGCTGGTGCCGTGGCCAATGACAGTGCGACGGCCGACCACACAGGACCGCGCAAGAGTCACACCTTGCTCTTGATAGAGATTTCCTTTTCGCAAGTCGAAAGTGTGTCCGGGGAGCAGATTCGTGTCCGGGCACAATGGATACGTCCAGCGGGAGATGACATCCTTGCTGATAGCATCGTACGCCTTTAGGTTCCTTACCTTAGCTGCGTAGTGGTCCTTAATGATGTATGTGTGAATTGTCTTTCCGTTCAGTTCATAGTCTTTCAGGACACCATACAGGAAGTGCTTCCGCGGTGATTGATAGTCAAAACTATCAGACCACAGACTCAACACATCAGGCGTGCAAATATCAATACTGCAGTCAATCAGATCTTGACGGATATCAAGCTCCGCGTGGGATGTGATAATGTCGGTATCTATTGTAAGGTGGTGGGAAGTTTCGGTATGGTTATCGATCTCCTCGTAATGTAAGCACCTGTCTTTGGTAGGATCGATGACAAAAACGGGAGTATATGACGAAGATTTTGTCCTATGATCCCTACCCGCTTCCCGTAGAATCATTGTCATGATCGCATTCTTGTCGGTCTCACGACGAGCGCGATGTTTAGCCAATGCAGATTCGATGGGCAAGTTGCTGACAACATCGCCGCTCACGACGATGAAGTCTCCGGTGATAAGATGCTTTCCATCCAAGTCGCGCATGACATCTCCAACGGAGGTAGAAGTGGATTTGAGGAAGGTCAACTGTTTAAACGGCGAAGATGCTGCTCTCCATTTCGAAGCACTTGAAGCCACCAGTCAGCACAATCCCTCTTCGTCGCTTTTCTTTCTTTCTTTTTCATACTTGATATACTTCTCCACCTGATCAGAATGAGCTCCACCGTAGAGGAAAATATCCTGGACGCCGGCATTCGCCAGGAATTCAAGCGTATATTCGATCAGAGGGGTATTCGCAAGCGGCAGAAGGCACTATAAAAAAACCCCCACTCTCCAAGTTAACAGCAGTCCCCCAATCACCAAACCGGTACAAGTAAGTGACATTACCCTAGGTCGATCCAAAGTAAACGGTTCAAATCGGGTCTCGAAAGTATCTGCAAGAACCTATCATGCTCCCCAACTATCAGTTATCAGAACGATCATCAAATTCAGCGCTATAATCAAAACATCCCGCATCGCATTTTTTTTTTTAAAAAAAAAAAAAAAAAGCAGAAGGGCAAAACAGCATACCACAGCCTGCAGTGACTCCTCAACCTCTTCCGCAGCATTATTCCCCTTCTTGGCTGACCCTCCGCCAGATTTCTGCTTCGGAGCCATCGCTAGACAAAAACGCCGACGGATAGGTTCAGTCGATTGTTAGGAAGAAGGTCGGTTTAATAGAACGCTTTCCAATGAGTAGGTTTTCCATTCATATAATGTGGCCTGCTTAAAGTATGAGAAGCAGTCAAATAGAAAGCAAAGGGTGTTAAGCTGCTGTGGAAGACACAGCTGCGATACAGAGCACCATCCCACCAGGCACAAAATCTCGGCCAAGAGTCATAGCGGCAAAACTGTTTGCTCTATTTGCTCTATTTGAGTTGTTTATTCTATTTGCTCTGTTTGGAACAAATGTGGCTTGTATTCTCATCACGTGAATGGCATGGCACCAGCCACGCAGCCGCGGTCAGCCTTGCGAGAGAGTCCAGAACTCCGTTGGAGGCCTGGGCCCTCCTGGACTCGAAAACAGTTCCTTGCTTGCGGCAAAAAGGTCTAGACCGGCGTGGCAATCTCCAAGAACTTACTTGGAAGTCAGTGTCTACCCAGAATGGAAATGTGGGCACCGCTACACCTCTTCAGCATTTGCATTCGGACCGCATACGCTGTACCACGTAGGGCCGACTCCACATTCTCGAGTCTCAGCCATATCGAGGCGATGGAATAGGACACTGCAGCATTTATTATGTACTGGGCTTCTAGGATTCAACGATTCAAAGTACTCGAGACCACGTTTCGGCTACATGAAAGTATCCAAGTCCTGTTTCGTGGCATTAGAGGATCGCGAGAGGGCCAAGGGAAAAGCCACGCAGGTGTCCATGCACCAGCAGTCATTGACAGCATGCGCATATATACAGATATGAAATCAATTTGGCTGGGTCTCAAGCACAGAACTTGGGCCTCTAAGCTGTCGATTCTGAACAACCCTTCTTCTGGTAACCAAACATGGAACCAAGTACCCTTTCTCCCAAAAAGCCAGTATAAATCGGAGCAGGAACAAAATCGAATGGATATACTGCCACAATTGTATTTGCAACCCTGTTAAAGCAATCAAATATCCCCAAACGCCGTGAATTGCTGCTAAAAGCCGACTTGAACTGAAACATACCTGCGTTTCAAGCTCCAGGTTACATGCGGTAGCAAATCGTAAGCTGTGGGGTTTGGGAAAGATAGGAGTATAGCGTGGCGAAGAATAAGGACGAAAAAAGCCGCGAATCTGTAAAACAAAGCCGGTCCGAAGATATAACGACGAAAAGGTCTCGATAAAACTTCCATTTAACCAGAGCGGGCAGCTTGCACGGAGTTGACCATTAATTGAGGCTGAGGGGCATACATGCGTTGTCGTTTAGCCAGAGTTTCTCCGTCCGCAGCACTAGACATTTCGGACATTTGTCGCCGGTGCTGTCGTCGAGCCGCATTCATATTCACGGCTGCCTGGTTCGCTGGGTACTGAATCCCACTTTGGTCCACGTATGTAGTCGTGACTGGGGTGGTCGAAACGTATTGGGGCTGAACCTGCTGGACAGTCTGAGGGATCGTGGCCATACTTTGAAACTGGGCAGGTGACTGCCAAGTGTTCATTGGCGCCGAAGGCGACGGGGCGGGAGATCCGTCATCCTTCACAGAATGCGGCGCTGAGCTCTGGGCGGCCATAGTAGGGACTGTGGTTGTAGGTGCCGCTGCGGCCTCCATGGCGAGAGGCATAGTCTTTAGATGTACTAGGTGTTTTTCAAGCATATCAAGGAGACTCTTTCGGGTAAAAGGCTTTGGAAGGACATCATCCATCCCTAAAGCGGGTCAGCAGAGACGGAAGGCACGGGGAATAAGAAAACCTACCATGCTGGAAATATTGCTGGATATCATCGCTCCTGATGTTGGATGTCATGGCGATTATGGGCGTTCTGTCAAATTGGCGAATAAGATGGCATGCGGAAACTCCATCCAGGTGTGGCATGATGATATCCATCAAGATTAAGTCGTATTTTGAGCCTCCTTGCATTTTGTTCACTGCTTCAAGACCATTAAACTAGCGATTGTTGAGTCAGTAATGCGACTTGAATGCTAATAGAGGACAAATCGGAGGCATACAGCAGTGTCAATGACGCAAGAGAACGAGTAGAGGAATTTGCCGCCTATTTGACGGCAAGTCGCATCGTCCTCTACCAGCAAGATCTGAGGACTTCGTATCCACCCTGGATCGACGTTTGTACTCTTTTTCCGATTTTCTGGGAACTGTCGACGAGCGTCCGAGGACTCAAGTTCTTTCGTCGGCATTGGGTAAGGAACATTATTCATGTTTTCACTGTACATTGCTGGGTCGATCCCATTGGAAGTTCCAACCGGATACACCACTTGCTCCAGTTCACCATTCATCTTGGGATACACAAGACCCGAGTTAGGAGCCGTAGTTGTAGGCGGGCGAACTGCATTGCTTCGTGAACCATTTTCTAGAGTAGGTGTAGAAACCATGTTCGCCGCAGCTGCGTTCGCTGCAGCGGCGGCAGCTTTTCGGGGGTCGCTTAATGTGTCCAAACTCGACAAGTTGAACTGAATCTCGGCATTCATGTCGCTCAGGAGTTTCGTGGCATTCTGCAAGGGTGTAGACGGCTCCTCGTCACCCGTAGTAACGGAAGGGCTAATAGCTGATCCGCCTTGACCAGCGGCCGTAAAAGCCACGGAAGCCTTGTTACTGCGTCTCTGGCGGGCATCTACGGATAGCAAATAGGTCAGAACTTGGTGAATGACATTTTCATGGTTGAGTACGGTTTTCTGAACTCTCATGATCTCCTGTAGCATCAATTGGTGATCAACCGAGAGCTGCGCATAACGATCTGAGAGGTGTTGAATCTGCTGCTGTTGGGCGACAACTTGCTGGTTCAAAAGGTCTATTTGTTGCGTCGGGACTGTGTCTTCGCTGGCTTGGGTCTGCTTGCGTGGCGCAGGTGCTTTTCGTCGGATATTATCGAGAGACTCCTTGTTGTTTGCCCGGAAATCACGGTGTTTGAATTCCCAGGCCTACATCCTTGTTGTTAGGACGAGCAACGAAAGCAAAAAAAAAAAAAAAAAAGGAATTTATGTCCGCAACATACGTTCTGCCCATATGGTGACTGCCCGGTTTCTTCGTTATTTTGCCTGACTTTGTGAAAGTCATATTTATTGAGCTGGCGTACGAAACTCGCGAAATTGCTGTGTTTGAAATGCTTTGGCAAAATCGTCTTTGTAAATTTTTCACACTGTGATTCAAGTTAGCCAGATGGCCCGCAGTGAGAGGAGTTTGTTCTCCTGGTCGAGGTCCTCATGCATTACCTCCAAGACTACAAAACTGTCGCCTTCGTCACCCCAACGAACGATCTCTGAATACGACGGATCCTCCAGCATCCTTTTCACAGCGCCAGTCAGATAAGTGCCCCAAGAACGCACGGCCGATAGTACATCTCATAGGGGTCGAGGGCAGTGGAAAGCGAAAAATAAGAAGGGGCAAGATGGTCGGATAGTTTATCGGGGGGAAGCACTCACTTGTACAGTTTCCGTACCTGCACACATGGTCAGCAACAGAAAGCATCCACAATGACAGCTGCACTCACAAAATCACTGGAGTTACCCGTGGGGGCGGACGTTGAGGTCTGGCCACCGTCCATCTCGGGCCTAGATGGGTCGCGACCGATCGAACAAGCAAAGGGTCACAGCACGAGCCAGGATTCGAGGACGGGCAATAAAGCTGCTAGGTCGATCTTCAACGGGGTTCGCGAAGAGGGCGAGCCCAGCAGCAATGCGAGAGAAGAGACGGGAAAACCGATTGCAGCGTCGCAGAGAGTCAAGGGTAATAATGAGTTTTCGTGCTCGCGCGGGCCGTGTTAAATAATCGCATTTATGCAGGACCAGAAGAGCGGGCGGGAGGGAAGACGCGGGATCGGGATAAGGATAAGAAGGAGAAAAGAGGAGGGAGGAGAACGGGAAACCAGCCCGAAGGAGGCAATAATAATAATGTCAAGAAGAAGAAAAGGCTGCCTACCGCGAAGAAGAGGGGGGAATTGGGATGGAGAAAGGATTTTCGCGAGAATATAATTAGAGCCAGGCACTCCGTCGGCCGCAACTCAGAGCGAGGGGAAAGTTTGGGTCGGATATCCACCACGATGCTGATGATAATAAGTAACCAGCAATCAATCAATCGCTTCTTTCACTCGGATGGACCAGGTTTGCCCCTTGCAGGTTGTCTCCAAGTCAAGTTGTCTGACTCTCTCGGTCCGAAATGGGAGAGAAACGAGGCAGCGGAATGCAGTCCCTATAATGGCCTCCCGACGAACTGCTGCTGCAGGATGCCTAGGTCCTGTCTCATACCAGAGTTCTGACTGCCAGAACAATTTATCCGATGGTTCATGCAGCCCGTCTACACGGCGTCGATGATGGATAATATTACCGTTATGCCTTTTCTTATTCTGCCTGCGCTAGTACTGTTGCACAGGCATGCCGATGACGAAATCATCGCAGTCTAATCTTATAGCTCAGCCCTCTCGCTCTCTGCACATTCTTCCCCCAAAATCCCTTCGTTACCGTCCCCAGATCATCCTGAGAATCGAAAATACCCTGTAAACCATGTTTGCTGCCCATCGTCTGGCTACCCGTCTCCGTGTGAGACCACAGGCAGCGTCCTTCCATAACACAGCACCGGCATTCGTCCAGAAAGGAGATGCTATTCCAGACCTGGACGTCTTGGTCGAAGGATCGCCCGGTAACAGGGTCAATCTTGCAAAGGAGATCAAGGGGAAGGGTCTGATCATCGGAACCCCGGCTGCCTTTAGTATGTCTATGTCTCCTACCTTCTTGATAGCAATTCGACAACTCACTGACTCGGTGTAGGCCCTGCGTGCTCTAGCTCTCATATCCCCGGCTACATCGCTCATCCCAAGCTGAAAGAGGCTGGCCAGGTTTTTGTCATTTCCGTGAACGATCCATTCGTGTATGTCGGCAGTTACTTAATACTAGGGCCCGAATTTTAGGAATTCCTCTTGCACAGACTAACTCAACTAACTTCCTTTCGTGTGAGAATAGGACTAAGGCATGGGGCACTACTCTCGACCCTGCAGGCAAAAGCGGCGTACATAATAGTCCTCCCCATCTGCCCCAGAGAACAAGTGCTTTCTAACGCTTCTGCCAGATTCGTTTCCTGGGTGATCCTACCGGCAAGTTCTCTGAAGCACTCGATGTGACTTTTGACAGCACAGCGATTTTTGGAAATCAGCGAAGCAAGCGATACGCCCTCGTAGTCGAGGATGGGAAGGTCAAGGAGGCCTATGTGGAGCCGGACAACACCGGAGTCAATGGTAAGGACTTGTTTCCCGTGTGAAATATAGCTAGCTAATTCCTTCCAATAGTCTCCGCGGCGGGCAACGTTCTAGGTTGAAATGACGCGCAGTTGGATACGTATAACTGGACCATATCTATCAATGTAAATCCCTATTACCACCAGCTATGTGGACAACACAAACTAGATAGTGCATCAATCAATGTACACGAATCAATCCTTCGAACGCCTGAAAAATCCTGCTACCTAATAGTGCATATGAAATTTTTAGACAAAGCTACCAAGGACAAAACCCTCTTGCATCTCTATTTATCTCCCATAGATAAATAACTGCATTAAGTGCTTCCCTGCTGCAAACTCTGCCACTGTTCGGGGGTATAACACTTTGGCGTCCAGGCATGGATGGCAGCAATCTCCGACTTCAGGACTGAATTCACAAGCCGATGCCGTGCGAGTAAGTTCTTGCTCTCGAATTTGGGTGAGACAATGACCGCTTGGAAGGCCTGACCGCAACCACCTATACTCGGAAGAAAACAAAGCAATCAGTATGAGGAGTCGCAGACACTGGTGATTATTTTATTCGGAATGAGAAGAGGGAGTAATATCATACCGGACAGATCCTCAATCTCAACATGTTGCGCCTGCAGCTGCTCAATCAATTTGGCCCTCAGAGAGTCGGCAGAGACACCCGAAGTTGCATCAGCCATGGTGGCGCTCGTTGCCCCAAAGGAATGCGCGGAGAGGAAGGCAAACGGTCTATGATTATGCGGGTAATTTAAATATGCGCGGGGAAGATTGAGATAACGGCTCAACAGGGTGGTGCGGGAGTACATCAAGCGCGATGGTTGCAGGAGCCGACTGAGCAGGACAACGCGGGAGGAGGGGAGTATAAGATGGAGGGGTAGAGGGGTAGATGGCTTAGAAGGCTTCGAAGGAGAAGAATAATTAATACAGCTAAGTATAAGAATGCCTCTGCGCGCACTGGGAATAATCTTTGACGAGAATAAATGATGCTTTGTAATGTCGAATCTCTTCTCCGTTCCTCGGAACTGCGCCTGTGGCTGGTACAGTCAAGCCACTACTGTGAGATGTGTGGCGCAAGCTCCCCTCGTCATCGTCGCCATTTAAATGGATAGTGTCATCGCTTCATCCTTGCAGAAAAGTCATTCTTCCTCTGCTATCTATGCATACCCTATTCCGTGCTGCTATCCGCAGATATTCCACAATGTCTTTGTCATTCCCCGCTTCTTCCTCGCCTTTTACGCGGGCTGTGGTGAGTTCCATGAGGAAGCTGTAAGTTAGCCGGCATCTTCTCCAGATCTCCATTCTCTCACGATATATCTAACTGTTCTTTTTTTTTCGCTAGCTATCCAGAATCTTTGGCAGATAAGAGCTTTGATAATACCGGCCGTAAGCTCTTTGCTTTCGTCGACACCGTATACGGGTTCAACGTGGCTTACAGAACATCCTCCCAGTACTTCTTGAAGCACCCTTCAATCCTCAGCGAAGACGGAAAAATTCAGTGTTATTGGCCATTGATCTCACAAAAGCTGTCGCCGATGAAGCTATTGACCGCGGGGATTCAGTAGTAGTCGCCTACCGTATGCTTTCGACCCTTTTACACATGCTTCGAACAAAAAGAGGGCATCTCGAGCTGACCTGGATATGTTCCTATACATGAAGATCCGATCATTTTCCGCGGCCTCAAATCCCTCACACTCAATGACCCCCAACAGCAGTCGCTTCTCAGATTGGCACAGGAAGGCATCAGCGTCTATTCTCCACACACAGCTGTAGATTCTGTACCCGGAGGAATGACAGATTGGCTGTGCGATGTTGTTACCGGAGCCATCGTCTCGTCTTCGCCGGGCACTACCCCCCCTAGTATAGAAAAGTCATCTTCTCACAATTACTCGCATCCAGTATATCCGCAATCGCAACGCTCTGTCTCTCCAGCTACTGCGCTCCCCCATGTCCGCAGCACAATTCACCCCTCTCCACCGCCGGTCCCAGAAGGGTTCGAATCCGCCGGGGCCGGTCGTCTTGTCACTTTCTCTACTCCCCAGCCGCTTGCAGCTATTATTGATCGTGTCGCTCAAGGTGTTGGCAACCCGGCCGGGATCCCCGTAGCCTTACCTCAATCGGCATCCTTGGACACCATGCAGATCCGTACCGTTGGCATATGCCCTGGTTCTGGTTCCAGTGTCATCCTCAGCCGCGACCGCGGTAATATTCCTGATCTTGTATTTACCGGCGAATTGAGTCACCACGATGCATTGGCGGTGATTGAACGAGGCTCTGCAGTCATCGCGCTGTCTCACTCTAACACTGAAAGGGGATATTTACATGCGGTCATGCGGCAGAAGTTAGCGGATTCTTTAAAAGGGGAGTGGGAGGCTGCCCGGAAAGCGGGTCTGGAAGCATTGGGAGAGAACGCAAAGCAGGGAGGTGCTGGAACTGCCAGTGGCGTGGAGGATGCACTCAGGGACGATACGGTTGTCGTTGATGTCAGCGAACGAGATCGAGATCCGTATGGGATTATAGTCCGACAGTCATAGTATTGTTTTTTTGCCGATGATAAGAAACCTCGACACTGCCAGACAAAAAAGAACCATCTCCGAGCACGTACTGTATGTACAACTCTAACCCAACGCCAATAAAAGCAATAGAAATTTTCATAATTTATCTGGTTTTTAAATATTTAACCAAAAGAAGAAAAAGGACATATATACAAAAACTAACTTAACAAAACCCTGATCTCTCCCGTGGTCCTAGGAAACGAAGCCCTCAAACTCCAATCCATATTGTCCTCGTCCTCTACATGCCTACCAGTTCCACCACTAAGAACGCTCTGACTCTCAACCTCAGATCGAATGCTGATGTCCACTTTCCCCCTGGCCTCATCAGCCCCGATGATCATGCCCTCGATGAACTCGAAGTCCCGACAGAATGCCTCGACTGCTTCCTCTGTAACGCTCTTCACAAGGGAGGCGCTCTGGAGGCGTTTCAAGTTATCCGTCGCGTCTACGAGGGCGGAAGGGAGGAAGTCATCGAGTTGTTGGCTGGTGAGCGTGAGGGCCTCTGGTTGGAATGGTGGGAGGGATGCAATATCGGCTAAATTCGGCGGTTGCTGCTGTTGTGATGGTGATGGTTCTGGTTGTTTTCCCTCATTCTCAATTTCCGGCTCTGATGAGTGGAGCTGTTTGGTCTTGGTGAATGCTTCCAATGCCTCTAATAGAACCTGTAGCCCAGACGTGCGGAGGAGGTATTCATGTTGGATTTTGAGGAGGTCCACCCGTAGAGTGGACAGGGTTATCGAAAGGGGTTTCGAATGTGTGGCACTGGCGAATGGGAATGGGGATATAGTGGAACGTGCAGCGAGAAAGACGTTGGTCTGATATATGGTCCGGCTTGTTGGGTCCTGCAGCTGTTCAGATGACGATTTGGCAAGTTCCAGGAAGGGTTCGAGCGCAACGCGGAGGACTGGTGTGAATTGATTTTCACTATCATCCGCCTTTGACGGGTCGTCTTCTGCACTGAAAGATGCCGCGTGTGCCTTCATGAGAGAAGTCAAGACTTCAAGTGAGTCTAGCATGAATTTCGGTGCGGATAGGTCCTCAGGAGGCTGCAAGGCGCCATGATCAGTTGAGAGCATATTGGTCTGGCCGTTGATGAGAATTTCAAAATGGCCAAATGTGAACTTCTCCAAGGTCTGCATTAATTGTGCTAGGTTGGAACCCGGGCCCACCAGTTTGGAGAAGGTAGTGCGGTAGAAGGACAGGATGTTAACAACTTTGTAGCAAGTGATGGGGTCTTCATGTCCTTGTATAACTAATTCAACCCTTTGTTGTAGAGACCGGGAGACGCCCCCAAGATCGCGGTTGACAAGATCACTGAGGGCTTTCTGTCCATCAAATGAAGCTGCTTCCTCATTACCCTCGTCAATACGGGACCACGGCTCACTACTCAACCCAGCCTTGATACCCTTGGCAATCTCATCTCCCTCGGCAATAAACAGAGATTCTAGAGCCTCACGCTCCGATACGGTCGTCGAATGCACCCAGGCAAGCATGTCTCCGATGTACCTAAGGGGGTCATGCGCAGAGAATTCAATTGGCTTGACGTTCTGATCCCCTCCCACGTCAGAGGCCGCCTGCGTGAGGGCGTAATGGAATGCTTCAGATAGAACATAGTCACGCGCCTCCGCAAAGAAGTCGAGGCAATTGTGGAACAAGCTTGGTCGCTCAGCCAGCACGCGTAGAGCTCGTCTAATCGAACCACTTATCCGGGGATCTTCGAGGTTCAAAGATCTGAACTCCTTCTGGGTCCATTTGTAGAGTTTCTGGTATGCCGAGTTGAGATACTTCGAGCTTTGCTCCATTATTTCCAAACCAAGCCTCTCACTCTTACCACCCAACAATACCTCGCAGTCGCGATATACTTGCTTGACCCTGGCAAGCACATTGAAGAAACGGTCATTGATTGGCTCTTCGGGAGATGTCAAAACGAGAAGATCCTCTTCGGGAACAATAAAATGTTCGGTAAACGCATCCAGAAGCAGTTTTTTCATCTCTGTCTCTTCCTTCTGCTTCATCAATGCACTAGTCTCCTCGAGAACCGGGACTGTGTCTTGTTTGGCGAGATTGATGTGCTTTCGCATTTCCTCGCATGTTCGATTTAGCGTAGAGATCACTGACCCAATCCGTTTCAATTGCTATTCCTCTGTTAACCGCTCCATGCTCCTTATCTCATTCTCATAGTCCGCAGGTTCAGTAATCTCACCTCCGCGACTTTGCCAAAATCCCGTACGATCTCCGCATTACAGTCGATGACCTCCTTCTGCACGTCCAGGCGAAGCTGCCTCCTGGTCTCAGGCGTATTTTGAATACCTCTAGCACCTAGAGTTTCCAACGCATCTCGTATATCAGAGTCGGCATAGGAGGCCGAAAGGACGCTTGTCAGTCGGTTGGACAGAGCATTAGGTCGATGAGCGGCGCTGGCGGGCGGGAAAAGGGGAGTTGAAACCGGCGATGGAGTCCCAGTTGAGCTACGACTGGAGCTAGCTCCAATAGACTGAAAATAGCTCGTCATAATGTGGATTTCATAGTGGAATTGACAGCTAGGATATGGATTGAACAGACGGTTAACAGAAGGGTTACGGTGGCCGGATAAATGTCCCTCCCGAACTGTTGTTGCCCTTCGGCAACATTGAAGTGCATCTACCTTGTATTTCTTACATAGCATAGATATTAAGAACTCAGATATACTGGGGTTTTTAACACACTTCTCTGTATTACATCCACTCCTTGACTCCCTACAATGGATCCATCATCTTCCATCGACGCCTCCCTCTTCTCTCCTTCGAAAGCCCGCCAAGCAGCCATTCAAGCCAAAGATTGGGCCTACGTGAACTCCTGGCTGAGTCGCCAATATGCCCCAAAACCTGTTCCGAACTTTGAGCATAATGAGGATACTCTGCGCACTCTCTTAACCCTGGCTGCGGCCAATGACGCGGCTGACGAAGAGGCGACGCTCCTGCACCGCGCTCGCGAGGAAGCAGTACGGGGATTCAAGGCCCAGGAGGATAGTGAGGAGAAACAAAAGAGAGAATTACTCGATGAGGTAGAAATCTGTCTGGATGAGAATGGGAGGAGGGATCTCGACGACCTAGCTGAGACAGCCGTTGTCCTCGGCTCATTGAGCGCAGACACGAGCGATCTTGCACAGTCCATTATCGATCTCTCTATGGAAGAGTTCGAAGCTAGGGACCAGATTTCCAAAGTGGAAGCCCTACAGAGATACCTCGAGAACGAACTGCATACCATACGAGAACAGCTCTATGAGCTGAAGTCCAACAAGGCATATGAAATATCTTCGAACCTCCCAGCGCTAACGGCAGAATGGTCGAGAAGCACTAAGCTTCTAGCTACCAAAGTCGGTGAATATGAAGGCAGGATTGCATCGCTAGAAAGGAACAGGGCCAAGGGACCAACAATCGAGGAACTCGTGGCGGAAGAAGAGGATGTCAAAAAGATAGAGGAGACAGTCCAGGCGCTAGAAGGAAGGGTCAGGATGTTTAATGGCCTCCCTCAAGATGCTCAGGAGGCAAAATTACAGTACAAGCAGTTAGAGCGCGAGCTTGACCGGCTCACCCAACGACGCGATTCCCTGTTTGAGAGCTTGGTTGGGCGTCGGCGAAGATGATATTCCAGAGGTGCAGAGGTTTTAAGTCAGTACTACTCGCCATGAATACTAGGCCACGTCCCATCTCACCCTGCGACAGAAAAGGCATGTGCTCTTGGTACTGGGAAGCCCAAGTTGATGCTTCATAGGCAGAGTAGGAGGGCATGCGCTAATCTGTAAACGGGTAGTCTTACCTTTCTAAATATAGAAAGCGGCGAAAATAGGCATAATTCTACACCGCCCAGCGTGGCGTGGCTCTCCGAGTCATTCGCATCTTATCTGCTGCTCCCCTCCTGTTTCTGTCCACTGTCGCTGTGTTGGTCAGTACAGGGTCAACAGCCATGTTGATCTGTGTCAAGTATATTGCATCTGTTTATTCTATACTGTCTTGCTCTTAAATTTCATAAATCTCTGCTTGATACGCCTCCTGTTGTTGTCGTTGCTATCGTTATTCATTGTTGTTATTTTCCCCACTTCAACCAAAATCCTCAAGCATCGCCTTCAATGCTCTCATCTGAATCCTCATCATCGAATTGGGACTTCACTCCGGTGATTAATCTTCTCCATTCTCCCACTTATCGTGGTGGTGGTGGTGGTGGTCCCTTGGCTGCTCCTCGCCCCTGCGAGATCTCTGCTAGCTCATCTTCAGATGAATTGAAGCCTGTCAACATTAGCGCAGACACTTCATTACAGGGATCCAACAGCAATATAACTGCAAATTTTCCAAAACTTGGCGATTTCAGTTCTGTCTGGGAGTTCTTGAACAAAGCTACTACTTCGACAAGTGCAAGAACCGCAGGAGTTGAACCTCCACGTCGAAGCGAGGCTATCAACACTTCTCCTCAATTAACTTCCCAGTGCCCTCGCTTCACAATCCTTAAACGGCCTTCAGAGAAAGTCAAGAAAGTTGATGTTGATCAACCAGCCAGCTCGCCTCCACGAACTCCCCCCAGGGCAATTCTTATTAAAGGCAACTCAGTCAGCAAACGCAATTATGGTCCCAGTAATGACGCTATTTTGTCAGACTCAAGTGTGGAAGTAGACTCCGATGGCAACCATAGTGTGTTTGATCCTCCCCTTTCGGGGAAGCGGTGTGTGTGTGTGCGTCCGCAGGTAGGCGCAGCTGCCTCCGGAACTGAGCCCTGTGGCACTCCTCCATCATCTTGCAGCGAAGGAGAGGGGCTTCTCAATGCCACCAAGGCAAAATATCGGGCTATTGGAAGTTCTATCCGTATACAGCCTATTGCCTACAAGTCTGCATCGGAAAGAAGAGTCGGTCTTTTGACCAAGCTGCTAGCGGCTTTTCCAGATTACGCAGAAACTGTATCTGGAATTAGGAAACTTGCAGCTACTGGTGTGAAAGCCAGTTCCGTGCGTCCAATTCATGTTTTCGTGGATATGTCTAATGTAGGTGTTCCTACGAACGGGCCCTATTTGTTTACACATACTGATCATCTTTGGTTGCAGATCATGGTTGGATTTCATGATGCAGTCAAACTAACACGAGATATCCCGGTGACTACTCGGATCCGTCGCTTGCCGCTATCATTCCACAATTTCTCGCTGATTCTGGAGCGCGGACGTCCGACGGCAAAGCGGGCTTTGGTCGGATCAGATCGATTTGCCGCTATTGATGAAGCGGAAAAGATTGGTTACGAGACAAACATTCTGGATCGAGTGCAAAAGGTGAAATACCAGACGCCTCGTCAAGTGAAGTACCGGAGACCCAATGCAACCAGCTCCGCAGATACTTCTGGCAGTTCTGAGACGAATAGTAAGCCAGGAGAACGGTGGGTCGAGCAGGGAGTGGACGAAATTCTGCACCTGAAGATCCTCGAGAGTCTGATTGATACGGAGGAGCCAGCGACAATTGTCTTGGCCACGGGTGATGCGGCGGAAGCCGAATACTCGGGCGGATTCATGAGGATGGTCGAACGAGCGCTACAGCGTGGCTGGAATATCGAGTTGGTGAGTTTCTGGCAGATTACTAGCTATGCGTATCGCAAGAAGGAGTTTCGGGCCAAATGGAGGGCCAGGTTTAGGTTGATCAAGCTGGATGATTATATCGAGGAGCTTTTAGATATATGATGGCGATGCCAGTGTAATTGAGATCAATTATTTTGTGTGTTCTGTATCCTCGTAGATCTGTGGTCTCTGCGCAAAAGTCAACGTGGAGGAGCAACGACGTCATTGTGCGGAAAACCGCTGCCACTGCAGAGCTTCAAACTTATGCGGGGATCTTGTTGCTGAACACAAATAAACCAGCGGGCTCCAACATTATACCTCGACATTCCTCTTGTCATTCCAAAGACTTGCACTGTTATTTTCCTACATCATGTCCACGTTTTCCGGACAGGATCTCTACGGGTCTGCCCTTCACGCAGTGATTCCAGAAGGATGGATCGATGCAAGGTACATTTCTCCTACGCACACATATCCAAGCAGATATGGATACATACTATACACTCCTTTCTTTATCTTTAGCTAACTAACTATCATCTACAGCAACCTCCGCCAAGTTCCAGACCACCAAGAAATCTTCCTCTCCCCCCGAACCCTCTCGAACATAATCATCGAAATCAACCAACGCGTCTCTGCGCACGAAGCCCTGACAGTCCTTCAAGACCAGGAATACCAACCAACCCCGCCGGGAGGCGCACCGGCAACAGCAGAAACAGTCGATAAAGCCGCAGCGCTGTACCACCTGCACGATCTCTGTGACGAGGGCGACACGCTCGAAGTCATCGTCCCGTCTCGCGCGGTTAGTTTACAAAAACTCTCTTCTGGCTCTGGACACGTCACGGCCTATACGGGTGTGGTATCGTTTACGACATCCCAGCCGCACCGAAGAGCAAGTGGGAATAACGGTATTAGCGGTATTAACGGGGGCAGCGGCGGCGGTGGGGGGAGGATCCCGGTATCCGTGGATGGAATGGCGGGGTCAGCAAGTTTAGAAGGGCCCAAAACGTCTAAGTCGACGTGTCATTACTTGTTGGTGAGGTTGGAGGCGCAGGGGTCGGATGTGTTGGTTTTCTTTAATGTGCCGCATGAGGAGTTTGATCTTCGTGGTGATCCGCGTGGGCTGTCTAGGGAGGAGGAGTTGGCTAGTGAGACTATTGAAAAGTTTACGCAGGAGTTGGAGGTGAGGGATTGGGGGTTGTTTGCTTGATGCAGTCAGTCAGTCATCTTCTGTAGGCATTCAATCAAGGCTGCTGGTGAATTCAAACATTCCATGTCATTCATTGATTATGATGGGAGCTGGTTTCTTTTGAACTACCGCAATAAATAGTATACAGTATAGGTACATCTAGCGCATGTGGACTCCAAAGAATACTGGAGATGAAAAAAAAAAGTGTGAGGCATTATCGTTCATCTCGCATTTGATAAAAAAAAGGACATGTCCGCTAAACACAGAATACACTGGAAGCCAATATGAATATTGCAATCAGATACTGCCTCCAAGGATCATAATCAAAGTACTCCAAACATCCAGTATGTATCTGTAAACAAATCAAAAGAACCAACGAACAGAACTGCCCGCTTATATCCTATCTATCATATCAGAATGCTCAGCTCAGAGAGACGTCTTCAAAAACTTTGGCAACATTATCAACATCCTTTGCGCAAGCAGCGCCAGCACGCTCAGCCCGTTCGTGAACACCTTTGACCGGGCTCCGCGTGGCCTGTTTTCTTGGTTTGGGCTTGATCTGCTGTAGATATCCGTGACACCTCCCGCAGGCGACGACGGTTGGATTAATGCTCTTCGAATGACGCTGGTATAGACTGCTGCAGTCCGTACAAGACCACACGTATTTGTAATTGATCTGGTAGTTATGCTTCGTTGTCACGTTGATCCTCCCGCCGTAAATGGGATGGTCCTGAAGCGCCTTCTCGCAATCGGATCCCCATTTCTTAAACCCCTTTCCATGCGCACGCTCACCAAAGTTTTCCGAGATCATGTAATTGGCGAGATGGCAGTACTCGTGTGCCATGGTGTTGATCAGACGATCTTCGTCGTCAATGACATGCTCCGCCAGCTCGATGGCAGCGTGATGTCCCATTGGTTCAGTCGGCGATGCCGGGTTTACTCGTCTCCATCTCGCCCTTCCAGCCGTTGATTTCAAAGTTGGGAGCCAGACAATCCGCACGCCTCCCGTTGTTGCTGCTAGTTTTTGGACTTGGCCGCCTGAGACAGCATCATCTAGCACTTTGAGGAAGTTCTCCGCCATGGCAGCTTTCTCGTCATCGAATGACTTCTTTCGTGCCCGTGATTCCCTTCTTCGTTCTGCTTCGGCTCTCCTTAGAGCCGTTTTGCTCGGCGATTTTGGTGCTTTTCTGTGGCTGTCTACCCCCATGTTGTTTTCTAGACTATTATCGTCGTTGCTACTTTTGCCACCGTTTCTCTGCTCCTCTCCCAGGTCGCTGAAATCACACTGAAGCTCCTCTACTGCCCGCGGGGGAGGGAGCTCCTTCTGCGGAGAGTGTTGATCGATCCAGTCGTTTATTATCTCTTGGCTCCAGAAATCGTCCGTACTCTCGCGGTGGGGAGTGGCCGGTATCCAGACCTTTTGCTTCGTCGGTGATCGGATACGACCTTGAGATGGAGTAGACGGCGGTGTCTTCCTCGTTTCTCGTTCAAACTTGGGTTTGGTGGTTTCTAGGTTGGGTGTCGCAACAGTCCTAGCAAATGGGCAGGGATACCAGTCAGCTATTATTGTCCGAGGTGTGGTGGAATGGGATGGTTATTTGGGAATGGCAACATACTTAGGTATGTCCATTTCTAGCTGGGAGGAAGGATCATTGTCTTCGCCCAGGTTCAGGTTGTAGAACTTCTCTGCAATTTTCAGATCATCATGAATAGTTTCTTTGGCTCTTTGACTAAGTGTTAAGCGGTGTAATTTGACGGCATCCGGCACAGTGTGTTCCAGACGGAGGGTGTCTTGCTTGGATGGAGTGTCGTCCAGAGATTCCCTAGGTTCTTCTGCCTTCGGGGCAGGCCGTCTCCCTCTAAGCAGCCTCCTCTTTGCTGTCAGGGTTTTGGAAGATAGAGGTGGCAGTGGCGGTGATGGTGATGGTGTTTCTTGGATCTTTTGATATTCTGTCTCAGCATCGGATGTGTCGTAGTAACTGATCTCTTCATTGTCACTGACAATGAAACCATCAAGGGAATCAAAACTGTTGTCGTGTGAACTTTCTTGTTTTTCCTCTTCCTCTTCACGGTCTTCTTTTTTATCCCCTTCTTCTTCCACCTTTCCCCTTTCATCTTCGTCACTGGTTTCAGCTCGGCCGTTCCTGTCTCGTTCCGGCGTCTCCCCAACTCTTCTTCTCGTCGGTGACCGCCGCGGCGACGTCCTTGAAATGTCTCTGGCTTCTGTCGGATATGTCGCATAATCGTCCATCGCATCCTCCACTAGATCATTCTCCTTGTCAAAATCGCCTCTCGTAGTCCTTCTATGCCGCCTCTGCCGCGCCCGCGACAAGGAGCGTGGCCCTGAAACATTACCCTCTGCTGTTTTCAGGGGATGCTTCCGGCTCACAGGGGTTGTTCTCTTGTGTCTATCCCTATGGACATCAACGTTGCAGTCGTGTCCCGGCGTGTCATTTTCATTGGTATCGCCCATAGAATCCTCATCAACAAAGATATCGAACCCTGGTATGCCACAATTATTCCGACCCAGACCTGTTTTCCACCCTTGCTGTGATCTCCGCTCGGACTTCATCAAATTTACCTGATTCATGCCATCTTTCTTCTCTCCAATACGTTTCTCCTTCCGCGTCGCTCCGTCTCGTTCACGTCCCGTAGTCCCAGCCGTCAACGGAGTCCCTCTTGGGGTTCGCCGGGTGGATCCAAGCACATTTGGCTGAGTCGTATTCAGTCTTGCCATCTTCTGCTAATAGATCCAACTGTCAATAAACAATAATATATGTTCGGTTTAGCTGCAAGTCCGGGTATCCGGTGATAAACAATGTGACCTAAAAGTGTGGGAATATTAACTTGATACAGATAACCCACGACGGGTTTTTCTCGACCCTAGGAAGGTCACCCTAGTAATGTAAGCATGGTTAACTGTGGAATAGGAATGAATCTGCCGTTGATTCTCTGTGGTGGATATCTGGCATTTGCTAGAGTATAGCCGGTTGGCATGGCAACCTCAGCATAAGCGCTGGGACCAATTGCTCACTCAATTCATCCATGATGTTCGTTCATCGATAATGCGGTTTTCCTGGATACTGATATAGCTGCAGTATCTGGAAATTTGATAGATAGTATATGGCACGCTGTGTTTATATCGTACCGCTGAACTTGCGTTTGCCGAAGATGCCTGGATACTCCGAACATATATCTGCGAGCCATCTGTCTATATTATCTCTATCACAACATCATCAATGTGAATAACATATGTATTCAGGAATCAAATAAAAAAAAGTAAAGTTTCAGTAGGTCAAAATGAAAGTTTAAATACTCAATCAACTCAGTCCGTCCAGACAAAAAGTATCCCCGCGGGGGGATCAAAAAGAAAAAGCAAAAAAAGAAATCATGGCCCGAGCCGCGGATCGAACGCGGGACCTCTCGCATATTGTGCTAGGGTGGGCCCTAAGCGAGAATCATACCACTAGACCACCCGGGCTTGCGTTACAGATGACTAAAATTTAGATTACATCAGGGAAGTGAAACGTCCTCAGAGCATTATTTTCCAGATCAGTTAACATTCGCGCTCTTCCAACCTTTAAATTTAAGAGTACACACATTCAAAGTTCCCACCAAAAAAAAGCATTTTTATTTGAATACATAATCGCCTACTAGCTAGTAAGGCCCAGCTGAAGACACCACAATGCAAAGCAGGATAACTATTAATTGAAATGGGAAGATATGTGTCGTAGAGATCCACTGTCCTGCGTGTGATATCCGCAACATTGTACCTACAGCCTTCAACTGGTAAATTCAGCCAGGGCTGTACTAGAGCGAGTGTGGCAATGGTACCTACAGAAGGATCATGCCCATACCGCAAACGAAGGTGGTTACCACATAGAGACCGAGCTGCGCAACACCAAAGTTCATACTGCCAGGAGTAGCCACGAGGTGTGCGGCTCCCTGCGAGGTAGACCCTCTCGAGCTACCACTAGCCGAAGCGCCCACTCCGGCTGTACCGGTTGGTGAAGACGTGACTACACCAGTACCAGCGGTGCCGGCTTCATCGATGAGGGCAGAGCAAGAACCACTGGGCCTAGAAGAAGACTGCGTGGTCGCAGCCCCGTTGAAATTGCAAGCTGACGCGGAGTCACCCTTGGAGGACTGCTGCTTGTAATATTGATTAAAGGCGTAGGAAAGCTGCTGCTTCGGGCTGCAGATACTGTAGGCGCCGTATCTACCAGTCGTAGCATTTGTCTCAATACCAGAGCATGCACCATAGCCGCAGACGGTGCCGAATAGCTGACCCAACTTCTCATCTGACACATCGTCCTTCAAGATACAGGTTAAGGACTGCTCCATACAGGAACAAAGATCTTCATTAGGAGAGGGGGGCAATGGAGATGCCGCAGCGAGCCATTCACCGTCAACTGTGGGGCATTCTTGGAGAGCAGTATTTGTTGGAGAGTATGAAGCCTTCTGAATGCCGGTAGGGTCCGCACTGGCGATATGTTTAGAGAGGTTGTTGAAATCCTGCAATGTAGAGACGTCATTGCCCTTGACGGACACGAGACCTAAGATACGTCAACAATACGAACACTAGAAAGTCAAAGATACAGGATCTGATCGTACCATAGTCATTTGCCTCCTGAAAGTACATGTAAACAATACCACCGGACCAAACGTCAGTCATGGGTTTAGAGAACAGAGCATCGACCTCAGTGAACTTGCGTGGCTGAACTGCGTTACAGCCATATTCTGCAAAGAAAACGGGGACAGTGTAGTTCTGAAATTCTTCGGTACGCGACTCATACCCTGATTTCTGGTACGAGGAATCACCGCACCAAGAGTAGACGTTGTAGCCCCAGAAATCAATGCTTTCATCGGCAGACTCGCAGTCAAAGTAATTAGCCATGTTGACGCGGATGCTGGAGTCATCGCTGGTGGCGTAGCCAACACCCAAGGGGCGGTAGTTCTGGGCCTTGATATAGCGCTTCATGTCTCGAACAGCAGCTTTGACGAAGGCACTAGCGTTGGTGTTGTTTTTGGCGTTCGACACTTCGTTTCCAGCAAAGAACCCGAGCGTATTGGTATAATTCGCCATTGCATCAATTACGCTGACATAGCGACTGTAAAGGCCACCGTCCCATGCAGGATCAGAGCGAGAAATAGACTGCGAAGGAGACGAGAGATCCAGAATGACGTATATGCCAGCATCCGCGAGAGCATTCATACACTCGGTGTGATCCTTCTTCGGGTCAATGGCATAAACTCGGACAGTGTTGGTGCGCAGCTTCTGCAGGTACGGGATGTCACGCTTGCAGCCATTGGGATCAGCAAGAGGATCGGTGAAGTCATCACCACCATTCGAATTCCCGCCAGCCGTATAGTCCTCTGTTAGCTGATTGTTAGTACTTATCCAAGAGTATTCATGGACCAAGAAGCCAGATTAACGCACGTTGATAGGCAACACCGCGAATATAGCTAAACCCAAAGAGTCAGCATAATACTCAGTTAACAATCCGTAGTGACGGTGAAAGTGGCATACAATTGGGTGTCATTGCTCTTATAAAAGAACTTGGAACCCTGGACGTGGGACGGTATCATTAGTTACCAGAAACACTACAAGCCATGTGGTGACACGACATGCGAACATACCTTTATCACAATTGGATCCAGGTCGGCCAGAGCAGCACTGGCGAAAAGAACAGCGCCGGCAAGTGCTGAGAGCTTCATGGTAACCTGTGTGAATCACTGGGACCCAATGGAAAGTACCAATCGCCCGTTTCAAACGAGGTTATGGAATAGGATTTCTGTCACTACTGGATCCCTCTATTGACAGGAGTTCAGAGATGAATAGAGCGACTAGGATGAACAGGATGTAAAAAATACAGAGCCAGAAAGGTCCTGGGGCCAACAATGAGAGACTTGATAATGAACGATTGGCAAAACGGCTATCGAAAGAATGTCGAGAAACAATGTAAAAGAACAAGAAACTGGTGACCGGAAGAGAAAATCTGACTGCGAGGAAACAAGAAGAAAAAGCGGGAGAAAAATACAGGAAATAGAAGGAGGCAAGGAGGATCCTGGCATCCCGTTCTCCAGACACCTCTTGCACGCCGTAGGACTTGGTAGAATATGTCATTCATTGCACCTTCTGCATCGCACAGCCGTCTGCGGATGGGGTAGACATTGCCGTACATCGGAATTTGCAAATCTATGAGGCCATTGCCAATCACTCAGCGCATTCTTCATTGTCTCCGGTTGATCCTGGGCGATCAGGATCATCTGTTATGCTCTTCCACGTCAAGCGTGTGGATATCTCGACCTTCATCCGGAGAAGCGATCCACAGGTCAAGAGAGATCATGTTCTAATGCCGCGAGTCTCTCGGATGCACCTGATACAGGCGTCGACCTCTCATGTTCAATCGTAAGACGGGGGCGAGACGGGAGAGGCAGATATCCATGGATATAGGAATGAACATCCATCGCCGGTAGCCGCTATCATTCGTTCCTGGATACACTGCCTAGGTAGATACTTACCTTGTACGATTTCAACGTGGCTCTCTCCATGACTATCATAATCAAACGTCGGTATAAGGCCGCTTGACTGGATAGGACTATATATGACTATATATAGTAAAGTTGAATTGCTCCGAGTCAAGGCAGAAGACAAAAAAGCCATGCTGCTGACTACACTGGGCTCAGCAGAACCAAGCACGGCAGGATAATAATAGAACAATCGTCAACCCCTTTTTTCTTTTTTCTTTTTTATCCTGTTCAGTTCTAACTTCTCACGGCTTGCGTATGTACTCTATGCATGGATACCGAAATGCTGATCTCTTGTCCACCCACAGTCCGCCGCGACCTTGCCACAGCGAAGGATGCTTCTCCGTAATTATTATTACGGAGCACAGAGGACCAATTTCAAGATATCCTGATTATCCCACAGACGCTGTACAGTGGTACCCACCCACACCAGCCACATTCTTAAACTCAACTCGCTTCAGTGTTTCGACTCAATTCTCTGGTTCGGTCTGCTGTACATACTCCACCCATATGTATCTCTACGGATTACGGAGATGTGCTGAGTCTTGATGTACATAAAGATCCCTTCCTGCTTGAAGCAATCCTGGAGGATGAGATATCGGGCATAAGTTGGGATTCCGACAGTGCCACTTCACAATTGCAGGCCGGATCAAAAATCAGTTTCATCCGGACTGGCTAGACAGACCTGTCAGGGCGCGATAGACCCCACAAGTTGCATACTAGTGCAATACATTATTAATGCTGTCAAGAGACACTACTACATACTATCAGTATCTATCCTATCTCAGGAGATGGTCGATGCTGGCCAGTCCGGCCTCTCCAGCCACTGGTTTATTTTTGGAGTCGCCTAACGAAAATACCGGATTTTGAACCCAGCGATGCAGACCACGACATTATTCTGATACGCTGGTGAGGACAACCGGAACCGAAGATAACAAGGAGCAAATGTTAGTATAGATCGGCGACGTCTAGGCGCTGGTGGCGATGGTTTTGCTTTATTATTTATTGATATATATTATCGATACTGCTCAATTCGAATAGGAGAGGCGCGGTGGGAGTAAAGCCTTCGCTTGTGGCGACAGTAATTTGGATTCAGCTGCACGGTCGAGGCCACTTCCACCAGAACGAAGTGCCCACTTCGATCGTGTGTGACTTCAAATTTGTATCCAGCGTAAAACTCCACAACACAGGGAATCTCTCCCTTATGTAAGGCTTAGGCGGGACAGATTAACACGATCCGGTGTTTGAGATTCATCACGCATCCGGGTAAGAGACAAGCCGCAAAGTTTCCCACTACTATAAAAAAATTACAGGGATAACCAGCGCCGATGCGGACGTCGTCTGAACTTTGAAGAGCTGTCCAGGACAGAAAAATGTACAGTAGGCATCCATTTATTTAATACTAATCAGCGACGATAGTGCCGACAGTGTTTAGGACAGCTCATGGCGTACTGGGAATTTAGCTTTCAGGGGCTTTCGGGGAAGAGCTGAACCAGAAAAGGTACAGCGGGTGTTGTTTGCTGGTTCCATGGACGGGTTGTGCGGTAACATAACGGTATCGCAGAATACCATTGTGGTATCGATACGGGTAGATCTGGTGGAGTGACATCCTGCAGCAGAGAGCCTATAATGGGCGTTGGTCATTTCTACACAGGCTAGCTGCATACAAAAGGTCTTGTCATGCACTGGACGCAGGTTTAGATGGCTGTACACTATTGGCCACAAACCCCACTGGCATGCATATTTACAGATTACATGTATAATACATACATATACATACAGGTACCGTACATACTCCGTACAGCAATTACAATTTCCCTGCCGCGTTGGACAATCAGTGCCTTCCTCCGACCACCCGTCGATCTTAGCCTCTCCTCTGCACCCTTTCGCTCTCTTCCCTTTTCTTGTTTCGTTTCTTCCCTTCCTCTCGTTCCTCGGCCGTTCCATTATTTTCTTTCACTGCCACTTTTTTGACTTCTTTCTGTTCCTTGTTTGTTCTTTTGAACCCTACGCTCTTTCGTTGCCAACCGTCTGTTGACGGTGACCAGACTCCCTCCTTCCATCTTTCTCACCCTAGAGGTTAGAAAGAAGGGTGGCTCGGGAGATCCCTCATCTATTCTCTTCATTATCTCAAGGCGGACATCCCCCTGGGTTTTCCATCTTTCGCTCGTTTGACAATAACTATCTTAAAAAAATCCCATTAATATTATATACGGTCTCTCTTCTTTCACTCCATCCTCAACTAGCAGTCATTATCAGCGTTGACAACAGACACCCGAGTCATCCTTGCGTACAGATCTTGGCTCGTTCTTGTGTCCCAGTTTGTCTCGTTGAGGAGACTACCGCCATTCGATATTCGAGAGTCCGTTCGCTGTTGGTATCTTACATCAGGCTCGTTAATGAATCAGCTATCTGTAAGTCTCGGAATTCTGGGTTACTATACTTGACAGACCTATCTTTTTTTGTATAGACTGTCCTCGGATGTATTTGACTAACCATGTCTGTCTTGACTTTAAGTAACCGCCAGCAAATCACGAATCGACACTTCGCCATGTCCGGCTATCATTACGATGAAGGCTATGCCCAGGGCGGCCACAATGCCTATTACCAGGACGACCATGGCCAGGGATATTATGACTACCAAGGCGGCGATGGTTATTACGATCGATCGTATGTTTCCCTTCAATTTGCACACTTTTCCTCTGGTGCCGCAATCTGACCTGTTCTAGTGGCCAATACAATGCCGATGGCTACCATGATGGTAGCTATTACGAGGCTGGTCAGCGTGATGGTTATTACAATGATCAGTACTATGAAAACGACCAAGCAGCACAGCAAGGTTACGGCGGCAGGGGCAGGCGCAGAGGCCACGACTCTGAAGACGAGTCGGAGACGTTCAGTGACTTTACCATGAGGTCTGACACGGCCCGTGCTGCCGATATGGACTATTATGGCCGTGGCGATGAGAGATACAACAGCTACACCGACATCCCAATGGCCGGACGCGGATATGGTTACCGACCCCCTTCCTCGCAGGTATCCTACGGGGCAAACCGTTCTTCTGGAGCGTCAACCCCAGTCTACGGCATGGACTATGGCAGCGGTTTACCTGCTGGACAGCGTTCTAGGGAGCCTTATCCTGCGTGGACGTCCGATGCCCAGATCCCGCTTTCCAAAGAAGAGATCGAGGACATTTTCATCGATCTCGTTAATAAGTTCGGTTTCCAGCGGGATAGCATGCGCAATATGTACGATCACATGATGACCTTGCTTGACTCGCGTGCCTCTCGTATGACGCCTAATCAAGCTCTGTTGTCCCTGCATGCTGATTACATCGGCGGGGACAATGCTAACTATAGGCGGTGGTACTTCGCTGCCCATCTTGACCTTGATGATGCAGTTGGTTTTGCGAATATGAAACTGGGCAAGGCCGATCGCAAAACCCGTAAAGCTCGTAAGAAGGCTGCCAAAGCTCGGGCTGCTCAGAACGCAGAGAACCAGGCGGAGATTGACGAGACGCTCGAAGCATTGGAAGGCGACGACAGCTTGGAAGCCGCGGAATACAGATGGAAGACACGCATGAACCGGATGTCGCAACATGACAGGGCGCGACAGATTGCCCTATATTTGCTGTGCTGGGGCGAAGCCAACCTAGTCCGGTATCTTCCTGAGTGTCTCTGCTTCATTTTCAAATGTGCGGATGATTATTACAATTCCCCCGAATGCCAAAACCGCGTTGAGCCCGTCGAGGAATTTACCTACCTCAACGAAGTTATCACGCCACTGTATCAATTCTGCCGTGATCAGGGATATGAGATTCTCGATGGCAAGTATGTTCGTCGCGAGCGCGATCATAACCAGATCATCGGTTATGATGATATGAACCAGCTTTTCTGGTATCCGGAAGGTATTGAACGGATCATTTTAGAAGACAAAACCCGCCTAGTTGACATTCCTACCACTGAGAGATGGACGAAACTGAAGGAGGTGAACTGGAAGAAGGTTTTCTTCAAGACCTACAAGGAAACGCGCTCCTGGTTCCACCTGATTACTAATTTCAACCGTATCTGGGTCATCCATCTCGGCGCCTTCTGGTTCTTCACTGCCTACAATGCTCCTACCTTGTACACCAAGCACTATGAACAACAGGCCAACAACAAGCCTCCTGGGGCCTATGCTTGGGCCGCTGTTGGCTTTGGTGGTGCTCTCTGCGGACTGATCCAGATCCTGGCAACATTTGCTGAATGGCTCTATGTGCCCCGGAGATGGGCTGGTGCACAGCACCTGACCAAACGTCTTATGTTCCTCATTGTTGTCTTTGCTGTGAATCTCGCGCCAGGTGTATATGTGTTCGCTGCTCCAGATCCTCACAGTGGTGCTCCTCTGGCTGTTGGTATTGTGCAGTTTTTTATTGCTCTAGCAACATTCATTTTCTTCGCCATCATGCCCCTGGGTGGGTTGTTTGGCAGCTATATGAATACAAAAACTCGCAAATATGTGGCCAGTCAGACATTTACAGCCAGCTTTGCGCGCCTGGGAGGGAATGACATGTGGATGTCTTACGGCCTTTGGGTTGTCGTTTTTGGTGCAAAATTGGTCGAGTCGTATTTCTTCTTGACGCTTTCCTTGAAAGATCCGATTCGAATTCTTTCACCGATGCATATCCACTACTGCGCTGGCGTCACATACATCCCGAACAAGCTATGCCATGCTCAGCCTCAAATCTTGCTTGGTCTCATGGTCTTCATGGACTTGACACTTTTCTTCCTTGACAGTTACCTTTGGTATGTTATCTGTAACACGGTTTTCTCAGTTGCAAGGTCGTTCTATCTCGGTGTGTCTATTTGGTCGCCTTGGAGAAATATTTTCTCTCGACTCCCCAAGCGTATCTATTCGAAGGTCCTCGCGACTACCGACATGGAAATTAAATATAAGCCGAAGGTTTTGATCTCACAGGTTTGGAATGCTGTCATCATTTCCATGTACCGTGAACATCTGCTGGCCATTGACCATGTCCAGAAGTTGCTCTACCATCAGGTACCATCTGAGCAAGAAGGCAAGCGGACCCTCCGTGCACCGACCTTCTTCGTATCCCAGGAGGATCTGTCATTCAACACGGAATTCTTCCCGCCTGGAAGCGAAGCGGAGCGTCGTATTTCCTTCTTCGCCCAGTCTCTCTCAACACCTATGCCGGAGCCGCTGCCCGTTGATAATATGCCAACCTTCACGGTCATGATCCCGCATTATGGTGAGAAGATTCTACTTTCGCTTCGTGAAATTATTAGGGAAGATGAACCATACTCCCGTGTCACACTACTGGAATACCTCAAGCAACTCCATCCCCACGAGTGGGACTGTTTCGTTAAGGACACAAAGATTTTGGCGGATGAGACTTCTCAGTTCAGCGGTGACTACGAGAAAACAGAGAAAGACGCCGCGAAGAACAAGATCGATGATCTCCCGTTTTACTGCATCGGGTTCAAATCAGCTGCTCCCGAGTATACTCTCCGCACCCGTATTTGGGCCTCGTTGCGCTCCCAGACCCTTTACAGAACCGTTTCGGGTTTCATGAATTATAGCCGTGCGATCAAACTGCTGTATCGTGTGGAGAACCCAGAAGTGGTTCAAATGTTCGGTGGTAACTCGGAAAAGCTTGAACGGGAGCTTGAGAGGATGGCACGCCGCAAGTTCAAGATCTGCGTTGCAATGCAGCGTTATGCCAAATTTAACAAGGAGGAACGTGAGAACACTGAGTTCTTACTCCGTGCCTACCCCGATCTACAAATTGCATACCTGGATGAGGAGCCACCGGAGAATGAGGGTGAGGAGCCTCGCTTGTACTCTTCCTTGATCGATGGACATTGTGAGATCCTCGAAAATCAAATGCGTAAACCGAAGTTCCGGATCCAGCTGTCAGGCAACCCTATTCTCGGAGATGGAAAGGCCGATAACCAGAACCATTCCATCATTTTCTACCGAGGCGAGTACATTCAACTTATCGACGCTAACCAGGACAACTATCTTGAAGAATGTTTGAAGATCCGCAGTGCCCTCGCTGAGTTCGAAGAACTCACAACAGACAATGTGTCCCCTTACACTCCTGGCGTGCCTTCGAAGAACACCAATCCTGTCGCTATCCTTGGTGCGCGTGAATATATTTTCTCTGAAAATATTGGTGTCTTGGGTGATGTTGCTGCCGCAAAGGAACAGACTTTCGGTACTTTGTTTGCGCGAACCCTCGCCGAAATAGGCGGTAAGCTGCATTATGGTCACCCTGACTTCCTGAACGGAATATACATGACCACACGTGGCGGAGTTTCTAAAGGCCAGAAGGGCCTGCATCTTAACGAGGATATTTATGCTGGTATGAATGCTTTGCTTCGTGGTGGTCGCATCAAGCACTGCGAGTACATCCAGTGCGGTAAGGGTCGTGATCTTGGTTTCGGCTCGATTCTGAACTTCACGACAAAGATCGGTACTGGTATGGGTGAACAATTCCTGTCCAGAGAGTACTACTACCTTGGTACACAACTGCCTCTCGATCGGTTCCTGTCATTCTACTATGCACACCCTGGTTTCCACATCAACAACATGTTCATCATGCTTTCTGTCCAGATGTTCATGATTGTGTTGATCAATTTGGGAGCTTTGAGGCACGAGACGATTATCTGTCACTTTGACTCCAAGAAGCCCATCACCGATCCCCTCATGCCGACTTACTGCGCTAACCTCGTTCCGATTACTAACTGGGTCAACCGATGTGTCATTTCCATCTTCATTGTCTTCTTCATTTCGCTGGTGCCTCTGGGAGTTCAGGAATTGACTGAGAAGGGAGTTTGGCGGATGACAACCCGTCTCGCAAAGCAGTTTGGTTCTCTCTCGTTTATGTTTGAAGTCTTCGTCTGTCAGATCTACGCCAATGCCGTCCATCAGAATCTTTCTTTCGGTGGTGCTCGTTATATCGGTACTGGACGTGGTTTCGCCACCGCTCGAATTCCTTTCGGTGTTCTGTATTCGCGTTTTGCAGGTCCGTCAATCTACGTCGGGGCTCGATCTCTTCTCATGCTGCTCTTCGCAACGTCGACTACTTGGACACCAGCGCTCATTTGGTTCTGGGTTTCGCTGTTTGCGATGACTATTTCCCCGTTCGTCTTCAACCCGCATCAATTTGCGTGGTACGACTTCTTCATCGACTACCGTGATTATCTACGCTGGCTGTCTCGTGGCAATTCCCGTTCTCATGCTTCCTCTTGGATTGCTTACTGCCGCCTCTCTCGAACACGTCTTACAGGCTATAAGCGGAAGCTTCTTGGCAGCCCCTCTGAGAAGAACGCCGGCGACATTCCTAGGGCTCATTTTACAAATATTTTCTTCAGCGAGATTGTCGGTCCTCTAGTGTTGGTTGGGGTTTCCCTGGTTCCATACCTGTATATCAACTCTAGGACTGGCGCGCAAACGGACAAGGAAAAGACATACAATGCTCTCATCCGCTTAGCTATCGTTGCTCTGGGCCCTATAGTCATCAATGCAGGTATTGCTTGGGTTTTCTTTGGCATGGCATGCTGCATGGGTCCCCTTTTCAGCATGTGCTGTAAGAAATTTGGTGCAGTACTTGCTGCCATCGCCCATGCAATTGCTGTCATAGTACTGCTGGCCCTATTCGAAGTCATGTTCTTCCTGGAGTCCTGGTCTTGGCCACGATGCGTCTTGGGTATGATTGCTGCAGCTGCCGTTCAGCGCTTCATCTATAAGCTTATTATCTCCACTTGCTTGACCCGAGAGTTCAAGAGCGACCAGTCCAACATCGCTTGGTGGACTGGCAAGTGGTATAGCTTGGGCTGGCATACCCTTTCACAGCCCGGACGTGAGTTCCTCTGCAAGATTACGGAATTGGGTTACTTCTCAGGAGACTTCGTCTTGGGCCATTTGATTCTATTCTGCATGCTACCAGCACTATGCGTTCCTTACGCCGACAAGATCCATTCGGTGATTCTTTTCTGGCTGCGGCCGAGGTAAGATTTTCACTCCATCAATCCCCGGAGATGCCAGGCGAGCTGTTTGTTCTAACGTGACTGTAGTCGACAAATCCGTCCTCCGATTTACTCTCTGAAGCAATCCAAGCTCCGTAAGCGTAGAGTCATTCGCTACTCAATCCTCTACTTTACGTTGCTTGTTGTGTTTATTGCACTTATCGTTGCCCCGCTGGTTATTCGCCGTCTGAACTTGGACATTGAGTTCACTACAATGGATCTCAGGCAACCGCTTGATTCGAATAATAATGATACCGCACCAACGTTAACTGGCAGTCATCTTCCGCATGGGTACCACGCGGGCAGTCCTATCCCAGGCTCGGAGGAGACTACAGTAGGCGGAGGAGGGGCAACGGCGACGGCTACGTCCTAATCTCGGACTTCTCTGGCCATGCAGGTCAGCTGTACAAAACTTCTTTCAGTCTTGAATCGAGCATGCGCCTAATCGCGCTTTCTTCCATACTGTTCTCTTTTCAATTCTAATGAACGAATCCCATTATTAACTGATGTACTCTCGTTAGCTGACATGTTGCATTCTTTGTTTCTTGTGTGCCATCAGGATTTGAAATTATGTCGTTTCCCGTTTGGTGGTTTTTTTCCCCCTTGAGTGTTTATAGATGGAATGAGATTGGTATCGCGGCTGCTTGTTATTAGGGTTACATGTAGTGATTCTTGTTCGCGATGACGGTATTTTGTTCCATGATTGCACCTTGTAGACAGTAAATCGAGCCTAGTGATAGTGGTATATAGTGGAATTGTACATGTATCTTGCTTGCTATGCTGTGCGGAAGCCGGCATCACGTGGCCCTGCCTAGCATCCTATCCGGCTCCCTTACCGCATCTTCTCCGTCGCCTTTTCAGCATCATCGTAACACTGCTATTTTCTCTTTTCTCCTACAAAATTCTCCTGGTCTTATTCTTCTCGACTATTGCACCTTAGAGTGCCACTTCCGGGAATCCCTGGATCAGCTCTCAGAGGCACTATCAGCCCTTTACACCATGGACCTCCAGGAAACCCAACGGATTCTCTCCGAGTACGTCCATGAACTTGCCAATTTATTCCATCAAATCCCGGGGTCAGCGATTGTTCTGCGCTATATAAAATCAAGTTATCAAGATGATCCAATTAGATCTGCGGTTGAATTATTCCTTTTCCTTTTCGCTGTGCGCTATCTCCTCGCTCCAAAGTACTCGACTAAGCCCGGTGTGGTTCAACTCTCCGAGGATGAGATCGATGACCTGGTGGATGAATGGACGCCAGAGCCATTGGTAGGAGAACTCACTGCGTTCGAAGCAATGGAGGTTGAAAAGCGACCGGTAATTGTCAGGTACTGTCCTCTTCCCCTCCACACCCCTTTTTTGTCAAACTTCTCTTCCTTCTCTGTCCTCTCCTGTTATAAACTAGTTCGGAAATAAATGTTCATCTGCGCTGACCCTAGGACACACATTTACAGCTCGGTCGGACCCAAGTCTAAGTTGTCGAATGGCCGTACGGTTATTAACCTTGGATCGAATAACTTCTATAACTTGAATGCGAATGAGAGTTTCAAGGACAAGGCAGCCCTGACTTTGCGTAACTATGGAGTAGGCCCATGTGGCCCGCGAGGATTTTATGGCACTCAGGATATTCATTTGAAGACGGAAGCGGATCTTGCGTCCTTCCTCGGTGTTGACTCATCTATCATTTACTCTCAAGCGTTTTCCACGATCTCGAGTGTGATCCCGGCCTTCTCCAAGCGTGGGGATATTATCGTTGCGGATAAAGGCGTAAGTTTTGCTATCCGCAGGGGTATCCAGATCTCACGCAGTACGGTTCGGTGGTATGAGCATAACGACATGGAGGATTTGGAAAGAGTCTTAGCAAAGGTCACCAAGGAACAGAACAGGAAGATGTTAACCAGAAGATTCATCATCACGGAAGGACTGTTTGAGTCATATGGCGATATGGTAGACCTACCAAAGCTCGTAAGTGATCTATTACCCTGTTCAGCATTGATTTCTAGGCGATATGATATATCATATTTTTCTTTCTTCGGATGTACTAACTTACTATGTGTCAAGATTGAGTTGAAACTCAAGTATAAATTCCGACTGATCCTGGACGAGACGTGGTCGTTTGGTGTTCTCGGACGGACCGGTCGCGGCGTGACGGAACATCAGAATGTTGATGCAGCCGAAGTTGATATGATTGTTGGGTCATTAGCTGGCCCTCTGATTGCTGGAGGAGGCTTCTGTGCTGGATCAGAGGAGATTGTCAGCCATCAGCGTATCTCAGCTGCAGCATACACTTTCTCAGCGTCGCTGCCTGTACTGCTTTCAATGACAGCTAGCATGTCGATCAATCATCTTCAGAATAATCCGGAGACCGTTGCGCAACTGAGGGAATATACAAAAGCGCTGCGGGCGCAGCTTGATCCTCGCAGTGATTGGGTCTACTGCACCAGCGCCCCGGAAAACCCTGTGCTTATTCTCGTGTTGAAACCAGAGGTAGTTTCCTCAAAGAGGCTCTCAGTCGAGGATCAGCAATTTTTGCTTCAAGATATAGTTGATGAGGTGGGTGCTGCAGTCCCTAGTTTCCTTGTACTTCCGCAACTTGTTTTATATTTATATCTAACCTTTTTTATCCATTCCGTAGTGCCTTGTGAATGGTGTCCTTATAACTCGCCTCAAGACACTTGACGATAACTTCGAACCAAAACAGATCGTCCCCCCAGCCTTGAAAGTTTGCGCTACACTTGGTCTTACAAAGAAAGAAATCGAGAAGGCCGGAACTACCATCCGACATGCGATTACAAAAGTCTTGAGCAAGAGGAAGTGAAATGCCATCTGTATATGCAGCATTCGCTTCTCCCCTCAACCCCCGTATGCTTTGTTGAGTGCCTTCCAGAAGGTCCATAATAATCGTTTACGCCATTATGCTTTAATCGACGATGTTTCTTTCTTTGTCTTATTTTTTGCTAGGCAAGAAGATGACCAGTTCGCCCTTGTTTCTATTCTTTCGCATTTCACGATATGGAAAGTCGAACTGCTGCCGCACAAGTTGAATGCTGCGCATGACCGGGAGATATGGGATGGATTGATGGAATCGGATGCCCCCCCTTTAACATAATAATACTAAATCTTGAAAGACGGACCAAGCTGTTTCTCATTTGGGTATTAGGGAGGGGCTAACCATTCAGGGAGGGTGATAATGACAGCTTCTTTCGTCTCTCTGTCAATGGTTGTTGTTTGTCCGTTTCTCTCGACTGAGAGCCCTATTGGCGTTGAGGTGTTCTTAATCTTGTACTGTACGTATTCTTAGGACAAATAAAAGACCTTTAATTTCCTCGACAGATCTAGATATTTTTTGCTTTGTATATGGTAAGAGTGCTTTCTGTATTCGTTTCATAAATGAATGTAATACTATACCTAGCTAGACTTCAAAAATGAGTCCTTTATCAACCACCCCAAAGGATTAGAGGATTATCGGGGAGTAGGGAGCTGGAGACCTAGATAATACAAGCAAGCATCACTTCACGTGTTATTATGCCGCTTAGGTCCGCCCTCGCTGCCGGCCCTACCTAGCTAGTTACGAATGATACATCCCTCCATTACATACATCCACTGCGATGTGTCATGACACTCTTTCCTTTCTGTCTCTGTGGCCTACTACCTGACCTTTTATATGGCAATCGCATCCTGTACTTAGCTAGCTGACTTAAATCCTTACTCTACTGGGGTGAGTAGACCATGCATAGTCTCAGACTGAAAAATGGCTTCTAAAATGGAAGTCTACTACTCAGCGTCCACCCCATGAGCAGCTCAGGGAATGCCCACTCCAGCATCCACTCTACTCAAATCTGCTCAGTGAGCAAAAGGTACCAAGACCTGAGCACTAAAATGGAAAGGAAGGCCTCGAAGGTGTCTTAGATATGTATGTACGTGTATGCATGTATGTACTTGAGAACATACCAAACCAGACTCACCCAAAACAGGCAATATCAGTATGATCTTAATGATTTACCAGAACGGTACAACAGCAATCCATTTACCCTGTTCTCCCCATAACTCCTGAACACATGCTGTGGTTTCCCGGTTCTATGCGCCATTTCGTTTCCTGTCATTGTTTATTTATTGTCAACAGAGTCCAGAGAAGTGTCGTATGAATGTTTCGCGACTGTACGGCTTCCACGCCTCGATTTCGGAGGTTCAGGTTTCGGGCCATGCTTGTTATGATGAGGCTGATGCAGGAGATTTGGGACTGTAGTCCCTACGGCCTCAACAGAATCGCAAGAACTGTACGTAGCGTTGCTGTCGCGATGGCCGTTACTGGAATGGTTGTCATTACTGCTCCCGGTAATTAGGTGCGAGCGTATGTGTGCTGCGATGGTCGATCTGCGGGGCGGAGGTACCGCTGGGGGAGAGTGAGAAGCGGAGCGAGGATAACTTGGGACGGGGGGCACAAGGGATGTGCTGACGGAGTGGGTCAGTTCAGTTACTGTCTCGATAGTGGTATCAATAGAAGCAGGAGGAAGAGGAGGGGGCGTGATAGCGGTCGATCTCGGCTCTGGACTGTGGCCTTCGGCACCTGGGCCACGTCTACCGCGCCATCGCCTTGCTTTTGGAGGCTCGGGTTTGACTTTGAATTTCTTTTCTGTCCTGGTCGGGCTTGGTGTTGAATCGGAAAAAGAAGGCGACGGGGTGTTTCTCGAGCGCTGTTCATGTTGAACCGCCGCTACTTCTTGGACGCTCGTTGAGGATGAAGTAGCAGGTTGCAATTGTACCCCGAGTGATTGCACCAGGCTGGGCTTGTGACTTTGATGAAATCGAGCTGATGGTACTTGTATGTCGGTCCGCGTCGGTGAATAGGTGTCAGGTGAACTACACGTTGTAGGGCTGGATAGTATTCTGGTTGCCCCGAATGGGCCATCGGTATCCGCATTGTCTTCGGTACCAGGAGACAAGCTCAGAATAGGAACAGAAGCAACGGTATCAGATTGTTGAGAGATTGCCCTGTCCACACGTGGCGAGCCAGCTTTTGGACTATTGGATCTGTCCTCGTCCTGCAACCATTCGACACTCGCGCACCGCGAAACAAGTCGTTTCGTAGTGCTATCCGCATCGTCAAAATGTATGATCCTCTCATGTTCTTCGTCACCAGCAGAGAAGAGCCCGGGAACCAGGAGGTTTAGCATTCGCCGAAGTTCGTCTCGTTTGTAGTGCGGAGGATATTTCAACTGCGTGTGCGCCAGTAGCGGATAGAGAACGCGCAGGTAGGTGTGCCGCAGGGGAACGGCCTCTTCCGGCAAATCCAAAAGGTTTCGAATGAGTATGTCAACCAGGACGTGAAGGTCATTAGTATAGAAATATTCGTAAGTGCTGGGGGTTGTAAAAATAAGATACAGAAGTTTTAGGGTCAGAAGCTGCAATGACGTTTGGGCTAAGAGTATGATTAGAATCCAGATGTCCAAGGAGAAAGACGGAGGGAAGACTTACCTTCTCTATTAATAAGGAGAATGATATTCTCACCAAATGTTTTATAATAGCTACCATGCATTGAAAGAACCTTGATAACCTTGTTCGTTGGGGGAGCATATGCAGCACGCTCATCGACTGGGTCATGGGCCGAAATCATGAACTGCTCGTTCAGAACAAGCTGTAGTAATAAGTGAGCATAGGTTCTATTTCCTCAAATTTCGAATTCGCTTTCTTTTCTGCCTGGACACTGACCAGCACACGGATGACGGGATAGTGATATGGGTCATTGGAGTCACAAGAGAGCTCTTCGATAAGTTCGAAGAGGTACTTGATGAACTCATCGTCCACGAGAACTGCATATTTCACACACAAACCATGCGACATCTGAGTCAGCCCCAATGCTCTAGAACTCCCACCCTTTTCTCTCTCTCTCTCTCTCTCTCTCTCTCTCTCTCTTGTGTCTTTCCAAAGGAATGGGAACTTTTTTCTGAAGAAAAGACGCTTCCGTTGCACCGAGGACTTCAAAAAAATCACGGGATGAAGAAAACACTCGTTTCCGGGGATGTTATTGTTCTTTTGTTTGATGAACTCACCAAGATCTTCAATCCTCAGCCTCTGAATCCTCGCCATCTCATACAGCAGATCCATCAAAATCCGATGAAGGCCAGTGCCAGCACTCTCTGGGTCATCTTTCTTCTGAGCCTGTATTAATTCTAGCAGCCGAGGGAACAAGCCCTCCTCGCTCATCACAATGAAGGTATTCTCGTTCTGCCGACCGTCAAAGAGGAGAAATGACGCTATCAGGTGGAGGGAATCCGATTCATCTTCCTGCAACAGACTGTAGATGATCTGTCTTCGCACGTAGTCCGCATGATCGAGAAAGAGTGTCGAGGAGAGAAGCTTGTACGAGCAACGCGATATGTCGTAATCGGAATGGAGGTAGTCCTCTGCTTGTTGGTGGGAGATCAGTATGAGATTTGGAAATACCGGGTAGATAGGTGTGAGACGGACCTTTGTACTTGGTGGTGAAGTTCAAGTAACTTCGCAGGGCATTGTCGATACGATCTTCCGAGTCACATTGCGTAGATACAATCTCATCCAGTTCTAAATTAAAGCAAAGAGCCGGTGAAATGTAAGCAATGCAGAAAGGAAGGAGGAAGAGGACGAGACTGACCATCCCAGAACTGCTGCTCGTTTTCCAGGCTGTAGGAGACCTCAAACTCCATTTCCCACAGCTCGAAATCTCAATCTTCTTCGCCGGGCCTTGGTATAAGATTCCATGCCCGTTTCGTGGGATATGGCGGAGATGGGAGAAGAATGGGAATGGAACGTGAGGCTGGTGCGATGGAAGAAGCTTAATCAGGATAATCCATGATCATGGCGGGGAGATCCACCCCAGAGGTCAAGATCTCTTTATCGACACGCATCTACAATTCCTATTTCTTACGTGCATATAATAGCAGGGGACCTTCAAATCTCCGATTATTTGTTCCATTATTACCGTCCTGTATGTTACTTTCTTGTGTGGTTACTTCCTTTCCAGACGCCAGCAATGTTCAGGGCTCGTATCGCCGCTATAATAAATATAAAATAGCAAAAGAGCACAAGAACAAAAAAAAAAAGGTAGAGAGAAAAAAAAAGAATATGGACATTGCACTTGATACCCATGATTTTACACGCCAAAAATAGTAATGGCATGAATATAGCCATCATACTCAATACTCAGGACGCTTAAGCGGGTGGGCCTCGGTGTTGCTGGTGGAAAAAGGAAAAGCATTAGTCTCTTCTATATGGAGGGTGGGAGGTTGAACTCACAGGACATATTCGTCGAGACTGACAACGGTTGGATCACTGAAGAGAAGATAGAAGTACTTCAATGTCTCTGCAAGCCAGAACGATTCCATTTCATCCCTGAACGCTGGCTTTTCAACAGTCACGTCCTGGATGGCTGAATGGGCCAGTTCGGTGCGCGTGTACTTTTCGACCGCCTCGAACATCTTCCAACCTTTCTGTCGCCAGTAGTTATCGCCAGTCAGGCGGAACATGATGAACACAGATTCGATGGCCTCAGGACGCAGGACGTATTGACGGGCAATGATCCTCACAAACCCTGAAGAAAGTCGTTCATTCTCAATACGCGCCTCGACGAAATCTTCGTGAGAAATGACGGGGGCTTGGTTAGGCGTCGTCGCAACATTTCTATCCGAAAGGTCGTCAACGTTCTTGGGGATCGGAGTTGGGGTGCTTTCTGCTTTCACTGCAGCCGAAGAAGGATCCGTGTCGCGTTTATGAATGAGAGGCAGGAAGCTAGGTGACGGTGTGGGGACAAAAGATCTATTTGCCGCTGGTGGTTCCTGAACTCGGACTGTAGATTCGCGCCTTTGCTCCTGGAGCCATCCGGCTCTTAGTTCTGGGTTCGGATCTAAAGCCTTTCTATATAGTGCTTCATCCCACGGACAGGTTTCGTTATTTTCACAAGGCAGGAGTTGGATCTTCTCGGGCATAATTCCCGTGCGCGTAGATTCATACGCCCATACACAGCCATCGGTGAGTTTGGCCGCTGTATCTAGATCAGAGTCGATTCCAAACACCTTGGCGCCAACTGCGAACATGCCTCCGACAAAACAAGTAAGATGTGCTCCTTCATAGCTGTAGGACAGGCTCTTAGGATCCTCTTCATCAATCGGCTTTGTCAAGGTAAGATCAGCTGTAAATCGAAGGTCGCGATCGTCCTTGACCATAGGACGGAAAAGGAGATATTTTCTAGCGGTGTCCATGGCCTTCTCGTACATTGTGCGATACTGTTCGTTGAGACCTCCTAGCAGCATATATTCCTTCGGTAAGTATTCATACGTGGAGTCAGCAAGAGCTCCCATCGAGAAAGTATCCGGCGTGTCCAGTGGAGTATTCAAGCCTTCCATGCAGTTTTTTGGAGTTCGAGGTTCGACATTCTTAATAGGCGAGGCGTCGTCAGCAAGGAGACCACTGCCATCCTTCCGCTCCGCGAAGGTCTTGCGACCCTCCACGTCTGTCGGGACATCCTTTGGTTGAATAAGAGTCATCCCGGAGTCCACCGAGTCATCGTCATCCGTAAGTTCATAGTCAGTCACCGGCTTGTTCTTTACACATCCCGAAGCGTCAATCCTGAGAGGCCACATTCCCGGGAGTTTCGTCTTGTTCTGCAGAATCTCCAGTTCATTTGTAACCCGCGCAATTGCATCATAGTACTTGTTTTGATTTGTCAATTGAGCCAAACGAGTCAGTTCCAGAGAAAGAGATCCCAATTCCGCAAGAACGATTCGGACATCTGAACGGTGGGCCTGGGATACATAGGTACTGTAGTGGGTTATCAGCATGTTCGTTTGATAATGTAGGGTCATGTTAAGAAAGAGAAAGAATGAAAAAAAGTTCCCACTTACGGCGACCAGTGGTAGAAGGGAACTGGCATCCGGTTTGGCGTGTCAAAGGCGCCAATTATGATCTCGCCTATCTCAACAGCTTTATCCAGCAGGACCTGGTACCTGTGGCCAGAGATATCATATGCGCCAAGAAGACCGCCCAGGTAGCGGATAACCGTTTCGAAAACGGGTATATCCTTACGGGGACTCGTAGTGAAGTCGATCTTCTTGACCGCGTCGAGCGCAGCAGTAAACTCAGTCTTCATGTCCATAATCCAAAGGGTATCCAGCGAATCCACAAGCGTAGCACCCCATCCATTGAATGGATCCCGGGCTCCGCCCTTGATGGGATAAAGTTCATCATGGCCCATGGCATGAGTCTTATATCCATTCCAGGCATGCTCAAAGGCCCTCTTGATGGTGCTCAGTCTCTGGAGGCGCTCGAACTTTTCATCGGATGATTCGTCTTTGAACTGAGCCTGGAGCTTCGGGAGTTTCTTTGGCCTACCAGTTGGCAGTGGGATAATATTACCCGTAAGGAGGGGGAAGTTTTCAGGAAGTTTTCTCCAGTGCACAGCCGGCAAACCAGTATCAGGGAGAGTCACCTCCAATCGTCCTTGCCCCTGAGCACCAAACTCGGAGGAGAAATCCTCTTCCTCTGCGAACGGCTCGCCTCCCTCTTTCGGTTGTGAATGTGGCTCTGGAACAGTCTTGTCGCTGGAAGGTACTTGGGGCTTGCTGGGCATATCAACAGGAATATCAGCTTCCCCTTGAGAAACGGTAGGCTTCTCTTGAGAGCCTTCAGTCTTTTCAGGAGAGGTTTTGAAATCGGGTGTCCATGCTGGCTTATCTGATGCCGGCTCGGGAATAGGATCGTGAGCGGGAGGTGGCGGCGGCGGCGGCGGAGAATTAGGGGGACTAAGAGGAATTGCTTCCTTCGTATCAGAAGACGGAGGCTGAGGAATGTCGACAGGTTTACGAAGATCCTCGGGAGTCACAGGAGACCACACGGGTGCGCGAGCGAAGTAGAAGAAGGCCAAGATGAACACCGCCGCGATGACGATGAACGGCCGATATCGACGAAACCGGAACATGATGTATTCAGCGATATTACCGGAAAAGAAGAGGGGGGCGAAGAGCAACTAGACACGCAACCTTGAAACCTTGAACTGCAGGCGTGCAGGAGCGACCGATGGAGGGAGTGGACTCAGGGGAACATCTTCCGCCTGACAAACTATCAGACCCGCCAATCTGCAGAGGCAGAGAGAGCAAGGATGAAGGAGGGAAGGACGAGGTGCCTTTGATGGAGTGAAGAGAGGGAGGGCGAGGGGAGAAGAAGAGGAGAACAGGGAGAAAATTAGAAGCAAGAGCTACGAATGTTAATTAAGCGTGCCGAGACGCGGACGAAGCAACCGCGGACCACAGTCTGCCCAGAGCAGGATGTCTTCAGGATCTATGCGACGCCAGCCTGAACTTGAACATCGAAGACCAGACCAGCTGTTCTCCGTTGCTCACGAAAATATGTACAGCGCAGATACTTTCCCCGCGTCGTGGATCATCGAAACGGCAACCCATTCGTCGATGATCTGGGGTTACTCTCCCGATGGACACATCACAACTTGAAGTCTCCAAGTGTTTAAGTTAATCGCATTGCTATTCAGCTATCCTCTTATGCAGCCCATAGAAGAACGCCTGTTCCTTTACTCCGCTCCTTTTGGATCCTAAGAATATACACCCTTCTTGTCAAGCCTGCCAAAGGCCGTGAAGAACCACCGTAACCAAAACAAAACCAAGAACAGCAAAAACGATCTAGATGCCTACCGCAGTTCGACCTCTACCTTCAGTGTTCGCTTTCTGAAATTGCTGGATTAACCCGAGAACTCCTGCTCCCCCAACAACAGCATCTACATTCTCGCCTTCCTCAGCATCGTCAGTGTCTTCCTTGTCCAGCAGGTTTACCCGCCACGAATCTCCCAGGTTGCTCTCGCTAGTACCGATGCCTATGCCTCCGCTCGCATGAGCCGGCTGTTTTGCAGAATGACTGCGAATCCCCGTAGGTGAGGTTTCATCTTCGTCCTCAATGGGATCAGAGACGGGCTGTGGTTGACGGGTCGATCTGTAGCGCGGAAAGGCAGACGCTCGATTCATGGAGCGGAAGCCGGAAGAGGATGGTTGGTGATGCGGATCAAGAAGCACTGACGGAGCAGGAGAACCAGCGTCGCCCACGCCCAGGTTTCCTACGCGAAGGCCTGCCGTGGATTGGTGACTCAAAGGCGCACCCATGTTTGGTGTCTGCCGCATCTGCATGTGATCAAATCGGTCGCCAGTCGGCATCTCCGCCCCAGATGGGGGTGCAAGTGTCGGAAACGTAAGTGGAGGGTGGAAGGGCCGCCTAGAAGAAGGATACATATAAGGCTGGCCTGGTCGAGGATTGGCGCCGTAGTTATCTAAGAAACCATAGTACGATGCAAGCATCTTGCCATCTTTGGTAGAGAAGTAATCCGCTCGGAGGTCCTGCCTCGCGAGACCAGGCTGACGGTTGTGTGGGATCGTATTGGTGTTCTTTTTGAAGTCGAACACAGCAAATGAACAAAGATATCCCATACCATCGACATGGACGGTGAATTCTCTGAAAAAATCAATCAGGCGGTCGCTGCACTTGGGCAAACTGAACCAGAGAATAAAAGGTGTAAATATCATGCTCAAAATTTCCTCTAGAAAAATAACAATCTTCACTTGATAGAGCATTGCAAACTCCTTTCGGACTTCATCGCTATGCAGCCGCCCTTTCCAAGAGGTTGGAAAGTAGTGAGTGTAATCGATGACTTCGAGCAGGGCGAATTCGGGGTCGAAAACATCAGTTTCTTCGGGCACCATGCCTCTGGCCACGGCCCAGACGGAACCAAAGACGCCGAGATAGAATAGGACTGTTCGATCGTGGGTGACCTCGAAACCCAGAAACAGCTCGGGATCCACAAGAGAGGCAAGGGCCAACACTGAGGCGAGGGCACCGGAAACGAAGGCCACAAAGCGAGCCAGCTGGACAGTTTTGTCTTTCGGGAACTGGTCGACGTAGCGGCTAGCAAAGGGATACGACAAATTGATCCGACGTTCGAAGAGGTGCCAGAGCTCATTGAACTCACGGAACTTCCACTCTGCAAGGGGAGTATACTGTCGAGAACCGATCTGCGAAGGATTCCTCTTATACTCATTGAAATAGCGGAAGAAGTAATGCATCAGGAAATAGACCACAATAAAAGGGGATACGAAGATGTTCATGAACCCTGCAAAGATGAAACGCCGACGCAGACCATCACTCAGAGCTCTCCTGTGGGTATCTTTGAGAAACAACGTTCGGACTTGACCCTGATCGTTGAAAACATAGTCCATGATACAAAGCTGGATATTCCATTCTAGTGTTCGCGAGAAAAGCTGTCTGTTCCTCAGAAACGGGATAGGAAGTGTTAGGTCTAGTATATCTTTATTGACCAACGCGATCAGATAGTTCTCCTTGCGCATCAACCGATTTGCAATATCGTGAGCATCCATTCTTTGCTTTGATTGACTACCCATGAACTTCCGATGTTTCGCAGAGACAGCACCGGCGGTGGCAGGATTTGCGTCTCGAAGCCCCATCAATCGACTTATAACCTCCTGCCACGATATTGTCTGAATCTCAGAATCTGAAATGCCCAGCAGGTAGAAGAAGAAGTCATGCATATGTCTTAATCTTCTGATATCCAGAAAAAACTGAAATAGTTTTCCGATCCAGAAGAAGGTGAATAACCACAACAAAAAGGTGGAAGATGCGGACATCTTCGCGGTGCATTCCTGGATAAGAATGTCATCGAATTTTCTGCTACCTCGAACGTTGCCATAATTAATGCAACTGGAGAGAAAGACTGTGAACCCCACGACGAATGCTAGCGTGCTATCAGCGACGTTAGTATGCATGTGTGTGTGTGTATATATATCTATATTTCTCCCCATTGCTATGATTGCGGAGGCGACGGAGGACTCTTGAGAACATACAGAAGATTCAGAGCTCGACTGAGCATAATCGACCAGATCCCATTGCCCAAGTAATACTCGTAAACGTCCTTCAAGAAATTGTCCAGGTTTTCGACATTCGCCCACCTCCACATCGCTTTCTCTTTGGGATCCACCGCGGCCAGGCCTGGATGTTGGCCGACAGACCACCTTGCTGGTGGCGGAGACCTTTGATTTACCGGATAAAGGGGTTGCTGCGCTCTTGTTGCTTCCCAGCGAGCTCGGTTTACCCGCGTCGACGCTCCTGGAAGAGGGGGTACCGAATCGGAGGGATCGTGGGGAGGGGGTGGAGGACGATGGGGATTGAAAGTTTCGCCTTCCTCGTGGCCCTCTATTAAAAGAGACGGAGGGACATCATCATCTCGATCGTCAGTCTCCACGCCGGAAGGGTAGTCTTGAAACCATCGACGACGGACGGAGGCAGAATTCCCGCGACGCTGCCCAGAGGCCCGCCGCTGGGAGAGGAACGGAGAACTTGGACTCGCAGTCTGACTTTCCCTGGCATCAGCCAGGGCCTCCTCGAGCTCACGATCACTGAAATGATCCTGCGGCTCATCATCCAGGGTCATACCGGCACGCTCTTCAACGTCGGAAGCGTCCGAGTCAACATCGTGTTGGCGAATAGCTTCGTAAACAGACGGCGAACCCGTAGCGGGGAGAAAACGCGATAATATGTTCGAAGATGTCATTTCCCTCGTCCGACAAATGTGATGACGGGGAAGAGGGAGATGGTCAAAGCATAAGCTAGTAATCGGTAGTAGCGGCGTTAAGAGATAAAGGAGAGAGATGAACAACACTGAGTCATCACGGCAGCAGGAATGCCGGGGAGGATTCAGAGTCAGTCAGAGGCCATCTGAGAAGGAGCAGATTTGAGTAAAGTAGACAGAATACTCAGCCTTGGAGGTAGGAATGGACGTCTCTAGGCCCTGTGACATCTGTGACGAAGATAAGAGGGATCATAGATGACCGTCATGGGTGGAGGTGATTGCCGCCTTGGCACGTGCTTTATATAATCACGTGGCTAATTTATGCCTGAGGCCAGGGGTTGCAGTATGTAGTAACGTACGCTGCGGCGTATTTGTCTCGCCTTCTCAGACGGCGTTTGTATGGACCATTAATATTGCATATTGTATGCACTGTGGATTTCCCAGCAAGGTCAAGTGAAACAGGAGCTGTTTCTTGCTTGCATGCGTTCCAGAAGTTCTGTGGGCGTCTGAGCACTAATCAGGATGCAGTACGTAGTGCTGTCGCTGGCCGTTAGATTACGCCTCAATGGGCAAGTCGGGGCTTCCAGCGTGCATTGGCTGAGAAACACGAACAAAACACTATTTCTCTACTCTGTAAGCATGTGCGTGGTGTGGAATGCATACTACTGTAGGCTCAATCGCACCACGATGCTGATGATCAGAGTACCGTTCGCCACAATGTTTGATGAATACCAGGCCTCGACTCCCTGCTTACCCATCCTGTTTGCAGAAAGAGGAACAGCCAAGGTGCAGATACTAATTTAACATGCACCGTGCTGCCGTGCAATCGGACTGGCTGGCTGGATGGTTACAATGGTTACCATGAAAGGACACCAACGGAGAAGCGTTGGGCATGAGGATGGAGTTAGAAGGCGAATGGGGAGTTAAGATGAGACTCAGCTAATAGCCGCAGATTAATATTAATATGAGAATTATTAGATCCACCACTCTATATCGTCCAGACTGCACGAGAGGCAGAGAGAGTAGATGGACTGTTCGGTAGTGATTCCTGGTTCCTTTTCTTCCAGAAACTCTCTTCGTTTTCTCTCAATTGAGAATTACCAGACACCGTCTATAATTGCAAATTTTTTATAAAATTTAATTTATTTCTTTATTATTTATCCCCTTCCATAAAATAAGACATCGTTGGCCGAACAGGTTAATTAGCATTTATTATATTACCGCCCTTCCGCCTTCTCGCTTACCTACTCGCCTTACCCCGACTTCTTCCCTTCTCTCGTTGTAACCGACCCCTACGGTAACCTTCGGGGTCGCGCGTATTGCGCGACCCTGACAACCACCCGAGCACCCCAGCCACCCGAGCACCAATTTTAGACCCCCCTTCTAGCTTCAATATCTCAACGAATTCTATAGTATTTAACTTCAAAATATATTTAAACTAAAGCTCTACTCTTCAGCTTGGGCCCTAGCATGTCGTTGCCTTCGTATAATAATTCCTCGTCGAATGCATACATCCAGCAGCTCTGGTAGGCAACGCTTATACTTAGTCCTCCACCTCTTTATTTCAGCCTGCTCATTAATATTCGCAGTATTTCGATTTATAGCTTCAAGCTCTGAGCTTGATACTATGCCTCCCTTGCGAATCCTGCGCCTAGAGGCCTGTGATCGAGCTGCGCGGTCCCTAGCAGCTTTAATATACCGGTCAAGCTCAGCTTCGATAGCAGCTGAATATGATGCTAGCATACTACCACCACGAATAAGCAGCTCTAGGCCCTCATTAAATTGATCCTTGTTGATATCATGAATCTCCCATATCCTATCACCAATCTCCCTAAATCGTTCAGCTTTTTTTTGGCGTACTGCCCCAGGAATCAACATCATTGGTATTGGTGGATGAAGAGGATGGACGATGTGGTTGAGGCATTTGATTGAGTACAATTGATGGATTGAATGGTATGATGCCAGTCTTTTGGAATCCATGCCGAATAGTACGCTTTTTGAATGTCTTCTTGCGAATTGCCCCTAAGGCATGAAGGAATTCAACCTTAGTAAATTTACTGCATCCTGAGTAGGTTGCATCTGCAACTGCTTCTGAATGCCAGTGCTTATATGCATGAAAAACACCAACATCCAATGGCTGCAAGAAATGACTTGTATGTGGAGGTAAGAAGAAGGTGATGATATTGGTCTTCTCACAGAATTCAACAAATTCATGTGTTAGATGGGAGCCGTATCCATCACATATAAGAAGGGTATATTGACCCTTCCTATATCTTTTAGTATGCCGATAGAATGACTGAATCCATTGGAAGGCAATTGTATCAGTCATATAGCCATTTTCTGATACTCCAATTGAATAGTCTTGTTGAATATCAGCAGCTTCAAACCAATTTGTAAGTATACAGCTACCACTCATGAGAATAAGTGGTGGGCAGGTCCAGCCATCTGCATTGACTGCTTCAACCACAGTAACATATTCACGGTTTGAATTCATCCCAATATGAGGCTTATTAATATTGAAGTCCCTGGTAATAATCCATTGATCACGACCAACACCGATATTGAAGCCAGTCTCATCAAAATTGTAGATATCCTCCTTTAATATCCCATGGTTCTGGATGGTCTGATGGAGCTTCTGAAACCACTCCTGAATAACCTCACGATCCTCTGCACGCTTGCGGTCAAGCTCTATAGCTCTAGAGCGACGTCTTTTATATTCAGGATGCCTTCCTAGCCATCGGTTTAACCATTTCTCGCTGACAGTAGGTGGAGGGGTGTCTAGGCTGGTATGGGTTGATCTCAGAATAGAATTGGCACTTGATTGGATCATTTGTGCAAGTGGCTTTATATTTAATTGCTCTAGAGTATCAACATAGTGACACAGAGCCTTTTCTTGCTCTTCTGATAATCTGGTGTTGGTTGGTGGTCGTTCACATAGATTGGACCGTCCCTTCCACCTTGCGGAGAGGGTTTGCCGTTTAACTCCATATTCACGTGCAGTTTTGGCGATATTTGGGGGATTTTGTGTGCTTAACGCGTCAATAGCTTTGAGCATTCGATCTTCATAATTTTTATTGAATTTGGGCATGGTGGTGGTGGTTGAATTATATGATAAAGTTGATGGGTTGGAATTCTACGAAGTTCTAAAATCGGTGCTCGGGTGGCTGGGGTGCTCGGGTGGTTGTCAGGGTCGCGCAATACGCGCGACCCCGAAGGTTACCGTAGGGGTCGGTTACGAAAAAAGGCAATTTATCTCTGTCGACATCTGCGCTACACCCCCAAAGGGCGCTCCCAAAAGGAGCACTCAGGCATCAAAAGAGAGGCTGCCAGGAAAAAGACCAAGGACAAAGTGAAGAAGAGACTGTTCAAGGTACGCTCGACCGTTCGTCCCGTCATATCTATCCCTCAATTATCATACTCCGCCCTGTTGTTAGCCCGCCGTTTCTCCTATCTCATCCCCTCTGTTCTCTTTTCTCTCGCATCCTCTCCGCGATAGATCATGCAGACGGCCGTGTCCAAGTTGCAGCCACTGTGACGATCGAACTGCTTGCCGGTCGGAGGGAACTTGGGGCTCACCACTATCACTTTACTAGGTGCTACTGCGGCGTTATATCGATCTCCCAACGGAAACCGCTTTCGTGTGTGGGGCGCAAGTCGCCTTCGTCGTTACCAATCGCTATCATCCACCCCTCTCCCACCGGTCCATGTGCCGTTTTATATCCATTTCCCTGTACGGACTCCATGCGTTCCCTTAGCGCTTCACTGGGCGAGCATTTCTCTCAATCGTTCAAGGACGGTTGCGCAACCCGCAGTGATAGCTCCAGGGCTACCTAGTAGCCCCGATAGGCTGAGTCACGGAAATAGGACGAAAACTGGAGACAATTATATTGAGGGCAAGGCAGGTTGATTGTGTGCGCACCTGCATACAGTCATACTTCTTTTAGTGTGCCCCTTGGCTCTACCACGATCTCGGAGGAGTGTGGCTCCCGACAGATTCAAAGTTTATGTATTTCATTGACTGAATCAGGGAAGATGGAGTCGGGTAATCCAAATGCCTCCCGACGGAGCTCTGTCCACTACGGGGCCTATAACGGCCCCATGGAACGGCGCGCGAGCAAGAAATCGTCGTCCAGAGACCGGCACGGTAGAGTGTATCCAGATGGCTTTAAAGATACCGGCATCCGAAGGGTGACAGATTCTGAGGAAGAAACTTGCTTTGTTACTTCTGAGACGGTCAACGTTTCGGGAAGTGCGAATCCTTCGCCGAGCGCATCTGTCGGAAACCACGAACCGAGTCTTCTCAATTTCAGCCCTTACTATCCAGAAGGCGACGAGGAAGCTTTCCGAATGGACTCGAAGTCACATCGTGCGCGTTCTCGGACGACTGCATTCGATAGCCAGCGAAGCGAAATGTCCCCAAATTCTACAAGGGCAAGGAGTCGTCTCGGATCCGTCAATACCACACCGTCTAACGCCAAAACACCGGATGATGTGATAACCTCCATCGGGTTCCCATCTATACAGTCTGGCCTTGTCAATCAGCCACCGTCAACACCAACGCCATATGTTAGCCAGACACTCGTTCGGCCACAGGCAGACAAGTCTATTCCTGTTGACCACCCTGGTGTGGCTAATAGTCGAGCTGCGTTCATATCTCCTCTGTCGTACTCCGACTCCTCCAAGATATTGCAGTTGATGAAGGCAACCTGTGGGAGGATGCACGGAATTCTTTCCTTCCGAAACTCTCCTTCCTCGTCTTGGATGCTAGGATACTGTGCTATCAACGTCACTACCGGAAGTCTGATCTACCAAGCTAAAGGGGAGCCCGCATTGGCTAAGAATTTGATTCCTGATCTGCGCGGCTGTAGGGTTCGCACTCTTTTCGACACAGAGCTCCAGACAACTTATCTTAGCGTGTCGACATTCACGTCTGGCTTGACGATTCAGTTAAGACCTCATATCGGCGAGACATTCGATTCCTGGTTGGCCGCTCTGCTGTGCTGGCAACCAATTCGGCCAAAGGGAGCTCACAACAAAATGACGAAACCTCAATCGGTGGCCATCGCTGAACGTCGTCTCGTCGACCGCCGGCGAAACTCTGGGAGCACCCCACAGAAGGATGCAGCTATTATCAAAGTTGGTAAAATGCTTCTATGGGATAAGCCCAGTGCGGCTGGGGCATGGCCAACGTCTGGCCGTCGTGTCTCGACATACCGACAGCAAAGGGCCTTATCCTCTTCGTGGAAGAGGGTTAGCTGCACATTGCAAGAAAATGGTCATTTTAAGCTTTTCACCGAGTCAGACGTTACGCTCCTGAATACTATTTATCTCACCCAACTGTCCCGATGTGCAGTGCAGCAGTTGGTCCCATCCGTCCTGGAAGATGAATTTTGCATCGCCATATACCCGCAGTATGCGGCTCATTCCACCATATATAATTATTCTACCCGCCCGATATATCTTGCCTTGGAGAGCCGAGTTCTCTTCGAGGTATGGTATGTCCTTCTGCGTGCCTTCACCATCCCAGAGCTTTACGGACCCAAATTACCATTGGATGACCACTCCGCGAATTCACTCAGCAGCACTACTTCTACTCAGGGTATGTTCAGAATCGAGAGGCTACTCAGCGTGAGGATTACCGAAGCAAAATTATCTCGGAGGAAGGACGAAGACACTCGCAAAAGTAAAAAGCATGCGAAGTCCGGCCAGCCCGCTCCATTGTCAACCGTGAGCGATTACTATACCGAAGTTCTGCTTGACGGGGAAATCGCAGCGAAGACAGCTGTTAAGTACCGCACGGCGAATCCATTTTGGCGGGAGGATTTTACCTTCAATGATCTGCCGCCTGTCCTATCTCAGGTCTCTATCGTTGTGAAAACTCTGAACATGACCCAGAAAGACTGGTCGCTTATATCTCACGGGTCGTATGCTCTGAGCAAAGATAGTAGCTCCGTTCACACCTTGGATGATATCGAGATATCTTCTCATGATGCCATGTATGGCAGAGTGGATTTCCGTCTTGACGATATGGAACCGGGGGAGGAAGTTGAAAAATGGTGGCCGATTCTGGATGATAACGATCAGCCGATGGGTGAAATGTTTATGAAGGCTCGATTAGAAGAGACGGTTGTCCTCATGTCTCAAGAGTATGAGCCGATGTCTGAGCTCCTCCACTCTTTCTCCAACGGCCTTACTCTCCAGATGTCTCAGGTTCTGGCTTCGGACTTGAATCAGTTGGCCGAGACGCTACTTAATGTGTTTCAGGTGTCCGGCCAGGCATGTGAATGGATCTCTGCCCTGGTCGAGGATGAGATTGATGGAGTTCACAAAGAGTCAACAATCAACAGGCTCAGGTACACTACGAGGATGCATTCAAATGACTCCAAGGAGTCAGGTCAGGACCGGGAAGTTCTCGTACGGGACTTAGGCCGCACTGCCACTGTCGAAGCCAACCTTCTTTTCAGGGGAAATTCTCTTCTCACGAAAGCTCTTGACCTTCACATGCGCCGGCTTGGGAAAGAATATCTTGAGGAAACTATAGGCGAACGCGTGCGTGACATCGATGAGGGCGATCCTGAGTGTGAGGTTGATCCTTCTCGCGTCTCTCGTACCGATGATCTAGAGCGGAACTGGAGGAATCTAGTGTCTCTCACAACAGGCATCTGGAAAGCGATTGCTGGTTCCTCGTCACGCTGTCCTCCCGAACTAAGGGTCATTTTCAGGCACATCAGAGCTTGCGCGGAAGATCGTTATGGCGACTTTCTCCGCACTGTTACCTACAGTAGCGTGTCTGGCTTTCTCTTCCTCCGCTTCTTCTGCCCAGCCATTCTTAACCCTAAATTGTTCGGGTTATTGAAAGGTAACTTCTGTTTTTCTTTCTTTCTTCCTTCCTCCTTTTTGGTTTAAAGTTAATAGTAACTGATGTGCGCAGATCACCCGCGTCCTCGAGCGCAGCGTACTTTGACATTGATTGCCAAAGCCCTGCAAGGTTTGGCGAATATGTCTACTTTCGGCAATAAGGAGCCTTGGATGGAGCCCATGAATCGGTTTTTGATAAGCCATCGGTCAGAGTTTAAGCAATTCGTTGACGCCATTTGTGCCATTCCAGCAGATCGACCGATCCCTATCGTCACTCCCTCTTATGCTACCCCAATCCAAATTCTTGGTCGCCTGCCCGTCACTTCTCGAGAGGGATTTCCTAGCCTCCCGTTTTTGATTGACCACGCCAGGAGCTTTGCGATACTTACTAACGTATGGCTTGAGGGGGCGCCGGAAAAGTTCGCTGAAATGGAGGATATTGATCCGGTAGTATTAAAATTTCATGACATAGCGCTTCGCATTCAGCAACGGACAAAGGAATGTCTCAACAAGGCTGAACAAGCGGAGCGTCCGAATGGGAACCTTGAAATCAAATGGGAAGAATTGCTGGAGTCCATGGAACGTTGCGCGACGTTTTATGACGACGAAAGCGTGGACAAATCTACACCACCAGCGACCGAGCCTCCAAATCCCAAACCACCGTCAATCACCGGGAGCCATAGAAACTCAGTCGGGTATTTCAGCACGCGGCCAACTCTTTCTCGAACATCCACTGATTACGGCACTGAAGCCAATGACAACACACCCCCAAGCTCTTCACCTGCGACTTGGGAGCACAACCGAGTGCAATTCACAACGCCCAGGTGGTCTGAACCTCGTGACAGCACTGGTAGCTCGAAGAATTCGTCGACTTATTCTCTTGATCATTCTGATCCCTCTAAAGGCCGCAGGTCGAGCGTATCAAGAGAGAATTCAGGCAAATACCGGTTCTTTGATTTTGGGTCATCAAGACGCAAAGCCAAGGAACGGGAACAGTATCAAGCCTCATCTACCTAAGTTTCAAATAACTTGGCGTCGTGTCTTAGGGCTGCAAAATCTGGTTATGCTGGCCACGAATTTGCTGAAATACATGGCGTCGATTTCACAGGCACACATCCTCATCCAATGTATGATCACGATTGACAGACGCATTGAATACTTTGTTTGGTTATTGTTGCGTGTGTGAATTCCCTTCCCTCACACACCCCCCCCTCTCCATCTCTCGTTTTACCTTTTGTCATTTTTCCCACTAAAGAAAAAGAATAAAAAATCTTACTCTTCTTGATTATAAGGGGAATGACGGTTGGGAAAGGACTGTCATGTGTCCTTTGGTTTATGTTGAACTTGCAAGCGCCTGGTCGGTGTGGAGGCCCTCATTTCTTTTCTCTTCTTCTCCCCTTTACTCTTTTTGTATAAAATGGGTTCTGTATTGGCTGTTTTCTTTCATTATTTATCCTCCCCTACGATGTACACTCTCTTGCTTGTATGTGCTCATGATCTAATGTTGTCTTTGCTGATAAGCTTCTGCTTCACCTCTTCTTTTCACTTTTTGGAAGCATTTATGTGATTGTTGATACCCTCATATTTCTATTATCATTTACATTATGTGCCTTGCTTCCTTTCTTTTCAGGTAGACTGCAGGAAGCAGAGGACAGGGGTGGCGGAATTTATGCGCATCTGTCTCTTTATTATGCATTGTACACAAGTTCATTGCTTCTTACAAAGCCCTCATTGAGTCGGACATTCTGTATTAAATGGACGAATAGTTCTACATAGATGGCTTTTCCATACCATCTGTCTTCCTAATTGCATTCTCTTCCCTGTCGATGAAGACTCCATCGTGCTACTTTGCTGCCTAGTCTATAGATCCTTTCATGTATGAAGATCGAGTAATTATACAAGAATTTCATACAACTGCAAAGGGTAGAGAGGCCAAACAAAGCCCAGCAGACGAGGTAACCGTCTCGATTCTAGTATAGGTAGACCAAATAAGATAAAATAAAAATAAAAATAAAAAAGTGGATATAGGTTAACGACAAAACACAAACTGCTCCAGCAGAAGGGGAGGGAGAGAGAGAGGGAAGAACATTCCCTTACATCCACAAACAAATCTTCCCACTGGCCGTCCCACCAACAACCCAATTCTTGCTCTGATGGAAAACCGCCACAGCAGGGACGGCAGTGATTCCGTCGCCGCCTAGTTGGGCCAATTGGTCCCCGGAGCCGCTGTAGATGTCGACGAAGCGGTTCATATTGCCGATGCAGAAACGCTGGATGGGGGATTGCGGGTTCAGTTGCCATTGAGGGCGTAGACTGGGTTCATTTCGACATTGTTAGCCATTGCTTGCAAAAAGGGGGACAGTAATAACAGCAAAAAAAAAAAAAAAAGGTAACGTACATTGTAACCCAACGTCCTGTCTGGCAGTTATGTCTCACTACTGTATCCGGCTTCATCTCGGGAGCGGAAAGCTTGTGGCTAGGCTTCCAGGATGCAATGCCCTTGGTACCAAAGTCGTATATCTTGAGAGTGTCGTCGTAGGACGAGGTGGCCACCTGTCCGGCACTGTTGAAAGCAGCATGCGAAACGGATAGCCGGCTCTCGTGCTCCCCCACAGGTTCCGGGTTATTGTGGGACAGTTTTCGAAGATCCCATAGTCGCATAAACCGATCTAGACTGGCTGTAGCGAAATAATGGGAGTGTGAAGGGCACAGCGAAAACCCGCCAATCTTTTTCTCGGAAAGCTGCCATGACGCGACTGTGTCTTTCCGAGGCGCGCGGAGGTCGTAGCGGCCAAAGGCGCCATCTAACGTCGTCCAGTAAAGGCAATTCGGGTCATCCAAGGGCATATCGACTCCGGAAATCGGTTCGTCTGTCGAGGTTGACTCCGGAGCGTATCGCTCGACCGAAGTTGTTTTCTCCAGGTCCATCTCTCGAATGGAACTGTCATAGCTGGCTGTGTAGAGCAGGGTAGGTTTTGACGGATGAATGTACATCGAACTGATGGTACGAGTATGCGGTTTGAGGGTGGTCATCACCGGGTCTGGGTCGTCGTCGTCCTCCTCCTCCTCATTATCATCTCCATTCTTCACTATCGATATCTGCTTTTCTTGTGAAGCATCTAGGACACCTAGGTGACCCATCTTGTCTCCGGCAAAGATCAGTGGTTTCGACTCCGAAGGATGGAATGTCATGCTATACACCCTTTCAGGCGTGAGCTTAATCCCTACATTCAGACATTGATTAGAGACAAAACATGTAAACAACGCGCAAAAGGGCATTGGGTGGTTCGCACGATTAGGCTCCCATAGATCCCATAGCTTCAGACCACTCATTTCCTTCCTCAAAGCTCTCAGATCTTTATCAGTCGTCTTTCTGATATCCTCCTCACCAAATGTCCGTTCGTACGGCTTCGCAACACCCTTGGTAACGACGTCCACGCCAATCAGGGCATCACCACTCAATTTCTGACCGGAGACCACCATCTCATTGAATGTGAACGAATCCGACTTGCGAACCCTCTTCGCACGTTCTGCCTGCTGCGCCAATTCGTACTGTTCGTCTGCTTTGCGTTTCGCGACCTCACTTTCGGCCGCAATGCCTCTCAATCGAGAGGACATCCGACGCGGCACGGCGGGTGCATCTTCCTTGGCCTTCTTTGCTGGAGTCTTCTTCTTGGACTTGGAACTGGCATTACCGAGGGAAGAGAGTTTTTTCGTTACCGGCGGCGTGAAGAGACCGGATGACTGCGCGTCAAGTGTGAGCTTCTTCAGAAGCGCATCGCGTTCGGCGATGTTCGCCAGGCGCTGCTTTTCAAACTCGGAGAGCTCATTCGAGGTGCTACCCGGAGGAGCCATCTTGCGGTCACAGCAGCAGTATTAGCAATCGGCAATTGTAGCTATCCCGTACTGGAAGCTGTCGTCTGGTGATGCTTCAGAAAGTTCTTTTTCTTTTTGCCTTTGAAGAATCGCGTCGCGTCGTCACGTGTTTAATTAAAGACAGAAGGGAATCAACTGCAGTTGAAGTGCAGCTTTAAGAGAGCATATAGATAGAGTATACTCTTACTGCAGAGACTGTTGGACTATTCCAGTGCTCGCATGGCTGTCCTCATTGAATTTCATGCGTTCTCCGTCCCATGTGCGATGCTCCTATAGCAAATAGATTTATGGAGCAGCGGGATTCTTGCACTTCTATTTCATTCCTCTCCACATAATAACTAACCACAACCCCTGCAAATCAAAGACATGCCGGAAACAACGACTCCATGAGTCTAGCCGGTTGGCAGTTGAATTGAAAATAATAAATAGGGCAGAAAAAAGATGGCGTCTCGAATCCCTCAGTCCCTAATAGCCTCCGCGACTCAAAATTCCCTCGTCCCCATCCTCTATCAGACTAGCACGCTCTCGACGGTGCCATGGCGCTATCCCACTCGAATGACACTGAAACTGCGAGTACATCCTTGGTTACAATCTCCCTTTTCTACGTCAAGGTCCCCGGGAGATGAGTCTGCCCGAGACGCAGCGCTAACCGCCACCGATTCGCCCGGAGATGCCTCTAATCCTACCACCACAGGCCCAGAGCAGGAATCGCCGATAGCTACTGCAAGAGAAGAAGACCATATTTCCCGTTCCTCGAAAAGCTACATACGACGTCGTGCAGAGTCAGTATCACACCGCACTGTTTCTAAGAAGCAACCACCGAAGCCTCTAAGAACCATGACACAGTCAGAGAAGAGGGTGTTTGGTGAACTCTTGCAGAAGCTGGGAGACAGTCCGTCTTTGAACCAGCAGCCGCCACAGAAGCAGCAACTGCCTTTCCATTTAGCAGACATACTGGACCCGCAAGAATCGGGAGAGTATGCACAGAAGCAAGATGGACCAGGCGAATACGACTCTGAGATATCATCCATATTTGAAACAGCGGTCCAGGAGACTCGCGGGAAAGAGCTCCTGTTACAGCAGCAACAGACAGGACTCTTTGGCGTGGATGGGAAGTCCTTGTCGAAGTCAGAGAGCCCGAAACCCCTCTCGGAGGCCGAGGGTCGACGGCTTCTCAAGATCCAGGACCGCCTCCGCAGATTCAAGTACAGTGACGTTGATATTTCCGAAAATAATACTGGCGATAAAATGCCCATGGAGACAGCTATAAAGGTGGTAGTCCAGCGCGAGGTTGCTAGGATCGAATCCGCGCTTCTCGCCGCGATAGACAGTGGCATGGGAGACGCTGGCATTTGGGACGTTTGCGAGAAGCAGATCTTCTCGATGCCGGCGTACCTAGAAAGCAGCAGCAACATGGAGGGAGACGGAGAGGAAGATTACAAACTGAAGAGCCATCTCACCCCAGAGCAGGAGGTGACGATGTCTCAACTTTCAACGACACCGGCGGAAGAAGCAGAAGAGAAATACCAGGAAGAAAAAGAAAAAGAAGAAACTGCATCCACGCCCGACCTAGAAATCCCCCCATTCATTCCCACCAAACCCGTCATAAATGCCCTCTACCCAAAGACACTATTCATCGCCTTCCGTCTCCTCTCCTCCCACTTCCCATCATCCCCCCTGATAGAGCGATTCCGTGCCACGATCCGCTTACAAGGTCGGATGTCCTCCATCGTTGGATCCTCAACAAGCCTCTACAACGAACTCATCAACTTGTCCTGGCGCGACTGCGGCAACCTGCACAATGTCATTTCGCTTCTCCACAAAATGGAAGTCACGGGCGTCGAAGCGGACGAGAAGACCATGGCTCTGCTGCATGGGATTGTTCGGCAGCGCGAGTCAGATGTCAGGGCCTTTCGGAGACAGAGGAAGGACCCGGAAGCTCTTGGTGCTCAACGAACGCTTTGGTGGGATACCGGTCCGAATCGGAGGTCATTTCGCGAATTAGCTGGGCCTGGGGGGTGGATAGAGAGGTTGGAGGAGAGGATGCGGAGGAAGAAGCTGCGGGTCATGGTTGAGAGTGTGAGTCGGTCTGATCCCACTGTATAACTGTAGCTTCATTTTATGTATTGTATATATACCAAACATACTCTAGACTTCCAAAACGAATGAAAATAAAAATAGAAGGGAAATGGAACAAAAATAGACAATCAGAATAATATACTCTACATAGTACATACTATCCACGCCCAAAAGAGGACCTGGAAAAACCCGAACCAACAGAAACCAACCAAATCAAATCAGATCTTCACCCCCCAGCTCCTCCCCAACCCAACAACAGTCGTCCCCAAAAACCCCAAACACTGCTTAACTCCATCAACCTTATCACCAATAGCCTTGGAATCCTCAATCCGCCTCTCGACGAAGGCCCGCGTGGCCGAAAAATCCGGCGACGAATCCTGCGTCATGACCGTCTCGGCGGAAGCGTAGACAGCCGATACGGCCAGGCGCTTCGTATACCAAGATGCATCGACGGAGTTGTCACCAGCCAACGTGAGGATATCAGAGGAAAGGGCGTGGAGCTCTGATAGAGAGAGGGGGATGTTGGAGGGGATGGACATGAGAGCCAGTGCCTGTTTGTTTTCAGCATACTGAAACATAACAAGAGATAGAAGGAGGAAGAGAAGAATTGGAAATACTTACACCCTGCCACTGATCCTTAATCTTCTCATTCATTCTCAACCTCTCCAGAATAAGAATCTTAACCTTCTCGTCAACGGGTAATTCAGCAGCAGTAGCATTCTTAGTGTCCGTCTCAGAGGAAGAAGAAAACAATCCATCCTCAACCTTCCCCCTCAGCAAACCCCGACGACTCGCAAGCCAGAAGAGAACGAGGTCGAACTCGCCCCTGGGCAACAGCTGGACTGAGACATCTAGGAATCCCGAGTCGCGAGCGCCCAACGTCAGGGCCTGTAGCGTAAAGCCGTGCTCGGGGACATGTTCCAGGGCCGCAGATAGGATGGTTGTTTGCGAATTGGTGTACTCGTGTAGCGGGAGGGGCGGGTGATAGCGGGAATGGTACTGTCGGAGGGAGCATTGCTGGGGGTAGGTAGAGTGTTTTATGCATAGGTCCCGAGAGTGGAGGGATTGACGATGAAGGCTTCGAGTCTGGGGGGCTAGATGCCGATAGCTTGGTGGTGTTGTCGTTGTCGTCGTCGTCGGTTTGATTGATGATAATGTGTTCACGATCGTCTTGTTTGAGGAGCGTGTTGCCGCGATACGGCAACGGGAGAGGAATAATGGCTGGACCATGGTAGCAATTGGTATAGATGACTCTTCCGTTCTTGTTGATTCTCGTTGGAATCCGTGGAAAGAAGCTGGAGAGGATGAAGTCGAGTGTCTAAACATAGGTCTGGGCGGAGGACGGGAGCTTTTCCCCAGCGGAGCCGACGTTCCTCATCAGGATCTTACGACGCTGCAACTATAACATTTACGCTTCTAGTACGCTCTGCTTCTCATATCCATTGCGGCAAGAATTGCAATTTGTACCTGGCAAGCCGGACTACCGCAGGGAATAAAAACGACATATATCAACACATCTGGTCGAAAGAGACCTAGGCTTTTTTCTTTTTTTTTTTTAAAAAAAAAAAAAAGAAAACAAATATACCCAGATTCGACATCTTCGGAAAACCGTGCCTGGAGGACCCATGTTTTTTTCTTCATAAATAGGGGCAACAGAGATAATATGGAATCAAATAAAAAAGAAGGGAAGAAACAAAGAGTAACGCATCTTCTTTGGAGACCCTGGTAGTCCCCCCAGAAAAAGAATACGCGAGTTTTACATGATCTGATCCTGAGTAAGACCAGCTGGCGGCTCCGTAGCGTCCGTAGCATCTCCAGGTCCTGGGCCACCGTTCAGGTACTTGACAAAAGTAATCCCAAGAGGGCGGCCACCGTACTGGTAGCCAGTGAACTTGGCTGCAACGAGGAATTAAGTTAACAAAAAGCCACTCCCTGAAACAGAATGCGGGTGGGGCCGGGGAAGATACATACCAATTGCGGTTTCTGCGGTCTCCGCGTTGTCAAACTGGACAACACCGGTTCCACGAGAGCGACCGTTGGGCTCGTACTGAATCTCAGCACGCTCAACCTTGCCAATTGTAGAGAACAAATCTACAAGATCTTCATTGCAAGTCGACCATGGTAGCTGTCACATCGTATGTGTTAGCTTGACTATTTAGGAAAGAAAGTGAGGAGCTGCAATACGCACGTTGCGGACATAGATGATAGGGCTCTTTTCTCCACCCGAAGTTGCAAAGTCAGTGAACGGATTAGGTGGCACAGAAGGTACAGCAGCGGATGCGTCAAAGCCGCCTCCAGCATAGCCACTGTAGCCACCCCTGAAACCTCCGCCAAATCCACCACGACCACCAAATCCACCACGACCGCCGAAGCCGCCACGGCCACCGAAACCGCCATATCCACGGCCGAAGCCAGGACCAGCACCAGCAAAACGATCTTCACGAACTTCCAGCGGCCGACCCTGCCATTCGTAGCCATTGAACTGCTGGATGGCACTTCGAGCATCGTCTGGGGACTCAAAAGCGACAATACCAGAACCCTTGGGACGGCCACTGGGGTCAGTATGGACATCCGCGCGAATAATCGCGCCTTGGTGAGCTACACCCGTGTCAATTTCCATTGAGCCACGATAAGAGGTAAAGAAAGAAATGCAGCATTCGTGGATAAAATTCTCAGCCACAGTTGTACTTACCAGCTTGGCGGAAGAGATCCTTCAGGTCTTGCCAGCCAACGTTGTAAGGAAGCTAAATATAATAACCGCACTAGTCAACATATAATGTATGGTGAAGATTTGCCGGATACTGGCGCATGGACGGGATAACAAACGTTGGAGACGTAGAGTTGCCTGCTTCCACCAGCGAAGCCACCGCCGAAGCCACCCCGGCCAGCACCAAAGTCACCGCCGCGAGCGGGACCACCAGTGAAACGGGGTTCGGGTTCGCGATCCTTCATAACAAAACAGTCCTGTCAGCTCACTTCCGTTAAGTGGATCGCATGGTGGTTCAAAATACCTCCCGAACATAGACGAGTCGACCCATTAGGGTTTGGTTGCTCAACGTGTTGACTGCATTTTGTGCTTGTTCCCTCGTCGCGTATTCCACAATCCTATGCCCGCCAGTCAGCGACTATTGACCCAAGACTGGGGTGAAGAAAAGACGGAAACACTCACCCGCATCCCTACAGTATCCAGACGGCCAGGCCCAGCCCGTCAACCCAACAATCCAAGCAAGAAAAAAGAAAAAGGAAGAAAAAAGCCAGGAGAAGGAGGAGGAAGAAATAAACCAGTCACACTACACATTGGCGCCCACCTTCGACATTCCATTCGGAAGAAGCAAGACGTCGGCGAAGATAACATCTCCAGCTGTTTTTGTTAAAAAACGGCAAACGAGCATTCCCCCCTCCAAGGTTAGCCTTAACTCCATCCAGATCAAGCGAACGCAACTTCCAGCACGATATGACCCTGCTCACCCTGTCTCATAAAATCTTTTAGATGATGCCACTTGACATCGTAGGAGAGATTCCCAACATAGACGCGACGGTCCTGTTGGGAAGTTTCGCGCACGGCTTGCATCATCTGTTCCTTGGCGACGGCGCGGTCTTCGAACGACCTTCCCGGTGCGTATGAGCTGCGACCACCGTAACCAGACCCTGAATGACCTCCCGATGGACCTGCTGCCCCACTCATAGGAGATCGGGATCTGCGTTCGCTGCGGCGATAGTCGTCACGGCTGCGAGAGCGGCTGCGGGGGGAATAGGAGCGACGGCTACGTCGAGGGCTGCGAGAGCGACGACGCGGAGAACGAGACCTCTCGCGCTGTACGAGGTAAGTAAAGGTCAAGGGACGCATGCACAATGGGAAGGAAGTAACGTGAGATTGGGGAAGGTTAGGAGAAGAAGAACCAAGGAAATATATAAAAAAGAAAAAAAGAAAATGGGAACAAGGGTCTCAATGCATCTGAGGAACAAAGCATCTGCACCAGCCTAGACAGCCGGGTGGAAGAAGGATGACGTGATATGGGAGCCAATAGAGACCTGTGCATCGCAGCAAACAAACAGTTGTGAGAGCAAGGAGGGATGACAGAAACAATTAAAGTAGGAATTCTATCTGCAGGAACATGAAGGAAGAAGTCCGCAAAGGTAGGCTTATCTGATTGTGGAACCAAGCCATGCGAGAGTGTCGGTCCCTTCACGAGTGATGGCGCCGGGGGTCCCCAACTCTGGATTGGGAATGGCTTGATTGATAAACAGATTGAGGAGCGGCTGTGTGATGCGCCAGAGAGAGAGCAGGAGGCGTATTGGAGAGCCGGGGAAGGAGAAAAGGAAAGGAAGAGAAAAGGAGAAGGGATACTTACTTGATAAGGGCGATAGACGTCAGCTATAGTGAAGGCTGGAGTGAGCAGGCTGAGACCACTAGAAGCAAGAGAGCAGGAGATGGGATGGAAGGGAGAGAGGGAGAGGACGAGGAAGCGAGATGGAAAGAGAGATGGAAGGATGAGATAGGCAGCGTTTGGCGGGAGAGGGAGAGGATGGGGGAGGGGACAGAAGGACCCTGGAGCGAGAGGGGGCCGTGATGTGACGGGCGCCAGGAGGGGAGAGCATGTCCGCCATGCAACCGCAGCGGAAACGGCAGCAGGCAGCTCCGGCCATTGGACAGCGCCCATACACGCAGCGAATTGCATATTTTTTTATAAAAGAAAAACAAACTTTCTTCCGGTTTTTTTTATAGCGGATGGTAAACCACAGAGCGAATAGGAAAGGCCTGTTGAGACGTACCCATGCTGGTTGACGGAGAAGAACCACCGGCAATGCAATATATGCAGTCTAGTTCCGGTCGAGAAGGAGGGGGAACCTTGGGAGACGGCAAAGAGGATGTACGAGGCGAGAATGAAAGCTGCGAGGCTGCGCGAGACAGAAGAAGGGAGGGGGAAGCCCTGAGACCGACAGGAGAGGACAGGGCAGGATAGTAAGATATCTCGCAGGATCTCTGGCGGTGACCTGCGCAGAGCCCAACTCAACGAGACGCGTGCACCCAGAGACGCGACCGCAGCATGCAGGGATTCTCACAGCAGATGAGTCTGGGAGGGGGTCGCAGACTGGTCGCTGTTCAGCAGGGAGACAGAGGGGGGAGAGAGGAAATTTTCAGAAAGAAAGGGACAAAAAAGAAAGGAAGAGATAAGAGGCAAAGAGATCAGTTGGCGAGCACGCAGACAACCGAACAGAACAGCAACAATGAAGAGCAAAGGAAGGGAGAAGAGAATAATATTGCGACGCCTGTTCTGGAAGTCCCTGCGCTGTCCAGACTGTAATAACATTAAATACGCCAATCAGCCACCGCCCCAGCCTCGCCAGCCGCACCCGCCCATCCGTGGCAAATACACGCCTACAGGATTTCTACCAACTCTGCCTCCTCGCCTACGCTTGCATCGTATTCACACAAAAGCTTCAATTGAATTCTGTTTCGAAACGCTTGGCAGCTGATCCGAAGATCTTTAACGCCGTATAGTAGCGACCGAGGACAACTGGTCTCCAAGACCAATAAACCACTGCTGTTCGCAACAAGCCAAAAATAAACCAGCAATTGACGGCCGCATAGGGTGTCGTGGTATAACGAGCAAGAGCAATGAAACCAATAAAGAAAACACATACGAATCACTCACCGGCAGAACCAGTCTGCCTTTCCTATCCCATATAGATTCAAAATCCAAATAGTATCCATCCAAGTGTTCCGAGATACTCATGCCGGAACGTTAGGCGGATAGTGCCCAGGGATCCGTAGTTCGAGCGTAGAAGGCGTATCCTTGCGGGCCGCCATGGAGGGCTGCGACTCCTCGTCCGCTAGAGACGTTTCCCCGTCTTTCTGCGCTCGTCCAGCGGGCGTTACAGGGTGATCTTCACCAGTGAACGGAGTCTGCCCTCTTCCAGAGCTTGCAGTCTGCTGGCTACCAGTCCTCTTAAGACTGACAGGAGCGGCCATAAGCTCGTGGTCCTCATCAACAGATGTCGGCATGGTATGGTTAGTGTTCTCGGTGTTATTTGTCGTAGGCACAGTTGACGCGCTTCCTCGTCTGGTCGCCCGGGAAGCAACCAACTGGCTGGGATGATGCTCAGAAGTCTGAGCAATGATGCTAGGAGGGTTCGAGGGAATACTTCCCTCCGCATGACTGCCCTCGTGAGCGTCAGGTTGGGTCGTTGACGTGGCGTCCTGTTGCTGCTGCCGAGAATAGATTGCCGTTTCACCGATTGAATCGTCGTAGTAACTGTCCGGCCTCCTGGAAGGACTCCTACCAGTTTGGCCCTCAATGTCAGTTCGATCGGACGCAGTATGGAGATGGCGATCAAGCAGCGGATCCACTACTGCCGCCAAATCTCTATCTGCAGAACTTTCTCCGCTAGACGGCAATAATGTCTGATTGAGGTGTCGGTCAACCTGTATGTCGCTGGGGAACCGACCACCTGGTTGGGGGCGCCCTTCGGCTGCTGGCGGATCATGGGGGAGTATGGCCGTGTTGGCCGAGTATGGCGTCCTATCAGCTTCGTCTTCTTCCATAACCGGATCATTGCTAGCGGTTGACTTGGCGCTCGTTCCGCTGGCGCTTCTGAAATGCCGTCTGACAAAGGCGTTTCGTGTTTCACCACTTCTTGCCATCAGGTTCTCAATGTCTTCGTACCATGCCATCATTGTCTCATGAGACTCCGCACGGAAGACCCAGGAGTGGCCGCGATGCATGGTCCCCGTCTGTCGACCTTTGAGCATAAACTTATGAGAGGTCGAGTCTGGCTGCGAGTGAGACCCTAATTTTTGGTCTGGCAGATATAGTGACATAACAGGTGCCTGCCAATCCGCCCGATCCGTCGACTTGAATTCATGCAGATGGGTTGGCGAAAGGACGTACCTAGAAAGCAAGATTAGCTGCGGGAATGAATGTGAGGCAGAATGGGGCCAGCAAGAATACATACCACCCAGGGGTATAGCTCTTTAAGTACTTGCTCTTGCGTTCTAGCATTCCAGATCGAACCTCTACAGTGGCAGGGTGATCCTTCCCCGGATAGGTGATGTTCTCAAAATCTCGAAGAGGGATCGCGGGGTCGACCAGCTCGTCAGTTTCAGCGAGAAACGAGTTCCATTCGTGATCTTTGGGCATTGATAGGGGCCCAGCACGGAGCTTCTCTACAGTGTCGTATGCTACATCGGCTTCTCTCTTGAGAATGTTGGCATACGCGTCGTAGGCCTTTTGGATCTCACCGACAACGATTGCCTCGAGTTCACGCCCAGAGCTTTCCAAGTTCAAGAAGGCCTGAGAATCTTCTCTTAGCGTCTGGACAGTTGGGTATCAGTGGACGAAAGAGACTTACTCGGTGCAAATAATTTTCTTCCTCTATTTGCTTTTCAACCTGTCTGTCAACCGCCAATCGGATTATAAAGGGGTCTCCTTTCCCCGATGCAGCCGAATGATCAAGATCAATGAGACCAAGAGCTTCCTGGAGGTTTCGGACTGTCTTGCGGGTGCCTTCGATTTCCTTGTCCACTGAGTTCTTGAAGTCTCCTGCCAGGCTCTTGATCTCTTTCGTCTTCTTATGTAGGTCACTCCGGAGACCGGTCAACTGCGCAACCACTTCACTTTCCACATCCTTGGCTTTGTTAGCTTCAGCGAGTCCTTGGCGATGAAATTCACGTAGAATTTCAGTAGCATCCGCGATTCCTCCGTTTTGTAGGAAAGTTGGGGGAATTGCCGTGTTATTGATGATATTCGAGGCGGATAATAATAATTTAGATCGTGTCTCATATGACTTCTGGAGGTCCTTGAAGAAGATAATGAGGTCCTTCAAAATCTTGCGCCAGGCTGCGATCTGTCAGTAAAACATACGTCTATAGCAAGGAGCAAAAGAGGAAGCCAAAACGAACCTTGAAATCTCTCCGCCAAGACTTCCGTTGGGTTGCCATGTGTAGGAATGGGTACGTAGAAGGCGCTATTGAAATTGTCCGCAACGTACTTCTCTCTGTCACCCAAATGGAGGCTTCTCACGCTGCCCGCACGGAGACTTCGCCTGCTTGCGCTCCGTCGCAAGCTGGATTTCCTGCCGAGGGAGGACTCCTTTCTCGAGATACCGGTACGCGAGTATGCCGAGACCTGGGAATCAGAGCGCTGCACACCTGCCTTTGATGGGCCTGCAACCACAGAGCCATGCTGGCTAGCGGTATCTAGTTCTTCGTGGAACCGCGTGGGGTAGGCACTTTGAGGGGGTCCCACAAGGCCGCCATGTGCGACATTGTATCCATCGGTGCTGCTGGCTATATACGAATTTGGTCTAGATGTAGATCTTGTGGTACTGTGGCTTCTTCCCAGCTGGGACGTATCATTTGGGGGGGATATGGCTCTGTACGCTTCATGCATCGGCGTTGGCGGGCGGACAGTCGTTGTCATGGCTGGCTAGTCGGGAACGCGCACCCCGTATGTAACAGAGGGTAGTAGGTTGTCGGCTTCAATGCAGGGCGAACCACGGCAAATAACAAAAAATAATGGGGGAGGATTTTAATGTCCAGCGAGATCACTGACAGTCCAGAGTGAAAAATAAGCGGTCGCTGGAAGCCTGCACCGGGCTATTGGCGGTGGTACTCTTCGCGGTACCAGCACGGTACGTACTCCTTGTAACAATGCTCGTTCGCGGGCTGTACAGAGTACACAGACGGCGTCGGGCTCACTGCTGAGCCATAGTCTACCAAGAATGTATGGATAGACCGCGGTGAGGAAAAAAAAACAGAGGAGCAAGGTGGATTGAACACGAAAAGATGGACGACCGGCGAGAGGGGGTTGGGGGGAAGAAAAGAGCCCGATCTAGAAGGGGATGCTACAGCAACTAAGAGATAGATGACGTCTTCCACCAGGGCTCAGAAATGCGAAATGACGGCCATGTTCTTTCCCTTGCCGTCGCCGAGATTCACGGGCGAAACACTTTATTTGAAAATTTAAAAAGGGCCATCTTAACTTTACGATCTCATGCCTCCGCAGCTGTCTACGTCATATGGATCACCAATGTCTGCGACGTTGAGCTGAACGCAGTGAACTCGTACCATCATCCCATAATATCTACTTGGCCATGCCAAGTCAATAAAGTACTGTGGCTTGTGCATTCCTGTATATCTACCTGGGCCTGATAGCCATCATGGCCATCCTTCCATTCTCCTCAACGCAACCACTTTCCATACTCGATACTTTGAAGCGCGGGGGATTCCCTTACTTATTATTGTCTCACACCATCGGGAACCCACGGGAGTACTCTGTAGATTTCGTGGAGTTTCCATTGCCACGACATGGTTCGGCTCAAGGGCAAGAATGAGTGGCTCCGTTGGTAATCACTGAATCAGCCGTATCCCGTAACTAGTTAGGCCTTCGGTACCAGCCACTGACATAAATGGTTAGTTAGTTAGTTAGTTAATGCACTGTCTTATATAATGCTGCACAGAGTACGGTATCGTGGTATTATGCACAGCATATAATTTTATGGGCCTTGGGAGGCGAATTATTACGGCAAATGTGTACCTCCCAGTAAGACGCCTCCTTTCCTGGATCAGTCCTTACTTCTGGTTTCAGCCCTGTAACAAGGCAATGCTGCGCAGCCATGATTTGTGGATTGTTCACTTCAATTCAATTGCAGTCGGGGAGGACGGAGTTAGAGTTCCCGCTCGCCCCGGCGCCCATCCAAGGGTTGCGATAACCTACCTATGTAACCTAGGTACTATCGTGATTATTAAAAAGCCTGCGACGGGATTGGCCAATTACCAGGTAACCTCGCCATCCATCATGGATGTCTTTGCCCACGCAGAATACAATAGTTAACTTGGCAGAGCAATCGGATCGTCATAGCTCAAGTCCCATGTGTTGTAATTCTGATTCTAAACTTTCGCAAAAACTACCACATGTTCGCATCATGCTGGCCTTCGCCACTGTCGGCGCACTCACACTTGTCCTGGCACTTGGAACGCCCGTTCTAAGTATCACGTCTTTCCAGATTGAAAATTGTATGGAGGTTTCAGGCATGCTAGTTCAACGTGTCGGTATCTAGTGATATTTTACAAAACAAAGAACCGGGAGGCTGTGGTTTGACTAATATTGAGGGTGGAAAAAGCCATCTCACGACGCAGGGGGAGCGGTTATGGGAACTTCAATGCCGTAAGCCTCCTTGATTCTGTCTCGCCGTCTCTCAGCATATCCAGGAGCGTAAATGCCTGATTTTAGACACAAGAGGTTAGCACAGGGTCCAGAAGTTAACATCTCGCAGGGGAAGCATACCTCTTCCCTCACCAAGTTCCGCGATCGTTTCCTCGGCTGGCCGTCGGTAGGACTTTCTCAATTGCTCTCTGCGTTCAAATTCATCCACGTTCACATTATTCTTCTTGTAACCAAACAATGTTCCGCCGGTGTACTCGAAGAAACCCGTGAGCGTGGCCAGCGTAGCCCCGTAACCGAGCAGAGCGGGGAATGTCCTTGCTGTTGAACTATCAGAATGGGCCTCTAGAATTTATGTAATCTGTAGCCAGCGACAGACCTCGAAGTCCCAGAATTGCACCCGAAAAGAAGCCTCCTAGAGCGACGTTCCAATGATCTTCCTTCTCACGCAAATTGGCGGACGCAGTCTTCACGAATTCATAAGTACCGCCCATAGCCGCTGGATATAAACGTCAATCACTGCGCTGTTTATGATAGAACTGTAAAATGGGAACAAACCGAATATGCCGATGGTGCCTCCAGTTCTCACGAACACACCCCATGGTCCCACGTTCCTCCTAGTAAGAGTATTCTGGACGGACGATGCAAACAGCCCGACGCCACCTGTAAGGAGGGTGGTCTTCAGTGCCCTCCCAATTGCATCTTGAGGGTGATAATGGGTCTCCTCAACCTGAGAGGCCATGGTGGTTGTCACTGCAAAACGAGTGGTGCTTTAACTGCTTGCAGAGGACGTTCGTCGTCAGTCGAACACAGTTCGGGGACGAGCCACTTTCTGCCGATATTTACCGCCTTTACTGCAACGGACGTGACGCCAGATGTCAAGCTGTTTGCTCAAAGAATCAGTACACAAAGCAGGCGTTGGCTCTTTTTTAACTTGATATATTATTCAATCACCTTTTCTTTTAACTCTGCCTATTTATTAACCGTTCTGTGGGGTTTTCAGAGTCTTGTTGGCGTCGAGAGTTCTATATTTGCCGCCTGCTCGTCCGTCGCGCTGATTCCCCGCTGCCTGATTTCTGGATGTCTGCTATATTCTTCATGGTTGAGGTGGATGAATTTTAGATAGCAACTTTTGACCACATAAACCAACCTGTTGGTCCTTACTTCAGTGTCTACAGAATTTTAGTCTACTTAGCCCATCTTGCAGATTGGCGGCAGATGGGAGAGCTTAGCCCTCATGTCTTCTCCGCAAAGGCCAGGTCAGTCCCTAGTGTCTTCGTTATTAGCGTAATCATTCTCTATCCCAGATGTTGCGCTCTCTGCTGACAGACTCGGATTTGAAAAGGCAAGGCTGCCCCCCGGCTTCTGCAAGATATCCAGGGCTACGATCCAGCCCATCCTCCTGGAACTGGCCGCAATCTGCTTTCAGAAGTTCCTCCTGTGTTCTCTGAAGATTACAACGGTCCGCTAAATTTTATATCGCCAGATGCGTGTCGCCATCACTATGTTACCAAGAAAGATCAAAGCGCTCTATCCCAACTGGAGCAAGGATGGAGTACAGGGGCCTCCTCTAAGGTATCAGCTATGTGCACCAAATGCCGGTACCATCTACAGGTAGTTCTCAGCTACGCAAACGGGCCCAACCAGCATGATGGGAATCTACCAGGTCACATACATCATTTGATATACAAGTCAGGGAGACCATCAGGTGGCGAGGATGAAGTGACATCGAAAGGACAGAAGGCAGAAACGTTCCATTACCAATGCTCATTCCTTACATGCTCCGCGACGGTATCTATACGAGTTGTTTCGCCCATCCTCAACCCTGATTTTGTGCATATCTTAACCGATCCAGACCGACTGCGAGAGCGAGCAGATGAAGCCATTGCAGCGCATCCAGAGCGGTTGGAAGGCGTTGCTCGGCCGCAGCCTATAAACGTGCTGGAGAATTTACGCACATATGTCAGTAACGCGCTTTATAATAGCCCAAGAAGCAAAGCGATATCTGCTGTCAACAAGAGATTTATGGTATGTTTTGGCATTGCAGGAGAGCCTTGTAAAGACTTGTTACAGTTCCTAGAGTTCAGAGCGAAGGTTTGTGTGCCCTCGTGTTTCGTAACATAAAACTATATATGTCTGATGCACGCTTCACTAGGATGATGGATTCTGGCAACCTCCTCAACCTTCGATGTCAACAGAATCGCCATACACTGATAACCTAAAGATCTTCCTTGATGATGTCGTCTATGAACTGTCGGCACTCATGGAACAACGGCCACTATCAGAAAAAAGGAGTATTCAGTTTCAGTTCTTATCTCGTCCAGCCTTTGAAGATATCGCCCGCGTCCTTGAAGCGTTGAATTGTAAGATTCCAGCGTTCTTCCTCGGAGTATCTGCTAATAAAGCGTAGATCCGATTGCACCGCGGTCAAAAGATTTTGAAATGCCACCTGCACCGTTTGTTTTTCCTTTCGCTTCATTGATTTAATGGGAAACAACGCCTGACATGATATCTAGGTATTACGAGGACTTAGGTGTCGTTGAAGACATGTCGTCGTCTTTGATTGTTGAAGCGTTTAATCGACAAGTATCTGTGGATCCTGCAAGAACATCGCTATATCTGAAGTGTCTAAAGTCCATTGGTAACCTGAGAGGTGGCGAGGATGAAGAAATCATAGATCGAGCTGTCCAAGTCGCATATGCGGAGGGGAAATATACCCACGAGGACGTCGTCGACGCATACAGATCCTTTGGATTGAATCAAGAAGACCGCATCCTTACCGACGACGATATAATTGGGAAATTTTACGAATCTCTTAGTACTGCCAGTTCTCTGGAGGAAACAGAGATTCGAAGACAACTATGGAGAATAGGTGATAGTAGACGGAGCGAGCACATTAAATCTGTCGCGGAAGAAAGTGAGTAACAGGAACCATCATATTCTTACGCCCTTCTCTTTCCCTCTCTTATTGAGTTAAAGGGTTTCGCGGATGCTAAGTCATGAAAATAGGGGTATCAACGGCCGAACAAGCCCAAGTTTTTCTCGGTGTCGATGAGAAAACGTCGGACGATTTTATCATCACTATGTACACAGCAAAGGTATTGCGTCCACCCTCCTTTTTCTCAGGTCCAACATTCCAGCTTGTCCTATTGCAGAACTGACGCTGCTATACATATAGATCAACGATAATCCATCCAGCAAAAGCCTTGCGCGACGTGCGGTTGAGCTTATAGCAAAGGCCCGAAAGTCAGATAGCCTCAGCCATTTTCTCAAAACTGGCGAGACAGGCATTGGAGAAATGGATGTCGGCGATGCCTACCGTCTTCTTCAAATACCTGATCGGACTGTAGATGATGCAGCAATCGTCGCCGCATATACGATTTGCGTGGATGAAGCCCCAGGAAGACGCGAAACATACGATCGTGCCCTAAGCATAATTGCGAAAGAGATGAATAGTCCAATGCTAATGTCCATGGTGGGCATTACCTCGCAACCCGATCGTGATCTGTCAGAATGGCCCGTTGGTTTGCAGAATATAGGCAATACTTGCTACCTTAACAGCTTATTGCAGTTCTATTTCTCGGTTCGCCCTTTTCGGGACATGGTTCTGGATTTTGAGAGTTTCAAAATGGACATGGATGATGAGAGCCTTGCCAATAAGAAGGTGGGTTCTCGTAAGGTCCTGAAAAACGAGGTCGAACGTTCGCAGAAATGTAGGTGCTGTTTCTCCTCACCATTTGACTCTGGGGACTAATATCTTTTCCCTTTTTTAGTTCTCAGGGAGTTGCGGGTTTTGTTTCAGGACATGATTCTTTCGCCCCGGGCTTCTGTCACACCGGGACAAGAGCTAGCACGGCTGACCCTCATCAGCCCGACAAATGAAGCAGCGATTCGCCGCAGGTCGACTATATCGGCAAATAGGCAGGGCAGCCTTGGTGAAATAAATGGAGTGCCTATTATGGGACCCCTTGGCCCCCCGCAAACTGTTGCCGACGAAGAAACTAGGCAGGAAAATGATGAATCTGTGGCTTCTGCTGCGGAAAATCCGCATTATGCAAAAGGCACAGCTCCTAGTGATGTGGATAGCGAAGCTACCCTTGTATCCGAAGGCGCCAGGGCCGATCTGCCGACTGCGCAATCTAATGACAAGGAGAATGAACCTCCTCCTCTCCCTCCTCGGGATGAGGTCATGGCTGAGCAGTCGAGTGATATGGCCACTGATTCTGGCCCTGGTACAGCTTCTGAGCCTCCTACGTATTCTAATCCAATAGGCCCCCCTAATCGACCACCGCCGGTGCCTCCACGACCCTCTGAGCAAGCTGACTACCAAAAGCAATTGCTAGAGGAGGTTGAGATCGGTGCACAGCAAGATGTGACGGAGGTGATTAACAATGTTCTATTTCAAAGTCAATGCGCTGTCAAGCCTATGGGCTTTGAATCGGATGGCGAGCAGATCGATCCAATAAAAGAGTGAGCTATGCCCATATGTATTCAACCGGAAGCACGCCTAACCATTCCTTTTCGCAGTCTATTTTACGGGAAGACGAAGTCTTACATATCTGCAAAAGGAGCTGTACGGTCAAAAGAAGAAAGGTGGTCTGACATAAAAGTCGACGTTGCGACGGGTTCCCGCGACATCTATTCGGCTATAGACGGTGCATTCGACGTTCAGAAAATTAATGTCGATAACTCCGTGGCAGAACAGTTTGGTTCTATCAGCAAGCTTCCTCCAATTCTTCAGATTCAAATACAACGCGTCCAGTTCGATCCAGTGAAGAAGAGGTCTTTCAAATCGACTCATCATCTGGAACTTTTAGAAACTATTTATCTTGACCGGTACATGGACACGCAGTATCCAGACATCATGAACCGACGGCGACAGTGCTGGGAGTGGAAGGATGCCCTAAAGTTGCTTGAAGCTCGCCGAGCGGAATTACTACGTCAAAATGTACTCCTCCAATATACGGTCTTCCCTCTGCAGATAGGGTGATAATATTGTCCATCCACTGACTTTGATATAGGAAAATGATGGCCTTGATATGGCGGCGATTTTTGATAGCGCGAAGGATGTGCTTAAGAGCCTTGACGCGATGAAGGGGGACCCCGAGATTGCGAAAGATGCCATCTATTTTGATCCGCAAGCGTTGAGCGAACTTGAAGAGCTTTCGAGGGCATCAAGAACGGAACTGTCTTGTATGATTGTGTTGATCGTCCTCGTTATTATATATATAGCTTCTTGCGGAATCTGCCAGACTTCCAGGCGTGCTAACTCATCCTTCAGATGTCGAGCAGAGTATTAGGGATACACGAACGATGATATCTACTCAGTTTTCTGACTACCGACATCTTCCATATCGTCTGTATGCGGTCTTCGTACACCACGGGACTGTCGAGTTCGGTCATTACTACATCTATATCTACGATTTCAAGAAGGATGTGTGGCGCAAATACAACGATAGCGAGGTCAGCGAGGTGCAAGACCCGGACGAGATCTTTAGACACTATGATGATCTGAACCCTCCAACGCCGTATTTCTTGGTCTACGTCAACAATTCAATCAAGAATCGTCTGGTTGACCCAGTCTGCCGCGAGCCTTCACCGCTAGTGAACGAGACGGGCCATTCGGCAGGAACAAGTACCTTTACGGAAGGAGTCCCAATTGCAGGGGAGATGGATGTTGATCCGCCCTCGTATGAGGAGGTGTGGACAGGCATTGGGCCACCAGGTACGGGAGCCGATTTCACCCTGGCCAAAGAGAAAGAAGTCACTTATGCAAAAGGCAACGATGCAGCTGCAAAGTGGCACGCGAACAGTGGAGCTGACCAGCATGACGTGCAATGGTAGACCCGGAGAAAATGCGGTCAACGTCGTCGACAACGGTGAACCCTCTGAAGCGCAAGGGTTTGGATGATATGATGGGACAGTAGCCATGGTCTTTCTTGCCTTGCATTCTGGGATGCTTGCAGGGATTACGGGCAGAGTATCCTCTGTGTCTCTGGGAATTTGTCTCTCGGATCTTCTCTGTAAAGGGAGGACCTGTGTGAATGGCCTTTCTAGTTATTTTTGGTGTTTCCTGGTATGGCATCCCCTGTACATACTTAAACCACCGCCCCTTCCCTGCTCATGGCCGAGAGGTATACTGCATGTACCAATCTGGTTGTATCTAGAAGAACCCTATCGGAGCTCAAAAGCTCATACATTCAAGGTAACTAGCCAATAATACCCGAGAGATCATCTCAGGATCGTCAAGCACAGGCAGAGAGAGGCCCCGGTGGTACATAGTCATGGAATTTGCACAGCAGTCTGAAAAGTGAATTTGGCTCAAGTCTGCGCTCTCTCAGCTTAGGTCTTGCTAGGGTTGTAGGTTTGCAATCTCATTCATAATTGTTAACGGAAAATATCTGTTTGAGAGAGTTTAGGATTAAATAAGCTCCAAGAATGCCTACTGTATGAGATACCATTTGGGTTTAGTTTCTGGTGAATAGGAAACTGTTACATGAAGCCTCCCATCATGGTCATATTGAGACTGCCAAGTTGCTAGTGGAGAGAGATGCAGGGGTCAGTTTGGCAGACCACTTGGGCCGTACACCACTACATCTAGCCTCAGGGGCTGGAGTGGAAGTGATTCAGCTACCCGTTGACCATGGTGCAGACATCATGGCAGTGAACAATGCTGGATGGACACCATTGGATTAGGCTATAGAACATAGCCATATTAAGGTAGTCAAGACACTCCTTGACAGTAGTGCGGGCATCACAATGGCAAATAATGATGGACAGACACCATTGGGTTTTAGCCTTAGAAAAGAGTCATGCTGGTATGGTCAAGCTGCTCGAGCAACGGGTGAACGCAGTGGGCGACAAGAAGCGCATGCAAGGAGTATTGAGCCCGCATGGCAATGGGCTCAGAGAGTGGACATTTTCATGGGCTCAACCAGAAGGAATAGTGTTCTCTTCACTGTTCTCATCATCTCCTGTATTGGAGGAGTCCTGGGAGTTGTTGCTTTTCATTGTGCTGGTTTTTTGTTCAGTTACTTCACAGCTCCAGCTGGGACTGAACAGATTGTCATAGCCCAGATAGTTGTCTTTCAATGGGAATCTCATTGAACAAGTTGTTTAAGTTCTTATATGTTCATCTGTGTATGCTCTGGCCAGTACCCCATTTCCTCCCACACACTAACCAGGTACTCGACACAGTTCTCTTTCACTGGAGGCAATATCTGCAGGCAGGTGGTAAAAATGAGAAGAACGAGGGAGAGAAGGAAACTGTGGCATTTTTATACGGTGCCTGATCAGTCCATTTTCAGCATCAATGTCATAGTACTCCGTATTCCTTGTTTATATCCTAAAATCGGATAGCCGATCGGATAGGGGTAGCCATCGGTTGTATAAGGTTTCCTACCGGGGAGATCATCATGTTTACCATGGATGCCTCGATTCTGCAGTGGATTGCAGGGATATATAAGCAGTAGCGTGTCCAGAAACAGCATAGAAGCAGTATAAATAGCAGATAGCAGTCGACTTGGGCGTGAACAGATGAAAAGAATTGAAGATTGGTTCGGATACGGGGTATTATAGAAGTGGAGAAGCATTACTCCAGCACATCCGACGCCAACTGCCGGTGGTGCAAGTTGCAAATACGCTGCTTTGCAAGTATTACTAAGGGCTTTTGCAGCCTGGAGATCCCCATATTTAATAACAAATCAATAACAATTTGCAAATTGCAAAATGCAGATAACCTAGGTAAGCAAAATGGCTGTGGGTACGGCATCTTTCCCGGCTTCTGTCCGGCTCCAACTGCGGGGATTTCCCGGGGCTGCTTCTGCTTCTCTGCCAACGCGCGCCTGGCCTCGCGACGATGCTCGATCCTTTTTATATTCCCCTGCGGTGGGGACGGGACTGTGAACTTCCCTGGCCTTGCTTCATTTCTGTCTTTTCTCGTCTCTTGCCGTTGGATGGTCTCTCTGTCCAGTGAGTGTCTGTTGCTCTAGATCTACATCTACAGATCTATCGACACATCAGCCATGTCTTCACAACTAGCAACATGTCTGCGCCTGGCCAGGCAGTTCCACTCGAATCCTACTAAGCATCAGCTTTTCCTCGCCCGTGCCTTCTCCAGCAGTGTTCGACGGCCGGCGATCAACAAGATCTTCCCGTCTGCCGCGGACGCAATCAAGGATATGAAGTCGAATTCGACCCTCCTGGCCGGCGGTTTCGGTCTCTCCGGCGTTCCAGACACCCTGATTAACGCCGTGCATGCGAATCCTTCCATCACGGGACTGACAGCTGTCAGTAACAATGCCGGTGTCGATGGAGCGGGACTTGGCCTCCTCCTGCAGTCCAAACAGATCCGTAAGATGATCGCCAGCTACGTTGGAGAGAACAAGACTTTTGAACGCATGTACCTGGGTGGCGAGATAGAGCTGGAGTTGACCCCCCAGGGCACACTGGCTGAGAGATGCCGTGCTGGTGGCGCTGGCATCCCGGCCTTCTACACCCCTGCCGCCTTTGGGACGGTTGTCCAGACGGGCGAGCTCCCGCTGAGGCATAACCGCGATGGCACAGTGGCGTTGTATGGCCAACCTCGCGATGTCAAGGTCTTTGATGGCAAGAGCTACGTGATGGAGGAGTCGATCAAAGGTGACTACGCCTTCGTCAAGGCCTGGAAAGCAGACAGGCTGGGTAACTGTCAGTTCCGCTTCGCCGCAGCAAACTTCAACGGAGCCATGGGCCGCAACGCCAAGATGACAATTGTTGAGGCCGAGAATATTGTCGAGGTCGGTGAGATCGAGCCATCCGCCATCCACCTTCCGGGTATCTATGTCAAGCGTGTCGTCCAAAGCACGGCCGAGAAGAAGATTGAAAAGTACACCTTCGCCAAGGAGGAAGGGGACGAAACCGCCGCTGCTTTGGGCAAGGGGGAGACTGCTAACAAGCGGGAGCGTATCGTCCGGCGCGCAGCCAAGGAGTTCAAGAACGGCATGTACGCTAACTTGGGCATTGGGATGCCTATGTTGGCTCCCAATTTTGTCGATCCCTCTGTCGAAGTCACACTTCAGTCGGAGAACGGCATCCTGGGTCTGGGCCCTTATCCGAAGAAGGGACAGGAAGATCCCGATCTGATCAATGCCGGGAAGGAGACAGTCACCCTTCTTCCTGGAGCTTCTTGCTTCGGAAGCGACGAGTCGTTTGGAATGATCCGTGCCGGACGCATTGACTTGACCATCCTGGGAGCCATGCAGGTTAGTGCCAAGGGCGATCTGGCAAATTGTGAGTAGTCCCTCTTCTCCGTCTGTAATACGGTCCTGGGATCCAGCTAATCCGTTGTCTTTATAGGGATGCTTCCCGGTAAGATCAAGGGTTTTGGAGGTGCCATGGATCTCGTCTCCAACTCATCCACGACGAAGGTTGTTGTGACCATGGAGCATACCGACAAGAAAGGAAACCCTAAGATCGTCAAGCAGTGCGAGTTCCCCTTGACCGGAAAGGCTTGTGTCAGCCGTATCATTACAGATCTCTGCGTCTTCGACGTAGATTTCGTTGACGGGTTGAAGCTGATTGAATTGGCCGACGGTGTCACAGTGGATGAGGTGCGGGCTAAGACTGGGGCTCCATTCAAGGTTGCCGATGATGTGAAGCCCATGCTGTGATGCCTACCATGATTTTCTGCCATTTTTTAAGTGCACTGGTGCATTGATTTGTTCCTTTACTCTCCCCCCCTTTCTGATATAGAATGTCTCTTGAATACAATAAATGCAATGATAAACCAGCCAAACCAGGGATCAATACAACATAGTACATTATACATACACATATAGAATAAGTCCCGATCACTTTTCCCTATATAACTGCAAGAAACTCCGAGTCATTTTTACCCCCATTCAACCATATCAGCAAAGAAAACCCCCCAGCCAAAACAAGATCTATTCGAACCGAAACAACCCCGACAACCTCTTCTTGGCTCTCCCTAACCAATTCCGTCCCGGCGCCTCCTCGAATTCCCGAACAAGATTATCGTAATAATTGGGATCACTGGCGGGGAATCGCAACTTCGGCGACAAGGGATATCGTTTTGCGTAGCGGTCGTCCAGTAACGAGGATAATGCGTTGACGGATGATTCGGATATAGGAGCAGCAGCTTGCGGTTTGTTGGGCTGTTGTTGTGGTTGCTGGGCCTTTGAGATCTCTGAAATACGGGATTCGAGGAAGTATCGGACAGAGACTGATGCAGGACGAACGGGATCAGAGGGCCAGCGGCTAAGGAGATCCGTTAGTCTGGCTTGTAGGGATTGCGGACGGAGAGTCTTGGATTGATTGAAGGAGACTACATGTTAGCGTTGCCCTCTCTGGTAGCATTGTGGAGTGAAGTGGTTTTACAGGAGGCTTGGACATGGTGGAAGTCGAATAGGACAAGGACTCGTCCAGCAGATGCGAGGGATGGGATGCTCTTGTTCTTTGTCGATGATGATATTGATCCTCGAAGATGAAGAGTCGGTGCCATCACCACGTGTATGCCTGAGGCACTCAGGACCGTCAGCCACCGCTCGTCATCTTCCGTTCCGTCTCCATCCATGGCCAGGCAGCGCCTCCATTTCTTTGCTCTCTTTACTTCCTTTGCTTTTCCCCTTCCTTAACCCATCTTTCCCTCGTTTACTCGTTTCTTCCTACGTCTCATCGCCCCAGAGCTTCCTTCTGTACTGTCTCTCTGAAGATATTCCGCTCGGCTCCGCCATGAGCTCCCAGCGTTATCAGCGGGTACGCTTTCCCTTTCAGCTGATTAATGATGAATTCATTCGAACATGCCTCATGATACATGCCTTCCTATTGTAGTCTCTGAGATTCACATTGGAAGTTTATACAGCCATGATGTTTGAACTCACTAACGCCGAGCACTTCAGGTTGATACCCATGATGACAGTGATGGAGAGCCTGATCATTCACGACTAAATGCCGCCATTCCATCGTCCCCGCCCCCGTCATTCCATTCGCGCTCGTCTTCGCCTTCATCAAGACGACTGCTACATGATGAGCCATCGCGTAATAACGAGGCCGATACAGCTCTTACCGACGCATTTGGCGCCGAGGACGAATCTGACGCAGATGAGGAACCCGACGACAGGCAGCGCTTAATGAGGGCGAACCCGGAATCGCGGACATCTACACATAATATCAACGAAGCGGCTTCCTCGTCTGATGCGAGGACAGAAACGCAGAGTGAATCGCATGGCTTGGGGACGCGGGGGAGGAGCGGGACGGTCCTACCTACCTTCAGTGGCTCGACGGCGCCGTCTGGTCGTGTAATAAACTCGACCAACGATGGAGTCTTTGCTAACCTGGCTGCTAAACCAGAACGGGGAGAGAAGACTGAGGACCTGCCTCCTGTATGTTTTTTGTCACCAGATATCTCCCTCTTTGATTCTATCGCTGACATGGATATCCAGTCCTATGAGGAGGCCGCTGCAGATGCTACACCCCCATACTGGGAGACGACTATTTTGGCTCCGGGTATATCATCCGACGAAGTTTACGTTGATGGGCTACCAGTTGGGTCTATTTTCTCATTTGTGTGGAATGCGATGATCTCAATGTCCTTCCAGCTGGTTGGCTTTCTCCTTACATACCTCTTACACACTACGCATGCTGCCAAGAACGGAAGCAGAGCCGGCCTTGGCCTCACGCTGGTTCAGTACGGTTTCTACATGAAAGGTAGTAGTGAGACGAGAGGGCCAGAAGATGGAGGCTCCGATCCCTACATGTCAACCCCACCGGACCCTAATTCGCATAATTTCGACCCGAACTCCGTTTCAGATAATTCTGCAGCCGGCACTGCGACTGAGGGAAGTAGCGGGCTACCGTCGATTAGCACAGGCGAGTGGATTTCGTATGTCCTGATGGTAGTGGGGTGGTTTATTCTTATTCGCGCAGTCAGCGACTTTCTGCGCGCACGGCGTCATGAACAACTTGTTTTGCAGAGTCCTGATCGGGGACTCCCAGTCCCTGTTGTCGCTGAGGGCGAGAGGTCGGAGACGGTTGTCTGAGACCCGCGAGCAACACAAAATAAGAAAAGGGGGGAAATCCATAATGGACATGCGATGAGGGCCATACGGTTGGGACCCGGGAGCCTGGAGTTCTCTTTATTCTTATTATTGACCATGACCTGGCAGCTGTCCATTTTTGGTGGTTCTTTCAGTCACTCCTTTTGTTCTCTTTTTGTCTTCTTATTGCCAGCAGCTCTATTGATACACGGCACTTACATCTATTGTGAAGATACCAATTAATTCCGGGTTCGGCATCGTCGGGGAGACGTCGCATCATGTATTTCATTGTGCCCCGGTTCTGTTTCTGATTATTCTTGGAATTGGAATATACATATGCATAAATAGTACACCGAGTTATACGAGAGATCGATCTTCCGGGTCTTGGCCCTGCTGTGTAGCCTCTCGCGGTTCCTGGACGGTTGCCACTCAGCAGCTGAACAATGTCCTGAGTGCGATGCAGGCAGTCCCATTCTGCCTCTTGTCTTGCCTGTTTCTGGTCAATCCTTACTCTCTTCCTCTCCTTCATCGAAGAGGCGTTCATTCCACAGGGAGAGGCGCAATGGAGTGGCGACCAGAATGACCGTTGCCTGCTGTCTCTCGGGCTGTTGGCAGGTAACCAGACGGATAATAACAGCGGTCCCTTGCAGGATATTTCTTGTTTCCCCCACATTCGCCTTCTTTCTTTACAGTCAGTTCTTCCTGTCCTGCCATTTGTGAACCTGGATGCGATCGAGGGATTAGGCCTGACGCTGTCTTACGAATGCCCAGAGTGCTCCCTCTCATCCGTGCGGGCCCCTCCTTTGCTCCCGTCGCCTTCACTTCTCGTGGATAATACTCGTTTACACAGCCGGTTGATTTCATGGTATTTTCTCGAACATCATGCGGCTTTCCCGAGGACTTTCGTTCAAAATGGCCAAAGACGATGCCGACGGTGACGCGTCCGAAGGCGCTTCTCACCCCCGTCACCGGCATCGTCATCGTCACCATCTTTCCGCACCGTCGAACCAACCCCCGGTGGCAGGGCAGCCGGTGGAAGCGCGATCGTTGTCCGGTATTACTGCCATAGCGTCGAATCCGCCCTCGTACCCTCGAAATCCGACGCAGCAAAAGCTGGACCCCTTGGTCTTGTATATTATGAGAGTACCGGGGAGTAAGGGTACGTGGGTTCGCTCTTTTTTTTCTCCCTCTGTTCGATTTACATGCTGACTGCATATGAAAAAAGATGTCTTTCTCACTCCTCTCAAACCGCCTACCAAGTCGAGTGTCTCCGCCGAAGCGATCAATTCATCGTTGTACTACCTGCATGCGGCGAGCCCGGACGACTACGCATTACTACAGACATCGCAGTTGGAGCAGGATGATGGAGGGGAGGGATTGCGAGACCAGGATTCTTGGAGTGATGGGCAAGGGAACAGGACTCCTCCGTCGCCAGCTTTGCTTGGGCGACTGAACCAGTTTCGGCGCAAGCCTGTACCTTCCGCGAGACCGAACGCGAGTCCAGTCACTCCCATTTCTCCGCTGCCTCCTGCTTCCTACCAGTGGGAACAGAGCGCATTTTCGTCTTCACAGTTTCGAAAAGTGTCTGTAGAAAGCACAAGCACTGAACAGGCAAGTCCGAATGACCAGCTCACATCCGACAATGGCCTATATACGCCTCCCAAAGTTCAATTTGCGGATACGACAAGGAATCCTTCACCAAGACGACCCGTACCACCCGTTCCCCCAGATGGGCTCTACCTTAGCCATTCAAACAATTCCATGGACGGGAGACCAAATCGATGGAGTGCGCTGCCAGGGTATCTAGACACAAATACATGGATCTCGAAGGAAAATCATGGCGCTCTGCATGCTAGTCAGGACGGTTTAGATTCAAGGCGACCACAAGTCAGGCCTCATTCATCCCACGGCATACCACCGTACTCGGATGCAGGGAGCCAGGCGAAAACCCAGAGACAATTCCCTGCTCAAGGGGTCTCCAACAGCGGACCTGATGATATCGGGCTCCGAATCACTCTAGTACGGCGTGATCCTTCGTACGGAAGTCAGTGGAATGTTGCGACTATGACATCCTACAAGGCTGACAGCGGCCCGATTGAAATTGAGATTTTAACGCCGGGATATACCAAATTCGCGACCCATAACGACCCTTTTTCCTTGTTAGGGCCCGGAGTTAATCTTCCCCCGCATATTCGTGATGCTATTTCCTCTTCCAGGCCTCCCCAGACCGACTTCGATGCTAAAAAACCCAGGGACCGCTTCAGACCTAGAAAGTTTCACCGAGAAGTCCGTCCCTCTCGGCCGCAACAGCATCAACATCAGTCATCGCAGTCGCAGGACACCTCGAAGTACTCTATGGATGCACTCTCCAAGCTCGACGGCGTGATAGCCAGTGCTTCTTCCAAGCTGAAAAGCGGATATTACAGCTTCCTGTCCCCTTGGAACGGACTATGCACGTTCTCAGTAAGTCTCAACGGGCAGAGTCTAAAGTGTAAACACATGATTCCAGGAGCTACATCCGCGAACGGCCCCGATACACCGACGGTCACGGTTGCAGAGCTACGTTTCAACACTCCCTTCCAGATAACAACAGCAGCGATAAATCTGTCTGGATTCAGAGACAGAGACAGAGACGGCAGTGACAGTCCGACAACATCAAAACGGCACACCCTTGCTGCTCTCCTCAATCCCAACCGACCTCGCGCACGTTCTGGCGCTAGTCTGAATTCCAACGCAAGCGGCTATGATTCAGACAATAACAACCGCACCCAGACGGGCTCAATGGACCGCGATGAGGATCGTCTCGATTTCTCTCTTGCACGAGAAAACGCTGGCGGGGGTATGAAAGGCGACGAAGCAAAATTGGGTAAACTCATCATCGAAGACGAAGGGATCAAAATGTTAGATTTGGTCGTCGCTGCTTCGATGGCTGTTTGGTGGAGGACATATTATCGATGATTTCTTTTTTTTTTCTTCCTCCCCCTCTCCTTTCCCTTACAATCTGTATCTATTTGTATACATTTCTTCTCCTTTTTTGCATTTGTTGATCATGGTTCTTGGTTTTTTGTTTTTTTTTTTTTTTTTTTTTTTGCACAGCTAATTATTTTTGTTTCTTTTCTCGGTTGAGATGATGCTTACGAGTTATGTCTGTACGAATAGGATGTTAAATGCTAGATGAAATGTGATGCGATGTATATCTCAAAGATACCAGACCATATTCTTCCTATTATTATGACGTATACAACTCACCTCCTCAGATCTATCAGAGAATATCAAACGGAAATCAAAAAGGAGGGGGCAAAGAAGACATATCTAGATATTATCAGAAATTTATACTATACCTACGTGAGTGAAAATCAACAAGTCTTCAGGTTATAATATAATCATACTTCCCCTAAAAAAACAAACCAAACGAATAATAATGCTGTACTGCCGATCAATAACAGAGGGCAATCCCCATATATAAACAGAATCATATCATTTCCAAAACAAAATAAAAAAATAAAAAAATAAAAAAAAAGATAACCAGTCCACATTTATATCATCCCCCCCTACCCTTTTTTTGTTCTTTTTCATTTATTTTATATTTATCCTCTTTCCTGCCTGTTCCTCCACCGTATATGAGAGATATACCATTTCGCAATGTCTAAAGACCTATTTGTTTATGTATGTATCTCTTCGATAATGCTCAAATTCAATGTATCACGTCCATTCCACGCTGTAGCGATGATTCGAGATCATTCATATGGCCGCCTGCGGCAATCGCTTCTTGTGGTTTAGGCTCCTCTCCCTTCCAGCCGCCCTGGCTGTGTTCGGGAATTGGGACATTGGTCTGCGCGATTTGTTGCTGCTGGGCGGCGGCGGCGGCCTGCGCCTGGGATTGCTGTCGGACCACAGCGCGGAAGTTCATTACTTCGTTATAAATCATCTTGCGCATTTCATGTATATCATCTACCACTTCGAAGCGGAAGTCGAATGTTGTTGGGCATGTCGGCTCGTCCGAGGCATCGTGCCAGATCTGCAGATAAGGATGCTCCAATGCATCCTCGACAGAAATTCGTGAGGATGGATCGAAAGCCAGCATGCGGTCCAGGAGATCCAGGGCGTCCGGGTTGGCGTTGGGGAACAGACGCTGGAAAGCGATCTTCGGCATGTAAGGAAGGTTGCGGACGTAGTCCTGGGCTCGAGGGGAGCCGATACGGCGCAGTGTTTCCTCATTCGGGGTTCCCAGGTAGTGTAAGATCTGGTTGAGCTGGTCGACGTAGTCGCGGCCCTTGAAAAAGGGTCTGCCTCCAAGTAGTTCCGCCAGAATGCACCCAACAGACCATACATCAACTAAGCAGATAGTCAGCGGAATCGCCACAAGAAATTGAGCACGGAGTAAGAAAGAGGATCTACATACTGGCTTTGGTATAATTCTGGAAGCTCAACATGATCTCTGGGGCACGGTACCATCTAGTTGCGACATATTCGGTCATATACCCTGCATTCTCCTCCGGGTCAATTGAAAAGCCACGTGCGAGACCAAAATCAGCGATTTTGAGCTCGCAATCAGCGTTCACAAGCAAGTTTCCTGGTTTCAAGTCTCGGTGCAAGACATTCGCTGAATGGATATACTTCAGCCCGCAAAGGATCTGATAAATAAAAGATTGGAAATGAGCGTCGGTCAGTGGCTGCCCGGAGCGAATGATAGCTGCTAGGTCACATTCCATCAATTCTGTACGACAATTGTCAGCAGCAGCAGCATAGCGTTAATGCATCAGAAAAAATCCCCACCTTCATACAGGTAAGTTTCATTGAAGTTATCGGGTCGTGGGATATCCATATCGTATAAACATGTAATCTGTAAGCTCTTTGTCAGCTCTGATCGCCTTACGGATACATAGTGGGGAGATATGAGCTCACATTGCGATGGCCCCGGAAATGCTGCAAGAGCTTTATTTCTCTCAGGGCGCGCTTGGCCAATATCTTCTTGCTAAATACATTTGTAACCTTTTTGATGGCAACGCCCTCACCCGTGTGTATGTTGGAAGCGGCACTGCATAGTAAACAAGTCGATATCATTGTCAACGAAGAGAAAATATTGATATGAGGCAGGATCGGAAAACGCAAGATGGAGAGAGGACACAGCATGCGACGGTTGACAGTCATAATTGACGACGTTGTTACCTACCAGACAATACCATATGCTCCTTGGCCTAGCTCCTTGCTAACATTGTAACGCTCATCCACGATGAATTCCTGATTGAAGACCTTGAAAACCTTGCGTCCTCGTAGATCTGTCATATTTGCAGTATTCGGGTTTGTATAAGACAAGGTTGAAGTAAACGAAGGGTCTCGGGCGATAGTTGAGTCGGGTTACTTCGTTTCTTGCTCGCTCGTTCGAGGCCTGGGGACGGAGGAGTGACTGAGGAAAGGGACGGTTGCAAGCAAAGAAACCGGGCTTTCAGCTGGACCCCTAGACGTAGCGATTGAAGCGAGGAAAGGGATAGGGGGCTAAATGGCGAACACTACTGAAGAAAGACAGACGAAACAAAGCCCCGCAGTTCCGAGGACTGCGACAACGGGTTGCCAGAACAAGCCGTCTTCTGTTTTCAGCGAAACAGACAAAGCGAGAAACGAAAGATGACACGGGCAGTGGAAATCCGCCGAATAGCAGCGCCTTTCGAAGAAAGAGAGGAAGAGAAGGGTGGGAGGGGAAGAAAGATGACAGAGTGCATGCAGCCTTACGGTGAGATGGATGGATTAGGTGCAACGATCCCGCAACGGACCTCGCCGTTTACTATCAAAGAACGTTGAAGCCAGCCTGAAACAGGACAAGCCTTTCTAAGTTTCTTCTTTATTTTTGTTCTTATTCCTACGATGGAGATAGAGCACTTCCGTTGTTGCAAGGGGCACGCAGACAAGTCCTACTGAGGCAGAGGCGCTTCTCATGTCGATAATCGAGTCTTAAATATAGTCTTAAATTTAAAATTAAATTTAAGGGCCGATTCCATTTCTAATCAAAGGTTCGCACGCTTCAGTAAGAAAAGGAATCTCTAGGGAGTCGTGTTTGGAGAATGAGTGGTAAATAATGACTACTCTAGCATTCAAAATCCTAACCGTCATAGATCGCCTGGGAAAGAATTGCATCATCTACTTCTCCCTCTAAATGGCTTCTGAATCTCCCATTCAAGTTCATAAATCTCGTCGCCGTGCTTTTTGTGGCCAAATTCCATCCTTGCACTACGCTGCGTAAGGGGAAGCCCGCATAAAAGAACAGAAGGAAACAGCATCGTTTCAAAGTGTGTTCACGAGTCTTCTCTCCTTCCTCAAAGCACGGAGCTTCACACGAGCTTCCTCAAGGGGAACCATGACGCCCTTGTTCTGAGTGGCTGGGTCGTCTCGATTGCGGATGTTGACAGAACGAGATTCCCTCTCTTGTGCACCGACGACTACAGAAAAGTGAGATATTAGTGTACTGTTGAACGATATGTAAACGGCAGTAATCAAAGGGAAATGTACCAAAGATAAAGTTGTACTGCGCCAATTGCCCAGTACGGATCTTTTTCTGCAGGGTGTTACCGCTAACATCAATGTCGACGTTGAGCTTATCATTCCTGAGGATCTTTTGCAGCTCGTAAACATAATCGTTCACAGCAGGCATGACAGGAACAATCAATATCTGGCGAGGACTTATCCAGAATGGCCACTTGCCACCAAAGTGTTCGATTAAGATACCCAAAAATCGTTCGAAGCTGCCAATGATAGCGCGGTGGATGACAACTGGGCGCGCACGACCAGGTGCTAGCTCATTGGGCTTGGTTTCACCTTCTTTCTTGGCTTCGTCGGCTTGGGCCTTCTCATGAGTCATATATTCCAGTTTAAAATTAAGGGGTGCCTGGTAATCCAGTTGGATGGTGGCACACTGGAATTCTCTCTTCAGAGCATCGGCAATGGTAATATCGATTTTGGGTCCATAGAAGGCACCATCTCCCTCATCGATAGTCCAGTCATTGCCTTTGAACTTAGTCATGGCATTCTTCAACTGTTCCTCGGCGTAGTTCCAGGTCTCAAGTTCGCCGAGATACTTTTCCGGACGTGTAGAAAGCTTCAGCTTGAAGGTAAAGCCAAACAGGCCATAGATGGAGTCCAGGAAATCAAATAGACCCTCAATCTCAGAAGAAATCTTATGAAGCCGTTAGATCAAGCGTAAAAATGAGGCCGGCCATCTGTGTGGGAAGGGGACATACTTGCTCCTGTGTACAGAAGATGTGGGTATCATCCTGCTGGAATTTTCGGACACGCGTGAGACCGCTCAGAGCACCTGATGCTTCATTTCTATGCAACACGCCAAAGTCCGCAATTCGCAGGGGAAGTTCTCTATAACTTCTATCCCGGTGGCCGAAAAGAACAAAGTGACCAGGGCAGTTCATGGGTTTGAGAGCCCATTCCCTCTTTTCAACATCGAGCTTGAACATGTCGTCCTTGTAATGGGCCCAGTGACCCGAAGTCTTCCAAATGCTCACGTCATACATGTTCGGGGTTTGCACCTCCTGGTATCCGCGCTTTCGGTACTCCGATCTCAGAAGTTTTTGAAGAGCATTGAAGATCTTGGTTCCATTGGGAAGGAGGAAGGGGCACCCCGGAGAGACTTCGTCAAAGAAGAACAGATCTTGTTCCTTGCCTAGTCTCAGGTGGTTGCGTTTCTCTGCTTCCTCCAAGAATTTCAGGTGTTCCTGCATTTGTTTCTTGTCAGGGAATGCAACACCACGGATACGCTGCAAGGAGTCGTTGGTCTGGTCTCCAAGGAAATATGCCGAAGAGTTCTGCGCAAAGAAAGGTTTAGCTTGAAAAAGCGTTTCCATCCAAAAGAATACAGTTCACCCATTCGTACCTGCATAATCTTGAAGGTCTTGATCTTGCCAGTGCTCTGGATATGTGGGCCCCTACACAAATCAACGAGGGTACCGCAACGATACACTGTACTCTTTTCCCCCGTCACCAGCTTATCAATATAGTGCAGCTTATACTTGCTGTAAGAGAACATCTTTTTAAGATTCTCCTTCGTAACTTCCAATCGATCGAAGCTTTGCTTTTCCTTAAAAATACGGGATGCTTTGCTGTCAAGGGAAGACCAATCCGATTCCTTAACGACACGTCTGCTCAGATGTTAGTCCCCGGAAACAGTAGAATTTTCCCGTTTTCTCTTCATGCGACATACCCTTCCGGAATAGCCATATCGTAAAAGAATCCTTGCGGTGTTGGGGGACCATGAGAAAGAAGGCACCCATATTCACATTCGCAAGCTTCGCCTAGGCAGTGCGCGCTGGAGTGCCAGAAGACTTCCCTGCCTTCAGGGTTGTCGAATGGAACATAGGAGAGCGTGCAATCGCGCTCCAGGGGGCGAGTCAAATCCCAGAGTTCCTTCCCATCCACCTTTGCAATAACAACGTTTGCGCTAATATCCTTAGGCACATCCTTCAGAAGCGACGCGGGGGTGGTCTCCCAAGCTTTCGCGACGATGGTGGAAGGGCTGCCGCTTCCCAGGTCAAGAGTGACATCGATCTCTGGATGCGGTTTGTTCTTAACCTCCTCAAGATACTGCTGCCATAATTCCTCAAAGAACTTGTTTCGCTCAATAATAAAGTCAGGGAGTGAGTCGGTGTTCCCCGCAGGCTTATTGGACTTCGTTTTCGACGGAGCGTTAGCAGAATCAGCGGCCGGTTCGGCAGCCTGAGCCTCTACCGGTGGCCGAATTGGCAAATCCTTGGAACCTTCAGCAGCCATGACTAGATACCGTAATGTCTGGACGCAGCTCGAAGAGGGTGATCTGGAGGAGGGGTATGACTCCTTGTGGACCACAGATCCGAATAATTTCCAGACGACCACACAGGCGGTGAGTCACATCACGTGAGCTAAAACTTCTGGAGACTTTACCGCTTTCAGTTCGCACTGTCGAAAAACTTTGTGCAAGCCTCCCTTCGGACGACGAGTACCAAGATAATACCAACAGGATGTCTTTTCGTGGTGGAGGCCGTGGTCCGGCCACTGGTGCTAACCGTGGAGGCAACTTTTCACGTGGTGGTGAGTATGGCAATGCGGTTGAATTGCACGAGAAAAGCTACTAACGTTTTCTAACTCTCAGGCCGCGGGGGCTTCCAGCAGTCATTTGGTCCACCGGCACAGGTTCTAGGTAATTATTTTATCTTCCTGTATGCGGATGTGTAGCTTACAATATTATGACAGAGATGGGCACCTTCATGCATGCCTGTGAAGGCGAGATGGTCTGCGAATCGATCAACCCGAAGATTCCGTATTTCAATGCGCCCATCTACCTGGAGAACAAGGTATGAAAAACTGAGCTGCGATGGCCCTATTTTCGGTGTGGTAGAACATAACCAACTAATCACAACGTCTTTGGTAGACTCCTATCGGCAAGGTTGACGAGGTGCTGGGTCCGATTAACCAGGTCTATTTCACAATCAAGCCGCAGGAAGGCATTGTCGCCACCTCTTTCAAGCCTGGTGATAAGGTGTATATTGGAGGAGACAAGCTTCTACCACTAGAGAAGTACGCTATAACTCCGGCAACTTTTTTTAACAGACCTATGTCTAACTAGCAATCCAGGTTCCTTCCTAAGCCTAAGCCGCCACCAGGTATGATGCAGTGATTCCTTTTGTCGACTTTCCTTGTTTCCTAACTTCTATCTAGGTGCCGCAAAACCCAAGAGAGCAGGTGGAGCTGGCAGAGGCGCGCCGCGCGGTGGTAGAGGAGGTGCAAGAGGTGCCGCAAGGGGCGGCAGGGGCGGAGCACCAAGAGGACGGGGAGGCCCTAGGGGCGGTGGTCGTGGAGGTGGTTTTGGAGGTGGTTTTGGAGGTGGTTTCTCGCGGGGAGGCGGCCGAGGAGGCGGCCGTGGAGGTGGCCGTGGACGTTTTTAGACCATGTCTGTCTTTCCACACTGTCTTATTACGGCGTTTGGGGAAACGGGAACTCTTCCAGGAAATGATTTTTGATCGCAATATCTTGCCGATTATAAAAAAATATTTGCTGCTATATTCGGTGCTGAAGAACGTATCCAGCTGCGGATTTCATGTTCAATCTTTTGCTCTGTGCTGTAACCAAGGCGTGAGAGCTGGTAGATTCTCTTGCAGTGAGGTGAAGGAAATAGTGCGGCATCTTGTCTGGTAGCAATTCTGGGTCTGCATGGTTGGAACCACAGGCGCTTTGTTATAATAGGGACGCAGTACGCCATGCAGCGAACAGAGCACTCCCGCAGCGTACGCGTAGAAAATAGGCGAGACAAAAATAGAACAATGTGTGGCTAAGGCCTTGTCAGCACAGCCTTACTGGCCTCACCAGCCTCACATGTGATAAAATGACGTTTTAGGCGGCCAGCGACTCAGTTTTGCCCACTGAAGTTCGTAGCTGGTGCTGCCTTTTCCTCAACTTCACTCTCTCCACGCCTCTAGTACATAAACTTTCCCTCCCTGTTATTTAAACCAGTCGACCCTCCTATATTCTCTTCGTTGCGACTTGAGCATGTCCCGCAGGACTACGGCCATGTCGAATAACTCTCCAGACGCGGATGTTTCGCCTTCCAAAGATGGGGGTAAGTTTCCCGATTCCCAGCCTTCCTGCTGGGGGCAATGGATACTTAGGGTAAATTTTACAGCTCAGGAGAAGCAGAAAATGCTTCTTTCCTCGGAAACAGGTCATTTCAGTCTCATAAGGTGGGTCCGCGCCATACTGCTGCTATGAATCGAGCCATTGACTGACTGAATCTTCGTGTTACAGGGCTCTGCATCTCGCTGATCTAGTAACTGAGCTCAATGGTAAAGATTGCCCTTTTTGTTTTTCTGTGACTGTTGAACTTCTGCTGACTCCATTGACAGGACTGTGTGGAGGCAAGCTCTCACGGAAATTTTCTCTCAGGATACGTTTGGACTGTTGTTGCTGACTCTGCGAATAGTTCTATCTATCTTCGCATCTATGCGCTATTGTCTGGGAGACAAAAATGAACACCATGATCTCTGGACTGCACTTGCATGCATGCCTTTTGCGCTGTTTTTCGATTTCATGGATGGGCGGATTGCAAGGTGGAGGAGAAAATCTTCCCTGATGGGCCAAGAATTGGACTCGCTAGCAGACTTGGTACATTCATTTCTGTTGTTTTGATGCATCCAAGCATTACTAATATTCATTCTTACTGGTTAGATCTCTTTCGGTGTCGCTCCGGCTTCCGTTGCGTTCGCTATAGGAATCCGAACCCGTCTTGACCATCTGCTTTTATCCTTCTTTGTCCTTTGCGGCCTGACGCGGCTTGCCCGGTTTAATGTCACAGCAGCCGTTCTACCCAAGGACAAAACCGGGAAGTCAAAATATTTTGAGGGCACGCCGATCCCGACAACACTGTCAATTACTATGATAATGGCTTACTGGGTTTCCCAAGGCTGGATTCTGGAGAACCTACCGCTGGGACTTGCGGCGGAAGACACGCTCTTTGAATTCCACCCTGTGGTGCTTATTTTTGTTATACACGGTTGCCTGATGGTCAGCAAGACGATACACATCCCCAAGCCGTGAAGACTTGGCCGTCGATTGAGGAAATGGTCGACAAACTCGACAGGGCTATCTTTCTTTAGAAGGGCTCCCACAGAAAAAAAAAAGGCGAAGAGAAGGGATGGTGAACAAAAAATAATAACAAAAATAAATAGCAGGGCCAGGGGGTTGTGTATCTGGAGCCAATGCAATTGATTCATTGGGTGAACTATTATATAGATACGTTTTTTCTCTTGAATATTTTATTCTTGTAGGAATATGTGCTTGCCACTAGGGCAGTAGACTACTATGTTGTTTATATCATAATCCTCGCTCGCTCGCTCGCTCGTAAGATGTATTGCTTCGATTCGATGTTGGATTGTTTTCCACCTTCTTGTCCTCCATGCCTCAAGAATTGGCAGCTAACATCAATCATTGATTGTTCTATCATTTAGTATTGATGGACTATGCAGTATGACAAGCACTTGTTCCATAGATGTACAGAGGTAATCAAACAGATCTTCTAAGATGGGAAGTTTACGATATCGGGAAAATAGGATGATAGCGGTTTTATAATAACAATAATTCTGAATTCTGAATTCTGACGACCATGTATCCGTAGACAGCTCTATTCATACACAGCTCCAGAACTTGGAAATAATAATGTTAGCTGTAGTCCGCAGACAAGGACAACAGGGGAACCCGGAAATATGTATGATACGAGAAATCCAAGGTCAGCGGTGAAATGGGAATGATCTAGTTTGCTGGATGGTAAATAATTAGGATAAATAATAATAAATTTGGAGCGGTGTTGTTGTGAATTCGATTGCATGGTATGTATGCATGGACAGCATGCCAAGGGAATAGTAACAGCTATTTATAGTGCAGCTACAGGGGGTGCCATGTCAGTATTGATGACATGTTCGTTAGGGGATAATAGAGAGTTTTTTTGATACGAAATTAGGTAGCATCTGCGATAGATCATGATCATAGAGCACTTCTGTGCCGGGGATAATTTAGATAATTATTTAAGTACGCTGTTCCTAAGGACTTCACATCCGCAGCCAGCCGGACAGTATCCCGCCCCATTGGCGTGGAAATAGTATCCTGGTGCCTCGGACAGAGTTGAATATTGTTCATTGTTCATTGCTCATGGGAATTAAGGTCTAATAATAACAGCCCCTGCGTCTGGTAGCTTCATCCTGCCTTGGCCTTCCGGGTGTCAGCTGCTGCATTATGATGGTAGCAATGGAGCAGAAAACGTTCCAGTGTAGGTATGCCCTGCATAATAATTCCGTGGTTATGGCTAGGTGTGTTGCTCTACAAAGAATCAAAGAATCCATTTCCCACTGCTTAATCTTAGCGAAACTTTTGTTGTTATTGTCCATTATCATTGAGGATGGAAGCCTTTGGTTAATAATGTTAATAATGGACAATGGTAGCAATGGACCCCACAGTCTATTTGGGTAGTCTAATTTTGACGAAAAATAAGCTTAAACTACATCATCATAGTTCACGCCCAGTGTAGGAGAGTATGTATAGATAGCTCGCAGCCCATCCCTTAGAATTGCAGAGTACATACTAGTCTGGAGGAGAATCATATGAGGCGAACCGTGGTCGTGATGCTGCGACGCTGTACATACCGCGGATGTCCTAGTAAATAATTTCCGCAGTCCGTAACAACGTAAGTCCGTGAAAAGGGGGCAGGGCCGCACGCAATGTAGTTTGTGAGCATTTTGAGCACTTACAATTCCAGTGAAAAATGTGATATTACTCTGATGTTGCTATACAGCTGCAAAGCAAAATTTAGCTGATGTCCCTCCGTATTATCGTGTTCCTCGAGTATCGCGTTGTTGAGCACTCATAGACGAGAGTCTAGATAGTGTCGCGCATCTGTCACTTTTAACTTTGGTTCGCTGTACTCCGGAGATTGACTGCCACGCACATGTCAATAATGAGCAAGGCAGCTGGCTTCCAGTTGCCACACGGTCCGACTAAACGACACGGCCTTTTCTTGCACGTCAGCCGGCTATCCGCACGTTGTGCGTTGTGGACCTCCAATGCATTCCAGACATCTGATCGACTCGACTCGGATCGAGGCTCCTGCACGCCGTATTCGTAAGGATACTCCGAGTCCTTCATCTGCTTAGTATCTGTCTTATTTGGTTCAGAATAATAGCGATCGTACAGTTGTGCAGGCCAGGCAGAGACCTCCTTTTCGCTGTCTGACGGACGTGCGGCGGCAGAGCGGTGCACACGGGGCTGGCTCGACATTGCAGTTGCCTGTTGTGGCTAGGTTGATGTCCATCCTTCCAGTCACGGAACGCGGGGCGCTAGTGGGATCCGGGCCGGAAGAGGAAGCGATCTACAATGAGTTCCTGATTACATACGCAAGTCACCTGCTGAGATTGGACAGCGACCAGGCAAAAGACCGTGGACAGGTGCCCACCTTTCCTATCTTGGTAAGTACCTGCAGAGGTTCCTGAAGTAGCGGTTATTTGAGTCATTATTATTAGCCACGACAAACACAACAATAATAATAATCACTCTATTAATGAAGCAAAGTTCTTGGACCCCGGCATGGCGGTCGTTTCCTGCGAACGCACCCCATCTTTACGCCCACACACAGCCCTGCCCTGCCTTGCCCTCCCTAAGCCCTCTTCCCCTGCCAACTCTCCCCTCCCGTTGTTCCCCTTCTCCATCCCTCTCTCTGCCAAAACCACACTGCCAGACACTTCCCAACTCGAACGTCACTCCCTTGAAGACCATCACTATCTTTAGCCCACACCACAAACTCCTCGTCATCTACTCCACAAGGGAGACACTCCGACTACGCTCTCTACAATCCGTTTAACCTCCCAGTTTTCGAAAAGATACCCCCTATCCGTTTTTTTGCATCCGAATTCCCGTCACCACTCTCCTTCTCCCACCTCCCAGACCGCTGGATACTCATCTTCAGGGTGTTTTGGCCACTCGTTATTTCTCAGTTGAAATCGGTAGGTGTCCGAAAAGCTCGCCGTTCCGTCTTCTCTAGAGTCCTGGCCTCAACTTTATCCTCCGACATCGCCGTTTCTGCACCGTCCGTTCCCGCTGGTGTCCGCATAGAGATCTCCTCGACTGATAACATATGGAACAGGGCTTGGTTATCGACGTGTTCGCACTCTGGTCCATGTCTCCCCCTACCGCGACGCCGTCCGAAAACCGAGTCTGAAAGGGGTCCATTTGAACCACAGAGACCAGAAGGGTTACGCAGGTCGTCCCTTCTCTGTTAATGAAGCGCAGCCCCCTGCTGTCCCGAATAGGTGCTTGAAACAAACGTCTTTCGTTCGGACACAGCTTTTCCGATAACCATAATACCGTCGTTCTGCGACATGAAACCACATATGGGAGGGTCCGCTTTTGCGGTACTAGCTTTATGGCTAGCCTCAGACTCTGCAGTAGCCGGTCCGGACCCAGAACCAGTTGCGGTGGCTGCAGCCGCTGCAACCACAACTCTGGCTCTGCGGGCCATGGAATATAAGGGCTGCTATAATAGCTCAGATGGCTTGACTGACTATGGGCCTTACACATGGCAGAGTTCGGGATGGTGCCAAAAAGTCTGTGTCGAAAGGAATTTCAAGGTCTTAGGCCTGTGGAAAGGATCAGACTGTTTCTGCGGGGATGTCGTACCTCCAGATTCGGCATTGGTGGACGATAGCCAGTGCAACTCTGGGTGTTACGGGATTGACACACAAATGTGTATGTGTTAATACGTTAAGCCCCATTCATGTATTTGGCATATAGTCAACTGACCACGGCATATCCAGGTGGTGGGAAAACCGCGTACGGCGTCTTTCTCACTGGACTTGATCCTGACCCACCGACCTATTCGTCCACTGTCGCATCGTCTACCACTACCACTTCTACTACCACTTCTACTTCCACCTCTCAGTCTCCCACAAGCGCTGAAACCACCCACGCCGTCACGAAACCCGGCGGTGAAACTATTATAGTCACGGAACCCGTGACCTCGGTGCCTAACAAAAAGGGCGGTGGATCGAATACCGCTGCCATTGCAGCAGGTGTCGTTGTTGGGGTTGTTGGGCTTTGTGCAATAGTCGGAGCTCTCTTCTTTGTTTACCGCTACAAGAAACGCAAGGCTGTTGAAGAGGAATATCGCCGCAATGCAATGATGAACAACTATCCCAAGTCCGCACCGGATTTTGCAACGAACGACTCGAGGTTTGACCGGGAATTCTTGGCTCAAAGACGACAAAGTAATGGCAGTATCGACGATGATCAAGACTTCTCTCGCAGGATCTTGCAGGTAGGATATTGACTTGATTGCTATGCGATGAGAGTACTACAGAAACTAAGTCGCATATCCTAGGTAACAAACCCTGATCGGTAAAAGAACACCAAGGATCGATTAGCTTTCTTCCCTTTTCCCCCTTTTCGATTTCCCAAGTTCTTCACCAAGACTTAATACTGTTCGACCTTCGATGCCGATTACGATCGTTTGATGCAATATCTTGTATACCATTGCGTTATCAGCCACGATGGGTGCATGCTCTTTGCTTTTCGCATGGCCCATCTTTGAGAAAATCTCGGAGTTTATGAATGTTCGTTTTCCTGGTTTATTCTAGCGGCGCTACGATGTTTGAAGGGCAGACGGATCCTCTTACCATACCTTGTGGCTTCTACTCCAATCTATAATCGTGGGCCTATGTGGGAGGCTGAAATTCCAGTCAGCGCCGCTGGGCGCTGTGCTTACTATTAATTACCGTTCGATTAATCGAACTTTCTCAATGCCAGAAACAGAAAGTACTGCGTCGAGGTGATGGAGTCCATTTATCCTCGCGTCCTCATACCTCTCTCGTTGATATTATCTAGTGTTGATACTTGGGGAAAGCTTTTCAGAAAGGTTCGCAACTGGATTTGAACCTGAAGCTCTTCGGGATTATTACCCTGTGGCGATGTTGTATTTTGAACGGCGTTGTCTTGATTTATTTCCCACAAATTTTGCCAGATATCTTATTTCCTTTTTCTTGCCTTATGTGAGCAATCTAAAACCTATTTCAAACTTCTCTTGGAGCAATTTTCCCTTTTCCTCTCTTTCCTTTCCCCCTGTTTCTGTGCGACGGTGCTATGTACGATCCTACTACATTTTGATTATTTTGGCATTGGTAGCAAATGCCCATAGGCTATCCAATCTCACAGCTTTGATCTATTCTTCTTTCACTCTCGGGTTGGCCCAGGATTGGTCTGCATTGACGCAAAGTATAGAAGGTAGCCGAAGCAATGTCTTGCATACGGGCCCACTCGATGCATCAGATGGAAGAGTCCTGTCTTCCGCATGGATTCAAACCCAGACATTGTTTGGTACTGGTGCTGACAATCAGATAGTCTTTCAGCTGTTTCAGTCCCTTTTTGTTATGTCTTGTTTCCTTCCGATTATCTACTATGCCGGTCTAAGATGCCGGTGCCCAATGTCGAGAATGAGATTTGATAGATAGGTAGATAGAGTAGTTGATCGAAAAGAGCAAATTTATCCTCAAACCTGGCCGAAGTGCCCTGACCTGCATGCAGGGGTCTAGGCTCTGAAGGAGAGCAGAAAAACAAAAAGGAAAAAGTATTCAGAGAGCGTAATTGGTTTATATCGCCGACAGGGCGGTTGTCTGCATGATAAAGTAACTATGTAACTAAAAGATTTGTTTTGTAATGCGAGGACCAGCTCTGCTAGGCCAGGCGAGGGCGTCTAACTGGGCAGAACCCACGCGACCTCTTAACACAATCTGGAGATCAGCAAGAGACATCTACACTGCATATGTACAAAATAAGAAAGTAGGGTGCAGAATCGTGGCAAAATCACGTGACTCATGTGATAATGTGATCGGTGTTAGAATTCTGCCAGTTTAAACCGCCCCACGTTAGTTAAATAGTCCGCCCCTAGCTAGCGTTCCGAATGGACAAGCAAGCATATCCTCCAACAGAAAGCAGCAGACACACTGGGAAACATGATAGAAATGACGCCGTAAACGGCCTCGTTAGCGGTCATTTCCGGCATCGATTCCACAGGTACTCACATTCTGTCTGTTATTAATGCAAGAGTAGATAGAGAAGAAAAGAGTAAAATGATGAGGATGCTCTTTTCTTTTCTTCCAAGGAAAAGGAAGATCGATTCAATTCAATTCGACTGAAGAAAAGAAAAGCGAGATAGGCGCTCAAACAGTGTTTATCAAAGATGATCTCAGAACCGTCCATGTTGGTTGATGGATCCCCCCCTCTTTCAGGAAAACACTGCGAGATTTTGCATTGTGGAGCCGAAAAAACAATAACACTATACTTAGGTAGGTATAAAATCTGAGCAATAATACTAGGTTTCTACTCTACCATGGTTGATATTCAAAGTATACGGAACGGACCAAGATATAAAATAGAGCATGACTATGAAATAGTAGTATAGTACACCGTATTCGATCCGTACTACACGGAGCATATGCGATGCGATGACATATATTAAAACAATAAATAGACAGCTAGTTTATTGTTTTAATATTTACCCAGTCTGGACTCTACAGACTACTTTAGTATCAAGTTATTATCCACGGAGGTCTCCGTCGTGGCTGGGCCGAGCCTCAATAGTATGGCTCGTAAGCGAAGCCGGGAAATTGTCCCGAGCTCAATTAATGTGTACTATGGGCTTTGTAGAATTAATTAAGTCCAGTCAATTCAATTGTTACAGTCCATTATGGTCCAGGGTCTCTTTCTTTGTCTTGTTTTGTGTTTTCTTTCAATGTACCTTTGAACAGAGAGAAGAGAGAGAGAGAGAAATCAGACGTCTACAGTAACCAGTTCAAGGGTAGAAAAGTACCGATCGACAATAATCGGCCAGTCGGGAATTTGTCACTCGTCGCCTAGCTTATCCGAGATATGAAAAATTTTTTTTTCGTTGGGGATCTTTCTATCTCCATAGTTCCAAAGTCGGACGATTGAGGTTGTGTTTCTAACCGCACGGCTGGCCATGGCAGGGACCATTTTCTGGTCTTGTCTTGACTTCTTGACTTTCCACTTCCCGGCGGATCCGCAGTTTATTAATATACATATTTAATATTTAATATTATCGCCGGAGATGGAATTATTTCCGTTCTTTCTAATAGAGAGAACTTGATGAGATGAACTACGCAGGGATCATCATTTGGTTTGTCCTGAGCAGACTGAGATATGCTAGTTGACAGCCGTTTTAACTTATTACTCTATTCCACCTTCAATGATCTGAATTGAGTCGTAACGTGTAATCTCAAAAGAGTCAAAATAGCTGAATGAATCTACCTCTACTCTGAATCCCGAGGATCTCCCAGTTGACTTATTATTTCCTATATCTCTCCATTCTCAACAGAATCAGATACATCTCCACAGCCAACAACACGTTGCGTGCCCACTTCGCTTGGCTCCGAGCCTGACGAAGTCTTAAAAAATATTAAAAAGGGGAAAAGGAAATTAAACCCTTTGCAGTGACCGCAACGAGTCACGCCATAGATATCATCAGAAGGAAACAGTGGCTGTATGTCGGTTCCCGAGGTTGTGCCGGGACTCCGATGCCTCTGTATCAGCCTGGCCAGTGGCCACTAACTAACTAGCAGTTCCTGGGAAATCAGAAGCCGCATGGAAATGGATATTGGCGTGTTTCATTTCCTTTTTTTTTTTCTTCCCTTTCGAAATGCATAAAATGCGGCATTTACTCATCGACCGTGTCTGGGGAATCTGACGATCAGCGACCCACTGTAGAAAATATACTCTAGTATATCGCTGCCGTATATCTCCATCGTCATCGTACTGTACGGGAGGACTCCCGCTGCCCACCTTGGGAGTTAGGTACGGCGGGGAAAAAGCGATAGAAAAGTATTGGGCCTGGAGATGGAGGTTACCGCCAGACCCTCTCCACCCATGTCCCTGTGTCGGAAGAAAACACGAAGATCGCCAGAGAATATTTTTTCCCTTGTCTTTTCTCGGGGAGATCGGAAATATCAGACGCATTCATGGACAATTCTCTCGATGGAGAGTTGGGATGAGTGAAGACAGTCAGAGAAGACTCAAAAGAGATGACCTCACTTAACTTCTCAGATCCACTCGCATGGTTAGTTAGATAAACGGACACCTCATCACAGACCATCTAGAAAAGTATCTAGAATCAGAGAATGCATGTACACCATGTGGGCAGCATGAACACAGACAACTCAACCCGACTGACGTCCTGATTGACATTACTGCTGCAATCCTTGCCAGACCTGGAACCAGTCTCACTTGATCATAATGCAATAATAGTGTGCATGCATGTTCCGAATGGCACGCGGACTGTTTCAACCTAGAGCTGCCGGAGCGTTCGTCCAGTGAGGGCGGCTCACCCTGCAGTCCTAGTGCATGGTTGAACAAGTGGTCGACCCGCCGGCCGGCTAACCTGCAAAGGAGGCGAAATGCGTATTTTCGTGCTGTGGCGCCGAATGTGCGCCTCAATGGATCATATAGTCCAGAAGGCCGTTGAATCGGATCGTCCTGGGGCTTGATGGCCCTGGCAGGAAGCATAATTTGTCGATGCCTGCGCTGCATTTGCCGGCTCTCTTTGTACTGGACGATGAACTAGTGCCAGTGCTTTATTTTTCCCTCCGTAATTAACGAGGCGGTTATTGCTGCTGCTGTTGTTATTATTATTGCAGCTGTGGATTCTGATTATTCCGAGTCGAGATCCCTGTCCACTGTCGTGTTTCTGTTAGTACACGTGAGGTTCTGCCGTCCTAGACCGCCCTCGCTACCTATCTCACGGCACAGGCAGGCCTACCTAGTAATACGACCATACATGCGCCTATCCATTAGGTTATGAGCCCGTTTTAGCTCTACGATATTGAGCTTAAAAAAGCCTTTCAGATAGGCTAAATTGTGACCTCTCATTGGTCAAACCAGAAATCGAGCGCTTCTAAGCGACTCTGAACACCAGGACCGCCAACAATCGGCCCCTGAACCCCAGGATCCTTCGATCGATCCCATCCAAAATGGTGGTGCCTCGAACGCCCCCTACCACCGCTAGACGTCACCGTCGTCAGCCAGAATCCACAGATCCTTCATCAGATATAGGCTCCTCCGCCTCCTCAGTAATCTCTGAAGAAATGGACACCCCAACTGCCCCTAGAGCTCAAAGCTCTACTACAGCCAACACCATGGCATCCACACCAGACATCACAGCTCTGTTCCAGCAGATGCAGGAACAAATGCAGGAACAAATGCAGAAGCAGATGGACCAGTTCATGACTCGTTTTAATGCCCTTGAACACCATCAATCCCAATCCTCCACTCCTACAGTCCGGCATAACGCTACTCCCTACAATCATATTCAAAATAATACGGCTATTCCAGCCTCAAATACAGTACAAAAAGATCCTTTTGATCATGTACAAGCTCAAGTTAAAGCGCTCCTACCAGACCGATGCCGAATCACACTGTCTCATGATAATTACGACCTCTGGAGTTCAGCCATTCAAAGAGAAGCCAATGTCCTGAACGCTAGTACAGTCTTGCATCAGGATATACCTCCAGTAGGATACTCAGCTTATGATGCTGAAGTATGGCATTGCAAAGCCACTGTCATGAGAGCCCGAATGCTTCATGCTATGACTGCCCAAGCCATTGACAAATTGGGCAACACATATGACCTATCAGCCCATGGTTTATGGGACCGAACTGCTACCTTTTTCGGACGTTCTACTGGTGAAGAACGAATGCTTCTCATAAAAGAGCTCAAGGAGCTCTATATAAAAGACAATGACTACCTATCCTACCAATCTGCGTTTACTAGGATAGTAGACCGCCTTCATGCTATAAAAGAAGCATCATTTGACAACCTTATTCACGACCTATTTTTTATAGGCCTCCGCGAATGGAACAAAGCATTCATTAAGAGTAAACTTGATGAAGTATACTCAACTGGACAAGGCCCTGTCATCAATCTGGACCTACCTACCATTCAAGCTCAACTCTCTATCCGTATGGGCACCCAAGCCCGTGAATCCCGCTCCCAACACGGAGGACGACGAGAGAATCTATCCGGACGAAGCTATTCCAAACAAGCATCTAACCCCATTGCTAGCTCTTCCGCCTCAAGTTCCAACACTAAATATAAACCTCAGGACCAGGATTCACGCAAACCAAAGACCCGTTGTGATTGGTGTGGTCATTTCCACCCAATGCCTTGCCTCTACAAGAACCCTGAGAAAGCCTCTGAGCATTGGCGCCGAGCCAATAAAAATACTATTGAAGCTATTCGTGCTTTACACACTGCTAAAGAATCTTCCACTGCTTCATTCTCTGAAGCAGAAACCAATGAACTGGTACCATGGACTTCTTCAGCTGCAAAAACAGCCATTGCTAAATCAGCCCAATCTCTCCAAGCTTCATGGTATCTTGATAGCTGTGCTTCATTCCATGTTACACCCCATCAAGCTTTCTTCACGTCCTATAAAACATTGAGAAAGGAGGACCTTACTCCAGCGGATTATATTGAAGATGCTCAAGGGAAGATTTCCAAACCTCATGGTATTGGCACCGTCGTCATTGATATTGGAACCGGATCCTTGATCCTTAGGGATGTACGACATGTTCCATCCTTCAATTCCAACTTAATCTCCATGGGAATGCTTCTCAAACAAGGTTTTCGTATCGAATTCCCTTCCAGCTCTCAAGTAGCACAAATCACAACCTCTTCTGGTGCAGAATTTGAAGCCATTTTGAATACCAACAATGTATTCATCCTATCAGATTGCATTTCTCCCGACGAGAGCTCCTATGCCTTTGTCACCACCCGGTCTGGCAAAGAGGCCAACCGACCAGGGGACCCTCCCAGAAAGAAACCTACAACATCCCCAAAGACTAAGAGCTCCAAAACAGCTCTACCAATTATGACATGGCATCGCCGTCTATGCCATTTAAACCAGCAGGATCTTTTACGCCTTGCCGCAGATCCTACATCAGACATTGAAATCAAAGGTTCCAAAGAACTACCACTTTGTGAAACCTGCATCCAGGGCAAGCAAACTCGCCAATACAGCAAAACACCAAGATCCCGTATGACTGCACCACTAGCCCGAGTCCACATAGACCTTGCTGGTGGCGGCCGAACACTAGATATAGAGAAGCTAGATATGCCTCTACCTTCACGTACAGGAGCCAAATATGTGATGCTTATTACTGATGACGCTACACGTTACCGTTGGGTCCACTACCTAACTGAAAGATCTGCTGCAATTGATGCATTTCGGGGTTGGCTACAACAGATGAAGAATCACCATTTCCCTGCCCCAGCCTATATTGTCTCTGACAATGAATTCTGTTCAGCTGAATGGCAGAAAACCTACCGTCAGGAAGGCATTGAATGGCAACCAAGTTCTCCATATTCCCCTTGGCAAAACGGTGTCAGTGAGCGCAGCATACGCATACTCTTTGACCGTGCTCGGACATTAATGCTTGACGCTCCCCATATACCACAGCGATTTTGGGTTGATGCTTTAAAATATGCATCAGATATAACAAACCGCCTCCCAACATCCACAATCCTATTCAATTCACCTATCCCTGGGGGGGTCAATACCAACACAAAAATCAGCCCAAGCCCATATAAATCGCCTCTGGCTGCCTGGACCAACTCACCAACTAGTATCAACAAATACCGACGTTGGGGCTGCCCTGTCTGGGTTCATCGACATGGCTCAGATAAGCCTATAAACAAGTTCGATTCCCATTCTAAATGCTGCTTCATGATCGGCCAAATCAGTAGCCAACAATACAGAGTGTGGGACCCTAAAACAGACGCCATTTTTTCAACCAATGACACTATATTTGATGAAGAATATGAGGATCCCACAACTACACCTCCACAAGCTACTGTTCCTGAAGATCCAAGTACTCCTAATAAAGAAGATACAAACCAACCCGTTGAAGATGAAGACCAGGAAATATGGCTTTGACCCGCCAAAGGCATGTCCCTAGCCTATCTCACCGCTTCAACCACTCCTTCATCTGAAGATGACACGCCTACTTCCTATAAGCAGGCTATATCTCATCCTGATGCCACCAAGTGGCAAGCAGCCATGCAAAAAGAAGTCAACCAACTCAAAGAAAAAGGCTGCTGGCAACTTATCCGCCGCTCTGACCTACCACCAGGGACCAAGGTCATCCCTGGCCGGTGGGTATACAAAAAGAAAGAAATCCCTGGTACCCCTATTACAAGGGACTACCAAGCTAAAGCTCGCTGGGTGATCCGTGGAAATCTACTTGACAAGGACTTCATGGAATCATACGCCCCAGTGGTAGATGAAAATACCACTAGAACCCTTACAGCACTGGCCACTCTACTTGGCTGGCATACTCGAAAGGCAGATGCCATCCTTGCTTTCCTAAATGGAAAAATGCCCACAGATAAACGTGTCTTTATGACCCAAGTTCAGGGATTCAAAGAAGGCTCTGGAGACCTGGTTTGTGAACTCCGCCAGTCCCTCTATGGACTAATCCCATCTGCCCGTATCTGGTATGATACACTAAATGCTTTCTTACGACAAATTGGCTTCAAAAGCTCCGAATACGACTCTGGTCTCTGGATCCATACCACCCGGACCCAACTCTATGTGACTACCCATGTGGATGACTTCAAAGTCTATGCTAAGCATGAGAACGATGCCACTTGGTTTATGGAGTCTCTTTCTGCTAAATTTGACATAAAAGAAGTTGGAAACTCTACCAAATACCTTGGCATGGCCACCTCTCAATCCAAGACCACATATACTCTCTCCCAGGCCAATTATGCTGAAGACGTGGTTGCCTCTTTTGGCCAAGCACAAGCACACCCTGTTGGGATCCCCATGGATCCTAGTTTAATAATTGATGATGACCCAGACCCTACAGTGAACATCAAAGAATATCAACGTGGTGTAGGCTGCCTTACTTGGCTAGCCACCAAAACCCGACCTGATCTTAGCCGGACAGTTGGCGTACTATCCCAATATCACGCCAAACCTACCCAAAAGGCATGGCGTGCCCTTATACACGCTATACGCTACCTTAAAGGCTCCATTAACCGACAAATTACCTACCATAAGGCCACGGAACCCATTACATCTGACCTCCTCATGCCCAGATGTTATACTGATTCTGATTGGGGTGGTCAACTGACAGGCAATCGCCGGTCAGTATCTGGATATATATTTCTGCTTGCCGGGGCCCCAATTGCCTGGAAAAGCCGCAAGCAAACGTCCGTTGCACTTAGCTCCAACGAAGCTGAGTATATGGCTCTAAGTGAAGCCAGCCGAGATGCCCTTTGGCTCCGGAACCTCATCAACGAGCTCAACGTGCTCCCTACTGAATGCCCGCCAATTACTCTCTATATCGATAATCAAGGTGCACACGCCATGGCTGAAGCTGAGCTCACCACCAAGAGATCCAAACACATCGATATACGTTACCATTACGTTCGGGAGAAGATCCAAGACGGTATTGTTAAACTCCAGGCCTGCCCTACCAAAGAACAAGCAGCAGACGGCCTGACCAAACCTCTCCGAACTGAACAATTTGATCATTTCCTACAACTCACTGGCATAAGCTAAGCCGCGTATATCTCCCCCATTTTGGATATATTTTCTATTTTGATATACGGCATTCGATTGGCTAAAGCAGAACCTTCATTCCTCTGTTTATTTTTGCATATATTCACTCATTTGAAGGCCCGAATAGAGGCCGATTTCTGTATTTAGATTGATTCCATAGTTTGTAGGCTGCTCGTGCGTGGGGGGGTGTTAGTACACGTGAGGTTCTGCCGTCCTAGACCGCCCTCGCTACCTATCTCACGGCACAGGCAGGCCTACCTAGTAATACGACCATACATGCGCCTATCCATTAGTTTCGTGCCTCTCTGCACCTGTCAAGCGCTGCAGCGCGCTTGATGCGACGGGTAGACGATCGGCTGGAATCATATTATTATTATGATTCTCATCCTGGAGATGCAGTAGTTGCTACAGCAGAGCATTCGATGAAGTAATCCTGCTGCTGCCCACATTTTCCGTTTTCGTCGCTGTTCTTCATCCTCAAGTCCTGCTCTGGTGTTTTCCGTCCACCACGGCTCTTGGTTGATGCCTCCTTATTTCCTCCTCATCTTCGGCGTCTGAGAATCCTTCTCTCTGTCTGCCTTTCTGCTCTCTCCTCTCTAGCGAAGCTCAGTTGGTCTCAACGATTGAGGCATTATTTTCCCCAGGAAGACATCAGGCAATACTCCCCCGCCATTCCGATCTCTAAAATTATCTTCATTTCATTTTATTTGATCCGCAGCCCCCAGTTCGTCTCGTTCTCCTTCTAAGGCGCATTCATTCTCGTCCATGGCCAGAAGAAGAAGGCCAGTGTAGAGCGTTCTGTTGTTTTTATCTCCCCTCTCCTCCCCTCTCTCCAGCCTGTGGTCACCGCATCACGTCCTTCTCTCTCTCTCTTTCTGCTTTCCCCTCCTTTCTTTCTCTTTTCTCATAGTCATTCTCTTCTGTCCTTTATTCTCTTCTTGTTTTTCGTTACCGGTTTCTATCCATCGTAACTATGCGTCAATCCAGTGCCATTGCGGATGACATCCCAATCCCTCTGCCCGTCACCTACACCCCCGCAACGCACCGCATCAGCAAGGCTAAAAAAGGGAAACGTGTCCATGCTTGCCAGCATCCTGGCTGTAATAAAGTCCGTCCGTCCCGTCCTCTTACGCCCTGGTCTCATCCAATGATGCGGCTTTGCTGACCCTCTGCTCCTTTAAGGTTTTCACCAGAGCTGAACATCGGAGGTGCGTTCTTGGCTTTTCCCCTTGTTTTTCTGACCGAATCTCCATGGTCATACTTCCCAAGAACACCAGCTAAAACTCCCCAGGCGACATGAGGTTAACCATAATCCCGATGCTTGGTATCGATGCGGCTATCCCGGCTGTAAGAAGTCGTTTCGTAGACGTGATTTGTTTACACGCCATACGGAAAAGCAGTAAGTCGCATTCATCTTTCCTTCCTCGACTCTTGTTGTCTCTTTTTGTTCCCCACCATGGCTGCTAATCAAGGTATTTCCTTCGGATCTTCAGTGAATCCGAGTCTCAGATGGAGAAGAATAATGCTGGTCAATGGAAAACCCAGCACCAGGTCCCACTAGGTTCTTCTGAGGAAAGTGGCGACTCAAAACGTGTCCCTCTCGACCCCAATGCCGGGCCGTTTTTTCAGACTGTCAGTTCGGCGCCTATGGGTCCCATTATCGCGTCGGAAATCCACCCGAATCTTGCCCATGGCTGTTCTCCCATGTGGAATCATGGTATGGAGATGCTGTTGCAACCTAGATCGTACATGTTCCAGAATCCGATCCAAGAGGAGACGGCAACAGCAGAGAGCCCCTTTTATTCGCCCCCGGAAACATGCGCCTCTCCCTCATCGGACGGGACCACGTTCGATTTGCGCCCATTCCCAGTTCATCCGTTCTTCCAGACCCAATCACCGCCGATGTGGGACGGGCCCCCGAGTTCATGCTGAAATCCGGTCTTCCACTGCAGTCGGATTTCCGTTGCTGGGCCATGTGTGGTGGAGACTTGCTGGAATCCAATACCACACCCGTTTCCCTTGACGGGGATATCATTAACCCTGTAAGCTGGCAGTCCAAATCCAAAGTCCAATACTTGCAGTTGACTGACTGGGAAACAGACCCTTCATTGCCAGTATCCATCGTCAATCTGGACCGGCATGGGCAATCCAGTCTACGACGAGAGCTTATTCCCCTCGTCCCGAGTATTCCAGACAACCATGGGGTGGGAGCAATGGACCCCTTGAATGCCTGGAGTGCAACCGGCAGGCATACCAAAGAGTCCCATAATCGGGCTCGAATTTCTCTCGGGGAGAACAGTCACGTTGCTTCTCACAACCGACTAACAGATCCAGAGTGAAGCGACGGGTGAAACAAAAATATATGGTACGGCTTCTCGCCCACGACTTGGGCATCGTACCAGTTGCCTACAATATATGGATAATGTATTCCGATAGCAAACATCGTGGAGTGTGACCGTGGGATGGATCGGCCAGTCTGACTGCTGACAAAAAAACCTCAGACTCGGAATGAGTCACTGGCTGTTGGGATAATTAAGCAACGCACTCAGTCTTCTCATCTATGTTTGAGCCCAATACCGACACAGAGAGAAAGACCAATGCGTTCCGGAAATTTTTGAGGGCATCGTGAAGCGGTGCAAATAATAAGATCTTACCTTGACAAGGACAAAGATTAACCTTCAAGTCAAGGATGATGGACGGACGTTAGCTGACATCAAGTTGACACACGTCTTCTGGAGTATCTAGGGTTTCTCTGCCAAGATACTTCGACCATGGGAGAAAAAAAGAAATAAAAGTTAAAAAAAAACTTAAGATAAAAGGGCAAAGCAACAGGTAAACCAGCTCAAATACGTGCCGAACAAGGAACAGTTAAAAGCATGGTTCGTTTGACACCGCTGCTCTACCATCGAAACAGAAACCGGCGGGAGATAAAAAAGAACAAGAAAAGTTATGCTATCTTTTTCTATTTTTCTTTTTTTTATTTTTAGTACGGAGACTATTGGCAAATATATCTACCGGCAAGCATGAAATATAATATGAGCCCTGTTTAAGCTTTATATTTAGACATGTATCTATACCTGTTTCACAGATGGGGCAAGCCAAAAAAAAAAAAGACCTGATGATACGCCCCTTTGTCACATGTCATATACGATTCTTAACACTATGTATGCATGTTATACAGGATGGATGGAAGGAGGGAGAGATACTGATGCTTGCTTTCCTGTTTGCAGCAATCAGTGGCCAATGCTGCTAAGTCCTGTCCGACTCCTGCCTTGCTGGCACAACTCTCCAGCACCAGGCACACCAGCTCCGGTGCAACCCTTCCTCCTCTCGAACCAGGTACTGGCCCGTGTCGCGCTCATCCTCATATTCAATCACACAGGCGCCAACCATGACCCGCTTCTTAGCCTTATGTTTGACAACGCCACCCACTCCGACCATCTCCTGGCGGAAGTACCCGGGCTCTTCCTCATCCCTGAGATCGACAAGTAAAGGAGCGCCTGAGTTTGCAGCCGCACCCGCGTGGCCAAGTGGGTAATTGTTGCTATTGTTGTTATTAGTGGTAATGTGATGGTGGATCGCATCGGTAAGAAACCCATCATCCGCCTCAGGATCGACTTCTAGCTCAATCTCCTGAGCTGCGAGACAGTATTCCCCGCGTCCACATTTGACGCCCTGACAGCCCTCGCCGATTCCCGTGCCTAGGTTGCCGTCAAGATATGTGCTGTAGCGGGTTCGCCAGGTCCAGACACGACGGTAGGTCGTGTCGTTACTGCGGAGGGTCTGACCGCATTTATAGCAGAGCCAGACAGCTTCTTCACAGGAGCATGGGGTGCGGGCGAAAGCGGATGCCGTGAACGAGACGTTTTCCTTATTCAAATCCAAACTGGCGTCATTGGGCCGGGAAAGAGAGAAGTGATAGGCCAATGGCACAGTGCGACAGGTAGTGCAAAGACGACGGAGACGGTTCTTCAGCATGGAATCGCTCGGTGGTTTGACTGTACAATTCTATGACAAATGCCATTGGTTTTGCCACTTAGCAAGTTGATGTAATGCAAGACAAGAAAAGGGAAAGGGGAGTTAGTATATAGGATAATTTACCCTACACACGACTCTGGAGCATCTTCGACACTCGCCCACCATATCCCGGGCACACTTCCGGATCTTCGTCCTGGTCAACCTGCTCGGTTGTATGCCTTCACGGTTCATCAGCACCAGGACGGATTTCACACTGTCCGGGACGGAGGAGTCATGGTCCAAGATATCCGAGAGCGTTTCTATATATTCATTCTCGCAGCGCAGAGTCTGCCTGATCAGTTGTTGACAAAAGGGCATTAAATTCGCGCGGAACTGACGACATGTTCTCGAGAGGGCGTGGAGGGTGTTCAGGTCTACGGATCGGGCGAGTTCCTTGACGACCCTGGATAGTTATTTTTCTTCGTATTAGATATTGGTTTTTACTTCATCTATTATCTTTAAGGATACACCCTTAAGGATAGAGGGAGGAGGGAGAGCATGCATACGGATAACAGCTCAAAGCTGCAGAGAAAGCATTCCGGTTCGGATTACTCCGCTTTGCATTAGCACAGTCGGTAGTAGACGTAGACTCTGCCGTGCTGGAAGCAGATTCTGTGGCTGTTCCTCCAACTGTCCCTTTAGTAATAGTATCTCTGGACTGATCGTGATTATTATTTTTTGTTGGGAAGATATCAGAAGGAGGGGGACCTCCAATAGACAACTTGTGTATCAGCAGGTTCTCTGAGTCGATGAAGGCGTGAAGCGGAGCTCCAGGATGACCGGGCTGATGACGCTCGTCAAAGGCATCATTCTCATAGTCAACAAATACGACCATTTTTCCATAAGATGTGAGGGGCGATGTGAGGGGTTATGTGGGCCTTCTCTCGAAGCGACGAGGGGGGTTGAAGCCGAGGAAGAAGTTGTTTTTGTTAAGAGAAGGCGAAGGCGAAGTGGAGGCGCGGGGTTGTCATTCAGCCCGCCGTAGATGGATGTAAGTAGATATATCTACAGAACAAGATCATCTCTCCTTTCTAGATTCCGCAGAGAATCATCGCCAGGATATCGAATCCTACCGGAAACAGGCTCAGAGTCATTTCCACTCTTGCTGCGTCATATACTTCTCCATCATTACAATTCCCCTCTTCCCCGCATCAAGATGACTCTCAACTCAAGAGCCATATACTCCAAGCTCAAGCCTGATTTCGTTCCCTTCCCCAGCAGGAGGAGTGTCGTCCACAGCACCAACGGAATTGTATCCTGCACTCAACCTCTCGCAGCAGCTGCCGGACAGAGGATTCTGAGAGAGGGGGGTAATGCGGCCGATGCGGCTGTCGCCGTGGGCAAGTACCCTCTTCCAAACCACCCTTAACCATATACTATCATGGTCTATTTGAAATTGAAACTGCCCAGAGTCTATTGGCTGATAGGCTGTCACCAAGATTAACAGCTGCGGCATTGAACATCACTGAGCCCTCCTCTACCGGTATCGGAGGTGACATGTTCTGCCTCTTCTACGACGCCAAAACAAAGAAGATCACTGCCCTCAACGGCTCTGGTCGCTATCCTGCCAATGCCTCCCTGGAGAAGATCCGGGCTGACCTGAAGCTGGGACCGGGCCAGGTGGGTAGCATCCCCATGACTAGCGTTCTGGCTGTGACGACGCCAGGTGCAGCGGCCGGATGGGTCGACACCGTCGAGAAATTTGGAAGCGGGAACCTGTCGCTGGAGCAAATCCTTCTTCCAGCCATTGAATTGGGGGAGGAGGGATTTCCTGTTTCTGAGCTGTCGTCTCATTTTGTAATTCATTTCTTGCCCTAGTTCACTCTCCCCCTTTCTACCAGAGATTTTATTCTTACAAGTTCTTACAAGACTCCCTGCTAATTGTCATGCAAATAGTGGCAAGAAGGCGAAAGTCAAATTCGCAATGCATCTCCAAATTTTCGGGAGATGCTCAAGGTTGATCCCAAGGCCAAGGATGGTGTCCGGGCCCCTCTCCCCGGTGAAATCATGAAGAACCCCACGCTGGCTCGGACTTTCCGCTCGCTAGCAGCAGAGGGCAAACAGGGATTTTACCACGGCCGCGTTGCAGAGGAACTGGTCAAGGTGGTCCAGGAGCTGGGGGGATACCTGACGCTGGACGACCTTAAATACCACGCAGAAATAGGTAGTCAGGAAGTCGACCCTATCTCGCTTAAATTCACTGGCCAGAACATTGCCTCGAAGCAGGACCCAGGCACTGATGATGATTCCAAACCCAACCAAGGCGTCGAAGTCTGGGAACACCCTCCCAACGGTCAGGGAATCGTCGCACTGATGGCCCTGGGCATCCTCGAAGAACTCGAACGCGCGGGCAAAATCCCTCAGTTCAAGGAAGACCAGCACAACTCCGCCGAATACCTGCACGCAGTGATTGAAAGCCTGCGTATTGCCTTTGCCGATGCAGCCTGGTGGGTTGCGGACCCGGATATCTCCTACGTTCCCTCCCACCAGCTCATCTCGAAGGAGTACCTCGCGGAACGCGCAAAGCTGTTCGACCCCTCGCAGGCCGCCAACCTCCTCGACCATGGAAGTCCAGCCCATAACCACAGCGACACGGTGTACTTTGCCGTAACCGACCGCGAGGGGAACGGCATTTCCTTCATCAACAGCAACTACGGTGGATTCGGAACCGCCATCATCCCTCACGGATGTGGCTTCACCCTCCAGAACCGAGGCGCCAACTTCTCCTTATCCCCCTCGGGAAACCATCCTAATATCTTGGCGCCCCGGAAACGCCCTTACCATACCATCATCCCGGCTATGATCACCAACATCTCAGACGGGTCCCTCCATTCCGTCTACGGCGTCATGGGCGGCTTCATGCAACCTCAGGGCCATGTACAGGTCCTTCTGAATATGCTGGCCTTCAACTACCACCCGCAGGCTGCGTTGGATGCCCCACGTTTTTGCATCGGGGCTAGTACCAGCACCGGTTCCGAGAAGGAATCCGGGAAGCGCCCCACTATCTTCATCGAGGAAGGGATTAGCGAGGAGGCCATTGAGGGACTCCGGAAATTGGGTCATAAGATCAAGGTCCTCCGTGCCTGGGAACGGGGCATGTTTGGGCGTGGCCAAGTGATCCGCTGTCATTTTGATAATGGGAAGTTGGTATACAGTGCTGGGAGTGACCCGAGAGGTGATGGGATGGCTATTCCACTCTAAAGTGATTGTTCTTTTTGTCACATTTGTTGTTGTTGTATATATTCGGCCATACTTGTCTCTATGCATTCATACATAGTAGATACACAAAGATCCATAAGAAAATAGAAAGCCCAAGGACTCGCCAGCCCTTGAAGATCTCAGGAGATATTAGGTATTCGACCTGCTTGTTGAACAGGTCGTCGATCAATCAATAAAACTCCCAAGGAGAATGCAAGAAATGCGTAACAGAACACTACTGCTTATTTACTCCATGTACTCCGTACCAAGGGTGATAATTAACAGTTCACCATCTCCACAATGCAGAGAACCGCTGACGGAGAGTAGTTTCAGGTTTGGGAGACGGCTCATTCACATCCTCCTCTGAAGCGAAACTGTAGTGAGCGTCAAGAAGATTGCCGCTGTCAGACACGTCTTGGGGAGACGGGCTGTCTTTGGTTTGATCCCCCACATAACAGGCTTCAATGCTGCCTCCGTGTCCGTCTCGGGAAGGTGACATGCAGAACTGACTAGAATGCTGCGGCTGCCAGCCATGGGGATGCTCAATTCGAGGCGTCGAAGCCCCAGGAATGGCAAAGTCAAGATCATAATACCACCGAGACAGACTGCACCGATGAGAGGCAAGATCCTAAACGCTGAGTAGACTGGGCCGCTTGAATGATATAGCTAGTGAGACGAACCAGTGCAATATGTAAAGAGGACGAGGAGAGTATGCACAGGACCTTTATTAGAGAACAGCCGACGACAATCAGGCAGGACAAAGGAACGAGAACCAGGCGACATTGAGGTGAGAAACCCGGGATAATAGGCTTCGGCTAAAACAGTGTAGTAGACAACAGAGTTATAGCTATACAAAAAAACATCAATCGGGAGCATATTCGATTCGACTGGGGGGCTGAGCTCCTGCGTCCATAGAGCCTGATGATCCTAAGAAATAGATGCAAGATGCATAAATGGATAAATGAATAAATGAATACGCCTATCTGCCAGGGATTCTCCCCATTGCTGCATTCGTTGCCCCGAAGGCTGAGGCCGAATTTCGACATTGCATTGACTCCGGATGCTAGCAAAGTCCTGATCTGATTTACTCGGCGAGGAATAAAAATAAAAAGAAGGATGGAAAGTTGAAACCAATTTCTGTAGATGTATCGCTATGCATAAGATCAAATATTACCATTAAAACAGGAAAACACCATCCTGATATGCTGTGTCGTGATTTCCGTCTCTTCGCTCGTCAATTTAATACTCCGTAATAAATGCAATGAAAGACATAGTACAACAAGAATTAAATCAAAGAACCTGAGGCACAACAGCCCTCAGTAATCCCCTCAACTTCGGTTCCTTACTCGGGGGAGACGGTTCCCGTCGATGTCTATGGCGAACATGGCGATCGTGATCCTCTGCGCCTCGACGATGAGAACCGTCTCTCTCCCTCCTCCTCTCCCGTGCACTTGCCTCTGCCTGTGCCTGTGCCTCGGCTTCGGCTCTTCTCCTCCTTCTCTCTTCCCGTCGAGCCCTTCTCGCCTCTTCGTCTTCCTGGGCTGCCTCATCGATGGGCCCGACGGTGGACCTCCTCTCTCCCGAATGACGATGATGGCGATGACTGGATGAACGTCTCGGTTCGTCGCGAGCAGGAGGTTCTTTGCCCCTGGAGTCAATGGCCTTCTGGAGAAGGCCGCCGGTAGTCATGGACCGGAAGAGGGACAAGGGTCCTGTGACCGGCTTCGAGGAGGAAGAGGACCCCCTTCGTTCTTGATCGCGAGAACCCGACCGCTCTGAATGTCGGTGTTTTGGTTTGCCATCGACGATGCCGTCCCTTTTCTCCCTTGTGGATGACTTGACATCTCTAACCCAGTCTTCAGTACGACGCGCCTTTTCAGGACGTCGCCGGTCTTCAGTGCGTCGTTCTTTCTCGGAGTGTCGTTCCCTCTCTGAACGTTGTCCTGTATCGGAAGAACGTGCCTCTTTCGTAGGAGAATGCCCGTCCTTCGTGCCGGACCGTCGGACCTTCTCTGTAGGATGCTGCTCCTTCTCCTCAGCACGTGACCTGCGTCGTTTTTCAGATTCCCCCTGAGATTTTTTCCTTTCTTTCTCCATGTAGTCCATTCTCGACTCTTCAAGAGCTTTCCTCCAGCGGTTCGTAATTGCATTGTTACTCTCAGGCTTGTGGCGGTGATGTGATCGGCGATGCCCTTCTGAGGAGCTTTTGGAATGGCGCCGTTCGCCTTCTACACCGGACGTGTGTCTCTTTCTTCTGCGTGCATGAGTGTCCGCTGAGCCCTCAATAGATCTGCTCTGTGAGGCATCTCCCTTCGGAAGATCTTCTTGAGGGGCTTTAGTTGGTGTGGAGTCTGGGCCCTCTTCAGGAATAGGTGCAGGAGGTTCTTCAGCAACGGATGGTTCTCTGACAAGTTCTTCCTCGGCTTCTTCAGAGGCTTCCTCAAGGGGTTCTTCAGCAAGCGGTTCTTCAGCTGGCGGTTCTTCAGCTGGCGGTTCTTCAGCAAGCGGTTCTTCAGCAGGCGGTTCTTCAGCAGGCGGTTCTTCAGCAGGCGGTCCTTCAGCAGGCGGTTCTTCAGCAGGCGGTTCTTCAGCAGGCGGTCCTTCAGCAGGCGGTTCTTCAGCTGGCGGTTCTTCAGCTGGCGGTTCTTCAGCAGGCGGTTCTTCAGCAGGCGGTTCTTCAGCTGGCGGTTCTTCAGCTGGCGGTTCTTCAGCAGGCGGTTCTTCAGCAAGCGGTTCTTCAGCAGGCGGTCCTTCAGCAGGCGGTTCTTCAGCTGGCGGTTCTTCAGCAGGCGGTTCTTCAGCTGGCGGTTCTTCAGCTGGCGGTTCTTCAGCAGGCGGTTCTTCAGCTGGCGGTTCTTCAGCAGGCGGTTCTTCAGCAGGCGGTCCTTCCGAAGTTTTCTCAGCAATTGGTTCTTCGACAGGTGCTTCTTCAGCAGACATCTCTTCGACCAGTTCCTTGGCAGGTGCTTCAGAAGTTTTTTCGGCAGGTTGCTCGGCAGGAGGATCTTTGGCCGGCTGTTCTGCCGGCTCTTCGGCAGGTAGTTCTTCGACAGTCGCTCCTTCAGTGGGTGGCTGTTCAGCAGAGTATTGTTCGGGTTCTCCAGCAGATGATTCTTCTGCAGGCGCTTCTTCGGTAGAAGAGTCCTTGGCAGGGGTGTCTTCGACGGGAACATCTTTTGGTGGCTCAGCAGGCGTCTCCTCAGCGGCTGGGGGCTCTTCTGTTTTGGCTTCTTCAACAAGAGCTTCTTCGGCCATGGCAGGCTCTGCGGCGGAGTGTCCTTTTGAGGAAGTTTCTTCAACAGAATCTTCCTTGACAGCGGTCTCCTTCGTGGTTTCTTCTGTAGCTACTGGCTTTTCAGCCGGAGGGGCTTCTTCTGTTGCCTCACCAGAAGGGGTAGCTTTGGCAGCTTCTTCAGCTTTGGGGTTTTCAGCGTTGGATTCTTCGGTGGCAGAAGGTTGGGTGGGCGTTTCAGCTGATGGACTTTCTTCAGGAGCAGACTTCTCTGTAAGAACGGGCACCTCAGAGGTAGACGACTCTTCATTAGGCGTGTCTTTGGGAAGTGCCTTTTCTTCAGATGGTTTGCCTGTGAGTTCTTCCTTTGTACCAGTCTGTTCCTCAACAGGAGGCTCAGTAGAAGCAGGAGCAGGAGATTCTTCCTCTTTCACAGGCTGTTCTTCTTTAGGAGCTGGTTCCTCAGCTGGAGCAGTCTCAGCCGAGTCTCCCTTCTCAGTAACTGCTTCAGTATGAGCTTTCTCAGCAGATGCCTCTGGTGGTCCTTCGGGTGAAGATTCTTCCCTTGGGGCTTCGTCAGCAGTATGATACGCCTCAAGTGTGCCGTCGGACGTTTCTCCAGCCTCAGCACTTGGTTCTTCGGTCAATGAGGGCTTGCTAGCTGGATTTTCTTCGGTTGGCGTTTCAGCGGGCACTTCCTTGGGCGGTCCTTCAGTCACGGGGTTTTCCGGGGGAGAGTCATCGGTCGGCTTTGGCTTCTCATCCTCTGTGGATAGTGTAGCCTCTGGAACTAACTCGGGCTGTTTCTCCTCAGAGGCACCATCTTCCTTTGCTGATGGTTCATCAAGCGTAGGTGCGGCGGGTGATTCTTCGGTTCTAGGCTCATCGGAGGGCTTCTCTGCGGGCTTCTCTTCGGCAGGCGGTTCTTCAGTCGGGGACTTTTCAGGTTGAGCTTCAGAAATAGTTGTTTCTTCGGCAGGTGTCTCTTGAACAGCTGGTTCTGCCGCCGTGTCTTCTTGTTTAGCAGCATCAGAAACAGACTCATTGGTGTCTGGGTTTGCCGCCTCTGTCTGTTCAGGAGTAGTGTTTCCCTTACCAGTAGTACCGGATTCGCCAGAAGCCGGTTCTTCTTTCTTATCACCTGTTGCGGGCTCGTCTTCCTGCTTATCAGCAGGAGCAGTACTTTTATCTTCTGTGTTATTATTATCGGCGTCTCCAGGCGAAGCATCCTTTTCCGCAGTAGCATCTTCTGCCTCTTGTTTTGGTTCTGGCTCCTTTTCTGGTTCTGCAACCGGTCCAGGCCCTGGGAAATCATCTATATCAGACATCGAGACTTTCCCTGCGGAATGTCACACAATACTTACCATCATTACCACCCTCTTTGGTCTCAGTGGCCTCCTTCGCTTCATTAGAATCTGCCGATGCGGCGGCATTCTCGTCTTTTGCCGGTTCGGGCTGGTGGTCTCCAGCATTTTCGCTTTTCTCTTTCGCGTCTTCTGGATCACTTTTCTCTTCTGGTTTTTCTGGGGGCGGCTCGTCGTTCTTTTCCGCTACGTCGTCTCCTTTGGCTTCTTTTTCACCGTCCTCGGGAGCCCCAGCAGGCTCTGCAGCCGCAGCATTTTGGAGATTTTCTGTGGAAAATCACATAAGTAACAGCCAAAAACAATGCAACCCAAGGTTGACTCACCAGCTGGCCCGTCCTCTGGGGCATTCTTATCGTCTGAGGCCGAGGGGGTATCCGTCGTGACAGGGTCTTTCTGCTGAACGTTGTCCGTCGTCAGACTCGGCTCATTGGGATCAACGGAATAATAAGTAAATGTGCCGGTTTTCAGGTCGTAGGTCTGATAACGAGGACGGTATTCCTTATACTCAATGGTAGGGAGCTCTGCATACTGGAATGGCATTTTCAGGTGATGTAACCGCCTCTTCGAGAGGGCTCTCGGAGGAATTATTATCGTTTTCTGTAGTATTCGGGGAGGAGTTCAGGTCCAGTGGTTCCAATTTCTTTTTCTTGTTCCCGGCGTTCTTGTTGTTGTTGTTATTATTCCTTCCCTTTTTTCCACCTTTTCTAGCCATGACCTCGACGGAACGGCGTAGTACGAGGAAAATATGGGCGGCCGTGCGAGCGAAAAGAATGATACGGGGGGGAAAGAGAGAGAGAGGGAAATCGAGAGGGTTCGAGACGGATGAACGAGGGTGTAGGAGACGAATAGAAGGCGGGAGAAGGGCAGTTACCTGCAAGACTCCAAGAGGGGGAATGACGTCTTGTGGCAGGAGAGTGAATTAGAGAGTGACACGAAAGAAGACAAAAGGATGCTGAAAAAGTAAGACCAGGGATGGTCTTCAAGTAGGATTGACAGACGCGGCGCGACCCGTGGAGGGACGCATAGCCAGCCCCAGCTACTCCAAAGCAGAGCGGTCAATTGGAGGTTGGAGCAGGGGGGGGAAGGGAGAAAAAAGTCAAAACGAGAAAAATGAGGCGGGTACGTAGCAATGAGTTCGTCCCACTTGATACCCGATTGTCGAATGTCGACAGAGGGAGAGCCGTTAAATCGTCAAACTGCAGGAGATGAACCTCGAGAAGCTCGGCATCGGCAGCGACACGGGCCAGGCAATTGGGCCACGTCTCACGGAGAGGGTCCCCGTTTAGTTTAGCAAGCTCCTGACATCACTAGACGCAGGAGGTAAGCTGCAGTGACTGGCTAACGACAGTGACAGTGACAATGATAGTGACGATGACAGGTGTTGTGGTTTCTCAGTCGGGGGAGAAAGACGAGCTCGCATGGGCGTGGACGCAAGACATTGCGAGGTGCAAAGCGTATATGTACATCTGCATGTATCTCTATTCAGGATGCACGGCAAGTCGGGAGCTGCGGAAGTGGTGTGACCAGAAAGAAGCCAGGTCTGGGGTCGCTGTGCACGTTGGAGACATGGTAAGATGCATCTTCATCTGGACGGAGCAGGTCAATGGATGGAGGCCTGTGGAAACGAAGGCAGTCGGCATTTCTGCCCAATGCCTCCTCGGGCACAGCGAGCAGCGACAGTTCAGCATGTTGGATCTGGCCACAGTCCATAGTCAGTGTGGGAGACAGATTAAATCCTAAGATAAAAACAGCAGGGATGTTCAGAGGCTGCGCTGGCGCCGTCTCACTGGCTGCCTTTCTTCTTCGGGCCGTGGATATCGATGCAGGTGAGAAATGCCAGCCTCCCCTTTTCTACCAAGCATCTATTATACTAACAGCGCTATCTAATGACACGCAGCGTCAAAAGATCCCATAAAACGCAGTAGAATATCCTCCCGTCCAGCCCTCCATTCATTCATTTTCAGTAACGGAGGTGTTTCAAATGGACATGGTTGTTAAGGAAAGGAACTCTGTGGTTGATCTTCATCGAGGCCCTTTTGTCGATAAAATGACTGAGTTTGACCCCCGTACGCGCTCCAGCCAATTGGTGTATTGTTAGACCTATATCCTGGTCAGTCGTCTGCTTGCTTGTGATGTATATATATATACTCATCCCACCTCACCCCGCAAAACTCCTGTATTTCGAATTAGAAGGACGAGTGTTATCACCAAATATCTACAACCAGTCAAAGACTCACTGTCATATTTGTTTCCCCAAGAATAACCATCCCAGCATCTATCAGCTGCGTATTTATCTTCCATCAGATTCACATAAATGGCAGAGGAGAGAAAACAAGAAACAAACCCACCTTGATAATTATAGGTATCCATGCAACTTACTACGTATCCGACCAGCATTTCGCTCCTCATCTAGCCTCTTTGCCATCGCGAGGGCAAGCCGATAAAATAGAATTCAGCGCCAATCCGGCATGATTATGCCGTTTGATTTGGTCTAAGAATAAGTCAACTAACCCGACGCTGGTTGTTTCGCCGAACGCAAGCTTTGATCGTATCTCACGGGCAGGCAGGAAGAGGAGGGAACTCCGATCATCAGTGTTGGATGCCATCACTGCAGGAAGGTTGCCATTTACAATTGCTGAAGGCTATGTACATAGGAACGGGGTATTCAACGTCGAGGCCGAATAAATATGTCGGGGACACAGTAATATATATATCTTTCTGCCTGGAGTAAACTGCATCAACAACGCGGGTTGGCTTTGAAAGATAAGATTCACTAGGCTTCGTGCCAATCCTATTTTCATTAATGCAACGGATGCTAACAAAGGACAGCATAGCAATGTGTGATCCGCCCAAAACGCCTCCATCGACGATGCATACAAAACGTCCATCAACATCGACAGTTGCTCTAATAATACCGAATCCGATCTATCTCCCCGGTAGCGAATGTACCCTCCAACCGTCTGAACGACCTGCCTATCCGGGGGGCAAGAATGTTGAATTCATCTACGGCGCATGCAAAAGCCGTCGTCCTAGCCAAATTCAACCGATATTCTTTTCTCGCCAGCGCGGTCCATAGATCTTCATCACCAAAATCACCGAGCTGCTTGCAAAGCCAACCAGACCGAGAATGGTAAAGAGCCAACCGTTACCTATACCCTGGATGATGGGAGACGTGACAAGAGTTCCGACACAGGAGAAGATGTTACGCACAAAGTTATTGAGCGCAACGCCTGTGGACGACTTCTTCGGCATGAACTCCGTCAGCATCGTCGTTGCCATGCTAAAAATAAGCATGGACCCTACGCCGAAGAAGAAGTTGGCAATCATCTGTCTTTCTGTCAGATATTTCCCACGTCTTCAGCTATTCCTTCATCGGGCCCGGGGATTCATACCGGGACAAGCCAGAATACACCTTTGTCAGCAGTCCAGCCATACCACAGCAACCCCGCTGGGTAGAGGAATGCGCCAAGCCAGGCATTTTCCCGCATACGATCTTCAGGACGGTAGACCAGCTTGCCACTCTCGTCGTACCTGTTCGCCTTTCTGGCCTCGCGTTGCATGATGCGGTCTATCCAACGCCCTCCGAATATACTGGAGAAGACATAGCCTAGCGAATTTGGGATGTAAAGCAACCCAAGGATGATAGTCGAGAAGTTATACGGCGGTTTCCCAAATGTCTCCTGGACGCTAACATTCAATACATATAGAGAACCGAAGGTAACGCTCGCGTAGTAGACGGTGAGCAGAACGGGAGGGTGCCGTAGGTAGAGAACGATTTTCAGCGGGTCAAGGAAGAATACTTTGAGCCTTTTCAGCCATGTCGTAGTCCACTGGGCAACTCTTCGGGAAGAGACCCTGCTCATCTGACGCTGCATCGGTTCCCCACTCCGAATGGCATCCGAGACCGCAGGCTTATGCACCACGAGAGTCTCGGGAAGAGCGAGGAGGATGAATATCACATTGACGCCGCCATAGATAACCAGGAACCACATCGTGCTTCTCCAGCCCCAGCGCTGGGACAGGGCACCCCCGATGATGGGAGCAAACAAGGGGCCGCATAGAGGACCCAAGTAGAAGATACCCATTGCCCGTCCTCTCTCATGCGTGTCCCAGATGTCGGCAATCGTGCCAGCCCCAACTGCCTGTACCGACGCCGATGCGCCACCGCTTAACATCCGCATCACGATGAGCATTGCAATCGAATTGGACACTGCGCTGAGTACGTTGAAGACCACAAAAAGACTGAAGGAAACGAGGTATATTGTCCGTCGTCCAAGGATTTCGCTGAAAGACGACCACCACAGTGGGAAAATAGACATACTAAGCATGTACAAAGCAATTGACATGTTCGTGATGGTGGATGTGGTGTGCATGTCCTTGGACACTTGAGAGAGGGCCGCTGGTCGAAAAAACAGGTTAGATCGAGAAGCGCAACAGCAATGGAACAGAGTATACCTACGGAAGAAAATAGAGCTTCCCATGGGTGCCGCTGCCCCTGAGACGGCGGTGATGAATGTAATGAACCATTTTGCTCTCCGAGGAAAAGTCTTGGGATTCTCGACCTCTGCCAGCAGGGTTAATTGACCAAAGAGCCCTCTGCGCTTCGACCTATGCACCACTACCGGCGATTCATAGTCCGTCTCCCGTTCATAGGCAGGAAATGGCTCCTTGGGACTTTTCTCCTCCTCGACAGGAGAGAGACTGGCCTCTGAGATGATAGAACAGCTATCATGTTTAGCATCTGTGCCCTCATGTGGCGGCTGGCTGTTATGGCTTGTTGGGGACGCTGGCTGAAAGGCGCCGCCCTTTTCAATATCAGGTGAAGACATTCTTCATGTGAGTGGCCTCTTAACCCCGCCCCCCCGGGAAAGGCGCGTTGGAGCGAAGGCTAAACTCAGTTCGCAGAGCCGAACAGTTAATGGCGCAATACCTGGCCGCTGTGAGACCAATTCATAAAAGAGAGTCGGAGGGAACTTGTCAAAAGATAAAGATGTATCCTGTAAGACTGAACACGCTGCGTTAGGGCCCACAGAGAATTAAGGACCAGAGAAAGAAGAAACATGCAGGACGCAAAGCAAAAGCTATTGTTATATGAGGGATTGAAAGAGGAAGTCCGATACTATTATAATATACTGAGACGAGCAGAAGGAAATGAAAGTATGAGCACAATAGAAGAAGATGGAGGAGGTCGAGAGACTTATGAGAGAGAGAGAGAGAATGAAACGAAGAGGAAGAAAGATTAATTATGATGCCCGAATGAGTCGAAAAAGGCAGGATTCCTGCCAGAAGCCCCTTCCAGATCGTTTTCTTTTTCTTTTCCCCCCTCCTCGGTATCGACTTCCCAAGTAATAATCAAGCCGAAATAATAAGCAGCTATCGGACGCCCAACCAAGCTATGATAATGATAGCACAGGAGAAAGTCAGCAAGTATCGTCTCCCATAACGTTGTCAAGCCAATTGGGTTGGATGTTAGAGCAGGGAGACCGGAGGCGGAGGGAGAAACGAAGAGAAGAAGAACCTGTTTAGACGCTGATAGCCGGCAGCGCATTCCACAATATTACAACACCTATATCAAGCAGCGCAAGGGACGAGCAGTAATAATAATCAACAAGCACCGCTGCCCAATCCCCTTGCGGCAGAAGCGTGCCGTTTCTTCCGTTGCCCACAATTTCTCGGAGTCAAGCCGGTAGATGGAACTGCGGAGAAGCATATCACTGCATCTCCATCCATCACGGCTTAATGGGATGTATCTATCGTATTGTATAATAATAGAACCACTGCTTGCACCCCACAGTGCTGTCCTTTGCACAAGAAAATACCAGGCATCCTGGCATCGAGGGATGATAGGCACGGACTCGAATGATCTGAGATCCGTTCCGGAAACCTAAAAGCTTTGACCTTGTGGCCTGGTCGATATAAGCGAGATCCCCTCGGAGCTATGGAAATAATACTCCATATGGTGCAGAGAAAAAATACTACTGATATTGCAGTGATAATCGTGCCCACACCGCCTACGTACACGGCCCCTACTACCCGTGTTCCTGTGTAGGTGCGCCCCAGTTCAATAACGGTTTTTCGAATTTATTAAATAATTCAGTTATATCATCCATAGTTGCAGGCAAAGCTGCAGAGGCCAGCATAATTGGTATCACCGTTTGCCGGGTAGCCCTGGACACCGGTCACGGTGGGGAGACTGTCTGGGATGCCCATCCCAAGACAGACAACAGGCGGCACTAGATTGATCAGAATGGGTTGCTCAAGACCGCAGGACATGGAATAACTTACACATCCATACTTACAGGTAAACTGACACAGCTCGTTGAAGTAGTTGCCTGCTGCATATCCTGCAACACATTTCTGTGTCTGGAGGGTGTCTGGAGGCTTCACTCGAGTTCACATATGAAGCACTCGAGCCAGAACCCACCCGGCATTCCAGTTGGTGAGGCTGTTAATACAGAAGCAGAGACGGTTTGATTTGCGACATAGTCAAATGTGGTGATATCATCTCGCAGGATGTCAATCTCAAATCCAAGATGATGTCCCAACGGGAGACTCATGTGGTAGAGTCCCAACCAGGAGCTTCAATGTAGCCTCCATCTTCATACCGGATCTGGAGTTGCGCATTCGATCGAAGAAGTGCTGTAATGACGATTCAGTCCTACATCACTTGGTCTGATGAAAACTCGATTTGCAACTGTGATGCGGTATTGCCAGTTCCAAACAAAAAAAAAAAATAAAAGACTCAAAATCACCAGTCATGCTTTGCCCATGTTATGATGTGTAGAAATGAGCCGATACAATTGATCAACACAGCCAATGCCCAATGCCTAACTGATGCTTGTTCAGGTGGGAACTGAAACATTGATGTGGTCAAGACTCCTTGGAGCTGCATTTTATTAGGGCTAGCTCACTACTTAGGTCAGCATTCACCCCATGCTCACCCCACACCCAGAGCGTGTTCAGTTCTACTCAATGGGCAGTGGGCGAGCACCAAAACAGAAACGGAAAGCCTTCAATGTTGTCAGAAACCCCATACGAGAATTCACAAAACATTTGTAATGCTGCGAAGACAGCAGCCTCTGGCCACATAAGATCACGTGTACTTAGCAAGCACTTAGGCGCCGAACTTCACAACACCATAGTGAAGTCAGCGATTAGTTCTTGGTCAACAGGGATCCTACGTTTTCTCCCCTACTATCGTACTTAGCATTCTCCATATATTGATTACTTCACGACGTCACCGCCATCCAGCCCTTACAACATTTCTGCCTTTTATGTAGTCTTTCTGTGTATTGCACCCGTCGCTTCGCTCGAAATAGGCTCTCCGACACACCCAGCTCCTTGCCCTGCCGGCCGGTACGCTGATCTGCATCGAATTCCCGAGACTCAAGGATCCCTTGAAAGCAGATCCACCCTTTGCAGTGCCATCCGAGGAATACATGGAACACCTTAGCCATCCCAGCGAGGATATCCTTTACGACGCCAGAGGACTCGTCAAAAGCGATCCCCAACGGGGGTAAACGCAAATGGACTTGAACGTGTGGCACATTGGCAACCTGACCGCACGCATGAAGCCGAGGAGGACAAGAATGGGAAAGTTCACGACTGAGTTTCCATATTGCACCGGCGCAATCAAGAGGCATGAAAGAAATGCGCTGCAAGGACCCCGTCGCTATGGATTGGGCTTTCGGAACGAATGTCGTATGGAGGCGCAGGACCCGCCTGGCCTGGTCACCGAGTTATGTATGATAATCGGTGGTATGGTTCGCTTCACTTATTTCTCCTTCAGAAGCGCATTGTAGTGCTCTCCCAGTCCATAAGTATGTCTGAAATAAGCCAACCAGAGAACCCGTCTGTGGCCTTCGGCGTCAGCTTCGGGACCGTCTCCGGGTTCAATCTTTTCTATCCTTCCATCATTTTGGATGACGTTGATTTCTACGCCATACGCCCTAGAAATAGCGATGAGTTCCAACTGGCCACCCCAATCCGCTGTAAGCTTGATTCTCCGCGTGTACTCGTACAAGGACTCGGCCAGGAATGGTGCGAAGTCGTCTTTATGCTCAAGGATATAATCTGCTACCACAGCCCTGACCGCCCGATAGCCGTCAAGTCGGGGCTCAGTCACAGTATCAACACGTGCCTGGGTCGTGTATTGAAGAATCATCCGTGACGGGTCAGGCTTCAGTCCAATTCCCAATTCATCCAGCTGAGTGGCGACAGCCGAGTACAGACAATGTCCATCCGGGTTAACCTCTACTTCCCTGAGACCTAACCGTTTGAAAACCGCATTCATAACTTCTTGCTCGTTTCCACGGCGATCTATTTGCGTTGCAGCCTCCTCCGCGGCAGCTGCAGCTATTGCCGCTTGTTCTGCAGCTCGACGTGCAAGTCGCGCTTTGTGACGGTTCGGCTTCTTGGAGCGATGTGCAGGCGTAGTTTGAGAGGGCGCTGAAGCGGGAGAAGTAGTATGGGCATCGTTTTCGCCGTTGACCTTATCGGTGACCCCATTGGTAACCCCGTCCTCAAGACTCAGCTCCCCTAACCCATCAATAGGTGGGGCAGACTCGCCGTTCAGTTTAACAATCTCCGCCTTGTGTTTTTCGTCCAAGTCCCTCTGTAATCGCTCGCACTCATCATTGACACCTTTCCTGGTTTTCCTAGTGGCAGCTTTCTTCTTCTGCGTGATGCGCGCTTGGAGGTCCTTCTGCTCCTTGCGATGCCTAACTAACAGTTCGTCCATTATAACCAGGATCAAGAAAACACCACACTGAAAAGAAGGAGGATAAATCTGTACAGAGAACAATAGTAAAGAATGTAAATGAAAGATCTGAAGAGAAAAAGGGGGTTCTTCTAGAAAAGAATGCGAGGGGAAAGCGCGTAGAGTTTCTAAGCCACATCATCAAAGGCAAAAGTCTCCTTTGGGCAAATTGCCCCTCGAACCGCTGGCGGTAATGCCCTAATCTGTCCAAGAATGGAATAGCGCAAGGTACGTCGGAGCCCATCTCTCCGTTTCGGAAAATAGATTTACTGCTGTCAGAGAGCCTCGGTAAGTCTGCAGAATGCAGTGGCAGACGCCAATGCCGGGGTAATAATAATAATTAATATCTTACATTGATGTTAAGGGGGAGCTTCTATCAGTCCCCTCTTTCGCTGTGACAATGGTTGAATCGGATTCTCTAACTAGTTTCTTTATCCTACAATCATCCCTTATTCTGATCCCGAACGTGTGATTTCGTGTTTGCCATAATGGACACCGAGAATCTTTTTAACGTGAAGGTTAGATTCAGCGTGACTTTCAGGACTCCTGTTTATTCCTTGACCATCATATATCTAATTCTATCGCAGGGGAAAGTGGTGTTGGTCACTGGAGGAGCCAAGGGGATCGGCCGCATGATCTCCCAAGGTTACGTGACAAACGGAGCCACAGTTTACATCGCATCTCGGGATGCGAAGGCATGCGAGAAAGCAGTGAGCGAGCTTAATGCCCTTGGAAAGGGAAAAGCGTACTTCATTCCAGCAAATTTCTACAATGAAGACGATTGCAAGAAGTTGGCAGAGGAGCTTGGAAAGCGCGAGAGCAGTAAGTAGTGCCTCGAATTTTGGCTCGAACGACTTTGCGGGGAGCCCCGTCCCTTTGGAATTTCGATTCATCTTCTTTTCTATTTTTATCCGGCTTTAATTGATACCGAGTCTAATGCGTTTCACTGCAGAACTCCATGTCCTTGTCAACAACTCTGGGTCGACTTGGGGCGCTCCTTACGACGATTACCCGTCTTCTGCCTGGACTAGAGTCCTTACACTCAACCTTCAGCGGGTGTTCACCATCACTCAACTTCTCACCCCATTATTAGAGAAAGCGGCGTCTCCCGAAGACCCAGCCCGTATTATCAATATCGGAAGTATCGATGGCCTCCGCGTTCCGGCGCTTGAAACGTTTGCATACAGCGCCAGCAAAGCCGGTCTGCACCATCTGAGTCGAGTCCTAGCATACCATCTTGGAAGCAAATATATAACGTTCGTATTCATCCGTGCTGATCAGTACTGCCTGTGTTTAATCCGTGTGTGGCGCGTCTGCTGACAGCATTTGTTACTTGCATTTTTAGGTCGAATACGCTGGCTTGTGGGCCATTCGAGAGCAAGATGATGGCCACTACTCTGGAACAATATAAAGATGTCATCGAAAATGGCATTCCGTTGGGTCGGATTGGCTCTCCCCAGGACATTGCAGGTGCTTGCTTGTTCCTAAGCAGCCGAGCTGGATCGTATGTGAACGGAGCGACAATTCCGTTGGATGGCGGATGTGTTATTGCTGCAAAAATGTAAATTTGGTCCAGAACAGATGTAGATCAGCCCAATAGATAGGTGTCCAGGAATGCACACTATGTTGACTGACACTGGCTGATCGTATGAGCTCTAATCACCATTCCATTGAGTTCATTCTGGACAAATCCAAAATACTACCATTGTCCTCATGACCGAGTATCATGTTCGGACTCTGTTATTAATAGCTAGTAGCACTCCGCATCATATAGTGGATCATATAGTAGCAAGCCAGGGGGGCAGATCGTGACAGCTCACATAGCCCAATGTGGCTATAATCTTCACCCATTGGAATTTCTTTTTTTTTTTTCAGATTAATTAATTTTTTAATTCCCCTTTCTATTCCCTCGGCAATTCTCATGATAAACAGCTGAAAAATCCAGCGTTCAGTCAACAGAACTGAATTTAAATAGAGCTGTACTGCCAGTGTAGCGGTGTACAGCGCGTAGGTTTTTGGAACTGGGTTATTGTTGTGCCGGTGTCTGTTATCTCTGTGGAGCGGCGACATCATAACCGACCCCTACGGTAACCTTCGGGGTCGCGCGTATTGCGCGACCCTGACAACCACCCGAGCACCCCAGCCACCCGAGCACCAATTTTAGACCCCCCTTCTAGCTTCAATATCTCAACGAATTCTATAGTATTTAACTTCAAAATATATTTAAACTAAAGCTCTACTCTTCAGCTTGGGCCCTAGCATGTCGTTGCCTTCGTATAATAATTCCTCGTCGAATGCATACATCCAGCAGCTCTGGTAGGCAACGCTTATACTTAGTCCTCCACCTCTTTATTTCAGCCTGCTCATTAATATTCGCAGTATTTCGATTTATAGCTTCAAGCTCTGAGCTTGATACTATGCCTCCCTTGCGAATCCTGCGCCTAGAGGCCTGTGATCGAGCTGCGCGGTCCCTAGCAGCTTTAATATACCGGTCAAGCTCAGCTTCGATAGCAGCTGAATATGATGCTAGCATACTACCACCACGAATAAGCAGCTCTAGGCCCTCATTAAATTGATCCTTGTTGATATCATGAATCTCCCATATCCTATCACCAATCTCCCTAAATCGTTCAGCTTTTTTTTGGCGTACTGCCCCAGGAATCAACATCATTGGTATTGGTGGATGAAGAGGATGGACGATGTGGTTGAGGCATTTGATTGAGTACAATTGATGGATTGAATGGTATGATGCCAGTCTTTTGGAATCCATGCCGAATAGTACGCTTTTTGAATGTCTTCTTGCGAATTGCCCCTAAGGCATGAAGGAATTCAACCTTAGTAAATTTACTGCATCCTGAGTAGGTTGCATCTGCAACTGCTTCTGAATGCCAGTGCTTATATGCATGAAAAACACCAACATCCAATGGCTGCAAGAAATGACTTGTATGTGGAGGTAAGAAGAAGGTGATGATATTGGTCTTCTCACAGAATTCAACAAATTCATGTGTTAGATGGGAGCCGTATCCATCACATATAAGAAGGGTATATTGACCCTTCCTATATCTTTTAGTATGCCGATAGAATGACTGAATCCATTGGAAGGCAATTGTATCAGTCATATAACCATTTTCTGATACTCCAATTGAATAGTCTTGTTGAATATCAGCAGCTTCAAACCAATTTGTAAGTATACAGCTACCACTCATGAGAATAAGTGGTGGGCAGGTCCAGCCATCTGCATTGACTGCTTCAACCACAGTAACATATTCACGGTTTGAATTCATCCCAATATGAGGCTTATTAATATTGAAGTCCCTGGTAATAATCCATTGATCACGACCAACACCGATATTGAAGCCAGTCTCATCAAAATTGTAGATATCCTCCTTTAATATCCCATGGTTCTGGATGGTCTGATGGAGCTTCTGAAACCACTCCTGAATAACCTCACGATCCTCTGCACGCTTGCGGTCAAGCTCTATAGCTCTAGAGCGACGTCTTTTATATTCAGGATGCCTTCCTAGCCATCGGTTTAACCATTTCTCGCTGACAGTAGGTGGAGGGGTGTCTAGGCTGGTATGGGTTGATTTCAGAATAGAATTGGCACTTGATTGGATCATTTGTGCAAGTGGCTTTATATTTAATTGCTCTAGAGTATCAACATAGTGACACAGAGCCTTTTCTTGCTCTTCTGATAATCTGGTGTTGGTTGGTGGTCGTTCACATAGATTGGACCGTCCCTTCCACCTTGCGGAGAGGGTTTGCCGTTTAACTCCATATTCACGTGCAGTTTTGGCGATATTTGGGGGATTTTGTGTGCTTAACGCGTCAATAGCTTTGAGCATTCGATCTTCATAATTTTTATTGAATTTGGGCATGGTGGTGGTGGTTGAATTATATGATAAAGTTGATGGGTTGGAATTCTACGAAGTTCTAAAATCGGTGCTCGGGTGGCTGGGGTGCTCGGGTGGTTGTCAGGGTCGCGCAATACGCGCGACCCCGAAGGTTACCGTAGGGGTCGGTTACCTCGATTTTCGTCATATTAACAGCCCGTCGGGAGCTTCACCAGTCCTACATCACAACAGTCTAGCTGTACACCATCGTCTTCTGATTAAAAGCAGTACATCTATTTGCTTTCTCCTTGATACTGCATTTGTCGTTTAGTTATTTTTTGCTTCTTTTTGTGAAGCACAAGCCAAAGTTATCACCCCACCTGCCGCGTGGCCACTCTGACCCGTTCGTACCTCTACTTGCCTATCTACTACCTTACTCTTTGCTAAGGAGTCGACAAAGGTCTGTCTTGTGACTCTGCATTAGAGATATAAAGTACGGGGAAGAAAGGAAGGAAGGAAGGGACACCGTCAGCGTGTTTTACTGACTCGTTGTCTTGTCCCACATTAGGTAGCAATTCAAGACAAGTTTGCCTTCCATCGGTACGATGGGTTCGAATAATCGCCATACTAGGGCGGGCTCTATCGACCCTTATGCGAATCCTGATGTCTACTATGGTGATGAAACCCGGACTGTAGGTCGCAGGCGGGCATATTCAACGGTAAGAGAAATTAATCGTACAATTCTTGCCTTCAACCACATGCAGGCAGCTGAGACACTATCGTTATATGAAAGGTTATACATCCACGCGGCGCTGAAGAGATAACAAATCTTCTCAGAACGAGAAGAGGCAGCCATGGTATGTACCTTGTGTGTGTTAAGGGTGATATCCGAAGTTGGGTCTGACGCGTTGCCTGCCGATTAGACGAAATTCCAGCTCAGCCGCGCAAGTTTCTTATCGATGTCGATGCCACACTGCACGCTTTATTGGAGAGGGAGGATACGGACAGAAACATGCAGATAACGATCGAGGATGTGGGCCCAAAGGTGCTGTTGCATGGCTTCCCTTAAAAGGTAGGATGCAGGAGGTCGCTGACGGAACCAGGTGTTTCCTGTCGGAACTGCTGCATCGTCCGGATATCACAGCTTCGACGTACGGGGAACATACATGCTCTCCAATCTTTTGCAAGAACTTACCATCGCCAAAGACTACGGCCGGAATCAAATTATCCTCGACGAAGCTAGGTTAGCGGAGAACCCGGTTGCGCGTTTATCACGTCTAATCAAGAATTCGTTCTGGGATGCCCTAACTCGACGGATCGATGGCTCCAACATCGCCGTTGCGGGCAAAGACCCCAAGGATTGGACCGATGATCCGCGGCCTCGCATATATGTGCCACCAGGTGCACCCGAGCAATACGAGTATTACAAGAGCATTGCTCAGTCGCATCCTGAGTTGCGCTTGGATGTGCAGCTTCTGGAAGAAAACATCACACCTGAGTATGTGAAGAATCTTAACTCCAGGCCCGGTCTTCTTGCCTTGGCAATGCAGAAGAAACGGAACGAAGCGACAATGGAGACCGAGTACGTTGGAGTGCCATTTGTAGTGCCGGGTGGCAGATTCAACGAATTGTACGGATGGGATAGTTATATGGAGTCCCTCGGTTTGATTGCCAGCAATAGGGTTGACTTAGCCAAAGCAATGGTTATCAATTTCTGCTTCTGCATTAAACACTATGGGAAGATACTCAACGCCAACCGGTCATACTACCTGTTGCGTTCGCAACCACCGTTCCTGACCGACATGGCGTTGCGTGTGTACGAAAGAATCAAGAATGAGCCTGACGCGCTGGAATTCCTTCGGAATGCAATTCTGGCCGCTATCAAGGAGTATTATACTGTGTGGGTTGCAGAGCCACGGTACGACAAGGCCACCGGTCTGTCCCGCTACCGTCCGGAAGGCCTGGGCGTTCCCCCAGAAACTGAACGGACCCACTTCATCCACCTTCTGACGCCCTATGCTAAGAAGCATGGCATGACATTCGATGAGTTCGTCCAAGCGTATAACGATGGAGTTGTTAAGGAGCCGGAGCTCGACGATTATTTCCTGCACGATAGGGCTGTCCGTGAATCCGGACATGACACCAGCTATCGTCTTGAGCGGGTATGTGCCGATATGGCGACCGTGGATCTTAACTCGCTATTATACAAATATGAGACAGATATTTCGCGGGTTATTCGGGTCTACTTCAAGGACAGACTGCATATCCCTCCGGAGTTCCGTTCTCCATCCACGCAGGATGTCGAGTTTGAGGCGTCTTCCGTGTGGGATCGCCGGGCGAGAAAACGAAAGGCCAGGATGGATACGTATCTATGGGATGAGGAGAAGGGCATGTACTTTGACTACAATACGGTTAAGCGGGAGCGCTCAACATACGAAAGTGCTACAACCTTCTGGGCCATGTGGGCAGGACTCACTACCCCACGCCAAGCAGGCGAAATGGTGGAGAAGGCGCTTCCTAGGTTGGAGGAGTTTGGCGGACTCGTTTCGGGAACTGAGGAGTCCCGAGGGCCCGTTGGACTTGATCGGCCCAATCGCCAGTGGGATTACCCCTACGGATGGGCGCCTCAGCAGATGTTGGCATGGACGGGACTTTTGCGCTACGGCTACCAAGGGGAAGCGGAAAGACTGGCGTATAAATGGCTGTACATGATTAGTAAAGCTTTTGTGGACTTCAACGGCGTCGTCGTCGAAAAGTATGATGTCACACGGCCAATCGATCCGCACCGGGTTGATGCCGAATATGGGAATCAGGGCATTAACTTTAAGGGTGCCCCGAGAGAAGGGTAGGTTGATGATGACACTGTTTTCTTTCTTCGTTTTCTAGGGCTAATCCGTGTTGCAGATTCGGCTGGGTCAATGCCAGCTTTGTCTACGGCCTGGATATTTTGAATGCAGGAATGAAGCGCGCTCTGGGGGCAATAACTCCATGGGAAACGTACAGTAAGGCACTTGCTTCGCAAGCATCTGCTTGAGACTTCTCTTGGATCAATTCCTTTTTTACGACACTTGGGCAAGGTTGGAGTACATTATTTGCCCGGGGGGAGTGTGCATTCGGGGTATATAGACGGTGGACGCCTTGGGGAAGTGTCGATCTGACATGTCTCGCAGCAAACAGAATGACGATAAGCATGTCTTGCTTCTTTTCTTGTCCGTGATGACTCATTCATAACCGGCAACTGCTGTATTACTATGAAATGATGCCGTAGATCAACCGAGCAATATCCGAAAAAAAAGGAGCAACGAATAACTCCAGCGTTGTTTATGAGCATCCTATCAGCGCAGGAGCAAGAGGGAAGGCATTCAGAGGTATCTCCGTAATTCGGACCTTAGAGAACCCTCATTTTCCCGATCAGCAAGCAGACAGAGATCTACAATTGCCTATTCTTGCCGTCAGAGAGAGCCTGAGGCTGCCGATAATTGGTCGGGCGCGGTACGGAAGCAGAGAAGTTGCAGCAAGCCGTCGGTCTTCCTGAGTCATTTCTTTGAGCCGAGGTTGAGAAATGCCCGATGCATTGTCTGTACGGAGTCCGCTGTAATAAATAACACATATTAAATAGTAAATAATAAGTAATAAGTAATATAACAGCGAAGCTACGGCCGGGGTATAAGTAATTGGTTCTCCTGATAGGCCTGTCTTCCGAGGATGCGCATTTTAGTTTCTGTGGAGTTTGTTATGTTAAACTTGGGCCTGTTCTCGGGATCTACTGCAGAGAGCTATGACCGGCCGGATTGCGGTTAAGCAGCTTTGAATGTCGATGTCTGGAGAGCTGGATCGGTAGAAGGGATTAGGGACCGCGGAGTACCCCAGCATACGGCGTAGACAGTGGACACTGTAGAGTACGGAGTAGTAGAATTGAGTCGAGATGGGATTCAACATTCTGAATACCTCGTCTGAGAATGAGTCTAATCTACATCAGTGAGAAGGGAGAACATCTACAAGGGAAATAGTATCAACCCTTCAAGGAATCAAAGACGACGAGCACGTGAAAGATTCTGCAGTCACATGTCCGCCCTTCGACATCCAAGTTTTGCTTGCCGGCGTTTCTGAAGAACAAAAACTTCCTGGACTTCTCCATCTCCCCGGCCTGCAGAGCTCAGCAACGCGTGCGGGACGAATCAACAACAGGGAAGTCTGGTCAATGTCGGAGCGATCCATATCCAGTCACAACCCTACCTGGCTCTGGTGGCGAAAGCCTACGTTGGTCCTCTCAGCCGAGGGTCAACTCTGTCCTTCGTCTGGTCCCTGTTCGCCTTCTTCCAGTCTTCCGAGCCACTCTCGTACCCCGTTTTTCGGAGGGACGCAGCCGCACACACTCCAATAAGATCATCTGTCAGAACTGCAAGCTGGAGCCGATTTCTCCCTTTACGGAGCATCCCCGCGGAGGGGGCAAAAAAGTCGCCATGGCCTCACGTCGGGGCCGCCGCTGTCTGCTTTCCCCGTTGGGCCGAGCGTTTACCGACCGCTGTCCATGGGGAAGTCCATACAAGGGTTTCAAGAACTGGGGAAATACTTAAGTAACCCGATGGCTCGAGTTTTGGGTCCTTCCTTTTCCCCGTTGTGTCTTGTGTGAGTCATCTCATTTCTTTTCTACTCCACGGGGAAACACAAAAGGAGAGGGCCATCTCATCCCGCAGTGGTTACTTTATCATCTGGGACTTGAAACATCTTCTACTTTGGTCGAACGGACGGATACAGAAGAAGCAGACCAAACTATTTGTTCTAATTGGGTTATTATCCCTATTTCTCCTTACCAAAAATTTGAGTTCTTTCTGTATATATATACACAATGGGTTACCTTGAAGAAGAAGATCAGCGTTACTGGGACGACGTCAAGGCTGTCAAGGCCTGGTGGCAGGATTCGAGATGGAGATATACCAAGCGCCCGTTTACTGCCGAGCAGATTGTGGCCAAGCGTGGAAACCTGAAGATCGAGTATCCGTCCAATACCCAGAGCAAGAAGCTCTGGAAGATCGTGGAAGAGAACTTCAAGGTTCGTTGCACCCGAACAAGAAAGACTGATTATGAGACGGATTTTTTACTTACTTGCTTGTACCAACAGAACAAGACAGCTAGTGCCACCTATGGCTGTCTCGAGCCGACAATGGTCACTCAGATGGCCAAGTACTTGGACACCGTTTACGTTTCTGGTTGGCAGAGTTCTTCCACTGCGTCATCGACTGATGAACCCTCTCCTGACCTTGCGGATTACCCTATGGTGAGTGCCCCGGTCTGTTTTTCTTCTTGGAACAACCGACCAGCCTAACTCCCTCAATTAGAATACCGTTCCCAACAAGGTCAACCAGCTGTTCATGGCTCAGCTCTTCCACGATCGAAAACAACGTGAGGAGCGCATCACAACCCCCAAGGAACAGCGCCACAATGTTGCCAATGTTGACTACTTGCGACCCATCATTGCTGATGCCGACACCGGCCATGGTGGTCTGACGGCCGTCATGAAGCTGACAAAGCTCTTCATCGAGAGGGGTGCCGCCGGCATCCATATCGAAGATCAAGCTCCTGGCACCAAGAAATGTGGTCATATGGCTGGCAAGGTCTTGGTACCGATCAGCGAGCACATTAACCGTCTAGTGGCTATCCGTGCCCAAGCAGACATTATGGGTGTGTATATATTCAATCCGTCATCCTATGTTATTTGTTGCTCCGTATCTAACTGTGTTTTATTCCAGGCACCGATCTTCTTGCTATCGCCAGAACCGATTCTGAAGCAGCAACTCTCATCACTTCCACTATTGACCACCGTGACCACAGCTTCATTGTCGGCTCGACCAACCCGAACCTCCAGCCGCTGAACGATCTGATGGTGGCTGCCGAGCAGTCCGGCAAGAACGGAGTCGAGCTTCAAGCAATTGAAGACCAGTGGATCTCCCAGGCCGGTCTCAAGCTCTTTGACGACGCTGTTGTCGACACTATCAACGCGGGAACGTATGCAAACAAGGCCGGTCTCATCGAGAGCTACTTGAAGGCCGCCAAGGGCAAGAGCAACAGAGAGGCGCGTGCCCTTGCTAAGGGCATCACTGGTGTCGACATCTACTTCGACTGGGAAGCTCCCCGCACCCGAGAGGGTTACTACCGGTACCAAGGCGGTACCAAGTGCGCGATTAACCGCGCTGTTGCCTATGCTCCGTTCGCGGATCTTATTTGGATGGAGAGCAAGCTTCCTGACTACGTCCAGGCCAAGGAATTCGCTGACGGAGTTCATGCTGTCTGGCCAGAGCAGAAGTAAGTCGCAACAAGACGTCGAAGATGGGCCCTAGAATCGTTTTTACTGACTGGGTTTCTTTTAGGCTGGCATACAATCTGTCTCCTTCGTTCAACTGGAAGAAGGCCATGCCCCGCGACGAGCAGGAGACATACATCGAGCGACTCGGACAGCTGGGATACTGCTGGCAGTTTATCACTCTGGCCGGTTTGCACACGACCGCCCTCATTTCCGACACATTTGCCAAGGCCTATTCCAAGCAGGGAATGCGCGCATATGGAGAACTTGTCCAGGAGCCCGAGATGCTCAATAAGGTCGATGTGGTTACACACCAGAAGTGGAGTGGTGCCAACTACGTTGATGGCCTGTTGAAGATGGTCACTGGAGGCGTCAGCAGTACTGCTGCTATGGGCAAGGGTGTGACGGAGGATCAGTTCAAATGAGCGTGATTGATCATGACGAGCGTCGGAAAAGTTGCTAGGAGGGTGGGGACATTGTTATTCCATTTATATTCCTATTTGATGATGGGAAGGGAAGGTTTTTGGATTGGTTTTTTGAGCATCTGCAGGTAGCATTTAGCATGCCTTGTTTAGAGTACCGTTTTGTGTTCAACCTTTGGATAGTTTCACATTTTGTATACCAAGCATTCCTTTCATATTTGACGCAATCGTAGAGTTTAGGGGACAAAGCATGTTATGCAGTACGAAAATGCCCCTTTGGGGCTGCCGCGGCCGGTGACATCTGAAAGAAGGCTGGACCGAGGCTGTGACTGTCTGGTCGATCATTATTATGATTGCAGCACGACTCCTTTTGCATGCGATCCTTGCGGAGAAGGCAACTCTGTTATGCAAAAAGGACTGACATCTTCCTTCTCCCCATTTTCCTGCTCCTTTCGTCCTTTCTCTCTCTTCTTCCTCTGACTCAGGCGTGGATGACGCAAAAACCCAGCCGTTCCACTGCTTTCCCCGCGTATTCGGATCTTATCGAGTTCCACTTGATCTGTGCCCGTGCCGCAACACCAAAAAAAACACCAACTCCAACAGCACCAGCACCATGGGCGTCTCAGACATCCCCAAACTCGAACACACCCCCGTTGAGCAGATATCTGCTCAGGTAGAAAAGACCCGACAGTCTTTTCTTGAACACAAGACTCGCAATGTGGAGTTCAGACTGGTTCAGCTCCGCAAGCTCTACTGGGCGTAAGGTCCCCCTTTTATCTCCCCTGGATACCAACGTCTCTTTCCATATTTGCGATTACTGATCATTGTGTCTCGTTTTATCTACCCAGGTTGAAGGACCGCGAACAGAAGATCCTCGACGCTCTGGCTCTGGACCTGGGTAGGTCCACTTTCGAGAGTACAATATCCGAGACCGGATGGGTTCAAAACGACATCATCTACGTGACTCGCAATCTACGCAAATGGTTGAAGGATGAGAAGGCGGATGATATTGATTTGATGTTCAAGTTCATGAATCCTGTGATCAGGAAGGATCCGCTGGGATGTGTTCTCATTATCGGGTACTTTTTACATCCGTTGCTGGTGACTGCTGGCGTGCTAATATTATTTATTTCGTTTCTCCCTACAGCCCGTTCAATTTCCCCTTCCAATTGACTTTGGGTCCCCTCATCGGCGCAATCGCAGCCGGTAATACCGTCGTCATCAAGCCCAGTGAAGCGGCCTCCAACAGCGCTGTCTTGATGCAGGAGATTGTCGAGGCTGCTCTTGACCCGTCATGTTACGCAGTCGTACAAGGCGGTGCTCCCCAGACACAGGCTTTGCTGGCAGAGCGATGGGACAAAATCTTCTTCACCGGCAGTGCGAACGTCGGTCGTATTGTTGCTAAAGCAGCAGCACCGAACCTGACACCCGTGGTCCTGGAACTAGGCGGCATTAACCCGGCGATCGTGACCAAGAATGCCAACCCCAGACTGGTGGCGCGCAGGATGCTATGGGGTAAGACCTTAAACGCAGGCCAGGTCTGTACATCGCAGAACTACCTGTTGGTGGAGAAGGATATCGTGCCCGCTGTCATCGAGGAATTCAAAAAGGCATACAAGGAGTATTTCCCCAAAGGAGCCAGGGCGTCCCCGGATTACAGCCGTATTATCAACGAGGCTTCCTTCCGTCGCATCAAGGGCATGCTTGACAGCACTCAAGGGAAGATCCTTCTTGGAGGCACGCTCGATGAAGAGGAACGCTTCATCGAACCCACTCTCGTCCAGGTCGATTCCATCGATGATCCGCTTATCACGCAAGAAAGCTTTGGTCCTATTCTTACTATTCTTCCTGTAGACAATGCCGAAGAGGCCGTAAAGCTTTCCAACCAAGTCATGTCCACGCCTCTTGGCATTTATCCCTTCGGCACCAAGGTTGAAACGGACAAAAGTGAGTTTCTCCCAGCAAGTTGTTTCTAAACCAGTATCTCAACAAGCACTGACGTTACATCCAACAGTCCTAGCAACCACCCGCTCCGGTGGAGCCGCAGTCAATGACGCTGCTCTGCACATCCCTACCCTCCCCTTCGGCGGTGTCGGTGAGAGCGGCTACGGTGCATACAGAGGAAAAGCGAGTTTCGACGTCTTCGTGCATCGTCGCCCTATCACGGTCAGCCCGGGCTGGGTTGAAACGTTCCTGGGAATTCGCTATCCTCCTTACGCTGGCAAGCTGAAATTATTCAAGGCGGGCACAGCATTGGTTCCTGATTTCAACCGGGAGGGTCGTAAAATCCGATTCGCCTGGTTGCGGCAATTTTTGGGTCAGAAAACTGTTGGTAAAGTGGTAGTTTTGGCTGCGAGTAAGTGATCTATTTCTTCGAACATATATATGTTTTTCTTCCCTCTCTATACTTGAAAATATTGGCATGTTTGCACCTATTTCATTATCAGGAAGTTCCATTTTTTGATTCCTTTTTCCTTTTTACTTTCAGAGACAAGCAGGCGGCAATGTGAACCCCCTAGTTTAATTCCGTTGATGCTGTCTTGGTCGCTGATTTTGCCTCCTTCCTTTTCTTCCACCCACCCTACCAGTTACTGTCAGCCTCGTTTCTTTCCGTTTGCTTTGATTCCCATTCCTTGGATACCCCATCAGCTGGCTTTATACATAATACGAACAATCAATCAATATATGCTTGGATTTACTTACATATGTCATGCCACATAGTTATCTATGCTTTGGCCAAGTTGCGCCAAAACCGGTCATCACCATCCAGAGCCTGATTCCAACCTGAACTTTTTTTTTACTTCTTGTGCGGATATTTTGTCAAGACCCGATCTCAACCTGATCCTCTCCAAGTTTGCATGTCTCTTGGATCTATGTTGTGTAATAGGTTCCAATTAATCTATGTATGAATGGACAATTGTTTCTCTCTATTCAATCAGACTGTTTTCTATATACTAGGTTCCAGGATTTCTATATGCCCTTCATCAAGCATAAGATATCAACAAGAGCAGCATCCAACTATCAATACTAATACAGTCCGATCCATTCAGTTTAGGCCCAATGGACAGGGCAGCTTTCCTACCAACAAGCAACGTGACATATAGTCAGCAATCTGGACTACTTTGAAAATCCATGAATGTTTTCCCCCTCTCCACAATTAGGGTGGCAGAGTCAGAGACCCGTCTTGAAACAACCATGAAAGGAAATGGATATCTTCAAGATTCGAAGTGTTGTTCCAGGAATAATGGGAGCTCATCATGCTGGATTGGTAGATGGATAAAGGGCATACCTGATGTATAGCTACGTGTAACTATCACTTCCAGTCATCATAACGAGGTATTACCTGTTTTTGGTATTAGGGTTGAAAAGCAGGACCAGTATGATTTTGTCAGAAATGAAGCACAAAAGTAAAGGGGACTCGAGTCAAGTCCCCAGAGTTGGCAGACTATTCATCAAGAAATGAAGGAAAAGAAACAAAAGAAATTCCAAATGTGCACGAGTAGGGCGTTGGCCTTAGTTCTATCCATGTTTTCAGTGTTTTCAGAAGTTATTCAGCATGACTTCGTACTCAGACGATCACTATGGGAGATAGTAGGTACAGGGTTGAGTGATAGACATACTTTTAGTGCTGCCTGGATTTTGAATTTGCTTCTCTTATATTCCATGTTTGAGGTTGACTGAGTTCTGTCATTACGTAGTAGGATCGATATGCTGGGGAGCAATCACGTGCCACCTCTGACCATCCACGAAGCGGAAAGGGAATCCATTGGCGATCTCTTGTCTCTGGCCAAACAATCCCAGCACGATGAGCGGCGAGGTTGATGCCCTCTATATATACGATGAGAACAAGTGCGTCCCTGCACTGCTATTGAACATAAAACTGTCAACAAGGATATACCTGCTGACCAGGGAAAAACCAGCTCCCCTCTCGTAGAGCACGTCTATCGTTCTCGTCCGCCCTCCGCGACGACCGTCTTACCCCTCTACCTCGCCCATCCTGCCCCGCGGCCGTCGCTCATCTATCTCCCTAATTCTTCGCCTCCGGTCAATGTCTTCTCGATTTCCCACTCGAATCTTCTGTTCCTAGCCCTGTCCGAAGTGGACTCGGAGCCGCTTCTGGTGCTGGAATTCTTGCACCGAGTCATCGATGTGCTGGAAGTGTTTGTCGGCGCGCCCTTGCTGACAACCAAGGTGCAGGCGCACTACGATGTCGTTGCGCAGTTGCTGAGTGAGATGTGCGATGCGGGCATCGTATGTAATACAGAGCCAAATGCATTGCAGGAGGTCGTGGACATCCCTGGCTGGATGGGGAGATTGCTAGGCGGAGTCGGGTTATCAGGGTGGGCATATATATATGCGTTGGATAGAGAGCTCAACTGTGCCTACTGACAATGTTTTTCTCTAGCTCATCTACGCCGATTTTGGGAAGCCAAAATCCATTGAAGCAGTCGTTGTCCTCCGCCAGTGTTGCGCACGGTCCTGCCATTCCTTGGAGAAAGTCTAATGTGCGGCATACTTCGAACGAACTCTATGTTGATATCATTGAATCTCTCTCTGTCACTATTGCCCCTTCGGGACGCGTGCTCTCTGCTTTAGTTTCGGGGACTATCGCCTTTACAGCAGAATTGTCCGGTGTTCCAGATCTACTCCTTTCATTGACAACCCCCGGTGGCCAACAGGCGATTGCGCAGAAAGTCCAACTTCCCGTTTTTCATCCTTGTGTGAGACTGGCAAGGTGGAGAGAAAGCCCTGGACAGCTGAGTTTTATACCTCCGGATGGACGGTTTATACTCGCTGGGTACGAGGTGGACCTTCTCCCTATTGATCCGGATCTAGACAAGCCGCCCGTTCACATGGAGAAGATGTTTCTCCCCGCTGTGGTTGACATTCGCAAGTCACTGGGACCCACTGGTTCTGACTTTGAGGTTCAACTGACCCTTAACACGAATTTCCCGGGATTCCCTGCCCGACCAGGGCTTGGGAGAGGCGGATCCGGCACACCAACACCATCATTCTTAGGGGGAGGCGGGAACTCCCCCTCGGTGCCAATGCTTGAAGAAGTCGTGGTTACCATCCCTATCTCCAAATCCGTTCGTAATATCACCGAGATGAAAGCCAGCCGCGGCGAGGCACAGTTCTCTCCTGGAAGTGATGTCCTCAAGTGGCATGTCCCTACCAAGGATGCGGGATCTGTTTCCGGAACAGCAACCCTCCGTTGCAGCGTGATTGGATATCAGTCGGTAGGGGATATTATTGACGATGATGCAGGAGGCATTGGCGCAGACGAAAACCTCCTGCAAGGCTACTATGACACTGCCGCGGCTGCATTGTATCAAAACCCTGATGCGTCTGCCGGTCCCTCGAAGCACAGGACAAAGAAGAAGAAGAAGAAGAAGACGACGTACAAAAAGTCTCGACCGGCCACGGCAACCGAAGAGCCCGTAGCTTCCTCCCCCGTACCATCATCCAAACCGCAAACTCCAACGCTCCAACCTTCGTCGTCTTCTCTGTTGAAGGCTCCGTCGATATTCAACTCTCCTTCGAAGAAAACAAAATCACAGCTCAATGAGAACCTGATGCCCAATTTGGCATCGGTCTCTTTCACCGTGCGCGGTTGGCTCCCGTCGGGAATAAAGGTGGAGAGTCTGACCGTTGACCCCAGACGGAGTCGTGGTTTAGGCGAGGGCGTCAAACCTTTCAAGGGGGTCAAGTATTTGTGTGTTAGTCGGAGGGGTGTAGAGAGACGGTGCTGATATATTTCGAATATTACTGTAAAATGATAATACATAGATTATGATTTTATGAATCATGGAAATGCTGGCCAGCAGAAGTTTCGATTTGCGGACGCACCACAACCTCAGTTTCTGCAACTTCCCATAAGCAGATGTAGTGGTCCTTGTAATACCTATTGAATTCGTTGTAGGGGTCTGCTATTCCATAATAACGCATTTCGATATTCATGTCAAGGATCAGGGCGCTGTTCACTATCCTGACGTTCGGATTGATATAGTGCCTTGCAGGTTGGGCTTTCTAATTTTCTACACTCTATAACCTCTCAGCACCACTTCTATGACCTAGTCTGAGTTAGGATTAGTTCATAATTTTAGTATTTTACAACTTGTGTTGAATGTAAACATACCAGTCTCATTGTGTCCTATCTGGACTCTGAAGAAGGCTTAGCTCAAGAACGGAGTCTAACTGAATCTAATCCTGCAAATCCATAGCCACCGAGGTGTGCTACACCCTTACAGGCCTGGATAATTCCAATTGCAGATTATAAATGGTGAGTTACTTGCAGGCCCTCAGGGACTGATACATCAATAACAGACAGAAATAGGCATATTGATGGTGGGAACAAAGCCTCTCTGAGTTCTGGTCATTATCTTAAACAAGAATGCACATTGGGAGCAGTCGAGAGAACATTTTGTTACTAATATACACAAAAAAATGCAGTTGTTCGGCAGTGCCAGGATCTCCCCAATCCCTCCCAGCTGGCCACCGCTCTTGTTATGCTGGACAGCCTTTTTACCTGGTAGCTGGAAAAACCTAGCATATATTGAGCTGCAGTGCTTCCATAGGTCAACATCTCCGTCAGCATCCAAATAAATATACCTGACTCGTATCAATATTCTCAGACTTTAGGCAGTTTCCCAGTACTGTACGGACCTGGTGCCACTTTATATAGTAGCATATAGTGAGAGCCCTGGAATGCCAAGCCTTTCCAGAATAGGAATTGCTCACGGACCACGGACGGGGTGACCCCGAACACGACCCAATTCCCCCCAAAGAAAGCCACCACAAATATCACCAAAGCAGAGAGAAGGGGGTTGAAAGAGAACGCATAAAAAAAGGACAGAGCCCCTATGGCCCCATCTACAGAAAACAATGCTTGGAGCATCCAGCCCCAGGATGCGAAACGAGCTCTTGCGGAGGATAAGTACGATGATTGTCTTGCATGCAGGGTGACCGGTATGGCCTTCTAATGTAACATAATAACATATTATGCTTTTAACTTTGTATTTTTGTTTATTGTTGATTTTTTTAATTCTTCTAAAGCTGACAGCTACAGGATCTGCCGCGTTCATCGGCTTGGGAGTATACAGTTACTATTCGGGGATGCGAAACTTGCGGAAACAAGAAACGGCCATCATGAAGAGTGCAACGAAATACAAAATGGGGTCGAGACAACTGGGTATATTTGGGATATCTGCTACGCTTGTGGGGATGGGGATTTGGAGGGCATTCAACTGAAGCATTGACATATAAAATGAAGATTGAAGATGAAGACACTGCGCTGTGCTGTCTTTTTGACATACAACGCATATATACATCTCCGCTACTTTGAGATTTTTTTTTTTTTTCAGAGGAAAAGAAATAGAAGAGAAGAGGAGAGAAGAGGAAGTGACAGACATCTTGACATGCAACAGTTATTACTATGATTCGAACTGGAACAAAGATCGCCACTCTGGGTATCACCTCATTGCAATGGATATCCTCTATACATCTCTAATATATGTAAAACTGACAACAAATGGAAGTTCGGGAAGAGAGCCAAGTAAGAGTAGGATTCACAAAAAGAACAACCACATGCACATGCACGACTCCACCGAATGCTATAAAAAGCAGACAACTGCTGCGTTACCAAAAACCAAAAAGTTCGAATAACCATATCGTCCCATCATCCAAGCATACATGCTTCCTATGCAAAGCGTCCTCGTTTGCCACCCCCAAACATGTCCCTCCCGTTCCCGAGCCCAGATAAATCGAAGAAGTCAGGAAGGTTAAATTTTCGCTTTGAGCCTAGTCCGACAGATGTGTCTCTCGTGGATGTTCTTTGATTCGTCCGTGAGTGGTTGTTATGGCGATGGGTTTGTCGCAAGTTTCGAGGTAGAACGGATATATTAACAGCAGCATCCTCCTGGGAAGAAGGATCGTCTGTGGTTTGCATATCAACGTCTTGTTGCTGGGGTGCTGGATATTGTGGTCCCGCGGAGAAGGTAAAGATTGTCGGTCTGGCAAGGGTATCAGGTTCATTGGTTTGCGACGGAACTGGCGCAGACTGCTGTTGCGGTGCGGGTTGCGATTGCGGTTGCGGTTGCGGTTGCGTAAGATGTTCATCTCTGCGGGGGGAAATCGACGTTGATGGCTGTCGCCCAGACTCCGGTTCTGGCTGTTCTTTTGGCTGTTCTTTCCGCGAGACCATTGGGGAAGTACTTCTAGTTCGCTTTTCAGAATCCGGTCGCTCGTCATCATCACTCGTAAAGGCCCCTGTGCCATCACTTTTCTCTGTCGCCCATTGTCTGACCTTCCAGCCCTCACCATCACCTAGCCCTAGGTTCTCCCTATCCAAGAAATTTAGAAGATCCTCGATGGCTTCTTGATATCCCAGGTTCCTCGCATGGTTCTGCTCGTAAACGGCATTCTTGTAGAGATTGGTAACGGAGAGAGCAGCCGTCTTGAATGACTGAAGGAGCTGCTCAGTAGGTTGCGGGCGGGGGGACGACCTCGGCAGAGAGGTATTCAAAGACCTCATGGAATCCATAATGGGAAGCCTTCAAATAAAGAAACAGAAAGTGGTGCTCAAGTGCACAACTTCAAAGCTCCAGTGGGGAGATGGATGACCACGTCAATGGGGCAATTGTGAGAAACCTCACTTGTCCTCAGAGCAAGGGAAATCAGAATTAAGAAGAGAATAGCTCTATATGGAGCTACAGAAGGACAGTGACAAAGAATGAGATGGAAAAAAAAGATGGAAGTGAGAGAGGGGGGAACCGGGAAAAGCCTGAGGTAATGATTAACTGCGCTTCTGGCTTTCTTCAACTGACCGGGTAACGACTCCACTGGGGCAGCTGACTTAGCAATTAATGCCTCAGGCATATATAATTAGTCATCCACATGTGCCCACTGGTGCTCAACACTCAAGTGTCCTGTACACCACCAGCGCATCGGAATGCCGACTTCAAACTGGTCTCAATAAGGTCTAAATCCACCCGAAATACTGCTCAAGGGCCTCATTCCTCGCCCCCTCCGACCCGTGTCGCACGCCGAGGAGCCGGACCTGTCCGATCTTCCCGCCGAAATCGTCTTCAATGTTGCTCTTCCAATTCGCGAACAGAAAATTCAATCTTGCTATCACCGACGGATCGTCCCTGATCAGCAGTACAATAGCATCATATCCCCCAGCTCCGGGAACCACACCGCCAATAACACCATCCAGGGCCGAGGCAGCATCAAGAAGCTCTGTCTGCACGCTGGGCTCTATGGGAACACCCGACTTGCGAGTCATGGTGCGGATGAGATCGCGCGCACTCTCAATATACGTGCGGACATCTGTGTAGTCGCCCAAGGCTTCGGGGTCCTGTGCCAGCCTGGTAAGTTCCTGGCGCAGGCTCTCGTTGGTTGCCTGGAGAGAGTCCCAGAGAGTGTCGGCTTCTACCTGATTTTGGCTCCTCCATTGCAGAACCTTCTTCACCATAGAAGGGGTCTGAGAACCGCATTCAACATCACAAAGGACCATCTGCATTCCACGGGGAAGCTGCATGCCAAAGTCCAGACACTCCGTGTCCCAGGGATATGCGGGGTTCACATCCTCCACAACTGCGAACAAGCGCTCTTCAAATCCAGGGGAACCTATGTCACCGATAGCTTCTAGTACGGCAGGGGAAAATCGTCTGTAGAGACATGAACCGTAGACGGCGGCTGCTACGTCGAATCCGGAACCGATCTTGCCTTGGGCTGCGCAGTGTGCTGCCTGAGCCAGATTATGGAGCTTGTCTCGACCGAGGGCTAGACCATCAGGCCGCATAGTGCGATGGATGACTAGAGCTGACACCAGGGCAGTCACAAGAGCTGCGGACGAGCCCAGTCCCGTTTTGTGTGCTTCATGGAGGGGAACCCCGAAACTGACAAATCGGCCAGGTGAATTCAATGCTCTAGAGAAGGCGGTCTCAGAATAGTAGTCGTTGTCGGCCAGGATGGTGATAGCTAGAGACCCGAAATCTTTCGAATCAGCAACGTAGCCGCAGTAGGTAAGGGCGTAGCTCAAAGCAGTTTCAACAAAGGCGTTCGGACGTCTTTCACGTCGCGTTCATCAATCAGCGGTCGCTCTTCAAAATAGATAAATATAAAAGAAAATGACAGCATGAAAGCAGTAACTAGATATCAACTCCATCAACTTACCCATGACCCCTCTGAACCACTTTTACCCCACCGCTATTGTCGTGTCTTTGGATACCATACTCCCAAACCGCATTTACGAATTGAGGCGAGCGGACAATTATTGTATCCTCGACAAGCTCGCCGCTGTCCATGTCCAATCGATTCTCATTGTTTGTCTGGCCTGACCCTGAAACGGAGGAGGCGTCTGGTTTGTGGGACTTTCTCAACTGCTGCACGATGACATGGATTCTGGCGTCGAGGGCGAACACGGTCCCCGTATAATTGCGGTCCAGAACGAGATAGCCACCGGAAAGAAGGACCTTCCCTGGGGCAGAAAGGGCCGTGGCAGAGGAGGTGAGATAGGACATAGGACGCGAAGTTGGTAGATGTTGATGGTGAACCTATGTACAGATTTCCTATGCCACTGCTTGGCTTCCTCTTTCCGTTTTAGTGCTCACCTGAGTGCTGAGTAATATGTGGCCTCAATAAAATGTACCCAGCCAGCTCAAAGGGGTCTTGACCCGCCTGAGAGGAAGACCACCTTGTTCGTGTATCTAAGCTTTTTTTGGTCCCAAGTAATCTAGGCCAGTCTATCTATCTTAACCGCTCAACACATGAAGGCTGTTACTGTTTTATCTGAATCCTCTCAGAGTGGGAGCAGCACAGCCATGCCCAATGTACAGTGGGAACATATAGTAATCCACTACATTTCTGGTGTACACTCAGAGTCGAAATCAGATTTCCCTACGCGCACTCACAAATTGTTTCTCAAACCCTGTCTCGAAACACCTAATCTGGATATAGCTTCGCCGTAGATCTCCATTTTCTACTAACTAGGGAATCACTATTCGGACATCACTGTGTATGAGTTTCAACCACCATTATCTCCACAACGAATTTATTTTTGAGCCTGATACTCGCTGTATTTCAGGACTATATGACAGTTTATGTTCCTTCTTAATTTCATAAGAAAATATCATGAGTTGGTGGAGATATTCGTGGTTGAAACCAATACACGGTGATGTCCAAATAGCGGATGATGTCCGAATAGTTATTCCTTTTCTACTAATCGTGCCCACACTGCCTACCTACATGATCCTTCCTTACCCGTGTTCCCGTGTAGGTGCGCCCAAGTTCAATGACATTCCAAGCTCAATGACACTTTTTTTGAATTCAACGCTTAACTACATGTCTAAACTAGTGGTATCTTTATAGTTGCTCCTTTTCTTTCTCCAGTATCTTCTGGTCTCGTTGGGCCCATCTAATATATTTTTTCATCTGCTCCAACGCCTTATCTTTCAAGGCAGCGATTAGCATCCTTAATAGATAAAACACCTCCTGTCTGCAATGGCCGTGAGCTCTTTTCCTACTTAGGCGTTTGTTGACCTGAAGTAGCTCCTTGATATCTTGTTGGTGTTGAGCTGCCAGCTCAGCTTGAATGAGACTAACTATGAATATGTGGTCTAACCTGCCTCGTAGGTGGTCATTCATAATATCATGAACTTAGATGCTTCATCTATTGCTTTCTGAGCTTTATTGATTGAAGTCCTGAGCCTATCAACAGTAGTAGGTGGGGATACTGAAGATGAGGGATGGGGTGGTGGTGTTGAATCTCCATTATATACATTATATACGAGAAGCTCCGGTCCAGTAGGGAGATATTGTTCACGTAGTGATTGAAGCACAGTATCAGGTTCGAATGGCCATATTCCTCGTTCTTCGAAGCTGGATTGATTGTATGGTATTTGAAGGTGTTCTATTAGGAATCCAATAATTAGTTAGTATAAGAACTCCCATTTATCAATCTCACATACTCCCAAGCGGACCATAGAGTTAATTGCCTTCCCATGATAGTGTTTATACTGTTGAAGTAGACTGCCATCAAGAGGTTGAAGAAGATATGTAGAATGAGGTGGAAAGCAATATAATATTATATGTTTCTTCCGGCAGAATTGAATGAATTCAAAGGTGAGATGGGAGCCATGATTATCCATTAGGAGCCGTTTTTGACCATGAGCTCGTGCCAGGTACAGCGAAAATGACCAAGCGTTCTACATGACGAATCTCAGTCTGTGCTTTTGGGCCCTGCCGCTGATACTGTGACAAAATTTTCTCACGCAGAATCCAATCAGCACTGAATGTCTTGACCGGATGTCCATTGATAGTCAATATCATTCGGCTAGCAGTCTGGAGATTGTACTGAGGCCGCTGTGGCCAGCTTTGGTAATCAGACACCTCAAGTTCCACCAGTTGCTCCTTGCCTCCCGGCAAGCGGAGTCTGTAAGCCGGGATGATGTGGCCAAACTGGTTAACCGGACCAAAATCAGATGGAAATGATGTGGGAAGCTGGGTGTTTAGCCGGTCCGCTGTAATCTGATGCTGATCCACATGGATCACTAAATCCACATCTTCTGTCCTTCAATTTGGGTCATGGGTCAAAAGGCAGACAGCAGCACCACCTATGATTGCATAGTCAATCTGCAATGTATCCGGTCTTTGCGCCAGCGTTGAGGCTATGGACCTTAATTGCTCGGGATGGAGAAGAGGCATCGCATTGAAAGCCTTCTGTAAGTCACTATGAGACGAGGTCACATATTGGAGTAGAGCTTGATAATACAGATTTAGGCTTACCGCAATTGTTCAAAGCGTCAGACTTTGCACTGGATTGTTCGCACTGGATTGTTCGCACTGGATTGTTCGCACTGGATTGTTCGCACTGGATTGTTCGCACTGGATTGTTCGCACTGGATTGTTTGTGGATGTGAAAGGTTCTTAGGTTGTTTACTTTCAACAGTCAAGAATGGGTCAGATCCCATACTTATTGATATTGTTTTCCGTTTGCATCATTTGTATCTGCTCAAGACGTTCTGAAATATCCAGCAGTAATTGAAACAAAGGGCATCATTGCCATAGTCACCTGGCAAGTAAGGAGCGAGAGGTGCAAGACTCACTGTAGTGGTTATTCAAATAATGTGATAGGGCACCTTCCCCAGCTTTCTCACCGGGGACAGTTGCAGTTTCATGACTTAGATAGGAGAAATGACAATCACCAAATCAACACCGATATTGACAAAGTAGTGAGCAAAAGTGGCCGTCAGAAAAGTCAATAGATCTCCCCTGCTCCTCATTTTCCCATTCAGTCCATTGCCAGATGGACTGGTATACATTGGAAGCTATCCAAGAACATCCAAGTGATTTCTATTGCGGCATTGAGTGCAATAACCGTATAACTGATATAGCAGAAGGCCGTCCACTCAAAGATTTGCAAGAGGAATAGACAAACGGATATTTTTACCAGGGATATTTGGACTTTATACACTAGGCAAAAGTGTAGAAGCACTGCAATGTTGTCAACACGATCCATGGACAGGAACAGGTTTGGAAAGTGACAAACGTTGTACATGTCCGGGATGTCGTCCGTTGGAACGATGTCCCATATACTCTTGCCAAAGCCATGGTGGATCACTGGGAGACATTGGACCTCAAGCGTCGAACACTGCCCCATTGGATTGATTTAATCTTACCTGAAGCATTTATTGCAAAGACCACTACACCCAGAGCCTGATGTCCGGTCAATAATTGAGCAGGTCCAACATTTAAGAAATAGCGACGACTCTTACCCATGCTACAATGATAGTAAAGTCATCAGGTCCCAAAATGCCTCCAAGATGCATAGATTTGGCAGCTGTCCCTTGACCCGATCATGTGTGCATAGCTAACTTCTATTGATCAGCCATGTTCATGAGCAAGAATGACTGGTCTCTTGGTTACTCTCGACCACTGTATAAGGCAGGTATTTAGATCGAATAGGTGGTTGGTTTCCCTTGGACAGAGTAATCGTGTAAAAACTTGTTGAAGGAAGAGCATGCAGTAAGGATGAATACTTCTACGGTATCACCCCCGTCCAAACCTGAGCATACCTCCCGGGTCCGTTTGGATCGAACGCATCAAAAACATGTCTCTGTGTGCTCCCCGCGCCTACAGTATCGATGATCGCATCAACGCCTCTAGAGCCCGTGGTTACCGATTTTATTCCCGTGACTAATGATGTTGAGCTTCTATCGAAGACACCGTGAACGCCGAGAACATTTGTGATACGCTTGTGGTGTTTCAGGAACTAGTCGCCAGGATCGTGCAGTCCGGGACAGCGAGACGAAGAAGTTGAATTACTGCCGCACCGAGCGAGAACTTCCTCCTAGAACCGGGATGGAAGAGGGTTCGAAGCCTGTCGTTGGTCCCCCCGGTAGGAAGGGGAGTTTGGTCCTCAGATTGATTCCTAGGCCGACTTGGTATTGTGTTTTGTCATTGTACAGGATCTATTTATGTACTGTTTGTTGTCAGGTCGTTCTTTGACTGTGGATTGGATTGTTCTTGTGATTGTAATAGTCTTGGGAATAGTATCCCTTTTGGTCTGTGTATGGTATGGGCTTTAGGATAAAGTCGATGAGAAGATGTGTCAACATTGGATGGTCTGTATACCAGTTCAGCCTATAACTGTAGACATGAAAATTTCTTTGATCTGAGTCCGGGAGTTGAATCAGTCATGATCGATAGCACGGAATTAACATGGGCATTGCCGGAGTTAGTCGGACTTCGGAGAAGATCCTTAATACAAAGTATCCGCATCAGAGAGATAATAATCACGGTGAAGAGGGCGGAATAATCGGTAATAAGCAGTTTCATAGCAGTGACTTGAGCCGGATGGGATTGAGGACTCGACATTGAATCTTTGTTTGTACAAGTTGAGGGAGCACTATTTTCCATTTACAGCGTACGCAGTATAATGCAGTTCATCTATATTTAGATATGACGTTGTAGTACCGGTGTAGGCTCTGCAACCATGGTTGAGGCAGCAACGATAACAACGGCGATCGGCGATCTTAGTCGCCGCCAAGATCTGTAGCATTATTGACATTATCCATTTAATCCATTAGGGTAGATAGGTGTTCTACGAGCATCATCCTCTGACCAGAGTAGCCGATCTGACGGGCTGTAGAATTGATAACACGAAAAAGTTTAGGAGACGCGTCAGGAAAGGGAGAACAAGATGTATTCAAAGACCTGAACCAAAGCCACATGCTCCGCAACTTTAAGGAGTGCAATGCAATGCAAGAAAGGGAGAGCAGTACTTCGTACCTAGCTATTATAATCTACCTCTTACATGGGATCAGGAATCCCGCGGTGGTCTGAAGTCCACAGACCGCGTCCACGGCCACGGCTCAGAAAGGGGTACAGTACTCCGTACTCCGTATACAAGCACAGTTGTTGGGCCGGCAATGGCAACTGTTGAGCGGCGGCTGTCAATGCAGGGGAGTGTGGATGCATCTAGTTCCATTGAATGGACTCGGTAAGTTTAGAAAGATATCTAGGGAAGGTTCTGGGGGTGCCTAGGTACGGAGTATCGATCTGGTTATATCCATCCCTGAAACCAATGACTCGACCGACACGGAGGACTGAATTTGGAAGAGATGCCTGAATCAATGTGTAACAAATGGTGAGGCTGTCGGACGAGTCGAGTAGCTATCTCCTGAGGCAGGGATGCAAGCCATCATACGATGCCGGAAAAGGCAATCCTGCGAGGAGGATCAATTATGGATAACGATGGTATAAGGTTATTCCGCCGGCAGATGGGTACTTGGCACCATAGATGCATGTGCATGTTGCCATTTGTACTGAATTCTCCGAAGATGGTTATTGCTGGTCTTATCCATCAGATATTAGACACTACCTCAGGCACGTCGTATTGATATATTTACGATTCGTGAATAATAATCATCCACGCCTCAGGTTGATCCTTTGATCCTTCGATACGGCATACTCGTGTAAGGCTCGGGATGACGTCGTCGTTCACATGAAGTGATGTCCAACGTACTTGAACGTGAGAGTTGGACTTTGACCTGATCCTACAAACTATTTATGCATTTAACAATAACCGCTGGCAGCGCAGATATCATGATCCCTGTTGCAGATTCCGGGGAACTGGGGAGCTGCAGTAGTTAGTAGTTTCCGTGTCCTGCATGTCTACCAGTGTAATATGTATCGTACTGAAAGACAGCCGGGCGAGAAGAAAAAGACCCGGAAAGTCACTGACTCACCGTCAGGCACCATGCCGCATACGGCTAGCCTAGTGGGGGATGAAACCACCTGATCCCGAGCATCCTCCGGCCAGAAGGTCAAGCGCGCGGCCTCGCAGAACACGCTGGCCACAGTGCGTTCGTTCTTATTAATGCCCCTGCCTGAGTCCGGGATATTTGATGCGTTTTCTCTCTCTCTTTTCTTCCTCTCAGCTCATAGACTCTGAGAAACACGTATCTACCGTGTACACATTGCCTTTCTTTCTCTCCTTCCTGTCTTGACAGATACTCTCCTCTCAGGACCAGGAGGATCATCCCGCTTATCCGAATCGAGTATAGCCGACCCAATTGGACGGGGTACAACTTGACGAGTCCAATCATCCAGACCGTCTTTTTTTCTCTGCCCCATCCTGCCTTTTTCGCGTCTTTCTCTCTTCCTAACTGTCCTGCAATCCTCCAATTCACCCTCTTCTTTTTCCTTTTCCTCCCTTTTATCCTCATTTTCATATACCCGCGCGTTCATTTGACGAGTTGTCAAATGAACCTGCATTTTTACATTATCACCGGTTTGCAAGGTAAGATCCGACTAGCCGGATCCCGTATATCCGCGGCTTACTGACCGTCGACTCATCTCCAGCATTATTGCCTCTCGTCTCCGAAGAGGTCTCTCCCGTTAAATAAATGGTCTTTAAACCGTTCACGCATCTCGCGCGTCAGAACTTCACCAAAGCCTTCACCCATGGCTACGCTCAATCCGTAGTCGCCGCCTCCCAGTCTTCCTATGCCTCCTCCACAACCTTCAACCAACTTGCGAATCACCCGGCGAAGTTCTCGCGCACCACCCAGCTACAGAATGTCTTCCAGAACCCGTCCGGCTCTGCCGCTCCGGGTGTGAAGGCCAGTCAGGCCAATTCCGGGTCCGGGGATCTTGGATTGGCCGCATACTACGCTGCCTGGCAGCATGCCCAGCAGACTGGCGATGATAGCGATTGGAGACAGTTCCAGTTCAAGAGGAGGATTGGATGGAAGCCGACGATTGGCGACGAAACCGGGAAACCCAAGGATGGCAGCGACTTGTCCGCTACTTCTCCGCACCTCACAAAGGCTTCCGTCAATGTCGATGTTAGTGCTAAGGTCGAGGAGGCTGTTGCCCGAGAAATCGAGATCCAGGAGGAGCAGGCCAAGGCGGAGGAATCTAAAGATGCGGCTCATGCCGAATCGACACAACATGAGTCTGACCAGACTGCTCTGACCGATTTGTCTTCCGACAAATCCAGAGCCGCCTCGGATCTCATTGTGCAACTGGCAAGCGACAAGAAATTTGCTGAAATTCCCGCTGCTTTCGAATCCGCGCTCAAGGACGGTCTTACGCCATCCGTGGACGCCTACAATGCCCTCTTGGTTGCCGCCATTCAACTCCATGTTGATGTGTCCCAGGCCATTCCGAAGGCGCTGGACGTCTATTCTGACATGCTTCGCCGCAAGATTCTCCCTGATGAAAAAACTTACCAGACTCTCGTGGAAATTCTGGTTACCCGTGCAGACGACGTGATCAAGGCCAGGGAAACTCTCGAGCAAGAAAGAGTCCGTTACGGAGGTATGGAGGAACCGGGCAAGTTCATGCTCCATTCGAGCGAGCTGGAACGTGACGTTCTCGCCGAAGACCATTCTCTTGCCATTGCGGTGAAGCTGTTCAACACTTCGACCTCAAGACATACTGAATTGGTGTTCCCTCTTGACGTTTACCGCCGCCTCGTTACCGCCTGCGCCAAGGAGGGCCAGGTTGAGGATATGATTCGAATCTACGCCCACATGGAAACGCATAAAGTGGCACCCCACGCGGCCATTTTCTCACCGATGATCGATGCGTTTGCCGCCACCGGTGACCTGAAGAGTGCTGTTGAGTGTTACAATGAATACCGCAGCTTGGCGGTATCAGACGATAACGGAATCTTCAGCGTCGTTCAACGCCAAGATGGCGAGGTGTATGCCGCACTTATCAGGGCATATCTATCCTGCGGTAAGGAGGACGGCGCTAACCGCTTCCTCGAAAAAATCCGAGAATCATTCGACAGTGTGGAGAACTGTGAAACGCGCCGGCAGGCAATGGAAGCGATCATTGTGGAGCAGGCACTTGTGCAGAATGCTCTCAACAACTCCCAATTCGGCAAGGCGCTGGAACTGGCCAGCACCAAGCTTCCCGAAGGCGCCCTAGATCACGCCATGACCCGAATTTGCATGACAACTGCCGATGTGGGGGATCTCATGATTGCTTCCGAGGCGTACGATCGTTTATCTTCCGATGTGGCTGTCCGTCAGGGACCCGCCATGGCCATGCTGGCTCTTAACGTGCGCCAGGGCAACCTCGCTGCTGCACGCCCCTTCTGGATCATGCTAAGCACTGTGGGTCAGGCTACTTCGGAGATGATCCAGCCGACTGCCATGTATTGCGTTGCCTTACTCAAAAGCGGTCAGGTTGAAGAAGCCCTGACGGAGGCACGAAATATGTTTGCTCGCATCCGCAGTTCTGCTCCTGCCAGCAACCAACTTCATGCCCGTGAACAGATTTCCGAATCCCTCGATCTCCTTGGCCGCGTCCTCATGCAGTCCGCTGCCATTATCTCCCCCCAGGCTGCCATGGCCCTCTTATGGTCCATGGTCGAGAATGGCGGCCTCGTCTCTCCTATTGCAGAGCATGCTATCGCCAGCCTTGGTCCTATGGCCATCTCACAGCTGAACGCCCGTGACCTTACTCTTGCCCTTCAGGTCCAAGCAGGCATGTTGGCCAATAACTCCATGCTGTTTGACATCGCCCATCCCATCCGCTTCGCCCACATGCTCGACGTCGCTATGTCAACGGCATTGCCCATGGACGCCTTCACCACTCGCGTCGTGGACCAGGCTGTTGGCAAGCTGTTCGAGAGCCGACCGGACATGGTCAAGAGATGGCAGGACTATGTTGGGGCGACTGCCAAGTCCCCCTATTTGACTCCCCGTCACAGTCCCTTGTCCGAGTCCACTCCCATGAGCCCGTCGTCCAGCCAGGATTCCTTCGACCCGTATGCCTATGCTACCGATTTCCGGGGGTCGGCGATCATCGCTGATGAGCTTGAGAACCCCAACGGTCGGTCCGAAGCTCATCTCAATGAAGCCCTGATCCGGTTCAAGAACATGCGCCGGATTGGCAGACATCCTCGCTACATAACCTACGCAAAGCTCATCACCGCTGCTGCCAAGAACAACCGTTCTGACCTCGTCCATGAAATCGTCAGCATGGCCCGTCGCGATGTTCCTCTCATCCCTCAGTACAACGTTGTCAAGTATGGTTGGGTCTCCATCCTTGATGCCATGGTTGCCGCCTGCTTGACCCTCGGCGACCGAAGCCTTGGTGCCAAGTACCACCAGGAGCTATTGGATCTCGGTGCCGCCCCTTCTGCCAATACCTTCGGTCTGTACATCACTACCCTCAAGGAGTCGACCAAGACATTCGATGAAGCCACCGAGGCTCTGAAAATCTTCCACCGTGCCATTGCCGAGGGAGTGGAGCCTACTTCGTTCCTGTACAATGCACTCATCGGCAAGCTTGGCAAGGCCCGTCGTATCGATGACTGCCTTTTGTATTTTGCGGAGATGCGTGCCAATGGTGTTCGCCCTACCAGTGTCACCTACGGAACCATCGTCAACGCGCTGTGCCGTGTCAGTGATGAGCGTTTCGCTGAGGAGATGTTCGAAGAGATGGAATCCATGCCCAACTACAAGCCCCGACCCGCTCCCTATAACTCGATGATCCAGTACTTCCTCAACACCAAGAGGGATCGCAGCAAGGTCCTTGCCTACTATGAACGCATGCAGGCACGGAACATTCAGCCCACGATGCACACATATAAGCTGCTCATTGACGCATATGCATCCTTGGAGCCGGTCGACATGGATGCTGCGGAGCGCATCTTGAACAGCATCAAGGCCTCCGGGCAACACCCCGAAGCGGTGCACTACGCATCTCTGATCCATGCCAAGGGCTGTGTCTTGCACGATATGGAAGCTGCCCGTAAAGTCTTCGACTCCGTGGTGGCGAACCGCCACGTGCGTCTGCAGCCCTGCCTTTACCAGGCTCTCTTCGAAGCGATGGTTGCCAATCACCGTGTGGCAGAGACGACTGAGGTTCTCAAGGACATGCCTGCCCGCAATGTCGAAATGACCGCTTACATTGCTAACACTCTCATCCACGGCTGGGCTGCTGAAGGCAAGATCGAGAATGCCAAGCGTATATATGATAGCATTGGTATTGAGAAGCGGGAACCCAGCACGTATGAGGCCATGACTCGTGCTTTCTTGGCATCCGAGGACCGCGAGAGCGCATCCCGCATTGTGCAGGAGATGCTGTCTCGTGGCTATCCTACTGCTGTAGCCAGCAAGATCTTGGATCTCATCGGCGGTGGTGCTCCAATGGCTACCCTTTGATGGAGCTTCTATGAATATGCGATCACCTTGCCTTATATTTTTCCTAATTTTTTGTTGTTTTGTTTTCTCTTCGTCAACCATACCCATTCTAATGTGACCCGCAGGCGCGCAGGGGCTGGATCCCTATTTCTTTGCAGTTGTTGTTGTCTTTTGTCATCTATCGGTTGCGCCGTTTCCAGCTCAATGACGTCTGCATAAACATTTTGGGGGGAAGGCAACAATCATTTTAGACTTGTTTCTTTTGTTTTTGTTCCAGATTTGCATTCAGCGAGCGGGAAGATGGCGTTTTTTTTTTTTTTTTTTTTTTCTTGGTGAAAATGGCGCATGCAACAATATCTGTGCTGATCTTACATTGTCTACTGTTTCCCTTTTTTGTCTACCGGTATTTGTTTTGTTTAATTATAGACACCTCTCAACTCTCTGGCATTCCGATCGATTGACGGCCTGGATAGGCATGGGATCCAGACAGTGGTTTTCTCTTTTGTCTTTCTTTCTGGTGCATGTTCAATCCATGCCATATCCTGAGCGAGTTTGCTCCTTGCGAGAACTACTTAGGATGATCGAGAATAAAGCCTGTTTATTCTGCATTTTTCTCCAATCGTATGACTGAAGCTGTAGACTGTGTAGTGGTTTGACAATGTATCTACTGACGAGTGGGGAGAGCGATATCCACTGTCGAATTCTTCCTCGCCTCCAGAAGTTAATTTATTTGCTTGGTTGCATGCATTGAACAGTGGAAGAAAATCGAAGACTGCCACAGTTCATCCTTCGGAGCGTTCCCTCCGTAGTCACCCCGCATATAGATAGACGGCCCCTCCTTCTCTTCCCTCCTTGCTCTCGACCATCCTCATCCTTATTTCATTTTATATTTGGCCGGGTTACTGGATCTCCAGGACGCAGTTCTATCTTGGAAAGGGCTCTTGTTTTGATTTTGTATGTTCCAGTGTCGGGCTCGATTGAGCTCATTCTTACGGTTGGTGTCATTGAGTCATACCCGTCCGGCTACTCGGGATTGCTATCTGCGTCCGGGAGACATCTTCGGTTGTACTGTACGTCGTTCGAATATGGGAGACCAGCAGGCGTTATCTGGTAGCGGGGTGAATTTGGGGAATAGTAAGGTCGAGGGACTGCTGCATCATCAGCATCAGCAGTCCAGGCGGCCTAAGAAACTTATTTGTTCGTCACCCGGCCCTTTATCTACCTAGGTACTGTTTTGATTCTGACCACCAATGGTTCTCCAGTCGCCCCTGGTGATATTCCAGACGGCTCGAACCCCAAGATCTCAAGTACAGAGACACCTGATCCGGCGTCTACGCAGTCCAGCACTGCAGCGTCCCGAGGCAATGACGCAGCCGCCGAATTGGGAGTGTCGACGCCCACATCAGACATGGAAGATGAAATGCTTTCGCACCCAGCTCGAGCGCACCAATTCGTAACTAACCCCCCACTTACGATTTCGCAGATGCACCCGTCGAACCCGCTGCACCAGTTCCACGCGTGGTTCCGCGACCCACGACTCACCCCGTCCCTGGCACCGGAAACATGCACGTTGGCGACCGCCTCGCTACCATCGGGCCGAGTCAGTGCCCGTATCGTGTATCTGAAGGAACTAGACGAAAAGGGCTGGGTGATATACAGCAACTGGGGCAGTCGGGAAGGCAAGGGCGGACAGGTATTCGGCGAGAGCGCAGACGGGGGCGACAGTCTCGGTGCGATGCCGCTCCCCGGCGAAACATCAGGAGGGAATAGATGGGGGGCACTCTCTTTCTCCTGGTCGACTGTGGAGCGGCAAGTGAGGATAGAAGGCTTACTGGAACCACTCAGTCGCGAAGAGAGCGAGATATACTGGCGGACTAGGGAACGGGGGAGCCAGATAGGCGGATGGGCCAGTTGGCAGAGTAAGGTGTTGTGGTCCGCGGAGCCGGAGGCGTTGAATACGCTTCAGAAGCAACGACTGAAGAATCCGCATGATCCCACCGCCCCCATGGGAACGACCGACAATAGTAGCACGAAGACCTGCCCGGATGTTCCCGCGGACATCGATGAAACCGATGTCGAGGACGGCCGATCCCTACTCGAGCAACGGGTCAAAGAGATGGAGCAGCGGTTCGCGGGAGTGGAGAAGATTCCCCTTCCCCCATTCTGGGGGGGAGTGCGTCTGGTTCCTGAGTCGGTGGAATTCTGGCAGGGGCGGCGCAGCCGTCTGCATGATCGGTTCAGATATGTCCGTGTGGGCGAGCCGGGGGGTAAAGATGGAAGTAATATGTTTCAGTGGAGGATTGAGAGGTTGTCGCCGTAGTACACCCACCCCTGAAGGGGTGTACTACTATGCATTATGTAGATTGTGTAAAAAACTAAAGGAAGACAGTACTGATTTACCGCATGAAGACGCAGTTAGTCCAAAAGAATGATATCAAGCATTATCATACAGTGGTTAGTAGATCAACCATCTTCAATGCATCATCTACATATCCATCATGGAAAGACTGCCAAGAAACCAACAAAGACAGGACTCCCGCCATCCACCGGTACATAGCCAGCTACACCAGAAGTTGATGCTCAATTCAATTCAATTGCCAATTCCTTTCTCAATTATCAAATTAAACACAGCATACCATGACAGAAACATCCGCACCCTCTGCTTCTGCTTCTGCCCCTTCCTCCAGGGCCAGATGGATCATCCTCGCCATCGCAAGCGGGACATTCGCCGCGTTGAACGGACTATTCGCTAAATTGTACGTTTTATTCGAAGCATTACACTGCAACATTCTTCGTTCAATAGTTAAGAGTCATAATATATTCAATGCCAATGCAATGCTAATGCCAACAAATGAACCAACCAGAACAACAACAACCCAAACAACAGCACTAACAAACACAATCTACCAGCTCCTCCACCCAGATCCCTATACCCCCAATAGCAGCAACAGTCCAAGTCCTCGGGATGGCAATAACAACGACCACCCTCTCCTAGAACTCACCATACGAATCTTCTTCCTCTCCCTAAACGTCCTCTCAAACGTGACGATGTGGGCGCTCTTCACGCGCGCCCTGACGGCCGGTCCGTCTACGACAAAGGTATCTATCACTAATACCGCGAGTAATTTTCTCGTCACGGCGGTGCTGGGGATGGCTGTGTTTGGGGAGGTTGTGGGCGGGCTATGGTGGGTTGGGGCTGGGTTGATGGGGGGTGGGTGTGTGCTTGTTGGGATGGGGCATTCATAAATTATGGCTCCTTGCTCTATTGGTTGTTTGCAGGCTTAGATATAAATAAAAATGGGTTGTGTCTGTTAGGTACTAGGATTTGATTCATCTCTCTTCTAGTTCTACTGGGGCGTCTATTTCCTCTGTCCCGTCGAGGATGTGGTCTCCAGCATGTCCCTGTCCGTATCCATATCCATTGATAGCGGAATGGGCATGATTTCGTACGCGCTCCTTTGTTCGAGACAGTTTCTCTCCAATCCACTGCATAGACTTCCATACCCGCTCTTCCAGAGGTACTTCCTGTCTCGACTCTCCTCCCAATGCAAGCGACGGCCCATTCGTCGCGGCAGCTACATGTTCCTCCGCCTCCACCGTGAACTGATATTTCAGACAGTCCTTGACGGTCACGAGTCCCGATAGTTTCCCGCGGTGCTCGATGAGAATCACTCTCGGACCCATTTTCTTGAAGATATCCATCACCGTCTCCAGAGGTAGTCGCGGATGGACTGTCAATGGCGTGTGTTCCACGTACCGGCTGAAGTCGACGTATTCGGCACCAATATCGGATTGTATAGTGTCGAATGTGGATGCTGCCAGAGTATTTCGTGGGACGGTAGCCCGGCGAGCTACCAATGCATCCAGGGCCTCCTTGGTAAAGGCGCATTTTGCGTGCGGGGAGAGCAATCCCTCGCCGCGGGCGCGTTCGATAGCGTACCGAAGTTCTGTACGGCCTATGTATCCTACTAGTGTCTTTGATGTGCGGTCTTCGACGATGGGAAAACCTTGAAATTTGTTGTCCTGCAGAAGATGCTCTGCTTCGCGCACAGGGAAGTCCGACACGGGGAGTGAGAGGGGATCAGCTGTCATGGCGTGAGAAACTGGGACGTTGAATACATGTTCCTCTTTATTATCCAGGAATGGAAATCCGCTGAACCAAATCATCCGGTCCGCAATGCCGCCGCTGCCAAATCGATCTGCCACGGCTTTGGTAACACCCACTACGATCTGGGCACGTTAGAACGGTTGAAACACAGTTTTCATTTGTGAAAAGAATGGGCAAATCTCACCAAGGTAGGAAGAATATACGTCAGAGCTCCCGTCAGTTCGAACATGATGACCGTTACTGAGATGGTCAAATGCATGATTCCGCTGAGCGCCGCTCCAGCTCCTAGAAAGGCGTACGTTCCCGGTGTAATACATGGAACGTCTGGCTCACAAAAAGCAAAGAACTGGGAATCAGGAAAGGTCTCTTGCAGACTCCTGACCATCATTCCAACCATACGGCCAAAAGATGCCCCCACAGCCATCGATGGCACAAAGATTCCGGCTGGCACTTTACAGCCATATGATATAATGACCAGGAATGTCCGGAGAATCGTCGCAATTGCCAGTAAAAAAACCATGGTCCACCGTTTCTTGGTCCTGTCTCTCGTTAGGAATTTCTTCGTAGAAGTGTGTAGATTCATAACTACTCACTCGCAAAGACCGCCGTAATCATTAGCCCCTTCACATTCACGGAACAGAATTTCCATCATTTCCGTCATGTTGATTCTCAGAAACATATTCGGGTAGCATAAAATGGCGGTAATGCCAGCCAATATCACTGATTCAGTGATGGGATATTTAGAAAGATACTTCTTCCGGAAAGCTTGAACTCGGAGGTTCCATTTGATCACAAACGCGCCGTATAACCCGCCAAAAATGCCGAGTATAACGAAGAAGAGAAGTTCGAAAAAATGCCATTTGCGGTCATACTGCACTTGAAACATAACCAATTGCCCGGTTCTGAATGGATTCATCGCCTGACGCTGAGTTAGAAGTTTCAGCAAAGCCAAAAGTTTCTCAGTATTTGCGTACCGCTAGCACACTGGTAGCCACCAAAGCGCAAAAGTAACTTCGCCAGAGGGTTTTCAGGGGAAAGTAAGAAGACATCTCCTGTACGCCAGTTAGCAGCCATTGGCACACCTTGGGATGTCCCAAATACATGTCTCCATGGCATACCTCAAGTGAAAAAAGAACCCCGCCTATGGGACTACCAAATGCAACAGCCACACCAGCTGCAGCTGCAGCTGTCAGGATTTCTCGGGTCTTCGCAGCATTTCGCCTGTATTTGCTGAAGAAACGCGAGATCACATTTCCTGTGCATACGGCGAAATGCACACTGGGCCCTTCCTTACCCACAGACAGTCCGGATGCAATGGCCAAAGGCAATCCGATTGACTTGATTACCAGTGTCCATACGCCCAGAAAGCCTTTCATGACGAAGCCCGCAATGATACATTTGATCTCCGATATCCCGGACCCGGCTGCATAGGGAGCAAAAGATTTGACCAGGGCAGCGGCTATGAATGCGAACAGAACCTTTACATCGGTTAGCTGCAAATAATCACGGAAATGGAGGGATTGTATGCACGCACGGCAAAGAAAAAGTAGAAAACGTAATTCAGAAGCCCAAACGACGTCCAACGCTTCCATTCGGGACAACCTACAAACCAAGAGAAGATAGGTAAGCATCATACAAAACAGATAATCTGAAACAGCTTAGCGAAATATATACCCTCCTCTGCCCCCCAGCAGCAGAACTGCTCATTGAGATAGAATGCAGTCGTGCAATACCCTAACTTGACATCCGACAACCACTCCGTGACGATGTTGAGAAAAGCCGAATTCAATCCAATTGCGGCACCAACAATCGTAACCACCAACCAGGCCTGTCCAGCATCGTAGGACTCGCGCACCTTACGCCTCCATCCAAAGGTGCCCTCTTGATCCCAGAATCCAGAGCCTTCTCGTCGTTTGGCCCGCCTCCGAAATTGCTCGTGCAGCTCATCCTGAACCCAGTCAATCGTGTTGAAGTCCTCGTAGCGTTTAATCTCATTTATTTCTTCCGTGATGGCGGGCGCATGTCCGTTGTCGACAGGCGGACGTTGCTGATCTATCGGTGAATTGATAGAGAAACCAGATAACCTGCGCACGACTCGACGATCGGGGGTGAGTGAGCGTGAGCGGGCGGTAGTCGATGAAGAGCGAATCGAGGTCATCACATCGGTTATTCTGGTTGCATATTTTATATCGGGTTAACCAGATGTCCTGGCGACAAGGCTGTGTTTCGAGGTGTGAGCAATCACTGTCAACTGTGGAAATGGGTTGCCTGTCGCATGTGAGATCCGCAATGTTTCGCTCGCACGGAGTAGATTGCAGTTGTCGCAGGCCAGGCGAGGATCAAAAGACAAGAATTGCGTAGTAGAAGAACGCTGTCAGCTTGTCTGCTTGCAGGGGGGGTTATCTGCAGGAGGATCGGCCTAAGCTGTCAATTACGCATGCCGACAATTAAACTCGCGCTTGTCGCTTTTCATCCGCGCGTCGCGCCATTCTTCTCTTCTTGGAAAACTCCCAGGACTCGAAAGGCGTTAAGCTAGCGGACATTACTGCGGGGTATATTTCGTTTCTCTCCTCTGTTAGAAACTCCATCTGCCTCTTCAGACCTATGCTATGGCTCCCAAGCATCCGGACGTGTCCTCCGATGAAATCACCGGCCAGAGCGCCCTGCCCAGTGCGTCTGAAGCGACCCTGTTCCTTTTTAACGTATCTAATTAACGCGTTATCCAGTCTCCCGAATAAAGAAGATTATCCAGCTAGACGATGATGTCGTACAGTGCTCTCATAATGCTACGTTTCTCATTACAGCGGCTACAGTATGTCGCCCCTCCCCAGCCTTGGACAAAGAGGGCTTACCTGTTCTCTCTTCTACCCCATCTAGGAAATGTTCATTCGATATCTTGCAGAGCAAGGACACAACGTTGTCAAGTCAGAACGAAAACCACGAAAGACAATCCAATACAAAGATTTAGGTTGGTAGACACTACATACTGCACACACCGCAGCAGATAATGTCACGGCAAGCTGACATACGCGGTAAGCAACGGCGGTTTCACGGATCGATAACCTCGAATTCCTGGCCGATGTCATTCCCAGGACGACTACCTACAAGCAATTTAAGGAGAGCAAGGCGAAGGAGGCAGCTAAGAATAACACCGTGAGGGAAAAAGGACAGCGTACGTTGAATGGGACTATCCCATTGCACAGCAAGACCAATGGCGAGCCAATGGATCCACAAAATTCACCGGGTTCTCAAGCGGGGACAATGAATGCACATGCTCCGACATCATTGAGCGCGCTCATGGTCGAGGAAACAGCCGAGAGTTCATCAGCCGCGCCGGCTGGCGAGGACGTGGAAATGGCGGATTAAAGAAGAAAGCATTTGATTTCGGTCGGGAGTCTTCGATATCTGCATCTTGGAGTTCACGCGGTCCCCAATGTTTAACACCATGGGTATAGAGACTTTGGATTTGCATAATTGGGTAGGGCTTATGATTATTGCGTTGGTTCTGGTATGTCCGAGACGATCTCGGTTTTCCGCTTGCGGTCTGGATGGACATTGTCCACCACGTCATTCGGTTTATCTTTCCATCAGACGACCGGGGGGTTGAATATGCCCGCATATACTACCAACGCCCAAACAACAAGGGCCGATTTCGACCCTTGAGAGGTTTTCGTCACTCCGTTAGGCCATCGCTGATGATGCTGTCCGGTTTGGCGTGAGACGTTGTGCAGGCTACGGAAGTCCCTCAAAGTCTCGCTACCGGTGGAAGAGTAAGAGGCTAGCGTGAACAGGCATTGCCTAGGAGAGTCGTCCAGGGACTACTGGACAGTGGGTCATAGACTGGATCGGTCATTGCAAGATTGGAGAAGAAGTCTAAGCGGAAGGGATTCATGTACGGATAGATGAATATCAGAAGCAGAGTCATAGATCTCTGCTATCAGACACGATATCCCTCACTTCGCACCCTGTCAGCATGTGGAAATGTAATAGAAGCTTAGTCCTTTTCTAATTCCACTCTATTTTCTGGGGCCATCGGTCAACTCAGTTTCAGCATCCTGGGCTGCCCGGCCCATTAACCAAGGATCAAACATAAGTTCTTCACATTCTGGCCGCTCCGGAAGCCAGCGGAGCATTCTGCGCACGAAAAGCAGAAAACCCTCATTATTTTTGCCAGTATCATTAGCGCCTAGCTTTTCAAGCGTTACATCTGGTATTGGCACTACTCCTTATCAAGCTCCTGATACAACGCAGAATAAAAGTCTGGATGACCTTTTAAGGGTAGAGATGGGTATAGTATAAGCAGGCTAGGACACCACCTACTGTCTTCATTCCACAAAGCGTGTGCCATTCTTGTTGCTCTCTCGGGAGATTTTGCTGGCCGGGGATCCTTAATGGCAACCATTTCAGCAATATGAACGCGATCCTGACAACGTGCCGTCATGGCTTCGGCCCTTAGAACAAAACAAAGGGGCTCCAGTAACACTGTGCCGGATCTACGTAAGAAATTTCTGCGAGATGAGCACCGAACGGAGCGGGAATAAAAGGGATAGGAACAGTTCTTTCTTACCACCATTGCCATGCTCTAGATATCGCCTTTGTATTTCCACTTCATATGCAGGATAACCTCAGGTGCCTTGTATAAGCCCGGCATTATGTCCTCTCCGGGAGTGCCGGCTTCTTCGTCGAACCGGGCTACCTCCAAGTCACTTAGAAGTAGAAAGCTATAGGGCATAGGCATCTGATGTGTTGCACATATGATTCGGTCCTTTAGTATCTTCCTGGTGGCAGGTTGAATAAACCGGCATTCTCAGAGACTGAGAATACCGACGGATCGTCCATCCCAGCAAGGAAGTTTTTGATTTGTAAATCTGAGAAATAAAATGGTTGACTGGATTCCCCCTGCGAGAACTTCTATTTCTGCTGAGGAAGCGACGAAAGGACGTACCTGTATGTATGATTCCCGCCTTGGCATGAAGAAAGCCAACGGCGTCAATCAACATTTGGCGCAGAGACGGCTTCAAGGTCTCAAGAGAAAACTTCCAGCCTGGCTGAAACTCTAGGATTTGATGGAGACTTCGACCCGGGGTTCATGAATGAGGCAGAGATGGGTGCCATGGGGCTCTTCTACCTGGAAAGATCTGAGTAGCTTGCGGATAAGCCTCTTCCAAGGGTGATCTGGTGATTATATTGAACCCAAACCTTCACAGATCTTAAGTTCACGAGATTTATGAGTGATGGAGGTGCAAATAGCTTGAGAGCCACGTAGCGAGGTTCCCTGGAGGAATCGTTGGTTGAAACTGCATCACAGGTGTGTCCAACCTCTCAAGTTATAAATATCACTTACAAAAGATCATGGGCCAGCCAGACGGTGGAAGATATGCCATAGCCCAGTTTACCAACAATGCGATACTTTCTTTCATGCACATCCCCAAAGCGCATCAGATGGTACTTCTCAGGGGAGTATCTGGGGGTATTTCCCCTTCAACCTCTTCAGATGCATCGATTACTTCAAAACCAGAGGTTGGAAAGGGCCGTGGCAGAGGATGTAGCCAATTGGACGTCATCGTCCTGCGAATAGTATGTGGCTTGAAAGGTAAGTAATGCGAACTGGCCAACAAGGAATAATCCACTCTTTTTTTGGAGTGGCATAATGGACCAGACCAAGTATCATGCATCCTTCAAGCACATGTATGCAACCGATGCGTCTCTTTTTGATGGATAAAATCCCAAGACGGTGACCGTTATTTCCAGACGTCTATACGTAGATGTTGATCAGTGTATCATCGACTAGAGGTCGACTCCAAGTCCATCACTGAGACAGCCATGATAGGAAGTAAATTGTCCATGTATTTTGAATGAGGACTGCAAAAATAGAACTGTTGACTACATCCAGAGTGTTTCGGTCGTGTTGGAGTATACTCGGAGAGCAAAGTTCGGATGATGCCGGGACGACGAACGTCGCTGGCAGCAGCACACTGCGAGACTCAGGACAAGAACAGGGATATTTCGAAGCAGTCCCTGTAAATAAGCAATTGAATATATGATGAAAGAAAGAAATAAAAGAACTGAAGTAATCGATGAAAAAGCGAGAAAAGCGCAAAGGCGACGGCGGGAAGCCAGCCAATGAGGCTCGCCGTGATTCCGATCGCCTGTTGTTAGCGAAAGCTCTACCGGAACTCCGTCTCGACGATTACTTGCAACCTCCAACTTCGAGACATTCCTCCCTCGCTCTCTGCTCCACGCCAGCGGCCTCCCCGATCTCCTCTCATCGTCCCCTCTCCTGGTCTTCTGCAATTGATTCCCTGTCGATTGCGACCGTTCGCCATGTCTCTCTCCTCCGCCTCCGCGTCCCTGCTGCGCGCCTGCGCCAGACAGCAACTTCCTACCGCCCGTCTTGCTCTCGCCTCTTGCCAGCAACGGAGGGGAGTCGCTGATGCTAAGTCCTCTTTTGACAGCCCCTTCGGTTCCACCAAGGATTTCACCTCGACCCTGAAGGTCCCCGATTTCAGCCACTACTCTTCCAAGTCTTCTTCCCGGGGGAACCAGGTCTTCTCTTACTTCGTTGCGGGAACCATGGGTCTTGTGTCTGCTGCTGGCGCTAAGGCTACCGTCCAGGGTATGTTCAATTGGACCCGATTACCTAGGATTTGAGGAAAATAGGGGGGAGGGGGAAGTTTCGTGTGGTGAAGATGGATGGAATGTGGTTCGGATGGCCCAGAACAGGAAACGATTGGAATTGAAGGAATTGCCGTGGCTCTTTGAAGAAACGGATTGCTGATTTTCAACCCAAATATATCCAGACTTCCTTGTCAACATGTCCGCCTCCGCCGACGTTCTCGCCCAGGCTAAGGTTGAGGTTGGCCTTGCATCCATCCCGGAGGGCAAGAATGTACGTTTCCCCCGGGTTTCCCCGCACCAAACATCGTTTTTCTGCGTGCCGCTCTTTTTTTTCCGTTGCTACTAAGGATCTCTGACCATTGGGTTTGTCGATTGAATAGGTTATTATCAAGTGGCGTGGCAAGCCCGTTTTCATCCGTCACCGCACCCAGGAGGAGATCGATGAAGCCCGTAACGCCAACTGGCAATCGCTCCGCGATCCTCAGTCTGACGAGGACCGTACCCAGAAGCCCGAGTGGCTGGTCATGCTTGGTATGTTGCATTCATCTATAATTTTCCTATGTTATCGTTGAGACAGGCTGACCGTTGTCCTCCCTCTGCCTGTAGGTGTCTGCACTCACCTTGGTTGTGTCCCAATCGGTGAAGCTGGTGATTTCGGCGGCTGGTTCTGCCCCTGCCACGGTTCTCACTACGATATTTCTGGCCGTATTAGGAAGGGTCCCGCACCTCTGAACCTGGAGGTTCCCACCTACAGCTTCCCCAGTGAGGATAGCCTGGTCATTGGTTAAAGGGGCTGATATAATCTATCCTCATAACAACGGCAGTTGAAGGCCCAATCGATGTACTATGTAGATTTATAGTAGCGGAGGACGAAGGGGTCGTGGTATAGATGAGAATCTTACGTGTGTCACTACCAATACTGTTGGTGTTTTCTTTTTCTTTTTTTCTTCTTTAATTTGGACAGATAAGAAAGCAATCATTTTCTTTACCTCTTTTTCTCTTGCACCTTTCGAACTAGCTAGCCCACTGTAAGACCGTAGTGGACAGCCAGGTTGGATATCATCTCTATCCTTACTGATCTGATATATAAACCAGGACCATCTTAAATATTTTTATCAAGAGCATTCGATATTTTAGCCTAGGAAATACCCAATGGGCATCCTGTTAACCACAATCCATGCTAGATCTGTCCCTGACATAGCAAATATTTATGAACTTTTTATCACTTGAAACTGTACATCATAGTAGATGCATTCGGGACAAATGGTAAATAAATGATATCTATAGGGCCTTTCCAAAATGGAAGATAATGCAGATGCAGATGACGCCGATGAAGGTCTAAAAAAAGAAAGGAAAAGAGATATGCACCTGTTGAACTATTGGGACAAGAAAAAAAATCACCAAGAACGCATAAATACGATCAATAAACCGGTGACTGTTGCGCCGAGCACGGCGCTTTGCATGGCAACGTTGGTTATGTCACGTTTCGAGATGACGATAGTATGGTCGCTGAAGCAGTCTTGCAGGTAGTCTATTGAAGTTTCGACGGCGGAGGGGTGGCGGAATTCAGAGAGTCGGGACTTACAGGTTTCGAGGAAATTGTATATTCTGTTATCGCTGGTCGTTGGGGTGGGTAATCGGGGTTGCTGCTTTTTCTCGAAGAGTTCCGTATCATCGACTATCACGTTTGAGATGATTGGTTCGTCATCTTCAGTGATGATCGGGACTTCCTCGACCACGGTGTCTGCTTCGTCGGGGGTGATCTTCTTAGGAGATTCTGGGATTTGGTGCATGGCCTTTTCTCTTTCTATGGCTTCGATGACTTTCTCCTCGAAGCCGGTCACGAGTCGGCGTCGCCGCCATGGCTCTACTGCCACTTGGAAGATGAGGAAGAGGAGAACGTTCACGCCCATGAGGCCCCAGGTTCCCCAGGTACTCATGCGGCGGATCTTGTCTGACCAGACCTGCTCCTCGTGGTAACGGGAGAGGATGGCTTTGCTCAATTGTGCAGCTGCCTCTTCTGCTTCCTGTTCTGCTCTAGTTAGAGCCTCTTGTGCTTCGGCCTCGGCCACTTCGTTCGCGTGGTCGTTGCGATAGAGACTAGTGAATCGTTCCAGATCAGTCGCTGACCAGTTATGTTTGCGTTGAAGTAGCTCGTTGACTTCGCGTTGGGAGGCAGATCGCCGGTTTATGGCGTCCGTATAGGCCTCTTTGGCCTCGCGAACCCGTTGCCTGCTATCGCGGGCTCGCTGCTCTGTCGGCCGTGAAGGTCCCAGACGTTAGAAAGAAAAACACATAACCATAACATGACATATACCAGGGAAGGCCACAGCTACTTACCTTGCTCATGGATTTGTTTCTTCAGGGCCTCAATGGAAGAATACCCGGTAAGATCATTCAGGTGCTGGCCCGCGACAAAAATATTCGATTGAAGATCATCCATCATCGAACTGAACTTCTTCGCAAACTGCGACCTACGACTCTCTAGGTAGGACGGTAAACGCCCATTCCCTATGCTGAAATCACTCCAATCGTTTTTTTTGGCACCGTCCTTCCCAACTTCCGCCGAGGAGCGAGAAATCCGCTGACTCCGTACATTTGTATCCGTATCTGGCTTTTGAACACCCTCAACCCCGCCCTCATCAGAAGTATGAAGGCTTTGCTGCGAATATATATCCAATTCCTGTGGCCGTGGGCCTCCCTCAGACACAGACGTTGTCAAAGAAGGATCCGGGCCTGACTCCGAAATTTTCACGTTCCCGACACTCCCGTCTTTCGGTCTGTCTTTGTCCACCTCATGCAACAGCGTAGGATGTAACCGGAATTGGCATTGTCGACAGATCGAGAAGCTCTGCGTTTGTTCTCGGTGGTAAATATGAGCTTTCGGGACCGCCGCGGATAGCGGGAACTGCGCTCGGCCGGGATGGGACGATGTTCGTGCGATACTAATGCTGGATCTGAGAGATTGCCTCAGAAACAATGGCATGGACTGCATTGCCAGAGCTGAAGCCAACGGGGGAATCCCGACTGGTTGGTTGTTGGAACACCGTTGAGGGTTGGGAAGGAAGTGGTGGTTCTCGAGGTACTACTGCGGCCTACGGGGAACTTGGCGTGGGCGGTGGGCGGATGTTTTAGGGTCAGGATCTGATAAGTTCCGATCCCTTCTTCAGTGCCATGAACTGATTTACACTGAGCAGTATTTAATGGCGTGTATTTGAATGGTACTCATAGTTCATAGGAAGTAATCCATTATGAAACAATCACACAATATTGCGGAATAAATGCTAATTACTGCAAGTACTTCATACACGGAGCATAACTGTCCAGATAATAAATCCAACTCTTATCGCAACAACGTTAAAAATAAGCCAATTATTCCTCATTACCTTTCATTTGATGTTATTCCCTTGCTAGAGCTCCCAGGGGGTGTTTCTATATCCGTGAGAATAGATTCAAACACACACCTTCACCGACACTGGAGACGAGATGTCATATTGCTCTCTCTCGCACAAAGAAACAGTATTTATCAATGTTCCCATCATGTTCTAAAACAAACCATGTGCATCCATAAAGTACATCCATTGTCGAGTGAGATATTATGGAAGTTCGTTGAAGCAGCTCGAAGATTGATATCAAAGACTTTGCGTACCGGCGTAACTCATATCTTGCATTGCGTGTCTAGATGCAACTAGTCATGCGACTGGATCTTGTAGTCCCCCCTAACGGCTTCAGCATAGGTCGGTGGTGCCCTGGTCTCCTGCGCATCCTGGCTGCTGCTACCAGCTGTATCCGCATTTTGCTGTTGCTGCGAGTATTGAGGTGACGGGTGTTGTTGCGGGGTATGTGATTCCACGGTACCGTAGTTCCTCCGGGAATGGCTCGGGGCATGTTCATGGGCGACGACATAATATGTTACACGACCATCCTCGACGTCCCCTCGAATGGGCGCATAGTTCGGGTCATCGATGTCAGGTTCTGGATATTTAAGGATGATGTACCATGCGTGTAAGAGACCAGGAACGTAACCGAGACAGCAGAGGGCAATATTGATGAGCGAGTCGGCTGTGCAGATGCCGACTTTGATCCATACTACGCAAGAAACTGTTAGTACGAAATGTCTTTCTTTCTAGAAATTTAAGGCTTGTAATAAAAGAGCAGTCTCAATGAATAGTATTCATGAAGGAGCAAGCCCTGGCCACTCACCTGAAATTGGTGGGAAGAAGACTGCAAGAATTGCAAGGAAGAGGTCTGAACCACACATTGCTAGGTGGCGTGACTTTCCTCTCTATGAAGTGGCTCCAAATGTTATATCTAATGTTAATATTGCAGTAATTTCTTCGCAATGACTGTTCAAGTTGATTAGTCAAGACGCAAGCAGGGAGAGTATTATAACTAATAGAGGCTCAAGGGAGAGCGAGGGGGAAATGCAGGCGCCTGATATCAACGATTTCCCGGATGTCAGATGACGTCGGCGCAGAAGGGTAGATCACATGATGCAGACCGTATTGCTTGATGACTAATAATATTGTCTATACCAAAATAAGAAAAGGCTAAATCAATCTATCCATGGATGGAGTTCATCCTTTGTACAACATCTCATAGATGATGTAGTATGTGCTAATCACTCCGTGATATACATGCTGAGGCATATCGCACAAGATCAAAGCAAGGTAAACCCGCCATCAGTACTGATACAACTCCCAGTCGCATTGGTATCTTTCATAAGATACACATATGCTTCAGCCACCTCTTCCACTGACCCAACCTTACCCAAGGTTGTCTTCCGAGCATAAGTCTCTGCCGTGGGGCCCAAAAGAGGCGTATTGACAGGACCAGGACTGTCAATATGAATCCTGCTGTTTTCTTTTCGTGTTTGATATCCGGACGCCGCACCCCTGATCCACTTCAGATATCTTCGACTTCCGTTCTGATCCTGTTGTAGTTCTTTGAGCTACATCTTGCCTATCTACCTGTACCATAGCCTGACCCAATCCAATCGATATCTATTTTCTGAATCCGTTTCCTGACCATCTTAAACCTTCACTTTCAGTCAGTAATAAGAGTATTAGAGGTCAAACTTGTCTAGTCTGGTCAATAGATCTTTTTAAGGCATTTAGGCCACGGCTATTCCCTCATGCATGGAACTGAAGTCTTCATAAGCTGACATCTCCTTTTTCTCTTTAGCTACTTCAATGGACAAGACATACACCCATAGACAACACATCAAAGTTCTGTTGGTGGTTCCTATGGTTCACTCCTTCCTAGTTAGTTAGCTAGAACAACCAACTCAGCCAGTTCAATCCCCGTCAGGAAGTTCCAGCAGCTCTCCTCCTTTCGCGTATTGGATATTCATCTGCTCAAATACAGGTAGCAAAGAGCCACCCTTCTCAAACTTCTGCTTCAACTGATGCACATCTCCTATGTCTGAGGCATCATTGATAATCTGCTGAGCAAGATCATGGATCTTATTTTTGAGGGTTTTCATATCATGCCTGTCCCATTTGTCCATTTCCATTAGGGAGCAGCGAATGTCAAAAGCCTTAATAACCTGATGTGGATAATGGTAGACATTTCTTGCTGCTTCACTGTATGGGATGCCATAGACTTTAAGAAAATCCTCTTTGTATGCAGCAACATATTTTGGTTTGTAGGTTTTAGCAAGTTCAATAGCCTGGATATCTCCCACAATATCTCCACCGTGGGCTACTTCATTCCTTGAATTGACCACAGCTGAGTCCCTTTCATATAATTCTAAACATCGTATTAGGGCTCTTCGTGATTCTAATGCTCCAAATCGGAGTTTTTTGCGATTTTGACTTATCGCCTGATTCTATTTGAATAAGTCAGATAGATATCCATTAGTTGTTGGGTGTCTGGGCCTCAAACCTCAACTTGAAGGGCACCGACTTCGTCTCTGAGTTCTCTTCCCTCTTCATGTACCACCCGGTTCTATTTGAATCAGTCAAATACCTATCCTTTGGTTGTTGGGTGCCTGGGCCTCAAACCTCGACTCGAAGGGTGCCAAGTTGGTCTCTGAGTTCTCTGCTCTCACAAGCTTGGTCTTCAATTTTCTGCTCTAGATTTTCGAGTTTCCTGATGATATTGTCCATGAACGTTAGACTGGTCTGATTGCCACGAATGTAACCCATAGGTGCAAAATATTGAGACTGAATTGGCTCCCCTATTATCTGTTGTAAGATATGCTCTATATAGTCTCCAGGGTGACAGTGTAGACTAAGAAGCAGAAGAGTAGGCTGCTGACAGGTTAGAATTGAATGGCCTTTATATATACAGAGTATATCCAATATAATATATCCAAGTGCCAGATCTGGTAACTTGCCTCGCTGGAAGCCATCTTCGGAAAGAACTCCAGCTCTCTCCCCTGCCACCTGTATCCTTTCAGTTCCTGCAAACAGCAGTACTTTTAGTTTTTTCTGTATTGAACTAGAAGGGTCTGTGTAATGTATTATGGGCGTCTAATTTGCAGCAGGCATAGGTGTTGTACTTATTTATAGGTAGCTAGCTGCAAGCAGCATCAATTGTTTTAACATAGATTCATCTAGAAGTAGACATAAACATCTCTGTACAAAGGTACTTTCTCTCCTTTAAGACTGGATGGTACATTGCAAGGATCATGATGGAAAGGGATTCTTTCTTTCTTGGATTTGAGAGTGGCTCCCTTTGTGCCCTAATGTATGATGTATTCAGTGTATAGTAGGTATCCAGGAGCTAGGTTACAGGTGCTTTATACCAATCAATTTGATAGAGTACACCTGCAGCAAAACACAAATTAATCTCCGCGGTATGTATTCCCAATGGGGTAATCAATATAGATTCATCCAAGATGGGATAGTTGACCAACACAAAGCAGCGCACGTTGAGATTCTGAATCTGAATTCAAAGTCAGCTGCTCCCCCACCACCACCAAATGGAGGCACCAGAGCCTGGCTGCAGGTTTTGGGTGCCTTCTTTCTCAATTTCAAACTTGGGGGTTGTTGAATTCTTTTGAAAGTGACAGGATCATGCCTTGGAGGTATCATTTACCCCATCATTATGAGGCGTCTTACTGATGATATTGGCTCTCGCTGGGCGGCAGCAATAATGACATTCATAATGTTGGGAACATTGGTCATCTCTATAGCTGTCATGAGGCCGCGTCTTCCTCCTCACAGATCTGGTCCATTGATCAACGTTGAGGTTCTCAAAGATCCAGTCTTTGCTACTTGGCTATTGGCCATCTTTTTTTATATCTATCTGCCTGTACATTCCGTTCTTCTACATTGAGAAATACTCCCTCAGCATAGATACCGACAGCGACATTGTTATTCTACAGGCTCATCATGATGAATGCTGCATTAATGCCCAGGCGCATCTTCTCATCACGCAGACAAGATCGGAAATTTGTTAGTCATAATCCCAGCCGTGCGTCTCTCAGGCATCATTATACTGGCATGCATCAAGACCGAGACACAGGTATCACTTATTGCCATCGCTGTCTTCCTCGGTTTGACCAGTGGGTCAATTCAAGCAGTCCTGCCTGCTAACGTGGCCGCTCTCTGTCCTGATCTGTCCGAACTGGGAGCTAACATCAGCATGACACCCTTTGCAGCTGGCCTAGGCTTGTTAATTGGAATTCCTGTGGCAGGTGTCATTTTGGATGACAGTCCAACAGCTCCAGTGAAACTTTCTAGGGTACATTGACATTTTCAGGCATTATGATCCTGGTTGGCGGCCTTCTTCTTTGCGTGGCTCGCGTCCTCAAGGTTGGATTTGCCTTGGTCAAGGCATGATCTAGGAGAATAACGAGAAAAAGGTTGCCAGGCTGGAGTGTGTTAATGTAGAAAGCCCCCGGAAAAGAATATCATGCGACGAGCATTAATTCAGATGAAAGGGAAAGAGAAACCAATAGCATATATAAAATATATGACTCTACTATAATCTTTTTCACATCTTTCAATCATATTAGTTATAAACAACCGATGAAAGGGAGTAAGGAATAACCATGGGATCATTCCCATGTGCATTTTCTTGCATTCATAATACTCCTGCCAGGCAGACATCCATTGCTCCTTGTCTGGGGCGATGGACGGCGGCGATCTTCTACCCCAGATAGACCAGTCCAATATCCCACCACATACCCAGCAGTGGGTTTTATATGGGAATATTGGGTAAAATGCAGGCGGCAATTTGGTATTTGTTCTCCATAACAGATGCTTGGAGGTGCTGGAGCTGGAGATAAAAATGAAGCTGTTTGAAAGGCGACATCACAGTTACTCATTGACATGGTGTAGTAAGGGGAGACAACACAAAGCTAAGCACTCTGCATTGAGCCTAAATGCGGATCTATGCACTCCATACCACTAACCATAACTGATACTGAGGATTTGTCATTTTTGTTGTAGAATGTGTTTCCCTCCACCCGGCTGCGCTTAGATAAGCGCCCCTGGATCCCCCACTCAACGGCCCGACAAGTTATCCATGGATAGATAATCTTAATAATGGGCTGTTGGCAAAGTGAAGATGGTCTCGGTAATTAAAAGGGCTGGATTTGCGGTGATTGATTCATGGCCTACAGCATAAGCAGAACAGGAGTACAGTGTAGCAGCACGTCCTGTGATGAGCAGAAGATCAAACGGAATTAACTTTGAAAACAAAAAGGATAGATAATCTGCAGTGCAATATGCGCTGGGCACATAGTAATACACAGTATAAAATATAGCAAAATCTGCCGGCCTGACATTGACAAACATAGTAAGTAATGCTGAGGCGTCTATGGAGAAGGAGTGGATTATACCAGCTCCATGTCAACTTGGAATGGGCAAAACTTCACCAGTACAACACGCACATCTGTCCATGTACAGCACTGTGAATGCGTTGGAGCAACGGCCTGCCATGATGATATTTAATAATTATCCGCCTAGGCACTGAACTTACCCCTGGCCTGAGGCTAGGCGCGCTGGTAGCGGCATGAGTGGCTGCAGAGGTATCTAGAACGTGCAGTAATTACTCTTAGCGCTTTCTAATTTCGCTTCCTGCAGTCCTAATAATCTTCCCAGCCTCTCGGACTCCCCTTCCTCCTTCCCTCTTCTCCCTGGGTCGTTGCATCATCCTGGTCTTTCGCTTCCCAGCCACCAGTTCGCTTGCCATTGCCATTGCCTGTGCTTGTTCTTTTAGTTTCTTTTTTATTTCTTCGTTCACCGTCTTTGACCGTTGCTTCCTTCCAGTGGATCTATCACCTGTCGTGGAACGCTTGTCCTTCTCTCGCGCTCCGACGCCGTTTGTGGGCATCAACAGTTACAACTCTGCCCAGAGTAGACTCCACCATCCTCCACGGTATCTTTCGCCAGGATCCATCGCCGCTTCTACACGTATTCCATTGCCAACGAGATCGTAAAAGGAGCACGGGACGCAATGCTATAAAAGGAACCAACATGACCTTATTCCGCCTGTCACTCGCTTGGTAGATCTGCCCCGTACACCACGCCAGTTCTGCCGTCCATCGATCCTCTACACATTCATTGTTTCCCTGTTTAAGGCCTTTCATTGCAATACAACTTGCACGGCCAAGAGGCCGTCCGCATTAAAGAGTCGACAATGTCAGACACGTGCATCTCCCTCGCATCATCCACGACATGTCCTGCCTTCAACACCTCCTCCATATCGACCAATTCCAGTCTTTTCGGAGACTTGTACGTTGTCTTCTTTTTTATTTCATATCCCGCGTGTCTCACCGATACTAACTGTGCTGTGTCGTAGTCCCTTCCTCCAAGGCGTTTCGAACGTCACGGACTTCGACGCAAAATTAAGTGACTATGTCAAAGGGCCCTATGTCCAGTCAAAGTGGGTGTTCCTGCATTCTACCCTAAGAATGAGAGAGGACTCATGCTAAGTATTGATCTTCTCTTAAACGTCCAGATACGTTGAGCTCCTGGGATGTCAGGGAGCTGACCTCAACGATACCGCCGACTTCTACGCGCGCTACACAACCACTGTAATTTGTAATGGGCTTGTGCAAAGCTCAAAATCTCTATGCGGCTTAACTGCTGAACAGTCCCGACCTGTTTGCGCAGATACATGCGTATGCCACCTCTCCCTGAAGCGGCTATGACTCAGCGACATTCTGACTTTCTGGCAGGCATTGATGGCAACAAATGAGGAGGAAATCGTGGTCAATTTAGATATTTGTGGTAAAACCACCAAAGATTACATGAAACAGATTCGCGCCGACTTTACCGTCTGCTCTCTTCCGGCAGATTCGCTCACCGGCACGTGCATTTCTGGTGCGGAGAATGAACCGGACAACTGTGGATACGGAACCAATCTTCCTGGCCTTTGTCAATATTGCTCGAACAGCTCTTCCAACTCCACTGATTCCTGCTGCGCTGACGCGAATGCCCCAAGTCGCTGCCAACACGTCCCAGTTCCCACTACAACCACCCCTTTACAGCCATTAGTCCCATCCTCGTCCAACACGTCGGCACCAGCTGGCGGTGGAGCTGGCGATGGACATGGACTCTCCGGTGGGCAGATTGCGGGGGCAGTTGTTGGTTCTGTTGCTGGATTTGCGCTTTTGGCCATCCTGGCCGCCTTGCTTTTCCTCTACTTGCGCCGTAGGCGCAGAGCACCACCGGATACCGTTTTGAACCAGCCAAACCCTCAAAGGAAAGGTGTTACCCCAATGCAGTATTCTGCAGGTAAACAGGGGTACGAAATCGTTCCTGGGGGCCGCGTGGCGAGGATGTCTGCACTGCGAGAGATGCCTAGTCGGTCACCGTCGCGGATCGGCATGCCTGCTGCCATTTACGGTGATTCTTCGGAGTCAGAGGGCAGAGGGGCGAGCCCCGGCGCGATGTCCCGGAGGATCCCACCAGTAACTGGCAGGCGGCACGGTTCGCTTTCAAGCAGCTTTGTTTTGGCCGGCCTGGAGAGTGATACGTCTCCGCGCTCTGCTGCCAATCAATACTCCTCCCCTGAGGGTTTAACCAGTAGTCAGTCGGAGCAACTGGCATTCTTCCGGGATTATTACTCTCAGGACGATATCCATCCTGGTGACAAGGTTGCTGTTCTTTGGGCCTACCAGCCGCGGGCGGGCGACGAATTTGAACTGGATCGGGGGGAGATGCTTAAGGTAATTGGCATCTGGGATGATGGCTGGGCGACAGGCGTCCGCGTGCCCGACAGAGCAGAAGATTTCGACGCGAATCGTCTGGAACAGCGAGACAGTGGCCTGTCAAATGCCTCTCAGAGAGCACGATCGTCTCCAGTATCAGAAATCAAGGCGTTTCCTCTCGTCTGCGTCTGCCTACCTCAGCACTGGAGTAAGATCGTTGAGGGAGACGGGCAGGATAATGGCGGCTCACCTTGACGATCAGAGAACTATTTCAGCTTCAACTGAAAAAAAAAAGTCCCATCTTGTAATGAGGGTTTATGATCATGCGTCCATATCCTTTTTAGTCCTTTCCCAGGTTCATGAGAGCAGCATTTGTTTCCTAAGATGTGGCTGATCCGGCAACTCCACGTGGACTTGGGGCCTCACCATCAGCTTTCCCATTCGGACCGCTGTTCCAACAAGCAACCTTTTCAAGCTTCGCTCGGCTGTTCTTCTATTCGATACTTTCTTTTCCATATTCCATATTTCTTGCCTTTCACGGAGCAATCGTGTATAATGTTCCAGAGCGCATTTCATGATGTTCGCTGCTTCGTTTAAAGCCTCTGGCAGGGAAAGTCTAGCTTTTTGTTAGCGTTTTCTTTATACCCCATCTTACGGCTATGGATTTTTCGAATTTTCTATTTTTTATTCTTTTAACATCTTCGACCTGAGATAGCTGCTTATCTTCTCTTCATGTTTATTTTGATTCCAACTCGCATGATGGATTCCGCTGTTCTCAAGATATTTTACTTCTATTATAGATTACTGAAACGCGGGCCCGTCAACGTCAGGCTTCTCCTATTCCGGTTCTAGAAGCACATCTAAAATCAAAGGGAGGTGGTATTGCGCGGACCACTCTTTGTGCTGCAGTTTTCATATTCTTCTTATCTGGGGACTAATGTTTGAAGAATCCCTCAATGGTTACCGCACTTTCTTTTCTTTATTACCTTTTAAGGGCCGCATAGTGTTGCTGTACATAGGCTACGTAATTGAATGGTCCTCCACTGGATTATAATCCTCTTCATTCCACGCTGGGAGCACCTTGAAAGCAATAGCAGCATGTCATCTCTCAGGATGTGTAAGCATTGACAGCTTGAGAATGCTTATCCCGCGCTGTCCCGCAGGCGTATGGATTCATGGAGTTTCCCCAAAGCTTCATTCATGAAATGCCGGGATAGTTAATCTCCGTGCTTTACTAATACAGACGGACAATAGTTAGTTATCTATCACATCTATTATTCAATTTTAAGACTTCCCCTCTCACGCAATTTTAGTCGCCATTCCTGCTGCGGTTCACATCATCCAGAACTGTAACTGTCCCTCTATATAAAGTAGGAAGGAGAAAGCAGGCATCCAGGGCTGGTTTTCTCTTACCAACGTTGTCACCTAACGGACTTACTACTCGACTGTCAACACTTTCTACTTAGATACATACTATCTGCTAGCGATAATGGCCTCTCCCAAGATCATCCTTTACACGAGCCATCTCTGTCCGTGGGCTCATAGGGCACATATTGCTTTGAAGGAATCGGGGCTCGAATATGAGGAGGTTATCATCGATTTGAATAAGCCGCGGGACCCGTGGTATCTTGAGATCAACCCGGTAAGTATCCTTTTTTTTTTCCTAATGGGATTTTTTTATTGAACAAAAACAAAGTAATGTGATTGGCTAATTCATTGACTGCACACAGCGCGGCCTTGTTCCCAGCATCTCATATAATGGCACAATCCTTACTGAATCCGGCATTATCTCTCAATTCATAGCTGATGCGCACCCCTCTCACCTTCTCCCTCAGTCATCTCCCGTCGAAAATGCCCTATATCGCGCGCGTCTCTCTTTCTTCGCTGATGCCTTCTTCAGCAAGGTTCTGCCGCATTTCTGGGCTGGCGTTCGTGCGGCTTCGGAGGCGGAGCGGGATGCTGCTGGAGAGGAGTTGGTTGGTGCCGTTGCGAAGGAGCTTGAGCCTTTGCTCGTTGGGGGGAAGGGTCCGTTTTATGGTGGGAGTGAGAATCTCACGCTTGCAGAGGTATACATGCCCCCCCGCCTCTCTCTCCCTGGTCAATCAGTTCTAGTCCATTAACTAACGATTGACAACAGGTGTTGACTGGATCCTTCCTTCTCCGGATTCTGTCCTTCAGCAAACCCGAGTACGGCCTCATCAGCGCCAATTTGACAGCTCTCCTCGAGAAGGTGCCCAAGTTCAAGCGCTGGGCTGAGGCTACCGTTGCTCACGAGAGCGTCAACTTCATATGGAATGAGAAGGTTGTGGCTGAGAGGACTAAGGCCAAGTTCGCGGCTGCTAAGGTGTAAGCTGCCTGGGCTTTCTGTCCGCGTATTAGATTCCGCTGTTGTGAAGCTTAGTAGTAACGCTCTTCTCAATGAGATTTATGAACTCTTTCCACTCTGTATAAGCGTATACTGCCTTCTTCTAAACTCGGACATTCATCTCAATAGAGATAGGCCGTGTCCTGGTTTCCTGGGAAACGCTGCATGTAGAATCGTTGCTCATCACTACCGAGAGACCCTGGTCAACGCTATGCAAGTAATGGCTGTTGCATGACGTGTTCAATAATAAGAACCCGTCGTCAGCTGGGAAGAAGCAAAATGTTCGGACGACGTGTCACGTGCCAGGACCCCGCCACGGGCGATGGGACAAACAGCCCCTCTAACCACGACTCACTTGTTTGTATCTTTATCACCCTCACTATTATCCTCTCTTCCTTTGTTCTCATTATCAGTCCTTTCGGTATTTTCCTCTAGGACCTTAATTCGATATCAGGTTTGTTGCTATGAGACGCTCGTAGGATTTGAGTTGGAGGTATGCTGACATCTTTTAGATAAATAACAGATTTGTCTACCGCCTCCTTTCCCTCCTTATCCTTCAACACTCTACCCCCCTCATCTTCTCCCGCCAGGCAGTCACTGTACTATCTCTCATAATCCTCACCAACAACGATGTCGGTTAGTAGTAGTATTTCTGTTTTTCCCTGATTTGTTATCTAGCAGATTGTACTGACAATTGTTGTTCTTTTCTCCTTTTTATTAGCTCGCATCTGGGTAAGTTGCTTGTTTAGATAACTCGTCCCGTTGTTGCTCTTGTTTCCATTGCAGCGTTCTCTTGCTGACCATGTCCTCTTGTCGTATGTTAGTGTTTCCATTACTGACGAATGCATCTCTGCATTCAACGAGTTGCGCATGGGCAAGGGCAAGGTGAAGTACGTCATCTACAAGATCGCCAACAACAAGAAGGAGGTCGTTGTCGATGAGATCGGGCATGATCACGACTATGAAGTCTTCCGTGAGAGACTCATCGCCGCTCGGGATGACAAGGGTAACGTCGCCCCTCGTTATGCTGTTTACGATGTCGAGTTCGAGCTAGGTGGTGGTGAGGGCAAGAGGTGTGTACTGTCGTCTCACTTTCTGTTTCCTTTCTATTGTGGTTGAAATGAGGTGACTCACACATTTCTTTCCCACAAATAACAGGAGCAAGATCATCTTCATCTCTTGGGTCCCTAGCGAGACCCCTACTTTCGTATGTTCTCCTGTCATCTTCCTTGACGGTGACTTGCTGGATCTTGATTGAATAATGGTTGCTGACGGTGAATAGTCGTCTATGCTTTACGCCAGCACTCGCGAGGTTTTGAAGAACGCGCTGAACATCCCCATCTCCATCCATGCCGACGACAAGGCTGATATCGAGTGGAACACAATCTTGAGCGAAGCCAGCGGCGGCAAGGCTGGTAAATAAATGCCCTGCTCCCGCTGGGTGTCTGTCGGGCAATATCGTTCTCGTGCTTGCCCACCTTCATTGCACCGGTACCGTCACGGATCACGGAATGCCTCTCAAGGGCCAAAATACATGACATCCCCCTTTATACTTAGTTTCCATATGAGACCCCTTACGACTTGAGTTGACTTGTCTGGCTTGCCTTCGAGACTGTAGCGTGGCACTCCGTGGAGGAGAGTTGGGAGAGGGTTTGTCAGCTTAGTACGTGTACAGAAAAGAATGCTGCCTATGGAGGAAGGTGGTTTCAGCGGGTCGGTGTAGAGTAGGAAACACGACGTCTAACATTCACCATCGCATACTCGTAGCTCTTCCTGATGCTAGCTGCGTAGCTGTCGTGCTCTCTCTGCGCTGCCCGATGGTATCGTGATGTCTGTCGGCGGAACAGTAAGCGAACGGGAAAAAGTCGGGTGCGGGTGCTGGGCCAATAAGCAGACCGCTAAAAAGGGCTAAAGAGTCCGCGGCCGGATCCTCGACTTCCACCTCAAACCACGCCCGAACCGTCAACGTCGTCTACGCCCTTGGACTGCGAAGTCTCCAACTCAATTACCACCCCCACTCTCTTATCAGTTCGTGCTTCCCATCCTCGCTGTCCAGGACCTGGCCGTCGCTGCCTGTCCGGTGTTTGCATCGCAATTGACCGTTCTGCATAGTCCTCCCCTCTCACACAATGTTCCTTCGCTCCGTGCCCAGAGCTGCTGTTCGCGGCTCAGCCATTCCCACGGCTGCTCTCCGCACCTACCGCACTGCTTCTTCCCCTCTGGCCGCCCTCAATGCTCGTCCTCAGACTGAAGTCAAGTCCCTCGCTGGCCGCCAGCAGACTCGCGCCTCTTCCGAGCATGCTATTTCCAACCCGACCCTCGCCAGCATCGAGAAGCGCTGGGAGTCCATGCCTCCCCAGGAGCAGGCTGAATTGTGGATGCAGCTGAGAGATCGTATGAAGACTGATTGGCACAACTTGACTCTCCAGGAGAAGAAGGCCGGTATGTAGATATTTTTGGTTTCTTGCGTTTCATCGGTTTCATCGTTTCCCCTTTTGTCGTTGTTTTATTTTTTATTCCCCCCTCCCTAACCGGCATTCCCTGATAAATATGGTCTTTTTCTCTGTCTTTTTTGTTATTTCTATCTTACTGATGAACTGTCAATAGCATACTGGATTGCATTCGGTCCCCATGGCCCTCGCGCACAAACCCCCAAGGGTGAGGGCAGGAGGGTATTCTTCAAGGTGGCTCAGCTTCTCCTTGTTTCTCTTGGTCTTGTTTATGTCATTCGTCTTGCGGCTAAGCCGGCACCACGGACGATGACGAAGGAGTGGCAGGAGGCCACCAACGAGTATGCCAAGGTATGTGATCTAAGTTATTCTATCTATGCTGTTATTGTGACGCGATACTCCGTTGGATTGGAATTGATCGCTAATATCTTTCCCAACAGAGCGAAGGTATCAACCCTCTTCACGGCATCAGCAGCGAAGGTTACAAGGGCAAGGGCTTCGTTCAGAGCGCACCTGCCGAGAAGTAAATGTGTTTTTGACAAGGAGACGATTTCGAGGGGAAAGTGGATGTGCTGGGTTAATTGTCCATGCGTGGCGGAGCAGACTGGTCGCGGCATTTCATTTCTGAAGCATCGGGGTCTGTGGCCATGCGTTGTTTTAATTCTATATGGGGATGCATCGCCCCTTGATCTCCATCCTGTGACAATCTCAACACAAAACCTTGTGTGTCCGATACTGTGCTATAACCAATGTATTTCTTTATTTATTCTGCGATTTGGAATGGATTTTGTAGCTTCTGATGTTTTGTGTGGTATACTATGTTTTTATGCCTAGCTACTGGATAGCCCTGGAGGCATCTGGCATCCACTGGTGCTATTCAGCTTATAGGATATATTAGGAAGGATCTGATAGCAGAGATGAATTGCTGTGGTTGACCATTACATGGATGTACATACCAGGTACCTAGGCAGTAATCCCGAATATACGGAGGACGCGGGAAGCGTCATTTTTACGGTCACTGGGCTGAAACTGTATCGAGGATGCAAGGAAACTGCATCTGCGTGCAGGAAGACTCGGGAGATAATACCTTAGGTAGGGAGTGGCAGTGGTAACAGCTCTGAGCGTGCACGCTGGCCCGCCCGTGCAGAGGTTTGTTGTCGTCGTCATAAATCGAGCTGTCCACGGGTATCAGGTATTGTTGTGTGTATTCGACCGGTATCGCTGACGGTGTATTGTACCGAAGCGCCAAGAAAAGAGCTTCCGCGTGTCGCATCGCGCTCGAGGAGAGCATGATGAGGGTTCAGAGGAATTGGATGGCACAGGATGCATTCAGAATAATAAAAATAATAATAGATGCCATGATTAATCCAATGCTTGTCTCTTTTCTATGCACTATGTACCTAACAGGTATGTAGTTGTGTCCGGGCTGAAGGATCTGTTTTCGTGGCCGTACGGTGCTGGTAAATACGCAGGCTCGGTACAGCACGGGACCGTCGGCAAAACCAGCCCCCGTGTGTCTGCACTTCCCGTCGAACCTCAACCGCTCCAAACCTCTTCTTTCTCCTCTCTTCTTCCTCTCCCTCCTCTCCTACCCAATCGTCTCTCCCTTCTCCCCTCTCCCCCCATCCCTGCTCTTCAACACCATCAAGATGTTCAAGAGGTATGTTGTTCCTGTCAATTGCTGTTTCCCTTTCCCCCTGGTGCCTTTTCCCGTTCCCTTCCGCTCGGACCTTTTCTATTTTTTTCCCCGTTTTTTCTTTGCTCCCCAATAGTACCTGGATATGCTGACCACGTCTTCTTTAACAAACACAGCGGTCTCGCCCGGTCCCTCGGGAGGGCTGCTTTCGCTCGACCTTCCCTCGCTCGCCGCAGCCTTGTGCCCTCTTTGGGAGCCAGATTCGCCAGCTCTTCCACCGCTGGTGTTGGCAAGATCCACCAGGTCATCGGTGCCGTCGTCGATGGTGCGTTTTTCTGACCAACCTTCCCTCTACTACTAGCTATGTCCATTGGAGTCCTCCTTTCGTTTCTTTCCCCTCTTCTTGTCGATTGGTGCTTGTTGTGGACACGTTTTCCGCGAACTTTTTTTGTGGTCGGGTTCGGTCGGGATGGAAGCTACGCGGGAAAATCTTTTTATGAATTTTCGATTCTCCACGCATCGTCAATGAGGTTTTCCCTTTCTTTTTCCCGACTTGGAATTGAGACATTGATGACAAGAAGGGGGGAATTGAATGAAGGGGGAGGGCATTGGTTCTTGAATTGCTGGTTTTTGGTTTTGGTCATGGACAGTGTCTGACGTTCTCCTTTTTATCGCCTTATAGTCAAATTCGATGGTGAAAAGCTCCCTGCCATTCTGAACGCCGTTGAGACACAGAACGGTGGACAGAAGCTCGTCCTGGAGGTTGCTGTACGTACACCTTGCTTTCGACTCGCTCCAATTTGACGAGATTGATATTTTGGATATCAATTTGGTCTGGGACTACGCTGACGCGTTAGGGATAGCAACATCTGGGTGAGAATGTCGTCCGCACAATTGCTATGGACGGTAAGCATGCTCCTTTTCCTAAACCCTCGTATTCCGCGTAAATTTGCGGTCTTGATTTTCTCTGATAACTAACGAGTCATGCATAGGTACCGAGGGTTTGACCCGTGGTGCTGTCTGCCACGACACTGGTGCCCCCATCCAGGTCCCCGTCGGCCCTGGTACCCTTGGCCGTATCCTTAACGTCACTGGTGACCCCATTGACGAGCGTGGCCCTGTCAAGGCTACCAAGCTCGCACCTATCCACGCCGACCCCCCTGCCTACGTCGACCAGTCCACCGAGGCCGAGATTCTCGTCACCGGTATCAAGGTCGTCGACCTGCTCGCCCCCTATGCCCGTGGTGGTAAGATCGGTCTCTTCGGTGGTGCCGGTGTCGGAAAGACTGTGTTCATCCAAGAATTGATTGTAAGACATCTCTCCGTCTGAAAAAAAAAATATTTTCCACGCCTTCTGATCTAACTGAAACTTCGAAATATAGAACAACGTTGCCAAGGCTCACGGTGGTTACTCTGTCTTCACTGGTGTCGGAGAGCGTACTCGTGAGGGTAACGATCTTTACCACGAAATGCAGGAGACCGGTGTCATTCAGCTCGATGGTGACTCCAAGGTCGCTCTGGTCTTCGGTCAGATGAACGAGCCTCCGGGTGCTCGTGCCCGTGTCGCCCTTACTGGTCTGACCATTGCCGAGTACTTCCGTGACGAGGAGGGTCAGGACGTGCTGCTCTTCATTGACAACATCTTCCGTTTCACCCAGGCCGGTTCTGAGGTGTCTGCCCTTCTGGGTCGTATCCCCTCTGCCGTCGGTTACCAGCCCACTCTGGCCGTCGACATGGGTGTCATGCAGGAGCGTATCACCACCACCACCAAGGGTTCTATCACCTCCGTCCAGGCCGTCTACGTGCCCGCTGACGACTTGACTGACCCTGCCCCCGCTACCACCTTCGCTCACTTGGACGCCACCACTGTCTTGTCCCGTGGTATCTCTGAGTTGGGTATCTACCCTGCTGTCGACCCTCTTGATTCTAAGTCTCGTATGCTCGACCCCCGTATCGTCGGTGAGGACCACTACCAGACTGCTACCAAGGTCCAGATGATGCTCCAGGAGTACAAGTCCCTCCAGGATATCATTGCCATTCTCGGTATGGACGAACTGTCTGAGGCCGACAAGCTCACTGTCGAGCGCGCTCGTAAGCTCCAGCGTTTCCTGAGCCAGCCTTTCGCTGTTGCCCAGGTTTTCACTGGTATTGAGGGCAAGCTGGTTGACCTTAAGGACACCATCCGCAGCTTCAAGGCCATCATTAACGGAGAGGGTGATGACCTTCCTGAGGGTATGTTTCCCCCCTTTTCTTCCTTCAGTTGAGATCTAGAATTAGTCGCTAACATCTATTTACAGCTGCTTTCTACATGGTTGGTGATTTCGAGTCTGCCCGTGCCAAGGGTGAGAAGATCTTGGCTGAGCTTGGCAAGTCCTCGTAAATGTAATATTGTTTGTGGTTTTCCAGCGTCGCCTTTTCCTTGATTGAGACTAGGGCCTTTTTCATCCCTTTTTTTCTTCTTATGGTTTCCGTTTTCTTTTAAACGCATGTACAGTATACTACGTTATAAAAGAAAAGGGATTTGTGAAAGGAAAGGCTTCTTGTCCATTGTAAGAGAAAGGGTGTCTGGGGAACTGGGCTCTGATTCGGAAAAAGGGAGACAACAAATACCTAGTTCTGCTATACTATTTTATTTATCTGTACGTATTGTAAGTATCTTGAATGACATCCAACCAGCGTCAATACTTGTAGATCTGTGCGTAAGTGAGGTGGTCTTTGAAGACAATTCCAGGAATGCTAATCCTTAGCCTAGCCCAATGCCTGGCTGGACCCATTGTGGTTTTTTGGGCTTCTATCTAAAGGGACTAACTACATCGCCATGGAGTGATATATTATATCTTAGTGCTCATGTAGAGACCGTTCTGTGCCCTATTTGTTTCCCCTAGAAATAACGTATTTCCCGGTCGAGCGGGCCACCTCATCAAATTTCTACGCGTTTTACTGCTTCAACTAATTCAACCACCAACCATGCCTCCAAAAGTGCGTCAAAATTCAAGAAATGGCCAATATTCTTCTTGCAGAGCGTGGTACAACACCTATCCAATCAATTGGAAAGAATTGGGTCTCTAGCTTCATTAAACAGCGTGATGAAATGAAAACACGCTATTCTCAATGCTATGATTATCAACAAGCAAAATATGAAGATTCTAAAATCATCAAGGAGTGGTTTGATCATGTATAAATCACTATAATGCAACATGGGATTGTACAGGAGGATATCTACAATTTTGATGAGACTAGCTTTGCTATAGGCCTAGTAGCTACTGCTCAAGTAGTTACTAGAGCTGATTATTATAGAAAAGCCTCTCTTGTACAGCCAGGCAATCAGGAATGGGTTACTTCAATTGAGTGTATCAACTCTACTGGCTAGGAACTTTCTCCATGCATTATCTTCAAGGGGAAGGTCCATATAGAGGGTTGGTATCAAGATTTCAAGCTCCCGCGTAATAACAGAATTGAAGTTAGTCCTAATAGATGGACCTCTGATGAGATAGGCCTTTGCTGGCTTAAAAATCTCTTCATTCCTGCTACTTCTAGTCATATAACTGGGAAATACTGTCTTCTAGTCATGGATGGCCATGGAAGCTATCTTACACCTCAATTTGATCAGATATGCAGTGAGAATAATATTATTCCTATCTGCATGCCTGCTCATTCTTCCCACAAGCTTCAACCTTTGGATGTGGGCTGTTTTGCGCCTTTAAAAAAGGCATATGGGACCTTGGTGGAGCAGAAAGCACACTTAGGAATCAATCATATTGATAAGCTTAATTTCCTAGAGGCCTTTCTACATGCCCACAAATGTGCTTTTCAAGCAGAAACTATTTGAAATAGCTTTGCAGGTGCTGGATTAGTTCCATTTGATCCAGATAGGGTGTTTAGCAAGTTAGACATCCAACTAAAGACCTCTACACCACCACCTAGTCAGTCAACTAATTCAGCACCTAAAACACCATATACTACTAGGCAGCTGGAGAAGCAGGCATCAGCTGCAAAGAAACTGCTTAGGGAATGTGCTCACAGCCTTTTACCTTTGCTAGAATTGTGATTAGACAAGATTATTAAAGGTCATGAATTGACACTTAATGAGCTTGTTCTTGCACGTGAAGAAATACGCAAATTTCGCGCTAATAATGAATGGAAAGGTCAAAAGCAAAAGTGCTCTACTAGGCAGCTAGCTATTCCAGAGGGCTCAGCAATTCAGGAGAGTTTAGAGTGATTTCAGCATGAGAATGAGGTTCAGGAAGGTCAAGATATGCTTCCTATAGATCCAGCACTTTCTGCAGTTGGACCACGCGTATGAACTCCACCACAGTGTTCTAATTGTCATATTTGGGGACATACTAGAGTTAGATGTCCTAATCCCCTTAGCAATTAGTTTTTGTATAAAAATGCAATTGTTTGGCTGGTAGAGGCTCTAGTATTTAGCCCGCGGGCAGGAATTAGCAGGAGGTGGCCCGCTCGACCGGGAAATACGTTACGCTTGGAGATAATTAAGTCAGCTAAAAATATACTATCAAGGCTGCAAGTAGGTTGAGCCCTGGAGAACGACTACGGATGCAATTAAGCATAAAAAGATAAATAAGTAGAATAGGATAGATTGGTAGTAAGAATATGTTGAATATATTACTATTTTAATGTAAGGGCAACCAAAATACTCGGAAGGGAATGTAGATAGACTGAGATTCGAGCGGTATCCATCCATCCAATATAAAAACAAATGGCACGGCAATATTCGCATGTAAAGTTTGATTTCAGAATAATGATGAACTCTTATATTTCCCAGACTTTCACAGAATTTCCTAAAATTGATGCAAATTATATCTTTATATGTTTGTTTGTTGCAGCTCGAAATTGCTCGCAGATTGTACGTACTGGTTTGTACATTGCAGTTTTCCTCATTACTTTTGTTTGCTTCATTCTTTCAAGGAGCCTGACCAAGCTCGAGAGGAGATAATGTTTCCTCCAAGGCGAGTACCTACATAAGAAATAAAATATCAGCTTTGCTCTTGTCTTCCAATTGTATTTATTCAAGAATACACATGTGCGTGTGAAGAGGAGCAACTTACCAAAGCAGTCCGGCTAGGAATATAAACCTGGACGAAATTACTCCTCCCATTCCATGCAAGGTCGGTCGTGAAGAATCTCGTCTCCTTCTGGTTTCTCCCAAACCCCCCAAACTCAGTGTCGTCAGTATCAAGCACGATCCGGTACGTACCGGCTTTCTCGATACCGACTCGGTAATCAGTGAAGGACCTGGTAGGATGGAAATTGAAGACCCAGAGAAGACCCGCGCGCTCGAAGACGAGGACCTTGTCAGATTCATTCTTCAAGCTGACGTATGCCTGCGGGGAGTGCAGCCAGCCATACTTCTCTTCGGTCAGCTGCATGGCGCGGTCAAATTCGTTGAGGTATTTGTATCGTAGGAGGTGATCTTCTGTTAGGTTTAGTTGGCGACGGGCGTACCAGAAGGAATTGTTATTCCCGGCTCGGGGAAAGTCGAGCCATTCAGGGTGGCCGAATTCGTTGCCTTCGAAGTTGAGGTAGCCTTCCCCGCCTAGGCCGTGGGTGACGAGGCGAATCATTTTATGGAGGGCCATTCCCCGTTCGATGACGGGGGTTAGTTCGGTTAGGACAGACATGTGCGTGTACATATCTTTGTCGCAGAGCCACATCATAATGCTCTTGTCTCCTACAAGGCTGTCATGGGGTTAGCACACATATTCATTCCGAGATGCAGAATGAGTAAACTCACGCTTGATCATGACTTTCTGCGTAGGCAATGGTCTTTTCGCCATGTCGTCGATTCGTAAGAGTAAAAGCGAGACTCCCCATGTCCCACTCATCGTCCGACTTCTCTTTCAGAAGCTTTATATACATGTCTGGGACTGCCATAGCCAGGCGGTAGTCGAACCCTACTCCACCAATCGAGTGCGGTAAGCACAGCGCAGGCATTCCAGATACATCTTCTGCCACCGTGATGCAGCCGGGATATAGCTTATGGAGCATCTCGTTGGCGATGGTTAAATAGATGACACCATCTTCGTCGACTGCTGGTCCGAAGTATTCATGATAACCACCGGAAAAGCCTCTGGATATTATTTAGTACGAGTTTTTCCAAAAGGTACACAGCTGTCACACGCACGTTCCAATGCCATGATGAATATAAAGAATACTGGTCACTCCATCGAAACGGAATCCATCGAATCCGTATTCCTCCATCCAGAAACGCAGGTTGCTCAAAAGAAATCGCAGCACCTCGTGATGGCCGTAATTAAATAGTCGACTGTCCCACAAATCGTGCTGTCCCTTTCCACCACCGTGGAAATAGAGATGGTCTGTCCCGTCAAACATGTTCAGCCCATCGAGGACATTTTTCGATGCATGGCTGTGAACGATATCGAGAAGAACGACCAAGCCCATACTATGGGCAGTGTCAATGAGTTCCTTCAAATCCTCCGGTGTCCCATAACGGCTGCTCGCAGCGAAGAAGCTATTGACTTGGTACCCGAAGCTGGCGTAGTAGGCGTGCTCCATAATAGCCATTAATTGAATGGCATTGTATCCCAGGGACTTGATTCGAGGTAGCATATTTGCTGTGAATTCTTTGTATGTTGCGACTTTGGTCTCCGGGGACGAAATACCAACGTGGGCCTCGTAGATTCGAAGGCTTTCAGGCTTCTTAGGGCGAGCATGCCGGAACTGATACAGTTCAGTTTCTGGTGGATTCCAAAATACGGAATTGTAAACCGGGGATTTGCTCAGATTCTGAACAACTCGTTTGATCCAGGCGGGCACTCTATAGATCCTCTCCCCACCCGGGATAACCATCGTGATCTGCGGACATCCAAGGTCAGTCATGGGTAATTTGCAATAGCAACACTGCATCATAGGCATAATATACTTTGATATAACTGTTATGAGGAATGGCCGGGCTTCCATTCTTAGCAGGCAGGGTGACCTCCCACACCCCAAAACCATTCCTCGACATTGGAGTGGCTGTCACGTCCCAATTATCTGCTGGGTTTAGTGAGGTCCTTCCAAAACATGAATATCGGAAGCAGGACGTACTGAAATCACCAACAAGACTAGCTTCAATGGCATTGGGCGCCCACTCGCGGTATGTGATATCTCCTTTCTGATTGACATTGAAGCCAAATCTCTCGTACCCCTATTGGCTCCCGGGAAGTGTCAGTAATCCTCGAGGCTCGACAATCAAGACCGTGATACCGACCCTGCTGAAGTTTTCTAAACCGCCTTCCGTTTCATTGATTGTCTGGATCCATTTCTCCACGAGATCGAATCGCCGCTTGATGGCACCACGGTAAGGTTCGAGCCATGGATCTAGCTGGATAACGCCTATGATAATTCAGTGAGAAAATAGAAAAGAGAAATTATTGAATGAAAATCTAGAAGCGACGGAATATGCAGAAGAAAAAGAAAACCCTGTATTTATTGCCTGACCTGTTCCATCAGTGGCAGGAGAACCGCCCTGGGCTTCAGTAGAAGCCATGGCGACAATGGGGATGAAGCTGAGGGTATCAAATAGACGGAAGAAGTACCGGACGACAATATACGGTCAAATGCAAATTTCCACGGAGAACCATGGATGAAGAAGAGCTTTTGGAGGATGGGAAACTGGTTGAGCTGGGCAGAGCCAGAAGAAGATGCGGGGACGGAAGAGAACTAGCAGGGTTGTGTGACATCATGTCCTCGCAAGTGATGCCTCGACTTCCCAGCCTCCGCTTTGTCTTTTCTCTTTGTCTACGGATATATAATAGACGATATGTCAGAAAGCACGAGATGACTATGTTGGTTAAAATACGAGATGTCAACCAAAAGTCAATTGACTGCGCATGTTGCCTGGATCCACAGCGTTGGAGTTGACAGCCGCTGTTGGCAACGTCATGGAAAACTTAGCTGCTCTCCCAATTGTGAACTCCTGGTATATTCGATTTAGAGATAGTATTGTCCTTCTTGAAGCTCACTGATAGCGAGTTAAACAGTCATGATGCAGAATTACCCCACGGTGGTGTTCTAATCGACGACGATGGACGGCAGCGAAGAAGCCCCAAACATAACATGATTCCATATTCTCCCTATTTGTACTATATGGATTCTGTACGAAGAAGATCTAATCCAGAATATTCCAATTTAGCATAGTTACAATGATTTGACTGTATTCCAAGGCCGAAGTGCTATTGCTACACCATTTTTACCCTAAATACGGGTTGATAGACAGCCCTCAGCGACTTCATAGCTTAGACCCGGGGAATGAAACCCTTTCAGAAACTTTCATTTATGCTTCTGATGCCTCTTGACCTACTGAGTTTTCTCGAATGGCATTCATTCAGCCTTCTATAACGTCTTAATCCCTGTGGACGGAAAATTATAAGCAACGCCAGCCCGAGGTTTCTCCGCGAAATCCACCAATTCGCAGGCAGACCCCGGTCAATTTCTATGCCATGTGACAATTAGGGTTTGCGGGGTGCTGGGTCAATCAGGATAACATTATTATCCTTGGTGATGGGAGTGTGTGTGTCTCAGAAGATATAAGGGGGTGCAGGTTATGCTTGCAATCTCACAGTTGGCCAGATTGCACAGTTAAAATATTACTATTAGACAAGGAGCTCATGAGGAATCGATAGAGAAAAGCACAGTTCTCAAACCATCCTTGTTGTGACCATGACTCTCTTCAAAAACTACCGTGTTTACATCCTGACAACGGTAGCCTACCTTGGCTCCTTGCTGTTTGGTGGGTGTTTTCACTCTCAGGCAAAGATGATGGCTGACACTTCCTATCTTGAAAAACAATAGGCTACGATACTGGAGTGATGGGTAGTGTTCTTGCACTGGACAGTTTCAAGAAAGATTTCATGCTCCCCATGGGATCGTCTGGGTTTGCCTCGTCGAAAAACGCACAGGTGTCCTCAAATGTAGTGTCACTTCTCACAGCAGGTTGCTTCTTTGGAGCCATTTTCGCCGCAGCCATCAATGATCGGATTGGGCGTCGGTATACCCTAATGCTCTTCTCGGTGGTCTTCCTGATTGGTGCCGCTATCCAGGTCGGCGCCCATCATGCAATCGGCATGATATACGGCGGTCGCGTCGTTGCTGGATTGGGAATTGGAGGGATGTCCAGCGTGACGCCGGTCTTCGTCAGTGAAAACTGCCCACCTGAGACCCGCGGTCGGATTACTGGGTTGTTCCAAGAGTTCCTGGTTATAGGGAGTACTTTTGCCTATTGGCTGGACTATGGTGTCTCTTTGCATATCCCCGAGAGCACGAAACAGTGGCGCGTTCCAGTGGCTATACAGCTCATCCCGGGAGGTCTCATGTTTATCGGCCTCTTCTTTCTCAGGGAGTCTCCCCGCTGGCTTATGAAACAGGATCGACAAGATGAGGCGCTGGAGTCTCTGGCATATATACGAAATGAACCCATCACAAGTGAGTTAGTGCGGAGAGAAATGGCCGAGATCAGAGCTTCTCTCGAAGAGGAATCGGCTGCTACACAGGGTGTCACATGGAAAGAATGTCTCCAGAAGTCCAACCGTCGTCGGATCCTTTTCGCCTTCATGCTCATGCTTTGCCAGCAGTTCACGGGCACGAATAGCATAGGGTACTATGCACCCGAGATTTTCCAAACCGTCGGCCTTAGCAAGACCAATTCATCTCTTTTTGCCACAGGCATATATGGTACAGTAAAAGTAGTTGCAACTGGTTTATTCCTGATTATCGGTATAGACCGATGGGGAAGAAAGAACAGCTTGATCGGTGGGGGCGTATGGATGGCCAGCATGATGTTCATCATTGGTGCTGTCCTGGCCACGAATCCTCCTGATACGAACAGCTCCCAAGTCTCTCATGCCTCCATTGCCATGGTTTGTATGATCTATTTCTATGTGATCGGATACAGCGCTTCATGGGGTCCTACCCCTTGGGTGTACCTGAGCGAAGTAAGTGGGACCCCCCTAACCATTCTTTCCATTAGGAATTTTGTCTAGACTGACAGATGCTTTAACTGCCCATTCAGATGTTCCCCACTCGTCTGAGAGCGTATGGAGTTGGTCTCGGATCATCGACGCAGTGGCTCTTCAACTTTGTTGTGACCGAGTTCACACCCCATGCTGTCAATAACATTGGGTGGCGGACCTTTCTCATGTTTGGTATTTTCTGTATGGTGATGAGCATCTTTGTACTCCTGTTTATGAAGGAAACCAAGGGCCGGACACTGGAGGAGATAGATGTTCTATTCGGCGCGGTCGACGAGGAACAGAGGCGTGCTGATGTGGAGCACGCCTTGCACAAGGGGCTGGGGACGGATGCGGAGACCAAGGAGGGTGCATGTGTAGCTCATGATGAACGGGCCATGGCGTGAACAGGAGTAGATGCTGTTTGGGGATTTTGCGACATGCTTTCAGCAGAATGAGACCATGTTCAAGCAGTGGCTGTTTGTGATGTGTTGTCCTGGATATTGCCATCTATTTAATCTTGCATCAGCTCTGGACAAGGCAGTAACCAATAATTGAACGGAGAAGTCAGCAACCAGACATCCAGCCAGGATGGCACTGTACATACTGCATCGTATGTGGCCGCAGCGTGATGCAGACCTGCAACATCCTGACTTCGGGTTGATCGCAATTCTCGGTTGCCGGCAGTTGGGCTATGACTTCATGTGGAGAGGTTCCAGAGAGTCATCGCCGTGGGCAATGGAAGTCACTCCTTTCCAGGAACTGTCTTGGGAACATCCTTTCCATCCAATTACCCCTCATCGAAAACCATCTCGGCGACCTATATACTCTCTGATCAGCCTCTTCTCCGAGTTAATTTAACCAAGGTCTGTTCGCCTCCCCGGCTTAATTTCCCCGCCCGCTGACCCCGATAAACAGCTCAAAAAGCGGAGTCGAGCTTAACTATCGACAGGGGTTTCGTATCGAGAGGAGCGCGAACAGCCATCGACGGAATACGAGCATTATGATGTGCAGCTGAAGGCGCATGCTAGGAACCGATATTTACTTCGTGACGCTCGCGAAAAGAAAAAAAAAAAAAAAGAACGAGATGGCGTCGCGGTACCGCTCTCGTGAATCGACGGGGTCGTCCTCTCAGTGTTCCCCCCAGGAGGATAAATCCAAGAAGGAAAAGGAAGATGAAAAAAAGAGCCAGAAAGGAGGTTTGATCCAGGGGATAAAGAAAGTATGGGCAAAAACAGGCTTGGATCTGCCCACAGTTCTGCTGATGATGAAGTGAGTTGTCGAATCTGTTGATTCCTCGTCGTTCAAATAAACACTGCGCAGATGCCATGCTGACGGCTAATACTCCGTACTCAGAGGTGGTATCCCACCAACAATTGCGGTATCAATGTATGTCTTTCAGACCTTGCGTACATACGCGTGAAATGCTTCTGACAATCAACCTCTAGATACCAGTCCCATTCTGTTGCGTCCGAGTATACCACCCTTGGCTACTTAGTTGCCATCATTTCAGTTCTGGGTTTTGCGATCATGCCCAGAGCCAAATTCCTTCAGATGATCGTCTACGACATTGTGGCCGTCTGCCTGGCATCGGCAATGGCGTTGCTGATGATGTTTTCGAGTATCAGGGCACGAGAGCATACCCAACCACCACATTCAACATCTGTGTACAATTCCTCTGCATCGGCTGTTTGTGGGGTCTGGCTGTTTTTTCAAATTTATGTGGTACATTCGTTCCGTGCGAAATTCCCCCAGTTCCAGCTCCCGGTTATCATCTACTCAATCTTCGTCAACGTCTCGACAACCTTCGCTCCACGGTTCGTCAGCATGACTGTTGGCCTCACTTTCGTCCGGAGAATGCTGGAAGCGTTTTTAACAGGACTGGGCATTGCCACAGCCACGTCCTTGCTCATCCTCCCAGTGACATCTAGGAGCATTGTATTCAAACAAATGGCTGGCTATGTCGGTGGATTACGCGCGACTCTCAAAGCCCATTCAGCGTACTTTGAGTCCTTGGAACACGAAGACATGTTTGGTAGGACCCAAACGTACGACGACACAATTGAAAAAATGAATCAAAAAGGGAAAAAGGCGTACAGCCCAGAAGCAGAAGCTATTATGGGTGCCGTCGCGCGGGTTAACGAACTCCACGGTAAACTCCGCGGAGACATTACATTTGCAAAGAGAGAATTTGCTATAGGATACCTCGGCCCAGATGACATTCAGACCATCTCTAAGCATCTGGGCCAGATTAGGATTCCAGTTGTCGGCCTTAGTTTCGTGATGGATGTTTTCCAGCGTCTTTCAGAATACAATAGATGGAATGAGCCCATTGATCCGGGAGATATTTCGGACGAACTGCGACACCGAGTCGTGCGTCAATGGAATGATCTCATGAGCGCTGTGCATGCACCGTTTCAAATGATGATGCAGATAATTGACGAAGGGCTACAGCATGCGACGTATGTTCTGAAGATGGACAAACCTCCGAAAAATCCCGCTGCCAATAATGCATCTCCGGATGCAGGGGCAGATGTGGAATCACAAAACACCACAGCACCCGGTGAGAAGGGGTTTGCGGTATATTTTGAAAAGAAGCTTGCCGAATTTGGAGAAGCCAAGCGGATCGCATTGAGGACATGGAGCGAAGAGCGAGGCATTCACTTACCCCCCGAATTCTTTGAGCATCCATCTTCACTGGATATCGATATCGATGATGATCCGCTAAAGCAGCCAGAAGTTCGTGCTCGTAGTCGGCGACAACTCTATATGTTCCTCTATGTACGTGACCTCGGTTGCATAAAAGAAGATATAATTACTTACTGACGCATGCACAGATGGAACAACTTCTTTATTCGACCGGACATGCTGTTCTGGACTTTGTTAAATTCGCTGACGGCAGACTGGAGAGCGGGAAGCTTTCGAGAAAACGGCTTGTGATCCCAGGGAGCAAGCGTATGAGGAAATGGGTGCTCAGCACATTTCAAGTAGAGGATTCTACCGAAGACGACAATATGGGTGACATGCAAACACAGAGGAACCTTCTCCACCTTGGCGAGGCATATACGCGCCGAAAGGACCCGGAACATCTTCCACCAGAGACAATTTGGGAGCAGATAGGAGATAGCATCAGAGCCATCCCGGCGGTCTTACGCTCTCCAGAATCAGCGTATGGTTTCCGGGTCGCATGTGCCACTATGACCATTGGTATTATTTGCTTCCTCCACAACACACAAGACTTCTTTGTAAAAGAACGCTTGGTATGGGCCATGATCATGGTCAATCTGAGCATGTCTACAACCTCGGGACAGAGCATTTTCAGTTTTGCGCTTCGTATCCTGGGTACGATCGTTTCCATGGTTTGTACTCTTTTAATCTGGTACATTCCAGATGAAAAGACACCGGGCGTGATCGTGTTCCTCTTCATCTTTGTGTCCTGCGGTTACTACATCCCGATTAAGAAGTTCCATTTGCGTGTTGTTGGCATGATTTCTATTGTGACTGCTACGATGATAATTGGATACGAGCTCCAGGTTCGAAAGATAGGCGAACAGCTCGCCACGTCTAATGGCCAACCATATTACCCGATCTATCTCCTGGGACCATATCGGCTGGCAACAGTGGCAGGAGGTATCGCGGTTGCTTTCATCTGGACGTTCTTCCCATATCCGATCTCTGAACACTCGGCGCTCCGCCAAAGTGTGGGAGCGTCACTATATCTCCTGGCAAACTATTACTCAGTCGTTCATGAAACCGTCTTCGCGCGCATGAGTGGGCAGGTGGGCGATATGACTCTCAAGACTTCAGCGGGCCGTAAACTTGAAAAGGCGCGCAACAAGGTATTCTCGAAACAAATGTTGATGCTGAACGGCCTTCGCACCTACGCCGGGTTCCTCAAATGGGAGGTCCCTATCGGTGGTCGGTTTCCAGAGAAGCAGTATTTATCGATTATAACGTGTGTTCAAAAGTATGTTCTTTCACCTCGCTATTTATCTAATTGACTCAACTTTCTTTTTGTGCCCTCCAGTGCTAAGAACCTCCCAGCATCGCCAATTACCTATCCCTCATGGCATACGCCTCAGACACATTAATACATCTTGGGAACAACCCGACCTCAGATGCCATCTGGATCGAAGATTTCAAAAGACTCGTCTCCACAGCCAAGGGAACAATTCATGAAATGACCTCCCTGCTCTGTCTTCTTTCTGCCAGCATAACAAACCGCCAACCACTCCCGCCTTATCTCAAGACTCCGAAACCGTACAGCTTTGACAAGAAGCTAGACGAGATCGACAGGGACATCCTTACAATCCGGCACATTGCCGATCCAGGCTTTGCGGCGTTTGCCGTGTTGCAGATCTCAGCGAGGTGTATCGCTGGGGATGTACAAAGATTGTTGCGGTGAGTTGGACTCTAGTCTGGTTATTTCTTGTCACGCTACTTCACGTTGATATGCTGACATCGATTCTGGACAGTGACGTGCGGTCGTTGGTCGGGGAACTCGATTTCTCGTTCCATGCTATTAGCACCGCTCACTTTTCCGCGAGGAGTAGTATCTCGGACACGACACGGCCGAATACCCCAATACCGAGCAGCGTAGCTCTTCGAGATAAAGCGGATTAAGAAAGGATAAAGGGGGGGAATAAAATGAAACAAAATATGCGAGATGATATATTATACCCAGTTTCATATGAATGTTTCACGGCGTGCGGAATTCTATATGAATTCCGCCATTACTATAATACAAAGTTTCTACCATACTCTTAATGATGAGGTATCGAAAATTCCGGTGTGATAATAACAGTTAAATTTCTTCCGTACTCCATATCCAGAGCGGTATTATGTTCATACATGTAGAACGTTTGTTATATGGATCCTCAGTCATGGTGAACTTGGCTGACTGATTGACTGGAACCCGATCATTTCGAAGCAAACACGCAAGAAAATCCCCAGACGGAGATAAGTCCAAAGACATTGTCACAAATAATGGATATGCAGAGGGTATAACAAACCGAACTCCCTGCGCGTGTATCTGGGTTGCCAACGATAGATCAGACCAAACCAAACCTCAGCAAAAACTAGGTTGAATCAAGAATTTGCGCCATAGGATTGGAGAAGTTCCTTTTATAAAGGTGAGAGGAGTAGAGTAGAAGGCAACCTAACCTCTGCTCTTCTGTCCTGCTCTGTTTCCCGACCAATATGTCCATGTCTCTGTCTGGCTGATGCAAGCGCGGTCCGGTCCAGTCCGGTCCAGACGCAGAATTGAGAGGGGGCAGGCCGCTACAATGGCAGAGCGCAAGTGCACATCGGGAAGACAGAAGATGCTAGACTGTGAAGTGCACCTTAACTAACCCCTTACACCTCGTTCTCAGAGACGGGAGGTCTTGATGAAATCCAGTGGGTTGATAGAATGGAGCTGATATTTGGCAGAGGGCATGTTAGTCCCTTGCAATAATGAGACATAAGGGGGGGAAGTACATTTACTACCAAGAATAAGGAAAGCCATTTCATCATTCGTTGATTCATGCAATTGATTTGATTTGATTTTGTCCAACCCTTTCCGGCCAGCGACAAAAGGTAGACGACAGACAGGCAAGACTGAATCAAGACAACAGATCCCAGTAAAACGATACCCTAGACAAGAAAGATGACCATTGGTATATGAACTTGTGTCCAAAAACTCCCAGATTCTCCATGCAGTGAAATAACGGGGAGGGGAAAAACAGTGAAGGTGGAGGATAGAGAAAGACGACTTGCAGAATGCATAATGCAGCAAGATAAGATTCAGATCTCGAAGGCGAGGTCCATTCTGTTTCTGGCATGCATGAGAACCAGTCCCGCAAGGACAGCCAAAGAATATAAGGGAGTGTGACAAAGACGATGTTTAATCGAAGGGAAGACGGGGAGAGAGAAAGAGGGAGAAAGAAAGAGAGAGGTCACTGGACTTCGTACATCTCAAGTGCATGCTCCACATCTTTCAAGCTGCTCTTGTCTCCGTATGCGTCCATGAGTTGTTGGTTCCGCTTGATGCGTTCTTCTTCTGCGAAGAGCTCTGCGAGACGTCTTTCCTTCTGGGCTTGGACGTAGTTTGTCACCCCGAATCCTGCTGCGAAGACAAGAAAAGCGTATTAGCAATCAAGACCGTCATTTTGACATGCATTGCTTCTTGATCAAGTTGGAGACTCACCAAGTGCCACGACAGCCATTGCAGGGAGGTACCATCGTCCCACTGGGCCTACTTTAGGGGCTTGATGCATTGGAGGGAGACGGGGACGATGGGGGATCTTCGGGGAGGCAGATGGAGTGTAGATCATGCTTTGGTTTTGTTCTTTCGGGTTATTATTCAGTAGCCGGTGTCTCAATCTGTGGAATCGACCGAACTAGCGGTGAAATTGGCTGTGGTGTGGAAGATAGTGGATTCTCGCGATTGTGATGGGTTGTTCAATAGGTGAGGTATGACGTAGGTGTATTCGTGAGCAGGAGCTTGTGGTGGTGTTCGGTAGAGTCGTAGAGATTTGAGTGCTGGAGAAGGCCAGATCGAGATGGATACTTATAAGATGCCTGGGCCAGTGGGACCGTGGACGGAGTACTCCGTCGGGGATGATTCCATTGGGATCGACTGACTGAAACAATTTAGATGGACGACGTCAAGGTCGCTTTCTCTGCCGTGGAGTCGCGTGAGGGCGCGGCAATCATACGATTCCGGTCGGTTATCGCTTGCTGAGTCAGCTGCACGGCAACGCTGCACGGTAGATCAGACAACTCTCTATCTTTCCTACCAGCAGCAGGATACTTCAATGTTCGGGACTCCCTGGTTAGCATTGGATATCGATGCTCTACTATTTCTCCGGACATACCCCGTGGTCTCTACGGCGCTCAAAGCTATTAGCCCAGCCAGACCTGTGGGACGGACCGTAAATAATTCGGACGCAGGCATCACGGGGCTAATCAGGTTACTGCAGTCGATCGACCTTCCGCGGCACGACGGTCCGTGTCTGCCTCATTCATATCTCACCTCGCCTTGCTGCCCTACATAGTACATACGGCGCTGCGCAACTGTGGACACGGCCATAATTCGCTTTATATTAGATGCCCCACGATGAAGAAGTACGAAAAGGTGTGGACCGTGGCGGTTGAGACCTGGTCAATGAAATCAATTTGGTATAATTGGCTATATGACCGATGGCCGAGATAATTCCCCGAAGCATATCCCAGCCAAAGCGTCGATAATAATAATGATGCTTGGCCTAAGTAGCCTTGGCCTTACCGCCTCTAAGCTTCCAGAGATGAAACATTCTCGTCATGATATAGTCCTGCACCTTGTCAGTGACTATGATCTGACGAGCAGATAAGGTAAACAGCTGAGGCACTTACGAAGAAATTCTTGGGCATGAATGTTAAACCAAACCACACAAGCCAGCTCTTCGCCCCCTCCCATACCCAATTTCGGTTCCGGAACAGTCTGGCGAGGATCCCCGGGCGGGTAACTTGCTGAACCACGCTCGCCGCGTATTTCTTCGTATCCATCCCCACCTCCTGGCTGTGTTTGACTCGCCGGATGTATTCTTCCTCGATGGGCATGTATATGCTGTTCGGGTTGAGAGTACGGTCAACGCGTGCAATATTCGATTTCACTCCTCCCGTGATGATGGTAACCACCCGGACGCCGAACGGAGCTAACTCGACCCGTAGAGTACTGCTATAATGATGCAAGGCTGCCTTGCTAGCATTGTATACAGACCCAAAAACATAAGGGCTGTATGTCAAGCACACGATGTTAGTTTCGATTGCAAGCACGGGACATCCAAAACCCGAGATGGGCAGGCAACGCACATTAATCCAGCTATACTTCCGATTTGGACAATGCAACCCTTTGCCTCGATCAAAAGAGGCGCAAATGCTTGACACATGCGGATCACTCCGACCACATTTGTCTCGAACGTCTGCTGTACCTCATCGATATCGACGTCCAGTGCCGGAACAGTATAGTTCCGTCCAGCATTGTTAACTAGATAGTCCAGCTTGCCCCCAGTGAGCTCCGTGACCTGCTTTTTCAGATCGTTGACACTCTCCGTAGAGTTTACGTCTACCGGCAAAATAGACATTCCCAGGTCCCTAAGCGGTTCGATGACGGAAAGCCTCCTGGCGGTCGCGATGACATGGTAGCCTGTACGCACTATCAGTGTGCGGTTGTGAGGCTGAAACCCAGATGCTGGTACACTTGCCTTGAGTATTAAATTCAAGCGCGAGCGCATGCCCGATGCCACCGGGGCTGCAGCTGTAGATGACAAACGACGGTAAGCACTACACGCAGAGAGGGCTGAATTTGGCCGTTACTCATACCCAGTAATGAGAACCGTTTGCTTTTCGCTGGCCATTATAAATGTGTTTCGATGTATTGATTTCCCGTCTGTCCTGCTATACAGCTGCACGGTCCTGGAATCTATCAAGTTCGATTCTGACGTATCGTCCTACAGATATCTTGTTTTGAGACCACATGATAGCTCGAAAGGAGCAACCTCGGCAGCTTATGTCAGCGGTTCGTATTGTATGAGGGCTTCTAAGAGCACGTGATATACCAGCTAGGGCATGTCGGAGGGGTCAAACTCGCTAAGTTGGTTGATCTAGCTAGGGAGGCCCGGAGTCGGGCGAACTATCTACACTTGTGCTGAATAACGTGGGCTAAGCCTAACTAGGAAGGTGAACCATGGGGACCATCAATAGGGCATAGGGTTTTGTATAAGGGCTTCTTGGTCTCGAAACAGCGACTCCTCTTTCTTCCTCAGTTACTCATTAGACGGTGTGTGCTCTCTCAAAACACATATTCTCTGATGTTAGATTTATTATTTTGGACTAAATCATAATACCACTTGTAATAGGATAAATTTACAACCGAAAGACCAGCGGCTTGTACGTCATTTTATCTTCATCGGGGGACGATCAATCCAGCAGACCGCAACTTCCGTTCAAGATAGCTGACTACTGTAGATTATAACCTGGTAACGCTTGCATTACTGTCCACTTACCTGAATACACATCATTTTAGATCTCAAAACGCCTAATGGATGAGCAGAAACCCGGGTCATGGCACGAAGAAGTCTGGAGAGAGCCGGATTGGGCTCGATGCTATCCACACCTGATCGGATTTCGAAACCCTGAAGGATATTTGGTACCTCTTGGTAAACGGTCACTCCGGAGTGTTCTTCAGGAAGAAGACCAATACATGCGATCTTTGCAGATTAATGATGGCCAGGGTCGCGGACCTACATGCCCAACACTTCGACCAGCATATATCAACACAGACGATGAGGATACGCCGGATAACCAGATTCCTCATACTAAGGAATCAATACGCCTAACCGAAAAGTATCCACTAAATGCTGAGCCCCCATATCGACATATGACCCTGAGGTTGCCTTAAAATCCCAGCAGGGGGGCTTTCCCTCTATCTCTTGCTGAAGCGAATGGGCCATGATTCCTCACACCATAGTTCATCCAGATGGACTAAACCCTGCCTTCTTTGAAAAGCAAGCCTCTCAAGTGGTACCTACCGCTACGCATTCTCCCTTGCTCCGCCAGCAAAGGGGCTTGGCCACCAGGTTGGCCAGCATATTGAGCTCGGATTTTACTTCTCCGAGGCCTCGTCGTACGCCGGTTCTCACCTATCCGGCCTATCCTCAAAAGCGAAGAAGATGGGGCATTTGATATTGTTGTGAATACCTACTACCCGCAGGAGTCTGATCCAGGAGGCACCATGAGCGATATTTTAGACTTTCTATGTGTAGAGAGTGTGTCCTTCTACAAAGGACATGGAAGATTCCGTGTCATGTCAAGAGATGTAGAAGAAGTGGACTTCGACAACATCATGATCATTGTGGCTGGGGCAGGCGTAATCTCCGGATCCCAGCTCTCGAGTTTATTTTTCATTCTGGAGATGACCGGTCAAGAATCAGGATTATCGATGCCAACAAGACAGAATCTGACATCCTCATGCGTGACGAACTTGACTAGATGGCTAGGGATCATCCAGACCAGTTCCAGATTGTCTATGTATTGTCTCGTCCAGGGAACGAGTGGACAGGGGAGAGGGGACATGTTACAGATTGTTTAATTCGCAGGTATGCCTTTGAACCCACGGAGCGAAACGTTACTCTTGCAAGCGGGCCGCCAGAGATGATAAAGAAGTAGGTGCTTCCTTCTCTCTGTGAATTGGGATTATAATGAGGGCGACAACCCGTTTGGACGGTGATATTAATTAATAGTAATATGCTAGCTACGATTATCTGTGAACATGCTTCTGGAGTCAATTGGTTTGCTTTAGACCTGGTCACATTATTCTATGATGACTATTTGCTTCTCGCTACCAGAAAACCAGTCCTTCTTCCCAGGAGCGCTGAATTTCCCTATACGCCGAAATGTGTGATCATGAGCCGGGACCAAGGCCATTCCCACAGATCCAGGGCCAACGGCCCAAGTCACCTGGAGACACCATATGCGCTTTCGTATACGGCTCTGGGCTGTAATGGAGCCGTCCAAGATCTCATCGGGTAACGCATCCAGCAATACGGTCCCGATCTCAACGCATTCATCCTGGTCTTTCTTGGGAAGAAGAAGTGGAAGGAGAAACTGATCTATAATGTCAAATTTTGCCTCCTTCAGGACGCCCTTGACCTTTAAATAGCCGCCCGTCACAGCACCGAATGGTAGTTGCTCTGTTGCGAGGTCCACCTGGCATTCAAGAACCTCAAAGTCCCTGGCAGTCATCCACGGGAAAGTCATCACCTTCCCTTTCACTGATGCCCATGACCACGAGGGAGCTGTGTACTCTCTCATGGGAGGTTGTGGGTTGGCAATCGCCCACACCAGCTCCTGTGGTAGGTTTCGCTCCCACAGACCAGCTAGATATCTACCTTCAAAGACACGGTGGAACTCTTCCGTGATTCCAGCTAATGCAATCAGTTTATCTTCGGCGTTCGTGAGGTCCCGGTCGCCGTAGTCAGAAAGGAGTTCGCCCCATACTCTTTCGACGTCCCTGATCTGGATTCCTGGAGGCATGTCTGAGTCCTGATTGTAGGATAACATGCTGAGTGGGAGCTGATTTGATCCGGATGTTTGTGAGCCGTGTACTTCCCCGAAGATCATTTCGTCGTTCTCACGACATTGCCATACCAGACTGTTGTCTCTGAAGATTAGATCTCGTGGGGAGAGTAGCCGCTCCTGAAGTGTCCAGGCTCGTCTGTGTTTGTCCTCTGCAAGGGTGGAAGTTGGATCAAGCCGCTGTCGGAAATGCAAAACACCCCTTTTCTGAGCATCTGAATGGTCATGCGTGGGTATTCTCAGTTCAGTGCGCAGAGGGGCAACATGGTCCAGGAATGAACGAGAGACACTTCTAGTCGTTGTAGCCACGATAGTAATGTACGAGTTCTTATATATAGAACGCATATGCGAAATCTCATGCTGTTTATCCGCCTCTGAATCTTGAATGATGCAAATTGCATCGATCCACAAGTACCGCAGACCTAGTGTTCGCGTCGTAGCAATCGCGTCTTGGATGGTTGGGGGAGTGTCGGATATCTCGAACCCATGCTCGATATGCGATAGGTATGTCCTGCTGGTTGTCGCTAGAGGCTGTGGCCCACCCCAGCAGTAGCTCAGGGCTGCGTAGGGCGCGATGGTGTTTTTGTCTTCGTGCAGTCGCACTCTACTCTCTCTTGTGGGATCGGCCCATACATCGATGACTCTCGTGGGGAAGAAGCTACCTCCCGGATGACAGTAGGTATGGTTCTCCTGGCAGTCTTTCATTTTTTGCGCCGCTCTGTGCAGTAGGCTCTTCCGTGCCATATGATCAGCATGTTCTGGGGAGATGGCTGGTGTCGTGCCATCGTCTGTTATTTATATTATTATTACCCCGATAAGCTAGCCATCCTTTCTTCTTATAAAGGCAATAAGGAAATGGGTATATACAAGAAAACATCTCATAATACCGCATGACAATCGCGTTCCCATCTTCGACAACAGCCAAGACAACCGTATACCGGCCGACCGGGGCGACATTCCAGTAATGCCGTATCACCAAGGAGACAGTCAAGGAAGTAGATGTAGAATCCTCTAATCTCTCAAGATGCTTGAACTCTTCCAGTGCGTCGATTATCTCCTTGCACCAGCTGCAGTTGGGTGCGTTTCGGAGCAGTATCGAGAGAGTCGAGGTATGTGAATGTTCCACCGTTGCAAATGGGTCTGGGGAGTCGTTCCGTAGGAGAGGGGCTATTTTTGAGAAAATCTCCTTAGAACATGTTGTGCAGATTGGGGAGTGGTTAAACTGGCTCTCTGATGCGTCTCCCATGGTGGTTGTCGTTATTGTTATGAAGGAGTGAGATGCGGGGTATTACCATTACTAGTAATAAAGTACGGAGTAATTGTCGGTGACGGCGGAAAGACCATGGTTGTGCGTGGTCTTTAGATACAAAAGCGTGGTCTTTCCGCGCTGCGCGTCGATGCCTTAAACATTCTAAGCTGGCCATACCCAGTTTGTTCTAGGGCCATTTCTCTGGTCACAGATATCGGTGCGCTTTCATACACTCGGCGCGTACAGCAGATGAGTAGACGAAAACATATAAAGCGCAGATGTAGTATCGTAGACTCACAATTTGATGACTCTTATTTATAAGAATTTGTGCAACATCAGGAGTCCTCCTGTTTCTGTCTCCTTGACCGTTCTCAAGTGTGCTATTTACTCAGAATGCCTCAAACCAAGATGTTGCCTGAGGATGTTAATTAGAACGCCTTTGTCCAACAGCCTGATAATAAAACAGAAGGTAACTTCGCAGAGACAACTAAGAGTTGTATCCTCCACGTGAAGCAAAACTTTCAGAAGTATTGTTCCTTTCTCTTTCCATGAACACCTATGCTGATTCCATGTTTGTTCCAGATTTTCATCCAAGTTGGATCCTCCAAAGTATGAGTACTGGATCAAAAATATCATGCTGTGGCTCATTGAAGGTTTCCTGCACTGGTATCTGAATGATTATAATGTGAAGTACCAGTCTGGGTTTTTGGTCATGGCCCAATACTTCAGGATCTTCTGGTGCGAAGAGATAGACAGCCTCTTCCCTTACAACCTCAGACGCAGGATGACACAGGCAGGTTACCACCCATCAATCATGAACTCCAGAGACTAACTTGATTAGCTTGTATGCACCACTCTCACTGACAAATACAAACTTGATTTGGGAGCAAAGACGCAGCCACCTATCAATATTGATGACCTCCTGTACAAGATGTATCACATTATGGCATTGACAAATATGCATTCTATGACTGTCTGGTGTTGACATCAACACAGTTGCCTTAGAAAGATGATGTCGTTGACATCCACACGGCCCGGGACTTTGGTTGAGTCTGAGGGATACATGAGAAGGCCCGACTCCTTAAAATGGAAGGATATTGAGCTTTACATGGTGAAGCACCTAGAAAACCCAGCATGTCAGATACTTTTGATGAGGGTTACACCAGCTTAACAAAGGCAAAAGAAATAAGGGCGTGGTGCAAGTCCCCTTCCCTTTCCTCATGCAACTTGCTAACCCTTACAAGCCCAGTCTACACTTATACTGAAAGAAATGGCAACCTCAGCCTATGTGTCATTCAGGACGTATTAGAATTTGCCTTTCACGATGGCGCATTCACTAGCAAGTATATCAAAGAGCTGAGGGATATTTGGCAATATACCCATGTACCAGCCCACCGACTCAGCACCCCTATTCATTTTAAGGAGGAAGTCCAAGAGATCCCAGTATTTCATCACGCAGTAAAGGATACAGAAGGGCAGTGGATCACTCATCCAACAAATGCCTTGCCTTATAAAAAGCTCCAGGAAGACAAAGTTGCGACAAGCAGGTCAGATAGGTCAAAGGACCCTGGTTCTTTATATAAATATTGCAAAGGGGCTGCTGCAAACCTTAGTAAGTCATCTGTTGATAAAAAGAGAAATTATGCAGGTATTAATGTGCTGTGAAGGGCACTTGGATGAACACTCCAGAAATATTATCATGGGCCATGCTGGAGTCACACATTTGCAAAACTATGTTCAGGTCCAGGATGATACTCAATCCGCCTTTATGGGTACACCTACCGGAGACACTTTGATTAAGCTGGCAACAAACTCAAGTCTGACCTGAGACACGTCTGTGCCACAACACTTAAGTGATGAAAAGAAACAAGAGATTGAGCAACTCACTGAGCTCACTGATCTAAAGCGCAAGCATGATTAACTCTGATGTGACCTAATCACACAATATCATCAGCTGCACAAGGCTTGAGGGACTGTCTTATACTCCAAGTTTAAAAGGGCTCAGAGACAGGTGAGAGCAAGAAGGAAGAAGCTGCATAAAGCAGCTAAAGATCAGCAGCATGACAGTTTCTTCAAAGATATCAGAAACTGTATCATTGAGAGGAACTATCAGGGGAAACCTCTCATTTTTGAGCCTAACATATCTTATGTTGTTCTGGAGAGAAAAGCTCTTGCTGACCTTGAATTCAAGAACTGGGATATTGGAGAAGGTTAGTGACATTGAGCTGCTTGAGGATTGTATCTGATCTCTTAAGATGCAATTGACTCTCTATCACCTGAAGGTACTGAAAACACTGCAGAAACATATTAATTTCCATGAACCTTCACCTAACATGATCAGCTGTCCAGAATTATTGGATAATCTTTCACTTGAGAGCAAAAGCAGGCTTCAATGCCCAGTATGCCTTGGTCGCCCCAGTATGCATTCACACATGAGACTATACACCTACACCCGTAAGGATACATTGCAGAGGCACTTTGAAACGCACAACTTGAAGCAGAAATTCCCAAAGAGGCGTACATGTGATTATCCTATGCGAGGAGGTCTTCTTTACCCTCTCCAAGTATAAGCTTCATTTGGATATGGTACACAAGATTTCTCTATAGGGTCATGTTTATCAGAATACATTATTATCCATTCCGCATCTCCCAGACACACACCGAGACAGTTTGGAATTGTCGGGACAGGCTTGCTCAAATTCTTCCCCTAAGTGGGACGTTGCGGAGCGATACTGGCCGTGAGGCCCTTAAGGCTCTAGAAGTCCTTTGCACATGCAAAAGCTCTGTTGCATACAGGTGTGGGATGAGGCTCGTCAATGGAAAGTGCGATTGTGGAATGTCGATGCAAAAGTAAGTGACCATTCATATAGAACTAGACTTCGGCCACATTGTCAGTGGACACATCTTTACAAATGCTATAAGCACTGGCTATCCCAAATGGGCGAAAGCTGTCATGCGGAATATTGCTTCGATTGCGACCTGTGGATTCAAGGCGTCCAAGAATGGTCTTATCACTGTCAGCGTCATCTGGATGAGCCGGAGGACCTACTTCGGTGTGATCTAATAATTTTTCGAAATGCTCCAGCAAAAGCCGCATACTGCCCATTCTGCCTCGGAGATAAATCTTTGAAGCCACCGACAAGGATGGAGCAGTTCTTGGATCGACCAGCGTGGTTTTCGCACGTGGGTTTGCATCTCTCCCCCAAAGCGCTGGACGGTACATTTCATTGCCGCCATCCCGCTTGTGCTCTGGAACTGGGCAGTCTGACCGAGTTAGAATTGACGGGTTCGACTTGGTTGTATTCATAAAGGGGTCGGCGGAGTCGGTCCCTATCTAGCCAATGGAGATCACGTGACTACTCAACAAGAATATCATCTGAAAGATGTGCACTGCTACACTGCACCACGTGGCAAGAAGAGAGGTTCGGCAGAACGTCTTTGAAGAAGAATCATTATATCTCTGTTCTTTAATCGATGGCTCTTTGTTCCGCGTGTGTGGAAGTCAAACAATGCCTGTAGTTCCAATTGGTGGTAGTCCATCTCTATAGGGTTTACTGGTATATGACTGTAACCTTTGGCCGATTTGGCCCATGTTGATATTCATTTGGTGGAACAATGTCAACCTGTCATGCCATCCATACTAAAGGCACGGGGTCTGAACATATGCTTAGTCGAACCTATGTCTCCGTTCATCGCTGATGAATCACTTAGCAACAGAGGTCAAATCAAAGTGTCCAGTTATTGCAAGAGAGATATACTAATGGCTTGACATCCTCGCAGGATGAACGGCACAATACCATCCAGGCAGCGACGACCATTGGCCGGGATCAATTAATCCGGAATTTCCGAAAAGCGAGACATCACTCTATCTACGGTTTGCGTAGTCTTCCCCAACTTTATTAACTCACATTCGAAAAAAGCTGCGGATGACCCTGATCTCACTTGATTTAATACTGTAGCTGCGTTGGTCGTATGGTACGGCCTACAGACCTACTTGTTTTTTGGTTCGTTAGCTCATTCCCTGTACTCGTACGTCAGAACGGTGCTTTCATTATAGTATGTTTGACCTACCCGTGGTACGAAGAAGTGCATCTCTGATGTGGTCATAGTGAGGTCTGCAATAACACACCATTTCAAAGCCTCATCGATCAACGCAAGATGGGGTTCTTCGAAGGGTCAATGGTAAGGTGCCCATTTCTACATAGGCCCAGTATTTGTTATAGAATACATACGCCTCATTCGAAAAGGTAAGAAAATATTCCGCCTTAGTTTCCTATCACTATAAAGATGGATTTCCCGCTGATTAGCAGCTTAATCACATATGCAATCTGAACTTCAACAGTAGTCTGCTGAGTCACTTTAACGACATGGTGAAGCTGGGATACATTTTGATACTCTAGAGGGACTGCTTCAATCCCGTGCAATATGCTCGGTTCCTGACCGAGCAAAGGCTTTCAGCAGTCCCTCTTGAAGCACGACCGCTTTCAGGCTCGGATCAATTGCCTGGTGCTTTTCTCCATAGTGCAGGAGGAGCGGGACAAATCTTGGCTCGTTTCTTGTTCCTGCTGTATCTCTGGTCACTGCCCAGCCCATAGCGGAGACTTGAGTATCATTGGGCTGCCATGGGTTCGCCCCTCGTTGCAGTAGTGACTCGGCTATATGGAACTGCTGCTTGAGGACGGCGGCGCAGAGCAGGGTGCTACCGGATCTATCTTTGATGTCTGGTGAGACGCCTTGGGAGAGGAAAAAGTCGACGACCTCGCCATGGCCCGCTTCGGCGGCAAGAAAGATCGGGTGGCAGCGATTTTCTTCTTCCTCAGAGGAGTCATCATCCTCGGAGTCCGTTGGCCCTTGAGATGAGATGTCTTTGACGACTGGTGGACTGGGGAGAGACGCGCCTGCAGCCAATAGTTGATGAATGGTCTGCAGACGGCCATTTTCCGCAGCCCAGCATAGAGCCTTAGGGGGCCTGGGAAAGTGCTGCCGTACATGTGCTCGATACAGTATCGGGTTAAGACTGGCGTAAAGAAAATGATTGGTTTGGACTAGCGTGTTGAGCGCATGGGGCGAGTTCAGCAGATGGGCAATGTGAATCAGCAACTCAAGGGGTAGATCAGTTAACATGATGGTGGGACGTTTGCAGAAGAACTGTGAGGGGTAATCGGAGATGGACAGGCCCCGGTCAGTGTAAGGCACCGTGGACCCTTTATTAACCTGCAATAATCACTAGTGAGTCAAGTGTACTAATCTAACTAGTGTTCCTATCTGATAGAAAGCGAAAAAACGCATAGCGAATCACCCGGAATGGAACCAACGTACGATGATCTGAGCTCTGCTCCTGTCCACCTTCCCGGGTAACTCATGTTACTGCCGCCATTGTGCTGATATTTGCACCCAGTCATCACACTCAGACGGGAGATGCAGAATCGGCACATGGGAGTATGAATCATGCAGAGAACAGAACGACATTAGAGTGCAATGGCTATCGGCATCTCCTCGAGTTGTTACTCAGTACGGTACGGCATTCCGATGAAACAGTTCTCTCTCGGCTTATCGCTGCAATCCAAAACAGCGCTACGATGGAGGGCATCCTTCTGATTTTGTCAGAGCCTCGGACGGAGGAGTCACCATCAGACGAAGCGGGAAATCGAGAAAGCAGCTCGGAACATGAAGGACAAATATCTGAGGAATCAGGAGATTCCCTATAGGGTCCCTAATGCAATGACGGTCTGATTGAATTATGGGCCTATGGCGATGACCCTCCGAGGAAACTAGACCCGAAAATGGCACTTGCTTCGAAAAATTTATCATGCTGGGATTTGCCAATGTGTTCTGGCCACATACCTAGTAAGCTTCTCTATATACATCTGGGGCTCTTCTGGCCGGAGAAGAAGTCCGGAAAGATCAGGATTGCAGAGCGTTCAATCCATAATAGGAATCCGGAAACGCAGGGAGTGAAGAGTGATGTGTCGGACGAGCCCATGAAGACATATAAGTATGATAAAAGCATGATAGTTGTGAAGCAGCTGGCCTGTCGGACAGGCGAAAGGCAGGGAATTCAAGTTGCACCCTCTCCAGTGCGCCTCGTGAACGGAGCAGAGATAGTAGTGATCCATCATTCAAACCCCTCTCTGAGAAATCAGGGTAGTTACAATCTAGAGTTCCTTCTATGGAGGCTTATTCTCAAGTCATTAGAAAACTGTAATCATTAGAGATAATTGAAACTTCCTATGGCGATAAAAGCTATTGAAGCGATAGAGACGAAACACAAATGGAAACGAAGCTCTGTATACTAAGCTACTGATCAGCTTAGCCAGTCTGACCACCCACTGGAGGCTGTAGTAGTTCAATGAGCCTTTGAACCCTACCGGCCAAAGCCACCAGGAAACTTGTATTATCCGTGTGATCCAGAGTCAATCGACTTTTGGATTTCCCGAGCACAGTTGAGTGGGTCATCTAAAGTGACATAATCCGTTCTGCATTCCTCAAAGTTGGTGATAGAAACGATTGTTTCAGGTGTTACCATTCCATAGTCATAGGGCACAATATCGATAACTTCAAACCTTGCTGCAGAACGATTGCTGGAATACAGTATGAGAGTGTCATCAACATGCAACGACCATTCAGAATCCAAGGAACCAAAATTTGGTTGCATATAGTCAGATATCAGGCGATCTAAAAGTGATTTGGTGCTTCCGACAGGATACAAGATGATTTGTTTGGCCTTCCAGAAGTTAGCATATGTCACCATAATCTCGCTCCCTCGTGTATATTGGGTTGTCGCCATGTAGCCAATGTAGAAGGGCGTTAATGGCTCCTTAAGCCAATCTTGCTGATAATGCCATGGAACTCGATGACATGTTCCTAATCCATGCCATTCTTGTTTAGGTAGGGCTCAATACCAATTCTAGATGGGAAAGGGTGACGCCTAACCGAGTTCCAAGTATGTCTTAACCCCGCTTACGGAGCTAGAGATCTGCTTCTATACCCTCGGATCCCTAATGATCCCTTCCCGCGCTATCTCAGAGGCCGGGAAGCTGAAACTCTTTGAGAGTGACGTGCGCTGGGCGGTCCGAGGCCATGTTTACGTACAGAGCTGGCCCGCTTTTTCGGCATGACTGCGCGTGAGATACGTTATGGTGATGAGGATCAATGCTCAAGATACGTTGAGGTAGGTCATTGATGGTCATCGAGTTCTAATGAGAAATCTAGATTCAATTGGTGTCTGGTTCCAATGTCAATATTGCGGAACGATTAGTTAAACCTCGCTGGCGATTGGCGTTCGGCCCCATCATGTCACCAATGATCCCAGACACAACCATGGCAATCATCAGAAACTTTTCAACTGGCTCTAGATTATTTAAGTGAGCGCTCTCTCCTAGATCTGTTGAAAGGAGCGGTTCACCCTCGCGCGAATTCAACATGGTATATCGCCTGACAAGTTTCACTCGCCCTCTCAGACAACTGGCAGTTCCTTCAACCCAACGACGCCTTATATCTCGTTCACGCATCGCCATGGCGACTCGCATCATCGATACGATCAAAGCGGACCACCGAGAGATCGAGAACTACTACAGCAAGATTCTCGATTCTGCGACGGACACGGAAAAGGTGCAGTGGCAGAACCAGTTTACCTGGGAATTAGCCCGCCACTCTATCGGCGAGGAGCTAGTGGTTTACCCTCAGTTTGAGAAGAAGCTCCCTGATGGTCAGTCTTTGGCAGACAAAGACCGTAAGGAGCATCAATCGGTAAGGTAACCTTTGAGAGTCTGTCTTCCTGGTGTATAGTTCGCTAAGGACACAATCCAGGTCAAAGAACAACTGAAGAAATTCCAGAACATGAAGCCTTCCGACCCAGAGTTTGAATCAACCATCACAGCCTTGATGCAGGATCTTTCTGAGCACATCAAAGAAGAGGAGACGCAGGATCTTCCGAAACTTGAAGATGCCCTAACCACGGAGGAAAGCGAGGGCCTTTCCAAGTCGTTTGGCAGGTCGAAGATGTTTGTGCCGTCCCGTTCCCACCCCAGTGCTCCTGACAAGCCTCCTTTTGAGACTGCGATTGGACTCATGACTGCCCCAATCGACCATCTGGCCGATTTGTTCCGCAAATGGCCACATACCTCTGGTATGCCCAATCCATCTACGAAGTAACCTGTTGGCTATTCCCCGCGTAGTTAGACATATAAATATGGCGTGGATGGATTTTTGACTTTACTATCGCCGGGGCGTGTTGTATAGTAATCCGTGCCGTCGTAGGAACATTCTAAATTTTCGTCGAACTCAGTACCTTACTGCAGTAAAAGGGGGTGGCGAAGTGCACAGGACGGAGAGACCGGCCCAACGGCAAAAATGGCTCAAGTTGGTCTGAGTCGACACGGCGTCAAAAGGATGGGACACAACGAGGAGAGGCAGGCGGGCGAGGAGGCCATCTATATAGACCACGCACCACGATGCCAAGAGGCAGCGAAGCGCTTTCCCCGAATAGGCGCGCTTTACCGGATGCAGTAATTCGCCGTCACCGCAGAATACGGAGTGGTAAAGACCTACTAGTTAGGCTTGTGTTGAGAAAGAGCCTTGAAAGTAGCCCGAAGTCGACAATCATTGTTGCATAGCTATTAGATACTATATATATAGCTGACACTGAGGTGTTGTAAAGATCATGAGCGTTATATGTTCTTATGTTCCATTTCATGTCCCTTTTCTTCAACCATTATTCTACCGGCACGATTTACTCTGCGAATAAAAGATGTAGCATCCATATATTGACTGAAGGCACCCACTGAAGGACTGCTCCATAGGCAAGCGTTATGAAGTATTCTCCAGCTTCTTCTCTTTCAGCCATGGATCCTCCATACTAGTCGAAGTAATTGGAAACCCCATCGACATTAGATCCGGTGGACCGCTCGAGCCCTAGTTCGGATATTTTATGATGAAATCCACAGAAATGGAGTTAATAATATACGAAGCATTAATAACAACGAAGATGTTGCAATGATATCTGCCGTGTCTTTGCCTTAGATTACCTGGATAACAAGATTGAAGGCTTCTATTACTAACCTCCAGCCCTGATGCGCATTGTCAGATTTTAGATCCCAAGCAGACCATATCGGATGGATGCATTTCGGCTTTTCCGATGGTGAAAGCCAATTGAAATGTTCATTTGGCCCCGTGGAGCAATGGTATAATCGGATGTTTTTGTCAATGCCGAGGACACTTCACTTCTCTTTACAAGTTCCTACACTGTAGTTGTACAGCATAAGCCGGCAAAGATTAAGCTGCCCTCGAGGATCGGCTTTGTCATGATCAACGCCGTGCTTAATGAGTACATGAAACATGGAAACAGTTCGATTGCAGGAGAATCGGGGGAAAGAATTGTATTGATTATCATGATTACCAATCCATCATCCTCTTTCGATCCCATCTTGGGGTAGCCGGATAGATACATAAGAGGTCATGCATCTCATGTCTAAGAGACGTATGGAAACCCGTTCTACCAATTTATGCGCTCAGCTCGGTACAATTCGCATACACAGTCTACAGCTCTGACATCCACAAAATGCCCCTCAAATACCTCATAACGGGAGCCACGGGCGGACTAGGCTCAGAAGTCCTTAAGCACATAGCTGCGAACGTCCCAGCCTCGGAGTTCGCTGCTGCGTCGTCGAGCGAGTCGAAGCGCAAGGAGTTTGAGGACAGAGGTATCCCCTTTCGAGTGGCCAGCTTCGATGATCCGAAGACCTTGGAGGAGTCGTTTACGGGAGTCGAGAATCTGTTCTTTGTCAGTACCAACACGTTCAATGTTGAGAGAAGAACGAGACAGCATCAGAATGTCATTAATGCTGCTAAGAAAGCCGGAGTGAAGCATGTATGTTTGTACTATATGCCATTACCGTTCGAAAAGGACGATCTAACGTCTTAGGTCTGGTATACCTCCCTCGCCTTCGGCGGGCTCCGCTCCGATTCCAAAGTGAACGTTCAGCAGGCGCATTTGGTGACTGAACAGCTGCTGAGAGAGTAAGCGGTTTTCTGATATTGATCCCTCTCAAGCAAATCTGACCCCCTCTAGTTCAGGAATTACCTTTACATCCATCCGAGAAGGGATCTATGTCGACGCTTTCCCCCTGTTCCTGACTGGTATCCAGACACGGAAACCATTCGAATCCCCTCAGATGGACCTATGGCTCTGACGAGTAGAAAGGAACTCGGGGAGGCCAATGCAAAGCTGATGATCCGAGGCGGATATGAGAACCAGCTGGTCCTTCTCACAGCAGGAGAAGCAATCACTCTTTCGGAACTCGTCAACGTTATCAATGAGACCACAGGCCGACATGTCAAGGTAGAGAAAATTTCACCAGAGGAGTACGTTCGCTCCAAAAGTGCCAACGACCCGGGAAAGAAGAGTGCTTGGTTCTTTCAGACACGCCTGTCGTGGTTCGAGGGAATCACTCGTGGTGATGCTAGTACGACAGATCCGCTGATGGCGGATCTTCTAGGGCGAGAGCCGACGACGGCGAGAGAGGCCGTCTGTGCCTTTCTGAAAGAAAACCCGAATTATACGTGGCATCAAAATTATGCAAAGCAGGGATAGATGAGGTTGTTGATGATGGACGCCTCAGGCATGGATCAGGCAGAAACAGCTTGGAATCACATGACGGCAGCTGAGAAGCTAAATGCCGGTGCCCAGCTCCATTGGAAATGCCGCTGGGATACGGCAACACAGGGTGTATATACAGCTGTAGTGTTGCAATAATAGCTGCGTCTCCAGCGTATGATGAATAAAACATTATCTCCTCATATATTCTCAAAATCTACTGTGGTTTTAACTCTGTAGTACGTGTATCCATGAATCCGGAGAAGAAAGACCTATCAGCCGTGAGTCCCCGACGCTTGCAATTAGGCTTTCCGTGATTGGCCTAGAGTGGCTGAGTCAGCAGTCGGCCGCCCGGACCCGAGGTAGACGTCGAACCCTCCATCCGACGTCAAAAACGCATCTCTTCGTCGCCGCCTTTTCCGTCGCTCCCTGGGGATAGGAATCGATTCTCCTTCCTGGACTGCTTCTCTGTACAATATCTGGAATATCTCCCCTCCTCTCCGCTCTTCGTCCAGCTTTGCCTGCTCCAATACCGCCCGGATTCGCCTAGTCGCGTGCGTTCTTTCATAGACTGATTACTTTGACCTCGATCTCTCTGCCTGCGATGGCCGCTCTTCGTTCTACTTCGCGCTTGGTCGCGTCATCCAAGCCTCTCTTCCGGCCTGCAGTTTTTGCTCGCACTTACGCTACCGTCGATCCCGTCGCACAGGTGAGCACACCGGCAAATGCCGCCAATACCAAGGTTATTCCCGAGTCTAAGACTTCGAACGTTCAGGAACCCAAGCCATCCGAGAACCCCAAATTCAAGACCTTCCAGATCTACCGCTGGAACCCAGACAAGCCCGAAGAGAAGCCTAAGATGCAGTCATATCAGCTGGATCTGAACAAGACCGGCCCCATGGTGCTTGATGCGCTTATCCGCATCAAGAACGAACTCGACCCGACACTGACCTTCCGGAGGAGCTGCAGAGAGGGTATCTGCGGTAGCTGCGCAATGAACATTGATGGTGTCAACACCCTGGCCTGCTTGTGTACGTCTCTTGTCATTCCAGTGCTCTTCCGCGCGGTGAACACCGGGCCGCACGACGAAGCTCTTGGCGAGAAGAAAATGCATACTGACGAGGGGCGATAGGCCGTATCTCTACTGAGCACGCCAAGGAACTGCGCATTTACCCATTGCCTCACACCTACGTTGTCAAGGACTTGGTTCCTGATCTGACCCACTTCTATAAGCAATACAAGTCCATCAAGCCTTACCTTCAGCGCGATACCAAGAGTGCAGATGTGAGTGTCTTCGTGAAACGTTAGCTGTCGGATCCGGAACTAGATCTAATTTGACTGTGATAATAGGGCCTCGAGAACCGCCAGAGCCCCGAAGATCGCCAGAAGCTGGACGGCCTCTACGAGTGCATTCTCTGCGCCTGCTGCTCGACATCCTGCCCTTCGTACTGGTGGAACAGCGAGGAGTACCTGGGGCCGGCCATTCTCCTTCAGTCCTACCGCTGGTTGATTGACTCCCGTGACGAGCGGACGGCCGAGCGTAAGCAGGCTTTGGACAACAGCATGAGCGTTTACCGGTGCCACACTATCCTGAACTGCTCACGAACCTGCCCCAAGGGTCTGAACCCTGGCCGTGCTATTGCGGAGATCAAGAAGATGTTGGCATCTCATTAGGCGCGGGACAAAGAAGAACGAACGGTCTTTTCTTGCACTTCTTAGCCATGGACTTCTCTCATTCTTTATTCTTTCCGTATTTATATACGCTTTCTCATGTTGGATGTTTTTATAGGTGTAAATTGTCGCGCAGCATTGTAGTGATAATTGATTCAGTTGCAATTGCATGCAGCCATTAATGGCTTCGTTTTCGGTGCTTATTGTGCCGAACGGGCCGGATGTCTGTTGATCATTAGGGAAGTCCCATTCGGCCGATATTGAGCCAGGCTTCCGAATATGCGCTGACGGATATGTTTACTCATTTACTCAATTGTTTAACTGTGCTCTGGCGGCTCCATGGGCTCATGGGAGATGTCAAAGACACCTCCATGGAACAATACGGGCGAGAGGATGACGTCACAGTAGTTTGTTGAGGCACTACAGAGGTGTAGGTAAGTATAGGTATCTTCCATAGCAGACTTAGACTGCTCTATAGCGAGGCCTGAACTGGAACTGTTTAAAGCAGACGAAAGGAGTCATACACAGATCACAAATCAGCCTTCCCAGTAGAGCCTAGCATATCCATACTCTTCTCAACCGCCCTCTGCATAGCGTCCGTCGCCTCCTCAATAACAGTCGTCAACGGCGCCTTACCAGCCCTCTCCTTCCAAGTTTCAATAAATTCTCTATTCAACACCTTATTCAGATTAACCTTGGACACCCCATGCTCAATGCACTTATGGAATATCTCCTCCGTAAACGGATCCGCCCCATGCAGCACAAGCTGCACCTTATCACCAACCGTCTTGCGAATGCTCTCGAGCCGATCATACTCGAGCTGAATCCCCCTCGGCCCGTACTCACCATGCACGTTTCCAAAAGCAGGTGCCAACCAGTTAATCCCAGTTTCAACAAACTCGACACTCTCCTCAGGCGTCGTCAGTAATCCTTCTAAATCGGCCGTGTCGGCAACCCCGTCCTCCCCGCCCTCGATGCGGCCCGGTTCCGCCTCCGTCGCGATCCCGCGCTCGTGGCAGTATTTCGTCAGTTCCCGGGTTAGGGACAGGTTCTCTTCCTTCTCGTAGTGCGACATGTCAACCATGATGCTGTCGAAGCCGCCTAGGTCGGCGGCTTTGCGGATTATCTCCGGCGTCTGGGCGTGGTCGAGGTGGACGCTTACGGGGACCGAGGCGGTGCGTGCTGCTTCCGCGGCGGCGTGCACGAGGATCCCGTTGGCGTAGTTGATTGCCCAGGGGAATAAGAGGATCATGGCGGGGGACCGCTTGGATTCGGCTGCGCGGACGGTGGCTAGGATGCCTTCGACGTTGTAGCAGCACATGCCTGGGACGGCATATTTGGAGGCAGCTGCTTTGTTGAGGATTTGGAGGGCCTTGTTGTTTTGAAGAGACATTTTGTTTTTTTTCTTTTTTTTTTCTTTTTTTTCCTTTCTTAGTCTAGGATCATATGGTTGATATAGTGATTTGGGGCATTAGTTTTATTTTCTCTCTCCTGGATTGCTTATTGGGGGTTAAATACTGTTGATGTCAGTTGATGCGATGCATCTTCGTCCGAGGAGGGGTATGCCCCAGTCGGAGGTTGTCCGATGGAGATGTACTACTGTGGATCGGAGAATGAAGTACAAAGTAATTATTTACGAAGTAGCTGTGCGGAAATACGGTAGCAATTATCCGCATTTTCATGCATTCTCAATGGTAGTTAACTAAAGATCACTACTCTGACTAAGAGACATCATTCAAACACCTTCACCACACCCCCGCGTCTCTTAGCAACACACAGCACATTCAACGCCGCATTCCCCAAGTGCAACGGACAGCTCAAATCCCTCGCAGTCTGAGTCACCCTGACCAATTTCTCCCCTATACCGTTACCAGCCGTCTCCAGCTGCGTAGTGACAGCACCCCGGATCATCTCCAAACCACTCGTGGCGAAAACCCTACTGGACCCGGCCGCCTCGGTGACAAGACCGTAGAACTGGTCGAGATCGACCTTGAGATAGCGTGCGAAGGCGATTGCCTCTGCTGCAGCGCAGAGGTTGATGCCTACCATGAGGTCTTTGACTAATTGCAGTGCTTCGGCTGTTTGCTCTGGCGTCTTCGCGGGAACTACTTTGGCGATTGGTTCTGTGTAGTACTGGCGGACCATGATGGAGTCGTCGTGTGCACCTAAGCCCTGGGAGAGGGTTGACAGGTAGATCTGCTCTGCTGTTGAGGCAAGGGGAGTTGGGAATTGGTGGGAACGAGCGGATGCGGTGATGATTCCCTGTATTCTGTATTAGCAAGGGCCATGCATTTCAAGGGATGGTATGATGGAGATCAACGTACTACATCCTTCAGTATAATTGTCACGGCACTAACGCTCACTTTTGGATCCCACTGTTCCCCGACCATCCTGGGAAGCCGGTTCTCAAACATCCACGTCCATGCTTCCGACTCATTGATAGCCTTCTGCGTCTGCACCGCGTCCAGTCCCAATCTGGCTGCGAATCCCATCGCCTCGCTGGCACCCAGGATCTGGATGGCAGCCAATACCTGATGGACCATTTTCATGTTACTTCCCGCTCCCACGCCGCCGGGAACGATGTATAACTTGTTGATGTCCGACATGGCCTGTAGGAGGAATTTGCCCTTTGCAACCGCTGTATCTGACCCACCAGCCATGATGGAGAGAGTTCCACCAGCGGCACGTTTGGCACCGCCCGAGACGGGACAGTCGATGAAGTTGATATCGGATCTACCGTGTTTCGGGGATGCGAGCTGCTCTGATACGGACTGGGCATAGGGCGCCGGAACGGTCGAGCATAAGAGCAGGGTCGCATTACGAGGGAGGGCTATAGGTCATTAGTATCAAGTATCCCTCAAGACATGATGGTAGATAGAACGGCTCACCCTGCACGACTCCTTCTTCCCCAAACAGCACCTCTTGCACCTGCGGCGCCGACGCAACCATACAAACATAATAGTCCTTCCCCTCTGCAGACTCCCGCAACGATGCAGCTGGGATACCTCCAGCCCTCTTGAATCGCTCAACCGAAGCGGCGAACACGTCGAACCCGTGCACAGGATATCCTTCTTTCACGAGGTTGGTGGCCATGCCGAAGCCCATGGCTCCGAGGCCGACGAATCCGATTGTTGGCTTGGACATTCTGGTTTGTTTGAAAGAGTCGATTCCGAGAATTCAATTGAGCTTCTTCTGGGTGTAGACTATCTGATGAATTGATTCTCTCAGCGTCATCATATATTACTCTCCCCCCGCGCGGGAAACGCCGTGGGGGAAGACGTCGCAGTAACTCCGAGTGGGATGTCGATCTATGGCACTCCGGATTCACTCCGTGTCAATAAACGTAGATCCTGATGGGTGTGTTTCGGAGGGAATTGCAAATGGGAACCTGGAGGATGAGTCTTCTAATCAACCGACTTGTCTGATGATTGCTGTTCGCGGGTATTGATCGGTGCTTTCAATTGCCGATGTCCATACGGCCATTGCTGGGCCAAATCAATTGACTGTTTTGTTATACTTACTGAGACAATTCAGTTAATGGCAAATCATTTAATCTCACCAGAATCCTATAAAGGCAGCCAAGGACGCATGCGGGTAGCAATGACAGAATCGTTCAAGTGGACGAGGGTTGATCAGCCTCGCGAGGCGCAAGGTGAGATATTCAGACATTTCGCCAGATCGCAGCTACTCTTCGATTATGGGGCTGATGCCGATACACAGCTATCCGGGTAAATTGGGAGTGTAATATCAGGAGTTATATTCCGTGGGGATTTCCAATTACTGCAGTTGATTCTGGATGTAGTCTCAGAGGCAAGAAAGACGAAAGACGGGAAGTGGACTAGTTACAAGAAATTCATTTAGCTGAACCTGTCTCCTGCTATGGATGATCTAGAATTCTCTTTGGAATCTTGTTATATGTTCTTTGTGCTAACTACAAACTAATCGAGCAAGTCTACATAAGGATCATGACGAGATGGAACCGAGGAACCAGGACGACGGCTAGCATTGTATTGCTGCGACTGGGGGTCATTGTCTGACATCGTCGAACTTGGAGGAGCAGTACCATGGTGACTACGAGCGGATGAAGGAGGAGGAGGAGGAGGAGGAGGAGGAGGAGGAGGAGGAGGAGGGAAACTCACAAAGGCCCCCCATGCAATTCAAAGTAACCGTCTGGCCACGCAGCCCCCATGCCAACGATCACCACCTCAGGAGCAGGATGACCACTGTGAGGGAGGGGAATCCTCAAAGACGGACCAAGAATCACGCAAATCGAAATCAGCAGATGGGGACTGAGGCCGACGACGACGATGATGATGATGACGGTGACGACGAGGAGGATTGGAATTGCAAGGTTCGGGGTGAACGACAGGAGCGGGAGAGTGCCTCGAGCTGCGAGAACGAGGACGAGGAGAAGAAGAATGCTTGAAGCTGAGAGAGCCATGGTAACCGCCAGACTCTGGCCGGTTATCATCATCATTATGTCTCTGTCTACTTTGCAAGCCAGAACCGGCCCTACTGTTACTCCTACCCTCCCCGTGGTCCTGCCCACGGTAGCACCGACATCCAGGCAGGTGTCGATCATGCTCAGCCTTCTCATACGCCTCGCGCCGCTCACGTATTACTCTCGACTTGTTCTGGTATTTAGGCGTGTTGAATAATCGATCCCACCGTGTATAGGTGATTGTGGGTGCTGTCAGTACGACTTCACGGCAGTTACACTCGCCCTCGGAACAGCCTCGGCAGTTCTCGCAGGGTCGTTTGTGGACGACTATGCCCTCACGATCGGATGGCCGGGGCATCTGGTGGCCGCAGCTGTAGCGGTGGATGGCCTTTGGTGGTTTTATTCTCTTGTTGGTTTTCATCTTTTGTTTGGGTTAGCTAGGGCTAGGCAAGGTTGTTTGTGGATGTGTTATGGAGGCACTGATATTCGTCAGTATGGCTGAATTGAATGGAGTCCAGAACAATGTTAAGGTCTAGTACTCGAGATTTGAGACGGCTTGAGACGGTATATATATATCAGGCTTCATTGTCACATTTCTATTGTTATTCCTGCTGTAAAAGATCCATTGACGGCTTTATTCTTTATTTCTACCTCTAAACCCGATGAATGACATTGTAGGACATCGACAGTGGATGCAAAGGGAGGCGTGACAACACCAGGAACGGGATCGAAGCAGGTTACTCCGGAGGAAGAGCCTGAGACTGTTGACTCGCAGGCTCTTCGGGATCGTCCTCTGACGAAGCTGGGAAACCAGGACGACGACCGGCGCCATGTTCAGAAGACCCAGGGTAATCGGAAGAATCGTCATCATCATTGTCCCGTCTACCGTGCGAGGCACAGCTGCCACCGCTACCCCATTGATCGTCATCTGGACGGTACTTGGGGCATTCCGGGCGGTGTTTATGAGGCTCAACAGACCTGGCCTGGTACATCATTTCTATCCTACTACGGAACGGATGTCGGAACGAACGCCGGTGTAGGTATGTTGGATCGAAATCCCAGCTGGTGACTTTGGGACAGGTACACTTACCCTTGCGCCGTGTTGAACTATTTGATTGCGACATTGATCCATACTGGCAGCCAAGACATGGTCTATCGTAGCGGACGTCCTTGACATTACTACGATGGGGATATTCGTGCCATATATGGCCACAGGAATAGTAGTGTGGGACCTTTGACATCGTGATTTCTGTCCCTGTGCAGCAGTAGGCACGGATTTACTGGGATGCGTTGGGTGTGTGTGTTCTGGAGACCGAAGTTGGGTTGAATACTCAGGATATGGCCGGATGAAAGGATCACTTGAGTCGGATTGAGGCAAGTTGACGATGATGAAGACGACCGGTACTTGCGTTCGAGGATGGTTTATATCCCGTACAGACAGGCAGCTTCCATTCCTTGTTCTTCTTGCGATGAAAGAATCCCTTGTTGCCTTTGTATATGGCTTACCTACATGCCCGACCAATGCCATCGTGATGGGCATCACCAGAGCTGAATGCAGAGAGAATCCAATGGGAAAACAAAGACAATGGTTTCTTGTGCTTGTACTGCTCCTGGAGAAGTTTCTAAAATTGACCAGGCCGAGAATGGGGACTTTGAATACGTGTGCCGAACAAGGACATCTATCAATGGACGAGAATTGTAGACGATGGAGATTTGCCGCGCTGTGTAATAAAAGACCATCTAGAATGAACGTGCTCTGTCCCTAACCATGACTTGGGGCTATATTGAATGTGTCAAAAGAACCAGCAACAGAGGAACCTCCCAATGCACCCGTGTAGATATCCCCCGGTGGATCCAGCTTTGATGTCAGCGTCAGAGAAACCTCTGATACAACTCCCCCAAAGGCCAAATAGTATTCCATACATCACGGATGAACCGAGGCCTCCACCAAGTTCCCTCTCTATCTCTGCGATCCGCACAGTCTCCATCACCGGTGTTTGCGGGTGCAGAACGCGACCTCGATCTGTGCCGTCTGCCTTCGGAATCCGAAGCCGATGCTGATAGCGGCATTTGACTACCGCTTTGGGGTCTTTCATGGCTCGAGGATGATGCCGGCTCTGTCCGGGGATCAAGGATAGCTCCCCGAGTCCGCTCTCTATGCCTCAGGTATGATTCCAATTCCGGGCATGTACGGGTATCAGGAACAGGGTTCTGAGTCCGGTTCGCATGTGCATGTTCACTATCTGCGTAGCTTCGACCCCGGTTCCCTATAACGACACTGTCAGCCATGTAATGGCACGTCCAAGAACAAGAGGGAACAAGATTTCTACAACTGGTACCGTCTCCGTCATCACGAGGGCCAAGACGTGAAACTTCTGAACGGTAGCCCTTCTTTCGAGCCTTACGGCGCCGTTCACGTCTGCAGGCACTGCAAATCCCAGTATGGGCGTTGTGCCTCCTGAGAATGTCCCCGGACGTCTGGCATCCGCAGGCGTATGTGATATAACCGGACATTGTGGCCGTGCTGGTTTGGATGCAAGGCGATGCTCAACTGGAGGCCACGAGATTGGCAGTGGAGGAGTACTTTTTGAAGAAACGGTGAATTGTCGTCCAGGTTGTCTGGGAGTGTTGGCGGTGTCTGCCAGTATTTATATTGGATGTACATGGTGTGGGAGATGGATTGATCTGTGAATCTTTCAGTGCATCTTTCTTCAATAGACAGCATTATGGGGCCCTGTTGCCATGCATTTCTATTTGCTATAGATTTGACCAGATTGAATGAACAGAGTAAGACATGGCTTATGGACCAGCATGAATGAATGCCACAGAACAGCCTAAGAGATATAGATGCCTGTCAGCATATGGGATTTTTACTCTACCGTCATAGAATTTCGGTTTGCTATTCCGCTGCCTGACGCCAGAAACAGCGCCTTTTCAGCAACTATCATCTGCCACGCACAACCAACACAATCCTCAGGCAGCATCATGGCTTTCATTGTCTGCAACGCCATTTGCTTCCTATCAAGTTTCACAAGGGGCTGAAAATAACCCCCTCGGCACCCCGCCAGCTGAGGGCTATCTGGCATCTAGCTACCATGGTTAAAAGCCCAGTCACTCCCAACTCCTTATTCCACCTTAGTTTCCATCCAGTTAACACCTAAGTTATTAGGATCAGCTCTTCCTTTATCCTTGACTGCTCTTTTCTATTTTGCTGGAGTCTGTCACTACTTCAGACATCTCAACAGCTTTACCTTACAGCCAGCATAAGCCTTCAGCCACACATTGTCAAAGACAGATCAATCTGAAGCCCCCCTCCAGTGAAACCACCAGTATGTCATAGGCTATTAGGCCCACTAAGATCCAATGGCGCTCGCAGTTGACGGCAAATAATTCACCCAGGCGGTTGTTGATGAGAATCAAGGGCTTAGTCATCAGTCATGTGATGATATTACAAATCAGGAGTAATTAGGACACGGCTCCTGAACGTCAACAGAGTCAAGTTCTAAGATAGAGAACTATCTTGTTTACTTCCATATATCTCCTACCCTGATGAAGCGTGTATAAGATTGTCTGTTAACACCATTTCCCCTGCGCATGTGGAGCTGAATCCGTTTCGGTTGACTTATGTATCACGTGATACTGACGCTTTACCTAGTTGGGCATCGCTCTGCCTATCCCTTTTAGATAATTAACCATCTTCCTTCTCATCACAGGTGAACACCAACTGTGATACTAATTTCGAGACCCTCCAACTCTGCATAGCACCGACCCATGAAAGGGTGTCCCAGGCGGCCATGTCACAGCAGAATGACAAGGCTGGCTCCATACCACTCTTCAGTTGCGAGAAGTTGCCAACAGGAAGGAAAACAGTTACTGCCTGGAAAGCTTTCTCCTGATTCAGTCTCCTCTTCCCCACCTGATCCATGCCGTCCCGAATATAATGGAGTCTCTAAGATAGCTCATTCCACATTCCTCGCTGGTTCAGAATGTCCTATCACCTTTGAGTATGAACAATTTCCTTTCGGCTCTCTATTATTTCAACTTCCCTCCTGAAATGACACAGTCTCCAGTCTCATCTCGCCCATTTAGACAGCTATGAACTTCCTCGACATAGGATACCATCTAGAAAAGGGATGGATACAGCATTTATTTTCTGAACCCCAACCTGCCGCTTCTGGGCTGCGGCAATATCTATTATCCCCAGAAGGTTGGGGGACTCCTGGGTCAGATCATGACCCGGTGTCAGGCCCATGGAGTAAATTGCCTGTTGATTGGCAGCTACGTAGGACATTGAGCTAGCAGTGAAGAGGAGAACCTGTAGTTCCGATACGATGACAAGTTTGAGAAATCCATGGATGAAAATGGGACTGTCACGCGTCCATAATGAATTGACCGTGTTAACTTCTACAAACCCACAGCTCTCAACCACCACCATCCCAGCAAAAAATAACAAAATGGCAAAAAAGAGAGAAACAAAAACAACAGCCAAGCAAACACCGATAATCTTTAATGCAAGGTCTTCTCACAGCTGTCAGCATACAACATCACTTAAGGTTCGTGCAAAGATATGGCATACCAAACAAACCAAGAACCAAAACACCAGGCTGGAGTTGAGTTTAGTTGCCGAGGGATCGCCCTCAATTTGAGATTCAGATTCCGAATAGAAGGACTCTGGGGTGGCATCTGATGCGCTACGGTTAAGTGAGTAGTTATTGATATCCGGGCTAGAAACCACGACCACTGACTTGTTATCAGATTCCCCGTCTGAATGGTAGACTAGCTCTGTGCTGGAAGCATTGCAGGAAAGTGAGCCGATGCTCTCCATGTCTGCATCCCTAGCTCCACGTTCTGATTCCTCGTTCCCCGAGTCAGCGTCATAACCTGTGTCAGTTTCGAAAGTAATTTTCGCATATGGTGAATCACAGGATATTGACGCAGAACCATCACTGTCCAGGAAGCGAGCCATCTCAATAACACCCTGATTGTCACCATGCGAGGTTGGCGCAGAAGCTGATGGCTGTGTTGCATCTGGCCACAATGATCTAGCTAGCCCTACCGGCGGCGACCACTCAAACCCGGTCATAGGCGAGTCCAGCGACGAAGACGGTGCGATACTCGGCGCATCCGGAGAAGATGAGGAATCATAGAAAGTACCTTGACGGGGATCGGGTCTCAAACTTGACAGCGGCCCTGCAGGACTGTCTGGCACGGCTTTTTCACGTGTACCACCCAAACCACGAACGAAGCGGGCGATATTCCAAGGATTAAGATAATCTGTATCTGATTGTGCGCCGTTGGGACCGTTCAAATGAACAGTAGTACCATGTGAACGATCGTCTCGCACGTCGAGGCCCAGATTCGACAAGGAAGGATCAAAGCCATCTTCTGCTGGGTCTGCAAAGGGTGCCCCGTGTTCAGGAACAAGAACCATGCCTACAACGCACATATCGTGGAATGAATACTGTGAGTGGACTGGACTAGAGTTGCCGTCAGATAGGGAGGAATTCATTTTTGCCTTCAATTCAAGGACACGGTTTGGCGCATTCGGGGTTCTTCCTCTGCTGGATTGAACGGAATGATTATCAGCTTGGTCCCCATGGTTTTCGTAGTTAATATCGTATTCCTTTAGCCAGTCCTGTTCACACTTTAGACAGTAATGAGGGTGGCTCACGGGCAGAATGACTTCCTCGTCAATGGTCTCGATACACAACATCTTCTCTTCATTATCGGGGTTTGCATGGAGCTTGTTTGTAAACTCGACACAGCTTTCCACAGTCCACTTGGCGATGTGGCCGCATTTGGGGTAGTAATAGTGCGTATGCTTGCACATTATGCTGTTTGCGGTAGACAGTGGGTGTTATTAGAAAGGGGTAGGAGTGAGATGGATCTTGAAACAATTGCATCAACAGATCCGATGCTGTGTCCAGGGCTTATATATATACCTTGACAGGTTTCTTTGAGAACTGCCGAAAACGGTATACCCCAGCACCATGCATTGTCCTTTGATCATCTATTGTATCGAGGGCTCTTTTGTTTCCTTTATCCTTGAGACTATCAGTGCCACTGTTTTCTTTGTCCTTTCCCTATAGTGCTCCGTAATTACTGAGGAAAGAAATAAGATCATCTCTAAGAACGATTATGATTAATTCGACCAGACATTACTCTTAGGTTTCTCATATGAGCCGATACAAATAAACAACATTAGATCCCTCTTCCCCCTATTCCGCTGAAGAATGGAAACACAGCACCATCTTATTCAGTCTCGTATGCTGTCTGCGTTGCCTTCCGCCTCAACCAATATCGGTAGATGAGAAGCGCAAGGATACCGACACCCACAATAAAGACAAGGCAGAATACCAGCACGACACCGGGGTTGGCATGGGCCCAGTTCTTGTGGTGTCGGTGTCTATCTCGTGCAAGATACTGATGGAGTGTGTGCAGCTGTACGCTGGTTGCGGCCATGGAGTCGGGCGTGGTGATTTGAGGTTGGAGATGTATATGCTAGTCATATGTTAGTATGTTCGAGTCTACTTGCAATAGGTGGAATGTGCCACGCACTGGATGATGAGCAGTATTTCCGAAGGGGATACGTCGTAGTATCAATGGGGAACAGCCCACTATCTAATTCTCGATTCTTCCTTGTTGACTTCAGATTCGTGGAAGTAGATATGCTGATCGAGGATCTGATTGACGCAGAAGTCACCGTAAAGATTAGTCGAGTCGTCGTTCAAATTGAGACTGAAGGAATCCCCCGGAGACAGCAGGAAGTAATGACTGCAGAGAATAGCAACTGAATGACGTCTTTAGAAACTTACTGAGCTTTGAGGCTTCAGGCTCTTCAACCGATATTCAGGAGTAAACAGCACAATCAACGCGGTATAAAGAGCCAATTGATGTCTCAGACAGCAACAACAGAGAGCTAACAGAGAAGAACAATGCAGCTGACACTGTTTTTTTTTTTTTTTTTTTTTATTTATTTTTTTTCTTCCCTGGGATATAGGTGGGAAAAGGGAACAAGGGCTTTTCGGCAGGAGACGGACAGGGTTTACTGGTTATGATGCAGTGGCCCAGAAAGTTTGACATGAAGCCTACATTGTTACCCTCAGACGCTTGCTTTCCTTTCAATTGACTACGAAGAGAGAGTCTTCCTTCTGATTGTAGATACCAGCACTATGCTCTACTGCATGGATAATGCTGAAACAGTACCGTGATCTACACCATCAATTTCGGAGGGCTTCTTCGCTGCACCGCGTCGGATGCTAACTAAGATTTGCATACTTATGAAGAATTACCCTCGAACTCTATGTGTACACAGGAAACCATGATAGGGTAATAAGAACTCGGAATCGATCCGTCCCGCTGCCGCTGCTGCGTCAGGGACCCATCATCGATTCGAGGGTTTGATTATGGGATGCGGTCTTTCAGAGGGTCTGTCCTAATGAATACACCAACCACGTCATGGCTAGTACACCCTCTTGGCAAATGTCATGTACTTTTGTTTTCAGGAATCTAGCTGGATTTGAAGTTTATGTGAGTATGCACGCATCATCGGTGGTGGCCTGGTAGGATGACCTCTATAAACACTGGGCTGCTCGTCTTTCTTCTATTATTCTGTCCTGATCAATGGGATTTCACTGTGATTACTTATATTGGTTTTGCCCATAAACTCTTTCATTCCTCGGATTATACCCGAAGCGATGGGCTTCAGGAAAGAGAGACCGAAATCTACATGCTGGTCGTCATCTGGCGTGGCTGGTCTTGTTGCTACTCATTCCTGCTTCAAGGTACGGCCTCATGTATCGTTCCCTTCAAGTTCATGGGTATCGGTATCATCAATATTTTCATCTTCCCTGTCTCTAGCTTTGAGAAATCTAGGATGTCGTTGGTCAATGTGAGCAGTGTGTCAGCAGAAGCATAGATGTACCCAACATATTCCAATTAGGCTGTCGCCACGTAAAATTGGCAGCACAATCACGGATCTACCTAGAGGGCACTTGGCCTGGTAGGCATCGCTAACATTGGAGAAGCGCTCGTCTTCCATAATATCGTGGACAAAACCTCCTTTGTACGCCTCACGTAGTGACAGATCTGCTGGGCCCGTTTGTCTTCCATATCCGAGAATGGTAAGCCGTCAATATAGGATGATGTCTGGTCATGCTCAAGGTCGCCCACTGCAGCAACGGCAAGTCCGGTATTTTCAAACTCGTTACAGCCATTGCATGACTCCAGAATGATTTCCACCATCTTCGTGAACAGCTTGTCTATTTGTAGTTCGGAGGACATGACCTGACTTGATTCGAGGACAACCGATGAATCGATGATATCCCGTCTGACGCTTGATATATCCAGGAACTGCTTGTCGCCAACTGTCCTGTTTTTCCCCATCCAGTGCGGTGTTCTCCCAGTCTCCTCGACATTGTTATGGGCCATGACCATGTTCTCTGCAGTCGAGGAATGCGTTGGGAGGGCCGAATCCAGCGTCTGGCACCCGGAATCGACATATCTCGAGGTCGTGACAGTTTTGAGTAGCTACTCATGCTTTTCTTCTAGTTACGCCGCTTTGCCAGTGGCGCTGATTGCCGACCACGCAGCAATGGCGTCTTGCATCAGAGAACGTGCCGTTCTTCGGAAACCATGTCGCATCCATAATTCAGCTTGCAGCTCTAGAACAAGAGCTTCCTCAAGCGACCATCCGTGGATTTGGCAGTGGTCGATAGCGGCTTCGAGATTCAGCGTAGCAGACTTTGTGTCACCACGTACTTCGCAGATTAACGCATCGAGTGTTAATGACCACATGCTGTAGTTTGCATCGCAGGCGGTGCGGGCAAAGTAGATGTCTTCCCTGAGTTTGAGAACGGTCTCGATGTTTTCGTCAAAAGTATCGCACCCCGTGCCTTCGAGTTGGAACGTGAGCAAAGAGAGAGCCATATAGAATGTCGCAAGATATACCGTCCGGATTGACACAGTTGTGGAATGGTATCCAGCACCGACATTCCCACCTCAATGGCCTTCGTGTGATGTCCGAACAGATACAGGGGTATCATAGACAGACCGCGGTAGAGATCATAGGGACGATCAGGGTTACTTGCGTATTTCTCCAGAAACATGAGAAACTCAGGCGACTCGTGGCTTTCATCCGATATCACACCGTCAACAGATCGCCACGAAGTTTTGCCCTGCAAGGCTCGTGCAACTTGGCGCACAGTAAAAACGATGGTTCCCCCGCAAGCGTCACTGGGCAACCCAGAATATCTTCAAGAGTTTCGCTGCAGAAAGTTTCCAACTGCGACACGTCACGGCCGATGTATAATCGAGTCATTGCCATCGATGCCAGACTGGATGATTCAAGCGAGACGTCCAGTGCAGGCAGAACCGATGCTAATGGAGCTCGTAAATGACCAAAAACAGGTTGTACACGATGGAGGCCTTGTTCTGAAGCAATACTTCAGCGCAGCAATCAACGAGCAAGCGTGCAAAATCACGGAGTTTCACTGCTAGATCGAGGTTCCGGAATCGGCTGAAAGCGATCCGCTTTATCGAGATAGTCCTCGACCCTCTTAAATTCAGCGTCGCATTGTCCGAAAGTAGTGGATTCCTTTAGACAGACGCCTAGGTCCTCTAGGGCCGTGAGCAGCAGCTTCATCGTTTGCAGGTGGTTGCCACTTTGAGTGTATATCTTTGCTTGTATGATCCACGCCCGAGGTTTGCATACTGGGGTCCTCGCATGTACAAAGACCTGGTCGAGCAATTTGGTAGACTCCCGGTCATGGCTTTGTGCCCAATAAGCCTCAGCCGGTGCAATATGTAGGGACAAAGAGCCTCGGTATCACCATTGCCCGGCAATCGCGCAATCTGTGATACATCCTGCTTCACGGATGAAATCTTTCGGTAGCGGTCCGGGAGCAGGTGTTAACGTTGAAAGAAACGGTCGAATTGTTCGCGTTACGCTCAGGGGACACATTAGGCCAAGTACAATCCACCCCCGAGGACGGTACACTGATCGTATTATTCTCCTGTGGGACGCGGGACATGCTGTATGTAGATTTGGTCTGGTACTCCAATCCACTGAAAGAGACCTCCTCGAGATGAATCTTCGCCGTATGCACTTGAAGATGCCATTCTTTCCCCCCCGGATACTAGCGAGCGCCCCCAGAGATGGCGCCGGATTGCCTGGCTCACGAGGCCATTGCAGGGAAACGAGAGCACCATCCAGACTCGCTACTCGTGTGCAGCCATCATGGCGGTTATTCCCCCATGGGATAAACGAGAATCCCACACCCGATAGATATTAATAATGCGACGCGATAAGAGTGGAGTGACGTTGGATTGACTCCATGCTGGTAATGCTGCCGGTAATGCATCCGGTGAAAAAGTGTTCGATGTCGCCATTATGGATCGGGGTGATGAGCATCGTTTCACCATCACCTCGACATTCTCTCCCACCAGAATACACGATAAAAAGCGGAACAGCGGACGCAGGAAGGTCCTGGCGACAGTACGAGATAAGGGACTTCTTGGCTCGAGTGAATCTGTAGAAATAAAGCCAACTGCGGCTTCCTTGCTGTGAGGAAGGCCGTATCTTGCAGATCTTCCAAGCGCGTCTACCGCCCTCTGGTACGTAGATTAAACTTCAAGCTAGACATGCACGACAGCGAAGGATGCTGTCGCAACTGCATCCTTATCTGTTGCAATTGCATTAGCCATGGATCAAAAATCCTACAGGCGTATGCCTCTCACACATCACTATTACCGGCAGGCAGACAGGCAGGCAGGCACACACACAGCACGATATGGCCACCGGCGCCAGCACCAGCCTATATAGCATCGGTGCCCTTTCCTCTTCGTCTTCAGCAACGTCGAGTTCCTCTTTCATTATTCTTACTCTGCATTCCTTGCAGATTGCGGTAGTGTTATTGTCCTGTTGCCAAGGTCATAATGTCCAGCCAGATCTACGAGTCTGATCCCGGGAATGGCACAAACCACGGTGATGGGAAGGACTTCCCCAAAAGCAAAGTCACCACGGACATTGACGATATCGAGGCGGATCCGTTTACGGAAGAACGAAGCATTGACGAGTACAAGAAGTCGCTGGTGGGTGAGGTCGAGAAGAAGGAGTTAACCGCTGTCGAGGCGTTCCAGTGGAATGTGGAGGGGGATCAGTCGCCGTGTGGGTGTTCCCTGTTCTTTCTTTGTCTTGAACTCGCGGATGGTGAGTTGACGAGTCGACGAGATCCCAACAGTTCCTGAGGTAGCAGCCTGTGTAGCGAACACAGATGATCCGAGTACTCCTTGCAATAGTAAGTTTTCTACAATCCTTCATCCGTGACTGTTCTGACCGGATACTACCACCTCCAGCCGTTCGAGCATGGGTTCTCACTACCGTCTTTGTCTTGGTGTTCTCCGCGGTCAATCAGTTCTTCGGGTTGAGATATGTAGGCTTACGTGTCTTTTCTTCGCGTCTTGTCTTGTCTTGTGTCTATGACTGACAGACGATAGCCCTCCCTCTCGCTTGGCTATGTTGTCGCCCAGATTCTCGTCTTCCCCATCGGTCGGTTGTGGGAAAAGCTCCCTCGCTGGAGAGTTCCCCTGGGAAGATTCTCGTTCGATGTTAACCCGGGACCGTTTACCGTTAAAGAACATGCGCTCATAGTCATTGTGGGTCGTTCTCATTTCTTCTTTTCTATCCCGTTATTTCCCAGGCAACAGCCCTCTGACCCTCAAATACATAACTATACAGTGCGTCAATATCAGTGCCGGCACCGCGTACGCAATGGGATCGCTTGTGGCTATTACTAGCCCTGTTTATTGGGGCCGTGACTATGGCGCTGGTTTCTCTTTTCTCTATCTTTTGACCTCGCAGATGCTCGGGTGAGTGGGATACGAATCGGCGACTGCGTGGATCTCTCTGACGGACATCGCAGATTCGGTCTTGCTGGTCTTACACGTCGATGGCTGGTTTACCCTGCTGCCCTCATCTGGCCGTCTTCCCTCTCCTCTACGGTCCTTTTCCGCGCCCTGCATGAAAAGCAGCACTACCCCCCTGCCAATGGTTGGCGGATGAGCCGTTATCGCTTCTTTACCTACTTCACTATTTTTGCGTTCGTTTTGTTCTGGTTTCCGGACTACATCTGGACGAGTCTGAGCACGTTTGCATTTATCACATGGATCGTGCCACACAATCAGAAGGTCAACACATTGTTCGGGGTGAGTTGCGTTGCACTTAGACTGCATGAAACCTAGAAGTTGTGAACTGAACAGGGCTGGATGGAATAGATGAACTCCGGGCTTGGACTGCTTCCCATCAGCATCGACTGGACGCAGATTACCTATGCCGGACAGCCTCTCATGACTCCATTCTACATCACCTGCAACGCGTTCGCCATCGTCGTCCTGTTCTACTTCTTCCTCTCGCCAATCTTGTACTATTCGAACGTGTGGGACAGTGCCTAGTAAGTACCGCTGTTTTCCTCCGTCTGCCTTCCCCACCCCCCTTCTGTTACGATGTTCGTACTATCTCGCTCACACCGGTGCTATAGCCTCCCACTCCTGTCTTCAAGTACCTTCGACAACACAGGAAAGACGTATAATATCTCCAGGGTCGTCGATAAGAACCTCGACTTTGTCCTGGGCAATTACCAGGCGTACTCGCCCATGTACATCTCCATGGCATACTCCCTCACGTATGCTCTGTCCTTCGCCGCTGTGACTGCCATCGTGGTCCACACATATCTTTATCATGGTTCTGAAATCTGGGCCAAGTTCAAAAATGCCCGTCACGGCGGAGAAGATATCCACAGACGGTTAATGCATGCATACGAGGAAGTACCCGATTGGTGGTATGTTGTATTGACCGTGGTCATACTGGGATTGGGTATCTTCACGGTGCGATACTGGGATTCTGGTCTCCCGGTCTGGGGGTTCATTGTGGTGTGTTTCGGCTTGGGAGTACTGTTGATTGTGCCGGAGGGAATCCTCGAGGGGACGACGAACCAACGAATGTCAGTTCGCTCATATTCACAGTTTCACATTCCCATGACTTTGATGGTCTGCTGACAAAAGAGATCAATAATTCATTCCTCCAGCTTTCTCAACATCATTACCGAGCTGATCGCAGGGTACGCCTGGCCGGGCAAGCCAATTGCAAACATGATGGTCAAGTCCTATGGATACAACTCGGTCAAGCATGGAATGGACTTTGCGCAGGATCTCAAGCTAGGACAATATATGGTATGTTTATGCTCAGCCTATGCTTGAGCTGTTGTCTGATCAGTTGATGCAGAAAATACCACCACGCGTCCTCTTTTTCGGCCAGATCTATTCGAGTATTCTCGCAACGATGACACAAACGGGCGGTATGTCACGGATATCCCTGATCTCCTTGGATCATGAAGCTAATTTCCGTCATCCAGTTCTCCGATGGATGTATGGGAATATCACCGACCTTTGCAAGCCGACCAACACCCAGCGCTTCACATGCAATGGCGCCAAGGTGGTGTACAATGCCTCTCTCATCTGGGGGACTATTGGTCCACAGCGGATGTTTCAGGCTGGACAGGTTTATAATAGCATTATGTACTTTTTTATCATCGGGGTATGTCACTGGTGATCTCCGCTGATCGTACTCTGGGTTACTAATGATGCAATCTAGCCTGTGGTTACAGTCCTAGTCTACCTGGTCTATCGACGATTTCCAAACACCTGGGTGCGGTATATCAATGTGCCTATTTTCTTCAACGCGGCCGGCAACATCCCTCCGGCGAATACAAGTGGGTTCATATCCTTTTTTCCTACCACTGGCAGGGGAACGCAAACTGACAAGATCAGCCCAATATTCTCTCTGGTTCATCTTCGGATTCATCTTCAACTATCTCATCCGCAAACGTGCATTCGACTGGTGGAAACGGTACAATTGTAAGTTTCATAGTTTCTACTCCGATCTTCTGGCCGTTTCCTGACGACCCCTTCTCTTCCAGATCTCTTCCAAGCAGCCATGGACACGGGTACTGCACTGGCGACTATTGTCATCTTCTTCGCTCTGAGTTATACTAAAACCAAGTTCGAATGGTGGGGGAATACGGTCGGGTCTGATACGGATGATGCGAAGGGGGTGCCGTGGTTGAAGGTCGAACCGGGGTCTTACTTTGGGCCTCGGAAGGGGACGTTCTAGGTGTTTGTTGCTTTTGTTGTCGCTGTTGCTGTTGTTTGCGGATTGTAGGTTTCTCCTCTTTGGCTGTTCTTGCTAGTGGTTGTCTCTATTGAGGGATATGAATCCTCTGGTGTCATCGTCAGAGTCAGATAGATTAAAATATGATTCTAATTTGCCATCAACATGTGGACGAGACCATCTTGCTAAATCAGACAAGGGTTCGGTACAGATCGTACGCCCAGATGAGGCTGTATGCCACCCTCGCCGTGGCGAATTGGCATTCTCGAAAGGAGACTTGCTTAATCGTTCCATCGTTTTTTACTTTCCGACGTGACCAGATCGGAACCTTGAATTTGAAGACGGTTTGGGGGTGGATATCAGATTGATATATACACTTTCATCATGATGGCTCTATCATAGCTCTTCTACATAGACCCGTATGCTTTGCCGAGATCCTTGCTCCGTTCAAAGTTCCCACTCAATGCAATATCAAACACCACCTCAAGCCGGTCGATCGCCTCGTTCGATATTTCTAATACACTTTCAGCTCTCCCGACCGATTATATGCAGGGAATGGGGAAAAAAAGCAACTTACGATGGTGAATCACAATTCGATTCCCCGAAAGCTTAACACCATGCTCCGCCGCAATCGTCGAGACATCGTTAGGCCCTAGCCCTGCCTTCAACAGATCCAACCACACCATGTTCGTCTGCACAGGGAACTGGAGACTCCCTCCCCGCTGAATCCACATATCAGCAACCTTCTTGGCTAGGTGGTGAGTGTTCCTAAGCTTCCCCCCTTCGCCATTCGGGCCCGTCCCGAAGACCTCGTCAACAGCCACGCGAGCTGCGGCAGAGAGAACGCCTAGCTGTCTCGTCCCTCCACCGATGGACTTGCGGAACCACCTCGCCTGCTGAATGAATCGTTCCGATCCAACGACGATACTCCCGATCGGCGCGCCCAGACCCTTCGAGAAACACAAACTGACGCTGTCGAATAGACTGCAGAAATCAGACAGACTTCCCGCGCCTGAAACGACGACTTCCCAGATTCGCGCGCCGTCAAGGTGCACCTTGATGTTATTATCATGCGCCCATTCTACGATTCTTTTCGTCTCAGAGAGGGGCATCACAACCCCTCCCAACGTATTCTCGAGACTGATCAGTCGCGTAGGACAATGGTGGATATTCACCTTACCCGCATTGGGCTCGGTGAGACGTCCTTCTTTCTCGGTCCTCGAGAACCCGTACGTCATGTTCGCACCTGGGATGGCGTGTGCTTTTACATCTTCCAGGGTGAGATAGAGCCCGTTCTTGGGGATGACGGGGTACACGGTTGCGCCGGTCCAGAGGCTGACGCCGCCGGCTTCGGAGCGGATGATGTGCGAGCGGTGGTCGCAGATGACGCTGAAGGGCGGCTGGACGAGATGCGTCCGGATGGCGATCTGGTTGCCCATTGTGCCGGACATGACGAAGAGGCTGCTTTCGTGGCCTGTTCGGTGCGCCATGTATTCCTCTAGGGAGTTGGTGGTGAGGTCTTCGCCGTAGACGTCGTCGCCTAGTTGGGCTTGGGCGATGGCTGAAAGCATGGAGATTGTTGGTTTTGTGACAGTGTCGCCTGTATCCGTTAGATATTTCCCGTCAAGAAGGGCGAAGTAATAAGGAGGCTATCGAACTTCGCATGTCAAATGCAATTGCCCCCGGACCCTGCCATGTAGACGTGGCTGCGATTGACGCTGGAAGAGCAGATTGAGAGGATGCCATGCTTGCGAAAACGCTGCACTGGATTAATTTCTGTTTGTGATTGAGCAGCCGACAAAGGATGTATGTCCCTCGAAAGCAGCAGCAGCACTTGGACTGTTGAAACGTGAGTCGGATCAAACTCAAAGTGGGGGATCAACGACTGCTCGGGATGATAACAATCGTGCCGTTAATTATTAAGACGATTGCTATTAGTTAACTAATTGTCTGTTCGCTGGGAGAAGCTAGTGATAGTCACGATGACTCTGTAGTGCTTCATGCTGTCTGGCCTGCACCTACATTCTCTGATTCCTAGAGAAAGTAGTAATAATCCAAGGGAGGCAACTCCAGCTTAGGATTATCTTATCCATTTACTGCAACCTTAACTGTTGTCCCCAAGGAATATGCTACGGAGCGCCCAGCGCGGTCGCGTAACCTCCACAATTGTCCACTGTGGCCGCTAGAACTTGGGGGGGCCAACTAGCTGAATCAAACAGCAGCTCCAGTGTAGGCGCATATGGTATCTTAAAGCATATCCGGTATTCTGGAACAAGAAGGCCCCTCCAAGGAATGGACAGCTGACCATGCGGCTGTCCTCATTTACGTCTGATTTGAGAATGCATTGGCCGAAGCAGGCCTTCCACTTGGGCATCCGGTTATTTACAGTGCACCTGGCCCATATTCACGGCTACTGTACCATTGCCTCCAAGTGGGGAGTCTTAGAATGGTTCCGTGGTCGTCATTTTACCATGGTGGCCACTTGATGCCGATCAAGTTTGTCAGGTTAATCAGCAGTTCACACGACAATTAGCTGCTCATTGCCGTGGATGTGGTGTGACGGTTCAGACTGCCATCGCGGGCGCAAGATTCAAACCTCAAGGCCATATCCATGACTCATCGTGCTGGATATGTTTCTCCCTCGATTTGATGATGGTTTCTGGGGAGGCATTGGCAATGGGATGTCTTCTGCAGATCAACATTTGGCACTGATGCGGTTCCGGAGAATATTGAGAGGATCAGACATAGATCGTATCCACCGACGGACCGACAAGGCCGACGAATGTAGAACAAATAGAGAGAGCCACTGAACCTGTAGAGACCTGGTCAATCTTGATCGCCAAGGTAATATCTGCTCTGCGAGTCAGTGTTCATTTAATTAGAACAGCTCTTTCGCTGGATCCGCCCTATATTATCGTTAACAACCAGTAACAGTGTCAGAAGGATTTTACCGCTTCCAAACAGATCCCCTCTGAGAGTGGATGCCACTTCCTTGCTTTCCCTGCATTCTAACTTCTCACTGAAGTGGAGCCACCGGGTATATTGGACAAAGGATTAAAGTCAAGCAACGAAATCGGTAGCTCCTCCCCACCGTTATGCACTAACCAGATGGCAAGGTCCATTCCTAGATCGAAGCCTGGCCATCCCAAATCAGTGCAGCTACTCTGCGAGTTATCTTCTCTTCTCCAGACATCTTTGATGCTGGCCTTTCAAGTATCTAGGAGACTCCCAGTCTAGACGGTGATGCAAGCGCCGAATAAACCTCGTGGATGACACTAAAAGCAGTTCCAGCATCTCCAAGCGCCTCAAGATAGATCTGTATTGTTCAGTACCTCCGATGCAAGCCCGATGAATGTATTAGCAGGGCAATTTTCGTCTCTGCAGTTTAGGCAGTAGTCAATCCAGCCAGCCATAGTTTCCATCCAGAGATAATCCCGCTGCTGCGAAGGGCTGGATGTCCCCGATCAACAAAAGAATATGCCTTCCAGCCTCGTTTTCGTCATTGGTTCCCGAAAGGGCTCCTAGCAGCAGCAGCCATCGTGTCTGCTGGATAAATCAAAGAACGGTAACAGGCATCGGCCGGAATAAATCAGTGCATTGACCAGCATCCGTGGAAGATCCGCTGTAGATCTAGGGTTCCCCTGACCAGAATGTAACCTGCAGATTTAGTGTACTGATAGTGCGTCATGGAAATTCAAAGCTGCAGAAGGCCTGAAGATGGACAACTGCAGATCACGGAGTGTTCAAGAAGTCCGTTGCGCGAGAATAGAGACGCTACCAGGCCAATGATGGTGACTGGCACGGACTCGGCATTCCACCATGGAGAGAGCGGAGCAGGAGACTTGTCAAAATCCGGGTCGTCCGGCAATCTCTCAGCTTCGGTGTTCCTGGATCTGCAAACTTTGCTAATGGAGTCCGGCGTACGCCACAATCGGAAGAACCATCCACGCGTGGACGAGTGTTGATCAGCAGGTGGGTGATAGGATGGGAGGAGCCAAGATGAACACGCCTCATCGTAGCATGGGAAATTGGGAGATGATGCGAGTCACGTGACTATACCGAGATTCGGACAATTTGGGGGGTTTCCAGGCTGAGAGCAGCCAGCAGGATAGATATCCTTTTCGCGGTGCATTCCATCCAGTACAGCATCTGATGCGTTTCACGAGCAGCAAGCTATTCAGTGATCCCTCTGCATGATCTGGTCCTCCACAGATACAGGTCTGATTTCACATATGAGCCGCGGCCCAACCCTTGCGTGCCGTTCTGGACTATTTGAGTTTTCGGGGCTAGGAAGTGACATGACATCTTCAGCGGACGCTGCTTACCCGCCGGCACTTGAATTATCGGGACCAACACGCGCAGATCGTTACCGCGGGGAGATCAATCTAGGCCGTCATCGAAGAGTCTGCGCGCGTCGAGCATTATTATTATTTCCTTGGAAATGCATGTTGATCAAAGCGGCCGCCTCACTGTCCGCATGCGGCAGGCGGTGGTGTTCTGCTGCGTCACATACCGGCAGCCACCGTGGCGAGGGAAACGCACCGCCACAGGTCATCGGCATTTCGCATACGTTGAAAGTGCGGACTTCGAGTTCTGCAATTATTGATGTAATTATAGTAGATGCATTAATCTACGAAAAGCCGGAGTGATTCCGCGTCGGTCGCTCTCCGCAGTGGGTTGCTGTCAAACGTCCACTTCCCCTGGTCTGACCTCTCTTCACGTTTGTTTTTGGTTTTCTTCTCCAGCCATCTGAAGGAAAAGCGCCAATCCCGCTGACGGATCAATCCCATTATCTTCAGCACCACACTCGGATTCTCGTCGGTCCATTCCCGACACAGACCCCGGTTTGGCGTTGAATAACCCGGGTCGATCTGCGCCAAGTTCCCAGCGTCGCATGACGCCAAGATCCTCTGGGGTTCGGTGTTGCCAGGGAAGTCCCTTGTCGCCCTGATTCGTCTCATCTTGGGGTTGCATCGTGCAGCTCCATCTAAGACTTGATTTGGCATATCTACCCTGGTTCTCCTTCAATTCTCCTCCTCCCCGTAATCCAAGAACCTTTCGTTGTTTCTTTCCACTGTTTCTCCATACCCTCGTCCGGGGCATCTCTTCACGTGTATCATGGACAATCCCCGTGCAACCTCAGGCGAAATTCTGCACACGACTGATAGATCATGTGATGGCCGTCGGGATCCCTCCCTCCGGGGCGCTCAAGGCCGGAAACATCGCCTGTCCGAATCTGCTGCCGAATCACTCGCGTCGTGTCCGGTCGGACAGCCTCTGAGGAAACGGGGGCGGCCTAGGAAATCCACCAATGGTGAACAGCCCCCAGGAGAGGTATGCTGCCTTGGCAATCGTGACGCCGCAATGTACGTATACTGACCCAAATCATCCAAAAAGCGCCGTCGCACGCAGATACGACTCGCACAGCGGGCGTATCGTTCCCGACAGGAGACCACAATGTTGGCGCTGCGAGAACGCGTTTCTGAGCTGGAATCCACTGTGGAGCGGATTAGCGAAAGCTTTCTGTGGCTGAGCAATGAGCTGATGACCTCCGGTGTGTTGACCATGTATCCTGACTTGGCCCAGAAGCTGCACAAAGCAACAGAACGATGTTTGTCGTCAGCAAAGCAGACCGGAACTGAAGAGAAGGGAAAGCTTCCGGCAAAACAAGAAGAGCCGCAGGAGATCCAACTGCAGACGACAGTCGACGCAGGCGGTATAGCAGCTGGTCATATGGGTTTGGCGATACCGATAGACGGCAATTCCTGGAGCCTTGGTAACCATGGACAAGCGGCTGCTGCGGTCAACACGGGCTATGCTGGAGTGGGCAATTCCGTAACGGCTGATTCTAGCATGGGTAACCCTGACCCGGACAACCCTGGCACGGGAAATTCTTTGCAGTTTACCCAAGCACAGCCAAGTGGCATGAGGCTCGAGGACAGCCTTAGAAATCCAAGCATAGCGTTCACGCCGAGGTTCAACATGTTCCTGCCAGACTCATTAGTGAGTTTCCCATACCCATTACCCGCGATGTACTCAACCCCTCTCCCACACTATCCGGCGGTGCCATTTGGTCCCTACAGGTTCGAAGAATTTACGTTTGCGCATCGGCTACAGCGCAGTGTCGTGGAGCGTGGATATCTCTTTTTAAAGACGGCCAACGTCGGCCCTGCCTTATTTGCAAAAACTTTTGGATTCCTGATCAACATTTTGACTAGGGATCAAATTACCGCGTTCTTCGAAATCCGCTTCCGGCAAGGTATATGGGCTGCTGATGAGTGGAACATCCCCTTTGTCAGTCTCGGGGGTGCAGGAACCCACTATCCACGACAGTTCCGAACGAACGAAGTCACCTTTCCCATCAGGATGGTACCGGAGGCGGCAAAACAGCACATTGATCCCGAGGATATGAGGTGTGAGTGGTTCGACGTGTATGACGTTCAGGGATACCTCGAAGAGAAAGGTCTCATCCCTGGAGACTCGCTCGCGTTCAGCAATTCCATGACACCCAGCTTTATGATGCAATCAGCGAACACGAACACTAGCGGTGTCGTTGCCGGGATGGATTCCTTCCCGCAGCCTGTCGGTAGAAGGCGCATGGTGACCGTGGATGAATCATATTTGATTGAAAGTGAGTCATCTTTCGTCGCAATGGATTGGCTGTGAGCTGCCGAGAACCGGGAATGTTGACATTGCGGAACAGCCCTTGTTGATCGATGTATATGCCTCTGCCGTGGTCCAGGCTTTCGCCGACGCGACGTCGAAGAGATCGTCGCCCAAGCCTCCAGAGTAGTGGAGTATTGATTCGCTTCGCACTCTGCCAGTCTCTCGACATATGAAAGATTCACAACAGCCTGCTCTGGTGATTATGAGGCTCGGGTTTCATATGTATATGCTGTACATATGGTGTATAGTACATAGCCTGTATTCTAATAGTGTATCATATATAGAGAATAATCAGAATACGACTTTTTCTACCTGAATGAATCTTAGATGCCAAGTACCAGCCAGTTAAAGGTATATATCGAGTGTTATATTTGCTATCAGTTGTATCAACGGTAGTTAACATCGAGGCTACACGCTTACGCAAGCCGAATAATAACTAACTAACTAGTTAACTAAAGGTTGCTTGACACAAATCAAGCTTTATTGCCAAGATGCAGTTCCGCTTTCTAATATCTATCCACGATGGGCAGGGAGTAAATTAATCTTGACACTAATTGAACAACGATCACTTTATAAGTCACCAGAATCATAATGCAGGACGTCTCCAATTGTAATAGATGTGTCTCCTTGCTGCATCAGCAGGCATCCAGGCGCTTGGAGAAGAAACCTGCGGCGATCATCGATTAGTTCTCACCACATAAATATATTAATGACGCGGTGTTTATATTTCTGTTTGATTCTGATTCTGACACCTTCAAAGGAATCCCTCATCAGGTGACATTGGCTTTTTGCTGATGTTCTCACACTTTACCTTAACACTGAGACAGTACGCAGTATTAACTACTCCTACACAGCATTATCCTCTTCCAAAAACACAAGAAGGAAAGGAAGCAAAATGGCATCATCACGACCAGATATAAATTTCCCATCGAGAGCGCTCCTCGTTCTCTTCGCTCTAATCATCCTGACACCCTGGGATTTTGCACCAGCGCTTCCTGTCAATGGTCGAGGTCGAAGCGGGCTGGCGCTGGCTCCCCTTCCGAGAAACGATGAGAACCAGAACCAGAATCAGGTCCCGCTCGTGCGTGGGGACGATTTTGTAGACTGGGATGATGAAGTCAACGACGACAGCATTGATTACGATGGCTATGATGTGGAAATAGCTGCCTTCTTGTCTCAGCTGGTCAATTTTGGCGGGCATTGTTTTCTCATCGATGATACCGTTCCGTTTAGTGTGCTTAAGCAGATGAATGATTTTGCGAATGACCCTGGGGATTATGGTGATATTCCTGCTGCTTTGAAGGGGTATGAGGTTCGCATGCTAGGGGTGGAGGATGTGGATATTTGGAATGACGATGAAGAGGATAAATATGTTTGGGATGAGGACGAGAATGATGACCATAATGAGAGTTCATACTCCAACATCAAAATTCCTCTTCCCACCATTCTCCCTAGCACCCTCGACATTGGCAGCCACCGTTTCCGAACCAACTGCGATATCCCAGACGAAGTGACGGACCGAATCTTCCGGCTCTTCCTGGATAACCATGACAACGAGATTGTGGGCATCCCGGAAGATCTGGCCATGTACGAGATCATGAGTCCAGAAGAGGAGGACGATTGGAACACGGAGGTGGCTGTCATAAGGGAGAGAAGGGTTGCTTCGCTGCTGCGGTATAGCAAGCGCTGGGGATAAAGAGGTATGGAACTGATGGTGCATGCAATTTTCACGATCCCTTCAGTGCTGGGTTTCTTTGTTATATATGCTGTATTACATGAGTGTCCTCAACTTCTCTTTATGCATCGAAATTATGTACGCCATAATGCTGCATTTATTTATGGGTCTTCTTTGTCACCTTTGCTAATAGTATGCCCTTTATTCACTGCTAAAGATTTTTCACTCGCTAATCTGATATATATATCCTCCCCCATCTTGCTATATCTCCTCTTCTCTTTCCCATCAACTCTTCGCTCTAGCCACTTTATTATAACTTGTCCTATTCAAGTACAGACTGCCGAACTGCCCGTCAGTCATCAAGTTCGTTGACATCCACGGCAGCACATTTACTCAAACTTACAACCTCTCCCTTGACGTCTTGGAAATCAACGACGACGTACTCGCTTTGAGAGCACGATTTTCAATAGCTGCCACATCTAACGCAGAATATGAACCAGATCCAAGTTTAGCTCGTGACAAAATGGAATTTTTGTGTGCATGCACCTATGTCAGGTTAAAGTACAGCCATCTTCCCATTGTGCCGGACGACCTTCTCATAACTCTGTTGGAAAAAAATACGCTATCGCAAAGATTTACCTCAAAGAAGAGAAGGAAAGACCCGTAACTGTGCCTGAGGGAAGAAAAGCTATTGTCATACCGTCGGGAATACTTGAATGTGAAACGCACGGAATAATAGACAGATATAGGCTCATATCCATGGGATGTGTAAGCTCAACACCAATGGGATATGTCATAAAGGGGGTATTACCAACAGATTGGACATACGAACCCGTCTATGCACAGTGGAAATGGGACTCTTCTACATAGTTCGATTAAAAAACTCATCGTTGAGACGGTGATGCAACGCCGATGGCGGTTGCACGGTTGCACGATTGTTCCAGAGCTCAGTGATCCGGTCGTTATTTGTGAGTTCGGCCTTCTTCGTCCTCGCAAAAAATCGATCCATTCCCCAATCTGCGTCAATTTAGGTTCAGTGTTGGAAAGGCAAAGATGGCTCATCGGATATTGAGCAACCATCTGCAGTCGTCCTGCATCACATACCAAGGGCTACTAAGGTGTCATGGCATCATGGCAGCCTTTTGTCCTACAATATATGGATAGTAAGTTTTATTCCGTTCCAGTGTTGCAATATGGAAAACTGACAGGCTTAGCATCCAAGACTTGGTTCCTAACTACTTTCTTATGACCTGTTCTATTGGAACACATGACTGCTGGACTATCCGTCAGTCATCAAGTTCGTTGACCTCCATGGCACATACTATGGGATATGAAGGACCTAGAGACCATGGATCTCGCTGAATATCGTAAGAGATATTTACAGCAACAGCGGGAATTTCGCTTATCCTATGGTTTAACGCCCATATATGATACAACCATCAACTCGAACCATGCATTTATCTAGCATTGTCTTATCTTGAGGACCGTTACCCAGGCCGGACACTCAAAACGAACGCCATTCCAGAATGACGAGGAAGATTATCATACCTAATATGATAAAGGACTCTTGGATCTAGTCTGGATCATGTCATGATCCGCAGCTCGATGCCCCCTGGTGCAAGGACCACAGCACTGAACAACCAATTTACAAGCTCAGGTAACTGTTGTCGGAAGAACACGACAAACTGTAGGGCTTTAGACATGAATCTACACAGAGAACGTGCGTGCGATACGCCTCGAACCTCCCTCAACTTCAATACGGCATTCCGAGCAGTGGGGCGCTTGCACGGGATGGGACATTGAAAACATCAGAAGATATAAGCCATGAAAGATGACCGGCTAATGGGAGGTGGTGTTAGTATGAATGGTTCATTAGGTGAAGATACTATGTCTCATGCGAGGGCAGTGGAATTTTAATATGTATCATATATCTCCTGCATAGGACAGGCAAGCCATTATTGATACATCACACTTCTAACGTAAAAGCAGTGAGCTGCAGGCTTGCTCACGCAGTGTACCATGGGATACAAGTATGCAATTAACCCTTGCGACTCCATTACCGAGGCGACAGTCCCTGTCTCAGGGGTGCTTACTTTAGGTTCACAGCACCAGTTACATGAAATCCCGGCGAAGACAAGTGATATTGGATGCCTTGGATAGCTTACGGCGAGCCACCATATACATCGAGTCAGATAATACTTTTGCCCAGAAATTATAAAACCCCAGTAAACGGGTATTAATACAAATGTCGTCGATTCTCATCAGAATTAAATCCGGCTGAACACCGTGAGAAAGTACTAGTAGGTGGCCACTAATATAATCTCACTCCGGCCACCGTCGTCCATGCCTGCGTCCATTGGAAGAAGACCCTGAGGATCCTCTCCTCAGCGATGAACCCGCATTACTATTACTGTCAGACGGATATGCCGGCTCCGAGGTAACCTCGATAGTAGTCTGCTGATAGACCTTCCCGAGGGGAACGAGCTCGACGACTTCCTGCCCGGACCCGACAATAATAGCATCCATCGACCCGTCACGGGCAATGGCATGGGCGCTTGCATTTGCATCCCCGCCGCTCAACCGGCTGCCGGTGGGAAAATAAGAACGCGCGCCGTCGTTCCTCCCCGCGGTGATGATCGTCTGATGGCTGAGATCGATGTTGTGACCGTACTTGGTATCGGCGAAGCGGTTGTCGCTATGCGAGTCGGACGACTCGGAGTCCACGAGGAGATTGCGTCGAGTCAGCGTGTACAGGAAGACGTCGACGAGACCAGAGCTGGTCATTACGGCGCCCGCCACGCAGAAGTAGGCCAGGCTGGGCGTGCGGCCGTTCATGATGGCCATGCGGCCGGCGGCTAGGGGGAGGGAGAGCACGATGTATGCAATCGGGTACAGGACCATGTAGCCCACCACGCGGCGGAGACGTTGTAGATTCTGAGCTTGAGAGGATCCGAGGATGGCGGATTTGGAGATCTGTTGACGAAGTTGGAAGACGGCTATGGCGTATAGACAGACGGTGCCGAATTCGGATATGAAGATCCAGATGTAGTGCAGCCACAGGCGGCATGTCTCGTGTTCTTCGCTGATCCAGCACTGTATACATGTTTCATTAGATATCGCCAACTTGCAACGCTGGAAATAAGATCTGTAGAAACCTACCCATGCACCGGAGGGAACGAACGCATCCCTCCCAAAAAGCGCCGGCGGCAGAATAACCAGCAAAATTATAAACGCCCACAACCCAACCACGATCGCGACAAAGACTCTATACGGCAATTTGCGTCTCATCGAGACCAGGAGAAAAGTATGCACGGAGATGGCGAACACGAACAGCCCGCTACCAGGGTCACCAATCTGCAACAGAAGACCCTGCGCATAACACGCCGGGGCCGTCGCGAGGATCTGCTTCTTCGCAACCCATTTCACAGACAGAATAAAGGCGAGGGACTGCAGCATATCGGCGAGGAGGAGGTTGTAAATCAGCACAACGTACTGGTTGTAACCGATATATCGGATGTAATTGGTACGCCAGAAGACCATGCGGTAGGTGAGGAAGGCAAGGAAGGGAAACTGTTGCGATGAGGGAGAGGACGGCGACGATGATGATGGCCACCAGACCCCCCTTCAGGACGTCTGGGAGGGGGTCGATGTTGTATTTGCTGAGATGGGATGCATCCCGAGGCCGTAGTAGTGGAGAGAGCGCCGTGACATGAAGACTCATTGCTGTTATAGGTCGTGGGATGTCGAGACCAGGAAGATGCACGCCGGACTCATTTTATGAATTGCAGTCAAGGATAGAAGAATAATTAATGGGAAAGAAGATGTGATGAAGAGACAACAGTTACTTTTCGTGGACGGTGATATCCGACTATGCCAGGAGGCGTTGGCATCCGCCAAAAAAAAAAAAAAAAAAAAAAAAAAAAAAGAGAGATCCTCAGCAGATCATTTGTTCATTTTCCAGAAGTAGACGAGTACTAAATATTATATATTAGCTGAAGGGAAAAGGCTAGAGAGGGGATTGAAAAAATTATTAAGGCGGCGTCGGACTGTAAGCTTGAGCCCTTGGACGACATAACAAGAACTGGAACGAAGCATCACAGAATATGACAGGTTACCTACCAACACACCATTGAAACTCTATTTGCGATTTGCAACGAATAGACGCCAATCTGCTGTCCCCAGACCGTTTTGTTTCCTTTCCATGGTCCGAGCAGCACTGCGAAGAGCCGAGATGCGCTGCCGGATTCACATTGACCTAGGCACCACATGCTCCGGAGAATAATCTGCGTAGAGTAATAACCGACGGTTAAGAGGTAGAAAAGGAAAAGAGCCCAATCCATTCCAGTTGCAAAAGGTGAAACGAAAAAGTCAGTCCTGCATGAAGGGGTAAGTCAGTCTTACAGAAATCCAGAACTTTATGCAGCAGTCACGGCTTACTTGCTACTTAGGGCATTGCAGCGCATAATCCGCATCACGGCAACAGTTACACCGCTGCCTTCACGAACCACCGGCCATGGTCTAATGCATTTTGATTCCTTTCGACTTGGTCTGCTTTTTGAGTTTGAGCTACGGAAGCAGATCAACGGGGATGTGACTGGTCCTGTAAGCGAGCCACCCGCAGGTCCTTGCAGGGTTCTTGGGTGTTGCTGTGGTTCATAGGAGGAATGGATGTATGAGATGGATTCACCGGCTATTTTCCCCGGCTGAACGAGCATTTATGTGGTCTGTACTATTGACCATCACAATGAATTCTGTGCTCGGATCCGCATTGTAGAACTCTGTTGCCCCTGAACCGTGGAAGGGTGACAGTGCTAGTGCGGAGGTGTGGAGGAATGTGGAGTGTGTTTAGCCTTACACATTTATTACGCACTCATATATCCACACCCAGTGCATAATCCCTCTCATCACTATCAAATAATGGATAAATACATCCGTGGTTGAGTCAAGGCATAAATAATGACAGCATATCCGCAGACAGCTTGCCAACGAGACAAGACATCCCTGCAAACAGTATGGAGATGGGTATCAACGTCAACAATTACATGTCATGTAGCGTAGTAGTAGGAGAAAATCATTCTCGGTATATCATATCACGTCGTAAGAAAGACGTTACATCGTCGTGGATTTCGTCAAATCTTAAAAAACAAAAGGGCTCGGAGAGAGAGGATGAGCTTTTCCTTCACCTCCTCCGGCTCCCGTGTCCCCGTCGAATGTTTCCAGTATGCGCCGGTTGCTCACCCTCCTCTTCATCCTCCTCGACTAGCGCAGGAGTGCGTCTTTCGCTCCGTCTCCTCGGTCGCCTTCGTCGATTGGAACTAATATTGCTCGCTGAGTCATCCGGGTAAAGAGATTGACTGTCGTCCAATCCGTCATCCTCCCAGACAGATCCCAGCGCAGATGCAGGCGTGCCCATTCGTGCCTCAATGTATGTGCCGCGTCGACTTTGGTTGGCTACGGCCAGTCCTGCTCCGCGTTCGCGGAGAGCACGTCGGACAAGCTCCGCCTTGCCGTGCAGGGCCTCAAAGGCGTCCTCCAATGCTTCCATGCCAAGGAAAATATCACGTTCGATTTCGGCTAGTGCCGCAATCTCTGTTTCTTCGTCCAACGCGATGGGGCCGCCGAACGATGCTCTGCTGGAGCTTGACCCTGCAAGGGATGGTTGGCTCCAGGATCGCGTGGTGGGATCGAACTGATTGGGTGTCGTTCCACGGGAAATGCCACCAGCAGAGAAGGGAGTTCCTGATCGGCTGCCCCAGCGCGAAGGCGTTGAACCTAGGGGTGGTAGATCATCCTCCGCTCCGCTGCGGAGGAAGCCGTCAAAGCGGCCAGAGACAAGGATATCCCATTCATCATCGCTGATTGCAGATATAGTTGCAAGAATGTGATGGATGTCCGGGTTGTTCAACATGAAAATCGCTGTTTCCGGGTCGCGAGGAGGTGACGGCAGTCGGTACAAACGTTCAATAGCCAGAGAAGATGAGATGAGTGAAGGAGGTCGTGCACGGGGCTGTCTGGAGCTGTCGGACTGTGGTACGGGTGTTGAGGGACGGACGCCCAAGAGCATACAGAATATTAATCGCTGGTCAGGATTTAGACGTGTAAGCATGGCAAATGTCAATGTCTCATCGTCGACTTCATCCGGTGGGCTGCTGGTGGCCTGAGTCGTTTGCTCGGATAGCCACTTGTCGACAGCGATTTTGGTCTTGCGTGACTGGCGAATGTAATGTTCTCTGTACTCCTCGGGGACGTCGATATCCAGTTTCTGCATTGGGATATGTTCTTCACCCGACAATTCAGATTCGATGACAGAAGGCTCGATCGTAAATGGTGGCCAAGTCGGTAGTTCCTTACGGCCGGCGACCATTTCCAAGATCTCGCCCCAGCTGACGCCTGACGGATGTTCTTCCACGCCATCACGATCACACATAGGACACTCGCAATATTCAGAAGAAATGTCGCGCGCGAAGACAGCCTCTAACCGATCCAACAGTCGTCGAGCCACAGACCGATAGCCCGTTGCAACTGCCAGAGAACCACTCTTGGTCATAACTTTCTGGTAATCATCCAACAGCCGGTGGAATGGTTCAAACACTCTCGTCGCCGACAATTGCGGCTGGACTGCGGCATATGACGGATTATGCTGATCGACAGCAGCTAACAGTGCTCTAGGCACTTGATCCTCCAAGCCTCCAAGTCGAAGCAAATAGTCCACCCGTGGAATAGCGACCGGCATCTCAGGCGGAGGTGGTGGGGGCGGAGGCACTCCGTAGCCTACACCGTTGGTCTTCGGTGCTCGGCCGTAATCGTAGGCGCTGTTGCTTGCTGGGCTATACACAGCCGAAGACGACATCGATGACCTCGACTGGTTCCGGGACGGTGGGTTTAACGGCGGACTCATCGGTCGTTGCTGTGAGTTGTGGGGCTGGTTCGGGGAAACCGGCGTAGCACCAGAACTATTCGCTGCATCTCGAATAGTCACATTCGATGTCGCTGGGGACGTGTCTGCATGACCGGCCGACCACTTGGGCATTCTGAGTTGGTCGAGAAATGTCGACATAATCGGTTTGGTGCTAGGAGAGCGAGACGGGACGTCTTTCGTTTCGGGCTTTTTAGGTGACGCATCTGTCGGATTCCTCGACATCTTGACAGGCTCATCATCTCTCTTTTCACGCAGGCTCGACGATCTGCTGGACTTCGTTCTGATCCGGACCTTTGTTTTGACATGATTACGGGGTTTCTCCCTCTCCTCCGCACTTGTACTCCTCTCATCCTTACTGTCACCGTTCATGCTCCCCTTCCGCGAAGACTGCTGGTCATTCGTCAAGGGAGGACTGGGAGGCGACTTGTGACCATGATTATGATTATCTGCCTGATCACGGCCGTCACCATGGCTAGTTGTCCCTGTTGCAGACTCCGTCCCCGACGCGTGCTTGGTCTCTGCTGCTCCATTTGTCCCAGCCTCTTTCCCCTCTGGCTCAGTAGGATCTGGCGTAGGAATAGTTACCTTCCCAACAGCCTCCCTGCTATGTGCCTTTGAAAAAGACGGATATGGCAGGCTGGTCCTCGACGCGTGAAAACGATCCGTAGCTGAGGTAGAATGGTCGTGATCTTCATCATCGACAAACGAACCGGGCATAGCCATGGGCAAGGAGGATCTGCGTCTTCTCACGGTGGAGCTCCGAGAGGAAACGGAAGGATTTGTGGAACCGTCGTGATCGCGATCCCTGGTTGAGTTGCGGCTGGACCGTCCGTGGGATGAACGATGGGATGAACGATGGGACGAACGATGGGAAACGTGGCGATGGCGATGCTTCTCCGACAGCGACGAGGAGGAAGTGGGCTTCTTGGTCTTGCTGGATACGGTGGATGTCGATGTCTTTCTGGGCCGGTATTCGTCCCGGGTACTATCTCGATCTCGGTCATTCACTCGTATTGGGAACATGGCTTTTTTTTTTTGCTTTCTTGTGTGGGAAGATGACAGATGTCGACGCGACTCGATGGACGGTTGACTCTGTTGTCGATTTACCTCATGAGGAAGAAATGTTCAGGATGTTCGTATTAATATTATTTAAAATAATATGTGACAGCGTCGTAGGGAGGTTCTCTCTCGTTGCCAGGCGCTTAGATTGTACGACATTCGCCGCCGACTGGCCGCAGCAAGGTCGGACAAAGCCAGACGGGCGCGTAAGAGTCCAGTGAGGTTTCGATGGAGGGAGGATAAAAGAAAGGAACAAGAAGTAAGGCACAGATGGCATGCGTCTGCAGTGCAGTTGGCCGTGAGCGTTCTTTGTCCCCTGATTTTAGCGGTGAGGCTGAAGTGTGAGTAAGTGCCTAAATCTGCCCCCGCAGCTTGTGACGTGGTGCTCGCTGCGCCCTCCAGACCTTGGCTCTACGCACAGAATCACCTGGAACAGGTTTGCCGGTATTGATGAGGCTCCTGCGAAACCAGGAATCGGGCAGCCTGGGACTTGGCGTTCATCTAGAGCAGTAACATGGTCCTGGCCAAGTTCCCAGCAGGCGTTGCCAAGGACTACATCGAATGGAAGCCTCAGGCAGACATGCAGTGCTGCACAACATCATTCCAGCGTACGGAGTACACAGCCTCATAGTAAATTTTAATAATGCCGACTGTGACAGTGTCAGCAATTAAGAATCATTAGTATTCTCAGGGGGTATCAATAGTTCGACAGTTCTTTGTCCATGGCTCAAATCCAACCCCAGTTTCAACTCGCAGCAATACATTCAACGCCAATAGCGATCATAGACTATTCCTATCGACAATAAATCCATTATTTGGCGGCTTCATAGGCGACGTCTCCAGAACCCAATTCCCATCCTCATTGTCCTCATAAGCAATGCCGCCCTGTCGCGCCGCTCGCAACGTCTTCTCGCTTGCCCGCGTCCGTTCGCCAGTATGTCGGTCCCAGAGCCAACCTTCCTTGAGCCACATCCAGGTCAGATATGCCCGGAGCTCTTTGTCCTGTGGCAGCACTGACTTCCATTCCGGTTGAAAATTCGGTGATTCCGCATCGCGGCCATTCCAGTCTCGAGCGAGTCCCCGCAACTCGTCACGGCAGAAAACCCGCCAGCTGTCCAGCGCATACGCTCCAAGGCCTGGCAAGTGGGCGATTTCCCAGGCCACTCGGGGGTCATCATCGTCGATACATTCTGTGGCTTTCATGTCACGACCATCCAGTTTCCGTGGGTAATGGAGTTTACGGTACCGTTTGCCCTTGGCCGGGGGATTTACGAGCCAGGTCCGAGCTAGGTCGATACATTTTCTTGCTCGCTGGTTTTGAAAACCCAGACAATGAATCATGGACACCAGTTCGGACTGATCCGCAGCCGCCATATCTTCGATGGTAGGGAATCGTTCAAATACCTGGAATAACACCGGTAGAGCAACTCCACCTCGGGTGCGATTGAGGAAGATAGTGGCAACCAACAGACGAAACGGATCGTGCGCGAGCTGTTCTTGGATGAGACCAAACGCTGGCACGTCGATAGAGGGGAATGGTAGACAAGAGTCTGGTTTTGCAAGTGGTTTAGGGAAATAGGGTGAGACCTTGGGAAGTCTGACACGAGACGGCTTTACAGGAGACGAGGCTGGCGTCTGTATATGGGGAATGGGTATTGTCTCCTTCTCTTCCCTTACAGTCGAGTTCTCTTTCAACAAGCCGAAAGACGGCGTATCATCGGAGAGATTGATATCACTGGCAATGTCGCTGAGAGGTGAGTCGGATGAGAGGAAGTTCTCTGTTAGTCCAAGGATCTCTAGTAGTTCCCTCGTCTGGTCGGGGATAAAATGGACTTTATGTCCGAAAGATCGGTCGGGTTGTGTCTGAGTCTGATTAAGCTTATTAGTAGCTCTTTGCTGCCCAAGCCTTGAAAAGTATTTCGACTGTACCTCATCGCAGGTTGTCACGTCTTGCGAATCATCGGACACTGAAAACCCAAGGTACTTGGCGGCGCTAAAGAGCTAGTATCACGTTCTATATCGTCGGCACCTGCGCTCAGCTGTCCGACTGGCTGATCTGTTTCGCTCTCAATGAAGTTCAATCGGAGACGTTTCTCAGCCCTCCTCTTTTTTCGTGCCAATCTCTTCCGCAGATTCCTTTCCCTTCTCCTTCTGTTTTTGTCATTGGGGGTCTTTGAAGGTGTCATAGGGCCATCTAGAGTCTCCGAGAAGGGTAAACAAAGAGTCTGCTTCTCAAGAATGCTTTCAGAGGGCCTTTCGTGAGATTCTCGTTGTTCCAGCACTTCAACTTTGCCATTCAAATCTCGTAGCGGAGAACCAGGTTCGTGCATGGTAACCACTTCTTGGACTTGAGCATCATCATCAAATCCATTGGGCGGATACCTAGCCTGTTCAGCTGTCGATAAACAGTCGCCAGAAACATGGCTATTCTGTTCACTGCCATTGTGTATATTTGACGCATTCTCCGCAGAAGACATGCTAGAAGCAGACGCAGGCCCAAACACGATATGCTCTACCTGTACAGTCTCAGCACCAATATCTCCGGTTTGCGTGCCATTTCGCGGCCCCAGCGACCCAGACTCCGACACCATGGAGACTCGTTTCTTAGTCCCTCCAGACCTGCTTTCCTCTTTTTTCTTATTCCTGGACAACCACGTCCGCTTTTTTCTGTCACTCTTCTCTTCCGCACTCTCATCATCATCGATCTCTTCACCAAATGTAGAGCCCCCCGGTAATCCGGTCCGGTTTCCATAGAGTTCAAGATAGGTATTCCTGACATATCCGATCAAGCCGGCGATGGACCCCTCATCCATCCCAGAGGCGACAGCTTCCCCACGTATATCGTCCACAAAACGGCGTCTCGCGGATCGCTTCACCGGGTACTGCGCTTCGCGTGTAAACGGGTGCGCGACGATGAAGTGGAGCAGCTTATCCCGTACTTCCGGGCTGACAGATGAGAAAATAATGTCCTCTACCGCGGAGTCGTCAACCAGGGCAGAGGGATTATCATCCAAAGAGGGGATATTCATATCCATATTTGTATTTGTATCCGCATTCTTCCCATTCTCGCGCTCCTCCACGGGACTCTCAGGACCCGGAGGAGATTCCAGATCAATGCAAGGAATCCCGTCAATGGTCTCTTTGATAAAATACTTAGACCGCGTACCCCCAGCAGCGTTAGTACGTTTCGGCTCTTTCCGATTCTGTTTTCGTCTTTGCTTTTGTTCCTGCATATCCCTTTTCTTTACCTTCTTCTGATCATGGCCTTGTTTATCGTCTACCCCACTGCCAACATCCCCGTTTTTCCCTTGATCGCAAATCGGTGAATAATCGTCAAAATTACCCTCAAAACTCCCTTCATCAGACAAGATCTTGTCAACGGTGTGCTGGAATATGTCCTCGCTAAAGAGGTGGTAGGGACTCAAGTCGAAAGTAGGCGCAGAGACAAGGACTGAGATGTTTCCTTTTGAGTCGGGGGTGTCTGTCATTTTGCATACATTGTAGTTTATGCGATCTGGCTTTGGCTTGGAGGAAGGTGACAATCCAGGTCTAGGTTTGATATTGTACACTGCTGGTTAGTTTCTTGGGCTGACGGGTCACACCGTGGATAGAAAAGAAGCTCACAGTCAGGTTTAAAGAAGGATCTTAAGTATTTATTCAACGGGTAAAGGATGTTCTTCGTATTCAATATCCAAGAAAGTGAATGTGAGCGTGGTGATGGGAGTGGGCCGCGGAGTATGTCCGCGGATTTTCTTCACTATATGAATACCATTCGTGCTTGGATGTCCAACATAGACATGCTGGTGGAATATCGAGACATAAGGCCGAAGACCATCCAGGAAATGGGAATGAAACACCCCGGAGCTTGAATGAGTTGGATAGGGACAGTAGCTACTGAGGACGCGGGACACGAGCTGCAAACTATCATCGACGCGATAAACGCACAGACCACTTCACGTCTTTTACTCCGCATTCCCATAAATTTATGGACTGTCTATATTATTCTATAGAAAGTAGCAACGTTTTATATAGCAATTCCGCCCGAAGCGGCCTGTCTCGGCTCTCCAGCAGCATCAAAGGTCCCATTCGGTAACACACGAATGGCCTGAGACGCGCTCGTGCCCGGAGCAAACCAAGTCACATTATGACCAAGGGACTCCATGAATGCGACCGTGGAATTATCGTACGCATACTCGAAAAATACCTGGTTCGGAACCAGCTGGTCATGGAGACGAGGCCTAGCCAGGGCCTCGGCAGCGGAGAGCTGGTCATCAATGGCGTGGATGAGGTTCTGGATCGTGGCCGTGATAATACGACTGCCGCCTGCGGAACCCGTTACGAAGAACAGAGTGCCATTGGGATGAGTTACAATCGCCGGCGTGATGGATGACATGGGCCGCTTGCCGGGGCGGATGTAGTTTGCTGGGGCGGGGATGTAGCCGAAGCCATTGGAGACACCGGGGATGGAAAAATCTGGGGCAGAAAGATTGTTAGCGATACGGTATACAGAAGGAATGAAGATTCAATACCATCCATCTCATTGTTCATGACGATTCCCGTCTCAGGGATCATTACTTGGCTCCCGAAATACAGATTGATTGTGGTAGTGAGAGTGATCGCCAGCCCGGTATGGTCAGCAGCCACGAGGTGTGAAGTTCCTGGACTATGTAGTTGTTAGCATCACCGACAATTAACCGGATCGAAAAATGCAACATACGTTTCCAAGCTCTCGAACCCCTCGGGATCATAAGCGGAAATATTCTTTGTATGGAAGTCGGATATCTTTCTCCGAATCTCTGCGATTGTCGAGTCCTTGAGCATATTCTTCTGGTACGTATCCAGCCCATCTACAAACTCGGGATCACCCAATTTGGTCCTCTTGGAAGCCAGTCAGTATCAATCTTTGAGCATAGCACGATATGACACACCTGTCCATAACCGAATCGCATCGCCTCATCCATCCGGTGGGCACTGAGATTAAAATTACCCGGGGCAAAAAAGTCGTCATACGTCTCCAGGATCTTCAACACACTCAGAGCGACTATCCCACTGGAAGGAGCAGGGGTACTCGTGATTCTATAACCCCGGTAGTCAATCTGCGCGATGTCCCTGATGGCAATAGTATACTTCTCGAGATCCTCCAGTGTCATAGTTCCGTTTCTTTCCTGCACAGCTCTGACCATGGTCTCAGCAACGGGTCCGTAATAGAAGCTGTCTGGGCCTTGATTCGCGATAAAGTCAAGCGTATCTGCATAGCGCACCCTAGTCATCATGTCACCAAGCCCAACCCGGCTTCCATTAGGGGCAAAATCAATTGCCCATGACGGATCATTGGAGAGAAAGTCTCCTTCGCTGCCTGCAGGGCCGACAGATTCGATGGCCTTGAAAAGATCTTCGGTTACTCGGAAGCCTTCACGGGCTGTTTTGATGGCTGGCTGCATCACCGTCTTCCATGGAAGGGCTCCGTACTTGGAATGAAGGTACTCCAAACCGCGTATCTCCCCCGGCACGGCACTTTTCTTGAGATTAGTCTTTACTAGAAAACAATAATGATGGTTCTTAAGGGCTCTACTCACCTTGCTAAACCACCAACAATGGAGGCATGGGTATTATTCTCGTACATATCTTCAAATGCAGCAGCCGGCGCAATTTCACGGAAATCGACAGCCTCAAAGGAGCCATCAGGTGACCGGATAAGCATGAACCCACCCCCTCCAATGCCGCTGTGGTACATCCCTAACAGCAATCAGCCTAACGATTACTTCCATCCTTTTAAAAGTATGAGGGACAACACACCGATAACTCCGACACAGAACACCGTTGCGACCATCTAAAAGAACTGAGTTAGCACGTTTATTCGGACCAAAAGTATGCACATAGGGCGCACTCACGGCATCCGCAGCATTCCCACCGATCTTCAGCATGTCCGCCCCAAGACCACTGCAGAGAGAGCTTTCACTGGCCACTGCGCCCAATTTGCCATGCTCAATTTTATCAGACCCTTCCTTCTCTGTGCAGGCATGTCGTTGTGGGACTTGCCAAGTCCATGTATAGAAGTTGCGCAGATGCACCGCAAGCAACACGAGGAGGGAGATTGCAAGAGTTATATTTCTTCGTCTGTGGGAGCAGTTTCTCTCTGCCGGAGGGAGTAGCAAAGATGCCTTGTTTAAGCCATTTTTATCGGGAACCTGGCGATTTTGGGGGAGGATAGAGGTGTCGTTAGTTCTCCCCATTGCAATAGCATCGAGAGTTACTCCGTACTCGTGTTTGAGGATCAGGGAACGGTCTCTATTCTACAAGAGAATGACAAAGAGAGTGAAAATAAGGAATAAATGGATACAACGAAAAGAAAGAAATACATAAATAACCGTCCAACGCCTGGAATATATTTACGAGGTAAAAAAGAAGGGACAAGCAGACGCAGGAAGACAAAGCCGAGAGCAATCAGAGATAAGATAAGCGTCGGTTCTTATCAGCTGACTCGACGATATCGGCCCTGTCTTCCGAATGCAGTTAGATTAGTATTACATATAGAATGTGAGGACCTGTGAAATGTCGGAGGTCACATGCATTATACCCAGTTAGTGTTAGTACACGTGAGGTTCTGCCGTCCTAGACCGCCCTCGCTACCTATCTCACGGCACAGGCAGGCCTACCTAGTAATACGACCATACATGCGCCTATCCATTAGTTAGACCGCCCTCGCCTGACCTAGTAGAGCTGGTGCTGGCACCTAGATAGGAGACCAATACAACACGAGACATACCTCCTTTCACTGTTCCCATCACGTGTAGCATCACTATTCTACACCCACCAAACATTGTTTAGTCACCATCCTGAGATTAACTAACGTAATCCACCACCGAGTGGCCCGCCTTTGTATCCCATATAAAATGGCACTTTTAAGACCTTAATATTTCGACCATGAAAAATATGGAAGAATATAAGGAAGGTAAAATATGTAAAATGGTTCTAGAAAGGTGCGCTTTATTTTTTAAAAGATTTTCTGGCTTTAAATACTAGGGTAACTAAAACACCAAAAAATACAGCTGTAATTTATCTTATCTATATAAATGTCTGTTATAAAATCTCTCTGCTTAATATATATATATATATATACAGCACCAAGCTATTCTGTATCTCAAATTCTATGCTTGCTAGATGCTTTGTTGTTGAGATACCGAGGTCTTTAAAGTGCCATTTTATACAGGATACAAAGGCGGCACTCGGTGGTTGAGGCCACTCGGTGGTAGATTACGTTAACGTTAGTAATCGGTAAGCGTGCCGGCCACCTCGGGCCATGGTCTCGAAGTACGATACAATTGAACCACCCAAAAGCATGTCTATTATAAAATACTAGTTCCTATAGCGATTAGGACATTGCAATCTATTATGCCCAATAATATGGTAAGTGGAAGAGCTAGAAGTGCAAGTGATGAAGACTACAAAGAGAGTACTAGAGTCAGAGACACCAATTTCCTTGGCCAATTTGGGGATTGATCTGGCTTTTCTACTTCAGTAGGCATCTACTGCCTCTAGAATGCGAGCTTCTTCTTCAAGATAATTACAGGTCATGTTGTCGTTGAGATAATTGGATTTTATTGAGTAGATTAAAAATATCGTGTTGAACTTGGAATCGCGTTGAACTTGGGTGCACCTACACGGGAACAGGGCAAATCAAAGGCAAGGCCAAAAACTCCATGTCGGTTACCATTAGGTGAATTGGCAGGAAATCTTGTGACCCAGGGGGCCAGTTGGCTTGGTAATATTTTTAAAACAGTAAGAGCCAGCCAGACCACCTATTGCGAGCCACAGCATCGAAAACATCGTCGGCTGGTAGTGTCGATACCATAAGCGTCAACCTGAGCCCTAATACGATTCATGCAGATCATGCGTACTGCTATGCTGCCTTGTCTGGATCCAAATATAATTAAACTAGCTCTAATGATCTTGCTTTTTCTCATCTTGTGGGGAGTTATGGGAATGCATGGGATCCTACGACATAAAGCAATTGGTGGTGGTAACTGAAATCATGGGCTTCGCTAGGAAAGTTCAATGGCTATTTAGGAGTTGTTAAAGGTTCAAAGAATTTCCAAGATATTGAACGTGAACAACCTTCTCAACGAGACTTCAGTCCATCCAGATTCTATCATAGCACAATTCACAGTCAATACGATCCTATCAGCTGACCCTATGTGACCACCACTTGAAGTCCCCAGAACAAGACCATTCCACCGTTGCTGTCCTGTAGATCTTCCCAGCACCCGGGGATAAGATGTCGGCGACTCATCATCCCTGTTACCACCCAATGTTCCCATCGAGAAGGACGAAGCTCAGATGGATCGCTAGTTCAATTTTTCAACGTCGGGACTGGGCCTTTGTGCTCCAATAACTTGAATCAAACCGAGAGTCCAACCGGGGAATTATTGCCCAAATTTCTCCACCATCTGTGATCACGATAAGTGTTGGTCCCCACGTAACAACACCAGAAGATCCACTTCTTTCTTGGACCAGGACCGGCCCTTCGTCAACTCAACTGGCAACCTGTCGACGCTGCATGATGACCTCCAAGTGGTCGTACGACAAGGTGATGAACGGTCCCATCCATGTCGTCCATGGGTAATTGGGCCCCCCACGCTATCCGCGACATATTCACTGCAGACATTCCACTGAATATCCAGGACCAAGGGAAGATGACCAACAGAGGCTTATAGAGGTAAAAGGCTACCACAGCGACAGCGCGCGCAGCAATAAGACGGCGAAATGCAATCTGCCTCCCTTGTCATCGTCCACAATTTCAATCAAGCGGAATTACTAAGCAGAATAGTGCTAACGCGAAGATCCGATCTAGAGTATTTGTGATTGTGAGTGTAGTATTCTCTCCATTAGCTGTCGCGACTAACAAAGATCCACAGCTGAGATTCAGGAAGCTACAAAAAACATCACCAGGACGAATAGTCAAATATCTTCTGTCAACAGTGGATCGAGACCGCTGTCCCTAGCCTGCATAGCACTATCATGAAGGCCCATTCTGCAGAATTGAAAGCACGAGGAATTGGTAAAGACACGGAACGATCTTATAGTCTGTAGGCCAGCAAGGGGGCGGTGATTACGATGCGGCGTATCGGGCGACCATGCCGGAGGTGGCAAGACTAACGGTAAATGACAATTCACAGGTCCTCATTTTACAATCTAGACATCATTTTTATACTAGACAATTCCTCTCCTGTTCAGTGGTGTCACTATGTCTCCAAATCTTGGGGCAATGCTTGCCCTTATCATCATATCCTCCATTCAAGGTTGCACCAAGTTCAGCTGATCTGGACTGAGTTTTCCAGATCCCACATACTACGGCTGCTTCCTCCATTTACTGCTCGCCACCATCCATAGACGGTAGCCAAAGTATTGCAGCAGCGTCGATATAGGTCGTGTGGTTATGTGGTAAGCGTCCGTATATTTTGATGCATTCCGGTCAGAGGTACAGGTCAGGTCATAAGTTTGACCTCCTGCTCGGAAGGTATTAAAGATTGTTGTTATTATCTTCGCGGAGATGCCGCACGATATCTCTGATTGGCCGGGAAGAAGACATAAAAGAAACAAACATCTCAACTTCTAGAGTATGACCAAGACGGTGAAATGTATAGCAGCGTAACATGTCTAGCTGTTGATTTCGACGGCCTGCTTCGCCCAGGCAATGGTTTCGGCCCACGCCGGTGGGTATCCTTCGAGACGGTTCAGAAATGAAGAGACAAGACGTCGTCCTGAATCCCTTGCAAACCATTTATCTGAGATCAGATGCATGGCAACGCAATAGTGCAGGAATATCATGCGAGCAATCCAGTCGCCGCCTTTCAGTAAACAGAAGAACGATTCGGAAATATTGACGGGCCAAGCGACGATGCCGCCTTTAGGACTCAGTATTGGCCATCGTTCGACGGTATCATAGAGCAAGTACCATGTGTTCTTGTAGATATCTTGATGTGTCGCTACGCTTCCATCAATCATTGTCCGTAATCTGTCGAGAGAGTCTAAGATGGAACTTTGCAGATGTTAGAACTTCTGCGGGTTTGGTCCTGGTGTCGTTACTCTTTACATACCCATGTATCTTGACCAGTTTCGGATCCGTTTTTCTAGTTGAATGTTAGATTTCAGTGCAATCATAGTGAGCACCTCTAAGCGAGGCAAAAAGGAAATAACTCACGTGATCAAAAATGCACGCTCCTCATCCAGTCTCTCTTCAGGGAGGACGATGTGCATCCAAGTCTTCATATCACCGGTGGTGTCATTCTCGGCTAACTGGATGAAAAGGATCATGCAGCCAGCAACCAAAGTGCGAAGTTGGAAGACCTCGGACAGAGGGTCCACCAGCTGGCTGTCCTGGGAGATCCCGGGGAAGGCAGTGGTGAATAGCATGGTAAAAATGGAGCAGAAAAATGCCGGTTTGCAGTTTTCCGGAGACATGTTGGCCAGTGCCTTGTTGAAGCCGGAGACGGCATGATTCTGGTACTTGAGCGCGGCGTGCAGCCACGGGCGGGATTGGTGCGGCTCCAGAAAGGCCAAGTGTAAGGCAGAGAGCGCCAGTATACTATCTAACAGATAGCTATGTGACGTAGCCAGCCGTGGAGCCAAAATCTGGAAATGCTGTATGTCTGGGGTTTTCATGACCAGGGTTTCACAGGTCACCGTCAAGTAATGGTGAAGCAATCTGACCTCAAGCATCCTTGTGGGCATATGAAGATCGCCATCAGCATTGCCGTTGCATCCAGGTGTCTGAGATTCGCGGTCCTCCTGAGATGCCGGCGAGGGCTGCTGGCTGGCAGACGCGGGGGGATAGATGCATTCTAGGTTTCGTTTGCAACACAGACTGCATTTCGGGAGTACTTCATCGCACTGTGGGACAATGCATCAAAAAGAGGTGAAGGGAAATAAAGATATGAAAAAGGCCGAGGCAGAAGAGATGCACCAACCTTGACATGTCGCTTTTTGCATGCAAGGCAACCCTTGCGAGACTTCCTATGGGAGCGACGGGTGGGCATCGCTAAGAACGGAGGTCCGGGAGCTACAAGGGCATATTACCAGATGGAGTTAGGGCGGAGGGAGACCCTCAGCGGACAGCAAGCTAAACAGAATGGAAGCACTATTGCAGTAGAGCAGAATGGGAGGCTAATTCCGAATTCCAGCGCCGGAAAAGAGGCAGAGCAATTATAACCATCGGGACGCCCTTTCGGCATGGGTGATGATGATGAACCTTCTCGACGCACCTCGGACCGGAGTAAATTCGGTTCGCAGTTACCGTGATTAGTCATGCCGTATAGTCACATGATGCATTAATTCATTATTATTAATTCGGTCATAAATTGATTATGTACAGCGCAAAGGTGATATGATCATGGCTGTGTCGCACAAAGGTAGTCGGCAGTCTCCCTGCTGAAAATGCCATCCTCGACAATCCAAGTCTTGCAGTCCCCGGGTATGACTTTCTTACGGATGCCCCCCCGCTGTTATGGCCTAGAGCCTCTCAAGGTATCAGCTATTATGGAAGGATGGACTGCAGACTTGCCTTGTCGCCAACGATACTATTCAGGCTCTTTCCAGGTGCCTTAATCTTGTGCGCGCTGGCCTCCAATTGACAGACAGGTGTGCTGTCAACCATGCACTGTCCATTGTTGAGCATGGCCTGCTCGTCAAAGTCCTGTCCCCGACCCACTGCAGCGGAACCACCTTTGTAGAAGGATACGAAGGCACAAGCGCGTTTGACTCAAAGTGGTAGCCCTTCCTGACATCACCGATCACCTAAATTACAACACCGAGGTTAGGCTAGTATGCGAGCGCACCCATAGGCCCAGTGATCTTTGAATGGATAGCCATTGAATATCAGCAGTTCGACCATGAAAGCCCCGGTGGGACCCACTGCAGGCACTTCCGGCAGCTTGGGAACTACTACCGCATGTCCTCCCAATGGATTGGAGCGGTGGAGGTGGGGGAGTAAAAGGCATCCTACAGCTACCAAAAGATGGCATGAAAAGCTCCAGACCATGGGCCTAGAGATGACGTTCTCAACGAGGCGGATATTTTTACAGAGTAGGCGTCCGTGCAGTGTCATCGCTTTGGGATGATACCTAGATACAGCTCTGCTAGAGAGAATATGGAGTTCCCTGCGCCAGGGTGATACTGAAAATGAAGAGATTGGCCTCTGTTGTCCGCCGTAGGTCGCCGTCACGTGGGATGCTGCATGCTGTACGTTGTCCGGCATTAAACGAGTTGCTGACAACTATGTTGTTAATATCCCAAACCTTGGGTCTCTGTTGGGCCTACACGTATTATACATAATAATAATAACATAATGAACCCTGAATCCCAAGAGAGTGGACAGCTGCCTGGACCGGCTAGATCATGCCAAGCCGTCTTCTGAGGCCTGCTCCACCAAATACGATCGGAAATATTGGTCCACAGGTTGAGCTCTGTTAACAACTGGCAAAAGGAACCGACAGAGTGACAGGAAATTGGGGTATAAATTAATAATAGTATATACCCGATACATGTGGGAGAGCTGCGGCTGCAGGCAGGATCTAATAGCCACCATTGGGTACGATCCCGCCGTCGCACTGGAGAAGACAGCCGATCAGATTAGATACATCAGGGACAGGTAACAAGCATCCATTGAGTTTTACGAAGGGTTTTTCCTCCCAGTCCCACACCGTGTGCCGTCTTGCCGAGTCTTCCCTGTCATCTGACATGCTTCTCTTCTGGATCCGCCTGCATTAGACTTTGCGCCGGAGAGATAATGAAGAAAACCCCCAAGCGAGGCCCATCTGATTAGCGGAAGGAAGCGACCATGTTATCTGATTTTTATCTGATAATTTCTCCCTTCCTCCGCTTCTGCCTTCCTCTCTGATCTTCTGCCCGGACCATCCGTTTATTCATGTCGTGTAGTCTATATATAAGACTCTGCTGAGTTTCCGTCCTTCCCAATTCCTCAGCTTCTCTCCCCCTCCCCCACCTTCTTCCTTGAATCGCCGCCATGGGCGTCCTGGATCTTGTCCGCGGCCGCAAGGATAGCGTCGTTGTCAGCGATCTCACTGCCTCTGCCCACCAGGGCTCCAGCAATGAGCCTGAAAAGGGTCGTCCCGGGACCGATTCCGATACCGATCAGAGGAGTCTCGAGGCCATCAACGAGAAAGAAGTAGAGCAGCATCCCGACCAGGTCACGCAGAATGCCAATCGCGGTGTGCAGAAGGCCGAGGCCGCTGCCATCGTCTGGAGTAAACCGGCTGTCTATGCCACTTATGCCTGGTGAGCAATCATCTCTGTGGATTTCTACTTTCCTCCGCTCTAATCCATGTTATCCTGCCCCTCTAGGATCTGGGTCTGTTTCTTCATGCTCGCCTTGCAGTCGGCCATCGGCGCCAATGTCATGCCTATCGCTTACTCCAGCTTCCAAACCGCCCCCCAGATCAGCACGGCAAATATTCTCGCCAGCATCATCGGTGGTGTGTTGAAATTGCCCATCGCCAAACTCCTGAACGTCTGGGGCCGTGCTGAGGGTTTCTTTGTCTTCGTGGTTATCTATGTGGTCGGTCTCATTATCCTCGCTTCCTGTAATGGCCCCAATGGCTATGCGGCCGGTTACGTCCTGTACTGGGTTGGCTACGACGCCATCTACCTCATCCTAGACGTTTTCATGGCCGATACCTCGGGTCTCCGTAACCGAGCCTTCGCCTTTGGCTTTGCTTCCACCCCCTTTATCTGCACTGCCTTCACCGGTTCTCTGGCTGCCCAGTCCTTCATGAAGATGACCACCTGGCGCTGGGCATTTGGCGCCTTCACTCTCATCCAGCCCGTCGTCTTCCTGCCCCTGGTGTTTGTCTTTCTCTTCTTTCAGAGAAAAGCAGCTAGCATGGGCCTCTTCGTCCGGGAAGACAGCGGCCGCACTACATGGCAATCCATCATGCATTACATTCACGAATTTGATGGTATGTAGGCTTTCTTATACTTTCTCCTCAACTTGCCATGGAACTTGCTAACGCTGTTCCTTTTTTTTTTTTTTTAATCCAGTCGTCGGTGCTTTTCTCTTGATAGCGTCCTGGGTTATCTTCCTGCTGCCGTTCAGCTTGGAAACAGAAGGGCGTGCTCAGTATAAGGGTGCCACCTTCATCGCCATGGTCGTCGTCGGGTTCTGTCTTTTCTTTGTTTTTGCCGCCTGGGAAAAATGGCTCGCGCGCACCCACTTCATCCGATACGACTTGCTAAAGAAGCCCACGGTGATTGGTGCTTGCTGCTTGGCGGCAGTTCTGTATTTCAGCTTCTACGCGTGGGATCTATATTACTACTACTATGTCATGATCGTATACGACCTGGACACTTCCATGACCGGGTATATGACCCAGATCTACAACGTGGGTTCCTGTTTCTGGTCCGTTGTGATTGGGCTCTGGTTCCGCTACACTAAGCAATTCAAGTATACCTGTCTGTTCTTCGGGCTACCACTTATGATCCTGGGAGCCGGCTTGATGATCCACTTCCGTGGAGGAAACAGTGACATCGGTTACTTGATTATGTGCCAGATCTTCATTGCCTTTGCGGGTGGCACGCTCGTCATCGGCAACGACATGGCCGTTATGGCGGCGGCGGACCGCGAAGGTGTGCCCATGATGCTGTCCCTGATCGGCCTCTTTTCCAGCTTGGGCGGGGCCATTGGCCAAGCCGTGACCGCCTCTATCAACTCCAATATCTTCCCAGAAGCCCTCCAGAAGGCCCTGCCGGACGAGTATAAGTCTCAGTACCTGACTATTTTCAACGGTGGCACTACAACTCAGCTCGTCTACCCTGTTGGATCGCCTGTACGCAACGCCATCGACTACGCCTGGTCTCAGACCCAGAAGGATACCTGCATTGCTGCTACTGCGATTTTGGCTCTCGGGATTCCCTTCATTGCCATCTGGAAGAATTATAAACTCGATAAGAAGCAGAACAAGGGTGTGATCCTTTAGATGTATTTTGGTTGCAGATTGACCTGTTGGTTGATGGGTATGATTGGATTGGATTGGAGTGAGGTTATTTCATCTATACCTGGGATGTCTCGAAATTTAATGGCTTTATTATTGTATCATTTAACTTCTTTACTCTATATACCAATGTGACGGTTAGCAGACCGCTGAAAACAGCTGCACTTGATGCGCCAGCATCCCATCTTGGCAGCAAATGATTCAAATTAATTCAAATTGCACAGCCACAAGCACAATTTCGTTCAGGACCATACTTTTTTGTGCCTACAGACATGCACACAACTCCTTTTGCACGACCAACCACTCCCCTAGAGCCTCATGTCAAAATATCATCTCCATCTACCTCTTCTTCATCCCCCATGACGCCGTAATGCGCCAGGGACCTAGGGATAGGCCGCCCGACGCGCGGCCCCTACGCGCACCAACCACCCCCCAGCGAAGCACCAACAAGCGTCTCAGGCAGGAGACGCCCAAGAAACCACCACCACCCCTCTGAACGCCCAGCAGAGACCAATCCCCCCCTCCCCTATCCTCGCCGTCCCCCAATGTCCCTGCCATGGGGTCAGACACAGCCAGCGACACATCCAGAACCAGCAGCCGCTCCACGCCTCAGGAGAGTGTCACCTCTTGAAGCTCTTCACCAGGGTGCCAGATCCAGGGCCAACTTGCACAAGCAGTCCATGCTGCCACAGAAGCTGTAGCCCGGTCCATGGATACAGCACAAGAAAATGCTGGAGCTCACTACCATAGTTGATAGGCAGATAGAGGCCTTCAGGGAAAAGTATGGTGGATCATAGGCAGCAACCTTTAGTACCGCAATGCAGACATTCATTAAGGACTACTTCCTCAAATCCAACACTAAGAAAGGACTGACTGCAGATAGCACTCCATGAACCTATGCTGCTGCCATCCAGGCAGCCATACCTCTAAAGCCATGCGCAGCCCCAAAGAAGCCTGGCCCCAAACATGGGCCACCCCTACATCTCTTTCTATGGCTCCCTGAAGGCCATCCTGCATGTCAGGCAAGCCCCGATGCCATCCTACAGCTCCTACAAGCCCAACTTAACTTTCTACATATCTAATCCATCCAGGAGGTACAATATGTCCTCACAGGCTTAGCTATCAGACCAAAGGACACCCTCAGTGGCCAGCTCCTCCTGAGCAAGAGGGAAGACATCCAGAATATAATAAAAGGCTCCCACGCCAAGCCATAGGAGAAATGGGCAATCTTTGTCATCTCTGAGATCCCACAACACTACCAGGATCTCAATGGCATATAAAGAATTCAATTTAATGACTGGCCTACACCCCCATAAGCTATACTGGTCCACCAAGAACCCAAGCCCAGATACAGGCACCCTTGTCCTCACACTCCCTGAAAAGGAGGCATCAAAAGTCCCATCTGTCATCTATCTCCTGGTGGCCACCCCGCACCCTAAAAAGAAGGTCCTCCAACCCCATATTCAGCAGTGTGCCCAGTGCTGGGGATATTGTAAAGGGGGGCGTACGTGGGTTGTTCCCTGCGATAGGAACCGGGTTGTGATCGAGGGATCTCAGGGATGGACACATTGAACGATCTGGTAATGAAACGATATAAAAAAGAAACATAACGACGATGGAGCCTCGCTCCTATACGACGACGATACTAGCGAAGCAACCTAGAAACCAAAGGAATGCTCAATTTCTCGTAACTATCTGGGAGGAAACCCTCCATTGAGTACTCTCCGGCCGCGGGCTCCACCATACATTAGTATGTCGGAGACTGCGGCTCTACAGTGTTCTAAGATAGGAAATATGTGAGATCTGGGATTTCCCAGTGCCCCCGGCACACCAGTAATACCACTGCAGTGGGTATTTACCTACAAATTTAATGATGACAGCCATCTCACCAAGTTCAAAGCCTGAATCTGTGTATGGGGTGATCTACAGCCATTCAATGGTCTAGATACTCAAGCCACTACCCTAGCTGCACGCACGTTCCACTTCCTAATGGTGATAATGGCTCATTTTGACCTTGACTCCACTCAATTAGATGGTGTCAATGCTTTTTGCCAGAGTCTAATGGACAAAGAGGTCTACTGTGAGCTGCCTGATGGATTCATGAAATTCCCTGAGCTCCAGGTGCCTGCCCATTCTGATTCAACCAATCAGAAGCCATGCCTGCGCCTGAGAAAAGCTCTCTATGGCTTACATCGCTCACCCCTGCTTTGGCAACGCGAATTTGCTAGCGCCTGCCTAGAATATGGTCTGTCCCCCATTCTGGAAGACCAATGCCTGTTTACCCATCAGGACCTACTTCTTTTTATATATGTTGATGACATTGTCATCCTTTCACGCAAAGATCACCAAAGCCGCAAGCTACGCCGGAAATTGATTCATTACCTCTGCACCCGCTTTGAAATGCGTGTTCTTGGTGATATACATTGGTTCCTCAACATCTGTGTTCTACAAGATTGAACCAATTGAACTGTATGGCTCTTCCAAGATGCCTATATTGATAAAATGGTCCATGACTACAATATCAACCCATCGAGGAAGGTCCATACACCTCTCTCCGGCTCTACTATTGGAGTGTTTGACAGAAAAGCAACACCCATGTCTATATATGTCTACCAACACCATATAGGATCCCTCATTTATATTACTGTTGCAACATATCCTGATATTGCTGCTCTAGTCAGCATCTTAGCGCGTCATCTTACCAACCCATCAGGAGCTCACCTTGCTGAAGCTGACCACACCCTCATGTAATTGAATACTACTAAGGGACATGCTACAGTACAGCCCCAGCTCCACAGGACCAGAATCCAATCCATAGCTCCATATCCTAGAAGCCTCTAGTAATGCCTCTTATGCTGATGCTCCTGGTGTCACGGAACTCAACTAGACGATGAATAGGATGCTATTCGACTGTCTAGGCAGCTATCGACGAGAACTTCAAGCATGAAGAGGAAGGAAAAAGGAAGAGATCTACGTGAAGCTGGACGACGTATTCCTATCCACGCACCACGCTAATCGAAATAAGGAAACTCACGTGCTCGTCCTGGTCTACATGGCAAGGGCCCTGACAGCAAGTCAGATTCAACCCTGGACATCAGATAACTTTAAAGTGTGATAATCAGCAAACTGTTGCTCTTATTGGCAAATCCACACCTATGCTTAATACTAAGCTTAAACATGTGGATATCCACCAACATTGGCTCCGCCAACGAGCTCAACGTGGTGAGATTCACATTCAGTGGACTCCTACCAGTCAAATGCCGGCTGATAGCTTGACTAAGAAGCTTACACACCAAAAACATGAGAACTTCATGAAGCTTCTTAACCTCACTGATATTAGCCCACAGCTGACAGCTTCAAACGTCAGGGGGTGTATATCCTGACATAGTGCTTCAGCCTCGTTCACACCTTATCTGAGCCTATTTTCCTTTTGTTTGGGCTCTAATTTGCTATAACTTGCCCTGCCTGTTTTCCTACTCACTTATCTCCTATTATAGTAACTGCTTTTGCTTCATTCTGTATTTAGCTCGTACAAGGGTACGATCTAGGGGGGGCTAGCAGCTCGGCGCAGGTCGGAGAAACCTCGCCCCAGGTAGAGCCCGGAACGGAAGAAATGCTCGGCTCGGTAGTTGAATACGTTACTCTACGTGGTTAGTCATATGTCGATATGACTAGTTAACTAATATGCACCTCATCTCAGGCATGTGCCTCTACCCTTAGTCAGGCATCTCTTATCCTAGTTAACTAACTATCAAAGGCCGTTTATTATATAACATAGACAGATGTATTAACGCAAGTCTCCATGTTTTCTTGTTCGTCAGAGGCATTCATTGGCTTATAATAGTGACCCCTCACGGCCAGAGGGAGTGATTCCAGTTACTGATTTGCCTGATAGGCACAAGGATCCTACGTCCAGTGCTAACGCGCATAATGAGGAGAAGGATACTGCATAATGATCACTTTATCGGCTGTCTAGGCCAGCAGTCCCATAGTGTGCAAGAGTGAATCAAGTATATTGCACTGTTGGAACTGTCTATGCTGCAATATGCAACATGTATGGATACCTACGCGTGACACAGATACGGGTAGATCCGAACTCGGTACATACACTCCCAGCCCAAGTTCTTGGTAAGACGGTAGTACGAACAAGTGGGGGCCAATTCATCAGCCAACAGTTTCCTACAGAATAACACAACAGGTCATACTGGCGCTATACGTGCATCAGCATCAATGGTTCCGAGAGGAATAGGGATGGTTAACTATGATTACAAGAACCCTTGAGCACGCCCCAGATGGAGAGGCTAATTATTAGTCCATGCCGGCACATCCCCTACTGTTATGATACAGCCAATATGTGTCTGGTTACCTACGTGTTGGCGGCAAAGCACCGGGTTCCAATTGTATGCCTTGATGGAAGTGTTGGTGATATAAGGTTGGAAAAGGATATAGCTCCCATTTCAGTGACTTCTTTACCTGATGTGTGAATAATTCAGATAAATCAAATATTCCCAACTAATTGGCAAGAGTCCTGAATCTTCATTCTCTCTAACTGATTCTTGAAGCTGATGTGGCTTATGAGACTTCACATCCTTTGAGGCCTGTATCAAGGGTGAGTGATAGGCTATTATAATTGACATGTAGATAGGATACCTCACGTTGTTTACAGTCCACACAATGTGGAGGCTGATACAGGCCTTGACTGAACATTATTTGCAGCGCTTATTGGTTTGCATCCTCAGTGTAAGGGTTTGAATATGAAATTCATTTTTGTACTAGATACACGAAGGATTCCTTGGGAGAAGAAGAGGCATGCCAGCAGCAAACAGAACAAATAGAACAAGCAGAACAAATCCCTACAGCGTTCTTTGTATATAACCCCCCTCTTGGGCAAGACCACCAAGCTAACCAGGCTAGTTTTCTGGATGGGTAATCCTAGATGAGCACATTGAAAAAGCAGCACACACCCTTGACAACGCCAAATTCCCCCCATGTATAGAAGTTTGTGAAGCCTAAGAAGACCTATCTGTGCAGCCCTAAGCTCTCGCGGAATAAACCGAGCGAATATGTAGTCACGTTCCCCTGGTCTCATGGGACGGAAAGTCGCCAGTGAGCAGGGAATTTTGTTTTGCTCCATGGTTCATTGAGAATACTAGCAATTTATGAAGGCTGTGAGCGATACCTGAATAGATATCTAGTTATTGGCCTATCAGACTCCAAATGGCGTCTCGAGTTGACCCTTTTTGTTTCTAGTATACTTCTAGTGAGCACACTGCAATAACACCCAAGCACTGAAGCGAGCCAGAGAACGAGATGCAGTTTACATGGAACAATTGATGCAACTGAAGGAGGTGGTACTCGGAGGAATCCCAACAAGACACGGATGGAACTGCCTGCCCATTGCACCTGTGAGTCTTGCATCGTACTGAGCCTCTTGCCAAACTTAAACAGGCCATTGTTGGATATCGTGAACCCAGTTTGGGAAAAGCAGTTGTATCGTAGCATATTGACACATTCTGATACATTGTTTGGATTTGCTTATGCAACTGTAACGTCCTGTATCGGGATAGGTTTCTACAGACCCGAGATGCTTGGATTTCGGCTCTTCGAGAAGAGTTAATGGAGCGATTCGCCAATATCGCCAGACAGGAGTATCTGGCGATGAGTATCAGAGTCATGCTGGCCCATTGAATAGCGACAGGCAAGGATCGATACCACGTTCGGAGAAGATGCAGACTCATAACGGATGCGACGGTTCTGGGACGGAATCTGCCTGCTCGCAGGGATGTCTAGAACCTGTAATCAAAATCATTCACGCAAGATGCGACCAGCTAGGAGAGAGTGGTGTTCTGAGCTGATTGACAAATCCGGATGCATCAGATGTGATAATGAGAATGGGTTGAAAGTGGGACAGACTGAAATCCCCAGAAGAGACACTGCACTTGGCCCAACTCGTCATAGATACATCAGTGCCAGCCAGGAGTCTCTGTGAGATAGAGGAACACTTATTTTGTATCCTGTACAGAGATTTTATGTACTTCAAGCGCGTTGACAACGGCGGGGTGCAGGGTCCTCTGGAAGCCAAGAAGCAGAGCTGTTGCGGCGACTAACCTGGTCGGCAATGACGAACGAGGCAAACCCGTTGACGATGGAGGCCCTGATGAGATGCGTCGAAGTACTTCCTCCATGATTCGAATATGGTTCGGGATTTATTATTGCCTTTGCTTCTTGAGCAAGACGAGAAAGACAGGAGGAGGAACGCGAGGCGGGGTAAAGGAGAATCCGAATAGTCCATTTCTCTCCGTCATCACTCAACCACGTCGCCATTCTTTTCGCCTCAGGCTAAATTAATCATCTATCTGCCCCCTTGGGCCGCTTGTCCGTTTCCCGTTTGCCTATATATAACACTTCGACCTGCATCGATATACCAAACATCGTTTTCTCCCCGTGAATTCGCACATTACCGTGCCGGCGGGATCCGGCTGCACAACTCATCCAGACTCACCTGCTTCCCGATCATACACGAGATATCCAACTGTCTCTCTGCCGAAGCGTTTGGGCTTTTCGCGAGAAAACGCAGTCGCAGACAGGAAGCATACGTTTTGCATTCGTTCGATTCACACGCTGTACATATAAAGGAGAGGAGTTCAACGAGGTTACGATAGACATATATTCATTTCCCATCAACAGAGACGACAGGATGAAGCACGATGGCCTGGGGAAGCTGCATAAGATAATGCGATTTGGGGAGGCGGTATGTGATGTGATGTGTTACCTTTGATGCAGTTCTGCGAGGCGAATATGCTGAGTCCCTTCGTGCGCAGCTACATCCCGACGATGCATACTTGAGCTGTGAGTGGATTGGAGTCCAATCCCCTATCTGAATCGGGTGCGCAGAGAAACTAATGACGGGTGCTTTTGACTCGAAGATTACGACGTTCGATGTGAGTTCTCCTTAATTCCTACACGACCATCGAGATGTAACGCAACGATGGGAACACGGAGACGAAGCAGTAGCTGATGTGCAAGATAGTGACTCGGGAGGATATGCAGACGCTCAAGAACGACTGGCTCACAGATAATGTGTGTGATGGTTCTGTGAGATAAGGCCAAAACAGAATCTTTGCTGACAGAGAAGCAGATAATTTCCTTTTGGGAGGAGTAAGTCCAGCCTCGTCGGACACAGTAGCCAACAGTCATGACCACCACAAGAAAGCAATCCAGCAGCAAACAACTGACTTTCATCCCCAACTTAGATATCTTGAGCGCGAATTCCTCACTCGATACAAATCCTCCAATATCGTCCTTCTCCGCCCAAGCATGTCCTTCCTGCTGCTCCAAACCCCGGATCCTCGTACACTCCGCGACGCCCTCCCCGACTTCTCCCGCGCAACTCACGTCTTCCTCCCTGTTAATGACTGCCGAAACGTCTCCGAAGCCGAGGGCGGAACACACTGGTCCCTTCTGCTCATTTCCATAATCGACCGGGTCGCTTTCCACTACGACTCTCTCCCACCTGGGAACAAGTGGGAGGCATACACGGCAACCTGCAAGTTCGGAACGCTTCTTAATCGACCTATCCGCTTCATCAACTTGGAGGATTCCCCGATCCAGGAGAATGGGAGCGACTGCGGCGTATTCGTTTGTCTCAACATGCGACACTTGCTCCTGAAGCGGTTGCTCACTGCACAAGCAAGCGAGAGAGTCAGCATGAGCCTTGCAGGGAGGAAGATCGATGCCCGGGCAGGTCGAAAGGAGATTACCAGAATCATTGAAGGATTTCGAAAGGAGGGCGAGCGACGGAGATCGTAAGTTCAACCTCCAACTTCTTTTACCATAAGAGGCTGATTCCGATTATCCAAATTGAAGAAGCAGCATCAGTCCCGCTCCAAAGCGGTCAAGCAGCCCGCCACGGATTGAATGATTATGAATAATGAGGGGAAAAGGGGAAAAAAAAGCAATTAGCGACGTATCCATTTTTCTTCTCGCAGCTGCCCCTACACAGGGCCATTTCCCTATATACACATATTATATATACATCTATGCGATGGGCTTCTTGCTGGCAACTAATTCTGGAAAAGCACAGGGCGGATCGCAGGGAGATCCAGGTAATTAATGGCTCGTAGCCCATTACCACCAGCATCATGCATTGTTATTATTTTTCCGCCGTATAGGATTGGCGGGGGGGAGGTGTTGACAGCGCATTCGTGCATGTACGGGCTCTTTTGCAGGAATTGTATGATCTCATGGCTGAATAGCGTCCAGCGCGTTGGCCGTCAATCCATTATTATTTCTTTTCTGAATATATTAATCAGGCCGTAGCTACTGTAGGATATTCGCGACTGTCGCAGAACGGATCAAGATACTGTACAGCGTAAAGTGATACTTGCCTTTTTCTACAAGGTCCTGGCCACGTGTCGACCACGCAAATCCATACCTGAGATACCTGAGGGAAAGACTGGCCATGAATTCAACATTCTCAAGTCCCCATGAGGCTTTTTGAAAGTGACAAAGGAGGTACATGGTTTTCGTGAACGTGGTGTGGGCATCTCGCTGAGAGTCTCACTAATGTTGTTGAGAAAATACATATATCTGACCTCTGAACAATGTTTTAGCAGCCACCATTGAGACATGTCCACCATTCCTCGCGCACTTCACATTATTATTGTTTTCCAAAGGCCGAGCCTCGTACCGTACTATTTTTGCACACGCTAAGTAAATTATGGAGATCTCCGCAGTGCTCCGTATGGAGTAGAATACATCCTCGGCTTAAGATTATCATGACAATAACGTCAAATAACTTCCTGCCAGCCCTCGCGTCGACACTGAAGTTGAATACCGCAGAAATGTCTCGAGCTTTTAACCGTCCCTTCACAACAGCTGTCCGTCATCTGCAGAAACAGTCCTCTATCCCAGCTTCCTACTACCGCGGGGGAACCTCCAGAGCCCTAATATTCAATGCTCATCATCTTCCCCCGAACCCATCCGATTGGACCCCCATATTCCTGGGGACCATCGGCTCTCCCGATCCTTATGGCCGCCAGCTTGACGGGATGGGAGGCGGGATCTCGAGCCTGTCCAAGATATGTGTGGTGAAGCCGTCACAACGGCCGGACGCACAGGTAGAATTCACATTCGTGCAGGTCGGCGTCAAGGAGGCCATAGTCGACTATGCAGGAAACTGTGGGAATATGACATCTGCCATCGGTCCCTTTGCTGTAGATTCAGGTCTTCTCAAAGTAGAACCAACAACGCCAGAAGAGCAACAACAACAACGACAACTCACTGTGAAGCTATACAACACCAACACCGACAAGATCATCCACGCGACATTCCCCAATTGCGACGGCGAAGCTGTCGCCTCGGGCACTTTCTCCATCGATGGCGTTGCAGGCACCGGATCCAAGGTCCGTCTGGACTTCATCGACCCAGCAGGCTCCAAGACCGGATCCCTCCTCCCAACAGGGAACAGAGTGGACACGATAATGGAGGGGATCAGAGCGACATGCATCGACGTTGGGAATCCATGTATCTTCGTCTCAGCAGAGGAGATCCTTTCCGGTACCACATTGCCCGCAACGCTTCTCCCAGATGAAATCCAGGGTCACCCCGAGCTCCTCTCGAAATTCGAGACCATCAGACGCCATGCCACGGTGAAAATGGGTATGTCTAGATCCCTGGATGAGGTTCCGCCTTCCATCCCCAAGATCTGTCTCGTGTCCCGTCCGTCCACCCATCGACTGTCTTCGGGGGAGGTGATGGATGAAAGGTCTGTGGATGTCGTTGCTCGTGCTATTTCGACGCAACAGCCGCATAAGGCTCTTCCTATCACGACTGGATTGGCGTTGTCTGCTGCGGCGAGGATGGAGGGGACTATTGTTGCGGAGTGTTTGAGGTCTGCTGGAGGGGGAAGTAAGGCTGGTTTTGCTGCTGATGAAGTAGTCATAGGTCATCCCAGTGGGAGATTGGTTGTTGGAGCCAAGTATGATAAGTGGGGAGTGTTGGAAAGAGCGACGGTATTTCGGACGGCGAGGAGGTTGATGGAAGGGAGGGTGTTTTGGAAGTAGTAGCGGTAGTTAATGGTCATTTTGTGTTTGCATTTGTATTTTTGTATTCTAGGGATCAAGGGCTACAGATATGCGTTTCTGACATTGATTTTTGTCTTATTTACTCTCGATATATTAATCTCTGCGCACTGTAAACACGTTGAATGTCCTCTGAAATCTGCTGGACCTACTGTTTACCCCCACGCAGCGTCTACTGCGTCTACGTCGTCCATACGCTGTCTACGTGCTCTGTCCATCTTTCACTGCTTTCTGCCAGGCGCAAATCCCTCCTATCAACGCCCATATCCTCCATAACCTCGTCCCTCTGCCGGCGCCCTCGTTCCTGAGGCACCAAGCCTCCTCTGTAGCTTCCCAACGCTGTCCGCAACTTCCCTTTCCCCCCTCCAACATCGCGACTCTCAGCTCGATGCGGCTGCCGTTTCAATTTCAAAATTGCCGTTTCTGGTAATATCAACTGCAGCAACTTCCCTCGAAGTCCCTCGCAGAGATGACGCCGTTAGTTTTCGAGGTTGGCTGTACCGAAGGTAAGGTCCGCCTTACACGAAAAGAAAAAGAGGGAGAGAGAGAGAGAGAGAGAGAATCGTACTAAAAATCTTTGTTTTTGGTTTTTTTTTTTGGGGGAGGGAGGCAGGGTTTTCTTTTCTTCCTTTGTTTTCTGATGGGAGGGTAGGTGATCCTGTATTTCCTTGTTTCCTTTGTCTTACCCTTATTCTCTGGGTCTGGCTTCCGACATTCGGCGTGCTTTACTTATAGCATACCCTTCTTATTGCCAAACTCGGTGTGTGCACAACCTTGGGAGGTTCTCGAGGGTATGGCCAGTTTTGTGTATGGTTTTTTTCTTTCTTTTTGGGTGTAGCTGACCCTTCCTGTTAGCAAACTCGGTGATGCACAATCTTGGGCGGTTCTTGAAGGGTCCGGCCAGTTTTGTATATAGTCTTTTCTTTTCTTTGTGTGGTGGGCGCTACAGTGTTTGGAGTTTGGCGTTTTTTAATTTGAGCCAACACTCGGGGGACGCGTCGAATCCACTCGCTTTTTTAACGTCTTGTTTTTTTATTCCCGTCGTCCGCTCGTTTCACCTTTTGCCCTTGCAACTTTTGATGGGTGTGTGTCGGAAGCGTGGTGGCGCAGCCTCACTGCATACGGGGTAAGTGAACATGTATATTTCTTTTTCTTGTCCAAGCATCTTCTGATTCGAACAATCCCGGCTGACGGCGGGTGCAGAGTCCCTGAAACATCGCCGCGATGGTTCCAATACCACCAACAATGGCGTATCTTCGTACACAGGGTATAAGTCATATCTATCACGGGAAGCGCATCAAGAGCCGCTCTTCACTATAGCTGAGTCTTTCCACCCCCCTTTGCGCTGACGTTGTGGATTAAGTCGATATCGTCGGTGTTTTCTAAACAGACAGTGGGGCTGGTGGTGGGATTATTGCTTTTCAGCCTGCCGTGTTTAATTCGAGAGGGATTACTTTGATGAGATGGAAAGATTCTTCATGTAGATCCAGGCTTCAGAATGCCCGTGTTACGAAGCGTTGCTTGTTGAAAGGAGACTTCAAAGTTGAGAGATCGAAGTTCCGATTAAGCTGTGGCCTGTGCATACACTAGGGCTTAGGGTTATGATATAGGGAGCGGAGACAAACCTTGAGTCTCCCGAAACAGAACTATGGGGATGACAGGAATCGAGTTCTAAAAACATTTATATGAGAGTCATCTTCATTGTAAGAGAATAAACATACGAAAAAGGTATTAGTAAAGAGCCGAATACGAAAAATGAAGCGATCAATTACAAGACGTAATGGTAGTTATCCGAAGGAAAGCGACAAACAAACAGAAAGCATGTATACAAGTAACACCACCAGTAAAAACAGAAGAGAATAAATAGGACCGAGTAGTAGACCTGGTTTTAAAAAAACTAGACTAGTTATAAGGGACTTCCTCTAAGAACCACCCACGAGTCCATCTGGGCTGATCGAACGGAAAAGATGAATAATAGAAATAAAAAACCCGAGAGCGCCTGTAAACACCAGTTCCATGGAAAGTGGAAAGAAATGAAGGGCTTTGCGCAAAGTGTAAAAATGAGAAATAAAAAAAAAAAACAATTAAATATTTGCTAGATGTTGGTAAGAAGTGGTGAGCGCGACAAAGGAATAAGAAGTTCACAATACCGGCCAAAAGGGAGGGAAAAAAAGAGAAAAGAAAAGAAAAGAGGTAACATGCAAGGCCCAGACACTCTATCGCATAAATAATTTTAATTCAATTCCGTCGCTACCCCGAGGATATGCGAATGACAGGCAAAAGAAAAATGTAAATGTGTGCGTAGAAGGTACGTGATGTCAGAAAAAAAATATAATGCTGCGTGGTACAGTTTATCTACCGAAGACGCAGTCCATAGACAAACGATATCCTGTCACGCCAAAAAGGAACCTGCCTGTAGCAACATGTCCATGCCTCGAGAAGGACGCAACCACCTTCCATTACCAGTTACGGCGGCGTTGGTGTTTGGTGGACCTCGGCATGGCTAGTGCGGCGTTTATCGCGGGACCGTGTGTAGATATCCTCTGGTTTCGGATTGATCGATTCCGGTACCGCCATTTGTTGTAGTTGGTGCTGTCTCTGGGCCACAATCTCTCTCGCATAGAATTCCACCAGCATCGTGCCATATACTTCGAGCTCTTCGACGGAGATAGCAAGGCGAAAGTCGTTTAGGATAAGGAATTGGAGCTCAAGATGGTTCAGTTCGACTTGGGGAAGTCCTCCCACCTGTACTCATAGAATGATTAACCGTGCTTGACCAAGACACAGGCAAATGAGCAAAGAAAGTGATATGTAGAAAAGCACCAGAGAGAAGAAAACACCTACTTTTGCATATCGTGAATTGGTATAGAAAACATCAGAAAAGAATTTGCTGGCGCAAGTTACTCCAGCAATGATCAACCGGTGGATGTTGAAACTATCGACAACGAAGAAATGGGACAAACTTTCCGCGTCGCCCTGCGAGTATAGCGAAGACGATGCGGACGACGCCGGACTCTTTCCGTCCTGCGCAGCCAGCCCTGCAGAGGATGGTGGCGTTGCCATAGGAGAGGCTGATGGGTGCCTCGTGCTCGACGGATCTGCAGGAGCAGGTCGTGGGGAGACATCATGTTGGGAAGACGAGAGACTCCAGCGGCGACGCAGTTGCTCAACTCGACCTCTGTTGACCGTTTCGGTCATGCGATCAAAGTAGACCAATAGGCTTAGAAATACTTCGTAGGTTGTTGGGCAATACTTGTGAATACGACTGAGATAGCTGAGAATGGTGATGCTAGGCACATTTTTGCCGTGAAAAGCGAGGACGCTCGTGGCCTGCGGGCTGAGACTCGCTGTACCGTCTGGCGGGGGAATGTGGCGATGGATATGGTCATGGTACATATCGTTGGTGGCGGTGATCTTGGTGAGGAGACTAGCGACCATCTCGATGACATCCGTGACCGGCATGGAGCTGATCTCGTACTGGCGTTCCTGCAACCATTGCCCGGACACCTGGTTTTGATGTGTCTGGGCCAGAAACTCTTCGCTCGCGAAGCTCTGGATATGAGAAAGATCGCGGACTTTGATGCGGCTAGGAGATGTGGCCTCCGAGTTTCCTAGGGAACGGAACGATCGAAAAGTCGGTTGTAACTGGGGAGAGGATGGGGACAATTGGCCCCCGTCGTAGGACATGGCGTCCATGGCCTTTGTCGCCTGGCTAACGCTGTACGCGTGTCGCGAAGGGTCCGCCGTTTCGTCAGAGACAGGATACGTCGAAGGAGGAGCATGGCTGACAGAGGTGGATGAGGTCATCGATATGGATGGATCAGCGTAGGCAGATGCGGGAGCAGTGGACGAGGCCCGCGTGTCGGGCTGGCGATGAGTTAGGGAACGAGACTGCGAAGTGCTGGAATAGGTGGGGACACCATGCGGCGGGTGGGAAGAGAGATGGGCGGTTGCGCGCGGGGCGGTGGCAGAGATCGGGGCGTTATTGGAGGAGGACGGCCTGGCTTCGAGCTGTGACGTCGGACGAGAAGATGGATGTCGATAGATAGCCTCAGACGGAGTTGTGGCCTGATTGATCGCGCCTCCAAGCATCGTGTATGGGCTGCAATGCGCTTGATCTAACTGCAGGTGGTTGAGGACGAGCGATCCCATGTCCAGGCCGGCAGGATACCCGGCAGGATACACTGCAGCAACGCCTACAAGTCAGCGAAGAGCTCATAGATGGTGTCGGCATTGTAGACACACGATCTAGGAGGCAGTCTTAAATATAGATATTCAAAAACAAGAAAGTAGAGGGCTGATAACGAGAGCAGATCTTTTGATGGGGGAGACGAACAGTGAGGGGAAGGACGAGGCGTCAGCCCAATCCAGACTGAAGCTGCCCAGAGATCAAGGAGGGACTACGATTGACAACACGCAACACGGCCGCGCATTGCGAATGGGATAGAAAAAAAAAAGGGGCGAGAGAGAGCAGCTAGACAGAAGGGAGGGCAGAGTAGAGACCTGAAAAAAAAAAAAGAAAGAAAAAGGGATGGGAGAAAAGGGAGAAAACGAGGGTGTGGCTGGGGGAAAAGAGACGAGCGGGCAGGAAGGGGAGGAGAGATGGATAAAAATAACAGGAAAGACGCGATGAAGAACTAAAGTCGTTTCAGATAAGCTTATTGAGATTGTCCCAGCGGATATCTTAGTAGACGGCAGCCCCAGGAACGTGTCGAAGCAGATGAACAGAGACGAGATGAGATGTGCCTGGGAGAAGCTGGTCGAGAGAGGAACAAACAACGGGAGGATGGAGGCCGCAGCAGAAACTCGCCCATCCTCCCGCATGCGGACGGCTTCATTTCCCTTCATTTCTTCTGCAGCGCCTGCTCCAGAACGGGCGAATGAACTCCCGCTTCCAGCGCAGGTGCTGGACACATCCCTTCCGATCGTCTCACCGGTCCGACTGCATCCTGGCTTCGTGCGCAGGGGATATCTAGAGTCCTACATGGAATCCCGCCGGTTCTGTTATTCCATCGGTGCAGTCGCTTCGTCGATGGTTACACCTTACGCAGTTTTTATGCGCCTTCTCGACGGCCCTGGTCGCCTTCCCGTAATCCGTTGGGCAGAGACGAAGCTTGGTCACTGCCGATCACCTACGATAATAATATCGACAGAAATTATTAACGATAGCACTAACAGCACAGATCAAACGCCCGTCGATCGATTTTTCTGAATGGATGGTTCTCGCCAAGGAATCTGTCGAAGCTCAAAATACCCCGTTACCAGTCGAAGAAAACTATCCATTTATAGAAACGAAACAAGCAAGATGACATGATTAAAACTCCCATCATTTGGTGGCCCCAGGGCCCGTATAGTCTGTATCGGGCAGGTAGAGATGTCTCACCGCTCCCTGGGCTGTTAGCACCACCAGTCGAATGACTCCGCCAGAGCTTCCATCCCACTTAATCGCCTCGCGCAGTGCGCTACGGACAAAGTTAATGCCCTCCTCCTCTGTCATGTTCTCCTTCCAGTGAGCATCACAGTAGCCGTAGATGTAGGTTGAGCCCGATCCGCCGATGGCAAACGGTTGTTTGTGCAGGGAACCTCCCAGGGGTATGGAATACACTTGGCCACCATGGCGTTTATCGTATCCAGCAATGATGATACCGGCACTGCATCAGTCCACGTTAGTCCTAGTTCTGCTTCCCTTCGACAGTATCAACACGGTCTATCCAGCAACCCACCTTAGCATGTCTTTGTTTTCATAGCACAGCTCCTGGAACAATGCAGCGGCAACCTGGGTCGTCGGGGATTCATCATGGACAACGCCGTACATGTTGAGATGGTAAGAAACGATGTCAGCCACTGCCTGGGTGTCCGCGGCTGAACCGGATCGACAGCACCAGATTGTGTCATGGACCTGCGTCAATTTATCGGTGACTCGATTGGCAATGTAGGCTCCGGTGGTAGTTCTGCTATCCGCGCCTAATATAACACCGTCCTTAAAGTTGATTGCCATGCTATTTAAGGTCAATATGCGAGAAGGTATGATGCTGTATACGGGAAGGACAAGCTCACATGGATGTTCCTAAGCTAGAGACGAAAATACGTCAGTGTCCGAGTGGTTGCATATGTAACCCAAGCTGAGCAGAGGACGTACTTCACCTCTCCCTTCTTCAAATGATTCATATCAACATGGATGCCATCTGAGAGCGCGTTAGCTGTATTCTGTGTGTTTCGTTGTGTCTGTTCGCTCTGTTGAGTAGCTCGACTGACCCTCCCCAAGCATTCCCGTAACGCCATGGGCGACCATGGTGACTGTATGAACCGTAGAAGCGAAAGACCAATAAACAGATAAAGCTGAAAAAATCACAGGAGGTAGAGGAGTGATGAAAGGATACGCGGGCAGAGATCAGCAGCAGACTGGCGACGGTATCAGCAGTGACGAAGCTCGAAAGAACACGGAGCTTGCTCTGCCGCCGGGCGGTGAGCGCAGTGGCTGGCGCGGAGCTGCTGGCTCCCCGCAGCTCTCTCCTGGCGCTTCAAACGCTCTCCTGGCTTAAGGAACCTTTTCTCTCTTGCACTCAAACATCGGGGTTTATCACCCGCCAGTTTAATAGCTGCTTTTTAAGCTGCTTACGAACTGTTACTGCTGGTCAGTTCAGCTTCATCTCACGCTCCTACCCTCCCGCGCACATCTCACCATCCGTCGCGATGTCTGAATCTCCTCCACCCCCATCCTGGAGCGTCACCTCCATGGCGAACGGTGTGGTTCAATTTTTGAGACTACCAGTGCTAGCGTCATCGGGTCTTGCAGTGGTAGCCAGTAGTGTCTTATACTTTAAGCAAAAGTACCTCCTCCACTTTCCCTGGCTACTCCCTGTGGTTTTCGAAAAGAACTTGAAAGAAAAAAGGCTAACCGCACATTTAGTGAACTTATCTACCCTCGCAACGTCCCCGTAGATGCGCGCACAAATGTTCCGAAACCGAGCCAGTTCGGTATTACCGACTTTGAGGATATCCAGATACCAACACCTGATGGGCAGTCGCTGCATGCTTTTCTCATCCACCGCTCCAAAACCAGACCCTCTAGCAACATTACCATACTGATGTTTCATGGGAATGCCGGTAATATTGGGCATCGCGTCCCTATTGGCAAAGTCTTGCGGCAAGCATTAGGATGTAACGTGTTAATGCTGGAATATCGCGGCTACGGCTTGTCTACTGGGACGCCGGACGAGGCAGGGCTCAAAATCGACGCACAGACCGCACTTGATTATATCAGACAGCGTGCAGATCTGTCGGATTCGAAAATCATAATCTATGGCCAAAGTCTGGGAGGAGCTGTGGCCATAAACCTGGTTGCCAGTAACCAGGATCGAGAGGACATCGGTGGCCTAATTTTGGAGAATACCTTTCTGAGCATACGAAAGCTGATCCCGACGTAGGTTTTCAACTTCGTCAAAAGACAATTGGGTACAAAAGCATCTGATAAACTGAAACTTGCCTAGAATATTTCCTCCTGCGCGGTACCTGGCGCGTCTTTGCCATCAGCACTGGAATAGTGAAGAGATTATACAGACAATCAAGGATGTTCCTATCCTGTTTCTGAGCGGGCTCAAGGACGAATTGGTCCCGTAAGTGACAGCCTCTTTTGTGGATTTTGCTTATCCCCACTAATTGAGTTTGAATTGCGTCGTTTCTTTCGGATTTCATTTATAAATACTGACTAACACGCGACTATTCTTCAGTCCAACCCACATGACCCAACTCTTCGCTGCATGCAAATCAGAGCCAAAGATCTGGCGGACTCTTCCGAACGGGGGCCATAACGACAGTGTCGCTGAACCTGGCTACTTTGACCACATCCATTCCTTCGTGACGGAGGAGGTTCTGCGTGGCAAGCTGTAGCCTGGCGGACCTTTACATTCCTTCCATGCTGCCGCACCCTGATATGTGGGCGCGAGGCAGCCATACACTAATTCTCTGGTTTCACTTGGTTCCTTTGGCTGACAATACATGATACCCGATATTTGCTCAGGTCAAGAGCATTAATTTTATACCTTACTATGGCCCTTGCTGTTATACATAATCTGGCCTGCTTTACGACGTCAAGCGTTCTTCATGGGAAATCCCTTTCTTTCAATACTTCTTGCGTTTCAATCATTTTTGATACACATGACGGGCCATAACAGTTCAGAAGAGTGCGCCTCATGTATAATAACAGGAAATTTGTGGAACTTGATTCCAGTCGGTGTCCATCAGTACACCCCTTTTCGGTTCTGTGTTTACTTTGGGGATTTGTTAATACTTCGTCTCTGCAGGAATTTCCCATATCGTTCCATATATATTTCTGAACAGGGAAATGAGAAAGGACTGAAGACGGCTAAAGGTCCTTTTTGGGGACTTGCAAAGGGCTTTTCTTTATACACTACTTTTCTTTTCCCGAGAGAGATAGTACCAGGGCTTGTTCATTATAGCATACAATGCCTGCAACATTGATAGACAGGTGTTCTAGTTAGATGGGGGAAAGGTGTTTTGTTTCCTCTTTCATGAGGATATATTGCCAATTGTCTAGAATTATAGAATTGTAATCGTAATTATTCCCATAGGTAGTAGAGCTTCAACCCAGAGTCTCTTTACACTGTGTAGAGTATGCATATATTCAACTATTGGTATATATGACTCCAATCAATAGATATATGCATTTCATGAAAAAATTCTAGGCAGTAATCAATCACAGTGTAAGAATGCCACTAAGCCCACATTAGACTCCCAAAACTATAGCTTCTCGCTCTCCTCCACCAAGTCCTCAACCTTGAAATTCTCCGTATCGCCCTTTGTGAATGATTGCAGCAGCTCGCTCTTCCGTCCATTAGCCTGCCCCCCGAAATCGTAAAACCGCTGCACACAACTAACGAGCCAAGACGCCTCCGAAGTAGACACGCCCCGATCCGGCATAACCTGGCCGTGCATGAGGACAAGACCCTTCTCATCCGCTAAATCAAGATGGTGCGTAATTGTTGTATGTGGTTCTGCGAAGGAGCCGTGGAGTTTATACGCGCCGAGATGCGTGAAGATAATCGTGGAAGTGTGAGTATTAGCGGTCTGCGCGGAAGGAGGAGCTGAGTTGGGCCTAGAGGCTGGGGGATGGAACGCCCATTGCAGAAAGTGAATGTCTGCGCCTGTTGCTGTTGTTGTTTTCTTGGAAGCGTCTTCGCTCTCACTGTTTTCCGTTGACGGGACCTCCGTCTGTCGAGGTAAGGGGAGGATAAACTGTGGGTGTTGTCGTGCGGCGGATACGATGCGCTTATATGTTTCTAGGGGAATACATGCACAAATGGAGTTGGGGTTATTGGCGTGACGGAGACGCCAGAGGGCTTCGATTTCCTTGGGTGGAAGGGTGAGGACCTTTTCCACGTCTAGGTATGAGCTGAGGGGCTTGATGCCGGTACCGTCGCCGGATTTAGCTGGGGCCGATTGAGGACGAGGGGGAGGAGGTGGTGGATGGTGGATTGTTGCTTTCGCTGTTGTAGGGGAAGGAGAAGAAGGCTCGGGAGTTGCAGCTGTTGATGCTTTTTGGCGCAGGTCATTAATCTTATCCTTATATGCCTCTTTTAAAGATTCGATTGAGCCATGGCCCTCCCTTTTATTTGGTATTAGACACTTATACTTGTGAACAAACCAGGCTGAAACCATAATAAAAACAACTCACTGCTTCGCCTTTTGCGCCAGCTTCGACCGGTACTTTTCCAAGACATGACTGGGGTCGTGATGGGTGGCGAGGAAACGGACATCATGAACCTGCGCCCAGCGTCTCTGCTGGGTTCGCAGGAACAGAGAGTGACCACGCAGTAATGATTTAATGACTGGGGACTTTACCGATGACATCTTGGAGAATTGGGGGTTATTCAATCGAAGGATCGGAAAGAGAGGAAATCTGAGATGGAAATGGATTTATCAATCGCGGCTATCCCGAGGTAATTACATTACGGTAATATACGGCCCCATCAGAACTGCACCTTTGGCATATCAAGTAGACCGTACGTATTGCCCTAAATCGAGTTTATTTGGACCTTCGAGTGATGGCTATTACTTTCTTCAGGACAATCATACCTTTTATGATTGAGAACTGCTTGAAACTTCTACGGTACTCTAAGGGGGAAAATTATGATATGTATATATGCAACTAGCAAATTCCAGCTTTCTGGAAGCATTCTAGAGGGGGATCTGACGGATGTATAACTACGTGCATTAATGACTAAGCCAAACAAGCATGAGTTAACTAGGTAATAACTAGTTAACTACTTCATACCACGTGGACTCTCCCTTCTGGATCCGGGCTCGGAGACTACACTCCGTATTGCAGGCTTTCTTTGTCTACAACATGCGCTTTTAGAGATTTGCTCATTCTCCTTTCTATTCTGTTCCCATAGTTCATGGTTGGAGACTTTCATTCGCCTGTCTTGTTAGTTGCTTCGAATCTTCACTCCCTTGACCGATTCTTGGCGATTATCCCGCAACTTGTAATATCGACACGTCTTAAAGCTCCGAACCCGTTATATGACGACTCCATTCCTGGAATGGCGAACCGTCAACTCACTCGACGAATCCTTCTCAGCATATCCTTAGCGATATTTTTCATCTTTATCCTCTTCTCCCGACCCGAAGGCCCTCCGAGCCCCGCCGTTCGTGCTCCCGGGCACATCGATAAGTCTACCCCGAAAGGTCCAATCTCAAAAGAGATGCTCAAGGGGGATGTGGTGATGCCTCATTTAGGAAATGAAACTGCAAAGTATGAATGGATATAGCTCGCTTTGTTTGTTTGTCCTCCAAGTGCTAATCCTGTCCGTCTAAACAGAGCGGAGCTAGGACGTGCGACGTGGACATATTTGCATACAATGATGGCTCGGTATCCCGAAAACCCGACAGAGGAACAGCAGGAGGCATTGCGATCATTTATCTATTTGTTTGCGCGACTCTATCCATGGTAAATCTTGTGTTCTTGTTTACTAATGGAGAGTACGCAAGCTGACCCGGGATTAGCGGCGAATGCGCTGTCCACTTTCAAAAGCATCTCTCAAAATACCCACCTCAAGTCTCTTCGCGAAATGCCGCAGCAGGCTGGGCATGTTTCCTTCATAATGAGGTCAATTCCATGCTCCACAAACCTCAATTCGATTGCAGCAAGATAGGAGACTTCTACGATTGCGGCTGTGAGGGAGAACCTGATGGTGAGACGGAGGACTCGGACTTGAAAGATGGGAACAAGTCAACTGGCCGTGACAACGAGGTAGCCAAAGACGAAAACTTTCCTGTTGAAATTTCGAAGGAGCCGTGAGTGTTTATGATTCCATTTTTAAAGCCCACTTAGGTACTAACTGATTAAACTAGAACTACACGGGGTTGATGGCCTTCAAACTCTCCCATTTACAATCTTAGTCTTTGAAACTTTCTTAATTTGTCGACTATAGATATACCGCCAAGATATTTCCCGCATCCGTGTTGCAACGCTGGATCGTTAACACTCCACTCGAACAGAGCCGGTCTCTCTTATACAGTACAGCGCAGCGCCAGCCATATATTATTTTTATATTTTGTTTAACTAGCATTATTGATACGCCATTATGCATCAAGCTCACGTTAATACAAGCTGAGGATGGTAGAATCGGCGTTGTTGATTCATAGGAATTTTTATTGGGCTAGTTCCTCCTTTCCATTCTCCTCGCACGATCATCCTCCGCATAATGTGAATCGACGCAAATAGCAGCCCATCCTTGTGTCCGAGAGATGCGCAGTCGACTCCTAGCTCGTTAGTATGTATGGAATCACTGATAGAGAACGTCGCTTGCGCCGATTTTCTACTGGCTTAATCGACACATTTTGTTTTTGCAGATGTAGTGTAGTCCAAGCGGTGCAGGATCACTCCATTTCAAGGAGCCTCTTTTCTCTTCGTTTGGGAAATGGATTCTCCTCGAAACCTGGACCTACCGTTCGTTGTTTTCCAAACTAGGTAACAAAATGCACGTGCCATAGTTATATTACATAATCGGATTACCCACCTGCCTATTTCAGCTCAATCTTGGTGGAGTCTAGACGCGCCCAGAAAAAAAAAAAGACCTACAATCCCAAAGAGAAGAAATTGTTTCTCTACGGATAGAGCATTTGCTGTGCTTCATTCCAATACTCAAGCCTCCATCATACCTTTCTGACCTTGCCTTGACGCTGGGTTTCACAAATTGTCATTCACTGACCGCTATCTGAGTGCTGCGACGGCAACGCAGATCTCAAAGCTCCAGATCAACACTGCTAACATTGGGCACGAAGGGCCACTTTTCTAAGTCCTGGCCGGTTGCACGTTCTAATCTAATAAACGTATCGCAACTGCATAGTGCCTTAAATATTCCTTCGTCTAGGTCTAATCGTGCTGTTCCCAGCCCAACGGTCCTACAGATAGCCTGCGTTGGCGCCTGATAACGTGTACCGTCCAGATGGTTTCCTTTTCCTGTGAGGTGAGTTGGATTAGGCAGGCTTTCCCCATATTTCTTTTCAGAAAGCTTCTTCATTGTAGTTAAAATGCTGTGATTGCTGATACCCTTTTTTATTCTAGGGGTGTGGTGATGTTCTCACCAAGAAGAAGCTCGACCCCCATCGCAATCGCTGCAGGGGCGCATCATTCACCTGCATTGATTGCATGACCCATTTTCAAGGGACGCAGTACAGGTCGCATACGGTATGAATTGGTTTTCGGTTTTCTTTTTCTCTCTGGTACTTGGTCATTCGGGCGATAGTAATGTGAGCTGTCTGGGCAATTGATGACTCGAACAGTCTGGCTATGTCTACACTGTTGCCTGTGAGATGCTTTGGATGGAGAATGATCGTGGATGTTGCCATTGAATTATGCTTTTGTTGGTCATTCTTTCGTGGTTTGGACCCGAATGTTTTGCGACTGGACGAAGACTAACAATGGCGGCCCGTTCAACCGGGCTTGTTTTTAATCCCTGTAGTCATGTATGACCGAAGCGCAAAAGTACGAAGGGGCGTTATATAAAGAGAAGCCATCCAAGAACCAGCGTAAAGGCAAGGATGATTCCAAGCAGAACCCGAACACCGTCTCCAACAACGCTGCTCAGCAACAGCCGCGGCCTGCCAAAGACGCTCCTAATGCAGTTGATTCTCAAAGCAACGCCCCTCCGCCTGGGAACACCGGGGAAAATGGTCAACTGCCGGTTAACGTGTTCGACTATCTCGTTACTGGGGACACCCCGAACGCGTCTCGAGTATCACTTTCTAGCGCTAAGGAACCGATGAAAATGGTGGACGATGCACCTTCTTTGTTTGGGGCTAGCAAGGCTCTCGCCCAAGCAGGGAACGAGGGCGATGATGAAGAGAGGCTTGACGATAACGACTACCAGGAGAATGGCTACACATACGGCACAGGCCCCGTTAAACAGTCAACGTACTCGAAGACGTCCAATGTCTCAACGGAATTTTTGACTCCAGCGCCCAAGGAGAAGAAGAGTCATACCAGAATGAAGGGGAAAGAGGATAATCACAAGGCAGAGGGTCTTACCAGCGACAAGAAACGAAAGCGCAATGTGGAAGATGTTGACATGGGTGGAACAGACTCTCGATATGAGGAAGACGCTTCCATGATGGATGCGCCCTCTAGCGTCGTGAATAATCCAGGAACGCCAGTCCTCCATTCTGGACTTACAGGTGGATTGGAGCGCATACTCAGAATACCTTCGCCGGGCGGCGGAGATGAGACTAATGGCGCACACCACCGAGATACCTCATCCCCCATCAAACGCAGCCGTCGCAGTGATAAAGAGAAAAACCGTGCGGAACGCATTGTGTCGACTGTATTTGGCCTACCTGGGTCCCGGAACGAGGTTACCTCCAAGGCACTGATACGCAGTCGTCGAAGCTCCGCCGACGCCAACGAGGGCCGGAAACTCAAGAAGTCACATCGCAGCCACCATGATAACGCCGAAGGCGGTAAAACTTCCCGGAAATCCAGCGAAGGGGATCGTTCATCCCGTCGGTCTAAGCAACTCGAGTACCCGCGCGACTCTGACGCCCATGACGGTGAAATGATCCTTTATCATCACCCCAATGTCGACGAGGAGCAGCAGTACCAACTGGCCAGCGAATTTCTGTCACTGGTGACCAAGGGGCCGGAGAGTGGACGGGGTATGTCCGTCCATAAGACCTTGAAGAGACTCCATGCCCGGCAGAGTCAGGATGTGGACCGCGAGCGACAATTCGAAGAAGATAGGCAGATGTGGCGCGCCTTGAGGTTGAAGCGGAATGAACGGGGTGAAGTTGTCCTTTTTCTGTAGGGGTGTTTTTAGAGCTTGTTCTTATATGTTTGTGGGGAGCTAGGGTTTGTTGCTCTGTTTTATTGTTTTCTTTTCTCTGGTCTTCTTATTCTGATATTTGCATAGCGATATTTGTTCGGTAGGAATATTGAGCTGTGTGTTTTGCAAGGGTCTACGTCTTTTTTGAGTGATATATTATGACTTTCTATAACTTGATCCCATAGCTTAGTATCGTAATTGATTTGCTTCACAATTTCTTCTCTATTTTCAACCCCCCGGTCTGCATGCTTTCTAGAGCATCAAGAAGCCCCTTGGTATATCGCTATCCTTCTATCTCAACTTACTGAAGCAGTGCAAAAGCGAGTCATGACACAAACAGTCAACATAAAATGCAAAAGGAAGACAAACCATCTATGGTATATATCCAACTCCAAATAAAGATAAGTAAAATGAATAAGCAGTACATTTATACTTCCAATTGTCTCCTCTCAGGCAACCGTATCGAGTCCCGAAATTCCGGACTCTCCCTCCCAGACTCCGTAAGTGATTCAAAGCCTTGCTGTCTAGAAACTACCCTCTTCTCTGCCTTCTTGGTAGCCTTCTGCGCCTTCTTTTCTTTCTTCACCCTCTTCTTCTCGGCGCGGGAGAGTCGCGGGAATTCTGAGTCGGGGCCACGCAGGACGCGGCCTGGGTGGAGGACGTTTAGGACGGCGAGGGCAAGGAACATGGGGAGAGTATCGAGGACGTAGGGGTATGCCTCGCTGTCTAGCATTCTGTTAGAGGTTGTGTAGCCGGAGGAATATTCGCAGAGGCGGTAGATGATTCTTATCTTTGGATATATATGAGCATATACACCTTCTTACTCGAAGGAAATAGGACACGTACCGTGATCAAGACCAGATCAATATATAAAGCATAGAACAACCATCTCCACCCCATGGAGGACCGGGACTGGGAATCCTGGAACCGCAAATACAACAGTCCCTGTCTCTCTTGCACGAGGGTCTGTCGATGCTGCAATATCGCCAACCCGGTAAAGCACAGGATGAAAATCTGCTGCAATCCAACCCCGCCCATGTAGATATGTAGGCCCGTCATGATGGTGCTGTTCGGGGCGTCTGTTTGGGACGCCATGACTGCGCCGGTGGCTTGGACGATAAAGGCGACGATGTCAAATAAGACGAATATGGTGGAGAGGCGGACTGCGGAGATTCCTACAAGTTTCTTGGTTTCGGAGAGGAAGTAGACCATGCGGCCGAGGATCATGTACAGGAAGGCATTGATCCCTGGGGATCAACTGATCAGTATGTGCATGTGGATTCAGAGCCTTCAAAAGAAAAAAACGAGAGAGAATAAAACGTACAAAGAGGGGCAAGGAGCATCAGCAAGAAATTGCTTGTGTAGTAGTTCTCATTGTTCTGGTGCTTTGAGAGGAAGACACGAAGGATTAAAGCTGCAAGTTCCCAGATAGATGCCATGATGATGACCCAGCAGAATCTCTGTTGGGCAGTTAGTCAGGTCAATTGATAAGAGCTGATATGTAGAACATGAAGCAGGATATACCTTTTTATAAATGAAGGCTTGCACAATATGCACGCCCGTGATCAAGCCAAACAGGACGGTGAAGAGAACAGCTGCTCCGAAAGAGAGTACATAGTTTTGCAGGGCATCGCAGGAGTATGGAGGCAGATAGCCATCCTTGCCGGGTTTCATATTAGGTATGCATGTCTCAGTGGATGAAGCTGTTGCTGTCGTGGTTGAGAGTGTCGAGGTGGATGTCGGGATGGTTGTGGTCGGATCAGACATGTTGGTGAAATAGCACTATGAAACTGAAAGGAATGCGCTTCAATTGACTCCAGAACAGACTAGGAAGAAACAATGGAGAGTTTCTTTGCGTTGAATCGGTCTGGTTGATACTGATCCATGGAGGACAGCAGATAAGATGGTGGTTTATATACACCACTCACCCCCACCTCGAGCATCATCCGCATCTTACAGTCTTGCGTCTGGAGCCGATTGCAAATGAAGAATTGCCCTATCAGACGGAAATAAAAGAGGGATGCCTAGCAGGAGGTCCTAGTCAACGCTAAAGATGTATTCTGCGGCACCACCAGGAGAGTTAGAGGATTCGAGCGATGATGCCGCAGGCACCTTCGTTCATTTTCCATGCATCCGGAGGCTGTTATTATGGGCTGGTTTATAAATAGGCAGAGGAAGAGTGCAAGGGCTGGAGAAGAATAAGCTGCAGGTGCGGCTGATATATTTTTAGCCTCGTAAATGTCAGCTTAATTTAAGAGAGGCAGCAGCTTTAACCCTTTTCATTACGATGCTTGATTTTTCCTGGATGATTGACGGTATTTCTGTTGCCTGGATTGAACGGTGTCTGCTGCCGTTGGAACTGCACCTTGTCTCCTGCTATGTATGCTCCCATATAGACTTGATTTTCTATAGCTCCCGATACATTGCTCCATCGGGAGTTGTTCTCTTTGCTTATGGTAGTTCCGGGTGGGCGCTGGCTTGCTGGCGTTAAACAGACTGTCATTGCTGGCTGAGAGGCCACGTTTATCCATATCCAAAATCCATCTTGAAGGTGTAGATTCTTCGCTATTTGATAATTTCCGATAATTGGCGACTTTCTGAGTTCTTGAAACTGTTTCTCTGATCCGCCGTCTAAGAGTTGTCTGTGGGATATCAGAGGCTAAAGCTGCTGTGTTTCGGGGGTTAAAATGACCCTTTTTTTAAGACAGCTAATGCCCACTGAACTCGGCTTTCCTTTGATTCAATATCCATGGTGTAGGAGTGGTAAAACTCAATAAAATAGTGGTAGGTGGTAAGGGGTGGAATTCGTAGAATCCAGAGCCACTGGGTGGTGGATTGCGTTAATCCCAGGGGATGGGTCGTCACAACAGGATGAGCATCAAAATGGAACGAGAAGGCCCTTCAATGCGTCAAGAAAAAAAAAAGTACATATGTAGCAAGGTCCTTGATCTGAGCTATTGTTGAACAAGGATGAACAGTGTACCTGAAAAAGCCAATTCTGCTGCATTCGGAGGACCCTTGGAGTGCATAGAGTAGCCAGCCTATAATAATGTCACTCTTCGCAGTTCCATTGTTTATTAGATTCTCCAGTCTCTTCAAGCTGTCACTGTCTATATTGAAGCACACAGTGTCATACAGCTGCGTAGCGCTGGTTAACCCAGTGAGTCAGGATGAGTCAGTCCAAAGCTGTGCCTCCACAGGCAGCTCAACGCCAACGCCACACTTCTTCCGCCCGCAAGATTAAATTGAAACGATCCGCCACCAGTTCCATCCTGCTCTATCCAGTTCGCTTCTCCCACGAGACCATTTTTCTTCCTCTTCCACCCCGGCTTGTGCCTTTCTCTCTTCCTTCTGCGGCCAGCAGTTCGAAAGGAATTGAGAGTGGTGTCTTCCGACCAGGTTCAGAAACCCTCAATCCCCCGCCCGCGATAGGAAAGAAGCTCGACAAGCAACCCCTCATATCGGGGCTTTGCCCCTGAACTTCAAAAATTTATTTCGACAGATCCACAAGTCTACTGTCCGCTTCTGTGGCATGAGTTCACCGCTGACTTGCACGTTGGGAGTTCTCGAAACCATGTCCGGTCCTGCAAGCACACAATTAGACAGTACACCGCGCCCCCGGCCGTCGAGACGGGGAGGAGGAAGAGGTCGCGGTCAGCGTCGAGGTCATCGTGCACCTGTATCCAGATCTACAGACGCCCAGACATCGTCCTCTTCAGATGCACAGTCGGCACAAACACAACCTCCAACGCAGCACGGTGAGACAGCCACGTCGAATACGCCACGAGATACTCCTCGATCACGAAGAGGCCATCGGGGAGGCAGAGGTGGACCTAATCGTGCAGGGGCCAGAGGTCACACACGCGGAGCTGTTGCGCGACAATCCGGTGCCGGAGGGCGGGCATTTGAAGGCCGGCTCACGCGGCCAGAACGTGCCCCAGAGGATGATGTACACGGTGAAGAGGATGACATGGGAGATCAGGGACTAAGGGCTGATGCTCCTGAGTTTTTACCGGGATCGCAACCAGATGGAGACCCAAACATGAAGGTGAAAACACGACCAAGGGCAGAGCGACCTAGATCACCTAAAGTCGCAACGAAGTCGACCGCACCGGATATCGCGACTCGTATCCACGAAGATATCGCCAATCATCTGTACGAGTGTCCGATTTGCACAAGCGAACTAGGTCGGAGGTCACGGATTTGGTCCTGTAAACTCTGCTGGACCGTCTTCCATCTGAGTTGTATCAAGAAATGGTCGAAGAACGAAGGATCAGCGGCCCAGGGCCCGCGCCGGGAAGGGGAAGAAGGGACCAACTCACCTCGCGCATGGCGCTGTCCCGGCTGCAATTTGGCACAGGAGATGTTTCCCTCGACATATACCTGCTGGTGTGAGAAGGAAGCTGATCCGCGCTCCCTCCCTGGTCTTCCTCCGCATTCCTGTGGGCAGACCTGTTCCCGACCTCGCAAGGACTGCCCGCACCCATGCAATTCGACGTGTCACGCCGGTCCCTGTGCCCCATGTACTGCCATGGGGCCTACACAGGACTGCTTCTGTGGCAGGAATTCGTCTGCGAAGCGATGCCAAGATACGGATTACGAGCATGGATGGAGTTGTGGTGAGATCTGCGGAGATCTGCTACCTTGTGGCGAGCATACTTGTCCACGGCCATGCCATGAGGGTCTCTGCGGAGCGTGTGAGGTCATTGTCGAATCCAAGTGCTATTGCGGGAAGGTAGAAACAAGTATGTTGTGCAGTGCCAGGGATGAAGAGATGGAAAGCCAGAAGCTTCTTGATGGCGAACTACAGGAATGGACTGGATCTTTCAGTTGCGACGAAATCTGCAATCGCCCGTTTGACTGTGGACGGCATTTCTGTCAGAAGAACTGCCACCCTCAGGATGCGCAACCAGCACATTGCCCAAAATCTCCCGATGTGGTTCTGCATTGTCCTTGTGGGAAAACGCCATTGACCAACATTCCAGGCTTCTCGCCACGAACGTCTTGCGAGGATCCTATACGCAACTGTTCGGAACCATGTGGCAAAACCCTGCGATGTGGGCATCCATGCCAAAGGATCTGTCACACTGGTCCATGTGGATACTGTATGCGCAAGGTTGAAATCAATTGCCGTTGCGGTCGTAACACTTTCACGACTATTTGCCATCAGGGCGTTTATGAACCTCCAATGTGCTTCCGTATATGCAAATCGGCGTTGCATTGTGGCCGACATGCATGCGCTGAACGGTGTTGTCCTGGAGAGCAGAAGGCAATTGAACGCCAGGCGATGCGGCGCAAACTGAAATCGCATCTCCGCCCCAGCGACGAAGATATCGAGGCCGAGCATATCTGTACAAGGGTCTGCGGTCGGATGCTGAAATGTGGCCGACACACATGCCCGGAATTATGTCACAAAGGGTCCTGCAACACCTGCAGGGAAGCGATATTTGAGGAGATCTCATGTAATTGTGGGAGAACAATCTTGTATCCTCCCTTGCCCTGTGGGACACAGCCGCCGCCATGCTCGTTCCCTTGCGAGCGACCTAAGGCGTGCGGCCATCCTCAAACAGCACACAATTGCCATACGGACGAGGAGAACTGCCCCAAGTGTCCATTCCTAACAGAGAAGATGTGTCTTTGCGGCAAGCGGCTGTTGAAGAATCAGCCTTGCTGGCTGACAGATGCACGATGTGGCCAGGTCTGTGGTAAACCACTGAAGTGCGGTTCTCATACCTGCCAGAAGAACTGCCATCGACCGGGTGATTGTGAGGATGCTTCTGCACTTTGCAAGCAACCGTGCGGAAAGACCAAGACGCTCTGTGGCCACCCATGCACCGAGCCGTGCCATGCCCCGTACCCGTGCCCTGAGAAGTCACCTTGTTCGTCCACTATCTCGGTGACGTGCAGTTGCGGACGGCTCCGGCAGGAGAAACTTTGCAACGCCGCCAAAGCTGTAGTCTCGAAGGGACAACTGCATCATCCACAACGATTGCCTTCGCTGACACCCTTAGCCTGTGACGACGAATGTGTACGTCTCGAGCGAAACCGTTCATTGGCATCTGCGCTAGGAGTCGACATCGACCCGTCGTCTACGACCAGCATTCCTCAGAACGGCACATCTGCCGCGACAACTATTCCCTACTCTTCGGACACCCTCGACATGTATATCCAACTCGCTTCATCTTCTCCACTGTCGACTCTGCAAACATACGAGTCTACTCTGCACTCTCTTGCGACCAGTACAACTCAACGGTCCGTCCGTTTCCAACCCGCAAAGCGAGCTCTTCGAGCCTTTGCCCATTCACTCGCAGCGGATTGGGGTTTCGCAAGCGAAAGCTTCGACCCAGAACCCCATCGTCATGTATTCGTTCTGAAACCTACATCCTGGAACCCACCACGACCGGTTACCGGCACTGCTATTGGAATTGGAGGTATGAGTGTCGGCAACTGTGTGAAACTCCGCGAACGACAAAGAATAAAGGAACGAGAGGCCCAACGGATCGCTGCCGCAGATGCTAAAGCGGCGAGAGATGCAGCGAAAGCAAACAAAAACGGCACTGCAACAGACGGTGGCTGGGCACAAGTGGCTTCACGCCGAAAATCCCCTATCCCCACGAGCGTGGGCAATGCCGTATCCAATCCCTTTACGGGGTCCATATACGGTGCGCTTGCTGCAGTTGACCAAGGCCAGGGCGCAAAGAAGGAGCGTTTAATTCTGAGGTCTGGAGTCGGAGCTGCAAAGCAACTGAAGAGTCAGAACACAGCGGGAGTTGCGGATAACTGGGAGGAAGAGGAAGAAAAGGAGGAGCAAGAAGAAAAGAGACAGAGACAAACAGACTGTCGGGAGCTGGAATCTGTGGAACCGGGGTTGAACGAAGAGGATAACATTTTGTGAACTGAAGCAGAAGTGGAACTGAGGCCCGAGGTTTCTTGATATTACATCCAGCTTTGACTGTGATGTCTGCCTCACGGGTACACCTTATGTTTTTATACTTAATTTCCTGTGGTTGTTTCTTGAAAGCACGGCGTTCCCGGAAAATGGGTAGAGGAAAATGGGTCCAGCACTTAGACACATGGCGTTAGATATATGTTTGAACGAATGAATAATGCATGTGGAAAAGCACTGTGCTGCTGATGAGCGAGACGCAAGTCCTGCAATCCGATAGAACTCAATCAGTTCTCTTGGCCATTGCCATAATGGTTATCTTATCTGATCATCTCTCAGCCCTAATATGAATAATTGTTAGATCACATGAGATTCTGCCGCTTAGGTCCGCCCTCGCTGCCCCTTACCACCACTTCGGCCTAGCTAGTAGTTACCAATAATAATATATGCCTCCATTAACTAACTAGTAGTTAGTTAGTTAACTATTTCGGACAGGCCGATTATCCAATGATCCAGCCTCGGGATCTGGAATATGTATATTCCGGGAGGTGAGGTGCCTACACCTGGGTTCCCCGAATCCTGCATACGGGAAGAAGAGCTTCACAATGTACTTGAGACGGCAGTATATTGATATAGACCGTTCTCCACGAATCACACGAATCCTACTGTTTCATTTAGTATTTAATATCCGGACGCCGCACCCCTGATCCACTTCAGCACACAACTAGAAGTATACCTCTCTCACATCGATTATTGTCTCCTATAACATAAATGTCAGTCCTCGCTTGCTTTAAGAAAGTAGCTTACCACAAATCTACCATGTTGTCGTGCGCGGGGAGGAAAATCGGAGCCCCTCCGGAACAGATGACCAATCCAGACCCTAATGGAGGTATATCGTTGGTTGGTTACTAGCTAGATAGGCCTACGTGGTGAAAATTCGTCCTACAGCTATTTCCCATTACTTCAAAGCTTCAAGATATCATCTTCACACCAACAAAGCGCATTAGATATTCCATCCAAGCAAAGTTGTGAGAGGTCCTGGATTTCGCAGTGCCCCCGGCACAGTGGCCGACTTATTACGTTAACTAACATGCCAACGCGCTAGGTGGGTCCAATATAAGCACCTGCGCCCCGCACGGAAAGTTAAAATAACCTTATTAACTTTATTTCTATTCCATCTAGAAAACTACACATTGAACGGAGACCTCTAACCGAACAACCTAGAAGTGATGATGCTCATGACCATGCTGTGCCGGGGGCAGTGAAGCAACCTAGAAACCAAAAGAATGCTCAATTTCTCGTAACTATCTGGGAGGGAACCCTCCATTAAGTACTCGCCGGCCGCGGGCTCCACCATACATTAGTATGTCGGAGACCGCGGCTCTACGGTGTTCTAAGATAGGAAATATGGGAGATCCGGGGTTTTGCAGTAGTATCGTTATCATTGTATAGAACGGAGTGAGGCTCCTTCGTCGTTGTGTTTCCTTTTATCGTTATATCGTTTTCTTGCTAAGATCGTTCGGTGCCGCGTGGTATAGCGGCATCGCCTTGGTATATCCATTCCTAGGATCCCTCGATCACAACCCGGTTCCTGCCGCAGGGAACAACGCACGTACGCCCCCCTTTACACTGGCAGTTTGAAGTCTCAAATAATGGCTGGACTACTGATGAGATTGGCTTATGTTGGCTACAAAAGCTATTTATCCCATCAATGAATTCACATGTACGCGGTTGGTTTCAGCTACTGATTCTTGACAGCCATAGGAGCCACTTTACACCCTAATTTAACTGAATCTGCACAGAGAATGATATTATTCCTCTTTGTATGCCTCTATATTCTTCACATTTACTACAACTGCTTGATGTTGGGTGCTTTGCAGTGCTTAAGCGCGCGTATGGTCACTTCATAAGTGATCTCGCGCGTAGAGGATATAACCATATTGATAAGTTTGATTTCTTGGATGACTACCAATATGCACAGATAGAGGCCCTCCAACAACCAGCTATTATTCAGAATAGCTTCACAGCTAGTGGCCTAGTACCAGTTAATGCAGAAAGAGTGCTTTCAAAGCTTAATATCTCTCTATGAACGCCTACATCACCAAGCAGCCATATAGAGATTTACAATTTGCCAACTATTGGCTCAGGGTAGCACCATGTGTAATATATGGGGATAGTTGGGTTAAGCGGAAAAAGAGAATCGATGTCTAGTCTGTGGCAATAAGCATGATGCGGTGTTAAAATCTAGATCATGAGTAAATTCCCAGCAGGCAATATTTTGAACCACATGATATGTCTTGTAAGGGCAGTGTATTGTACGAATGCCCCTTTGTATTATTGAGGTGTTTATTTTGGTATGGAAATATTTGCCTGATGGTGAAATGATTAATTACTATCAGATCCCGCAGGAAATTGCGGGGATATCTCATTATCATAAGGGCCAGCGAAATATACAGTGGGGTAATAACAGTTGCACGTTTCTTACGTTCACAATTATCATACGGCTAAATTCATTTCGCTTGCCCCACTGCTGTCCATAAACATCAGCGTCAGATACGCTCACGGCTCTTACACCGTGGAAATACACCAGCTCGCTGTGTCTAATTAAAACTCACCGATGGCGCGTCTATTTATAGGGGCACAGAGCTACTGACTCTGTTCTAGACCGTTTATATTTCTATCCTGTCATTGGGTGATGTCAACGCTTTCGAGAAATTGATGGTCCAATCTCGGGCTGAGATAGCAGGGCTAGCCGCACCGTAAGGGATGGTTGCGGCCCTATCTGGCTCGAGCTTTCAGATTGACCACCATTTCCACACGGTCTTTTGGATGGCCTAGCCTCTGCCATTCTCTTGGATGCGCTTTTCAACGTTTGTGATCGTGCATAAGGCGCTTCAAGCTGCATGTTATGGACTAACCAAATATGGAAGGTGATAAAGACAAGTAAGCAGGGTGAAACTGCGGCTCAGCAGCATGACCAAGAAAATTGCACGTGATCTTGAACAGCTTGGGAACCTGAGTAATGCAGAGGCACCAGGGGGATGCAGCAACACAGGAGTGATTGGGCTGTTGAATATCCCGGTGGCTGTGATGTTCCGATAGGGGTGTGGGTCTGTGCTATATGTATATAAGCAGTCTACCTGCCCCTCTTAGAACATAATAAGAACTTCATACCCTCTGAACCTATTTCAACAGAGGGCACTGACGGGGTGCGGCTCCACCACTAGAGAACAACGGCACTACGGGAACTTTGCTAAGCGTGCCGAACATTCTCCTCGTGAGAAATATTTCCGGAGGCTCATCTTCCGCAAAAAGAGACGAAGAGCAAGGCCAATATGACATCCAGTGACTTCTAACGCATATATCATATAGCTCTAGAAAATCCGCAAATTGGTAGAAAAAATATGGTTAAACCAAAATCATTTGTGATCGTATCCGCCACCTTGGACACAGAATGAGGGAAGGGGGAGAAAAGGAATTCCGATAGCTGGGAGGAGGCGTGCTTGAACCAAAGAAGCCTAAATTTCATAGTTCCCCCCTGGGGCTATTTAACTTCACCTCCGCTAAGTTTGTCGAAGATGTAGGTATGCAAGAAGAAAAGCTAGCTGGAAGCCTGAAACCTTGTCCATACCGTTCCCTGAATTCTGAAGTACGTTCGCTTTCCACTCCATTAACCGGATCGGAATGGGTATTGGCTGGCAAAGGTGGTCCCTCTTTTGCAGGATACTGCAAGTTAATACTTGTCATGTCCCTTGATATCTGCTGGAGTGAGGCATCACTTAGATGGCCTGCAACCTGCCTCGTTCTCCATCCAAGCCCTCGATTTTTACCATGGATAGTCTTCTTCCCAGTCGACACCATGAATTGCACCGCGTCGCCAGTTCCGTAATTTTCAACTTTGCTGATGTTCTCCTTTAAATGGTTGTCTGCTCTGGAGCAAATATCTATGCACTGGCGGACTGTCTCCCATTCATCGCGCAATCTTGCGAGCTCCGTAAACTCCGCCTCATTTGTCATAGCCCTCCTTGATTTTGACAACAATCGGTTCATTATATCTTGCATATGCCTTTCCAACTTTGCGGTCGTACGAGTAATACTTGTCTTGCACTCTTCCAGACCCTCATTGGTGAGTCTTTCGGATAAGGCATCTGGAGTATCTGCTTCGGCGGAGTCGCTACTGCGCTGGGTCACGAGCTGAATCTGATTAATATGGTCGGACAACTGGGCGCAGATCTGGAGACATTTTTCCGTGCTCAGCCGCTCTTCCTTTAGAAGTTGCATTTCCGAAGTATCCGAGTCAGTGTTTGCCGCAGTCTGTGCGAATAGAAGTTCAATCTTTCCATCAATGCTCTCCAGATGAGCCTCGAGGTCAGATTTTGCGGTTTCGATGAGATCTTTGTGGACTTCGAGGCTTTCAGCGGTGAGGGCAGATTGACGGCTGGCTGGATTATTAACCAAAGACAAGCATACGTCGAGGAGGCTATTGCAGTCTTACAGGTTTGCATCAGCGAGAGCAATGTTAATAGTTGATTTATACCCGGCTAGTAATCGCCTGAAACCATCGATGTCGTCACTCATGTACCTTAACTTAGCCCAGTCTCGAAAACTCGTCCGATTGCCACCGGACCGCGACGAACACTTTATCAGTTCCTCCTCGAACTCTTTGCAGGCGTTTCCACATCGCAGTAAGGGAAGTTCAGGTGCAGAGAGGTCCACATCAGCGGTAGAATTGACTAGATCCGTAAGGGGAGCTAGAACCCCGCATAAAGCCTCAAGCTCTTCTATTAGGTCCCGTACGCGTTTCGGATGAGAATGAAAACTCTTGACCGTTTCATACAGTGCGATTCCAGATTGAAGGGCAAAAGTAGCCAGGGCGAGCAGTCCAGAAGCCATACCAATAGGCTCTGCCATTTTGTCGATCACTCCTACTGCGAGGTATGTATAAGATAGCAGGAATGAAGTGAAAAGGTGATGCTTGCGGAAGACAGTTGCGGGATTAATCTGGGTTTAATATGCATCAGATGATCCGGACGGCGACCATCAATCATGCACGGGCGTAAGTATCCGTTTAACAGGTCGGTCCGAATGCCAATGAATTAACCTGCAGGCGTGCTTTTGTGACAGAAATTCGACAGACTCTTGGAATGGAACGAGACGATTTGATGTCGCTCGGTAGATGAGGCGGGGTCAGCGGCTAACTGTCGAATGGCGTTGGCCCACATGCACGACAGGGGTATACGCACGTTTCCCCTTCATACGCACACTTACATATACCTCTACGCGTATCTTCAGGCGCACGTAGTCATGCTAGTTCGTATCCGCGCATACCCAAACAGTGCCAGCCTAACCTGCGCGGCCCCGGTAACCGCAGGTCTCACAATTCGTAAGAATGGAGATTGTAGCACACAGATGCTGCTCTATCAACGAGGACCACCACCGGCAATTAGAAAAGCCCAAGTTATGTGAGGAATTCCAAAGGCTGTCTAAGACATCTTGTCATGTCTATATTATTTACAGCCATCATTGTGTCGTGTAAACCATATCATGTCTTTAATAGCCGGCTCCAGATCCAGTCCCATCTTCACAGCTTTGCCATCTTCAAACACAAATTCCGCATCAACCGGGTCGTCTGTAAGTTCGATATCGTCCTTCAAATGTGCAATGTACTTAGTCTGATCCTTAACATGCTCGAATGTCATAGTGAAACCCATCGAACGATCCGTGGCATCGATGAAAAGCCGGTCGTCTTTAATTTGGACCATCATGGTGTGATAGCCTGCGTTCCAGTATCTGCCCACATAGGCTTCTGGAGGCGTTTCCTGAGGCGGAAGCGATCTGTCGCGCTTCTTTAGCTTTCCTCCCTGCTTCTTTTGCCTTTGTGGCTGCTGTGTTCCCTTGTTCTTCTCTTTCTTAGCCGTTTTTTTAGTCTGGCCATCGTTCGAGGTATGGCCTTGTGGCTCATCCTTGGGTTCAGCTTGGGCGTCTTCCGATGGTTGCTCTTTGGATAGCCCTGGATATCGATCTTTGAGCTGATGCTCTTTCTGGTCCTGGTGCGGCACCTTGGTTTGAATTGCAAGGTCCTTCTTCGGCTCAATGTCTCTTCGTTTATTGTTGTTTTGTGACGGACGTTCTTCAATAGGGACTCCAAGAACCTCGTCCATCAGCGCCCTCATGATCGCCGTGGCTGCACCGCCAGCTCCAGCGGAATTCCCTAAAACGACGGCACCAAAGTTCGAGTTAGGCATGAACATGAAACGACTCGAAAAACCCGGAATGCTACCATCGTGGCCGATAACCATATTCCCACGATAGAAGTACATCTCCATACCAGCGGTATAAATAGCTGGCGTGGTATGTGCCTTCAATCTCCTCGCATTCGGGTTCACGATAGAGCGCATCTTGGTAAGACCTTGGTAAACCCTGTCATTGATGGGACCTTCATGATATAGCAACGCTTTAACCCATTTGATGAGATCCTTTGCACTTGAAATGACGGAACCCGCTCCTTGACCTTCGGGGCAGTTCTGGGGATGGAATCCGCGCCACGCGTTGTTTTCCCAGATGTAACCCTTTGCCATTCGATCCCCCCAGCCCTTGGCGTGAGCGCTTGCGGGCTGCAGTGTTGTTGAGTTCATATTAAGTGGCGCAAAGATGCGCTCATCCAAGAAATCAGAGAAGCTTTTCTTGGACGTCTCCTCGACAAGATGTGTGGCCACGGTAAACATCTGGTTGCAGTATAGGTATCGTGAGCGCAGAGGGGCGGCAACTTTGAGGTTTCGGAGGTTCCTTGTGATGGACCTGGCGTTATCTGGGTGAGTTGCATTAGAGCCCATGTAGGAACTGTCATGGCTGTTCGTCCAATTAGATCGTGTGATTGAATAAAAATAGAAATGAAAATAAATAAGATCATATTCACCTAGCCATACCTGTTCTGTGACTCAGAATGTCTTCAACAGTGACATCGTCAGTATAACTCTTCTCTGGCATGACAAAATCGTCCGGCAGGAGATCAGACATCAGCGCGTCGTATTGTACTTCGGGGTGCTTCTTGTCATCCACGAGCAACGCCACAGAGGCAGCAGTCAGAGATTTCGAACATGAGGCGATATCAAAAAGCGTGTCTCCAGTACAAGACGTGTTGTCTTCGTAATTGGCCATTCCATAGCCTTTCGAGGCAATCTCATTATTGTGGACGATAGCAATGGACAGACCAGGGATGTGATTCTGCCTCTGCAGGTCCGTCACAAGGGACATGAAGGTGACAGACTCGAGGAATTCCATGCTGGCAGAATCTTCTCGTATTTATAATACAAATATCCGTTGATGATGAGGAGTCAGCCTCGCGGGAGACTGCTAATATCGTCAAGTGCGGGGATTGTTACAAGTTCGGTGGACAGGGCGGTAAGTGGAGACCCCAAATTAGCGTTTTGGGAACATTTATCCCCTAACCGTTCCTAAATTATACACACCTTGCCATCCTAACTGGTGGGTGGTTAAAGCGGACTTGAGCTATTGCTTTGAAGCAAAATACTGTTCCCACGCCAAAACCCGACGCTGGGCATGGACTGGGCTTATATAATGAATATGATCTCAACGATTGTGACATGGATGTAACCATATGGAGGTACAAGACGTCTGTGTATAGGAATATGTTGGCATGAAGATCCCCACTCGACTTGATGTGTTCAATTAGGCAAACTAAGTGGCTGGAGAGTTTTGTGTAGGTATCTTGGGTAAACCTAGAAGTTTGGTGTTGACCTTCCGGATTATATAAGCAATTAGATAGCTTTGTACGGCGGTTTATACGTGCAAAAAATGTCAATCTTTACTACCCGTGCCAAGCGCATCCACGTCTCTTACATTATGCGCTTGGCACGGGTACATTTCGGGTGGTTGCAGCTCGGCTTGGGTCGTTTTTTAGGTCCGGCGAGTCGTTCCTGCTTAGTAGTTAAAAATACCGTCATGTGACTCTCGCGTAAGCTGATACGCACTATGGAATTAATTTCAACTCGCTCCAAACAAATCACCGACTGATGGGAGTTCATTCTGATGCTTATATAATAATGGGTTGCTAACTAACAGATTTCTAACCTCTTAATGTAATTGGTATAGTAAGGAGAGAAAGATGAAGAAATTATATGGTATTCAAGGAGGTCGTGTGAGTCGTTATTGATGACTAATGTTTTGCGGTCACGTGCGACTACGCGAGACGTTCGGATACGCGCGAGTATTCTGACGAACGGCAAGCGGGGCGCCAGAAACGGCTCCCATTGCTGGGCTTCCTGCCGCCGCGGACCGCTTGCCCACGGTCATCCTATTACCCGGAATGGCATAGCGCTTACCACTTTCAGCCTAGCTCCCTCTTCGCTCCCGTCTTGCCGCTTTTGCCCGTCCGCTCGCTGCCCCAACACCATCTATATAACCCCGACCCTTCCCCTTCGACCGGCCACGCACTTTCTCTTCTCAATTTACCCCTCCCATTTCGCCCGGCTGTTCACTGCCCCTTTCCCTGCATGCCGCGTTATCCGACGATTGCGCAGATTGGGTAAAGCACCCTGGCTGCCGTCCTCCTTTCATTTCCCGTTGCCTGGCCTGTACGGAGTCGCCGACATGCCAACGGGCTCATTCGGTGGGTTCAGTCTCCCAGTCTTAAGCCATTCTCCGCTGACGTTGAATTCATGGTATACAGCTTTAGGTGATGTCTTGCTTTGTCGGCGAGCCCGAGTCTGTCATTTTCACTTGGAAATGCGGTTGCTTGAACTCTGGCGGTGGTAAACTTTTTGGGCCTTCTTTGCCTTCTCTGACTGCTTACCCACCTCTCTGTTCCATGACGGTCGCCACTGATGCAGACCGAGAAATGCCTCGTCTGCCTTGGTTTGCCTCCGGCGCCGGCCGCGAAGGGTGGCACCCGGTCTCCACTCCCAGATTGGGAAGGATTCGACCACTTGCATCAGTCACTGGCTCGACTTCCGGAGCATCTTCCCATATTCCTTAGGTCTGCGAGTGGCTGACTAATTAGAGATTTCTCCATGTCTCTATTTCTGGTTGGGGTTTAGGCAGCAATCCTTATGCCTGACTTTCCTCGGACCATGTCATTGTCGGGATATGATTTATTTTTCCATTATGACGAGAGAGCCGCTGTAGTGGCCAGTAATTTCTTCCATTAGAAAGTCTTGCATTTGTTGTTCTCTCTAACTCAATGGGGAGGTTACGGTAACGCTTTACCTTAGGAACCTCTTTCACCGAGCACGCTACTTGTCGGACTGAACACACGTAGGCAAGCAACTACAAGAACCCTGTGCTGAGGCAAATTCGTAGACTGTCCATCAAAACTTCATACTCTAAACGTGAAGATGTTATGTTTAATCAAGTTCAGATCACCTCAGTGGTGTCCAGCCTTCGTCGATAGTGTTAATCATAGACGGTGTCTTCTCTCCACTGACTGAAGCAGCTCCACGATCTCTTGATGGTTGTTCAATGCAGCCCAGTCCATCGCACTTCGGTTCGTGGCATCTTTGATACCAACGTCCGCACCTTGATCGATCAGATAGCGCACAACATCCGCCTTGCCTAACTCCGCTGCCTTATGTAAAGCGGTTCCCAAGCCCATAAAATAGTATAGTCTCCATGAAGAATAGTGTTTCTCGTACATCTTTGAATTCAAAGGAGCACCTCTCTTGAGTAGCATATCCAGCACCTCGATGGTATCCATTCGACGTTCAACAGCATGGTGAAGCAGTTGCCCTTTGTGAACGTCCCCTCCACGGTCCAGAAGCAGTTTGACGGTGGGGAGCGAGGCTTGTTCTACCGCGTAGGACAATGGTGTAAGATCAATAGAACACTGCTTGTTCGGGTCGGCTCCGTGATCAAGAAGCCAAAGAGTCATCTCGTCGTCGTCAACGGCATAACTAGGATAATACTGCGAGTAAGTAGTGAAGTTTGAAAAGCCATACAATGACTTACCCGAGCGCAGGGGGCCTCAATTCGCTTGTCGGTTGGTTGATATCCCATCCATGTTGTAGTAGGATGTTAAGAACGTCCTTTGATTTATGTCTTATCGCTTCTAGAGCATAATCTTGGCTCATTGTCAACCCCTGCTGCAATAATTCAGCAACAACATCCTTCTGATCCTGTCTGATAGCCTGGATCATCACTGAGTCGAGATCATGTATATCTAGATTGAGAGAAGTCCAAGTGTCGAAAATTGACTTGAATCTTGGAAGGTCGCGGACGGCGCAGGCAGCCTCCATTTCGCGGATTATCTCCAGAGATGTTTGACGCGGAACGAGAGGCAAGCCACTCCGATGCTCTTCTTTGGGAGAAGTCGTAGACATGACAATAGAAAGAAGGCAAGGGACAGGAATGTCTGTAGCTAGCGGTGGCGTGAATGTGCACAATCCCAAGCTGGGCGACAGCATTCCTAAATATAGGCAAACTGTGGGGGTGTGTCAACTCTCGGCAGGATCACGGACTATTTTAGAGACACGCATAACCCATACTGAGCCTTGCATATTTCCTCATAAACCCCCCATAAACTCCCCATAATCTCCCCATAGACTCCCATAAACTACTCATAAAATCGCACGTCCCATGACCATTCCAGCGCTTAATTCTGTTCCGGCCATACATGTTCCAATGGGAATGATCTAAACTCCCATGATTTTCTCTTTGATTACCTGATAAGTGCACACATTCATGTATTCACATCGCCGCCTGGTCGATCAGGGATCATGAGTGGTATATCAGCCCTTTAACTGGGCGCGACAGAATCCCTCTAATATCAGTGGGCGGCTACTCGTAAGCGTGAGGGTTAAAAGGCGACACTACCTTCCTTCAGTTACTCTCCATGCTGTCCAAAATTTTCAAAGTTTACACATACAGTTTAAGAATACACCATCCTTCCTATCTTTGTTCACAGTCCCAGTTTCCAAAACATGTCGGTTGCACCTGCGTCTGGGCTCCTTGCACAGTGGGAACGAGCGCGTCAAGTTGTTGTCGTACCTATGGGTGGAGTTCAATTTGTTGCTTTCCAACAAACACCCGCAATTGGCACCAGGGATTTAGGATCATGTTCAGTCGTCGTAATTGCATCAAAATATGGTGCGATTCTCACGCATATTCCTCCCTTACCGGCACAACCTTCAGCGGATCCTTATGCGGGGGACAATAATGTCCGATCGATGATGGGGCAAGTCAAGAGTCTTCACGCCTACTACAAAAGCTTGAACTATTTCCCTGAGGCCGGAACATCCATTATCTGTGCCCAATTCAGGGGAGCCGTAGCGCTGCCGGACCAACTACAAATCATGCAACAGTCCCTTCGCGAGTTGGGCTACGCACCATTTGTTCGCACTTACGATGTCCCGGGTAACCGCACTCTCCCGGGACAAGGCACTGTCATCGTCATTTCAAACGCAAGTAGCGGAAATCCGGTCATATATGTGGAAGATCGCGCGATTTGAACCAAGTTTGGCGATAATTGCTACAGGAAACCGGGGTGCCACATCATTCGACGCGGAAGAACAGCGAGAAGACACTGGCTGAGCCTGTGACGATCAGCTATAATAGGATGAGAAGAGGAAAGCAACTCGCTATTTGGCCGTACTGTCTAGGAATATCGTACACGAGGAGAAGAAGAAGGAAAGAGGCAAGGGCAGCTGCCTGCCCTCAGCCCTAGCCCTGTGCCCTACTTGCTCAATCTCCTGGCACCTAAGACGTGCCAGGGTCACACGCTGACGGTCATACCTCAGGTACGGTCGTCACAGAGCCTACCTGGGTTGAGAGAGGAAGGCCATGTATGTGGGATATGCAACTGGTGCTTCTCACCCACCTAGGCGGCTGCTATGAGCAACATCTGGGCCTGTGTAGTTAGCTTACCATTGAATCAACCAATAAAACGAAAAAAAACTATGTCGGAACAATCCAAAGTCATACATCAGCTAGTTCAATACTCCATATAGAAAGCGACGGCTCTATTGCACCGACCTCGGGAATACATCTAGCTATCCTAGGGATACCCACGCTCTTGGTCTATCTAACCACACGCAGGAACGGACACCCCTCTTCGTAGGCCTGTAAGGTCCATTCTTGGAAACGCAAGTCCTAGTGTCTTTGGTAGACAAGTTTCTGGCACATCTGTGGCTCCCAACAGCAGGAAAGGTTCCTAGGAAAGCACAAGAATAGTAAGTGGCAGTGGATTATAAGATCACAAAGCTGACACCCCAAAGGGGAGAATGCGACTGCTTGTTAGGTTTCCGCAATTAAGTAGACATGTGGGGCTAGATCGCAAAATAACACATCATTGGTTGTCACCAGGGAACCCGTTATGACTAGAGCATTTCTTGGCCTCAGAACCCCAAAACTCCCAAAACAAACACCCTTCCATAACCGTTTGATGATGGCTAGCATCCAACGATATCCAGGATGTCCCTCCAAGAGATTCAATATTTACGTCGGCGCCTTGAAGAGGAGCAACAATTGCGAGAAAAGGAACAGCGACTCAGAGAACAAGCCCAACGGTCACAGATCCAAGCAGAAGAACAACTGAAGCTGCAGACCCAAGAGACGACGCTCCCCGAATTTCTTGATGCCTGCCATGTGCACCTATTCCTCGGGCTATCTATTCAAAAAGACAGGGACTCGTCCACAAAAGGCGATCCTGCAAACGCCGACCGTAAGCTCCGCCCGACCAAGGTTCGCGAGTGGACCAGCTTCCCGAGGGAGCAGGCTGGGATATGGGAAGATTTGATGGACACAGATTTTGCGACAGAGCGTCATTTTACGCCTTTATTGGCACTGAAAGAATATGGGAAGGAGGCCCGGGAGAGGATGGTGAGCTCCGAATTGGATTTGGGCTACTTTCAGAGACAGACCGTGGAGCACGACGGACGCTACACGCGAACCCCCGACTCCGACAAGTCTTCTGCTTGAACAGGGATATCACATTCGAAAACCATGCCAATACCTTGACAGATGAGTCAAATATTGTTGCAGAGATGGGCTCTCTGAGCCTGTCCCAGAGGCAACCGCGTCGCTCTGACCGCTTGGTCGCAAAATCCAGCGGGGTTGGCCTCTCAGCACAGCCGCCACGGAGAGGTCAGAGGGCCACACAAACACGGACTTCTCGACCCCGAGCAGATCAGTTTTGTGTTTACAACAAGGGCGCGGAGGGGAAGGTTCCTGCCTTCATCAATATTACAATTTCTGGCCACAATGAAAGCAGCTCTACCTCAAGACCATCACCTGGCCTTGGCAGGGCGAGCTCGACGGGATGATGAATGGGGTTGGAGGACTTGGAGAAAATTGAGGATATAGAGGACGCATAGCAGGAAGAGTAGCCTAGTCACTCAGACTAGGGGACACCCAATCCGCTTCAGACACCAAGGTGTGCCAGTTAAGGCTCGATATAGACAGTAAACCTGATTTCAATAATAATAATAATACCTGGACGCGCCTAGTCTCTCGGGTGGTAGAGCTGGGGAAGTGAAGAACATGGAGAGACAAGACCAATGTCAGAGAATCAGACCTCAGGATGCTCCCGAGTTAGAGGACAATTGGATGAAGTAATAGCACGACTGCTGGCTGCCCTTGATGGGTAGAGGGAGCCGGTTTTTATAGACAACACGCGGCGATGCCAAGCGGCGCTGAGGCGCTTTACCCGATTTAGAACACCATAGAAGCTGCTCCACTAACTCATCACCGCAGACTCTGGAAGGGCCATTCCTGTCAACGATGGGTTTATCTGCTCAAATGCGTTACGTCTCCCGCGCTGGGGCTCCTCATACCCAGGCCATGAGACCCACCGTCTGAGGAAGTGGGACAATCCATCGCGGGGTTGTGCGGTAAGTCTCCGCAGGATCAGAGACCCAGTATCAGAGACAGCTTTTCGAAGTTCTTTAGTCTCTCAAGTTTTTGACTATCGGGATCGCTGTGGGTTTGCCAAAGCTACTGGACAATCCAGCTGGTAGAGAACGCTCCGAGACTGCTGTGACCTGGGTATCGCATTGCGGGTTCCGCTGTACTTGGATCCATTGAGTGGTGCTGATAACAATTGTTGAAAGAAGGACTTGATGGGGCTTGCTTATTCCATATCCGGAAGGCTGCTATATGAAGTAACAAATCAATCTGGTTTAAGTGATCTGACGGGTATCAATGATCTTCGATTTTCTCACAGTGGATAAAAGTTCCCCTGACTAGCCATCAGTGGCGACAAGCCGCAACGAACATCCGAGCAGTGTGTAACGACTCAACATCCCATTGCCGACGTGTAGTAGTCCCATGGATCCCAAGTACTAGCAAATTGGTCCAGAATCTCGGGCAGGTAGGTGGTGGACCATGATTCACCCCTATCAGCGGTATATTGCGCCTTGCGAGACTCCCAGTACTCAGGCAGCCAACCAGATTGTTCCCAGTCAACAACCGCCAGAATACGGTATGGGGGCGTGGGTGTGACGATGATGTTACTGCGATGAAGATCGCCATGAGTGAATTTGATTGCACAGTCGTCCGGGAGGTCATGGCGGAATGGTTCCACTGGAACTGAGTACGGATCTGACATCGGTCTTCGGTGAAGAAATGTAAACCAGTCGTGAAAGTCGCGAACTGTAGCGAAAGGGCCTGCTTCATGCATATAGTTCACATGAAATGCCCTATCGTAAAGTGGTCCTTTCGTAATGTTGCCTATGAAAGAAAGATTAGCTGACGGAAATCAGTTATCCAAAGGGTACGCGAGATATTCGTACCTATAAATGGGTCCTCTGGGCCCTGTTCGACCTGTCGTAGACGCTGATAGATTGTCCTGAGTTCGCGACAGATGCCAGCTTTGTCCTCATGTCCCATGACTGGCCATACTTGCTCAAGGGATGTTCCATTCACATACTCCATGTAAATGTATTTCTCGTTTCCTTCGGTGCGCCAACCGTACACTTCGGGCACAGGAACATCGCCCTTGAGGGATTGACGGACGGCATATAGGCACTGAGCTTCGGATAGTTGGACAGAGCTTCCCCACTTAACAAATAGGCCCATCTCTTCGAAAATGGCAGGTGGCGGTCGCATATATGGGGCTGCCATCGAATGGGTTTTCCTTTGGTCTGGATACACTCCGGCGAGATGTTGCGCCTTAGCGCGTGCCTGCACTTCATTTGGTGAAGGTAATCGATCCCATTTTTGGAAAAATGACGATTCTTCGACAATAAAACTGAGAGGATTGGGAATTTTCGACTGCGGGAGTCGCACCCGTACTCCTTCAGAGGTCATGACGCCTGTGACTCGACATTTGGGACTGCCGGCGCGCATAACTATATGTCCTGGTCAATGCGCCTGTCGGCATGGAAAAAGTGTAGAGAATGAACCCTAGAATAGGGATTTTCGCACCATGCTCGGGAACGGCAGCAGGGAAACTAGTACAATTAGCCGGGGAAAACTTGCGTACACATAAACTGACCTCGCTAAGGAGGGCCGGCAACTGAGTATACGCGAGGATGCTGGAGAAGCCGTAACGAGAAAAGAAAAGGAGGAAGAGAAAGAGAAAGATCAAAACACATCCAATGAGACCATAGCTTAGCGAACACTTAGGCCATTGCCACCACTTCACACGATATGAAGACATTGAAGCAGAATTTCCGTCACCAACTAGAATCTCCGAATTCGAAGACGGGGGTGGCGTTCTCCTTTCTGCGAGGAAGCACCACTGCTCTCTTCCCCCAGCAGTGGGAGAGGTTACGTCTCTATTCCCGCCCTTGGCGGAGTATTTCAATTATCTAGCAGCGACAATTATCACATTTTAGGGAGAGATTGTAGCCATCCAGACGGGTCATGTTGGCTGAATTTGGCTTCCGTGGGATGCTCCGCATTCTGTGCAAAAGGGCTGTGGATCGATATCATCTATCACCTGGTTCCATTCATTCAATTCATAATACTAATGGGTATCTATATTGGCTGTCCACGGTAAAACCTTTCCCGTAAGACGACCGTAGCAAAAAGGTCTGGAAGGGCGGATCTCAGAGTAGAACAACTGTAAACCACTGCCAATGGCAGAGGGGAAAAAAAACAATACATGGCCATACCGGTAAAACATCCGCTTGAAAAACATCACACAAAAAGAAATAAGTAAAAGAAGTGGAGGTGGAAAGAAGTAGAAGTAAAGGCCAGGATAATTAGAATAAAAGACTCCCAAGATGAAACATCCGCCACAGTGGTCTAACGTTCCCGTTTCAAATAACCGGTTAAGTCGTCAAACAAAAGTCTCATAAATATGGCAGAGACCGGCGCATGTGACAAATCTGCAAAGACGGAAAAACAGGAAAATGCCGCAAAGTTCATGGCTCGTGAGCCAACTACGCGGCCAGCTTCGCAAAGTGCTTGTTCCAGATCCATCCCACTTGGCGGGTTGGGTCATCTTGGTTTTTGGCAAGCCATAGCTCTCCCTTTTCAGCGATAACATCAAATATCTCTCCAGCGACATATGTTAGATAGGGGTATCCGGCTTCCCGTCTCGCACGATCAATATTGAATTCATAAATGCTGGCAGCAAGGAATAGCACTTTAGGCTCCTGGCGAGGTGCATTCTCAGCAACGTGGTCATGCGGAGAATCAGACATTGGCATCGCAGATGAAAAGAATCCTGAATAGCGGCCGTTGGGCGACAGCGTGGAATTTTCAGTTTCAGTTGTTCCCGCACCAAGGATCTCATCCAGCAATGGAGTATCAAGCTCCAAACTAGGAAGGCGTGGGAACTGCTCCGTTGACGTGTTAGTGGTGATTTGCTGCAACATCTGGCTCCTCTGAACCTCAGGTGCTTCTGGAGCTCTGGTAGCACCACTGCGACCGGAAATGGCCGAGTCAGCACGATTGCGTGATTTGGATCTCGGACGATGACCGTCAGTCGGTTGAGAACGCAAGGCACGACCGAACTCTTGCGAGATCTTTGGGGACTCGTCCATAGACCCGAGCCGAGTATTGGAGCTGGTAACGGTAGAGGGCCGCCTAGGGGAGCTGACGTTCGCACCCGAGGAATGAGAGCTGAAGGTGTTGTGGATAACATCGGCGAGGACCGAGCCATTGCAGATCCCGAGTGTCAGGACTTGCGATTCTGCAGAAGTGAAAGCCTCGGACCAGTCATTGACGATCTCCTGGATGTCGTCTGGGAATGAGCGCGTCAAATGTCCGAGTTGCGTCTGCAGAAGACTAAACCAGGTGGCCTGAATCTGAATGAAGTTCTTCAAACACGCCTCCATCAACTTCCCGGTAAGAGAATACAACTTGGGAAGTTCATCCTTCAGAGCATCGTTCAACGCTACGAACTGTTCTCCCTGCTCAGCGGTCTTCTTGTCTGGTTTATCGCCTCGATCCTTGACGGTCTTGAAACGGGCATAGTCCATGAGTCGCTTGTCGCGCTTGCGCATGACTCTCTGCGGCCCATCGTACAGTCTAAGAAGGGTGACCATCGGATCAATAACGCTTTTTCGGACAGTGGTAAGCTGGAAAAGATGGTTAGACCATTAGAGGCTTCTTCTTTCCCTTCCCCCAATTGCATCTGGGTTTCTACTTACATGATCAGGCAATGCAGCTGACATCACGTCACAGACAGCTACTTTGTATCGTCGCCATTTGCTCTCCAGTTCAGGGTAGCGAGACTGTGTCACATCGATATATCCCTCAATTGCAGAGACGAACTCATTGAAACGGTTCATGGCATCCTGCATCTCCCGGGTATATGTCTCGACGTCGCGCATAACCACCTGCAGCTGGAAGAAGCTATCGCCAAATCTCTGGGCGAGAGTATCATAGCTCTTATCTTCAAACATATCGGAAAGACCGACCTGCTGCTTCAATTTCTCCGTACGGCGACCAAAGGCCTTCGATAAGCCCGCGCGAACATCGGATTCTTTTCGTTTCCGGTTGATCACTTGCTCTACTAGTTCGGCCCGCTTTTTCATCTCGTTGATACGCACAGAGATGTCAGTAACTCCTTCCAGGGCGCTGATGATGGCTGCATGATCTGGATGGTTCTCAGGCGTTGCATCGAGAAGTTGCTTCAGCAGGAGAGGGTATTTCAGTATGCGCTGAACAGGTTTAACAAGCAACGAATCCAGGTCCCACGCGCTAGTAAGGTCTGACGCCCATTCACGACACTCCTTGAGCCAGATGGCCACCTTGGGGCTCCGTTGCAGAACTTGTAATTTCTTATTAGCAGCATCATGATTCTTGAGATAATCGGCGTAAACCTTCTCCATCTGCGGAAGGTGTGTCAGGAAGGCCTGGCCAACGGTGGTCATTTGATCTTTCTCCAAATCAGATATTTCCGCGTCTGCAGAGCGTTCATCCTTGGGAGTGCTTGTAACGTCCCTTCGAGCGCTCCGTTTACTACTCCACCGTTGCGATCTCGGCATCACATAGACACTTCTCGCAGACGCCTTCAGTGCATCTTGAAAGCTCATGGAGAAATGCACAATCTGGTCAGAGTTTGCAAAGAGGACCTTCACATCCTCCAGTGACAAATCTAAACAGGAGCTGGACGTCCCCTTATAAATGTCATTCACAACTTTCATGTCTCTTCCAAAGGTGCATTCCGTATCTACAAGTTCCTTAATGACATGCCGTCGTTTTTTAAGGCGACGTTGCTCCGGGGATGGTGAGACCCTCTTGATTTCTAGGTTGATCTGCTCCGAGCTCGGCGGGAGAAGAGAAGTGGCTGACGAACGAGCCTGTGAGGATGAAGCTGGTCCAAGTCGCCGGAGAGAGGAATTCTCGCTGCTGTCCGTACTATGGACTGGCTCTGCGCCTGCAAAACTGCCTTCGGCTTCTTCGGAATGACCACTTGCTGCATTTAATGGAGGAGGAGGTGGTGGTGATGGTGGTGATGCCAGTGGTGGCGCATGGGTATCGTCAGCCTGTGCAGTAGCAGGTGGGAACTGGGAGGGTGGAGGTGGAGGTGAGTGCATCGGTAATGGAGGGGGGCATATGGCCTGGGAGTCAAACTCCTCGGGCGGTTGGTCGTTAATGGTAAGTCCCAAGCCAGGCTCGGGTTCCTCCGTGCCTGAAGGTTCCGCTTCAGATACGGCGAAATGCGGAGTTGGAGTACGTTCATGTCTCACTGCGGTATCGTAAGCCTCCTCAGCCGGTGCGCGTTCGTCTTCGGCGGCGACCTGCATCCAATCTGCAATGGAAGGCGAGGCATGCTCCCAATCATCTCGAAAGACAAGGCTTGCGCTGTGACCAATCCGCTCTGAGGCCGGGACATCTTCGAACCTGGGTATAACGACTGGATCATCGGTCAGGCTGTTAGCCCGCTCCTCTGCAGGTCTCTCAATGTCCAGAAGATGGGGCTCCTGGGGTGCTCTAACAGCTGGCATAGGCAGGGTATGGCCCCGACTACGAGCGAGCTCTTCGAGATAGAGTTGGGTAACCCGTTTAGAGTCCCACCCTCCTTGTCGGGCCAAACTGGGACCGCCCAGGTTCTGTTGCAGGACTTCCTGGCTTCTCTGCTCCATCAACTGGTCCGGCTGCGAATGTGATGTGGTAGGTCGATCTTCCACAACCGATGGAGGAGCAGTGGACGGAGCGGAGCAAGAAGAGGCATGTTCACTCTCATCTGGGGACGAGGCACGAGGCAAGATGTCCTGGGTGTTCTCGCGAGAGTCCGCAGAATACTGATGTCGGATATAGGACGACCAGGAGCTCATACTCCATCGGTTTGGGATTTCATCGCCAGTCTGATGTTGCCGCTCATAGAAATCGTGATATTCGTGGTGGTCGCTGTCTCCGACAGAGTCATCAGGATAAGCTGTTTCCCTGAGCAAAATGGGTATAGATTCTTTGTCATCACTATCCGAGAAAGCATACTCAGGTTCATCACTCGACGAGCTGCTCGGACTGGACTCGCGCATTCGCATGATATGGCTCAACAGGGTTCTATGTGGCTGGAAGTCTTGCTCGGGCAATTCAGTCTGCGACTGTGCCTGCGAATCTGGATCGAAGGTGGTGACAAAAGTGTCATTTGATCCAGAAGTCACAGAGGAGGGGGGAGCTGGAGGGGCATCGGAGGGGTCGATAGAGGGATTTTCAGAGGACGGGAGATGTGAGATAGTAGTTGACTCCTGTTCCCTATTCGCGATATCTGCCAGTCCCAGGGTCGGCGAGTCTGTGATGGCTAGGCGAGCTTCGTCGCCTGTTCCTACGTCCAGATCACCCACAGGAATGTCGACATCGATTCGGAGTCGAGAAACGTCTTCAGAATTGGTATCCACACCCTCATTGTCCGGATTTGCTTGTTCTTTCTCATCGAGGACTTCAATCGAGTCATCTATCACGGTGGCCGCATCCTCCGTCTGCCGGTGATTATTCGAGTCTGGGCTCTCTGTTGGCGGCGGCCCCGTAGGGCGGATTGATGTGTCTCCTTGCTTCCGTTCTTTCTCCGTATTCTCTCGGCGGCGAAGCTGCGCTGCTCGCTCTTCCTTCCTCGCATTTTCTTGGACCGTGCGGTTAAAGGCCTGCTGGATCTTCTCCCGTCTCATAGCGAAGTCGACCTTGCCCAATTCGGCGACTCGCCTCTCCCGGGGTCTCGTATTGCGGGACTGTACCTGTTTTTGGAGGGTGGACACCTTCTCGGAGACCCTAGAGCGGGACGAGGATGCGACAGCATTTGATACCGGTTGGCGCGGTCGGGAGCTTCGCAAGGGGGGGGACTTTTTGGGCGGTGGAGCGGCAATGTATGCTGTCAGAAGCGGACTCTTCTCCGGCGGTTGGCGATGACCGCGGCCATGCACGACATCTTTTCTTCTCATTACGGGCTTTATTGGGAACACTGAGGGTGCATCTTGGACACGGGCGGATTTAGGAGACGGTACAGGAAGGCGACTGGTGCCCTTTGGTGGCAAAGGAATTTGGGAGGAGCGGGTGCGGAACGTTTGATTTGTCGTTGCCAGGGGTGGTGGCACACTGCCTGAAGCGGACTCTTGACTGAGACGACTGGATGAAAGCGGAATGCGAGACTTGGACGGTGATCCCAGAACTGCTCCGGGGCCCCAATGCTGTGGCACGGCCATATCCTGATCCCACGCGTTTGGATTTGCCGTGAAATCGTCGCTCCTTGATCGCCTATGATAACTGATATCAACTCCGCTACCTCCAGCAATCTCCGGGGACGGATTTGTAGGCCCAAGATACCAGGCTGTGGGCGTCAAGGGCGACTGGTTCAGATAATGCTCTAGAGATCCCGGGATCGAGCTGGCAATGCTCCCTTCGGAACCGCGACGTCGTAATTGGTGTAGGGTCCCGTGTGCAGGATTTTGAAAACGAGTGTCGAGCGTCGGAAGTGTTGCAAAGCGGGGTTCATTCGCTATCCTCGCAGAGGTGTCCAGGTGTCGGCCCGGGGAGGAAGCCTGCAGGGGAGCGCCCGCCGAATTCCACCGTGTAAAAGCCGGTGCTCTCAGAGTACTTTCGAGGACTTCTCGTCGGTATGAGGGAGGTCGCGATGCGGATCGTCGTCCTTGGATGCTGGGAGACCGGCTCCGAGCCGACGATCGAGTCCGGGACCTGGATGGAGATGGCACGGGAAGGATTTCGTCGGAGTTGTTGTTGAACTTGTTGACGAGGTCCTTGAAGGAGATCTGTCTGGACCGTGCAGGGACAACGGGTCTTCCTGCGTAAGAGGAGGCCGAAGTAGAACGGTACTGCGGGCGACTGGGACGAGGTAGATCCGACGAGTCCGTCGACAGGGAAGCGACTCTGGCTGCCCGCGAATGTGTCACTGCGGTCACGTTGTCGTCTGGTCCTGCTGCGGCGGCATGGGCTGGGTGCTGCCCAACCATGTCTCTCTCAGCCACCGAAACCCGATGCGGCCGGTAATACTCGTGGGGATCGGGAGAGGTTCGACCGCTTTCTTCGTGGATGTTGCTACTGTTGTTATTATTGTTATGCGCATAGTGCGGAGCGCCTGCAGACGCGGAAGGATGCTGGGCTGACACGATATCGGACTGGGGCGGGAGATAGGCGTTTTCAAGAAGGGCCTCAGGCGCCGGAGGGGCGGTGGGATCCAAGACAGGGTCACTCTTGACCGCGGTGTTGGGATGGCGGTAATAGAAGCCATGGTGGGCGCTCTGCCAGGACGGAGGACGCGAGGCAGAGGAGTGGTGAGGCGAGTTGTCAAGCGTGCCCAAAACGTGGTCGAGATCACCGCCGGACATGTTGCATGCTTTCGGGCCAACCAGCAGCTAGGGACAGGGCAGAGGAGGGAAGGACGAGAGATAGACAGGGGAATCCGCTGGTTGGCGGGCCCAGAACACGGTAGGATTTCGATGAGATGCGTTGTTCACGGCTGGTAGGTCACTGATGGCGATGTGCAGGGCCAGATGGAGCTACAAAGCGATGCACCCGGGAGACGCCCCGGCTCAGCGTCATATTTGAGACGAGATGTGGAGAACAGGGAGCGAGGGTCCTGGCGGATCGTCCGACGGGTCCGGGACAGGGAAAGCCTGGGGATCGAAGGCGCGTAGGATGGGAAATGGAGGGAAAGGGAGAGAGAAAGAGGTACAGTACGGAGAAGGGAGACACGAGAGAGAGACAACAGAAACGGAAACAAAAGCTCTGGAAGCAGATCGATCTGGTCCGTCGTTGTTATTATGGCGATTATTATTGACTGACGTTTGCACCGCGTTCTGACGGGGATTTATTTCTGATTTATTATTAAATTAATACGGCGTACCCTGGCTCTAATAATATATACAAAATAATTATAATAAATAATGATTCTCACAATAATCCCCTTCTCTTTGTCGTTCTCATCCCCCTCGTGTACATCCTACAGTGTACACTGTACAGCACAATGTACACATACCATGTCCTGCTGCACATCGCGACAAGGGTCAAGCCGGGTTGAATCCGTCCAGCGCCAATGCTTCCTCTGCGACTTCTCCCGTCCGTCAATCCGGTTGACGGGAAATGAAGTCGCACGGAGAAGAGCTCTAGACTATCTGATATCCGTCCGATCCAAAGCAGGCCCGCAGTAGCGATCATCGATCATCATCGCTCGCCAAGAACGAGACGTCTAATCTTTTCTCCGTGCCATCCGTCCCTTCCAACATGATCCTTGACTCTGTTGGCCCGGTATTGCCACTGGGAGTAATGCAGAACCACAGACATGCCATGCCGTACGCGCGAATGCCTTCTGAGGGGTGACAGTTACCAAGCGGTCGTGTTCATCCACTGCCTCAACAACTGTCCTGAAACCAACGAAAAAGAGAAGCGAAACTCCACAAATCAGTTGGCCTCATGGGCCTGCAGGCGAAATCACTCTCTCACAGGGCTTACGGAGCATGGTTCCGACAGCTCTTATTATTAGCGAAATCTTTGCACTGGATAGATTAGTCACCAATACTCAAAAAGTGGGCATAGACACTCCCTTATAATATTAAATTGTTCGAATTATCATCATCACCGTCATTACTTACTCCATATTATCAAGCCCTCTCCTGAAAAGCTTCAGACTTCAGGCCAGGATCGAAGCGATGGCACTCTGTATAGCCCTTGACTGAGATGGAGCAACAGATCATCATTGGACTCTGCTGGAAATACGAGAAATTTTGACTCTGAAGGATTTCGCTCCTGCTGCACGGAGTCTGCTGTACAGCGCTGGACAGATTAATCCTCCATCCCCTGTCCGTCCACACTGGAAACGAAACGGAGTGGCCCGTACATCGCAATAATAATCCATCGGACAGACAGCGAAGGGATAGCAGTGTTATCTGACCTTGCCAACTCACACCCCCTTTCGGTGTTCACGGAGCCACACACACACCCTCTCTCTGACTTGTCTAGGGAGTACATTCCTTTTTTTTTTTTTTCGCTGCTGTCTTCTCCCGTCTGCAGCGAGCCTTCTTATTTATTCTATTACCTTTCCACCGCTTCTGATGTCTGATGTTCTTCCAGATTGCCATCCGCACCGCCGGTTGGCTTTGGAATTCATGCTTATACCCTCGTAGTTGCTGACATCCCTGCTTCCCGGAAGGACGTGCATGTCTTGAGTGTCTCATCCCATGTGCAGAACACGGAAGCTTTTCTCAAAGCTGACGTCGTTGGGCTGGCCGTTTTCAACTGGTCCGGCAGTTTCTGAGACAGCGGAAACGGGGGGTATCCATCCACGTCTGCGATGATCAATCCTTCTGCGGATATATATAAGAATGGTATACCGGGAATGCGGTAATAGTGTACAATTCATTGTTATATAAGACACTTCACGGTGGCTATGCCGTGGACCAAACACTCGTGGCCGAGTTCTCGGATTTTCTGGAACAAATAGCCCCAGTCCATAGTAAGCAATAGTCCTAGATGATAGGATAGATAGTCTTAAAATCGTTTAAATCGCTTGTAAGCAGTTACACTGCTTCCAGGCATGGAATTTCACTAATTCTTTGATTTCTGGTCTCCAGTTTCAAATAACGTTGAAACGCTGTTTTTGTATACCTCTGCTCAATTATTCTACAATGAAGAGCTGCGACTTCGTGGAAGACATGTAAGATTCGATGTCCCTGCTCTTACGGACGTAGAAAAACACGTACATCATGACAGGGCCAAATATCTCAGGAAAATATCCGAACAGGGCTTCAACCGTGTGCTCTTAGCAACCTTGGAGGACGAGTTTCAGTGATTGCTGAATGTTCCATATTGGATATCAGTTCCTAGGACATATGCCACTGCAGTGAAGCCGCCACCCCTACATTTCTTCAGTCAAAGGGAATACCCCAAGGTATATATACTTGGCGTTGTACACGGATAACCCAGTTGGCGTAGAGTACATTTTCATGGAACATGCTTCTGGAATTGGCGCGGACACGCATTGGTTCGACTTGAAAAAACCCCCAAACGCGTGTTCTTGTTACAAACTTTGTCAACATTGTGAAAATCCTCTTCATATTCCCTTTCCTTTCATTGGCAGCTTATATTTTAAGCAAGATGTCCCGGATCAGTGACGATTCTATGCACCGGGTACAGAGGATACTGACTCTGACTCCGACTGCGACACCTGCTGTATAGGGCCAATAACTGATCACATACTCTAGTATGAGAAATGGGCCGGGCTAAATCTGAGCAGAGGGCCATGTGTATTTCTTCTCCGAAACGTGCGGTGAAGACATTTGTGCTAATGAGATATAGGGTCCGATTTCCCACATAACATCATCTTCCCGGGCATCAATTTACCTGACGACTATAGTGCCCTTCTCAAGAAGTATCTGCAAATTGCGCCCTATGAGATCGACAATCCGTTTGACAATCCCATCATCCACCATCCGGGTATGGCTCAGTATATTGAGGTTATGCAGTTGCTATTGTTGATATAAGATAGACTTGACTCCTAGCAATGTGCTCATGTGTCCTGATACATTCGAGGTCAAATGCACTGTTAATTGGCAATACACAGTCATCACACCTTTGCTTCTTGCCGGTGGCCGCCCCAGGACGCTGAGAACGCTAATCCCGCTATTCCAGAAGAATTGAAGCCCCCGGAATATCCAGAGGGGTACGATGATATGGATCCTGAAGCAAAGCACAAGCGGATGAGCTTATCAGACGCCAACACTCCTTCTATCTCTCTCGTGTATTTAATGGAGGTCTGAATAAGACGCATCTGAGCGCCCTCGCAGATCCGCTTGTGTTCATGCGTCAACACCTCGTGGATTTGTCTGGTCGACAGGGGCCGGAAATCCCATGTCCCTGCGAGGTGCACCGATTAATATGTGTAATACATGACCATTCTTGCCTGGAAAGCCAACGGATGATACTGTGTGCCCTGTCAGCTTTTCGCAAGAAGAAATAAGCAAACAAGCTGAAGATGGGCCGATGTGGTATAACATCAACAGACTCGTGAGCCACTGGCGCAATGAGCTAGGCGGTTTGTGTCGCACTTGCATATCTCCATACACGTATTCTCTCGAACAAGTGGTAGTTCGCAGTAAGCCACGCACCCTCCGTGAGGACTTACAAGATGTCAAGCCTAGCGCCACTATTCTCGAGGACACCATACCATGGAGGTTGCCAACCGTCGTTAGAAAGTTCGTCAGAAGAAGTCGGAGCCATCCGATTCATCGTCACCCATAAACCTTCCTAGGAATGGGTCGCATCATCTCCTCGTCTTCAATCTGAGCGAGAATTTTGCTATCCATGATCCCTTGGAGTACATTATTTGATGAAATATCTGAGATTTTGTAAGCCTTTCATGCTCTTGATTTCTCAGAGTATGTCTTGAACTTGCCCGTATGGACGACCCAGTTCTCGTGCATAAAAGCTAGTGATATTAATACAAGTTGGATACTTCTCTGAATTAGATCTTTCGGGAATTTATTTCCGGGGAGTGAACTTCGAAATTCAGTGAAGCTCATTCCAAGTGGTTGGTAAACCAAGCAAAAGTGTTTTCCATAAGGACCAGTAATTTCAAATGAGTCGAGAACTAAACGGACTAGACTTTTCCCAGCATGGCTATTAGAACTCTTCAAATGCTGCGAAATAGCTATCTCGCATTCAGGACGTTGCCAACGAACGCAAACTTTCACTGTGGAGAAACCATCCCCTCTGCAATTGTCAAAATACGCAATATGTCATAGTATTTATGCTTTACTTACTGAAGATCATGGCAAAGCCAGACTGTAGAAGACATGCCATATCCAAGCTTTGAGACAACTTGATATCTAGATGCCAATACCTCACCAATGTGGACAGGATAAAATTTCTGTGGATCATAATGCGGAACCTCCTCTTCTTCAACTTTCTCTTTGGAATCCAGTTGCAGAAAGCCAGATTCAGGAAATTGGCGCGGGGAAATAAGAGGAATGGAAGACATTGTTCTCATTGACGTAGAATGGAAGGAAGCAACAGAACGCATTTCAGATGATTTTATATGGGTAAATAATAATGCTCTGACACTCCTGCGAAGTAAAGACATGGTATACTTTTTTCTTAAAGTAATCATGGAAACATTGACAATTTGAAACAAGGGCAGCTCTCACACTTAAGCCCTTTGTATTCTCAATTTCTGTGGGCCACTTCGCGTTTGATGGTAGTATGTGTGGTCACAGTAGCCAACCTGTTTTTCACCTGAGTTGCAAGTGCCTTAGTCAATTAGAAGCTCATCAATCTGCTTCAGCCACTTGAGTTCAGCAAATATGTTGTTCTTAGAGGAATGGCTGGCGAAAGACATGTCATCTAAGCCAATGTCAGAGGTGTTGACAGAGAAACTCTCATTCATTAAACGAATATAGTACTTGGGAGGTGGCGTTGCCCTTGGATCATTGCGGACGGCTTTTGAAGCCAAATGAAGACGGACCCACGGTCGATCTGTCGAGCCGTGGAGTTTCCCGGGAAAATTCCAGGATCACGGACGTGTGGAACATACGCATGGACATAATACTTTGACACGGGGGGTTTGGGGGGCAGGGGATGATTCATAGTGCCAGAGCTCGGTGAAGAAGGGAAACCGCGCGGCAGAGGGTGAGAAGGGATAGTGCTAGATTGTGATTTTGGAACAGGGGGCGATATAACCAGAGGTCCGTTGTAGGAAACTTGGCGGTCCATGCTGAACGACATAAAAAGTAGGAAGCGGATTCAACTTGGAAAGCTTGGTCTTTGTGTTGGGGAGGAGAGAGGGATGTATACTGCGTGGTTTGCATTTCTGTTCAACTCAAGCTGGATAAGAGTATTTATAGTCAGCCAACCAAAAAGATGGCGACCAAAGCCCTAAGGCAATTCAAATTCCTCAGATCTTGACAAGAGGACACGGAAACTCTGATAACGCCATCTCCTGGTATAGCAATCCAACTAGCTCTGGCGGTACACAATGCTGCAGCTGAATCCACGCTGCTCTGCACCTTGGAATTTTAGTTGCATACCTCTCACTTATGATCCAGCCAATATGATGCATCGCTGCTACAGAGAGGGTGTAGGTCCCTTTGAGGGATTGGTCAAACATTAACCACAAATGGTAATTGCTCAAGGCAACGCAATGAGTGACATTTGATGCACTGGTCCCAGGAGCAAGTTCTAGGAGCAAGAGAACACTGCAACTTCTGATAATAACACCACAGCAGCAAATGATCATGCCTGTAGCATTCATCTTTCCATAATCATGTTTCATGGGGGCGCAGCAGATCGGTAAGTCGAGAACAGAGCTCCAATCAGTTATTAGTCAGGCGTGGTTTTCGGTTCTAGACCTCAGAGAATCGCATTCCGCGGGGCTGTGGTTGGTGATGGTGGTGAAAGTCACACCTGGGATCACTTCTGAGGCATTTATGCCATTGGATATGTTTTACCTAGGTATAATTCCATCATCATCTGGGCAACCCAACTGCATCCAACGGCATATGGGATCTACATGTGGGCGAAAATCGTCACGCAAGACGGACGATCGCGGAATGGGATAGGGCAGTGGGGTTAGTTGTAAGCTGTAGTCAGACTTGAAGCCTGTTAAGGGCAGAATCAGTGTCTTGTCTTGAAGGGGAGTCGATTGGGGTAGATACCATAGCAGATAGAAGACTGTTGGAAAAGAAAGCGAGTTCTGAAGTCAATGCATTGTCTAGTAGGGTGATGGAAAATCAGAAAACAGAAAATATGAACAAATCCACTGCATAATAAACAGGGAAAGTAGAATCAGCTCCACGGCCGGTCAGGTCATGTCAGACGGAGGAAGAGCAAACTGGAAGTGGAGATGACGCGAGAGGGCGCAGCCGCAATTTCCGAGTTGGAAAAGACGGGGGTGAAAGGGGGGTTTGAGGAGACAACCGAATAGATAGATCAGACTACCCGACCGAGTGGGTGCAGAATATGGGAGGTAGAATCGTGGAGGCAGAAGAAGTTGGGAGGGAAAGTGCTTAGAACAGCGAGGGAAGGGTTCTTATATACTTGGAGGGCGAGGCGGGCGGTGATGACAGTACGCGGTACCGGGAGGCTACGCCAAAGGCGGTAAAGCTAACCGGAAGAGGGAATTCACAGGTCCTCGCTTTACATATCAAACTAACCGGTTGATATTTGGGAAGGACCAGTTGGAAAGATTCGTCAGGTAGTTCGCCAGGGAAAAGGTCGCGATGATAAGGTTGGAAAGTATCTATTGGGAGATCAAAGACATTGCTGGAGCTCATTCGCAGCGCAGAACTACGAGTAGAGTTTCGGGATTATGAAATTCTGGTCATGCTTCAAGAGAAATATGATTGTTGTGGCTGCATATTCCAGACACTGGTGTGACGGAAGGCCCGTTACAGTTTATTTTTTGTTGTCGTTGGCATCATAACAATTCTATCAGTAGCATTGTAGGGTCGGTGACAAAGGAGTAAACAATATCCACATTCTGATAGCAAATATTGTTAACAATATATAGTTTTCCCTTGGCATATACCATTCCGCTTACCACAATGGCAATAACAGTCATCCCGAATCGTATGTGCACAATAGACTAAACTAACACGAACCTGGAATATGCAATGGAAAGGATTCGAAGTTGCTGCTCTCCAGATTTTCCAATCTACGGTTTTTTCTCGGTCTAACCGCTAGCCATCTTCTGCAGCCCCTTGAGGTCACCATTCCAAATATCGGAGTCTCCACCGTAGGTGTAGCTGTCGGAATTCTGCCAGATGGACTGGAACTCCCAGCCGCCCGGAATGGTTCCTGGGGAGGAACCGTATCGGGCAAGGACAAGAGGGCAGTTAGCAGAGAAAGCCTTGCTGTTGCCAGTGCAGGTGTTCCACCAATCGGCAGTGGTATAGATCATGGGGTAGCGGCCGGTGGTAGAGTGATAGGTCGAAACGAAGTCCTGAATCCAGTTGACCATCGCAGAAGCGCTCAGACCGTAGCAGGTGCTTCCTGATGGGTTGTATTCGATGTCCAACATACCAGGGAGAGTGATGCCGTCACCACTCCAGTTACCTCCATGTTTGATGAAATACTTGGCCTGCTCAGCTCCAGAGCTTGAATCGGGATGTGCGAAATGATACCCTCCCCTGATGAACCCAGCGTTGGTGGCACCAGTCCAGTGGGAGGAGAAACCCGTGTCAATATAGGTGGTACCCTCGGTTGCCTAGGAACAGGTGAGTCGGTTGCATTGCTCTGTTAGGCAACTCGAAGACGGATGCCATCAGGTGCTATCTCTGCCCCCCGGTAGCTGATAGATCCACGCACTACAGATGTGATGCAGCCATAAGATCTCCAGGAAGGATGCAGAGCAAAAATAAGAAGGACGGCTTAGACCTGTGTCATACACACCTTGATAATGACAAATCGTGCACCCGATTTGTATGCCGACGCGAAGTCCACAGAGCCCTGGTAGTTGGAGATATCAAAGCCCTGAATCGTGGCGCTGGCAACCCCAAGGAGGGAAGCTGATACGATGGCTGCGGAAAGCTTCATGGCTGTATCTGTCACGTATGACTGGACAGAAGTGCTATTTGCGGTCAACTGCGATGTTTGAAGTGATGGGATGCCAGACAGATTTGCGGGTAAGGACGAGCCTTTTATATCCTTCCTTGTCTCCCTCGTTCTGGCTCTTCCCAACCCTGTTCTCAACGTCAGGATAGTATATACTTCATAAATTAAGTATAGCTGAAAGCCAAATATGCGGATTTCCAGAGCTTACTGGTCGTAGTCTATGCAGATCTTCTGGATTTGTTCCTGGCTCGGTTGATGGCACCAAACTGGGAAAGTGACATGACATGTTCCTGTATTATGGCCCTGACATAAGGGGTCGGGCCACTCCGTTGACTGTCAGATAGAGGCCGCAAACAATTAACAACGGAGTAGAGGCACAGAAGAATGTGTCAATCGGAGTAAACTGTCGATGCAATTTGTTCCTCATTTCTGCAGAGCGTCGATGTAACGCTGCATCTGCCCATTGCTATGTCTCTTGGTTCTTCAGTGTCAATATCAGGACATCAGGGGCCGAAGCGCCCGGTGCAGAACGGCAGCTCTCTGCCAATGTTTGGCTTGCGCGAGATCATTGACCCCATGTGTCGACGTCAAGGACGGTCCCGGGAGAACAGTAGCGGCCGGGATGCAGATCCTGCCTTGTTCTGTGGAGGTTGTTCTGAGTCAGCTCTCCATCGCCGTCCCATTCAGCGGAGTCCGTATGGGACTCCGTCCAAGTGCTGCACATCGTGAATAGCATCTTTCATCCCACTGGTAGATAATGCCCGTTCAGTGCCAAAAACAGCGGTTGAACAAAGGGCCATTGGATGCAAAATCGATGACCTCGGGATCTATGCTGTAGAGAGATTGACGCGACTCCCCGACGCGTCCCCGAAACGCGTACTTAGCATATCTTCAGATCCGCTCATCCTCTTGGCAACCATCTACTCGCATGTAAACCGAATCCCAAATCGCGGTGACCTTTCTATGATCCATGGGCAAGAAAAGAAAGAGGACCGTCAAGAATGGCGGGGCAACGGATCAGCTTCCACGGAAGCAAAGAGATTGCAAAGCTGCCTCAGAACATCTTGGGAAATTGTCTGATGAGCGAGTTCACCACGCCCATCCAGTAATCTCGTCATACTATCCAAAAGTGTTGACGCTCAGAGAATATCTATTGCAGCAGCTTCCAGTGTCTTGCAAGTCGCGCCGTCGTCGGATTGGATCTCTGGGTCTGGGTCTGGACATGCAACAAGGAGGTGCAGGCCCCGCTGCAAACGCTGACGGACAATATAGAGATGAGGATCCACAGTTCATTCGGACGATAGCCCATCTCTTAGATTCTACGTTGATAGGGATTCTGAAAGAGCCGGGTCCTACAGTTGATCAGACGCGGCTGCGGGAGTTTGTTGCTTTTACGCAGTCCCAGGAGCGTTCATTTGTTGATGCCACGGATACCGGTCCGACTCGTGCACAGTCAGAGGTAAAGCTGGACATTATTCTTTTCTTGTACCGTTCGAGGTGTTCGAGGTTGTCACTTTGCTGTCCTCATCGTTTGAGATATCCACCTGCCATCAATCGCGATGGCGACGATATCCCCGATATTCGTTACAGATATCTAGAATCTGACCCTCCTTGCAGATTGTGGACTTTGTCATATTATCCCTTTTCAATAGAAATCGCTTCTCGTACCGGAATCCCCAGCACATCCTGGCCCATGGCTATCGACGTGCCGCCTCTGCTGCTCTTCGAGACCCCGAGCAGGAGCCCGGAGCCCTGGAAAGCAGTATCCCCGGGATTGTCCAACAATACCCAAACCATAATGTTTTAACCCTGAAAAAGGCACCCTGGAAAGATATTCTAGGTCTCTTAGGAAATAACGGGGAAGAAATCATGATGAGGCTTTTGTTCGATTGTGGAATCTTTGCCTGTGTAGACAAACAGAAGGGCATATACTATCAGATGAGCGGTAAGTCCACAAGCAGAAAAATGTGGTAAACATTAAGAAAGTGCTAAAGATCAATATAGGGGTTCCATTGTCTTTCCTCGAGCCATTGAATCAGGACCACCTCGATATACACTTGGCCAAGGATGCACCAGTACCAATAAAAGAGAGGACGCAAGGGAAAAGCGCTAGCAATAATCGCAATGGAATTCTTCATAAACCGAACGGCATTGTCTTCGTTCGTCGACGCATGCTCTACGCCCGCCCCACCCGCAACCTGCGAGGAGATATTATGTTTGGTTTGGCACATACGCGTAAGATCTGATTTATTTACTTTTTCTGTATTTCTATCACTAACATAATTGGACTAGATGTCCTCAATCGCTTCCCTTCCTCTGATTCCTTGTCGCAAACTGTGCATGTAATGAAGTATATCTTTCCTCGGCAATTTGGATTGAACAATGTTTTCACCTCGAAAACAGGTACTCGCGAAACTACTCAGTCATTTAAGGAGTACACATTCAGGGAAGAAGAGATTGCAAGGTCTGAACAAAAGAGACAGCACCAAAACTCGCAACCTATGGCTCATGTTGAAGGTGGAACGCCTAAGCCGAGAGAGTCGGTTAAGGTGCCCAAGAGGCTTCGTGGTACCGTGAAGTTGATACAGAAGCTTCAGGATAGAAATAAGCGCTGTGCATATAATGAGCTACTGAGGTACTATTGCCCGCAGAGGGTAAGTGAACGGCCCATGACACAATGGCTCCAAGGTAATTACTGAACTATTCTTATCACAGGAAACAGACCCATGGAAAATTGGTTCTCTGGGATCTCAACCTGGCTGTAGTGACACGAGCCGTGTCCCCAATTCCTCTGCATCTGAGCAGCTAGTGACCCAAATAAGAGGTCCTTACCGGACAATATCTGGGAATACGCCTGAACCAGTAGTAGGATCGCCAGATAATAAGCCAACCATATGTCAGCCGAAGAGAAGTTTGACGGAATACTCGACGCCACCTGCGTTCGTTTCTGCCTTTTGCCGTGCAGTCTTGCAGAAACTTATCCCTTCCGAATTCTACGGGACTGGAGAAGAGGGGCGTAGCAACAGGAAAATCATTCTCAAACATGTCGATGAATTCGTACGGATGCGCCAATTCGAGAGCTTAAGTCTTCATGAAGTATGTAAAGGTCTCAAGGTTAGTGTTCATCATCCCCCCTCCCCTTGAGCTGTGAAGTGTAATGCCTAGCTAATATCGCCATTTTGTCGACAGGTAACATGCATGCCGTGGCTTGAACCTCCAAAGATCCGAGAACAAGCATCGTCGTCATATCCCAAGCGATGTAAACTCTCACTATCTGACCTGCAGAAGCGTACAGAGCTGCTTCATGAATTCGTATACTACATTTTCGACTCCATCTTGATCCCTCTTATCCGCACCAACTTTTATGTTACCGAATCTCAGATTCATCGGAACCGTCTTTTCTATTTCCGGCATGACGTGTGGCATCTGTTGACCGAGAAGCCGCTGCAGGACCTGCAGTCATCCATGTTTGAGGATCTGAAAGGGGACAAGGCACAGCGCGCACTTGCACGGCGATCCCTGGGGTATGGCGTTTTGCGGCTTCTCCCAAAACCAACTGGTGTCCGTCCTATCCTGAATCTCCGCAGGCGCATGATGCAACGGACGTCTGCGGGAAAAAAATCCTTCTTGGGACCTAGTGTCAACTCGATAGTTACGCCTATTGCAAATATGCTGAACTATGAGCGAGTGCGGAAGCCAGCTGCATTGGGCTCTGCCTTGCAGTCCGTGGGGGAGATGCACTTTCGGCTGAAGAGCCTGAAGGAGCGTTTACAGCGGCAGCAGCATGGGCCAAAGCAAGGGCATCAGCCGCTGTATTTTGTCAAGCTAGACATTCAGTCCTGTTTTGACACTATCCCCCAGCACAAGCTGATTGACCTCATTGAACGGACGGTCTCTGAGGACTCGTACTACATCACCAAACACGTGGAGGTCCGCCCGCCGATTGGGTTCAATACTTCCTGGCCTCCGCAATTGGGGAATGGGAGACCCGTCCGGAAGTTTGTAGGTAGAGCAGCGCCGGTGTCCAAGCCACAGCCTCTCCTAGATATCATCGCTGAAAATGCAGCCAGCAGAAAGCCACACACGGTCTTTGTGGATGCCCTCGTTCAGAAGGAGCATACAGCTGACGAACTGCTAGACCTTCTTAACGAGCATGTTCGAAATAATATGGTAAAGATTGGAAATAAGTACCTACGGCAACGGAACGGCATTCCTCAGGGCTCCGTTCTGTCTAGTCTTCTATGCAACTTCTTCTATGGCGCATTGGAACGAGAAGTTCTCGGATTCCTGCAAACAGACAGGGCTCTGCTTCTCCGTCTGGTCGATGACTTCTTACTGATTACGTCTGATGCCGAGCTTGCCATGCGTTTTTTACAGGTTATGATGAAAGGGCAACCGGCTTACGGCGTCTCTGTGAACCCTTCAAAGAGCCTGGTCAACTTCGAGGCGACTGTCAACGGTATCCAGGTCCCCCGTTTGGTCGATTCTCGGCTCTTCCCCTACTGCGGAAATCTGATCGACACGCACACGCTCGAAATCCACAAAGATACGGAACGAGCGCTCGAGGGAGGTGACTCTGCTGGCGCCGCCCTTTCGGACGCGCTCACCGTCGAGTCCGCGCGGGTGCCAGGCCGCTCTTTTCATAGGAAGATGCTCGCGACGTTCAAGCTACAGATGCATCCCATGTATCTGGACACGTCGCACAACTCGACGTCCGTCATCCTGGCCAATCTATACTCCAGCTTCATCACGTCTGCTATGAAGATGTACCGATACATGAAGTCACTCCGAGGCCGCGCACATCCCGCAGCTCCGGTGGTTATTCGAACGATTCGAGACCTTATCCATCTGACAAGCACTCTGATCCAGACGAAGCGGATTGGGACATCGACGAAGCAGCCGGTAACGGATTCCGGTGTCAGTCCACGGCTTACCTACGCTGTGCATCACTCGCAGATAGTCTATCTGGCCGCGGCAGCATTCCGATTCGTTCTTGGACGCAAACAGACGCGGTACGCTGAGATCTTGCGCTGGTTGGACGTGATCTGGAGGACGGCGAAACCGAGGTCGGACGGAGAAATGGTCCGCCTGGCGCAGGTCGTCAGAAACGGGAATATGACATTCGGAGGGTGGAGGTTCTGACTGCTAAGGGCAAATATATCATGATTGTGGTGTCATACTCCCTGCCGTTGATCGACGTCTGCATGGGATGAATCAGTAGAACTTGACAGCGCCAGAGAAATCCTGTTTTTCCGAGTCAGCTCTGGCCTGGTTCGGCACCGAAGCGTGCCATGGTTAGGGCGAAGCGGGGAGTCGGAACAGTGGTTCAGGGGTAACAGAGAGCTCTCTAGATGATAGATAGATGGCCATTGCGGGCTGAACAGGGGTTTGTCTGCAGTAATATTATTATCATAACAAGGATTATTATCTCCGGCAGCTGGTGGAGCGAACACAATGTTAGCTCAGCCATCGTGTGCCGGTGAATCTACGATTTTGACGTGGCGCAGGATTTAATATTGCGTTCCCCATCGACGGCCAGACCATTCTGGCCGTGATCTCTCTTCTTCTGCTTCTACTTCTGCCTCTACTTCTCTTCTTTTTTCCTACATCTGCTCTTCCCCGTCTCCATCCACGCTTCCGTCGTTACAACTTCCGCCTTCTCTTCGCTCATTCCCATCCCCGTCCCGGGGATCCTTCTTCTTTCCGCGTCTTCGTTTCGGTCAGTCCTCCATTGCTTGTCCTGTCTCCTTCCCCCCAGCGTCTCCCTGGCTCTCACTTTTCTGCTCCCGTCTTGGAAGAAATGTATATTGCTTGGCGCTGTCAGTGCTAACTCGATTCTACTTCGTTACTTGCGACTCCAGATTCAATTCTGTCGTTCCTAGCTCTTACCTTCCCTCGTTTACGATCCTCCTGTTCCTCGATCGCTAGAAATTTTTTTTTCATATATATATATAGACTGTTTCCTTCCCCCCTCCCTCGACTTGGCTGCAAACAACGCGCCTGCTTACCGTTACCGTTCGCTCACCCGTCTCGTTTCCAATCAAATATCGATCCGCATATGAAATGACGACTGTCTGTACGACCCCCAGCTCGCCTCCTGACCTTTCTGGATCAAAGTCTTCCAAGACTTCCACCTCCCAACCATCTTCGGATGAAGGAATCTTTCCCGATGTTGGTAATTTCGAGGAGATCGGTCTCGAAGACGACGCTGATGTCCCTTCCAACGTGAAGAACACCGATGCCGCCCCGTATGGCAGAGCCACGGGCCTCCCCAGATCTTCGACCGCCAGGCTGCATGGCAAGACCATGATGACGGCGACTGCTGCGGTCCCTCGTGATTTGACATCGCTTCACAGCAGTAACAAGCGGACCCCTTACCCACAGGGCCAGGTCAATGGCGTCTTGGCCCAAGCTTCACGCAGTACCCCGAAACTGAAAGGGGTAAGTAGCAATTCTCGAGATGCGGCTGTCCATTCCACTACCGCTATGTCTATCCCTTCCCGAGAAGGCCGTCGGTCGCGTTCGACATCACCGGTGCCACCCACCTCGAAACTCCGTCCCACCCTGTCCGCCACCAACCTTGCTCTATCCCCTACTGTCGGACGTGCAGAACCCTGGCAGTTTCGCCGCAAATCTGTCAAGGACCTCGAGGATGAGTACCACGATTCGGATGAGGAACTGCCCGAGGATACTAGTTTGTGGAATGTGCCTATTTCACCACGCCCTCCGCAGGAGCGTATTGCCTCCCGTTCTGCAAGCCCCGACGGACGTAACGCTGGACCCCGCCCTCTGCCCTTGGAGCACTCGGTATCGGAACTATCTTTGGCTTCATCCCCTGGAAAGTCATCCAGCTCATCTTCACGGTCACGTAATGGGAGAGCACCGCGGTCAAATTCAGCAGGTCCTGAACGGGGCCAAATTTCCCCGCGCATTCGAAACCCGCGCACAATTTCCTACAATAACATGCTATCCGATTTGTCTGAGGAAGCCAGGATCATCACAGAGGCGCTCGAGTATCATGCAACACAGAGTGGATGGCAAGCGGAGGAAACCGGCAGCTCAGGCGACGAGCTGAAACGAGCATTGCGTGGCACTATCGTTGAACTACCCCCATTGCAGAAGTCCAATATTATGATTGACCCTTTGCCCATCAGCAAGGAGAAGGAAAAGGTCCTGACCAGAACGCGCCCCAGCTGGCTTCCTCCCAAGGACCAAAAGGAGGAGAAGCGACACTTGAAAGAATATAAGAAGATGATGGCCCAGTCTCGTGAAATAGGTTCGCAAATCTATCCAGGCACGCTTCCCCTTCCCATCCGACTAACCCATTATTAGAAAAGCGCAAGGCCGCCAAAGCCGCTTCCGCTAAATGCGAGAAGGACGATACACGCGACGCGCTTAAACGTGTCTGGGATGAGTATGTGAATCCAAACTGGGATCGTGCCGTGACGGAAGCCCGAACTCGGGAGCTCTGGTGGCGTGGAGTTCCACCCCAGAGCAGGGGCACTATCTGGGGGCGGGCCATCGGCAACGAGCTCGCTTTGTCCGAAGATACATACACCAAGGCTTTGAAAAGGGCCAAGGAGGTTCGATCCAATTCTGAGGGGGATTCAGAAAACACCCCGAGAATAGGAGAGTGGTTCGCAGCGATTCATGAGGATGCGTCGAAGGCATTCCCCGAATTGCGTCTTTTCCAGGAAGGTGGCCCGTTACGGGAGACACTGATCGATGTGCTGGAAGCTTATTCCATGTATCGAAGCGATGTGGGATATATCTACGGCCTTCACGTGAGTGATTACTGCCCAGCGGAATATAGACAATGAAACTTAAGCTAACAAACTGTTGATGAAAGACCATCGCTGCTCTCCTCGTCCTGCAATTTCCCACACCTGCCTCTGCCTTTATTGCGATGGCGAACGCACTTAACCGACCGCTTCCCGTTGCCTTTCTCACCCTGGATCGAGGCGCCGTCAGCCGTACTTATTCCCTTGCGTCTGCGACACTGCGATATAAGTTTCCTCTCTTGGCTACACATCTTTACGAAACTCTCCGCCTCACGGACGAAGACATCTGGGAGCCAATGTTTCGTTCCCTTCTCACAAACGGGCTCGATCTAGAGCGTGTCTGTCGCGTCTGGGACTGCTGGGTCTTCGAAGGGGACAGGATGATTATTCGGTCCGCCGTCGCAGTTATGGGTTGCCTGCAGTCACAACTCTTTGTATTCAACAAGCCCGATGACCATAGCCGTATGGCTGTTATGAACATTCTCGGCTGGGGCCCGCGCCACCTGGGAGCCAAGCCCAGAGACCGGCACAGTGCTCCTGCAGCGACCGGGTTTGGCGGTGGGCAGTTTTCCAATGCCGGCGTTGGTGACTATTGGATCTTGACAGCCGCTGGTAATGAAGACGGCTTCATAAATGAGGTTAGAGAAGCGGGCAAAGTGCACGGTTAGGTTATGCCCGTGCACCTGGCCTTGAGACTGGGTTGCTCTCTCCGAGCTTCACTGGTTTTAGGGTTATTCTCGAGACTTCAATGTGTTATTACCATTTTCCATTCGCTGCTTTTTTCTTGGACATACATGTCAAGCGGTTCTGGGAAACCATGACCTACTTATAATGTCTTCATTCCTGTTTCACTCTTTTGGTATTGTTGTCTTTTTCTCTTGGTCATGACGGGAGTTGTCTAAATTGGACGTTCATTTTTAGACTGGACTGGCGGTGGCATCAGGGGCTTTCCCTTTCTCTTTCCGGTGTACACGCTACACCACCTTTATGGCAACTGGTCCGCCGTCCATAAGTCGAATTGGGTGGGTGCTATTAGCAGCCCTGTATTCTTGAGCAGCGATGGAGTACGTGTTTCTTTCGTTTGGCACTGTGACGGTGGTTTGCATCTTGTTCTACTGTCCTGTTGGTTATCCCTTAATCTATGTCTACAACTTGATTCTTCTCCTTATATTGGGTAGTGGAGTATGTGGAGTATGTGATGCTGTCTGCAATAGATACACAGGTCCTATAGCTGCTGCAACACGGACAGTAAGTGTAATTCTTCTCCATGGTCTAACAAGAATCACATGAGCACATGGGCTTCACTTGCTAGCAGAGTGTCAACAAAGCATTCTTTTTTTTTCCCCAATTCCTCTACACTCACTATGGAGGACCTTCTAGGTGAGGATAAGTCCTTCCTGAGGATTTAGACCTCTCTTGCTCTCCCCATTCTCCCTTCTCTTTAGTCATGGATGATGAAACAGGAGGCCTCCTTAGGACACGGCGGTATCGTTGCGGACGAGCGTGGGCTCGGCAAGACATTCACCACACTGAGCCTAGTCTCAATATTTTCCCGGAGGACAACAGCACCTCAACACCATCCGCGACCTTGCCGTGATACTGCCACAGGCTCGCTTGGAGAGACCTATGCACCTGGCTGCGGATTGTGTGAAGCTCAGGTACCTGCTAAAATATCTGCAGGATGAAGGGGCGTTCGATCTGTCGCGCCGAAATCCGCCACGCTACATAATCTTCGTTCAATGGCTGTTGGTTCTCTGGCTGGTTGAGATGCTTATTGACGCGCTCAGTCTCAACTATGTAGCCATCCTTCACAGCCCTCAATGCACGCATTTTGCGGTTAACGAATTCAACAATCCAGAAAGCCGGTGCCAGGTGCTGCTTACCACATTCGACCCTGGTATCATTCCGTGTCCACGCGCAGTACGCACGCGCCGTTATTATGGAGCCACCTCTGAATATGTGCACGCTATTCCACGCAATTGGATGATTGCACCAATTACGTCAGAAGCAGATACAGAAGGTGTTTATGTGTGCTTTTTCAGCCGTATGTTTCAACGGAGCTCCGGGCCATAATCAAGCTTGGAATGGATGCGGCGAGGAGTGCGGGACAGGATGAGATAGGAATGCTAACTACCTGATGATTAAAACAGTCAAGTCATTTAGCTGGGAATGTTGTCTTCAATTGGGAAGGGAGGAGCGTCCCTTTTGGTGGAAAGTCAAATGTCACATGGTTTACTGGCTTCAGCAATCGCTGGTCGTCGGCATCTGCAGCAAATGAAGCATAAATTAGACCTCCCTCCCGGCTGTCTGCAACATAATCTGGTTAATTGTTATCTTCCAGTGTGTTCAATTCCAACATGGCAGGATTCACCGTTAAATCCCTAGACCACCTCGTCCTGACTGTCCGCTCCATCCCAGAGACAGTGGCTTTCTACACGAACCATCTAGGCATGAGACATGAGATCTTCACGTCATCTGTTAACAGGAGTGTTCACAGGTGTGTTCAGTCTACATAAATCAAGCAATTCATCTACATACATACATAGAGATATGTATATTGTGTATGCATATTGAATACTAATGATAGTACAGACACGCCCTCATCTTTGGAGCCCAAAAGATAAACCTGCACCAACTCGGAAACGAATTCGAGCCAAAGGCCCAGACTGTCATGCCTGGGAGTGCCGATTTGTGTTTCCTGACTGATCGGGATGTGGGGGATGTTTTGAGGGTGTTTCAGGAGGCGAAGATTGAAGTAAGCTACTAACCTAGGTTTAGTACAACGAGAGCTAAGTTACGTGTGCTGATGCTGATGTCCTTGCAGGTCCTTGAGGGCTCTCAGGTAGTAGAGAGGACAGGGGCCATTGGGAAGATTAGGAGTGTCTATGTGAGGGATCCTGATGGGAATCTTGTGGAGTAAGTTATGTGTTGACTCTTTCTTGAAAGTGAGAGGCTGATCCATTCGCAGGGTGTCGAATTATGTTTGAAATGGACTAATTTAATACCTCATTATCATTAGAAGGAGAAATATATTATTATTCGCTCTAACCGACCCCTACGGTAACCTTCGGGGTCGCGCGTATTGCGCGACCCTGACAACCACCCGAGCACCCCAGCCACCCGAGCACCGATTTTAGAACTTCGTAGAATTCCAACCCATCAACTTTATCATATAATTCAACCACCACCACCATGCCCAAATTCAATAAAAATTATGAAGATCGAATGCTCAAAGCTATTGACGCGTTAAGCACACAAAATCCCCCAAATATCGCCAAAACTGCACGTGAATATGGAGTTAAACGGCAAACCCTCTCCGCAAGGTGGAAGGGACGGTCCAATCTATGTGAACGACCACCAACCAACACCAGATTATCAGAAGAGCAAGAAAAGGCTCTGTGTCACTATGTTGATACTCTAGAGCAATTAAATATAAAGCCACTTGCACAAATGATCCAATCAAGTGCCAATTCTATTCTGAGATCAACCCATACCAGCCTAGACACCCCTCCACCTACTGTCAGCGAGAAATGGTTAAACCGATGGCTAGGAAGGCATCCTGAATATAAAAGACGTCGCTCTAGAGCTATAGAGCTTGACCGCAAGCGTGCAGAGGATCGTGAGGTTATTCAGGAGTGGTTTCAGAAGCTCCATCAGACCATCCAGAACCATGGGATATTAAAGGAGGATATCTACAATTTTGATGAGACTGGCTTCAATATCGGTGTTGGTCGTGATCAATGGATTATTACCAGGGACTTCAATATTAATAAGCCTCATATTGGGATGAATTCAAACCGTGAATATGTTACTGTGGTTGAAGCAGTCAATGCAGATGGCTGGACCTGCCCACCACTTATTCTCATGAGTGGTAGCTGTATACTTACAAATTGGTTTGAAGCTGCTGATATTCAACAAGACTATTCAATTGGAGTATCAGAAAATGGCTATATGACTGATACAATTGCCTTCCAATGGATTCAGTCATTCTATCGGCATACTAAAAGATATAGGAAGGGTCAATATACCCTTCTTATATGTGATGGATACGGCTCCCATCTAACACATGAATTTGTTGAATTCTGTGAGAAGACCAATATCATCACCTTCTTCTTACCTCCACATACAAGTCATTTCTTGCAGCCATTGGATGTTGGTGTTTTTCATGCATATAAGCACTGGCATTCAGAAGCAGTTGCAGATGCAACCTACTCAGGATGCAGTAAATTTACTAAGGTTGAATTCCTTCATGCCTTAGGAGCAATTCGCAAGAAGACATTCAAAAAGCGTACTATTCGGCATGGATTCCAAAAGACTGGCATCATACCATTCAATCCATCAATTGTACTCAATCAAATGCCTCAACCACATCGTCCATCCTCTTCATCCACCAATACCAATGATGTTGATTCCTGGGGCAGTACGCCAAAAAAAAAGCTGAACGATTTAGGGAGATTGGTGATAGGATATGGGAGATTCATGATATCAACAAGGATCAATTTAATGAGGGCCTAGAGCTGCTTATTCGTGGTGGTAGTATGCTAGCATCATATTCAGCTGCTATCGAAGCTGAGCTTGACCGGTATATTAAAGCTGCTAGGGACCGCGCAGCTCGATCACAGGCCTCTAGGCGCAGGATTCGCAAGGGAGGCATAGTATCAAGCTCAGAGCTTGAAGCTATAAATCGAAATACTGCGAATATTAATGAGCAGGCTGAAATAAAGAGGTGGAGGACTAAGTATAAGCGTTGCCTACCAGAGCTGCTGGATGTGTGCATTCGACGAGGAATTATTATACGAAGGCAACGACATGCTAGGGCCCAAGCTGAAGAGTAGAGCTTTAGTTTAAATATATTTTGAAGTTAAATACTATAGAATTCGTTGAGATATTGAAGCTAGAAGGGGGGGGTCTAAAATTGGTGCTCGGGTGGCTGGGGTGCTCGGGTGGTTGTCAGGGTCGCGCAATACGCGCGACCCCGAAGGTTACCGTAGGGGTCGGTTAGCTACTATTGCCTTCATCAGCCTTGGCCAAGCATTGCATTCCTTATTACCATGAAATCCTCGCAATAATGCTCCTAGGATACGACCGAACCAACAACTTCCTGAACTCATCCATCATCAGGACTCCCGCAGCCAATCCCACGGGAATAAACCAGTACATCAATGGCACGGACATGGTGTTGAATAAACGCTGCAAGCCCGGTTCCTCCGTGACGAAGATAGCGATAGCCAACGACACCACCATGGACAGGGGTAACCAGGGGTTGCGTCTCTGCTTGCGGAACGGATCGGCCTGGAACAGGGACATGCGTTTGTTCCGGACGGAAAGCAGATTGCCCCATTGAATGATGACGAGCGTGACAAAGTACACGCACTGGCCCCTGTTGTTGAAGTCTGTGAGCTGCTGCTGCGTGTACCCGTAGAAACCGTCGGAGTATTTTTCAAAGCAGAGAGCCAGAGCGTGGAAGGGGATTCCGGCCTCGCGGTACATGAATAGAAAGAACATGCAGTGAGCACAAAAGGCCTCCATGACACCGATAAAGAGGTATGATTGTCCGTAGATTTTCATGTTGATCAAGTGGTCCCTGCGGTGGTCTCGTGGTGGGAGGCTGAGGAGGTCGAATTCTTCCTTCTCCATGATGAGGGAAAGGGAGCAGAGGAGGTCTGTGAAGACGCAGATGATGATCATGAGGAATGAGCTGAGCGGGAGTGGGAAGCCGAAGAATACGTTCAGGATCACCGGCCAGGCTTCAGACCAGCTGCCTGCTGGGAGGAGGTAGGCGATAAGTTTCTGCAGGTTCTGGAAGACAAGGCGGCCCAGGCGGATTGCATCGATGATCATGTCAAAGGACTCCAGGAGGACGAGATCGGCCGCTTCGATCGCGGTGTCGCTGCCGGATTTCACGGCGACACCGACGTGTGCTGCACGTAGGGCTGGGGCATCGTTGACCCCGTCGCCTGTCACGGCGACGATGTTGTGGCGGTCCTTGAACTCGTTCACGATGCGTAGCTTTTGTTCGGGGGTTGTTCGAGCGAAGACGATCTCCTCGTATCCGGAGATGAGTTCCCATTGCTCATCCGTGAGAGAGGACATCTGGGGGCCTTCGATGAGCAGGCTGTGTCGTGAGCGGAGATTATTCTCCTCCTTCTCGCTCTCATCAGAAGGAGAAGTGTCGAAAACGCTCAGGTCCTGCACGGTGTCTGGATCTGCGGATCCTGTGAAGATGCCGACATTCCTCGCGATCGCTGCAGCTGTCAATCCGAAATCACCTGTTACCATAAAGAACCGAATCCCTGCTCGTCGGCACTCGGCGACTGTTTGCGCTGTTTCTGGCCGCGGTGGGTCGATGATGCCAAAGATTCCAACCACAGTCAAGTCACGTACGCACTCGGCGAGGATTTCATCGGTGAAGTCATTCGATCCAACGGCTGCACGAGGGACGTAATGCCGCTGGCATAGCATAATCACACGTTCAGCCTGTTGTGACAGCTGGGTTTGATAATCGGTGATCATCTTCCGTGCTGGTTGATCTAGGGGCCGAATCTCGCCGTTGGCCGATAGATACGAGACACACTTGGGGAGGAGAATATCAGGAGCCCCCTTGACGTACACAAGGTATCCATTTTCATCTGCAGGATCTTTATGCATGGTGAGCATCCACTTGTTGTCCGAGTTGAACGGTACCTGATGGATCCTCTGATAAGATTGTGACAATTCGGTTCGGGTGTTAGGTTTGATGGTTTCTGCAAAGCGCAGGATAGCACAGTCAGTAGCATTACCACCGAGAGTACGTTTATCAACAGGCAGATTCATCGTTGTGGGATCGAAGAAAGCGTCATTACAGAGAAACGATCCCTGTACCAACCGATGCAGGGCTTCCGGAATAGAGATCGACTTGAGTGTCGCACCGTCGATGAGATCATCCACGCTATAGCTTCTGTCGGCAAGGCAGATAGACCTGACGAACATTTTGTTCTGGGTCAAGGTGCCCGTTTTATCGGAGCAGATGACGTTCACGCAACCCAGCGATTCGACGGTTGAGAGACCCTTGGGTAAGATGTTGCTCTTTTTCATGCAGTTGGCGATCATCATGAGAGTTAGGGCAACTCCCATTGGCATACCCTCAGGAATAAACGCGACAATGCAGCCCATTACGTCGTTCAGCATGGCCACCACATTCATGAAGGAATAATGATCTACGCGGATCCACCCGATCCAGGTGAAGAGAATCGCTCCGGCCAGGATGACGGTGAGGGCAATAACAATGAAAACGAACCGGTTGATTTCCTTCTGGATTAGTGTCAGGCCTTTGGCACCGTTCATCATCTTGGCGATTCGACCCATGACCGACCGGGAGCCAGTGAGGACCACGATGCCCACAGCGTTGCCATTGGTGACGCTGGTGCCCATCAGGGCGATGTTGTGGGTTTCGAGGAAATTGTCTTCGGTGCAGTCCACAGCGCCTTCAATTTCATCAGACTCGCCAGTGAGGATGGAACGGTCAAAGCGGACGTCACCAGAGCTTTGGAGGATGCGGATGTCGGCAGGAACCTTGTTGCCAACAGCGATGGATACGATGTCGCCCGCAACAAGGTCCCTGGAGGAGATGCGGACCTGGTTTCCATCGCGGAGGACGAGAGCTTCTGATGGGAGCAAGTCAAGGATGGAGTTCATCACCCTCTTGGTGGACCAGTCTTGAAAGGCAGAGAAGGAAGCTTGCAGGACAATGACAATGATGATCAGAATAGCCATGGCCAGGTTTGTAGGGGATGGTGGATTGCTCAGGGGTTGCCAGCAGATGAAGAAGACGATGACTCCAACCCACAGAATAGAGCAGAAGCCACCAAAGACATACAGAAGGATCTTTTTCAGGTAGTTCTCGCCGCGATTTTTGATGACGTTTGGGCCATCCCTCTGGAGACGTGTGGCAGCAGCCGACTGACTTAGGCCGGATTTGATGTCCACATTGAATCTCTGGCATAGCACATCAGGACTGACAATGTGAAAGTCCAGGCTTTCAAAATAGTCCTGGTTAGACTGGTTCTCCTTCTGCCTTCTCTCCTTGATGACTTCCTCAGGGGCGTTCTGGGATTCGGCGATCTGGAAGGAGAGGGTTCGAAATCCGATCGGAATATCTGCATGTGGAGGAGCCTGTGAGACACTCCTTGTACTTCTGATGGTCCCCCGACTCCTAGACCGGGCGTGTTTCGATTTGCGCTCTCGATCAGTTGGGCGTTGATCATCATCAAGTGAGTCCTCGAAGACGATACGGCTCTGTCGCCCAAGTTCATCGCCACCATCCTTGATCAAGTCACCCTCTGCTTCAACATCGACATCAGAGATGTCCTTTGAATCTGGGTGTTGTGCCATGAGGGAGAGGGTAGTAAGATGTGAAGGAAGATCTTGGAACAGAACAACCGACACGGGGGAGGGACCAAGACAGAAGGCAGGATGGAGAGGAAATTTTCAAAGACTCCATCCATGAAAGGACCCCGGTCTTTATATCCTCTCATGGTCAAGTCATAGCGTGCTATAGGCAAGAGTCAAAAGATTCCCCCGACAACGAAGATGGATATCTCCTGGTAAAATCTGACCACCAGTAACAGGTTGCGTGTATTCTTTCGCGTAATAGCAACACGGCAGACTCCATATATGACAATTCACCTGCCCTTTAAGGAAGCCAAGAAATGGAAAAGGCCGCATCGTCCATAGGGAGGGGGGAAGCTCCATGAGGACCAGGACGATGATATCATGTTCGGTGCGTCGCGATGTTGGAAACATTCCCAGTTGCTCCAATCATTTCCACCATAGCAGCCAGTGTCACAGGCCGTAAAGCTAAAATTTGAGGGATTTATCTTGTCGAACGGTGGGTTGCAAGCGAGCAGGTGCTTTTGACTTCAATCGACTCGACTGGGGAAAACGAAGCCAGATTCGCCAGGTTAAATCCCGCGTAGTAGTGCAGTTAATATGCACTCAATATGTGGCGCTTAAGAAAAGCTTGGCGGTATATCCACCAATAGTCATTCATACAGTAAAATAAAGCCCTGAGCTAACCCAGTTAGCGTGGTGATTTTAGTTGAAATGTGGTCCAAGTTCCCATAATCCGGTGTAAAATACCAACCTACTTGGTTAGCAGCACTGCGTTGTGGCTGGGAAAAGGAAAAATCCCTCGTATATCTCCTTCCAAATAATAGGCACGGTCTTCTTCCTGCGTGCTTTATTGAACAAATAGAGCGTTGGCAAAGTATGTAAGGCCAAGGAGTCCGTCTTCCAGATCCTCATCGGAAGTTTCACGAGATTAAATTCTCGTAAACACATAAGTAGATGAGATCCCTACGTTCAGCTTGCTTGACCTCGTCCGACTGTAGGTTTAGACAGTGATGACAGTGGTGGTGTGGGAGACAGTAGAATAGCCACGGGTTGCAGCCATGCAAGACGACGCAGCTGTATCCCTTGTAATTTTTAAAGACTTCCATGATTCTAATCACCATGAAATTGATCTAGAAGATAAGAGTTTAGACCTCAGAGACACCAGAGCATATATTCGTACTGCAGGGCAGTCCTGCATAGAGAAAGCGCTGTCTCCTTCCACCACGCGGTCTCATTTTGCGACCTCCCTGGCATCCATATTTGTCGTATTTATACACGTTTCAATAGGAGATTCAGTTCACAGCTTTGCATTGGTTTCTTTTCCAATAGACTCGCACTCGGGGACAACTTCCACCATCATTTTCCCCGTATTTGCGCCTTCATAGAGGCTTACCAGCCCTTGTGGTGCAGCCTCGATGCCACCCTTGATGATATACTCTTTACGCCGGATCTTACCCTGAGCTAACCAACTTGCTAGGTCTTTTAGCGCTGCCGGGTATTGTTTGATGTAGTCGAAGACAATGAATCCTTTCATGGTCACACGTTGAGACTGCAGAAAGCGTCAGTTTTCCCTCTGCAGCAGTAATCCACAGCACCAGAGCTCACAATGACATTCATATAGCTTGAAGGGCCTCTCGGTTTAGCTGCATTATACTGGCTAATGGCGCCGCAGATGACGAATCGAGCATTCCTCGCCGCCCGCATCAGACACGCGTCCAACACCTCACCACCAACATTATCAAAGAACACATCAATATACTCTGGCGTGGCATGCTTGAGTTGCTTTTTCCAGTCCGCATCCTTGTAGTTCACAGCGGCATCAAATCCTAGCTCCTTCGTCAGGAACTCACACTTCTCCTTGCTCCCTGCGATTCCGACCACGCGTTTGGCACCGTAGATCTTTGCGATCTGCCCGGCCACCATTCCCGTCGCGCCTGCAGCCCCGGAAACCACCACTGTGTCCTTTGGCGTAGGCCGTCCGATATCCAGCATGCCAAAGTACGCCGTCAATCCGGTCATGCCGAGAACGGCCATGGCATCCGTCGGTCGCCCGCCTGGTGGTATGACCACCTTCTGTGCCTCCTTAGGCCCCAGAGTAGCGTATTCTTGCCAGCCAGAATAGGCGACGACCCAGTCCCCGATTTTGTATTTGGATTGCAGGTCCGAGCCCACTGAGATCACCTGTGCGATGGATTGGCCACGCATGACGGCGCCGCGTTCCACGGGGTCGATGTAGGAACGTTTTGCGGTGAGCCATTGGCGCATGGCCGGGTCCAGGGAGAGATAATGCACGCGAACAAGGAGCTTGTCATTGGGGATGCGGTCGGGGACAGGCGTCGTTGTGAGGGAGAAGGTTCCCGCTGACAGAGACGGGTCGATGGCCGGAGAAGGCGGATTCGCGTAGATGATCTGCTTGTTTGTAGGCATGCTGAACGTGTGGTGTTGTAGAGCGTATGGCAGGGAAGCAGAGGAGACGCAGTCTCTCATTATTTAGTGATGAGTATGCTGACGATGGACCTCGGCATCTCCGTCGGTGCTTAGAGCATGCCGATTGTATATCTCCGCGAGTTCCACCTCCCTCAATTCATCTACTCAATGTACAAGCATCATAACCATCTGCAAATCTCGGTGCTATCTATCAATCCATCATTTGCATAGATTTCGAGAAGTCCATCGAAGCCACGGGAAGTCCATGATGCATTCCCTCAGACACCAAGAATACACCCATGGCTCTGTCTCCGTTCTCTGCCGACAACCCAACCAAAAGGCCTCATATTCGATTGATCTCCAGTTCTAGCCATCTTCACTACGGGCTTACTGGCATGCTCTCGTGATGATCGCCAGTAACCAACCGTCCATTTGCGCGTCATGGCACAACAGACTTTCTGACGTCACCACGAGGGTATATCTGTCTGGTTATATATATATATATATCGCCAATACATGATGTCGCCGCAGAACTGCTTGAAGGTTTAATCATTGTTAACCTTGGTTGAGTCACTGTTTAAACTAATACAGGATTATACTATCAGATAAATCATGGCAAGCACTGACGGTATGTCGAATCCATCGCCAAGACATGCGGATATATACTGACTGAACTGTCTCCTCCAGGTGTAGCACCTCCCTCCCCCCCTGCCGGCGTTCCGCATCGATCGGAGCTACTGAATAAACTTGACCCGCGGGCTCGCAATGATAATAAGAGAGAATACGATGGCAGCTACGGTGACAAGACAGCGTACGGGACTGTGAACACATCCACGCCGTCCCGCGTCTCTCAAGGCTCGTCTACCGGTGCACCAGGCATCGCGCATGTCGACGATCGCCGTAATGCCTACGACCCACGCACTACACATTTCAACTCTGCTACCGGATCGGGGTTTTCTACTGCGGGTGAGAGAGAAACAGAACTACAACAACGTGGTCATCCTGGGACTGTCCACCCCGAGCATGACCACGAGCATAGGCATCATCATGGCACTGAAACCAACCTGGACTCCTGGGCTACACGGACAAGTGAGCGCGCAGGTTCAGGAGTAACGGGGTTGGTGTCTGGTATTCATGTAAGTCGAAGCCTTTTTTTGCCCTACTGTACAGGGAACTAGCTGACTGGATGTTCCTTCTGTGCAGGGCGCCGGCGAAGCTCTCCGTGGCGGACTCATGGCGGCAGCGGATCGGATCTTCGGGGACAGCGAAGGCGCAGCTAGGAATGAAGAGATCGCACGGAAGGGGGAGGAGGAGATGAGGGAGGGGATATCACGGGTGTAGGGTGTAATCGGATTCTCATTGTTGATTTAATCAGATACCAGAATGCTCATTGTGGTGACATCATTGGCACGTGAAAGTGAGGCAACTCTTTTTGAAGTTTCTATATATAGCGGCTATGCAGCTGTGAAAATTCTAAAAGCCCAAGCTCGCTACTGCTTACGGTAGAAGGAAGCCATCCCGGTCTCTCTGGTCATATACGATCTCCAGGCGTACTACTACGGAGCCCACCGTCAGCGTAGTAATGAACGTCCGCCGTATCCACAGCGTATTCGATTATTCGGATTAATCCAGGAATTCCGGGGCATCCGTCGCACTGACATCATGCATAAAAAGAAGATTAATGCAGACAGGCAGCCAGAATAATCATAATCCCGGAAGAGTGTCCCTTCTGGGAAAGCGTTCGTGCCGGAGGGACTTCCAGATGTGCTTGCATTCTGTAAAAACCAAGCGGATCTGCCAATCTGCACATCCGACTCGCTTTTCCCTTGAATGCGACCCAAACCTTCGCCAGAGCTTGTCCCGGGTCCCTCCGTGGCGATTGGTTTAATAATACAGAAAAGTTTTTTTTTTTCCGCTGCTTTCTTTTTTATATTATTTTATTTGGCCGTTGCCGCCATTATTGATTAATAAATAGCTGCGTTGGTCTGCTGCTTTTAATACCGTCGCCCCTGCTAGTTCATGACTTGATTGCAGCCTTGCCTTGTCTTGTCTTGTCTGTATGGAGAGTCATTATTGTCCCTGTCAGTATTCTTCTAGGGTAATAATCATCAATCATATGGGCTGTTAATCTCCACTGTATTAGGCCATGTCTGTCGTCTCCGTAAATACCACCCGGAACCAGAAGCTGGAGCTGGAACAGGAACTGGAGAAACGTTCTCGCACCGCTGATGTGAAGGGAAAGAGCAGAGAAGGGATTGCTCCTTCTCCCCACCCCGTACACTCCAAGGATGATGCCGATGTGGATGATGACGACGGTGCCGATGATGAAGAGGAGGAGGAGGAGGAGGAGGAGGAGGAAGAGGAAGACGATGACGATAATGAGGGCGAAAGCAGTACCCGGCCTGGACATCCGCATCTTGATATGTCCCAGAAGGAGGACGAGGCGGACGAGATTGTCGGGGTCAGTATTGGAAGAGCCCAGGACCGCATCAAGGCCCGTTGCACGCCCATCGAGGAGAAAAACTTCATATTGCGATGGGATCTTGATAACCGATATGACACTGGTACCGATGACACTGTTCCTACGAACGAAGGCGGCGCCGGCTTGTTTCTGTCTGAAGTTACGGTGGAACCGGAGTCATTGGAAGGGGAGAAAGATGAAGGCGGACCGTATCCCGGACATGCAAGGACTCGAACTGCTTCAAGCGAGAATGGAGTCGGTAAAAAACCACCCAAAGACGGACGAGAAGGACGAGGAGGGAAACGGGCACCGCGATCCGGCCTCACTCGGTCCATCTTGAAAAGCCGGTCACGAGATTCCAGTCCCAATTTCAGCAGTCTGAAAAAGTTCCTGCCAGGTCCTCTACTAGCAGGGCCGCGGTCTCGCAGTCTCAGTTTGAAGCTGCCCAGGCCCCTACCCATCGGCTCGGACCGCGACAGGAAGCGCTCGTCGGATAAATCGCGGCGACGATTCTCTTGGATGAGTGGTCCAAATGGCTCCGTGGACAAGCGGGATCCTTCACGTTCGTCTCCCAGGACGGCGAAGGGCTTCGATTCACGCGTGCGCAGCAGCAGCACCGGTCCCGGATCCGGGACTGGTCATTCTCTGCGGAAATCCACGTCTGACCGGTCGTTGTATTTGACGTCGTCCTCTGCATCGTCGTCATCGTCACTCGAAGATGCGGACCGCTATGAGAACGTGCATTCGCAGGTCAACATTCGATTCAAAGCCATCAAGGATACTCTGCACGATTCCAGCAGAGGATTGCTCACAATGCCCTCGATCCCAGTGCATCTACCTGACTTCCGCTTCGGAGACAATAACAACCAGAATGGTCAGTCGGAAGATGCAGATTCCCGCGAGGCTCATAATGGAGGAAACGGCCCGCGCCAAGCCCCCTCGGACAACATGTATCCTGTCCTTTCCGAGGCCATGGCCTCTTTGACAGGCGACGTCGTCATTATGGGAGGCTACCGAGGATCCGTCCTGCGGTCCGCCAAACCTCCCCATCGGCAACTGTGGATTCCCGTGAAAACCGGCCTGAATCTCCGCAAAGTCGATCTGGAGGTCGGCCTGAATCCGGAAGATGAAGAACGTATGGAGGAGACTGTTATCCCTGGCGAGGTCCTGTCGCACGTTGGGCCCGTGGACGTCTGCCGCAAGTTGATCAAGAAGCTTCAGAAATGTGAAAATTCTGTCAATGGCGACTTGCGCGTCTGGGAATACGGGTACGACTGGAGGCTGAGTCCTCGTCTCCTTGCAGACCGATTGGTAGCGTACCTCGAGGGCCTACCTTGCAACGCCCCCGGTGTGCCGCCGGAGAAGAGAGGTGCCTATGTCATTGCACACAGTCTGGGCGGCCTCATCGCCCGACATGCCGTCAACCAGCGACCCGATCTCTTCGCCGGCGTCCTCTACGCAGGCACACCCCAGCACTGCGTCAATATCCTCGGACCCCTCCGTTGCGGCGAGGACGTTCTCCTGAACTCCCGCGTCCTCACAGCCCAGGTCAGCTTCAGCTTTCGCACCAGTTTCGCTCTTCTCCCCGAGGGCGGACGCTGTTTCATCGACAAGCGAACCAAGGAGCGGTACATACTGGATTTCTTCGATGCAAAAACCTGGGACGAATACCGACTGTCACCGGTTATCAACCCGCCGCTTCCCCCGTTGACCCCAAAGCACAGCATCGGCAACCTCCCGCTTATCGGGAAACGCTTCACAACCGTCAGAGATGTCTCTCCAGAGGGCAGCGGTTCCGACTCGGCAGGTTCGGGTACGAAGGAGGAGGAAACGACTACAGCACTGCCCCACGAACACGCAGACGGACACAGATACCCGCGCACCTTAAACCCAGACCAAGTAGCCGCCAGCGCCCTGAATCCAGATGCCCATGGCATGATCGGACCATCAACCGGTGCCCCCCGTGTCCCTCCAACCTCCAAAGCAGCAACGACCTCCACAATCCCCCGCCACGAAGCAATGAAGTATCTCGAACGAACCCTCTCAGAAGTCCTGCAGTTCAAGAAGGAGCTCGCCTTCAATTCAGCCCACCAGTCGGAGAACCGGTATCCACCCTTTGCCGTGTTATACGGCAAGTCCATTCCCACCGTTTACGGGGCGAGAGTCTGGTCGCGAGAACAGATCAAACACCAGGATGCGTACGACGATCTTGCCTTCGCTGCTGGAGATGGGGTTGTGCTCGCGTCTGCATCTATGCTGCCGCCCAAGTACCGCATTATCAAGGGCGGGTTGGTGAAGAGTGAGCGCGGCCATGTCAGCCTTCTGGGGGATCTGGATGGCGTGGGACAGTGTCTTTCTGCGCTGGCTCGAGGGCGTAAAGAGGGTGTTGGGTTGGGCTCTGCTTTTTCGACTACTTCTGCTTCTCCGTCAACGGAGGAATAAGTAGGATATCTTTTTTTTTTTTTTTTTCATGGTTGCATGATGTTGATGATATATATGCTTATACCCCTTTCCCCGCTTTTGTGTTAAGAAGGTTAACTCATGATCCGTGCGAAGACTGTCTGACATCGCATACAGAGTTAGAATTGCATAGCTTGCATGTAATGTAATGGCATTAATGGGCGTCGATTGCGCGTACTGATATTTTCTTATGCTCTGTCTATGTACTCCGTACAGCGATAGCGACACTAGTGAAGCATGCATCTACAGCATAGCAACAAAATCAACTTGGATGTCCACTCCAGCTGGTAACTTCGAAACCACCATCGAACGGGCCGGTTTATGAGGAAAGGCCGTACGTGTCCGGCAGCTTTGATTGCTTGAGACTGTTGAAATAGAGATATTTAGTGCTATTCTCACTTTCTAGTCTTTCAATGTCTACATGCTCTTTCATTTCCGCATGAGTTATTTTATTACATGCGTAATGTGCAAATGCTTCAAATAAGTAGATGCAGATGGTTAGCAACCTGCCAGAAACAAAGTGCTTTGGGACTAGGCTCACGAGCATATGCCCTGTCAGTATAGACACTCGCCACGGAGGAATCCGACCTCTTCGACTGTGAATATAAAATGAAGGATAGCAAGCCGAGACTGTCTTTGGACCAGCTTGTCGAAGACAGGCGATGAGAGAAGGGCTGATTACACGCCTGATCATGTCAACAACCCGTAGTGATTAATAATTAATTAATATTAACTAGTTATAGATAACTAACTAATGACAAGTGACATGGACAAACCCATTTCACTAAGGGAAATAAAATTAATCGGGCTTTCAAGGCAAACCGCAGAACAACCACCTCATCAGAGGAATCCAAGATTTCAACTGAAGAAAAATCTGTTGCAAACACAGCTCGCCAAAGTTCTGGTTCACGACATCTGGTCATCAATTAGAAATGGAGGTTCAATATGTGGCAAAAACTTACTATACGGTTGAGGAGATGAAGTACGACAGTCAAGTATTAACCAGTCCTTGAGCCAACCATCATGGATCCACTGCGTGTAATTGCCATTGTCGACAAAACGCTGACAATACTCTCCTAGCCGATCACCCTCGTAGGGCAACTCTATGCCCATCCAATGTCTGGGAGCCTGAAGTCGATTCGGCCAATTCCATCGCCTGGCCATTCACTAGATATTTTGGCGAAAAATCCAAGTAACCGACCCCTACGGTAACCTTCGGGGTCGGTTACGTCGTGTAGCGCCCGATAGAATTCATCTTGGTACACAGCCTCACTGGTCGGACAATAGCCCCAGTACCTAGTCGCGGTTCGCAAGAAAGGTCTCTGAAGTGAAACTGCCGCAATGTCGCTTCAACTAGATCGTTAACAGAAGGGTATTTCCCTATGGGAAATGGTGCAGACGAGCAAGATAGATAGTGCTCCACATATGTATCATAATATCAGCAATGTCTAGTAGATTTATTGCAGGGGCAGCCGTGATAAGTAGAGGATAAACGGCAAGGTGGAGTTAGGTACAGCAGTAGGACGACAGAGCTTGGATGATCTGCGCCAAGATTTGGTGTGTCACATGATGATAAGCATTAGTTAATGGAGGATATGCTTGTCCATTGGGAATGCTAGCTAGGGGAGAACTATCTAACTAACGCAACCTAAACGAAGGCGGTCTGAGATAGCAGAACCCATTTAATGACTTGAATGAGTGTATTGAGTAGTTGGTTAAGCTCTGGAGCTCAGCAGCAGCTAGTTAACTAAGTGTACTAGGAACACATGACCTCTAAGTCAGACAGTGTTGCAGCTCGGCTTGGGTCTTTTCGCTCCGCGAGTCGTTCCTGTTGGATCACGTGGGTTTTGCCTCGGTTGACCGCCCTCGCTTGCCTGACACACACTAAAATAGTTAGACCAACATAGAGACAATCAAGCAAGTTGATCCAACAGTTCCTTCTTAGTAATCAAAACACAGTCATGCGACTCTCGCAGGAGCTATACGCACAATGGAATTGATTCCAACTCGCACCAACTATTTCACCCTGCGGGTCCCCAACATCGTGGCAGGGCCTGCTCCGTAGCCTGTAGCACCTGCCCGCGCGGACTGGCGCTCTTTTGTATCTAAACTACCCCTAGCCGAGCTAGCTTCGGCCGTTTTGTGTTCCGTTCCGGAATCTTCGGCACGTGTGTATCACGTGCCTTATTCTTTCAGACGTTCAATAATGCAATCAATCAACTATTTCACCTTCTTACCACATTCCAACCACCCATGGCTGGAGAGGAGTTAGTAGTAGTTACCCTGAGCTATTCTGTGATGGTTAATATTCAATTGGTTGGTAACTACTTATAGACTACTCAACTAACTATAGATAAGAGGCTGTGTAAGCAGTTAGAAACCAGCTATCATATATATTCTATGAAGAAATACTTAAGGTTGGAGAGGGAGCCAAGCCGCCATACCACGTGACCTTTCCATATCAGATTGTTAATCATGAGTCTGGAAATTAAGGAACCAAATAGTTAAATAGATGAACAGATAACCAATAATTATATTATGGGACACTGCTAATTCCATTCCTGAATCTGACTGCACAACTTAATTCTCAATCACTCCACGATGGCAGCACAAGGAAAGATTGTCAGGCTATTTGCAAGAAGGTAGGTGAATTAATTCTATTCACACGATGCACAGATATATTTACTGATCATCTACAGGTCCATATTGTCTCCCAGGAGTATACCCATTATTCGTTGATGGCCAGCATCCGAATGAACTCCTCAGCCGCTGCTAAGCCAAAGAAGGATGATGCAGCCGCAGCAGCAGCGCAAGCAAAATACAAAATTGTCCAAAAGCTAGACAACTTCAACGAAATCCAGTCCAAGAGACCAAACTTCGACCATTCCCGTACCCCAATTGAAGTCACCAAATCACCATACCCCGACTGGGGGTATGGCCAAGGCGTACCAGACGGCGGAGTCAGCGCGAGCAAAAACCACGTCGAAATCGACCCCTACGTATCCGATCGTCCCATGGTCAACAACTACCGACTGCTAGTCTCTGGGATTGCACCGCGCCCGATCGGATTCATCAGTACAATCTCCGGTGATGGCGAAAACCAAGAACCTCGCCCCATTCAGTTATTTCCAGGTCATTGATCATGACCTGCCCATGTTCATTGTGGGATTCTCGTCTCGACCGGGTCGGGTGAAGGGTACCTATCGCAATTTGAAGGAGAGCGGGGAGTGTGTGATTAATACCGTCTCTGAGAACATGATTGAGGCCGTGAATGCCACGTCGATCGATGCTCCCTATGGTCTTTCTGAGTGGGATGTATCCGGTCTGCATGAGGTGCCTGCGTCAACCGTCAAGCCCTCCCGTGTCAGGGAGCCTGTCTTCTCTGTTGAGGGGAAGGTAGTTGATATTAAGGAGTTCGATGATCACCGGCAGCCCGGCATGCGTGTTACTGCTGTGGTCTTGATCAAGGCAACCCGGTTCTGGGTCCAGGAGGGTGCTGCCGATGCGGACTTCAGCCATATCGAATTGGATAAGTTGCGGCCTCTGTGTCAACTTGGTGGCATATCCTATGGCCGTATCACTTCTACGTTTGAGCAACCACGGAAGCGGTGGGAGGATGAAGCTTCGAAAAGTGAATTGTTGACGGAGCTGGAGAAGACGCAGCGAAGAGCTTGGGGATGCGAATTGTCCTTTGTAAATATGTGAGATAGCCGTTCACATCATATAGAGCTTTTCTGTTAATAGATTTCCTGCATTTAACAACGCATCTCACCTAGAAACTTACTATTAGCGTGAGAGAAACCAACTAACTACCCAATCTGCAAGAATTGTCTGCTCAAAACGGAATGGATGCATATCGAAGGATGCAGGGAGCCCCTCGGTATGCCAACCCGACCAACAAACATATCCGATGACCTCCTGACTATGAGACAGTATTTAAAGCGTTCATTGCCCCAGAATCCTTAGCTCAGATATTCATCCATCCGCACACACCATTGTCCCTAATCATACCTCTCTTACATTCACGAAAGCTCGTTGCTGGTGGTTAGTCTTTAGTTCCCCCCTTCAACATCCATTTTCTTGCATTGAGGGAGTCAGCCCTGTTTGAATAACCTGCAGGCGCCATCTTCGACTCATACCTCGAGGAAGGCAAAGATGCATTGTTCCAAGGTAGCGTGATTGTATACATTGGCGAGACGGCCGAGGAGATGCACAATCTTACCAACAACGACATTTATGCGAAGAGTGGAGTTTGGGATTTGGAGAAAGTCTAAGTATTTCCTGTAAGCATATCCAGGTCTATCTATTGTCCTCTCCCAAGTTAAGCTGTGCAGGTCTGGTCTAACTCAATGATCTTCTTTAGTATGTTCCGGCTGTTCGCAAGGCTATGAACCAGTCATATTTACGTTGGACTTTCATGCAATAAATACAGAATTAAACAGATGTTATTCGATGTGACTCGTAGTAGCGAACGATGTCGTCGGGAGTGATGAGCAGCCCTAGGTAGGGTTCTGGCTTGCTGAATATCAAGTTTCAACTTTCTATTCTGTCTTTCTGGCAAAAGTAGCCACAGTACATATTGTAGCTGTTATAAAAGTACATTGCCATTATGCTCTATCATTCATAACGATCCATGCCTCATTCCATCCAGAATTTTTGTCTATTATGATTTACAACCAAAACAAGGCAAATAAATATAGATTTTTTTGCTTTCCCTTCGAAAAACCGACCTGGAGCACAAAACCAAACAAGTACCCAAATCATGAAAGCCCATGATGCTTGAACTAATCGGTTCGGGAATTGGCAATGTTGAGAACCAGGATATCCGTGGCGCCGACCTTGCTCAATTCGTCCATAACCGTCGCAATCGCCTTCTTCTCTACCATAGCGCTGACGGCAACCCATCCATCAGCATCTAGGGAGGTAACGGTAGGGGCACGCTTCCCAGGCGTAATCTTGCATGCTGTAGACAGCTCGCCACGGGGGATATTGTACTGGCATAGAACGTATTTTTGGGCAGCTGATTAACGTAAAGACGAAGTGGTTAGTTTATTACACCATGACTGAGGGCCAGGGGGATATCATTACTTATGACACCACGGATACGGGCTGTGATAAGATCCACGAGGGGTTGGCTGGAGTTCTTAGACTTGACCAGGACTGCGGTGGATTCGACAACGGTGTCGATGGCCTTGAGACCAGCTGCTTTCATGGTTTCACCGGATTCTGCATAATTCCGTCATATTAGACGCGATTTCCATGGCTGGAGTATGACAAGAAGCACGTACCAACCAAGTCGACAACACCATCCGCAACACCCAACGCACAAGCAGCCTCGACACTGCCGCTGACATACTTGACCTTTGTGCGCAACTTGGTGACATCGCCGTGGCCCTCCAATTTGGCAAAGAAGTCTTGTGTTAAAGAGGTGAAGCTCGTAACCACGTTTTTACCGATCAATTGTTCCGCCTTCGTCATATCGCCTTTCTCCGGGACCTGCACCTGCAGCTTGCAACGGCCGAATCCCAGATCCAGGATCTCCTCTACCCCAGAGTTATCTCCGAGCGTGACATCGTGCTCTGCAACCTGATCGCGGCCTGTGATGCCAATGTCCACTCGACCCTCTCCGATGAAGGTGGGGATGTCTGCGGCCGGAAGGAAGATTAAGGCGATTGGGAGGTTTTTAACCAGGGCGATATCGAGACGGGTTTCACGGCGGAATTGAATATCAGAGCCGGACAGGAGATCTAATGTTGCCTGTTGTAGCCTTCCCTCTGTGTAGAGAAGCGAGAAAAAATCAGTCTTTGTTCGCGGTGGCGGGGTCGGACCACGCAGCGTGAGTCACAAAGCGACCTACTCTTGGGAACGGCGAAGAGAAGCCGTCCTTCGAGACTAGGAGATAGTCAGTATGGAAGAGGTTGTAGGAGGGTTTTCTGAATACGATATGACGCAGATTGGCCTTACTGATTGACGAGATCCATGTCAATTGGCGATTACAGCGACTGCGGGGGGTATGACGGTGGGAGTGGTTGCTCTGAAATCGACGGTTTCAATCTTAAGATTAAATCCTACATGTGTTACTGCCTGATACCTTTCTGCCTTAATACCTTAAGGCCTGAGGTATCAGGCATCTATAAGCCCTAGCGGCTTTACCCGATCGGGCAGCCTCGCCAAAACCCAAAAATCCCACACAACCAAATTATCCGCATCGAATCGCATCGCGTCGCAACTCTCGCTTCTCCTCCAAGCCGTCACGCCCAGTCCAGTCGAGTCGAGCCTACAGCTTCTCTCCGCCAACCACGCAAAGATGGATTCCAGCAAGCAGCCCGTTAAGCTCGTCAAGGTCACCCGTGTCCTCGGCCGTACCGGTACGTTCTTTCTTTGACGTTTCAAAAGCGTTGGAAAAGCCCAGGCATACCCGTCGTTTTGTCGCCGATTTTGGAGGAGGGAGATAAATAAGGGGCGAAAGAAAAATCCTGCCACGAAAAGACAAATGCACAAAGATTGGGATGGGCTTCCTCTTTTTCTACAGTGACTGACATCTGTCAATTTGGATTCCTACAGGTTCCCGTGGTGGTGTCACCCAGGTCCGTGTCGAATTCATGGACGACACTTCTCGCAGCATCATCCGTAACGTCAAGGGACCAGGTATGGCTTAATTCCGAGACCCAAATTGAAAAAGGAGAGAAGAATTTATCAAAGAGAGGGAACGACAAGAACAATGAGAGGATTTTGACGAGAACCTAACACTAACTACTATCCTCTTTTCCGCGGCTACAGTCAAGGTCGATGATATCCTCTGCCTGCTCGAATCCGAAAGAGAGGCCCGCAGACTCCGATAATTTCCTTGCCATCGTCTTTTCCTCCGTGTTTCTTCTTTTCTTTGGACGTCATGTACGATTTGCTTGCGATGGAGGAGATAGATTCTGAATCCGGGAACCATCAAGGGAAGCAAAAGAAAAAGGAAAAAATCTTTTTTAAAAGGGCAGAGAGCGTGGTTGGTTTTTGCTTTAACCTGCATGGACATGATATCGCATGGCATGGTCTGATCGCGATTGCGAAATGCGAACCGGGAAATATGCGAATGGATTGTTTTTGATTCTTTTTTTTAACCTGACTTGTGTTTTCTGTTTTTCGTGTATGATCTCGAAGAACGAAAGGAAAGGGAGGGCAAAGAGAAAACAAGGACATAAACAACCTTCGCATACGGACAAAAAAGGGATACATACAATATAATGGGACTCGGATTGATGAACTTGGAGTGGCCTCTTTCGATCAATTCAATACATGATTTGACTCCAAACGAAACGGTCTTCTCTTCTTAGAAGTTGCAGGTAAATGCCTAACGTCGAACTTAGCCTCCGACCCGGCCACCCTGAGAACGAAGATACGCTATGGGAATTTCTGGGGTAAGAGAAGTTCAGCATCCTTGGATTCTCTCAAGCTTGTGCGATAACTCAAAGGCCCAGATTACATGGTATCTATGGTATATGCCTATGTCCAAACAGATGAGAGAGATGAACAGTCCAACGCTGCTTAGCCCTTCCAGCCTACAACTGCTCGGCACTACTAACAAGTCGCTCAATTAATCCTTCATCCCCCGGAGAAGAGCCATCTCCGATCATCTTCCCAACGGACCTGATCAATCCTTCCAGCCTTCGTCGACGGATCTTCTCCTCCAATGCTGCACTCTTCTGCCTGGCCACATCCAGTACAGACGTGGGTAAATTGGCCAACCTCGCAACATTCAACCCGTAGCTGCGGTGTGCGACGCCCTCGCCCACCTCGTAAAGGAAGGTGATCTCTTCGTCATCGGCTGATCCAGACCCGGACTCCGTGAAGCGCATATGCACGTTTCGCAGCTCGTGATCTGGGAAGGAGCGAGCCATACTTGCCAGATGCTGGTAGTGCGTGATGAAAAGCGTGAGGCTTTTCACCGAGCGCAGCATGTAATCCAACACGGCCTGGGCGATGGCGACGCCATCGTGCGTAGACGTGCCTCGGCCAAGTTCGTCAAGGATCACCAGTGAGCGCGGCGTCGCCTGCTTAAGGATGTCTGCTGTTTCTGATAACTCGACCATGAAGGTCGACTCGCCAGCAAGCATGTTGTCGAAGGCACCCATGCGCGTGAATACGGCGTCTAGCATGCCCAGTTTTGCAGATTTTGCGGGGACAAAAGATCCAATCTGTCCCATAATGGCGATTAGGGCTACTTGGCGCACGTAACTAGATTTTCCACCCATGTTCGGACCCGTCACGAGGAGGGCTCGCGTTCCATCGCTTTCAAGGTTGATATCATTAGGTACGTAGGTATCCAGGATGATCTGCTCGACCATGGGGTGACGGCCTTGTTCCACCTGTATGCAGGTCTCTTGGGTGTACTCAGGTTTAACGTATCCGGGCTGGCTAGCTATAGTTGCGAGAGATAGTAGACAGTCTAATGTTGCTAGAGACTGTATGCAATCTCGGAAGGACTGGTAGCTAGAAGAAATCTCGGCGAGGAGTTCCATATACGCCGAATCGCATGCCGCTGCTAGGGCTTCTTTATGTTGATCTCGCTGTCGCAGCATTTGAATGACCTGGGGTGTGTGGAATCGTGAGACGCTTTTTGTGCCACTCATTTTTACCCATGATGCAGGGACGCGGGCCATATACACCGATCTATTCTCCACTTCGATGAGATACTCAATTCCCCCAACCGTCGTGTATTGCACCTTGCTTTTCTTAATTGCTTCTGCTGCTTCGGTAAGATGTTCCTGCAGCTCCTGCTCGACGCATGCAATCCCAAGCTTTTCCTCCGTGATCTCCTCCGTTTCTTCCGCTTCCCGGAAGAAGGAATACTTGTCATCGTTTTTAGCTGCATGCAGGTTGATCTTTTCGAGAAAGTTCTGGACCTCCTTCAGAATTACGGGGAGGGAGGCAACGGCATCGCTTACTGCAGGCGACGTAAAGCAAGAATCTGCAGGAGAATCGATATCCGAAAATTCTGACGATATTATGTGCATCGTCTGTAGAAATGTAAGAAGCTCTGGTCGAGTGCACTGGACAGAACTCGTTAGCAAGGTTTATTGAACATTTAAACACAGACCTGTTGCTTAGGGTCCATTCTAAAAATACCTTTCCGTAGTATATTCGAATTAGGCTTTTCTCTAGGTCGGTCTTCACTTTCGCTAGTAGCCGTCTGATTCTCTCAACCATACTGACTTTGTCTGGACTGTTCAGTTCCGCCACAGCGTTGATCCTCTCTTCAAGTCGGGATTTATCTAGCAAAGGTCGACCAACCCATCGCCGAAGCAACCTTTGTCCAAAACGCGTCTGCGTTCGATCCAGCGTCCAAAATAAACTGCCTCTCGCCGTTTGGTCTGTCTGGTTTTGGTAGATTTCCAAGCTCACTAATGTATTCCCATTAAGAAGCATATGTGACTGCGCGGAGAAAGGTTGGAAATATTTCGTAAGGTCGAAGACATGTTCCAGGCCGTACTCAGTCATGTGTTTGATCATGGCAGAGAGACAGATAGTGACTTGCTCAGGCAGAGTGAGCACTTTCTCGAGCAGGTTGCTCGCCTGTACATCGTCCTTCGTGCCAGTGGCCTTCATCTTGCCAGCGTAGAAGCTCGATACATGGCTATGAGATTCTGCCGCTGCGGTCTTCGGTTTGGAGGCCCTCTCTACACGGACCTGGTCTCCGAAGACGTTCGTCTTGCTACCAGATAAATGTCGAAGAAGCTTTTCTGTCGCAGTTGAAGGTTCGCCAACGATGAGGAGCTCGCAGGGTGCGATATGAAGAAGCCTCGTCTCGATTTCACTTCTCATAAAACCATCCTCGAAGTCATCATATATAACGTCTCCGGTTGCTGGCTGCACCGCGACAATCCCCACATGGACTTTCTCATCATTTCCCCAGCCTTTGGAATTTGTCTCCGTTATGCAAAGCATATATCCAGTTGCAGGAGACGCATCGCTTGAGGCGGCTGGCATTTCCAGCCCCTCCACATCGTCAATATAAGTCGCCTTGGTGTATAGATTCGTGAGTCTCCGGACAAATGGAGCGTTGCGATTATCGCTTGCAGCCTTCAGGGCAGCGGTTTCAATCTGCCTTACAACGCCAACCTTGTGCCCAGCAGCGACAAGCCGCTTCACATGCACATGCAGTCTGTGTACTGGGATGCTAGCAGATGCAAACCGGTCGAGATGGGCTTCCGACGGATCTAGAGAACAAATCGCCATTAGCACATGCATCGCTAATTGCTTTTAATAGGGGCCTTCCATACGTTCATCAAACCTCAACTTCCCAGGAATGCAAACTATACTCAGTTCTTTTGCAGCAACCCTTGCGTCTTCGCCAAAGAACCGAAACTTATACCCAACCTCCACAACGAGTATAGTGTCCATATGTTTCCGCTTGATGTCGATGACCTGCCTTTCCATCGGTGTAAGTTTGCTCCCGCCTTTCTTCGTAAGAGCCTTCCCCCTTCCATTCAATGGCGGGTGTTGCGCAGGCCCCTCATCCTCGTCAGCCCCTTCCACTGCATCTGCTCCATCCTCGGCGATTCCAGCTTCTCCGGCACCATGAGAATTGCTTCCAATCCCGATAAGACAGTCGGGTCCACCCAGTTTCTTCACGAATCGCTTATGCAACCTCTCCCTTTCCTTCTGCTGCCGTAGTTTCTCCTCACCATCCTGCAAATTCTCAGCTGGGAAATCGTCGTCGAGAGCAGGTGAGGTCGCGAATCGAAACCGGTCCGTCCATTGGCTGCTGGTCGACGGTGCAGCCTCCTCGACGTTGAATGAGCATGACACGGGAGAACTCGGGTCTGCAGATATATTTCTTGACGGTAGCCCATTGGTCCTTGTCCGTTTAGGTGCTGGTACCACTATGTCTTGGTCTTCGTTATCCGAACTTTGTTCGTTATTTCGTACGTGGGCGGCCTCCTCAACGGTGTCTCGGTTCCGGTGACCTGTCTCCTGAGGTTGAGCCCCATCTGACGATGACTTCTGCGCAGCTGGTGTCTTCTTGGCAAAAAAGCTTGAAATAGACTGCTGCTTTCGTTTCAAAGTTGAAGACGAGGACGATGCTTGCGAGGACGAGGGCATTTTTCTCGATCGATGCGGTGCGTCGCCTTGAAAATGGTACCGGCCAAACCAGGTCTATCGGGGACCTCGTAGTTTGAAGCAAATCCGCGGTTTGGAATTCAGGTCAGGATGTCCAATCATTCTAGGGTAATTGAAGTAAATGAGACAATCATATCTTGAAGCGTTTCCGGAGAAGGCATGTTAACGCCATCGAAGCTTGACGCGTAGAGACGCGAACGCTTAAAGTGGCTGACCTAATCCAGACCTCCGGCAAGCTAACTAACTATTATTAACTATTACTCCATACCAATTTATTCCCAAACCAGTCGCTGCATAATTGCATTGTTATAATGATTATGGTAAAGTAAACATGAATTCTATGAGTTGAATGGCTCTCCCAATTCTCCCAGTGGAACATGACCGGTATTCATGCGGTATGTATAATGAGTGGTAATATAGTAGCTGACATACAAGCGGAAGCTTGAGGTCGATTTATAGTAAGAATTAAACAACAGCGATGCTATTGTGTCTAGTGCTTTCAAGCCACAATTGATGGCAAAAAATGTTGTTAAGTTCAAGCTCTCTGAGGCATCGAGGACAAACCTGAAAGAGACTGTTGTTCAAGGCGGACAATCAAACCATCGCAAGCAGCGTCTAATATGAACTTCCGTCCAAATAGAGGCGCTCAAAGTCGTCCTGCTCCGTGTCAGATATTGTCCCGTCAGGAGAGGCGGCACGCGTTGCAGATTGGCAGTCAAAGGTTGGACTGATGTCTTTGTATATATTATGATTTTCTTTCTCCTGGGCGGGTAGCCGTGGCAGGGAGATGGCCAAGGGATTCCATGAATACCCAGAGAGGTCGTGGCCATCAAGAGGGCCGAACGTGGGGCGTGGGGCGTCACTGAAGAAGTAATGTGGTGGGTAACCTGTGTCGCCGATATAATTATTGCGCTTTATAAATGGTGAGCGCCAGTTGTCGATGGTGTCAATTCTGCCTTGGATGTTCAGGATCGGCTCGAGGTTCTCTTTGCCCATTGGATGACAAGCAGCTCTCCCGATGAAGCCTGCAGCATAGTTACTAGAAGCAGGAGGCTGAAAAGGGCCGGTACCCAGAGTCTCTTGTCGGGGCATTGATGAGCCCAAATATGGTCCGTCTCCATGGCGCTGGTCCTTAGAGCTCGACTTGCCTTGATTCTTGTCGTTGAAAACAGCAAATCCGCCGCGAGTCCGTTCACCAAATCCTCTGAGAGACAAATCGAACTCGTCATCGCCATTTCTAAGAGGCTGATTGCCACTAACAACACCACGAGAAACGGGAATTTGGTTGGCGGCATCCCGCACAGAATGCCTGCTGGGACCGACACTGGCGACTCTTTTTATCCTCTTTACATCCTGGCCACGCTGAGAAACGATGTTCGGGTCGCGTTCCGTGAAAAGCAAACGTTTGGGACGGACTGCACGCCGTTTCGGGATCGGCGTTTCCCCCTTCAAAGGACTGCTGTCCTCGACATCACCATTGATCACCCTCTGCTTTCGTAAGATCCCTGAGGGAGAGAAGACAAGTTCCGTGGGCTCCACACCTAAGGAAGTCTTTTCCATCATTTTCAAGACACTCTCATCCTTTTTCTGGTTCCGTTTGCGCCTCATCTGTTCCGTGGCAGAGTCGAATATATCCATTCCAGGCCATAGAACTCCCTTCAACCTCGCTATTTCATCTGCCCTTTCCCTATCGGTACCCTGCATAGTAGGGGTGCTGTCGAGATTGCCACCCTCATCAATAAATGGATCAGAACCAAACCCCCTTTGTAATAGCCGGGGATCTATTTCATCCTTGGCTTCTGATCCATGCCCGCCAGACCAATGGGGCGTAGCACGCAGTATTGAGCCGATTTCGTCTTCCGAATCCGAGTCGTAATCCCTTTTCAACTGGCCAGGTGCAGGCATTTCCGGAGACCTCCCTAGTGCCGATGTGCCATTGAGTCGAAGGTGAATCTTCTTTTCGTCCTTTCTAGTTGGGATGGTGTAGTCAGTTGGGAAGGATGGAGAGTCTGCATCCCTTGCTATCGGGTCAATCTTGAGGTCCGAAAGATGCGGATCGAGGAAGTCCGAGAAAGACTTGCGTGTCGAGGTGCATACCCTCGGTGTCGCTCTAGGTTCGGCATTTTCCTTGGGGGCAGGAAACGATGCACCTTGGGCAACAGCTCTCACCTGACGTCTTTTATGGCGAGTTTCCTTAGATGCCATTCGATCAGAGAGTAACTTGGCCAGATTGTTAACCTTGTACCATCTGTCATATTCTTCGAGAAGTTGACCAGCCTGGGGCTCCTGATGGCTGCGGACCTGGAGCTTGAAGTAATGGGACAAATGGGCCTTGGATGAGACATGGGTTAAAAGATGGGATACATCACTGAATCTGGGTCGCTTGGGGCAGATGTTACACAGAAGTGCAGCTGCGTCCATTGTGGACGGACAAGACCGATTGAACAGAGAGTGGGAGATAAAACCAAAACTAAAGGAAGCGACAAGTAAGATATGCAAATTGTTGCTTGTACAAGAAAGAGACAACGGCAAAATGGAAGCACAAAAAAGGAGAAGAGAACCAAGACAGAAAGATGGTTCCTTGGCTGACACAAATGAGTAAAGAGAAGCTGCCGGGGGGGTTGAAGAACAAGAGATGGAAGAGAAGGGGAGGGGAGTCGCCTAGAGGGAAATGGAATGAATGCCCGTGACAAAGAGAGAAGTCACATTTGCCAAGTTGGGAAATAGGTGTGGTGCGTTCTGAGAAGGAGCCCTCCAGACAAGGGGGGCCATCTGTATATGTGTCACTACTGTAGGAGTCCTAGCACAGCGGTAAACAATGTAAAACACATTTTTTTCATTCACAGATCTACTTTGTTACTAGAGAATGTCCCTCTGCAACTTAGCTGGCCTTATGTTGACGGGCCACAGGTAGGTGTGGTATGAAGCGGATAGAAAGACACAGAGGAATACTCTTCTCCTGCCTTGTATCCCAGATCCATGAAACCAAGGGAAATGGGCTATTAGATTGCAGGAGGTGACCACCACTACGACTTCCAAAGAGAACTTCAACAGAATGTCTGTTCAAAAGCTGTCACTGTTACCTCGCCAAACATTTCGTTGTTATTTCTTTTGGCATACAACTAAGACTCAAGTCAGGATCTGAATATTAGGGAAGAAAATTGATAAATGAGGAAGGCCGGGCTTACTAGATAGGATCTACTTCCTTGATGCCATCAAATTTCAACAGGCTCAAGCCTGCAAGGCCGAATACCGTATGGAAAACATCAACCATTTCACCAGGTCGATCTGCAAAGCCTCCAGACTCCGGGTCCTAATGCCGATTAGAGCTGAAAACAATTAGCCGTTCGAGAAGTCTGAACCAACCTGACAACGCAAGATAAATAAGGCCAGCTTGTCGCCGTCAATCCAATGAAGTCGATCAATCATCGCTAAGCTAGTCCCCACCCACCAACTGTAACACACGTCTTCCAACTTCTCAGGGCGTCCGTTAAGGCCGCCGTTGTCCAACTGTCTCTCACTGAGCCAGGCGCCTAGGCGGTCCTTGTTGATAAGGTCCAGCCGACCGGCAATGGAGAGGGCCCCTACGCAAGTGAAAATCTGACCCGCATGGGATTCCGCTCCGGGGTGAATTCCGTAACCTCCATCCAGGTTTTCACACTGCTGGATATAAGAAACAGCCTTGGGGACGTCTACTATGTCAAGGGAGCCCAACAATGATAGAGCATTGAAGGCACCGTAGAGAAATCGGGTATCCGTCTCTCCCCACTCGTCGCCCATAAAACACCCCGTTTCCTTATCCTGCAAGCGTGCAATGTCTGTGACGGTTTAGCAATAGTATCTAAGGGGAAGGGGGAATCCAAAGGGCGTATCGTACAGGACGCGACCTTCTGCTTGCCTCCTCGGCCTCGGGTTTCTAGCTCGTCTACAGCATCCAGGGTGACTAGGATTTGAACCGCGTAGACTGTGCACAGCAGATGGGCATCATGGCCAGGAGCAGCACCGAAACCCCCATTATCCTGCTGGCACGAAAGGACGAAGTCGATAGTCTCTTTACGAGGCAATGCTTCCGAGTGGCCTAGAAGATGGAGAGCAGTTAATCCCCAGTATACGCCATTGATTCGTAGGTGCTCGGTAAGCCAGTATTCCAGCTCGTCCCTCCTCTGGCATCACCGTCAACCGTCTCCTCCATCATGGAGAGAAGAAAACATGGCAATCAGAACCACGCACAGTGTCAAGATTCTTGATATAGTCGACATGTTTCTGTACGTAGACCTCGTGGATAGAAGAAGAACCGGCGCCTTTGCCGGGGCCCGATACCAGGGACATTCTAACTGGGGCCTAGAACCAAGGCACAGGAAGACGGACCAATGGATAGGAGTTGTCCCGCTATCAGGTATGGCTGCAGATACAGGTGACAGCTAGTTGTAAGGATATTATTATTACTCGACGTAAGGCGCGGGATAAAACATGATGCGAGAATGAGATGAGTGAGATAGTAGCAGGAATAAGGACGCGCAGGGTTCGGCAGCTTTGGATGAAATTCTTTTTCCGCCAACCGATAAGTCACGTGATTACCACACGGATCGGCAGGGCGTCGGAGCCTCCGACGCCCGGTTGAGAACGAGGACTAGCCGTGCCGTTGCATTGCAGCTGCGGTCGACAGTATCATAATAATGATTGATTAACTATTACCGCAGAAATCCAAAGGACCCCTGAAACCGAGCGCAATGCCAGACTTCTGGAAGACTGACGTACGTACCAAAGCCAGTGTACGTGACTGATACTGACGTACATCGTGCGGCATCGACTCGCATCTTACGTGGCTGTGATCAGCAAAGCGGAGACTCTTCTAGGAGGCTTCGCATGCTTGACGGCCTCACTCTATACAGTAGTATGTTTGAAGATCTAACGGGGTAGGCGACGCTTAGATCATGCTAACTAGCACGAGCATAGTACAATCGAGGGTGCTATGCGCCATTTTGAGTTTTGCTGCATGGGCATCATAACGGGGCCTGATCGCCATTCGACAGGTCGGAGGAATCCGTGAAACGTATGCGGTCGTTCGGAAGATATGACCCTAACCGATCCATGGAACGACTCAGACATCCACCGACCGATATGATAATTACATACAACTGGGAGGGTCTTGACGATATCAACTGACCGGCACCGGGACCGTGGAACGTGGCTTGGGAAGGTCTTCATGCTGGCGATGATGTGCAGTCACCAGTGTGTATAAAAAGAATATCGATGCATTGGACATAAGCGCCGGAGTTGTCTGGGGTGGCGTGTATCTGGCAGATGATTTGGTACGGATATCCAGGAATAATAATAATAATACTACTATGCTGACGGGACGTTGCTATATTATTAGCAGGAGATAGAGGAACAGAAAGCATAATACGGACTGAACTCGATATCCCGTTCAACTGCAGAACCGCGAGCCGGGAGAAGAGCAGAGCAGCGTTGCAACGAGAATACATCTTCATATTGGGCCGGGGACCTTGTCCGTGCACCATCCATGTACCTGAATCCAGCGGGTCGGTCTTTTCCACCAGCAGTTCGATTGGACCTCCGCCTGGCGGAGCACCGTTCGAAGAAGCGTCTAGCAGATAGGATGCAGTAATAATAATTGTAAAAGCAAGAGGACGGCCATCTTATGGAGATTTATGACCGATAGCGATGTCAGGGGTTCACGGTGCAGAGCCGGACGGAAGCGTATATCTATCAGGGATCGTCGCCACCGTCCGCTGCCCCTGACTCTCTAACCAACTAGCCAACTCTAACCTCTGCATGAGTCTGTACGAGAGAGTGTGGAGCGTTTGACATTGATAATGCCTGGCTGCAGCAGCAGTCAAGTCTGAACACTTTAACCTTCGAAGCTTGCCTTTTTTTTTTTTTTTTTTTGCCTTTTCCTCCCTCCTCTGTTCAGAGTAATAATAGACCGTGCCGTGTCTCTTGTTCTCCCGGGGAAGCACAGCTCCAGCAACTTTGCGGACGCCTCCACTCCCGCTAAACCAGTGCTATTGACTATCTATTTTTATTCTGAGCATCGCTGTTCCTCTTGCGTTTACCGCTATCTACGTCCTGTTGGTTTTTTTTTTCTTTCCTTCCCGTCTTCGTTTTTCCTTCATCCTCCTCTCTTCTCCTCTTAGTCGCCAGAGTCAGACACATTCCATCTCCACACGCCGTCCCCGTCGCTCCCTGTCCTCCTTCCCCAGCGGTCGCTCTCCGGTATCCGTTTTGCAAGGGACGTCAGTAGGGCCGTGGCCAGCGACGAGCGACTCGATCCCAAAGTCCTTACGACGGCCGAGGACTACAATCCCAAAGCGACCCTACTGGATAGCATCGTATCGGCCAATAATAATAGAAACAAAACACCACTGGCGTGAATTACAACGATCTGGTGAGTTGTCTCGCTTTCTTGCCTCTTGTACATACTCGATTAGATTACAGTCCTCCCTATTGTTTTCTGTGTCTTGCAGCAAAGGAGGCCCATTGTGACTGTTAAGTGAATGGGTGAATACCGCTGGGACATCACTTGCCCTTCTGCCTTCTCCTTTGTTACTATCAACATAACGTCACAGGCACATCGCTTACCATTCCTTGATTACTTTCAGCAGATGCTTCTCCGGTCGATCATTATCCCTTCCTGAGACAGTGCCACAACCTGTCCTGGGAAAAGTCATCGCACCTGTATCTTTTGGAGGATTGGCAAGGCTGGTTTCCTACCAATCCTTCCTTAGAAACCGGAAGCAAGGAGACCCGACGCCGACTGGTGCCTGGGCATACACGTTCGGTCGCAAGCGAGTTTGCTTGATATTTTATTCTTTTTGAGAATCCAAATATCACTTTTCTCAGTTTCGCGGTTGGATCTATCCTATGGGCACCATATCGAAGATGCCTTATAGGCACTCCACCATTTCGAACCTGGATCTCAGCTCTTACACCATGGGGAAAAATCCAAAGAAATTATCTCCATTGGCACCGAGCGTGCGAAGCCCTGATGATCAGGGGCCGTTGACTCCCAGTTCGCCCAAGTCCTCACCTCCACCGTATGATAGGGACACGACGATCCGCCCGGTCACTCAAGATTCAAGCAACAATTCCGATGGTTCAACTTTCGCGAGCTCTCCCCCAGCGACTAACTTTAACCCAAGTCTCACTGCGATTCCCCAGTATCCACCTTCGCCGAAGGATTCCCCGAAACATAATCGAGACGTCTCAAAGTCTTTCTTCGCAACCCTGAAAGCTCCCAAATCTTCCCATAAGTCACAGGGTTCAAACAGCCCGGGACACCTGGCAGAGAAACCGAAAAGCCGCGGGAGTTCGAGGGATCGCAGGACTCAGATTTCATCGAAACCGTACGGCTCTTCACCGGATCTTCTTAGCACTGTTCAAAGTGCGGAGCAGCAAGAAAGGAGTGAGCCACTAATATGGCACCTACGCTTATAGTTAATGCTGACCACGTCATTTCAGATGCTTCGACTTTCAACGACAAGAACTCACGCCATCTAGGTCACAAGAAGTCCGGCGGAGACGGTGAATTGGGCCTTACTGTCAAGAAGAGCAAACCTCGCTTCGCCAACTTCCTCTCCCGTTCCCGGTCCATAAGGCTAGACGATTCCGCTGCCAACAGGTTAGCCGCTCGACGACCGTCAACCAGCTTCCTCAAATTAGAGGAAACCACCGAGCTCGTCACACAAGATCCCCCGAAGAGCGCTCCGTTGCACCGTGATGCCATTAATCGCAATCATATTATTAACCGCCATATCGAGCCCAGCCGCAGAGAGAAGAACTATGCAGCATCGATGAACACATCATCTTCTCTAAGCCATGTATCAGAAGCTTCAGCTGCATTGTTCAGCGGCATAAAGCACTCGTCGAGCGGAGCAGCCGATCGTATTGGGAAGGCCGGGAAAGGAATTTTCGGGAAAATCACACGCAGCGGCAGCACAAATGAACGGGAACTGGTCAACGATGACAACTACGTGTGCTCCGTGATCAACCTGCCTCTTATCGAACAAACACGTCGAACCCGGATATCTAAAAAGCTGGAGAGCTCTAGAGATAAGACAGAGTTCTGGATGCCCGCTTTGCCATATCGTTGCATAGAGTAAGTTAGACGATTGCCTTGTTCGAAAAGGATGTGCTGGGGTGCTGACTGTCTTGTCAAGTTACCTCAATTTCAAGGGTTGTGAAGAAGAGGGCCTTTATCGAGTGCCTGGTAGTGGGAAGGAAGTGAAACATTGGCAGCGACGATTTGATACAGGTGAGCGCCAGCACATCGGACTATGGCATGTTGTCTCTTTGTCCTAATGTACTCCATAGAGTATGACGTCGATCTCTTCGAAGAACCTGATCTGTATGATATCAACACTATCGGATCTATGTTCAAGGCGTGGCTTCGTGAATTACCCGATGAACTCCTCCCGAAGTCCACTCAAGCCATGATCGCAGAGAAGTGCGAGGGAGCAACCACCGCCCCTCAGTTGCTGAAGGATGAGCTATCCAAGTTGCCGCCTTACAATTACTACCTCCTCTTCGCCATCACGTGCCATCTAAATCTTCTCCACTCCTATGTCGATCAGAATAAGATGGACTATCGCAACCTTTGCATTTGCTTTCAGCCGTGCATGAAAATCGATGCGTTTTGCTTCCAGTTCCTCGTCTGCGACTGGAAGAACTGTTGGCAGGGCTGCTGGACTGAAAAGGAATACCTCAAAGAAGAGTACGAGTTATTCGAAAAAGAGGCAAGGGCGAAAGAACTTGTCTCCAGAACCCTGCCGGAGTCTGCAGTTGGCGAAGAGAGAGCCGTGTCTTCTGCAAGTAGCCAGACTGCCGAAGAGGAGCCCTGCGGCCCTCCGCCGAAGACCCGGAAACAGCGGCCCCCGAGGCTCGAATCCGTCCACAGCCGAACGGTTTCCCAGCTTCCGGAACTAGGGCCCCCACTGTCCCCCATCCAGATATAGAACCTCATCTAGGAGTGTTCAGCAGCTTTACATCCAACCGCAATTGGCGGCATGGGAATGTACCACAGACCATATCTTTATTCTTGGAAGTTAATGACGTAAGTCAATTATCTCTCCATTAACGCTGGACGTTTTATTTGGCAGTTACTACTTGTATCCCTTAATCTTCTTTTCCCGCGAACCAGATGCGATTAATTAACAATTGTTACCTCAGCTGGCGTGTTCGCATATCATTGCAAATTCGTCAGTCACTAGGGTGACAATAATTGCATTTTTATGTTCGAGTCCTTTCAAATGATCTTCGTTCAATTTGTGTTTTGTTTAGAGAGCTGCAGACCAGTCTCCTTGTCTTTCCGTGTCACTTGATTGCATGTAGTTGGCGTTCGGAATCGGTTGAGTTTTATTTTGCGCTCAAAAATGCGGCTCTTTTTTCTACTTTTTTTAAGTTCCGTTCGTCTTTTTCATACCATTCCAGCTTTTGTTTCTTGCTTTCAAGATGGTTGTGCGCACACCCAATGTATACTTTCTGTTTTGTTGCTTCTTTTCCTGTTTTCTTTCCCTTTCTATACGTTTCGCGAATTTCTACCGAGTTCCTATCCTTCCCTTGCTATTGTGTTTTTGCTTGGCGTTTCAGTGAGGTGCTCGACTGGGATAGAGTACATAATCACCTACTATACCTACATGTACTGTACGTACATAACCTAAGATGAAAGTGAGCAGCGTAATTCGCATCCAGCAACCTTAGTTCTAGATCTGGGAACGTAGTCTGTTGAGCAAGGACAAGGGAGAAAGTGCGCAAAAATTTGAAGATTGGCCTTTATCACGATGAGCGCCGATGACATGACTGCGTACAAAGCTTTTGCCATTGATGAACATGACCTCCCAACCCAACGCCTTTGAAATCGGACCGATAACATTTTCCACAGAAATAACCAAAGAAAAGCAAAAGGAACAAGACGTTCCACATGCACGTAGATCCCGTCCCGGACGCAGATATCAATGTTTTCTCAAAATCAAAACTAAGCCCCCATCTTCCTAACCCTCCGTTCATTAGCCCTCATCTTCCTCTCATTCCTCTTTATCCTTTCCTTGCGCTCTGCTCTGGACATTCCTCGAATCGAACTACCATTGACGGCAGCATCCTCCTCCTTCTTCCAATCCTTCTCATTAACCTCTACTAACCATTCATCCTGATCAGACTTGTTCTTTCCCTTGTAACCCCATCTGGGAACCCACTCTCCCTTCTCCTCATCGTACACGAGCTTCTTCCGACGTTCTTTATCCGCTAATGCAGCGCCAGGTTTCGTATTATATTTACCGATACCCTTCTTCCGGGCGAATAGCTCCCATTTCGTTGGTGGCTTGGGTGTCGGCAGTGGCTTGTGTCGGGGGAGGGGGGTAGATGGCGGCGGAAGGGAGAGGAGGACGCCCTGCTGCGTCGAGGAGATGGGGCATGTTGTGAGGAGCTGGTTTAGGAGACACTGTGCGCCGTCTCGGGCTATGGCTTTCAGGGAGGCGTTCAGTGGTTCTGATGGTGAGCTGGTTAAGGGATTTGGGTCGTTGACGAGGAGGTAGCCTAGGTCGAAGGTGTAGGGGGTTGGCTTGGAGACCGTTATTGGTCTGGAAAATCTGTTAGTTATTGTGCGACTTTGCTATGTTAAAAAAGACAAAATGACTGGGGAAAAGGCTTGTGAAGTACAGAGTAACATGGGAATATAGATAATGAATGGGGCATACTTACAATCTTTCAGGCTTGGATTTTGATTGCGAGACCGTATCTGCGTCCAACGCAGCATTCTGCACTTCGACTGCTGCCATTGTTATAGGCAAATCTCAACTGGATCTGCGACAGGGACCAAATGGAGAACAGCAGAGGTGGGAAACCGACGCTGAAATAGAGAGAAAAAAGTTGAAAAATGAAATTATTTAGAAAAAAAAATTCCGTTGCTGCTGACCGCCTTTCCCGAATAGGAAGCAGAGAATCTTTCCGCACAAGGCCTGTTCTTCTCCATCCCGGCAACGCCTGCGGGTTCGACATCTTCTGCCAACAGAGCCATTCCGTTGACTGCGTTTCAATTGCTGGCCCCGTGCCAGTGCGCCGTACGTCACAATGGTTTCATCTTTCTGCTGGAGCTGCCTCTCGCAGCTTCGTCCGACAATGACTCGCACTCTCGTGTCTCCGCCGTCAACAACGCCGAGGGCCATTGCAGCATTCCACACGTCGTCGGTGCTCTACGCGCTGCCACCAAAGAAGAAAAGCAATATCGATGGACCCCCCAAGTACCGCCAAGCCAAATCAGCCCGGATGAAGAAGAAGAACCGCGTAGAGCGTCCTCGCCCGCCGCCCGTGGGTGAGCGAAGGGCGCTCCGGAAACGTATTGTCCTCAGCAACCCTAATGCCCTCGAAGTGCCCGGCATGCTGGACCTGTCCTCACAGACGATGGTTGATGAAAGCCTGCATGGCTCTGTTGTCGGACTTCCTGTGCCGATGTTGGATCAATTGAGGGCCGTCCAGGCCTTCAAGCCTAAACAGGGCTGGTCGATATTCCGTCGTCCAGGGACGGTGATGAGAAGTGAGACGTTGGAGATGGGTCGGTTATTCGATACCATCGGGGGTGACGGAGAGGACAAAGGGAAAGTAGTCAAAAGGGTCATTACGGGTTTGAGGGGTTCAGGGAAAAGCGTGCATTTACTCCAGGCGATGGCTATGGCTTTCGTTAAGAAATGGGTTGTTATCAGTGTTCCCGAAGGTGAGACTATTATAACTGATTGATCATATAATTTTTGCGATTTTGTTTCTAACTGTTTTCCAGCTCAGGACTTGGTCATCGCACATACCAATTACTCCCCATTGGAAGGTACCGACCCAACTCTCTATGTTCAGGGTGACGCAACGGCAGCTTTACTCTTTCGTACGGTTGCTGCCAACAAGGAGGTTCTAGCGGGTCTCCGAATCTCCCAGCAGCATCCAGCCCTGAAGTCGCTCGTCAAGCCTAACATGACCCTGGAGGATCTTGCAAATATCGGTATTCGGGACCACGCTGCCGCCTGGTCCGTCTTTCAGGCCTTGTGGGCTGAGCTGACAGCCACCGCACCCGCTCCTGGCTTGGACAAGAACTTCAAAGCTCGTCCTCCTATGTTGGTCACCGTGGATGGCCTAGCGCATTGGATGAGAAACTCCGAGTACCGCAGCGCCGAGTTTGAACCTATTCACGCCCATGACCTCGTCTTCGTTAGGCATTTCTTGTCTTTGTTAAAGTCAGGCGTTGACAAGCCCACGCTCCCCAATGGTGGTCTGCTCCTCTACGCTACTTCCGCCTCAAACAGCCCGTCCATCTATAGCTTTGATGTCGCATTGAAGCAGATCGCTGCCCGGCAAGCCGGTGTAGCTCCTTCTTCTCCGGATTTCCCACAGGCCGACCCATATGCCCGCGCTGACGCGCGCGTTCTCGATGTCTTTGCCTCCAAGAAGCCTAGATCGGCCAAGGAAGGCCCGCTTGAGCTCCAGACCCTGGGTGGCGTCACCCGCGAGGAAGCAAAAGGATATATGGAATACTTTGCGCTTAGTGGCCTTCTCCGTGAGAACATCAACGACGAGTGGGTTGGTGAAAAGTGGACTCTTGCTGGTGGTGGTGTCATCGGAGAGCTTGAGAAGCTGGGCAGACGGGTACGGGTGATTGCCTAGACACGTCCGTCTATCCGTCAATTTCGTCCACAAAGTCGATTATTGATATTAATGACGTTGCTGGTTTCCTATTTCCCAAGTATCACCCTAAATACTCTCTTGGTCCCGTTTCCCTTCATATGATACTGGTTGCTCGTTATATAACTCCGTTTCTCACCATGTCATGACCTTCAACCAAGTAGGTGACGGGCTCTATCTTTTTTTTCCTTCTTATTTTGCTTACTTTTTCGGTGCCATTGTTGCATTTTTGGACATACGCTGTATTTTATCTGTCTTCTGTTTGGTTTCTGCTGTGTACACTTTATCTGTATTCGTAGAATGGAAATTAAAAGAGTATGGGATGTCAACAAGATTCGATTGGATCAATCCAGCTACTGCTGTTGACTATGGTCACATCATGGAATGCTAAACTATATACTTACTTAATCGTACAAGGGAAAAGAAAAAAAAATATGAAGGCAAATCTCGGCAATCTTCCTGCCCTTACAACACAGGTAACGCAGCTCTTTAACCCAGAAGAGGCATATAAAAGGAAAGGGAAACAGGAAAGAAAAAACAGGCCCCCAGAAAAAACAATACCCTGATAAGTTCCACAAGATTTTCAAAACCATAACCGGATACAGATGGCCCCTTTTAAGCAATAAAGTTGCGTCGCTTCCGGTTGTACGCCCTCTGATCCTTCAGCCACTGTCTGTATCCCTGGACACTACCAATCTTCTCGCCGTAGTAATCGGGAACCGGGTTCGCCATGGAGTTAGAAGAAGGATCCACGCGGAATCGCTTTATTCTATCGTAGAATTCCTTTTCTTTCTGTAATTTGAAATAGCCATGTTAGCAGCCAATTCGTAAATGGACCCAAAAAAGACCCTACGCACCACGGCAACAGCGGGTGTATACCGCCTATAGATCATTCCCCAGATAGCATTTCCAAAGAAAGGACCAGCCAGCCAACCTGCCGCACCACAAGCAGCTACAGCCAAACCGAGGACGATAAATGGATCCAATCCCATGACCTGCGCGCCGAGAGATTCCAGATCTTGTGTCGAGAGAATCTGTGCGCCGAACGTGGTTGAGAAGAACGACGTTATGATCGACGAAGCAAGGCTGTATCGTCGACGGGAGGCACGGAGTTTGAAGAACGAGTTCCAGTCCAGTTTCCGGGATTCATCAGCAGCAGACGAAGAGGATGCGGTCGAGTTCGTGCGGAGGTAGCTAGGGTTCCGGACGATAGGGGAAAGGGCAACTGTTGTGGTCCCCTGAGGACGGCATGTCTTCAAGCTTGTAGTGGATCGAATAACAGGAAGGGAAGATACGGAAGAGGCCTTGGCGATCTGTATTGACGCTTGTCGGGTCTGTTGCGGTGTCCGGACTTGTTGATAGAACGAGGTCGAGCTGGTAGTGTATGCGAATGGAGTTAAGGGGACGCGACACCCCAACACCGCTGTGCGGAGGGGGAAAGCGGCGGGATTGACATGCATTCTGAACCGAGAGAGGGTATGAGGGGAGAAGGGTCAAGTAGCACGCAGCAAGGAGCGCGAGAGAGGGATGAGGAAGCAAAGATGCAGAGACCAGCACAGACGAGGTCGTTCGATATTGTATTATGTAAGCAACCCGTAATATCTGCCCATGCTAATCAGAATATCTACCAAGTTTCTACTACAATGGATGTTTGTCCTTTTCCCGTTTACTGCTCCGTCCTTGTTGTATTTTTTCTACTGGGTACATCCAGACATGTAGAATCTTGATGAGAGCGTTGTCCATTCCTCCGTCGAATAGCCAAAACTCATCTGGTATGGATGCCATTCCACCTATCCTCTTTACCAGCATACTCTAGCCTCACTAGGTTTCTACTCATCCAATTGCAAGTCTATATATCAACATGGAAGGCCAATATGTGGATCTCCAGTCCAACTCGCCTAGATGAGTACCCGGGCGTGCCAACGCTGCCGAAAGCAGAAACTGAAAGTAGGTATGCATGCGAAAGTCTTCGTCGGCGGTAGTGGAGCTGATAGATATTCCAGTCTGACATCCAACGGCCATGCACATTGTGCACACGAGTCGGGGTTGATCGTGTCTCACCCATGACAAGTCACTGGAAAGTGTTCAGGCCGTCCAGGAGAAGGCGGAATTGCGAAGAAGTTGCGAGAGGGTCTCCTGTCAGGGCCTTAAGGGATCATCCTACGAAGCCTACCAGACCCCGGCAAGGAATGGCCGCAGGAGCTTCCCAATGGATGCAGGAGATTAGTCATTCTCTCACACTGACACTTCTGATAACGCAAACCATCTGGGCAGAAGCAATGGTGCTACTGAGATAGCTAATCTAGACAGTAACGGGCACCTAGGAACTTCCTGTTCTAACATATCCCTTGCGGATGGTGTGAGCTGGATACTTTCCGATATGTGACGACAGGAAACATGGAAAGTAACCTTGGCATTAGGCATTCAGACTGTACGATGCAACTACCCGCCAGATCCCCGCGACCAGTGCAATCCCCGGTAGCCAACAGAGAGAGCACCTTGCCCCAGACGCTGGAATGAGCGTATTGTTAGTGACTGCAGTAACAAAAACGCTGATATGGAGTCGTCCTCGCGGAGAAGACGGCCGCCAGGACTAGGATCTGTTGCCAAGGAATTGGCTTCACTTTTGTTCAAGCCGATAAAGGAATAATAGACATACATGCCATTCGATAATCTCAAAAAGGACCTATTTACTGAATATCCAGCGTATAGTAGTATGTTAGGTAATCGGAGTGGGTTTCCGTATTCGGCAATCTTCTCCACCGGAACTATCACACTTGGTATCCTCGGTCTTTTGTACAGATTCCTATTCTTGCTGTACTCTGGGAGCTGCTTTATGAGCAGTTTCAAATGATCAAAAGTATCATCCGGAACTAAGTGGTTAAGGTGTGCTGCATTCATTTATATTTCTACGAACAGAATATATACATACGGAGTATTCTGTCTCTTTCCAGTCACACACCATCTGACCTTACTCTGGCTACGGTATGATTTATATACTATCATGCCCATCCTGATATAGCCCTCGACGTTCATCCAACGCTAAATATCAAGATATATGCTCTGTTATTTCTGAGTATTCAGTATCCTTCTATTTGACAGCTCATGTTGAAATAGGGTTGATCGACAGGCCAGCCGCTACCGGACCATATTTCCTCCGGCCCACCCCTTTCGTTTAGAGGACCAAACATGATTGACATTTGCCAGGGCACAGGACGATGTACAGCGTACATCAGTGTGGAAGCTTCCAGGTTTACAGCTTTTGGATGTCTAAATGTGATCGCCACTCTTCTTCTGTACTTCTTCTGTCCGAATCCTGATCATTTGTAGTCAAGTTGGTGGTAGCAGGTGCTAAAGCAGTGGCCTGCCACTGCGTGAACGGGAGCCAATGAGGCCATAAATGGTCTCAACAGCAGTCATTGTAAGCGATTATTTCACAGATACTAACAATGTTGATTATAATTGGCGGACGTGTAGTTGATGACCGATAATTGAATTCAGCCGTGGGGAAATTGCCTTGACACTGGCATAACGTCAGAGGACAATCATAACACGTAAGCCTGCAATGGGTTGGACCGAGTTTCAAGCTGGATATAAAAAGCAAGCGTGTTCTCATAGTTGCAACAGGCGTATCGAATCTGCAAGAGCAAACAGCCCCATTTGTTTAACCCCTGCAGATGACCCACCTGGGATTCCACCGTCACGATGCCCCAAACAGTTGAGTTCAGTGTCTTTAGAGGCTCTTCGAGTGGAGACATTGTCCCGGGTACTATAAGGCGGGACCTTAAGCCCACAGAGGTCTTTCTGGATATCTCACATGCTGGTCTCTGTGGGACAGACCGGCTTTTCAAGGAGAAGGAAGTTGTCCTGGGACACGAGGGAGCGGGTACTGTCAGGGACATTGGCTCCGCTGTGACCCATTTGAAGCCTGGTGACAGGGTAGGGTTTGGATGGGTGCAGAAGGTCTGCGGGCATTGTGACTACTGTTTGAGCGGTAAGAAATAATCGTTGGGACGAGATCGAGTCGATATTCTTAGTCGGCCGGATATTCCAAATAGTCTCTACTGCAGCATCATCAGGAAAACTAATGAAAACAGGCAAGGACCAATACTGTGACCATCGCAAGCAATATGGATCGGATTTTGAAATTGGCTCATTTGCAACCCACGCTGTCTTTGATATAAGCATGTTGATCAAGCTCCCCGATGAGCTTGAACTTGAGTATGCCGCACCGTTGATGTGCGGCGGGGCCACTGTCTGGGAGGCTCTGACGTCCTATGATGCGCAGCCGGGAGATCGAGTTGCGATTCAGGGCATCGGGGGTCTTGGACACCTGGCCATTCAATTTGCGTCCGCGCTGGGATACGAGGTCGTAGCACTCTCCAGCAGCCCGCAGAAGAAAGATGAGGCAATCGGACTAGGTGCAAAGGAATTCCACGTCCTCAAAAACGGTATTCCTGAGACGTCTATGGCTAAAGTTAAGCATCTATTCTGGTGCGGGAACGCAGTGCCAGACTTTTCCAAGTTAGCTACCATTCCCCTCACTGCATCCTCATGACATTGATTGTTTGTAGGATCCTTTCGTTTGTCGCCAACGGAGGCGTCGTATATCCACTCACTATCAGCAGCCAATCGCTTCAAATACCTGTCCTCGCGCTCGATGCCAATGGCATCAGGGTACAAGGAAGCGCGGTAGCCTCACGTCTGGCCATTCGAAAAATGCTTCGATTTGTGGTCGTGCATCGCCTACGGCCAATCATTATGAGCTGGCCTATGACAAAGGACGGCATTCAAGCGGCCTTCAAGACACTGGAGGATGGGAAGATGCGGTATCGCGGAGTGCTTGTTTCCCAGAGATACTTAATGGGAAAGCCAGTTGTTGAGAAGATGAAGTAGATCAACGTGTATTTATTATTATCTGCATGCAACGAACAGTAGTGGTGAAGAGTGCTGAAAGTCTGAAGTTTGTCGTAGGCGTGGATGTATGTCCAAGGCGGTCACGCCTGGCAGAATGCATGTCTTGCGAAGCTTTGCGTTCGTCCAACTCCACAGTCCGCAATCAAGAGCTCCCCAGTTCAACTGACAGAAATAGCCACAGCACCATGGCGAAGGCCCGTTCCCCCCGCCAGATTCTTTCCACCCTCTTCTCCTCTCTGGCCCGCGACACTCCCCAGTGGATCCTCACGAGAACCCTCAAGAGTGACAATCCGATGGACATCAATGGCGTCTTGCGGGGCACGGCAACCTTCACGCCTCTTCGGGATGGAGAGTCGGATACAGATTTAGGTGAATCTCAAGGTAGTGAAATTGAACTGGTCTACCGGGAAGAAGGCGAAATACCTGCGTCGGCTGACTCTGGCGTGTCTTCACCCATGTCCGGTCTACGCTGGACGAAAAAGTATATCTGGCGCCTAGATGAACAGGGGAGTCAGATGAGTGTTTGGTTTGCCAAGGTCGGACAGCAAAAGGATGAAGCGGATTACCTCTTTCATAAATTCAAATTCAAATTCAAATCTGATGACCAAGACAATGTTCCGGGAAGGCAAGACAGCGATTCGCGTCTGGATGATGCACATCCTATTGAAAATGGAGATGATTATATCTCACCGGTTACTCCGCCCTTGCCTCTATCCATGTCTCCCTCTGTAGCCGCCGAGGATGCAGGCAAGGGTTGTGATACAACAGATACAACCGTCCTCATTGCCTATGGAGACCATCTCTGCGTCAAAGACATGTATTACACGGCGTATGCCTTTCGAATTCGCTCGACTGGTGAAGTGGTGAGCTGGTCCAGTCGGCATATTGTTAAGGGCCCAAGGAAGAACCAGGATATTGTCAATCTTTATGAGAGAGGGGGTTGAGGGTCTTTGAGATATATATAATGCCTATATCCTTGCACATGACAGTGGCTCTTCTTGGGCCGTACGCAAGGATTGATACCACACATCCTTTCTACGATGGACATGTCGCTTTACCAACCCGTTGGTAGGGTTCCGATTGCCAGACGGGAAAACCCGCGAGAGTCCTCGATCTGGACTCCATGAGCGCCTGGGCCTACTGTACTGAGCCAAAGAGAGGGTATGGAGTCTTCGACTTAATCTTCCTCAAGAATCTACCAAACATAGATCTACCAGTGAATGAGCTGGCCTGCAGCGTTGATATGTGTAGCTAGGAAAATGGCATCAAACCACGCGACAATACTACATACATTCAACCTTGTAAACAACCTACACGGTGTACAAAAAGTCCGGCCTCTTGTCGCCTAATAGGTCAACCTGGCTTCTATCTAAGCCCTCAACCCAGTGGTCTCGCTCTCCACGGATACGCTTCCGGTTTTCAATCTTCAGCATGATATGTTGCACCAAAGAACCCCCGAAAAGGAACAGCACGAGGTATGCCAGCACGACGCCATGACCTGGGTAGTAGTTGGGTTTATCCTTGCCACGGTAAATGTTGGATGACACGATTCCGTTTAGGTTGCCCCAGCCGATGACGATCCCTATCGTCACTCCGCGTTTATAGACACCTGAGACAGCATGAGCTCATAAGCGACGAGATCTAATGGACGGAGAGAAACAATGCATTCACTTACCTTCTGTGTTATTGCTGCACCACGCCAGCGTGTTTGCGATAGCAGGGTATATGCCCATGGCGCCCAGGAATACTCCGGTATAGCGAGCTCCTGCTGTCTTTGTGCCTATTAAAATAGCAAATCCGACAATTCCAAGGATGGAGGTGAAGATGTTGCAGAGACCACGCTGGCGTGTTCGGTCAGCTATCCAACCGATGGTGATGGTCATGATGGCTGCAGCGGCGTAAGGTGGTACGCTAAGCAGCTGTGCTCGAATAGCGGTATATCCTTTTGGTTTCAGTTAGCCTTTTCTTCTTTTTCTTTCCATCATTCAGATTTAAGGTACCCTAGTTCAACGCCGTCAGTCAAAACATCCAGGATGAATAAGATGGGTAGGGCATTCTCACTAGTTGGTTGATGATAGTCGGAGTGAACAGTGAAAACGCATACAACGGCCCATCACAGCCCATGTAAATAATGGCAGTGAGATACGTCTTCCAATCCTTAAGACTAGCCCAAAGGTAATCCATCCGGAACTGCTCATGCTCAGCACTGGACTGCTGGTCCTCCGCAAGCCGACGCAGGACACGCCTCCGATCCTCATCGGACAGGAACCGGGCCTCATCCGGGAAATCATAAACCATCCAGAACGAGAGCACCCCGATAATGATCGTCCCCAGTCCCTCGAGGATGAAGATCCAGGACCACCCGGCTTTCCCACCGATACCGTCCATCTTGGCGATTGCAGCCGCGAGCAATCCACCGAATGAACCAGCCAGAGCGGCGGCGGAGAAGAAAATGGCCATTCGCACGCCGAATTCAGACCGTTTGTACCAGCAGGAAAGGTAGTAGGAGATGCCGGGGAAGAGGCCGGCTTCGGTTAGTCCGAGGAACCAGCGGGCTGCCATGAGGCCGGAGAAGTTGTGGACGAAGCCCATGAAGGTCATGCAGAGGCCCTTTGGTTTGATTATTAGCGAGTGTTTCGGGGGGGATAATAATAACAATAAAAGTACGAAAGGATCTCTACCCATAATGTCATGATGATAGGAATAAAGACACTGGGCCGTAAACGTTTGAGAAGGACGTTCGTCAACGGCTCGAAGACGGAATACGAGATAAAGAAGATGGTCAGAGTGTCATTGTACTGTGTATCGCTCATATGGGTATCCTCTTGTAAACCGTCAAGCTTTGCATTTCCGATATTCGTCCTATATCCAGATGTATTAAAGTTAGTCCAGTTTTATATATGCCTATGGAAAAAGGAGGGGGGAAACTCACCGATCCAAGAACGAAACAAGATACAACAAACTCAACCATGGAACGAGCCTGCAGTCCAACTTCCAAAGCAGTCGTCGATCCTATCTGCCGTCAGCTTATTATTTCTTCCCTTGCATGTACATGCATGTACTAAATAAAAGAAGGAGAGAAAAGAGAGAGGAAGGGAGAAGAGCAGCCGTACGATTTTCGCCTTTTCCTCCTCGCTCAAGCCCTCATCCGGATCGGGGATGGACAGGCCTCCCTTTAACTCGATGTCCTTGGTAATGTTGGAGATCGTGTCGACGGAAGGCTTTTCATCTTCCATGTTTGCTTTCTAGGGTTGCTGATGAGGTATGAGTGGATCTGAGAGTGGGAGAAAGACAGGACAGAAAGAAAGAGGAGAGAAAGAAGCGTGGCTACCAGCCCTAAATAATAGCCAGAACAGAACCCCTCAGATAAGTAAGATAGAATATAAGAAGAAAGTTTTTTTTAAAAAAATAAGATATATAAGGTATCTAACTCGCCGTTTCATACATCCCCGGTACCCCGTACCCCGTACCCCGTTTTCTATCTAGTCCGAGTAATTACACACCTACCTAGGTACGAAGTAAATAGATCAGGCATAGAATACGAAGTACATATCGGATGCCCTCCGTGAGGCGCAGCAATCAGCGTGGACATAGTGAGATCCACAGATACTAAGGCAAAGACACCAAGCTAAACAGAGCACCCCGTACACACTCCATACCAAAGTAAAGCTGTACCATTGGACAGGATAGAGTAAGATAGACCGGGCTTTCTTGGTCCTCGCCAAAAAAGTTAAACTTGCTTGGCATATATTAAGAATTGGTCAAGAGTATGATAGTGGGATGGAGAAGAGATTTTATTTAACCGGTATCTTGTCTGTGACTGTCTTGCAGGATGGGACGATGAACGTATCTGCCTAATATCTACCTAATTAATTATCCGTCCCTTTCGTCCGGGCCAGAGGGTTTGGACAGGTATTAATATGGTAGGTACCGTGCCTAGGTACGGAGTATGCATGTGCTATTCGGTTCTGGCCTCCCTGAAGACTCAAGAAGCTCCGGAATAGCGTGTCTGTCGCATTCATTAGGTGCTGGTCGCGCTGTTATGGTTAATCCGATGTAACGTCTTGGCTGGATTGTCTATGTTGGAGATGAATAACGGCCATGAGAAATCCCCATGGGGAGAGCGCGTGACCTAGTGTGGGGATCCCCGCACTCCATCGCCCCCAAGTATATTTTGCTTGCGGAGCCGCTCATCTTGCTTTAGAGTCTTAGACGCGGACTTATTCCGGCCTGATATCTACCACTACTCTTGGCTACGCACATCAATGACACCATGATTACCGACTATGGACTATTTTTCCATTGCACTATGCACTATGTCGAGATTTGCACATGACAAGATCCTTCCCATTTCCCTTACCTCACTCCCCAAAGTCTGTTAATTCTTTGCCGGGCAGAAAGAACATCTGATGCTTGAAAACAGCACGACGCGTTCCGTTGAGCAAGTATGCCATATCTAATGGTACCCAACTCAACGATCCCCACCGCCCTTACCACCTTCATCCTCCGGATCCTGGCAGCATGGGTCCCGGGCAAACGACACGCGACAATACCGGAATCTCGGATTATTACGAACCAGCTCGTATACCGCGGTCGCTATCTTGATGGAGTGGAAGCGAATACAGATCTGGCCTTCAGGTCCGTCCTCCGTGCTTTCAACGTAATAGTGGCAGAAGCGCTTTTGCATGACAAGAGAGAGTTTCTTCACCAGCAGCTCGTTCATTCCCGTCATGGAAATGCAGCGCGTGTGACCTTCTCTGAAAATCAGACGTTCCATTTCCCATGAAATGGGATAGGTAGGGGTGTTGACAAGGGACACTTTCGCCTTGGCATGATGAATCCAGAATCCCGTTTTCGACGCACGCTCAAGGAACTGTAGCGCATCCCTCTGCAGAAGGAAGACCACAAGAGCCGTGTGGTGGCCTGTGATCAGGCTCGTGTTCAGCAGTCGAGCAGAGTAGATGGTGCCTCCGCGGATCTTGCTCAACAGAACATCGACTGTGGTAAACAAGGGGAGGTATTCGATCTTGATCGTCCGATACGTGTTATTGTTGTCTGACTGTGGGATGTAGCGAAGTCCGTACTGACAGAACCACATATTTGACAGGTTATGATGGCGCGACAATATACTACACGCTTCGTGCTCCTCTTTTTCGCTGTCGAAGACGCTACTCTCTTTTAGAGCCCAGTTTATCTTGCCGTCCCATGGAACAACCTTCTTCTGCGTGTCCGGGACGGAGACCTTTGGGGGAATAGTCGCAGGAACGTTGTCTGGAACATGTCGATCCATGGTGGTTGTCGCCTTGGCCCTCTGTAGTTGCCCCAAGTGAGCTTGACAACCCCAACGAAAACGTAGGCGAGGACAGTAAAGCAACCCACCTGTTCAGGCTCCAATGTGGGTATAAGAAGGTCGTCCAAGCCAGTGTCGAGTAAATTTTCCCAGCAATTTGTTTCATGTTTGCTGCTGATGTGTCAGGTGGGCTGGATGCGAACAAAACAAATGACCAAAGACGAGTGGAGGGCATCACTCACTGTGAATGAACGGTGGCCATCTTCCTCTCCATCTTTTTGTCTGGACTTCCAGTAGCTCCCTTTCTGCAACCTTTTCCGGGTATATTCTTGCCTTTTGCGTATGAATATACCCGAAAAATTGTTATCAGATACATGGAGAACGCAAAGGCCCCAATCATTGTGGCAATCACCAAGGGAAGAACGGAGTTGAAGTGCACACGGCCTTCCATTTTGGGAAAGTATCACACTAGGCAAGCAGCGGGTTGGCAAGACGCTTCTCGAGCTGGAGTCGATGTATTCTTAGCAATGCGTCCAACTGATACCACAAGCTATCTGCTGCCAGAGAGAAGACAACTCAGCTCCTTACTGAATTTACTGTGCTTGATGTGGAGGATGCTGGAGATGGTTGAGAGAGCTGCAGCCCTTACCAGTTGTAGCTTCACTGCAAGTCCTGGAAGTGAGACAAGAGAGAAGACCGTGAGCATGAGAAGAAAGAGGATATTTACAAACAAATAGACAAAAGGGTGCTCATATATATGACGCCGAGAAGGCATATACGCCAAGATAATGGATTCACAACAGTGAGCGCGCCATGCTCACTAGGTGGCTTTGTCTGCCTTAAACTAGGGTCTATCCTCCGTGGAAAGGCAATTGCACACCATAGGCTTAGAAGAAGGCTAGCATTCAAAGAAGTGGACTCAAATAAGCTGCATTATATCATATTTTATATGCCACTATCTTGGAAGAGACAAAACTAGCTCAATATGCAACAATCTATCCAAGGAACTCTCCTTGGGCCAAGGCAATCCACGGCAAGCCTTCGTCCCAACACCTCTGCATGAGGACGCGCGCACTCTGAATCTGATATTCGTCAGCTTTCCCGGTGGGATTCTTGTTTCGTTATCCCTCAAAAGAGGAGGGAAAGGAAAGGAGCGTGAAAAGGCCAGAAAATGAGAACATACCTGCTTCATGCCCGTTCTCTCCAAGTCCATAATACGTTGCATTATCTCAAACCGCGACTGAGGATCCTGCGTTTCACATCCAGCAGTGAAAAGCGGAAACAATACTCCAACTTCGGCGGAGCTTCCAGTTTTGATTTGATTCAAGGCATCGATGAGTTCTTTGAGCGCTTCAATAACCGGGGGAGAGGTAGATGGTGAGCCTAACACACGGCGATGCAGGTGAAGCAGCCCTGCACAGCGAAAAGACTGATTGATGGCAAGAATCTCCCTAGCCTCTGAACTTCGGTAATGTGTGTCGTTGACATGGGAATGCTCATGCAGGTCGCCAAATTCACATAGTAAGTCCTGCGCTTCCAAAAGCGTACCAGACGAGGGTCTCCAGTCGGCCAGAAAACTGCCAGCCTCATCAAAGCGTTCGTTATCGCATCGATGCGTCAGCTGCCCCAGGCGTGTCAGGAAGACACCAGTTCGTGCTGTGAAGCCGCTAAAGCAGTCAATGCAAGTCTCATCAAAGCTCCCAGTTGCAGAGCAGACGCTCACAACATAGTTATAGGCAGTGTTGGGAAGTGGTGGTTCATTGTGCCGACATGAAAGGATCCCCAGTATATCAAGATAGCCAAGCCAACGAGCGAGAAAAGCTCCGACATGATTCCCCGACCTTCCCAGCTGCTTCTCCCGTGCTAGAAAGAGGTCGCGAGCCAGCTTGAGATGGCTCTGCCAAGGAATCGGGACCTCGAAAGTACTAGGCGAGATGATTTTCAGAGACAGTAGCATGATTGCCGTCGCTAGATGACTATCGGTGATGTCTTCATGTGGGCCATCCAGTGCCAGACGCAATGCTGGGAAGACATTGCTGACCCAGTGAGCAATCCGATTTGCTGGCTCCGGATGTTCTAGGTACCGAGCCCGGTGACTGGCAGAATATGCTAGCATTAAATTCAGGAGATTCGGATCACCAATAGCCACTGTGCTTGTCAGTCAGGAGTGAAAGGCATATCTGATACGCATTAACTCACTCGATGGCATCACAGAAATGAACGGGTTATCACCGCAATCGTGAGGAACCAGCATTTTTGCAGTATGATTCAAGAAGTGATGAAAATACATCAGATTGATCGGGTTCTTCAACAGTGATGACGGAAGCGGCGACAGGTACCGAGGTATGTTTATTGGCACTGGTGATGCATAGTAGGCATAGCTGGAGTTGTCTGGAGTCTGTTCCGCAAGTTCATTCGGGCCATCCGCCGACCTGGGAATGCTCGCGTTTTTCCACATGGGACTGATCAGATCCAGCGCGTAGTTGACATCAATGGCAGCATGATCGTTATTTCTGTTCAGGTCAAGGTCCGGACGACCGCAGTCAAGGCCGTAATTATCCGTCACGGTTGTAAGATAAGTATGCCACTTGCTTTCCGCCGTAGAAGGCTCGGTAACCTGGTTTGGCCCCTCTGGGTGTTGTGCTTGCAAGGAGTGAGTGAGACCATCAGAGGAATGCCGTAAAGAGTGACTGCCTGGCGAAAAGGATCCATTGACAACCTTGGAGAGAAAGCTTTCGTGGGGGAAGGTAGCATTAGCGCACGGAGAAGGAGCATCTTGCTGTGGAGATGCAGACAAATGAGCACTTGACGGTTGGTAAGAACCTGCACCAAAACTTGTAATATTCTCCGCCTGAACTTCAGCCTGCGCAGGGAAGCCAGTGTCCATTGATAGGGAGGGGAGACGTTGAAGTTTAAGCCTCTTGGGCCGTTGGGTCAACGCCCCATCCGGCTCCGAAGGGGGGCTACCCGACGAGTGAGTCGGAGTGTCCAGAGGTCGACGGAGGTTAGAGAACGGCAGTGGCACCTGTTGCGCTCCAAGATTCAATGCAGAGGCAGGACTCATACTTGAGCTTGTGTCTGCCGGTGACGGATACGGGATCCCATCCAAAGGGGGTTGAACTGATGGATGTTGGTACTGCAGTGCAACATCGTTAGGCGCTAATGTTGATGACCAAAGACCAGCTGGATGTTGGAGGGATGGTAGATTCGCAGCGGCCGGAGGATCTTTGTAGTCAGACCATAATTGGTCCTGGGCCTGAGCCGGAGCGGCTACACGGGCGTGTCCAAAACCTTGGAGCTCCGGAGAATAGGGTGAATTGCGCGGTAAACTCTCTGGGGAGGCCGTATCCCAGAACAGACGCCCAGCAGAAGCTCCATCCTGAAGATTAATTCCCGTTGGACCAACTCGAGTCGAATCGAGTAGCATATCCGACGAAGAAAGGACACCACCCAAGTGACTATTTCTCGATTGGGATCCCGGCGACTCCGCAGCTGGCTTCCGTTTCGTCCTTCCCTCCCAGTTCAGCCTGATGCTATAATCGCAGACATCCCCTTGTCGCTGACAGTTTAAACATGACGGCTTCTCTTCGCCACTACACACGGAAGAGCAAACACAGCACAGACGCAATTAGTCTCCCGATGCAAAATAGACAACCTAGTGAGGGATGAAGTACACACCATTTCACTTTCCTCGCTTTACAAGGCCTATAAGCTCTCCCAAAGGTCAGCCGGGAAAACGTATCTACGGGCACATATAGCCAGCCGGTCCCGGAGACGCGCAGCATAGTCCCCACGAGGACAAGGAGAGAACTCACCAACACCCTTTACGACTCCTCCGTTTTGGTTCTGGAGCACCGAGTCTTTTGGGACGGGGCATTGCGTTGCCTAGTCTGAACTAAACTAAACGACAGGGCAATTGGGCCGAGTACAGAGGTCGGAAGAGAAATGACAATTGCTTCCTAATGGATAATTGATTCCAGGCTCCGAATAGCCCAGGCTTATTGAGTGAAGTAAGACCGCCATGCAGGCAATGATATTTCTTTCAATTGTGAGTATCCGAACCGAGCTCCCGGCGTTGCTAATCTAGGCACAGCGAGTCCTCCTCCGTCGTGAACAGCGGTGTTTACCCCAGGTTGCGATAAAACGATAGTCTATGAGAAAACCACACCTCGTGTTCGTATTCATCGAGGGGCAAGACTTCCTCGAGATCGATGGAATGTGTGTTGATTGGGGATGGAGCTTGGAAGAGAAAGCAGAAGAGGGGAGGAGGTTCTTTGCAGGACGAGCAGGAAAGGGGCGGAAGGAAAAGAGGAGAGAAGAGGCAGAATTATTACTATTAGCAGAAGCGATTATCTCAAGTCCAGGCAAGATAACTAACTCCCTCGCTGCAAATAACACTCTCGTAATCAGAGATAAAGCAAGATCCGTCGGAGATAAGACCCCGCCTGGAGAGACAACGATGACTAAGCATAAACACCGCTAAGCCGTGTTGGGAATCGCCGAGACCGATGGGCGGACTTACTGGTACTCCGCTATCAAGGGCCGAGGTCGCATTTCGGCCATTATCGATGAAACAGATCATTAGAGTACATACTACCGTGTACGTGCTGCTACAGACCCTACAGCGCTATTACTCTCAGTGTGATACCATGGCTTCGTCCCTCCTCCCAAAACATCCGCTTCAGCGGATGCACAGTCCATCCAGAGGCTTCTCGTCCCTGGTCCATGTAAAGTTTCCCCCTACCTCGGTTGCGCCGTGACCGTGGTCCATGGCTGACCAACGTTCTTCTGAGCAGCTGCTAGGATTGGCGAGTTTTCTCTGGTCTTTCAAATTGTAAGTCAAACGAAGATTTGTTCACATGCATGGTATCCAGTTGTCTGATAACTCGGACGTGACAGTATCCATGAGAATCCCAGCCAGGCGTAAGCAATTCTCCAGCAACCTCTGCCCCCCGGAAGATCATTGACGTCCATCGCTTGGCTAGCAATGAAGCATACGGCTGGCATTTCCAGTACCTGACCATCATCGGGTTGACCTTGTCGACTCTCGCATTTGCCGCGGGTCTCCTGGCTGATCTGATCTTGTCTCCACGCCTGTTCTTGCTCAAAAACCTCTTGTCTATTTGCTGCGCGCCTCTAGAGGTTCTAATCAGCGTTCTGTACTGGGGTCTGCGTCTGGTTCGTTCTTTGGTTGCGCCTGTTGCTGCTCTTTATATCCATCTTACTGACTGTGACATCAGATTGATCCGGAATTGGTCGTCCCCCCGACGGTGGTAATCCCCTTGAATGCTGGTATGCCCGATCTATTCTCCTCTTGAGCGGCTGTGCTGATCTGGTATATAGACATCAGCATGCATGCCGTTCCTGCGGTGGTTTTGTTGCTCGATCTGCTCCTTCTCTCCCCGCCCTGGACAATAACCGTCGTCCCGGCCCTTGGCCTGTCTGGGGTCATCGCCATGTTCTATTGGTTCTGGATTGAACACTGCTACCAGCACAATGGATGGTCTGTGGTCATTTTATTCCACTCACCGTTAGCATAAAAAGACGCGGATCCGTTGCTAATTCTGAAGTAGGTACCCATACCCCATTTTCGAGATGCTTCCCAGGGACGGTCGCATCGGACTCTTCACTCTCAGTGCCGTCGTGATGGCTATGAGTACGGCTACGCTGAAGTGGTTGTATGGAAAGGTAAACGGCTATGGCACCGAAGCTGTGGCTACATCGCATCCTGGTGCGGTCAAGGAGAATGGGGAGGCAAGTCATTAAATATGTCGGCCCAGGATAACTTTCCAGCTTTTATAGTATGTATCCCGGATTGGGACTGTAGGATTTATAAGGATCACATGCATGTGCGAACAGAGACACCACCATTGTCCGAGTCAATGTACGATTCATACCGACGGGGCTCTCCTGGCGGAACCATGGATTGCTGCAGGAACAGCGGGTGTGTAGTACGTATCAGGGCTGCGCATCGCTCACAATCGTCAGAAGCCATGCTTTCTGCATCCTCATTTCCTGCTGATGATCGCCACTCGGTGAGAGTGCTGTGTCGATGCAACCTAATCTTAAAATTACGGTGCTTGGCGGTACTTAGGCAGGTTTTCCACTTCTCCGCGATCCGGGTCCAAGTTAATAACTGTTAATTAATTTAACTACGTTCTCTCCTCCACCTTCACGTTTGTTCCTGTTCTTTTAATCAACATCTTCCTTCAGCGGGCCGAATCCAGGCCCTGCTATTCTCTCGTTCGAAGGGCCACAGTGTCCGCCCGTCTTCCCCCCCATCCACCTCCCTCGAATCGCTGCAGTCTCCACATCCACGTCACGGCACCAGGCAGACCCAGTTCTGTCGACAAAAGGCCTCCTCATGGCATTTCTCCGCCTCTCTTCCAGTGCTCGAGGCCATAGTTATGGCGTACTCCCCGTTGTCCAGAACCTGATTCTCCTCTCCCTTCTTTTGACGACCGTTTGTGCCCAAGACACCGTCCTAATCCCGACCACTGCTTCGGACTCATTCCCTGCCTGTGGACTATCGTGCTCGGTTCTCCAACAAGCTCAGAGTAGCTGCGTATTTCCTCAAGCACCCAAAACCGATCGAGCTACCTACGTCTCCTGCTTCTGCCAGTCCGCCCTTCTCACGAACCTTCATTCGGGCAGTAATGGGCCTTGCGACACCGAATGCACCAGTTCCTCGGATCGCTCTCTGCTAAGCACCTGGTATAATAACTTCTGCAACGCCAAGGGAAATCTTCCCGCTACTACAGCCTCCTCCACGACCACTTCGTCAACCAGCACTAGTACCGCCAACACCGGGGCGTCAGCCAACAGCAACCAAGACGATGAGCCCCAACCATGGTATGTATCGCAGGCTTGCGTGACACTGGTCCTCTGTATGTATGACTGATTCGACTACGAACTTCTGCAGGATTAAAACCCACTACCGTTGGGTTATTATGATCGTCGTTCTCTTTGTTAGTTTTTCGATTATCACCGTGGTAGCGGTGTGGCTTAAGCGCCGTCACGAAGCCAGGCATCCCGGTCTTTACCAGAGCGCTAATGCCGGTGGCAGCAGCGGAACACTTTTTACAAAGACCCCCCGCGACAGCGCAGTTCCTGCTGCTGCTCCCGGCCTATGGGCATCTCCGCCGGGTGTGGGACACCCTCCTAATTCCCGTTATACGGATCCAGAGTCCGTGCCAAACAGCTCTCGTACTGCAGTGTTAATGCCGAGACCTACCTAATGTCGCAACCGAATACCACACTCCAACATTGTTTTCTTCTGGCTATTTATCAATGCATCTTCATTACAGTCCAGGTATTGTTCAGCTGTTCTAATCGATCGGTGAATGTCCATCGCACCGAGTCATGACATAAAAAGAGCCCAATCGACCTTAATGGGACAAAAATATGCAGAAAAAGGGAGCCCAAAAGAAAGACGGAAACCGGTAAATATGAAAAAAGGGGGAAAGAAACAAAGGAAAATGTGGCAGGATCGGATTGAACCAACTATATTTTGCTTGATCAATCAATGCACGACCGAGAAAAAAAATCCGCATTTTAAATACCTGGCTGCATATATTTGGCGTTATACTGGCGAGATCTCGGCTTGTTCCTCTTTTTTTTTTTTTTTTTTTTTTTTTTTCCTTATTTGCTCCAGGCTACTTTGTTCCTCCCTGCTGCTCTCTACGAATACGTAGACTGGCTGGCTGGATCGCTCTTTTCAACCATTTTATGCTGGAAATGCTATATACGGCGGGTCTTTGGTTTTTCTTTTTTCTTTTTTTATATAGCAGTACATCTGCTGATTATCCCCCCTGTTCTGTTTTTATTATTTTTGGGCGGGGTGGGGGTTTGTATGTAGTTCTTTGCTGGATGGAGATAATGACCCGACTATGCTGTTGGGTTGGGGTGTTCTCTCTCCCTCTCTTGTTTTTATTTTTATTTTTATTTTTTTATTTTTTTCTGCTTCTCATGACATGTTTCCCCATCAATTTAATATGTAGTCGGAGATCAGAACGCATGCATTGCATATTGTACATCCTATGTCCTTTTTTAGACGGATTCACTTTGCTTTGGGTCTATTACGAGGATCTTGAATGCTGAGGGATATTCCATCTGTCATAGGTTGTCTGTTTGATGCAGTTCACGTTTCTCGATACTTGCTATAGATTATAAAGTAGTCATTGCCAACATGGTACTATTTACATATTTCAGTCATCGAAAAATAACCCATGATATAATCTTCCTATATGAGACGAGGTATAATACATACTACGCTGTACATACCCTGTTCCACAACATGTACGCCCTGCTAAGACACGGTAATACTAACAATCTTGACATCCACCTCAGGCTTCTCCTTGTACGTTTTCACATTCTCGATCTTGTGTACAACGTCTAACCCCTGCACAGCCCTGCCGAAAATAGTGTGCTTCCCGTCCAACCACGGTGTCTTTTCGGTGGTGATGAAGAACTGGCTTCCGTTCGTGTTCGGTCCTGCGTTCGCCATGGATAAAGTATACGGCTTGTCGTGTTTCAGAGTTGAGAATTCGTCCTCGAACTCGCCACCCCAGATGGATTCTCCGCCTGTGCCGTCACCTTGGGGGTCACCACCCTGGATCATGAACTTGCGGATCACACGGTGAAATATAGTGTTGTTGTAGTACCCGTTTCGAGCATGGGTGACGAAGTTCTCGACGGCCTTGGGTGCCGCGGATGGGAATAGTCGGAGGTGGATGTCACCCAGAGTAGTATGGAGAATGGCGGAGGTCCCTACCTCCGTCTGCTTCTTGGCGCCGGATTCTTTCCCCGTTGCTGTTTGGGTGGGTTTCTCATTCTGGACATCTCGTGTTGATTTTGAAATTTCTGTTTCATTAGTGAAAAGGTAGAACCGGACTTTGGCAAATCCAGTGCTGACAAGCATGGGGTCGCGTTCCTCAGCTTCCTGGAGAAGTGGGTTCGAGCTGGCTGCCATGGAGACTGTTACGACGCCCTTCTTTTGCGGTTGCCCTTGGTACATGGCAAGATTAAGAGCTCGAAAAGGCTCATCCTTGCCGTAGACACGGATTACGCGATTTGTATATGTGTTGATGCATTTGATGCCGTACAGTGAGCCGTACAAGATGAAGTGACCGGACTCGTCGAAGATGACATTGACTTTGGGCCGGGTTACCGGATTCTCAAGCTCACGCTCCACAGCCAGACGCCGACCAAATTCAACCTCTTCAAGCTGGTAAGGTGCCGTGCCGGCTTGTTGCATGTCCGACAAGGTGGCTAGAGATTCATCGTATTTCCGGTATAACTTCCCAGTTGGAAAGTCAAACACCCGAACCTGACGGTCTGGGAAGGAGAATACAGCGAATAGGTTACCGGATGGAGATATCGTGATGGACGCCGGCGTCGACTTTGACTTTTTGAATTCGAAAAGATTTGTCGATGATTTCAACTCGAATACGTTGTCCGGCTTCTCAAAAGAGCCGTCGCCCGCCCGCCAGTACTCGACCATGCCTGATTCATCTGCAGATACTACGCAGTCATAGGCATTGTTAAAAGCGAGGGCAATCACTGGCGCTCGGTGTATGGAGTTCAGCGTGTACAGCGGTTGTGGGTTTTCGCCCCTGCCATCAAAAACTTGGATTGTGCTGCTCGATTCGTCCGTCACAGCGAGCAATGGCAAAGATGCACCTCGTCGATGGACCCAGCAGACGCAGCGAGGGTTGAACTGCAGAGTGTACATGGCTAGCAAATCTGTCGTCCCCGGTCCTAGTCAGCCATTGCGCAAAGTGCTGTACAGTGTATTTCCACAAGACCTACCAAATGTAATCACGTCGAAAATCTTCACTGTCTTGTCTGTCCCTGCAGTCGCGAAACTCCTCCCGTCCGCGCTCACACTGGTACTTCTGACCTCACCGGTGTGTGCTCGAAATTCCTTAACAAACTCGACCCCAACAGCCATCTTCTTCCAGAACTTAACAAATCCATCAATCGAGCTTGTAATCAAAAAGTCTGTATGTGGCGACACAGTTACGAAGGATAATTGGTCCTTGTGCATAAGCGACTTCGAATACCGCGGGGATGCCGGTAGCGCATTCACGTAGACTTTCTCGAAGGGGAGCTTTCGTCGCTTCCTCTTGGGAGCAGCTGCAGAGGGAAGGGCAGGACCAAAGTCATCATCAGATGAGTCCTCAGCACCTATATATATGCTGTCAGTACCAACAGTTGAATCGTAAGAGTACCTGCTACGGAAGCTGCTGGGGTCATACCATTCTCCGGTGAAGCTTCAGAGTCGTCAACGGCAGAATGGGGGCGTTTGTTTGAGGCTGCCTGGGCCTCATCATGTGGACCAGCCATTTTGAAACCAGAGTCCTGCTTCCTTTCAAGCAGAAACGAATCCGTTCAAGAAGTCGACTAACCGTAGGAGCGCGTGAAGTGATGGTCGGCCTGGACAGCGGGAGCTCGGGCCACATCGCCCAACTTTTCCAAACGTCCCGCAGTTCTTCTGCGAGAGAACCCCCCCTTGTCCTTTCGTCTTAATCATACTTGGAGCTCCCAGTCTGTGTACGAGGGTAGCCATATCTAACCGTATTCTTTCCATCATGGTACGCATAGTTACTACTGTTAAATCCTCGCGACGCTTCTAACGAAAATTTCAGGCGGCCTTCTCCAACCCAACTCAGATATTTGCGGAAGATGTCATCGAAGAAAAGGGCGAGAATGCTCGTCTATCCGCCTTTGTCGGTGCTATCGCAGTAGGCGACCTGGTGAAGAGCACACTTGGTCCCAAGGGAATGGATAAAATTTTGCAGTCCGCGTACGTGAGGATAGCTGTTGTGCAATATGAATACACGGGTCTTGGTTGTTACGGGCAGACGTACTGACTTCAAAACGTGCTTCTTAGATCAACTGGGGAAGTTCTTGCGACAAATGACGGAGCGACTATTTTGAAGGCTATCGCACTAGATAATGCTGCTGCTAAAGTGTTGGTCAATATCTCAAAGGTACAGGACGATGAGGTCGGCGATGGGACGACGTCAGTCGCCGTGTTGGCTGCAGAATTGCTCCGGGAGGCAGAACAGCTTGTGAACCGCAAGATTCACCCCCAGACCATCATCGAAGGCTACCGGATAGCCAGCCGGGCGGCTTTAGAGGCTCTGGAGAAGACTGCGGTCAACAGATCCGACGACCCAGAGGCCTTCAGGAAGGATCTTCAGTCCATCGCTCGAACAACTCTCAGCTCCAAGGTCCTGGCTCAGGACCGGGACCAGTTTGCCACTCTAGCTTGCGATGCAGTGCTTCGGCTCAAGTCCTCGTCCGACCTCAGCCACATTCAGATCATCAAGAAGGCGGGCGGGAAACTCAGCGACTCCTACCTCGACGAAGGGTTCATCCTGGACAAGAAAGTGGGTGTCAACCAGCCCAAGCGCTTGGAGAACGCCAAGATTCTAGTTGCCAACACCGCCATGGACACGGATAAAGTCAAGATTTTTGGTGCACGGGTGAAGGTCGAATCGACCGGCAAATTGGCAGAGCTGGAGAAGGCGGAACGCGAGAAGATGCGGGCCAAGGTCGAGCGCATCAAAGCTCACGGCATCAACTGCTTTGTTAACCGTCAGTTGATCTATAACTGGCCCGAGCAGCTGTTCTCAGAGGCTGGTATCATGTCCATTGAACACGCCGACTTTGACGGAATCGAGCGACTGGCCCTTGTTACCGGTGGTGAAATTGCATCGACCTTCGAACATCCTGACCAGGTCAAACTGGGCCATTGCGACCTGATCGAGGAGGTTATCATCGGGGAGGATACATTCATCAAGTTCTCAGGTGTAGCCGCTGGCCAGGCTTGCACGATTGTGCTACGGGGAGCCACGGAACAACTGCTCGATGAGGCTGAGCGGTCTCTTCATGACGCCTTGGCTGTTCTTTCGCAGACAGTAAAGGACCCCCGAGTGACGTTGGGAGGTGGCTGCGCTGAGATGGTCATGTCCAAGGCCGTCGAACAAGCCGCCCAGAACACCACTGGCAAGAAACAGCTGGCTGTGGACTCATTCGCTAAGGCGTTGAAGCAACTCCCCACAATCCTGGCCGACAACGCAGGTCTGGACTCAAGTGACCTGGTGACGCGCCTACGACAGGCGATCAATAACGGGATGACTAGCTCCGGACTGGACCTGCTGACACCTGGAGGTGGAATTGCGGACATGCGGGAGTTGGGCGTGGTGGAGAGCTTTAAGTTGAAGCGGGCTGTTGTTTCGTCCGCCTCAGAGGCAGCAGAGGTAAGGCTTTCTTTACTATGTTATTGCATCCCTTTGAGAGCGGGACAAGATTGCTGACCGAATCGCCTTTCTTTGCTTTTTCTACAGCTTCTTCTACGCGTTGACAACATTATCCGAGCAGCCCCCCGTAGAAGGGAGCGCATGTAATGGAGGTGGATGAGGGTTGATCTGCATTTAGACCGAGTTGGGAGGGTTTACAACATGGCGCACGGGAACGAGTTTGTCTGGAATACAGCAAAAATGGGATTGACCCCATGACGGGGAGAGATTGCATATAATATGGCGGATAGCTTGGCCTAGTATCCTGTGCAAATCCTCGTTCTTCACGAGACGAAAAGCGAAATGGATGAATGATTTTTACCGAGGACGTTATATTGATGCCTGAGGTGTCAATTAGACGTAGATACATGACCCTGGGCGCTTCGTCAACGGGTGCCTGAGGCAGCAATGATCGCCTGTTAGGACCCATTTTTGGCTCTGCTGCTCGTCATGAGTGGTCGTCCGCTGGATTAAGCAGGACTTTTCATGCCTTCTCTGTTTGCGGATGGCGACCTTTTCCTGACAAACTCGCAGTTGTCGATGGAGAAGCGCAGGGCCTGATTGGCGTAGGCACGTGCCCGGCGTGCGTAACCCCTGAACCTGTCCCGGATTCTCCTCATGACATCCGGTGCATTTTACGAACGCAGCAGGTCTTCTCTCGCTCTCTTCCTGGATCACAGAAAGAATAAACTATAGTATCCTTAATATAACTCCCCTTTATAATACAACCAAAAAAGAAAAAAAAGGAAAGACGAAAAAAGTGAGTCAATTCTAACATCTGTGTTGCATTATTTCGACCGGTTCCTGTCAGCCTCAAGAGTCCTCATAAATCTAATAATACTCAGCCCCATACGCTAGACGTCCGGCCGCCGCCCTCCGTTTGGCCATTCTCTCTTCCCACTTCTATTCTGCTGCCTCTGCGTGTCTCCATCGCTCGATATCTCGTTCGCTCTCTATCTGTATACACTGTTTGTTGCCGTTGCTCCCCAATCCCCGCGCTCTCGTTTCGATGGTGTTGGGATCTTTGTCACTCGTTTGAAATCTCCATTCGCTTTCTATCCCTTTCGCCATCATGCGTCCGCTTGGCTGGCTTCGGGGTCTTTTTCTCACCGTCCTCCTGGCGGGCCAGGGGGCGATTGGAATTGACTTGAATGTAAACGACCCAGGTTGGTTCACTCCCTGTTCTTGCACCCTCACTTTTGTTGTGATGCATCTGGATACTGGGTTGACGTTCGCTAAATCGCTCGTGCCCTGCTGACTGGCTCTGGTAGAATCTCTAAAGAGCGCCGCCGCCCTGTCCGCCTCCATTATGATGGATTATTATAACGCTAGAGAATCGAGAGACATTCCTGGCAAACTTGACGGAACCTGGTGGGAAGGTGGCGCGATTTTCATGACCTTGATTCAATATTGGTACTTCACCGGCGACACCACGTATAATGCCGCCGTCAGCGAGGGCATGTACTGGCAGAAGGGCAAGGATAACGACTACTTTCCTTCCAACTACAGTAACTACCTCGGTAATGATGATCAGATGTTTTGGGGCTTAGCCGCCATGACAGCTGCAGAACTGAATTACACAGAGAACGCGGGCGAACCTTCATGGTTGGCGCTTGCGCAGGGTGTGTTCAACACCCAGGTCCCCCGCTGGGACCCAGATAACTGCCATGGTGGCATGCGTTGGCAGATCTGGCCTTATCAGGCTGGTTACGACATTAAAAATGCTGTTTCCAATGGCGGATTGTTCCAGCTGGCTGCTCGTCTCGCCGTCTATACGGGCAACCAGACGTACGCTGACTGGGCCGAAAAAATTTGGGATTGGAGTATGTCTACTCCTTTGATCAAGAACCAGACTTGGACCGTTGCCGACACGGTCAGCACCGAGAACCAGTGCGCAGACTCTGGGGATATTCAGTGGACGTATAATTACGGCATCTATCTCTTCGGTGCCGCCTACATGTATAAATTTGTACGTGACCGGAACCTAAGCTGCCCTCTGAGTAACTGGCTGCTAATGCATCACCATAGACAAACCAAACTGTCCCTAAGTGGAAAATAGGTATGGAGGGTTTGATGAATGCGACGTGGCGAGAGTTCTACCCACAACAGTATGGCGGCAATATCGTGACGGACTTCAGCTGTGAAATCCCGAAGAACTGTGATGGCAACCAAGTCCTTTTCAAGGGTTTCCTCTCTGCCTGGCTCGCTTTCTTAACCACTCTACAACCAGAGACGAAAGACATAATTATGCCGAAATTGCAAGGCTCAGCGGTCGGCGCCGCCAAGCAATGCTCGGGCGGCAACGATGGCAAGCATTGCGGCTCGCGCTGGTACCAGGATACCTGGGATGGTACCTCTGGGATTGGACAGCAGATGGCCGCTCTGGCAGTCTTTGCTTCGAACCTCGTCACTGAGAAGACCCAAGCACCACTGACGTCCAACACGGGTGGCACGAGCCAAAGCGACCCAAGTGCTGGTACCGGCACGGACCAGTCATCTCCTGCCCAGCTAAGTAAGATCAGTACGGGAGATCGTGCCGGCGCTGGAATCTTGACCGGCGTCTTCCTGACTGGATGGATTGGGGCATTGACCTGGATGATCCGCGGTGGCTGAATGAGGCCTGGCGGGAAGAGGAGGAAAGATCAAAGCGAAAAGAAATCCGAACATGGCTCTTCACCTCAAGAGTGGATGTCCCAGTTAAGATGAAGGCTTTCTGCACGGGATAGTGAATTCCGCAAGTGTAACATATACCGCTTATCTGTCTATTTCTTTCTAGGGCTGCTTTATTTTCCCTCTTGCTATCTACCGTTGATCTTATATTCGATATTTATTTTTTTTCTTTCTTTCACTTTTTATTGTTTACTTTGTGAACTTGTTTACACCACGAGTCAGGGGTTTGAGGCGTCTGGGAAGGACACAGGCAAGCCTGGTCCTCCATCGGTGCCTATTTTACTATCAGCTTCGGTTGAGCCAGCCGTTAATTGGCGACTTGTTGTTTCTCTTTGATTTTTTCTCTCTGGGAAATGGGTATTGGGTATTAATGATAGTTTTGGGTCTCATTTTGGATGGGCAACATTCCAAAAACAATAGGAACTGAAATAATTGAATAGGAGTGTGATCGTACAGCTATGCAGGGTGACGGGGATTTATCTAGGTGGTACCTGTAATTATTGTATGCGTGGACATGCAGCCAGTTAGAGATCTGAACTCGATGCTGCAGGAAGTTGGCTTATTTTTTACACGTCACCTAGTAAGGGATGATCGTTGATAACTCACCCTTATAACAGTTGGAGTGTTTTACCTGCCCAGGTGGCATTACTATTTCTACCTACTGCTACTACAACTACGACGTGGATCGACCGTGGTCACATGACGTGGCTGTGTGTGTGTGCATAGTCTGGTGGGGCGTGGACGGACTCCTGCCGTACGGTAATTACCAGAGAGGTCGAATCCCACAATGGCCCATCATCATACTAGATACTCCATAACTATTAGTTACCATATTGTATTACATACTCCACGGAAGAAGGCTGGAATCCAGGCAAAATAATTAATGGAGTAGTGTGGTGAATGGGATAAATCGATGATGCGATTCTCTCATGTTCCAGCCGCAACCGCTGGATGCCCCTTAAGACGGTCGTACGTCAGCTCTCTTCCCTGCATCCTCGAACTGCTCCCATCTTTTGTCTCATAATTATTCTTCCTATTCCAATCATCCAATTCATCATACAATCATTATCGTCTTTTCATCAGTGAGAATGCCCTTATTTTTCTAGTTCGTTTCTAGACCGTCTTGTCTCTTCTCGACCCCCCTATTATTGGCTCGTCTACAGTGCACTACTTCTTCACTGCAGATCGTATTGCTTGCCGTCTCGTCGACATCCTCATGCGAAATTCTTCCTCCCAACTTCTTCCTCGATCCGTGACTCTCCTCATCTCTGGCTTTGCCGACCTTGTAGCCCTCCACGATGCGGTGGCGGCTGCCTGGCGCCCGGTCGACTCTCCCCGCCAGCGTCGCCCTCCTCCTGTTCCCTGTTCTTGCATCTCTGCAGCAGCTGCATGAATATAACCGCCCCTCCGGTGTCTCCCCCCATCATGGACAGGCGGCTGACACCGTCCAACTTGCTCCTTCGTTCGTGAACGTGAAGTCCACCGATGCGAGCGCCCTTGCAACCCTGGCTCTGGCGGGCTCCGGCCGCGCCGTTCGAGCCCCTCCTGCCCAGGTTAGCAGTCCGTCTGCTGGCATGGCTCCGCAGCTTCATGCGCGATCTTTGCAGGATTGGGAGGTTGAGGACTTTGTCCTGCTGGCGACCGTCGACGGTACCATTCACGCCCGTGATCGGAAGACCGGTACGCCGCTGTGGGCCCTGGAGGTCCCCAGCGGCCCCATGGTCGAGAGCATCTACCACAGAGCCAACCGATCGACGTTTGACGACGTCCAGCCTGAGGACGATTTCCTGTGGATAGTCGAGCCTAGCCAGGATGGCAACATATATATCTACAGTCCGGGACCTAATGCGGGTTTGCAGAAATTGGGCTTGACCGTCAAAGAATTGGTCGACGAGACTCCCTATTCTGGGACCGACCCCGCCGTAACATACACCGCCCGGAAGGAGACGACCGTCTATACAATTGACACCCGTACGGGGGCGGTACTGCGCGTCTTTAGCTCCCAAGGCCCCTTTACGTCCGGCCAAGGATGCCGGAAAGTCGATGCGTTGGATACGGTCTCAGACGAATGCGAGTCTACGAGCGGTACACTAGTCCTAGGTCGTGTGGAATATGCCGTGGCTATCCAGAACACTGAGACGGGTTCCCCGATTTGTACACTGAAATACTCGGAATGGACCACGAACACCCGAGACATGGATCTCCAGAGCCAGTACTACGAATCGATGGATCAGAGTCACATCTACAGTATGCATGACGGCGTCGTGCTAGGCTTTGATCATTCTCGCATTGAACGTCCACGTTATACACAGCGGTTCTCTAGCCCCGTCATTCGTGTTTTTGATGTAGTTCGCCCGGTTGGTATCGAGTCTTCTGGTGAACCTATACCGTTTGTGTTGCTCTCGCAACCTCTACAGCCGCCAGATCCTAACTATGGCTACCTGGACGATAGAGATTCGCGTGTATTCATTGACCGCACCGAGACGGGTGGATGGTACGCCATGTCCGAGGAAACGTACCCTTTAGTAACAGGTCGAGCGAAGATGGCTCAGTGTTATGAGAAGGATTACTTCCATCATGGCCAACCACTAATGAGTTTAATGCCGGATCAGCTTCGTGACGCCTTGGTCGGAGTGCACCTGCTCAACGGCCCACGGGTACGTCGTAACATCCCGAGCATTTCTGGGCCATCTTCGACGGCAGAACTGCTGAATGGTACTCCTCGCGATTTGGCTCGGGGTTCTTCTGAATTGGCCTTACCGCCAGCCCTGAGGCACAGTACAATCATCCGCAAGGGCTGGGACAATGCAGTTGACATCTTCGTCACCTTGATCCTTCTATTCTTCGGGATTTTCATATATTTCAACTCCCATAATCTGCAGGAGCTGGCGAAGCAAAAGCTCGACTTGAAGAATATCATAGCTTCCTATGGAGACTCGACGCTACCTGCGCCTTCCACTCCGGTTGTCAACGCACCGGAGCTGAAACAGGACGCTTCTCCCGTCAGACCAGAGAATGTGACTGTCGATGTCGACGTGCCGGGTGAACAAGTTCGTGGTGATGTGACCCCAAGGCCCAAGAGGAACCAGAGCGTCCCGGCACCTGGTAGCACTCCGCGTGTGCGGATTAGGGAGCCTTCATGTGGCCCGGACGGTGATGACGACGTGGACGAATTATCGCTGCAGGACCCAGATAAACCCAAAAAGAAGACCCGGCGTGGTCATCGCGGTGGGAAAGCCCATAAGAGAGGGAGAAAGCCGGCTCCAGAGGATAATTCGAAGGGACAAGTAGACCAGAATCACACCGTCGCTAGAATTGATAAGCCACAACTTCCAAGGGTCGAATCTAATACTGCGGTCAACCGGCTCGCGACAAGTGAGGTGTTCGAAGTGGACGGTGTTCTGCACATTGGCCGACTGAAAGTGTTCACTGATGTTGTACTGGGCCATGGAAGCCATGGCACTGTGGTATTCCGTGGGTCGTTTGACGGCCGGGATGTTGCGGTTAAACGTATGCTAATGGAATTTTACGATATTGCGTCCCACGAAGTCACCTTGTTGCAGCAAAGCGACGACCACAAGAATGTTATCCGGTACTTTGCCCGAGAGCATGCGGCTGGGTTTCTGTACATTGCTCTCGAGCTATGTCCGGCGTCCTTACAGGATGTCGTGGAACAAGCTCACAATTATCCAGAGCTGGTAAAGGGTGGAATGGACATGCCTGATGTTCTGCGCCAGATCACTGCTGGCGTTCGTTACCTGCATTCGCTGAAGATCGTTCATCGCGATTTGAAACCACAGAATATCCTCGTAGCTATGCCCCGGGGACGGTCCGGGTCACCTGCTATCCGCCTGCTTATCTCGGATTTTGGCTTATGCAAGAGACTTGAAGACAACCAGAGTTCCTTCCGTGCCACAACAGCCCATGCTGCAGGTACATCTGGTTGGCGCGCACCCGAGCTGCTGGTAGACGAGGATAAAGGACTGGCACCACCAACGTTGGTAGGTTCTCAACATACAGAGTCGTCAGAACCGGCCGTCGTCGACCCTCAAACGAATCGGCGAGCTACTCGGGCCATCGACATATTTTCCTTGGGGTGTGTTTTCTTCTATGTTCTCACCAGGGGTTGCCATCCATTTGACAAGAATGGCAAGTACATGAGAGAGGCCAACATTGTCAAGGGGAATTTCAATCTTGATGAGCTACAACGTCTGGGAGATTACGCTTTTGAAGCGGATGACTTGATCCGGTCGATGCTGTCGCTTGATCCACGCAAAAGGTACTTTCGACCCCTTCTCTTCATTTACCTGCATGGTTTTTTCTTGCCAGTACTAATTGTGCGCTTGCAGACCAGACGCAACCGCCGTCTTAATGCACCCTTTCTTCTGGAATACGGCCGACCGTCTTAGTTTCCTCTGTGATGTTTCAGATCACTTCGAGTTTGAGCCTCGTGACCCCCCCTCAGAAGCTCTTTTATGCCTTGAGTCTGTGGCTCCGCGTGTGATGGGTCCTGAGATGGATTTCCTGAAGTTGCTACCGAAGGATTTTAAGGATAATCTGGGAAAGCAGCGCAAATATACAGGGTCGAAGATGCTGGATCTTCTTCGGGCATTGCGCAACAAACGCAATCATTACAATGACATGCCGGAGCATCTCAAGACCCATATTGGTGGTCTGCCAGAGGGATACTTGCTGTTTTGGACCGTTCGGTTTCCGAGTCTACTGATGAGCTGCCATTGGGTCATTGTGGAGTTGGGATTGACAAAGATTGATAGGTTTAAGCGGTACTTCTCTCCACCGGATTAGAGAGTTATTATTAGATTTTATGTTGGTTTAATGGTGATGTTTTAGAATACTTTTTATGGATATGTGAACGATCTCAGATACAGCGTGGTCTTTTAAGATTTCGTAGCTTAAGCAGTTTCTCGATTAGGGATAACATGAGATATATTTTGGCCTGTTTTTTTGCTAAGCACTGTTGAAGTTAAATCGATGCCTTACAAACCCGGCTGTCAGGGCGGAAGTTATCTAGGACCCTTGGTAGCTTTGCCGCAAGCTTTGGAAAACTTTCAAATACGCTGGAAAGCGTCCACCAAGACAACAAACCGGAGTGAAGTGGGAGCTTTCACTCCCTTCTTTTAAGGAAGGGATGTGAGTGAAGTGAATGAGGTGAACAAGGTGTTTGCTTTATGTCTCTCCCTTTCATCTCCCTTGCCTTTCTAAAAAAATCACATCCTCCACTACATTTATCGCTTCCTTTCATTTCTCGACAGACGAAATAACAGCCAACTCTACGCGTAAACCCTTATCTTGAGCCTTTACCATTGAGGGTTACCTTCTGTTCTTGTCTAAGGATATCGAAACCGTTCACCTGTCCGTGTCCTGTCTAGTTCAACAGGAACGAACGGAATGGTCTTCCTGCGGCTGACCGTGAAGGTCTACCCACCCGAGTGCTTACAGAACAGGGACGACATTGAGTCTTCCCCAGCGAAGCCTGTGAGCTTCTTACTTGTCCTTGACAACTCGGAGGATGTCACATTAGCAGGGTTGGCCGGGTTGATTCAGAAGCAATGGAAGACGCTACGGCCTAATGCCGAGTAAGTTTTCTGCGTTTCCGTGGTTTTCTTTCTCCCCTTCTCTAGGTACTCGACTAAGAACTAGAACTAACCTGTTTTCACTTTTCTCTTTCTCCTGGAAAGACCGCTCAATATCAAAAAGCTTGTGGATGATGAACACGACTCCGTTGACCTCGACATTAATCTTACTGTCGCCGATGTCTTTGTGGATAAAGGCAAGGCACGCACGGAAGGATTCGACCAGCATGCTTTTGTTCGCGTTATCCAGAAGCCCATTCCGTATATCCCTACGCGATACCCATCGGTCGTCCAGGATTGGGCTGGTGCGGCACAAGAAAATGAGGGCAATGGGAACACTACAAGGAAGTACAAAGACTCCAAGTCGGCTGTACATAGGTTTGAGACTATCGACGAAGAGCCTGGTCCATCCGCATCTCCCGACGTCACAGTTAATGGCAGGAGGAATTTGCTAAGAGATACCCCCGTGTCGTCCGTGGAGAGGGACGACCTACTCTCACTGACGCACCCGAAGACGAGATCCCCTCGCTTGGAGAAATCGCGTGGTACGGAAGTTATATCTGAGACTCGGCGTTTAGGGAGTATAGAGTTAGGATCGCCCGATTTCCGGCTCCCCGTGGTGCAGAACTCGAACTCAATCATGGCTAAAATAGACCACGGAATGGGAAATGGCACGTCTACTCCGTCCCGTAAGAGGAAGAAGAGTCCTGTGGAAATGGTCTCGCAGAAGGAGCCGCGACTGGAAAAGCCCAATGGACGTACTTTAAGGGAAGATATTCCTGATTCGCAGACTGCCCGCAACCGGTCGCTATCTTCTGCTGGGAGTGAAAAGACAGGGCCATCAGAATCAGTAACCCCCAAGAAACGTGGCCTTGGCCTAGGAATTACCAGCAGCCCTGTTTTTAAGCGAAGCATAGTGTTCAATCCTCCCGATGAGTCGGCAAAATCAGATGCCCAGCAACCTACACAGCCTTTTTTCACCGGTCCTGTGTATGCTCATAACGTACCTGACTCTTCTGATAATTTGGACGACTCAGCGCTTCCGAAGGTTCGCGATTCAGTGCTTCAAGAAGCAAGGAAACTTCACTCAGCCCTTCGCGGCCAATCACCAAGTAATGGCTCTCCAAGTCAAAACTCGTCGAATAAGGCCACCCCAGGTAAGGGACGGTCTGTGTCCTTCGCGAAGCCGGAGAAACCTAACAAGCTTACTCCTGTTTCCAAATCACGCCCTAATGCAAAGGAACGGCTCAAAGAGCGTCTCGAGCGAGAGACGAGCGAATGCAAGAATCTTAAGCAGAGAATCGACAAGCTAGAGGAGAACCGGGGGGATCTTAAATATATCGGACTACTGCGCAAGGTGCAGGAAACATTGACCGAGGTCCTGAGGCTTGAGAGGAACAAGCAAAAGAATTCCGCTCAGAGGGCCAAAATCTTACGACCAGAACTCGAATCCTACTGGAAGGAGCTTGAAGAATATGAAGCTTCGATAGGTGCATCTCCATCGCAAACCGAGAACAGAGAGCCGGTGACTACTCCTCTGCCCCAGAAAAATAATACGGACAGAAACACCGACAACAAGACCCCACTATCTCAGGGGTCTGTCCAAAGCAAATCATCAAGAAAGACGAGATCTGCGTCAGTAAATGGCCAGACAGTTCCCGCACCAGAGAAACAATCTGAAAATGGCCGGAGTCCCGCTCCGTCTAGTTCACCGGTTAAGCCTGCTTCCGCAAAGAAGACACCGGCCGCAGCAAACTCTCAAGTTGTAGAAGACGTCATGGATAACACTCCCGTTGAGAAGGGTTCTGCCCTGTCATTTGGAGATGACACAAAGCTATTGCCGTCTGACGATGGCTCTCCTGTCAAAACAGAACCGGCTGACATGTCTTCTTCTTCTGGCTCAGACGGCGAAGAAGAGTATGAAAACAAAGGCGAAGACAAAACCGAAAGCGGCAGCGGCAGTGATGACAAAACTAAAGTTGAAATCAAAAATAAGCCCAAAAGTGAAAATGAAAGTGACAACGATAGCGTCAACGAGGACGAAAGCGACGACGACGACGACGACGACGAAGAAGAAGAAGAAGAAGAAGAAGAAGAAAGTAAAGAATCAGAAGTCACCAAAGCAGACCTCCTCCGCAAAGTAAACATTGCTTCCTCGCCGCCGTCAAAGTCACCTCTCCCATCTCAACCGTGGCAGCCCGTGAACATACGAGTGGCAAATACGCATTCGTCTCCTTTCGCCAGAACTACTACTGCTGCTGCTACCCCAAGAGACAGGAGCAACAGAGTGACACTTCGGTCCCTGCTTGCGGATCAGAATGCTGAGAAGGAGAGTGCGCGGAAGCCTGCACCGTCGTCTCAGCCCGTGCAAAAGCCGAAGAAAAGCATTTTTGATCTTACAGACGATGATGATGACAGTAGCGATGGTTACCTCTCCGAGTAATGGAGACTGGTTAGATTAGATGTTCTATAAACCTGGGGGAACTTGGTCTAGTTGTGGACTTTGTGTAAATAAAGTACACGAAGTTATATTTGTACATCAATCAGCATGGAGACCAACAGATCAGGTAATCCGTTGTCAGGTATTACTTGTTGACAGAAGTCTATTAAATGCCATGATCAGGAAATGGCTAATGCTCTCTACTGTTACTGTCAATGTGTCGCTGGGATATACGGGCTTGTATCTATTTCCCAAGGTTGATATGTATTCCCTTACATGTATTAATAGACCTGAAAAAGAAAAAGGCCATGCATTTTTCAAAATGTCCAGTATCAGTGATCATCCTTGCGGACAAAACATGTAAAAACCATGACTTTTAGGGCACGTTGACGCTGTCATCTTTTTGATTACCAGCAGCATCCTCAACCCAGCCGGCTGGCGGTCTCTCAACGACGCAATTCCAACCAAACCGATCCTCAATCTTGCCTGCTTGAATGCCCTGGAGCGTCTGGACAAGCTTCTTGTAGATATCACCTCCACTTTGATCCGCTCCGCACTCAAATTCGAACTTATCCCCGCGAGACTTCATCGTGATGCTCCGAATCGGCACCAAAGCAGCCGCGGTACCTGCAGCGAGGACCTCGCAGAATTCCTTGATCTCTTCGTACGGAACCCGCCGCTTCTCGATCTTGAAACCACAAACTTTCTCCCCAATCTCCAGAACTGAGGCCGCCGTCACAGACTCAATGACGTTCTTGCTATCCGGCTGCACAAGAGTCACCTTGCCATTATCCTTGCGGACTCCGATAAACCCCGACGTGGAGAACTCATCTATCTCCGAACGCGTCCGACTATCGAGGTGCAAGGTAATCCCGTACCCTTCCTTATGAGCCCGGTCACTATGTCTCAGGACAGGCGCATAGTTACCGCCTAATTTCGCCGATCCCGTGCCCTCCGGTGCGGACCGGTCAAAATCCTCCAGAATCAGTCCATCTACCGCATGCACGCCATGGTACACACCCGTAGGCATGACGAACACAACAAACGTATACTCATCCGGAGGCGAGAGACCCAGCTGCGCCGAGGAACCGAAGATCAGCGGACGGATGTACATTGCCGCTCCCGTCCCAGCCGGAGGCACATATTCCGCATTCGCAGCGACGGCCAGCTTCACGGATTCGATGAACAGATCTTCGGGAACGGGAGGGATGGAGACAAATTCCGCCGAGTGCTGCATGCGGGCGGCGTTTCGGTCCGGTCGGAAGATGGTGATTTCCCCCGATGCGTGGCGGAAGGCTTTCATGCCCTCGAACGCTTGTTGGCCATAATTGAGGCCCGGAGCCATGCCGTGCAGGGGGAGGTATGGGGAGGTGACGAATCGAGGCGCCGACCATTTCCCGGTCGTGCTGTATGAGAAGTGGCTTTCGACGTGGCCGTTCACTGGCGTGTAGATAACTAGTTAGAGGGCGAGACGGACGGATTAGGAGGAGACAGGCCATACCATCGCGAACCTTGAAGCCGACATTGTTCCAGTCTGTAGATGTCCAGGTTAGTATTAATCGTACTATGCACCTGGTAATGGACGAAGAGTACCAATTGTATTAACTGGGGGAGGAGGGAAGGGAGTAGTCGCCATTTCGTTTTCAAAGCGGGAACCTGGGATACTGAATAGCAGATCTGGCAAGATCCAAGGTGATCACACGGTTTGGCTGAGGTGAGGATGTGAAGCTGCGGATGGAAGGGAGCTTAGGGAACCGAATTCATGATTCTGTGAGTCATCGATAGTCAAACACAAGGCGCAGCTTTCCATCATAAGACGAATGACATGATCCACAACCGCTTAGGTGAGCAGTCTACATGACAAGTTGACAGGCTGCAACCAGCAATTGCAGTGGGACATGTAAGTATCTCACTCTTGGAATCCTTGTTCGGCGATCATTTTTGGCTTCATCTTCACATCTTACAGTCACGTGAGATGCATGTGACGGTGGCCAACTGTGCTCTTCCTGCAAGGCTGAAACACTTCAAATGAAAGAGACATACACGACAAGAACTACGCTGATCTAACCCTTGGTTCAGGAGGGCGTGATAATCTCTAGAGAAAAGAGATAAAGCGAGAATAAGTCTCTCTCTCATAATACCATCGGACAGCCTGCATTTCGAGCAGAGGCACTGTTGAGAAGTGATGGCCTCTTTTTGTCGTCAAAAAGTCCGTCCGCGAAATGGGGCGTCACTTTCGGACTATGATTCTGAGCCTTTGACAGCCTGATAAGCTGGTTCAACATCCAGAAAGAGCTTTGGAACTGGCATTGATCTCCTATGATCTACGTCCAAACTCCGTCACTAAACACACTTTCAGTCCTCCTGCAATCTCGTGTCGCGAGGCCTTGCGATAGTCCTCAGCAATATTCTCAAACTCATCTGTGACAAGAGGAATCGAATGTCAGTGGAGTTGTCGTTGGTCTTCATGGTCTGGATTCCCTACCTTCAGCTGTGAACGCCCAGGACGGGTCATACTTTCCTTGAACAACCAGGTCCAGCAAGAAGGGATAATACTATACCAATATATCAGCCATCCGTGAGGTCGACACAAGATATTTGCTACTATATTATGCTTCGCACCTTTTGAGCTGGAACTTGGCCTCCTTGCACTGTCAAGCTCTTCTGCATCAACATCCCAATTGGAAAATCATTGGTGGTGAAGAAGAAATCTCCCACCAACGCGATCTTGCCACCCTTTCGAGTAGCCTTGAGGATGGCAGATATCGTGTCGCAGCTATCACGTTCCAGACCAAGAGCACGCTGTGCCGCATGGGCCGGTTTCTGCGTGCTTCGGAATCCACTAGCCTCGATACTCTTGTCCATCCCATGCGGCTCGATCGACAGGATATAGTCAGCTACTTCCGGATGCGCGGCTACGTCAACTGGATTCATGCCAAAGTATTTTGCGAGACGGAGCCGGTGTGGATCTTTATCCATCCCGTACACCTTGCTGGCGCCCCGGAGGCGTGCCAACTGCTGAATTGAGAGACCCAGAGGTCCGCATCCCCAGACCCCAACAATGTCACCGTCTCCTACTTGGGCGAGCTCGCAGGCATGCCATGCAGATGGAATTACGTTAGATAACGCGAGGAGTTTCTTCGCATCTAGTTCCTTTGGCACCTTGATGCAAGTCATATCCGCAATAGGAACGCGACAGTACTCGGCTTGATTCCCCGCATAACCACCACGGAAATGGGTATAGCCCAGGATCCCTGAGATGCGGTGCCCGTACGTCTTTTCCATCTTCTCGGATGGGTTGGTTGCATCGCAAAGCGAGAACTCCTGTCGCTTGCAGTATTGGCAGTTCCCGCACGCAATGATGGGTAGTATAATGACCCTGTCTCCCACCTGGATCTTTTGCACTTCGGAACCCACCTCCTCCACAAATCCGATTGCCTCGTGACCTAGGATATCGCCCCTTTCCATGGCATCGTTTAGGTCTCCTTCGTACAGATGAATGTCGGACCCGCAGATGGTCGTGTGTGTGACATGGACGATGGCGTCGTGGGGATCGGTGATGGTGGGCTTGGGGACAACTCCGAGCTCTATATTTCGTGTACCCATCCATTGGGCTGCTTTCATCTTTTCTGTGGGATGCGGTTTGTATGCGGTGTTCGTGATGGGGCTGCCAGCGTTAGTCTCACTGTCGACTCGTGTGGCAGGAACAGGTATGACCTTCGCATCGTTGTCATCTTGATTGCTGATCAACAAGAATGCTTATTAGGAAGATATTTATTATTCGTTGAGGCAGCTCTTGGCTAACACTCTGAGTTGACTATTCTTTAAAGGGCTTGTGTGTCTGTCATAGCGATGCGATATTAGCGTGGTGGTTCCTGGGCTCCGGCAGGCCACCCTGAGCTCGCAGTATACCTAACCCTTATGTCATTTTGCATATTGTTTGGAAACTGTTTCAGGAAGGCCTATTTGTCCCAGGGATATTATCAACCCGACATTTTCATGGATGTCGACAAAACCATGAGGCTTCTCATTCTCTAACATATGCATCTCTCATCGAAATCAATCTCTAGCACACGGTGGTCCGCCGATATCTCGGGCAGTTTCGCTACGATATTCTGCCAGCAGTGCGACTCCTCCATCCGAGAAATAGACTCTCGCCGGGATTCAAGTCCGCAATGAGATTATCCACTGCCAGCAAAGAGGATGTCTTAGGTCGGACTAATGGAAGGCATTAAGACCATAGACGGGAAGCTTGACACAAAATATGATTAGTAGCAATTGATTACATGTCTCTGATTAATCGTCCCTGCACAGTGATGATTGCCGGTAGTCGCGGTAGTCTATTATTAGTACTGTTCCTGTGAGCTTGAATCATGACACTCCACTGAGAGGAACGTGCAATCCGAATCTCTCGTGAACTCGCAGCTTCACCCAGGATGCAAGTAATCAGCTGTATCATCGGCGTCTGTCATCGCGGCCTGAAGCCAAGGAACGCCGTGCCGAAGGGGAGAAAGAGTTGTTCCCCGCATGACTGACTTCTCAAAAACATCTCTGTGTATGTATTACCTCTCTCTTATGCTCCACGCCCTCATTCTTTGCGCTGGATACCTCGCACCACTGCCCAGTTTGACTCCTGATGTGCTTAGATTGCATCCATTAACAGCGATTCTGCTTCTGTCATTCTGTTCTCTCTGTGTCATTAACTCTGTCCCGCAAGAGATTTACTTCTCTTTGCTCTGTTGTACGTGCTGAACTGCTCCGTCGCTACTCGCCCCCTTGGATTTTTCCATAACGTTTTCTTTGGCTCTCTTTCTAGTACAGATACCATCACAGATTAGCCCTAATTGATCTACCAGGACTCTGGCCAATGTCGACCGGCAATGGATCCAACCCAGCTCGGGGATCCGCAGCAGACGCCCGTACGCGCAACCTCCGCTGAAGCTCCAAGTAGCACCAAAAAGCGATGGCGACGGAATCGTATTGCTTGTGACTCATGCCATTCACGTCGCGTTCGATGCGACAGAGCATTTCCTTGTTCGCGCTGTCTCCGAAGTGACATACACTGCGAATTTACTCGGGAACGGCGGAAGCGCGGGCGGATCTCGCGAAAACAGCTGGCGGAGAGCGGCGCTTTGACGGGGAATAATACTAGCAGTGGGAGTAATATGCTGAATGGTGGCAGAGTTGCTCCGGTTACAACGGCGACGACGTCCGCATCGCCATCGTTGCGGAAAGGCTCACCGACGTCGAGCGACCGCAATCAGTCACCAAACCTCGACGATGTGGCCGACGCTTCCGCCGCTAGTGTTGGGGACGGTCATGTACTGGAAAATGGACCTGCAGCTCCTCAAGGAGTAGCAACAGGAGCGGGGAATCCCACGGAGGAGTGGCTGTCGGCCGCTCACGTATCCCCGGAATCATATATGGGCTGGGGAGATGTTTCCCTTCCAAGGCCCTTGGAGATGTGGGCAGAGCATGGTCTGGCTGGGAGCCAAGTCCCTCGGTCCACGGATTCGAATATAGGCATGAGACGGAGGTCAACGGTAACAGAGCCGCCGCGTCCGTTGAAGTATCCAGTGCTGCAACCATTGATGCCTTTTCTGGAAGGCTACCTGTCGCGCAGATTGGCCTTTGATCTCCTCGAACTATACTTCACCAGCGCTTTCTCCATCCACGTCCACCCAGTGTGTCATCACATCCATTGCTATATTTTACGCAAGTCTTCGTTTCTCAGCCGTGAGGCTCCTCGACAGAGCAGCCCAGCTTTATTAGCGAGTATGCTTTGGGTAGCAGCGCTGGACCATCGCGCTTTTGCTTTGTCCATCTCGCCGCACCAGCGAAAGAGAATCTGCCAGTTTCTATGTTCTCTGACAATCCGGCTGCTTAGACCCTTGGTGCACGTCTCGATGGCGGGGGAGGGCCTGTCGGCGGGAAGAAACGACTCCGCGGATGCAGGTCATGGACAATCCCCTGCTGCTATATTCCCATTGGAAGCGACAGGGGATGACCGTGGACTGGTGGGCCCTGCAGGCTCACTAGATGATGTTATCACGTACATTCACGTCGCCTCTATTACCTCAGCAAGTGAGCAGAAGGCTGCAAGCATGCGTTGGTAGGGCTTCTATTAGCTCAGATTGCGTAGGATTGCCATGCTGACACGTAACAGGTGGCATGCGGCTTTTACCTTGGCTAGAGAGCTTAGGTTGAATCAAGAAATTGAAGGGCTTCCGGATGTTGAGATACAAACAGACGCATCATCACCCTCGTATCCGTACCCTTTAGACAACTCCACTCAAGAGCGGCCCGTCTTGAATTGTGTTTGTGACAAAAGTCGCGAGATGCAGCATAATGTTACGGAAGAATACCGTGAAGAACGACGCCGAGCATGGTGGCTGCTGTACATTATGGATCGACACCTCGCTCTCTGTTACAATCGGCCATTGGCTCTACTCGATGCAGAAAGCGAGGACCTGCTGCTGCCGCTCGATGAAGGCACATGGCAGGCCGGCGACATTCACACGAACAGCCCTAAACCCAATGGCCCTCAGTGTCTAATATCAGGCGATAAGAATAAACGCCGTGTGTTCCCCGATTTCCTCTGCCATGATCATTCTATCTTCGGCTTCTTCCTACCATTAATGGCTATCACGGGCGAGTTGATTGATCTCAACCAGGCCCGAAACCATCCCTTGCTCGGCTCGCGACTCCAAGCCAGTGAGGCTCTGAATATTCACATCAACGAAGCCATGCGCCAACTCGAGATCTACAAGGCCAGTTTATTGGCTTTTGCGGCAAAAGTCCCCAACACGGAGGCGCCGCTTCCAAACAACCATCAACCTGAACCTACTCAGCAGGTATCGTCAGCAGCCCAGGCTGTTAACCCCGAGCATATCTCTCCTATAAAGCCGCATCCCCCTCAGGCATATTTCTGGCACACGCAGACAGTGATCGCCTACGCTTCCTACTTGGTTCATGTCCTGCACATATTGCTCATGGGCAAATGGGATCCCGTGACCTTGATCGAGGACAAGGACTTCTGGACCTCATCTCCCGCGTTCGCCTCCACGATCTCCCACGCCCTAGAGGCAGCAGACTCGGTCGAGCAGATTCTCCGATTCGACCCGGACCTTAGCTTTATGCCGTATTTCTTTGGGATACAGCTGCTTCAAGGCAGTTTCTTATTACTTCTCATCGTTGAACGGTTGCAAAAGGAGGCAGGAGAAGGCATTCTGAATGCGTGCGAGGTTATGATCCGTGCCACGGAGTCGTGCGTCGTCACTCTCAGCACTGAATATCAACGCAACTTTCGTCAGGTTATGTGGAGTGCTGTGGCTCAGGCGCGGGGCCGTCCGGTAAATCACAGCGAGATACGGCACCGACGGAGAGCAATCTTGGCCTTGTATCGGTGGACGAGGAATGGGACGGGGTTGGCACTTTGATTTGGGACTGCACCCTTTCATAGATTTTAGTCCGTGAGGGTTGATTCCTGTGCGAGGCGTGGTCTATATATAGTGATTGCTGGTGTGTAAATAGTGGATTTATACAATTGCGCCAGGGACGCTGTTCACTTGCAGAAGGACAAGCTATGTCTCTCGATACTCTAATACTACATATACAATTCTCATCGCAGTGGAAATCCAGACAAGCTCCCAAACGGGAAAGACCAATGCCACGTGACACCGTTCGACTCCGTGCGCTGTATTACTCGTCCTCTCCGAGTCCAGCTACATTCTTCTTCGCATTCCAGTGGTAGGCGTTCCTAAATACCCATTCCATGATGTGGCATGAGTCAAGTTATGTGGATGTACATCCATCCGGACACCATAGCCTACTAGGCCGAGGATACTGTTCAAAACAGCTCAAGTTCGCTGGCCACTTCTCTTGAAGGCTAGGGACGAGCCTGGTTACCATACCTCCCGCGGCCTTCTTAGCCTGGAATCATTCCGAACGGGGAGTACCTTGTGGGACGTGCCCAGTCAGATGTTTAGAGAAACTTGCGACGGTCAAGATTGACATGTCGCAGTGTGGTGACTGGAGTGGGTGGTTTGAAGACTTTGGTCAGACTTTCCACATGCAGCTAGTGTTCTTCATTTGCAGTTGAGACCATCATCAGCCTATGCTCGAGATCAGTGATTTTTTGCGATACTGACCAACTGTGTCACAGGATGCATCCCGGAGGTAAATGTCTGGACCAGAGTGCGCGCGAGTTCTCCCTGACTCCTGAAGATTTGATTATGCGCTCTTCTCAGAGCGTGACTGAGAGAGCTCGTTACATGATCATGCAAGGGAACACTCGTAGGATGGCCATTGCAGCTCTCCCAATCAAGCCATGCATTGTCTGGAGAAAGCCACGGAAATCATACATTGAGAGCCGGATCGCTTGAGCTCCAGGGACCGCTCGCCTTCTTCGTCTGCAAGTCTGGTAGAGGTTTAAATGCACCCAGATTTGGAACCCTGCTGCTTCCGACATAGACAGCAGCAGGGAGGGTCTAACCCCGTGGAAATGCCGGACAGCTCTACACCATTTCTGGTGAACAAGCTGCCGATTTACCCAAAGAATAATTTGCATATTGGGACGAAAAGTTCCACCCAACTGCTGAAGAGAAAAAAATTTTGGAAACTCTCCCTTCACCTGGGCCCTATAGAAGTTAGCCGCTGTGCTGTTGTCTCGGTTGCGCTGCAGGCTTGGACAGAGTGGATAACCCCCGACAGGTTTGGTCTTCAATGAAAGCCAATGAAGTGCATGCATGAGCTGAATGGCCGACTAAAAAGAATTGGGTACCCAAGGTACTTTTCATTTCGAATTAGCCACACCGTCTACGGAGTATCTCAGACTCCGTTGGCTAATTTTCCAGTTGCCATATTGACCTGGTTCCCATCTGGCCTGTTTAGACACAGAAGGGAACTTGCACTCGCGCAGAATATAACACAGTATGTTTATCCCATCGATCTCCGGTGTAGGCGGTGATCATTTACGAGAAATTATCGGAAATGCGGTTCGCAGAGGGCAGGACAGACGGGATACCCGGACCAGATGCTACAGCTCACAACGCCATCCCGTTGGCAGCATGACAAATGGATCTGACATCTCGGAACGATGCAATGTAACCTGGTTGCAGTCTGGCTGACATTGGTACTCGGTGGTTGTTCCTATTCGGCATTCCGCATCCAGCTAACCTACAAGGTCCTCTGCGGCGTCGAGAAAACGACTGCATAAGCGAAGCGCGGCATCCAATCCGTCTCGTCGATTACACTTCCCTAATTTTCCGGCCGAATGCTTGTGCTATTGGCATACCTAGCGGGCCGCGATTGACGATGCAATATAATATTGCCTACTTAGGGTTTCGCCGCGGGATAGCCATGCTGTCATTGGCGATGGACTCGACAACTTGCAAGCATCAAATGAATGGAATTGATAATACGATTCTCATTCGGAGTAAACAGTGCCAATAGCGCGTTCATTGTGTCTACGAGGTGCTCCTTAGGAGATTTGGCGCCACGCCGGGTCCTCGCATCCTAAGGTTCTCGGAGCTGAGAAGATGAACCTCGTGCGATTCAATGACTGCAAAGGTCCCTTCTGATGAAAAGTCAAATTTCTCAAGGTCTAGCCAGCTGTATAGAGTAGAACATGCACATTTGCAAGGCCGTTCGTGTTCTGCATCGCTCGGCACGGGTCTGTGAAGCCCGAAGAGGGTGGGATGAAAGGGCCCAGGATTCTGGAAGAACCACAGAACAAAGGCTCTTTCAGTGGACAGAAAAGCGTGTGGTCAATAGTACGAGGCGACGCACAAAACTGGGTCGTGGAAAAGGCATTCTCTATCGAATCATGCGGTGCATCCCACAAGGTACTCGCGCAAGGTCCTCGCAGTGCCGGCAGACTCTGCTATATAAATTGTCGGCGAAATTGTTGCTTGAACCCTGTTTGCGCCACGGCCGACAGTCTCTTTCCTCTCCTTTAAGCATTTCTCCCTCTCATCAGCCGGAAAGAGAGCCAAAATGCCGGATTTCGACCCGAACAACGTCAACCTCACCGAGGTCAGCCAAGAAGATATCGTCTGTTGGTATGCCATATCTGGGAATGACTACGATGGCCGCTTGGGCGCGAGGGTCTCGTCCATCTTCGTGATCGGCTTTATTTCCACTGCCACTACCCTTTTTCCTGTCATTGCGAAGCGGGTCCCGAGCTGGAAGATCCCATTCGGCGTCTACCTTTTTGCGAGGTACTTCGGTACCGGTGTTATTGTTGCGACTGCGTTCATCCATTTGCTGGATCCTTCATACTCTTCCATCGGGCCGAATTCCTGTATCGGTATTTCGGGCCACTGGGGCGATTATTCATGGTGTGCAGCCATCGTCCTGTCGTCGATGATGATGGTCTTCCTGCTGGATCTCGCGGCCGATGTCTTCGTGGAATGGAAGTACGGCGTTCATCGAGACGAAACGGCTGTAGATTCCTTCCTCACCGGTTACCATGACCCTACCCACGGCCGTGACCATGTTCATCGCCATCCCGAAAATGAGGAAGAGGCCCAGAAGGGAGAGGGCACGCCGCCGCATGCTGCCGCCGCAGCAGCAGTTAACAGCAAAGAGGGCACCGTCGACTGGCGTGAAGATGGAGAGTCCATCGTCGCGGAGAGATCCTTCAGACAGCAGATTGCCGCCTTCCTGATCCTCGAGTTCGGCGTGATCTTCCACTCCGTCATAATCGGCTTGAACCTGGGAGTCGTGGGTGATGAGTTCTCGACGCTCTACCCCGTCCTTGTCTTCCACCAGTCCTTCGAAGGTCTCGGTATTGGTGCCCGGATGTCGGCCATTCCCTTTGGAAAGCACAAGTGGCTGCCCTGGATCCTGTGTCTAGCGTACGGACTGACCACTCCTATCTCCATCGCGATCGGCTTGGGTGTGCGCACATCGTACGCCCCCAACTCGAAGACCGCAATGATCGTGCAGGGTGTCTTGGACGCTATCTCGGCCGGTATTCTGATATACACTGGTCTCGTGGAACTACTCGCGCGCGATTTCCTGTTCGATCCTGACCGCACAAAGAGCCGTCTCCGGTTACTGTTCATGGTTGTTTGCATGCTGTTCGGCGCGGGTATTATGGCTTTGCTGGGCAAGTGGGCGTGATTCCTTTTTTTCTTGGGACTGGACTAGATATACCCATCTTATATTGATGTTTTATTAACGGTTATTTATACTGGGAGGAACGGTGGGTGTAATGAATATAAAGGACTAGATAATATCCACTCTTTGGTTCTGACGGCGGACTCCTTGTACATTTTGATAGAATGATCATGCTGTACCTACATACATACTTCATGGAAGATCTGACCCTGCATATAACCAGGCTAGAATAAACATGATTTATTCATCTTCAGCATCCCTCCAACCTAACCAAGCCAGAACAATCCCAGTCTTAAAGAGAACAGCTATCCACAACGCCCCAGCAAGCCCAATCCGACTCCGCGCCCAAGAACCCCCATCAACGTCCCGATCAACACACAGATAATCGCAGCCACCTGCCGTCTCTCTTCCACATCTGAGTACACGCTAAGCGTAAAACAATCTGGACTCGCAAATGAATCGCAATAAACATCCGTCAAGACCACACTGGTTAACCCGGGGAATTTCAATACCCTGCTCGTAACGGCTTGTCCGCTACTTTGGAACGCGATTAGAGTTATTGGGAAAATTTCTTCCCAACGTAGCTTGGAACCATTCCGGCCATAGTTCTCGTTGTCGTTGTTATTATCCCTGGTGGATGCAACAAGCACAGCAGCACCAGCCACAAAAAAACGGAAACACATAACACCCATCTCCGTATCTCAGGAAAGTGCGGGTGGCGTTTCCCGAAGAATAACGATCCAAGACAGAAGCGTATAATGGAAATTCCGGATTCAATCCATCTTTGCTGCTGCTGACGTTGTGCCGATTCAACCCCCGCTAATCCCAGGCGTAGGCTGGCCCGCCAGGGTTTGACTTTGGGGAAGGAGTGGGGAAGTACGGGGCATTCCCGGCTGCTTGGATCTTCGGTTTACAGTAGCAGTCATACGTTGACAGTTTCCATGGTTCAGCTCCTAGGTAGCGGATTCGATCTCCATAAACATAATATAATCATGCTTACTGATTCTGCCGGTCTTTCATCGGAATAAACGAAATCTCAGGTGTACATGTGCAATTCACATCGCATTGATACCAGTTATCAGTCAAGATCGCATCGGCAATAGCCTCCCCGAGGGCATACATCGGTGCCTGATAGTGCGCCGCTAAGGAAACAGGCAACACACTCGCATCGCGGACACGTAACTTCTTCACTCCTATCACGCGACATTGGCTGTCGACAAATTTACCCATGGCCGCCGTACCTGCATTCTGATTGTATGTTGCTCCTACGGTCCGTATGCGCCGGTCGAGTTCGGCGTCGCTGCTATTGCTGCTTAGCGGACAGTGTCCAGGGGGCGGAGATTCACCCTCCACCACTTCCTTTGCTGCACCTGTTTCCATGATGCGTATGGCCAGACGCAGGCCGGCACGGAAAGTTGTAATATCCGTTTCGGTCTGGAGGTACTGTGGATTCAGGATGGGATCCGCTGTCGGATCCACGCTGGCGAGGGTAACTACGCCACGGCTTGTGGGCAGGAGGAGCACAACGGGAGAGCTGATATGCGTACCGTCAAATGGAAGCTGGAAGCTAGATCCACCACTGACGATGGGAGCATAGCAGAACATGATCTCGAAGTTACTTCGGGGTCCTTTCTTAAAAAGTTGGTCATCTGGGCTGATTCCATCGGCCTCTGCAGCCTTGATGGGTTCGTCGCGCGGCGTAGAGGCCGTTACCAGCCATTCCATTGGGCTTCCTCGGAAATATTCAGGTTTGTTGAAGGCTGGCGATCCCAAGGCAAGCCCCTTTTCAGGGTTTCTGAGTTTCGAGAAAATAGTCACTGACGGATGGTCGTGATACCCCTGGCCAACTGGTAGATCGACAAGAGTCTTGATGTTGAGCTGCGAAAGATGGTCCTCGGGGCCGATTCCAGAGAGCATCAAAAGCTGCGGCGTCTGTAGAGCGCCACAACTGACAATAACTCTTTTGTGGCCGTGTACTTACTCCCGTCAATCAAGGTAACTCCCGTCGCGGACTTGGATTCGTCGAAATCGATGTGTGCCACAGTGCTGTTCGTGATCACAGCCGCCTTCAATAAGCCATACACTTTTCCGCAGGCTGTCGTCAACCATCTCTCCAATTCTCTGTATACCAGCCGAACCCAAGGGGATTCCCACCGTTTGAATCAGGATTGAACGTGAGCCCTGCGGCCGTCATGGCCTTGACCATCATCTCACGCAGAGGGTATTTGCATGCACCTGCCATCGTGGAGATGGGACCATCAAAGCCGTATAACTTGGGACTTCCTGCAGGGCCATGGTGCTTCTGCAACTTTTTAAAGTACGGGAGCATTCTCTTAAAACTCCAACGGTCACCGCCGACTGTTTCGGCCCACGCATCGTAATCGACAGAATGGCCTCGGGTCCACATCTGAATGCCTTTCTTCAAGGCCCATGGCTCCAATGCCTTGAATTCCTTTGCATTATCTGTCCGAATGACAAGCAGTTTAACACCTTTCTCACGTTCCACCGGAGCCAGCCATTGCTCTAGGGTGGCTTTCACTGTAGCTGCTTCTCGATCTTTTGTCAGATATATCCATGACATCCTTGTGCAGTCATCTGTTAGGGAGAGATAATATCTCTCCAGAGTCTTTGCCTTGCTATATGAACCCCAAAAGTCCATGTAGACTCTCTTCAAGGGTCTTGATGCCCTTGGCACTTCTGCATGGCTCTGTCTTTTCATCTGCCGAATGGGCTTTTCCTTTCTGGCGGCCGGTATATCCTCTTCGGCTCTTATCTCTGCCAGTTCCATGTGCTCTGGCCTTGCTATGGCCCTTCCGGTGCCGGGAACTGCTCTGCTTTCGGTCCTTCTTTGGAGCTTTGCATTCTCTTGCAAAATGGCCTATCTTGCCACAGTTGAAACATGATACCTGCTTAGCCCTGTTTGCAGACTCTTGGATATTCTCATCCTCCCTAGCAGTACTCATCATGCTCTCCTGCTGCTGAAGCCGTGACAGGACTACTCCACGGGTTAGATTCTCTTGTGCCAGAAGTGAAAACTTCATAGAATCATATCCTGATGGCAATCCATCCAAAAAGAAGATAAGAATGATCATATTATCAAACTTCACCTTCCCTCTGCTAATGTCCTCTAGCTCAGCGTGATATTGGTCCAGTTGTTGCATTGCCTCCTCAAGGCTCATCTTTGGATCCATCTGCCAGCGTGTTACCTTTCGGATCGCATTGGTAACATCAACCTGGGTCCTTCGTTCATATTTCTCCATCAGAAATGCCCACATACCTCCGGATGTCTTCAAGCTCTGTATTGAAGCCTTATCTTCCACCTTCAGGTTCTGCAGGATATATAACTTGGCTGTTGCATCTGATGTTCTCCATCCTGGGTCCTCTAACAGCTTTTTGACTCTTGCTGTATTCCCACGCCAGTTATATGTGTGCTCCACCACACTCCAGCAACCTTGTGTCTCTAGGAAGATCCTGTATTGAGCTTTCCAGCTGCTCACATTTGTCCGGTCTAGCTTCTCAATATTAAACGTGGCAATCTTCTGTGGTGTCACTGCCTGGTAGGCAGGAATCTCAGATTCTCCTGACATCCCGGATGTCGGTTCTCTTATTCCCAGTATCCCAGATACTAGTTCTCCCTGCAATTGTTGATCAGGGTCTTCAGTATTCTCCCAGCTTAAAATATATCTCCCAGTCCGTGGGTCTCGTTTTTGTTGGGCCGGTGGCATCTGTCGTGTTCGGTTCTAGGTTTGTGGTTCGATAGTCCGATGAGGGATAGGTAGGCAGGTTGTACGGGCCTGGGCACCTTCACAGGATCGAGGATCAACACGCCGCGTACAGTATCAATTCTGCTGAATTGGCTGGGACGATTAGTCTCAGGCAATCCCCCGAGGTGCTAGTCCTGCTGGTTAGGCTAGACGTAGCAGCCCGGGCTCATAACCAATGTTGTGGAATATGCATGTAACTCAGGGAAGAAAGGCAGAATGAAGCTGTATCGACTACACGTACGTAGCCTACTAAGGAGCAGATGCCATTCTCTTCTGTGTCTCTCTCTACATATAATCAGGGGCTCGGATTCTCAGGGGTTGGAGAGGGAGCCAAGCCGCCATACCACGTGACCTTTTCCATATCATATTCGAACTTAGATCCCCAGAGCTGCAGAGCTCCCATCGGATCCATGATTAGCTCATTGTAATCTTCGGGGCCGGCCTCAAGTACAGCAACACGCTGGCCTGCCTGGAACAGACGTGCTACTAAGACGCAGCCTACTGTGCCACCTCCACAAATGATATAGTCGTAACTGTTCTCCGTCATTTTGAAGAGCGCAAGAGGTTTTGTGCGATTCTCTCAACCCCAAAGAAAGGTATCTCCTTAAATAGTCGAAAGTGGGGTAGACACTTTATATATGAAGATGCTGAAAGAGAAAGAATGTATACCGGCCAATTTGTGGACATTGCTGACAGTGAGATTCTTAAATAGTTATAGCACCGGGGAGTACACGGGTCAGGTGCCGGGTCAAAGAAGCCGGCCCGCAGGTCATGGCATAAGCGGTATGGCACCTCATCTTTTATAATGGTAATGATGATAACGATGGTGATGATGACTTCCATTTCTGATACTATATTCGGGCAGGGCTCGCGATGCAGAGGACAGTTCTCATAATCACGTGATCTAACAACTTCATGTTGTCCTGGTGGATCCCATGGTTCAGCTCCTTCCTAGGTTGGTTTAGCTCCCGTTAGTTAGCATAGCATAGATAACTAGGTGAATTCGCGGCGCGACTGAAATGCCTTAGTAAGCCATATAGATTCATCAGCTCCACCCGGTCAACCCAACGGTCGATGAGGTCCTGAGATATCGGCTCGCCCGGGGTCACAAGTCTCTTGATCGAAGGCACCCTGGATGAATCCAATATAGAGATAGTACTGGGCGTAAAGTGTGCCGTATTGGGGTTCATTCGCCTGATCCAGCCGGTAAGATCACTCATGAGATTCTCCTGGGAGACCTGGAGCAAGCAGCGGCCATATAGGATGGTGCTTAGGATGTCGATCAGGTGAGCATCAAAGGAGCACTGATAGAACTGCGGTACCCTAGATGCTACTGTAATATGCATCTGGTCGGCCACCGTCTGCGCGGGCCAGAGGAGATTCTGGTGGGTGAGCCTGACCCCTTTTGGCAAACCGGTGCTACCGGAAGTGAAGAACACAGCAGCAGCAACTTCGTCCGCGTCGATATCCCCGTTGCTCTCAAAGTAGCGTCGACGTTCAATTATGCGGCAGAGGACCTGGATGGCCTTCTCCGGGCTGTTCGGGATGAGCCAGGCTCGATCCACATTTGGCGGCAGGAGGGCATCTTGTCCTTGCAGACAGAGAGCAATGGGATCAGTCAGATTGGTCAAGAGCTGTTCGATACGCCCCCAAGGGAGATCCTGCGTTGATCGCAACGTACGCACCCCCCAGTCGAAGAATGGCGAGGATTGCCGCGATCTGAGCTGGGGACCGAGGCAGGAGCACGGCGACTTGCTGACCATGAGCGATCAGTCCGCCCAACGCTTTGGCAATCTGGACGGAAGCCTTTTGAAGCTGTACGTACGTCCAGAAGTCCCATTTCTCGAACTGTACGGCAACGGCTTCGGGATACTGACTGGCCACGCCGTCAAATACAGTGGCGATGGGCAGCATGGTGTCTGTCGGTTGCTGTGGGGGGGACATAGTAAAGCAGAATGTTGTCTCACGAAAGGGACAGGGAAGGCCTAGAAGAAGAAAGAGACAAGCGCACCTCGAAGCAAGGACTGTTTAAATAGGATGTGTAGAGGAAGGGCCAGGCGCTCCAGCCCGATGTTGATGCCGATGAAGGCGCCATGACGGCTCGATAAACCGCTCTCGTTGGCATCTTGTGAGCATGCTAGTTGCCTGAATAAGTAACCAAACAAGGCGACAGGATCAATTTCGATCTTTGATGGTTGAATACCACCTGAGTGCACCATGCATGTATGGGCGTATGTATGGAAGTATGTATGTATGTATGTATGTATGTATGTATGTATGTATGTATGTATGTATGTATGTATGTATGTATGTATGTATGTATGTATGGAAGTATGTATGGAAGTATGTATGGAAGTATGTATGTATGTATCCATGTACGTCGGGGACAGTACACTTGTCACGGACGTAAGTCATACGTTTCGTCGGTTTGACCCATTACCGTACCTGCGCGGTGGAGTTCAGTCGGTCCGCACCGCCAGCGGGGAAGCGGTAGCCTTGTTGGAAAAAGCTTGGAGTGCTTGGAGTGGAGTGCTTGGCCCTCGACAGTAGTATCTTACATGGCGAGTATGTACTGTACCTACTTACCGGGTGCGTACTTGGTTGAACCTGCCCAGATTCAAACACTCCTCCACCGGTGAGACAATTTGATTCATAGTGCTACTGCCACTGCTTTGCCTAATGACCACCACCACCACTACTATACTGGGTACTGAAGCTAGGACCACTAAATAATTGGTGGGGCGAGCCCCTAAGACCCCGGAAGCAACCCACTCTGTGCCTGGCCTGACTGCCTGCCTGCATGTTCCTTCTCGATTTGATGGCATGGCCCGTATCTCCATCGCTTTCCTGGAGTCGAACTCGACAGGTACGATACATTGCAATTGTTGGGCTAATCTATCCAACCTCAAATGATGCTACCACTTTGAAGAAACCCACCGATCGCGTTTCATATATACCTTGCCGTTAGCACTAATCCCTAGTACTAGTCGTAATCGCCGATCCGTTCTACGAGATGTTAGTGACTGTATTCTGTACTGTATGTGAATTGCCATGTCGGTATTACGCCTATCTATAAAGGCCGATCGATGATTGGGACCGGTACCGTCAATCAATTCACACTCCAAGTCGCCTCAACTCTTCGCCAACTCACTTAATAGTTATAATATAGATAACTAACTGGTTAAGATAGAGTTTTATCAAATAGTGGAATAGCTCCAAAACTGTGGGTTGTCCTAACCCGGTTAATCAGCCGATGTATTGTTACAGAAAAATACGCTTGTATGTTACGAAAATATTGACCCTTTGAAACACATAAACGTACCTCTTTCCCCAAAGGATTTCCTCTCCATTTTCCTTCCCCCTTCAAGTAGCATCAATTCTCTCTCTCATTATGGGTACCCCCGATAGCTATTTGCCTCCCACCCTGAGCGTAGAGATTATTACCACGTTGATTCTTGCCCTTGATCTTCCTGCCCCCAGCTCCATCGAACCGCTCCAGGTGACTGCCGCCTTCCATTCCATCTACCTAATTCATTTTCCTTCTCCAGATGCAGTGTCTGCACGACCTAACCCTGATGGCACCGTCATGCTCGTGCTTCGTGTCTCCGGTCGTCAGCTGCCTGGCATCAAGACCCGTAATGAGGTAGGGGTCATGACCTGGATCCGTCAAAATACCTCAATCCCCATCCCAGTCATCATTCGCTATGATGCGACGGAGAATAATACAATTGGACATGAGTTTACGCTTCTAGAAAAGGCTGCTGGGGTCAGCGTGGATCAGATCTACTCCACGCTGTCTGACTCCGTTAAGACACAAATGGTTCACCAACTCACGGAGTACCTTATCGAGCTGCACGCGCATCCCTGGCCTGAGGGATACGTGGGGGGTCTGACGCTGACCTTGACAGGTCAGGTTGCGCGGGGACCCCCCATCGACGAGAATTTCTGGCAGACGCCGAACCTGGAGAAGTACTGGTCTGCATCCGCCGGGGTCAAGGGAGAGGAGACATTGGAGAGCCTCAATCCCGTTCCTGCAGAGGGGTTTCCAAGTTACGTGGCTTATACCATCGGCTTCCTCGAGCGGTACATCCACGCAATTGAGGCTCACCCGTCCCTTCAGCCATACCGTGACCTTGTCCCGCGGATCCGCGTGTTTATGGCACAGCTGCAGGAAAATCAAGCCGAGCTCAACCGCGTGGCCCATGTACTGGCCCACAAGGACCTGCATTTCGCGAACGTCATGTGTGACCCCGATCAGCCAGGGTGCCCTATCACGGCTGTATTGGACTGGGAGTTCAGCGGGGTGGTCCCGGCCCCTCGGTGGAATCCCCCACGAGCGTTCCTCTGGAATATGAAATGGGCCCCGGAAGACAAGGCGGAACAGACCCGGATGAGGCAGTTGTTTGAGAAGATCTGCCACGAGAAGGGAGCAGGGCACATCTTGGAGGAGACACAGTTGAACGCACGGCAGGAATTGATGCAGACAGCAGTCAACCACATTCGCGCCATTGTTGAGGTTTGCCCGCGGGGCCAGGCACAGGATCGTGTCGCCCACTGGCGGGGGGTGGCGGAAGCTGCCATGGAGGCGTTTACAGTGTAATTAGGATGTACTAGATTGGAGCTGTATCTACCCATCGTATTGTATCGTATCGTTGACGTATTTATTCTTTTATGCCCTAACCCCAACCCTAGGCGTATTGGCCTCCTGGTATAACTATGGCCCTGGACCCCTAGCATCAAATTCGTCAGTTTCATCTGAGTATCTATAATGGAGCCCCACGATTCGATTCTGTCCGGTATGTCATCCAAGTCTCGGTCCCCAGGGCCTCAGCGGCTTCTTCGCATTGTGCAGGCCCTCCTGCCTCCAATCCAGCAGCAGCGGCAGCAAAGCCCTTCTCCGTCATACAGCATATCTGGATGGTCTCCGTGGCGTGGAAGCCTGGTGAGTCGTAAACTATCACCTACTATCAGCGTTCGAAACTTTTGTGAACTATGGCCACCGGGATCCCTATTGTGTGCACCATAACGAATCCTTCACCCACAACCTGCGCTTCCACCAACTCCCAATTCTACGCCTGATTGACTCTGGGTTCGCATCTTCTTCGTTCTCTCCGGCTTTGTCCTCTCGTATCGGGCCTGGCAGATTCTACACAGAGGTCCGTCAGCCACCCACCCTGCCGAACTGTACGAGCTCCTCAGTTCCTCCGCATTTCGGCGGATTGTACGGTTGTTTCTGCTCCCCCTGGTTGTCAGCTTCATCACCATGCTGTTATTTCCCCTGGCGCATGGGACTGTCCGTAAATCTTTCCGGAGAAACAAGCTATGTATGCTTTGGTGGAACGACCGGAATATGCTTTTCTATATTCAACTGTATACTTCGATCACTTCAATTCTATTTTGGGTAGAGCATTAGGAAACACATAGTATTGTTTTTACTATATGCAAGGGAACAAAAGCAATATGAAGAATCAGAGAGAAAGTCAGCTTGTTCTTTCAGACTTGGCCTTCATCTCCCCAACTATTTCTTTCTAACTAATTGGGTCTAAGATAACATTATGAACAAAATGTTTCCTTATTCCCGCCCCGATTCCTGCCATTGACGGATGATCTTTACCCCATCTCTGTTATGAGGCTGTGCCTCACCCCGCGGGATATGGAGTCTGGCCGCAGCCAGAGAATTGTCTTCGGGTCGTGGATGCGAGGCTTCATCTGGACGGGAGTTGTCCGCGGGTAGTAGATGAAGAATCCGAGAATTAGGAGGCGCCAGCGGCACGGTAGGGGGTTTCTTCAACTGATGTCAGGGTTGTATGTTGTGGGCTATCATGGAAATTAGCTAAGCCTGTCAAGAGTTGAGGTTATAAGCCACCCCACAGTGAGCTAGGAAAAGCGCGGTAGTTAAACTGTGTATGGAATGTGTTTGGGCTGTCTTTTGCGAAAGGCCACTGACTATTGATCTGGACGCTGTGTGAGAGTCTTGTTGGCAAGTGCCTGAAATACATCTGAACTCGTCAAAGACAGAAGTTATTCGTCAATAATCATATAAGTGGTTAATCCAGAGTCAGGGTCATCATCAGTAAGATTAATTGCTTCAGTAGAAGGCCAATCAGGATTTATAGCATAACAAGATGGACAGGTAAAAAGGAAATTTGCATGCGCTTTCCAGCTATTTATCTATATCTAGTATTGTATGTAGTGCCTGTTTCTCATAGTTAGCTAAGATCCCTAATGAAGTATTAACGTTACAATTTGATCGCTATAGCCTACCAACCTGATTTTCAAAAATTCCCTGTATGCTAGTTCTCGGTTGAAATAGCGGTGTGAATATGGATATTTGGCGTCCAATTAGCGGCACCTAGTGGTGCCAGAGATAGTGCTAATTTAGGATCAGAACCATTAGTGAAATGAGCAGAGATAACTTCCCGGAGCCGGATATAGACTGTACGAAAAGGGGTATATCGTTCAGCAGGAGAAATTGCTGGTGGCTTCTCAGGGTCAGAACCAATCCTTGAAAGCTCAATATGACGCCAGTCCAAGGTCTCTTTTGGAAGATACTCATTGATATCTAAAGCCTTATATCAGAACTCCATACAAAGCCAAAAAAGGAAGGATAGATATCCCAGTCTTGCACGTCATGAAGAAGAGCTTCAAGTGTCTCATTATCAACCGAAATTCCTTGGTTCTGAACTTCTGAATGATAGTGATTCATGTATGGTTTCCCATAGACAATGCTTGGTCGGCGTGACTGCTTTCGGATATAATGTATATTCCAGGTTTGTACGAAGGACTTGATTTCAGCTCGAAGAATAGGCATGTAGACAGCATATAAGACAATTTGGTCAAAAATAGAAGCTTGGGTAAAGCTTCCCTCCTCTCTTAGTAAAGCAAAGTACTCCTATATGATTGTACAAGATGTTAGCTTCTTGATATCCGTACATATACAACTGTTTGACTTACTAGCCACCTGAAAAGAAGTCCCTTGGTGAGCTGTCCCCACCAAGTTTTAATTCTCTGATTCTCTGTCCTAGTGCCACAGATATAGCAGTTCTCCATCCTGATTCCTGGATCATTCCTTTTCACAAGTTTAAAATGAGCTTCACCCATTAGCCCAGTCTCTGTACCGTGATCTGACCGTAATTTTCTTGGGAGCATTTGCGTGGTTTTCACAGCATCAAGATATTGGCGGGCAACACTTGCTTCTGGACGAGCTGGAATGCCAATATATATCCAAACAATATAGCGGGAATATGCATCAATGGTAGCATAGACCTATGGCTGAAGCTTCATATATCCATCCACAAACCAGAGCTCATTTGGTCCTCGTGCAATATAGGCTTCTTGTTCCGCTGAAGATCATGAAGGCAACTTTGTACAGCATCTGGAATGACAGCAAGGTGTAATGCTCGGAGATTATTCCTATGAAATGACTTCGTATGATTAACATAGATTCTTGTACGAAAAGATTCTGACAGACCTTGGAATAATATAGCCAGCTCTCCTCATATGACAGTGAAGGATCTCGTTCCCATATCCTTCTATGGTTCCAGCTTGAATCTCCTTCGAGATGCCATTTAAAGCCTCTTCTTGCTGTTTTTGCTGTTTTGTGGGGTCATCTGTACGCCGAAAATAACCTAAGGTCTGCCCGTACGCGTCTGAGAGTTCTGCTGTTGATCTGAAAACCTTCTGACTGAAGAGCTTTAAGGAGCTCTGCTTCCTCTAGCGCCATTTCATAGAAGAGGACCTTGATCCTTTCATGAAGGGCTGATTCCTTTCGTATAGCGCGTGGAGTATATTTCCGAATGCCCCAAGCTCGAAGACGCTAATTGACTGTACTAGGACCAACATGGACATCAAACTATTCCCGTAAGGAGGTGCAAATTGTAACTAGTAAACTGCCAGCTTCATAGAGACTGATAATCGGAGCCTTATATGGCTCCAAATTTATGACTGGACGAGGCATTTTATAATAAGAGACTGCGAGAGAGAGTCAGATAGGATGATAAATATTGTGCAGAGCAGTAGGGAAAGGATTCAGTGACAATCACGTGTACATAAACATTATTGTATTTGCGCCCCTAAAATACGCTAGTATTATAAATTTCCTAATTAAGAAAACACGAGGCTGACCACTAGTGATGAGGATATACTACTGTATTTCGGACAGGGAATAATCCGGCCCTGGGATTCGGAGTATATATGTTCCGGGAGGAAGATGGCCATACCCGAGTATCCCGGATCCTGCACACGGTGAGGCATCGTAGAGCATAGATTCTCAAGGATTCTCTCATCAATAGCATGCCATGCCTCCTTATCTGCCTTGATCAGTTGCTGAAGAGCCTCTTCAGTATCTGGAGCCCTTTCCAATTTAAGATATTTCTCATAGATCACTGAGGCCTCAGCCACGGCTACCCCCCCAGGAAAAGCAGGAAGACCCAGGCCCTTAGAATGGGTGATGTTTGTATGGCCTACACTTAGCGAGCATCAAAATGGAAAGGGAAAGCCTTCAACCTGTCTAGAATAAAAAGTGCATATATATGTATCTGTGGACCCTTAGCCTTACGCCTCAGCCTTACAGCACAAGATGAAACCCCTTGATCGTAGAATACCTGTCTTCTCAGACTTGATCGATGCTCTATCAGATAGGAAATATCATTGACAGGACATGATAAATGAAATGAGACGGGCAATGATCAAGCTGATTTCTCCGGCTTACGCCCATACACAATCCAAAGTCTGGTGTACAGGTGAATTGACAAGTCCTTAACCTCGTTCCGTGCACTGGCAAGGATGACCTCAATTTCAGCCCTTGACCAACCCAGAACTCTGGTGAAAAGAGCATATGTATATGGGCCCAGACCCTCCAGCACATTTAATTGATGGTAGCGGCCAATCTCTTTGAGTTTGGGGTCTTTGGGCCATGGGCTTTGAGGGAGCTGTAGATGACAATCTCTTAGTACCAGTAGTAGCAAGTGCAAGGTTTGTATGTTAACCCACTTTAAAGACCTTCTCATGGACATCTTCAAAGCCCGCCTTGATCATTTTCTCCTTCCATGTTGCCACTGTTTTGAAGGATTTCCCAAACTCCTCGGAAGACTCATGCACGAGCCTAACTATTCGGCGTAAGTTTGTGGCCTTCAGATGGGTATCGTCGTCTGAGAAGGTGCCGATCTCTATTGATGCCATTTCAAAATAGCCACCAGGGACTAGATTCTCCAAGGCCTGGCGGAAGAGCTTGTCATAGTCTCGGACCGCGCCCTCAAGTTCCCGGCCATGGATGTAGTCGAACGCGCGGGAGTATTCCCAGGGTTGTTCGAAGTCGTCGATCTCGAATCGGCAATTGGGCGGTAGCCTGTTCTATTCAATTAGATCTGGTGAGCTCAAGGCACAGTGGGCAAATAAGAAAATACCAGGTGGGTTGGATAGGGCTCAGGTCATTTCCTAATAATTCTGCATTAGCAGTACATTGTATCCTCTTGGAGAGGAGAACCATACCGATAACTTCGACATCAGGGTGTTCACTATACATAGTCAATAGCCGACACACCAGAACAGACACACAGAAGAATCATACTCTGCAAAATCAATAGCCCAGATGCCAGTGCCGGTTCCAATGTCTAATACCCTTTTCGGATGCTGGATAGGAGCAAGCTGCAGCTCACCACCAAGCACAAGTCGGTAGACATGGTGGCTCTATTTCAATTAGTTACCAGCAAAAGAATAGCCGTGTTGCTACGAGACATACCAGATCCAATCGATCCTGTTCTGCCTCGTCGTTGGGCTTTATTTTTATCGAGTCAGAGATCAGGCCCAGAAGCATTAGTACTAATGATAAGGCGTTGATGCTTTACCAGGATATATTCGCCTTCATGGAAGGCGTGGTACCGGCGGCCGTTTTCGTACCTGCGTGAACGGGTCAGCTTCAGCCTTTGTTCTGGCAGGATACGTAAAGTGCATACTTGTAGTTGACCACACTTGACGTTATGGAGCTTGTGTAACTTGCATCGCCGATTCTGTTTGTATATAATATAACAGTCAGATCTTGCGTATAGTCGAGAGGAAGAAGACCGAGGACAACACGCACGACCCGGCATAAGTGGAATCATTGTCACCGTATGTCTCCTGGAAGCAAAACCAGTATAATTAGCGGGGTGAAAAAAAGAAAGAAAAGAAAAGAAAAAGAAGAAGAAAGAAAGATTCGTCTGTATCGGAAACAACGCACATCAGCCTCCAGAGGAGCGTTGTTGGCAGTGACGTTGGCCATGTTGACGCGAATGAGAACAACAACGAAAGGGGAATCACAGGGAAATTGAGTCTTAAGGCATCCAGCTTAACACCTTATATAATAACGTCCCCGTTCTGCGTACTTTTGGCTGTTTCAAATGCAGTTACATACTGTTATGCTGCTAAAGACCAGCCCCCGCTTCGCGCAGAGACCGTTGCAACGATGATTTGCGAATTTATTGCTGTCAAGTTCCGACTAAAAGTGCATGCAGTGCAATAGGAAAGGATGCTCGACGACAAATGCAGCGCTAGAAAAGCTAGATCATGTTCTTCCCGTCGTTTATCACGCCACGTACGACGTTCTGCGGCGGAGAATTATTATGATCCACGTGCTTGGCCATGTGCTTTGTCTTGACGAGGGAGTACTTTTGACGGCGAGTTTGTGTCTGTTATTCAAACATTGTCCATCCTCCGCAGCACAAGAGAAACTGGGACACAAGATTCGTATTTCCGCGAAGATTGTGCTGTCCAGTTTTTTTTAGACCGTGGATATCCACAACGTGGCAGCTCGGCAGTCCGTGCCACCGGAATAACGGGAGATGGAGACGTGGTCTTGGCGACTGAGGATCGCGGGACAAGGAGAGAGGTGTTGATTAATTAATTAATTACTTCTACGTTGGCATTGCAGCGCTGGGATTAGGAGGCATCGGGGTTGTTGGTGTTGTGCACTACTACGAAAGAGGAACCAATCCTCCTATTATTTCCCCCCGGTGGTGACGGTTTTCCATTCAAACTCCAAGGCTGGAGCCACGGCAACATAAAAAGTCGATCAATGGTCCTGCTATACTCCACCAGGGCCTTCCACGGTAAATCTGTCGACACAGACGTTCGCGGATCATAGCACCTCCTAGGAACAAGCCAGGTATGTCGTTGACGCGGATCTGCCGAATTCTCACCAAGAGGTGTTTATTGGATCTAAATTCTACGAAATGGAGGACACAACTGCTGTCAATCAGTTCTAATCTATCTACTCTCTAGAAACAGAACCTTTATCATATCCTAGAATCCCGCAGGAGACACTGATTTACCAATGCAAAGATATAACAAAAACCGCCCCGGACACTTCACCGATGATCAATGGCTCACATACTTGTCTCTATCGGCAAAGACAAACGAGTCCTGTCGCTGCCGGGCCTCCACTTGCCTCGCCGTGTATAATCACCAGGCTGCTTCGAACCATTCGGAACAAAAAACCGCCTGTCGAATCGGCCGAAAGTAAAGAGGCAGAGAATGAGGATCTCAAAGGTGAAATTGAAAATGTAAAAGCACGCCTTCGAATCATACCATGCTGGGTGGATAATTGGCCGTGGAGGACTCCAGGTTGTCCCGCATTTGAATCCCGCGATAAACATGGCTAGACATGTCGTCGGCACGAGGATGGTCAATTTAGACGCGATGCTGCCTTCTCCAAACGTTTCCGCTTCTTTCGACTTTGGTAGCAAAACTGCTGCGGCGATGTGAAGGGATGGAAGACAGGAAATGACAAAGAGATATGTGATGGCGGCTAGTTGGAGGTCCCGGCATATCGTTCGAATATGCGTGTTCAAGGTGTAGAATGAAAGGATCACGCCGGTAATAACAATTGCCAGGGCGGCGGCGATGAGGGCATACAGGACCCTGCAGCCCATCCGTAGGATGGGGTGCCAACCAACACGAGGCTGTGTCGCGCGTAGGATACGTTGTGCGAGGATCAAATTGATGATGTAGAGGAGAAGCACGCCGGCATTCACGAAGATCTGCGCTGCCATTGCCAGCCGGATGTTGTGCTGTCTGGTTGCCCATGTAATGCGGAGGATCGTCGTGACTATTCTCGACATGCAGAAGCCGAATAGCATGGCAGAGAGGACGAACTTGTGCTGTCTTCGACGGTTTATCTGGAAGATAGCCATGTTCGTCACCGCGAATCCGATGTAAAGACTCAGAAACACTGCGCAGACAGGAATGTCGGGGATCTTGTCTGGGGATCCGCCCAGCCCAGCCGTGGTAGGAGGGTATGGGCCGCCTGAGCGCGTCTGGAGAGACTGCAGCATTCTGATATGCTAGAAACCTCAAGCTGCTTCCTAGGGGTACGCTTATTCCGGCGCTTTAGGAGGCCTGGGCACCCTGGCCATGGTCGACCCCTTTATATCCCCTCTGCGCAAACGGGGGGAACCGGGCATAATGGGATTCCGCGCCGAGCTGATGAGCGAGGGGCTCTCGTCTTCAGTGATCTCCATTTCCTCAGCCATGAGATTTTTCAGGGGGCTCATCAAAGGCACGGAGAATGCTATGCGATTCGCCTGGAGATGCGTTGACTTCGGCTGCCGGACGAAGAAATGATCCGCGCACGAAAAGGATGTCCGACTGCCGGAAGTCAGAAGAGACTTGCATCCTTCACATATTTTTTAGAAGCAATAATTATTGCTGGAGCCCTGAGAAGATAACAGGATCGATTGAATCATGCCAAAAGAAGAGCCTCGAGGAGTTCGCAAGGGCACCAAAAGCTGCACCGAGTGTGAGTCGCCGTCAGCGGCCAAGTCACCCTCTCGTTGCCGTAGATGCTGATCTATAGAGCAGGCAGACGACGCAAGGTTCGTTGCATTCGACTCGCCGAAGATGCAGAATCTTGTAGGCAGTGCGAAGAGCGGGGGTTGGCATGTATTGCGCAGACGCAGAGTCACGGACGATCCCAGAGAGAACGGCTACCATCGCGGTATAGAATAGCCCAGCTGGAATCTCAAGTAGCCGGTCTAAGCAGGGCAGTTCATGGCATCGAACGGGAGCTCGGGCATCGGCCTACTCAAATCCTCGAACCCAGGGGTAATCTGGGAGCAAGCGCGTCCGAGGACGATGACGATGACGATGGCTCCAGTTCATCAGAAGTCCTGGTAGCGGAGCAGCCTTCGCATTTGCGTTCTCTTTTCCAGAATGACTGGCTAAGCCTGGATAGTCATCAGCAAGCCCAGCAGCTACAGGGTCGAAGGGCACGGGCATCTGCGCGTCTGCTGGACGATGCAAGACGAGCATTACAGCAGCTGATTCCGTCAAAGGATGAGATATCACACATGGTTAACTCGGCATGGGCTTTCCTTCCGCTGGTCCGCCACATGTTCCCGGATCCATATGGAGTAGTTTCAGAGCAGGAGTTATTGGAAAGCTACGAGGGCATGTGCAAGCCAGATGTGGATGCGATACGCCTTGCTTCATGGTTGCTTGTTACTGCTCTCACGGCACTACAAACCTCCCCGGAACGTGGATATTCGCGCGACGAATTGAAGAGACGGTACCGGAGGCGTCTGTATTTTTCTCGCATAGTCTGTAACACGGTTCAGAGTACCATACTATCTCACGATAGACTTATGGGCACAGTCCAGGCGCTCGGGCTGGCTGCTAGTTTTCTTCCACTGTGAGTATCTTCCTGCTTCTCGTTTCCGCATGGAACAGGTCTAATTTCAGCGACTCCAGTCAATTAGCTCAAGGGAACATCCAGAAGGCGTGGATTCAATTGCGTCACACTATCGCTATTGCAGAGTTGGTGGGATTACCTAGAGCTTTTCACGCGGTCCAGCTCAACAAAACTGCCGGAGCAGACGGGGATGAGACACAACACCACAAAGCACAGCTATGGCAGTCCTTCTGCAATGCAGACAGGTTGCTGGCAATGATAATAAACCTCCCACCTGAGACCAGCCGATACCAATGCGTCTTGCAGACGTTCGCTGCTGAAGACATCCTTACCCCCCGGGTCTATCTCAGTCACTTGATGGAGATAGCCGCCAGAATCCCCTACCTGGATAATGTAAATGCTGGGCGTCCAAGCTCTCCCTTGGAGCTCACCCGAGAGCTCAGACAGCTTTCATCACAGACACCGAAATCCTGGTGGACCGGAGATACAGAGCAAATAAGCCCTCGCCACATGGTGCAGTTCATCCATCATTGTGTCATGATGAGGGTCAACTTGCCGTTTGCAATGCGACAGGGCTCTAATGAAGAATCCATCTACAGTCGTCTGGCCTGTATGGAAGCGTGCGAATTGCTGGCGAAGCGGTATCAAGTCATTCGTCGAAGCCTTCCTCCAGGCGTCTTCGTTTCCCGACTGTTGGATCTACATGTATTCACCGCAACCGTGATTCTTCTCCTCATCTCCCACAGCCCAACCCCGATGGATTGTTTTAATTTGCGCATTGATAAGCCTAAAATAGATGACATTGTTAGAGGAGTCCTCAGAGTCATGACCGAAAGATCAAACAACACTACCGGCTCTGACTTTGCCCGGAAAGGTGCTGCTACCCTTCAATCTCTAACCAGACTACTCCAACAAGATGATGCGACTGCCTATGCGCAAAATCTGACTCTGACTATTCCACTCTTGGGAAGGGTCCATATCCGACGCAACTTACATCCTCCACAGATAACTGGGACTGATGATACACAGTCATTCCAGACTTCAGAACCAGCCCACTGGAAGTCTGATATGCAGTTTGTTCCACAGAATGGGCAGCTGCCTTTTAATACAAACAGCCAAATACCGGCTACCTTAGAAGATCAAGAAGGGCAGCGGTTGGAAAGTTATCTTTCGTGGTCCATTGAAGACACCTACGAAAACTTGCTTCAGGATGCTCTCATGGCAGACAATTTCGATCAATTGGTGACAGGGGAGAATGACTATTTTTATAATGGCTTTTCATTTAGCTGCTAAGAGTCTCTGCTCTATGCAAAGGACCCAAGTGGTGCCGTAGGAAGCATTCAGTTCATATGAACTCATATGCGATGTGATCAATCCATGTGCATGGATACATAACGAATCAATATCTGGCTTTAATAACTTCCGTCAGACTTACCCTTGGATACTGTGAACGATTCAGCTGCAGCATTGTCCGTCTGATTTGGTTGCTTATTAAATGGGGCTGCATAGTTATGACTAACTTATCTTTTGGCTGACAGAATCAAATCTCACCAGGGTCTAAATAGGATGACGAACGGATTCCGCAGACTTACAAATATGCTAGCAATATTTGAATAATTTGATTTTGAAGATATTCATCCCACTCTGAGGATGCAGGGCTTGAAATAAAGGACGTCTTTTGTGGCAGATTGTTCAATCTCACTATGCAACCTCTATGGAGTACATCATGGCCTCGGAGCCCAGAACACCAACGACAGCAGCAGTAATGGAGGTAGCAACGCATGAGAAAGACTCGACGGAGGCCTCCCACTCAAATGTGCCCATAGGTGAAACACTGATGAAAAGCCAAAGCAATGACGGTCATCACCCTAACCGGAGTCAGCTTCCTGAACACCATGGGATCAGGTATCCTCATTGCTGCCCTCCCACAGATCGCAAAAGACGTCGGGATCTCCCAGGCCTTGATCCTCTGGTATGCGGCCATCTATGCCCTTGCAGCAGGATGTTTGCTTCTGATCGTCGGTGCCGTGGCTGACATCGTCGGTCCAAAATTGATGTGGATCACAGGGAGCTTCCTGTACGTCGTCTTCACGATGGCCGTCGGACTATCCAAGTCGAGTACGCAGATAATTCTGTTTCGGACGCTGCTAGGCGTTGCGATAGCTATGTGTCTCCCAACGGCGGTTAGTCTCATCATGAATACGTTCCCGAGAGGCCCGTGGCGCAACGCTGCCTTTGCGATGAACGGAATGGGTCAACCTCTGGACTACGCACTGGGGTTGGTTCTCGGTGGTGTCTTTACGGGCATATTGGTTGGAGGTTGGCGTGCTACATGATGGCTATTATCAACTTTTGTCTGTCTTGGTATCCATCTGGTCGTTGCCTTCTGTTCGCAATCCGTCAGAGAAGACCTGGTCGCGCCGTCTCATCGAGGATATCGACTTAGTGGGCGCTCTGTTAATGAGCTGTGCCCTGGGATTGTTGATGTACGTGCTGTATATGGCAACGTCATCTTACCGGAATGCAGGACATGCACAGGACGTGGTGTTACTTGTCGTGAGCGTCCTCCTGCTGGCTGCTTTTCCCTTCTGGGTACATATCCAGGAGAAGAAAGGAAGACCGGCTCTTATTCCTAATAGACTGTGGCGGAAGGCACCATTCACATCGATTTGCATCGCTGTCTTCTTCTGCTGGGCCTCTTATGAACGCGATTGAATACTTCACTACCCTCTAGTATGTCGGCCATATTCCATTCAACTTGCTCGTCCCATATCCTTTTAAGAAAGAGACAAATGGCTAACCGATATATGATATGACGATCCAGCTTCGAGCAAGTCCAACAACTCTCCGCATTAAGCAGTTCCATCAGATTCCTCCCCCATGTTATAATGGGAGTATCCGTGAACATCGCAACAGCCTTCCTCATCTCTCGAGTCCAAGTTCAGACCCTCGCCGTGCTTTGTGCACTCATTACCCTCATAGCCCCAATACTCATTGCAACGGTAAAAGTCGACGAGAACTTGGTTTTCGCCATTCTGGGCTTTACTCCTCTCACCAGTTAATCCCGATGGTACGCTCATTTCTCTTCCACCCTTGGCATTTGTTGCCATTGTTGTATATATTGCGCAAATACTGATACACGATTCCATGATAATGATAGTCCTCTTCACCGTCTCCAACCTAGTAATCTCAGACCCATTCCCCACCCAATTCCAGTCTCTCGCCGGCGGTATTTTCAACGAGATCGCCCAATTCGGCAACGCAGTCGGTCTTGGAGTCACGGCGGCTATTGCGGCATCGGTTACGAATCATTCAGGCATTCCTGTTTCTGATCATGAAGCAGCTCTTATGCGCGGCTACCGGGCTTCGTTTTGGACGATCTTTGCGAGTGCGTTAGTTGTTGTTCCCGTTGCCTTTTCGGGTTGAGGAATGTAGGATTTGTTGGGAAGAAGCTGGTTTGACTTTTTATTTTTTTCATTTATTTTTACTTTTCGTCGTTTTGTCGGCGTTGAAAGCAGTATGGCCGTGAAAAACGGGTTCTCCGTTCCAACTGCCAAGAATAGCCAGACGAGAGAGTAAGCCCTATCTCCGCAGATCACAACGCCTCCCAACATCGTAGATGCCTAGCTAGGAAAGAGAACAACCAAATTAAGTTAATTTTTAGGTTTAATAAGGCATTCCTGCCGTCATTTTTTCCAGGCTCCGTCGGTGATAAATACAGCTTGACCTAAAGTCCTGCCGATGCTAAAAGTAAAGTCTCCATTCGTAGACGGAGGTTTTTGTTTCTATCGCTCCGTCGCGGAGGTTTTTGCTAGACAAGATGGTCAGGCTGCAGCGCCAACTCCTCGCTGGGATCAGGTATAAAAGAGTGCCTTTAACCGAACAAGAGTCTCGGATTATTTCAGTTTCAAATCAGTTCCAATTGCAAGTTCAGACCCAACTTCAGCCTCGGCTCCTCTTCCCGACCACATACACACTCTTAGCTGATAAGACACACTCACGCTCACACTCACCATGGCCAACTTGAAGCCCACTATCGCCTTTTTCGGGGCTACCGGAGGCAGTACCATTCCCTGTCTTGCTCTTGCATTGAAGGCGGGATATCGTTGCCATGCCTGTATGTAGACCTTTCTCTCTATCCTCATTATTCATCAACACCTTCTTTCGTGTTCGCGACCCATGCTGACCTGTACAGTGGTCCGCAACCCGTCAAAACTCCAAGACCTCCTCCGTCAGCGGGAGATTCCCGAAACAGCAATCCAAAAGCACCTCTCTATCGTTGCAGGAAACGTATCAGACGCCGACCTAGTCCAGCAGACCCTCACATACGATGGTCACCCCGTCGACGTGATCGTTTCCGGAATCGGGGGGAAGTTGCTCTTCAACAACCCCTTGAAGCCAACTCTCGATAACCCGACCATTTGCCAGGACGCCATCCGGGCTATTCTCACAGCGGCTCGTTCCATGGAGCGAAAGCCTACACTCATCGCCCTCAGCACCACCGGCATCAGTGACCAGAAGCGCGACCTGCCTGTGGCTATGATGCCCATGTACTACTGGATGCTCAAGGTGCCGCACGAGGACAAGAAGGTCATGGAGGCTGCCATCTTAGCAGAGATGGCCAAGCCCGATTCCGAGAGGGCCATTTCGAACTATGTTATTGTCCGTCCTAGCCTGCTTACCGAGGGCGACGGTGACGGTCTCGAGAAGATCAAAGCTGGTGTGGAAAAGAATCCTGCCGTGGGCTATGTCATCAGCAGAAACGACGTGGGTCTCTGGATGTTTGAAAAGCTGATTCGCTTTCCATTTTGGTCCGATAATCCGTATCTGGGAGAAGTGGTTACCATTACCACCTGAAATAGTTTCGGGGGAGCCCTATGCTGCTTATCCAAGCAAAGGAGGGTGGTATGGAAATTATGATATTCGAGCTGAACGGAGCCGAGTAGCAGGGTTCGGGGGAATAACAATGTATGAAGCCAGGCCATAATATCACGTAAAGCTAGCAAATAGAATAATCTTAATCTTTGGTTACGAATCGGAGCATTTAAAGTAACCTTTCTGCTGAATTTTCAAGCTCAGAGAAAAGGCCGTCTTCAGCAGCATCCACACCTTGTTGACCCCCAGGTGAATTATGATGTGAGTGTATATTGGTCTTGAGAAATTGAGGGAAACCGAGAAACGATCCCATCTGTGGGTCCCCTATGAAAAAGCATGGGTCAAGAGCCTCTGGTAGCGATTCGTGGAGTGCCAGCGGCGCATTACCTGGCAGCATATCTGGCAAATCCGTAGAGAAATCGGAGTTGAACGGTATGTTTACATTTTGATCTAGGGAGAAGCCTGGATCCGATAGCATATCATCCATATTAGGCCAGTTCTGAGTAGGAAAAGGAGAGCTGCCAGTAGCATCTCCAGGAGAGAGCACGGACTGTGTTGAGGAAGACGCCGGGAATTGTTGGAATGCCAACTTCATTTTCTCAAGTTGGTTCTCGGCCGGTCGCATCACCGGTCCAACTTGCAGCTTCAGGATCTCCTGACAGATATGATGCAATTCGCTGGCATGGTCTGCTAGTTTTCCACGCATAGCTGCAATCTGCTGACGCTCATCCATAGAGCCCCGTTCAGATTGAGAATGGATGTGAAGCAGTGCTTTGCTACAGGTATCGAAACATAGAGCCAACACGCCGCTGAAATCCATTCCTTCCGCATTTTTGGTTGGAATTAGCAATCGTTGTGAAATGGCAACGAGCGCGGAGGCAGATTGGCAGAACGCATGGAGAACAGAGGCCGAGATCAACTGCGACCCTTGGCCTGTCCTGCTTCTTGGAAATAACATGTGCATTGCAATTGCATGGTAGGACAGTAGCAAAAACGACTGAGAATATTTGTTGGTAACTTCTTTCTCCATGTCCTGTATGGCCTGGGAGAGAATGGTTCGTATTTCCGATGATAGCGCGGCCATATTTGGATTCCGGAGATGATGCAGCTGATGAATATGTCGCATTTGCCAGGGAACTGATTTCATTTTCTCTTGCTCGACTGGCGCATTAAGATACAACGTATAGATGTGGCCGACCGTGCTGATGATATGGCTCAAAGGAAACAGATGCTGCATGGCTTTCATCTGTGCGTGGAGAGTGGAGATGTTGTCTGTGACCCGATCGAGTTGCATCATGGCAGATGTGTTCCCATCTATGCAAGGAAATCCAGGCACTTCGTCAGGAACAAGGAGAGAAAATGGCTGGTCTATCTGCATAAAAGCCCAAGTAGTGGTGGATAAGCATAGCCAGTATATGTTGTGTAAAATTTCGTTCTCCACAATGGTAATATCTACCCCGTTTAGCATCATGCAGGTTTGGCGGCTACCACTTTTCTGCCATTCCACCAGGCGCGCAACCATGCGACATGTGTAACCCACGTAGCAAGTCACTCGCCGGGCATGACCCAGGAGGAGCTCCCGCCATGCCACGAGAACCAACGCTTGTACCGTTGAGATTGAGATGGTTCCCGGTTCTCCAAGCGATAGCGTACGATGCTGCAACTTTGTGGTAGCAAATTGGAATAGGGCACGGGATTCATTCACACCAGCTCCATCGGGTACGATGTCGCAATAGGCCTGGTAGGCATCAGCCAAGATGATCGCCAGAAGGGCCTCGTCGACCGTTTCATCTTTCACGGCATCGATCAATAAAGTCTTGGATATAGCAGGTGACAAGGGATGTACTGAAAACCACAAGTCGATCAGCTGCATGATGCGATGCTTCCCAACCATTGCCAATGGATTTTCATTGCTGGGTGGGTCGAACATCGCTGTCGTGGAGTCCGCCGCCAGGCTGGTGATATAGAAGTTTCGGCCTAATGCGTCAGGCTGTTCGTAACCCAGATGGCTACAATGTCGCAACAACATTTCTACCGTTTCGAGAGCCAGGGATGGTAGCTCCCAATTGGGATTCCAGCGATGCGGACGATAGTTCGAGGGTGATGACCGCTCAGTTCTTCTCAAGAAGGAAGCAATTGAATTCTGAAACAGATCAGAATGAGACCCAGCCTTGCGGATGAAATACTCGTTGAACATCAGCTCTAGGTTGTCTCCCAGGGTACGGTTTCTCCCAGGAGGCGCAGAGCCGTCAGTGTCGTTGCCATCAGCTTGTGCTGCTAACTTAGAAGATGCAGAAGCATCTTTGCTAATGCGCGAAGCCGTGGATGAAGACAACGGGCTATCAACCCCCGTTTGCTTGCGCCTGGGTCGTCCCTTGCGTCCTTCGGGACCGTAGACGCAGTGTCGGTTGCGTTCCTGGCAGGCGCTGCAGACAAGTCCGCCAGAGCATCGAATTTTCCGGCCTCGACAGAAGAGACAGCTCTGCCGTAGTCCAGATGGCACTGGATGCAGATGTCATCCACATGAATGAGCCACAATGGGGAAACTTTCAAGGCCTTTACATACCGGGCTGGGCTGCGGAGTCCATCCTCACAGAAGCGTTATCGAAAAAAATTGGAACATGACAGAGTAATTTTGGATGTCTCAGCACGCTCGACAAATGTCATCCTACAGACTGGCCGTTGAAGGAGAATCCAAAAGGTGTTTTGGTGTTACGGAGTTGCCAAAAGGAGTATCGGCGCCTATGCCACGTGTATTTATGCCTCAGGCTTCATAAGGCACCATTCGTGGATATTTCTACGGATTGTGATCTCGATGCTGCTTGTAGAGCAGGGCAATATTCATCGGGGTGCAGGTACATAATTGAACATCTGAACTTAGATCTCAGCATCAAAGATCGCGGGGGGCTTATACAATCACCAATTCTACTCGAGAACCAGGCACGTCAAGCTTTGTCGCACCCTCCGTCACCTTGCCCGTAGACCCTACCCCAACAGGCTGCAGATATGTAATTGCCTTTTCGGAGAGTGCCCCAAAGTAGTTCGGGAGGGCTAAAAGGTCCTTCCGGTGTATATCTTCGGCATCGTCTGCCCTAACTCCTTCGGCATCGGGTATGATCCCAAAATTCAACACAGTCTCCCCTTCTTGTGGGTTTGAGCGGCGATCTTGCACGTGTTTCGGCTCCACTGAAACGAAGAACTGCACATAGTCACCTGGCTCAATAATCTGCGGGAGAAAAGGTAGAGAGTCGGTTGCGGGTTCCCTGTCGAATAGATAAGATGAAATAGGCGCTGGATACGTATCAGCTGGATGAATCAACTCATGAAGACCTGACAGACCACCAGCATCAGCGATTTCCCGAAAGCAGGTCTCTGGATCCAATGACAGTAGGCCCTGTTTCTTTCCCCATCCACCTCCGCCGCTTATGACACGAAGAAGTCTACCGCCTGCTTGGAGCGATTTCTGGACATTCGCTTCGGGAAGAGCGCAGTCTGGCTTTTCAAGCAGTGCCCAAACAGAGACTCTCTGATCAACAATTCCATGTCTTGCAATGTAGAGAGGAAGTTCTTTTTCTAGCTCAGATGAGGCAGGCATTGGATCAGTTGACCTGCTATCAGCAGACTTTGCTACTTGGCGTAAAATGTTACCCATGCAAGAGACAACCTTCCTTCGCTGGGATACAGGGTGTAGTGGAATCTCCAAGGAGTTGCGGATGCAGTTTGCAGTCAATTTGACTAGACAGCTTGTGAGGTGGACGGAACCACTCCTCTCAAATTTCCGAGAAGTGTGATTATAAACCCAGTGTGATCCAAAAAGTGTATGCTCCTTGCCATTGACAAACAGGGTATTGGCGAGACGCAGTCCCACCTCATGAGTTGCACCACGTATTGAACCGCCAGCTTTATTTGACGTTTCAATTGACAACGCAAGAACGGACTGTTCAGTTCCAAGACTTTTGGCGCGACGAGGCTGGATAGCTTTCCCCAGCACACCTGCTTGTTTCAAATGCAAAAGAGAAATGCCCTCCAGGCCCAATGGTTCCAGCTCAGTATCTCTTGTATGACCAGAAACGTCGGGCAATCCATCAACAACCGCCGCAATTACGTATAAAGAGCTCGGACGGGGGGAGTCAAGGGTGTTGTATAGTTTGTTCACGCATCGTTCAAGAAAGTCGTTATTTGAATCGGCCCATGCAGCAAAACTGGGGGTGAGGAGGAGGAGAGCAAGCTGGGGCTGATCCGATGGAATTTGAACTCGGACGCTCGGAAGAATATCATCTGGAGTCTTGTTTCGGAATCATTAACGGAATGTCAGACAGCACTGTATGGCGCAAGTACTCACAATTGATCCTGGAGTTTTCGTAAACCACGTGTAGGCAAACAGATGATTGTTAGTATTTGCTTTAGCTAGTGTTCCATAGAAACCTTGACCAGGATTATTAGTCCTTAGTAAAGAGTGTGTGTCTCGCCTCTTCCACCATGTCTGGCGAGAACTGAGTAATTGCCGACGCGACTCTGCCTTAATGGCATGACCCAGTGGCTTCAGGCGGGGGATACACCCGGATATGATGATTGGCATGGGAGCATTGAGTCAGGAGATAGGGATAACAAGAAGCTCGGCTCTAATGCGTAACTTTGAGCGATGATTATTGCTCGATGACTTCAATTAGAAAGATCAGAGACATTTACTCCGATGATTTCATGTGTGAAGTGCTTATTAATACATGTTGGCGACAGAGAGACGCAGCTTGCAAGCAAAAAAAAAAAGAAATGCAAAAAAAGTGGACCTAGAGGTAATCGAAACCGCGACCTCTCCCATGCGAAGGGAGCGCTCTACCACTGAGCTACAGGCCCATTTCATACTAGATCTTTAGTATGAATGCTTTTTCAATGATGTTTTCAATGACATTTCCTCCATTTTGCCAGGTGACTCTAATGAAGAGCACAGTGCAGACATCCCATTTAAAAGCAGGTTGAAGCCATTTAATTATCCTACTAAAGTCTATCCAAGTAAGATAAAAGAAAACGCCAAAATGAGCAACCGCTCCCAGAGAGGAAAGGCTTCATATGCTCCTGTACACCAACCTGCTCTGGAGACTTCAAAGTATATACAGACATGGCCCAGAGCGGATGCCGGCAGAATTGGTTCATTGTCATGGGAGATGCCATATCTTCTGTAAGAGGCCTTCATGGAGCATCCCGCAGGCGAATGGACGGCAAATGCGATACACGATAGGATCTAAATTATGAAATCCAGAAGGATCCGCTAGTTGCAAGAAAACATACCGGTTGACTCTGCCGAAGCCTATTCGGCAGCTTTCCCCAGACGGCCTTTACTTGCCGATTTTCAATCCCGCAGTGGCGGGCTCATTTCTCGGAATGGAGGACGGCATCCCTTCACGCTGTTCCCCGCATCAGGAGTCGCGCATCTTTGCTCTGAATTGCCTACAATGAGACTTAAATGAACCGGAGTAGAAGCGCAATTAACCAGTCGCTACTCGGGAGCGGCATTTGCGGTCAACAAGATGCATGCTGGCCCTAGTTCCCCAGGAGGCAGCAAACACGGTATAAGTATCCAAGATCTCTCCCGGAGACTCTCAGTTTCCTTTCTCCCAGGCCCAAGGGAGATTGGAAAAAGGTGTTCTAAATATTCCCCCTGGTTACGTTGATCTTTACACCTCGTCTTCATCTCCTACCACTCCACCATGGGCGACTCACAAGAGAAGTACGACATTGTCATTGTGGGTGCCGGCCCTGTTGGACTCCTCCTATCTCTCTGCATGTCGAGATGGGGGTACAGGGTCAAGCATATTGACAACCGCCCAGTCCCTACTGCCACCGGCCGTGCCGATGGTATCCAGCCACGTTCGACTGAAATCCTTCGCAACCTCGGCTTGAAGCGCCAGATCATGGCATACGAACCTGCCAAAGTTTACAACGTTGCCTTTTGGGATCCTCTTCCAGATGGGAAGGGTATTCACCGGACTGGAAGCTGGCCCAGCTGCCCTCAATTCATTGACACGAGATACCCCTTTACTACTCTAGTTCACCAAGGCAAAATCGAACGGGTTTTCTTGGACGAGATTCGAAAAGCCGGAACCACTGTTGAGAGACCATGGACAATTGTCGGATTTAATAACGATGGTCTAGATGAGACCTATCCCGTCGAAGTGAAGCTCAAGAACCTTGACACAAATGTCATTTCAACCATGCGTACGAAATACCTATTCAGTGGCGAGGGTGCTAGGAGCTTCGTGAGAGAACAACTTGGAATCAAGATCCGTCACAAGGATCCCATTGCTTATGTATGGGGTGTTATGGACGGTGTCGTGAGAACGGATTTCCCTGATATCAAGGTAAGAGAAGCCATGCCCTTGTGAATGAAGATCTTCTAACAGTGAAACAGACAAAATGTACCATCCACTCGGACAATGGTTCGATCATGGTAATTCCGCGTGAGGATAACATGGTCCGACTCTATGTTCAGATTGCCTCGTCGACAGACCCTGATTGGAACCCAAGAAAAACAGCCACAGTGGAGGAGGTACAGAATGCTGCAAAGAAAATCCTCCAGCCATATTATCTAGAATGGGAGCGGGTAGAGTGGTATTCTGTTTACCCAATCGGACAGGGCATTTCTGAAAGATATACCTTGGATGAACGGGTCTTTATGGGTGGTGATGCCTGCCATACGCACAGTGTAAGTGACCAGCTTCGTTACTCCGCTATGTGCACTGGTACTAATACTCTTCCAGCCCAAAGCTGGTCAGGGAATGAATACTGCTTTCCACGACGCACTGAACATGGCCTGGAAGATCCACGCCGTTGAATCCGGCTTTGCCAAACGGTCCATCCTGAGCACATATGAAAGCGAACGTAAAGACGTCGCAGAGACCTTGCTGAACTTTGATGCGAAATACGCTGCTCTGTTCTCCAAACGTCGGCCGTCTGCGGGCGAGGTAGGGTCTGCTAGTCATACTATTGCGGCTGCTGGCGGGGAGGAGGATGAGTTTGTGAAGACTTTCAAATCCTCCTGCGAGTTTACCAGTGGCTACGGCGTTGCCTACAAGCCCAATGTATTTAACTGGGATTCTAGCCATCCTGCGAACTCTCCCTTAATCGGCATCCCAGGAGTCAGACTCACACCAGGAAGAGCCTTCACACCCACTGCTGTTACAAGACTTGCAGACTTCAACAAAGTACAGCTCGAACAAGAAGTCCCGGTAAATGGGTCGTTCCGGATTTTCATCTTTGCTGGAAACCAGTCAAAGACAAAGAGATCAATTAACGATTTGGCTGCCAATCTTGAGAAAGAGCGATCATTCCTTTCTGTATATCGGAGGCCCGACACAGCGGAATTATCTTTCTTCGAACACCACAACCCACACTCCAAGCTTGTCACAATCTGCCTAGTCTATGCCGCTGACAAGACTGGTGTTGACGTCCAGGCAATCCCGAGGATCCTGAGGGACTATCACCATCACATATATGCAGATGACGTCCCTGATATCAGGGTGCCAACCGCCAAATTTGCAGCACACGAGAAGCTCGGTTTCGACCCTGAGAACGGAGGTGTCGTTGTAACCCGGCCTGACAGCCATGTCGCATGTGTTGTCCGGCTGGCTGAGGGCAGTGGGACGGTGGATGCGCTGAACTCGTATTTCAACGCTTTCTCAACAAAGCCATTGGGACAAGATGAGGGAAGAAGTCGTCTCTGAGCATTGCTCTAAGCAGTTTTTGTAATTTAGCATAGTACCATAGCCATTGTTTATATCAGCTGCACTGACGTACGTTTACATATTATATCCAAAGCCCATTCCATCCAACAGCCATTGAAGAGCTTAAACTCTGGCTCGATAGGGTATGAGTTCTTAGCACCAGGCTGTACGGGTTCTTGTTAGACAAATAGATATATATATATGTGTGTGTATAATGGAGGCAAAGACAAATTCTTACCGCCAATACTCTGCGCAGGATCGCGGCCGGGATTCTGGATCTGAGATGCCGTTGTCCCGTTGTAGAATATACTCTCGATCATGTATCCGACATGTCCAAGTCCGTCCCATTGCAAAGAGCAGTAGAATCCGATCCCGTAAGTATTGTCGAAGATACGGACTGAGGGTTAAACTCAACGATATCATCATGAACAGGGCGACCCGCGCCTCTAGTGAAAATCTGATGCTTGAACGGAATCCAGCCGGCAGAGGGAGTATCCAGGTAGGCAAGAGGGAGATCAAGACCGATTCACTTGCCGGTTTAATTTCTTTAGCGACTTCAGCGGCGACTTCGGAGCCAGCAAGTTGAGGGTGCCCAGTTTATCGTCCGGTCCGTATAAGCCCCATGTTGAGAAGGGGGTGGCACGGATGGTCGCGAGACAATATAATATCCAGGAGCTGGGCTCGGCCCTGGTTGCTGGCCATTTGATCGAGTTCAGTTCGTATGGAGTGACTGGAGTTCAAGGTCTACCTCCACCACCGACGGCAAAGGTAGGAATTACAGCAGCCGGTGGGTTTGCTGCAGAATATCATATCTACATCTGCGGGCTGGACATCGAAGAGAAAGTCGAATGGATCAAAGCACAAACCATCGCTGCATTGGGACCGGAGAGTTACAAGAAGCTCTCCTTGCTACAGGTTACCATCATCGGTGTCCCCAAGGACGATCCAAAGTACCAAGATAGCTCTACCGTCGATGTCAGGGTATTCGCGCAGACACGGCACGGCTTCAGATGCCAACTTGGGTCTCTTTGTGCGACACGACGGTGAATGGGACTGGCTTCGTTCTGCGCTGACCATAGACAAGTTAAAGGAATTGCTGGGTAACGACTATGTTGGTAAGCCGATTGACCAGTTCGAGATCCCGGGTCTGAAGGCAGTGCATTTCCTACTCCAAGACCATCTCGACCGCGGCTATAATGCAGGTGCTGGTTTGGATTGTCTGAGGAAGAGCTTGGTTGAATATATCCGAACCAAATATATAGATGTTCCTGTCAAGTTCCTGGAGCGGGAAGACCATGATTGTTTTGCTAGAGGATAGAGGATCTGCATTGCTGATTTAGTTTTCATTTATTTTTGTTGTTCGTTATCAATTTCCACATATGAACGCCAATACGCTGAATGCCAAAAGAAGAAGCATGATAGGCATGGCAAAGAAAGTGCGTTTCTATGAAGCATCGACAAAGCACGATCCCCAAAGCCATGGAAACCCAAAAATATACAGATTATCAGGCGACGGACAAAAAGAATTCGCTGCTAGAGAACTCGGCCTCCTCGATGACCTCGTAATCATCAGCAGCATTCCGCTGGGCACGATGATACTCTATCTCGGGTCAAACACCAATCTATACACGAGCCATGCATGTTTGAAGATTTGGCAACCAGTACTTACTGCGAAACGCATAATGAAGATCCTCAAGACGATCCATAACCTCATTATCATGCCGGAACGAGGGCTCAGCCCGGGAACGCATAATAGCATCGTCAAGGGCGCGGGCCAGAGATCGCAACTCCTTCGTCGGAAACTTGGAAGTCCAGCAATATTAACAGCTTCATCATGTCATATTCAGAAGCTTAATCCGTAACTTTAACTTACGGGCTCACATGTGTGCCGTCCAGCGGCACACCACCAGCATTTCCGCCCACGGGACCCTGACGCTGGGAGCTGGCAGGGCCAGATCTTGTCCCCGATCCCATTCATCCAAACACGCTGGGCCTCGTGCCAAAGACGTTTGAAGCAGCAGATGCATGTGAGATGGCCCGCTTCCAGTCCTTCGGCGGGTCCGGGTCGGGCGAGGGCTGTGTTGTCGTTGGAGGTTGACATGGCGATGGAGGTGCAAATCAAACCCACGCCGGGGACATATGTATATTTATCTACATATTCACTGAGTCCTTCTGAGACTGATGTTTCAGTGGAAGGGTAAGTTCGCCTCATGTACTGTGAAAGAGGTTCGACTTCCTTTCGTCTGGGAATCTTTCAGATGGATGTAATCCGCCATTGTTTGATACAGCCTGAGACCCTAATTGAGATTTGATGAAACAGGCCCGGAAGGAACCCACTCCTTCAGACCTTCTCCGCAGGTACGTCAATATACGCTGTTCATTGTTTGATCTGATCTATTGGTAGGCCGACGTGGTGGAAAAGGGCAGCGAGGGCGGACCTAAGCGGCAGAATACCACGTGATCTAACAGACAGTGTAATGGAGGTGTATCGTTGGTTGGTGACTAGCTAGATAGGCCTACGTGGTGAAAAGGGTCAGCGAGGGCGGACCTATGCGGCAGAATCCCACGTGATCCAACACAGTGGGTCTGGTGGGGTTGAACCCCGGATGTCCCAAAAGGGAAGCCCCGGGCACCCGTCGCATCGGACTGTACATAGATATAAATAATAGCAACAACCTTCAGTCCTTTATTTTCCTTCTTTCAATCACTCCTCGTGTAATAACGTTTTATGAGCACCTCGCGACTACTGTCAGAACCGACAGAACAAAAGAAAGATCACCAACATGGCTCCCAGTCAAAACGTCCAATTCCCCACTCTTCCCCCAAATCTCCTCATCATTTCCCTGAAGATTTACTTCACCCCATCCCGAACGCTCAACTACCTCCATGCCCTCCTCAACCCCCAAAACGACATAATCCGTCCAGAGAATCGATCCAAGGTCCTCCTTGCATTGATCCCGGACTTTCTCACCGTCTACCCCTGCGCGGAGATCGTCCGAGACCACTTCTCCAAGCAGCAACTACCGGAGCCTGCAAGACCATCCTCTTCTACAGATAACAAGCCTCCGCCGCCTGCATTTCTAGTCGGTGCACAGGACTGTTTCTGGGAAGATCTTGGCGCGTATACAGGGGAGGTATCACCGCTTGCGCTACGGGAGATCGGTGTTTCGATAGTGGAATTGGGCCATGCTGAGCGTCGTGCTATCTTTGGGGAAACGGATGAGCAGACGGGTCGGAAAGCTGCCGCTGCCTGTGCGCATGGTATGATTCCACTGGTCTGTGTTGGGGAGGTTACGGCGCCGGGTCCGGTGGTGTCGGAGGCTGTCGGGAAGGCAGTTAGTGAGTGTGAGGTGCAGGTTAAGGCTGTGTTGCGTGCTATTCCGGAGAGTGCACCGGTCATATTCGCGTATGAGCCTGTGTGGGCTATTGGGAAGCCTGCGCCTGCCAGTGTGGATCATGTCGCTGCTGTCGTGGACGGGATTAGGGCTGTCATTGGGAAACGCGAGGGTGATGTGCGGGTTCTCTATGGCGGCAGTGCCGGGCCGGGTTTGTGGGGTAAGGGTGGTCTGGGAAAGGCTGTGGATGGGATGTTCTTGGGCAGGTTTGCGCATGAGGTGGAAGGAGTACGGAAGGTTGTTCGGGAGGTCGAGGAGAATTTATAAATTTATGGCCAACAAGGAGGAAATTTGGAGAGCATTCAACGTCAAGGCTTGTGCCTAGATGATGCTGGACATTAATCAATGTATTATATTCAACACCAAACGCCTCAGTCCATTGCCGGTACCTAACGCCGCAAGTTTTCCAGAAAGGGCTATTATTGCAAATCGCTCTGGAGGTAACATGTCTGGGAGCAGATGCGGTAGTTGATGCATTGTCTACCTGGTATTTGACTGGGGTATGAAGGACGCATCTAGCGCTGGGATATATTGGTTATAAGGACATATACATATCTCGATATAGAAGAGACAGCGAAAACCTCGCTAGCGGTGATATGATCGGAATGATGCCTGCCACTGACTGAAGGGTCAACGTTGCCAGCAATCCGGCGATAGCAGCCATCGTAGGAGCATTCAGGAGGTGGCGACACTTCATTGCGGTAGTCTTGGGTGTGATATGGACTTACTTGCTTGTAATATCACGCTGAAAGGATGCGCGTTTTGAAACGACCTACGCACATTTCCACCCACGTGGGGATTGATAGAGTTTGGCAAGAATGAAGGAAGAGTCTGTCTAAGATCTATCTGCTGCTAATCACATAAAGTACGGATAATCTATGCAGGACTTCCATTTGGCCCGGATTCCATATTCCTAGAAGCACTGTTTTTGGTACTATTCACATTTCTTAGTCCATGGCTATAGATTGGCCGCTGTCTCTCTCTTATGCACGTTCGTCCAACCCACAGTCTCCGTCTCCTTCAGATCCAGCATCTTATTTCCTGCCCCAAAGCGTCCCAGCGTCTGATCCCCCCAGAATGTCTTGGCCATCTCCGGTCTCCATCTCCATGACTTCTTAAACTTCTCCTCCAATTTATCCTCCAGACAATCCACGATGAATCCTCCAATGGAAGGGATATGCATGAAGCCATGGCCAGAGTCCCCGGAAGCCAGTAGAAGGGACTTGTAGGATGGGTGGTAAGTGATAAGGAAGGCGCGATTTGGCGTGTCGACACACCAGCAGACGCGTGCCTTGGAGAATGGCCTCTCTGCCAAGTGTGGCACTGTTTCCCGCAGAAGCGCTCGGATCCGTTCCGCAGACGGCGCTGGGATCTGGTCTTTGTGCAATGCAACGGACTGCGGCAGCTGTGATGAAGAGGAGGAAACCCAGTTGCAGTACCCCGGGTGCTCGTCACAAATCTTCAGCTCGTGGTAGTCCTCGTCGGGTTCCATGAGGAATCCCTTTTCGATGTTGAAAAGGACAGGGAGGTTCTTGTACAGCTGGGCCTCCTCCTTGGTCATGGGGATATGAGCCAGAGTCCACGCAGTCGCACGAAGCTGATTTTCAAAGTCAAGTAACTGTGCTGCCGACGCTCCAGCTGCAACGATTGTTCGATCGGCTCGATGCTCTAGCCCATCCGCAGTCTTTGCACCCACCACATCCGAATCAGAATACAGCAGTTTGATCACCTTACCGGAGGGGTTGCCAGCAATGAATTTGACGCCGAGACGGGAAGCTTCTTCAAATGCAGACACCATCGCCTTCCGCGCATGAACCCATCCGGCACCGCTCTTCATGTAGAACCCGCGCCAGTCCTTGAAGTCGCCAGTAAGCACCCCAGATGGCATGGTCGTGCGGAAATCTTCTGCCGTATTAAGTGGTGTAAATCGACCAACGTGATGACGAATCTCCCGGGTTTCGAGCGTATGTAGAGCCTCGGGTGTTGAGGCCGCGACAATGTAGCCTGTGTTGTGGTAATAGGGAGTGAAGACGGGGTCATTGTTCCAGCCCTCCATGGCAGCTGCCAGTAGCGCATTGGCTACTACGGCTTCATCATCTCCCTCACTGAACGATCCTTTTTGCCTCTTGTATTAGTAAAATCGCTGTAAGACTCAATGGACGGGATGGTATGTCAGAATCTAACCTTGTTCAACCATCTTGTTCACGTCGTTCCCCGCAGAAATCGCCGATGGGATGGGATATGCGTCCAGAACGGTGACATTCTGATATCCCCGACGAGCCAAATGGAGCGCAGTCGAGCAGCCCCAGGCTCCTCCGCCGACGACGAGGATGGATGAATCTTTCGTTAAGCCAGATGCCATTGTGGGTTTGATAGTAATTCACGGAAGTCTGCAGTGTGAGGAAAGCATTTCAATCTTCCCCGTCGAATGCGGACATTTATATACCCATTGATACGAGCTCATGCCTCCAGGATAGGCAAGACTCACGCCAGCCTATGTGCATGAACTGGAGGTGGTTAGTTATCTTGAAAACTGAAGCTGAGTAAGGTTCAGCCGAGATACGTGGAAGGTCCAGCCGCGATAATGTACTATGGGCTATTTTCCGCGCTCGGGATTGTTTATTTGCTCTTATCGTGACGCTGCAAAGGCATAGTTATGTACTTTTTATTTTTTGTGCTTGTATAACACTATTGGCCTTTTCACAATCAACTGAAAACATGCTACGCTTAGCCTCCAGTTTAAGCATCTACAGCTGAGTCTCCAACAAGATCCGCATGGAGGACCTTCTGTATCCATGATTGAACTGGAATCTACCTGTGTGAAGAGCGATCCTTGGAATATCTAAATTGTTTATGGCGTGTCACTGGTTTTTAGCCCTCATTTACTGCGCTTCAGCATCCTGTTTTATATCCTGGTATTTGAGGCACCAGATTTGAAGTCCATGGAAGGCCTTCAGAGGCTCCATATTAAGGATGGCCAACAGGAGATGCTACTTCCCCTGAAGCGTGAGATGGGCAACTACTATGTGTTCCCAACGATTGCATTAGTGGACAGCTAACCCTGTATTCTGTGGGAGACACCAATGAGTGGAAGCACACTTGACAGACAGCTCTGAACACTGAGTGAGATATATATAGCTTTTTTGATCATTTCTTCTCTATCAGTTTTGATATGGTGGAGGCTCACTACTTGATCAGAGTGGTAAGTAGCAGACAGCCTCTTGCATCATAGCTGTCCACTCTTTTTCACTAGTAAGGACAATTTACTGACTATAACATTTAGAATGTCAGTGAGGCACAATGCAATGTTATCATGGCACACACAAGTAGCGGATTATTTATTGACCATTGTTAGGTCTGAAGGCATACTGGCCTATAAGAGATCATGTATGGGCTGACTTCTGATGAGGGGTTTTTTTGAGAGCAGTGACATGGATGAGCCGCTGGATTGATAAATGGCGACTATGGTACCTCAATGATGGCAAGTTAAGTTGGAGATTCAGTGGTGATCCCCAGTAACATATTTTTAATTTGAATTTGACCAGCAGCAGCTGAAGGTTGGACAGCAAAGTCCACATCCTAAGTATTTATTAGCTTGGTATGCTAATATTGTAAGACGCAATTTCAAATACCTGTCTTAACCTGTGTGTTGTGTATTCAATCACTGCTAGGCCCCCAATTATTGTAATTTAGGTATCCTTCAGCGTGTCATTTGATAACCCAGCTTGCAAATAACAGACGAAGTGTTTAGCAGCTCTGGTTGAATGCTTGCAAGTACTGTCGCTGAACATTGGCCGCTTGCAACAACGGATACTGCGGCTTCAACTTGGCTGCCCTGCCGGGGTCCCAGACGGGCTGGTCAGCCCTGGCGCAGACGTGGAACCTGGTTGCCTGCTCCTCCAGGCTCTCGGGCGAGAGGTCCACGATCCCATGGCTGGGCGAGCCCAGGATGGCAGACCACGCGGCATGTCTGTCCAGCCGTCGTTGACCAGGTTCTCGCCCGGTTTAGCCGAGTTGGTCAGACACGTGTTGAAGTTCAGCTGCCGCTCAAACTGCCATCCTTTCTTCCGCGCGACTTTGCGTCGAAACTTTTCCATGTCTATCACGCGTCGATTGCGCGGTTTGATGTACGCTGGTGTGCGCTGCACAACGTACAGCTCGCCTGCGAACTTGGCCACCTCTGGGATGGCTCCAATGAGAGAGCAGTGTAGAGCAAGAGACTCACATCCTAGTCTTTTGCTTAGTGCAGCGGTTAAGCATCCGAATGCTCCCGGAGGTCACACCGTGACAACTTCTCAGTCCTGAAAGTGTCTGGTTCATAGGTGATCTGCTGGAGATGGTGTAGTTCCGGACCCCCCTATCGCCGGTGATTGGATTCTCATCCATGGGCGCGTTCTGATTCCCATGGGAACTTAGCTGGTTGACAAATGATAGCAGGGTCGTGCCGTGCCTGGGACTTATTTGATGCTCATACGCCAAAATAGCTCTTAGCTTGGTAATTGATTGCTCAGTGGCATCCTAGTCTTTTAATTTGATTTGAATAGCCCTTGTCTGAGTTTCTCAAACACGGTTGGTAGCACTGTTGGCTCCTTGCTAACTTGGCAGGCACAATCAGGTCGACGATTTAGCGCATCTGCGGGGTTTTTTGCCCCTGGGCGATGCTAAATATAAAAATTGAACGCGGAGAGCCGTTCCGCCCAACGAATCTGGCGTCCCTTAAGCTCTTTCGTCGTCATAATTGGCATTAATTGATATGCTTGCTCAATCGGCACTTTTCCTCTCGGAACATATATGATCCGGATTCCGGGGCCAGATTCTTAGATAATCCACCTGTCCGAAATAACTAGTTAACTAGTAACATATCCCCATCAAATAGCGAGCAGCTTATGGTGGCACGTGACTGATCACTGCCCTCACGAAAGTGGTGGCATCCCGAAAGGGAAGTCTCCGTGATGATAAAATAAAAAGTCCATAGTTATAGACACACATCCCATCTCTTAACCTTCATCCATCCAAAAGTCGTCTCATTCAGATTGTTCAATGTTCAGCCCGTTCTTTGACCTTGAAATTATTTACGCTATAGCATCACGCTTTTGTTCCAATTTCCTATCAAAGTAAGGAATATGATAACGGAGTTAACCGGATTCCAACAGGTGACTGGTTCAATGCTTAAGGTTACCATACCCTTGGACCTGAACATCCCCTTATATAAAAACGGACATTGCGTAGTGGACATAAATCGATTGCTAATTCCAGTCAAATTGAATATGCACTGATATTACTCATCCAAAAAGGGCTACTGAAGACAGGTTGAAGAGGGTCTTTCCTATCAACCACAACTCATACTGCTCACACACTATTCCGACTTATCTAGAAGCCACTTGTATACCACAGAGAAGTCCTTACCACGATATTGTTCCTCAGCGGCGTTGTATACCTCACGAGCCGTGGCACCCAGAGTCAGAGGAGTAGCGGACTCTTCGGCTGCCGCGATGGCTAATCTAAGGTCTTTGTTCATCAGGCTGATACCAAAACCGCCCTCATATCCGTGCGACGATGGTGCAGTGTCGACAACACCAGGAACAGGATTGTTGACATCCATCGGCCAAGAACGACCGGTGGAGGAGGAGACCAGACCAGCCAGGACCTTGGGGTCAAGACCCCAGCGGATACCCAGATTCATGGCTTCTGCAGCTGCAATGTTGTTAATGGCCAGGATGTAGTTGTTGGCTAGTTTACCAGCTAGACCGGAACCCTGTGGACCAAGATGCAGGGCGGACTTGCCCATTAGGAGTAGGATCGACGTTGCCCGTTTCACGACTTCTCCGTTTGATGAGGCGCCAAACATGAAGGTCAATGTGCCGGCGCGTGCTCCGATGACTCCACCTGACATTGGCGCGTCGACGAACACGCCGGAACCAGTCCCGTGGATGACATTTGCTACCTCTCTAGATGATGGGGGGTCAATGGTCGAAGTGTCAATAAATAACCGTTCCTCCTCCAAGGTGGGAAGCTTTCCGGGTTTCAAGATATTGTAGAAGACATCTTTGACGTGCTGTGGCTCGGGAAGACTGCTGATAACCACTGTCTGCAATTGCAAAGAACTGTCAGGCAAGAACCGAGCCGTACGACTGCAGAGACTTATCCTACTTACCGACTTCTCAGCAACTTCCCTGGGATGTGCAGAAACCTCGACTCTGAAGGCATCTTCCCCCGCCCCACTGCTCTTGGCCAGCTCCTTGGACTCGGCAACAAACCTCTCGGTCGTTTCGGGATTGACGTCACGGATAATTAGAGTATCTGAAGGAGGAACCTTTGCTCGCAGGTTCTTCGCCATAGAATAGCCTATGGAGATAAAGGGTGGAGATGTTAGAAACACAGGGAATGAATACGATGGATGATTGGAGGGATTGGGGTCTAGGCCATACCCATTTGACCCAACCCGATGAACCCCCAGGTTGCATCACGCGAAAGGGTAGTCGAGAATGCTCGTCGGATAGAAGACGACCCTAATGAGAGGCGAGGAGCAGAGTACCGCATACGAGAGCCCAGTGCCCTCCTCACGGGGAGGGATGTCGATGAGGCGATACTCATTCCTGAAAAGAACCCCGACTAGTGAAAACAATGAACAGGAACGGACCGGAGAGGGTGTAGAGGGGGTTAGGGATAGGAAGCACAGTGAGAGCAGGGAAAGAGACTGATGATGAAGAAAAAGAAGGAACCGATGCCAGCGACGCTACCAGGTAGATTCCGACGGCATTTAGTCGGCTCAGGGCCGATACGACCCAGTGGACGGAGGACAGTGGTCCTGCGGCGGGAGGCCTGTCCGTATTATCAGTGCATCATGGTTTCTGCTGTTGTTGCTGGGCGCTTCCAGGGAAGCTCGTCCGCGCGCGGACCGACTGCGGGGAATGCGGGGTGCCTCGGCATTATGTCATTGTTCTGTTAGAGGTCACGTGTATTCTGCCATATTAGACCGCCCTCGCTTGGCCTGACACACTAAAATAGCTAGACCAACCTAGATAGATACAATACGAGAAAGTTGATCCAACAGGTTATGAGCCCTCGCGCTCGCTACGATTGAGAGCTTCAAAAAGAAGATATTAAGTCGTTTAGGACGAGCCAAATCAGCTCTCCTGATTGGCAGAACCAGAAATCTTCTAAAGAATCTGTCACTTGGATGATAGATACTTGACTGGGACCGTGTCTTCGAAACACTAAACCCCAACTAAGGATGGAATCAACTGAGCCATCTACACCTCCAAATACAGCTAGACAAGCTTCTACTCTCGATACTGAAGCCTTCAACATGACTGATACCTTTACTCCCCTTCTGTGGTCCCAGAACGGTCAGCAGGAACAGAACCAACAAAATCAACCAACAGCTCCTTTGGACATGAATCAAGCCTTCTTGATGATGCTACAGAGGACGCAAGCAATGGATGAACGCCAACAACTCATGCAAGAGCAGGTTCTTGAGCTTCATCAACAACAACAAAATGCTGCACCACCCCAGGGTGCTAGAACACACAGAGATGATGCCACTGTAAAGGGGAGCGTACGTGCGTTGTTCCCTGCGACAGGAACCGGGTTGTGATCGAGGGATCTCAGGGTTGGATATACCAAGGCGATGCCGCTATACCACGCGGCACCGAACGATCTTAGCAAGAAAACGATATAACGATAAAAGGAAACACAACGACGAAGGAGCCTCGCTCCGCTCTGTACAATGATAACGATACTAGTGAAGCAACCCAGAAACCAAAAGAGTGCTCAATTTCTCGTAACTATCTGGGAGGGAACCCTCCATTAAGTACTCTCCGGCCGCGGGCTCCACCATACATTAGTATGTCGGAGACCGCGACTCTACGGTGTTCTAAGATGGGAAATATGGGAGAGCCGGGGTTTCGCAGTGCCCCCGGCACATACTACCCCCCCTAGAGTCGTGACGCCCTCGTCACTCCTATTCCACAACCTTGTAGACCTTCCAAACCCCAGCCTCAGGATCGAGCTGCACGTAGAACCGGTTGAGCCCTGTTCCGCCAGAAATATCTTCAAGGGAAGCCCTTGGGTTTGCCCGGTGGTCGGCATCTTCAACGCGCAGTACCCCTGAGTCTCCGAGAAGACTACTCCATTCAACCTCAGTCTGCTCTCCATTGGTTAGGTGCTCCAGACGCTCTCGTGCCTCCATGGTATCCACGCTGGTCTCCCTCCGAGCTATCTCCCCTTGTGCCCGGCGCTTGGTTTCGATGAAGTTGTCCAGATCGATGCCCCGTTTCTCTGCAGCTTCTGGGGTCGTCCTCCTCCGCTTCGCGTGCCAAGGCGCATGGTATGCCTTGTCTTTCTCTCTGTGGCGACGATGACGGGCTTCCTGAGGTCGGTTGACAGAGGTAAACCCCTCCGAGCTAGCAACCTCTTCTCCATCAGTCTCCTCAATTTCTTCCACGCGGTTCTCAGTTGTTGGGGATTGCTCCACTGCGTCTTCCTTTGCTTGTATAAGATGGGAATGGAACTTTGTCATCTGCGCCAGAAGTCCATTATCCTGCTGGTACAGTCGCCAGGCATGCAACTCCTTGTCTCCAACTGGTGGTTGTTTTCCTTCCAACCTGCAGACCTTCTCCGCATTCTGAATGTCCATAGCCACCGTTCGGTAGTACTGGTTCTCAACACTTTTACGTGCCCCTTGGAGTCGACGTAGAGTGCACCAGTGGCTGCAGTCTCTTATGGTCTCCCAGGAATTGGTCCTAGACATCTTCCGGCAGGCTGCGGCATAGGCATAGTGTTTTGCAAGAGGGCGAAGTGTGCTGGTAATCTCTGAACCCCAGTTCTTTTCAACCACTTCCCATGCTTTCTCGATCTTCCTCGTCATGTCTTCATATTCTCTCTTGATTCCTTCAGCCTGTATCCACCGTGACATGTCTGCTTTCCGCAGCTTTTCAAACCCTGGGACTTTGGAACACTCCTCAATTACTGGTATAATGAGTTCGTGCGCTGACTCCCTTAACGCCATCCCCTCTTCCAAATATGCCAGTCCCTGGAGGTACGCGCGTTTAGGGTCCGTATTGGCCAAGTCCCGTATCACGCGAGCTCGAAGCTCTGCCTGGCGAGTCAAATCGATCTCAGGCGTCACGATCGCAGGCACTATCGCCTTTTCCACCTTTCCTGGTGTAAGGTTAATCACCTGGCCTTGGAACAGCATCACGTCTCTGGTCTGGTCAGGTTCTGAAGCTGTCTCACGATGCGCTTGTGCAGGGGTCCATGGGGGCATTCTCTGGTCCTGAGACTCATTCACGTCTCCATGGTTTCCTGTCATTTTGCGGTGTCTTTTCCAATGCTTTCTGACAATTGAGAACAAGCTTCAGTACGGCAACGATTTATCAATTAGGTGAGTTGGAGAGTAGGAAGGGGAAAGAATTAGGGAGGGGAATCTCCCTCTCCCTGTATACCTCCCAGCTTATCCCATTCACCTCTCCAACATTCACACTGGTCCCAACAGTGAATCCAACCCAGTTGTTGCCCTTTCAATGAAGGCACTGTGGTGCCTCCCATCATCCTGTAGGCTCCTATCTTCCTTCATACTTTTGTATGACAGTCGTGAACACCAAACCTCCGGTAGGTCCCAGCTATCAATTTAGTGCCAAAAAAATCCAAAAACAAAGCAGGTAGAATGTAAGTACAACATATGAAATATACAATAATGAATGACATGGAATCTAATTGTTGAAATCGTTCCGCAGCAGTGTGTTGAATCCACCACACACTACTACCCCCTCTTTGAAAGCAGATGCCCTCATCTGTAGAGGTAGCAACGTGTGGAAAATTCCTGAAATTGTGTTTAGGTGACAACTGCAAAGGAATCCCCCTCTGGGATAAGGTCCTGCAGTCTCCAATCGTCATCATCTCTGTGACCCACGGATTCTCCCTCATCCTCCGACACTGAGGTGGTACTTTGCGCGCTCGAGGTCTCATCTGGCAGGCATACATTGACAGTCCTTTCTATGTTGTATGCAAATATCATTCATCTGTGGAAACAAAAAATTGTTTTCTGGAGCAATCTTCGCACAGAATTAACTTATCCCTCCAGTATTATACATCGTGGCTTGAGTGAGGGGCTGTTTCTGCCTGGATCTGAGAATAAATGGAAATAGCTTAGTCGTATGTTGCATGTGAGGTCCAGCCATCCCTGCTCATGATTCCTGATAAGGCGTCCCAAAAGTCTTGTACTTCATTCCAGCCTTCACTATCCTCATAATGTTTTCGAATTTCTTCAGGAGAAAAGTTGATGGGGCACTCAACCGTATGGCCTAGTGAACTCCACTTCCTTCAAACATCGTTCAATAAGCACAATTGGTCAACTATGCAGGATTAGCTCACAACTTACTTCTGTATCCTTATCAAAGACTCTCGTAGTGGTAAGATATCTCCATCCCATGTATTCCCAACAAAGCAGATTGGATCTGTTAGTGTCTTGCCATTTGGATACTGGAACACTTTGCTCAGAATTGGGTTTCTTTCTGCTGTATATTTCTCATAGAGATATAATAGGATTGAGTCAGTGACTTTGCCCTTAACAGCACTTTGCGTATTTTCATCCAGTTGCTTGAAATTTTCAGGTAGTTCAAGTATCAAATCACCGTTATAATTGAGGAAATGAGGATGACGGCCTTCTAGGAACAAAGGACCAGCTGATGTGCTTTGCCAGTCAATGATGCTAGTAATATGACCTCTATCATCGACAAAAATATTAGGAGTGCGAAGGTCTGGGTGCCATAAGAATGACCCTAAAATACCTTCCTCCTGTGGAACCAGATGAGGAGCAATGGATAAATATCTCTGGAGAAGAGAAACGTGTTCAGCAGGATCATTCTGGCTGTGGGAAACGAATAATGGATCATTTGGAGAACGCGGAATTGCATGTTTCTGGATCCAAGCTATCTCTTGAAGGGCAAAAGCCTGTATGTAGTCAACTGCAGAAGCCCCTGTATACAGCTGTCAGCTTGATCAGCGATGAGAAATTGATGAAACAGGCATACATGGTCCACGATAGATATCCATATCGCCTCGCCCTTTACTCCAGAATGCCGTGTCTACTATTGGCCCAATAGAAAACTTCTCAGCAATTTTATGCTTAAGTTCATGTGACAAGTTGCCTCCTTCAACTATTGCAGGGTGAGATCCAGGAGGTGCGTCTTCCCTGTAGAAAAGGCAACCATATCTGCTCAAGTTAGAAGGTATAAGAAATTTCGCACCTTAATCATAGGGATAAACATACTCAGAGAATTTCAATGATAAAAATTTGTGTTGGATGGTCACTATATCCTCCATCATCTGCACCTTGCATTCAAGATCCATGTCTGTCCAAACATCTGCGAGATTTTTACCAGGGGCATACTCCATGATGATGTACTCAGCCCCTACACAGTTCATAGAGTCAACTGCAGAATTCCATGCAAGAACTTTGGGGATTGGAAGACAGAGTATGGTTCTTAACTAAAAGTTATGTCAGATCACTAAGATGCAATCTAGATATGGATAATTAACATGATTGATGGTAACATCTCCTTACAAAGTCCATTGTGGCAACCTCAGATGCTGTTGTCAGGAAAGCTGGCCCAGCATTTGGATTTGGAATTCGAGCAACAACTGTCTTCCCATTGCCCATAGTAAGCTTGAATGACTTGTTGTATGACCCTTCCCCTATCTTTGCCATACTAACACAAGATCTAGATGATGATGATTCCATAGCAATTTTCTGCATTTCAAGTATATCAAATTTGCGATACCTCTCTTGAAGTTGCTGCTTTTCATCCCAAACCCATCGTCCACTGGTATAACTAAAGAAATCCTGTGGATCTCCGACAATATTAGCCATCTGAAGCTGAGGGTGTTGATAGGAATAACGTCGGCTTGAGATGGGTAATAGGGCGGTCTCTCTTGGCAATACTGGCAAAATACTCCGAATCCCTTTTAACATGCGTGAGAATATAGGCATGATTATTGCAAACTATCAGGTGATCATGGAAATATTATCGCAGGAGGCATAACTTTCGGTTTGGTAGGCAGTCTCCTTGGGTATTAGTCATCACATCTTTAAATATGAACCCCATGCGTGCTGTGATAGATTGCCCCACATATGCCACCGCGTGGATCACAGATCCCGCAAACTTCATGGGTATATCCGAAACCAAGCCGCAAGGCTGGCAGACCAACAACCAATCATTGTTTCAGGCGTTATTCGTGGAGGGGAACCATTTGAATAATGGACAACAATTGCCTTTCCTGGAGTCTTGCGATGCCGCCTTCAAAAGGCTATTCTCATATTTGGAACCGCGCCTTTATCAAGAGTAAGCTAGGTGATGTCTACTCTACTGGCCGTGCTCCGGTTACCAACCTGGATCTTAATGCCATCCAGGCCCAATTATCTACTCGAACCGGCACTAAATTCCGTGATACTCATTCTCAAGACCGGTCAAACCAACAGAAAGAGAACTCCCAGAACCGCAGTTATTCAAAACAAGCATCTGGAACCAAATACATAACTCCCCAACGTTCCAACAACCAAGATAGATCTCGTCATACACTTATAGACTGTGATCACTGTGGAAATCGCCATGGACTTATATGCTATTTTAAAAATCCTGAGAAAGCACCAGAGAATAGACGCAAGTTCTATACTACTGTGGCTAATGCTCTTCGTGTTCAGCAATAATCTGAAGCAAATCTACAATCGAACCAGGATCGCCCTGCTTCACAGGAACTTGTCTTGCATAAGAAACTCTATAATGCCAAATCTGCCACTGTGAAGTCTGCAAAGGCTCTCTCATTTTCAATCAATGGTTTTTTGACAGCTGTGCCTCTTTCCATTCTGCACCTGACCGTTCACTTTTTGCAACATACAAGGCCCTGCAGAAGCACGATCTGGTGGAGACAGATTATATGGAAGGTGCCCAAGGCCATATCTCTATGCCTCAAGGCATTGGTACTGTGATTATAGATATTGGTTACGGATCTCTGATCCTAAGAGACGTCCGCCATGTTCCTTCCTTTACTTCCAACCTCATTTCAGAAGGCATGCTTGTACAACAAGGTTTTAGGCTTCAATATGCACTGGATTGTGAGGCCAAGCTGATTACCACACCATCTGGAGCTAAATTCCAAGCCCGATTGTTCAAAAAAAATGTTTACCTCCTTGAAGACTGTCTATCTCCTGGAGAAGAAGAAAATTCCTATGCCTTTGTCACCACCCGGTCTGGCAAAGAAGTTAACCGCCCAGAAGAGCCACCTGCAAAGGCTCCCACAATTAAGACACCAGCTGAAACTCCTACTCCAAAAGAGACCCCAGTTCTAGGGAAGCCGCGAACTACTAAGATATCCCTACCTATCATGGCCTGGCACCGACGCCTATGCCATCTCAATCAAGCCGATCTCCTCCGCCTCGCCCGAGATCCTGAGTCTTGCATCGAAATCAAAGGCTCTAAAGAACTCCCATTTTGTGAAGTCTGTACACAGGCTAAACAGACACACTATTATAGCAAGATCCCTAGGTCCAGAGTTACCAAACCCCTTGCTCGAGTCCATCTAGATATCGCCGGCGGTGGACAAACTCTTGATTTTGACAGCCCTAACGATGCTGACCCTGGCCGAATTGGGGCAAAATATGTCTTATTTATTACCAACGATGCCACACATTATTGATGGATTCTCTTGAGACAAAAAGTGCAGCCATTACTGCCTTCAAGAACTGGCTTCAAAATATGAAGAACCATGGCTTCACTGCCCCTGCCTACCTAGTCTCTGATAATGAATTCCGCTCCACTGAATGGATGGAAACATACTGTCAGGAAGGCATAGAATGGCAACCAAGCTCACCATATTCACCATGGCAAAATGCCGTTAGTGAACGTGGCATCCGGATCCTTTTTGAACGGGCCCGAGCTATGATGCTTGATGCCCCATATATACCAGAACGCTTTTGGGTAGATGCTCTCCAATATGCCACAGATCTTACAAATCGGCTCCCTACATCTACCATCTTATACAATTCCCAAATTCCTGGGGGGGTGAATATCAACAAGGACATACACCCCAGCCCTTATCGCGCTCCGTTGGCAGCGTGGACTAATTCATCCATTTCTTCACTCCCTGGATATCGCCGTTGGGGGTGTCCAGCCTGGGTCCATCAGCATGGACCAGACAGACCTGGAAATAAGCTTGATTCGCGTTCTCACTGCTGTTTCCTCATTGGACAAATTAGTAGCCATCAATATTGTGTTTGGGACCCTAAAACTGACACTGTTTTTGTCACCAATGATGTTATATTTGATGAGGACTACAAAGATCCTACAACTACCACTCCCAAAGGTCCCAGCATCCCTACTGAAGAAAATACAACTCAATCAGTTGAAGATGAATCTCTCAATGACCAAGATATATGGCTCCGACCTGCCAAAGGCATGTCCCTAGCTTACTTTGCCACTTCAATCATTCCTTCATCAGAAGACGACACGTCTACTTCTTATAAGCAGGCCATATCCCATCCCAATGCTGCTAAATGGCAAGCTGCCATGCAAAAGGAAGTCAACCAACTTAAAGAAAAAGGCTGCTGGCAACTCATTCGCCGTTCTGACCTACCACCAGGGGCCAAAGTCATCCCCGGCCGGTGGGTATACAAAAAGAAAGAAATCCCCGGCATACCTATCTCAGAGGATTATCAGGCTAAAGCCCGCTGGGTCATCCGTGGCAATCTACTTGATAAGGACTTCATGGAATCCTACGCACCAGTGGTAAATAAAAATACTACCAGAACCCTCACGGCACTGGCCACCCTGCTTGGCTGGCATACCCGAAAAGCTGATGCCACCCTTGCTTTCCTAAATGGGAAAATGCCCACAGACAAACGTGTCTTTATGACCCAAGTTCAGGGATTCAAAGAAGGTTCTGGAGATCTTGTCTGTGAACTCCTTCAATCCCTCTATGGATTAGTCCCATCTGCCCGCATCTGGTATGATACTCTGGGTGCTTTTCTACGCCAAATCGGCTTCAAATGCTCTGAATATGACTCTGGTCTATGGATCCACACTACCCGGACCCAACTCTATGTGACCACCCATGTGGATGACTTCAAAGTCTATGCTAAACATGAAAATGATGCCATCTGGTTTATGGAGACTCTCTCCGCCAAATTTGACATAAAAGAAGTTGGAAACTCTACCAAATACCTTGGCATGACCATCTCCCAGTCTGAGACTTCATCTTCTTTATCTCAAGCCGACTACGCGGAAGATGTTGTTGCCTCTTTTGGTCAAGCCCAAGCACATCCTGTTAGGATTCCAATGGATCCTAGCCTAATAATTGATGATGAACCAGACCCTACAGTCAACACCAAAGAATATCAGCGTGGTGTAGGCTGCCTTACCTGGCTAGCCACCAAAACCCGGCCAGATCTTAGCCAGACGGTTGGCATACTATCCCAATATAACGCCAAACCCACCCAAAAAGCATGGCGTGCCCTTATACACGCCATACGCTATCTTAAAGGCTCCATCAATCGGCAAATTACCTATCATAAACCCACGGAGTCCATTACATCTGACCTCCTCATGCCAAAATGTTATACCGACTCTGATTGGAGTGGTCAACTGACAGGCAACCGCCGGTCAGTTTCTGGATACATCTTCCTGCTTGCCGGAGCCCCAATTGCCTGGAAAAGCCGCAAGCAAACATCCGTTGCCCTTAGCTCCAACGAAGCTGAGTATATGGCTCTAAGCGAAGCCAGCCGTGATGCCCTCTGGCTCCGGAATCTCATCAACGAGCTTAATGTGCTCCCAACTGAATGCCCACCAATATCTCTTCATATCGATAATCAAGGTGCTCACGCCATGGCTGAAGCCGAGCTCACCACCAAGAGATCCAAACACATTGACATACGCTACCATTACGTTCGGGAGAAGGTCCGAGACGGCATTGTTAAACTTCAGACCTGCCTTACCAAAGAACAGGCAGCAGATGGCCTGACAAAACCTCTCCAAACTGAACGATTCAATCATTTCCTGGAACTCACCGGCATACATTAAGCGGCGCTTGTTCCCCCATTTTGGCTATACTTTCTATTCTGATTTACGGCTTCTGATTGGCCAAAGCAGAACCTCTCATTTCTCTGCTTATTTTTGCTTTTATTCCATTTGAAGGCCTGAATAGAGGCCGATTTTTGTATTTAAATTCTTTAGATTAGTCCTTAGGCCAGCTCGTGCGTTGGGGGGTGTTGGATCACGTGGAAATTCTGCCGCATAGGTCCGCCCTCGCTGATAGGCCTATCTAGCTAGTTACCAACCAACGATATACCTCCATTAGGAGGTGTTAGAGGTCACGTGTATTATGCCATATTAGACCGCCCTCGCTTGGCCTAACACACTAAAATAGCTAGACCAACCTAGATAGATACAATACAAGCAAGTTGATCCATGACAAACCTGAGGCACATAAAAGTCACGCGGCGCTCGGTACCCAAAGCGGCTAGTACGGGCGATCGCCAACGGCGCCAAGCGCGCCCGATTACTATTCTCAATTTCCCCTGCTAAATTAATCGCGGCCAGAAACCGCCGTCATCAGTGAGTCCTGCCGGCGACGTGGCGCCGGTTTAGTCGAGCATGCTCGAGTCCGTCGCGCAGGGATCTCCATCCATATTCGTTGCCTCACTTTCGGGCATCATGTTGCTCTTCGACTTCTCCTTTCCCATTTGCTCCTGGGGCACGGGTGACTCTAACCCGTCGCGGCGCATCGTCTGCCTCTCTGGCATACTAATTCCAGGCCGATCTCCCTCTCCCTTTCTCTCCTTTTCTTCAGCCTATTCCTCACTCGCATAGCCTTATCCTCCATTGCTACTATACTACTCTGCTTCTCTGCCAATCTCGTCTGTGGTTTTGTCACCATCACCATAACTTTGTCTCTCCCGCCGTATCTCCCTTGACCAGCTGCTGCATGATAAAAGAGCTACAAGCGCTTCGATATATTCGTCTATCTAATCAGTTGCTCCTTCTAGGACCTCCATAAAGTTTGTCTCCCTCCATCAATGCGTTCTCCTGACCTTGTCGCTGTCCAGAGAGCTCATGGCATATTACAGAGTCGCTCATCCTCCCCCTTTTATCATTCTCTCACTCCGGCGCTTCTCTCTACTGATAACAGCTTCCCTGATTACTGCTCCATCCGTCACAAGAGACAACACAAGAGGATATTCAAACGGATCTAGGCCAGCAACCATGTGCGATGACGAGTCATTTACTAGGGCTATTTCTGGTTACCGGGACGCTTGGTTGGTTCAGCACTCCCATCTATCGGAGTCGGAACGAAATCAGCTCTGGAGTCGACGCCTGAGTCAGTTTCTCCCCGTCTCAGCTTCGCCTGCCGGCCTTCATGCCGGCTCACCCATGCGCAGGTCTGGAAAACGGTTTCGGCAGGACATTCCGCGGATGCTACCTCCTGATTCTGGATTTCCCTCGGCGAAACGACAAGCCACCGTATGTGACCTTGGTCTTTTACTTCCGCCTCTTCTCTTATCCGCCTTCCCATCCTGTTCCTCTTGAGATGCTGTCCTCTCTCTATCCCTCCTTCTCTCCTTCTACTGTCTCTCTCGCCAACCTGTCCCTGGATTGACATTTGGCAGACACCGGAAGTCCCAGCCCCCGCCAACCTGACGCGAGATCTTTCTCACGCCTCGTCCCTAGCAGCATGGCAACTGGCACACATGCCTTCTCAAATGGGCAACTCTCCCTCGTCCATTCATGGATCCTCATATCGCCACACTGCCATGGCTCGCTCGAAGAGCCAGCAGACCCCGGTCTCCAAACAGGCCCAACAGGGGATGCCCTTGACGACAAAACGGAAGTCTTATGGACCCCAACGGACGCAGCTTCGTATCGACCATGTTAATGAATACTCCCCATCCGAATATACTCAACAATGTTTGGATGATCCTCCAGACTTGACTGGTACTTCTCTACCGTTCCTTGGCCCCTCTCCGGATCTAGTCTCGACGGGGCAGGGTCAGCTGCAGTTCTCCCTTACCGATTTCGGTGGGCTTTCGACTTCCTCGCCAGACGGGACACTGCATCCGGCCTTGGCTGCAACAGCGATGAGTAGGAGCACGACAACCGACTCGCTCTGCGGAGGAATAGGCATGATGAGGTTCGACTCCACAGGGTCGAATCTTGACCCCAGCACCTCCAGTTTTACATTCCCCGCATCCAATTTCGTACCTTCAGTGTCTCAAGACATCTCTATCCCCGTCCCTATTCCTTCCAAGCAAAGCGATTTCCCCTTTCCATTCTCCGAGTCATGCCCCCCTTCCTTTTCCACATATGCCCCTCCTACTACCCCCTTCCAGCTTCCTCTCTCGTCTGCTACAGAAATGGGCCATTCAATGTCCAGCAGCAGCAGTAGCTCATCGCTGTCTCAGCAATCAAGGGCCACTCGAAGAACCCAAGAACAGATCGTTCAAGGCACGAGGCCCATTGCTCCCAAGGTTGAGGGGGGGGTCAGCACGACGTCCAATGTATCAGACCAACATAAAATGATCCGCATCTCGTCGTCCAACGGCACACCGAAGGAAGTGGCTGCGATACCAAAGGCTTCGATCCAGCGGCCACCACGTCCAAAGACGTATTGTACCATGTGCAATGACCAGCCCGATGGGTTTCATGGTGAGCATGAACTCCGGCGACACATTGAGCGAGTGCACTCAGTGGTCCGCAAGGTCTGGGTATGCGTCGACATTTCACCAGATAAGACCTTTCTTGCCAATTGCAAGGCATGTCGCAGCCAGAAACGGTATGGTGCCAATTACAATGCAGCTGCCCATCTCCGCCGCACGCACTTCAATCCGTGCCAACGCGCTCGAGGCGGTCGTAGCAAGGACAGCGAGAAACGCGGCGGTAAGGGCGGTGGCAATCAGCCGTCCATGGAAGTTCTGAAACATTGGATGGTTCAGATTGATGAGTTTGTCGAGGAGAATGCTCCAAATTTGATTGATCAAGGACTTGGTGGTCAAGAAGCGGGCCTTCCCCAACCGGCTCCCGTTGCGGCTGACGATGCCATGATGAGTAACAGATCTTCGGACCTGGGACTAGCATCAACGATAGCAGAAGGTGGCAGTCTCCCCACATGGGACCCGAGCCTAGTGAACAGGTATGATGGTTTTTCCTCGATGGACTTTAGTCCATTGTTGGACACTTCATTCTACGCTTCAACTCAGCAAGTGCCCGGTGAGATTGACGCGTATGCTCTATGATGGAGGTTTTGCTTTTTCTTTTCTTTTCTTTTTATTATTATTATTATCTTTTTCTCTCTCTCTTTTTTTCACCCCTTTTCTTACCTCCACCTTGCACATGATTCCTATTTCCCTCACCCCTTCTTATCCTACTTCCCCATTTCCACCCATTTCCATTTTCTTGACCGACCAGCTTTGAGCATGGGATGGTACTAATGGTGAAGACCGACAAATCAATACACATTTCCGGACACTTGGCTGTACTCAGCCAAGGATTGTCATGAACAGCTTATCTCCATACTATTATATTGATGGCCTTTGTAGGTAGTACAATACCTCTGCTGCCGCACAAGCAGTAGCCAAATGTGGCTCTGTTGCATGCACGGGGGTGGTGTTGCTATTATCTGTTACAGATTTGTAGGATCTTAGCAAATGAGTCTTATAGTTGATGCTAATTCATGCTCATGGTTATTGCTGTCAATGAACTTGCAATTTGGAATAGTAAAGACAATCTGACAATTGTCTATTTCTATGTATGTTTTGCTTGTGCGCGTGCAATAGGAAATCTATGTACAAGCCTGCCTGCTATTTTGACCACCCAATGGACGCCATGCCATCATCACCCGCCAAACCATGTCCCATTCGAAGCACAATAGAAGAAATCAAAAGTTGCTGATCGAAACCATTTGCCTTTGCCTTTTCTACTGCTCAATCTGGGAGGGAAGGGACTCGACTGACATTGTGCCGGTAAGGATTCCTAGAGTACTGTTAGTTTTCAAGGGAGACGAGAAGAACGAGGGGGAGAGCGCTTACGATAAACAGAAGTGAACAAAGGAAATTCGTTCTCGAGACCCTGTTTCTTAAGGAACTTGTTCACATCGACGGCAGTCGATGTCCCCTGAAGTTTCTGGCCGTTGAGTTCCGTTCTCTCGATCTCGTCAATTGGTAATCTCTTCTCGACGCTGTGTTTGGCAGAACGGAAATTCCGACCACTACTGCAGCTGGTGATCAGATCGGCAACACCCGTACTTTCATCGGTAAAGGTTTGTCGATCGATAGTTGCACCGAAGAACCGTTCGCCGAATTTAACCATCTCCAGTAAACCAACACGCATTATAGCGGCCTTGGCGTTGTCACCCCAGCCCATGCCGTCAACCCAGCCAGCAGCGAGGGCGACGATGTTCTTGAGAGCGCCTCCCAGGGACACGCCGGCGACATCATTCACGACGCGGACGTGGAAATATGGACGGTGGAAGAGTACCTTGAGCAGGGCGTGGTCGACCGGGGGGTATTCCGATGGTACTGGGCGCAACTTGACGTCGGAAAGTTTGCCGGAAGTATCCTTGTGCTCGAACTGTATGACTACATCGGTGCTCGACGCGTTCGGAGACTGCTGAGGGCTAGGTTCCTTGGAGTCGAGATGCGGTGGGTCGTACGCAATACTCGTTTCGCACCATTTCTCCCGCGCAACTTCGTTGGCGATATTGGCGCCCGAAAGGGCACCGCAGTAGATGCCTAGTCGCCTGCCGATCGTCTCGGAGAAGAGGTGGATGCCTTCCTCGTTCACATCGACACCCTTAATGCAAGAGATACCTCTAGCATATGGCACGATCTTCCCCTTAATCTGGTCGCAGATCTTGTGGATGAACTGATGGGGCAGATTGAAAACTAATATGGTGCTATCCCTCACCGCATCTTCCAGTGACGGGTTGGCATGCAGATTCTTAGGCAGAGCAATTCCCGGTAGGTATTTGACGTTCTCATTGGTTTTGTTGATCACTTCTGTTAGGTTCTGCGGGCCCTGGCACAGTGGTGACGTAGGGTTGTAGTGGGGGGACTCCTTTGGTATTTCGATCTTCTCCTCGAAAACCCACATTTCCACCTTCTCCTCGAAGATCGTATTGTGCTTGGCTGTGTTTTCCGAGACGATCTTCGCAATGGCGGTACCCCTGTTCCGGAAACATGTTAATTAGCAATTATCCAAGAACGCCGCAGGGGGCAAAAAGTTTTGCATAGTGACATACCAGTTACCCGAGCCGACCACGGTGACCTTGTGCTTACGCTGGTTGGGCTGAAGAGAAGCGGCCATGTTGGATAGATGTCTCAGGGGTATCAACGGTAATTGCGAACTGGCAAAAGCGACGAACGGGTCTGGGGAGGAAGCGGTGGGTTTAAGAGGTTTTGGGGAGGGCGACAGATGGAGGGTTCTAGTGGCCAGGAACCGTTGGGACCGAGGCCACCCGGTGGTGGCACAGGGACTGGGAACAGAGTTCCGGAGGGGTACACCAACGCCTCTGCGCACAGATAGTGGCATCCAGGGCGTAGCGGTGGATTGACTGCAATCACGATGATTTCAAAGCGGGTTTGGTCTCAATCTGTTGCAGAGCTCTGATGTCAGCGGCCCATGGGAATTCGCCGGTGCCTGTGGATCTGGACGGGAAAGAAAGCTAGATAAGGATAGAGTCATAGAGAATCAAGCAAACGGAGGCGGCAGTGGAGAGGCAATGTAAATCAGAACTTCCCACGGCTCACCGATATGAAGCTTGCTCTGCATTATGACGGCGTGTTCCCGATGATTTTCGGCAGCAAAATGGGTTACTTACTCCATTGATCGGCAGTATCTCGGATTATGTCGGAGGGTCTGTTCGACGGGGGTACGAAGTACTCTGTCGGAGTACTGGAAGTCGCTTTTATGGATGACCGAAAATGACAGTAGACATATCTCTGCCAGCTATAATGATAAGAAGAAAAAGAAGAAGGATAAAAGTAATTGATAATGATACGAATTTCAGGTCTTTACTCAACATCGCAACGGCAGAAGGACAATTTCCTTTTTCGGACATGCGGCAAAAGTTTCCCCGCCAATAACGTAGGCGGTGAGTACCGAAACATCACGTGATCCCAGGCTACAAATGGACTAGCGCCATTATTCTTTATCACGTTTTTCTTGGTTGTTCAAGGCAAATATTCCGAGTACGAAGTAAACCACTCGAACCTCCCTGGTGGAGCTAGCATTAATCCTTTTGAAGATGGTCAGTACCTTTATTTTTATTCCCATGCACTTTATCCTTTAACAAATGAAACAGGCCCCCATACGAGCAAAAGCAAAGCGCGCAACCGCCAAAAGCGGCAGAGGCACACTCCCATCAACCAAATCCGCCATCAGCCTATTCGCCGATGACTTCCGCACAACCAAGAAAGACAAACGCGTAATTAAACACGCTAGCTTCGTTTCAAAGATAGAAAAAGCAGCACAAAAGCCCAAAAAGAGACGGCGTGCGTCAAAGAAGCTGATCACCAACCTCGAATCGCTGGCAGACGCTCTTCCTGAAACGGAAACCGGGACGGAACAGACGCAGATGCCGGCTGGTAGTCAGGTGAATATAGTCAAGCAGAAGACGTTGAAGCATAAGCCAGGTACGATGAAGCGCAGGGAGAAGCTGGAACGACTGGAACGGGATCGTTTCGTGAGAAATATGGCGCAGATGACGGGTATGCAGCAGACGGCGGCGGCAGGGACAGATGCAGATGCAAGTACAGGACAGAAGGATACAGGGCCTAATCGGTGGGCGGCTTTGCGGAGCTTTATTTCTCAGACGATGGAACAGCAGCCTGCGTTCAAGACCAACACGTGAATTGTAGTTGGGGGGCCGCTTGAAATGGAAAAGGAAAACAAGTCAAGTCTAGCTGCAAGACGGGATACCACTGCAGAATCGTTGAGGGTTGGTTGTTACCTCATACCAATGTCTCTTCCATCTATGATTCTGGCCGGTCGAGGGATGCATTTATTCTCGTGCACTGGACAATTACCCAGAGTGAGCTCAGCTGTGCACCACGCAGCGACTACCACTCACGCCGCGTTCCGGCTATGAGCAGAATTTCAAGGCTTGAGATAGCTTCAGAGAAATCAGACATGAGGTGACATCCCTTGTCGTCACCTCCCATGCCCGCAGCCCTTGCCGATAGCTGTCTATATAGGTGAATTTATTTATCGTGCCTATCTACAATGTCAATTTCCGCATTATATTTCCTCAGAATAATCGTAATATTTTCTCTATCCGTGAGCCAGCGGAAATCCTTTAGGTATGTATATAGCCAGGGTAGGTTTTCTGCGGAGTATGCAGCCTACTGGCCTGCCGGACTGTCATAGGAAGCAAGAGAAAAGCTGCTAAGTCTATTATCTACTCATTCGTTACTATTTACCCCGGAGTGGCTTTCATGGAAGCATCAGCCTGAAGCATGTCCGCAGGCTCATCTGCAAACCCAGTCAGCAAGAACAGATAATACGCGTTCGCTTTTTCAACCAATACTCACCAATTCTTGCAAAGGTCTTGTACTGCGAGATATCTAGATCTCTGACCATTCCATTTTCGACGTCCTGTCTGGACAGCCTGAGAAGATTCTCAGAAAGGCCCATCGATGCAAGAAATTCCATCGACTCCTTCCATTCAAGCTCCTGTCTTTTACTGTCCCATTTCAACTCCCTTGCCATCAAATCAATCACCCTAGGTAAAGCTTCTAGTGCTGCCTCGGCGTTCAAGAATGCCAAGCGAGTTCTTCTGGCGATAGCATCCACCGCAGTCTGCGCATATTCATGACGAATCGCATAGCGGATTTCGCCATCAACGAACGGGTAAAGCTCTGATAGACGCTTGCCTCGAACTGGGAAACGGACATCCGTGGGAGATGATAAGGCCGCAACCTGCCAGGAACGGTCGCCATAAGACTCCGTAAGATGCTGTGCGACATCCGTCTCAAGGCCAAAGTGTTGAATGAGGTTAATGAAGAGCGTCTTGGAGTAGCCATGGGAGCCGATCAAGTGGACCTGGTGAGTTTGGCAGCTACCATCGAGAACTGCGCCATCTGAAGCTAACCCACTACCGCCAACACCGCTAATGTCTGGGACATCAGTCAAAGGCCGTGTTTGAAGACCAAATGCCCTAACAGCCTCGTCCACTGCCTCCTCAGCCATCTGCCGATAAGTAGTCCATTTGCCTCCGGCACAGGTCAGTAGTCCTGATGGCGAGACTGAGATGAGGTGGTTGCGAACCAGAGCTTCCGAGCTTTTCACTTTGGGATCTCGTACCAGGGGACGGATTCCACACCAAGCCGCGAGCACATCTTTCCGGTCCACATAGATATCTGGAGCAAAATATCCACGAACCTCAGAGAGAATCCAGTTGATGTCCTTTTCAGATGGCTTGGGCAGGGTTGTGATCTCTGTAGGCTCATCAGTGGTCCCTGCAATTGTGTTCCCTTGCCATGGAAGGAAGAAGATAACACGCCCGTCTGAAGTTGACGGATCAATGAGGCCCATGTTAGACGGGCTGTAAAATCCCGGAAGAATAATGTGAACGCCCGAGCTTGGTGCTACAATCTCCTTGATGTTGGGATCATCCATCTTCCTGATAGAATCCGTGAAAGGACCAGTCGCGTTGATGACCCCTTTGGCCCGGATCGTAAGCTCCTTTGCCTCCTGTCCATCCTTGGGTGGAATACTATCCTTTACACGGGCTCCATTCAACTTCCCTAAAGCGTCCTTGGTCAACCCAGTGACCTCCATGTGGTTGACAACCGTCGCTCCGTATAATGCGGCCGTCATGGCCAATGATACATTCATGCGGGAATCATTATGTGCACCATCTAAGTCCCATTAGCAATGGATCAACAGAACAGGATAGAGGGAGGAACCGGTAACCGCAGGGGTTAATCGTTTCGGTGAATACAGACCATAATAGACCATAGCTCCAAACAAGTTATCCTTGTTCAACATAGGAAATGCCTCTATCGCCTTGCTCCGTGGAAGGAAATATGAACTCTCTATCCCCTCAGAGCCGGCCAAAAAGTCATAGAACTTCGTACCAGCCCAGAAGTAAGGAGCCTTCCACCACTTTGACACAGGGACCATGATTGGAAGCCACTGAGAAAGATGGGGTGCGGTTTTCAAAAAATAAGACCGCTCCCTCAGGGCCTCCTTGACAAGTTTATACCTATAATATTTATCAGCACGTTATGCTTCATCAAGCCAGGTTAACGCAGGCTAGAACTGACTGATTGTAGTCCAGCTCCCATACTGCCTTCTCAAGATACCGAACACCACCATGGACAAGCTTGGTACTTTTGCTACTGGTTCCGGAGCTAAAATCATCCCTCTCGATGAGAGCAACCTTCAGGCCCCGAGTGGCCGCATCAAGAGCGATTCCGGAGCCTGTCGCACCGCCCCCGATGACCAGAATATCGTATGTATCACTCCCACTTTCCGAGTGGCGTTTCAGATCCTCAACCTGCTCGTTTCGGGGTTTGATTAAGGGGAAGCTTGGAGGTACGAGCTTTCCTTCGCGATAGCCCGGGGGAGGGACAGCTGGACCTCCATAGCCAGGGATTTCACGAGGGCGATATGTGATATAGAGAATGCCGGCTCCTGCCACTGCAGCAGCGGAGGTATATAACAAGGGCTTCAGGAATTGGCGGGAATAGCGAGTGGCCATTGTCCAAAGGAAATAAGAAGGAAAATAAATGAAAGAGGAGATGTTGTTATTATTCTCCTGTTCTGATTCACCTAACAGCTCCTGGCGCTGCTGTTGGGTTCGAGATGGCGGCAGAGAGCCTGTGACGGGATGGAGAGAAAGATGAGGTATGGAGGGAGCGAGGAGAAAGCTGAATGGACTTGAAGATGATCAGAATTGCCATTATGAAGTATGTAAGGGATCGAACAGCTCCCAGTTAAGCCGTGCATGTTTGTCGAGCAGCGGGAAATGACGCCAAATCGACGTAAATCCAGAGATGCAGGCGGGTTTACATTCCTCCTGGCGTTGATCGACGCTTAGGACCAGACAATCAGTCGTGCTGTCTCTGATCGACAGAAACCGCGTACTGAACGAAAATATGGATATGGTGGATATGGCTGTTGGACACGGGTGTTGGACATGCCCTTTAAGAGGTATTTCAGAAGTGCCGCATCTGCTACATCACCCGATGATGAGCTTCTACATGGCACTCCTACGGCTCGTAAAGCGTGTGAAATCTCTGTAACAACGAAGGGGTATCTCAGATCTCTAATTCTTCAATCTCCATCCCACAGTCCACACACTTCTTGATCTCCATTCCCGTCTCCGGGTTTTCAATCGGTCGACCCCATTGATGCACATGCTTTCGTCCGCTCCCCAGATCATCCCCAAACTGTCCGCCAGAATTCCCTTGGCGACTGCGCCGGTAGGCCTCTACGCGTGTCCGCTTCTTAAGATCCTCCAGTTTAGTCTTAAACTTAGCCTCCCGTCGACGCTTTTTCTCCGCTTCGCGTCGTTCAAACTCTGCATCCAGGGCTTCCGGGGAGCCCCATTTCTTTGGGGAGAAGGCAAACTCTTCAACTTGATATCGAAGAAATAGCATCATGTTGTTCCACGTTGCTTTATGTGGGTTTGGGCGTTCCATATGTGGTAAGAGCTCTTCGTCTCGGAGCTCAGCTGTAGCAAAAAAACACATCAGCATATGTAATCCGCAAATTCAGCATGCCACGAGCCAACTCACGGTCCGTCAGGAGGTAATCCTCCTTTGCTTCTGTCTTGGTAAGCAAGCTATACCGTTCAGGGTACACCTCCTTGCACGCATTGCATACGCAACACCCAAACACCTCCTCCCACTTCCAATCAATTTCCAAGCGACCACACTCTCGACACTTCTTCTGCGCACTCTTATCATCCAACACGCTAAGCCCTGGCTCAAACGGCCCCGCCCGGTCTCGACGAAGAGCCGTAAGCAATTGCTGCCGCTCCCATTCCTTCTGCGTCATATGTGCCGGTTTCTGTTCCATTTTCCCATCCCGAACATGTAGCGCCGTGTTGTTGGGATCATCCGCCTCAGTCAAGAACCCCCCCTTCGTATCTGTCATTTTACTGAAGTCATACTCGACATATTTCGTAAAATTCCGCGCCGGTTTGATAGCATCCAAGGGACGATTGGAGAGCTCAGCATTGTTACGACCATCTCTAAGTGTAGCGGGTGTGTCGGATGCAGTCATCGATGCAAAGGACCGTTTGACTCCATTTGTCGGTTGCGCGGTACGGATTGAAGTAGATGAGGATGCAGCAGTCTGTTTCTTAGCTGCTTCCGCCTCGCGCTGTTCCCGGAGAGCTTTCGCTTTCATGCGGTTGATCTCCTATTTGAATCCAGATAGTTAGCTTTGCGGTTTGCATTGCTGACAATCTTGTTCTTCTTCCATGTACCTACGATTTTCCGTAACTGTTCGGGTGTGAGAGGACCGCGAGGAAGCTCCCCAGGGTTGGAAGCAGGCGGCGGTGTTGAAGGCCTCGTGTCTACCATTTTACCGTTCGCATTCGGGGAGGGCTTTCTCAGAATCTGTGTCAATCTGTGTCTATGCTCCGTGGACTTGGGATGGTGATGCAGGACGGTTCCAGGAATTGCCGCCTTATCGATATCTCCAGCAGACGCGTACTGCCACGTGCCACGTGATGGCAAGAAGTGGCAAGCGCAGAAGCACTCTATGTTACTATATATCTTGGAATTTCTAGAACCACATTGATTTTCCCCTTCTGGACGGCTGTGCTTTGATGAGGGCGCTCAGAAGTGCTCACTGAGTATTTTGCATCACAGGTGAGCACTCATGGCCTGTTGATGGGGGAACTGATGAGGATATAGTTAATATTTCAGACAGGCGGATTATGTAATAATCCAGCCCCGGGATCCAGAGTATATTATATAGTACTGTGTCAGGTTTGGCGGGCGGTTGCATGTACCAGCGCGGCTGAAAGCGCCCAAAGAGCGCCATCTTTGACCGCCTCCACCACATCGCCCCTCTATTTAATACCGCCTACCCTATGTTCCTGCTGTAAGAGATTGGAAAAATAGTATTTATGTTTATAATAAGAATGCTTTAAGTTTAATACCTGTTGCAATTTCCGTATGCTACGCCTCTTTTGCTACTATCCTTATGCCCAACACCATGCCTCGAAGAAAAGGAAAGGACTTGGATCCAGCATACCGTGCTCGTATTTGTGAGCTCCATACCACCTGCCGATGGGGTGCTGAACGGATTCATAATGCGCACCCAGAGATTCCACTATCAACAATCAAATACACTATTAATGGAGCACCAACGCCTCAATAATCCCTCGCTACCTCGTTCTGGTCGACCACGCAAGAAGAAGAGTAAGTGGGGGTTCCGAAGGGAACAGAGGTGGATGTGAGTCTGCTAGGCAGGAGGAAGGACGCACGGTATTGTTATTGTAGTACGGACAGGCAGAACACTTTTGCAATGATATGTAGCGAATGAGCATGTATCATAAGATAGTATGTAGACAGCCCGATCCTTAACGATTACAAATCATGGGACAAAGAATCTTCGAATATATATACTGCTCTCCAGCTCGCCCACAACCCTCATCTCTCTTTTCAATCATCACTGTTGCACCTGCATCAACTGTCATACTCAGTATTAGCCATGCCGGGCCCCTACAGTACTCATACCACCACGGATGAGCTCGTCACTGATTACGCCTTCCTTATCAAAAACAAGGTCATTCTGACCACAGGAGTCTCTTCAGGCTCCCTTGGTGCCTTTTTCGTCCAATCCATTGCCAAGGCCAAGCCTGCGTGGCTCATCCTGGCCGCTCGCAATGCCGACAAGCTGACCCAGATGGCAGCAGAAATTACCAAGGCCCAGCCTGAGGTCAAGGTCCGCACGCTCCAGGTGGACCTGGGCTCTTTGAAAAGCGTGCGGGATGCAGCCGCGCAGGTCAACTCTTGGGAGGACATTCCTGTTATCGATGTCCTTGTCAACAACGCAGGAATCATGGCAGTGGATTACAAGCTCTCCCCTGACGGATTTGAGTCCCACCTGGCGACAAACCATTTGGGGCCGTTCTTGTTCACCAATCTGATCATGAAGAAGATTGTGGCCGTAAAGGAGCCCAGAATCGTTGTCGTCAGTAGCGACGGTCATCGGTTGAACCCATTCCGGTTCGATGACTATAATTTTGACGTAGGTCATTCAATGAAAGTTAGACAATCCTGCGACCCTCTGGGAATACTAACAAAGACGGTGCAGGATGGGAAGACGTACAACCGGTGGTACGCCTATGGTCAGAGCAAGACCGCTAATATGCTGTTTGCTATATCTCTAGCACAGAAGCTTGGGATGAAATATAATCTCCAGGCATTCAGCCTCCATCCAGGAGTCATCTGGACCAATCTAGGCAATCACTTGGACTGGAACATTGAGTTTGGTGAACTGCGTAAGACGGGATCCACTGATTTCTCGCACAGCTTGGCCTGGTACTGACTCTCGCTAGGCAAGGCCGACAAGTCTCTGGGTAATCGCGAAGGGTGGAAGGAGTTCGATGCCAAACCACTGGAGAGAGGTGCTGCAACCCACATCTACGCGGCATTCGATCCAGGTCTCAAGGGTATATTTCCCGTAAGAATCGCATTGTGTTACAGAAACTGACGTTTTGGTAGCCAACAACGGGTCCTATCTGCTCGACTGCCATGTGGCCGATCCTCTGGTCGATACGGTCAAACCATGGGCCACCAGCAGCTTTGAAGCCGAAAGACTGTGGCAACTGAGTGAGAAGCTGGTTGGACAGGAGTTTTCCTCCTAAGACAGTGTATGTAGACAAAGTCGACCTTGAATTAAGAATTGATTGGGTTTAGACTTTAGGCCCTACTTGTAGTTTGACGTCTTCTGTGGGATGTCTCCTTATTTAAACGTGAAGGAATACGTAGCGGCCTGCAGGTCTTGGCGGATCCCAGTAGTGATACGGTTGTGGACAGTTATGGAAAGTTATGATTAATTTCCAAAAAGTAACTAACACTAATAAGATCCTCACCTCCTGCTGTGCCGGGGGCACTCCCCTATCTTCAATTTTCCTGTTTTAGATACTGCTGGGCCGCGGCCTCCGCCATACTAGGTATGGCGGAGCCCGTAGCGGAAGGGGTATATAAGGCGAGCCTCTTCCCTAGATAGTGTCGAGAATTGAGCATACTTTTGGTTTCTAAGTTGCTTCAGTAGCATCGTCGTAGTCGTATAGGAGCGAGGCTCCATCGTCGCACCCTGCTCTGTCCTGACCGAAACCCTTGCTTTTGTGCCAATCTACCACTCACAGCACAGCGAGATCCTCAAAGACCGGTTACATTAAGTGATGAGATTTTTGATGAGAGACCCGTGGGAACCGTAGTGACAGGCATTAACGTCACGCCAAAAGATCCAAATGCATTGCATTCTAGTCCTGCACTATGATTCCAAACGCTTTTTCTGCCCGTATACCACATAGTAGCGCGAATAGATATGAAGGCTACGATCCAACAGTTCCTTTCTCACATGTACCAGCAAGAGCTGGATCCGAGCTACGCTCCAACCTAGCACTCGGGTAAACAGTGCAAGGGAGTACGCCTCAAGGGCCTCCAGCATCATGGCCTGCTGGTAGTAGCCCAGCTCTTTGAGCTTTTGGTCCTTGGCCCACGGCGAGAAGGGAACCTGCAATAAACACTAACATCAGCGCTTCATTCGCATCTTCAATCCCTCTCTCATCAGACCTTGTAGATCTCTTCCCGGACATTCTCAAACCCAGCGTCGATCATCCATTGTTTGTAATTCTTTGCGACTCCCATCCGCTTTCCAAACTTCTCGCTGGCTTCGACTAAGCGGTCGCGCCATTCGAGTAGATACGTTGCCCGGGAGAGGGTATCATCGTCGCTGAAGACACCCACCGTCGATTCGCCAAGTTCGAACCACCCGCCGGGCCGAAGATAAGTCATGGCTTGACCGAACAGTCGGTGGTAATCCTTAACGCTTCCTTCTATGTTCCGGGCATGGATGAAATCGAACGGCTGGCTATAATCCCAGGTTGAGTCGAAGTCATCAATCTCAAACTTGCAGTTCGGCGGGACCCATGACGGTTGTATGGGGCTTAGGTCGGTCCCTGAAGTGCCATCAGCGAGCCAGTACATCGCGTATAAAGGAAGCATGACTGACCGATCACAACCGCCTGGGGATGTTCGCTGGACAACAATGTCAGTGTGAACCGCCCACCTTTTCACGCAGTCATGGCCATGTATACTCAGCGACATCAATTGCCCAGCTCCCAGTTCCTGTACCCAGATCCAAAATCCTAGAGACTCCAGGTGGGATGGGGGCGCGGTAAAGATCCCCCCCGATAATGAGGCGGAAGATATGGTGGTGCTGCGATGGCCGTGAGGATCGCTGGATTCATTCCCGGGATATGAGTCTGTTGACTTACAAGGTCGAGTCGCTCTTGTTCGCGTTCATCGTTTGGCTGGGATGTTCAGTCGCTGCAGCACGGAGAGATGAGTCGTCAACGTTCTTACAATCATATATTCGCCTTCTCGAAAGGCGTGGTACCGTCTTCCATTCTGGACGCGCCCAGTTAGACTTTGGTCAATCGCACGAGCGGTCGAACAACGGCAGAGACAAACACACTTCGTATCTATTCGGGAGTCAGTGAGCCATTCATGCGAGGGAAGCCACCAAGCGGAACTCACTGATAGTTCAGGATGCTGGAGCTAAGGGAGTCGGTACTCGTGGCGATGCTACACTTTGCAGTCAGGTTCAGGCCTTTTCTGCTGTCAGGACCGGTGCACCCACGAGTTTCCATCGGAATCATTGTAAAGGTCAACCTCATCCTATGCTCTGTGAATACTGCTGCCACCATGCGATTATTGATCCACGTCCACTGACCTCTGGGACAATATTGTTGGCTGTGTCTTGTGGTTCACCACCACTCGCATTCAGCGCGTGTTCTGCCATAAAGGGCTTATCCTGACAACGTGAGGGATGAGGAGGAGGTAAGAGAGGACCCACAGGGCATCATGGAGAACTGGGCAGATTGAGGCACTTATAAGCTGTGCGAATCGGTCCACACCCCCTGCACAGTGCAGCGGCTCCAAGACGCGCACAGATAACCATCCGTATTCAACGGTATGCCTCGCGCGCCTCAGAATGCGACTCTGGTGGGTCCTACTGCGTGATTTCACCTATCCTGCTGCACACATGGCGCTATTCACGGGAAAGAGGCACTACACGAGCGATTCACGCTGTCGCTGCATGAAGCTAATGCAGCCGCCGTACGCAAGCGACGAGTTAACGCCTCATCTTCTCGCTCAGTTCAGGGGGTCTGCTGCAAACCCCCTCGGATAGAGAAAAAAAAATATTTTATATTCAATAGCGACTCTTCCTCCGTCCACGCTTTTTGCATCCCAATCCCTGCACCACGACGCACGTCGCATGGACAGAAGCCACGGATAACGATAGGTCTGGTTCAGTTGCTCCTGGAACACCCAGTGTGTACAGCCGCCTCAGCATGCCTTGTGTACACCATCGGCCTGGTGGTGTACCGACTGTGGCTTTCGCCTCTGGCCAAGTTCCCAGGGCCCAAGTTGGCCGCGGCGACGCTCTGGTACGAATTTTATTACGACGCGCTGTGCCACGGCAAGTACACCTTCGAGATCATGAAGATGCATGAGAAATATGGTTTGCCACATGCTGCTGCTCCTCGTCTCCCATGTTCGATGATCGGTGACTGATCTCATGGCAGGTCCGATTGTGCGAATCAGCCCATATGAGCTTCACATCAACGATCCCGAGTACTCTGAGGTCCTGTACTCTCGAGACAGCCCGCGTGATAAGTATTCCTACTACACCGGGCAGTTTGGGACTCCGATGGCTGCTATCTCGACGAGAGAGCATGCCCTTCACCGTCTCCGCCGATCCAACATGAACCCGTACTTTTCAACGGCGCGCATCCGCAAACTGGAGCCGACTATCCAGCTGCTGGTCGACAAGCTCTGCAGTCGTTTCAAAGAGTTCAACGGCACGGGAGTGCCCATCGTGGTTCAGCATGCGTACACCTGCTTTGCCACCGATGTGATATCCGATTATACCATGGGATCCGGCTGGCACTATCTGGATCAGCCCGACTTCGTTCCCCATTGGAGTCACACTCTGAGCGCCATTGCCAAGGCAACCGTTTTCTTCAAACCGTATCCCTGGCTATTGTATTGGTTGAAGGCTTTGCCCGAAGGCTTCGTCGGCAGGATGGATCCCGGCATGGATCTGTTCTTCAATTTCCAACGCCGCTGCAAGACGCTCATCAAGTCTGTGATCGATAGCCACAATGCTGCAGACTACCCGGAAAAACGCAAAGCGTACGATCATCCTACCTTTTTCCACGACGTGCTCGACAGCGATCTCCCCCCCAGAGAGAAAGGCCCGGAGAGACTGGCCCAGGAAATTCAGGGAATCATTGGTGCTGGGTCGGAGACAGTCGCCAAAACCCTGAGCTGGCTCACCTACTACCTGCTTGCTAACCCAGACAAACTGGACAAGTTGCTCGAGGAATTGAACCGACTTGATCCAGACCACACTGCGACTCTTTCGGACTTTGAAAAGATGCCGTACTTGGTAAGCAATGTGTCACAGCGGCATGGCAATGCGCTAACTCCGCATCACTAGACATCAGTCATGTTGGAAGGCCTGAGGTACTGTTGCTTTTTGAAACGCTCTCTGCGCCCCCCAGTCTTGATCGTGTTGACCGATGAGTAGGTTGTCGTACGGCGTTAGTACGCGACTCCAGCGAATCGCCCCCGATCGTAACCTTCAGTATAGAGAATGGTCCATTCCAGCTGGTGTAAGTGTCATTCCGGTTGCTGAATTGCGTGCCGATTGCTCACTATCATAAAAGACCCCTGTAGGGATGACCAGTGTCATGATGCATCACAACGAAGACATCTTCCCTGATTCACACAGCTTCATTCCAGAGCGATGGATGGACGACAAGCAGCGGAAATACCTGGACAAGTATTTTGTCGCCTTCAGCAAAGGATCCCGGCAATGCGTTGGAATCAAGTATGTCTGCTGCTCTTCTGCCCATGTGGCTGTGCTGTTCTAACCAAGTCGGCAGCCTAGCCAAAGCCGAGCTGTTGCTCGTCATCCCCAAACTCTTCCGGGAATTAAAGCTCGAGCTATTTGAGACTACGCGCGAGGATGTAACGCTGGCCCATGAGCTATTCCTCCCATTCCCCCGGCTGGGAAGCAAGGGTGTGCGTGTAGTCGTTGTAGGCTAAGGCTGATTGCCACGGATCGACCGTCTACCACGCGATATAATTTTATGATCTCCATTTATGTCGTAGCACATATAAGGCTATCATAGTTTAAACAGCTATATACAATGGATCATATATCATGCCTCAGATACCGTGCCAATGATCGAGAAATCATGATGATGAAGTGCATGTCTCACACAGCGAAAGAACCCATGCAACCTCGGACACCACGGGGGAATAACCACCTGCGGCATTCTTCTCCGGCGGTTCTCCGTGGTAACCGTAATTCGGCACGGCATGCTGTGGAGCAGTGCTGGGGCCAAGTCCCGTCCTAGTGCCATAATCTGAATCCCTTGTAAGCGGCCTTGTGCAGTTGTATATTTTCTTCGAACCACTGGTCGGTCTTGTATTTCCGTCCGGACGGCCGCAACCAACCCACGATTGAATCAATGCTAAACCCAACCAAGATGATGAGATCTCCAAGGCCGGCCACGAGAGACAATCCTAGAATAGAGAAGCTCTCATACTCCCCCGTATTTCGCCTTTGTCTCCAACCTATGATGTAAACTGGAGAGAAGTTAGGTCATGAAGTAGGACTCCAAGTTTCAGAAGATGATGCTTCACACGACAACAATACCAAAAGGCTCATTTCATAGGTCTTGCTTGGTCTGAGAAGTTGAAGAGCAGATCCCAACACGGTTGACAAAGTCGAGGAGCGATTCAGAGCCAAAATTATACCTGAGTACCTCTCTCTGGGCTCCTTCAACTGTTGCTACAGGCTGAAAAAAAAAAAAAAAAAAAAAAAAAAAAAATAGAAATTTTCTAATTTTGTCAAGTAGTGTGTCCGCTGCCTAGGGCTGTTTCAAGACTGTTTGACTGTTTGATGGCGCTGCTTGGATTGCTTTCTTGGTGACTGAAATGCTTGATACATACAGCTCAAATATAATCATGGCAGGCATACAAATCATGTGTGGCTAGAATATCTTAGGCGAGGATCGTGCCCAACTGTACAATTCCAGTGGTTAGTTCTCATATGAAGCTGACCTTACGTTCCCTTCTCTTTTCTCTTCCATTGCCGCCCCAGCTAGTTCCGGCGCAGCCTGCCGTCTGCATGTCTACCATCATAGCCACAGATCTTGATAGATCATTTTCATCATAGCGACTTCAGCAGGCCAAGCATCAACAGCTGCTACCACCTTACTACACCAATCATCATTCCATTTCCATGAGAGAAAGGTAGCAAAATACTCCCAATACACCGGATACCAGCCCGCCGATTCCCAATCGACAAGTGATACGTGAAAATCCTTCTTGCCCTTGACCCCTTCTGCCTCCTGAACTAGAATGTTCTTCCGCTGGAAATCCGAGTGGGTGAAGAGGGGTGGTCTACCCTCAACCACAAGACTGGGCATCAGTTGTTGTTCGAAGAAATCAGCAAGGTATGGGTGGCGCCCATTTTCTCGTGCATTCAACCGTGATTTCGAGATCAAACCTTGTATGAGGGCCTGCTCAGTTGTAAATGGACCTGCAATGTGCGCTGGATAGTTGGGCCAGTAAAAGAGATGGTGAGGCATATGGTTCTGATTGACAGAGCCAAAGAAACCTTGATGTGGTACCATACGGATTTGTGTCAAGATAGCCCGCGTTTTCGCAAGAATACATTGTTTGTCGGGTTCTTGAAGAGTTGGCCACAGCGATTCAAGCGTGTCACCACGCATGCGTTCCATCACAAGGAACAGGGCCTCGTCTGCCTCCTTCCACATCGCATACAATCGAGGAGCAAATCCTTTGAGATTATTCCGCTCGAGGAAGAGTAGATTTTCACCCTCAATCTGATCATCTGTGGGACCGTATTTAACGACAAAATGTTCGCCGACACCCACAACTTTCCTGGTCGCCCAAACCTCAGTTCCCTTCAAGATATCATTTGATGCTAAAATCTCTAAGGTGGTTGGCAGAGGTGCAGGTAATTCTTCAGGACTCCTAAAGTATGGGAGTTGAAGGGATGTGGCCATAGTGATCTTGGGGGATTGGACTGGTTCGAAGTTGTTGCTCCGAGTCTCGTAAACAGCGAATACAGAGCGAATCGTCTACCTTTGTTTCTGATATGGAAAAGGTCACGTGGTATGGCGGCTTGGCTCCCTCTCCAACCCCTGAGAGTTCGAGCCCCTGATTATATGTAGAGAGAGAGATAATGAATGGCATCCGTTCCTTAGTAGGCTACATACGTGTAGTCGATACAGCTTTATTCTGCCCTTCTTCCCTGAGCTACATGCATATTCCACAACAGTTTCCTATTGTTAGATCCCGTGAGGATCTGCCAGTTCTGTCCGCCCTGGCTTGACCCTTTCCTCGCGAGCCTCAGTCCTGGACAGACAATCTCTCTCTATTACTTATCGAGGCTAAACACGTGGCTCGATTATATCGGGCCCCTGCGAAAGGGGGTCCTGTACCGGGTCTTGGCGCCAAGGCGCTTATTAATATTATACAAACTGACACCATTACCGTTTTTGGATCAGCCACTACAGTAATTAATAACTGTTTTCTTTTTCCCACATAGTTACTCTTCTTCTAATTACACACACTTAAGAACTAAGCATGTGAAATCTATTTTGTGGGTGGTCATTTTCTACTGGCCAAGCAGCCAGCTATATGCTGTTGGTGGGAGTTCAGCTCCTTCCTAGTTAGGCATAGCCCACGTTAGTCAGCATAAGTGTAGATATTGGAAATGCACGGCGTCAAACAGAAAAGGGCAAACCCCGGCATTGATGCCCACTATTTCGACAGTTTGCACACTACCTACCTATACCCCAGGGCCGTAAATAATAGTATAATGAACGAGAAAGGTCTCGTGCGACATTGAGGCGGTTGATGGAAGCCAAACGTCAAAGAATCGTGGCAATAAACTTGATTAAAAACTAATAATAATACCATCACCAATTCCTCAATGATGCCGATTATGTTGTCATTGATATTGTTTTGTTCGACCTCTTCATCAGTGTTATACCATCTATCCAGCTCAGGGCACCAGTGTGATACTTCTTTTGGTTACCCGTGAGTTTCGATTTCAATTTCATTTTCAGAAGGGAATTCGCTTTCTATGAAACCACTCAGGTGAACGCGCATGACTGTATACTACGAGCGAGAGATCATGGTCGCATATCGTTGTCCGTCTCGAACCTGGAAATCAGACTTAGGTGCTCATGGATAGTGCATACCGGCCAGCTACACAAACCTGCGTATCAAAACTGTCCTTTTTTTCACCACCAGCACCCTCAACACTGATGCCTTGTCATAAACAGCATCCGCGTCTCCTTGTGCCTTCATGCATTGCCTGCCATATGCTCCGGGTTGTCCCCTCTGCACATATATTCCCCGAGGACATACATAGACTTTCCTGGATCCCCATCCAGGGCAGTACTCCACTCCTGTATCCGTGGACAGTGTTGTAGGACATAGAGTCCCTTCAACTTCTTCAATAGAACACTCTACAGTTAGCGCATAGAGATACCGTTTGTTCTCAAGCCACTCTTGGAGCTGAGCAATTTGGAAATACCTTGCCTCTTCAAGAAGGGCAAGATACAACGCGTGGTCGTATCCTTTGTCGATATCATAAAAGATCGGGAACACCCTACGCCAAAGATAACGTAGGATATGCTCAAATAGAGTTGAATCTGCATCAATGAAGTAAGAGCCGTCAGTAAGTGCATTGTCCCCCATCCGGACAGCAAGGAAACGAAGAAGTTGCTCTCAGGTGTTAGTGGTGTATTTCCATCCTGTTGGGGAACACCCTCTCTGAGGACTCTCCTATGGAGAATAAGCTGCTTTCGTTGGTCTTAGTGAGATCTGGAGCAGGTCTTTGTGCAGCTTTATCCCGGAGATGCAATATGGTCCGGGACTTAGCTTTTCCAGCCTTCTCCAACAGCAAAATGGGGCTGATTCGTTGGGAAAGTCATCTGAATGCAAACCCCGCCTATGTCGTCCACCTCATCCACCACCTTCACGCATTCATTCTTCATCGTACTTCTTCAATAAATCATTGCTTGAAAAGACCCGACCATCCAAAAATGATGCCCTTCAAGATCGATGCAACTGCCCTCCTATACATCGTGTTTGTTGTGGTAAGATGTTGGAAATCCAGCCTGGCGATGCCTTCTGTTAACGAATTTCGCCATTAGGGAGGAGCCATGTCCTTGATCCTTGGAGCGTGAGTTATGCCGTTCTTCCTCACATCTCTAGCTAGAGTTTACTAAATGAGAATCGTAACTAACAGCCCTTTCATGAAACAGGTTATCGTGGGATCGTACGGCCACACTGCTTCTTCCTTTACCGACATGGGTTCCAGCTATCGCAACACTCATATCCCCGATCACAGCACTCACACTGATAGCCACGCGAGTTTTTTTCCCACAGTCGAACGATGAAACACCTCACAATCCTCGATGGAACACAATATCCAGTGTACTCAATCATATTCAAACCGTCATATCGACCATCGTGGCCACATTAGCACTTGCGTACCTCTTCCCCGACAGGATTCTCTCATGTAACCTAGATCAACAATGGCAGGCTTTCTTTCAATCAAAGAATTCACAGGCTATCCGCTCCATCCAAGATGAGTTCCGATGCTGCGGTCTTAGAAGTCTTCATGACAGGGCATGGCCCTTCAAAGACCGGAGGCACGGGGACAATGCGTGTGAGTTGCAACTTGGATATCAGAGGAGTTGCTTCGCTCCTTGGAGAGAGCACCAGCGGAATACGTCTTGGATGGTGTTTGCTGCAGCCGTTTTTGTTTTCGCAGCCAAGGTGGGTTTACTGCCACGCTGAGATTTGTGGTGTAGTGGCTGATATTCTGCCACTCCATACAGGTCGCTTTCGTTCAGCTTTCCGGCCAACGAATGAGTTGGATGAGCGCGCATGTCAGTAGGAGGCCTGATTACCAGCGAATTTCACACCCAGAGGATGACGAGAACGGTGTCCACGAGGAGGCGCGGAGAACATTTTTACCCCAGTCGAACACCCAGAATTGGAACGACTGGGAGGTAGACTAAGTTCAAGAAACCTTCGGCCCAGAAAAGAGGAGAACGTTATTCTCAGCACGAATCCTTGGCATACATCCGGACTAAGTCCAGACTGGTAATATCAAACAATACCGATTTTACCGTATTCATAGAATTATCACCCAGATAGTACTAAAATCCTCCGATTGTACACTACTATAACATTACCAAAAAGGGACAGACAGAACGGCGTTGGCCCTGGGGTCGCAATATGCCTGGCGCAGCCCACGATACTCTGGTAGTACAGCCACATGTTCAATAACCATCGCTGAAACAGGCTCTGGTAGGCCACGTGTGAGCAGAATTGGTAGTTTGTCTTGATCCTAACAGAATAGTTAATAACTAGTTATATAGTAGTTTATAAAGAGTGGTAGTGGTAGTGGTAATATATACTCACCTCATGTTGCCCATGTAAGATATTGGCAGATAGCCTATAAAACATTTAAGGCCTTATAGGCTATCTTCTGCCAATCAGAGTCATTCAGATGAAGCAGATCATTAATCTGCCTGTTTTAGAACTACCCAATACTGTTCTTCCATCTTGTTGAGTGGTTTTGGTTGTGTTGAAGAGAGAACTAACAAAACAAGATAGAAAACAGGGATGGAATTTGGCCGTTACCATCCCATTCAAATTCTTAATACATTTACTAAGTGACTAATTATGAAAATAGTGGAAAAGTGGAGCCAAGTGACGGGAGCTTTCGACCAACCTGACGCGGCCTGTGTTCTGAATTTATGACCTGTTCCTGCATCTCCAATCCCCACTTAAGCCACGAACTCATTGCGGTCATGTTGACACTCTCCACTCAGGGTGCCAGAAGCCTCTCAAAAGTCAAATATATCAATTAGCAAGCACCACCAGCTGGACCCTGTCAAAAACATTCTCATTCTCCACTCTGCGGCTCATCCAGAACATCCACCACCCATTACTTCACAACACCACGCCACAAGCATGCGTGAAGAAGAAAAAGCTTCAATTCCCTGCTATATTGCTCTCATTGTCATCACCTGCCAGGAATCTCGACTCTAAACGTACTCCATCCATCCCCTTCTACCATAATGAAGCCGATGTAATCGAGACGAACATGCTCGATGACGGCTTCCGGATATGGGGTCTCGTCATCTACAGATGCACCTACAAGAGCGACTCTGACTGGGAGGAGTTTATGCGTCGCTTTCTCTATCATGCTAGAGAAACACTCGAGTATTACGACGGCCTCGATATGCTTGATTCATTCGTGCCTACTGTTATGGACGACAAGACGCGGTTTGACGGCGTGACTCCATCTATTGTGCGTGATTATTTCAACCACTGGGCGCATACTGCGTGTGAAACCGAGCAAGGGGTTCTGTTTGATCGTGCCCAGTGGGCGAATACGGCGCGGTATAAATTCTGTGTCATGGTTGACGACGAGGCGTTGCAGTCTGTTCTGGATATTCCACTTGAGGATGTGGATCGTTATAATGACACTGGCTTTGTGATTCTGGTTAATGGCAGGTGGGAGCCGGAGTTCCTGAGTGAAGAGGAATTAGAGGCTTATACCAGTCCGCCGCCAGAGAATAATTTCGAGCCAGTGCAGGGGTGCACGCTGGAAGATGTGGGCTGGATGAAGGTGTGCTATGATCGGGCTCAGATCGTGACCTCTGCGTTTATGTGCAATGGTTTTGACTGAAAGACGCAGTATAGGCGTCCTCCTGAGATTACTTTCAACTTCTGATCTGACATTTTTTCCATCCTGGAGCTGTTTTTGATACTTGATTGCTCGGTACGACTTTGCTAGTCATTTTAGTAATAAGTATGTACTGAGACGAAGCCGCGATACAACACGGCGAATATAACAAGACCAAAGAAAAGACGCAACTATGATGGAGCTGGTACACCCTCTCACCTATAGGGAGCCAACACAGGTCTCGAGCGTTGGAAGCCCTGGCCAGGGCAGTGCCAGGTGCTTCCCCAACTCCCCCAGCATATAATGCTCAGATTTGTCTCCTAAAGCATGTAGCTAGATACTTCTCGCTTGGGAGCAGACAATCATCTCCCTCTATCAACGTTAAATAGTAATCAAATCAAATCAATCAAACGTTAATCACAATACTATAGAAAGTTGATTTCTTCATATAGGCACTTTCACCCTGCCGCGACCTAGATTTAGTTGACCTATATTTCGAGCGAATTACCTAGTACTTATTCATCCAGCTTCGCATTCGCCTAGCTTCATAATCTTTGCAGCATTCCGCTACGTAGGAGATTCTTTCTTTCGTGCCACCACCCACATAAACTCGGCATCATAATCTGGATCACCCTCCTCCAACTTCCCATCGCCTGCTTGCAATACTTCCTCCTGCAATATATCAAATCCTATTTCTGTGAGCATTGCTCGATTCTCATCCACACCATAGCTGCTCCAGAACATTCCATATCCTAGGAATTCGCCATGGATTTCTTCTTCATCGATAGTCGCAAGATTAAAAACGAAGATACCTCCCGGCTTCAACCAACCATGGATCTTGACGAGCATGGCCTTGAGCTTCGGCCGCGGAAGGTGGAACAGCGTATAGAAGCTGATGACGCCATGGAAGCTCGCAGGCTCGAAAGTGAGGGTAGTCATGTCACCCGCAACCAGCTTAGCCCCGGGGCAACGGGCCTTGGCCATCTCGATCTGCTTGGTTGAGATGTCATTTGCGACTACTTGAGCGCCTTGGTCGAGAAGCATTTTCACAATAGGAATTCCGGGACCACAACCAAGCTCTAGAATGGAGGGTGAAGGTTGCAGCTTGTCTAGGAGCATCTTGGTGTATCTTTGTCGCGGCGACTTCTGGCTCTCGGCCCACTGCAGGTACCATTCTGCAATATTGTCGTAGGCGTATTTAACAATGCCTTCAGGTGTGTCGGACATCTTCCGAAGGAGTAGGAGTAGAGATTGGCAGGAAGGAGAAGTGAATATATCGTGGTAGGAGACAGGGCGGTGGAGATGTGCGGAGGTTAACTATACACTCCCAACTGGGTAGATAACATCTATACGAGTATACAGCGATAGATTAAAAAGAAGAAGAATTTCCCGTAGCGAGTGTAGGGTGATGTGTCAACCGTAGAATATGTTGGGGGGGGGGTTCAAACTCGCGTTGGTTGATTTAGCTACCCGATAGTCAGCATGGCACGGCTGTGGTTACATCCTGACACTCTCTCACAACGAACTAAGCTCTACGTCGAAATATCATCTTTATCTACCTCTTCTTCATCTCTGCCCTATGGCGCCTGTAATGCGTCAAGGACTAAGGGATAGGCTGGCTACCTAACACGCCGCCCCTCACGCCGCCCCTATGCGCACCAACCACCCCCCAGCGAAGTACCAAAAAGCGTCTCAGGCAGGAGACGCCCAAGAAACCACCACCACCACCCTTCTGGACGCCGAACAGAGACCAATCCCCATCTCCCCTGTCCTCTCAGTCTCCCAATCTCTCAGACACAGCCAGCGACACATCCCGAACCAACAGCAGCCCCGTGCCTCAAGAAAGCGTCACCTCTCGAGGCTCTTCACCAGAACGCCAGATCCACGGCCAGCTCGCATAAGCAGTTCGTGCTGTCACAGACACTGAATCCTAAGCCATGGAGACAGAGCATAACAACATGCTGGAGCTTGCGGCCCTGCTTGATACGCAGATAGAGGCCGTCAGGGAAAAACATAATAGGTCACAAGCAGCAGCCTTTGGCGCGGCAATGCAGGCTTTTATCCAGGACGACTTCTTCAAAACCAACAATAAGAAAGAGCTAACTAGATAGCACCCCAAGAGCCTATGCTGTGGCAGCCCAGGCAGCTATACCCCGAAAGCTGCTGCAGCCTCAAGGAAACCCAGCCCCAAACATAAACCACCCCTGCAACTCTTCCTCTGGCTACCAGAAGACCATTCTGCATGTCAGGCAAGCCCCTATGCCGTTCTACAGCTCCTATGTACCCAAATTAACCCTATACATTCTTAATCCATCCAGGAGGTACAGCACATCCCCGCAGGGCTAGCTATCAGACCAAAGATGTCCTCAGTGGCTAGCTTCTTCTGAGCAAGGAAGACATCCAGAACATAATCAAAGGCTCCCACGCTGAGCCAGAAGAGAAATAGATAATCTTTGTCATCCCTAAGACTCCATGATACTATCAGGACCTGGACGGCATACATGCAGAGATTATAGAACAAACGACACAAGAATAATTCAACCTTATAACTGGTGTAAAGGGGGACGCCTGGGCGTTGTTCCCTGCGAGAGGAATTGGGTTGTGATCGAGGGATCTCAGGGATGGACACACTGAACGATCTAGTAAGGAAACGATATAATAAAAGAAGAAACACAACGACGATGGAGCCTCGCTCCTATATTAGTGAAGCAACTTATAAACCAAAAGTATGCTCGATTCCTCGAAACTATCTAGGGAAGGGCTCGCCTTAAATACATCTTCCGCCGCGGACTCCGCCGTACTTAGGTATGGCGGACCAACAAGGACATAGACATACAACATAGACACAGACTGTTACAGATAGAGAGGCTACAAGTAGGGAGGGAACCAGCCAGAGTATTCGATGACCTCATTGAACCGTCCGTCTGCCGCTTTCCACCGCCAGCCCCATGCCGAAGACCAACTGCCCCTTGTGGACTAGCGCGTCCGTTTCGGGGATCGCGCCCGTGTTCTTACAGTGGGGATGCAAAGTTATTCGACCACATACCCTTACCACCTAAGAGGCCACAGAATCGAGGGGGGGTTCTGATAGGATTGAAAGCGCTAAAAGAGGGTCAACCATCATGAAGTTGAGTCACATTAATTAGGCCATAGTCATAGTCCCAGTTAGAAAGGGGCAGTTAGTAGTTCACAACCAAATAATCTAAAACCTTGTGAGCATGGAAAATTTATGGGCATGAAGACACGATGTTTTATTTTGTGCTTACCACGTGATGTTTTTTTTTGCATCATTTGATCATGAGTAACATCAGTAGTAGAAAGTAGAAAACCGACACCAGCAGCTAATCAGTATATGTAGACTGCTGCCTGCGGAGCAGCCCCTTGAGGCGCTGAAGAAGGTGTTCTCCACTGCTCAGTAACTGAAAAGAAAAAAGGGTCCGCTGCGGAGCTAGATTCAGTGGCTCGCTCCGCGCTCCTAATGAGGAAAGACCCTATTCATGGCCTTGCACCGGCGATGGTTCATTCAAATTTCTGCCCTATCAACTTTCGATGGTAGGATAGTGGCCTACCATGGTGGCAACGGGTAACGGGGAGGGTTCGATTCCGGAGAGGGAGCCTGAGAAACGGCTACCACATCCAAGGCAGCAGGCGCGCAAATTACCCAATCCCGACACGGGGAGGTAGTGACAATAAATACTGATACGGGGCTCTTTTGGGTCTCGTAATCGGAATGAGAACGACCTAAATAACCTAACGAGGAACAATTGGAGGGCAAGTCTGGTGCCAGCAGCCGCGGTAATTCCAGCTCCAATAGCGTATATTAAAGTTGTTGCAGTTAAAAAGCTCGTAGTTGAACCTTGGGTCTGGCTGGCCGGTCCGCCTCATTGCCAGTACTGGTCCGGCCGGACCTTTCCTTCTGGGGAACCTCATGGTGCAAGTGTTCGCCATTTACAGTGTTGCCTTTCACCAACCTCCCAAGCTTGGGGGGAGGGCACCAGTAGCTTTAGGAAAGCCATCTTCTGGCCAGTGTAGCTCTCTATCCATATTAGAAACATATCGAGAGGCCAGTCATGTAATGGATCTATGGATCTGCGTCCAGGCAGACTTCAAGTCTGGAGATGTGAGTCTGTGATTGGGAAGCTGTGGTGGGAAGGCTTTGGCTTCATTTAATGAGAGAAACAAGAAACATCGAACATTTATGGAAGGGGTAGACCAAGAGCCAGTAAAGGTAAGCAGGAGACAATTCCATGCACTTCTTGCGCATGGTTCAGGAGTGCTAATTTTGACAACAGCTTTTTCCTGCAAATGTTGCACTCACAGTGCATGTCACTGGCGAATGACTTGATATGTTTGTTGATGAAGTTCAGCTGAGGGACCCGGGATTTTTGTACATTTTCAGGCGTTCACTTTCTGGCAGTTTAGCATTACCAAGACAGATAAAGCATATCGTTGGTCTTTCTTCTTGAGATTTGACGCAAACCGAAGCGATGGCTTGAGAAAACCTGTCGTCACTCTCATCTAAAAGGGTAGACTTTTGTCTCTTAGGCAGAGAAGAAGCAGGTGGTGTATCAACAGCATCGACAGAGCGTTTTTGCAGCGCACCAGGCTGTGAGGGAGCACCCTCTTCTGCATCACAGACTGCAATCACTGCATTGATTGCAGCAATGCGGCATTCATATTCTTTCATGACTGTTGTACCCAGCATAGTCAGGATACTATCAATGAGCATCATATGCTGCAGTGTCATGTAGCCAGTTCGCTGCAACGCACCTATGACTTCTTCATTGACAACCTTTTCAGGAAGTTGCCGCTCGCTATCAATCACTGGCTGCTCATTCTTGTAGGCGGCTGTGGCACGAATGGATATCGGTCGATCAATGGGGTCCAGGCACCAGGCACGACCAACACAAAGCACGGGTGGCAGTAAACGGGGTCGGCCGTGGGCTTTGGCACACGTGACGTCAAGACCACCCACGGTGCTCCCACTCACCGTGTCATGCTTATTTGTAGTAAAATTGGATTAGAGATTATACGATATTGTCATGAGAGAGCTAAATCTATGCCTTATATATGAATAGCTTAGTATGCTGATATGTCTTCATGTTTCGGGGATACCAGATGCTCTCGGGATATTATGATATTTATCAGAACTCACCTGGGCAGCATTCTCGTAAGATGTCTGTCTGTAATCTATGCTTCAGATGTCCGAGCACTTCGTCCTAGTAAGGGCTTTCTGCTTAAATCCGATTATATTCGTATCAGAGAAAACGTAACCCTAACGGAGATAACAATGTCGGCTTTTTGGTTCATCACTGTTATCCCCGGAGAGACGAGTTTCCTTTCATTGGGACGGGTCGGGTCATATCTTCACCAGACAAAGACGAGAGGATATTTGAAGACGGTTGAGTCGTCTACTTCTCCAATGCATCTAGGCACTGCTTCCAGTAGCAAGGACCAGGAGGGAAGTAATATTGACAGCAGGGAGGTTTTTCTTGATTATCCAGCATAGCAACGCTGTGGAGACTAGAGGCGTTGGTGAGCGGCTGCTGAAGAATGATGCTGTACTACTTTTTCTCTCTCGCAGGGTTAAGCCAGGACTCAAGGTCAGCCTCTTTTGTACTTAATTGCGTCTGGGAGCAAAGTGCTGCCAAGGCAGAGCTTCCAAAATCGCCGCTCAATCATCGCACATGCAGAATATTGTTGTATAATAATAGCTTCAGACTCAATATCATTTCCTGGGGTATGGCAGACTTTTCCGAACCAACTTCATTACGGAATGGCAGTCATCCCAGAACAGAACACCCCGGCCCTTATGCAGATATAAGCTCACAAAAAGAAACCTGAAACCCAAAGCCTTAACATTAGACAAATACAGAAGAAAATGAACCAAAAAATCTAACACTCAGGTCATAACCAGACCTTCCTTCCTTACTCGGGAACATAAGCAGCAAAGTATAATCGAACGTAAAGTGGCAAGCAGAAAAGGAAATAAAAAAAGCTTCACAAGGAATAGCAGCTATCACCTTCCAAATGGTGATATGTAGGTCCAACTGGTCTTAAGCCCCTACCTTCCAGGGCATGGAGCGACGCGCTCAGTTCAATGAGACATGCATGCCCCATTTTTATCAGTGTGCGTGACCAATCTGCAGGAAGAGAGGCAAAATCATGCCAACAACAGATGCAACCAGGTCTCTTAATGACTTGTCCGGTCTAGATGGTGAGTCCCGGATATCACCATATCCGTTAGCTGGTGACTCACGCGACGTTGAGCTGGAACCATTTTCTTGCATTGTGTGCATGGCAACATATCTATAATCATCAGCAATCAATATCACTCCTCCAATTAAGAAAAATCAAGCGAAAAGGCTCACAGGAAGGTCCCAGCAGAAAAAAGTAGAAGCATGCCAGTCCGCCATCGAGTACCTGACTCATCGCCGTTGAAACCCGAGCCCGCTAGTTGCACAAAGAGAAAGGTTGTCAGAGCACCAACAGGAGCTGCTAAGCTGAAGACTAGTAAATGCGCCCTGACAGCGCGAGTAGACAGACCCTGCTTGAGCAGAACAGACGTAAGCCCGAAGGATGCGGGAGCCTTGTGAACCATGATGGCCAGGAAAATAATGAAGCCAAGGCCGGTATCAGAGGTGGATGCTCCTAGCGCGATTCCATCTGCAGCGGCATGAATTACCAGACCAGTGGTTGTCGCAAAGCTGTGGTTGCGCTTGAAGCTGCTTCCCGGCTCTAGCAGCCCTGACTCCCGCGAAGGCGACGAGCCTCGTCGCAAGCCCGAGCCCAGGTTGTCGAGGGAGACGTGATAGGGCGGTCTCTGCTGCTTCGAGGACGTCGCAAATTCGGGGAGCTTATCGATTAGGTACATCAACACGAACCCGCTAACAAGTGCAACACCAATCCAGGCATGAGCTGAGCTCTCATCATCGTGATCATCCTTGTCTGTCTTGGTCTTGTCGCTTTTCCTTTCATCTCTTCTTGCGTTCAAACCATCCACTTTACTAGACCGTCGTCTGTCGTGTGTAACCTGGATGGTTTCTTCGTTTGTGGGCGGAAACAATGCGCTCGGCGCGACGTTGGATGGTGACACTAAAAGTGAGGGCACATTCAAAGAGTCCAGATTGGCAGAGCTCGGGATATTTGTCGCACTCAATATGGGAACCTCCTGGGATTTCCATTCGATATCCGCAGCGCGGCTACTGAGCCCCTTATGCGATGGTAAATTGGCACTGTAGAGAGTCTCAACACCCTCGGGAATGATCACAATAAGAGATGTCCCGACCAAAACTCCCATGCCAATCGAGGATATCAGTCTTAGCTGAGAAGGAGAAAGTGCAAAGATAAGTGGTAGATAACCGACAACAAAGGATCTAGGATGAGGGCCGACAACTATCAGCAGTAGGATCTTGGGGGGAATTCGACGCAATGCAGTTCAACCCACGTAATTGCCATCACAACGCTCAAAATGAGCAATGTAAAGAGCCCCTCCATGGCACGTGTTCTTTTCCGCAAATATCAACTGGGTCTACAGAGTATCGACCATGTTTGCCAAAGCAATGTCTCGGACAGGAGGCAGATGAAGGGGTCCAGAGTGCTCGACCTCCTGCGTCAGCACTCTCCTCCCAGTTCCGCGAGAATCAATTGAAGGCTGATAGTCCGACGGGTCCAAAATCCAACACTGACCCTGAGACACGTCAAATGAGAGCAGGAATAAGAATAGAGGGTGATGGGAAGTTGGTAACTTGTTAACTGGACAGAAAGCGGAGAGGCAAGATTGTCCTTGCGACTCGCGGAAGTACGAAGGCCTGACGGTTCAGGCAAAAAGGCACACGTAAGCAGCTTAGTCAGTGAGTTTCGGATGCACTTGTGTCTGCCTTAGGCATACTATCACTATCATATCTTATCCGCTCGCTCTTATCTCGGCTGTTCTCGAAAACCATTCTTTCCGAGCACATCATGATCTGAAGAGTTACTCAATTCTACCTTGTGCTAGATAGATCTATTCCAAAACAATCCAATTCAACAAATTACAAAAATGCCATTCACCCATCACAGCCATTCCGGCCAATTCTGTCCAGGCCATGCAAAAAACTCTCTCGAAGAGGTCATCCAAACGGCCATTGCGAGGAATATGGAATTGCTGTGTTTGACAGAACATATGCCTCGTGGGAAAGAGGATTTCTATCCGGAAGAGGTACGTAGCTGTTTATATCAAATTAAAGTGTCTATCCTTCTCCCCACCCCCCCGTTATATTCTATTGATTTAGATGTTTATCAATCATGTTAATCGCAAATGCATCTGCAGTCTTCATCCAATGGAAACTGACCATAAAAACATCCAGATTGAAGCCGGAGATACAGAAGAAAGCCAAGTTGCAAACGAGGCCGCATTCTTCAAAGAAGCGTCCCGGCTCCGTGATAAATATGCAGACCATATTAAGATCATCATCGGGTTTGAAACAGACTGGATCCGCCCGTCATCTCGGACGTTAATTGAGCGGTCCCTAGCTGCGCATCCCTTTGAATTCTTCGTAGGCTCTGTGCATCATACTCGCACCGTCCCCATCGATTATGATCGGGACATGTACGTCCAGGCACGTGAGATCGCCGGCGGGTCCGATGAGCGACTGTTCGAGGATTACTTCGATGAGCAGCTGGATATGTTGAAACAGTTGAAGCCGCTTGTTGTGGGACATTTTGATTTGATACGGTTGAAGAGCGATGATCCTGACGGGAGCTTTACAAGGTTCCCTGGCGTGTGGAAGAAGATCGTGCGGAATCTGGAGTTTGTGGCGGGGTATGGAGGGATACTGGAGCTTAATTCTGCGGCGCTACGGAAGGGGATGAGTGAGCCTTATCCCAAGGCTGAGATATGCAAGGTGAGTCTATGGCTCAATATATTGGGGGTTGTTTCCCCTAGTTTTTCTAGTATATGTATCTAACTGAATGTATTAACAGGAGTTCCTGAAACATGGCGGCCGTTTCTGTCTCTCTGATGACAGCCACGGGGTGGATCAGGTAGGGCTAAATTTCTACCGTGTTCTCGCATTCCTGGATACTGCTGGAATTACTACATTGCATCACCTAGAGGTCGTGGATGGCCCTTCTGCACATACGGTGGTGGATAGTCGGTTTCCTCGCACTCAGATCAGGGCAGTCCCAGTTGACGAGCTGAAAAAGTCGGCATTCTGGCAGGGCTAGCTGCATCTTGCTGCCCGAAGCAATGATAGAGAGCTTTTGTTCATAGACCAAAATTACATTCCGAGTTTATAGATGATACATGATACACTAGCTCTGAGGTCCGGCCAGCCATAGAAGGAAGACCAGGTAGAGCTACTTTGCTTTCACAGTTGACGATCGGTTGTATATCCCTAAGTCCACTACTACAAGGCGGCGTCAAGGAGCACTGCTACAACTTGGTTGCGAGACCCGAAGCGGTCTGTGAAGCTGTAATTGCCTAGGCGGATAGTCACTCAGAAGATACTCTCGGTACAGGCCAGCTGAGGAATTGGGAAACTTAGTCCATTTATGGAAATGGTAGGTTCGGAAACTCTGTTGACTTCAGCACCTTTGGAAGAGCATTTGAAGTTTACTGGATTCGGTAAAACGAATTAGGTTTAAAATAAAAATGAAGTACATTCATGGAAAGTAAACGATGTTACTCAATTTGTGATGAAAAGGTGAAGTCTTTAAAAGAAGCCATATTAAAAAGAGATATTGAGTGGGATCTCTCATTCACATTCATAGAATTGAAAGTCAAAAACGTGTATCCAAGTTCCGTAGCAAGGTTATCATCACCAAACACGATATATAACCCCATACAAACGCCAAGGCCACCCGAAAGTACATTCGCTTTAAAAAAAGGGAAGAAGATGAAGTAGGAAAGTACATGAAACCCAACCGACCCAGAACCAAATTCGTTCAAAATGTAATTTAAAATGTAAAAGCCGTTTAAAGAAGGCCGTCGTCGTCTGGCCAGGGTGATCCTGGAGTGTAGAGCATGATGTCTCCTTGTCCACTATGGAGACCCAGGCTAAAAGCCCCAGCTTCGGGCAGGGCTTCGTTGGTAGTCTGAGGCTGGGCACAGAAATGTTCTAGCTCTGGGACGAGCTCTGGGATTGCTGGAGGGATGGGACCAAATGAAGCGAAGTTGAAGTTCGCCAGGGAACCACCAAACAGAGTGGGGTCCGAGAAAAGCTGGAAGTCCTCATTGGTCATCGGCATGAGCGGCTCCGGGAAATTGTCAGTCGTCACGAGTGGGGTGTTGTAACAGTCGACTTCCTGAATAGAGAAAGGTGTCGTTGGTCCCGGCGTTGGGAGACTCGGGGTCGATGGAGTGGTGCGAGTGGAGGCGGGAGTCATTCGGGTCGATGCTGGGATAGATTCAGTGGGGGAGCCCCGACTGCTGCTACCTCCCTTGCTGTTGTTCTTCGATCGCACATAAGCCCAGCCATGGGTCTTCTCCATGTGTTGTTTGCAGTTACTTTCGCGCTTAGACTGATAGGGGCATGGAGCATAGAGGCACTTGTACATGGTGGGAGAACGGGAATGCTTGTCATTGATATGGCGGTCTCTCTCTTTCTCAGTGGGCCAGCCAACCTCATAGTATCTGCATGAGGGCTCTGTGCACTTCCAGGGGCGGCTGTGTGTCTTCTCATGCTTCCTGTAGAAGGGTCAGCCTGGCGAACTGGAGCAGGGAGAACCAGGGTGATAGCATGCAGATGTCGAGAGGAGTACTCACGTCAGATCGCAAGGGCGACGGAAGACCTTGTCACAGTGGCTGCACTTTGCGTTGATATTCATTGGGGGAGCGTCTTTCCTTCGACGGGCCATCGAACGCTCGACGCCCTCATTGAGCATGTTGGGGCTCATGGGGCGCTTGAATGACCCGCAGGGCTGTGTGTTGACAGTTTCAGTCTGCCTTGTGGTGTCTGTGGTCTTCCATAGTTCGAACATGATGGATGAGATGAGGAGCAGGGCGTATAGAGCGAGTTCGCTGAAGCTGGAGATGAGAGGGTGGGAGGTTAGGGAGCTCATGGCTGTGAGCTCCGGCAGGCCTTTGTAGTGATGCATGTTATGTAATCGGTACTAGACCTGATCGGACGGCGAGGATGAAGCTGGCGAGCAGCAGATGCAGGCATGTAGGAGCGAGGAATCTGGGATGGTTTGGTAGGACCATGGGAAGGGCCGCGATGAAGGACGGGCGGCCCGTCGAGAGCGTTTAATAAATAGCGGAATGTGTCTGCCTGCTAGTTTACGTCAGCAGAACCGTTGAGCCGCGCTATTCTTAGCAGACGCCGTTGCTTGACAGCTCGCTCTCTCATGACGCTTTCTGGTTCTCTGCCAATATTTCCCCAGCTTCCCCTGGTACGGACCATTTCTCATCGATCCCTCCCCAGTGAAACTCGCTTTAGACTTTGGCTGATCCTCATGTGCACGCACTCCCGTCCAGTACGGACTGCGGAGTACGTCCGACGAGCACCCTCCAGGACGTGGAAATATCACCCGTTACAGGGACCAGACTACGAAATGCCAATTTTTTTACCTACAACGTGGTTCTCATTTCTCTAATAGGATATATACAACAGCAGGGTGCCCATTAAAGTTCTCATCTTGAACTCTGATCTACTAGATACCCAATTCTTTGAGCAGGGCCCTCTGCCAACCATCCAAGAATTGCACGACCAAGTCCTCATAAAATGCCTCATTCCAGTCCATCCATAGATACAGAGGAGGCGATTGGTCACCTCTACATTTGTTTACCAGTCTTTGGCCCTTTTGCATTGATAACCCCCATTGAGCTAAGCTCGGGATGAGCCGGCGCATGCAGAGGATCTTACGGAGCTGCTCCAAGCAGTCCAAGTACTTTGTCCACACGTTCCGCCTGGAAGTGGGAGATTTTACGCGCCTGTAGCCCTCAGCCAACGCTGTAGCGATGGAATCAAAACCGCTGTTGGCGACGCTAGCAGGACAAGTGTTCAAAATGTCCTATTTTGTATGAGTATCTATCACGCTGCTCGGTGGTGGATTACGTTATCTCCGGGGTAACCTCGGACGGCACAGAAGCTGCCTGATCCAGAGTCCGGGAAGACGTTTTGGCCTCAGCGGAGCTTCCAATCGGTTCAAGATAAACATTTCCTCGGCCCATCCATCGAGCTCTGTCAGTGACGGACAATATAAATGAGCCCTGAATCGCTCTTATCCACCACCACAGCCATCTGCGGATATTCTTGTCTTCGAGCCTTCCATGATTGTGAGCAATCTGGTTCTCGTGTTCCTCGCAGTGAATGACTGCGGCCATGCTGCAGACGGATAGCGGACACCGTACGTCTACCCGTTTGATTCTCGGCTGTTTGCTGCTCATCGCGGCCATTTTAGTTGAGGGCTGGGTGGCCGAGCAACCGCTACACTACTCCCGCTCAGTCTCTTCAGGGTGCTGCAGATGGCGCCGCTCGCGTTCTACGGTATCTTCGGCATCTGGCTTCTATACGCCGTGGAATACATGCAGAACATCAAGGGTGGTCCCGCTGCTGACCCTGGACTATTTCGTCCCCTTTGCGTTGGGGCGGCGTCATATTTAGCGCGGTAGATGGCATGTTCCTTCATGCCATCTTGGGCACTGTCCTGTTAGTGGCGTCCGGGATAGGCTGGCTGATGGCGCCATTGCTCTTTGCCATCATGCCATTACCTCAACAGACGGTCCATGAGATCTCACATATGTCTTCCTAACTTTTCAATTGTCAAATCCAGGTTGTTATTGCATTCCTGCAGACCCTCGTCGGCGACTCTCTCTGGGAATCTAACAGGACTAACCGTTCCAGAAGAGCTGTGAAGACCCTCAGGAGCAAGTTGGATCTTTAACATGTTCAGATAACTGCGCGCAGATTTGAAGGCACCTCTCAGTGTTTAGTCGCTTACGGCAGGCGATAGCGGTCAAATTCAATAACTAAATTTGATGACTGACACCTCTCACCGCAACTAGGTCCTCCTACTAGTGGTCCTGATTCGGTCATGAAAGGCGTATTGAGGATTTTCAAATCGATAAAATTATGGTCTAATACAGACGTGCCTTCAGTGGAGATATTCGGATGGAGCACTTCAACAATGATGGTAATACCATGCCATTATACGGTCCCGTTCAACGTTAGTAGGCCATGACGGGAGTGGTGGTAATAACTTAAATGAGTGTATTGAGTAGTTGCTTGAGCTCTAGAGCTCAGGGGTGCAGCTAGCTAACCAAGTGTTGGAGGATATGCTTGTCTATTGAAATGCTAGGGGTCTGAGATGACAGAATAGGTGGTGCGGAAGAGGTGAGGGCGGTCTAGTAGAGCCGGTTCCGGCACTAGCTTTCAAGGCTTTCATGAAACACATGCCATTAGCCGCTGAGATTGGCGGCAAGGAATGGAGAAAAAGCATGTCTATGCTGGTGGTAAGTGGGCGCACTGGGCGCTTATCAACAGGCTCTCATGTCCGTATGTAGACCACCTAATTCACATGAAACACCGTTTTCCCGTTTTCTAAAAAGACCACGCATTGAAAGGGTACCCTCACAAATTCTTTTCAAGTTATATAGGGTTTTGGTTTTGAGAAGGACTAATTTTAGTTGAACGCGATTGCTTAGTAGGCAGTCGGGAAAATATATTTATGGCATTTCCCAGGAGGGTTTGCATAATGCTCCGGTAGTCAATGCAAACGATATTGCAAACAGTTGACTAGTCGCTTCATTATACTTTTCGTCTCCTAGTAGCTGTAGTAGAAGTTCGAAGTAAGGCTGACTACCATGCCTTAAAATGGTAGCTGTTTCAAAATAAGCCGGGTACATTCCCGCAAAAGCCCAGTCGATCAACCAAACTTTCCCATGACAGTCAAGCATAATATTGCGCGGATGCAGATCCATATGACACATAGCCAGGCTGCGAAATTCCCCACGGAACTCCCGTTGCGCCTGGTCCACAATGCCGAACTCACGACAGACAGCAAGTCTCTCATCAAACCAGGCTTCCATTTCGCTCTTCGAAGAAAAAGGCCCAGCACCATAGTCAGTAAAGAAGGCACCTTGGCTGACACCGCCTCCAACTGGCCCAGGATAATCGCTTTCAGTCTGGCGTAGCTCACATATAAAGCGATACAGTTGTTTTTGAACATCTTCCTGACGGGTAGTGGGTAAATCATGCCAGACTTCGTCGAGCAACCAGCCGTCTATGTAACCATAACGATGAAACAGATATCAGTGTCATCATCGACGTGTTTCGTTTCATTTTCTGACCATGCATCGAAAATCCGAGGAAGCCGGATCATAGTATGGTGAGCCACAAATTCCATATTCCTAGCTTCCGAAATCTTCACCTCGCATCCATACTTGACGACGGCGTTTTCAGCGATTCGAACGATCTTAACCCCGCCTTTGTCCCATATTGTTGGCGCGGAATCCAAGACACCAACTATTTGATTCCTATCGACAGTCTTCAATTCCTCTTCACTGAATGCATACGGACCATGGGTTTTCATCGGCCGCCGAAGACCTGGCAGCTCAATTGAGGGCGATGAAGAGGTCAGGCCAGCTTCTGTGATTTAGCCACCAGACTGCAACTTTAGATACATTTATTTATGATATACTGACCCTTATGGTCTTGACAAGCGCTTGACAAGACTTCGAGAGACATAGCTTCGTACTGAAACTGCTCGTCAAAAGAAGAAGCAGAAAAGACCTAGGCACTTCATTCAGAATGGTGGCAGCTTGTCAGCTGCCGTAGGATTGTAAAAGGCTCAAGAAGAGGTACAGAAGCACTAGGGAGGTCTCACAGGCCCCTCAACATGTAGTGAGTGCCATGAAATAGATCATAATCCGCTGAATACCGTAAGAAATTATCTCATAGCTTCATTTATATTTATATAGAAACAAGTGTTGAATTTTAATGTTTGAAAGAGGTACCCTGACCGTATCCTGCCCTGTCTTGGTGTTGAGCGCCGCTAAACCTAACTAGGAAGGACATGACTAGGAGAACCATTACTTCCAGCATCGGCAATGCATCTCGGCAGTCTGAGTATTATGTTCTTTTCCGGCGGGGAAGGACATCGGGGTTCCTGGACGGCTTGATCTTTAATTATAATCGTAGACTTTTTCTGAAATGCACCAGTAGAGATTCTGGTATTCCTTTCGGCAGTAGTCCTCTTGGTTACGTCTGTTCGTTGTTTTCAAGTTGCGCGATAGTCCTCGCAGGGCTCTTCCTACATCGAGTTCACTTCACATTTCTGCATCTAGAACTGAACCTGCGCATAAACATCTCCTACCCAACTCAAAATGGCCCGTCCTGGTCTCCTCTACGTCACCATGCAACCCCGGCCGGATCTCCCCGCGGCCCAGTTCCATGACTGGTACAACAACGAGCATGGCCCTCTCCGTCTGCGTCTGTCCTACGTTACCAATGGGTTCCGCTACCGCGCAATTGATCTCAATGGTCCCAAGAGCACCCAGGGACAGGATCTTCCTGAGTGGCTGGCTCTCTACGATCTCACAGACATCGACCAACTCACGCGCGATCCGGCCTACTTGTCCATGCGTACTGACGAGGTCAAAACACAGCGTGAAAAGGATACCATGGCCCAGATCACCGTCGATCGCGGCATTTACCAGCTTGATAACGAGAGACGATCAGATGCATTCGTCCCGCTGGAAGAACAGAGCGATGCCACTTCAGCGGGGAAAGTACTCGTCTCTATCTCCATCAGAGCGGACCAGAGCCGGAAGACGGATCTGGAGAACTGGTATGAACAGGAACATGCTCCTCTGCTCTCCAAAGTATCTGGATGGCATCGGACGCGTCTATTCAGCACTGTGGCTATGGGCTCCGACGCGGGCCCCGTTGTATTCCTCATCCTGCATGAGTTCACGGCCGCTGACGGCTTGAATTCTGCAGAGTATCAGAATGCCATGAACATCTCTTGGTCCAAGAGGACCACGGCCAGCAGCGATATCGCCAAAAGCCACGTCCATCGCACGTACGAATGGTACTATACCTTCGGTCCTGCACCGAGGGAGCTCGCATCCCTGACAGCTCCGTCAGGTACGACGCTTAAATTCTGGTCTTCGAATGATGGGTTAACCAAGACTTCCTCGCATCCTACTCGTCCGGTCATTAAGTCTTTCGTCACCACCCCAGATAGCGTAGAGATCCCCTATCGTCTCGAGGGATCCGGAGACCCCTCAGCTCCATTGATCGTTCTGAGCAACTGCATTCTCGTCGACTGGACTATCTGGGATGACTTTGTGGATGAATTCCTGTCCGTGAACCCTAACTTCCGCATCCTTCGCTACCTCACCCGCGGCCGCCAGCGGCAATGTGGCAATCAACCCATCACCATCGACCTGCTCGCATCAGACATAATCAGCCTCCTTGATGCTCTGCGAGTCCCGAAAACAGCACTACTAATCGGCGTCAGCCTGGGCGGGGTGACGGTCCTCAACACCTCACTTTTGCACCCGTCTCGCGTCTCGGCGTTTGTCGCATGCGACACTAACTCCTCCGCCCCGGAATCGAACAGGAAAGCTTGGAACGACCGTATTGCATTGGCGGAAAAGGAGAGAGCCGTATCTGCCACGTCAGAACCCATCGTAGGCTCCCAGCTAGCCGAAGTGACTACCCGTCGCTGGCTGGTGCCGGAGCATTACACAAACAATCCGACTCTGGCAACTAAGATCGAGAAAATAGTCGCCGCGAACAGTTTGGATGGCTTCCGGAGAGGTGCGCAGGCTCTGTGTGCGTATGATGTACGTGAACGCATGGCATCAGCGACTGTACCCGGCTTGTTCGTTGTGGGTGCCAATGATGGGATCCTGCCGCAGACTATGAAGCAGATGGCGGCCGATTTGGCTGGAGGAGCGCAGGTAAAGGTCATCGGGGATGCGGGCCATCTGCCTATGGTTGAACAGCCGGAGGCATTCACGGGGGTCATCAATGAATTTGTTCGTGGGCTTGGGGTGTAGTAGCTTGATATTTATCAACTGTGCATATTATTGATTAGATAGAAAAAAACTGTAAAATGGCGTGATACTCTCTTATTGCATTGGAGTTCCTGTGGAGTTTTGCATATTCGGCCCTTCTTCAATCATCCATCAACTGACATTGATGAAGACCGTGAGAAGCCAGGAATCAACGATGCCTGACTCTAAATTCACAAGCCTGTCCCGATACTGCTTTTTTCGACCGAGAATTAAGCATGAGCCTAGTCTTCATCCCTCGAAACCCGATAGCTGCTCACTTTATAGCGGATTGAGTGATCGTCTCGTCTTCTTCATTCTATTGCAGCCGCTTGTTGAACCTCAATCGAACTATGAAACTGAAACATCCCTTTCTACTTTCCCCATTATCTCGAATCAATCATGAGGCCGACCGACATCGTAGGCAGATAGCAATATGCGTCGTCGATGGCGGATGATTTCAACATAATGACGTATCTCAAGGGACCAGAATATCAGCCACTGAAGTTCATTCGAGAGGATACATGAGGATAATGCACAACATAGCGAGAGCAAAGACAAGGTCAATGAGATATACTATTAGTCGGCTCCATGATCGCCAGTAGACGCATCTCTCCTGCTCGGACGATCTCCAAGTCCACTTTGAAGAGGACGTTGGCCATCTATTGTCAGGGTTCGTTGGGGGCGATGCTGTACGTCGTGTCTATCATTATTGACCTTTTCAGGGAATGCCTGTTCGCCTGAAGGAGTGTTCAGATACAGTAATGGCCGTTTCCTTGTTAACGAGGAGTATGAGCTCGCGAAACGATACGCGCGTTTCGACATCGATGCGCTGTGCAAGGTCGTCTCGTCGCTTCCTAGTGTTGGCTCACCGATTATCAAGATCGACAAAAAGGAGGGCGGATACAATAAGGCCTTGCTGATGAAAGCAGAGAATGGAATAACGGTCTCGGAAAGGTTCCATGTTTGAATATCGTGCCTCCGCTGTATGCAACTGCGTCGGAAGTTGCGGTTCTCAAGTTTGGTGTCTTTGCCTTCCCCCCCGACAAGTCCTGTTTCTCGGCTTGATCAAGTATACTAATGCTGGTTTTATTTTGCTTGGATAGTGAAGGCACGGTCATCTACCCCTGTTTCCAATGTATTGGCTTGGAGCGCCACTTCATCTAACCCCGTTCAGTCAGAGTACATCGTGCTGGACAAATCGACCGGACGACAACTGCCTGGCGTGTGGAATAATCTAAACAAGGTGGATAGATTTAAACTTGTTGGAAACTTTGCTCGCCTGGAAAGTAAGCTTGCCTCGATTAGGTTTCCGGCGTACGGGGCTCTTTATCTGCGTGAGCATCTACCCCCTCGTCTTAAACAACCAGGACGGACCATCGACGTCGACGACACGTACTGTCTTGGCCCTGTGTATCATGGTTCCTGGCCAGGCGGATACGCTGCCAATCCGGAGGAATATGAACGGTTTGCCGGTCCATGTGAGCTCTTCTTGGTTTTCCCTCCATCGATAGTCTCGTGAAGAAAAGTGGTGATGTCTAACCCTTTTGTATAGGGAGGACACTCTTTGATCTTGGCCACGACGCCGCACGACAAGGCATTTGGCAAATAGAAAACCATAAGTCGTCGCATTCAGGTCGTGGACCTCATTTTGGCGACCCAGAGGAGCACGTCCGACTCCTGAAAACAGCCATCGACTTGATTCGCATCCTATGCGGCTCTCCCATGCTTCAAAAGCACTCCAATCCAGCATTGTCCCACCCGGACTTTCATCCGGGGAATATCTTCGTTTCTGACGATGACCCGACTAGAATCTCCGGTGTGATTGATTGGCAGTTCACCACCGTCATGCCGCGTTTCACCCAGGTCCGTTGGCCAGTCTTCCTCAACACCCCCGAGGGATACCAAACGAATAGGGAAACGCCCGAGCTGCCCCTGACTTACGAGGAAGAGGATGAACTGGACAAAAAGCGCAAGTGTGACGATGAAGAGAAACTTGGCCAATACGCGATGACCAAATGCTACGAATCCGCCCTCCTGAAAAGTCATCTGGAGTCCTACCTTGCCCTGACCGAGATCGATGTCGCAGTGCGCCAGCTCTTCATCTCCTGCGCATATACCTATCGCGACGGCATCATCCCGTTACGAGACTGTCTTGTCAAGATCTTCCAGAACTGGTCCAAGTTCGACGTAAGTGCAGACTGTCCGTACCATTTCTCTCGCGATGAAATTGCCCAGCACGAGAGACAGTTCAAGGACTATGGGGTTTGGCTTCAAATGCGCAAACATACGCATGAGCTGCTGGGTTCAAATGATAGCGGGTGGGTTCCTCCCCGTGTTAACTTTGAGGAGGCCCAGAAGAAACATGAACAGCTATATGAGAATTTTATCAAAGCCAAGACAAAACATATGTCTGAAAGGGAGGCAGGGAAGCTCTGGTTCTTCCGAGAGAGGGGGTAGAATAGGCTGGTTCTACTGAGAGTGGGCAATTGTACAGCTTTATGGTGGTTTAGCCAAGATCAAGTGTATTCCCTAGCTAGTCGCATGGAGATTATATTGATTTAACCTTCAAATATTATTCTTAATTTGGCCGGTTTTAAACAAAAGCCGAGGCAACGGTGAGGGTGGATTCTATGAGTGGGCAATCACGCCTGAGGCATCAGCATGGCCAAGTTGACACGTGATGTCTCAATATGGAAGATGTTGACGGTCTATAGGCGCAGTGCAGGCTGGAGGAAATGCCATGGCATTCCCCTTTTGGCCGACTCGCCAACAAAAGACAGCTCTCAGTAGAGCGGCCTAATGTGGTTGCCCCGAAGCTGAAGTTATCGTGAAGACTTCTCTTCGCGAGAATGTTGAAGGTGTCTATTGTTGGTGGTTCCCATGGTTCAGCTCCTTCCTAGTTAGGCATAGCGCTTTTTATATAGACCTCCCTAGCTAGGACAACCAGCTCATCGAGTTCGACACCATCAACATCTATCTGCAGAAACGGCTTAAACAGAGTTAGTGACTGCCTCGACGTTTGAAATTGAGGTCCCACGGTTTAGCACAGGACAAGTGATGTAGTGTCCGTAACAAGCCTGAAAAACTCAAGTTTCGCAGTTCGATCTCTTCTAGTCGCCCGATGTCTGAATGCTCTTCGCAGGGCTCCGTACCCTGAAACATCGGTTGCATCGTTATGCTGAGTTGGAAATAAATCACGTATTTCGTCAAAGCAGACCAAACACTCGAGTATCCCTTCCCTGGTCTGGCGTCTCATTCTGGCCGGCAAAAATTTCTCTGTGGGCTTCCTTGAGCCTCTTAAAAGCAAGCTTAAAATGACGCACGATTCCTTCACTATGCCCTGGGAGGTGTGTATCGACGTAGGTCCCGTAGTTGAATATGACGCTTTGTTCGGGGGCGTCGCCCTCGGACCTCATCCTCTCGTGGTCTCTAACACCCGGGATTGAGGCCGCTTTACCACTATCCCAGTCACATAGGATGTCCATCTCAGTTTTGATATGTTTGAAGCTGATAAAATATCTGTCTCCATGGGGCACCGGCACTACCTTGGGCTGGGGGAGCCTGGGTGTCTTCACTGCTGGTTGTAGTTGATGGATCTTCTTCTGAGGCTTTGACGAGCTTAAAGAACAAGTATACCATCTCATCAATATCCCTGGTAGCCCAGACGTCGGAATGAGAGTGCCAACGTATTCCAAAGGCCATCTCCGCTTGTCTGAAAAGGATTTGGGTATGGATCAGATAAGCCCATGCCTCAAGCTTGGGATATGTTACTATTTTAAATTCACTTTTGTCTTTCTCATAACACCGTGACAAATAACCAGCTGTCGCAGGCGGTACTCTTCCAAGCTCAAGAACTTCCTCCATTGTTTTGCAGTGGTGCCACTTTGGTTTGAATGCTTATATCTCATTTCCGGTCAAGAACCATGGCTTATGTCCATCTGGGTTGCCTTGTCAAGCTGCGTTGTCGTGGGTGTCTGCCTGAAAATTTTCGCAGGAGTGTCTGGAACTTCCGGACTAACGTGGTAATACAGGCGGGCTCTTCTATTTTGGGGCTGCTGCGGGCCTGTGCTTATTAGAGCTATCAGAGGGTAGTTAGTACTAGCTCGAATGAGCTGACTGCGTAGACTCGCCTTTCTCTCCTGCTCGTTCTTCCTTCATTTTGATCTCCATGGAAGATAACACTGTAGGACTTGGCAGCGATTAGAGGATTGTAGGTTACAAGCTGGCTGCTGGATGGATGTTTTAAAGACAATGAATGTACTTGGACTCAACGTAAGGGGGTCATCACGTGGTCCTGCACGGACAGTGCATTGTTCCCGTCTTTACAATATTTGATAAGGATATATATTAACTAGTATCCATCACAACTGGGGTCGTGGTCATGCTATGCGGGGGGATGGCTGTACCTGGTGGCAACGGTTGAGACATGGACATAATATCCCACGTGAGTTGCCAGGCCGGGAAATGCCAGGACTGACAAAGTTGTAGTAATTAACTATCTCGACTTTCCCTGCTGCTATGGGCTGATCTGAGCTTCCGGAGAACGACAGCAGACACAGCGCACCCCACATGCGTCATCGACTCCCGACTAGTTTCTGATAATAAGACATCTGCATTGCTTTCTCCGGGAACCCGGCAAGTCGTTGGGAAATAATTCACAACCCATGCTCCGGGGCGCGGCAGGAGGTGCAGCGATTCCCGATCCCTCCGAAGACATCTGTTTGTCTTCTGGAGCGCAGCAGCTACCAATCATGCATGATGCTACATCCAGTCGATTGTGCAAGGCCGCTGGAGGATCGCGATCAACACTGAGACGAGTCATGTAAACGGAACAATGGCCACTTTATGCATGGCTTGTGCATGGACAGAGCAAGGTCTCAAGACGTACCCGCCGGCACAGCTTCTAAATCTAGACCGGTAGCAGCGCGTTCCTTCGCCACCAGATGGTAGTGATGGCTTCTCTGCGGCACTCCATCTGCGCTCAGATGGTCTGATCCAGCTGCAATCAACCATCCTGCCACTATCATGGATGATAATATGTGGCATTTAAATACTGTCTTCCATGGTTTAAACTTTCGCGCGCAGCAGTACAAGAGGCCCAATCGCCCTCCTGCCTTGTCTCACTCCCCCTGCTTCCTTGTCCAACCCCACCACTGCTCCCCTCTCTTCCTGCCTCCTCGCTCCCTGGTTCCAGTCGCTTTTCTTTTGCGTCGGAGAGCCAGAGCTTGCTTGCAGCTTACACTCTCTGCCATATATATCTATCCTCCCGTGGTTAAACATCGTTTCGTTTGTCCCATCCAGCGTCAAACTAGCCACCTGTTTCTCCTCGAGATCCTCGTATTCGACCGAGTACATCGTACATTTCGACCATGTCGGACGACCGCCGTGAAAGGAGACCGTCCGTTGGAGCTCCCATTTCGGACCTGCAGGGTCCCATTGGACAGGGTTTCAGTCGTCCTAAGCATAAACGTACCTACACAGGTTTGGGCCCCGCGGAGATTAAAAGTGTCGAGGCCAGCATCCCAGAGCCTCTGAGAGAGGCGTAAGTGCTTCCATACCACTTGCCAATGCCATTGATTCGGCACTCAGGGAGATGCTGACCATTGATTGTGCATGGAAACACAGTTGGCGGAAATATGTACGCTGCATCCATCTGAAGCCCCGATCTCTCAGCTTTCCGCGCGTTGCTGATCAATCATAGTCTGCCGTTGGGTTTACAAATAAAGAGGAATTTGAGGTATGGACATGCAAGGCCCCTTGTTCGGGTTACGTCTACTTGCCCTAACCGGTGCGCATAGAAAGAGCTAGTCCGTCATGTTGAGACCACCCTGGCACGGTCTCTTTATAACTGTGATGACTTGTACGTTTATGTTTTCACTCTTCACCTCTTCCAATGCTTTTATACAGTCTTAATGCAATGGCTAACTGGCACAATCCATGATCTAGCTCGGCTTATGGAGGAACCGCTCTTGCGTTCAGAGACCGTCTCATCATCGACTGGAACAAGACCCAGCAGCGTCAGACCTTCGCTGACCAAAAGAGAGTTTACTGTATGAAAATGCGTCTTTGATCTAACCCTGCCTGGACACTGAACTAATTGGTATGGCACAATACCTTTTTAGATCTCTCTCTGGAGTTTCTTATGGGTAGAGCACTGGACAATGCGATGCTGAATGTTGGAATGAAGGATGTTGCACGAGGTATGCCTACGTTTCTAAGACAGACGGATGATAGTAGCACTGATCCTTCTTATATCAGACGGTTTGAAGGACCTTGGCTTCTGTGTCGAGGATGTCATCGACCAAGAGCATGATGCTGCTCTTGGAAATGGAGGCTTAGGACGACTGGCAGCCTGCTTCCTCGACAGTTTGGCCACGTTGAACTACCCCGCATGGGGATATGGACTGCGGTACCGATATGGGATTTTCAAACAGGAAATTGTGAATGGCTACCAGGTGGAGGTTCCTGACTACTGGCTGGATTTCAATCCCTGGGAGTTCCCTCGGCATGACGTCACCGTCGATGTCCAGTTCTACGGCTGGGTCAGAAAGTATCAGGATGAGAATGGCAAGACGTGCTATTCCTGGCAAGACGGTGAACTCGTCCAGGCTGTTGCTTACGATGTGCCCATTCCGGGCTATGGAACCAAAAGCACCAACAACCTTCGGCTCTGGTCTAGCAAGGCTGCCAGTGGCGAGTTTGACTTCCAGAAGTTCAATGCTGGCGAGTACGAAAGCGCCGTGGCTGATCAGCAGCGTGCTGATACCATCTCTGCCGTGCTTTATCCCAACGATAATCTTGACAGAGGCAAAGAGCTCCGTTTGAAACAGCAGTACTTCTGGTGTGCTGCGTCGTTGTACGACATCGTTCGTAGGTTCAAGAAGACAAAACACTCGTGGAAGGACTTTCCGGATCAGGTTGCAATTCAGCTCAATGACACACATCCAACGCTGGCTATTGTGGAACTACAGCGCATCCTGATTGACCAGGAGGGTCTCGAGTGGGACGAAGCGTGGAACATTGTAACTCACACTTTTGGATACACCAACCATACCGTCTTGCCAGAGGCACTGGAAAAGTGGTCCGTCCCTCTGTTCCAGAACCTCCTGCCTCGGCATCTTCAAATTATCTACGATATCAACCTCTTCTTCTTGCAGTCTGTGGAGAAGAAGTTCCCCAATGACCGGGATCTCCTCACCCGGGTCTCCATCATCGAAGAGTCGCACCCCAAGATGGTCCGAATGGCATACCTGGCGATCATCGGCTCCCACAAAGTGAACGGCGTCGCTGAATTGCATTCGGACCTTCTCAGAACTACTCTTTTCAAAGACTTTGTTACAGTGTATGGTGCGGACAAGTTCATGAACGTTACGAATGGAGTCACTCCCCGACGGTGGCTTCACCAAGCCAACCCGCGCTTGTCAGACCTGATTGCTTCCAGGCTGGGCGGCTATCATTGGCTGACGGACCTGACCCTCTTGGAGAAACTTGAGTCATTCGTTGAGGATAAGGCATTCAGGGACGAATGGGCTGAAGTCAAGACGGCAAACAAACTCCGTCTGGCCAAGCATATAAAGAATACTACCGGCTACAGCGTCAACCCTAAGGCCCTGTTTGATATCCAGGTGAAGCGGATACATGAGTACAAGCGTCAACAGCTGAACATCTTTGGAGTCATCCATCGATATCTAACAATCAAGTCCTTGAGCCCGGAAGAGCGCAAGAAACTTGTGCCCCGCGTGTCCATCATCGGTGGAAAGGCCGCACCGGGTTACTGGATGGCCAAGTCCATCATACACCTCATCAACAGCGTTGCAAGTGTCGTGAACAAAGATGAGGAAGTGGGTGATCTGCTTAAGGTTATCTTCGTCGAAGACTACAACGTTAGCAAAGCCGAGTTGATCTGTCCGGCGTCGGACATCAGTGAACACATATCAACCGCCGGTACAGAGGGCAGCGGTACGAGTAATATGAAATTCGTCCTGAACGGAGGCTTGATTATAGGAACATGCGATGGTGCTAATGTATGCCCTCTCCTCACCCCTGATTATTTTCTGTTCCCAGGCCACATTTGGAATACTGACTCCAAAAAAAAGATCGAAATAACCCGCGAAATCGGCGAACAAAACATCTTCCTCTTCGGTAACCTTGCCGAAGACGTCGAAGACCTCCGGCATCGTCATTTCTACGGAGGCTTCAAACTCGACCCGGATCTAGCTAAAGTCTTTGACACCATCCGCAGCGGTGTCTTTGGTGACCCGAGTGAATTCAACGCGCTGATATCCTCCATTACCGAGCACGGAGACTACTATCTTGTCTCGGACGATTTCCACTCCTACATCACCACTCATAGCATTGTGGATGAAGCCTTCCAAAACAAGGATGAGTGGATCGTGAAGTCGATCACAAGTGTCGCACGCATGGGATTCTTCTCTACCGACCGCGTCATCAATGAGTATGCTGAGAGTATCTGGAATGCTGAGCCGTTGGTCGTGAAGGACTAGATGGGGTAGATGGTTCTCTTTATTGTTGTTTCTAGATATTCATGGTCATCAGGTCACTAGCATACGGAGTATGCTTTACATGCAACTGTTCAAGCCTTCAAACCTCGAGGGTGATGGAAGAAAGTTCTCTTACAGCGTATGAAAGCGCATAAAGTTGGAGCATAATCTTAGTCAGCAAGGAACGAAAATAAGATGCTGGGCTAGCCGTATATGGCCTAGTGCAGTGCGGGGATATGGTGCGCAGGCGGGAAGATGCCTGTTCCGGATTATCGCCTATCCTCGGCTCATCGGAGTCTTTTTCAGTCTTCGTTCTCCCTTCTCCTCTTTTCCTCCTCCATCCACCCCAATCCTCCTCTGCCGCCATGTCTCGCTCACTGGGTACACTCCTGAGGCCCTCTCTTCCAGGGAGGGCTGTGTCCTCCCCCTCTGCTCAATTGCGCAAACGCAGCCTAGCTAGTACCAGCTCCAAGCCCAGTTTCCATCCCAACATCAACACCAGAATCGGCTCCCAGACTCCCCAACACGCACCAGCTGTCTCCATCCAATACCCTTCCCAGGGAAGACACTTCTCCTTTTACCACTTCCGTCCCCAAGCAAGCTCCGAACCCATACAAGAACCAGTACCCGGGGTGCAGGTATTTCCGACCTACCTCACCGTGGATGTCGACGGGAAGGTGTCCTTCGATTTCGCCCACTTGCGGGATGCCTGCAAATGTCCTACCTGCGTCGATCAGTATTCCAAGCAGCGCAACTTCCGAACTAGCGATATCCCGCTCTCCATCCAACCACGGAATATCAAATGGGATGGGGAGCAGCTCGAGATCCAGTGGTCCGACGACATCCCCGGGTACGATGAGTCCCACGTCTCGATATATGACCGGAAATTTTTGAAATACCCTGTTGCATATGCCTTGGATGATACCAGCCCGCGGCGGTACCGGTATCTCTGGGACGGCCCCAAGATGCAGAAACTTCAGCACTGGATCTCGTACGAGGACTATATGAAGGATGACGCCAAGTTCGCGGCAGCCATGAAGGATCTGTCTGTTCTAGGTCTCATTTTCATCAAGGACATTCCAGACTCGCGCGAAGAGCTCGAGAAGATTACCGAGCGCATCGGCCCGCTCCGGAATACCTTCTACGGGCGGACATGGGACGTCCGGTCAGTACCCAAGGCTAGAAACGTGGCCTACACCAACGTCTTTCTGGGCTTCCATATGGACCTGATGTACATGAACGAGCCGCCATGTTTCCAGCTGCTCCATTGTCTGCAAAACTCCTGCGAGGGCGGAGAATCCATGTTTGCCGACTCATTCCTCACTGCATCTCGCCTCCGCCAACTGCGACCGGAATATTTCAAAATCCTGGAACGGTTCCCTGTGCACTACGAGTATGTTCACAAGGACCAGGTCTACCATCATGTCCGGCCTGTCATTGAAAGCCGTCGTAGCCCAGACGGCCATTCCCATATCCACCGCGTCAATTACTCTCCTCCCTTCCAAGGTCCGTTGCCTCGCACTACCAAGGCGGCATCCTTCGGAAGTAACTACAAAGGATTCCGGGAAGCATTAAACTTCTTCACGAAACTGCTCGAGGAGGAAAGCTACAGTTTCGAACTCAAGCTGGAGCCGGGCCAGTGCGTGATTTTTGAGAACAGACGCACTCTCCATGCTAGACGGCAGTTCAATACCGAGTCTGGGCATCGGTGGCTAGCAGGAAGTTATCTGGACGAGGATGTGGTGCTGTCGCAGTACAGGGTTTTGAAACGGACCCATCCTGAGATTTGGAGCCAGAAGGTCTTCGACCGTTCTTGAAGAGACTCCTCAAATTCCTCCTATAATGGAGCTGTAGTTTGAGAAAGATTCCAAGAGGATAAGCTCCTTCTTTGATTGATATGACTGCTTTGAAGGACCGACATAGCCAACCGGGTGCGGACTAGCCTAGGATCCATGACGGTTTCCTTGCATGTAGGTAGGTACCTGGGAGATTTTGTAAATATGCATTTGCAGGGGTGTAACTGCAGCGCGAACATATATAAAATAAAATTACTTGATATCTTTTCCTACCAGACAGGTTGATCAGTGTCTGGGCCCTGGTGAATAGCAGGGCAAATTTGTATTCAAGTGCGGAGGTAACCATCCGCACGGGAATATCTCGGCTACACGCCTGAATTAGCTGCAGCCCGGGAGCTCGCATTTCCCTGAAACACTGCTCCGTGTTGTTCGTGTTTGTCTCTGGGTTTCCGAAGGCGGGTTTGAAATTTTTCGAGATCCACGGAGCTATGACAGCGCCGATCCACGATGACTACCTAGTTAACTAGTTATCATCGTTCGCGGGCGCCTGAAAATGCAGGCATAAAGGCCGTGTCCCGGCGGGTGGATGAGTCAGCTCGCCACTTTTTTTGTCTGTGCATTTCATCTCCGATTATTGTTGGCTGCTGGCTCGCACCATGATAGAATGGAGACTCGGGTGTTGCTACTGCTATTGGCTGGGTGCTTGTATATCCCTGACAGGGGCTGAAGCAAAGACGTTTCCATGGAAAGAAAAAGGGGGAGGGGCGTCGAGGAACCATAGTTGCCGTATATATTAGCTGCGTAGTACATAATTCCCACCCCCGTCGGCTCCGATGCAGATCCAATCTGCTAAGTACTGAATAGCGATTCAATGCGTCTGTAGTCACAGACCTCTCCCCATTTCCCTGTAGATTAGGTATAGTACGTAGATAGTAGCATCTGGCGGTGGGAGAGGAGAAACAGGCGACGGAAACTTCACGAGATCGACAGGGCCAGACCTGCCGCTAAACCTGTTCGGGGTGGCGCTATTGACAGCGGGTGAAGGAGCCGCCGATAGAGGGAAACGCGCGCCCGAATTATTATTTCCCTTCATCTCGCTCTCGCTCTCGCTCTCCCTCTCGCTCTCCCTTTTAATAATATCTGTCTACATGCTCCCTGCGGTGGAATTAGTCCCCTATCTATCTCTCTTCCTTCCCATCGATTCCTCGCTGTTCTTGCTGGGATGATCCGTCTGTGTCTCTAGGGATGTCCCTTGACCAACCGCAGAACGTATAAGATTCACCCACAACATAAAATACCAATTCGCCATGGAAAACACAGAATCGACAGCCCCGCGTGGCCCTGGCCGTGTCCAATCCGGCGTCTCCCATCTCACTGACTCCATGGTGACCGTGTCACTATCTGATGTTCAGTCCAACCCCGAACTCTCACAGCCCGACTGGCAAGCGCCGTCGCCCGCAGATTCCCCGTACGGGATCGGTTATGCAGTTACCACCCCTTCAGTCATGGATGCCGAACTCCCAATCTTACAGCCAGATCGGTACAACGGCTCCGCTGCTTCCATTCGGTCTCGTACCAGCGATACGCATGATGATGCGGTTTGGGAGGAATTGGACAAGTCAGAAGAACAGGAACTGCGTGGTGAGAGCTCTGACGAAGTATGTATATTGGCAAAAGCAAGAAAAACAGTTCCCAGTTTGGTGGAAAATAGGTCTAACCTGGTTACCCCTGTCAAGTCAACTGCTCTTCTCCTAGCTCGGCTTGAGAGAGAAAATAATGCATTGGCCACAAATCCCAAATCGGGCTTATCGAGCACATCACACGCGCAGAAACAGGCCCGCACCCAGTCCCTACACCATATCAAACGCTTGATGCATGATTCTCAAACCTCCCTGCGATACTCACAGCTTCCTACTCCTCCGATGACTGAACTTGAGTTCTGGGCTGCCCTCGTGTCGAATTATCCTCAGACGGCGCAGAGACTGCCAACGCTTACGTCGAATAAGATTCGAGGAGGTGTTCCCCCTCCGTTGCGTGGGGTGGTATGGCCCAGCTTGGCTGGTGCAAGAGATCCCCAGCTCATGGCCGAGTTTGAGAGACTGTGTGGCGAGACCAGCCCCTATGAAGGGTTGATAGGCAAGGACATTGGACGGAGCTTTCCTAACGTGGAAATGTTCAGAGACCCCAATGGTGAAGGCCAAGCGATGCTCGCGAGAGTTCTCAAATGTTTCAGTCTGTATGACAAGCAGATCGGCTATTGCCAGGGATTGGGGTTTGTCGTCGGCCCTCTGCTCATGCACATGTCGGATGCAGAAGCATTCTGTGTCCTTGTACGGTAAGCAAAGACAGAAGAGAGAAAGAGATGACGTATCCTGTGATATGGCTGACTATACCAGGCTGATGGACCACTATGGTCTGCGGACCTGTTACCTCCCTGATCTATCGGGTCTCCATTTGCGAGTCTACCAATTCCAGAACCTCCTAGCCCGTCACCGCCCAGCCCTGCATGCTCATTTGGAATCTTTGAATGTTGAGCCGGTCTATGTGTCACAGTGGTTCCTCTCGTTTTTCGCTGTCACCTGTCCTCTTCCGATGCTTCTTCGCATCTATGACGTTATCTTCCTCGAGGGGGCCATCGAGACGTTGATGCGTGTCGCCCTATCTCTCATGCGCCGAAATGAGAAGAAGATCATGGCGTACACCGAATTCGAGGATATTTTGCAGTTTCTGCTGTCAAGAAGCATGTGGGATACGTATGTATAGGGTTACCATACATATTCAGACACATCAGCTAACTTCATTACAGTTATGCTTGCCATGCGGATGACCTCGTCGATGACTTTGTATCACTAACGTCACTCGTTTCCCGGGAAAGCCTCCAATCGCTGGAAAACAGCTATAACCAATCGCAGGGTGTGCCGACGGGTATCTCATTCCCACAAATGCAAGCAGCCGCCTCTCGGTTCCTTGGAAGACTATGGGCCGGAACCGGATCTTCCAACAACGCCGCGAAGCCGCTTTCTATTAACCAGTCGAACACAATTCGCCGCTCAACGTCGAAACAGAGTATGACATCGACTCTTAACTCCGTCGAATCCTCCTCATCGGATGTCAGCACAGCGCCAACAGAGGTTTCAGTGGCGGACACGAAGAAGCCACGACCAAAATCAGGCATGCCGTACAGCACTGACCGAGACTTACATACGCAGATCGAGGATCTTCTGATGGCTCTGAGTGACCTGCAGCGCCAGCAAGTAGATCTTACTCGGGATCTGCAGAAAGAGCGCGAAGAACGTGAGGAGGATCAGGAAGTGGCTAAGATGATGATGGGTTACATCAAGGCGGGAGAGACGGAGAAGGAAGATTACGATCTGGACGAGATGGTTTCTAAAGCAGAGCAGCGATTCTCAGGATCGGCGTCCAGACGAGTTTCGATCACGCAGACCAAACACCAGTTGCTGGACGATGCCAACCGATGGAAAGATATGCACAAGCTGGAAGCTGCCCGGTGTATGGACCTCAACCGGCGCGTAGATGAGCAGGAACTGGCGAACTCGAAGCTAAAAGAAGAGCTTCGGGAAGCCCGCACGCGCATACAGGAAGGCTACAATGACCGACAACGACTAGAGAGGACCATCCTTGAGCTTCGCGCGGGCACGCACCATGCTTCAGAGAATAACCAGGAAACGGTCGGATCACCTTCCAGTGAGACAGGGAGTGAGCATCACTCCCGCACCGGATTACGGGAACTCAAACTCGTCAGCACGAAGACCAACTCCCATCCCACAGCCACAGCCACAGCGGCGACGACGTCACCCGCCACCCCCGCGTTCAACAAACGGTCCAGTAGTTTGGGACTGCAGTCCGTGCTCGCAACGGAACACAACAAACCGGCGCCCGAAGAGACGCTACTTCTTGAACTCGTTCACGCCAAGACTGCCGAAGCCGTCGCCAAGCAGGAACTGGAAGAAGTGAAGCTCAAACTTGAGGCTCTCCGGAAACTGGTCAGCGGCAACCGGGCAGGCAACAAAACCGAAAATCGCAATTCATTCACAACGGTTCCTCTCTCGCAGCCCAACGGCAACGTGTATAGAACGACCACTGAGCCTGCGAAGATGACAAATTCTGTCCATTCTGGTGGAGGGGGGTTTTTCAGTGGATGGGGGAGACGGGCCCCGTCGACTAGCAATGAGTTGTAGGGGGAAGGGAGATTTTCTTTTCTGGTGGACTGATTTTTCTTTGTTCTAACTCCTTTCATGCATTAACTGCGTTGCATTGGGCATTGGATAATTGGTGTTAATTGGACTGCTTGTGATGGAAGTCCCAGTTTGATTCTCCCCGGGATTTTTCGATGTTTCCATGTACTCTTATGATCGCGTCTTATTGTACATACATTGATGTACCCCAGAGCACAGCACGCTCGATATTTTCTTTCCCCGCCATCGAAGTTGTGTGGCGGGGGCTTATTGGTATTGTGTATAAATAAATTTGACAACATCCGTCCATCGTGGCTTTGCTGGATGCAGATGATTTATGAACGAGTCCATATAATCCCCTCATGAACTACTCAGTAGCACGTGATTGGCTTCTGCATGCATCACAGCCCACCGTTTCCGTTAGGGCTGATTATTGTTGTTCCCTGTCACTTTCTGTCACTTTCCATCCGTTCGGCTTCTTCTTTTCTCCCTCATCCTGCACGATAATGGTTCCTCCACCGAGTCATTTGCCTCCCCCAATCACCCCATCTGTCCCCAGTCAAGGAGAGCCTGATGGCCGCATTATTATTACTAATGTCCTGCAGCTTACCGTTTCAGGCCTGAGAGACCCATTATGCCCCCTTGACAGCCCTTGAAGATCAACAGTTCATGGCGGGGTTCCATTCCACTCTGTTTCCTTGGCATGACACCTGGCATCGTCGTCGTCCAATGCATCGCTCTGAGCGGATATGTCTGTCTACGCCGTTTGTCTAGGCATGAATGAGCATTGAGCAGTGGGCAAGCATACGGTGTGTGTTACCGTTGGTCTCAGCGTATGCTATCATCCTTGCAGGTGGAGGATGGAGTTGCTAAACCAACTGGGTATATAAAGGGCTTCCCTTCCTCCTTCTGTCTTATTATCGTCTCATCTCTAGTAACTCGTTTTTGCCTTCTCATAATATATACGGGAACTGATTGATTGAAGTCAACTTAAAAACCAAATAAAAGAGCTCAAAATGGCCTTCCACCTATCCGCTCAAGACGTCCGCATCGACGACAAGCACTACCTCCGTGCCCTTCTCTCTAACGAATCTGGTGACCTCGTCGAGGCTGAGTTTGACCTTGACACTGTTCTTGGGAATGATGAGGGTAATCTATTTATCATATCCCCTTCCTCTTCTCCCCGCACCAGATAATTATCTAAAGTGACTGAACTGACGTGAAAACCGTACTATAGGCAGCTTCTCCTGGGACGGTGCCAACTTCTCCGAAAGCGCCGAGGACGTTACCTTTTCTATCGAGGGCGATGGTCAAGTCCCTGTCCTGCGGGCTTTGCTGTACAATAGTGCTGGGGAGACGTTCCCGAGGGATGTTAACTTGGCTGAGAGGATTGAGAATCATGATGGGGCCTTTGTTTATGTTTAGATTAAATACGGTGGACGTGTAATGGATTGTATCCGATTACTCCATAGTGGAATATGATTGTCATAATTGTTTCCTTATTTCCTGATCCCTCTACTACACTATCAGATGAAACCGTTAACTTGATTGAGTACATGCTACATGCTACAGACTACTTATGTATCATGACATCTTGTTAGTTTAATACGTATTTCGTCTTAACGTAATCGGTTACCGAGAGAACCCGGACGCCGAGAGTCCCCTTTTCCACGATAGCTACCATAATTCTATCAATTACCTCTACCATCTACATTATTGCCATGGAAGATAAATCTTATGAAGGACGAATTCTCTTAGCCCTTAATGCATTTAGAAAGGGTCAATATCCATCTATCCCGAAGGTTGCAGCAGCATTTGATGTCAACACAAAAACTCTCCGAAGACGGCTAAAAGGGGTCTCTGCCCGTACAGATACTATAGCAAACTGCAGAAAGCTATCAGCAACCGAAGAATCTACTCTTTTAGCATGGATTCTTGATATGTGCCAACATGGACTACCTCCAAGAGTTGCAACTGTCCAACATTTAGCAGAATTATTATTGTCTGCACGGCTATCCTCCACTGCCTCTGCCTCTGCCTCCCCTAGTGAGAAATGGGTAAACCGATTTGTCAAACGCCATCCAGAGCTTCAGTCTAAATATACTCAAAAATATGATTATCAGCGTGCAAAACGTGAGGATCCAGAGCTTATTCAGAATTGGTTTAAGCATTTTACCAATATCCGGCAGAGATATGGGATTCTGAATGAAGATATCTATAACATGGATGAGGCTGGCTTTCAAATGGGTGTTATATCAACTGCAAAAGTTATTTGTGGCTCGGAAACAAGAGAAAGCAAAGCAAAGGAACTACAACCTGGAAATAGAGAATGGGCGACTTCAATTATCTGTGTCAATTCCACTGGATGGGCTTTACCTCCACAGATTATTTTGGCTGGAAAGAAACATCAACCTCAATGGTATTCCTCAATTCCACAAGGCTATCGTGTCAGCCTAAGTGAGAATGGGCAGATAACAAATGAGCTTTGCTATGAATGGCTTCAGGAGCTCTTTGAATGAAACGCATACAGCTTTGCGGACTAAGGGCAGATATAGGATGTTAATCCTTGATGGCCATTCAAGCTATGCTACTACAGAATTTGATAAATTCTGTACAGATAAGAGGATTATTCCTTTATACATGCCTCCACATTCTTCACATATTTTACAACCACTTGACATCAGCTGCTTTTCTCCCTTAAAGCATATTTATGGCCGAAGTACTACAGAGATGATGCAGAAAGGGATTCATTCAATCTGCAAGGATGACTTCTTATTTCTTTATCCTTCAGCGCATCAACGTGCATCGTCATCATGTAATATTCGAAGTGGATTTACAGCAACCGGGTTAATTCCTCTTAATCCAGAGAGAGCGCTTTCAAAACTCTCTATCAACCTGAAAACACCAACACCACCATCCACAGCCTGCAGCAACAAAACATTTGGACCAAGGAAAACATCAGCAGATGCTTATCAGCTTGAGCAACAAAATCAGCGAATCCAATATCTTAAGACTAATGAGATATCCCCTTCCATAATCAGCCAGGCAATGGACAAGGTGATTAAGGGTGCAGAGATTACTATGCAGAATGCAATTTCCCTACAGAATGAGGTTCAACAGCTCCATACAGTCCAGGAAAGAAAGAAGAAGAAGAAGAAGAAAGCACCTCAGATATTTATTCAAGATGGAGGAAGTCTTACTGGCTTGCAAGGCCAGCAAAAAATGCAGCAGACGGAGGAATTATTTCGGCAGGAATCAACCCAGATACAACGAAAGCCTCCTAAATGTAGTAATTGTGGTCAAACCTGCCATAACTGGTTAAAATGTCCTAGTAAATAGCTTCAATTTTATTTTGTATGTAGAAATCTATTTAATTCGTTGCTAATTCTACAGTTCTATGAACCTACCTACTAGTTCACGATAGCCAGCGCAATTTGCGTTGAACCGCGTCACCTTTGGTCAAAGATCAGAACATGCTTGATATTCCGTTTGCTTCTTGGGGGCGCAGGACTGCCTGGGTCAAAAGAAACTAAAAAGGAAACAGCTCTAATAACCCTTCTTTGTATAAGTCGTCAGGCAAGGCTGGTGTATAAGCTTAAACTAGGGTTGAGGTACAGTATGAGAGATTAAATTGGCTGTACTTTGACGCAGGCTCGCCAACCATTCATCTAATATTGCGATTAGGTTTCATTGCTTAATTCGTTGTATTTATCACTCTGGGCCAAATAATCACTGCCAGCAAACATCTATACAAGGGTGTAATCATTTATCATAAGCATAGAGCTATAGTTAAGCGGACTCTAGCCTTATATTAATACTATCGACTTTCCTACTCTTCAGGTAAGTTGCTGTTTGCAGTCCACACCTAGCCCTTTTTAAGATTATGTAGAAATGAAATAACTATCGTTGAAGATGCATCCTGCTGCCCAAGGTCCAAGAAAGCGTAGGAGCACTATGGCCATAGGGGAGGCACAGGAACCTCAGAACGTCACTTCCATGATTCCGTATTGGAAGACATTCCGCCGCCTTTAAAGGACACTGATGTCCGCACTCTTCTTCGAGCATTGCGCTCCCCGAAATCTGCAGAAAACAATTGGGCCCACAAAGATATTCGGATGCGCAAATATCTTTACTGCTACGCGTGCGCGGAGGAAAAATCACGGGGATTGATTTGTCAATGCGGCCGTGAGCTATGTCTCGACTGTCTCAACTATCTTACTTTTGTTGCTTGGTAAATCTAGCCTTTTTTGTTGAAGTTATTTCCAGTTATAGGAGATCCATCCTCGGCTTACCGTAAATCACAGAATCGAGTTTCTATATATGGGTAATCTGTACAACCATATTCTCAGTATGCACTGCCATCCAGAATATTGTCATACCATTTTTGGCGCCTCTATAATTATTGCTTCCAACATTTAGAGATAATTTGTTAGGAGCCATCTATTTTCGACATCAGCAACCCGACCTTGTAAGCGCGCGAGTGGAGAACGAGGGATGGGAGAATGGACAGCGCCCACCCAGTTCACGAAAGGCTCGAAAAATCACCCTAGCAGTGAAGCAGCGGACCACAAGTAAAAGGATGACCGTACAACACCTTTCTCAGGCCACAGTTCACCAAGCGACTGTCTCAAACTCTGCATTAATTCCATGCCTCTGATTGCACCAGTCGCATCTTCATCAATCGAATCAGCCTTGTCGGCAGAAAAGCGCAGAGGAAACGGCGGATTGCCAGCGGCTTGAACGCCTGGGAGACTCGACCATTCTTTCTCAAGATTTTTAGCTGCAGTAGCTATGAGCTGTGCAAAATTACAACGGGAGATACCTGATAAAGATACACCAAAAGCAACAAAATCTTATTGCTGACTCGAACAGTGGTGTCTGGAGGCTATGCCCAATTTCTCCATTGGGGATAGCTAAAGCGGAATGAGCTAGTCCCAATATGGCTAACCTGAACGTATAATATGATGACTAATAGACATGGACTAACTTAAAGTAGCTAGGCCCAGTAAGCAAGCCTCAGACCGTTTCCTACACATCTGAATCGATACCACAACCGATTTCTTCTAACTCTTCAATATTAGTCTGAATCATCGACGAGTATATATTTTGTTTATTACTACTTCATGGCCAATAAACTACAGTATCTTTCCGACGATGACATCGTTCGTCTTTGCCCCCATCCTGGTGCAGAAAACTGTGGACGGTCATTAGAAAGGATACTAGGCAACGTCTTGGTCAAATACGGGTGGAGCGTTACCAAGGACGAGGCTGCAAACCAAATATTCGCTTATAATCAATCCCAAGGAACCAAGATTCGGGTCCCGAAAGTGTATCGATATTTTCAAAAATCGGAGATAGGTTATCTTGTGATGGAGCTCATTGATGGCATTTCGCTCGCGGACTTGGCACCATTTGATGAGTCTCTCATGCAAAATTTAGCTCAAGCTTTGTATGATTTCAAGACCAAGGCTGAGGTGGACTTTCCTGGTCCCCGCGAACACGGAATACCTCGAGGATACCTTTTTTCTGAGAATGGGGCCGGTGAACCGCTGGACAGCATGGAAAAGTTGAACCTATGGCTTGAGAGACGTGCTCAACTCACTGCATCTGAAAGAAAGTTTCAGTTTCAACTTACGGACTGCGTGTTTTGCCATTTGGACCTCAGTTACCGGAATATTATTCTTTCTAATGGGTCGTTTTGCCTCTTAGATTGGGAGTTTGCTGGTTTCTACCCACGAGTATTTGAAAAATACTGCATCCTATTTCTTGGACAGAAGGAAGACTACAGGTATGCCAAGGATCTTGCAGATTCACTCGATTCGGTTTATCGCAAATCGGGGCTGAATGTTGATGACCAACATCTGATCGGATTTCTCGATCGTGTTTATAAAAACAATTTGAAGTATGATTTGTATGTGTACACCAAATACAATCAATGGCATAACTACAAACTGACTCAGATCTAGTGGTGGCGCATTCCAGATCGACTGGGAGGCTGTAAAAAATTTCAACGTCCGTTTAGAGACAGCAAACATTCCCACCAAAGCCTAGCCTTCGTACCAACAGATTTCACAATGAGGATCCCATATAAAAACCTAGAAAAACTCTCCCATTTCCATCGGGTCTGGGATTTGATTGATGGTCCCCTGAGCGTTCCTATGGTATCTTGTTTGTATTCGCTGTCCAAACTGTGATTCCCCATTTTCTGGTAGCACAATGTAACCTTGCCGGGAGAAATCCAGGAAGATATTCCATCTGTGAGATAGCATGAGTAACTAAAAAGGCCATGTATATGTATGTGTGTGTGGATCATGCTAGGTTAAACTCACGCCCAATAACGACAACCATTTCCACTCCCAGCCATTCGGTACCTATGCCGCCCCTTTTGCTGAATTATCCCGAGGCAGTGCCCTACTGTGAGATTCGCACATGCATTGTAATCGAAATACATGAGACCGGAATTTGACTGGATATAAGGGTGCATGGAGGTTGTAAGGGTCCCATTTTCATCGCCACCATCCACAAGGGACATGTTTAAGCGAACGGACGAAGTCTCGCCTTCTAGGATAAGGAATATAGACCAATGGTTCCTGCTTGTATCCCAGCCAGCAAGTCCCATGGTATGAACTACAAATCGGATCTTAACAACGTGTTTAGAAAGACCGTTAGAATCCATCTTATAGGTTATAGTAGACAGATGTTATTAATTCTAGAAATATAGGAAGGAGAAAACTTCGTGCTTAATCGTACTTAAGCAAAGAAGATATTGTAGGATTATCTATAGTTTTGCACTGGGTGAGGATATTAATATGGCTTTATACTTAATTCATAATTTCCTTGCTTCTTGTTGATACCTTGATCAGATACCATCAGTTTCAGAGACCCAGAAGGCTAGTGGAGTAATTGGATATGAGGATTAGAAGGGGTAACCCAAGTCGGTTATTCATTAATAATTACTGGCTCCTTCCAGTAACTTATAGTAGCTACTTAGCCCAGGGAGTTCGACGTTGGCGCGCGGTTCATATCACAACTGTTCACTTAGGTCCGGTGCGAGCTGGACGCAAAAACACCTCGTTGTCTACATCAGCCTTTGCAGGAGCAGATCATCCCCTTTAAGAGGGTCAGGCCAGACTCATCAGACAGAAAACTTTATTGTAATCCTATTGTTATCATATTGTCCCACTGGAAATCAACCTCTACTTGGATTGTTAGTACACTATTCTGATTCGTCGACTATCATGCGCTTCGGGCCTCTCTTCAATACGAAGGTGCATTATGAGGATAGTCCCATCCTATTGCTACTGGCGACAAATGAGGCTTATCATCAGTCTTGTCACACGCGGTTCAGTGACTCATTTGGCGCTGGTATGTTGGAGAAAGGGAGCGCCATCAGAGCACGTCGAGAGAGCGAGCCAAGACGTACTATGCGCCAATGTGATTGGGCCAGGGAGTTCTGTCTTCATGTTCTGGGGGAGGCTCTTTCGCCAAATCACATTCTAATTATAGTTTCAATGGCTTATCATTGGTGTAAATACATGCGTCAAATGCAGTTTAGTGTATGAGAAGGTCACCAGCATGCCACACGAAAAACCACTCAAACTAACTGTCGGTCTAGCAGCAAGCGCTAATGCGAGCACCCTGTTTGTGAGGAGTGATGATACATCACGACTTGGCGGCGTTTCCTGATGGATCCGACCATCATCTTCTTGGATGGTTCGAATGGAAGGCTAGCAGACTTAAACCTTCCTGGTGTCTGTCTTACGAAGTGAGTGCACTTCTGTAACTCGGCAGTGTTCTGCCCCACTAACTAACTAGTTAGGTACTAGTTACTTTGTCTTATCTAAAAATAACAAATTCTCGCGCCACATTCGTCATCGCCGCTCAGAAATGGGTTTTCATTGGTCCATAAAATCTATTCTGAAGAGCTTCCGAATGTATATCAGGCTTAGCGGCTTCAGGCGAACCCGGGTTGTGATTGGTTTATTAGTCCGCGCCTAAAAAAAGCGGATTGCCAGCCCGGTATGTGTTGTTAGAAGTTAGAGTAAGGTATGAACCACCTAAGGAAGCATGTCAGCAGGCAACGAACGCTGACCGCTGAGAATATGAGCATTTCTCTGGTAGCTCTAAGTTGTGAAGACTATACTTGTCCACAGACAACACTTTACTTCAGGGAGCTTCAGCGCAGCAAGGTCGTTATCTATGGCTATGTGTACTATAAAAAGTTTCTGATCTACATGCCATTCCTCCGTCATCTATTCTTCTTTGTTCCTCCTACTTTGCCTGCTAGCTATCTCTCCTTACTCGCAGACTATGGACCCATTATCCATTTACGCTATTGCCGGTGGCGGTGTTTTCGCTGGTCTTTTCTTGACCCAGACCCTCCCTATCCTCGCCCGCTAGGCAGATTTATTTTCCGTTTTTTCCTCTCGACATCTGATGCTCCCTTTTGTGGTCCATCGGCATCGGCTCTGGGGTCCATGGACCCGAGCTGGTGTTTTCCTTCACTTATCATATACTGCAATCAGCCCACTCTTTCAGGGTGAAGGACTTATGGGCCAGTGAACGTTTCTTTTCGTCTGAAGGGCTGCTGAACTCCGGCACTAAGAACCTTCTGGAATCTCCATCCGCCCAATAATCTGTCCTGCAGGCGAACCTGAGGCGTTAACGTCTGATGTACTGAAGGTGGCTCGCTCACCCAGCTATATCTAGCTTTCAAGCATACTCAGCCCAACGCTAAGCGAATTCAAGGCGTGGTGGCCTATTTTTTCCACGGCGAGTTCGGACTACACGGCACTAGATCCTGATATCCTGGCGGCTTGTAAATGTTGCGATAGATGCCTTATACTATTTAGGAGGCGGTAACTCGAAGCATACCCAGCGTATTTGGCAACTATCTGAGACCAGTTATAGTTATATAAGAGGACAGACTAAACAGGGCTTGGCGGGTGCAGAATAGTGGTGTGAAGCACGTGATGGGAAGCCAGAGCAACGACTTTCCGCAGATCTATAATTCCTACAAGCTGCTGGGAGGGAATCATACTATTTTCAGACAGCCATGACGGGTGTTGCGAGATCCGTCTACCCTGTTCATCGCAGACATGGCGGGAACTTGATTTGACTGATGACATGCATGTCTCACACCCTTGCATACGACACACGCCTTTGCTTCCTGTGTGGATTCCAATGGCAGGCACGTGGAGACTTCCAAAACGGCCTTTTTTTGATTTTCTTTTTCCGCCGTCCTTGTCCCGTGTTGGACTGACTTGCTGTTTCAGGGAGAGAAGAAAGCGCAGAATATCCACATTCAATGCCATTGTCTCGTGCTCATGTGAGAAGACCAGCCCAAGGTTTTCTGTCCTGGACGGAGTAAGCTGGTAACCACAGTAAAGATGCTACTGCGGGATTTATTATTATTGTTGTTGTTATCATACTGCCAGTTGGGGAGAGTTACAGGCTGTGTATAGCATAAAAAGGCCCTATGCTCCCGTTGGGTACTTATGCATGACGGATCCAATCTAGAAGACTGATTCGCCCCCCTGAATCTCTGGCCTCCAGCAGCAGCATCTTCCGGAGTCACACTCGGCCCAGAGCCCAGAGCTCTTCTGATTGAAGAAAAAATTCCCTGGATCTGGTCGAAGGGATCCATACCAGTAATATCACGTGATAATACATCATACAAGGCAGAGCCAAGAAGATATGGAGACAGCGAAAGTGAGATAAGAATAAAACAAGATTGAAGCTTAATAGTATAAATGAAAGACAGAATTGTCGGGGAATTGTTCCATCGAGGCGGACTACCGGCTTGGTGGCCTTTCCTGTGACACCCAGGTAGCCCGTTCTGCGTACACCTGCAGACGCAACTGGGAATGCAAAAGCAGACGCGGGAAGGTAGCAGAAACAACCGTAATTTTCTGTCGTGGCATTTCAAGGCAGATTCCCATGATCTTCGAGCTATTATTATTACTTCCGTGGTGTTGTCTGGATTCCGTGATGGGGGAGTGAGGCATTAATTATTGGAGAGGCGCTTGTAAGAAGTCTTGCAGTTCTGCAGAAATTACTCCGTCCTTGGTATTATTCCTTAGCCACTTCTTCCTCTCTCCTCTCCTCTCCTCTCCTCTTCTTCCTCTTCCTCTTCCTCTTCTTCTCTCCTGCACTTCGTTGCCTGCAACATCGGACCTGAGGCCTGCAGTGAAGTGGCCGACCGTGTCCATTCATTCCATCCTGACACAACGCTTTCGTGTCCTCGTTTCACCTATCCCTTCCTTCGCCTCTTTCCTTTTATCTTTCTGCGTCTTCCTGCGCCCATCGTTTGTCGATATAAAACAAGCCGGAGACGAGTCGATCACTTCCTGTCTGCTCTACTATTACCGCTACCCTTAGCTTCCGCCATAGCGTCCCGAAGAGGGGAAAGGAAGGGGGACAGAGCTTGAAACAAGAAAGGGAACAGGACCAAGAATAAGAACAAGACTATCTTCACTACTCATCCTCCCCTTACCCTCTCGTTTTTTTTTCCCCTCCTTTCACTTTATCCCGTCGCTTTTCCTCTTCATCATTACTATTGATTCAGTGTCATCGATTATTCGCTCCTCCCGTATCCCTATCTAATCCCGATTGATTCCCGTCCTGCGCCCATGTCGTCGAGCGGCAACCCAGAGTCGGGCAAACCGGTGGAGGGTACCTTGGATACGAACAATACTCCAGTGGAACCGCTACCTTCAGCTACCGTGCCCACCGTCTCTTCTGAATGTCAGAATTCGGATCGTGGAGATAATAACAACAATACTGCAGTGGGAGGATCTGTCTCAGCGCATCACGATAACGACGAAGGCAAGGACGCTGCCCAGTTGACCTCTGCGCATAGTACACAGACCGGGATGGAAGCACAGAAAGCAGCCGACGCCGATACTGGTGCCATGGCTCCGACCGCCGCGCCTTCCGCTGAGCAGCCTGGTTCTTCGCTGAAGGACACTGAAGAGGATCCGGGCGTGTCACTGTCTGTTACTCTGCTCTTGACCAACGGGGCGAGACATCCGCTTAAGATTGACGGGAGGTACTTGCGGAAGTATTCTATTAACGTGCCTAACTACGATCCTTTTGAGATGAGTGTGTATTCGTTGAAAGAGTTGATTTGGAGGGACTGGCACTCCGGTAAGATTTCAGACTGCAGGGTATTTGTGGGTGTTTTCGCCAGAGCGCATGAATTGACGTTCGTAATATCTGCAGATTGGGAAGATCGTCCATCATCGCCTAGTATGATTCGTCTGATCTCTTTCGGCAAATTACTGGATGACAAGGTTCCCTTGTCTGGTATGTGTTCTTCCTGTTCTCTCCGCTTTTTTCCCCTTGTGTTCAATGCTGACTTGCGTGTGACAGAGTGCAAATTCAACCACGACGCACCTAATGTTGTTCACATGACCGTCAAGCCGCAGGAGATTTTCGATGAAGACGATGCCAAGGGTGCAAAGTCCCAATATAGCAGCCATCGCGATACCGGTGAGCGTAGCCCCGGCTGCCGTTGCATCATTCTATGAAGACGAGTTCATTTGCGCGATAATCGCATGCGACCCATCTACGTACGGCCTTGTAATATCTTCTTTTCGTCGATGAGGACAGCTTTTCCATCTGAGATAATTTATTCCGTGCCTCTCAGGGACAATACCACTGCATATTTCCATTATTTCTTTCGATGTTGTTCGACTATCTCGTTGCGATATGTCGTCCTGATTCGTGATCGCGTTGCATCGTTTCGTCGCAAGACATTCCGTTTACTCGCCTGACTTTTCCGCAGGCAAGAAACGTCGCTGGGATGGCGTTATGGATACTTTTATCTGGTTTGCGGATGATCAAGACATGTTTGTCTTTGACAATATCTCGAAGTTATTCCCTTACCTTCCCCCTCATAATATTTTATTTACTGTGCTTGCATAATTCCATACCCAAATCATCTGCTACTAATTCTGTGCACCCTCAAGCCCTTTGTTTATATATACCCTGAAACTTTGTGTGAATTCGCCATGTGGGATCAACTGTTCTCTGTTTTACAGTTGGCTTGTCAATCATTTGTCTATTATTTTCTGGATGGGTTGAATTGGTTAATCAAAATACCTTTGTCACCATGACACATTCACCCAGCATCTATTATGCACTGTCCCAGTCCACCTACTGTTTGTGATTCGCTAAGATGCTGGTTTCATCTCTCCATTTATGATCTATCCATCTACACCCTGCCTGTGGCGTTGAATCATACATCTTCATCTGTTCCTGCCATATTGTCTTGCAGTGGGCCCCCTAGTTCAATTTGGGTCGGGTTGAGTCAACATTTACTTCTTGGCCTGGCGATTATGATGATCGATTTCGTTTCCTTCCGATTCCTTATATTTGTTGCTCATTTATTTACATTATCCTATACCTACCTATTCATTTAATTTACACCTTTTTCCCCTTCTTTTCTTTTCTTTCCTGCTCCCTTTTCACATGCCCTGCTTGCTCAGTACGCTATGTAAGAGTGCTTTTGGTTTGTTCTCTAGGGGTGGCTCAATATTGGCTGTTCTCATCCAACAGCAGCTAGTCTATGTCTGTTGTCCGGCAAATTCCTTGGGTTGGGTTATTGGGATCTTCCTAGAACGTCTGGCTTATTGATTGGTAAATATGTTCTAACAAGGATGGAATAAATGAATAATTAATCGAGTAAATGATACCTGAATGGAAATTCCGTATTGGTACTCCTACAAACCACGATTATGCATGTTGTCTTCTACTTGAATTGTAAAATAAATCCACAAGGTCAAATGATAAGCTCCCTTGGAACCTGAAAAATATCAATGGTTTCCTCCAGCAACTGAGGAGAATCAACAGCCCCATTCTGCACTGCCCGTTCATTGATCCTCTCTTTGCTCTTAAGCAATTCAGCAGCGATCTCAGACCACTCCATATGCCTTGGCGTACCTCCCAGATCAAGGCTCAGATCCATGAACTCACCGACAACGGTAACAGGTAGGAGTCTGCCGGCACGCTTTCTAATGACCCCGTCAATAATGACGGTATCGATGTCCCTGACGGACGAATGTAAGACGATGGCTGCCACGGGATCCTCCTCGACGGCACATATCATTGCCGGACTGTGGGCGTCGAAGATAACTATGTCCGCCAGTTTGCCGTCGGCTAGGGACCCGATCTCGTCCTGCATGTTCATCGCGCGGGCTCCCTGGATGGTACCCAGCCGGAAGACGTCGTGGACAGATGTGTTTAAAGTTTTCATCACTTTGTTCCGGTTGCTTAGAAGGGTGTTTCGTCGGCCTCGTTCGGCTTGGAGACATATTCGCATTTGAGAGATGAGACTTGCTGAGTTGATGCTGTGGCTGTCTATGCCGAGGGAGCAGAGATGTTTTATTTCCTTTTGGAAACAGACGGGATTTCCGAATGCCATTTGTATCTCCACTTCCGGTGCGCAGGCGATGGATGCTCCCGTCTTGTTCAGTTTGGCTACATCCGCTGCGGTTAGGTTCGTGGAGTGGGAGATGATAACGTCGGGTCCGAGGAGCCCGTAGGAATCTAGAAGTTCTATGATTGAATCCGTACCTATGCCCGTTGTCAGATGTCAACTCTCGAAGAGAAGGGGGGCAGAGAAGTAATTGCTCCAGGCTTTCATGGGCACATACCGAGAATAATATTACGCGTGTAGTGCGAAGTGATAAGCTTCGTTCCAGCTTGTCGGCACCGATTGAATAGATTCACCACGTCTTCTTTCGGGAGAAAGTATCCGTCAAAGCCTAATCCAAACTGCACACGACCGTCGCCGAAGGGTGCCAACGTTGCGAGCTCTTGAACCTGGTTCAGTACCCATTCAGGCAAGACGGAATCGTCCAGTGTTAAGGAAGGCTTCCACGTCGCTATCCGTAATGTAGGAGAGTATGCAAAAACAGACCGGATCCCTGATGCTACAGTTGCGGCAATCGCACTTGGGCCTACACAGTTAGGGTCTGTCGATTTGCTTATGTGAATACAGGGTTCGTACTGCTGTTGGGTGTCTTGTTCATATGGCTATGATCAACAATTGCTGTTGTACCAGCATCCAAGGCTTCCAAGCAGCCACCCAGTTGGCCCCAGAAAACATCTTCGGGAGTATAGTTATAGCATTGCCAATTCCCTAAGAATCCATGTTAAAAAGGGTCCCTGGAAACTAGTGCATTTTTCCAGAAAGGCGAACCAGAGATCATGTACTGCATCAGCGTCTCATCGGCATGTTTGCCCTTCGTCTGAGTTTGCCATAGATGGTGATGGGTGTCAATGAACCCCGGTGATATGAGCTTCCCTGTACAGTCAATGATTTCAGTAGATGGCGATGGAGCGTCAATGTTTTGCCCAATTTGGACAATTTTCTTCCCCTCAATGAGCAACGAATGGCCTCTGAGAGGGATGAATTGATCCTCGTCTGATGTAATCAGGATTGTCCCATTCTTGAGTAGTATAGATGCTGGAATAGAGCCATATCGGAAGACCACCAACAATAAGCATAATACAGAAGAGGCATCATAGCTGTTGTTGCATATACAAATGCAGCTGTCATGCTGAAGCACGTGACACACATTACGTCGACGTAGAGTAATTCGAATCCATGGTATATACAGTGAGAGAAGTCTTGGAAATCGATTGGAATCGAGTGTCCGGTACTGAAGGAACATTAGAGAAATGGTTCATCACCTGAGTAACATGGCTTGGGGATGAGAGCTCTCTGAAGCCAGTCCCATCAGCATTCGATGGATCTTTATCCTTGATCCCACTTTGAACCACCCTTGACCCCTTGACACCTAGGGTAGCCTGATCTACTGTAGTTATCCATACCGCAGCAGTAAAAACAGGAAAAATCATTTTCAGAGATCAATGAAGAGAGCAGGTACCTCAATGCCGCAAGTCGTGAAAATAAGTTCGTGGTGCATAGGAGGGCGATAATGTTGGAATGCCATCTAATCTTATCTTATCAGAAGTTAGTCATGTGACCCTGAGAAAAGAGCAACCTCTATCGTTTATTTGACACTAGACACCTTTCAGAAGTGTCTAGATTGACATATCGGTCTAGTATGTACTGTATGAAGTACAGCCATTATGGCGAGACCAAGAAATCCTATAGGGGTGGGCTAGGCAATGTCCCCTGATAGACCCCTGATAGACAAGTCATGGTTTTGAATTCATGTTCCTGTTCCTCCAGCTTGACGTTGCTAGAGTCCTATGCCATTGGAAGTAACGCTCTCAATGCCACACGATGAAGCTAAGGACCGTCGAGTCACAACTATCTCCTGCTTATATCCCTTCTAAAACCTCCCGAACTTGGGATTCTTACCTGCAGCGTAAAGCAACGTTGTCAAGATGAACCTATAGTTGAAGTGGACTGGAGCACCAGATGATATCGAGTTTATTCCTGACCATGTCTAATATTGTTGGCAGAGCCAATCATAATAGCGGACATGCACTGCAGGCGTCCATGCCACGTCACGTATGGAATTCCTATGGTGGACCTGGCACCATCTCATCCTGCCCTGGTCTGTAGACATATTTGAGACGAGCAAAGAAGCAAGGAAAAGAAAGTAAAAGCAAAAAGAAACCCCGTCAGAAGTCCATGCGCAGTCTCTTCTCCATCTCGTCGTGGAAGGTAGGAGGTTCTCTGAATTCGTCTCCTGGTTTAAAAGGGGAAGAAGAGTCAGTATTGATATTACCGAGACGAATGATATTAGAAGGGGGGGAGAAAAGTAGGAACAAACCCTTAAAGACATCCTCCCACCCAATCTCCGTATCTCTCCCACCTAACACTAGGATATCCTCATGCACATTACCAAGACCATTACCTCCCAGAACAGCTGGTCTGAAGGTCCCATCCCTGACGATCTTCAATTCCATTCCACGTCTCACCGGTTCTGCGATCCCAAATGTCCGTCTTAGAGTCTCCATCTTCATTGCATCCTGTGTCTGGCGCCAGGCAAGTAGACGAGCCTCGAGAGGGTGCGTGGAGACAGGAGTTGTGTTATCTGAAGACGATGGTGGTCCCCGGGGAGCTGGGAGTGTGATGTTGTCGCGCAGCCTGTCGGGGAGACCTGGAGCTGAGGGGGCGCCTTTTGACGGGCAGGGGAGAGAGACGGGGGCACGGGCCGAGACGTTGGAGGTCTGGGTTGGGTAATTTGCTTTGGGGGCAATGCGAAGAGACTATACAGTTGTTCTCGTTAGTTGGGTGTGTATCGTTTGTAACTAGGGAGGATATACCATCGTGACGTATGGAATCGAGTTTCTTTGAAGGTAAGCCGAATCGACAGAAGAGGAGGAATCAAATAAACCCGGACAGTCGTAAACGAAGATATGGATCAAAAGAGTGAAGTAGAAAAAGCCGTGAGCGTGAGCGTAGATGAACACGGTAGTAGACTTAAGCAGTGTAGCTCATTGCATCGGAGAGCTGCTTTGGGAGGACTAACCTCCGTCAGAGTCACGTGCTGTTCATCCTGCCCAGACTTTCCGCATACATCAATCCAAAAGACTTAAAGACAAGACAGAACTCCCCAGTTCTCAACTCTCCCAGACGGCCATCTCAGTTAAACGCCGCCAAAATGCCTCCTTTCACAGTCTCCACCTTCTTAACCTCTCGAGGTCTCCGAACACTCATCCAGCGCCCCCCGCAAATCCTCACGCAACCCCGGAGAAACCTCACCAATTTCACCTTCCAGCCTACCTTCCGCACACAAGCCGCAGCAAAAGCATCACCACGACCAACAACAATGGTAATGGCTACGACAATCCGGCAATTCTCTACATCTCCAGTCCGCAAAGCAACCTACAACCAAGTCCGTCGTGGCTGCCGAGTCGCGCAACGAGCCCGTCGCGCCAAATCTCCGGCCCTGGCCAATACGCCTCAATTGAAGGGCGTCTGTCTGAAGACGGGTATTACGAAGCCCAAGAAACCTAACTCTGGTGAGAGGAAGACGGCAAGGGTTAGGTTGAGTAGTGGGAAGGTTATTACGGCTTATATACCCGGCGAAGGTTAGTAGATTTATCTATACATCTGTGTATGCATATACATAACATGTATATGCATACTGTATTTTGCGCATATATATTAACGGCAACTTAGGTCACAATGTCCAACAACACAGTGTTGTCCTTGTCCGAGGTGGAAGAGCCCAGGATTGTCCTGGTGTGAAGTATCATTTGGTTAGAGGGGCAATGGACTTGGTACGTATCATCCGTCATTTTATTGATCTATTTTCCTCTACTATACCATGTCTCAAAACATAGTAAAATGGGTTTCGTTCATTATTCTAATATACTCGGTTACAGGGTGGTGTGGCTAGCCGATTGACCAGTCGATCGAAATACGGAACAAAGAAACCGAAGAAGGATTAGAGATCAGATTCCTGTTGAAAGGTTAAGATGAAAAAATATGTTTGCTGGAATAGGTATTGTTCTTATCGTTGTTCTGCTTTGTTTAACTCTGTATTATTCTACCTTCGCCGTCTTTTTTGAATGAGTTCGATCATTGTTCTTGGCTTTTATGATGAATCTTCGTGTATTATATGTTAAGGGGATTTAGGAAAGACCTTTTCGATATAAGTAGCAGAATAACTGTATTGGTCATGCTCATTGAGTTACAGTGTCTTTGCCCGAAGATAAACCGAAAGAAAGAATTGGACAACTCATAAAGGAATATCGAAAATAAACACATATAATACCGAGTCCAGATAATCATGACAATAGCACAAAATACAGAAAGCAGGCAACACATGATATTGCACATTGACTATGTAAGGTGATATCAATGAGACGGTAGAATATGTGCTGTCTAGGCGTGTATTGCCCGACCAATTTCCCCTTCTTTCTTCCCAGACGAACCGACATGGAAACAGGGAGCGTTCATTGTGAAATTAGTATTTCATCATGTTTTCCTTGCCCCGTCTTCTTTATACGCCTTGTAAGAACAAACAAAATGAAGTGCCCAGTGCTCTAAACTCCACGCCCAACAGTGTAGACGTTCATACATACGCCCCAAAAGAGTAATATGGATAAAAAAAGTCCAGGTAAATGAGAATAAGATATCAAATGGTATATTCGAATTCAGATGAGAATTAAAGTTCAGAAATCATTTATCTTGCTCATCTTGGTAGCCCTCCGGTTTCTGGTAGTTGTTGATATTGAAGAAGCGGGATGTGCCTGGAAACGGAGTCAGTTATACATATACAATCAGGCATGAAGGAAAACCCACATGAATATGATTTCCAATCAAAATTATCAGAAGGATTGCAGTTGCACCGTAAATCAAGCTTTAGCTGTTCACCGGTTGGGCAATGAGTGAAGGGGATGTGGTAATAAGCGATTTCGTTGAAGAAATGAATCTGCTCCTTCCTCAATAGCAGACCGGCAGCAATGGAGTGGACTGGAGCATCACCCCATCGCTCGTAGAAGAAACCGCCGTCCCTATCAAGAGAGTCAAAGTAGTCGATGTACGCCTTCGACCTAAGCCACTCGAGGCTTCCGATCTCGAAATTAGACCACTACGTTATTTTTTGATTAGTTGGCTGGACAGTACAATGACTCGAGTCGGGGGTGGGGCGTACGAAGTGGCACTTGTTATATGTGTCCCCTCCATCATCACTCAGGAAAGCCATGGAGTTATCCTCGGCAATATGCTCTGGATGGTCTTTCATAAACTTCTTGACACTATCCCAGAGCGTCGGGATGGTCTCGTAGTACTCGTACAAGCTGATCACAAAGCTGTATGACTTGTTGTTTTCGTGAAGGACTCGGAATGGATCAAAGGCGACATCGCAGAAGAGCTTGACACTGGGCTCCACGCGCCAGTAGTACTCATAGTTCAGCATCAAGGGGTGGCGGAAGAAGAAGCCTGATTCATAGCGACACATGTGTCGATAGCTCTCAGAATCACCGTAGATGATCTTCTTTTCGCCCATCTCCTCACGAACTTTCTTCGCCTTGTTCTTATCGATCCACGACGGGTATGACCAGTGTTCCTTGGGGATAACGCCGTAATGTGTTTTACCCGAAACCAACGCCGTGGTGAGCTTCTTGAAGTCGTCATTGAATGGTTGATCGTTCAGGAAGACCCAGTCGTAATGATAGTTCCGGTTGAAGCGGTCCTCAACCTGCCGGATGGATTTGGAGATTTCCCAGATATCGGAGTTGCGGGCCAAAGTGACAAACGTGGCATTCATGCGTTCAGCTGCAGAAATAGGCGCACACTGGGTGCTGTGAGTGATCGGATTCCATTTCGACGTTAAACTTCCACTGTAAGGAAGTGGTATTCTAGAATCCGAAACGAAGAAGATGACTATCAACCCCTAGGACGGTTGCGACTTGAGAGTCAGTTGACGGTCATGTAGATCTTCCCGCAAGAAGAGGAGTCCAGCTGTGAGCTATGAATAATGATGGACTTACAAAGAACACGAATAGAATATACCGCACATATCTCACCGGCCCAGACGCCATCTTCGCGGCCTTTGTCTTCAGAGAAATTCAAAATGCAAGAGAGGAACTGTTTTGGCTGCGCGCCTTTAGGGGAAGAGACGACTTTACGGCGGCGAATAATCGGCCGTGGCGCCCGAGCCCCGAGTTGGAAACGATTGAATTGGGCACGAGAAATATCGCCAGTCTGGTGCAAGGAAGAGGATTGACAATCCTTCGGTGCAGAAATCTATAGAGGTTTTTAATGAAGGCAAGGCAGCATTTGTAGTTTGTGATGACTTGAGTTTCAGGTGAATCGTGGCTAATAATAGGATTCGAGACAACCTTGCTGCGCGTAAGACACGTTGTGAGATCCAGAACAATGGATTAATGAGCGGGGTTTTAAGCGAGGGAACAAAGAAACAGAAGAAGAACAAAGCAAGAAGGGAAAGGCACAGTTAAGTGAATTGCCAGAGAAACTAAGAGGGGGTGAAGGAGGAATGCATTCACGTAAATGGTCTCATCCATGGATCAATTATCATCAAGCTAATTTGGAAATAATAACGCCCTCCACGCCCTCCACGCTACACAAATGGTTACCCCCCTTATCCAACTCCAATTGAACTTGTTGTTTCTTTTCATTTCTTGCTTTCTTTGAGTTTTTATTCCTGGGTTATATAGACAATAATTCAACGTGACTATCAAATCCTCGACGCCAACCGACTAGCACCGTCAAGCCGGATACAGTCACCATTCAGCATAGGATTCCGACAGATATCCAACACCAGCTGACCGAATTCCTCTGGCCTCCCAGGCCTGGCCGGCCACTCCAGCGTCTTCTTCAAACTATTATACAGCTTCTCCGGCATCATGGCCGTCATTCCCGTGTCGAAGATATTAGGCGCGATGGACACCGCGCGGATACCGTAGCGACTCAGGTCGCGCGCCAGAGGGAGGGTGAGAGATCGGATCGCCCCCTTGGATGCAGCGTAGGCGACCTGGCCCGGCTGGCCGTCGTAGGCGGACGAAGAGGAGACCATGATGACGACTCCACGCTCTTCTTCATTCTCGGAGTCCGTGGAGGGAGCAACGCGTGCGAGATGCGGCACAGCGAGACGGATCAGGTCGATTGTCCCGATCACATTAACGTTGATGACAGTCTGGATGGTGTCGATGTCGGCAGGTTCATAGGAGGAATTGATTATCTGCATGACTCATTCCTCTCGTCAATGGGGTTATCTATGATTTTCAACAAATCCATGGACAAGTCACCGGCGAAAGAGGTAAGTAATTAATCATAATACCTTCGCAGGAGCTGCGATTCCAGCACAGGCAATAACACCACCCAACGGCGCGCCAGTCTCCTTCGTCCATTCAATAGTGCCATCAGTGGCTTTCTGGATATCACTCGTCGAAGTCACATCCACCTGGAAGAACTTGGCTCGACCCGCAGGCAGCTGGCCCACAACGTTGTTATCATCTGCGAGATCGAAGAGAACGACGTAGGCGTCCCCATGAGTCAGCAGCTGAGCTGCTCCCCTTCCAAGACCAGAAGTCCTAGACAATAGCCATCGTTAGTAATCCATCCTCTGGCAATGAACTAGATGTTTAGATAACCCACTTACCCGCCTGAGATGATGAATGTTCTGCCCTCGACTTTCATCGTGCTTGGGTCTCTTATATGTAGAGTTTCGAAGTTGGTCTGCTATGCGATTATGCCGAGGCAAGATGATCTGGGAGGAGCAGCGAAGCTCACGTAATGCAATGCAAGCAAGTTTCACGGTGCAGCCTGAAGGATTCTGGTCGAAATGCGGTTCAATTCCAGAAGCAACAGTTAGCAGATAGCTTGTATATAAATGGAAACAGCTGGGCATGAATCCTGTCGGTGAATCGGTGGCCGTTGGATCTTCACAAGCCAGTCGGAATTTACCAGAACAGAACTAGATCCAAGCTGATCTGTAGACTATCAATCGGTATACGATCTGGATACATATCCGAGGGCCGAAGAAGTTGCTTAACTATTGTAGATGGCACTGTCCATGAACATGGACGCCGAGCTTGTTGATCTTTCCTGGAAGCTTCACATTACTACTGACGTTCAAAAAGAAATAATATTGCCTGAAATGCATTCATTCTATTTATTATTTTGTCGCTTCCCAACGACTATTAACGTCCTTTCTTAGTTCTTCAACTTCTCTAGCAACTCCGCCGGAGGATCTTGCCTGTATCCCTGCGGGTTGTTCTTCGTCCAGAGCCAGAGATCCTCGCATGCTTGTTCGAGGGTCCGCTCGGCCTTCCAGCCAAGCTCCTCGTTAGCTCTGGTCGGGTTGGAAGTCAGGTTGAGCACGTCACCGTCACGACGGGGAGCAATTTCGTAAGGGAGATCCCTGCCGACGGCAGCAGAAAAGGCATGGACCATCTCGAAGACAGTGCTGCCCCGGCCGGTTCCGAGGTTCCAGGCGCGGACACCCGGGTTGTGAGTGCGGAGGTAGTCGAGAGCTTTAAGGTGACCGTCCGCCAAGTCAAGGATGTGAATGTAATCTCTGATAGCCGTGCCGTCGTGGGAGGCGTAATCTGTTAAGCAATACCATTGTCAGCTGTTAATCCTGTATGAACGCGAAAAGAAATAAAACTGAAAATAAACTGACCATCTCCAAAAACAAGAAGCTTTTCCCTCTTGCCAGTAGCAACTTGCGCCAATAATGGCAACAGGTTATACGGTACACCCTGCGGGTCCTCACCCATGATTCCACTGGGATGGGCACCAGCGGGGTTGAAGTATCTCAGAAGCGCCGCGTTCCATTTGTCGATCTCCTCCTTCGGCTTACCTGCCTTGCGCGCATTACTGCGCTGCGCATTGATCACATCCGTGATGGCGTTCTCAACGCCCATCTTTGTGTTTCCGTACGGGTTCGTTGGGCCCAGAGGGCAGATCTCGGGAATGGGTATCATGTTGGGGAAACGGGTGGCATCGCCGTAGACGGTGGCAGAGCTGGAGAAAACAATGTTGGTCACATTGTGCTTGACCATGGAGCGCAGGAGGCAGAGCGTGCCGACAACATTGACACGGTAGTACTCGAGGGGTATCTCGGTGGATTCTCCGACGGCCTTTGCAGTGTCTTCAGTGAGAATCAGCCCCCCCATAAACTTGTAGAATAGAGAAATAGCTACCTTCAATGCAGCAAAGTGAATCACATTATCAATGTCGGGATGCGCCTCAAACACCTTATCCAAGGCCGCCTCATCGGTGATGTCCAACTTGACAAACTCGGCTTTCTTGCCGCAGATTAATTCAACGCGGTGCAAAGCTTCGACGAAGGAATTGTACAGGTTGTCGACGACTACGACCTTGTAACCAGCCTGGAGAAGTGCGAGAACGGTGAAGGAACCGATGTAACCGGTTCCTCTGGACGGTGTTAGCAGCGGTCGAGACCAGCGGACGGGGGGGATGGCGGGGGCGGGGAAAACAGAACAGTTAAGAGAACAAACACCACAGGATGACGACTTACCCAGTAACAAGAACCGATCCAACAGGCATGATTATGGCAGGACTGGAAGCAGAAATGGATGAAGGGATAGAAGCAGATTCAGTAGCAGAATAGGGGGAAGAAGATGGAAACGCGCGAAGTTGACCGCGAAATGAAGGCACAAATGCGGAGAGTGGCCAGACGCCTGAGCAGTATTATCCTGAATGACTACCACCGTAAAGAAACCTGTCCTGGTAGTGAATGCGATCCTTATGAGTAGCAACAGAGAGCAGTGTAACCTCTGATGCTTGTTCCACCGTAGTATTTAAGTACTGACAGTCTACGGCGTGTTCCCTGGCTCTGATCGGCATGGCGAGGGCTGTGAGTATTATTATTACAGGGCGTTCCAAGGACGATCGCCCCAATCGCTAAATAGGATAAATTTCATGCGGGAGAAGAAGCAATTTAGCCATTGTCCTCAGTCTCCTGATAATATTCTTGCCCTTGTTACGCTGACAAAATTGCGTGGTGTCTCCGCTTGGGGATTGCCATTGGCCATGTTCGGTGGTTTTGAAGACACGGTGATGGAACTGTCAAGCTTAAGCTTTGGATATAGTTATTACCTACTAAGTATTATTTTCTGCAGGTTAATTAAATCAAGGGAAAAGCCACCTGTCCCTGATGTAAAGCAGTGCCAGTAGGAATCCGCTCTGCTGTGTACCGGTCCACTCCATTACGAGTCTTCCATGCATCCTGGAGAACCGGTTATTGTTTACGCAATGGCCAAGTTTCGTTTAAATCCATAGTTACTTTCTTTCTCCCTGCGCAATCCCATACGGATGCTACGCGACTGCGCCCCTCCAGCGCCACGAATAGGTATAATAAAATGTATGTACAAGGCCGACTTCATCAAGGCATAGTGTATCAAACCGGCCATTGAGACACCACAAAGCGCACTGGAAAAGAAAGAAAATGGCATTCGCTTTTCAGTGTCATTAAAATCCCTTCCAAAAAAAGTACAAACAGATAAGTGAGAAAAAAAAAAACGACAACTTATGCATCCAGGACTAGTATCCCGGATGCCCATCGTCTATCCCCGACAAAGGTTCATGGTGATTTGCATATACAGCGCATAACTTCGATAGAGTTCTGTGAACAACTTCCATCGCGGAACCAGCATCAATAATAATCACTCCATCGTAATCTAGGGAACTTCCGCTGTCAGGAAGTCCCACCCGTATCATTCGCCCAATGTGCGTGGTTGACGCAATGCACATTCTTCAACCCAAGAGTTCGACATCAAGCCCAATAGCACGCATGAATAGGTTGACATTTCCCAGTCTCTGGCTAGCTAGGTCAGCAGGCAGCGTCTTGCTATAACTGACTGTCTCCATGACACGATCCCTGCGAATGTTATTAGCAACACAGTCGCGTAACCGGTGAAACGGAAGAGAACTACTTACTTGACGGCAATGACCAGCCGTTGTTGTTGCTCTGGACTCGCCCCGATCCCGAGTGCGGCTAAAAACTGCCAGACGTACATATCATCGCCAGCATTGATCGAGCCCGGGAAAATATCCGCCAAGATTGGCTCGAGGGTGTCAAACAGCACGTTGAACTTCTCCACCCACTGCTGCCAATCGCGCTCCGCTGCCTGGCCGGCCTCTTTCACAATCTCAGCTCGACTGAGCAGCATTGTTAGAATGCCCAGGCCGATTCGGGTCTTGGCGATCGACTGCACATGGGTCTGTGCGATGACAAGGCCTAGAAGGCCGATAATGATGTTGAACGGGGCCTCATTCACATATCCCAAAAGACTCGGCATTACTGCCTGGGAAAAGAGATCAATAGCTTCACGCACAGCCAATGGAGGCTGCGCCTCACCAGGTGGAGGTTGTGCAAGGCGGACAACGTCTAACGAATCCAGATGCACAACGATCATGGTCAAGATGGTGACTCGTTGCTCCTGATCGACGTGGCGGAAAATGCGGGGAATAGCTTTCTTGCCCTTCGGATACGAGAGGAACGCAATGAACGGGTGCGGAGTAGTAGAGCCGGGAACAATCGGTTCCATAACCTTAAGCTCCCGCCACAGTTTCTGGTTGAGCGACTGGATCTTCTGTCGCCATTCCATGTGCTTCTGGATAGCCTCTGGATCGTCCTCGCTCGGTGGCGGCGGCATTGTTCGCTCCATGTCCTCCATCGACATCAACGTATTGTAAACATTCTCAATGTTCGCCAATATAGATTTACGATCATTAATGCTCAAGTCTGCATGCGGCTTCTTGGGAGCCTTGATTCCCTCAGAGCTGTCGGGACGCTTGATGTTGAGCATAGGTTTCGGTGCATTGGCATTGCTGAAGGAAATCTTGCCCAGGCTGCCTTCAATAATGAGCTGCTTGTTCTTCGGCTTGAGTTTCGCTGCTTCGACCGCGCGAAGAACTTGTTGCTGCATCCGCTGCATATGGTTATCGGCACCCTGGTAGTGCCTTCGGCCACCATGACCACTGACACGATTACCTGTCTGGAAGAGGTACGTCTGCGCGAAGTGGCCGAGAGGTTGACGAGGATGTTGTCGAGGTGCTCCACGTATCTGGCTGTAGACTTGGTAGTAGAAATCCTCCTTCAGGTTGGCCTCTGGGTCCGTGTCTGCCACATTACCCGCAGCAGCGACTAATTGCTGCAGCTGGATCCGCGTGATGAAGTTCTTATCCTGTGGTGTCATCAAACCATTCCCCTTGGAAAGAAGGAAAATCTTGTGATTACGCTTCGCACGTTTGGCGTCTTCCATCAAGTACAACATGCGCTGCTCCTCTGTCAGATTCATCAGTTGCTGTGCGTTGGTGATTACCGGCAAACCAGCAACTGGGCCCCGAGGAAGTGGCATCTGCGCTTGTTGTTGCTGCTGCTGCGGTAGTCTTTGAATTCGCGGAGCCATACTCTGCAGTTGTTGCGCAACAGCGGCGGCGGCGGTAGCCATATGCTGCGGAGGGATGTTGGCATTCTGCAAGACATGCAACGGCGCTGTGGGCGGCGCATGAGTAAAAGGATAAGGCTCCGGAGCAAGGGGCTGGTGTTGTAACAGCTGCGACGGTGGAATACCTCCTTTGGCCAGCTGAGCCTGCAGGAACTCGGGAGGCAATTGAGCAAAGCCGTCAGGAAAAGGGGGCATCTGTGGAGGTCGCTGGAGCGGCTGTTGCTGGGGAAGTTCCGGAGCAGGAGCAGGCAATGATGCAGGAGGTTGGGTTTGTAGAGGTCGTTGAGTTTGACCACGTAACTGAGCTTCCACTTCCTCCAGACTCAGCATCTTCTTGGCTGGTGCAACGGTCGACTCCGCAGCAGGCTTGGGTTGCGAAGGAATGCCCCAAACGCTGGACTTAGCTTGGAGATCAGGAATATAGGTATCATCCTGATACTTTTCATAGCCCGTTCTTCTCGGCTTCTGGTGCGCTGTTTCTGTCGCGGGAGCCACAGGAGCCGCAGCAGTCGGTTTCGAGTGCTGCAGGTTGAAGCGTATTTGTTCCTCACCGATGATGTCCGAAACCTGCGCCGTGTTCCCAAAGAAGTCAAAGTCTTTTCCAACAGCAGAGGTTTCAAGTTCACCGCCGAAGGTGTCTTCGTTGAAGGCATCCTGGTCGTCGTCGAGGTTGTCACCTAGACCGTCGTACGTGTCTTCGAAGTCGATGCTGGACACGGCGATCAAGGAGCACGGTCAGCATCTCCATTCTATCCTTTTAACAAAATATCATCCGTAGAAATGAGAGTCCCTCACACATCATCATCATCATCATTCAACCCTTCAGCTCTAACCCGAGCGACCTCTGCGAAGGGATCGGGATTCTCAAAAATGCCCCTCTTGTCCCCAGAGGGCTTATCCCTGGGGAGGGTGGTGTCGAAGCCAAAGAAGGACATTTCTGCTAGTTTTACACGAGTTGAACGCAGATAGTGGAAAAAGGCAAGGAGCGCAGATAGGCGCGTCCATCCACGACAACATTGACGGTGATAGAAGGTTGGTGGGACGCCAATTTCATCGGAGGTGCTCTTCGCCTGGCGGGAAGTGTGCATGCCTCAGGCAGCAACATCAACAGACCCAAGATCGAGCAAGCATGTCTTGTCTTCGTGAAAGGAATCGAGGTTAAGAAAGGGCCAGGCCTCATTATGCAAGTACTATATATTTTCTATCAATAGCAACAGGTACGTACACGCCGCCTATTTCCCCCCTTTCCGGCTCTTGGAACCAGATGCTTGCTGGTTAGTACCGGCAGTTGCTGCTTTCCCACTCTTATTGTTACTAACACTCTGGCTTTTATTCTTCTCCTCCTCCGTCTTCTTCGCAAGTGCTCTTTTAACTGCCGCTTCCTTCTCTTTCTCCAGAATAACCTCCTCGCTAAACTTCCACAGCTTCTTCCCAGCTTCGTCATCCCGAATCTCCCTCCTTGCAACATCCATCTCCCTGCATTCCTTGATAAACCAACCCCCAGGCCCAATCCTGTACCGCGCTTCCATAGCTGCGTACAGGATACTCTGGGCTCCCTGTTGTGGGGACTTGAGAACCAACCACCAAATCGGCCAGGTAAGGAGGTAGAGTAATAAACCCCAGAGCGAGCCACCTGTCAACCACCGGCGTGTTCCCGGAGTCCGACTAAGACCAGGGTCGACGATGAAAACATGGGCGTTGGGTGGTTGGCCATCCGGGCGTTTGTAGGCATTAAGATGGGATTGAAAGGAATGCGCGAAGATCATAAGAGACAATTTGCTTAGACCGAATAGATTTGTCGCCTGTCGTTTCGAAGATTTTCCCTTGGCCTTGGCTTTGGTGATAGTCTTGGGTGTAGATCCCGAAGGTTTGGGAATCTCGCCAGTAATAGCAGCTTGTTTGAGGTCCATTTTTGCTCCAATATACCCCGAACATGTCGTAAAAATAATGCGCACATCCCTATCAGCCGGCTGCGCCCTCAGCGCCGGAGAAAGGATGCTGAGTAAGTGGAAATTCGCCAGGTAATTGATCTGCCAATCCTGATCCAAACCATCGATAGTGGTCGTCCTCTTGCCAGACGTCGGAGCCGCTGTGCTTGCGCAGAGAATGATCATGTCTAGACGGCGCGGAGGAAGATTGTCGATCCATTTCGTCGCAAAGGCTCTGATTGAGTGCAGCGACGATAAATCCACCTGCTCGGCATATATGAGCTGATTTTTGGTGGACTTGCGAAGATCCTCGATATAGTCGACGAGAAAGATATCAGAGGGTGGGTGCTGGGTGAGCAGGATGATTTGGGCACCGCGAGAGGCGAGTTCGTGGACAACACTGGCTCCGATTCCTGACGTGCCCCCCTAGGAAGTAATGTATTAGGCATAGCGATGGGAATTGGCAGTCTCAAAAACAGCACATACAGTAATCATAATCACTTTCGAGTGCATCAATCGCTCTGATCTGTTTCGGGCTCCCCCGAAGAAGTACTTGAGACCCAAAACCAGGAGAACCCATGGTACAATCTTCAGGACTGTGTAGACATAGGGAATCGATGAAAGGCCCTCTGTTGCCGCCTGGACGAGAATGGGAATTGGCATATCGAGGACACCGTTAATTGCGTTGAATTCGTTGAATTAAAAAGCGATATCGAAGACAAACGGTGGTAGAAAATAATAAAACAACACTTATCCTCCGCGGACGATGACGCCGGTGGGCCAATCTCCCGCCGCCACAGCAAGAGCTAATGTTGCCTTCTTGCTGTTCGTTCTTCCCTCCTACACTCCGTCAGCTTTGGCCAAAGCTGAATCCAAGCATGCCTTACACAGACGAAGACTATTTCGTCCCGCTAGAGGACCAGCGCGTCTTTGGCGCAGGCATTCGACGAAAACGCGTCCCTTTCGTTCGGTCATCAGAACATGAACTGAACACCACAGTCACCGCTAATGCTCAACCTACATCGACAACTGCTGCATCAGCTGGTGTGAATATAGCTAATAGATATTTATCAATCGTCCTGCCTAAAGATCAACCGAAACTAGAACAAAAGCAAGAACAGAATGAACAAGTCCACCCGGCACCACCGTCCCCCTCTTCGATGACAACTCCGCAACTATTACAACGCTGCGAGATCTGCAACCTCCCCTTGACCTCCGACTCAAACACAATGGGTTCCCACCGTCCTCATGAAGCGTCACTTGCGCACCAGCTCTGCCTTGCCCATTCTCACCCGCCCTCGCATCTGGACCGAACCCGTCACGGCCTCCGCTACCTGTCTGCTTACGGATGGGATCCAGATAGCAGACTCGGTCTCGGCGCTCCGGGGCGAGAGGGGATACGAGAACCGGTAAAACCGAGAGTAAAGCATGATACTATCGGTCTGGGAGTAAATATAGATGAGGATGCAGATGAAGGCCCGGTCTCGAAGCGAAGTAGGAACAAAGAGCCGCCAAAGCCGACAAAGGTCGAGAAGCTTAATGCGAAGCAAGTTCGGAAGAGTCATGCGGAGGCCAAAAAGAAGAACGAGAAGTTAAGGGAGCTGTTTTTTCGGAGTGATGATGTCCAGAAGCACCTTGGTCTTTCATGACTGGGCGCTTCATCAGAGACATTGTATCATATCATCATTGATCCCTGAAGCTATAGATGACATTGCTGTCCCCTTTGGGACTTAATCGGAAGTTATGAGATACCCCCGCCATAGAATCATTGTTTCCATATTAATACGGGTTCAAAATATACATGAGGGAGTTCCTTGATAGCGGGGGCCGCATACTCAATACTGCACTGCCTTAAGAAATTAGGGAGGTTTATTAAAATACATGCCAATGCAACCATGGAGAGACAGATGGACAGATAAATCAACCATACTCAGTGAGCGCCGTTGCAGTCAACCCATTCAAAAAAGATGGTATCAAAGACAGTGCTATAAACGCCAAAAGAGCGACATGCAGTTGAAAAAAAAAAAATGTTGAAAGGGGACGCCATGGCTCATACAGTTACCTGATGAAAAAGTGGTGGCGTTTCTTGTCTTTCTTGTCTTTATCTTTCTTGTCCTTATCCTTTTCCTTGTCCTTGTCTTTTTTATCCTTATCTTTCTTATGGTGCTTGTCCGATGATCCGTTCGAACCTAAAGACATCGCTCCCATGGCTGCCGTAGGAGCGGCATGTCGGGAAGGCTTTGCTGGGGCTGGGGCCGGCGAAGTTTTTGGTGCCGGTGGAGGGTCCGCCTCGAAGAGATGCGCGGGTGCCTGTGGCTTAGGTCGCTCTGCTGGGATATCTAGTTGCCGTTTATCGGCACTGAGATCCCCGACCTGCCGCAGGAACATACCGGGTGTCAGCATATGAGATGTGGCGAGATAAACATCTCTAGCGAATGCTTGGGAAATTTCATAACAAGCGCGGGCTTCAGAGTAAGTTGCACCGCCAGCCATGAAGACAATTATACGTTGCTTCGGCTGTTCCCCGTTGGAGCGTGTTCGGGCCCATGTCGGCTTCGCGCTTCTGAGAGACGACTGAGAGAGACTATTCTGCGGCATTGAACTTTCCGGTTCAGTTTGAGGACGGGTGAAAGGGAATGCAGTGGAGTCCAGAGTTCCGCGAAGTAGCTCTTCAAGCATCAATTTCACATTCGGCTCATACCGGGATAAAACAATCTCATTTGGTTCCGTGGCAGGCGGTGGCTTTCGATTGAATAAGGGCTGAACGGCGGGACGTTTTTCTTCCTTCAAATGTTTCTCTACCCTAACGCCTAATAAATCGAGGTTGTAAATGACTTCACCATCCTGTGAAGGAAGATTGCCGTGGGCCATGAGCTTCTTGATATCCCCGGGAAGTAATCCTCTTCGGTATATGAGATAGAGTAGAAGGAGTCTCAGCCGTTCTGGATGCCCAATCGAGTCATCATCGAGCAGTTGAACAAGCTGCTCCGCCAGATTCTTTGCCTTCTTATAGTTCTCATCAAGGCCAGTAGCAAGACATTGTTCGACTGAGCTGACCTCCAGTAGTTTATGATCTTGGAAATATTTCATGCACTCGTGTGCCATGTTGAGATGGAGCGTGTAGATATTCTTTCCCTCCTGGAAATCCGACAGGCCAGCGAGCATCTGCCTGATTGTGTCCACACTGGCTTTATCCTTCCTATGGAAATATTAGCAGGCTGTGGCTTCCTTACTATGATGTATTGACATACTCGTCAAACTGAGCGTTCGCAGCTCTGAACTTGGCAAAATCTTCCCCCAGTCTCTCGAGCACATCTTTCATGTGGACATGCCTGTAGTCAACCCATACTTTGTCCTTTTCGCTAATTTCCATTTCTTTCGTTTCCTCATTTTGGGCACCCTCGTTGATAACCGTCTTGTACGTGATCTTATCACCCTCCTGTAAAGGCAACAGATCATGCGCCAAAGCCTGGTAGGTAAACTCATGGAGTAAGGGAGTGATCATGTCCATAGAACGATCAACTATTACGAGAACACCACGGGGCCTGTTAGACGGAGGAGGGAAGTCTCTTTGGAACTGCGCAAAACGGTCGAGTTCATCCTGGATAAAGCGAGCAAGATGAGAGCACAGTACACTCGCCTCATGAGTGGGCATCCTGGGCTTATAGTACCGAATCACAGGGTATTCTCCTAGACTAGCGCAAACGGAGACAACCTCAAAGACCGAGTTAGCAGGTGGCTTGAAATCTCAATTGACGCCGTGCTTCTCACTCACTCGCTGCGCAATTTCTTGCAGATGGCCTCGAATTAAATTATTACAGGCAGGGTGAAACAGGATTGGAAAACTCCATGGATCTCGAAATGTTACCACATGTGATTCTCGCGGATAGAAGTCGACGTTCATGATTTGAAAACTCGCAATTCGTTCGCGCGCCAAGGGGGATCTTTCGATCCTAGTCCTCTGCTCCGAGTTAAGGGCTAAACATGGCGTTAGGTTATTGAACCCGAACAAATAATAACGACATGCCACTAACATGATGTCCAGACCAAATGCGACATTCTGTACCTCTTTCTCTCGAAGTCGGCCATTAGACAGTCCACAATATGCGGAAGAGGGGATAGTATGTATAACGCATCCATATCTGGATTCGGTGTACGCCTGTGCTCGATTTGTTCGACATCTTTCATGATTGTTCAGTTGACGCTACCCGGGGGCCGCATGCGTAGGCGCTTACTCGTAACATTGAGATTGAGAATATCATCCTCGCTGACGGAATTGAAAAGCAACTTCCGGCTCGTATCATCCACGACCACGACTTTCCACTGTGCAATGATTGTAGAACGCTCAGCATGAACACCAACGGAGGTATCACTCTAGCGGGGAAAGCCTACCTTGTCGCCTCCGGCATAGCGGATCGTTTTTAAAATAACTAGACAGCGGTAAGAATCAATGAGACAGGCTATAGTGAAAGGAATAAGTGGGATGGAAGAAGAGGACAGCTGCTACGCACCATCACGTTGAATATTGATTATGGAGGACATGTTGGCTGACTGGCAGCCCGTGGCATGGGCTTGAACCACCTGCCTCTAACAGGTAGAAGACGGACGTGGTCTAGGTATAGGAAAGGAAAGTAAGAAACAAGAGGAATGACAGCAGGCGATGTAAACAGAGAAGATGCCACGGACAGGAGGGAAAGGAGGCTGATGCCAGTATTTAGGTAGAAGCCGGGAGACCACCCCACTGTAGCAGCATCAGAGGGATATATTATTAGTAGACCCCGGGCGGTGGGTTTTGCATCGGCGGTTGCAGGTGGCGCCGATCTGATCCCTGCGCTGCAGGAATGCTAAATAATCTTCGACGGAGAAGAAAAAGCAGAAAAAAGGGCCTCCAGTTACTGATCTGCTTCGTTGTCAATGTACTCCCCCTGCTAACGATCTGACATTGTCGGAAAGGCGTTTGGATGCGCAGATCTACCGGTTTGGCTTCCTTCCTTTTTCCAAACTCTTTAGTTTCTTCTCGGTTTCTTTCTCCACCTCCGCCGTCGTTTGGCGCGTCTTAATGATCGCGGCCCGTATCAGGGTCATTCATAGCGATAGAGATGCAGTCATGGAAAACTCTGAGGGCCAGGAGCAGCTTCTGCCTCTTCTGTACCTTGCGATCTTTAACCCATCCAGCGAAGCGAACGTTCTCAACAACTCCGTCGCTACAACGGAAGCAGTCGAAGAAAATTCCACCTAAGATCAGTGAAATAGTAAGGAATCTATTGTCCCTTTGATCCCGTAAACGGTATGCTAACTCAGTGTCTCATGATGAAGTTATCTGCTCCACGAACTGTGCGACGAAAGGTAGTCAATCGCGATTTTCCCGCCACCGTAGCGACTGTACTACAGCAGCTCAAGCAGGATCTAGATGAGGCGGATCCCCTCTGGGCAGGATGGAACAGATTCGAGAGATACGTGATGAATGCTTGCCGAATGGAAGATTCCAAAAGTAGCGAGAAAATTGGCCCTCTAAAGCAGGTGAAACTGTCGCTGCAGAACGCTTACCTCCGGTCGGGCCCGTTTGGTCTGAGGGATGAGTTGGAGTATCTCCTTCAGGCAGAGTACATTACTTCATTATATTCTACTCCAAATCTAGAACAGCAGAAGAAAGTGGCCGATTTCCGATATCCAGCAGAATGGTATCCTCAAGCTCGTTCTCTCCAGCGGACAATACATTTGCATGTTGGCCCAACAAACTCCGGGAAGACGTATCGTGCCCTGAAACGGCTCGAAGCCTGCAAAAAAGGCTTTTATGCTGGCCCGTTGAGGCTACTTGCGCAAGAGGTATATCAACGATTCAAGGCTGCGGGTGTTCCCTGCAGTCTGGTGACCGGTGATGACGTCAAAATTCCGGACGTCCCCCCGAGAATCACTAGCAATACCGTCGAAATGGTTAGCCTAGCTGAGCAATTCGAGGTAGGAGTCATTGATGAAATACAGATGATGGGGGACCCAAGACGCGGTTGGGCATGGACTCGTGCTGTCCTTGGCTCGCGTGCGACCGAACTTCATCTCTGTGGTGAAGCAAGGGTTGTTCCGCTGGTAGAAAAGCTTACGGCTCTTACCGGAGATAAACTGGAAATCCATCGCTATGAGCGATTGAACCCCTTGAAGGTTATGAGACGCAGTCTCGGAGGTGATCTGAAGAATTTACAGAAGGGGGACTGCCTTGTCTCTTTCTCGCGCATAGGTATCCATGCCTTGAAAGCGGAGATTGAGAAGACTACTGGAAGACGAGCAGCTATTGTGTATGGAGGCTTACCTGCCGAAATTCGGACACAGCAGGCTAGCCTTTTCAACGACCCTGACAATGACTATGACTTTCTTGTTGCTAGTGATGCTATTGGGATGGGTCTGAACTTGTAAGTTTCCTGTGTCACTACGACAAGGCGCCCCGATTCTAATGCATGTCAGGAGTTGCAAGCGTATTATTTTCGAAACATTAGTCAAGAGGGTCCCAGAAGGTCTTGTAAGACTAAGCGTGCCCGAGATCAAGCAGATTGCAGGGCGTGCCGGTCGATATCGCTCGGCAGCGCAGGCTCAGAAAAAGAATTCTGACGATGATGAGGAGCAAAATGTTGGTCTTGTAACGTCTCTGGAGGATGTTGACCTTCCATATATCAAAGAGGCTATGGAACAGGAACCTCCCCCGCTTAAAGCTGCTGGTATCTTCCCTCCAGATCCCGCTTTCCAGAAATTCGCCGTCTACTTCCCTCGTAACATTCCATTTGAGTACATTATTAAGCGACTACTGGAAATCTCGCAAGTCCACCCTCTATTCTTCATGTGTGATCCGCGCAGTCAAATCGGGAATGCACAGCTCATAGATACAGTTGAAGGCCTGCGTATCGAGGACCAGCTAACACTAATGGCTGCCCCTATGTATATACGAGACCAGGCTTTGTGGGACATCACGCGTGCCTTTGCCCAGTGTATTGCTCAACACACTGATGGCCGTCTATTGGACATACCTGAGGTGAACCTGGAGATTCTGGAGAGACCCGTATCTGGACAGAAAGACTATTTGAATGATCTGGAGAGTCTACACAAGGCAATCATCCTGTACTCGTGGTTGAGTTTCAGATTTGGTGGTGTCTTTACCGATAGGGCTCTGGCAGCCCATGTTAAGGAACTGGTGGAAGAGAGAATGGTCAGGGCGCTGACAGAATTCTCTGCGAACAAGAAGCTGAGGAAGGACGCGTCCCTTCGACGACAAATCGCCTTGCAGATGCAAATGGAGCAACAGAACCGAATCCTTTCTCAGTCCCGTGTGGCTGATGAAGAAGAACAAGAGATGCCCATTGATCTCTCAGCCGAAGAAAACGATCTGGAAACGCCTGAGCGTGAAGCTCAAGCAGTATGAGGTCGCATTTTCATATGTCATGGGACTATCACCTTCCCCTTTGTACTACATTATTATCACACGCTTAAATGCTCTCCTGTTCTCTCAGTGAGGCTATCATTACCAGTCACCATTCGGAGTGCATGCTGGAATTATTTGCGGCTTGGACAATATGAACTTCCACGTTGGGTGTGCTGTCAGTCAGAATCTCAGAAGACGGTAACTTCTTCTAAAAAATAGGACTTCTGATGATGTGTATCAGTAGATCGGTATATATGATGTGACCATGTCAAATCTAGATGTATCAATTTATATTTGCCTCTGTACCCTACTCCGTAGTATTATAGTCTTGCAGTGCGTACACTTCTCGAAATTACTTATCTTATCGTTGGGTGGCGAGTCGCGGTTGGAAACCGCCACAATAATTTTTCCGCGTTCGTGAGCCTTCGGTCAGCAGCAGCTGGAAAGCTGTATACACTTCTACACTTGCAACTGAGCAACAACAGAAATCGGGCTACTTATTAAAGTAGACTCCTTGTATTTTATTTTTTTCTATTTTCTTTTATTCATTATTCGGTCTTTTTTCCTGCCTTCCCTCTGTCATTTCACCGCAGTTCCAGTACCGGGTCATGGATGACCTTCAGTCTCTGGAGCTCTTCTCGCTCGTATCGCGAATAACGAACGAGCTCCAGAACCATTTGGGCATTAATGACAAAACGCTTGCAGAATTTGTAATCGACCAACGTCTACAATGTCGCTCATTCGCGGAATTCAAGGGGAAGATTGAGGAAATGGGGGCCGACTTCCCCGAAAGTCTGGTGGAGAGTATTGACCGTTTAGTTTTAACGATGCACCCGAAATTTCAGTCAAATGGAGCGGCTGCCGGCAAAGGTTCAGAAGGTGCATCAGGGAATGGCGATATGGATGTTCTTGATGCTCTGGAAAAGAAGGCGCGAGTGTTCAAGGGATTAGCCGTTCCGGACCAGAAGCCGCGGTGGAACGACGATGAAGACGCTCGGCGCGGTGGTACTGACGAGAATGATGCCCAAGCTGGCGCTATGGACGATACATTTGCTATGCTGGAGGGACTGGCAGGGAAGGCGAAAGAAGGCAAGACACGTACGAAAGACGAGGGGAGCGTCAGAAGACGAAGCAGGAGTCCCGATCACGACTACTACGATCGCGGACACAGGAGGAAGCATAGGTACCGGTCTCGATCTAGGTCACGCAGCGGTGTTCGCTACAGTCGGGAAGAAGATGATGACGAGGTAGATGGATTCGGCAGATCGAGAAAATATCGCAGCAAGGAAGATGGGTATCGCAATGGCCGCAGTGACCGCCGTAAAGGACGGGGTCAAGATGAAGATGAAGACTATTTCCGACGGCCTCCTCCCGTGGAGCTAGATGACCAGCCGATTCTTTACAAAATCTACGATGGCCGTGTCACGGGTGTGAAAGACTTCGGTGCTTTCGTGAACCTATTGGGTGTTAAGGGGAAGGTGGATGGCCTAGTGCATGTTTCTGCGATGCAAGAAGGGGCTCGGGTAAATCATCCTTCGGATCTAGTTTCACGAGGACAACCAGTCAAAGTCAAAGTTATCAGCATACAAGGCTCCAGGATAGGGTTGTCGATGAAAGAAGTCGACCAGGTGACAGGACAAGACCTTGTACCTCAGCGGCGCATTGCGTCAGGTGCCAATATGGAACGTCTTGACGGTGCGGCTGCCAAGGACAGATACGGCAACTTGAGTTCGGAAGTTCCAGTCATTGAGGGTTCTAACAACAGGCCAATAAAGAATCGGAAACGGTTAACTTCCCCAGAGCGATGGGAGATCAAGCAATTGATTGCTTCTGGCGCGTTCTCTGCAGCCGACTATCCTGACATCGATGAGGAATACCAAGCCACTCTAACTGGCGAAGGCACCTTTCAGGAAGAGGAAGACGTGGATATTGAGGTCAAAACTGAGGAACCTCCATTCCTGGCTGGTCAGACAAAGATGTCTCTTGAGCTCTCTCCAATTCGAGTTGTAAAGGCTCCCGACGGTTCTCTCAACCGCGCTGCCATGGCAGGGACGAATCTCGCCAAGGAAAGACGAGAGTTGAGGCAGCAAGAAGCACAGGATAGGGCTGCTGAACAAGCTGCTGAGATCGATCTAAATGCACAGTGGCAGGATCCGATGATTGCACCTGAAGATCGGAAGTTTGCAGCCGACCTTCGAAACGCGCAGCAAACGAAACCCACTGATTCAATACCAGAATGGAAACGTGTCACGATGGGCAAGAACCAATCCTTTGGTAAGAGGACTAATATGACGATCAAGCAGCAACGTGAGAGTTTGCCAGTGTTCAAATTCCGCAAGCAGCTGCTTGACGCAGTCCAAGATAACCAGTTACTGATCGTGGTCGGAGATACCGGGTCAGGAAAAACTACCCAGTTAACACAGTTTTTTGCCGAGGCTGGATATGCGAATAGGGGCATCATTGGATGCACTCAACCCCGTCGTGTAGCAGCTATGTCTGTAGCCAAGCGTGTGGCTGAGGAAGTCGGCTGCAGACTTGGCGCAGAGGTTGGATACACGATTCGTTTTGAAGATTGCACTAGTCCTGAGACTAAAATCAAGTACATGACGGATGGAATGCTTCAAAGAGAAATCCTTCTAGATCCTGATCTGAAGAAGTATTCAGTGATTATGCTTGACGAAGCTCACGAACGGACAATTGCAACTGATGTGCTTTTTGGACTTCTGAAAAAGACTCTCAAGCGAAGGCCAGATCTCAAATTGATTGTGACATCGGCCACACTGGATGCTGAGAAGTTCTCTGAGTATTTCCATAGATGTCCTATTTTCACGATTCCGGGACGGACCTATCCTGTCGAAATTATGTATTCTAAGGAGCCTGAGTCGGATTACCTTGACGCTGCGCTCATCACGGTCATGCAAATCCATCTGACGGAACCTGCTGGTGATATCCTCCTCTTTTTGACCGGGCAAGAAGAAATTGACACAGCCTGTGAAATTCTCTACGAGCGAATGAAGGCTCTCGGTCCTTCAGTTCCTGAACTGGTCATCCTCCCCGTCTACTCCGCTTTACCGAGCGAAATGCAGAGTAGAATTTTCGAACCCGCCCCACCAGGTGGTAGAAAAGTTGTCATTGGGACCAACATCGCTGAGACTTCAATTACAATCGACAATATTTACTACGTCATTGATCCAGGTTTCGTCAAGCAGAATGCCTATGACCCCAAGCTTGGAATGGATTCCCTGGTGGTTACCCCTATATCTCAGGCTCAGGCTAGGCAGCGGGCCGGCCGTGCAGGGAGAACAGGTCCAGGAAAATGTTTCCGACTATATACTGAGGCAGCCTATCAGTCAGAAATGTTGCCAAACACAATCCCTGAAATCCAGCGTCAAAATCTTTCTCATACCATTCTCATGCTCAAGGCGATGGGCATTAATGACCTTCTTCATTTTGATTTTATGGACCCGCCTCCCACCAATACTATGCTTACTGCTCTGGAGGAGTTGTATGCGTTATCTGCTCTGGATGACGAGGGTCTTTTAACTCGATTGGGACGCAAGATGGCAGACTTCCCAATGGAACCAGCTCTTGCCAAGGTGCTCATCGCTTCTGTCGACATGGGGTGTTCTGAGGAGATGCTTAGCATCGTTGCGATGCTTTCCATTCAATCTGTTTTCTATCGCCCTAAGGAAAAGCAGCAACAAGCAGACCAGAAAAAGGCCAAGTTCCATGACCCGCATGGCGACCATTTAACATTGCTGAACGTATACAATGGATGGAAAAACTCCAAGTTCAGCAATGCCTGGTGCTTTGAGAACTTCATTCAAGCGAGGCAAATTCGCCGTGCCCAGGACGTTCGCCAACAACTGCTTGGTATCATGGACAGGTATCATCACCGGATCGTTTCCTGTGGTAGAGACACAACCAAGGTACGTCAGGCATTGTGTACAGGATTCTTCCGAAATGCAGCCCGCAAGGATCCCCAGGAGGGATATAAGACCCTTGTTGAAGGTACACCTGTCTACATGCATCCTAGCTCCGCATTGTTCGGGAAGCCAGCGGAACATGTTATCTATCACACTCTTGTCCTGACCACCAAGGAATACATGCATTGTACTACCAGTATTGAGCCGAAGTGGCTCGTTGAAGCAGCCCCGACATTCTTCAAGGTGGCGCCCACGGATCGTCTTTCTAAGCGCAAGAGGGCGGAGCGTATTCAGCCCTTGCATAACCGGTTTGCAGGAGAGGATGATTGGCGTTTGTCGGCGCAGAGACGTCAGGGAAGAGGAGGTGGAGGAGGAACTTGGGGTTAATTTCTGGATTAATAATGTTTCTGTTGTTCCTATTATATTTATGAATGTTATAAGATACCCGGATTTCAGTCTCTCCCTCATTTTTGAGTTGTCTCGGAACACACTGTTCCACTTTGTAGATGACCATTCAGTTAACTAGCTTACTACAGCAGACTACAGCTGTAGAGCAGTTTAGAACTAACCAAAGAAGGAATAGCCCCGGTAGTCGGCAACTTCTAGTTTAGGAAGGGCCCACCAGTGCACAAGAGCCAATGAGAATCCGCAAAATTTTGAGATATCCATACGTCTTTGCATCGATATCAAAAAGTCTCGTCTCATAAACCTCTGTTCCGAAAACCAGTACGTCTAATTCGAACGGCGAAAATGGCGCATTTCCATGACCAGTCGTTTCGAGCCAAGAGAAGGAGGCTGGATACGGACAACGCACGATCCGGCGACGGAAATGTGGCTATAACGTCACCTACGCAGCTGCGCGATCTTCTGGTTTTTCGCCAGGACGCCGTACAGGCAAAGCTAGGTAGGCGATCCTAGAAGCCCGAAGCTGTAATTTGTGTCGATTTCAAATGCTTATCTATTGAAAAAACAGGAGTAAATAAATTCAAGGAATTCTTGCAGTCAATCGGCCAGGCCGAAGAGGAAAATATCAAGTCGCAGAAACTGCGTATTCTCAAAACATATTGTGATTCGCAAATTTCTAAGAATGATAACAGCGAGAATGAAACCGCTGTTTGTTTTTCGGATTTGATCCAGACATGGAGCTTTGCTGATGGCAATGGAGATGAATCTCTTCTGACGATTGTGCCATCTGTTTTGGCTCTTTTCCTGAAGACAGCATCCAGCCAGTTGGATTTTCAGGAATTCGGACTGGCACTGTCCAAATTCCTCCTACAGAAGGAACAGTTGCGTCTTTTTAATCGCGGTCTGACTGCCACCAAGGCAAAGGAGCATCTTATTTCTCCTTGTCTTCGTCTGCTGACGGAAATCGTCAGTTTTGATGGCGGAGCGGTGGCGAGGTTGGTTTATTCGGCGCGCCATATCACGTACAAGCGTCTTGATGTCTTTCTTACACCCAACAAGGCACAGCTCGAAAGTTCTTCTGATGGGCATCAGTCATCAACGCTTAGACGGAATGCTCAAAGATATGTCCTAGCGAACCTAAGATTTCAGTCTTCTGCTCCCAAGACCGACATTATTGAACAGCAGAAGACCATCAGAGCGTTCCTTGAGCACGTGCGGAAAGATCCGCGAGATATGGTTCTCGATATCATCAGGAGTATCGATAGGGATGTTGTTGAGGACGCTGATCTTTCTCGAAATACGAAGACTAAATTTTTCAGTCGCTGGAATCTGGAAAGACTTGTAACACTCTACGGATATGACCGGGAATCGGATGAGCCGAACCCCAGTGGTGTATCCATTGCAAATGAGGTGCATAAAATTCTCATGAACATCTGCCTAAATACGGGACTGGGGGTCCTACTTCCGGAAACGGGTTGGTATCCAATTGGCAGCGACCCTGAATCTTTTTTGACCGAAGATGATACGTGCATCGAGCTGGGACTCGACTCCGCGGTCTACGTTGACAAATACAGAGAGTCGGTGCCTGTTCGAAATGGTACACTGTCGTATCTTGCCCAAGTCCTCCGTCCAGATATAGACAGTCTTCAAATTGAGTTACTTCTGGCAATCTTCAAGGCAGCTCCAGAACTTGTTGCCGACTTCTTTACAAAGAAGACCATGTTCGTGTCAGATCCAAAACCGACGGCTTCTTGGATGGCAGAGTCTGCCTTTCTGTTCTCGACTATTCGATTACCTGTCCCTACCAACTGTGGCTGGAAGGAGAAGGTTCCTGCTATGCCGCCACCTGTCTCAGTGGTTATAGAGAGCATTCTGCCACGTCCATTGACACAAAAGATCCTAAGTCGATGTATAAACCAGAATGCCGAAATAGTTACTTTGTTTGCCGTCCGAGTTTTGACAGTAGCCTTCAAGAAGCTAAAGGCAGTACTAAGAATTTTCAACACTGACCACGGCACTGGACAGCCGTTTTGGGAGCAGGCTGCGTCGAAACTGGTTGCCGAATTTTGTCGCCGATGCCCGGCCATGAAGGATGTGACCCTCCTGTTCCGAAGAACTGCGAAAGAGGACCTGCAGCAACAAGAGGCCGTTTCGGAGTTACTAGCTTGCTTTTATGAGGAGATACCTGATATTGCTTTTGAGGAGACCTTTGATGTTTCTTTGGTTTTGGTGGACATTTTGAAGCGATTGGATACGCCGGATCTTAATACCGATGACTCTGAAATGCTTCTGAGCCAGCTGAGAAACATTCTTAGGATAGCGCAACTGTCAGCATCAATCCGTTGGTGGCAACAGCCTGGTAAGTACAGTCCTAGTCGCGTTGTGAGAACTGCACTCTAATATATCCCGGCAGCGTCGATGCAATACTCGGCATTTACTTCCATTTTGAAGGTTCTCGTTGAAGCAGCAGACAAAGATTCCTCGCACCAAATATATGATCTATTGAGAGCCGTATTAGTCGAGAATTCAGTCTTAAAAAACTCTGCTTCATCGTTTGCCGCGTTAACTTCAAGTCTAGAGGCTTCTGCATCGGAACTGCTTGATAATTCCTTGTCGTTCTTGGATAACTGCATTTGCCGGGTAGCAAAGAAGCCTGTCCACTACCAGGACATGGTTGCGTCTTTGTTTGAAAACACATCGGGCCCTGTCAGCCTGTTAATTGCCACCATAGTTGAACAATGGCCGTTCGTGGTTAAAAACAAGGATACAGAGGCTACAGCTGGCATCGCGACGTGGATTGCAAAATTCTCCAGGGAGCTGAAACAGGCGGGTGAGGATTCCAACGCGCTTAGAATGGCTCTGGATAAGATACTTGAGGCTACTGGGAATAAGAAAGCCAGGTCTCCCTTGAAGAAGGCTTTGAAAGAAATCTCTAAGACTGAAGAGGATCATGACAGCGATGATAGCAGCAACAACGGACAGCGTGGTTCCATTCAGAAAACTTCACCAACCTTGGGGGACAACGTACAGTCAGTCGACCTAATCGAGATATTTGGCAGCCTGCCTACCGAGGGTAAAACCCATCATGAGCTGCAGAGATGGGAAAAGGAAGAGCTAGTTGTCGCGGTAGAGGAAGGCCATGCAGCCGCGTTGATACTTTGCTTGTGTTCAGAATATGAAGAAGTGAGGAGGCAGGCATTCATGAATCTCTCTCGCTTCATGTTGAAGATCAAAGTAAGTTTGCCTGACTACTTCCGCTTTTTCAAGACTGAACTGACGGTTTGAAGGACTCCAAATACACTGAATGGCGGGCAGTATACCTCCTTATGGGGGAATTACTGGAAACCGTGACCCGCCTTGGTCTCGAAACTCCCGTGCCTTGGATAGTAGGAGAATGTGCTTCGAGTTGCCTTAAGGTATTAACAAATCCACTTCATAAACTCTACGGCAAGGTCAGCAGGTTCCTTCAAAAGTCGCCTTCTTGGGAAGTGGAGAAAATCCCGTCGTACTGGATCGACAAGATTCTGTTGCACGAACCCGAGATATACGACGGCTACTTCGAGGAAATCAGTTGGTTGCTAGATCTGTTCATCCGGGCCCTTCGGACTAAAACTGTATGTCCATTATCTTTTCCTGTTCCTCCTTCGTTCGAGTTTCCAAAACAAAAAAGTCTAAAGATAATCCTTTCTTTGCAGGATATGGACATTTACCGTCGTGCAAATGTTTTCGAACGTGTTCTCTCTTTTTACGCGTCTCCAACAGCCGGGGTATCTTCGAAGAGAAAGATATTACACCTCATCTATCGCTCCACGCAAGTTGGTGGAAGCACAACATTGGTCACCAGGGCGGCTATCATCAGCTGGATTCAAAGTCAGATTGTTGTGTTGAACACAAAAGATGCATCCACTATCACGGCATTAGCGCATGCAGTGTACGATTCTTCCGAGAAGGAACGAGTCGACACTTGGAGCGGCGGGGCGTTGTCACAAGTCGTGGAGAATATTGGGACATAAGATGGTGTTTATTTATATCCTTACGCAGCACATAGATTAATTCGATCGATTTGGGTCTGGATCCGGATCCGAAGCTCGTCATGTTGTAGCTCTAGTAGATGTATAGTCAACTTCATATTTGCATCCCTGTTGCCAGTGAGGCTGTCGTCGACTATCTAAGGGGTTCTGTATTCTAATGTCTATTTATTACATGTTAATGAAGCTGAAGCTGCAGATATAAAAAACCACGTTTGATGAAGGGCATCAGTAGGATAATAGCATTGATGGCTCGCTATATATGTAAAAGTTACGCCTTATGTATACGCGTAGGTAGTAAGAGCGTGGTCTACAGTATATATCTGCCTATTTCTGTAATTCTTGCTAATACTGGGTCATGCAGTTAAGAGTTCTAAAGATAGGACGTCCGCTGGGGTCTTCGAGATTACCTAAAAATGGCAAGGGCGTAGACCAGATGGAGGTGATATCCGTGGGAGAAAATAAATACGTAAGGTATAAGAGTCTGGACGAGACAATGTTGAGAGGATATTAAAAAGGGAAGCCTGGAAGCCCACTAGATCCTAAATGGGATTGCCAGTATCAATTTGGAATGCGTGGGGAGAATTCTGCCTTAGCCATGGTAGCCAACCTTTTCCCCATCTGCGTCAGGCAACAAACTTCCCCAAACATCTAACAAAGGACAGTATATAACCCAATGTACAATGTACTCTTCAACCGGGGATCAGCCAGATGGCTCAGTGAGAGGGGCGAGAAGCCATTTACATATGCGGGTCCTGACCGTCTTGGGCAGGCTTGCCACCCGAGATGGAATTCCAGCTATGCAGAATGGTGATTTACGCGGCCGTTAACTGAGGTGTCATCGGGTTCGTTCCCCCCCAACTGTGCCCTCTCTTTCTGCTTTTTTTTTTTTTTTTTCTGGTTTTTGGCTTTTCTTTTCGCTCTTCCATTTTCATCCACGCACGCATGTACGTTTATCAATGTGAGTGCTAACTATGCTGTCTGTCTGTCTGTCCATGTGTCGTCGTCCTTCTTATATACGTATAATAAAGACTATGAGCACTAGCTATGCTGATATTCGATGTTATCTGACACAGAGCAGTATATAATTGTTTTTGAAGAACTTGTTAACTACGAACAGTCTGAAATACCCCACTCAGCTGTCAATGCAAATACTATATATATATCCATCAGCTAACGAACCTGAAAAGGTCGGCATGTCTGTAAAGCTAGGACGATCTAGGGATAGGATTATAATAAGACCTATAAAAGTATTTGTGCGTCTTTTTTGGTTTTGCGTTCTACACTTATTTTCTAGTTCTTATGTAGATAGAGTCTACGTTGCGGCGACTAGATGGACATGGCGCTGATCTCAGAACGTCGATGGCAGTCGGTGAGTGAGTGGCAGTACATAGTTCTTTGAAAAAGAAGAAACTAGTCAATTTATGAGTGTCCTAGTCCAGCAGTCGACTAAGATCTCATTGTGATGCTCAGTCGTCATTGCGTTGGGGAAGACAGCTTTCTGCTCGATCATGTCCTTCATCACACGTAGGAGTGGATACGCTACGAGCACAAAAGCCAAAGTTTTCCAAAGGTAAATGAAGTATAAAACTTCGTCTTGAAGTGTTACAGCAACAGGGAGTTGTCTGGCCGAGTAGTCGTCCTCGCGACCCCTTCTACCCAGCTGTCTAACCTAAGCTCTGGGCCCACCTATGCATAGTGTGAGCAGTTTTTGTCTTGGATTGATTCCGGTTATATCTGCAACCCTGCAGCGTGCCTTCTTTGTTGCTTGCTCCATTTAGTTTTGTTTGTTTGCAGTCGTGCCTCGTCGTGGAAGTGGCCGGTGTTTGTTGGTATGGTCACGTGATAATACAGATAGAAAGGAGTGGATCCTATTGGTTAAGTTACGGATTGTGGGGTTTAGACTTCCAATACAAACAGGGACCTCCGGGACGCTAGTGGAATTCTGGGTTTAGTGCATTTCAGGCCCCACCAGTTGTCGACACTCCATTTCGACTTCATCCCATGTACCTGCTCTACCCTAACGTTATCTTCAGGTTGAAGGGAAATTACATTTGAGAGGGAATATATGCTATTATTTAGAAATAGACTTGATGAAGACAACCTCTGGGAGACTTAGTAACAAGTTGGTAGTAGACTCGCTGAGAGAAGAAGCCTTGACGAGTAAATAGTAGCAGTACCTACTGTATGTAGTACATGTCAATGGTCGCAGTGAAGGTATCCTGCCTTTGCATTTTCACCAAATTTATATCAGTGTCTATCAAGCTGTCTAATATCATACATATTATTCCCAAATTGGCCCCTGCAATGCAGCTGCGTCTTTAGTGTCCCATCTCACTGGGAAATTCATTCCAAAGAGCGATCGAGTCGTGAAGTTTTCGACATCCTTTTTTGCAATTCCATAGCCATCGATAATAAAATGCTACGACATATTTTATGGCCATTCGGGTGCGAGAGAACTTACTGCTCAAGCCAGAGCATCCGCATCGGGAAATCAGTCGGACCAAGATAAGCCGTAAGCGTTCGATCCTGCTTGGCTTGTCTGATCATTGAAACAAGTTGTCGGTTATGTTTGAATCTAATCAAATCTCAATCCTCTCCATATTATTGGTTCTGGGTGCAGTCTCTTCAGAAGCTCTTGTCGACGTCGTCATCCATTAGACAGCGAATATATCCATGCTGATTGAGCGTTTGCACCTCAACGACAGCAACAACAACGTCCAGGGCATTCATAACGAGATTTTTTGTCATCTTTGTGTGTTTGCAAGTGGATCAACTAGCTCAAAGAAGAGCCAGAGGACAAAAGCGTCGAGAACGACAAATGTTGAGTGTGGGGACGATGAGGGTAAGTTGTTTCTTGACTTTAGCTGGCGTCCAAAGAGTACTTTTATTATTCCCTGTATGAGCGATGTTTAATGACGACCACAATATGGGACCGCTTGTTTCTAAGTCCCCGCTCTATATTTGTCTCCATGACTTCCAACAGAGGCTTGTTGAAATTGGGTTCAGGAATGACAGGAATATCACCAAGTATGCCATCCATTCAAACAGGAAACAACAATTCATCTGTACAAGACGATGTGACAGAGAGCGATAATAAGATGATAATACTAGGGAAGGACGACGTGAGAACCGCGAGAGTATCAGTCTCACTATACATACCTTGACGCTGTAGTCACTGAAAGGCAATAACCAAACTACGTCAGTCCAGGCTAATCAAAATGGAGTCCTGTCTGACTTTGGCATGACATAGATAACTCCGAGAGAACTGGAAGCTAAAATGAAAATGGGATATAGGATTCCGTGGGAGGTATTTCATAAAGTGGAAGAGAGCCCCTGTTTCTGCATAGACCGGCATTCGGGTTTCTGCGACTGCTCGTTCCACATGCCTAGCATACGTTCCTGTCATTATGATTCTCGCATATTTTCAGGGGAGACAGTATCTATATGCAGTCTATATGGATTCGAGGCTATATATTCGCTATAACTATTGCCTCATAGTCAGCCGTTATGTCAATATATATGTGCAAAAGTCGTTACTGATCTATTCGCCACTCACCGGAACACGAGGGCTTTGCCAGGATCCAGGCTCAACAGGACTGAGAAGTTTTATTTTGTCCTGGAAGGCGATGTCTTGCATTCGTTTACAGACAAAAGCCATTCCAACAGATGTCTCTTTCTTGCAGTGCTGCTCAGGTGGGGAGCAGCATGGACCAACCACTTGTCCAAGAAGCAGTTAACTTAATAATAAGACCACACAAACATGATAGAGCGGTCTGCTAATAGTTGAACAGACTTGGATGAGATTTCCCCGTCAGAATGGGCAAACAATTATAACACAATGTCGGTGGTCTGCGTGTAGGGACAGACCAAGATAGCCTGGCGCCATGAGCAGGCTGACACGAGTACAGCGTAAATGAGCAGTTCTAGACTGAATCCAACAACAGCAAGGACTGTAATAATAATATGTAGACCATCCTGAAATGATTATTTTCGACGGTCGCGTTGTGTTGGCGAGGCCCAAGCGAGCACAAACAGCGTCGAACAGCTCACAGTCCCATGATTGGCGACTTGCCCAATTCGGCAATCAGACCAGAACCGCAGAATCCTCCTCTCCTCCTCGCTCTCTCGCCCCGACTTCATCGACAACCATCGCCCCGTCGCACGCACTCTGTTCGTTCTAACGTCTATTTCACCTCCTCATCGATCAGACTGAGATATCTGTTGATCATCGACTTCACACATCCAAGTCCAGAAACTTTTCGTATTGTTACCCGTGGATCGAATTCCAAGATAGCCACCGAAGAAGAAAGGAAGGCCGTTTGTCCTCCTCTCACCCACGAACCATTCGATTCATTAGCCGGTCCATTGCCACACTCAGTTTCTACTAGTATCAAGGCACAACTGGTCCTAGCCCAGGCGTTGTCACTTGCTGTTTCTTCCATTTATCAAAACCGTCTTCTGCGACACCAAACTCCACCATTTCACCGTCGATTTGCCTTCATTGAAAAATCTCTATTCTATTATCTGTGGATATTTCGTCCCATCTCCCTTCATGACCGACAACCGTTCAATTTTCCGATGAGAATTATATCCTGATACATTCCCCCTTTTTTTTGAACCTCTCCCTCTCCTGTCGGCTAATAGCTACCGGCCACACATAAGTCGACACCTCCTTTCCTCATGGCGCGACGTTACGAGATCAGCGAGCTATTATGGCTACGAGACTCACCTTTGGTTGCGAAACCGCCGAGTTTACCGCCGATTGAAGAATGGATGGGGTAAGGAAAATACCATCGTTGTTCATTTTACTTTTTTTTGCCCTCGCAGCCTCCCTTTTTGGATTGTTTTGGTCATTCCTTTTTATATGCTCTGGCTCTTTTAAAAAAATCCTAGACTGACCCGGTGTCTTTTTCCATTCCTTATTTTTTATTCGAAGCAGACCGATACCTGACCCAACACAGCGGAAACCGAGAGATAATAACAGTAACAACCAAAATGAAACGACGCTCAGAATACCTAGTTTGCTTGAGACGCGGCATGTCTCAAGAGTTTCGAATTCAGGTTTGTGGCGATTGTTCCCCGTGATTTTACAAATGCATCGGACTTACCTTCGCATCGTGCGATTCAATGCAGATGATATTGTGCTAGGTCCACCAAAAACAGCCTTCGCCTCTGCCTCTCGCATTCTTAACAAATCCTCAGTCGATGCATCGGAACGACTATCCAGGTTCCAGGAGTCGGATGAGGCGAAAAACGATCGTTATAACTTCCGTGATAAGTTCTTCAAGGACCGAGACTTCGGGGATAAAGACTTTGAGAGACGTGATGGGAAACCAGGAATACTAAGTAACAGACGCGGCGATAGGGAGGACTGGAATAATGGACGTCCCCGCCGCATCTTCCAAGACGATACCGATCGAAGACCAAGGCGCAATGGAGATACGGATAGGTGGGAAGGGAAAGATGGTTACAGAGATCGCGACTCACGAGACTTCAATGCTGAAAGAGGCCCCAGGGACAAGGAAGGGCGCTTCGTTTTGAGAAGGGATGGTCCAGGACGTGCTAGACATGAGGGGAGCTGGTTCCGCGATGGCAGTGCTCAGGATAGCCCCGACGTGGAGGAAGAAAGACCCTCAGTGAGGAATAAGGAATGGCGTCGTGATAGGGTTGGCGTTGATCGTGATTGGAACAGAGGTACCAAAATCGAACAGGAGCCCGAGTGGCTCGATTCGAGCGACCGGGGTGATCACCGCCGGGCGCATACCCAGGAGGACTTTGAGCGTTGGAAAGAAAGAATGAAGGCGAGCTCCGCTCAAGCACAGGTGGAGGAAAAGATGGAGGTCCCGGCAGAGACAGTTGCTGAACCCCCGCCCCCGCAGAAGCCGGAGGTTAGGCCTACCGACGGCAGCCTGTTCAGTGATCAAGGCACTTCCTTCCAGGGAGGTTCGACTATGGACAGGTTCTTTGGCTTGTTGGGGGATGCGAAACCGTCTCCGGACGTGATCACGCCCGGGTCGGTAGACTCGGCCACCACGAAAAAGGACTTGATGTCAGCGAAGCCGTCTAAATCATCAAGGTTCGCTGGGCTGTTTAGCCCGCCTCCGGAAACAAGCCCTGCAAGGGAGTCAGCTTCTCCAGCTCTAGAAGCCAAATCTCCCACAGATCAGTCAGCTGCCAAAGATGCAGACCAGGAAGGTTTCCAACGCATTTTACAGATGCTTGGGGGAGGAGGCAAGTCTCGCACTACCACCCCAAAGGTCGATGCTACGCAGCAGCCTCGTCCGCCGTCTCGGGTGCATATGGAGCATACACGAACCGCGACGGCAATGTCATCTCCTGTTGTGGATCCCTTCCATCGGCCTGAGTTCTTCGCCCTGTCGCAGGATAATGCTGTACGAGGCACGGCTCCTGTCCAGGAAACTCCCCTTTCGCAAAGTGTTTCGAAAGAGCCCCCGGCTCGAGACCGGGAACACTTACTTCGTCTGATGCAACAAGTACGGATTAGCCCACCTCAGGGTAATAACAGCCAAGGACAGCCCCAAAGTGCAGGTCCAGCTCCCGGTATGATGAACATGCCAGAGCTTCTATCTCGCCCCCAAGGAATGCCGCCAACGCAGAAGACTGCCAACTTCCTAGAGGACCCAGCAATTGCCAACATGCAACGGCCCGAGGGACGGCGTCTGCCAAATGGGCTGCCTGCAGGCTACCTGGATGAGATCCCGTTCCCGCAGGGCAATCAGCTACCCATCACCCCCGGCGGGGGCAGGGTACCTCAGAACCAAAACCATGCACCATTAGGCCTACAACGGCCTCCAGGTTTTGACAATGTGCCACGCCCTGGATGGACAGGCCATCAACTCCCTCTTCAGCAGGGTGGTGGCCCAAGCCCCCTAGCTCCTCCGCCTGGGATTCCAACACCGGCTCGGGGCATCAATCCCAATTTTGCTTCAAATATGATGCCAATGCAAGGTGGAATCCCCCCAATGAATGAACGCCAGCCTTTCCCTCGTGCTGGCAGTAATGGCTCTGGCTTTGCTCCTCCGCCTGGCATGATACCTCCTCCTGGGTATATGAACATGAACGTACCTTTACCTTCCGGCTTCCCACCCATGCCACCCAATTCTGACCCTATGATGGGACCTGGACAAGGCCCTTACGGGGGTGTCAATCTAGGCCCACGGGGACTGCCGCCCTCATCAAGGCATTTACTCGATATGCTTGGTCAAGCCAACGGAGGCGATATCAGGGGTGGCATGATTGCACCTGGACAATTCAGATAGCTGGCTACGATGGAGTGAATATTTCTAATTTAAGGGAAACATATGGCTTTTGCTCATTTGCCTTGGTTTGTAACGAATCTTCCGAGATATCCAGATATCCCTTCCTCGCCCGGTGCTCTTACGGTTATTTGCCACTTACTGCTCCTTACCCTTCGTATGCTCTTTTCTTATCTTTACTAGTTCTTTTACCTTGTTCCCCTCCCACGCCTTGTATCGCCATTAGCGTTTGCATCGAGGCTGGCTTTTTGGGTTCTTCTGCGCCAGGATATCTCGATGCGTGGTCTGAGAGCAGACAATGGCCGCGTAGTTCGTGGGTCATCTAGGAGCTCTTTGAGAAAGGGAACGAAAGAAGAGAGATGCAAATCCAAAAGCCAACAAGCAAAGCCAAGCGTCAGACCCTGGGTAATGTCAGATAGTGGGTAAATTGCCTTCCTGTTTGGTCGTCTTCTAGTGTCGAAGATGCCAATCTTTATGAGACATTGTACGGATACCCAGATGGTTGCAATCTAATACATTCCTTTATTCTAATCTAGTGCTAGCCCCTGTCTGTTTCTTGTAGGGTATTGTCTTCTGTGGGGGGGGGGTTGTCAGTAGTCGATCGAGATGGTGAGAACGACTCCTTTCACTACCAACAGACACCTCATTTGCGTCCATGCTGTCTGGCATTTTTCTACTTCCAGGATCAAGGGGCATTCGACCTCTTAATTCATACAAGCCTCTACTCGTCTAAATTAGTATCTCATATTCAGCCATCAACGGTCCAGTGAAGAAATATCCCAGTGAATAGAAAGCTGACTGAGAGAGTTCCTAGTGGCCAATATTAAAGGGAGACTGAAAACACATTGTCCTACTGTGTAAGTGTTATTCTCTTCACTGCAGCAGCAGCTTCTAGTTCCTTATTCTACCCTATCAGGGTCCTACTCTCAGAAGTGATAGTTCCTGTCAGTTTTGTGTGCTGGATATTATCGCACCATATTGCCTTGTTCTCTAGGTGCACAAAACACATTCCCTACAATATCTTGAAGATACAGGCGAAAGGAAAAGAAATAGTGGTTAAAAATAAGTCCACTTGTTAAAATCTAGTCACTTTGACATGTGTCAGTGAAAATCCTTAGATATGATGGATGCAGTCGACTTTGAACTCTGTCTTAATGTGGAAGAGCAAGTGAGTGATATCTTGAAAAGAAAAACCCCCATGTTGGCCTTTTTATTACTTGTTCAAAAGTGGAATCACTTATAGTGGCTTACATATCCTTGCTTTTTTTCTTTTGATTTAATAGGCAGCCATATCGCATCATGAGGAACTAGAAGCTTCATCCAGACGTGGACAGGATGAGTCGACAAACACTATGCGCGATACTGGCACAGCCAGAACCCGATCTTGGAGAGAAATTGGCGACAGTAATCATTATGATGAATATATCGCGAAATCCCCAGCCAGAAAGAGAGCAAGGACGTCAAGTTCCGGGAGCTGGAGGGAGTGGGAGTTGGAACAATATACTCGGGATACTTCGTCTAGTCGTCAACTGGGAATTACGCAGCAGTCTGAAGAAAATGTCGAAGTCGATACCAACACAGATGTCACTGTATTTAACAGCGGCGATGGCAATTCCTCTATCCTTGAGGCCCGTGTTCATCCGACGCCGTTTGGGACTGCTACATCTACTTCTATTCTTGACGACATATTCATTCGAGAACAGCCTCGTCTCCCGTTGACACCACTGCCTCTTTTGCCTCTGAGAAGAAGCCAGGAGGAAACGGCGAGAAGACGACGCCCAGCTCTTCCTGTTCCTTTCTTTCTTCAGGCATTTCCCTCGTCTCGTCATCAACATGAAAAGAGGGACGATAACACTTATTTCGATATCTACGAAGACCCCACAGACCCTTTTGAAAATATGGACATGGATCTCGACGCGGCAATGGATATCGACTCCACGGGAAGTCCTCAGCAATCAATCTCGGATTTCGACCTCAGTGAGAACAAGGAAAATACCGAGGATGGATATGGATCTGGCGGAAATGGTGGAGGGCGGACGGAGATGCGGCCAGAGGGGTCAGGCTCTGATACGGAGACGGCTACTCCTCAAGATCAAGTTGAAGGTCAGCATCATAATCGACGAGATGGCCCAGAAATTGGGGAAGAGGAGCTTGATAGGAGAGAAGGGGCCCTTGAATTCTTCCCTCTTTTGTAATGATAGTCTGCTACGGCATGATCTGCCATGGACACATTACGGTTGAGGTTGAGTAAGACCTATTATTGACTCTTTTTCTTCTCACAAAATTATGAGATAGTCAATCTGATATGCGCAATCTGGGGTTCAGTTTATCCTAACCTTGCCTCGACATGTGGACCTGGAGACATGGTTCGATGAGTTATGTGAGGGTGTGGAAAGGAAATGAGATGGATGATTCATTGATCTGTCTGTGTATTCAATTTTCCGAACGAAAACCGTTGACTATTATTACGATGAAACGAAGATGGATGAATTTATGATAGATGTTAAAAAATGGATATACAAAACAATTGAGACTGGTCTGCCATGGTTGTTTATTGACATGGGATATCTCTAGAGTTCATATTCCTGCAATATCTCCGTGGATTATAGGATCCCATACATAGACTGCGGTATAATTCCTCTCATATACATATGTTACTATACAGCCTTGATTTCCTTTAGACACTGCAACTTTCCCCGTTCAGTTATTTTTAGCTGACTATAGGTAAAAGATCCTTTTGGCAAGTTGAAGATGCCTGGAGGAAACACAGCTTTCCATTTAGCTTTGACAAATCCTGCTTTGAGATTAAGTGATGATGACTCTCACATCAGAAAATTTGCTTGTTTATCATACAATATTGTGATACGAATCTTGGTTGCCAGAATTATGTCTAGTGAGGTCCGTTGAACGTTGAGGTTGGCCTACATGGGGAACGGGTAGTTAAGGCGGTGTGGGCACGATTACAATCCTGCAATCACCATTTGTGCTGTGCTATCATCGCCCGAAACGGCAACCGCTGCCCATGCGGTTTAGCGCCTTGTCCCTTCCTTCTACCCCAGCTAGCATTGATTGCGCCTGCGTGATCCATCCATCTTGTGCACAATGAAGGAGAGCATGAAATATTCTATTCAACTATATGACGTTTCGGACTTGGTTTTCTGTCGTCCACAACATAATCATAGTTGTAATCAATGCTTTGCCTTTTCCGCTTGTTCTGGAGGCGCGGAATAGGCAGTCATCAACAATTACGGGTGAAATATGAAGAGTGTTGGCCCATGGCCCAAAATAATCAACTCAATTTCCCGGGTCTACTATCCTAGGGAGGGTAAAATTGCTGGTTTCTGCAGTTGTGAATAGCATGAAAAAATTATGCAGAGGACTGGCTTCTCAGATTCTTGTTGAAAAAAGGCCTCAGTGACGTTATTCGCGATGTATACTATGAAATCAAAACATGAGACAGGAGAGTGTTGGAAGATCCGCAAGTCACTTCATAAACTGGGATCTCGTGAGAAAGAGAGGTTGAGGGAGCCAGGTGAAGGAAGACGATTCTATCTGAATAGCAAGTGAGAAGTGATTCATGTCAGAGTGCATTGCATTGCATTTGGTGTATTAACCAAACTTCAATGGATACTCTCCAGACCATCGAACTGCCTGTAAGTCCTCCGTAGAGCCAGGCCTGATTTAGCAAAGCATCAGTAGGAGATCTCAAGCCTTCCGGCCATAGAACTGCCATTGGAGAAGCAGCCAGGGCGCAGGAAATAACAATCCCAGTCCACATAAGAAAAACGAAGGAAATAACGAAAAGAAAAGAAACGGATATCATCAATCATTATCCCTTGCACCTATAGATGACTCCCACCTTATATGTGACATATGCTGAACCTCAGCCTGAACATACCCGACATGCCCTTGACCACCAATATAATAAAACATAGCAGAAAAAGGAAACACAAAAGAGATGTATCGGAAGAATAGGGAAAGAAAAAGAATATTAATATGAAGAAGAAAATCACATCTCTTCTACAGCGCAGTTCGGATGTAGAACGTAAACAGTTCTCTGTGCCTGCTCGTCTGGGTTGTCAGAGTCCACAAGGCCTTCGCCGCGAATAGGCATCAGGATGTTATCCTATGTAGAAAAGTATATGGTTAGCAAATATCATCCAAATGAGTTTTTTGGTATATTTATATTTACCTTCACCATTCGCTTCAGCACTTTCATCGCCAAGTCGCGCTCCCGTTCTAGGTCTTCCTCGCTCTCGAGCTCAGACTCGATTTGCTCGAGATACCAAATAATCAAATTCTCCTGTTCTACACCTTCGCCTGAACGAGATTCTTCCTCGTTGACTCGCCGTACAAAGATATTCAAGATCTTCATGTACTTATCGTATGTTATCTTTGTTTTCTGGCGACGTTGTGGTTGCTGCGGCTGTTGGTCTCCATCGTCTTGCATAGAGCTGTCACCATCTCTATCACGGTCGACCATTTCATGGTCCTCCCCATTGCGATGCAGGTTAGTACCATTGATTTCCTCTTCATCCTCCACTTCGACGTCATCCTTCTCAACAGTCACAATGCTCTGTCGGAGGAGGTCATACGCCTCGCGGACAAAGTTAGGAACAACCTCCTCAACGCAGTTGGCTTTGGCAACAGCCTCTGAGAGCCGAATGAGAGATTCAAGCTGGCGGACTGTGATTCGGTACGAAGAACGCCCCATACCGCCTTGGGCATCGTTTGCACGAAGTTCCTTGTATTTCTCAACAAGCAAGGCTTTGGCCTCCTCTGTGAAGACAGGCCGGAATGTACGTGCAAACCGAATGTACCGTTGCAGTTGTTCTGTACTGAGCTCCGGTTGGACAGCCTCATCACGGTTCCTGTGTACATTGACAATGTGTTCCGCCAGATTGCGGTCCACCGTCTCGTTTGGTTCATCTCTGATAACAAAAAACAGATCGAATCTGCTCATGATCGGTGCACTGAAGTTGAGGTTGGCCCGCAGCGTGGTCTTGGGGTTGTACCGACCACCAACAGGGTTTGCCGCCGCGAGAATAGACGCACGCGCATTGAGGGTGGTATGAATACCGGCCTTCGCAATTGATATTGTCTGCTGTTCCATGGCTTCGTGGATAGCAACTTGGTCACTAATGTCCATCTTGTCAAATTCATCGATAGCACAGATGCCACCGCCGTTCTGTATGAAAAAATGCATTAGCTACAACAATACCAAACCACTGGGTTTAGTAGTGACATACAGCCAGCATCAGTGCACCGGCCTCGATGGTGAATTCGCCAGTCTCGGCATCCTTTACAACAGAAGCTGTTAACCCTGCGGCGGATGAGGCTTTACCACTGGTGTAGACTGCTCGAGGGTGCAAAGAGCAAATATACCTAGGGGATATTTTATGAGCTGCCAGGTTACGACGGCGAAATGTTAGCGGCTTGACTTACTTCAAGAATTGACTCTTGCTCGTAGAGGGGTCGCCAACAATGCAGATGTTGATGTCACCACGCAATTGCATACTTTCCTGCTCCGTGGTCTTACTGACCCCTCCAATCAGTTGTAGCAGTAGGCCTTTCTTGATCTGTCGATGGCCGTAGATCATGGGAGCGATGGAATCTACCAAGCGAGCATAGATGTAGTCTGAATGGACGAGGGTCTTCAAGTCCTGGACCTCCGATGGCGTAAGACTGTGAAGATACTTTTCTTGAGCCTTATCATCGTCATCTTCGGGTTGCTGGTTTTGATTGAGAGAGGCCAAGATATTGTGTGACTGGCCACTCAAATGCTGGTTCGATTGTTGGCCCGGAGTCGTTGAATCAGGTGTGACCATGCAGGCCAGGAAAGCCAAGCGGTAGGTTAGATCCCTGACACCTAGTGACTTGAGACCACTCACACCTCCCCCGCCAACATCAGTACTGCGGAAGGAAGTGTCCCGAGTAGCTTCTGGTCGTACTCCAGGAAGCCCTAGCTGGCTGACATCGGGGACGACGATAAGAGCACCAGTGAAGATGCACCGTTCACCAGCCTTCACCCGGTCAACCATCTCACCGCGCAAGATGATATCCATTGTGCGAGGCATGCTCCCCGTAGGAATTTCGTGCGCCGACTCCTGCAGTTTCACCTTCTGCCAGTCAACAAACGTGCTCTTCCCAATATCTAAGCGCCATGCAGTGCGGTTGCCACAGGTGGCGTTAGGGCACTCTGCGGGCTCCGTGTATCGGAAAGTTTGCTCGACATTGGAACAAACAGTCTTGCAGGATTCGCAGATGAACGTTCCCAGAGAAAGCTCCGGGCGAATCTCAGACGTCCTAGTAACCGTACCAGAGACGGAGAGAAGCTTTCCAATCTGCGACGTCCGAAGTTGCCGTAATCTGGAAACCAGCGGCAGGTTATAGAAGGCCAAAGAGAACAATCTATCAGTCTGCTGATGCCGTGTTTTCTCGTTGATGCCGCGCCTGAGGTCTGGATTCTCAGTGACACTTGCATTAGCGGCCATCACAGACGTGCTGGCCTGAGATGAAGCACTGCCAGCCTGGCGATGCGAAACAAAATACTCGGGTTCGTATTTCGCGATGAGGTTATGCAGGGCCCTGGTGAGAAAGGGCAGGAATCGATAGTACTGGTTGGCGATTGCATCAGCGAGAATCTGATTATCCGACGACGTCAAATGGGTAAAGTCGACGTAAAGTGTGGAAAGTTCGAACTTCCTCATCCCATGGATTTGCGCGATGTAGTATTTGTCACTAAGGATCTCCGAAGAAGGAGGAGGGGCAGACGATGTTGGCTCTTCCATGTACGTCTCGAGTAATTCCTCGAACGCTTGCTGAACCTTTTCACCTGCAAGATCGATCACAGGAGGGGGACCTGCAACATAGGGATTTCGACGACGGCTGACGGTCGAACTGTTGGTACCGACCACTTGGTCATCGGGGAAGCCATGCATTTCGCTCATGGGTCCATTGCTCTCCGAGGTTGGCTGAGGTCGTGAACTGGGCAGATTGTCTGAATTAAGGCGTTGTCGGTCGCGAGTACCGGAAATCGAGCCCGGATCGGACTGGAGAGCGGCTTCGAAAAGGGAAGACATAGTGGCAGACAGCGCACACGGCCCCGACGAAGGCCGTGGAGGTCAAGATCAAGGATACGGAGGGGAAAAAAGGGGTGATCAATGACTTATGGGAAGATGAATTGGCAATGATAGAGTTACAGTGTGCTTTTCTTTTGGATGAGAAAGAGTTCAAAGGACTTGAGTTGAGTCTTCAGTCTTCCCCTACGGAGCACTTTTTCTTCAAGCGACGCGTCTCCAACGCGAACGCGTCGGCAAAAGGTTAATGCGGGACGACGCGTTAAGTGGTTTCCGTTCTGGGAGTGCTCCGCGGGAGCCTGAGACAGCGCATGTTCAAAGCCGACGCTAAACCAGATAAGTAAATAGACTATGCCGCACTAGCCCGTTACGGACAAAGGTGAACTGCTCCACTGCCGAGACCCGACCGACGAAGGGGTCCTTCCAGCCCCGGCATAGCGCAGTGGATCCCGGCAATGGACCAACCAACGGGGCGGTGATCTGGGGCCAATAGACTTCGTGAGTGGACGTGCCAGGGCCCACTGGAGCGAAGGGCACTTCTTCACCCCGTGTGGTATGACACGGCATAGATGGCAGCGAAGCAATAATCCCGTTCTCACGTATCAGAAAATTTCCCCTCCAGTTGCTCTGGTGTAGCCCCCATGCGCGCTTTCTTGAATCGCGCTTTTAATTGCAGGACTTGGCCAAGATTGCTGTCATATGGGCTCCTTGAAACATGCGCCAGTGCCGTTAGCCCCGTGAGTGTGAGCACCGTGCTGTCTTATATGCCTAGCGTGTTATCCTCCACAACCATATATACCGGAATCATTATTCTTCTGCCGTGACGCTGTCGGCACTTCTTTTTCTTATTAAACCCACCATTCTAAGGGGGTGTTCAATTAATTCATCGAATACCCTCGTCATGTTGTCTTCTGCTGCAAATCCTTCCCCTTTCCCGACGTCCTCCAATTCCCGATACATGCTGTCTGAAGGCTCTTCTGAATTATGGAAGCAAAGTTCGTATGCTCTGCATATGCACATTAACGGAGAACTAGCTCATATACGATCCTTTCTAACTCAAACAGAATCCCCCATCAGTCGAGCTCAACAGACCACAATGAACACACTGAAGAGACGGAGACGAAGACCTGCTTCTGAGGACTCCTCGCTGCAGAATCAGACCTTTTACTTTGTCGATCGAAATTCCTCTTCCAGCGAGAAGCGGTCTCATGTCATGCGCCATCATATCCAGGAGAAACGCAGGCAACGGAAATTGTCGAACCGCAGCGGCGACTGGCGGCAAGAAAATCAGATCGTGCAATATCTTCCCTTGCAACATGCCCCAACATCTGTAGAAGGCGACAGAGCGGAAATATCTCGAGAAAATAACAGCGGGGCTACTTCCAACTCTGACTCTTCGGTACGAAAGAGAGAAATCCTTCTGATAATCGATGAAGGAAAGAGAGAAAAGCTGACCACATCGTACCTCTAGACAAGCTATCTTCTCTCAAAACCGACTTCCTATTGCATATCCTCTCTACAACCCACCCCGATGATAACGAGTCTTGATTTTTCCAGAATAGACCCTGCTGACAGTCTTCCTATGACGCTCAGTCACGAGGATCTCGACCTGGTGGACCATTGGAAGAACCGACTGACGTACTGGTCCGGGCAGAATAGGCATGTGAAGGATCGAATCTTTCGGACAGCCATGCAACATCGAGTTTCTTTTCAGACAGTGATCCTTACATTCTGTGCCCGTTGGAAGATGCAACTGTATGATCTTAAGGATTCCAAAGAGGCTGAATATCATCTAAACCAGAGTACGAAGGCTGTTCAAGAAGTGGAGCAATCCACCCAAGCGGACGAGGATGCGGTGGCTATGGCCCTGGGCGGCTTAGCAATCCAGGAAGAGCGGTTCGGCAGTAAGAGCCGAGCAGAGGAGTACATGTCCAGGGCGCTTCGTATAATCCGGCCCCGTACAGGGTCCAACCGCCCAGTCGAAGTGTTCTTGCTTTACGTGCGGTTCATCATGTCACCGCTAGATCCCGTGATCGACGAGGAAGGACAGCGATGGTTGGTAACCTTCCTGCGAGGAGCGGAAGAGTTGATGATGGAACATCGCACAGAGAGCTACCTATCTGCCGTACGGCAACGGCGTGAAGCCTTCCGAATGGAGAGTCCATTGTTCCCTCTGCTGTCCAGCGGACCGCGGCCGTCGCGGGTCCCGCAGGATGCCCGCAAATATGTGGTCGAGAACCCACCGACCCAGGAGGCCTGCCGGTCAGCGTCTCTCATTTACATCACAGCGGCTCTATGGGACTTTAAAGACTCGCCCACTAGGACCCGTCGATTCCTGGAGCATCTATCTTCGCTGGCGAAGGAGCACAGCCTTGATCGGGATCTGGCATGCGAGACGTTTCTCTGGCTGCTGTTGGAAGAAGGATATGACGCCGACCTGAGGGACTCAGAGCGGGGTTGGTCCACCGGGGCGCTACTGCAGAAGCACAAGCAGCTCCGGCCGGACCTACAGTTCCATTTCAACGAACTCCTAATGAGCTTCCTCATGCTGGATGCTCCGATACGGGGGATTGCTGTTTTCGAGCAGGAATTGGATATGATAACAGCTCGCACCTTCGTCTAATTGGTGATTCTTACTAGTAATTAATCTCATGAATCCCAAGTCCACTGCCGGAGGACCTGTTCCGAAGAAGGAAAATGGTCGACCGTGACAGACGGCGGGGAAGAATAATAATCGAAGCGTGACTTGACGCTGCCCCGGTGGCTTTCTTTTTTTGTCTTCCTTTTTTTTGCTTTTCCCCCTTCGCCACGTTCTGTTCTGGTAACCATGGGACGGACGACATAGTCCATAGATAGTTTATTAATCAATCTTAACTCTGGAGATTATCGCCGAGCCAGAGCTTGCAGCGTAGATAGCACGAACACCTCTGCTTACGCCGAAGACCCTTGGTTCCACAGTTTGGAGATGGCACACGTACGCATGTCCGTCACCGACCCTGATTACAGAAAGCTGAACCAGATCTGAGGATGCAGATCGCAATACAGAGTAATAAAATGATTAGATATCAGAGTTCGCAGACAACCTATTTAATTACAAGCGAGATGAATCCCATAGGCCACGGATTCTGTGAGGAATGATAATGTTCAGAGAGAACCTGTTGGAGGTGGTTGTAGTTTTGGATGTATCCCAAAATCGGTTCAGTTAGCAGAGCAGAGTGATGTAGAAAGGGGCAGACTGCCAGTATCTCCTGTCGCAACCATGGACACGTTCGACCAGGGGAAAGAGGAACGAGCCAAAGCGATGGAGAAAATGGCCAGTGTAGATCACGAGGTGCTACAAAAGTCTAAATCCCAATCTAGCAACTATAAGGTGGTGCTTATTGGCTAGAAGTGTGGGTCAACAGCAGGTTTTTCAGTTTTCAGCTCAGCCGCGCTCGGTCCATCTCGCTAGCGCTGCGTGTCCGGTTGGGCAAATTACCGAGACGGAACATTTCCGCGTAATTAACCCAGATGCTCCTTTCCCGATCTGGAAGGCTGTTTCCCGCCAACTGGCTTGACAACAAATGCTTCTGCAGTCAAATCACCCATCTGCAAATCCGGATTGCTGCATGACTTCATGTGGCTGGGCCCATGACGACTGACAAATTTAATGATAATACGGAGTAGACTCAGTGTAAGTTATTATTATCTATTTGGAATGCCTCGAATGGGACTAGGGCCTACCGATTCTATGCAGATTTGATCGGTGCAGCCCTCAACCACTCTTTTTTAGTCTTGACAGCGTAACCACCTCGACTTTTTTTGATCTCGTTCTTTTCTCTCTCTCTCTTTTCCATATCAATAATCCCTTTTCGCTCTTTTACGACTACTTCCTTCCTCCGCTTCTCGTCTATTTACCCCATTTATATAGTCTCTGTTGATTAACTCCATGTGCACCTTCTGATCGCACGTTACACACCCTCCATCCATTGAACCTCTACGTTCCTTGAGAGCGTACTCGGTCTCCTTTACGATGGCCGTCCGCGATGTTGGCCTTCAAGGCCTTCATACACTGTTGCGACGGGACGACGTACGTCTTCCTGCCCCCTGAGTTGTCTCGACTTGGAAGCAAATATGCTGACGATACGCCGATTCTCAGTCCGATGACCCCAAAAATACCTCCAGTTCGGCCAGTAGTCTGGTCACCACATTGATCCCTTCCTTGATAGTTGCCGTCGTCATGGTTCTCGGTTTCATTATTCTTCGTCGCAGCAATCGCAGAATGTACGTGCCGCGTACGTACCTCGGCTCGTTGCGTTCCTGGGAACGTACCCCCGAATCTCCTACCGGCCTCTGGAATTGGGTCATGGGCATGTACAAATTGCCCGATACCTACGTCCTCCAGCATCATTCGCTCGATTCTTATCTATTGCTCCGATATGTCAAGCTTTCATCCGTCATTTGCTTCGTCGGGTGTCTCATTACTTGGCCGATTCTGTTCCCCGTCAATGCAACTGGGAAAGGAGGCAATAAGCAACTCGATATCCTGAGTATCTCTAACATCGGGGAGCATAGCCGTGGTCGCTATTTTGCCCATGTTTTCCTGGCATGGATCTTTGTCAGTACGTATTTACCAGTGCATATTTAGTATATGTTCCTCGTTAATGGCTAATTTCGCCAGGTTTTATCTTCTTCACCATCACCCGGGAGATCCTTTACTATATCAACCTCCGCCAGGCGTACTTATTCTCGCCCGCGTATGCGAGTCGCTTATCGTCCCGTACCGTTCTTTTCAGCTCCGTTCCTCAGAAGTACTTGAGCAAGGAGAAAATAATTCAAATGTTCGGACAGGAGAAAGTCAAGAATGTCTGGCTTGTTACCGATACCGGAAAGCTGGAAGACAAGGTCCAGAGGCGCGACGCGGCTGCCTTCAAACTTGAAGCTGCAGAAACAAAACTCATCAGACTCGCAAACAAAGCACACCTAAAGGCGTTGAAGAAGCAGGGCAATGTCGAAGATGCCATTGGTCTGGATAACATGAATGCAAATGAGGGCGAGCCTGGTTCTATTGCTGCACGATGGGTCAAAGCCAAGGATCGACCCACACACAGATTGACCCTCTTGATTGGAAAGAAGGTTGATACAATCAATTGGTCCAGATCTGAGATTGAACGCCTCTCAGCCAAGATTCATGACCTCCAAGAAAAGCATCGTGCTGGTGATGCCAAGTTGGTTACTTCCGTCTTCGTCGAGTTCCATAGCCAGGTGGATGCGCAGGCAGCCTTTCAATCGGGTACCTTTTCTCCCCTCCCATCAATTTGATAATGTTCCGTCATACTAACTTATCTATCTCAAGTGGCCCATAACCTTCCTTTACACATGGCACCGCGTTATATCGGTATTGACCCCACCCAGGTTGTCTGGGCGAATCTGCGCATCAAGTGGTGGGAGCGTATAATCCGTTATAGTGCGACCATTGCGTTCGTGGTGGCGTTGATTATTTTTTGGGCCATTCCGACGGCTGTCGTTGGTTTCATCTCCAATCTTGACAATTTGACTTACTACGTCCACTTCATTCGCTTTGTCAATCATGTTCCGGGCTGGATTAGAGGTGTTATCACCGGTCTTCTCCCGACTGTTCTCATGGCGGTGCTCATGGCTCTTCTCCCGATCGTGCTTCGATGTGAGTTGTATATTCCCCCGCGAACGATAGATTCTCCCGCGAAAATTACTGACGATTGTTCCTTCGTTCCTCTCAGTGATGGCAAAGTGGGGAGGCGCACCTAGCTTGGCAGCTGTAGAGCTAACAACCCAGAATTTCTATTTCGCTTTTCAAGTGGTTCAGGTGTTCCTGGTCGTTACTCTCTCTTCTGCTGCCACCAGCTCCGTGCAGTCTATTATAAAGCAGCCTACATCCGCGGCGACATTGTTGGCGAAAAACATTCCCAGGGCATCCAACTTCTACGTCTCATACATTATCCTGCAGGGGTTGTCCTTCAGTTCCGGTACCCTTATTCAGATTAGCGGGTTGATCGTTGGTAAGATAATGGGCTGGCTCTTCGATGACACTCCTCGGAAGATGTACACCCGTTGGTCCACCCTGTCTGGGTTAGCCTGGGGAACTGTCTACCCCCCTATTTCATTACTTCTGGTGATCGGTAAGTTTGATTATTTTTCGGTCTTCTTTTATCCCAGTCAAGAGGCTGACTGGTTCTAGCTGTCGTCTATTCGTGCATTGCCCCATTGGTACTTGGCTTTGCGACAATCGGCTTGTACCTCTTCTACTTCGCCTACCGGTATAACCTGCTGTATGTATCCAATGCGGACATTGACACGCAAGGCAAAAACTACGTTCGTGCACTGCAGCATATCACGGTGGGCGCCTACTTGTTGATGGTCTGTCTCATTGGTCTGTTCGCCATTGGTACTGCCAGTGCAACCATCGCTGTTGGTCCACTGATCCTCATGATCATCTTCCTTGTCTTTACCATCATTTATCACATCTCTCTCAATCAAGCTGTTTACCCCTTGATTGAATATCTGCCCAAGAACCTCGAGGCTGAAGAAGAGGCCCTCCTTGGCCAAGATCGGCTGAAACTCAATCGAGACTCTGATGGATATCCAACAAAGGACCTCGCAGAGTCGAGCTCTGGACCGGAAGGCCATCATCGTGGACCGAGCGTTGATACGGCCGAGAAAGGCCTGACCACCAGCAGACCTGTGCAGCAGGGCAGATTGCAAACAATCATCATGAAGTATCTTCGTCCTGACCAATACGCTAACTACGAGACCCTCCGCCCACTAGTGCCTGGTGGATCGGAACCCACGACCTACCCTCCCGAGGTTGAAGAGAATGCGTACGTTCACCCATCCATCACCGCGGAGCCACCTCTACTCTGGATTCCCCGCGACGATCTCGGCGTAAGCAAGCAGGAGATCGAACATACTAGCCGCGTCATCCCGATTACGGACGAGGGCTCCTGGCTGGACAGCAAGAATAAGATCCATTGGGACGTTAATACTGGCCGGCCTCCTATCTACGAGGAGAAGGTGAACTATTGATCAATCCGGTTGAGCTGGCCTTTTTTATATAAGATAATCTGTCTTGGTTTGGTGTTTTGGATACCCTGCTAGTTGCAGCTGATATTCCTACGGGTTTATTGTAGATTCACGGAGTACAGCGTGTCTTTGTTGCTTTTTATTCCATACGTTCCTATACTATACCTACCTTATAATTTTACGAATTCCTCATGTTTATGCTATGCTCTCTCGATGTTTATCTGAGTATACGTTAGTGACGGTTAGCGGGGAGCCAGAAACCGCCCTTAATGAAACCGTCCGTCTGCCTCTTTTGTCATAGTGATTCCTACTGCCCTTTACGAGATAGTGTCTACCGCTTTGGGGATTGCGCCTCCCCTCACCGCTTTCAAACCAAAACCACAACTACAGATCTCGATATTTGTTCGGCCCCTGAAGCCCTAGTTAGAAAGGTTCTTTGGCGAGTTCTTACTAATTAAACCTATCTTAATTATAGGTTAGCAAGGCTCCAACCCATGGCAGGATTGAGAGTTTATCGAATATTCTACAAGACGTAGAACTGAGCATGGGGTGAGCGCTGACCTGAGTGGTGAGTAATATGTAGCCTCAATAAAATGCACCCAGCTCACGGAGTCTTGACCATACTAAGCAGTGGGATGAGGCAGTTACGATATCACAGCGTTGTTGACGACATTGAGTCAACCAGGTAAGCCAAGCCAACCGGAAGCCCAAGCTAACGATACAGAGGTACGAAGGATCCTAGGGCGTAATAATGGGGAAATTGATGGGCATGAGTAATCTGGCACTATTGCAAAGCTACCTACATGAAATTGAGGAGCAGGGCAGCTCAAGGTGGCATGTGACTATTCACTAAACACACCCTGAGTAGGTGAGTGCTCACCTGTGATGTAAAATACTGATTATCGCCCTCATGAAGGTGGTGGCATCCAGAAGGGGAACGTCTCCCTGATGTAAAAAGTCTGTATAGTGGCATATTGGATTTTTATACTCTGTGAGCAGGGGTGAGCACCAAAATGGAAAGGGAAGGCCTTAGATGCTGCTAGAATAAAAAGGTACATATGTTTTCAGATATAAAAGGCAAGGGGAAGGGGCAAAAAGATAGTGCATGCAAAAAACATCCAATCATTAAAAGCAAGAAAAAGCCAAGCATATCGACCAGAGGTCTGTTTTGAGCTCGAGACCACCAAACCGTAGCCGAGCCAAATGAAAAAGGTAGGAATGGGAGACATATAGGACACGGTTAAAAGCATATATAAGCCCTGTCACATTTCAACTGTAGCATCGTCATATCTGTGGCGATGCAAATCGAGAGCCTCGGGGTATCTATAGCGGAGAGAAAGGCTTAATATTTATGTCCGCCGAGGCGAGGCTCATCGAGAGGGTGGCCAGCCAGTGGGCTGGATTTAATCCCTCTTCTCGTATTCAGTGTCACGGTACTCCCTCCTGCTGTACTCGCTACCACCGCTGCCACCGCGGTAGTCCCTCCTCTCATGGTCATAACGCTGTTACAGAGGTGAAAAGAGAGTGTCAGAAAGTGACTATACACGATCGCAACCAAGGACAAGGGGTAAGAGAGACTCGGTGACAATACCTTTCTCAAAGCCTCCAGACGCTTCTTCTTGGTGTGGGTGTTGACATAAAGTCCAATAATGAACCCAATAAGGTTGAAGAACGGCACCCAGGTGTGCTCTGGGAGGAACTTCTGCGCAAATGCGAGCGCGAGAGGGGAGGTGATCCAGCTGACCTTCATGACAGGTAGGAAACCAGCGCGGACGGTTGCGCGCACCTGGTGGAAGGTACGCGCGCCAGCAATCACGGCCATGGAGGACAGATAGACCACATTTTGAATGGGCGAGACCTGCAACGAGGAGCTGGTTAGCTGTCCTGCCATATTTTCCGGGATTAATATTAGGGTTAGAACGAGGAAACATACAATTAGATTGCTGACAAGGATCTGAAGAACCTTGGCCGTGACACTCGTCCTGCCAGCGAAGAGCTTCTGGAGGATAGTAATCAACAGATGGCCAAGAGGCGCACTGACGAACGCGCCGTACAGGGCCATCTTGGGCACACGGGAGTTAAAGTAGTGGCCGTGCTTGCTCGCATCGTGGGCGATCCAGGATGCCAGGAACTCCTGTGAACCGGAAAGGACACCTGACGTCAGCATCTTGGTGCGCAGGGGATTCGACTGCAGTTGTCGGAGGTAGAACTGCAATGATCCAGCCAGCGTTAGCAGATATGTACGTGTATTCGTGTGCTCATGGAGCTTCAGCCACATACGGCAAGATAGCCCGTCTGGGTAGCTCCTCCGGTCAAGTCCTCGCCAACTTTGTGTAGGAAGTCGTCAGACTTGTCCGCGACCACGCGGAAGCTGTCATCCTTGATGTTATTCCCGACAGCACGGACGGTCTCCTCCTGGAACTTGACAGACGACGACATCTTGGGCGGCTGATCTGACGCTGATGCTGATGCTGATACCGGCTGATTCGACGGGTCGGAGCCTAGGAATATCCGTGTTAACAGGGACGGCACAAGCACATGTGACGCTGAATAGAAACGACAGGTCAATCGCTATGCTGCGAAAACAAGAAAGGGAACAATGATGCTCAGCAGTAGAATTTGGGATATGAGATGAAATGCGTGTCAGATCTGGGGTATTAGAATCGTCGAGGCGTGGGGTGTGTACAGCGTACTGTTTACTGCCGCTGCCGATGCCGCGGTTTGGGGCTGGCTGACCTTGTGCTGAGAGGATGTAGGGGGAGCTGCTGGGAAGCTCTGGAAGCTCTGGTCTGACAAGGAGATGGACAATCCGCGGACACCGTCGAGAAATCGATCCCAACAGCGCGATCAACAAGTCCCCGAGAAGGCGAAAATTGGATGAATTATCGAGTGAGTTGGCTCGATGCGGAGAGCTGAAGATGCGCAGATGCAACTCTTTGATACCTTTCGTGCCCCTGGCGTATCGCTGTATTGCTGCTGTATTGCGGTCACGGCATCGGGTGCACCTTCCCAGCTGCCGGTATCATTACGCCGGTATCGTACGGTAATATCAGCGGAAATCGCCCTGTTCCGATCTGGGCCTTTCTGGAGCACTCTTTTCCGGCTGTGTTAGTCATCATGTACTCTATAAAGGGCTAGAAATAGTTAACTAATAATAATAATTAATATAACATCTGAAGTGGTAGTAAACTGCTGGAGCATAGTTACTAGGGTTGAAATCTGCTGAAGTCCTGTTACATCTTATTTGCATATCTCATATAGATCTTGGAATAGCTTCATGTATTCCTATCTGGGAAGGTTATCTAATCGCGGAAAAGAGTGGAGAATTTCCGAAACCTCTCCTCTTTCCATCGTATCGACCTCCCTCTTGGACCGGATTGGGGTTTTCTTTGCAGGAACAGTACTCTGTAGTATCTGTAATCATCTCCCAGCAATAATACTTCGTCTGTATCTGTGGTCTACTAACCTGTAGTTACGCAGTGCCAATAATAGCGCTAGTAGTTAAGCAACAGGTGTATCTGCCGACGCATGGCACCGAGTATCTCACTCGACATCCATTTGCTCTCCACCCTTTCCTCTTCTCGCCTGCACCCACACCACAAAGTCATCAATGGCCCCTGGCCATGCCCCGTCAGCACTCCACCAGGAGAAAGCTTCGTCCTCGTCGGTCTTCCGCATGAACACCTCGACCTGTTCCCACAGATCCTTGTTCACCGGCCGCTTGCCCCGTTCCTCGAGGAATTCAATCCACCAATCTAACCAGGGTGTAGTGGATGTGTTCCATTCGATCCCGCCGTTCTCCGAAGTGAGGAAGAGTCGCCATTGTTCTGCTGCGATTTCGAACTGCAGGTTCCGCTGTCCCTGAAGACGGCACAGCGGGAATGCGTAGCGGTATACTCGCCTGAAAAGATCTCGGTTTGTTCGGATCTGCTCGCGCAGTTGACTGGCATGGGTCATCATCTTGGCTATAGAATCGCATCTTGATTTTGGCAATTAGTGTTGCGGGAAAACACGTTCGCTTTCGTCTATAACTCATACTTACCGAATGTTCCTCCAGCCTTCAAGAAAGCCTTGTCTCGTAAACTCGCCCATGGACGGCGACTTCAAAAGCTCGAAAATTCCAAAGCATGCAACTTCATCCAACTTCACACCAATATCGCCCAGGTATCTCATCGCTCCTTCAATACCAATGTTATCAGGGTTGTCTTGTGGATCATCTGACTTTCTAGTTAGCGAATGTCCCCCAGCGTGAAAACTTGCGAGAACCTAACAGGGGGTGAAAAATACCTCGATAGCTGTCGAATATCTTATTTATGGCTGCCGTATTCCCCGAAGCTTGAGAACTCTGAAAATAACTAGAAACAGTCATATTAGCATCTAACATGAAAAGGAAAGAGAAAAATGTGAAGTGAAATAAAAAGAATGCATAAGTAGATAATAGGCCCAGCCCAGCCTTCACGGCTAAAACAGTTTCTTTTCGAAAAATAGACAACTGAGGAACCAAAGACGATAACTGAGCCCGCTATTTCGTTGGAATCCAGGATTTTTTAGTCCCAGTCTTCGCACCGTTAAGGCTTCAAGCAATGGCTGTGCTCTTGATACGCGAGCGGCATGCCCAGTTCATCCTTGCAGCTCACTTGCCCCAACTGCTGTTGGAAACTTGGTATGGCCGTCCAGCTTCATGAAGACCTCTGAACATTCCCAGATAAATATGGGCCTCTCGGTGCTGCTTTGACTATCGCCCCTTCATTTCATAGAGGCAGTTCACGTCCAAATAGGCCTTTACTACAACGTTCGTGCAGGATAGCACTTGGTAAAGATGACACCACAGAGGGGTTCCATTTTCAATGGGGTATAATTGGATGAATGTAAAACAGATGCTTCTGGAGCATTGTTTTGATATTGCACAACGAAGCGCAAAAAGCCAATATTATAGAACGTGGGTTATTGGGCAAAAAAAAAGCACCTTAGAGGCTCCGTAGCGCATGAACTTTACACCAAGTCATGAGGCGGGCAGTTCCGCAAGGTAACCAAATACCCGGGGGACCGCACGAACTGGCTCTACAGCACAACTCGGACGCCCAAATAGTCAGACTGACTGCGCCCTGCGCCCCGTGGCTGAATGACAGCCCAATATCTCGATGGTTGCTGACTCACAGCAAAGATTGGAGCCCCGCGCCTTTGATATTGAAGCCGCAAAGATTGCGTGGTGGGTAAAAACAGAACATAGACCGATCAATTCAAAAATATAAGAAAATCAAAGAACTTACGCGTCAACAGCTTCTTCGAGACCCCATCCATGCGCTTTGAGAAACTACAACAGACTTTCATCAGCAAGACTTCTTCATACCACCCTCACGTGACCCATTCTCGAACGCAGAGGCAAGTTGAAATGAGACATAGCCATTCATGTAAAGTAGAAGAGTAAATAAATCAGAATTTGGCATACCCGAAGAGCAACTGAATGGGTTGCCTCGGTAAGGTTGGCGAACTGAGTGATGGACTGCTTCTGAGCGTTGCTGTAAGGCGGCATGGCGGTATGGCGGTAGTGGGATTGGCGCGCCTGGGTGACTTCGAGGGGCAGGGCTGGGCTCCCTAACAATGTAGAAACCTAAATAAAGAAAATAAAAAGAGAACTGATTTGAAACCAGGATGTCTATAGTAGAAGCCCAGGTGACAGCCAGATAGCTCTAAAAGACAAAGAAAAGGTGCAGAGGTGTGATGCTTCCCAGTTGCTCTCAGTGAAATATACTACTGCAATGGTCACGTGTAGTCACGGGTTTGTTCTACGAAAGTATTCCTTGGAGCATTACACTCTATGGAGTATGCCATACAAACCCTAGGGAGTGCCTCAGGGCAAAAAGAAAAGGAACTTTTAATTTCAAAGGAAAGGGTGCTATAGCCCAGATTTCCCAAAGGTAACCTCCATGACTTTTATTGAAATACTGTGACTCCAGAACTCCCAACGGAAACCACCATATATCTAAAATATGAAGACAATGAACGGCAACCCACAACCAGGGCTCTCTCTCTTTCCCTTCAGGTTGTAAACAAGGTATCTTCCTACTATGAGTTAGCAATATGCTATTCCACAATTTTACCTCGGACCTAAACGCTAGGGGGGGAAGTACCTCTCTCAAGTATTCACCTATATCCCCTTGCCTGAACACTGTAATACCAGTAGGATCGAGTTTGCGAGCTTCAGCAGTGGATCGAGCGGTAACTCCAAAGCCCTGAGCAGTTGTCAATCCGAGTCCTTTTTCAATTCGGTGGTCATCCGCATCTTACCAAAGGGGTATCATCCATGCTAAACACAACGACTCCCTGATGTTCGGGGCAGTCTTCACTCCATCTTCCAACATGTGCCTTCACAATATTTCCACCGTAAAGGAATGGCATCTCTCCATTTTGCTTAATCCACACCTTGTATCTTGCATGCGGCGCAATCACATCGAGCGCTGTGATGTGGATTCTGAATTTCCCGGTCTTGGTGAATTTGCCGACGCAGGTGCCGAGCGAAAGAAGGTTTGCACGGGGAATCGACGTTGCCAAATTGGCTAGCGATAGTCGGATGTAGTAAACTCGAGAGCCATGGAGACGAAAGACGTAACGATCGTTTGAAGAAGCGTCTTCTGATCCAGAGGGAGGAGCGATAAGATTATTGAGAGATCGACCGGTGTAATTGGCGAGCTTGGAGAAGAGAGTCTTGGTCTCTTCCTCTGTTAACTGGCGCATTTTGGATGGTAATAGACAGAAGAGCTAAAAGATTGGGGTATTCCCAGAGCAAGATCTTTTTTCTGTTGTAGATAAAATCGAAGCGGAAACTTTTGTCAGCGTTCGGATGTGAAAATCTTGGCACCCAGAAAAAGTTCGGACGCCTCACAGGCTCTGCGACTCTTCGCCAATAGTTACCACAAAACGGCTGTTTACAGAACAGAATGGCTCGTGGATATTCGACAAAGAGGAGACGATTGACTCCTCCTGACGATGATGAAAGTTCCTCACGCATCGTTCGTGGTTCGTCCACCGGTGACTTCTACAGCCGCGCCGCCGAATGGGATCTCGAGCAAGACTATGAGCGCCGTCCACGCAAAGCAAATAAGAAGGATAAGGAAAGCAACAGGCTACCTATAAAGACTTCAGAAGGGCTCGTACACCATAACCATGAATCTGACTCCGATGAAGACTCCGACAGCTTTCTTGGTACTGATGAGGACGAAGGGGACGAAGATGAAGAACTACCAGAGAAGATTGAAGAGGAGGAAGAACTAGCCGCTCCAAAGGTCCCGTTAAAACTTCAGATTGTACAGGCGAAGGAGGATCTGGCGAGAATTGCAGCATTGATCAACGAGGACCCCGAGGAGCACATTTCATCCTTTAAAACAATGGCCGATATGGCGGATAATGGCCCACATGTTACGATCAAGAAGCTCGCATTGGCCTCTCAAGCTGCTGTCTACAAGGATGTGATCCCTGGCTATAAAATTCGCCCTCTAAGTGGCGAAGATATGTCCGCCAAAATATCGAAGGAAGTGCGCAAGCTGCGATCATATGAACAATCTCTTCTTTCAGGGTACAGAAACTACGTCCAGAAACTGTCGGCTCTCACAAAACCAGTAAAGGCAGATAAGCATGATGGCGTTGATCCTGGACTGAGGAGCATCGCAATTACGTGCGCATGCAGTCTTCTAACTTCAGTGCCTCATTTCAACTTTCGTGTCGAGCTGTTGAAGATCCTAGTAAGCCGCCTCGCCAGAAGACAAGTTGATGCCGATTTTATCAAATGCCGGGAGACACTGGAAGAGATATTTTCTAAAGATGATGATGGGATTGTCTCTCTCGAAGCCGTCCGTCTACTTTCAAAAATGATGAAGGCCAAAGAATTCAGAGTCCATGAAAGTGTCTTGAATACATTCCTCCACCTCCGGCTTCTGTCCGAATTCTCCTCAAAGGGTTCTAAAGATCGGATTGACAAGGAATCAGATGCAGAGAACGATATCGGCGGCAAGAAACGAAAGCAGAAGCGCGAGTTCCGCACGAAGAAAGAGCGTAAGATCGAACGAGAGCGCAAGGCTGTAGAGAAAGATATGAAAGAAGCAGATGCATTAGTCTCTCATGAAGAGAGGGAGAAGAATCAAGCTGAAACGCTCAAGCTCGTTTTCGGCACCTACTTCCGCATCTTAAAACTGCGCATTCCAACCCTCATGGGCCCCGTGCTGGAAGGGCTTGCCAAATACGCCCATCTGATCAACCAGGACTTCTTCGGGGACTTGCTTGAAGCTCTGAAGGATCTGATATCCCATGCCGAAAGAAACGAAGAGGCCGAGGAAGATGAGAGCGACGAAGGGGTCGATAGCAGCAGTGGCCGCGACTCCTATCGTGAGATCCTTTTATGCACCGTCACTGCCTTTGCTCTCCTGAAGGGACAAGATGTGAACCGAGCTGCCTCTTCCCTCCATCTCGATCTGAGTTTCTTCATCAAGCACCTCTATCGCTCGCTTTATGCCCTTTCTACGAACCCAGATGTTGAATACAACCCGAACAAGTCCTTGCGTCTCCCTGACCCGACCTCAAGCGGTAACGACCAAGACGGCAGCACACCATACAGATCAAAAAATCAAGTCAACTTCCAGACCCCAACTGTCCTCCTGTTGCGCTGTCTCCAGTCGACTCTTCTCTCCAGAGCTCACGGGAATCCGCCGCCTATCCGGCTCGGTAGCTTCACGAAACGCCTTCTGACGACCTCGCTGCAACTTCCCGAGAAATCTGCACTCGCCACGCTCTCCCTGCTGAACCAGGTAGCGAAACATCACGGGCGACGGATTGCACCCTTGTGGCATACGGAGGAAAGGAAGGGGGATGGTGTCTTCAATCCCTTTGCTGCGGATGTGGAAGGGACGAATGTCTTTGCCGGGACAGTGTGGGAGGGAGAGCTATTGAGACTCCATTACTGTCCGCAAGTTAGGGATGCTGCCTTGAGTGTTGAGAAGGCTATATCCTCATTGAAATAAGGACTGTTGGCGATACCATGCGGGGATTTTCTTGACCTTTGGTTCATTGTCGCATTTCCCCCTAGTTTTCTACATACATTTTCATGGTTAACAAACTTTTCTGACCTCTTTCAAATCCATCTTACCTCAGTTTACCTGTTCCACAGGTCTTATTCTTCTGTTTCTGTCTTTTTGTTTCGGCAATTTTTCTTCCCCTGCATCCATTTCCATTAGGTCAAATCACAATTTCCCTTCACCAACTGCGAACTGAAATATAGATATCAACATGATTACAGAAAATCACGGTTTTATCCCTTTTTATCCCTTATTCCCATATTCCTCTTGATCGAGATTCCCATCCCAGAAAGAGTGATTCTTGTTCTTTTGAGGATCTCAGCAGATGCAGCAGGTCAGTCTCTGACAAAGATGCCATATGGCACGTACAAACGGCATATACAAATATCCGAAGAACGATACAAAGAAGATACCATGTTCAGTTGAAGAACCATGGCCATATCCAGCCGACACATCCCTTAGCAGCCCGCTTCTCAACAACGATCGAAATGACGTACGAGAAGGCCGGCGGTTAGTGTCAACGGACGGAATGGAAATCGCCTCGGAAGGTAATAAAAGAAAAAGAAGATCCTATCCGGGCCAATTTGCAATTTTTCGTTTCGAATTCCGTCGTTCGTAATGTCGTCGATTATTTCTTATCTTCGGATCCTCCACGCCCCGCATCATCACCTGCCTGGTTGGCCTGCGCGGGATGCGGAATATGTCCTGCGAAAACAGGATGTGTATGAAGGTGTGACAACCAGGGGGATGGTAGATGAAGCGGATCGGGCTCGCTGACGTTAAACGGTGGCTGCATGGTGAAAGGGAATGGAGTCCTTGGCGCAGGCCCGAAGGCTCCAGGAGATGATGTATGAGGAGGCATGGCTCCAGACAGGTGGAAGGCACTAGGAGGAGTGTCGAAGACAGACACTGCATGAACGCTGCTGTCAGGACTTAGATGCGCGGGATGTTGGAGAACTGAATACAGCGGATTCCCGGCGGGTTGGTTGTACATAGTCATCTGCCTGTAGCCAAGGGGCTGCTCAGGATGAGATGGCACCAGAGGATTTCCTCTGTGAGCCGGTAAAGGAGTTGCTGGTCTGGGCAGAATCCGATTCTGGTCGATATTGCGCTGAATCTCTCGCGCGCGCATGATCCGCTGCTGCTCCTGCGTTCTCAGCGCAGGATGGATGTTGCTGGGACTAGCGTTCTCCGAGGCGCCAGGTATTCCTGGGACAAGGGGGACAGGGGGAACGGGAGGTGTTGAAGAGGAAGTTGAGAAAGCACTGGCGTCACTGTAGCATTCACTGTGAGAGTTTTCGTGTGGGGCTTCTGCCTTTCTCTTCCTAAAGCTCCAAACGCCCTTTTTATTCCGTCCACCATTCGTCCTTTCTCTCATACTACATTGGCTAACGCTCTTGAGACTACGTGGGCCCTTAGAGATAGTCAACATACTCTCCAGGGGCTCAACTCTCAGGTCAGCCCTAGCTTCTGGCCTGGCTGGCCTCGGGGTCGGGCTCCCGGACGATTCGACAGCAGGGTTTAACAAACTCCTACGCTGGTATCCTCTGCTTTGGACATCGTCCGTGCTGTTTCTCTCTTCCTCGGGACCAGTAGGTGTGCGAAAGGCAGCAGTTGGGGTTGGAACAGTGTCGTTGCCAACCGTCATCTGGCCTGCGCGTCTGTGAAGCGAAGTACCACTCCTCGAGGTGGGGAGTTTGTTCGACTTAGTCTTTTCATCAGGCTCAGCTCCCTTCGATTCGTCTATCGTGTTAACGTTCATATCATTGTCTGCCGCTACACGTGTAACGGTGGCCAGTGACCCAGTGCAGACAGCCTCGAGGTTCGAGCGTGGCATTTTCGTGATCTCCGACTTAGCTTTTACTACCTCGCGTTTCACCTTTTCTGCGAGACGCTGTTCCATCTGCCGGTTTTCCTGTCTAAGTGAATCCAGTTGTCTCTGAAGCTCGCTGACTTTGCCTTGTACTTGACGTAACGCATCGCTCTGGCTCATTATCCTAGAGTTGAGGAGGTTACAAAGGTCGAGCATTGCATCACAACGTGTTACGAGCTGGCTTGAGGACAAGTTATGCGTCTCGATCAACGCTTTATGCAATCGGTTCACCACGGTACCCAGATGGTGGTGGAGGCTGTCCACATGGGACGAGAGTTGATATTCGAAAGAGACACCATCCTGGGTATTTGGATTAAACGGAGGTGGCCCGTAACCTCCCTGGGTTGTCATCCCAGGGGGTCCCGGGATGCCGGCCATAGCTGGGGCTGCGGAGTGGAAAGGTCCGTTGTAGGGTCGAGGCGCTGCAGGTTCAAAAGCGGGTGCCGTGGGGACGAAGCCGAATCGTTCTCTCTTTTCGTTAATCAAGGGCCCATCACTGTCCATATTGCTCGAGACAACGAAAGGGTCGGAGAGTTCATAATGCCTTGAATCCTCATCCTCGCCGCTCCCGTGGCTTCCGTTATTAGGGAACCAAACATTTGCGGGTTTGGGAGCTTGGATGTTTGACACTGCATCCACGAACGACTGGGAGCTGTTGTCGGCAGGAAATTTGAATGTCAAATTGGGGTTGGTCTCCGTTCTCTGTCCAGTCACTATGCTCGGACCGGGAGCCCCCATCTGAGAAAGCTCGTTACGGGAAGATAACTCACCATTATCATTGAAACGGCTCTTTTCTTCAGAATATAGAGAGTCAGTACCCTGGCTTGTATCAGACAAGAATCTCTCGTTTCCTTGGGCGCCAGGCTCGACTTGTATTCCACTTTGCATCAGACCGGAGCATGTGCGTGAAGAAAACATGGCGCTCTGTGGATCTCCTCCCAGAGGAAGGGATCGATCGAACTCCTTGGCAGGATTGCAGGCGGGAGCTGACAGTGGTTCAATGGCAGATCTCTTTGGTTGAGGTATGTAAAGCTTTTCCTCACCGAAGGCATGAGATGCCTCGCTACCGGTAGGAAGACTGGGCATGTTTTCAGCCGGGCCACCTTTGCGATACTCCTTTGCAAGGTCTTTGAGACTGAATTTAGACGCGAGGGCAGCGACCCTGGACTTCTTCGCGTCTTTCTTTTTATTACCGTCGTTGTGATCTTTGTGAAGGACTGGGGGATTAGTACTGTATTTTGCTTCAGGGTTGTTATAAGGCAGAGGAGGACTTACCATCATCGCCAGCCAGACGTGACACGTCCTGCAGTGGAGAGGCCATCTTCGAATTAGCGATTGCGCCAGCCGTTTTGTCGTCATTATAAGCACCAGATGACTTTTCCTGGGTGCCAGCTCCAGCTTTCTTGCCTGAGACAAGAGCAGTAGCTGGTCCCCTACGAGATGATGCCCCCATTAGCTGGCGAGGGATGGCGACAGCGTCTTCGAAACGTGCTGCGGCCTTCGGATGGATACGAAGAGTATGTCTTCCCTCACCTGGCCCAGTGGACTCGGCGTAGGACTCAGATTCCTGGTACGGCTTCTGCTGCTTGTTTTCCTTCATGTCGGAGGTGCTCTGAGTGGACATTTTTATCGGAGTGTGACGTCGAACCTGAATTTTTCCTTGACAGGGAACCTGAAAGGAATCAATTTTGACAGCCTGAATACTTTCACGATGTTCCATAGGAGAATGAGAGAATGATACACAAAGAGAGAGGATATGGGAAAAGAACCAGGGTTGATATGGTGGGTGGAAAGAAGAGAGTGTGTGTTGTGTGCGAGCGAGGGCAAGACAAGGTGTGAGGCAGGACAGACGCGTGAATGAGGACAGGGTGAAGGGGGAAAACAGTGAAGGAGGGTTCTTTCAGTTTCTATTTTTCCATGCCTCTCATTTTGCTGTTTGTGCTTCTCACTTCTAGGTAGGGGAACTTCTAACCATTACTCACATTACAGGGAGACACAGGGAAAAATACAATATATGGATTCTCAGGAGAGCTATTTACAGCCTAAGTGTATATTTTGTATACTGGAATGATTGGACCACAGAGATCATTTACAGGGCATCTTATATGGTCAAGTGAGGGTTCTCTCCGCACTCGCTTCTCCATAAGTGATGCCAAATAAAGGGTATCCAGATGCCCCACAAGACTGCATATGCATGCCTTCTAAAATGGTATGCTGCAGCTCTTGTAATCTCATCTTAGCTAGTGAATGGACTATGTCTTTCCCTGCAGTCTTGGGAAGAGAGCAGTCTGGGTAGCATGACGAGACACTGAGTAGACAAACCGTCCGAAGGGAGGACTATAAGGATAAGACCCAGCATTCTACTCTGTAGATATTTGAAATATACATACTTTACTTTCATTGCTATAAATCCTATAGTACCGCTGGTATATACCGGCAATCCAAGAAGCGAGTATGGAAAGGGAGATTTCTCATTGCTATGGACATCGTAAACTGACAAAGGAAACAAGACAAAGGAAAAGCAGAGATAACACGGAATCTCAGGAGAGGAGTAGTAGTAGAGGATATGAGAAGGGGATAATCCCGCATCGAAACGATAATACACGGATATCAAGTACAGGAAAATTAAGTAGAACTGGATAGATCAACGGAGTATTCTTTTCAGTCTAGCAACGTTATATGCGTTCAAAGCACACAAGCTGCAGCAACTGGGGTTAGCGCAGCTTTTCGTTACGAGTGTGTAGTGTAGTAATCTTTGGCGTTGTTGTTTCTTCTCACTTCTGGGTAGTAGTAGATCTTCTTACTCTGATGTCTTGGCACGGCGGCGGAACGGTGCAAAGAGGCTTCCCAGGAAGGTGACAAATATGGTACGCAAAATCGCCCTGAACCAGCTTTCGTGCTTAGATACGGATACAGCAGATACTGAACGGTTCTGGCTTCCCCGACTTGAAGGACGAGCGTGCTCTTCCTCGTTGGTGGTTGTGGCTGTTGTCTCCGCGTTCAGTCCAGAAGAGGTCTGCGTCTCCGCCGTTGTAGCAGGGGCGATGGTTTCTTCCCGTGCTGAAGCTTCGGCGTCTGCAGTCTCAACTGGTTCAATTCGCTTTGCAGCCTCCGGGAAGTCTGCAGTCTCGGCCGCAGGTTGTTCGCTGCTCTCCGCCGGCAACTGCTCCGTGGATGGAGTACCGAGTTTCTTAAGGAGAGCTTCATTGTCCTCGGCAAGTGCTATAAGAGCTGAATCAGCTTCAAATTCTGCAGTCGGCGGTTCCGTCGTAACGGGTTGCGAGTTCTGCTTACTTTCTTCCGGTTTTGATTCGAGAGCAACCGCGGTCGCTGCACCGACCGCAGCTGCAAGTGCACCTGCGGCAGCAACTCTGGACAAAGCATCGCTCTTTGCAGTTTCCTGTTCGCTCTTGTTTGGAGCATCTTTGGATACTTCAGAGGGAACACTGCTTTCTGCTTCAGCGGCCAATTCGGCGACGGGTGACTCTTTATCAGCATCCAGCGTAGCATGTGCCTCTTCAGCGACATCTGCAGGAGTTGTTCCATTCTCAACGACCGCATTATGCGTGGGCTCTGCCGGCGTCAGAGGATCAGCATTCGCGGTTATTGACGTTTCCTTGGCGTTGATTTCTTTAGCCTCAGTCGCATCATCACCTGCAGGTGACTTTTCGACATCAGGTTCTGCTTTAACCTCATGGCTATCATCCAGTGGCGGCGTTGGCAGCGAAGAATCAACTACTTTAGATTCTGAAGTCTCGTCTGCAGCTACCGATTCCTTAACCTCGGTGACTGTCTCTTCAGCCACAGGTTCCTTGGAGACCGATTCCTCAGCAGCTATTTCCTTCGCAACCGGCTCTTCAGGAACTTGTTTTTCAGAGACGGCTTCCTGAACAGCCGGTTCCTCCGCAGCTGTTGGCTCCTTTGCAACAGGCTCCTCAACAACAGCCTCTTTTGCGTCGGTCTCTGTAGCTGTTGGTTCCTCAGCGACATCCTTCTTCATAATGGGCTCTTCAATGACCGGCTCTTGAGAGGTTTCCACAACTGCTTGTTCTTCAGCCGCCTGTTCCTTAGTGGCCTGTTCAACTACAGGCTCCTTGGGAGTTGGCTCCTCCACAGCAGTTGATTCCTTGGCAGCAGGTTCCTCAGAAACTGATTCTTTGGTGGCCGATGCGGGTTCTTCAGCAGCAGATTCGACAACCGGCTCCACTGGAACAGCTGCCTTCAGAGCAGGATTTTCTGCGAGCTCCTGAATTTCCGCGACGTGCTCTTCAGCAACAGGCTCCCTGGCAATAGATTCAGGGGCTGGTTCTGCTGCATCCTTCTCGACAGGTTCTTCAGCGGCTGACTTTGTAGCTTCAGGAGGTTCAGTAGTTGATTTCTCAACAGTTAGCTCTGATGGAACAAGTTTCTTGACATCGGAAGTTTCCAGGACTGATTCATCCTGTTGCTCTTCCTTGCTCACATCGATTTTCTGGGATTCTTCCGCAATGGGGGCCTTGCTGACTGGTTCCTCCTTAGCTGCGTCAGGATTGGTGACTTCTTCCACAGCCGGTTTCGTAACTGGCTCTTCGGTAACTGGGCCATTTGTCGTAGATTCTTTGGCGGCTGGAGTAGTAGGGGCGGGTTGTTCAACTGCAGATTCGATAGTATTAGGTTTTCCTTCAGTCGGTTCTTGAGATTCAGGTTTCACAGGAGCCTCTTCAATCGCCTCCTTTTCAACAGCTGGCGCCTCGGAATCTGGTTGCGCTGGTGAAGTTTCTGCAACGGCTGCTTTCGTGGAGGGCTCTTCAGAAGATTCGGCAGGCTGCTTTGCGCTTGGTGCTGGCTTCTCTTCTACTGATGACTCGGTCGTTGGTTTTTCCACGGTAGTTCCTTCGGTAGTAGCCGAAGGTGTCTCGGGGATGGAGCTTTCAGTTGTCTCTTCAGCAGCAGCTTCTACTGTAGTGTTCTCTACAACACGCGTCTCATCAGAGGCCTTCTCGTTCGGTGTCTCCGGAGCCTTCACTAGTTCTGGCTCCTCGACGGCAGACTCTTCAACGACAGATTCTTTGGCAACTGGCTCTTCAGTAACAGGCTCCGTTACAGCGGCCTTCACTGTAGTCTCTTCGGCGGCTTCTTTCACCGCTGCTTCCTTCGTAGCAAATTCTTCGGTCTGTTCTTCAACGGCAGATTCCTTTGCTGGTTCCTCCAGAGCATGCTCCTCGATGACCGGTTCTTCAGTAGCCGACTTTTCTGTGACGAGTTCTGCGTTAGACTGCTCTGCAGCGGGCGTCAACTTCTCTGTAACAGAAATCTCCACAGCAGGTTCTTCCTTCGCCGGCTCTTCCTTGGGGAGTTCTGCTTCTACAGGCTCCTCCTTCGCCAGCTCTTCCTTTGCAGGTTCTTCCTTCGCTGGCTCTTCCTTAGCCAGTTCTTCCTTGGGGAGTTCTGCCTCCACAGGTTCTTCCTTAGCAGGTTCCTCTTTAGGAGGCTCCTCCTTCGCCGGCTCTTCCTTAGCCGGTTCTTCCTTGGGGAGTTCTGCCTCCACAGGTTCTTCCTTAGCAGGTTCCTCTTTAGGAGGCTCCTCCTTCGCCGGCTCTTCCTTAGCCGGTTCTTCCTTGGGGAGTTCTGCTTCTACAGGATCTTCCTTTGCAGGTTCCTCTTTAGGAGGTTCTTCCTTCACCGGCTCTGCCTCCACAGGTTCTGCCTCCACAGGTTCCTCTTTAGGAGGTTCTTCCTTCGCTGGCTCTTCCTTAGCCGGTTCTTCCTTGGGGAGTTCTGCCTCCACAGGTTCTTCCTTTGCAGGTTCCTCTTTAGGAGGCTCCTCCTTCGCCGGCTCTTCCTTCACCGGCTCTGCCTCCACAGGTTCTGCCTCCACAGGTTCTTCCTTTGCAGGTTCCTCTTTAGGAGGTTCTTCCTTAGCCGGTTCTTCCTTGGGGAGTTCTGCCTCCACAGGTTCTTCCTTTGCAGGTTCCTCCTTCAAGAGCTCTTCTTTCGTGGGCTCGGTATTGGTCATAGAATCTTCAGCAGACATTTCAGTTATGGCTGCCTCCGCAACAGACTCCTCTTTAATGGATTTAGCAGCAGCTTCTTCTGCAGCAACTTCCTTTGTGGGCTCCTTAGCATCCGAATAATTGACAACAGGTTTCTCTGCAGCAGGGCCTTTAGCGGGTGCCTCATTAGACATTTCGTCGTCTGTAGCTTTCTCTGACGCAGGTTCCTCTTTCACGGGCTCCGCAGAGGGATTTTCTGTAGTTGTCCCGTTCAGAGATGGCTCAGCGGATAGAGCCTCGGAGGCATGTTTCTCAGAAACTTCATTCGTATGGTCTCCTGCGGACGCCTTTTCAGAAGATGCCTCCCTTGCGGATCCGTCGACCGGCATTTGTGAAGTTTCTTGAGCGGCCTTTTCCGTGGAAGATTCCACAATGGACTCATCCACGACCGAAGTCACTGAGGGTTCTTGAGTCGCCGGGGTTTCGAAGGGGGGTTCTTTCGAGAACTCCTCCTTCGTAGGCTCTTCAACAGCTACTTTCTCCGAGGCAGGACTTTCCTTCGCTGGTTTGTCTTCAATGGAGGATTCTGCGTCTGCAACCTTGAAGTCAAGTTCCTCTCTACTGGGTTTTTCTGACACCTCTTCCTCCTTAGGCTCTTCAGTAGCTGCCTTGGAGACCTGCTCATCTTCAGTGCCTTCCTTGGGGTACTCGTCCACAATCGGCACATCAGAAGCAGGATTGTCGGTGAAAGATTCCTTTGCAGGAGTTTCATCAGCCGGAGTTTCGAATGCAGACTTTTCAGCAGTTGATTCTTCTGCTATAGCCTTTTCTAGAGTTTGTTCCTCGACGGGTTTCTCCTCCGGCTTCTCGGCTAGTCCCTCAGCGGCCTCCTTTACCGGCTCCGCGACCGTCTTCTCCGCTGGCTTTTCGACCGGTTTCTCCACAGGCTCGCTGACAGGCTCTTCGACAGGTTTCTCAGTTTCCTTCTCAACCGGTGCTTCAGCAGGCTGCTCGGCAGACTTCTGTACAGGTTCCTCAACAGGTGTCTCGACTGATTTCTCAGCTGGCTTGTCTTCTGACTTCTCAACCGGTGCCTGAGCAGTCTTCTCGGTAGACTTCTCAGCTTGCTCTTCAGTGGGGTGCTCAGCAGGCTCCTCTACCAGTTTCTCGACAGGCTTCTCAGTTACCTTCTCAACCGGCTCTTCAGCAGGCTGCTCGGCAGACTTCTCGATCGAAGGCTTGACGGGTTTCTCCTCTTGCTTTTCGGATACTTCCTCAGCAGCCTTTTCTACCGGTTCATCAGTAGCCTCTTTGACGGGTTCCACAGTGAGTTTCTCAGCAGGCTCCTTTGCCGGTTCCGCAACAACTTCATGTACAAAGTTGTCAGCGGTCGAGACACCTGCAATAGGCTTTTGCTCACTGTCCGGTTTCTCGACTTCTTTCTTCTCTTCGGGGGCCGTTTCAAGAACCTCGGTCTTCGATTCCCCTGTCGAGAGCTCTTCCAAAACAGCTTTAGTCAACGTCTCGTTAAAAGCCGGCCCTTCCGTAGCAGGAGTCTCTGTGATGGACTCTTTCAAGCTTGGCTCCTCAGTGACAATATCCACAGGAGGGGCTTCTTTGGAGAGTCCCTCGGCGGGGGTACTTTCAACACTGGGAACTTCGGGAGCCGGTTGAGCAGCTTGCTCTTCTGAGGGCTTCTCAACGACGGATTCCTTGACGGCCGGCGTCTCCGAGATGGATTCTTTGAAGGAAGGTTTCTCAGTCACGACTTCTTCTACCGCTGGTAGCTCTTCGGTAGATTTCTCCACAGCCGGTGTTTCCGCAACAGCTTCCTTTGCAGTGGATTCCTTAGAATCTTCGACAACTAGAACGGAGGTCTCAGCAGCATCGTTGGTAGCAGCCTGCTCTTTGAGCATTTCCTCGGCGACTGGTGTTTCCGTCAAGGTCTTCTCCTCCACAGTAGAGGTCTTTGAATCGGCTGAAGCCGAATTCTCCAAGCTAGGCTCTGTTAGAGGTTGTTGAGAGACCCGTTCCTCGTGCTTCTGCTCTTCAACTGGCTTTTCAGTGCTCTCCTTGGACTGAGGTTCTTCTACTGCTGGGGGATTTGTCTCTGGAGTGACAGGCTCGGCAGTAGCATCGTTATGTTGCTCTTTGGAATCAGGCTTGTCATCCTTTGTAGGAGCCTGGGCTTCCTCGACTTTTGTGGGAGCAGCCGGGATCTCCTCCGCGGGTTTTTCTTCTGGTGCCTTTACCTCCTTCTCATCATTCTTTTCGGAAGCAGGGGCCGTTGAAGAAACAGGCTCGACAACGAGGAGGTTATTTGTGATGCCAGACTCATCAGCGGCTGGAAGAGCACAGGGACAAGTCAGTTTCCGAAAGCAAGTGGCATATATGAATCAGAAGCTAAGTGCCTACCTTTCTTGGCCGTATTATCGCAGAACCACTGGCCATCAAGGCCCTCGCGGAATTTATATTGATACTGACCTCCTGGCAGGTCAAAATTGCGGGAAAAGAGATATTCAGTAGGTCTACCCTTCCCGTCGACATCCTCCGACTCTAGCAGTTTAGGGGTAAGCTCGAAAGGCTCCCATTTGGGGTCTGAGAAGGAGCCAGCCACGTAGACAGCGGGGGTATCAGTAGACCGACGAATGGAGATGGTAACCGGGGTTGTAGCATGTACGGGGGACATAATGGGTCGTAACGGTCGTTAATAGGAAACAGAAACAGCAGACAGTACGAGTAAAAGAATACAAAGACAAGATAAGAAAAGAAAAGACAACGCTCTAACAAGTTATGCTAGTTGGAACAGCTCAGCTCTCCTTTGTCAAAAGCAAGCAAGCAACAAGACCAACTCAACGGGCTTCCAACTCAGAAATGGACAATGAAACAACGGATGAGATGACAGGAAATAGAGACAAGGGTATCAGGAATTGGAATTGCTATGGATGAAGCGAGTCACAGGAAGAAGAGAAAGAAAAAAATTTCCAGCAGCAGCAGGAAGAGGGGAAAACGCACCAACTGGGCGGAGTCAACACACAGTACCCAGAGCGGTTTAGCGGGCGATAGTACGGAGTCGAAGCTGGAGTTGGCTGAGCGATAATAATAATTATTTACTGCCGAAGAGCCACCTTGCTCGGCAGAATATTATGATAATCTACGAGTAGATAATAATCTGAGGGATTATTATTATTATCCCGTCGTTACACACGGCTCTTTTGTGATATTGTCTGTATAGTTAACTAACTACCTTTCGTGCAGATTCATATGATGGCGAAGATGCGGTGTGGTTGATACGACAGCAGTAGTAAGTAGTCACGGCAGGGAGATAGACAGATAGATATTTAGTTACAGACTTCAGCATGAGAAGAAACTGAAAAACTGGTCAGACTTCGCGGACTCGTGGAGGGGACAAGCTACCATCGTACGATAGTAGCAACGGCCAACGCATTAATTTTCCATTAATTATCATCTTCTTAGCGGCCATCACCGACTGTCAGTTCTCCACTCGGTTCAACTCACTTTTCTTCCTCCTTTTTAATTATCCTCTCTATTCATTGTTGTCTTCTGCAAGCAAGAGCATGAGGGGCACGGCAGAATGATCTGCATGAGCAATGTCTCCTTTTTTCTTTTTCCTTTATGCTGTGTTCAACTCGGAGTCACTCTGAGAATGAGACCACCAGGGAACCCTATTACTTCATATCTCCTTTTTTCGCCCTTTCTCGCAGGATGGTCAAAGCTCCCCCGTCCTTTTAACTTTTCATTGACTTGTCATCGCCAATGATTAGTGAGTGCTCTCTGCCGACTCAAGGGTATTCGGGGTCCGTAGTGAATACAGTAATGAATTCCGAATACATCCGTTGGAAGCGAGGATGCTCTTGTTCTGTTTTGTACGGATCCTGAGAGACTTTGAAATTGAGTTCAATGCGTCCCCTTGGCGGATCTTCAAGCGATCAGCATAACTTTTGTCTCTCACGACGGTTAGTACTATGGTCGTCGTACGGAACTCCTGCTGGGCCCGGAATAATGTTGCCCTATCGGGGTTAGGGCAAACCCAGCAGAGCCTGTGATCTCATGTGACCAGATATTAATTATTTACGGAGTATTATTTCCATTTGGGCTGCTGAGAAGCGCTAAATCTAACTAGGATTGTATAAGAGACATAAAAAAATTAGAGTTCATCTCTCTATTCCTGATAGCTGATATTGCAAGACTCCCTTTTTCTCAATTGGATTACTCGAGTTCATACGTGCCTTTGGTAACAGGATAGTTGAAACGGAGTGTGCTACCGCATAAATGCCTCGATATTCGGTTTCTGAGATCACATGATGATCGAATACGGTAATCTACTTGCCTTGATTCTTTGGGCATGACCAAGTACCTCTGATCGCTATTCATCTTCACCCTTGTTCCCAATTTCCTCCAATATTTTTATTGGTCTCCTGATATCTTTGTTTATTTATCATCATTTTCAACTTGGAATATTGTTTGTTGCTGCAGGTTTCGGCAAAAATGGAAAGTGCAAGCATGAGAAGAGTCCGTTCTTTCCTGACGAGGGTTCAAACGAATCTCCCGAAGAGAGTGAACACTCTACAAAACATGACAATAACGAACACTGGTGTCGATTTGAGCTTCAAAATGGTCTCAGAGATTGGGGACTTTCAAGACTGACGGGAAATGATCTGTCCTGTTTTGATAACTCTTTTGTCGATGACGACTACAATGAGCGAACTACCTCATCAACAATGTCCGCTAAAACTTCAAAGACAATCAACTACACAGACACGAAGTTTGTTACTGAAACTGGGGATGAGAAATGTGGTTTTGAACTCAGAGTTGTTGACATGCCCACTAAAGTGCCTGCTGAAGCACTTGGTAAGATGCTAACTCCCCCTCAGCTTGAAGATGCAAAGCAAATACTATTAGCAGCACAAAATGAAGCAATAATGACATGACAGTAGCATCAATGCTTATTTTAATTGATTAGCTCATTTTGTCACCAACATATGACACAGTGCCTAATACAAATTGGAAGTCTCCACCTCTGCCAACCATTGATGACAAGTTAACAATGCCAAAGCCTGATCTCACAGTTGGCTACAGATATACCTATATCAAGGCATACAAAGCCATTCTGGACTTGGTCCCTTTTCTACACCTGTTATCTGTCAGCCAGGATTGATTTTCCCATCCTTTACTCTTGGGAACAAGGGCTTAGAGAGTAACCATTATTCCATGATCCACAATCATCTAAATACTACTCACATGCTCCAAAACTTCTATACATTGAGATCTCATGCTGGTGATCCAGACTGGCAATTGTAATTTTATGACAGAATCACTGCCACAACTACCTCATTATCGAAAGATAAAATTGGTGTCTATGGCCATTGGGTTAGACAAGATCACAAGTATCATTCACACGCACTCAGAACCTGGACCACTGAACACAATGATTATATTAAGATCTAATGTTCAATAACAGTTTAATATTGAAGAACAATGAACCTTGGATCACTAGTAATCTTCAAAGAATTTCAGAGTCTTTGCAGTTAGAGAAAAGGGCCAGAATATCTGACACTGGGAAGGGGGGCGTACGTGCGTTGTTCCCTGCGACAGGAACCGGGTTATGATCGAGGGATCTCAGGGATGGACACACTGAACGATATAATAAAAGAAGAAACACAACGACGAAGGAGCCTCGCTCCGTTCTATATGACGATGACAATACTAGTGAAGCAACCTAGAAACCAAAAGAATGCTCAGTTTCTCGTAACTATCTGGGAGGAAACCCTCCTTAAGTATTCTCCGGCCACGGCTCTACGGCGTTCTAAGATAGGAAATATGGGAGATCCGGGATTTTGCAGTGCCCCTCGCACAATGATAGTGGCTGAAACCTTGCTATTCAGCATTAGACATCCATAGAATGTTAAGGATCACCTGTATGGCTGGGATTGCATGAAAGAGCAGATGGCGGAAATCCAGCAGCTCAATCTCCACACACTCTAGGGTGATAGCAAAACTCTAATAAAGCTGGAAGATCTCCCTGCTTGTCTAGAGCCACAGGATAAATAACTGGACGGTGCTGGTTAGTGTGAGATTCTATGAGATCTTATACAGCATGTATCATTATTGAGCACTACTTAGTTGAGTGTTGGATGTATGGCCCCTAGACCAGCTCCAAAACAAAATCCAGAGCTTTGGTATTCGAGTGTGGTATGTACCGTGGTGATCAATAGCTTTATTGTAAGAGGCACTCAATAGCTCAGTGGTTTAAGCTTTATATCTCTAGTATACATTGGGCGAGTTCCTGCGTAGCAGCAGGAAACGATGGGGCCGGCGGTGCCATTTTCAGCATTTTCAGCCGCCGAAAATGGCGGCTCAGGACCAAATTGAAATTCACATGGCGTATTTAATTCAGATTGATATCGAGGTGTTCAGCTTCCTGTCTGGCATTCATACATTTACCGATGATTGAAGACTTTGGCTGGAGAATTGAAGGTTCATGAATCATGCCAAAAATAAATACTTGTTATGTCTTGAAGTAAACAGACACCAAGAAAAAACAGGACCTACAGTCTACCACACTATATGAGTCTGAAGTCACAGTGCCATTCATTCAACCAAATGAAACAGTATTGTTCACATGTTATCAGTTATGTACAGGTGCTACAGGATAATAATAAAAAGAATCACCAGATCCCAATCAATGGCGGATCTACATGTCAAAACCACATCCAGTCTGGTTCAGCATTGAGCCTGCACCGGCTTCGATAGGCTAATGTCACAAGAGAAACGCAAAGGACTACGTATGTAGTACGCTGGGTATTCTCGCATTAAGCTTTTCTTAGAATCGTACGTACTATGTAGTCATCCTTCCTCGCGTTGTACTTGTCCCTTCTCTGTACAGTTTCCGAATCCATGAGAAAACCAAGTATCATTATTATAGAGAAAGGAAATAAAAACACAAGATCAAACTGCCAACAGAGTGAAAGAACAAGATTAGATGACTGGATAGTTTGTACAGCAGGAATTATCGGCTTCTCCAGTGCCAAAGAAATGCCCTGAGAACGAAACGCCCAAGATATGGAATATAAAAGCGCATCATGATCGTTACGTGGGTGAAATCAAACGGCTTCATCGAGAGAAAAAAAATAAATAAATAAAAAAAAAGAGGAAAGAAAGAAAGAATGTAAAATGGCAAATGCAGAAACCGGAGGGACAGCCGTCATTAAAATATCTCCAAGTCCTCAAACTCAACCACCAGTCCGCCTTCGGCTGTCGCTGATCCATTCATCATCGCCCACATGGTGCCGTCCCGCGATATATTTGCCGGCCGACTGGCATAGACGCCCACGTGGATGGACTTATCCTCCACCCCATAGAAAAACCAGGTCACTTCCCGCAGTTTCTTCCATGTACTGCCCACTGCTCCCGGCGTCGTTGCATACGGAGAGACCGAAGGGACCTGATACCAGATCCAGAGTGAGTCACCGATCCTCTCCAATTTGATGCGAAGAGAGTTCACTCCTGTCGACCTGGTCGGCACTAATAGTGGCGAGAGACTCCAGTCCGCCCCATCTGTGGTGGCACTGACAGACGACGCATTTACTGTCCCCGAGCAGAACTCCATCCCGGCCTTCACCTATTTGCAAGGTCGCGTAGTTGGAACTACTTGGAAGTGACCACGTCGGCCCGATGGTTGTATCATGTCTCTTTGATCTGAAAGTTCGGACGGTGCGGCGCCCGCAAAAATAACTAAACCTCCCTGGTCCCATTCCATTTCCCAGTCGGCGCTGACTGTGACTTCGGCCACTACGAACGGATGCCGTAGTGATGTGAAGACTATGGGCGCCGTCGAAGTATCTCCACTTGGAGGTTTCCGCCAGAGATTGGTATTAGGGCCAGCAGTAAGAGTGAAGTACTCCATGCTCTGCGGGAGACAGAACGTTGGAGGCAGATTCAACGTTGTGAACGTAGAACTTTCGGGAGGCATTTTCGTTTGCCCCGTCGATCACCTTCTAGAATAACGGTTTTATTGAGTCCAGATTATTATGTTCACAGGACCAAACCCCCGATTTGGTTTCTCCGAGGGTTTCCTTTCCCTTCTTTTCCTTTTTTTTTTTTTCGTGCTTTTCAAATCGTCTCGGAAATTCTCCTCTGCATCCAACGTAACCTTGTTTCTTCAGATCTCGACTGAGATCTGCAAGATCTGCAGGAGGGCTTGTAGAGGACGAGGCTTCACCTTGATAAGACTGTTCCAATGAGGCTCTTCTGAACGAGGCGCAAGCCACACGATCAGGAACGCGAGGCTAAGCAGCTTCAAACGAAGTCAGCAAAAGCAAGCACCGTAACTCAAAATAGCACGTGCGTTTTGAGCGGCGATTGAATAGTTACGTCGCCAAATTCACGGTGATGCCCCTGCAAGAGGGTTCCGTTATAGATACTAGCCTTCCAATTGAGGCAGAAAAGGGAAAATAAAGTAAAATGTCGAAGCAGAGGAATGATTGAATATATGAAAGAAAAGAGACACTAGCGAAGAAAAGTGAGGCAATGATTGTGCATTTCCGATCTTGGACACGAAAATAAGAATGAGGTAAAACAAGGAAAATGGATATCGTAAGATGTGTCAGGCCTGGATCAGACGCTTCCGTATCAGACACTGTGATTATTTATACGAGCATCTCCTCTCCGTGGAGACGAAGATGTAGATATACAGAGTTTCAAGATCGCCGATGCAGGTCATTCTGGTTTTGGAACCGGTGTTGATCTCATGTTCCCCCCGGCCTCAACAGACGGGTCAATAGGCTGCAGCCCGGCGGTCGTGTGGCGGACTATGGGTGGTGTATGTGGTGTGCATGGGGCGGAGACAAGATACCGTGAAGGAATGACCAGAGTGAAGTGCCACCCAAAGCTCGAAGAAGGCCTCTCTTTGGAGTTCCAGGAGAAGCTAGGGCGGAAGGGGGAAGCTGAAATCCAGATGCACGAGGGCCTTGCCTGTGGCTCAGCTCCGGATGGCAAAACAGGGTAGCTGGAATGCAACAGCAGCTGAGATGATATCGACCCGGGAACTCCAAACGGGAACTCCAGCTTGAATTCATTGGATTCATTGGATCCGTTCATTCCCATAAACATCCACAACCATTGGCGCGATCTACCATTCGGAGAGTCTGGTTCGATTGACTCCCTCCGTCATCATCCATGCTCACAGCCACAGCGGGTCTGCTACACTCTCCACAGTCGATGCAGGACGATGCAGGAAGCAAGCATATAAACATGGTGTCGTCTCCTGTGTAGGAAAAAATTTTTTTTGGTTCTTTTTTTTTTTGGTGTTCTGTTATCTTCTAAGGTGACACGTCGGCACTTCAGATGCTACTGGTTGGCGTTGTATGACCGAGTAGCTGATTCCCAGGACTCCCAGCATGTAATTCCATCGCCTCTCTTTCGTTTTTATTTTATCGGCGCTCCCGATAACCTGGGAATCAAGCTGGGAGGTTCATAAACACCCAGTTGGTATTCAAGGGCGAATATCTCTGGGATGGTAAGCTGAGCAGGAATGATATGCTGGGAAATCGAAGACAATCGCTGGTCGGACTTTGCAGTCAATCACGAGACTCACTGTCATCCTGCCCATATGCCTGCAAAAGTACTCGTGCATATTGCCCAATGTACATACAGTAGCAGTAAGCAATTGATGACATGCAACTTATTCGTCTATCTGTCTAAATATGGCAGCTAAATGCATGTTGATTCTGGACTACCCACGACCTGTACGTAGATTCTTATTCTTGGCATCAACGACACCCGAGTGCGGCATGTCATCAACATCACAGCTCCAGCCTGTCCAGCGTCAGCCACTTGCAGTCAATCTGCAGATTGATCTCTGAAATAGTACACATCTAAGTACTGTCATCATTTTCCCGGTCTTCTTTTCCTTTCTTCCTCTGCTGCATACACTACCCTACACTACGCATTCGCCACCACCGACATCGAACCTGTCGCCTGCGAAGTGCCGCAATACCATCATAGTCCAAAGGTCCATCTAAAAGCATACTCTGTTCGAAACCACTGCTGAAAAAGAAAGAAAGAAAGAAAGTAGAAATAACCTATCTATCAACTGCACAGAAATTCAGTCTATAGGACTAGTCCTTTCCCCCTGAAGTTCCCTTGAGGGAGTGCTATACACATCATCAATATGGTCTGCGCAAAATGCCAGAAAAAGCTCAAAGCCACCGAACTGGCCACGCCAGGCGTCAAACGGAAAAGTGAAATGTACTACGGCTCTCCGTCGAGCACGCTTGGTGGAGGCGGTGATGCGAAGGCCAAGTCGGGCAAGGGGCCTACACTGGGGAATACTGGCGTTAGCAAGGTGTGTACCATATTAACATTCACTCTATTATTATTGTTGCTGAAACTATGAAATGAACTAACTAACAATAACAGAATAAACTGCTCAGTGCAAAGGCTAAAAATCCTTATGCGGCGTATTCGTCTTCCTGTGAGTCTTGCAAGGCCAAGGTCGAGCAAGGGAGAAAGTTCTGCCATATATGCGCTTATCAGAGGAATGGTATGTGACTCTTTTCTATTATTATCCTCTGTACTACTTTTTCTTCTTCTAATTTGAACTAACAACATGCAGCGTGCCCCATGTGCGGGAAGAGTTTAACTGGGAAGAAAGCGAAAGACCAGCCAGTTGTTCAGGGACAGAAGTTCAGTTTGAAATGAGAGGTACACTGTCTACTGACTGGACTGGCCGCGGCATGGAGTTCGGAGTTGGATGGATTGTTACGAGCTCTGGGGGCCAAGAGCACATAGTGGACCACCTATCATATACTTTACATCTCACGACAGAATTGACCTTGTAGTACTCGCAGCATAATATGAAAATCTATTTATACAAAGCAGTATGTCCAAATTCTGTGGACTCCATTGTAGAAAAAAGAGCTATCGCCTAAAATACTCCGTGTCAGGATAGATGCTTCTCCTTGTTATCGACCAACACTACCCCGATACATTTCTCCATTACGCACATCGCCTTATGTCTCTCAATGTGCTTCACCTACCTCTCAGCAAGCATGTTTTTAATGCTGCTGAAATAGGACGGTAACACAAACTGCGCGATCTCTTCCTTGGCCAGCCACTTGAAATCATTGAGATTCTGCGAGTTAGCCGACAAATCGGCCTGGCCGGCCATGATTCGAGACTTCATGAAGAAAGTTTTCTCGCCAAGACGCTCAATACCAGCGTCCTTTTCGAGTTTGGGCTTCCGGAAATCATAGATATGGTGGCCGACGGGATGGTAACCCACCATCCATGTATTCATGTTCACACCAGCGGACTGTTCCAGAGTACGTTCGGCGGCCTGGGTAGACAGGGATATTAGGTTAGTTAGGCTGACCTCTTTAGAACCCACCCGGCGCAAAATGAAAGACTCACCGATCGAAGGCTCTCTTTTTCTTCGATGGGAGAGCTGGGAAACTTCCAGTATCCCTCCTTCGTCTGAACGAGAAGATAAAGAGTCCTCTGCAGCAATCTGTCGAGACTCTTCAGGTCACCCTTCCTATCTGCTTCCGTCACCCGGGGAGCTGGCCGAGGGATTTCTTCCCTCTTGCTTGTATCTTGCGACGTGGCATTGGCCGTCGCTTCCGCATCCTGCACAAGCATCTCGACCTGATGTTCCGGTTCCGATTCGACCGCCCCTACCAGCAACTCATCATTCCATGCCTCCTTGGAGTACGCATTGTACTTCCCAATGTCGCGAGCCGCGGTCTGGCGTTCCCGGATCTTTCGTTTCCAGTCCTCGTCGGCTGGCGTGCCTCGCTTAAAGTAGAAGTATTTCGTGAAAGGGAGGGCTAATCGCTCATTCAGCCGTTTCTGGTAAAAGTAGTACGCTTTCTCGAACGGTGTGAGGTCGCGAGTGATCTGTGGGGGACGAGAAAGGACCACTCCTGCGTTGATGGTATAGACGGGTTTCAGGACTGGGAAGATCGGTGCCTCGTTCTGTGTTGAGGACGAGGAAGAAGGAGTCTCAGATTCTGCTGCAGCGGCAGATGCATAATTGCGACGGACGAACGTTTCTTGACAGTTCCTACATACTCTGGAGTCGATTATGGAAGGACCTGGAACAACGGGAAACAAATGAGGGTCAGTATTGGGATGAATATGATTTCCAGGCATATGAGAATCACGTACGCAATAGCGACGCTATGCGCCTGGCACCATTGGATCCCGTCGACATCTCCCCGACCGTGCTAGGATGCGATGATTCAGGCGTGCTTGGGGACGCTGCTCTACCATCTCCTGCTCCGTCCGAGAAAAGTTCACGGTCACCTGCAAACTCCGCCCGGATTCCGCGCTATTCCAGGATAGGCTAGTCCCCAGGTGACGGCACCGACTATTTCATTTTTTTCCTTCACCTTCATTTTTCTTTTTTCTACACTACAGCACCCATCCTTATCGTCACTGCGTTAAGTTGCTCTACGACCAGTTGATCATTTAATGGTGCTCAGAATGAGTACTCTGCTACGCTGCGGCATTTTCGCTAGCGGTACCTTCTTAACCTAAGGCGTACTGTTAGATAGAAGCTGCACACAAGACCATTTGCAAAGTCTGCATAGGTTATGAGGTTGAATTGGTATCGGCCTCTTTTCTCCCAATTGGGTTTCATTTCTATCCTGAATGATTGCGGATGCTTTCGCCTGTCCTGCACTGGTTTTTTCTGCCTATACTGCAACGAGGCTCACTGTCGCGAGTTGTCTGGCGACACGCGGAGGCTCCCTCGAGATAATACACACTCGTTCTACTGTACCAAATACGCGCAGTCGATTACCGTAAACTTTCCAGAACTCCGCGTCCAAACGGGGAATTAGCTCCCCACGTTTGACCTTGAGGGCGATCTCTTCTGACCCGTCATCTTGTAACGACACCTTGGCTTCTTCGGGACTATGCTCAGTAACCTCATCGGGCTCCTGTACTTCGAGGAGGTCGAATCTTGTACGGAGCCCCCTAACTTTGGCGTATTGCTTTTGAGTGCGCTGTCCTGCCGGCTTCGGTTCAGGAGGAACAGCTCCAGAACGTCTCTTTGTATGAGGAACTGTCAAATCTGGCCCACCGCTGGATACAGTGTATTCTCCCTTCTCCACGGTGTGCTTAGAAATTCCTCCATCACGAAGCTGAGCGGAGAGCTTGACAAAGATTTGGGCTGTAAGTAAGCTATCGTAGCCTGCCTCATGCTCGATTTTCCGGTTGTTGTACTTGGAATGGTGTGGGTGTATTTCTGATCCGAAAGTCAGCCTGTCCTTCAAAATCCGGAGGCTAGGTCCAATTGCTTGCTTACTTATTTGTGGAATCTTGACCGATGACAACTTGTCGTTGATCTCTGGCAACGATGACTTTGGAGTTATGGAACCGCAGTCGTGCGTAGCCAGGTATTTCGTATCCATGAGCATAGGGAAGAGATCGTGGATCATAGTCTTGAAATCCCCCACAGAATCGGGCAATGGGCCCAAAAAGCACCTGCAAAAGTAAACTAAATCGATGAACAGATTATGACCAACTAGAACTGGCCGATGATCTTTCAGCTTTTGTTTCAGCCTCTCTGCGAATTCATTCAACGGATACTTCGATTCCACAGACCCAGCGTTCAACATGATACCCATGAAGCAACCTGGTTCGAGATCTGACAGATCTCCCCCAGCTAAAGCCTCCGCTACCCATCTAAACCCCGTCTGTTTCTGTATCCGCTGTTGTATTCGTCGTACTCTCTCTTCTTTGATAGCGTTCTCGCGGTCTTTGTTGTACGCAATGATTTGGACAAACGTAGGTTTGCCGATCGACACGAGAGATGGATATTCCACCTCTATCAGTTGATGAACAAGTCTTTTTTGAAAGCTATTCAATGTCACTGGCAAAGACCTGGGAAGTTGAGAGACACCAGCACGACTTGCAGGTGGGATATTCAGGTAATCAGCGGCAGTCTAGTTAGTCCATCAGTTTTGCTTGAAACATTTTCCCCGAGTAGAATGAAGGGTGCTCAAACATCACCAAGCGCAAGCCAGTCGTCAATTAGGCATCGTGTCGCTTTCAAGAACTGCAGAGATTCGTAGTCGGTCTCCTTGATGTCAAGAACGGTCCTGGCTCCTACCCGATCATGTCGTTCTGTTGCCTTTGCCAATGCCAGATTTGCTTCATCTCGGGATAAGTAAGATACTCCATCCTTGTAGAGGGCTGCCAGGCTGAATTTGTTTTCCAAGAGAAACTCGATAGCTAGAATATCCATTCAGAATTATTATCCGCGTGCAGGCAGGCATAGGTAGCCACAAAAGAAAACAAGTATGCCATATATATACCGCTGCTTTGAAGAGACAAGTCCCTGTCCAATTCCAACTTCCCATCGACGATAGGACTCAGGTAAAGATTGTATGGCTTCAGTGTATACGTCGCTACTAAATTTTAGCCGATTGGATCCTTCCAATTGAGTTAGTTTTATTCCCAAGTATCTGACCTGTAGCGGTATCTTCGTGGCAGATTGTTAGACCAATTTGCAAAATCTGGTATTTATCTGCAGCTCTTTTGATCTCTTCATAACGTTCCTGAAGTGTCTGTTGCCCGCTTGATGGTCCCACTGGAGTCTTTGCTATTCCCGAGAACTCGAGATCTAACGACACGAAACAGCAGGAGGCTAGATCGTCCAGGATTCTCGGGAGATGATAGGAGAATGACTGGCCAGTTACATCCATGTTTCGTTGAGATATTGCTGGCGTTTGAAATGAGGCAGGATTTCCAAGAATGCTGAGCGCATAAGTATCGTTAAAAGGAGTATTGAGAAAGTAACAAGCCTAGACTTGGTGTCCAAACTGACTTGTACTTGATAAAGCTGGAGTTCGCTGCGTCTGCCAAGTCAGGTGAATATGCTGCAGCATCCACTCGCTCCAGTATCGGGATTGCAACAAGCAGTGTCATTCATAAAAAATAAGAATATGGATAAAAGAGGAGGATATGGATAATTTGATGACTTCCACTGATGTCGTTCCTCACTTTCGGAAAATCAGGTTCGTGCCGCAGAGACAATCTAAATAAACTCTGCAGCGATTGTCGGTTTTCAAAGCAGTAGCAAACAAATTGAAGGATATACATCATACTTGCATTATATACCTAGGGACCTAGAGAGTTTTACGGTTGTATAAAGCAAAATTTTCATTCACAGACCTCCCTCTAGACTCTCTATGTCGAGTATTCTTCTTGGATTCTTGGGGCTTTTGAAGGTCTTTCTCTCAAGGGCTATTACCAACTACCTTATGCACAGAGACTTGCGGGAATATGATAATTATGTCTGGGGAGGGCCTTATATTACAAGGAAGCACTACTGTATCTATCTCGTGAAGAGCCCGGAATAGCACCGTAAGGAAGCTGATATGGGCTATAATGGAAATTACTACTACTACTACCTTTGGAAGTATTTTCGCCCATGGCACGCACGAAGCATCTAATTGTTGGAGCAGGCTTACTGCTTTGTGACAAGGACTTGAAAACGTTCCTCTACGCTCTACGAAGAAAGTTCAACTAATTGGGGGAGGTCAGTTCATTTTCATTTACAAGCTAGTCGAAACGACACTGCTTCCTTCATTAATCCAATACCAGGGAACTACTATTACAGGCCTTATGCCAGTCAGGCACATCAGTCCATTCCTTGTCTGAAGCCATGGGACTGACTGAAAATAAAAGTATCTTGAAGTGGGCATGAAAATGATGGGCGTGGCTCAGACATTAAACCATAAGATGATACTTTGTAATGAGAAAACTGACGCAGAAGGGTGAGAAGAAAACTCGCACCGTATTCTTCATTGTCGTTGTATGGTGTTGGACTCAGTTTTCTCGACCGTTGTATCGATGGGAGGGTTTACCTGTAGCCTTTAGTATGTCACTCAGATCAACAGAGGTCCTATTCCGGATATACTGTACAATGCTGTGGGCTGTTGCGTTGTTGCAGATCTATACAAGAGGTATATTTTGCTGCACTTTTTTGGAGCCTTCTCATGTGCCAAAATTGACCCCCTTTCCCAGACCACTCTGATCCTTTATCCAGCGTTCGTGGTGTCTTCCAGGAGCGAGAAACCCAAGTATGACTCCCCTCCCCAGGAGCTCAGCGAAGAGGAGGAAGTCAAATATGAGGAGGTTGGACAACAAAGAAGTTCCCGAGCAGTCATAATCCTCAAGTATATTTGACTACGCCACAGTGACGTTCTCATGTTGAGAAACAGACTATGTGTGAAGTATGGGCACCGTGTATATTTATCTTGAGCATCAACAATGCTTTTTGTCGTGATGCACACCTATACCAGCCCCGAAAGTGCTATGTGCTTTTACTCGTTCTGGGTGGATGTAAATCGTGATGGAAAGGATCGAGGGGGATATAATTGGCAATGGCTGGGTAAAACGAATTGATGAGTCTAAGGCAAAACTTCTTTCACAATTGCGAAACATGGTCACTGACATAAGCTCAGTCTCCGGAAGGAATCGAGGTTGCTTCTATTGATGGTGGATCACTTTTTAGTTGCCGTGCACTAGGCCATTTCTTGCACTTTGGTCCTTTTCATACCGTCCAGGACTTCCATCGGCATCTTCAAAGGGACATGGATTTGATCTTAGGCTCGACCCCCAGATTCAGAGTCTTATCAAAGAACAAAGCAAGTCTTGGCCTTTGGTATTTACTCGTGGCGATCCAGATGTTACTGGATGACGAACTCACTGTCATCCTCCAGGGCTTACCTAAATGGTTAAACGTGAATGATGCTACTTATTTGCAGGTAGGACCAAAGCGTCTGACTTCAACCCCCAAGGCCTCTATTATACCGTTCCTTTTAAGAATAGGCCTTTAGCCAACTTTCTGAGCTGCTCTATTCTCTCTAAATACTGTTGCATGACCTTCGTACTTTATTTCTTGGATTATAATATACGTAGAATTAAAAAGAGTCGCATCTAAAGCAGAAAAGGACACTAAAAGGCGCTGATTAAGCATACCACCTGCCATCCGCAGACAATTGCGAGCGCAACTCGTTTCTTGCCAACAACAATGCAACTCTCCAGCATCCTTATTGCCATTGCCGTCTACCTTGGTGAGAAATATCTCTATTACTATCACCCGACGGAACTGCTCTAACACGATCCGTCGACAGTTCTACGCTTCATTAAAAGTCGAGCATCCGACCCCGCAGCCACCATGCCCCACGGAAAGGTCATCGAGGTAGACAAGTGCGTATTATCTGCCCCAATTACATTGAATTCAGAAGGGAGAAAGGCCGTCTTATCTGACTATTTACGCACAGCCCTGTCATCTTCAAGGCTCTTACGTCCTCCGGTCCTGTCGTGGTCGACTTCTTCGCTACCTGGTGCGGTCCGTGCAAAGCCGTTTCGCCCGTCGTTGGAAAGCTCAGCGAGACCTACGCGAACGTGCGCTTCATCCAGGTCGATGTTGACAAGGTCCCTTCGGTAGCGGGCGAGTTGGGGGTGACGGCTATGCCGACCTTTGTTTTGTTCAAGAATGGTAGCCCCTTGGAAAATCGGGTGGTGGGGGCGAATGTGAAGGCGTTGGAGGAGGCAATCAAGGGCATATCTGCTTAGATGTTTGTATTTGATAAGAAATAGGTCGATTGGTTAGTCTGATCCAACCGTGTATAGAGGTTCATTACAATACCACTTTTTCATCCTCGAACAGACCGTTATATATGTCAAAGATGAGCAGGCACAATAAGATCTTTCCCGCCTGTACGAGGATAATAATGCAGTGGTTTGGACACTGCACCGGTGATACGAGCACCAGTGGCACGACGTGGAAGCCTAAAAGCTCAAAACCATGCATGCTTTCCCATCAGTGCTTCATTACATATCCAACCAATGCCTTTTTTATAGCCATTTTAATGGCGGTAGAATACAGCCAAGGCACTATCTAATTAATGCTTGCATGCCAGAGACTTTATCAAATTGGATGACAAAGGCTGCACTTACCCATTCCCACTGAACACAGCTGTGAGAGCCCATCTCTTCCAAAGTCCCAACCCTAAATGTGAGCTGTACCTCATCTTTCATCTTCTCGAATTCCCTCCTGTAAAGTTAGACCTCCTCTCAATGCAGATCCACTTTATCGTTTAGGTGGCTGAGGGCGTTGAGGATGCCCGCTTCCCAGTCAAGGAGGGTGCTGAAGCAGTCAAAGGATAGGCTGAGAAGGACTTGAGGGATACTATTGCCGACTAATTTCCCGGCTTATCTACGAAAGAATTATGCCATTAAATACTCAAATGCTTTCTTTAGGTACTGTCAACTTTCTTGAGTAAACAAGTGTAGGTCTCTCCGCATCCCGTGACATCACGTCACGGCGGACAGCCGAGGCATAGCGCCTGGCCTTGGCGTGCTTACAGCATTAGGATTAGGTACGGTACTTCCTGGTTACCTCCAGAGTTTCACTGTCCCTTGTTCAACCTGAATATAGCCTCGCTACGGAGAGCTGTTCTTCAACTACCATCGCCCCTGAGAAAAACACGAAAACTACCGTCTTCCCTGTCTCATCCCTTCGATGACCATGACCGACGGCGGTTCCTTCACATCTTCGCAATCGCAGCTTCTCTCCTCATCCTCGTCTCTTCCCCCGGCGAAGCTCTGCTCCAAGGCATACAAGAAATCGTCGCAATTATACTTGACGCGTCGCCTACAAGATGCTCTATCTGCTCTTGAACCAGTAATCACAGTACCTGCCGCGGAAAGAGAGCAGTACACCAATGGAGGAACTCTATCTCCTGTGTCTGCGTCAATTGCTACTGTTCCTAGCACGTGGAGAATTAAAGTGTGGAATCTATATATCGCGTTACTCAGCGCGATAGTCGACTTGGGCCCCGAGGAAGGGAAACAGATATTCGGACAGAAAGAATGGAAGGAAATCGCAGCAAAGGTGCGCGACGGCAACGTTTGGCAGACGGTTGTCCAGACCGGTTACCATGGCATCGAAGGAGCAGTTGATGCAGATGTTGTCTATAATCTGTTAGTTGCGACTTACCAAAGAGAAATTTTTACCTGGCCCAAGGCTAATATGCTATGCGCTACGACAGGGCTACCCTATTATTGAACCACTCGCCATCGCAGACGCTGAACCAACAACGCATTGAAACTTACCTCTCGTCCTATGGTCAATCAAGTCTCGATATTCCGGATAATCTACAGCAGAGTTCTCTGTCAGACGTTGAACAACGTCAGGCTGGTCCTGGGAGTGGGACGAGCACCCCGAAAGACTTGGCTGCTAGAGTTAGGATAATCGAGCTCTTCACCCTACATGTCCTCCCCAGAAACAATGAGTGGGAATATGCCAGAGATTTTATTAGTCTGAGCGATGTGCTAGATGAGGAACGGAAGGAGGCCTTTCTGCAAGCTCTCGAGAACCTCAAGGAGGAGAAGGAAATGGGAGAGTTGCGCGCTGCGGAGATCCAACGAGGGAAAGAGGCGGAAATGGCGAAGCATGCACGGGAAGCAGAACGTCGGATGGCAGAGGAGGCTGCTGCTGCTGCTCCTGAGCGCTCGGGGCAAAATGGCCTCAGGCGGGCCAGCAGTGAGGTCGACTTCGGTATCGAAAAGAATCACCCGAACGGCACCTTGAAGGGTAAGGGGGCGAAGTCTGAGAGAAGACAGTCCGGCACCAAGACCGCTACAGCACCGGGACGATCTACGGTCTCAGCTTCCTCGAGCTCCTCAAAGAATGTCAAGAAATCTGAGAAACCGAGGGCGAGACCAGGGCAGCTCCGGGCATTGACAAATGCGATACGCAATCTCCTGCGGCACATTGCACAAGCAGCGAGCAGCAATCCATTGTCGGTTTTCCGCACGTTGGTATTTATACTGGGTATTATCATGGCGTTCAGCAAACAAAATGTGCGCGAACGCGTTGGGAAAATAACCGGGGCAGGTTGGCAAAAGGTCAAAGGTACTATTGGGATGGGCGTTAAGGTCAGCTATATTTGACGAAGAAAAGAACAAAAGGAGAAAAAATAAATAAAAATCTCCCCTGCGGAGCTCTGGATGCCACGCCAGCGCTCGTCTTTCTCTCAACTATATGATGCTTGTCAGGTTCTAGGAGTCTTTCTCTTTCCAGGTCATCTATGTTTCTCTGGGGTTCGTTCCAAATTTCTCGGTAAACAAAGACCATGAACGATTGTGTTTATATTATGAGGCATCTATATTTTGTATTACTGGCAATATGACGCTTTCGATCGAAAGCAGGCATATACGACACATCGTCTCTATATACTTTTATCCTATATAGCTCTAATTCATTAGCTCTGCCCTTTACGCTCTACCATGATGCTTTCTTGTGTATTTTCAGTGATTCCAATCTGCCCTGCTCGCTCTGCACTTTCAAGGTCACGGCTCCCTTCTATTTTCGCGAGCCACCTCCGAAAGACATAGACGAAGAAATGCGCCACACACACCTGCTCCGTTGTATACAGAAGCACAGGCACTGAAGTTTTGGCCTTGATGAACAGATCAACAGGCATCCACATCGCATACAGCAACGGGATGCCTAGCGCGGTGCTCTTCGCAGGTCCACAGAAACACACTGCTATCGTCTCCCCTGGTGAAATGCGTTCGAACACACGCTTAGCCCAGGGATGAGGGCAAGACGACAGAAATTTGGGAGGACATGAGATGTAGAAACACACGGCCGTGAGGAAGAGATACAGGGCGACATTGAAGAGGACGATGAATGCGATGCTCTGCGCTGAAAGAGACTGCAGGGCGTTGGTGGCGAAGCAGGAGGAAAACGTGGACCTGACGGCTGTCAGTTCATGAAAGCCCTCTACACTGGATATAGTATGATGGTTAAATCAAACCTACCAGATCAACAGAAGAAGACAGGCTGTGGACAACTTGGCTAGACGAAACCGCTGCAACACCCACGCCGTCTTCTCAGACCAGGTCCACCGAATGAACTGACCCACGACCAAGGGCAAGAGAACACTGAGACCCAATTGCTTGAATACATCCTTATACATCCGCTGGAGATTACTGCCGCCCTGAGTCCTCCAGGCATCAAACTCCGCAGTATGCGGTAGCAGCGTAACGGTCCACGCAGCCGTGATGAAAGGACCCAACACATTTGCAATCAATACTTCCACCAACGCAGCGGCATCATCCCCGCCCGCTGCTCTTGTCATAACCACATTCGAAGCGATGGTGGTGGGAATACAGGCAGTGAAGATATACCCCGCCAGCACGGCTCTGTCGATGCGCTCTTGAGTATCACCAGCGATGATGGCATGGACGAGAGCCACTACGACGGCCGGGATGAAGAGGAAGGAAGTCACCTGGACCAGCGCATGAAGTCGCCAGTTAAGGAATTGCTGGAACAGTTTCTGGCGCGGGATGCTGAGCCCGGAAATGAGGAAGATGACTGCCATCGCACCGTAGAGGATGCTATACTCGGACCGGATGATGCCGCCATGTTTCGCTACGTTTGGGAAGTAGTAGGCCAGGACGCACACGACGCCGATGCCGATAAGGAGCCATTGATGCAGGATGAAGAGGGTGGTGGTTTTGAGGATCTGCTTCCAGGACCGTCCGCGGCGGGTGGTCCCCAGGTTGTCGATTGGATCCATGACAACGACCCTTTGAGCCATGGGTATGATTGATCGATCCTTTGCATTGTTGAGTGAAATGAAAAGGACGGCGGGGTCATTTCTATTGCGATAATATGATAAATACTATCGCGGGCTTTACTCCGTGGTCACTACTTCTATCTGTAAGATTGCGACAGCGATGGCTGCAGCTTGCCAGGCATGGTGTACATATCGCACAGTCACCGGGAGTGCTGATTCTAAAGAACAAGTATGATCATCTGCAAAGACCTGCGCAGAATCCTTTTGACTGAAAGCTCTAAGAACTTGCAGGACTTGCAGGACTCGCAGGACTTACAGGACTTACCTTACAGGACTTCGGGGATGATGCGAGCATTTTAAGCACGGAGTTGTTCCGGAGTCCGTCCAGCGAGGTACCGGCTCATCTTATGTATTACGAGTCGGGGAGAACTCCCCCAGCGGTGTCGATATTGCCGACTGGAATTGTCGAGGCTGGAATTCTGGAAATCCATCTCCGAGAACCCCAGGTCTGTCTCTCTGGACAGTGGAGGAGCGATATCAACTCACAATTAATAGCGCGGCCGAACATCGGCGCAAAGGAAGACCTCGGTTCAGGATTTCTTGATGCGAATGCCCGAAATTTCCCGCAGGAAAAGATGGACAGTGCTGTGCAGCGAAACAGAATAATGACGCCCCAGTCTCCGCGCCGCGTTCCCTATGACGATGACGGCGAGGAACCATGCCTGAAGGTACAGGCGGAGCATGTGAATACCGTCTGCAGTGGCGGCTCGCCTTATCCCATTCGACGGCTCTCCGCGAGGGCGACAGTCTGGGGAACCACATCCTTTAAGGGAGCCATGGTTGCAGGAGGAGCGCTGCCCGGTTGATTTGCAACCGCTTTCGTTGTGTTGCCGATGCCTCGGGAATGTCCTCAAGGCACGAAGCTCCAAGGCAGCATGAATCATCGCATAGCAGACAGACGCAGTAGTAAAATAGACGCAGCGGATTCTGTATAAGATGTTCGCATTTCCCGTGCCTCTTCTCTTTCTCTGTTCCGTTATCTCTCCTTGGAACTGAACCGAGGGTCAGATACGTTCTGTATGCTCTTCCCAGCTGCCGTTTCTCTTCCGCTCGTCCAGACGCCTGTCTCCGCTACCCCGGCATAACGCAGTAACCCAATTCCCCACGCCTGGTCTGTTTTCCGAATTATCTCCAGGGCCCTGGCGCGCGGTTTGGTCCTGAGTCATAATAAAATATCGTGACCCTCGATTCCAAATCCCCCAGGTGTTGCGTTCTGCAAGCGGAGAAGAAGCTCATATACTCCTCCTTCTCCCCGAGTCCCAACGGTCTGCACGACTACACGCTTAGGCCTTACCTTCTTTGGACCTTCTTAGTTTTCCGGATCTCGTCTTGTCAGTTTCCTCTGCCTTTTGGGTAAATCTCCGACGGAAGCTGTCCGTTCATTACACATTCCTCGATTTGAACCATGTCTTCAAAAGGCAGCACCAGTGGTAAGGCGGCGTCGCCCGCTGTCAACTTGATAGGTACGGTGGTCTACGCGTTCCCTTTGACACAAAGAATTCGTTCATCGCTGACCCTTGAGCAGCTGGCGGTGGTGCTGGTATGATGGAAGCCCTCGTTTGCCATCCCCTAGGTACGGATATACTACTCAATTGGAACTTGTAATGGACCCTGTCTTACCGTTATCCTCCAGATACTATCAAGGTCCGCATGCAGCTTTCGCGGAGAGCGACGGCACCAGGGGTGAGTAAAGCATTTGGTGTCCCATTGTTTTGTTCTGTTCTGAGCTAGCTGACGCTTTCATATGCGCTCAGGTTAAACCCCGCGGATTTATCAAAACCGGCGTGGACATTGTGAAGAAGGAAACCGCCCTGGGCCTGTACAAGGGTCTTGGAGCTGTCCTGGGTGGTATCATTCCCAAGATGGCCATTCGATTTACTTCGTACGATGCGTACAAGCAAATGCTGGCAGACAAGACGACGGGCCAGATTTCGCCTCAAGCCACCTTCCTTGGTAGGTCTCTCTGTTCACTTTTTTTCTTTCTTTTTTTTTTTTTTTTTGACGGGCTTCCATGAACAATATATATGCTGACCAACGTCCTTTTCTCATCATCTAGCTGGTCTTGCCGCTGGTGTGACTGAAGCCGTGGCTGTCGTCAACCCTATGGAGGTTATTAAGATTCGTCTGCAGGCGCAACATCACAGTCTTTCAGACCCCGTTGATACTCCCAAGTACCGGAGCGCCCCTCACGCCCTATACACGGTGGTGAAGGAAGAAGGATTCATTGCTCTCTACCGCGGTGTCTCTCTAACTGCTCTCCGACAAGGAACGAACCAAGCTGCCAACTTCACCGCGTACTCTCAGCTCAAGGCCGCGCTCCAGCGATTGCAACCAGAATACAACAACAGCCAGCTTCCTGCGTATCAGACAACAGTGATTGGATTGATTTCGGGTGCCGTGGGCCCCTTCTCAAACGCGCCTATTGATACCATCAAGACTCGACTCCAGAAGACCCGTGCCGAGCCTGGCCAGTCCGCCATCGCCCGCATCACCAGCATCGCCTCAGACATGTTCAAGCAAGAGGGGGCACGCGCTTTCTACAAGGGTATCACTCCACGTGTGATGAGAGTCGCACCTGGCCAGGCAGTGACTTTCACTGTGTACGAGTACTTGCGGGGCAAGCTCGAAGCATCGAACTGGTCCTTTGTGGGTGGGACGTTCGAAGAGTGATTTTCGCGCGCCCTCGCATGGATTGAGCCCCCTCCACCTTTCTTTTTTCTTTTTCTGACTCAATTTGGCTGCGTTATTTTCGAAAGCGTTTCATAAGTACCATAAAGCTTGGTGGCGTTTGTTTACGACGGCCTCAGGGGAACACAGGCAATTGTATATATGACTGACAAAATCGGTTCTTTTGTCTTTTAGATACCATTTTTTTCGGAGACTTGGCTAGAATACAAAAGAGCTGTTTTCATGGTTGTGCTGTTTGTGAACGTCTTCGCTCCCGTAGATGATGGTAAAGAGAGATTCAGGATGCCTACCAACCAAAACTATCGACCCATGCATATTCGAATCGATAGGCCAAAATAGAGAATGTAGAAAATATGGAAGATCGATTATATTTGCTTCTAGACAGCAGGTTGAAACGTCACCGTGCATGGCTGTTCAGCATGTCGCCTGAAACGAGGGGAAGCATGCACCCCTCTCTGCCGCTGCCATCGACCATCTACCAAACACATCTCTTATACCTACAACAACCTGAAATCAATCATTTGCATCGAGGTCAGAAGTACAGAAAAGAAGAACAATGCAATCAGGAATATCAGGTAACAAAAAATACCCCCAATAAATGAATTGAATGAATTGAATCAGCCAAACTGCGATAGACGGTAGCTAATCAATCTCACCAAAAACAGTCACCCCAGAACTCCACGATGCATTCCACTCCTTCGCATCCGACTCCTCCATCTTCTGTCTCCCCGTAACCATCACTGCAGAGAGCCTAACCCCTCTCCCGACGATCCCCTTCTCATCGTCTCACGGCCCGGAAGCCTTCTACGCATCCCTCCCGAAACTCTCCTCAACCCTCCAACCCAAGGTTCCCATCTACCTACTCCTCCGCAAGCCGCAGGATAATGCATCCGAGTCGTCTCTTGTGGCATTGACGTACATCCCATCGAACGCGCCGGTGCGGGCCAAGACGATATTCGCCTCTACCCGGTCCACGCTGGTCAGGGAATTGGGCAGTGAGAAGTTTGCGGAGACTATCTTCGCTACCGATGAGGATGAGGTTGTCGGTGAGGCTGTCTGGCGGGAGAGGGAGGCCGAAGGGAATGGGAACGGTGCCTCTGCCGGGTTCAGACGGGAGGATCTGATGGATGAGAAGGAGCGAGAGTTGCAGGCCGTTCGGAGGGCGGAGGAGGAGGCGAGGATTGGAACGCCTCAGAGGGATATTGGGATTGGAGGAACTTTCGGGAGAGGGAATGCTACTTCGGGCATGAGCATTTCCATGCCTGTGGAGGAGAAGGCGAGGGCTGCTTTGAGGGAGCTGCGGCAGGGTAGTCTGGTACAATTGGTACGTTGGTCTACTGAGAGATATAACACTTCTTGGCTTAGATCTGGGTATTATTTGCTGTGCTAACAAAAAACAGGCAATTGACATCCCAAGGGAGACATTCACGCTCGAGACCTTGCAGCCGGAAGTTGACGCAGGCTCCGTCTCTTCACACATCTCCCCGTCTTCGCCCCGATACACATTCTACCACTATCCAGGTTCTGAAGCGTTGATTTTCATTTATACTTGCCCGTCAAATTCATCGATCAAGGAACGCATGCTGTACGCTAGTTCTCGCAGGCATGCTATCGACATTGCTGAGAATGAAGGGCTCAAAATCCACAAGAAGGTAAGTCCTCTCACAAGCATTGTCTGGTATGATAAAGGCTTTGACAGACTAACAATAAAAATTCCTTAGATCGAAGCGGGCGTGCCAGAGGACATCACCCGCGAAAGGTTGCACGAAGAGGTGTATCCTCCGCAGGATCAAGGCCCAAAGCGCGGGTTCGCAAAACCGAGACGGCCAGGCAGGTAAATCCGATATCAGTCCATTTTCTGAAGGATTTTCTGATCTCTCGTCCATCGGAATGCCCGTTATCCCATAGATAGTTGTGCCGTTCACAGAGTGATGAGTGCCCGTCGAGATCGGCCTCCTCGTTTCATTTGAACCCTTCGTTTAGATATTCGTAAGGAATAAAGCCACACAATCCTTCCTCAAGTAGCGACAATAGTGCAAAGAGGCACAAAGTCCGCTCCTGTTCATACCGTCGCAATGGTCAACAAAGGAGCGCGATGGAAAGACCACAGCGACGATCAATGATTTCGAAAACTTTTCTTCTGGTAGAACAAATCCGTCCTCGAACTACCCAAGTTTATAATTTTCGGGCACCCATCTCGATCCTTCTCTAATCGGGTGCACTCAAAGCAGTAGAAAGCATCACTGATTCCCTCGCCACCGCACACCACACACTTGTTCTGATAGTTTCCGAAAGAACATTCATCGCAGATGCGAACGAGAGTAGTAGGCCGCACGTATGAATCGCAGACGGGACATTTGCCATCGCATTTGTCACAGACCCGGCCGATTGAGATGCCAGGCTGCTTTCGGCACATGACGAGATCGGGATGATGGCGAGACATTTTGGAATTTAGGGATAGCTAGCTGTGAAATCAACTTCGATGTTATGAGAGATGTTCTTTGGTGAGAATATTGTAATTGGAGTATGAGGTGATCGAAGAAGAGATGGGGGAAATAAATATACAAGAGGGAGAAGATCAGAGATGGAAGGGATTCGAAAGTCGAAAAATCGCCGTTTTCGGTTCGTTCCGCCGATGGTCCGTGCACAGAAGTTGCAGGGGTTCTCTATCCTCGGAGTAAAAAAAAGCATCTATGCTGGATGTTCTAGAAGGAAGGCTTATTTTACACAGATCACCGATTAGGTATTCTTTTTTCTTTCTCACCTACAGTAACTAACTGATACTATGGCTGAGACGTGAGTTACTTTGAATCTAGTCAGAGGTATCTATCTTAAGCTAGCTAACCGCAACCACAGATCTCTCGCGTCGGCGGTCGCGTTACCAGAACAGGACAACAATAGCTTACCACCCGCATCACCGGAAGCAGGAATCAAGCGGAGAAAATCATCGATTACGGATTCGGACGGTAAACGCCGCCGACTTAGTTCCCAGGACGACAGTAGAGACAGAGACAGCAGCAACGGACAAGTTGAAGCGAGGAGAGCGTCACCACCCGCCGAGCGGAACGGGACTCGACAGACTAGTCATAGTGGCAGCGGCAGCGGCGGGCGCGATGAGGAGCGGAAACGGGGACAGAGACTATTCGGGGCGTTACTTGGGACACTTTCGCAGAGTTCGAGCACGGCGGCGCAGAGACGGCGCGCGGATATTGAGAAGAGGCAGCAGGCGAAATTGCGGATGCAGGATGAGGAGTATGATGAGTTGAAGAAGAAGAGGCGGCAGGAGATGTTGGCTATGCGAAAGAAGGAACAGAAGTTCTTTGAGAGAGAGTCGGTAGGGATGGTCCTATCTTGCTGTGACCTTGCAAGGTATCCGTTTGCTGACTATTGCAGATGCATACACGTCACACGAATATGTTGGCCATGGCACATTTTTTGAAGACTAAGACTGAACCGGTTCTGGTATGTTATCCATCTTTCCTATTCCATATTCCATTTCATTTTTTTTAACTGGTTTTGCTTTTTAGTACTACAAACCGTGGCAGCTACGACCTGAACATGAAAGGATAATACGGGACCAAATCGAGGAGGCCGAGACCACAATTGCACAGGAACGTGCTGGTTTTGATGCCCGCTACCCACCCGGGGAGTTCTCCAGGGAAGCTCAGTCACAATCTGAAACACAACCAGAGGAGAAACGGGAGCCAGTACCGGAGCCGGAGAACGAGAAACATCTGAATGGGAAAGAGCCCCGTCAAGATGCAGAACCTGACAGCGGCTCGAGAGAGGGCAAAGACATGGCGCATGAAGCTTCGGACGCGGTGGGTGCTGAAGATACTAACCATGAGAAGCCGTCAGAGGTAGCTAAAACCGATACCGCGTCCACCACTAACGATACCAATGCGGCTGTCGATGACCAGGCAGACATACACCGAGCAGCTGAAGATGATGGAGGAGAGGTTGTGGAGGATAAGGAGGACACGGTGATCTATTAATTTGGCCTGTAATATTGAAGTATGCCTGATTATGTCCTTTTCCCATGGATGCGTCTGAAGCTACAAGTTGATCTCGAAAGTGTGGAGCGATGTTCTTACTAGGGATCTTGAATTTCACGACTTGATGACCCGGGCTACTACCATGCCTCTTAAGCGTAGAGGCAGATATATTCATGCTCTTGAAAGCTTTTGAAGCTCCTCGGTAGTACACTCTCCACGTGACAATGACTTGCAGTGAGGAGTCTTCGCGGCCATTGATCGACAAATCCATCCGAAGTAGATGATTATATCAAAGATTGTAGCCAGCCTCTTGTTACCCAGAGAAGTCGACCTTGCAACCGTAATAAAATGGCCATCGACAAAATCCAAGTATCCGGCGACCCTCGGGTCCAGTACAAGTCCGCCAACCTCAACGGCAGGAAATATGGTATGAAGCGCAGAATTTCTACATTCCACAGGCTCAATAATGGCTTTCTGTCAAGTTTCTGAATTTATGCGTTAACCGATAATAAAGAATTCGAGGTGCTGATGCATTGTGCTGTATGAATAGGATATCTTCTAGCTCAACCTGAATCGGGTCAGTATAGGGCTACGATCTTTCTTGTACGTGCAAGTCTATAATCCCCCATAAAGCCGTGCCTGACTATTTTTTTGACAGATCCACGGCTTCCCGGATTTGTCAATGGGATGGCGATATCAGATTCCCATGCTCCTTGGAAGAGGATTACAGGTCGTCGCGCCTGATTGCTTGGGATATGGAAGAACAGTACGTCTCTCCTACCTACTCTAGTTGTCACCATTCAACTAGGATTCACCACCTGCAGAATTCTCCCCTGTGGGCTGTACAGACTAATAAGTAATATAGGATGCTCCAGAAGACGCCGCGCAGTATTCCCACAAACGCTGCGCAGATGATATCAAGGAACTCACATCCCAGCTAGGATTGTCGAAGATCATCCTTGGTGGACATGATTGGTATGAACATGTACCTTTTATTCTACCAACGTTGAAGGTTTTCCCTTTCTGTTTTGGTGCTCACCTTGAAGGGAGAAACACCTCCCTTCATAGCTTTGTTAACTTCATGTCTTTTTCTACTGGTTAATCCACCCGGACCAAATACATCGTCCACGCTGATCATTCTCTAGGGGCGCATTCCTCGCCTACCGCATCGCCCTCTGGCATCCAGATCTAATCACGCACCTCTTCACAGTCTGCGTACCCTATTCTCCTCCAAGAAAGACATATATCCCTCTAGAAGAGGGCGTGCGCACAATTTTACCCAATTTCACGTACCAGCTGCAATTCCGCAGCGGAGAAGTGGAGAAGTCGATTCGAAGTAAGGACGACATCAGGAATTTCCTGTCTGCCTTGTACGGAGGGCGAACGGCTGATGATGGTGGATATGCATTTGCTGCTGAGAGAGGTGTGGAGCTCGGGAAGAAGGTTGGAACGTCGAGGCTTTTGAGTGAGGAGGTAAGTTAGAGCTCTCTTTTTGTTCTCATTCTTTCCTCCAGGGATCCATTCTGATATAGGACAATTCAGGAACTAGAGTACTATGTCGAGCAGTTCAGCAGGAATGGTTTACACGGTCCGTGTATGTCGAATAAACCCATTGCCTGTTCTTTTTCTTTTTTTTTTTTTTTTTTTTCAAGTGAATCCTAACAAAGCTAGTAAACTGGTACCGCACCTCCGAAATAAACTACAAAGACGAACTCTCCATCCTCGACAGACGCATCGATACCCCCCTTCTCTTCATACAGGCACTCAGGGACCCGGCACTCCCTCCAAGCCTGGGGAAAGGGATGGCCAGAACGGTGCCCCATTATACCCTCAGACAAGTTGATACCTTTCACTGGGCGCTGTGGGAGAGACCGGACGAAGTAAATAGGATTATCGCGGAGTGGTTGGACCAAGTTGTCTTTTCAGACAGGCGGTTGGTGAAGCTTTAAAGTTGGGAGTAGGTTTCTTGAATATATGGCGAAGCTGTCACTCAAGCACACAGAACTGGCATGAATCGGCAGACTATGCCATTCCTCTCTTCATTATTCGAATAGAAACAATTATACATAGCTAGTTGTGCCATATGAAGAGACATCCAATACTATAATGGGTCAATGAGATAGACAAATGCCCATGAGATACCTTAACCAGATTCATTCGCCCAGGAACCCCTATGGATATCATGAAAACCGAAAAGAAAATCCCCACACCAGAATCGCTATGACCAAGGCCCCGTGATGTACCGGGTCGAATTCAAACTCCTGAATCAAACGCCTTCTTGTCCACTTAGATATGCCCAAGTCCCATACCAGTAGAGAAACGCTGCATCCAAATGTATCATCATGTTATGTCATCGAAGAACTTTCGATTTTGCTGTCTTCGACGCATCTCTTCTGTTTAAGGTTGTCGATAGCTCTCTTCACTTCTTCGTTCGCGATCTGCTTTAAGCTCGACTTCGCGGTCTCTTCAAGAGTTTCACAGTCACCAACCCGTTCGTAAAGCATACGAGAAATATTGCGGTTAATATCTGTGTATTCGTCTTTTGAAACGACCTTTGCGAGGTAGTGTGGTTTCAGCGCCGTCCCAACCAGTTTCTGGACGTCGGACTTCACGGCAAAAGATAGCCCGCGTGTAGGCGAGCTCTCGTTTGAATGAGCTCTACCCTGTTGGGAGGACCTTCTGGGTATATTAAGTCGGCTGGGTCGAGGACGGTGTGCAAGAATCGGCAGCCTGGTTTCTTTATGACCTCGTACTGGAGAATCCGAAGGTGAAACATCAGGCGAAAAGGTTGGAGAGGAAGGCCCCGAGGGCGATGTCAGCTGGATAGGAGATATGGGCCGGCCTCTGGTTTGCGGTGGCGGTGTGACGGAGGACAGGCGCGGGGATGAATTGCTAGAAGGCGATGGAGATATTGAGGGTGAGGAGGGACCGGGGGAGTAATGATCGGCTGCTGCGTTCGAAGTGGGGCCAGGCGGCCCATAGGAATTGGTACGACTTGAGTTCGAGGCTTCTTCGACCTCTTTCAGAAGCGACTGCAGAAAACTGGGCTCACTTGAGGTTTCTGCATTGATCCGAGCGGAAGCCTGCACGCTTGCTGCTCTTGATGATTCGCCGTTCTGCATGGCGAGGGCCGCCAATTCCTCAGGTCTCCGAGTCCGGGGTCGTTTCAGTTTTCGCTCGGGTTCAGTTGGTTCTGGAGAAGGGGACAATGTTGGTTCCTTGCGCTTACGCGCTGCACTTGGGTCGTTCTCTATTTCACGAGCCCTTTCAAACGCGTTCCACGCCCTCATCTCTTCGAGAGACTCGGGTTCCGGAGTCGGCGCCCTGGGTACGCGTGGTCGTGATGGGCGCGGGGCCTCTATATCGAGAAGTGTGGCAGTATCCATGAACCTGTTAACACCCCCCTGTCGCTCTGCAGACTCGAAGCGGCGTTGCCAGGCTCGAAATTCTCGCTGATTAGCCGCTTCTCGCCGTAGTTGTTGCTGGAGACGCTCGGCGGCGGCATCATCATCGAAGGGAAAGTCTAGGTCAAGATTGAGACGGTCCCACACTGACTGCCATACGCGAGCCCAGTGCAGTGAGTTCATCTGGTTCCTGTTCTGTAGTCTTCTCTGCTGTGCTCGAGTGCGGCGCCCGCGCCATTCAGAGACACCTGATGTTCTGTTGGAGGAGTCCGACAGCGACCCCAGGGCACGCTGCATCTCGCACTGCTCACAGTACCAGGAGCCAGAGGGGACAGATTCAAGCCCAAGACAATAGGTATGCCAAGCCACGTCACAGCCATCACAGATGAGGAGAACTTCTTCATTGTCCGTGTCTCCACAGATTGGACATGGCTGGGAGTCGGTAGAGTCATCATCGATATAGTCGATGATCATCGAAGGGTCGACCTCTGCCACTTGGACTCGGTCCTCGACGATATAGGATGAAAGCACAGGGCCTAAAAGGAAAGAACAAGGGTCAGCACTTGGCATCTTATGTGCGTATATAATCATTTCTGACTAGGTAAAGGAATCACATTACAACGGGCTGGATGCCGCCATGGGTACTCACCTCCGGGTCGGTCACTCAGCTCCACGACATTGAAGCTACTCCGACATATCGGACAGCTGTTGGCTCGTTCAACCCAGGGTTTCAAGCAGTTGTTGTGGAGGATATGGTTACATGGAAGCAACCGGGCAATCTGACCGGGATCGTCAGAGCCATCGACAGCATCAGTATTGGCCAGGGAGCTCGTTGAAGCTGAAGCTGCAACGCCATGATCAGGTCTTGGCACGTCCTCGGCGGCGACGGCAAGAGGATCGCTGGCGCTTTCGCCAAGGTCTCCTAAACAGACAATGCAGGTGACTGACATTGATAGAGAGAAGGATGCTCGAGTGGTCTACCGGGGAGCTGAGAGAAGGCATGAAGAGCAGCTGAAAGGAGATAGAGACAGGAGAATAGGAAGAAGACATAGAGAAGAGGGAGGTTGTGGAGCGTTGCTGCAGGCCGCCTTTTGAGGGCGGACTAAGCGCTCAGTCTAACGCAAAACGGATTGGTTACCAACGTGACCTGCTTATGCAACCATCTCTTCACAGCTGCTGTAGGGCCAACAGAAGGTGCTGTGCTTTCTAATCAGTCAGCATAGTTATCAGTTTATGGTGCAGGTGCACATATGCTAATAGCCTGGGGAATGAACGGTCCGTGAATGTTCTGTTTCTGCCTGCACTTTGGTGGAAGATCCAAAAGAACCATGTGCCCGATCCACGAGGACTATCACCAACCAATATCCTATTATCCAAATTGGGAATCCTAGGAACTGGCTACGTTCATTTCTTCTGCCGGCTACTCCGAGAGGTGTGCATGGTCTGTCGGTCTTCCAGGAAACAGCCCAACAAGCAACGGAATCCTGTATTCCTACGCAGGGGGGGAAAGTAATAGTTCTGCATAAGCATGACATGCGACACAGGAAGGGGATCATGAGCGTATGGAGAAAGCCGTAGTTGCAAGGATTTGGATTCAGCAGTCGAATTGTTATTCTATTTTGTTTAAGCGTTGTCCGACGAGGGTAGCTCCAGCTATCGACAACGAGAAGCGGTATTCGTAATCAAGAAATGCGCTTTCCATGCTAATACGACAGATCCCGAAAACTCTTTTTTGAATTTCTGACGTTACAGGAGATAAAAGGGGAAAAAAAATTAAACCATCACAACATTAAACTTCCGCAATTTCACGGAGACGGCGGATAGTCGAGCGCGTGGCAGCGGCGGCGGGTGTTCTATAAGAATAATTCCATCGATCAGTACAGTTCTGTTGTTTCCCTAACTTCGTGTGTCGTAATTCGAAAATTCGATGACTGTACGAGAGCCAATTCCAGGAGTGCCACTTACGAGACGGTGTAGGCACCTCCGGCAACGGTCTTGTTGCAGCCCTTGCAGTTCCAGATACCAACAGAGTGGCGCTTGACGGTGTTCTTGCCGCAGAAGGTGCAGACGTAGCGGGCGTGCTGGGTGATTTCCATCTTCTTCACCTGCTTACGCAGGGAGGCACCGTATCTGTCATTCAAACGATCGCGTCAATATTTCGTCCAAAAACACGCAGAACTTCTCCTTTTTCCAATTTTTTTCGTTGAGGAGGAAATGGGTCGAATGTCGACTTCAAAATGTCGCATTCAACGAGGATGGGCTCGAAGCATACCTGGTACCGTATTTACCGGTGACACCGACCTCTGCAATGGAAATTCAAGTCAGCATTTCTCCTGGATTGGCTTCAGTAGCGATTCCTTCGAGAATTTTGAACATACTCTTGGTGCGCTTCGTCATCTTGTCTCACGTCCGCTATTTTGGTCGAAGATGGATGCTGATCGGAGAAGGTCGAAAACTGCGGCTTCTCAAGACGGAGTGAGTGATTGTGGGTGGGCTCGCTTAGGGCCGTTCTTGGCGAAGTCACGTGTCATTGCGGCCCTCCAGCACTAACGGAGGTAGATGCGACTGAACAACGCGAAGTATGAGATCATCATCTGTCTTTCATTACAGACGGCATATTCTTGCTGATTCTGGGTGGCGACCTACTTCTTCTGTCCAGTTGGAAGAATCGAAGTACTCTCTCCTCACATCACCACTCAACAAGGCCTTCCTTTCAACCAAACGCTGAAAGAGAACCGTCATACTCAGCAGAAGCTCAAGAATAGTTCTATCTCACAGAAGACATTATTATTTGCCCCGTATACCTCGGATAGTTTTCCTAGCTGCCAAATATTAATAATAATAGTAACATCATCAAGCCCCTTGAGCTCGAGCGGGGTCACATGATCGTACAGTTGAAGATGGCGGCGCCGAGCCATGAATTACTAGTATTGACGCAAGGAGGACGCGTTCAATCCCCCCTGTTTGAATTATTAAATCTGGCTTTGATGCTTTTCTGCACCAGTTCACTCTTTTCAATTGAGGCAAGCGGAAGCTACAGTGTCGAACGGGGGAAATGGCGTCAAGCAGGCAATTCGATATCATACTCCTGGGTCCTACCGGCTATACCGGAAAATGGTGTGCAGAACATATCGTCCAGTACCTTCCGACGGATTTAAAATGGGCTCTTGCGGGACGTTCTTTGCAGAAGATTGAAGGGGTCGCGGCGGACCTGAAGAAGTTGAACCCGGATCGCATTGCGCCTGGTGAGTCGATGAGAATTCTACATCTTGGTTCGATGTTTTTAAGAGCAAATTCTGATATCAATAAAACTTTTATTCAGAGATCATTGCTCTTCAGCTTACGCCTGAGGAACTTGGACCTCTAGTAAAGAGGACGAAAGTGATCATTAATTGTGTGGGGCCCTATCAGCTCTATTCGACTCCTGTCGTAGAGGCATGTGCTGTCAATGGCACGCATTATGTTGATACGTAGGTCTTTTTTTTTTCTCTCCCTCCCTCTGCTATTTGATATATGCTGATTCCCGAAGTACAGGAGAAACTCCGTGGGTCAAGTCCATGATCGAGAAATACCATGAAACGGCCAAAGCAAGTGGTGCGGTTGTACGTTTGGCCCATACCTCTCTCTCTATATATATATCTCTTTCCAGGTCCGACTGACTCTTACGTTCTAAACCGAATACAGCTTATCCATTCTGTTGGGATCGAAAGCGCCCTAGCAGATATCTTGACCTGGTCAGTAGTCAAGAGGTTTCACGATGACTTTTCTTCGCCGGTTAGGGAAGTCACTTGCTGTGTCAGTGACCAGAAGTACGTTGAGCAAATGTTCCTGGAATTCCATACTCAACAACTAATTTATTATAATTAGAACCTCCGGAGCCAGCGGCGGCACACTCCTGACACTCCTAACGACAATAGAAGCGCTTCCTCTATCAAAAATGCTCGAAACATCCGATCCATTCGCACTCGCCGCTTCCCCACCACCAGAAGACATCCCCAGCTCAACCCTCTCTGAAAAGATCCTAGGAGTCTGCTCTGTCCGGGACCTGGGGACCCTCACCACCTCCCCCTTTGCATTCGTAGACGTGCCCACCGTCCACCGCAGCAGCACACTATTCCCGAATCTGTACGGATCCAGGTTCTACTTCAGGGAATTCATCCGTGTCAGGAACGTGTTAGTCGGTGTCCTTGTCCACTTCGCCATCGTTGCCGTCTTCCTACTTCTCCTCACGCGACCGTTCCGGTGGCTGGTTAAGAAAGTCGTCTATGCACCGGGCAATGGGCCTAGACGGGAAGATTCCGTCAATGACTTTACCGAGTATCTTGCTGTTGCTACGGAAGACACGGATGTCGCTACGCCGAAACGTGTTATTGGGAGGTTGGAGTGCCGGAAGACGCTGTATGAGCTTACGGGGCTGCTTTTGGCTGAGGCGGCTATGGTCATTGTGATGCATGAGGAGAAGGTGAAGGAGGTGTCTGGGTGTGGGATTGTGACGCCGGCAGCTTTGGGACAGGAGTTTGTTGATCGGATTGAGAAGGTAGGGTGTAGGATTGAGACCAAGGTGCTTGGGAATCAGTAGCTGTTTATCCCTAGGATGTATTTGGGCTTATATATATACCATGCTAGTATTCCCGTTCTTGTCTTTCTTTGAACTCCGGGTGACTCCTTTCTCCATCTTGTCAATCTCCCTATCAATCTTCTTGTATACTATACAATATTGGATACGTCATTCGGTTAACTGACTAGTATTAATTAAGACTATCCTACCTCCATACTATATTAAAATTGAAACAAAATGCAAATAAATATGGATGCACCATGTGAATGCCAAACAGACTCTATTTGTACATCCATTAATCATGATTTTAACCAATTAGTCATGTAGAGTCAGCCCCACGCCGAGGCTAGAAAACCGAAACCAATGCAGACTAGGGACAATGAGAACAGTAGACCTTTCCTTTCTTTTGAATATATCGCCCCCCTCACAGGGTAGGACTGAACCTACTCCAGCTGCGAATCTTCTTCCCGAATAAGAAGAACAGAACCGGAATAGGAGCCATAGCAATGGACAGGAAAGCGAGCAAACTCGACGCCCAGGCGACGCCCAGATTATGATACATCTGCACAGCGAAGAGCGGGAAGCCGCCTCCCAGAGCGCTCCGGATGATCGTGTTCGCCGCAATGCCCGAATTAGCGAACATCAGATACACATCGACGATATAGTTGAGACCCTGCATGAAGATGACGAGGATGGCGAAACCGATCGGGACACTGGCGATGACCTGCGGGACCCAGCTGACGTGAGGGTTTGAGGTCCAGCCGAACCAGAACAGGCCGATGGGCAGGGCGATGGCAGCGGGGATCATGGGGAGGAGGCGTTCCTCAGGCGGAACGTGGCCATTTTTCGCCAACAGACTGGCGTATCTGGTTTTGGTTATTATGATTATGAAGGCGACGCCGGCCAGGACGCCGATTAGGACGCCTATGAATGGGAGGGCGGCAACGCCAGGGTGGTGCCAGCCGCGGACTTCTTGGAATGCGACGGGGAAGGCTTCGAAGAAGAGGTAGAGGATGCCGTAGATGAAGGCGAGGTAGAAGGTGATGAGGAGGAGGATGGGTTCGAAGATGAGCATTTGGAACGGGCGGAGGACGTATTTGAAGATGATGTCTTTGAAGGTGGGTTTGCGTTCGTCCAGGAGGGAGTGCAGGGCCCAGTTGTGCGTTTCCCTGCGGAGACGAGCTGCGCGTTTCTGGAGGATAACGGGAGCATAGCTCTCCTCGATGACGAACAGGGCGATGAGGCCGAATAATGACGAGGCGATCAATGTGATCCAGGCTGTCCAGCGCCAGCCAAGGTGGGAACTGACGATGAAACCACCACTGTGGTAATGTCAGCGAATCTATATCCAGGAGCAGAAGGATGAAATGAAGATGTACACGATAGGCCCGAAAGTAGGACCCAAAAATGTTGCAGAAGCGAACATGGCGACAGCAACGGCACGATTGACCGGGTCCCAGAAATCCGCCAGAGCACCGCCGCAGACAACGAGAGGAGAGCAGCCGAAGGTGCCCTGGATGAACCGGCAGAGCATAATGGTCTCGATATTCTGCGCGACAGCGACAGGGATCTGGAAGATGATGAAGACGATGTAACCCACGAACAAGGGAATCCTGCGGCCGTACAGTTCGGACAAGGGACCCCAGATGAGAGGGCCTAGCATGTAGCCAAAGAGCAACACACTGGTCCCCAGCGTCATGACTTCGGTCGAGACGTGGAACTTGGCTGCTGTTACCATTGTCGCTGAAGAGAAAACACTGCTGGCAAAGGTCACCCAGAGGGACATCCAGGCCAGAGACATGGTGATGGCCCATTTCTTCCACACTGGCCAGTTGATGGGGTTTTGGGGATCGTCAAGTCCATCCCATTCTACCAGGTGGGGGTCTTTCTCGGGTCCCTTGGGTTCAGAATTGGCAGATCGCGCAGATTCAACATCGGTCTCGTCTTTCTCCAGGTCAGCGGCCGCCAGTGCTTGAGGTCGAGAGGAATTGTCATGCTCTTGGATGCTGAGCTCGTCAGATTCTGGCAGTCGGTCATGGTCACTGAGACCACCGTAGCTGTCGCGACGACCAGGCGACTCGTCCATGGGATGCACTGGGAAAGTTACAGCTTAATCGGGCGCTGGAAAGAGAGGAAATGGTACGCAAGGTTCTTCAATGGAGAATCTGTTTATTGTGCTATGGCGAAAAAGAGACGTCTATCGGGAACAGAGGAGCCCCGGCATCTATTATATTCCATTGACGGTTCCATTCCTTTCTACTCGCAATCCCGAGAGTTTTTCTGATTATGAGAACACATATAGTTAACTCCGGCAGAAGAACGGCCTTAACGGTAGATTTACTAGCCTACTAACGCTTACAGGGCACTAATAATAGTCTCCATTGGATGTACAAGCAATACTTCTCCACTGCATCGGAGGTTCGGGGCGTGCTTCTCCGCACTGCGTCTACCTAACGCCGACAGAGCGAGATATGCTGAAGCTGGGCCTGCTCGGATTCTCGGCACGCTTGCTGCCATTCGGCGTCGGGTGAACTTTGCTGGATGAACTTCGCAGTCCGTTTGAACTTCGCGGTCCGTTCATAATCATAATACTGCTTAGTTATGCGCTGGACCTTGTTTCTGGTGTCACATTCCATCCAGAAATAGCACTATGGTTGCATGACGGTTCAGGATCCATGCAGCAAAGAACGAGAGGATTGTAGACCAAGAAAAGAGAGCAGAGATCCATATCGTCTAGAAGGGCGTACGCCGTATGCTTCTTTCATTTTCTATTATGGGTCCGCGTGTAGCCTGGACTGCCTTGATTCGATTTGTGCGCGATCGCGATCACATAGACTTGGAAGTTAGCACCATGACAGATAGAAACCAATCAACGGCAGTGTTGGATTATCCCCTATACGGTGTACACTGCATTTAATTAATGGACATCCTGCTCTTCAAAGTTCGGCTTTGTAAATCTCAGAAGGTAACTAGTTAGTTAACTAGTTAATTATACAGTCGATTTCCAGAGATCCTTCCCTCAGTTGATTCGATGTCCTCACAGATTGATAGAACCATAATGGGACCTCTATTAAAATGCCCCGCTCAACGTGCAAGCAATAATCCATGAATGCGCACTGCGAATGCATAGTATATGACCAATCTAAAAAGATCTGATCTTATCTGATCTAAAATGTAACTTACAGTAGTATTGTATTTACCACCGCTGTTGGTACCTACTACCCTTAGTATGCTTCCAAGTCCAAGGGATTCTCCCTATAAGATCTAGCTGATATATCAACACGGTTTAATATACGCTGTGCACAGTAGGTCCTTTTGGAAAGCAATAACGCTTGCTTGCATTGGAAGTAATCGAATTGATCAACTCCGTATAAGCACTTCTCGCAACTGGGCATTACATCGCCCGCTACCCCTACCACCATAACCGACGAGAGCCCGCTCATTCCTGCGATTTCCGCAGCTTCTCCGTACCGGCAAGCTGGTGTAGAATGGGGGAGGGTGTTTGCTGACTGTTGAGAGATGAAATGAGGGTAAATGTAGCTGCAACACGTCCGAGACGCGTCCCGTGCTTCCTGCCGGGCGGTGAGAGAAGCGTCTTCCGTGTTGGCTTCGAGATTCGTCTTTCAGACAGCTGCAGCTCGCCAACGCCGTCCAGAGCTATCGCCTTCCTCGACTCGCTTTTCCCCTCCATCGCGATCACTCGGGCCCTATTCTGAGTCGACCAATTTCCCGGGCCTAGTTTTCTGATGGTTGGTTGACTTGTTCCGTCGACCGCCTCCTCCCCCGCGCTTCCTTCCAACCATGCCTGCGCGCACTCGACAAGCTCCCTCCGCGGGGACAGAGGTTGCAGAGGCCGAAGAAACATCGGACGGCCTTCGCAGTCTCAAATTCAATCAACCTCTATCATGGCGCGTGGGAAGATCGGCTATCCCCACCGCCGACTTGCTTCAACGGCTGCAGACCCTTGCGCATGAGCTCCGGAAGCTGGAACAGGAAGAAGTCAATAAGGATTCTCTCAGGAAGGTCTCCCAAGAATTGGCCAGTGGCCATTTACTAGCGCACAAGGACAACGGAGTAAGGGCTTGGACGACATGTTGTATCGTCGACGTCCTGCGACTCTGCGCTCCCGACGCGCCTTTCACGGGCAATCAACTTAAAGTCAGTCGCTACCATTGCTCGATCCCAAAATGCATTGGTGGTAGTGTTAACCCTTTTCCTTTATGATAGGATATCTTTACATGTATCATCACGTCGATCATCCCTGCCCTGGCGGACCCGTCTAGTGCCTACAACGCCCAGCATTGCTATGTCGTGAACTCGCTCGCAGAAGTAAAGAGTATCGTGCTCATGACCGACCTCGACCATCCAGACTCCTTGATTATTCCCCTCTTCACCAGCTGCTTTGACATTGTTTCCGGTTCCGCTAAGAACTCCACGGGAGAGCCTGTGGCCAAGAACGTGGAATTTGACATGACCCGCTTGCTCGTTACCGTCATCGACGAGTCTCCCGTTCTCGCACCTGATGTGGTGGATATTATTGTCGCGCAATTCCTACGGGTTGATCCCCGGGCCCTGGAGCCTCCAAGCAAGAAGGGGAAAAGGACCGAACCCGTCCATGATTCTAAGCAGGGCACGCTTCTGCTGAAGGACTATCCACCCGCTTATAACATGGCCAAGGCTATTTGCCAAGCATGCCCGGAAAGGATGACAAGCCACATCAGTCAATATTTCAACAATGTTATTATTGATGCATCCGCGCCCCAGTCGCGGACTAGCGGTCCTTCAAAGAGCACGCATAAGAGAACAACTCTCGACGATTCCGACGAAGAGGGAGAGGATATCAAAGAGCTGAATAAAGCCCACCGTCTGATTCGAGAACTTTGGAGAGCATGTTCCGAAGTCCTGCAGAATGTGGTCCCACAGCTCGAGGCCGAACTGTCCGCAGAATCGGTACCCTTACGTCTCCTGGCCACTCAGACTATCGGTAACCTCGCTGCCGGAATCGGTGTCGCTGGACCTCCCCCTCCCCCTCCCATGGATCCTGCGAGGTATCCGCCAGCGACTCTGATAGACTACGACTTGACGGTTCCCCAGCCAAGCGCCCTTCTTACACCATTGTCTCCCAAGCCCTTTTCGCAGGTCCACTCTTCCGCTTACGAAAATTTCTTAAGTCGGCGGCTCGATAAGTCCGCCTCGGTGCGGGCAGCCTGGGTAACCGTTGCGGGCCGGATATTACTGACATCAGCCGGAGGTTCAGGTTTAAGTGAGAATGAGGAGCAATCACTCCTTCAGGACATTGCAGCCCTACTTCGTGACGCTGATGAGAAGGTTCGAGTGGCAGCCGTTGATGCAGTGGGCAGATTTGGCTTCTCTGCTATTGTCAACAAACTTGCTGTCAACGGAGGACTATCGTCTCCGGATTCCACGTTGTCAATTCTCGCAGAACGAGTGAAAGATCGGAAGCCACAGGTGCGGGAGCATGCGATGAAGGTTTTGGCCCAGATGTGGGCTGTTGCTGCGGGCGAGATTGAGCAGCGCAACGAACAGGTAGTGCCTCTGCTTCATGACGCACCGTCGAGGATCCTTGACGCTTATTATACAAACGATATGGATATACACGTGTTGATCGATCGCGTGCTCTTTGAGATTCTCCTCCCCCTTAACTATCCTCCAGTCAAACAGAAGTCGTCCAAAGGAAAGTCGCCTCAGAAGCAAAAAGATGGTCAAAATTCTGATGGCGATGGCGAAATAGACGTCGACAGAATACGTGTTCGTCGTATATTGACCCTTCTTGCGAGCTTGGACGATAAAGCCAAGAAGGTATTCTTCGCGATGCAGGCTAGGCAGTTGTCTATGAGGACAATCGTGACGCTCTACTTGCAGCACTGCGAGGAATATAATGTAAGATGATCCGGATCAGAGAACCCAACACCTTTCCAACTTCCAATTTCTTCATAATGCTGACTGAATAAATGTAGGGAGGTGTAATGGACGAAGACGAAAGCCGTATCAAATCTGAACTGGGCAGCGTAATCAACTCGTTGGCAAAGTTATACCCTGACCCGTCTCGTGCCTCAGCGGATCTATGGAAATTTGCCAAAGTCCACGATCGTCGAAACTACCAGCTTATTCGGTTTGCCATGGCCGCAGGCAGTGATTACCGAACTGTTACGAAGGCCATCAGGGAGTTCACAAGAAGGGTGCAGAGCGTGAATAATACTCACTTATTGGAAACGCTCACTCCGCTTTTGTATCGCTGCAGCTCGCTTGTCTTCAACAGGAGTCATATCCCAGCCATAATAGGCATCTCGAGGACAGACGAAAATGGATTGGCTAATCCCGCTCACGAAATGTTGAAAGAGATTTCTACTCGTAACCCTGAAGTCCTGGAGGCACAGGTACAGGAGATGTGTAAAGACTTGGAGGCGCAAGCCCCAAACGCCTCTGCTCCTGCTGCATCAACTGACGACGCAGGTACCGAAGAGATCCTGAAGGCATGCTCCGGTTTTGCCAAAAGGCTTCCGTCGAAGCTTCCCAAAGAGCGTAAATTTTTACAGGCTCTCACAAGCTATGCTCTTTACAGTCCATCGCCCCGTGCTGCCAAGCACGCTGTCTCTATTCTCATGGTCGCCGCTGATAGAAAAGAGATGTATGCGAAAGACTTGGTACACAAGTGTGTTAAAGACTGGACGTATGGCTCAGGCTACTTTTTGACGAGATTGGCTACTTTGTCTCAGCTGAATTTCCTTGCCCCCAGGGAGGCAGATGAGGCGAGTGACGCGATCATATCTATCGCAGTGAACCAGATCCTTCTCACAAATCGCTCCCCGCAGCCCAACTCCGGGTATGCGTGGTCTGACGTTGCTGACGACGAGACCGCTGCAAAGGAATGGGCTCTTAAGATTATCGTCAATCGTCTGCGTGCGAAAGAAGGTTCGGATAACGATGATGACTTCCGTGCACATGCAAGCCCTGTTTATAGCACCTTGATCAAGCTCATTACTGGTGACGGAGAGCTGTCCAAGAAGAAGGATACCCCAGCGACTCAGAAGTCGCGGCTGCGTCTTCTTGCTTCTCGATTGTTGCTAAAATTGTGCGCATCTGACAGCCTATGCGATGGACTGCTTACGCCTCGCGATTTCAATTCAGTTGCACTTGTGGCTCAAGATCCTCTACTCCCGGTGAGAAGCGGATTTATCAACCAACTCATGAAGAAACTTGTGGTACCCAATACTTATTTAAGCCACCGGTGGTATACAATCGCGTTCCTCCTGGCTTTCGAGCCTAATGCAAAGCTGAAGAATAGTGCCTCCACATGGCTACGTGCCCGAGCGACATTCTTCTCTCAACAGTCTCAAGCCAGTGGCCGGAAGGGTGAGCAGCAGACAGTTATGGAGTCGATATTCTGCCGTCTTCTATCCCTTCTTGCTTACCATCCAGACTACCCCTCTGATGACTTGGACGAGAAAACCAAGACTGGAGACCTGGCTGATTTCGCGAGGTATATTCTCTTTTACCTATCTGCTGTAGCAAATGAGCAAAATCTGTCCCTCATCTTCCATGTCGCACAACGTGTAAAACAAACTCGAGATGGCATCACTGATTCAGATGAGATCACTACTCATCTTCATACGCTTTCCGACTTGGCACAAGGGACTATCCGCCGCTTTGCCGACATCTACTCCCAGCAGCACAAATTTGGAGGAGGGACTTCGGGTGGCACTAATATCCTCCAGACATACCCGGGGAAAGTAGGAGTACCCAGCTCCATTTTCGCGTCCATGCGCAGCCATCGTGAGGCGCAGGAGGTAGCCCAGAAGAACTTCCTTCCCGACGAAGTGGATGACCTGCTAGATGGAATCGTACGGTCCGCAATGAGACCCCCCAAGAGCACAAGTCAAATCGGTCAGAGTGGTCAGACGAAGAAGAGGAAGCCAGAGACTGGCGGTCTAAACGGTGCTGCCTCGACTAGCATGGCTAAGAAAGCAAGAAGAGACAAAGAGAAGACGACAACGTTGACGACGCGTCCCAGAAAGTCTTCTTCCGCTACTGCTGGACGCAGCAGGAATAAGAAGAGAAGGAAGGGTGACGAGGATGACTGGTCTTCGGATGAGGAGGGCGCTGGAGGTGCGCCCACCACCATTACCACTACCACTACTGCGCGAAGACGTAGTAGCAGAGGCACAAGCAAGAAGGAGGTCAGCTATGTAGACCGGGACAGTGATGAGGACGACATGGAAATGGAGGAATGGGACCAGGGGAATAATGCAGAAGAAGATGATGGTGATGTTAATGGTGACGAGGAAGAGGAAGAGGAGCAAGGAGATGAACCAGAAGAAAAAGAGCAAGAAGCTTACTCTGATGCTCAAGAACCGCAAGAAGAAACCAAGGGCCGCAAACAAAAGCGAAAAACGAGACGATGAAGCTAGAGACAGACGAAAACCAGGACCGAAAGGAACAGCAGAAGCTCTTACTACGGAGTAGTAGATATCCAGCTACGAAATCGAAGTTCAACATTTCCTGAATCAAAAAGGTCGCCAAAAAAGAAAGGTCACCATTGACCGGCTGCCTCGAGAGGATTTCTATCCCTCTGTATGGAGCACAGAGTACACGATATTGAATTGACAGAAACTGTCACCAATGCACGGGGAAAGGGGAAATGAATTCCTTGTTCATTGTATTTGTCCCATACTCAATCTATCCCATTTGTATTCATGTTTATTATATTACTCTTCTTTCATAGACATGTTGCTTCTATCTTCTGCTTCCATGTCCATGGTGCTGTTTAAAAATGTATACCCATGTCCATTCATTATTCATATCCATTTCATGCTTGTATCTTGTCATCTAAGTTGAAGAAGCCGTATTCGTTTCTCTCTCCATTCTAGGCTGGGCTATCCAAATTTCCAACGAGTATTCGAAGATGTCTGGTAGGAAGAATGAGTAATATACCACCCCTATTGAAGCAAAATATAGCCACTGTGCAAAACCCAACACTGCTTAAGAATTGGGCTTCCGCAAGGAATATACCCTCAACTGCCGTTATTTATTACAGATTAGTATGGCCTGAGGCTGAATGCAGGATATATATCCACCTGACCGGTTGTAATAAAATGATATTTAAAATTGAGATCTCATCTGGTCAGCCTACCAAGGCTACAGACATTCAGAGAGATCAAGTCAAAGGTCATAATTATCTTATTTTAACATTCGAAAAGGAGGTCAAGAAGAATACGGAATACAACTAACCATCCACACGAGCTGGAGTATCAATCAATCAATCAACCGAAGAGCCATGGAAAGCCATTCATTCATTCAATGAAATACCGCCCCTACGTGCCAAAACCAACGTGCGTAGAGCAAAAAAAAAAAAAAAACAAGTAAATAAATATATAAGCCTTTGACCCGGACGTGGTTTGTATTTCTCCCTCCTTCTATCCGCTTTCAGAAAAGGACGCAAGAAAACCACAATTCAAAACCCGGATACGCTTTGCATCGCATCATATTCAAATCCTCATGATCAAAGACAACCGGTGTAAGGAAAAGAAAGGGAAGAAAAAGAAATCTACTATGTATTGACAGGATTTGATGGCGGAGCTGGTGTTGATGATGATGCTGGAGCAGAAGTAGAAGCACCATCCGCTCCAGCACCGGCCTCGCCATTGGCACGGGCAGTGGCATCAGCAGCAGCAATCCTGGCCAATCTTTCTTCTACACGTTCCTTATGCTGCCGATTTTTCAAGTGCACCTCGAAATTGTCTACAGTCATTGCCGGCCCCGGAGTATACAGCTTCCCAGGACAGTCATGACATCGGATGCGCGGCAGGTATTGGTATTTTAGTTTCTGGCCGGGATGGGTAGCGTTGGTGTTATTAATAGGAACCAGAGTCTCAGCGTCAACGGCCGAGTAGCGCATCACGGCTTCGAAAGAATGGGTCGGATAAGAACGGTTCAGGCGCGTAAGACCGTTCACAAGCCAGGCGGGAGGTGGAGGCTACACGTAGAGAATGAAGGTCAGTTTGAATATCCCTACGGAAGAGTATATAATGTGGTAATGAAATATGCTGATTAGCAATGTTGATACTTACTCCTGGCACGCCTGGTTGAGGAGGATGAGGTGCGTCAATGACACCAATATGAGACGGCACGCGACGTTGTCCACTTTGATGTCGAGTCCCCGCTTTAGGGGTATGTGTTTGCGCTCCACCGTGTGACGAATGGGGCCCTGGAGTAGATCCTGAAATGTTGGATGTGGATTGAGGTCGGCTTCGAACTCGCAAGTCTCTGAGAAACTGACGGAATTTATCTCGCGGTATCTTCAATTTTACTATGAGCTCAGGCTCATCCGTGCTTTTCCGTCTTCGAGAGTTGACCCTAGTCTCGTGCTGATGTGACGGTTCCGGGGTGGCAGAATGGCCTAAGCTCGCACGCAATGCTGAATGACTTGCCGGTACGGCTGCTCTCATGCCTCTCGTTCGCGCAGTGCCTTGGGCCAGATGGGGGCCAATAGCGGGCGATCCTATCGAGGAGTCATCACTATCCGAATCCTCGGAATCCTCTGCACCATCGCGTTGTCCTAAGGCAGCGCGTCTGTGACGATTGGCCCCGGATCGTTTAAAGACATTACTCTCCTCGATGCTCGGTGCTGAGTTAGGAAGCACAGACGATACGACCATCGTTCGAATCGTCCTTTGTCGATCCTTCAGATCGGGCAATGCCGGTCCACCGCGGCGATTAACCGAACGCTTCTGTCGGCGTTGCTCCCGGGATATTGACACCTCCGTACGTTCGAGCTCTGCCTCGTTGAGTTCATAAAGATACGGTGTATATTCTTTGGCTGCCTGGAATGGTCGGAATGCGGAGGGTAATGGGGAAGGTAGGAAAGCAGATTTGAGATCTGGGTCTTCAATCGAACGGCCGTCGAATGGATGGGCAACGATGTAGAGAGATCGGGTGAAAAGCTGCGCTTGTTCACGGATGGAATGAGCGATGGCTGTTGTGAATTCACCTGAGAGGGAGAGGTCATTCGTCATCCTTAAGGCAAATTCCTCAGGGGAGTTGAGCGGATCATTGATATCCCACTCGAACTGGTCGACAAGCGTGTGTTGACCAATGGTGATGTTTAATTTGACCAGAATACGCATTTCATCATTCTTGTAGGCGCTATACGGGAGATGGGGGTCGAGAGGAGCTTCCTCCACATAAACCTGGGGGTAGTAGTCCGCAATCTGCTCCTGGATGCTCTGGGAGATCATCCGAACGAGCGGACCACAAGACTCAAGAGGAAGGCCCATATCCTCCACGAGTTTCTCGGCAAATAGGTCTGGAGATACTACCCGGTCATGAAGATTCCAAGTGAACGTGTCTCGGATCTTCACTTTCTCCCAGTCGATGTCCAGCCGGATCGGAACGAGGTCTTCTATCTGCTCGTTCTGAGCCTTCAGCTCTCGGCGTGATATTCGCAGCTCCCTGGTCTTTCTGCCTCCTGGACGACGTCGGTTGGACGGATATAGTAGTTGCGGATGCTGGTTTCTCAGGTCTGTTCGGGCATTGCCAAATCCCTCATAACCGACACCGTACAGGGCAGCCGGATTCATCTGGTTCTCCCGCCGCAAGGCAAGATAATAGTCCCTTTCGGCACGCTTCTGCCGAGCCAGCCCTTGACTGTAATTGTGCCATGCTGCCAGCGCTGAATACTGAAACTCGCGGTTTACATACTCCTCCAGCTGAATCTTGTTTACTGGGGTTTGGCGAACGCGCATGGGCAGATCGTCTTTAGAAGAAGACTGGATAACTGAGCCGTCGTGAGAACGTTTCCTACTCGAGGAGGAACCATTGGCGCTCGACTGTGGATCGGAAGAGAAGTCTCCATTAGGATGGTTATCGCTGCTGAACTCGGCCCCCGTAGTGGACACGCCTGATGCTTCTAGAACAGCTTTTGCGTTCTGCTTCCCTTCCTTGATCGCATCGGGAACCAAACCATTCGACACGCGTTCCGTACTGGAGATCTCTCCATTTTGATCCGCAGTAGCGTCTGATACACGGGAGTCGTGCTGAGCACTGTCCGGCCGCGGATCGAGCAAGGGCTGCTCCGGACGCAGCGAACTATCTGTCGACAGTTGGGGAGATGGCATAGTCAAGGTCAATTGTATTCTGAAAGTGCTACTCGCACAAGTGAGCCGCGCTGGGAGTCAATGACTGGACGGATGAGGACAGCGCAAATCAAAGAGAGGAGATGGCTACGGTAACATCGTTGACAGAACCTGCGGCAGCAAAACGCATAACACAGGTTAGCTTAATAGATAATAATAGTAATGGAAGGTAGCAAGATTCCGTCGCGACAATAGACGCGATGCAACACAGAACGAAGGACGGCGTGACAGTATAATAGAAGGCATGACTGGTGGTGTATCGTGACGGACGCGAGGCAGATGAGGCAAGCTCACCATCAACGGAGGCAATGCCAGGGAGAAGAAAGGGAGAGGGAATGATGGATGACCACCCGACCCAAGGAGGGGATGAAGTTAAGGACAGGGGGAAAACACAAAAACATACCAGTAGAAGGACTCCGGAAAGGCCAGAGGGTTCTGGGCAGGACGAGGGAACGGATGGGTCTGGGTCTCTTTCGCAGCGCTCCAGGGTCTGCCGAGATGGGACGCGCGGAACAGGCGGTTAATCAGCTGACACGCGCCTACCGTGGGACAAGAAGACGCAGAAAAACTGTGCCAAAGTCAAAGAGATGTAATAGTGATAAGATTAAGATGTTACAAAGCCCCTGCGTTGTGCTGGCTTCTGCCGTCTCAGGTGTTTTTGGCAACTTGGAGAGAAAAGGATTGATTAATCATGATGGAGTGTGGCTCGCCCTCCCGTAAAATACGTTACTTATGTAATGGGCCACCGTACCGTACGGTATGGTACCGTATGCTACACTGCTCATACAAGTACCTAGCCTACGAGGTACCTACCAGGTAGGTGTAGGTACTTCCCTATGCTATGGCCTTAAAGTATCCCGTCTGCTACCACCGCCCGATGGTCCGAGTTGAGTACCCCGTCGTCGAACCCATTCGCCAGAACCGCGTACCCCTTCACCTTCCAGGGAAGTCCCTCTTCATCTTGCTTGCCACCCCCCGATGCCCTTTTGCTTGCGGGTCCCACGAGAATGTAGTCGATGCGAGTCTCCGGCTCCCCTTCGAAGCCAAAACCAGTGTAGGTGACCTGGTTGCCATATCGCTCTTCCGGGTCCATCAGCTTGTGCGTGTCGACCAACGGCGACTTGCTTGCCGTCAATTCAGAGTACGCTTCCTGGTTCTCTTCGCTGTTGAAGTCTCCGGCGAGGAAGACGCCGGATATGATTTCTCCGTACTGGCTGGTTCGGTACTCCTCGATCTTATTCAAGATAATTCGTGCCGCCTCCAGCCGTGAGCGAGACCCCTGGTCGTCCAGGTGCGTGTTCAGTGCGAGAACAGTCTTCCCACTTGCATGGTGGGTAAAGACACCAATGGTCACAATGCGTATAGAAGCAGCGTCCCAGCTCTTGGAGGGCACATTGGGCGTTTCAGAGAGCCATACGGTCTCCCAGTGGTGGAGCTGCCAGATAGCTGGCTGATATAGAATGGGAGAGTACTCTCCGGCCCTCTGGCCGTCATCCCTACCAACACCAATGTATGCCCAGTGCTCTTTCTGAATCGAAGCATCGGAGTCATCGCCTTTGTTCAAGCCAGACAAGATATCAACCAGTTGGTTGTGGAGGACCTCCTGGAGACAAATGAAAGCGTCCTGGTTCCGGGTGTGATACAGCAGCTCGTTTACCATGAGCTGTTTGCGCTCAGCCCAAGGTCTCTCGCCCTTGAAGGGTGATGAGGTTGCATATCGAATATTATGGGTAAGGATGCGAACACGAAGCTCTCGAATTGCTCCCATCCCGACACTGTGCCACTGTTCGGGAGAAGTGAGGAGACAGGGTAGACCTGAGGATCCGGATCACAAGAGACGAGGCTGGTGTTGACCCTTGCATGAGGAAGCTTTCTGTGATTGGGCAGCTGACGAAGCACCTCCGCTAAGTAGCAATAAGAAGAATAGTAGTAGTAATAATAACTAGGAAGAGGTGAAGTACTGACGTACTTGATCCATGGCGAAATACGCAGTAGGCAGGATGACGGTAATCGCAGGAACCAGGGCGGCTCAACACACTGAGACGCACTCTGCGAAGATGATGTAGATGAATATAATAGATAGAAGAGAATATGAATAGCTCTGTCCAGCATCCATTGCAGGGATAAACCCAGATCAAGGCATCGTTGACGACGAGCGTCATGAAGGGCGGTCGGGCACTACTCTAACCCTACCAATACGGAAATGCAGAAAACCCCACTGTGAGGTTGTGCCAAACACAAAAAAAACCCCCCGCCAAGTCCCATCCTGCACACGACCAGACTCTGGAGATCTTCGTCCTTCTAAACACCGCTGCTCCTATCTGAGTTACCCAGAGAACCCCTGTACTAGCACCTCGCGAAATTGTGAGGACCCAACGCCCACAATGGCCGAGTCTCAGACCCCCGAGGTTGGTATGTTGAGCATTGCTTTGTTGCGGCGTTCCCTGCCTTCTCCGCTAAGAAGGCTCTGACGTTGCGTGCGCTTCGACCGATACAACCGCACGCAACGTAGCTATGAAAGCGGGCAGTCAATGTGTCTTTACCTTGCTGACCATTCTGGCTTTGGCTTGCTCCAGATTACACCCTCAACAACCCTGATACATTGACCAAATACAAGACTGCCGCCCAGATTTCCCAGAAAGTCCTCGAGAGCGTCAAGGGTGTGTTGCGCTAATCCGGTCGTTTCCGCTTGAAGAATCTGCAGCTAATTAAGATGCTCAGCGCTATGTGTGGAGGGAAGCAAGATCGTTGAGATCTGCCAGAAGGGCGACGCGCTGTTCGAAGAAGAACTTGCCAAGGTCTATAAGGGCAAGAAGATCACCAAGGGTACGTCATCATCGTGCCAATTAATTCTCTTTACCGGAACGATTCGTTGTTAATACCTCTGTCCCCCTCAAAAAGGTATCGCTCACCCTACCACCGTCTCCCCCAGCTCTTACGTGACGCCCTACACCCCGTTGGTGTCTGACGCCAAGGAGGCCGAGACTACCCTCAAGGCCGGTGAGCTGGCTAAGATCCAGCTTGGTGCGCAGATCGATGGCTTTGGAGCGATCGTGTGTGATGAGGTCGTCGTTGGCGCCGAGGATGTTGTGACCGGCCGTTTGGCCGACCTCGTCCTCGCAACGCACTACGCCAATGAGCTCCTCCTGAGACTCATGGTTCCTCCGGGCCTTCTGGCTAGCGGATCCGAGGAAGAAAAGAAGAAGGCTGCAGCTGAGAAGCCTCCCACTCAGACTCAGATCTCCAACCTGATCGAGAAGGTCGCCAAGGCCTACGACTGCAATGTGGTCGAGAACACAACCAGCTGGCTGTTCGAGCGCAATGAGATTGAAGGAAATAAGAAGATTATCCTCTCTCCTGGCTCCGGAGTCAAGGGTGAAGGTGTGCCCGACGTCGGTGAAGTCTGGGGTGTTGAGGTTGGTCTCAGTCTGGGTTCCGGCAAGGTCAAGACCTTGGACCACCGTGCTACCCTGCACCGTCGTACCACTACGACCTATATTCTTAAGCGTCCTAGCTCTAGGCAGACTCTGTCGGAGATTGTGAAGAAGTTCGGAACCTTCCCCTTCAGTTTGCGCCAGCTGGATGACGAAAAGTCCGCCAAGGTCGGTGTCGTTGAATGCGTCCGTGGAGGTGTTCTGAGGCAGTATGAGCCTGCTGGTGAGGCCGACAACTCTCCAGTCTCCAGACTGCTGACCACCATCGGTATGCCAATCCAAGCTCATCCCCACTTTTTGGCCTTTTACCCGTGTGATATCGCTTGGCTAACGCAATACTCCTAGCTATCACGAAGAACGGCATCACCAAGCTTGCCGCAGCAGCCCCGTTGGACTTGACCAAATTCAAGTCTGACAAGAAGATTGAAGACGAGGAGGTCCTCAAGATTCTTGAGCGCCCGTTGGCCAGATCGACTGGATCCAAGAACAAGAAGAACAAGAAGAAGAAGAAGCCTGCCAAGAAGACCGAGGCCGAAGAGTCCAGCGACGAGGAGTAAGCTTTTCCGCTGCGAAATAGCTCTCCTCGCGTCTCCTATGCTTCTGATGAAGGAAGAAAGCTCATTCCCTATGGAGCCCAAGAGCGAAAAGTAGAAAAGGGTTAGATGTTACCTGTCAAAAGCTGAAGCATGGAGGAGAATTAAAGATGAACCTGGGTTATTCCATTAGGTGTCCCAGCCGTTCAGTACATACAATTTGATCAACCTTTGTGTGTCAAGCTCGGCATGCCGGGGATCTGTCAACTCCGCAAGGAGAATTTTGTCGCGTAACTAGTCAAAGAGAACACAAAATGAAAAAGAAGAAAAAAAAGAAGGGAGAGAAAGACGTGCACTGATTAGAGCCGATAGCTGCTGATTTAGATTGGATCTCTTGAGCCTCCCTCCATCTTTTGAACAATATAGCCAAGCCCCCTGTCCTCCTGCTTCCACGAGCTGTTTCTCCCAAGGCCATGAGAACTTCAGTCAGTACCATCTCATCTGCAGAGCCCATAATGACCCCTTATCAGGTTCGATCTAGCGAGTTATCCGGAGAGCTTGATATGCCGTTTCGTACACACAATTTTACCGGTCAATCCGCTTATCTTGCCCATCTTCGCGATCTGGATGAGATGCAACTGCAACCTTTGATACGAGGAATACAGATTTGGAGAAAACGGCATGATGCTGACCTTGGTTGATAATTGTCCAAATCCGAAGTCTTTGAGGGTGGTGGATGTCTTCTTGCGTTGGAGTGCCGCCGGGGCATACTAACGCAGTTCTCCTTTCAACTTTCTGAATCTACCATGTAGTCTGCCTTTTGACTCTCATTCTAGCTACATATTCAGGGCCTGAAGCAAGTCGGCTCTACCGGAATAGAATATTAACGCGTCTACATTAGAGACGGTAGAATGACCCTGTGCATGTCATGACACGTCGAGGGAAAGCCACGTAGAATGAAAACAGGCAAGACAAAACAAAAACGGCAGACAATCGAATCTGCCCGAGTCCAATGCCTCTGCCGGTAAATAGCCTTTGTTCTGGCTCGAGTGAAGCCTGAATGCCGTGGCAGTTTGTGGCCGTGGATGATGAACGCCAGCAAATAAAATCCGCGCCTCTCTTTTTCCCTATTCTGGATCCCTTTCCCCCGAATTCTCTCCGACTTATATCCCCCTGTACTTGCGCCTTCAGACAGCTTCCTCTGTGTCTAGTAAGAGTATCCTTTGAGCATCAGCGAGTTTTTAGACTAGGTAGGTCTTATTTGGTTTGTTGTACTGCGTTTTACGCGTTTTTTCCACTGCGTCGAACACTCACCGTGTGGCGGGCGGTCCGGATTTCCATTCCTCTGAGGGTTTTCTCTCTATCTCTCTCTTCCTTTTTCTTCCTCAGAGCCCTCACTGTATCTTTTAACATATCCTGCTGCTCTTTCTTCTTCTTCTCTTCCTCATTCATAAGCTTACGTTGTTACAGGAGAGTCTCAACTATCTACGTGAGGGTTGTTCTATGGGCCTGTTATCCGTCCTGGACTTCTGAGGCGAGAGCCGGCAAGAAATACCACGTTTTGCCTCTTTCAGCGACATCGCCCATCAGCAAAGTGAACTGCAATCAGGCGTTGCGTCTGAGTCTGTTATTTACCTTGACGCGCTTGTCGAGTAGCTTTCACCGACTTGCGTGGTGAATACTCATCACCCCTCTCCCCTGCCTCCTTTTTGAGACAAGAACTTCTTCTCCCAACTTCTCTCTTTCTCCTTTTTTCACCACCAAAGGCCTTGAGAGTTGTTACTGCCATGGCACGGAATCTCCGTTCATCGGCTCGTACGAGCCCTTATCCCTCGCGGCAATCAACTCCTTTGAATGCCAAAACGGGTAACTCCTTTACCGACACTTCGAGGACGCCAAAACATGGACGGCGTACCGGTAGAGATTCTCGTGCTGGCACTGATCCGGGTCCAGACGGTAATGAACAGTCTGGAAAGACAGCTGTCAATTCAACAGCGAGTCCTAATGGAACAGACACTTCTTCACCGTCGACTGGTTGGACCGAACCTCCTGTGAAGGTCCCGGTGCCAAGCTACCAGGATACGCCTTGGTCCGGAGTTTGCAACAATCAAAATCCAGTACTCCAAACGATGCGCCCTTTAGGCCAACCACCGACACCTGCAGATTTGCGAAAGGTCGGCTTAATGCCTGCAAAGCCGTCGCCACGCGCTACTCCCGCAAACGGTAAGCCAAGGGGCCCTGTCAACGGAAACAAGGGCGATAAACAGCACAAGTCCCCTTCATCGAGGAAAGAGCGCGTGCCTTGGGACGACAACTCAAAGGCTGGATTTGAGCAAGATTTTGCCGCTCTCGCAGCGCTACCTACACCTATTTCTAACGAATTCGAAGTCAACAAACTTATGGCCGTTATTGAGGCATCTATGCGCATGGCTGCCGCAACAGAAAATCGTGCCATTTCGCGTGGCCTGGTTCGTATCTGGGCAAACAGTAGCAAGGATCGATTTTCGCTTTTTGTTCTTGATGGCATGGCTAAATCAGAGCCCGGCCCCCGTGAGATTTCAGCTTTCCAGGCCTTGATTCGCCGTGCTATCAAGGAGGTTCGCGCGGAGGATAGCTCGGTTTCAACACATGCAGCACCGGCTATGATCCGCGCTAATTCAGTCGCCAGTACTTCTTCACTATCATCGGCAAAGTCGCTGGACGCTGAAACGTTCGCTCCGGGCGTGGCCAGAACAATAACCGCCCCATCAAAATCGCTGGATGCCAATGGCAAACAGAAACATACGTTAGGAGAACATTCTGAAGAGTCTGTAGCTTCCAAGCGGCGTCGTCTCCAGAAACCACTACCGGAGATTGTTCCTCGTGAGAGTCATATTCGCTCTTCATTGGCGCGAGATTCCTCTTCGAGGACACCTTCTTCTACGCCTCACCCGAACGATAGATCTCAGCCATCTGCTGCTGGCAACAACGAACGAGTTACTTTGCAAAGGGCTAATGAGAAGGCAAGAAAGATGCTTCCTGATTCTATCACTATGTAGGTGCCTCCCATTCACGCCCTTCTTTTTTCTGTTGTATTCCTCTCCTTTTTCTTCCCATATTTTCGGCATTCATCTTTTTTTTGTATTTCATCATTCCCCTACTTGGATTATTTGCTAACCCTTTCGTAGTGGAAACCACAGAGATCAGGGGGAAGAGAACAATGACTTTTGTCATCAGTGTGGTCGTGGTGGACAGTTGCTCTGCTGTGACGGTTGTGTTAAGTCCTACCACTTTTCTTGTCTTTCCCCTCCTCTGGACCCGGAGAACCCACCTGAAGGAGACTGGTTCTGCCCTCCGTGCTCAATCAGTCGACCCATGCGTGTGCTTCTCAAGAGCCTTGAAAGCCAACGCCATAAAGACTTCCAACTGCCCGTTTATTATCGGAACTACTTTGAAGGTGTCCGAACCGGTCCATTTGGCAAGTACGAGGAGTATGTGAAGCCTCTAAAACATGCAGCGAGAGGGCGAGGCAACAGATCTGGTCGCTACGAAGACCCATACTACACTAGACTTTTTGACCATCGAGGCATGCTCATCACTTGCGTAGCATGTGGCCGCACATCTGAGGGCCATCGACCTATTGTTCAGTGCGACTTTTGCCCATCTTCCTGGCATCTGGACTGCATTGACCCACCCTTGGCAAATCCCCCAACACAAAAACAGGGGAGCGAAAGGCCATACCATAATTGGATGTGCCCAAATCATGTCAAGCATCAACTTAAGCAATACGATGAGGGTGCCGAGCGCTGGAGGAAGATTCGTCGCCCCCGTAACGCTAGAATCCATGACATTGATGTCATCGTTGACGACAAACAGATTGAGGAATTAGAAGAACGAGATGTTGGTGGTGTCATCCTCCGCGTTCCTGAGAGAGGCATTGAGCTTGATTTTATTACGCGTGTTAAGCAGTATGCCTTCCCCCCTGTTTATGCTACATATCCGACATTTAGTTACTCCTGCTAACGGTTTGTTCAGGCGACATATGGAGCATCATGCTTTTAACGAGAGTGTCCAGAAGTTTTATCAGTATTCTAAGGAAAAACTAGATGCACTTGTCTCCAAGCAGATGGAATTTTACTCTTCACAGCGTCCAGTGGAGACGCCTTCAGAGGACCCGACGACTGCTATACTCAATTCTCGTACCATTGCCGAACGTGAAGCTGCGACGAATCTGATTGACTTCGCTCGGAGCCACCGAATCACCACCGAGAAAATCGCCGAATCCGGCAAGATCAACCTCCTAATTGATCAGTTGAAGGCGAATGCCCCGGCTAATCTCCCCGGTGCTGAAACCGAGATCGCATCTCTCCGAGCTCTTCAAGAGCTTATTGAGCAGCGCATCCAAGTCCTTATCTCAGAAAAGAAGGCCTAATTTAATTGCCGAAGGCGATATAGTATAGGGTCGACGCTTCATGAGAGATCTATCTTATGCGGTCTTCTGCTCCGACCCGTGCATCAAAATCATCGAGAGAGAAAAGAATAGAAGAAAGAATTTTAATAAGGGTGAGAAGAAAGGGCTCATTCAGCGAGGAGAGAATAGGGAAAGGGTTATCCTTGCTAGCTTGTTTACTTCTTTGTGTGTTCGTTCGGTACCTAGAATATTGACCCAATCCAGTCCACAACCCGCGCCGGTTTTGGTGTAGGGGCTGTATTTTGCTTCAACAAATACTATACATACATACAAATTCGATAAAATAAACCATGTTAGAAGGTATCTGAATGACACCTATTTCAGCCGATGGCATTGTCATTGATGCTAATTATTTGAGTTGACATGAGAAATGTGCCCTAATAAAATGCCCTACCCTTAACACTAAACCATAAACAGGAAAATAGAGTTATAGTCATGTGATGCTTATTTGTACAGACTAGTGCGGGTTACATTAGGCCGATAGTACAAAATGTCAAAAGATCGGGGACATGAATTCATAATTCTAGTTGAAGGGGGGACGGAGTGGGGCAAAAGGGGGCAAAAAACGCTCAAAGAAATTTCTTAGGCATGTTGGCGCGTCGGCGTTTATAGATGACATAGGAACCTGCAAGGAGGGCTTGGAAGGCGATAATGAGGAAGATGAAGAAGCCCATACGCGGAGCTGAACTGGTTATGACTGTTTATGGAATGTGAGTTTAGGTGATTAAATCAAGGATGAGAGCAGAGTACGAGCACTTACCAGTGTGGAGTGTGCCTTGGAGGTTCTCAGCTAGGTTGAGATGGGATGATTTCAATGTTTCCTGTAGCTGGTTAAAGTGGCTGCGGTAGTCCTTGCCTTCCAGGTCACGCTTGATGGTCAACAAGGTGTCTTCAATTCTCTGCAGCCGAGCGTCGAGACTGGCTAGTTGTTCCTTTGTAGCAACCTGCTGAAGGAGTTCGGCATGTCTGCTGTCGCTCTTCGAAGAGAGACCGTTGACATCTCGAACCAAATTCGTGCTGGCATGGCTGAGAAGTTCCAGGCGGGCACGTAGATCTGCCAGTTGCGCTCCTGACGCTACAGATTCTGATCCCGTGCTGCCTGCACCATCCACATTCTGATCGGTAATGGGCTGTTGGTAACTCCCCTGCTGGACGGGAGGTGCAGTCTCGCTGGAACGCAGAATGAACTTGAATATTTCAAACGAATCTGGATTCTCAGGAGTCGCTGCGGTCAGGCCAAAAGTGTTTCCGGCAGGCAGAGAAATCTAATGGTCTTTAGAAGCGTATTCGGCATAAAGTACATGAGGCTTTTCACTTACTTTGTCTGTGGAAAAACAAAGCTTGTCGTCAACCGTCACCTCGAAGATAGAATTGGTATGTTTGATCCCTATGATGGAAGGGCGCCCTAGGTTGCGATATGAGTAGATACAGTGGCCGAAGGCTAGACTATCTACACTGTCGTGGCTTCTGTAGTCCGTCGAGCCATCATTGAGGAATCCCCTAATGCTTCCACCCTGAAGAAGTCAGTTAGAACCGGATATCCCTTTTCGATTGGATTTGCACTTACAGTTCCACCATGTGCATCAATTACAAGCGCAAAGCCATCAAACGGCCCAACAGTGTAGATACTGGACGTACCGATCTTGGCCTGGCCGTCTTTTGCGTACCATAACTGAAGGTTGCCGCCACCTCTCTCGGGACCAGTGGCTCTAAACTGCAATTCTACAGACCATTCCGAATGCGATACTCTATGTCACCAGTTAGTGTTTGGTATCTCATGGTTAGAGGTGAGAAGCAGCTTACGGGCTCTGCGACCAGGCAAAGCCTCTAGTATTGCCTGGATATGGGGGTGTCAAGATGAGCTTATCCGAGAGCTAGGTAGATGTTAACCAAAAATTCCGCAGAAAAGTATCGCAAGAGAAACATACAAATTGAGGTACCTGGCCTTCACCACCTATTTGCCACCCAGGTATGGTGTCTCTGTTTGGCGATAGACTATGGGAGCAATTAGAACAGTCACTATATCAAGATTTCAGGCATTATTTACCCAAAACTGGAGCTCTCAATTATAGACTGAGCACTGGCAGCAGCTGCCAAAAATACAACTGAAGTCGTGGGTCTCATTCTGTCTGTGCTGTGGGATTTCGTGAACAAGGGGTATTCAGACAAGCTGCATGTAGCTCATAAAAGGTAGCTGAGAAAGAGAAAGAATAGGGGGAAAAGGCAAGAAAAGAAGATTGGAGTTAATTTTTTTATTATATCACAAAAATACGAGATATCGACTGGAAGAATGCAGTTGACGTGTTAGTTGTAAGTTCAACACGGTTGTCAAGAACTCTGGTTGCCAGAGAGCTCGGAGACGGTGATCCACCCGGGACAATGCCGACCATGCGGGAATGGATCTCCTTGCCAGTCGACGCGGTACTCTAGTAGGAGTCAATGGAACCGGTCTGGAGGAGCAGCAGAATCGGGATGATGCAGATGGTCAAGGTGCTGTTTCTGCAGAGGCCAACTTGTCCTTAGGGATGGAAGCTTTCGAACCTTCGACTGAAACGCGTCGTCACGTGAGCTGAGAGCTGTCTTCCCGGCTTCATCGCTTTGTCGCTCTGGAAGAAGACAGATCTTTCTGCTCGTTCGGATTTCGATCTCCAGTCTGTCGCAACTCTCCCCTAACTGCTTTGCTCGACACTCCCACCATGCTCTATTGCTTCAATGGCTGAACTGTACCCATCACTGGCGCAATGCGCCATCGTTGCTGCTGCGTTCAAGGTGCTCCTCTTCCCCGCCTAGTCAGTAGCTCCCAGCCCAGTCCTCCCGTCATTGGTGCCTATGCTGATCTGTTCTCTGTGCTCTTGGTCGACAGTAAATCGACAGATTTTGAGGTCCACCGCAACTGGCTGGCTATAACACATTCGCTTCCAGCCAAGGAATGGTACTATGAGGTCCGTTGAGTTGCTAGTACGATACACCCAATGCCAACCAATCGTGCATACTGAACGCGAAAGTGCCATAGGAAACATCCGAGTGGACGCTAGACTATCCTCCGTTCTTTGCAGCTTTCGAATGGCTGTTGTCGCGAGCGGCATATTACGCAGACCCTGCGATGCTAATTGTCAAGAATCTTAACTATGATTCTTGGCAGACCATCTATTTTCAGCGAACCACGGTCATTCTCTCCGAGCTTGTTCTCCTATATGCATTGAATCGGTACGGCCTGGCTCCAGATGCTCTCCGCTGATATGTAGCTCATGGTTATGCTCCAGATTTGTCAAGTCCACGCCTGAACCGAATAAGAAGCTCGCGCATGTTGCGAGTCTCTCGATCCTTCTGTCTCCCGGCCTGTTGATTATAGATCACATCCATTTCCAATACAATGGGTTCCTCTATGGAATACTGGTTTTCTCTATCGTTCTGGCACGAAAGCAGTCGACCCTTCTCTACAGCGGCATCACTTTTGCCGTCCTGCTATGTCTGAAGCATATCTATCTTTATCTTTCCCTCGCATACTTTGTCTATCTGCTAAGGGCCTATTGCTTTGACCCCAAATCCATATTTCGACCAAGATTCGGGAACGCATTCAAGCTTGGGGTCAGCGTATTGAGCGTGTTCGGCCTAGCGTTCGGACCATTCGCGCATTGGAACCAGCTGCTACAGCTGAAGGAGAGGCTCTTCCCTTTTTCGAGGGGATTATGTCACGCTTACTGGGCGCCTAATGTCTGGGCAATGTACTCATTTGTGGACCGTGTTCTGATCCCATGTACGAGTCCTTATATTTATATCGGTAGAGCTATGCTGACCTCCATATCCTACAGTCGCACCGTCTCTGAGACTGCCGATCAACCACGATGCCCTGAACAGCGTCACTCGTGGTCTTGTCGGGGATACTTCATTTGCAGTTCTTCCTGAAGTAACAAAAGAGCAAACATTTATCTTGACATTCCTGTTCCAGTTGGTATGCAATACATCCATTAGACATAAGCTAGATCTAATTACTTACCAACGTACATAGCTCCCTTTGATTAAACTCTGGTTGCGTCCGGACTGGGAAACGTTTATCGGAGCTATCACTCTCTGCGGATATGCTTCCTTTCTCTTTGGCTGGCACGTCCACGAAAAGGCCGTTCTTTTGATCATTATCCCATTCAGCCTCATTGCACTCAAAGATCGACGCTACTTCAGCGCATTCCGACCTTTGGCCGTAGCAGGTCATGTCTCACTATTCCCGCTTCTCTTTACCGCAGCGGAATTTCCTCTCAAGACGGTGTACACGGTTATGTGGCTGGTCTTGTTCCTGTTCGTCTTCGACCGGGTAGCGCCAGTTCCAGAACGGCCTCGGATATTCCTTCTCGATCGCTTCTCACTCCTATATATTACGATTGCCATTCCGCTGATTGCCTACTGTTCTCTGGCTCACCAACTGATATTTGGACCTAATCGGTACGAGTTCGTGCCACTCATGTTCACGAGCAGTTACTCGGCTCTGGGGGTGGTTGGTAGCTGGGTTGGGTTCATGGTGATTTACTTTACCGCATAGCTTGTAGATATGTGCAAAAAAATATTAGGGCGATTGAATTGGTTGAGAACTCTTATGTCGAAATCATTGGAATATCTCCCGATCGGTAACCAGTAGGAGTACGTAGAACCAACCTGGCAACTGGAAACGGTCTCGGTTAACGCACGCCCAATACTTCCCGGTCACTCTGTCTCATCTATGCATGATATGGACGGATCCATCCGCGCCTGATAATTAGTTAATTACCAAATTTGAGCAAAGACACGCCGCGGGTAACAACCCCGCCACGATCTGGTTATCTATTGATATTAAAAGGGCTGCCATGGCACCAATTCTGTTCTCACGGAAAGATCTCGCTTGTTCAATATTTCTAACCTTAGGGAATCCCCAAGTTGAACACCAGAATTTGAAATATCATGGGTGAGACTGAGACATGGGTTGTAGTGGGTGCCTCTCGGGGCATCGGCCTTGAGTTTGTGAAGCAACTTTTAGAGGGCGGGAAAAGGGTCATCGCAGCTGTTCGGAGTCCAGCTGGAGCTGAACAGCTCTCAAAGTTAATTGTGCATCAATCAAAACCAGAGCACTGCGTGGTCGAGCAATGTGATGTCACAAGTGAGGAGAGCATCGATGTAAGTCTCTGTGGCCATCTACTTCTTGGGGAGGTACAATACTGAAATGGCTCACAGAATTTTGCTAGAAGATTGCAGCTAGCCATGCAAAACGGCACAAAGATAGCAAATGTTATATTGAACGCGGGTGTGCTGAAGTATCCAAATAGGGCGACAGAGCTGTATGACTATGGGCACCAATGTTGCAGCAACTGCTAGTCAACCTTCACTAAAACGAAGTACTGATATGTAGCATATAGCACGTACGCAGACTTTGCCCTCCATTTACACACCAATACCATCGGACCCATCATTTGCGCCCAGAAACTGGTCAACTTGGACCCTGAATTTCCTCCATCAAAGGTGATATTCATCTCTTCCGACTCAGGATCGACTACGCTCTTCCGAAGCCACGAGGATGGTTTTGGTGCATATGCGGCGAGTAAAAGCGCGCTGAACCAGATGGTAAGACATATGGCCGCGGAGCTGAAGAGGAGTGGTGGAAAGAGAGAAAATATATGCGTTCTCGCATTGCATCCAGGCGAAGTACAGACGTGGGTTCTCTGGCACAGCATTTGAGAATATCTGAGTGACAGCCACTAATAAATGTGACAGTGATATGGCTAATATCGACGTTGACTGGGAAGTACAAGGCGTGATACAGGCTGATGAAAGTGTGACGGGGATGCTCAGGATTATCGGAGAGAAGGGGCCCGCCGACAGTGGCTCATTTTGGTGCTGGGATGGAAGGGTGAGTACTCAGTCTTGATGTATGCAGCGTGGTGTTCTTCTGATCAGAATATTGACAACCTTCAGAGGCATCCTTGGTGAGGGCAAGCAGACGGCGTGGAGGTACAGAGTCCGGCCGTGGGAATTAGGGCACTTGATGCCCAAGACCTAGCAGGCCCCAAATGGGCAATTGCATGCAGCTTGCCCTGTGAACAGGCCCTAATTGCCACCAGCCACCGCCCACATGACACCCGAGGAAATTTTGACGAAAGCTGGTTAATTACCGACTCTCATGCCATCTTGCTGTTTGTACGGAGTAGATATTGTCCATGAAAGAAAATTTGTCGTAGCATCCGCCAAGGGCCCATGGGGAAGCCATGTTCACCAATAGGCACACCGTTATTACCATCACCAAGACCTGGAGAAGCTTGCTGAACTAAGTAACGTTAGAAGCACCGCCACTCCGTCGGCAGGACCAGCCGTAACGAGGCCGTATGAGACCCAGAATTACGCAGAACAAAGCGGGAAACGCCCTGTATCGGCTCGTAATGCAGCGGGCTTCGTGTTTTCTCCGCGCGACAGCGGGCAGACGTCACCGAATTCGGTACTTTCATGTTATTTCCTACCGGCTTCTTTTGACCACCAACTCACTCCCTTCGACAACACACGCTCAGTCCACGGGGGGTTTTCCAGGAGGTTTGAAGCTCTTTCTTCATTCACTTCATCTTCTGGTGTCTTTATCCATGGAATTCTGATCCCTTCAATTTCTCCCCTCCCCCTCCAGATTCCGTCACATGTCAGTTGCCCTTCCAGATCATGAATGCCGCTCTGATTCGCATGTTTCATTCTCATAACCTGCACGTCTCCCCTCTTGGCTCTCCCGCTCTCCTAGTTATTCTATAGGACCAAATTCCGAGTCCAAACCGCACGCACAAGTATACATGGAGAAATTCGCGCAATCGAGAACGCCCCCCGCTGGGCCGGGGAGCACCGTTCCTGGAGATGAGAACCGTACCGCGGCGGCTTCGGCACAGCATGGTGCTTCCGAGCACGTACCTCCATCAGGGACAACTAAGGTAGACAGAAAGGGGGAGGGCCAGACGAAACATTTGGATAAGCAAAGTGTGGAATATGTGCTTAGGAGTGGGTTGGCAGGGGGATTAGCGGGGTGCGCGGTAAGCAGACAGTCTCTTCTTTTTTTCTCTCTCTATCTGGCATGGTTGTATGAAAGATATGAAAGAAGGCAGCAAGAGTTGTAACTGACGGAGAATGGATGCAGGCCAAAACTGTCGTAGCACCACTAGATCGCGTAAAGATCCTCTTTCAGACATCAAACCCGCATTTTGCAAAGTACACGGGTAGTTGGTTTGGCCTTGCCATGGCAATGAAGGATATCAGGCGTCACGAGGGTCTTATTGGTCTCTTTAAAGGACACTCGGCGACGCTGTTGCGGATTTTCCCTTACGCGGCCATCAAATTCCTCGCCTACGAGCAGATCCGAGCCGAGATTATTCCCTCACGGGACAAGGAGACACCGTTTCGCAGGTTGATATCTGGTAGTTTGGCGGGACTTACATCTGTGTTTTTCACGTATCCATTGGAACTGATCCGGGTGCGGTTGGCGTTTGAGACGAAGCAATTTGGGCGTTCATCACTACTGGATATCTGTCGACAGATTTACCACGAACGGGTCCCTGCCCCGATTGTTACGGCAAAAACCGATACTGTATCATCCACTGTCAACAGAGCAGTGCCCAGCTCTGGCATTGCAAATTTCTACCGCGGATTCTTGCCTACTGTTTTTGGAATGTTCCCTTATGCCGGAGTATCCTTCCTTACTCACGACACAGTGGGTGACTGGCTTCGCCATCCTTCTATCGCTGAACATACGACGATTCCAAACTCAGAGGATCGGAGGAGCAGGTTGAAAAGCGGGAGTCGACGGCCCCAGCTAACAGCGGCCGCAGAGCTATTCTCCGGAGCCGTTGCCGGTATGGTGTCGCAGACATCATCATATCCGCTTGAGGTCCTCCGGCGGCGAATGCAAGTCAGTGGGGCTGTGGGTGACGGTCAGCGATTTGGGATCCTTGACACGGCTCGTAGGATCTGGCTAGAGAGCGGGTTTCGTGGATTCTGGGTTGGGTTAACAATTGGATATATAAAGGTTGTACCCCTGGGGGCCACGAGCTTTTTTGTATATGAACGACTGAAGTGGCGGTTGGGTATATAGAGTTACAGGGGATTGAATGTTGTTTTCTTTTTGCTTTTCTCTTTTCTTCCTTTTCTTTCGCATATGCACGTATGCATCCGTTGGGAGTTCGATTTTGCCAGATACTCCGCCATCGATATCATGTGTGTTTTTGGGGTGTCTGGTTTTTTGTGTTCTATTTTTCTTCTTATTTCGACTTGAATTCCCACCCATGATCTCGTCCTTTACCTCCTTTTCGGATGAAGGAGTGCAGCTGGCGCGTTTCGGATTTCCTTTTATTCATTTCTTTCCTCCCAAAGATCTATTGCTTACCCTTTTCGTGCATATGGAAGGAGCCTAGAGGGCTCTACAGGCAGGTGGAAATATATATTATTCCCATTGATATTCATTCTTATCTTTATTTGCATGCAAGGTTTATTCTCCCTAGAATGTACTACATAGTTCATAGCCCAAGGGACGTTGTTTATCAATCTGCCAAGCCACGTGCACGGGCCATATGCGGCCGCGCATCTAAGAAGAGAAAAAAAAAAGTTTCGATAGATTCAACGTTCCATTGAAAATTACGATTCCAATATTCGTCGCGACGTTCATAATTAAATTTTCTATCTACTGATCAATCAGATCCCAATAATGACAATCCGAAAGAGGAACGAATTTCTAGACATCCCGTCCAGCGATGACGAAGGAAACGAGGGCAGCGGCTACGACTCCGACGCCGCGGAGGAGAGCAAGGGACGATCTCTGAAACGGAGGCGGATGGCCATGACGGATGAGTTCATGTCTGGCGAAGAAGAAGAAGAAGAAGAAAAAGAAGACAATGGCATTACAGAACCCAACAAGACGAATAAGAAGGAAACCGACTCAACGCCAGAACAGCAAGACACCACCACAACAACAACACCAGATTCCAAACCGGAGCAAGACAAGAAGAAGAAAAAGAAGAATAAAGACATCAAACCCACCAAGAACAAAACAGGCGTAATCTACCTCTCAACCCTCCCACCATACCTACGTCCAAGCGCCCTAAAATCGATGCTCGAAGCCCGCGGTTTCGCCCCTATCACCAGGGTCTTCCTAACACCTGCCATCCCTACCGCAACGGACAGCACAAGACGGAGATCGAACAAGCGCAAAACCTACACGGACGGATGGGTTGAATTTGCATCGAAGAAGACAGCAAAGATCTGCGCGGAGACGCTGAATGCGTCGATCGTCGGTGGGAAAAAGGGTGGGTGGTATCATGATGATCTGTGGAATATGAAGTATCTTCGCGGGTTCAAGTGGGATGACCTCATGGAACAAGTGCAGAGGGAGAGGTCGGAACGGGAAGCGAGGAGGAGGGTTGAGGATTCAAGGGCGAGGAAGGAGGAGAAGGTGTTCCTTGCTGGTGTTGAGAAAGGGAAGGTTCTTGATGGGATTCAGAGGAAGAAGGCGGAAAAGAGGAGGAAGGATAAGGATGATGATGGAGCTGGAGCTGGAACTGAAGAGAGACAAGGGGATGCTCAGGTTAGGAGGTTGTTCAGGCAGAATGAAGTTAAGGGGGGTGATGGGAATGTTCAGCTTGCTGAAGATACGAAGAGGGTGTTGGGGAAGATTTTCTAGATTTTCGTGTTTGACCGTTCTTTTAGCGATGTTCATTTCATGCATGGAGATAGTCAAAAAAATGCAATCTCTACATAGTACGCATGTTTTATGCATCAGAAACTTTTGGAATTCCGCTGATATCTAGGATTTCACAAAACTATCAACCACGAACGCCATACCCAATGTCATCAATATTATCTATAAACACGAACGAACTCATTCATCGTTCATGTTCAGCTCATCGAAGTCATCAAGTAGCTCGTCCATATTGATCTTGGGGACCCCATCGTCGCTCTCACTATCCTCGACCATCTCATCCATGCCTCCTTCAACGCCCTCCATGCGATCCGCCTTGGGCCGGGCATTCTTGTTCTTATACAATGCAAGCGTACTCCGAAGTTCCTGGTCCTCTTCAATATCCCGAAGGAACATTTCGAAGTCCTGTTCGAGTCGGTCTTGGTCTTCTTTCCTGCGGCCGCCAGCTGCCAATGCCTCCTCCTCATATTCTCGCGCCATACGCTTGACGCGCCAGCTGCGGGACTTGGGCTTCTTCTTGCGCGCATAGTGTTTCTTGACGAGGATCACATCCGGGATGGTGGAGCCATACTGACCGCTCGCTTCGATGGCTTCGAAATTCTCATCGTTGAAGTTCGCTCCTGTCAGGTGGTACCCGAGCGCCGAGTCACCAACATGAAGGACTCCTCCGAGATGTGTACGAGCAAAGTACGTGGTGTCGTTGGCGCCCAGATCTGAAGCACGCGCAACCGTTACTTCGGCAAGGTGGAATCGTCCATTTGTGTGTCCGACTGGCTCGATATCCATGATGATGAACTCCACTAGTTCAGTGACATCTGCGAGGTTCTTGAACGGTGATCGCCAGTACGTCGGAGTGGGGACTTCTGTCGTCTGGAGGGTATTGGGGTCGAGGAGATTGACCGCTGTACCGACCCGGTAGCAGAGCGTCAACGGAGCGATGTTGCCTAGAGATCGGGCCAACTTGAGCGGTAGAGCAACTAAGTCGTCCTTGCAGATCGGTATGAGCTCGACAGAATATGTGAACTTGTATGATTTGGTTGATGTGTGCACATCCATCGAGATCAGTTCCTGAGCTTTCTTCACTCTGGTCGGTGCCACAGACGACAAGAACTCAACCATCTTCTCGGCATGGTTTTTCTGGCCGAAGTAAAAGTCCAATCCATCCTTGGCTTCTTTAATGTTGACAGTATCTTTATGTGCACCATGTTTAAGGATGAGCTGTTCGAGGTAGAGGAATGTTCGCTTGTGCGGCACCTTCTGTCGCACTTGAACGGACGCTTGCCAGGTATTCCTGGTGTAGGATTTGGCGCACTCCACACACTGTTGTGTTGCCACTACATACATAACCTCGAACGTCTGCTGCACAATCGTGTTCTGGAAAGCCTCCTGTTGAATTGTGATTTTGACCCTAATTCGTCTCGAGTGTGGCTCTGTCCAAATGAAACTGGCATCGATAATGCGGACTTTGGACAGTCCACGAAGTCTGCGCAGGCATATGGCCAGAAGCTCCTTCGATTCAGGAGCTGCACTGACCCAGCTGTTTGGCGGTTGCAGCCATCGTTCGCAGTCTTTACAGGTGTGTAAAGTAGCCTCTCTCTGAATCCCCTGGGATATATCAACGGTAAGTTTGATGCAGTCCTGGCAAAGTGCACCGGCTGCAGTTGTACCATCAATGGGGGCACCGCAGTTGCAGCAAAGAATGCTGTAGAATAAACGAATCTGTTAGTATGTATTTCTCACAATATGTATAACCTGTAACTCACGTTGCAATCTGCTCTTCCTGTTGGATAGCCGCAATCGGCACAGGTCCATCCAAATCCATCGACATGGCTGCGATATTATTGGAATGCTGTTCACCGCAGCAACTATGCGTGGTAAAATGGAATAGCTGGAGAGGAACGACCTCTTGATTTGAAATCGAATTGAAGCCGATTATTTTTTTGCCCCTCCGAGACATTTTTTTTGTTTGACCTGTTTGCATCTCTGCCTAGTCATGTTTGCACAGTTTGCCTGGTTCTGGCAAACTCTCCGCGCAAAGACCGAGGTGCTCTTCGGCCAGCAACTCTACTCGAAATTTTAAAGTCTTCTACGACATCATGCAAAAAGCAGTCGCATTGAAAGCGGCGCTGTGCCATTCATGCCGCCAGGAAGTTTTACGATCTTTTGTTTCTGTTTCCGGAGTTTCAATACCTCGCTACTCTCGGTTGCCGGGACCAATTCATAATGCCAATAGAAGAAGAGCATTCACATTAGCTCCACGCCTACTATCCAAAGAAGAGTCTCGGAGTGACTCGGACGAGGTTGCATTATCTGTCGATGGAACTAGTACTCATGTTGAGAGCGACGTTTCCCAACCGACAGAGCATATCCCATGGTATTTGCAGGAGGAGACCCTGAGTACTGAACCGCATCCCCTGTTCTCACGAGACCAAATACCAGACCTCCCCGCAAATCCACCTGAAATCCTTCCTGTTCTATTGGAATATATTTTCAAGGACCTAGGTCTTGACAATTTGAAATTGCTTGACCTCAGGGGCCTCGACAACCCGCCGGCGCTTGGTGCCAATGTTATTATGATCATCGGAACGGCTCGCAGCGTGAAGCACCTAAATGTGTCTGCAGACCGTCTTTGTCGGTGGTTGAGGAGTACCTGGAAACTCAGCCCACACGCGGATGGATTGTTGGGCCGGAACGAACTTAAGATCAAGCTTCGTCGCAAAGCTCGTCGGGCAAGGATAGCTAGCAAGGCAGGAGCACTAGTCGACGAGAAGGACGATGGCATCACCACTGGTTGGATATGTGTGAACGCTGGTCTCGTCGAAGATAAGTCCGTCCAGCAGCAACCTACAGAGAATTTGTTTGAAGGGTTCGGCATCACTCCCCGGGGTACTCGAATAGTAGTCCAAATATTCACGGAGGAAAAGAGAGCTGAAGTCGATCTGGAAGCGCTATGGGAAGCTGCGTTGGAACGTGCCAATAAGCGAATCCAGGCGAATTCTGAAGTTGATTCCGATTCGGCGTTTGAGAAGGTTCGTGGCCCTACTGGGTCAACCCCCGACTCTGATTTGGGGCATCCTCCTAAATCTTCCGTGACGATATCGCTTGAGCAGAAAAGAGGGCTTCATACGACCCGTCGAATTAGAGCTCTTCACAGTGAATCTAATATCCATGTTATGTGGTCTGGCACTGAATCAAGGTTTTTTGCCGGAGCTTCATCTATCCAGGGCCACATCCTTTCCCAAAAACGAACCATCACCGTGACTACGTCAAGCCTACTTCAGCTTTTGTCGGAAATTCCAAAGGAAGAAGCTAGACGCGAGCTTGGAGAAGGTCCAGATGATCGCGCTTCCACGCTTTTCTTGCGTCTCTTTCATGGAGCTGCTACTTCTGCAGAGGAAGCTGCCGCGAGCCAAATAAGGTTGATATGCATGGGCATTTCTCTTCAACATCCAGCGTACGATAAGGAAAGACTTTACAACGCCTTTGAGGACCACATTTGCGCGGGCTACCCTCTGCCTGAGGAGCTAGGATTCCAAGTATTTTCAACTATGTTATCGGAGTATCCGATTCTTGACTCCTCTGCCGACTCACCAAGTCGAGTAACAGATGCAGATAAAGAACTGGCTTGGCGCATTATTGATCATCTAAGTTTTCGAGGTGTGAACGTTCTGAACATGCAAGTGTTCGACGCTCTATACAAGGCGGCGAATTCTGCGACATGCACGGAATTGTCGCAAATTTCCGAGCAAAGCCGCCAAGCATCTTCCCTGATTTCTAGGGCGATAGAAGCTCTTAACATCCCACTTTCTGCACGAAATACACGCTCGTTCATGATACACGCGTTCCAAAACCGGGACTACGACAACTTTTGGAAAATTTGGCACAGACTTCCTCTGCACAGCATTAAACGCACCGCCGAGGACTATGCGATGCTATTTCGTTTACACGCCGAACTAGGGGATCATCGGCGAGCAAGAGATTGCATCACGTGGGTAGATATGATGCAGAGAGAAGATCCACCAGTGCGTCTAGAAGGTCAGGTTGCGCAACATGTCGAGTCTTGCCGTCGCCTTGCATCCGAAGGATACATGAGCCTGAGCAACCGGGCCGAGAGCAGAGATTCAGTGGCGATGTAGGAGTGTGTTAGTATAAGATGCCATATCTTGATCGCAGCTTTAGAAATACATAGATTCGGTTTTAATATATATCAAGTACGATTAGGCATGGAATAATAGGAATCACAATGTAGAAATGTATGCTCCGTCAGAACGCCAAGAGATGAAATAGTTGAACCTCGGTTCGCGTGATCTGCCTCCGCGTCCTCCCAGTCCGCTTCTCTCTCATCCTCACTCAACCCCTGGTCGAAGATGCCCGCTGTTTAACAATCATTTCCACTGTTGACTGATCAGTCAACATGGAGTACCTTCCTAGTCTTCAACACGATTTCGATGAGCTAAAACCCAGTCTGTTTGGTGGGTTTTCTCCCCCCGTTGCCGTTGCGCCTCGCTAGCAAACAAGCAGCTAACATTGACATCACCACAGAACTCCTTTCAGAACAGCAACTCTCAGCTCTTCTCCCTCCTACTCTTCGCTATCTCCTCGCAGTAGCGACACACCGCCATCCGCGCTATCTGCTCAAAGCCCTAAACTCCTTCGATGAGCTCTATGCGCTTCTCTCCCTCATCGTCGAGCGATACTACCTCCGCACCTTCGGCGGCTCATTCACAGAGAACTTCTACTCCCTCAAACGAGAACGTGTTCTGTTGACGAAAAATGGCGAAATCCCAAGGACACAGATCGGCGCCCCCGGCCCTGTACGGGACTCGTTGAAACTGCACAATTCAGACATCTGGAAGAACCTCCTGGTGATGGTCGGAATCCCGTACCTGAAGCGCAAACTAGACGAGGGATACGATATCCATGCTGCACCCCAGGCGACCCTGATCGGGGGTCCGCGATATAACCCCAGTGAGGACCTGCCTCCACATCCGACCCTCCGCCAACGACTGATGTACTACTACAAATGGTTCCTTCGCAACGTCTACCCGTCCGTCAATGCGGCGTATTATTTTTCTATTCTGGCGTTTAATCTCGCCTATCTCTTTGATGGTACGAAATACTCTTCTCCCTTCCTGTGGCTGGTCGGGACCAGGATCCGTCGATTAGGTGTCGCGGATCATCGTGCCATCGCGGCTATCCTGGATGGCGCCTCTCGACCCAATGGCGCCGGGTTGGGAGGTGCTAGTAATACTGCCCGCGGCGCTGCGAATGCCGCCAGATCACGCCCCGGAACAGGTCTGGTCGGCCTAATGAGCCCCCAGAATATCTACCCCCAGCTCCTTTCATCATTGCGCTACTTCCTCCCGGCCTCGATATTCGCACTCAAATTCCTCGAATGGTGGCATCAAAGTGATTTCTCCCGACGGCTAGCCCGGAAAGCGACTGAAGTCCTAGATCTGCCTGCGCCCGTCGTATCAGGGACACCGGAGAAGCGGCGCAGACAACAGGAGCAATCGAAGAAATCAGCTTCGGTAACCTCCACAAAGGATCTAAAATCAGCGTTGAAGACACACAATAGGCCTAAACACTTCCAACCTCCTATCTCGTCTACTTCGTATCTTCCAATTTTCACTGTTTCGTTGCCACCCGTTGACTCAGAGGACAGCGGTGATAGCATCTGTTCCATTTGTTTTGGTCCCCTGACGAACCCTACCGCATGCCAGACAGGTTACGTCTTCTGCTACGTTTGCATCTTCCATTGGCTGAAAGGAGAGCACCAGCGACAGATAGACTTCATGAATGGTGAAGATACGAAGACACCCTGGGAGGAGGAAGAGGAAGGCGACTCTGATAACCAGTCCAAGACAGCTATCGGCCATGGCCAGAGTCGAGAGGGGAAGTGGGAGAGTGGGAAAGGGAGATGTCCCATTACTGGACGGAGAGTATTGGGGGGAACGGATGGATTAAGGCGGGTTTTGGTATGACTTCTGTTCCATTTGGAGTCATGATTTGGATTGCTGTAGAATATTTTATTTCCTAAATGGAGGTTTTCATGTAACTGATGAGTGGTTACCCTCCACTCTGCTGCTAACTTGCTCTTCAAGAGAGTCATGAAGAATATCATATATAAAAATTATATGATATCGTACAAACACGATCTTTTTAAAGCAACATAACAACACCCCTAATAATGCAACCCAAATTCAATCAAGAGTATACGGTTTCGCGTTGGGGCCAAAGATTAAATAGGGTTTTGTCGCAGCTATTTTCAAGATAGTCTGTGAAAAGACAGAGTTGGCCCAGGCAAACCACGGCCGGGTGTATTGCTTGACGTTGTTGACGTTGATCGACTCGTGCACGAGGCCGAGAAGGCTCGAGTCACGAACAAGGTTGATAGCTTCTGCTATTTCAGAGTCCGAGTCGCTAGTCATGGCTTGCACTAGGAGAGACATAGGCCAGGCATTTTCAAGTCCGACTAGATTGAAGTTAGTCATGGACAGCAGACAACAGGACATAACCAGGATTGAAACGCACCGTGAGGTCCACCAATGCCATGGAAAGCGGGACCGGTCAGATAATAGGGATTCCCAGCCTTTTCGAGGACCATCTTACGCGTATTTTGATAGACAGGGTCTTTTTGATCTACGAAACCCAGGTAGGGAAGCGACAACAACGACGGAATGTTGGCATCATCCATGAAAATTTGAGAGCCATAGCCATCGACTTCAAAGGCAAAGACATTACCATATTTGGGGTGCTTCACCACCCCGTGGTTCCATACAGCTTCTTCAAGGTCCTGGCCTCGCTTTTGGAGCTCCTGGACTAGATCAGAGTTACCCCTGGCAGCCTTTATCATCTCTGCTGTCTTCTTCAACTGGACCGCCATCATGGCGTTCGGAGGAATGAAGAATCCCAGGATGGTGGCATCATCGCTAGGTCGGAAAGCACTACGAATAAGACCCGTATCGCGGTTCAGTGGATTCCCAACTCCGTTCAAACTGAGGGTTTCTGTACCCAGATTTGTCTGGCGTTGAAATGTGTACTGGTTGACAGCGTATTGGTTCTGCGCGTTGAATGTAGGTCGTGACTGAGCGTCCAGAGTGTCCATGAGAGTTTTCAATGCCATGTACCACCGATCTGTGAGGAATTCTGTCGACCCGGTATTCTCGTGGAACTGGGTCCCAAGAGCTAGAAAATTCGCCAAAGAATCGAGCTCGTACTTGCATTCGAAGACAAAGGATGGTTCGTACGCGGGATGCACGGTATCCTGCTGTCCGTTCGAGCTCGGCCCGATTCCACTAGGCGGCGGCGGCTGGAATGCATTACAATAGGGAGACTGAATGACATACTCCACCTGAGTATTAATTGCGCCTAGGATGAGTGTATAGAGGTTCTTGTCCTTCTTTGCCAGAGCTTGATAGGAGGCCAGTTGATTCGTCGAATCGCGCAACCACTCGGCATCAATGTCACCCGTCACAATGAACGTTTGTGCTCCATCCCATTGAGAACCGCCCCTCTTATTGTTCCGTTTTGTAGTTGGCGTAGAGCCGTCGGTATGCCATCGGACAGTCGTGTCTAGCGTGTTAGGGAAGGCGTTCCGGAATAGCTGGGCCAGATCCTTGTCCACCATACGCGAGGTGATATCGTCGATGACCTGCTCGACTGCTGGTGAGGAAAAGGTCCTGCATGCTTCCACAGGACGTTGAAATGAAAGGTTCAATGGACCTCCGCTGAAAGGACCGCTGGAAACGATAGAAAGTCAGTGCTTAGTCCTTGCGACTCTCTCTCATTCGAGCCCTCTTCCGAACGGGACACTCACTGAGGCGTCGATGAATAAGATGTATAGTCAGGGCATGCTCTGCGGAGAATTTCCGGGTCGTCAGGGTGGCTGCTGACAGGCTTGCCTCCGAAGAACGCAAGCACTGTGGTCGCGAGGACCAACGCTGTCGTCGACGGGAAAGCCATGTCGTCTTGGAGGCGCGGGAAATGCGGGGGATAGCCGAACAGGAAGTTGAATAGCTCGAAGGAACTCCCGTCCACGCTGGACAGGATACAGACCCATTTAATTAGACCATAATAATTTCACATGCCGCTGCCCAGCCGCGGGATAGTGGGATCATCAGCTACGCTGTGGCAACCGTCGTGATAACGTTGTATTCTCTGTGTAGTTTGAGTGGGAACAAAGAATGCGGAGATGAACTGCCGCTGTAGATCTGAGTTCAACGCGGTACATAGGTATTACATACTACAGAAGGTGGGTTTTTAAGCCTTTCATAAGTCGTCTATCTCTGCTAAACTGGCTTCTTCAGTTATCGGAAGAGATCCTACAGAAAGAGATTGGACAATCTGTCCCAAAGGCTGAATGTCACTGCCAGCTTGCTGGTAGATACTGCGTCGAAAGGCGACAAATATCTACCAGAGTACGTATGTCTCAAGCCTCTTGATGATATACATTAATATTATCAGACGGAAGAACAAAAGACTGTACTCCGGGAAATGACATCTCATTGTCCACGGTAGCAGTGTGATGGATGCCTTCAGACACTCCCATAATATGCACACCCCCGTCCATCTTGTCAACCATCATCCTAACAATTGCAACGATGGCGCCCTACGAGCTTCCTTATTGGGGTCCAAGTGCTAGACGCTTGGATCAGTCTAATTTTAAAGATCTTTGGGCTCCTGACCTTTTCTCTCATCACGACATATCTCATGATCTGTGGCTTTCTCGAGGGGAAGAGGTAGAGAGGAAGAAAAGCGTCACAATACTGTGGCGTGTGTCTCGCGTTCTAGCAGTTCTGGAAGGGGATGTGGGGGAGGTTTGATGCAATGCTGCCAGTGGTAAGACTGCGAACCAAGCTATAGAGGTGCATACTGGAGCACATCACAACGTCCCCGTACAATGACTCCCTCAGTGGAAAAAAGGCTGCTCTACAATGTACAATGAAATTAGTCACCTTTGCTGTTAACTAATAGGTAATTCCATCTAATCTTTATACTGACGATAGGCACTTGTCATCATTTCCTCTCATTTCTTCGAAAAGAAAGACATGATATTCCCCTGTCCTGGTTTCCCACCCGGCTTCGCCTTGGCTGAACTCACGGCTGGTTTCTTCTTGGGCAGCGGTGCGGGCTCGTCTTCTGAAAACGACTCCCAAGCAGGTTCCTCGACAGTCACTGTAGAATCGAAGGCGAAAAGAGTCAGATTCAAGTCATGCACCAATCTGCAGGGATACATACCTAGATAGCCCTCTTCGTCCTTGACCGTTTTCTTCTTCATAATTTGTCGCCGGCCTCTTCGCCGGCCTCCTACAACGGTCACTTGCTCCTTCAATTCCTCTTTCTTCGGAGGTTGGTCAATGGTCAGTGCTTCTTCGGCGGGTTCTTCGGCGGGTTCTACGGCATCGGGCATCTCTTCGTCTTCTTTGCAGTCAGCAACAATATTCATTGATGATTGGCTGTATCAATATGAAACTGTACCGTCATCCTCCATCATCTTTCTCAGCTTCGCTTCTCGTTCTTTCTTCGTCTCGTGACTGATGATAGCCTCTCTTTTCCCTGTATCGGGGAAGAGTTCTTCAGGCTCTTCTTCTTCTGACGCATCATTGAACATTACTATTATCAGTTAGCTATACAAAACGAATCAAAGTGCGCTTTGTAAACGAACCATCTTCGACGGCGCCACTAGATTCAGCCTAATTAAAGGTTAGCAAGTACGTATAGAGAAAGCATGAATATACAGGATTGTACTGACAGACTCAGCAGCGGAAACTGCTTTTCTTGCCGGTCTTTCCTTTTGTTTGGCCTGTGCCTTTGAGAATGAACTGAGAATATCACTCCTTTGTCGCTTCAACGGTGCTGTGTTCCCTGACGGTTTTGATGTAGGCTCAGATGGACCAGGCTTCGATGGCTGCTTCAAGTCTGCATCGTCATTCTTTTTACTCTCCATCTTCATCTCCTGCGCTGGGAACTCCTTGAGAACAGGTTGTTTTGCAGGAGCTGTTTCTTTTTGTATGGCGGGAGGCGGAGGAGGTCGCGCACCGTTTCGCCTCTAAGAAGGTATTTTCAGTTCATATTTAAGCCATGTTTCCCTTCAATCAGAAGTACGTACCTTGACGTATTTGTTTTGAACCATCCCCCATTGTTTCCCATGCTCCAAGGGGTCCTCATTTGCATGAACAGTCGACATCTCACGGCTAACATCCGTCAATACATTCAAATCCGGCAAAACAGTCGACTGCAAGCTATAAATATGAATTGATGAAATAGAGGTAAACGTCGACTTTGCATCTGTAGTATGTATCAGTAAACCAATCATGATAACCCCCAGGCAAAAAAAGAAAGGGTCGCCTTACCATTCAAATCCTCCTCCCGGACCAATATAACAGATGCCCTCTGAACAGCCTGCGAATCCGCATCTTGATTCGGTAGAGAACTGCTTATGTACGGACTACTCGGCATAACATCATCATCGCCCTGATCTTTGTGTATCCCATTCGCCACAGACGTAGATGCCCCTTCCTCTAACTTCTGAGCACCGGTGATGATGTATGTTGCATCTACGCTGCGTGGTCTTTTGATATTCTCGGCGTGGTGAAATTCGTAAAGGATCCTTTTTTTTCCCACAACTCCCAGATTCAAATCAATTCAACCATCCAACAGGGCAGAAAAAAATAAGACGAGTATGCAAACAACGTACTGCTTGGCTAGATTTGAATGAATTCCGAACACCCGGCTCAAAGATCGGTAGGTGACCTGTTGGAGAAGTGGATTAGAGCAGTGAAACAAATGATGGATAATTGGAAAGTAACCACATACTGTCTTATGTTCATTGAGAACGTTTTCTGCTAAATATCGCTTGTAGTCCACCGCCATACTGCAATCAATGAGAGCACTGCTTTCGCATCAACTCGAAATAGTTGTCTATGTAAATATCTATGATGGATTTCCGTCGGACGCGTTCCTAGGAAACCCATTAACGCGTATCAGTCAGCAAGTCTTGGCATCGCTCATCCGTTTTTGGCGGATTCCTCGAAGCATGAAGAATAATAAATAATAACAACCCAAGTTGACGACAAGTATTCGTTTCCTCCGTCCATAAATCAGCATTTCTGGTTCCCAGCGGAATACAGTCTTGATCTTCCTACCTCATGTCCTGATAGTGGCACCGCAGCTCTCACTAAAGAGAAAGATGAACAACAGCTCCTTCGACATCCCGGACTCTACCGACTGGCTGAACACGCCTCTCTCACTCCTCACGCCCCTGGAATCCTCGCTTCGTTGCCAGGTTTGCAAGGATTTCTTCAACAATCCTGTCATCACGTCCTGCAGCCACACATTCTGCTCGCTATGTATCCGTCGCTGTCTAAGTACAGAAGGCAAATGCCCTGCGTGTCGCAGCTCCGATCAGGAATTGCGCTTACGTCGAAATTGGGCCGTCCAGGAAGTAGTGGACGCGTTTAGAAATGCCAGGCCCAGCGTGCTGGAACTTGCGAGGAGAGCTACCTCCACAGGGTCTGAGGAGGGAGATTATATGCTCGAGCAGCCTGCATTGAAAAAGCGGAAAGTGAACGACGGGCAGGACGCTGGGAGCCTTGACGAGGATACTACCGGAAGCTTCAAGGGCAGACAGACACGGTCACGCAGAAGTAGGGTAGATAGTCAGAGTCAAAGTCAGACGGAGGTTATTGAGGATAGTCAGGACGAGGATTTCGTTCCGGGTAAGTGTTTATCATGCTTCCTTTAATTTATATATGATAATATCTCTAATCATCTATACCTAGACGATGGCCTCGTTGCGTGTCCGATCTGTAACCGAAGAATGAAAAATGAGGCTGTATTTCAACATCTAGATGCTTGCACGGGGACTTCCGCAAATACTCCAAAGCAGACATCTTTCGGGTAGGCAAAATCAATGAAAGCACCCAGTACGCTATATTCTATAGCTGATGGATTATCTGATTCGATGTCTCTTCTAGATCTCTGAAGCCTATTTCACGCAATATGGCCAAACCCCCTGAACGACTTCCGGCCATGAACTATTCCATACTGAAAGACGGGGTACTCCGTAGAAAACTCAGAGACCTGGGTATACCGGATTGGGGCCCTCGGCCACTCCTACAAAGGCGCCACACCGAATGGATGAACTTGTGGAATGCAAATTGCGATTCAAAAACACCAAAGTCGAAAAAGGAACTGTTGCGGGAGCTTGACATTTGGGAGCGTACACAAGGTGGACAGGCCGCTGCGTCGCCCTCTGTAGGCTCGACAAATTCCGTTATGCGCAAGGATTTCGACGGAGCGGCCTGGTCGGCATCCCACGATTACGAATTCAAACGATTGATCGCGAGTGCCCGACAAAGGAGTGATGCCATGGTTCGGTCGACCATTCCCCAAGCTTCTGTTGCACAAGAGAAGCCAGAGGTACCGCCAAAATCCGAGGCGTTTCATGACTCACCCACCGCCGCAGACGATGTCCAGAAGCCAGCACAGCTACCTGTAAGACAAATGGGTGTAAATGACGCCGAGGATGCAGTTCATGCATATCAGAATACCAGTGATACCCAGGCTATCAAAAATCCAGCTGAATAGTTATTCATCCATACATGCACGCGATCTTTCGCATAGTAAGCGTATATGCGCCGACTTAATGGTGCAACTCGGACATATTTCGTCTCATTTTGCTGGTAGTGGGCGGCCCTTGGTTGCTTCCGAGCTTTCCTCGATCGACATGTGGGAAAGCTTTCCGATGCTTTCAGCCAAATCGGATTCAACAGCCTCCTCTGCTTCTGTCTTTCGCCCAGCCTCTTTCGCGGCCTTGTCGAGATCTGCGAGCCTCTTCAAAGTATCCTCTACTTCTCTATCCTCCTTCGCTTGCCGTTCCGCATCCTCCATAGCTTCGAGCTCCTCATCGATCTCATCTTCATCGACTGTAAGGGCGGTCTCATTGATGATATTTCCTATTTCGTCCGTCTTGGACATCTCTTCCCGCAAGTCGTCGACCACATTCTCCACTCTCTCAGGTCCGCCAATTTTAGCGTGTAGCGTACGGAGGGCATTTACGCCTGCTTCCATTGCCTGAACGACCTCGACTTGACCCGCGGCGCGCTCGATTGATATATATACTTCTTCAAGCTGTGCCAGGGTATCTAGTTTCTGCTTCAAATTGTGCTCAGCGAGCTTTTTGGAACGTAGAGCTGCAAGCGCTGATATCCGATTTTTGTTATTCAGAGCTGCCTTTGCCGTCGCAGTCAGCTCAGCTATTTTATTTCCCAGCCCCTCGGCCTGTTTTGATATAGTTGATATCAATGTTTTCAATGATGAGACGGTGGTGTCCTGTTGGGTTATTGTGGGGCTATCATTTTGACTTCTGAATCTTATTGTCTGGTATATAGTCAGCAGCTTTTTGAATCCGCCAGAATACCGCAGTACATACCTGACCATCATATGCAATCGCGCCGGTGTCACGAGATAAATATAGCAGGAGAACATCGAAATCAGTCGGAGATAGTTGGGTACTTTGGTTCAAAATCGACGCATATTCAGCTACGAAGCTTTCTTTGGAGTATACACGATCGGTTAAAGCTGGGCTATGCTTCGCAGACTGTGTAATCACCAGATTTGCTGTCTCCTATACCACATTAGTCAGTATGTATACATATAACCAAGCCAGATGGTACAATGGGAAAGTTCCCTACCTTTAAATTCTCGACCAAAACCAGTTCCTGTGCCGGCAATTCCGGTAACGAGTCGGGAGTATCTGACCCTACCACGAATCCTCTCAGCTGCTTCATGCCCCAGCTCATAATATTCCACGGACCCAGTGCCGCAGTATCAATGATGGTCCAGCTCTTTTTCCGCAAACTACCTGCAGTGGTTCTGTATAGTTGCAAGGGAATCATGGTGCGTTTCCGAATTGCCTCATCCTGTACAAAGTTATCAAGAAGTTAGCCCGAGCATATAGCAACAACCCAATCCTCGGCTGTAGATACCGTATAGGGGAAAGCCTACAATTACTGCAGTAAGGGCTACTGGCCGGCCAAATTCAGGTAGCTCCAAATCCCCCAGTAGATAGTTGTCCACCCTTAGAACGAGGTGATCGCCTGTTCTCTGTTCTCCAGGTTTACTCTTCGTTATAGGAGGAGCGGACCCTAGCGGCGTGCCACCTGGTGCATATGAAGGAGAGATACAACCCGCTCTTGCAGCGCTTGTTAGCGCATGTTCCCATGCAGCGACGTTAACCGCGTATCCATCTGGATTTGTCCTTTTCTGTATAGTGAAATCGGAATAGAGGGACGGGAGACGGTTCCTGTAAAAGGGGCCAAGTGATTAGACCCATTTGATGAGCTTTGTGATTCATCTCCTAATGTGCATCATGGAGCGGCAGGGGTAGATATACAATACTGGGGATGGGGAATGGCCACTCACTTCCTGAAAGCATCCTCGTGCTGGAGGATGTAGTTCAAAAGATCGCTCATCTTTGACCGTCTTTGCTTATTAATTTTGAAAACAAGAATCGGATACAGAGGTCTTTCATTTGTTGCATAAAGTCAGGATCTTTCCTTTTTCAAGGACCACCAAAATGTGTATATGTTGACGTTAGAACCTCTGTGCTTGACCATGATTGTCTGGTTGCCGCAGAAGATAGAACAGATCAACAATGCTCTGATAAGACACTTCCATAACGATCACGTGATCAACAATGTACAGCTACGTGGTGAAAAGGGTCAGCGAGGGCGGACCTATGCGGCAGAATCCCACGTGATCCAACATTATTATTACTAGGTAGCTATTATCCGTACAACGTATGGTATATGCCAAATCCCCGGGCGAGTCGAGGGTAATGAGCTGTTTTCATCCACACGATATATTGCAACCAGGGAGTTGTGAAATATAAGACAGAAGATATCCGATGCCTCCAGCCCGTGGGAAGACTCAAACAAGTCATCCAAGCACCCGATTTCTATAATGTATATGCCTCTCATGCGCCCAAGTGTACTATTATCCCATATGTGCTTAAGCTCGTTCAAAGTCGTCATGCGGAGTTTCGTCATTATCCCTTGCCAACTGAGCTGAACCGGTAGACCCAGGGTCCAGAGAAGTAGGCAGTTCCATCAGTGACTTACGATTTCTGCGCTTGTCTAACTTCTCGCTTGTCTCTTCCGTTTCCAATGTCATACTTGCCATTGCAGTGTCGTCTCGGGTATCGAAACCCTTGGCCTCGAGAGATCCCACCTTTGCCGCATGTCTCAAATTATCAATGAATGATTGTATCTCTGGTATGGGGAATATGCCATCATTCTCAAGGACATCAGCATAAAGTCGTTCGGCCTCTTCCAAGCATGAGGAGGCTAGTGTTGGCTTCCCATATTTGAGCCAGAGGTCGGCGGCGAGAATACTCCACATTCCCGCTTTCCTGTGACGAGCGCCCCATTTGGTCCCAGCTGCCTCGGTTTTCGCGGCATAGCAAGCAGATACTCTTTCACTGAAGAGAATTTGCCCAACAGAGCCAACCAAACCAAAGTCCATAACCCGCATAGCCCATTTAGCTGCACTTTCAGTTGCTGAGCCCCCACGAGATCGAAGCAGCTCGACAGCCAGAGTAAGACATCGTAAAGCATCGATGGCATCAGAGCACCTTGTAAGGTATGAATAGCACGCAGTGTCAAATGCCTGGTCGATAGCTTCGAGTTTGATCTTCGTAGATGCTGCAAGTGGATTAAGCAGCACGCTTACTGCGTACATCTCATGGGCTCCGGCGTGATACTTCCAAGCCTTATCGTTATTGTAGTCTGAACGGAGAAGTTCGTAAGTAGACGCAGATAGCTTCCAGTCGCGAAGCATGAAAGCGAAATCAGCCATCTTTCGCAAGATTGCTTCAGAAGCATCTGGTCTATAAAATCCCCGGCTGATATCGTAATTTCCACTGATTCCACCAACACCAGATCCAACATTCCCGGATCTGGAGCTGGAACCGAAGCCAGTCCACCTTCGGGATATTGACATGAAACGGCCACTGAGGCCACGTCTTCGAGATGCCACCTGATCATTCCAAACGGCTACCCTGTTCTCCATATAAGGGATTACAGACTGTGCGACTAGTTCCCGGACAAGTGCCTTTATGGCCATGACGTCGGATTCGAATAAATAGGGAGTATCCTCAGTGCCAAGGTCTACTAATGTTTCTGATGGTTCCTGTTAGCATGGTTCAACCAGCTAGGGGATAATAACGCACCCGCTTCGCCCACCCTTGAGAGGTGCTCTGATGGTGACAACCACTCGCATGGGGGTGCTTGGACACTGTCATCATCCGTTACGACACATTGATTGCTTCGAAGCCTGAGAAGGTGACAGTGCAGCCCAAAGTGACGTTTCATCTGGTCATAAAGTCTAGTAGATTCGGCTATATCATCCTGGTCTTCATCATGGACCAATACATAATATCGGAGGAATTCTGGATGAACCCATTCAGGTTGTCGTTTAGCCCCACTACTCGTATCAGCGTAAAGCTGTCTTAGTGATTCCAGAGGGGCGGTGTTTCGCGAGCTAATGGCAATAATGCACGCCACGGGATGGCCAAATGTTTCATGGGGTGTAGGTGATCCTGCGGACAGAAGTTGACGTAAAAATAATTTATACAACGGAGATGCAGTGGGAAAGTTGGCAATCGGTAGGTCGCTTGCATGAAGAAATCGGCCAATCGAATCTTCTGGGGAGTTAAGTTGTCTTTCAAGAACCTCCTCCGCTTGGGATAGAGCAGAATCAAATTCCTTATTTGAAGCATGTGAAGAGCGATTGCGCCCTGCTGTAAGCTCGACAAATCGCACTCCATAATCCTCCCAGCCGCGGCTTGACCCCACGCTGTCCCTGATCACAACCTTGCCGGATACATTTTCCCCAAAGGGTCGAATTAGCTCCCAAAAGCCGCCTTTGAACCCCTTCTGCTTCACCAATTCATCAGTGTCTGCAGATGCGTAAACCCCGATGGTAGGCGAGAACGAGCGTATGATTAGAGATCTTATATCTTCGGACCCATCAAAACGTGCTTCCAGCGGCGAACCCAGTGACGATCTTGCCAACTGTGGTGTTGACCTAACGGTTCGAGAATTCGGTGAGGCAGATCTGATCGGTAACTCGGAAGTAGTGGCAGCGGAGAGAGGTCGGGGAGGAGAAGGGCTAATCCGCGATGCATCCAGGCTGGAGTCTAAGGATGGAGTCGACTCATGCTGGATCGAGAACCTCGCCTTCGATGTGGAAATCGGGACCCCTGGCGAAAAGGACGGCGGAGGCTTGACCGGAGTAGCATCTCCGGGCGATGTCATGGACACCTGTTGCTCGCTGGATGTCTTGAGAATAAGCTGTGATACCGATGCCCATTTACTTAAGGCGCGAAATGGAGGTATAGGAGAGAGCGTCGAGGAAACGACGGAATATTATAGGAGGTGCTGTGACTATCCGTATGGAAGTTGTAGGCCCGAAACGTCAACGGGGGGAACTGTCAACGTCGGGATAGGAGATCAAGCATCAATGGCGTTAGGGAGGAAGAAACAAGTTAAAATAGACCGATCATCTGTCCAGGATAAAACCAACATATAAAGATCTCACTTGGGTTGTAAACGCGACCGGAACACCGAGGCCAATATGCCTATAGGGAGCAACTGAGATGTTAGGCTGGGCGAAACGGCGGCGATGCAGCAGGACAATGATGCCGAACACGTGAGCGCAAACGGTAGGCCCAAGTGCTTCTCTTCCACCAGAGTCCAATGTCGCGGGAATCGCTGTGCTGGTCAGCCTGAATAAATGGAGAAACGTGATTCTATAACATGCCTCCTCGGTGGCTGAAATAAATGTCGAGATTGCCGTCTCTGCGGTTATTAACTGAAGGCTGTTGTCACCTTCGCATCCTCGTCACACATCGTGGGTCTGCCGTTAGGACGTATTCTGACTATCGCGAACGAACAAAATACCTTACGCCTCGCAGAAAAATTTTCCCCGCTCCTCAGAGGACCTCTCGGTTACAGACGATCAGACGCATTCCGGAGTCCATGCGAGATCGCGAAATCGAAGACCATCTTCCCGAACCGTTGAGCAAGAGGCAGCGTACGTCGATGACAACCATCGAGGACGAGAAGGCTGAAGCAATGGCTCATAAAACAAAGGCCCAGATATTTGAGGGAAGCCCGCAGCCGTTAGCCAGCATAGTGCTCACACCCATTGAAAATACTCTAAGAACTCTCCTCCTCGATGTCGCCTACTACATCCGCGAACAGGAGATCGTGGCAGGTGGTGCAGAAGTCGTTGGTCATCCTGAAACAGTATTGCGATTTACAGGTGGCTGGGTGCGGGATAAACTCCTAGGAGTCGATAGCCATGACATTGACGTGGGAATCAACACTATGACTGGCTATCAGTTCGGTATGGCCTTGAAGCAGTACTTGGACAACCCGCAGAACCTAGAAAAGTACAGGAAGAATCACACCAATGGCGTTTTGAGAGATGAAATTGTTAGCCTTCACAAGATTGAGGCCAACCCCGAGAAGTCGAAGCATTTGGAAACAGTCACAACGAAGATCTTTGGTTTGGATGTCGACTTGGTCAATCTCCGTAAGGAGACTTATTCGGAGGATAGTCGAAATCCCCAGATGGAGTTTGGAACGGCGGTAGAAGATGCCCTGCGTCGCGATGCGACGGTTAATGCACTTTTTTATAACCTCAACGAATCCAAGCTGGAAGACCTGACTGGTCGAGGCTTAGAGGACATGAAAAACAAGCTTATTCGAACACCATTGGAGCCATATCAGACCTTCAAAGATGACCCGTTACGAGTCCTACGTCTGATCCGGTTTGCCAGTCGACTAGGATACCGTATCGATGAGAATACTGTAAAGGCAATGCAAAATAGGGACATCAGTGCTGCTCTCAAGCTTAAGATCAGCAAGGAACGAGTGGGTGCGGAAATAGAAAAGATGCTTCGAGGTACGTTGCCATTAGTGCTATATGAATGGTCACCTTACAGAGCAACAGGTCCCGATCCCCGTGGTGCATTGCATATTATCGATCGTTTAGGGCTGTATCCCACTGTTTTTGCCAATCACCAGGACAGCGTGAGTGTCGATACATCGTCATGGTCCCTTGCCTACGATTCCTTGGAGAAACTTCTGCATGCCAAAGCTGGAGATAAAGAGAATTCAGGAGCCGTTGTCGAACACGTACGCAATAAACTCATACGCAACGCAGACGAGGCTTACTATGCATGGGTCATAGCTATGTTTGCCCCATGGACTACCGTCCCAGGTCGTATAGCTAAAGGCCCCAAGGCAAAGCCGCTTCCTCCACGGGCCGCCGAAGTTGCGAGAGACAGTCTGCGCTCGGATAATAGAACTACGACTTTATTAAGCATCGCCTCGAATAACTTCGAAGACATAATTAGCATAAAATCGTCTCTCCTGGACAATAGCATAAGCGGAATATCTGCGGAAGTTCGACAGAAGATCGGGCTGCGGATTAGGTCATGGAAGAAAGATTATAGGCTCTGCATGGTCCTCGCCATCCTACAGGAGATTATGAGAGGAGAGAATTTCTTGCAAGGTAAGTGTGATCCTCTCTCTGTATCAAGGAAGGTACTTATTCTCCTGTAACTGGCAGTACTTCAAACATATGACAAATTTCTTGCATACATGGTCAAGAATGACCTTGAAGATGTCAATGAGATGAAACCAATAGTAAATGGAAGCGAGATTAGCGAGGCGCTGGGCGTGAAGTCAGGGCCGTGGATGAGCAAGGCACTGGACATAGTCATTAAATGGCAACTTCTGCACCCGGACATTACTGAGAAGGAGAAAGCGTTGCAGGAATTGTCTAGTAGACGAGCAGAGCTGGGACTCACCCCGAAAGAGTGAAGATTCATGAGTAGAAAAAATTGACGGTTCGGTGGAAGAACCTCGACCAGAAAATATAACTACGCGTCAACGTCTTAAAAGTTTCCACAACTTCTGTAAAAACCGTCGCTTCATCAACTCTTCCATGTAACAAGACTGGCATCTAAATAAGCTCGGGTTAGCATCTTCGCAGGTGTGATTCACCTTTAACCATTATCATTGTTATTATTATTATCGTCGCCTGCCATGGGAGACCTGCGCAGAGCGGCACGTGAGCATTTGAAACGACCGGATCTCGACGCAAATCCAGAATTCGATCCAACGGACATTGCAATACCAGGAGGACTGGATCTACTACGTCAAGAGCTATCATCAAAGGGAAACACAAATCACTTAGAGGTGAGATGCTGAGTTTAAAGCATGCTGGTGGCTTGTATTGACACTTAACGGCTCATAGACATGCGAAAACCTCCTTGTTGTCCAGGGATATCTCAAGGCCTGGGGGTCGAGATCCTTATCAGAGGACGACAAGAATGCCGCAAATGACCTGTATGATTGGGCAGCTGCCATTGCTCTTCCATCCTCTTTATTTGCGGAGTCAGAGAGTTTGTCAGGTAGGTGTATGCTCTAAGTCGAGTGCGGATTACTGACTCGACATTAGAAAAAATCGATATAATAAGGGACAGTCGATTTAGGTTAACTCTTGCGATATCGGTTCTCTCATATCTAACAGGTCTCTTGCCAATACAGAGGGCGTTTAACGCCCCGGACATTATCGTTGCGTTGGCGAGCTTTACCTCTGAAAAAGACGCCTGGGTCACCAAGGAAAGCTTCGCAAAGTCCACTACGGTGCTCCAAGCATACATTACGGAAAGGAGATTAGAAAATGATCCTTCGCTTTGGTCCATGATTGAGTATATCCTCAAGAACAGGATAAAACCCCTCTTCAGTAAAACGAGGAATCCTGCTATCACCGCTGCTGGCCGAAAGAACTTCCATCCTATTCCTCTACCCCGATTCGATATGAGTGTGTTAGATCCAGAGACCAAACCATGGAAGGTCAGTGATGTATATGCAACGACAGTGTTTTCCTGGATTATCATGCAGTATCTGGTATGTCCCATGATTTCCTGATCCCTGTATTCAAAATCTCGTATTGACAAGTTCAAAAGCCGACGGATCGGGATCATCTGGAGGCGCATTTCCCACTCCTAGTTCCACCAATTCTGGCTCTCATCGATGATGAAAGCCTACCTTTCAAGGCGCACGGCTGCAGCCTTCTTTCGCAATTTCTCATTCCCATCCGGGAAAGTGGATCTGATATCCTCCGGCGCTCGAATCTGTCATCTGTCTTCGAAGAGGCAGTGACTCCATGTCTTCTTTCTCTCCCGACTATAACTCCGGAGGATGACTCTCTCCAGCTCCTAGGAGTCGCATACCCTGCTCTTCTGTCTCTCTTGAAGACAAGCTACGGATATCCTTCTTATAAACTGCCACATCCAAGTTCTCGACACCAGCAGCTATCAAAGGACAAGCAGAAGTACACAGACAGCGTGACAAAGGTCCTACGGTTCAATCTCATCCCATCATTCCACCACATCAGCTCCACAAATCCCGCATCCGTCTCATCTTTCGCATCATTCCCATTCCCACGACTGTCTGCCTTCTTGGTAGAGCAGATAACTATAGCAGTCAATGAACTTCAAATCCACACAACAAAATACCTCCAGGAACTCATTCCACTGCTTTACAGTACGCTTTCCAGTCCATTCGGAACCGCTTACCCGCTTCTTCTCCTTGCAGCCACAACAGCTACATGTGCAGTGATTCTCAATGCTCATCCTCGTGTATGGCGTTGGCGTGGAGAGCTTCTGGGTGGAGCGTGCTCGTGCTGGCTCCAAGTGTCTGAGGAGGAGAAGCGGATCGCTGAACAGGCTGCAAGGGGGGAAGAGGCCCAACCAGACCGTTCAGGTAGCCAGGGCTTGGTCAAATTGAGAATGCAGCTCAGGAGTCTTGTCTACTTGTTGAAGTTTACGCTGTTGAACCCTATTCCTGTTCAGGGCCAGCTTGATGCAGGGCAATTGGATGCAAAGGAGAAGATTCAGAAGGAGTTACAGGAGCTTGTTCATGCGGATGATGATTTGAGGGATCTCCTTTTTTTCGAGATTGGTCCCGATGATGCTAATAAGTTCTTCTAAATTTATTTCTTCCCACAGGGAGAGCTAGGAGGTATAAGTAATATTTGGTGTTGACCCCTGGTCGCATAAATCGCTTAATTAGCTGGTTTAGTAGTTGGTGCTCGATCCCTGAGTCCTCTGTTAACCCGAGGGGCATCCTAGACGCTGTGCAGGCATCATGGCATCCTCCTAGGTTCGTCTCAAAGTCGTTGAAAGTCTGCCTTGGTCGGCGACGGAATAAGCTCTGCCACGAATATATTCCGTTTGGTAGTGAATCCCCCCCGCGCTCATAAATCCATCCAGAAGCTTTTAAGTCCAACCTGACTGTGGACACCGAGGACCACGCAATATTCATCTTGTCGCATATGGAAGACACGAAACAGCGGATCTTTTAGCACCATCGGCGACACAACATGGCCTGCTGTGCCGTAGCAGCATATATCATCTTCCGCATCATCGATACCTGTGAGAAATTTGACGCTCAGGTACGATCAATATGGTCCTTGGGCCTTGCGTCTCGTCCCAACCGATCAAGGAAAGGAGAGAAACAGACATTGCCAGACCATGACAGCCAGATCGCGACTCTTCTACTGTCTGTCCAGGGGATGACTTGCAGTGCCTGCACATCGGCCATCGAAACAGCTGTCGAGAGCTTGAAAGGCGTGCACCGCGTGTCGGTTTCCCTTGCTCTCTCGCGCGTGACGGTGCTTTACGATAATTACTGGATTGGCCGATGCGACATCACTGCAGCCATCGAAGGTGCAGGCTACGACGTTGTAGATGACGATCGAACGTCCCCACCACGAGCTCACGCACCTCTGCGCGCCAAATTTCGTCAAGCGGCAATCGCCTCAGCCATGGTCGGCGCCCGTCATATTCTTGCCCCATTGGGGGACAGAACCCTATCATTCCCACAGCTTATACAGCTGGTTGAGATCAGCCTGGGGTGCTACGTGCAGCTCTACGACGCTCGTCTCACCCACAAGAATGGCTGGTCCCGAAATGGCCAGTTCAGGCCGGCACTGAACATGGATAGTCTCATTAGTTTCTCCATCATCCTGTCACTAGGTGTTTCCTTCTTTAATCTGGCTGTCTTACCGGTCGATCAAGCCCGGACTTACTATTGTCTCTGGCTCATTCCTCACCACAGTCATCATGGCGGGCGGTATCTCGATGCATTCCTCAAGAGAAGAGGGGCGAATAACCTTGCAAATCTGTACAGGTTACAGGTAGAGACTGCCGGCGTTGAGGCTTCTGCGGGAGAAGTAGATTCTCCCCTATGCCTTAGGCGAGCACAGTGGCTGACATGAGATGTAATAGGCCCGAAAAGTGAACGAGTTGGCAGCAGGGGACGAGACGCTGACTGCGGTGGTACTTCGGAGACAGAATGACTCGGCCCTCGAGCGCTTGATCGCCAGCGTCTCGTCTGCAGTCACGGATCGAGTGTTTCCAACTTACGTTCGCTCTGCGATGCAGTACTTTGCCCCAGCAATGATCGCCATTGCATGCCCCTCCTTCTGCTGTACCCTGATCTGGAACAATGATGACGCCGCTATACTGGGACTATCAATCGCGCGTGCGAGAGAGCGGTCGCCGTCCTTGTGGCAGCCTGTCCATCTGCACTAGGGTTGGCTGTTCCGTCAACGGTTATGGCTGCCGTCGGTGGGTTCCCCAACCTGCATAGCATACAATGTCTCGCTAACCACAGTTCAGATTCTGGATTAGCTGGAGGGTTTATTATTAAGGGGGATTTGAGACCATGGAAACAATGTCCCAGATTACTCATGTCGTGCTGGACAAGACTGGCACCTTGACGAAGGGACAACTTTCCATATCCAGGCTCAGACTTTTAGATCCTTTGCACAAAATGACCACAGATCACCTCGTTTGGTGTGCCGCGGAGAGAGATTCGCACCTATCGCATCCCGTAGGACGGGCTGTGTTTCAATGGGCATCCTCGCAGCTAGATGGTGAGCACAAGCAGCTCTAGAGTAGGTTCAGGACAGAGAACATACCCAACAGCCCCGGAAGTGGAATTTCTTGTAAACTGCAGCTCTTTGGGGAAGACGACTGGCATGAAGTGCATATAGGAACCAGAGAATATGTGACCCAATATGCCGATTCAGCAGACAGGGGTCGTGAACTGGCTCTTCAAGAACACACGCAAACCGTTCATTTCGCCATCGACGACAGCTATATTGGACTATTGTGTATTGAGGACAGCATCTGGTCTGAGTCCGCCAACCTCGTGCGCCAGTTGCAGCGCCAAGGGCTCATGGTCTCGATTCTCACCGGGGACGAGGAATGAGAGGCAAGTCGCGTGTCAGCAGCCCTGGGAGTCCAGCATCTTACGGCCGGGGCTCTCCCTGATGAGAAGAAACGTGTGATTCAGTCCTTACAAGCCGAGGGCGAGATAGTGGCAATGGTAGGGGATGGATGGAACGATCTTCCTGCTCAGGCGGTAGCAGATGTTGGCGTTCAACTCTCACTTCCTCATACTAGCTCTGTGGATATGGCGGATATGGTCATCATGTCTCCCGACTTGCTGCATCTCCCTCAGACGCTGGGGGTTGTCCGTCGGGCTCTAGCGTGGTCCCAGACGCTGGTGCGTGCAACAATCTTCTACAATGTATCTGTCGTTACTGTTGCGGCTGGATTGACCGCGCCCTGGGGTATTACAATTACCCACCTACTTCTGTGGCCCTAATGTCTTTTTTCCAGTATTTTGGTCCTCAGCCCGGCTCTGCTTCTATGATGGTCATTCGTGACATCTAGAGTATCATCCTAGTTACCCATGTGAACTACTTGAACTACTCACAATTATGGTTAGAACCTATTACAGAAAGTCTGGAAAGAATCTATCAGAATTTACATAGTACAAATCAAGAAGTTACTCTATTCTCCTTACTATCTCTTCTTCCGCTTTTCCCGGCTTAATTGGAGGAAGAATAAACATGCGAACAGATACATTCAAGACATATAGGGGTATCTATCTACATTCCAAACAAGAATGGACTGCACATGAACATCACGAGTCAATCCACTGTTTAAACAAACTCTTCCCCCTCAACCATTGCCGATAGCGTTTATACCGTTTCTTAGAGTAATCCTCTGCGACAACCGTCAGACCTTCATCGGAAACATTCAAGAACTCGATATAGTCCTCTACGTTCTCCTCGGCCGTCAACTCGAGACTGTTCTCCTGGACTTTGCAGCTGTTGAGGTATTCGAGAAGATCGAGATTGGAGCCTTGCTCGCGGATGGCCGCGGCGGTAATTTCGTCCTCAGACGTAACGACCAGCGGAACCTTGAGAGGATGGTTGACGTAGCGTTCATACTCCTCTGCCTCGGCAGCGGTGACGGATGGGTTAAGAGAGTCAGCCACCAGTTGACCGAGAGCCCATTGAGCGAGCTGGGCTTTACTCAGTACTTTTGTTTCTGCAGGTGAATGCATCAAAGGTATCTTATCATTTCCCTGTTCTGTCTTTCCAGATATCGCCGTTTCTTTCCTGATACCCGCTGGTGGTGGGAGATTAAGCCAGCCATTTTTTGTCCGATTCGGCATTTCTGGTGCGGCGGGTGGAGCATAAATAGACGTAGGAGCCTCCTGCCGTGAGCTGTTATAGTGATAACTCATGCTATCAGGCGGTTCTTGGATCTTGACGCTTCGAGGGTGATGTCGTTCTCGGCTTACGTTTTCGTGCTGAACCCGAGGGACGAACGGACTAAAGTCATATAGCCCGCCGTGGGTTGGGAGGTATTGGAGGGTTGAGTTCATCTTGAACGAGAAGACCTTGGAAAAGGATGTCACGGCCAACGGTCTGTAATATTCAAGCCAGTAGTCGTCGATATGAGATAAAGGTTCCTTTGGATATTGAGGCCGTGGGGGCATCTCTCTCTCCCTCAAATATTCCGGCGTATACCAACGTATGTAGTTGGGCTTCTTCATCTTAGCCCAATGTCTGGGATTGGCGTGATGGAGGTAATAGTCCGTGGAGAGATCCCAGAGCATAGGCTGTCCAAGAGAGAAAATATAATTACCAAGAAATAGATTGTATGCCTCTTGACGCTGAGCATCAAGAAAGGAGTTGTTGTAATATCGCTTGAAGCTCTCCACCATATCTCTCGATTGGCTACTCCACTGATTGATTTTGCGGTATGTCTCCATGGTATTGACAAGGTGTGAACCTCCGTACTGAATGGCAATCGAATCTCCGTGGTCGTGCCACATATTCGTAAATAGATTAACGGCATCACTATCATATTCGACTGTTGTTCCATCGATGATGCCCAGAGCGTGAAGCTGATGGCCGAGAGCACGTTTTCCAATCACGAATTGTGCAGCATTGGTACGATCAAGGCAGTCGATACAATTAGTTCTCGCAACACCGTTCTGCAGTTGTAAGCCGGACGCTGCATCGTCGCCATTTCTAAATAAGCCAGTCTTTGGAATGATCTCGCCTGCAATATTTTCCAGCGTCCCAATCACATCCTGATCCCGGCTTTTAGATGCTCGACTCATATCCCAGGACTTGTAGATAATCTTCTTGTCCTCCGGTAGAAATTGATTAAGATAATTGACAGCATTGGTAAACTCTTTCAACAATTTTGACTCACGCGGCGTTCGCTCTCTCACCTTGATCAGATTCAACACATAGATTGGTGCACCATACCTCTCGAACAAATTGTCAAAGTGCAGTGCTGCCGCAGAATAAAACGGATCGATCAAGTTCAACTCAATGTCCGGCTTGGGAGTGACACCAGTGTTTTCCTGAGTCCAATACAAAGGAATGCTCCCGCGATGTTGTACATATGATGTGTAACGAGGATTGGCATAAAGACTTGGACCGGCAGAATGGAACGAGGTCGTCATCATTTCCGAGACGATCTGCTCAGTCTCGACATCGTTGGCAACATATCCAAGGTCATTTGCGCCTCGTTTTAAAAATCGTGCACCGGCGAAAAACCGAGACCGTCGAGCTATGATGGTAATATATACCAATCTCCCATACACGCAAATGTTGGCCTGGTCAACATAGCCGTGTATGATAGGAAGACACCAGTCGTAGGGATTCTTTAATTTGGCAACGGCAGGGTCCAAAAGATGGTGATTCCATATGAACATCGTGTTATAGTCCTCTTTGAGAGGTTTTCGAATCCCGTCCTGGTAAGCCTTGCGCTCCCGGCAAATATTATGCTGGAGCGTACGCGTGATGTCGTAGGCATAGCTGAAATAGAACGACCGCGACAGGTCGAGGTTGTTGAGAATAGCGATATACCTCGCTTCCTCTGGGTTCTTCTCTGATTGCTTAGTTCGGGAGGACGCGGAGGGCGTCAACGAGATCAGTTCTGTTCCATCAATCTGATAGACATAATGGCCCCCGAGCAGGGCCACCTGGCTCCTTTTCGTAACGAGCAACATGTAGTATGCACCGGTGAAGCGGATGAAACCAAGCAAGGCCCAGGCACTGCACCTGAGCGTCAGCCCCCCTGAGCTCTTGTTCCCGTCATCAATAGCATCCAGCAACTGACTCATCTCCCCTTTTGTGTAAACAATACCATCCTCGGTGATATTTAATTCGTCAGCTTCCGAAGTGCGATCGATCTTCAAAATCCTGAACTGCGTATCCGACATGTCCGTGCCAACAATATAAAATCGAGTCGCGGTCTCGTACAATGACAGCTTGTGTATGCGTCTGAAACCGTCTTCCCAGTCATGATCGAGATACGCCCGTGGATCTTTCCGTGCTGATGTTGACCATGCATCACGTTCGAAGGATGTCGCAACACGTGGATCTTCGTCTTCCCCATCATCGTCACTAATGTGAACCCGTGGGGAGAGGGGCACACTATACGGCGATCGAGGGAATGCTGCAGTTGGTGTAGCGGATTCGAAGACTTTTTGTTGCTCGCTAACTTCTGGCGGGATTGTATCCGATTGCTCGGTGGCTGTGCCATTACCGATCGCTGAAGGGAGCTGCTCTGAGCTTTCAACCGTTAGATTTGGCGATGGTCTGGAAATTCCACGATCGGAGACTGAAGCGGTTCTGGATGAGCCTTGATCACCAGAGACTGTTTCTTCTGGAGCCTCTCGGGGATGCAACACATTGCCAGAGCTCTCCATTGCGCGCAAACAGCAGTATCAAGCGCGCTGGTTTGAGCAAGATTATGTTGTCCGGATGCTAGATCCAGGAGCATGCGCCTCGCATTGGCAGCTACTCCATTTCTCTCTGGCTAATACTCCGTAGTTGTCGAGATGTTGTTGGCAGGCGAATGGAGGCAGAGGGACAAGTTGGATTGCCGCTGCGCAGATAAGGCGAAATGACGTAGTGGTGCTTGAAAAGCACCACTAAGTATATCTGGTCGCAGGTGAGGAGCTGCAAGATAGATGAATTAACCACTTGACTTCTGTTCCGTCTGGGGAGTGTTTATGGTAGTTGCTGACTCTGTATTCAGATTGAATGCTATGTTGACAGCCTGAGGCAGAAATCGACACAAAGTAACGTAACGTAACTCCGACAACGTCGGTTTTCCCGCGTCTCCACGGATTGTCAGGTATTACTCACACTGTGCTTATGTCTTTTATTCAGAAAAGCGAAGAGGTTCAATACATTCCAAATGCGGCTCGATGCTTGAGAAAGACTTGTGACCATCTGCCTGAATCCCAGTCAGTGCATCGGCACAACACCGTGGCTTATCCCGCTTAGAACCTGATGGAAACCGGGATGAATCACCGCTACACCATGTATATCACTTGACTGTGCCTATTTAGTGAAAAAAGGAAACCGTGGCTTCCTTTTGATCTAGCCGTTGCCAGCCTTTCACCTGCTCGAACGTGCAAGTCGGTTGGGCTGCCATTCGAAATCTTAGCAGCATCTGCCTACCTGCGCATATTACCGTTATTTGTCACTTCGATCTTGCAGGACTTGTTTGTGTCCTCTAAATTGAGCTTTTCTAAATTCTCTACTCCAGTTGTCTTCAGGATGTCTATGTTTCGGCCAGCTGCAGAGATTTCGTCGTCCGATTCTCAGTCCAGCGATGCGGAGGACGACTATATTGAGTTTGAGGCGTCAACTGACAAGGCCGAACATGGCAGCCGGAGCTCTGGACGGGCGAAAGAGGAAGTTAAAAGCCTATTTACCGTTGATTCGGACCAGGGAAATGCTAGTGATGTCTCTCAGTATAGTCTTCCGGACGTCAAGGATATGCTGGATGTGGACGTCGCGGGCCATACTAACATGATGACTTCTGCCTTACTGGAGTTCTACTGCCTCAGCCGAGCTGCAGATATTCTCAATTCCCAGAAGGGATCGCACAAACGATATACCCGTGATTCCCCCGAGGTCCAATATCTCGGAAAGAAGATGTACGCGTACAAATGCCAATTTTTGTCATCTCACGGCCTGTTAGCCGGCGGAGTTGAAAAGGAAGAACTAGGTAAAACCAGACAATACTATCGAGATAACCTGGATTTACTCGGAGTTGCTGCCCTTGAAAAAATGGATCCCAATGATTTTCAGCGACAGCAGTCATCAATTGCATCACCTAGAGATCTGGAGAAGATCTCCAAGACCTTCAGCGGCAAACAGCTTCTTACGGATCAGGAATCTGCCGGTTCCCCGCGGATTGAAACGGGAAATTGGAGTCTAGGAAATCAATTTTTCGACAATGACAAAACTCGTGCGCTGGAGGATATTCAACTCGACATGGGAGACTTGTTGGACCCGATGTTGTCTATTTTTCCAAGCTCTCCTGTCAGCTTCCCGCTATTTAGCCCAGAACAGCCTGGAAGCAAGACTTCTCGTTATGCAGTCGAGTTCTGTGAAGTGAAAATTCTCGGCCGCGGTTCATTCGGGGAGGTATACCACGTGAGAAATCACATTGATGGGCAGGATTACGCTGTTAAGAAAATCCCCCTTAGTCATAAGCGACTCGAACAACTACGGTCCGGGGGACGAGATCAACTTGAGAAGATCATGCGAGAAATCCGAACCCTTGCCCGACTTGAGCATACGAATGTTGTCAGGTACTATGGGGCATGGGTGGAACAGGCCGACACTCCTAGACATGCTGGCCGACAATCTCCCTTGAAGACCGGGAGTGAACATACTAAGAGTAATCTTATAAGTCAGGGGTCTACTATGGATGAGCAAAGTTTTGGTATTGTATTCGAGAATTCAGAGAAGAGTACTGCAGAATCTGATTCTGGGGAGTACAATGCGGATGGTTCCGACGTGTCACGGCTCTTGAGGAACCGCATACCAACAAAGGATACAGGATATGATGAGGATGTCGAGTCCATACCGCGTGATTTCGGTACTGTATCCCAGAGCCAACTGTCAACAATGGGTGCTACATATGACATCTTTACAGACGGATTAAGCCAGGAAGAAAGCAAGCTGCAGATTCAACGGAGTAACCGGCAGGGGCTACAGGCACCGGCTATCATCCTTCACATTCAGATGTCGGTACATCCTATATCCCTCAGTTCCTATTTGAATCCGCAGTCACCAGAAACCGATAGGCTATCTCATCGCCATTGTTTCCATCTAATACCATCTTTGAAACTGATGTTGGGCATTATCTCTGGAGTCGAATATCTCCATTCAAAAGGCATTGTCCACCGGGACTTAAAACCGGCGAATATTTTCCTTTCTTCTCCAGAGGATAAGTTACAAGAGTGTCCTACTTGTAAAATGGAGCGTGGCACGGGCACTCCGTATTGCCATCCTCGCATTGGAGACTTCGGTCTCGTCGCAGATATATCGCATTTCAATGACGGCGAAGCAGACAGTCGCCTGGTTCTCCACCAGAAGAGTCACCGTGCGGGTCATATTGTTGGAACAGAATTTTATCGCCCATGCGTCCACAGCGATAATGCATCCTTGTATTCAATAGACGAAAAGCTCGATGTATATGCGCTTGGCGTGATTCTCTTTGAACTCCTATATCGATTTGATACAAAAATGGAACGCCAGTTGGTTCTGGCACAGTTAACACGGGGTTCTAATAAGTACAATCACAGCTTCACCAGGCAGATGCCATGCTCTGGTGATTTCATGAAGAAGGTGGATTTGGGAACAATGATGTTGGAAGATGGTACTTCTGTGTCGGAATTCTTGATAGCATGTATCATGGGCATGCTCGAACCGAACCCTCAGCAGCGATGGTCTTGCCAGGGAGTCAAAGAGAGCTTGAAGAGACTGCTGGCAGCAGTGGCAGGTGCTTATGCGCAACAGCAGTAGGGAACTCTACAGCATTTGGGCGTTTGATTTCTTGTCAGAATTTAAACTGCGATGTACCTGCATATACCAATAAGGGAGTGATGCAATCGCTTGCCAATTATCATCCCCTTTGCTATCTGTGATTCCACGATAGTGACCTTGGGAGCATTTATACGACGGTTGTATTCTTTCCAACTGTCTCACGGAGACTGGTTGTCAGAATCTCTCGAAAGTCCTGCTCGGACAAGACAGATCGGTTCAGGTTATGTTACAACGGCTAGACATGAAGGTCGCAGAGAATATAGGCAAACAAAAGCAACTGGCAATGCATCCATTCCATCTTAAGCGAACAACACAGGCGTTGCTAAATATTGCGCGCTTGGGGATTAATTATCCAGCTATTTCATTATTGCAGCGTACTCCGTATATGCAGACGCATCGTCTTACTACCTTAGATATGAATTTCAATCCCACGTCTACCTCCAAATCAGATTAGCATGCAGATTGTTCCTCCATACGTGACTGGGCTGGTAGTATTAAGCTAGATTGCCCAGACAGCTAACCCCTTGGCTATCGATGACCGGCGCGACTTGGATGCTCTCGCAACTGAGCTGGTGGAAAGTCCACCTACTGGGTCCTCCCCATATATTCTTTAGGAATGGTCACTCATTCTCCATGAAAGAATATTGTGAGCTACAACACCAAATAGGCCAATCCCAACAGCAACGGAATGTACACCTTTGTCATTTCGAATGAGGATCCCGGTGTGTACAACTGGCTCAACGCGACTTCTCGCACACAGGGGTTGATTATGGGCCGCTGGCAGGGATTACCAACGAACAGCAACGACATAGATTCCGGAATCGAGGTGGTCTCAAGTGTAGTTAAGCTCGATGATCTGCGTGATGTTCTACCGGAGGAAACGGAATACGTCACCACTGAGCAGCATAAGCAGCAGCTTCAGGATCAAAAAGGGGTACAGTCGCATCCATTTCCAATAGTTAATATATATATTTAATTGGCATCGTCTTTATCTACGAATCTACAAACTAATTGTCCATTCCTCGCTGCTGGGTAATAGTAGCTGGATTTATTACTGTTTTCATATTTGGCCATGCAGGAGGCGTGTAAGGAGTGCATTCGGATTGGGAAATCTCCAATAAACCTAGTTTTTAATAACCCGCAAGATACCAAGTTGCTTAACATCTAGTACTCCGTATATTACTTCCGATGTTGTTCTGTTGAACGAATCTGTAGATGCTAAGCAGCTTCTTAATTTCCCGCACGCTAGATAAGCACGACACGTGACTGGAACGCGTGGTGCGTCACGTCGAAGGCGCGACAAGAACACGAACTCTTTGCGTATGATGCAGTTTCGAGTCCCATCACCCACAACACAGGGTAAGATATGCTCTACCTAAGCATATCCATTTTATCATACACATCGTTTCTATCATTGTTCTGAGTTACCCTCCCTTTTTGATTTTATGAATTGCAACTATGCCCGAAGCGATCTCTATGCCGCACAAGCGGGTTCTGGGTGATGTCACGAACAGTGCCCGCGTTGGATTGCAATCTGCCGAAGCAATCAAGAAACGAAAACTAGAAATAAATCAGCCGTCTTTTAGAAGTAGCCAGTCGAAAGCGTTTGGTTCGAGTCAGCCTCAAAAGAGTCAATTTGAAGAACAGGTGCTGGAAAAACTCACACAAGATATAAATGGGTTGAAAGAGAACAACTCGGAAAAGGACCAGCAATGGGACCGGCCGCCGGTGGCCAAATTCGATGAGAAGACAGAGAATATATGTTTTCAACAGATTGATGCGGAGGAAGGGACTGTGTCGGGAGGCCAGACCAGTGTCAAGCTTTTTGGCGTCACGGAGGTAAGTTTTGGGTTTCGATCCCTGCACACTCGTGGTGCAAGCTAGTTCTTTCTAACAGTTCATTTAGGCAGGAAATTCTGTCTTATTACATGTGACTGGCTTCCAACATTACCTGTACATCGCAGCCCCTGTGAACTTCACCAAAGCCGACTGCGAGCCCTACAAAGCCTTCCTGGAAACGAAGCTCGGCCAGTTTCAACCCATGATTCAGTCAGTACAAATAGTCATGAGGGAAAATTTCTACGGGTTTCAAGGGAACCAGAAAAGCTGGTATTTGAAGATAACGGTCAGGGAACCCAAGTCTATCAGCAGGCTACGGAATGCACTTGAAAGCGGTGGTTCGAGCCTAAACTACAAGGGCCTATGGGGTAATCCTGACAGTGGGATTCTCACCTTCGATAATATCCAGTACCTCCTGAGGTTTATGATCGATACTGGCATATCCGGTATGTCTTGGGTCGAGGCAAAAGCTGGGAAGTACCGTCTCCTCGAAGAACGAGATAAACAATCCCATTGTCAAATAGAAGCAATTATCGATTATCACGATTTGATTGCGCATGAACCGCACGGAGAGTGGCTCAAAATGGCCCCCCTTCGCATACTATCCTTTGACATTGAATGCGCTGGACGAAAGGGTATCTTTCCAGAGCCTAATCAGGACCCCGTTATCCAGATTGCGAACATTGTCACTCGATATGGTGAATCCAAGCCGTTCATTCGAAACGTATTTGTTTTAGATACGTGTAGTTTGATCGTCAACACGCAGATCCTGGAATTTGATAAAGAGGAGAAGATGCTCATGGCATGGAGAGATTTTCTGGAGAAAGTGGACCCGGATGTGATCATCGGTTATAACATTGCCAACTTCGATTTCCCATATCTCCTGGAACGAGCTAAACATCTCAAATGCACTGGGTTTCCTTATTGGACTAGGTTGAAGAATGTGCAGTCACAGGCAAAAGAGGCGAACTTCTCGAGCAAGCAGATGGGCAATCGCGAAACTAAAGCTACAAATACAGATGGCAGAATTCAGCTCGATCTTCTTCAGCTAGTCCAGAGAGACCACCATCTACGAAGTTATACTCTGAATTCAGTGTGTGCTGAATTTTTAGGCGAACAGAAGGAAGACGTCCACCACACAATGATCACTGAGTTATTTAATGGAACACCAGACTCAAGGCGACGTCTGGCTGTCTACTGCCTGAAGGATGCTTACCTACCACAGAGGCTTTTGGATAAGCTTATGTGCCTGGTCAACTACACCGAAATGGCGCGAGTTACTGGCGTCCCCTTCAACTATCTCCTTTCACGAGGCCAGCAGGTCAAGTTCATTAGTCAGCTTTTTCGCAAAGCTCTGGAGCAACAGCTTGTCATACCAAATATCAAGTCCCAGGATGAACAAGATTACGAAGGCGCTACAGTCATCGAACCGGTCCGCGGTTACTATGGTGTGCCAATAGCCACACTTGATTTTGCATCTCTTTACCCCTCTATCATCATGGCACACAACCTATGCTATACAACACTATTAAATAAAAATATCGTGGATAAAATGAATATGGTGAAGGACGAAGACTATATCGTCACACCGAATGGCGATATGTTTTGTACAGCCAAAGTTCGCAAAGGCCTTCTGTCTCAGATCCTTGAGGAACTCCTAGGCGCAAGAAAACGTGCGAAGAAAGACCTAGCTGTGGAAACGGATCCATTCAAGAAAGCAGTGCTGAATGGAAGACAGCTTGCCCTAAAGATTAGTGCGAACAGTGTGTACGGTCTGACCGGTGCGACAGTGGGGAAACTGCCCTGCTTAGCCATCGCAAGTAGCACAACCAGCTACGGACGACAGATGATTGAGAAAACCAAGCACGAAGTTGAGACGAGATACACCATCGCAAATGGTTATTCTCATGATGCCAAGGTTATATACGGTGACACTGACTCAGTGATGGTAAAATTCGGAGTTACTGAGCTGGAGGATGCTATGAAACTTGGTGAGGAGGCAGCTGAATATGTCTCGTCCAAGTTTATCAAGCCCATCAAGCTCGAATTCGAAAAAGTTTATTTTCCATATCTGCTAATTAACAAGAAGCGATACGCGGGCTTATATTGGACGAACACAAAGAAGCACGACAAGATGGATAGCAAGGGCATTGAAACAGTCCGCAGAGACAACTGTGTCCTCGTTCAGAATGTCATCGAAACCGTTTTGCACAAGATTTTGATTAACAGAGATCTTGATGCTGCCCAAAAGTAAGCCGTTTCCCGAACAGTCCTTCCTAAGTCTGCTAGTGACTAACGCGTTCTCTTTTGTGGCGTAGTTACGTTAAGGATATAATATCGGATCTTTTGCAAAACAAAATCGACATGTCAAAGCTTGTGATTACAAAGGCGCTTTCGAAGAATGATTATACCGCAAAGCAAGCGCATGTAGAATTAGCAGAACGCATGCGAAAGCGTGATGCTGGCTCAGCACCAACTCTTGGAGACCGTGTGGCATACGTCATGGTCAAGGGTGCTGGAGGTTCCAAGAACTATGAGCGATCAGAGGATCCCATCTATGTTCTCGAGCACAACATCCCAATTGATACAAAGTACTACTTGGATAATCAGCTTGCCAATCCCCTCGGCCGTATCTTTGAGCCTATTCTCGGGGAGAAGAAAGCACGGCAACTGCTTACAGGCGAACACACTCGTTCTATCTCGGTGGCAGCACCCACCTTAGGAGGGTTGATGAAATTTGCGAAGAAGACCCAGACCTGCATGGGTTGCAAGAAACCACTTTCTGGGAAGGATGAGAAGGCAGGAGCTGTCTGTGAATACTGCCGCCCTCGAATGGGCGAGCTTTACACCAAGACCCTGAATAAAGTGTCGGACCTCGAAGTTCGGTTCGGACGCCTGTGGACGCAATGCCAACGGTGCCAGGGCAGTCTACACTGTGAGGTTATCTGCTCTTCCAGGGACTGCCCTATTTTCTATATGCGAATGAAAGCCAAGAAGGACGTGGAGGATGCAGAGAAAGAACTGGCTCGTTTTGACTTCGATCCTGGCGCATGGTAGATATGACCGTGACATGCTGTGTTGGATGTAATTTCTATCTTGTATTACCATGCTTACGGCTTATCCATTGGCGCATTTGGGTGTCGAGAATGTTTTTGCCAATTGATCTGGAAGTACTGGGTTATTGAGAGTATTCTATTTTGTATTCTGGGTGTGAATCAGGAATCTTTCGCCTTTTTTTTATATTCAGAACAAGGATTTCTAAACACTATTACTTCTGCCATGCCAACGCTCTGTTACACCCGGGCTCTGCTCAGCTCCTACCAATAATACTACTAAGTGTTCTTAATAATACTTATGTAATATCTTTTTTGCAAGTACGTATTTTGATGTGAGACAAATTTATTATCGGGACCAGTAAACTCGTAGTCTCCCTTTGCAGTATAGGGTGAAAGATGGTCATCGTTCAGGAAGACTTGCTTCAGGAGTAATGCAATTTCAAAGGCTTCTCCGGGATAGACAAGCTATCAAAAGCCCCAGAGGCCTTCGTTTGAGTTGAGCGTGGAGGATAGTCCACTGATAAGAACTGTTTCTCTTAACAGAGCTTGCAAATGCGTCTCTACTCGCGAGCTTTTCCGGAATTGGAGAGGGATCAGGCAAGAGTCGCAGCAGCAAGAACCGCTCTGGAGAAAACCCAGCTACTCACAATCAAAGACCCCGTAGGCAGAGCATCCTTATTTCCCTCCAAATACTGAATCTGAATTCCAATTGACACAATTCTCCCTTTTTGACAGGGAACCGAGGCAATATAGTGACCCTATAGCCGGCGGCCATGGTAACAGAGGTAATTGCGAGTTATGACTCGATTGTGGTCGAAAATGGTATCTTGGCTAAAGCTCAATCCGTAACCGTAAAGTGTCCAGCGCAAGAGGAGCCTGAAAGTGCCATTTTTTCAAGAAGCTTGAGTGTGCAGCCGCATATGTGATAATACGCAAACAGGCCGCGATTGACGGATCTGGGAAATAGTAAGCCATGTCCAATAGCCTTTCCTAAATACATACTTTAACACCAGTAGTGGGCCTGAAAAATAATTCTAGGGACCCTTTGGTTTCGCTCTGTTCGGGGTTTCAAGTGTAATTTCCAACGCTGGTAGTAATGCTCCTCTGGTATGAATGTCTGCGAGAGACTTAAGGACCTTTGCAAACGGACTTTGTACTTAAAAATTTTTTCAGGAGGGTTGAGCAGATGGCTCGTGATGCACGCATCAAGTTGTCCAAAGTTCCCTTGCTCAACGAGGACGTCTGCATATTCGGCTACGACTGGGAAGAAATCACTATCGCCTCATGGAAATGCCCATGTCGATTCGGTCGAGCCAAGCGTTCCAGACCACTGTTTATATCCAGGGCCGCATCAGATCAAGATATACAGTGATATCTCCGTCGTTGTCGCGGGAGTTGATTCTCCAGTCATGGTCCTTGCCTTCAGTGATTTAATCCTCTGAACTCCGATCAGATAAGATACGGTTCTCGGAAAGCGGAGAAGCGCAGCCTTAGCGGCGAAGGACCTGCATAAACTTCCCACAACCTCACACAAGCCGACAGAGCAAGTTCGTCTCCAGCCATGATGCCCGGCGCAGACAGCCAACCAATGAATCCTACTGTGGAAGATGTGCAAGATGAATCTGAAATCAAGACCTATCCCCGTCCTACGCCCGATAGATCGCATTCATGGCACGAGGTAAGCTTTTTGGAGAGAAATACAAAATCTATTTATCTAACTAATTTATTATTATTTTTTATTCAGATTTTGTCGCGACATGAATCCGTTCTCTCTGCGCATATGGAAATGCTCGAATTTGCTCAAAGGGATGTCTGCGCGGATGGTGACGCGTTGCGGATAGTCGCGTCGATGGTTGAGAGGACAGAGGAGCTGATGGGGCAGTTTAAAACGATTACCTCACAGTTTGTATGTTTTTACACTTGCATTGGCTGCTTCTTACGGGCTTTAGATGAATTGAAATTGAAATTGACTGTTTGCGTGCGCAGGTACATGGTAAGCTTTGTGCAATTGCTCTTTCTAGAACGCGAACGCGCTGAAAGGCGTTTATTCAGCTACTATGAGGGATGTGAAAATTTACGATGAACGTCTAGGAGACATGAGGCCTGGGTCCATATCAGAGAAGAATCGCAATAATGTCAATGATAATGCAAGTAATAATATGAGCTCGTCGTCGATTCCCGCCGTGAGAGATGCGAGACAGCCATCATCTACGCAGCCACCACGACAATCAAATGGCAGGAAGAAAAGGTCCAGGGAAGAAAACGAATCGCCCCTTCCAGATTTGTTGCGCGCAGGGTCACCCCCTTCCCAAAAGCGTAAACGGATAGATTTTGCGGCTCCCAGACTCAAGGAAGAGGATGCAAAAACAGCAGCAGCAGTTGAAGCGTCACCGGAGACAGAGGATATATCGGCTGAGGTTCAGAGGAGGCTTAAAATCAAGGAGGAGCGCCGCAAGAAGAGAAACATTCCCAAGTCAGAGAAGCGGAAACGGGAGAGTCTGCTGTCGAACGCCAGTTTTTCTGAGGGAACATCCAAGCCAGAACGGAAAAAGGTCAAGACTAAAAATAGTCGTGAGAATTCGAGGCCAAGAGCAAATTGATGGGCATCGGATGCTGCCGGATAGGATACGATGACAAGAGCAGGACGAATCTCGCCTCCCATGCACGCTGACCTTTTCTGCTTTTCATGACTCCTGCACCGTCGCGGGATATTTTGATCTCTTTTTGGCTTGAGTCCGTGGTTCGATAAGTCGTTGCCTCCGGAAGTGCTCTTATTTACTAGACTCATGGCTGCTCCCCCTTCATATTCTGTCGATATTAAGATCCGGCCCGAACTTTGTTTGAGCTGGAAGAGACACAGATTGGGTTTTCAACGGAGAATTCTCGTTGATCTTGCTTCGAATCCGTGGCTTGCTGCGTCGTCGCTCGCATTTACTGGAGGGATAACGTTCGCCCCGGATTTATCGATATTATTCTCCGGCGAGAACCTTATTTCAGCTAAAATTATCCTTGGATTAGGTTTTCAACGGACAGCCTTTGGCATGCCGGAGAAAGAATCCACGGTTCCGTGCTTCCCCATGGGCAGCCATCCTTTCCCCACGCCCAGGCAACATCATCGGATTTCACACCATTATTCGAGTTATAGATGCTCAGGCAGAGCCTCCTACAATCATGTTTTAATAGAATACTGGAAGAATGCATACCTCAACTCACGTCGCCGTCACAATAACCGAAGAGTTGCATCTTCCAGATTATTTCGGCGTCATGATCAAACTCTATAACCATATTTGTTCTAAAATGCTCGACCAGAGTCATCTCCACGACACTCTCACTCCGTTAGTAGCAGCTCCCGGAAGGAATCCGTGGTTCAAATCTCGTTACTTTCCGAATTGCTCTCGTTGCTAGAGAGATGGTCCTTCCCCGAAAACCTTGTTGGCGTCGTTATCTATTTCTTCATACCAATTCGCGCCAAAAATAGCCTAGACATGTCCTCTCAAGGATCATTTCCATGGTCTTAATCAAGAATGTCGAATTGGCCACATCCCAGGACGCCATACACCTGCGAACAAGGAATATGGATACGGTCCTTGCATTCAGCAACTAGACAGAGCAATATGAAGCATCATTGACGTGTATTGAACTGCCTGATAGGATGTCTGTTTTGGGGCTATAAAACCCCCTTCCAGCTCTGATTTCGATTCCTTTTTTCTTCCCTTCATCCAACTCTCTCTATAGGCCCCTTTACGGGATTCTACGCAGAAGAAACGTCTACTTCTTCTACTTCGCTTACTGCGGTTTACCGCTTATCCATATTTATATACTGAACACTTCTACTACTGGTTGAATTCTGTTAGGAGCCTGAGACCCGGGCACCGAGGAAGAATCCCACCAAGTCGAGCTCGGATTGATCAAAAGTTCTCTAATTAAAAATCCCTACAAAGAATTAAACCAAATCGAACAAAAATAAAAAGGGAATTTGCATTTGCGTTTTAAAAGGATCTCCAAAAAAAAGCTCCTACCAAAGGGTCCCTTGAAGAGCCAGAGGGTATTTCCGCCAGTCTACATCGTTCAAGTATTACGGTTGAATCGAAAAGCAATGGCATTTCCCAAAACCGCCAAACCCAGGAGCAACCGCTGCTTCGACAACGGGCACGCAAACCAAGCCAGGTTCTTCTGTCCTTCTAGGACTGGCACAAGACCCGTTCACACATCCCGGGGCCCTTTCCACCAGGGCTGCAGCAGCCCTCGGAACAGTAGGGTATGTGTATATTCATCCCATCTTAACCAGTTGAGCTTTCCCTGATCCAACTATTCTATAGCGTGAACCACGCCGCAGACGACGCGTAAGTATCAGTCTTCAGTTGCCTCTCCTCCTCTACCACTCTTCTTCATCTTTGCCACCCGTAGACGGTGAGCTATATGCATAACTAATATCTTCTAGATGTCCGAGCAACGTCAAAATGGAGGCAAGCGAGTCGGCAGCCATGCCGGACAACCTCGCGCGGTCACCCAGCCTGGCCGCACGGATACCGACGAAGATCCCCTTCCCTCTCAGAGACAGCAGTCTGCAAACAGGTTTCCCTGGAAAAGAAGTGTAAGTGTCATTGTCTATGTGCTCATCCATTTACTCATGTACTGACTTTGCTTCACTGTAGTTCCGCAATTATAATCCGAGGTATCAGCCTCATCCTCGATGTAGTCATAACCAGCGAGGCCCCCGAGATGGGGATGTTACTATGGCAGAAGCCCCTGACCTCGAAGAGGCAGTAAGTTTTGCTCTTTGCTGATTTGCTGATTAAGCCAATTATTTGTGACTGACTCCTAATTTTTTCTAGAGAGAGAAAGAAATTGATATGCCTATTCACAGCGCACCCGCATATAAAGAGGTAGGTATTTCCTCATTGTAGGCTTTGGTCATGGGTTAATTGTTTACTGAACTTTTCGACAGAAGGCTGAGGTTCTCGCTTGGGGCATCTTCTCAATGCACGATCTTGTAAGTGCCAGTCCATGGCTTCCCCCCTCCCCCCGGTTGAGGCACTGGTAACTGACATTTTTAGGCCGAGATGATCCTGCAGTGCGTCCATGATGCCAAAAAGGGCATCAATGCCGACAATGACGTTGAGATGGCGGACGCACCGCTTTTTTAATTTTTGAGCCAGTTTCCAGGCTCCAAGCCCAAGAGCTACCGAACGAACTGCACCAACCATGGGGGCGTGCTGCAGGATCTTAAACAAAAATTAAAACCAACTGACCTCACAAGTCACCGAGTTAACTGGAATCATCCCTGCCATCCCTATCAGACCTGTCAAACGTCAAAGAGTCCATACATGGCCAGGTCCCGAGACGGACCGATATCAAAGGGAACACAAATGGCATTTGCTACGAATGGTGGACGCACTGTTCAATGGATACTTCCAAATTATCTTCCTTACGTCTAACATGCATCTTGTTTGCATTTGACTTGGCGGGCGGTTCATTCATTCATGTCGAAACAAACGGAAGACGCATACGAATATATGCGAGTTTATTTGGTAGCACGTTCGCAACGCAATCAAATTGAATCGGATTAAATTATACAACGAAACCACTGTCGGGACACTGCAAAGTGCAAAGAAAGCCACACAAAGTGACATTCCAACCAATCGATCAACTTGTCAAGTCTTTTGAAATTACGAACAACGTCTTCGGTATTGTTGCGTCTGGCGAATGCGGATACGAACATCGGATTATAAATAGTTCGAAGCAACGAGCTCCTTCTTTCGGTCATCCGATGAATGAAATTTGCAATGGAGGATCTGGTTTGGGGCCCGGGTCCCACATGGATTTATAAAGGGCTTATAGCGGAGGATTGAACATTGGTCAAGGGATGCGAGGTTTACAACGGAGGAATCAAGGATTCGACAGGTTCTCAGAGGAGGTTACAAAGGATCAAGGAACGGAACATCAAAGGGGACGAAAAGAAGAAGTGCGAAGGATAATATGTGAATCTTGTAGCTCCTCGATGCCAAGTTCACGTGGCATCGAAAGCAAAAGCCTCATGTACGCAAGTTGTCCTGGTCAAGGTTTTTACCTCATTACTCCACAAGTCAAAAAAGGATGCATGAGGAAGTTTCCCTTGGCACAAGCTCGAATGAGGGGTCACATTTGATTTAGTTAAGTTTTTTGGAGTTGGGGGTTCAGGAATGCAAAACTTCCTTTCATATCTGTTCCATTCTCGTAGTGTAGACCTCGAATGTATGCTGTAATGAGCAATTGAACACCCGAGATATCCATGACTGGGACCGACTAAAAAAGGATTCTAGATCACGCCCAGTTCGTGGCCAGGATAAGTGTACCAATACAATCAAAAATGCTGTATCTGGACTGCGTTGAATTCGGAAGGGGAATGCAATGACATCAAGGGCAAGAAAGGGTAGTATAGTCTGGATCTCCTGCCGATTAAATCTGTAGTTTAATAGATTAGCATTAGCAAAAGCTATAAGCTGACATATAAGCTTATCTGGGCACAGGAATTCTACTACCGAGACCACTGCTTCACCTGTCCATCTGGAATTTGATCCAAATCAGACAAATGGTGGATGTTGTGAGGTTTCAACTGTAAGGAAGATAATTTCTACTTCCATTTCCCAGGTACAGGCAGGCGAGCAAGACAACCAAGCATGGAAAGGGAAAAGAAATGGGAAGATAGCTACACTGCTGATGAGAAGGCGTTTATATCTTGCCGTGTGGGCTAAAGGCACACACACGTGAGCCTTCACAGATGTAATAAGAGCTTGCTGGAGATCCCTACTCCAAAACACCACCAAATAGTGTCATAATACATGAGCAAAAGGACAAAAATAGTCATTTGATGGCAATTACGCCTCTCTTGGAGGATAAGTAGCTGCACTCTAGATACCATATTCATATAGGAGCTGGTGAGATGTTGATTTTGTTGATAAAATAGTAGGTTATTCTACTACCACAACCTCCACCGAATGGCGGTGTGGTAAAAGTCATTGTATTCAGATTCTTAGCGTCTACCTAATTTGGTTTAGCGCTATTAGTCCCAAATAGGCAACTGCTGACAGAATTCTATTTTTATTGATCACCAACTCAGCTGGCATACAGATTTTGGTGAAAATTTCTAGGCGCGCTGAACTTTCCCCAGGCCAGCTGCTCGAGCCTGCAAAGCGCCTAGTATAGTAAGAGGTAATTAAAAAGACTTTATGCCTCAGCCTAGTTTAATTTAGTGTACAGCCACATACCCACTGGGACAGGCCGTCACAGCTCAAGCCTTGGTGGGGGAGGTGACGGCCCGTCCCAGAACCTATTGTAGTTAGGCCCAGCTCCATGCATGCATCGCATAGTTATGACCCTGCTTGCTTACATACCGCATCATACTGTATCTACATACCTCTCAGTTCTCTTTCTTCCTTTCTCTTTTTCTTCTCTCATGTCTGGTATTCATTGAAAATAATATTGAATAGCACATGTTACAATTTCTACGCCTATTTGTAGTACTGGCCATCCCAAGCAGCCCTTAAATGAACTTATTCTTAATGGTGTTGGCATAGAACTCCTAGATATTGAAGAATGTGCAAATGCCATTCAGAGAGACACATAAATATACGTGATATGTTAGCAGGCTTTGTCTTTACAAGGTTTCGGAAGTGAAGATTTCCAATATGAGAGCTCATATCACGCTGGATGTGTTTAGTGTTGTCCCATTGTACCAGGCCATGCTGCCTTTTTTGGAGAAGTCTGCGGACCTGGTGGGTTACTATTGGCACTGGGACTGGGTTCTTAGGGATGTGTGGATTACAAAGAATCCAAAATTCGAGAAAATCGCAGTCCATAATCGGGAAGGTATCATCCCTGCCGATGTCATCGAAATCAGGTAAAATATACCTGTTGCTTGAACTATCACTGTCAGAATAACCGCTAGTAGATGCCTTGGATATAGTTGGCTTCGAGCCAATATGGGTACTTGGGTGAGAGCTTAGGAGGCTGGGATTTCGAGGATGAATGGGTTGTTGAATCTCTATTCCGGAGAGCTGGTGAACACGGCAATGAAAGTACTAGGAAGTAGTCCGAAATAGTCGGAGACAGGTTTTTCAGGGGCTGTTTACTTGGTCAGTGGCATAAACAAAGCGCCTCGATGGATAGAAGGTCATGGAAGAGAAGAGAGATCCTCATGTCGGCTTTATTCAATAGCACAGGCATAAAAATGTGCAACAATTATAATATAATCATTCCACATGAGCATGACAAGGGTCCAAGGAAAAATCCAAAAAAGTTAAAAACATCTAAAGGCTTTTGAAAAACTCTTTTAAAATTAAAAGAACCATTAGGTCCTTGAAGGCATCTTCTCCAGAGAACACGGAGAATAGATACCGGAGAACGACATCCGTTTCGAAATACGTGCTTCGTTTTGTATACTTTTCAGTACCCCTACCAAAACTTTAAATTGAGTTTTTAGTTTTCCCCGGTAAAACTCTCAGAACTGAATGAGAAAGCTTTGATTTTCAGACTCTGGTGCAGGATCGGACCCAACTAGCACCAAGTGCTTCAACTTCGACGTTCAAATATCAGTTACGTCACTAGTACCATGCTTCCCCGGTCCTAGCGGTGAGGTGCTCGCTCTTCTATAACATTGCTTACGCGTTTCAGAGGTACTATATCTACAGACCAGACAACAAATTTCCGCAAGTAGGGTAATTAATGTCACGGCATTTTGGTTTATTTCCATTTTCATTTTCGTTTTTATTTTTATTTTTATTTTATGCACAGTATCCAACGTAGCCATGTAAAAATCGGTCCCAGGGCGTGCTGGATACCCAGAAGGAGACAATATAAATATGGCCATCTCGCGTCTCTATTTCAATATTCTCTTTTCAACCACCTTCTCAGTTTCTTAATAAAAGGCACAAGCCATCGAATCCACCGTTCATTTTCTTCCTAACCATGTCGGACTCGACAAGACCTCACCACCCCACGGCTTCGTCTTCTTCGAGGTCAGGATCAACAGGATCAACGTCTAATCGAGAGACTATTTTCTCGTCAACCTCAAGACAAACGTCCTGCACCAGTGTCTCGTCTCCTTTAAGAACAGAAACAACAGGACCATGGTCTAGCGAAGAGAGTCTTACTATTGAAACTGCGGCACCTGGCCCAATGGACACGTATAGTCTCTTTCCTATTGCTCTTTTAACACCTGTATCAAATTAGTATCGATGTCACAGCTAACACTTCCTGTACCTCCACCACAGGCACCCGGAAAATGACGGTGCATTGCTGATGGGAACCGGGAGCTGGGCTACATCGGATCCATTGGCCCATGTCGAGCAGGCCGAGGACTGGCCGAATGCCACCGAGGCTTCTTAATTGATTGTGTTGGATGCATATTTGTATCAATCGGAAATTTGCTTGGGGAATTTAATGTGGTAAATTGGGGTATATCGACAAGCGTAGCGAGTAGTATAGTGAAATGTCGGACATGGCTATTAGGGTATAAACTTTGTCACGTGACGTTTTTGTTTTCTCGAAACCTACTATGTACAAAATGCACATGCAATAAATAAATAAACCGGAATATGAGAAGTTCAGACATGTTAAAATCAGAATTGGATAAAGCCAAGTGGGCCGAGTGAACTGAGCGAGTGGATTTGAAACAAAAGAGAAAAGCCAGATCCCTGCATTGCCCGCTGACAGGGTTCATTTAGAATCCCGACTTCGGCAGAGTGGGGAAAGACGATTATCCGAACGCTCTCAACGGAAGCATGACATAACTCCGTTTATGGCAATACTTGGAACTGACGGGTCACAATACGGTGGCGCCCCAACCATAGTGACTAAGATACCCTTATCACTCACAACAATATATATTATTATATAATAATAAAATTATATATAACTATATATATTGAACTGCACGTTACTTTCTAAATATGTTATATATTTTTATTTATGTAAGAAAAAATTAAAATAATGATAGCATATTTAATTTCAATAATTGAGGGATTATTAGTTATTGTTCCTGTTATCATATAAGGAACATGGGCATTGCGTCCATCAGGTCAGTTCTGATGCTGCCCGTTGGACCTGTAAGTGATGGCTATCCAAAGAATGCGTGTACCTGCTGAATACACCAGTGTGCGGCTCAAATAGACTAGGGAGATTTCTTATACGAAAAGTGGGATCCTCTGCAGATCCGGTGTCGGGCAAGCCACGCCAAAAAGCTTTTCGTATCATGTATACCTCCCGGGTTCCAGGCCACGTAATATAAGGATTTATCATCACCGTCCGCTGTTTCTTTTCACTTTTATCTTTATTTTTATTTAATGCAAGGCTATCAGCCAGGGGTATTATTGCCTAGCCAATGGCATCAAGACGCACTTAAATCAGAAGGAGCTAGATAAAAGACCTGAATAGCTCAAAGACTATCCAAATGACCGTTAACTTGGCCAAGAGAGGAAAGGGACGATTCCTATCGATTAGTGGATGTTTCAAGGAGTTGGTTAGTTGTGTTGTGCTACATGTGTATAACAGCGGTGGACTTAGGCTATAAGCGGCAAGGGCCATACTTCTATTCCCCAGAAAATAAGCGGGACGAATCCTATCCGCGCCGCTTGGTGGTAGATTGCGTCTAGGCCGTAACGCTATTTTTGCCTCTTACCCAAGACGAAAACAGATTGCTAGACTGCTGCCTGTTGTTAGCGGCGATGCATTACATTAGCTCACACAGTTAAAGAAGAAGCCACTAGATGATCATAGTGTACTCTAGCATCTGGAATAATTATGGTTGCCAGCAGCGGTAATCTAGCGGTGATAACAAAAATGATGCCGACAGAAGGACGGGAAATAAAATGAGAGATTCAATTCCAGCGCATCTAAAAATATTCATGGTAAATACCGGTCCTGAACATGACTACGCATGACGCTCTGCTATCACGTTTGATTTCTTGGTGCGTATGCCATCCTGGCATCGGTTGGGGAAACTGAGCCGCTGCTGTAGCAACAACGCGGCTGGGATGTGGCTTAGCATTATTCATCGCTCCTGGCATATTTCCGCAAAGCTGGGATTTTAACAATAATGAAAGAAGATTCATGATCATCATCACCACGTGGAAGAGCGCGTATCCTGTCTGTCCCCTAGTCGGTGATTCATCCACGAAAGTGGACATCTAGGTTAGGTTACATCTCCCAAGTTTCTGGAGATACTATGCTATACCTATCACCACCTACCTATGAATCCGGCACAGGCTCGTGGGTTGCCGAATACAGTTCGTGTGTGCATCAGGAACTGCTCCATGGCTGATCCCGACAATACCTATCGTACAATTAATTTCACCGACTGAGTGGATTCGGAACCCTGGCAAGATACCGCAAGACAGGACGCGATGGAACCAATGGACAGAGAATACGACGGGAAATCCGATTTGCTCGCTTTGCTTCATTCCCCATCATACGTCTCGTGTCGGCGCTCGTAGCTGCCGAGAATTGGACTTCCGATTGGACTTCCGGTAGGACTTCACGTCTTCGATTCAATTAAATTGCTGTCGATCATCTGGCCCATGTACTCCGTGTTGATTGATGTAATCCGGTTACAGAAAGAAGAAGGCGACAGTCCCTGTCCATTCTGCAAAAGGCCTGAGCACTTTTCGTGCAGTGGCCGGCACCAGAACCATTCATGCGGGGCGCGGTTAGCTCCATTCCCTCAAACAGCGCATAAAATTCCTTATTTTTATCAGCCGTAAACATAAACGAAATAACGCGATGGACGGGCGTCTATATGTGCACTCGGACTTAAATGTTGGCCCTGTAGTCGTCCCTAAACCCTGCTTAGGGTTAGGGCTAGCACCAACCTATCATATACGTCCATCATGCGCTGAGAGATAACCAGGCTGAAGGTCGCTTTGCCAGCGGAGCCTCCTGCTTGAATCTCGTCTTCGATTATATCTCTGATATTTTGGAATACCTTGACTAAGACAGTGAAATCCTCGTTATGATTTTGCTATCTCTTCTTGTCCAACTAACTGCTCACATTGGAGGCGCTACTTCAGATGCTTGGATTCCCCCTTGGACTTGACCAAATCCACCAGGTACTGATCCCGCTCCTTCTCGACAGACTTCATATAAACCGTCCCGGTCCATCCCTCGACATTTTCAGCAAGCCGGTCCATGTTTTCCCTCGTAAAATCGAACCGGCGCTCGTTGATATCGTCCAGCCACCTGCTAGCCGCGGGTCCGATGTGATTGAGGAAATGTTTGAAATCGCCCCCTCCTCCGAGAGCGTTATTCATAAACAGTCCTATCAGGGCCCATTGAAGCCCTGGACCAGAAGTCATGGCCGTATCTATCGATCGAAAAAGAAACTTAGCATCTTTCATGATGGCTAGAACGGATAACATACCCAAGTCTTCAGCCATCACGGCTGCTTACAGTCTGTCTGTAATGAAACGGCATTTCTTGCTTTACCAGGATCGGGCTCTTGCCTAGCCATCGATAGAATTCTACGGCCCGATTGGCGTATGGCCTGGAAGTTCCGGGTCTTGCGGGTGTGGGCGTCTAAATGGGCAATGAGAGTGCGCTTGACGTCTAGCCATTTAGGCGCTTTCTAGAAGAGGTAAGTCAACCTTGGGACAATTAGAAATAAAATTTTAAAAAAAAATAACTAATTACTGACCTCTTGCACAAAGTCAAATTCTCCCAGATAATCGTCAATGGAGTCGGCAAACTTGTAGTTTCCAAGAGACGCGCCTTGAATAAGTCAGATGCGATTCAACAAGGGCCATTCCTTTTCCAAATACGCTGCGAATTTCTCGCGCGCTCCCGGGGCGGGATCTGTGACGGTAACGTTCAGCCCTCTGGCGAGGAAGAGGGCGATCCAGCTGGTGCCGATAACACCGACATTCTTAATGGAAGAACTCTACGACATATCACATGTCCTATGGGTTTGTCCTGCGTGCACGCGTGGAAGATGAACGAGACTTATGTATTCGGGGACAGAGTGAGGGAAAAGATTGGAAGCGAGAAGGTGGACCTCGGTTAAGAGCCACGGTTGGGTCAAGACTACCTTGGGACAAGCTATTTGCCCAAGCCTTACAAGTGGGGATGAACCTCGGAAAGATCGAGCAAGCCTAACCGGTAGCGCGGTACATCGGCGAGCTTGGCAAATTGCGTGAATCATTCATGCACGGACAGGACCGTGGGAAAGCAAGGGGCAATGCTTTCGCTGGAGCTTGGTAGCGACAACGATGAGGCATTCAATTGCGTGTGTGTGTGTATGTTTTACGGCCGTGGTTCGTGATTAACACGCTTCCCACTATTCCCTTTTGGGACAAAGGCCACCAATGAGTCCTGGGTGTCTGTAACTAGCTACTAGTTTTTATAAGACACTCGTTGGCGCATTCACATAGCTGCTGTGGTCTGAAAGTTGGCCTGCTTGCTAGAGCAGGTTAAATATCAATGCCAACTGCATTGTCAGGGTGCAGGTTCAGGATGGTCAGGAAACGGATTCAGAAGACAGATATTAATTGGATCGGACACACAAGCAGGCAGGTAGACAAGACGTAGCTCGAAGAGCTACAACAGGATCGGAACAGAAGTTGGAGATATCTGTTGATGGGGAGTTTGATGAGGATATAGTTGGTTAGTATTTCGAATAGGTGGTTTATCTAATAATCCAGCCCCGGGATCCGAAGTATATTGATATAGAGCGTTCACGACGAATCCTACGAATCCTACGGTATCCTTTTAGTTGATATTCCGGAGAGCAGTAGGTAAGATGTAGCCTCAATAAAACACACCAGCATCAGGGCTTTTGACCACATTATTATTTCAGTTTCTCCCCCACAAACGAAAGTCTGGCATTTGCCCATTTTGCCTATATGATCAATTGCGTCAACCCATCCCCATACAGCTCATAAGCAAAAAAAAAAAAAAAAAAAAAAAAAAATTGGAAGCTATTCAGGGCCCAGCTTGTAGCTAATGAGCTACACTATTGCACAGCAATCTTGAAGTCATTCTTGTCATGGGCTACGCCCAGGCATATTGCAAACTCAGGGCTATGCCTGAGTACCCTATCTGCTCTATTTGTTTCGTTTGCTTTGTCTGCCCCTTTTGTTGCATTTGTTCTGTTTGTTGCTGGCTCGCCTATTTCCTTATACACAATGCCGTTGTCTCTCGAAAAAACCCTTCTGTTCTCTTCCTTCTCTCAAGGAATTCTTCGTCTATCGAGCACAAATAAATTTTATATTCAACCCATTACAATTCTGTGGAGATTGCCTACTTGTATGTTGAGGCCTCCCTTGTGCAACATGTCACGTTGCGACCTCCGGAGCATTCAGAAAGCCTAGCTGCTGCACCAAGTAAAAGACTAGGATGTAGAGAGAGAGGCTCTACACTGTTCTCATATATATATATCAGGCAGGACAGGACAGGCGCCGTAATAGTACTCAGGGCTTTGATTAGTGAGTGGTTAGTTATATAAAGTCAAGAGCAACACACCTGCCCTTTATTTTGTGAGGGTATAGATTCATAAACACCCCATCTAGAATGCAATGGGCTAAACGTTTCCTGTCTTAGCAGCACTTAAAACGAGTCTGTTATGCCATTGTGCTATTGGTTCGAGATTTGCAGTGTCTGGAATACCTCATCCAGTCCGCCGATATCCACGATGCCAGACCCGGCATCTTCTAGCTTCAATTCCATTTTAGACCGTTCGCTGCAGACTGGGCAATCATAATGATATAGGATGGCATGCACAACAGCTGCCGCGCACTTTGTGTCCCAGAGTCGGTCTCGTGATGGGAATGAAGGCTCCTGCAGTAGGGACAGCGCTGTCTGGAGTATATGCCGATCCTTGGTTTTCATGCAGATGTAAATATTGTGATTGATTACGTGGAAAATGTGAAAAATGAACCTGATAAGGTGAATGTCTCTTTCGCAGCTGGTATCAGGGCAGATGTCACAGAGAGAGCATTGTTCATCTCGCTGTCAGATGATTCAGATACCACCACGTTACTGTTCCTCGCATTCGATGGGCTTTTTAAAGAGATGTTTGCAGCATCAATCCAAGCAAATGCAGCGCAGGCATTGCGGTCTTTGTTGATGACATTTGATACGGCGGATCCAGGGCCGCCATTTTGCCTCTCATAACAACTGAATTTGGCACCGTTTTCGATGTGAATATCACCATTGGAATCCAGACCTTCCCACTGACGGTCGATACTGGCAGTAACGACATCTACGTAATGCAGACTGGCTACAGTTGGTCAGTTCCACTGCCAAAATCGATCCTCAACATATCGCTCGCCTTCGGCGTCAGGTATGGTGATGAGTTCGCCGTGGACAACATCACGCTCAAGGGACAGAAGGGACTGCAAATGTCTCAGACCCCATGGGCGATGGAGTCAACAGCGGGCTGATCGGGCTGGCGTACCCATGGCTCACCTCGGCGCATCCAGAAAATGTCACTGATACTTCCGTCTCCGAGGTGACTTACGGCTCCCCATCGGACAGTCAGAAAACGACAAATTCCACTTCATTGCCAGCGTTCGGACTCCGGCAACTACATGACATACCTCCCAACTTGTCTTCTGGAGTCCATTAACGCGCTGTTCTCTCCTCTGGCTATCTATGAACCTTCTCGGCACATCTATATTGTGGAGTGGAATGAGCTTTTTCAAATAGTTTACAATGAAATCAAGAAATAATGACCCAACAAAGACAGATACAGCATAAACAATCACTTCCCTTCTTTTGACTCACCCTCCTTACCAGCACCACCCTTCTTCGACTCCCCCCAAGTCCACACATCCCAAACATGCTCCTTGATCAAATCCCCATATCCCTTCCCTTCCTGCAAGGCCTTCCTCTCCTCCTCCAACCGCCTCTCCTTCCACCCCTCTGTCTCCCCAGCCATCCATACCCTCTCCAGTGCGCCCCGATTCGAATTCCTCAACTTCTCCAACTCCTTCTCCACACTCTCCGGATCTTCCCCTTCCCGCTGCTGCCGAATCTGCGCTTCACGCGCAGCCCTGAGCTTCGCCTGCACCTCCTGCGCCTTTTCCGTGGGCAAACCTGTCGGCGAACTGATGGATGTGAACCCGTCCGTGATGCGGTCCAGGACGCCGCGACCTGTCTTCTCGCGGAGGAGGTGGTTCCCGCTGGCGCACCATGCGCCGAATAAGAGGGCAGTTAGGTTGTTCAGTCTTCTTGGCGGGAGGGCGATGAGGATCGGGGAGGCGACGAGGAAGGTTAGGGCTGTGTAGTGCTTGAAGCGGACATAGTCGGCTTGTCGGCGGGCGATGATGTCTTCTTTTGTGGTTGTGTTGGGGTCTGTTGGGGGTTGTGTTGTTTCGGATGACATTTTGATTATTATTATTTGTTTTTGCTTTGGCCGAATGTGGCAATTGATGGATTTAATTGATGCCGAGAGTCTTGTTTGATTGAATAGCTTTGATGCTCTGTATACAGACTGTTAAATCGTGCTCCGGGAGTATGGAGCATTTTTTTACGGTATCCTGTACGGCCGAATGCGCCATCACGTGCATATAACTGTACCTTGGGAATCAGGTATTCGGATGAGGCGGCAATACTGGACTACCGCCTTCCAAATCTGTGATTAACCATGTTGTCTCGGCTCTCTCTGCAGCCCATCAGCAAGCTCCAATGATTGTTCCTGTGGAGTCTGCAACGGTTATGCCAAGATGAAGTAATTGACACCTGATCAACGTGACAAATATAATAATAGTACTGCGCATAGCTGTACAGACTCCGGAGTATGGTGGCTGGACTCCGAACTCCCGTGTGGCTCATACTGTGGCTTATGCTGTGGCCAAGCAGGGTGACGCTGGCGGAGGCAGTGCAACAGGGCTGACACTGCCACGGAGGGGGTAATGAAGCTTGACTAAAGCTTAGACACTCCCTGGCAATCCCCTTTCATTGGGAGCTTTATAATGTGACTTTCCTCCAGATAACTATCTCAGTCAACTCTTCGATAGTCATAATAATACAACTGCCTATGGTGGCTGGGAATGAAATAGCATCTCAGGACGGACTACGGAATAAATGTAACATAATATTAATTAATACTGCTTATCTTCTCCTGAATCCTGAGGTCGAAAAGACGACATTTATCTTTGATGGCTGGGACATTGCATATGTGGTGTCTCACCAGCAGTATTGTTCTGGTAATTATGAAACATCAATACGTGTCTAATAAGCCACGATGTACGCGGATACTCGCTCTTCGACAAGGGACTTTCAGGTACCATACAAAGGAGACCATGGATAACCAAAATAGAAACAGTAATTACGCGTAATGCCGAGCTGCCCGTGCTGGCAGGGCTTAGGGCCAAAAGTGGGGATGTGTGTTATGAAACCGTAACGATACGGTCATGGACTCCCAATGGCGGAGATCTCCAGCTACCCGTGATGCAGCTGGACGGCTCAGGAGAAGCAGCCCTGCTGGATCCGGCCCGTCCTGCGGTATTTAAATTACCAGGGAATGCCCATTTTCTCACTCTCCCTCTTCCTGCCCATCTCACATTCTCACTTTTCTCACATTCTTACTCTCTCTCACTCCTTCACACCCTCTTATCAAACTGCGCTCTTCATCTCACTCATCCAACTCAAAATGTTCGGCAACTGGTTCAAGTCCTCCAATCAGCAGGAGTCTGCTCAGCAGCCTACCTGGGACCCCAACACCCTCACCATGCAGCAGCCGACCAGCCCTCAGGCTCCTTCCACTGAGAACGTCGTCACTGAGCAGCCGGTATGTATCTAGCCAGAATGCCGAAAAAGAAGATAATTAGAATCGTATGATACTAACGGAAAATCTCATCATAGCGCTCCCAGGAATCCATGCAGCTCCGTGGTGGTGGTGGCTGCTGTGAGACATGCTGCGGAGTGTAAGATATATCATATCCAATACTGCTGACTAATTAATTCCTTATCATCGCTAACTTTTTTCGCCTCCTTTTACAGTTGCGCCGGTCTGGCTTGCTTCGAGTGCTTCGAGGACTGCTGCTAAGCGATCTGCACGAATACCTGTCCATACCTATGCAAATATACCCTAATATTGCTGTAGGGAGAAGGGAGCTTGCAGCTGGAATTCTTGTTTTCTGTTTTGGGTTCGGTTTTCTCCCGTACGACGGATGAAGCATGACATGATATACCCTTTGACGAAGGGAATTCAATTCATCCTGATGTCTTCCATACGTGTCATGTGTCATGTGAACTTTGGAAGGAAACCTGATTTTGTACTGTATTTCTGACAATCTATCATTTTTGGATATTACGCAACTTTGTTCTCTGCTATGCTTTCGCAAGCTGTTGGGACGGCGACAGACCATGTTCATAATTGTAGCACAGTGATCCTAGGACACATAGCTATGAACGCCAGTCCCATTTTCGTATCAGCATCAGCAGCACCCCCCTTACCTACAAAAGAATCACGACCGCGTCGATGATAGCATAGACACACTCATCTTGTCTCTTAGAACACTGACGTATCAACCCCTGGCACCCCGCCAAACCTTAAAGCTAGATCCGAGTAAGATAGATTTCCAAGGATCTAAGGCATGTGGCTTGACTCCCAATGAATTTTTCCCAGGAATGACGCAAAAATCGGAAGCTAAGGTGGAGGTCATCTTAGCAACGGTGGTGACAACTTGGCAACTTGTGTTGGATCACGTGGGATTCTGCCGCATAGGTCCGCCCTCGCTGACCCTTTCCACCACGTAGGCCTATCTAGCTAGTAACCAACCAACGATACACCTCCATTAACTTGGCAGGGTTCATAATGGAGGTGTATTGTTGGTTGGTCACTAGCTAGATAGGCCTACGTGGTGAAAAGGGTCAGCGAGGGCGGACCTATGCGGCAGAATCCCACGTGATCCAACACCCCCCACGCACGAGCTGGCCTAAAGACTAATCTAAAGAATTTAAATACAAAAATCGGCCTCTATTCAGGCCTTCATATGAGAGAATAAAAGCAAAATTAAGCAGAGAAATGAGAGGTTCCGCTTTGGCCAATCAGAAGCCGTAAATCAGAATAGAAAGTATAACCAAAATGGGGGAACAAGCGCCGCTTAATGTATGCCGGTGAGTTCCAGGAAATGATTGAATCGTTCAGTTTGGAGAGGTTTTGTCAGGCCATCTGCTGCCTGTTCTTTGGTAGGGCAGGTCTGAAGTTTGACAATGCCGTCTTGGACCTTCTCCCGAACGTAATGGTAACGTATGTCAATGTGTTTGGATCTCTTGGTGGTGAGCTCGGCTTCAGCCATGGCGTGAGCGCCTTGATTATCGATATGAAGAGATATTGGTGGGCATTCAGTTGGGAGCACATTAAGCTCGTTGATGAGATTCCGGAGCCAGAGGGCATCACGGCTGGCTTCGCTTAGAGCCATATACTCAGCTTCGTTGGAGCTAAGGGCAACGGATGTTTGCGTGCGGCTTTTCCAGGCAATTGGGGCTCCGGCAAGCAGAAAGATGTATCCAGAGACTGACCGGCGGTTGCCTGTCAGTTGACCACCCCAATCAGAGTCGGTATAACATTTTGGCATGAGGAGGTCAGATGTAATGGACTCCGTGGGTTTATGATAGGTAATTTGCCGATTGATGGAGCCTTTAAGATAGCGTATGGCGTGTATAAGGGCACGCCATGCTTTTTGGGTGGGTTTGGCGTTATATTGGGATAGTATGCCAACCGTCTGGCTAAGATCTGGCCGGGTTTTGGTGGCTAGCCAGGTAAGGCAGCCTACACCACGTTGATATTCTTTGGTGTTGACTGTAGGGTCTGGTTCATCATCAATTATTAGGCTAGGATCCATTGGAATCCTAACAGGATGTGCTTGGGCTTGACCAAAAGAGGCAACAACATCTTCAGCGTAGTCGGCTTGAGATAAAGAAGATGAAGTCTCAGACTGGGAGATGGTCATGCCAAGGTATTTGGTAGAGTTTCCAACTTCTTTTATGTCAAATTTGGCGGAGAGAGTCTCCATAAACCAGATGGCATCATTTTCATGTTTAGCATAGACTTTGAAGTCATCCACATGGGTGGTCACATAGAGTTGGGTCCGGGTAGTGTGGATCCATAGACCAGAGTCATATTCAGAGCATTTGAAGCTGATTTGGCGTAGAAAAGCACCCAGAGTATCATACCAGATGCGGGCAGATGGGACTAATCCATAGAGGGATTGAAGGAGTTCACAGACAAGATCTCCAGAACCTTCTTTGAATCCCTGAACTTGGGTCATAAAGACACGTTTGTCCGTGGGCATTTTCCCATTTAGGAAAGCCAGGGTGGCATCAGCTTTTCGGGTATGCCAGCCAAGCAGGGTGGCCAGTGCCGTGAGGGTTCTGGTAGTATTTTCATTTACCACTGGTGCGTAGGATTCCATGAAGTCCTTATCAAGTAGGTTGCCACGGATGACCCAGCGGGCTTTAGCCTGATAATCCTCTGAGATAGGTATGCCGGGGATTTCTTTCTTTTTGTATACCCACCGGCCAGGGATGACTTTGGTCCCTGGTGGTAGGTCAGAACGGCGAATGAGTTGCCAGCAGCCTTTCTCTTTAAGTTGGTTGACTTCCTTTTGCATGGCAGCTTGCCATTTAGCAGCATCAGGATGGGATATGGCCTGCTTATAAGAAGTAGGCGTGTTGTCTTCTGATGAAGGAATGGTTGAAGTGGCAAAGTAAGCTAGGGACATGCCTTTGGCAGGTCGGAGCCATATATCTTGGTCATTGAGAGGTTCATCTTCAACTAATTGAGTTGGATTTTCTTCGGTAGGGGTGCTGGGACCTTTGGGAGAGGTAGTTGTAGGATCTTTGTAATCCTCATCAAATATAACATCATTGGTGACAAAGACGGTGTCAGTTTTAGGGTCCCAAACACGATATTGATGGTTACTAATTTGGCCAATGAGGAAACAGCAGTGAGAACGCGAATCAAGCTTATTTCCAGGTTTATCTGGTCCATGCCGATGGACCCAGGCTGGACACCCCCAACGGCGATATCCGGGGAGTGAAGAAATGGATGAATTAGTCCACGCTGCCAACGGAGCGCGATAAGGGCTGGGGTGTATGTCCTTGTTGATATTCACCCCCCCAGGAATTTGGGAATTGTATAAGATGGTAGATGTAGGGAGTCGATTTGTAAGATCTGTGGCATATTGGAGAGCATCTACCCAAAAGCGTTCTGGTATATATGGGGCATCAAGCATCATAGCTCGGGCCCGTTCAAAAAGGATGCGGATGCCACGTTCACTAACGGCATTTTGCCATGGTGAATATGGTGAGCTTGGTTGCCATTCTATGCCTTCCTGACGGTAGGTTTCCATCCATTCAGTGGAGCGGAATTCATTATCAGAGACTAGGTAGGCAGGGGCAGTGAAGCCATGGTTCTTCATATTTTGAAGCCAGTTCTTGAAAGCGGTAATGGCTGCACTTTTTGTCTCAAGGAAGAGAATCCATCGATAATGTGTGGCATCGTCGGTAATAAGTAGGACATATTTTGCCCCAATTCGGCCAGGGACAACATCGTTAGGGTTGTCAAAATCAAGAGTTTGTCCACCGCCGGCGATATCTAGATGGACTCGGGCAAGGGGTTTGGTAACTCTGGACCTAGGGACCTTGCTATAATAGCGTGTCTGTCTAGCCTGTATACAGACTTCACAAAATGGGAGTTCTTTAGAGCCTTTGATTTCGATGCAAGACTCAGGATCTCGGGCGAGGCGGAGGAGATCGGCTTGATTGAGATGGCATAGGCGTCGGTGCCAGGCCATGATAGGTAGGGATATCTTAGTAGTTCGCGGCTTCCCTAGAACCAGGGTCTCTTTTGGAGTAGGAGCTTCAGCTGGTGTCTTAATTGTGGGAGCCTTTGCAGGTGGCTCTTCTGGGCGGTTAACTTCTTTGCCAGACCGGGTGGTGACAAAGGCATAGGAATTTTCTTCTTCTCCAGGAGATAGACAGTCTTCAAGGAGGTAAACATTGTTTTTGAACAATCGGGCTTGGAATTCAGCTCCAGATGGTGTGGTAATCAGCTTGACTTCACAATCTAGTGTATATTGAAGCCTAAAGCCTTGTCGTACAAGCATGCCTTCTGAAATGAGGTTGGAAGTAAAGGAAGGAACATGGCGGACGTCTCTTAGGATCAGAGATCCGTAACCAATATCTATAATCACGGTGCCAATGCCTTGAGGCATAGAGATATGGCCTTGAGCACCTTCCATATAATCTGTCTCCACCAGATCGTGCTTCTGCAAGGCCTTGTAGGTTGCAAAAAGTGAACGGTCAGGTGTAGAATGGAAAGAGGCACAGCTGTCAACAAACCATTGATTGGAAAATGAGAGAGTCTTTGCAGACTTTACAATGGCAGATTTGGCATTGGAGAGTTTCTTATGCAAGACAAGTTCCTGTGAAGCAGGGTGATCCTGGTTTGATTGTGGGTTTGCTTCAGATTGTTGCTGAACACGGAGAGCATTAGCCATAGTAGTATAGAACTTGCGTCTATACTCTGGTGCTTTCTCAGGATGTTTAAAATAGCATATAAGTCCATGGCGATTTCCGCAGTGATCACAGTCTATAAGTGTATGACGAGATCTATCTTGGTTATTGGAACGTTGAGGAATTGTGTATTTGGTTCCAGATGCTTGTTTTGAATAACTGCGGTTCTGGGAGTTCTCTTTCTGTTGGTTTGACCGGTCTTGAGAATGAGTATCACGGAATTTAGTGCCGGTTCGAGTAGATAATTGGGTCTGGATAACCTTAAGATCCAGGTTGGTAACCGGAGCACGGCCAGTAGAGTAGACATCATCTAGTTTACTCTTGATAAAGGCGCGGTTCCAGTCCCGGAGACCTATAAAGAAGAGGTCATGTTTGAGATTTTCAAGAGATTCTTCTCCAATAGCGTGTAGGCGGTCAAAGATTCGATTAAAGGATGACTGGTAGGTGAGATAATCGTTATCCTTTATATAGAGCTCTTTGAGCTCCATGGTAAGGGCCATTCGCTCTTCACCGGTGGATTTGCCAAAAAGTGTGGCAGCTCGGTCCCAAAGACCATGGGCAGAGAGGTCATATACGGTGCCTAGTTTATCGGAAGCAGGGGTTGTCATGGCATTGAGCATACGGGCTCTCATGACAATGGCTTTTCTGTGCCAAACTGCAGCATCAAGTGGAGATGATCCAGCAGGAGGAGAGTCCTGGTGAAGAGTTGTAATAGCATTGAGAATACCAGCTTCTTTTTGTATGGCAGAGCTCCATGCATCGTAATTATCCAGTGTCAAGATGACACGGCATCGGTCAGGCAGTAGCGTATCGACATCGGCTTGGACAAGGGCAATAGCATTGCTGATATTTGTGTCTGAGGCATCACGCAGAGGCGGTTGGATATCCATTGGTGTAGTATCTTGGGTTGTATTTGAAGGCAAGGAAGCTTGTGGAGTATTAGACTGGATGATAGATGCCAGTTTTAGCTCCATTCTAGCTTCACGGTCTCGCATATCTTGTTCCATCTGATTCTGGCGAGCAAGCATTTGTCGCATCATATCAGCAAGATCAGGGGTAAGTTCGTTTGTGGAAGCCATGTTGGCGGTATTGGTAGAGCTCAGATTGGCTCCGGAAGGCGTTGGGGTCTCTATCTCTTCAGAGACAACTGATGAGGAGGTCTCGTCTATATTCGAGGACCTGTTTTGGAGATTTCGGCGACGTGATCGTCGTATAGCAGTAGCGGGAGGCGTAGTAGGTTCTCCTGACATGCTCAGGTTCGGACCGTATCTGGGATCCTGGAATTTTTGGAATCTGGGGTATGGAATTTTGGTTCAGCCAATCAGAGGGCTTAAATTGACCACTTATACGGGCCTAAAATAGCTCATATTTCCGAGCAAGAAACGGGCTCATAACCTAATGGAGGTGTATTGTTGGTTGGTCACTAGCTAGATAGGCCTACGTGGTGAAAAGGGTCAGCGAGGGCGGACCTATGCGGCAGAATCCCACGTGATCCAACAGTTCACGTTGTGGGTCAGGTGACTTCCTCTTCCAACTTTCAAGGGTAAAAATGGAGAGAACCCGTATCTACTAGAAGAATACCTGTACTTCGAATACTCCAATAGACATTTTTTGTTGCATTTTCTAAGTTTACTGCCTGGCCATTCCCTGTAAAACCAATTCATCCCGCATTTCCCTGTTCAGCTTGACCGCTTCTTTCCCGAATTCCCTCTGAGACAGTCGAGTGATGACAGAAAACCAGTCAGATAAGATAGATGGACATCCGAAGAACCTTTTGAATGATCAATACCAACCAGCCAGCTCGTGGATCACCACTCCCTAGTCTCATCATCCGCACCCGTGGCAGTCGGCTCAGGATCAACCCGGCCAGCTTCGTACTTGGGAGTGCCGTCTTCCAAGATTCCGTTCACCTGGATAAAGCCTCCGCTGATCTCATCCATGATCTGGCCGTAACCGTCGAGGCCAGCGACGGTGCATCGAGTAGACGGTGATTCGAAATGGGCAATAAGAGCAGCGATAGTTTTGAACTGTCTATAGCAGGCAGGGCACCTGGATCAAAGGGTTGTTTGAATTAGTATTATCCCTAGTATTAGTAATTACGGAAAACACTCACTCCGTGTCTTTTTTGGCTCCAGTCTTTCCCAGGACATGTTCCTGGAATTCGTTCATGCTGAGAAAGCTTTTCCCGCAAGTACAGTCGTAGGTACCGCGGAAGGAATTGAAGAAAGCCGTCGCGTCCCACGATCCGTTTAGCATGCGGAGCATGCGACCAGCATCGAGAATGCCGTGGAGACCGAACTGACTGTTGCTCTTGCAGAGCTTGGGTTTCGCTTGCGCTTCCGACTTCTTTTCACCCTCGTCGCCGGCGGATCCCTGAGAAGTCGAAGAAGAAAATCGAGCTTTGCCCTTTTCCTTTGCGGAACTGGGACTCTCTTTATCATTATCGCCACTGTTGAGAGATAGTTCCGCAAAGCCCATCAAGTCTCCGGAGATGGATTTGCGAGCAGTAGTTCCCTTTGCCTTGCTTCCAGGCTTCGGCCAATGCTTGTCAATAGTAGTGTCGAGAGTAGAAGATCCATGGGCATGCCACTTGGTCTGATTCTGCATTGCCTCCTGGTTCTCTAAGTCCTGCATGTTAAGCTTGACACCACCCTCGATGTCGTCGTTGTCGTCCACGTCCTTGGGGATGATGGGCATGGGATCTCCTTCGCCTGCTTTCAAGGCCTGCTTGATCAGGATCTTCTTGGCCTGTTCCTGAACGAGGCGATTCCCATCAATCCTGAGACACTCATCAAACTCGATATGGCGCACCAACGCGCTGGCAGTTTTGAAATGCTCCTGGCAGCCACAGCAAACCAGGTCCTGATCAGCGCGATGGTTCTAAAAAATAATAAAAAAATCGTCAGTCGTATGAGTCTGTCTACGAGGCCTGCAACGGAAATCTAGGACACAATTGTATACGTCAAAAGGGGGTTTTACCTGACGGATATGAAACGCGCGACCTCCGTCGCTCTTGAAGTCAACACCGCAGATCGGACAGGCAATGTGGTCATTGCGCTGCTCGATAGTATTCATCTTGAGCTTATGAAGAAGCAAACGTTCCTCATCCTCGAAGTCCAGATCACACCTTCGGCAGTAGTCATGCTCAGGGTCTCTGATCTTATGGGCTTTCATCTCCCTGACAGAAGCAAAGACTTCAGGGCAGTCGCTGTAGGTGCAGCGCACCATGGAGGGAGAGGACTGGACAGACATCTTACCGGTTGTCACCAGCTTCCTTGAAGGGGAAGAAGAAAGACAGAATGGTGCAGGTGATGCAGCCAGATGAAGAGAGAGATAAAAGAAAGGAAGATGAGACTAAGATATTAATACTGCCAGGGAAGCTGATGGTGTCATTCTCTGATAGAAAAAAAAAATCTATACATTCACTAGTAAGAGTCAAAGAATCACATCGTTCACTGAAAACAAATAGAACCAAGATGAAGATTCCGGCACATTGTATGCTCAGTTAGAACCTAGAGTATGGAAGCCTGTTTACTTGTCAGCGCCGTCTTTGTCCTGTCTTGTTTGGAGAATTAGGTATACTTACCATTTCCCACGCAAGGTGATGACAGCCCAGTTATTCCCATCCTTGTCCGTTTCCTTCTCTACCTTCGTTGAGAACGAAATAGCACTCATGATACCATCTCCAAACTTCTCATTCAGAACTGCCTTGTACGCATACCCATAGTTCTGCACAATCTCGTACAGCCGGTAGATGAGGGGCTCCTTGGGCGGCATCTCAACGCTACGACCACGATCAGGAAAGCCACTCAGTTGAGCTTCAAGGCCCGCCAACGGAATATCCAGGATCTCGGAGAGCTTCTTGATATCTTCAGGAGATGCCTTGGCTTGGCCGTAGAAAATCGCGGCCGTTGCTACCTCATTCCGGCCGATCCTTTGCGAGATTTGTTCGAAGGTCAAGCCGGTCTTGGCTTTCGCCGCGAACAAGGTTGTCGATGAGGCGGGAAGATTGGGGTGCTGCGTTACCTATAGGAATAATACTGGTTAGCTTCTTTTCCAGTTCTTCTTCTCTATTTCCTCTATTGTCGAGAGACGATGGGTGCTAACATCAAGGGTTGCAGTGGACATCTTGGTCGATGGATCGTCTTCTTTCGAGATACCTCAGGAGTAACAGACCGGATAATTAGACTGGAAGAGAAACAATTGCACTTTTCAACGTCAAGAGCGATGTCATCCTTATATAATAATGGATACAACCAGCTTCTCCAACCGAGAGACCCGCCGGCGCGGGGAATTGAACTGTTTGTTGAAAACTTCCACATATCGCGGCATCGTGTTCGACTTCTTTCATATCTGCTATTATCCTGCAGACAATTGAGGTAGGATCTTGAACCAGCTTTCTCCGTTCTTCCAGCAAGCATCAGATCTTCTCCTGACTATACATATGTGATTACAGCGTAGATACTCGCAGTTTCTGCGCGATGCGGGGCTCTTGCAGCGGTGACTCGGAGTCGTGACGTGACGTGAGGTGTGCGGGGTCATCGGCCTGATGAGTCTGCCCATATAATTACAGTGGGCATTTAACGTTACATCTTCGGTATTAGTCAATACATATTACCGCTGGCCGACCTTCCTCTGATCCGTGGACTCGGACAGGGCTCTGACTCCGGATCCACGATCCTCGCAGCACTCCGCAAGTGCTCTGGAAATATTGATGTCTGCTGATTTATTATGCTTTCCAGACCTGGCAATCACCCACTAATTAGCACTGCGCTTCAGCACAGCCACACCGACGCAGAGTACGTGGCCTTCCGCCTGTCCCGTCCTCCTGGCGTACGTCGATCTCACTGGATACCGCGGGGGACCGGTGTAGCTGACGCCTATCATGGCCGTGCTGGAGCCCGGTGGTGTGCCACATAGGGCCATACACAACATGGAACTGTCTCATACAGCTCCCTCTCTCGGCATCCTCTGGGCAGCGGGGCTGGACGAGCTGAAGTCGAGACACCGTATTTATTTATTGTGTACTGCGGGACAAATAAATACAGGCCATAATCCTATCTTATCCAGTCCTACTATATCTCACTCCCCTCCTAAGTCGGGTTGTTAGATCGTGTATAGTTAGCCTTCTGCATCCATACGTCCCTGAAACACCTGGTCACTGTCGCCATGTCCTACCGCGAAGATGACCTGGCCTACGGGCATTACAATGCCGGCAACAGCCGGGGTTATGGTGAGGGAGACCGCGACAGAGGGTTCCTGGGGGATACCTTCAAGCTACTGAAGGAGACCTATAAGAGCCAGCATCCTCAAAGCCACCAGGGCAATCAGGGAAGCCAGGTACGTCTCGTCTCTCATACGATCACCAGTGACCGGTCTAACTATTCAATTAATTACATTCCGCCGTAGAGCCAGCAACCTCCCCCTACATCGTCCTCCAGCAGCTACTACTCCCAGCCGTCGCAGAACCCTCCCTACCAGCAAGGAGGTCCCGACAACCGCCCTTACTACCAACAAGGAGGAAAGACCAAGCCCGATAAGTTAACCGGCTTTCTGGATAAACTCCAAGACAGTGTTGCTGGCTACGGTACCCAGATCGCCGAGCGTTTGGGAACTGCCCTTGATCCACAAGGTTATGCTCAGTATGGCGCTGCCGGTGGTAAAGTTGAGGGACCGCACAGGTTCGGCAGTTTCGCTCCTACAAGAGAACATAATGATGTGAAGTGGTATGTCGATGGGTGCAGCTACTTCTATGCCGTATCCAGAGCACTGGAAAATGCCAGAGAGTCTATTTGGATTCTGGATTGTGAGTTTTGTTCGATGGGAATTAGACAGTGTTTTTTTTTTCCCTTATTTATTATTATTATTATTCTTGACTAACATTGTGCGATGATTAGGGTGGCTTTCCCCTGAGCTGTATCTGAGACGGCCTCCTGCGAAGAATGAGCAGTATCGGGTTGATCGAATGCTCCAAGCAGCAGCGCAGCGTGGAGTGAGGGTCAATATTATCGTCTACAAGGAGGTGACCCAGGCCTTGACCCGTATGTCTCAAATACTACACCGTAAATATGCATCTTTTTTTTTTTTTTTTTTTAATATTACTGACACGAGTTTTCCCAGTTTCGTCGGCTCATACAAAACACACCTTGGAAGCTCTCCATCCCAACATCGCGGTGTTCCGTCACCCTGATCACCTCCCTGATCGCCAGGATCTCAGCGATTCTATCACAGCGTCTCTTCAGAACCTGGTTCTGGATGCTGCGGGGATCTCTCGACTGTCCGGCGACGCCCTGAAGGGCCTGTACGGTGTATCCGAGGATGTGATCCTTTACTGGGCACATCACGAGAAGCTGTGTTTGGTTGACGGACGCATTGCGTTTATGGGAGGTCTGGATATGTGCTACGGGCGCTGGGACACGAACCAGCATGCGATCACCGATGTGCATCCTGAAAACGTCAGTGAGACGGTGTTCCCGGGTCAGGACTACAATAATGCTCGGGTTCTTGACTTCCAGGACGTTGCCCATTGGGAGAACAATCAGCTTGATCGGAAGGCCACTCCTCGCATGGGTTGGTCCGATGTGTCTATAAGCTTGCATGGTGTTGTCGTTGAGGATCTGCGTCGCCACTTTGTCGAACGCTGGAATTTCATCTATGAGACCAAGTACCAGGCTCGCAATGATCAGAGGTACTATAAGCTGGTCTTGTACGGGAGACCTGGTGGTTACCCTCAACAACACGGTCCTTCTAGTCCGCAGAATCCTCAGCAGCCTCACCAGCAGTACCAGGCTCAACAGACTCAACAACCTCAATACCAGCAGGCTACGCAGACCTCCCAGACACCGCAGCCTCAATATCAACAGCCTCCTGCGCAACAATACCCGCAGTCTCAACAGTCTCCTCAGCCGCAGTACCAACAATCTCAGCAGACACCACCACCTCAGCCTCAATACCAGCAAGCGCCGCAGACTTCACAGACGCCGCAACCTCAATACCAACAGCAGTCTCCTCAGTCGCAGTATCAACATCAGCAGCAGTACCAGCAGCAGCCGTACCAAGTGCAGCCTCAGCCACAGCAGGGTGCGGCGACTACTCAAACCGCAGGCACGACAAGCCCACCGCCGGCTCAAGGCGGATATACTTATGCGGGACAGTCATTCCCACCACCACCCCCTGGTCCTCCGCCATCTCAGTCACCGTCCCAGGCACCGTACTTCCCGCCACCCCCCACTACTCAGGGAGGTTCTCAGACCCGAGGCATCAGCTATGAAGGCGAGGGGGATGGCGAGAGAGGGTTTAGCGCTGAAAAACTGACCGCATATAGCGACGTGTTCCGCGGACAGCTGGCAGGCCAGATCCATCGTTATCAGGACCGGTTAACCTCTTCGTTTGGCCATTATGGCCACCACGAAGGTGGCTCTCACTATCAAGGTCGGCCTCGGGGCAGCATAACGTGCCAGGTCGTACGTAGCTGCTCCAAATGGAGCCATGGTGTCCCAACTGAACATTCCGTCGCGGACGCGTATGCAGAGATTATCCGAAACAGCGAGCATTTTGTCTACATCGAGAACCAGTTCTTCATCACAGCTACGTCGGACGCGCAGAAACCTGTCCAGAATAGGATTGGATCTGCCATCGTGGAACGTATTCTGCGTGCTGCTCGCGCGGGCCAGAAGTACAAGATCATTGTCGTTATCCCGTCTGTACCGGCTTTCGCGGGTGATCTGAAGGCTGACTCGACGCTGGGTACTCGTGCTATCATGGAGTTCCAGTACAACAGCATCAACCGTGGTGGGAACAGTATCATGGAGCTGATCGCGAAGGAAGGCTACAACCCGATGGAGTACATTCGGTTCTACAATCTGCGGAACTATGATCGCATTAATCTTAGCGGAGCGCTGTTGGCGGCTCAGCAAACAAGTGGTGTCAACTACGAGGACGCTCGCAAGACTCATGACGCTGGGGTCACTGGGCATGGTCATGGTGCGCCGAGTGCCTTCGACACGACGGCTGCATATCAGCAAGCTGCATATAGCGCGACTGGCGGTAAGGCGTCGTCTGGCCCTGGCCGGTGGGATAGTGTCAGCGAGTGTTACATGCTTGGCGGAGAGGATATCAGAAATGTTCCTTGGGAAGGACCACCAGACGCTGAAATCGACGCATTTGTCAGCGAGGAATTATATGTGCATACGAAGGTATGTTAATCCAACCTTCTCGCTGTTTTCAGTCAGGCTAACCAGATAATGATAGGTCTTGATTGCGGATGACCGCACTGTGATCTGTGGTTCAGCCAACCTGAACGACCGGTCTCAGCTGGGCACGCATGACTCGGAGATTGCTCTCATCATCGAAGACCACAGTCCTGTCCCGTCGACGATGAACGGACAGCCGTGGACGGCAGGCCGCTTCGCGGCGTCTCTGCGTCGGCAGCTCTTCCGGAAGCATCTGGGACTGCTCCCGCCGCAGAACTACCAACAACCCGATGCCAACTGGGAGCCCGTGGGCGTTCCGAACCAGTTCGACTTCGAGTCACCGGAGAGCCATCTTGTGGCCGACCCACTGGCGGATGTCTTCCAGAACCTGTGGAACAGCCGGGCACGCACCAACACAGAAGTGTATCGCAAGGTCTTCCACTCTGTTCCGGATGACACGGTGCGCAACTGGGATGCGTACAAGGAGTTCTTCGAGTACTACTTCCACGGGGCCAACAGCGAGGCCGGGGGCGATCAGAAGATCTTCCGCCCGCCGCGGTATGACTGGGGACATGTTGTGCGGGACGATTTCCCACCGGGACCGGAGGGAGCACGGCAGGTCAAGGAACTGCTCAGTCAGGTCAAAGGCACGTTGGTTGAGATGCCGTTGATGTTTTTGATCGAGGAGGACGTGGCGAAGGAGGGATTGACGCTCAACGATCTGACGGAGCCGATCTACACATGATCTGTTGCTTCTCTCTCCTTTCTTTTTTACATATATATTATTATTATCGTTATTTATTTATTTATTTATTTCTTCTGGTAATCAATAGCAGTTGGATTGATGTCTTCAATCAGTATCAGCATTTGTCGTATCTTTGCAGTAGACAAAGAAGTATTGTTGTTGAGAACAATAGCATGGCGGCTGCCTTCGATTGGCCCAGTGTGCTGACGGGCAGCGGTGATTGGTTGGCTGCACAAGTATAGATGCCCGTTCTTGCAGGCATCAATTTCATATATTTCATATATTGTGCATCCTAGATGAATCCTTTCACTACTACTAGTAGTAAACAATCCCACATCAATCCTGCATGAATAGCCAGATGTGGCATGTACTCATTGTCTCTACATACGATAATGGTCTGCCAGAGATAACAAGTGAGCTGCTGCAGCCACTATCACTGTCCAAAGCCTGTCTTCCTTGACTGGATTTCTCCACAGGCAACTGTCAGTCTGGTCTATATCATGTCAGGAATAGAAACAAAGAAGCAAAAATCCCAGTTGGAAATATCTGGTGTGGGAGTGGATGTCCTGTCCTGATCAGCCAGGATGATGACTTGAGGGTGGCAAGGACCTAGAGGGGGAATTCTGCTCTGCTGACATGGGAGATGCCATACTCAGGGTAGATGATGGATGTCTCCTGTAAGTCTTTGTCTACTTCTGTCTCTGTGACTGAAAGTGGAGATGTGTCTCTGGGAATCTCCAGCTTGATTCCTGTCTCCTCCTATGAGCATTGATGTTAGTAGCAGGTATTCATCATTGGTCTTCTTTACTCTTCTTTCCAGAACTCCAATTCACTTGCAAATACTTATTCTTAGGTCAAATGACTTCTTTCAGGCAATTTCAGGTGATCTCAGGTGATCCTAAGTGATTCTGCATACGCAATACAAAGGTATAAATACCCCCTCTTTCACAATACTCTCCTGCCTTCATTTCTTCTTACTATCACTTCTCACATCTCTCAAGCAAAGAACTTTCTTCAGAGCTCCTCTCTACTACAAACTCCTCAGTCAATATCTCCTCTTCGATCTTAAGCTTAAACTACTCTACCTCTACTACCAAAATGCCTAACCGTCCTCAGGGTTGCACTCTTGGTGTGGGTGGTTAGTGATCTTTCCTACAATTATTCCTAGGCACAGTGAGTCTTGACTAACAGCTTATCTCTAGGCCCCATGCAGGGTTGCACTGTTGGAGTCACTAAGGGTTTGTTCAATCCCTTCTGTTGTCTTCCCTTAAGTTCTTTTATAACATGCTGATGTCCTTCCAGCTCCTATGCAGGGCTGCATTGTCGGCTAAATGCCTTGAAAGCTTAAAGAATGAATCGAATTTGAACATGATCTTCTGTTCTTTCGATTGACCCACCGGCTTTTTCTACCTTGTCAACTTGACAACATGGGGTTGAATGACTCGATGTGATTCGGCTTGATTCTTTTCTATTATTCCTCATCTTCTTTCTTTCAATATACTCGACTCAGCTCTCAACAATTACGAAACGACATACAAGACATGGCATTACGAACCGGCTTGCCTTGCGTGATGGATTTACTGTGGATACATAGACAAGAACGGAGCTTGAGAAGGGTGCAAAGGAGAAATTGGGGAATTTACTAAGGAGTCGTTGGATTATGTCCTCTTGTTCATCTCCATTTGTTCAAATGAGTTTCTCTTTGATTTGTTGATTTGTTAGTTTCTCGCTCCCTCGAGAGGAACCCTTTTCGCTCTTGCTTAATTATCTCTTTTCCTGTCATGGAAGATCGATTGATAAAGGGGTGGGAGTGAAAATGGGGTCTTTTCTGGTTGATAGCTTGAGAGTGAAACTGAAACTGGATTTTCAGTTTGTTGTTTGAAAACTGACTCTGCTCTGGTCTGTATCTGCGGGTGCTTTGAACATCACGGTCTACTCAGTAGAGTAGCTTGTCTATGGCTGTAGGAAAGTAAAAGCAACGTGTTCTTCGTAGACAATTATATTACTTAAAAAAAAGCATTGAAGGTTCAAATCATCGGATACGCATACTACACAGTTTTATCCCTTATCTCCTCCACAATCCTAACATCCTCCGTAGACGGTCCCTCAAGCTCAGAACCATCGAAGACATCACCCACGACGTCCTCAACCTGTCCCAACACATTCGAAACCACGCCCACAGACCTCATCATGCCAATCTGACACATACTCTCTCCCACCACCGCCTCAAGCTGTCCGCTGCCACCGTTCTGCGTTAAGTCGGCTTCGAAAGCACGGATGACAGATCGCAGTGGCTCCAGAAAACGCGTCCGGAAGTAGCCGTAACTTTTCCCCAGCTGCAGGCGGTCACGAAGAGCAGGGGATGAGATGAGAATGTAATATAGACTAAGCGCAGAGTGAATCGGGGGTGTCAGAATCTGCGTGAACCGGGACCACGAGGCTACGATGTCCGACGTGGTATTAAGCCTGAGGTCTACGGAGTCGAAGAGCAAAGGGAAAAGGACCGAGAAGTAGTGCGGGTCGAGGAAGATGTTATCAGGGTCTGACGATATCTGGTCTGCTGCGGACAATATCTCGTCCTTAAGCCATCCAATAGCGCTGTCCTTGAGCGTCTGTAGCTTATTGTCTTCCAGAATGTGCCGGATGATTTTGAAACGGGACAGTGGTGACGGGTTGCTATGGACGACGGTTGCGGGGATCCGTCGAACAGTGCCGTAGCTCTGTCGTGCGGTGCACGCGGTCAGTGACAGGACGAAATCCCCGAACTCCTTCTCATCTGCTGGGTTCCCAATCGGCTTCCTGATGGAGAGGATGGTCAGGGCGAGCAGAGAGTCTAAGAGGATCCGAGGTTGTCCGAAGGACACTGCATCGGGAGTCTCAAAGGTACCGATAAAGTTTGAGTAGATGTATGCCAATTCAGGGTATATTAGAATCGGGGAGGCTTCTTGCACTGAAGAAAACAGCGTTAAGGTTGCCGCACGAGCTGCTAAGAGGAGGAGCGCTCCGTGCCGTTCGATCGGGATTTCCTCTGGATTCTTTGGCATCTCTTCAAAGTCAAGTGGTGGGAGATGGCCTGCAGATGGCGTGGACACAATCTCAACCAGCAACTTGTCACTGAGGCCAAGGTCCCGAGAGAGTGCCTAGTTGTAATGTTAGCAATAGGTCATGAATCGGCTCATGTTGGCTTGGGGACAGACAGTGATCATCCCCACGATCATATCCCTCTCAGCGAGATTTTTGGTAGTCACATAATTTTCAGTCTGCGAGTAGCGCTTAGGCAAACGCGACTCGGGGTGCAGTTTCTCCTGCAATCGGACAGCCCAGGACATGCCCGGATCCATGGGACTGGAGAGACTCAAGAGGTACGATTTGAGAACCTCGACGAGGCCAAACTGCAACAATTTCTTGACAAGCGCCCCTTCATCGTTGGTGGTTGCAGACGAGCGGGTTTCAGCCTCGGGGTCTGGAGCAGACACTCTGGAAACACGCACGACGCTGGATTCCGTTGGGACTCTTGGAGGCGGAGCAGGCCTCTTGGTGGGGGACACTTCTCTGAAGAACTCAAGAAGAGCCAACGTTGTCTCACTTGTCGGCATCAGAGTGTATGCTTCTAACGCAGCCTGGAGTGAAGTTGCGACGAATCGACTGGGATACTTGGTCCGGATGCGAGTATGGAGCACGGACAGCATGGCTATGAGGCAGTTGAATTGCAGAATGTGCGCCGGAAGAGACTGTTTTTTTTGGTCATTAACATTCCAATCGCCAGACGTAGTCTTTTCAAACTGAGTTTCTTGCGCAGTTGATGCCACTGCTGGTAGTTCACTGGCCGTTTCAGACTTGTCGTGGTCGTCCTCTGGCTGGAGCTTCATCAGAGCATCGGAGACGCTCAGGATGACTTCCCTCGGATTTCCCAGTCTTGCGATGTCGCTCAAGCAGTCTTGGGAATCAGGTAGCATGGGCAAAAGCAGCTGAACCAAATCCCAGCCAATGTTGGTGGTGAGCGTTTCATCCTGCAGCAGCCTGTGCAGCGTGGGCAAGCGGGATCGGGTTAATTGGTACTCCAACAGGGTCAGGTAGGTGAGATAGTCTGTGGTGGGGGGGAGTGCCTGGACCAGAGGATCATCTTGATCGGCCATTACGGGCTCAGTAGCAGACAACCAGCACGGGGGGATCCAGAAGGAGAGAAATCATGGGAAAAGAAGAGAGAAGCCGAGGACGGCGATGTGCGTGTTCCTGATCCAGTGACATCACCGCCCGCCAGATAACGCTGCGCCATCTATGAAGGGAGAACTGCATTGTCTACGCCATGTATACGATGAAAATCCCCGGAGACATAGAGGCTTGGAAAGCAGCATCTGAGGACAACAAAGGACAAATGCACTACAGTATAACGGGGGACTGGTTGGAGCTGCAGCATATGGAACCCGCTGGAGAGACCGCAGCAGACACCACATGGTCGGATGCAGACAGATATTCGTATAACATAAAAGACTCGTGGATACAGCATCTTAAACATCGTGCGTCCTCGTATGAGCCTGCAGAAGCTGCACAGTGAACATAATATCTCAAGACACGCGCAGTCCTCGCCCCATCATCAGTTCGCAGAATGCCGCCAGAATGCCATCGTATGATTGAAATGTTGAAGTGGCATTGCATTCCCGACACATTTCCCAACAGTAATCAGCCGGGGAGGGTTTTAATTAATGCATCTAGAGATGGTGGAGGATGAATTAGCAGACGCGAGTGGCCATCGAACAGTGTCTGGCATGCAGATACAGACCGACTATTTGAAGCGACGGCGTGTTTCCACACGACAATTGGCCAGAAATCCCCGTAGAGTAGAAGAGAGGCTGTTAAGCATGGATCATGAAGATGGAACACAAAGATCGCAATGTCTGGTTCCTGGGGGTCTGTGATTGTATGCTACCGACGAATCCGCCGATGAAGCTCGTCGATGGTGAGTTATTAAATACCCGGCCCGATCTCTCTCTCTGTGTCGCCGGCGACTCCCTTTCTTCTCTCCCTTTCAATCTCTGCTCAGAGCGTTTCTCTTCCTCTTCCTCTTCCTCTTCCCCCCTCGATTGCTTCGCTTTGTACACTCCTCTCTCTTTCTTATCTCTTCCGTGCTAGACCCGTTGTTCTAGTATCCATTGCGTTCCGACTCGACTGATTTTTGCTCCCTACTATTCCCTACCACCGTGCTCTCCCCCCGTCGTATTCGGATGCAGCTGGAAACCACATTAGAAGGGAAATACCGAAGCAATTAGGAGAGAAATAAAACAGAGACCAGGAAAACATCCAGTACTACTACGCTTGACGGCGGGGTAGGAATTCTCCCTCTTGACGGAGCGACCCTCTGCGACTTCCCTTCCCCTGTCCGTGTTCTCGCAAGAAAGAAGGGGGAAAGAAAGAACAACATCCCCTACAATGGCGTCTGAAACGCAGTCCTTCTACACCTCGACATCTGCGGCGCAGATCTCCTCGCATGCCTCGCCAGCGGTGGATGAATTCATCAGCAAGTACTCCACCATGACCAATTCGAGCGTGGTGTCGGTCAGCGATCCGTCCCGCAAGAAACGCCGGAATGTCCTGCGGCGCTTCGTCGACCGCGTCCGTCTTGAATACTATCGCTATGAAGTCACGTACGGCATTTATACTATGACTCCCGGTGAAAAAGCCGTCGCCAACACCTTCGTCGTGGTTGTCCTGTCGCTTCTTCTCTGGACCGCGCTGTTCTACTTCCCTTCACTGCTCTACCGGAAGCTCAGCCGACTCATCTGGTTGCTGACCGGTCATTCCGGCGAGGAGATGAGTGTCGTTTGGACAGCGTTCGATACGCATGGCGATGCGATGTCTTCCGCAAGCAGTGCGCTGAATCTTTGATGAGATGACTGCGTTGACGAAATCCTTTTTCTTCACCCCCTTTTCCAATATTCTTTTTGCCTTTACTTTTTTTCCCCCTCTTTTGTATAATAAGCAACGACCCTAATATCTTAATTCTGTATGAACTTTCACTGGGATGCCAGGTGCACAAAGCGCTTTATGGTAAGTGTCGCATGTCCTGCATCTGCTTGCGATATGCTACTTTCAAAATACTGACAGATCTTGGATCTTCATAGGTTCTCAGTCTCCCCTGATTCTCAACTGCTGTTGATTGCCAGAGCACATACACCTTCTTGGGTTTCAGTATATACATCTTCCTCACCACAGCGAGATCGGCCCGATAGACTTAATAAATGTAGTGGGGAGGGGACCCCAAGCCAAAGCGTTTGAGGTGGTTGCTAAGAAAGAGCAGGGATTGCTATTCTTTTCCTCGCTTTGTTTTCCACGGTGTTCTGGGTCGGGATTGGAATCAGCTATGGGCCTGTTCTGAGTCTTAATGTTCTTACTTCTCTTTTCCTTGTTATTGTGACAGTGATAATAATGATGATGCTATGCAGCATCGAGTATCATATCCAAGTAATTATTATAATGTCTAATAAAGCCAGACGGTTGCGAATGGCCAGGATCTTGCTTCGGAACAGGCACAGGCCTCGTAGGGCGCGCCTTGAAAGCTGAAACAGCGGACTGCACAAGGGGCAGGAGACAGCTCAGCCACCATTTTATTAACCAGAGAAACACGTTCATTAAAAATAAATATATAAATGCGTGGCGGACGCTGACGTCCAACTTTGCAACGTCGAGGCGCGTGCTTCGCCTAATTTATTACTCCTCCGTGCTCCATTCAGAACAGCTGCACTGCCGCCTGGCTGCCTCGCTCTCCTTGGCTTTGCGTGTCTTTCTTTTGCATCCTTCTCTCCTCCAGGCATCGATTCCCCGTCTCTCTTTAAACGGCGTACGCTCATTCCCGTCCGCCTCGATTCCTTCTTACAGCCCCCGTCGCTCGTTGCGGAGACAGATGTATCGGATTTTTGCTAGTCCAGCACCATCTCATTAGAGAAACGAAAACCCAAGGTATCTCGATCTCGACATTGACATGGCTGCGAATGAATATTACAATCCCGCTGGAGGGTATGGCCACAGTCCCTCTCGCCTACACCCTGCAGAATATAGCGGCCTCGCTGGGAATCCCTATACCACCCACCACGACCCTTATGCTCTGAATAGCCAGCAATCGTTGGTTTCGGATAATAGCGACCCATTTTCTGTCCCTGGAAGAGTCCCCGAACATGATCAATATGCCGATGACATCCCGTTGAAGTCTCATGCCCAGCCCCCAAACGCGCCGCCGCCAAACTGGATGCAACAGCCCACCCAGTATCCTCCCGCACCGGTGGACCAGCCATTTCCGGGTCCGATGGCCGAGGCAGGACGCCAGGGCATGAGGGGGAGGGGGAGGAGGAGGAGGGGTTGTTTCAGGAAGAAGATTCCGTGGGTGACATATATCCTATCGACAGCTCAGATTGTGGTTTTCATTGTAGAGCTCGTGAAGAGTGGTAAGGTTTCGCCCCGGAATCGATGTTTAGATGTCCAACGTCGGGACATACCCAGCTTCCCAACAACGAACTGGCGACTGACTGACCCTTTTGTTCATTGCAGCCCAACTTACAGGATCACCGATTGAAACCAAGCCCACCTTCAATCCCATGATCGGTCCTTCTCCGTATGTCCAGATCAACATGGGTGCGCGATTTGATCCATGCATGAAGAATGTCGAAGGAGTGCAGAACGCGAACGATACTATATCTTGGCCTTGTCCCAACTCGACTTCATCTGTCGCGAGCTGTACCCTGTCCGAACTGTGTGGTTTCAACGGAGTGCCTAATCCCCATGTTGGAGGTTCAGTGCATGACTCACCGGCGCCCGACCAGTGGTTTCGGTTCATTATTCCGATGTTCCTTCATGGTGGCTTTGTCCATATCGGCTTCAACATGATTGTACAGCTCACAATGGGCGTAGACGTTGAGAGAATGGTCGGTTGGTGGCGGTATGCCTTGGTTTATGTGGCCAGCGGGATCTGGGGGTTTGTCCTGGGCGGGAACTACGCTGGTGAGGGTATGTCCTCGACCGGTTGCTCGGGTTGCTTGTTCGGTATCCTGGCTCTGTATGTCCTTGATCTCCTTTATACCTTCAAAGAGCGGCAATCACCATGGGTCGAGTTGATCGTCATGATTGTCGGAGTGGGTATCTCGTTCGTTCTGGGCCTGCTTCCTGGGCTCGACAACTTCGCCCATATTGGGGGGTTTATCATGGGACTTGCGCTGGGCCTGTGCATCCTGAGATCCCCCAATGCGCTCCGGGAACGTATTGGCCTTGCTCGGAATCCATACGTTGCCATGAGCGGCGGTGCTGGACCAGAAGACGAAAATAAAACCAACCATATCGGAGTCGTTGATTTCTTCAAAGCTCGACGGACACGTTCGACCACCGATGACACCTCCGGTCCACTTGGATTCTTCAGGGGTCGAAAGCCACTGTGGTGGGCTTGGTGGCTTGTCCGGGTGGGAGCATTGGTTGCGGTTCTCATCGGTTTCATCTTGCTTATCGTCGACTTCTACAAGTACCCCAAGTCAAACTGCTCGTGGTGCTACAGACTGAGCTGCTTGGTAAGTCTTGCCCGTTCTACACTTGTATTCCAGCTATGTCTTGCTAATTTCTTTCGGTTTTCGTTTAGCCGATCAAAAACTGGTGTGACGAGGGCAAGTTGCAATTTAACCAAAATCAATGAGTGATACCCGCTATCTTCGCATTCTTTTGTTTCTTCGAAGATTTCAGTCTATGCAGTTTCTTGTGTCTCTTGTTACTATCATTTTCGGCGCATTTTTCACAGGTGTTGATGGGTTTAACGGGAATGTGTTGGGATACACAGCATATGAGATATCACGTCACCTTTTATTTTATCTACCGTCGGATTAGCCCACGGGCATTTTGGGATATCTGTCTCTGTTAAAGAAACTATTGTGGGGGGGGGTTCCACCATTCTTTTGCTTCTGCTGGCCTCCATGGCTATAATGCCGGCTTGGATATTTATGACAGTCAAAACATGCGCGGTCGATGTCATTATTGCGCTTGGGATAAGCCACTGTGATAATTATATTTGAATTTAAAAGTAATAGTGGTAGTATGTAGCTATTTATACCGCAATGATATCCAGTGGCTGTGCAGTCGGCCATTTACCGGGTTTATTTACTGCATCTTGGCTGGCATCTACAACTTACGGAGCCTCAAGCCATTCCCATCCATCATTCTATCGCCTTGTTTTTCGCAGTCCTTCACTCATCCTGCATGTTGCATTATTTTATTTCTCCTGACTGATCCTACTAATCCCTGTACCCTCCTTGTTACAATTTTCACTTGCTCCGAGACACCTCCCCTTCCGAGGACAAGGAATATCGTTCCTCCCCTCAGTTCGCCGATATGAGAACAGTCCGTGCCTAGAACCTCTGCGAATTTCAACGTGCTCGTTTATACAACATAGTCCGTATCAATCGAGAGGCGTCGCGTGCCACAATACCTTCCCTTCCGGAAGCAAGGATGGCGACTATTGCCTCGCCATCACCCTCTCCTTGGCCGAAACGCCGTGCCCGGGCCTGGGCTATTCGATGCGAACGGTATTTCTGTCTACTAGGGACGTATTTCCCCTTAGCCTTCGTCTACAGTCTTACTACATGGGCGGTATATGTGGAGGCCGGTTTGGGATTCAAGTCTTCTCGGAGCAACTGGATCGGTGCGTGAATAGAGAGATTCGGGAAAACGAACGGAGACAGAGAGATGCTAACAGGCAGGATTTAATCGATTATAGGAATCCCCAGTTCGATAGTTGGAGTCGCTCTTTATCTCATACTCAATGCCTGCTATAGCGTGGCCGTGTTCACTGACCCCGGATCGCCGTCGATGGTCAACACTCGCGGGAAGGGTGGTCGACAACACCAGTACAGTGTTTTACCGGTCACAGAACCGGCAGAGTATACGGCCTTCACTGTGAGCTCCACCGGGGGCTCTCGATTTTGCAAGAAGTGCCAGTGTCCCAAACCGGATCGGGCGCATCACTGCTCCACATGCAAGCGTTGTGTGCTGAAGATGGACCATCATTGTCCCTGGCTGGCAACTTGTGTGGGTCTGCATAATTACAAAGCATTCTTGCTATTTCTCATATATACGACTCTGTTCTGTTGGGTTTGTTTTACTGTTTCGGTGTTGTGGCTCTGGGCTGAGATCTTTAGTGACTGGGCACCCTCAGATGCTGGGTTGCCTGTCAGTGTCGTGATCCTATCCCTCCTGGGAGGTGTTATTGGGTTGGTACTGACGGGATTTACGGCCTGGCACATCAGCTTAGCCGTTCGGGGTATGACTACCATTGAAAGTTTGGAGAAAACGCGCTACGTGTCCCCGTTGCGCATGGCCTTTAACGGACGTCGATTTGGAGGTCAAAATGGCCAGTCCTTGGGGGATACCTTTGGCCAGCGGCTGCAGGATTACGGGAATCAGATTCTGGAAGCTCATGCGAATGCGATTCCTGGCGTCACTCGAGCGGAGGAAGGAGAGGAACGGGCTTCGCCCACCCCAGAGCCACGCCCTGTCCCTCTCCCGTCCGATGATGCGGATCTTGCGCACCATAATACGAACAACTTTACCCCTGCACAACAGTCCTTGTTCCGTTCTTATGCCGACTTTGAGAGGCGACGCGAACAAGATCGATACCAGGACTACCTGGACGAGAAAGACAGCGACAAGATGCCCTGTGCATTTGACTTAGGCTGGCGCCGCAACCTAATACATCTGTTCGGTGACCGGCCACTTCTATGGTTCATCCCCGTCCACACCACTTCGGGAGACGGTTGGCATTGGGAACCGAGTAAGAAGTTTCTGGAAGCACGAGAGCAGCTCAGAGTAGAGCGAGAACGCGAACTGGCTCGTGAACGGCAGTACTACCAGGATCTATACCGACGTAATATGAATAACAGCAGAGCCTGGTTAGGAGATGCTGCACCTCGGACACCTTCGTTGGGCATACCTAACAGGCACAGTTTTAACGACTCGGAGAGACCCGGCACGGGAGTGTCCATGAAGACCCTGGCTCCAATGTCACCTCGTTCGAGCCGGGAGGATACTGAATCTGAGGAGGAGAATAATTTCGACGAGAACAACCTCCTTCTGAACCGGGGAAGCAAAGTTCCCGCGTCAAGTGATAATAGAAACGAGGCGTCAAAATTGAAGCGGACAAAGGGGCATAGAGAAGAGACGGATGAATGGAGCCATTGGGATTAGAAACAACGGTGGTTCTATGAATTTGTCGGAATACGGAGTGCATCGCATAGCGATGGCGTTTGGTTCTTTTTTCCCTCCTAATTATGGCTACTTGTATAATTGATGTCTGATGTGTTTACTTAATGCACGCTTTACACGAATATCATGGTTCTTCAGGGACGGCCCGTAGACATGAAGACTATCGTCGAAAGTGGCGACGTCACGGTTCTTTCTCATCGACAGCACAGGACAGCTTGGCTTCTTCTCCCTCCTCTCTTCTACTCTTCCGTCCTGGTTGCATTGCGAGGGACTCCATTCCATCGCATATTCACTCTTTTTATCCATGTTTAGTTGTCTGGAACATTCGCCGAGTCTTTTGACCTTGCGTCTACACGCTGTACAGTCCTTATCACTCCACGTCCATTTATAGCATCTACACGATTCACTTCAACACTCGAAAAGAAAACAGAATATTACAACTCTCCAAACAGTTTCATACATACCAATAAAAAGAAAACACCAAGAAATCCCGACAACAATGTCATCCTCAGCCCGCCGCTTGATGAAAGAAGCAGCCGAACTCTCCTCCTCCCCATCCCCCCATTTCCACGCCCACCCCATCTCCGACAACCTCTACGACTGGCACTTCACGCTCTCCGGCCCTCCCTCCTCCCCCTACGCAAACGGCATCTACCACGGCCGCATCATCCTCCCACCAACCTACCCCCTCCGGCCGCCCTCATTCCGCTTCCTGACCCCCTCCGGCCGCTTCGAAGTCAACCGCGAGATCTGCCTGAGCATTTCAGGTCACCATGAGGAAACATGGCAGCCGGCGTGGGGGATCAGGACGGCGCTTATAGCTATTCGCAGCTTTATGGAGGGCGATGCGAAGGGGCAATTAGGTGGGCTGGATGTTGATGATAGGGTGAGGAAGGAGTGGGCGGAGAAGAGTCGGGGGTGGCGGTGTGAGGTTTGTTCTGGGCGTTTGAAGACGAATGAGGAGATACTGCATGAGTGGAGGGAGTATTGTAGGGAGAAGGGAGTTGTGGTTGATGGGCAGGGAGGGGAGGTGTTAGTTTCTTCTGGTGGTGATGGGAAGGAATCTTCCTCACGATCTGATGGGGATAATGATAAAGATGGTTCAAATTCAGGTCTGTCACTGGATGAAAACTCACCTGCAGGAGTTGATGCATGCGCCATTTATTCAAATGCAGTGTCATCGTCAATATCGACATCGACGTCGACATTGTTGTCAAGGGATCCTCGTCCTGATTCAACCACAATATCAGATTCAAATCCCACCTCGAATCTAGTTCCGGATCAAAATCAGAATCAGAACCAAAACCAACCCTCAAACATCTCTTCTGCCCATCAGTTCCCTCAACAACAGCAACACCAGCAGCCCTTTCCGATCCCTCAACAGCAACAATCCACCAGCGAACCCTGGCTTGATCGAGCCATCATGGGCGTCACGGCTACCCTTGTCTTTATGATTCTGCGAAGGATCCTGAATTCCTATTACGATGACTACGTCTGAACAGTTCTTATTGATGGTTTTTGTTTCGGTTATGGACCCCGTTGTACGGCATTTGGGTTGGCTTTTAGGCGTTCCTTCTTACCCTCTCTATCTTATACATTCAGTGGCGTCTAGGATTCAGGGGGTTCGGTTCTGAGGGTATTGTTATTAGGTTTTAGATATTCATGTGGCGTTTTCCAGTGAGAATAATATCTATATGGGTGTTGCTTTATTTGATCTGCGCTGAGTGTACTTAACATATTTGCCATCCGTATAATAGAAGAGACACTTGGAAATGAACTGTACGAAGTTGATAAAAGCTCATGCTACAAAGTAGGTACACAGTGAGTATATACAACAACCTCACTTCAATACCAGCCACCAATTCTCCTGGACTGCCCATCCAGGACGTTCCTCAGCAGGAAGCTTACGATCCAAATCATCATCAACATCAACATCTCTTACGCCCACAACTCCAACGGCCAGCATCCACTCGAGAAGAAGCTGAACCTCCCACGCACCCATGGTGGGCTTCAGCATGCTCGCAATGCCAGCTGCGCTGATGCCAGGACGGATAGCGACGGAGCCTATCACGGCGGCAACGGCAAGATCCCAGAGAACTTTGATGAAGTTTCCATGGAGATCGAACCAGATTGGGATCTTGTACGGGTAGGTTATCGCGTTCGATTTGTTCAAGTTCATGGTCATGTTGGTATCGGTGTTCTCCTCCACTGGACGAGGAGGGGGAACATGAGATGCTTTCTCCTGGACCGGGTTTCCAAATTCATACATGCCTTTGACAGGTTGGACCTCGATGGCAAAGTATAGTTTAGATTTCTCAATTTTCCGTGTCAGGTATCCGCCCTCGGTCAGACCGAACTTGTCGCGTGGAGGATCACGCGGTCGTAGAATCACTTTCCCGCTGGCAGTGAGGTTGATCAAGGCTAGAATGTCGCCGTCTTCGGCGCCGTACTGGATTTCATAGGTTCCAGGCCCGCCTTCGTCGGTGCGGAAGACTGGGTCAAGGGCTTTGGTTTTGAATCGTGCCGCGCGTCGTAGTGGAGTGCTGTCTATGAAGCGTCTCCGGCTCAGGGTCTGAAGGAAATGTTCTGTAAGGTCATAGTTGCGGCCGGGTGTGATACGGCCGCGGTTTCCCATTAATATGACGCGTTCTGTCACTAGGGACTGTACGGCATGGCTTATCATGTCTTCGCCAAAGCAATTTAGCGCTCTTCGCGCTTCAATGGGATTGTACAGCTCCTCGGGTGTGGTGACGTTGGCTCGGACCCATGTCTTGGCTACCTCCAGAGATGCAAGGTAAGAGTTCTTTTCTTTGCGTGCTGTCGTTTCAAGACGATAGCCTTGCAGGGGGATCGCAAAAGGCACGCTGGCGAAGAGGGTTCGCTTGCGATACGTCGTGATATTCTGGGTGCTCTGGTATATATCGTCGAGCGCGGACAACGGCGTTTCCTCGCGTAACTCGAAAAGACCATCGAACTGTTCCCTGGTAGCTGGAAGGTCAGGCATCTTCCCCGACGGCGTTGGAACGTCCAGTTGCGCGGCAGCCCAACTGATAACCCTGTTCCAATCGTACCCTTCCAGATTATCATAGTCAATCCGAGGAACCTGGTCCTTTTCATATGCTCCGATGAACCGTTCTTGGAAGTCACTTTGCATCTTAGCGATTTGTAATCTATTCTTATTGAGGACATGTTTCGCACGGTCGTGTATGAATCCGGGTTCATGGTCTGGGAAAATTTTTGACATGACCCCCCAATCGATCCACCTACCATCCACGCCTCCGGCCAATCCTCGAACCACCGCGATGGAGATCATAATCCGCTTGAGCAATGGATCAGGCACGAACTGAGGTCGACTGCGACGGGCCACTGGTTTTGTGGATGCCATCTGACCTGTGAAGCTGTCATTCTCCAATGCAGCCATTGACTCATTCAGCTTCGCTAGGCGACGATTTCTTGTTGGAACGGTGCCAGTAGAGGACTGTCTAGATGGTCTTATGGGCTCATTGTGACTTTCCACAAAGGCATCAGTTGCCGGTCGGATATCCGACAGTGCGTAACGGTGAGCTGCTTGTCTAGTAATCTTAGGCTCTAGCTCCTGGAGCGATGGCCGGCTGGGTTCATCAGTATCAAACCGGATGGCTCCCTCAATTGGGACCGCATCAAATGAATCCTGGACCGTCTGGTTTATGTATCGAAGATCCACACTTCTCCTGCGAAGGAGGGCCTGGCTATCGAGCTCCCATTTAAGAATCGCCTCGTTTTCAGACAAAAATTTGCTCGAACGAGGGTCAGGTTTGGCAGAGAAATCAGCTTCCCCCTCTCGTGTCTCGGCAAGGATGTCTTCTAGGGACTCTGGCAAGGTCGTTGTGACTACTGCAGCAGTTCGCTTCTCTCGTGTAAATTGTGGTCTACGAAGCGATGCTAGGCCAGCATCCGTGCCAAAGGTTCCTGAGGACGCGTGAAATGTCTGCTTTGGGTGTATGAGCATGGCATAAGGGGCCATAGGAACTAGAAGTCGCCTCATTCGTGGCCCGCGCATTTCTCCTTCATGCCGTCTTAGTGGCCTGGATATCGACGTGAGACTGTTCATAACAGGTGATTGTTCCCTCAGCAGCGCTGGCATCAGCGGTGCACGACGGATTTGCAGAAGACGAACAGGTCGGCCAGTTTCATCATCAACAGCCTCTGCTCTAAGTTGAATGTCTCTGAGAAGTCGCCGCTGGGCATTTCGTACGCCCCTCTGTTCCCTATGCAAAACATAAGCCGGCTTATTCTGCAATCTAACCGTCATACCAGTCTCGATAGGAAACGGTGCGTTTGGATCCCGAGGGGTTAGTCTTCTACCGCTCTTGGTTAATTCTGCGTTCATCTCGGTGTTTTGTGGGAAATGGAACCCAGATCCTGCTGAAAGCATTCCTTTTTGCATTTCCTTCACAAGGGGATCATCTGGCCGTACATCAGGTTTTGTCACAATGCTCTTCGTGATCATGACTCCTCGACTGTCTTTACCGCTGAAGGTCAACTGCCGAAGCTTTCCTGAGTCTATTAAATGTTTGACGGTGCTTTTGATTGTGCGCATATCCGGCTTCTCCTTGAACTTCATCTTCATCCACATAGTTGTAAATGGATACCAGAGTTCGGTGCCCATCGGGAACGCTCCTCCAGCCTTCTCCACGATATCCATTATTGTCTTCCTTCGGAGAAGAGCAACTGAGCCCCCTCGTTCCGCCCTCTTTCTTCTACCTGGGAATCTTTGCGCTTCGGGGGTCTGTGAAGCATCACCGTGGCCACCAAACTGCTGTTCTTCTCCAGGAGTCCCTCCAGCTGTTTTATCAGGAACAGAACCGTCAACAGGCATTACATCTGGGGCTGTACCAATGGCCAGAGTAGTATTCGAAGTCGCATCTTCAGGCAGTACTTCAATGGACCCATCCTTTGCACGTGGCACCGCAACGCTCGGCAAAGCCTCGATTTGAGCAGGAGGTTCTGCTAGGTGCTCACCTCCTGCCAATGTAGACAACCCACTTTCGCCGGGCCTCTTGCTTGACGATACTTCCTGGGCCGCGTCCACAATTGAAATACTATCAGCATGACCATCCTCTTGATGAGATCGCTGTGCTTGTTTACTTCTGTGCATTCGAACATCCTCCAGGGAATCTTCAGCCACTTGCTTGCTAGATTTTGGAGGCAAATCTCTCTCCCATTTAGACTGGAGCTGGGAGGCGGTCTCAATTGATTCGGTAATACGGGGCTGTCGGACTGTTTGCGCGGCTATATGGCTTTCAGGGGTTTTCTCGATGGACATAACGACATCTTGTACACTAACAACATCAGGCCCCTTGAGACGTGGTTGCTTCGGTGGCCGTCCTCTTTTTCTTCCAGACGACGGGGTGATTTCCGGAACGGTCTTCATCTCAACTGCATCAATATCCTGGTGGTTTCTCTTATGCCCTCTTGAGTTAGCAGAGGGGGCTTTTTCGGGTGTCTCATGAATAAGTTGTTCCTTGAAAGGGAGATTTTCAGAAGGTGCTGGAGTCTGTCGATGTCCGGACGGCTCAGCCTCCTGCACAAGCATTTTTAGTAATGGATCTGTAGCTGCCGTTTCCTCTTCGACGAACCAAGGAAGTGAAGTCAACTGGAAGGACTTGAAAACAGCTATCCTGCTAATCCTGGGGCGTCCCTGTCTTTTACCGGCTGGCCGCCGTCGACCGCGAGGAGTTATATATACTCCGGAGGTAGGCCGATCAAGAAGCAGAACACTGTATTCGGTGTAGGTTTCATCTAGACCGAGGACCGCGAGTCTCTCTTTCCGAGACATTCCCTTGAACTGCTCGGGGTCCAATTTCGGCTTTTTGCGGCGCGTGACCTTGGAGTCGTCCTCGTCAACGAAGCCATCTGCTACTGCGCTTGGGGAAGCGTGAGACATGGTCTCCCATCTTGGCTTGCGCAGTGTGTTTTCCAATAGTATTTGGGCTTGAGAGGAGTCCGTAGGGTGATTTAGCGCTCCATTGGGAGGGTTTTTACGACCAGATTGAGCGGCTGAGAAAGAGGAAGTTAGGATGAGACGATGAAATTAAATAATATACGTAAAAATTTGGAAAGAGATACTTACCATAGCTGCCATCGCCCAGACGGACTGCTACAGGATCGTTCATTGAGAGGACATAATCAGCCGGCTTGGCCACACGTACACAGTCAAGCAGAGTAGCATGGCCCCTATTCAGGAGCCCATTCATAGTAATAATCCGAGACAATCCATACTCATCCACCTGGAGATCAACGTCAACAGGTGGTATGGAGACTTTGCTGGTCTTAGCATCTTTGGGCACAAACTCAACGGCCTCCCAAGATGTGAGGCCGGCATCAACTAGCTGCTTGAAATTTCTCAAAGAATAGTGTACATAGTGGGTAATCGTTCGCCGAACAGCGGTATCCCGAACAATCGCAAGATGGCGGAGATGTGGAGGCTGGGAGAGTTGCCAGCATTCGACTAGACGAGCCAGCGTGTTTTCAACTGGCCTTCGAAAGAATCCCCCAAAGCAAGCCTGCATTATTTCCTGCACAGTCCCTGTAAGCTTCTACTATATAAAACCCAAGTGCGAGAACGAGTCTCAGGGATCATCATGACTTACCAAATTTGGCATTCCGGATGTCCCAGAACTGTCGACAACGTCGAAAAGAAGGTTGTAGATACTACGATCAGGACTCCAGATGGGGAGTGTTCGACCTGATTCCTCAACAACTTCACGCTTGATGGTAGCAACGACCTCAGCACCGCTGGTAGACGATGCTTCTCCTGTAGGGTTTTCCGGCTCTAAATCCTCATCGTTTTCGTCATTGGCATTATTCCCCTCTTGTTCTGGGTTCGCCAACAAACTTGCACCGTGCTCAAGAAACATGTCAAGATCACTGTCCGACGGTTCCCGGACGAGCATAACACATGAATGCAGCCGTTGACTTGATCCTGAGTACTGCGACTTGGCTCTAACTCTCCTGACCACGCCTACGCGCTCCAACTTGCGAATAGCACGGGACAAAAACTTCCATCGCCATCGGTCTGCAAACCCAAGGGCCTTTTTGAGATCATCGCGCGCAATTATAATATGCTCGCGAAGTATTTCAAATAATTTACGAACAAATATCTGAACGTCGATAAAGTATTGATTCGCGTGGCTTTTGGCGGTCTCTTGATCAGCTGGAGTCTGGGTGGCCTGATATATCGGTTTCTCCTGGGAAAATTTCCTTAATATGCACAGGCTTGTTCTGGATGGCTTCACATAAATGACTCTTTTTTCGATGTAGCCCTTTCGTTGTAGCATGTCTGTCCGCTTGGGCACAGACCTTTTATCCTGGCCGCTTAGCTTCACAAGCTCCGTCTGTAAGATACCATTTGATTTGCGTGAAGCGATTATAGATAGCAGGGCAAATTCAGTTGGCAGGACTTTCGTTTCATCCGGTTCGTGGCCGGTAACGGCGAGCCAGGTACGTTCCTTGGAGACAAAAACCCGGATTTGAAGACGGGGATCCAAACGTGGCTTGGCCTCGTTTATGCCTTTCATAGAAGCATCTTGAGGGATATCTTCGATGCCAGCTTGACTAGTACCAACTTTACCTATCTCTGCGCGACGCTCAACGTCGGCTAGAGTTAAATGATTTCCCTCCTTGTCTTTGCCGACAGAGACTTCAGGATGTCTGGTCAACCAAGACCAGACCTTTTCTTGGAATCGCCGATCAACATTCTGGGTAGGGTGCGGCGACAGGTTATCATTTTTATTCGCCCCTGCATCCTGAGATTCAGTGTAGAATGTATGAATGAATGTCAGAATGTCAGATGGCGAGGCACCTTGGAAAGTCAGTTTGATATCAAATTAATAGAATTTCAAACAAAACCAAACGTAATCAATGGAGATGGTTCCATCTTTTCATTCTGATTCCTAGTTGATGAGGATGCCAACCAAAACACGAGGCAACGCCAGTATCTCAGGTCAAGCTATAGCAGCATGCTGGGACATCAAGTAGAGAAATAATGTAGCAGATATGATAAAAAGGATAACAAGACTTTTCATACCTTGATCACCGCAGAGAGCGATCTCCGCAAGTAAGAAGTCAATCAGTGCCTGTAAGCTGGGCGCCATGATCTGTATGATCTCACAGTACCGTATTCCCGTCAATCATGATAAAGGCGATAATTTAGTCCGAAGCAGATGATCACTGATGAGAAGGTGATGCTCGAAGGACACTAGGCAAAAAGATCCGGGCTAAAACGGTCGTGAGAAAGACGCGAATCGAACCCCCGTCGGTTGATGGTGACGACGGCATTTTCCAGGTTGGGATTTCGCTGTGGCGGTGTGACAGATGCCTGTGGCGGGTGGCAGGCGGCACGTGCCAGGTACTGCACGTGATTATACCAGCCGTGGATCCTGCATTTCTGTTCAAACGTCCTTGGCGTCCAGAGTCCAGACACAAGGAATCCACGGATCACTGCTCAGACTTGGTGGACACGTTATTCACTATGCTATTGCTGGAGCCCCGAGCTGTTCTAAAATGAATCGCCATGGAAATGCCCCATTTAGCAGATGCATTTGCATACATATTGTTTTGAGGGAATACTTCTGGTTTGGAAGGGTAGGTAATGTCACACTCCGTTTGCCACGGAGTACTAGGCTGGAGATGAGGTGACTGCTTGGCTTCTTGGTTGCTGAGCTGGCTCAAATTAACAATGCTAACCTGATGTCTAGTACCTTGCACCGCCTACTGGACTTGAGACGTATCTTATTACAGCGGACTTTTCGCCGGGCGGGTCTTGGCATGCCATTTCACGAAACAGCAGCGAAGCTCGGACAGTGTCAGGCTTCCACTGAGAAGTTGGAAGAATCGAATCTGCCAAGCCAGTTCTCCATTGTAGTATGTACAGCGGTGCTTTTGAACAGCGATCTTCAGAATCTGGGGTCGACGGCGAAACCCACAGACCAGCCTGCCAGGTGTCCGATTCAAGAAGCCGATCAATTGTGATTCCTTACGAGGCCCGAGTCAGCCCCTTCATTTCACAATGAGCCTTGGGCCTTGGCATGGACGACAAGGGCGTTTCCGCCCGAAACAATTAATGCCAAGGATTGCCAGGAAATGCATAAGATCAGCGGTACTTTTTATGCGGCTACGTTTTCTAGACGTTCCTGTATGTTCTTGTATGCTGGGTATGCTCACCGTAGAGTAGAAGACTGGCATTGTGCATCCCTATCACGGACCAAGCACTTCCCACCCTTCTGGCGTTGCTCATCCGTACATCAGCTAGTCAGCATGACCGCAGGAGTCAGACAGCACAGCGTAATACGTTAGTTTGTGCAGGGAATCCGGAGAGGCCGGAAGAGCGGCACTCGGGACCAACGGAGCAGAGTGCTTGGTATGTGCCGTATAACCCCGAGCCGCTGACTGAGCAGAACTACTTAGTTAGTTATCGACTGGGATCCCAGGTCAGCGTGGATCGTGCCGGCAACGAGTCAAGAGTGCAAAGGGAACAACAGCATATCAGGATGGTGCGATTTGCAGAGCACGGCCTGGCAGCTGCCGATGATGTCATGAACTGCAGAAAAAGAAGAGAAAAGACGGCCGGTCACGTGGGGGGTCTGGCCCGAATCGGATCCGCTGCATTAAATTTATATTTTTATTCTTCTTATAAGTTTCATCGTCGATCATTATTTAATATGATAACATATTTGCACAACTCTCCCCTGCTGTGTTCATCACGTTATATACTCGCCCGTTTCCTTCCGCTGCGAATTGCTTTTATCCTGCAAACAGCTCCAGGCAGAACCGTTGCTCTGTCTATCCATCCCCACTGCTCCGTGCGTACCGCATATCACATACCTCTCCTCTCCTCCAGCCTCTCACAGCCTCTCACAGCCATCGTCCATGAATACGTCAACAACAACATCCACCTGAGAAGGAACTGCGACAAGCACACCTACATCCTCCCTCCCCGCCCCGCATGCTCCGTCGCTCTGTCTCCTATGGAAGAAGGAACGGGAAACCCCTTTCCAGAGCCTCCCCCTCTCCCCTACTCGTTGCGCACACGGAAGAAGTCCATTGCCTTCTTCTGGACGCTCTTCACCATCGATACCTTGGTCCAGCCGCTGACGCTCTATTGGACGCTGACCTACCTGACAGACCTCTCTGATAACTTGGGTACGTTGCGATCAGAGCAAATTGAAGAGAGATAACAGTATGATCGCTCGATGCTGACTCGTCCCAGTCTTCAGTATCGTCACCGCTTCCCTCGGCGGAGTTTCGGTTTTCGAGTACTTCTATCGACTCTACAATCTTTTCAAGTCCAATTCCCGAGCTCGTCCGTTGAACGCAAGAAAATCATGGGTGCGTATTGTCAAATCATCACTATAAGCCCGTTTGAGCCGGACCGGACAAAGGCTGACTAGGCGAGTGTCTTTTAGCTGGACTTTCTACAGATCAACTTTACCATCGTCTGGTTGATTTTGGCGGTTGAGCTCATTGTGTAAGTGTTTTCTGATGAAGAATCAATCCTGGTCAGGCAACAATGATAACAGTTCTGATGTACAACAGTGGAACGGTACCTGAGAAACCCTACGGTTAGCTTCTTCCTCCCTGTTTATTTTTCGCCTATTTCTCCGCTTGCTGATTGTCCGAACCGCTCAGTCCGTCTCATCGCCATGGTTCTCCCCACCGTGATGTTCTACTTTGGTGGCGTTCACTTGTCGCTCGACATTCTGCGAGCTATGGGCTTCAAAGCCCTGTTCCGTATCTCTTCAACGCCACAGGGCTCTACCATGCCGACCGCTCTCTATGTGCTTATCGAAGATGTCGTCGCTGTAGACGGTGGTGGGGGCCAAAAATACCGCTATGCACTGCGGACACGATATCTATCAAGCCCCTATTTCAGACGGATGCTCTTCCAAATGAATTGCTTTTGGGCCGGAGGTTCCATCATTTTTGCAGCTGCGATTACGGCTATCGTATTCACCGTCCCCAAGCCGGTTGCCTTTACAGTAAGTCCTTTCTAGACCATTCGGGAGCTGCATTGTTGTCCCTGTGGTTTAAATTGTTTGAGGCTGATAAAATGATATAGCTTGGCTGGTCTCTGCCGTTTGCATGGGCCATCGTGTGGACTTTGATTACCATTCCATGGGTTCAAGCCGATCTCCGTCGCGAAAAGGAATGGTGGTCGCAGAACCATGAACGAGTTGGTATTACGTACACCGACGATATCTATGCGCCTATCCCTCGAACTCGTCTCGAATCGGTCCAACACAGTATTTTACCATGGAACCGCTTCAGCCATGGTCCACCGGCGTCTGAACCCGCAGGACCTGAAGCCAAGCCTGCGGAGCCGGAGCCATCTCGTCCCACGTCTTCATCTGCACCGCCGGAGTCCAAAGAAGAAGAGTGAGCGCGCGGATACGACACGGGTTTTCGAATCCTTAATGCTACTACGAATGCTGGACATACGATTCTACGCCGCATAATACTGTTCTCCTGCCAATTGATAATTCTTACAGTCGGTTCTTCCAACACGGTCGTTGTCGATCTGACGCATCCGGTTCGCAGCCTACATACAAAGAAGCCACTCCCTTTATCGGATCCTTTCTTTGAAAACGTTTTCTGCGCTTTTTTGATCTTTTCTCCAAAAACATGTTCTTAATTCCATTACCAGCAACCGCAGGAGTTTCGGGCTTGCTGAGTTCTGTGCTACTTTCTTTTTGCATATTTCCCTTTTTCACACCCAAAATCTGTGCAGATTTTCGATGTGGTTCATGCATTTATACCCACTGATGCCTATCCAGATAACTATTTCTGTATTAGTATGTTAATGTCTACGGGTACGGGAGGGATGTACCGGGTTTAGATGGAGGTTTTCTGGAGGGTTAGATTTCTTAGCGTTCTAGCAGTCTTGGAGAAAAAAATACTGTATAGACAATCACAATGATTTATTTTTTAACTGATAGCAGTTTATCCAGAGCAAATAATCTATCTCTTCTGCAGCCAGTTCAGGGTGGATCTGAACAGACCCCAGAGAGTCGATGGTCTGTTCATCTGAAAGCACACCAGACATGACTTTATTTAAATGATTGCAGTTATCCTGTCGTCTGGTGAGACATAACATACATTAGTGTGTGCTTTTATACTGTTATGGATTCATCATCAGGATCCATGTTGCACGTTTATGAGTGTTACATTCATCCTGGCTTCTTGAAGCTAAGGTTGTCCTTAGGTTGTCTGCTGTTTGTTATTCTGGTCATGGGTAGCCCTAACAGACTGCCATAAATCCATAACTTGATAACCCGTACCGCATACTCTTTTGAATCAGACAACTACTAGTTGTAAGCTATGGATTACTCTAGAGCAAATCAAACTGAAGACGTCTGTGGTTCGAATGTCTGTACTCTATAATATGCATTGGCCTAAACCGACATATCTCAACATGTTACAAGCCATCCATCCTGTTTCACCTCCGATATTGCTCTTCATTGTCCAATTCAATTCAAAGAGTATATGGTATGGCATCTATATACATAAATGTGCTCTCCATAATGTATATATGTGGGTATGATATATCAACAACACATTTACTCGAATTCAAAAGCAAGTAGAAAAAAAAAAAAAAAATACAAAAAGAGAGATATACAAAATATACAAAGGGAAACACATGGCGACAGCAACCCAATATAATGAGAACATTCCAGGTAGTTCAGGCAAATGTGTCTAAATCAAAGTAGATCGAGTCAAGGACAGAGAGATAGCGAGAACTAGACAGAAAAAAAGAAAAAACGATAGACAAGGTACAAATGCTCCCTCCCGTTCGCTGGTATATGATCACACAAAGGATTCAGGGGTACTCAGAGGATAAGGAAAAGCAAAATGAAAACGAAAATGAAAATGATGGGATGGGAAGCTGGAGGAGGAAGGGAGCTTGCAAATGTTGATGATGCTTATGTTATTATATATGCTTTGTCCATTATACTTTTCGGGGGCATATCTCACATAGAATGCCAGAGGATACATCCCGCATTGTTAGATAAAAACCTCATCTCCCCGGGGAGAATGAGGTGAAAGTCTCGACGTGACAGAATGCCAACTTTGTGTTGCTTTTGCGTGGACCGTGTGTGAATGGTGTCCACAGACGCCTAGGACCACTTATGAGCAAGAGGGAATACTTTGGCTGTTGCTATCGAGTGTATTTTCATGATCCTCGTCGGGGGTGCATCAACTTGCGACCCAAGTTGCGAAAGGCGGACTTATGACTGTATGGATCAGTTAGCAATGAATAATAATGATAATAATAACACCGCATTCGCCAGATCTGCGTCTACTACCTTAGAAGACTATTATCATCCCCATTTGTTTCCGACATAAAATGCTTCATCGACCCCCCTGATGTTGTTGGCCGAACTGGAAGACTGGTTTCTTTGCGGGACGGCTATGAAGAAGGACGAAGATTAGAACTTTTGTTATAATGATTCATATGGTCATGAAAGATACTACCAACCTCCTGGCGAGAATCAAGATCGGCGTCATTTAACGAATGAGAAGATGATATTTGTCTATTTGCTTCAAGGTTACTGCGTGCAGTAGAATCGGCAGAATTTGTGCGCGAGAGTGGAGATGCGTTTGACTTGTACGACATCAGGGATTCCGAGTCCGAGGCTTCACAAGCTGAATCGAAAGATGCCAGACTCAGAGACTGGTCAGGTAGTGTATTTTCCGGGTTCCGCAGGATTAGAGAAGAGGATGCCAACTCGCGTTGATGCCTTAACTGCTGCTTCGAAGGCCGGTGGTGCGAAAACTTGTTCCCGAGAATTGCAGGTGCATGTGATATAAGAGCCTTGGTGACGTCCTTCTTGAGTCGCAGAGCCAGATCGAGGTTCGACCATGTTTTGTTCCGATACTCTAGAACCGGCAATCGGAAGACGAAGTCATGAATATCCTCGAGATTGCGGCCTCCCTTGCCTTTGTAACTAACACAGAGCACGACGTCATTCACCCTTACGTGGGCAAGGGTCATATAGTTCGATGCTCGAGATATCATTTGAGAAAGGTGGCTTCTGTTTTCTTTATTTTTGGCTTGCTTGTGCACACCCCTTGGTAAGTTCCATTTCTTATTCTTGTCTTCGCTAACACCAACCGGGCTACCAATAGTAGCTGGGTGGATAAGCTGCGGCCTGGAAAGGTTTTGTTTCGCCAACATGCGCAAGCTATCAAAGGACCTCTTTTTGGACAACGATGATATTCCGCCGCTACTACCCGGACGGCTAATATGGCGAGAAGTGTCCGATAGTCCCCACCGGCTGGAGGAATCTCTGATCGGTATTATAGTCAAATCTTTTAAGTGAGGCAACCGGTAATGCGGTCTCTTGTCATCCGATAGCCCAAAGGTAGGTCGCAGTCTTTGCTCAATAGATCCTGGTCCCTTAGATGATTTTGAGTCATCGGACGGTGAAAGTCGGCCGCTGATGGGTGTGGTATGGGCAGTAGAAACGAAGTCAGATTCATCATCCGAGTCATCATCATCCCCGAGCGGTTTCACATTCTTGATCATCATAGGTGAAAATCCGCCGCTCTCGAAAGCGTTCGAACCGACACCAGGGAAGATGTATTCGAACAGCTTCTGACCTAGTTCGCGCTCCAACTGTATCTTAAGCGGGAAGAGTTTCACTTCGAAATCGTCTAGAACGGGGATCCCTGCAACAGCTTCCAGCATATACCACTTGACTCTGACCATGCAGTCATCCGAATAGTCCATGGGTCGTCCCTGATCGACGTATGGAGCGATGATTTGAGGGTATATTGCGTCGGGAAGCAGATTGAAACCGTACACCCTTTCAACCGCGACTGAGTTGAGGTTTGAACCGTCGCTATTGTCGGTACGCTCAAATTCGGCATTTCTCAACTGAAACTCAACTAACCGTTCAGATTCATTCTTCATTAAATGCCAGACAACTTCGGACGCATAAATGTTCCAACGCATAACACCGTGGGTCTGAGACAGAGGCTCTAACTTCCTCTGGGATGTTGTGATTGCTTTCATTAGGAAAAATAACTCATCCTCACAACTGGTGAGATCCTTCTCAAGTTCTAGGCAACCTTCCCAACCGCTTTTATCCAAGTACTTGGCATGCACTTGGAAATATTCTTTGATCTCTTCCAGTCTCCGAATACGATCTTGAAGCTTGAACACCATCTCGGGGGCGCCTCTAAGATCACTGAAATCAGAGGTAAGCATGATCTTCTCAAGGCGCTCATTCCGTATTTTCTCAAGCGGTTCGCTAAAGAGTAGCAGATCAAGGACAATGATATACATAGTGTAGTATTCGGTTGAATCACAGATGGCACGGAAGTGAGGGAAATCGACTTTGATCTGGTCCATCCTGGGCTCTTGTTCAACGGAGGTGTGAGATTGTCCGGAATTGCCTTTGGCCACCTCTTCATTATACTTCAAACGGAGCTTGTTATACTTGTCATACCGCAAACTCGCAGAGGTCTTCGGAACAATCCTTGAAAAGCCAAACGGATTCAACTCGAAGTCAAACATCGCCTCCAAAGTAATCCATGGCGGCCACGCTGAGCCCGGGGAATTGCCGTACTTGTTACCAGCGTAGAACTGCAAATGAGCTGCCAAATTCTTCTGTGTCGCGACGAAAAATTGCGCGCCATCCATGTCGAGAGAGAAACGGCGTTGCACCAAGCCACAAACGTCGTCAGACATGCGTTCTTTATCCATAATCGACACTACTTTCAGTTGCATGCCCTTCGCAGCAACTAGAAGCACAGATTTCTGGTTCTTCTCGCTTTGAAGCTGGATTTGAGGTGCTATGAGTCGCAAATGGTAGCTGTTCTGGGGAGTGAATTCAGGTGCGATACTTTCGCTTGAGTTACCTGATTGAGAAGGGGTATTGCTCTCTGTTTTCGAAGCTACCTCGTTGTCTTCGGCATTTACAAAACGATTGGCATCACTCAGCAACTGTTCGATGCGGTCTTCCACACTGATGGTATCGGTATCGGCATCAGCTGGGCAGGGGCAGCGATCAGCAGACCGTTGTCGTAGAGGATCTGTATAAAACTGGCTCCGCTTATTTTTGTTTTGCTCCGCGACAATATCGAGGATGAACTTCACAGCCCTTCGCGACATGTAATACACAAATCCACGTCTCTGACTAACTTGGTGGGTGTAACGCAGGACGATGTTTCTCAGCGAGTTGTTCCATTTGAATTGTATGTTGTGTATAATGAACCTGTTATTGAAGTCTCTGGCGGATTCATTATTGGCAGATGCGTAAAGCCCATCGAGACCCTTGGCATCACTAGTTGAGTCAGAATCAACACCGATCCTGGAGGATGTCTCGCTTTCATTGCCTCCTAGTTTCCCAGACATTCGCCCCCGTTCATCACGCGCAAGATGCCGTTCCAAGCGATGAAGTCCAGACGTTAGGAAATTTCGCCTCTTTACAAGCGACTCCGCCTGGCGAACACAGAGATCGTATTTGCTTCTTAGCTCGGGATCATTATTATCGACATCTTTAGCGATTTCGCGCTCCTTCTCGCTAATAGTTTGCTCGAAATTCAATATCTGCGCGTCCAAGACCGCGAGACGCTCTTTGATAAGTTCCATTTGCACTCGCCGCTCATCGTTATTCTCCGACATGACACACATGTGAGTAGGTTCGTCTCCGAATTTGCTAAAACCTGTGTCATCGGGGCTTGCCTCTCCGTGGTCAGTCTGACGGAAGTAGGTGAAACGTGGCGTGAATGCAAGGGGGAGAATCTGAGTACGAGGATTTGACTCCTGAGGAAGGATCCAGTCCAACTCAACGAAATCGTCCATATCAATCCAATCGAGGTTATGGTCTGGAATAGTGAATCGAGAAAGATCGACCGAGGCTACTGGTTGTTGGAAAGAGGAAATGACATCGTCGGTCTTCGTCTCAATGTCGTCAACATTCGTGCCACCAATACTAGCCGAAACAGCTCTGAAATCCGCGGCCAGCAGATCTAGCTGAGCTTGATTTATCCGCATCGCGCTCGCCTTTTGTTGCCTAAGACGCCCCTTGGCCAATGTTCTGATTTGCTCGCGCCTCTGGTGGACATCTAGTTTCAGGGAATCGAGACGGACCTTCAAGCCCGTTGCAGTCACAACATCCTCAGAGTATTCCTCTCGATCCTTGTGCTTGTATATGTGGGCAACGAATAACGGAGCGAAAAGCAATTTATATTTGACCGTTGCGAGGTGACGGGCAAACTTTTTACTTGTCTTGGTGATGCCAGGCCAGAGAGATCCTTGGCGAACAGGAAGCGACATTACTCCTGAAAAAAGAGACCACCATTTGAAGAAATGTGTAAAGAATCGCGGAGATAAATGAACCGTGTTGTAACTTGCCGACGGTTGAACGCTGTCAACAGACCAATTTCGGCTTTCCGGGGCGACAACGGCAATAGACAAGTGGATATGATTGCTCCGGAAGCCTCGAAAAGCATCGTAATCCTGCAATATGGTCAGATTTTTGTCACACCCTTAAAGTGGAATTCTACATCATACCTGTCGTTGCGCCTCATCGACGTATTTTGGGTTTTGAAGGACAACGTCGTAATGTGGTCTGAAACTGAATGACCGCTTATCGCCATCAAGGTTCCTCTCAAACACTAACCCTGCAGCCCACTCCACATCGCCGGATAGCTTCATGATGACCTTTTTGAACATAGCCGCATTCTTAGCCTCACTTGACGGTGAAGCCAGACTGCCACCGTGTTCATCCAAGGGAGACTCGGCCGCATAACGTGCTTCATGGCTATAGTCCGGAACAGCAAGCACATATTCACCACTGGTAACGCTCATGAATCTCTTTGGATCATCACTCGAATGGATGTCCCATCTCACGTCCTTGCGCCAGCACATCACGAATCCAGCCCCAAAACCAGTCACGACATAGGGATCACGGGAGCCTTTGGAAAATCATGAGCAAAACGATCATGTAGTTATGATAGACAGGAATATTACCTTTTAAACGTAAATGGACATCCCCATCTTCTTTCCAGATTACTCTTATCCGAGAATGGAAGCTAAGCCGGATTTTATCCCAGAAACCGACTCGTTCGGACAAGTCGATTTCCGGTTTCGTGAAACCTTCAAATATCTTCATCATGTCCTGGATAACAGGCTGGTACGACATGCCCCAGGAAATGCTTGTAGGAAGGCTGGTATTGATCTCGACAGTCGGATCAGAGTAGGTTTTCACAGGTGACACTGATCTCCAAACATCAATAAAGAAAGGCTCGCTTTGAGACCCGCCTGGCAGCTCAGTTGATGGCACAAGTTCTAACTGCACCTGCCTCGATGACCGATAATCACGGAACTCCTCAGCAATGACAAAATTACTCCGTAGAGACCAGCTGGGCAACCTTGGTGATTGCCCAGGACGGAGTGCTGGGACATGCAGCAAGTCCAGAGGGTAGTCCCTCAAATTAACACGAGCTTCACCCATGTCCAGCCTAATGCTCATTGGAATGAGCAATGCGTATTGTGTAGACATCGGCATGCCCTTCCCAATCTCATGGAGGAAAGTCGGGTAGTCCTGAAATGGGAAGAAAGGTTTGTCGATGACCAGATTTACATCGCTTATCAAAGCTGACATGAGGGCAGGCCTATTCGGGATGGCAAGAATTGTCTCAGACTCGTTCCCATTATCGGGTGGCTCATCGACCCCGGAAAAGAGGTTCCTGATCTCTTTCATGGATGTTCCTTGGAACCGCAAAGCAGCATCTATCTTGTGTTTCCAACTTCGAGCATTGTATAGCTGAAGTTGGTACCAGGCGGCTTCTGTGGAGACACTGGATGCAGAAGACAAACAAGCAGAGCCTTCAGTATCATAACGGTATTTCCTCCCCCTTCCGTGGTAGTTAGCGTGAGGGCTGGCATCGGCACTCGTACTTCTTCTCAGATCCGGACGAGCGAACTCAGAGCCAAGATTCTGGTGACTTGACTGTGCGCGCAGTTTAGACGAGGAGCGTCGTTCACCTGGCTCCTTGACTTTTTGGCTTTTCAAATAGAAGGCTTCTTCTCGAACGAGACGTTGACTCTGTTCCCGTAATCCTGTTCGATATATACAGCCCAATTTCCACTCGAACGTATCATCCTCCAAAGCAAACAACAAGGCTTTGCAGCGCAACGATATTCTTGGGAGCTTTTTCGGCTTTTCTGGCTCTCTCTGTGAAATGAATTCGCTTGAACGACTTTTGAAACGATGGTTAAGCTGCTTTAGAGCTTTTGTCGTGTTAATAATGTTATCAAAAATTCTGTGCATGACCATGAGGTGTGGGACGCCAAGTCGAATGAAGTCCGCGCCTATATCAATTGATCTCTCTTCAACTAAGTCACTACCTTGTTTCAGCTTAATCGTACGCTGATCAAGCTTGACGTTGGTCAAGCTCACAATTCTTGCCCAGATGCCTTTGAGCTTGGGAGCTTCGGCATGTAATCGAACGAGATTTGCCTTTGCGAACGGAGAAGATAGGCGATGGCGACCTGCCGTCAATCCATGAATCTGCAGCAGCATGGGTGGGTCCGAAGGCATGAAAGTTTTGAGCTGAATGACCGTTACCCTCATATCAATTGTTACGGGCTCCTTTTGCTGCGATGGTAGGGGAGTAGGTTCTGACGCGGGACTGGAGGGATCTTTCCCATTTGCCTGACTAGTTGATTCTGGTGATACTTTCGCAGGATGCTTGCTCATAAAAGTGTCCTGGAAGACAATCATCGCAATCCCCAGACAGTAATAGCGATAAAGCGAATACTGAAGGTAGACACCCTTTACCACCGAGTTGATGTAAAGCAGCGGTCCATTACGGTCGCTTGTCGTGCTCAGAGCAACTTCAAATCTTGGCAGGGACAAAAACGGCTCTGGGTCCAAGTAATCGTCTGATTCAATTACGAATCCCTCGAGTTTGCGCACATAAAACGCGAGTCGCCTCCCATCTGTTGCGCCGTTTTGCGCCTTTCTGGGGGGTGATGCCGGGTGGATTCGAAAGGGGGACACATCTCCAATCGTAGAATAACTTGGCGTACGCCGTCTTGTAAAACTCAGATTGGGCTCATATTTCTGGGCCCTATAGTCAGCGGTCCATGATTCAAGCTGTAAAGATACCCCACGAGAGATCTCTGACACGCCACCATCCACACCAGCAATTTCCAAGCTGAGCCCGGTAGCCTCAAACTGAAATCTAAGTAGCCAAGGAGGAAGGCGCCTCAAAGGTGTGGGTCTTCGCTCCTCGAATGGGCTCAAGAACGTCTTCTTTTGCTGTCTATGGGCGCGGAACTGCTCGATAAGCTGATGAATTCCGCGATTCACTTCGCTGTCAATGATGTGCGCCGAACAAGAGTTTAAGCTTCCAAACGCAATGACTGAAACTTCAGGAGCGGCGTTCAGCAGTATCTTGAACTCCAAAGTCTCTGTGGTCAGCAGATTATGTTTCACACCGAAGGGTGTTTGGTAGTAAAGGTTATAAGCTGCGGCCCTAAAAGTAGATGAGAGAGAGTAAGATGCATCACCCTCTGGTTCGTGAGACTCATGAGATGATTCGCTATCCAGCGATATGGAAGATATAGAGTAGATAAGTAAATTATACTCGTCTTGAGAAGCACCAATGCCATTCGATATTGGAAGAATAAACCGGATAACTGGTTCGTGTATGGAAACTTTTATAGTTGCCTTCGGTAGTAGGCGATAAATCAGATGATGGTCATTTCTTCTCCGAGGACGCGGAGAAGAGGCTCGCGACTGTGCGACGGCAAGAAGTCGAGAGACATGTTTGGGCTCTAAATCGAGAGATGGGGATGTGATAACCAAATTGGCAAACAAAACGTTTGCATTCCTCTCCTCCGGGTTGCAATCGCCAAAGCTGCTGACTGTCTTCGAAGGGAGGGTCGTTTTGATGGTTGTCGTAGCCATGGGTATATACAAGATATTATCGGTTTCGCCAGAGCTATCGTCCAGGCTTACCGAAAGAGCAATCGCAGCAAAAAGCGCTTGGTGGGCAATATCATCGCGTCGGAAATACATGCGATGCGAAGGGCTTCTCTGGTCCATCCGATGGAGGTCAACCCCCAGCTCATGGGAAACCACGTTCAAATACATGGCATGCTGGTCTGCAGCAAGTGATTGTAGGGACCGTGAAAGCCTGAAAAAACTCAGGGTGACCTGTATCTCTTGGATACCACGAAGCAAGAAGCTCAGAAATTCCTTATAAGCAGCCACTTTCTCGGCAATCACATCATCCTGACTCTCGGGTGTATCAAGCTCCTCCACGTACTCAGCGACCGAGAACTCTCCATCAGTATCTTTTGCCGCAGCAGCAAGTTTTTCAGATGATGTGGTCTGTTTGGCTCGTCGCAAGAGCGGCATCAGGTTATCATAAGGAATATGAATCCTGCCTATTTTTATCACAATCGAAGCGTCCCTAAGCCCTTCAAGGTCTTTGTAGAGAAAGCCGTGGACGTTTAAGGCCGCAGTATCAATCAGCTCTGTGGGCTCCTGGCCGTCCGTCGTAAGCATGACATTTTGAACACTTATCATCCATTCCACCGGCCGCTGTTTACGCGATTTATCTTTTTTGAGACGGAAGACATTCCCCCTTTCCGCCATTTTCGGTCTGGTATCCACCGCCAGCGAGAGCGATCCAATCTGTATCTGGCCGGTTTCAAGGAAGCGGATGCTAGTATTGACGGCAACCACATCGACCAAAGCCAGCCAATTAATCAGCCGATGGATCCGCTTCAGAACAGCCTTGATGCGAGCCAACTGTGCTGATGTCCCATTCTGCGACTTCGGTGAAGACACTCGGGGGGCTTCCAACCCATCCGGTCCACTCGCATCACCTGGGGAGGTTTGCGATTCCAGGGGCCTCTGTTCGCGTGCATTCCTCCTAACCTTGCTCCTTTCCAAGGCGTGTGAATCCAAGACGACGCTGAGGTCCGTCAATTTGACACTTATCCATGTTGGCTGGGCAAACGATGGCAAGTGTAAGGACAACCCCAGACCACGCAGCTCGATCTGCACACCTTCCCGAGGAGCATAGGCAATCCGACGAAGTGAGAAGTACCCAATTCGTTGAATCGAAATTCCCGTCGCGACACGAACAATGGCGAAGATCAAGAACGAGGAGACGTAGAGGAGGAGGAAGCCCACGAGGATCGCAGTCGGGCTAAAGGGGGACATCATGATTCGCAATCAGCGGGAAAACCGACCCGTTCAACAGGATGGGCAAACAGTAAGGGATCGACCATGGAGATTACTATCGCAGTCCAACCGCCTATCAGAAAGTGGTTAATGTTTTCCTCGCCGCTGCATGTACTCTCCGTCGGAGAGCGCACGGCGTGGGAATACGTCAGATCTCAATAGTCGGAAGGCCGTTAAGGACACGAAGTGGCGACTCTGGACAGTTCATTATCCCCAAGCATTGTCGAACCGATATCCCGAAAGGGAGCGTCCTGGATGGGACAAATATAAGAAATAAAGACCCAGATAGATGCAAGAAGAACGACAATAGTACATGGAACGCAGATCAGCGCACGGCGAAAGCGGAAGACCTGGAAGACGGTACATGGCGGAAAAATCCTGGTTCCGGTAATTGGCAGGAGGAGCAATGTGGAGTTGTCCAGGTATCTGCCGGATCTACACTATGAAGGATGAACGGCCCTGCTGGTTATGATTCATCATTATTCTAATCTTCTGGACTTGGTTCTCGAAGGTTTAGGTCCTAGTAGTTACGGAGCAGCGGACAGCACCGTCAATATAAATATGGATACGAGGGGAATACGGCTGTACGACAGGAGTGTAACTGTATTAGACTACCTGGATGTTTTAAGGCTAGCCCTGAGGGTTAACCCTAAATGGCATGCCCCGGACCAGGTCACATGCCAAGCTTGGCTTCCAGATAGAGTCTAACCTCACCTGCTTCGTCCTCATTCTCATCGTGTTGTCAGTAGAAATTGGGCTTTTCAGTGTTTAAGTCATCATTCTCATCCTAATAATTCGCGATATTGCGGAATATGATAATATTCTAGACGGCACTTCTCCTTTTTCTCTGATAGCATACGCTGGTGCCCGCTATGTCTGGAGCTCGACGATAAGATGAGCAAGTCCCAGAGTGCGTGCGACTTTGGTCGCCTCAGATGTTGTTGTGCGCCTTCAGCCCACATTTGAGTTTGTGATACTGGTGATGTTGTCATGCAGAAGTTACATCTTACCCTCTTTGTGAACATACCACCTCTGTGTCCAGACTAGCTACACGGTGCTGTTTATAGTGACCATGGGCGCCTTACGAGGACAGGAGTATGAGGCGATCCAAAGACAAGTGCTAGATGTAAGCTAACAGATATTCATACTATTTGACGAGATGTTAATGCCATGTGCCACTCCTTCAGAGGCTCAAATTCTGGCCGTTCGCTCCCCATCTGAATTTTACTGTCATTCCGGCGGAGAAGAGGCTGCTTGTGAGCAACCTGTTTGGTGTGGTGCGGGCTGTGTATCTCAACCTTACGCCGGCATGAACTAATTGGGAGGTTGCAGGATCGGCCATCATTCCTGATTAGGTGGGAAGAAAAAATTACAAGCTTACATTTTGAAATTGGGGAAAATGCTCATGGCCGGATCGAATCCGGCAGAATTTACATGGGAATGAGAAGCTGTGAAGCTGGGGATAGGACAGTGCCCCACGACTAGACCTACAGGATTTCCACATTGCCACATGTGGAGTTGTAAAGTTATCCTGTAAAAAGGCCGTGTCTGAATTAACTATCTAGCGAGGCTTTTGCCGATCTAAAGTAGAATATGAACATTAGCCCAAGTTGTTCTCTTTGGCACAGGATGAATAGCAGGGCTTAGGTAATAATTCAACCATGGACAACTGTATTTACTATTACAGTATTGGTACTACCTAATGATTTTCCACGAGCATTTTGGTACTCTAACCTAAAGAGTCTTATGTGGGTTAAGCCTGGGACTTACGTATCCCAGATGCAGTGAATTTTGTAAGTTTAAATTTTGCTATGACTGGAACTATCAGTTTCTAGGCAAATGTACTAGTCTCTTCAGTGTTTTGCTTGAGTAGAACATGGCATAGTGCGTGTCAAAGGTCAAGTTATTGAATTGCAAGTAGGTGCATATGATATGTCAGGTCTAACCTTTTCGGCGGCAAAGATCTTCTCTGGTCTGTACCTTGAAAGGATCATGGGCAAGGCCATGCTCGGTGATGAGAATGAAAGTTCGAAAGAGTTGAAGTTGGATGACGGATGTGCGGGGTGTAGAAATATCAAATTACAAGAGCGGATAGAACGGACCGGGAGAAAACTCTCTATCAGATCCCTGTTGAGAAAACCGGCATATGGGGCACGAAACGGATGTAGGGATGAAGACGTTTCTCTTGTTTGGGAAAAGATAATATGCAAACCTACGTGGCGAGGCACAATGGGAACCCTCTTGGAGCCTGATCAAGATGCTTCATACATCTACCAAGTTATGGACTGATACACCTTTACCGTGACCATGTTTATGGGACTTAAATTATACCTGCATGACAGGTGCTGCACTCAAAGGCGCGGTTTCTGTCAGATAACCTTACTTGTCCATTGTGAGACATGGCTTGACCGTGGGCTTACCTGGAACAGGTCTGATGGACTGGATGCTGACCTGAGTAGCAAGGTGAAATGCAGGGAGCATGGAATGTAAGATTGGATCCTTCTCAATAATGAACTGGATATGGAATCCTACCAATATAGGTCATAGTGGTCGGGAGCACATCATATAGTCTCTAGAACGTAAGGATCTCACTTCTCGGATTTGTACCTTGGTATAGCTCTGTATCCCGTATGCAGTTTCCGCGATTAACTACTTCGTTACCGGCCCGAATGAATTGCATGTCTTTCGAATCTGCATCATTGAGAATATCGCGCTTGTAGGTGCTGATGAAGCGGTGGCGGAATTCATGGAAGCCGAGTGCTGTCCGCTCAAGTTCATCTATCTTGCGGGAAAACTTCGCTTCGAGACTTGAAAACTTCCCTTCTTTGGCCAAAACAGAAAGTACATTATGTACTCACATTGTTTACTGTATCCTTAGTTAGTCCTAACACTGTCTCCTGCTTCAGAACAAGATGCCACCGCTTCCAGGATAACTCAAGCAAGCTCTTGTATGCAATCCCTTGGCAGTAGCAACTGTTCTTGCCACAACAGATATCACACTGCCAGCCAAAAAAAAAGCACATAGGAAGCAGACCATCTCATCTAAGTCCAAGAACCATTGCCAGTGTTGCACTGGGTCAACACCAATATTCTAACAATGTCTGCCAGAGAGCCTCCAGTGAGTTTCCAGCATAGCCAGAAGATCAAGAGGGTTACCTAACTGTTCCAGTACATGCAGGTGTCAACTCTTCCCTGAGTGCCATCACTCTTCTATCAAAGCTAAGAGACATCCAGACTCTCTGCTTAAGCCAAGTAGTATTCAAGAGGCAGCTGGCCCACATCACCAAAGCTATCATCACCAAGTTCATCTTCATCATCTGAATCCTCAGTCAAGTTCCAGGTTGCTGCTAGAGTCACTATCAGATCTGTTGTCCAAAAAGATTTACTTGGGTCAGAACTGGTATCACTCTACACGTGTGCGAAGGAGTATCATGGCTACGAGAGAGTGGCCCTTTGAAAGGGGGGATGTCACGGCTCGAGCTTACATGCTAATTAGGTATGATGAGGATATAGTTAACTAGTAGTTATTTCGGACAGGCGGATATCTAATAATCCAGCCCCGGTATTCGGAGTATATATATTCCAGGAGAAAAGGAGGAGAGCTCGAGGCTTCAAGCGTACGCTTAAGCATGTCAATCAAGAACTTCACAATGTACTAGAGACGGCAGTATTTTGATATAACTGAACCCTACGGTAACCTTCGGGTCGCGCGTATTCGACCCGAAGGTTACCGTAGGGGTCAGTTAGAGCGTTGATCACAAGTCTTACGGTATCCTTTTAGTATTTGATATCCGGACGCCGCACCCCTGATCCACTTCAAGTTATCATGGTCACGTGGATATACGCACGTGTCCACGGATGGTTTTCTCATCGCTGACCGCAGGCCTTGCAGTTCGGAGAAATACGCACTGAGCCCCTGAGTACCCTCATGGAAGTGATGGCATCTAGAAGGGGAAGGTCTATCATGATAGCATAAAAAGCCTGTGTAGTGACATATCATATTAAGTGCTGTAATATATTATAGCGCACTTTTCAATAATTTTTATATATACCAATACACGGTGCATGTTTTATTATTGGGGTGTCCGAATCCAGGCTATCTCCGAAATCACGGATATAAGAGTTATCTTTGACTGCTGTTAGAATATTCAATATATCCCTCCACGCACATCCGTTGTATATGAAATCTCAAAAGGTTGCGCGAATTTCTGAGCTCAAACCCAATGGAAATTGGCTTGTTTCAGACCCTAAATCCAGATATCAATAGTTCGCCCCCGAGCAAGTGCTTCGCAATTATTTTGCCGTAGAGCTGGACGGTGGTGCTGTTTTCAACCCATTAGATCTGTACTTTTGAAGTTCCTCGATCTTCTCATCGATAATGGCAATTTCAGCCTCGATGCTCAATGCCTTCTCTGTCAGGATAGCCCTATACTCGTCATCCGAAAGGGATTTGATGGGGATCCATTTGGATGCAGCCATTCGTTGTGCAAGCGGCACAGATGGGTTATTCTCACGCTCCATTTGCCATCTATCAATCGCATTATACGAGCGCTGGCCGAGATATCCCAGTAGCGAAAAGATGACCAAGCCCGGAACGAGTCGGCCTCCTGTTATTTCCGCAAGTCAGTTATGAGCATGTAAAAATTTACAAAGGTCTAAATTTTGTTGATGTACCCATGAGTTTCGTTACGCCTCCGCCGGCGATACCGCCAGAAAAAGCACTAGTATAAGCTCGCTGATCGGGAGATGCATTATCTTGGTAATGAAGCTTCAGAATATTGCTTCTCAACCCTGACGCAGTACGTCAGTAAACAAATTCGTAACTAGTGAGGAAGGCTATAGTCTTACACCAGAAGGATGTTCCACATGCGAACCAGTGAATACCATAGGAAATGGAATGAATCACTGGATGTGGTGATCTAATGACTCCAAAAATGCCTCCATAGAGAAGACCGCCAGTTCCTGGAAGCAAAGTAAGCAAGTAGAAGCAAAATGATATGCTCTGAATGACGAACCACACAACGCCCCTGTTTTCAGGGAAGACAGCAGCGCTTCATACTGGAAGGCATCCTGGGCCTCGGGGCCCTTCATGTTGCGAGGTCGACGGGGACAGCTGAGAGGATGCAATGTGTATGTACAGAGTAGCAAGCACAGTGTCTATGGGAGGATTATGTCATGTGATATATCTCTATAGCGCACCCAGCGGCTGCGGCGGGTCTTGGCTTGGCACTAAAAATTATCCTCGCGCATAAACGACCGGCCCATTTTGCCTACTTTCCCCTCTGTCCTCCAGGCTCCGGTTCCTTCGACGTTATCAGAACCACATCCTGTCGGAATCAGCTCTATTTCTTCCTCGCTACACTTGCTCTGTTCTTGTCTGCTGAAAGATCCGCTTTCCGTCTTTCAGCGTCCTCTCTTGTGTGCAGAAAAAGGCGCGCACAGTTCGTTTGGCGCGTTTCCCGATTTCCCACAAACGCAATCATGGGTTCGTCTTCCCTCCCTTTCCCAACGTGTGGGACTACGCTGGTCATCTCCACAGTCATCTTGAAATGGGTTGTACTGACATGTTTCCATGTAGCGCCAAAACAAAAGGCCCAGAAGATGTCCATAGGGACCTTCTTGGCCGATGAGAGTAGGTGTCTCGGGATTCCTTGCGCAGCGGCCGGTGCTAACTCGGATTAGACTTGGGCTCATGGGCCGACGAAATGGAGGATATGCCATTGCCTGGTAAGTCGCACATCCCCAATTTCAGGCTTGACAATCATTTACTGATGATGAAATCCATACTTAGCCGGTATGCTGCTCACCCGCTCTTGCCCTACTGTGCCATGTGTGTTGGCACCATCTAACCGTGATAAATAGCACCTCCCTCCCAGACTAGCTATGGAGGGGACCGTCGCATCCCCGGTGCGACGGCAACGGGATTCAATGGCTATCCTGGTATGGATTCAAATGCCTTCACCATGTTACCCTGATCGTTCCTGACTCTGGTGAACAGACCGTGGCGGACTTGCGACTAGGGAACCGCTCCCTCTTCCGACTCAGCCCCCCTACACTGCCCACATTGGGAATTTGTCATTTGATGCAACCCAGAATGATATCTCTGACCTGTTTGCCTCCTGTGGTGTGACAAATGTGCGTATTGTGGAGGATAAGTTAACTAAGACCCCCAAGGGCTTCGGATATGTGGAGTTTGCTACCGTTGACGGACTGAAAAAAGCACTAGACCTGTCTGGTGCTACTCTTCAAGGGAGATCCATCAGAATCAGCGTTGCCGATCCTCGTAAGTGTCGTCTTTTAACCTCGACTGTTAAATTAGCCCTAGCTTACAGCACCTGTAGCCAAGGACCGCGCGGATGCCAAAGAATTCGATTGGACTCGCAAGGGACCACTTCCAGACTTGGCCCAACGCCGTGTACCTGAACGTTCCACATTCGGGCGCAATTTCGATAATGTCTCAGAAGCTGGTAGCGACCGCGGCGGACGCCGTAACTTCGAATCGGACGGGAAAGTCCGAGACTTCGGCAATTGGGAACGGAAGGGCCCTCTTTCTCCGGTGGGTGGTCCGGTCAGGGAAGGTGGACGTTCACGCAACAATGAGGGCTCTGGATTCAGGAGGAACTCCCCTGCTTGGGGCGAGGGACGCTCGCAGGATGGCTCACGCCCTCCGCGCCGGGAGTTCCACGAGCGGGCTCCTACCGCAGCCGAGCTGGACACTGAGTGGAGAGCAAGGATGCGCCCTGACCAGCCGGCTGCTAAGGAACAACCTAGCACCCCTACTTCACCTGTCGCTGCTCCCGCTGCCCCCGCTGCCCCTGCTCCAGCTACTCGACCGAAATTGAACCTACAGAAGCGGACCGTAACCGAATCCCCAGCAGCGCCTATCGCCGGTGAGTCGAAGGCAAGTCCTTTTGGCGGCGCACGGCCCATAGATACTGCTGCTAGGGAAAGGGAGATTGAGGAGAAGCGCCAATTAGCTATTCGTCAAAAGAAGGAAGTGGAGGAGAAGGCAAAAGCCGAGAAGGCTGAGAAGCAGCGACTTGCCAAAGAGCAGGCCAGGGCTGAGAGAGCTACGACTGCAGACCCCAATGGAAGGGATGTTAGTGAGACACCCCAAGGAGGGAAGAACTTTGATATTCTCCGGCAGGCCGGTGACGACGAGAACGAAGAAACTGCCGACAATGAGGCGGAAGCTGCCCCGGAGAAAGCCCAGGAGTCGAAGCAGGCAGCCGACGTTCCCGCCAGCAAGGCGAACGGCAGCTGGAGGAAGGCCCCAGTTCAGGCCGCAGAGGCAGCTGATGAGGAGGGCTGGAGCACGGTGGGCTCGAAACAGCGCAACAACCGCCGCGGCCGTGCAGTCGCCTAGACTTAATGGCGCCCTCTTGGAGCGCAGCTGTCGTTTTGCCAAACACATCACGTTGTCTTCCTGCAGAGGAAACCCAGACAAATGCGCAGGAATAACATCGTCAAATTGTATGATGAATGCTCGGGGTTTCAGCACCTCTGGCGTATTGAGCCCATTACCAGGCGCTCCATATCCATCCGTCTGAGTTTTCTCTGATGCGGCAGGATGATTTTGGTTATATCGACAGCTGTCTTCGCCCTTTCATTGTTTCCAGTCGCTAACACCCCTTACCATACCACGGCCGTCTCTTGGTTCCTCATTTAGTTTCGTCGGGCTATATTCCTGATTATGCTACCATCGCCAGCCTCTTCGAAAAGTTTGTCTTTTGTCGCCTTCGTTCTTTTCTTTCTTCTCCTTCTCCAACCTTTCTTTCTCCGCCACGTCCCATCTTTATGCTAGTTTTTCCCATGTGCAAAATGGATCTATGACTGTTATGGTTGATGCTGAAGGAAAACATAATGTTATATGTTGATGGCGCTTTCCCATGTCCCTTTCCGTCAGCAATTTCGGTCTCCCAGTGTCGACAGCTTACCTTTCGGTCATTGTCTGCCTTGTTCGGATGAAAGGATGGAGTGTGGAGTGTTTGATGATTCTTTCTTTCTTGTTATTCTTAACTCCATGTCTTTTTTCCTAGCTGACAAGGCAGACCATTCGGGTAAGATATGGCCCTGAGAGTATTATTGAGAAGATGAAATCAGAAGAGTTTCCGGAAGATGGAAGAGGAAAGAACCCCTAGATTGTGAAACACATTAATTCAACCTGCTCCTTAGTGTCTTCTCTCGATTGCATGTTCTCCCCCTCCTTCTTCCTTGATGCTGAGATCAAATTCCCCCGTGGATGTGCTGGATTCTTATATCTGTTTCTTCTTGCACTTCCTCTCTCTCTATCTCTACTGTCCTTTCGGTCTATCATCTCAGTTGTTGCGTTACGTTCTGTTCCTCTCCATTTCTTCGACTTCTCTGGGGGAATGGGTGGGTGGACAGAGTAAGACGGGCTTGATTATTTACATGTTTGCTTAGCAGATTGGTGTAATTGTGAAAATTGAAGAATTCAATCTGTTTCCGTAAAAAGCTCGACATGGGCACAACCTGGTCAGTGATAATAGAAATCAACGATCATGGCTGAACGTGCATCCATCTCTCGCGACCAGGCCTGGAACGCCGAGTAAGTCCAGAACCTGCGAGGTCCTGTAGATAGTCGATGTGTAACAGTCTGTTCTAATTTTCTCTTCAATAGTGTTCGGATGAGGCATTTTCACATTCTTGAGATACTGACTCGTAGTCTCAAGGGCAGGGAAGTCCAGGGAGTCGATTGCCCACAGCATGGCTACCTGCAAGATAGCAAACAATAAAGGGTGACTGATCGAGTAACCATTCCAAGCTGCATGAACAGAAGAGCAGATGACGATTATGTGCATTTACAGGGCAGATAAAAAGATAAAAATAACATCCAGAATGAACCTTTGGGTGCCGACGACGCCTAAAACGGCAGCTCATGAGGCCGTTTCTGGCGTCGTTGGCACCAGGAACTTCGCCTAAACGGGTAAGGCGCTCATGCCGCTTTAGACTGGCGACGGTGCGGCATCGGACGCGTATCGGTATTACTGTTTTTTTACCCTCAGCCAGCGGGCTCTGCCCCACCTAGGATCCCTGCCTTGCTGAGCCCACATCCTCAGCATGACCCGCTGAGGATAGTAACTGGAGGGTGGAGTCCAAGTCATGAGGGAGGCGAGGGCCCTTGCCCTTGACATTACTGAAAGAGGTTCTTTTGCCTTACAGCGCAGAGAACGAGGCAAAAGAAAAAAGATAAATAGTGCCACGAACCGCTGCTTTCCTTCCGCTACCATGACCACATCCTATCCATCCCACGTATCCCTTTAACAGCTCTCTTTACACGATGGCATACTTGGGACTTCCTCAGAGAAAGTATGCACGGCAGGAGGACAATGGAGCGCGAAAATCCTACCTCTACTACGCCGAACGTTGAAAACGACACCTCAAAAATGGACCAACATTGCCGCAATATGCATCCAACACGAACATATCAGCAGCTTCAGTGAGAGGGAAGTGGAATCGGTCAGTGTTTCCCCCATGATAGACCTGCTTTTCTGTTTAAGGTCGCTGATTCTCACCATTGCCAGGCTCTGCTCCCAAGCTGGCCTGGATCCGGATATTCTGCTTGAGAACCTGACCGCGGCAGATGTTAAGTCCTGGTTTGATTGGATTGAGAAGAACTTCAAGGGCTCTATTAAAGCTCACAGTGCACTTGCCAACTACTGGAGGACCTTGAAGAGACTTTACTTTATGCAAAACCGCCATGAAATGGAGACCAGAATGCAGGGAGATTGCCTCAACGTGAGTGGTTCATTCTTGGATGAGGCTGCTTCTACTCTTTGCTAATGTAGGAAGCAGTACATGAATGTTGTGAGCAAGCGGATGGGCTTGCGTAGGCATCCACTTCCCAAGCCGACGGCAGCCTCGGATGATCTCTTGCATTTTCTCGTTACACACATGGTCCACTGCGATTCCGTGTTCGCCGATGAGAAGCAGCGACCCTATGTACTTGCAGGACTCAATTTGTCGAGTGTTTCCGCTTGTCAGGCAGTGTCATTATTTGATACAAGACATCCTGTTAACTTCCAAGCAGATGGTCGTCCACTCCAGCACTCTGAAGTGGAGCGACGCAATGATAGTATAGAGTCTCAGAATTTAGCTGATAACCCTGGGAACCAAGAAGCCGCGGGTGATTCCGGTTACGAGACGGGTATAGAAAGTTATCTAAGTGAACTGGAAGAAGCTGACTTGGATGATCCTTCATACGACGGATTTGGTTCAGAGACAGAGAGCAACACTGACTGCGATTCAAACACTTCCAGTGTCACAAATGATGGGTATCTTGAGGGTGATGAGGAGACTTGCACCATACTTTGGAGGCATGTTGAATTCTATATTGTCCGCAATCCGCTGCCTGACGGTCGCAACATACTAGCCGCCATTGTGACTCTTCTCCACACGAAAGGGGAGGACCGGAAGCCAAGGATGTAAGTCAAGTCTTTCTGAAGAGTTGCCTGTCAGCTGTTTACTCACGAATGCAGCAAGAGATTTGTGGTTGAACATGAAGATAATCCAATATTTGACTTACTGTCCCAACTGTTGTCATTGGCAATTGATGACGGCATCTTTGTTGCGATGATCAAAGACAAGGTGGACATCTACACTGTGCCAATCCCATCACACCGCAGAGGCATTCAGATGAAAATCAAGAAAGAGAAGTTGGATATTCCAATATTCTGTGAACCTGAACACACTGCAGAAGGTTACTGAACATCTGACACCCAGCTACTGAAGTCGCGGACGTGGAGTCGCATTATTAAATGAATTGGGATCTGGGCCGGCCAGGCACAGAACCTAACTCAAAAGGTACTCTGCTGTGGCGCAATCAATGCAATCAACAGTAAGATTCCCACCATATAGACCTTGGACTCTGACTCATCACACTGTGAATAGACAGAGCACTGTCGTCGGTTCATGATCAGGTTGCAGACCATGAGTCAAATGCTGTCAAATATTACCTTAACAAAGTTGTGGACTTTGATACCGCAGCAGCGTTTCATAAAAGACCATCAAATGAGATTGTGCAGAGAGAGCTGCGGTCAGCAACACTTCTGACAGACAGTACTGCCCCTATCAGCCTGACAGACGCACAGTCCTGGAAGATTTCCAATGATCCTGAAGTTTGCCACCTTAGGAAGGCTTGTCGAGATTTGATGTCAAAAATTCATGGAATGGGATATAGAGCCATTAAGGACGCGGCTGGGACAGAAATAGGAGAACAGAAGAGGCGAGCAAATGCAGAGCTGAGCAGCATGCTCACCAGCTTGTGAGACAAGGCCAAAGAAAGGAACCAGAAGAGGCATTTTAGGAATACCGACACTGCGATTTTCAACCAACAGTATGATGAGAGTGCTGGCCCAGAGAGAAGCAAGTGTCGGAGTCAATTGCCTCATCATTACCAGATTCCTGAACAGGCAGAGCTAGTCCGCCTCCTGTGCTACTCCGCAATCGCCAAAACAACAGAAGAAGCCCACCATCGTCGACTAGCGTATATTCGCCTTATGGTCCGCTGGCAGGGTTGAAAGGAAAGCCCACGTTGAGGGAAGCAGGCGGTGATCACGATGCAACATCTGCCAGCTCTGAAGCCACCCAGAACTGAAATTATTACTGAGAGATATGACCCTTTGAGATACGACCGTTTGCAATGCCCGTTTTGCCTCTCAGACACACGTCTACCTCTGCCTGACCGGGAAAAGCGGAAGAGCAAGATCAATAAGCTATGGGATCACGTAGAGAACATTCACCAGCAGGAACTTGCGGCGTTTGACACTGGCAATCGCCGTTGTGGGATATGTGGCATACGGAACATTGATTTTATACCTTCCAATGTGTCGTGTTTCAAAAATCATACCCAGACAGTCCATGGGATCAGGCTACGTCCGTGAAGTGTTTCTCTTCCGGCTTCTACCCAATTCAGGACCAATTAACTGGTTAAGAAGTTCCGCTGGTCAGGAACCACGCATTTCCCCATCCTCGTTGGCGATGATGGACATTTATCTGGGTTACTGGACTGGGAATCGACAGGCTGGTATCCAGTATACTGGGAGTTTACGACAGAAATGCGGTTCGGAAAAGGGAGCTGGTGGTTTCAAGTAGCTCCTTGGATTGTGATTGTGGAGATTGTAAAACGAGGACCTGTGAATTCCCTGTTCAGGTTAGTTTTGCCGTTTCTGGTATAGCCTCCCGATACGCCGTACTGTAAACACGGCCCGCCTGGCTTCCCAATATAAAAGAGCTTTCCCTCACTGTTCTGACTTCGTCTCTTCCCAAATCTTTTTCTCTTCCCAAACTCCCTCCAATATTCTGCACTCACCCATATTCCTGGCCATTTGAACTCCGCCACCCCCTCCTTCTTTTTTTTTCTTTCAGAAATTGCGGCTGCGCCCTCTCACCTCCACTTCTGGTTTCCTCATTTATACAGACCAGCATTTCAAGCTGATTCTGTCTCCCTCTATTTTCTGTACAGTGAATTGGTTCATATTCTCTGCTCCCCTATCTTCTAGTAAAGAACGAATCTACATGAGGACTCGCTTTTCCGGCCGCTCTTCATTAATGGTATCCGCCCTTTCGACTCCCTTATCAAAGAAAAGGTATTGACTCTGGGCTTGACAGACACTCAAGGCTGATTACACCTTACACTTGACCCCATTCATTGCCCCTTTCCGCGGGCGCCCATCCTGCGTCGCACTTTCGCCCTAACCACGCTGATCCCATGTGCCGCGTATGCAGTTGGAATGCCCAGATGACAATGATTTAGCATCCGGGAGAAACAAATCCAATGGCATAAATGCCTCACCTGTGGTTTTGTTGGTTATTTTCACCACAGACACCAGTCACATTCCCACAGAGGCAGTTCTGTAAAGTCTGGAACCAAACCTCGCTGCCAAGTGATGAATGATTGGAGCTCTGTTGTCAAATCTCCAGTCTGCTGCGCCCCATGACATGCTACTGTGGAAAGGACAATGCTACAAGAACAATTATTCGCTGATGCAGAATTTCTTGGCAAATGACACTATGCTCTCGTGCTCTCATGACCAGAACGCTGATTTCACACCTCACTTTGGGCAATACGGGCAATGTTTGGTTAACTTTGCCATTGACTGGGCATAATGACTGTAGGACGACCGTGCCGTAGTGGATTTTGGCTCCAAAGTATAGTTTATCATCTTACATCCATTCATGCTGTGCTTGTAATGCTAGAAGTGTCACAGGCTTATCCTTGTCTGGACTGGTTGGCATCCTGCTATATCTAAAACCTCCAGCGAGCACGCTGGATGAGAGCGCTGCCTCCAGCTCTCAGGACAACGAATTCTCACCTTCTCGCGGTGTCCGGTGTCAGTACTCATCATTTGATTGAGGAAACCAAGAAGAATTCCCCTGTGGCGACGATTGTGCGAACGCGTTGTTGTCCCTCAGCACGCCCACCCTGACCGCACAGAATGGATAATGGCAATAAGGAATAGCTAAAGTTCCTGCCGGCCTTATCTTGCTATAGTCGTTGAATCATAATGCCATGACGCGCTGGCATCGTACTGCCATCTGATGGGGGATACAGCCCGCTAGTGAGTATCCTAGACTGGACGCGTTGACGGTGGCGCGTCTTCCACGCCTTGATACATGTCTACAAGAGGAAGTTACTGAGGATTGCCCTGGCCTCATAATATCTGACGAACTTGCCTGCGATGTGTTTGACTGCTTCACTCATGCCGATCTGCCTGCAAGAGACACGCTGGCATCATACTGCCTACCTACCGACAACTAGCCGCGCTGATATGCCTGCGACGTGGCTGGCTACTCCGTGCCAAACTGCCTACAAGAATGGCACGATGTGACCTTCCCTCTGGTGTTTTTGACTACTTCACTCGTGTCGCACGCCATAACATGCTGGCATTGTACTGCCATCCGATGGGGACACATCCTATGGGCAGTTGTCCCTGACCAAGGCGCGTTACCAATGCGCCCATCCTGTGTTGATTCTAGACTATGAGATGAGAAGATAGCTGGGGTTCCCCTGGCCTCATCATGCTATCCAACAACTTTGCCTGCAACGCATCTGACTCCCACACTCGTGCCAATCTGCCTACGAGAGAGATACGCTGGCACCGTACTGCCCAAATGCAAAGAATATGCTGGCATCACACTGCCCACCTGCAGACAACCAGTCGCGCTGCTGTGCCTACGACCATGGACAATAGATCGTGCCATTATGCCTACAATTGATTGGGGTCGGTAGCAGCTGTGTTGTGGTACACACACTGAGCAGGCTCCCAGGTGATGGATTTTGCTGAGGTTTTGCCCCAAAACTGGGAGTCGTGGGTTGGATTCCCAGCGCCAACTTCACATCTACCACAAAAACGCATGAACTTTATTAGCTCTGTCTAGTGTGGTCCTCAGACTCCTAGCACACCTAGTTCTCCCGGATAACCAGCTTGAGCTGGCAAAGAATGCCAACACGAGGAGGGTATGGGAAATTGCAGACCCCTCGAGCCACAGTCATTGTAGCGCTAGAGGAATATTCTGCGATGAGTACTACCCAAATGCCCTGCGCAAATAGGCGGAATGGGGCAAGGAAAAGGAAACTGAACGATTAAAGATGTATCTAGAAACCAAGTAGGAGCTTGTGCTCACGAACCGCACGGTCTTTCATAGCCCATAGGGCTCAGTAAGACAATAAACTTGATTACTACTACTACTACTACTGCTGCTATATCTAAAGGAGGTTTTGGCATTAGTGTCTCCTTCCGGGTGGTTCCGGACGGACCACCAACTACGCCGTGTTCCTGGCGCAGTGGTTCAGCAAATCAATAGACCGTCCTAAGCGCTGTGTCTGTGAGGCCAACTGTGCCGCAAACACTGTAGGACTCGGATAAAACGCTATTACGACAATCAACACAAGGCGAATGACTCTTGAGGTCAGTGCATAGATCTCTAGCACGCCCGGCGGCTAATTGCTTGTGTCTAAATTTAACTGTCCTCTCGAAAACTCCCCTTATTAGCCATCAATAGGTGATAAGGATTTCTGAAGCCACTACTCTACCACAATCCTTGCAACAGCTGTCATTGTCAGCGCAAAGTTTCATTTCAGGCGCACTATCCTTGTTCTCTCCTATACCCCTCAAAGCTGCCGAGTCTCGTGCTTCATTCGTGTCACCTTCGAGATTAAGTGCGAACGCTCTGAAATCTAGCACTGGTTTATATGTCGCCCCTGATCATGATGAAAATTTTTTTCGAATCCAGTTTTTTTAAAGAGAAGCGAGCGCCTAGGCTTCCAACACCGGCTGAGGTTAGAGCCATCAGCAAGAAGTCAGGTAATATCCGTAGCGCAAGCTTCAATCGCCCACCACCTGTCATGATTCCATCATTGGGCCTAGTTGTCAAGTACGGAGCCGACACAACAGTGACCGAGGCACAGACTCAAATAATGATATGCAAGCACCTGAAAGGCCAAGTACCTGTCCCTGAGGTCTTTGGCTGGACTGAAGATGGGGGTCAAGTTTTTATCTATATGTCATTGATTGAAGGCGAGACTCTGCAGGAAAGATGGGGTGACATGAATGAGAATGAAAGACGGTTTGTCTGTGAGGAACTCAAATGTATGGTGAAGGCATGGAGGTCATTGGAGCAAGACAGGCATGACCATTATGTCGGTAAGTTTTCCTGACAGCAAGATTTGAGCAGACCTAATCATTGACCTTCTTTGTAGGTAGTCTGGGTAGGCAACCACTGAATGAAATCTTTCTTTTAAGTCATCCAAACATCACAGGGCCATTCCAAGGTGCAAATGCTGTCCAGCAATTCCAAGACGCTTGTGGAATCAAAATCAATGGGGAAGCGCCTATTGTCTTCACACATGACGATCTTGTCCCGCCAAACATCCTTTTGTCGTCTGGGCCGAATCCAAGAGTAGCAGCGATCATTGACTGGGGCCAGGCAGGATGGTATCCTGCTTACTGGGAGTACTGCAAGGCGCGACGGGTGAGACCGAATCTAGAATACTTCAGCGACGCTATGGAAGAAGAATGGCGCATGAAATATCTGCCAATGATTCTGGATCCGGTTGATGATGAGACAATATACCACCCTTGGCTTTATTTTGTATTGTCCAAAGGAATCTAATCATGATAGAGTTTCCGATAATGTGGACTGCGTCATGAAGGACTTTTCTCTTGAAAATGCTCAAATAACATTCAGAATCTATCTTTTGATGCCGGGACTGCCAGATTTGGCGGCTCGAGCGGCCGTTTTTGGCGGTTCAGGCTCCGGCAGCTAAACCAGAACGGGTAATTATAACACACCGCTTTCGCGCGGCCAAAATTACAATGGCGGCTCTGTAATCACGTTACACGCTCAGCCAGACCTCAGGGAGACCCCACTGCGCAGCGCAGTAGAGCGCAGTTATACACAAGCTGGTACGTTGTCGGAACAAGCAGTGGATGATAGGGCTCGCAACCATCAGTTCCATCTTGACAGATGGAAAGAGATAAATAGCACCTTGCACTCCCGACGGCACTTTCCTCAATAATGCTAATGGTGTACTCAGGGCTTCCTGAGACAAAGTCTCGACAACAGAAGGGGTCTGCAGGCTAAAAGCCTCCTCTCTACTATGTGGAGCGTCGGAGAATGCACCTTGCGAACAGTCCCACGTTACCCATTATGCACCAAGGACCAATATGCCAGCAGCTTCTGTGTGAGGGAAATGGACCAGGTACTCTGCCTCCCTTTACCCCTAAGCTCACACATACCGAGCTCTGGACAACAAATTTTCCTGCTCATCATTTTCAGGTTCTGCTCTGAGGCCAGCTTAGATCCAGAGAACTATCTTCAGAACCTGACTGCCGTGGATGGTCAAGTCCTGGTTTGGTTGGATTGGGGAGAACTTCAAGGGCTCAATTGCAGCCCACAGCGCACTTGCTAACTACTGGAGAACCTTAAAGGGGCTTTATGTCCTGCAGAATCGCAAGGACATAGAGGAGAGCATGTGGCAAGACTGCCTCAATGTAAGTGATGCATCCAGCACAGCGGCCTTGAAAGACCGTTGCTTAGAATAAAGGAATAGTACATGAAGGTAGTGAGCTGGCAAACGGGCTTGCGGAGGTGTATGCTGCACAAGCCTATAGAGGCATCAACCAACCTCTTGGAGTTTCTCATCACACACCTGGTCCACTGTGACTCAGTATATGCTGATGAGAGACAGTGACTCCAGCTCCTGCTGGGCCTTAATCTATCAAGCATAAGTGCCTGCAGGGCAGTGTCATCTTTGACACAGGGTAGAGAAGACCTTCAACCAGAAAGCCAACCAATTCCATTTTCTTCACCAGAACCAATCCATGAAGAATGCTTACCTTCTCCGTCAGATTGCTTGGTCAGTCTGGGCCTAAGTGATTCCAGCTATGATACAGGCAGAGACAGTGGCACCAGCATCTTCAATGAGATGTCATGTGATGAATCCATGACTAACATAGACAGTGAAAGTGATGGCAAGTCAGACTACTCCAGCATCACAGATGATGGGTACCTTGTCAGCAATGAGGAGACTGGCACCATTCTCTGGCAACATGTGAAATTCTACATTGTCCACAACCCGGTACGTGGGCCCCACCATATCCTTGCCCCAAGAGAGGCTCCCTATTTACTCAAGAGCTCCAGAGATTCCACGGTATGAGCTGTCGATTTGCGACTTGGAAGGTATTGATTTATTTTCCGCAACTATTTCAGCTATTTTTGGAGTCGTATTTTGGAATACCATATCCATATATGCACGCTTGATCTCAGCGTATCCGGCCTGACAGCTGTGTAGGCTGTGCCTTGAAAGTGCGCACTTGAGGCGGAGGAAGTGCGCGGTGACCATGAGCTCTGAATGTTTCACGAGCTCTGGCTATGTCAAATCGTCCTATGATGAATATGACAACAGCGAGGCAATGGATGTAAGTTGCTCTGGATAAAAATTTCCTGGAGAAACTTGTTCTTCGGGACTACTACTCAGGTACATACAGCCAAACACTGATTTCGGTTCTCTCTAACTTTTGTCTCTAGGTTGAGGTGATTGGCTTGCACCTTCACTCTAATGGATTTCGGCTGTACATACGCTCAGTGTCCCCACATTCATTAGTTTTCTAACGATAAGAAGTCATTTGTTGTTATGGGAATTTTGACTTGTGGATGATAATGTAGTAGTTGTAGCTTGCTTGTCCGTAAGATTTTGACCCTCTCTGTGTACGTCGTGATCAATTTCCGATTGAATAGCAGCTTACATGCGTGCTTCAACACCATGCGCAGGAAGTAGATGACTGGAATTAGCGATGTGTTCTCTAAAAGCACAAATAGACATATTCCCTGGGAACCAGCACTCCAGTATTACACGCAGGGATATAAGCATTAGAATGAACTCCAATCAGCCAGTGATTTGTTTGGACGATGATATCTCCGAAACAGGCAATGTCGAACCAATCGCCTCTCACCACACTAAAAACGTCGACGGCGACCCGCCTGGGGGTTATTAAAAATAGGCGTCTGCAGCGCTAAATAAAGGCCAGGGTTCGCGAGTCTTCTTCTGGAGAACTCCGGAGTCTCCGCATTCTTCTTTTTCTTCTTCTCGAGTTCTCTCTCTTCTTTCATTGCTGTTCCTGGTACGGCTTTCCTCTATCCAATGCGACAGTGCCCGATCCGTTCCACCGACCCATGTCTTTGCCTGCTGCAGCATGGCTACGACGGCGACTACCACTGCCACTGCGACAATGCTCGTCGGCGTGTTGCCCACAATGACAAGCGCTATGGATGCCACTTCTGAAAATCATTGCCCGGCGTGTGGTCAGGATGTCCACCGGCCTTCTGCAGATGCGGCTCAGCAGAGGATAAAGGAATTAGAAACCGAAGTACAGCGTCTTACCGAAGGGGCCACGCTGACAGGTAGGGCAGACAGACAGAATCCTCCCTCCCCTGGAAAAAGAACAAGAAAGACAAAAGAACAAAGAAGACATTTTCTTGTATGGAGAAAATGTATATTATATTAATTACCGCTAACTCGCATCTTTCGCCGAAAACGAACAGCAAAGAAACTCGCCGATTATGAAGACGAACTACGCCATGTCCGCTCCCAAGAGAAACCTCATGTACAAAGAAACAACTCGTCCATATCATCCTCCACGTGCTCCATGCCCTCAGACTCGGTATATAGACAACCAACAATGTCAACGTCACCCACAACTGTCCAATTCTCATGCTCCCCAAACTCCCCGCCTCAGCAACCTGCGCAGTCCCAAGGCCGGATTTCGTCGTTCGCATCCCTCCTCCACTATCGCCGTTTCGTCACTGGAACTCCTGGCCCGTCGGGTCTCAGTCAGCAGCAACAACAGCAGCAGCAGCGTGGATATGTCAGTGGCAACAGCGAGTTCACAACATCCGAGTTGCAGGACGCCCTCAATCGAGAACAGAATATGCGCAAGGCCGCAGAGATGCAGCTATCACAGGTCAACATGGAACTGGAGGAGCTGACAATACAACTATTCAGTCAAGCGAATGAAATGGTTGCGCATGAGCGACGGGCGAGAGCCAAATTGGAAGAGAGAGTCACGCTCCTAGAACAGCGCGATGCTGATAAGAAGAAGCGTCTGGAGAGGCTGGAGAATGCCATTGCGAGAGTGGAAAGAGTTCGTACCCTTGTTGGGTAGATTCTCTGTCTCTTTGGTGTTCGGCTTCATCTTCCCCATTATCTTCTTTTGTTGCCTTTCTTGTATATTGTTGATTTATTGCCATTCTTGTACACCTTCTTTACCTTATACCCCCGGCTTTTTGTTTTTATCTAATCACTCTTATATCCCTTCCATTCCCCTCCCCCTTTGCTTGGTTGAAACTGACGATTTCCGACTTGCGACATGATCTATGGGGTTATGAATGGCATATTGACGATCTATGTATGAGTTCGGGTTTATATTTGTACGTATTGCATGTTATTTATTGGCCCCTTTGTCTCTTTTGCATCCTGTCGATTTGGTCTGTAGTTATGGGTGGGCTGCATGGGTGTTTTCGTCTATAAGCATTTCCATATTTGCCATGTTTCTTTGGACAGTAACTAGTTCTCTACAGTGTGCGTATACGAAGTAGAAGTGTTTTTTTTTTTTTCTTGAAATCCGACGTCATCTCTTTTTCCACGCCGGAATCTTATGGATTGTCTTGCTATTTTATAGCTCCTTTTCCACCCAAAGATAAAGAAAAGTACCAGCATTTGTCTTGTCCGTCCCAGATCTCATAAAGTATCGGCCCGCCCCGTTTAGATGTAATGTAATAGTTGTAATAGTCGCGTCTTAAAAAGTGATAAATTGAATGAAGAAAACCGACATTTCATTGGGTAACTGCAAATATAAGCACAACCACCATTTTTCCCAGCCCAGGTTGCCCCATTTTCGTTCATATTCATTCCATCTAAGCCTCGGTGGTGACGCGGCCCTTGGGGTTGGTGACCTTGACACCGAGGGCCTTAGCCTTGGCGAGAATGTCGACGCGCTTGCGGGATGAGACGGCGTGGGCGATTCTATTTGTGGTATTTAGGTTAGTCATCCAGGGTCCTGTTCTTGTGTCCCGTATTCACTACGTCGGGATAGCCCATGAGTAGGGAAAGACACATACTCAGCAGCGTAGGTGCGGTTGTGCATGAGCAGAAGCTCAACGTCCTTGGGGTTGTGGACGAGGAAAGCCTTGTGGCCGGAAGGCATCATATGCCGGGTCTTCTTGTTGCTACCATAACCGATCTATTTCCCATCGAATCAGCATTTGTTGGACTTCACATGAAGAGATAAACGGCGACAAATAGGGCTCGAATCGATTCCAATTCGGCATGAAAAACCCCCGTTGTCTTTCCCTTTTCAGAAGTTCAGAAAAGAGGGCAAACGTACAGAAGGCATGGCAATGGTGCCCTTGAAGCGTCTGCGGACGGCATTATCGATACCCTTGGGCTTGCGCCATGAAGACGACAGGCACTTGAAGCGATCGGACTGGTGGCGGTTGAAGCGCTTGGTGCCTGTATGGAACCGAAAATTTCAAGTCAGTCCTTTTTTGCTCCTTCCGTCGACTAAATTCTGCCATTCATTCTGTCCGCTGATATGCATGCAAAGATCCAAGTGCCTCCGTTCAAATCACGTTCTTTCATTTCCCGGGTATAATAGAGAATTCTTTCCACGGCACTCCCATTCCAAATGCGGAAAACTTTTTCATAGATCTTGCGAGGCAACCGAACATTCAGATGCAGATTGACATGGATATGAAGATGCATATGAATATGGAAAAATCAGGAATGTGAATATATAACGTACGCTTCTTCACGATCGGGATGTGCGTCTTTGCGGTGGCCATCTTCAGGGATCGAAGCCAGTCAGTCAAATCACTCGTGCTTTTTTTTAGAACGTGAAAAGATTGAATTCCGGGAGTGCGTACCTTGCCGGCTTCGTAGGGTCTCGCTGGCTGGGCGTTCGAGAGTTGTCGTGAGGTCGAGATCAGAAAGTCGGGCTGTTTTGGCCGCCCGGACAGGCTGAGTGCACGTTGGCGCTAGTGGGTCGCTAAGCGAGATGGGTATGTTAGGGTTCTTGCTACGCAGCCCTTATCGACACGCTATACCGAAAACATTGCCTTATGATAGCATATCTACAGTGCTGTACATTACTCCTAATTCTATCCAACTTAAACCTGCAAGCTCAACGCCTTTTTCTCACCGTTCTGCTCTCCACTCACCAGCATCAGCTCCAAAACTTCCAGATCTGCCAACGCCTCCTCTGGAGATTGTCTCTTATCAACCGGAGACTTGTTTGCGATAGAAGCAGCAAACCCCGCAACCTCTTGGACAACGCCCTTGCCATCGAACGGGACATCGTGGAAATCTCCATTCACAAGAACCCCGTCCATACCCAGCTGCACAACACCACCCTCGCAATCAAACTCAAATGCGAAATCTTGGAATGGCGACCCGTACGATGCTGAGAATACTCCTGTCGCACCGGACTTGGTCTTCAGAATGGCGTCAACGGTATCTTTTGGTGGGAGATACTCTTGTAACAGACAAGTATGCGCAGAAAGCGTTGCGATTGGATCATCCGAACCAAGTATTAGACGTAGACCTGCGACCAGATGGATTCCGCCATCTAGTAGAAATCCGCCTTGGTACTCGGGTACTTTGCGCCAGGATGTTTCTGGACCGAGATCGTGCATAATCAGCCATTGTTCTTGTCCCTGTTTCTCTGACAAATGGCCTGGACTCACGGTAGTATTTGAAATCCGTCTTAACCATGGTATGGTTGATCACACGGAAATTCTTCACAGCGCCCAACTTCTGCACCTGCTCAGCAGTGTACAGAAATTTCCTGAAGTAGCGATAATTCTCTGCAACTGCCCACGAGACCGTGCTGGTATCAACATTGGCCTGGTACCATTTTACAAGGTCTTGGGCGGTTGCAAGGTCTTTAGCTATGGGCTTCTCGGAGAGAACATGCTTCCCAGCGAGGAGAGCTTTCTTGATGAACTCAGGCTGGACCAAAATCGGGAGGCTTTCAAAGTTAGTTTCTTCTTTCCCCCCACCCCAACGGATAGAGAATGCCATTGAGGAAGGTTTTCAAAAGATGGAAGAACATACGCTATGATAACAGCCCCAATATCCTCTCGAGCCAACAAGTTGGAGTAGTGCTTTCCAGCACCAGCATCCTCAGCATAGAGATCAACGGTACCCAAAGCACTCTGTGCAAGATCTTGTGCGGATTTGAGAGACCGGGAATAGATGGCCTTGAGTTGTAGGTCATCGGTTTCTTGGACAGCAGGCTATATAGCAAAGCTCACGTCTCAGCATGGAGCAGAAGAATACATGTAATACAAGATACACGCTATAAATAAGATCTGCAACAGTCGACGTACAAGATGCTGTTCACGGGCAAAAATACCTGTCGCATGAAGGTTAGCTTCGGGGGGGAACAAGGAACGGACAGGGTTCCGATCACGGTCTCGTACCACTTCCTACAATGGCAACACCGACAGGGGAAGGCATGGCGAAATGTACAACAATAGTAAATATGATTTGTATAGAATTGTATAGTGTATAGACGAAAAGGGGTATTAAGAAGAAGAAGAAGAAGAAGAAGAAGAAGAAGAAGAAGAAGAAGAAAAAGAAGAAAAAGAAGAAAAACCAATGAAAAAGGAAAGGAAAGAACAAGAACAACGTGAGAAATGAGCAGACTAAAACGAGGGGGGCTTGAGCAGAAAGAAGGAAGGTCTACGCTGCCCCTGCTTCGTGTGGAGTTCCCTGGAGTTCCCCTCACTCGGCTTCTGTTCCATCATTTTGGAAACAATATTAAATAAGGACATAATATACTCCGTAAAACACACCGAACCGAAAGGCTAGGTCCTGCTCAGCGTTTTCCGTGGTTCCAGCTGGTCAGAGCCACTGATGGAAATATATGCATGAATGCCAAGTTATCTTAAGGCAGCAGCGTCCGAACTGGAGAAAGAAAAAGACCTTATATAATCACCTGTAAGGCAATAGTTAGTTAACTAACCGACCCCTACGGTAACCTTCGGGGTCGCGCGTATTGCGCGACCCTGACAACCACCCGAGCACCCCAGCCACCCGAGCACCAATTTTAGACCCCCCTTCTAGCTTCAATATCTCAACGAATTCTATAGTATTTAACTTCAAAATATATTTAAACTAAAGCTCTACTCTTCAGCTTGGGCCCTAGCATGTCGTTGCCTTCGTATAATAATTCCTCGTCGAATGCATACATCCAGCAGCTCTGGTAGGCAACGCTTATACTTAGTCCTCCACCTCTTTATTTCAGCCTGCTCATTAATATTCGCAGTATTTCGATTTATAGCTTCAAGCTCTGAGCTTGATACTATGCCTCCCTTGCGAATCCTGCGCCTAGAGGCCTGTGATCGAGCTGCGCGGTCCCTAGCAGCTTTAATATACCGGTCAAGCTCAGCTTCGATAGCAGCTGAATATGATGCTAGCATACTACCACCACGAATAAGCAGCTCTAGGCCCTCATTAAATTGATCCTTGTTGATATCATGAATCTCCCATATCCTATCACCAATCTCCCTAAATCGTTCAGCTTTTTTTTGGCGTACTGCCCCAGGAATCAACATCATTGGTATTGGTGGATGAAGAGGATGGACGATGTGGTTGAGGCATTTGATTGAGTACAATTGATGGATTGAATGGTATGATGCCAGTCTTTTGGAATCCATGCTGAATAGTACGCTTTTTGAATGTCTTCTTGCGAATTGCCCCTAAGGCATGAAGGAATTCAACCTTAGTAAATTTACTGCATCCTGAGTAGGTTGCATCTGCAACTGCTTCTGAATGCCAGTGCTTATATGCATGAAAAACACCAACATCCAATGGCTGCAAGAAATGACTTGTATGTGGAGGTAAGAAGAAGGTGATGATATTGGTCTTCTCACAGAATTCAACAAATTCATGTGTTAGATGGGAGCCGTATCCATCACATATAAGAAGGGTATATTGACCCTTCCTATATCTTTTAGTATGCCGATAGAATGACTGAATCCATTGGAAGGCAATTGTATCAGTCATATAACCATTTTCTGATACTCCAATTGAATAGTCTTGTTGAATATCAGCAGCTTCAAACCAATTTGTAAGTATACAGCTACCACTCATGAGAATAAGTGGTGGGCAGGTCCAGCCATCTGCATTGACTGCTTCAACCACAGTAACATATTCACGGTTTGAATTCATCCCAATATGAGGCTTATTAATATTGAAGTCCCTGGTAATAATCCATTGATCACGACCAACACCGATATTGAAGCCAGTCTCATCAAAATTGTAGATATCCTCCTTTAATATCCCATGGTTCTGGATGGTCTGATGGAGCTTCTGAAACCACTCCTGAATAACCTCACGATCCTCTGCACGCTTGCGGTCAAGCTCTATAGCTCTAGAGCGACGTCTTTTATATTCAGGATGCCTTCCTAGCCATCGGTTTAACCATTTCTCGCTGACAGTAGGTGGAGGGGTGTCTAGGCTGGTATGGGTTGATTTCAGAATAGAATTGGCACTTGATTGGATCATTTGTGCAAGTGGCTTTATATTTAATTGCTCTAGAGTATCAACATAGTGACACAGAGCCTTTTCTTGCTCTTCTGATAATCTGGTGTTGGTTGGTGGTCGTTCACATAGATTGGACCGTCCCTTCCACCTTGCGGAGAGGGTTTGCCGTTTAACTCCATATTCACGTGCAGTTTTGGCGATATTTGGGGGATTTTGTGTGCTTAACGCGTCAATAGCTTTGAGCATTCGATCTTCATAATTTTTATTGAATTTGGGCATGGTGGTGGTGGTTGAATTATATGATAAAGTTGATGGGTTGGAATTCTACGAAGTTCTAAAATCGGTGCTCGGGTGGCTGGGGTGCTCGGGTGGTTGTCAGGGTCGCGCAATACGCGCGACCCCGAAGGTTACCGTAGGGGTCGGTTAGTTAGTTATCCAAGTGAGTGAGTGAACTATCAACCTCGGCATCTCTCAATTTCGACATGACATCGCAAGAATGCTATATAAATAAATATAATAATATAATATAATACAGCTATTAGCATCCCACTTCTACCCTGTGACGTATCCAAATCTGCAGAAATACAATAATCTGGTACCGTGTACACAAACAATGACCCTCAAAAACGACCTCGCCTCCAAAAGGCGCCGCACTCGCTCCGACTACCCCTTCCACATCGAATACCAGACAAGATGGTCAGTCAATCCCTCTATATATCGTATACATATACATACACAATCGATCTAGACTACTGAATAAATAAAACAGGCTCGACAACGACATGTACTCCCACCTAAACAACACAATCTACCCCGTCCTCTTCGACTCCATCGTAAACACCTACTTGATCAAACACTGCCGCCTGAATCCGTTTACCAGAAGCTCCAGCTCCAGCTCCAACACAAACAGTGGCTCGTCTGCAACGCAAATCGGGATCATCGTCTCCGCCTTCTGCGATTACTTCGCCTCGGTATCCTTCCCAGATGTTCTAGACCTCGGTCTACGCGTTTCCAAGCTGGGTTCATCCAGTGTCACGTACGAGGTGGGTGTGTTTAGGAAGGGGGAGGAGGATGTAAAGGTTGTTGGGGGGTATACGCACGTTTTTGTTCCGAGGGAGACTATGAGGCCTGTTAAGGGTGGGATGGAGGGGAGGATTCGGGAGGGGTTGGAGAAGTTGGTTGTTGATGGCAGTAATGAGTCCAAGCCCAAGTTGTAAATAGTCATGCCGTCCATACTACATCATACACTCTGAAAGAAGTAAACTTCTGACGCCTTCATACAAAGGTAGTAATCATCATCATTATTTTGTAGCAATCCCTAAGCAAACACCGTCGCCCAAGCACCTTTGCCGATTTTGCTTCTGCCCGATACATTTAACTTTTCCGTTTCCATCTAGCAAAGTAGCCCGACTTGCGCGTGGTGAACCAAACATCGCTCCTTGAAACGCCGTCGCTTTATGTAAAATAAACCAGCTTAAATCAAACACCGAAACCATCGAGTCAAACGAACAGAGTAAAGCCACATGGCGTACATTTTCGCCCCATAAAATTGCACTAGAACACCCAGACCGATGTCCCAGGCTATTCCATCAAAATGCCATTTGCACGCGTACCAAGGTCACTTTTCTGGAACAATGCTGCTCAATCGGGAAACATTTGAGCTTTCACAACTCTTCATCCGACGCATCGCGTTGGTCTCCGGGTCGAAGCACCATTTCCGGTACGGACCGGGGATGAAGTTTCCCCTGGAATCCCATCCAGTAACCCAGGTAAAGCCGTCGTCAAGTAAGAAGAACATGAACTTCTCCGGTTTGCTGCCTTCACGAACTGTAACCGACTCCCAGCGGCATCTTTCTTCCATTTCGTGTTCGAGAAGATGTCGGTGAAGGATGCGACAGTAAACCAGTCGGACCGGTTCCTTTTCTGGAGAAACGTGGCCATCGCGGTGGACGAGATACCAGCCGCGACCAGGCGTGTATTTATACGTTCCCGGAACGGGGCTGTCCCAGTGTTCCTCGATGTTAAGCGAGTGAACGCGTTCGCGTCGCTGGAACCAATAGACTGGACAACAGATAGTCCGGAGACAGAGAAAAAGATTGGGCGCCATGTTTTTTTTTGTCGTGTAGGATAATTATTAAAGCCCGCTTGGCTATTCCTCGTAATGTGGGCGAATCAACCGCTAATCGAGGGGAGACAAGCCGTCCGGAGAAAACCGTTCGACTTTCCGGGTAACTTTTTGCGCGACAGACAACGGCAATGGCTTAGAGACACACAGTCATGGTGGAAAAAGAGACCAGAAACCTCAGGATCTTGACGGAGTAGGAACGATTGGAGTCCACGGTCGTTGAGTTGAACCGGGACTTTGGAGGGGCAGCCCGAAAGAAGCGCGGACAGGAATCAACGACGCACGAAGCACGCAGTTGCTCCTCTTAAATGTTATAGCTTCGACATGATGAAAGAAGTGCAAAGGAAGCCAGGTGGAAGAGAAAAGGGGCTGAAACGGCTGTGGAACGGAAGGAAAAAGTGAGAGGGAGATGAAAGCCAGCTTTTTAAAAGGCGCAGTGGAGGAAGAGTAAGTGTGCGAAATTGCAATGGCGAGAAGAATAGTCCGACGGGGAAGGCGGGAAGACGGGCAGGTGACTTGTCAGCGGCCACAGACTTTTTCTCCCGATCTTTTGCCGACTCCAGCGTTGCTCCCACAACGTACTTTCTACACCGTATTGTTATTCTTAATCTGTCTTTACCCAGCTGCTCTCATTGTCCATCCGTTCCAGCACGTTGTCGATTCTGCCGGGACGGGACGGGACAAGGGCCAGCATGTATCCGTCGCCTCTCTCTATCTGACTGCGCCGGATAATGTGAGATCAGCAGGAGGCTTCGGGCAGTGCAAGAGACCTGGCAAAACAACGTAATCCCAAGCGTGATAGATGACCTCGCCTCTCTTGGCACGAGTTATCTTTGCATAGATAGACAGAGTGGCAAGGAGTTGATACCCAGACCTGGCATATCTACCTCCTGAATGAAGTCATAAGGGCCTAACGTCGAATGCCATCGCAAGATTGGTTCATTCTTAAGCAATGCGCACCTACGATGGTGATAAACACTTCCGTAACAGGTACTCAGTGCAAACCGAAGCATATGATACAGCAGCCACCCAGTACACACTCCATAGTACAAGTCGGAATATGCAGGAATGGACCCGTAGATTCCCTCGGCTGTGTGCTTTTTGTTCGCTATGATATGTTCAATGATTCTGTCTAGCCGCTTCCCACCGCTGTGCCAGTCGCTGATACTTGATGGCTTCACGAAGGACCATCCCCTCGTTCAACTGGGCTACCTCTTTGCGGAACATTTCCTGCCACGGAGTCTGACTCTGCGGGAACTTGTAGCCTCCGTTTGCATCGAGAGCCTCCCTCCGTCTCGCAAGTTCCTCGGGGGAAAGTAGAATGTCCACCCGACGCTTTTGGAGGTCCACCCGGATTCTATCCCCGTCGCGGAGTAGAGCTAGGTTCCCCCCCGCAGCAGCCTCGGGACTGGCGTTTAAAATGGACGGTGAGCTGGAAGTGCCTGATTGTCTGCCGTCTCCAATGCATGGCAGAGAATGTATGCCTTTTTGCAACAGATGTCCCGGAGGCCGCATGTTCACCACTTCAGCCGAACCGGGGTACCCAAGGGGCCCAGTGCCACGCATCACTAGGATGGTAGCGTCATCGATGGGTGTTGAAGGGTCATCAAGACGATGGTGGTAGTCTTCTGGCCCGTCGAACACTGCGATTTTGCTCTCAAATGCATTCGGGTCGTCGGGGTTCTCCAGGAACTTCCTCCGAAACCCCGAAGAAATCACACAGGTCTTCATGATGGCCGAATCAAACAGGCTGCCCTTAAGATGCAAGAAGCCGGCGTCTTTCAAGAGAGGTTCCGCGTACGGTCGGATCATCCGACGGTCCCATGAGAACTTCCCTTGGACATTCTCGGCTACGGTGCGGCCGTTGCATGTAAGAGCATCCCCGTGGAGTTTGCCGGCATCCAGCAACTCGGCATTGATGGCGACCAGCCCGCCTGCACGATAGTATTCCTCGCCTAGAAGCTCACCTGCAGGCTGCATGTTAAGCAGAAGGGGAATATGAAAGCCGAGACGATCCCAATCGTCCCAGGAGAGATCCACCCCTACGTGTTTGGCAATGGCATTGATGTGGATTGGGGCATTCGTGCTCCCACCGATAGCTGTGTTGGCCACGATAGCATTCTCGAATGCCTGTCGTGTTAGGATGTCACTTGGCTTTCTGTCCGCGTAGACCATCTCCACGATCTGCACTCCCGTCTCATAGGCACATTGCGCTCTCTCACGATACGCTGCGGGAATGGCAGAAGATCCAGGCAGCGCCATCCCCAGAGCTTCTGCCAGTGCGTTCATCGTGGATGCTGTTCCCATGGTGTTGCAATGACCTACTGAGGGAGCCCTAATCGCACGGCCGTTAGAGAAAGGACACAATTTAACCATTTCGCGGCACTTACCCCCTGGACACATAATCAATGAACTCTTCCTTGTTTATCTCGCCTGTGGCATACATCTCCCTGCCTTTCCAGACCACCATTCCTGAGCCCGCTAGTTGATTCTTCACATATCCATTGAGCATCGGGCCCACATTCAAACAGATGGCAGGTATATTCTTGTGAAATCAAATCAGCTAAAAATGAAGCCGTACAAACAGCAACTCAACTGTACACAAGAAGATAAATACTACACACCACTGTGACTGCAGCCATCAAAAACGCCGGCGTCGTCTTGTCACAGCCGGTAAGCAAGACCACTCCATCCAGAGGATATCCATGCAGCACCTCAACCAGGGCGAGATAGGCCAGGTTCCTATCGATAGCAGCAGTCGGCCTGCGCGAGCTCTCCTGGATCGGATGAGTTGGGAATTCAAAGGCAATAGCACCCGCTGAGCGAATGCCTTCTCGCACGCGCTTCGCCAGCTCCAGATGATGGCGATTGCAGGGAGCCAGATCGGAGCCCGACTGGGCGATCCCGATGACCGGTTTGCCGGACATTAACTCCTCCCGCGTCATTCCATAGTTGAGATAGCGTTCGAGGTACAATGCGGTCATTCCGGGGTCGCTCTCATCGTTGAACCACCTGGCTGATCGGAAGCCTTTCCGGGCTGGCTTCGAGCGATCCACACGGCTAGCATTATTATCCTTCAGCGACGCCAGGGTCTTTTCCAGCTCCCGGGTGCGGTTCCGCAGTGCGAGCAGTTCGGCCTGGCAGTCTTCGATGTCAACGGTACGTCCTCCACGGCTGGTGTCTCCTTCACAGGTGCAATCCTGACAGGAGCTTTGCGAGGTGCATGGCATGGTGAGAACTGGACGAATTAATTGAAGTTAAGAGAGGGGAGGCCGTTTGTAGATAACAGGGGTAATAGTAGTTAGCAGAATCCTTGTAGCAGCAGCACACGTATAAGAAAAGAACCGTGACAAAAGACAAGGGAAAATCACTCATAATAATGAATTCTATGCAAGAAAAGAGAACAATTGCAGGAAACCATGAAGCAAAAGGATGGACTATGCCGTGATATATAAGACGGATAGCCAACGGAGTTTGCCCGACCGCGGAACGACCCAAGTCCAAACGCTGAAACCTACCCTTCAACCAACTGTCAATTAGACGAGTTATTTTATTTACAGGCGTCTGATGGAGCAATAAGAACGAATGGTTATCACCCCATCGCCATGTCTCACGGTCGTCGTCAAATACGGTCTTTCTCCAGACTGTCGCCGGTTGGTAGGCTTCCCCGGGAAATTGGATAACGGATTGTCGACCGAGCGCTCCATGATCGTGATGCTGTGCACCCCACGCTATGTCGTGGGGATGCTGCAGCTTTCCAGTAAGAAGCCGCCTATAATAAGGCCGTGGGGGACATCTGGATGCGTGGGATGAGCGTGGGGAGGATGTATTGATGGACTGACAGAATGACTATGATGCTTAGAAGCTAGGTGCCGTTGATGAAAGAACCCATCATAATACGCTCTCTAAAGAGCTCCCGTTTTCAGTGAAAAGGAATGCTCTATCTATTCTAGTCGTCAAATGGCCCAGAAAACTAGAATAACCAGACCTGGCAAGCCCAAGATGCCAAACTGCCCCCTTCAAACGCCGGAGATGTCCCTCAGAAACAATAACCCACTGTATTCAAGAGTATGGTCAAGGGAAGTCGATACAACTACTGAGTCGTACATTGTGCCTGCGGACCATCTTCCTCGTCCTCATCCTCCCATCCGGATCCACCGAGGGGATCACCAGCACCGAATTCGTCTAGGCTGGCCTTCGGGTCGTAATCCACTTCGTCCACGGTGTCCGCTTGGATCGGTGGGTCGGGTTTGGGAAGCATCTCCTTTAGTTTTTCCAGTACCGCAGCCGACGGCTTCCACTTCTCGTCGGGGAACTTGACGTTGACGACGAGATACAAGTCTCCCCGAGCGTCGCTACGCTTCATCGTCATGCCTTCTCCCGGGACTTTGAGAACTTGTCCAGGAGACAGAACTTCACCCTTGACCTTAGGGTGCGTGAGCTCAATGCCTCGGCCGTCCAGGTGTTTAACCACAACTCGAGAGAAGCCTGTTAGTGCCTCCGCCAGCGTCACGTCGATGGTGGCCGTGAGATCCGAACCAGCCCGGCTGAATGTTGGGTGATCCGCTTCGACAATGTGAAAAACAATGTCTCCAGGCTCCTGGCCCGGCACCTGATCCGCCTCGCCTTCTAGAACGATCTTATCCCCCGCCCTGGAACGGCAGGTTAGCAATCACAAGGATATGTTGACCAAGTGCAGCAGTTCCTAACTCACCTTGTGCCTCGAGGCACGTATATTTCCAGCATTTTTTTCTCCTCTGTCACCTTCTTTCCCTTGCATTTCTTACACTTGTCCTTGGGGCTGAAGAAGCTACCTTGGCCGTTGCAAGTTGTACAGGGAACACTTGACTGGCTAAGGAACTGGCCCATTCGAGTCAAAACTTCCCTATAACCTGAATGATGGGGCTGTGATCAGTACAAAAAGCCTCAAAAAGCCAGGGCAGTATGCCATACCTTGTCCGTGGCAAGTCGAGCATGTCTTCGCAGTTGCCTTTTCTTTTCCACCTTTCCCCTTGCACAGACTGCAGATGACATTCTTCGTGCTGGCAAACTTCACCGTCTTGCCCTTGTAGAGATCCTCCAAGCTAACCTCATATTTCTGCTCCTCATTCGGGCTCTTTCGGGGTCGTTGTCCGCGTGGTCCTCCACCAGGCATACCACCCATACCAGGCATTCCGCCCATACCACCCATACCGCCCATTCCGAACATCTGTTCTAAGATATCATCCAAGTCCGGGCCGCCAGACATGCCGGGCTCGCCTGAACCGTTGAACGCGCCCATGCCATGGGTATCGTAGAGATGTCGCTTCTCATCATCGTAGAGAATATCGTAGGCCTGTTGGACAGATTTGAATCTGATCTCTGCTTCCTCTCGTTCGCCTTCTGGGACCTTATCGGGATGACTGGAGAGGGCGGCCTATTATCGTAGATGGACACCGCATCAGCATCTTGCATGCCGACAATGTGATTGAAGTGAAAAACAAGGGCCACTTTTTCGCTTATATTTACCTTCCGATACGCCTTTCGGATTTCATCCTTGCTTGCGCCTCTATGGACCTCTAGGATCTCTGTAGTACGTTGACTTAGTTTTCCATGTCCCAGCCCGAATCCCAATCTTCCCCATCGATCAGAGTCTCGTATAGAAGCGTACCATAGAGGTCAATCTCAACGTCAGCCACTAGACAGAATATGGAAGTTAGCCAGATAAATAAGATATTTTCTTTCCCCTCTCCTAGCGGAAGAGGCGGGCAAGAGTTGGAACTGACTGGATACAAGATTATGTCAGTACAAGAACGGAAATCGCAACGGCTTAGGGGGTATCTCAGAACTAGAAGCAGGGAGAAAAAAAGTAACACAAAGAAAAAAGAATGATATCCCTTGAATACCGAGGGATAGCTGTCCCACTGAGATCTATATGGCTTCAAGTGGATGATGGGACTGTTGAACAAATTATTTTTTTGAAAAGATCTCCGGTCTTGCGGATTTCCAAATATGGTTAGTCTTACCGCCTGGGAATGGGGCTTGATCGGCAATTATTCCTTGTGAATATATATGGAGCACTGCACTATGAGTACTTCACTCTTGTCTCTCTTTGTTTTCTGAAAGATATAACCTGTGAATTTATACTACATTGAGGATATAGTATCCAAGACATGCCAGTTTTATATGTAAACTGGCCAAATCCCCATCCCCCATTCAATGATCCAGCAACCACTTCTCAACTCGGACAATCTTACCAGTTTCCACTTGGTATATGTAGCCGGTGATAGGAACATCCAGCACCAACGGACTCTCCTGCAACAACCTGATATCATCACGGACACTCTCCTTGAGATCATCAAAGGGCAGGAACGCAATGTGATCCGCATTCTGATGTAGATCCGACCGAATCTTTCCCCGAATCACTTCATCCGTGAATGTAAGCATTCCACAGTCCGTCTGGAAAGACACAAATAGAGGGAGAAAGCATCAGTATCTTATCCCGAGCAACAGACTCCTAAGATTCCCAGATAGGATGCCATACATAATGTAGAATGACAATCTCTCTGGTTCCCAGCAGTTGCTGAGAAATGATGATGCTTCTGAGCGCATCTATGACCCTCCCGCCGGCATTTCGAATGACGTGGGCATCGCCTTCCTCGAGACCGAGAGCGCGTGCGGGGATCTTTCATTTACCAGTGAGTTCCAGAGTTCATGTTGGGATGGATGTTCTAGGGATCAGGGCGTACCTAGACGAGCATCCATGCAGGCCACAATGGCGACCTTGCTGTTGGCATTGGATTATGCGGAGTTAGACTTGGCCCTTGGGTTGTCTCTGTTATATAGTAGAGGTAATTTATATAGAATAAACTACTCAACGTACTGCTTAGGAGGAAGCTGGAGGTTTCCTTTGGCAAAGGATGCCGCGTAGGTCTCGTTAGCGGATTCAAATTCCTGCGCAACAGTCATGATAATGGGTCGTGTACAACAGCTAAACTCATAAGGCGATGGGAGATGAGGACCTCGAGGACCTTGTGAGGGCTAAGTGTTGGTTATTATATAGGCATAAAAGCATCTGGTCTGCAGAATTAACAGGCTGTTGGTGATGGAGGGGGAGTATATGCAATAGAGTCATTGTGGCTGTTGATTGCGCGATGGATTATGTTGAGCAACAGAGTAAATAGTAGTATGAATACAACAATGCATATGCTGTTTGATAAGCGGATGAGCTGCTGGATGTTGTGGTGTTGTGTATTGTCTTGACTGTGCTGATGATATAGATAGTAGTACTAGTAGATGCATCTCAGCTACCGCCATTAATATCAATGGCAGTGGGTGACAACAAGCGAGTATTTCTTAGGAAGTACTGGAGTATATTTACTATGCAGACACTCTAAATATAGCTAATTCAAACAGCGTTGCAGTACCAAGCCAGAACCACACACACACAGCTTCTTACCTGGAAGCTGGACAAGAGTTCAAGGCGATATAGATCTAGTTCCACGGAACGGCTTCGAATCGCCCAGCCGACTCGTCCACGGAAACCGAACCGAACAAACCCCAGATTTCCTCAACCGGGTCTTTTGAATATCATTTAATCAATTGACCAGAGAACGCGAGGGATTGATTCACTGCCGATCCGTTGAGGATGAAGGGAAGGGAAGGGAAGGGACAGCAGTCCCGACTGCATATGCTCGCAGCCCCTCATTATACATTTATTTCTCCCCATCCGGGGAGATATCCAAGTTCAGTGAGATCGCAGGGTGATAATAATAATACTACGTACTGAATGTGATTATTAAATGGCAGATGGATTTAACTAGTTAGTTACGTGGAAGCCATAATGTAAGCTTGAGGATCATGGAGTGTCAAAAGTCCGTAGTGGGACATGCGCTCGTCATGAAACTCCGGCGGGGAAGGCGGAGTTACAGAGCACTCCATGGATGATCGTGCCACCTTGCAAGAAGGGCAAGCAAAGGAGTGAGAATTCTATTCGAAGTATGTACTAGTCCATAAAATACAGTGTACTCCCTAGTATACAGGTGAGCATGGATGTATTTTAATATTTGTTCTTAACTGGCATAAACCCTGTACAGTGCTGTAGTAGGTTCTTCAATGCTCTTCTATGGCAACAATATATTGCCTAGGCAACAATCAGGATATGAGCGATATCAATATCTTGCCTGCGGAGTACTGTACAATGTACATCCAAGCCCTAAAAAGCCGAAAATGCTGTGTAGAATGATTAATTGAAAGGCGATACTATCAACGTTCAAGATACATTTACATCGAAAATTTACTCCAAAAACTTCTTCGGGATAGGAACATGGACAGCCCGAATGAACTCTCCGAAACCCTTACCAAGGCTGTCAAGCAACTTGGAGCTGCTCATGCCACGGCCTAGAGGACCATAAATGACAAAGTGCACAGCGTAGATGTCCGGGAACTCGACACGCTCAACGAAGTACCAGTCCTTCCAGTCCTTGCCCATGAGCTTCTTGAGACAGTCCTTGGCAGGAAGGGCCGCGACCACTCCCACTGTTCAGTAGTATGGACATATAATCCAAGGTTAACGTTCGCGCCCTTGTCTCCCAATCTTGCCAGAACGAGATCGCCGATCGGTCTGGTCTTCGTGAGCCCAAAGTCCTCGAGGACAGCCGGATTCTTTGTCTCGTAGTCCTTGCGAGGAGCAAGAGGTTCAGTCTTCTTAGGCGGGCCCACCGCGAAACGCTGGACGTCAGAGGCAGAGTTGGAGCCCAGCAGGTTAACGGCCTCGTCGAGTTCGCTCTGGGGGAAGGTAACCGGGTAGAATCCCAAGAAGGGAATTGGGATGGCACTGCGCATGGAGAGTGCGATGCATTCCTGATATTTGCGCCAGACATGTCAGTCAATCGCCACATAAAAACAACAGGTGTTACAGAATACAAGATTATTCTCTCTACTCACCCGCGTAATGTTGCATGCTATTCCACATCCAGGCAGCTGGCACGCGTCCAACTGTTTGTGCATCCTTTGCCTGAGCGAACATGCGCAGATATGTTGTTGAAGAAAGCTGAGAATCCGGGTTCTCCTTGGGGACTCCAACCCGCTGGAAGTCCAGATCAATGTCCTTCCAAGACACCCCATTGCTCAAGGGTTGACTTGATCTGAGCCTCCTGCAGGTCATACTTCTTGCTAGTAGCATAGCCTGTGGCATTCAGTGTCATTTCACACTGATAGCCACCGATATAGAAGATAGCCAACTTGGTTTTAGGTTGGGGAGGGGGGTTAGCCCTTGACATGTGAGACATGGACACGGTTCCTGGTTCCTGGCTTCGTCGACCACGCGGATATTGGTGATGTCAGCCTTCACGTCCTCGCACGTCGCTATTAAGATACATATTTCCCTGCAGCTCATACAGCAGCTGACACTTGACTGTATCAGCAGTGACAATACCAGGCAGGGTCTCATGCTTTGTGATCACTGTTTCACCGTTGGCAAACACCTCAGCAATAGGCAGTCCCAGGTTCAGCAGGTCTCTGATGTCATATTTGTAGAAGCCGGCAAAGTTAGCGCCAGTCACATAGGTTGAGCACTCGACCAAGTGTCCTGCTATAAGTGTGCCGGCCAGCTTATCATAGTCTGTCTCGCTCCAGCTATGCCACCATGCCGCAGCTCCGATCACCGGTGAGGCATCTGACACTCGGCCGCAGATAATAATATCAGCGCCCTCGTCCAAGCCCCGTTTGATCACACGATAACCCAGATATGCATTGGCGCTCACAACACGCTTCTCTTTGCGCTCCTGGAGGAAGGTATCGTGTCCTTTACGAGCTTGACCTCCGAGTTCCCAGCATCCAGGTGGGCATATTTCCCCGCAGTGATATCGTCGAGAATAGTTTCAACTCTAGGGTACAGATTATCAGCTTCAACCCAGGCCACTTGCAGGTTCAGTTTCTTTTCCTTGGATCTGTGGAGAGACATGACATTAGCCATGGATGGTTAGCCTTTGCGACATTTCTACTGATTCAGGCTTAGGATGTCTCTTACCAATTCATGGGTCTTTTCAGCCAATCCCTCGGGGTTCAAAGCACCACCGTTGATGATAATCTTGATTCTATTCTTGTTGGCAAGCTCCACTGTCTTCTGGATTCGTTCCCTTCCTGTATTGGTCGGCATTGCTAGCAATATCGGCCTCCAGAGAATAGTCCTTCAGCTACAGTCTTGTTTTGCTAGAGGGTTTGAGAAGGACCACTTACCAGCAAGGTAGTCGCCTGTGATCACATCCACATCGCCATATTTGGCCTAGTTGTACATGTGCTGGCCAGGATCACCTGTAGACGTGCTCTACATCAGCAAAGCTCATCCTAGTACGATCCTCTTCTGTTGAAGGATGTTTGCTGTATCCTTACCCGCGGCTCCAGAGCAATTGGCAATCCGTATAGCTCGTTTCTGTCCAGCCATGATGGAAGGTAAGTTCCTTGTAGTTGATTCTCAGGAGCTGTAAATCGAGGAATATGGTTGAAGACCTGTTATACCTCAGACTGGCCGTGCCAGAGAAGCTATCTATATAATGGTCTTGAGGACGGCGGAGCTCCGAGAATGAGGGGGCTGCTTTCCGAGATGTGTACGGAGGATGCACATCCGTCTGTACCCATCTGGAGAGCAGAACTGCGACATCCCGCACTAAATCGTCTCATGATGTCCCTTCATCATTTGTCTGAAGTCACAGAGTGAGACGTTTATCCTGTTGAGCTGTGCATTCTGATGCTGAGACTCCGTGCCGAGGCCTGCAGAGTACGAGTCGGAGTGGGCGGAGCGGAGTTGTGTCCATAGCGGAGAGGAATGCCGCCTCAACCCCCGCCGCATATGCAGGGTTCAGCTGCGCAACAGCTTCAAGAGCCCCTGAAGGCATTGGAGAAGTGCAGAGCACATGGTATGTCTGTTGATGTCGACGATCACAATCCCGCGTGGGAAAAGCTAACAACTCTTGCAGAGCGAGCTTATCAAATGGCCAGTGGCGATTTATTGTTGCCGCGCCGTTTTCTCAGACGGAGTACTTCGACGTCTCTTCCTCTTCAAGTTCCCTTAATCACTTGTCTGGCACTGAGGAAGTTTGCTAGAAATCAATTCAGGCCAGTGCATCATGCCGAGCTACTCCATCCCTCGGGAGACCGAGGTCGTTTTCCAGAAGGAAATCCTGGACAACCCTCTCCTTTCCCATCTTCCTGCTGAGTTGAAGGGACTCGGCAAGAATGTCCATTTCGAGGGCAATGGCAAGCGCAAGCCCAGTGTCCCGATCAACTGGCGGTTCGCCGAGAGTGTGGCCTCCTTGAAGGCTTTGGAGGCAACCTTTATGAATTACCTCCTCACTCGGAAGTACAAAGTCTCGCCGGTAGATGTGACCATTACCACGTAAACCCCGGTCCTAGTCTATCAGGTAGACCTGGTAGGAAGCCGGCTAACCCTGGATTCTGGTACCTATTAGAGAACATGCAAGTCTCTTCTACAACTCCCCGTTAATCGTTCAGATCATCGATGAAACGGGGAAGCCAAAGTCTCTGAACCCTCTGGATTCTTCCATTCAGAAGCTGTTCCCTTCTCAGGATAATCCACAATAGCCTTGGTTCTCTTCATCGCTCGACCGTCACAGGCATCTACAAGACGAATGATGGTCGATTATACCATGTACACGGTGGGTTTTCTCTCAAGATCGCCCCTCGCGACCTCGCTAACACAGGCACTAGGCAGTATGAATGCTGTGCCGACTCTGGCCGCTCTCGGTCTTCCCCCAGATGGTGAGCCAGATGATACCCACGACAAAGCATTTGAAAGGATCCAGAAGAAAGTGTTCGAGCATGATGCGGCCGAACTGGATGAGCTCATGAACGAGAAGTATCGCCAGGCAGGTACCATGCGTACACTGTCGATGAGTATTTCTCTACTGAGAGCGGCAAAGCCAACGTCAGTATTGGTCTGCATGGGTTGTCCCAGGTCCCTGGTTCGACGCAGTCACCCTCTTGGTGGCCTGAGAATAGCGGCCTGCCTTCATCACCCAAGCGTCCTTTGGCTGGTCTGAAGATTGTTGATCTTAACCGTGTGATTGCGGGCCCAGCCATCACCAGAGGCCTGGCAGAGCTGGGAGCTAGTGTCATGCGTGTCGTGTCCCCTCACATCCCTGACCTGACCCCAGTTTTGCATGACCTGAGTTGGAGCAAATGGAACGCGTTCTTGCATTTTTAAGGATGAGGCCGACAAGGAGAAGCTTCGTCAGTTGATCTTGGAGGCAGTCATTATCGTTGATGGATACCGTCCCGGTGTCATGGAACGCCTTGGTTTCGGTCGGCAGGCTGTTTTGGACCTGGTTCGGAACCGTGATCACGGAATCATCTATGTCGGGAGAACTGCTATGGCTGGCACGGCCCCTGGTCTCACCGTACTGGATGACAGCAGATTAGTGATGCTGTAAGTATTCCTTCATCCCTGCTGAGCTCAAGTTCTTCGCAATTTCTAACACCTCTGGTTGTAACTAGTGCTACAGTATCTCGTTGGGCTTCGGTAAGGCCATGGGCCTGGATGAAGCTGTGACGTCTATCTTCCCCAACTCAGACTTCTGGTAAATATCATACCCATCTAGGAACTTTTCTTTTCATTTTGTTCTTTGGGTGCAGATTTTGACCTCTGAGAACAGCACGGGAATTGCGGGAACTTCTGGCGTACTTGATGCCCTGGTCCAAAGGGCAGAAAAAGGAGGCAGCTATACAGTCGATGTAAGACGACCTCCATTTCCTTGCCTATCAACTTCTCCAAAACTTGCCCTGCTAACAAGATATCCCATGTAAACAGACCTCACTTAACTATTATTCCCAATGGCTCGCTCGGTCTGTGGGCACGTACAACGAAGACGTCTGAAACGAGGTCTGGAAAAGGCACGGTTCTCCAGTCTTTAACCACTGGGAAAACATGCAACTCATGCTCCCAAAGCTTTTCAAGCTGCTCTACATGCATGACAAGGACGTCCTATTCAACCCGGCATTCTTCGAACCGCGCCGCGCCAATGCTATCGGTGCCACCCTTATCATGCCAAAGCCAGTCACTCAGTACAAGGACAAGGCAGTTGAACCCGGATATAAGATTGGTGTTAGGGGTAACGGTGTTGATAAGCCCATGTGGCCTGAGGACCTATCAGTAGAGATCGTACAGTAAGCAGGTAAGCGCGGCCATGGGCTTGTTTGCTTGCGAGTATCCCATCAGGACCATGTATCAGACAGTCCTTGCAAGAAATTGTGGCTGTTACCGAATTCAGCTGTACATAAACGAAGCGCAATCCCCTTATGATGTGAAACATCAACAAAGGATAGGTATCTCGGAAGGAATCACCGTACTGTATATCCTTCTGCAGCACTGATTATGTAGAAACTTGGATCATTTCAATCAAGTGAACTCCCATCGCCATCGCTTCCAGTGTGGTTAGCCACGTGTGCCCTATATCTCAGTACTCCAGCGTCAGAGCCAGCACTGATGCTCAAGGACCACAGCTTGCTGCTGCATGCAAAACTGAGGATACAATGCAGATTGAACCTTGCCCTGGCCAAGATGCAATGGCCCCGCGTTCTCAACTCATTCCACCATCAGCTAGGCCGTTGACATGCCTAAATGATGTCCATTTCATATCTTCTTCCTTCAGCCGTGGATGCCACACGTTACACTTATACAAACAGTGCTATCTTCCACCTGGTTGCATAAATAGTGCTCTGACAGCCCCTTGTTAGATCGTTCTCGCAGCCTTGACGTTTCTCCCACCATACATTGACCAATATTTGCACGGATTCCCTGTATAAGAGACAGTTCTCCCAATTGCTAAGCACAATGGCTTCATCTCCTGATATTACTCTGTATAGCACAGCAACTCCCCACGGTGTTAAAGTCTCGATTGCCCTCGAGGAACTCGGCATTATAAAACGAAACCGATTGATATTTCCACAAATGAGCAGAAGCAGGAGTAGGTCTTGCCTTTTCCATTCTTTGTCTCCGTCTTCCCAACCGTTCCGTGCTACTGCGTCTGCACTGTATATGGTTTTTGAAAATCAATCCGAATGGACGCATTTCCGCCATCACAGACGGTCAACATCGCATCTTCGAGACGGTGCAATCCTGCCATACCTGGCAGACAAGTATGATACCGACCGGAAAATCAGCGACGCCCCTGGGACCCCGGAAAGTATCGAGCAATTGAGCTGGTTATTCTGGCAGATGGCTGGTCTCAGTCCGATTCGGGGTATGTTGGCTATCTTAATATGCACCTGACACATTTTAAGTATGAACTTGATACTTGAGCGAAAGTTGATCAACTAAAATTTGCGTGGTAATGCACAGGACAAGCACACGACTTCCTAGATTCCATCCCCGTCCGCTCCAACTGGGGGATCCAACGATTCACAGATGAGATAAGGCGCCTGTATTCCGTTCTGAAAGCCCGGTTACAGGAATCGCCCTGTCTGGCCGGCGAGAAATATACCATTGCTGACATAGTCAGCTTCACCTGGCTGCGGGTTGCGCCCAGAATCCTTGGCTTTAATCTGGCAGAGTGGCCAACTGTGAAGAAATGGCATGATGCTATCCTCTAGCGAGATGCAGTCCAGAAGGGATTGAAGATGCCCCCCCGAAGTTCTTAGGCCAACAGTTGGCGAAGATTATAGCCAAGAAGAAGCGTGAAATACTGGCCAAGGAGAATCAGATAAATATGAGCCTGCTGCAGTTTCGATGGGTTTCCCTGGATGAAGATGAAATTGTATGCTGTAGTCCAACAACGTCGAAAGCACGCATCTATATCATTCCTCCAAGTCCACCTTGGAAGTCTTGCACAAGGATGATCCTGTAAGTGGTTAGTCATAATTCTCAAATGCAATTGAATGAATACCTTCTGAAAAGAAAAGAAAAATCATGTAGTCTGTAAGAAAAGCGCTGGTCTTGGCAGGACTTAAAGTCGGCAAGCTCCGTCTCCGCAAAGATTCGGAGCTTCTTCAAGACTTCAACCACCAACAAAACCTCCAATTCGACTACGCTCCCACAGTCATTTTCTCAACCGGAATGCGGCAGATTCGCAGTGGGCTCTTGTTCGCCCGCCCATCGTGGATTTGCTCCCGTTGCAAGAAAGCCAGTTATTCTTCTATCGCGTCGGCCAATGCCCGCAGCCAAGGCAAAAAGAATCTCCCCGACTCACCAGCGAGAACGCGTTTTGCTCCGTCACCCACTGGGTACTTGCATCTAGGGTCCTTACGGACGGCATTGTTCAATTACCTATTGGCTAGACGAACGGGGGGCCAGTTTCTTCTCCGAATTGAAGATACTGATCAGGTTTGTTGGATGGTTCCTGGTTATGCCGGAGTCTAGGATGAAGTGTTAACAGACCCAGAAACGCACGATTCCCGGAGCGGAACAGCGGCTATACGAAGATCTGCGATGGGCTGGATTACAATGGGACGAAGGTTGAATGTTATTGCTACAATGCCACCAGATAATCGAAGAAGTTAAGTACTGACGCGGAGGGCTTTTTTGTATAGGTCCGCTGGTCGGGGGCCCGTATGGTTCATATAGACAGGTAAGTTGAGGCGTGTTACAGGCTCTATTGAATAGGATCATACTGATTGTCCTTCCTATTTCCTTGCCAAAGTCAGAGCGCACAGCTATCTACCACACCCATGCCAACACCCTGATATCCACCGGCCATGCGTACCGATGCTTTTGCTCTCCAGAACGACTCGACACCCTCGCAAGGCACCGTAGCCAGGCGGGGCTTCCTCCGGGTTATGACAGGAAATGCATAGAGATTTCGGCGGAAGAATCAGAAGAAAAGGCAGCCAAGGGGGAGGCGCATGTCGTTCGGTTGAAAGTCGAGGGATATCCCATGTATAATGACCTAGTTTATGGCAAAACGGGACAGAATCGCTCCAAAAGCAAAGTGGATGTTATTGATCGCATCTATGATGACCCTATTTTGCTCAAGTCGGATGGACATCCTACCTATCATCTCGCGAATGTTGTGGATGATCACCTCATGAAGATAACCCACGTTATCCGGGGCACTGTAAGTGAATCAATCATGGATCGCTCGCGTCTTGTTTTGCTTTGCTCCACTTTCAATTACAAGTTGCATTGGCAGAACAATATCTTACCTGCTCATTTATAGGAATGGATGCCCTCAACCCCCCTGCATGTTGCCTTATACAATGCCTTCCAGTGGATGCCTCCTCGTTTTGGGCATGTACCCTTGCTTGTCGACAAGAACGGACAGAAGCTCAGTAAGCGCAATGCGGATATTGATCTGTCATTCTTCAAGGACAAGCAGGGGATATTCCCCATATCCTTGGTCAATTTCGCATCACTCTTAGGATGGTCCCATTCTCAGAAGTCTGATGTGTTCAGCCTGGAAGAACTAGAACAGATAGTATGTCCTAGGGTGTCTCCTGTGCAACCGGTACTATTTATGCTAATATAAGTGCTTCTAGTTTAACCTGAAGATAACCCGAGGCAACACGGTAGTTGCATTCGAGAAGCTCTGGTTCCTACAAAAGGCACACGCGCAACGCTTCGCTGCGAACGGTGGCCCCGAATTTGAAGAGATGGTACGCAGGGTTTCCGAGACTGTGGAAAACACCTACTCATCTGAACAACTGTAAGTACATATATACATGCATGCTCCTGTTCTTCAGAAAAGAGTGCTCGTCTGACCCTTTCATCCTGCCAGCACCCCAATCCTCCAATTCCGAACACTATCAGAATACATCTCTCCTCTTCTTCGCGCAGACGCCAAATCCTACACCAACGCTCAAGAATTCGTCGCCCGGAACTCGACCTTCTTCACCCCCGAGCTCAACAGACCCCTATACACCTCAGCGGCACTGTCATCGAACAAGAAGAATCCATCATCCGATTCCCAACCTCCTCCCATCCCCCTCTCAGCCCTACACACTGCAGCAGCCGCACTCTGCCTCGTTCCCGAATCTCACTGGACTATCGAAGCACACCGATTCAACATCACATCCTACGACGGCTCCACCGTCATCCTCGATACTGCCAACGCAGACAATACGCAACAACCACCAACACCAGGACAAGTGGAACTGGAAAAGGAAAAGTCCAGAATCGCAGCAGATAAGGCCTTCAAAAAGGAGCTCTACCATTACCTTCGCTGGGCCCTGTCTGCTGGCGCCCCGGGCCCCGGAATACCAGAAACGATGGAGATACTGGGCCGGGCTGAAACCGTGCGGCGGATTCAGGAGGCGAGGAAGTTGACTCTACCCACGGATTCTAAGGTTACTAGAGCCCCAAAGGGTGCTAGGAAAGAAGAGGATCTTTCTTGGATGGGTACACTTGCGCCGCAATCATCATAACAGGGGAGAAGCTCTTTTTTATAATACTGTATGTATATGTCATGATACTCATGTGGAATTACCTCTATTTGTATACTAAATAAATACATCGTACAACATTTCGGCGTTACCAGGTAAAAAATGACATTGTAGAGCTTAGATCTCAACGAACGAGGCGTTCATTCAAATATAATCTTGGCAGAACGTACAGCTAACTGTATAAATTGATATCAACAACGGTAGTAAAGAGACAAGCAGTTTGGATTACATACAACTCCAGAGGATATAGTAAAGGAAAAGGACTTGAAAAAGGTGGGAGAGAGGGAGATCAAAACCAAAGCATAGAACCTTTGAAGGTGAAGGATATCCAATAGAGGCCATAAAACATTAATGTATGCAGAGCATGCATCTCTCAGACAGTTAAGGAAAAATAAAAAATAAAAAATAAAAGCAATGATACCGCCACCATTCCCAGATAATTCACAGAAGCTCTGAGCCTCTCAGCAGCCTCTTATTAAAACAAAGCTGAATTGGTAGTACCCTTGCCCATTGTCTCATATCTCATTGAAAAACAAGAGGACCGAGACAGATGTGCACCTGGGCTATCACCAAACAGCAGGTATCTTTTGAAATGAAAAATAAAGCTGCAAGCAACAAGTATATGGCATGATCACATATTTCTCTTGTAAAAAGGAAACATGAGTAATAAATTGTGGGCGCGCGCAAGGATAGTAGGCGAACTCACACAAAGACAGCCAATCCGATTCCAAAGCCAATCATAAATTCGTCAATCCATGACCATAGCATCCATCTATGAGAAGCGGTCGCTGAACGAGAGAAACTTTCCAATAGGCCCCCATGCTGTCTGTCTGGTCCTGATTCTATTCCAGCTAGAGAATCAATTCGCTACGACAACTGTCGCACTATTCTGGACTTATACTGCGAATACCTTTGGACAATTTGCCAGAGAACGGGGTATTATGAATACCATCGAAATGTTTGGACTGAGCGGATCGAACCTTGGCATAATACATTTCAGTAGCATCAGCCTCGGATCCGGACGCATCATCGAATGTTTCCCAGTTCTCTGATCCAGAAGTTGCAGTATTGACTGTCGATGAGTTCGAAGAACCTGAGGTCTGTCGGATGGCTGGTGGAGGAGGTGCACGCTGCAGATAAGGATTTGGCCGTGGAAATCCTCGCAGGGAAGAATGTATAGACGAGGTTGACGATTGCGACGATTGTGAATATTGTGCCGATCTCTGGGAGAAAATGGACGAGGCACTCATGAAAGATCGTTGATGGTCATCATACACGTCTTCAGGTGTCACCGACCGCACAAACGAATTGGACAAGGCACTGGCACAACGGGGTGGTTCAAGGGCAAAGCCCCGCCGTTCATCCTTCGATTCAACTGTCATCGCACGCATTCTTGATGGTATCGGTGCACGGGATGAAGGCATCTTGCCACTGATAGTGTGTGATGCAAAGGGACGACGGTCAGGACTGTTGCTTCCTTGAGGCATATTCGAAAGTGGCACGCGTGCCGGGATTTTCGATGGCGATTTTGTAGGGGCTTGGTTGCGTCGAACTGAACCAGTGGGGGTCTTGGTAGCTGATCGCGGAGGGGGCGGGGCCCTCATGGCACTCGCTGGACGAGAAGGCAACTGCTTCACGGTATTTATCTTTGAAGCTGAAGCAGGGGCCGAAGGCGTCTTTGAGCGGGGTGGTGGTTTTGCAACGACAGGTGTCAGCTCATCGAGATACCTTTCGCCAAAAACGAGGAAGGGCCGTCCGTATTCATCCTCCCAATGCTCGAGCTCTTTCCTCAACTCCGCTTCAACCTTGGGCAATTCCTTAGCAATTCTCTTTCTCATCTTCTCTTCTCGTAGTAGCTTTCCCGGGTCGCGTTTCTCTCCCTTGTTTCCACGGGCCATAAGGCGAGATGCATCCTGGCTCGAAGCCGCCAAAGCCTCACGCTCTGCTACAAGGTTGCGGTGTCGCTCAATGAGATGCAGGGTAGGAGCACGCTGTTCTTTTAATGCTTCTAATCGTGAGATCTCTGCTTCATGCGCTTCTAGCAAGGCGTCGCTGCAAACATCAGAGAAGGCTGGAGTGAAGTCGAGCATTTCCTCCTCAGAGAAATACAAACTGTCCCAAAGCTCCTGGAGCCTGCAGCGTGCGTCTTCCACGAAGAGATGCAGATTCTGTCTCTTAAGTTCATTGAGGCGGGACAGCTCGTCTTCAAATTCATTAATGATCCTTAGACCACAGCCGCGATTGGCGGCAAGGAACGCCTTTCGATCGCCCTCTTCAACGCCAAATCGATCCCAGAGCGTCTCGACTGCGGTTTTGATCTCCTTCAGTTTGCGCTCACGATTCTTCTTCTCATCCAGCAGCTTGTCTCGCTTGCTCTTGAGGCAGGCCAAATCTGATTCGTGGAGGCCCAGTTGCTCTGGGGCCTCACGGTAATATTTGACAATAGAGGAATCTGTTTGCGCCTGTGGTGTGCCGAGTTCTGCCCAAAGCTTGATGATTTCTTCAGAGGTAGACTGGACAACTGACAGGCGCCGGAAATACTCTTCGTAGACTCGGGTAAACTCTTCATCCAATGCGGTAACATATGATGGGGACAAATCGAAACTGGGTGGAACTGACGAACCCGGCGTGGTTGGAGGAAGGGTAATAGAAACGAAAGATGACTCGAGATGAGAGGAATATGATTCGAGCGCCTCAACAAGCTCTATGTAAAATTAGATATGCTGCGCAGCTGGTAGGAACAGGCAAGACCACTTACTCTTGACCTGTTCGAATCGCTCTTGGTGTAATTTGCTAAGTGTGTTATGCTTTTCTTGCAGAGACACAAGACAGCGGTTTAGAGGGTAGCTAACTTCTAGACCATCAAGATCCAGATGGTACTGTCCACTCTCCCGTTCATCGATCAATGACGATTCCATTTGTCGAATTGCTGTGATGAGGCCCTCGGCCTCTTCTATCATCTTATTCTTTTCACTGGAGACGGAAGAGGTATATTAACAAATACATCTTACAATATAAAAGCAAACAAAAGGAATAGTCCTTACTTGTCAACAGATCTGAGGTGATCGTTCAGAGTTTCCGATAAAGAGTTAAAGAGCTGGAATTCCAAAAGAGTATCAGCTTCAGCGTCTACCTTTGGGCAGTTAGGAATGCCAGACAACGAACCTCTGCCTCTCGCGCGTCCCGTTCATGATTCGGAACGCCAATCTCATCAAAGATACCATGTAGCTGGCTGACGATATTGTTGACCTGAGTGGTCAAGTAGCTCGTATCAACCGTCATGGCACAGACGATCTGTTCTGAGGAACGAGAGCAAAGACCGTTTTTAATTCAAAATATTTCTAGGCTTCAAGGAGAAAATATCCGGCGACAATGCGCCTAACAGTATGGTGGCGCGACAGGAGCTAGTCTGAGTTGGATGTTGCGAGAGAAGTTAAGAAGTAGAAAACCGTCGAGGATAGTAGGAGTGCGAAAGATGACGCCTCCCAAGCATGAACGAGAGTTCAATGGATCGGTCAATGGGACATCTGAAAGGAGTGAGTGAGCTGCAGACCCGTAGCTGTCAAGGCCAGAGGTTGGCAATGGAGATTGTCAACGCAGACGCGAGTCATAATAAGCAAGAGTAGATGGATGGAGACGAGACGCAGGTGAAATGGCGCGAGGGAAGTTCCCGCTGCGATGTTGATGCAGGGCCCGTTGCGAGGAGCAACCGCTGACTCAGCATTCCCACCGCCCTGGTTCTGCCCGCCGTTCCGTACCGCCCCCTCCTCCGCAGCTGTAACTACATACCGCATGCAGTAATCTGCCCAGCTTCATCGTCCGTTTCGAAGGCCATTTATTGCTTCGTCGCTGGTATTTAACTATTCTTTAAACACATATATCGTCCAACTGCGCACGGCCTTACTTCGACATCCACACATTCTCCATCATGCAGGCTGCACAGCAGTCCTGGGGTAAGCGAGCTACCTACTACCCTCTCTATCCTTAAACAAGACACAGAGTATCTAACAATCAGATTTACAAAAAAACAACAGAACTCGAAAATGCAGTCAAACTTGCCGATCCCCACCGCGACGCACTCTACGCCTACTCTGAAGAAACTCACAAGGCACTCTCGGCATCTCGACCCTGGTCCAAAGACCCACACTACTTCAAGCACATCCGAATCTCAGCCGTCGCACTCCTGAAGATGGTCATGCACGCACGCTCCGGCGGCTCCCTCGAAGTAATGGGCTTGATGCAGGGGTATATCCTACCAGAGACGTTCGTGGTAACGGATGCATTCCGCCTCCCCGTCGAGGGGACAGAGACGCGAGTCAACGCCCAAGACGAAGCAAACGAGTACATGGTTTCTTATCTTCAGTCATGCCGGGAAGCAGGACGCATGGAGAATGCAGTGGGCTGGTACCACTCCCATCCAGGCTACGGGTGTTGGCTATCTGGGATCGACGTGGCGACGCAGGATATGCAGCAGCTCAGCGGGCCGTTTGTGGCTGTCGTCATCGACCCCGAGCGGACCATTTCGACAGGGAAGGTGGATATCGGTGCCTTTCGCACGTTTCCTAAGGGATACACGCCTCCCAAAGATAGGGCGGATAACGGAAATGTTGATGGCGCTGACGAGGGTGCCAGTGGTGATGGGTACCAGGCTATTCCGCTTAGCAAGGCAGAGGATTTTGGGGCGTATGCATCACAGTACTATTCGCTTGATGTGTCACATTTCAAGAGCTCATTGGATACGGATCTGCTTTCGCTGCTGTGGAATAAATACTGGGTTGCTACGCTCAGTCAGAGTCCGTTATTTACCACTCGTGACTACGGAAGCAGACAAATAATGGATTTGAGCCAGAAGGTCCGTCGTGCGGCGAAGGGGCTAGAGAGTGCAGGCCCGAGAGGCGGAGGAAGCGCTACCAAGGACCAGCAGTTGGATAAAATAGTGAGAGAGGGTCAGCACATCGTCTCAGAAGAGGTAAAGGGCCTGGTGGCTGCCCAGGTGAAGATGAACCTATTTCAGGGTATTGGAGAAAGGAACAAAGTGGAGACATAGCCTATCGAGCTCAGAAATGACGGATGTTGCTCATTGAATGGGATATAGCTCGATATCAAAATGAAGCAAAGAGACACGATCAAAGATACCTTTTGAAGACCAATAACGATATCTACGAAGCTTTTCTAGTTCTAGTCTATCTATTACATATTAAAACCCCGCAGGAGTCAGCCTCTACTCACATAAGCAGCCGTGTTTGCCTGGAAATAGCAATACTGAAAGTTATAATTTATATTTACATTGAGTCAGGGGACAGCACAGCAACAATAGAAACAGTACATTTTTCCTTCATCACAGGTCGGTCATATCCATGCACAATAGAGGGGAATTAGTTATCTTCAAGAGAAAGACAAGGAGCACCCATCAATAGAATGCAGAGAGAAAGGAAAGTCATAGTGTAGTGTACATCGAAGTCTGCCAGAAAATTGATATATATGTGCATGTAAGCTATACACGGATAAAGAGATGATTGGTATATGTTGATCAGGGTATCAAAGGAGGGAATGGCAATTATGCGGGGTTAGTCCCGCCTGGGGAAATGAGATGGCAAAAAAGATCGGAGTAGGGTGAAGACAGTAACCCTTGTAACACCGTTCGCATGTTGGCGGACTCGGCAAAGCAGAAGGGAAGAAAAACAAAAGAAATAAAATAGAGGTACCGTCAGGTTTGTCAGGTTGGTGTAGTAGGTATGTAGTGATAACAGGGTAGCACAATCCATTCAGGTCCCACGTCAGGAACTCTCTTTTCCATGCCAAGTGATGAGTTCCTCGATTAGGGAACGATTTTCTAAGATCAAGATAAGGTTCCATAACCGGACACCGGTCCAGGAGCGGATGCATAAAGTCCCTCTCCATATGGCGTAGACTTTCTAGAATATCACTGGCAATGATATGAGCTGGCTCGTTCAGGTCAGTTGCGTGGGCCATGCAATTAAATATTGGAAATCCATGTAAAACTTCCTCTTCAATTTTTTGAAGACGCGAGCGAAGCGCATAGGATGACACATGCACGAATGTCACGTCAAGGGGTTGCGTTCTTTTCTCTCAACACAGCCACGGCGACTGTCGAAGATAACGACGGTCGGAGATTGGCAATGGCACATCGGGTGGACGGTGCGGCACCATTGGTCTACCGTAAAACTTTATCCTAAAACTTACTGCTAAGCCGTCACTATCATTGTGCATTGCGCGGCTTGTTGACCCCATCGACTTGGGTTTAATTTAAGACGTCAAGCCACCATGGCGTTCTCGAAAAATGCCGCTTTGCATTCGTGTTTTTTTTTTTTCGACAGACTCGAACGGCGCCCGCTGCGGCGTCCGGTATGGATCCGACGATCCTTCCGACAAATGCGACCCTGACAAGGGATGTCGCTATTCGCAAACATGCAGAATATTCGCGACATGTCGGTAGTACCGACATTGCAGGTGGCGCAATTTACAGGAAGCCCGACTCAGACAAAAGTCTACGCATAGAAAGAGAGTAGTTAGTCTCAATGTTTCGTCCAATGCAAAGGTCAAACCGGGATAAGAGATAAGAAAAGAAAATGGCTTGGGAGGCATGGCAACGTAATGGAACGCTGCTGGTGCAGTATTTAAGCATTCAATCACGAGCATAACCCAATCACCAAACAGGAACAACAACATGGCCAGGATTATCCGCCCACTATTCCAAAAGCTAGTCGCCCTCCTAAAGCGAAGGGGGGTATCATATAATACGAACTCGTCTGCTCGGAACATGGGTCACGGGGGAATCATCAACATTAAAAAAAAAAAAAAAAGGAAATGTGGGAAGAAGGCGATGGAAGTTGAAAGCGACAACGCAGGTAATGGGCAATAGTAGGGAAAGGGAGGTTAAACGTAGAAGTTCATCGCAACGTCGACACAAGCACGGATGCAGCAAGTAGATTCGGCTGTCCGATGGAAGGAGCAGCAGCATACCTTGCAATCTTTTCTTCCTCGCGCTCTCTGGGTTCCACCTCCAAGCTTCGGTCGTACATGTCATGCACGTCATTCGCTGACTGTAGATTATTGAGAATGTAGTCCTGTAATTCGGGGACCGATTGGAGAAGATAAGGGACATTTTGGTACTGCTGAATATCGCGAATGACCTCGGCAGTTTTCGCGCGCTTGCTGAAATTAATTAACTCCGACGGGGTCAGAGATGGGATACCGTCTTCGATGAATGTCAGATCCGTGAGATAGACACCTATGGAGGTAAGATGTCAGATAAGCAAGAACAAAATTAAATATACGGCTCAATTAGGTCACTAATAACTGAGGCATCTCAACAAGAGCAGGGCATACCAAAAAATGGGATGCAGGGCGGGTTCGCTAGATGTAAAGCTTCACGGTATTCACCAAAGTTCTTAGTGCTTGCCATCAGCTTGCGCATCTGTTCCAAAATCGTTAGGGTGCGTCCGCTAACATGTGCCCATGTCCGGTTAAGTCGGTGAATCGGGGCAGTTCCCAGGGCAGAAATGATAGATGTCATGGTTGAGTAGTTATTGAAAGCACGACATTTCTATGGCGTAGTGTTAGCAAAAAGATGGCCTTCCCACAAAAGAAGACATTGCAGTATCTTTAGCCTTACATCTGCAACGTTGACAAAATGTTTGATAACGACTACTCGTTTTTTCACGTCCGACTGTGTAAGGATCATCTCGGCAACCCAGTTAGTCAATTGGTTTGAATGAAGAATCAATGACTTGACATTGGCAGCAGGTTCTGGATCGCCGGTGGGTATCTTCTTCTGCCATGTCTTATTCAGACATTCAACAGGACGGATTTTGGAGTAAAGACGTGACTCAATGATAGTCAATTGTCTAGCAAACTCCAAGGGATCAATATCCAAGAACTTCAACTTCTTCATGTTTTTAGGGATAATCGGTGGTGGTGCGGTGGCATTTGGCGTAGGAACTAGCCGTTTGGAAGTGTTATCTTGGCCTCGCAGTCGCTGCTCGATGACGGTAAGAAGCTGGGAAGATCCAGGGGTCTTCGTTGTGGCAATAAAATTCTCAGTGAATGCGTGGGCGCGCCTAAGTATCTCCTTGCTAGCTTCGTCGTTGGGCTCCATCCAGTGATGCTCGAACCAGTTTTTCAAGATATTTACGACTCTGAAACGGATAGGCTTCTGCTTTCTATCCGTCCATGTTTGCATCTCATCTGGCGTCAACCCCATGGGCGGCTGAATGTTGAATCTTTGGACGAGCATCTCAAATAGCTCAGGTGCTGAGGTGAAAGATCGATACGTAATCAGGAACGTATTGTTGAAAGACGTATCGAGCCTGTCATGGCGTGTCAAATGTTCCACCAAGCCAGCCAGAGTTCCACACTTCAATAATGGGATGTTCCCCTTCATATCGTAGAACACCTCACCTTCGTGGTCAATCTTAAGATACCAGGGCGTTTCCTCTGGCTCCTTTAAGATCGGTTGGATTGCTTCCCTGTCGATAGTTGGCGGGGGAGCCTGGCCAAAGAACCGCTCAGCTTTGTCCATATTCTTCCGCCGGACTTTCTGCACATCCGTTTCATTGTCGACAGGGTATGACGAGGGGATACCGATGGTTCCCGCAGGGACATCCGATTCTCCACGACCGGAGGGGTTGGATGGCTCATGCTTCTCATCAAGGCGGCTTTCACTTTCGAAAGCAGAGATCGACTCAGGAAGCTGCTCAAGCAATAGCGACAGGGAGAACCCAATCTGGGAAACATAATTATCGAGCTGCCTGGTAGTAGCGCGCACGGCATTCAAACGATCTTCGAGGGAATCGTTACGCAACTCCGCCCATTCGTCAGAAAGAGGAGCCGAGAGCGCCTGGCAACTCAGGACGAAATCCGCAATCGCATCGTAGGCTCTTTGTTTTTGCATACTAAAATCAACCAGTTGGGGATTCTGGAAGCTGGTGCCCAAAGGTGCCAAGTTGACAGATTCAACGGCAGCAGACCAAGGGCGGAACTGCTCGACCACGCCGATCGCAGCGGTCCCAACCGAATTAGCGATCTCTTCATGTTCCGCAGCAGTGACGATCTTCTGTTTGATCGTCAACCGCTCCTCAAGCCTGCGCACATTTCCCACCAATGATCTCCTGAGGACATCGAGCTGATCCAGAAAAGCCGAGTCCAGAGGGACCACCGGCTCTGGCTTCGACTCTCCAGCGTCCTGGTCTAAGAACGTTGCGGGGCCCGACTGATTCAGGGAGACACCATTGTCCTGCCAATTCCCACCGGACGAGCTGCCTATCACAAAGCCAGGAGTAACACGACGAATTGACTCGCCACGCTGTTGTTTCGCAACATCGACATAACTGTACACGCTCTGCATGACGCGATCTGCCTCCTGTATACATTTATGTATTGAATCCAACGCGGCCCAGTCACCGGAGGCGATATGTGACCAGAGAACCAACTTGGAGAATTTCGACATCATGTCTCGGAAGTGAGGGTACAAAGATTTGTTGCTTGAAATGATGGATGGGTTTCCGGAGTGATTATCCGTTGTATCAGAACCGGCTGCCAGAACCATCCGGAGATGATCGGAAATGTCCTCGGCTTTTCTGACATACTCGGATCGATCGCCACTTCGAAGGGTCTGCCGGTAGGCTTCGATCGAATAACGCATGTTATCGATGAGCATAGCCCAGGTGAGAGGAGTAGAAGTGTCCTCGTCAACGAAATGTTGGGGGGCAGCCGCAGAGAAGATAGGTTTAGAGTAGCTATCCGAGAGAAAGGCAGTATTGTTCGCTGCCGTCATGCCAGAACTCATTTGTGCATTTTTGGTCGGTTGTTGAATGCCCTTTAACTCGCACACAGACTTGGCAGAGGGAGGGTTCAGAGAGTCCATGGATGTGGCGGGAGACACGCTATCGATGAAGGACTGGCGTCTTTGGGATAACGAGTCCTGGGACGTGAGGATCAACGACTCCCCTTCCGCTTCCGACGCTGAACCATCGTACTCATCTTCATCTCGTTCGAATCCTCTTGCCATCAATTCCGGAGGTGGGCGCGTATGGTCGGGAATGAAAAAATTATTCCGCTCACGAGGGCCGGTATCTTTAGTCGAGGGGTTGGCGTTCTCGAAGGGTAGCTCCATGGTGCTAGAACCGGTAAGAGTGTTGAAGTAGAATAATCGACCATCGGGAGTCGCTTGCGGTATCCAAAAGGCCGCTTCTTCCTGCTCCCTGTTGCTCTCCGGACCGTCGACTGAGATAGTCGCCTGGGAATGCCTGGGGTTGCCATCCGGGAACAACACGTCCCCTGGGTGCTCATCTTCATAGTCCTCCTCGACACCGGATTCGGTACTGGCTTCGCTGTCTTCGTGGGTATGTGAGAATCTATCACCCAGGTCATCCGGATCCGTTATGACAGTGCAGTAGTTGCTGGGGAACCAGCCGCGGACATTGTCGATCACACCGTCCCACCATCCCGTCTCCAATTGGTTAAGTACCTGGATGACATCGCCTTGTCGAAAGCTGAGGCTCGTATAATCATCGGTATGATAATCGTACATGGCCCGCACGAACAGAGCCGGCGGTTCAGGACTGGACGAATAGCCCGCCGCACCGCCAGTCAGCGTCATGGGCGAAGTTGTAGTAGTATTCTGTCGTTTGGGTGACTGAGATGTGGAATCGAAATCCGTTCTCCGTAGCGCTCCGCTGTTTCGATGACTGCGAGTCTTCGTAAAGGCCGTGGGAGTAGTAGAGAGTTGATCTTGATCTTGGGTGCACTCGGCGGCGATCGCGACAATCCCGGTCTTGGTGGATGCCGCCACGGCGGAGGTATCGACAGCCAAAGGCTCTAAATCCAAAGACCGACTGGCACACATCGGATGAGCATGCAGGAATTGACCGTTCTTCTCAATACGGATGAAGGAATGAACTGAGAATCAAGCAGCAGGAGACTCAAAGACCGGGGATCATGACTCGATAGGGGGATAGTAGGTGGCGTGGGTTAACCAGGGATGATCGCGGGATCACCCACAGGCGGGCGCACAGTCTGCCGGTAGCACAGTCCAGTTGACAACGCTCTCCGCTGTGGTGTTCGGGTGGACAGGATGACGAGCAAACACATGTAATGTAGGGCCAGGACAGATACAGGTAAGGAAACTGAAAGCGAAGGAGTCGAAATCGGATGCAGAGATTATTCCATGGATGGTCTAGAGCACGGGAGAGGAGGTTGAAAGGAGAGGAAGAGAGAGGGGGAGTTTAGACGCTCGGTGGTCTCCGTCCACCGGGGAAACCGTTTGATAAGAGGGCGATATCAGCAGCGCGCTGAGATTCGGGGGGGGAAGGAAAAGAAAGGAAAATGTAACAGAAATCTAAATGATGATGATTAACGATGAAGATGATAGTTAATTAACGATGATCACAGATAATATAAATGGCTTGAGAAAGTAGTAGGATTGTTCCGACGGAGGTCTGTGTGCTGCTGTCTGGCCACCCCCTGGCTGAAGAGCCTTCAGCCACGCGCGTGTCAAGCGTGTTCAACAGGCAAAGGAGACAATTGCCATCAGCATGCGACGAAGGATTTCTTTTCCTTTCTATTTTCTTTTATTTATTTATTTTTTATTCGATATATATATATATGTATTTCTTAGAAAATATTTAACTAGAAATTTGAAATCAAATGATTGCCCCGTGTCTATGCCGTCCAAAGCCGCTGCGGCGACCGGATATTACATAATCCACCGCCTAGTCTAACCGTCCAAGAGTATTCAGCGTTATTCAGTAGTATTACGGACAGGGCAGGACTATCCTCCCCATCTGACATTCCCTGATTCCGGCATAGTTGGGGCATGAATACTGTGGCCATGACCGCGGCTCGTTCAGCAGAACTCTCATCGCCATCTTCCTGAACTATGATAGAGGCCCGGTTGACGAATGCCAGGTTCCAGATGGTATGTGTCTGTCAGTGGCTTTCTGTTTTACTTTTGACTTTCGCCAGGCTCGAACAGGTCTAACATATCGGATTTGACTGGATCACGGTCGTCGTTCCCGCGTGCTATGTCCCCTGCCTGTATCGGGTACCCTAGGTTGAGACGATGGACTCTGTCTTAAAACTCATGATGATGGCATGCTCTGTACTGCACCAACCACTGAGAATGCGGGGAAAGGACGAAGATGAATTTTTTTTTTTTTTTGAAAAGGTCGTAGCTTATCCTCCCCGGCCTAGTAGTATAGCTTACTGGCTGTACTCTTAGCTATGTACAGCAACCTCCGGACCTTGGCGTAGAAAGAATGCACTGTCGACCGAGACATGATGTCAGCTCACGGGCCAGAGGTGAATTTCGGTAACTAGAGAACACCGTGCTTTATGCAGAGGTAGTAGTATACATCTTGACAGCACGGAGTAGACAGAACGTTAGATCTTGGACAGGGATATTTGAGATCGTGACATTGCGGGGAAGTTGTCGAAATATATCATATATATATATATATATATATAAAAAAAAAAAAAACAAGAACAGATGCCCCAGAAAACCATGCACAACTACCGAGCCCTTGTCAACGATAGTACTGTGTCCATACTTGTCATCTGGCGTTGGACAACCCCTCCCTCGCTCTGCACCCTGCTTCGGACCGTTGGAACCCTTGGATATCAGAACCAATGAACACTGAAGGCAATGCTAATTCCTCGAATCCTGATCCTGGCTGTAGATGGACCGTTACGAAGCGCATGGATCATACATACTTCCCTTCACCCGATGCAGGGAAAGAAGGATCTAGCTTTGAAAACTACTACCGTGGCATGATACCCAGTAGACAATTTAATGGAATCCATATCCTACGGAGTAGTTAAGTCCGTGCTGTTCGCTGTACATGCATGCAGCATTACTACAATTGCATCTAATTCGATAACCTAACCTGGAGAGGTGCGGATGAAACGCGGGGAAAGCAGTAGACCAAGGCATGTAGGTGTATCCGGAAACCAACCACTTTTCTCCATACCGAAGGATGTCCCCATAGGAATAACTTCAAGCGATTTCCAGCGCACACAAACTTTTAGTGTGCATCACCGTTAGTGTTTTCTCTTCCCATGGTTCGTAAAGCCGATCAACCGAGTAACTAGCCACATGCCAGTCGTGTGACTGTGATCGAATCCATGGATATGCCATGCGTTGATCAAGCTTGGCTCGTCGATCTGTAGCTGCGCCGCCGAGGTACGAACAAGTTCTTCGGCTTTGTCGCAACACTGTCTCTTGTGACAAACGAGTTTGAAAGGCATAATGTAGTCGTAGGAGAGAAGGTGCCTGGGCGTGGCATATCTAGCGAAGAGAGTGGTGAAGAAGATCCCCCATGGGGACTGGCTTGACGGAAAGCACTGGGCAACTAATATGGGGGGATTCAAATGACAGCTCAGATTTCCATAAAATAATGCTTTCTTTTGCATCAGGGTTAGTAGTTAACTGGACGTGACAGAAGCATCCTTTTCTGCCTCGGGTGGACAGGATCAAATGGACCTCGGGAATTCTCCGGCATCTGTCTTGGGGAACACTGCCTGCTCATTTGTTTCCTCTACACCCTCGAGCAGAAGGCCGAGTCTGTCCATGATGGGACAATGACGCTTTCGTTCTGTTGATCCAAAAGAACCGACGGTGCGAGTGAACATCACCATGTCAGATTGGCCTGCACCCAGACACAATGCCATAGCCGAATCAACTCCAGTGGCGTGGACTGAATTGAATATCAATACAGTAAAGGTGACCAACTCTCTATACTCTATAAGGACAATGGTCATTCTAGACCGCGTCAGTAGTCAATAAAAAAGTAGCAAATCGGATTGGCCTGGGTTGTTGGCTAGTTGGGCAGACATCCATCATGAGAATCCAGATGCTCTCGTCGACAGCAGAGAAAAGCAGTGTCAAAAAGACCTATGCTTAATGCTTACCTCCGCAGCTCCGTTCCCTGCTCCATATTCAACTGGTTCTTTCTCTCTGCGAATGCATATCAAGTATGCTCGCGAATTCAAACAGTACCAGATTGATTATCCCAAACTTACCGTGATGTGTTCCTGAGCGATAGCTATCCTGACAATCTCTGGATCTACGTAACATAAGTACGGTTCTCAAGAGTCCCGTTCGCTCAAACTCTGTCCCAGAACTATTGACCAGCCCGACTCAAAGCGCATCCTGACTGGACTGGCGGTAGCACTTACGCTCTATTATCGGGCAACCTGGAGATGGCATTGATGCATTAGCTGGCGAGGGTGGATACATGCATTACATATACAGCGCCTAGTGTGGGAACAAAGAGAGCTCGTGCCCTACCTTCCCTTTCCAGGTAGAGAAGAAATGGTCGGCTGAGCATGGCAATATGCATTAGGTATCTCTAGGTACAATATTCTTGAAGAATTGACAGCTCCTTTAGTTCAAAGTTCAGGACAATGCGAGCAAGCTCGGGAAGCCAGCTGCAATTTGCAAGCTGAGACACAACATTCGCCTCGCGCTATTTGAGGCTGGGGAGATTTATCTACCACCAAGGATTAGACATCTACTTTGCAAAGCACTGCACTGTGCAGAGAGAACAGCGTGCATACTACAGTGTACAGCTCGCACTGCAGGTGTAACTGCAAGCAAAGTGGAGGCAATTCACCGACACAACCAGTTTTTTGATGCCATGTGTTAGTTAAAATAAAAAGGCCATAATGCTGCCTCATAAATCCACCTTCACCGACTTGTGCTCTGGACAGGCCTTCATATAATCAGAAGGGAAAAGCGGTAAGTAAGCGAGCAAGCATTAGGCGAGCTCGGCGTCTTTTTCCCTTGCGGAGACCGCGTGCTACTAATTATTACAATTTACCACCCGGTTGTCGGGACGATGAGGACGATCCCACTGTGTGGTAACTCGGAGGACGGTGTAAGATTTAGGAGGAAAAACGGATCATTTTCAAAAAATTACTAGCCATGGTGAGATAGCGATATATATTATACATTCCTCCTAAACTTTAATGCGGTCTTTAGCTCAAGGAACGGGGCCGGGGAAGACGGGTCTGCTTCCTAATTCTGCATGTTTGGTACCCTTTGAATCGATATATATTGGTTGCTAGGGCTGTGGGGTTCCAGGGCGATGCAATGTTCAATAGTACCGATAATATCAGATTAGGATCAGGGCCAGGCCATCATGAATATGCTGTGATACTGACCCTGAAGCAATCAGCTTAAATCTTGCTGCAAGCGTGTGCTTATTTCACGGGATTTGTGTTTGGGATGCAGCGGATAGCTACAGAAAAAAGTTTTCTTTTATATTGAATATGATAGATTCTTCCGACATGCCTACGGACCGCTACATGGCCCGGAAGAAGCAAACGCAACTCTTGTTACTGGCCTGAGGGCCAGCTTCATGCTGATCAAGAAAGGCATCATCACCGTCATATAATTAACACGGCGGGCTCCATAATCGTCTAGACTGCCACGCTTCCTGTGGAATTGGGACGGAATTCCCGGGATCCAGCAATGCGGAATCAGCCCCACTCGGGCCATCGACGTCGTTGGAGTTAGAAATATTGTTATTATTATTATAATATTATTGTACTGTAACCCTTACAGCTGTATTATCCATCCTATTGATATTTCTGGAATGCGCGGAATGCAGACGAGTCTCCGAGTGAGGCTTTGTTTGACTTGGGTTACCGAGAAATTACAAGCCTGCCTGCATGGCGCTGTTAGTGAAAGCCACACCACACAAACCCATTCCATTCCCCCTTGCGCTGGAATAATATTAATATTGATGCCTTACAGAGTACACAGCACATACTACGACGTAGTAATTGCTATTCTGATCCCAGGTGGGGCCCTCCTTGTCGATGCAGAGTGACTGCGATGCCAGGATTATCGTCGCGAGTGTACAGCGTGCTGGATAGGATAGATTATTATTGCCCTTCCATCCATCCGTATGCTGACCTGACCCGTGACATCCAACCCACCGAGACATCCGGCGCCACCGCGTCGGAGACTGGATCATTCATAACGTTCACGTTATTGCACTCCGTCCGAGTGTTTTTCTGGATGTTCTTGCAATCGGATCAGCTAGTTGGTGATGGTGCAAAGCCCGCTTGTAGTCGGGCACCATGTACCGCCACTGGAGGCAGTGCAGATTGCTTATTTGCAGGTGAAGAAAGTACGGAGTACTTGATTTCAAATTTTTCCATAGATAGGGTGGCCGGGCTTTTCATCTTAATGAATAGGACGTGTGCAATGCGAATATCTACAGCGCTGTATCTGTGCACGCCACCAGGTCAGCTTCAACCCGCCAACGCGTCATGTTCAGTTCATCCTTAATATTGCTATTATTATCACGAGAATTTTTCTTCTTTTTTTCCTTCTCAGGATATCGTTGTTCCAAGTAAATAAGCTTCTATTCATGTATTTCAATGTTCCCGATGCGCGGAGTCGAAAGATAAAGCCATGGAGATGATTCCACATCCACAAAATAAACAACGAGGGGTCTACCAAGTGGGCTGCCTGAGGCTGAGGGGACATAAAGGACTGGAGGGGTAGATAATGGCAAAGAGGGGAAGATCAGGGCGGGACGAGATTGCTGGACACTGAACTCTTGATTTTTAACCCTTTTTGTCCCTGGAAAGTGAGAAGTCTGAAAGCAAGATGCACAGTCCGATGATGGATCACCAAGTCAAAAAAAGGGGAACTATCTTTGAACAAACTATAATGAGATGAAAGGGGGAAATGACGGGTTGAGCAGGATCGGAGCCTTTTTTTTTTTCTTTTTCAAATTAGAACAGGTGATAATATTATTAAATATGATCTAGAGAGATATTCCCTGTCAGTTCGGTGTCCGCGCTGTCATTATTCATGGCCAGGAGACGGCGAGACCAGCGGGGCAATGGGCCGTGGGCGTTGTGTGCGCACGGAGGACGGTCAGTAGGGAGACGCACCACGCTAGTCCGCGCTGGGAACTGAGGGGCAGGAATGCGTATCTGGCACGTACGGAAGAACGTAAGCTCCACTGCTCCCTACTGCTTGGCCAAGATCTGCAGGGAGTCAGCTGGCATACAGCAGCGTACAACGTGTACAAGAACAGCGCCGCAGACAGAAGACTCTCCCACGACGTAGAGGGAAAGGATGGCTGGATGTGATAATAATAGCGAGGTTAGGTTATTGTGAACGAGTGAGGATAGGCAGCCGTTGGCATTATCCATGGATGCTGCGCTGCATATTTGCTGTCCAGCGAACACATCGAGCAAACGAATGGAATCAACCAAACCCCGGGATGACGGATTGAACGGAGGATGACAAACCAAACCAAACCATGTGGGCACTCTGAATTCTATTTGTGCTGTTAGTACAGGTATTGTAAGGACTTATGCGTATTGCTGTGACTGCTGGCCGCTATTCTCTTCTGGTGCGGACGGCGGGGTCGCACTAGCCCGGAAGGCGTTAGATAAGGATCAACGGGCGACCCGATTGGCGGTGGGGAAAGGTCCAATGACGCTACATATCACATGTGCGTGGTTTTACCTGCCGGCCGTCCCACGCGTGTACATTCATCGTACCTAGTACTATGGCCAAAACACGAACAGCCTCACTGTCGCGACTCCCAGCCCGCCGTGACCGCCCCTCGCTGCTCTGCCCACGGCCCGCTGCCGTGTGCGCACGCGACGTCGCGCGCAACTCTTCGAACTCCCACTTTCTCCCCAAATAATCCCATTCCTCTCTTTTTTATTTTCCTCCCTTTCTCATCATCTTTATCGATTCAACACTTCCCCTCCCTCTCTTCCCCTCCTTTCCTTCGATTCTCTCGTCGTTCTTCTGAGAATTCAACATTATCTTCTCACCCTTTATCCATCCCACTTCAGAATCTCCAGCCACGGTTCTAAACCACCATATACTTAATTCTCCCCCTCTGCCCCTCACGTCCGCCTGTGGCTGGACACCTTACCACAATTCGTTTCCACTCGGTTTCTCCTCATCCAAGGAATGATCTCACGTCAAACCGGACTCTCGTCGTCAACCCGCCTCCAGAACTGGTGCGAAATCACAGAAGGGCTAATACCCCATTCCCCCTCACCGTCGATACTCTATTGACACGCAACTGTTGTCCCTTAACCGTCCCATCGAGCCCAGCATCCTCCCAAGATAATGGCCCCAAGCGCGCCCGGCGCGGCCAATAACACGGCCGCTAAAAAGTCTACAAATGCTCCAGAGAGGAAATACAAGTGCCAATTTTGCAATCGCGCCTTTAGCAGAAGTGAGCATCGCAGCAGGCATGAGCGATCCCGTAAGTGACCCTCATTGCGAGCTGGGCACAAGCCGATCTTTTCTCTTGCTAACCTGTTCTTCCGCTAGATACCAAAGAGAGGCCCTTCAAATGCTTGAAATGCCGTAGTACTTTCGTTCGCCGGGACCTTCTTCTTCGTCATGACCGTACTGTCCACGCGAAGGACGGTGGGATACCGCTCGTTGCCGAAGGACGTCGCCGTGGTGGTGCCCAAAAGGCATCATCATCTGCAGCCCCAACGCCTGCGCCTGCTCCCGTGCCCGTCCCGTCAAAGCCGTCGATTACCATTGATCCTGCTACTTTGGAGCAAATCGAGGCAAGCAGCGACGGAATGGTCGACCTAGAAACTGCAGCTATGTTGATGACGGATTTCCAACATAAAGCCGCAGCAGCTGCTACTGGTCATGGCGATCATACCGCAGCGGATCGCGCCTTCTCGCCATCTCGTGGCCCGCTACTCGAACCCTCTGTCTCGTACCTGTCGGGTAATGCAACATTGCCCCAGATGCCTTGGGATACGCTTGTGTCGTCTACAGATACAAGGCATCACTCCCTAAGCTCCGGTTTCCTGTCGCGTGAGGACAGCATGCACCCGTATACCCATTCGGGCATGGGTCGACAAGTAGCTGGTGATGTGTTAGCGCCATCGCTTAACTCTTTCGTAAACTCGCTTCCAGAGTCCGGGAACTCCACTCCCAATGCGCTGTCTCCGTATCTGTCAATGACTGGCCCTGTGAGCCCAGTCAATTATCGCCGATCTCCTGGGCCCAGTCAGGCGTTGACCCTTCCCAAGTCTCCTCAATTAGCAGATGATGTGGAGCGCAATATCGTCATCGATCGGATCAAGCAGGCGGACGCTCTCGGCTCGCTTCCGGACACTTTCCAACTACCGTCGACGGCTGCTTTGAACAGGTACCTGGCAACGTATTTTAACCTGTATCACCATCATATGCCATTCTTGCACCAGGAGACATTCAATCCTACCTCGGCGTCGCCACATCTGCTGCTAGCTGTTCTCTCAATTGGTGCCTTGTACACTTTCGAACGGGAACATGCGTTCATGCTCCATGTTGGCTCCAAAGTACTGGTGAACCAATTCTTGCAGCATAAGGATAATTTTGATTCCAGGAAATGTCCTTTGTGGGCCATGCAGAGCACTTTATTGAATATGATTTTTGAAAGTTGGAGTGGGGACCCCAAGGGTCTTGAATGGACATGCTCCATCAAGAGTCTCCTCGCAAATGTAAGCTACCTTGCTATTTCTTTAAACTCATTTTTGCCCTCACCTCATTAGCGCTTTCATGATTTTTATTCACGCAGAAGACTGATCTATTCTGTATACAGATGGTCGCAGGCAACCGCTATCAATTGAAGGTTCGGACGGAAGCTCGGGAGGGAGCTCGGCTTACCCGTGAGGAGTGGATCGAGGATGAGACTTGCCGTCGTACATATTATGCCGTGTATATCTTCTTTGGCATGCTAACGTTGACCTTCAACCACACTCCTGCCATGAGCTTCGATGAGTTCGACAACCTGGAACTTCCATCCTCGGAGTCCCTGTGGAACCTGGACGTCACGGATGACGAAGCATGGGATAGATACCTATCGTCTCCGACAGCGATAACCGTTCGTGAAGCCCATGATAGTCTATTCCAGGGAGAACAAACACGATACAGTGCCTTCGCCACGCGAGTGATGATCAACGCTTTGTTCCTACAGGTGTGGCTTCATAAGAGAAGCTACGAAGCTCTGCAAGATGTCGTGACAGAGTTTAAACTCCGTCTCGCATTGGAAACGTGGGAGAGCTCGCTTGAAGTCTGTGAACCAGAAACGATTGTGGTTCCGTTGAGCACGCCTCAGAAAGGCCACCCTCTGATCTTCAATTCGATGGCTGTATATCGCAACACACGTGCTCGCTTGGAAGTTGACCTCAAGTCTGTGCAGGAAGCTCTCCGCTATCACTCGTCTTACGAAATTGCAGCTGCCATGACGGTTGCCCGTGAGAAGGTTAAGCGGTCTCAAGAAATGAACAAAGTCATTCAACAATGCTTTGAATGCATTGAACTTGCCGCTATTCAAGGCATAAACTGGGTTGCAAAGACCTCGGCCACTAACTGGAGCATCGAGCATCCTCTTTGTGGTCTGGATCTAATGGTCATTCTCAGCCTCTGGCTCTATCGCCTGGAACATGACGAAGAGCCGGCCACAGAGGCGGAACTGGCCATGTACAACAAGGTGCGGAATTTGTTTGATGAGGATGCTCTCGACGCTTTTGGCAAACTTAGCTCTACTGTGGCCCGTGTATGGGGTAACATCCTAGACGGCGTGGTAGTCTGGGGGTACGTTCCTTTTTCTATTCCTTGCACTCTTATGCTCTTATGTTTCATGACCTTGCTGACGTTTGTCTTGCAGAATTACCAAGCTCATGGGCGAGTCATTCAAACTTCATTCCCAAGCCTTGATTGGCTACGAAGACTCGCTGCGAGTCGCCAAGGATCAACCTATTCACACCATGACTCACAAGGCTCTCGTAGGAACCGCTTACTAGGGCCTCCGCAACATGGGGTATTCGATCATTTTCTTCGACGGTCCTTGTTTCGTCTTGGTTACCTTAAGAAAGTTACTTCCATTCCGCTCGTTATTTAAAGGCGGCTTCATGAATACGCTGCCGTTACATTCTTTTAATACTTCATCTACCCTCGTTACGGTCTAATTTCGACATCTAATCGGGACACTGGCGGTATTTCGGGTTTCAAGCAAGGTTGGGAATGGATGGGCACAGTAAGTGGGCGGCAACGGCGTTCTTTTTGAGTATGGGACGCTTTGATTGCCTTTCTTCCACCTGACGCTTGTCCATATGTTCCTACCAGTTTGGGCTTTTTGTGTTTTGTTTTTGTTTTGTTTTGTTTTTTTGCTTCTCGTCTTGTTTATGTTTTGTGCCATTTAGGGTCTATTGTCTCTGTTTATTGTTTGAAGAACTCTCAGGAGTCTGGTGCATTCGTCTTGTTGGTTTGAGTGCCGATTTCCGAAGCAAGATTACACCTGGCTGGTCCTGTGTGGTTTCTTCGGCGCTTTTAATTGATTTTCCATCTTGCTACTTTTTGATTTTTGTCTTGCTCCGTTCCTGCATCAGCGTATCTACTGTCATTTTGACCCGTCAGTTTGTCCCTTGAGTGCTTGATACCTTGTTCATTATATGCTCTGCTATTCTGCAATGTCTATTTAACGTCTTTTAAAGTCATTCTCTTGCGTTCGACTGATAGTTTTTGCTAATTACTTCTCTAATATTCGTCTTGTGTTTAGAAATGTTTGCCATATGTTCTGCATGTTTCTCAGTTCAGGTTCTCCCCTCAGAATGCTCAGTGTTATTTGCAGTTGTCTATGTTGTTATTGCATGCTGAAGAGTTTTGTGTTTTTGATGAATTATTCTTTTTTGAGTCTTTCAATGTGTTGATCTGATTTGCGTTCCTTGTACTATAAGAATAAGTAATCTGCAGCAAAAAAATTGAAGATTGTTTATGAAAATTGAAAGACTGTATCCAAGGTCATTATTAAACAGTTTACCTGATACCTCTCATGACATATCACATCATTACAACATAACAATATCCTTCATATCATGCAGAACATAGCAGACCCGACCGATCACTTCCCAATAGCCTTGAACAACCTATCCCCGATATCCCCCAAACCGGGCACAATCATCCCCTTCCCGTCATACGAGGCATCGACAGCCCCAACCCACAACTCAACGCCTTCCCCCCACGACTCCGCCGCACGACGCACCCCCGGCTCAGTTCCCAACACCGAAATGACCAGTACTCGCTTCGCGCCCCATTCACGGAGAAGATGTATAGCCGCCTCAGCGGTGGCGCCGGTAGCGATGACGGGATCGACGAGAATAGCCAGTTCCGCGGCAGCTGTGTTGATGGGTTCCTCGGTGGAAGAGGTTGTCGACGCACGCGAGTAGGGGAGATTGTTGTAGTATTCGACGGGTTGGAGGGTGGTGCGTTCGCGGAAGAGGCCAAGGTGGTAGATTGGGACAGGGGAGGGGAGGAGGGAGTTTATCGCTGTGATTATTATATTAGCATTGGATAGAGCGATGTAAATGGTTGTACTGACCGTCCACCATGCCCAGACCTGAGCGGAGGATGGGGACGATGGCGATGTTATTCGGGTTGGTGTCTTTTGTTTCGTATTCGATTCCCAGGGGGGTTTTATCCTGGCATACGTATACTTGTTAGTTGTGATATCGTGGGAGGAGTGCTCTGTAACATGCAGCATATGGACGTACTGTTCCAGACCTCGTTGCTTTCAGTCCGGAGGCAAGCGCTTCAACGCCTAGAATCGCCGATATCTCGCTGACCAGGCCTCTGGTTTCACGGGTGTTAGCTGAGTGAGAGCGCAGCTGGGAGATCTTGGCTTGGAGGCAAGGATGGGAGGAGATGTGGATGTTTGGGGCGAGGGAGGAGGCCATTGTGAATGGATACTGGATGAGCTGAAGGCAATGAAAGGTCTAATCCTGGTTTATGAGATGGAGTCCGATGAATTGAGGTGTTCTACCTTCTAAGCAGAGAGACCCCTCCACTGCATTCCTTATCAGTCACTGATCCTACATAATACTAACTCCGACCAGGATCCGCTATTCCTGCCGCGCTTTGCTTTCACCGAAAAATATGCATCGCTGAGATGATCTGATCATGGTTTCTTTCTTGCTGCCCCCAGGTAGCCTTCCCAAAGCTTCCCTTGCAGACAAAGTTGCCCATGGATCCCTCTGAATCCTCAGGATCAACCGCCGCAGAAGATTCCAGGAATCTCTCTGAGGTGGCCGCTCCGCCGCCCTTGGAGCATCAGCCCGAACACCGCGCGCCAGATCAGACGCACAACCAGTTCCTGGCTCAGCAAGCGGAAAAGCCCAGAGAACTTGGGCCTGCAGAATCTACGGTTCCTCAGCCCGTCACAGCGGAGGATCTGCAGCACCATCACCACCCATGGACCGAAGCAACAGACCGTGGCTACGACGAGGGCTACGGCCATGAGAACGCCCCTGGTCCCGGAGTCGAGCATCTATCTGGACCAGCCCATGAGAAACCGCCCGAGTCGAAACCGACCGATGTCCCCGTGCCGTTGTCGAAACGTGCCACCCATCTCTATACCGTCTCCTATCTCGTTTTTTTCTCCGTCTGGGGCACGCTGGCTCGTCTCGGAATGCAATCGCTGACCTTCTACACCGGCGCGCCCGTCGTCACAAGCGTGCTATGGGCCAACGTGGCTGGGTGCATCGTTATGGGATTCTTCCTGGAGGACAAGAACCTTTTCAAGGAGGAATGGGGGGATGCCAAACACCGACCCCCTCCGTCGGACGAGCAGGAGGAGAAGGAAAGAATCAAGGCCCACAAATCCGTTAAGAAGACCATCCCCTTGTACATCGGGCTGACCACCGGGTTCTGCGGTTGCTTCACGTCCTTCTCGTCGTTTCTCCGCGACGTATTCTTGGCGCTGTCCAATGATCTCCCAAATCCAACGCGGGCGACCATTTACCACCGCAATGGCGGATACAGCTTCATGGCCATCATTGGTGTCATCATCATCGAAGTCTCTCTCAGTCTGTCGGCTCTCATTTTCGGTGCGCACCTAGCCCTCGCATTGGCGCCGGTGACACCTACGGTGCCCTTCAACTTCACACGCAAATTCGTAGATCGCATCTGCGTCGTCCTCGGCTGGGGCTGCTGGCTCGGCGCCGTCTTCCTGGCCATCTGGCCTCCTGATCGACACCAGACCACGGAGACCTGGCGCGGACGGGCCATTTTTGCGGTCGTTTTCTCCCCGCTGGGCTGCTTGTTCCGCTTCTACATCTCCCTGTACCTCAACCCGCGTCTCCCGACTTTCCCACTGGGAACGTTCGCGGCCAACATGCTTGGGACTATCATCCTGGGTATGTGCTATGACTTGCAGCATGCCAAGGGCATCGGTGCTGTCGCGACGGGGGGACTGATTACCAAGTCCCTCTTGACGAGCTGCCAGGTGTTGCAGGGCGTCATGGATGGATTCTGCGGCTCCGCAACAACGGTGAGCACATGGGTGTCTGAGCTGAACGGGCTCAGCTGTCGCCGGTCGGCGTATTTGTATGGAATTCTCAGTGTGGGAGTGGGACTGGGGTTCCTGGTGGTGATAATGGGGTCGTTGAGATGGACTTTGGGGTTTGTGCACCCGGCGTGTTGATTGCTATGGCAATGCAGGTAACCCATTAACATATAAGCGGAGGGAGTTATAATATTAATGTAATATAATATACAGATGATATCGCCTGTCCAAGCTAAGCAATCAGTATTCACTCAAGATAGAAACATGCTCTTGTCAGCTCCATGGAATGTACCAGACACTGAACAATGGTACCTCAGGTATCAGCTTCACCTCATATTGTAGACAATTACGATTATTGCCAAGCTCCAGTTCTGAAGCTTCAGCTTGTAACCCATTCAACTATTTGCTCTTCTACAATCTTCAAATCCAACAACGTGACCAACTTCCGCCGCATAGGAGCTGGATTCTGCGGAACAGTCTGGGCATTACCCTGAGGAAGTGAATCCCTCTACGCCCTCAAAAGAGAAGATGGCGGACCCAATCGGCCCCTCACAAACGACATGCGCAGATGGATCCTCAACAGTGTCGAACATCCATCCCCTCAGGCCCAGATTCCACATTGTTACCACTTCATGCCCCTCAGACGACTGATGGATTGACAATCTCTCAAAATTCCCCTGGGATACACTCCCTGTAACGTGATCCAAGCGCAGCGCATGCCCCAAGACACAAGGGGGCTCCTAATCGATGAGTTCTGTCCGGGAGCATTAGCGAACAAGATCAAGACCAGAGAAACGAACCAGGGTTGTCTTGCTCGTCCCTATCCTGGACGAAAGCGGGCTGTACACGACCAACGATATTCACAAATATATGCGTACCCCCCTGCATCTGGATCAGATGGAGGAACTCGGTATCCCCGCCACAGACATCGAATCGTACGCTAGGGTCACGGCGTCGACGCTTGCCCTGCTACACTGGGCTGCGGGACTAGATGGGAATGATATGGAATCCGTCCTGGCACCGCCCGTCCACACCTCCTCCCCTGGGACATCTAGTTCTGGTTCTGCCTACACTATCGCTGACGCCCTCGGGACACGCGGTGTGGGTGGAATACCTGTGATGTTAAGGAGAGGGAGAGGAGCGTATCCTTTTCGAGGCTGTTCGTTGAGGGGATTGAGAGGGCAGATCCGAAAGTGTCGAAGGGCTTTGTGTAAAACATTATCAGGTAACTCTCGGATAACCAAGTACGTGGGTTTGACTTGAAACATTGTGATACTGATTCTTTACTACTGTACTAGGTGTTGAAGACAGGAAGGAGTTAAGGCAAGCGAAATACCCTAGCAAATTCGATGCTATTATTATTGATCATCTCCATCATCCAAAGAAACCTATGCCAAAATGCCACCGTCAGTTGAGAGTAGAACTGCCATCCCTATAAATCTTAAAACAATTAGCTATAGTTCCACACCAAGTACCCATAGAAATCAAGGTACGTCTATACGTCTAAAAGAAATAAATGAGTGAATATATATCATACTCATCATACTCAGCCCAAAAGCACCCAAAACCAAACAAAAGAAAGAAAGAAAGAAAACTAATCAAGTCCTCCTCTCCTGAACCCTCCTAGACTCATCCATCCCACCGTTACTATCACCACCCCCCAACTCTGCTATCTGTCCCTCAGGCGGCAGCTCCGCCCTCCCCGAAAAGATAGGATCCCGATCCAGCATTTTCCCCGGTAACTCGCTCCCATCCTGCAAGGGGCGGTGGTTGTAGGGATACCCGCGGGCGCGGAGTTCTTTGCGACGGATTCTTTCTTTGTGTGTGTCGCGGCGTTGGATGGCTGTTAAGTTTATCATTAACAGGTACTTTTTTTAAAATAATAATAATAATAATAATAATAACAAATGGATGAAATATACAAGGATAAACAGACAGAAAGAATTATACATGTATATATGTTTGCATGTACATACCCTGCCAAACAACCGCATAGAGAGCCATGGTAACTAGACACGCCCCCAGGAAACCGAAGAGGATTCCAAATTCACGGCCCAAGGATTTGATAGGGGTGGTCTTGGGGAAGTGATGAGGGAGGCTGACTGATGTTTGTTTCGACATTCTCGTGATTTCTTTGACGTCAAGTCGTCTAACTGAGATTGTATGTAGATGACAGTTGACGATCGAAAGTGTGGGGGAATTGCGGAGAAGCGCATCTTTAAGGCTGAGCCATCGTAGCATCACGTGACTCGAACATGAAGGCAGTGCCTGCAGCTTCTGCACCGAAGTTGCAATTATCTTGCGATGTCTTGTCGTGGAGGGCAGCCTGTTCACGGAAACCATCGATCCATCATGGAACGTTGATGAACACTCAGGCATAAAAAAGTGGATGAATGAATGAAGAATGAAACGGCGATATAGCTCCATTTAAATCATCGAAATCCTATGTTTATACATGCCATGATATGCGATGCGATGTATATGGTACATTACATTAAGATGGCCCACCTTAAATAGGCAGTGGGTAGTGGTCAATCGGAAAGAAAAAGAGAAAAAGAAAAAGCCCTCAGGCCACAGAATAAGAATAAGAGGGGGCTTCACAATGCAGGTTTATCATAGACGCGTGCAGAAAAAAAGGAAGAAAAAACTCCATCCGATCCAGTAAATAACCGGCATGGCAGAAGATATCAACCAACACATGTACGCTGAAGGAAATGTGTCAAATAGAAAGAAAATAAACCGCTCGTAGAAAACAATCAAAAAAAGGCAAATATAGTATAAATCAAAATCATGCTAATGGTCCCGAACCAAGCCCTTTGCGACAGCCTGCTGGAAGAAGCCTGCACGGTGGACACAAGAGTAGAATTCATATGAATTTCTTTTCTTCTGTTTGTTCGAATCCGGAAACTCGTCAACTCGTCAATCGACTAACCGAAAGTCACCGCCGCAAGAGCCGTAAAAGTCAGACCGATGGCCATTCCTATCCACGGTGTTTGGCCAAGAGTGCCTTCGTTGCGCAACTGGACCGTGTGCGTCGCACCAGGTGATCCAGTCAACGTTCCCATTCCGATTGTGCCCGGTGATGCTTCTTCCCATTGATCAGGTATGGAAGTGGCCGTCTTTGTATCTCCGGCGGTAGTAGTAGTAGTAGCTGTAGCTGCAGCAGGCTCCGCTGCTCCTCCCGCACCGCCTCCGACAGGTGCCGCCCCTTGGCCTCCAAGTTGACGAACCTCGAGAAGCTCAGTGGGTTCCTCCGACGATGCATTTGTATCTGCCGCAAGGGCTGCAGAAGGAAGCAGAAGCATGAGAAACGTGAGAGGTTTCATCGTGACCGTAAAACGAGAACGTAGTGACCGTGACCGAAACGGGAGGGTGGCTCGATTGCTGCAGCCAGCGTGGAGCGGATTAAGCGGCCTTAGCCTTAGACGAGTGAAATTATACAATGACGGGACTTGTCTCTTCTTATCTCGTTGAATTTTCAATTAACAAGTGTTGGTGTGTCAATTGTCGACGCTCGAACAAGCCCAGGAGTCGCGCAAGCGGATAGGCACGGCAAACAGAATGTTTGCTGCAATGTTCTTCGTGACTGGGACCGGAAGCACAGGAGCACCGGCGAGCAGTGCTGAAGGAGGTGCAAGACGCGGAGAAAGGCGAGGGCAGCAAGGACAGGGAGGGAAGCGCGCAGGGCAAGCGGCGTAGCAGCAGCAATAGAGAAGAAAAAGGAGGAAAACGCAAAAAAGGGCGCACTGAGATCAGCCAAGCATGCCTCCCGCAACCGCCTTACCCGTTCCGGCATGGCAGTATCATTATTACCGCACTATCGTCATTATTACCATACCACGGTACGACGTTTCGGGGATAGCGGCCCCCGAACCCCATAGTGCATTAAAGTCGATCCATGGATGGCAATTCAGCGGTTATTATTGGGTGATTATTCCCGCAAATTTTAGTGGCTGGTTCCTGCTGGGCGCCGCAAAAGCTTGTCTGCTATGTGGTTGGCTGACAGTAAGCAGTGACAAGAGATCGGCGTTTTAAGTTGTCCCACTTTCCCTATTAAGGACTAGCATGATACTAGAGGAATTAGTACGGAGTATTAATCCATTACCTCCCGTATTCACAAAGGAAATCATCTCTATTAATGACTAACCTATCCTATTCCTCGTAACACTCAGATAGTAATCCATGTTATTATGATAAAAGGAAAGCCCAAAAGACAAAGGAAATAAGAATCATGAAAAGCCAGTCCGGCGTTTGGTTTTTAAGCAATTCAATAAGATGACTCTGACAATGATGGACTCCGAAAGCCAGTGTCGTATAAAAGGAAATCGATCATGTAACGTAACAGAGAGCATGGTAAGAGGGTAAAGGTAAAAGAAGAGATGAAGGGGCGTAGGAGCGATTATTGCATAAGCAGATTCAGGGCCATTAGAAGCGCTCCGTGGCCAGACTGGTTTCATGTCTCTTGTATCATCCAACATCATAAATCGACGCGTGCAAGAGAAGAGAATAGAAGAAGTGGAATGAGGACAAAAAGAACTCCGTCTATTTTGGGTCTCCATTTGGTTTCATAGAAGACATGCTTCCGTGGGACCCACGATATGGACAACATAAGAGGATGCAAAGCACTCAAACTGTCAAACGAAACAAAAGTAAAAAATAGAAGAGAGAGGCTATGGCGTTAGAAATCCATTTCCCCTTCTAGGGACAGTTCTTGACCGCAGGGCACTATTGTGCAATCCTGTAGAGTTCTCGAGCATTTGGCGTGTGATCAAGCGCGCATAACATTAAAAAACCGAAGAAGAGCATATGGGTATCTGAAGGTACGCCTGGTTCGTTGATTGAAAACGTTACGGGAAAAAATCAGACAAGCTGTAGAGTAGCTGTCCTAGAGAAAGGTCCGTTTCCAGCTGTGTTCAGAATCGACAGCGAGGTTCTCCTTTGGGACGTCTGGAATATGGAATCCCTTCTTCATCTCTGCCTCGACAAAGAGGGAAGCACGCTTGAAGCGCTTGTCAGAGTATTTCTCATAGATAGCCGCGTGGTGCTTGCGCGGATTTTCACAGCACTCGAGCATAAGGGAGATCAGCGGGAGCAGCTGCAGGTAAGTATATTCTGAGTAATGGACATGGGCAGGAGTCTATTATTGGAATGTGTTAGTCAGGCACGTAACCATATCAATTATAGCATAGGCTTACCCAGCTCCCTTTACGCAACATCATCCTCGCCAGGCAATGAGCACCAGCAGATAAAAAGCTCGGTGGGCTCCCAACAAATCGTTCGTCCATGATGGTGATCTCCAAAAAGTACTTGGCAAGGGTTCGTGTCTCAAGGTCGTAATCATCTGCCTTGCTAATCCTCCTGAGGAAGCTCATAGGGCCAGGCCATCCTAGCTCAAACTGAAGCATACTCAGCATAAACCGCTCTGCTTTCAAGATCTCGTCCATCGTGTAACCGCCATCGACCATGTAAACTATTTCCTGTACTGATGGACAGTTGATCTCTTCGTATTTGGCAGCAATAAAAATTGCAGTCGCGCCGACCAGCTGCAATTTGCCTAGAGAGACTATCTTGCAAGAAAGAAAACGATCTATGTAGTTGACACAAAGGAAGAGTGTCTCTGGCAGCAGCGAGAAACGATGGTGAACCTGGACGAGCCAATCCATGAGAACCGACCGCATGGACCACTGGATCTCCGCCTGATTATCCATATAATGAGCGTTTGGTAGCATCTTAATCTGTCTCAAATGTTAGCAAGTTCCTATGCGTCACTTCGATGCGTCGCGATAGCTTACCTCTTGTTCCTTCATATAATGGAAGATGTCATCACTGTACTCGGCTACCATACTCGTGTCCCAATATTCATCTTCAATGTCCTCGGCAGTCCTGGTGGCATCCACTATTTGCTTTGCCAGCGTGAGTTCCCGCCTCACTTGTTGGTTGTACTGCGGGAAGAGCACGGTGGTTGCGCCGCCGGTGGTATTGTCGCCGCGAGAACGGTAGGAACGTGCAGTTGTGTAGCCATCGTCTTCCTCATTTTCATCTTCTTCGTCGTCCCAGTACTCTTCTGGCTCCGACGGAGCACGCATTTGGTTGTGTCCCGCGTGGGGAATGGAAACAGATTCATGAGTATCCTTCTGCGAGGGGTGGCCGATCTCGGGGACTTCGGGTGCAGTTACGTATATTTCGCGAGCGGCAGCTTCTTTGATTTCTTGCACCTTATTGTCGTGTTCGTCAGGCTTGCTTTCATCGCTCTCACTTGCACAGGTTACATCAGCCTTCACGACCGAGCATTCGTCTGCTTCTTTGATCTTGACGGAGCTATCTTTCAGTGTCCCCTTTTGAGTAGGGTCTTGTTCAGGCTCAACTTTGTGTACTAGCTTAACCGACGGACGGGAGGCCGGAGCTCCATCAGTCTTTCCGGTTCTGGTTTCCTTGGATGCAGTTCCCTTCGTTTCTACCGACTGTTGCAAAGGGTCTTTGAATACCGCGTTCGCTCTTTTGTTCAAAACTTTCCGCGTATTAGCCGACGGTTGTGGCGCCCCGGTGGTCTTTCCGGAGGACTCAGCAGGCCTTGAGTTGGTTACATTGTTCAAAGCGCTCTTTAGACCGGCTCCCGGCACATGACGCTGAGCAGGCTGCGACAGAATCCCTGGCTTCTTATCCTGAGCCAATGGCTTCTCCAATCCACGCTTTTGGTTCTTGCCCGCAAGAGAGGAGTCGTCGTAGGCCAAACGAACGAGATTGGCTTTATTGCTGAGGTCCCCAAAGGCGGCGCGTTTGGGTCCATTCTTAGCAGTAACATTTTGAAAGGCCGACGACAACGCTGGAGTAGATTTATTTCGCTGATGGATAGTCTTTCCAGGGTGAGCAATAGGGGCATTCTCGTCCGCACGGACGCGAAGGCGTTGTGGCTATAATCCCAATATTCATCGTTAGCCAGACAATCCAAGCAAAAGATACAACGCAAAAAGTCCAGAGCCCAACATGAGAGGCCAAGAAAATAAGATGAAGAGCGTCACAAATAGGATGGCGTAAAATAATAATTAAATTGAAGAAAAGAGCGCGTAGAATGGCAGTCCATGACAACGAGAAAAACAAGCTACACGTCGCGTAAAACGGCGTTGACGACGCGGAGACAATTAGAACGTACCTTAGCATCCATATTGTCGTGCCTCTTGAGCAGTCTCCAAGAGGTTGCGTATGGTCTTATTGTTGGTGTTATGTGGGAAACAGGGCGATGTTTACCTCGTGTGCAAGGTATACTGTGAGCAAGCGAAACAAAACAATGCTCACCGCTGCGGGAGAATATCGAGTGTGCAGTGGGCGGCTTGCTTGACCAATTGCTCCCTGAGCAACAGACAACGCAAGAAGACAGTGTAGGAGTTAGGAGGACGACTCCATAAACAACGACGAGGAAAGAATGGGCGATGTTTTGGAGGAAGCGATGTTAGAGGCGCCCGTTGCCCACGCCGTGGAACGGGCTGTAGGTATAGCAACCGTCCGTTTTCGGTTCGGCTACTGCCAGTTCGGGTTAGCGTCCACGGTTCTGTAAACCGCTAGCCGGTTTGGTACTAGTCCACTGTGGTCTTATGTCAGCATAGGGCAGCACCTGTTTGCGATATTTGTCATATTTGCATCGTTTGTGGCATCTCTGTGTTATTCCGCCTGTTCGAGCTTCCAATGACATCATCGGGCGCGTCTTCCCACCGACGCCCTTCGCTCCTCCTTACACCGTGCTGTGCCAACAGACATCGTCAAAACAAAACTGAAAGCGATTCAAGATACATTCAGATATACCTTTTCTATTTATCACCAGTCGCTCTTCAAATAAAGATGAAATTGTGGATTGTTGGCACAGCACATCTTGACCGTCTTCCCACGCGTGAGGCAACACGAAGTCAGGTCCGCCAAACGCGAATACACGTGACCTAAAAAGGCAGCAGGAAGATTCCATCCACCCTGTCTGCTTGCAAGATGCGCCTCGCAATGGCAGTCGCTCGACCCTTTTGATAATAGAAACATGGCCAGTGGTACGAATAGAAGCTCGTGCGCTGGCATGAATGGCATTTTTGGGCCCCGGTATTAGCCCACGATGCTTCCTTTTTTCTAGGTCTGTCGCATTCAACGATGATGACCCCGGATCGAACGGTTCAGGTTTCGCACAGGACTTTCGCCGTCAACGATCCCTGTTCAGTTCCGGGGTGGCTTGTTTTGGCGATTGATGTGGCCAATGGCTGCGAGTTATATTGGGATGTGCCAGATTTCCATTAATGGATTTGCTTCTTGAAGTTAAAACCAAGTTGTTCGCAAACTCGATAATAATAAGGGAAAGGCTATTGCAAAACGGTACGGCGGCTTCCGGGAACTATTGAAGGATGCGCAGACCGCAAGTCTGCGCCCAGAACAAACCGGCTTTCCATTTGCAACGCATGCCTTTTCTACAGGAAAACACTGAGAGGCGACTCCTTGAATTTCTTTCATTTTGGGGGTTATGATTTCCATGCGAACCGGTCTGCACTAGTACGATTTATTTTGTCCTAAAGATTGGGTGATCTGGCCCGGGCTCCCACGTCTCAAAATGCCTTGTGAAACCTAGTGGGGACCCCAAGAGTCACCCAAGGGTTCTCACCCCTACCGAATAAATGGGCCTCACCACGCACGCAGGCCGTCGTGACTTGTTCTGTTGCAGAGTTCGACGCCTGAAGAGGGGTAAGAGTTGCAGCATCGGGTGCTTTTGCAGCGGCTCGCATTTGGCGAATGAGGATTTCGCAAACTCGGCAGAAGCAGACTCAATTATAAATAGACCAAACGAATTGCAGAAAATAACAGAGATAAAGAAGTCGACAACTTGCCAGAGACACCGGAATTAGAAATAAGCGATGGATCTTCCTGTAGCACATACAATAAGGACTGTATTTCAAATGCGAACTCTAACCAAAGTTCATAAAGTGATTCATTCGGCATAAGCGAAGAAGCATGATTTGGCATTATTATCGTCTGCATGGATCGATTGTTCTTTTATCTAACTGATTCCCAGATTGTCCTGAAAGAGGGGTCCCCTTTTGGAGTCTCGGCGAGAGATAATATATCTTTAATCCCATTGATCTGCGCAACGCTTGTTCACCCGCTGCGCATTGTGTCTTGTCTCAATACCTGCGAGGTCTCACAGACCTGGGTAATGAATAGACTCTACATCCTGTCGCTCCAGAGCGTGAAGAAGGAGGGGAGGAGGCAGCGATGCAGACATACCCTTCCTTCCCCACTGTTGTTCGACGTGGCCAGGCTGAGGATGTCGGCCAACAACAGCCACTCATCGTTATTGACCGGAATCGGGAAGAAACCAGTAGAGTTCCTGTGCGCCAGCGACGGCATTCCATCTTGCCTTGCGACAATCCATGTTCCTTTTTTCCCTGTAGAGAAGAAGGCGAAAACTACTCACAAAGAAGGGGGGAGGAAAGCGCTGCTTGTGTTGTTGAGTCGCCAAGGGCTCTTTGCGCATTCTGAGGGAGACTTGCGACAACGTCAAACCGCTGTGCGATGCGACAAAACCCGGGACAAACAGGATGAAATAGCAGCAGAAAACTACATCTAGACAATCAAGCAAGCCGAGTAGAGCGTAGAAGATATATTCTGACAGAAAGCGCCCCCGTGCAGGCTGTCTGGGGGCAGTCTTTGCTGGTTGTCGCCGGAAGCGCAATGTCACCGACCCAGGCCGCTTTTCGCCTTTGGGTGAAACCATCGTACACTCACCTTGCTGCACCCACCTTTTTTCCTCTCGCTCTCCTCTCTGCCGTCTTCCCGCCAGTTTCGTCCCCATTCCAGTCCATCCGGGTCCCATCGCATCTGTATTCGTCCATCTTGCTGTTCTTTAACGGTCCCTGGTTCGTCTTCAGTTCCCTCTGTCATCTCATTTCTCGCCCTGGGCACACCCAAGCCCTCGTCTCGGCTACCTGCACCTCGACTGCTGGGATGACACTGCTGACAGACCCAGCGCCTTGCAGAAGACTGATCTCGTCTCCGATCATTATAACTGCTGTCGCCTGGGACATCTCGTCAGTCTAGACGGCCTTACGAGTGCGATACTGGCGGCCCAGGTTGGTTCGAGATAGGTGCGTCGTCCAGGGCCCATCACATCCGTCCACATCCCCCAGCCCACAAGCCATCAGGACCCAACCGGAATCCGGTCAGAATCCTCGATTCCCCTAAAGTTTCCTCCAGACTATCATGAGTCTCTATCTAGAATCTATTTTATATACATTGCGCTGACACATGAGGTGATTCTTCTCGCAGGCTTCCGGCATCTTCCTTGCTTGAGTCGCTTTCGCCCGTGCACCTGGGGACCCCCTCATCCTCATCGAAAGACAACTCCATTCATCGACGATTCAAAAAACACGGTCGCAAGAGGGCCTGCCCATCAAAGAAAGCCATTTGACTTGATTGATCTGCGGTATGTTCAGATAGGACCTTCCCGTCTTGCTGTCGTACCTATCTTCGGGACGGTTCCATCTGCAACAGAACGAGCAATCAATTGACAAAGTCATCAGTGCTATTGCAGCGTGGTCGTCTATTCAAACGATGCAGACTGCCCAGAACGAGCACGCCTCCCTGTCTGGAGAGCAATCCCCCTATAGTGCCACTGCCTCTACACCGCACGAACCCCCTGCCAACCCGACACCCAAGAATGTTGCCTTCGAGTTACTGCTGGATGAGAATTCCAAAGTTAGGGCACGCATCCCTATGCGTGTTCAGATATACCCTCACGACACCACTGATTCTATTGTCACGACCGTCAAGAATTTCTACGGTATCTATGATGGTGCCGCCAGTGGTGTCAGCTTCGAGGATGAAAACGGCATCACCCTCATAGCGAGATACGAGAACTTGAGAAACAACATGACCGTCTATGTCAGGGTTATCCCCATCCAAGCATACACCGATATCTATGGAGATCACTACCATGGTTCGATCCCTGTAGAAGCTCGCAAGCACCCGAACATCGAAGATGCTTATCGCATGGGGGGCATGCAGCCAGCGCATCTCTTAGAGCATGGTCGGTCCCCATCCCGTCCAGCTTCTAGAATCGCTAGAAAGCGCAGTCCATCACCCTCATGTCGAAGCCGCCGTAGCGCTTCGCAAAACAAGCAATCAAAGTCTGGCAACAAGAGCAGGGGCTCCAGTACTCATGGTAGCTTCCATGATGATGGCGCTGGATATAGTGACAGTGATGCCACTTACACTTCTAAAAAGGCCCGAAGCGATCATTTTGCCAGCTCGGATATTAGCATGGACAATATTCTTCAAGATGGCCGTAGAAAGCGGCCTAAGTTTGACAGCTCGGTGAGTTTATATAACATGATCTTCCTCTCTGCTCCCTTCACAACATGGTTGAATCCTGGTCTGACTGTATACTTCCTTCCACCTCCAGGAGCTACCTCTATTCGTTCCTCCCCAGGTTCCTCTGACGACTGCCTCCATTTCGCCGCAGCGTCGATCCGTCGGTCAAGAAGGAGCCGGCTCGCCATTCGCACGCCCGACGCAGCGCCCATACAGTTATCAGCAACCATTTCCGTCTCCGCAGAGTTTTGGTTACAATGATCAGGCGTACGGAACGGGCTCGACTCGAAACTCCATGTATGCTACTCCAGTACTGCCGGAACATGGTCATCGCTTGCGCGACCGTACTTCAACACAACAGTTTTCCAATGCGGCTGGTCGGGCTAGCGGCCCTGGTATTCTCCCAACGCCAGACCCTACTATTGCAAGTTGCATATCGGACGAGGATGTTGCCATGCAACTTATCCGCCTAGGGGATGCTTCAAATTTCTCTCATGGCCGCACGTCCGCATCCACGTTAGATGACGGGTTCAGCGGCGCTGCTGATGCCGCTTCGTCGACCGGTGCGACAAGCGACGGTGAAGACTTTAGCGAAGACGATGACGGTTTGCCAAGCCGATCACGTCAGAAGCTGGAATCCAGCCCCATGCTCCCTCCAGGCGCTTCTAGACGCAATCACAAACGCTTGGATGAGATTCTGCCTAGTTTTGACAGCACTGAACCGAGCGGCGATGATTTGGATGAAGACTACCGCCAAGAGGGACGTAACGATGTCCTTACCAAGAGCGAAGCTGATGACAATACGCTCTTTACCGAATCAGGACCGAAATCAAAGAAAACAAAGACCAAGGCAACAGGGACCTCAAATAAGTCCCGAGGAAAGTCAGCCCCGAAGTCAAGCAGAGGAAGTAAGACCTCTTCTACCGCCGGCTCTCGCAAGACTAAGGCGATGTCTGCCGCTATGAGCCAGAAAGGTGCAGCCTTCCCCCAGTTAGCCAACTCGACTTCGCCTAGAAAGACTTTGGGTTCTTCGGCCAACTTCCAACTTGCGGCAGATGAAGAAGACCTGTCGACCAAACCGCGCTGCCAACGATGCCGCAAGAGCAAGAAGGGCTGCGATCGTCAGCGCCCCTGTGGAAGATGCAGGGATGCAGGCATTGGCCTCGAGGGCTGCATCAGTGAAGATGAGGGAAATGGTCGCAAGGGCCGTTACGGTCGCCATATGGGCGTCCCCGTTAAGAAGGCTCTCGAGCTCGCTGCCAGCAATGGTGACCCCCATGCCGATCCCACTTTCGCGCCTTCAGCAATGGCAGACAAGAGCAAGAAACGGAAGCGCTAGATTGCGACTCTAAGCAGTTTCAAAATTATTTCAACCCCATAAGATCTGTTACATTTGATTGTTCTTTCGCCTCCGGCCACACCACGAAGCAGTACATCTAGGCGACAAATGACAACGATATTCTTCTCCATAGACGTTTTCCTAACGTTTTGCCGCATCTCTATTTTTTTTCCTTCTTTTCCACATGCATGTCATCCTTCTTTTGACTCCAAACCTCAACATCTCATCCGTTCACTCATTGGAGCGGCAGTATTCTTTGCGGCTCCGGTTTTGAGATACTCGTTGTATCCTCATCGAAATTATCAATTACAAAAATCCTTCAGCTGTCTATTGCATCATCGACCATCTTCCACTCTATTCACCTCCCGAGACAAAACACTCATTATGTTGCATCGTGCACTGCTTTAAGTCTACTGTCCTTGCTACCTCTTTTTCTCGTCATGGATACTCTAGCGATTGAACTGAGCGGGTTTGTCGTATTTCTTGCGTGTTATGGCGTTTTTTTGTCTGTGGTTGTCATTGCGGGTCTTTGTTCATCTCGTTTCCCTTTCTCGAGTCATCCATGCCAACAACCTCCGCTCGTTCGGCTACCAGTACTGCTGTGAAGTGCCCTATCATTTATGTATCTGAGCTACTGATATACTGGTCGCTTCCTCTTCCGTGTGCATTTTCTCTGTCTCGCGTCCTTTCACTGAGAGGGAGAGATCGGCATCGTACGATGGGTTGAAAAGTTGCAGCTTCAGGTCTGCTGATTTTCGGTCCTACTGGGAAATATATATTTCCATGAAAATTGCCGTGAAGGAGCTCAATTCTCATAGTGTTTGAATTTGTTTCTCTTTTAGTGTGTCTAAGCTCTTTTCACCTGTTCTCTGTCTATAACTTAGGTAGAATGAAAGGGATTATTCGTTAGAAGCCGAGTGTTTTGTGCGTAGCGTACCCTGTGGGCGCAAAATTGCCAATAGACAAAAATTCGAATATCAGTGCCCTGTGTGTGACTCGTCCACGACCTACAACAAGGATCTGGCCTCTCTTAACAAAGGACTACAGGGCTCCTTCTCAATTCTTGTTTCTCAAATTAATCGAGATTATCAGAGTAAAACAAACCGTAATCAACGCCTTTTTGGAAGAAAATCCGGGATGAATCGAAGTCACCGACGTCATCGATCCTTATCTTATCACACGTGATATAGTTCTTAACAGACCGCCTTTACCGCAAAAGGCTTAGCGCGGAGTTTGCGCTTCTCTTTTTTCCGCGACAATCAATTAATCGATCGTCCCAGAGAGATTCACAGCGTCGCAGTGCCCGTCGCTTGCCTCAGGCCTCCCTACACTTCTATCATTATTACTGGAGTCTTTGTCTATTATATCCATAATTTTTGACACTCCTTTTTCATTGAAACCGAGTTGCGCTGGTACTGGGACACGGAACCCAGCGAATGCCCCTCTTTTGACCTCTATGTCCGCGGAGTGACAGTAACCCTTTCTTTCGCATTTTTCAGGTCGAACATTTCAGGTGGCGATATTAGAAGGATATAATTAGAGAAAGGCTGAGAACAGGAAACCAAAGGAAAAAAAATACTCACATCCCAACCATGCCACCTAAAGCCGCCCCTCGACGAGCAGCTCCAGCTCGAAAGACGGAGTCCGCAGCAGCAACTGCAACTGGACCAAATGCTCGTCCCCAGAATGCTTCTGAATCTCAAACGACGACGACCGCAGGCGGTCCCGGTCCCGGTCCCTCAACTCGACCAGGCGTACAACGACTCCAATCACTCAAGAAACGTGACCCGCCCTCAGGAAGCATTACGCCGTCCGCGAGACCGACTCCGTTGAAGGGCGAGCCTTCGAAGCCGACCCTGAAATACCAACCGCGTGCCGTGGTACGGCGCAGCAAAGAGGAGCGTGAGGCGATCGAGAAACTCGAAGCAGAGAGACATCGTGAAAGACTGGCCGAGGCTGCGGCCAAAATGCGAGGTCGGGGAGGGCCCTTCCAGCGTGGTGGTAGAGGCGGGGCTGGGAGGGGACGGGGTCGTGGGGGCGCGCGGTTTACTGTTGATTCCAGACATTCGTCAGTGTCGCGGAGGAGTCAGACGAGGTCAGTTATCGACATGGGTTCTCGCAGGATCGGTTATGAAGGATACTCGTCGGATGAGAGCGACTCCGGTCTTAGGGTGGATATTGACGCGATCAATCTCAGTGACAATGAGAGTGATGAAGAAAATATCAAAGGGAAGACCCCTGTGAAGCACGTGGTGAGGCCAGAGAAGGGACTACGACCTGTCCGAGTCGAGTGGCACGAACACAAGGAACGGGTGGTCAGCGTGAACATGGAATCTAGCACAGATAAATCCGCCGAAGTTCGCGAAAAAGAGAAGAAGAATAAGGAACAGGATAACGCTCTATTCGTTGAACAAGACACGGAAACCACCGCAACCCCCAAGGCAGAACTGCGTATCAAGGAGGAGCCCAGGGACGATGATGGGATCAATCCAGCGGCAGTCCCTCTAGCCGGCGATGATTCCATGATCACTGATGACGGCTTTCTGCCGGAGCAGACGGTGAAAGTACGCGGCAGACTAACTACCGAGGAAATGCGGGAACGGGAGCAGGAGTCCGAAACGCCAGCCCCCGTGGACCCGAGAAGCCTTTTACGCACGAATGAAGATATTGAGGAATACGAGAGACACATCCGGGATCTGGAAGAAGTGAAAAAACTACTTGCCGTGGAGGCGAAACAACCAGACAAGGAACCAGCAGCAACAACAACAGCAGCAGCAGCTGGCGACAAACCCGAAGAAGATGCAGAGAAAACGCCAGAAGAAGAAGACGCGAGCAAAGACAAACTTTCGGGACAGTTATTCCTCATGCAATTCCCACCTATGACTCCCAACCTATCCGAGTACGGCGTTGGCAGCGGCCCCGAGATAGAATCCACCGAAGCAGCACCTGACGGCACCACAAACGTAAATACTAACACAGGCCCGAGCATAAAGCGCGAAAGAAACGGCGAAGAAATCGTCGAAGTTGGCGAGGAAGAACAAAGCGCCCCCGAATCAAAACCACCACCCATCGTAACAGCAACAGACCGACGTCTCGGGGCCGGACGAGTCGGGAAACTAAACGTCCACGCCTCGGGACGCGTGACGATGAATTGGGGCGGGATCAGTTTCGAACTTGACCGGGCTACTGCCGTGGGCTTTCTGCAGGAGGCATTGGTGGTGTCAGACGATAGCCCGTCGTCGTCGGCGGATGCCATGGGCGAGGAACGGAAGGTGTGGGCTATGGGCCAGTTGAGTGGGAAGTTTACTGTGACTCCTAACTGGGAGGATATATTGTAATAAGTATTACCGTGACTATCTTGGTCATTTCTTCTTTATCTTAAGACCAGTTCCATGATGAAAGATATCTAGTTATCCTAAGGCGAAAACTGGTGCTTAACAGGAGCAGCGGTTTACCTATTTTCAAGCATCAAGGCGAGCGACTCAGAGACGCCTGACAATGATAAAAAATTATGTTCTATATGTCATTATACAGGATTTTATACACATAGAATTTCGTTTTGCTGTTTCGCTGCCGTTTTCAGCGTCATATGCGGCCAAAAATGGCAGCGAAACAGCAACTATCACCTGACACACTCATCTCAAGTTTGGGCTCAGATTCTTTCCTCTCTCATTTGAAGGTACTCTTTCTCGCCCCCAAAAATTACCAGTCTCAGTCGATTGACTTCACATGGGAAGATTTGGTACAAGAAGAGATTAAAAACATTAGACCTAAGACAGAGACCCCACGTGCATTAAAACTGGACTCTCTAAGACACATGATTGATTGCTGGACGAAGATGTAGCTAGACTGCAGCAAATCAACTGGACATGAGTGATATACCTGGGGCAGATATTCAGAGGAACAAGCCATGATGGTTGGTAAGAGGCATATCAACAGAATTCAAGGTTAGATGACATGACAGTATCCTTCGACAGTTTTCCCAACACAGAGCTGTATGATGTATGTGCTCTCTCTGTCGCGGAGCTCAACTAGAGGGTAAATAGGATGCTATTCAACTATCTAGGCAGCTAACGACGAGAACTTCAAGCGTGGAGAAGGAGAAAAAGAAGAAAGGATCTACGTATGCGAACATAGCCTCTATCTAGATATTTACGGACGATAATACCTAATCTTTAAAGCGTATATCCAACCAGCCAGTCCAATGCTGCGTTTTTGCATAGAAAGATATCCAGAAAACCCAAGTAATCAAAAGAGGTGGCCGACTGAATAGGACATACAAAGACAAAAAATGAGAGAAATCACTGATCAAGCCCATTGAACTCGATCAAACGCTTCGCGATCTCAATTACCCTATCGTCTATATTTGTGGGAGTTCCATTTCCAGCTGGGGAGGAGCTGGCTCTCCCAGCCGCTGGTCCAAGGGCAGGATTATCGATTCTGGACGCTAGAACTTCATCGAGCATTAGCCGTAGCCGGGATATGAGGACACCAATACGTGCCCAGCCGCGTAGACGGAGCCAGCCGTCAACGATGAGACCGCGGCCCGTTGTGTCGAGAGTGATGGGGCCGCAGAATAGAAGGAGTGAGTAAGGGTTGAAGGCTGGATTGGTCAAAATGGTTAGTTAGTTATCTTTGAAGGACGGCTTTCCAAGAGGAGAATAAAAAGCCTAACTTACGGGTCAAATCACGGATGAAGACCTTGCTTGTAGCCATCTTTGTAAAGTAACTCAGATAAGACGCGGCCCCGGCGTAGTTTTGTGCGGAGAATAAGATGGAACTAGGATGGATGAAGACGCGTCCATTTTCTTGATTGAAGTATTTGATCGTTCGAGCGTCAGGATCTACCTCAACTGTACCAGTTATTGAACTGGTGAACTTCTTGTCTGGGAATGATATCTGCGCGATTTGTGGCTGGAAAGCGCCGGCCACAAGAGCTCGGAGGAGTCTCCGATTTCCTGAATTGCGATTCCATCGAGAAGATACAGAGACAGATGCATGTTCTGAATCTGGATAGTCAACAGGAAGAATGCCAGTGTCCTTCAATGATGTCAGAAACTGCGCTCGATTTGATGAGATGTCGCGGAGGGTTTGATGAGATAGAAAATTAGCCGTGCACCAAGCCTGTGTCTGCCAGTATCCCTGTCTTCTTGCTCGATCAGACCACTGCTGGAAGGCAGATAGGTCTGTGAGGAGATCACCATCACCTGTGGAGAACTGCGCTCTTGCAGCATCTGCCTCTTCCCGCTTGTCTCGAGGCAAAACGAATGGGCTCTTCACAGTGAGGATAGCTGCAATAGAAATACACGGATCCATACACCCAAAAATCGATCCGTATATCATAAGTTTCGCGCACCGCAGGTCGGCGGGAATCATGGACAGATATCGACCGAGCGCAGTCAGCCTGTCGTGGTCTAGGGCTCCCACACGATGTAAGAAGTGCAGGGCACCTTGGACGGCAACACTTTCGGGAGGAGTTATTGTATGAGCCAAGAATGTAGCGACATCACCAATGCCTTTCATTGCCTTTACAGAAAGGCACAATTGCTCAAGTGGGACGCGGCGGATTTCAGGATCTGGTCGTGGTGCCATATTCGCTTCGGCTTTCCGAGTGTAAAGCTTATAGCACGATCCGGCCCTTACACGGCCAGCACGTCCGCGTCGCTGTTTACATGCCGCTTGTGACGCCCAAACTTCCTGCAGTCTGACCATGTTGTCCTTTGTATCGTAACTGGTCTCCTTCAATCTGCCGGTATCTATAACCGCAACAACGTCTTCAATAGTAATCGATGTCTCCGCAACATTCGTGGCTGCGATGACCTTTCTCTTTCCCTTTGGAGGAGTTAAGAAGACACGGCGTTGCTCGGTTGGGAGAAGGGAGGCATGTAATGGGAGTGGATGAGTATTTGGGATCTTCTTTACGGCAGCCAAGCATCGATCAATCTCCAGGGTGCCAGGCAAGAAGATCAAGATGCCCCCTGGTTGATCACCCAAGCGAGAATCAATGTACCGAACGGTGGATGCGATCAACTCATAATTGATCCCCATACCAAGGCTACGAAGAACCTTGCCCAGTGGTGCGTCTGATTTCTCAGAATTGAAATCTTCCTCGTCGTCTCGTTCAGTAGCTTCGGGAGCAAATCCGACTTCACGGACTATATCGTCAAGGTAGAAATCCTGAACAGGGAATGTTCTACCAGGAATATTGACCAATCCAACTTTCTGGCGGCCACCAAAATAATCGATAAAAATATCCGCATCCAAAGTCGCACTCATCAGAATGACCTTCAGATCCTTGCGGTAACAAAGAATGTCTCTAAGAAGAGCCAGGAGGAAATCGGTGTCGAGGCTTCTTTCATGGACTTCATCGACCACAACGTGGGTAATATCTGCCAGTGAACTAGCGACATTCCCGTCGGGGCCACTACTGGATTGCAAGCGACGGAGCAAAACTCCAGTTGTTACGAATGTAATTCGCGTCAAACCGGGCTTCATCTTGGAGTCTCCTCGGATCGCATATCCAACTTCTTCACCCACGGACGAGCAGCGTTCGTCACTTACTCGATCAGCTAGCCCGAGAGCAGATATCCTCCTAGGCTGTGTGCAGATGATGTTGGCAATGGCACCAAGACCACGTTTAATCATATCATCCAACACGAATTGCACTGACTGTGTACTTTTACCACTTCCTGTTTCACCAGAAATAATCGTCACCTGGTTGGAATTGACGGCCTTTATAATAGCCTCTTGTGCATTCCAAGCGGGAAGCGACTCTCGTTTCCGGGTCATCTCCTGTTGTTTCGGGGTCAATTTCCTGGCTTCCAAAGCCTCGCGAATTGCAAGACTCCGGTCTGAGCCTGGTTGCCAGTCGATTCTTCTCTTGACTTTGCGTGACTGGCGTACAGGAAGCGCTGAGATCACTCCGGCGCTGGACGGAGGAGCCATCACTGTTGAGATGTCTCGCAACTTTCCTGGATTTTCTATAATGTGCGGTAAATTGGTCTCCAGCCAGTCTAATATGTTATATACCATTGGCTCGCCCAGGAAATTCTGTTCTGCATACTGTATCACTTGGCGAATGGCACTAAGTCGTATGTATGCTGGGATCTCTCGTGCCTGGATTGATATAACCGGAGTTGATGAAGGATAATGAACAGACGGTTTCTGAAACCGAAACAAAACCGGCAGCGGTAAGCTCGACTCCTCGCTCTTTATTTCACAGACTTGGGGGGATATTAGCGTATAACGGTCAGCGAAAATAGCTTCTAGCGTAGTCTGCTCTTCCGCCCAGGACTCATCATCTCCATCTGACGTAGGGACTGCAGAAGTCCGGTCACCATGAATTAATGTGCTCTGCAAGAACTCTGCCGCTGCAAGTTCATCGCCTTCTTTCTTATCGAGGGCTTGAGAACAGAAATCGATAGGATAACCGATAGCGGCCAGCCGCCTGATCTTAGCTTCCTTTGCTACATCACTAGTAGCAAGAGACACCCCGGCGGAATATTTTTCTGGAAGACACCAGCGTGGTAGGTCATCTTCTGGAACGTATACTAAGAGCCACTCAAGAACCTCCTCTTTGTCTTTGCATTCCACCGTAGCCTCTTCAATGTGGCTGCGGCGGAACCCTAAGTTGGCAAATTCCTCAACAGCCGCCTTGCGCTCACTTTCCGACATCTTCACCCCGTAAGGGTTCCAAATGGTATGTTGCCGTAAAAGGTCCTCAATATCACGCCGAATTTTACTTCCCATGTCGACTTTCGGTGCCTGTGACCATATTCTTCCTCCCTTATTCTGAGCAGACGGACCGGTGCCCAACGTGATTGTTCCATCGTTGGCCTTTGCCTGCAACTGCTCACGTTCCTTTTTCTTCTTCTCAAACTCCGCGGCAGCATTCTCTCTCTCTAGCTTGGCCAAGAACGGATCTGCTTCGTACATCCAACCTTTCCCTTCTTTAGTGTCCGCATTTTTGATATCCGTAAACTCATCCTTCCAGAGCTTCTTATAGGTAGGAGGCATCATCATATGCAAGTTACGCATGTTACAGACTCGGAACAATGCGTACGCAGCTGCAAAGTGGCGAGCTTCCAGCGCTGTCGGTTGCGCAGCGAGGTGCTTATGAGTCGGAGGAAGCCTCATCGGGGGAAGGCTAATCAGATCTCTGGATTTCGGATCAACGCGCTTCAAAATCACGGTCGAAAGGTATCCCTCTGCGGTTTTAGTCTGCAAGAAAAGAAAAAAACAATATGATATCAGCATATGGTTTCATTTCGTAGGGTCGCATAATAATACCATTGTATACTCCGGCTTCTCCCACCGCTGCTTCTGGCAATGCTCCGCCAGCATATTCACAGGCAGCTTCCCCGTCCATGAAGCACCACCAATCATCTCTTTCACTGAAGGCTTCTTCTGCTCCTCCGTCGAGGCCTGGGCCTTCTTCGCATCTTCAGCGGAGCGCCCAGCGGCGGCTTTGGCCTGTTTTGTTCCGGGCTTGGGGCCTCCACGGGAGTCATTTTTCTTCTTCGGTCCCATATGTAAGGGCTGGTCCATGCAAGGAAAGACGCCCGTGGAGTAGATAAAGGTCTGTTTCTCAGTAGACTCTGGGGACCGATATCTGGAGCTGTTCGTCCAGTTTGGCAGGCAAATATTTTGGCCGTCCCGCGCTAGACCGTTTTCGGACATGACATAGCTGTGGAGAATCTATGCTCCCCGCAAAACCTCAACATCAACAGCATGCAAAGCAAGAAAGAGAAATGAGCTTGAACTATCGAGATATCTGCTCAGAATAGAACAGATTTATACAGCGGTACAACCAATGTCTATGAATAACATCGACAACACCGATCTCACAAAGCCAGAGAAGAGAAATGCCTGTAATACTCGATGTCATCCACCTCAAACAATCCCCCGAAACAGCTGACTTTTTGCCAATTCAGTCTCTGAGCTCATGTCCAGCAGGGGCAGGCAGCAGAGACACATAAGGGAACACAACAATGAAGCGAAAGAATGCCAGTCATACTCCTTCTCCGCCCGTGACGGACTAGGCCCGTACATCGCTCACCCAGAATCCCACTCTGCAAACACCGTGGTCTACTACAATGATGACTTCGTCGTGATTCACGACAAATTCCCCAAATCCACCCTCCACCTTCTCCTACTCCCGCGAGATACAGAAAAGACTCGACTCCATCCATTCGATGCATTCGAGGACATTGAGTTTCTGAATAAGGTCAAAGCGGAAGTGAAGAAACTACGTCCTCTGGCGGCCAGTGAACTCAGGAGGCAGTTTGGGAAGTACTCTGCGCAGGAGGCAATGAGACAGGAAGCGTTAAATGCCGAAACTCCGCCGGATGAGTTGCCGGCTGGTAGGGATTGGGATAAGGAGATCATGTGTGGGGTTCATGCGCATCCGTCTATGAATCATTTGCATGTCCATATTATTTCGATGGATAGGCATAGTGAGCGGTTGAAGCATAGGAAGCATTATAATAGCTTCTCTACGCCGTTCTTTGTTAGAATTGAGGATTTCCCGCTCGCAAGGGATGACCCTAGGAGGCATCCCGGGAGAGAGGGTTACTTGCGGTGGGATTTCGTATGCTGGCGCTGTGGGAATAATTTCGGAAACAGATTTTCGGAACTCAAGAGGCATTTGGAGGAGGAGTTTGAGCATTGGAAAAGGTTGTAAATATTAATTCATATTTTTCTTTAAATTTATAATTATTGAGTTGACAGGCTTTTGGTTTTTAGACCAATTCCACAGCTGTATGTAGCCGGAGACCACAAATGTGTTTCACACAGCATAGCAGATGTACCAAGTAAACCTTTTACCACGTGCACTGCTGCAGCCTTGGATCAATCGCATTTTCAGCAATCATCACCAAAGAAACGCTACCTGACAGTTTCTTGGTATCAGCATACCAAAGCTCCCCCAAACTGACCACAGTGCTAAGACACTGACTAGGAGTTTCCTCTTGTAAAAGACATCCCCAAATGTACCAATGCCTGCTTATTAATTAAGCACGACTCTTGGACCGGGAGGCGCCCTTCACCTTCCTGGGCTCGGGACGGTTGATGTGGTGTGCCGGAATCCATTCGGCATTGTAGACGGTAGTCGATGCAGCTGTTGGGTTGGTTCCATCAACAGATTGGCTTGTAGAATCTTTCTTCTCGGAGGCCTTTTTGGAGAAATCCCCCTTTCCACCCCTACGCTTCTGAGGCAGGTACGGAGCGATCCAGACAGTATAGAAAAAGTAAACAACACCAGCGAGGCAAGTCAAGAGGAAGAAGTATAGGAAGAGACTGGAATATTACGTGTTAGTAATCAACAAAGCAAGGCAAGGAAACTGGAACGTGGGTCTCACATCTGCGGATCGAAAATGCTGGTCTCAGGCTCGACAACACTGACAGTACCATTGAATGCTGGGAGAGAGAAGATAGCTCCATCACCGTCAAAGATAAGGGAAACCAAGTTGAGCCTCAAGTCCTGAGGATGCATTTCAGTCGCGAAACTGTAGCTCAGAGACTGCTTTTCACCAGCTGGAATCTCAACACCGTATCTCGTGGTAGTCAGATTGCGAACAATGCTGCTCTTCTCCTCAAGGCTCCACAAAGAGCCACCGACGAAGTTCACGGTAACGGGGGCCGGCTCATTGTTGGTGAAGGTGATGACGGCTTCGGTAGGGTGACCATTGACAAGCTTCACCCCAAAGATCTCCGAAGCAGCGGGGAAAGTAGCCTGTGCCGTGACTGCCAGCTGCTCTTTCTCCTCAGCCTTCTTAGCAGTATCCTAGATATAGTCGACAACATGTAAGCAAACAGATCAAAACAGAGCACGAGAGGATCCCAGCAGGCAGGCAACTGAACGTACTGCGGCGAGACCACTGCCAATCAGGGCCTGGAAAGAGAGCAGAGCCAGTGAGAGGATACCGAAGCGACCCATTGTGATATGGGTATGACCGAAGCGAAGGACCGAGTGACTGAGAAAAGCGAATAGCAAATTGAAAGAAGATCGAAGGATGAAGGAGGACAATTGTCTGGAAGGGCGACTTGTCCAAATCGATTACGCCTTGCCGCAACAGGTTAGTCTGTACCTGATTAGGATTACCATCACGTGATACTGAAATTAATGTGGCAGAAAGTGTCTTAATTATTCCCCGACGGCATTGCAGGAAGGCTGTTTAGACATAGCTTTACATTGACAGCCCTCCTACAGACCTTTCCATCCTTGAAGCAATGAAGGGCAATCGCAATGGGGTGTTGTAGAAGTCTCGATTATTATCCATTCCGGACCTTGTGGAAGCTTGCGAAGAGATGGGGAGCAATAAACAAAAGACAGAATGGAGAGGGTCAAGGGGTCAAATAGACCCTATCAACCTTTGCTATGGGATTTGCTTTATACATACAGTCCGTCTGGCGTGCAGTGGAAGGCCTAACTGTGGCAGCCCTACGCATACTGTTCCAGCGGACCATGGTATGCTTAGATAGAGTTATTGGGTCGTTTGATCCATTTAATTATATGATCCATTCACATGCTCTCCAGACATGCATGCTCACAGGGGTCGTCTTTTTCTATTCCTGTTTTCGCCGAGGTAAGCCCATTGGCGCCACAAGAGCATGCCTTGATGTGTGGCACGGACAAATTTCTGTGCGCTGGAATGGACCAGCATTGAACCCGATTTCTGGGGAAAGAATATGAATCTCAATCTGGTACTGGTCGTTCCAGCAAGGGCCAGGGACTATTATTAACGGTCCAATTGATCGTCGCGAAAGCAGCGGAAAGGCCACTGGAACTGACACTTTGGTTTCTAATTTCGATTCAGGAGGCGCATGTGAGAGATCTTCGCGTCTTAAAGCAAACAGTCTTTGGGGTCTGAATCTCACCTCTGCTTGTACCCTTCCTCTCCCCTGTCCTTCTGGGATGGATATTATGGGCTTCTAGAAAATTGGAAGCCTTGTAATGGAATCGGATCTGTTGTTGTAGACCACTGCAGCCCTCTTGCCAAGGACAGTCAGCTTGAGGATGCGCACAGTTTGACATCTCCTCTGCTGGTATGTGCAAAGGGCCAAGATCATTTTCCCCCTTGAATAAAGAACTAATTTGTGCCTTAGGCTGTTTATCAGGACATTGTCACTGTTCACACAACTCGCGACAAGAGACCAATGAATACCCTCCCTCACGTGCACTCTTGTACTACTGCCTGGGTGTTTTCTAGGTCCTAAAACAATCAGACTAGTGGGTAGTCTCAGCAAATCTCACTGCTTCCTGTGGTTCTGTTTCTGACTTCATCAATAGAGTGACTCTTACCTGCGCTATACCAGGGCCCAGGGCTCCTTGGAAGATGCTGAGTGACAACCCTCCTTCTCAGGAAGGCCTTACTCTGGCCGACCTGATACACAAGCCGCTTCTAGTCATGAAAAAGGTGTTTGCAAAGCAGGCTAGTGATATGGAAATCCACCTGATGTCAGATACCGACGCCCACGGTGGCCCAGAGCAGGAAGTCCTGCCTACTAGTAATCGCACCAAATCTGCGTCTCCTGGCCATCCAACCGCATTCCTCGACGGACTGCGCGGGTTGGCTGCGTTTTTAGTTTACAATGTACACCACATTTCATGGTTCTACGGTTCCACTGACGACATCCACCACGGCTTCCTCTATCATGGGGAAAAATACTTTTCGACGTTCCCATTTGTGCGGCTGTTTTTCACCGGAGGCAGCGCTGCAGTTGCAATTTTCTTCGTTTTATCGGGATATGTGTTGAGCAGGCCTCCTCTGAACTTGCTAGTCCATAATGAGTTCTCCAAACTCTACTCGAATCTCTTGTCCGCCGTGGTGCGCCGGCCATTCCGTCTCTTCATACCTCCCGCTGGAGTCTCTCTTGCGGTTGCATTGATCATGCAGCTCCCCTTCGGTCTTGCACCACACCTTACATGGCCGCAAGCCAAAGAGAATGTCTTCGCCGAATTGGCAAACTGGTTCGTCGAGTTATGCTGGGCGCTCAATCCAATCAAAAAGCATGGAATCTTTGAGCCATGGTTCCCCTACGACCCGCCCGTCTGGACAATGCCTGTTGAATTTGAAGGATCGATCCTTGTGTTTTCTCTCGTCGCAGTATCTAGCCTTGTGCCACGTCGATACCGGGTTCCTTTCCTCGTCCTCCTTGGCCTCTGTCTTTTCTTCACCTATCAGTGGGCAATGGCATGCTTCGTAGCAGGCGTGGTACTGGCATTGGGCGATGTAGAAAGGTCTACTGGTGTTAAGGGAACCAGACGGCTCTCAAGAGATTCGAGAATGGCTCGGTATCACCTCAGTTTCTTCTTCGGTTGGTGGCTGCTTTGTGAGACGGCCGGGACCCATGAGCCAGAGATGTCGTTGTACTCATTTGGCTGGTACTGGTTGACCATGCTGATTCCGGGCAACTACTACTTCCAAGATTACTGGCGATTCTGGCATACGGTGGGCGCAGTCCTGCTTGTCTATGGGGTTCTGAGATTGCAGTGCCTGCAAAGATTCCTGACGACACGACCCCTGCGATACCTTGGCAGGATCAGTTTCTCTCTTTACCTCACGCATATCCCCTTTCTCTGGATAATGGGAGATCGCGTTTATCGGCTTTTCGGTGCAATCAAAGCGGACTCGAACATGGAAACCTGGTTTGACAACAAACTCACCATACCAGAAGTCGGACCACATGGATTGTCGCTCAGGTATGTCATGTCGCAGCTTGTCATCCTGCCTTTGAATATGCTTTTGGCGCACATCTGTACCATCATGCTTGATGAGCCGAGTGTCAAAATCAGCCGGTGGATTGTGTCGCGACGATGGGGGCAGCAGAAGTCTTAAGGAATATGCTGGCAAGTAGTTGGAAGACAGCTATCAGCCTACTTCCAAACCAGGATTAACAGAATCTTATGCAGCAGGGAGCTTGTAATATCTGTGATGAAATGATTTTTCTTCTTCTTTCTCCCTCCCAGAGATGTCTACTATATATATTGAACAGGAAAGAAAGGTGACAGAGTCAAAGGATGCTTCTTGTATGCAGTGCACATTGCTGGCAGTGAATGCTGTTGCATCTATTGGTGACCTGGTGATTTCTGTCAGCATGAGGTTCTAGATAGACACTGGGCAGTCTTTCAGACAAATGCAATGACAAACAAGGATTCAGTATCCACACATCATTTATTCAGTCTCAGTCCTTAAGATCTAAACCTATCTGAACTAAAGAGATGCAATGAAAGTAATGTAAGGGGGGCATCTGTTTGGCCCTCAATCGCCCATTGTTCTAATAGTGGAAACATGCCGCAAGGAAGCGCTTACCGCTTACCGCTTACCGCGCTGGAAATGGCAAAAGGCCAGAGCTTCTTCCAGTGAAGCATCCCCAACAGGCGCCCTGCAAGCGCGCAGTGAACGCTTGCTGTATTCAGTTCAATCAACAGTGTTTGATATTTGTCTGCTGGGGTTATTTAAACCTGCTCCATTCCCATCCCTGCTACTTGCCAGTGTTGCTACTACCTACCACTTAGTTTGTTTCTCAGAATTCCAATCCGATCTTGTTGATACCTAGTACTACACCGTACTACAACTACTCATCAGCTTCTTCTATCCATCCACTGCCCTCTCTGCTGCGTGATTAATAACTACTTTGCAGCTCTTTGTCTCTTTCTAGTAGCAGCCGGTCTCTCCCCCATCTGTACTTCCCCTTCCCGCAACAACCATCAAGTACAATGGCGACGGCGACTGCGGCAGACGCGCAGTTGCTCTACAAGCGCTGCAAGCAATTGGATTCGCTAGAGAAGAAGAAAGATGAACTTATCGAGGTAGCACTCTCAGTTACCAGGTGCTCAGGGATTGATTTGATTTTTCAATTGATGGAATTCTTCTACAGGATCTCCTGAAGCGTATCGCGGAGCTGGAAAATGCGTATCAGCAGGAGAAGCTAGATCGGGAACGCGAGACCCGTTTCAATCGCGATATCCAGCTGCATGAAATGACGTTGATGGATCAGATAACGAGGATCAAGAATGTTATGGTAAGCAAGCAAGACTGCCCTGGATCTGGACTCCCTTCCACTGACACTGGCATTGACGCCCTTCCTTTGTCATAGGAACGGGAACCCTTTATAATCGTCCTTCTTGACGGAGATGCGGTGGTGTTCAGAGACGAATTCCTACAAAAGGGCGAACGGGGCGGACGGGCCGCTGCGAACCAGTTGTGGATGGCGTTGGATGATTTTGTCTCGAACAACTTCTCCGGCATCACCTCACCCAAGATAGTGACGAAGATCTTTGCAAACGTTCAGGGATTGGGTGATCTCTGTGTCAAGGCTGGGGTTATCAATGAACGTAGAGTGTTTGAAGACTTCGTTCGAGGCTTCAATAATAGCAAGGCCCTCTTCGATCTTGTGGATATCGGGTCGGAGAAGGGCAAAGCAAGTGACAAGATTGAAGGTACTTATACTCTGTTATTTGGGACTGCTTTGAAATGCTGATGTTTCTGTTTTTCCCTTTCAGAATGCTTCAAGCTGCATCTGTACAATTGCCATTGCCATCAGATCCTCCTGGGATGCTCGCCCGATGATGGATACGATCACATTCTGAAGAATACCTTGACGGATGTGGATCTTACCGGTCGTATTTCCCTTGTTGAAGGGATTCCCTCCGAGCACAGTATGGAAGCTGTAAGGGAGTCCTACAGGGTTGCTAAATTCCCAGAGCTCTTCCGGACTTCCAAGATAACAACAACTCCTACGTGGACGGCTGTGGCCACTTCCAACATGAAATCTTTCATGACTCTCTCATCCTCCCCAAATCAATATGCAGCATCACTGTCGCGAAGTTCTACCAATACATCGCCGTCAGGCAGTAATAGAACCTCATCGACACCATCTCTGAGTGACTCACAGAGCTCCACAGAATTCCAACTTGTGACTTCCAAATCATCCAAGCCAAGCTCCCCCAAAACCGTGGAACGGAACAAGTATGGACAGCGGGTCGACCGGCTCGAATATAAGAATATCCCCCGCGATGAGCTGAACCGTATTAAAAAGATGAAACTATGCAATTATCACTACCTGCTAGGTTCATGCCCCAACACAAATTGCTACCATGACCATTCCCAAAAACTGACTAAAAATGAACTCTCCATTTTGGCTGCTGTCGCGCGAATGACGCCGTGTCACTTTGGCTTGGACTGTGTCGATCCCGATTGCATATACGGTCATCGCTGTCCCTATAATGAGCCTGGAAAAAAGGATTGTCACTGGGGTTTGACTTGTCGTTTCGACGCCAGTGCCCATGGGATTGATACTAATATCGTCAAGGTCACGAAGATTTAGGTTTTCTCTCTCTCTCTCTCTTTTTTTTTTTTTCCCTCTCTCTCTTTATTTCTTTACCCGCAGTGTATTATAGTTTTCTTTGACCTTCTTCCCCCAGGGGGGACTATTGCGCTTCGATTCTTATTAGGTGTCTGGCGCATCAAAAGTGCACGTCGCAGATTGCCTTTTCGTCCAGTGTATTACATAGCAGGCATACATTGAAGATAATACTTCGTAGTATCTAATAATATTGTTTATAGACTGCGGGGAAGAAACAGGATATGCGCTTCATCTTCTCTTCCGAATGGCCAATCTCCTGCTGACTTGCATCTTGTACAGGCCTCAGCGGGATGCAGGACATACCCGCATGTACATAATACTACATACAGTCTGGCAATGTCGTAAAACCCGACTTCCCTTCATCTCGAAGATATTAAGCCAGAATGTATCTAAACATGCTGTTGGGCCTGCTGGCCATCGCCCTGGCCGTTGGGATGGTGCCCTCCCTCTCCCCGTACCAGTATTACCAGCACCAGCAACCTCTAGCACCAGCAGGAAAACACCCTGTCGCCAACCTGAAGGACAAGATCAAGACTGTCGTCTTCATCATCATGGAGAACCGCTCTGTCGACAATCTCCTCGGCGGACAGAGGATTCATGGCCTGGACAACCCCATCAACAACGGCCCGTTCTGCAATCCATACAACCTCAGCGACCCCTCGCAGGGTGTAGTCTGCAGTAACGCGAAGGACTTTGACTCCATCCTTGATGACCCAGATCATGAGATCCATGGGAATAATATCGAGTTCTATGGGACTTTCATGCCGGATAATGCGGCTATCGCGTCCGGCAAGATGAGGCCATCTCTGGATGGGTTCGTCCATGAGCAGATTCGTCTTTATGATACCAGAGAGGATGATGCCTATTTGGCGCAGGAAGTCATCAATTTCTATACTGAGGAACAGGTTCCTGTCATCACAGCTCTGACGCAGGAATTTGTTGTGTTTAACCACTTTCATTCGGATGTTCCAGGTGTATGTCAAAGCTAGTCGTACATGGTGGCTCTACATGCTGACGCCCTTCCAGCCAACAAACCCCAATAGAGCGTACTTTCACTCTGGCACATCCTACGGACACGGTCGCAATGACCCTGGCTTCGACCGCAGCGAACTCCCTCAACGATCGATATTCCAACAGTTATTCGAAACAAACCACACATGGACCAACTATTACACCCAGAGGAATATCGTCGACGCCCTGTTCTTCACCTGGACGGCTGAGAGCGGCACCGCAGATACCAACATCAAGGACATCTCCCAGTTCTATGCCGATGCAGCTGCTGGCCAGCTGCCCGAGTTCGCGTTCATCAACCCGTCGTGCTGCGGTGTTGGAACGAATTCCATGCACCCGACCGGCCTGGTCTCGGCTGGCGAGAAGCTGTTGAAGGACGTCTACGAGGCAGTACGCAGCAGTCCCCAGTGGGACGAGATTCTCCTCATAATTAGCTTCGACGAAACGGGAGGCTTTCATGATCATGTCCCACCGCCACTGGCTGTGAGACCCGACAATCTCACCTATACAGCAACTGTTCCGACCGGCGAGAGCTACACCTTCGAGTTTGACCGGCTGGGGGGTCGTCTTCCCACCTGGCTTGTTTCTCCGTGGGTCAGCAGGGGCTACGTGGAGCAGTACGGCTCCAACTCCCAGGGTAAGCAGGTGTCTTACTCCGCCTCGTCGGTCCTCCGGACACTTGGATATCTCTGGGATTTCGAGCCGTTTAATCCGCGTGTCGAGAAGGCTGCGTCTTTTGAACATCTGATTATCGGGACGAAGAGAGATGATGCTCCTGTTACTTTGCCTTGGCCTTCTCCCTTTCCTGTTTCAGCGGACCACCCGTAACGGGGGAGGTGGCCTTGTCAAATATATCTGGACAGTTGGAAATACAAGTACCAAATGGGTACTACTCCAAACCGTAGATATCTCCCCTGCTGAGTGTAAGACTTCATAAGATTGCAGTTGTAGCTAAAACTCATAAAATATAGGCACTGCAGTCGGGAATGGCGCGCGAGTCTCATAAACTAGCGCTTGTAGTAGTGTTGTCCAGATAACAGTGCCAAACAATACTCACCGGCTCTCCCATGATTGGGCTTCCATAGAAATCAGCCGATTAAACAGCTGGTTCCTAGCCTTCATCCCTAAAATATGGTAAGCCTGACCCGGAAGCGCCCCCGAAACCACCAGGCCATCCGTCGCCTCCTTACTGCCCGCCGTAAGCTTAACAATCGCCTTCCCCTTCCATCCCAAGCTGTCGACCTTCTTCAATTCGCGGATCTCGCTAACGGGAATCTGAAACAGAACAGTTCCCTTCTTCCGGTTCTCCACCTGCAAGTCCGAATCGTCCAACTTGGTCGAATTGCACGTCGTGAAGTAGAGCAGAGGCGGTTGCTTGGATGAGTCCAGGACGATCGTGCCTCGTTTTCGGTCGAATTTCGCATCGAATTTCAGCGGTCCCAGAGGCGTTAGTATCCAGCTTTTGTTGCGCAGCATGTTAATCAGATTCCTGGGGTGTGGTGCTGCTGCGATCGCCATGGCCCTGTCGAAGGCGACGTGGCCTTTGATTACTGCTGCGATTGTGTAGCGGACGAATTTGAGAACCTTTATCACATATCGTCTTTTTGATTTCGGCTTCAAGGGAGGGTTATCTCCAAGTGTTTTTGTTTGTGTTTGTGCCTGGTTACTTGACTCTGGAGATGTGCCAGTCTGCGATTCATTTTCGTGGGACGTATCAATCTTTTTCGGTTTGATCTTCTTACGGCTCGAAGGCCATGGACTCTCCATATCATATGAACTTGGTGGAGGTGGTAATGGGGAAGAATTTAGTTCGCCCATCCGGAGAAGCGTCAATGTAAGTTGGGCGTTGGTAGGGACTCCTTGCAGCAGTGTCCTGGGCGAGAAAATCAGTTACAAATAAAATAATAAGAAACACTCCACAACATACTTTTGTATGTCCAGATACTCCTTCCAGTCGGGAATGTTACAATCCAAGAACTCCAGACCTCGTTGGAAGATGGGGCCACCAAAGAAGCCAAATCCAATCAAAAAGCCACCGATCTTGACAATAATGTAATTCGACACGAGGAGAGAGAGCAGGCTGATACATGCTAGTATTGCCGCGAGACGTAGACGAGGTGCGACGCTGTCGAATGGGGGCGTTGGGGAAAGAAGACTGTATATATAACAAGAGTTTTAGAAAGCAATGACGCGGTGCTGATCCTGTTTCAATCAAATGAACCTACTTCGAAAACCTTTCGTAGACATCTGTGATGTCGCTGATAACACGCATTACCTGATCAGTAGCCTTAGATGCTTTCTTCTTCGCGGGGATTTTCTTTTGTTCTTTGACTGGCACGTTTTCAGTCGGGATATCCGCTGCAGGTTCTGTTTCTACCGGATCTGGCTCGGAGAGGCCATCGGGATCATCATCATCGAGTATACTATAGCCATGCTGGTCATTGGAAGCATCTATAGCAACGCTGGAGATGTTGTCAATAATGCTGCTGGCCTCTTGCTCGACGTCTTCACCTTTGTATTTCTTTGGAACATCAGCGACAGCACCATGCGATCCAGGTTCCCCAGCCGCTGGCGGATTTCCTTTCTTCTCAGAACCTGAATCGACAGCGGCAGGGGGGAAAAGCAACGGCCGGATCTGCGGACACAAGATCAAAGCAGCGAGGATACTCATCAACGTAGGAACGAGCAAGTCCGACGCCCATGCATAGAAATAGACCTGGAATGATAAGCCAACCTGGGACGCCATGGCATGAAACGGGGATGATGGGAATACGTACAGCAGAATACATCGATGTACGCCCAGGCTCTTTCCATGACCGCAATCTAACGACATGGTTGAGGGATTCTCTGACTCCTATAACGACAGAGACATAGAACCGCTCAAGCGTCATGCGCGTCTTCTCCGCGGGAAACCTTTCTTCTTCGACCCGGTTGAGATCGAGCTCCTGTTGGGTAGTAGTCTCCGGTGCGACTTTGACATGGTATATTTGCTGTCCGCGTTGAACAAAAATATACATCATTAGACATGTTTTGATGCAAGAGTCAATTGCCAGAATTGGAGTTGAAAGAGGCCTTGCCTACCTTATTGAAGCGCCGGACGAGCATCCAAAAATCCTCGTTTGACATGCCAGATGTGATGCTTTCCTCCACCGCCCTTGAATAGGACTTCCAGTCCATGCCTAGCGCTCTGGCATTGTTGCTTCTAGCTTTAGACTGGGAATCGTCGAGGCTGTCGCCATCTGCCGGTCTTGCGGACGTCTCTTGATCCCAGCTCATTCTATACTAGATTCCAAGCAGTACCGAAAGAGTGAAAAAATACAAGTGGGAGTGAACCATTCAAAAGCTCTAACCGACTGCACAGTGGGAAGGATTAATCTGCAAAATATGGGACAATTGCGGCCATTTAACCACGAGTGGTGACCGGCTGGGAATTGATGTCACTGTGGAACATAGATAAAGATAGGAAAGTCTAAAGTTCCTAAGTGGGTTTATTAGCCGTGGCTGTGTGAGGCAGCAACTTTCACGGCAGAGAGGATCGAAATAAAGAGTGTTACTCCGTACTCCTCGGTGACGGTGAATTACTGCTTCGGGTAAAGCGTACCTATTTTGGTATAACGTGACTTTGCCGCTTGGCATCAAGGTGCGTGGCCTATAACTATAGCTTCATCGATGCCTCATCCAGTTCGCGCCCATCCAGTTCGCGCCCATCTTCAGTATTTTTTTTCACCACCCTCTCCTCATTCTTACGCAAATCTAGTGAGGCATTTTTGCTACTGGACTGACCATCCTGTGCTCTGCACTTCACCACCCCCTTTTTACTTTGGTGAGCTGCAAGCAATGCGCGTCTGTTTCTAACACCTGTCCATTGCTTCCTTGATAATCAATCTTTCTTTCTCCTGCTCTATATTTAACTATTGTTCAGAACATTGCTAATAATATTTCTCTGTGTATATAGAATTAGCTGATTCTCTCTGTGCTCACAGTGGGCTTCCTTCATTTTCCTTGATTTAATTGTTGTCTACCAAAATCCCTTGTGGCAATATGTAAGATGTAAAGTTATGGATTACCCCAGCAGCTCTAGTGCTGACTAGCAAATGGTGCTGTTTTGTGATGACATTGAGGTACAGTACACAGGCACACACAAAAATCCAGCATTATTTGGTGTGTGTGTGTATATGATATGTGATGCTAAGACACTGAGAACCACCAAATTCATATCATTGATTCTGACCAGGCATAGCCACCTAATCAATTTCATGTTTTTTTCAGCCATAGCAGGACCACAGTCTATTAATTGTCACAAGTGTGGATAACTGCTTCTGTAATTTTGAATTAGAAGTTGTTAGACAATAGGTTCTTAAGAGGCAATAGATCTGGGTGGATCTTGAAATCACGAAGAATTGTCACAATAAAGTTCACTCCCACTATGGCGGTTCTAGATTATGAGATCAATTAAATCAAAAAAGATCTCTTGTTAGTATAAACGTAATCTCTAAGGGTATGGGTCGCAAGTCTAGCCTGGACAGATGTAACCGACCCCTACGGTAGCCTTCGGGGTCGCGCGTATTGACCCCGAAGGTTACCGTAGGGGTCGGTTAACAGGTTTTCCGAATGATAATAAAGGGAATCTAAAGTGGACAATGCGCATGTATGGTTTCACGATAATCACAATCCATCCACTGACCACAATCTCGCCGTAATTCCGTTTAATTATAAGGCAACAAGAGATTAAAATAAAACCTTTCTTGAAGCGTTGATCCCAGTAAGGCCCCATGTCTGCGGCGCTGTCCTACCCATCCAGTCTTGGAAGTCTCCGTAAAAGGCAGGCTTCATGATTTGAGCGTATTCCCAATAGTCAGGGTACCAGCCGGCATACTCCCAGTCAGGAATCCCCGTGATGGTGTTTTGATTGTCCACCATGATATTGCGAGATGCGAGACCACCATGAGTGAAGACGCTTCGATTGGACCGTGGTAGCATGCTTGGCAGCTTATGCTCATAACGCAGCCCCCCAAAGTTAAGGTATCTTTCGTAAATTCGCGCCCGTAACTCCGAGTCACTCGTTAATGGTCGGGGCGGGCTATTTAGATCTTCGAGCAATGGGTCTCTGGATGGTGAGCCATCGGCCGCGCATTGAAAAGACCGTCAATTTTCGGTGGACGAGGAATTTCCCGCCATTTAGATATCATATCCCAAAGTTGAAGACAGACAGACACACTTCTTGGACTCAACATCCAACGTATTCCATTTCCCCCCTAAACAGGTACCTGGAACGGTGGTCATGTGGATATTTCCTCCGTCATCATCGAAGCAGGTCGCAAGAACCTCTGGTACGGGAACCGAAGTATGTTTAAAGACAAGCTTCATTGCTTCAGCTTCAGAGGTTCGCACGCCATATCCAGACTCGGGGACATAAGAAAAGTCATGTTCAAGTACGACCCTAGCCATTTGTTTGCCAAGAGCCGTGATGACTTCTTTATTCGGGGGAAGCGTAGGGACATTTACTGTCGGTGGGCATGGGAAAAGAATCTTATCCACTTTGATATATCGTTCGCCTGATCGCAGATTCTCCAATTGGAAGGGAATCCCCGTGCAGTTGTCGATGCCCTCCATGTCCGCGTGGTTGTATCTTTGGTAGCGGCATAAGTAGGGAAGATTGAACAATCGAGATAAGACTGAGATTTCTTTTCTACGAGATGCAGGATATAAAGACAGTTTCCTCTCCCAAGACCTTATAGACTTCACCCAGAACGGTTGTTTATAAGACAGACGTCCACAAGTGGAAACGATGCCAAGAACAACACGTTCGCTAGCTACTTTGGTTCAGGTGAACGTCAGGAAGAGCAACGGAAACGTCAAATTCAACATCCACAGTGATGACTATACTTCACAGCAAAACAAACTTCATATGAAAGCAAATTCGAACTGCTATGTGTTTAAGGTGAAAGCAAAACATAACAAGATCCAGATGTAGATACACAAAGTTCCAGGAAGACTCCTTAAACGGGCTGCAACATAGATCTTGCCATCTGAAGCTTCTCAGCTGGCACAATACCCCTCTGGACAAGCTTAGAGATGACACGCAGTGTGACGATCAGCTATAATAGGATGAGAAGAGGAAAGCAACTCGCTATTTGGCCGTACTGTTTAGGAATATCGTACACGAGGAGAAGAAGAAAAGGGGAAAAGGTGAAAGACATGGTGGGGAGGAAACAGGAGGCGAGGGTAGCTGCCTGCCCTCAACCCTAGCCCTGTGCCCTACTTGCTCACTCTGTTGGCACCTTCTAAGACGTGCCAGTGCCAGGGTCACATGCTGACGGTCATACCTCAGGTATGGTCGTCACACGCAGTGTCCACCCTTGACAATTCTCTGTGACGGCCGCCCAATTTATTGCTCTGGGTTGCGGTTCACTTGCTGTAATCTGTTGCACTGTGGAAGCTTGCTGCTCGGTCACAGTGGCTAAATGATATAAATTCAAGAAAGTTGCGGAATTAGTGATGTTGATTGGCTGGGGTGATGGCTGGTACCGCATACATTCCGCGTCCCCTTTCACTTGGTATACCCAACCAGGACGGCTCTCATGGTGAACGAAGATAGACCAGTGATTAGGCTCACCAGGGCCCCTATATTTGAAGGACGAGAGAAACGTAGAGAGGGCTGTGCGCCGCAGGGGGCACCTTGGCAGGCTGAGGCTGGTATTCGTTCCACTCCTGTGTGCCTCTCATGCGCCAGAAATGACGACCATTGACCTCACATATCTCTCTAAGACCCACTCTCTTGATGGCGTATTCGTGCCTGGATGTCGGCTCATATTGCTAAAGGGGAGTGAGTAATTGTCTTTTTAAAGCTTGTCACAATGAATGCTCACCTAAGTTCTCGCGCACTGTTGACTTCAAGATGTAAGGGAAAGTATCTGTTGTTCTGTCGGATGGGTAAGATTGGAGAAATAAAAGACAATGAAAGGGATTGTATCCTCCTATTTATAACTTTCCAAGCGCCTGCTTGCTTGAAGTTAAATATAGCTAGAACTCCATAGGTGGATAGAGGGTCATGGCCCTGGAAAACGCGCCATTCAAGATAATACGATTAAGCGTCCTTCAGGAAGCGATCACACGTAGTACTTCTCCATCTCGCCTGGGCATTCGTTGAGCATCGAAATCTCCATTCCATCAGTCCATTTCTTACGCTGTGGTGCCACGTATGCCAAGTTGTAAGCGGTCAAGGTCTTATCCTATTAGCTGCTCCTGTCACTTCGTACATATAGAGGTCGACTAGCGACATCATTCATTCAATAATTCAAATAGCCAATGCCATGCTCTTCGATCTCACCAACGCTTTAAGATCCTCATAATTCTGGACATCAGAGATCACCAGTGTGTCATGTCCATTTAAATCTTCACTCTGATCAAGATGATGGAATAGCAGCGCCAGCATTGATGTCTTCCACAGAACCACCTGCGCGCGGCATGTACTCCAGACCGTGAATATCAAAAACAAAATAGCACCAACAGCTACTGCAAATGGAAGAGTAAGCCATTCCCATTGCACCTCCACAAATATCACTGGCTGCGAGACCTTTCCATATGCAAGTTGTGTATTCCGACCCGAACGAAGGGTATCCGTCATGCTAGACGCCGTCCTCTCCAACCAGTCCGTAATATTCCCGGCCGATGGCGACAACAAGGCCAGGCCGGCACCGAGGGAATCTTTGATTCGTCGCCCACCTCGTTCGAAACGTTGTCTAGCTGTTGTTCCAGGTACTTGGCAGTCGCAGCCCAGTCGTAAAAGCTGGCATTGGAAACAGGTAAACCCGGAGTGGGGTTGAATTTGTATTGGTCTGACTCCGGGCCAAGTACAGCACTGGGCTATGCGTTTCCAATGGAGATTCTCTGTCGAGAGCCCACGGTGAAGGTATTTCCATCCGTTGAGACTTTCGACATGTTATATGCCGTCAGGCTGAGCGTGCATTCAGTGATGTACTCTGTGTAGTTGGTGCTATCTGTTACGAGATAGTTTGGTACTCTCAATACTGCTCTGTATTCTGCGAGGTCGAGAAAGCCGGGAGGTATCACAATGCTGCTGTCATGTTGCCAGGCGTCACTCAAAAACATCCAAGGACGGGGTATCTTAGTTCCAATAAGCATGGTCGTCTGCCGCATGGTCGGCACGAATGCGGTCTGCAGCTTGACGCCTCCCGGAGTCAGGTTGTAATACTGAGAGTCCGTTGCAGGATGGCTGTCACTGCACCGTCTAGTCCTGAGTGTGGCATCTGACACATCCCGGCAGCTCGCCCTAAACCCCAGAGTGATGTAGCTGCCTTACCAGACACAGCTGGATGTGCAATTGAACGAGGGTGTCAGATCCAGATTGTAAATGCCCTTCCGCCCTGCAACTTCCAGTCGATGGACGATGACAACGGGGCGTCCCCACCATTGTTGACGGTCCCCGTGTACTCGAGAGCGACGCCAAAGGAAGCTCCTCGATCGTCCTTGAACACATCCTCCGTCCTATATTTCGCCACCCGCTGGCTGAACGGTGAGATCGCCAGCGCAGTGATTGTAAGGAGAGACCCAAGAGATGCGATACTTGGCGGTATCCTAGCCAGGAAGTTGGCGGCGCCCATCGGCCCTCTGCTTGCCTGGTCGAAGACCTCAAAGTCAAACAATCTGTGGCGTCCCGTGAAATAATTCCACTTCAGCTGACTGATGCACGACGCAACGACGTACATCATGAAGCCCCAGGACAGAGTCGTGAGGAGAGATATCACCATGTTAAGAGTTATCTTGGATGCCCACTCCGGTTGCGGCTTGTTCTGCAAATAGGATAACAGCCCAACCAGCCCTACGAGGCATGCAGAGCCAGTTATCAACGAAGTAATTTCCCATGACCATGCACTGTACCAGATTTGATTGCGTTTCCCAATATTCAACCCACTTTCGCTGGATGGGACTGAGAAGATCTCTGCGGGGAGGTTTCGTTTCAAGTACCTTTCCCTATTAACTCGGCCAAAGTTCCCTCTGGCTGCTATTCAATACTTCTGTACAGCCGCTGTCTCTCCAGGGAGTCGGTCATAGTGTTTTTCTCTCGATCCAAGAGAGCCTGGATAATTATTCTTGCCGCGAAAGGCCCGTCGGAAAGCCTGGCGGGTATCTAACGAAAGGCCAGGATAAGACCTGACCTGCAGCCTGAAAATGATGTCAGCGCTAATAAGAATAACTTAATAATAATGATAATGAAACGTAAGAACTTACTTTCGCGCGACTGTATCTACGGTTTGTTAGCCGCAGATGGACTGCATTGTTCATTGGCCTTCGCTCCTCAAGTATCACCAGCTCTTTTAGGTTTATGTGCAACGCATTGGGTGCAAAGCCACAGGTAGCCTGCTATTTTTGGCATTAAAACGGCATAGCCCTGTGATATTTTGGATTCTGCAAGTCGACAGATAACGGTGAAGTCATACAACCCGAAGAGATGAGCAGTATTATTTCGTCTTGGGATCGAAACCATGTCTGAGACTAAGTCCAGAGGGCGATAATGCATGTAAAAAATATTTAATTAATCGCAGTTCCAAACATGGCGAATCGTCTCTCCCACCCGAAACAGTCAGGACGGCTGCAGCCAATCTCCTTGGAAATTGCAATCTGGTCAGCGTTGTTGTCACTGTTTTGAGCTTGAGTATCTGCTCCATTGTATCCATGGCTGCATTTAACACCATACTCTTTGATACAGCAGATGAAGGGGAGCAAAGATGCAGTCGTTTCTACAGAGTTCATGCCGCCTGCATTGTCGCCGTTATTGTGTTTCATTTTTGAGGATGTCATCTTTCGCTCTTCGAGATCCCCCCAGAGGATGAAAAGTTTCTCTCGTAATCTGGCTAGTGCTTTAGAAGATTGCCGCAGACTATTTAACTTGTTAGTAAAGGACCAATAACCCTGGAGAACAGATGTTGTGAATAAAAATACGTACTTCGTTGCATCTAGTTTAAGAAGGTGCTCGGCATCCGGCCCAGAGACGAAAAGCTTCATTCGCTCTTTAGTCTGACCTAGCGAAGATGGAGAGGCAGACTCGACGAGAAGACAGAACCGCCATTCCCAGACAATATTACGGGAGGAAGAGTTTATTGTAATATCACAGTTGTGAAGGTCGTCTAAGTCACTTTCTGAGTCGGAGAGGGCGGCACACTCCCGGTCTATTGGCACAGAGAAGTCTTCTAAATTAGGCGGGAAGAAGTCGACCACCCGGACTAATGAACGGTAGCATATATTCTGGAAGGGAAGTCGGTACTCAATCTTCTCTGGAGAGACGTTGTTGTGGGACTCATTGGATAAGATATCCTCTAGCGGCAGACAACGGACATCGGGTTGCCAGGATGTAACTGAAAAGCTTCGTTAGCAGCGTGATTAGCTAGAGTGCGAGTATAAGTCTTACTATTCTCATTCAATTGATGTCGTATCCTAATGGCTGTCGATGCAAGTGGCTTCTGCCCTTCTTCCAGTTTTGCTTCTTGTTGCTTTTTGCGTGCTCGTTCGGTTTTCCTTCTTTTGTTCTTCGAAGTCTCATTTTGCTCGTCTCTAGATTTTCCATCTGCGCGTTCTTGCTTCAAGTACTCTCTCTTTCGCTTTAGCAATTCGCGAGCACGGGTATCGTCTTCAGGAATCACAGTGTCAACATGAATCTTGTCTGGCCACTTTTTGTCACCATGCACGCTGGCTTCTAAGTTCCCACGGACATGCGATTTTTTCACATGTGCACGCTTCAAGATAACAATGTCACCCACTTGAAAATGTTCCCGGGCATAAGAAGCCTGCCGTTCCCAGAGTGTGACAGGCAGAGTCATCTCTCCCATCGTACTGGCCCTTTTCGTGTTGAAACCATCCAAGTGGCCGTACTCATCTCCAAGACGAGGGCAACTATCGCCCTCTCCTTGGCCCAACAAAGCTGGATTGCTGGTGTAATCAGTAACGTAGATCATATACCTATTGCCGTCATTTCCATATACATTAACTATCTGGGCCACGAGCTCCACCATAGTGCGAGGTTTGATGTCTTTTATTAAGGTAAACGGGAAAGTATAGGCTCGTCCAGTCGTTGCAGCTAATGTTTTGTCGGGATAGTCACGGTTGATGAAGGGGCGTGGGAGTGGGGATGGCTGTTGTTGATGTTGATGTTGTTGTCGCTGCTGCTGCTGTTGCTCGGGGTCGTAACCCTCATTTTCAGCACGATTCAGTAACGCTCTTGCATATTTCTCTTCCAAAGGCGTTGGATCAAATGGAGTAGGACCGCATATAGGCAATGAACCAGGATCTCGAGGAAAAATCGCCCACAAGACTGTTTCCCGGTCCCCGGCAACTCCCATCTTCCTGTTATTGAACAGTTGAATCTGCAAAGAGTCAGCAATATATGCTGCTATCCAAAGCAATAGACAGAAAACGAACCCGTAAATTCCTCAACACAATCACATGGCCCTCTTTTACGTCCGGCAGCGAATCCATTTTCCGATGAAAATACTTGACTTTGAGCCCCTGCCATGCGTTCGTGCCAAAATCACAGTCTTTGATAGTGAAAGTGATAAGATAAGATGAGTTCTTCGACTGGAATACAGTCATTGTATCAACAACCATGCCGATTACATTTACGCGGCCCTGCGAGTCCAGCGCAGTGGCGACATCAATTAAATAAGGGGGCAATGCAGCCATTGCTGCGCGCGAAAAAGCATATGGCGTGTGCTCAGAGATGACTGCCTGGAAAGACAACATGAAATAAATGCTATCCAGATAGGTGGACGTCTTGTGTGCAACCGCCTGGGATGAAGCCAGCCGGGTTACTGGTTTGGGGAAAAAAGACGTGTCAGAGTAGATGCCGAATCGCGCACGCTGATTGGCTGGATTGATCAAACACGGTGGGAAGAATAAAAATGGATTCAAGAAGATAAAGAGAGAGCAGAATCCTGCCAATTGATTAAACAAGCTTCTTCTTCATCAAGTAGCACTGTATGTAGTGCGTAGAGTCCAAGTAGTATACGCGGTACATTAACTACAGCGTCCATGGTCGAAGCGCCACCGCGGCAACCTCGCTTATGCGGATGTGGCGCCTAAGTCAGCGGATCGCTGCCAGAAAGAGCCAAAGCAAACACTTTTCCCCCTCCTTCTTCTCTTTATTTACGTGCTTCATCTGTCCCTCCTCGCTTCCTCCATCCATTCCTGTGGCTTTCTTGCCATCATCCGCCCCTTTTCTTTCTCCTGTCTTCGATTGTTTTAGGCTTCGGCTTTGATCCAACCTTTTTTCTTTTCCTTTTTGGTTGGCTCGAAGCCTTCGTTGTTTCACCACCTTCCCCCACCACCCGCTAAGCAACCATGGCGGAACGTTATATCCCAGAACATCGTCGCACTCAGTTCAAGGCCAGGAATCAGTTCCGGCCTGATGAGCTTCGTCGTCGTCGAGAAGAACAACAGGTCGAGATCAGAAGACAGAAGAGGGAAGAGAACCTTGCCAAGAGGCGAGGCATTCAGACCAGTGAGGGTGCAGTTGGCGTAGGTGGCGCTGCCGCTGAGAGTGATGATGAAGCCAGTGCGATTGAAAGCGAGGTACGTTTGACTACTACTTGTCTCTATGCGGTTGTTTCCTTTGTTTTTCTTATTTCCCCCCCTGTTGCCCGTCCAACCACTGGGTTTTTTTTTTTTTTTTCCTAGGCGGAGAGGGCCCCGACTGCCGTTAAAAATAGATTGTCATGTGCGAATTAAAACGGTTGACTAACAGATCCCTCTCTAGCTCAATGTCGAACTGCCTGAGATGGTTAGGGGAGTTTTCTCCGATCAGATTGATCAACAGATCCAAGCAACAACAAAATTCAGAAAACTGCTTTCCAAGGAGCGCAACCCGCCAATCGAACGTGTCATCGAGACGGGCGTTGTTTCTCGTTTTGTCGAGTTCCTTCGATCCCCTCACACCTTGGTTCAGTTTGAGGCTGCCTGGGCTTTGACCAATATTGCATCCGGATCTGCCCAGCAGACTCAGGTTGTGATACAGGCTGGCGCTGTTCCCATTTTCGTCGAGCTCCTGAGCAGCCACGAACCGGATGTTCGGGAACAGGCGGTCTGGGCTCTGGGAAACATTGCTGGTGACAGCCCTCAATGCCGTGACTTCGTGCTCGCTGCCGGTGCTCTGCCTCCTCTGCTAAACCTGATCAATGATGGAAAGAAGCTGAGCATGCTGCGAAATGCCACTTGGACCCTCAGCAACTTCTGCCGTGGCAAGACGCCGCAACCTGACTGGAACACTGTAAGTTCGAGACTCCTCAGACATATTTCGTCGATTTAGTTCCTAACATTCCCTGTGATATAGATTTCTCCTGCTCTACCCGTTCTTGCTAAGCTTATCTACATGCTTGATGATGAGGTCTTGATTGACGCTTGCTGGGCTATCTCCTACCTCTCTGATGGCTCCAACGATAAGATCCAAGCTGTTATTGAGGCTGGAATTCCCCGACGCTTGGTCGAACTTCTGCTGCATGCATCCACCTCCGTCCAAACCCCTGCGCTCCGCTCCGTTGGAAACATTGTTACTGGTGACGACGTTCAGACTCAAGTCATCATCAACTGCGGTGCACTTCCAGCGCTGCTTTCTCTTTTAGGCTCTACCAAGGATGGCATTCGCAAGGAAGCTTGCTGGACCATCTCCAACATCACTGCTGGAAATCCTAGTCAGATCCAGGCCGTTATTGACTCCGGCATCATTCCCCCACTGATTAACTTGCTTGCCAATGGTGATTTCAAGACCCGCAAGGAAGCTTGCTGGGCCATCTCCAATGCTACTTCTGGTGGTCTGCAGAAGCCTGATCAAATCCGCTACCTCGTTACTCAAGGATGCATCAAGCCCCTGTGCGACCTCTTGGCCTGCCCCGACAACAAGATCATTCAAGTTGCTTTGGACGGTTTAGAAAACATTCTTAAGGTCGGTGAAATGGATAAAGAGGCGTCTCAACCCGGCGAACCCCGAGTCAACCGGTATGCTCTTTTCATCGAAGAGGCCGGTGGTATGGTTAAGATTCACGACTGCCAGAACAACGCCAACGAGGAGATCTACCTGAAGGCATATAACATCATTGAGAAGTACTTCTCCGATGAGGAAGAGGCGGGTGTTGATATCGAAGAGATTGCTCCTCAGCAAACCCAGACTGGTTTCACTCTCGGTACAGCCCAGCAACAGCCTGGCGGTTTCAACTTTGCCAACGGCGGTGACTCGATGGATATGTAAACCTGGAGCCTATCAATACAGATGACAAGCAAGGGTCTCAATCATGGCCTTTCTCTTACCTTGCGGTGAGCTCCCAAATGACGGTGTCGCAGCCGCCATGCATGCCTTTTTGATTCGGAATCATGGAGTTTCAAGTTGCTCTGGTCACTTCAGAGCTGCATGTGGTTATCGGGGATCAGATTCGGTCATTTCACACCACTGAGCTGGACAAAATCCAACGGGTTTTGCTGATCGATCTCCGAATTTCTTCTTGCCCCCCTTCCCTAACTCTTTTATCATATTTGACTATGATATTACGTTGTTTCCCCCTTCCCCGTTTTGTTCTACCACATTTGCCCTTCACCCTGGACTTTTCAGAACGTGTTATAAAAGATTCACCGTCATGTATCCCTTCTATATTCCCTTATTCCACATTGTTGCAGCGTCCCCATACACGGCGTAATTGTTCTGCTGTTGCTGACTGCCGGTATTTCTGGTCTGTTCTCCCGAAAAATGTTTCATGGTTTACGAGGTTGGCATCTGTCGGTTTCCTTTTCCCTGGCTATAGATGTCTAGCATGGACTGGTCGACATCTTTTGCCCAAGTTTTCGACTCGACGGGCGTATGTTAACGTCGCAGTCATGAATAAGGTAGAATTATCTCCCATGGAAAGGCATGGTTCGGTAGCCAGGAGAATGAAATTGGTGTATTAGACTTCTAACAGATGCAATCTAGCCTTGTTGACACCTATATATATCCTTTCAAACTGAGCTCAACGGAGCACTATACATCACTCAATTTTTAAAGAACTTCACTAGGACAATTTACACTTCCCTGTCAATTATGTCCATTCGCTGCTGTCAAGATACCAATCAGGCTTCTTAGATGGCTTAACCAAGGCCCAGCAGTCGTACGTAGGTCATGCCCATGAATGGCATGCGCAAAAGCCATGGTGAGGTCATGGCATCACATTTATCTGTATACTCTTTGCACTCCATAACCAGCTACATGCGCAAAGAAAAGGATATATATACATACAACAAGGCTCACACAAAATAGAAAATGAAACCATTCCATTCATCTTATTTCATTAAAGAAGAAAAAAAAAAAAAAAAAAAAAAAAAAAAGGCAAAGCAAGAGAAGAGAACCACACTCTTAACGCAGCCAAAGCTAGAAAAAAGGAAATTGCAGTCAACATTCGACAAATATAGAACGGTATCAGGAAAAAATAATATGACAATGAAGAAAACTAACTAATCAATCGCCCATAACCTCGTCCTCATCTTCTGCATGGTCATTGCCGTTCTCTTCAGGATCAGGCGGATTCAATTCCTCGTCCTCCACAAGTTCTCTAGCTCGTAAATCCTCCTCGTCGTCTTCTTCGCCATCATCCTCGTCTACCCTCTCTGCTGACTTATGCTTGTCATTATTGGTAGAAGAAGCCTTCTTCGCTTCACCACCGGTTTGTTTCTTAGACCTAGCAGTCTTCCCTGCACCAGCCCCGGGAACTTTCCGTCCATCCAAGAAAGACAGGACTTCTTTGTAGTTGTGGCCGAGACGAGATTTGTTCCTGAGGAGTCTCTGCTTAAGGCTTCCTTTCTGTTGCGAGTTTGATGTGTCGATGATGCGTCCAATAATTGCTAAGACGATTTTACCGGTCAATTCACATAATCGCTGCTCAGCGAGTAATGTCCCGCGAAGGCGCTCGGCAGACGTGGATTTCTCCCTCGCCTCTTCTTCATCCGCTTCAGATTCCTCAGACTCATCTTCATCCTCTAAAGGCTCGTCCTCGACCTCAGGCTCTGAGTTAAGATCGTCGTCATCTGCTGTTTCCAAGCTCCGTCCTAGTTTCCTGGCATATGTCCGTTCGGCGATGCTATGGATTTTTGAAATTAGAGTCCTGTCCTCGGGGCTGATCTCCTGGATTAGATTTCGCATCTGTGCAAGGACTTCTTCATTGTTGCTCGCTGCTTGACCAGCGTGGCGAAGAGTACCAAAAAGGGTCTGTACGTCGAGTAGAGTAGTTGTCGCCGCGAAACGAATGTCATCCAGGCCTGAACGGTGGCCCATGATAGTTACAAGCGTCTCAACGAAGGTCTTGCGGTTCTTCGAGAGGGATTCGAAATACGCCGTATCGAACGATGACTTCCCCGCATTGAAGGCTGCCGTTAGGCCCTGGATTTTCCACATGAAATAGAACAATAATGTTCGGATACTGCTAGTTACCAGCTCACTCTCGACTTTTGCCGTCTCTTCATCATCTGCTTTGAGTAGACCGCGATTGGAGAGGTGGATGAGAACGTTGAAAGGAGCATCAAGCTTGCCATTCTTGCCTTTTGACCTAGGTGAGGGTGCAGTTTCCAGCACATTGGTGCAATCTGTTACGCTGGCTAGATTGGAGATCCTTGTCACGGTGTTAGTGAAGGCGTTGAGGGTGGTGGCAGAGAGAGATTCTCCGTTCTGAACGTCTTTCTCCTGCGACAGTGCACTTAATGCATCTACCATGTCGTCCCATAGTTCCTGGGTCCTGGTCTCTAGAGCTTCCTTCAATTCATCAGAGGTCTTCGCATGGACGAATGCAACGCTCGCCTCTGTCAGAACATCCTGATGGGAATGTGTCAGGAACTGTTTATTAATGTCATTCAGCAAAGAAGAATATGCGGCAGCGTCCTTCTGCAGGTCCTGTATCTTATCTAGGTCAACAAGGTGCTCGAGACGTAGCACCGCAGAAGCAGCCTCTGGAACAGCGCCAAACTTCTTCAATAGTCGCGGAATAATTTGAGTGAGACCATGGGCGATTTCTTCTTGCAACTCAGGGATCTTGTTGGTCAATGCTTTGACCTTTCGGCCTCTTTTGTCGATATCGGACTTGGAGACATCGAGGATCCGGAGTTTCACCGCGCAGCATAGTACTTCGAGAAGTATCACTTCTTGACCTTCCTCCATTTTGTACAGTTTACGTACCGCGCCCGCCGTGTCTTCCTCGCTGGGTGAATCGGCTATCTGTGAATGATCGTAAAGAAGATACCCAGCTAGTGACTGCCACTGAGACAGCTCCTCAATATACGGATAGATAGCCTCAGTAGCAAGCACAAAACGCGAAACTACCGGAGCGCCTGAAAGTGCCTCCCGTTGTGCGACCAGCAGCTGTTCTGGCTTGGACTTGTTCTCCTGCTCATCATACGCGTGGAGTATATCGGCCAGACACTTGAATTTGATCCACGAACGTTTCGGCGATTCGAAATCGTCCTCATCCTCATCCGCAAACAGTTCATTGATCTCCTCTCCAACTTCTTCTGTTATGGAGTCGAATACGTCCTGCACATTAGCGACAAAAAAGCGGCCGGCGGCTTTCCGGATTGAAGGCTCGGAGTCGAACACGAGCTTGCCGATAGTGTCAATATCTTCGGGCTCGAGCAATCCCGCATCTCGAATAAAGTCAAGCAGCTCCACCGCTGACACGCGTACTGTGGGATCTGCGTCCTGAGCAGCCATCTCCACCATTCTCTGGCGGAAGCGCTCTGTAAGTGACCGCAGGCCTACGATGTTATCCTTATTTTCGTATAGGCTTCTGAGCTGCGTAACAACCACCAAGCGTGTGTGTGCCGAGCGATCTGACAAGGTCCAGCCGAAATAGCGGAGATACTGTCCCTCAAAAAAATATTCTCTGTAGCTGCGAAGCCACTGCCCTAAGGATGCTATACACTCAGAGCGAATTTTAGGATCGATATCCCGATAGCGATGGACGAACACGGTATCAAAGCCGTCCTTGAGGAACTCGTCAATAGCCTCTAATTTCTTCTCGCCTTCCTGGATTGTCTTCTGGATAGCATCTGTCCTGCCTTTGTTGATTGTTTTCTTCTTCTTTTCACTTTCGAGCTGCTTTCTGGAAGTAGAAACGGTGGTGGTCACTTCTCGTGCGACATCACAGAGGGCTGTCATGATGATCAAAGAGATGAGAGTAGCAGTGTGTCTGAATGGGCGGCATTGCGCTGTAGACATAGAAGACACCCAGATTAAGATATTTTCGAACAGGTCTTTATCGTTGTACAAGACCGAGGAATGATGAAAGGTCTGTATCAACGACGAAAAGAAGTCCTCCAGCACCGGCTGAAAGGCCTTGAATGTTCGGGATTTGGAGATGAGTGGGTACTCAGAGATACCCCGTTCGTTGTAGAGTTCTTGTAGATCGCTGATACGGTCGGGCACGTTGTCGACATCGTTAACCTGGTCAGTATCCACCGTAAGATCCGTTCCGGTACATCTTAGTATGAAATTGACCATTTCATGCATTGCATCGCTCTTGTCTTGTTGGTATCGCGTAAGCCACTGCGCAGCAACATCGTCGACCGTACCACTTTTCCCGAAGACCTCAGCTAATGAAAAACAATATAAGCATATACACATAGGCTAAGCAAAATCAATGACATAGAAACAGTACGCGTACCGTATAGACCACTTTCACCAGCAGCCAAACTAGGTCTCACTTTCGGTTTCCTGGGACGCGAAACAGTCGTTTTCCGTTTCCCGTTCGTAGCTGGTCGCAGAGCGAGCTCCTGGTTACCAATACCATTTGTGGCTACTTTCGGTTTCTTCGTGGCACGAGCAGTGCCCTTCCCTGCAGTTGACTTCTTCTGTTTAATCAATGCTTTCCGCGCAGCACGTTTCCTCTCTCGTAGTTCCTCCTCATCTGGATCATCGTCACTCGCATCATCTTCATCGGAACTGGACACATCTTCCTGCTCCGCATCTCCGTCTTCTTCTTCTTCTGCGTCTCCATCATCCCCGTCGCCTGCAGCGGGCCGTTTGCGCTTCGTCCGTCCGGTAATCTCGCCGTAAGTCTGTGAGAATAACTCCGGTTTTCGCGTCACACGGCCGGACTTTCTTCTATCTGTGGAGGGTGAGGAGGATGTCTTCTGCATAGTTTGTCCAGCGTTGGGACTCGAGAGGGGTGTTTCGTTCTCCATTGCAATCAATGGTTCAGAGTAGATTGCGAAATGTTGAGTCGACAACTGGTCACGAGTTAGAAGGTAAACAACACGACTACCCTCGAGAGCCAATAGCGCCTGTAGTTGCGAAGATAATGTGATGAAGGCCGTTAGCGGTTGAGGAAGATCGGTTCGCAAGTTCAACGGCTTTGGCGCGCGTCTCAGGGTGGAACGCGCGAGGGCTGACACTGGCTCAGTGGAAGAGTGGAACTGGTAATAAAAAGAAATATTCTAAACAGGGTTGATTGCTGCTTATATGACGGATAGAGGACAGGATTAACCGATCAGGAATCCCCAAAAGGCGAGGAAGGGAGGAAGCGAAATGGGGCATTGGAATTATTGTCGACGCGACTCGTGCCTGATTCGGACGGCTTGGCTTGGAGGAGCTTGGCGTATTGTCCGTATGGTAATATTACTAATTATATATCACGTGAATATATTTATTGCACCTGACTGGATATGCCCTAGCCCTGGATTCCCCGCTGCGGAGAACGTCCTGAAGTGGTTGTTATCAGTTAACGCATACACGCCACGGACAAATGCCAGCCACTCTGCAGGGCAATTGAAATGACAATGGTTAGTCAAACGTGTTGAGAGGGACTGAATATACTATATCTATGTCATTATCATACCTCTTCATTCCCAACGGCCAGGATGATGCCATTCAAAGTCCTTGAAGTTGAAGCCGGCACGACTACTACTCGAATCACACCCTCCCAATGATAGACCTTGTCACGGCATAAGAGAGAAGAGAACCTAGAATCCAACCATATCAGTCAAAGAAAGCATTATTATGCCTCTGAAATCCCCCTTTGAGTCGTCAATTGCCAAACCCGGCCAGGGCAAAGTCGTCCTCTCTCTCCTCTCACCCTCACTACCGACCCTGACGACCCTAACGTACAAGTATCCCCTTAAACTTGTCAGTCGCTCTCCAGCGTTTCTTCCAGAGTTATCTGTTCTACGAGACGCCTCGCGACCGGTCCATTTACACCTCCTCAGCTACGGTGGAGGTCTGTTACCAGGGGACGTTATTGATGTCTCTATCAAACTGGAGCCAAGGACGAGATTGGTCGTGACGACTCCACAGGGGAGTACGAAGATCTATAAAACAAAGCATACCAGTGCCGGTGGAGGCAATTCGGTCCCGGATAAGAGCAAGCAGATTCTGCACGTACAAATTGAAAGTGAAGCAGCGCTGTGCTATCTTCCTGATCCATCGGCGCCGTTTCGGGATAGTCGGTATGAACAGATTCAGACATTCACCATAAACAGGGGTTGCCGAACGCCGAAGGACAGTAAGAAACACGGTGAGATAACAGACTGTGAGCAACGAAGCAGCCTCTGCGTCCTCGACTGGGTAACGCAAGGGCGAAGTTCTCTAGGCGAAAACTGGGACTTTCATCTCTGGCGAGGAAAGAATGAGGTCTGGACTACCGATGATACTGGGAAAAGGAAACTTTTACTTAGAGACTCGCTCATCCTCGATGACGAGTCTGGCACGTCTGAAAGTGGAGAACGAGGACGAAGGCAAACGTCACTCATTCGCGATCGAATCCACCCTCATGGCATTGTGGGGACCCTAATCCTTTACGGACCGGTATTTGACAATCTCTGCTCCTTCATCATGAACAGGTTCACGACACAGCCCCGGATCGGGGCTCGGAATTGGTCTTCCACCGTCTCGCCAGCCGCTTCGTGTGGTAATAGCAACGCAGAGGATATAACCTGGACGGCAGCCCGCGTGAGGGGAGGCTTTGTCATCATGAAATTCGGGGCGAAGGATTTTGAAGCAGCGAGAAAGTGGCTCGGGGCTCTATTCAGGGAGGAAGGGAGCGTGGCTCGGGAATTTGGAGAGGAGGCTTTGCTGTGTTTGTGAAGTACATATCCTTCCCCTCCGATATACCGTTGTTACTCTCAGCCCCTAAAGCAGGATGTTTCATGCTCAGTCCCCCAAGTGGTGTAAAAATGCGACCAAATTTGTACCTTGTTATCTGAAGCAACTGGAGATATAGATTTCAGGGAGGTCATCCAGGTATCATAATTGAACCGGGGTTCTCAAGATCATTTCCCCTTACATCTCCTTCAAACACCAACAATAATCATTTCAACCCCATAACTTGACAGACCCCACCAGCAAGCTAGCCTGAGCATTTAAGAGCACTTTGTCAAGCCATGACGGCCTATACTTATTCTCAGGACTTGCCAAGAAAGCCACAACCCCCGCAAGAACAGCAGTAACGGCAACAAGCCCAGTCACAGACCAGCAGGAGCCGGGACTCCGGATCGTCTGGTCCTCCATTGTCTCGCCGCGCTTTAATCCGAGCTTTTTCGAGACGGCGAAGAACTTCTTGTACTTGGTGTTATATGGTGGGTAGCGGATACCGGCCATTACTTTGTCTAGCCAGTTGGGTAAAGAGACTACGACGCGTTTGTAGGTGAAGGCTTCCACGCCGTGGCGGCCATGGTAGTAGCCTGGGCCGGAGTCGCCTGTTCTGGTTAGAATTTCCTATGATTATTTATAGATACAAGGAGAAATCCAGGGCTTACCGACACCGCCGAAGGGTAGGCCTCCGGCTGCTGCGTGTAGGAAGCAGTCGTTTATTGTGACTCCGCCGTAGACGATTTTCCCCTTGGATCGATCGAGGAGGTCCTTCAACCGATCATAGTTTCGTTCGTTGATGATCTTGCACATATGGTCTTCCTCCTCGTCTTCAGGAGATCAAGTTCGAAGTTGATATCCCATCCTTAATGCAAGTCTATCTTTCGCGGACATGATACATGGAATTCCAGACTGCGAGAATACTGGGTTACCCTCGGAAAGCCATTAGATCGAATATATTGGTAACATCATGACGAAGGACCGTCCTGTCGTACCGTCGTTACTTTGACAGAGGCACCCAAGAAATACACAGAAGGGATATAGATACATGAACCGTTGCGAACGAAGCCATGAATGCCATGAAGAAAAGACAAAAGAAAAGAACGAGGAAAGGAAGCATCATGACCACCACGGCACAAATGGCGGAATCCATTCTTTCTTCGTAGCACCCTCCAGATCATCCACGTTGAGGATATCGACGCCTTCCTGGATGAAGACGCTCCAGATGTGATTTCTCAGACTCCGTGGCCAGCTGGGTAGGGACCAGTATCGGACCTTCAGGCCATGTCGATGAGCACCTCTGATTTGCGCTCGGAGAAGATGCATCTGTCGCGAGGAGAGACGGAAATGCCACGGGGTCCCGATGGATTTCATGAACGAAACGGATGCGTAGTAGCTATTCGTGAAGTTGTAGGGGACTAGTTTGGGGTCTACAGGTACTTGATTAAGATTTCCAGTCGAGTACTGACCGCCATCGTCGTCCTCTGCCACTTTGTCCAGAGGCGCATCGAGAAAGACGTCTCGGTAGGTGGAATTCGACATGACAGATTCAAATGGGGTGTTCCCCGTGCCGACGACCGTGATGGGACCGTTGACGACTGCCGTCCCATTAAAGTGGGTGAGATAGCCACGCTCACGCAGCGGGGATAGCTGCTCCAATAAAGAAGGCCAGGTGGTGACCCCGTCTGTTTTAAAGTCGACGAGTAGGACGAGCGTCTGCGATGGATCGGTATCGAACACGCCATTTCGAGGACTATCCGCAGACGGGTGAAGTGGAGTGATCGGGTTCTGTCGATCGAGGATCTCCAGCAACGGGTTAATGTACATGCTCCTTAGTGTGCGTTTGGGGGAAAGGGACGATTTCGTATGGCCGACAAAGAGCTCATTGTCAAAGTGCCAGACGTCCGCCTCAACGCTGATGCAGCCGGCCTGCAGGGCAGAGTACAGGGGAATTCGACGCCAGTAGTCATTGTGCGAATGGCATACGATCGGGAAGATGTCACGCGAGAGGTCTGTGGGCCAAGTGTGCGTATACCCCGGTGTCTGGACCGGACGTGTCCAGCGGTCCACTGCCCGATCGAAGTCATCCGGGAAGAAGGAGACGACGATGCTAGAGATGAGGACTATGAACTGGACAATGCCTCTGGGACGCAAAGATGAGCAACAACACCCCTTTTGAAGAAGGCTGGACGGAGACTCACAACACCATGAAGAAGATTATAGTGCAAAGCAACAGAAAATGCCAGGGCATGCGCCACCTTGCCCAACGGCGACACCTCCGCCAGCGGGGACTTGAGGGCAGCAAGGAAGCGGTGCTCCCAGCGTTTCGGAAGAGAGGCAACCACTGCAGGCTTTGTCTATTTGAAGCAGAAGAAGATTGACGGGAGAAGAAACCGTGGCCTCTGTGCCCAGCACAGTTCTCTGGTGATTCGATTGGTGATTCGATCACGATGCGGATTTCCGACCCGTCGGAGGCAGCGTTGGGAGAAACACTGCTGCGACTATCTGCGCAGTCATGGTCAGCATTGGTTCTCTTGGTCGTCAGGAGCGCCAGTTTGTGATTGTCATCAACATGAACAGAGGGGAGAGGAGGAGAGCAGAGAGATCGAAAGGACGAGCGCATAATGAATGGGTCAACAGAAAACGACTGAACACAGACGAAGACGGGTGGATTCGAGTGAAGGACTGAGGGATTAAATGCAGAGAGATACACATAGCAATGCGTGACTTGTGCTAGCCTTGTTTTCATTCATTTTCATTCATTTTCATTTATTCTCTTTTATTCCTCTTTTTTTTTTTTTTTTTTTTTTTTCCTTTTCCTTATTTTATCTTCTCTGGACACACAGTCCACGCCCTTGTCCGGAGATGCACGTTGGCCATACGCACGTATCCACGGAACCACATGCCCCAGGAAACGCCCGCCGGCGACAGACAAAAGGGACGAATTGGGAGTTCTCTAGAAGGAGATCAATGTACCTTGATGGGGCAACGGCGCAGCAGTAGCCGGCCCGATTCGTGCTATTGGACTGTCAACGAGCAGCAAGGATTGCTGGTGTGGAACAAGCCTCTAATTAGCCTGTGTAGGAAACCTGTCGATCAGGCATAAGCAGCAGCATGACTGCTCACGTGCGTCGTGGAAGGTAGTAAGGAGTTGAAGGATGCAACACACAGGAGAAGAAAAGGGCACGGTACTGTCAGTGAAATACTTGAGCTGTACTCGATGAAAAGCTGATCTCCTGGCAAAGGAAGGATGTGTCCTGCAAGGGAAATACCAAGCTTTTCATCCGCAGATCGCCAAGAGCCCATTATCCAACCCGGAAGAACCAGCGGTCTACAGCGTACGCAGTATAAAAACCGTGTCACCCCGTCCGTTCCTTTCATCTTCGGAAAATGCTGATGCCTGCAGTTCCCCGCCACATTACCTCTAACCATTATTGATGCCTGCCTGGAATTGACGCTGTCGGGCCTGCAATCCAGGTCGCGATACGGTCGGTTGGTGATTAACTACTCCATGCCATCTACAGTACTATACTTCTCTACGCCTGAGCAATACAGGGCAGTCAGACACAGTGAGTAGTCTGGCAGCTTGGACTGATTCACGGATTCCGAGCGTCCCGTTTTAGTCCTGTCAGTGATGCATGTGAATTGTAATATTGATGCCTTAGCAGGGTCAAGCTGCCCTAAAAGGGACTTTTCAGTTACACCATTGTATTTGCTGGGCAGGGCTGTAATATGGCTGCGATGCACTGAGGATATGCATACTCACTTCCACAGTACGAGCATAAATCCGCGGGAATAAACCGTAAATGTAATGCTAGCCATCATTAGCCAGAAACCACTCATCTATACGAGGAACTACTGTAGTGTACTGTGGAGTGTACGGAGTATGCTCCGATAAGATCGCGGAAAAGTCTAAAAAACTCAGACGATTGAATCCGACGACAACAACATCCTCACCACGACGCCATCAAAATGCCTCACAAGCACAAGAGACGCGGAAACGACGATTCGTGAGTTTATTTAATTTTTTTTTTAATTCCCTTCATAGTTGAATTAACGACTAACTGCCGTTCCGTTCTCGCACAGCATCTACGACCTCCCCCCCTCCGTAATCGCGAAACCCCTTCCCGTCAGAGACCCAGGCAAGAATCAGCACAAAGGTAGCAGGGCCAAAAACCAACAGAAACCATCCTCGTCCCTTCATGCCATCAAGAACAACCCACAAGATGACACGCCCAAGGCGTTCAAACGACTCCTGCAATACCAGCAGCGCCAATCGAAGTCTGCTTCTACCGGCCTAGACGATCGCGAACACAGGAAGAAAAAAGGGAACAGCAACAGCAACAACAATAACAATAATAATAATAACACCAAGAAGCGAAAACGCGGGAATGATGACACCGGGCCTGTAGCGACAACGAAACAAACGAAAAAGGAATCCAACCAGACCTCGACAGAAACCAAAGCCATCCCGAAAATAATGCCGGGAGAGAAATTCTCCGATTTCGCCGCGCGCGTCGATCGCGCACTGCCTTTATCCGGTATCCAGAAATCCGCGCGACCGGCACCGTCTGATCTCCCCAAGCTCCGCGAGGAGCGACGGACGAAGCACGAGAAGCGCCTGCTTCGGCTGCAGAAGCAGTGGAGGGAGGAGGAAGAGCGGATCCGGGAACGGGAGGCTGCGGAGCGGGAGGAGCGGGAGGCGGAGATGGAGGAGGAGCTAGAGTTGTGGAAGAAATGGGAGGCTGAACGGCGAGGGAGCAAGGCGAGGAAGAAGAACAAGAACAAGAAAAATAAGGACGGGGCTGGGGCGGTTGATGATGATGCGGATCCGTGGGCGAAATTGAAGAATCGGGATCCCGTTGTTAAGGCTAATCCGTTTGATGTCGTGCAGGCTCCGCCGCAGTTGACGAAGCCCAGAGAGGTGTTCAAGGTGCGTGGTGGTGCTGGCGTGGATGTCGCCAATGTGCCTGCTGCGGCGGGGAGTTTGAGGCGCAGAGAAGAGCTCGCTGGGGAGCGGAGGAATATCGTCGAGGAATATAGACGATTGATGTCTGAGAAGAGGAAACAGTGATGGTTTTTCTAGCATTACAGTATTTCCATGATATGTGCTTACTTCAATTAAAATATCACGTCAGTACCTGATGCATGTACAAAAACGAGAAGAAAATTGTGCAGTGCCTTTTTATATACATTGCAACGCTCTAGACCTGTATACGGAGTATAAAGCACCTTAACCCAAGAGAAAGACAAGAACTTTTTCACTTCGCAATGCTTACACCCACTCACTCCTCCTGTTTCAAAGCCCTGACGTACTCCGCTGCCCTCGCCTTGATGTCCTCAATCATCTTCTCATTTCGGCCGCCGGAACCTGCAAGCTTCTCCTCGAACGCCAGCCATTTCTTGAAGAAGAACCGCGCCTGTTTAGGCTTGAGCCTCTTGCCCTCCGGAGTAGCCGCTGCGGCAGCACTCTTCTTAACATCGCGGATTCCGAGAACCCGCTCAAACAGTCGGCGGACCTGCTCAATATCGCCCGCCTTGATCTCCAGATCCAGGAGGACATTCCACAAATCGACACGCTTGGGGAATGACGACAGAAGGCCTTCGAACACCGTTCTACCACGCTCAATGTCTCCATTTGGAGATCGGAATTCGAGTTGTCCAAATTTGGATGTAGTCTCGACATGGGTGTGGGCTGGGAGAGACTGGAGTGCACGTGGTAGCAGTGCACGACCACGGTCTGGGGCTGCCAGGGTGTCGAAGAGGAAGGTGGCATAGTTGATGAAAATTTTGGGAGATTGGAAGATCTTCTTCTTCAGTGAAGTCTGGAAGAGTTCATCCGCTTTCTGTACAGGGAAAGAAAAAGGGTATGTGTCAGTTGACTGCTGCATAAAAAAAACAAAAATCAAATATAGAGGGTCCATACCTCGTTCTTCCCAGATTGGATGTAAATGCTGATCATGCGTTCGTAGATCTCCTGAGTATCGTTGTACTGGCACGCACGCTTGAATACCTCCTCGAGGCTATCCTCATTGCCGTACGTGTTCTCCAAGTTCAACAATGCGACCCAAACGTTGAGCTTCTCAGTATCTTGTCCCATGCTGATAGTACGGAGGGCACGCTCGGCGATTTCTCGTGCCTTCTCGACCTCACCCAGTTCTAACTGGAAAGCCATATATTTCAACCATAACAGTGACGAGTCAGGCTCACCGAGCAGAAGCCGCTCGTAGTCGGCTACCGACTGCGGGCCATGAGCATCCAAGTCGCCTGTACGGTCCACCTGAATCTCCGGCTTGCGGCTCTTCTTCTTTCTCTTCGAATTTTCGTCCTCATCTTGATCTGACCTAACTGCTTCATCCTCCTCGTTGTCCTGGATATTTCCGCTCCAGTCAAAGCCAGTTGCACCTAAGCCTCCCTCCCTGGTTGGTGCGTCTGCCATCTCAACATCGCCATCGCCATTATCATCACTCTGCTCAGCGTCACTCTCATCATCTTCCAGGTCAACTCCTCCCTCAGATTCGTCATCATCCTCATCGGAGTCGTCACTTCCAATGCCGACTCCACCATCGTCTTCCGAGTCTTCCTCGGAGTCAACCATATCCTCATCACTATCGTCTTCCTGGTCACCAAAATAAGACGCCTTCAGCCCGAAGGATATCTTCTCCTCGTTACGATCAATTTTGAGGATCTTGGCCTTCACCGCGTCCCCTTCTTCGTAAAGTGTCCGGGCATCAGTAACACGCTTGTCGGCCATTTCGCTGCGATGGCAAAGGCCACTGACATTCGCTGATCCATCTATGACAATGAATGCGCCAAATTCCTCTACCTTGCGGATCTTTCCAGTAACAATCTGGCCGGGTTTGAGGTCCCGCAGAGTTATCGGAGTCTTGTAGTTCGGATCCAAGGCGGATTCTTTTAGGCTCATTTGCAGTCTTCCCTGCTCCAGATCCACCAAGGTAATCCTACCTTTGACTAGTTGATCTACCTGGAATTCATTTTTCCACTCCTTAATATAGGAGTCTGAGAGGTCTGAGATTCGAACGTAGGCAGTGACGTTATGACCCAAGGTGACAAACAGTCCGCTATCGGCTATCCTCTTCACGAATCCTCGAACGATATCGTTTGCTTTTAGTTGTTTCAACGAAGAAATTTCCGGATCCTGCACGGGAAGAGAGGAGCTCAAAACCTTGGATGGCCGCATGGAGAGAGAAAGCTTCTTATTAGGAACATCGATGCCGATGATGCACACGCGAAGAACTTCATTCTTCTGATATATTGTAGGATTTGCCTTGGAGTAATCATCGGCAAAGTCGATCAAATTAACCGCACCTACAACTGTGTCGCTGAGCTGCATGATCACCTGCCTCTCAGTTATCTTAGTCACTCTCCCTGGCAAAACCATGCCTACAGACAAATCTGTCAACGAAAGATTGTTCTGGCCATGTTTTGCTGAAAGATCCAGACGACCCTTGTCGGTGTCGACAGCGGTGACATGGACCTGTAAAGCAGACCCAACCGGGAAATTCTTTTCGACCTCGGCTAAAAGAGATAGATCGTCAGATGCATCGATGAAGCGAAGCCTTCCACGAACGTTGGGCGACAGGTTAATCCACAAGCAATTATCAACAATGTTGTTGACAAATCCCAACCATGACGACCCGACTTGAATTTGTTCCAAGTTCAATGGGCTGGGATTAGCTGCTTCAAGGAAGCTTGGCTTAATGGAAAGTTCGAACACCGGATATTTGCCGGTGCGATGACTGATCGGTAGAAATTTATGATTGCGAGCATCATGGACACCGAGGAGTCTAGCGGAAATAACTTCTCTCGGTTGGAAGTATTTTAGTGGATGTTTCCGGTCTTTGATATCTTCCCATTTGTCAAAGACCTCAGAAACATCGATCCGACCTTGAATATTGTCGGCAAGTTGGACGTTGAGTTGAGTTGTCTTGACGGAAACAATCCTGCACTTCACGGTCCTTCCAAACACAAGATTAGACATTGAATGGATGCTTTCGTCGACGGCGTTGGTGATCACATCCTCAGTACGAGCCGGTGTTTTTCGTTCCTTAGGGCCAGCGCGAGTGGCCTCTGAAGGTTTCATGCTTAGAATAAATCGGCGGAAGTCGGTATCAATAGAATGAACCGTTGCAGAAATTGTCTGCATCTTCTCCACCCCGAAATCTGCCTTGTCTGTACTCTCATCGCTAACAAGTCGTCTAGGGACCAATGCCGTGAGACCACCAAGGAATTCGACGAAAATGCCGTCTGAAGTTATATTGCGAACAAACCCAGTGACTTCAGCACCTTCGTGGACATCCTCAAATCGCCAAGGGACAAGCCCCTTTCCCGAAGCTTTTCTCAGGCTTGTCCTGTTCGTCACCTTGATGAGCCGATGCGCACGTTGGATGTCCATCACGAGCAAGTCATTGAGCTTCTGTCCAACGCGGGTCTTGGAAAGGGCAGAGCTCTGCTTCGATGGAGAACCATCAACGATTTGCCGAACATCCAACCGAGCTATAAGACCAGAATCATCAAGTTTGAGAAGGAGGTCATCGCTTGACTTTTCAAACACTACCCCAGTAACTAGATGCCCCGGACGGAGATTTTCAAAGGCCTTTCTGTAACTCTCTGTAAAGGTCGAAGGGTCCTTGCAGGAGACAGCCAACTTTCCAAGAGACGCATCTACACTCAGAGCGTGAACATTGACGACTTGGCCCAGTCTGAAATGTTGAGATGGATCCTTGATATAAGCCTCGCTCATTTCCGACACCGGAAGGAACCCTCGCACGGTACCATAAAACTGGACGACAGCACCATGTGGTTGGATATTGACAATGGTGCCTGGGGATTGAGCTCCGGGAACAATGTCCTCATAATCCTTCCAAATTGCTGATTCGCTGTTCAGCAAGGTCTTTTTCAAGGACAGGCGAATTTGGCGCTTCTCCAAGTTAACGGAAAGGATCCTAGCAGAGACTGTCATTCCTTCTCGGAATTTCTTTTCGGGGAACTGCAGCTGCGTGTCCGCAAAATGCATGGGCGGAACAAGACCAGTGATGCCATCAGCAAGTGCGACGATCAATCCATCTAAGCCATTAGGGCCGATTATGACCTTCTCAATCTTTCCTTTCACTACAGCGCCGATTGTCACATCCTGGATGCGAAGGAATGGCTGATCAATGACATGCTTTTCAAAAGACATTAAGTAAAGATTGTCAAGCGCATTGTAGCCGATGATCCTCGCCTCATGACTGGAACCGACTCTGAATTTGCCTTGTTCCGCCGAGATGCTCTCAACTTTCCCATCTGAGACCTTAGAAATGTGGACAAATCCCAAGTGTTTCGTCGATCCAATCTGTACATAAACTCCAAGACGAGGGTCAACCTCCACCACCTTCGACTCGGGCACAATCGCAGAAATTGCGGGGGCATCATTGGAAGAACCAGGTCCATGGCCATCTGATGCAAATTTGAGAACATGATCCAACATCGAAAAGCCAACCTTGTATGGTTCCGAGGCTGGGAAGGTACAAACAAGGCGGCCCCTAATTTTTGCACCATTATGGAACTTTTTGGTCAGTTCATCCTTCCCTGCATTTCCTCCAGACTGAACCAGGTCCACCGTTGCATCTAGCATGCCCATTATCTTCCCAGCCATACCGTTAGTCGTAACATCCGTCAAGAGGATCTCCGCAGCAGTTCCCGGCAGAAATGAATTAATTGTGGGTGCTATGCTCAGGTAGTGCGATTTTTTGACAGAGCCAGAGGATTGGAGATTGGCAGATAGTTTGACGACATTTCCGTTGGCGCTGTGGCCAGTGACCATACACAGGAAAACCGACCCCTCCTTGACGCTCGTGATATCCCGTTTCGGGTCTATTTCTTTGGAAGACATGAAACCTTTAATATCGGGGCCTTCGACGCCAAGATCCATAACTAAACCATGGTCCTCCACACTGACGACCGACGCTTGAACAGCAGAGTTCACGACTAAATCAGACTTCGTGAGACTCGAGTTTGCCTGTTCGGGATCAACAGAAAGTTCGATTCGTTTTTTGCTCCGGGAAGAGGCGTCAGTAGAGTCGTTTCCAGCAGATACGACATAAGCTCGCAAGTATTGGCCCAGGTAGAAGTAATCCTTCAAGTCCAGAATGTCCTCTTCTGTGTCCTCCTCATTCTCATCACTAGCATCGTCATTTAACATCTTTTCGATCTTTTGGTCGAGGATCTTGGAGACCGCGGTTAAAGGAACATAGCCGGTAAGATTATTAGGTAGGGAAAGGGCTATATCGTGAGCATTGATACTTGAAACTTGTCCTAGAACCATAGATCCAGGGACAATGCGCTATGCGAGTCAGTCTATGGGTAGGAGATGAGAGAAGGGTAAAATGTCGTACATACCTTGAAGCTGAGACCTTCGACCCGAACACCTTGCTTTTCGGACGCTTCTCGTTCGAGATGCTTTTGGCTTTTAGATTTCTTTTTGCGAGGTTTCTTGACAGAGGCACGCTCATTCTCATCATCCACTTGAACGTCATCCTCTCCCTCGCTATCATCCAAATCGCCAGATTGTTTTGTCGATCCTTTCTGCTCGAAGAGTACGTCCTTTGTCGCTTGAATTTGAATTTGTTTCCGCTCAAGAGGAGTTAAGACACTCGCACCACCACGAGGGAAAGACGGCTCGTCGTCTCGCAGAACAGAAATTTCGGACGCCTTTGATGCCGAGCTAAGTGAAGCTTTCGACTCCCCGACCTCTTTGGTCGAGGATGCTTCTAACGCGTGGCTGGATCGTTTCTTTTGCTGGCGCTTGCCTTCTTCTGCTCCAACTCGTACGCGCTTCTGGGGCTGACGAGCAGTTACATCCTCTGCGCCGTTTCCCTTGCGCTTGATTGGCGCCATTTTTATCAAGAGTAAAGAATGAGAAGCTCGAGCGGGCGCACCTCTGAGCTCTTCTTGAAGCCCCAGTTCGAAGACGGAAAGAAAAAGTTCAAAAATTCATTAGGAACGGCCAGGACATTGCAGACCGCCTTCCGCAGACAGCATAGCGGGAAGAGCTTAATTGAATTTTCCACCGCCTTCCGCTACGGGCAATCCGCGACACGAAACACGACGACACGAGAAACTCGCCTGTTTCTTGTTCGCGACGTGAGCCTCGCCTCTTGACGCAGCTGGCGTACCAGCTACACGACCCCACGAAAAATCCGGTTGGACTGGCTCCACTATGTTTCGAATCCCATTCACTTTTGTCTCGTGCTCTACTTTCATTCACCCCATTGTATAGGTCAGGTTCTGCAACTCTTCGTCTCTGTCTACGCAATGGACAAGAACCATGGTCTTCCAGCTGCGCCAAAGTCGGAGCCTGTCCTGCCTCCCTCGTCGCAAGAGCTTCCGTCTTCCCCACCTTCGATAGCGTCGGATGTTGCTCCCAGGCGTAAACCAAAGAAGCCGCCTCCGGTTACCCCACGTTCGTTCAAGAGATTCTTCACGCCCCGTTCGATGCTCAGTACCGGGAACAGCGTGGTGGGAGTCAAAAGCAATCGGCAAGCATTGAGGATTCTCAGCTCTCCGGCACTGAATCGTTCAGGTCCGGCTTTCACGCGAGCATCAAAGCCTTCTGGAATCAAGACTACCCAAAATGAGCCCGCAGATGTTATTCGAACACCAGCTAGGAAGAGGAAGCTCTCATTTTCCTCCATGAGCTCCCCCCTGCAGTCATCCCCATTGAGGAGAGTCCGTATCAGAGTTTCCGGTGGCGTCGAAGGGGACCTAGAAGCACTATGTCGGGACCATGATGTTGGCTGCGAGGCTGCGAACGAGGGGGATAAACACGTAGACATCCCGAAGCTCTATCCAGTGCCGCCCATTCGCCGTTCCCGGGTGCTGGAGACCGCTGGGAGTTTATGCATGCGAAGTGTGACCGGGTCACAGTTCGATGAAATGATTGTTCGATCCAATTCTGGAGCTGGTCAGTTCCTCTTCCGAATACTACGCTGTGACATTTCCGTCTCATATTTCTTTAGGATGGCAAGATTTGACTTCAACTTTCTACTCGCGGCCTGAAGACAGCCATTCTTGCTTGAACTACGCCGGGGACCGCCTGACTCCTCCATTTTGTACCGCTTCCTGCAATAGTGAGTCTGCCAACTTAGCCTTTGCAGATATGTGCTAACAAATGAGCAGCCAATTCTCTGGTTGCGGTAGGAGACGAGGAAGGAGGTATTAGACTTCTGGACTCCGCGAAAGATGATAAAAGTGGCTTTTCCAAAGCCTATCTTACGTTCCACCCTCATATGAACTCAATAATGGACCTCGAATTTTCTTCTGACGATATGCTGTTAGCCACAGCTTCTGGTGACCAGACCTCTTTGGTCATCGACATGGCCACTCAAAAACCCATTTACTGCTTATCTAACCACGTCTCCTCCGTGAAACGCATACAGTTCCAGCCAGCCAGCAACAACAAAGTTCTCGCTACCTGCGGACGTGACGGTGTCGTGAATATCTGGGACCTAAGGTGTAAAGGTTTCGAAAAACCTTCATTGCACGTTCGATGTTCATTGGAATCTGATTCTGAGCACATGGCTGCGCCTGCTGCTTCCAAAGTGACATATCCTCAAGTCCTAAACACGATACACGGAGCACATGCTTGGATACCACCTCAAGGGTTAGCACATGACAAAAAAGAAGCGCCGATGGGTCGCTCTGACATTACAGTTACTTCCTTGGCCTTTCTTCCCTCTGGCCGCGAAAATCTCTTTGTCACCGCATCTGAAGCCAATGCCTGTGTCAGACTATGGGATCTACGCACTGCCCACAACAATCGTTGTGGTCGACCTGTCCTCCCTCTCTCTACGACTCGACAGCCGGATAGCCACACCAACTACCGGGGTTTTGGACTCACCTCGATAACTCTGGGCGGCGATGGCTCGAGACTGTATACATTATGTCGGGATGGGACTGTGTATGCATATTCGACATCGCATCTTGTTCTGGGTCACGCTCCCGAACTGTCCTTGAATAATACTAGACCGCGTTGGTCGGGAGGATCTGACAAAGAAGGTCTTGGCCCCTTGTATGGCTTCCGTCACCCACGACTGAAAGTTTCTACATTCTATGTCAAGCTGGCTGTCCGAAAAGCAGTGCGAGATAATGCAGAGATGCTAGCTGTCGGGAGCAGCGATAGTTGCGCGATCTTGTTTCCGACTGACGAGAAATTCCTCTACATTCCTGCTCGGAAGCCTATTGTTGCGGGTGCAATTGAAGATCGCCCACGAACACGGCTCTTCTCAAGCTCTCGTGCTAGCCTTTCCCGCGCAAATTCCGGAGTAAGCTCATCCGGGCGGTTGGAAGACACCATTCCTATATACCATTCTGGTACGCCTCTTGTTGGGGGTCACAAGAAAGAAGTCTCTGCGGTATCATGGACGGTGAACGGAGAACTCATCACTGTCAGCGATGACTTCACCGCCAGGTGCTGGCGTGAAGGACCCGAGGCGAGGGATCTACGCACCGGAGGCGAAACGGAAGGTAGAAGATGGCACTGTGGCTGGGCTGATACTCCTGATTCATATGACGACGAAGATGAATGATTACTGTGGGACTTGATCCATTCTTTTTTCCCCCTTTGTCTGATAGCATTTGAAGGTGTCTGGGCATGGTCTTGTCTTCCATTTAGCGGGCATTTCTGTCATTGTTTTGATTTTTCTTATCGTCTTTTTCACCTCTAGCGATGCATGTGTCATGCTGGCAAGCTTGATTCCAGTGGCTGTTTGTTTATTGATCCATTTTCATTTATTATTACACCTTTTAGAACATTGGGCATTTCCTTCTCTGCTAGAGACATTGAAATGATTAAGCATGGAAAGATGCCTAAGTGGCACTGAATTGTCACATAGTCATGAAACGAAAAGACTATCTATATTCATTCTCCCAGGAAAGGACTAAGCACCAAGTACTCGATATCATCTAGGTGCAGGAGATTGACAGCGTCAAGTATTATTAGTCATTCAGTAACTGCGACACAACTACGCTGACAGACTCATTCAGAATGCTGTAAAATCCCAATTTCGGATTGACACGGAACTCCCAAATCACTTCACTTTTGTTTTCGTCTTTCTCCTTACCTAGGTCTTTATGCGGGAAGTGTCACAGTCAAAACTTAGTGGTCGTGCCCATCATTCTCAGGCCGCTGTTCCGGGTCCAGCTTGATCATAGTGTCGATGCGCATAATGGCTATACAGGCTTCGACAGCACTCTTGAGCTGTCTGATTTTGCTCATGCTAGGTTCCAACACGCCCGCCTTGAGGGCGTCATGGACCCGTCCCTTTGAGAGGTCAAGTCCATAATTCTTATAATTCTTCTTCTTTGCGATTGCCTTCTCTTCGTCGTTGGCATCGCCTTCCTGTACGCGCTGAGAGAGGGCGTGGCGTACGCGAAGTTGGGCGACGAGTTCCGATGAGTCCTTGGCAGCATTCACTGCGAGTGTCTTGGGGATTGTGAGGAGGGACTGGGCGAATTCACCAATAGCCAATTGCTCCCGAGAACCCTGAAGAGAGGAACAATGTTAGACACCATCTTGTAAACAGGAAATAAACTTTTTGTACATACCACCGTGACTGCGAATTCTTCGAGATAGATGTGAAGAGCCGTCTCAACTGCACCGGCACCAGGGACAATGCTACCGCTTTCCAACGTCCGCTTGATAGCGCATAGGGAGTCGTGCATCGAACGCTCCATTTCATCCAAAGTGAAGTCATTCGGTCCCCGAAGAATAATAGAAGCAGAAGTGTGGGCTTTCGTTCCTTTCACAAGGATACACTCATCATCCGATATCCGCTCTTGGACGACCTCCTCAGCGTGACCCAAGTTCGATGCTTCGAACTTCTCATCACCGTTAAGGTCAGAGAGGGTGCTCACAAGGGTAGCCCCTGTAGCTTTAGCTATCCGCCGCAAGTCCTCCTTCTTGCACCGTCGGACAGCCATGGCGCCTCTCTCAACAAATAACTTCAGAACCATGTCATCTATGCCTTTGGTTGTCAAGATGACATTTGCCCCCGACTTGAGAATCATCTCAACCCGCTCAATGATAATTCCAGACTCTCTCTCTCTGATCTTCTCGAGCTGTTCAGGATCATCAATAGTAATATGAACGCCCAATTTCATCCTCTCTTTCTGCAGGTTCATGTCGAGACAAGCGATCTTCGCATCAGTTATCCGGGTCTTCATAGCCTGAGAAGCGACGGTGCAGTTCAGAGCGTATCCCTTGACAAGGACAGATTCAGTGCCACTTTTACCGTGAGCCTTGAGCAAGTTCACAGCTTTCACTGGGTATTTGACTTCGTTTTTCTGGTTCACAGATTTCACCAAGAGCATCGCATCGACAGCCATATTTGCGAAGAAATCGGCATCAGAACCAATAATCTTGCTAGACATGGAAGTCTTAGCAATGTTGATCAGACTGTCTTTCCCCAGGCTCTCAACTTTTGTGGAAATGTTCTCGTTCAAATACTTGACAGCTTCTCTGAGGGCCAGCCTATAGCCAGTGATGATAGTCGTAGGGTGTATCCGGTTCTTCATCAGCTCGTTTCCACGTCGCAGGAGTTCGGCGGCAAATAGAACAACGGAAGTTGTGCCGTCTCCAACCTTGAAGGAATCAGCACGGGGTTGATGGAACCACTTCGAGAATGAGGAGTCCTACCTCCTTATCCTGTTGCTGGGCCAGGTCCACAAGAATCTTCCCAGCAGGATGTTCGATATCTAAAAGACTCAAAATAGTCGCTCCATCGTTGGTCACCGTAACGTCCTGTAAGCCAGTTCAGAAATCAGTCGAGAAACGCGGGGTTCAAGCGGCCATACCCCTATATCATCCACCATCATTTTATCTAGACCAGAAGGGCCAAAAGAGCTCTTGACGACATTCGCAATAGCCTGAGTCGCAAGAACTTATATACACGTTAGAACGAACGTCAACCTGGCCAGAAAAATTCATCTCACATACCATTTTGCTCCCGGACATCAGCACCGGTGATTTTCTGCCCGCCCAGGACTGTACAATCTGTCAGTTTTAAACCACAAAACAGACCAGCAGGGCAGCACTACTCACAGAGGGTGTCCGCATTACGCGGCTGTTCGAAGATACCTGCCATATTTGCAAAACAGATGAGAAAGCTGGTGTAGATTGAGACTGGAAGCTCCGACCGTCGCGGGAAGCTTCTTTTCGCAGTGTACGCCAAGGGAAAAGTTCTGCCGCCTCGGGGCGGTGAAGGCCTTCGGTATCTCTGCATCCCACTATAAGTGAGTCAATTCTCCCCTACAGCCCACGGCCAGTGCTCAGTGTTCGTGCCCGATTCACTCCTTGAAGCCTCCTTGTCTGCATCTGAGCAACTCATTCACGATGTCCTCCCAAGATTCCGCAGGTGCGACGGTCCCTTCTAACCAGGCGGCCTCTCAAACCCTCGCTGATCGCACGAAAGACCCCGCTGATAACGCCGCTCCTCAAGGAGAAATCTCTAAAAACGCTGCCAAAAAGGCCGCCAAACTGGCGAAACAAGCCGCTGATAAAGCCGAGAAGGCCGTTAACAAGGGCATTGGAAAATCAGAAGCGAAGGCGTCGACTTCGAAGCCCAAGAAGAAGCTGGAAAATGTCGCATTGATCGGCATTGATGTTTCCAAGGAAGAAGATTTCCCAGGATGGTATCAACAGGTTCTCACAAAGGGAGATATGTTGGATTACTATGATGTTTCCGGCTGTTTCATTCTCAAGGTGTGTTGTTGCTGTTCAGCCTGACCTGTACGGACTCTTCATTGATATGTTCTAGCCTGCGTCCTACTTCATCTGGGAGGAGATTCAGCAATGGTTTAATGCCGAGATCAAGAAGATGGGCGTGAAGAACTGCTCGTTCCCTCTGTTTGTTTCGGAGGATGTGCTGAAGAGGGAGAAGGACCATATTGAGGGTTTTGCAGCAGAGGTTGCTTGGGTCACTCATGCGTATGTTTTCCCTGGGACACTTTATTATTCAACGGACGCTGACCTGACATTTTTCTTCTCTATCAGAGGATCTACTCCATTGGATAGAAAAATCGCTATCCGCCCAACTTCTGAAACCGTCATGTACCCCTACTACGCCAAGTGGATCAGAAGCCACCGCGACCTTCCTCTCAAACTCAACCAGTGGAACTCCGTTGTGCGTTGGGAGTTCAAGAATCCTCAGCCTTTCCTTAGAACCAGAGAGTTCCTCTGGCAGGAAGGTCACACTGCGCATCTGACTGAAGGCGATGCTCGGGAGGAGGTTCTGCACATCCTTGATCTCTATGCTAAGGTCTATGAGGATCTCCTTGCTGTCCCTGTTATCAAGGGACAGAAGACAGAAAAGGAGAAGTTTGCTGGCGGTCTTTACACTACTACTGTTGAAGGATACATCCCAGCTACCGGCCGTGGTATTCAAGGTGGAACGTCGCACGGGTTGGGCCAAAATTTCAGCAAAATGTTTAACATCACTGTTGAGGATCCGTCCGTTAAGGGTGATGAGAAGAAGCCCCCTATTCATGTTTGGCAGAACTCGTGGGGTCTCTCGACCAGAACATTGGGTGTCATGGTCATGATCCACGGTGATAATCGTGGTTTGGTCCTCCCTCCCCGTGTTGCAGAAATCCAAACCATTGTCATCCCTGTCGGCATTACGGCCAAGACCTCGGAAGCAGAACGTGAGAAGCTTGGCGCTGAAATTGATGGCATTGTTTCTGTCCTTCGTGAAAATGGCATTCGTGCTGATAGCGACAAGCGGGACGGTTACTCTCCTGGCTGGAAATTCAATGACTGGGAGCTCCGCGGTGTGCCCTTGCGTATTGAGTTTGGCCCTGGCGAGTCGGCTGGTCAATTTGTCACTGTGGCCCGCCGCGATGTCCCGGGTAAGGAGGGCAAGTTGACGGTTCCTCTTGCTGACCTGCCAACCGGCATCCCCAAGTTGCTAGACGCCATCCAGAGCGACTTGTACAAGCGTGCAGATGCGGAATTCCGCTCTCACCGCAAGCTCATCACCAACTGGGATGACTTCATCCCCGCCCTCAATGATAAGAATATCTGTATTATTCCCCACTGTCTCACGGAAGAATGCGAGGACCAGATCAAGACCATGAGCGCACGCAAGGCGGAGGAAGATTCCGGCCAACCCCAGGACGCTCGTGCCCCAAGCATGGGAGCCAAGTCTCTCTGCATCCCCTTCGATCAGCCGGAGGGTATCGAACATGGTGTGACCAAATGCACCAACCCAGAGTGCAACAGGCTCGCAGAGAAGTGGTGCATGTTTGGCCGTAAGTTTACCCCCAGTTTCAATTTCCGTTTTCCTTCCCCTCCACGACAACTAATATCTTCTCTCCTGCAGGTTCATACTAAGCCCTTTTTGGCATTGACTACACGTTGGAGTCATATACTTCGCTTCTCCAAAATGTCGTTCTCTCATCTAGACCGACCGTTTCATGACTTCATAACCCTATGCTGTTTAACGAGAACTTGATGTACGCGATGATGTGAGCAGGAAAATAAAAACAAAGCAGGGGGTTCAAGTTCGAGATACCCTTTGTTCTTTATCTGGGGGGAGTTTGTGGGAGCAGATCGTGTAACTAGGGGATTATGATTAAAAATTTAAAGTAAAAAAGAAATCCAGGAATCTTCTTTATATTACTATCTGCCCTTGTAAAAGACTATCTTGTAGCCATGAACTTACTGTCTTTTAGAAAGCATTTGTATTATACTATTCAGACGGAAAACTTCCATCAGTCATCTGTCTTCGAAAAGACAGTACTGCAAATATATGTCCAATGAGCCTACAAAGCAATAATTAGATACAGAGATCCATGGGAAAGGTATAAAGAGAAAACCAAAACAAGCAAATAAACGTATGGACAAAACAGCCAGCAAGTAAAGAATATTCACCAAGTTAGACGGGCAAGGCAAGCATCCACCCAGAATAAGAGTCAACATTTTCCAAGCAGTATGTTCATGGCAATCGAAAAAGACAAAACATGAAGAAAAAATACTGATATCGACAGACAGATATACCTAAAACAAAAGTGTATTTGCAATCCAGATAACAAAATGTAAAGAATGTACAGTAAGTCGTAAGGAAGATTATATGAAAAAAAAAAAAAAAAAAAAAAAAAAAAGAACCAAATGTCCAAATGTATGCATTTTAAAACCCAGGAACACCGTCGGCACTATGAGGTGGAGCAAAATAAATGAAAAAATCAGAACCTTCAAATCCCATATATATTATGTCGCGTCGCATTCAAAATCTTGATGTACATAGTGTACTTTCCCGTAAACTGTTTCCCAAGGGTAGCGGGAACTTTATCCTCTCATTAAAAAAAAGCCCATGTACTCAAGAGACTCCGGTAATCAATTTATGAACAAAATTTCCATCGTTTACATAGGAAGTTTTTCGTGGAGGCACCTCGACTGAGTCGGCAGTCTCATTCAAATCCATTGTGTCCCAATCGCTGCTGACGGATTGAGCCCCGGCGCCTCTGGGGCCAATTCATTAGTCTGTAAGCATTACCAGGCGTCGTGTTATCAATGAAATATGTCACATTATTCTCATCAACGCCATGTACGTGCAACCGAGGAGTGTCGACACTGGGAAGTTGGATGACCTCATCCTCATCTTGTGTGGAAAAGCTCGCGCGGCTGTCTCTGCTCGTTTCCATCGAATGTGCGCGCATGTAATAGATGGAGTTTGGTGCTCTGGGCGGCTCCGAGCCGCTGCGGTAAGGAAAATCGGCTGAGAGGCGAGAATTACTCACCCTGCCGATGAAGGAATCTGGTGTCACCCTGGGGTTTACCGACACAGAAGAGGCCTGATGGTAGTACCTTTGAGCTGGACTGTTGACGTTGTTTCCCTGAAGACCTGTTGATGACACAGAATCGAGCAATTCACAGGACGGGAAAGGCGCATCTGTATGTCTGCGTCGACTAGATTCACTGCTATGCCGCCGGACAGGCTCGCCATGATTTGCCATTTGAACGCTTGTCGATGGGCTTTTGCTTGCCTCTGGTCCCCGCGCATGCTTTCTCAGCGAACCTCGTCTAATAAGCCTCGCCAATTGGCTCTCTTTTACTGAAATGCTCCTACCCGGCCTTGAATTGGATGACCTATGCGCCCTTTCGCCTTGAATAGGCCACGCATCTTCGGTTGCAGAGGGGGTGAAAAGAGGCTCAGTGTCAGGAGAGGGTACACGTTGGAAAGCCTCATGGGAGTTGATCTCCCTAACGATCGTATCCTCGAGACTCTCGATAGACGCTTCTGACTCGGCGGTCTGTATGGAGACCAAAGGTTGCTTAAACGAATGAATATTCTTTTCGATTCTACAAATCGAATCAGGAACATGGGAGTTGGATGGGGATCTCGGCAGCTGGGAAGGGTTGTTCACAACCTCTGCAATACTTAGATTGTGTCTTTCAGAATCTGCCGGGGTTGGAGGTGGAATAGGCCGAAGAGCGAACTTCGTAGTTTCTTTCCCCATGTGAGTCAGTTCTGCATTGACGGGAGGCTCTTTTGCCTTCCTTCCAGCAGAACGGGAAGACACAACTGAAGAAGCACTGCTGGCCATTTTTGAATCCCGAATTGACAAGTAAGGAATATTTCTGGGTATGATCTCATTACCATTGGGATCTTGGCCATGATTTAATTGTATTGGTAATGTCGGGCTATCTGGCAAAGGCGCATCCCGTCGCCTATAGGCTGGGGGCGGGCCCAAATGACGACCAGCAGCGTTTGACATAGCCTCCTTAGGCACGCCTGTCTCACATGCTAAGAGAGTTGGCGATGACCTTCGCGCATGTATGACCGGATGTGATTGCAAAGGCCCCGGCGCAAAGCTCGGGCCCTGCGAGCCAAATATTGAACGTAAATCTCCCTGTGACTTGGACGCTAGTTTCCCGACATCATCGCCCTTGCTCCCTGTCAGTTCGTGAGAGCTCGGACTTGGTTTGCTGTCCTCTATCGTGGATGGCCACGAGTCACCCGACAAGGCAGCGGTAACTAGTGACGATCGATTGCTCACGCGACGCCAAGAAGACGCGCTGCTGCGGCCGCTCGTAGGGTTCCTTTCTGCTACGTTCTCATGGGAGGTAGACGATGCCGAATGGGCGTAGGTATTTGCTTTCACCAACTTCCGACCCAGCCCCTTTATGTTCCGCTCTGCAATGTCTTCATTGTATGGAAGTGTTGGCGACAGTGCCTTTGTTTGCATTCGGTAGCGATGGGAAGAGAAAAGGGCCTCTAACAGGTCGACATGGGGTCGAGCCCCAGCTGTCAGAGTGCCGGGAGCATCGGATTTTTCTGACGAGGAAGTGGACACTGGTGAACGAAACTGGCCATCCCATTGATCGACCTCCTTCCAGAACTTTTCAAAGCTACTTCCGTTACTTCCATGTCGCGCAAGCCTTGAACTTGGAGCATTGGGCACATCTATTGGGGTAGGACTGCGATCTGTGACCACATAGTAAGTGATTTGTCCAACGTGGCCGGCTCGTGGAAAAGCTACCTTTCTCTGCATAAAAGAGCTTCTTCAAGGCAACCATGTTAAAGCCTTTTACTGCAAATTAGGACTAGAGCAGTGAAGACTGTTCGGTCATAGCACCCTGCCAGAGGGAAGACAACCGATGTAGACTGGCACAGTAGGGAGCGTAAAAAGAACAAATGTAAAAAAAAAATATTGAGACAGAGAGGAGTGTAGCCAGGAACAAAAGAACAAAGCTAGCTGATTGATTCGAAATTTCGTCTCATGGTAGGTGGCATCAGCGCTTCATAACAACGTCAATTGTGAATATGCATTGCAGACAAATAGGCTTCGTGTCCTGGAAGAGCTGGCAACCGAGCTGGCGACAAGCGGATTTCTTGGAGATCTTAAATTATTTACCTGCGCCAGTATTGTCAGGGGGAGCAGGGGGGGAGGACTGAGCTTTCGCAGGCTATAGATACCCTTGCATACGCCGTTTTAGAATATGTACTCCGCTTCGTACATGCAGTACGATCCTCCGCTCCGCTTCACTGTCTGGTACAGCACGGTACGAAATCTCGGACATAAACATTGGCGAACAGGGCCATATTCCTTCAACGATACCTGAATGAAGGCATAGCGAGCTCCTTCTTGATATCCTCAGTCCTATTATTGAAACAACGACGGGATGTAGGAATCGCGACGTGCAATAGCACCCCCTTATCGTATCTCTATGAATGACTCCTGACATCCTGCAGCTAACAGCGGCGCCAGTACAGAGTACCAACACCATGGATCACAGCCATTTCCGCGGTGGGCGCAGGATCGCAACACTACTGGTGGACGTGGGGGGTAAGATGCGAAATGGAATTCCGATCGTCGTATGAACCGGTAATCGACAGAGGCCATTTAGGTTTAGTCGGACGCGATATGGAACCGGACTGAAACGGTCAATTCCATTTCCAGAACTAGCAGTATGTTACTAATAATCCCCGCGAGCCAGGACAGACGAGAGCCTCGGACCACCTAGGCTGCCCTTGAACAGGGCGGCATCAAGACATTGAGACATGAGTCCCTGCAGCAGACAGAGGGGGATACGGACATGTCCACGTTAGAGTTTTCTTTGCCAGAATCAATGGCAGCGTGCACCAGAAAGCCAGCAGCAGATACGAGGCAATGAGGAGCAGTCGTAATCAGGCCTGCGTAGGATCAGATTAATTACTGTTCAAAAGTTACTCCTGGGGCGTGCAGCTGGTGATCACATGATTCTGCCAATTGCAGGCCGTCATTTCCGGCGGGTCCACCCGATCCTCAAATGACAACAAACTACCGGAAGCGGTTAGCGCGCCATATGCTTGACTCACAGTGCGTGCGCTTTATGTATTATGTAAGGAGTAGATCGCATCGTGGTAGAGGTGCTGGCATTAACTACATTCTTGTATATACAGTCTTCCAGATGGGAGCCATGGGGACCGACTTGCCTGGGAATTTGGCGAACTTTCCAAGGTATGATATGATGGTAAGCTATCCCATGTTTTCTTGCTTCCTTCTCAATTATCATGGAGGGAGAATAGTCTCAATATGGTAAATCACCCGAAAGCCACCCACATCATGTCTTTTCCTCTGTGAGTGTCGTTGCTAGGCCCCAAGGTATTCCGATGAGTATATCTAACTAGGATGATTTGATCAGGTCCAGACGAACTTTGATGAGATTCGATGGATCGCCGTTCTCTAAGATATCGTTGTCCTCGAGCCTTGCGAGATCGAACTAGTTTCTAAATCCAAACGTTGATAATTTGGTCTCTTTCGGTTTTTGAGGGGAAGAAGGGGGAATCTCGATACCATTGTCTAGTACTTACTTTCATGAAGGAAGGCCTTTCTAGAGTTCATGATATTGAGTATATGAAGTAACTAGGACTAACTAGGCATGGTTTGGCAGATGGCGGAAAGCCCACCGATCATGATCCTAAAGCCACGCACAACCGCGTCTTTTCCATCGTGATCGACGGCGGATATTAAGTGTCCACTGTGGTTTCGACTTCTACACATCGTGGAAGCTGGGACCACCTGAACGGCCGTTTGACGTCGCAGCTTGCATTTGCATGCAGTTCGGAGCCGCTCGTATTCGGCGTAATCCCAGCATAGCGCTGCATTATTACTCCGTTACCCCTCATCGCCAAGGTACATGGTCCTTCGAATGCTTGACGAAAGATGACCTCAAGGCTCACAGCCATCAAGTCCTGGACTAGATACGATGGCAATGCTGAAGCAGTCAGGGGGATCCAACATAAGAGCCGTCTCTAGGGCTGAAACAGTTCCACAGCAGGTTCATGACATCTTAACCCCTTTTATGCATGCATACGGCATTATAGTCTCCTATGGAATAGGTGCAGCAGACACTTCCTGCGGGTGTCTTGTTATACCTCGAGGGGGAAGTCCCGGAGATCCCCTGTCCGCGCTCTTATGGGATGGGATATTTAACTCGAAACTGCCGCAGATGCGTCGAACTCAATTCTGCGGTTCCATTGCATCCAGGACATCCTTTGATGCACTTGGGAGAAGTTTTGTCCTGGTTGCTTATGTTTGAGACATCGTTGGCAGTAATGCGGTTGATCTTACGGATCTCGAGCTTCGTCATGCTCATTGCTTATTTCCAACCCGCTTACTATTTGTTATCCCTTTCCCCTCTTGTGTTTGTATTTGATTTTGTTGGTTGGAGGCTATATACGGCGCTGTATATACAACAGCAGTAGAAGAGATGTGCAAGCTCCACACAGAAAGGTTCTGCAGAATGGACGATAGTCCCCTGCATCTTTCAAATTATTCTCATCGCATCTGGACACTCGGATCCGGGACATCCCAAGATACTTGGGAAACTCACATAGAATTTAGATAAATCTATTGGAATCAACATCCAATGGCATTTCGATCTCGGTCACCTTCCGAGTCATGCCTAAAGATTAGCTCCAAATGAGCAATATTCGGAATCTATTATAGTTTTCAGTAATTGGATTCTCATCGATAGTATAGCTTAGTGTCGCGTGGCCAAGGAAGTTATGGCTACACCGTAGAAAATGTAATCTTGTTGGCATCCGCTGTGATAATATCAATTCCTGGAAGTTCAATTTGTAAATGCTCATTGGGGCAGATCTTCTACGGGAGATTGCGTAGATCGTCTGAGGGAGGCTGGATTCTGTGTTACAATCACATCCAGAAAGGAACAGGGCATGAAAAATCCCAACTGACTGAATCTGCATCTGCATCCATCTGCATACTGTCGTAGCTGCTAGTCAGTGTACCAGATTGGTCCGCAATCGCCGAAGGCACCTACGCCGTTCGCAGTATCAATTTGAATCCACAGCAGGACTATCGCATAATCCTTCTTCAACGAGGAAAGCCTTTCAGGAGAATTTTCTTCTTTAAGGTTTGTTTAAGGTTTGATCCTTTCCAGCCGATCCATTAGATGAGCGCCAGGTGGCTACGCGTTAGCCTGCAAGTGTTTGCGCCTGGCAAGGTGCGATACGCGTAGTACGCGATGTGAGGGAGAAGAAGCTGTAGATTGATATGGTCCTAAGCTACTGTATTTGATTTGATTTGATTTGATTACTATTTAACGTCACTCGGCGGATCACGTGGCACACGTGACCCGCGGCCTCCCAAGGGGCATCCGGACGTGCTACCTAAGCAAAGACTCACTAAAATAAATACATGCTTGAAGCAACAAAGCTGGACACTATGTGTTGGAAAAGAGTGGAAGAAGCACCAGGCGCTACCCTGGCCTGGACTTCTAAAGGTGAGGAACCTGCTTTGGCTACCTTCAGTCGAGCAGGGGTGCCTTTCCCGTTCGTCCAGGTAGAAGCGTAGACTGTTGCACTATTCAGTGCTTGAGCGGGCCCAGTTTGGGCATATATCCTTGAAAAAGGATGAATCTTGCATGATGTGGCTGAACTCTTCCGCCCCAGCAGCTGTACCTAGTAGCCAGTCAATTGTACTTGACAGGCTGCCTCTCTTGCATTTCCATCTATCCTTCCAGCGCTTCCTGGTGGGTGGGCAGAAGAAGAAATGGACAGGGGACTTCTGTCTCTTGCAGGAGCAGGTTGCTAGGTAGTCTGCATGTTGAAATCTTTCATGATATGCTGCAAAATCCCCGTGACCTGTACGGGCGGCTATGAGCCTGCCCAGGACCCAGCGGGGGAGCTTATGTTCTTGGTCATGACTGCTTTTTGTATGAGGTCTGATGCCCAGGTCACGGTAGGCCTGAGGTGCGCCTCTAAAATATGCCGCGTGTGTATCTGCGCGGATCCGCTGTTTTGCCTCCCGTCTGAGGAATGAGGGAGAAGGGGGGATATCAGGACTGGCTAATGAAGCTCCCTTCTTTGCCAGCTTATCTGCGAGCTCATTCCCTGTGACCCCAGAGTGGCCTGGAACCCAACAGACCCCTACAGGTTTGCGAGGTAGAGATAAAAGTGAAGGCAAGCTGTCCCACTGAGCGGAGAGTTGGTGGCCTAAGCTACTGTATGTCCCTGAGATGTGCTAGCTAACGTGATATTGGTCACGTGTTAATAACGCTATTTCGCATATTAAAATATGCTTTCTTGGTCGTCTGAAGAATCCCCCTTTTTTGGATGTTGCCCTTGCTGTGCTCTATCCAGTTTGGACAGCGGGACTCTTATGGTTTTTTAGAGTGGACTTTCAGGCTGGGTTACTGCCTCATTGCTGGACCTCATAGTGTTGCTGCAAATTCTCACCAAGGGGACCAAACAACTTCTGCTTCAGCCTAGTCGAATATTTCCGTTACATGGTTGGATGTCTTGTCTATTATGATGTTGCAGATGCCAAAGTCCTTGCAGGGAAGGACATGACGTACCCTCGAGGGAAGAGTACTGCGTGTTGAGGGATAGTACGGCGAGATCAAGACATGGGTTCGAAAGCGTATAGATGGGCTCTGTAAAGACTCATGCCACTCTCTTAGCAGCGATTCTTCATCTTCGTTTCGCTTTTGATTTAATAGCAGCTCTAAACCCAATTGAAACGGGATATCCCCAAGGAACACAATTCCATATTGCTATTCCATCAAAGTACAACACCAGAATCCTTTCCCAATTGCATCAAACTCCCCTTGCCCAACCCAACGAGTAAAACCTGTGATCTAAAACGCCTTTCCGCTCCTCAAGGAAAGCTCCTACGACTAGAAAGGCCCTTCCAACGAACAATCTAAGCAATCTTCTGCTTCTTCGCAGGTGAAGAATCATCGCCATTGTCGTCAACATCATCAAAACCACCGTTATCGTCCACAGGTTCACCCTCCGACATGGCCATAGGGCTAGAAGATCGACAAGCCTGCCCGGATGGAAGAATCTTTCCTTTTCTCTTACCCTTGCCCGTGTCTTCAGCCTTGACTTTGCCCCGTCCCCTCTTCTTCCCCTTCTCCTCGCTGGGCTGAGCGGGCTGGGTACCGGAAGCACCAGCACCACCAGTAGTAACAGCAGCGCCTTCATTGCGGGCTTGTCCGTCAAGCATTTTTTTGAGACGCGTGAATCTCATCCGGGCAGCTGGAGTATTGATGTTTGCTGCATTTGCCACGGCCGCGAAATTAATCTTGATAATATATTAATCACTGAGAACTGGGAGGGCTTTGAAATCACCAAAGGGGAAAATAGGGTATAGGCTTACAGTCGGATTTTCCGCATGCTGAAGGCAAAGGTACAGGAAGGCGAGGTTCTGATCGACTGGAGTCTTTGGAGACATGTTGATTATTGACAGAGAGCTGTGGATTAGCGGTTAGTTGGTTGGTTTTTCTTTTCTCCTGCGCCCTTGGATGAGACAGCGTAGAGATGTGGGGAGAATAGTAAAAGCCCAAGATAGAGATGTAGAGGTTCAGCTTTCTTGTAGAGTTGAAGAGGTGGTCTGGACATGAAGTGACCAGGAAGTATTTAAGCACTCAGTCAGGTTGAACTGTCAAGAGGAACCCAGATTAAACTTGAGATGTCCCTTCACTCTGCGCCTTTGGTGAACCAGTATGGAACGAAGATGGTGTTCAGGTTAGGAGAGATAGCAGACAAAGGTTCTTGGATCCTGCTTCAATGAGCTCTTTCACTTGACAGCACAGTGAATTAGCAAATATATAGGGTTTCGGTATTCCTTTTGCCAACGTTCTTTTGGTTTCATAGAGGATTCATCATGTAGATAATAATAAAGAAAGCAGATATTCTAAGTACATATGCCGCTCCAGACAGAACCCGAATTGAAAGAAACAAATCCGAGCACAGGAATAACAAGGCAGCATTATATACCTTATTGAAACAGTCCAAGTCACTACTGTGTAGCATTCCCACCTATTGCCTGGCCCGCGATCCGTACTGCAGACTCTCTCACAGCCTCTGATAAAACGGTATGGGCCCCCCGGGCCGCATCTACTGCCCCATCTAATAGGGCCTCGTAGGCCGTCCGCTTGTCATCAGCGGCGAGGGATGCTTTGGAGGTATCGCCCCTGAGCCATATTTCTGTAATTTCGTCCCGATTAGGTAAATAAGCCACAACGCATGCTGCGCAGATAGACTGGTGTTCTGCTGGGTCCGTGTCTAGCACCAGTTTCGGTATTGTGGTTCCGTATTTGTCATCGTCGTCTTCTACGAGGGCGGCCACACCACCCGTCGCGAGATCAAGACAGTCGATCTTAGCATCGGCGATAGCGGCAGATGAAGCCGTGATACATCCTGCCAGGACATTCATCATCCCCCACGAAGCATCATGCGAGTCCAGCGCATCGCCCCACCAATGGTCATCCTCAGCTTCTAGAATTGTAATTGTAATGTCGAGCGCGCTCTTCGGCCAGCGCTCCGCAATTATGACGCCACGCAACGCAGTCTCTAAATGAACGCCGAGGTCACGTTCGCTAGCGTCGCGGATATGTCCCTTCCGCTTGCGGGCTGCAAAGGGTGCATACTTGACATGCGTTGTAATGACTAAATTTGGCGAAAAGGCTGCAGATCGAGGTAGTGGCTTTGGTCCATGAACGGTACATGCCAGCTTCAAGGCCGAAGAAGGTGGGATTAAGGACGTCGGGGTTTTCCGTGCAGCGAAGAGTGAGGCAGAAGGCTCCAATTCAAGATACGCAGAGCCTGACGCAGATGGGACAAGACCGGTTTTCAGGACTAGATGGAGAGAGAGAGTGACGATATCAGCAAACAATCGAAACAGGTGGCAACTACAGATCGCTAGCTGTGAAATCTCTTACATATCTTTCTCAACTCGGTAGGTTGCCGTTGACGGGTTGGTCTGTCTGTAGTAGGAACAGGTCTTTTCAAGGCAGAGGCAAAGACCACAGGTCTTGTGCCGCTAGGCGGCCCATTAATTCTTCTTCTGTCAGTCATTACACATGACTCTTCGAAATGCGAAAGCTGTTGTTCTGGAAGCGACTCTTCTTTATGGACGGGAAACCAGTCGAGATGGGAACAAATCTATACCGCCTGTTTGCACTGTTTGTCTATCCTTAGCGGCAACCGAATTTTCTTTTTCTTCTTCCGCTACACTTTTTCTGTTTCTTCCTCCCACAAAACATCCTTGTCGGGTCTCTCCTGGGACAAGACACCTCTTCTTATGATGAAGAGATAAAGTGTTTCCATTTCTACATTCAATATTCATCATCACTAACACTGTCATATTGTAAGTACAACCATCTCTTAATACCACCCTTCCATGCCGGATTCATATGAGGAAACCGAACCAAAATTTCAGTTCTGGCGACAAACAAATGGGCCATTGAACAACATGCACTACCATCTGATGATCAATTCTATCATATGATCTACTTCATATCGTTGCTTCTGCTTGCCTTCTGTACTGACAATGCATTATCAGACAGGCATCTTGAATCGAGTAACATTGCCGGCAGGAAGGGCCAAAGCAGGTATGAATATCTTCTTCCATTCAGCTCCTGTGCAAGTCGTATTACTGTGATGAGAAACATTTTTTTCAGTTCTGCTTCTGCAAACTCATTGAAGATAACCAAATACCTTACCAAAACTTCCTGACCTACATGGCACTTGCAATTGAATATTCTGTTCAGTCTTGGGTTTGAAGAGTAACTAACTTTTCAAAAAGTAATAGATAAGGAAAAATCAAGTATAAATATATTGATTCCTATCTCCCTGCCAGATGATACCGTTGAAATATACTAGTAGGTGAGGAAATCCCTGAAAGGCCTACATGCAACACCAACCAGTTATACCTTTTACATGATGACAACAAGTCAATCCATTCAACGATCTCTTCCATGGGAAACCTCCCCTCGAGCTAGCATTGATCCACGGGATTGTACATGAGGCGTTCCATGAATCCGCCTCCCTTATACCATACTTTTCATTCCGCTCTTCCTTTGGGGAGAATGCGTGAAGTGTAAGGGATGATTGGTTGTGGAGTGTTGGATCATGGGTTTCTTCGTCACTTGTCCGTGCTTCTTTGAGGATCTCTTGTAACGCTTGACTTGTGCGGATTTCTCGCCATGGGCAGGTTGTTCGTTTTGGACGGCCTGCTCAAGACGAGAAGACCGCAGGGGATGGGATGAGTAAACCGGCTTGGCTGAACATTTGCCAATGCATAGCAATGCTGTTATGCCATCGGAAACTGGTTGTTGTTGAGTTGTGGATGATCTTCAAATTCCATTGTATGCTGACTAATTATTCCTCAACACTTAGGCCTATCTGTTCATGCATAGTGCACTGAATTTAATAAAATGTTATTCTTGTTTCAACCAATTATCATATTTCTGTATACTGTAGACAGTCCGAGCTTTATAATGATATGGAAAGAATCAGAAAATAACTGCCATAGGAAATCCCAGCTTTATTATTCTTTGGGGCCGCAACCGTTGAATTGTGTGTGTAACCGTCAACTCATCCATCTACTGGCAAGCAATAATAATAGCTCCAAGACTGCCTTTTTACATATCATCGCCAATTCTCTTCATTTCTTTTTTTTTCTTGCCTTTTTTTTTGTACAGTTTCCCCTTCCCTCTCGTCCCCATTCCAACGCCCCAAAGCATTCATGTTAATAATAATAACAATATTCAAATCATTCAAACATGAATGGAAAGAACTCAAACTCGATTGACTCGGGTTCAACCCCTTATTACTCTAATGGAGTCACTCTGCCATCCGATTGCGACATGCTATAGGGAGCCTATTATTGAAGGATGCATTGTTAGTTAGGCTCAGTGTATTTATTACAAAAGGGAAACATACCAGGACTCTCTTGGCATTACAGATTCTCCAAGCGAGGTTGCGAATGTTCTGGTCTGCTTGGACGACTTCTGGGGCGAGTTCAATACCGAACCTGCAAAGGTGATAAGAGATTTGATCGCTGTGTTGAAAAGAAACAAATGCACCGAAGCTGTATATATATATAATATGACTTACATCTGGTGGATAGCAAAGACAACCCGCTTGGCATATTTACCATCCCGGTCGACAAGGCCACCAAAATGCTCCTCTGGAGCTTCAGGGGCAATTTCCGGATCTCGATCGAAACAATTTCTCACGACGGGAAGTAGGGCCTTCTCCACGGACACCTGGATGGAGCCAAAGTCGTCTGAAGAGACGAGCTTACTCTCATCAAACCGGCTAATGTGGATCTCGAATGGCCGCGAGATAGCCATGACGTTGTGCTTGCCGCCGTGATGGTAGCGGAATTCGAATACTCCTTGCGTCCAGAAGAGCTTATCGCCTGAGAAGATGACCTCGCCAGATGCACAGTCACGGGGTTCGCCGTCCTTGCGCTGGGAGGCAGGGATGACGATATCGCTTGTGATAATTCCCTTTTCGCAAGTTGTATTGTCGTAGGAGCCTTCGTTGACTGCAACCCAGCGGCCTTGGGATGAGACCAGCGTGACTTCTCGGGACGTGTTATCAGTTACCTTATAGATACCTATCCAATCTTTTTTGTGATGGTTGAGGGGAGCAGTCCACTTGATCTTGATCGGAGATCCGTAGTCGAATACAAGATTCTTTAAATCGCCTCGCCTATCAAGAGGCATGCGAGCGTTGGCCCCTTCCCGACCACTAGCTGAGTCTCCATTCTCCTCTGATGACGACGAACTAGCGCTTTGAATCTCCAGGGAATAGTCCTCAAGGACATAGCCAGCCAGGTCGTCGTCAATCCGGGAAATCGTAATACGGGCAGGATACTTCTGGAAGAGTTCAGTAGTGTCCTTGACGAAAGTATTCACACCTGCCGCGAATTTCGGGCGCGCTGTCTCAAGAAGTTCTTCGAAGAAATCAATCGACTCGTCGACCATTTTGTCAACGCTCCCATGTAGTTGCTTAAGCGGGAGAGGCAAAGATCGCTTCAAGCTCTTAACTAGGCCAGCATCTTGTCTTAGGCTGCAGCCATACAGCTTCTGCATGTGAGGACGCTCGACAAACTGAATGAAAGCCAGACTTAGGATGTGGCTCAACAATGCAAGGAAGGTGATGGCACCGCTATTGGTGATCAGCACGGCTCCCCAGACACCTGCCAGACCAAGAACACGTTCAGGATTGTTCAGGTAGCGGTAGATACCATTGTAGGTCAACTTGAGTGGCTGGTCGAAGAAGAAGTCACCAAAGAACCAGCCGAATTCCCCTAGAGAGTCGTAAATGCTGACAGAGGTCCATATCTGCAGGCCAACAAGACTGGCTCCCAGGACATGTCTGAGCAGAACCAGGCCATAGCCCCAATCGGCAGGTAAAGTGTACATCTTCCATACAGCAGCGATGAAGCTCGCGTAGGAGGTGACCATACTCAGATGATAGGTACCCTTCCACTGCCTCCATGCTTCTAGAGGATCCTCGCCGAACTTGACAAAGTGCCGAGTCCAGGCTTTGGATTTTGACTGGCGAGTTAAAAGGTACCCAATGCCAACTGAATACCAGATTCTCCACGCAGCAGCATTAAGTACGAAAATGAATTGGTACCAATGGGTTGACGGAGTCAATGCCGTAAGGGCAAATACGAGAAACATGACGAGGATAACTGAGGAGTCTGTCGATCTGTACAAGTCCAGGTTGCGTAACCCAAGCAGGTTGTGCACTGCTGGTGGCGGTTTGACCGAATACATTGGCGCGTTGGGCACGTTCTCATCGATTGGTTTTGGCGCGTTCGGAATCTCTTGGTCTTGAGACGGTGCAGGTACGGGCTCCTGAGCTATTGATCGCTTGCGGGGTGGTGGAGGATTATACGTCTTCTCGATATGTGGATTCTCGACAAAAACCAGAAAAGCGAATTGTGCTGCGTGGGCGATGATGGAGATGAACAAGACCTTGTAGCTCGCGGCCATCAAAGAGATACCGTAATATCCAGCATAGCCGACAGAATACATCGGATGAGGAGCCATCTCAAAGACACCGTCAAACGTCAGGGTTTGGTCAATGAGGAAGAAGAAGTCGCCCCAATACCACGCGTAGTCCTTGACCACTCTATGAGCGTCTAATTTGACCCAGAGGTTAAACAGAACCAGCGAAATACCGGAGGACCATCGTAGGATGCTCATAAACACGCTTTCCCCGGTGGGGTGGTGACTACACGCTATCGCAAAGAGACAGTAAGAGACGAAGTCGCACATGAGGATCAGGTCCACAATTCGCCTAAAGACAAGCCAAGTATTGTATTCAATGGGCGCCGTTTCGAATGTATAGTCAGCCGGGATTTTAGTTTCCAATTCCCGCTTAATTAGCTTGTACAGCCTGGGGTGAGGGTTCTTTCCAGTAGCCGGGTTCACAAAGACTTTCGTCTTCCGTGCCCATCTCACCAAAGTATTATGCTTAGACTGGATGTGTAGAAGCCAGCCAATGCCGACATTGTAACACGTACGCCAGAAGAGGTAGACGAAAGAAAAGACTGGGATTCTCGCTGTGGCTGGGAGCTGCCAGAGCAGCAAGATATGAAGGCCAAGGACGGTGAGCACGATAATATCAGACAGGTTCTTCGGCTCCGTGGGTGACAGAAGCTGGGAAACCATGTCATGGGTTTGGGGTACAGGGAAGACTGTGTGAGTGGATTCGAGTCAGAAACAACCGCGCAGCCACATGGAGAAGAGGAAGACGAATTTGGCCATCATCACGTAAGGACCACTTTGGAATGAGGTCTCCGAAGCAATTGGGGAATAAATAGCGATAAATGAAACAAGAACAGCTCACCTGTGCCATCCGGAGTTCTGCCAAAGGTCTTCTTGTGACCTGCAGCATCCATTGTTTCTACCTGTTCTACCTCACCTGCCGCAGCGAGAGCACCAGAGACGGCCGTAGAGTCGGACTTGAAGGGGTGATTTCTCTCACGGAGCCCATCAGTGCCACGATGGGCACCTGTTGTGATGCCAGACTCCATGGCTGTGAGGGATTAACATGCGAGAAACGGGTGGGATCGTGACAGTAATAATTGTTGGGGACTAGGAAAAGCATGTGACAGGAAGTGGGAGCGGTGTCCGTCATGATTCAATATTAATAAGTCTTCCGGAGCGGGAAATCTCGCAAGAAGCGTGAGCTAATTCTCAACGGACTTTGGCACTGCATCATGATCCATCGTCAGGTCCAGTATTGGATGAGGCGTGTTTTTCTTCAGGGGCATCGTTTCCCATGAATTGTCACCAGCAGGATCCCTGCAGCCGTTGGATGGCTATCACGGAACCGGAAGCAAATGGACCAGAAGGTCTCCGAAGCCTTCCACCTTGTCTACTCGAAGGAATCAATGATGCATTAATGTCAGTAATGGACTGGACTTGAGCTGGCTGTATGCAGGGAATCAACGCTGTCTCCTTAGTCGATCGCAGTGATAGTAGGTATCTGAGCACTGCTGATTCTGCTGGAGACCATAGCAATCGTCTAGCGTATCATGGATATATCCCAGCAGTTGAAGAAGACATAGTATAATGACCGTAGCAATGACTTGTTGGTGATTTGACTCGGGAGAATATGAGAAGAAGGACCCCCAGGACTTGCTCTGAGTCTCTGCATTTGCTGGTCGCTCACCTGACAAGCATGTGATATATAGACTACGCGACACACAGTTCTATGGATGACATACTACAGGGTCCCTGCAGACATCTACCATATGCCCATCGTCTCTCTATTATCTGCACAAGGATGAGGGGTTCTCCGAAACCGCACCGTAAGAGGCCAATCGCAGTCGCCACCATTGCATTTGTCATATCCATCGATTATCAAGCGTCATTCAGACATTTTCGGAGTCAAATATCTCCCCAGTGAACAACTCCTCACCTTCTTCTGTTCACTTAGAAGAGAGAAGAGATTTCTGCGTCTACTTATTCTCTGACTACGGCAGTGCAACCCGAATATAGAACTGCATTTGCCAAAATGTCGCCTTCGTTGCTGGAACCACCGGCACAAGTTCCAGTGCCATCCAAGGCGCCTCCCAATCTCGTCGCTCCTGAGCCAGGTGTGTACAGCTCTACTTCTCTCTGATGGCGACTTGTTTGTTATGAGATGACTGATGTGATTACGTGCTCACGGTTAGAACACTGCCCTGGACCCGAGTCTGAACAGGCTGGAAAAGGCGATGCCTGTGCCGGTTGTCCCAACCAAGCCATTTGCGCCTCCGCTCCCAAGGGACCCGATCCGGACATTCCCCTCATCACAGAACGTCTGTCTCAAGTGCGGCACAAGATTCTAGTTCTCTCCGGAAAAGGTGGTGTTGGCAAATCGACTTTCTCAACCCTCCTCGCACACGGGTTTGCGTCAAACCCCGACTCGACAGTCGGCATCATGGACACAGATATCTGCGGGCCGTCGATTCCTAAGATGATGGGTGTGGAGACTGAAACGATTCATGTGAGCAACTCGGGCTGGAGCCCCGTCTGGGTGACGGACAACTTGGGCGCAATGAGCGTGCAGTTCATGCTGCCCAATCGGGATGATGCTGTAATCTGGAGGGGTCCGAAGAAGAACGGGCTCATCAAGCAGTTTCTCAAGGACGTTGATTGGGGCGAGCTGGATTTCTTGGTTGTGGATACCCCCCCCGGGACATCAGATGAACATCTGTCAGTCAACTCATTGCTGAAGGAATCCGGGGTAGATGGTGCCGTATTGGTGACCACTCCGCAAGAGGTGTCACTGCTGGATGTTCGGAAGGAAATCGACTTCTGTCGCAAAGCCGGAATCCGGATCCTGGGGCTGGTGGAAAACATGTCGGGATTCGTCTGCCCAAGTTGCACCAACGAGTCTCAGATCTTTCGAGCTACGACGGGAGGTGGCAGGCGACTTTGCAAGAAGATGGGTATTCCATTCTTGGGCGCAGTGCCATTAGATCCCAGAGTCGGCATGGCCTGCGACTACGGCGAAAGCTTCGTGGACAGTTTCCCCGACAGCCCAGCGTCCAAGGCGATCCGGCAGGTGGTCCGATCTGTTAGCCAGTTCATTGGAGAGGACCCGGACCATGTCCTCCCAGAAGACGCGGCCGAGTGATGTCGGTTCGGTTCTTTTGAAAAATTCCTTTGTTTCTATACAGCGCGTCATTTGGAAAGCGATTCAACGGTGTTCATGAGTCTCATGCTTAGTGTTCTTTTCTGTTGGCGTTGTGGGCGAATAGCAGCATTATGGACTTTTTTGATACCAAAGATCTAGATAGATATTCTATACATACTACTGATGTTTTTTCTGTCAACGATGATCCCACTACGCATACGCTAAAGGGCCTTGGAAATTATTGTGACGCCATATACGTATAGCCCATCATAGAAGTGATTTTCATGAGCTTGGGGAAGCGGAATACTTCTCCACGTCTACATGATCCCTCACATTCTCCAACAAGTAACGACCTGCAGCATCCACGTACCTGACATGAGCCCTCAATGCTTCTACAAAACTAGGTTTCACGACCGCGGGTATCACGCCACAGAACAGGGGCTGGTTTCAGCCAGTGGCAGTGGAGAAGAAACGATTCGCGAACAGTTGTCCTGAGCTGAGCTGAACCGTCCACACAGACTTCGACGGTGGACCGGGCAACTCCAGCTCTGTTCGCAGGATGAGACCCAGAACGCGCAGTTCCAAGGTCGAGCTGCGTCGGGACTATGGGAGTCGCTCGCTTCTCACTGTCTCACAGGCTGCTTACTATGACTGCCAAGGGTAGCGACGCAACCCTCTGGATACCAAGTCCTGGGTGAGATTCTGGTTGGCAATGTCGACTCTGTGAGCCATGGGTGAGATGGACGTCTAAGATCTATTCTTCTCTTTTCTTTTCTTCTCTCTCACATATTTACCCTGTTCTGCTTTTTCTGCTTCTTTGCTGTTCTTGTAACCTAGAGCCGTGCTCGGGATTTCCTTCTTTTCGTGGCGAACAGGTTGTCAGGTCGGGCCTTGACACTGTTTCGTTCTTTATATATATATGTGACTTATCATTTATATGAACATTCTTTTGGTACATATTGCATTTGTTTTTTTCATCCGTCTTTTCCCGTCCTTCATTGACGTCTCGCCCCATCGCAAAGAGCTGGATATAGACGTTCAACACAGAGAAAAAGCCTGGCACTATGCTACTTCTCCATTCTCTTACACTACTATTGCTTTTCGGCTATGATGTGTTCGCTGCGCCGACCTCTTCGCCGATTCAACAGCAACGCCGTTCGTTCAAAGTTGGAAGGGTACGGCGAGATGGCTATATTCCTCATGGATCGACTGCTCTGCGAAGGGCATACCATAAATACGGCATAATTCCCAGGGATTCGGGGTGGGATTCATTGGACTTTGAACCAGCGAAGCAGACAAGGTCCGCTGATGCGTCGGGTTCAGTTAGCGCAACGTCGACTGGTTCTGAATTTGTTTGTCCGGTCAAGATTGGAGGGCAGACGCTTGTGTTGGACTTTGATACTGGTTCAGCGGACATGTAGGTGATCCCCCTCAGTAATATCTTCTCATGGATTGTATACTGACGTCTGTTAGGTGGATAATGAATTCGCAACTTCCGCCTGAAGCGACAGTGGGACACACGGTATTTGATACGTCCAGATCGCCTTCATTCAAACTGATGGAAGGGGCATCCTTTAATATCAGCTATGGGGATTCATCCTTTTCTTATGGCCCAGTTGGCACCGATACCGTTGATATTGGCGGCACGGTGGTTGAGAACCAAGCTTTTGGACTTCCCACGGCACTGTCTGATTCCTTCATCCACGATACGGCGTCAAACGGACTAGTTGGCCTGGCATTTTCGTCTCTCAGCACGGTCAAGCCAGAGAAACAGAAGACCTTCTTCGAGAATGTTGCTGAGAGTCTTGACGAGCCTGTTATGACATCGTTGCTGAAGGGCGGCAGCGGTGGCGAGTACGAATTCGGGACGATCGATACAGCAAAGTACCAAGGTGAAATGATAAATATCAGCGTGGACGTCTCCAATGGATTCTGGCAGTTTGAGAGCGCCAAATTTTCCATAGGCGATGGCAACGGGGATCTGCAAGACATCAAGACCCCCACTTCCATCGTCGACACGGGCACATCGCTCATGCTAGTCAGCCCTGAAGTGGCCGAAGCTTACTATGCGCAAGTCGAGGGTGCAGTCTTGTCTAACGGTGCAGGTGGTTTCGTCTACCCTTGCGATTCTGAACTTCCCAGTCTCTTCGTCGCTCTCGGTGGAGAGGGTATGGCCAGAATCCCGGGCTCGGACATGACCTTTGGCCACGCCGGAACCAACATAACTACGGGACAAGCATGTAAGTCGACCATCGCTTATAGTCCTAATTGTTTATCCTTGTTTGCTAATTGATGCTTCACAGTGTGCTTTGGTGGTCTGCAGTCGAACCAGGGCAGTAATTTGCAGATCTACGGGGATACCTTTTTGAAGTCTTTGTTCGTCGTGTTTGATATGAGAGGGCCTTCACTTAGGATGGCAGTTCCTGCATGAGTGGCATTTGCATTCCTGTATTTTGATTCAAATTATCATTAGCATTGCATCTTGATTCATTTGTCTACAGCGTATATAGTTAATAAAAAAGGAATATAGTTCCTGAGGCAGCAATGACATCTGCTGAGTCAGCGGTGCCCTAACTGGCCTGAAACAGCCATAGCCCTACCGCTCTTTTGGACGATCTCTTTGAGAGAAGAGTTGCATGACTCAAAACATCTTCAGATGCTTCAATTGACGTGAATCTTGTCTCTCTACCGGTCCCACTCCTCAGGGATCTCCTCCTTTATACTCATCAAGCTGCCGTCGCTCAAGCCCACCGCGCGCCTTGTCCGGCCTGCGGTCACAGTAACCCCGCGGCCTACCCAGCTATCCGGACTCCATCAGAGACTCCGTCCCAATTTTACCCCTCCGCTTCCCTTGCTCAACACCGCCAGTTTTTCGTTCCCAGCACGCCGTCCTTTCGCAAACATGGCGACAGCTTCTGCTCCCGATACTTCTCTTCTTTCCCTGCTATACCGATCCTACCCTACCATCATCTCCCCAGACGCGACTGAGCCCGATCTCCTACACGCCACTCCTAAAATTTTTGGCAAGACCACCTTCACCGCAGCAGACGAGGCGGAGCTGAAGACCTTGCTGGAGAAGATTGCAGTACTCAAGGCTGCACTGAAAAAGGAGGACAAGGAAGCCGTTGCGAATGTCCTGTCTCAGCTGAACGCTCACCTCGCTACCAAGACGACTTTGCTTGGTGCGAAGCCCTCGGTTGCGGATATCGCGCTGTACGCCCTCCTGGCGCCAGTGGTGGAGAAGTGGACGCCAGAAGAGCGCACTGGAGAGAAGGGATATCACCAGATTGTGCGTCATGTTGATCTCGTGCAGAATGGTGAACTGTTCGGATTGCACGTTCCCGAAGAAGAGAAGGTGAAGATTGACCTGGATGATGTCCGTTTCGTACCGAAGCGGGCTGATCCAAAGGAGGAAAAGGAACGTAAGAAGAAGGAGAAGGCTGCCGCCGAGAACCCTGATGCTGAGAAGACGGAGGGTAAGAAGACCCTCGTAGTCGGACAGGGTAAACCTGAAAAGGCGGCTGGCGAACAAGCTGCTGCTGGTGCTGCACAGCCCAAAGCTAAGAAGGAGAAAAAGGAGAAGAAAGAAAGACAGCCCAAGGCTGCACCTGCTCCTGCAGCACCACCTTCCCCGTCTATTATTGATCTTCGCGTTGGCCATATTCTTCGTGCCATTAATCACCCCAATGCCGATTCCTTGTACGTTTCCACCATTGATTGCGGTGATGCGCCCGGTTCCGACAATACCTCCCTGGATGAAGCGACGGGCAAGACCGTGCGGACTGTTTGCTCCGGTCTGAACGGACTCGTCCCTCTGGAGGAGATGCAGGGTCGTAAGATCGTGGCTGTCTGCAACCTGAAACCAGTTACCATGCGCGGAATCAAATCCGCAGCTATGGTTCTGGCTGCATCCCCCCGTGTTGCTGAAGGCGAAGATTCCCACGCTGGACCCGTCGAGCTTGTGAACCCCCCAGCAGACGCACCGGCCGGTGAACGCGTTTACTTTGATGGCTGGAAAGAGGGCGAGCCGGAGAAGGTTCTCAACCCGAAGAAGAAAGTCTGGGAGACATTCCAGCCCGGGTTCACGACTACGGATAACCTCGAGGTTGCGTTCGAGAGCAGCGCGGTCCCTGCCGTGCAGGGCCAGGAAGGCAAGCCGGCTCTTGGTAAGCTGGTGACCGCGTCGGGCGGCGTATGCACGGTGAAGAGCTTGAAGGGAGCTACCGTTCGGTAGGGGGCCTTTGAAGAGAGACGCATGATGTGAGCGAACTAGAAAAGAGTCATTTGGTACACTTGAATGAGATATGATTATTCGTTTGGGATTTTCAGTACGGAGTAGACCAGTCGCATTTGATGAATTCCGAGTTATCTGCAGATCCTAATCAACTAAATGACATAGAAGAGTCGGTTCATGCCCTACAGCTTTAACTGGACTTCCACCGGATAGTCGCATTTCTCTGGGAACTATTACTGTGGCCTGGTATCTGTTAATTCACTGAATAAGGATAGGAAACTGCCCCGAGTACATTCCAAGAATGCAGATTAATAGAACGGCAATATTAAATGATAGAAGACTTGATGATATCCGTTTAATTAACGCCAACTAATGAGACAACATATATGTATATAAGACATCAACCATCCAATCCGACAGGATCCATTATGGTCTAGCAAACCAGCCTTTCACAGTCCCAAGATCTATATAAAGGTGTGTATATATATGAGAGAGAGAGAGGGGGGCAGTAATCATACTTCCGCGATCGTCTCAATAGTGGTCATCTCCTCCGTCCCAGCGCCCCGATCAACTTTCTTCCCCTTTTCACAGGCCGGATCACTGCTCGCCGACGCAGGCGACTTTGGAGGCTGATTAACCTCACGCATAGCGAGAAACTCCACCCCGAATGGCCAGGTAGTAGGCTGTCTCGGCACAGGCTCTTCGGTAGCATGGGCCCAGATGCGCAGAGCCAAACTGCGACCGAGCATTTCGATCGGGGGCGTAAGCAGTGGAAGGCTTGCAAAAAGCACAAAGTACGTAATGATGAACACCAGAAGCACACAGAGCCAGTAGGGGAGTCCGTAGGAGAACAGGGTGATCATGGCCCATGACCCGATGGACCAGAAGATGAAGCCGTGGATCAGGTAGATGGTGAAGATATGCGGGAAGACGAATTGTAAGAACTTCACGGAGAGGATCTTTTGAACGAGCGGACAGATCTCGACGACCGCCTGCATGGACACGGTGGATACCCATGCATTCAGTCTGGGGATGAAGTAATCTGGGTAGACGGTGTTTCCCGCTTGGCCCAGCGACAGGCCGGAGTTGATATCCGGGTGCCAGTTGTGTTCGATCAGGGCGTATTGCACGCCGTTCCACTGCGGAACGAGGTCGATGGTGAAGCCGCCGAGGGCGACGAGGATCAACAGCCACAAAACGGGGTAGTAGAGGAACGGGCGCGCGTGCAGCCATGGCTTGTACTTGTACGTGATGTCTAGGTCGGCCAGGAGGACTCCGGCGTAGTAGTAGCTGGCCCAGGAGAGGCCGTACCAGTGGTTGATGATGCTGAAGGCGTAAAAGGCCATGCGCTTCCACGGGGTCTTGCATTGTTTAATCATCAGCAGGGCGAGGAGGGTCTGCCATGCTCCCTGCAGCTGGACGGGGATTGTCCACAGCACGCCGGTGCAGTAGTTGTACGTGATCATCGGAGCGCCGTTGGGGATCAGATAGGCCAGCTGGATGACTTCGCTGATGAAGACGCCCGGGTTCGCCACGATGGAGGTGAACGGCCAGGAAGACCACGTCACCGAGGGCAAGTATTCGAGCCAGTTGACCGCCCCGGCGTCGATGAGGAAGTACTGCAGCAGCGCAATCGAGGCGACCGGGGTAAGCAGACGAAAGGGACGTGCCACGACCTTCTGCGCCATGTTGCTCAAGTTCCCGGTCCGCAGGTAGTTGGACACCAGAAAGCGAGTCGAGATCATCAGAAACGGACCGATCCACAGCGGATCCAGAAAGTACGTGGCGATGGTTTTGCGCGCCCAGGTCTCGCTCTGGTAATGCGGTAGCACCGAAGGGATGATGACGGCCGCCCAGAACGTGAGGCCAAAGTGGTTCATCGTGACGAGAATGGCGCTGACGGAGATAAACCCGGCCAGATAGTCTATACGCTGGCGGGGAGGCGCGTTTCCCTCCGGGTTGGATCCTGACGGTTTGGATCCGGGCTGTTGCGTTTCCGGCTGCGTCGTCGTCGGTCCCGACGGCGGCGACGCGGAGGCCTTCTCGCCCGGTCCTCGCTCTGGCTGCTGCGAGGAATGGAGCAGCGAAGCGGCCAGCACGCCTGCCGTCGGTGGGAGATAGCTGTCTGGTGCTGAGGAACCGGGGCCTCCACCCGGCGTCTGCGTGGCCGAGAGCCTCGACGGCCGCCGGGACACCGCAGGGCTGCGGTATTCCGGGGCCGGGGTCGGGGCGACCTTGTACGAAGGAGGCGGGAGGGGGAGGTAGGAGGACGATGCGCCGGGAGTGTGGCCATCTTCGCGGATGGGGGAGTCCGACAGCGATGCTTCCGGGGAATGGTTCAGCTCCTCGACACTGTCGCCGGCCGTGGACGACTTCCGGAGCCCCATGTCAACCAGGGTATCGTTCCAGAAGCGTCTCCACAGCGTCTTGGTGGTGAGCAGCGTGAAGACGGACGAGAAGATGATGACGATGATGAGAGGCGCCCACCGGATCCTGTACGGCGGGTGCTTCTGCTTCCACGGCTTCAGGGCGTCGGCGGGATACACGGAGGAGCCCCGGAGGGAGTTGTCGCTCATGGGACACGCATCGGCCGGAGAACATCGGGCGTCAAATGCCTCATGCGCTGCATCGGTCATGAGCGACGAATTGAAGAAGATGCGAGTCCACGCGATGTTGGCCTCGGAGCGAGACTGCGGCGGCCCCCCCGTGCTGTACATGTTCCCCAGCGACCAATGCTGCCACCGCAGGGCAGCCGGTGTGCTGGGCAGCGATCCGTTACCGTGTCTTGTATAGCTCTTCTGCAGCCGGCCGCCGATGTAGTAGTCCAGCCGGTCCCTGCTCCAGTCGACGCGATACTCGGTGTAGTACCACGGGTCCATGTTCTCTTGCGACAGGTTGGTGAAGTTGGCCCCGAACCAGAGGTCGGGGAACGAGCTCTGCATCAGCATCGTCACCCACGCCCAGCTGCTGTTGTCCGTGTTCATGACGTCCATGCTCCAGCTTTCCGTCAGGTTGTGCTCCAGGACCATGGACAGCGCCGAGCCCTTGTGCCAGGCACGGGGGGCGCGCAGCGAGCTGCGGAACGAGCCGAAGAAGAGGTCCTCGCGGGCCGTGCGGATGCTGGATCCAACGACCAGGTGGTTGTTGTCCGCGGGATCGCAGTACATGGACAGACTGCTCTTGTTGCGAGCACTGGCGTCGTGGCCGAGTGCCACATTGTCCACGGCCGCGCCCTGGCGGTAGAGGGAGTTCCAGCCGCGGTCGTACTTGTGGGCAAACGACTCCACGATCAAGTCGTCCGGGATGCTGCTGGTCTCGTTGAAATAGACGATGGAGGCGTCCGTGTAGACAAGACCGGCCTCCTGGTCGTAGAAGCCGCACGCACAGCTGGCAATATCGCGCGTCTCTTGCTGCGCCACGCAGAGGGAGAGAAGAAAGGCCACAGAGAGCCAGAAAGACATGGTCTCGGTGATGGTGGACTGTCTGATGGAGAGAGAACGTCCGAGCATCCGCGTCGATTCAGGTATCTTGCATCCCCCCTGGAGGCAGCAGACGGTTCTGAGAGCTGCAGAAAGGAAGAGAGGAGCCCCCCGTCCAGAGAGAACCCAGCCAATATACCAGCAAAGCAGCCATGCCTGTTACCGGCGATTTCGTTGGGCCGGCGCTGCGATCATGCCCAGAAACGATCGACAGGACGGTCGCATATTCTCATCCCATCCAAGGGTCCCTAGAGTAATATCCATTAATCCCAGGCCCGCCTGCTTGTCCCATCCTGCACAGACCGACGGCTTTCCGACTATTGAAAACTAAGATATTGTGCAGATCCCGGGATCCCTGCCGGCTCCCGACCAGAGCGAGGTGATGCATTGACGGACGGACTATTAGGGCTTGGTACCGACATCAGCCAGAGCGGCCCCGGTCACTCGGGGTCTTCTTATTTTTTATTTTTGGTTTTTGTTTTAATTTATTTATTTTTTGCTCGTGTTCCTGCAGAGGCTTGCGGCAATCCCTGTGACGGTCGTTCTGATTTCCCCCTCTTCGTCGCTGGCTGGAAACGCTCTCTATCAGCATCCACGCAGAACAGTGAACGGGAACGGCACAATGGCAGACAACGCCTCCTACGGTGGAGGAAGCGCTCCCAGAGCGAGCCGGATGCATCGACTAAAGTCCAGTCTACGGAAACTCCTGCGAGACGTTTCCTGGGCCGTGACGACAGTGTCCGATGGCGTGCAAGACTGGACGCCCTTCTTCCTGGTCCTGTCCTACTTTGTCGTCTCGACGTGCGTCTACATGATCGCGACGTCAGCCATCCTCAAGTTCTTCTGGTTCATCTATCTCATGACCAACACCTACATTGCCAGCGCAACGGTCATCGAGGCCGTCATGAGCATCGGGGCGTCGCACGCGGCGAAGAAGGCCGTGGCCAAGGTGGCCAAGGACGGCTGGGTGTTTCCCACGGCCGACGAGAATCTGCTCAAGCTGGACATCGTCATTGTCGCCTACCTGCCGAATGAGCAGGAGATCATCATGGACCGCATCCATTATCTCCTCGACGAGCTGCAGTATCCGCGGGACAAGCTGCGGATCAACGTGATGTACAACAGCCCGTATCCCATCCAGCCCCTGGAGGCGCGCATGCACGAGCTGGCCATGAAGTTCCCCGGCAATCTCCGCGTGGTCAAGGTGCCCAAGTCGACCTCCAAGGCGGACAACGTCAACTACTACTGCTCGCTGGACACCGACGCGGACGTGTCGGCCATCTTTGACTGCGACCACTACCCGCATCCCTACAGCGCACGCTGGGCCATGGAGCGCTTCGTCAAGGACTCCACCGTGGACATCGTGCAGGGCCGGTGTGTCATTTTCAACAGCAGCGAGAACCTGATGACCGGCATGATCGCCGTCGAGTTCGACAAGATCTACGCGGTTTCGCATCCGGGCCGAGCGGCCATGTTCAACTTCGGCCTGTTCTGCGGATCGAACGGCTACTGGCGCACGCCGCTCCTCAAGCAGGTGAGGATGGACGAGGGCATGCTGACCGAGGACATCGACTCGGCGCTGCGCGCGTTCGGGATGGGCGCCAACGCAGTCCACGAACTGAACGTCGTCTCCTTCGAGATGGCGCCGGTCACCATGGCAGCCTTCTGGAAGCAACGCCTGCGATGGTCGCAGGGCTGGCTGCAGGCCAGCTGGCGGCACCTCCCGCTGATTTGGAACCGGCCCACGGTGGAAGGGAAGACGCGCAGCTTCAACCAGCGATTCGGCATCTTCTCGCTGCTCCTCGTGCGCGAGCTCAGCTACTATCTCATGACGCAGTATCTCTGCCTGGTGCTGAACATCGTCATCATCGACTTCCCCCAGTCCGGGGAGGAGCTGTACAAGCTCGTCTTCTTCCAGTACCCCATCGCATGGTGGTTTTGGATCCTGAGGTGCGTATCATCCCCGCCGTCCCCCTGAAAAGAACCCCGGCGGCTCACGTCGATCAGCATCGTATCTTTCCTGGGCACGCTCTACGTCTCATTCCACGTCCGCTCGGAGTTTGTGCCATGGTGGATGATCCCGGTTTTCACCGTCAGCTATCCGGCGCAGCTGGTGCTCAACGCCGTGCTTGGGCTGTTCGGACATGCGCGCCAGCTCAGCAAATACGTCAAGTGGAATCCCACGCCCCGACGGTGAGCCGATTCCGGGCAGGGATGGGACCGGGACGGGGATCAGCCATCGGAGCATCAGCGTGTAGATGAGCGAGATATGATGCAGGCTGCATGCCTTGTCTCGGCCGGTGTGCAGGAGCTGTCTGGGATCGGCAATCTCAATCGATATTCATCATGTAGAGCAAATAGAAGAATACCAAGAGACCATGCCATGGCCAGCCCTGGTGCTTAGCTTGTCACAGCCCTGTCCGGACGATCTTGGCCACATCCAATAGACCCAGAAAAGCAGCATGCCAAGGACGTCCGGCGTTGCTGGCGTCGCTGGCGTCGCTGGCGATCGGCGCCGCGTAGTATCGCTAGCGCTGGCCCCTGGATCTGCGGACGTTCAATTGACTTTCTGCAGAAGCGTATCGGCGCATCTCCACTCCCATCAAGTCCCGGTTCACCGACACGTCCCTATTTCCGTTGGCGGGCGAGATCTGTCCTGCAGATCGTGCTGGACGAGGATGCATCGACCCCTGAAACCGAGCAAGACTTCCAGTGAGGCGTTGGGAGGCTCCGCAGATAATTAAAGCTGAACTCCCAACAGAGCAGCGCGGTAGACGCAAGGATCTGCAAAGCTAAAAAGAAAAAAAAATCGATAGTCGAACTGTTCTCCTTCTCCGGTGGCTGCAGCAGCCAACGGTCATTTTCCTAATCCAGCCTGCAATCTTCACGCATGCGTAACAGCGAGTGGGTTTTGCGCATGGGATCAGCGGCATGCACTGTCTATCATGCCACCATGTCATCGACTCGAAACAAGGAGGAAGTAATAATCCCCGTTGACCAGTACGGAGTGAAGCCCGCCGGCGGACGCCGAGAGCACCCTGCAAGGGATCGCCAGGACGGCTTTATTTATCGGAATCGGCGCTGACTGAGATCCCTGGCTCTGGTTCTCGAGATAAGCAGAGAGGCAGAAAGCAGAGAAGCACAGAAGCCGTGGAGCGTATATCCCCTGGTTGACGGTCCAGCAGCGTCACGTCGTTCCCAGCGTCAGCGCCAGCGCCGGCTTCATCTCGAACAGACAGCATGGACCGCTGGAAGCCCGCCGTCCTGCTCAAACCCCTCCGCAAGGAGCATCCCACGGTGCACGAACAGCAGTATCTCGTGGGATTTCGCGGTTTGCTGGTCGTCCAGGCCTTTCTCTGGACCTTTCTCCAGACGTTCGCGCCGGTGACCGTCTACCCGACTCGCAACCAATATGGCCCATTTCCGCAGATGATGGTGCGCAAGACGCTGGCCGTGCTCTTCTGGAACGAATACTTCATCTACGCGGGCTTCGTCATCCTGTCTGCGCGCTCCCTGGCCATCCCCTTCCTGAGAAAGCCGTCGGGGGACGTGATCGCGCGCGCGGTGATGTGCCGCAGCATCACGCTCTGGTTCCCGGTCATGATCGGCTTGGCCATCGTCAAGCTGGCCTTCAACGACAGGTTCTTCGCCGTGCTGGACCTGTTCCGGTCCCGGACGGGGAACAACACCATGCCTTTCCCTTACAAGCTCCCGTCGACGCTGGCGTACTGGAACTCGGTCTACAATGTCTTCTGGACCACGCACGACTTCACTGCGCAGGCCGGTAGCACGGCCTTTCCAACGCAGACCCTGTGGCTGCTCAGTGTCGTCTACGTGCAGAGCTACACCGTCTACATGACCATGGTGATCATCCCGTGGACCCGCGCGAAATGGCGTGTCCAGGGCGCGTTTTTCTTCATCATCACGGCCTGGTGGTGCCAGTCCTGGGCCTGGTTTACCATCTCTGGTCTGGTCCTGTGCGACGCCGTGATGAATATGGACTTCAAGGAGCGCTCCCAGCGCGGAATCCCCCTTGAGATCCCCGTCAAATCGCTGCGCCGTCCCAACGGCCAGCCGTACCGCGTGCCCGTTTGGGTTCCGGCTGTGTTCTGCCTGACTGCATCCTTGATCATGCAGTACCTGTGGGCTGCGTGGAGGCCTCAGTGGTTCAATGCCGAGTTCAAGTACCACAGTGCCTTGTACTACACAGCTGGTCTCAACACCGAGTACATGACCCATCACACGGCGGCGCGAGCAGATTCGTATCTCATGGTGCTCGGCATCTTCATCCTACTGGAGAGCTACGATGTCCTGCAGCGGTTCTTCCAGAACCCGTTCTTGATGTATTTGGGCCGGAGGTCATTAAGTGAGTTTTCTTTTTTTCAATTTCTTTGCTACAGCAGTGTCGGACAGGGTCACTGACTCGAATCCATAGGTTTCTTCCTCACCCAGTCCACCATGATGTACATCGCTGGCATCCGCGTCTTCCACCATCTGGCTCACGACCGTGGACTGTCGTATTCGGGCACGACCGTCGTGACGCTGATTATTTGTCTGGTTCTTGTCCCTGTCACAGCGGAGGCATTCTACCGTCTTGTCCAGCGGCCCAGTCGGGCGTTTTCCCATCTGTTCTATGATTTTATTACTTCTTAGTCTGCCTTGGTTCTGGTTATATTCAGTCCGGTAGATACGCTTATGTCTTTTAATGGTATACATATCGTGTCTCCTTCCAATAGATGTATGTGATATGTCTTACATATTTCTATCCAGAACATTTTTATTATTTTTATTTCATCCCGGTGGAGAGAGTTCTAGACTGAAACGTCAATGCATCTGCTGTTTCACATCGCATCCGAGACAGTATAGTCTCCCCTTCCAAAGTTAACCGAAATTGAACCATGCACTGCCTTCTGCCTAGGATCAAGATGTCTAAGTGAGAAGGTACAGCAGCCGTTTATAGATGTCCGGAGAAACAGACGGCTCCCCACGGTCTGAACTATGGAACGGCAGACTATCTCTACGCTTATTGTCCAGATTTCATTTACCAAGAACGCCCTGGCCTGATCTTGCCTACCGGTTTCAGTTTATTTTTGATTCTGAAGGGGCGGGGTTATCACAATAATGCAGTCAGCTAAGACGTACGTAGGTTTCAACGACCTGGGCTGTAGGTCTGTTACACTGCGGATATTCAGGAGAGGGTTGAAATGTGTCTTAACGGATACGTCTGCATTGCAGACACCGCTTATACTCGACACAGTGGTATACTTATTATAGCCCAGATCAGAAAATGATTGCTCAGCAGACTGTATGAGACTTCCCCGTCGTGCCCTGGAGAGAATGCTGCTCATTTTGGTAGAACGAGTGGCCGGGTGGAAGGTGGTGTCCATGTTCGCCAATATACCTAGTACTGTTAATTCTACCACAACTGATATAGAATTGGTAGGTAGAGAGAAAGAGAGAGAGAAACATACTGTATATACCGCTGCACAGTCATATGATCCATATCATCCAACGACTTCAGCGCCTGCTTGATATCCTCGATAAGCAGCATGCACCGATGCGTCGTAAAGTCCTCACGGACGACAATCCGCATGAGTTTCATCTGGCTGCTGTTCGGTGCCATGGTATACGCTGGGATGACCCATCCGCGCCGACGCAGGACGGCAGACAGCGCAAATTCATCGAATAGCCTGTTCTCGTCATCTGGGAATCTGAAGGCCACAAGGGGCACGCCGCCTGTCCCCGTGGTGTCGCTGAGGATTATGAAGCCTAGATCCTGTATGCCCTTTCTAAGTTGGGAGGAGATCTGGGTTAGATTGTGCATGATGACTTTGTAGCCTTCCCGTCCGAGTCGGATTAGCTGGTAGTACTGGCCGATGACGTTGGAGGCGCCTTTTGAGAAATTCAGAGTAAACGTCGCCTGTTCAGCGCCGAGGTAGTTGACGTTGAAGACGAGTTCCTTGGGGAGATATTCGGGGGATCGCCAGAATACCCAGCCAATGCCGGGGTAGACCTGGTTATCGTGAGCTTGGACCGCGTAAGAAGAAGGGAAGAAACTGTGGATGAACGTACAAGCCCATACTTATGCCCTGACACGTTGATCGAAACAACATTTTCCAGCCGGAAATCCCATACTCGCGATGGAGCAGTGAACGGGGCCACGAATCCCCCACTAGCAGCATCAACATGGATTGGACAGTCAATGTTGCGTTTAACGAGCAGGTCGTTGATTGCCTTGACATCCTCATAGTGCCCTGTATATGTTGTTCCCATGATAGCACAGATACCAATGGTGTTCTCATCAACCAGATCAACAGCCTGGACAGGATCGATCACAAACCGGTCCTCTGTGCAATAGACGTATTTCTCCTCGACATCGAAATACCTCACTGCTTTCTCCCAGCAGACCTGCACCGCGCTATTCATGATGATATTCGGACGCGACCAGTCTTTCCCCTCTGCTTTGCGCTTGTTCTGCCATCTCTTCTTCATCGCCAGCATGGCCAGCATAATCGCCTCGGAGGAGCCCACGGTCGATGTACCCATGGCACCCTCTTCCTTGCCCGTGTCGTGGTTCTGAGGCGCATTCAGCAGCTCGGCTATCATGTTGACGCAGCGGTTCTGCATGAGCGCCGTCTGTGGGTACTGTTCGTAGTCGATGAAGTTCTTGCTCATGGCATTGGACATGAGCTCTTCGGCTTCTTTTTCCTGTCATATACATCAGCGCCCTGCTCACCCTTCTTCAGTTCTCCCTCCCGTACCATATACGTAGTAACGAAACTCGCCATACTAAACACACTATTAGAACACATAGCTGAGAAGCAGAAGAGGAGAACCTACTTGAGCAAAGGATTCCCATCCAGACTCAGCTCGTCCGCAATCATGCGAGATGCAACCTCAGCCGGCATCCCCTGCTGGTTCATAACATGCATCGGGAGCTCCTCAGACGCATACCGCGTCGCATAGACGTTGGCATACATCGGATTCTGAGCGACAGTCGCATCGCGCTCCTGTCGGTGGTGCCGACGATGCGACGGCTCGCGCTTGACTCTGGACAAATGCACCATTGTGTATTATATTAAATGCATTAAACCAGTTAGAGATAGCGAGCAATGGACCTGGACCTTCAATTCCAGCGGAGATGTGCTTCTAAAACATCGAGAAGAAGCGGGTTGACGAAGCTGTACTTTAAGTACGCTCGGGGTATTCATAATGACATCATGACTCGCATCCTCGGGATTTTCTTCACGAATTGCTCCAAAAGGGCAAAACAAGATCCAATCCGTGGAACTGCAGGATTCCGGCTTATCGACTTCCGGCTCGTCCGGTGATTTTCTGCGTCATTTGGCCAGATGGTTTTCCCTCTAGAGGTTTAGGGTCGCTGGGGATTCAGGTCCGCACAACCTCAACCCTCTTTGAAGAAGTATCACTGCATGAAGACAATCTGGGGTTGGCCAGCCATGAATGGTTTAGTCGAAATGAACCCAATCTCATTGCTGTAGTACCGCGATGAAGCCTCGATAGCTTTATGACATCGATGTGCCCCTCTTTCGAGACATTTCCGAGTTCACGGAGTCCTTATAGTCGCCATGTGGAATGGCTTCGGGTTCACAACGGTGTTCTCATCTAACTCGCAGATTATTCCAGACCGACAGTTAGAATACTGCTCAATTCAGAAATTAGAGGGATGCATGGAATCCTTGTCCGATTGGAATCACTAAGCAAGGAGCGCCCGCTTCAACTGCATATAATGTCATGATCAGCCGTACATGGAATGAACTCTCAAGCAGAAGGTCTTATACATGCCACTTACAAGGAGGTTCAAAGATGCGCATAACAGCTCTTGCAATCCCATGATAAAGTGCAGCCGGTTTTACATCGCATATGTAGCAAACATAGCTGCCTTCTCTGTCATATGTTTTGTAAGGACATGTGGAGAGTTGGAGGCATGAGGATGTCACAGCAAGTCTTCGATCCCTGAACCATTTCAGAAATAATCGACCTTTCTGAAGAATGTCTTCACCCGATCGTCAACTTGATTAACCTTATGCAGTGGAGGCTGAGGGATCGAATTTGTGAGCGGAAACGACAACGTATGCAGCACAAGGAGTGGCCACCAAGACATCTTTGGGAGATGATCCTCGCCTGCGTATGCCTGTATCTGAAAACTGACGCAATCAAAGAATGGGAAGTTCGACGAGATAATGGCTTCAGCCGCTGCAAGAAATGGAATCAAAAGTCCCCTCTCCTTGGGTTCTACAAGGGGCTGATAACCATTCTCGAGGTCAAGACTCAAGATGAGGATTGATGGCGCAAAGGGAACTCTATTAAAGAGTATCATAAGTGAATTTAACAGGATACCTGAAGGGAGCCGTGGGAGCTACTTTCCCTGGTTTCTGAGAAACACCCGCCTGTTAGACAACAAAAGCCTTGGGATGGAATATTCTGAATCTCCGCCAGTACCTGCAACTTTGAAGAATTCTGGCACGCATACGAACCAGGAGAATTAATCCAACTGAAGGATTGATATGGATTGAAAGAGAGTTGGTTACAATTCAGATACCTTGACAGTTTCCCTGACAGACAACTCGCACCATGTCCAAGCGTTCGGCGATTGCGGCATATATTGGCTCTTGGGAATGCCGCTATTCCTTCACAGTTAGAACAAGCAGCGTATGATTATGGGCTATCGCTGTCTATAGATACAAGATAAAAGATCATCCTGAACAGGAGTATTGGTCAATTGTCGTCTCGTGGTGATCCAATGGAACTGCATCATGCGCGATGCCAGGGTCATATTGCAGCGTTCACTGTCTAGCCATGACTATGATCAGATAAGAGGAAATATTCCGAAATCGGCTCAATACGGAGTTCTCGTCTCCCGTCTCTCGATGAAATACATGAAAACCACGCCACACAGATGCCCAAACTGTCGACTAATCAGCCCAGCACTGAATGAATATGAGGTGTGTCGTAAGCAGAGAAGCGAAATGGACCTTGGCGGATTGTATGTACAGCACTAATACACATACACATACACATACACATGGACATAGCACCGGATGCTACAGACTCCGACACTAGATAGGTGCTGAAGAACTCGATCTGATTAGATTTTTTGAAAGATCAATACCGTACATTACACTTGGTAATTTACAGTCTAATACAGTACATACAGACCCACGGTCTCGGATCAGATAACCTCCTCAACCAACATCTGCTCAAGAAACAGCCCTACCAATTTGGATGTCTGTCCGCCAAGGGACGTGGCGTGGTGAAATACTACGATAGTGTATGGTTTTTTTTTGGTTTTTTTTTTTTTTTTTTTTTTTTTTCTGAATTACAAATATCCGGTAAGTAAGGCGAGACAGTTACCTAACTTGTTGACAGCTAATTCATCACTACTGAGATACATGCTGAGAATGCGGACTGAATATACAGTATAGTAAAACGGATGAACGGTGGAGCTATAAGGCTCCGAACCAGATAAAGTCCACGGGAAGTAGGACCAGCGAACTCTGCTCCTCAACACGATACAATCAACTTCAAATTCAAATTACAACTCAACGCGAGTAGTGTCAACTAAATAAAGTAGACCAGCATTTTTCGGGGCATTCAAATCAGGGATCTCCCCGAATTCAGCCTGAATAGTTTCTGCATTTGCTGGTGTAAATTGCAAGTCTTCATATAGACACTTACTTCTCCCTTTTTTTCGCAAGTGACATACCAAAATGAGTGAAGCAGATCAAACACTAACTCAGCTATCCAAAGGAAATAGGCAGCAGCGCCTTTTGTCACGGGAACGATCTTCCTCGCCCTTGTGGCGTCTTTTCTTAATGGCTTGTTGCCAAGATACGGCAACTGTATGCAACAGCAATTTCAAATATTTCTTTAATATTGTGGCTGTTCCTATGCAAGGGTCTTGGTGGATAGCCTTGCTTCTGCCTAGATAGTGAATGATGGCATTCCTTCACCTGCAGGAAGCAATTTCTTTGTCTTTACTCTCATCATTGAATCAAGCTCTCCTCAGTTCCTTTGCTTCTCATCTATCTGTGGTGATATAAACCTCCTTTACAGAAGACCAAGTGGAGCAACCTCACTGACCCGGCTTCTTAACATGGAGTTCCCGGAAATGGTCAGATAGAAACGTTCAGAGATACCTACAACTGTCATGTGCAGGGCTTCCTGGACCTGCCATAATGACAGATAATTTTCGAAGTTCTGCAGAAATCGGCTGCCATTTCTTAATCTATGACATCTGTCATGTGGAAGAAGAGATGCTACTGGAACGCAGTATCGCCTTTGGTAGCTGCCGAAAACTCCCCGGAACTCGACTAGTTCTGTTCGTATCCCGGGTATAAAAAGCAGTCTTACGTGTTATGCTTGTCCATGAAGCATGTTATCCTGATTCCTGGACACCAATTGCAATTAATGCAGATACTGGTCGAGATATCAGGTCCCAGATGAACCGAGAGCTCGTCCCAGCCTCCCGACCTGGGCAGTTTTGACGGACACGTTGAAGGTAGCCTTTCAATTGATTCTGTCTGGATTTGATTTAGTCTGCCTCACCAGTCGCTGACAATTTATCTGTAAGTCTTGATTACCTTTTGATCTTGTTGGTTCCAGTTCACTGATATACCCTGTCATGTTGTTCATAGCTTCCTCTTTTCTTTGAAGTCGCGCCTATGTCTTCGAATTGCCTGCCCCTGCTGAACAGCTCTTCCACTGTGGTAAGATTGCCTCGGATCTGCCTACATGGGCGGTTTTAACTTAACTAGATACTACAGACTCGAAGGTGTTCGCTGAGATACGTCTCGCCTTGGTGGTCGGATACTTCGACTACCTGTCACAGGCCTTTTTCGCTCATGTTCTCCTTGTTCTCACTCCTCGCGTCAAACCTCATTGTGGCGCATGTTCGAGAACATGGAGATTTTCTATTTATTATTCGCTTGCACTTGAATTTTCCACTAGGGCATCCCAGACCAAAGGCACTTCTACCTCCTACACTTTATGCAGACCGGTATTTAGTTTATCTACCTCCCTAGGCAGCTACCTTCTCCACAGGCAGGAGAACAGAAAATCCAGTTGCGGCGCCCATGGACAGGATTGCAAATCCTATTGACCCGCAAGCGCACGTCGGTACTGGGTCTTGGGAATGATGCACTGCCAGGATATCTAGAGCAAACAGCCCTCGATATAAACTTGCGCCAAATATGCTGAGATCTTAAAAGTCATCCAGTGTATCTGAAGGGAGATTTAAACTTCCCACAGAGGATGCCATGACTGTGGCTAACAACCAGCCGAGGTGTGCAGATCGGGCTCAGCCTTTTGGAAATGACGACGAACGCCGAGAAAGGCAGCCATTTGGATAAAGCTCTACCGGAGAAACACGTCACGGTAAAATTAGTACGGGCTAGTATTCAGGCTTCATGATACCACTGGGCAATCATGGCAAAGCACCTGGGATCCACGCACACGGAAATATTATTTTTTCGACATCGAAACATAGTGGAATTACCTACTCATCACGTCGATGATGCTGCATGGGATCATCTGCATAAAATGCCTGGAGGGTGCGGCTGAATCTCTAGTTGCAACCCGGGTCTTCTCAAAGACTAGTTACCTGACGTTGGCCTATTAATATGGCATCTTGAATCGTGCTTAGAAAAGCCGTGTGTTGACCTGAGTAACATGCCGAATATTTAGGTATCATGGTATCTTTTCACTCCAGGTTCATTAGAGCCACTCCTTCCTGTTCTGAAAAGTGCATCTTGAACCCCTGTAATAGAAGAAAGATGCCGTTCGGATTTCGCATACGGGGATAACGATAACCTCCCCGTCAGGCCGGAGTCAGTGGGCTTCACGATGTAAGCCATCTCGTGTGAGCCCTCTTTTCCTCCCATCGAACCTTCATAAGCTACAGTGAAGCGTCAGCATCAGGCATACCAGCTCTTCCACGCAAGCGCAGACGGCCAGCAAAATCCTGAGAGAAATACCGTCGTCGGAAGATCTGCTGCGATCAGAATTTACCCTGCGGGCCTTGTGTGCGCTCTCGGAGTCCAGACGCTTGCTCCTACAGTGCTGTTAATGCCACTGCTTCGAAGTCCGCGGCCTCAATCAGTACCGGGTTCCTCTCAAGAGCTGTCCAGTGTCATGAAGGGATGCCGGGATCTGCGAGAGTCGGTCAAAGCCCAGCAGTCCGTGAAGCTCAACAATCCAGTCCCAGAAAAGTCAGTTTTGCGGTGAATTAGTCCACTGCTACCTGCGTACCTTTGAGCTTATCCACCGGATTCTCCATATCCCGTCGTTCTGGGAGTACTATCGTCGGTTCTGGGAACGACCTCAATCTGCCTTGACGCCGTTTCTCACGAAACTGGCCTAGTCCTCACAATCGGGAGCACGTTATACCCAGATACTAGCAACGTTGAGCATATTCGCCGTCGCTCCCAGGCGTGGATCTATGCTGCTCAACGGTGGCTCAATGGCCCGTCACACAAGTCCACCTGCGACTTGGACGGCCTGGCTTTCTGCTTGCTGGTTCTCTCCTGCAAAACCAATTGTTTAGGCGCATCTGCATGGTCCTCTACAGACTGTGCCTAAAATGGCCATGGGAATGGGGTTACACGTAATTAATCCGCGACAGCAATCGAATTACCCATCGTCAAACAGGTCACGGAGAGAACCCGCTTGATCGACAAACCCCCCACGGGGCTCCGTCGAGGTAGTCAAAGCACGGAGACAGAGGATTCGATCTAAGAATATGCCGCCGGGGATCGTCTGAATAGCTCCGTGGCGGTTTCATCGACGCTTGACTGTCCGGTGTATCAGAATAATTGCGCTGTTTCTAGCTTAATCTGCTTGCAATGTTTCTGTTAAGAGTAAGAGACAGTCTCCCGTATGTCTTTGAAGGTGAAGGGACTCATGGATTTATGGACAGGGAGGTTGCTGCGTTCTAGGGAGAACCCACAGTACTCGGGAGATGGATCTTCCATCTGATTTATCAGAACATTATTTTGATGCTATAATGTAGAAGCATCTCAATTCTGTTGTTTAATAGAAGAATCTGCCAAGAGTCAAATCAATTCCTTCTTGAAGAGAATCATCTTGGCGGGAGCGGATCAGGAAGCTTGCGAGGAAGCAGAAAGGCAAAGAACAGGGAAGACGCTGACGTACTTCTCCAGACTGCAATTGTCGCCTCTCCTGTTGGATTATACGGCCTACGGCTTCGCCTCCATTATTCTCCTTCTTTCGTGCTTCTTTGGCTTCTCTGGCTTCTCTGGCTTCTTCTGCGGGTTGGTGTATCCCTCTTATTTCCGCCACAGCGACATTGTTTCACCATCCCGACGGTGGTCTTTTCCCTCAGCGTCGGGGGACAGCTCAGCAAGGTCCCTGAGGCCTGGTCATGTTCGTCTTTCTTGCCTGTTTCGCGCTTCCTGCTTCCATCCCTCGTGAGAAATGAATAGGCATCACGCCTTCGTGTCCGGCTACCCAGCCTATTCCCGCAAGCAACCCGGCAGTCTCTCGATCTCTCCCCATCGGTAAGCCGAAATGCAGTCGTCGTCACCGCGCCAACGCTGACTCCCTTTCTTCGTCTTACCATCTCCAGGTTCCAACCGCGTTCACAGCCCGCTCTACGACGTCGAAGACAGCTCATCCAACGCCTCTGTCTCCTCGGTGGTATCTCCTCACTCCTCCTCTTCCTCATCTTCCCCTCTTGGAGAGCCGCCATCCTCCCGACCCTGACCGTCGGCCTGATCTCTTCCTCCGATGATCTCCAGCTCAATACCCTCCGGTACTACGATCTCTCCGACGTCGAAGGCACCGCGAAGGGATGGGAGAAGGAGGAACGCGTTCTCATGTGCACGCCGCTTCGCGATGCCGCGTCGCACCTACCCTTGTTCTTCTCGCATCTCCGCAACCTCACATACCCCCATAATCTGATCGATCTGGCTTTTTTGGTTTCGGATTCCAAAGATGGCACCCTCGAATTGCTGACGGATATGCTTGATGAACTGCAAAATGAAAAGGACCCGAAGATGTCGTTTGGTGAGATTTCGGTCATTCAGAAGGACTTCGGGCAAAAAGTGACGCAGGACTTTGAGAGTCGACACGGGTTTGCGGCGCAGGCTGGACGGAGGAAATTGATGGCTCAAGCTCGGAATTGGTTGCTAAGCGCTACGCTTCGTCCGACTCATAGCTGGGTCTACTGGCGTGATGCCGATGTAATGACTGCTCCGGTTACGATCCTGGAGGATCTTATGAGGCATGATAAGGATGTTATTGTACCGAGTGAGTAACCGTTTCCCTTGGAACTGAATTATTTTACTCATTTTTTTTTTCTTCTCCTTTCCTCCCAGATGTTTGGCGTCCTCTCCCAGACTGGCTGGGCGGCGAACAACCCTACGATCTGAACTCCTGGCAGGAATCAGAAACCGCTCTCGCTCTTGCCGACACGCTCGACGAAGATGCAGTTATCGTGGAGGGATATGCCGAGTATGCAACGTGGCGCCCTCACCTTGCTTACCTTCGTGACCCGTACGGTGATCCGGATATGGAGATGGAGCTTGATGGTATTGGTGGTGTTAGTATCCTCGCGAAGGCAAGGGTTTTCCGCGCCGGCGTACACTTCCCTGCATTTAGCTTTGAGAAGCATGCTGAGACAGAAGGCTTTGGCAAGGTAATCTTTACTTCCTGTCATTCCAATCAATTGCTAAGATGAACTAGATGGCCAAACGCATGGGATTTTCCGTTTTCGGATTACCGCACTACACAATTTGGCACCTGTATGAGCCCAGTGTCGACGATCTGCGACACATGGAGGAGATGGAGGAAGAGAAACGGGCACGCGAACAAGAAGAACGAGAGGAGGCCGAGCGACGGGAGCGACAGAAGGAGATATTCCAAGACCCCAAACAGGAACACGGAGAGGATGATGCTGCTCTTCGAGATATACTGCGTAAAGATGAAGAGACTTTAGAATCCACGACAGGGGAGACTAACGAAGAGAAAACTGATGTCGACGCTGGCAACAAGTTGTGATCGATTCCTGACGGTGGCTTGGTACGCAGAGTTGTACTTTTTATATTCGATGAGGTATGTCCTCGTAAACTGTTCGAGTAGTCTCCATGGCCTCAATTGCTCTCTTTTCTTCTTCTCTCATGGTACAACCGCTGACCTGTGAACTTAAAGGGCATAACCGTTGTCCCATTAGTTTTGGCATTTGTTGACTCGAAACGTCGGCTGGCTCTACCTCTGATGGCATTGACTAAACTTCTTCTTCTGCTTTTCTTTTCTTTTTTTCGGGTGGGATTATCTTTGGCAGAAAAGTCACGGCCATGCTTCTTTTCATTCTACTAGTTTGCCTTCATTTCTTACTGTGTCTTATATCATTGTTTTCTGTGTACGCTCGAATAGAAGAAGGAGCATATGGATTATGGAATGGGGGATTAACAGGGAGACCGGTTATTGCATGTAAATACAATCCGCATTTCACTTAATTGGGAATTTCAAAGATATCATTGCACCTCATGAGAGAACTGTAAAGCCAAAGTTTATCGCGCAGAATAAGCTGTGGTCCGTGCTGTCAGAATGCTGAAGTTTGATCTCGCGCTGAACACAACACTCTCTTTTCCAACGTCTTCCGTTCTTTCTCCAGGCTGACCAGGATTGTTTCTTTTGTTGTTGAAGGGAAAGGGAAAGAATAAAACGAAATGTCAACCCAAGCTGCCCGAAGCATTCGTCTCACACATACATCCGCCCAGCAGGGATTCAGACTACTTGAACTTCCGCGAGAATTACTCGGGATACTCTCGTCTGATGATGCTCCTCTGTACGTCCGCTTCTTATATTTTACTACCGTTATTTTTATATTCTACTTCGGTTCAGAAGCTGCAGTTGTGTGAACTACACCTCCAGCTCAGTCTCGACGCGTCCAAGCACACGTCTTTCGTTCATCCCGCAACAAGCTACAAGCTAACCACTTCATCTTACAAAACCTCCAGGCTCGAACTGAAATCCACACCCACAGCTCCCGATGAAAACTCCACAGAAGGAGAACAGGAATACATCAACCTATGCACACCCACGCAAACCTACCGCGTACGACAGGTCCAATCCTCGAACTCGATTCATGTCCTCCGTCCAAGTCAGGGCCTGCACGGGAACCCTACATCTGATGGAGCAGATAATAATGAGAATGAGGAGGAATTGGGTCTGGCGGAATCCGTGACATCTATCGCCAAGTGCTCGTCTACGCTGGAATTGCATATGCCTCGGGAGGAATTTTCGGCGATCCCGTTTCTGTTGAAGGTTTTGAAGGTTTATAATCGGTTGAGTAGCGATGGGGATGTACCTGTCCATGCGGATATGGATGTTGATGTGGGTATGGGTATGGGTGATTCGGAGACATTACCGTCGGGGAAGAATGGGAGGGGAGGAAGGAGTATCAAGGATCGCATTTTCGCGGATATTCCTGTCTCCCAGGCGCAATGTGAGAAGGCCTGGAATCATCTTTGTGCATTCATATACGATAATGCGTCCAGAGGACACCAGGAAGGCCCGTGTTGGCGGCCAGCACCCCTGGTCAAACTGGATGTGTGGAAGAGGATGGTGGAGGGTGCGGTCTTACAGGATATAAACCTGGAGAAGCAGTTTCTGGTGGATGATCTATGGAAAGCTTTGCTTGATGATGATGGCATCGCGGAACCAGAGAAGGGGCCCTTTCCACGGGACTTGTTTGATGCGGTTATTAGGAGGGTATGTGAGAGTGACCAACAGGGATTTGACTCGGGTCGGAAATGTGAGTTCTACCTTCCTTTCCTTTGTTTCTGTCGGAAGAATATGGTCTATTGACGATTTAAATAGGGGCGAGCATCGACAGAGCTACCTGCGTGCAGTGGGTGGGAGAAACGTACCTGGAAGCCATGGCTCCCATGGAGGACTCAGCTATTGGAAGAAGTGAATTTTTGAATGCTTGGAAAGATCACCTTCCTGAGTCTTGGAGAGATGGGGTAGCATTGACCGAGTTACCAGTGAGTTGCATGCACTGCATTTATCCTCGGTTTAAAATAGCAGTCTTGCTAACTGGCTATCAATAGGATGGATCGTACAGATGTCCTGATCCCACGACAATTTACTACATGGATTATAGCGAACGACAAAGGGCGAAGAAGCTTCCCGCAGAGAAAAATGCAGTGGCCGCAGCTAAGAAGACGAGAAACTGGCACGAACTGTTCAAGAATCAGAGACGCCGTTGAAAACTGAAAAAGATCATGGTCTATTTATTCTGCTTCTAATGGAACAGCGAAGGTTCAAACAGATCAGCCGCCGAGTCTTACTCGCTATTTCTACATGCCACATATTATCCCGGAGCAAAGACGCTATCAATGGCAAAAGAGCGAAGGGAAAAACAGCGAAAATGAACAGCACAGCAAGGGTGTCTTCAACACCATCCATACTTCTCATTCCAGCGCCATTCAACTTTATTGCCTAGGCCCTGCTCAGCACCGTTCCACTTTAGACTGGCAATACTGCTCTTCTCGCGATGCACCACGGTGGCAGTCGGATCGACGAGAGCAACAGCCTCCTGCATTAACGGGGTCGGATTCCAGAACTCAATGCTGTGCATGTTCCACTCGTGTGCCTCGAATTGGGCTCTTCGCAGGATGGCAGCCATGGCATCGATCTTGGCCTGCTTCTCTGCCGGTGATGTAGGTTCATCGTACACCCAGCGCAGAATATAAAGCGTATTCTCCTCAGGCTTCTCGCCGAAGTTCCTATTCCAAGCGCAGTACACCCCGGCCCCGTCCACTCCGGCACCCTTGATAAGCGGAGCAGTTCTGGAATTCGGGAAGAGCTTTTTAACGAAGAACTCCTCTCGGGCCCAGTGCCAGATATAGTGGTCGAAGTCTGGGGCGATAGCAACTATGGCCTCGTCGGGTGATTTTTCTGAATCCACCTGCAGAAGCCCGCGTTCCTTTCGCGCAGTTTTGTCACTGCACATGCAACTTCGCACATCATCCGCAAACAGAGCCCTAACCTGTGGGGAACTCCCAGGCCGAATAGAATCATATTTAGCTTCGGAGATGGGCAGGAGAGAAATGTGCGACGACGGAAATGGAGTCCACCCGAACTGGGAATAAAACGACTTCCCAATGTCGGAATACAACACTGAGAATACAGACCGATTCCTCTTCCCCATTCTTTCCACCTGCCACGTGTCGAGTTTCCGACTCAACTCTTCCAGCATCCGTCGAGCGTAACCCTTCCCCCGGAACTCGGGACGACAGTAGACGCTCCCAATGCCATGTGTGATGATGTCTTCAACCTGTCCCCTGTACGCCAAGAAGGCCTTCTTGAGATACGTCTCGCACGAACTCAGAATAGTCCTCTTCCCCTCTGGCTCTCTGCCATCCACGAGGATCCAATTGGTCAAGCCATCCTTCACGAGCCGTTGCTGGTGGAGATGATTCTCTCGCTCGATGTACGTCGGGATATCCAGCGGACCTTTCCACGCAACGCTGTTGAGTTTGATCGTCTCGATCCGCTCCGCTGGCGTTGCGGGGACGAGGATCAAATTGGGGGAGTTGCCTGGTGGCAAGGTGGAGTTTGTGTAGACGTCATCTGCTGAGACCATTTTGATGGGTTTAAAGCCACCTCTGTTAGATAGATAGAAAATTTGCTATTAATTATCCAAGACGTTTTAAACGATGAGGTGTTCTATTGTTCGGGGTATTTCTTTTGGTTTTGATTTTACCATCCGATCTGTGATCACCGATGATGAAGTTGCTGAAAAGATCCGAAGATAGACTAAACAACCCGAAAGGCAAGAGGCAACAATTAACAATCAACAATATTAATGGATAAACCCCGACAGATAGCCAGGGACGGGGGCTGAAATGATATAAATAGGCCGTAACGGTGGAAAGCACTACAGGTTACCTTTCAGGTTTCCACATCCATAACGTTTCCAGTAGGTATCCCCGACGAAACCTACAGGCGGCTCTTAACGATTGGCCACCAGGGACATCATTTAGGGTTTCCGGCCCTCTCCACATGACGTATCCCGATGTTACCCTAGCTGGGTTAATTTTGGAAATTTCCAAGGGAGGAAGGGGATGCCGATGATAGCCTTGTTTCGATCATCTAGGTCAGATTCTCAGCTACAGGTGTGACTACTTATAAAAGAACTACGGGTGGTAGGAATTGAAGAAGTAAACGTAAATAACAGTAAATATAACACTCAATCACAAGTGGAGAGAAGAATATATATAACAATGATCTATAGAGAGCAGCTTACCGCCACAAACCCGATGGATCATGAAAAGAAAAAAAACAGACAAAACACATCGAATCATATGAACATAATGTAAGCAGTAAGAGAAGAGAAAGTTGGCTGCGACTGAAAATATCCGTAGCTTGCCTAAAGTAGCCGCTCCTGCCTGCTCAGTCTTCCTAGCACCTCCGCACTTATAAGGCTCAGGCGGCACCGTTGTAGGCGAGAAGGTTAGGACTACCGCGGGCGTTTGAGACGGCGTTCCTCGTGGCCAATTGCTTAATACGAGCGGTCACAGCCGAAGCGTTGGGGAGGTCCTCCAGGCCCATGAGGTAGATGGCCAGGCCGACCACATGGGGAGTGGCCATGGAGGTACCGGAGATGGTGTTTGTGGCAGTATTGGAGCCGATCCAGGTGGAAAGGATGTTCTCTCCGGGGGCGAAGATGTCGAGGACAGAACCATAGTTGGAGAATGAGGCACGGGAGTTGCCCTTTGAGATGGCGCCAACGGTGATTGCGTTAGGAGCGGATGCAGGGCTGGTGTTTCTAGCGTCTTGCTGTACGATGAGAAAAGGCAGTGTGAGTAAAGCAATATATCCAGGTAGAGAGGTAATCATGTTTGTGTTGTAAAAGGATATAGGACGCGTACGTTTTCGTTTCCAGCTGCTACAACACTCGTAACGCCCAGTCTGTATGCGCTTTCCACGGCCTGGTTGAATGCATAAGAATACCCACCTCCTGTTGATTGTCTTGTATCAGCATTCCAAATCTGTTAAATGTTCCTGTAGATGTGCAATGGACATTAAGAATATTCAATCCATAGCAGAACGTAACTCACCAAGACTCATGTTAATAGCAGCCCTGGAAACGCGGCCCTTTGATGTAATGTCATTCACAGCCCACTGAAATCCATCGATGATATCAGAAGTACTGCCAGATTGACCATGCATAACTTTGACTGAAATCAACTTCGCGGACTTGGCAACACCATAACTGGCACTACCAATAGTACCCGCAACGTGAGTCCCATGTCCCACAGTGTCAACATGGGAGGTGCCGTCAACGGCATTGTATCCAAGGCTGGCACGGCCGCCGAACTCAACGTGGTTAACATTGACGCCAGTGTCGACAATGTAGCCGTACGTGCCAGCACCCGCTGTGCTGTCGTAGACGTACGTGGTGCTGGCTGTACCCTTGTGGGAAATACTTCCCAAGCCCCATGGCGCATTATTCTGCGACTTCAAATAGTTGATGTGCCAGATCTGGTCCTCCTCGACATGGGCAACCTGTGACTCAAAAATTAGTTGTCCACATTCCGTATACTTACCATAAAGGAAAAGAGGAGGGGTTTAAAACAAACATCTTCGCTGTTGCGGATCTGCTCGATGGTGGCATCGTCGAATGAACCCGCGTATGCATTCCAGTTGTCGATCTTGTAGTTCTTCTTGATACCGGCCGGTAAATCGGTAGCATCAGAACTACGACGAGCCAGGCTCTGAGTATGGACATCAGTCACCCAGGAGGTATGGGCTGCAATTCTGGCGTCATCAAGCCCATCCTTTAAAGTAACAATGTACTTGCCAGGGATGGTCTCAGCAACAGGGCGGGTTTCCTGGACTGGAGCACCCAGGACTGCAGGAAGGAGGGCGCTGAGGAGAAAGAGGGTGCGCTTGAGGGACTGCATAGTGAATAATAGTGAAGCCCACTATGAGAGAATGAAAAAACTGAAGACTGAGCTGGTTCTGGTAAAAGAATAACTCAGTTGCTCGGGGTAGATGGTTGTATTTATATGCCTTCAAACCAATATACCTTTGCGGCCTTCCTAATCCATTTGCACTAGTAAATTGCAGTCTCGAACAAAAACAAACATCTACCACCTTTGAACTCCACTAGAAGAATGGCAGGGTGGCATTTCATCTTCCAGATGCCCCATTGGCTTTCCTTCGGATATCAGCTTACTGAAGTCGGAAGGTGAAAATCACATACGCTTCGAGTTTCTGCTCGTAGCCAGTGTGACATGGAGAATGATTGCCATGGCATGCCAGGGCTGACTTCTTCACGGATGCACGGAGGCCTTCTTGGCAATCATATGTTTATGAAGCTGGGCATTAATTAGATAAATGTATAGTAGGCTCCATATGAGCCCTGCTCGTTGCGTTATCGGGTCCATTGATAGCGTTGATAACAACAAGAGAGTAGAAGGGGACTTTATGATGTGACCTTCGCTCCTCTGTGTCCGCTTGGTGTCTTTGCAATCTATGCTTTATGCTGATATCCGCTGACTCTTGAGGAGCAGAGTCGCCATGCGGAATACCAAAGGCCCAGCCAAGATCGCTTGGCATTCCCTTATCCTCGTCTTGGCAGCCACTGTTCATCCAAGAGCCAAGACAATGTAAGGTCGCTGCCCCTGAATCAGTGTGAGGAATTTAGCACAAGAGCCGACGGGATGGTTCGAGGAAAATGATGGAAGGTTTCCGCTGGGAAACCTATACTACCTTTGGAAGGCCCTTAAGTAGATCAGAAACATTAGCTTGTGAATAGCGAGTAAAAGTTGCCCAGTCGTCATTCCTCCGTTACGAGAGTGACCAAATCTTCCGATTCTGCGATTGATATTAATTGAGGTGGTGTGCCACAAACGAACATCATTGCCACAGTCACCGCATTTTCTTCTCGTCCATTTAATAAATGGATAAAGGAGCTTCACTGATTAGTATCCTCCATTCTGCGGTGCCTCGAATGAAGAAGGGTGCGGCATTCCGCAGGTGCTCCGGCATCTGCAGCCATGAGCCAAGAATATGATCATATATGTCGGAGGTTTCATTGTCATAGAGTCAACAATGACCATGTCCTAACTCATCATCGGTAGCTCATTCCACACATTCCCGTCCACGAAGAGAGTGCTGATTGAGACCCTTCTGCAAGGACCATAAGGCCGTAGGATTCTGCCGTCTTGACAGTCCAGCTTATATATGCATGTTATTTTGGAACGCATCTAAAATAGCAATACTCCTATGGTATCAGCTATTTGAAGTCAGAATCAAGCAGGAAATAAGTTTGCTTTCCCATCCAGACGACTCTCAGTTGGTAGAATTAGAGGTCCTCAACGGCTCTTCCTCTGCTTTTTTCGAATGGCCCTACTCAAGACCTTTGATTGCATGGATCGTAAAGCCAATGACAGCACACGGATTGCTTGTCAGGCATGGTTTCATGATGAATACGAGGCCATTGAAGGTTTGTTGTGAGCGGTTGCCGGAGTAGCGCCATGCTATGCCAGCATTGCGATGGCCTCGATACACATGATATCGTCACATATCATGGGGGTAGCAAAAGACCCCAAGATAGCGATGGCCAACGGCCTCACTGTATGATGAACAAGTTGATATCAAAGAGAAAGATAGATAGAGAGAAAGGGAGACAGAGAGAGGAGGCTGGTCGACGTCTGCGACCACGTGATCAGGACTGAGCGTCGAACGTCGTCTGCGTTACCTTCGTCCGAAATTGCCTTCCATCTCCAGGATGAAGGAGCGTACATCTTCTTCATACTGTTGTCCAGTTTATGTCTCACTGCCATCATTCTCATTGCTTACAGACCTTGCGGCAGTACAAGCAGTGGTATTGGCACTGCTACTACGAAGCGAAACGTTCTGGGTTCCGTACCCCGCGTCCATCAGGGAGGGGCCTAGGGGATTCATGAACATTTATCGGTATTCAGAATCCAAACCAGTAGTATGATCGTTATTGTTTATCTTTGACGCATATGGATGGCATAGATTGTGGGAATCTGATATTTTTACTGTCCACTCTTGCTGTCCCCTTCAGGTCGCGGGCGACAAGGCCACGGCTTAGGTCGGTCGTCTCTTTCTTTGAATTTAAGCTCTTTCGAATTTGATGAAGAGAAATTTTTTTCTTTCACACTTTTTATGCATTTGCTTGCTCTATTTTATTTGAAGAGAAATATCGAAGAGGGGCAAAAGAAGAAGACGGAAAGCTCCAGGACTGTTCATTGTTGCTTGGTCCCTGAATTTCATCAACATTCACTCGTCCAGGCTGCTTCCCGGGAATGAACTCGCTTAAACCACGAAATCTTCTCATCTTGCGCAACTATCTACAGGCAAACGTGCTGCATATTTTACTCTTCTGTATCTGTGGTGGTCGTTTGATGATTTCCAAATGTCCTTCCTTCGCATGTGACAAATTGATCTAGTTTCTTTGTTCTCGAGGACTAACAAAAGTCCCGCCAGCTGTCGTATCTGTGAACGTCCACTGTTGAAGCACCCGCCGTTCCCCAATAAAATCTATGGATATCTTCGATTGGCATGGTGGGCAGAGACCCATTCAAGCTTCGCCTGCGGACAACCTCCTGGCCCTTGATATCGATGGCTTTGTTGAGATTCCACGGCGTGCTCCTCTCTCAAGTGATTCGAATCCAATTCCAGGGGCCGACCACCCCACCTTTGTTGCATTGCCACATTCTCTGCACCATGGATCACCTACTCCAACCGTCAATTTAGACTTTAATGGTGCCTTGACGAAGATCCTCGAGTTGTTCCCCGATATCAGCCACCAGTATGTGAAGGATTTATATGATTTCCACGCGGCCAATCCCGAACAGCATGCGGAGTTGAGCTGTGTCGATCAGATCATCGAGCATATTTTGGAAAATCCCCCATATCCTAAGCAGAGGGACGTCAAAAGAAAAAGAACAGACGATGATGAAGGAGAGGCAGAAGAAGGGGAAGATAGTCGCAGGTGGGATGAGTATTCCCGAAGCGATGCATATTACGTTCATGTATCGTGAGTGCTCTGCTTCGCTTGTCCCGCACATCCGTCTGCCCCTACGAACGACCACTAATCTGTTGGCAGTGTGAAAATTCTATGCAACGAATTCCCCCATGTCCCTGTCTCTTACGTTCGCCGATTCTTACATGAGAAGCGCAAATTTTACCCGACGTACTTGGCACTGGCCTCGCAGGAGAGCCCACACTCTACCCTGCCTAAACCTTACGAGCGACTGAAGAGACCAAGGAAGGTTCCTCCTTCAGAATTGACATTTATTCCACGCGGCCCCTTGGCACGTGAACTGAGAGCTGCAAAGAAGAAAGTGGAGAAGGATTCTGGTATGTCCTGCAATGCCATGGTTGAGGACAGCCTTTGCTGACAACTACGTTGGTTGATTATAGCCATTGCTCGTCAGGATAAGGAGCGAGAGGAGGCAGAGAGGCTCAATGCGGAGGAGTATACTCGAGCAGGTGCCCTCGTGGAATGCCAGTGCTGCTATAGTGATGTGCCGTCAAACCGAGCGATACCCTGTGAAGGTGAAGAGGTGCACTTCTTCTGCTTCGGGTGTATCCGCAGATCTGCGGAGACTCAAATTGGTCTAATGAAGTATCAGGTGCAATGCTTTGATACCAGCGGCTGCCAGGCGAGCTTTAATCGAGCCGATATGGAGCAAGCGGTAGGGGAAGCGATAATGAAGAAGCTCGACTCTCTCCAACAACAGGACGAAATCTCCAAAGCGGGTCTTGATGGTCTGGAAGAGTGTCCATTCTGCGAATTCAAAGCTATCTGCCCCCCGGTAGAAGAAGATCGAGAATTTCGCTGCTGCAATCCCGACTGTGAAATTGTCAGTTGCCGACTGTGCAAGTTGGAAAGCCACGTGCCTCTGACGTGTGAAGAGGCCAGGAAGGAAAAGGGAGTATCGGAACGTCACCTGGTGGAAGAAGCGATGAGCGAAGCGCTGATCCGGAACTGTCCGCGGTGCAACGTGAAAATTATCAAGGAGCTTGGCTGCAACAAGATGACATGTCCGCAGTGCAAGGGGTTAATGTGTTACGTATGCAAAAAGGATATCACGCGTCAAGGCTACAATCACTTTGGGTTTGGTGCAGGAAGCTGTCGCATGGATGATGACCCTTACCGCCACCAGGAGGAAGTGGATCAAGCTGAAAGGGCCACCATTGAGAAGATTCGTGCCAAGAATCCCGAGCTGAAACAAGAGGAGTTGACAGTCCAGCGCCCAGAAGATCGCGCGAAGAGAGTGCCAAGGCCTCCTCCCAACCATTTGCCGCATCGTTTCCGACCACAGCACATGAGAGTGCCACGCGAACCACCACCAAATTACAATGATTTATTCGGACCGGCACCGCTTATGCATGGTGTTGCTCCAGACCTGGCAGTGCCGTTTCCAGGACTTGGGCCATTCGGAGGCGCACCCAACCCATTATTAGTGCGGCCAATGGCAACAGGGCCACTCGTACCGCCAAACTTAGTTGTTCCCGGTCCGATACCAGATGCATACAGGGCCCATCACGGCGGTTTTACAGGGATGCCAGGAGGCATGCCCATCGGGCTCTTCGACTGGACTAAACTGCCTCCCACCGCTCCCATGGGTCGGACAGCACTGACTATCAATAGTAATAATAACAGTAATAGTAATAATAATTCTGGTCACCATCCACTACAGCAGCCGGCTAATCCAGCGACCTGGCATCCCCGCCGTGAAGTGGATGCCTCGCATAACAGTCCGAATAACGGCACAGATCCGACAGCCCGGTTGGCTCAAGTGGGTGGTCAACCACGTGCCTGGGGACAAGCGCAGATGCATGGGGCCATCAGCAATGATGGACGTCCTATGCATGCGCCGGCAACTGACGTGCAACCACCGCTGCAGCTTCCAGGATATGCTATTCGGATAGGCCGTGGGAGCCATCGACGTCCATAATGTTGGTGTTTGGGCAGAGCATGATGCATGGCGTTTAGCGAAGGATTTCCGGAAGAAAACGGCAGCTGTAAATTTCGGTGTTTGATTTGGACGATATTAGTTTTTTATTTTCCTTCTGTTGAAGAGAGTGGGCGATGACGGGACTCCGCAGCATAGCGCATCATATACCCTGGCTTGACTCATTTCCATTGAGAGATTAATTAATTTATTCCAAGCTTTTGACGTGTGTCTTGCAGCTGCATGATGCTCGCACAAGATGAACAAGCTTGACGAAGCATTCCCTGATCATTCTCTAAGATGTATAATACGGTAATGACCAATTCCATTATCTGATCTAAAGTGGGGCGGCGTATTATATGATATGATGTGCCCCACTGCACTCACCACTATTGGTTTGCGGCGGGAAATAACCGAATCAGGCCATCCCGCTGGGCCGTGATTGGCCGCCAGGCAGGATCAGATAACCCAATTGCCCAAACAGCCATGGTTGCGTTTCCGTTGCATTGGCAGCAACGACGCTATTTACTGTATTCCTATGACATGAATATGGGCCTGATAGCTTCGATAGGATAATTTGAGACAATCATGGTCCACTTTGGTCGCTCCGTCTTCGGATGGAAGAATGATCGATTTATTTAACTTCGCCCTCGTAGAATTTTTCACCAGAATCCCATCCTCCACGCCCTCCCGGCTTGGCTTTTTAACCATCGCCTTGTCCCTTTCTTGCCTGGTCTTCCCTTTTTTGTCTTCTTTTCTTCTCCATACCTCATTCTTTCCATTGCTCTCACGGACTCACACTCCAGGCCATGAAATACCTCTCCAAGCTCTTGGGCACTTCCAAGGCCGGAGAGTCTCCCCCAGAGGCCACCGCTGATCTCCAGGTCGATGGAAAGGTCGCCCAATACCCGGAAGAGGGCGGCCAGCAATCCAGCAGCGAGGAGGAAATTGCAGATGGTGTGGATAATTCCAATCCGCAGTATGGTGTCCGCAGTGCTGCCGCAGCACTGAAGGTGTGGTCCAAATGGCAGCTCATTACCGTCTATGTCATGTAAGTCTTTTTTTTTTTTTTTTTTTTTTTTTTTCTGCTAAGGATGGGAACTGACATACTCGTCGGTAATCAGAATGTGGCTCATCGAGTTCCTCTTGGCCTTCCAGAGCGGCATGGCTGGCACACTCAACAACTACGTTACCAGTGCCTTTCAGAAGCAATCCTTGACGGCTACAACCAGCGTCATCTCCTCGCTTGTTGCCGGCCTCGTCAAGCTGCCCTATGCAAAGCTCATGGATATCTGGGGCCGTCCGCACAGTTTGGCCATCATGATCGTCTCCATCACCATCGGGCTCATCATGATGGCTGCGTGCAACAATGTCGGCACCTATCTTGCTGCCCAGATCTTCTACTCGACCGGCTACAACTGCATCGATTTCTCCATTACTATCTTCATCGCAGATACCTCGTCCCTGCGTAACCGAGCGTTCGTTATCGCCTTCGTCTCCTCCCCCTGGATTGCCACGGTCTGGGCCACCGGACCCGCGGCACAGAGCGCCCTGGAGACCATCGGCTGGCGCTGGGTCTTTGGCATCTTCTCCATCCTCGTGCCCGTGGTCTGCTTCCCGCTCTGGGCCCTGTTCTACTACAACCACTGGAAGGCCGAGAAGGAAGGTCTCATCGTCCGTGAACGCAGCGGAAGGACGTGGATGCAATCGTTCAAGCACTACATGATCGAATTCGACGTCGTCGGCCTCCTCCTGCTAGCGGGTGGTCTGGCACTGTTCCTGCTGGCCTTCAACCTCTACTCGTACCAACCAAAACAATGGCGCGAGCCATTCATCATCGCCTTCATCGTCGTCGGGGGCGTCCTCATGTTCATCTTCGCCCTCTACGAACGCTACCTAGCCCCCGTCACCTTTATCCCCTGGGATCTCCTGAAGAACCGCACCATCATCTTCACCTACATCATGGTCGCCAGCTTGTACACCCCCTACTACATCTGGGACGACTACTTTTACGCCCTTCTTATCGTCGTCTTCAACACAGGCATCACCGTCGCAACGTACATTGGTAACATCTACTCCGTTGGCTCCTGCTTCTGGTCCATCGTCTTCGGGCTCATCCTCCGCTACAACGGCCGCGTCAAATGGCACGCCGTCTTCTTTGGCGTCCCCATCACCATCCTCGGCGTGGGACTGATGATCCACTTCCGTTTCTCGGACAGCGGTATCGGCTACATCGCCATGTGCATGATCTTCGTCGCCTTCGGCGGCGGCACCCTCGTTATCTGCGAACAGATCAACGTCATGGCTGCCGCACCGCAGAAATACGTCGCCTCCGTTCTTTCGCTCGAGTCTATGATCACCTCCATCGGTGCTGCTGTCGGGTCTACCATCTCCTCTGCCATGTGGACGGGTATCTTCCCCAAGAAACTCATCGAGTATCTTCCCGCTGATGCACCCTTCGCGGAGATCTACGGTAGTCTGGTCGTGCAGACTTCCTACCCGCCTGGTTCGCCCATTAGGACCGCTATTAATCACGCCTATGGTGAGACGCAGCGGTATATGCTTATCACTGCTACGTGTATGTATATTATTACATGGGGGTCTGTGTTGTTTTGGCAGGACTTCAACGTGAAGAAGATGAAGAAGCAGAATGATCGGCTTTTCTAGGTTGTTTGTTTATTTATTTAGATATAGGTTTGAGCGGGTTGATGTGGTGTTGGTGTTGTTATGGTTGGGGTACATGAAGTGATGATGCATTTTCTTGAAATGATAAAAGTTTCACATAGAGAAATGGCTGCCTTTTCCACCTCCACATCTGCCTTCCAGTGGTTGAGCCACTGCTTGTACTAGTCGTTCCCTGGACTAGACATAGTCCGCGTCTGGGGTCGTTCCATTACAGCCACCCAGCCTCAGGTAAGCAAAGGGTAGACGTCCAGAATGGCACCGGGAGAGTGGAACTCAAAGTTTCCTACACACAGGAGACATCGCCCTTGGAGACGTGGGAAGTGTGGAGCGTCCGTCGTGAGGATCGTTTTGGTGATTATTATCTCGTCTATGTCGAAAAGACAGACACGGGTCGAAGCTACGGCATGAAAGCCATTGATATTTGCACCGGCTGTGACCTCGTTGCTCCTGGATCTGAAGTTGACATTAACGGTAACATGGCACCCATAGCCTCCGCTCTGAGATCCAACACCCTTTCAATGCACTGCTCAAGTTCGCTTCAAGGCGTCCGAGGGGTGCTGAACCTCCTTTCACCACGGGCTATCGGTGGATACCTTTTGATTATTTACAAAGAGAACAGCGGTTTGATGTTAACAAGGCTAGATTCTATGCTACGGAACTGGTTTGCACACCGGAATACCTGCATGACAAACATATCATTCTTGTTTCTCTGAAGCCGGAGAATTTTCTCAGATTCCTCTGGCCATGTCAGTTCATGCAAGCCTGGTCTTTTCGGGTCGGAAGTGGGGAGATGGGAGAAGGGGATGGAGATGGAGATGGAGATGGAGATGGAGATCGCATTTTACCCGGCATGCCCGAGTATCAAGCCCCAGCAGATGATGATGATGATGATGTATGGGATTTAACGTGGGAGCGACAGCTCAAGAATTTCGTTTCAAGAATCATTTTGCTGGCGAAAGACGTCCGGAGTCTCGACGACGACCAAACGCCCGACAATATAGAGATTATACCGAATACTCCGGACATAATACCCGACACACCGCTAGAATGGGCCGTGGAGCACAAAAGGCAATCTCGTCAACCTATTCCTGGATAGTGGCGCCGACGCGAACCTCACCATCTCCCCAGAAAACCGACCGCGTCTCCTATACCGAGCCCTTGCTCTCGCGGGGGAGCAGCAGGACACCACTACCGCCAACATCTTCTCCCACGCGGCGTCCGCTGCGATTTTGAAGAATCAGATTGGCCTCGTCCGCTCCATCCCTTCTTTTGCGACTTCGACTCTCGTCTTTTGAGGAAGCTGGAAGCAGAGAGCTTTACGCCTCCTCTAGTCCGGGCTGTTAGACTAGGTAGCGTGGCTCTGGTCGCGTTGCTACTTGACACGGTGATTCCAATATGGTGTACCACGGTCTAGCGGTCACTGCCACCACGGTGGATATGAATACGAAAACAGAGACTGGACAATAGCAGCCAACTTCGCCTGTGGAAGGATCGTACAGATAGCCATGGAGATGAGGCATTCTGAGATTATCCAGTTGCTTGTCGATGCCGGCGCAGATATTAATCTTCCACGCCCAGTCTGGTCTGTACCGGGTCATATATGTCGAGGTAGAGGCTGGCCTGGAGGCAGCGGTAGCAGCAAGAAGAAAAAGCACAAGACCTAGCTTCATTCCAAAATGATGTAGTATATTATAAACCATATCAGTGTTCTGGGAGGTGTGTTTTCACTGCCATGATCACACAAGAACCTTTCATTGCAGAAGAGCGTCGGTCGCAACAAAAATAGACATTCATTCACTATCTAGGTATCAATATTAGTGGTGCTGCAGGACATGCCATAGGTAATATGACAGGTAAGGTCCAGCAGCACCACCACGATCAGTAACGGTTTGTTTTATTTTCTGTATCTGGTTCTTTTTCGGCTCAATCCAATCGATCTCGACTGGGACTAACCTGACATCCTTCGATCTGCGTCAGTCAAGTGCTGAGACTCCCGGAAAGAGGGAGAGAAAGAGAGAGAGATGACCACAAGTCAAAAGGATATGGCACTCCGTACAGATAGATATCGTGTACAAAATGTGTCAGGAAGGTGAAGGAAAGGAGAAAAAGGGAAGAATCAAGAAGGAGAAACAAAAAGAAATGGAAGAGAGGGAAATAATAGGCATAGGCTGGAAACGTGCGAAGAACGGCCGAAAGGAAGACAAGAGAAGGAGAGAGAAAAAAGAACAAAATAAAGGCGTAATCTCAATCTATGCGTAAACCCATGCCGAAATAAAGAGAAAGAAAAAGAAGAACAGCCCTCCGCTCCCCGTTTTATATGTTTTGCGCCAGCTCTTTCAGACAAACTTCCCAATTCATCATCATTGGTCACGCTGAATCGTATTGAAGAAAAAAGAAAAATGCAAGAAGAGCAAGAAAACGAACCAAGAAGGTCAAGAGGACGTAAGTAATAGAAGTAAAAACTAGTAGGCCGTATATTCTGCCCGTTAAAAGCAACTCTCATAGTGAGAGCTCAGTCTCCGGCGGCTCGTTAAATTTCTGCCGCGCTTCTTCTACCCATAATTCCAGTCGGAGCTCACCAGACTCAACCCGTCGCACGGGTATCGTTTTGGCCCGTCCGTTGCTGAGTTTCGGGGGCGGATGCAGGGGCTCTCCGTTTCGATGTTTAGACACCGAATACGGGGCCGTACACGATCGCATGTGGACTTTACTGGGCTCCGCCACGATCCAGGTCTGCTCCTCAGTGGTCGTGCCGGCAGGAGGCAAGGCATCCTCTCTCACCTCGATGCAGACAGTGAAACTGAATTCATCATCGCGAGGCAGCGGGGTCAGACGTGCACACGCGGATGCAAGTCGCGCAAGACAAGCCCGGAACTGAGCCTCCAGATCCGCATTCTGGGGAGAGGTAGTCGTCGTTGTATTGGCGACGACCGGTTTGGTGATCGTCGCTTCATCCTTGCGCTCTTCAAAGCTGGTGTTGACCTCTCCGGGCGGTACACGCGGGAATCCCGAGAGATCAAACGCGTACCGCTCGAGGGGCTGGTTGGTGCGGACAGACGAGATGATGATGCTGACGGCAGTGATGGTTCCTTTTAGGATCTCTGCGCCCACGGCAGTGGAGACATCATTAATATAGTCGCAGACTCTGGGATGGCGAGACTGTCGTACAGGATAGTTGTATGCTCGAACGGGCAGGAAGGTGGCTCGAGGGTATACGGATCGGAGGAAGAGGATCTGATGAATGGAGACGGTGAGGAAACTGGTGAAGGAAGCTGCCAAGGCCGACTGTGTATTGGGGACGGACTTGGACGGCGTGGGTGTGGAGGTGGCAGTTGGGGGTACAGAAAAGGTAGTCATTGTGGTGCTCTCACTGGCAATCGGCATAGCTCACAGAAGGCTTTGGTATCGTCGGTGTTTCCACGAGTGTAGTAGAGAGATATCTGGGAATTGTAGAGCACCCGGAGGCTTCTCATCACTTGATAAACGGTGGTTCTGTCTTTCTTCGTCGCTCCCTTTTTTGGTGCTGGAGATAGGTGTAACAGGAACACTAGTAGGCGATTGCAAGCACCAACATGGTAGCAGAATCTTGCGAGCAGACAGTGTTTACCGGATCCAGTAACGGGAGAGTCGCTGGGGGGGTGGCAGATGCAGCAGCAGCGTAGCGGTGACAGCAGCAGTGAGAGTCACCAACAGGCAGCGAGAGTGGAGGAAATGGAAGTCTGGCGTCCTTTCCCTTGTTTTCGACGGATTTGTCCCTCTTTTAATTGCCTGGATTGTTTGCCTTTCCCGCTGGAGATGATTGATGCTGGACGCGGGAGATGCTCTCTGCTCGATGCTCTCCGGTGGCCTTGCTTATCACGTGCGGGGCGATCCTGGAGGTTTTTTTTTTTTTCCTCTCTTTTTTTCCTGAACTTTTTTTGGGGATTGACTCTTTTCTTCCCCTCTTCATGCTCCACCGGAAAGTGGGTGGAGCGACAGACACGATATCGACAATCAGCACAGGTGGCGACGATCATCCTCTGCCACGTAGGGAACAAGAGACTCCGGTGCATGCTATAAAGCATCCTACGGAACATACGGCGTTGTTCCATCTGCATCTACACAGTCCCTACTGACTACATCTACAAGAGATCCCTGATGCCGTTGGTTCTGCTGTCTGCAGCGGACAGCACTGGATACAGCATATTCACCGTCCCACCGTTCGCTACGAAGAGACTCCACGCTAACAGCAGCACTATTCATCAATCAAAAACAACATGACGAGTCAACACTCGCCTGTCCCCGTACTATCGACTATCAATCTGTTATCCACTGGATTCTGTCAGTTGCGATACTCCACGGTCTATATATATCCAGTCTGGTGACCCCTGGCATACGAGGCCGTCCAGCATGCACTGTAGAGTATATACTGTGCTGGGTGCAGCATGCATGGGATATGCTTCCACGCATCTCCCCAAGACGCACACTCTGACTGCTTAACCTGCGGTAGCCAGCGCTGTCTATGTTACCGTCATTATATGCGCCCGACCAGGAGGCAAAAGTTAATCAAACGATGCACGCTTTAAAAGTTGACGCCTTCCGAGTGGGCTGCTGCATTATTTGGCTCCGCTCTGGTCGAGCACGGCGCATGACGCTGGCTCACTGGCTTTCTTGATTATAATAGAAGCTTGGGTCTACGTCAGCTTATCTTGTTCCCTCTTTATGAGATGGGGCTTGCCCAGGCTTGACCCTGAGAGGTGAAGTCAACGGCTGGCCTAACGCCGGCCTCTGTAGACAGCGGCAGCAAGCGACTGGAACAAGGAGGCGGAACCTGTCAAACCACGTCAATCTTATTATGATTCCTCCGTATTCTTAGCCGTTAGTGTTCAGTGTAGTGCGTGCTTGAAATTAGGCGCTTCCCCGCCGCAACGCGAAAAGGCGCGTCTCCAGCCGAATTGCTGCACCGCCCACAATCCTCAATTTCCCATCATTTAGTACCACCACCACCACGCCTCTTCCCACTCCCACCCCGTCATCATCATCATCATAATCGTCATCGTCATCATCCTTCTTACCTCATCCGATTAATCATCCAATTCTCCCCTGACCATGGAGCAAGAGCTCCTCACGCTCCTGGCCAATACCCAGTCGCCCGTCGCTGACACCAGAAAGGCCGCCGAGCTCCAGCTGCTGCATCTCTACTCCAACACAGCGTTCCCTCTCTCCCTGACTGCCATTGCCTCCCATGATTCCGTCCCGACCAATCTCCGTCAGTCGGCTCTGACCGTCCTGCGCACCTACATTACCGCCGCATGGTCCCCGCAACTAGACGAGTTCAAGGGTCACGTTTTCCTGGACGACGCCGGCAAATCGCGCATTCGACAGGCCCTGCTCGAGCTGGCTACGACCGCGGAGACGCCAGAGCGCAAGGTCAAGACCTCTGCGAGTTATGCCGTCAGCAAGGTCGCCAGTGCGGATTTCCCCGAGGACTGGCCGGAGCTCCTCCCCTCGTTGCTTCACATCATCGACAACCCCGCCAGCAGTGACAGTGGTCTGCACGGTGCTCTGAGAGTCCTCCTGGATCTGGTCGACACGGGTTTCAGTGAGGAACAATTCTTCAATGTCGCCCGCGACCTCGTGTCAACCCTCTTCGCCATCGCGACCAATGAGGCCAGAAGACCCATGTTGAGGGCGCTGGCTGTCGCCGTTTTCCGGACATCCTTCGACACGCTGGAGATGGTCGTGGAGCAGCATAAAGTCGCCGTCAAACAGTTCATGGATGAGGTGTTGGGAGGCTGGTCCCCCTTCTTCATGTCGACTCTGAAGGCCCCGTTGCCCCAGCCCCCCACTGAAGAGGAAGAGTCGAAAGATGCAGAGGTCCCGTCGCAATGGCGTGGCACAATTGCCTTGAAATTACAGGTCATCAAGGTAGGACTGTTTGGATTCGTCTATTTTATGATCATTATATGTAGTTCATTGCTGATGTTGCTCTATAACAAAAACAAATAGACCCTCATGAAGGTGAGAATGGTCTTCCCGGGCCTATTGACGGCCCAGAGTGCCGCGTATTTTTCGGCACTCTGGGAGGAGCTCTCCAACTCCCAAAAAATTTACCATGAGTTCTACATCGATGAGGAGAGACAAGGGCGGTTGGAGGATGTTGATGGCCTCCAGTACACCCTGGATTTGCTGGTGGTTGAAGAATTAGATCTAATGCAGGCTCTTGTGAAAGCACCCCCTGTCAAGGCCGAATTGCAGCAGCAACTCCAAGCTGCGGGCCCGGCTGCCACTACGTCTAGCTGGCTTCCGGAAGTGATGAAATTGGTGGGTGCTTATGCCCAGATTACTGCCGAGGACGAAACCGTGTGGGAGATTGATGTGAACCTCTTCCTGTCTGAAGAGACCTCCGTCACTGCTAATTATAACCCTCGCACGTGCGGCGCCGACCTGGTCATCAAACTGGGAGAGTGGCTTAAGGGCACTGCGGCCGAGGGTCTACTCGCTTACATGAATGCTCTTTTTGCCGATTCTTCTTCTACGTATGGTCTACCCTAGCTCCTCTCTTCGCTGAATTTATAGTGCTGACCCACGCCATGACAGATGGAAATCCCGTGAATCAGCTCTCTATATCCTTAATCAATTGCTCCGAGATTTCCACGAGGTGTCGCAGCCAATCTCGCCGGAGCTGGTCAATAGCTTCAATCAATTTGTTGGCTTCGCCGTTCAGCAGGAAGATGAGTTCCTGCGAGCACGCGGCTACTTGGTAGCCGGTGTACTAACCTGTGTCGCCGGAGAAGCATTCCAGCAAACTGCAGCGTCGTACCTGGAGGCCGCTGTGAAAGCGATTACCAGTGATCCTTCGGAATTGGTGAGGGTCTCGTGCATTCGCGTTCTACAGGATCTTGTACCATCCTTGCCCGCCAATGCGACTGCTTCTCTCCAGATCCCGATCGTCTCAGCGATATCCGAATTCGTGTCGGCCCATGATCTACGTGAGTCTTCGGATAGCGACGATCTCAAGGTGACTCTGGCGGAGACCCTCCGTGACATCATCATGGTTGACCCAAAGGTGGTACTGTCATCGATCGCTATCGATGTGCTGTTCAACGTGGCCAGCAACGGAGCCTCGAACTTTCAGCTGACGATGGTCGTCACCGAAGCGTTTGAAGATATCGTTGAGAGGATTTCACAGGAAGGCCCCGATGCATATGTCCGCCTGTGTGAGAAGGTGTTGCCGTCTCTCACCGGGGCGATCGACGTCGGGAATCTCACCCAGGAGAACGCACTTACCACCCTTGCTGCGGACCTGCTCCGTGCGCTGGCAGAGCAAGGCAGTGAGCCCCTGCCAGCTGGCTTTGTCGCAACGGTGATGCCAAAGCTCAACCGATTGCTTTTGGAATCGTCGGAGGCGGATCTGATCCGTCCGGCGACCGAGGCTGTACGATATATACTTGCACATGACTTCAATCAGTTCGTGGCCTGGTCCGACCCACAGACCGGAAAGGAGGCAATTGAAGTCGTGTTGATTATCATTGATCGTCTGCTCGGGCCATCGGTGGATGACAATGCGGCCACGGAAGTTGGTCAGCTAGCGGCTGAGCTCGTAGAGAAGGCCGGTCCCGAGAGACTTGGACCCTATCTTCCGCAGCTGCTCCGGGCTGTGGCACAGCGCCTGGCCACTGCAGAGCAGGCACAGTTTATCCAGAGCTTGATTTTGGTGTTCGCGCGACTGACGTTGGTCAGTCCTCACGAAGTGGTTGATTTCCTTGCGCAAGTCGACATTGGCGGGCAGAGCGGGCTGCCAGTTGTGATGAGCAAGTGGCTGGAAAACTCAGTCAACTTCGCGGGATACGATGAGATCAAGCAGAACATTATTGCGCTAGCCAATCTCTACAATCTTGCAGATCCCCGGCTAGCGCAGGTGCAGGTCAAGGGTGACCTAATCATCCAAGACACCGGCCGCATCAAGACGCGTTCACAGGCCCGTAACAATCCCGATCGATACACGACGGTGTCGGCGCCCCTGAAGATCATCAAGGTATTGGTGGAGGAGCTTTCGGCTGCCTCAGGCGGTAAGGAGCTCGATGCAGCCACGGCCGCTGCTTTAGAAGACGATGGCGGCGTCGAGGAGGGTGACGATGACGACGATGAGTGGGAGGATATTCCAAGCAACACGTTGGATCTGAATTTGGGAATCACGAAACAGGAACTCATGGCATTCGGAGAAGGCGGTTCCGAAGGGGTATTTGGGGTTCGCAAGCGGGACGACGAAACACAGGCATTCTTGACCGACTTCTTCCGGAATGCATCGACGAAACCAGAATTCCAGCAGCTGTTTGCGGCATTGACCCCGAGTGAGCAGGAGAAGCTGCGAAGTCTGAGCTGAAGCGTGTGCGTTGAGAGTTAAGTCTTTTTTATAATGATCAGTGGATTTGGTATGAGAACAGGGAAGAAAAGAAGAGCATAACGAGTTATGATGAAATCAGCATGTACACAATGCACATTTCGCAGGCGTCTGGTAGAAGGTGGATATGAGAAGCGGAGAAAGGATAGGTACTCCGTGCTTATGGATGCATAGTTTGGCCCCTTTTCCACGGTTGGCTGTTTAATAATATTGCGTACCCACCATCGCGAGCGAGGTCGAGTGGTGCCAAGCGGAATAATGCCGGGAACGGTGCTGTCCAGAGCTGCAGTAGGTGCCCATTGGCGTCGGAGCGACGGCTCACAAGACGCGGATGGTCATTATTTTCGCGGGCCATGGCGAATGTTTGTAGTGACTGTGCAGTTTACACTATGTATGATGTACTACTATGTAGAAGGACATGTGTTGAAACTTCACAGTACATGGTTGACCATCGCAGCTACTGACCCAACGCGCTAGAATTGCTGGCGCTTATAAGCGACAAGCGCAGTAGGTCACTAGTTAATAATACGCCAGAACCCGACTCCTGGGATCCCAGTGTCCTGTCTGTCGGTAACCGGCATCCCTGCATAATAAATAATAATCTGGTTATGATAATATGTATTACGATTATCTTGCTGCTGCTGCTGCTGCTGCTTCGGGCCCCTCTTTGGGCTTTTCTCAAGGTTCGCGTCTGCTTCTGTTTTCTCTCCTGCTCTCGCTCTCTTCCGCCTCGCCCGTCCCTGGGAATCTCCGGCTGCCAAAAAAGTAATGTCACTTCCAACGCGCGACGAACGCATCCAGGTCGATGTAAGCTTAATCTTAATCTACGAGCATACATCTAAAACAAACCCCACGCTCCGGGTTATAATAAAGCTAACCAATCCTCCCAGACAAGCAGCGACGACGACTCCCACTTCGACACGCAGTCTGTCGTTGACTCGAGTCTCTCTCTCGCCTCCTCGGTCCGTGACTACACCTACGAGAATGGCCGGCGCTATCACGCCTACCGACACGGGCAATACCCCATGCCGAACGACGAAGAAGAGCAAGACCGGCTGATGCTACTACACCACCTCTTCCGCCTGATAATAGGCGGTAATCTCTTCCGCGCCCCGATCGCCCAATCCCGCATCACCGGCACCGCCAACAACACACGCCAACGCATCCTCGACCTAGGCACAGGCACAGGCAGCTGGGTCCTCGATATGGCTGAGGACTTCCCCCAAGCCGAAATCATAGGCGTAGACCTCAGCCCGATTCAGCCGCACTGGGCACCGCCCAATTGTAGGTTCTTCGTGGACGACATCGAAAGTGACTGGACGTTTCGGCCGGAGGAGGCATTTGATTTTATCCACGCACGCAGTTTGGCGGGCGGGATTGCCGATTGGGATCGCATGTTGCAGCAGGCGTTTGCGCATGTCAAGCCTGGTGGGTGGGTGGAGATTCAGGAGTGCGAACCGTTTATTGTTTCTGATGATGCGACGCATGAGTTGGCCGTTGTCACACAGGAATGGCATCGGAAGCTGCGGGGAGCGTCGAGGCAGTTTGGGAAGGCGTTGGATGTTGTTTCGAGTATTGGGTGGAGGATGCAGAGGGCTGGGTTTGTTAATGTTATTGATGATGTTTATAAGGTATCTCTCTCTCCCTATCCTTTCTCCTCTGTTGAGCCGGCTCAGCTTCCTTGATGAAGGCTTGCTAATGAATAAAGTGTCCCATCGGTACATGGCCGAAAAACAGACGCCTCAAGGAAATAGGCCAGGTCGGGAAATTCGCCCTCCTTGAATCCATCGAGCCGTACTCGCTGGCCCTCTTCACGCGGATCCTGGGATACACATATGAGGAGGCCAATGAGACCTTGAACAGAGCTCGCGCGGAGCTGCTCAATAATAATTCCCTGCATCTCTACGTGCAGGTCCATTATGTATACGGGCAGCGGCCGAGGAGCGGATGACGGCTATGTTATGACTTCATGAATTTCTCACGCGTTGATGTATCATGGCTTTTTTAAAGGTAATGGATATGAATATAATTGGCTCCATAGATAAATCTCGATAGATCAGCGAAAGTGACGGGAAATGAAAGAAAGAAACTACCCCTGCAACGAATACCCAACATCCTCACCACTCCCCATGGCCACCAGATTCGCCCTCATCTTCTCCGCGCGTTCGCCAACTCCTTCAATCCCACTGAAGCCGGCATCCTCTCTCCTCACCCAAGGCCCGACTCCATGCTGCAGCACCGCCGTGGCCCGGACCCTGTCCAGATTCTGATTCTGATCGTTCGAACCCGACTCCTTCAACCCTACACTCCCATGCAGCGTAAGCCTCGTCTCCTCGCCACCCTCGACCTTAGCCTTATACACGCCCCGATGGAGAATATTCGAATCGTAAAACACCGCATCTCCCGGTTTGAGCGTTACCGTAACCTGGCCAGGCAGGAAAGCCTCGTACGGATCCGCCTCCCGCTCCATCTTCGTGCGGACGCGTCGATGTGATTCCGGAACAACGATCAACGACGAGTCCTCGCAGAGTGCAAGATTGTACTGCGCATGCGACTGTTTCCCCTGCGGACTCTTAAGCTCCAGCAGTCGCTTTTCTTCTGCCTCTGATACCGTCTCGGGAATGTCGTCCCTGTGCCAGCGGAGTTGGAAGTCCTTTGTTTCTGGGGCGACGAGGAGGTTAAAAAGCTCCATGACTAGGTTTTCATCGTTTGTATTCCCATCTTGGGCTGGAGTCTTGGTCTCCAATAACTCCTCGATTACACTTAATACCTTATCGGAAAAGTAGAACCGCGCAAACTCCTCCCGCCCCGGGAGATCAGGATGAAGCAGGTGCTGGACGCCCCAGATGCCGCCCTCTGACGCGGGCGGCAGGGTGGTCGGCCACGGTGGGAACTGTTTCGGGACGGTGCGGAAGTGAGGCCATTGTCCTGATCGTGTGTGGATGGTCGCCTTTGTGGCTGCGGTGCGGAGGGTGGAGAGTTCGGAGGACGAGAGGAGGCAGGGGATGATGACGAAGCCATCGCGTTGGAGGGAGTCGAGGTATGTCATTTTTCTTCTTGTTTCTTCTGATTCCTGTGCGGTTGTTGAGTGGGTTTGAATATTAATGAAGATGATTTCTATGTATGATCTACCCCGCGAGCTTCGTAGTATTTAGTATAATACCCCACTCAATAGTCGTATTCAGCAACAATATGTAGTTAGCACCACTATGTAAGAAAGGTTATCAAGTGCCATACATCCATCTCAGTCCTTGACTAGAAACCATAGCAATTATTCAGAAACTCCCCGTGGCCATGGGCAAGAAGCCCGTTCGCTGCAAGGTATTTTTGTGGATAGTGTTCTGCTTTAAAAGTTTCGATGAACTTTTGGAATGAATCATGGAAAGCTGCTGGGGGAGTTCTGCCTTCTCCTAGGTAGCCCTCCCTGAGGTTCAGTTGTCTCAGTTACCCCAGAGGCCACAGGACAAGTATTGAGAAGAAAGGGAAGATAGGTACTCATTCCTGAAGACAGACGGCGCTGGCAATACTGTTACCGCTGTGGAACTAAACAGAAGGTGCTAACAGACTGCCCCTCAGCAATGCCATCTCACCCAGTAGACCTGTGAACAGCTTCAGATTTAGTTATTTTCTGAATCTAGTGTCTCCTTCAAACCTTGATCCTTTTCCAGCTGCTGTTGTGGTGTAGTAAAATAGTAATAGGGAAGACGGATTAGGCTTGCCCTAAGCCCCAGTTTCCTCTTTCATTATGATTACTAATCGATATATAGTTGTTAGATGTCACGTGTGTTCTGCCGGTGTAGACCGCCTCACCTGGCACCTAGATAGGAATAGAACACAAGACACACCTCCAATACTCTTTGGCTGGGTGCACTTGACTGTATCACCTTGAACTCTTAGCAAGTTCACACCGTCAACATTTACACTGCGATTCCATCTCCTGATACATCACTTTAGACTGCGTCAGCCTTTTCATGGATTACAAACAGCCCTCATTAGGGCTGGCTGTATTCACTGTTGTCAAGGGCTCAGGTTAGGGTTATTATCTGCAATGACCTTGTTGCACTCTCTTCCTTGCTTGCTAGTATTGATATTGTATTGGATGTGCTCTTCCCCGACTTCCTCGGCCTTGGATGAGGGTGGAATGTACTAGGTAGGGGTATGATTAACTGTGGGGATGCCGTGAAATAAACCCAGACTTACAGAGGGCAGTGTGGTATTAGTCTACTGTGTCTTTGCCAGGATACCACGACAATATAGCAAGAAAAAAACTCGGAGTGAGCATCGGACACCTCCATTAAACCAGATTCTCAATAATTATGCAGCCAAGATGGGCAAACAAAGCTCCCTCCAATCATCCCTCCGTATAATCATCCCACTTGGCGCGATCGACCTTGGCAAAGAAATCCACCGCAGCCCACCTGCGCCAGCACACTCTATCAGCTTCATCTCTCGGTGCTGAATCAATACATCAAGTGCCTATTCTCCATCTGAGAACTGTCAGACATGGCCCAAAGAGTGAATGCGGGCATCAGACCCGTCCTGCTCGTCCTGGGACTGCTGCTAGTTTTGCTCCCCGCACAGGTCCACGCTTTTGGTGCTGGCAGTATGTTTTGCCCCTCTGTCCCTATGCCCCTCACTCGTCGTGCTTTGCGTCCTAACCTCGCTAGACATCGCGTCGATTTCCACCGTCGAGGGCAAGAACTGGCGCCATGGTGATATCGAGGATACGCTCAAGACTATCGCCTTTATCAAGGGCCTCAAGTGGACTTCTATGAACGTGAAGCGGGTTTATTTTGGGAACTGGCTGCGGGATTAGTGAGCTTTTCTCCTCTGCGGTAGGCTGGTTGAGGGACAAGCTGACTTCCCTAGTTCCCAGGCGATGGATGTGGGTACCCTCAAAAGTGTACCGGCTGACACGATCCGGATCCTCGTCTGGGTCCTTTCGTTCATGACCTTTGGTTACGCAACGGCCGAATTCGAGGTGACTTCGGAGAGATTGGGCGTGTATCGTCCTGAGGAACATATCGAGTAAGTTCCTGAAAGCATATCCTACTTCCTTGGAGAGCGAAAGCCAGTACTCATGTCTTAGTAACCCCAAAGGCTACGCGGACGATAAAGATGCTCGCCAGTATGATTCGCGCCTACGCCCTCCCATCCGCCAAATCGAGCTCGAAATCGATCCAGACACCGGCATGAAAAATTACATTGCCAACGAGCGAGGCGACTGGGCGACCAGCTCCGGCTATATCAGATACAGTTTGGCCAGGAGTATTCACTACGGCAGATCGTATACAAGTGGCTCCAACAAAGGGCGAGAGGAGGATCTTTGCGAGGCTTTGCGATGTCTGGGCCAAGGTCTTCATACGCTGGAGGATTTTGCGGCACATACCAACTACTGCGAACTGGCTATTCGGGAGATGGGCTTCCTCAACGTCTTCCCGCACACTGGAACAGCAACGCAGGTGAATGTTCGAGGTCGTCGCATCTTCCCGCTTGTGACGGGTACCTTTGGCATGGTGGACTTTCTCCATTCCATGCTCGGAGAGGCTACTGATCATGTCACCCAGTCCGAGGTCGATGAAATGGATGTTGCCCTTGGAGATGCTCAGACAAATTCATCGGCCGGCGCTCTAGGCTCCTTGATATCTTCCTTGAAGAGTATACCCGGAGCCGGTGATCTTGTTTCCGAAGCGGAACAGCTCCAGCAGGACTCCGACTCCCAGACCGCTGCAAACTCTTCTGGATATGCTAGCTACGGAGGCTCCAGAGGCTTCGATGATACCTGGAGCGGCAGTCGAGGTATAAGTGGTGCCGACGAGTTTACAAGGGCATCCGAGACCAACACACAGCCTCAGTATGGCGCACCAGACTTTGATCCCCAAAAGATCGTGTCTCGAATCTATCCCATCTTCGCCTTCAGAGACAAAGTCGTCCGGAGACTCTCCGCCATCGTCGAAAAGATCCCCGGTCTGGAAGCCCTCGTGGAAAAAATCTCCGAGCTATTAACGGTCTTCGTGATGTCTCTTCTAGCCCCCTTCGTTCGCCCGCTTTTAAACTTCGCCACTAAACAACTACAAACCGGCTCGTCCGGCGTCCTCCAAGCCTCGGGTCAGCATCAATTCGAACCCTGGACGGATCCCATGTGCACGGATCCCACGCACTCGCTCCTTTCCAAGGACCACTTCTCCAACATCCTCAACGAACCCGCCGGCAACGTGGCATCGGCAATCCTGAAATACGTTGTTCCCCGCGTGCTGTACGCATGGGAACACCCCGGCGTCTCCGAGCAGCAGGTTCTAAATGACTGTCTCCAGGTCCTTCACCACCCGGGCCTAAGGGATATGCGCAATGAAGCCCACCGGGTCATGTTCGAGGCTGTCGAGCAGTGGGTGAATTCAAGACCAGACCGTGGAGCCAGCCTCGATCAGATCCTCAGCGCTGAGGGTGTGAAAACGGGTAAAAACAACGGAGGCAAGATCGGTCACTCTCATGGTGGAAGTGCAAGCGCACCACCACCACCACCATCAGTGCCGCCTGTTGATCATCAGCCTCAGCATACCTCTCAATATTATTCTTCAGATTACCCTGCTCCCGCTCCCGCTCAAACTAGCCACCATGGCCACGACGACTATGGTGGTTCCAGGTATACATCCGAATCAGGATCTGAATACTACCCTAGTCATGAATTTGGATATGGCCGTCCCCACGAATATTCACAGTGGCAGCAGCAACCAGTATATGAGAACGAACCGGAATCCGGGGACGCTTATAGCCAGAGCTATAGACACAGTCACAGACGTGATGATGGTTACGATAGCTACGGCCAGGATGATGGTCATAGACATCGTCATGGCCACAGCCACAGCCATAGTCACAGTAGTGAACACAGTCACAGTCATCGTCATCGCCACGACTACGACGACGACCAGTACGAGTCGAGACCCAGTGACTACGAGACGGGGTACGAAACCAGAACTAGGTACTACTACTAGGTTCTATCTTGGAATTGCACCTACATGCCTACCTACCTACCTAGGTGCCTTAGTACTCAGGACGTGTTTATATTTTCAAGCAGGGAGGAAATAGTTATGAATCTATTGGTTATTTGTCCGCTGCTGTATTTTATTTATTCAATGGGCATTGACATTGGCTCTTAGTATCCTGATACCATATGAAATTTACGAATGATATGTTGGAATGAGCTTTTGGGTTTCGATTTCAATAGTAAAACTCATACTCATTATTCAATAGTACTACGAAGTACATGAGACTGTATCCAATTCTGTTCCCGTAGACTTGCAATCAGTTTATGCAGAATCCATCCATTATTTATATGTGACTATACTCTATACTACCTATACTCTAAACCAATTCCCACTCGGATAATGTTCAAGAAATACAAACGCCGTCTCTTCAAACGCTCGATCCAGTAAATATATACCCGTGCCCTGCCCACCTCATACCTACCCTCTATAATTCCCATTTCAACGAAAATATCACCAAGATAAACTCCGTATACCATAGAAGACGAAAAAATAAAAAAAGGAAATTCAAAGTTTCGTGCCCTCCCTCCCCGTATCGCTCAGCCGTCTAGGCCGTAATGAGTGGGCACCTACGCTACTTGGGCCTGGGGCAGGGGAACTGATTTGTGAAGGCCTTGATTCATTGCCATCACTTGTCGGCATATCCGCAGTTCTCTGTGCCTGATAATGTAGACGAGGGTTCATAAGCCACTGGATCTGCATCCGGATACTGTTCAGGGCGGCATTGGTATGCGCCATGTCCTCATTGATGCGGAGGCATTCATTCATGATTGTCATGCTTGCGCGTGCGTCCAGGTCTGTGATGGCACGGGATAGCTGTGCAACCTCTTCGCGAAGCGATTCGTGAAGGGATAGGAGGTACGTTGTGGCATTGGCATCGGCATTCGCAGAATGCAGATTCGACAGGTTTTCTGTGGGAGATTCGGGAGGCGGGGTAGGCTGGTTATTCTCGGAGGATGGGTTAAATGAACGACTACTGCGGCTGCGTCCGGGGGAAGCTTCAAACAATGTCGAACGGATGCTGGCGAATGCATCCTCAAAGACCTCATTCCGTTGTTGAAGGTGCCGGACAGTTAATTCGAGGGAATCTATCCGAGAAGTCTGAGCCTCAAGGTAAGGCCCCAGAGCAGTCAAGGGACAACTAGTCTCGTGCGATCTAAGGTCTGTTCTCTTGACCTTAACCGGGCAACCATACTTGGAAGCCGCACAGGGAAGGATGGCCTTTGTACATGCGCCCACATGCTCGTCCAACTCCCTCCGGACGACTGTAATCTGACAATATCGACATTCTGTCTCCAGACTTGGACAGAGCTCATTAGAATGTTGCTGGAGAGCAAAGACGCCCCTGGTTAGCAATGATCTAAGAAAGGAAGGGTGGCAAGGAATGGCGTACTTCAAGATCTTGCTCCATGACTTCTTCACCACAATTGGGACATCTATGGAGCTTGTGCATGCATTTCTTATCCGGATGGAGGTCCTTCTTCAGCGTCTTCCTGTTGCATTCCGGGTCCGGGCAATCCACGGGTCTATAGCCGCAGTACTTGTCGACGTGAGTTTGAACATGGCCCCTAGGCATAGTCTCGTCGCAGCCTTCGGTGGAGAAGGGACACTTGACTTCGATTTCGTTGCACATGTTGACCAATAACCGAGGCACTGTCAAGGCAATCTCCCTGGCGGGTGCCCGACAATTGGGGCATTTAAAATCATCTGGACTAGCTCCTATAGTGGTGATGGCGGTATTCAGACAGGACTGACAGAACACATGGTCGCATTGGAGTCGTACTGGACAGACAAAGGGGCAGTGGCAGATGGGACACATTAGATGGTCGTCGTAGCCGGCAACGTAGTCCAGCGCGCGGAGGTCGACGGGTTCACTGCCGTCGACATGCGGCGACTCCACCTCGAGGAATTCCTCCAAGTTCATGTTTTCCGTGCTGTACGCCGAGTATATCTTGTGTTATAGAAGAACCGTCACTCGAAGCCCTGATCCTTTGATCCCAGTAACCAACAATCATCAGGTGAAGAACACTAGCGGCATCGGCGATAATCGGACGAAAGGATATCTGGATGGGCGTGTTCCGCTCTGACTGCTGGAAGGGCTCCGTAGAATCGTCTGAGTGTCGTTCACAGTGGATGTCTCTGGCAGAAACCGACGAGGAATGGGAGTGGAGAGGGTACAGTGGTGATGGCGACGATGAAGACGATGAAGAAAAGAAGAGAGGAATGCGGGGGATAGGCTGAAGGACCGGGCGCAGGTGGCAGATCACCCGCAGACACCAAGCAAGCTCCAACGCCTTCTTCAACCGCACGCTGTTTCTCTATTGCCGTCCTGCTTCTTGTCCCTAACCTGTCCCAGATATTATATACCTCTGTTTGCCACTGCGACCGTCTAGCGTAAGCATCGGTAATCGCGACGCTCGAGATCGTCCTCGACCCGCAAGTTGTCTCCGCATCCGTCATCAATCGATCAGTCAACAGGCATCATCAGTGCAGACACAAAGACGGCACCAGAGTCTTCGCGACGATGCCGAGTCCATCCCAGCTGTTCCTTCTAGCAGATCACATCAAACTCTCTCTGCTAGAACGACAACGCGCGGTATCCCTGAGCCTCGAGCCCAACACACAAGACAAAGAGATCTCTCGCTCCCTCGACTCGCTGCGCGAAGGCATCGAGGCTGCGGAATCCGAACACGCACGGTTGGAGGAGAACAACGATAGCAATGCGGCAGAGTTTAAGGATGAGCTGGACAGAGTCCGTGTACAATTTCAGGACCTCTTGTCCCTATTTCACAGTGCCGATGGAGACAGTGCTGCCGCGTCCAACAGCAACAATCCGGCCGTGAACCAAGCCAAAAGCTCTCCCACATCATCATCGTCGTCCCCGGATATCAAGCAGCCTGTTCCGCAGCATCCGTCGTCAAAATCTGTCCGGTTCATGGACGCTTCCCCCAGTGCAGCCGCAGGAAATCTGGACGACGAAGATCCCAACCGCAGTGCGCTCTTCCAACCGTACCGGGACTCTCCGTCCCCACCTGGAGTAGATACGTCGGCAATGTCAAATCTACAGATCCACGAACATCATTCCCAGATCCTCAGAGACCAGGACGATCAATTAGATCGTCTAGGTGAGTCCATTGGACGGCAACACCAGCTGAGTATCCAGATTGGCGACGAACTCGAAGGCCATATTGCCTTGTTAGATGGGATGGAATCCGACGTCGATCGACATCAGAGTCGGCTAGACGTTGCCAAACGACGACTCAACAGGATCCGGAAGAGCGCGGGGGAGAACTGGAGCATGATGACTATTATCGGGTTGATTATTGTTCTGGTGATATTGATTGTCATATTGAAGTGAGCTGCTAGGGTCTATGGGTTAAAGATAGGCTGCTATTTCTTTTCTCTCTCTTGCTGTTTCTCTTATACCTCTTACCCCTCCCCTACTACCCCTATCTGTTACCTGTCGCTTTTTTTTTTTTTTTTTTTTTTTTTTTTGTCTCGTCTATCTGCTTGATATATAGGCGCAGTTCTAACGCGTGCTTCCATTATGGTGTTCCGCTTTGTTTTCTTTCATTGGGTCAGTCCTGGCAGCGATGGATGGCGTTGTGCGTGCTCTTGTTTCCATTGCTTTTAAAGACCGAAAGACGTCCTTTGATCAGTTCAATGCCACTGTGCCATTATCAAATTAGGCTCCATCTAGTTAACGGTTTTTCGAAAGAAGCAATCTGGGAAACGGTTCATATCCTAGAATAGCCGTAACACCCTTTGAGGCTATGGTCAGCATGCCTTTCCCTCTCCCTCTCTCGTTAGGATGACCAAGAGCTGGGTAGTTCACCTATATATATCCATGGCTTCTTGTCCCAACTCCTCCTGATCCAGGTCCTGATTTGAAGATGTGACTCTAGTTAACTGTGATGCTCAGGCCTGATTTTGAATCCATATTACGGTCTGGGTGCGTAAAGTATGAGTCCGTGGAGGTATACAGATCGCTTCCATGCTATGCCATCGAGTTATTTAGCCTACATCGCCTGCCACTGTTCCACCGGTCACCGTATCGGCCACCTGGTGCTGTATCTGTGTCTGATCTCGATGAATGTATATAATAATAATATATCGGGGTATGATTGTTGTGGTTTGTACATATCTCCGCAGAAACTTCCTGTATATGTATATATATATATGCTTCACACCGTGTATACCGATCAACTACAACGCCGTACAACAGTGTACAGTATCTGAATCCGCATTACTTGTTTACATGCGGTGTAAATCACAGCCTAATTCGACGCCCTCATCTGGGTCAAAGTAAGGAGACTACGCCGGCGTCAACAGATACTTCAAGTAGTCAGAACAGGATAGAATATGACTAGTTACTAGGAATATATTCATAAATAGCGGAGTCAATGGTTTGCAGGGTGATCCGACGAGTCAAGGCGCGGCCCGACCAGTAATAGATAATCATAAACAAGAGAGAAAAACAAAATCGTTTTAGTATATTCGATAAGGCTCGCAATCCATCTGCGAGAGACCGCCAAAGCAACGAACAACTCCGCATCCAGTCCATGGATTTCCTCTCAACCGAACCGACCAGCCACTGGACCCGTGGTAAGGAAGCAATCAACACCATACCCGGCCAATATGATATACACAAAACCATAGAAAACAAAAGAGAAGACAAGAGAGAGTTAAAGCAAAGTAGAAAGATTAACAAAAACACAAGACAACCAAGACCAACAGCCCATTCAATGCAGACATTTATCGTTTCCGCCTTTCTAAATCGCTGAAAACAAGACATCCGTCTCATCCGAAAGACAACCCAAAGACCCAACGCTTGGCAAGTGAAATCATATCTTCGCTGAAGAGTATACCGGCAAAGTCGCCAAGACACACAACGCCAAAGAAAAAGGAGGTATCCTCAACCCATAGACATGCACATCAAATGGCAAGTCGCAGCACGTTCTATCGTCATCATCGGGGCCATACCCGAAAGCCGTATTTTTTTTCCCGTTTTCCATTTTTGTTTTCCCTAGCCGAAAAACAAAACAAGGTATCGTTTGAAGACATTGATGCAAGAAGGTAATCGAATCGCAGGCGCCGCTGCTCGCAACAAGCTCCGAGGAGTTGCAAAATAGGCCCAACCAAAAAAAAAAAAAAAAAAATAGATATCGTAATCGAAGAAATTAGCGTATATACAAATTGAAAGAAAAAGAGATATTTTTTATATATGTATGCAATCGTAGAATAAACGGTTCCGGATTGATCGTAACAGATGCGATGGCTGTCGAAAAGAAAAAAAATAGAAGGGACTAGAATTATGACCGGCGATTAGGGAACCCCGATGACGCAGAATGGCAGACGACGAACGAGTGGACAGCATGCCACGGGTGTGAAGACAGTTTTTGACGCTAGCGCCGCGACTGAGCATGTGGAACTCTTACCAGCGTCGCTGACCATTCTGCGCCATTATGGGGGTAATGGACGTAGGTGGACTCGACAGAGTCATCCCGGTGTTGGGGTTAACGATCGGAATACCCTTGCGGGTGCGAGCCGCGGAAGGTTGCTGAAAGTTCAGATGACTAATGTTGGCGACACCGGGGTTGACGTATGAATTGGTCGACGCGGGAGAGAGCGAGATGGAAGGGGTGACTTGCTGAACAGGCTGGATCTGGTGCTGGAGGGGGGACGAGTTGGGAGAGCCGCTGGAAAGGGATGACTGATCCGACGAAGCAGAGTGGATTGAGTGCAGCTTGGGGGGAGTCAGCGGCAGATCTTTTGTAGAACGGAAGAGCAGCATACATCATCCTCAGTCAGGAGATTGGGACAGAACTCCAGGTCATCGTCCAGATCGAAAGAGCGTCCAGCTTCAAAGCGTGCACGGAAAGCAGATACGGCCGGGGCCTCAGCAAGTTCCCTCATACTCTTGACGCCTCGAAACTGGCGTTGGGCGTTTTGGGTTGCATTCTTGGCACCTCTCCGGGAACGGCCACCATGGTGGTTATTGGAATTGGACTGCATGTGAGTGGCGGCGGGATGGTGGAAAGCCTGGTGCTGTTGGGGGTAGAAAAAGGTGGACATGGTGGACGGCGGCGGTTAAGGATGATAGGGATAATACGGGGGATGGAGATGGGGAGTGAGTATATGACGACAGGATGGAAGACGAGAAGAGGGAAGAGATAAAATAAAATGAAACGAAGAAAGAAACGACAGAAATGAAATGATGAAATGAAGGAAGCGAAGCCAGGTGAATATTAGAGTGGGAGCAGATTCGAAGCGGGACGAGGCGAAAGCAAAAGCAGAAGAGAGAAGAGAAAAGCGGCGGGAGGAAAAGAAAAAGGAAAAGACCCGGCCCGTATTACCGTATCTTACCGGCTGGCGGCAGCGACAGAACCCGCCAGGCCCAATTTGGCCAGCCGCTGCCGATGACTCGTCGTGGATTGGCCCGCCGAGGGCGGCAGGCTGGGCGGCTGACCAGACGGTGATGTAATTGGCACCGGCACAGACGACACTAAGCCGTTCTGGGTGGCCGCTGGGATGTCGATGACGCTGTGAGTGGCTGGCTCGCCACTGCATTATTACACACATTACTCGTACACACATTACATTACCCACATTACATTACCCACAATACCGTATTGCCCCTGATGTGCTGCATCGACAGATTGCTTCTATCTACTCAGTAATGCCACTGTCCAGTGTCTTCTGTCAATCTCATCATCATGTTCTACGGAGTACATGAAGTGTTACCGCTACAATATAGCGGAGTCCGTAACTCAAGCCTCCGAGCCACGACGACATCTTCGGGAATGATTTGCGATAACGGCATATCGCCAATTCGTCAGCCTGATAGAGTTTGGGACGTGTGATAATCTACTGCCGCCACTTGGACGTCGTGATGACCAGCCCTTGGAGTTAGCATGAGCTACTGCAGCAGTGCCTGAGCAGGCAGTCAAGGTCCCTTTGGCGCTGTGGATGTTGCACTGCATCTATCGCCCAAGTTATTATCACCATTCACCTGGCAGATGGACGATATTCTGCCGATTATCCCGGGAATCAGCTAATGACATGGGCGTTTTTACGTACCGCTGTTAACTGCCACAAAGCTTCGTGCTTGGGCCGCAGCATGGGGCCGAATCTGTCTCGAAAATCCGCCTGCCGCTGGATCTGGAGGGAAGAATCAGAACCGTCCAATGGGGCTGTGTTCTGCAGATGAACCATCGATGCATGTCCATCAGCCCATCATCGCTATTATCATCCTATTATTGCTGGAAATTTCGATCCTGTTCCTGGTTGAGACTGTTAATAATAATAATAACCATAACTCCCGACTCCGACATTCACCGCCCCTTTTGTTGTCATATGACCGAGTAGGTAATGATGTACCCCTCACCATCCGTCTGGAGTATCATGCTATACTATGCTTCACCTCTCGTGGCGTTATGATCTTTCTTTGTCTTCGCTTCGCTGCTTTCCTACGGAACATTGATCTCCCCACAGTCTCCAGACATGGATTCCATGGGGTGAGCACCGAGCTCCTCGGGATTATTTACAGTTGCCACCGGGCCTCAAAATAAACATCGCTGACTCAGACATCTATCCCAGCAACACACCAACAAGGAAACCAACGAGTTGCCGTAAAAATGACAGCTCACTCCCTTGCATGCGGCCGCGAGATGCATCCTGCCGATCCTATCATACGGCTAATTCAGGCTGACCGGCGTCACTGTCTGCAGGGATTGATCCAGGTCTTACTCTTTCCGTAGCAAGGGGAACCGTAACATTGCACGAGATCGTACACCAAGTCGACAGTAGCTTCATTCATTCTTGTATCGTCTGACCCAACTCGCATAACTGACCATGATCATACGCAGTACTCTCTTCTTTTATTGTACTGAAACTAACGCTTTATGCTGCTGGTGTGATCAAGTATGATCGAGAGATCCTCAGTAAATGAATGATCTCGGAGGCTGGCTGAGCGCCCTCAACACGGACAAGAGCCTCCCATCGGGTGCGAGATGTGGCTTCTTGGTGCCACCCTCGACAGAGCAGCAGATCACGCTCTGATGGCATTAAATCGATCTCACAGGCGACCGTGAAGTTCTCGTGTCTTGCGCTGAATGAATTCTTCCGTATGGGCCTCCGTTGGAGAGCACCGAATGTTTGTTGGATGGCTGTTGGATAGAATCATGCGTAGATCGATCTTTCCTACGCAAACCCTCGTATATCCGCGGGAAATTATCCCCGAATCACTTATCCAAGCTCTTACCCTTGACCATCCTCCCAATAAGTTCCTTGCAATGCTTCTCACTATACTGCTCCCATACCTCATACAACGACACCAACTCCTGAGTGCACTCGATGACAGCCCTGATGTCGACTTCACTCTCAGCCAGCCAGCCAATAAGCCTTTGGATCCTCTCTGCCCCGGCGCCGTTCTTGTCGCCTAACGCCGCGAGAATGCTCATCCCGCCCCCTTCCCGCATGGCGCCCGCCAACGACGATGGGCCGGGCCCGTGGAAACTGGTCTGACTGGGCTTGAAGACAACCGCAATGATAATCGCCATGACCGCGATTACATGCGGAGGATACAGTAAAGGCAAATCGGTGAGATAATGGTCGTTGATTATTGACCAGGCCAGCGCAACTTCATCCGACGATAGGGGCAGTTCAGGCTGAAGTTCGGTCAGGGTCCGGTACGGATGATGGATGATGAGTTGCGAATTCATTTCAGAGATCAGGGCAAACTCGCATTCGCCTAGTTTGGAGACATCCGATGACATAAACTCTGTTCAGAACATTATTATCAAAGAACGAAAGAGACAAGGGGGAAAAGGGGGCTCAAAGCACATGCCAGGCCAGAAGCTTCTAGCCTCATTCACGACAAACCGGATATGTTGAGGGCATTCCTCCATTTTACAGGCCAGATAGAAAGCAGTGCTGAGAACAAGGTACGGGTTGGTTTGCCTGATTTCGTTCTTGATGTAGAATCTTTTCAGATACACCTGAGCCGTCGCAAGGGCCTGCTGCCTGGTCGACATTCTCTTACCCAGCCTTGTAATTTCTAGAGAAAGAGGAACATCGGATTAGTTTACTCCGGACAGATTCCCTCCCTCGGGCAGCATGATTGGAGCCAGAAATGGTTTGGTGGTTTCTTCTGATCTCACGTTGATTGAAGTAGATGTTGAGTAACCTTTGATCTGGCAAAGGGAATTGAGAATACGACGTTTTGTCTCTTTCCTTTAGCATCTCGCGCGCTTCTGCCAGTTTTTCTCGGGAGAATAGCCAATGCCGACGCTGGGTCGACGTCCAGTAATTTGCAGCCATAGCGGTTCAAAAGCAAAGAAGTAGCAGTTCGCCGGAAAAATTCAGAGGCAGATGTCCAGGTTAAATAGACAATTGACGATGCAATACTATCATTCAACAAAGCCGCGATAACGTGTAAGTATGAATGTACAGTTTAGGGTACTCATACGTGAGTGGTCTGATTGTTCCCATGGATATGCACGACATAAGCTGATTAGTAACCTGTACCTAGAACAGCGACAGGACACGGACAGACGGAGAATGCCAGCAGAGATAAGTCGATATCGATTAATTGATAGGCAAGTTGCAGAAAGCAGATCGACCGCGCGAAGTGTATTAGAATGCCCGCCGTCTGATTTGGAGACGCTGAGGCAGGGATTTACCCAAAGCGGCAAGACAGGGCTGAGCCCTGGTCGCATCAGCCGCCCGGCCCGAAAACGTGACTTTCTGTTCCGAGATTATGTCGTCAAGGAACAACAGCAATTATCGTGGCCCTCCTCCAGCAACCGCAATGGACTGCACGTCCCTCCTGCGTTGCCTCTAACCCCCCTCGCTCCTGTTCCCGGCTTGAGTTTCGATGCCCAGATCAGTATTGCTTCTGTGTCCCGTTTTGCCCTGTCGTTGCAGGGTTCTCTTGAAATCTCCACTCAATACTTTGACCTCTGTCAGAAAAATAATGCCGGGTGCTCGATAATCATTACTACGTTCGAATATGGCAACCTATGAGTCGAGAAATGAACGCGATCAACGAGTTGTCAAGATCTGGGAGGCGTTGGATACCCGCAGGGAAGGCCAGATCGATTTCAATGGTCTGAAGAAGGGCCTGAAGAAGATTGATCATCGTGAGCACAGCCCTTGTTCTGATCGGGTTCCCATGCCCCAGTCCGCTGACTATGTCCCAGCTCTCAAAAATGCAGATGGTATGCTACGTGAGGTGTTGCAGGCGGTTGATACCAATGGAGATGGACGTATAGACTACGCTGGTAAGATCGCGTGCCGCTTTTTCCGTTTTCTTTTCCTTTCGATGTATTCTTTTGCGAGACTGGCTTTCATGCCAGTGTTTAGACCTACCTAATATTTCCTAGAATTTCGAGCCTTTGTCGATTATGCCGAAAACAAACTCTGGCCGCTATTTCGGACCATCGACTTCCATGAAACGGGCAGATTCGACAAAGATGCGCTGAAGTTGGCGTTTGAGAGATCCGGCGTGACTGTATCTAGTGCTAGGATAGACGAGTTTTTTGAGGATGTCGACAAAAACAAAGATGGAGTTATCACATATGCAGAGTGGAGGTATTGCACCCGATCTTTAAATGAAAAAGAGACTATAACTGCGCAACCGACCGCTGATCGACTTGCTTCAAGGGATTTTCTTCTTTTCCTTCCCGCCCATTCGTCATCCGACCTGCATGCTGTTCTATCATACTTCAAGATCACGGGAAATGTAAATCTGGATGGAGATGTCCAGATGAATAAACAGGGGGGCTTAGGTACAGCAAATTCGTTTCCTAGTCATTATTTCCAGGCCATGAGGGATCTCCTGTACAGCATCTTCCCAGTATACGCCCTGACCACCGTTGTGCCATCAGCTTACGCGGAGACCGGCGGGTGTGCAGAACCGGGGCCCGCACTGCGGAGCGATGATATCGCCCCTTTGGACGCGGATCTCGAATTGGAGTGGCTGCCTGTACCCATGGCTGTCGCTATAGTGTTGTCCATCCGATATTATAAACAGAAGTTGACGGAGAACACTCCTCAATTAGGTTATTTCGTTGCTGGCGGAATCGCAGGTGTTGTATCAAGGACAGCCACCGCTCCTCTCGACCGTCTGAAGGTTTATCTCATTGCTCAGTCCGGCGTGAATAAAGGGGCTGTCCGTGCTGCGAAGGAAGGGGCTACCTTGAAAGCAGCGGGAAGCGCGTCAAAAACATTAGTCAACGCCGTTAAGGATTTATGGCGTGCCGGGGGTATTCGAAGCCTGTTTGCAGGTTCGTCAATCAAATCTTATGTGGGAAGATGTAGCAGAAAATGAACACTAATCATTGTTATAGGAAATGGTCTGAATGTGATAAAGGTCATGCCAGAATCGGCCATCAAGTTTGGCGGATATGAGGTGAGTGATAGTCTTTATGATACGTTCGAGGAAGGCAAAGCTGACGCATATTAAGTCGGCAAGACGCGCATTTGCTCGCTTTGAAGGGCACAATGACCCGAAGAAACTCAAGCCAACATCACAATTTCTGTCGGGTGGAATTGGTGGAATGGTGGCCCAGTAGGTTTTGCTTCGCGAAGTGGCCTTTTGCATACATCTAACAGGCTCGTAGATGCTTCGTCTACCCCATTGATACCTTGAAGTTGTAAGTACAACTTTGTGTTTTCGTTCTTGATGCATCCCTGGACGCTAACTCCTATCAGTCAGATGCAATGTTCAACAGTCGAGGGCGGCTTGAAAGGTAATCGACTCATAATTGCTACCTTCAAGAAAGTGTGGAACAAACATGGCCTGTATGGCTTCTTTCGTGGCTTGCCTCTTGGTCTCACGGGAATGTTCCCTTACGCAGCCATCGACCTGACTACATTTGAATATCTCAAACGTGCTGTTCTTGCCCGAAAAGCTCGCAAAGACCATTGTCACGAAGAGGACGTCGTTCTCAGCAATTTTACCACGGGAGCTATCGGTGCTGTCAGCGGAGCATTCAGCGCTTCCGTTGTCTACCCGCTAAATGTTCTTCGGACCAGACTACAAGCTCAGGGTACCATCTTGCATCCTTCGACATACACTGGTATCGGCGATGTTGCTCGCAAGACCGTTCAAGTTGATGGCTTCCGTGGTCTCTATCGTGGAATCACGCCAAATCTTATGAAAGTTGCTCCCGCCGTGTCTATTAGTTGGGTGGCTTATGAGAACTCGAAAAGAATTCTCGGGTTGAAATGAATTGCAAGACAGGCTGAGATGCTGCTTCTTTGAGTTCACTGCTAGCCCACTGTTCTGCCCTTTCCAGCCATACGGTAAAACCGAAGGATCATTGCATTGCCTATCCTTGAAACATTTGCTTCTACGCCATCTATTTTGTCTAAGGCATTTTTTTTATTTAGAATATTCACCAAACGCCAAGATACCCACTAAAGCCATCGCTGTAAGAATGGCACAGTTATTTCACTTGGATGGAGTCAGTCAATACCTTTTCACTTCACTGCCACAATTTTCACACAAGTTTTCTTCACGTACATATCTTGCTGTTATTTGCCTTTGTGTTTTTTACTATCCCCTTCCAGGAAGCATCCCCTGGACACGGTTCATTTTCACCATTGTGGTCTTAATACTTCGATAACCCGCACTTTTGAGAGAGGAATGCAAAGGCAGATAGGGAAGTTATGGATGTACAACAACAGACAACATACATCCCACGAACTAGCATGGCAAGGCGTCTCGTGGAGAAATGCACATTGTGAAATTATGGTTACTGTACTCTGTTGATTTGTCTTTTGTCTTGTTGAATCATTGAGTTGTCTTTTGTCTACAATGGTGTTAACTAGAACAAAGCGGTTCATGTGTTTTTGACTGCCTATATATGTTTGGACATGGTGTTGTGCCATCTTGCCTGTCAAAGCTATGAAATTATAGATTTTTTGATTTTTTTTTATTCTCTGGATTCATGAACGAAGAAGCCTCAAGTTAAACAAGACATGCATTAAGGCATTGTTGGAATGGTATCTACAATTTCCCAGCAGCAGCAGCAACAGCATTCACCTCTTCATCCTTAGGCAGAATATCAGGAACAGGACCGATAGGTGTGATCCCAAACTGATTAATCTGTACCTGACTCTTCGTATAATGCTTCTTGATATGTTCAAACTGCGTCGTCTCCCGGAACGCAGGGACATCCCAGTACAACCTCCTCAACCAACGATGAATAGCGGGATACCCAGATCGAATATCGCGAACATTACACTTGAAATGCTGGACATAAACAGGATCGAAGCGGGCGATGGTCACATAAAGCCTGATATCAGCTTCTGTGATGGTTGAGCCAAAGTAGAAGGCGTTCTCGCCGGATTCAGCCTGTCGTTTGGCAAGATGCGCCTCGATCTTATCCAGTGAGGAGAAGAGGGTCGTCACGGCCTTCTCATATGCTTCTTGGGTGGTTGCGAAACCAGATTTGTAGACGCCATTGTTGACGTCGTTGTAGGTCCAGTCGTTTGTGGCATCGATTTCGGAGCGCAGGGCGGATGGGTAGGGGTCGACCGATTTGTATTTTTCTGGGAGGAGGTCGTCGAATTCGTGATAAAACATGCGGATTATTTCGGAGCTCTGTTGTATTCATGGGCATTTGTTTTTAACAGACAGATTCTCTTCTAGGAAGCAGGCGGGGAGACGAACCTCATTGTTAACGATCTGCTTCGTCTTCTTGTCGTACAACACTGGAACCGTAAAGCGCCCCTTATACTCCGGATTAACAGAGAAGTATAATTGGCGAAGATGAGTAAATTCAGGATGAAGAGGATCGGGGACGGCATTCTCCCCAGGTAATTTCTCATCGGGTGTTGCGAACCGCCATCCTGCCAACAGCATCAGCATAGATACGGACAGGCATTTAAACAGAATTATTCTCACCATTCTCGCCCATATGCCAATGCACCGCCGTGAACGATATGATGTCCTCAAGACCCTTGAGTTTCCGCGTAATCAAGGTTCGATGAGCTGCACGGAATTAGCAAACCACCATCTAACGCTCGTAACTACCCAAGACGAAGAAAAAGCCACACACACCCCAAGGGCAAGCATAGGATACATAGAGATGATAGCGACCCTTTTCCGGCGGGAACTGCGCGCCAGGTTCTCTGGAGATCCAGTTGCGGAATACCGATGGCAGACGCTTGAATTCGCCTGTTTTGTCCTTGGGATCGACCCAGTCGGTAATTTTTCTGGGAGCTTCGGTCTACATGAAGTCAATATCATAATTAGAATATTTGCGCAGAAAGAAACGGGGATAATACCGTCATGGTGCGTGAGAAAATAGCTATTTGTGCGGGGATGATATAGCTTTCGGGAGTCGATCCGAATGTCGCAGGTATTCTTCTTGCTGCTGATAAATAACGAGTGAACAGTTGAAATCGGAAGGGGGAAAAGAACATAGGGGCTAGGAATGCAGAAAACGACACGATAGTAAGGAATAAGGCCTATTAATACCTTTCACAGCGCCGAGTCCAGACGCAGCTCAAATCGCGGAGATGGTGACGTCGGTGGCATTAGTAATGCTCGGATAATGGCTTACTTTTTTACGTTGTGACAAATGCTGACAATACGCTGACGATCCATTCTAATTCACTTCCTGAAATAGCAAGCTGCTCTATACACACACGTCATTCTTTCTCGAAACTACTTTCCAAGAACCGTAGACCTATTTGCCCAGCTTCACCATCACGTAGGGAATCTCCACATCCTCTTCCGTCTGGTCTTCTGCAGTCACCTCGTAGATGATGTTCTTCTGGTGGTCTGGGATAGCCTTCTTGCTGATATGTTCTACCAGCTTGCTCAACCTGTAACAGTTCTGTTAGTTCTATCTTCGAGTCGTCGTGAAAGCAAGACTAAATACGTACTTCATAGGGAGGCGGTCTTTCACTTTAGACGGCGGGTAGAAGCTGGCATACAAAAGACTGACCCCGGAACTGACCATAGTCACCTCCAAGCCCAGGTTGGAGAAGTGGTCCAGGAATTCCTGCAACGAAATATCCTCCACCTCAAATCGATCCCAGATCCTGTCGATGGTGACTTCACCTTGCTTTCCCATGTATTTGCCCTTTGGACTGCGAATCGGCTCGCTGAATCCAAGGAATGGAAGCGCAAGATTCACGAAGCCGTTCTTGTACTGCTCGATATCCTTCTTGCCATCGATCAGCTTGTAGAGCTCAAGGGCGACCAGCCCAGTTACAAGGGCAGTAGTTGTAGCGATGGCTGGGATAATCTTGCCAGCAATAAACTTGGTTTTATGCCTATCGGCTTGCGGAATGTCGTAGTTCTCTGCACGGAGATTACTGGCCGCCGTAATAAAGTCAATGTGATGATTGGTGTCATCGTCCTTCTCAAACTCTACTGGGTTCAACCGGAACCCAGCGAGGGATTTCGGTGACGGTAGAGAAGATACAAGTTTCGCAATCTCATCCTGATCGGTGAAAGACGAGCCTCTCTCCGCATTCGGATCAGGCTCATTCTCGTCAGCCTGAATCTTGACGCTGGAGCTTGGCATAAATTCAGGAATGATCATGTTCTCCACAATCTTCCTATAGTAGTCTTTGCCCACCCCGGGATTCTTAATCCCGTAGTTGAAAGCATGAAGGTTCGCTGCTGCCACGATGAACCCGAGATGAGTCGGGTTAGAACCATCAAACTTAGATGGCGTGGGTGCTCGCTTAGGTCCAGACCAGAATGGCTGACCACTTGACGTCTTCGAGTCCCTTGGGAAATTGTAAAGCAACTGCTGGATCCCGTTGTTGAACTGTGACTCAAATTGGTTGCGAGCCCAAACAATGCAGTCATCAAAGGTCAGGGGTTTGTCCGTCACCAGGAAGCTCCGGAGATGTTCGAGAGTCTGCTTTTCATTGCCAGCTTGTTTGAGTGTCTGATCAATATAGTTTGGTTGCGAGAGGTACATATTGACAGACTCTGGAGGACCGACAAAGTACGTCTGGAACAGATCTCGGGCCCAAGCAATAGTATGTTCGATCCGGTTGGGGAAACTCTTCAATGTGCACATGGGGAAAGATTTCTCCGGAGGATCTTGCGAGCTCGAGTATGACTCGGTGATGTGAGGGAGGACAACCTGAGTGTTACCCTTGGTGCCGAGAGTCCCACTTTCAAGAAGAGGCTTCCGGAAGAACACACAACGGCGGTCCACGTACGTCCTTGCATCGACATTATCCAAGGCATTGGTAACTCCATCCAGACCTTCCCAGAACTCTTCATTGAAGATATTCTCGGTGTCAGGCCCAACACGGTCCCGGAGCGTCACGATCTTACCGCGCAACTCAGGATTCATGGCTTCAACAGCGGCAGCAGCACAATCACTCTTGAGCTTACCGACATCCTTGGATCGGAAAAGGAACTGTCTGTTGAGATTGCTTCTCTCAATTTGGTCCATATCAGTAACCACAATCTGACCCCTGGGACCAGTGCCCAACCCCATCATGGCCCAATTCTTCAATGTTTCGCATCCAATAGCTCCCGCACCAACAAGGAACTGGCGCTGGTTGGAAAGCTTTTCTTGGAAGTCTTTGCCGAATACGGCTATTTGGCCGTCATAGCGCGTACCGAGGGGTTTGCAGTTCTCCTCCGATCGAGTGACAGAAGTGGGAAGTGACTCCAGCGAGTCCACATAGAGCCATTGATGAACAGGATTGAACTTCCCAGATACTGCCTTCATGACCTCTTGGGCTACAATGCCTCCGAATAGCGCAGCCAGCGGGTTCAAATCCCCGCGGGCTTGATAGCTGAGCTCCTTGATGATCTTTTCATCCAGTTCAACCTTTTCCTCTGCACCTCCAGCCAGCCCATTGGCTATTTTAAGGACCTCCTGTGCGTCGCTTTCGTTGTGAGGGCGTGGAAGCTGACCATCATGAACTTCCGCAAACCTGTGCAGCGCTTGTACGCCAATATGCAGTTGCAGTGGCCGTTCGAATTTGGCAAAATCCGAGACCATCAACTCAGGTTTCTTGAGTTGCTCTTCCAAAGATTGGAAGTCAACGAATCTGGGCATCTTTACCTGCCTGAAGATTCCGCCACCCTTGTAGGAGCCCAGACCAGAAACGTCGCCAATGGAGAATGTGTACGGTCCCTTCACAGTGACCTTGCGAGGATCTGAGTTGTTCAAACCTTCCATGCCCTTGACTTCAGTGAATGTGACGTAGTCTCCATCTTCCAGCCCATGCCGTGTCTCATCCAAAGCAGAAACAAGGCCTTCGTCATCAATATCAGCGACGATACCCTCCACAGGATCCTCACCCGTGGTGTCACCAACCGTAAAGTTCTTCCCAAAGTCATTGAACAAGTATCCAAAAAGCCCGAAAGTGTCGGTGATAGTAAGGTAGATGCCATGTTTATGGCAGAAATCGGCAATGGCAAGTTGTTCCTTCAGCGGAGTCAAGGTAAGAACCACCGCCTGGTAGCGCTTGAGTTGCTGAAGGTTATCCACGAGATTTCCGCCCTCATGAACCGTGACTGGAACGTATGAATTCAATTCTGCAACCCGCGGGGCAGTAACGTCGGCACGAGGCTTGCCGACGTCCTCAGGTTGAAGGAAAAACTGAGAGGAGAGATCTGAGATGGCTACCGGAGCGGGATCGTACAAGGTAAGGGATTTGACGCCAGCAAGTGCAATGTTTTTTGCTAGAGATGACAGTTAGGATTAAACGTTGAAGTGGGATGAGTACGACTGATGCTTACCTATCTCCACACCCAAGCCCTTCAGACCGACAACTAGGACGTTCGACGAGCTCATCCGTTTCATGGCCTCATGTCCAAGAACGTACCTTTAACATAACAGTCATTAGATTGTATCCACCAGAAAGGGATGGTGACAAGAACTCACAGTTGCCGACTGTACAGAGACTCATCGATCTCCCCCTGCTTGATCTTCTCAACAGTCTCCCCCGGGTTTTCAACCTGCATTTTTGTGTCCTAAATCTGGTTAGCGAGCAAGACCTAATGATCACGGGTTGCATTATATTGTAGTAGTGTCATACGGTCATTATCTTTTTCTCTGGTCGAGGCGCTGTCTGGACGAGAGATGCTCTACGCTTCCCCAGAATAGCAGCCTCACTGGTGCTAGTATTGGAGGGAATCGTGGAAATTTTCAAGTGAAAGTCCTGCTGCAGCAAGACTTTCCGTATGGTCGTTGAGTGGCCGTTCCTTGCGCAAACTCCAGTGAGGGGCCGGGGAGGGAAGCGGCTAGTGATGCGGGTAGGTACTACTGGCTGACAGAACCGACGGTATGGAGAGATCCGAGCCTGTAAAGAGAGAATAGGGTGAAAAGAAGGAAGTAAAAGAAGCTGAGAGGTGAAATAAGATAATGGTCACAGAAAAGCAGGGAAGCAGATCCAGCAGAAGGACTGAAGAAGAAACGTTGCCAGATGGACGTTGAAGACGTAAGAGGAAGAGAGCTGGAGTTCTTAGTCAGCAACACCCCCCGCGAAGGCTATCGAACTTGAGACGACGACCCGTGACGATGACGACGATGACGAGCAGCAGGCCCTGTGCGTACTGATTAATGTGTCTGGTATGGGATTCCCAGGATTATTCTTCTACTTTGACTGGTGATGATGTACACGCTGACAGTGATCACCCACAGCGCGTAAGTTCTGAGCTCTGGTAGCTCTGCTGTGACGTTCCACTTCCGAGCACACCGCGAATTCAACCCGCTTCTAGAGTGATCTCGTTCCTGCCGTTCACTATATGTGTCGATTTGAGATATTGGGACGCATATTGTTGTACTGGCAGCGTCTAAAAACGCAGGTGAATCAGGATCAGTCCTCCAGGTTGGTGGCCGTTCTGCATTGTGTATGTTGAGCATGCCGATAGTAACAGTGTCTGCAGAGGGTTTGGGCCAGAATGCTACACGAGATCCTCCTCTCCCTCTCCGGTCAGCCCTCCTCTCTCTTCGACTTCCACACGGATGAGAATAGCGCCTCTCAACATGTTGTTTCACTGCTGTCGCCGCCCGAGAAAACTCTCCTCGAGTCCCTCGGCCGTCTAGGGCGCCTCCATGCACAGCTACGAGCACATACAGCCACCATTTCTTCTTCACATCCCTCAATTATCTCTCGTGCTGTGTCCACTGCCATTTCAACTGAGCATCTTGGCCAATTCCAGAATAAGATACTGGAGGTAGAGAAGGCAATTCTACTCGGGGACAGTGGATATGTTGGAGGCTATGGTATTGTGCCATTATCTACCGTGGTCGGCGAATTTGCTCCTTGGAAACGGCGTATGGAGTGGCTTTGGGAAGTTGTACAGTTTATGCAGTCCGAGCATGACAAAGACAAAGGCTGCACCGGTGCCGAACTGATCGACCATCTTCGAGCGGAATCTCATACGGGATATGACGATCTCGAAGAGATGGCGGTAAACTTAGTTACTGCTGCAGAGAAAGCCTGGATGCGGCAGCTGTCCATGTGGCTCTTATATGGAAACCTTCCTATGTTCGGCAAAGAAGACTTCTTCATTCAAGAAGATTATGAGGGTGAACTGGATGCTTCAGGTGGCCCCGATGGAATGGCTCACTTTGTTATGCGCACTCATCTCCTACCAAAATTTGTATCGCCCTTCACGGCGTCTTCTATCTTTTTCATTGGAAAGTCCCTAAATCATATAAAAGCAAAGGGGAAGACTCTAGCGGGTATCTCAGAGGGTATTTCAACTTCTTCTATCAACTTGCAAGGCGATTATATTGAATACTTGTCTGAGTTGAAGTCGCCTATATCGACCTCGAAGCTCTCAAATGCCATAAACGCGATTCGACTGTCACTATCCCAGACTACGCTTTCAAAATTACTACCTCTTCCCAAGATTCTCGAGGTCCTTTCTTTGCTGCATGACTTCTTTCTTCTAGGACGTGGCGAGTTTGCCATGGCACTTGTGTCGCATGCGGATTCTCGTGTCAGTGGAAGAAGTCGGAGACCAGAATCTCTACAGAACAAGACTCCTGAAGGGCTGGAAGGGATAGCTATTAAGGAAGGCGATGTCACAACCGTCCTTGCGCAAACATGGTCCGAGCTCTATTCCCTTCAGAACGAAGAGGATCCAGTTGATGATGAGCTGGACCTCGCCCGGAATTTACTTCGTTTGACCATCAACAAAAGACTACGTGGCCACGGATCGCCTCTAGATCCGGCGGCAACTGAAACGGAAAGGGAAATTTCAGGCGTTCCCTTCGATGACCTTCTTTTTCCAGCAGCCACGTCACTCTCAATTCAAGTGCAAGCGCCTCTTGATCTTTTCCTTTCACATTCAGAAGTATCCATCTACTCTAAAATACATGCGTACTTGCTTGGTATCCGGCGAGCACAGATACGCCTTGGGGATCTCTGGAAACACTCCTCACTTCGAAGATGCCATCCTGCTCCTTGGGGGCCACCACAAAGCAACACTTCCTTTGGTGAGTCTAGACTAAAGGCAGGTAGGCAAAGAGACAATACTCGAATTGCTCAAATGAGGTCAATTTGGGCAACCGGTAGCGCGTCTCTTTTTGTGCTGTCGGAAATAGGCAGCTTTTTCCAGGGGGAAGTTGTCAATGGCTCCTGGGAGCACTTTCGGGAGTGGATTGAAGGGACTCGTTCCTCTTCAGGCTCCCGACCGGGGTCAGCATCATTGCCAAACCAACGACAAGAGAGTAGACCGGTCTCATCCCCCAGGAACTCCACACTAGGTCTCGGAGACTCCGCTCCTACTCAGGTGCAAAAGCATGATCCCGAAACGCTTACTGTTGCACATCGCCGATACATCAGCTCTCTCATCCATTCTCTATTCTTGACTGATGTCCCATTCACAGCCGCTATCCGCTCTCTTCTAGCCACGGTGGATCGCTTCATTGCACTGCTCATCCGTCTCGAAGGTATCCAGCGTAACATGGACCTGGAGACGGACGAAGGCGTTGTTGATGCCTTGGCAGACTATCCCCGTGAAGAGAGAGAAGTCTGGAAAGAATTGCGCGCCAGTAGAGACGATATAGAAGCAGGAATCAAGGATGTTGTGGCACGACTGAGAGATATCGACGATAGTCGATCCGAGGAGGGCCGAAGAACTTTTGACCTCGCAAGAGACTCAGCGCAGAACTGGCAGGTCGATGGCGCCGGTGTTGTTTCTAGCTCCAGTGCTTGCCAGTATGTGCCACGGAAAGCAGCTGGTGTGGATCGACTGCTTATGAAACTGGACTTTGGGAATGTCAACACATAGTGCCAGGCCACTTCCACGCTCTTCTTTCTCGTTTCTCTGTTTTCTTTTCTCGGCTTGGGTGTCATTGCCCTCATGGATTCTCATCAGCTGGACAGGTGTCTTTGTATAAGGTTGTAGGCAGGAACTTGGCGTTAGGAATCGGTTATGGCTAGAAGAATGACGGAAAACCAGCATGGATTGATTGTCTTTTATTTAACCATCAACGCATAGAGGCTCAAGTTTTCATAATATAGTTGCTCACCTTACGACTTCTCCAGCCTTACAATCCAGTAACCATCATTATGAGTAGATTTATATGCTGCTTGTACCCAATAAAATAAGCCTTCCCGCTACTGCTACAGCACTGATATCTGCTTTGCAATTCGGTCGCATCAACACTAACACCTTTTTGCGGCGATTTATCACGATCTAGCTAGTATGGCAGGATGGCAAGCTGCTGCTCTTTTTTTCCCCTGCTTTTGGTCCTTGTTCTTACTTACCTACGATGTATTTAAATAACTTCGTTGCAAAATTAGGTAGTAGATACCTAGTTAGGTAGAACCAGCCTGCTTCATCCAACCTATATCTTGTCTTCAGACAAAACGTACTCTACCAGGGGTATATCGGTGCCCACTAGCCATCCTACGGAAAAGGCAGGTTATCTTCTCTCCCCGTCTTCCTATACTATGCGGCTCACCCCCAGCATCTTTCCTCTCTTTCTTCATCTCTTCTCCATGTTCAGTATGCATTACACATGGAGGAATTTGGGCACAACGATACATGTCCTCAGGAGGGTTCCAGATGGCACATAAAGGAGGAGTCATTCATTACTTCCGGAAGGGGACATCTCTGTTACAGTTGTCCAGGAGGATACCAGCTGCTGCCTAAATACCAATTATATGAAGGGGGCGCTGGCCCTCACTGTCTTTACTCTCCTTCCTTTTCCTTCCTCATGTTCAGTATTCGTTGAGATAGATATTAAATAGCATATGCTGCCTCTTACCATCACAGGAAGCGAAAATAGAAACAAAGGAAAAGCCTCAAATTATTCCCCAACCGCCCAGCCGCCCGCCCAACCATGGAAGGAAGAGACCGTTCAGGTCGACGTCACAGAGGGATGCTGGGCCTGGCGGCGAAGAGATCGCTGGGTCGCCTCAAACTCTGCGCGAGGATTAGCCAATATGCGAAGTTCACAGTGTATTAAGGCGCTTACCAGCAAAAGCCTCCTCCAGCTCTGCCAAGGCGGACAGGATGCGGCGGTTCGAACCGCGAAGGAAAGCCCGGTCTAGCCGCGAGGCATGGAGCCGAAGCTCCAGCGTTGGGAACTACGCAATATAGTTAGCTGAGCTCACCAATGCCATTGCTAACTTTGCCTACTAGTTCACACGTGTGCCCAACAAGAGCGCACCACCAACAGCTCCGGCGACGGGGGCCGAGCAAGTACCGACAGGGGAAACGACTGATAAAATCGGGGGTTGCCTCCCGATCAGCCTCGAGTTGATCGTACGCGAAGCGCACAAGACGGCGGAAGCAGCGCACGCAGAAGAGGTGGCCAGCCTCTATCATGTTAGGGTTCTCTGGGTCACGGTTGGCCATGGCGGTTGAACTATCAGTTCAAAGCCTAAAAAAACAACCCTATAGAACCTACCAAATGAACGGACTTAGAAAGGGAAGAAAGAAGAAACGAACGCCGCTGATTAATTAAAACCATTTAATTAAATGGTATCTAGGGGAGAATACAGGGCAGAGTTCGTCCGGATAGGAGATATTTATTGTCTATGGTGAATCCCTGCTAACTACACTAAACCAGATCAGGTTTTTCTAGCCAATCGGCTTGGGATAATGACTGGGAAATTCACCTCAGCACTCACCATACCCCTGAAAAAGGTTATTGTATTGGAAGACAGCTTTATATGGCATTTCCTACTATATACTGTCCGGAGGTTGGGCTTGGGATATTGCCAAGCTTTGGGGCCCCACCTTAGTTGAATGACTCATACCCGCGAAGTTAACTAGTCAGTTAATTAACGGCTTCGGGCCTCCTCCCTAGTAGGACAACCAGCTCAGCAAGCTTGACCCCATCAACATCTTTTCTACCATATTGTTACCACCCACCTTACATTACCATTCCGTCAAATTGTGGCCTGAGGACCAGGCCCTAAGGGAGACAGGTAGCTAAGTAACTAGTTAACGGCTAATTGTAAGTCTGCAAACATAACTACCTAATGGTTCTGTCACAGTGTGACCTCTGGGAGCATTCAGAAGCTTAATCGCTGCACTAAGCAAAAGACTAGGATATAGAGCCGGAGGCTCTACACTGCTCTCTCATATATATACCAGACAGAACAGGACAGGCCTGTACTGTAACGTATGCCGCAAGGAACCGGCGTCTTTCACAAATGCCTATAGACCACCCCATCCCTTCTTTATTTTTTAAAAGATATTTGTCAGGGCCCTTGCCATGTAGACCAGGACGAGCACGTGAGCTTCCTTACTTGGATTAGCGTGGCGCGTGGATAGGAGTACGTCGTCCAGCTTCACGTAGATCTCTTCCTTTTTTCCTTCCTCTCCATGCTTGAAGTTCTCGTCGATAGCTGCCTAGATAGCTGAATAGCATCCTATTCATCGTCTAGTTGAGTTCCGTGACAATATTCAACATATTCCCTGCCTATGTACAATATTTGGAGATGCATAAAACTTGTAGGCTGGAAGAGCAGCACCTCTAAGTGAATGCTAACCCTACCATCTCCTTGTGTGACGGCCTGTCCCGTGACCTGTTCATGGGGTTGAACTCGCTGAGTTGGTTGTTCTGGCTATGGAGGCCCGGAGCCGGGCAACTATGTTGTTGGTGGTTCCCTGGTTCACTCCTTCCTAGTTAGCATAGCGTAGGTAACTAGTTAACGTTAACTCCTAGCTAGAACAACCAAATTAGCGAGTTCGACCCCATCAACATGTGTCTGGTCCAGTCCAGCCTGGACCAGAAACAGAAGGAGGCATCCATCAAGAGGGGAAGATGACGGCTTGCAGGCTGTGCAAGCAGTGAGGGGAATAGTGGACAAGCTGTACAGGCTGTTCCACAAGCTGCCGTTGCTTGGGCTGGTGTTTGCCTTGGGCTTGAGGTGTGATTGTTTCCTCCCCCAACTCCAAAGACCTGTAGATTGTCCTTACCAACAGCTGATAGATCCTCTCAAACTCTATCACTGAGGTGCGCATCAATCGTCAAGGAATCGCCTATGTCCTTTCAAGAATGGATTGGTATTGGAATTTGGCGCCTCTCTTACTAGATGAGAACAGGGCCAAGAAATCATCTACAGGGCTGCGAAATGAGCTGGAGAAGCATATTATACAGCTCTACCAGAAACTTCTCTTGTACCAGATGAAGAGTGTCTGCCTTTACCTTTACCGGCGAAGCTGGGTCACAGTTATTGGCAGGGATATGCTCCAGATTGATGACTGGGCTGGCCAGCTCAGCGATATCAGATGCTGAGGCTGCTGTAAAAAGAGACTCAAAACAATATAACTCTGAACTGGCCAAGATGTATCTTGAGAAGCTTGTTACTGCTGCAGATGCTCAAGAAAAGAAGCTTGATAATATCCACCTAGTCATCCAGGACCAAACAAGGCAGCAAGAACAGAGGCATCAAGACAACAAAGATAAACAGGGCTTAAAGAACCTGCGTGTGACTGATCCCCGGGAGGATAAGAAGCGCATCCAGGAGACAAAGGGTGGCCTCCTGGAGGATTGTTACCACTGGATCCTTGACCATGCTAACTTCCGGCAATTTTGCGATGATCCACAGAGCCGGCTGCTCTGGATTAAGGGTGATCCTGGTAAGGGCAAGACAATTCTCCTGTGTGGTATTATTAATGAACTGGGGGGGGGAACATAATAATATCCTGTCCTATTTCTTCTATCAGGCTACAGAGGCTCAACTGAGCAATACAACATCTGTTCTGCGTGGTCTCATATGCCTCCTCCTTATCCAGCAATTATCACTCATATCACATTTTCGGGCCAAGTATGGTAAGTATGATATTGCAGGCGAAAAATTATTCCAAGGCATAAATGTCTGGGTGTCTTTGGTTGAGATCTTTACAGATATGCTGAATGATCCAGCTTTGAAAGATGCAATCTTGATCATTGATGCCCTTGATGAATGCAATACTGGCCGACCTCAGCTTCTTGATTTTATTATTCAATCATTGTCAGTTTCTTCATCCTGTGTCAAGTGGATTGTCTCTAGTCGTCATAACTGGTGAGACATTGAGGAGAAACTGGATAATGCAAAGCAGGAAGTCAGGCTGCATCTTGAGTCAAACAAGGACTCAATTTCCAATGCTGTTCATAAGTATATTAAATACAAGGTGGATCAATTGGCACAGAACAAGGAGTATGACGAGAAACAAGGAATGCTGTTCAATGCCATTTGATTGACAATGCTGATGGAACCTTCTTCTGGGTTGCCTTGGTTTGTCAAATGCTCGCAGATCCTAAGATCCGAAAACGGCATACACTCTCCAGGTTGGAATCATTCCCTCCAGGACTTGATCCTCTCTATAAGCGAATGATGTGAGATACTGATGATTCAGAGGATGCAGACCGTTGCAAGAAAGTCCTGGCTATTGCTTTAGTTGTGTATCAACCTATCACCTTGGAGGAATTAAAAACTCTTATTGAGTTTCCCAAAGACCTTGACCAAGGTGACTTGGAAGAAATCATTGGGTCCTGTGGCTCTTTCCTTACCCTTCAAGAGGGCATTATTTACTTTGTGCATCAATCAGCAAAGGACTACCTGCTTCATAATGCATCTGATAAGATCTTATCTTTGGCACTGTGCAGCAGCACCATGACATCTTCTCTAGGCCACTGAAGGCCCTTTCCAACACCCTTAAACGTGACATCTACAGCCTAGGCACTCCAGGGTTCCTCATCAGCCAGGTCTCAACACCAAATCCTGGCCCATTAGCTTCAATCCGATATTCTTGTGTCTACTGGGTTGACCATCTCGTTGACTCATATCCCACAGAGAGGATAAATAGTGACAGGGCTCTACAGGACAGCAATACTATCTATAACTTTATTCAAAAGATGTATCTGTATTGGTTAGAATCTCTCAGTCTGCTTCACAGCATGTCAGAGGGAGTTATGGCAGTACAGAAGCTTGAAACTATAGTGGTAAGCTGATACAGCTTTCAGACATCATACAAGCTGACATATTTGCAGAGGAACACGAAAACTCAACAACTGACAGGCCTACTTCAAGATGCATGCCGTTTTATTCTTTCTCACAAGCAGGCCATTGAGATTGCCCCCTTACACGTCTATGCATCAGCACTCATATTCAGTCCCATCCAAAGCCTTGTCAGAGAGTTCTTTAAGGAAGAAAAGCCAGATTGGATTACATTAGAGCCAAGCATGGAATCAGACTGGGATGCTTGCTTGCAGACACTCGAGGGCCGTAGTTTTCTTGTGACTTCAGTTGTGTTCTCAAAGGATGGCCAGCAGCTTGCATCTAGTTCATGGGATAAGACAATCAAGATATGGGATGCAGCAACAGGTGCGTGCCTGCAGACACTCAAGGTCGGGAGAATATCATATCATCTTTCGTTTGATTCGATGACTAACACTCGGCTCTCTACTGACATTGGATTATTGAATCTGGATCGATTTCCCACCATTGATAATCGGTTGACTGAGACTGCTTCACGATGTGTTAACCACTCTGGCTATGGTATAAGTACTGATGGGATGTGGATTGTGAAAGATGGTCAGAATATGCTTTGGCTACCGCAGAATATCGACCGTACTCTTCGGCCGTAGTGGAAACAACAGTCGCTATTGGCTGCCGTTCAGGTCGTGTACTAGTGATGAAGTTCTCTTAGAATGGACATAGGTATATTGGCCTTGCTAGCCACACTGTTGAGCCTGTGTTTGATTCTACTAAGTTACTGCTGATGGGAGGAACTAGTGAGCTTGTAAGAGTATTCTGGAGGCAGTGAGTGAGGAGGCAGGTAGCATGTGCACGAGCATACAAGTTGGGACTCAACAGGAGCTGAGGGTGTTGTAGCTAGAAGAGAAGGGAAAGAAAAAGAGAAAGATCAAAACACGCAGAGACCATAGAAAACTTTTCTTGGTCCCCTGGTACACTACCTATCTGCTATTGAGAAAGAAAATGACTGGAAACCTGGCTTGGATTTTGAAAGTTTTTATGCTTAAACATTTGTTATTTCAAGAATGGATCAATCCCTTGACCGGAAGCCCTGCACCTATGTCGATTGATGGAGATAAGGCCACTGTAATGGATTGATATGCAATTGTGCTATTTCTGATAACATCAGGAGTTTACATGGAAAATAGACTGGTTTGTGGGAGATATAACCCCTGCCTGTACAAGGGGGTTTCCTAGAAATAGCACTCTCCGGTAGGGCTATGTTTTCACCTACCAAGCATCTGCTTACGCGGTACTAGAAAATGCCTTGTCTAATGGAAACAAACGCCGGATTCCGAGAATGAAAGTCCTCCCTCACGAGTACAACACGTCGCCCATTCTGGAAACGCCATGACTCGCCTTGATTTTCCTCTTTGAATGCAAATATTGACCTCTCCGAACCATTACTTGACTATACGCGAGAAAAATGGGTGTGACGGATCAGCTCTTAGTCGGCCTCAGGGCTCAGGGCTAGGGCATAGGCTAGGGCATAGGGCACATCTGGGATCCTGCTACTTCTCATTCCCAAATCTTCCCCGTACACGGGAAGAACTCATGCAGCCCAGTGGGAGGGCGGTCTTGGAGATCATGGAGCAAAAAAAAGGGTCGAACCGGTCAGAGGTGGAATGAATCAAGTTGCGTGCAACTCATACCTGAAAAAGGGGCAAAGAAGCACACTTATACTCAGCACCAGCCAGTGGTGAGGCCGGAGCAGATATATAGTAAGAAGATAAGCGAACAACTTGAAGCTAACATTGGTTAGTTTTCTACCTATATGGGTGAAGACAATCTAGCTAATGTCAGTCGAAGCTGGGATCAGCCCCAAACACCATGTCTTCCCCAGGATTGATACTCATTGCAGGTATAAGAGACATCATGTACTGGAAGCCAATGACAACTCTGTGACCGTGATCCAGAGATGGCGGTACGGGTTCTCCACTTATCGGGAAGTCGCATGTACTGGATTATTTAAAAGTCATTTAACTATAGTTTGGATGGTAATAAGTTGTGCCAGGTGTTGTTTAATCATATTATTCATTTAACCCTACTAGGAGGGTTGTTCGGATATAGAAGGCGCCAAGTTCTCGTAGGATAATGATAGAAATCAAGTCTTTTGTCTTCTCCTTTATATTTGATTCAATAGAAAACACATCACTGATGATATAGCAAAAGTAAATCAAAATAACCCAAAATCACAGTATATAGGTCAAGGCCTTCCTTGCTCCAGCATACCCCGACCTTAGACCCAACCCATCACCACCATCACCACTACCCATCAACCCCTCCCTTTCTCCTCCATGGCCGTACGCCTCCAATTCCACTTCCCGACCCCTCGCATCTCCAACCTCACCCTGATGAGAACCGGCTCCAGTTCTACTCCCACCCAAAAAGGACAATCCAACCCCCCAATTCTCCCTAACCAGAATAACCCTAAGAGCAAACGCCAAAACAGCGACGATGACCATGAAAAAGGAACAAGTCGCCATCCCGCGCACGTACCACGGTCCGTCGGAGGTAGGGTAGAGCCTCGTTCCGAGCAGCGGACCACACTGGCCAACGATATTCAGGATGGCGATGCTGGTTCCTTTCCCTTCCTTCGCGGTGCGGTTGTCCATGCTCCAGGTGATGATTAGGGTGATGGAGGCGAAGAAGCCCGAGATAGCAGGGTAGACGCAGAGGTAGCGGATGGATGTGTGGAGGGATGGGGGGAGGTGGGTGTGGAAATGGCCGGTTAGGGCAATAATGAGGTAGGCGCTTGAAGAGAGGAGAGCGTGGATGATTAGGTAGGGGCTGCGACAGCGGTGGCGGTCGGAGAGGTAGGCTGTTATCAGGACGATGAAGAAGGCAAAGAGGTAGGGAGGTGCTGAGAGGGCTTGGGAGGTGACAGGGGAGTAGCCCATGCTGTTTCTTATCAGAGTTTGATCAATTCATTTCAATCAACACAGTCACACGTACTCTTTAATAATAGTAGGGAGGAAGACAGGCATGGAGCTAAATGCGACATTGCAGCTGAAGAACATGAACTGTTATGTGTCCGTTAGCATGGCAAAAGATGTGGCAGTCAGTGCACACTGAGACGAAACACGCACAGCCATTAAATAAGACTTGGGATCAACCAGCGCCTTTCCAACCTCTCGCCAATCGAAGGACTTCTGTTCATGAATGTCGATTTTGCTTGGGCCTAATCGTAACTCAGCAACCCTCTTCAGTCGAGGGGCGAGGAATCGAGCCGTGCCAGGTGAATCGGGAATGAGCATCCATGCGAAAACAGCCACGATCACGCTCGGAAACCCCTCAATCAAGAAAAGAGTGCGCCACGGAGCAATTGGACCGTCACTGCTAAGCTTGACGATCAGCCATGCCAGGCTGCTGGCAAAGGACGATGCCAATGGCGCCGCAGAGATGAACAGCCCGTTGCGAAATGCGAGTTCCTCGCGTTTATAGAACAGTGACAGATAGAACGGGACGCCAGGTCCAAAGGCAGCTTCGGTGATACCAAGCAATGCGCGCAAGAAGACCATCGACCAAAACGAAGTAGATAAAGACTGGAAGGATGCCGCGAGACCCCAGCCACAGACGCATATGGGAATGTATATGTGTGCAGGAACGAGACGGTACATCAGCGTCATCCACTCAAAAAGGATATAAGTTATATAGAAGGCAGTAAGTAGCCATTCATATTGCGACGATGAGAGATTGAGGTCATCGGTAAGTCCTGCAATCCTAGCATTTCCAATATCTGCGCAGAGTACGGAGTATGTTAGGCAGTGATTCCAATGGGTAAAGCCAAGATAACCCGAGGGCTTACTCGATCGATCCAAAAAAGAAAGTAAATAAAGCAGCGCCAAAAACGGCACAAGTTTCCGATCAAATGTCCTCACGACCTGTCTCTCCTCCTCGGCCGTGTAGTGGTGCAATGAGTCCGCTGGCCTGTATTTCCCCTCGAGCTCCTCGTCCGAATTATATCCATGGAGGACATGGGATTCCCCGTCATACTCGTCTTCCTCAACTCCGGCGCCCGCAGACCTGTGAAGCTTGTCGAAATTCGTTTGCACCCTTAAGCGGCGCACGGGGGAATCTCCAGGCCCTGAACGGGGGTTTTCCGCATCGGATTCGTTGGAAAGCGGGGTCAATTGGTGCTGCGGAGACGATGAGCCTGATGGAGGAGTGTTTCTTTCGGAGGAGGACGTGGACGAGCGGATTGAGTCTTGGTTGTTGGATGACAGCTGGCTTCGAGAAGCCATAATGGTACAGTCAGAACACGACGCTCAGGGACCATCCATGCGGATAACGATAAGGTGGCTTCATCCCAGGGGTCAGCTTGTGCCCGGCAATTGGTTTCTTCCAAAAGGGCTGAAAGGGCTGGGATTGCTGCGGCTAGAATCAAAGAGGAGCAATGGTAATGGAGAGAATTGGAATGGGTAAAACCCTGGAATGGGGATCAATCTTCCCAGCCTACACGTCCTGTTAAGCTACGTATGCCTCTCAGGCTGCAATGCACGGTCCAGGATCCCAGCTGTTGATTGGGAACCCCATCAATTTAAATTTCCATAACTAGTCCCGCCATAAGCTTTGACCACCGCGATACTCAACATAGTCTATATAGGCATTTCTATTCGACAGTCAGGGAAAGTTTTCATTTTCTCCGCTGACGCCTCGGGATTCCGCCTGTGCCCGCCTTCACATCGTCCGCTGAACTATATAAAGTCGCTGGTGCGTCGCTCGACGACCACCTCCTCTCACTTTCTTTTACGTCCCCCCACAGCGACGTCCCTCAGCACCCTGCTGTCCTGTCCTGTCACGCGCACCAGACCAGCCTGCTCCGGCCCCCACCTTCGGAGATGACCGTCCCTCAACAAGGACCGCTCAGCCTGTGTCTGCCCACCGTCGACTTGCAGCCGTGAAACCGCCGCGTCACCATGGACCGCGTCCGCAATCCGATTCCCTGATCTCACTGGAGGGCTCAACTCGGACTTTGCCGTATGACCTGGAAGGACGTCTCGAGGAGGTCCCACCAGGCGGCCAATCGTCATGTCCAGCTGGCTGACGGTGCTTCCCTTGGGGCCATCTAGCCTCGACAAGTGTTGCCTTTGCGAACTGGAAAATGCCTCCATAGCTCGCCATCCTATCAATCGTTGAGGAACGGATGCTCCATCAACTCCCGGGCTGTCTTTCGCTCCTCGGGAAGCCATGCGAGCATTTGTTTGATAAAAGACAGAAAAGCCTGTCTATCGTCCGTTTCCAAAGACGGAACAGTATCCTCGAGTTTCCGACTCGGTATCAGGTCATTGTAGAGGAGCTTGCCTACCCACAATATGAATCAGCGTAAACACGTAAATTGCATACGGGGATCATATCGCTTGCTTACCTTCGTTGTCAAAAAATGGTCCTCCAAAATAATCCCTATTATTCTTGTATATCTTGCCCCTCTCGTCTGTAATTGGCGGAGACCATTCAACCTGTGCCATTGAATCCGACATTACAAGCAATTTCTTAGGCGGTGGGCCAAGCAGTGCTCACATCTCCGCGAGATGTGCTTTGGGATCATAATTTCCCTTTGCATTATGCACCTGCTTAAATAACTCTGTACCCTCAATCATATTCCACGCCTACTCCAGAGCGTGAGTAACTATATTTCCACATATGCGATAGACCACAACGTATATTTTATTCGTATATCTTACCATAACTCCCAAGTTCCATATATCAGCACTGAAATTCCAACCACAACCAAGGACAACTTCTGGTGCACGATAATGGTCAGGTTGTATGGGACGGGTACCAAGTCGAACCGTGCCATCATGTCTGTTGTTGCCGAGTAGAGTCGCCGCACCAAAATCCGTTATTTGGGGATACATATTGCCTAGTCCACTCGAATCAAGAGGTCCGAAGTCATTGTGACACCGATAGACAACTCGGCGAGTGTTTGGGTCGGGTTTGCTTTGCATAGACTGAGCTGCTTGCTCTTTGACAAATTTTGGGAGGATGCCTTCACTTTCAAAGGTTATAAGTATGTTATCGAGTTTCAAGTCTGAGGACATACAAGTTAGCTCATTATTCCTTGATTAAGTGGGTAGGACTCGGTTACTTGCCAGTGTGGACAACACTGCATTCAGAGTGGAGGTAATCGAGGCCTGCTAAAATGATAAGAATATATGCTTTAGCCATCGACAGAGGAAATCTCTCGACTTCAACCCGTTTTTTGGAGAATCCCGAGCGGCTCCCGTGCGGGTTCGTAGGCTAAGCATAGATGATTTCCTATGGGACCTGCCACTTCAAAATTGTCAATGTAATTGCGGATCACAGGACGACCGCGGTGCAAGGGGGTTTGCCGTTTAATGTGTTTCTCAATATCACGCTCATGATAGGCGCCTTTAGGGTTGTCATTATTGATGATTTTTAGAGCAACAAGGCGCTCAGTCTGCCATCGATATCTACCGAATGGCCGAGTAAAGATTAGCGATGCGAACTGCGGTCGCAGTTATTGATGAAAGTCAACACATGCCTTGCCACATCCCGTGCGAGCCATACAGTTGATCCCGCTCCCCATCCAATCTTAACCAACAATTGATAATGATCGGCAAGAATTTCACCCGGTTTCGCGGGATAGTAGTGTTTGGGATTGTACCCAGGGATGATTTCTTCATCCACGAGTTCGCAATGATGAATAGAAGTCGCCGAGACTGGTGGTGAGAGCTGGAGAGGTTTGGTACGGAGGAAGGATATGCACTTCAGCGCACGGCTTATGGACTGCATTTTGAAGAAGAAGAGAAGAAGCACATCGCTGTAAAGTTTCGTGCGAGTAGCGAAGAGCTGAGCCGGGCTATAACGAATTCAACGAGAATAAAGAGAATAAACAAAGAACTGCTAACGCTAAGGTGGTGCCAAAAAAGAATTTATTCTAGAGACGGCCAAAAGAATGGTTGTAATATAAGATAAGAGATAAATTAACGTATACAATGTATAATTATAAAGATATTCAATGTGCTATAGTTATTATGGAAAGGTGTGAAGAACGAATGTGGATTCTGCGGGAGGCTGGATCAATCAAAATTTGTTGGATCACGTGGGATTCTGCCGCATAGGTCCGCCCTCGCTGACCCTTTTCACCACGTAGGCCTATCTAGCTAGTAACCAACCAACAATACACCTCCATTAGGTTATGAGCCCGTTTCTTGCTCGGAAATATGAGCTATTTTAGGCCCGTATAAGTGGTCAATTTAAGCCCTCTGATTGGCTGAACCAAAATTCCATACCCCAGATTCCAAAAATTCCAGGATCCCAGATACGGTCCGAACCTGAGCATGTCAGGAGAACCTACTACGCCTCCCGCTACTGCTATACGACGATCACGTCGCCGAAATCTCCAAAACAGGTCCTCGAATATAGACGAGACCTCCTCATCAGTTGTCTCTGAAGAGATAGAGACCCCAACGCCTTCCGGAGCCAATCTGAGCTCTACCAATACCGCCAACATGGCTTCCACAAACGAACTTACCCCTGATCTTGCTGATATGATGCGACAAATGCTTGCTCGCCAGAATCAGATGGAACAAGATATGCGAGACCGTGAAGCTAGAATGGAGCTAAAACTGGCATCTATCATCCAGTCTAATACTCCACAAGCTTCCTTGCCTTCAAATACAACCCAAGATACTACACCAATGGATATCCAACCGCCTCTGCGTGATGCCTCAGACACAAATATCAGCAATGCTATTGCCCTTGTCCAAGCCGATGTCGATACGCTACTGCCTGACCGATGCCGTGTCATCTTGACACTGGATAATTACGATGCATGGAGCTCTGCCATACAAAAAGAAGCTGGTATTCTCAATGCTATTACAACTCTTCACCAGGACTCTCCTCCTGCTGGATCATCTCCACTTGATGCTGCAGTTTGGCACAGAAAAGCCATTGTCATGAGAGCCCGTATGCTCAATGCCATGACAACCCCTGCTTCCGATAAACTAGGCACCGTATATGACCTCTCTGCCCATGGTCTTTGGGACCGAGCTGCCACACTTTTTGGCAAATCCACCGGTGAAGAGCGAATGGCTCTTACCATGGAGCTCAAAGAGCTCTATATAAAGGATAATGATTATCTCACCTACCAGTCATCCTTCAATCGAATCTTTGACCGCCTACACGCTATTGGAGAAGAATCTTTTGAAAATCTCAAACATGACCTCTTCTTTATAGGTCTCCGGGACTGGAACCGCGCCTTTATCAAGAGTAAGCTAGATGATGTCTACTCTACTGGCCGTGCTCCGGTTACCAACCTGGATCTTAATGTTATCCAGACCCAATTATCTACTCGAACCGGCACTAAATTCCGTGATACTCATTCTCAAGACCGGTCAAACCAACAGAAAGAGAACTCCCAGAACCGCAGTTATTCAAAACAAGCATCTGGAACCAAATACACAATTCCTCAACGTTCCAATAACCAAGATAGATCTCGTCATACACTTATAGACTGTGATCACTGCGGAAATCGCCATGGACTTATATGCTATTTTAAACATCCTGAGAAAGCACCAGAGTATAGACGCAAGTTCTATACTACTATGGCTAATGCTCTCCGTGTTCAGCAACAATCTGAAGCAAACCCACAATCAAACCAGGATCACCCTGCTTCACAGGAACTTGTCTTGCATAAGAAACTCTCCAATGCCAAATCTGCCATTGTGAAGTCTGCAAAGACTCTCTCATTTTCCAATCAATGGTTTGTTGACAGCTGTGCCTCTTTCCATTCTACACCTGACCGTTCACTTTTTGCAACCTATAAGGCCTTGCAGAAGCATGATCTGGTGGAGACAGATTATATGGAAGGTGCTCAAGGCCATATCTCTATGCCTCAAGGCATTGGCACCGTGATTATAGATATTGGTTACGGATCTCTGATCCTAAGAGATGTCCGCCATGTTCCTTCCTTTACTTCCAACCTCATTTCAGAAGGCATGCTTGTACGACAAGGCTTTAGGCTTCAATATACACTAGATTGTGAAGTCAAGCTGATTACCACACCATCTGGAGCTGAATTCCAAGCCCGATTGTTCAAAAACAATGTTTACCTCCTTGAAGACTGTCTATCTCCTGGAGAAGAAGAAAATTCCTATGCCTTTGTCACCACCCGGTCTGGCAAAGAAGTTAACCGCCCAGAAGAGCCACCTGCAAAGGCTCCCACAATTAAGACACCAGCTGAGGCTCCTACTCCAAAAGAGACCCCGGTTCTAGGGAAGCCGCGAACTACTAAGATATCCCTACCTATCATGGCCTGGCACCGACGCCTATGCCATCTCAATCAAGCCGATCTCCTCCGCCTCGCCCGAGATCCTGAGTCTTGCATCGAAATCAAAGGCTCTAAAGAACTCCCATTTTGTGAAGTCTGTATACAGGCTAGACAGACACGCTATTATAGCAAGGTCCCTAGGTCCAGAGTTACCAAACCCCTTGCCCGAGTCCATCTAGATATCGCCGGCGGTGGACAAACTCTTGATTTTGACAACCCTAATGATGTTGTCACTGGCCGAATTGGGGCAAAATATGTCTTACTTATTACCGACGATGCCACACATTATCGATGGATCCTCTTCCTTGAGACAAAAAGTGCAGCCATTACCGCCTTCAAGAACTGGCTTCAAAATATGAAGAACCATGGCTTCACTGCTCCTGCCTACCTAGTCTCTGATAATGAATTCCGCTCCACTGAATGGATGGAAACCTACCGTCAGGAAGGCATAGAATGGCAACCAAGCTCGCCATATTCACCATGGCAAAATGCCGTTAGTGAACGTGGCATCCGGATCCTTTTGAACGGGCCCGAGCTATGATGCTTGATGCCCCATATATACCAGAACGCTTTTGGGTAGATGCTCTCCAATATGCCACAGATCTTACAAATCGGCTCCCTACATCTACCATCTTATACAATTCCCAAATTCCTGGGGGGGTGAATATCAACAAGGACATACACCCCAGCCCTTATCGCGCTCCGTTGGCAGCGTGGACTAATTCATCCATTTCTTCACTCCCCGGATATCGCCGTTGGGGGTGTCCAGCCTGGGTCCATCAGCATGGACCAGATAAACCTGGAAATAAGCTTGATTCACGTTCTCACTGCTGTTTCCTCATTGGCCAAATTAGTAGCCATCAATATCGTGTTTGGGACCCTAAAACTGACACCGTCTTTGTCACCAATGATGTTATATTTGATGAGGATTACAAAGATCCTACAACTACCACTCCCAAAGGTCCCAGCACCCCTACCGAAGAAAACCCAACTCAATTAGTTGAAGATGAACCTCTCAATGACCAAGATATATGGCTCCGACCTGCCAAAGGCATGTCCCTAGCTTACTTTGCCACTTCAACCATTCCTTCATCAGAAGACAACACGCCTACTTCTTATAAGCAGGCCATATCCCATCTTGATGCTGCTAAATGGCAAGCTGCCATGCAAAAGGAAGTCAACCAACTCAAAGAGAAAGGCTGCTGGCAACTCATTCGCCGTTCTGACCTACCACCAGGGGCCAAAGTCATCCCTGGCCGGTGGGTATACAAAAAGAAAGAAATCCCCGGCATACCTATCTCAGAGGATTATCAGGCTAAAGCCCACTGGGTCATTCGTGGCAATCTACTTGATAAAGACTTCATGGAATCCTACGCACCAGTGGTAAATGAAAATACTACCAGAACCCTCACGGCACTGGCCACCCTGCTTGGCTGGCATACCCGAAAAGCTGATGCCACCCTTGCTTTCCTAAATGGGAAAATGCCCACGGACAAACGTGTCTTTATGACCCAAGTTCAGGGATTCAAAGAAGGTTCTGGAGATCTTGTCTGTGAACTCCTTCAATCCCTCTATGGATTGGTCCCATCTGCCCGCATCTGGTATGATACTCTGGGTGCTTTTCTACGCCAAATCAGCTTCAAATGCTCTGAATATGACTCTGGTCTATGGATCCACACTACCCGGACCCAACTCTATGTGACCACCCATGTGGATGACTTCAAAGTCTATGCTAAACATGAAAATGATGCCATCTGGTTTATGGAGACTCTCTCCGCCAAATTTGACATAAAAGAAGTTGGAAACTCTACCAAATACCTTGGCATGACCATCTCCCAGTCTGAGACTTCATCTTCTTTATCTCAAGCCGACTACACTGAAGATGTTGTTGCCTCTTTTGGTCAAGCCCAAGCACATCCTGTTAGGATTCCAATGGATCCTAGCCTAATAATTGATGATGAACCAGACCCTACAGTCAACACCAAAGAATATCAACGTGGTGTAGGCTGCCTTACCTGGCTAGCCACCAAAACCCGGCCAGATCTTAGCCAGACGGTTGGCATACTATCCCAATATAACGCCAAACCCACCCAAAAAGCATGGCGTGCCCTTATACACGCCATACGCTATCTTAAAGGCTCCATCAATCGGCAAATTACCTATCATAAACCCACGGAGTCCATTACATCTGACCTCCTCATGCCAAAATGTTATACCGACTCTGATTGGGGTGGCCAACTGACAGGCAACCGCCGGTCAGTTTCTGGATACATCTTTCTGCTTGCCGGAGCCCCAATTGCCTGGAAAAGCCGCAAGCAAACATCCGTTGCCCTTAGCTCCAACGAAGCTGAGTATATGGCTCTAAGCGAAGCCAGCCGTGATGCCCTCTGGCTCCGGAATCTCATCAACGAGCTTAATGTGCTCCCAACTGAATGCCCACCAATATCTCTTCATATCGATAATCAAGGTGCCCACGCCATGGCTGAAGCCGAGCTCACCACCAAGAGATCCAAACACATTGACATACGCTACCATTACGTTCGGGAGAAGGTCCGAGACGGCATTGTTAAACTTCAGACCTGCCCTACCAAAGAACAGGCAGCAGATGGCCTGACAAAACCTCTCCAAACTGAACGATTCAATCATTTCCTGGAACTCACCGGCATACATTAAGCGGCGCTTGTTCCCCCATTTTGGTTATACTTTCTATTCTGATTTACGGCTTCTGATTGGCCAAAGCGGAACCTCTCACTTCTCTGCTTAATTTTGCTTTTACTCTCTCATTTGGAGGCCTGAATAGAGGCCGATTTTTGTATTTAAATTCTTTAGATTAGTCTTTAGGCCAGCTCGTGCGTGGGGGGGTGTTGGATCACGTGGGATTCTGCCGCATAGGTCCGCCCTCGCTGACCCTTTTCACCACGTAGGCCTATCTAGCTAGTAACCAACCAACAATACACCTCCATTAAAATTTTTTTTAGGATCACGTGACAATAAAGGGCTGCCCATTCAAAATGATGACAGTAATGGGACAAAGTGGGACAGCATCTTCAGGTGGGTAGTGACATGTGGGGATGATTCCTGATGATATCAACGATCTACAGTACGAACTTTGGGATCACAATGGGTAAGTCCCCCCTTTCCCTCATTAAACTTTCAACTACCGTACATTTCTGTTCATGGCATTTATTAAATTCTATTGATGTAGGCAAATATTATGGTGGCCAGTATGAATATATGTATGGCAAATGGTATTGGGGTCAATACAAAAGTCTGGGACAAACTGGGACAAACTGGTACAGATTGAAATAGATAAAGTAGTGGAATCTAGACAGTTCAAAACCTTATCATGGGAAAGGCTTCATAGAAATTATGCTACCAACGCCTTAAGCTTTTTTTTCAAATTCCCGGAACATGACGTTACATCAAAGTACTTGTCATACTCCACATGTATTAACAGCCTGGCCGATCTAAGCAAGCCAGTAACACGGGTCTCCAGCAGTATAAAGAGGGCCTTATGTTGTGTATTTTAGTCATACAGGGGTTCCATAGTCTGGTTCTTCGTTATTACTATTGTATCTACCAAGTCTTCTCGTGTCTGTGGTCTCTTATTTGCCTGTCCTAAATGATGGACTAAATGATGGATTGCCTTGCCAGCATCTGGGGTGGTATTAAACCCTGGTTGTGGCCGACGAGGCGAAGTGTCCAAAGAGCCGAGGTCAGAAACTCACACCTACATTGCAGGACGCAAGGTCTAATGATAGTTCAGGTCATACTTTTCGCGGACGCCGAAAGAGGACCGACAGACAATCCGATGTAGCTAGTCCAATTCGCGGAGTTTCTAACGCAAGCCTTCCCGTTTTATGTTAAGGGATAATCTCCTTGGCCTCCTTGTCTCAAAGAGATGGCCCACTGGGGACTGAGCAGGGTTGGACTGCATAGTACTAGCCAGTGATCGGCGTTCCGCAATGTTATTTTACACTGCCTTAAGCCAGCATAGCATCCAGTAAAAGGGCCTGGCTAGGTCACGGGAAAGTTCGCGGTGTACAGCGTTGTAGTTCAGCTCATCGAAGGTCTGTAAACAGTGGAAACCACCATCAACCCCACATTAAAGTTTCGTGGTATGTTCAAGTAGAACCACACAAGGGGGCCCTGCAACCCAAGTATTTTTGTATTCCTCACCTCTTCTTCGAGAAAGATCCCAAAATGACACAGATCCTTGAGACAGCTCGCCTTGAGTTGCTTCTCACCGAAACTCTCTACAGTAGCGTGAAGTGTCTTTACTATAGAACCGTCAGGTCAAAAAGCTGTCTCGCGTCAGTAGGAGGATGGGGGAAGTTTGCTTACCCTCCTGATTTCGTAAGGTTAGCTTTGAATTTTTGGAGGCAGAAGAACCTTTTGCAATCACATTTGTGCGTAAATGCTAACCCGTCAATAGTGAAGGCTAACCTAGACGCGCGAGATTTGGGACCCTGAGTTTTCAGCACCCTCGGCCTTCGATGATGATATAAGTGGTCAGGATCTACCTGCTAAGTTTACAGGTCCATAGTCTGCGGTACTAGAAGGTTGAAGTCCGTGAGATTGATTAGCAGATGACTCCTGAGTAGGAGGTTCAGTGGGTTAGCTTCTCGTCCGCATCTCGATTCCTCAACGGGCTGTCTCCAAGCGTTGAGCGATGAGACTGTAAGCGGTAGATGGCAGTGGCGGCGTGAAAAGGTAACAAATAAACGGATACTGCTAAGTACACCGATGGGGGGAGGGGGGAGGGGAAACGTAGGCCCTCATTGTGATAAAACAAATTGCTGACTTCGTACAACCCTTCTGAAGATTCAGCTCTTATGGCAAGTACACATGATCTTGTCTGGCAGCTGATTGGCAGCCTGATCCCTAAGGCTATGTGATGTTCCCGGCCTTTCAAGGGGGAAATGCACATACTTATAACTTAGTTGGATTCAATCCTTCACTTATAACTACAATCTACAAGTGCTCCTGTTGGAGGAATTCACTACTTAAAGACCTCATCAATTTGCTGCCTCCATCATTCTAAGTTAGTGGCTAGGGCAGGAAATTTGGAAGTGATTTAATCCGACACTGTTGCTAAACTATCCACATGAAATAAAGGAGTTGAGCAGGGTGTGTAATTCCAGGTGAGTGCTCACTGGGTGGGTCCCCTGATTGCCCTCACTGAAGTGGTGGTGGCATCCAAAAGGTGAAAGTCACAGTAGCTCTAGAAAATCAACCATGTTGAGTTACTACCTGAAACAGTTCATGTTTATATTCTCATTGTACAGGATCATCTGTACAGATTGCAATCATCCAAGCCAACCTGCTCCATACCATAACCAGATTGAAGACAAATAACCACCTGGCAAATCGTACCCATAATATCCATCTGAAAACCAACCCTAGCTAGCTAGGACGGTACGAATCGCGAAGTCGACGGGACCGTTTCTCGCGGCGCTTCTCTTCAGGACGGGCTACATCGTCGGCATCGAAACGGCGCTTCCTCCCCCCTGAAAGCTCAGTTGCCTTATCCCTGGCCAGCTGGAAGAAATGCTCAAGTTCAGGAATTGAAGGATGGTCCGAATGACCATTCAATGAAAGGTAACTGAGGGCATTTTCAGCTGTGTCTCGAAGGAATCGCGCAACGCTGAGCTTGTCTGCAATGTCACTGCTTCCCGCCTCGTAATACTCATCCTTCGCACGGGTGTATACGGCGAGAATTCTCTCGATTTTCTCCTGGACGCGAGAATCGCTGCTGCTGGCGCTGAGGGAGGATTCGGTCCGGGGTCGTCCTTTATCTTCGTGGTCGTAACCGTGATGTCTGTTTTCTTCATGGACAGAAACGGTCAATCGGGAACTGCTCCGTCTCCTTTGGTGAGATCGCCTTGCGGACGTCACGCTGTGCGAGAATTTCTTAGACCCGTGGTCTTCCAGCTGATCAGTTTAACCGTCCTCGATGATTTCCAATGGGGGAGAGGAGAAGAGAGACAAACATCTGGTCGGGGGATCTTGCAGCTTAACTTGGTTATCCGGGGCTCTCTTTTCATCACGATCGTGTCGATGTTTATGGCTAGATGCAGCAGAGATAGTTCGTCTATGGGATCGCTCCTCAGAGATAACGGGCTTTGCCGCATTGTGATCCTCGTGATCTGAAAGACCTCAGTCCAAATCCTTCTGCAGCCTGGGAAGAAAGAAGAAAGGAGAAAGGAGCATACATTTCTTCGTGATGATACCATGCAACTTTGTATGACTCTCCACAGCACGTTTACCTTCAGGAAGACTACAGATAGGCACAACCCCGATGAACTCAGTCAGGTAAAACTCCAAAGCACCAAGATTCGTGGGATCGGTGCCCATGCCAGTGAGCCACAGCAAGGCCTTGTCATAGATGCTCACTTGACCATCTTCAAAGCTCGAGGACCGACATTTGATCAGTGACACCTGGCGCGTAATCGCGTCTACCAGGAGGGTGAACTGCTCGGGCACGCGTATGATCTCGCGCAGAATGGGAGTCGGGTGCTTGGGATTCAGATACCTACGCGCCAGGTCGTCGACCTTCCTGGCTAGGTCAGCAGTTTTGCGGTGGTGGTTCAGGTTTTTGCTGAGCGTCATGGTTGTCTGGGGGTATAAGTCGTTGTGTGGGAGCAAAGAAGTCTGAGTGAGAAATCAAGCTCGACAGAGATTTGGAATGAATGGCCTAAGACATAATTCTGGGGATCACTGTAGGCGAGTATAATTGATGGAAGCTATTGAAAAGTGCAGAAGATGGTGGGTGGTGAGGCCAAGGAAGATATAGTGTCGTGCTCCAATTCACTGCTTTCAGGGCTGTCCCCTATATAGTATAAAAGTGTAGATTTCTTCATATATAGCCTCAAATGGCACAATCCACCATCAAACATATTGGTTCTTCTCCCTCCAAATCCTCTCCACTTCCTCAACAAACACAGGCACCTTGCTCCCTTCTCCTCCCTGGGCACAATCCCTCCATACACCATCATCTCTCACACACCAGACCTTCTTGTCTAATCGAATAGTGCAGCTTGTCTGCACCGACAAAGCCTCGCTACGCAAGGCACTCTCCCTCAGCAACGCCAGACCACCAGGCAAATCATCACCATCGCCATCACCATCACTGACAATGACGTTCTCTTTGCTCGCACATCGGTTCAAAGCGTCGAAATCAATCCCATGCTCTAATGCGCAATTCTCAACCAGCGTGCGTTCCGGGATACGCTCATACGAGTCTATAAGACAGTTGGCGAACCCGAGAGACCTCACAGTGGGGGTCAAGGACTTTTCGGAAATGCCCAGGCCTGTTTCTTCCCCAGCAGAGAACGGGAGATTGGCGGCGCACAGGATAAGCATATCTCCAATGCATTCGGTCGGTCCATGCTTGCAAAATATCTCGGCAGATTTATTGGATACGCTAATCGTCCCCGTGAAGACTACCCTGTTAGATGATATTACTCATGGCGACCAGTGTCGTCGCTTGAGGGCGAATTGAGACGGGAAGGATGCCTTGCTCACCGGGCAATAAATGACAGCCTGAAATCAACGATGTCGTCGACTTTCTCCATTGCTGGCACAACGAGCTGCTGGAGACAGTCGCGAGCATCCGGACATTTGCTCATTATATGGACTTCTAGGGGGACCTTGACATTGGATGATGGACTTGCGCCTTCATGACAGCCATGCACTCGATCTAGCGCCCCCGACGTGAGCGAGGTTCCATGCCTATGTTTATCACTATTGCTATTATCGCCAGAAAGCCCTGAAAATTGGAGATTGGATGGCAGCTTGGCTGTGCTGATCGGCGATCGGCTTACATAGAGGTACAACGCGAAGCAAAGGCAGAGGGCAACGAGAATGCGACGGAATAGGCGGAAGGCAACATAGCCACCTCGGGTCTGATTCGAGGGAGGTGTCGGTATGGAATCTCTCGTTTCAGTGAGCGGAAGAAGACCACCATCCGGCCCATGGTGAGGGGATTTCTCCATCTTGCCTGGCTGCACTGCTGTTCGAAAAGGGAGTCTTGCGGCTCGCGAATGTGAACAAAGCTCAGCAGCCACAAGGGGCCATGACGTAAGCTGTTGACTTCAACGGCGTTCCGAGGTCGCAATGCATTGCATCTTCCCACGATGGGCCTTATTACTACCTTACTCTCCCTCTACACTGCTGCTACTGCTACTCCGGTGAGTAGGTAACCGCTGCAGGCTGCTCGGCAGAGACTGCGCAGACGCTTCACACACCAATCATACGATTTAGCTATAGCTAGACAGGTCCAAGCACCCAACTGCCAGGGTCTCTGGCAAGGAAAGCATCTGGGCGAATGATATTCTTAACTAAGCAGAAAGACTGACGCGTCAAAGTACCAAGAATTCAATTGTCTAACTTTTCCAGAGCTCAAGCCAGGTCCTCGTGTTCATGGCCTTTTTTGGTTGATGACCCCGCTTGCCGTTGGGGCTGAAGAATGAGTCATCGGACAGATGCTGATGAATAGACAAATAATTGAACTGTCGAAGATGATCGGATCGGGCGTCGTATCTTGTGAACAGGAAGTATATCACTCGGGAACAGCTGCAAAGCCTCCGTACGGGGTAGAACCGTGCGCAACCACCGTGTCGGTATCATCGCACAGCGTAGAGGATTGCATTGGAAGCCATGCAATGGATAATTAATAATAATATTCTCAACTGCGAATACGAGCACGGTGTAGAGTAGGAGCCGTAAAATGCCGTATCACTGAGGGACGGGCATGTCAGCCCAAGAAGAGGCACAGCGTCGCATCGGAGCCAAGTCTCGTGCCTCAATGGTCGCATTTGCTTTTGGTAGATCTCTTCTTGCCTGCTGTCCTGTTCTGCTGCTCCCTCTCTCTCTCTTTCTCTCCTATCATGACTCCTGGCACTCCGGCGAAACTACTGCGATATACGTCTGTTGGGGCCGACGGGTACCTATCAATCGCCTATCCCGGTAAGCACCGTTCTTGGGCTTCATTTGGTGGCCATCTAAGCAGCCCCTCCGTTTCTTTGCTTTTCCTCTCTCTCGTCCCTCTCTTCTCTCTCTTCCCTCTTCCCTGTTGCAACTGATTGCAACTGACTGTCGTTTGGATGCTCTCTATGCCCTGCTGGCCAGGCATTCCACTCTCTCTACTCCGTACAGATCTCCCTGCTTACTGAAGACCCTCTTTCTAACACCCAATTGACACAGCTGGGAAACTGCAGATCTGCCCCCCCTCTTTGTTTTGTGACACGAAATTTGGACAGAGAAATCCTAGGGAATATCCCTTCCGGGTATCAAGCCGCGCAAAGTGTTACAGCGATCCCCGGTTCTCTTCGCACGACGCCGTTACGTCCCTGACTCCCGTCCTACATCTTGCGCATGAGTGTCCCCCCGGCCAGAACAGACACTTTGGGGCTTTCCGCGTGAACAGTGCAGCTGTGTGCAGTTTGACAAATACTGGCTGGGAGGCAGACACCCTCTTGATTCGCCGCGATTGGTTGACGGTTGACGACGTTCGTCCCATCGATCAAAGATGACACTACACTCGCCCTCTCCCCCGTCTGACGAGATCGATGATGGCGGCGGGTCTGACCGCTTCCGCGAGGAGTTGATGGAGGAAGATGTGGCGTCGGAAGCCGACCCATCGGAAAGACAGCGTTTGGACCATGACCAGGCTCTCTCGGAGCTCCTGGCACCTCTCAGAGTTGACGACGCTACTCTTCATAAGCTCGCGCATCGATTTTCTACTGTCTACACGGACTTGGCTCTGACGTCAGATCAACAGTTCCTTCCTACTCCGGTGACCAAGTTACCCACTGGACAGGAAACGGGCCGTTATTTGGCAATAGACGTCGGAGGAAGCAACTTGAGAGTATCCTTCATCGAGTTGCTAGGGGAATCTTCAGACTCGCCTCCTTCTGGAGATCCGGCTCAGAAGCCAAGTGATACCATCCTCAAGGCACGAAGAGAACGTGTAAAACGGACGCTAGAGAAAGCATGGCCGATTGGAGAACATCTCAAGAAGGATAACGCGGATGATCTTTTTGCTTGGATTGGTGACTGCATCGCGGAGGTTGTTGCGGAGAGTCTCATCTGCGATGCTACCAGAAGTCAAATCCCCGAAGAAATAGACATGGGCATTACTTTCAGCTTTCCGATATTGTATGGCCTTCTCCCCTTTCCAGCGGACTCCAATAGCTAATAGGGCTACAGGCAAGAGTCACTTGCTGATGCGACGTTGATGCCCATGGGAAAAGGATTTGCCATTACCTCTGACCTGGATCTGCGTAAGATCCTGCTTCACGGTTATGAGAAACACACACGACGCCCCGATGACTTACAGGAACCGTCGAGCAAACGTCGGAAGCTGTTTGCATTGCCCAAGCTCAACATCGTTGCAATTACCAACGACACAGTTGCGACACTGGCTTCTCTTGCTTACTCCGTGAAATCACTTCCCAATAGCCGAGTTGCAATGGGCATCATTGTGGGAACTGGGTGCAACGCAACCATTCCCATGAAGCTTGCTGATCTGCACGAGTCCAAAGCAAAGCGCGTGACGTCGAAAAATCCAGACGCCCAAGAGACTGTTGTGAACACCGAGTGGACTATTTCTGGCGCCGGTGCTCCTTTAAAGGAACTGAACATCACCACCAAATGGGATGTGGAACTGGATCGTGCATGCGCTCGCCCTGGATTCCAGCCGCTTGAATACATGACTGGTGGCCGATACATTGGAGAATTAATTCGCCTCATTCTTTTTGACTATCTAACGAAATTAGTCGGGCTGTCGAAGAAGGATTTACCCGGAAACCTGGTTCAGGAGTATGCCCTGACCACGTCCTTTGTTTCAGACAAGGTAGCTCGCGCGCGATCAGATGAAGCCCTTGCTCTTGAGTTGAATCGTTCTTTGCCAGCGCCTGAAAGCAGCGATTGGGACTGGGATGCGACATCAGCTGGGGCTTTCCGCAGGATCGCCCTGACGGTGCAGAAACGCTCCGCTGGGTTGATTGCCGCGGCAGTCATTGGGTTACTTGCCTGTACGCGCGAGATAGAGTTGAAGGAAGATAGCAAGGAAAACACCCCACAGTTTTCAGATTCAAAATCACCATATCCTGTTACCCAGTCGAATCTGGAAAATTCCACAGTGCCAACGGCATCGCCCAAGGCGTCAAACCCCAATGATGCTAGTGGCGGCCAGGGGCCAATCGTTCCCATCATTACGCGAAGGCCTACCGGCTGGCACTCTGGCCCTGAGGAGTTGGTGGTGGCTTACACCGGAGGTATTATCCAGAATTATCCGAGATTCAAAGAAATGTGCCAGGAGTACATTGATCGGCTTATCATGAGGACAGGCCCACAGAAGGGAGGGAAATCTGTTTTTCTACGCGAAGCTTCGGATGGGGGCATTGTTGGGGCGGGTGTCCTAGCTGGCATGGTTGCAAACGAGTATACTTAACTTTTTTCCTTGATGTTTATGCATTTTGATGATGCATGGGTTGTGGTTCATTTGTTTTCTGTCTGTCTGCAGTTCAACATGGCGGTTTCCAGAGCGGCCAGTCTGTCTGCATTAAAATTCCCGCAAGCTATATATTTTGATATTTTCAGTTTTCCTCTAGGTTGTGGGATAGAAAGCATTCTTTTTCTGAGTTTCATGAGTGAGCATTAAGAGCAAGAGGGTTTATTTCTTGGTTTCATTATTCCTACGACCATCATATGTACTTTTTTTCTAATCCACGTTCAAGGCCTTCCCTTTCTGTTTTAGTGCTCAGGTCTTGGCACCTCTTGCTCACTGAGTAGATCAGATACTATAAGAATTATCCAGCACGTTTTGTAATGCTCGATTTGGCAATGGCAAGGCGCCGTGGATTGTAGATGGACGCCGGGCATTACTGCAAGTTGGAATCGCCACAAACGGAAAACCGCTGAACAACGCCCATTTCATGGAATGGCGCCCTAGGCGCTGTATATTCTACCAGAACAGACAAAAGGAACAGAAGGGAACACGCAAGGGCTCGCCAATGCTTCTCTGCCCGGCAAGCATCCCACTAGGGTCTACACAGCCAAGCCAGGTGCACACTGCGTCATCATCACTGTTACTGCTGCAGTGTTTACTGTGCTGTCTGGCAACGGTCAATCTGTCTTTCCACTGGAGAAAATCAGAGACTTGCATCAGGACAGTCTCGCTCGCTTCAGTCCAATAGCATCACCATTTCTCCCCACAGAGCCGCGGATCCAGCAGCGGATGTCTCTCAGCCTGGCCAAATTTCCCGCCTCTTGAGTTTGGCCACCCCCCATTCTAGATCATGGGAACAGCTGTGCCCACCTCCTGCGCACACTTGAGATGAAGCCAATTGCACAGCTGGATTGAATCTGGATTCTGGAGTGGTCGCAAACTGAGGTATCCCTGCATTCATCCCGTCATGCGAAGCCGAACTAGGAGAATTCTGGACAAAGGCAGTTCACCATGGCCCATGAGCAAGACGGGTTGAAGCAGGCATCCTTGACACCATAGGAACAGACTTGCTCCTGGTATATGAAATATGCCTACTTTCATATATTAGACAGTCTTGGAATAATGTATGCATCCCTTCCAGATCCTTGTAGAGACATTCTTTGCTTTCCTGCTAGGTAAGGAACAGTCTTACAGGGGGAAAATCAAATCAATCGAAACATATTCTCCCGAACACTCCTCTTCATGGCCGCAGGCTTCCCATCCTCATACTCAATCCCAGCCTCCCCGCCCCCGCCGGACATCTGCTCGAGGCGTCTCCGGAGCTCCTCGTCTGCCTCAGAGATTGTTTGGTGACGTTTTTTCTCTGGTTCTTTTGGCGGTTTGTTTGGGTTGTTGGTGGCATTGCTATCATTTGATGGTATGGGTTTATCTGTAATTTGAGTTTAATTGGAGTGTCTCACATTCTCTCATACATTATTATTATGTTGAGGTTTACGAACCTTTCCGATTACTATCTGCTAGTAGTTTCGGGGAGGTTGAGAAAGGCGTTCTTCGGCATCGAAAGATTGTCGTTGGTAATGAGCACCGATATCTCCATGGCAGATTGTGGGACAGATTCATGATTTCTATTTATTCCTGGAGCTTGACATGAAATGAAGAAGAGCGTTGTTGATGCATCGAGTCTATTATTATCGTTTCGTGGCGCGAGGCTTGACGTAAGGGTCACATGATTTTATATTACCATAAACAGTTCGTCGACCTCCAGTCCTTCGAACTGCAATGTCAACTTCCCCATGGAGGCCCGGAGATATGCCACTTCCCGGCGAAAAGCGTGTCAGAACTGCTCGACTGCCAAGGCAAGATGTGATCTCAAAGCAGGACGCTGCTCAAGATGTGCCCTGAGATGCCTGCCGTGCGTTTATCCTCGGGCTACTACTCTATCTGAAGGATCTACCCACAACACAAACAACAGAGAAGGCAGCATACATGGCTCGCTCGTTACATCCAACGTTCTTCCCGCATCTGAGGCTCTGCTTTCAAACACTGGGCGAGAACTGCCTTCTGGGACAGATACCTGGAGTTCAATTGTTGGATCGATACAATCCACGGGCGACAACAGCCTGACTGGCCCGTCTCTAACGTCATTTACTGAGGGTTATCATGTGAAGGATTCAAGACCGAATGCTATGAGCCGTGCGCCAGAGGGATTGGAGACGCTTGATTTCTCCGTACTGGAGCTCTGTTGCCCCATCAATGTGGACGATATCAGCAATCGCTGGTTGAATTCTTATGTGCCCCTCCCGGGACAAAAGACCAAAGATTATCCCGCCAATGTTACGGCGTTTATCTACAGAATCCTCAAGTCATATGCGACTGCTACTGCCCGCGGTCGTGGGGTTCCACCATTTGTACATCCCTCGCAGATAATGGCAACATCAACAAGGCTTCCCCTTTCTAATTGTCTGAGTTTGGTTCGCATTTGCGAAAGGCCATTGCCAGGTAGTGAAAGCGTCGCTGCAGATGTGCTGCAAAGGGAGATGAGCTGTCTCTACGACCAGCATCAGACGTACGATGATATGGCTCTTCTTGCAGCGTTTCAGGCCTATTTGATTTACTGCATGGTTCTATTCTTCAGACTCAGCCGAGGCCCCAATCCGTTCCTTCGACAGGCGATGACGAACCTGCAGGATCTGGCATGCTCAAGCAGCCGGCGCGGACTCATGTGTATAGCAGAGCGACGAAATGCTCGTCCAAACTGGGAGTCCTGGATTGTCGCGGAGGCAAAACGACGTACTCTTTTTGCAATGTACCTTTTTGACAGTATGCTTTTGTCCCAGGATGGTCTTCCGACCTTTCTTGGTACCGAACTACAGGGGCTGCCTGCTCCGGCAAGCAAGTTCCTATGGAGAGCGCAGACGCGAAACGAGTGGGAAAGGGAATATAACACCCATCTAGCAGATTGGGCAGAAGGGGGTCTTTATATTGACGAACTTTGGCCAATTCCTACTGGCCTGGATGAACGTGGTCTCCTCGAAAGACGAAACAGAGTTGATCAATGGTTAGAGGATATCGATGAATTTGGCACGATGCTCTATGCTGTAACGAGTTGTACGCATGGTGGTTGATGTTGCTATACTGACTTGAGTAACGTGCTAGACACTGCTTAATGTCATGACACCCTTTTCAGGTCACTCATGTACCAAGAAGTCAGTACGTTATTATCTCCATCATAATGGCTCCAGTGCCTTCAAAGCTTCGTCGATGGAAATGACATCCAGTTTTATTTTCGGAAGAAGAGTGTGCGACATGACATAAATATTATATTCCAGGTCAAAAGTCGATTAATCATGCTCATTACGACTCCAGAGAGGCTCAAACCGGACTATAATGGCCCTTGTCAGCATCCCTTTGTGCGTTTCCACCAACGCTTTCCCCAAACGTGGAGACCCCAATAAACATACATACCATGATAACGTGTCTACGTTTTGTGCTCTCAAAATCTGCTCCAGACTATCGCCTGAGCCAGCATACCATCTTGTTTTCTGAAGGACGATATCTTTCTCATCGACTGAAACTGGAAGCCATCTGCACTCCAGGAGAATCGGGAGGAAAGGAGCCGACGCCGGCAAGGAGCTTGGTGAACAGAGCGCCTTTCGCCAATTCTGGTTCTCCGGAGCCGTTGAAGAAGAGACTCATGAAGGTGGTGAGCGGTCGTGGGTGCATTCTGTGGACTGCATCATTCCAGCGAGAACAATTGGAAATGGATGCCTGCCCTTCACTTGTGTCCTTCACTGCGTCTATCAGAATTGCCATCAGGTCCAAGTTGAGAACGGCGTAGTTTTTGCCGAAGGTCAAGGCGGATTTTGCTGGTCGAGAGGATCAGCGGAAAGAAAGATATAGAAATCGAATGCAGGGCCTCGCATCCCTGAAACACCGTTGTTTCCTTGCCACTCCCGTGGTTTATGAAGTTTAGCTCAGGGAGACTATGTAGTTCAGCGCTCAACTCCGCGCCAACTCCGGAGGCCTAGTCACAGCTTGTCAGTTACTTGATATTTTAAACCGAGCATACATGGTTATACTCACACAAGTCAGGTGGACCAGTGTTGGTCGATCCTCGTGTCCTCTCCCCAGAATCCCATCTAATCTGCAGGCAAGGAAAGCGTCTATCCGCCTCTCGTATCTGGGTATATCTCTCCAGCCATTTAGATGGCTGCTCTTGCCACTCGCGCTCAATTGTGTTAAACCCAATCTCGGAGATGGATAGCTTGCCAGAATCCAATACATAGCCCTAAGGCGAGAGAACGTCAAATATATACGATGTACAGCAAATTATTTGGATATTATTAAGCCTCTTCTACATAAGCATAAGCGGTAAATAACATAATGCTGGAACTAGCTTGAATCTCGAAGTGCCGTAAAAGGTGTTCACATTCCCCCCCCCGGCCTGGTCTCCTAGACCTAGAAAGAAAACACCGGCTCAGCGCTTTAAACAAGGCCGGCCTCGCCAGGCTGAACGGTTCCGTTCTCAATAGCGGCAAGATGTCCACGGGCAACGAAGCCATAGGCAGGATAGTACTTGTCGAGCCAGGGGATGAGCTGGGCGGCGCCAGGGGTGTTGCGCCAGTCACGCATGAGATCGCAGACGATAGCAAAGGTACTGACGAGCTGGACGCCCGCGTTCTGCATGCGGTCATTGGAAGCATCACGGATGAGAGGGGTGGTGGTTCCCGAGGCTTCGATGTTGGCCCAGACGCTGTATCCCTCGGAGCGCAGGGAGAGAGCGAGGAAAGCGGTGCCTGAACAGGTTAGAATACTCCACATAACGCATCCAGAGAAGACGATGACCGAGTGAAACTTACAGACGTCGGTCGTGATGCCAGCCAGGATGATCTGCTTCTTGCCGGAAGCCTTGACAGCGTTGCGGAATTCCTCGTTGTCCCAGGCGTTGACTTCACCCTGGCGCTTGATGAGAGTAGCATTGGGGTACGCCTCGAGGATCTCCTTGGGCAGGGGACCGTTGGGGCCTTGCTGGGCAGAGGTAGTCATGATGGTGGGGATGTTGAACAGATTGCCAATCTGGGCATGGGCCATCATGTTGTCGCGGTACAGGGTCGGGTCCCAGTCGCGCGCGAGACCGTACAAGCCGACCTGGAGATCAAGGATGACCAAAAGCTGGACGGACAGTTAGCAGCAGTCAGAAGCCATCTGGTTTGGTCTGGCACATACCGCATTGTCCTTGTCGAGACGTTCCCACTGAACCGCTGGATAGAGCGAACTTTTCTCAGTCCTCCTTCTTCAAGTTTTCAGGGCTTGGACGTCTTACGAGGGGCAGCAAAGGCCGTGGCGACCATGTAGCAGGCGCTGACGAGGAGAGTAGACAGCTTCATCTTGAAGGGCGATGTTGATCAGAGGATCAGAGGATCAGAGGATCAGAGGAACCAGAGTGGGAAGAGTGTCTGTTCTTGTTGTGTACGAAGAAGAGCTGAGGGGAATACAAACATCCTTTTTATACCCAAGATCGTACAAAATTCTCGACAAAATCCCATGATGTATAAGGAATTATCAATCTTTTGGGCTTCGACGTAAGTGCGTGGTGGAGCACCCTCCAACGCTCTAGAAGGCCAACGATGCCGGGAGAGAGCAATATCAAAACAGAATAACGCTCTGGACCTGACTGCATTGCAATTAGCCACTCACTCGGTAAGCAAGCCCCTGCCATTCTTCTCCCTGTATCTTGTGCTAGCATCTAGAATCTGCAACCCCACTCGAATCTCACTACGCTAGAATTCCTCCGTATATCCATATATCCACATTCCATTCGTACATCGGATATATCTCCCAGGCGTGTGAGACTAGTTATTAGCAAGCCTGACTAATAGACATTCTACACGTTTCGGCACTGGGGATTTGTTCCTGGACATTTACTACGTGCCTTGGCGAGCGTGCGGACGAATTGACTCTCGGGGAATAGATTGACTACAAGCTTGGCTTGCTCCGTACCGAACCCTATTTACCCGTGCAAAATTCCCGCTGCATACATGCCAAGGAACTGGGGTGCTGTGGATTTCGTGGATTTCGTGGATTTCATGGATTTCATGGATTTTATGCGCCAGACGGCCACAGCCCCCACGGTTGTTTACCAAAGTACATGTCTAGTCATGCTCGTGTAACTGGCCAGGTTCCAGTACATGCGGGGATTGGCAATAGAGCCACTGGTTGTTTCTCTGTATTTCTCGGTATTACGCATCATGTGCATGCCCTAGTTAAGATGACCTGAGACAATTACAAAGACTTCTGTCATCACTTTGTGTTGGCAATAACATCTGGGCTGACCTTTCTTCCAGGGGAATGGGGACAGGGGAATAGGGACAGGGGTATAGGGGCAGGGGTAACAGGGCGAAGACCCCATCAGTGAAGGGAAAAAGAAGGAAAAAAAGAAGGAAAAAAAGAAGGAAAAAATAAAAGGCAGGCCTTCGATGTATTATGTTATTTTCTGTTATTTTGCTATTTTGCTGTTTTCATATTGTCCGGCCTGTGTCCGTTGTTCTTCTTATTCTACAATGAATCCCTATCTACACAGGCCACTGAGAGCCCGAATGCAGAAGACCGGAATATCGAAAGGCTGAGGCATCACAGAATTGCCAGACAGGTATGTAAAGTCCATTGATTTCAAGCAGTCATCTCCTCCATACTAAATTTCAGCTACAGCCATGTCTGTATACATCCCTCTGCCAGCAGAAACGCCGCTCGCTTGCGCCACCCAACCTCGACGAGTAGCAGTGCCCTTATACGGCTGGGTCTTGGTCTCTATGGTAGAGGAACGTCTCTCTTCCGAGATGCTCAATTGTATCCTCAACTTCTGAACAGCAGCCGACTGCGAGTGGATCAGACCTGTTCCCTAGCCATGCATGTCATCCCGTCTCTTCAACCAGCGGCCTGTCTCCGTGAGTGCACTGCTATGATATTACTGCGGGATACTAGTAGTAGGCGACGGGGCTGGCTGTATCGATCACAGGCCTTCTAGTATTAAGGACTCATGACGATCAAACAAATACACTCTTAAGATCTGAGAGAAATGTGCACGATCACTAATACATCTATGCTGCTAACCTAGCTTAAGAAAAAGAGGGAGAATTCCTTTCAGTTTTCTAGCAACGTCAGAAAAATTGGAATCTACCGAACCAGGTATTGGTCATGAACTGAGATACTGTATATTCGCATACCTGAGCACTAACTTAATTACAGAATACACTCATCCAGATCCATCGTCCAGCCTAGAGCGTTTGTCAACTCCTATACCACGCGCGGTCCGTCCAAAATAACGAATCAAACAGGAATTCAGCTGACATCTATAGTGCACAGAAGAAATGGACTACCAGGAAGGATACGTCAAGGAAACCTATACCGACGAGCAGTACGTGGAGACGGACACCCAGGGTGACGTCTATGAGGAGGATATCCAGCAGGAGTATGTGGAGGAGTACGTTGAGGAGGGATATTAAAGGATCGTCTGTCTGTTTACAGGACTCTGCGCATGGGTCTGATTTTTAATTATTGATGTCCTCAAATATGAGGACTGTATTTGTCGTTCGCTTCGATATCGACTACGTCCAGGTATCTATAGTACAATCCGGTTGTTTTGTTGTAAATAGCAGTATATCTGTCCTTGTCTTCTGCCACAGAACTGCGTGTACGTTATTTCTATAGTTCTATTCTATGCTAAACTCGAGCTGAACTTATCCTTATTTCCTCGTTACCCTCTTCCTCTTCTTGAAAACCCGATAAACAGACAAAAACTGCTAATTTTCAGACATGCTTCCCATCCAGATAAGATCCAATATCCTATTTCGTCCTCTTCCTGTTGGCAAGCCAACTGAGAGGAGGCAGATATTCGGGATATACGGATATATCCAGGCAATATTGCCCCTTGTAGAGTTCTAGTTCATGACAGTAAACTGGAGTTCCCAGGCATGTATTCCAGATTAAGGATAAGTCCGTGAACATGTATAATGTCTGTGTTACATATTCTGACTGTAGAGATGGAAGTTTCCTGTTGATGGGGGTCGAACTCGCTAGGTTGGTTGTTCTAGCGGAGTCGGGCGGACTATCTATATATTGGAGGTGTTACTTGTGTTGTCTTCCTATCTAGGTGCGCGCTTCCTAAACCGGCTGTAGCGCCAGGCGAGGGCGGTGGGCTAATAGCTCGGCGCAGGTACGGCCCGGAACCGGAGAAACCCTCGGCACACCTAGAGATTTTCTAGGTGTGCTGAGCCTACACAGTCTAGCAAAACGATATAACGATAAAAGGAAACACAACGATGAAGGAGCCTCGCTCCGCTCTATACGACGATAACGATACTAGTGAAGCAACCTAGAAACCAAAAGAATGCTCTGTTTTTCGTAACTATCTGGGAGGGAACCCTCCATTAAGTACTTGCCGGCCGCGGGCTCCACCATACATTAGTATGTCGGAGACTGCGGTTCTACGGTGTTCCAAGATAGGAAATATGGGAGATCCGGGGTTTCGCAGTGCCCCCGGCACAGCGTGTTGACAGTTGCCATTCAGCTCGCCTCCTCAGGTGCAGCTGTAGACAGCATATGCTTAGTATATGTAGTGTAGATCCTATACACTCCAGAGTCTTGGTACTTACTTCCATTCTCTGCAGCAGTGACGTCAGGGGCTGTATGGTCAGCATAGACTCTGTACATGCTCTATATAGGTTGGTATGTTCACAATGGACTCCATTTTCACGTGCCTAGCGCTGTCCTGTCATAAGATTAGTATATGCTTTGCATTTGTATCGCATACATTCAGGATGAGGACTTATACTCACTCTCAGGCAGCCAACCGGGGTTCAGATTAGGGATTGGACCTTCAAGAATCAGCATACACTGAGCTGTTCTTTAATATATTTTGAGTATATGCTTACCATAATGGTAACCAAATCCAGACGGGTTTGTCGCGTTATGGACACCAGGGTTGTCGAGATCAGCACGCATCAAAGGCATTGTGACTAGAGCTCAAAATATGATGAATGTATGCAGAGTAGGGCCAAGAATGCAACAAGGAGAAGAAGCTGGAGGAGCTATCAATCTGTTTAGCGTATGCTTAGCATAGAAAGATGGGGTATACTGACCAAGATGGGGAGAGTACTTGGGAGAGAAGAGGAGAGGAATAGTATATGCTGGGCAGATATATATCTATCTACGCAGCATATTCACTACGAATTCATTCACTGGCGGAGGGAGTTTCCACTATATCTCCTAGGCAACAGTCGTGGTGAGGGAATTCTCCACTATATTAATGTAAACATTGCATATGCAGAGGATATTTCCTGCTGGCATTGAGTATATTCATTGCCATTCATCGATTGATGTCGTGCCCTAAAATATAGCTTATTTTATCGACATGCGGTCTTGGCATGGACTAGCTTACTAAACAATATGCGACACTTAGTTAACTATGCTCAGCATAAGTCCTGGACAATCTACCGTCCGTGAAGGCTACGCGCAACAGCTACCTCAACCACAATTGTTCTCCACCAATTCTGTGTATTTTCCTACAAAATAAAAATGGTAGCTATATCAATATATAGACTACAAATATATCAAAAGTCCAACCGAAAAATCAAGCTTGTTGTGGAGATATTTGTGGTTGAAATAGTCAGACTGAATGTGGCATTCCAAGCATAGTGCAAGCTATGCAATGAGTATACATAAGCACAGCATAAGCTAAGCGAAAGCTCAGCCCAGGTAGAGACCATACTTGGCACAGCTCTAGGTGGGCTGAGCGTTGAGCCAAGCCCACCTAGAAATTTTAGCGCAGAAATCTCTAGGTGGGTCTAACTGGGTATAACCCACGTGACCTCTAACGCTTATGATGACTAATATAAACTAGGCTTAACTAGGAAGGAGATGAACCATGGGAACCACCTACAGAAATAGCGGAGTTGGGCTCATGGAGACACACGTGATATATAACATGCGATCACGTGACCACGACGCTTCCTTCCGGGTCGACCTTCAACGTCAACCTTGATCTCTCTCCTCTCTCTTAGTCTTCATCGCGCTTTCATCGCAGCTACCATGAGCAACCAGGCTTACTACGAGCTCTACCGTGGCAGCAGGTACTGAATCATCGTATTCAAGCCAGGCTCTCCGTGTATACTGACATCTGTATTCTCTTGATCCAGTATCGGCTTGTCTCTCACCGATACTCTAGATGACCTGATCAATGAGGGGCGCATCGAGCCCCAGCTCGCGATGAAGATTCTCTCCACCTTTGACCGTGCCATCACAGAAGTCCTCGCTGACAAGGTGCGCGCTAGGCTGAATTTCAAGGTATGCCCTGGCCCGCTTTCGGTTTCCTTGCGCTTTCTTGGACACCCCGCGGATATTATCTTTCCTTCCTTTCGGACTCGACTGGTGTGCAAAGAAGCTGACTTGTCGGATTCTCAAACTAGGGACACCTGGATATCTACCGCTTCTGCGATGAAGTCTGGACTTTCCTTATCAAAGACGTGACCTTCAAGCTGGACAACCAGACGACCGTCTCCGCGGACAGGGTGAAAATCGTGAGCTGCAACAGCAAGCGGCCTGGTGAGGCATGAGGTTGCTCGTTATCTCGTCGGTTGATCCTACTTCTCTTCCTTCTCTGCAGCATGGATTCATGCGTAGTTTGTTCATCGGTCGGTTGCGTTATTGCGCGTTCTTCTCCGAAATGAACCGCGCTATCGAACTGGCGTTGGGGGATTTTGATGTCTGAATTTGCGAAAATAGATACCCGATTAAAAATGAAATAAGATTGCACATGTTATTAAGTGAATAGTTGTATTTTGTAAAACGAGGACCTGTGAATTTCCTTTTACCGTTAGTCTTGCCGCCTCCGGCATGGTCGCCCGATACGCCGTATCGTAATCTCCACTTCCCGTGTCTTTCAGCAGCTTTTCAGCAGTCAGCCAGCCTTGACCGGATGTTGAACTGGCTTCGTCCTTTCGTCCTTCTCGAATCTGATTTTCTTCGATTGCATTATCTTATAATACTATTCAGATTCCCGGTCTCTTCAGCAATTGGGAGCTCGCTGTTCAGACATTCTTCTACAAGTATCGTATTTTCCTTCCCGACTCTCTCGTTCAACTCAAGGAAGCAAGATACTGATGCTCCTACTTTTGGCAGGCTTCTCCACCTATTCTAGCAGACAGCAAGGCTGATGATGGCTTGTAACTCTCCCCACTTCTCCTCGCTTTCATATTTACCATTCCCGCGTTACATCGTCCTAATCATGTTTATGCCCTATGCCGCGGTTGCAGTTTAGTCGTCTGGATGACGACGAGATTACTGCACCGGGGATAAACAAATCCAATAGCATAAATGCCTCACTGGTAGACTCGGTCGATTGTATTTGTCAGCCTCACCAGTCAAGTTCCGGCGGAATGCACTTTGACAAGATCTGGAACTGGTTTGCAGTTAAATTTTATTGCTGACCAAATAGCCGATTGGAGCTCCATCCTCGATATTCAGGTCTGCGGCGCCTTATGACGCACGAAATCGGAAAGAATAACACTGTAGGAACGATTATTCGCTGATTTGATGCGGAGTCTCCGAACGAGTGCCTCCTGTGCTCTCGCGCTCACAGGACCAGTCTACTAAATCCACGCTTTGCTCTTCAGCAATTACCATTTCCAGGCAATGCTTATCTCCGATTGAGCTCAGGCCGCCTGCCTAATACACCAGGCACATCACCTCAGCCACAGCCGCAGTCATTCATTGTCGGAGAATACGTCAGGTCCGGCGGAAGATGTCAGGAGCCAGAGGCCCTGTTCTCCGCTCAGGAATTCTGACAGGACAAGTGTGGGATCTCATGAGGATTATCAAGGCCCCCCAAAACATGTTTAGGGCTGAGGTGTGAAGGCATACAGATCAGCAAAACCACCGTATGTTGTTACGTGGGGACCACTTAGCGTGGTCGCAAATGGTGGAGAGATTCAGATATCAATTCCTCGGCCAGACCCCAGGTTCAATTCAGATCCAGGTGTATTGGGGCACGAAGGTCCAGTCTCGACGCTGACGATGTTAATTCAAGATTCATTTAGCCCCTGTCATTTCCTGATAGAAACATTGTGATAGCAGAGATGATGATGATGATGATGACTTCGTGGACTTTTCTTTATCTCCGGGTCTGGGAAGATCTACGGGATAGCAACGATAGGATCTAGACGGACCGAGGTATTTTACGTTTGATATCCTGGAATTCTTCGAATCTTTAACAAGCTCCTGAATAGTCATTGAACTTTTCCTGACGTAGTCCACCATCTCGGTTACTACCTCATCAATTGCTCCATGCCTTAGGATCCATGTATTCCCGAACTCCCACAAGACGGGAAAAGAAAAATCATAGATAGCTACATTAATTAGATTTCGATCCACACGTGACAGGATAGCAGTATGTATGATCTGCGTGAATTATATTAGGGGTCAGGTCAACACTGTGGGCGCCAACACCGCAACCGACGATACTCCTGATGCTCACAGGAAGTGGTCTGGTGGGCTCTTACTGTTTTGACATCACTGCCAAGCCAACTGGACTCTTCGTGTGTCACAGGATTTCCAAGCAATTCGCCCAATGGTAAGCGACATGGAGCTTTTGGTGCTCCCTTTACCTTTCCCTTATCGCAAGGCTTCGGAGACGACTCAAAGTCAATGACCACGAGACTGTCGGTCTCTTCACTCCAAAGGTGATGAAACAATTGAAGAGCTGAGAGACTTGATTTCCGACATGAAAGCGCGGTAATTCTCGGAGACCGGGCCAGGACTCCAAGAAACCCGAACAAACTTGAAATGGGGCGAAGCATCTGGGTCTTCGACCAGAGATTGTTTGCTATTGATAGCCGGCATTTTGCTGTTGCTTGATTAGAATGGGTGGACGTGAAGCTGGTGAAAGTAAGGAAGATGGAAAATAGGTCACAGGAGAGCAGATAGTCCAGCCTTTTATACCTATTGCTGGTGCTCAGCCCCTCATACTACACTAATGTCACCTACACCTAGTCAGCGCTCTGACAACTGATATTGTAAAGGGGGGCGTACGTGCGTTGTTCCCTGCGACAGGAACCGGGTTGTGATCGAGGGATCTCAGGAATGGACACACTGAACAATCTAGCAAAACGATATAACGATAAAAGAAAACACAACGACGAAGGAGCCTCGCTCCGCTCTATACGACGATAACGATACTAGTGAAGCAACCTAGAAACCAAAAGAATGCTCAATTTCTCGTAACTATCTGGGAGGAAACCCTCCATTAGTATGTCAGAGACTGCGACTCTACGGCGTTCTACAATAGGAAATATGGGAGACCCAGGATTTTGCAGTGCCCCTGGCACACCTTGATGTAATACTAGATCCTGTGGATAAAATAACAATAAAAAATAAAAACATGCAACAGCCGGGATTCGCTGGTGGTCACCCACCCAACTACTAACCGGCCGGCGTGTGGCTTAAGTACGGCTGAGCGGACGGGAAGCCCTGTTTTCCACACCCTGTGGTCGCATGTACTAGATTTGTTAAGAGAACGATATATATACAAGACCACGGCTCTACGGCGTTCTACGATAGGAAATATGGGAGATCCGGGATTTCGCAGTGCCCCCGGCACATAATGTGATCCCATGCTACATTATAGTGATTTGTACACGGTCAAACCACTCTTTAATAACTTTAGGGTCTTCACATTTAGCACGTCAATAATTATATCATTGAGAAAAGCAGGATTTCACTTCAGGATGGCATTTAATAAAGTTGGTAACCCAGTTTGCTCCAACTGATTGAATAGATGTAGCACCACAGCCAGCAAGAAGAATATTAGCCATTTTTTGTGCATCTGATAGCTTGGGAGGCGCTCCATGTTAATCTAGCAATAGAATCCATCGTACAAATCATTCCTCTTCATTTTGAGTTAATTTATGATTGTTGGTGCGTGTTTCTAAATGTGAAGTTGCTCCATTGAGTCATCACTGTGTCACGACCTGGTCGTTCGATAGGTAGTTTAGCTAGGAAGTATATGTTGGATCACGTGGGATTCTGCCGCATAGGTCCGCCCTCGCTGACCCTTTTCACCACGTAGGCCTATCTAGCTAGTCACCAACCAACGATACACCTCCATTAGTATACTAGGTTGCGTCACGTGTGGGACATGTGACGCACGAGAATATCTTCGCAGGTAGGAGCTGGAGCCGAATCCCTTCCTCCTCTCTCTTCCATGCTTGATATTCTCGTCGATAGCTGCTATGATAGCCAAATAGCATTCTCTATTCTATCTTGATTGAGCTCCATGACACACTGCAGAGTTCTTTCAGAGATATTATAAGCACGTGCTGCTTCACAAATACTGCAAATTTCCTGCTTCTTTAAAGCCGAAACTGCTAGTAGGGCTCTACCCTCTTACTCAATTAATTCTCTTCGATTTTGACGCGCTTTTGGAGGCATGGTGGGTAATTGAATTAAGGAAGGCAAAACAACGCGTAGAATTTTGATGAGGTGCGGCGCTCGCTAGTGAAATACAATACGTTAGTGTAAGTCCGTATGACGGCATCTTATCTTATCTGACAGACGGAAAGCACCCGCCGCTTTTGTCCGTCCGACACTGTTTTAAACAGCTCTCGCTTTGACTGCCAGCCATGGTACTGCTGGTATTTGTGAATTTCCAAGATCAAGAAGGATACTAGTTCATAGCCATGCCTCGCACCTTGCCGTGGCTTACTGTAAATGACAGCAACCAACGCGTCAAGAAGGAATCAACTCCACGCCAAACACAGGTAAAAAGCGTATCTTCCGTTGACGCGAAGAAGACATCCTTTGAACCACTATCCTCTCCTTCGGAAAAGCGAGACTTTCTGAGATCTTGTATGTTGTACGAACTTTCGTTGCCCTAGATTATCCAGCTAACGCTTTCTGCCTTTTTCACTGACAGCTCAAACCCCTCCGACCTCTCCTATCCAACGATGCCCCCCGTCCGAAGAGTGCGTTTCCTACTACAACACTGAAAATCAATCCTGGAAAAAGGAATGCTGATGATAAAGGAACGATCAAAACAGATTCTTAATTGAAGGATTAGACAATGACGACATCTATGTAATGGTCGAGGATGAGTTCTACGCCGTCGCCCAGACCTTCACCCGAAATCTCCATTATGCCGAATACGTGCGGAGGAAAAAAGAGGCAAAGTTACGGAATGAAGCTACCATTCGGGGCATTTCTCGACCAACAGATGGAGTGACTTCCATGACCGACGAGACGAGGAGGAGGAAAGTATCCGAAGCACTTTCGGCTCGTCAGAAGGCCGGGCTGAACCAGACGATGGGAAAGCGTCCTCGCGTCGACTCGGAAGATGAAAGGGATGGCCTTGAAGCGGAGGATGCTGAGGAAGATGGAGATGGTCTATGGGCTGGAACGTCTTTACACAATCTCATGATGAGTCCTAGGAGTGCCCGTTCTCTAGTCGGGTTACAGGGTGTTAAATCGTCAACAAGGGCAGCTGCTGGATACTCACAGACATCTAATTCCTCTAGATCTCGGACTGGCAATGCAGGATTTTCTTCTCCATTGCGGAGACCTCAGGCAGAAACACCGCGGCCAGTGCCAATAGAAGTGGATGATGACACTGCTTCTGAAGAAGACGATGATGATCTCAATATACCAGCTATTAAAGAGAGCTCGGTTCGAAAATCGATAAGACAACAGCCTCAACACCTTCAGCGAGATCTGAAGCTATCTAGGACGAAACCAAATAGCCCGACAATGCGTTCCAGCCATCGGAGAAATCATAGTATAACGGAGTCAGAGACAAGAAAAAGGCACTCGTCAGGTGCTTACAGTGTAAGACGAAGGACATCACTTTTCAGAGTGAAAAAGGAAAAGCCGTTCGATGATTTCGACGGCTTCCTCCAGGACACAGAAATATCATCGTCTACAGACAGATTCTCAAAAAAGGATTCTCGAGACGCCGATTCAGGATCGAAAAAACCGAATCTCAATGAAGTTCCTACTTTTTTGGTGTGAGAAGAAATCTTGGACACGCTTTGACCATATGCGACATTTGCCGAGCCACGGAGAAATTATCGAGCAAACTTGGCGTATATATTCAGGATCTAATTCTCCATTCTTTTCGCCGCCTTGACCATTTAGCTGTGACTGTTTCTTGAACTTTGGCAGCTGTACGTTGACTGTCTCGCGAAGTTCGTGTGCTGCGATCTGTTTCTATGGATCTCAACCTAGCCGTGGTCTGTTGGGAAAGTGACTCAAATTCCGGAAAGAACTCTGGCGTTTCTCTTCTAAAGTTGGTTGGCGGGCCCTGGTATAGGAGTCCCCATCAGCCCCAGATACGCATCAAAGCGAAATTGTTCTGCTCGGTTAACTCATAATTTTGAGTGATCTGGGTGTCGTGCGATGTTCAAAGGGCAACTTGATACGCCGGATGGCTTCTTCGAAACTGTTCAGCTTCATTTTTGGGGGATCTGGGAAAATTGACTCAATCGAAAGTGCTGCGGATCATCGGATATAGATCGATTGGCATAGAGGATATCCAAGGGTTATATATACAACTATTTCCTTCATCGCTCCCTCTGCAGACTGGGTCAGGTGCCGACTCTCGTGGGACGAAATTTCGAGAACTTTTTATCCACAACCGGGGATTATATTCAGGACTGCACTTACAAGGCGCACGATATAATACGTGACACACTTTTCCTCCGTCGGCCATCTATCTATTCTCCGATATTCGCTTATCCCTTCTTGCATGGCCTTTTAGCGGGATGTTTTATTTTGGATATTCTTGCTTATCTCACGTCACTGGGCTCATTGCTGGAACAACGCATCGCCTGTAAGACTTGCCTTCCCAAGGCTGACTCTCCTATACTACTATGAAATAACAACATTCTTGGAATCCAGAAATATGCTCATCTGACTCCCGGTTGTATAGAAATAAATCACGAGATCTGTTATTGAGGGTATTCCACGGCATAATCTGCTCAGACTGATCTCCAATTAGTCCAGGGCTTACAATTTATTCAAAACATGTGACTAGTCAGTTTTAAGGGGTATGTATATGCATACAATACTGTCTTTGTCCCTTTCGTTGGGGGGTAATACGCTAGTAGCCATGCTCACATGGCAAGAATGAAAATTCCAGCTTGTAAAAATAGTGTTACAACAGCAAAAAGATGGCATCAGTTGACTGCCCGCAGTTAGGAATTGTAACTTTCGAGAATGCATGGCCCAGATGAACATGCTTGATAAGTAAACTTAATGGGTCATGACGGACAAGCCCTAAAGCCACCAGAATGGATGCTACACACACTCCTTCGGTCTGATCCCATTCAGAAAGCAGGTAGAAGACCTCAGTGCACTCAATCAGCTGCCATACCCGGCTATGACCCAGGTGAAGAGACAAAGAGACGATCTGCATTTTTCAATCTTGTTCCATACATATCTAGTGACAGAGCGCGGGCAATTTGAGATTCTATAGCACTCCCATCATCCTCATCAGCGAAGCCAATCTTCTGTTTGCGGCCAGATCCTAGAGCGGATGACGCCTTCGAAGAACTTCCTGCTTTAAAACTTCTACCACTGTAGTTGCTCCTGGACTTGTAGTATGATTGTTTCGATGTGCCCTTAGGCTCGCTTAACTCGGAGAATACCAGTTGTATTCTGCTAGGTTGTAAAGCAAGAATAAACTCTTTCATCTCCTTAGACGCACGACCGAAAAGTCCTTCATTACGCTGCACTGTAGGACCGTTATTAGCGTTGAAGTACGATTCAATAGAATCTAATATGTCAACCATATTAGAGCTTCTGGCAATAAGGTTGCTCAACTCACTTTTGTCCCCGGATGCCATCTTGCAGTAGTCCTCGATTGTCAAGTACTTGTTTGACCTAGACGTAACAGTAATCAAATTGGCTAATGGCCTAGTCAACGCTGGTTTATTCAACGTAAACGTATGCGACCAGTGTAACATTCTGGACACTACTGAAGTGTCATGACATCGTTTAAGTTCAATAGAACGGACATAGACTATCGCCCACGTTGGATCCAATCCGTAACTTGGGAGATCTTCTTCAAAGTCATCTGGAACAGGCGCTTTGGCCACATGACCCGCAGCATAAGGAACTGTTTCTTGAAAATCGTACTTCACCATGCCATCTTGAATGCATCGTGGATTGTTTCCCTTGTCGCTTTCTCTCGGAGAGACCAGTTTGAGGAAGGCTTTAAACATCCGTACAATACAGGTCTATGACTGCTGCACTTCATCCAATCCAGCCCTATCACCTGAACTGTTGGTTTGACAGCCATGGGTAGTAATATCGGAGTGGTTTGAGATTGCTGTATGTCAGTCTGGAGTATTCTTTATTGCTGGACCGGTAGCACGATGGGCATCTGCTTTGCTTCTCAAATACTTGAGTCTCATCTCTGCGTTACCTATTTAGACCTATGATACGTATTAGCCCTATGTGCTTGCTAGATAGACATCATGATCAAGATAAGATACCTTTTTCGGTCCATCCCATCTGTCATTTGCGAGATTTTGACCTCACCCTAGCCTGTAGGGTACTCAGCAGTGCCATTTTATGCTCAAGTTCGTGGGCAAAACCGTGCATCACTTGGTTTGAGAAACCTGACAGATAAAAGTCCCAGCACGGTGTTGGACGTGTTGTCCTGATCAACATACAGCATGGTGAGGTCTCCCTTCCTGCTGCATTGGGGATTTTGGCGATAACTGCATGAACAGAGAGCAAAATTGGATGTGAAAGCTTGTTCCATGTCAGTTAGCTTGTAGCGTATGTCTTCGGTAAAGGCGTTGAGCTTCATGAAGTGCTCTGTCACTGGCATCCAGTGCGGGCCAGATCGACTTTGTTTTGGTCCGCAACCGAACACCGTTGCTGCTGGGTCTCAAATGACAAGTTATGGATTGCCCAACTCGCATCCCGGTTTGTCATAATCACTGGCGTTAGAGATGTATCCTGAAAAGCAGCGCATATAGAGGACGCCGTTGGATTCTCTGGATTTTCCGTCGTGTAGTCTTCCGCTGTCGTTTCGAGTACCTTTTCTAGTCCGAGGTGGCATGAGTTTAACAATAAGGTCTTCAGAATTATAGTGAACTTAGAAAGCTGTCATGAGCACCTGTGGCTCTTCGTAGTATGCTACCCAAGCAACTGGATTAACAGGTCCTTCTCTAGGGCTAGGATTTGTTAGTTATCCGCGGGAGTATTAACTATTGACTCTTTGAAGAACCGTACCTATGTAGACTGGGGCCATAGCAAATTGTGAGACACCTGAGGGTCTTCATGATTCTGTTATGGTGCTAAAACCCAGGTGTTGTCAGTACCATGATACATTGTTGGCATTTGTTTTCATTGTCTGACAAAAATCCTTCGTCGTGTGGATTGAATCGTGTCCATATGTCTCCTCAAGTCTGATTGCTTTATTCTCACTGCTGCTGACATCTTCATAGCCGTGTCTCTATTTCGCCTAGGTCCATTTCGAGCAACTTCAATTGCTCCGATGCTGTCAGGGGGTAAATAGTATAATCCCTTTGGGAAAAGCCCCAAGCCACCGAAGCCAAGGAGCCTCTTTACTTGTAGAGTTGAGTTGATGGCTTGAGGTGGCATAGTAGACACTGATAAGATGTCATGACACCTTCTTACGTCAATAGTAGTTGAAATCGCAGAGCTAAGCCAAAGTGCTTGAAGAACAAACAATGGCCGGTTACCTTTTGGGACACCAAACTCACTATCCCACCCGTCGTCAATTCGATGTCCTTCGTAACGTCGTGCGCATGTATATGCTACCATTGGGTGGAAGAAGGCATTTTAACGTTAAAATCTTTGGTTGAATATTACTATCGATGATGGTGTCAAGGCTGCTCCGAGTTGGAGGCTGACGATGCTGGCTATCCTCTAGCAGCCGCAGAACTTGTCATAAGATTCAATGGCATTAATGCGCAGACGACTGTTTCTGGCGTGTGATAGGATTGCAAACGGCCCAGAGATAAGTAACTGAATCGGGATCTTGATCTTGAGCTCGAGACATGAGCCCAATGGCTAGACAATAGTCAAGACAGGCGTATTCAATTGAAAAGTACTAAGGTGAGGAATGGAATCAGGATTCACCTCAGCTTTTGTGATGCTTGTATAGAATGAGAGCCAGATTATGGAGGGCTCCATGATTGAATGGCAATTGTTGGAAGATTTCTGATCCAGCATATGTTTGGCCCCTGAACTTCGTTAAACCGTACCAACACATCCTCTAAAAACAGGGAGGGCAAATCTTGTCGAAACCGGTGTATAATCTGAGTGGATACCCATTTCTCCTAGAGCAAGCAGATTTAGTTGATGGCTATATTGATATATAAAGGCAAAGGGAGAGCACATACCATGTGTTTGAATACAATGGTGAACCATCCGAATTTGCCATGAACACGGCTCTTCGGGGTGATCATGTCAGGTAACATGAGGGTTCAATAGGTCCAGTATAAGTGCGAACGAGGCTATCTTGATGGGAAAAGTGATATTTCCTGTTCTTCAGCTGGCTAGCTCTCCAATCTCACTTGCCATCCTGCAAAGTCGGGAACTATCTGTTGGTGCGGAATCGCCTCTCAGATCTGGATTGGGCACGACATGAGCCAGACTTGAATGTCTTGAGGAGTAAAAGATGTAGACGATATTTATTACTCTTGACCATGTCGTTGAGCCGCCTGAGAATCATGGATCCTTGCTTATTCGCAACGACGTTCTGTTTCCTATCGTATGTCATTGAGTCTATTGAGTATCCAAGGGCCTGAAAGAAACCTGGATATAACCATTATCTTTTGTAGGTGCCAGAGGAACAATATGGCACCAACCCTGGGTATATAATTTGAGGTTGTATTTCTTGACAATTCTTTCTGAGCACTCCCCCGAAACAATGTAACTCTCCTGTTTCTGTTCTCGATTCTCCAGAACGGTTCCATACCTTTGGATTTCTCCCAAACTATCAAGGATCATTCGGTCCTGGGAACTAACGGAGACGAGGATTGGGTTGGATAACAGCCGCCTCATGCCCGACCCAGGACGAACTGACATGCTACTATTATGTCATGTCTAGCGTATATGTTGCTATTGTCAAAGAAAGTGACTCCGCGGAGGCTATTTAGCTAGGTTTCTCTGGCCGGAATAGTTAGTAAACCAGCATATCAATATCATTATCGACAGGGACCAAACCTTGGAAAACGTATATAGCAAAACGCTTAGGACTGCCCAACATTCTGCATGGATAACGGCTGTATTTGATATATAGATATTCGAGGAGTTAACACTCTCCTTGTTCACAGCGCATCGTGCGTCTATGTATTGAGGTCTGGGTCTTTGGTGACAAGACCCCTGTGCACGCGAGAAGAGGGCCCTGTATGTCCAAGACTCATTATCCTCGGAAACGAACAAAGTGTCGAAATTATATCCCTTGTGTAAGCCCAGTCCATATCGTCGTCGGGGTTGGTGTCGTTGCTGTATATCCTTTGCCCAACCAGACAGGGACAAGACAACCCAGGTCATTGGTTTCCTGTGAGATATAGTAGATTGAAGTCCGGGTGAAAGGTAGATTTAAGAACAGGTTTTAGGTATATAGCCTTATTCAGAACCGCTTCAAGTATTCCCAGTTTGAAATATACAGCGCCGTCTGAATCCAAGCTTAACTTCGTAGTCTCCAGAAATGCACACACATTCCTACTGCCCTCTGATCTTGCATCGATGTAGTCCATAGACAGCATGTCCTTATTGGTTTCTTGTGCGCATTCTCAGGCAGGTCGTACTCTCTGTCGAGGTTGTCGGTCTCGGAATCGCCATCATCATCTTGTCTTGTCCCATGGTAGGCTGCTGCTTCAACTCTGCAGGAATGGTATATAGACAATATAGAGGATCTATTGTAATCTATAGGAAATATATGATAATAGAGAAGGAAGAGTAGCAGATAGTATCCCATATCTGCTTCTGTAATTCCCAGATAGAGGTGGGTGAATGGGAGGGGCAACAAAAGTATGACTTTTCTGGACAGGGCATTCACTGCAGTAGGAAGTGAATAAAGTGGATGTCTATGACTATGCATATGGAATAAAGATTATGAGCGTGGAGGGCAAACGGAAATCAATGCATGAAAGCGTGTCTCTGCTGCAAGTACCCTATATCATCTATATGTACCCTAAAAGCAAGAAAGACCATTGTATTCAATGATATGATGTATCGAATTTCTAGGATATTAGGCACTGGAGATCTTCTTTTCATATCTTCTTTTCCTTGAAGATCCATACTCGGGAATTCTTCAGGGTTATTCTCGGTAAGAGGGAGTAACAGAAGGCATGTCGAGCCAGAAATAGCAGATATTGACGGATATCTACCGCCACGGTCCTACTACAGCAGTTGACTAGCCACTTCTAGCCGGAAAGGTGCATATACTCAGTTTATTTTGTCTATAATTAGTCTTTTGCTTTTCTTCCTCAAATCAAACGAGGGTAGGAATTCGAGATACAGGATTATTTAGGGTAGTTCTTGACATGATAGCTCTTCAACTTGAGGAACTGGTCGAAACCGAATCGGCTCAATGTTACACCTCGGCCAGAGTTCTTCCAGCCGGTCCATGCAAGGTCCTATCGTATCATACGTTAGCCGGTTTGGACTCTTTCTCAGATGTAGAGATGAATATGAATGTTCACATACCGGACTGGGATAGTCACTCCTGTTGATAAAAACGGTTCCTGCCTCGACTCGCTCGATCAGGTTCTCAGCAAGAGCAACATCCTTGGTCCAGACACTTGCTGTAAGACCAAATTCGCTATCGTTCATAAGTTTGACAGCTTCCTCGTCATTATCGACTTTCATCACCGGAATCACGGGGCCGAATGTCTCGTCCTTCATGACTGTCATGTTGTGGTTGACTCCTGTCAGCAGCGTGGGCTTAACATAGTTACCGTCCGATGGGAAGTTCTCAAAGGTTGCATTCGCAGGTGTCTCGTCTTTGGCGCCCTTCGAGACAGCATCTGCAATGTGTGCTAGGATGGTCTCCTTTGCACGCTTGGAGATGACGGGGCCGATCTGCGTCTCGGTCTTGAAGGGGTCACCGACACGGTATTTGCTCAGCACGTTCTTGACCTCGGCAATGAACGAATCATAGATGTTCTTGTGTACGTAGACTCGCTCAATGGCGCAGCAGCTCTGACCGCTATTGAAGATTGCACCGTCAACGATTTCCTCCGCGGCCCAAGCTACGTTCACATCATCCCGAACGTATGCCGGATCTTTACCACCCAGCTCCAGACCGACGTTTACTATCCTGTCTGAAGCAATCTTCTGGACAGCCAGTCCGCCAGCCACAGAGCCAGTGAAGCAGATATTGTTGACCAGTGGAGATCGAATGAGAGGCTCAAGCAACTCGGGCGTTCCGCAGTGGAAATACTGAATAACATTCTCCGGAAGACCAGCCTCCAAGAATGCAGCAGCGAACTGCTCCGCGACAGTGGGTGTTTGAGGGGACGGTTTGAGGATCACAGCATTTCCAGACAATATAGCAGGGACCAAACTATTAACACCAATCAAGTAGGGATACTACATTTCAGAGATATTCAGAGCCAATCCCTTGGATGTCAGAAAAGAGAAAGGGGATAAAGATACGACATACATTCCAGGCAAAAATAATCAACGAAACCCCCACTGGTCTGCGCTTGATATACCGCTTGAACCCCTCCTCAGCATCCCCATGGACAACGCCTTCTTCACTTAACACGGACGAGCTGATTCGATTCAGGTACCGACCACGCTTGACGGCCGTCAGAACCTCAACGGGAGTATATGAAATCGGCCGGCCCATTTGCTCCGTTACTTCCTTCGCGAGCGCATCTTTCTTTTCCTCTAGGATGCTGAGGGCTCGATCAACGAGTTTCTGGCGCTGTTCCAGGGTCGTGGATTGAGAAAAGGAGCGGAATGCAGCCTGGGCTGTTTCTGCGATGCGTTGCAGGTCCGCTGGCGTCACGCCGGTCCTGGTGGCGACTGGGAAGTTGGTGGTGGGGGAGATGGTTGTGATTGTTTCAGCAGACATGGTGTGTATGTAGGAGTAACAGTAGGTAAAGTGAGAGTGAGAATAAGAGTGAGAATGAGAGTGGGAATGGGAATGGGAATGAGGACAGAATATCAAGATGCAAGAGTCAGGAACGGAGGGGTATCGAGGTTTATCATACATAGTTGAAGTGGGGGAGATAAGAGAGCATCCTTATTATTCATGCGTTCCGTCGCCAAGTTACGCGACGGCCACTATTGATTATTATTATTATATTATTACTATTCGAATGTATAAAGAGAATACTGAAAGTCCTATTTTATCCAAGGCATTGGTGCTTTGCACTATGGAGTCGTGACCCTCACAGTGGACCACCACTTGGAGTGTACGATGAATTCGCAAACCCAGGATGAACAGAATACTCCAAGCACAGGATAAATTCAAAGCCTATGAAGTACAAGTCTATGTCTAGACTCAGATTACTTGCTCAAATATCACGCACCAGACGTGCTCCTGCCCAGGCATACGGGTAATTATGCTGATACCAGTTGACGCTTCATCCCACAATCAGCAAGGATGAACTCCCAACCACGAGATACTTGGAAGAACTCACAAGGTCGTGCGGCCTGCAATCTGCGGATGAGTGGCCCAAGAACCGCCCAGGACTATATGATGCTTTCCGTCGAAGAAATCCGCTGTCGGAATCAGTAAAGAACACGAACTCGGAATCAGTCCAGGGGCCCATGTGAAATGAAACTCTACCTGTATATCCTGGGTAGACGTCCATAGCCTTGAACCCGTCATGTGGCGTAAGTGGCGTGCTGGTCCATTCCCAGACACCTCCCAGTTCACACTGACCGGCGAGTTTGTCGCCGTTCTGGATGACTGGAATGGGATGCCAGTGTTCGAACCCAACGTTGCAACGGTTGAGGTCAATAAACACTGGCATCTCTTCTAACAGAGTGTGTTGCACAGGTTGATGGTCCGGGCTACGCGTATTGGCAGGACTAATTGTAGAATCCGCATTGCCATTCCCGCCGTTGACACCGTTCGTTCCGTTCCTGGTGCTGTTGTTAGATTAGGTGACAGTGAGGAAAAGAAGGTTGTACACTCACGGATGGCCATTAGTCACGTCCATGGTTTCCTTCTGCTTGAGATGCGCACAGTATTTATAGATACTCCTAGCTTCTTCGTAAGTGGGAAGCCTGCAGGCCCTCCAGTTTGCATATCCAGCCAGTTCATCATAAGACGCAATCACCGGCCAGTCCTGAGCGAATTCAAGTGGAACAGGGCCGAACACCGTACGGACGGCAAATTTGGACCGAAAATCTTTCATGGAAGGAGCCCTTCTATCACCGATCCCCTCTGAGCCTTTGGAATGAGCCGGAACCCAGGATGCTGGCCAGGTTCTGATATTATGAGTTTGTAAGTACTTCGCGAATTCTCCGTTGGTAATAGGTCTGGCTTGTGCCTCGAAAGAGTGAACCGATAGCGTTCTCCGCGGCTTTTCATTGTCCCATCCAAATGAGACATCAGGAATAGTGTCGTCACCTAGGTCATCAAGCCCTACTGTCACGGTCTGCTCTGGGATAGTGAACCACTTATTCGGTTTTTCATCTTGTCTTGCACGGCGGAATATGCCCTCGAAGTCAGGCATGTCCACCGCAGGAGGCGGGAGAGTCTCGTCACTTTGCAATAGCATGTAAAGGAAAGTCTCCAGGTGCATGGCTTCGTGTTCAAAGCCGATGAAGAGAGCCTCACCCAGGCATCGGTTCTGAGATAGCCCTTCCATCTTGAAGATAGACCGCACTCTCTCCCTTACCCTCACCTGGTAATCAAGAATCTCATCAATTGGTGGCCATTCATCTGGGACTTGACTGTGGCTGTGGCACTTTTCTGGGTCTTCCACGTCCGGATCGATTCCACGTTCAAAGATCAGCTGGTAATTCTCTGGCTCTGTTAATTTCCCTCGAAGAGCTCGAGTCAAATGGATATCTGTCTTCATATTAATAGTATGAATGGCAATTACGGAACTGAGATGACTGACCTAGAAAAGTGGGAATGTGCCCAAGATAGAATATCAAAGCATTCCTGAGGTTAATCGGCTTGGAAAGAAGCTCCTGACGGGGCACCATTGCCCTGGTAACGACATCCCAAGATGTCCAGAGAGACTGGAAGTCTTCTAGGCTGGGGACTGTATGGGATGCATACTGTAACGGCTCTTTTGGGAAATGAAGAGCAGCAGAAGAGAGAATGTGAACGTCTTTCAGGAGTCACATGTGAATACTTCGTAAGTAACATGAAGATGTCAATGGTAAGGGGTTCACTAACGATAATTGCCTGATCTGTTTGCAAGCTCGACTTGAGATATTAATCCAGCGTTGCGCCAGAGTCTCTCTCGCTCTCTGGCATCGTATTTAAAGGCCTCCTCGAAGATAACTTCCTCTCCTTCGGAGATTATAATCCCATTGATATTCACATCTTTCCTAGGGGAATAGAAGGCCACGTGACATCCTTCCTTTGCATCATATCGAGTCACAATATCCCATTCAGCAGGCTTAAAGGCTTCAAACCCAAGCACAAAGTTCGCGTTCCGTAGCCCATTCTCATAGAATTTTCTCGTGACCCCATTGGCATCATTGTAGGCCTTAAACACCTTCTCTGGGTCCTTACAAGCATCCAAGCCGATGACTATAACATCCGACGGGGTCAAGACCTTAGCAAAGCTGGCCAGGAACTTCGCAGCTTCTGGGCGAGAAAAGTTCCCAAGAGAAGAACCTAAGGAGAGAACAGCCGTTGGCCGATTCCGATTTTCTGGTGTGCTTAACCAAGCGAGGGCATCGTCGTACGTGCCATAGAGGCCGTGGAGTCTAACATATGAGAAATTCTCGGTGCGGATATTCGAAAAGGTGCGCTGTAACTCGGACAGTGACAGATCTACTGCATAGTAATCCACATTTTTGTTCATAGTCTCAAACTCCTTCAGCAGTAACTCCACCTTACGCAGGTTCCTGGAATGCCGTTAAAATCCGGAAGACGGAACTCAAGGTATCTACCCAGGCAATATGCATTCTGAATATCCAATACAGCACGAGGACAACGTACCCACTACCCAATTCCACCAATTGTGCATGATCAGGAATCCGTTCGACGATCTTCTTTGCATGGGAGGATAGCGTATCGATTTCTGCGTTGGTCAAGTAGTACTCATCTAGGTAAGTGATCTCTTCAAACAACTTGAGTCCCCTGGCATCGTAGAGCAGAACCGTAGGGAGAGATCTCCTTGTGCCTTCCGATGGTTGCAAGCTCCTGTAGATATCTTTCACTAGAGATATTTCTAGAGGGTTCTGACGAATGTCGACAATATCGACACCCTCCGCGGGATACAAGGATGGAGACATTGCTGCTAGGGTGGAAGCACAACGCAATAGACAAAACGGCTGGAGCACCTAGGTAGGTAGGAAAATATATGACGATGATCACATTTAAGAGAAAAAGACTGTATATCCGGGTGGAACGAGCCTTTGGTTTATATGTAAACTCAACCAAGAGGCGAAGAAGACAAACCTAGAGCCGACATACTCGGGGAGAAGAAAAACGCGTAAGGTCATATTGCATTTGTCCCTGTCTGATCTTATCCCATTCTCCCACTCCACAACCAGACACACCTTCCCAGCGTGAGACGAACCAGCTACAGGCAGCAACAGATGGGTCATTCCGCAGGATTAGCAACCACTTTGACTTTTCGGACGGCAGCGGAGACCTGATTGTATCTTTCCAACTCAAGATTACGGAGGAGCAACCCAATGGGCGAGCCATGGTGAAGCTAGAGATTGGCTTTCCATGACGCAGAAATCAAAACATCTGCGGAGGGATGACGTTGTGTTTGCGGGTTTTGATGGGTTTGATGAATTTGCAGCATCCACATGGCTGGTTGGTTTGCATTGTCGTATATGTTTGCATTGCCGCGCATGTTTGCATAGGTTGCAGGGGTTTGCAAACATGATTATGGAATCAACGTGCCGAGATATTTCCATTGCAGCCTGAAATTCAAGGTAGATTCCACGACAATGGGAACTAGTAAACTATTGAGGCTTTGACTCTGAAAAGCACAATTCCCGTTGTTTGTCTTCGGGACACAAAGAACAGATACGACAAGATCTCGAAGGGGTAGAAGGACTGTTTTGCAATTTTGCGGATTCTCCCTTGGAGGCAGCATGGCCTTTGTAATCCCAAGCGTATATAAGGGATATAAGGGCACCTAAGTTATGTCATCCCTGGGATAAAACTTATCAAAGATCAGTTGTCTTAACCCTTCAATTATCCCTCGATACTTCGAGACTTTTAAGAACTCTTACACGAAACACAACCATCACTATGCAGTTCATACGTTGGTGGCGGAACGACAACAGCAACAGCAGAGAACTGTCCACTGAAGCTAAACATTTGCTCAAGACCATCAATGAATTGGCTGATGAGAGAGACCGGCTGACAAAGGACTTACAGCATGCCCTTGAAACCATAAAAACATTGCAGGATAAACTGGCTGAATATGATTTCCTCCTCAAGCGAGCCCGGGTCCGTATAACCCAACTTAGGACGACGAACAGCCGTCCGCGTGGAGACGCCGCTAAACGTCCACCCAGCGACCCATGGATACACCATATCTGGTTCTGCTCGAGCAAGTCCTCGGAACTCCTGGGCCAGACAGAGCATGATTGGAAATCGGGACACCCCCAGCGCGCACTGTACCGCCTCTCTACGATCCTTTCAACCCGGAACCTTACACTAGCAGATCATCTGATGTGCAAGCTACTCATGGCTGCTATATTCCATTATACCCAGAACTATAACGAGTCTAACCAACTTCTTGAGTCGGTTCTTGAGACGACTCATGGTCAACTTGTTCGTGACTACTCTAACACAATGGAACTCACTGGCATTGCTCGATTCATCCAGGGCAAGAATATGGCTGCTAACGAGAATTGGAATGAAGCCTTTTGGTCCTTTACCAAGGCGCTTTACACGCCGGGCTACCATACCATGGCACAGAAGCTCCAGAGTGAGGCTATGAATAAGCTGGAGTCAAGCATGGCTAATGATACCTGGGCTCCGACAATGCATGCACTGGCTCATCATCAGAGTACTAGCACTTTCTCGATTTAGTTTCTCTTCCTTACTCTCTACATATACGGTTGCGAGGTAGTTAGAGGATATACTCTACTCAACAATAAAAATATGTTTTATCTGAATCTGACAGCCTAAACCAACCCGTTTGGTCGGATAAATTCAAGTATTACTGGTATGAGAATCATCAGAATTTGATTCTTTTAGGAAGTATGGATCTATTTCTTCCAGAAACGGTGTTCTTGTAAAAGTCCAGCTTGGACAAATCAAGCCCAACATACACGCAGAAGCCTATGAGTGAGGAACAAAGGCTAATAATGAAGAACAGAAAGATCTGCCCCTATTCCCTTGAATATTCCAGTTTCATTGTTTTACTTAATAATACCCTTTGTTCTCCGCTTAATAGGGAAACATAGGGTCAAAAGATGAAAGACGAGCCCTATAAAGAAGTGACGCATAGTTCAATGCACAAGGAGCAGAAACGAGTATTTAAACAGACTCAAGCACCCATAAAATGAAATGAGACATGGTTCTGCCCACATTATCCCGAGATTACTATTCAAACATCAACTCTCTCTTTACCATCAAGTCTATACTTGCGTTTTGGCCGCTACGCATCAGGAAAGTATACCATGAACTCTGACAGCGAACACGGAAGCTCCTCAGAAACGAGCAGCTACGAGGTAGTCGGAACAGAATCCAGCGCAGACCCTGGATCTGGATATGGGCCTGTCCTAGTTGCGTCCACCCCAAGCGTTAATGGGAATGGAAGCAGCAGTGACAACGAAGCTACCAGGGATGCCGGCCAAGCGGACGATCGTCAAGCAACGAATGAACGTATCAATGACTGGAGGGATGATTTGAACCCAGAAGATTCACTGGAATCTATGAATGGCCCCTCCTTAGCCTTGGAAGAGGAGTCTCACCGTGAATCAGACGAGTCAATTCGAATAGACACGACTTTAAGCGTAACTCAACGACTCCCCTTTCCGCCCAGTCCAGAGTCCCCCGACAATCCTGCTTCGCCAGCTCTGTCAGCTGCGAGTACAGACTCTGATTCAAGCGGGGAGGAGTTCTATGACTGTCAAGAGACACTCCCCATTGACGAAGACGAGTACTTCAACGACGGTGACGAAGTTGGTAGCAATAATGATCAACCCCCTTCATTTGCACCAGCTAATCCCTTATTCCTGGGAAAAAAAGACCACGATAGAGCACGCGATCATGTGCATAAACTCGTAACAGCAAAGATGATGCCTCCCAACGGGCCCCACGGCCCAATGCGTGAACCACACAGAACAGACCCCGAGACTGCATCTATCCTCAGCAGTTTCGACGAAGTAAAGGCAAAGCATATCATCACCATGAACCTTCTCAATGTCCTCGTGTGCATCCTCAGTCAAAGATACGGCCGTGCTGAAAAAGAGGCAAAGAAGGCCCTCGAGATAGCAAGGGAACTCAGACAAGAGCCCACAATGGCAAGATGCTTTTTCTGGTTAGGTGTTATTGAATATAGCCACGGCAATGATGAGAGGGCGTATTTATACTTCCTGGACGCGCATTCCTGCGTGGATGAATATCCCACTGAAGGGAAGCTGTTGGACATGTACCTCAATCTCCTGCAGAAGGGTATTAGGAAAGAGGATCGGAGGAAGCTTTTTTTCCCCGGGAATAATAGCACTGCAGTCAATGCCTTGGGTAGAAGCTATTTCTCCATTTTTACTAATGCACATCTCAAACGGAAATGGAGTGCTCTTCCTCGTGGTGAATCCGTCCTCCGTATGACGGCACAGGGACGGTCCAAGAAGAAATCATGTTTTGGGAAGGATTCGGAGAAGAAGAAGGATACCTCCACGACGGTGCGTCCAACCGTCTGGATCAAACGCGATGCACAAGACATCCAGCCTCGATCCGCCGGTGCAGTCAATGACGGAAATTTAAGTAACCGCCATTCAGCACTGGGGACACTCGTTGAGGGAGCTGATCTGTGCTGGCTCAATAAATATCCATACATAAACGAATACTCGATACAAGGCCCATTCGCTTTCAAGGAGAATCCCAGGGGACTAGCACCACGGACTCGCGGGACGGAGATCTTCTTCGAGCAACCGTGGGAGATTATTTTGTCCAAGGAGAAATGGAAATCCATTGAAAAGACCGTGGGGAGCAAGGAGGTCACTATGAGCTTCTTGAAAGAGGAGCATGAGAAGCTGGGAATATGGTCCATGCTGAAGACGAGGGCAGAACAGAGCAAGGTCAAAGATCTAGACGATGGATCGAAGCCTGCAAATATATCAGAGCATGAGGACAGCACGGTAGAATCAACGATGACTCCCGAAGATGATGATAGCCCAAGAAGCGATGGTACACCAGAGGTAAAGAACTCCCCAATCCACGACGATGACGACGACGACGACAACGGCGAAGAAGGCCAGGACGCTCCACAAGAATCGCCGAGACCCGCGGACCATGAGGATGATCTAGATGTACATCCAGATGAATAGTTTAAATATGCATTGCCCATGATGATAAACTCTATATTAAGAATGAATATAAACCGTTTTGATACAAAAGAGGATGCCGTGACTGCAGATGATCGACCGTCTTCAACCGATGTTTAATAAAGACAAATCTGTTGCTAATAGTGGTCTTGAGAGGGCGTACAGGGAGCTTGAGGAGTTTTTATATGCTTGAGGTAGATACATGATGATAACTAATACCTATATACCGCTCGAGGTTATACTCTCAGCGTTGAAAATAGGGTACCATCGGGGAGGAAAGGGGGAAGACAGAACAAGTGTGTGTAGTTCAATGACTGCCGTGAATAGACCATGGCTGTTCCAAACCATGATTTGCAGCGGTGGATAGACTCCTCCTGCGAGCAGCATTGTAGACTTTAACTTGTCTTCCAGCAGTAAGTTGGCCTGGGGCACGCTGGGCAAGGCGGAACTCGCTGTATTCGCATGAGAGACGAAGACGATTCAAGGACTGCAGCGAAAGCCCAAATCGAGCCTTATATCTCTCTCCCTCAGAGGCTTGGGTTCGCTGTCCCTTCGACACGGCATTGTGCATCGGCAGCGTCAACAATATCGACAACATAGTGGTCTATAAATGAGCATACGAGGCACCACCTCATAGATGGAAACCACCATGCTCATTAACCTCACAAAACCTCCAGAGACCAGCAGCCTCGGCAGCACTCCGAACAGAACTGAGCTCCTCATCGCGAACAGCCCGGTTAATCTCAGCATACCTGACCTCTCCACTGCCGTTGGCAACCGCCCGTTTCTTCTTCTTCCCCACATGCGCATCAGGATGATACTGCTCCATGATATGCACGTACAGGTCCTTGGACACATTCTCCGCGAGCCAGCGCATGATCTCCTTCGCCTCCCCTTCCTTACCGGGCATAACCAGATGCCGTAGAAGGACGCCCTTCTTCGCGATCCCGTCCGATGTAAAACTCAGGTCCCCCACTTGTTTATGCATGGCCTTGATGCTCTCCCTGGCTGTTTCGGGGTAATCGTCCACCTTCAGAAGCCGTTTCGACGTGCTGTTCTCCCAGACCTTGAAATCAGGCAGGTAGATATCCACCAGTCCATCCATGAGCTCTAGCGACTCGAGCGAGTCGTATGAGGACGTATTGTAGACAATCGGTATCTTCAGGCCCATGTCCCTCGCAGCGAGAATGGACAGAGCCACCTGCGGCACGACGTGTTCGGGTGTGACGAGGTTGATGTTATGGACGTTCCCGACTTGCTGGAGCTTGATGTACCATTCCGCCAGTTCTTCAGGAGTGAGATCGAATCCGTTCAGTTGGTGGGCAATATCCTGGATTCGTAGATATCCGTCAGCGATGCAAAAAAAGAGTCATGAAGCGAACATACATAATTCTGACAAAATACACATCGCATATTACACCCCGAGAAAAACACAGACCCGCTCCCATGATATCCCTGGATACAAGGCTCCTCGCCCCGATGTGGCGCAATCACATTGACCTTGGCCGTTTCGGCGCCAATAAGGCATGCGCCCGTCTCCTGGAACCGATTCACGCCGCACCGACGAGGACAGAGGTTGCATTTGTTGAGATGGTAGTACGCGAGGGAGCGTTTCCTGGAGGCTTCTACCGATGTGAGCAATTGGTAGCGGGGGATGTACTCGTCCAGCAGGTAGGCCGGGGGGATGCCGATGTGTCGTTTGGCGATGAGAGAAGGGCGTAATAGTCCGCGGGGAGAGTGCGGAGAGTGCGCCAGACGTTGCAGGGGTCTTTGGAGAGTGTTGATTATCATTTTTCATGAGCGACAGAGAAGGATCTGTCAAGAAGTTGGAGAATGCTACTTCTGTGCCTTGCGACTATCAGATTTATAAGCTTATCGCCGTCTGTGTCCGAACAGCCGATGAGAACGCTGCGGATTACAATTATGTCGTCAGAGAACAGTTCCAATGAGCAGTCAGCTTGGGGTGGGTTCCGCCATACTCGAGTATGGTGGAGTCCGTAGCGGAAGGATATTTAAGGAGTGCCTCCTCCGATAGTTTCGAAGAAACAAGCATATTTATTTCTCGTTTCGAGTTCGCTTCCCTAGTACCGTCGCTATCGCATAGCATAGTTTTTCGTTATCTTCTCCTTTTGTTGTTCTGTGTCCTTGCTAAGTTACCTCACTCACGCCGCGTTGTGCAACTATACTTATCACCTCCACACCTTCATCCCCACATCCCTTGACCCGGTTCCTGTCACGGAACTCAACTAGACGATGAATAGCATCGATGCTATTCGACTATCTAGGCAGCCATCGACGAGAACTTCAAGCATGGAGAGGAGGGAAAAAGGAAGAGATCTACGTGAAGCTGGACGGCGTATTCCTATTCACGCACCACGCTAATCCAAATAAGGAAACTCACGTGCTCGTCCTGGTCTACATGGCAAGGGCCCTGACAGTTCCTTTCACAGGGAACACCACGCGTACGCCCTCATTTACAATGGAGCGCAAGGTTCCTTGAAATTCATGCAAACCCCTCAATGATTGCTGCAAAGATATCAATAAATGTGACCACTTTATTCTTTTTGACTGTGGTGACATGCCCTCACCCTAGCACCTTCACAGTTGCTAGTTCTATTTGTAAATAACTAGTTCATTGGATCTAGTTAAGTAGTAATCAAGATATGTTGGGTCACGTGGGATTCTGCCGCATAGGTCCGCCCTCGCTGACCCTTTTCACCACGTAGGCCTATCTAGCTAGTTACCAACCAACAATACACCTCCATTAAGATAACCTATGGCATCATGTGACCTATGTCTGAGGTTTCCTGAACCTGCACCCTGACACAGAATATCAAATGGATGCTTTGAGAAAACCTGGTACATATGTACCTAAATACATATATTATCTGACACTCCTATCCAAGACTATTTATACATGTATGGGTAGAATGACGTATGCCAGTCGACCATATTGATACAGAATATAACCAACCCTCAGAAACCAAACGCCGTTTTAAACGCAAGAGACCTCTGCCCATTAAATGAAGATATAACGTCAAATATCAAGACACAGTGAGGAAAATACCCAATATGCGCCGTCCGGATGCGTTGAAGTAGCGTAAGGTAAAGCTCTGCCAATAGCTTAAGAGAAAAAGTACTGGCTTTTGAGGATGCGCGTCACATCCCAGTCACCCTTGGTGGGTATGTCTCGGAAATTCAATGGAAGCCATACCCAGGTAGTATCTGGTACTCTTGTCTTCCTCTTTTTCTTCGCGCCAACTTCTTCTTTATCGGCCACTTCTCCGTCCTTGCCATCATCCATCTTCAAGTCAGATGCCGCATTATTCGGCATATCGAAGCTAGAGAACAGACTCTCGATAGCAGGATCGTTCATATCCACAGACATTTTCAGCTCTGACGGTTCTGCATTATCCGGGACATGGCCAACTGCCGTTTCGCCAAGAGAGTTTGGAATCGCCAGGTCATCGTCCGCACCCTTCATCTTCTCAAACACACTCGCCGCGGTTTCCATCGCCCGGCCCTGCGCCTGCAGTTCCGGGTCTTCCGACGAAAGGAGTGTTTGTCGACGATACTCTTCGATGAGTTCGGGAACTTTACCCTTAGAGCCATGCGTCTTGCGGAAATTGAGGATATGCTTTTCAATGGCGGTACCACGTCGGATCTTAGCTAGGAACAGATTTCTACCATAACGAACCTTAAATTCAGCCGCCAGTCGCTTGATGACATCATCTGAATGCATCTTGACAAATGCGTCTCGCAGGATGTTGTTCATGGAATCGACATCGCATGCGTGCGTCCAGAATGAATCGTGAACGGCTGAGAACGTCAGACCGGCCTGGTTGCAGGCATTGGCAGACAGCATCATGTGAGTAGCGTCGAGGGAGTGGATGAAGTTCGGTGGGAAGGCTTGAAGCTGCTTGCGCTTGGAGATAACGGCATCCGAAGTCGACTCAACGATGCTGATATCCTGCAGAGTGGTGTAGATACGTCGAGATTTCCTCGTCCTATAGGGCTGGACTACAGGCAGGCCGAGGGGTGTTGTCCAGATCACAGTCGTTTTGAAATGCTCACTGGGGTCTTTGATTTTACCAGTGCCTTCTTCTGATTTCGGCGTCATGGTTGCCTTGGCAATCATTTCGATTTGATCAGGAGACAGGGACTGGGTGATGCGGCTTGCACAATCTCCAAGCCAGTATTGAATTTCGTGGGCGCCAGTGAACATTGACCCCAAAGCCCGAAAGATCTTCGAGGCGATGTAAGTCGCGCATGACCATTCGCCTTGAAGGTCAGGATAGTGGTCCACCAATTGCTTGCAGACTTGCTTGATCGCTCCATGGAAAGTGACACCATATACGTTAGTCATGACAGTCTGCTTGACTATCTTGCGAGTAATCTTCCCATCAAGACTCTTCGCAATAGGATTTCCCTCAGCCGCTTCACGCGAAACTTGTTCCTTAACGTACTCCGCCACTCCAGTATACACGTCGGACGGCCGATCTGCGGGCTCAAGATTGACTTGCTGAGCACCAATGATATCCCCACCAAGAGCTGCATAATGTTGAAGTCCGTTGCAGGAACCATCCTGGTGGATAGGCAGACGAGACGCATATTTGGTAGGATCCGGAAGGCGAAGTGCACTGGCCAATTCCACACAGGCTGCTAAGCACTGCCATGGATCCTCCGCTTGAAGCCACCAGCGCTTACCGTGCAGGCCATTGTCTGCCGAGTCAAATACATCATCCAGGTGGTCCATGACGAATTGTTCCCGTTCGGCGAAACTACCCTTATCAAACCCATAAAGATTTGCAAGTTGAATTTTAAGCCATCTCAAACCGCGCTCACCTAGCGGCTTTGCATCGCTAAAAAGGAGAAGACCTCTGCTGTTGTCGGCACCCATTTGATTAAGATAGGGCGGTAGCGGGTAAGCTCGACCACGGAAATCCATGTTATGAGGTAGGTGGAAGGTTTCATTCCTATAAGCGCGAGCGACTTCCAATTGGAAATTTTGAAAGCAACGGTTGGAGTGTATCCCAGATCTTTTATCCTCAATATCGCGCACAGCTTTCATCCATGCCTTTTCCGCCTCCACTCCCTCTTCGGGGGCTGGCCGCGGAGGATGATCAAGGTTCGGATTTGCAGGTGCAAGGTTCGCGATAGACTCCCCAGAATTCCAGGCCTCGAGCATAACATCGAGCACCCGCCGGTTGACAGCCCATCCAGTCTTACCGAGTACATCTAAGCCCTTGCGGATCTCATCAAGTCCATTTTTCTCCAATGCAGCCTTCACATAATCTGGTTGCATGGTCTCGCCGGGCGTCACACGGATTAAGGGGTTTTTATATGTGTGAAATCCACCGTCTTTCCAACCAGTCCACGGTTTCGGCTCGCATACCATAGGTAGGTGGCGGCCTACAAGCTCCGCACTTGGTTCCTTCACAATCATTTGAACAACCTCGGAGTTGATATGGACGAGTCCCATTCGCTTTCCCCAATGGATTTGATAGGAATGATGAAAAGCAGGTTGCATGGCGACAGTCTTCCCCTTAGTCTCAGGGTTTTCCGTTTGAACAGGGACTTTCGCAGCGTCGAAAAGTAAGCTGAGCAAGACCGCACCGACTCTCGCGGAAACTCTTGGCGGCCAGTAGATGGTTGGATCCTCTTCCCCTAACTTCTGAGCAATCGCTTTCCATTTGATATGACCAGCTTTCTGCTTGCGCTTGGAAAGAATATCTTTTAACATATTAAGACGCCGGCGGTTCCCGTCCTCCTCCAAAGCTCGTTGTATAGACTTCTCCGCTATTATTTCGTCCTGAAGCTCCTTTCCGAGTTGCGAAACAAGTGAAGTAACCTTTAAACCGCAGTTCACACCATTTTTACCGAACATCGCCATGGTGCTAAGAATGGTAAAAGCAGCTAGCTTCTCCGGGTTGAGAGTTCGGAGATACACCCCATATTCGCAACGCGAAGCCTGCACTCTCGTGCGGACAGGAGTGGCCTCGGCTTCTGCGATAAGCTCCAGTTCTCTTTTGATACCAGATACGAGTTGTGCATTCCACTCGCTCATGAGAGCACCAACCCTCTTTCCACCAGCGGAAGCATTGAGACCAACACGACTCTGCAGCTCTACAAATTCGTCCCGCCAGCGGTCCAGAGCTGATTGTACGGCATCAGCCTCCAGTCGCTGCTGTCTCATACGCTTATATAGCGCAATTTTTTCCTCGTCCATGTCTTTCATTTCCTCGGGGGAGGGGAAATCGGAATTGTTTGTAAACAGAGAGAGAGACTTTTTTAAAGAGGAAAGCCCGAGGCCTTTCTGTTCAACCTCCTTGACATGAGCAACATCATCCTCCACAGCATGGCGCGGCTCATACGAAATAGGTGTTGCACCGTCCATCGACACACGTTGGAAATCAGTAGAGCAGATCTAGTAATGATTATCAGTATACTTTTGCAAATGAGTATGGAGTATGTAAACCTTGTCATGGCATCACATACCTCCGAGAGCTCTCGAAGCTCCAGCTCACCCAGAGAGCGGTGGACGAGCACCTCTTCCTCAACACCTTTTTGCTTGACTATGTCCCAGTATTTGCGTACCTCGCGGTCCCGCCTTGGACCATGCACCATGCGTAGAGCCATCCTCAGCATAATCGCCAGCGTATTGGCATCAGGCTGCACACCTCCATTGGGCATGTCAAACTCAAACCACCTCTGCAGTGATGGAACCATTGTATGCTGCCTTGTCACAATCATATGGGATACCATTGCCTCAAGAAAGCGGTTATGAATGGCAAGATACTCTGGTGACCCGATGGGATGAAATTGCCCAAGTCGGTTGATCAGGGAAGCTGCTCGATCAAACCGTCCCACTTTCAACGATACGTCCAAGTTTGCCATCATCTCCTCCTCATCACCCCCAATACCCTTGCTCTTTCTTACGACTTTCGGTTTGGTCTGGAGGAATTCGGGCATGATAACCAGCGATGACGGGTCGAAGGGATCGGATTTAAAGAGGGGATAAGAGCCCCACTGCTTGGAGGAGTCGGAATCAGGCGTATTTTGGTATTGTGGTTCTTTGAAGTATGGGGGGTCCTTAAACATGTCGAATAGGTCCTGGTCGAAGCCGGACTGCTGCTCTGCAGCAGCCGTTGCCAGGGTCCTGTTCGATTGAAAAGACGGTCGTCGGGAATGTTCTTGGGGTGTCGTCGAAGGGGAATTGGATACGTATATCGGTCGAGTTATTTGCGAATGGAGCCGGGGCTTTGTTAATGATAGCAGCCCCGTTGGTCGATGCGACGGCCGCAGAAGGAGACGTGAAGCATCTTTCCGGCAAGCCAGTCGAGACAGCATGGTCCGTCAAATATGTGCCGGTGACCTTTGAAAAAGATATAATTAAAATACAATAATAATACGAAGAAGAAGAGAAAATTGAGTATGAAAAATAAAAAAAAATAAAAAATAAAAAACGGCCAAAGTACTACCGTCTTTAAGCTGGATGGATCGCTAGCAAAGCAGTAGCAATCACAGAGGAACTAGTATATGCACAAGCAGAGATACATGGGTCGTCACGTCGTCCTGCAGCCTCCCAGTTGGAAGAGAAGAAAAAGAAAATAAAGAAACGGGCGACCGTCGAAGAGCAGAGACAGCATCCTACGGAGCCCGAGTTGGACGGCGGAAAAAAAGTTGGAACGGTACGGCACTGATCATGTGATTACCACGTGATGAGAACGACGGGAGAACAGTGTCGGAACTCCAATCATAGAAGAATCGACCCTGGCGATCCACCGAACCATTGCAGGAATGGCAAAAGCCGAGTCTCATATTATTCATGCACGATTACAGACTAGATGGCAGATTCCCTGTTATGGGTATACATGTTTTTTTGTTTCTCTGTAAAAATGCAAATTACCCCATCTCAACATCGCCTTTGCCTGCAGCCTCCTTCCGCTCTCTCTGCTGCTTCCGATTCAGCTTCATTGCCCAACCGGTCATCTCTGGTCGCGCAGGATCAACACGAGGAGCGCTCATCTTATCAAGATATTCTTCAACATCGATCATCGACTGTAGTTGGGGTAAATCATTCGGGTTCTGGTGGATCATGTAACTCTCGTACGTCTCCCAAGCTTCTTCGGTCTAGATAACGAACAATCAGTGAGAAAACCGACATGAAGAGTCTGTCTGAAAGGGGTAAAATAAATACCTCAGCATCCACCCAGTCATATGTAAGCCATTTATCGTCCTGCATCTGTTTCAATAGACGAAGGTTGCCATCCATAACTGCCTCCTTTTCTTCAGCTCCTTTGACTTTGACATCGACCGTACGAGCCTCAGCTTCAACCGGTCGATCCTCATCAGCCTCCTTCTTCTTGGACCCTCGTCCTCCTTTGGCGGGAATTTCGTCCAAAGCATCGAGATGGTGAAGTTGAGGATGTAGCTGAACGACAGCGGAGACAGGGGAGAGGTATAGATTTTCTGCAAATTCGCTCCCATTAGAACAAGAAAACAAACCAAATTCGGGAGTGAAAAAAATATATATATAAAATCATAAAACATACGCCCTCGAAATGCAGCAAGCATATAAACCGGATCCCCCTCCTCAGGAATCTTAACCCTCCCACCAAGCGTTTGTACCCTCAACACATCCTGAGAAGGCGCCATCTTGCCATTCCTCCCTCCATCCAGATTCATCGCATCATCTGCCTCAGCTTTCACTCGCGACCCTGATCCAGAAGGTCCCGAGCTGAACCCACCAGCCATCCCAAACCCGCCCGACACCCGACTCCTCAGCATCGCATTTCCGTACCGCAATCCCTTTGTCTGATCGTAGTTGGAGCGGGTGTTGATGGGGATGTCTACCTCAACGTTACCTGTCTTCGGTTTCAGACGGAAGGCAGTAGGTTTCCGCTCATGGCGCTCATCGTATGGTAGGTCCCATGCACGGTCAATGTATTGAAGGACGTAGCGAGAGATTTCGGAGTCCGTGAGAAATACATCATAGGATGCGATTACAGGGTCGTCGGAGGTGTCCATCTGGAGAGGCGTTTAGGATTTGAGGTCAATGATTACCAAGTTATCCCAGTGATCTTAATCTGAATTCACTCACCCTGCTGAGCGGATGATGAATGAATAATCGATGAGCGCCATCTAAAAAATGAAGTCACATGTCCGTCGTCGGAATCAAAAATCGGGCGGGTATGCTTCACCGCCTGCGGAAAATAACAAGGTGGCTTTTTTTGTCGATGTATCTATAGGGCTCCGTCCATCGCTTGCCCTCATTCCTTTTTTGTCTTCGACTTTCCTAGCTCTTATACATTGTAGGCTATCAGCAATCTCGTTCACGTAACAGAGTTTACAAGAGATGGTAGTGAAGAAAATGTCTAGAAGCCTTATACACAAAGTATCTATCATTGTTGTTTTCATTCGGTCCAGCCTGGAGGTAATGGCATGTTACTATGAAGAATGAAAACCGCTGGTCTACTACATTGTAATTTGGAATACATTGGACAGCCATATCCAGTTTCATAGAAACACGCTTATAGAGTAAACCACTTCCTAGTAGGAACGACTATGCCATACACTGGAGACAACAGTACTCCATGATCGCAAAGTAGGACATTGAACCAATTAGAAAGATATATTCTATTTATGCCATGTGATATATAAAATATAAGAAAGCAAACAAAAACTTCCAATCATTGCAGAACTAGATGGGAAGCATCAATAAACCAATTATATACAGTAAGGGCATATCAAGACAAGAACGTATGACAAGGCCAAACTCAGTGCAAGGAAACGTTTCATCAAGCGAGGTGAAAACCAAATTTCTTTTGACATATAGCATGGAAGATTATCACAAAAATCAGTAAGGCACGAAACGATAAAAACTATATCCAGAGCCTTTTAACAGGAAAACATTAGTTCCATATGATTTTTCACTCTTCGTCGTCTTCTTCGGCAACCTATTTGGAAAAAAGAATTGTCAGAATCAGTTCCAATGAATAGACGAAAGCAACAGGGAATGGAGGAAGAAAAATAAGAAAGGTTAACGTACTCCTTCGTGGAAGTTCCGTCCATCAGTAGTCTTGTTTATAATGCCCGCGCGGATACACCAGTCGCCGAATCTCTCCGGCTCTTCACCATCGGTATTACGCTCCAGTGCATATCTCTTGATAAGGCCCTTCATGATCTCAAGGATCTCGTCCTCCTTGATCGATGAGCGGTACAGCTTGTTGAGACGCTGCCCATAATATCCACCACCAAGGTACATGTTATAAGCACCATAGGCTTTTCCGACGAAGGCGACCTCTGCGAGCCACGGTCGTGCACAACCATTCGGGCAACCTGTCATACGCATAACAATGCTGGCTTTAGCCAGACCCACTTCTTCAAGGGTGGATTCGAGCTTCGAAACGAGGACGGGGAGATAGCGCTCGGACTCAGCCATTGCCAAACCACAAGTGGGGAAAGCAACACAGGCGGACGAAGATAGACGCAGACCAGAGAAGTTTGTGTTGTCAAGCTTATACTTGGCCATCAGCTCCTTAATAGCGGGCAGGTCTTCATCGCGGACATTTGAAAGGATCACGTGCTGATTTCCGGTGAGTCTGAACTCGCCCTTGTTAAGTTTTGCGAGTTCTCGAAGGCCAGTCCGCATTGCGAAGTCAGGTGTATCCTCAATACGGCCATTTTCAATGAAAAAGGTGAAATGGTTCAAGCCTCGCTCGTCCTTCTGCCAGCCAAAGGTATCAACATTTGAGGCAAAAGAATAAGGCCGAATTTCGGCGAACCGTAATCCGTCAGGAAGAAGAGCTTCGACCTTGGCCTTGAAGACGTCAACCCCCATATCATCAATGGTGTACTTAAGACGAGCATGCTTGCGGTTCTTGCGATCGCCGAAGTCGCGCTGGACAAGCATGATCTTTTCGCAAACAATGTGGGCCTTGTCCGCAGGCACATAGCCAAATTCACGACCGGTTTGTGGATAAGTCTTCTTGTTATTGTGAGTGCAACCCATACCACCACCAGCAAGAACGTTGAAACCTTCCAAGTGTCCATCCGGCCCTTTAATAGCGATCAGGCCAATATCATGTGCGAAGACATCAGTGTCATTATGAGGGGGAATGGCGATGGTGATCTTGAACTTCCGAGGAAGATAAGTCGGGCCATAAAGAGGCTCATGGTCAACAACCGCGTCTCCTGCCACCAAGACCTTCTTGTCATTGTCATCCTTCAACCAGATCTCGTGATAAGCGGTTGTCGAAGGAAGAAGGTGGTCACTGATTCTCTTTGCGACGGCATGGGCTTCACGATGGTAAGCTGACAATTCCGGAAGGGAACTGCACATAACGTTACGGTTGACATCACCACAGGCGGCAATAGTAGTCATGAGTGCCTTGTTGATGGCACGCATAGCAGACCGAAGGTTGCGCTTGATAACGCCATGAAATTGAAACGTTTGCCGTGTCGTCAGCTTCATCGTCTCGTTCCCATATGCACTGCTGATCTCGTCCATTTGCAACCACTGCAATGGAGTTGCCACACCACCTGGGAGCCGACAACGGATCATGAATGAGTATGCCGGTTCGAGACCCTGGGCCTTACGCTCGTCCCGGACATCACGGTCATCCTGCATGTAAGTGCCGTGGAACTTCGTCAGCTGTTGATCACTAGCGGATATAGCACCCGTGCTTTCGTCCGCAAGACCCTCAACGATAGTTCCACGCAGGTAGTTGGACTGAGCTTTGATATCCTCGTTCGTTAAAGGTGCAGGCTCCTCCGGTAAGCCCTCGACCTTATCAACTCCCAAAGCCTGCCATAGTCGTGGTTCCCACTCGGAATAACCTGTCTGAAAACCATCCGGGTCCTGGTCATCACCCAGACCAATGTCTGCAAGTTTTCGACCACCAAGGAAGGAAACCCGGACATCGAGATCCTTCGCCGGCTTGTTGTAATAAATCTTATCTTCCTTGCGTGGCCAGTAGTGGCTATCGCCAAGACCGAAAACGGAATAGTTGATGGAAGACAAGTCCAAATCACCGGAGTTCTTGACAACATCCCAGAAACTGCGACCGTTCTGGGGGAATTCTCCCTGGCCGGCGGTGCTAGTAATGAACACGACATTTTCTTCAGTTGACAAATCCTCGATGGGATAATCATCCATGGCAATAACCATGGTCTTCAGTCCTCTCGCACGACCGCGATTTCCTAGACGCTTGGCCAGACTCTGCGCGTTGCCATTGTCAGATGCAAAGAGAATGGTTAAAGGCGCTCCGAAGAGACCCTCGAGAAGTTTCTCGTAAGAGTCCTTGGCTTGACGCTTCTGTAGTGCTCGGACCTCGGTGCCATAAGATTCAGAGAGGAGAGGAGAGAACTCAGGATGACGGTTCATCAGTTGAGTAAGTCTGTTATCCCTGCGGAGGAACTCCTCCAGCTCACGCTTAATGCGCTCCGAGTCCAGAGTAAATTTAGGCTCATTCTGATCTTCCTTTGCAGGGTTCCAGCGGTACAACGGCCAGTATCCAAGGTCCACGGCTTTCTTTGTCTCTTGCAGAACGGTAAGAGCAGAGTCGTTCTCCTGGTTGTAAGGGAGATAAGCAACGATAACGGATGGACCATTGAACTGCTCTGCCTCGGCAAAGGCCTGAAGGACCTGAGTGTATGAACTGTAAACGGCAACTGATGCGACATAGGCATTTCCGAAGTTCATAGCGTACAAGCCAATGTCCTTCTTTCTCCGTGTGGGATCAGCAGCAACTCGTTCGGAGTAGGGCTGAGAGTCAATGATAAGCATGTTGACGTTCGCTCCAGATGCAAGAACATGGTGGACACCTGAATTTCCGAGATCATAAGACCAGGCGTCAGATCCAATAAGCCAACGGGACTCGTTGAAGAAAAGCTTCTTCGACTCGAGGAGTTGCTGGGACAGCGATGAAGCGTCGATGGAAAGGTGGGAGATGACATCAGGAGCTAAGTTATTCGACTTAATCGCATCCCTGGCATTCAGTGCCCATTCTGCCAGCCATTTTTTGGGGGCTTCAGTCGTGAATCCGGTAGACTTGGATGCTTCTTCGGCTTCACGTATGAGGCGTTCACGACGCTCCATCCTGGCGATCAACGAACCAAACCCAAACTCAGGGCTGGCAGCGATTGTAGGAGAAATGCCAGCATTGTCGGATCCTAGTTGGTTTGCCACATACAACTTTTCCCCGAAGAGCTGGTTCAAAATCTTCAAATAAGCGTTCTCAAGATTAGGCTGCTCTAAAGCCGTCTGAGGAGCAGAGACTTTGGTGCTTCCAACCTCGAGGTGCTGGACCGGAGATGGAACGTTCAAATTCTGGATGATACCACGGAGAGCCTGGTTGACAGTGGATTTTTCGACGTATCCCAGTCTGTATTCAACAAGTTGGAGAGGCCGACCACCAGGTGTGGAGACTGTCAAACTGGACAGGAGGTCCATGAAGGTAGGCCCCCATTTTGTGGTCTTGCGCACCTGCTCCAGCACACCAATCTTCTCGATACTTTTCGGGATCACATTTTCAATCTGGCTTCCGATCCATGGCCGGTACAGGCGGGCGGTAATAAGCCCAACTCCCTGAAAATCCTTGTTATCTGCTGCACCTGCGAGAGCGTCCGCAAAGACCTTGGTGGAGCCAAAAATGAAGATGGCTGACTTGGCATCTGCTGGTCCAGTATATTCGATCGCATGATAATTGCGACCCACCATTTTCGACAGCGTATCCCAGATCTGAGCAGTCCAGGCAAAAATGTCGGACGCATTCACCGGACGTGTGGTAGAGGTATCCACAGTTGTGGCCGATGAACTGGGGGCACGACTATCAGCGCTGCTGTCCCTCCTCGATGAACCAACGGATGAAACGTCAACGCTGACACTGGAGGCCGCTTTCGACGGCACAGATACACCAACTTGCGCACTTGGAGAACCCTCCGAAGCCTCGTCACTGACAGTAGCAACGCGACCAGAATCGGTATACACAGTCTGCGTGCCAATTCCAGTGGTATGGGAAGCGCCGGTCCTCGCCACGGCCAGCACCTCCTTCACGACATGCGCATCCTCCTGGGGGATAGGCTGATCGTTGGCCGAATTTGCAGGGTCAAAGAAATGGATAACACCCTTCCCGGACTTCCGAGCCAAAGCGTGGGCAGTGATGGCAATATCCTGTGCCTCTTGGACCGTCTCCGAGTGCAAGAATATGAAGCCACATTGTCTGATGGAGCTTATTGCGGAATAATCTGGCGAGGGCGAAGACTCGAGAGACACATGGATGACAACGGGATAATTGGCCAGTCGGTAAAGGTGAGGGACAGAAGAAAGGAGGATAGACGAGGTAGTTACAACAGACACCGTCTCGCCCTTCTGCAGCGGATAGAATGCGGATACAAGAGGATCTTCGTTGAACCGAATGGTTGTGACCTCAGAGACAGCACCGGACAAAAGATTGCCAGTCTTGCTTATTCTCAAAGCCTTCAGGTATTTAGAGAATATGGAATCCGTCTGCAGGGAGGGCTGGACAGACAGGACGAGATCGCTGACTAGGTATGCAATTCTTGCCACTAGTTGAACAAAATACACTCAGCAACAGAACACGATGAGTGGAGCAAGAAAGATGGTCTATCATCAATAGAATTTTGGGCCCTATTACTCACCTGCCTCCCCCGCAGTCGATATAGACGCCATATTGACTATTTAATTTCTGGCTGTGCCTTGCAGCCTGCAGCAAGCCTTTCCCCTCACAAGAGAGAAAGAAGCCCAAGAAGGAAAATTGAAAAAAAAAAGGAGGGAAAGAAATGGTGAGACCCTGCAGGCACTTGATATCACTGCATGCGGTTCGCAATACAATGAAGTATAAGGACCTTTAATAATAGGTCTACCACACAGGTTTCGGCAAAGCAGACAGCGGGATTCAAAAGTCAAATCCGCCTCTCTTCTGCTAGTCAATTGTCTCTTTTACAGCAGCAAGACAAGACCGCGCAGGGGAATGGGAGTAGAAATAGAAATAGAAAATTGGGATTCTTCAGACGCCCTCCGCCATCGGGATTAGAAGGCCCCCGCGCTGATTGGAGATCGATCACGACATCAATGCAAACACGATGGTGACACCATGCAAACATGCCGCATTGGGAAATACTGAGGGGAACAGTCACGGGACCGCGGGATCTGCTTTTTCTTACGGCATTCTCGGTCGAGAAAAAAAGTAATGGGAAATATGAAGAGCAAATTCAAGATAAATGGAAGCCCTGGAAACACCTAAAAGCAATCAATCCTAAAGCAATATTGACATGCCGTGTCGAGTTTATGTGCAACGCCCTGGCTCGCTCCCGAACCTCCCGAATTATCCCATTCCCGTCTACCCTCAACACCTCTTGTACTGACAGTAATAGAGCCCAAGAATATAAGCTATGGAGAAGAAATGAAAGAAGTATAGGGTGCAAGACATGTTGCCATTAACAGGGCGCTGCAGGCTTCCCCAACAAGCCCACCCAACGCAAGATATGATGTGATATGGTGTGATGTGATGCTTATGTAGTTGTAGATGTATCGTCTCGGCGTATATAAGAACACAAACAAGGCTGAAAGGATAGCGACAGCAAGGACTGAAGATGCTTCGTGTGTAGAATTCACGTGATCAAAGTCTAGGGTGTCGATATGGCGTCTCCTTGCAGCCCATTGCAAAGTCTACCGGTCAGAGAATGACAGGTGACTTTACACGTTAGATGAAACTCCCAGAAGCTTCATCTAATATGGTTAGTCGAGTAGCGCCCGAAAAGCCAAGCCAAGGGTTGGCTGGAAATATCAGACCAAAGGACAACAGAGCAGAAATCTGAATGCCGGAGGTCTGAAACAACCCAGGGGCGGTCTCGGACTACCTGCTAGCCTCACTCCAGTTCTGTATCTTCACATTCCCAAGCGGGGCTTGCTCTGGAATCGGTTGCTGTTGCAAACCAACGGATTGAAAGACAGACTGAGATGGCTGGGGAGGCCCAGTTCCGGAACGGCGCCTTCTCTCCCTCTCGATAGGGCCGGAGAGATCAGTGCTGGCCCCAAGACTGCGAAACCGCCGATGAAGACTGCCGACCCAGTTCACGTTTTTCGTCTCTTCTTCGTCACCTAACCAATAACTGCGCCCGACGGTGATCATGATGCGCCCAAGCTTACCCTTCCAGCCCTGTCCATCTGGACTATATGGAGAGAACGGTTCACGATCGATATCGGCCATGCTGGCAACAGAGGTATTACGGCTATGCGTCGGAAGCTGAGTATGACGGGGCACGGAGACATACAGGCGTAGGGTCTGACGAGCAAAAGCAAGCATGACGAGAACGAAATAAACACGAACCACCCACATAAAGCAGATGAAGATGATACTCTGCAAGCTCTCGGGCTGAAGGACCACGTTGAGGCTCTCAGTGCTTCTGACAAACTTAACAGCAGTGACGATATTCGGATCGGCCGGGGCGGTGGGTGTGCGCAGCTTGGACTCGGACTTGCCATAGTTCTGCGAGATTGTCAAAAACCATGCAACAGCAAATCCAGCCGTGTAGGCGGCATTGATGACGCTATCGATCAGGTAAAGCCAAGCGAGCCCGAGGCATTGGAGCGGGGACTGTTGTCGAATATGCGGGAACAAGCACACAGCGAGACCAAGGACGAGAAGTGAGTATATATACATAGATAATTGGATCGGAGAAAGGCCATATCCGGTCAGCAGGGCGAGAAGGCCGTAGAGACCGCTGATCTTGTTGAGCAACAGCGACATGGTGATCAGAGAAGCACCCGTCTCGAGAGTCATGACATAGAGAAAGGTCTGTAGGGCGCGCAAGGATTAGCTCAACCCTTCCACCGGACACTGAAAGGAATTTCCCGCCTTTAAAGACAGGGGCAGTCTTTTCTTACCTCTGGCCGCGGAATGCGGAGGAAGCGGGTTGAGAAACCCATCCTGGCGCCGTAGAGGGTCTCGTTGGGCTTGAGGATGGGACAACTCGACGCAAGCCGGGAAAGAGAGTCGGAGAATGCGCACAGGGACATAAAGGAATGGACTGGAGTGAACGAAAGGAGTAATGCTAGAAGAAGAGAGCGCGCTGAGGTGAAGGGCTTCGGGCAGGCAGAGACAGATAGAGACGAGGTTTGCGAGGGAAGGGAGAAAAGGCTGGTTAATTACGCACTGTCAGCCTGCAGTTGGTTACAGGCGGCTCTCCGCTGGATCCGCGGCGATCCTACTAGTATGGTAGTGTCAATCAATAATAATCACTCCATTGCCGGCTGAATTTTTATTCTGCATACTCTGAAAGTGACCAGACAAATTCATGGAACTGTACCCGTTATGCCAGTCTCCTGATGGCCCAAACGTGCAATTCAGCGCTATGTGCGCTTCTCGGACGGGATCATACCAGCCACCCTGTGACTCCAGCCAGATATTATGCCTGCCGAACGGAACATGGCGTAATAATAAACTGCTGCAGCAGCATGCATAACCAATATTAACAACACAAAGCTGCATATGCTTGGCCGTTGCTCCGCAGGAAAACTGCATCATGTATGTTTTCTGGCATTGGTGCACTGTCCGACGCTTGGAAAAGCCGGCGTTCTGTGGCTCATAAGTGAATTGTTTTTTATTATTCCACCGAAAGCATATCGTACGATCGCTTTCTTTTTATTTGAAAATTCGCCTTTGGGGCCAACGAGACTTGGCAGAGGGGATTTAATGAGTCTTTTTTGTGTTAAAACACGAAGGGTTTTCATTCTGTTATCATATTCGATGCAATTCGACTGCCTAACATGAGACCTCTGGATAAACAATCGGTATATCATAAAATAGAATAGATAATGGGGAAGCGATAAAGGAATACGCAGTGGGAGCCCTACAGTGGATGCATACTGGACGTGACAGGAGACAACTGGACAAATGATTCGACCAGAAACATATAGGATACTGCGGTAGATGCAGGATATCTGTTTGGAAACCATATGAAGTATTAATCTAGGTCGACGCTACTAATGCGAAAAAAGAAATTCAAAAACGGGAAATGAAATATACAGCTGAAGAAGTATAAGAAAAAGAATAGGGAATCACTTCGACACCTCCCCTGTCCCCGGTTCTGCGATCAGGGAACGCGAAGAAAAGAAATATAAAAGGGAAGTCATACATAGACCTGGTAGCTCTCAACAGGCACATCCGTCGTTGGTCGTCGTTTCCTTGGGAGTTATATGGTCAACATCAATCACTGTGGAAATGAGACAAAAAAAAAAGACGTTAGCCAGTGTCTATAATGCATCAGGAATGAGAAAGGACGAACTTGTATTATCTCCCCGGTTAGCGTCACCCTCCATCCCAGGCAGCGCCTGCGCTATCCTTCTGAACAGTTGCTTGACATTATGGCCAACTTTGGCGCTAGTCTCGATGAACATCAGCCCGTTTTTCTTCGCTTCTTCTTCGCCTTGTGCTGTCGTAACTTCGCGCTTATCATTCAGATCGGTTTTGTTGCCAACTAGAACAATGATCACATCGTTGCCACGTTCTCCTCGCACATCATCGATCCATTTCCGGGTGTTCTGAAATGACTTGGCGTTTGAAATATCATAGACCACTACGGCAACACTCGAGTCTCGAATATAGGATGGAATGAGAGATCGGAATCGCTCCTGGCCAGCTGTATCCCAAAGTTGGAGTCGGACCGTTCTGTCTTCAAGATACATGGTCTGGATAAAGATAAGTCAGAAGTCGCCAGTAACGCAGTGAAGAAATGGGAATGCTAGTATATGGTATACGGTACCTTAGAAAGGAAGTCGATTCCGATTGTGGCCTGGTACGTGTTATCGAACGAGTCATACATGAACCGTGTAATCAAAGATGTCTTCCCAACTGCGCGAATTAGACCATCAGAGATAATTCAATAAGGAATCATCCACTTGAAAAAAGATCATGATGAAACAGGTAGGCGTCCTTACCACTCTGCTCCCCTAGGAAAACCAGTCTTTGAATGTTGTCAGTAATTGCTTCATCAGACAGCAGAATCCCGTGCCATATAATTGACATACTTGAACTTTTTTAGAGGGTTCGAATACGACCCTACTCCCGAAGCGGCCATGGTGATGGATGTGGTGGTGACTGGATAAGGGGTAGTAGCAAGGAGCAGTGGATATCGACGTTTCCGTTCTGTGTGAAGTTGCTAAGAAGACAGCCACATAGGAAGACGAGCAGGACTGTCAGAAGCGGTGGAGGAAAGGATTAATTGGGCTCTGTGCCAGACCACTAGATGCAAGCTGTTCAACCGTCACTCCGAGCATGAACCAGCTCTATCCATGGGTCGCTTTGGAGATGATTATTTATCGCCGTGTTGCACCTCGACGTACTCACCGCCCGCGTATTGTTCCTCTCTGCTTCACATACCATACCGTACCATACTGTATGTATAATATCGGAACAACGATCGGCCCGCAGGCCCGATGAAGCTGTCCGACTTACTTGGCTGCAGTTGCTCGTGAGCTCGCATTATTATTGTTGAAGGGCTTGGAGCTACCACGCAGTCCCAGCAGATTCCCTCTTCTTTCCGGAGTGGCTTAGTGGCCAGGCCTTTGTGATCAAGTCTACGGTTTTCTGAAAGACCGGAGCCAACTATGGGTCTCGCCTATCCAGCTGGTGTCGCAACCGCGTCCTTCCTCGTCGTTGGATCCTGTGAGCACACCTAATAACCAGCAGAGATTGGAGGGGTTTATCTGAGCTGACTCTTTTTGCCTTATAGACTTGCTCTTTCATGGGGAAGGCGAGGTTTTCAATGTATGGTGTCTCTACAACCCCTCCGGTTGGTTCACGCTAACGCATGCTAGGTCGGCCAATTCCTCGAATCTGTATCGCCCTACGCGTGGGCAAATATCGGCATTGCATTGTGCATAGGTTTATCTGTCGCTGGAGCAGCATGGTATGATGGCTGGATGCACCTATAATCCGCTTACGGCTTCACTGACATCATAATCTGCATAGGGGGATTTTCCTCACGGGCTCTTCGATTGTCGGTGGAGGTGTCAAGGCACCGCGCATACGAACCAAGAACCTCATTTCAATTATCTTCTGTGAAGTCGTGGCAATTTACGGTGTAATCATGGCGATTGTCTTTTCAGCCAAACTCAATTATGTGGACAGCGATGCAATCTTCTCTAGCAGCAGTTACTATACCGGATATGCGCTCTTCTGGGGCGGTATTACTGTCGGCGTGTGCAACCTGATCTGTGGTATTTCCGTGGGTATTAACGGAAGTGGTGCTGCCTTGGCCGATGCTGCCGATCCCACCCTGTTCGTTCCCTCTCAGAATCCTGTGGTCGATGAAGGACTGGAAACTAACCGTTTGGCGAACAGGTTCGTGAAAATGCTCGTTGTTGAGATTTTCAGCTCTGTTTTGGGTCTCTTTGGTCTTATTATCGGGCTCTTGGTGTCGGGGAAAGCACTCGATTTCGGAGCCGAGTAATGGACTCTTGTCTCAAGAAGGCTCGGCCTTCTGGCTAAGAGCAACATTGCAGAGCAATATACGTATGGCTTCTACTTTATTTGTCACCTTTTGAGCTTCTTTTATATAAAGCATTGCGGCGTACGGTTCCTATTAGCTATGAGTGTAGAGCTTTTCTCGGCTTGCGTGACGTGCATTTGATGATGTCTTGGGATGTATAGTGTCGCAGGAAATAGCAATGGAAAACAGTATATTCTGAACAGTAATATATGGATCACATCAACGAAGATGCCATTATAAAGTGTTTTCACGGTAGGATAGGTGGTGGCTGACTGCGTGGAGACAGCTTCCAACCTGTTTCTTTATATACACTTGTTTCTCCGAGTCTAATCCCACAGAACAACATCACCCCTCACCAACTCTCCAGAGACCAGAATTCAACATGGCAGACACGAAGCTCAGAACGGCAATCCTCGTAGTATCAGATACTGCATCTCAGAACCCCTCATCCGACAGGGTAGCTGATGCTCTTACTTCCACTTTTACAGCCCAAGCATCAGGTGTCTGGGAGTCCCCGGTCGTCAAGATCGTGCCTGATAAAGTGCTCGACATCCAACGAGCCATCTGTGACTGGGCTGATGGCCCAGATTTCATCAATCTCATTCTGACATCCGGCGGAACCGGGTTCGCTGTCAAGGATAATACTCCTGAGGTTGGTTGAACTGACGTTGTTCTGTATTTCGACGCCGTGGTAGCTCTGTTGCTGGAACCAACGGGACGTAACGCTTTCATAATACCTCATCCCGCAGTTCCTGACATGACTATATATTATTTGCTTGATATCTGTTTCTGGACTAACTTCCTTATTTTCCCAGGCCGTATCCCCTCTCATCCATCGCCATGCACCAGGACTTATGTGAGTTTGATATCGAAAAAAAAATCAATACGAACTAACGCTGTATCCAGACACGGCATGCTTGCTGCCTCTTTAGCTGTTACACCATGTGAGATAGACTTTCGCTGATAGTCTGTCTGGTCTTCGTCCACAAATGTGACTGACAACTCAATTCTTGAACAGTCGCGGTGATGTCTCGACCTGTTGCAGGAGTTCGGAATAAGTCGCTAATCCTGACACTGCCGGGATCACCAAAGGGAGCTAAAGAAAACCTCGAAGCGTTAATCAGACTTCTCCCGCATGCTTGCATTCAAGCACAAGGAGCCAACTCAAGAGCCCTGCATGCTGGAGGCATGAAGAAACTGGAAGCCGAGGCCGGTGTACAGTCTCAGCCAATGCTGCAGCAACAGGGACATCATCACCATCACCACGGCCACTCCCATGGTCATGGACACGGACATGGACACGCGGCGTCAAAACCACATACATCTCCGGCAGATAGGCCGCAATCTAACGATCCCAATGCAGGACCGAACCGACGATATCGTTCATCTCCGTACCCCATGCTCTCCGTAGACGAGGCACTAAAGCTGATCAGCGAGCACACGCCGGAGCCAACAGTGGTCGAAGCTCCAGTAGACGCTGCCTTGGTAGGTTCTGTCGTTGCCGAAGACGTCTACGCCAAAGAATCCGTGCCAGCGTACCGGGCCAGTACCGTCGACGGGTATGCCGTGATTGCACCAGAATCGCCAGGCGCGGGACCAAGTACCCTGGGTGTCTTCCCCGTAGCCTCTGTTACTCACGCCAACATTGGAGGCACATTGAAGCCTCTTGAACCGGGGACTATTGCCAGGATCACCACTGGAGCACCCTTACCCCCCAACGCCAACGCGGTAGCGATGGTCGAAGACACCGTCCTCATCTCCTCAACCCCAGACGGCAAGGAGGAAGCAGCGGTAGAGATCTTAACTGGCGAAATCAAACCGGGAGAGAACATCCGCGAACCCGGCAGCGACATCGCCCTTGGATCGAAAATCCTCCAAAAGGGCGACCTGATCACATCTGTGGGCGGCGAAATAGGTCTCCTGGCAGCCACGGGCACGAAGACGGTGAAAGTGTTCAAGAAACCCTGCGTAGGCGTTCTAAGCACAGGCGATGAACTCGTCCAACATGATGACCCACGAACCATCCAGGGCGGCCAAATCCGCGACTCCAACCGCCCATCTCTCATCTCCTGCCTAGCAGCCTGGGGCTTCCCGACCGTCGACCTCGGAATCGCCCGCGATACGCCCACCGGCGAACTCGAACAAATCCTCCGCGATGCCCTCCGCGGCGTGCGCGTGCGAAAATCAGGATCAGGAAATGACGAACTTGCCTCGAGCATTGACATCATAATCACAACAGGCGGCGTCTCAATGGGAGAACTCGACCTCCTCAAACCAACCATCGAACGCTCCCTAGGCGGCACAATCCATTTCGGTCGCGTCTCTATGAAACCAGGTAAACCTACAACCTTCGCCACAATTCCTTTCAAGGACCAGGAGCGCGGGAAGAACAAACTCATCTTCGCTCTCCCGGGTAACCCTGCTTCGGCACTGGTGACACTGAACCTATTTGTGCTTCCATCGCTGCATAAACTAGTAGGACTGGGTCAGGCTAGTGGTACGAATACGAAAAACACCCATATCTGTCCTACTGCTCCTCTAGCTCCAGGCTTGCCACGCGTCTCGGTCCTCTTATCCCATTCCATCCCACTTGATCCTGTCCGCACCGAATATCATCGTGCTATTGTCACCGCTTCCCGTTCTGACGGGAGGTTGTATGCTTCTAGTACGGGGCTGGGAGGTGTGGGACAGCGAAGCTCCAGGGTTGGGAGTCTTGCTAGTGCGAATGCTCTTTTAGTTCTTCCTCCTGGTGCTGGGGAGGTTGGGAAGGGGGCATTGGTGGAGGCTTTGTTGATGGGGAGTATTCTTTCCGGGGAGTGATGGAATTGCACTTGGTCCTTGGAAATAATAAATTATTTTGATCCACAGGGGATAATATACTATTATCAATATATATAGAAATCTGCAAGAAAAAACGAACGTGGAAATACTGGGCATCAAGACAACCAATGCAAACATATGAGGCCCCGAAAGCTCTCTTTACTATTACTATTATGCACCGTAATATACTCTACGTAGATATCTTCAACTCACTAACGCTTCCATCCCTTCTTCTTCTCCGCACGGAGAGCCAACAGCGTCCCATCTTTCCCCTGTTTCCTCGCAATCTCTATGACAAAGAACCTCACAAAATCAGGCAGGATCCAATAGCTGCTATGAGCGTTCAACATGTTGAGATACTGAATGTTAAGGGGCCCACTCCCACCGGATAGGAAATAATCGACCTGGCCGTTGTCGTTAAGAAGGAGCATGCGCTTCTCTGCGATCTCTTCACGGGTGAAGTCGTGAGTCTCCAACTCCACGTTGGAAGGGAGTTTCGCAACGGCTATGCGGTGGGTGGACGATGGTTCGTAGGCAGAGGGGATGTTCCAGCGGAAGACATTGCCGAAGGAACTCCAGATGGAAGCGGAGGAACTTGGAATGGCAGCCATTTTGAGAGAATCGGCTAGATCACTGTCCACTGCAGCATTCACACGGTATGCAATTGCTATGTTATTCCAGGTCAGCGATGAGTGTTATATAGTTTGATTGTTTGATGAGAGACTCGCTTACGGTCAGTTGTATGCATGATGTTGTACAGGTTGTGCACGGCCAAGCAACCATAGGTGCCTGCTTCGCCTGCAAGTCCTCGAGGCCGCTCATCACTGTCACTATCTGGTTTGTTTATGCCCCTTCGCGGAATTAGGTTTGCTGTTCGTACGATCACGACCATTAGAGTCAAGCAACTTCTAAAGATATCTATGTTAGGGGAAGCCAAACCTTTATTGAGAAGTAGGAAGAAACCTGCTGGGCTTCCGCAAAGAAATAAATTCTTAGTGTCAAATTCGAAAATATCTCCATGAACCTCGACATTCGAGAAATCGAAGCGGGGGACCTTAGTAGGCTGGTTGCTCAGAATATCCAATGCCATCACACTCCCAAGAGAGTGAGCAATAATATGTACGTTGCCGTGCTCTTGGAAGCCCGGATTGTTTTGACACCAGAGCCGGTAAACGCGATTTGCTTCCTTGGTGACCGCCCGTATCATTTTGGGCTTGTGGTGCGACAAATAATAGGGTATGTCAAGCATGACGTCGCTGATTAAAGTCCTCACAGCAGGGATTGTCTCTGGAGTGATATCCTTCAGAGTGAAATGGTTGGTGGTAGGGTCCTCGTCCGACGGAGATTCTAGGGTTGAGTCCTCGAGGGATAGTGTTGACCTCCAATTGACCGGCAGAACCATAATGCCTCCGTGGTCCTGATGGACATGGGTCCAAACAGGTTCATTGTTGAGTTCCATATTGACGGTTCTGCGAAGAGCGTTGATTGCGTGGGTGAAATGGAAGCTTTCCATGCGCTCAGATAACTTTTGTCCTATACCATGTATGACCAACACCAGGTCAGTGGGATTTGGTCTTGACGCCTCGATTGCACAAGCATAACATATCTCTCCCCTGGCGGCTGCAGGAATGTCCCGGGTTTGAGTGCGTCTCAGATAATGCCTCACGTCTATGGGGCTGGGGTTCGATGGATGGAGCCGATCCCACAGTTTTCGACTAAAACCACGAACAACAGGGATACCGATTTGCCTCCCCTTGCGTATTGCACTGAGTGGTCTTCTTCCCCTCGATACAGAAGGAAGAAGGCTAGGTCGGAGAATCTGAGCATTTTGTGCATCGACATATATTGCACTTGAGTTTAAGAAGGGCTTCACGGCCGCAATTGAACCACCAGCTGCCTTGTTCTCTTCAGGCATCTGCGAATCAGTGCCAATATTGGAAACGGGTTTATGAGATCGAGGGGAAGCTTTCTGATCTTGCGACGTCGTAGGCCTGCTGACGGATTTTGGATCTTCTTTCGGCCAAAGCCTATGTACAATCTTCAGTTCAGCGTCTGCACCATTTTCAACACAGCTGTTCAACTCGTCTTGCCAGGTTTCCGTCCACGGCTTAAAGTAAAGATATCCCCCCTCAAGCTTATTGGCAAGTTCAGGTTCTACTGGCAGCATGGTATTCTTGTAAAACCATGTAGCTCGAAGGACACTGCATACATCTTGAAGAGGGTTCCAGTAAATGGGCTTCATCTAGTGGGAAGTCAGCGTCGGCTGGGGTACTATATGATGAAGAAAAGAAACATCAAAATGCCTCTGACCTTCAGCTTTGGCAATTCAACCAGATGGAGACGAGACGCGCCCACTGGAATTAGAGTCTGGTCTTCATTATCTTCCACGCTGACAGGTAAACTATCTGTAGACTCTTCGGGCTGGGCTAAGTTGGCTCCCAAACTCGAACATTTAGGAACGGGATGACCACCACCAGCATCTCGAGACTCTGGCCGCAGCTCCTGACCAACATCCATTGACAGATCAGATGCCATCGAGAGTCGCGATGGGCTGTGAAACTGATCTACTGGTGCCCTGATAAATGGAGAACCACTGATGCTTACGCCACGAGACCGATTGTCACGTACACTCACGCTTTCTGCCGCTTCTAAGGCTGTACATCCAGCCTCTGAAGGTGGACTTGCTATTCGTTTTGTACTCCCTGAACTGAGATCCACAGGTGATCCTTCTCTCTTGCGGTGTCCAAGGATCCTCCCCTGATCGATCTCCTGAATCGCCATAGGCCCGCTTCCATGCCTATCTTCGGTCACGGGAATAAGTCCACGAGTACTAGGTCTTCGAGACAAGCTCGCCAGGCGAGCTTGCCGTATTGCTTGCCAAGCCTCCTCAAGGGCCGCATTATCTTTAGCCGAAAAGGGTTGAGGGGGAATCTTCTCATTCTCGAACCTTGACCCGCTCGGAGGAGGAATAGGACTCAATGGGTCGTCTATTGATAATGAAGAAGCATAGAAAAATTGTGCACGAAGCCTGGGCGGCGTGGGCGAGGATTGTAAGGCGGAAAGATCTAGCTCACCGTCGGAGAGGAGGCACGTCGGGCCGTACGTGTGGATCGGGCCGGTCATTTCCAGGAACTTCAGACACTCTTGGATTATCGTTTGAAAGGGGCTAAATCAAGAGGAGCACAGCTAGGTCCCTGCAAGAGAGGCAGACCTAGATGAGGCGGATAAAAGCTGTCATGTCATCGTTAGGGAATCGACGATTGCCTCTAGGCAGACGCGGGAATGGAAACGCGTCGCAGGATAGTAAACAGGGGGTTGCAGATAGCAGCTCCGTTGGTAGCAACAGGGATTATGTTTAGAGCATGGATATCAAATATCTCTCCTGAGTCATGCTGCAGGATAGGGAGGAAAAGACAATGCAGCTCGCCGGCAACGGTGGTTTCTGGCAGTCGAGGTTGTTCCTTGCTGCTTCCCCATGATTCTAGACCTATGACGTCTTGCCACGTGATACGATAAGATATCTATGAATAGCTTCAACGATGAAAATACTTGTCTGGCAATTAAAACAATAATAATAATAATAATGAGAATACATGGGTAGAGAAGTGAAATGAGAAATACAGATTCCCGAAGACCTGCGAACCAAAATGACAGAGGTATCATGCTGTTGTACAGAATCCTGAAAACGCCTTTGGACATCAAACATGGCAATATACCTTATGTTTATGATTTTTTTTTGTTTACATTGAGGTAGTCAACATCGGCAACCGCTGCCGCCTGAAACTAGATGTGCTTCCATTGCTCTCTGAACGAAGGGCTCTTAGTCTGTTGTCCTTCATCAGCGCCAGTGTCCGCATTTGAAGGTCCTGAAAAGCAATAAAGGTGTCCAGTGGGGCACCGAGCATGTCTAGTATTTTTTGAATATCATGTAGGTGTTTGCGAATGACACTATCAGGAGAACAGAAAGTGCGTACGCTCATCTCCTTGACGATGGCTTTCCAGTTTTGTAGATTCGAGTTGAGCAGGATTGGGTTTGTCGAGCACTCTCCATTGAATCGCAATGTGCGGATGTTGTACAGAATGAGCTGTCGCTGGGTGTCTTGATCGAATTGAAACTCGACGACCTGTGGTCGGTTCTTGGAGCCCCAGAAGTTGGTGACTTTTTTGATGGATTCAACAGATAGGTTTCCTTGGTAGTGTTGCTGAACGAGGAACTTGTTGGCGCTGACGCAGATCATGACCTCCATATCAGAGTATAGTTTTGCCTGAGTGACAGGATCTAATGAGATAGGGATGGTTGACTTCTGAACGATCCTTGGACGACGAGCTTCTTGGTTTAACTGAACTGGGTAGGCCCTCGCAACATCATTCGCCTGGGATAAGAAGAAGTCAGATAATAGTCCAGAAGGATGGAAAGATAACCTTGGAATACTTACAAGATCTTCGACGTGCTTCTTGACCTTCTTCCCCAGATCCTTCAAAACTTTCGTCTTGTTCTTGCCGGAACGTACATCGGTGTCAGGTCTGCATCCCAGCCAGCCGTCTTCTCCAAAGAGCTTTTTGTGAGAAGGCCTTATACCGCGAGGATAATAATCGTTGTATCGACTTGTGGCCAGTCCGTAATAGGAAGGTTTTGTTTCTCTGGCCGGCTGCAATGGCTGTTTGTAGTCACTGTCAGGTCTCAGGGAGATGGATGGAAGAATGCCAGTTTTGTCGTGCACCTTGTACGGCAGACAATGTTGATGGAAATCATCACGGTGAACGCTGTAATACCTTTCCGGTGCGAGGAATCCATCCCACGACATGGTGTTATGCTCACTGGGAGCGGTGCTCGAGCTGAATGTCCACGAAGGCACACCAACGCCCGAAGCGTCAGATCGAAAAGAGGAAGCGCTTGAAGAAGCAATCAGAGAAGAAGCCGGACTCGCTGTCACTGGAGAGTTGTCCCAGAAATCCCTCAGCTCGTCATAGAAGGGGTTAAGCTTGGCGACGTCCTCGAAGGTGAGGTTCCTACTTATGGACGTTAGTCCTCCCCAATGGAAGACAAAGGAACGAAGAACAAGAAGCAACTTACTCTGGACTGAGCATGATTGGGACTTCGAACGAGTGTTCAGCCATTTTCTCGAATCCTGACTGGCAAACCTCGACTCGAGATACCTTGATGTTGTAGGGCGAGCAAAGGTAGATGCTGAAGGAAGATGACGATAGAACTTCGAGGAGACGCTGATGCGCAACGAAGAAAGGATACGATAAAGAGTAGATGCCTGATTCTAGAGGAAAGGAGATTGGAGGAAGGAGAGAAAGAAGGAAGGGGTCAAAGGAAAGCTTTATATCTTCATCGGGTCTGTATTAGGGCCTATTGTTCTCGACTGATGAGAATGCGAAATTTCTTCTCCCTATTCAGCACAATAGTCATGTCTGCAGGAGACCTTTCGAAATGCATTGTCTCCATGAATCCTATAGAGACTGTGGAGACCATTGTATTTAGGCTATTCAAGGAGTGGAGGCAACAGGTGACTTGAATTGTCTCGACAATGGCATTATTCTTCGCCAAACATCCTCTGCAGAACGTGGGTATACAGGAACCGATTGATGCAGAACAGTGAATATCCCCCTGCATTTAGCGTAATTGATGACCTAGTTTTACATTGTCGAGTGCTGGTTGATTGTCTTGCTGGGCGGAATCTGGCACAGTTTTCGCAGCTCAGCAAGACTCGACTCAAAGGCCGTTCAGCAGTTGTACGTAGGGACATATGGTTTGGAAGAGGAGAGAACAAGCTGATGTCTTCGATAATAAGCTGAATACTCAGCATCGAGAAAGGCCTTCGTTATCTTCGACCAGTTAGTAACCATACAGAAACAGCTGGGTAGTATACGTGGATATCTGCTTGACTTGTCCTCAGAGGAAGTCATCCCCAAAGCCAAGGAACCATATTTTGGCATCTTTTCATAGATCACTGGACGAAATGTTGCCTTTGAATTGGTGGCTCTGACTTCGTTTTATGCTTTCCAGGATACAGTGGCTATATAGTCCGTAGAAAGCAGGCTTTATTTTGAGTTTCCAGTTAAAGTGTCTCAACATGTGCCAATTTTGTATTCCAATAACTCCAAATATCTATTCGCAGATAGTGAAAGAGAAACACAGAGTCGTCAGTATATGCAGAGGAATTGAGGGACTGAAGAACAAGAACATCTAGTATCGAATCTAGATAGGCGGAAGGCAATATTGCTCCGAAGCACGATCCACCCCGCACCAAAGAAACGTTCGAGTGTTCTTTCTCCTAGTATATACTTCGAGTCCTGGGCTACCTGATAGCAAATCTTTCCCAAAGATAGTATCAAAATGCTTTCTCTCCTTCTCTCTGCAGAGCTCAACGGGTGAGTTTTCGTCCAAGGTCCTCAGCCTACCATGCTCTACATATTTTTACTTCCTTTCCCCGCATACCGTCCGGCGCGTCAATCAGCTAATCGATGTTCATCCAGAGTCACCAATCTCCAACCTAAAGATACAGAGGAAAATCCATATTACTATACCTTCAAGGTGCAATGCACGTCTTGTCGCGAGACGCACCCGAACTGGGTCAGCTTTAACCGCTTTGTAAGTATTACTTAGCTGGTCTGCTGGGACTTGTTTCTAGTCATGAACATCATGTGCACAATATCTATACCATTGAGAATGATCATAATCGGGAATCTACCTAGATTAGTCCATGCTAATTGTCTGATATACAGGAGCAGCATGAAGTCCCAGGAAGCCGCGGCGAGGCGAATTTTGTGTGGAAATGCAGACTCTGCGGGGTTTGTTTATTTCTTTTCCTCTTCTTTATTTCAGTGAGCTAATGGATTTCGACCAGAGAACGCACTCTGCATCTATAGTGGCAGGTCCGAATTCCTATGACCCCGAGAAAGACGATAAGCGGAAAGGGCTGAAGGTGATTGATATTGACTGCCGCGGACTTGAGTTTACGGAGTTTAAACCTGAAGTAGGCTTTCCCCCTCTTTCTTTTTATTTAGCTACCTAAGCTAATTGAACGAAGGGCGAATGGGAGGCCAAAGGCGTCGAATCCTCGACACCATTTACGAGCATTGACTTGTCCGAAGGGGAATGGTATGATTATGACGAGAAGGCTAGTGAGGAGGTCAGCATCAATGAGCTTAAGTGGGAAATAGGGAGGGCCTGAGGCATTCATTCGGTTCTTCTGTGCTGTTCTTCTGTACGAATAGTTCTTGTTTATGAAGTTTTATGAGGCGTCTGTAGGAGGTTGGAGCAGCTAGTACCAAAATTGATGAAAAAATATATTATCACGATCCTTGTAACATTGTAAAAGCATCTAAACAAAACTTCCATGAATCGTTCCTGAGCGGTGGTGGAGCTTGAGCGCATTTTCACAGTGAAAGCCTTGCTGTCAAGCAAGAGGCAGTAATCAACAGTAGGTAAATCCGGAAAGATATCCAATAAATTGGTCAGTAAGCTAGATGTGTCTAGAGTCACCTAATTGAAGCTATTTGTACGGAGTACACCCTCTACCTATGCCTAGAACCCCTATTTTGATGCTTGTGTGTTGATCTCTTCTGCAGATCATGTGATGACTGAATACTGGTTCAGCTCCTTCCAAATTAGGTTTAGCTCTTCTCAGTATATGGATGTTAGTTTGCCTGAGGCCTTCATAGCTACATCAACCAACTCAGCGAGTTCGACCCCCATCAACATGCCAACATGGTATGCTCCTAAATAAAGCTCACAAATAACAAGGGATAGCTGTCCTTACTGGCGAAGGCTTCAGGAAGCACGTATAATTTCTCTGCGCGAGATGCCTATGTCTGCTTAACTACTCCGTATATGTACCAGTAATTACTTCCGTGCAAGATATTCATGTTGGACAGTCGCCGTATCCAATGATCTGGTTCTATGCAGCGTGCTACTACGTTTTAAAGAATAGATACGAGCTCTCCAAGAAGCCTGCCTCGGAAGATTGAAGAAGAGGACGTGTTCCAGGTACCAGAATCCTCGGTATGTCTCTGGAATTTTCGCAAAAGGGAAAGGTAAAGGTTATTAGCGACACGGCCGTCTTTTCAATGGAGACTTGGTAATTCATATTGGGAAATTTGCATGCGTTGAAGTTAGCTTCGGGCTGAGGCAATGACAGTCCTTTATATATTGAGTAAAGAGTAAAGAAGTAATGCCTAAGCATTATAACATTGAGATTTCGAGTATAGTAAGCGTCAACAAGTCCCTATTTGTCTTCCATCCTGCATGTAGCATCCAAATCTGTTACATATTGTCATGTAATGAAGGCCAATACACCAGCCACTCGGTAAGGTTTGCATCTAAGCACATAAAAGGCGATAGGCATTAAGATGCGGTGCTGCTGTGTGATGTAGGTTGCATCAGCAATGCTTCGAGATGGCTAGTTTTCATAGAGCAGGAACAGTATGGGTCATCTGAAAGACCTTCTCTGACTCTGCAAAAAGCATTATGTTTCGGTTTTGCAGTGGACACGCACACTGAGAGTTAGGTGTTGATCAAGTGACTGAAGCAAACACTATATTTGGTAAAGTCAGTAGTAAGGCGCTTGACGTACTCTACTCAAGTCAAACTGCCTGAGAGTGAACTCCATGCTGTTGCAGTGACAAAGCTAAGACGCCTGGGACTGCTGGCTGGCAGCTGCCTGTATACAAACAAATAGGTGCCCCTGCATGCTCAGTCTGATCCTGACATAGCAACCTACCTGAAGCAAGATGAAATATTTCTCTTGCCTGTTCCAACTGAGCACTACTCATGCTCATATAGTGATTATTTAGCCTTGGTTGAAGAGTAGAATGGGGCTGTAGTTCGAGGCGACCCTTCCAATAACCCGAGCAGGCGTGGTTGTGGCATACATTTTCATACAGATAAACTATTTTCCAGATCACGTGGCTACCAAATACTGCGCTTGGCGTCTTCCAACTTGGACCAGCGCGACACGAGACAGCAACAATCTTATTAAAAGGAGCTCGGCATAGCTGATCGAATTGTTTGTCTCAATTTACTTCAACCGGTACCGCGTTTCTTTAAAGGAGAAATCTTTGCGAGACGCGACCTTTATACCAAAAAGCCACTTCAGCATGAGTGTTCGTGATCCTACCACTCCCTTCATCTTCGCAATCTGCTCTTTGTACCACTCGAGATTCAATGGGAGCATGCTAACTATTGCTTTGCAGTTCCAACCAGTAAACCCGAGGCCTTTCTTGCAAGCCAGGTATGCGACAGTTATTCCCCGCGGTCGGCCCTTTTTGATTTTTAACCTACACCGTCTGCGAAGAGAGAGAAACATATCCGTCTCATTACTAGTCTCACAATGGCACCTGGGGATTTGCTAACTTTTTCGATAAAAACCGTGCAGAGTCGGCACCGAGCTTATTATCCGCCTTAAATGGGGCCAGACAGAGTACAAGGGCACGTTGGAGAGCATTGATTCGTACATGAATGTGCTATTGAGAGATACGGAGGAATTCATCGATGGCAAGAATACAGGGACTCTCGGTCTTGTGCTAATAAGGTACGTTTGCCATTTTATGTGGCCGTTTTAGGAGACCGTTCGAGAGGATACACTCGGAATCTGGCCTCCGACGGCACCGGTCATTCCATTTCTAGGCTGGAAGTACGCGTGCTGACTCGGTGGCTATGTAGGTGTAATAATATCCTTTGGATGGGGTCAGCGGATAGTGTTGAAATGACGGATCTGGGGCTCAAATAGAAGCGGGCTGGCCACGACGCGCGTTGCTCCGATACTATGAGAGTGGTCGGGAAAGGAAAAAGGAAGGCTTCGATCTTTGGGATTCCATGGTGGCTCTTTCACCCTTTCCCCCCTTCTTATTAATTTCTTTTTCTTTTTCATTCCGCCTCGAGGCGTTTAGGGGGGCTTTTGGGACGGTTCCAAATCAACATCGAGACAATTCTTCAGGTTGTACGGATTTGTCGGTCATATGAATTGAAATACCCGGCTTGCGCAATGGAGGAGGCGAATTCAATCTCACGGTGCTGTTGGCAGACTTTTCCAGCGGCACGGGGATAATCTAGAATCGTGTCAGGTGTCTTTGGTCCGATGACTATGGGAAAATGATTCTGCTTGTCTTTTCCCCTCCAATATCTGCTTGCAGTGAGCTTCCCTGGTAAATTGAAACCTCAATCGGATGGACGGCGTCATTTGAGGTCTCTCAGATGAAGTCAGCGTGCTGTGGCTGTGTCTGGCCAGGACCCTTAGAATAGATCGTACTCCATTCAAGCCGTCAGTGGCCTCTTTTGACATCAGCGTACGGCAAACGCAGAGATAAATAGTAACGTCAACACTGGAGATCTTGATGATCAGCTCAACAGAAATAGTAACCGCCGTCATGCACCATGACGCATGCACGGCTTTACCCACAGCCACGTTCAAGCAACTTGGTTACACTACGATAGTGTTCCCTGGGGCTCGACAACGCGTGGATAACTAAATGGGTACTCGGGACATTGGCCTGTGGCTTCTGCACCCAGCAACGTCATGCCGTTGGAACGAGCAAATCGAGTCCATATGATATCCGCAGCATTATCATTGCTGTAGTGTGTATAGCGTAAGCGCCCCCCTCCATCCCAAATCCTGTTGCGCTCCAACCCCGGAACACCCTGCACCAACCAGACAGATACAGCTATCCAGATGGTGCACATTCGGCGCCGGAGATGCTTCAACAGGCGCGTGCCCTGTCTGGTGCCACTGTTCCATGCCGCTTGGATAATTATCCCAGCCAGAGATATCAGCAGGTCCGAAGGGTCTGCGCTGACGATAAAAGTTAGTTGATGGTGGTGTTCCCCCGTTGTACCTCCCAGGACCGTTGATAGCATCCTGCAGCAGGCAGCTAACTAATCATAATCAGTGTTCGTTTGTCTTCTGAAAGTCCTTCCAGTTATACCCGTTTTATTCTTCTTTTTTCTTTTCCGGAATGCAGACATCATCCTTCACCCCCGGGCACTGGGTGTTTGCCTCCTCTCGAAGTTCGAACCCCTCTGGTGGCGCATTCTGTATCCCAAGCGGAACTTGATGTAATCTCCTCGGGCGAATGATGCGTTTCTTGTGGAAATTAACGGCTGCAGGCTGGTGTTGATCAAGGCATAATCTGTTCTTTCATTCACCCGCTTATTTGGCGCTTTCCCCCTCCTTCTGCACAAGGGATATTGTATATAGATACAAAAGGCGCTTCCTTCTCTCCTTTGTCCATTTTGTTCCGTTTTTCTTCCTTTCTTTATTATCCTGTCGTCTTTACAATATTACGTGGGTCCTTGTGCTGCTTGTTCAACAAAGCAAGTTGACTCTTTGCCTACAGCCCTCCATTTAAATACGCTTGCTATCCTAAAGCTGTTGCGTTGATTCAATATCAAGCATACTCACCGCAGTGCTATACAACTTGAAAGAAATTCCTCGAACATACACGCATCCCTACAAAATGCGCGACATGCCGTCAAGATTTATCGAAATCCTCGATGCAGAAGATTCCTCGCACCTGAGAATGTCCGCCTCAGACGTCCGCCTCGAAGACGTCCTGGCAGACCACGAAGCCACCGTCAACAGACGCCGTTCCTCAACACAATCTTCCAGCAGCAAAGTTAGCCTCAAATTTAGAACAGACCGGGATCGGGATCACGCACCCTCTCCATCCCAACGGTTGAAAAGGCTCAGCAATATCCTCCGGCGGGACGGCAAGGATGGTTGAATCCGCGCCTACTATTTCTCCTGTTGGTGGGATTAAAAGTCTACTCGATACGTCTCGTGGACCTGCCAACGACAGCATTTTATTCTGCTGAATTTTGTTTTTCCTATCCCTGTTTTCTTACCATGTTATACGTTTCCGGGTTGAAAATGTATAGTTCTCGGTTGATTATTATGTTTCGGGAGTCGAGATACTTATGGGTCGGTTCCACTTTGGAATGGGCTGATACAGGAGCAGGAGCAGATTGAATAGTTGCCTATGATTATCTATCTACCTTTAGCGTGACGTGAAACGGTTTGAGCGAAAACAGGACTTCTCATGAAACCGGGACGAATGGATGGGTTATGATTTTGCTGATACGATACCCTTGTTTCCTCTTTCTCTTTCTCTCTCTCTCTCTCTCTCTCTCTCTCTCTCTCTCTCCCCGATCCTTACTCTTTCTATTCTTCCTTGCAATTTCCCTTCTTGGTACCTATTTGCTGTATCTACTTTTCGTTCTCTCTAGTAAAGAGGGCCGTCATTATCCTGATTTGTTTAATTAATAGATTTCAATTCTTTCCTTGTTGCGAGATAGAAACATTCAAGAGGTTTAGATCGTAACAAATCACTAATGTCTAGTATCCTAGACTTCCAAAATAAAGAATATATGCTGATTTCCTTGATTTCGTGACTTGTAGCCTGTGTAGGTACGCTGTATACTCTGGCTAGAGAATCAAGATAATATTGTAGATAAGCCTTATCGATAAGAATGCTTATCTAAACAAAAATAGTGCAAGTCTTTACTTCCGCGTCGATCAATCATTGTATTCCTCTCCAGGTTCGAGAGCGTCTCAATCTTCCCTCAATGCTACCAATTCACATATGATTGACGCTAGCCGTCTGTTTTATTTTTGTATTTTCTTGTCTTGTCTTGTGTTCAGTCGGTATATCCGATTCCGCCATAACGACAAATAGAAGCAAGCAAAATGGCATGCACAACGCCAACGGTTTTCGAGCAGCAGAGGGAGGAACTTGTTAGAGAGATAGCTGTAGTATGTCTCTTTACCTGGATTACTTACCTATACGTATGCATATACATATGCATATGCGTGTGGATCTATATTTCTAATTAAAACCAGACTGAGGAAGAGCAAGCTAACACTGAAACAAACCAGGGCATGGAACAAGTTCTCCAAAACATAAATCGTTTAAACAGGAACCTGGAGAGTATTATAGCTGTACGTCTATATTTATCTCTATCTATTTTACTTGTTTTTCTTTTATTTTATTGCATTGTCTTGGTTCTTTATTTCCTGTGCCAATCATCCACGTATAATGTGGAAGCAAGGGACTTGAATACCTGCAAGGCACGAAACGAAACACAAAAGGCTCCATCCTAACATCACTGAATGCAGGTTGGGAAGGAATTCGGCTCTGTCGAGGCTCTATGGTCGCAATTCGAGAACTTCATGGTACGGCCTGATGAGGAGGGGGATTCGAAGCAAAATGGTGAGAATGAGGATGATCATGAAAATGAAAATGAGCATGAACACGAGCATGAATACGAGCACGGAGATGAGGAAGGTGATACGGAATATAACTGATATCTATTCATGTTATTCTCTATCTACTTTTATGATCAATTAATTCTTACTATTCTCGACTGAGTCTGCAAATTCATTCGGTCTCCACTTATTTACAACTAACCCATCTTACGACTTCAACAAAGCAAGGGACAATGCAACGGATCACTCTTTTGAACTCAACGTTAGGTCGCTAAGCAGCATGGCGTCGTCGCCCTGGCGCCAGTAAACACCTATCCCATGCCATGCAAGCCATCTTGACGAACAGGATATATGGGGGGGCAATGGAAAACGGGAAAAAAACTTATAACAGGGGATAAAACAAAAAAAGCAAAAAGAAAACAGAAAGCCGCCGCGATCAGACAGGTTGACATCATATAACTCAGGAACGTATGTAGAGGATAGGCATTTAGAAAGAAAAGGAAAAGGGGGAAATTCACACAGCAAAATAAAAATTAAACCATGAAAGTATCATATCAATCTCGCGTTAGCATGTCACGTCGCGTACAGAAAGAGGACAAAAAAGGGAGGCAAGGAAAGGAAACAGAACCAAACCGAGCCACACAAAACCACACCTACCTGCCGAACCAACCGTCAAAGCAACCAGGCTTATAGTTCGGCTGAGTTGTGAGAACAAGCATGAAACGAGGGAACATTAGAAAAAGGAAATTGAGGCACAAGAGACACTGGAAATAGGCCAAAGAGCAAACTGAGGAAGAACGGGTCTACAATATTTTGCAGGTACGCTTCTTGACCTTCTTCCCTCCCATCGTCGCTCGACCTCCTCTTTCCCCTGCTGAAGACGAGGAAGAGGAGGAATTTTTGTTCCCGCTACTGCCTCCACCCGCATTCGGGCGTTTGCTAGTGCTATTGCTGGCCCATCCCTGTGAATCGTCTTCAATAGAGACAGCAATGTTGACTGCGTGTGCGAATACCTCGTCCACACCACGCATCTCCTTGCTGCTGCACTCGATATAAGAAGCGCCCATGCGCTTGGCCACCGCTGCACCTTGCTCCGGTGTGACCGGGGTCAATCCTTGCGTTTTCAGGAGTTCAATGCAAGTCCGCTTATTGCGCAGATCTGATTTTAACCCAACAAGGATGATGGGCGTGGTGGGGCAGAAGTGAAGAACTTCCGGGTACCACTGTTTATGCCAGTGAGAATCTAGACGTACGCTGAGTAAGGGACGATGTACAAGACTTACCTTGTCCATTACATTCTCCAGCGATGCAGGGCAGTCGATAGCGAAACAGACAAAAAGCAGATCGGTCTCTGGGTATGATAGTGGCCGAAGTCGATCGTATTCTTCTTGACCGGCGGTATCCCACAGTGCGAGTTCGACCATCTTGCCCGATTGTCGATGGTATGTTTGGGTGATGTAGTTCTCGAAGACAGTGGGAACATATTTCTGAACTAGTGTCAGTGAGCTATCTTTGGAAAAGTCATGGGTGTACCACGACATACCTCTGGAAAGTACCCTTGCGAGTAACTGATCAACAAACACGTCTTGCCGCAGCCACCATCTCCCACGACGACAAATTTTTTCGAATACGCCGGCGGCTGGGTCACATTGGTAGCCTCTGACATTCTTCCACTAGAGATACTGGTATCCGTGCTGGCGGAGCCGTGGCTGACTCTCACGCTGTGACTGCGAGCATGGCCTCGTGGCGATGAAGAGGGATGCGTGACTGAATGGCTGCGTGACACTCCGTATATCTGGTCATCATACCGAGTCGCCATGGTTGTTGATGTTGACACAAGGAAAAGCGTGTGAAACTCGGTCGGAAAACAATCGGTTTGATAGATACCCAATGGTGCCCCAAGCGTGTGGCCGTGGTAAACCCTCGACACGTAGCCGGTACGGGATTGTCGATATCGTTAGGCAAATAAAAGTCCAAAAAAAGATAAAGGGAAATGGGGATTTGAAGTGCTTGTGTTGAGGAGAAGATGTGTGTGTGTGTGTGTGTGTGTGTGTGTGTACCGTGAGGACGTTGTGTAATGCAACTTGACGGAGAAGAGCAACGATGACGATGGAGACCAGCGCCAGGCTTAGTTCCCTGACGACGACCACGACGACTTCTCCTGCGAGTAACAGTGGCTCAAATGCTCTTGGAGCAATAGGCGTCCCAAACTGGGGAATGGAGGAAGTGGCTTGTTTACAGAGGGGAGACGCTGCCATGGCAACGGCTGGTCGGCGTCATGACGCACAGCAGATCTACGTCGGACCCTGCCCCTGACAACCATTGACCGTCCCTAAATAGACCTGTGCGCATGGGCTGATTGATTCTAGCGTGTTTAGCCTCGATGGTTTCAGCTTTCCACAATTACCCACCGCTGGATGGGTCTGCATGGCTTCGACTTGTCCAGTCTTGTCCCAACGATCGCAATAAGAACATGGTAATCCGGTCAGTATTCTCGGGCAATTGCTACCGCACAAATGGATAACGTTGAATAGCGGCCGTTGAAGGGAAAGACAACCTTACTTTGTTCGTTTTGCTGGATATCGTCGCGGCATATATACGGCGTATATATACCTTCCACAATACGTACTTCCATGGCATCGTTATAGCAACGCAACTATCTTCCGGCCCGAAGATCCAATCCCACTTGCTAGCGAGATCCATTCCAGCAGCGATTGTTGATTTGCCGATTGGGCATTGCGATCGATCTTCACGCTTTAATGTGACAGTGGCTCTCGGAGGTGCACTTCAGCTGCCCTAGACGGACCCAACAACTTTAGCGCCATGCAAGCAGCATCTAGAGCACGGAGGAACACGGAGGAGCACGGAGGATTCAGAACGGCAGGCCGCTGTTTTCGTGCTAATGGAATGATCTTGCTTCTATTCGCTTGTGGCTCCGGGCAGAGAAGGTCTGAGGGATGTTCGCCGGCAGACACGTAGTAGCAGCAGCAGCAGCACTCGATACCGCATGTTGAAGCAGAAATTATTGTCCTCAATCGACCGCGTACAAACCGCATAATTATTATTACTACTGAGTACTTCGAGGCGAAATTGTTCCCTTCACTAGTTAATTCTTGTGCAAGTTACGCGTTGACTAAGCAGCCTCGGTACTGAATGTGAACGCCTCAGGCCGCAAGGAATCAGCACCGAATTGCGTAGCATTCCTGGGATTAATTATTATGACTGCTGCTCTGCTGCCCCATTCCCCTTAAATTAAATTCCCCGTGTTTGTTCTCTTATTTTTACCCCGTCGCTCCTCTAGGCTGGCTCCGAAATCCCCGTCTCCTACGCAAAAGTCTCCTGCATCTTTTGCGTTGAAAGAAAGCTCCGGACTACCAGGCAACGGCGGTTGCAGTCGACCTCCACGGCCATGGCTAGCAGTGCGGATAAGAAGAAAAGCAACGGCGTCGAGCGGCGGGATGCGGGGCTCAGGAGTCTTGACCACTGTATGGATAACCTTCTGGAATGATTTGGTTCGCAATGTATTCTATTCAGCGATCTTGAATGCCTTCATTGCTGCTAACTCGTCATGCTTTTTCACTTGGATAGACCGCAAGACGCTCCCCCACTGGCGATATAAGCCTCGACAGATGATCCTCCCCATTGTCCGTTTCGAGACCCCGTATCTGGCCTGGTTTCAGGAGAAGGTTCGCACTCCGACCCTTGATACATATTTTGCATTTACAGCGAACCTGGGCACACATACGTTCTTCACCATCTTTATCCCGCTTCTGTTCTGGTGTGGATATGCAAGATTTGGCCATGCGTAGGTCCCGAATTGAAGCACAAAGAGAGCGGGCATGGGCTTTGACACTCATATTACAGTATTGTTCATCTCTTGGCTTCAGGGGTCTTCTTCAGCGGCTTCATGAAGGATCTGCTATGCCTCCCTCGCCCGTTGTCCCCCCCTCTCCAGCGAATCAGCATGTCCGAGTCTGCTGCTTTGGAATACGGCTTCCCTTCAACGCATTCAACCAATGCCGTTTCTGTCGCTACGTATATCCTTTTTCTGCTCCGATCGCCTGATTCCACACTGAGCGCCCGTACGACCCTCATGTTTGAGGGTTTGACGTACCTCTATGTTTGCTCCATTCTCATCGGTCGCCTGTATTGCGGCATGCACGGTTTCCTGGATGTCATTGTCGGTTCCACCATGGGAATCTTGATTACATATTTCCAATGCACGTACGGGGATGCGTATGATGATCATATCCTCTCGGGATCTGCCAAGGACGTGTTCCTGGTAGCCCTGGTCATCCTCGCTTTGGTTCGCATTCATCCTGAGCCAGCGGACGACTGTCCGTGTTTCGATGATAGCGTTGCGTTCGCAGGAGTCCTACTGGGGGAGGCCGTGGCGCACTGGCATTTTGGACAAGCGAGTTCATTCTGGGACCTTCCTTATCCAAGCACCGCTCCGTATAGAATAGAATATATGGGCTGGCCCAGGACGATCCTGCGCCTTTGCATAGGCGTTCTCATGGTCTTTGCATGGAGGGAAATCATGAAGCCGTCTCTCCTGCAGATTCTTCCTCCTATTTTCCGAGCATTAGAGAAAGCGGGCCTCGACCTGCCTAGGAGATTCTTCACCAAGGCCTCGTATGTTGCCCCTCTTCTCAAGCCATGATTATCTGATCCTGACAAAAAGTCCCCCAATAAAGAGAATACAAAAACATCCCCGCACATCTGCACGACCACGACGTCCTTCCAGATTTCTCCGAGATTCCTTCAATTCTCAGCACTATCCGCAGACGACGGGCTATATCCGTTGGCCCTCAATCTGAAGCAGATGCCTACGAGACCCTGGCATACCGTGAAAAGCGCCGACACGACAATCTTGCCGATGGGGGTACGGCACCACCCGCTGCCGAAGCGGACCACAAACACACTTTGTACAACCACTCCAAAATTGATGAATACGAGCATATGATGGGGACGGGAAGTCCCTGTCTTCCCCCAACAGGGGCGACTACGTCCGACGTTGACACAACTCCTCTCAACCAGAGAACTTCTCCCGAAAACGACGTCGAGGAATTCACGGAAGCAGAATTATTCTCTCGAATCGCAAAGCCCCGAGTACGGTACGATGTAGAAGTGGTGACCAAGTTAATTGTATACTCGGGTAGGTGACTAATATTACGTTCCTTGAATTATTTCACAATGGACGCTCGAGACCATGCTGACGTGCGATGGAACCCTAACTAGGTATTTCATTTATAGTAATAGAAGCAGCCCCGATCCTATTTTCTATGACAGGACTGAGCGTACAGAAATAGCATATCATACCCGCTTTGGGGGGCTTTGGGGGAAAGGCGATTGTGTTCAGCTGGCTGAACCGGACGAGATGACATGACCATGTAAATTCCTTTTTCATTGTGTATATACATCTTGCATTCCGTATTGTTTGACAGAGGAGATGAAGTCTCCGTCTTTTTCTCTTCTCCATTCCTTCATATGTCGGTGGTTGTTTGTCTTGATTGACAAAAGCAAAATGTAGATAGACGCGTCTTTTTGTGCTTTGTGAGACATATAATCCAAGAGGTCTTAATTCACCTTAACACAGGCAATGCCATTGATGATATAGGGGTTACCAGGTTCCATCAGCCACGGATTCAGACTGCTGCATCGTGATGCCTGAGGTACTGGTGAATAAAAAGCCAACGAAGCTCTTGAACAATAAATTGAGGAGCATAAAGACAAATGGCAAAATAAACACAAGCAAGCTGAGGATATCAGAACAATAAAAGCAACGTAATGTAAAAAGAAAGTAGCTAGGATAAAGAGATCTTCGATCCCATCCTGGAAGAATGAACATCCAGTTAACTAAACAGTGCCAACCTCTCTCACCTCGCACGCAACACCTCAAGAATCTCAGTCTCAATCGCAAGGCGTATTTCCTCATCAAGGACATCGACCAACTGGATTGAATCCGGATAATGACTATTCTTACCAGCTTTAGCTTCTGGTAAGGGGTTCGCGCCCGCTGTTTTCGTTTGCCCGGTGCTCGGATCGGAAACGATTTGATCTGCCTTTAGTGAAGGATTTGCTTCCTTATTGGAATCCGGCTCCTCGAATATTGATCCAATACACTGGATAGTGAATATGATAAGTGTAACGATTTCAACGGGAGTACCAACAGCCAGCAAGAGTCCCAGTAAGACCTTGAACATAGATGTGAAGATATCTGTCACAAAACAATCGTTATTTCTCAGACTTCTCCGAGGAAGGAGGTGATGGCGTCAAAGGAATTGAAGTCCATTTTCTGCAGCTATTGATGAAGAGTATAAATTCTCGAGATGGGATAAGTGGTAAAAGTTGTTCCAGCGAGTTGTGCCTGGTTGCCAGACCCTGTTTTGTTTGGGCTGTTTGCAGTGATGTAGTTCCAGTGTCTTACAGGAGCTGGGTGCATTTTCTTGAGGCTACATCTTACTCACCACTCACTCCGGCCTTCACCCATGCTCAGGTATCAACTGGAAAGGGCAGGCCCTGGATATATGTATGTACTATGTACTAGGGACATAGTTCAATTCATGAGGTCTTAGTTCTCTCGGAGGAAGGCCTAGTGAAGAGTGGGGTGAAGCCATATGGTGTACGCATCTATATATCCTCCACTTTTGGATTGCCTCTAGAGGAACCGTTCTTCTGATAAAAGATAGATAATAGTCCGTGTTCGGACTGCGATGCAGCTCCAGATGCCGATCTTGATAGAATTGCTGGTATATAAGTGATAGAGGAAGTAGATGCTGAAGGCGCAGAAACTACACTATCATTAATTCTTCATATCCGGCTAATAACTACTATATTTCACCAAATGTGGCGTCTGTTTGGCTACTCATCAGCCAGCTCTACAAACCAGGAGCATCCACGAGGGCTCCCGGCCTCCTGGTACCGATCCTCAAGTCTATACCAACTGGAACGACGAGCCATCTTCTCCCGGAAATGGATCCTTATCACACATCGCATCCGACTCAGTCAACCGGGAGACTTCCTATCGTTCACGTACGCAGGCTTCCCATTCTTCCTCGTCCGAGACCGTGACGGCAACATCAATGGCTTCCACAACGTCTGCCGACACCGCGCATACCCCATCGTACAGAACCGTTCAGGCACAGCCAAAGTGCTGAGCTGCAAGTACCATGGCTGGTCGTACGGACACAAGGGGAACCTCGCGAAAGCGCCGCGCTTCGAGACAGTGGAGGGCTTCGATAAGAGCCAGCACGGCCTGCTGCCCATCCACGTCCACATCGACAGGGTGGGCTTCGTGTGGGTGAATCTCCAGGCGGGCGAGCCGGATATCAAGTGGGAAGACGAGTTCAAGGGCGCAGACGAGAAGCCTATCCTCAGGGAATTCGATTTCCAGGAGGAGTTCAAGTTCGATCATGTCTGGGATATGGAGCTAGATGCTAATTGGAAGGGGTTGATTGATAATTACAACGAGTGCTATCATTGTCCGACTTCCCATCCGCTCATTGCGAGCGTGTCGGATGTTTCGCAGTATCGGGTTGAGCCGAAGAGAGGATGTCTCGAGCATACGATTATCAATAAGGATATGGAGGATAGTTCGTTTCGACGGTCTATCACCTTCTTTCCGCCTTGCACGTCTGTTACAGTCACGTACGTCTTCTTCCTCTCTCTCTCGAGACTGGTTACTAATGAAAGCACAGCGAACACTTCTTCTACATTCAACGCATGATCCCCGTCACAGCCACGACAAGCAGGATCGAAAACGAAGTCTACCGGCACAAGAACGCGACGGACGAACAATTCACGAACCTCTGCAATTTCTATAAACAGGTCCTGGAAGAAGATAAGCAGCTCTGCATCGGTGCCCAGGAGAACCTAAACTCGGGTGTCTTTGTCAATGGAGAACTCCACCCTGACAAGGAGAAGGTTAGAAGATATCCCCATTACTTCGTAATGTTTGCACCCTCCCACTGACTCTGTTTCCATTAGGGCCCTCTTCACTTCCAGGAATCAGTTAAGAGAGAGCTGATGGAGCATCGGAAGAAGGAGGAACAGAGTGGTCGGGAGATCTGGCCGGCTGCTCCCGCGGTTCGGGGAGGGCAGACGGGGACGCTGGAGGAGGAGATATTCTGCGCGAAACTCGAAGCGGAGAGTTGTTTGGGTGCTAGTAAGGAATTGGCGTGGTGAGATTGGATTGAAAGGAAAGGAATTACTGTATATGAAGTGTACATGAATGTCATGGAAATGGAATTGCGTGGAATACTATCATTGACCATGGATATGAGGTAGAATATGTATATCCCCCACCTCCGACAGGGATGATAAGAGAACTATTGGAGCTTTGGCCTATCTCTTGCAGAACTTTATCTGGATGATCCTTGACATCAAATATGACATAATGGGATCGCAGATAGTTAGTTAACATAGATAACTATCTGCATTGCGCTATAACTGACCCCTACGGTAACCTTCAGGGTCGCACAATACGCCCTAGCATGTCGTTGCCTTCGTATAATAATTCCTCGTCGAATGCACATATCCAGCAGCTCTGGTAGGCAACGCTTATACTTAGTCCTCCACCTCTTTATTTCAGCCTGCCCATTAATGTTCGCAGTATTTCAATTTATAGCTTCAAGTTCTGAGATTGATACTATGCCTCCCTTGCGAACCCTGCGTCTAGAGGCCTGCGATCGAGCTGCGCGGTCCCTAGCAGCTTTAATATACTAGTCAAGCTCAGCTTCGATAGCAGCTGAATATGATGCTAGCATACCACCACCACAAATAAGCAGCTCTAGGCCCTCATTGAATTGATCCTCGTTGATATCATGAATCCCATATCCTATCACCAATCTCCCTAAATTATTCGGCTTTTTTCATGTGTTAGATGGGAGCCGTATCCATCACATATAATAAGGGTATATTGACCCTTATTATGTCTTTTAGTATGCTGATAGAATGACTGAATTCATTGGAAGGCAATCATATCAGTTATATAGCCATTTTCTGATACTCCAATTGAATAGTCTTGCTGAATATCAGCAGCTTCAAACCAATTTGTAAGTATACAGCTACCACTCATGAGAATAAGTGGTGGTCAGGTCCAGCCATCTGCATTGACTGCTTCAACCACAGTAACATATTTGCAGGTAGAATTCATCCCAATATGAGGCTTATTAATATTGAAGTCCCTGGTAATAATCCATTAATCATGACCAACACCAATATTGAAGCCAGTCTCATCAAAATTGTAGATATCCTCCTTTAATATCCCATGGTTCTGGATGATCCAATAGAGCTTCTAAAACCACTCCTGAATAACCTCACAATCCTCTGCACGCTTGCAGTCAAGCTCTATAGCTCTAGAGCGATGTCTTTTATATTCAGGATGCCCTCCTAGCCATCAGTTTAACTATTTTTCACTGACGGTAGGTGGAGGGGTCTCTAAGCTGGTATGGGTTGATTTCAGAATAGAATTGGCACTTGATTGGATCATTTGTGCGAGTGGCTTTACATTTATTTGCTCTAGAGTATCAACATAGTAACATAGAGCCTTTTCTTGCTCTTCTGACAATCTGGTGTTGGTTGGTGGTCGTTCACATAGATTGGGCCGCCCCTTCCACCTCGCGGAGAGGGTTTTCCGTTTAACTCCATATTCGCGTGCAGTTTTGGCGATATTCGGGAGATTTTGCATGTTTAACGCGTCAATAGCTTTGAGCATTCGATCTTCATAATTTTTATTGAATTTGGGCATGGTGGTGGTGGTTGAATTATATGGTAAAGTTGATGGGTTGGAATTCTACGAAGTTCTAAAATCGGTGCTCGGGTGGTTGTCAGGGTCAGTTATATACAATGCTGATCTTTATGCAGTAATTGTTCAACTGTGCCGTGGCTCGTCTTGGCTACTATCCAGGTACTAAGCGGGTGGCAGAAGTCAATCTATCTCGTGCCGAGTATTGACCTAGCTATATTTGTGTACATGTATAACTTAGTGTAGTTAGCTTAACCATATATTCAGCTCGCAATGAACTCTCTCTACTGAATGTTATTTAGAGCTTATCAAAGTCGCATGAATGCTAACCCGGGGTCCTTGTAGATTTGCTGTAGGGATGTCGTGCAGAGACGTGTCGCTCCTGCCCATTCAACTCCAGGGATCGAATCTCAACCTCAGGTGTGGAACGACGAGTGACCGCTGCACAGACGCGTATGACTTGCACAGGGACAATGGCGGACTATACTGCAGAATCGGCTGTCACCAGGCGTTCGATCAGGAGGAGCTGCCCTGTAGATACCGTCAGTGAATTCTAAATTACTCCACAATTGAATTCATAAAATAAGTTGTTTCGAGGGAAGAACAAAAGAATATTTGACGCACCTTAAGCCACCAGGAGTGCTGGATCTCCATGAGATGAGGTTGGAATAGACAAAGGCGACGCCGGAGACGGGGCGGCAGGGAAGGCGGCGGGGCTGCTTCCGCCTGCTGGATCAGGCTAGCGGGCTGCCAAGCCTCTCTTTTTTCCCGCGCGAAGCTTCCTCCATCGCAATCAAACACATTCCATCCATCACTCTCTGTTTCCAGGGTGTTCAGACTCGCGAAATTGCGTCGCCGATGGAAACATCAGATGGACATTGACTTGCACGCTTTTTGTTGTGGTTTTTCTCCCCTTCTCTTCCCCTCCCCCCTTCACTTTTTTTTTTTTTTTTCTCTCTTCCTTTCCCACCCTTCATGTCCACGTGCGCGTCCGCTGTCTACTACGCACAACGACTCTTAACAAGCTTTTATCTTGCTCTGAATGCTCTTAAATTTATCATATCGCTTCTCTCAGCTGAATCAAGCTTCTCTTTGTCTTCTATTACGTCGACTTTGGCGTCTTCAAACATGTCGCCTTCTCAAGTCGCGCAGTCCTCCAAAGACGTCGAGATGAAAGACGCCACTCCTATGCGTCCTGCTCCAGCTCTCCAGGCCTATGATCCCATGGATATTACCCCTGTGCGCGTCGCCAATCGTGAATCTAACGCGACTTCTGCCACCCTGGCCATGGGACCTCCCATCACGTCTCCTAACCAGTTTGGACCTCTGGTCTCTGGTCTTAGGGATCTCCCACCTCTGGGCAGACCCCAGCTCCAATCCCAGCAAGCTCTCAAGAGCGATTTGACAAGCAGTCGCCTGCCAAATCGTCCTCTGCGTGAAAGAGTTCCCCTGATCTCTCAGGGCCCTGCTCAGCATAGCAGACGCACTGCCAATCCGACCGCGCTGAAGCTTGACAACCATCGTCAGACACTCAAAGCTACTGCATCCACGCATCGCCTGTCTCCTCTGCTTTCTTCTCGAGTTTTAGGCAACCGTCATGGCGGTCGCTACCTCTTGACGTCTCGTACCAATAGAGACAAGGCCTTGACTTTTGCTACCTCCAACCTCTTCGCTGGGAATAATATGTTCTTGAACAACGGCCATAAGGCCAAATCCAACGCTTACTCTTCTTTCACGTTCGCGCGTCCTCTGGGTATGCAGGGTGGCCGCGTCGGTCCCTCAAACGATAACTGGTCTGGCCCATCTACGCGTCCTATGACCTCAAAAAATAGCCTTGCTTACTTCAATGAAAATCATTCGCTTACCCAGCCCTTGCATCCATCGGGCCTGAACAATGCACCATTCTCTCTTGGCCGTAAACGACCTTTTGAAGAGGACGAGAGTGGCCCTCGCGCTGATAACTCTCGTGCTCGCAACCCGATGCTCACCTTGTGCATCGATCCACCCGAGGTGAGGAAGCGGAATAAGGAAAGGCTTTTTGGAATCAGACATAAATCTCCCGTCCTCGAGGAACCTCCTGAGAATAACTCCTCTACCGAATGGACTCCCAATGATCAACTTCGAGAAAGCATGGCCTCTGCCACTGGCGCGGCAAATGAACACATTCCTGGTGGCTCTCCATCGCTGCCGTCTGCAGGCACAGTTTCTCAACCACTCGAACATGTAACCTTCACCGAAGACGTCCTTCGCGAAGGTGAGCTGCCTCTCATGTCCGGCGCTCTCCCTCCCACTGGAACGCCTCGGGACGTTGTGCCTATCTCGCCTGATGGTACCGTCATTCCTGCCGAATACTCTATTGAAACCCAAGGTTCTCCATCTCTGAGAAGGGTAGCTGCTCAAGACACGTCGCTCATCGAAAATGCACAGCCAATGCAAATTGTACAACCGGCAGATAATACCAATTGGCTTGGCTGGTACATAGATGGCGTTGCAAAAGCATTCACTTACGCCTTTGCGTTCGCGGGTGCTGTCAAACGCCATGCCGCTAGCCTCTTTGTAAGACCCCGTCGGGCTACCCCCCTTCATCCTATCCCCACAACTCCTCGGCTCCTCGGCCCCAGATCTCAAATCTTGCACGGCTACTCTGGAGAAGACCGGCGCCGAATCGTCAGCGATCAACGACGGAGGGACCGTGGCCTCCTCGCTCCGGAGGTGACATATCCTTTCCCAGATATAACCTTCGATATTCCGCGCTTCCCCATTCAAGGAACTGCTTCGCGTCCGCCTCTGCAGCCGAGTGCTACTGAAGCACCTACTACACTACTTTCTCCACAGGAACGCTTTGCCCCGCCAGCGCGTCCTGTACGAGCTTCCAAAATTACTGAAGAATGGTTGAATGACAGGACCCCTCTGGAACACCTAGCCATTGATACTCTCCTGGCTCGCAGAGATGTCCAACGGAAGAAGACAAAGAAGAAGGAGAAGAGATCTTCAGCTAAGCGCAAAGCGGCTAAGAAGGCCACCAAGCTTTCTCTTGAGGACGAATCTCCACTGGTGCCTGACTTGGCACCTCATCTTTCCTTCTCTCCCGCATCTGTAAAGTCTAGACCAGCGAAGAAAGCCGCTGCGAAAAAAAAGTCCAAATTATTCGAGCAGCCTCCAATTGAGGAACCCACTCCTACTAGCCCGTTCAACCCTGGCGAGGCGCCGGAGTTCCCATTTGGACCCGCGGTCTCCGCTGTGCGCCTCTTCTCGGCGCCTCGACCTCTTCCACCCGGCCGTACGGAATCAGTCTATGCTCCTGAATGGCGCGAAGTCGAAGAGCGCCGAAGACAGGAGGAGAGGCCTCCTCGTGTTCGCCTCGAAGGGCGTGCTGTTCGTCCCCTCCCTGAGGGGTGGGACCGTCGACTCGCAGATGCTATGGCCCTGCCCAACGGCAGACAAGTTGCTACCTCCCTGTCCGGAGAGGCGTTGACCAGGAGGGACCTGGCCACGTGTTATGCCCAAAACACGTGGCTCAACGACGAGGTCATAAACGCATACCTGTCCCTCCTGGTCGACCACCTCCGCCGGTCGGCCGGCAATGCTGGCCGGCACGACCGGCCCCTATACCACGCATTCAGCTCATTTTTCTTCTCTAACCTCCGGGACAGGGGGTACCAACATGTCCGCCGTTGGGCACAACGGGCCAAGATTGGAGGCCCAGACCTCCTAAATGTGGATACGGTCTTCATCCCGGTCCACAACCACAACCATTGGACCCTGATGGTTGTAAAACCATCAGCTCGAACCATCGAGCATTTTGACTCTCTGGGCTCTGCCTCCCAGAGGCATATAGCCACTATTAAAGAGTGGCTCAGAAATGAGCTTGGTCCTCAGTACATTGAGGGCCAGTGGACGGTCCTCCCGTCCGCCTCACCCCAGCAGAATAATGGCTACGACTGCGGGGTCTTTCTTCTTTCAACGGCGAAAGCTGTTGCTTTGGGCATCGACCCATTGTCATATGGCGCCTCCGATGTCGCCACTCTTCGCAAGAAGATTGTGGCCGAGATCATGGACGGCGGCTTCGAGGGGGACTTCAATCCCATGGCACATTCAGAGCTACTGCTCTAAATGTCCCCCTCGGGCCGCCACTCGGCCACGAGCGAAGCGTGGCGACAGCTTTCGCCGTTGAAAGAAGGACTGGGGCGGGGGACTGTCCATGAGGGTCTGATGGTTGTGGTTGGATCGGGATACACAAATAAACAAAAAAGAATAATCTTCCTATATTTCATATTCCTTGCTCCTGGCCTCATATCATGTTTACCTTTTCTATGTCCTCATTACGGGGCCAGGAGGGAGGGGAAGCTCATGTATTCTCTTTATTTTCATGCCTGCTTCTTTCCCTCTCCCAAGCCCTCTCCTTTGTTGTCCCGTTTTTGTGGGAACCGGGAGAGGGGGCGACTGATCTATCTTTTTCTCGTTTACTCTCTTTGGGCTATATTCTCTGGTGTGCAAGACGGTTGGAGCTTTGCTCGAAGATTCACGTTTGTAGCGTTTTGTTTCTCTTTTGGACGTTGTCGAATCGAGTTTTTGTGGCCATTTGAGTCCAGCATTTGTTTGGGGTTGTGGGTTGCATCTACGATATCTGGGTTAGCGTTCTGTGTTTGGATGAGCTGAGGCGTTTGGTGTGCTATGTATGATTCTGCATGCTTGTCTTTGAAGGGAGATGAAGTGGAGTTGAGTTCCTGTTCCTGTTCCTGTTTGCATTTGGCATGGCATGCTGCTATTTTGATACCCGTCAGTCGAAGCCTTGCTCCTGACAGTTAGGTTGTTTGGAATGTACTTATGGATAATGATGTTCTCTGCTTCGTGTATTATGCCAGCAAGGTCTCATGTGTGATATTTTGCAAAGAAACGTACAGAGCAACTTTGCGCTTTTTGATACATTGCGATTTAGGAAAGTTGAATGTATTAATACTGCCATTTCCAAATTTTATGCTCGCGTTAGTGACTGATATCTTCGACGCGACAGACATTCCTACATCCTCCTTGACCCCTAGCATCAGCTCCATCCAGATCATCACTACGACGATCAACACGCGGGATATCTACAGAAGTCTTTCGAGTCGAGAGATTATACGCCATCTCAATCCACTCAACACCCATAAGCACGCTCTCCCCCTTCCGCAAATCACCCGTCCAGTTCCCCCCATCACTCCACAAATTGAGAACCACCAAACTCGGCTTAGAAGGAACACAGTACGTCTTCATATCCTGAAGCCGCCCGTCACTATACCATGCCGAGAACCCAGGGAACCAGTCGAGTCTATGCACTGCCCATGATGTCCAGGGGGTGGGAAGATCGATCACGCTGCTGGCGCCGGGAATAGGGCGGTCCGTGATGGGGTTGTAGTCTGGTTGGTTTGCGTAGTGGATTCGATGGGGAGGATCGGATGTGAGGATTTCAATGTCTGATTCGTCTGTATTGGTTGCTTTTGAGGCTGGGTTGTAGGTGAAGATGCCGGCACAGGCGCCTGGGGGGTAGTTTTTGTTTATGTCTAGGCATGGTTTGTCTTCTTCTGTTACCTGGGTCGATGATGACGGGAGACTACCAGATGATATAATGCGCATTCTAACCCTCAAACTGCAGTGATAGATATTGCGGAGTGCACTCTCCATCTCGGCGGTTGAGGAGTAATTGTCGAAACGCGTCACGCGGAGGATGAGATATGTCGAGGTCGAAGTTGAATTCGTGTTTCGAGGATGTTGAGGGTCGGTCGTGATGAAGATGTTTCGTTCCGAGTTGACCATGGGAACGGGTCTTTTTTCACGGCGCCAGACCTGGACTATCCAATCTTTTGCGAAGGGTGTTTGGGAGAGGAGTATTGTTTTTGGACTGTTTTTGTTGGTATAGTCGTCGTCGTCCTCACCAGAATCACCATCACTGTCATCACTATCGTCGTTCTCGCCATCGCTTATATATCCCCCCCTATCCTGGATATCGTCCGCATTGTCCTCGTCTTGGCCTTCGAAAGGGGTTTGGTCCTGCTCTGATGTCCGTCGAGGAATGGAAAAATTTCGAAAATCCCAGAATTGGTAGTGTTGGAAATATCCCCCGTCTGGCCCCGAGACGACATAGCAGTCGCAGAGATCTTGCTGGCGTGCTTCATCTTCATCATCGGACTTCGTATTCCTGTTGGATATTCCAGCATTTACCTTTGCAAAGGAAGTAATGCAAGAAAGGACAGCAAGACAGACGAGGAAGAAGGCAGGATGCCCCATAGCTTTTCTATCATTATTTTTCCTTGGGAAATATGTGTGGTATGAGGACTGTTTCTGTATGGAGGAATCTAGCCTCTGGTTCTATATTAGAGATGCTTAGAAGGAAACCACGATAGAATATTCCAAGGTACGGTCAGAAAAAGAATCTTCTTCCAATGCCAAAACCAACAAATTAGGCCTGGCTCGTGGTTAAAGCTAGTATAAGATCCAGTCTATCCATGCAGGCCTGTAATTGTGAGCAAATCGACCTGATCTGATCTGAACCGATGTGATGACAAACAAGCTCAATCACCACACCTGTCACGATCAAGTTGTCATCGTCCATTACGACGTCTCCGGATCGCTGTCCTGGGGCAATCCGAATCTCATACAATCTATGGTATTATTTGGTTCATCTTCTGCAATTTACATGTAGATGCTGTCATTATATCCATCACAGTATCAAGGACACTACCACCTCGTGCGGACGTAAACCCTAACTGTACTTAACCGTGATAGATACTGTATGGGAACCGTATGATTACTGTCCGTATGTGAGTCACGTGACCCGTATAAAACATAACCCTCCCCGTTGGGTTGGAGGACCTACTGAGGGGTTGATATTAGTGGCTCTAATGTTGGATCACGTGGGATTCTGCCGCATAGGTCCGCCCTCGCTGACCCTTTTCACCACGTAGGCCTATCTAGCTAGTAACCAACCAACAATACACTTCCATTAGGTTATGAGCCCGTTTCTTGCTCGGAAATATGAGCTATTTTAGGCCCGTATAAGTGGTCAATTTAAGCCCTCTGATTGGCTGAACCAAAATTCCATACCCCAGATTCCAAAAATTCCAGGATCCCAGATACGGTCCGAACCTGAGCATGTCAGGAGAACCTACTACGCCTCCCGCTACTGCTATACGACGATCACGTCGCCGAAATCTCCAAAACAGGTCCTCGAATATAGACGAGACCTCCTCATCAGTTGTCTCTGAAGAGATAGAGACCCCAACGCCTTCCGGAGCCAATCTGAGCTCTACCAATACCGCCAACATGGCTTCCACAAACGAACTTACCCCTGATCTTGCTGATATGATGCGACAAATGCTTGCTCGCCAGAATCAGATGGAACAAGATATGCGAGACCGTGAAGCTAGAATGGAGCTAAAACTGGCATCTATCATCCAGTCTAATACTCCACAAGCTTCCTTGCCTTCAAATACAACCCAAGATACTACACCAATGGATATCCAACCGCCTCTGCGTGATGCCTCAGACACAAATATCAGCAATGCTATTGCCCTTGTCCAAGCCGATGTCGATACGCTACTGCCTGACTGACGATGCCGTGTCATCTTGACACTGGATAATTACGATGCATGGAGCTCTGCCATACAAAAAGAAGCTGGTATTCTCAATGCTATTACAACTCTTCACCAGGACTCTCCTCCTGCTGGATCATCTCCACTTGATGCTGCAGTTTGGCACAGAAAAGCCATTGTCATGAGAGCCCGTATGCTCAATGCCATGACAACCCCTGCTTCCGATAAACTAGGCACCGTATATGACCTCTCTGCCCATGGTCTTTGGGACCGAGCTGCCACACTTTTTGGCAAATCCACCGGTGAAGAGCGAATGGCCCTTACCATGGAGCTCAAAGAGCTCTATATAAAGGATAACGATTATCTCACCTACCAGTCATCCTTTAATCGAATCTTTGACCGCCTACACGCTATTGGAGAAGAATCTCTTGAAAATCTCAAACATGACCTCTTCTTTATAGGTCTCCGGGACTGGAACCGCGCCTTTATCAAGAGTAAACTAGATGATGTCTACTCTACTGGCCGTGCTCCGGTTACCAACCTGGATCTTAAGGTTATCCAGACCCAATTATCTACTCGAACCGGCACTAAATTCCGTGATACTCATTCTCAAGACCGGTCAAACCAACAGAAAGAGAACTCCCAGAACCGCAGTTATTCAAAACAAGCATCTGGAACCAAATACACAATTCCTCAACGTTCCAATAACCAAGATAGATCTCGTCATACACTTATAGACTGTGATCACTGCGGAAATCGCCATGGACTTATATGCTATTTTAAACATCCTGAGAAAGCACCAGAGTATAGACGCAAGTTCTATACTACTATGGCTAATGCTCTCCGTGTTCAGCAACAATCTGAAGCAAACCCACAATCAAACCAGGATCACCCTGCTTCACAGGAACTTGTCTTGCATAAGAAACTCTCCAATGCCAAATCTGCCATTGTGAAGTCTGCAAAGACTCTCTCATTTTCCAATCAATGGTTTGTTGACAGCTGTGCCTCTTTCCATTCTACACCTGACCGTTCACTTTTTGCAACCTATAAGGCCTTGCAGAAGCATGATCTGGTGGAGACAGATTATATGGAAGGTGCTCAAGGCCATATCTCTATGCCTCAAGGCATTGGCACCGTGATTATAGATATTGGTTACGGATCTCTGATCCTAAGAGACGTCCGCCATGTTCCTTCCTTTACTTCCAACCTCATTTCAGAAGGCATGCTTGTACGACAAGGCTTTAGGCTTCAATATACACTAGATTGTGAAGTCAAGCTGATTACCACACCATCTGGAGCTGAATTCCAAGCCCAATTGTTCAAAAACAATGTTTACCTCCTTGAAGACTGTCTATCTCCTGGAGAAGAAGAAAATTCCTATGCCTTTGTCACCACCCGGTCTGGCAAAGAAGTTAACCGCCCAGAAGAGCCACCTGCAAAGGCTCCCACAATTAAGACACCAGCTGAGGCTCCTACTCCAAAAGAGACCCCGGTTCTAGGGAAGCCGCGAACTACTAAGATATCCCTACCTATCATGGCCTGGCACCGACGCCTATGCCATCTCAATCAAGCCGATCTCCTCCGCCTCGCCCGAGATCCTGAGTCTTGCATCGAAATCAAAGGCTCTAAAGAACTCCCATTTTGTGAAGTCTGTATACAGGCTAGACAGACACGCTATTATAGCAAGGTCCCTAGGTCCAGAGTTACCAAACCCCTTGCCCGAGTCCATCTAGATATCGCCGGCGGTGGACAAACTCTTGATTTTGACAACCCTAATGATGTTGTCACTGGCCGAATTGGGGCAAAATATGTCTTACTTATTACCGACGATGCCACACATTATCGATGGATCCTCTTCCTTGAGACAAAAAGTGCAGCCATTACCGCCTTCAAGAACTGGCTTCAAAATATGAAGAACCATGGCTTCACTGCTCCTGCCTACCTAGTCTCTGATAATGAATTCCGCTCCACTGAATGGATGGAAACCTACCGTCAGGAAGGCATAGAATGGCAACCAAGCTCGCCATATTCACCATGGCAAAATGCCGTTAGTGAACGTGGCATCCGGATCCTTTTTGAACGGGCCCGAGCTATGATGCTTGATGCCCCATATATACCAGAACGCTTTTGGGTAGATGCTCTCCAATATGCCACAGATCTTACAAATCGGCTCCCTACATCTACCATCTTATACAATTCCCAAATTCCTGGGGGGGTGAATATCAACAAGGACATACACCCCAGCCCTTATCGCGCTCCGTTGGCAGCGTGGACTAATTCATCCATTTCTTCACTCCCCGGATATCGCCGTTGGGGGTGTCCAGCCTGGGTCCATCGGCATGGACCAGATAAACCTGGAAATAAGCTTGATTCACGTTCTCACTGCTGTTTCCTCATTGGCCAAATTAGTAGCCATCAATATCGTGTTTGGGACCCTAAAACTGACACCGTCTTTGTCACCAATGATGTTATATTTGATGAGGATTACAAAGATCCTACAACTACCACTCCCAAAGGTCCCAGCACCCCTACCGAAGAAAACCCAACTCAATTAGTTGAAGATGAACCTCTCAATGACCAAGATATATGGCTCCGACCTGCCAAAGGCATGTCCCTAGCTTACTTTGCCACTTCAACCATTCCTTCATCAGAAGACAACACGCCTACTTCTTATAAGCAGGCCATATCCCATCCTGATGCTGCTAAATGGCAAGCTGCCATGCAAAAGGAAGTCAACCAACTCAAAGAGAAAGGCTGCTGGCAACTCATTCGCCGTTCTGACCTACCACCAGGGGCCAAAGTCATCCCTGGCCGGTGGGTATACAAAAAGAAAGAAATCCCCGGCATACCTATCTCAGAGGATTATCAGGCTAAAGCCCGCTGGGTCATTCGTGGCAATCTACTTGATAAAGACTTCATGGAATCCTACGCACCAGTGGTAAATGAAAATACTACCAGAACCCTCACGGCACTGGCCACCCTGCTTGGCTGGCATACCCGAAAAGCTGATGCCACCCTTGCTTTCCTAAATGGGAAAATGCCCACGGACAAACGTGTCTTTATGACCCAAGTTCAGGGATTCAAAGAAGGTTCTGGAGATCTTGTCTGTGAACTCCTTCAATCCCTCTATGGATTGGTCCCATCTGCCCGCATCTGGTATGATACTCTGGGTGCTTTTCTACGCCAAATCAGCTTCAAATGCTCTGAATATGACTCTGGTCTATGGATCCACACTACCCGGACCCAACTCTATGTGACCACCCATGTGGATGACTTCAAAGTCTATGCTAAACATGAAAATGATGCCATCTGGTTTATGGAGACTCTCTCCGCCAAATTTGACATAAAAGAAGTTGGAAACTCTACCAAATACCTTGGCATGACCATCTCCCAGTCTGAGACTTCATCTTCTTTATCTCAAGCCGACTACACTGAAGATGTTGTTGCCTCTTTTGGTCAAGCCCAAGCACATCCTGTTAGGATTCCAATGGATCCTAGCCTAATAATTGATGATGAACCAGACCCTACAGTCAACACCAAAGAATATCAACGTGGTGTAGGCTGCCTTACCTGGCTAGCCACCAAAACCCGGCCAGATCTTAGCCAGACGGTTGGCATACTATCCCAATATAACGCCAAACCCACCCAAAAAGCATGGCGTGCCCTTATACACGCCATACGCTATCTTAAAGGCTCCATCAATCGGCAAATTACCTATCATAAACCCACGGAGTCCATTACATCTGACCTCCTCATGCCAAAATGTTATACCGACTCTGATTGGGGTGGCCAACTGACAGGCAACCGCCGGTCAGTTTCTGGATACATCTTTCTGCTTGCCGGAGCCCCAATTGCCTGGAAAAGCCGCAAGCAAACATCCGTTGCCCTTAGCTCCAACGAAGCTGAGTATATGGCTCTAAGCGAAGCCAGCCGTGATGCCCTCTGGCTCCGGAATCTCATCAACGAGCTTAATGTGCTCCCAACTGAATGCCCACCAATATCTCTTCATATCGATAATCAAGGTGCCCACGCCATGGCTGAAGCCGAGCTCACCACCAAGAGATCCAAACACATTGACATACGCTACCATTACGTTCGGGAGAAGGTCCGAGACGGCATTGTTAAACTTCAGACCTGCCCTACCAAAGAACAGGCAGCAGATGGCCTGACAAAACCTCTCCAAACTGAACGATTCAATCATTTCCTGGAACTCACCGGCATACATTAAGCGGCGCTTGTTCCCCCATTTTGGTTATACTTTCTATTCTGATTTACGGCTTCTGATTGGCCAAAGCGGAACCTCTCACTTCTCTGCTTAATTTTGCTTTTACTCTCTCATTTGGAGGCCTGAATAGAGGCCGATTTTTGTATTTAAATTCTTTAGATTAGTCTTTAGGCCAGCTCGTGCGTGGGGGGGTGTTGGATCACGTGGGATTCTGCCGCATAGGTCCGCCCTCGCTGACCCTTTTCACCACGTAGGCCTATCTAGCTAGTAACCAACCAACAATACACCTCCATTATACTCAAGTGATCAGTCACGTGTAACCATGAGCCGCTGTTAGATCACGCGGGATTTTGCCGCTTAGGTCCGCCCTCGCTGACCTTTCCACCACGTCTGCCTATCTAGTTAGTAACAAACCAATATATGCCTCCATTAGCGCTCACCTCTAATTTGCGCGGGTTAACCATTTTCAAATTACCTAGGCGGGTCAATTAACCATGCCTATCAATTTTCCCATTAGAAGAATGACGCATGCAAAAAGCTGATGGGGATCAAATGATCATCAAGTGGACAACGATAGCCAACAGCGAGATCCCTATTAGCCTATTGATGAGGTTATAATTACTGTTGATGGGGGTCAAACTCGCTGAGTTGGTTGATCTAGCTAGGGAGACCCGGAGTCGGGCGGACTAGTTAACTATCTACACTTATGCTGACTAATATGGGCTAGGCCTAACTAGTTAGTTAACTAGGAAGGAGCCGAACCATCTATGAACTTCAATATCATTCATACCGACCAAAATTGTTAAGACAAGCTGGGTCAACCACTCCAAGCTAAGGAAGATTACCGGCCAAGCGAACACTCTCTGTGGACGATCAAGATCTGCCTCACCCAGAAAACAATTGCGTCCTCCCACTTGGCCAGTATTGACAACAGGGGTAATTGCCTGCTTGTCCTGTCAATCTTCCAGGAATCCTAAGTTGATCCCACTCACTCATCACTTTTATCAGTGTTTTAAGGATATTCGCATGACATATTTTTAAGTCATCTCTAGGTTCCGGTACTGCCATACCATTACGATGGAACCTGCTCAAGACTTACTTGCCCGGTCCTTGCCACTACTCATCTTTATTGGCAGAACTCAAAATCCATCAGTCTCATATGAGTGGATCTCTCGTGAACTGTTACATCCATGGGCTATGTTCTATGAAGATATACTTGCTGCACTTGAAGGCCTTGATCTCAGTGACCTTATCAGTCTAACTGATTCACTTGAAAATGAAAGGTTCCTAGTTGGGAATGAGCTTGGCCTAACATCTCGATTCGATTGGAATGTCTGTGGTGCTGTGTCCAAGGCCTTATCTGTCTCGACCCAACGAAATATCTGCTTTGGAGATCTTCATTGTGTCAACCCAATGCCCTAAACTTCCCAGATGTTGCTGCTCTGTTTTTTCCTAATCCATCTTCACCAATTCAAGCAGAAGGTAGGCCAATTGTTGTGGGGGAGCTCAAGACCTTTTGGACATTCCCCCTTGAAATCTATCCAGTGACTTCTTCAGTGATGGAAAGACACTCTCTGGAGCACCCTATAGGTAAGCAAACCCATCTTATAGCTCATAGAGATATGGCTAGCTATGCAATTGCTAGGCCAGCTTGTCTCTTACATGAGAGCTGCTTCCTTGAAGTACGGTTTCTTATCAACTTACAAGACAACTGTCTTTGTCGGACGTACTGACAAGTATCGATTTGAGCTTTCACCACCACTTGATGAAAGCAGTGAATCCGTCAATACGTGAATGTTTTGCTGGTCTTTGTACTCTTGCCGCAATTGACGGGAAATTTGAGGAGTATGATTTTATTCCAGCCTTGGTGAGTGATCCAATTCCATTCAATCAGACCAGTAATAATAGAATATCTAGTTACGTGCTCCAAGTCTCCCATCATTTCAAGCTTCTACTCGAGAATCTCGATATCGTCATTTCACCAGCACTTTAGCACAACAGGCTGCTGCTCGCTCTACCACAGTAACCCAGCAGAATGGTACAATGGTGCAACTAGGAGAGGACCAAGTAAATGATATTGCCAACCTTGGAATCCAATATAATGCAATTATTTTTGGTTACAATAATGTTGGTCACTCTCATGTGAAAACTATCCGGCACCTGAATGGCTCGCCTTTATCAAAGGTTGTATGAAAGTTGAATATGATAGCGTCAAGGCCATTGCACAATGTTGGACAGAGGAGTATTATGGCAAGTATAACCCCATTCCTAGCTTTTTTAGGACATATGCTAATTAGTTTGATTGCGGCTATGCACAGGAGGTTTGGGTCTATGAACATCTGTACCAGGAAAAACCAGAGGGATTCCTCTTCTTCCCCTCTGTGCTTGGATTTGGTGACATCATCTGTTCCTCAGTATTTCTTGCTGGTTATGTCCTTATCATCACATTCATGGAAGGCGAACAACTGAGCAACATATGGGACCATATCACCTTGTCAGAAAAGCAAAATATTCTCCTAAAATGCCGAAGGGCAGTTCTCTATACTTCGTTCCTTTAGAATCTATGTGAGGGACTCAGGGAAGCATAATGTTCTGTATTCATGCCGATCCAAGAAGCCTATGTTGATTGACTTTGAGGGTGTTGGCCAATGCAGAGAGCAGGACGCGCGCAATCTAGATACACCGCTCCTGGCAATCTTTGGACGAGAAACCCAGTCAGCGTGAGTCATTGGCGGTTGATCACCACCACCCTTGTATGACCCTTTTTCGTATTATCTTTGCTCAAAGGTGCTGAGACAAGAGAGGAAACCCATATGTTTTATTAAAGAATTTCTTATTTGGCTGGTCCATTGTTTCTTATCATTCACTTCACTACTACATGTTCTCATATAAATTAAAATCACACTAGTTTCTAGAGTTTTTTGTATGAACACTTTCAAAACCCCTGTTGACCATATGGAAGCTACGGCAGCAGGAAGGGTGCCATATAGAGATTTGACACTGACTGGGTTAATAGAAACAAAGAATTTGGCAGAGCTCAAGCTCTCATTATCCAATGAAATGGAAGCAGTGGCTTACTCCTTTAAATAATTGTCGCACTATTCTAGCAGAAGATCTATTGAAGAATACGAGCCACTGCTCTTTCTAGTACAGCATAACTAGATATAGGGACAACTTGGTCACCTGATCCTACAAGTACAGACAGCATGATCAATGAAGCTACGCCTAACTAAGCTGCAATCTCAGTGAAAAACCACAATTTACATTGTAGTGATGACTACCTAAGTATAGCGTAATTACCCCATAATCTAAGTAAAAGAGGAATCCCACGCGGGTTGCAGCCGAACGACGCACACTTGCAGCATCCTAGTCCCTATCTGGCTTATTTTCGTCTCCGGTCTTTGGACCGGTGGAGTTGCATCGGAATCAAAGTGAAAACTGTCTGTGAGTCGGCTATATAACATAGACCTAAGTATAGACTGTGACAAGCAATACAATTACATACCAATTATCGAGAATATTACAGGCACTTCCCGACTCCCGAGTATGAACTTTGTCTGACTAATTCAATATTGTATTAAGTTAACTATTAGAAGGTATTAAATATTACTGCTTCCGCTGCGAACCGGTTGATAACCGCCGCACGTGGTCTCCTGTATTATTACCACCTAGGCAGGTAGGCACGCATACCTAAAGTGGATCTAGGGCTGGAATCATGAACGAAGTACAATGGTGTTGAATACTAATGTACATGTACATACATCATCTCTACCATCACCAGTGTCGAACTCCAACCAGAACTTGTTCCCTCGCGTCTGGCTCAATTGAACCAGCCTGCCCTGTCACCATTCCCAGGCGCGTGAGGACCTGCCAGACAACCTTCCGCTTTATATTCTCCCGCACAGGAATCTTCTCCAATGCGTCTGTCCCGTTGAAATACTTGATGAATGCTGGCCAGTATATCTTTAGCGAGTTGTGAAGCCCCGCGTCCTCTGCATCGGCCGCTTCACTCTGCGCCTCCGGGTTCGACGACCGGGGGTGATCTGGGAAGCGAGACATGATCTCGTCAAGCCATCGGGACTCCAGTGGCGTTGCACGATGCGGGGTAAGGATCAGCGAGGATACGTCCAGAAGAACATTTTTGTCCAATAACGAACGGGGCGGTTTGCGTCGAAGCTCCAGATCACCGTCGGACTCGTGCCCCTGATTGTCCAAGTCGGAAGCCTCGTAGCCGCTCCCGTGGCTTGCGAGAGATGAAGAGGAAGAAGAACTAGCATCATCATAGTCACCAAATTTATCATTGCTGTCGTTATCATTACCATAATGATCCTCTGAAGTTGACTCTTGTTCGCTCTTAACCAGATACTTCTCCGCCTCTTCTTGCCTCAGAGCCCTTTCCACCGCTATCTTGATTTCAGGAGACACTTTGACTCTGGCAAAGCTGCGAAGCTGGGTAACCCATCCACCCCTCAACAGCCAAGCCAGTATCGCAAAGTACGTTTCTTTATGGTCCTTGCTCGGAATGAAGCTTCCATACGGCCTGGGGGTCCCGCTAAGAGCGGACAACATCTTCGGTAAGCTAGGAAGCGTTGGGAAAGCGAGTCCGTACGTAACTGTGGCGGCTTCAAGTTTGCTCAGATCGCAATTCGGCGATACGATGTAAGTGTCCCGTTGACGAATCGGGGGGATAGCGCGCGCACGTCTCCAGTACACGAGATGGCTCGCCAGCATCTGGATCGTCGGCAGCGGGATACTCGACGATACAGATATCTGCGCAAAGGACTTCGTGGGTTTCGAGCATCGGATGTAATGCGCCAGAGCAGGGGCAAGGGCGCCACCGGAAGCCTCGATATCCTTCAGAATAGTCGCTTCGTTATCGAGGAGTAATAGGGCAAAGTGTTTCGCTACCACATTATGCGGAGCAGCATTAGGGTCTGCTCCCGAATCGTCTGAGGGAGAAACGCTGTCAGCAGTCGTGAGCCAAAGGCCAGGGTACGCCTTGTCGGTGGGACCGGGGAGGTATGATGTTGAGGTAAGAGGCGGGATCTGAAGAGAGATGGATACGTGTTGATTGAGAGAAACAGAGGCGATCTTCGACGCCGATATGCTGGAGAAAACGGTATAGATTGCTCTAGCCAAAGATGACCGCGCAATGAGCTCCGAGTAAAGCTGGTTCATAGAACTCTCTAAGACGACAATAATGAATTAGCCAATTTTTGGAGCCGTCAGAAAACAATGTGAATAAACTTACTCTTTTCCTTCGCATTCTCTTTGATATGCAGAATCTGCTGTGTTTCTGTCCACACGTAGTTTGTGCGAGCCTGCTCCCATTTCAAGGCTTTGGCGAACTTCTTGATGATATTGTCGTATATCTCCTTGACGCGCACGGAGTACTCCAGCAGTGGAGGATCAAGAACAAACACAATATTGAACATGGTCATAGCATCCTTGTCGTCGTCTGTAGGGCCAGTCGATGCCTTGCTAGCCTCTGCCGCTGCCTGCTTGTCGGCATCCAAAGCTTCACGAAGTGCTGATGCAACCATCGTATTACCATCTCTATCATCCTCATCATCTTCGTCATGGTGAACATTGTGGGAATTCTCATTATGGCCAAGCTCCCCTCCTTCCCATTCAGCTCGAGGCTTATTTTTCTTCTTCCGCTTCTGCTTCCTCCATGTGCCGTCATCACGGACAAACACCGGCCATCCCACAAAGGCCAAATCGTTAATCCCAGCTTCAAATCGCCGCTTATGCCATGCTCTAGATGGACTGAGGAATTTCTCCCACGCGTCCGCCGGTAACCCAAGAAGCGTCTCCCAAGGTGGACGACTGCCTTCGCCAGTCCCGTCTCCTTGCTTATCCGACAGCGCACCGTGATCGTCATCGACATCGGAATTCAGGCTTCGTTTCTTCAGAGATCCCCGGCCGGAGCCTAATGATCCCGCGCGCTGGGAGTCCCCGCCTCCAGACGACGAAGAAGCAAGGACCGTCCGTTCTCGTTCGTCGAGGCCCTTCCCCGACAATGCGCTGGTGCTTGTGTGGCCTTCTTCGTCATCGTCGTCGGAACTGGAACTGCTCTCACTGCTGGAGCTAGAGTCGCTGCCTACGGGGCCCTGGCCGGCTTTTGGACGCGAACTGCGCCGGCTCTTGAGCGAGGTTCTCAGGGCATTCTCACTAAGTGGGTTCGGTGGGTAATGGAAGACGAAATGCGGTCTGCCGCGCGAATGGACAACGAGGATAATCGCTATTAGACAAGGGTCGGGAGGACGTGCGATCGAAGACATTTGAAGGTGAGATGCATTGACCTCGAGAATTGGAGGTTGATGGACGAGAGAGACGATTTAGAGTTGCGACCCGAATGGCTTCCCCGCACGGGGCAGATCACACCAATTCTGCATGAAGCTTGCAGGGGTAAGTATGCAAAATGGACATAAAATATATACTGAGAAGATCAGAAATTCTGTTTACACATCAGACGTTTCATCAATTATAGCCACATATTTTTCATTTGAGTAGAGTATGCAATGCCATATACAAAAGACAACCGGCCAATTCCAACGCCAGAACGTGGTATAGAAACGAGAGGTCAAAATGATCGGAAATCTGAATGTCCCTCCCTAAATATCGTACAATACAATCCAATCCTCTCCGTAATATACAGCGGGTAGTCCTCGAGTTTTTATTTTGAATTCGTCGTCGCTGCTGTTGCCTCGCCATTCTGCTTCTGTTTATCTTCTTCAAAAACTAAACCGAGATTCTTAAACTCTTCAGGAGCCATCAAGTTTCTGTTCAAGAGAGACACCGGCCGGTCAGCACGATTGCAATCCTTATGACAATGGATCAATTCCAACAAAAACAACATACTTCTCCATCCGGCAACCCAGGTACCCCTTTGCTAACTTGCGGCATTCCTCATCGTTCGTGCCCTTGCGTAACTTTAGACATTTGAGGTAATCGGAGATGAGATGTTTGCATTCTCCTATCGGTGTTAAGAGAAACAATCAGCTTTTCGCTGCCGTCGTAAGAATGGTCACGCCTAATCAGCTGCCCAGAAAGAGGGGGTTGAATTAAATACCGTCATGATCAAGGGGAAAGCTGCCGCGCTCGGGTCTATGCATATGCTCCTTGTTAGCTTCACAGTCGGTTGGAGACATTGAAACTTGATTTAGAGGACAGGCATGCAAACTAACGGAGTTGGCTTAAAGTTGGCAGCTCCACCACCGGGGGATCCGAAACTCATTGTGTCTAGATATAATGAGATGGAGATGGTATGTCAGGATCCAATTCTGTAACTGATCAAACAATGAGTCGAATTGGAATCATCAAGGATCAGATGCTACGTTCGAACTTCGCAGCCCCAGGCATGTAGCGATGGAACGGCTAAATGTCCGGAACAAACAGAGCAAACAAGACAAACATCCATGCGGCGATAAGGCCGACGTCATTAGCTTCCCGGAATGGATGAGAATGAATCCAGATTTGTCCAGATGCAAACACCACAGGCTTCGCATGTAAGCTACACTCCGTATCATCCCTTGTGCTGTTTCAGACCAGACATTCGCGTATCGATAATTGGAGCATTAGTGGTCCAGAATTCGAGGACAACGAATCCTACCCCGTAATCAATGCAAGTTCTGTCAGGTGAGGCAATACAACCATCATAACCTCCGCATGGAGGATCCAGCGGAGATATAAATAAGTTCATGACACACGCCCAGTTGAAGTAGATTGTTTTCTTGAATGACTTAATTATCTGTCGTTGGGGCCTTGGTAGCTTGATATCAATATTACACCTCTTGTGTCTGTGATCTGCTGAGTCTGCGTGCGCAAATACCTCTGACAAACAATATGCCCATGTTCAGTTTCCTTAGGCTATCCAGTCCCTTTGACCTATTGTGACTAATCCACTGACTTTGGTTTTTGCAGGAAGCTGGATGGGAGCTGCCAATGTGGCAGCGTCCAATTTACACTTGAATCCCACACTCCCGTGCCGTATCAGCTCTGTGCGTGCAGTATTTGCCGTAAGGTGGGTGGGTTTGGTGGCAGCGTCAATTTGGGTGGGATTGCGGATACTCTCAAGGTTACCAAGGGGAAGGATTTGATCAAGTACGTCCAGATTATGCTATAGTTCCATGGCAAATTGGACGGCATCATCATCATACACAAGACAAGGACGAGACGCTGATACATGAATTCTTCCGGAAGGAAATACTCTGCCATTCGCCGGCCTGAGATGACACCGTGCTCGTCCCAGAGAAGCTTCTGTTCTAACTGCAGCACTATGCTTTGGCTCTGGGATCATCACTGGCCGGAATTGATTCATCCGTTTGCCTCTGCGATAGATACCGAGTTACCGGTGCCGGATGAGATGGTGTGCATTATGGACGGGTCAAAACCATCTTGGGTACGGTGGCCCGAAGGGAAGAAGAGCGTGCATCAAGCATATAATGATGACAGTCTCGAGGGGTGGCACAAAAAGCATGGGCTATTTATTCTATAAGTCATCCACTACACTACTCTTGTCCAGTGGGTCTACATGAATTCAAGGCAAGTAACAGCTTGTAAATAGAGATATGAAATTTTGAATTGAAATATCATTGCCATTCGTTTCATTTGCTTCGTGCTTTTTTTTCTACCTACACAGTAATGGTTAGCAGAGCCCATGCGAGACTGTACAAGTATGCAAAAGTGGAAGGTGAAAAACATCAGTTCTCCAAGGTGAAAAGATTTTTTTCTTCAATATGTATTCAGTAAGAACACAGCGATTAAAGAAATCATCAGGAAAGACACATAAGAGATGGTAATGAGAGAATTGCACTCACAATCAAGCCTATATAGTTGTACTACAGTATAATGATTCCTGTTCTTAGTCCGATAGTCAGCATCTGCACCCGAGGACCTTTTTGAGGCTTCAGAAACGCAAAAAACACATCAACTAAAGTCAGGCTGTCAGTCCATTCAGTTAGCCAGAGTACATAACGTGAGGAACAGATGAAAACTCACCTCATTAAATCAGATTTTTTTGAAGGATATGTTCATTACCAAAACGCATAAGCGCCCGGGTTCAAACAGTGTGAATAACGATCATCATGCAAGTTGACCATAAACACAAACAAAATTGAAAGGAAGAAAGGGTAGAGTTATTTATGTACCTATAGGGTGTGTTGTCAGTAACAATCCGTAAAAGCCCATATTACGACGCAGATGTTATGCTTCAAGATCCTTGAGGATCGAATAATAAAGGTTCAGGTGACGAGTTCTCAACAAGTAATACACTTTCCCGACACCCGCAAGGTTGTACGACCTTGCTTTTGATGGATGCGGAAAAACGTACACGTTCGGTCCGCCCGTTCGTTCAAAGTTTCTTCATGAAGACAGACGGGAAGTTGGGCAAGGAGATAAAAGCAAATGGGTGTAATACCTGCACAAAACCTGTCAGTCTTGGCCATGAAGTAGAAATTGAAAAGTCAAAAGAGAAAAGATGTGTTCAAATGGATCAGACAAGGCTGAAACTTGAGTAAACGACAAGATTCTACATGGTAATTAAGTTTGAGGAATGCCTTTTGCATGTCATAGGGTCATCATAATAGAAGGGCCAACTGAACATTAAAAAAGAACGGTTCTCAGAACGCATACCTTTTGCATATATATGTCGAGCAAGAGGGTTATCCAGGAAACCCATTGAGGACAAGTCAGATTGATCCAAGCCTCCTAGACTGAAGATCATTAGCAACTGATCTAACAAGCAGCTCCTTGCAAACAGGAAGGAAGCAGTAATATCAGAGTAATTCTAGAGCTTTGAAATTCGTATCCTTCATGTCCTTGTCGGTTTTTGAAAAGAGAGAAAGGATAATTCATCCTGATAGTGAAAGCAGCGCAACAAAAGCAGGGAGACTCACTGTAAGTCTTCAAGATAACATGATGGAAATTGTCTGAAATAGAAAAAAAAAAAAAAAAAAAAGAAATGGCAAGAGGTAAATAAATAAAAGACTGATAACGTCGCTTGCTTTGAATGGCAAGCAAGATTGTTCAGCGAAGGTTGAGGAAGAAGAAAAAAAATTTGTTGTGGGACTGGTTTTTATGCGAAGCTTTTTCTCGGGAGAGCCACGAAGACCATAAGCGAATGGCCAAGGGTCCACTGTTTTTCCCTTCACAGCATTCATACTTTGTACTATTTAGTGTTACTACTCTACATCACTGTGTTTCTATTCTATCCAAATTGCACAAAGGATTCTGTTTTGACATTCCTTATTTGCACGCAATCAAGGAGAATATCTAATATCCATTTATAGCATCATCATCATCCACTGTTGGGCTTATATAATTGTGCCAACCGCGGCCTGAATACTATGCTGTAGTAAATAAATTGAAAATTTGCCCATAAATCTTTCTATTCCTTCCACGCGTCTAGAGACAGAATGTTATTCGCTCGCTACATAAATTTGTTCCGGGATCATCGGTTGGTCCGACGGATTACCACCAGCCAAGGAGATAGATGAATCGATACTCGTGCAGCCCCCGAGTCCATTTAGCCCCAAGTTGCGACCTATCATCCCCATGCATATCATCTCCATGCATATCATCTAGTGATGGCTGTCGGTAGACTTAAAATGTTCTTTTGATTTGCATCTCCTCAAGACCGTGGTTTCAGAATGCGAGCAACATGCAACTCAGCGGGCCCTGCACAGTGCCAAGTGGGTTAGCCTACAAACAGGGCAATCTATAAAAATGCTCGTATGTATGTACATATACAGGGGTGTGCTCTCCTTAGAGAACAGCTGATATGTTGTAATTACAAGGCAAAGATGCTTTCTCCAGCGGCTTTCGTTGCGTTCTCTGCATTATCGCTCTCTGTTTTGCCGCTGGCAACGGCAGACGACGCTCGTTCTTGCAGTACAGGCTATGAATCCCTAGACCCGTCGCTTTTCAAACTCAAGGACGTCCCCAACAACTACTATTCTTCTTTGAGCAAGATATTTGAGAATTCAGGCAAGAATGTCAGTGTACCCGACGTGCTAGACTCGGGGAACCGGGACCTGGTCAAAGAAAGCAACTCTGGAACCACAATTGAGCTGTGGGCCTGGAACTCGGGAGACGAGAGTACAGAAAAATGGTACCCTCAGGGCATCACAAGCAGCGGTGATGCGCTAGGAAGCGGCGAGTGGGAATCGAGAGAAGCATGGCTCGTGAGCTGGTATCAGAATCAAGGCCAGAAAAACGTCCGCATCAGTTTTGTGGACCGTTCAACACACAAGTATAGACATGCGTTACTCGTGGAGCCAACTAGTGATTCCAATTTCACGTCTGTGCCTATCCATGCCGGTGGGATTGTGTGGTATGGGAATGCGCTGTATGTTGTTGATACCAAGGATGGGTTGAGGGTCTTTGACCTGGATAACATCTGGGAAGTCGACATCGGGGATGGCCTTGGCCGTCAGTCGAGCGGCGAATATACAGCTAACAGCTATAGATATGTTATACCCCAAGTACGGTGAGTTTCTCTGCCCGAGATTGAAGTCTCAACATGGATGTCAAAACTGACTTGAGAGCCGGGGGGGAAGAACGTATAGTTGGACCGCCGAGCAGCCTTCCACATCATTCCAACACTCTTGGGTCTCCCTTGACCGCAGTACAACGCCTGACTCACTTTTGATCGGGGAGTACGCAACCACAGATGTTGATACACCGATTCGCCTTGTTCGATACTCTCTGGATTACACGACTCGTGAGCTGAAAACAAGCAGCGGAGTCGCAACATCAACTTTTGCGCACTGTGTCGACATTCTCCGTATGCAAGGAGGCTTCTCCATGAATAGCACGTATTACCTTGATAGAAGCAATGGGAAGAGCACGGGAGGCGACCTGTTCACCTGGAAAGTCGGTGAGGACACACCATCAGAACAAACCTCCAACTTCTTGCCCGGCCCGGAGGACTTGAGCTATAACCCATCGCGGGGAGAATACTACACAGTAAACGAGCATCCAGGAGAACGATACATTGCTGTATACAAGATTTGAATCCAGTCTATTGTCCGATTGAGTCGGCAGAAACACTGTTGCCTCAGCTTTATCGCGGAAGATAGTTGGAGCAGCGTATCGACTGCATGAAACCTGGGAATTATCTGTACACAACTCTAACTCACGAGTGCTCTGTTAGTCTAGATACAGTATTTATGTTCTGCCCTAATATATAGCAACTATACCTGTCATTTGCTCTAGGAAGCTGACGGGATAGTCGTCACTTAAATTCGTGATCAAGACGTCATCTTCCTATTCTGGATACCGTTGCTTAAAAGTCCGGGACAAGCAGAACAACGCAAAGCATCAAGTTGACGTGAGACCGTGTCATGATCTGAACTAGGAGCACATAAGTACTACTCGTAGTAGCATTCTAGTTGACAGTCCCTGTAGGGTTATAACAACCTCTCTTTTCAAGATCGCTGCAGAACCCGACCCGCAGTATCCAGCTCTTTACTCGCAGGTGTTAATTATCTTTGTTACAAGATGACCAGGTTCAAGCTCAATACTGGTGCAGAAATCCCTGCTATTGGATTCGGCACCTGGCAGGATGAAGGAGCTCAGAAAGATGCGGTTTTGGAAGCCATCAAGGCGGGCTATCGCCACATAGATACGGCACGAGTGTAGGTCTGAAAGGGAACCACAAATGCGGGAAAGAAAAGATGCCAGTTAAGTTTTACCTGGAAGTTCCGATGGCTGATGCGTGGCAACAGGTACGGAACTGAAAAGGCCGTAGGTGATGGCATCAAGGAGAGTGGTATTGCTCGCAACCAGATCTTTGTAACGACGAAGCTCTGGAACAATAAGCATCATCCGGACGATGTTCCCAAGGCTCTTGATGACTCGCTCAGGGATTTGCAGATGGATTATGTTGATCTATTCTTGATGCATTACCCGGTGGCCGCGAAAAGAGGAGATGATCCGATTCCAAAAGAAAATGGAAAACCGGTCACAGAGGACATTGACTACATCGATGTAAGTTTATCTGGAGCTTTCGTCCGTTTTTGCTTGAAGTTCGCATTGTCGTCCGTGAGGGAACTCGGTATTGGAAAAGAGAATGGATACTAACTCGAAACTTCTCGTCGCATATAGACATACAAAGCGATGGAAAAGTTGTTGAATACTGGAAAGGTGAAAGCAATCGGAGTTTCGAACTTCAGCAAGGGTCAAATGGATCGTCTCATTAAGCATGTCTCGGTCGTGCCGGCCGTCCATCAAACGGAGGGTCATCCGTGGCTACAGCAGCACGAGTTCTTGAAGTGGCATCAGACTAGGGGAATCCATGTCACCCACTATTCCCCCTTCGGGAATCTGAACCAAATATATTCAGCAAACCATCTCGGGAAATTGATCGACGAACCTGTCTTGATCGAGGTTGGGAAGAAATACGGCAAGACTGGGTCGCAAGTTTGTCTCGGTAAGTTGAGACTCGAAGCAAGATATACCTAGTTGAGAGGAAGAAAGGAACCGAATAAGAGATGCTGACTGTGAGCGCCCTTCTGCCTTGCAGCCTGGGCCATCACGATGGGAATTTCCGTACTCCCGAAATCCAAGACACCGCATCGAATTAGAGACAATCTCGAGGGTGATTTTAAACTGAGCAGCGAAGATATGGAGAATATTGCGAAGATCGACAGAAAGATTCGCTTCAATGACAGCAGTGAAGACATGGGAATGGTATTCTTCGATGATTTGGACGGAAAGGGTACCAAGATTCCATGAATAACCTCCGATTACTGGCAGGTGAGATACTATGGTTGAAATGGAGTAGAGCGCAGATCAGATTTAGAATGGAGATGAGATCTGGGTCGAATAGTTCAATCGATTGATGTTCATGCTTTGTACGTATATATCAAAAGAATTCATTCTCCTGGGCTCAATTCCAATCTCGCAAGCATATGCATTCAGGCAAGAATAAAAGGGGAAGGTACTCGGTCTTGTAGATGGACCGGCAAGTATTGACAAATAAAGCTTTCCATCATGAAACATCAATATTCAAATTCCATTTGCAGTGTTCACATATATTTAGTGTCTCGCCTTATTGGAAGTTAATCATTTCTCGCATATCACATATTGCTCTCGACCATAAAGTTCAACGCCAGTCGACTTTGCTAGGCCGTCCTGTTCGGATGAGTTGATTTCCAAGTTGTTAGGGCCTTGAAGAAATATCCAACCATCTTCGGACATGATAGGTGGTCATGGATGCTTGATAGTAAGGAGTCAACCTCAAAAGCCAACGAGTTGACTAATGGAACAGCACTAAATTATGCTGGGAATAGCAACTAACGTTCCAAGATGTGGGTATGAATCGATATGCAACCTGTAGATTGCTAAAATTTATTGGGACCATTCTTGCAGGATGCAAGGTTATGGAGCCAGCCGATTAGTCGAAGCTATCCCGGAGACAATATGCAGGAGAACCGCGTCTGCCCTGAAAGGCCAGGCGCGCCCAGGTAGCTTGATGATATTTGTTACCATGCCTCCTTGATTATCTCCATCCCCCAACTCTCCCTTCGTCCCATCTAGCCTTCGCCTCCCTTCTAGCTGCTAATTTGGCGGCTTCGGACCTAACGCGTCTCACCCAATCTGTAACTTCCTTCTCCGTCGCCCGCCCTTGATGATCTTCTTCAAGGAAGCTTTCCTCCACCGCTTGGCATATAGCCTCTTGTTCCGTAACAGCCGCACTCAATCTTTGATATAGAGCCTTTGGTGACCATGGTGCCAGTGCTGCATCCATTTCTGTTTGCTTCTTGCGCCAGGAGACCTCGAGCGACTGGTGGGCAAGGAGTAGGGATTCAGTTGAGGCACGAATCTCCGCTATGTGAGATTGCAGGTCATGGAGATGAGTAGACAATTCTTCGTTGAATTTAAGGAGCGACTGAAGATAGAGTTGATGGGAGTCATAGGAAGGATGGAGGCTTGCGAGCGAGGAAATAAGGCTTGGGTTTGATAGGATGGATTGTAGATCGACTGTCCTGTAGCAGCAAGACATATAAGTATGATCGCCTCATCATCTTGGATACGATATAGAATCGCACTTACGACTTGTCCTTGACAATATCTGGCAGCCAACCTTCCTCCACTGTTGGTGGATCAATGAGAGGCTGAGCGTTGGCGCTGTCCGCGCTGCTAGGCACATTATCTCTTGTCAATCCAAAAGAGTCCCGATACGTTTCTTGGGATAATTGTTGCGATGGAGTGGTTGAATGTAGAGAGTCCTGTGGAGTTGCTCGCCGACTCGCTTCGTGGCTATTTGGCTTCGGCGGTGGAGGTGGAGGGGTGTCGGGATTGAGAGCTGGGATTACTCTCTGTCCGCTGGGAGAATGGAAGGGAGGTCGGGTCAAATAAGGAGAAGGCATTTGCGACATGGCAATGAGGGCAGAAGCAAGAGATTTGGGTCCTGGAGGGTAGAAGGAAGAGTGAGAGACCGTTGGGGAGATGTGCAGCTATCGGAAGAGGATGACGGAGTACAAACCCCGCCCACGGCAGCGCTTGTACAGTACAGTGCTATGCCTCTACGTCTACAACTCCACTATTCTTTAGACTGCAAGACAGTGTAACAGAGAATCCTTTAAAATTGCTGGACAGGGTATCTTGAGCGTCTCTTTTTCAGCACATATCATCTGCAGCTCTAACTGGTTAAACGCAACGGAATCCTTCAAGACAAGACCGCGCCTCAGTACTGCTCGTATGCCATAATAATAGAGACCTCGAAGGTCTTTTAGTCCGCAGTCCCCTATCGGGGATTGGACGCGATAGAGAGACACCGTGGTTTGAAGAGCAGGTCGTTTGAGGGACTGCTCTGAAGGCATCTCAGTCCGTCTGCCCAGACAACGAGGTTCCGTATATTCAGTCTCTTGCTTTTATAGTTCACTCCACCCTCCGTCGTACATCTCTGTCTTGTGTCTCAATGTTGGCACTACCAATCGCATCCATCACCAGTGCCCGCAACTGGCTCTGGGCAGCCTCGCTGTGGAAGTCTTCCCGGGCAGCAAGCTCATCAATTCTGCGCTTGAACTCAGGGTCTACTTCTGTAGAGCCAGCCCTTGCTTCTTGTTCTGACATTGTGCCGACATTCACTTGGATATTGGGAGGCAGTCGCGGAGCTGGGTTCAATGCGTCGCTGACAGACGGGACAGAGGATGAGCTCCCCCCAATTATTGTTCGTAGATATTCTGCGACTTCCGGGAATGAGCCATCATTCTCGATTGTCTCCAGCGCTATCAGCCCCTCGTCATTCTTTCTTTTAATATCTACCCCCAGCTCTTCGACGAGGCATTTAGCAATGTCCGGCGTCTCGGTCGCAAAGAGGCATGTTTCACCATCTTCATCAATCAGGTTGACATTCACGTTGAATTCCTTTACGAGAGCGCGCAGGAGATCAATATGTCCGTAGGAAGCAGCAGCGTGCAAGAGGGAGTATCCATGCTCGTCTTGACAAGATGCGATGTGGGGATTTGAGCGCAACAGAGCCAGCAATGCCGACGGATTATCCGCAGCTAGGATGTAAGGATTTGGCAGTTGAGTCATAATGAGATACGAAAAAGACAAGAAGAAAAAAAAAAGAATGGCAGCCTGCTGTAAATTGATGGTGAGTCAATGGAGTTACTCTAAAAGCGATGAGGGAAAAAAAAGTAGGGTGGCGCAGCGGGGCGGAGGAGAAACAAAGGAAACAGAGGAAAAAGGGCCACATCACCCCGCGATGTAATATCTTTGAGACAGACAGACCTGACTCACAAAGCACTCGGAAGTGCAGACTTTTTCTCCTTCAATGCTACAAAGGAGTTCTGGTGCCAAAGAGATCAGAAGGGTTTAAAACCCACACAGGATCGTATTCTCCAGGAGCTCTTGCTTCTTCGATTTTACTCCTCTCACTTCTCTGCTAACCTCATTGCATCTGGCATGTGCTCAGTTCGAACTCTCTTAATCATTACACACAGGCTGTTATCAAGAATTGCACAGTAGCTTGCTCTAAATAATTACAATATGCCGAAGCAGGATCCTAGCGAGGTTGCACACCTCGTGGACAGCCTTGAGGCTGCCAGCAAATGGTCCAAGAAAGAGGCGAAGCAGAAATATTCGTGCCGGAAATCGACATTTGCAGTTGACAATTCAAAGAATAATATCCACGTACATTCGTGGAAGTTCATGGATTGGGACTATAAGCGCCACGACCTCCCTACCTACGCCCGGGGACTCTTCACCACCAAGCTCAGTGACGGCACCCCCGAGATTGCAATCCGCGGCTATGATAAGTTCTTCAACGTGAACGAGGTCTCAGCAACGAGGTGGGATCAGATCGAGCAATACACACGAGGCCCGTACGAGCTTAGCGTGAAAGAGAACGGCTGTATCATTTTCATATCCGGCCTAGAAGATGACACATTGCTTGTATGCAGCAAGCATTCTACCGGTGTCAGAGAGGGCGGTGTAAGCCATGCTAAAGCCGGGGAAGAATGGATCGAGCGCCACGTTGCATCGGTGGGCAAGTCGACGAAAGATCTGGCGAGAGAGCTCTGCAGGATGAATGCCACTGCCGTAGGGGAGTTATGCGATGATAGCTTTGAGGAGCATGTTCTTGCATACAATGAGACCGTTGCAGGCATATACCTTCATGGAATAAACTTCAACCTGCCGCAGTTTGCAACTCTACCAAGCGCGGATGTTCACAAGTTTGCCGACGAGTGGGGCTTCAGGAAGGCCAAATTTCTGACGCTGGATGATATCCAGTCTGTCAAGGGATTCCTGGAGAAATGTGCGGAGACGGGGACTTGGGACGGCAGGGAGACAGAGGGATTTGTGGTCCGATGCCAGAGGATAGAGGGAGCATCGGGTCCGTACCATGATTGGTTCTTCAAGTACAAGTTTGAGGAGCCATATTTGATGTACAGACAGTGGCGCGAATGCACTAAAGCTGTCATCTCTGGGAGGTTGCCCAAGATCAAGAAGCACCACAAAATTACTGAGGAGTATTTACAGTACGCTCGCAGACAGCTCATGAAGGACCCGAAAATCGGCAAGCTGTATAACCAGAATCATGGCATTATCGCCATGCGGAACGGATTTCTCGAGGAGCGGGGACTGCAGGGGTCCGACATCATCAAGATGGAAGCTGAGGGTGAGGGTGAGTCAACGGTAACTAAGAACGTTGTCCTAGTTCCCATTGCTTCGCTCGGCTGTGGCAAGACTACCGTGGCTCTAGGTCTAGTCAAATTATTTGGTTGGGGCCACATCCAGAATGACAACATTCCCAAGCAGAAGAACAAACCGAAGACGTTCGCATTCGAAGTGACGAAGGCACTTGTGGATCACCCGGTTGTGATAGCGGACCGCAATAACCACCAGAGACGTGAGCGGAAACAGCTGATAGATGACACCCGTCCTGTTATTGAGAATGCACGATACGTCGCCCTCCACTGGGTCCACGAGCCGAAGGATCAACTGCTCCCTGGGATCCGGGATGTCACCCGCCGGCGAGTCCTAGAGCGAGGTGACAACCATCAGACCATCCGGGCAGGAAGCAAGGACGCGGAAGACGTGATTGGAATCATGGAGGGATTCCTCAGGCGGTTTGAAGGCGCTAACACTTCTATCGACCCCGACGGCGAGTTCGACGAAGTCATCGATCTCGATGTCACAGCTTCGTCCCGCGATAATTTGGAGAAAGTCATCACCGCACTGCACTCCTCTTACCCACAACTCATCAAAAGCGTTCCCACGCCGCAGGAGCTGGACGACGCTATCAACTCGGCCATGCACGAGTATCAGGTCCAACTAGACCTGAGCCATCAGTACGGTGGCTCCTCAAAGAAGATCAACAAGAAACAGGGCAAGGATCAGGAACCGCAGCAGCAGCAAAAACAACAACTGAAGCCTATCAATGCGGAATTCCTCGCAGGAAAGATCGAATACTTTAATATCTCCATCCCAACAGCGGATGTATCATCTATCCTCCAATCCCTATTCACACCCAAATCTGTCTCGCCGGAAAAGGCCCGTTTATACAATCACCTCCTCCAATCCCGTCGTATTCAGCCCAGCTTCCATGTAACACTGATTCACCGCGCATCGAAGCAAGACCGTCCTGAGATATGGAGCCAATACATAAATGAATACCTGCACGCAATGAACCAGCAACAGCAAGACGAGAAGAAGCAGATCACGCCTCCACTCGGACCCGCTCGAGTCCGCCTGGAACGTCTCATCTGGAACAATCGCATTATGGCCTTTGTGGCCCGCATCATGCCCCGCAATGATGATTCCACCACCGGTTCTGACTGGCCTTGCGCGAATCCTATCCCACATGTCACGGTCGGGACGGCATCGGCGGATATCAAGCCAAAGGAGAGCAACGACCTGTTGAAGCAGTGGTTGGAGGTTGGATCTGGTGGAGATACGGGGATCTGGGAGTCTGAAGTCCCAGGCGTGAGGGTGGTTCAAGGGGTTGTGACGGAGGTTCTGATGAGGGGGTTGAAGTATTAATTAGTGGTGTAGTGAGGTTTGAACATTAGTAGTGATGAAAAGCAAGAGGTTTACACCTGATAGTACTGTGTTACGATACATGACATCCCTCCGATCAAGATCAAGAACAATGCATTTCATGTCAAGTACAGTTTAGATTTATATTGTAGGTTTGCTATAGCCTGTGCTGTTTCTAGTGGGCGGAAGAAACCCTCACTGAGTGATATACATATGTACATAGCTTTCAAAGGAAACATCTACAATAACTCCACGTTATTCCATAATTTTATCAGAATGAACTGGGTTGGTCAAATCTATAGGACAACACAATGGACCTGCCCATCTGCTTGCTTACAGGGTATACAGATCAAGCTACTGAAAACTGCTCCCACCAGATAATATGGTATACTGACTACTCTGGGCTCAACTAGTAACCCATGAGGTAACTTGCTGAGCACCAAAGCGCCCCATGTACTGCAGACCAGTGCTGCCCATGGGGAAATAGCTGACAAGATACCAGAGGAGAGCCGCAATTTGAAATAGAGACGAGAAGAGTGTAAGCAAAGTTGAACGGAGCTGTTTGCAGAAAAGAAAAGAGAGCAATTAGTAATCATTCAAAACTTCCCTGAGGTATAGACGTCTAAATAGAGCAGGATGTAAGCCACTTACCCCAATGGCAAAGTAGAGGGTCGTCACAATAGACCCGAAATAAGCGGCCGTGAAGGGAAGTCGGGGTCCCGAGACTAAATGCCGGGCATAAGTCCAGGGTCCCATGAGAACAGCCCATGACATAAGAAACAGTAATGACCCGACAGACCATCTGAATGACAATTAGACCATGGTCTGCTGAAAGTCGCATACCTAGCATAGCTTCTAGTTGGGAGGGGAAATGACGCGGCCCGAGTCATGATGCACCTCCAGGACATAACTTACAGAATGGCAAATTTACGAGGCTTTGTTGCGAACACCATAAATAGGAAGAAGCACAAGGCAAAGCACACGGCCGCGCCCAAATTGCAGGCGACGAATATGAGCATGCGGTCCCATCGACTCACTGCACGCAAACAGAAATGTCAGTTATGAAGGATCAGCGTATTGATAAGCACATGAAAAAGAGGGATGACGCACAGGCAAAGAAGCTTTCTTCTTCCTCCCGTCGATTTGGGGCGGGTAAGGGAGCCCCCGGTGCTTCATGGGTAGGTAATCTCAAGTAACCCTCGTCTCGCGTAAACGGATTTAATGATCGCAGTTTCGAGAGAATGGGGGTCGACGAGTTGGTATTAACAGGACCGTCATCCCGTCGAGACCACCCTAATGAATTTACCGAATCACGAAACGACGTAGACGTCATATTCGGTTCTGCAGCAGTAGTAGACTGTGAATGAAAAATGGGGGTAGAATCGCGCAGTAATAATAATGCAAGTTGCCGCAGTCGTTTCACTAAGAGCGGGGGGCAGATGTGAAGGGGAAGCCTTGGGGTCAGCCCAAGCCAGCTAGCGACGAAGGAAAGGTCTGCAGAAACTTATGCACAGCGGAAACCGGTATGGACATGCAGATGATCTACAATATCGGTGGGTGACTAGGCGCGCGGAAGCTCAAAGCCGAAACGGACCAGGTGACTTTGCGCGGCCGGATTAAACTTCAGAGAGAGGCTATAGATAGGTGGTGCACACAACCCCGAGAACTGCTGACTATAGCAATGCTGCTGCGGATTGTGTGCTCGATGTGCAAGTAGACGTGTTCTCGGAAGCAACGTGAGAGTCCCTGCAGACTGGGACTAGGACTGTGGAACACCGGATCGGCCCGCAAGATGGGAGAAGCCACGTAGCAGCAGAAATATGGATGCTGGATACCGTTGGAGAAAGAGGAGAAGCGGATGTGTCTGGAAGAAGGGTGCAGGAGCGGGGAACAGGCCCGAGAGGACTCGAACTCGGGATTGAAACCGTATCGGCAGTATAATCCCAGACACGAACAATGGCACTTCTACTTTTTTTTAGAGAGAGAGAGAGAGAGGGAGAGAAAACCGGCGAATAGAGACTGTCTGGGATTCAGGAGAAGAAGCCTGCTCTCTTGTCTGTTAGTCAGATGACAATCAAGCGATAGGTAAGAAACCAGAGATGACGGGAGATGCAGGAGGGAGGGTTGTTTCAGATGAGATGGAGAAAATAGAAAAACTAAAAAGCTTCACACCTTCTTGCCCAGGACCTGACCTCTTGTTTATCCTGGCGACCTTGTTGACCGGGATGTGTCTGTCCAGCTGCTTTGGCGCGCGTCTAGTGGCAAACACCGCGGGTGGCACTTGACAAGGAGAGAGCGGTCTCCCGAGCGATGGGATTCGAACTAAGGCTGGAAGGATGGATGGAGGGAAACCAAATGGCACTGGTGGTGGTGTTGGCTGACGATGGGAGATGGAGGTGAAACGGTGTGAGAACAGCTCTGCTTACGGGATGCAGGCAACTCCGGCGCCAACCAGATGCATCTGCCAACACAATAGATCTTAGTATATTAAAAGTACTAGTTATTTAGGGACACGATATGATATCATCCAAGACGGTTCGTTGCTTTGACGATCGTCCATGCGCCTCGCAGATAGATCTCGTTGGTATCATGTCCTACAGTATCATAGTGCATGGTGCATGTACTCACTGCTCTCTCCAGCCTCTTGTCTTCTACATAAGAGGCATCTGATACAGCTACAGCCATGACATCAGCCGTGCCGGTATGATTCTTATCATTGCGGCTGCCTGAGACCAAAAGGAATGCGCAAGGCTGTACTTGTACCACCATCACCACCATCTTCCATCCATCCATCGTTCCCCCCCCAATCAGAATGCCAAAAGGAAAAACCATAAGGATCGGGATGGCGCAAGCACCCCCCTCGTAGTCTTCTAGTGTGTATGGTCTGTGAAGCCTCACTGTGTTTGACGATTGACGGCCCTGCAGCAGGCCTCCATACAGAACTCAGCATCCGTGCGAAGGAGTAGATAGACAAAAGGGTAGATGAGTGTCAAATGAGACGTGCAGGAGACAAAGTCCTCTCCCGGCCAAGGTCGCACTTCTTAAAAAGGGCCGACCGCTCCCCCTCTTTCTGAGCGTCTTTCGTGGTGGTTTCAGATCTGTTCTGTCTGTCCAGCGTCTGCAGCATCCGATCATCCTGTCGAGTGTAGTTGGAGCGTGTTGAGTGAATCAATTCTTGGGATATCTTAGCTTCATCATATAAACCGATCTCCCTCTTGCTGCCGCTCTCGCGCGGCTGAATTGCGCGTCATCGTCGAGGGTTGAAGTCTGCCTGGAGAGCGAGGGAACTCGGGCTTCACTCACGATACCCGCCTGTCCCGTCTCTCGAATCCTTTCATCTCGTCTCGTCTCCTTTTCTTTCATCGATTTCATCTTTCCATTCATCTCATCTGCTCCGCTTCCTCCCCCATCTCGCTTAGCAACTCATCGGATCCTTTCTCTCCACAGAATCTCTGCTGCATCTTCATCCCTTCCGACGTCCCTCTCTTCCTCCTCCTTCGCAGTCCCTGTCTATCCGTCTCGGCCTTGGAACGACCTCGGAATCCCGTCTGCGGCGCCCTGTACCCGCTGTGAATCCCGCGCCGTCTGCTTGTCTGCCCACATTTAAGTTTCTGCGGTGGACGGCGTCCCATCCATCCATTCATTTATTCCTTCATTTATTCATCGATTCCATCCACGGGTATTCCTTTTTATCGTCTCTGCTTTTCCTTTCCTGTTCTAGAAAGGAGGTGCGTATCTGCTGCTTAAAGTTTTCCCCAGCTGTTCCTCGCGGAGCCCCTCTTCTGCTGCATCCCCAGTCACCGCTAGTCGGTTAATTCACCGCGTTTCCACTTCCCCTTCTCCTTCTCTCTCTCTCTGCCTGTTGCTGTTCTTCTTATTATTCATCATCTTCTTCCTGTTTGCACATGAATGAATAAAATGAACCCTTCTACGCTCTGAATCAACTGATTTCAGATCGACTGACATCGTCCCCACTGTCATAGGCTCTTGAGGCGGCTTCCCCCACTTTCTACACGGCGTTTCTCCTTCGTCTCCATCCGGATCGCATTATATTTTCCGCAAGGGTTGTCTTCTTTTTCTTCCGTCGTACTAAGCGCTCTATCTATCTCCTGAACCCCCCCCAACCAAAAGAAAAGCCCCATCGACTCTCGTGTCGAGGGCATTCTGAACCTTTGGTTTTGTTGAGGAACTTGCGATGGCGGATGCGCTTTTCATCAAGAACGAACCCAACGATCACGGCAATTTCATAATGTCGCATTCAGGATATTCTATGCCAAACCAACAACAGTTTGGGAACCACTTTGGTAATGACAACGACGGTATCGATCCCTCGGATCTATCCATGCAGAACAACGGATTCATGCAGTTCGCCTTCGGTCCTCAGCAGAGCGTTTCGTCGAATTTCAATTTCGGGAATTCAGGCATCGGGACTGACGAGTTGCTGGACCTGGAAATAAACCCCCCGAACGACCTCCACCGAGGAGATGGCATGAACTACCTTCAGGATCAGCACCAGAACGCTGGTCTCTCCATGAGTCACCCGGGGACAATGGCCCAGTTGTACTCCCACACCCCCGACGGTGCTCCCATGCAGAGCCCTTTCCTTCAGAACAGCTTCAACTATGATCAGTTCAGATCCCTAAATCAACAGGCGCAACAGAACGCCTCACATTTCAACAGCCCGAGCACTGCCAACTTCGATCAGAGTTTCTTGAACGGCAAGTCGCGACCCAGCATGCAAGCGATCGACCGCGCCTCTGCCGACGCCCGGAGCCCCATGACGCCCAAGTCTGCCATGGGCTCTCTAGGTCTTGGCATCCCGGAGCCTAGTAGTTTTCCTACACAGCCCATCCGGGCCACGGCCCTATCCCACCGCCACCAAAAGAAACTGTCCAACCAGTGGGATGGAACTCCAGGCAGCGCACAGTCCTTTGTTGAGTCCCCCATTTCGTCACCCGGGCATCTGTCCCACCACGCCGGTATTTCCGAGGTCCTGAAGTCCGGCAAGCATGCCTCGTTGCCGGCCAAAGTTGACGACGGGTCTTTGTCGCCCAGTGCGCAAAGTCTGGAGTCGCAGGAGGCTAAGCGGCGACGTCGCAGGGCCTCACACAACCTGGTCGAGCGTCGACGGCGCGATAATATCAACGAACGTATCCAGGATCTCTCCCACTTGGTGCCTCAACACCGGCTAGAGGATGACAAGGTCCGGAAACAACTCGTCAATAACAGCACGCTGTCTGGATCGAACCCTGCTACATCGCTCCTCGCCGGTGGCAATGGCCGTCGTGCGACACCCGGTAACATTACGATGGGCCTGCCGATCGAGGAGAAGGAGAAAGGCCCCAACAAGGGCGATATCCTTAACGGCGCAGTGGGCTGGATGAGAGACCTCATGTGGGCTCTGCACGTCAAAATGCAGCAGGAATCGGAATTGGCGGAATTGATCAGCAGCCTGGGAGGCACCTGGCCCTTTGAGCAAACAGAGGAAGAGAAGCGCATGCGGACCGAGCTACTCGATGCTATCGAGAAGAACGACCCCGGCAGCTTCAACTACAGCAGGGGTCCTGGGAGCGGCCTGAGGGTACCCAAACATACGAATCTGGCTGGTGACTCCCTTTCTGGAAATGAAGCAAGTCCCCGAAGCCTCAACTCCCCTTTCAACGGCACTGGAAATAGCAACCATGGCGGCCAAAACCAGGCCCAGTTTTGGACCACCTCAGGCCACGCTGGGATCAGCTTCAAAGAAGAAGACGAATACTCAATGGACATGAATTAAGCGAACAGTTTACCATCACGGCTTTCTAGTATCTCGAGCGTGACACGATCTACTCTATGAAGATATGTTTGATGACACTGTTGCATACAAGGCGTCAAACGGAGGGCGGAATCCGTGGCCGGCGTATTCGTCTGGATTATAATCATCTTGCCATAGCCACTTTTCTTTTCTTTTCTTTTCTTTTTAACTTTGATCTACCTCTTAATCTTTCTCATTTACTCATATCATTCTACTACTGCGTCATCTTCTGGTATTGTTTATCTGGATCTTGATTTGTTGACGAAATTTGTGAATCTTCTCAGTGGATTCGAATCAGACTTGAATGGCCTATGCTTAATGACGGCTGTAATAAACTGGGAACCGAGGAGTTTTCAGGTCAATTCCCTTTTTCTTATTTGTTTTCACCTTTGTTTTTTTTTTCTTCCCCTCTGGAATCTTGTCCCCTCTGGACACATCTTGTATGTATCCATTATCTTATTCCCCCTTGGGAAACTGGTCAATCACAACTCAAGACAAGGGAGACAGGACAAGAGATCTGACCTGATGCGATGCAATGTGGTGTGCTGGAGGCATATGCCAAAAACTGCTTTACCCATTCATTTCATTTGATTGATATATTCAGTATGCGAAACTGGCAATGCGACTTCTCCCATCACAGCTGCATTTCTTTTTATTATTTTTATTCATTTTTTCTCTCTCTTGATACCCCCTTGTACAAGGTTTTAATTTACACTGCTAATGAAGATTGGATTTTCTGGTTTTTTCTATTCTGTTGTTGTCTTTTCTGTTGTCTAGGTATGCTTTGAACATTAGATAATAATGTATGAATTGTCCTCCATATATTTACAGAGTAAGGAAAGTTAATTAGCAAGATTGATTATTGATTGATTGAATTGCTATTTTTAATTTTTAATTTGGATCCGTACCTAGGTAATTGTCCGTTCTATCATGTCCTCAACTCACAGGTATGGTACATACATAGAAAAGATTGAAATGAGACGATATACAAGGAAAAAAAAAAAAAAAAAAAAAAAAAAAAAGAAAGAAACGGAAAAAAGCGTTCCATCTATCTATGAATTCGGCCTGCGCTCGTCTAATGTGCTTCCCCCTTCCTTCAAGTGAGTGTCCTCTTCCAGCAACGTTCTACTGGTATCTTCTTCTTTTTAGTTCATTCTCTTTTCCTCCTCATCTACTCCCCTCGCATTTTTCGGAAGAAATCCATGACACCCGTGAACACGACCAACAGGATACCACCGCCAGGACCCAACCGGAGCACCTTAGGCAGGAAACCCTTGTAAAGGGCGGGGAAGCCTTCCTCCTTCATGACGGTGCCAACGGCAGGCCAAGCCCAGTTATACTTGGGCGTCTGGCCGGGGATTTTGGGGCTGTTTTGGATGCGCGACTTGACGACATCCATCGGCGTGTTGAGAATAGTACCAGCCGTACCACCGATAGAGCCGGCAATCAAATCGTTGCGAGTCTGCTGTGCCTTGTTGCCCGGCTCGACGGCGGGGAGCTGCGCGCGGACCTGGAAGATACATCCGAAGTATCCGGCGTTCCAGAGGATGTGACGCCACAGTGTGGATTCCAGGCCGTTGTAAAGTGCCAGGGGACCCTCCTGCTTGACGATCTTCTTTACCACGTCTAGCATGCCGTTGTACTTGCCCGCGGATGCGCGGTCCTGAAGACGGATCTTGACCAGTTCGAAGGGCACGACGACGAAGGATTCAGTAGCTCCGGCAGTAGCGCCGGTCAGGATCGCGAGGGATTGCGTCTGTTTCTGTACGCCGAAGAGGTTGCGGTAGAAGGCGCCCCAGCTATCATTTGCGGCGAACTTGGTCGCACGCTTAGGTGCCTCCATGAGGATGGGCGCGGTGATACCGCGGTATAGACGGGAGGGGCTACGAGAGGTTTTCCAGTTTTTCATTAGTATTAATAGTTCTGGTGGATAGAATGATACGTTGGGATGGGAATTTTTTTTTCCTCTTCCTCAATAACCTCGGGCCATCTTGCATCTACTCCAATTCTCCGGGGGTGAAGGGAAAAGGCCAGAAAATGCATTCAAATAATACATACCCTTCATTCTTGACGATCTTGCGCAAGCAGTCAAACATGCCAGAATAGGCTTCCTCCCCAACGGCAGTGCTTGTCTGAAGCTGACTATTCGTTGCGCGCAAGGTGACCGAAGTTAGCTCTCAAGTAGAAAAAAAAAAAAAATAAATTTCCGGGGCCGTCGACATAGTTTCCGTGGGAGCAGACACTCCTGTTTTTACTTACACTCGTGTCTTGACAACATCCAATGGATACCTGGGACAACACAGTTAATATTTATTATTTCTTATCGCGTTGAGTCACATGCACAAAATTGCCGGGCAGAAGAAAAAGGGAAGTTGGCATACATGACGAGAATCTGCAATATTAAGGTCAACAAAGCATGCCATTGAAGCGGTAATCATGCATCTGCATCATAACATACCTCTGAGACCCCAGCTACTGCACCTGCGGCGAACTGGTAGCCAAAGGGGAGGGGTTTCTGGTTCGAGGACGACATGGTGGGTATGAATGATGGAACTGGAAACGGGACGGAGAAGGAGCAGGAGGTGAAGAGAACGGGAAAAAAGGGAAAAAGAACAAGGACAAGCACAGACCGCGACCAGACTGGGAGGAGGAAGAACAGGAAGAGTTGGAAGAGAGGAGAGAGAAGAGAGGTGAAGCTCAGCCGGTGTCGGGGCTTATCATATCACGGTATCACCGAGCCCTCGTCTGGAGGGACCGTACCGTATCGATACGGCGGTACCGTATCCGAAAGTTACGGGAGTGTTTCCGATTTTCCGCGGGGTCGGAGCGGATCAGTGTTCGTCCGGTCCCGATCCGGCCGATAAGATCGTCGAGCCCTAAGAGGACGAACCCTAAATTCCAAGTAGTCGCTGGCTGATACTAAACTTGGTACATCCGGTGAGTTTTCCTGCTGGAATAGAAGAAGAAGAATAACTGTAGAAAATAAAAGAATATATAAAATACCAATATTGAAAAATTTTCTATACAAAACGCATTCTCCGTGTTCTCCCACCGAGCGGATAGCATCTCGGCATTGAGCTGCAATGATCACATTGGTCTCAGTTCCCGACAGACGCTATGCCCGTTCTGGAAATCGTCATCATGCACACGTCTAGTAGACTCTACAATATTAAATGTTAAATAGGAGAACCACTTATTGTAATCATGGAATTCATGCAAATTTAACCTTATGTCGTCGTTATCATACCGTTCATTAATTACATGGTACACGGCTCGTAGTACTCGTACAAGTCATCGAGAAGTAGAGAAACCAGGATCAAAATGCCATCAAATGCAACCAAAATAGCAAGATCGTCCCCAAAACGCTGATTCCAAGCATCTTCACGTCGACCTGGAACATCAAACAGGATGCACTCTGGGCCTGCGGCTGAGGTTGTGCCTTGGCCACGGTCTGTGAGGCCGACGCCGACGCCCCTGTGGCTGACACGGTCGCTACACAGCTCGACCCGCATGCGAACCCGGACGGGCAGCACCCACCACCAGCAGTGTCGGCGCAGCTGAACCAGCCGTTCGCACATCTAACTGGCCCCGTCGCAGTCGTCGGCTCTGCGACTACAATAGTCCGGCTGTTTGACGTGAAGGTCGATGAGGAAAGCGCAGGGCACGATGTGGTGTCGCAGTTGCGGCCTGTGCGGCAGCAGCCGCCATGGTAAACAGCTGAGCAGGCGTAGAAACCCGTTGGGCAGATTGATCCGGTGCCAGAGCTGCTAGTGGTTTGCGTGGTTGTGTATTCCGAGGAGCCGGTAGGACGTGCCGGTGGGACGAGGCTGTCCGTTGAATACGTGGCTGCAGGACTGCTTATAGTCGTTGGTGCTATGGCCGCTGAAGACGAGCTGCTAGGGTGCACGGTGACCGTAACCGTGGAAATTCGTGCGCCTGCAATGCATCAGTAACTACGTGTATACAGATCCCAAGGGAACAGGTAGCAACTCACATCCACCGCTAACGCACTCGTATCCAGGAATGCAACAGCCACCTCCCAAGGATTCCGGACAAGTACTATACCCTACCGGACAGGAACCCACGGGTCCAGAACAGGATACTCCTGCGGGGCAGCAGCCAACTGCCTGGGATCCAGACCACTGGACCAGCTCACAGACATCTCCCGCAGCACAACAACTTTCTGGTCTATTAATTGACGAACAACCGTACGTGCCACCAGGACACTGGAAATCTCTCTTATACAGCCTGAGAAAAAAGTCTCGTGCATATTGAACAGGAGTATGTAAAGAGAAAGCTGACCGAAACGGATAAGACCGCGGGATGAGCATCCCTGACACATTGGATGGCACTGGGGAAATATCTTGTATTGAAGGCGCGTCTCCGTCGAAATCCCAATACTCTAAAAAGAACTTCTCACCCTCATCATCGCTCATCTTCCTTACTCCCCGAATTGGGAACTGAGCTAATTTCACTGCAATATCTGCATTGCGTTGGAGAACTTCTGTGACCGATGAGGACTCGTTTGTGGGCTCTGCGTTGGCTGAGAAGGAAATGGATAGTACTGTTGAGGTTAAGGCTAACGCAAGTGAGAGCAACATTGGATTTAGAGACTGCAGATATAATTCAGAGACACCTGTGATGTAAATTATCAGCTTCCATGCCATGCAAATTCCATGGATAATTGAAGTGAAGGATAATGTTACAATTAGAGAAATGTTGGGTTATCAGAATTAATCTGTACTGACTTGAATGTCTTACCAATGCTGGTATCAGAATGTGCAGAAAACCATGTAGATTGTAGATTCCACTTGATAAAATCCGATCTAAAAACTGATTCTCAGAAGCATTCTTCCCTTCAAGCTGTGTGATGTTGGACAACAAACAGTCGCTTGAATTTGATAAAAGCGATGGCTGGGATCCATTCTGCTGGCAGTTCCACACCGCCTCTTTATCGCCATAACAATATTCTCACCGCTTAATATTACTACATCCGGACATTCATTTCGTTTTGAGGATACGGAGTACACTGTAGGGCATTAGGAATGGAGAACATAATTCAGGCAACTATTATGCATCTGCTTTGGCTTCTCTGAGTCCCATCCGAATATATGGTTGCGGTTCAGCGGGTGTATAACTTGGCCTGTACGAGGATCTTCCTTACTGCCTTTGGACTAGCTTTGGCGGCGCTCTGTACGACGAGGCCGGAGTTCTGCATCCCGAGTCCCAACCCAAAGCCGGATAGAAACTGGTAACCGATCCAGTATAATGAGCTGGTGTGGAGGTTGAAGGTCGACATCAGGCCCAGTCCCACAGACAGGATGCATGGGCAGAGGCACATGGTTGGGACGTAGTAACCGATCTTTTGGGTAATGAAGCTGGATACAAAGCTTCCGACAACTAAACTGAGTACGAGAGGCAGTGTGTAGATGCCGGACTTGACGGGATTGACCAGCTTAACGGTTTGAACTGGTGGTCTCATCAGTAAGGGCACTTTGTTGAAGTGTAATGGGCTCTTACACCAGATTGGAACATAGTAAATGATCATCGTCATAGTGCTCGCCGCAAAGAAGGTGAAGAGGGCCGTACATAGGATACTCCTGCGACTAACCACTCGAGCAGGAATGGTCGCCGTATGAGGCATCAGGATCTGAACGGCAGCGAAGGCCAGCATCAGAACGCCAAACGATTGCTGTTCCAGGCATATGCTGAGCCACCCCACTGAAAAGCCAACAGGAGACAAACGATGGATGACGCAAAGAAGAACATGCCCAGGGGATCAAGATGCTTGATATGTGTCCCGGCGTGAGTGGTCTCACCACTGTTCGGCATTTGTGGACTCCACACCCAAGATCATGAACAGCAGACTGACTGCACCAATGGGTAGATTAATATAGAAGCACCATCTAAGTTTGTTCTGCCTAGTCAGTGATTATCCCCCCCGTGCTAATCATATAAATGCCCTGAGGGTGCCTACCTCCAAGTAACACCGTTGGTAAAGCCACTGCCAACCAGGGGACCCATGACAGAAGCAATTGCAAGGACAGCTCCAAACATTCCTTGAAATAGGCCGTTTATGCAGCGGGACCAAGGGAATAATGATGAGCATGCATCCGGAGAAGACACCCGCCGAGGCAAACCCGGCAATGGCACGGCCGGCTATGAAGGCGTTCGAGTTGGGAGCAGCGCCGCAGATAGCTGAGCCAATCTCGAAGATGACCACAGCAGCCAAAAAGACCATTTCATGCCATAGAGCTTGTAAAGACGTCCGAAGAGGAGCTGGGACGTTGCGCTGGTCAGCATGTATGCCGAGCCATACCAGCCAATATCTCCCAGGCTGTTGAAGTCACCGGTGATGCGAGGGATGGCTGTCGTGACAATTGTCCGGTCGAGGGCAACGAGGAAGAGACATAGAACGTTGGAGAACATGATAAGCCAGAATCTGAATGTCTTGAACTGGTACTGGCTTCCTGGTAGACCTCCTGCAGGCCCTTGAAGCCCTTCTGACGGAGGAGATACATCTTGCTTCTCAACGTCCTTGACGCAGGTTGAAGACCCGAATAATGTCGAAAAACACGTTGGTCATGGACAGATCCTTGTGGTTGCATTTCTACTGTCTGCACCAACAAGGGAGAAGCTGGTATATTTATGGCCTTCAACCTGTTCAACGCAGAGGCCGACATCCTTCATAAGCAGAGAGCAGAAGCCTCCTTGAACATTCACTTGTCCGTGTCGGGCAGGAAGTGCAGTCGAATTGAAGCTGGCGGGAAGATCAACGACGCTTTCGGGACCGAAGAGACCGTCTTCCCGCCGAAGTAAATATAATAATAACATCTTTTGCTCTTCAGAAGTCCTCCACCTCCCCGACAAACTCGGCCATGAGTTTGAAAAGAGGCCACTCATGTGTCCTCTGCCAGCAACGCAAGGTCCGCTACGACCAGCAGAAACCCTGCGCCAACTGTGTTCGGGCACAGGTTGAGTGCGGAGTCGTGGCTCCGCAGCCCGTGAGGAGGAGGAAGAAGAAGCTGCACGAACGGGATCTGGTCGAACGGCCGCAGAAGCATGAGATACTCATGGCCCAGAATGGTATTGACTTTGATTCAGTCTTGGATAGCAGAGAGGTTGCTCACTACGAGGAGTATCGCACCAGCTACGCTACGACCTGCTGCACAGTTCGTCCGATGAAGGATACGAGCGCCCTACGACGGACCACGCCTTCGATACCATGTTCAGCGATGCTACGGATGGCTTCCCCTGCTTTCTCGGTGGCTCAGGCTTCCCGACTCACATTACCCATCCACATCCACCAGCCATCCAGACCTTCCAGCTGTGGCAGGTGTACATCAATAACGTCGACCCTCTCCTGAAGATCAGTCATGTTCCAACGCTGCAGACCCAGATTGTGGGTGCAGGCGCCGACTTGGAGAACACCTCCAGGCCTCTCGAGGCCCTGATGTTCTGCATCTACCTCATAGCAGTCAAGTCGATGCCCGAGGACGAGGTCCAGATGGCCCTTGGGGAAGTCATCCTGCTGAACCGGTACAATGAGGCTGCGCAACAGGCCTTGATCAATGCTAGTTTCGTGATCGAATGAGCTCACGGTCCTCCAGACTTACCTGCTATATCTCGTAAGGGTCACCTTTCTCAACTCTCTTTCTGTTCCGTGCAGATGCTTAACTTTTTTTTTTCTGCGCATGTATTATAGTTCAGTGCAGGACGCGATGTCGACCCTCGATCTCTCTTCTGCTTGATTGGTATTGCTGTACGCGTAGCCACTCATCTAGGCCTGCATCGAGATGGCGCCCAGCTTGGTCTGTTCCCCTTCGAGACAGAGCAACGGAGGCGACTTTGGTGGCAGCTCATTGTCCTCGACCAACGAATGGCCGAGATGACCGGTTCTGCTATCATGGCTCTCTCGTCTTCTGGCGCAGATTGTCGATTGCCTCTCAATGTAAACGATACGGACCTTCACCCGCATGCTGAGGACTTCCCGAGACCTCATACAAGGCCAACGGAAATGCTTCTCTGCCTCACGCGTATTGAGCTCACCATCGCCGCTGCTACCCTACAGCCATTAGAAATCAACATCAACATGAGCTTCGAAATCCTCACCCAACATCATCCCCTGGTCCTGGCACTCACGAAGCAACTACACGTCGGCCATCGCTCCACAATCCGGATCAGGATCAGGACAACTACACCTACATCGAACCCGTCTACCTTAAGTACTGTGATCCCAAGATCCCAAGATCCCAATCCAACTCTTAACTCTGATGGCGACGCACGCATCGCTAAAAAAAAAAAAAAAAAAACTCAAAACTGATATTTAAACAGAAAAGGTCTACCGATGTATAAGGAGCGCAGAGAAAACGAATTTATAAAACAAGGAGAGACCGTAGGGTTTCTCTCCTAGTATCATCACAGTTATCATAACAGGGCCACAATGATTGATGGCAGGGTATCTTCAGCGAGATGTGAAACATGCAAAACTAATGGCTTGAACGTGATAATAGTCAATGCTAAACAAAGGCACAGGGGGAAGGCAAACTGTTGCGATGTAACAGTTCGAGTGCCGCAGAAGGTTCCACAGAAATAACAGGTAGGCATGTAGCAGACGTGAAAATGCGAAGATCAAAAAGCATAGAAAAGATAACAGCAATGTATAAAAGAAAAATATAAAAGTAAAAGTAGGGGGTCTGCTTCCACACCTACTTAGAAAATATGGCTGGCAACCAAGACGACCGTTTTCTAGAAGACTCTGATCCTAGAATCAGGGTTGCCGGAATCAAGCATAGTTGGGAGGCAAGCTGAAGCTACGCACCGGGAGGGCTTGGTGATCCATCATTCTTTGCGGCCTCTTCCCCTTTTTGGCCTTCTTCTTGAATCTCGCTTTCTTGGCTCTTTTGGGATTCGTCGCTTTCATGGGCCACGGTAGCCTCATCGCCCTCATGTCTCTCCTCACTCTTCTGGTCCTCCTGGTTTTCCTTGGTCTCTTGGATCTCCTGACCTTCCTGGACTTCCTGGGCTTTCTCTTGTTCTTGCTCCAGGTCAGAAGCTTCTGCAGGCGACGCCTTTCCTTCCGCTGCATCTGCTCCTCCATTTTCGGCTGTCGTATCAACCGGATTCTCATTTTCCGGTTCATGTTCTGTTTCAACTGGTTGCCCTGCCTGCGCAGATTCCGCTGCTTCCCTTCGAGTCTTTTCGATCTCCGCAGCTCTAGCCTGCTGTCTCTCCCAGACCTCCTTTCTAATACGCTCATCCTTGGTCCGGCGTATTCTTTCCGTCTCTTCCACGCCACCGCTCTTCTTCAGTTTGCCTTCTTGAACAAATGTGCCCAATTCTTTCTGGAAACGACCAACCCCGCGGCTCTCCAACTCCTTCCTTCGCGCCTTTTCCGCTCGTTCAATCGCTTCTAGTCGGGATTCGTGATTAGGCTGAAGAGCGCGAACTTCACCCAACATATCATCTTTAGCCTTCATAGGGTCAGCTGCCGGTTCGATGATCAAATTCCGTGAGTTATTCCGCAGGACAATCCCATTCGCAACCTGCGCTTCCTGCTGTTTGGTAGCCTGTTCAACGAGCGCGAAAGTCTGTGCGGCCTTCTCAACATCATCTTCGAGATCCGCAGCCAGGTCTTCCTGCATGGTGAGTTGATCTCGCTCTTCACAAACCAGCTGTAGTTCGGCTTCCCATATTTTGGTCCAAACAGGCTTCTCGCGTTTCAAGAATTCTTTCATCTTCTTAATTTGTTTGACGGCATCACTAATATCCCTGCTCACACTATCGAGCTGTCTCGGCAGGGGCCGCACCCCGCGGCTAACCACATCCTTGCGGAGGTCCTCAACAAGATCCTGGAGGTCATCAACACGCGCAACCAGTCGCTCAGATTCATCCGCAAGCTCTTTCTTCCCAGAATTGACACGAGCACGACCGGCATTTCCTTCATATGATGGAACGGACATATCCACTGCCACACTTTTGACATTCTTCGCTTTTGTGCGAATTGCACTCATTGAGGCGCCAATATCAGATGTGAAGTTCGAGTACGTCTGGCGCAGAACTGCTAAATCACGGCGCAAGCTTTGAAGTTCAGTAATTTGGTCGTCGCTTCCTGATATTGGACCTTTCGGTTTCCCACCGCCATTCGAGGCATTAGGCACGGGTAAGCGGGGCGCGGTAGCAAGGCGGGCGATTTCTTTAGCAGCTTCTAATTGACTCTCTGAAACACGCTGTATAGAGCTTTCTTGCTCCTCAAGAGCTGCTTTCACCCCCTCGATTAAGTTGCGAACACCACCAAAGCCTTCGTCAAAATGCCTCCTAACCTCATCTAGAGCGTCAACGTTCAACACAAGGACTGATCTGTCCTTCACATCACTCAAATCTTCGAGTTCATGTCGAACACCAGAGATAGGATCTTGAATGTAAATCTCAGGTAAATCCGCTCCATTATTGTGAGTATTCCATGCAAATTTCTCTATAAAAGCCAGCTGAAGTCTCCCAAGAGTAAGGCCAGTAAATCCCTCCGGAAGGATGTACTTCTTGATCTTACTTCTGTACTGCAGGAATAAAGTCAGTTCTTTCCCGGGGGTCGGCTGCTCGGAAGTAAATGGGGAAGCCTGAGGAGGCGTGGAGATAACAGTCGGGTGTGCTTGGTGTGTAGGCTGCGGAGTTGCTGGAGCCACATCTGCTGCAGGCATCGAGTCTTTCGCTGGTTCAACTTTCTCGTTAACCTCTTCGGGACCAGGAGGCAGACTTGGCTGCGGTCCATTGATAGAAACCCCCCGGTCCCAATCTGAAGGACGACAAACCTTGTCTTCTGGGGTTTTCGCGGTCGGGGAGTCACTTGGGGGGCCCGCTGTAGGTGGTTCAACACGAAGGTCTCGGTGACCTTCCTCACCTTCATCCGGGATACTCGGAGGTATCTGGGGCAGGCCGGATTTAGCGTAATTTTGTTCATGGGAGCGATTCGTGGGCCGTTGCCTACCATGCGCGTACGAACCACGCAAGCGCACGGCATTTAGAGACTCGCGGGCATCACGGCCTCTATTTGGAACAGGAGAATTTTGAGACGGAAGCACGGGGACTCCATTTGAGGATGCACCGAGGTGCTTTTGTATTTGATAAGCAGAAAACCGTCTCGAGGCACGTCGCTCCAGTTCGCCACTTCTTTGAAGAGCCCCTATAGCGTCATCCTGTTTCGGAGGAGGCGGAGGTGGGGGGTAAGGACTGGAATTGGAAGATGGCGTGGCTAGTACTGAAGGTGAGCCACCGCCTGGATAAGGGAGAGGGGGGCCATTAGGCATTTCACGTCTTGAGGCTTCTCTTTCGGAATAACTCCCCCCTCGTGCATCACTCATAGCATTCGCCGAGGAGGACCGGGGCAATATAGGCTGGTCTTCGACGGAACCACCGCTTCCATACCGACGTGTCCAAGGACGTTTTGATGGGGATGTGGGAGCGTATTCTTCATGCACCTGGGTTGTTCCCGGTGGTCCGCTTGCTGCACTTGCAGAGCTTCCCTGCCGCCCGGGTAAGCCTCGGCTATCATCTCTTTGTTGGCGCGAGCGTAGGCGAGCCTGTTTCTTCTTGAGGCCATGCAGTAAATTGATGATGATGTCGCGGATGCGAGGGAGATAGCGGTCAAGGCTCTGCGGTGAAGCATCCTGACTGAGAGTATCCTCGAGGATGGTACGAAGTAGGTCTGGGACTGGGCCCAAGTCCGAAGTGTCGACCCCTATAGCATTGAACGCACGACATGCCAAATTGAATTCATACCCAAGGCGCACATAAACATCTGAAACCTCATTCTCCGACGCCTGCTGCCGAGACCACTGTGTCAACGTTTCCAACAATTGTTTCGTAGCAACTAAGAGATGCGTAACACTCTTTTCTATCTGGGAAATTTGCTTATCGGGCTGCAAAAAAGACGTTAAAAAGCATGTTAGCAGAAAGGCTCTTGAAAGACCTAAAGAATCGAGGTGGAACAACTCACAACGACGGCATTCCCTCTAGCAGACTGGGCCCTTGCGGAACCCGATGAGCTTCGCGAACCGGATGCGCTCTCGATACTTCCGGATCTGAATTGAGACGTCGGGCTATATTTTCCAGACTCGCTTGGATGTTTTGGTCGCTGCGAAGAGCGAGATAGACTTGAGGATGGCTGCATGTGAAGGAGAGGTCCGCTGAATGTCGACGTCAAGGGGACAAGAGAGCTGCTAGATCAAGCACAGGAGTGGGGATTCAAGGGGCTTTGAAACAACCGGTCTCTGGCTGATGGGTTCGATAAATATACTGGACAACTGGACAACTTGACCGAAGGTTGGCTGATGTTCAGTACAGAGTCGTAGCACACCGTAGGATGAGTGTATGATGAACAATTCATTCCCGTTTCGGCAGGGAAGTCACATGCCACGCCAGCCTCCACCTTTTTGCTGACATCCCGGACATCTACTCCGTACTGACGGCATCTATAGAGGACGCTGTAAGTATCTCCTAAGGAGTTTTTCTTCAAACAGTGGGATAAAATTAAGCCAGAGATCATGTCAGATTAAGTTGCCGTTCCTTGTGATCTGTCCAACTATACAACCATTTGCTAACCATATGCAGGTAGCATTGGCAGCCTAACTCTGAAGTACTATGAGGAAACCAAACCAGCCGTGGGAGGCGAAGCGAGGAGCAAGCCAATAGCCAACTCCCGTCTGCCAGGCGTTTACCGCAGCATTGACGATATTCATGCCCCTTTGGGAAGAACCTCTGAAGATACCTATGCAATGATTGAATAATAAGAAAGTAACCCGCGAGCGAGCCGTGCAAGCGAACAGGAAAGAAACGGCGAAGTAGCCATCGCAGATTTTGGGGAAGCTTTTTTAACACCACTGGATTACCAAAGTAACTTTCGCATGGCAATGAATCAGGCTATAAGGATCGTTGCGCCTAAGGAAGCAACGATTGCTATGTTACTTGAGCGATTATCAGAAGCCTGGCGTGTATACGGAGTAGAATGAAACTATTCCTTTGATATTGTCTTGTCTCAAAAATCATACAGAAGGCACTCTCAAAAAGCAAGATCGATTGATTACAATATGTACTTTGCAATACATGCAAAAAACACTAGATAACAGAAGTCACCAAGTTAACTGCTATTATAGGCCCATTATAATGCCCAAGCCAGAAGTGTCAGGTGACTGCATGGATAGGAGACACAAAGAAGGCCAAGAATAGCATATTGCTTCTGGTCCTGATTGAACCTTCGCGATCTGTCTTTGATAACATAGTATAATAATAGATCATACTGGATATAAGCTCTGCGATGGAGCAAGCATATCAAGAAAGGGTCATGATGAACGCATGTCTAGTAGAATGCAGACAGACAGCTGTGGCAGCTCCAACAGCTGCTGTGTTTAGACTTTGCCAAGAACGGTAATTACCTCTGGTTACCATACATACAGACAATACCCACGTACCGTACATACCCATACGCATACACAGCGCTGTCTCCTCTCGCCTCCTCAAACCAAACCAAACCAGCTACAAAGTTGAGTCGGCTGTCTCCAGACGCCTTGCTCTCCTTCCCCTCTTCCCCCATCACCCCTCCTATCCCCCTTCAAACCTCTGTCTGCTTCAATTGAGGCCTTGAAGTTTCTTGCATCCCCTCTATTTTACCCTTCTGCCGCTGCTGGTACTTCATCAGTGCAGGCGGTGTGCTGTGGCTTCGTGCCCTCCTCACCCCCCGTCTCTTAGGCTTTGCGTCGTGCGAAGTTCCACGACGCAAGCTCTCCTTGCCAACTGAGCCAGATGGCTTCTACCATCAACACCGTCCCAGCAGCCAGCAATGCGGCTGGTAATGCTGTTAACGCTCCCACACAGAATACCGGGCCCAGGTCTTCGTTGAGGTCAAACAACTCCAAGACGCCGGACGGAGGTCGACGACAACAGTCTGGTAGCCCCGTTGACGGTGGACAGAGGTACGTACATTGTATTGGCTGCTCTGCTCTCTCTTGCGCCTTACTCGCTGCCTTGGACCCTTTGGTCTTTGTGTGCTGTCCTGTAGCCCACCTTCTGGGATGGCTGCTTTGATGTTTCTTGTGTTCTACAAATGGATGGTTTCTTTGCACGTGTCATCGGACTAGCTAGCTGTCCCTGTCTAGGCTGGCCGATTTTCTACATTGCGTTGTTCCAGCTTGGGCGGCTTTCTTGAATATTCTTTGCTTTTGCATTATGGATCATTTTCTCCTTGCAACTTGCTGACCTCTAATCCCTGACAGACGACCTAACTCCCAAAGGATATGGTCTCAAGCTACCAATCCCGCGACCCAACGACCTTCGTATCCGCAGCAGAACGGAAACATGCTTCACCAAAAACCCGCTGCCTCTCCCAAACCGGCTCTGAGAGAGTCTAACACTCCAGATAGCCATGCTCATGACCGTCTCATCTTCCTCCTCACTAGTTTCATTGTGAGCTTGTCACCTTCTCAGATTGCATAATATATCATACTCATTGCCTTTAGGGACTTGTTACTACCGTCATTACAAAAAACGGAGATAAATTCTCGGGGGTTTTCTCTTCTTCAACCCTAGAGCCAAATGACTCGTCCTTTGTTCTCAAGATGGTCCACCGACCCTCACAACAAGAACAATCGCGAACCAATGGAGTGAGTGAAGTTGCCAGCCCATATCTGGGTTCTGCGCCAGACCATAGTATGGTCTTCGATATTAAGGATATTGTCGACATTTCCGTTGCAAATGTTTCAACATCTGATGTCTTAACAAAAAGCTCAAAGGGTATGTCAAAACTGAGCTTGCAATACAAGTGCATTCATATCTAACATTACCTCAGGCACTTCTTCCAACTTCCGAACGGACACTGATATATCCGGTAATATTGCTATTCGCGAACGCACTTTGAAGCGTTGGGAGCCTGCCGCTGATGTGGATGTCGATATGTCTCTGGAAACGACCACAAGCACCGCGGGCTGGGACCAATTTGAAGCCAACGAGCGGCTTTTTGGTGCCACAACCAGCTATGATGAAAATATTTACACTACTCGGATTGACCGTTCGGATCCTTCCTACAAGCGGAAGGAGGCAGAGGCGGCTCGCATCGCACGCGAGATAGAATCTAGCGACGCAAACAACGCACATGTGAGGGAGGAGAGAGGTCTGGCGCCCATTGACGATTCTGGCCGAGACGAGGAAGAGAAGTATAGTGGTGTCCGTCGCGATGAAACGACCTTATCCCCTCTTGCTTCTGGACAACCGAACAAGTACACCCCACCGGCGCGCAGGCAACTTGCTGCCCAGCCTACCACTGCCGCTGCTACTGTGTCCGCAAACGCGGTCAAACCTGTGCCGACTGCAACGACAGGCACACCTGCTCCTGTGCCACCAAAGCAAGCAGTCACTTCTGGCGTTCCGCAGGAAAAGCTGCAACAGCTAGCACAGCCCACCCCGGCCGCTGTTGCAGATGACAAATCGGGACCTGCGAAGACTGTCGCCGGCACCACACCCGCCCCGAAGCGTCCTAGTCCAGAGAATGCCACCGTTAACGTGGAAACCGAGGTGCTAGATCACTTCCGACAGTTTGCTAACAGCGAGAAACTGAAGATGCAAGAACGCCGCCGCAATCAGGCTTCCTACGACCGGACAGTCAAATTGAACGAACTAATGAAGTTCTCGAAGAATTTCAAGCTTGCCACCCCTGTCCCCAAGGATCTGGTGCCTATTCTCGCCAAGGATCCCAGTAAGCAAGAAAAGATTATCCAGAAAGCTCAGCAGCAAGCGGACGAGAGGTCGGCTGCCAAACCCACCCCTGTCGCTACTGAGCAGAAGCAAGCCCCTCGTGCTCCAGGCCCTGCTCGTTATGAAAGTGGAACGGTGCCGCCCTCAACCCAGCCTGACCGCCAAAGTTATCCTCGTGGTCGTCCCGCATACCCTCCTACTGGCCCACAGGCTGCTCAAGGAGGGCGCCTCCAGCATCCGCCGATGCATGCCGGTCGGTCAGCAACTGGCATGCTCAGTCATCGCCTAGCAGATAATTTACAGCAGCGTAAGGGAGCGGCCATGGGCTCTGTGCCTGCCCCCCTATCGATTACCGATACACAGACCCCCCCCTCTGGTCCTGCTAGTAATCATTCTGGCGTCTCCAGTCCAAATAAGACTCAGACGCCAACATCTGCTACGTCGACCAAGCTCAATGTCAGGGCTTCGGAGTTCAAGCCCAATCCCGCGGCAAGCACATTTACTCCCCATGCTTCTTCTAGTCCGATTGTCCGAGGTCCCTCCGTCGCTCGTGTTACTAGCCCGTCAGCTTTCTTTGGGACGAAGGAGCTGCTGCCGGTCTCAGAACGGCCATCCATTGCTAACCAGTTCAATCCTATCAAACGCATGAAGAAAGAGGCCGAGGAACAGCCCGAGAAAGATTACACGTTCAACGGTGGTATCCCTCCTGCATATAAGACCCCACCAACATGGGACGTCTCTCCTGAGAATGAAGAGAAGACATACTTGCAAATGTTCAAGCAGCCTGTTGTTGTGCCTTCGATTTCGCCTCAAGTTCGCTCTGCGACCAACCCTCAAGCACCTCACCAGCATCAATTGCCATTCCAATTTCCGCAGTCAAGTCCGAATGTCCCTCCGGCTACAGGCGCAGCTCATGCGCCGCACCACCTTCATCCTCAGCAGCACCATGGATCAGGTCCCGCGCATTTTGATGACCATCGGATGCAGTTTTCTGCATCCACTTCACAAATTTTCCCTTCTCCTCGACTTCAAAACAGCCATGTTGCTTACCCATCTCCTATGGCTCCGCAAGCACAACTTGCATTCAATCAACCTATACCACAGTTCTATGTAAACCAAGGTGCACCCCAGCCGGCTCACCTCAGACCTTATCCTGGTGTGCCACAGTTCATGAATCCCCAAGCAGCTATGGGAGCACCCATGATGGTCCAACAACCTTCCACTGGTTCTTATATGAATGTCCCTCAGGGGATGGCTCCTTATACTCCTCAAATGCAGATGTACTCGCCCAGTCCTGCGCACGCGTACCCTCAACACGCCCCTCCTCCCCAGCCTCACAGTGGGTATCCGAGCCCAAGTCGTGGCGCGCCGATGATGATGCATCAAAATTCGCAGCCCGGCCAGCCACCACAACCTGTCATGTTTATGGCTCCAGGGCACCATGGGCAACCAGTATACCCCGCTCAGCAGCCGGCTCATAGTAAGTTTTGATATCTTTAATGCTGTATGCTGCTTAATCAATCACTAATCGTTTAACCAGTGCGCCCAGGCTATCCTCAACATCAGCCCCATTTTTCTTCTAGCCCTCATCAGGCGCATCACTATCCACCTCACCAGAATCGGACGCCTAGCACTAGTTATAACCAGATGCCTCAAATGCCGCATCACATACCTTCACAACCTCAGCCAACGGTTACACCTAGCTCACACGCACCTGAAGCTACGGATGAAGTGAAATGAGCTTTCCAGCCAATAAGAAATTAACAAGTCTTCTCGCTTGGCTTACTCAGCGACCTAGAGGACTTACCTCGCACTCCAGTCTTGCTATCATCTGGTGTGAGGTGCTGTCCTATATTGACAATTTAAATTTCGCATAAAACGAACTTCCAATGAGTTTCCGATATGTATCTGTATCTTGATTTGCTTTCTCTATACTTGTCTACATACGCCAAGAGAGTTTGGATGTGTGCTAAACAGGAGATGGCATCCATACCGGTAATGTTGCCCAACCTGTCTGGGATTGTCTTCATGTTCTGACAGTTTTTACAGTAAATTATTGACCTCTATTTTGCGGCTTCGCCTTTTTTTGCTGCTTAAAATGTCGAAATCAGGCGAAGACGGGGGATGTATGTTGTTGAATGGAGGTGTCTTGACCTGCCCCCGGGTGAATTGCGACGAGCTTGACCGTTACATGGCTTTCAAAACACTGTTCCGCCTGTACTGGCCCAATATTACATACATACTCCGGGCTGCCTGGCATGGACACCCTGGGGAAGTTCGACGGGATTCCTCCACGTTTCATAGCATGACTCGTGAGACAGGTCCTTTGCTGGAATTGAAAATGAGAACGAACCACTGTTTCAGATCCATCTTTCTGGTGTTTGCGACGCCTATTATTCTTGTCCGTTTCCACCGAAAAGCTTACACCGAGAATGGTAGGGAAAGGCGTTAGGGGGGCAAAAGTCGGGCATTCTGGAAGGATCGAAAACGCCTTCTAATGGCAAGTCAGCTTCATCCTCAGATACCGTTGTCGCGTGCAACTAGCATATATTATTGCAGAGAGATAGGTATCGCAATATCATCATAACTTAGGGATTGGGAGACTAAGTAGTAGTACCAGTAATTAGGGGAGGTTGACAATGTGTTACAAGACCATCGGGAGTGATAGCAAATGAGTTGGTACAGTTCCTTCCCCCATTCTATACATAGTATGAAAATACCATCCTCTGTAACAAGACCCTGCGTCGACATCTAATCAAGAGCTATTATAGCGTAGCTAGCATAGCATATCTAACTTTCTAATATGTTAGCCCACAGACATCAAAAAGGATAGATAGTAAGGGGAGAACAAGAATAGCAAAGCAGCATCTCCTCAGGTCTTTTCAGTTTATTTTGGTCGTCATTCCACCAAAACGGCAAAACCGTACCCATGGTGCTAGTCCTTTCATTCCAACCACAACCGAGAACGGCGGCCATCGAAGACGGGAGAATAATCCGAGAAACTGAGAGTCAAGATTCCGCCCCTCCATATATTGACTGGTGAGAAAAGGAAGACCATCACCTTGCTAGGCGTCCCAAATCCCGTATCCGCTCCTTTTTACCCCACTTTTCTTGGCTTCTCTTCCCCTTAGCTGATTGACTAATATTCATGTTCGCCACTGCCATTAGTTCCTGAAATTCCTCATGGAGACGGAGCGGACCAGGAACCCCAGTTGCGGCACGTATTTTGATGTACACACGTCCCTCCCAAGGTAAGTCTTGAAAGATTACCCAGTCAGGTAATCTTGAGATCTATACCCTATGCCTTTTATCATTTTCAAAGTCATGTGCGCAAAATCGAAGAAGAGAGAAAGCGGGAGAAAAGAACGTGGGTGGACGAAAACGAATATGGGAGAAGCAAAAGAGATGAGATCAACTTCAATTTATCACCGTACATCAATAAAGAACGAAAACTGGAGACAAGATCCCCGACCTCTCAGACCTAGGACTTCTCGCTTCGTTTCAAAGCCAGTGGGTTCTTGGTTGTGGTGGATTGATAAAGAGCTGAGCACGCTTCGAGACCACGATCTTGCGCGGTTTGGGGGTTTTAGTGAGGTCTGACCTTTTACCAGTATCACATCATTGGAGAATATACGCATTCATGTCGCGTCATTTATGTTGCGTTGAGTTCAAATATAGAGGAAAGTTGAACGCACCTAGAGCTCTCGGAAGGACGCTGACAGGAAATGGATAGCTAGCGTAAGGCTTAAAGGTATTTCCGGGAACTAAATGAATCTGTAAAGGTAGCACGGGTTTCACAAGCATCATTGTCTATCTGACTCTGCATCTTGATTTACAGAACAGAGTCGAGTCGTGGTTGATTGAAGAAGGCGAAGTCGCGAAGTGATAGAAAGTTGAAAGATAAAGCTGCGGCGAGAGTAGCGCTAAACCCGATCGGGACGGAGATGAGCGTGGGTCCCGCGGCGTGTTGAAAGCAACTGGCGAAACGGCTGTCACTCGCTGTCCCTACGATCCCTTACATTTCATATTACTCTTGGAGACGCAGAGGGTGCTGTAGTGCTTGCTCCTGGTGTCACATTGGAGACCGTGAAGGTATTCTTCCACGAAGCGCACCGAGAACCCGCAGCGTTAGCCCCCCTGCTGCAGCCATGGACTTTCTCAAATCAGCCGTTGCATCTGCCATCGCCAAAGGCAGTTCGTTTCCTTGTTCTCTCGGGGAGAGAGTCGATAATGGCGACTCGATTTGGACGCTCCATAATGCAACGAAACGGGTATAGTGGCTGCTTTTTTTATGTCAAGCGAAATAGCACAGTTACAGGGGGCTGACTTCGCATTGCTATCTATTTTAGGATGATGGTTCAGAATGCAGCGTCTTTACCTTCGACATCTCTGCGAATAGGTCCCGTTTACCACTAGCCAAGAACGCTGTTCGAAAATCGCGGACTTTGAGGCATCCAGGCGTGCTCAAAGTCCTGGACACCATCGAGGTACATAATCGTCATACCGCCCATTGGGAGAACAAGAATTGGATGACGGATGCGAGATAATGCCGTGGATCTTTGCATGAATGCTTACTGGTAGTAGACAGATACGAACCTCTACATCATCACCGAACGCGTGACTCCCCTCTCCTGGACAGTGAGAAGGAAAAGTATAAGTGAAGAAACCGCGAAGTGGGGTCTATATGCGATTGCGGTATGCCAATCCACTATTTTCCTCCTTCTCTTCTGGTGTGCCTAGAACTAACTCGACTGTATGAAAATAATAGTCGACGCTCAAATTCATCAATGAAGATGCTTCCTCAGTTCACGGTGTAGTGAGAGCGTCATCTGTATTTACGAGTCAGAGTGGCGAGTGGAAACTTGGAGGATTTGACGTTCTAAGTTCCATGAATGATGAGGATGCGGTTATATACGTGAGTTACTCTTGGGCTGAAAGAGAAGCGGGCTATGCTGAGAATTATGCAGACATACGGCAGCCTTGTTCCAGATTCAGCCCGTTATAGTCCGCCGGAGATTGTTAAGGGAGGCTGGGATTCAATAAAGCGCAACCCCCTAGGTGCTGTTGATGCCTATGGACTCGGCATTTTGGTATTTGAAGTCTTCAATGGCAGTTCCTCTGGAGGTGACCAAATTGGGAAAACGGCAAATATACCCCCAAGTATGCATCAGAGTTACAAACGTCTCTGCACGGCAAATCCAAAACTACGGTTGAGTCCTGGGAATTTCGTAGAACAGGGCAAAAGAACCGGCGGCTTCTTTCATACCCCATTGATTCGATTGACAGATGACATTGAGAGCCTCGGCTTGAAGGACGACGCTGAAAGAGAAGAGTTTATCAAGTTCGTTCCTATTCCCATTTGGATTCGGAGGCCAAGACACTAATCGATGTAGCCAACTTGACGAGCTCTCGGAAGATTTCCCCGAAGACTTTTTCAAAATGAAAGTACTCCCAGAACTTCTCAAATCGGTCGAATTTGGAGGGGGTGGCCCAAAAGTACTCGGGGCCATAGTGAAGATTGGAAGCAAGCTGTCGCAGGACGAGTATAACTCTAGGGTGACACCTGTTATTGTCCGCTTATTCTCAAACCCAGACCGAGCATTGAGGGTTTCGTTACTCGAAAATTTATCTTCAATGACCGACTTCCTGCCGCAGAAGATCGTCAATGACAAGATCTTCCCACAAATGGTGAGTTTTTCGATATTCACTGTATACCAGGATCAAATGCTCATGTTCATCTTTTCCAGACGTCTGGGTTTACCGACGCTGCACCTGTTGTTCGAGAGCAGACTGTCAAGGCTGTTTTACCTGTTATAGGCAAACTGAATGATCGGACTGTTAATGGAGATTTGCTGAAGTTTCTGGCACGAACGGCAAACGATGAGCAGCCGGGCATTCGAACAAATACGACTATTTGTCTGGGCAAGATAGCCAAGAATCTGGGACAGAGTGTACGTTTAATGGCATTCTAAGTGCTGAACTACACCGCTAATTTCTGTCTCGTTGTAGTCCAGATCGAAAGTGCTCATAGCTGCTTTCTCGAGGGCACTGCGGGATCCTTTTATTCATGCTCGAAACGCAGGCCTGCTGGCTCTGGCAGTGACAATCGAGTTCTTCACTGAAGATGACTGCGTGAACAAGATTCTTCCTGTTATCTGTCCTACACTTCTGGATAAGGAAAAGTAAGGATCGCTTGTTCCTCTGGTCAATTAGCGAACATGTCGATATTGACAGTATCACGCAGGCTTGTGAGAGATCAGGCAAACAAGACCTTGGATCTATATCTTCAACGTGTACGGGAGTATAGCAGTACCATGCCAGATTCAGTGCTGCCTCCACCAAGCAGCTCTGGCCCAACATCTAATGACACGGCCCGTATTGGGACTCCAAGCGACAAGTCTTGGGCAGGATGGGCAATTTCCTCCTTCACAAATAGAATCACTACAACAACTGGTGAAATCCAACCAACCGCCAACGGCAGCGGGACTGCCGCGAATGATGCATCCCGATCTACGTCTATTCCTCGTTCGTCCAAGTCAACACTCTCAAGCGAATCGGATATTTCGAAAGAGACACTACGGCCTACGTCTCAACCATTTGGACGATCATCTTCGGACCAAACCGTACAGGTCACAGACACGGAAGAGCAGAAGGGTGCAGAACATTTCTATGACAGTTTGGATGACATTGCCGGTAATGACAATGATAAAAATCATGATCAAGAAGAAGGCCTAGATGCAGACCCATTCGGCACCGTACCAAATGCCAAACCCTCAACTGTTGGCACCTCGACACATCGACCCGCGCCAGCGCCAGTCCCCTTCGACGATGGTGGAGAGCCCGATTTTGCTGGCTGGTTAGCTGCTAAAACGAAAGCCAAAGCGAAGAAACCATTGCCAAAGGGCATGATCAAAAATGCTTCGATGAAAGGGCTACCATCGAGGAGTGCTGCCACAGCCAAGCCTAGGCGTATTGTAGCGCCCCCGAAGGTGATCGAACCAAAGCCGGCTGAACCGCAGCCAGTCGAATCGCAACCGAAGAATGATAATGATGATGTTGATGACGACTGGGGAGCTTTTTAGCTGATAGAGATGATGGCGACTTTCTACATGTGTCTGTTGATGTTCTCGAGGGCGTGGAGTTTGGGAGGAACCTGCAACGGCCGAGTAATTAATCGCGGATATGATATATCATTTCGTAATATATACTCCATAGATAATCAAGCGGTGGTCTAATATTTGTTTAAATTTTATTATTACTTTTTGGCTTCCCAACACGGTCCTTGCAGGAATATCCAGGAATGGCATGGATTAGCCCGTATCCAGCCACCATCAAGTCTTTCAATTGCAGCTCCAGCCGTCTCGAGAGTCGAAATGCCGGGCTCGATCTTGTCTGCTTATTCTAGACTCTCGAGTCTAGATATTAGCCGATGTTAGGGATTGTCTGCCGGTGAGCCCTATTCGTACATAGATAACTAGCCCTAGGATTTACGGATTTACAGCCGGCCGATCTTAATTTCTGAATCTCTAGCCAAGAGAATGCAATGGGTCCATCCATATTTACTTCGTACTCGGTACCGACAAGAGGAATGAGATCTGAATTGAAATGAGAATTCGGGATCGGCTGCGCTAATGAAGAGAAAAAAAGGAAATAAATTTTAATTGATCATGTTTCTGTCGGAGCTCACATTTATATATCTACAATGTACATAGCCCTAAATTGTAGGTTTAGAACTCTGCGGTACCTAATCTAACGTACCATAATTGAGAATCGGCAAAGTACGGTATAAATGGGTGTACTTTTTTCGGATAATCCCTTCTTTAAGACGCTGCTATGTATAGAGTAGAGAGAATATTAATTATAGTAGCTGGCGTGATGGATTCAGGCAGCAGCTATATCTATTTATATAGTGAGACAGAGAGCAGTTGGCCATATGAGTTTTAGATGGCAGTATCATAGCCATAAAAGCATTCAACTCACTCATTATGAAATATATCAATCGTCTATTTTTCCCACTCCATCATAAAATAATAGAACGAACAGGAAAGATAGCAAAGTTGACCAACTACTGACTCTGCTGCGCTTCATTCCTCTCAACGAGGTCCCCAACCCCCAATCCTCTCCCAACCTTAACCCGAATCATCTTCTCCTTCTCGTTCTCCTTCTTGCCCAATTCCCCGACTTCGTCGCCCTCATCCGCGTGCTCATCATCGCCGCCTTCCTTCTTCGCCTTCTCCCTGTCCCGCTTCTCGACCGCGTCCCAGTCAAGCCAGAGATCTTTCAGGCTCAAGTGCATGGCATATGCATCTTCTCCATCTGCGTAGTATGTGGCCTCTACTTTTTCGACTTCGAATCCCAACGTGTCGCGGTAGAGGTGGAGGGCGGCGTAGTTCGAGACACGGACGTGCAGGGAGACGAAGTGAGCTCGGTGCGATTCAGCCATTGCTCTCTCTGTAGTTTTCCATCAGCGTGTAAGAAGAAACAGAGAATAACGTAAAAGCAAGAAGGGAAAAAATCATACGAGACATCCTCATCAACCTCTCCGCAATGCCCAATCGTCTATGCGTCCTCATGACGCTCAAACTAGTAATATGCCCATGCGGGATACCGTCGGTCGGTTCCTCCTCCATTTTCGCAAGAACGTATCCTACCACCTTGGGGTATCCGTCACCAGGCCCGGAGGGGCCGTGTTTGCGATTCTGTTTGGCGTGGCCATTCTTCGGGCGCACAACGGCCACGAAGCTCAGTTGGGGCCATGTCAGGGCATGGTAAAGGTAGTATTTCAAGAAGTAGTTCTCGGGAAGGTTGGTGATGTTGCAGGTTTGGATGGAGGGGAGGAGGTCGATGTAGCTGGGGTATGAGGAGAGGGGAACGATGTCTACCATGCTGGCGGTGGTGTATCTGTGTTTCGTTTCTTCTATTCCCTTTTTGAAGAAATTGAATGATGTCTTTTCTCTCTCCGATGTATCCTCTTCTCACGAGTGAATGGGCTGGGATTGTCGTCGTGAAGTGACTTGACCGAGGAATAAGACATGCAAGCTCAAATGGGAAATGTGGGAGCGGGAGGCTTTCTCGCGCTAAACCCGATGGAGCCGCCACATTTGATACAGGATTTAAAACAACAACAAAGCCTCAACTCTAGATAAATGCACGCTGCCATTTGACAAGCCTAATATGAAACATTTCATGATTATGTAGATGCCTATATATACTTCAATATATCGCATGACAACGGGAGTGGTATAAAGCAGTGTCTCCGCGCCGCAGTTCAACTGTCGCAAGAGAAGAACTCTTGATGTACAGTGCTGTAAACGCACAGCATCGAGAAGTGCCCGGGTCCGGGGAGAGAAAAGTTATCGTACCATCTGATGCAATCGTTACTTGTGTAACCAAAAGCCGTCCCAAAAGCAAATTTTCCGCCTGAACTCCAATCCGAGATTCCTTTTGTAGGCAATCGATCTACTGCGACGACCCAGAAAAGAATCGAAAAAAAAGATAAGATGTATCATCGATATTAGAACAGCGTTGCGAGCAGGTGAGCCATCATGGCCAGCACCAACATCGCCATCGCATTCGGACCTGAGAACACGGCCGGGGCAGCAGACTCAGTGCCACAGCAACTATTAACGTCATAGCTAACGTTATTCATCTGGGCGGCCACCTGGAATACGGAACCGTTGGGGTTGCCGTAATTATAGTAGTCCACCAAAAGAAAGTTTGGAGGGCGGTGCCACATCCCTATAGATCATGTTAGCCCATGCAGGGAAACGTGCATAAGGGGACAGATAGATAGCTTACCGGCGCATTCCTTGGCCATGTCTCCCAAGCTGCCGTATCCAGTTACGTTGTTCGTAACGTTAAGGAGGGAAATGTCCGGGATGAGCAGATCGACATTTCCGATATTGAGGTCCACATGGATGTTGAGATTGTGGTTGGCCATGTACAGTCGGTTCACAGCTTGATTAGGTGGTAGGTTAGGAGGCCGCTGGACTGTGCAGGGAAATGCGCGGTTTGTAGGAGAGAAGGGGGTCTCCCACATCTGGGAAAATTCATCCATGAGCCAAGGAATTTCCGTCTGGTTTGCCTGATAGTCCAAGAAGAAGACAGCCCGCTTGCCCGAAAGAATCATGCTCGAGAGCGTCGGCCAGTCATCCAAGCCCATGGGGATCTTAGATGGAGTGTAGATCAGATCGCCCAGACCGGAGTTCTCGATCGGGGCTGTAAAGTTGCTCGGGGCTATGTAATCGCCATTTCCGATCAGGAACGTTACCACGTCATACGGATGCTGCTTCATCCATTTTGCGACTGTGGAAAGATAATCCTCCAGAGTGCCCATGTTGAGGAGATCACAGGAGGAGTGACAAAGGTAGACAGTACCGTTGACGTAATGGGTCTGCATTTGCACTTTGGTGGAGATCAGTTTTTTTTCTTCTCTGTTCTTGCTCGAAAAGAAAACTTACACATGCGAATGCCGTCATCCAGTTGATACAGAACCGGAAGCGCCTGGTTCGAGGCGACATTGCCGGGTTTCACAAAGGGACTGTTGTGGGCAGCAACCATGGTGATATTGGAGTAGTTGCGAGCGCAGAACTCGGCCCAGCCATTACAAGGACGTGTATTAATGACCGGAGTGGGCGTTGAGGTAGCAGAAGCGGTGGAGTTGGCGGTGCTATTGGCAAACGGCATACTGGTGGTAGTTGCATTCCCGCCGCTTAAGGTCACCATGGAGTTGGAAGTGCTGAGAGTGACGACGATGGCCGATGAATTCGAAGAATCCGTTGCAGTGGAATTAGGACCGGCTGTAATAGTCGCAATGCCAGACGAGTCGTCCGAAAGAGTGCGGGTGGAAGAGTAAGTGATATAGGGACCGGTGGGCAGCGTGGCATCGCTGCCAGAGATGGTACCACCGATCGTGAGTAGAGATGCAGTGGTCGCGGATGACGTCGACCCGTCATCCGCGACAGCCGGAACGGCTCCCAGGGGAAGAAGAACAAGTAAAAGAAACGAGAGCCGATGCATTGTTTCCGCTGGAATGGGCCGGCAACTATGGGAACATCCGGATGCCTTGGGATGACGGGGAGAGGAGGGTCGACCTTGGGTGGGCAAAGTAAGGATGATGACTAATGGATGGAAGAGGACAGTATATAAACTTATATGAAGTATGAGAATGGGAGCTGAACGACTGACAGTGATAAAGATGGATGAAAAGAAGGATGAAAGGGGAGAAAAGTAGTCGAAGATGAAGCTATGAGAAAGACATGCTTGTTAAGAATTGCCCGATCCAGCAGGGAGATCAACAGCCGACTATAGCGCACCCAGCACAGCTGTTTAGCGCAAGCGATGTTCGGGATCGTCGTCCCGATCGGGAAGTGGTGCAGGCTTATGACTTGGCGCGCAGCTAGCGAGGAGCCTAAAGCGGTCTAGCTCGCACAGCTATGGGGCTGGGCTAAGCGCCACCCGGCCGTGTACATTACTGCCGCGTGTCTGATGCGTTATCTGCACGGCGGTCCAGCCGCAGCCGGACTTGGCGGTACTTGAAGGTACTCAGAGCAAATGTATTCATGCTCTCTAATCCTTTATAATCCTGATAGTCGCAGAGCTGGCTGCCGATCGACTCAGCATTCATAAGCTGACGTTGCCTCTCAGCGCAGACACGCATTCCACGAGCAGTCTCGGCGTTGATCCCTCCAGCGACTGCTCCAGCCGATCTGCCTCTCGCGTCCTGGGCAACGTCATCCATTCCTCGCTTGCTTATTGCGTTGCGCTGTGCGCTGGACGACGCTGGGCTCTTCATAGCATCTCCATCTCCTGGAGGCTGGAGCTTCTCCGCGCTCTATGCTAACATCACCCACTTGAAATTTCGATCCTTTCGCCTCTTCTCGTCAATTCATATCGTTATCCACAACCTTTCCTTTTTTAATACCTCCCCCCCCATCCTAATGTCCAGCCCTATATCGACATCGCACGTATAGATTGATCTCCCTCCATATCCACCGCGCATTACACAGCAGCCTGCGCCCTGATCGATGAGACATGTCCTCCCTCTTCCGAAGAGCACCCCAGCGGCCACGCTCTGGACACGGGACGTCGTCGAGGGTGCTTGTCAAGCGTTTGCTTCGGTCTTTCCTCTATCTCGTTGCATGGATCTTCTTACTCCTCGTGGTCATCGGCAATGTCTCCAATCGCCCTGTTGTTCGGCAGACCTACTTCCTGAAAATGGATCTCTCCAACATCGTTCCCTTGTCCGTCGGGAGTGATGTCCTGGTCAACAGTATTGCTCGCTCCATCGGTCTCCATGATTTCTATCAAGTCGGCCTATGGGGCTTTTGCGAGGGTTACGATGATACTGGAATCACTCATTGCTCGAAGCCAGAATCCCTTTATGCCTTCAATCCCGTCCAGATAATCCTGAATGAATTGCTGTCGGGTGCTACCAGTATGTCATTCCCGGAGAATTCCAGTTGACCTTCGCTAATTCATCAACCTGTTCTTCAGTTGCCCTTCCAGCGAACGTCACCGATGCTCTCAAGATAGCCAAAACCGCCTCCTACTGGATGTTTGGTCTTTTTCTTACTGCAGTTGTTCTCTCATTTGTCCTGATCTTCCTCTCCCCCTTCGCCGTCTCCTCCCGTTCTCCGCGCAAACCACGAGACACATCTCGCCCACCTCACCGCCGTGGCACCTTCATCCTTTTCCGCTCCTTGCCATTTACAATCATATCTTTTATGAATGCTCTCATGACCATTGCCGCGTCTGTAGTGGCGACAGTCATGTTTTCCATCTTCAAGAATGTCTTCGATGGCACCTCTGAGATCAACATCGTGGCCACATTGGGCCCGCGTATGATGGCGTTCATGTGGATTGCTTCTGCCTTCAACTTGTTTGCCTTCGTTCTTGAGTTTGGTTCGTTCTGCGCCCTCTGCTGCTGTTGCTGCAGCTGCTGTGGCCGGAAGAAACGCCGATCGTTCCGCCATGGGATGGGCGAAAAAAACGGTCCTGGAAGTCCATCTGACGACAGCACACTGAAATAATTGACATAAGCATCCGAAATATCGGGACTTGGCTCGTCCTTGTACAAAACAATTGCCGTGCCCTGTTGTCTGTCCTTCCACAGAAGGGCCTAGGGCACGAATCTTGGGTTTATATATGCACAGGTGCAGTGCATACAGAAGCATTGATATTCTTCATCTTTTAAGAAAGGGCGGACTGTGTCTGCTCTTCCTTACGAGATGGCACCTGTCCTCGATATCACAGTTGCCCTCCTTGCACAACCAACTTCACTATATTCAAACTAGAGGGGACTTCCAGAATTTCGCTTTCTGATCTTGTTTAGATTTTTTCTTCTTCTTGTTGCAAGCGCATTGGTGGATGTCTCTTTATCCTGCACTGTTTGGTTTGTCTTGATCCTTGTTTCGTCTCTATTCCATCATCCAACGGATCTATTTATATTTATATTTTTTTATTTACTCGTCATTTGGCGTCACCCCCAACAGTTTCAAATAGAGATTCTAAACCGGAAAGTGGAAAAAGAGTGGGGGGAATCTCTGTTCTTAAAAAAAGTCGATAGATACGCCAGCCATCTGTTACGACTACGGTTACGACTCTGCTCTTGTTTCTTGCTTCTTTCTCTTTTCTTGGGTCTTCCTGTCTGAATTAGCATTATAGAGGCAATGACATACCCCTTCTGATTTCTTCGGTTGACGTGTGCTTCCTGTTATGTTAAGAGTTTTAACAGATAAACCTCTGAACCATTTGCCATAACTGGTAGTTACTGCTATGAATACGGGAAGATATCTGGAAAAGATTGTCTGTTGATCTTATGTCTACTTTCATAGTGATGCATCACGCCCAGATGCTGCTAATTATTACTGGTTACCATGGTGCGTAGATGTATTGGAGCAAGTTCCTATCCTTATGATGATTTATCCCAATAATCCCCTGTTAAACTATGTATTCACCCGAACAAGTCCCGGGAGCCATATTATTACGCCGTTCCATATGCAGCATGCAAATCTGAATAGTACACGTGGATATCATAGTGGTCGCAAATAAGAAAAAAAAAAAGCCTCAGAATACAAGAAAGGAATACCCCGCTGGGAACACTGAATGAATCCAATCTGATCACTAGGGGCTCCTACCCTGCCAGTTCCTCCTCCAGAGCACGAGCCAGTTCGTCACCTTCACTGAAATTCGAGTTGGTATTCGCTGCCATATTTGTAGTATTACTTGCATTGGATCGGTGGGAAGCATGAGTAGTCGCCTGGCTATTGTTGGTATGGACAGGTGCCTGTAATGTAGTACAGCTATGAGAAACGGGTCGCCACCCAGGCGGGAAAGGCCTATTCAGCGTGTTTTCGCTCTTGGACCAGGAGTAGCTCTTATTCCGCATGGATCTGAGCATCTCTCTCTGCTCTCGCGTCGGCCCGGATGGCAGAGCCGGTTGATTCTTAGGATTCTCGTCATCGCTCTCGGTTAAATCTATTGTCACCTGTTCTGGCGTGACTCTGAGCGCAGAAGCCCCTGATATTGGACTTGAAACGCGATTAGAATTCGTCGCAGTAGGTACTTGATCCTGGGATGGTCTTCTTGGAACAGCAGGCGCTTGAGGTTGCGAAGATGTCCTTGGAGGCATAGTGTTAGGGGCATGCTGCGGTCCAGGTTGCTGGGGCACATGCCCTTGAACTGCTGCAAGGATCCCGTTCAGCCTGCATTGGACTCCGTTATATGCTTCACGGAGAGCGTCGTAGTGAGCCGCGATGTTGCTGTAGTGACGCGCGACTTCGTCATGTTTAGTTCTCCAATGGTCAACTTCTTCCTGGAGTTCTGCCCTTTTTTTCTTGTGATGAGAAGCCGTCCTTTTAAGCATTCCATTTTGCTCTTGAAGCAGCTTTTCCTTCGATTTCCCTGTTATGGGATCCACAGTGGTCCACCGCAACCAAGTCTTTTTGTATTGGTTCCGCTCGTAAGCAGTCTTCCTGAGCCTGGTCCTGAGATCTTTAAGCCGATTGTTAATTGTGGTATCTGCCACTTCAGAGTACTTGATATGAATCGCTGGCGTTGATGGTAGGTAGCCCAGGGGACCGGCGTACTTCGGATAAGGCGACAAGTACTCAGGCTCTGGATCAACACGCCGCAGAATTTCACGACATGTATTGGCCTTTGTGTCTTGATCATTGAGGGAAAATCGTTGCTTTACCGCATCACTGGCGGATGGCAATGACGAGGCAACTGTGCTCAAATGTGAAGGAACAGCGTCCAACGTAACAACGCCTGCGTTGTCTGCTGGGCAATCAAGAGCAGATCCAGGAGCAGGTGGATCATGAACCTGATCTTCACCAGAAGTTTCAGTTTCGAGGGAATACCCACCATGACTATGCGTAGGTCTGCATTTTGGAGGTTCCGAGAAATCAAGCCCGTCAAAAAGGGGATCTGCGCAATCAAATAAGGAATCAGGTGTTTGAGATCGTTCCACGTCCGCTGGTGTGTGGAGAGAGATATCCGGCTGATCAGACCCGGGGTGGTCAGATGAGTTTCCTGGAGACAGAGACGGAGTGTCCACCGAAGGTACTGCGTTATCGGTTGGATATAGATCAACAGCCTGTCTCTTCTCTGGCGGGCTCCAGAATTCCAAGTCGCCAGAAAAGGCATCGCCACCTACACGTTTCCTAGACGTGGAGGTAGCACCGAGATTTTGCGAAGCAAGTTCTGGATCAAAGAAGGAGCCGGAGAAAATATCCGCCATATCGTCGAGCCCGCTTGAAGGTAATGAAGAAAGATCACCTGGCTTGCTCAAAGCCTGGGCTTCATGAAGCGAGTATTCTGTATCAACATTGCCAGCTATAATACTGGCGAGAACTGCATCGCTGTATGGGTCGCGCTCCTCACCAGGTGAGGATGCTTGAGTTGCATCATTTGACTGATACAGCTGGGACCCAGGGGAAAGTGTAAGCCCCAGATCATTTATATTTAGGAAAGGAAAATTCCACTGAAATGCCGAGAGAGATTCATGTGCAGGGAGTTCTTGCAAACTGTCGGGTTGCGAAGCAGTAGGACAGGGCTGGAAAGAGGTGGAAATACCTTCTGGCAAGTTTCCCTCCATCTCAAACGGCACTGACCAAAACAACCATGGGCAAATAAAGGGGGAAAGGAAATTGGGACTGCACAATTCCCAAGTCCCGAAGACGCTCGTAGTCCTCCGGTAGGGGTGGAGGCTGTGGTGGGTAACGCTGGGCGAGCAAGGTCTGAGACTCGTTGCCTCCAAGAAGTTAAGGTGGCGTTGCGAGGTATTTGAGGGAAGGAAGATGATGTAGTATCAAAAGAAAGAAAGAAAGAAGAGGGGAAACAACAAGATAGAGTTGATCGTTGTCGTCAAGTTTATAAATAAAAGAAAGGCAATTGTGCCAACAGCTTTCAAGAATCAGGAACTGCATTTAGGCCATTTTCAGTAAGAAACGCGTGAACTGTGGTCTCTGGATAAGGCCGACAGCAATAATCAGTTGAAAAAAGAGCAGCTGACGGAGCCCCAGGAGTCTGACAGTCGTCGGTTGTCAAGATATTGGGATGCGAAAGACAGATGATGGAGATGCTCAAGCACTGGAGGAGAACAGGCAACCTCTGGTCACGTGTCAATTTTTTTTTTTTTAGTTTATGATATTAACCGCCTTTTACACCGCACTAGACACCGCCTCTATTTTCTCCGCATAATTAAAGGCGGTGAGGACAGCCAGTTCCTCCACGGTCACCCGCTCCTCTTGTGCCTCTGCTCTTCCTCTGGCTGCCCCTATCCAGTGTTGACTCTGGTCGCCTGCTATTGTAGGCCCAAAGTGCGCTTGTTTTATAATATTTGAGACCTTGTCGTCGAAAGTACGAGCAGGAAAAGGATATGAGTGTCATTCTCTGCACGGGTGAGTCTTTCGCCGTATATCTATCGCCTTCAGATTTGAACGCAAGATCAAAGGGTCTCCATCTGACGTGTAATCTCCGGGGTCTTCTGGCACAGCGGGTTATGATCATACTATTCGGTAAGTTTAGAATGAAGGATTTGCTTTCAGTGTCTGAAAGCGGAGGCCGGCATACTAATAATCCTTCGATTCGATCAGCTTCTGGGAGGCCCTCTCTGGCATCTGCTCCCGCACTATCCAGCATCCGGATTCTCAAGTGAATCGTCTTTGTATAACTCCTGATAAGCGCTTTCTCGCAGCCGCTGGTCATAACAATGTCAAATTATATGACATCAAGTCCACCAACCCTAACCCGGTCATGACCTTCGAGGGCCATACCAACAACATCACTGGGGTTGCATTTCACTGCGAAGGGAAATGGATGGTTACAAGCTCTGAAGATGGTACTGTCAAAGTTTGGGATACCCGAACAGGCAGCTTACAACGCAATTATGTCCACAAGATTCCGGTCAATGATGTTGTGATCCACCCAAACCAGGGCGAACTTATCAGTGGCGATCGCGCTGGAATTGTGCGTGTTTGGGATCTTGGAGAGAGTGTCTGTACTCATCAGCTTATTCCTGAAGATGATGTTGCTGTGCATAGCGTCAGCGTTGCCAGTGATGGATCCTTGCTCTGCGCTGGAAACAAAAAGGTAATATTACCCTCGGCTGCTCTTCTTCCCCCTCCAGATATTATCGACGGGTGCAAAAACAATCTGACATATTCTCCTGCCAGGGAAATGTTTATATTTGGCGTATGATACAAGATGCTGAATTGACTCGCATTATTCCCATTTGTACCTTCCAAGCACACAAGGACTACCTCACCCGAGTTCTCCTGTCTCCGGATGTCAAGCATCTCGCGACTTGCTCCGCGGATCATACTGCGAAAGTTTGGAATCTTGACCCCGACTACCCTCCTGCAAAAGCTGCGGCTGAAGCGGTTGCCAAGGCCAAAGCCAAGGGAATTGCTCTTCCCGAGACGAAAAAACCTGCTACTTCTGATCAGACAAACGGAAATTCAGCCGCAAACGAGAAGTCCCAGGTTCTCAATTTATTCAATATTGTTGATCGTCCTTCAACACCTGCTGAACCGCAGCCTCCTTTCCCTGCGCAGCCGGACGGCCCACCCATGAACCCTGCCACAGGGACTCCTTTCCTCGAAACTACACTAGCCAACCATCAGCGTTGGGTATGGGACTGCGCATTCTCTGCGGACTCGGCATACCTTGTCACTGTTTCTAGTGATCATTATGCTAGACTCTGGGAGCTGGCTTCTGGGCAAATTATTCGCCAATATAGCGGACACCATCGTGGGGCTGTATGTGTTGCACTTAATGACTACTCTGAGCCGCGCTGAGTGCTCTGGATTTTTGAAAGGCTTGTGATTATGTATATGTTTGATGGAGCGGTTTCTTTCCCTACCTTGGTGCATACATAATTTTTTTTTTTTCTAGACAGGTTGAAGGCTTTCCCTTTCCGTTTTGGCGCTCACTCCCTGCTCACCGATACATCTGAGCATAGGGTAAGTAGCGAGTAAGATGTGGCCTCAATAAAATGCACCCAGCTCTAGGAGTCTTGACCACGTCATTGTTTCAGTTCCCTGTCTGAACAACAACAGCCAGGTATTGGGCATTGCCCGTGTGGTTAATGCGTCAGTTCAGCTCATCTCCACACTACAACTTGGGCAAAACATGACCAGTTGAAATTCGAAAGGCCTTCCAAACACGAGTGGGTGACTGCTAGGGGTATCGACCACGAAGAATGGGACTGCATATTCAAAGCTCCCAACATGCACTGGTACACGTTCACAGACTCCTAATAGATCTATTGCACTACCATTAGCGCTCTTCATTGTCCCCTTTACGCACAATGTCATCTCAAAACCGCCATACTTCAATGACATTTATCTCCATGCCACCAGCGGCCTGACACGTGACCACATATTCCCGTCTTTCCTTTCTTCTTTCTTCATGTTTGGTATTCGTTGAGCTAAGTACGGAATAGCATATGTTGCATTTTCCGTCATCTATTCATAGTACTAGTTATCACAGAACTTGTACTGATTTTCTGCAAATAACACTTAGCCTGGCCTACAGAGCTGTTGTACCAGGGGATTTCAGTCAGAGACTTTGATTCCGATAATCAAACACTCTGAGCCTGAATCTGGATAAGGCTCAGCTACGTTTTTTCCAACCTATCTGTGGGTTCCTGCATTCCTGTCATGCTATTATCGCCTTTTGATTTCTAGCCAGCTTCTTGCTTGTTTGATGGGAGAGACTAGTAAGCTCGTAAGGGTCCTGGTGGCAGTAAGCACAGAGGCAGGTAGGATGTTTTAGGCCAATGCCACTGCACACAATAAAAAGACCTTGGACAAAGACCTTAACACCGAAATTTCTTGAAGAGCTATCTAACTACAGAGGCCTAGCAGTCTATTTAACGTCAGCTCTGCTGACGCTTGGGAACTGCGGTTTTGGTGTGTTAGTCAGCGGGTGCACTGCATTTGCATGTCCTGCTTGTCTGTTGCTTTCCTTCCACCTGAACGTAGTTAGGGTAGGAAGGCTTGTCCTCGGTTAAGGAGAAGGGAATTGCAAGGTCCTCCTTATATAACCTGTGAATAATCGCTCACCGTGCCGCCTGAGCTCCATCCAAGATACCTCTCCCTCGTTGGTCCACGCACTTTCTCTTCTCTATATTCCTCCCTTACCCCTCTCCCCATTGCCCTGGCTTGTCCCGCTGCTGCACTGCCCCCTTCCTCCTGCATCAAGAGATGCTGCGTTATCCAATGGTTTCCTCGTAAAGCAGCCTCCATTCGCAGCCAGTGCGCAGAGGAATCAGTGTAAAAACAAAGAAATTGACCCCTTGCTTAAAAATCTCAAATGGTGGAACGAATCTGCGCTGAAGTTCAGGCATGAGGCGCATCTGATATATCAGCACAGAGAGCAATGGATAAGCTAGAGCAGGACGAGAAGAAGGTGATGGAAATATAAAGAGTGGGATGTTCCTCCTCTCACTGCCCTCTGCCTAGCTACCAAAACCTCTAGTTAGCTGAATGCTAAGGATTTGATTGCTTTCCATAGTAACTGTCAAGATCCCTTGGATCTACAGAGTGGATAGCCTTGTTCTTACAAATAAGATGGTTAGATCTTTAGAGTATTGGGGCTCACAGCAACACCCAGCTCACGCTAAAGAGCACACATGCTTAATTTTACCACAAAACGAGACGCCAAATTGGAAGTTTGAGGAGCGGTCTTATTAACTGTATCAGTCAAGTTCTTTCAAGGAATGTCTGAAATTTATCTGGACCAACTATTGTTCTGACTCTGAACTCGTACGTTCCCCTTAAGTCTCGCACTGTAGGGAGTAGAATTCTCTAAAGAGAAGTACTATCATCCCGTGTGTTTAAATATACAGGGCTGTACAAGTCAAGCATAGACAGAACTCAAGTAGTTATGGCGATAAAAGCTGGAAAATGCCATTGTGCCGCTCCTCGAGCTCAGCTTGGGACATTTTACTTACTATGTGTCTAATTCTCTTAATCCATTTACGCCTTCCTGCTCAAAGAGAAGCCCGAGACAAGCAAAGTAAAAGAAAAGAAGAAAAAGGGGGAGAGGACCAAATAGGTTTTCAATATCGGACAGGAGAATTGGCGGTGAAAGATGAATAACAATGCCATAAAAAGAGATTCCGAAGCAAATAAAGAACCAAAATAAAATGTCATTCCTTAGCTCAGAGCAAACCACGTCACGCTCACGACAACATCAAGCCCCTTCTCATCAGCTCCGGGATACTTGAATGTCCACATTCCATCACGCTTGACGTCCCAGAAAGCAGCAGAGGCGGAGTGCATTCCACGTTTTCCAGCATTGGCGACCTGGCCATCTGCAGCGGCCGACTTGTCGATCAATCCTTGTTGGACAATGGTGCTGTTCACCGTGAAACGGTAAGGAGCAGGTGTAGACGGAGTGGAAGGGGCCGTGGCGGCGATGAGAGCCTTGAGGACGGTGTTCTAAGACAGGTTAGGCCATTGTATTTAGGTATTTAGTCTGTGCTGAATGTGGACGTACGATGATCTGAGAGTTCCATTCGGAGACCTTGGAGTGGTCATATTCTTCGACACCCTTCAGTGCAGCATCACAGGCCTAATTAGAGGATGATTGGGATGTTAGCAGAGAGAGTATGGAGCTCAAGATGATTTTGGAGAAGAATAACGTACCTCAGTAGTGACCTTGGTGAGCTCTGGAATGGGCATAGGCTGTGCAATAGTGAAGAATCCATAGTTCAGCAAAGATATTGAGAGCTTAATAGGCTAATGGCTTGAACGGCGATTTCAACGGTCGAGCATGATGTACGTACAGAAGGTGCGGAAGAGTTTTCGACAGCCATTGTGACCCTTGAGGAGTGATTTCTGATTGACTGGGGTATATATATAAGATATATATAGGTATAGGTATGGGTATCGTTCCGCTATGCAAAGACGTTAGTTTAGCTGATATCGGGTCTCCAAGGGCATGTTTGCGGAGATCAGGCACACATGCGATGCAACAATGAGAAGATGCGGAGAGAGTTCCGGAAGTTAAACGAGGGGAACAGCAGAGAATACCGATTTATTCAAAGACGGGACGGAGACTTACGCTGAGGAAAAGCGGACCTTGCAGGAGGTGAACAGGAGATCGTAGCTCGAAGTCCAAACACAGGGTAGGGTGTCTTACGACGGAACGGCGAGGCAAAAAGACGGGCCGAGAGTTTAAGCTTTAATGCCTGAGGCAAGAAGTATGGTATGGTTACCGAAGTAAATACGATACTGCCGGCCGTACCGCGCGGTACCGAGGTATGTACAGGTTGTACGCCGTGCGAAGCATGACAGGGAATCAAGTAGCGCACGTGCGTGCCCACCGTCTTCCTTAACTCGTATCGCGCAGTACGTAACGGTATTGATCCGTCGATGATATCAATCAAGCTTCCAGACCTCGCTCTCCCTCGCTCTCCCTCGCTGCAACCTAAAACTCCAACAGGAGCTTCTCCCAGCTTCCTACTCTCCTTGCTGCTCATTTTTCTGTCTCTGTTAATCCCTGTATTCTATATTCTACCGGGTCCCTTCCTTTCCCTTCTCCATCGGTGCTAGTTTAACAACGGTCCTCCGTCTCCAAGAGCTGTATAATTACCCATAAAAGTCGAAAATGTCGAGCCAGCCTCTTCTTCAAACTGCTCCAGGTCGGTACAAGCTATGATAAATGTGACATTACATCAGGCCAGCTGTCTCGTGCGGCCTGTCTGTTTCTGCAAACTACCGTTTCCTACGCGACAATGATACGATCGGGAAAGGGAAATCAAACAAACAGACTTGCTGATCTCTGTCTCTGTCCATGAACAGGCAAACGCATCGCTCTGCCGACACGGGTAGAGCCAAAGGTCTTCTTTGCGAACGAACGGACTTTTCTCTCCTGGCTCAATTTCACGGTTATCCTCGGCGGACTAGCGGTCGGCCTGCTGAACTTCGGTGACCGCATTGGTCGGATATCCGCTGCACTTTTCACCTTCATCGCGATGGCCGCGATGATTTACGCCTTGGTGACATTCCACTGGCGCGCGCAAAGTATTCGGCGGCGTGGACAGAGTGGGTTTGATGATCGCTTTGGGCCGAGTGTCCTAGCACTGGCTCTGTTGGCGGCGGTTGTGGTGAACTTTGTCCTCCGGATTCGGGAGGGGGACTTGTAGAATATGATATAACAGTGGTGGATGGCGGTGAGCATTTCTATGGTTTCAACTTTCTGCTGGGCCTGGGTATGATCGACTCGGATCCTCTCCACTTGCATTCTGTTGAATGAGCGCATTGAGGGGGCAAGATGCAGGATTGGGATTGGACGATTTGACGAAGCGACGGTATTATTAGCATTATCCAGTGTGAGCTGGCTTGTGTACGGCCGTATATAGCATGCATCAAGCAATGTGCATCGAGGGTAGCGCACAGTCCACCGGGCCCGGCGCAGGATTGGATTTAATTAGCAGTGATAAGTCGGATACATGATTCATGACTGCTGCAGGGGTGAATCAGAGTCAATAATGGCCCCTTTGTAGGATTATTATTATTACGACAATCGTACTGATCAGAATAGCACTATCGATCGTAATCGCTGTCGCGTCTGCCTAGACCGTTCCCATCTCGCTCTCTGCCATCCTCCTGTTGTCTCCTTTCTCCCTCTGCAATCATTATTCATCATCGTCTCTCTTCGCCCGGCATCTTCCTTCGTCCTCCTTTCTTCTTCTCTTTCTCTCCTTTTCCTTTCCTTCTTCCCCTTCGCTCTCCTTCCGCCATCTTCTCTCGCCACCCTCTGTTGCCTTGCCTTCCCCTTCCTCTTCCGACTTCACCGCTCAACGACTCCCGCTGGCTGTTGGGCTGCTCCGCCACAGCAACCAAATAATTATCAATCCATCAACCAACAATCCCGGCGTTGACTCATCCATCATCCGAGCATCCGCTAAGTTCGTTCGCTTTGCTGGCTGACTGAGCCGTTGACTCGCCCCTCCCCCGTCCCCACATCTCGGTGCATGCACGTCGGGCGCGTTTAACTCGACCCCAAGGCCTCAACATACGAACTGATGTATATTATTATCATCCTGGCGCAGCCTTAGACCTCCCAATAGTAATACCATCCTCACTCGTTCCCATCCTGATTTGATCTGATTTCATCGCGGGTGGGACGTGCAGTTGATCGGCTGTGTCTCGCGTTCTAACTTCTATGTGCTTCTTCTAAGATCGCGTCCGTGCTCCTTTCCTGATCTTCCTGGCTTGCGGTCGCTGGCGACATCGTAGGGCCATCTGGTGACACCACTCTTCTCTTGACCTCCTTTAGCAGGCCCGGTCGATACTGCGTTGTGAGATTTCTCTCACTTCCCCTCATGCACAGCTGCCTCGCGTCGCGACCCAGCAGATAAACTGTACCTTCCTCATCCGCGCCACCTGCTCTTCCCAATCTCGCTCTCTCGTCCCTGGTCGGGTTACACCGCACATCGCATGGCATGTTTCGGCTGCTTCCCTGGTCCTCTGCAATTGGGGGCAACAAGGTGATGGCGGAGGACTTCAAGATGCTTGCTGCGTCGCATTGCTGCGACGCGCGACCCCAGTTGAAACGGAAGCGTTCGGAGTCCGACGAATCGACCGCTCGTATCGATGCGCCCTTGACAGCGAAGCCGCGTCCGGACAATGCAGAAAATAGCGATACAGCGAACGATGCGCAGCTGCCATCTCAGGTTCCCCTCACACCTACGGCGACAGACCCTGCTGTACCTACACCGACTGATCAGGCGGCAACCCCTCACAAGATGGACGTTGATAAGTTACGCGAAACTATCGAAGCGCAACTGAGCCTGGAGATCCTTCTGAAGCATAACGAACTGCGCTTGATCGACCAAGAGATCGCCAAGTGCCAGGTCGCGCTGGAACAACTTCGTCGCTGTGCTGAGATTCCTTACCCCGGTTCCAGCGTCGCTGGGCTGTCCCATTCCGTGAGCAGCGGTTCCGGTGCTGCAGTGTCCACTCCTGGAAACGGTCCCCTACCACGCTCGCCCGCTCCCTGGGGAGTCACGGATGGCCCGTATACTACCCACTATGCCAAATGGCTCCTTCCGGATCCGCGTTTCGACGGAGGTGAGGCCGAGGCCAGTCCATTCCAACCTCAGGTAGAAGGCCGCGCAACCCGTGGGAACCCATGGGGTGACGGTGGCTATATGACGGGCAAATTCCGATCTCAGAGAGGCTCTGCCAGTGCCAAGCTGCAGGCTCTGCCCAGTGGCTATCCCCCGCCCAAGGAGAAGGCGGGTCCGATGATCATCCGGAGGAAATCAGACGGTGTCCTTGTCAAGCTGGTGTGTCTCGACTGCCGCAGGGACAACTTTTCGAGCACACAGGGCTTCATCAATCATTGTCGGATTGCGCACAACCGCAATTTTGCTAGCCACGATGCGGCCGCAATGGCATCTGGAGAACCCGTCGACGCGAATGATCCTGGTGCGGCCACTGTAGGGAAGAGTGAAACTCCAAGCAAGACTACAACTCCAGGCTATGTTCATCCACTGGTCCGGTCTGCTCATGCAATAGAGTCCACATCTAGAACGCACGAGACTGCGAGTACGACGCCGCGAAAACGTTCAAAAACTAGTCGGCCGTCTGTTGTTGAAACACCGACTCCCGTAGCGGGCCGCTCACGAGAAGCAAAACACCGAGTGTCCTCCCATGGTCCTGTGACTCCCAATCCATCATTCTCAGCGTCTTCCGATACGCCCCATCTGTCGTCCCTGATGCAGCGGAAAGGTGTTGGTGTCGACCTCGGTGGCCTGGTTGATGAGGCCAAAACAACGGTCGATATTGACGTGCCGTCTTATGGAGAGGACGAAGATCAATCGGACCCCGAGCCGTCGCAGCCACCGAACAATGACCTTTCATCTCACGGCAGGCAACCTATGCGGACAACAGCTCCCCAAGATTCGTTGCATCGGCATTGCAGCCAGAAGGGGGTCGACAGAGCGCATCCGAAACCGCATCCTCTGAAAGCGTCGCCATCCGCCCAGTCAGCACCTTACACGTCTCCGTATGGGCCAGCCGTTCCATCGTCCAAACCACCTCAGGCTGATGAGCTCCGGGATGTAGATGCTGCGGATAATTCGGCGAATCTTAGCCCTAACACCGTTGAGTCGAACCAGGCCCCCAGCTTGGTGAGCGATGACGACGACGACGGTGAGGCTGCATCAGATTCTGAGAGTCCCAGTCCCGACTCCTCTGAAGCTGAAGATGAGGATCAAGATTTCAGCCATATCGAAGTGGAGGGTGACGAGGTAACAACCACGGACCCCAAGAGGGAGCCTGATCTGACTGGTGCAACTACTCATCACGCGGCATCATTGTCGAAGCCATTGAAGGGAAAAAGCTCGACCAAGAAGGAACGGCTGGTATCGCCGTCGATCGTGCGGCTGAGCCGTGGGAAGGATGCGAAGCGTGTGAGTTTTGCCAATTCCAAGAACAGCCCAGCCAAAGGCAAAAAGGAAAGCAATCGGCGGCAAAACCAGGGATAGTGATGCTTCTTTTGTCCCTGGGGAGGTTCTGTTTCCCCGTCCTCAGGCTTGGGAGGCTGATCGATATCTCATTCACTTTGTTTGTTGACTGCCAAGACTTGTTGCTTCAGTGTTGTATGCTTTTACATAATCATATCTCTTCTCTTCTCCTTTTCTGTATGAGAAATTGTCTTCTCTTTTCCCTCTCTCACGTCACAAGTATCCCCCCCTTGTGTCCTGGGTTCTGATCGCTCAAATGGGTTATGGGTCTCGGTCGGTGCAGTGATTTGCGGGTTTCTCTGGCAGGGTTTGGTTGATGGGTGCTGATATCTCTATGTTCTATGTTCTCGATTCCTTGTCGACGGTCCTGAATTATTCTTTATTGACGATTGCCATTGTGTCTCGCTTTTTTAATGAATGCTTATACGAGACTGATATTACTGGTCTGCTTTTCCGTTGATCTCTCCGTTGACTTTGGAATAGAATTCTTCCTTTGAAGATGTGCTTTGCATGTATGCAGCAGATAGCGTGCTTCTCTAGCAGGACATGAAGCCCCTGCATCACATCAACCGGCGATGCGATGGTGTCATGAACAGCCTCTCTTAATTGCTGCTTCTGGCAGATATTAATCCATGCCGGGTCTGATGCTGCCGGACTTCTCCGTTGTAGGGCTATTTATACTGTAAGAGTCCCGTCTGGAGATATGGACAGCTTCTGATTCTACACAATCCCCTCTCCTCAGGGTCAATGGTCCATATCCTGTTCATTCTTCTGTCAGACATCAATCAACAATGAGCACTACCGTCACCCAAATCACCCCGGCAGATCCTCTGGGTCAGTACTCCTTCGACAAGCTCGAGCCGTACTCCCACCCCCCAGAGACCAAGGTGGATCTCCCTTGGGCAGAGCTTGTCACTCTGAATCTGGAAGAATTCGACCGGCCAGGCGGCAAGCATAGACTGGCTGCGCAGCTCGAACATGCCGTGCACCACGTGGGCTTCTTCTACGTCAAGAACTTCGGCCTGACGCAGGAACAAGTCGACCGCCAATTCACCCTGGCCAAGAACTTCTTCAAGCTCCCCCTGTTAGAGAAGGACAAGTACTCGGTCGACTACGTGAACGCAGACTACAACGGCTACCGTCGCGCGGGACTGCGGACGATCCGAAGCGCAACAGCAGCTGCGGAAAAGGGCAATGAGGGCATCAAGGACAACTACGAGATGTACAATTTCGCCAAGTTCACCAAGGACTTTGAAGGGAAATACTCCCATCCGGACCTGATCCGGGTCCATCTCCCGGAGATTGAAACATTCGCCAAAACCCTCCACTCGAACATCATCCTCCCCCTCCTCCGCCTCTTTGCCATCATTCTCCAACTCCCGGACGAGGAATACTTCGCGCGCCAGCACGAGTACACGAAACGCTCCGAAGACCACTTCCGGTATATGATCTACAACAAGCGTACGCCCGAGGAGCACGAAGCAAGCAGTTACCAGCAAGTCCAGGGCCACACAGACCTGGGCTCACTGACACTCCTCTTCCGCCAGCCCGTCGCGGGACTGCAGATCCTTGGCGAAGACGGGAACTGGACCTACGTATCTGCACAACCGGGCACCATCACAGTCAATCTGGCCGACACCCTTTCCCATCTGACGGGTGGTTACCTGAAGAGCTCGATCCATCGCGTCGTGGCCCCGCCGCGGGATCAGTGGGCGTATGATCGGACGGGTCTTTTGTACTTTGCCCGACCACATAGTGATACTGTTCTCCATCCCATCACAGACTCGCCGCTCCTGGAGCGGGCGGGGGTCAGGCCTCGGTTTGACAAGGAGGTCACCATGGCGGAGTGGGTGAAGTCGAAGCAAACGATGCAGTTGAATCCGGATCGGTATGATAAGAAGAGGAAGGATGGGGCCGTTGAGTTGATTGGGGGGTATAAAGATAAGGTCTATACCTAGGTAACAGATCGTACTCCGTAGGAGTACTGATGTAGATGCTGATTCATGAATGTAAGCAATGATCTATGGATATGGGATGATGGATTTATGCCTTAGGCAGATTTCTAAGGTTGAATATATTACAGTATTACAATTACAATTACAATATCATAAATACAGTGACGCCTCAAAAGTTTCGACACCCCCCAAATGGACCCACTTTCACACCGCCTGTACCGCCTACCCTTTAGAACATCATATCATCTCTCATTTTGTTGCCCTTTTTGGGTACAGGTGACGCTGAAACATGGGCACTTTTCAGCAACCGTCATCTGCCACGCTCCCGCGCCCTATGCCCACGCACTGTCCAACCTACCAATCCCTGGCCGATGCACCAGTTTCGTGAGCGCTTCCATTTTGGCTCTTCATTCCACCTCAGTAACTCTCTCAACTCTCATTTTGTGAGGGTGCTGAAAATTATAGCCTCCTCAGTGAAACCCCCTCCCCACCTGCTGCCTGCAAACTAGCAGACAACTACCATGGCTATGTTAACTCCACCCCCCAATGCTAATCCACTTGCTCTTTTGTTACCGTTCGCTCCTTGTGTCAGGGCCCTTGCCATGTAGACCAGGACGAGCACGTGAGCTTCCTTACTTGGATTAGCGTGGCGCGTGGATAGGAGTACGTCGTCCAGCTTCACGTAGATCTCTTCCCTTTTCCTTCCTCTTCATGCTTGAAGTTCTCGTCGATAGCTGCCTAGATAGCTGGATAGCATCCTATTCATCGTCTAGTTGAGTTCCGTGACAGCTATGGTGATCTGGTTAGGGTCCTCATAGATTGTCTTCAGGTGGTTAAGAATGTCTTGTATCTGTATAGGGGTTAAGAGCTCCTTCTCTCATTTAGGGCATGATATGCTTTTATGCCTTGCCTTCACAGTGGCCTGCTACATACATGATTTGGAGTTTTGGGGTGTCATAGTGGTCACCATTTGCAGAAAGCTTCTAGTTCATCAGCAAAAACCAATCTTCAAAATAGGGTTCCTTGCCATCAGTGAGTATGGGGAGATCAGGGAGCTTAGCTGACTTGCAGGTGGTGGAACTCAGTCTAACCTAAGAGCTTATGTTTTCATCAGCAACAGTTCTGGCAATCTGTTAGGCATAGACATCTTATTCTGCTATAACTTGATTTAACTTTTTCTATAGATACTGAACTTCCTGCTGTGACAAGATCAGATCAGCAGCAACCTCTTACTCTTTTACAATGGTCTTTGCAATCTGGACCTTCTGGTCTTCAATTGTTTCTTCATAATCCCAGTATCTGGACTAAATATTTTCAAATAAGGCTTCTAGATCAGCAATCATTTGTCTGCAGAATTCATTCAAGCTGATGTAGTCAAGTTCCCTATGGTTATTAAATACAATGGAGTCACGTTGATTCAGTTCTTCTGTATTCAGACTTAGGGTTATGCCAGCTGGTTCAGTGCCAGCTGTATCAGAGGGTCTTGCCATTTGGCAATTTGATCAGTTGTTCTATTCTTAGGTTCAGGGATTCATTTCATTCAAATTCATCAACTCTGTCAGTTCAGCTCTGGGTGAGTCAGTGGTTGGCGAGAATCAGACTCCAGCCCAGGCGACACAAGGATAAGGTAGATGCTTGAAGTTATGTCACAGAACTCAACTAGACGATGAATAGGATGCTATTCAGCTATCTAGGCAGCTATCGACGAGAACTTCAAGCATGAAGAGGAAGGAAAAAAGGAAGAGATCTACGTGAAGCTGGACGACGTACTCCTATCCACGCGCCACGCTAATCCAAGTAAGGAAGCTCACGTGCTCGTCCTGGTCTACATGGCAAGGGCCCTGACACGTACGTGTAGTCGATACAGCTTCATTCTGCCCTTCTTCCCTGAGCTACATGCATATTCCACAACAGGAAGTTTTGACCGGCAGAATATTACATAATAATAGGGATGTGGGGACAGGAATGTCGAACCTTTGGAGTGTCACTGTATGCTTTACCAAAAAGGTGATAAACTGATATGATAAACTGTTGAGAATCGTTTTATCTCCGCCATTGGATTCCTAGTTTAAATTGGCGCTGATAGTGTACCAAATAAAAAGGAAATAAAAAGGAGGAAACATACAAATTTGAAATCTATCGGCATCGATTATTCCAAAGTTCTTTCTTCAAGCTATCATTTATTGTCGTATCTTTGGGAGTGCTAGTTTAACTACTGGAGCAGCTCTGCAACGAGCCAGCTGAAAAGAGGAAACAAAAAAAAAAATAAAATAAAATAAATAATAAAATAAAATGAAATGGAATAAAATAAAAATAATCATATTCCTCCCAAAAGAAGAAAAGCAGAAGATTTCATCTCCCTTGGCAGCTTTGACGACGATCCAGTCTGAAGTTGGATTCGGACCCAGCTTCAACTTCAGAATCAATCAGAATCCGAAGCCGATTCAAGTTCAAATGCTTTCGGCGCCTCCCATATCTCCAGAGAGACGTTCTTCCGTCTACCGGATTGCTACCCTGCCACGGCTGAAAGGGCCCACATACAAAAGGTCATGCTGAAGTTGAAAGTGAAGAACGCGACACATGCGAAGCGTACAAGGATGGCGTTGGCTAGTAGGAGTGTTAGTACTAATGGTGCTGCTGCCGGTGACTCTGAAGATCATGATGCCATAACGCCAGCTACTGGTACAGTTACAGGCACAGGCGCTGGTACATAGATCGTGGAAGGGCAGGAGCTGTCATTTGACAAAGCCGAAGCGCACATGTTGAAGGAGATGGAATACGAGACTTTGCCTACGTACTCGCCCACATAAGTGTGTCGGGGTACTTCCGTGACGACGGGGAGCGGACGGAGAAGGATCTGGTCTAGATGATTGCCAGGGCCGATAAGCCAAAAATGCCACAGGATAAGAAGAAGAATAATGAGGCCAAGGCCAGGACGGAGAATTCCAAGGAGAAAAATAAGGAGTTCAAGTCTAGCAAGAAACGCAAGCGGAAGTAGGGTGATACTCCTGCTGAGCTGTCCGTCGTGGATAAGAAGGCGAAGAGATATAACAATAGAAAATAAATTGGGGTGGTAGCCCTTGCTCAACAGGGAGGGGAATGTTGAATATATTGTAATTAATCAATGTCGATGAAATAAAAAGAGGGAATTATATGTAAAGTAATACTAATAAAATAATAAATAATAAATAGATGCAGGGAGATTAGAGAGAGAATAAAATGTCCATCCACCGAATAGCCCTAATTAATAACGAACCGAAAAAAAAAGCATTTTCTGCACAGGATAGATTCCCCTGAAGATCTTACAATCCCATGCACTATCTCAACTACAACGCAAAACCCATCGCTAGAAGCAAGGCCGCCGACAAACTGCCGCTGTTGATAGCAAAAGCGGAACCGGCGCTCTTAGCAGTCTCCGTAGCGGAACTACCAGACGCAGTGCCAGTTGCAGAAGAACCACCAGAAGTGACAGAAGCTCCAGAGCCGCCTGTAGCGACAGCATTAGAGCCGGAAGCGGTGCTTGCAACAGCAATAGATGTCTCGATGCCCGTGCTCGTGGCGGCAGTGCTAGTGGTAGACGAACTGGGAGCGTAGGCATTGGCAGCGTTGCAGTATGATTCCTTGGTCTGTTGGGCGCCGAATTGACCGGAATCACCGGGGCAATTGTTGTAGCAGCTGTAGATAATTGGGACGGGTCAGTACGTGTATATGGATTATTAATTGACGTACAAGGAGATGGCAATAGAAAAGATAACCTACGTCAAGACATTTGTGCTCTGCTCGCAGAGACATTTCCAGTCGTTTTGGGCACAGGCTTGCAGCTGTGGCTGCGTTGATGACAGACATGCGTCAAGGATACTGTAACTGGGTATTAGAACCGAGATCTACAGGATCAGCGGAGAGACAGTAGTCATACTTCTGTGCAGCACAGCTCGACGATGAAGTCTCAGCAGGTGCAGGAGAGGCTTGAACAGCACCAAAGCTGACAGAGAGCGCCAGTAAAGTGAGAGAAGCAAAGGAACGCATGGTTGACGGTATACCAAATCGAATTGATTAATAAAAAGGGGGTAACAGACTATTATTGTATAATTATACTGTTGGGTTACTGGAAGATAGTAGTTGACAGATGACAGCAGCTGAAACGAAACGAGAGATTGTTAAAGACTGTGATGAACTGCTAGGAAAAGGAGATGAGGAATGAGTGTGTACTGGAAATCAGAAAAAAGGACGAGAGCCAGCAGAAATAAAAATGATAGATCGTCAGAAAGACAGGAGACAATATTAGCAGCAACGAACAAGTCCGTTCGGCATGTCGAACTGTCGGATAGATAGATCTATTTATAGCCTGGTGAAAAAGCCTGATAGTAGACCCCAGAACCAAACGAGACTTGATTACAGCTTGATCACTGGCCAACTGCACAGCTAGAACTGCGACGGAACGCTGTGGTTCCCTGGGAGAGACAGTGAGATCCATTCCATGACCATGGAAGTTACTGTAGACGGTTGCACTAGCAGGGTATTTCACTGTTATGTGTCACATAGTCTCTCCCTGGAGAGAATCTGCCAGGGGGGACACTATCTGTCGGACTAGTATCTCCTGATCTGGGCAGGGTAGGCTCGGGACATGTTTTGAAGGTCAGTATATCGTGTTAGTAGCTTCCCTTCGTATTGGAGGCTAATATACTGTACCAGTCAGGGGGGTTAATGGGATCCATCAGGGGCATGCAAATCAAGCAAGCTGGCGAGAATTGGAAGAGAGACAGGTCAGGAACATCCCTAGGTACTACCAGTAGTACCTAAGTAATGTGACAGGTCAGCTGACATCAAAATAGCGCATTCCGAAACCGCCAGAGACGATAATTATGGTTACAGAATACAGAACCATTGCATACGATGATCAGGTGATTGTCAAAAACAGTTTAGGTTATAAATATCACGTGATATGAATAACCACTGTTGGTACCGCCTCATTTGGCAGGCAGATTATTGGCCGCCTTTTGGATTAAGATACACTAACCTAGATAGGAAATAGGTAATATCTCAAATTTCAAAGACACGAAGCTATTATTATTATTATTATATTCAGTCCGTCGATATCATGACGCATAATTATTATTATTTGTGTCTATTATTGTCAAGTACATGTCAGCATTTCGTATTCATACAGTCCATGTGAAACACATGCAATCCACGGCGTTATCTCCCACGTTTCCCAGACCCTGAGAATCAATGATTGCTTGACCCTGTCTGGATAAATAAAATTGCTTACAAGCTTTGCTCTAGAGTCTGCTAGTTAGATATATGATATCTTATCTAACTAACCGCTCTTTCTCTCTGCTTCTCTCGTGATGCGGAACAAGTTGCCATCCATGAAAGCGCTACACTGTTGTCGACTCCATGATCATGAAGTCCTCAACTGCTGTACAAAGATCATGGCTGTTTGGAGCTACTGTCAGCATCTTGCTCATCTTTTTCTATATCTATCACATTGACCCTGATCCTGTCAAATTATTGTATGTTCGTTCTTCATTGCGCACCTGCATCTTTGGTGCAAGCATTGCTAAGGAATGAACGCAGAAGTAGTTCCTTTCCAGACACATTAACAATACCTTCAGAATACCATCCTTTGGATACAGCACAGCTTCTTGCACTGTTGTACAAACCGTTTATTCATCATCTCGATGCCCGGACGTTTACTGGTGACAATCAGAGGACCTAAGCGCTCTCTCAACCGCCGCGCTTCACTCGACCGCTGGGGAAGAAAGTCTTACTTCTCGACGTCGATACCAGGCCGATTGATGAACCTGGTGGTATGCTAAACGTACCAATGAACTATGATGAATTGACACTGCACCTGCCGGAATACTGAACCATTATCTTTACTGTAGGTGCTATCTTTTTTGGGAGAGAAAAGTCAGCTAAAATCAAAACAAATATCAACAAAGGAAGAGATAGCGAGAAAAGAAAGAACTAACTGAAGTGGGAAATTAACCAAAATTAAAGCATTAATCCACAGCTATGAATACAAGTTCATCCATTCCCCATCCTATACGGACCGACATCAGACCTGGGTTAAAGTGCCCATGATCTGCGAGGTTCTAAAACCCGCAAATACGATTATATGATCTTCATGGATGCAGATGCAGTCTTCCGATACACCCACCTCCCCCTCGAGTGGTTATTCAACTACTGGAATCTCGCCAACGAAACACTCATCGCGATGCCGCTCGACCCGTCCATCCCCCTAAACGAGGACGAACGCGGCAATATAGCTTTCAACACTGGCTTTATCATCGCACAGTCGCACCCACGCACCGTTGAATTGTTCGACGCGTGGGAGGACTGCGTCAGCGGCCGGCACTTCGACAGGTGCTCTAAGTGGCGCTATGAATGGAGCCACGAACAGGCTGCGTTCAGCAACTACATGCGCTACGAATACAACGCGCCCAACGAAATCCTCAGCCTGTCCTGTACCGAAGCAAATGGATACCCTCAACGGGCTGATCAGAGATGTCTCGGTGAGTTTGTGCGCCATTTCTGGCTCGATAAACCCCTTGTTGTTGATGCCTTTCGGCATGCCGTTGCGCGCTACACTGCCCCGAGTTTGCATGGGTTATTTCATGCCAATTTGGGGGATATTTTTGTTGACGCGACGAATACGACACTACCGCTGCAGGAGGACGAGATGGTTATCGTATGACATTTCTCGTTTCTCGTGTGTTCAACATCTGAGAGTTCGATTTTGTAACTTGGGGGTCTGGAATAACTCGATGCATACATTACATATAATCCCATTGTATAATCTTAAAGTTAAAGTATTAGTTAGATCCATAGCAATATAGTTAAGAGAGCCTACTGTTTTTGCCATTGGTATAAACAGAGGAAGAAATTAAGGCACATGTCCAGTCCTACGGAGGACAATACACTAAGATATATACAAAGGGCCACCAACAAAGGAAGAAAGAGTTCGAGGCAGAATAAAGGGGAGAGAGAATGACAAGATAAAAAGACAACGAAATATCAAATACCAATACCCATCCTGATAATGATCCCACCTGCATCTGTATACTGACCCAAGATGACTTGCAAGAACACAAAAAAAAAAAAAAAAAAAAAAAAAAGAAAGAAAGAAAGAATGAGGGAGCAGTGACGCAGGCTCGTTTGCTAACTATTATAATGAACATATATAATGATCTCTGTATCAGGAAACCATCTGCCTCTAGCTGTCCACGTCTGGCATCACTTTTTCCTTGGGGTTCCACTCCCCTACAGCCACATGGAAACTGCTTTCTTCACTCTTGTCCAAATCCCAAAGTCTCCTCCACGGCAATTGTTAGTTTGTTTTGCAGCACGTCATATGACTTGTAGGGAGGGAGATCAAGACGATTGAAACTAGACAAATGTTAGCAAGATCATATCATATTTACCACTTATGCAGGGGTAACGTACCATGTATGAGACTTCGGTAGTGCTACAGGGTCACCAGATTTCTCGATAGTAAAGCGTCGTGGTCCGTCGGAGCCCTGCAGATCCTTGAATCCATTGACGGGAATACGTGAGGTACCAGTGGTAAACTGAAGAAGACGTGATTTCTGTTCTGCATCCCAGGTACGAACCACCTTCCAGAAGTTCTGAACAACTTCATCCTGTTCCTGATATCCGCGGTAATCTGTGTGTTTCTTCCAGTCATCCACATCGATATCCGCAATACCACCGATCAGGAGTTCTAATTCGCGTTCATCGAACACGTTCACCAAATCCGCTGGAATCAATTCATTGAAGCCAGACATGAAGGCGTTGAACTGTTCCTCGACACGCTTCACAATTTTCCACTCCGTAACCAATCTAGGGAAAAATGTCAGTATCCCATTCCCAAGTCTCGCAGGGTCCCACTTAAACGAGATCATGACTTACTCAACGTATTGCGCCTTATTCTCATTAGTTACTGGGATATCCCGGCCACCGGGTATCAAATCAATTGTGGTGCGTTCGCCGAATTTCTCGTCGTCAACACAGAATGTCAATTCGACAATGCCCTCAATGTCATTATTCCTGTGACTCGTTAGAACCTGGTAAATAAAAACAAGAATGCAGATAAAAAAAACGTACAGAGTCCAGGTCAAATTGCGATGCAAGTCTTCATCCACGCCTTCCATATCTTGAAGAGTAACCTTCTTCCTCAGCATCATCTTGTAGAAAGCTCCGATGAAGAATGAATCAAGGAAACGTCGATGGAAGATGGCCAGGCCGACAACTCGCCCAATGAATTTGAAGTAGTTCAGGTGTTCAGGGTTAACTCCCGAATGAGGATTAATCTGTAGGGTGTAATTATCGTGGGCGGAATACTCGAAAAGACAGTAGAAAGGGTTGAACATCTCATGAGAAAGAAGGAAGAAAAATTCACTATTCATGGTCAGTAATCCAACACACCTCTCTAGTAATAAAAGCCTTTTAGGAAGAAACCCTACCGTGAAAGACCACCGTAATCAAGACCATCCTCGCCGTCAAACTTAATCATAAGTCGCTTCTTAAGATCAGAAGCACTCTGTCGCATAATCTCTGTGTACGAGTTCTCGAAAATGTTATTGCGATGCACCTTAACATGGCACTGTCCAGTCATGATCCGCAACGCAGGCTGTGACCGGAAGTAGATCAGTTTGCGCCTGAAATCGCGCTTGTATTGCGGCACACCCTGATCCAAGGATGATGGAAGTCGGGGATCGTCCCACGTAGTTGTCTTGGTATTGTGATCCACAAAGTATACACGCGCTGTATTCGTAAGACGCATTTCCCATCCGCTGGGCAATGGCCCCAGCTGGGAAACTGGCTGCTGCTGAATCGTGGGACTGTTACCGTTTGCATTCTGCCCATACCACCGTATGTACTGCTGCCGACGGGGATCAACCCACGTGGTTGTGCGTGTGTTGTGGTCAACGAAGTAAGGTCTGCCTTCTGCCGTCGTCCGCTGCTCCCAACCGGAGGGAAGCTCACCAGTGCCCGCAGTGGTAGCCCCCGTAGCCATCATCGATACAGCGCTGGCACTACCACCAGACGGCGGAGTATGTGCCTGATGCTCTGACAAGCTTGGTGAACTGGCCCCAGTCCGATCCTCAGGTAACATTCGGCTCTGGTGGGCTCTCCGTTCCAATTGCATGTTAGCCTCCCGCTGAGAACGCTGTGCATGCTCGTTGTAGTTCGACGACGGCCGTGTCCAGGTGGTGGTTCGAGTGTTGTGATCTACATAGTAGGTTCTTCCCAGATTATCCTCACGTCGTTCCCAGCCGGCAGGTAGTCGGCCCTGACTGTCTTCAAACGAACTGAGATTCGTGCGAGCATGGCCATTTGTTTGAATTGCCGATCCATTTGCAGTCCCTGAAGTGGCGGGAGTTCGGGTAGTCGAAGATGAAGCTGCACGCTGTGGATTAGCAGTTGCGGTCGAGGTTACAGTTGTGGATGAGTCTGCATTGCTGGCACCCGATGGAGTATGCGAGGAGGTTGATGGGACCTGTGAAATAAGGCCACCGCTCGATGCTGAAGACTGAGGGTGTGAGCGCTGTGTGCCATTTTGTGCGTTGGGTCTAGGATTGCTGAGATTAGTGGACAGGTTGATTATGAGTTTCCCATGGACTACTAGGTTGTCATTTGATTTCTTGAGGTCTCTTGTGAGCATTTCTGTGAAGGAAGAAAGTAGGACATGAGGTTAGTCATTTAAAGAAACATCTAGGCAAGGATAAGCAAACATACCATCACCACCCATCTGTAAATCAATAACATCTCCAATCCGGACATTAATAACTCCCAGGAAACCCTGGTCCTTCTTCTTGAATTTCTTCTGGTCGAAGATCTGGATCGCGAGGATGCTATCTTCATTGACTCTCCTGCATACCGTGACGGCCAGTCGTCAGTGGAGTTCTGACTTTTTGGACAGGGCAATAAAGAAATCCAAGTCAGTAAACATACAGATCAAATACTTCATTCCAGTACGGATTCAATGTCTTCTTGATCACAGAGGTCGGACGGGTTTGTTCACCATCCACAGTAGCCACAGCGAAGGGATCCGGAAAGCCTATAACGGGGGGAAAGCTATGTTAGCCCTGCGAGACAGATGATGATATTTCGGGGGGGGGTGGGGGGAGGTGCATACGGAAGACATCACGCTTGTATAAACCATCTGCGGCGATAACTGCAGGAGGTGAGGTGAGTCAGTACGGTCACTGGGAAGGCTGCTAGAATGTAGGGAAAGAGATCTCCCTTACTTGTGAGCCTAAGATTTGGTTGACTGTGATGCATGGTTGTTAGCCGATCTATCTTCAAAGAATACCATCATATTGTTCGTCGTTGTCATCGTTTTTGAAGACGAAGAGAAGAACCAACAGGGCAGATCCGATTCAAAAACGATGGAAGCCCACTTACGCTGGAAGATTAGAACCCATTCTGTCTCGTGAGGTCCTTTTCACCGTACACCAGGCAGGTGCAAAGAGGCCGATTAAGCAAGCCTAAGATGGGACCGCCGGCGTGCGCATCCACCGCGGTGTTCCAGGGGTTAAATCCACAGACGGTGCTCGTCGAATGTCGGCGGTTGGCGGATAGGAGAGGGAAGGGGGAGGTAGGGGCTGGCGGAAGGATAACCAAAGCGCTGTCAACGGATTGTCCAGAAGCAATGGGGATAGACGGTCGAGGGTCGTCGTTCGGAGGAGGCGCAGACGTGAAAGAGGCTGAGCAGGCTTCAAGTTGACTTTGACCTGACGTGAGGCGTCTGGGCCAATGAGACTGAGCGGGGGGGGGTTTCAGGGAGTTGACTGCTCCCTCCAATCGTTTGCAAAGCGTGGCGAGGAGAGAGAAAAGACTGCAGAAAGAGAAACAGAGAGTCGAGTCGGGGAGAGGATTCTGGAAAGACGGTCTTCTTTCTTCCCAGGCTGGTGGTCGCTCACTAACGCGACTATGAATAGTAGAATAAATAGGACCCCGCGTTCTCCCGCCCTACGAGTCAAGCTCTTCTGCACGACTCACAGCACGTATTAATTCCCGGGAAACCAAATCGAATTCTTCCTCAAGAGACACGTCCCAGCAGACGGGACTAACAGTGCTGGTGATGGCACGATGTAAATTTATCTATTCTCGCTTCTATTGATCGTTGATCGTTGTTTGTGATTTCACCCTGCTTATACGACACGGATGACATGTGTCGTACATTATACGAGACTGCAGGCGATTCTCGATCAGTTAATAATATATTATATATGATTATTTATCGATGACTGGCACATATTCTCATAGTCCATCAAAAATAAATAAATAAATAAAAAGTAAGAAAATAAAGCTGGTCTCAATTTTTCACCAGATCAATCATTACGCGATGATACCAATGATGAGGATATCACAAAGAGATCTCACTAATAATCAACCATCCTTGTCCCAGTCCCTTGCTGGATAGTCTTAAAGTATCATACACCCCAGGCCATAACTCCAGAGGACTCATCCATAAATCAGAATGTCACATTTTAGTTCCGCAGCTGTGTTGCTAATGGGGCTTCCTGTCGTGTCTCCCCCCTGTGCCTTTACTTACGTCTCTTAGGTTTCCTTCATAGGGGATTGTCACTGATCCGCTCTAATACGGTGCATACCCCCGTCCTCGGCCGCGGTAACCACCGCCACGATAGGCCCCGCGAGGTGGATAGCCACCACGCCCGTAGAAACCACGCCCCCCTCGGAAACCACCTCGTCCACGGCCTCGACTCATGCCAGGCACATTGGTCCGCTTGGGAACAACCTGCAGACTCCATGTTAGCATTACCAGACTGCGCCCGGGAAAGAGTTGCTTTCTGCTGCCTTACCTTCAGGTTCCGACCCCGGAAGACGCTCTCATTCAGGACGAGCGCTTGTGCAACGAGACTCGGTTCTGCGAATTCTACGTAGGCGTATCTGGAGCACGCCAGTCAGCAACAAGCCGGCATGAGAGAAGAAATTCATGGTACTGATTTTTCATGGGAACGGCGCAGCTAGGCTGACATACCCTTTTGGCTGACCAGTGTATTTGTCTAGGAGAATGGTGACGCGATTTATTGAACCGCAGCTCTGGAAATGTGCTTGGATCTCCTCTGGAGACGCGCCGTAGTCCACGTTGCCAACGAAGATACTGCGAGCATCAATCTCTTCTTTATCTTCTCGTAGATTCTCTGATTGCTGGTCGAGAGTGGCCTGCATCTCGCGTAACTTTGCAGCCTCGGATTCCATCTCCTCTACTCGTCGTTTCATCGCCGCGATTTCTTCCTGCACGGATAAAAGAGCGAACATTAGCCATGATGAAACCGAAAGTGACAATGATCCGATCCAAATATATATATAGCCAATTCACGATTCCCTTGTATCTCCCTCTCTTTTTCCGTAGTAGAGCCCCAAAAAACGTACCTCGTCATCACCGCCCTCTTCGTGGGTGGTGTCCAGACGCTGCTCATCCTTTTTAACCTCGTTCTCCTCCGTAGCCATATCGAATAGGAAAAATTAAAACAAAAAGCGTCCTTCGCTTTTATGCTTTTATTTTCTATTTTCACTTCTTTTCGTTCGCAGAACTGGCGTGGAGGAAGAAAATCTTGCGAGTTCGAAAGGTACTAGTAGCGCCGCGGGTATGGAATATCGCTTGAAAAGATTGACCGTTTATGTTCCTCGGGCAAACTGTGATTGGACTTGAAAGAAACCCATTCAGAGCAGCAAGAAGATAAAGAATGAATGGAATAGAATGCTGTCTTTGTTAAGCAGACACAACGAAAAGCCGCAAAGAGCTATGAATGCAGTGCCTAAGTTGATCGGCATCAACTTTCCAAAGAAGTCACTGTTGCTGTTTTGGGCTTAGCGCCTTGTGTCATCTGAACACGCTCGTGTATACGCAACTCTTGGGTTCTCCGCAGGCCAATACAAACCCTGTGAGTCCAGTAGGGATAATCTGATATTTTCGAGAATTGTACAGCTCTGTGCTATTTATTACATAAATCAAACTAAAGATTCAATGGCATACAGGGACTCGTGAGAGTTAGGGTTATCGGTTATGGCTGCAACAGAAGAGTTCATATTACATGATGAAGCAGACAAGCCTGAAAAGACATGACAAGACTTAAGGTATTGAACCGACACGGTGAAAATAAAAATATAAATGCGGAGAAAACTAGGCTAGACAGAAACCAGATACTAAAGCAAAGGCGAAACGGGGAGTCATGATCTGGAAAGGCTGGAGACATATACAAGCGGATTGGAGGGGAAAAGAGAAGGCATTATGATGGCACACCGTTCTTCCGGAAAGAAACCTTTTCCACAGTAACAGTTTCGACCCCTTTGGTGTCCTTCTTGAGTTGGTAGACGTAAAGAACTAAGACGTCACCTTGAATCTGATAGGGGTTAGCATCCAACCGACGTCCGACACATACGTGAAATACCAGATTGTGCAGGGAAAAGAAAAAAAAAAAAAAAGACTACAGACTCACATCCATCAAACAAAAGCTTGGTATTGGCTCTTCTCCTTCGGGCCAATAGCCAGTGCTCATTGCACCAGTTGCACTGCCGGGATTCACGAAGAATCTCCCTTCCAACTCAAAGGCCTCGAAGCGATGTGTGCCTCCCCACAACAGAATATCTACATCCATCTGACGGGCCGCGATGAGTAGTGCATCAGCATCCCCTGGAGGAATAATAGTGTGACCATGAGTGAAGCCGATACGGAGGCTACCGTGGACGACGACTTTGGAGAGCGGTAAGGTAGGAGAATCGACATCGAAGTCGCCCTTGACCATCTGCAAGTCGGGGGCAATCTGGCGAAAGAATTCATAGGTTTCCCGGTCTGTGAGATTGCCTAGACATAGTATCTGACCGATCTTTCCTGGGGTCAAGAGCTTCCGGAACTGAAATAGCCGTTAGGTTAGAGACGACGAAGGGAGAGACGTGTAGCAGGAAGCGCGCACCTTTGCTGGAAGGTCCTGGTAGCAATCAGCATCATTCATGAACAGAAATAAAGGAGTTGGGGTTGGAACAGCGTATAAGTAGCTTGCATACCGGAGCTCTGTCCGGGATGAACAGGTCACCAGTGACCAGGACGAGACGCGAGGTCATCCTGGGAGTGCGCACTAGCGTTTAACAGCCCATTCCAAAACGGGGGAGATAAAGGAGAATGAATTTATTTGCCACAGATGGACTGCTGGCAGTAAATGCAGTATCACGTTGGATATGGATCTGTAGACACTGCCCCCGTTGAGAGTGGTACTAGTAGCTCCGCGGGGAGGAAGCTCATACGGCAGGAAGCCCTAAGCCCTGACTCCAGTGACCATTCTGGTCTAGCGCCACAGATGCTTCGACTTCATAATCAGAACATTGAATTGAATAATGTCTTCGTATACAATGCTGCAGACTAGAAGTGTTCATGGCCATGTTTCATCAGAGTCTTGTCCTATATCACCTACTTGACAGCACTTCTGTTCGAGGCTGCAGCTAACATGTTCATAGCCAATTGGTTTCATCGTGCAGAGTACTGCTACATCTATATGGCGGCTCCAGGGGCTATGGGAACATGAATACACTCTACTCTGCGTTCGGTTCCTGCCGGCATGAATATAAACCCTCGAGTTCCCAATTATACAAGGAAAACATGGTCAAGAGAGAACCAGTGCATATGGGATGGATTGAAGACTCTGCACGGAGCATGTATATAGCGACACCCCATCTTCTAGGTATTATAGATTGATGTCTAGAATCCCGATATCTGAAGAATTGTTACTATTATTATTGAGTTACAAATAGAGCCTGAGTCACTCCGGCCGTAATTGCCGATGGCACCACCAAAGGGGAACACGGTGTAGGGAGATGGAGATAAAAAGTCCTTTCTACTCCAGTATACACGCTCTACAGTGTCTACACCAGGAACTCCTCATCCTGCATCATTGCCAAGGATTACTACGCTCTGCAGCCCAATCGACAACATCCCTGTCTCTGCATTGTAATAATTACCCCGCGCATCTCCCGAGGGAATGCCCGCCCGAACATCGGAGCGTCTTTCTCTGATCTCGAGGCATTTCAACGAGAAACTGCCCCTCCCCCAGCTCAACACTCCCTTTTCATCTGAGAGAAACACTCTTCCCCCAGACGACATTGACGTTCAGGTCTATAAACCGTCCTCTCCATCCGTCCTCCTGCAGTCCTCCAAACAAACACCCGCCACCATGTCTTCGCAAACCCCTCACTCCACCCTGTTGATCCCCGGCCCCATTGAGTTTGACGATGCTGTCCTGCAGTCGATGTCCCATTATGCGTGAGTTGCGACCCCGTCTCCCATGAGAATCTGCTCTCTGACCTTGCCTTGCTGTGCGGTGTTTCTTCTCCAGTGAGAGCCATGTGGGACCTGCCTTCGTCAAGGTCTTTGGAGAGACGCTGTCGCTAGTCCGGAAACTCTTCCAGAACATCGATCCCAAGGCTCAACCGTTCGTCCTCTCCGGCAGCGGCACCCTGGGCTGGGATCTCGTCGCATCCAACTTGATCGAACGGGGCGAGGATGCCCTCGTAATCCACACCGGATACTTCGGAGACTCCTTCGCAGCATGCTTGGAGACATACGGGGCGAAGGCCACACAGCTCAAGGCCCCCATTGGTGATCGCCCGTCCCTACCCCAGATCGAGCAGGCGCTCAAGGAGAAACCATACAAGATCGTCACCATCACCCACGTCGATACCTCGACCGGTGTACTGAACGACATTAAGGGCATCGCCGAGGTCGTCCGCCGCATCAGTCCCGAGACTCTAGTCGTCGTTGACGGCGTGTGCAGTGTCGGATGCGAAGAGATCGCCTTCGACGCCTGGGACCTGGACGTCGTCTTGACTGCCAGCCAAAAGGCCATCGGTTGCCCTCCTGGGTTGAGCATCGTCATGACCTCCGGTCGTGCCATTGACCGGTTCAAGTCCCGCAAGACCCCTCCGTCCTCGTACTACGCCTCTATGGCAAATTGGCTGCCTATCATGCAGAACTACGAGAACCAGAAAGCTTCTTACTTTGCAACACCAGCTACCCAGCTCGTCCATGCCCTCCACACTACCCTCAAACAGATCACCGCTCGTCCTCTGTCTGAGCGCGTGGCTATCCACGCCCACGCGTCTGACAAGGTCAAGGCCGCCGTTGCTGAGCTCGGCCTGTCCCAACTCGCTTCTAAGCCGGAGAATCAAGCCCACGGTATGACCGCTATCTACCTCCCCGAGGGCCTGACTCCCCCAGATGTCTTGCCTGGTCTAGCGAAGCGCGGTGTCATCTTTGCTGGCGGTCTGCACAAGGAGATCGCTTCCCGGTATATCCGATTCGGTCACATGGGCGTCAGTGTCACTGATCCTGCCCGCAAGGACATCGACAATGCAATTGCTTCCTTGAAAGAGGTTGTTGTCGAGGCAAAGAAAGCCAAGGGACTGTAATTTGTAACAATGAAAAATGCATTTTAAAAAGTTGTAGTTAGCCCAAAAGAGCAATGGGGGAACTTGAAGGGATATCTACGGGCAGATACGAAAGCATTAACTGACCCCGGAGGTTACCGTAGGGGTCAGTTACAATATGTCACATCTGCATTACCGAAACCGCGGTGCTAGGATCTACAAGGTACCTACAAACACATGTAAATGTACTTTTAGCATCATAACATGTGGATTTGAAATAGTAGAATAGATAACAGAAAAGAAAAATCTTTACGTTTACCTTCGGCCTAAAATGATGCCTCGTGACTCGTCAAGAGAGCAGACAGCTTCAACATTGCCGTTGATATATTATTTCATAAATGTCATCTCTACTTTTCATTTCTATCGTCTCTGTCTTTTCTTCTGAGCCGCTAGAAATTAATATCCTCCCTGCGATAGTGATCTGAAACGATACGATAGAGAAACGACGGAGCATGGCCACCCCTATGAAGAGAAAGAAAGTCAGCTTCCAACCTCAGCGCAGTATATTGGAGGAAATATGGGAACACACAGATTAGTGATATAAAGGTCAACCAATTCTGCAGGAACATAATCGTATAATGGATTTTGGACATCGATCTGATCCACCAGGCTGCCGTCCTCAAAACCAATAACCTTGCTCGCATCTCCGTACTCGATTAATGATTCGAAATCGAAAGGATACACGGGACTGAGTTTGTACACGCCACTGACTACCACGACTGGGGTCTGATGTACCTTGGCCGCTCTGGCAATCACCCTTGTCCCTGCGGCAGCAACAAGGCCACCGTTTGCAAGAACCGAGTGAGTGCCCAGAATGACCTTGTTGACTCGGGACATGAGCGCAAAAACAGCTGAGTCCGGGATGAGAATGACGGTGATGCCCAGCTCGATCAGAGGCTTCTGGAAGGCCTCAAAACTCAGGCTTTCTTCATCACCGTGGTTATTCCCACTGACGGTCCTATGAACGTCTTCATGGTCATTCGGGTACGATTCGGCGTGGATCACGGTGAATTTCCGTTTCGCAGCCGCTTTGAGCAAGAATTTCTGTACAGTGGTGGAAGAGGTGTGCGTGAGGATGATTTCGTTAGAGTGGATGTGATCGAGGGCGTAAGCAGCAATCTGGTCGTCTACCTGACCCAATTCATCGATGATCTCGCCAATACCCTCTATGACTTCGGCACGGATATCCTTACTTGGGGGGTGATCCAGCGGCCTACCCGACGGTGACCCATGTGCGGGGGAACCTGGAAGAGAGGTGTCGGTCTCTGGATGGGAGAGAAGACTGAACATGGAAATGGGAGCTGAAGTGGGGGCCAAGGAGGAGGTCAACGGTAGTCGAGAGGATGAAAACTCTGAGCTCTCATGACGGATATCATGGGGAACTGATGGATCTGTGATTCCTTGCGTCAACAATAGAAAGGGATATGGGCATTCAAAGTATGACTCTTCCACTAACCATCGTGTGCACGAGGAGTGTGAGGCTGACTCTCCGAGCCTACATCACTCAGAGTAAATTCAGCCTCTCTGTCTCCTTCTGCCTCATCACGAATAAGACCCAGGATGCGTCTGACGATATTGCCCACGACCATCTCCCTGGGTTGAGCAGCCACCAGACGCCTCCCCACATTCTGGACCCGTTCAATCAACTTGGCCGCATCAGTCGTCCTGCAGGCAGAGACAACACGGAGTAGAAGATAGGCGGTTGCAGTCGCGCATGATCGGGAGTTCCGAATCTGTCTTCGTTTGAGGAGTCTAGTAGAGGGGAACGGGACAAGATCAGCGGGAGTTCGTCAGTGGGAGAGAGAACACGTACGATATCAGATTGTCGATGGAGGTGTCGATGGGATTAGTCTTGAGCGACTTGAGAAACGAGGCGAGGTTTGGCGTCAGAGCCAGCGCGGTGGAGGGCATGGTTGGAGGTTGCAGACGTTGAGTTCTTTTCTTAGTGTTCTTTGTGCAGGCAAAAGCTTTTCGGCCCAACCGCTTTGCTTCCCCCACACTCCGTCATCGAGAGAACTCGAGGCTTTGAGAGAACAAGAACTCCTGCATTGCTTTTTCCATTATTATTATTACCTGTCTGAACAGCCACGGTAACGCCGCCCCCCCCCGTTTCGCCTTGCGCCCCTACAAAGGGTCCCCTGATCTCGTCCGGCTATATTTATCTTCTTCCCGTATCCCGTCCTCCGTACCCGAGAGAAGCGTTGGTGCTTCTGCTCTGCTCTGCTGCTGCTGCTGCTGCTGCCGCCGGCTTCTGTCACCTCCATCCTCTGCCGACTGCTTACTCTCTGACGCCTAAGAGGAGCGGGACTGCTTCCCGAGGGACACAGTCGTCGACTGGCGCATTGAGGTCCGTATATTCTTCGTCTATTCTCTTATCCTCCATGGTTACCGTTTACTATACTCCTCTGTCGCTGTCCCAACATTTTCATCTCATCTCTTATCGGGATTACCGCTTACACTTTCGCTTTGCTCCTCTCTCTCTCTAGATCCCTGCGCCAGCCGTGACTCCCAAATCTCCCCCATGCGCGTTGTGAAAGATGAACTCGTTGAGCCTGCTGTCATCGCGAGTCATTGGCCAGTCCTCCACCGGTCGAACGCGTCACCAAAGATCCCGCTCTCAAGGCGAGATCCCGCCCGATAGTCTGCCGAGAGACCCTCACAGATATAGGTCCAGGTCTTACAGTGAAGATAATGTGCACACCAATGATGGCTCCGAAAAGGATTACAGGGATCCGCCTCTGCTCACAGAGGACATAAATATGAATAGCGTCGTTGGACGCATCTTGGATGAAAAGACGCCATTGTTGCACCAAGCACAAAAAGGGGCCTTTCTTACCGCCAGGAGTTCACTGAGACTCAGCTGCCGTCGGACGTTCAATGCCATTGCAGAGACCATCAGATTTATTCTCTCCACGTTGACTGCACCCGGGGTTTATGTGGCCCAATGTTTTCGGAATGACGACGGGCGTTATTCACTTTTAGCCCCGGTGAGAAAGTTACAACAGATTAGGAGGGCAGATGGCATGCGAAATAGGGATGGAACACGCCTGGGTAGGAGCCGTCGCAGTGGTTCCGTGAGGAAGCTCCGAAGCTATCCTTCTCGAGATTCCATTCTTTCCACCTCCACATCCGAGTCAGATGAAGGTCAGCGCAGGGCGAGAGGCAAGCATCGGTCATCGACAAAGTCCCGCAGCCTTGGACAGGGGTCTGAAGGGAACAATACTCCTCGGCGTTCTATACGCATAAAACTCCACAATGACGACGCACTCAGGCAACAGAAAGAGCAGCGACGGTCTCAAGGCGCGGGATCCGAGCAGGTGATGCATAGTCATGTTTCCAAGACCCAGGCAGCACTTAATCCGGACAGCTTAAAGTCACCTACCTCTCCGTCTGTCCACAGACTCACCAGATATCCCCACTCCCCCACTCCACCTCGACCATTGATCCCCGCCCGGTTACCGTCGTATGCAGCTCCTCCTGGCAATTCTAGGGTCCCCCAGAAGACGCTCGTTTTGGACCTGGATGAAACCCTCATTCATTCTCTGGCAAAGGGTGGCCGCATGTCTAGCGGCCACATGGTCGAAGTCAAACTTTCCACACCGATGATTACTGCCCTCACCCCTGGGGGCCCACCTACCGCACTAGGACCCCATCATCCAATCTTATACTATGTTCACAAACGTCCTCATTGCGACGATTTCCTGCGCAAGGTGTGCAAATGGTACAAACTCGTTATCTTCACTGCCAGCGTCCAGGAATATGCGGACCCAGTAATCGACTGGCTCGAGCAAGAACGCAAGTTTTTCCAGGCCCGATATTATCGCCAACACTGTACTTTCCGGAACGGCGCCTATATCAAGGACCTAAGTTCGGTAGAGCCTGATCTGAGTAAAGTGATGATATTGGATAATAGCCCCATGAGCTATATTTTTCATGAAGGTAAGTTTTACTTGATCTTCATTCAAGACCAGCGGTTTCACTTTTCTTTTTGTTTTGCGTCAGGAAGCTGACCATTTCGCTCTCTTCAGATAATGCCATTCCCATCGAGGGCTGGATCAATGATCCCACGGACAATGGACTCCTTCACTTGATCCCAATGCTAGAAGCCCTGCAGTATGTGATTGACGTGCGGGCACTCCTAGCATTGCGAAGAGGAGAAGCCGAGGTTTCATAAGTAGGGCATATTTACTGGGACGCCGACAACAACGAACGATATTAATAAAGGGAACAATGGAAATGAGAAATTCAATTGAAGGATAAAGAAGAATAACACGAGGAAATGAGAAAACCCATAAAGTGCTAAAGAAAGAAGGAGGGGTATATTTATTATTATTATTACTATGCATCTATCCAGCTCATTCATCCTGACCGCTCTTCTGATTGACACTTGATGCTTGTGATAAAGGGGGTTCAAGTTGTGTAGTTGCATGCATGTTTTATCATCAGGCCTTTTCTGCCTATTCTTTCCTCTGCGAGTCCTGTGAATGCTAGTTGAGCATGATTTAGAATCCATCATAATGCGGCCCTTTCTTTATTTCTTTGCTGTTGTGGTTACGGCATATTGAGATTATCGGGTTCATTCTGCTTACCGACTGATACTTGCGGCAACTCGGACATGGCATGGCCTGATATGATTGAGTTGATACGCTGTAAAGGATAGATCGAAGGATTGCGCTGACTCAGTTTCGTCTTCACAGTGCGTCTCTTTAAGTTTCTGCTGACGATTTATGCAGGGATGAGTGAATGCCTCGTCAGCAACTACGAAGTTTGTTGACCGGCCTTAATCATTGATGTGCTACGAATACCCCTGATAGAAACTCCTTGCAATCCCTCCGAAGGGAAAAAGATCATAGCGCCATTTTTCTCAAGAGTATCTCAATCGTAGTAGTAAAGTCGGGACTGCATTCGCAGACCAACCGTGGGTCTCCATTCTGACCCGTAGGATTTCTAGACGGACAAATCCCAAGACAAACCCCATTCTTTAACAAATCATTATTTGCCTGTAAATATGCACATAGCTGTCCTTTAATTTTTGTCTTTCCCTGTTCTCCTCTCCCAGCGCGGGTTGTTTAAGAGCGGGGCTTCTCCTTCTTCTCCTTCCACAGAGCGAGCAGACCGACACCGGAAACCTTGACGACCTTGAAACGGACACCGGGAATATCACCCTTGGCCTTGCCCTTACGACCGAAACCGGCGAGGAGGACTTCGTCGTTCTCGTCGATGAAGTTCAGGCAACCGTCGTTGGGAACTGTAGACATACCCGGAGTCAGCGAATGTTTGACCATCAATTTATTGATACTCTCAAAATATCCATCAAAATCATCTAAGTACGGAGATATGCATCGACAGAGAGCATCCCTTGACGTATCCTCGATATTTATCCCCTCATCTCTGACCCTCCTCTTTCCCTCCTTGCTAACCATAACGAATTCCACAAGAGCGTAGAAAAGAAAACCGGGGGAACCCACCGAAAGCGGCGACCTTCTTGCCGTTCTTAATGAGCTGAACCTTGACACATTTCCGAATGGCAGAGTTGGGCTGCTTGGCCTCAACGCCGACCTTTTCGAGGACAATACCCTTGGCATGGGAAGCACCACCGAAGGGAGAGGACTTGTAGGCAGTTCCGAGAAGGCGCTTCTTGTACTGCAAGTCGGCCCAGCGGTTCTCACGGCGCGTGTTGGCCAGCTTGCGAGCGGCGTTAAGACCACGAGGCTTTCCCTTACCCATCTTGGCGGTATGTTATGTGTATTTGTCGGTCTGTGGGGTTGCGGTGGTCAGATAAATTAGAACGGGTTGGCCTTTTGATACGAAGACCGCTGTGCGTGATGAATAGTGTTGGGACTTACCGGTTAGAGGAATGTCGCCAGAAGGCCGGATGGTTGTCGACGGTCTCGCTGTAGCCGGAAGAGTCTGAATTGATCAGATGTGCGTTTCCGCCCTAACACCGCTAAGCGAGCCGGAGAAATATTGGTCCGTTATCTGCTAATCGATACCGATAATCCATATCACGTGGTATATTACTTTCCTACGTCAGTCTTCTCGTTGCTTGCTTCTTCTCTTCGCTTTTTCCTTACGACGTGCCAACGTCGCGCCATGGCTTCTTCAAAGCTAGAGGGTAGTAACATGCGAAAGACTCCCTCGCAGCGCTTACCTCCTCCCGTGCTGTTTCAGGGTCCCCCATCTCATAATGCATCCAGCAACTCCCTCGCGCATACACCGACCCTCAATGCCCCCGGAGGATCGCAGCCTGCTCCTTCCCCTCCCTTTCTTCAACGTACCCGCTCAACTGGGCCTCAAGCATCTTTTAGATCACAGGGATCCTTTCAATCTCAGTTGTCTTTGTCTCCATTTCTATCTCGTGCGCAGTCCAAGGGCGGTGAGGTGGATCCCTCAGATGCAATATGGCGAGAGATGCAAAATTCCCTAGCTGAGGTCGAATTGAGTGCAGCATCAAGCGAACATGTTTTTGGAGAAAAGCATTCTAAGGCGCTGGAAGATTTGCGCGAGAAGCAGCTGAAACTTGCACATGCCTGGGCTCGGAACGAAGCTGATGATGAGGTTGTGGAAACCAAGAATACTGATGAAGAGAATGAGAACAAGGAATCATCTACTTCCAAGATGATAACTCAGAATACTACTGCTACGGGAGGAGGTGATGCAGCTGAACGGGAGCGGACGGAGACCGAAGGTGTCTCCTATAAAACTCTGGATGAAGAGACAGAAAAGGATATCCTTCTAGCCCGAGAGAGGCGAGAGGCTAACGATCGGTATTTTGACAGAGTTAATAATGGAGTACTGGATGTCGTTTCCAAGCTTGAGGAAGTTGCTGAAGCTATGCGAATTGTCGAGAGAGAAAGCAGAGATATCTGGAGCGATTCCGAAACCTCTTCTACATCGAGCGATACCCCGACAGCGGATGCTAGATGAGATTCTTTAGGAGAAAATAATTCAGCCTATCTTGAAAAAAAAAATTTTTTTTCATTAATTGTTATAAGAATCCCACTCTCTGGGCTGGGCTGGGATCCACCGGTGCAAAGTATCGCCTGGTACCGTCTTCACCTAGGATAGTAACAGGATGACCCGGCGGCAGCAGTGCGGTGGAAAGTCTACTATTTCCCACTATCTTTCCATCATTGGGGGAAGGAAGAGAACGATTCCAGTCCTCGATGACTTGACTATCCTCAGATGAAACAGATTCAATTACTTTGAGATTCATATCGAAACTCAAGTGCGATGTATATACATATTAATAGTAACTGCTCGCAAGTCAAGAACGAAAGAGCTGAAGGGGGGATAAAAATGAGAAATAATCATGGACACCACAGCACCATTCACAAATGCATTAAAAGGGTATCCTGCATTTAAATGACTGATAAAATAGACATCCCAGGACAGTGAAGCAAGCATCAAACACACTCAGGTATTAATTTACTCTCTCTTCACCAACCTCATCGCAGCCTTCCACCCTTCTAAGGCGATATCCCTCCCGTCTTCCCACCGACTCTCGAACGCCTTCTTCGCCAACGCTTCCACCTCGTCATTCCAGCGATGCTTCAATACGTCCTTGATGCTTGGCTGCGAGGGCCAACGGATCCTTCCTGCTTCCTGCTCTCCTGCCATCTGTCGCGGGGGTTTAGGCAAGAAGCGCCGGTCATACGCGCCCGATGACGAAGACAGCCAGTTTATCAATTCGACCTGTTCCCGGATGGCATCGCGCTGGGCGATACGGTTCGAGCGATGGATTTGAAGCGAGATGTATACGATAGAGGTTGTTAAGGCGAAACCGCTGAACTAATTTTTTTTTAGGGCGTGGTTCCTTCTTAGACAATAGGAACTTTCTTTGTGGATTGTATGGCGAAGTTTTGAACATCGCAATTGAGACTTACGAATCCAGAAAAGAAGCCCATCTCTGGTTGGACTGTGAATTTGCGCCTTTGAGATTAGACAGGTAATGTGATGTTCTCTCTTCAGATCTCGTAGTAGATTTTTTGACAAAGCGAGGCTTGCAAGGAGAGGACGCGCCTCGAAGCACGACTCTCACATAAAGTCGTCCCCCTCGAAGATAGATTCAAGGAATTCTCAACCCAACTAGTCTAAAGAGTGAGAGTAAGAATAAGAAAAGAATAAAAAATGCAGGCAACGTACGATCACCGCGTGAAGCCGGACAAGACAGGATGCGCAGCCAGCTCTCCGATTGGCCGCGGCCAAAAGTCTCCAAACTTCAGGTTCGACGACGATTTCATTACTCGACGACAGACAAACCACCACAACTCGCCTGCCTGAAGCTGCTTCCGTCACTGCCCGCTCGTTTATAGAGGCAGTCTCTGCCAATTTTCTCCTTCGCCGTATCCCTGTTCGGAAGGCCGATTGTTCTCTTCGTTCCAGAATAAAAGAAAAGACGCAAGCATGGCTGGTGGTGCGGCCAAGTACCGCCATTTGAGTCGCAGTTCGGCACATCGACAGGCTCTACTTCGAAACCTGGTCACGTCTCTTTTCAAACATGAGTCCATCACGACGACATGGGCCAAGGCCAAGGAGGCACAGCGTCTGGCCGAGAAGTTGATCACCTTGGGCAAGAAGAATACCGAGGCCAGCAGGAGGAAGGCATTGGAAGTCTTCTATGTATGTTGATTCCCATTTGAAGAGTTAGGAAGTGGCTTAATACTGATCATTGGAATCCCCAGACTCCGCACGATCTCATGCCTAAGCTATTCGGTTCCCTCCGTGAACGCTACGCAGATCGTCCAGGCGGTTATACAAGAGTGCTGCGCGTTGAACCCAAAAAGGATGATCAGGCACCCAGTGCCATTCTCGAGCTCGTCGACGGACCGAAAGATATGCGGTTTGCCCTGACGGCGCGAACCCTAGCGCGGCAACGATCTCAGGGATTCGAGACGCTGAACGAGCTAACTGCTATGAACGTCCGGAAGGTGACGCGGTACAGGAAGGGCGGCATTGAGGAATTGGAGACGGCTATCGAAAAGCTGCAAGTTACAGAGAAGAAAGCCCCAGTCTCTTCCAGGAGGGCAGAGCCAGAAGGAAAAGAGGACAAGGCGGAGGCATAGTTACGTCTTCCCCTCTTTCCAACTACCTGTAATTCTACTTGTTCCTTGTGCCGATACTTGGATGTTCTTAGACCTTCCCTTGTTTTTCGCGCCGTGGCTTTGTGTATTTCCCTTGTGGCGGAGTTTTCTCACGGTTCTCTTTGACATGTTGAATAATCAATCCATGTATATGAAGGAAAGAAATTGAAAAGTAAAAAGAAATCAAAGTCCTATATAAGCAATTTTATTGTGGAAAAAGATTTTCTATTCTTTGTGAACTAATAGCGAGAATTGACAGTAGCAGCAGGGACTGGAGCGCATGTCCGAGTCTTGCCCAACGCCCATACAATGCTGTTCATAACGACGATGGGCAGCGCCGCCCGCACATAATGAAGATGGTAAATGCAGCTATTTCTTCAGCCTTCCCTTCCTTGACACGGCATAATCACTCATGCTGCTTATTTGTCAAAGATAGCGGCAGCCAAAGCAAAAAATCTCATTAGTAGTTAAATGCACTGCGTCCATGCGCCAAAATCCTATGCGCCAACAACGGCATATATGATGCTCCACTTATTAACATGTCGTTCAAGGTATGTCGTCTGTCAAGGACCTTTACCGGCAATCCTCCTATCGACAACCCACCACATAAGGGAAAACGCATACAAGACACCTCACGGTCACAAGGTCGATCAACCTCTAATTTGGCTTCGATGAGCCAGTCTCCCCTGACACAACAAGGGGACCATTGTTAGGGTTCGGTACCGTATTTGCTGCGTAAGGATGACCCGTAGTCCCTCTGTGTTTCAGATCGAAGTCAGACGAAACCTCCGAAGGCGGGGGTTTGGGGGGCAGATGAGAGGGCGTTCCCCACTTCGCAATCGAATCTCTGTTTCCTGTGGAAGGTACGCGACTAGTGTTGTACCCTGGTAATGCTGAAGGCTCAAAATTCCTGCTATTCGTCTCTGGGAACTGACTCCATTGCGGCGGTTGCATACTGTTTTGCCCGCCCATATACGAGTTCATCCCATACTGGTTATTCTTCGCAGGATGGCGACCGCTAGGGACAAAGGACCGCGTCTGAGGGTTGAACAAAGATCTATTGAAGCTTCCCGGTAATGGGTGAGAACCAGAATGATTTTGCATTCCTGGCTTTATGTGTTGTCCAGGAAACTGGCCATAAGGATATGATGTTGGACTCGATGCAATCGACTGTGGCGGGTAGGTCGGCCAGTGGGCAGGTTGATTGCGATAGGAAGACTGCTGAAAATTTCCCTGGTACGGATGGGACGTCCAGTTCGGTGGTACGTGCTGGTACGGGGCCGAGTTGGGAACTGCATAGTTATTCAAAGCAGGTGATGACTTATTAGACTGCTGGCCCATCATGGATGGCTGGTTCATCGACGTGTATCCTGCGAAAGGAGACTGCTGAGGCATATTGCCGCCTTGCCACGGGGAATTTGGTGTCGTTTGAGGTGACACAGCAGCCGGGTATTGAGGAACAGCATTCATGTTCACAGGGCCAGAATACATGGGATTATTTGGGTTGCTCTGGACATATGTCATGCTTGCAGGCGACATTCCTGGACCCACCACATAAGATGGTTGGTTGGGGAATGACCCATCGTTCGTACTAAGGTTGTATGGGACTGGTCCGTTTGTGTAATGATGCACTCCTGGATAATATACGTTGTACTGAGACCGGACCTCAAAGCTGTCATCATGAGGAGTCTTCTGCCTGTATGTCTTCTTGCGTCCACTCGCAGAGCTCGAACGAGATATGTTGTTTTCGCCGCTTGTGCTATCCGATGACTTCGACTCTGGAAAATCACGAAAAATTCGCTCTCTGGCCTTCTGGTACTTGACCTCTTTCTCTTCTCTGGACAATATCATTCTGTCCTTGGCAGGAGTGACATCTGTAGAGGAGCCGGCACGGTCCCCATCGTTTCCACTTTCACCGGCCTCGGATGTAGCCTTGGAAAGACCCCCGGAGCCAACGGCGCTCCCTTCGCGTGAAGGGCTACTACGGCGCATGATTTTCATAGGAGGCGCAGTTGGTGGTGGTGTGGCGTTACTGGCTGCATATATGACAGACAATGGCGTAGGTCTATATCAATAAGCATGAAAACGCAACAGCTAGTCAGAGTTAGGTGGCAGAAAAACTTACAGGCGACAGAACGGCGTCCTGTGAAGCCGGACTGATGTCACATTGTTATCCACGAAATGGGTCAAATGGTAGTAATCCCCAAGCTTATGGGCGAGGAGTCGCCCAAATGCATTCGAAGGCGGAAGCTCCAAGGATTGCTCTCTGACACATATCGTTAAGACTAAATTGAAGCCACAGTTGGGTTAGGCGACTTACTTGGAATGTTGGATAAAATGTATAATCTTCTCTTCCAACTGAAGTATCAGGAGACGATCCTTTGGTGTTTTCATAGCTTCAAGGAGCTTCTCATCTGGCTCCAGAGGGAACCCATGCAAGCTGGGGTTGCCTTTGAACGCTTCCGGATTTAAACCAGGGAAATCATTGGACACGAGATCCAGAGGGATTGCAGCATTAGCACGCATACCAGCGTCATTGAATGCTGGTCCTGAATTTCGAAGGATTGCACGAGGTTTTTGAGCGTTGGCATCCCGACCGTGGTTCCCAGACTCGGACCCTATGAGTGAATTCGGAGCGCCAGATGCAGGCCCAGAAAGAGACTCTTCTTCATCCACAGCCTGAACACTGGCACTATCATCAGGTCTCAATGAGTCTTTTTCATCCATGGCAAATGTGGTTACCGAAGCCATACTCTTTGAATCAAAACTCGTGGGCTTGGTAGACGAATTAGAGAGGTGAGTATGATCATCTTCGAAAGAGGTTTCTCGCTTGAGTAAACCATTTGAATGGACAATGCCGGAGGTGACAGAACCCTCACCATCCTTGCTGTCTGACAAATGAACATCCTGTACGGCTCTCCCAAGGATATTGATATCCCGATCACTGGCATTGTCACTCTGTTGGAAATTATTCAATGAGCCTTCCTGCGGAGGGAGCTCGTCTACTGGGCCATGCGATTCTGCGCATTGAGGCTGTTCATCCAGGTGTGGAGGGCTCACTCCACCAGGAACACTGGCAGATTGTGATTCTGATCGTGGGGGCATAGCAGCTATCTAATATACCAGTTAGCCATGCAAATAATGAGAAAATTGGCGAGTCAAGAGTCAAACACCAAACACACCTTTGCAAAAGAGAGACGGTGTTCGCCCCCAGTTGAATTGTCCGATGCCATAATGAAAATAGTCTGTTCAAGGAATTTTCTCCGTCCTTATAAAAAGAAAAAGGAAAGGCGGAGAAAAACAGGAATTCGAGACGCCAACCTTCGCTGCAGTCAATGTATCGCAAGTTTAGGGAAGGATGAAACCGAAACTCGATTCGAGGAAAGGCAACTCAGAAATCCCGCATCACACAAGCCCAAAAAGAAAGACGACATATCTCAAGAAAAGGGCATTCGCCATAGGGAAAGCTGTGAAAGTGTCAGATGAAGTAATATGAGGGCAGGTTGTATTTGCACAAAAGGCGAGGATAGTGTCATTGAGTTGAAGGACTGGCGCCAAGTAGGTGAAGAGTGGTCCACTCACACAATGGGTCAGAATGACTAGGACATAGTCCGAAAAGGAGACTTCCTTCTATATCGTCATAGAACTGGTCCGGGTGAGATGAGTGCCGTAGCTTCAGGCCGACTGTCGACGTGGGATTAACGCTGCGAGGGGGGGGTGTGGACGTCCAGGGCTTTTTGGGCGAGAAGGAACGTTTGCTCAAGAAGTTCCTTTCGTGGGCCGGCGCGGCTAAGCCAACGTCCACAGAATTTGCCGCGCGGGTAATCGCTGCTAACTCTCGGCCCGACAGCCGCCAGTGCTTCTGCGAATGTGGGTGCTATAGAGGCTGTATTGTATATTATCTTGGATATTCTACATGGCTTTTGACAGACTGCAATGAATCGCTATCGAAATGCTCCCGGGAGAGGCCCGACGAAGGCTAGCCCCAGTACTCTTTGCCAAAAATGCTTGAAACGAGATACGTCTTGCCGTTCTGTCATTGCCTGGTTCTATTGCTGACTGCTTTGCACGGCACTACAGTTATGAATGCACAGTATCTGCGCAAGAGAGGCCATATATCTCTCGTCCGTCGCGCACACAGCAATTGCAGAACCCTAAACTTGTACCAAAACTCTCGAGTGAAGTCCCGAACGACCTTCTTCGAACGTACGTCCCGCGTCTGCTTGTCGCATTGCGCAGTAGGACGACTCTGACATGTATACAGAGAAGGAGTGGCAGATGAAGTATTGACGAAGCGTGAGGGGGAGCGAGGTCGAAAGACAGACCTTGAGGGCGATCTGGCAGATACCCGAAAGCAGAAGACGAACCGAAGAAGATCGAGCTCGTCACATTCCGTGAGCTCCGTGTCAACAATATCCACTAATCGTTCGCCTTCTGCGTCTCCAGGTCGGCGCCGAAGTTATGATTCCAGTAGCACCCGTCGTCAAACCCGTTCACCGTCACCAGCCTATGCAAATTCGAGGAAACGGCGGTACTCTGGTTCATCATCGAGCGATTCCGTTGCGTCTTATTCATCCGCAGAGCCTCCTCGTTCACGCTCCAGGGAGTGGGCGCGTGACAGAAATACCAGAAGGAGACGCCGGGAATCGAGTCCTGGGGAACGCGGCAGACCGAAAATTTTCAGCCGAGACAGCCACCGGAGACATAGATCTCGCAGCAAGAGCATGGACAGAAGCCGAATTGCGAAGGAGAGACGATCCGCAACACCGGAGAGAACTAGAGAACGCACCTACGATAAGAGTTCCATAAGGGACAGTACGAGTCCGCCAGGGAGCAGAGAACGACCTGCGCGCGGCCGAGGTAACGTATCAACCCAGCCTCGAAAAGAACGCAGCCTGAGCCCTTACAGTAAGCGTCTCGCCCTAACTCAGGCTATGAATATGGGACGGTAGACCCGCTGAGGAATCTTTCATAGCATGTTTCTTTCGGTTCTGTATGGGTTGTAATAATATAGACGGGCGTATTACCATTAATTTGATGGAAAAAAAATAACATGTTCATATCCATGAATCATTGTGTAGTGCGAAAGTATAATGAAAAAAAAGTCGTCTCCTCAACGCCTGCCTTCGCCCCAAATGCGCCGGAAATATCAACTGTATACGCCTGAAACGCGAGCTCAGAAGTCATCGAACAGTAAACACGAAGGGGTACTGGTGGACTTTTTTTCTCTGCTGATGGCTGAACCGATACCTCAAACATCCTCCTCTATCTGCCTTCTTTCCTCCTCTTCCTCCCTCTCACGTACATGAATTCCCTCTACTAGCATTTCCCCTTCAATACCAACTTGCTCATCTTGCTCCTCACCATTCGACTTTGCTCCCTTCGCCTTGGCTGAACGCTGCGCATTTTCTATCCGTTGTCGTACTAGCCTTGCAATCGCATTTTCTGTTCGAACGTTGAGGATTTTCATCTTTTCATCCAAATCCCGTTTCAGATCCCAGTTGGGTTTCTTGGGTTGCAGCTTGAACAAATCAATCGGCTGATCTGCTTCCTCGTCTTTCTTCGCCTGTGCTGCAGTGGCTTGCGCGATCTCAGCTGCTTGCAACTCCAGCGTTGTCTGCCCTTCTGTAGGTGCAGACTCAAAACCCAGTTTGGGACCTCGAGTTTCCGGGTCGTAATTCCGTCCAGATAAGTAAGTGGTGGTTATGTCGGGGACTGCATCTTCTAGCTCTTCGTCCTGGGCACGGATTTCCGTTAAGGGCTCTGGCTCCGGTTGTTTTCTTTTTAAGGCTGCTAGCTTGGCAAGCCTCGCTTTGCGATCTGTTGCCGCTGCATCGAGGGAGGTGTGCGTCGTAGCCATATTTGCAAATTCTGTGAACAAGATATTGGGGGTATGCAAGTAGGTGATTCGACCGGTTAATAGGTAGATAAAATGACGTAGAGAACTAAAGGAAGATGCTGTCCAAGTGTAGCCTTCGTTACTCTGCTGTATTAAAGAAGAGATCTCGGAGGATATCCCGCTGATGTCGATGCTCCAGCCACAGTTTGGGCCTCACTAGCCACAATCTTCAAAATTCCAACCGCTTTCCGCGCCGGCAGTAATTCGATAATAATATCTATCATCTACAGAACTGCTCTTCTCTCCCTTTTCTTTTTCCAGTGTAGTCTCGATCTGCGCTATCCCTTTTTCACTCCTTCCCAATGTCTGTCTGATATGAGATACTGCTGAATGTCCAATTGTCCGCCCTCCATTCTTCGCACGACCATCCGCACCGGACTGTCCTCCTGTGTTCCACATCACAGGATATGTCCGGGGCATTGGTATCAACAGAGAGCGAAAGCTCTGACTGCAAGATACATGGTTAATGATGCGTCGGACTCGGATGTTACTGGCTCGAATGACACACATTTTGTCAACCATGAAGTGCGGCCATCTCGCCCTTCCCAGAACGATACCATTAAGAACTTATCTCAGAACGCCGATAACTCTGGCCCGGAGCTCCCCATTCCCTGTCCCGAATCGAATCAGGGAGAAGACTCGATTCAGTTTCGTGGCACCGGACGTTCCCGTCGAAGACGCACCGACAATGACATAGAACGATCGAATGCTGGGACAGGCCAAAATTCATTTCAACCTGCTTATACTCGACGGAGAGTTGGTAGTCCCCGTCCGGAAAGGACTGCACGCACACTTAGCAGAGATCAAGTACGTGCCATAGCACGTCGCAAGGGCCTTAATGTTGGGGTTGTTAACAGCGTCGTCTCTCGGTTCAACAAGCGATTACAGCATCAGAGAAGAGTTCTGAAGCCACAATCGGTGCAGCAGGATGTCATTATAAGGTTAACGTCTTTATACTCGCGGATGTTGGGTCACCGACAATGGCGTGCTGCTTACTCCGAGATTCACAAAGCGAAGCGCGGTGGTCATGAGGTTAAAAACGAAGCTGTGATACCCAAATTAAACAAGAATGGGCTGGCCCTTTTAGAGCTGGTTAAAGAGGACTGCCAAGGGAAATTTGCTGAAGCCTGGGAAGCACTGCCTAGGACTGGAAAGGCAATGCATTGGCAGCGGCTGGCTCTTTGGTTGCTGCGGAATTCTCCTGATCTCACATTGGAATTCCTACTTGTTACCACAAAGAATTCTGACAAGCCCAATTTCAGCATGGTCGCCGACTGCATGGCCTACTTGGATGAGTTTCACTACAATGTACTCGGCACTTGGCAAAAGGGCTCATACACATATCAGTCTTTAGTAGAGACCTGCCTTGATCCGAATCACTGGCCAATACTGAGTCTTCCGCAGAAAGGCGTCCGGATTTATCTCCTACGAGCTAGTTATGATGCTGTATGCTCTGCGTTTAAAATGGTTTGCGAACGCCGGATTGAGATGACTGCTCAGACCGTTCTATGCTTCATGCTCCGCTTTACAGAATTCGGGGATGTTGATCGAGCATTGGACGCTCTCCGTTATATCCCGAAACTCCGGCAGGCTGGATTTAGTCTTTTCTCCCAAGGGGTTATGCGTCACTGCTGTAAGCTTCTTACCCTTGACTCTGTACAAGAGAGCAATGGAGCTCGCAATTTCCGAATCCTTCCTCAACTACTGGAAATGGGAGTGCGGCCGAACAGAGACATGATGAATGTCGTCCTGGCCAATGCTTTTAAGACCGGTGATCCACAACTAGGTCTTGACATGCTGGAATTTATGAAAAGTCAAGGTCATGAATTAGACTCGTACACCTACGTGACACTATTAGGTGACGCTGTTGCCCGTGAGGACCGCACCCGCTTTGGGGAATTGATGCATGAGGTTGAGCAGAAATACAACTGGAAAATCCATAGATATCTCGCGAGCAAAGTCTTCCACGCCCACTACGTCTTCACAGCGAAACATATGGAGTCCGACGCCAATCCTATCGAGGTTTTCTATTCCATGCTTAAAATTTACAATGAGTTACATGATATTACGCCTCTCAAGGACCTTCTTATTATTCCACCCAACTATCAGCCTCCACCGGGAAGCGGCACTTCCTCTCCATCATTGATGGCTCTTTATATCATGATTGCTACCTATTTCAGGTGTCAGAGGCGCATTTCAATCGTCCACCAGGTCTATACAAGATTCCGAACACTTGTCATGGAAGGGCATGAAGTCATTGCTCCTCTTGCAGAAACTGATCACACCTACAACGAATTTCTTATTGCCTATAGGAATGATCCCCGGGCACTCCGATACTGCTTACAGCTAGTGGAAGATATGCTCCAACGGCCGCTTCCAGTGGAGTTCGATGCAGGTCGCAAACGCAAGATCATCACCCATGCAAAGCCAACACCGCGCACCTGGACCATACTTCTGAGTGCATTCACCTGGAACAGGCAGACGCTTGCTGCGGAGAAGGTAAAAGAGCTTATGGCCAAGCAGAAAGTCGAGTTCAACCAAGTCACGTGGAACGTAATCGTCAATTCCTTCGCGAACGCGCAGGATGTGGCTGGAACGGCCAGGTCGATTAAGCTGATGGAGGAGAACGGGTTCTCGATCGATGCATATACGATGAAGAGTTTCCGTTACCTTCGAGATCCGGAACGGCTGTGGATTGCTTTGGACGAGCTGGATCAGAAAGCCGATGCAGAAGCCGGCCTACAATCTACTGTGGCGCCGCAAAACGAAACCTCCAAAGCGCGAGAGCTGCTGCTCGATCAAGGGCTACGGCGTCTAGAGGCAAAAGCAAGACTTAAACAATAAGATACCCTTCTTGTTCATGGCTAGTGCATGGATCTGCCGCGAGCTATGGCAGTTTTTCGGAAATGAATATAGTGCATATTTAATCGTTACATACATGGTCTCGTATTATATTTTGGGGTCTCTCGTATAAAATGAACCTAGATTAACCTCTAATAACAACAACCTCTGGTAACGCCGTTATCTATTGAAGCAGTGGAAAATCATCTTGATATCAGCCACCAACGAAGATGGAAATCTGTCGTATGGGAAGAAAGAAACCAATATAAGTCAGCTCTCACATATTTTTCGCGAGTTTCCCGTAACAAAAAAGAAACATGGAATGGGGACATTACTCACAGCCATTAAGACACAGCATATGCTAACGTATGGACTAAGACGTTCGCCGATTCGAGCGCATTTCCAGAACATGCCAAAAAACCTATGCGCAACACGAGTAGACACGCAATGGGGTTAACGAAATATCTCAAATAGTATTTTATGACCAAACCCGCTGGAATCACACAAAATTCCTTACCCATGTTGGTTTCTATCCATGATCCCAGGCATGATGGAGTGGGCATATGTGCTCGTGCAGATGATGAGGAGGATAACCAAGAGGAGAGATTGGAAATTGAACAGCGCAGACTGGTATATCCAATTAATTATATCAGCATAAGTCACTCTCACACTCTCAGATGGGAGATTCCAGGTGTCTCAGAAGCTGACTGATAGCTCCAGGTAATTGACGGCTTGAGGAGACTCATTCACTGACCATGGTGGTGGGCTTTCTGTTTGTCTCTCAACGGCACTCTCCAGAGTGAATACAGCCAGATTCTAACAGCAAGTAATGCCAAAAGATAGAGGGAATTCGGATATTATTTTCTTCTCTTTCTTAAACCTCTCTGAAAGAAGAAGCCGCACCGTTGACAACTCTGAGGAGAAAAGGACAACGCTGTCTACATTCTGCCGCCATGACCTCGCCCAATAGCGCTGACCGCCCGGGGGCTTACGCCGCCCAAGCTCTGTTTGCCCGCAACAATCCCGGCCTATCGTCACTGTCTAGTTCGAGTGCAGCTCGGAATCAACATCAAAGCCACAATCAGAGTCAGAATCCGCATCTGTATCCTCATCAAGTCCCCCAGTACCCTAGGGCTCATATTCTGCAGCCTCTATTGCCGTATAGTCCGATCCCTAGGGCTGCGATTGCTCCCACTGCTCCTGTTGCCTGGAATCCTGTTGCTCCTAAGAAACCCTATTATTCTGGGACGTTTGCTCCTATTTCTCCTTCTACGCGTCCGGTTGAACCCGATCCTGCTTTCTCACTGAGCCTCTATTCACCGCCCGATGCTGGTGGTACTACCTTAATCCGGGCGGGTTACACTCCATGTTATACTCCAGATAGAGAGCGGTCCAATTCAGCGGAAGGACTTGGAAAAGCCTCAGGCGGTAAAAAGGGAGGAAAGCGATCCAAAATGGCGGAACCTAGAGCGCGTGCCGCAAGGCACAAGGGACAGATGAACTTTCCATCTGAATGTACGTGGGAAACAGCTCACAGAGCCGTCTTGCTCCCTACTAACCGTCTCTCATTGGAACAGTACGCCTACTCCTCCTTGCCTACGGTGATCCGAGTCCACATCCTTCGTTCCCTTCGGAACCTCTTCCTGAAACAGTTCGTGTGCTTGATGAGATTGTGACTGATTTCATACTTGAGATCTGCCACAATGCGGCGCAGTATGCCAACTATTCGCGGCGTCAAAAGATCAAGGTTGATGATTTTCGGTTTGCGCTACGTCGTGACCCGAACAAGCTCGGTCGTGTCCAAGAGCTGCTACGCATGGAGCGCGAGCTAAAGGAGGCGCGGAAGGCATTTGACCAGAATGATGACCAGGTGGCTAATCTCAAAGACCCAGTGGGAAGAAAGGGTTTCGAGGAGTTGGCGGAGAGTGTCGATGGTGGGACCGCCGGTGGGAAGAAGAGTAAAGGGAAGGGCAAGAGACCTTCCCGGAGAGACTCTGACATGACAGAGGAGACCATTTTTAAGAGAAGGAAGGTCACTGGGTAAATTGTGCAACAGGGAGAGGGTTTTTTTTGTTCATCAGGTACATAATGATTATTAGGCTCTCAATATGTGGCATTGGACGGCGTCTCGGGGGTATTTCTATGTGGCACGGAATTGATTACTTTATTCAAAATGGGAAAACTAGGCTATTTCCTCAGCCCTTGATACTTATCAACTACATGAGACCTTCAATTTGCGTAATGAACAAACGACAGGAGTGCGAAATGAAGTGAAATAGAGGTATCTAGCTGAGCTCATCTATGTCCATTCCATCATGATTGATATGCTGCTTAATAAAGGCGTGACAGGAGTGACGGCCTCATAAAGGATTAGGTCTACATCACTTTCCTCCTCCCTTTGATTTTTTTTTTCTCTCTTGCCCCTCCTTGAGAATCAGAGAATAAACAGGAAGCAGAACTTTCCCAGGCCACTTCTTTTCTTACCCATTCATTTCACCTTTCTGAGCCTATGCGCAACCCCCTGTTTTCAATCTGAACATAGACAGATGACTCCGATACGCCAAGCATTAAGAAAGATGCAATGCCAAAGGAGAGGCAAAGAGGGCTCAAAGGAGACCTAAAGAGATATAAAAAGAGGAACCCCAGAGGCGAAAATAAACGAATAAAGAAAAAAAGTCATAGATAATTGAGAAAAAAAAAATTTACAACTTTTCCTTTCTTTTCTCAAAACTTTCGAGCGCTCTAAGCACGGGCTTCCTCAGTAACTCGCTCTTGAGCCCGCTGTTGCCCTCCGCGGCCACCCTTTCCACCTCGTTGGCCGCGTTCTCCAGTAGCACCGGATTCTCCACCGAGAGTTAATTGGGCGGTTGCTAGCCGGTTGGACAGTTCCATCTGTGTACGAATGGTGTTGGCCAGATAAGACACGACGAGTACATCCTGGATGTGATCGTTGCTGTGATGTATTGGTAAGCATAAGTCAGAGAAGGGGTGAAGAAACAGTAGAGGTGTGCATACAAGTGCTTTTCAATATCACCGGGTTCGACCTTGGGCGACAGCGCCAGGGCATTGAGAAGAAACTGGCCAAGAGCAGTCGAAGCCGGTGCCTCCTCATCAATAACAGATTCGACATATCTGGAAACGCGGTCGATCATGCCGATGACTTCCTCGACAGCGCGCTCCAGAGACTCGATGTCAGTGAAAATGCTGGTGGTTCGGTCTTCAGCGTCCCTAGCATTGGAAATGGCCTCCAATCCGCTCTTCTCAGCTTCGCCATATCTGATCTCGCATGGAACAGGAATAAAGGCCGCGCTGTCTGCGGCTCTCTCGGCAGTTACGCCGACGGGGGCAGAAATGTATGCGCGCGTCTCAATATCTTTCCCAGGCTCCGTAGACACAGTCAGGTGGACAGCAGGAAGTGGCCAGGTTCCATCGCCTTGGCCACTGTAAAAGTTCTGAATCAAAGCAGAGAAGGTGTTCAACTCGGACGATGTAGCGTACCAACCGACGAGGACCTCCTTCGGATTCGCCTTAAGGTGCAACGCCAGCATCTGCTTCTGGTACTCCATGTCCACCTCGACCTGTTCTGCCGTTTCGGTATGTCCGACTGCGAAGGCACTGCGAATTTCCACCTCGGTCCCGTCCTCCGTTCGAGTCCCTAGCAGGGTTCCGATGACACGTTCTTGATCAGCATTGCGGCGGAGAGAGTGGTCAAGGATCGAGAAGATAGCCTAAATCACGGTAATTAGCAACAGATACATGCCGGAATTATGAGCGACTGTCACAGTCTACCGACCTGAGGCTGAATGACAACATTCAAAGGAGCGGTAGTCGGTGCAGACCCCACAGCCACTGGGCCCAAAGGGCGAGCGAGATGAAGGAACGAGTCGGTTTCGGCCATGGTGGGTGGGATAAACGGGTATAAAGCCGCCTGTCTGTCTCTTTCTCTGGAGACTTATGATCGTTACTCGGAACGGAGGGCAGGCCTTTTTTTCCTTTTTTCCTCTTGAAGGTAGTGGAGAGCAAACTCCTTTGTTTCCGCCCGCTCGACTTTGCGGCGAGTTCTGACGAGGTTCAAATTGTGTGTGTGAAATTTCACGCTAAGATAAGATAACGACCGCCAAACCCGCAACAAAAAAAAAAAAGGAGGAAAAAACAGACACTCCTAGTTGCTACGACAGAATAAGCAGCAGAATGCCCCCCGTCCGTGGTCGAGGAAAATTCAGGGGACGTGGTAGGGGTCCTCGAGTTAATACTAGCAGAAAAGATGCCTTCCAGACTTCGCGGCTCGATGAAGCAGAGTGAGTCTGAGTCTCCAACGCTGTTTATCCGTTGGCTCTCGACAAATCTGACTAGTAGTTCAGATCCAGCGATGATTCTAATGCGGAAGACGGTTTTCCAGAAGGACTAGAAAACGAAATTGGTGGCGAAGTCCCTTTCGATGACATCTCTTCGGACAGCGACGAAGAGGAGCAGGAAAAGGCACAGCCATACAACGAACTTCTACAGTTGCTTAATACAGGCTCAGACTCTAAAGGACCTGCCCGTAAAAGGAGAAAACTAGGTCATAAGAACAGCGACAAGCATGAAGAGGTCCGAAATGACTCTGTTTCCGAACAAGGAGAGGATGAAGAGATTCCAGAAGAAGACGATCTTCAGGATCAAGAGCCTTCGGATGACGAAGATGAAGAGAATCTGGGGGAAGGAGTCAATAACGCTGCGGAAGAAGAATATGATGATGATGATGATGATCATGAAGATGGTAATTGTTGTCTCTTTATATTCTCCCATCCTTACTCTTTTCCCAGTAAGAACACGCGCTGACACCGATGCAGCCAGCAACCCATTCGAGGTTCATTTTACTGGCCCTGGCGATGGCGAACTGTCCCAGAAGGTACAGTCTATATCCGAAAAGAAATGGAAATCTTCAAAGAAAGAATTCCCTGATAACATAAGACTTGTACGAGCCGTTCCCGACATCACTGGAAGCAATGCCTCGTTGCTGCCAGCGATGAAACATACAGCAAATGCGAAGGTGAGCAGGCATGATTCCAGGACATGAACACTCAATACTGATAGTCCTTGCTACACTGTAGCTCAAGAAAAAGCTTACTACTCCGGCCGCGGAGTTTGTACCTGATATCAACGGACATGCCCAGCAGCTTGCTCCCTATGTGTTTGGCTACCAGGATATTTTATATGGGGCAAGGACCCTGTCGAACTCGGGACATCTACGAGACATTCTAGCGCTCCATGCTGTCAACCACATTCTGAAAACCCGGGACAGGGTACTTAAGAACAACGCTCGTATCGCCAAGGAGCAGGACACGGATCTCGAGCTGCGAGACCAGGGTTTCACAAGACCGAAGGTGCTTTACATTTTGCCCACCAAACAAGCGTGCGTTCGAGTGGTGGAGTCGATGATTAGATTCTACCAGCCGGAGCAGCAAGAAAACAGAAAGCGGTTCCTGGATACGTTTTCGGCACCGGAGGAGAGAAACTGGGAAAATAAGCCAGGGGATTTTAGGGAGTTGTTTGGTGGGAACGACGACGACATGTTCAGATTGGGTCTGAAGTTCACCCGCAAGACTATAAAATATTTTGCACAGTTTTACAATTCGGACATGATCCTTGCAAGTCCGTTGGGCCTACGGACGATCATGGACCAAGCAAAGTATGTTGCTTTTTTCTTTTATCGATTGCAACCCTCCCTTTCCCCTTTAACTTTTGCTGATCGATCAATGTGCACAGTGCGAAGAAGCGTGACCATGATTTCCTGTCATCGATTGAAGTAGTCATAGTGGACCATGCAGACGCGCTTCAAATGCAGAATTGGGATCATATCGACTACGTCTTCCGTCATCTGAACCTCCAGCCCAAAGAAGCGCACGGGTGTGATTTCAGTCGTGTGCGGACCTGGTACTTGGACAACCACGCGCCGTATTTCCGACAGACGATCGTGCTGTCATCGTACATCACGCCGGAAATTCACTCGCTATACTCTTCGCAGATGCGCAATTATGCAGGAAAAATTAAGTTGACGCCAACCTACGTAGGGGCCATCACGGAAGTGCCACTTCCTGTACCCGTCAAGCAGACGTTCTCACGCTTCGACAGCCTCTCGCCTGCAAAGGACCCGGATGCACGATTCAAGTACTTCACGACGGCCGTGCTGTCGTCTCTGGTGCGGAGCTTAACTACGCGCGGGGGCAAGGGGAATGCGGGGGGCACGCTGATCTTCATCCCGTCGTACTTGGACTTTGTCCGCATCCGCAACCATTTTGCGACATCTTCGCAGACGGCCAATGTCTCCTTCGGGGCGATTTCCGAGTACACGGAGGTTCCAGACGTCACGCGGACGCGGACGCACTTTATGAACGGGCGGTACTCGGTGCTGCTGTACAGCGGGCGATTTCACCACTTCCGACGGTATCAAATCCGCGGGGTCAAGCAGATCATCATGTATGGAGTGCCCGAGAACCCGTTGTTTTGGGGGGAGATCGTGGGGTTTCTGGGACTGGACCCAGCCGGGGTGGTGGATGCTGCAGAGGGAGGCGGGGTGCGGGCGCTGTTCTCCAAATGGGATGTTCTGAAGCTGGAGCGGATTGTAGGCACGAAGAGGGTGGGCAACATGGTGCGGGAGAAGGGTGGAGATACGTTTACCTTTGTATAGAACAACTTGATAGTATATATTGTCTCCATTCGCTGCATAAAACGGGTACCGACAGCCATGGAAGAAAGACGAATCTCGAAGCATGTTACTAATGACAATAATCAAGACTCACTCCGCATGTTCCCGGCTGATCATATTTCATTGGCGTTGATATCCGCTGAAACAGTGATTTACACCTGTCTTATTAAATAATAAAGACCTCTACTAGATTGTAATATCGCATGGCATTGTCATTCTTCTCCCCACAACGCAACGACGACGATCTTCCGTCTTCGTCTTCATCCTCGCCTTATCGGTCTCTTCCCCGCCGAGTTGGCCATGGTCATGGCTGTGCTGAGTCTGATAGTGAAAACAAGCTACAGCTTGGACATGATCGGCTGGCGAATGATGTCCAACATCTAACGATCACCAACATTGATCCTAGCTCGCCAGAGACGACGGGATCCTTCTCTTGGCCCAGCAGTGCTGGGCCTGAACAGCCTTTGCTGCATTCCGTCGTGGGAGAAGGAGATTATCATGTAGATGGCGTGTCTATTTCTCCCTCCTTCCCTCGGTCGCTGATATGGCGCGCCAGACTTTGGGCTTTGTGGTTGCAGAACAAGGGCATGGTCCTTGTGATGCTGTCGCAGTTCTTCGGGGCGTCGATGAATGTCATGACGCAGATTCTCGAGGTGAATGGATCTCATGGTCCGGCTATGGATCCCTTTCAGGTGCGAGACAGCCTAGAAGCACACGAGGAGAAGGAGAAACTAAGATAAAGCAAAAGATTCTCTTTGCCCGGATGTCCATCACGGTTGCCGCTAGCTACCTCTACATGTGGTACGCCAAGGTCAAGCATCCGTTTGGTACTCGCCCTGTCCTAGGGCTTTTAGTTATGCGGGCAGCGTGCGGCTTCTTCGGTGTCTACGGACTTTATTACTCGGTCCAGTATATGGCTCTGTCCGAGGCTACGGTCCTGACCTTCCTGTCGCCCATTCTTAGTTGCTACGCATGTTCCTTCTTCATGGCTGGAGAGACATTTACACGGCAGCAACAGATTGCGGGCCTCGCTTCCTTGCTGGGAGTCGTATTGATAGCACGACCCTTCACTTCCTCTGGGGCTCCTGGAGAAGTCGATCCGACCCCGCCTGATGAAGCGAGTGCCAGTGGTGGTGAGCCCAATTCTGCGGACGTCTACCACCATGTGCTGGCCATTGGCATCGCTCTTATCGGGGTTTTGGGTGCCTCATTCGCGTACATGGCCATCCGCATAATCGGAAAGCGTGCCCACCCACTCGTAAGTGTCACATACTTCTCAGCATGGACATTGATTATCTCCACGGTAGCATTGGTAGCAGTGCCTTCGGTGCCGTTCCGGCTGCCACGCAGCTTGGAGGAATGGGGACTGCTCCTGGGGTTGGGAATCTGTGGGTTTATCCTGCAGTTCCTGTTGACAGCAGGGCTTTCGTACGTTCCGCCACCTCCCCCGGGCGCCAAGGCTTCCGCCCATGGGTCCCGCGCAACGTTTATGCTGTACACGCAGATGCTCTTTGCACTGCTTTACGACAAAGTGATCTGGGGCAGCACGCTTTCACCGCTGAGCTGGGCGGGATCGTGTCTGATCCTGGGGTGTGCAGTGTATGTTACCGTGGTGCAGGATGGTAGTCCTAGCCAGCAGGATGAGCAAACTGCAGGGGAAGGCTACAAGGACGATATCCCAGGCGAACATCGGCTGGAAGGCCGCGAGTGAGGTGCGGTGCAGGCCAATAAGGAGAGCGAAATGGTGGCAAAGCAGGTATACTGCGTATATCAGGAGTAAGCTACTACCAAGTAGCATTGTAGCATCGGACGACTTGGAAGCGCAAGTACAAGCCTATGACATAGGAGGTGAAGGGTAAGGTAGTGCAGGGGTAGTCAATTTCATTACCGTGAATCATCATTGATGTAGAGCAAATGAATAGCAGCTCCACCCAGCAAGTATCTCCAAACCTTGCGGCAACAGGGAGAAAAGGAGAAGAGAAGAAGCGGCAGTCGTGAGACACCGGCAGGGAGAGCATACCGCCTGCCAATCAGAGCCTGCCGCGCTGGCAGGACGGCAGTTCGCGCACGTGCACGAACCTTCTCAAAGAGGCTGAGGCGCGTCGATCATTCCATGATCCCACAGTCAGCTGTAATTACGTGACGTCGGGGGATGCTTCCACCGAGGCGCGAGCGGATTGCGATTGCGCGTATTGCCTCTGTGTATTATTACGGCGGACGTCATAGCGTTGCACTTCCTGCCGGATCTTTCCGATACCCAGCTACCGCCGGAGGTGACAGCTCCGGCCCTGCTAGCGGCGTACGGTCACCGTATTACTGCCCTGCATGCTGGCACTAGCGTCCCCTCCCGCTCCATCGCCACTAGTCCAGAAGCGGCTAGCGGGTCATCTCCCCAGATTTGACGGCATCATAATAATACTAATCCAAATCATAATACTTTATTAATTCATGGATCTTTGCTCGCCCCCTCCACCACCATGGCGTTACTGCCTTGGTATATAACATTCTGCTGTATCTCCCTTTTATTTTTCTTTTGTTTCCCACAATTTTCAGTATACAGCTCAGCATAAGTATAGATAAAATATATACACAGATTGCTCTTTCCTTGTTACTTGACCACCACGCAAATATTCTATACAGTATACACATACACTCCATCATGCGCCATTTCGACACCTGGTTGCTACGCGACCCCTACTCCATCTGGCACTATTATTCTACTGGACGACGATGGCAGGAAACCATCCGCAGCATGATCCAAGAACGCCAGATCTGCGCCCCCCAGGTAGACCTCTCTCATGACAAACCGTCACCAGTCGATCCCTATGCTCGGGAAATGTCTTCCCAGGAAGACTGCATGCTCTTTCGGAAGCTCCCTGCTGAGATCCGTTTGATGATCTACGACTACGTGTTCGGTGATGAGACGGTCCATCTGGTCCAGCTCAAGGGCAAGATCCGCCACGTTCGATGCACTCATCCTTCGACGTCCATCGTGAGCAACAGGTCCTGTTGCCCGGTCACCGCCGCTCGCTGGCGAGTGCAGGATGCCCGCGTCGAGGACCATGCCCAATCGTTGCTGTATCCGCACACTCACTTCTCGCTGCCCGAGTCCCTGAGTAATTCATCCTTGTCTCTCCTGCGCACCTGTCGGGCCATCTACGCGGAGGCATCCAATATCCTCTACTCTAATCTCGCCTTTGATGTGGATGACTTGCACACCTTCATTGCCTTCTCCCTGACCGTCAACCAGGAACACCTCCGATGCATTAAGCGCCTGACCGTGCAGTGGATGCCGGTCTGGCAGCCCATGAAGGGAGAGGTGCAGCAGTCGTCCGTCTTCTCCCACACGCATAACGACCAGCTCTGGGTGCTCTTCTGGTCTCGGGTTGCGGCTCTGGGCGGGCTCGAAGAGCTACGACTCTGTCTCGACCTTGGTCGTTTCAGCGGAAATCTAATGGGAGGTGGTGTTGTCGGGGGACATCGTCTGAACCTCGCCATCGATCAACCCTGGATTGCACCAATGCTGCAGGTTAGAGGCCTCCGATCTTTCGACCTGGGAATCACAGCCAAGTGTGATCTTCGCGCGAAGCAGGTCATGGAGGATGATCTTCGACGCGATGCCGTTACTCTACGTGATCTGTTGCGGGCTATCTTGTGTTCCTCTCCTGATCAACCCCTGCATAGCTTCAATTTCAATATACCCAATCTGAAGAAACCATGCTCCACGGAGACTTTTGATGAAAGAAAAGTTAGACCGCGACTTGCTATTACCAGTGCTTGATCTTCTCATCCCTTTTTTATTGCATATGAATTACGATCTCCGTTGGCTGATGTTATGCCAATTCATTGACTCGAACAAACACTGCTTTATTCCATTCATGCATGATTGTAACCGCAGATCAGGTTGACGCTAGACTGGGTGACATGGGAGGAAGTCCTCTCATCTGAATTATCAGATGTTTGGTACTGCATAAGCACTTGAGGCCCTGTTCTTTTGATTTCAAATCCCTTCTCTGCCGTCTTCTTTTGTGATACCCATTTTTATCTTGTTATATAGGATCGTGCTCAGTTTTGCAGGCAAGACATTTGACATTTGCACTTGCATGAATAGACAGCTTTCTGAATTAATATATTTTCGAAATATTAACCCAGAATTGAATGAGTGTGGTTATGAAATGGGACAGTACTCCTTCGTCTGTCAGGGCAACTGGCGCCGCATACATCATCATAGTCGTTAAACTTCTATCCTCACCCGGCATTATTATTCTTTTTCCTTCTGCAATTCCATGTAAACAACAGTCCATCATCAACCTTTAAACAAAATGTCAGGACACCATCACCATCACGACGGGCACGGACACGGACACTGCCATGGCGAAGACGACGGCCACGACCATTCCAACGACATCACCCCCGCCGTCCAAAGCCTGCTGTACTCTCAGATCCAGTTCGATTCAATAATCACCCTGAACGGTACATCACTCCATCCTGGACCTTTTAGATTTAAAATAAAACTAACTAACAACCTGGGAAAATACAGAAGCAGCACCAAAATCCGGCGCAGCAATTGTCCGGAAAACATGGGCGGAGCGATTAAATGACCGTCCAGAGCTAGAGAGTGATGCGGATGAGCAGTTACTTATGTATATTCCGTAAGTGCCATCTATCTCTCTGGGTGCGTACTATATTATTGTATTATATATAAATATACAAGCGATGCTGACAGCGAAAAGATTCACAGGCCAAGTCAAACTTCACTCCCTTTTAATCTACGCCCCGCCGACCCCCTCCGCGCCCAAAACCGTGAAACTGTTCAAAAACCGCGACGACCTAGACTTCACCACCGCGTCTGAACTGTCGCCTACGCAGACCATAGAGATTCCCCGGCCCGTCGCGGGCGTTAACGAGGTCTTCGAGATCCCTCTTACCCGTGCCTTGTGGAATACCACTACCTCCGTCACGATATTCTTCGTCGATAACTGGAGTCTGGGTGATGAGGATGTTACTCGTGTCGGCTACTTGGGGTTCAAGGGTCAGTTTATGGCCTTGAATCGGGAGCCGATTAGTTTTTTATATGAGGCTGCTGCTAATCCCGGGGATCATGTTGCTATTCCCGGTGTTAAGAGTTTGGGGGGGAGAGTAATGCCGGGACAGTGATAGAAAGAAAAAAATTTTTTTGAACAGGCATACCAGGATTGGGATTGGAAATGCTTATATTGCTGTGCGACTACTTTGTCCCTTTTATCAAAGGGAAATCTTATTTAACACTGTAATACTCAGGTGCATACTCCAACAGATACCCTTTCTCGATCTTCGTGATATCCCGAATATATATCTTCTCTCCCGTCTGTAGTATCTCGTGGAAGATGACCCAATCTGCTTTCCGATTCTAAGTGGGTTAGTAACGAAGACAACAGCAAAATACTCATGTTGGACAATAACTTACAAACATCAATGAACTGGGATGCGCATGTAGAGTAAGCCCCCCGCTGACCGTTTTGAACGTCCCATCCGGCTGCATCTTTGCCGCATGAGCAAAATATCCCGTCGCAAGACATCTTTGGATCCGTTCAGGCTGCCTGCTCAGATCCGCATGTCGCTGATTTGATGACAGCGTTTCGTCAACCCGAATACCGAAGCGTTCAAGATAGCGCTTGAGCTGCGCTCGGATGCTCACGGCCCGTAGTAGGGATCGGTAATTCAACCGGTTTTCTCGACACCATCTGGAGTCCTTCTTTCCCTTGGTGACGAATGCTTGGTATACGTTGAGGTACGTCAGATGGTCACCCTCTTCAACCGCAAACTTCCTGCGACTGCTTTCCGCTGCCATCTTGTCTCCCTCGTGCTGAACCCATACCAATCCCTGGAGACTGACCATGGCCGCAATCGTTAGAATCTCGCTTAGGCAACCGAATGATTGTGCCGTGAGGAGAACCTTGCTCATCATGGGATCAGTTGCGAGTTCCGCCATTCGTACCCCCAGCGGCTTGGTGAGCTTGGCATAATCGTCCACCGCTCCTAGTGAGTACAGGAGCTCGAGTCCGCGGATTACCAGCTCCGCAGGCGGAGGTGTCAGGAAATCAAACCGTACTATATTGTCTATTCCAAGCGCCTTGAGCTGCATGATCATTGGCGCAAGATTCGACCGTTGGATCTCTGGCACGGTGACCTCGGCCAGTTGTTCATACTCTTGTTGGGTGTAAAGATGGAAACACTTCCCTGGCTTAGTTCTTCCGGCTCGCCCTGCACGTTGGGTGGCTGCTGCCTTTGAGATGGGAACCGCAGTTAATGTTTCAATGCCAGTGTTTGGGTTGTATGCTCTGAGTTTGGCGAAGCCGCTGTCCACTACGTAGACAATCCCATCGATAGTAACAGATGCCTCTGCTATGTTGGTCGACACGATGACCTTTCGTGTGTTCTCTGGGGCCGGTTCGAAGACATACAGCTGCTGCTCCGTCGGGAGCCCAGCGTACAGAGGAAGTGGGAGTAATGATTGAGCTCGTAGATTCGGTGCTTCTGCACGCTCTGATATCAACCGAACTGTCGTATCGATTTCTTCTCGCCCAGCCAGGAATACTAAAATGTCACCCTCCGCCTCTTGCATATGTATGTCAAAAACAGTCTTGACGGCTCGCTCAACGTAATTTTCTGCTGGCGAGTCCAGGAAAAGCATATCGACAGGATACATTCTGCCTTGCAGGCTAATAATCCTTCCGATCTTTCCACCCATCTCTCCAGAGTCTGGTTCGCTATTGAACTCGTCGCCAGCGAAGAAACGAAGGAAGTCTTCTGCCTGCAACGTCGCACTGCTGATAATTATCCGAAGCTCGGGACGCTTCTTCATAATTTTCTTCAGGATTCCCAAAAGGACATCCGTGCTGAGCGATCGCTCATGGGCCTCGTCGACCATGATCACCGAATACCGGGATAGGAGAGGGTCGACAAGGGCCTCTCTAAGCAACATTCCATCGGTTAGGAACTTGATTCTTGTTGCGGATGAGGTTAGATCCTCAAAGCGAATCGAATAGCCCACATCTTCCCCAACCTTACAGCGCATCTCCTCCGCTACCCTGGCGGCGATAGTCGTAGCAGCCACGCGACGCGGCTGGAAGTATATAGACCGTTAGTTCCTGCAAACACCTACTACCTAGACTGAGAATAAAATCTTACCTGCGTCACTGCTATAGTCTTCCCATCTGCACACCACCCTGCCTGGTCAAGATATTGCGGTAGCTGTGTTGTTTTTCCGCTTCCAGTCTGCCCAACGACTATGGTAACGGGATAAGTTTCAACAAGATAGAGCAAACTTTGTCTATGTCGCGCAATTGGAAGCAATGCTGCTGGTTTGTATAGTGATGGAATAAAGGTGGAAGAAAGCTCCAGATCCGAAGCCATTATTGGCAAAGTTGGCTTAGCCTAGCTATACTCGAACTACCACCTCTTTGACGAGAGTCCCTGGGCATTCCCTTGCCTTCTGCAGACGACACATATCGGTATTCAATGTTAATTCATTGATTATGTCCTAGAGACCGAGCCATGTTGAGACTGAAGATCAAGGCTGGAAGTATACTCCATCAAACAAATACCTTGAAGCCGTAAATATTTGGGCGATCGTATCAAGCCATATCACGTGATAAAATGTGGCCAACTATGGCTGTGCTGTATTGGTCACATGTTTTACTTACTGACAGACCAGATTCCGTAATTACGCGTAATTTCGAACATCCCCATGCTCCCTTGAACGGCTTCACTTCCGCCTGCTTTCAACCTTTCTGTTCAAATCCTTGCCTTGATCTAGTCATCTCTTTGCCTGTTCTTATTGCGAGCAATTTGATATCCATACTTCCTCTTCATACTCAACAACTATCCAGCGAAACATCATTTATCTCGGCAATGGCAGAAGAAGATACCACTGTAGGTTACCCGTACCTGTCCATCACCACCCAAAATAGGGATGCTTACCTGGTTGTAGACAACGCCTCCTATACAGAAAACGATTCCTAAACCTGAGTCGCCAACGACTGCTCACCCATTGGACTTTAATGATGAAACTCAAGAAACCGGAGTCATATCTGCGTCAGGCGCCTCCCAGCAAGCTTCCACCGAAGCTCCCCCTCCCCCGCCAAAACCACCAAGGCCACTGAGCCCGAGACAGCAAGCAGAGAATACTCTTAAAGAAGCTTTTCCCACGATAGATGCCGCCGTAGTTAAGGCTATTCTGGTGGCAAGTGGTTGGAATGTGGAAAGAGCCTTCCATGCGCTTCTCGGTTTGTGGAAGACCAGCGTGATCTGTTCTGCGGTTCTGGATTTGCATATCTGACAGTCTCTCCCTCTCTTTCTCTCTGTAGGTATGACTGATCCTAGTGTTCAAGAGGAAGCACCTCCGCCGAAACCGCCCCGTCCGTCGACATCTACAACGCAGAGACAGCTGGAAGAGGATGAGATGTATGCTCGTCAGCTTGCCGCGCATTACAATTCAGCACCGCGCCGTTCGCAGTACCCCGATAGACGCGATGAATATCCATATCGTCAGAGAGGGGGTGGTGAATATTTGGAAGAAGAAAAGGAATACAGTTTCTTTGACGGTATGCTTGATTGTATTGGTGCCGTTATTTCCGACAGTCACTGATGGGTGGACAATGTAAACTAGACGATCTTCCGGTCATTCGTGAGAATATCCGCAAAGGATTCCTTGATACGCAGTCCAAGGTCAACTCATGGGTGCAGAACCTGAGGAAGAAGTTCGAGAATGAAGATGAAGACGACTTTCAAGATAACCAAGGTCGCCGTACCCCCAGTCGCTCACGAGGGAGTGGGGAGCTGAGTCGTCGAAGTGGGGATCGCGAGCGATATGATGCAGATCCTCAACTGCTGAGTGATGATTTCTCAGCACTCGAGCTGAGAGATGGTGAAGGTCAGCATTCCTTCATATTTGCTATGTATCTGCTAACTCCCCATGTCAGCTCCTCCATCGCGTCCTCCAAGAAGACCGCTAGCAAATCCAGATCTCTACAAATCCTCGTCTCCTTCTCCAGACAGACGGAAAGTATCTTTCCAGGAGGGACCTCCCACGGAGATTGGCAGCTCCCGTGATACACCCGAACCGGCCAAGGCACTGTCGACTGGAGGCAGGTCAAGCAAATGGCAACCGTTGACCACAGTTGAGCCGTCGCCCATCGGAGACAATGATCCATTTAGCCTAGGTGATAGTGATGATGAGAAAGACACGAAATGGAAAGAGCATAATACCGAGGAAGGACCTTCAAAGAAAGATACTACGGAGGCGGCTGGGGCTAGTGAGAGCGCAGGAAAATAAAGCACCTGGTTGTTTGATGGTCCTCGTTTAGTTCATTCATGACCTTATCTCATCATTCATTTCGCAGCACGCAAGTCAGTCCGATGTTATCAACGGATCCTGACAGAATAGTGGTTATGCTATTGGAGCGCATGCTCCGTGCTTGGGAGTTGTGGTAGATGGATCTTCCATCCACTGAATACCAGATATTTCAATGCCTGACAACATATACCCCAATCCATCATATATACCCTTGTTTTTTTTCTGCTACCTTCATCTAATGAATAACAGAACACAGGTGATGCAAGAATACACTTTATAATTGAATGATATACGTTTCGTATGCATACAATACCGAAGAGACCATCCAGGAACTATTCAACCACCACTGCACAGATCAAGTACCATCCTCACGCCAGTCCGCCCAGGGGCATAGTAATCAAGGACTTCTTCGCGATCGTCATAGCCACAGCGAGCATAAAGCGCCCGAGCCGGTATTCTGGCCTTATCCACCCACAACTGGACATACTGGCATCCCTCCCTTTCAAGGCGTTGCCGAATATAATCCATAAGCTTTTGCCCCAAACCCTGCCTGCGGTAGGGTTCAGCAACACACACCTTGTGAAGAAAAGCGGTTCCTTTCTGTCGGACGTAGACTGCGTAAGCGATCACGGGTGAACGCACATTGCCATGGGGTTGTGAGCGTGCACCTCCTGTTGCTGCTGCTACTGCTGGTGAAGCAGCCCTTCGGGTCATATACAAAACCCGTGTATTGGGTTTCCTTTTCCAGAGTTCTTCGCCAAATGGCAATGCCTCGTTTGCCGGGAATGTCTTCTTCTCGATGCGGGTGATTTGCGCGAGGATATCGAGCACTTCTTTCCGGTTCAAGGAATGGATGTCTGAGATGGCCATATCATTGGGTATATCCATGCTCTTCTTTTCTTTCTTGGCTGGATCAGATCCACTTCTACATTTGGAGGTGATCTCAATTTTTTTGGAAGGCGAATTAATTGTATTGTCTTGGTTTATTTTATGCCGTTTGATGCGGAAAAGCTGACTTACAGGATCTACGCTGCCAAAGGACCGTACTAAGCCTAAAAGAGAGAGCCGCTGCCAACCCTAGAACCCTAACTTGCGCTGCTATTGTAATGAAAATATGTTACAAAGGCTACAACAGACAAATGGAAAGGATAATTTTAATGTTCACTTAGGTCAAATAGTCAAGTTGCACTTTCGTAAATGCTTCATTATCTTTGAAATGCCAAGTGACGTATATGCGAGCTACACCGGCAGGCTGGCATTAGCAGCAGCATATCGGTCATTCCGGGTAGATGAAATGTCTCTCAAGTAGGAAACATGACCGGGGATGTTTCCAAACTCCATGAGCTTCCAGGTAGTAGGATACAAGGATTGTGATATCGATATAGATGGCAAGGAATGGCTGGAGCAAAGAATGAATCGAGTGGATCATCATGATGTTTTTACTCACTCACTGTTCTATCAGATTCTAAGGTTGCAGCCATGTTACAGACGGATTCTCACATCCTTGTAGCAAACTGATATAACGTACCATTTAACGGAAACCCTATACTTACATCCATCCATCATGACAACAATCTAAATCATATTAATCTACGCCTGCTAATCCGAACTTGGTAAACAGTTGTATTGTGTAGAAGCTCAGACCAAGAAATTCACTAACCGCTTCTGGCAAGCGCAGCCCATTCCCTAGGTAAATTTTACTTTCTCTCCTGTATTGTAGTGTAATTTCAATACCTGGTTATATTTCGGGTCTACAACTTACACAACGTATCGTCGACGACGACCATCTTGTTCATCTCCCAACCTACCTAGGTACCTAGCATCAACTCGAACAAGAGGCGTCGCCTAGCCACGCGCTGGATTCAAGTAGTTGCAGACTAACAGCTTTGTTTGCCTGAAAATCATCTGATACTCCAAGAAGTGGTCCAGATGCCTGCTTCCCAATCATCAGACAAGCGTCAGGCTGCGCGTGAAGTCATAGACATTCTACATGAGATTTCAATACTGTTGGTGCGGCTCCCATTTATTTTCTTTCACATTGCCTATTCCATCTTTGATAAGGAGCCTTCAATTTGAAGATGGGGACCTTCTGGTCTCGACTTGCGCTCCTGGAGAACAAGCTAACTGGTACGTATTAGAACACGAACTTGAACCGGACTGAGCTTTCTCTTTGCGTTTCATTGATTGAAAACGGAGTTAATCCTGATGCGCTGGCTGTAAGTCCTGTGTATAACCCTAATAATATGAAGGTGAAGATAACACAAGGCTGATTTTTTTCCTGCGAACTCTCCAGGCAGCCATCAAAGAGCTTAGGAAAACTGTTCTCCGTAATGAACATACGGAGGTGGAGTGATCCCTCGGCTCGGAATTGATGGTGCGGATCAGCTCCTTTACATTGCAAGCGTGATCTCTAGTTGTACAGTAGGGTACAGGGCTCATTGTTTCCATTAGTCTGGCTTTCTTGTCAAGAATGTCTCGATCTGAAGTTCCGACAGTGTAAGGATTCCTCTTGTTCTACGGACTGGAAATGTACGGTAGGCTGAGAGGCCATTGTTGATATTAGCCTGGGATACTTGTTCCGTCTCAGTTCTGTCGAGCTGTCATCTACAAAGGGGGTCTTTCCGTCTATTTCAGTCTGAGCAAGGAGCCTCAGAATCGGTCGAAACTCTCGGGCGTCGAGCAGTTGACATTGGCTTCATGCATTTGCATGCTGTGTCGTCCAACTGAATTCCACGTTGACACGTCCAGAATTGTCGGGAAGCGCGCGGTTCATCATACAAATACAATTATTGTACGGTCAAGGAGGTTATAGCATGTCAAATTCCCAGGGAACAGTGATAGTTGAATATCCCCACGTATGAGAGATTATTATTATACTTAGCAGTGGACAGCGAGGGTGGATTGGCGGGGGCAGAGATTGGCCTCTGTCCATCTGATTTGATAAGTATCAATAAACTCGCGGGGTAGGGAAGACCGGGATCAATCAAGAACACAGTTCAACGCCGAAACTTGTCGCAGGTTTAGACACGGCTTAAGGATAGACAGTCAAGGAAAAGTCTATCTTTGCCACAGCGTGGAATGATGTGCGAGAAAGCTCCGCTTTTGGGGCAGAGTAGGCCAGGGTGAAGGTACAGGACGGCTTCCGCAGATACAGAGGACAGAGAAGAGGAATAGAAGTGGATGATGGATGATGGACGAATACTCCATAGAGAGGGATGCTGCAGGACAAGTAGATGTAATACAGAGGCGAGTATAAGGAAGATAAAGAGTGCAGAGCAGATGAAGCCAGACCACCTGAGGTCAGCAGACGCACATGACACTAATCCTGATGGTGACTTGCCCCCTCAACACGCGACCTGAAATCTCTGCGGGCGCTACAACAGTTTATGCTGTCCGTTCCCCTCCCTCTCCCTCTCTCTCTACGTGAGAGAAAAGAACGCAGACGAGACAGAACAGAAGAGAAGAAACGAAACGTTCGTCATCATTACTGTCGAGCATTGCCGGGCGAGCAGAGGGACTCTCGACGCTCCCCCACCCCCAATTGACTCGTTCCCCCCTACGGAGCAGCGCCTACGCCTACGCCGGCCGCTGCATTATTATTATTCTGCTGGTACTTCCCGCTTCATCCTGCCCTTGCCCTCGCCCTCGTCGTCCAGTTCCTCTCCCACTCAAACCCTTCCCCCCTTCTCTCCCTCCACCCCCTCTAAAGCCCGCTGAACCCCGGGACTTGTCGCTGATCTCGGTACATGTGTGCCCTCCTCGACAGATTTACTTCTTATTTGAACTTCCCTGTGACTGCCGGAAATAATGGGCCAGACTTTATCAGAGCCCGTGGTCGAGAAGGTGAGTAACTGAATCGAAATGACTTCCTTCGCCCACCCCACCCTTACGCAACTGCGAATTCTTCTGCGCCTAGGCTGTTCACCCCAACTCTCTCACTCTCTCCCATTGTCCCTGCTTTCGTCCCATTTGCTTTTTTTAAGAAGAAAAAAAATTTTTAAAAAAATAAAAAACAAAACTTCGATCTTCTGTCGTGACCTTCCGTACCTTGCACTTTCCCCCTCTCCCCACCATACCCTTGCGAATCGACAGTTTTTGCCGCCAACAATAACAGAACAGACCAATCGTGTCGTGGAAAGCGGCTTCTGGCTGTTTTGTTGAATGTACTTACCATTTTTCATGCGGAAATACTAACCGTTTGGGACATGCTTGCCATTAGACATCCTCGGAAGGCGAGGATGAGTGCTGCATTTATGGCGTCTCCGCCATGCAGGGCTGGAGAATTACTATGGAAGATGCCCATGCCGCTATCCTAGACCTTCAAGCGAAGGCTGCCGATGAAACTGCAAAACCTGCAGCTCCAGATAAGCGTCTCGCGTTCTTTGGAGTATACGATGGCCATGGCGGCGACAAGGTTGCTCTATTTGCGGGGAATAACGTCCATAAAATTGTGGCAAAGCAAGAAGCATTTGCAAAAGGTGATATTGAGCAGGCTTTGAAGGACGGCTTTTTGGCTACGGATCGAGCTATCTTGGAAGGTTCGTCGTCACCGACGCTTTTGGCCTTCTCCTAAACCCTGCCGGCTGATTCTGAGTAGACCCAAGATATGAGGAGGAAGTGTCTGGCTGCACTGCCTCTGTCGGCGTAATTTCGAGGGAGAAGATCTGGGTTGTATGTTATTCCTTTGGAACTCTATTTTCCTTACCCCCTATTCTTCACCTTCCATTGACTCCCTTTTACTTCACTGCTTCGTCACTTTCTTGAATAAATCGAAAGCTGATGCAATGGAACAGGCGAATGCCGGTGACTCACGCTCTGTGTTGAGCTCCAAGGGCATCGCAAAGCCCCTCTCTTTTGACCATAAGCCACAAAATGACGGTCCGTTACCTACACGTTGCTATTAGAGGAGTCCTCCTATGCGTTAATTTAGGTGTTTTCTAATGCAGCATTACAGGAGAGAAAGCTCGTATCAGTGCCGCGGGTGGTTTCGTTGACTTTGGTCGTGTCAATGGCAATCTAGCTTTATCCCGAGCCATCGGCGATTTCGAATTCAAGAAGAGCCCAGAGCTGTCTCCCGAGCAGCAAATAGTGACGGCCTTCCCTGACGTGACGGTTCACGAAGTTACCGAAGATGATGAATTTTTGGTAATCGCCTGTGACGGTATGTTAGAACCTTTTTAGACCTCTCTTTTTTATTCTCTTCCTGTTGCTAAATATGTGTCTTTGATCAGGAATTTGGGACTGTCAGTCTTCTCAGGCTGTAGTCGAGTTTGTACGACGAGGAATTGCGGCGAAGCAGGATCTCTATCGGATTTGCGAGAACATGATGGACAATTGTCTCGCATCAAACAGTGAGACGGGTGGCGTCGGATGTGACAATATGACCATGATCATCGTTGGTCTGTTGAATGGCAAGACCAAAGACGAGTGGTATAATCAGATCGCTGAGCGAGTTGCTAAGGGCGATGGCCCTTGTGCTCCACCTGAATATGGCAAGTCATTTAATGAGAAACCGATCGACATTAAGCCCTCCTGCTGACTGGTTGAGTGACAGCTGAATTCCGCGGTCCCGGTATCCGTAACCAGTTCGAAGAAGGTCCAAGTGACTATGAGCTAGAAATTGACCGAACGCGCGGTTTCAGTGTCCGATCCGGCAGAATTATTCTCCTTGGAGATGGCACCGAGGTGATCACAGAGCAGAACGACGATGACTTATTTGACCATGCAGAAGAGGACAAGGCACTAGCGAACCATGTGCAACAGAATCAGCCTGAGGCTACGAGAAATGTGCGCGAAGGGACTCCAGCACCGCAAGCGACGGCTTCTGCTTCATCTCAAGCTGGTCAAACGCCTCAGCCTGAGGCGAAAGTAGCTTCTCCAGCTAAAGCGAACGGCTCATCCGAGAGCACTGCCGGAGCGTCGGAGAAATCCACACCTTCGTAGTTGTGGTTCTCAGTTTCCGATTTCATTTCCTTTTCTTTGGGGGGTTTTTGAAGAGATTCGTGCGATTGCATGACCCGTTCATCCAACTACACTATGCTCCTCTTTTACTTCTCAACTTTTCATTATATCACTGGGATGGTGGATAAGGGAGGACAGTCTTCCCTTGCCTGTATGACTTGCTGGGTGAAGTAGGCGCGGAATGCTGTCGGCCATGGCGGTTTCCAAGCAGCCCTCACGAGAATACGTCTGTTTTCTGTTTTTTTTTTTTTTTCTTTCTTTCTTCCCCCTTCCCTTTTTATACCTCCTGGGCCATGATACCGACAGCGCAAGGGGCTCTCCATCACCTTCTATTTCAATTTCCGCGATTCCTCTTCTCCGTTTCCCCTTTATATCACATCCTTCCGACATCTGCAGGGCTGCGCCATGGACTGGATAGCAAGGGGCTTGCCAATGGGATTCATCGATTCATCGGTTGTTCAAGCGGTCTCGGAAGAAAGGGAAGGGAGGGACATGATCGATGCTGATAATATTGCACTCATAAGGCGTAAACGGTACTTCAGTCTACTGATTCAAGGTTGCTTGTTTTTACTTCCTCTTTTCGCACCTTTTTTAGCCTGGGCTGAAATGGCATGAGCCGCTTTTCTTTCCGGCAGTTGAGGCAATGTTCCGTTATGATGGATGCAAGCGGTGCTCTTTTCGATTTTTCTTTTTGCTTTCTTTTCGTTCTTTTCCCTTATTCTTTTCCCGCTCTCCTGGTTTCGCCATACTTGTATAGAAAAGAGCCAGCGCAGCAATCGGCATGTAGGATGTGGCAGCTTCGAGTCGCGGAGTAGCACGTGTAACTGTACTGTACTGTACTGTACTGTATTTCCAGATACGATACGATACGATACGGGAACATACTATCCATACCATACGTGGCATTCTCCCTTAATTAAAAAGTGGCCCCGTCAAAAACGCTTGAACATGTCTAGGCCGTAAGCCAATGCTCGTCATCATTCCTCGTCTCGACCTGCGTCTCTTCCGACTTTTTCTCCTGTCAATTCCGTCTCCATTTTTTCTTTCCCTCCTTCTCCCAGGAGGAAGACTGAAGAAGGCAACACCGCATGCTTCGTTTCCCGTATCCCGTCTCCCGTCTCCCCTCTCTTTGACTACGTCCTCCGGAAGAGATCTACGTTCTCCCGTTTATCCTAGAGCTGCCCCATCATGTCGTCCCCTCTTTCTGCATCGGGTAAACGCAAGCGAAGTTCTTCTCAACACCAGCCGAGAAGCATCCTCAACACGTCCAATGCAGAATTTTTGCAACCCTCTTCTCGAGACGCATCCGGTGAGGACGGTGAAGACTCGACCAGCTCGGTGACCTCGCCAAACAAGCACAGGAAGCCCCAGCCAGTTGATGCTGCAAACATCCCACCATCGAAACGAGTTCGGAAGGGCTCTGGTGATAATAATGCACATGCCGTCAATGGTACAGTAGACCTGTCTTCGTTGGAAAATCAGGATCCTGGCGAGCCGTCAGAGACGACCGATGGTAGCAGCCATGCTGTTGGAAAGCGATCCAAGAGCCGGCCGGATTTGCATCTCAAGACTCCTGTAGAACCAGCAGACGATGACCAGGATCAGGATACGGGTGCACGCATGGAACCACCTGCAAGGGGAGGATTGCAGGACCCTGTCGGTTACCACACCAACCCTCCGCCTGTAGGTCGGCCGGTCCGAGTCTATGCGGATGGGGTTTTTGATCTTTTCCATCTCGGGTATGTTCCCGTACGCCAATAACCCATATGAACAAGGGGCCTTCTTTTTTAATATCTTCCCCCATCCTTTTGTTCCATGGAGTTCGGCTTGTTAATAAGAGAATCCCATCAGTCATATGCGACAACTAGAACAGGCTAAAAAGGCCTTCCCAGAGGTGTATCTCATTGTTGGGGTGACTGGAGATGAAGAAACCCATAAACGCAAAGGCCTGACTGTTCTCAGTGGTGCGGAGCGGGCAGAGACTATCCGCCACTGCAAGTGGGTAGATGAAGTGATCCCAAACTGCCCGTGGATTGTGACTCCCGAGTTCCTCGAGGAACACAAGATCGATTATGTAGCGCATGACGACTTGCCTTACCAAGCTGACGAAGGGGATGACATCTATGCTCCCATCAAAGCTCAGGGCAAATTTTTGGCTACGCAGCGAACAGAAGGTGTCAGCACGACCGGTATCATCACTAGGTTGGTTAGCCCCTCTCACATGGTTTCTCAGTCCCCGAAACCTGACCATATGGCTTGTTTGATAGAATCGTGCGTGACTACGACCAGTACATCGCCCGTCAATTCAGACGGGGGGCATCCAGGCAAGAACTCAATGTCTCCTGGCTCAAGAAGAACGAGCTGGAAGTGAAACGCCACGTAGCGGAGCTTCGAGACAGCATCCGCAACAATTGGACAACAACGGGCCAGGAATTGGGGAGGGAACTCCGACAGTTCTGGCAGAACAGTCGGCCGGGCAGCCCTGCCCTCAGTGCGAGGAATAGCGTGGACTACGGCAACTCGCGCGGCGGGTTAATCAGTCCAACGGCCAGCAAGTCTCACCTTACACGGGTGGAGGGGTCCTATCGCCCAGAAAGCCCTGTGGGAGCCGGGAGAAACGAAGATTTCGCGACAGGATACAGTCTAGGGCTTCTTGGTGGTGTTAGAGCATGGGTTTGTACCTTGACCTTTCTTCTGTCTCTACTTGATAATGCCTTTTTTAACCTCAAATTGAATAAAGTCAACAGCTGACTGGAGCCTTAACAGATGTCGCGCAACCGCCGCTCGCTCTTCGAACAGTCCAATGGAAATCATTCATCTTCCGGAAGCGAGGAAGAGCAAGAGCCTGAATCTCAGAATGGCAATGGTCACAGCACCAGCCTGGCGTCGCCCGAGTTCAATGCTAGAACTGGCGCCAACCCTGTTTAGCATATTTGGTAAGACGAGCGTCTTAAATTGGATACCCCGACGCGGAATCCCATTCTCACGAACGCTCAAACGGACAGCTCACTCAATGGATGCTGTGACCTATTATTACATGCATTATATTCTTACGAGTATGTAAGTCATGATGCTAGAAATAAGCTGGAAAGCTGAAAGAGAAAACGAAAACAATCATAATTCTAATACGAAACCCGAAAAAAGGAACATAAGCTCTCTCTCTCGCACTGTTTAGCTTCACTTCATCGAGGAGCAAGGCGTACTTCTTTCCCCCCGGATTCAGTCCTTACCTTTCTATCTTTTGTGTCATCGTTTACCATGAATTTTCTTGCTATTGGCCCTCCACTCAAGCCCCCGATCAATATTATTTATACACTATTAATTCTTCAGCCTTCTTTTGACCCTGAAAGGGAGCCCACATCGAGGAACGTATGGACCAGGATGTCTAGAATGCCTCATGCCTTTCCCTCATGTCTTGTTCACTGAGGCCTGAGCATGGGGTGAATGCTGAAGTGAGTGGCAAGCAGGGTGTAGCGGAATCAATCAACGCTGTAAAAAATGAATACTGTACAGATTCCCAAAACACGCTCACTGATTCTTTCCTGGAGCATAGTTAACAGCTGTTTCGATGAGCGCTTATATTGAATGCATTGATCTTAATTGTTATTCAAATGAGATTGTATAATACCCCCATGCACCGTGGTCAGTCGCTGCTGTCTCTCAGTCAAGGAAATTATTGCAGTGAAACGCTGTCAGGGACAGATGCTCAAAGGATAGGTTTATAAAGGGCGTTGGCCTGTTGTTGCCTTTTCGGCGCAGTGGCTTAGTAGCATGGCCAGCATGCTAGGTCCCTGTTCCCCAGTTCCCCAGTTCCAGCGAGTCTCCAGCAAGCAACAACGGCAGCAAGTGGCTTCAGGTGAACCTCGCGAATACCAACAACCCGCGGCTGTTGCTGGGCCAGAACGCCGTGCTCGGTTTTTCTGATACCTCCCAAACCCCAGGCATTGATTATCACCCATTTGACATTCCCCTCTTTGCTGGCTTGACTACATCGTCAAGCCGGTGCTCTGAGGATCAGAACATTGGCAAGACCAACTCATCTGCCATGATTCTGGGAATACCTTTCTTCCAAGCAGCATACATATATGTTGGCTCCGATACCACGCTGTGGTTCTCCGTGAACGAATGGAGTATGCCTGCCAATCCAACGCCGTTCAACTATCCATTTCGTTGAGCAATCCGCCATTCCTGCCAGCGTCACCCAAACAGCAGCCATACCCACTTCGACAAAAGGCCACGGTGGGAAAATTAAACCAGCGAGTGCTTTTGCGGGAATTGTATCGGTGGGACTGGCGCTCTTTCTTCTTCTATAACCCGGTCAAGTGATGAAGTTCCGATAGAAAATGGAATATCCGGTTGTCAAGATATTGAATCCAGCAAGCCCATCTCATCTATGTTCATATCATCAAGCATTCCAACTCGAGACTGGCCAGCACAACTGCCTCAAGGCTTTATATGTTAGAACCAGGACACATCTGTAGACAATAAACTGACTGTAAAGCCGACCAAGTAATGCGCAGAGAATAACAATTCTAATAGCAATAACTCCTTGAATGCAAAGAATGAAATGCTCTGCTTATGCTATGCGAGTCTCCTAAGCTTTAATTCCAGAGGGTGCGTTGCGTGGTGATAGAGAGTGAGAAGAAGAAGCAGAAATGAAAATCATGCGACTAAAGGAACAGCTGCAGCATGCTCCTTTCCTCTCGCCTCTGCTCTCTCTTTCGATTTCTTCTTTGTTTCCTCCTCGGTCTCTTTCGGCGCCAGCAAAGATACTGGAGCATTTGGAAGTGCAACTGGTCCTTCCAAATCATGTTGAAGTGCCTCCAATTCATCCTCAACCTCATCCTCGTCTTGATTAGATAGGCGCCCAGCAAGCATTTGGCTGATTTCCTGAAACGAGAATAATTCACGTCAGCATGAACTCGAAGGATTGAAAACAAAAGGAAACGAAAAGGGGTTCTCTGGCCCATCCTACCTCCTGATATGCCCTGGCTTCTTCCGTCTCACCCATTAATCTCTCCACGCCTTCGAGGCCACCCATCTCTTTATTGATTGCTTGCAACACTTTTGTGCCTTCCTGGAGGCCAAAGAGAACATCTTTCTGGACAAGCGCAAACTCCACCTTCCCAGTCAACTGCTCTAATTGCTCTAGCTGCGCATCTGTCTTTGCAAGTAGCGATTCCTGGTATTTCTTGCGACGGAGGGCTAGGAGGGCACGTTTCCGGTCATTACGGGCTAGACATTCTTTCGCAATTGCAGTCTCACGGTTCGTGAGGACAATAATACGCTTCTGGTACTGGTGTAGCTTATCGCGCTGGTTTTTCAGGTCAAGGATGGCTCTGGTTGTTGTAATCCAGGCAGCGAGCGCAAGTCAGTTAGATAGATCTGGAGACACGTGAGGCTTAAGGAAGGGGTAGTTAACTTTGTCAGGGATGGATGAAGAAGGCTATGGACTCCTAACTCCCAGCCATATGGGAGCAAACTCACCGATCCTGAGCAGATATTTTGCCGGAACTGTTGACGTTGCCCATCATCGGCGCATATTGTTGTCGTCGAGAGGACACCGAGTGTATGTTATCTCGAAAGGTAATGACGTTGCTGGAAATGACGAAACACCCTGCGGTGTCATGTAATTACGATACAGTTGTAATATATTTTACCAATAGGAGTGTTAGTTTTTTACCGTCGGAGAACTACTTATTCCGTTTGCCGACAATTTTTTTTTGGAGAAAACGAAGTCCTTCGCCGTCGACGCACACGCGCAACAAATTACCAGAGAGCTGCAGGCTGTCGCTGGACTGAGAAGCTATGCCTCCGAGAAATCGTGGAGGGAGACCTACTCTAAGTCATGGCTTAGACCGAGATGTAAGAAGGCAAAAAAGCCAATTGATGTGTCCATTTACGAATACTTTTCCCCTAATTTGGTCAATTTCTATCTGCGCAGGTATACCAGGTCGTGCGCAAGACTATCGATGAGAAGTCTGAGAATGGGCGGGTGCGCCTTTCGGTTCCTGCAATCTACGACAGCATCAAAAGATCGAATTCCAGCTTGAACAGGAAACCTAAGAAGCTGCTGGAGGACAGCATTGAGCGGGTCCTGGATGTGATGAAAAGTGATCTGCTTGGAGATGAGGAAGAGTCAATCGATGGCAATTTCGATGGACTCGAGGATGTGAACCAGGTTCCGGTATGTGGAGGTGTTCTAGTCGGCAATTCTTATGTGTTATTTCTGACAGTGTCAGGAATCCAATGGTGTCAACAGGAGCATCGTCGGCATGTGGTCAACCAAACCCTCTCAGAAGGTAGCAGAGTCTAACGGTGTGGAGGAGGGCTCTGCGATGACAGCACCTTCCACGACTCACAAGAGACGACAACATGGAGGTGAATCAGCGTCTAAACGACGAAAAGCCGACAGTGCTATTGACAGGTCACCCCCGACACATGTGAGCCTTGCAGACCTAGGCGGGCTGGACAGTGTTGTTCAAGAATTAGGAGATCTCCTGATCTTACCCATGACCCGCCCACAAGTATATGTGTCGTCGAATGTACAACCTCCCCGAGGCGTGCTGTTACATGGACCACCAGGATGTGGTAAAACCATGATAGCGAATGCCTTCGCGGCAGAGCTAGCAGTCCCATTTATTGCCATTTCAGCACCATCTATAGTCTCTGGGATGTCTGGAGAATCAGAGAAGGCTCTACGGGAATATTTCGAAGAAGCGAAAAAAATAGCCCCTTGTCTTATTTTTATTGATGAGATAGATGCGATTACTCCTAAACGGGAGAGTGCACAAAGGGAAATGGAGAAGAGAATTGTTGCTCAGCTCTTAACATGCATGGATGACCTAGCATTAGAGAAGACGGACGGGAAGCCCGTTATTGTCCTTGCGGCTACCAATCGTCCCGACAGTTTGGATCCAGCCCTGCGCCGAGGAGGCCGGTTCGATAAAGAAATAAACATGACTGTTCCCTCTGAACAGATGAGAGAACATATTCTTCGGGCACTCACCCGGAAGATGCGCTTTGCCGATGATCTTGATTTCAAGACTTTGGCCAAGAGGACTCCAGGTTTTGTGGGTGCTGATCTCAACGACCTAGTTTCCACCGCCGGTTCGGCGGCTATTAAGAGATATCTAGAAATTCTGAAGTCGCACACTGACGAGGACATGGAAACTGACGAGACGGACGACCTTAATCCTAAAGTGAAAGAGTTGCGGCGTCTCATCGCCCACGCCAAGGAAGCCCCCATTGGCGAGGAAATACAAACTATATTGGTGTCGAATACGGACTTTATGACGGCACTACCCAAGATTCAGCCATCATCCAAGCGTGAAGGCTTCGCCACAATCCCAGATACAACGTGGGCAGACATAGGTGCTTTGAGTGGGATCCGCGAGGAACTGGCCACAGCGATCGTGGAGCCCATTAAGAATCCTGAAATATATGCCAGAGTTGGAATCACTGCTCCCACGGGTGTTCTGCTCTGGGGTCCACCTGGGTGCGGTAAGACTCTGCTCGCCAAAGCCGTTGCCAACGAATCTCGCGCGAACTTCATCAGCGTTAAAGGCCCAGAACTCCTTAATAAATACGTCGGTGAATCTGAGCGTGCCGTACGACAGGTGTTTGTTCGTGCCCGTTCGTCGGTCCCCTGCGTCATATTTTTTGATGAGCTTGACGCCCTAGTTCCTCGCCGAGATGACACTCTGTCAGAAGCATCTGCGCGCGTCGTGAATACGCTACTGACTGAACTCGACGGCCTGGGCAGCAGCCGTCAAGGAATTTACGTAATAGCTGCTACAAACCGTCCAGACATCATCGATCCAGCCATGCTCCGACCGGGACGTCTCGAGACGCTTCTCTTCGTGAACTTACCTAGTCCCCTAGAACGTGTTGAGATTCTTCAGACCCTCGTTCGCAATCTGGATATTGATTTCTCGGATGACTTGAGGAAACTGGCTGAAGAATGCGAAGGATTCAGTGGAGCCGACCTGGGAAGTCTTCTCCGTCGCGCCGGATACTCCGCCATTAAGAGACGGGATGCAATCAAATTCCAGGACTTCCTGGCCGCTAAAGCGTTCATTCGACCCAGCGTCACCGATATGAAAAGGTACGAGAAGTTGAGAAGAGATTGGAGCGGTGGTGTTATCTGAGGAGCAAATAGTCTTACGACTGTATATGTTGTACGAAGCTAGTGAGCGAGCTTTTTTTGCTGTTGAATTCTTTGATATATTATACATACACTTATGTATATATGGCTATCGAGTGTTATGATGCTCTTCGCTTTAGGAATGCCTATGTTGAATCTTGAAACCTCGATAGAAGCTTTCAATATTCTTTTCCTGTTTCTGTATATGGTGGATCAAATATGAGATATTCAGAACCGGACTAACACCCTACATGTTGCAATACAACTTCAGTGCTCATGTCTTAGTTACTGGAAGTGGCTGGAGCGAGGACAAGTTACAAGGCAGGGACCGACTAGTTCCAATGAATATAGCATATGCATACAAAAATTAATTGACAAAAAAAAACGCCTTCCCATTATATAAAGACCCATGATAAATAAATGTACCGTAAGACAGTCCAACGGTCACATCCATAAACGACATGTTCCATCCGCTCCTGCACTGACACACCACGGTTCCTTCGGGTGCCAATCGACATCTAGCACACCCAGTTCGCCGGTGATCTTGTGGCCCTTGAGAACTTTCAGGGGCACGATAGTAGCATTGCTGAGCATATCACCAGTCACGCTGCCATGGAAGATTTGGAGGGAGCCATCGTCGCTGGCGTCAGCAAACAGGGGGTAGCGGCCACCTGGGTGGAATTTAACAGCGCGGATAGCTTTGCGATGATACCGCAATGTCTTGTAAGGACGTGAAGAAAGATCAAGATCATGCCATAGAAGACGACGGTCGTAAGATCCGACAATGAGGTTCTCCCCACCAGAGGATGTAGATGAAAAGGGGTGGAAATCGAAGGAGGATATCCAGCGCGCCCCTGGCTGAATGATCTTGACGAGTAGCTGACGAGAGAGATCATAAGCGCGGATTGTTCGTTGGTTGGCAACAAAAAGAACAGGTTTCGACGGGTGAAAATGTGCAGTTTGCGGAGGTCCACCACCCTTGATACGTCGGCGGAAGGGGAATTGAGTCAGATGTTTCGAAAGAGTGTGAATGGCAATCGCTACAGATGCTGGTGTGGACGAACCAGGGCATACTGTAACGAAATAGTCGCCACGGCGGTGCCATGAGAGAGACTTCGCGACGTATCGAAGGGGGATAACAGCGCAAACCCCAGATTCCGCAAGGGATGATGATGGACGGATCCACTGTGGAGGAGTGTTCTTTTTATTCGCCTCCGCAGCACTTGGGATTGGTTTCGAAGCTGCAAACCCCCAGCCTGCGTCCAGGACTTCCAGACTAGCCTTCTCAGTTTCTGGGTCAACGATGGGTGGAACTGCAAGGAAGACATCATCACCAGCTGCAACAGCCAGAATGACAACATCCTTGCCAGGTCTCCACCGGATAACGTTGACAGCATCCTCGTCACTTAGTTTCACACTCCACAGCTGACGGCCAGTAAGAAGCTCCCAAATGCGGACCGTCCCATCATCGCCTCCAGTTGCAAGCCAAATACCGGATGGATCAACAGATAGAGTACGGACACGCCCCTTATGTCCTCTAAAGACGGCTGCACATGCGGTAGGGAACGGCTTCAGTTCCTCAGGACTAGGAAGCTTGGGGAGAAGACTCTCCGGATCAATATTCAGCTTGCTCCTCCGAACTCTAGGGGCAAGATACAAATCCAGACAACGCTCAAACTTCTCCTTGACAAAGTTTTCATAGCCAGGGACTTTCCGAAGGGAGCCGAAATCATTTGGAAGGAAATCCTTCTCGCGATCTTCTGGATCAGCTTCTTCCCAGGCTTTCCGTTCATTTTTATTGGGAAGATACTCAGGAGGTGGATGGTAACTCTCCTCGTAGCCAGGTGGAGGAAGCTTGGGAGCAGGAACGTGCATCGGGTGATCAGGTCGCTCTGCTTCATCCGCCCACAGATCGTATCTCGCCATGTCCTCATTCTCGTCCTCCTCTTTTGGGGGTTTATATGGTAGAATGCGACCATCCCTAATTGCCTTGACAATCTTCATAACACGCTTGGCTTCGTGCTTCGATGGTACAAATCGACGCTTCGGCTCGGGGGCTGCACTTAGCGGCATGATCTCCTGCTTGCTGGTAAACCACTCAACAGCAGGCTCATACTGGTTGTAGCCTTCTTCCGGTATCTCGTTCATCTGGATCTTGCGCAATAGTTCCAACTCATCCTGGCTAAGTTCCAGTGGCTTTCCAGTTGAAGGATCTGTGAGCCCGGTCCAACCCTTAGGAACTTCAATGCTGTCGAGCAATGAGTCTAGAGCTTCGCCCGTTGCAGGTCTCATAATCTTCTTTCCATTGACATCATAACCAATGTGAGGATACTGGTCGTAGAAAGAAAGAGGAATGTTGCCGATGGTGTTGGCATTCTCGTCGACCTCGGAGTATTCCGAGTTATCATCTGGGTTTATCTCATCATAAACGTAGCGGTCATTGCCATATGCATCCTTTTCAATACGGTAATTGAGTTGCTCCTCATCGCTGGAGCTCGATTTCTCTTCCAATGACCCGTCGAGATTGGCTGCCGTAGTGCCAGATTTTTTTCTCTTGATCACATCTTCCTCATCTGAAGGGATTTCATCACTGTCCAGCTCCTCATCATCTTCATCCTCATCACTAAAATCGTCAACAATTTCGACTTCCGAATCGCTCGAGTCTGAGTCTGTGTCCGATAGGTCATTTGCATTGTCCGAGAGTACACCGTCGAGGTTATCCGAATTCAACTCGTCCCCAGAGAATACACCAGCTTCCTCCTCGACATCTCGAGTGACAGCCTTGCGTTTCTTCGAGGTCTTAGAAGCGTCCATATTGGAGAAGACAACAATGTATTGCGTGTCAACAATTCCAATCTCTGAGTCCTGCAGAGAACGCGGAGCTTTTTCACCCTTTTATTTTTTTTTTCTTCCGGATGCTAAATGCTCACCGCCCACATGACACACCGCCTAGTTAAACTTATTGATTTCTTAGTTAGCTAACTAACGTAATCCACAAGCGAGCCGGCCACCTCTGTATCCATATAAAATGGTACTTTTTAGGAGCTTAATATCTCACAACAAGACATCTGGAAGGTATAAAACTTGATATATAGGTTAAATAAATGCTTTATTTATAAATATGAACATAAATATCCCTATACTTCATATTTCTCAAGGTAAGATAAATTACAGTCGTATTTTTTGTATTTTTAGTTATTGTAATCTTTAAAGCCAGAAAATTTTACAGAAAAATATAAAAGAATTCAAGACTTCCTTTTAGAGTTAACTTATATATCTTATCTATGAGTATGCTGCTACATCTACTGGTGGTGGTGATATTGATGTCTCAAAAAGTGCCATTTTATATGGAATACAGAGGTGGCCGGGTCGCATGATATGTTAGTTAACTAGTTAGTTAGTTAGTTATGTCGCTGACTAATCTATGGCTCCCCTCACGTCAAGTCTGACATCGCAAAGCATACACGCTGTATTCCACGAATTTGTGTATTTGGAACCTTGGGATTGCTCCGTATTAACTTATTATCAGCAAAGTGTTCATTTCGCATGCGAAGATGCCCACAGTATATGATGGCTGGGGTTTGTCATTCTTGCCTCCAATTGTAGCCATGGAGGCCCCGAAAAGACATGCAGCTTGTGATGAATGTAGTGAGTCAATTTTCTTCCTATTACCCCATATTATGTATTTCTTTATTTGAGCAGAGGATTGATAGAAGTTGTATTGTAACAGGAAAGCGAAAGCTGAAATGCTCTGGTGATCCCACTGGCTGTGAACGTTGTATCAAGCAATCAATTGTCTGCCACTACTCAATACAGAAACCGATGGGCCGGCCTCCCAAGAAACGTAGACGAGAGGAAGATCAAATACCAGAGTCGTCGACTGAAGATCCGGGTCAAATCAGATGCTCAGATCCTACCTCTCTAACTGCTGCTCGGGACGGCCCCCCAACACAAGAGGCTCTCCACGTCTTTCCATTTTCCTCCGCTTCAACGGGCTTTCCTGACCCGCTGAATACGGGCGATTCCCGGTACAATGTCCCCCAGCCGGATCAATCTCTCAATTACCTGTTATCGATCCCTGCGACAGCAAGTCCCTGGCCTGATTTCTCCACCGTATCCGCTTCTTCATCCTCGTCCTCAATACTACCGGTCTTTCAGGAGATAGCGCTGCATTCGACTTCTCCTCAGGGCGGAAACTCTACCGGAGATAACACAGAATGCGCCTGTCTATCATATTTATATCTATGCCTCAGCCACCTATCCACGACATGCTCTTTTCCGATCACGCAGCAAACGTTATGTTCGTTGTATATAGCCGCTAAAACAGCACGCGATGTCGTTCGTTGCAAAGTCTGTCCAAGAACCTTTGCAACGGGTATGCAGAATGTCATGTTGACTGGCACGCTGCTTAACATCATTGCCGATGGCTGGGTGCGTGTTTCAAAGGCTGACGCTGCAGACCTGGGGAGGCAGTCGGCATTTCCCCAACACGTGGCTTTTATCAATAGCACTCCGGACCCCGCGGGGAACTGGAAAATATGGTTACGACAGGTAGTACGACACGCCCTCATAGGTGGCCCAACCACTGAATGCGCGAAAATTCAATGTTCGAGCTCGCCTGATCTTCTATCTATCATCAAAGAGCTGGAGTCGCGGCAAAGGAGTTGGCACTCGGGTCGCGGATCGCATCCCCTGCACCAGAAGCAGTCATCAGATAGTAATGGGCATAGTCCACTAACGGAGGAGGACTGTGACGAGAAAGACATCCTCTGTCTCCGGGTAGTTGGAAGTGCCAGATTAGTGATTGACAAATTGAATTTCGAACCACATGAATACCCTGATGGTGTGGTTTCCTGACATGAGTGATGATATTATCTGCCATACAGAAGAACTATGAACTGGCTAGGCATTCTGGATCTTTCGCTGGGTTATCAGCGAGGGCTTGGCTCTTAAAGACTTTGATTAAAGTACCAACTAATAAAAGACCAAATACAGCGTATCTAACATACCTGCGAATTATCACTGGTGCGTTAGGCATAATCATCCCATTTTTTTATTTTTTGGTTTCCATTGGCAGGTACCTTTAATGCATCTATCAAAAAGACATGGACTTAATTCACCCCGCGCACATCTTAAAGCACATGAACCTGCACCAAGGTCCACAAGGGATTCAGGATTCAATTGGCAGAAGGGAGAAATCAGGACTGGCGTGAGAAGAGATAGAGAGGAATGAAGTGGAAACAGCTGTAGGTAGGTCAAGGGCGCCCAGTTGAGAATCCACGTAGCGCATATCTATTCATCCTCGTCTTCATCATCCACAACGTAACGGTGCTTCTTCCGAGCCGGGGGCGATGCGGCTGCAACGGGCCCGGATTCTACTTCCGGCGTCGCTCGCCTTTCTTTGAACCGTCTTCTTGATTGGACTGCTTCGTCCTCCTCCCCATCAGCATCCATGTCTTCATCCTCTAACTCTTCGTCTTCGTCTTCTTCAAAGATCTCTGGTTCTTCATCACTGCCAACAAGGAATCCATCATCTTCATCATATTCGTCTTCCCTAGTCCGACCGCGGCGATCGTAGTCCTCTTCGTCATCAGTGTAGATCTCGCCACGACGATTTTGCTTTCGAGGTTTCTTCGCAGGTGGTCTGGTTGCTAACATGCCATCATCATCTTCAAGACCACCAACTGTGAGGCCGGGGGCTGCATAGCGATGAGTAGCGTGCGCACGTCGGCCCCGGTCGAGATCGCGGTCTGCGAGTTGTTGGCGTCGACGAGCAGCCTTCAGTTTCTCACGTTCAGCCAGCTCTGCTTGCCTCTTGGCAAGCTCAGGATCCTCCTTCACCTCAATTACGGGTGCTGATCCATCTGCCGTCTTCTTGCCACCGCGAGCAGCAGCAGCGAGAGACTCCTGCAGGCGCTGAACAGCATCGTCTGTCTCTATTGTTGTAGGAAGAATCGTAAGTCCGTGAGTTAAGTGCGATGTGAGTCTGAAAACAGATGAGGTTTCGGCAGCAGCCCCAAGGTAGGCGTGGGAGTCAAGCTTCGGATCATAGTCGCCGGACTTGTTAAGAGGTGTCAGGGACTTGGAGGATATGAGGTATTGTTCCTTGGGGGCTGAAGCTAGCTGCAGAGTCAAGGATCCGTCCTCCCAGCGGATTATGCGTGCATTTGACTGAAGGAGTGAGTTGTCGTTAGGGTCATGGCGCCAACAAAGAGAAGTTGCGGCGGTAGTATATGGAGGTGCAACATATGTCTCTGGGTTGAACTCCTCAGTCTCAACGGACAGGAAGTTAGGGATGGAGACCGTGTAGACCTGTAGTAGTTGTGTAAGCCAAAAGAAATGCTTCGGAACAATGCCGCTAGCTACTGCAGCATACCTCCCCATTCGTGGACGCTGGCACTGGCGCTCGACCTAAGCTCAAGTCCATAACGTTGACAGTCTCAGCAAATTCACCGTCTCCTCCATCCTCATAATCCATGCGATCCCCCACGCGATCGTAGCGGTCTTCATCGTCGCCGGAATCAAGCTGTTCATCATCTAGTGTCCGCGGAGCTCGACTGACAAAGGATTTCTTTAGTATGGTATGTCTATTGTCTGGAGCGAACAAATAATTATCATACTCAATCATATTCAACTCGTCACCCGAGCCATCAGAACCAAAGAGATCGTCATCATCTCCATTGATGATTTCGGTATCGGACCCGAGAACGCTCTGCGCGCGATTGTCTTTTGCGGTAGTGGAGAAACTGTGCTCGCTTCCTGGGGAGCTCTGAACACGCGCGGTGGCGGTATTACGCCCAGGGCGGCGGACTGTCTCCTCATCCGAAGAAGACATGGCGAGGATGTGTCTAGAAATGTAGTATTGGATGAGTAGAAGGTTAATTGAAGACAATTTCCATCATCTCTATCGCTTTCGGAGTCGCCGTCAATGGAATCCCCGTGATTTCCGGAGATAAGGATGGCCCGATCCGTGACAAATTTGGATTAGCGCAGTCTCCTGCTGTCACGGCCAGATAGTTCTCCTGGTAGGAATATCCCCCAGAAATTCGATTTACTGCAGTTCTCTCTATCCACCCAACCTTCTTTTATTTTTCTTATTCTTGGGTCTTTTTGGGGTTCTCTGTGGCCTCGAAATTCCCCAATCTTCAAAATGGCGACCTTTTTTCAGAGTGTGTAAGTAATTCACTGCTGATGCTATTCACCCCTCACTGTTTCAGTCCCCTGATGCCCCGTCTTTGGTACTTGGAAGCGAGCAAACAAAGGACTGGGGCCTATCCAGTACATTTTGAGTGAATTTCCAGATGCCTGACTCTTATTCCTTCGATCGCAATTCCAGCTTTCTACAAGACTTTTTTCTCACTCTTGAACCTGTTCAATGCTTTGCGGCTAACCCACTTGTCTCTTCCAATCTAGTCGCCAGGGGTTCGGCAGAGGGGGTAACAACAAGAACAACAACAATAATAACAACAATAATAATTCCTCTAAAATGAACAACGGTCAATCTCCTGTTCCCCCAGCCCCGCAGCCGGCCCATCTACCCAACTCTGCCTCTCCTACTCTGCCGGTTGAAAGCTCCGGCCTCAATGATAACGATGCTCCCAAGTATTTCTTCCAAGAGAAGTACGCCCCGCTTAATGTCAAGGGAAATTTTTTAACTCTGTGTGCTTGTCCGAAAAATGTGGAGCTTGGGGAGTGGTTGGCTCATCAGAGTTAGTCATATCCAAAGTAGCCTATGCCCATTGACTAACCAAAGCTGACTATCATTTCTTGCAGTTGTGGAACAGTATCGCCTGCTTCATGGCATGCTACAGGTCATTCAGGAGCCGAATGGCCCCTCGGGCCTACCAATCTGCAATGAGAACACTTGCCCTACTATGTCTGCTGGACGGTAAGCGGCTTTAACCAACGAGCTGACTGGATGGAGCTTTGCTAACGTACCACCAGTTTGACATACACTTGGCTCGTGGACGGTCGTGCCGCTAAAATTTCAGCTCCCAAGTTCATAAACCGTGTCGAGAAATGGATTGTTAGCAAAATCCATGACCCTGTTATGTTTCCGACCACTCCAGTGCATGGTGTACCAATTACCGCTGCTCTTAACGATGTCGATGCAGCGACGTCGGCTGCACCAGGCACTGTATCTGCAGATTCCTGGATAGGCAAGTCAAGTGGTTTCCCACAGACTTTCTACAAGGACTGCCAAGGGATTATGAAGCAAATGTTTCGTTGCTATGCCCACATCTACCATGCCCACTGGCTGAATCCTTTTTGGCATATCAATAAGCATGACATCCTTAACATGTGCTTTGTCCATTTCATTACTGTTGCGAAGTACTATAAGCTTGTTGCCGACAAGGAAATGGAGCCCATGCAGCCTCTGATTGACCTGTTCATCAGGCAGCAAAGGATTCCTCCGGAGGCTCTCAATGGCGGCCACTGGGCGCAGCAGACCTCTAGCTGAGCTCGAGGATATACGAGAATGCCTGTTCCTTTCTCCCTTGAATGACAACGAAGTTCTTCTAACCTGGCGTTGGAACTCGCTCTTCAATTTTTACGGGTTTATTTCTGTGCTTCTCAGGTAGTTCTGGGCGAATTTGACGGATGATATGATGCGGATGCGATAAATCTGAGCAATATAGCATGGGTGAACGTTTCCTTTCGGTACCTGCATATCCTTTTTTTTTTGCCTGGCGTGAGCGATTACAGTGTCCTGTCTTCAGACACACACAAACGCAAGTTTCACATGAATGCAATCATCTAAGACCTAGCTTATCACAATGGATACTCTCTCCCTGACTCCCATTTGCATTCATGGGGTTCACTGCATCTCCACACACATGGACACCTTTGAAGTATTCCAATTTCAAAGTGATATCTTGGAGCCAATGCAGTCCAGAAGAACCAGGCCAGACTGGGCTGGCAGGCACACACAATTCATAATCATTGATGATCCGACATAGATGATCCAATATAGCGGGTGACTCTTATTTCCACGTGCTTCAGCTTAGCGAGACTAGGTCCAGTCTTGCTCATAGATTCCATATTCATCAACAATTCTGCCTGGTAAAGGATTTCAGAGAAAGATGCCATCTTCCTCCCTTTCTTCATTCGGTTCCCTTGTTTCCTCAGCCGTGCTGTTCGATCTAGGAATGTTTCCATCTATCGTACCATCACCACTGGCCCCATTAGCAACGGGCGCTTCTGCTTGATCTTCGCGCACAGCTCCATTGACACCTTCCGTGCGAACGTCTTCCTCAATCCATATCTGACCCCTATTTTCCACCTCTGTTTTTAATAGCTGAATCCTTTCTGTCATAGAGGTAATCACGCCTTCATTTTCCACAATATAGCCCTCGAGTTCCCGTCTATCTTCCTCTGCGTCGCAGGCGTCCGAGATGAAGCTCCAAAGCTCATCGTTAGAGCGACGTAAATGGGAGATGGAGTTTCGTAGCTCCGAAGCCTTAGCGTAGACGGTAGAAAGAGGAAGCTCCTTTATAGCCTCGGCGAAGGCAGATGGCATTATGGGGATAGATTCCGCAGACATGTCTTGTGTATGCTTGCTATCCTTCCTTGAGTGAAATGGCGGAGAGGTCGACAAGTAGCTTTTCTGTCGACTTGATCTGGCGTCAGTTTTCAATCACGTGCTCCTTGAGAGAATACCAGGATAATATATCGTCGTTAAGGAATGCATCCACGCTGCTGGGAATATCTTGAAAGACCTCTTTGGCACCCTCGCCATCTACATGCCATCTATGCTATTCCTTCTTACAATAGTCCCATCCATCACCGAATGCATACGGAATACCGAAAGCAACCGCATCCTGATCCGGAACAACCAACATCCGAGTCTTCTATAGCATTCAACGATAGGAATCGAATCCCACCAAAATCACCCCCTTTCTTCACAGGAGGTCGGCAGCTCGTCGCAGCAAGGTTTAGCTTTCCCATCTTCTGGATATGAGCAATGTTTCCTGTGTAGCCTGGCGGATTCCATTCCCGGGGCTGCGTGCCTCGAGCTTGTTCCCGTCATGCCCATTGTCTCCTCGCCTTGTCAGTTTGGCAGAGCGAGATCTCCGCATCTCTTCTCCGTGGCGTGCGTTTAGTACATGCAAACGCTCGTTTGTTTTCCCCGGTTCTCTTTCGTCGAACCATGCTTCTTGCCGGCCGATCGTAATACCTTTCATCCTACCCTTCCGGACGTTCAGAACTTCCCGCGCTCTAGGCTCACAAGCCGAACCTGAAGTCGAAGATGGAATGCCCGTCCGCGCTAAGCCTTTCTCCGCTGCGGAAATCCGTACAATTTTTGGCCGTAGAAAGGTATCAGGCGCTTTGGGAAATCGCATTCTCTCCGTGCTCCACGGCCGCCGTCTTTCCGGGACTCTTGACCTCGACCTCCCCGCCGACATAACCAGCACCGTTCCCCAATCCACACTCGATGCAGGCCTAAAATGGCTCCGTACAAACTATCCCATTGACGAGGATGCTGCAATTCTTGCGCGGATTGAGAGGGAAGAACTGGAGGAAGAACAAAGACTGATTCGGCGTGCAGAAGAACTGGGCCTGTACAAACCGCAGAGCGGCTCTTTCGGTGCTGAACGTAGCGAGGAAGACGGTGTGTGGGGGAAGAGCATTCTGAAAAATATACGGCGACGTAATGAAGCACGACTTCTAGCAGAGGAAGAACAAAGGCGCAAGGAATGGCTGGAGGGTGAGCAAAGAGAGCGCGAGGCTCTGCAGCGACAGATACAGCAGAACACCTCACTACAAAAGTTTGAGGGATCCGCAGTTGTGGATGGTAAGAGAATATTTCTCTTTTCAGTGCACCTATCTATTTTCCTGCTAGACTGCTTACACATGTCGTTTCACAGCTCGTCCACGCGCAGATCCCAAGGAGCGTCCTGTCCTTGCCTGGGCACAGAAGCACTATTTGCGGGCTATGGACAACGATTACAGTAAATTGTCAGAGATGACTACAGTAAGATTCTTCCAGATCCTGCTTCCTCTTGTTGGTTCGAGTGTTCCTATTGATACCCCTATCCCTTCAGTCCCGCCGTCTTGTACCTGCTCTCATAGTGACTCTGATCACGCTCGGCCTTTGCTATATCTATGCAGAATCTTACCAACCTCCACAAAGGAGTGATCGCATGTGGCCAAATGTCTACCCGGCGGCAGCAACGGCCATAGCCATGATCGGCATAAACGTGGGAATCTGCATCCTGTGGAAATGTTGGCCTCCATCATGGAGAATGCTCAACCGATATTTCATTAGTGTCCCCGTGTATCCACATCCGCTCAGCCTAGTGGGAAGTATATTCAGTCACCAGACCTTCAAGCATCTCGCGGTAAACATGACTATGTTGTGGTTTATTGGGACTCGGCGTAAGTTTATTTTTATAGCATTACCTGGGCCTAGACCAGCCACCGCTTGCTAACAATGTACAAAAGTACATGATGAAATTGGCCGCGGAAGCTTCATAGCTGTCTACCTAGCTTGCGGCGTTGTCGGCTCCATGGCTTCTCTTACTGCGCATGTTCTGCTGGGAAAGTTGATGGTCACCTCGCTCGGTGCTAGCGGCGCTCTCACTGGTCTTATTGCCGCATGGTGCATGCTTCATGCAGAGTAAGTATCTCGTTGCAGCTATTTCGATATATTTTATTACTCTCTCCTAACAAAGAAAACAGTGACAAGCTCACCTTCTTCTTCCTCCCACCCGAGTGGCGGGATACCTTCTCTGCCCCTGGCTGGGTTGCTTTGACTGGTATCGTCACGTTGGAGGTATTGGGTCTCCTCTCCCCGTTTCCAGCGCTCAGGGTTGCCTCCCTCGACTACTATGCTCATCTGGGCGGCTATCTAACCGGAGCACTATGGGCTGTGGCATGGAAGGCTGAAAGAGCGAAGAAGCAAAAAGAGAATCGACCCTGGTTAGAAAAGGTGTTTTATAGGGAGTAAAAGGGGATGGTAATGGGAAAGGATTTAAATTAAAAAAGAAAGGAAATTTTGTTTAATCTTTTGGTAGAAGGTTGAATCTATATAGGGGGGGGTTCTCTGCCTGGTTTTATTTCATTCTGTCTCCAATTTCCTCCTTGTATTATTATTATTCTGAACGTCTGTCTCTCTTCTCATTTCCTTGAGTTAGCATAAGATAATACTAGTCTTTAACTAGAATTTTCCTCCCTGTCTTGAGAGTATATATATATACTATAATACCTGGTATACATTTACCATTCATTCATTTCTGTGAAAAGACAGTAGCTACTCTATTTCAGATTCAAATCTCCAAAAAAATCAGTTCACAAGTCCGCCCATGCGGTCTACTTCCTTGAATTAATCTTTGACGCATTCAGATACAGGAAGTTCAAACCTATGAGGTGGCAGGCATCGTTCCTTTCCTACAGAGTACAGAAGCATCGTTCTCTCTCTCCTTTTTTCATACAGAAATAGTATGGCGGGAAGGATCTATGTCTACTTGAGTCTTCTTCAGAATCTATGGATTAATTGCTGTGAAGACTGAGGATAATGCCTGAATATTAGAGCCACTTGATGTGCCGTATGTTGTCTACAGTATGCCCCCCCAAGAATATCCGACACTTTACCCACAGAGGTAGTCCAGAGAAGCCCTGCAGCAGTAAAAGCCTGAGGGACAGGCATATCCTGGATGTGTCTCAGGCATGTCTTTGGTAATGAATGGCATCTTTTCCCTTTTTGGTTGTAGTTCACCTGGGGTCATGCTCAAATGTTGAAGAGCGCCATATTCCACCTAGCCTAACCACTTTCTCTTCATTAACATTTATGTTATTTATAGTTTAAGTTTTCTCAGCAGTGATATTGCATGTTTTGGTTAGCAGACTATCCTTACAGCATATGTGGAAAAAAGAATCATGTTTTGATTGAGTTTTGTGCTTCTCAACATGAGTTCTGCTCAACAAGATGAGGCCAGACTCATATAGATACCCCCACAGGCGTATTCACGCGTCCAGAGAAATATGAACACAAAGGGCCCACCAATCTCTTCTCTTTTTCCTGTCCCCTCCTCTCGCAAGCTCTCTCCTTAGCTATCTTGTTCATTCAAGAACAGGGTATCTCTTTCTTAATCTCTTCTCCTTGCTCAGGTGCTCATACGACCCATCCTCATTTGTCTTGTTAGATCAGTATAGACCAGTTTCCTCAGAAATCTCCTAGCACGACAATTGAGGGCAAGGAGTTCACGCAACAGTCGCAAAATCCATTTAGTTTGATACCAGGGCATCCGGGGTAGTGACGCTTGCAGGATGAACGACAAACTAATTTGGCAGATGTCTGCCCCCGTCGCGTTCGGATTGAATACAAGCAAGGACAGCATTGTATCCGACTGGGACTTTTCTGAAGGAGAGCTGCCATCACTTCACAGCAGGACTCCCGGAACTATTCCAGATGGTGGGCCCTCGGGCAGGCCTAATACCGTTGCTGATATGAACGATGAATTCAGTGACCCTGAATGGGACACGCTGAACCCAGGTGATCTCACCGACATGGCCACCAGCAGTACGAACGATTCCAGAATGCAGGACGTGGACGTAGTGCATCCATGGAAAATCGTCGACTACCAGCTCTACCTTAGTAGCTCCAAAGGGGGAGAAGATGCGGAATCCAGGCGTAATCGCGTGTACCTATACGACGGAGACGACTGCTGCCCTTTGGTCTATCGTGAAATGCGGGAAGGACGAGCCTTCGATAACTTCCTGGTGAGGGGCCAGCCGAAGCTTCTTTTCGCAGTCCTACCCATCCCAGGGCCTGACGCTTCTTTCGACGGTATGTCTTATGTTCTTGGGTTCGACTGTTTTACGAGAACCTTCTTTGCACGCTTTTTCAGTTGGGTTCCAGAGCATATCGACGACCTCTGGAGTATTTGGGACGATGGATGCGATACGTATGGTCTCACGATTCTCGGTCTCGTCCAGTTGTTTAAAACGACTTTCAACAATACGGGAGGGGATGTGAGTGTTGGACTCCTCAGCTCGAGCCCTTACTGCATATCTCGCCACGCTAACGACGACCCTGGAATGGAGCTTGTTATCGCCATTTTGTACGGCCAGTGGGTGGTCGACTTCGCAGAGGTTCTTTTTCACCAGGAGCAAAGCTTGATCGATGATCTCAAAAAAGAATTTGATGATTACCTTGACAAATGCCGTGCGATTCTCGAACGGGCGTCGTACAAGGCCTGGTCTAGTATTTCCAATGGCACGCCCGCACGGCCTATCAAAGGAAAATCCCTTGTAAACCGATATACAAATGACCTGTACACGTTCAGTGAGTCTATTGATGAGGGAAGTTTGAGAGGGCACGAATGGCATGCACCGAGCATCGACATTTGCAACCAGCTCCGCGAGGATAACCGGAACCTACTTAGAGAACAAGCCGAAAAACGATTCGAAAAGCTCTTCGCCAGACCTGAATCTGACACTGTCTCCCCGGATGAGGTCTTGGAGAAAATGTTGGCAAGGACTAGGAGTGAGGACTATGAGAGGCTCCTGCCGCTTTGGGAGAATCCAGCACCTAGGACTCCTTCACCGTCTGGATATCCATTTGTTGAAGTTGAAAACGCAATTCTGGAGGATTATGTTTAAATGATGTTTAAAACACTGTTGAGAACAAGGCAAGTAGGGATTTGAGATGCCGATACTCCATTCAGTTGGGATTCAATTTTGTCAGAGTAATTACCTAGTATGTTGTTAGTCGAGAAATGTAATGTACGCTATGTCTCATCTCATAGCAATTGATTGCAGCCTGGTCGATCTAACATATATGGAAACATAAAGAAGACAACAATGGAGTAAAAGGATATATCGCATATGGATCGCATTAGATCCCAGTCTGGATGGGTTTATTAAGCTCCTGAAGGAGAAAGCATGGTCATGAGGATCCAGGGCTAGCCCTACGGTGAGGGGAGCCGTACCGCTGCGGCTGTGGCTATACGTATTATGCATACGGCCCAGTATCACGCGCACAGCCACGCGTTGCCAAGCGCCGGTGGTGAGGCCAAGCCACACCAGCGACCGATAGTTCTGGGATCTCCAGAGTCAGCCAAACAGAGTATGACCTTTATAATTGCGCTGCTGCACATCCTAGTCTCGTCTGCCGGAAGGCAGCATGGACAAACAAATTATTCATCGGCTATAGTACCAATGTCATAACAAAAATAAATCAGTTCATCCAATTTTCCCCATCATTCCCTTTCCCTCACTCCTTTGTCTCTGTTCACTACTACTGTACAGTTCGTTTCCCCGGTTAACCCCCCCCCTGACTGGCCCGCTCGTTGCCCATTATCTATCTTTTTTTTTTTTTTTTTTTGAATTGATACCCTTGTGTTCCTCTTCTTTCTGAGCTCATCAACTTTTGCTGACACAACAATGGCTGAGACCCATGCGCAATTGCAGAATGGTGCAGAGATAGGTGGGTTGGTCCATGACAGACGCGTCACAAAACTCACACGGAGGTAGCCTGACAGGTGCTAATTGAATATTACCATATAAAGATGTCTATCCGACCGAATCCGCTTCCGGACCCAACGTGGCGAATGCACAGATCGACGTTCTTTGCGGGCCACTGATTAACTTCAAATCCCTGGATGTCCAGCGTACATCGTCCGTATGGCATGGCAGCGTGTTGGTTGTGACCAAGCCAGGTCCGCATCAGCTGCAGCTGCACCTATACCAAGTTGGCCCTGTTTCATCTGCCGTCCAGTCCAGTGAAGGCCAACCGAATTCGGAGGTTGTCTTATACAATGGACTCAGGCTTTACGAAGACCCAAAAGCAGCTTTCTGGAGATTTTCTATCTCGGTTGAATTAGAGTCCTATGAAGCTCGCTGGGCATATGATATTCCAGGATTGCAGTATCTTCGCAAGTCTCCATGGCACTTTGTGGTTCCTTCCGTGAACCAGTCAATGCGCATCATGTTTCATTCCTGCAATGGCTTCTCCGTCGGTACGGACATGAATGAATGGGTCGGGCCAAATCTATGGAATGAGGTGATGCGAGTGCACAACGAGAGACCGTTCCATGTCATGATCGGTGGTGGGGACCAGATTTATAATGACGGTATCCGCGTTGATGGTCCACTAAAGGCCTGGACGGCCATTTCAAACCCCCACAAGCGGCGCACGCACGATTTTAACAATTCTCTGAGGGCTGCATGTGATGAGTACTACTTCAAAAATTATATTAGATGGTATACCGCAGAGCCATTTATGACCGCTAATGGCCGGATTCCTCAGATCAACGTCTGGGATGACCATGATATCATTGATGGTTTTGGCTCCTATACCGACCACTTCATGAAATGCGCGGTTTTCCGGGGCATAGGGGGGGTGGCATACAAATACTATTGCCTGTTCCAACACCACATCGCCCCTCCCAAGTCGACCTTCACTACGGATGCCCCCCAAACCACGCATGCGATAAATGGGACGGCCGGCGCTGATCCTCGGCAGTTAGAAGACACATTTGTTTTGGAAAATCAGGCGGAAGATCCGAGCTGGATTATCTCCAAACGGCCAGGGCCCTACGTTGAAGAGAAGGCTAGAAACTTGTACATGCGTCTCGGTAGACACATTGCATTCATCGGCCTTGACGCGCGAACGGAGCGTACTCGGCATCAAGTAAACTACCCAGATACATATGATAGTATCTTTGCTCGCCTTAATAGCGAAGTTGCCGCGGCCGACGGGGAAATTAAGCACCTCATCTTGCTTTTGGGCGTCCCGATCGCCTATCCCCGCCTTGCTTGGCTAGAAAACATCTTGACGTCCCCAGTTATTGCTCCAGTGCGTTTGCTAAACAGGCGTTTCGGAATTGCGGGCAGCCTCTTCAACCAATTCGATGGCCAAGTCGATCTTTTGGATGATCTGGATGACCACTATACTGCTCGTCAGCATAAGGCAGAGAGGAAAGAACTGATATTGCGTCTGCAGGAGTTCGCCAAGACCCATTCTATCCGAGTGACCATCTTGGGAGGAGATGTCCACCTTGCCGCGGTCGGGAGATTCTACTCTAATCTCAAGCTAGGCATTCCCAGTGAGAATGACCACAGATACATAGTCAACATCATCAGCAGTGCCATCACCAATAAGCCCCCTCCCAAAGCCGTCGCCAATCTTTTGGCTAGGAGAAATAAGATCCACCACTTGGACCATGATACCGATGAGACTCTCATGGATATCTTCGACAAGCAGCCGGGGGGCAAAGAAAAAAGTGCTCCATGGAATAAAGTGACAATGCCCTCACGGAATTTTGCTTGCATCACTGAAATCGACACGCCACCTAACATGAGTCAAAATGGCAACCCATCAACCCCCCCGGCGGCTGATGGACACTCACCACTTCATGACGGTGAGGCGGGTGCCGGTTCCACGCACAGGGCTGCAGATGGCATCAGCAGCGACAGCGGCGTAAGTGGTGGCCTGGATGTGGCTATTCGAGTTGAAGTCGACCCGCATATCTTAGAAGGGACTACCGAGGGCTATGGGTTCAGCAGTAAGTCCAATATTATCTGTTTAGACTTTATTTGGAAAAGAAAGGATGAAGCTGACATGGATACCGTTTAGTTCCACCGCTGACGGTTCCTTCCATGGCTAGCCTTCCATCACGCCCTGCTACCAGCGCTCATTGATATCCTGAAGACAATAATGTATTATTGTCTTCTGCATTTTCTTCTATTCTTTTTGCTTGTATTCTTCGGGCCCACGTGCTCTCTGGGCGCAGGGTGGAGACTTCGCGTTTCTTCCTGTCTCAAATTCATTCCGTTTTGTCCACTTCACTATACCTGTGGTGCAGCCCTGCTATCCCGTGCCTTTTTATTTTTTCCATCGTATTTTCCTGTGTATAAATGCAGTGCTCCTACCATATCTGTATTTAATGCAAAGCTTTTTTGGTTGTCATTTTTCGCCCAAGAAGGACAGGCCACGAGAATGCACGGAAGTCTAACTAGTATGGGTGAGACTTGAAATATTGCAGTATACCTACTAGGGATGTTGGGTGTGGTTGAGAATAACGCAGGCTATGGGGCATATCCGGGGGACGTGGGTACATCTATTTATTTAATTAAGCGGATCATCCCCAGGGTCGACACTCAACAGAGCCAACGCCCTCTTCCATCTCCCAAATCTATTACTCAGCTTTTAAACTGTTGGGTTTTCCTGTTGAGCTATTTCTAGAATGTCACATCCGCTTGTCTTGCCTACATTGTCTAGATTTAGACAATGGTACTGTTAATGCAGAGAGCAACGGATATTTTTGCTGTTCTGGTCCACATGCGTCTCTCCACCAGACTTATCTCCCCCTATCACACTGACCGATTCCTGCGTCGATCATACTGGTCGATCCAGGTGGGTGCAAGGGCCATTGGGAGAGGGGATAACGGCAGGCCCTGTCGGCTAATGCTACCATCTTTCTTGCTTTGATAAGGGAGCTGATGTTCGTTTCCAGATCAGTACAATATATCCATGGCCAATCTAGTTGGACATGCAGAAAGCACCCCTGTCCTTGAAAAGGAGAGATAAGACTTTCGAGCATCTCATTTCTTATTATTACTCTAATCTATGACCGGTGTCAATGATTGCAGGATACCTTTTTCCGATGTCATAAAGCGTGTCTGTATATTCATTCAGAATAGCATGACGGTCCTTGGGGTTTCATGCAAGCAGAGTCCCTGATTACCTCTATTGCCATTCGACCTATCCTTTCTTCGACCTGTTGTCATTACTACATACAGGGCCCTATATGCTGCATCGCATCCGGACTTTTTCTTCACGTTCATGATCTCCGGCAAGATGGGAATTGATGAAGGCAAGCAGCTAACCGAGTCTTCGTTTCCTAGGGGAAATAATGATGCAGAAGTTGGAGGTATTCTTGTTGAAGGTGACCACGATCTTGGTAGATTAGGTTACAAGCAGGAGCTTCGACGTAATCGCTCATTGATCACACTACTTTTTCAGACATTGGCAATCGCTGCCATTCCCTATGGCGAGGGAGGCCCTCTATCCAGCGCCATTTACGGTGGTGGCCAGCTATCTGTCTTCGTCGGTTGGATCGTTGTTCTTGTCCTGGATGAGTGCATTGCACTTTCATTGAGAGTTCGCATCCCGGTATCCAACCTCTGCCGGTCCCCATTACTGGACGTTTCAAATCTCGCGAAATGGGAAGACGGTCCTCTCGTTTATCAACGGGTGGGTTTGGCTCATTGGCAACTGGACTATTACACTCTCCGTGAATTTCGGCTTTGCTTCGCTTATATCGGCCACTGTCTCGATGTACCACCCTAACTGGAGTGCTAGCGACTGGCAACTCTTGTTGATATTTTATGCTATCTGCCTGGGTTCGCTGATCATCTGCACCTTCGCCAACCGCTACCTACCACAAGTCGATATTATCTGTGCAACATGGACGGCCCTCTCTATTGTCGTTATCCTGGTTGCACTATCAGTCAAGGCGGATGTAGGCAGGCATAGTGCGGCCTATGCACTAGGTCATTACGATAAAAGCCTTTCTGGGTGGGGTGGCTTTACTTTCTTCATCGGGCTTCTGCCGCCTGCATATTGTTTCTCTGCAATCGGCATGATCTCATCCATGGCAGAAGAATGCGAAAACCCCGCTATCAAGGTTCCCCAGGCAATCAGTCTATGTGTGCCAGTTGGGGGGTTTGCAGGCCTTTTCTTCATACTGCCGATATGCTTTACTTTGCCGCCACTTGGTGATATCCTCTCTGCCCCCAGTAGCCAGGCCATTCCTTATATTTTCCACAGGGTCATGGGAAGTCCTGGTGGTGGCCTAGGTCTCACATTCCTTGTCCTTATGATTACTCTCTTCTGTTCGATAAGCATTACCGTGGCAGCATCCCGTGCCACCTGGGCATTTGCGCGGGACCGTGCAATTCCGCTGTCGAGGATTTGGTCTCGTGTCAATGAGCACCTGGGGGTACCTGTTTGGTCCTTGGTGCTTGTGACGGTCGTCCAGATGCTTCTGGGGCTCATCAACCTGGGGAGCAGCAGTGCCTTCCAGGCTTTCGTCTCTGTGGGTGTCATCGCTTTGGCTGCGGCCTACGCTATCCCCATAACTATTAGCCTGCTTCATGGCCGTCAAGAAGTTTCCAGGGCAAGGTTTAACTGTGGGCCTCTATTTGGCTTTGTTGTTAATATAATTTCGGTATGCTGGATCTTATTTGAGCTCGTGCTCTTCAGCATGCCAAGTGCACGTCCTGTTACTGCGGTATCTATGAACTACGCTTCGGTCGTATTTGCTGGTTTTATGGCTATCTCCGGTGTGTGGTACGCTATATATGCGCGAATCTGTATGCTGTCTCCCCTTCCCTCCTTGTTCTCTTCTGTGGGGGGCAGCTTCCAATGGATGGATGCATGAGTGTTTTGTTTTGGGTTTTGCTAACTCCTCGCGCAGCATATAAGGGCCCCCCTGAATCCGATGGGCTCTGATGGGGTATTGAGTGGGCCAGTTAGGGGTAACATAGCCACGGTTGACTTTTGCAGTCGCGAGGGATACCAATTTTTCTCTATCCGGTGTCGATTTTCGCGGTCCTTTATTGTAAGCATTCTATTGGGCCTCTAATATCCATCTACTTTATTGAAACGGCATCAGACATATGGGTGTCGTCATGTTTCTGGGTACGCATAGCCAGTTTTGGTCGCTTTCCCTGACTTAAGACAAGCCAATTTAGGCGTGTATCGGTATGGATGGGCGGGGAAGTGAGTAGCGATGGGCAAGCGAGTCCTACTACTATCTTCATTCTTTTTGGTGTTGGTAAAAATAAAAACAACCAAAAATAAAAAAGCTTTGACAAGGGTGGGATTCGAACCCACGCCCCTTTCGAGATGCGGACCTTAACCGCACGCCTTGGACCGCTCGGCCACCTTGCCGTTGCGAGTATGCTCTCGCAAATGTTCTATAAATTAAGCTACCTCATATTTAATGCATTATTCCATCATGCCCACATAACTGTGCCACAGACAAAGGTGTTGGTTAATATTTCACAGTTTCCTGTATGTGATCCAACCAGCCAATGTCTAATATCAGGCTTATGTTTATTATTATTTGCCGTCGACCCTTAGTGAGAATACGCTTTGCATGACAGACCGAAGACCAGTGTGTATATAGGATATATATTATCCGGCATGTGGTTAAGCTACCTATACCACCCGCTACAGTAGTAGTAAGGTAAACAAATACAAAAAGTCACACATATAAAATAGACAAGTATTCCTCGAGCCCCTAGGAGCCTCCAGTGAACAAATAGCATAAGGGACCCATGGAAGACTGAGTATCATCGATGTCCACAGTCTGTGAGTGCTACATAATGGTTAGCCGTCCAGAGATATAGCCCACCCAGAGAGCTGGCAGCCCAGAGTCTGGATGACAGAATGCCGGCTCGAATTCTAAAGCGACTGCATGAGTTTTCCCAGGCTGAATGAACCTTTTTGGACACTCAAATTGAGACACAGGTGAATGAGAGCCTGAAATCAGCATCCCCCCCTCCCATTATAAGATAAACGTTGTTTGCATCCCAAAAGGCTTCATTGCCCCAGCTGCCCAGAGTCTACTGCCATATCCCAATCGAAGCTGCAATGTAAAACGAATGGAAGGATACCCCCACAATGGACGCGGCATTCGGAGTCCTCAGTGCATATAAATCACCGACAACATGTCCTATCATCGTGACAAACGGTATCCAAGATCCCAAGACAACCGCTAATCAACTCACAGACATAGAGAAAGTTGCGGCAATAGGAAAGAAAACCGTGGAAAGCCACTGGGCTGCACCTATACTACAGCTAAGCTGGTACGATACATACCGGAATAAAGGAGACACAACACGCAGAAGCCAAAAGGAAGACGAAAGAAAACCCTACGATATGATATCGTAACGTGTTATGACCCCCCATTAGTCGCAAGAGACACTGCTGATGCCCCTGACCCCTGGTCAGTACTGCTCGTTCGTCGAAACCGGGGTTCGCCCTCGATATCCGCAAGATGCTGTGACGCCATATTCGCAGCCGGCAGAGAGCTGTCGCTGGGTCGTCGTCTGCGAACAATCTGATATGCTTTATCCAGCTCGACTTCGATAGCACAGCGAACTTTTAGCGCACTGACTGCGGGCCACACGCCTCGTTCGCCTTTCAGGATCCAGTATGTGAGGCTTGCCTTGGTTGGGTTTTGGAAAAGTCTGCCAAAATCCTTTAGCGACAGATCTGGCACAAGTGTTAAACTGGGGCCAGGAATTGTCTCATCAATGAGAAACCGGCCCAGTTTCTGCGGAAGAAGGCCGAGGTAATCTAGCTGTCGCAGTCGATGACGGATTTCCGCAGTGACTAGACGCATGAGAGACCGTGTGAAGCTCCACTGCCCCACCTGTCTTCTGTGTAGAAAGCCCAGATCGGACTGGAGGAATGGACTGAGGAAAGGCCTGGCTTGTGAGACAATGAAATGGTTCACATTAAAGAGCTCCGCAATACGTGACAACGGGGATTCTCCATCGTCGTACTGGGCGTGACGGTAGGACTGGAAAGTAGCATCTCGCGAATGGGGCCACGGAACAATTGAGCCAGTCTCGTCCTTGCAATATATCGTAACGGGAGAATATAGTTTTGTTGAAGATGCGTTGGAAGCAACGGCAGCTGACCATATCAACTACGGCAGCAGCGAACCATTAGAACATCAATATATGAAGCCGAAATGAAAAATTTTTTTCCCAAGGAGATCTTGGTCACATACAACATTTGGTGCTGTCAAATAGTTGAGCAAAGTCGGCGTACCATGCGCACCCGATACTGCAACAGTGATGTTCAAGATGCGCTTCGACCTTGCGTACGCCTCTTCAAAGGTCAAATCACCAACGTTGGCTCTCACGCACTCTTCGAGAACCCCAACATCGAGGAAGTACCCTTTGCGGATATATCTTTTTAGTCGTCTGAGTAAGGTCTCAAGCAAACCGTTACCCGTGCCACCTGGTAGACGCTGAACGCCGTCCTTTAGTGTCTTGACTTTGCGCCGTCGATCAAATGAAGACAAGTCGATGCCATCGCCATCGAGAAATGTCATGAGCTCGTCTTCAGTATGGACCCCAACGAGTGCGGCGATGAGAGCACCAGTAGCCGTGCCGGTGATAATTCGAGGTAGTAGGCCCTGAAGATGCAGCGCCTTTACGACGCCAATATGACATAATCCAAAGATCGATCCGCCCTGGAGGAGCAACGTGGTTCTCCCGAAGGCCTGGCGGGTGTCGTGAAGCAGCTCTAATTTCGCCTGGGACGTGAACCCACTTCCGTGGATGGATACAGTCTGTAGAAGAGTCACGTATTGAATAGAGAGCGCGACCTGCGTGATATAATCGTCAATAAGGAGCTTAGTACCCGCATGCGCATGAGTGAAGAGCCTGGAAGAAGTAATATTGCCTAGATTACGAACAAGGCCCGACCGAAGCAGGTTGACCAGCATCAGAATATCACCTTCCTCTCGCGCACTCATCAGAGCCTCCAGTCGCCCAAGAATCAGTCTATAGTCGTAGTGTCGACTGACCGGATTCTGACGCCTGCATGCATAGGTCAGGAATATGCCATGCATAGATACAACCGCACAAAAACTCAAGTACACCTATCCCAGACATGATAAGGTCTTTCTAGGACTCACCATAAGTCAGCACTGAGATGCTCGTCGAGTTCGAATGCAGCCTCCTTCCATTCCTCAAAAGTCGTTGCCGTAGCCATAGAATGCCGAAGTCGAACTCGCGGAGACTTCGATCTCAACCATGACAGTAGCCTCTGCAACAAGACCAGACTCATCAGTTCCCAGAACAATAAGGGAGTATCGAGATGTTCCAAGGAGGCTGCGGCATCGCTCACCTCTTTCCAAAAGAGCGCAACATCGAGCACCATGCTCGCAACTGCGATGAATATGCCATAGAGGCTTATCCAGTACCCCATTCTGCAGAAGGAGAACCAGAAACACTACATTTGTCAAGCTCAGAGATATGGAATGCGTCATGTGACAAAAACTGTTTCACATGCCAAGTAAGTATTGCTGGAAATCAAGGTCCTGCAGAGTGTGGGACAAGAACAGTGAACACAGACAACACTGGATCTTCACGTGCGAAATGGAGAAAAGAACGGTCAATAGGACTTGGGGATTGATCTGAGCAATCATACGCTCGGAGTTGGAGTTGGTTGGTTAAAAGACCAGCCAAGAGAAGACAGGGAAGAACGAGGAGGCCCAGCAATATTCAGCCGAAAGCTAGTTTTGGATGTGTTCACCAGATCGTCAACTTGTTCTATCCCAACAGTTTCATGCTTCATGGTTCCTCATTGAAACACCGTGCTTGAAGCCCATTAAGGTTGGACCCAACCCTCCCAACACTTGGCAGGCTGGAATTTCACACGGATAGTCTCTTGGTTATCACAGATATGTGGAATGAGGACTTGAGGAGGGTCCTGCGCTGCGATCTATTCTCTTTTGCGACTGAACCGTATCAACATGTGGTTACTAGCCAGGAGATAGCTAAACTGCGGAGGAAGTGGGTTCATTTACAAACTACTTCCATAATAAACGAGGGGATCGTTCATTTCTTTTTTCTTTAGTTCTGGGGAAGGTACTCGTTCTCGATAGACCACTGTGCAATAGCCAAGCCTCAGAATTGCTCTAGATGAAGGTCTTAAAGTCTTAAAAAAGAACTTTTTCCATGCGTAAGAAGGAAAAATGAAACCAATCCATAGAAGGCGAACATTTCTACACGCCACGCTTTCCAGCTAATACAAGCCATTTCCCGTGGACACGTTAAGAGATTTTGGAACCCATAGTCTTTTTTCATTATTCTGCTTCACTTTCCCAAGGCAAGTAGGCGAAAGAAATCCCCCAGACAACCTGCTAACACCCCTAAGTTGGACGGACAAGTTTACTCCTCAACAATGTTACCCCTCTCCGAAACGTACAGACCATCAAGGAACTAGATAAGAGACAATTACAGTCAACTAACAGGCACACGAAACTGATCTTAAAGAGGGATAGTATCTTACCTTTCGGATATCCTTGTTCCGGACCCTGCAGATCTGTTGAATGTCGGCAGCGCTCTGAGAGACACCCTCCAGAGAGTTGCCAGAGAGCTGGAGCTCGTCCTTGACGTTGGGGGAAGTGATGACCTCAACACCAGGCTGGGCAGTCACACGGCGAACGTACTTTTCACCGAGGAAGTTTCTGAATTGAAAGACCCGATCAGCATCATCCAGAAGCCTGACAAAAAATCGAACCAGAGCCCATCATTCTGCCCAGAACCGTATATCACAAGCTCTTGATTATTTTATATATTTTTTTTTCACCAGGGAACCGTTCAAGCTGGATATCTAGCATACCTGATCTCGATTTCATAAAGGCCAGTCTCGCTGTTCTTCTCAATGTTGACGCTGATGGGAAAGTGAGCATAGACGTAGCGCATCTTGTACTTGAAGCCGCGGGTGACACCAATGATCAGGTTGTTAATGATGGTGCGGATGGTGCGGAGGGTAGCGATACCCTTGCGGTGACCGTGGTGCAGCTCAATCGAGATGACATCCTTCTTGGGGCGGCCGAAAGTGACAGCGATATGAGAGAGATCCTTGACGAGCTTGCCTGTAAACCGAAAGCCAGTTGATCAGTTTTCTGTCAATTGTATATATGAATGACATCTAGTCGTGCAGTTCGTCGGCCAGGGCGATCCTTGTGGCGAAATTTCAGGGCTTCAGTTCTTTGAAAAGGATTGCGTACCTCGGGGTCCCTCAACGGTCACCACGCGCGACTTAATGTGAACCTTCACTAAACGTAGAGAAATAAATCCGAATCAGCTTGTCAGTTCTCAATTCCAGAATGAAAGCCACAGTTCCAGTTGTCCCGTGTTTCCAATCCTGACACTCCTAAGCGAAAGGAGTGTCACGATTTCGGTCCATCCCAGCAGCTTCTGTCTTTTCTTCCCTTGCTTCCTTTCCTCTTTCTGCAGGACAACATCGGGCTGGCTAAACGAAGAACTGTCGAATGCTCACCATTGTCGGGAATAGGCAGCGTCTCCTCGGAGTGAATGTACCGCATCTTGACTGCGTGGGCTGTGGAATGTCCGAGGGAATGACTGTCGTTGTCGTCGTGGGCGGTCGGTCGTCAAAAGAGATCGAAAGTCGACGGCTTCGGTGGAGCGAAATTCCAGGTTGTGCGTCGCTTAGTTGACAAATACGGTTTAGCGTATTATGCGGCCTAGGGTTGCCCCAACTCAGTATAGCGCGGATACTCTCCTTACATTATATACATTGATGATTGCACTCATAGTAGTGGTGTGCATCTTTTCTTAAATAATTTATTGTCTTTTTGTCAACTGGTCGCTTAGCTTTCATTCTGGATTCATTCTCATCAAGAGAATACTGGACCTGCTTGTAGCATTTACCCAACCATGTACTACTAGTAGATCGCCCACCCGAACCGCCTATAACGCCTTGCTATGCCTTCCAGAGGAGCGGAAATCGTCAGAAAATTAGTACTAGTTTTCCTTACCGTTCACCTCCATTATCCAACTACCACCGAGCCTTTTCAGCGTGGATGCCAATTCATCATTCTCATCTAGAGCGGCCATATCATCTCCGCCTCCAATGCTCTTCCCATTGACTAAGACGTTTGGGACTGTATGACGACCGGTTCTTTCTCCTAGCAATTCTTGTAGTTCGGGGCCGATCGGATGTTGATTCAGTTCGACGACATACGGCGCAGGGTTAATAGAGTATTTGTCGAGGAGGATGGACTTCGCTCTGGCGCTATAAGGGCAATACGATTTTGAGAAGATGATGACTACAACGTTACATGTAGGATTAGCAGAGCGCATAAACGAGAGATGGGTCAGGTACTATTGTCGACATACCTGGTGATCGCTTCAGAATACTATCCAATTCAGCCTTCGCGCTGCTGGCTTCGTCCTTCGCCTCTGTCTCTTTCTCCTGTCCTTCTGGAGCAACTGATACTTCCTCCACGTCGTCGTCATTCTTTGACGGGGTGTTGTTCTCCCTTGTATTTGGCATCCACACCTGCTCATCTACCGGCACTCTGTTCGGTTGCAATTTTTGAAACAGTCTATCATCATCCTTGGCCGAGTGTTTGGCTGCTTCCCGGGATTCCATCGCCTCCACCGTAGTACGGTAGAATCTTTGGTTTCGGATACTTCGTATATCATTCTGTAATAGTTTTCACCGCTCACATATCTTAAACGTTAGACGTTGTTTCGTTTCATGCATCTACTTTCCGGAAGGATGGGCGAGGAAAGGAGGATTTACCTGACAGTATAAGATCAGGAGAATTGCTGTCGAAACGGCAATGAACATCTTAATACGCCGTTGGGGATGCATCTTTGGCTATCTTTTCAATGTCTTTCTGGATTATTTAGATCCCCGTTTCAATGGAATGGGTTTCATAAGCTGAAAGTCAAGAGATTCAGGACCTAGTGTTAGATGGCAAGGAGACCAAAGCTGCTAGCAAGCAACTGCTGCGGCTTATCTAGGTAAGCTCGTGTACCAGGGGTAGGAAACTTGGCGGAAAGCTTAATGCAAAGAACTGCATAACTCGGATCATTTATTATTATCTAACACTTGGGAAGAAGCCTAGTAACTAACTAGTTATTAATTATTACTGAATGCTTAACGAATTGACAGGTCTTCATGAACAAGGAGCGCCTGCAACTGGCGGTCGGGAACCCCCTTGCTAATCGGATCTGCTGGACTGTGTTCTAAATATGGCCATCCTCTGCATTGTTTTACATCGAGAACCACCTTGCCTTGAATTGCATTGCCATTAGATTATCAATAATAACCATTACTATTTAACACTAAACACGGCTATGGTTGGGTATTAAGCAGGATAAGAAAGAGATCTCTAGCAACGAAAAGGAAGGATTCAGCCCTGACAAAGCGACACATCAACATGAGCAATGTGGTATGAATAGGAACTCAAACAAAGCCACCGAAGACCACATGACCTGCAGCGGCTTCAGGAAGGGCGGGGTAAGGAGCTGACTTGTAGTAGTTAGTAGTCATTAGGGCTGGAGAAAAGAGAGAAACAGAAATAGAAAAGAGAGAAACAGAAATGGAAAAAGGAAAGAGAAAGAAAAGAGAAAAGCCGGGGTAACCAAGTTCACCCTCCAAGTCGACCTTTAATGCGTATATATAACCATTTCCGAAGTAACCAGTGCGCTTCATTAGGGCCGTGGTGGTATCAAGAGGATTGAAGCATGATACCTGATCGTGCTGCGTGATTGACTGTCGCCCTACGTTTTCCTTGGACTAACTTCATCCAGTCTTCCCATTCCTTTGCAATCTCCGTCAGGACACCACTCATCACGGGGGCTGATGCCATCAGCCCATGGCCTTCCCCCTCGAGAATTCGGACTTCGCATCGCCTCATCGTCTTGCCCAGCCAGCGGACATTATCGACAGGAACACGAGTATCTCGACTTCCATGGTGGACAATAATAGGTCGAGTAATATCGGCGTACCGGAATCCAATTTCTTGGCGGCGTTCCAAGCAAACGAGGAGATCGACTGCTGGGTTCGCGTTCGTGGTTGCCAGCTGCCAAATCTTGTAAGTAAGCCTGGTATCATAGTCTATCTGGCGCTCACGGGCCTCAGGTGCCTCAGAAGTAGCGAGTGGAGTTTCCCGCTTCGTATTTCCAGTATTGGTGGTTGAGCCATCGGATGTGGTTGGAGTCTTGGTTGTTCGAGATGTCTTGGGGGCAGTCTCTTCGTCTCGTACTTCGGATTTAACACTTTGGGTGTTGCTTGACTTAGCCCCTGCATGAGTAGACGAATCCTTCCCGGAGGGTTTTCGTCTACTTCTGCGGGAGGATTTCGGTAGATTTGCAGTGATGCTAGCGCTCGTAGCAGTCAAAAAGCTGGCGTTGGCAACTTTCAGGACGGATGGGGGTAAAGCACGGAGGATCCTTTGCGAGTATGGGACAGCATTGCTGGGCACAGGTACCTTTTGGGCACAAATGCTAGATAGTTGAGAAGGAGGTATCCAAGGTGCCAAAAGGTGAATACGACCGCGAATGTGTTGTGGAATTCTCAAAGCTGTCGCCAACGCATATATCGCCCCAGCAGAGTGCGCAAGGATAGAAAACTTGGTGACCTTAAGGTGATTGCAAACAATTGCAACATCGTCTCCTCAATGTTAGCGATCTTTACAGCGTCCACACTGCCGGAAGGAGCTTACCGGGCCATGAAAGAGGTGTACCCAATTCATCGAGGTAAGGACCGCTCTCTCCAATTCCAGGGCGGTCCAAAGTGACCAGTCGGAGATGCAGAGTTCGCGCCAACTCATCGTAAAAAGCCATCAGATACCTCGTAACGCCCATTCCAAGACAGCAAAGCACCACGTGACCTTTAGGGTCTCCAACCTCAGAGAATGCTATTGTACGACCGGTAGTGGGATGGGTCACTTTCTGGGTAAATTTCGAGGAAGTTAAATGCGCCAGAACTGCTTCATCAATAGAATCGGCACTCGATGGCCGTCCCTCCCCCAAAGAGGCGCGGCTTGAGGGCACTGGATTGGACGGAAGCCGTCTATGGTGTTTTGTATTCAGAGAATTGGAACGCTCCAGGGAATATCTGGAACTTTTCTTTTCGGGAGGGGATTGGCTCATCGATGAGCGAGAGTCATGAGGTACGTTATGGGTTCTACTTCTCCCCGTCATAACAGCAGGCGACGGGGCACTCTCCTCGGAAATTGCCGTGTCACCGTTCGCTCCATCTGCAACGTTCTCCAACAAGGGTTCCCAGTCAATAATTTCACTTCGAGTTTGAGAGTTCCTAGCTTGCCTGCTAGGTACTGTCCTTGTTGATCCGGGAGAACTAGGACCCACTTCGTTCTCGCTCCTAATCCTTTGTTGTTGCTCTTTTAGTTCCTGTATCCTTCGCGTAATCTTCTCTGCTTCGCTGCCATCGTCAAAAATGTTTTTCGCAGTTTCCAATTCATTGCTGCCCATGGAAGAGTAACGACTGTGGCGACTTGATCTGGGCTTCCTCGAATTGGAAAAACTATGCCGCAAAGACGAATCCCGAGTGGGAATGACCCTGCCAGCTGTGATACTCACTGGCGTGTTGCTTCGACCCTCCGGTGCGAGTGCTGACAGAGACTGTGGTTCCGAGTTTGATGGCATGCTCGCTGTATTCCCCTTAGGCAGCCCCACCGCAGAACTGTTGGACCGGCCTTCCTCTGCGAGGTCGGCCATAGAACGCATAGAACGTAGACTGGCCCCGTTGCGAGGGGAGTTATACCTCAGGCTGTCATTGTAGCTGTTTCTTTTCTTCAAACGGTCAGCCAGTCTCTGTTTATCATGAGCAAATTCACGCGATGTTTTCTTCAACAACCCTAGTGGGCTTTTGAGGCTACTCCTTTTCCCGCCAGAACTTGATGAAGCGATGCTGGCAGCGGTTGAAAGACGTGGTCCAGGTTCTGCGCTGATCATCCCAAATGTCGAGTCTCCATCACCGGCTATCTGCGAAGACGCATACGATGCCCTCGAAGCCGGCCTTCCTGTGGAAAGCTCTGAATGAAAGCAATGTTTTGACTTGGGCGACTTGGGAGACATTGGAGCCCTGGCCATACGGACGACGGGTGCGATGGCGGCATCGTCCGGATGAAGGAAGGGACCTTCCGTTGGCTCATTGAGGTGCTTGTAAGTCTGGTGTGCCGCTCGAAGGCCATGCTCTTTTGACGAAAAATAATCTGACGAACCGTTGCATAAATGGTCAATGGAATTCCGAGTCGTCGCATAACCAGGAGAGGAAAGAACTGTATGGGATCTGCCGGACAGAACGCCATCAAAATGGTCTTGGACAGGTACTGCTATGGAAGAAAGTGAGGAGATCAAAGAGTTAATTACTTCAGGGGATGCTGGATCGATGGAGAAGAGATCTTCAGATCTCGTTGACTGTGTTGGAAAAGACTTGTGCCGTCGCGTGAAGAGAGAGGACTGCGAGGCGTCCTGCGCGTCGGATATAGAAGGACCCCGAGTTGCATCCATAGCGACCCGTTTGTACGTTATTGACGCTGAAGCGAATCAAGGGTGCTCAAACCGACTCAAAAAAGAGCTCCACGGATCAGTCCTAGCAGAGGCTGCATCGTCTTTTGGTGAACGATTCTATTCTGTATTCCGTAGGGCAGAGGTCGGGGATGTCGCGTAATGATGGATTGGCCTGCCAGAGACTTGAGATTGATGACTGTCAGATTCTTCTCCCTAGAGAATAGAGAATAATGATGACGATAATAAAAATGCAAGAATAATAATACCTGGGGAGCAAGCGACAAGTCGCTCAGGAGTAGTAGTCAAGGGGAGATGTCAAGGCGAAAGCTGCAGAAGATGGCAATGAAGAAAGAGAACAAATAGAAAGAAGGGAAAAGAAAGACATAAGATGATAGAACTATGTTTATTACTATTACCGATTGATCAATTGATTAAGGGCGCGCAGGTCAGTGCAAAATTATTTCTTGATAGTAGGGAGAGGGTGGATTGCAAGTTAACCTGGAATGATATGCAGATGGTATCCGCTGTAGAACCTATTATTATCATCCCCAGAGCTACAGAAGAGAAATAAAATAAATAATAAATAATATAATAACAATATATCGTGTTGTAAATTCCACATACAATCTATCAGTCTGTGACAGGGCATGTAAGAGTGGTTTCTATCAAGTTGTCCATGATGATACTTCCAGATCTCAGGGGTTGTCAAGGATGATGTTAATTAGTTACTCCGTATGTTTGATTATTCAGGAGGAAAAAAAGCTGCAACTCCATTGACAAAATAACCTTGTTTGAGGGCCAATCCATCCTGACGGTAAGAGTTAAAGGCCACCATAAAATTGTCTGCTGAAACATCTGCATATTCCCATAATAATAAGAGAGAAAGAGTCTGATATTGGGATGCTCTCTTAAATATTTTCAAGATTTCACCTGCAGATATGCCGCGCCTAGGTACATCCATGATCCATCGACCGTTGATCCCTGCGTCCTTGCATGGGTTTGGTTCATGTTCCGATCTGACCGTACGGAACCGTTCTGTAATTGCTATATACCCCGTACGCTGTAATTACGGAGTACCTAGTACGGATGACAGACTCCGCGGAAGGCATTATTCTGCTTTGCCAAACATCTGATATTTGTGCCAGCCACTGTTACCAAACCGCTCTGCCAGTCCATCTTGGCTGCCTGGGTGTACTGCGAGATAACCGTTCTCTCGGAACCAGGGAGCCCCTTTATGTGTGATTCCTACTTCGCTTTACGACGTTTAGAGATGCGGTGACTTAACGCTCCACGGAACAGCTGGCGTTGTCCGTCATGGACGATTATCCCGACGACTACGTTGTCCACAATCTGCCCCTTGTCCTACTCTCTGGCCTGGGAGCGGAATCCAAGGATGAGCCGGGCTTACCTGCTCACTGTGCTGAATACCCATTTTTCTACGAGAAGGGCGTTCAGCTGCAATCAGACCTTCCACCATTGACGGGAGATGTTGCAGAAGAATTGCGGAAATTGTTATTAGAGAAGGATGCATCCCAGGATCCTTGGAACTCCGGGAATGATGCGCATGGAAGACCAGCTGGTGTCGGGTTCAAAATCAAAAGCGTTGGACGGGTAGGTCAGCAGTAACATCAAGGACTGCTTGCTCTCTTTCAGCTCCGAAACTGCATGATATCCTGAACGGAGACATCCACTTCTCCAATTTTTGTGAACTCCTCTTGGGCATTCTGTCTATTAATTTTCTATCGTACTTGGTAATCTGTGTATGCTAATCCCTACATAGTCATACAGACTTCCTCCTCGAAAAGCAGACCCGCCGCCTTCATTCCCAACTGGCCCATCAGTCGACGATGCGCTTCCTCCAGGATCCTCCTATGTTCTACACTCGCCAATCTCACCTCTCACACCAAAATCCCCGACTTTTCCAGACGGCTTACTCACTCCATTGTGGGTTACAAAGCACCAGAACCTGGTCCCCGCCGCCGTTATCAACTTCTTCCCCTTTACATTAGATCGTAAAATGAGTTCCCTTGGTGACAATCAACTCAAAATAGAAATTAATGGTCTCAAAAGAGCATGGTCATCTTCCGGATACAAGACTCGCTTTCTGATCGTTCTCTTATCTGAAAACGGAGAGAGTCCCTACCTGGGGGACACCGATGATCGCATAGCCAGCATTCGGAGAGTGACAAACTTAGACCAGAGATCGATATTCCTTCTTCCTTCAGACGTAACTTCGGTGGAATTAAAAGAATTTACGAACTCGATTCTGTCCATGCTACAGCCCTCTGTTGTTGAATATTATCGGGATTTATCCAAGCACGCGAGACGGAAGAGAAACAGAAGCACCATTCCTCCGCCTACAGCACCTCCAACTACTGGAACATCTCGAACGCTATTACTACATGACTGGAATGTGCGTTATGAATACAAACTTGGCATATTTGCCGAATTTCGCCAAGAGATGGATGCAGCTTGCAGGAACTATGAAAGTGCATACGAAACCTTGTTTGGGCAGGAAGTTTTTGAGAATATTGCAGGCTGGAGTCCAAGATTTAATGATGCGCGCCTTTTAGCTGATACCCTTGCTATACGCATAATCCGTTGCCTGCTCTGGACTGGACAGACTACTGCTGCAGTGCGTATATGGACCGGCCATAGAACTCGCTGCCAAGGTATCGTTAACCGGCGGGGTAAGGGAACAAACAATTACGGTTGGGAGGCATGGGAATCACGATGGTCCATGGTTATGTCCCAACTTTTACGCCGTGCTGAGATACCTATCCTATCCCATTCCATATTTGTGCCACCCGAAAAAACGCTTCCTTCAGGGGATATAACCTATCCGTGGGAGCAACTTCACCATGAGGGGTATTGGTTGTATCGCTCAGCGAAGCATACTATGCTCAGACGTGAGCTAGCTCAGCAGATTCCGGAAGAAGATCGAGCACTGCTTGGACAATATTCAACCTCCCAGATTGCAAGCCGATCCTACTTGTATGATACGTATCTTGCTCCTGAGGTGCACATTGAAGCTCCTCTGCCGGGGAAAAGCAGCTTTGATCATTCTCGGTTAATTCTAAGTACATTGCATGCCGCATTAGAGGAATTTTCGAAGCATTACCAAACCCGGAAGGTAGAGAGCTTGAGCCTGGAAATAGCGGAGGAATATATGCGAATCGGCTCATGGACCGAAGCGTATGAAATACTGCGGCCATTGTGGCCGACTCTTAGTTGGCGGCATTCTGGCTGGTGGCAGCTGATGGAGAAATTCGGGTGGGCCTTGAGAGAATGCGCTCTGCGAGTGCATGATAGTGAAACAGTTATACGGATTGATTGGGAACTATTCAACAAGGGTAAGTCCTCGCTCAAAATGACATTATGACCTTTAATTCCTAACATCTTTCATTGTGCAGTCTTCCAAAGGCGAAGTGGTTGGAACTATGATCTGCACAAGAGTCTTGAGAGCCTTCCATTGGAGAAGCCCAAGCCCTCTATAGTGCTTAGAGCGGAAGATGTTGTAACATGTCGTGAGTCTTCTCTCAATACTCCCCTGGCATCATCACACTGAGTTTATTCGTTGTTAGTGATGGGTTCGGTGGTTTTCGAAAAGTCCGGGGGAAATGTTGGCGAACCTCTACGGTTACAACTCGCCATTTCCTCGTTTGCCCAGGCATCCTCGAATCCCATAGAACTATCCGAGGTTAAGATAGTTTTCGAAGGATGCCTTAGCCCAGTGAAGCTTCTCTTTGGCGAAAACGCTGCAGCCGATACAGCAACCCCTTGCAGCATATCCTCGCTTTCACTTCACGAACCCAGCTCTTCAGCAGATCCGTCGTCGCTTCAATCGCCTACTAGTGGGCTATCCCCACTGGTCGGGATTACAGACCTGACAATCGGACCTTCGCAAACCAAAGTGATAAATCTGACATGCATTCCTCGAGAAGCCGGTGAAGCTAGGGTTGCCTCGATCACGATGATGCTAGAAGAAGAAAAGTTCGATTTATTTTTTGCCATAACAAACCAAATACCCCCTCAGTCATTTTGGTGGCAACAAACTGAGCGGGGAGCATCCCGAAAAAGGATAGGTAAGGGCCGGGATACCACGAAATGCAAGATTTTGCCTAAGCCGCCGAAGATCCGTATATCAACACCGAATCTTAGAGAGCACTACTATACCAACGAGCGAGTAATACTTGACATCGGTATTCATAATGATGAAAATGAGCCCGCTGATATCTCAGCAGAAATAAGACTATTTGGCCATCCGGATGCGGGGGCAAAGATCCTTTGGCTTGACAAGGAAGGAAATCATGGAATGCATGATGCGGCAGATAGTTCCATTGTCGAGGAAACTTCTCATTTCCTACGACGGCCAGTCGGGGTTCTGGACCGCGCCTCAGAGAAAACACTGACAGCAATTCTGACAAACACCGTTGATGCCTCAGACTACGAGCTTGAGATAACTGCATCATATCATCTGATATCCGATATCCAAACGCCAATAATAAAGACTGTTACTGTGGACCTATCGTTTATAAGGCCCTTCGAAGCAAACTATGACTTCCTCGCTCGCTCTCATCCACAACCATGGCCGGATTTCTTTCACGTCGATGAAGGACTACTCACCTGTGTCTCTGAGCCGAAGCCTGGGGGACTCTGGCAGAGATGGTGTCTGAACTCGAAGGTGGTCTCTTTTGCCTTGGAGCCCCTTACAATTGAGGAGATGTCTCTTGTTCTCCTTGAACTTCGGGGGGGCGCAGTCTGCAACATAAAGCAAGAGGGTGCCTTTATTCCTCAGGAGATCTCCCCAGAGGGGCTTCTCGAATCAAATTTCATCATTGATGTTCAGAAGCTAAATTTGGGGGACCGGCAACCAACAACGTTAGATCTCGCACTAGACATCAGGTGGCGCCGGAGAGCCGATAGTGATCCCGGCACAACATTTACTCTCGCTATTCCTCGTTTTCTTGTACCGATGGGTGAGCCTCGTGTTCTTGCCTCGGCTGCTAACTCTCAAGTCCTACCTGGGCTGATTCACCTCGACTACACGCTAGAGAACCCGTCAATGCACTTCCTCACATTTAATCTTACTATGGAAGCAAGCGAGCAGTTTGCGTTTAGTGGTCCTAAGACCACTGTTATTCAACTGGTGCCTCTGAGCAGACATACTGTTCGCTATAACCTTTTAGCCTCGCAGCGAGGCTTATGGATCCATCCGCAGCTTGTTGTGGTAGATACTTTCTTCAACAAGACTCTCCGAGTTCATCCCACCGAGGAAATGCGGTCGAACAGGAAAGGAATTCTAGTATGGGTTGATGCTGATTAGATACCCGTAACTTCACATCTATTCTCTCTATCCTTTGAAGCATGACTATCGATTTTAAACTATGATGAATGGTGGTTGGAAACTGCTGAGTTCAATTAGCGTCGTGCATTGAATATACAGATCCATTGTGTTTGGGTATCTTATGCCGTTTCTTGCCTCGGAAGTAATTTATATACCATGCGCATTACCTAAACAATAGTAAAGGATAACTTAGAATTGATATATCAAAGGCAGACAATGGCAGCGAACGTTTACAGCATAAACCACTGCCAGGCCCGTAGGGTTAGTATCAGTCACGTGTACATTACTTATCGCCCAACGTCCGAGAATGGGTTAGCGGCGGGCGATCGCCGTTCGCATTCCGTCAGGCGGAGAGAAGAGGTCGATGAGACCAGGTTCTTGTCTTGGCTCTTCGTTCATCTCAACATTTCTCGACAGCCTGAAGGGACCTTTGACATCCTGCCTGGGAAATTAAATAGCGGACTTATGTTTTATTTTTTATCGTATTGTCTTGAAAATCATCTCAATTGTTCCACCCTTTTCCCACGGACTTGCGCTATCGACAGTTAACCTCCCACTACCTGCACTGCACTACTCTGAGCTCGACTGGCTTATGTTTTCTTCATAGCCATGGCGGCGCAGGCAGCTCTGATTGCAGATACAATTATTGGAATGAAGAGGGCCTTGTCAAGAGAGAATGATTGTGCGTTGGCCAATTTCTTTTCATCTCTCGTCTGTTTCTGTTCTCTGACCCCCGGCTAGATTCTGGTCCAGATGAACCCGTCACGCAGCCCACAAACCGAGGAAATAAATTGCGGACAAATGCGAGCCACGTTCGTGAAGGTGCGCTAGGGTATATTAATTCAGAAGGGCTTTATAAGCAGGTAGGCTGTCCCCACATTCCTCTGTCCTTCCCTTCTCTCCCCGAGTTTATCGATGCCTGTTGTATTTCTTTAACCAAAGTAGAGCCCCGGACTAAACTAACTTTTGCCGTTGGATGTTGACAGAAAATTGAACATGCTGGCTATACACGTTATATCCTTCAGCGTAATCCCGTGCGCTACGATTCAGAAGGCGATGAACTCGACGAGGATGACGAAGATACTGAAGCAGATGCAGTAGCAGCGGAGGACAATCCATTCTCCGAGGTTGCCCTTGAAAGTTGGTTTTTACATACTATTCTCCGTTAATCAAGCTCATCTGAAAGAGACTGACCTTTGCTACTCTTCCGCGCCAGATCTCCTGTGCCCTCTCAAGCATCCCTCAGAGCTCCCGATCCATCCTTCAATGTCACACCCGTATACGTCCAAAGCACTCAAAGAGATGATGCGTGCCATAGAGGCCAAGCTTCATCAAGAAAGAGCCCTTCTATGGCGTGCGAGGAACCTCCATAGACGTTTTCTAGGCGATAGTTGTTATATGCCCTGTGGACTTGTTGAGACACCTGAAGATCGATGGAATTTTGCGCCCCTGGTGGACCCTGGACAGAATTCCCAGAATATTCGAGACGAACGGAATGATATGGGAGCATCGGTTCTGACTAATGTATCCGGGGAGCAAGGAAACGGGGCTCATGGTCCACTCTCAGATACAGGCTCCCCCAAACAGTCACATGGAGTACAAGAAGAAGCCGGCCGTGTGCCCCAAACGGACAGGATCGATGCCGAGATGACAAATGCTGTTGCAAACGGCAATGAAGATATGAAAAGTAACGAAACCGAGGAACACAAAGGAAAGCTGAAGTCTGAAGAAGTCGATGCAGCTGTCGCAGACCTTCCACATCATGCAGAAGCTAAGGATTCTAGTTCCGAAACGCCTTCGAACGATGGCGATAACCCAGCAAAAACTTCCGCCGACAAGGCTCGGTCAGACGAACAACTCGTTAGCAGTGGTAACGAGAAGCATGATGCTAATAACGTGGGGGGTGCCAACATGGAAGCCGCCAAGCCACATGAAGAGGAGACAGACGGAGGCGTAGAAATGACGGATGAGATTTCTCCAGAGCCCCTCCGAAGGATGACTACCCGTGCGCAAACAAATGCTGCCAACCCGCTTCGAGGAAACGAACCTGCCAACGATTCACCATCACCATCTACTGAGACTGTCAGTACAATTCCCACGCCACACCCCCTGTTCCTCGTTTCTGATACAATCCTTCCTGACCCCAACTTTGGTCTACCACCAAACGAGGCTGAAGACACTCGACGACTACTGTGGTCTTATATTCAGAAGCAGGAAGAGACGGTGCGAGGGTTTGAACATATGCTGGAATGTTTACTTCGGGCCTGTCGGATGAAGGGCGAGGTATGGGAGTGGTGCAAGGCTGAGGGGCACGTCGGCGAGATGAGCGATGGCGAGGACTGGTATGATCCTGAGAGATGGGGCCTTGCCCCCGGCGAGGAACTCAAGAAAGGTGCAGACGAGGATGAGATCGAGGCTGTCGACGAAGGCAGGTCATCTGGAAAACGTGGAAGAAGGAGGCAATAATCAGCAAACTTATATCCCTTCGTTCCTCTGGTCAGTCCATTCGGCATGTTTGCGTACATCCGCCTTGGTGTCGAACTTTTCAAAGGGCCCTCCTTAGACGTGCGGCGTTCGTTCATAGCGTGGAGTTCGTGGAGTTCGTGGAGATTGTTGACATTTGTGCATGTCCACTTTAAATCGGTTTTTGGTTTTACTCTTCCTATCAACTTGGATTTATTAGTGCAATAAATCCGTGTCTACTTGGTTCAACTGGTGGCATCACATTGTCCTGCAATAGAGGTCTTTGGCACTCTTTGTTTCGCCCTTAACATATTCGTATAATGCGGAAATCTGCGCAATAATCTAATCTGAAGCCTGTATTTTGATTAAAAATGGAATCTCTCTATGCGGTTATTGGTCACCAGAAAATTTTGTTGAGTTATTAATATAGACGAGAAATGAAAGATGCTGTATACTTTTTTCATAATTAGGCTCCTGCGAGATTGCATGTCTGTTTCGAAACAGGTTGTTCGAAAGTAATGCAGCCAGGGCAGGAGTTTGATGCCATGATGCTATACCTACTCTGGTTATGATTCCGTTGTTTTATAAGTAGCTATCCCTGAGGGAGTCCTTGTTCTCCCTATGCGATTCCCTTGATCGTTGAAGATTCCTTTTCTCATGTATCCTTATCACGTAACCGCGAACTCTGCCCAAATTCGACTTTCGATCCTATACTTGCACGAGTCGTGGATGTTGAAAGTCCTTAAAAACTCAAGCTAGTAGATGTTTTCTTTCCCTATTCTCCCGGATGAAGACCAAGCCTTTAAGCGCTCTTGCCGCCTCCCTGCAATTTAGCGCGTTCCCGTTCTCGCTTGGCGTATATCTCAGAGGTGAAAGGACTAAGATTCATTAATAATATTAGCTAACAGCATCTCCAAGAACATGAAGAAGAGTTTACAGGAATAATGGGAAAAGCAACGGAAAGGGAAATAAATGTCAGGTCTACACTTACTCCTCCCACTTCAGAGCGAACCAGTACAAAATGAAGACCTCAGCAGTCAAAAGAAGACCTGCGACTCTGCCTTTGTAAAGTGCGGCAGCCAGGAAATTCAAGGTGCTTCCCCAGTACATCGGAGAACCGGTGACATTGAACGGAAAGCCGGTTACCGGAGCATCCATCAGGATGCCGAAGTAATCTCCCAAATAGGTACCAGTCACACCGAGAGCATACATACTGGATAGAACAAGTACAGAGCCCACGCCAAACAGAAGATAGGCAAGCCGTGGTTGATGGACGGGAGCATAGTATGGCTGGTCTTCCAAAGCCTGGTTGTACACATGGTCACGAAAGATGCCCAGGGTGAAGATAATAGCAGCCAGGAAATAGCAGCCGTAGTAGGCATTGCGGAATATGCGAGTCAGGTGGTGCTTATGGTACTCTAGAGAAGGAAAGTGCAAATTGGCATGAGCATCAAATTGTCATTGAAGGCCCTTCAGCCATTCATAACCGAGTCAATCAGGCGTTGTTAGGACTAGACATACCTGCACGTGCCACAATACTAGAGACGTAGAGGCGAAAGATCAGCAATTCTCTATTGCCTTGCATGCTAGTCAGTGGGAAAGAGCAGAACTTACTTCCAGAAGATTGGGTTGAAGGCAATTGTCAGCGCAGACCCTGCACCATCACAGGACAAGTCAGAATCACATGTAAATTGGAATGGAATCAAGGCAGAACCATTTGAGAGACAGAAGGAAGCCAATTGGACGTGTCACATACATTTGAGAGATTCCTGAGAAAAGTCAATGAATTGCGAAAGGCTGGACATGTTTGAGGCTTTGAGAAGCACACACAGCAGGGCAAAAGTTCTCGAGATTGTTGAAGGTAGGAAGGTTTATCAAGCGGAGAGAAGCAGGATGACGTTAACGCTGCTGTCAGTGTAACGTTACCATACCGTACCATATTATATAATACAATACAATAACGTAGTTCACTAGCGAGCGCCGCACACAAACGAGCGCCGCACCTCCACTCCAATTCCTACCCATGGGCTAATTACTAGAGCCTTTATCAACCAAATAATTGCATTTCTGTATAAGAACTAATTACTAGTGGATTAGGACATCTAACTCTAATATATCCTCAAACATGACAATTAGAACACTGCGGTGGTGCTCATACACATAGCCCAACTGCAGAAAGTACTGGATCTATAGAGATAATGTCTGGAGTTTTCTGAACCTCATTTTCATGCTGAAATCACTCTAGACCTTCCTAAAGAGATAGGCCCTCTTCCATAGCTAGCTGTCTATTAGATTTCTTCCACTTTTAGCCTTCTCATTCATTATTAGCACAATATTTGCGTATTTCTTCCTTTGCAAGAACAAGCTTATTAAGTGTCAATTCATGATCTTTAATAATCTTCTCTAATCATGCTTCTAACAAAGGTAAAGGACTTTGAGCATATTTTTAAGCAGTTTTCTTACTGCAGATGCTTGCTTCTCCAATTACCTAATAATATAAGGTGTTTTAAGTGCTGAATTAGTTGACCAACTGCTTAATAATATAAGGGTCTTTAGTTGGATGTCCAACTTGCTGAGCACCTTATCTGGATCAAATAAAACTAGGCCAGTACCTACAAAGTTATTCTAGATATTCTCTGCTGTAAAGGTGCTTTTGTAAGCTTATAGAAAGATCTTAAGGAAATTAAGCTTATCAATATAACTGATTCCTAAATATATTTTCTGCTTTACTAAGTCACTATACACACCTTTTAGAGACTGAAAACAGCCTATATCTAAAGGCTGGAGATTGTTGGAAGAATGTGCAGATATACAGATAGAGATAATATTATTCTTATTGCATATCTGATTAAATTGAGATATGAGATAGCTGTCATGGCTATCTATGACTAGGAGGTAGTATTTCCCAGTTATACAATAAGTAATAGCAGGAATAAAGAGATTTTTAAGCTAATGTGCCGGGGGCACTGCGAAACCCCGGATCTCCCATATTTCCTATCTTAGAACACCGTAGAGCCGCGGTCTCCGACATACTAATGTATGGTGGATCCCGCGGCCGGAGTACTTAATGGAGGGTTCCCTCCCAGATAGTTACGAGAAATTGAGCATTCTTGTGGTTTCTAGGTTGCTTCACTAGTATCGTTGTCATTGTACAGAGCGGAGCGAGGCTCCTTCGTCGTTGTGTTTCCTTTTATCGTTATATCGTTTTCTTGCTAAGATCGTTCGGTGCCGTGTGGTATAGCGGCATCGCCTTGGTATATCCATTCCTGAGATCCATCGATCACAACCCGGTTCCTGTCGCAGGGAACAACGCACGTACGCCCCCCTTTACAACATGAGAAGTCACGTGGTCTAGTAAATATCTTCACCGCACAGTTAGATCCTGACTGAAGCTCTTCGAGCTACGTCTTGTCTATTGAGCCTGCCTGCACCAGCCCGTCCTGCAGTTAGAACCTGATAGATAGAGATCCCGTAGCTAATCCGAGTGTCGACTACTTAATCAATCTGTTTTTGACTACCTGCGAGCCCGCACCTTGACAGAATCCATTGAAAGGCAATTGTATCAGTTATATAGCCATTTTCTGATACTCCAATTAAATAGTCTTGTTAAATATCAGTAGCTTTAAACCAATTTGTAAGTATACAGCTACCACTTATAAGAATAAGTGGTGGGCAGGTCCAGCTATCTGTATTGACTGCAAGGCTACCGTAGGGGTCGGTTATATAGAAATGCGATTGTTTTGTTGATTCAGGCCCTTGAATTTAGCCCGTGGGCAGGAATTGGCAAGCGGTGGCCCGCTTGTGGGTTTGGCCCACTCGTAGGTGAAATACGTTAACTAGTTAACTAACTACAACAATAATACCACATGATATCGCGGATAAATACCACTCCGTCCCCGAGCGGAAGTAGAAGGCGGTGACCCATAAATCGATCGTCGGCAGCTTCTCCGTACGTAACGGAGTAGATAGCTGGCCTAGTTACGCTGCCTCGTACGGAGTCAACCCCCCGAGTAAGTGTCAAGTCTGTTTATCCTCCCCTAACTTAAGCACACTCTGACGCGTTTTAATTTTCTGCAGTATTGGGTATTTACTATTCGTTTTTGTTCAGGCGCTCGTTCACCGTGCTAGACGAAAATGCACCTCGTTCCTTGGGATCTCGTGATCTCCGCCGCTTGACCGTCATGGGACATCATACCGAAATTCATGTTTGGGTAGAATGGCCCTTAACCGTCGAGATTTGGTCCTTTCGGGCATTGGGGCGCTCGTTTCTTGGGGCTTAGTGACACACTGGTTTCCTACACTCCGATATGTCGGATACGCCCTCTTTACGGGAGCCATACTCTCCGCAGCTGCTCTGCTCGGCCTCGTGATTTTGACGGCTCGCAAACAAGATAGGAAGCTGCCTAATTGCTCCAGGGGACCCTCTGTTGCGTTCATTTCTCCTGATCACTGGTCGAAGGAAGTAGAGAATATACATAAGATCTCCGCATATCAGCCAGACTCCCTGTACCCTCAATCGTTCGTTGTGTCCGAAAGCATAGATGAAATTCTTGCTCTTCTTACGCGCGATTTTGTTTCGTCCTGGTACCGGTCCATTAGTCCCCGACCAGCTTTCGTGAACGAAGTGGACCATGTAATTCGAACAGCAGCTGCAGGTATTCGAGATAGACTGTTGACGGAGGATCTAGTCGCATTCACAGTGTCGCGAATATTTCCAATCCTGATGACGCACCTACGCGAGTTCGACATAGCGGAGCGAACAGTCCGCGGACGGAACCTTACCCGAAATGTCACAGAATCCGAAGAACTCAATCTTGCTATTGCCAGCAAATATCGTGATGGGAAAGTACATCCCGCCGCATCTCTCTCGGCCTCCGACCAGAACTCGGTAAAACAGGACTATCTGCGCAGGATTGCCGTTGGTTTGATGCCAAAACTGTTGCCGGAGACTGTTCTGAAGAGTCGTATTGTCTCTGTGTTAGTTAGAGAAATCATTTCTTGCGCGGTGCTCTTTCCCGTTGTCACGATGCTATCAGATCCCGATACCTGGAATCAGCTGATGGAAGCATATGGGCGGACTGCTTTACAGGATCGCAAAACCGTGCGGAAGCTTCGAGCAGCGTTGGATGAACATGCATCTCCTGTCTCGAAGTCGAAGCGTAAGCAGGTTTTCCCAAGACTTGCCCCAAATGATTCAGAAAGAGCGTTTGAACGATTCATCAGAGCTATCAGACGCTGTAACAATATTTCCGACGCTAGGCGGTTTAGGGCACTTGTTGCTAGCCAGCTGAAGAAGGAAAGCATGGTGGATAACCCGAATCAAGTCTATATTCGGCGTCTAGAGACAGGAAAGAGAGTTCTTGATCAAAAGGTAGCTAAGCTATCAGCAGCAGGAGATAAACCCTCAGCTATTCCTTCAGCGCAGGAGTTGCACCACAATGGTTCAGTGTCCCATGAAACTGGTTTAATCGACCTGTTGCATAATGCTTCTGGGCTCTCTTATTTTATGGAGTTCATGGATCGCCAGGAACTCATGTCTCTTGTCCAATTCTGGGTCGTTGTTGACGGGTTTCGGAATCCGCTGGAGGATGATTTTGGAGATGAAGTGTCTTCAAGCTCGATTACCTGGACCGCAACAGACAGGAATGACATGGCCCTAATGAGTGAAACCTACCTGTCGAAACCAGAACTCAAAGTTTCTGAAGAATCTCGCCGAATAGTGAAGTCTTTTCTTAGTGCTGGGAAGCGGGCAACGCCGGAGCAGTACCGTAAAGCCCGGACCGTCATCTTAAGCACCCAGTCTGCCGTGCTAGAAGAGTTGCAGAATATATACTACCCGAGATTCAAGCAATCAGATCTATTCTACAAATACCTTGCGTCGGATGAAGCTTCCAGTACCGTATCCCACTCTTCAACCAATCGAAACATGAACCGATCCAATAACTCCGAAACTCCAGAGAGGCGACCACTACCGCCGTTGATGAGTCGCACGACCATTTCCTTGGGCCCTACGAAGTCAAAAGATTTGAGAAAAGCGGCCGTTTCGTCGAGCGAAACGCGGAGCATGGGAAAGATCTTAGATGGAGATATTTCTCCTAGGCGTTCATTGGATTCTGAACATTCAGCCCCTCTATTTGATGATGAATATGACACAGATCCCCTTGCAATGTCCACCCAGAGTCTTGGTAAAGATTCACAGAATGGTGATAATGAGGCTAACCAAAGCAGAGTCATTGAAACACTGGAGGCTGCTTTGAATGACATCATAGCGAACGAGCCAAAAAATGGGAAAGTGGATGAATTGAGAGCCAGTGATTTATCTGCGCCCGGGTTGTTTGGTGATTCCCCTCGCGGTTCATTGGAGTCTCATCGAACTGAAACTCGCACTGATGAGAGAGCGAAACCAAGTATTGCGTCCCTCGGTCTCGTAGACGAGTCCCCTCGGCGCGGCGTCTTTGATGATGACCTTTTTCCAGATCAGCGCAAGTTCATCGAGGATGAATACGAAGAACCAGAGGAAACAGAAGAGAATGACCCAGCTGACGAAGTTCACGAAGCTGCTCCTGGGGACCTCGGTTTAACGGAGGCAATTGAGGCCCTGACTATTGATATCGAGAAGCTCAACTCACAAGACTCAGTGGTGGATGCACTGACCCGAAAAGCGGAGTTGACGAACAATACTGCGGAATTACGGATATTACGAAAATCAAAGGCGAGCATCCAGCATGAGATCCATCGCAAAGAGATGCAACGGCAGCAGTACATCATTCAAGAAAGTGACAACAGCCTATATGGGAGGTCTTCCATCAAGATAAAGTCCATCGTAGTCGGCAAAGAGGAGGACGGCCATGAATTCGCCATGTGTATGCTTTTGTCTATTTTATTTATCACTACACTTCGCAACAGTAGTTACTGACAATTCTTCTAGACGTCATCGAGGTACAGAGAGACGCCGGAGAGCAAATGCCGGCTGCCTCCTGGGCAGTCGCACGCAGATACAGTGAGTTCCATGAACTTCACCAGAAGCTGCGTATGAGGTATCCCTCAGTCCGTCAGCTAGAGTTCCCCCGGAGACGTATGGTCATGAAGTTGCAAAAGGAATTTTTGCGGAAACGGCGTCTAGCACTGGAGACGTACCTGCAGAAGCTTCTACTTCTTCCCGAAGTATGTCGGAGTCGCGATCTCCGGGCTTTCCTTTCCCAGAGGGCTATAGTTCCGCGCGATGAAGCCCCCAACGAAAATGAGGCCAAAGATCTTGTGACGCGGATCTACAATTCAGTTGCGGACGGCATGGATGACTTTCTTGGGAATTTCGGCGTTCTTGATCAGCTCTCGAGTGCAGGTCAGAATCTCATTTCTGCCGCCACGCAGCAATCTGCGGCAGCACCCGACCCCGCGCTGGCCTCGGAGGATGAAGTGACGGCTGCAGAAGCGGAAGCGGAGCTGAATGCGTTTGAGGACCGTGAACTAGAGCCATTTATCAAACCGATCTGCGATCTGTTCCTAGAAGCATTTGAGCTCAATAAGGGGAACAACTGGCTACGAGGACGCGCTGTGGTCGTTGTCCTTCACCAACTCCTGGGTGGAACGATCGAGCGGAAAGTACGCGAGAGTGCGCGGTCGTTTGTCCAAGACGAGTCTTTGCTCCGCTACATCTCTCTAGTGAGGGACAGCATGTGGCCCGGGGGAGTATTGCGGGAAACGAAAGCCCGCACGGCGTCGGAAAGATCGAAGAGTCGAACAGAAGCCAGTGTGGTCCTTGCGACGTTAATACCCGATTTGGCAGGGAATGTTGTTGGGAGAGCGAATGCTCAAGGGGCCGCACGGAGGATCTTCGCGACGTTGAATAACCAACAACTAAATTCGCATCTTGTATTTACTATTTTGGATGAGATTGTGCTGGTGCTTTTTGGCGCTGGTGACGCGGGACGAATACGATAACTATTCATGATTGCTTCTTTAGCGACCCAGATTTGAGAGATTACACGGCTGCAATTTAGGGCTATTCACTGATTGTCAAATACCAGACTGAAGATATGTTGCCTGGTTCCTAACAGTAGGCTGGCTACATAACGTTGGATCGTGAAGATATCCATGTAGTGTAATTGATCATGGACATGCACAATATAGTATGTACATTGCGAGAGTATGATGATCCACTCATTAGGCCTCCTTCAACAATTCGGACACAGTGACAACCCTATACCCCCTTCTCGCCATCTCCGGCAACAGGTATCTTAACATAGGAACAGTCCACTTCCTCCGATCATGACAGACTATAATCCCGCCGGGCCGCAACATACTCAGAATATGTCTTGCATTAACCCACCAAAAAGGCACCACAGGATCATGCGGGTACACGTCCCCCAGGACAAGCCGATGATCCAAACCAGCCACGACCCGGCGCATGTTTGAACTGAAAAACCCCGAACCGGGTCGGAAGTAATTCGGAGGCCGTCGCGGTATTATGCCCCTGTTTCGCCCTTGAGCGGATGTGTAGATCTCCTGGATCCGTGCATTGACGGTTTTTATCTGCGCAGCGAGCTCATCATCGCTTAGCGACCGAGAAGGCTCGTCGTGCAGGGCGTGGTTCGCGAGCTCATTGTCATTGCGCACGAGGTCTTGTAGGGTCTCTTCGTGCTCTTGCGAGACGATCTGATCACCGATTATGAAGAATGTGGCCGTTGCACCGTTGGATTTCATGATTTCCAGGATTTTATCGGTATATTCTGACGGGCTGTCGTCGATGGTCAGGGCCATCAGCTTCCTGGTGGGTGGGAGCGGGACGTGCCATAGGACGTCGGGCCATTGGCGCTGGAAGTAGCAGATGAGTAGGTACGGCGGCCTGTATATCAGGTACAAAGGGAATAGGATGACGAGAGAGGCGACGATGAGGAGGAAGAGGGGCATTGCTTTGCTATGATTCTTGCCCTGGTCGAGTCGAGCGTCGCTTGCATCGGTGACGCCAAGTCAAAGCGGGTCGAGCTTGGCGCGGTCTTCCTCAGGCCCACAGTAATATAATCGTTCCAACTTTCGTCCGAACTTACTCTCGACTACGAATCCTCGCTTCAACCTACGTCATGACCACTATCTCGCGGATTCGGCCAGTACTCCCCAAAGCTCATCAATAAAATCGAGTAATTTCTTGTTGGATTGGTAATTGTTCGAAGGAGTGCACGACCAGTGTGCTCGCGGACTGCTGTTGACAGCCCACGATAATCGAACACAGATGTCGAAGCATAAAGTTAGAAAAATTAACAGAATATATGAAAATAAGGACACTTGCTCCTGGCATCTGCAACTGGTAGGTAGAGAACGGAAACACGAAAGAGGAGATTAAGAAAGGTCAAACAGATTGCACAGGATGGAACCCTCCCCTCTGAGGTAAATGCGGAGTATGGAAACAGTGCTGGTTTCAAACCAGGATCGGTGTGCTACTGGCCACTGTATAATTGTGGACATAGGCTGTGCAGGTGCCTGTTTATGCATCCTTCTTCTTCTTGGACTTCTTGCTGCTTGGCTGATGTGATATCCCACTTTCCTTCTTCTGATGCACAATTAGTCGTGTCCAGCACTCTTCCTTGTCCCACTCGAAACCAGCGAGGTAGGGCTTTTCAAGCTCATCATCAGCCTGTGGGTGGGCACGTCAGTTCTCATACCTTTCGTCAATCGGATTAAGTTGGAACAGAGTCATATCTCAAGCGAGACTACGGCCTGGGAAGGGAACATTACCTTTTTCTTGTACTGCTTGTAAATTGCGTCCAGCGCGTCCTTTATTGTAACTCCCTTGAGGTTACGGGCGGTGACCTCCAGGCCCAATGGGAAATGCAGGTCGATCTTTTTGACAGGAGGAGTGACGAGATACAGTTTCAACGCATCTTTGTCTTCTACGGTTGATGGGGAAGTATTGAGCTTCCTATATAGCAACGTCAGCGTCCATGGTCTTTTGAAGGGTTCGGGAGCAGGCTATTTAACTTACCATCCAAGCTTTTGCGTTTCGATTGGGAGTACAAGTTCGATCTTCTTCTCCTCTGTGAAGAAGATTAGTTAGCAGCGGCCCAATCGATGTTACCCCGACTTGGTAGATGAATGAGAGAAGGGCTTACCCAGGTCTTTGATGTTCCAGATACCTTCTGTCTTTGGGGTTGCTCGCTTGTGATGTTTTTTCACCTCCTTTTCTTCCTTGACGGATGCCTTGTCTTCTAAGGTCAAACCGGCGACGGCGGAATCGACCTTGGTAAGTTCTGCTGCCATGGTTGGAGACAGGTGGCTACTCTACGAATAACGGAAGGGACCTGACGACAAAGGTGGTTTTGATGGATTCTGGAACGAGAAGATTAGAAGCTGTCTTTTGAGCCACAGGGGAATGAGGAGAGGGAGGGGCAGATGCTAAGGGAGTGTAGGTGTGCTGCAGGAACAACCACGCTTACCGGACTGTTGGTTGGATTAATGGGAGTAATGGAGAGACTGGGATCAGACCAACTGATGGAGAGGGGAAGAAGGAAGAGATAAAAGGGAGGGAGAAGAGAAAAGAGGAGACGAGAAGAGGCGGAGGCCGGGAAGCTGGTCAGGGGATGCGGATGGCAGGTGACCAGCGCCTGCGCCAGTGCCGTGACTTGCAACGAGCGGGGAAGAAGCATTCGATGGATCGTAGTATAGTACTAGGAATGTAGTGGACGTACCATTAGGGATCTATTTCGGGATGCCTGCTGGTTGCTATTGCTGAATGTCTCTACCAAGGTTATTGACTCTGGAAGCCTCATTGGCAAGAGGCGTATGGCATCTCTTCCAGAGTCCAAAAGTGCCTTTTGATTCCTTGATTCCGACATGGGTTGTGGTTTTGATGGAGCATGCCACCCGCACATTTGGGGAGTGATCTACGAGTGAAGTATATACATCATCGGCATCATCAGCGCAGCATCATCATCATCATGGACTAAGGCTGCACCCCGCATTTTCTGACTCCGCTTGTGGCTTGCTCCCCGTATCGGCCCCAACTGTGGCTTGTACAGCATCTGTCTGGAATCTGGATACCCTCAACTCACAGCATACATTGCAGTGGTCATAGACATTAGCACATCGGTATGATTGATGGCTTTGTTTATCTCCCTGTTCCCCAGGTCAATCCAGGCCATCTATCATCCATACCTCAAGTATACAACCGCGTCTGGAACTGTACGGCCCGAGCCTTGGTGGTGTGACATCAAGCAGTCTACTGACCGGCGTGGGGTGACTCACGCCACAAAATGTGACATCTTCATACAGAGCACAGAAGTACCGAGTAGCAAGTACTAAGTACAGGGTACCTCCTGTGCCCCTCTAAAAGTGTGCTCGTTATGCCACGTGACCTATGCGCCTGCTGACCAATATATGTGTTAGTACACGTGAGGTTCTGCCGTCCTAGACCGCCCTCGCTACCTATCTCACGGCACAGGCAGGCCTACCTAGTAATACGACCATACATGCGCCTATCCATTAATATGCATGCTCGCATACGTGACCTAACATTTTAAGACCTTAATATCTTTGACCAACCAACAAATATGGAAGAATATAAGGAAGGTAAAATATGTAAAGTAGTTCTAGAAAGGTGCTTTTTATTTTTTGGAATTTTTTTTTAAAAAAATTTCTGGCTTTAAATACTAGGGTGACTAAAAACACCAAAAAATACAGCTATAATTTATCCTACCTATATAAATGTCTATTATAAAAATATCTCTGCTTAATTTATATAAATACAGCAGTAAGGTATTCTGTATCTCAAAGTCTATGCCTACTAGATGTTTTGTTGTTGAGATACTAAGGTCTTAAAAGTGCCATTATATATGGGATACAAAGGCGGGCCACTCGGTGGTAGATTACGTTAAAATAATACGCTGACAAAGCCCTTAGAGGTCACATGTGTTCTGCCCAGTTAGACCGCCCTCGCCTGGCCTAGCACAGCTGGTTCAGATAGGAATACAACACAAGTTACACCTCCAATAGAACATCTTGATGTTTGTTCTGTTTGCACATTCTGTATCATTTGCCCTGTGCCTCACCGCCCTGGACGGCTGATAGCTGTTCTGCGCCAGAAAACAACGAATATTATTTTTGGCTGGATGTATTGCGCGCTTTGCCTTCTCTCCCAGCTCTCTTTGAACGCCCTTTCACTACTCTTGTTCCTTTTTCCCCCCTTTAACATTCTTTCCCCTGTATAGTGATTACTCCCTTTTTCGAATGTCGTCTCTTTTCGGTTCCGTCGGTACTACAACCGCGGCTGCAGGCACAACAAATACCGCAGGAGACATTTCCAAGGATGTTCCTCTAAATACCCCTCCTGAAGATAGCATCTCTGATCTCCGTTTTTCTCCTGTGAGCGAACACCTTGCTGTAGCTTCATGGGACAAGAAAGTTCGCATCTATGAAATCAACGACCAAGGTCTAAGTGAAGGGAAAGCTCTTTTTGAACATGAAGCACCTGTGCTAAGCTGTTGTTGGGCTCCAGTATGTCAACACCTGATTTCCAGCTAGCAAGTCAATTGATTCAGTCTATACGACAAATTTTGAATATTTCGGCTGATTTTGTGTCCTTGCGCCCCCCCAGGATGGTACTAAGGTCGTCGGAGCTGGTGCCGACAAGGCTGCCCGCTTACTCGATCTCTCTGCAAACACAACCAACGCCGTTCAGGTCGCTGCACACGATGCCCCCATCAAGACATGCCATATGATCCCCAATCCCGCAGGTGGCACGCCCCTTCTTATCACTGGCTCCTGGGATAAGACTGTGAAGTATTGGGATCTTCGACAATCAACGCCTATCGCCGCTGTCGAATGCCAAGAACGCATCTACACAATGGACGTGAAGAGTAAATTGCTAGTCGTCGGTACCGCCGACCGGTACATCAACATTATCAACCTCGATAACCCTACTAAGTTCTATAAGACATTGCAGTCCCCTCTCAAGTGGCAGACGCGGGTAGTCAGCTGCTTCACGGATGCTACAGGCTTTGCAGTAGGCAGTATCGAGGGTCGTTGCGCCATCCAATACGTTGAAGATAAGGACTCGAGCTCCAACTTCAGCTTTAAATGCCATCGTGAGACGCCTCAGAATAATCGCGACGTCAACAACATCTATTCCGTCAATGCAATTTCCTTCCATCCAGTTCATGGCACTTTTAGTACTTCCGGCAGTGATGGTACTTTCCATTTCTGGGACAAAGATGCTAAACATCGCCTCAAGGGCTATCCATCTGTTGGGGGAACTATTTCCAGCACCTGCTTTAACCGAAGCGGTAACATATTTGCCTACGCTGTTAGCTACGACTGGAGCAAGGGCTACTCTGCAAATACGCCGCAGACCCCAAATAAAGTTATGTTGCATCCAGTTAGCCCGGAGGAGGTGAAACCGAGACCAGGGACCAGGAAGAGGTGATTTGAAGGAGCTGGGCGAAGTTGGAGATCAGCGGGGCTTCCGATGATGCATGTCATTTGGAAAATTCGAAATAGAAAAGACTTGCCCCATCCTAATTTAATATGCGCTACGATCGGTAAAGAAGTATTCAGTGTTCACGGTTATTCTACGAGACGATGTCTTTTCTTGCAAGAGTTTTCTTTTCCAATGCCTGAAACCAGCCGGACGGTGGACAATTGCAGTAAAAAGTACCACGATCTCCCGACCATGGCCGTAAGAAGTCGTAGCCTAGTTTCAATCAGATTCATCATTTAGTTTAGGTAGTCTTTTTGCAAGAGTTATGTTTCAACAATCTATTCTATCCATACACCCCCAACCAATATATCTCATAGACATGAAAACAGAGGATGAATAACGACGAAAAGAAAGAAACGACAGCAACCCCAAAAGGAGGGACCCTCAACGGTTCTACTATTGGCTTCAGGGATACAGCCAGACAGGCTAGTCTAACATATATCCAAAATATTCACGAAGTTGGGATCGTGACTTGAGCGACGCCATCAGTAACTTTCTCCACTGCCTCATCGGTCTTACCCTCCGTCGTCGTTTCGACAGCTTCCGCACCTCCTTTGGCCGTGGTCTCAACTGGAGCGCCTTGGACAGCTTTAGCCTTCTTTTCCTTCTTCTTCGCCTTGCTGGCCCTGTTAGCCGCTCTTTTGGCCTCGGCTTTGGCAGCTTCCTCTTCCTTCTTCTGCCTCTCGGCCTGCGAGCCACCGAAAAGATCGCGCCACTCATCCGCTTTCTTTGGGTCGATGCGTGAAAACAGGTACTTGGCTTTTCCGATCGTGTGGCCCGGCTTGATGGTCACAGGCTTCCAGCCGTCCTTGACATCTTCCGGTGAGGGGATGTTAGCGAACGGCGCGTTAAGTTGCTCCAAGATCGACTTGGAAGTCGCCGGAAGGTACGGGGCAAAGACACTAGAAAGGAGATGGATTAAGTTGAGAACAGTGCCGACGACCGCCGCGGCACGCTCGGGATCATTAGCAATGAGCGTGTTGTCAAGACGGTTGGCCTGGATCAGACCGTTTCCATCTTCTGCTAGTTTCATCGCGGTTGCAATGCCAGCACGGAGGTGAACGCCATCCATTTCTTCGATGTACTGGCGAAGGTGAGTTGTAATATCATCCAAATGGGGTTTGAAGCTCTCCGGCATGGTGAACTCCGGGACGGTGGAATTGTACGACGCCGTGACGAGCTTGATGACTCGGTTGACAAGATTGCCCAGTTTAGCTAGCAGTTCACTGTTGTTGCTGTCGACAAATGACCTCCATTCGAATTGGGTGTCTCCAGTTTCTGGGCGGTTCTTCAAAAGGTAGTAACGCCATACGTCGGGAGCCACACCCGTCTGCTTTGCATTGTTGCCAAATACACCGATGCCTCTAGATTTGCTGAACTTGCCTCCCTCGTAGTTCAAGTACTCGCTAGTACTCAAATGGTGGACCATAGTCCATTTGTCTTTTGTCCCCAACTGGGTGCCCGGAAAGATGACACTGTGGAAAGGAACATTATCCTTGCCCAAGAATTGATAAAGGCGCACATTCTCTGGATTACGCCACCATAACTCCCAGTCAGGAGTGTAATTAGCAGTGATAGATGGATAGCCGATACAGGCTTCAAACCACACGTAGAGCACTTTATTCTCATACCCGGCGAGAGGCACCGGGACGCCCCATTTGAGGTCTCTCGTGATGCCACGATCCTTCAGACCCTCCTTCAACCATGATTCGGTGATAACCCTGGAATTCTTCGGCCAGTCACCTTTTTCGAACGTCGCATGAGCCCACTGCTCAATCTCCGGTTGCAGCTTGTCGAGAAGGAGGTGGATGTGTTTCGTTGGGCGACGGACTGGAGTAGCACCGTCGAGTTTGCATCGGGGCTTGATCAGGTCAAAAGGATCAAGTAGATGGCCGCATTTGTCGCACTGGTCTCCGCGGGCATCATCATAGTGGCACCGCGGGCACTCGCCCTCCACAAAGCGATCAGCCAAGAATGACTCATGCTTTTCGCAGTAGGGCTGCTCCGCGGACCTCTCCAAAAGGTACCCATTGTCGTAGAGCCTCTTGAAGATACTCTGTGAAATCTCCGTGTGCTTCTGGGTGGGCGTCCGGCCAAAGTGATCAAAGCCAATCTCGAACCACTCGTAGACCTCCTTGTGGATTTTGTTGTATTTGGCACAGAGTTCCTCTGGTGTCACTTTTTCCTCCAACGCCTTTGTTTCTGTCGCAGTACCATACTCGTCCGTTCCACAGATGAAGAGAGTTTGATGACCACGCGCCTTATGGTATCTGAATACGTGGATACGTTAGCAAGTTGAAAGAACCTTGAAATACAGAGGTCTCGGATGGAATAATGTGAGTGACCTTGAGAAAACGTCAGCGCTGAGGATGGAGCCCACAATATTGCCTAAATGAGGCACATTGTTAACATAAGGTAAAGCACTGGTAATAAGTATATTCTTCTGGCCTTCCCTAGGAAGGATCTTTGGTTGCGTTGCCATTGTTGCTGGTGGATGGCGGGGTATGGTTGCGGAGGAAGAATTTCTCTGAGCAAGCGGCGGGATGATTCACTGATTGTCTTGCTGCAAGTCAGCCCATCCTTACACATACCCCTGCTCACGCCCCTCCCCCTTCTGACAAAGTATCATTTTGTGATCTGTATCACCTTTTTCTTCTTAAATTTTGTTGTGTGACTCTGTAATCCTAATTTGTGCCTGCTGATTGTCCCTCCCAACCCCACCGGCTGTCAATGGATAACAGCTTACTCGACCCTCTTCTTGACCTGGAGGAGAAACTCTACAAGGAAGGCTATGATCTAGGTGTCTCAGATGGGATTGAAGCTGGATATACCGAAGGCAGCGTCTTTGCTGTTGAAAAAGGCTTTGAAAAATTTTTGGAAATAGGCAGGCTATACGGTAAAGCCTTGGTCTGGGCCCACAGACTTGTTGATTCTGATCCCTCTAAAAACCGAATCATCGGGGACAAAACTAAAGAAGAATGTCCTGCTCCCAATGGTAAGGCAATTGAAGGCCTCTATTTTTCTTCGGGACCGTCTGCCTGTGGTGGGATGCCGAGTCTTCCTCAAAGCTCAAGATTGGCTAAGAATATCTACACCTTGCTGGAATTGGTGGATCCTGCAACCCTTGCTATGGAAAACACGGAAGATGCAGTCTCTGATACAGAGGAACGCTTGAGGGGTGCATTGATAAAAGCAAAACTTATCCAACGTGTCCTTGGGGAGCGCGAGGATACTTCGGATATTCACCCAGACGCGAGAGAGACTGCAACTGGAGATGGAACAGGGAGCATCGAAGATATCAGTTCCTTGACCATCCGGCATTAACAGTCGTGATTGGTGTGCTCAAAAAGGAAAGCCGATGTTATCTCATATCCCTGATACTGAAAACATGGTGGTTCATCATGTGCGTCGCTGTTTGATCTTGCCCAATCGTGACGACGGTATAATACTTCCTCTCAGGGAATATCTTAATACACGACCCCCCGATAAGCCAGTCCATCTATATCTTGGGCATGAGCCAAGGCGCTACGATACCCGGCTGCTCGGACTTCAGTCATCATAGATAACTACATCCGAATTGCAGATGACGAGACCAACTGTGCGTCTATGCTTTGGCCTGGAACCCCCCCCCACAAAGCTCAATCAAAAGTTCATCGTTAGTGTACAAAACGGAGGTCAGCAAGGGGAAGGAGCTTATGAGCCAGAAATCATAATAACTCTGGAAATGTGGTTACCAGCTGGAATAAACAGTCAGAGTTGTATACGCGTGTTACTAGCGTGAGCCTTTTTTTATAATCCGTAAACAGCGGATTGTTTAAATCTATTCCAATACCACCAACAACCATCCTCATATTCATCATCATGATTCCTCCAAGCCCCTAAGGGCCATGGCCAATGCACCCTCCTTTGTCTTGTGGCCACCAATGAACCCACTTGCGTGTACGAAAACTGCACCTTCCGGAATCTTCGCCTTGCCCGTCTTCTCAGCCTCTTCATTCATGACGTTGTCTAGGTTTTCATCACGGACACCACGCCAACTCACTGGCAGAGGCTTTCGGGACTCGAAACTGGCTTCAGACACCGGAACGCATTGCACACGCCACTTGGATCCCTCAGTAGCGCCCTCCGGATAAAGGACGTAGTAGACTTCACTTGCAGGGTCAACAACCCCGTCGCCGGATGCCTGTTTTTCAAGATTGTACAAGTGTTCCTTCCAGGGAATACCGCTCTGGGGGAGTATAATGATTCGACCGGACGAGTGGACGTCAGTCCGACGGGAATTGTAGGCGGACGCCACAGTAGATCGGGCAGGCAGCCAGGATGCGCTCGCACTGTAAAGTTTGCGCATAAAGACATCTCCCATGAGTTTGCTTGCTTTTGCAAAGAGACTGTCTTCGTCTTGTGGCTCCCCAGGAGCCGCGGTAGGGTCCGGGTGGTTAAGGTCTCCTACCAACGAGGCAAGTGTAACACCAAAATCTTTGAAGCGCCTTTCAACATTCGCTGCCGCTAAGGCTGCAGGATCATAGGCGGATATTCCGTTGTCGTTAGCATCAATGGCTTCGATGAAGTCCGTATACAGCTTTTCATACAACAGGGTTACGTCAGGATGGTCCGGCGGCAAGGATGTATGATGGGCAATAATGCTTCGCCCAAAATGCATGTATACTAATCCCGCAGATGAGAGTCTGGTATTATGTTTGGGGAATGTCGTTGAGAAGGTCCGCTGGTGATGATCAAAGCGATTTGACAGAGGATCATATTCGCCGCCTACATCGACAACAGTATGACATGTTGCAAGAACTGCAGGATCTCTTGTGCGAACCAGGGGAGAGGATGAGAATGAAGGAAGGAGTCGGAGTAAGTAGACGGCAAGGGCCTCGTCAGCATGAAAATGGCCGCTGCAAAGTTATCAGTGTGAAGGAAAGTTCATGGGGGTAGGAGTAGCATGGCAGCATACTTGTGTGTCCCAATCAAAGGAGGTGAAACTTTTGGCTTTTTTGTAACCGTATTATCTGCCATTTTGAAGAAAAAAGACCTCAGACGCAACATAAACTGCACAGAACCAAGATGCTTGAGTGCTGGAATAATCCATGCGGCATATTGATGGGTCCTTTTTCCTAGGACAGGGTTCCACGCTCACGTGATGAAACTGCTGCACTGCTGAGACGCTAATCCAGATCAGGAAGAAAGCTTTGAAGCTTCCTTACGATACGAGTAATACGGTACAGTATTGTATGGTACAGTACCACAGAATACGCTATACGCTCATATGCTTCCTGGCATATGCAACACAGCATGATTAGTGCCATCTGCCTTCTCAAGAGGTTCGTCTTTCTTTTTTCATTTCCTCTACAACTTCGCACTGACCGCTGTTCAGACAATTCACAGAGACTTATTACCATCTATGCATGGGGGGCTGTCCCTGCAGCTGCAAGTACCGCCTGATCTCAAGGCTCGTCACCGACTTATTCTGTTCCCTAAGAAAAGGAAGATACCCCTACACACACTACTGACAGTTGACCTCAGCATTCAACTGCAAGAGCAGGAATCCAGCAACAGGCACTATTATCTACCTGTTTTCCTTTTTCTTTATCGCGCTGCCTGATACCATTCTCTTTCTTGGGGGGGGGCATTGATCGGGTCTACATGCGAAAGCTTGTCCTGTGAGATAAGATTTCACTGATCCCAGAGGGGTGTGAAGAAAGCTCAAAAGGAAAAAAAAGAGAGGACAGAAATTGCTTACACCAACACCATCTTCATGTCTCTCTGATAGAGAAATACTTCTTCGTGTAAGCATGCAAATTTCCCAGACGTTCAAGAAGAGTTCTTGTGCTTATAGTCTTAATATTCAGCAGCTCACCGCTCCCCCTTGTGCTCAAACACCTTCTCTTCGTTGTCGATCCACACGGCTTTTCGCCTCGTTTTGCCCAATGTGGCTCTTTCGAGTTCTATCCGGGGCCATCTTCCTCATAATCATCGTCCTTTCCATTCCGCTGTCCTTCGATGTGGGTGGTAAGACGTGTGGGTTGGCCTACTCTCTGTCTCTAGCTACATTCTATTTCTTCTTTTCACTCTTGAAACTTATAACCCCCGACCGTTCGCGGATTCGTTATTCCCTCATCATCATCGTTAGCTCTGCACAATGGCTTATAATCCAGATCATTCTCATCTGGTCGTTAAATCGCTTCTCGATTGATCCCGACAACACCAGTGGATGGATGGAGCGGGGGTTTAGTGAGACGAAGGCACACAGCGCTTCCATACAAGACTGGATTTTTGGTCCAGAAGGTCTTCTTGAGACCGTCACTATTGGCGGTTGGGATAAATTATTGAGATGGTCGGCGCCTTTTTTTCAGCTTGCAGAAGGGTTCTGCAGTTTGTTGGTTGTCCAGGCCGCTGGTCAAATCACTAGGTGGCTGGTCAATAGAGGCGGACGAAGCGACAGCTGGATGGCAAGTATACCTCTCTTCCAAGGTCATGATACGCTGGAATAGCATGCTAATTTTATATCTAGATTTGTCTCTTGGTACTGTCCGCGTCTATCATATCGAGCTCCGTATACTTTCTCTGGCGCGTCCTGCAATTTCCGGAAATTTCTAACGTCGACGCCGCTTTGATCGGAGTATCCATCACCTGTGCTGTGATATTGTCCTCGTGGGGTATTGTCAGTGGGCGAGGTAACCCAGTGGAGAGCTCTCTTCTGTTCGCCTACATCGCCCTGTGCATCTATCAGATTTTTACCGACTATCAGCCATCGTCTTCTGATGGACAAGCCCCTATTCCACCCCAAACTGGGGACTTTCCTCCTCTTCCGCCTATTATTATGGCATCCTACACAACTCTCGTACATTTACTGTCTCTTCTTCCGTCGATCATTCACGCGGCTTTCAATATCATAACTGCCGCCTTAAGCGCCATCTCGCCATCGGTACTCATATCCCTCGCCTACCGCTTTGTCGTCTTTTATGCCTCCACTCGGATAATTCCTGCCGTCCGCGAATCCGGTGCCCGCGCCCTCTCCCAGGAAGTTTCGTTGGATGATTCCGACGGCAGTGGACAACTCCTGGGTTTCATTAGCTACTTCTCCCCTTCCATACTCATCGCTGTCTACACCAGCCTTCTGATGCAGCACTTTGCATCAACGTCACAAGCGATGGGAGGTAGCGGTGAATGGTGGAGCAGTCAAGGGGGTGGAGGGGGAAACTTGTGGCGGTGGATTAACCTCGCCTGTACTATGGCCTTATATGCAGTCGAGTTATGGCTCGGTGATCAAGATGAGGTATATACCGGGCTAACGGGTCATTGGAAAACAGATTGAGTCCGTTGACAGAGAGATTCTTGTTTTTTTCCTTCACCCTCGATGTCTTATTCGAGCGGCAGGCATCACCCGCCTTAAGGGGATAGAAGCATGGCATGTTGTGCCAGCCACGCTTCTTTTCTCGGATATAATGTCATCATAATAAATTCTCGAAGGCTCCAGTTACCTCAGTGGATGCTTTGGAGAGACGATTTTGCCAACCGGACACCTTTCGGCGCTTGATCGTTTCAAGTACAGGTAACCGATTTGGCGCTCTTGGGAGTATGTCGAGAGGCTTGCAATCTGAATGCTTCATCCCGACTTTTACCTCCCAGATATGCTGGCTGCGTCGTATTCCCCTTCAACATCAGGACAAATATTTCGAGGCTCCTATTGTTCGGGCCCCCTAATATGCTGTCTGGCGAATGTGCGGCCGACAACGAGTCCCTTCGCTGTCCCTTCCGTTGGCGACAGGTCATGTCTCTTTGGAATGACGGAAGACATAGAAACTAGACAGGCATTGTCAATGCAGCTATTGAATTTTAAACTGTCTGTGCGGCTGGACATGATTCCTTTCCCTCTTTTCTTTTCTCCGACCCTCTCTAGTCCTATGTCTATTTTGTCGTCCTTTTGCACCACTAGACCCAGTTTTCTTTGTTTATATACCCTCGGACCTTATTACACATTGGCTCTTTCTTCTTGTCCCTCTCTTTCTCACTCTGCACAATCTCTCTTGCTCTTCTTATTTTCACTAGTTGCATTGCTAATCGCAATATCTACTTTACTATCTCCAGTGACTACCCTCATAAGTACATAGCGAGATAATTTATTTCCCATATATTTCCATTGTTATTTGCCTTTTTCTTCCTTTGGGCGGCTAAAGCATGATTTGATTGTATTTGTACTTGTTAGAATGGCATTAAAGCGGCCAATTTCGGTGAATGATATCGTTGCAATTATTTAGAAGTTACCGAAGCAGTACAGCTCATACAAAAAGAAGTAGGAAAAGATAGAAAAAGAATAATTCATAGGAGTGAAGATCATTAGCCTCGAGAAACATGTTTTGTTCACGTACTAATAGACAATCGGGACAAGTACTAGTCGTTGGGGTGAGATTTTCTGATTTTAAATGCGAATCTCGGAACATGGTATAAATATGAATATAAATATGAAAAAAAGTATACGGGGCACGTGCTTGAAGGCATCACACATGTTGGAAGGAAGAAAAACAAAGATTCAAGCTTATATCAGGTCCAGGTAGTGAGAGAATCAAGCCCAGCGGCAAATAGCAATTGCAAGTAACGATAGCACAGTACATATCAATACCCGAGACTGAATATGAACATAGAAAGAGAGAGGGAGTAAAAAGAGAATAAAACAAGACAGGAAGAATAGAACCAGGCTAGGGGGTGAGCTATGAGCTTGGAAAGGACGTTTAGGGGGGATACTGGATACATTCACATGAGCCCAACGAGTAGGCAACAGCCAACCAGCGGTATCAACGGGTGCTTCCCCTGATGTGAAATTTGGTCAAAGGATTCCCCAGGCTGAGATATCATATATCGTCTGCTGCGGCATGTTTCTCCGATTTTGCCACCTTTTTCTCCCCTTAGCGCTTTGACTTTTCCATCATTCGGTGCACTCTGCCAGTGAAGCACTTGCAAATAAATCAAGAAAAGGAAGAAAACCATAACTCCAGGCTCTCGGCAATAAAACACGGAATGGAAAGATGGGTGTACTGGCCAGCACCCGCAGGAGCATCAATCATCGGCGAATAGGAATGCCACTCTTAGCAGACAGTGGACTCGCACTTCTTTCTTTGGAATCCTTGGTTTCACTGTCAGCGTCTCTCTGATCATCTACGCTGGATCTCCTATTCAGATAACTGGCTTCCTTGACGGGGCTGCGGCTGAATCCAACAGAGCCAGGATGGCCACTAATACTGCCTGGGATAGGCTGTCCCTGAGAGCCAACGCTACTTCCATTACCTGCGGCTGGATTATTGGTACCAGAAGAGGTAGCAGTGAGGTGAGGGATATTTTCAGGGTTTGGATGCTGGGAACCAATGTTGGTCACACCAACGTCGGAGGCCTTGCCAGCCTTGCTGAGAGCATAATCTCCGGAATCGAAGTATTTACGTTCCTGGGATGGGATGTTAAGAGGCAACCCCAATGACCCAAGGGGATAATAGCCGAGAGAGACAATGTACCTTGAGCTTATTTTGGAGAAGATCCTTTCTTGTGGGCACTTTGCCGTAAAGGCGTAACAAGCGCTGTTCGTCCGGGCTCAGGGACTAGCAAACGGTCAGCTCCACTCAAAAGGATGAGGATTCTTCCGGGTCAGCAACTCACATTGATGTCGACTTTATTCTGCTGGTGCGGATTCATTGTTGCGGGAGAATAGGGAACGGGGAAATTTAAGGTCGAGAAGGCGGGGCTCGGCGATGAGGTATCCGTCAGAAATTTGTCAAGACGATTGGTGAGGGCAGTAACTCGGAATGGCCCAGCTGCTACTGCCACTGGTTATGCTGGGAGCAGGTTGACCACTGCAAATTCTCTTGGTAGGGCAGTTAGCATAGTTGAACTCCGCAAAGTGGGATGCCGGACGTTATCGATCAGTCGGGTAATAAAAACAGGGCCACCCACCTGGGAGATGGACAAATAATCAGGATCTCGCCCAGTTGCAGGATATGTAGGAGAAACTGCAAAGGTTCCAAACAACTGGACAGACAAAAGGGCAGAGAAGGATGGAGAGGGAGGAGAAGTGTGAAGATGAAGAGGTGATAGTTGACAACGAAAGACAACGATAAGGTTAGTCAGGCATTCCTCCCGGTAATTGTTAATTACCTGTACGCACGCTGTACAGCAACTACCCGGTGCTTCACTTCGCCTGGGCTGAATGTAAATGACAGGGCAGGAGAATCAGGAGAGCGCTGCAATGATGGGGGAGCTGTTGGACACAACATACGTTAGGCATAAATGTCTACATGAAGGCGAGGAGGGGCAATCGAGGGGCAAACGGCATCTCCTTATGTCATCTCACCAACAACTTCATCTTTCTGCAGGAAACAGGCAATTCACCTAAGAGCTCGTAGATACTGGAAATGATACAGAGTAGACTTTTGTCGAGGACTCCCTGACTCCCACAGAGAAGAATAAGCCGAAGGGTGTGATTGGTCCTGCTCGTCCTTTTTCCGCTTCTTCAAGATTCAAAAGTTTCAAGATTTCCGAACATCTCTCCCCGACAAAGTTTTCTAGTTCTAATAGAGCCCAATCTTCTTTTTTCACACTTGCTTTTCCCACCTGGTCCGCAATCCCTTCCAATCATGGGTGGCTACAAGCCTCAAATAACCTATGTGGTCGAGCATCTGGACCCAGAATTGGGACCCTGGTCCTCCTTAGAGTACGGCCGCATTGCACGGGAATCACACGCTGCTGGAGCAAGATTCCTTCTCAGTTCAGTGCCCTCCTCTCTGCAGATGCCCAAGGACTTGGCTGCCACCCAGGGACTGGAGGTGGAACATCGCAGCGTCGAAGAGATATTTGCTGATAGGAAGTCTAAAGTCTGCCTTCTGGATCCAGCAGCAGAGGCTGATCTGAACCCGGCAGACGGAGATCAGTTTGAGGTTTTTTTGTTCGGTGGTATTTTAGGTGCGAGAGATCAATCGAGCTGAGCTCTTATTTTCAAACCATCAACTAGTTCAGGTGACTGCTTAGAATTAGCGCTAACGCTGAAGTGAAATTGCCCTTCAGGTGACGATCCCCCACGAGGTGTGTCACTCCCTCTCTCCTGGAAAATGCCGTTTTTGTTTTTGCTGATGGAAATGGGATATAGACCGTACTTCTGAGTTGAGGAAAAAGGGCTACAGTGGAAGGCGGCTCGGACCTAAGCAAATGACAACAGATACTGCAGTGCGGGTAACGCGTATGGTCGCTCAAGAAAAAGGTAATAATATCAATACTCTTCCGGAAACTGCCCTTTCTATGCGGTCTCACAGAGTCTCATCCTTATAGTGCCCCTGGAAGAAGTCCCGTACATTGATTATCCGGAGCTGCGGATCAATCATCACGAGAGTACTGAGATGCCCTTCCGCTATGTCAAGGGTCCGGATGGGCAACCTGTCATGCCCGAGGTGCATTGTCCCTGGAACACATTGCGTCTAATCTGGAAACTAACACGTCGTTAGGGAATGGTTGACTTGATCAAGGAGGATGCCAATAAAAGCGTTGATGATTTGTTTTAGATTGCAATCTGGGCATCTGTACCATAGCTTAAAAAAGAACAGTGATGTTTCCGGCGCATTTTCATACCATTAGCATTTAATAGTATCGAACAGGTATTAATATTGCCTGGCTTTCGCTTGCCAATGAATCTTGCTTTATTTTTGGTTCTGCTCTTGGCCTGTTAAGCATCCTTGTTCCTATTCATAGCCGTCATTTCGATTGATCTCTTTCGGTCTATTGTTTTTGCCATCTTCCGGCCGGCACCGTCTTTCAAAGCATGCCAGCTTGACGCCTATTACAAAGTCCTCCAGGGACTGCCCACTTCTTCTCCTGGCGGTCTCTCGTGCTATTGTTTTTGATCCTCCGGCCTGCCAGACCAAGATGAATTTCTTCTTTTCCATGTCGTCATGGACGCTGTCGCTCCTCCTGCTACTGATCCCCAGGTCTACCACGGCGAAATCGGCCGCGGACTACTATGTACACTCGTTGCCCGGTGCCCCTGAAGAGCCACTTCTGAAGATGCACGCTGGGTAAGTCCGTGATCCTGCATCCGGGTGCAGTAGTAACTGACACATACATGGCGCAGGCATATTGAAGTGGACTCGGGGCATAACGGAAATCTGTTCTTTTGGCATTTCCAGAACCGTCACATTGCCAACCGTCAACGGACTGTCATCTGGCTAAATGGAGGCCCAGGATGTAGTTCTATGGATGGGGCGCTGATGGAAGTCGGACCTTACAGGCTGAAGGATAATCACACACTCGTGTATAATGAAGGCTCCTGGGATGAGTTCGCCAATCTGCTCTTCGTTGATCAGCCTGCCGGTACAGGCTTCAGTTACGTCAATACGGACAGCTACCTTCACGAGTTGAACGAAATGTCCGCGCAATTTGTTATCTTTCTAGAAAGGTGGTTTGAAGTATTTCCGGAGTACGAGAAAGATGACGTACGTTTTGCTCTTGCGAAACCCTCGATCCTGGTCAACTTTAGGCGGTATCTCTTCTGACATCGTGGCAGATATACATTGCGGGCGAGTCGTACGCCGGTCAGCATATACCCTATATTGCTAAAGCCATTCAGGAGCGCAACCAGGGTGTTCGTGAAGGCGGAAAACCGCGATGGAACGTTCGGGGTCTTCTAATCGGCAATGGTTGGATCTCGCCTGCTGAACAATACGAGTCCTATTTGCCCTTTGCTTACAAGGAAGGACTCGTTAGGGAGAATAGTCAAAATGCAAAGAATATCGAGATGACACAGTCGGTCTGCTTTACCTTGTTGGGTACCCCAGGTGCGAAGGACAAGGTGGACCTTAAGGAGTGTGAGGACATTCTTCGTGATATTCTGAAATACACAAGGAATTCGGACGAAGAATGCTATAACATGTACGATGTTCGTCTTCACGATGAGTATCCGTCCTGTGGAATGAACTGGCCCATGGACCTAGTGGACCTGAAACCCTATCTCCGTCGTCCGGATGTGGTTGAAGCCTTACACATAGACCCGGACAAAAAGACCGGCTGGGAAGAGTGCTCGGGAGCTGTCAGTAGCGCATTCACAGCGGAAAACTCGGTGCCGTCCGTTCAATTACTCCCAGATTTACTTGAATCCGGGTTACCGATTCTTCTTTTCAGTGGAGATAAGGACCTCATTTGCAACCATATTGGTACAGAGAAACTGATCCACAATATGAAATGGAGTGGTGGAACTGGCTTTGAAACTTCTCCTGGCGTTTGGGCTCCCCGGCATGATTGGACCTTTGAGGGTGAGCCAGCCGGTATTTACCAATCTGCGAGGAACCTCACATATGTTCTCTTGTACAATGCTAGCCACATGGTGCCTTACGACTTGCCCCGCCAAAGCCGGGACATGCTCGATCGCTTCATGAAGGTTGATATAACCAACATTGGTGGGACGCCTGCTGATTCACGCATTGATGGCGAGAAAGTGCCTCAGACAGCCGTAGGCGGGCATCCCAATAGCACAGCCGCGGAGGAGCAAGAGAAGGAGAAGATGAACGAGGCTAAATGGCAGGCGTACGCCAAGTCTGGCGAGGCCGTACTTGTCGTCGTGATCATCGGTGTATCCGTCTGGGGATTCTTCATATGGCGCAGTCGCAGACGTCATCGCGCTTATGGACTCTCTAATGGCTCCGTTTTGGACCGTTTCTACGGCAAACGCTCTGGAACTTCGGACGTCGAGGCTGCAGATTTCGATGAATCTGAACTCGAGCGGCTGAACTCCATAGACGGCAACCATGAACGTGAACACTTCGCAGTGGGCATTGACAGCGACGAAGAACAAGATCATCGTCATACTCCAATGACAAGTCCCGAACAAGAGGAACAGTTGGTACCGGGATCCGGTGAAGAACGTCGCTCATGAGAGTCTTCCTTTCTTCTTTTCATTGACATATAGAATGGATTTTTAGTTTGGTCTTCCGCCTCTGTATATAAGACTTGTTGAGTCAAATGGATTACGTTTCACCGCGTCTGTTTCAATTGTAACTTTTCCTCTATCTATCCGGAAGATATTTCATTGCATTTGCATTTGCAGCTTTCCTGGCCAAATACTCGACAATATGCCACCTAAAAGATGCATTACGATACCAGGTATCACCAGAAATGGTTTTACCTTGCATGGCCAATACCCCAAACTTTGACGCTTCCATCGTCGCCTGTCGTGACTAGAACCTCCTCCTCTTTATCTTGCCGTCGACCGCGATCAGCACGCTTCGCCCACGCGACGTGGTTAATTTCATAAACACCATGCGCACCTTGCAGGGAAGCAATGATTGACCATTTAGTCCGCTGTGCGGGAGAGTCCATTTCCATAGCTTCTGCTTCTACCCCGGCTTCTTCGTCTTCTTGCGTTGCTTCTTCCTGATCATTCCTAGAAGAGATAGTGGTTGTAGGCATAAATTGTTCTTCATATACAACAATCCTCCCGTCTGCACCGACAGAGGCGACGAGACCGGTTCGCTTGCTCCATGCAACAGTGTAGATGGAAAGATCATGTACTCGAGGTAAAATGGCTTCCTCCTCCCAAGACTCTTCTATCCCAGTAGGACGAATGATGCTTGGCATGTTGGAAGTGTTGTAGCGCTGTTGATCCTTTGGTTGTCGTCTCCAAACGCGAATTGTGCGGTCGTCGGAACTCGAGATGAGTCGAGGTCCCGAGACGGCATTCTGTTCTTTCCATCGAGAAACAGCCGGAGAAGTGCTTCCGTTGGATAGTCCAGGTAATGAAGAGGATGGAACATTATCCACGGCTTCCCAGTCGACAGACCACACCGTTCCCTCATGTCCTTTAATACAAGCTACTTGGGTCCAATCGTCGATATCCTCTCTCCATAGTCGTATTGTGTCATCGTAGCTGCCGCTTGCCAAGCACTCCTCGACCGGATGCCATGCTACGCATTTGACATCGCCTCCATGCTCCTGCATAACGGCCACGGTCTCGAAGTTGTTATCTCCATCATCAAGGTCCTCCCAGATCCATATCGACTTGTCCCGGGAGCAGGTAGCTAGTAACATGCCCGACGGCGACCACGACACTGATTTTACTTCGCTGTCATGTCCATCTAGCAGGACTGCAAACCGCCATTCTTCCTCGTCGTCGTCCCTGTCATAACCTCTGTCTGGGAGAGAGGAATCCGCATCCCTGACCTCGTTTGCAGATCCGTCGATATCCCATGTACCATCCGCGGAGTCGCCGCTTCCATAATTATCCCATCGTCTCCAGATACCTACTGTCGCGTCGAAGCTACCCGTGGCAAGAACACTCTCACCTTGTACATGTGGTTTCCAGGCACATGTTCTCACACTGCGTTTGTGGCCCCCGGAAACAGTCGAGAGAAGCCTGAAGTTGGTCAACGAATATATCCGGACAGTTTTGTCAGAGCTGCATGCCGCGACGATTGGGATTCTTGGGTGTGGTGCTGTTAACCATGTCCGTTCGATGGAAGGGGGTGTCAAGTCTGATAGGAAAAATATGCCGGCCGTCTTTGCCGCCATCATGAGTAGTATAAGTCGCCTATCCCTTTTATTTCTTTGATATCTCTGTCTTTTCCTCCCTTCTCTCCTTTTTTTTTTTTGGGGGTTTGCGGTTTAGTCCCTTACTTGGTCAATACCAAGTCCCTAGTTTTCCCTTCTTCAATAGCGGGGTAGTTGCACTGTATCTGGTGGAGTCTATGAAGGGTAGAAATTCCCCAGTTTTTCACACAGATTAGATAGTTAACTAGTTAACGTTTTCAACCACCGAGCGGTCTAAACCCACGAGCGGTCCGATTTCTCCACCACCACCCATCTAATTCAGAACTTCAACTTCAACGCGTCTTTTTTCCACCACTATCATCGGAAATGCATCTTTCTAAGGAGAGTCAAATTCAGATGGCAGTATCTGCCTCTAAATCAAAAAAATTCAATCAAAAACGCGTGTGGCTGACCTATTTGGCATTCTAAAAATGACTTTACTGCGACAGCTTAATGGAATTAAACCACAATCAGAAATATGCACTAATGGCCACAAACTAACTGAAATCAAAGAGCAATTGCTTTTAAAGTGATTATTAGATGCTGATAAATGAGGGTTTCCAATTCAGCCCAAATTTCTGCGTGGAATGGCTCAAGTATTATTTGATAATTGCTTACAAGGCACATCTGCAGCCCTCAGAATCAACTGGCCTTATAAATTTGTTAAGTGCCATTCTGAGCTTTGTATGTGATATATAAGACATATTACCTATCAACACGCAAAGCAGGAGGATCTAAAGGTTATAAAATCATAATTTGAGATTGTACAGGTGACTGACTATTCAAGAACACAGTATACATGAAGATGATATCTGGAATTTTGATGAGACTGGCTTTGCAATAGGACTCTGCTTTACTTCAAAAGTGATTACTGCAGTAGAGTGAAGCAAGTGACTATACAGAGTTATTTAAGATAATTATAAATGGATTACAGTCATTGAGACAATTAGGTTAAAAGGCATATATCTATCACTAGTCATTATATTGAAAGCAAGTGTCTAACAGGCTACCTGGTTCCAAGAACCTAAGCTTCCTCACAACTGGTGGATTTCTACTAGTCAGAATGGCTGGATGACTGATGAAATAGGCCTTCTCTGGTTAAAAAATATCTTTGAACTGCTTTCTAAGCATTATATGACTGATGCAAAGTGCTTGCTTATTCTTGATGGCCATAGCAGTTATTTAACTGCTGAATTTGATGATTTCTGTAAGCAAAATGCAATAATCTGTTTTTACATGCCTACTTATACTTCATATCTTCTTCAACTGCTTGATGTGGGCATTTTTAGCCCACTTAAAGGGGTGTATGGAAAGCTTCTTGAAAACTGTATAGCTGTTGGCAACAATCATATTAATAAAGAAGATGTCAGGGCCCTTGCCATGTAGACCAGGACGAGCACGTGAACTTCCTTACTTGGATTAGCGTGGCGCGTGGATAGGAGTACGTCGTCCAGCTTCACGTAGATCTCTTCCCTTTTTCCTTCCTCTCCATGCTTGAAGTTCTGGTCGATAGCTGCCTAGATAGCTGAATAGCATCCTATTCATCGTCTAGTTGAGTTCCGTGACAGAAGACTTTCTATCACTATATCTGGATGCACATAAGGAAGTCTTTACTTTAACTAATATTGTGCCGGGGGCACTGCGAAACCCCGGATCTTCCATATTTCCTATCTTGGAACACCGTAGAACCGCGGACTCCGACATACTAATGTATGGTGGATCCCGCGGCCGGAGTACTTAATGGAGGGTTCCCTCCCAGATAGTTACGAGAAATTGAGCATTCTTTTGGTTTCTAGGTTGCTTCACTAGTATCGTTATCGTCGTATAGAGCGGAGCGAGGCTCCTTCGTCGTTGTGTTTCCTTTTATCGTTGTATCGTTTTCTTGCTAAGATCGTTCGGTGCCGTGTGGTATAGCGGCATCGCCTTGGTATATCCATTCCTGAGATCCCTCGATCACAACCCGGTTCCTGTCGCAGGGAACAACGCACGTACGCCCCCCTTTACAATATCTGCAGCAGTTTTAGAGGAGCAGGGCTTAAGCTGCTTGATCCAAAGTATGTTCTTTTGAAGCTTACCTTTCAACTATGTACACCTACACCACCACTAACTGAAGGCTCAATTTCTTCTACTTTTCAAACTCTGCAGAATATTTGCCAGCTAGATTAAAAGATTTGAAACCTACAGAACAGCCTTAATAGAAAGCAGCAGCTTTCTAGCAGTCCTATTGCTTATATTCAATATCTTGAGAAAGTAGTGCAAATAGCAATGCAAACCCAGCTGCTTTTAGAGCAAGAAATTAAGGCTATACATGCTGAAAATGGGTGACAACATCAAAGGAAAGCAAGAAAACATGCTGAAATAGGGAATGACTGCCTTCTTAATGTACAGGAAGGTGAAAATCATGTTCAGCAGCTTGACATGCAGCTTAATGAGCAGCCTGCAGAATCTACTCCAGCACCTCATCAATGAGCTCCGCAATGCTGTAGTGGGTGTGGAACAGTCAGACATACAATTTGGAATTGCCCTAGTAAATGCTATTATTTCATGTATTTTAATTAATCAATTCTAATGGCGTTGGTGGTTTTAAAGGTCGATTTAGATGGGGGTGCGGAAGAAAACGGACCGCTCGGTGGTTGAAAACGTTAGTTAGGATTTAACTGCTGATGTAACCAGAAATGATTTCATTTACAGAGGATCTTTGGTTGGATGATTCTGGTAGAAACTAAATTGTGCTATATATAATTGTATGGGTAATATCCAAAAAGTTCCCTCCAATATGTCATTCTCCCATCAGTTCATCATCAACATCAAAAATATGCGAAGGACAATGGCAACAAAAAGCATGTAAAACCTGCAGATGACAACACAACAGAAAACGAATACCCCTAATTATCCCTGAATAGGAGAGATATCTTCAGCCCATATACGTTCATAGACTGTGCTATGGCAAGCCCAATCAACCTCTCGGACTTTCTCCAGCTCCTCAACTAACTTGCCCACCTCGCCAACAAATTCGGGCATTCCGGCTCCAGCCAAGCTTTGACTAGCCGTCGTGGTAGCTCGCACCCTTTCACTGGCACTCGAAGCACTTAGACGGGAGAGGACATGGGAGCGCAAACGCGAAAGAATAAGCCGCGCAACAGGATCGCCAAAGCACACGGCAGCCGCTCCGGTTCCAGTAGTATTTGAAGGAGAGAGGTTTGGCCCCTCAGCAGATGATGAGTCGCAGGAAGCCGCATCACAACAGACCTCAACAGAGGTATCGGACATCGCCGACAGAGAAGCCACAGTACAGGCTGTCGCAACCGGTGCAAGAACTCTCCTGATAGTCCCGGAGAGCTGTGCACTAGCAGTTGAAGGCATCGGATGTATTAACTCAAGGATGGACTGAACTCGATCTGGCTGAATTTCAATAAAGTCCAGAGAGAGTAATCTGTCAGCTTCCGACTTCCACTGCGCCCGAACGTCCCGTTTGAGTAGGTTCTTGGCCGTCAGTAAAATGGACGCCGTGGCTACAATTCTGAAAGCCTTTGCGTGTAACTTCTCCAGTCGCCGGCGATCAAGTTCTAAAGTCTCAGGAACGATTTCATCTGAGACAGGAGCATTGCTCAGAACGAGATCGACGAGACCCTGAGCATAGGTTCTTGACGCCGATGGCCGCGGCTCGCCATTCACATTCTCCGGATCGCGTTTCTTCATCTCATCCACTATCAGTCTTCGATGAGTCCGCAAGAACTGTCTAGTCTTCCCTAGTGCTATCGTCCCATCTTGTAAGCCCCTATCGAACGTCCGTTGCTCGTATCCCGGTGCTTCCTGAATTAGCTGGGGTGCCGCCACACTGATCAAGAAGTTTGTGTGGTCTAAAGATAGCAAATCAATGATTCGCATCAACCTTGCCAGACGATCAATTGCGTCCCCTGACCGGTCTTGGGCGAATGCCCTGACTTCCGGATCTCGATACGGGGCGCAGAGTTTGGGCAGAATGATATTCATAAAATCAAAAAAACTATCATATGAAAATGTGCCAGCTTTGCACTGATTTTCAACGAGTTTCGGATCTAGAACTTCACTGATCAGTACATGGAGAGAATTACCTGGACGTAGCGAGCGCAATAGTCGATCCTGAATCACAGTAGCCATAGCTACTGTCCAATTCATGCCCAGTCCTGCTTCGACGTCCTTTCTCATCATATCGCACATGTGTTGCATGATCTGCTTTCGGGGCTCCGTGTACTGCGTCTCATCAATCTTGAACTCTTTGTTGATAAGGAGTTCGTGCACCAAGGTCCGATTGTCTGGTAGAGTGGTGAGCATCTTAGTGAATCTCTCATGGGGGGAGATTCTTTGCTGATCAAGCTCTCGAAGGACTGTGCTGTCAATGCTGCTAAATGTCTCGCTGATGGGTGAAGTGACACTATCCGTGAGAACATCGGTCGTCGAAGTTGCGACTTCCGCAGACCGCGGAATAGCTTGCTTGGAAGCTGCATGTCTCCTCTCTCGTTTCGCCTTCTTAAGAGCATCCCTAGCCATTTGCATCGCCTTCTCAGAACCCGCAAGGCGCTTCAGTCTAGCCAAAAGCAAGATCTGATTCTGCCTAATACCTTCCCGGTAATCGTCCGCGACACCACCATCGTGATCATCTTTGACTGTTTGCCATATCAATTCCAATTCTATAAATTGAGCGAGCATGATCTCGACCAAAACCGTCGAGTCATGTGCCTTCCATGCATGGAAAGCAGAGAAGAAAACATTATAGGATTCACACAGCGACTGGATCTCTGAAGGAATAGCAGACGACAAACATCCTGAAGAAAGCATGGAAATAAACTGCTCAAAAGCTGCCAGCAATTCCCCGGATTTCGAGATCAGATCCTGTTCCTGTTCTCCGTGGGTGCTGAGTACGTCGGCAGGATGCGTCACAATCATGAAGCTGCTGAGAAAAGTGCGTACTGCTCCTCGCTCGCCGACTGTACCACTCTCCATATCCTGTAACCCGCATAGTCGGAGGACCTTGGCCATGGTATTCAGCACTGTTTCTGAAGAAAGTAAAGCGCCCACCTCGTCAAAAGACATGGCACGTATGCGTTCAATAGTAATATTCAGAAGCCGAAATTGGCGCAAAATGACCATTGTATGATGGCTCCTCCAAGCTCGCTGGATCTTTCGTGCAGCAGCATCCCTGGTGAGTGGACAGGTAACAGTTGTCGTCATCTTCTTCTCCTCCGAGACTGGCAGGCTGCTCCTGCGGTACCGTCTGTAATTCTGCTGATAGAGTAGCCGTCTTCTTTCGGCCCCTGCAAACTTCTCTGCCATCTCCAAGCGAAGCCGGGCATGTTCCGCAGCCTTCCTTTCCTTGTTGTCTTCAGCCTTCTTCTTAGCACGTCTCACTTCTTCCTCACATTTAGCGGTGATCTCCGCCAGAAGCCTCTCGCGAGCCTGCTGTGCGGCTAACGCTCTTTCTTCTCTCTGCAGGTTCCTGGTGCTAGCCTTTGCAAGTGCAGCGCGCAGTCTTACCTTCTCCGCATGCAATGCCCGATCGGCAAGTCTCGCTTTACGGCTCTCCAGGATGGACACCCGCCGCAGATGTTGTGCGATATGGTCCGGGTGTAATGACCCATTTGACGAGCTGCTCGAGTGATTCGAATGCAGGGAAGAGACTGAGTTCCGACGGGATGAAGCAACGGAAGAGCGCCTCGCGACACTGGGCTTCCGGTAGAAGCGGGCGGCAATATGTGCCGGTAAGGTCAGCGGTATAGTCGGTTCGTCAGATAGCATTTCAATATCTGTTTCATTCGAAGAATCGCCCGTACTAGACGGAGCAGCGTCGGGGAGGTGGACATCCATGTCGGAGTTGCTACGGATCATGGCTGCAAAACGAGAGGGTGGGCTGAACTGATAAGAAAGCCACCGGAAGGAGACACAAGGCAGTCCGTTGTCGAAAGGGTGTCCCCTTTCTCCGGGTTGGGGTTGGCACGGCCGCAGGGAATGGGAAAGAAGAAAGGAACAGAAAAAGGGAAATTCTTGGAAGTGTCCAATTCAAGTCCAGTTCAGTTGTACGGAGTATCGAAACTGCGACATGTCCGACGGAAGGGGCTGGGTCTGCGGGGAGATCCGTGCTTGTTTCGAATTGTATCAAGGCGAAATAAGACGAGGGTGAAGCTTAACAAGGAGGATGTAAGTCATCCATATAAAGAAGCTCGAATAGGTAACGCGAGGGAGGATTCAATATGGAGAACAAACTGGAAGATGCAAGAAACAAGAGGAAGGCGAAGGCGAAGGGAAAGCGAAGGAGGCGAAAAGGAAGACGACATGAGACAGTCGAGAGTCCGTAGCCTGGATGAAGCAGTCAGTCAGCTAATCGTCGGCAAATGGGCGAATGGGCAAATGGAGAGATATTACAGCGTACATGAATGGATCCGTACGACTCTGTACAGTCAGAGACGGCGATGAGCGAAAATGATGGGATATCAGCGTCATCAGATTCGGTGGCTGCCGCTTCATTAAGAGCCACACAGCCACATGTCTATCTACTGTATCAATCTTGCTATTCATCCTCCCGGGCGTAGATAGGATGAATCATGAATATGCTGTGTTGAAGCGCAAGGTGTTCTAGAACTATGCAAGTGCCCTACACGTCCACGCGTCCTCGAGTATCCGCCTCGTCTTCATCTCAGACTAACCGCCCCGCTAAGCATGGAAGTCTCTCCCATTCTCAGATCGATGGCAGTCCTCTTAAAACCAGACTGGCCACTGCCGCTTCAGACATACCCTTAAACCTTGCTTGGTTGTTTGTTACCTCGTTGGATTGGAGAACTCTCGTGCTTGTGGTGACAGTATGAAGCCTATCTACGCAAAGGCTTCGATGTGATCGTTGGGGCTTTGCTTGCACTCAGTTTGGTGTAATCGTCAGCGATGCATGAATGGAGTTCGTCGGGGCTTTTTCTCTTCACTCTTAGTGGACCTGCACGTGGCTACTTAGCCATTCTTATCCTCATCGGTGCCCGAAGATATCAATCTCGTCTTCTTCTTCGTCGTCATCGTCATCGTCGTCGCTATCGTCACCATCCTCCCCATCCTCCTCCTCCTCCTCCTCTTCTTCTTCTTGTTGTTGTTGCTCTTCCCCCTCTTCCCCATCTTCAATTCCCTTCCCGTTGTCCTCTCCGCCATCCATCCCTGGCGGTCCGTCAAGTGGCTCAGTTTCACCAAAGAAACCATAGGTGTAGTTAAGTTTCTTACCCCAGAAAAATAAACCATCGCCATCGCGCCTCTCCTCGCTTTTACGGCTTCGATTTCCGAAAACTGATGCTGATCTTGATATGGAGGATTCCTGGGTTGGCGGCAAGCCAAAATAGTTACTGACAACTGGCGACACAGCACGGCCACGAGTGAGACTGTACGAAGATCGTCCATTTCTTTCCACCGACGAAGATGTACCTAGATGGGAGTATGAGCTTGTCCCCGGTACGGAACTAATGCTGATTTGCAAAGAACCCAATGCTCCCTCATCTACACCGTAGGACGATGGCCTGGGTCGAGAAGCTGGAAGATTTCCACTATGCCCCTCGCGTTCAACAGAGTCTAGAGCATCATCTCGAAGAAGTCGAATTTGAGCTGTGTTGTAGGACTCGCATCTACAGATTATTAGTGCATGCTGTAGTATTCAACACGGAACACTTACAGGTCACATTTTAGACCCAACCAGTGGTACTTCACAAATGATTTTGCGCCGCAATCGTTACAGTAAATTAAAGCCCTTGTATCCTCAAATTCGGCTGGCATGGGCTGACTCTGTATAGTACGGTCCAAGTTCCTAAATGTAGACTCCATATTGGTGATAGTCTTGCTGCAGATTGGGCAACGATACGAGCCTTTTGAGTATTCAGAAAGGCATTTGTGATGAATACTGTGGCCACACCGCATAACGACTACCGTTTCCGGAGAAGTGAACATATAATCTCCGCAAATAGGACAATCGCATTGGGTCGAACGCTCGATACATCGATGGGTGTTTTCGATGGATATGGGTAAGCATACACTACATGTCTGTCTCTTCATCAGTGTACGTGAGGAAATTGTAAGCACAGGCTTTGGATTTACCTTGCAATGAAAGAAATCCTTCCCCAACCCTTGCCCAATACGGCATATTCCGCAGTCATTGCAGTGATATATACTCTTCTTGCTATCATTGTCCCAGAGTTTGCAAAGGCTGCAGTAATATTGTGCTGCCTGTTCACCGCATTCCTTGCACCATTGCCCAGCAGGTTGAGCATGCCCGCAAACCATGCATAACATATATTCGGTCTTTTGCCGAATGAGATGATGGCCTTCGACTTCATCATGACAGAAGCGGCAAGTGTACCACTTCTTGCATGTGAAACACTGCAATTTAACATTTCTCTTGTAGTGTTTACAGCCTAGGTAGACCTCCTCAGGCTCCTCGGTATCCATGTCATCTCCATCTCCAAGTGGGGACTCCGGCTCTTCTCTTGGAGCAAAGGTCGGTTTTATATCCTCGGGTGTCAGATTGAACTGGTTAATTTGCTCAGTACTTGAAAGTACGGATGCTGGAGTCGTAGGCTGCTGATCGAGAAACGGTTGATTTCCATGGGATTCCCTGCTCCCCGAATCTGTCGAGGTTTGTAGGTTCAATGTAACTGCTATTAACGGCTGTTGTCCATTTGATCTCCCCCGGAAAGAGTGGTAGCTTTCTGTCATCAACTGGTGAACCATCCGTGCTTTTTCACCACTGGAGACTTCCATGTCTCGGATTGCATGGATCTTTCCCCGTAAGACACCCATTCCATCATCTTCTGGAAGAGGAGACTGCCCCACGTCATCCATTCCAAAAAGGGTGTCTGAGGAATGGTCTGTTCTCTGCGAGTTTGGACTTGATTCATGAGAATTAGTCTGCACGTGAATCGGGGAGGGAATGGGGCGAGTAGTAGTGTTGTTGCTCCTAGAGTCCACAGGAGAACCCATGGCAATGATTGGGTCGGAAAAACGAGTGTTGGAGTCCTCTGGTGGGGGGGTTCTTGACTCAAGTCCTCGTTCCCTTGTCCGCAAAGAACCCTGGAGTTCCTCGTGTGAACTGCTCATCTCGACTGCTATTGTAGTAAACTCTGTAGATCCAGCATTCAGTCCCAGTCTGGAGTGATTTTCCTGGTCCGGGGTGCCAATAGCTTCATCGCCATTGCTCCCGCTGGAGACTCCTTGCTCCGTGCAGTGAACGGCGATTCTCCTAGGGCGTTAGGGGAAGATGATTGACAGCTTGCTTGTTGCGATAAAACGGCGGGCCGATACACGGGTTCGGATAGCAAGGAAGTGATGAACTCGCTGGGGACTGGGAGATGACATCTGTTGCAAGATGAGAACGTAACAATAATAATGAGAATAATGATATCGCTTCGTTCCCAGTCTCGTATGACGGCACGGAGGCCCGCCTCTCTTTTCAAATAATCATGAGACTAGACATGTGACCTACCCTTGTTTGGATCAGAAAAGTCGCCTGAATGCCTGAACATTCTTTGATCGTTGACTACATATCTGCACTGGGCAGGATCTTTGTATTTCTTAGTTCAGACAGGAGGTTTATCTCAGAGACAATGTACATATTGCCATGGCTGAAGAATACACCGAGAAATAACAAGGTTAACTCCTACAAGCGAGCTACCATTGCCATTCACTCAAGAACAAGCCCGTAGCTCCGGCTCTGTTTTTTAGGATAAATAATTACACAGGAGTATTATTTCCATGTGCCAAAAATAGGGATTTCAGAACCAGGGAGATATCAAGCAACTGGTAAGCTCAGAGAGACATCGGGAGTAAGCCTTGACACCTATCTCAGACAAGTTCCTAGACTCTCATTGAGGAGCATCAATGTCGAATTAAAATGATTACTACACGTTTTCCGTAGGTGAATCTCTTTTCCACTGAGCCCTTTCAACCTTAAAGGAGAATTAATAATTCCACCCTGCCCTTGTTCTTCTTGCCCGTTGAACGAACTTACATTCGGCCTTCTCTCCTCACCTGAGGTTGTTCCCAATACCGGACCATCATTAAACTCCTTACAATCTTGTGTTCCATGCCAGTTGTGTTAGATGCTTGTCGAAGGAAACGCAAAGTGTTGGCTATCTTCTGTGAATCGAAATCCTCAGCAGGAAAGGAGCGAAATGAGGACCGCAGTATCCGAAGTAATACGTGCCGTGAGGGAGTTGAGTAGTTGACAGCCTGTAGACCTTGGCGGTAGAGATGCCGGTAAGCATGAATGACCGCAAGGTGCTTTGGCTGGACAGCGGTGCCCATTGCAGTGATGTGAGCCCAAGGAATAACAAGGGCGATGTCTGCGATTAGTATAATAACTGTCAACGTTCATTGCTGACGCACAAGGATGTATTATTATTATTGGCGGGCGACTCACCACTGTTGGCTTGTGCGCGATCAGTCGACTTGCAAGTGCAGCATGCTGGAATGTTGTTCTTTAGATTAAACCTTGCAGACCACGCAGTCAGTTGGGCCGCAAATTATTTCTGAGGAGGCCGCATCACGTTGGGAATCAAGTCTCCCTCCATCCCATCCCGCCTCCATCTGCGCGCGTATGCGCTGACTGACTTCCGAGCGGGCTACGCTACCCCTCGACCTTCTTTCCCTCCATCATTCTCCGTCCAGCTTAAGGCATTCAGAACATCCACATGAATCGCTCTTCTATGTGCCTGATTGAAGCTGCGACTGAAACGAACTTTATTCTCGAGGTTCCACCACCTGCGTAGGGGATGTTTTCACTAACAAACTAGCATATCTGTGAAAGAAAGGCAACTTATCGCATACTACTACATTTCTCTTGTCCCACCTGCGTGTCCGATTGCTTGCTAGTACCTTTGACATGCTACTGATTTAAAAAGATGTCTTCCTTCAATTGGAATGTCTGACTTTAATCTTCTGAGAATACGACGCTGGAAACTATGGCACGAGTGTTCAGGCAAACGACGTCGACTTCTGCCATGCGCGTTCCAGGCAGTGCCACGTCAAGGAAGATTCGAAAGCACAAGGTGATTATGGAATCAGTTACACAGGAGAAGAAGAAACTGCGGAGCGTAGTATGTCGCCGCTATCTCGAGCCCGTATGTGTGATCTTAACCATTTCCAGATATCGTTCGAGGCGAAGGCACCTCCCGGCTATACATTCATTCCTGCAGGTAATCCTCAGCTCACCAATGCATGCAAGGACATTTGTCGGACAGATGGGTTGAAGGTCTTTGCTGTCACGGTAAGCTACGCTTTACAAGTTCCCTTCCTTTCATCTAGCTACCATATCCCTGGCTTACTGTTCGCTGTCAGACAACTCCTCATATGCACACTCATGGTCTTTCGCAACATGTGCATAGAATTGGGTATCATTTTCCCAGTACTGTTGTTGCTACCGTATGTATGGATCTAGGTTTATATCTTACGACAACCGGAAAGGTTGTCCCTATCTATGGCGTTGGCAGAAATGGAATCCGCAGGCGTAGCAACTCGGAGGTGTCTCAGATCACCATTAACACCGAAGCGAGAGACGTGATCAGGGATCTTTTCCCCAATATACCCGACAAAGATTTGAATCAGATTATTAAAACCGCTTTCCAGAAGGTATGTCTCGCAATCAAAGATGCGCCACGATTGCTAACTTAAGAAAAACAAAACTAAATTTAGGGCCAACGAAAAGTCGGCACTGCTGTTGAGTTGCCTCTAGCCCGTCGAGCCCAGTTAGCGGTGGTAGCTCACATCCGCCACATATACACAGATTACGATCGTCTTCTCAAAACAACATCCTTCCACGAAGCCAGGAGCCTCGTTGAGGAGCCTACCTTAGCCAAACTAGTCGAATGGAGGGGCGATGATGAGAATGGAAAGAAAGTTCTTGAGGACGTTTTTCGAGAGGTCATCGTCATATCTGACGACGATGACTCTGATACTGAAGAAGTAGCCTCAGCGTCGCTTAACCGAGGTCATGGTTTGGAAATTATTTCTGTTTCAAGCAATACACGAGCGGAAGAACTTCATGCCAGACCTATTTATTACAAAAACTTGTCATTACGAGGATCGTTACAAAACATTTCCGACGATGATGAAGCACCTCCGGGCTATCGTTTCATTATGGGAACAACGAAGAGCAAGATCGACCGCCGCGGCTTCAGCAGATACCAGGCCTGGGATCGTGCTATCAATCGATATAGGAATGAAGCTCAAAATAGGAATGCTGCAATGACTAACCAGGACAGACTTCGAAAGCCCACGTTCCCCGCTCCCTTACAGAAAAATGCGCAAATGAGAATGAGCATTGAGCCTTCTGGAGGACGTTCTCTGGCTGCTCTGCCTTCTCCCGTTAAATACATCTCTGCTTCTAATCGAACAGGTCCTGGCTATAGGGTTGAATCTTTTCCGGATCGAGAGAGAGCTCGTGTAAGTATCTATATATATCAACACCTGCGGTTTGCACCTATTTCAAACACGTGGATCCAGTGGGTACAAGAGATATAGGCTAACTTCAGTTAAGCCGTATGGACTACATACTCTGATTGCTCCAATCTCCCAGAGAGACCCAGATCCTGTCCATATATCGGGCTCCCATCAAGAGAAGTCCCCTATGTTTACAAGTGATCCCTTAAATGCCTCCATTATGGTTAGTGGCCCTAGAGATGCCCGTGAAGGCGATGGGCGCCAATTTGGACGCCACGCTAGAGCACTAGTCCCTTTCCATAACGCACGAACCTTGAATCCTCAGGACCATGTACTGCCATCAATTGAAGTTCCCTACTCTTCACACTTGGGCTCTATATCCCAGGACAGCAAGTACAGAGACAGCTCTAAAAAGCTAGATGCTTCAGTCTGTCCTATAACATCTTGCCACCCGATTAGACAAAACTACAAAGAACATAGCACACCTGATAGGGCTTGTGCTAGCAATCGGGTTCTGAAGAGGCGGCGGCTTACATATGATGAGGCTACCTGCAATGTCAGTTATGGTAGCTTGTCTAGGGCTGCACAGTTTGTTGGTCCTGCTGTTCACGAAGCGACCCATCCAGGATCGAAAAATATTGCATCAAGGAAAATGCCTGTGCAGGATGATTCTCTTATACGTAAGAAATATGTCGCTCCAGGTAATCGACCTTGCTTAGGACCGCGTCCGCCAGTGGGCATCCAGAATCAAAACTATCCTGCACATTCCAATCTTAATTCAGGTTTCTCCGTGGACCGAAAACAATACAATGACCTTGGTACCCCTGCATTTTCGAATTATCCTCAGCCTGAGCTTAATGCTCTTCAGAGACTTCCAAAACCAACCCTTTCCAAGGCGCCGTCTGGAGCAAACTATTTTGTCCCCAAGGAGGATAGCCTATCCAGAACCCACACTTTCCCTGGTTCTTTTGGTACCAGGCCATGTCGTTTTATCTATGACGACATTAGTCTTGACGTTCATGGTCCAGGACAGCCTACATTGGAAAAGAGGAAGCTCTCCACATGGAGGAGCAGTGCTGATGGTTCTGTTTTTGATTCAGATGATGGCCATTCGCGAAGGAAAATTCATTCGGGCAACTTTTTTCGTCCTATTAATTCCCATAACCCCAGTCCATTGGAATATGCAACGCGGCCGCCGGAGACGCAGAGCAACTGCAGGGGGCGTATCTCTCATCCGGTCAGAGTTGAAAGACATACTGATCGGCATGGAAACGAATTGTCTCAAAGAATGGAATTACCCACCCTGGGTGACCGGCCGCACTGGAATGCTCAAGAAGAAGAACCTGCTCGCGGGTACACCGTGCATCGCACTCATGACTTTGAATCCACAGACCATTATTACAAGGTGCAGCGCGATGTCCTACCGAGTACTGAACGGTATGGCCATACCTATTATGAGTATCCAATTTGGATGCCAGACTGAAGTCCATGTCCCCTGACTCCGCAAATTTGGCTGACTTGGCTACAGACAGGCCAACGCATACTCGTCGCCAACAAGGCTACGTCCTTCTACATACATAGGAATGGCCACGCGTCAGCAACCACGCGCTCATTTTCCGGAGGGAAATTCAACCGTCATTGTCGATTAGAAAAGGCGCACTGTGCCACGCCATGTTAGGTTGTAACACTTATTAACTGACCACGAATATGATGTGGACGATACCGATCGTATACTCGTATGAGTCATTTTCTCTCTGCATCCTTGTGAACTAAGTGCTGGACGTTTTTAGGCACTGGCAATACTATGCTGCATACATACTCTGTACATTGTAAGGATATAAATTAGTGGGCCCCGTGTTTTGAAGGGACTTCTGCTTCGGGAACATCTATGTTGACGGCCAAGCTAGTGCGTCTCGAAAATCAGATAATGTAGTGTTTGCTAGTGCATGCAATCTATTCGAAGACAGATATGTCGTAATAATCTGAATTAGTCCCTTCCACCGTCCTCCAATACAGAATGCGAAGCATGTCCTAACCGGCGTCAAGGGCGTGGAAAGCGTTGTCCACCTCGAGACAAACGAATCACGCAACGGCTCACCGGAGTAGGATGTCTTCAAGGAGAGAGCATTCAAACACCTCTTGGTTCGCCATCAGCTTCGCCGCTGTTCACGGTTTTACCCGTTTTCTTGATTGTAGCTAGAACAGTATCATACGATACAGAAGACTCGGTGACGACAGAAGCGGTTTGTGAATCGAGGCTAACGTCGAACGTCTTGACACCTTAACGACAGACAATAGAGAAAACGTTAGTGGGCAGTTCAGCTCGAAAAGGAGCATAGGGAGGGGTATGGCACATCGAGGATGGGAGTCCAATAATGAGATTAGGGAGGGGTATGGCACATCGAGGATGGGAGTCCAATAATGAGATTGAATAGGCGTAGAGAGAATTTTCTTCATGATGCGTATAAGCCAGGCTTGGGTACATACCATCGAGCTTCTTCAGGACTCGTTCCACAGCCCCAGAACAACCGCTACAGCTCATGGAGACGTTGAACTTGTATCGGTGATCAGACATTGTGTATTACTTGTTGATGGCTTATTTGCTCAGCCAGACTGGGATGGGGATGGAGAAGGAAAGCAGAAAAGATGATCGGACCTCTGCGTTGGATGTGGTTACTATTTATTTTGTTGTCTGCCAGCCGCACTGTACACTCACCATATATATGCCTAATACACAGGAGCGATGCCCAGACAGTCAGGATAATAATAAGAATGTTACCTATAATAACAGTAACGTCACTCCAAATCCCTTCCTGTCAAAAGAGCACGCCAGAAATGGCAGCGCTTACGAATACAATTCCTTGTACCACTGTAACCGCTTCATGCTAAGCCGCTTGCGTCTTGATTACAAGTATCTCAGATGATAACAATACGGTACACTCCTTGTGCCTTCACTGGCATCTTGAACGAGTAGGCAACCCCTGGCATCACCAGCCTGAGGTAAGGTAAGTCTGTTGGCATCGATGCCAGATTTCTAAGTGGAAGTCAAAAGCCAGCTGCCCTCCTCTTTTTCCTCCCCTTTTCATTGCCCCTACGATTGCCTTCCCGACCACCGAAAATACCCCTCTCTACTTGGGTCATAGGCAGACTATCTTCTGTGACTTGGCTGCTCTTCAACTGTACTCTTGGCGGTTCTGTTTGCGGTTGACTGCCCCATTCCCGGACAACAGGAGCAGCCGAAGACGTAGACGGATGCGTCGAAGATTCGAGACTAAGGCCATTAGATACCTTCCTTCTTGATCTATGTTTTGGCGTCGTAGCTCTAGCTTCTTCATTGTCTTGTGCCTGTGATGATTTATGCCAGTCGTAATTGCACGGGTCCATTCCAACATGCCAGTGAGAAAGTATGGAAGTTGCAATCCGAGAAAGTGGCCTGCGGCCATTGACTGTTGTCAATGTGGACAAAGTTGCGAAATCCGGGTTCACTTGGTCGCCCTGTCGTGCTCGTCGTCCTGGGATTTCTTCTTTTCCGGCTGCAACACCCAACTCACGTTCTATCGAAAGCGAGGCAGGACGCACATCGACACTTGGCGTCAGAGGCAATTCTAACTCGGTCACATGGACGCTCCTAGGTGGACTTGTCATCGCCGTAATTTCCCGATCATTGCGCAGGTCTTCAGCACCAGCCCGGTCCGGGACACGAGCTACCGTAGGGATTATCTTGACCCTGGATAAAACTATTTCAGCGGCGATGCCTCGTATTATTCTTTCTTTTAATAATCGGGTACGTCCTGGTATATCATGCGACAAGTTCGACAGCCAGTCGTTGGCCAGACGATCGTACATGGCCACAAGATCCAAATTAGAAGATAACTGCAGTCTGCTTCCAAGCTCCACAGACATTGTGCTAGGAACACTTGACTTTAAGATCACAAATAAAGGCGGGTTCTGAGAGTCAGTATTTTTACGCATGTTGACTGACACGAGGAGGTTCAAATCTCGCGCATTCTGATCAATATCGTCTAGGGAAGGGCTGCCGCTGAGAATTTCGAGTCTATAACTTGTCAGCCATCTGCACTTGGATTGCCAAGAGTCAGACATACATTGTTTGATTTGTGGATAGTGTACTCAGGGCTCTTTTCGAAATCCTGTTCTCCAACTCTCTAAGCAATTCCCTGAAGCATTTTTCAGGTTGCTGCTTCTGGTTTGCTTGTTTTGAAGTCACTGTTAGCTCGCCCATGGTAACTTGGTAGATTTGCGTGAAGTCGAAGGTCCATGACGAGCCCGTCGGAGGCGTGGGAGTGAAGGCCCAAGTATTCCGTCTTGTTAGTAAATCGGCAATGGATATGGATTCATCCCAGTCATCAACGACAAAGTCGCTATACCACCTCTTGTTACCATGGCCTCCCGGGAAACGTTTCCTTGCCCGTAGGATTTCACCCCCAGGTAGATTTTCTTCACCATGATAATCGTCTCCCGGTCCAAAATATATAGATTCATGCAGAGCGAGTTGAGAATCAAGCGCAAAAAGCTTTATAGGTCTAATGGTCGGGCCATGGCCTTTTTTACTCGACAACGAATATGCGACCTCTTTAAACACCAAGGTTGTGAATTGTACGTCATATCCAGGTGTATGAGAATCCGCTAGATTCTCAGATCTAGACGGAATGTTCAACAAAAATGGGTCCGGAATGGAAAGGGGCTCTGTTTGAGAGGTAGGATATTGGAAAACCTGCACAAGGCGATTAAGCCGAGAGTATAAAATCAAGTATAAATCTGGCAGATATTAGTATAAATACCCGATGCATACAAGTCATGGTATAAAAAAACCCATACTTTCACCAACAAGCAGAAAACTCAACCGCAAGGTCGTGTCTTCGAAATCTCGAAAATGGCGCCAAGATAGACGGGGTTTGGGAGATAGTCTTCCCTCTTCTGTACTGGCCAAGATGGTGCTGGTTGTGATATCGAACCAGAAAATGCGAGATGTTGTTAGGATGAAAACGTGTGACATATCATAAGAGCTGCGCTTGACATCCAAAACCCATTCAGATTTTCTCTCAAATCCGAGCTCGATTGGATAGCATATGGTCTGGTCACCATCCATTCGGTAAATAGACACACAGCGTCTGTCAGAAACAATGAAGCTATTGAAGTCCGCAACCCACTCAATAGCTGCCCAGCCATCATGACGGGCTTGGTTATGCAAATCCGCATTGTCACTGGGATCCACCCGAGGCAGCGATCCTGACCGCACGCAGTCCGCATTCCAGCTGCTCTTATTCTGCTTCTGTCGGCTAGAAATTTCCCATATACTCCAGTTTCCTGTTTCATCCACGATGGCAACCTGTTTCTGATACCAGGGGTTGAACGTCACATCAGCATGTACAAATCCGCCTGTTTGGGAAGCCGATATCTCAATCAAAGCATTGGCATCAAGACGTGAATTGTGCAATTTAAATGATGAACCATAAAAGCCATCGTGATCGAAGTGCATAGCAACAGGATTTCGATGATACAACGGTCTGAAAATCGCGGTGAACAGAGGAAAACGTGCGGCCATCCAAGTCGACTTCGCATCTACCGTCCGCGCGAAGCGAATCTGGCGAACAGGAGCACCACATCCAGACCATTCAGTGGTCTCTTCTCCACCCACTGATGGAACTCTCATCCATACTGATTCTTGTCGCAATTCTACTGCATCATCTTCAATTTTTCGAAAGCAAATTGTATCACCACACTCCCCAGTAGCAAACACCGCGATTGGGAATACGCGACCCGATACATCATTATCGACATCTGCGGCATTTCCCAGATCAAAAAGCGAGGCAACCCGAGGTTCGCAAACATTGGTTGTCGCTGAGATGACACGAGAAAGTCTTTCGTCACGAATACAAGGCCAACTTGGAGCAATTTGTGGGTATATTCTCGCTAGAGTACCATTATTACCCTGCAAAGAAGTCCTAGGAGCGCTTATTGGGGATGGCACGGTTGTTTTCGTTATTCCTGAGTATGAGACCAAAGGCGCTGGTTTTCTGTGAGCAGCGAACCCTTTTTAGCTTTCATACAAGGGAGAAAGTACACACATTTAGCCAGGGTACGAGGGAAAGTCCAGGACCGTAACTCTGGATAATAGGTCGCATGTCCTAAGTGCCCATACTCCAGAGCACTTCTAGGATTCTCACCCATCGGGCCTTTCTTTGGGTTTGGCAGTAGAGAACCCTAGCCCGATGATAATCATATCGAGAAAAAAGGTGGCAGGCTTTTGGTGGGAAAGTCTGTCTTAAAAGGTATGCTGGGAATTAGCATGGGATTTGATTCTTGTACAATAATCCATCAGGACGTAAGATGCGTGAAGCTATGGATTTTTCTTTCTTGAGTTTGCAGGAAAGCCAAGCTTTTATTAATCTTCGGCTCTGGTTGCGCCGCAACATACGCCGTCTCTCTTTTATTGACCGCGTAACCGAAGTTCGATCGAAAGCTATCAACACCTCCGTCTGTTTCACAGAGAAAGACATTCCATATTATTGAAATTCCCTTGATTATGACATCTTCATTCGAACCATCATTTTCAATGAGTGGTCTGCGACCGCCGCTCGCGTCAGCGGATGCGCCTTCGGTGGCAGATTCCCTTCCAAGCATCAACTTCGGGTTTGAAGATCTACGGAATCGTATGGCTCAATTTACTGCCAAATTTGATGCATTTATTGAGCGGGGGCGGAAGCAAGTTCTTGAAGAGAGAAATCAGTTTAGAATTAACATGGCAGAGCTTCAGGGTATGTTGGAACTAATACTTCTTGTCTACTTGCCAATATTCTAACCGGGAAATCCAAGAGGACCAGCGGATGAAACAACGAGATATCGAAATTCTCGATCTCAAATCCCAGACCCATTCACAAACTCTTCAAAAGGAGGCTGCAGAGTCTGCGGAAATGCATGCTGCAATATCCTCGATAGCAATAGAACATGATTCACGTCTTGCTAAGCGTGATCGACTCAAGCAGCAGATTGCCGAAACCCAGAGGGCAATCAATCAGAAACTGGAAGCCCAGAAAGCTCATGCTCAGCATCTGGACGCCCAAGCACGTCTTAATGTTCCCGAACTTGAATTCTGGCAGGACTATCTCTGCCTACGAATTGAAGGGGCCGGTAGGGAAGACCGGTTGAAGTTCGTCTACACTCATTTGCTCGAAAAGGACTGGGAAACAGAAGCCTGGTTTGAACTCGGCACTACAAGTCGTGATTACGAGGTCTTCCATACTCGCCCTAAACTCGGACGGGATGCAGTTGAGCGAGAGCTTAATATTCTTAATGAAGATCGGGACTTTGGCGCATTCTTGAAACGGATGCGCAAATTGTTTGTCAAGGAGATGAAGTGAAGGGCAAACTTTTTTTCGCCGATAATGATTCGGGAGGGCACCTTCGTTGAAATAAATGGGATAGCACATAACCCTAGTCTTGGACAACATATATCTCCATTGGAAGGGAAAACGCCTAGTTTAGTTTGCAAGTTGCATTCTAGTAACTCCTGGTATAACACCATTATTTGGCTTGTTTAGCCTAGTGAATCAATTTTCGCGAAATCCTTGCTCAACAAGACGATGGAATTCAGCCTCCAGTCGCCTCCCTATAGAATGCTATGCTTCGATTCGCTCCTGCAGTCGCAAATCCCTCCGTTTTTCCGATCTTTGGAAGCCACTTGACACTCCACACACATTTTTCTGTTTCAGAATGAGTAGCGACGCAGGTCCTGGTGTCGATAGACCAAACTTTAACTTTTCCATCAAAGGACCTTTTGAAGCTATCAGTCTCAAAATCTGAGGGAAGACGGGAAACATAATGGCCAACGTACCCGCTTAAAAGGTACTCTCCGGTGTGGCTCCAAGCAAGTGACATAATCCACGCTGAGTGTCCCGAGAGATTGGCGACCTGCTCACCAGACGAAGTATCATATAGAACAATGATCTTCGAGTCTCCAGCTGCAGCAAGAAGTTTCCCACCCGGAGAAAATGCCACCGCTCGAACGGACTTCACCAAGCCTATTGAGGTCAGCGGACATGATACGGCTATTTGGGCAATTTCAATTTACCTGACAAGGAGAAAGGCATGCGGCCTGTTTCCGTGCTGAAGATGTAGACACCACCATTTTCGTGGCCACTGGCTATAAAGCGGCCATCACTGGACTTGTATAGTCAGAATAAGCATGAAAGAAGCCAAAGTATTTTCAATAGCCTACTAAATCCAAGCATGTCCCGAAGCTGCCCTTCGCCTCGTAGTCGCGTATCTCTTCGCCGCCGGCACTTAAGTCCCACACTTTGATATGACCGGACTGAGTGACACCAGCAAGATGTCGTCCATCTTCTGATAAGGCAATTGCCCAAACATCTGCAGAGCCGACTGCGCCAGATATTTCCTGTCAGCATACGATTGAATGAACATTGAACAGCCGGCAAGCTTCTTACCTGACGTTGTGTGGTCTTCTGACCAATTTCCGTCATGGTACAGCCAAATCTTAATGTCGCCGCCGAAGCCTATGCTGACTGCTCTCGAACCCTTTGCATCTGTAACTATATGATGGCAGCCAATCTTATGCGCTTCCTCCAGAGACTGTACCAATGCAAAGTCGGGGCCAGTAGTCGAGTGGATTTTGATAGAAGAGGCTCCCGAAGCCGACAGCACTTGCGTGGTAGTGACAGCTAGAGAAAAAATATCAATGGGATGTGCTAATTTCAATCTTAGTTAAAGACGTTCTCATTCTAAAAAAAATATCCGCTCGGCGAGTCTGTTTAGACGCACCTTTATCCGCGGAGCCCCATGAGAGGTATTGTTTTGACTGGAGACAGTTGTTAAGCCAAGGCCTCCAGGCAATGAATAATCCCATTTAAATGACATTACCATTTTGAACCTCCGAAATGAGCACGACTGATTGTGTATAAAAACGAATCTGGGCAGTGTAACGAAGTCCCGATGACGTCCTTGCGTCGGGATTGTTTTTACGTGAGGCTTGAATTTAGTCGTCAGTATGGAGTAGGCAAGCATCCGAACAAATGGTGCAAATGGAAATTCACTGCTGGTTGTTACCTCTTTTCCGAGCCCTACGAACATATTCGGAATACGCCATAAAAAGCCAATAAGTTCAATAAGAATAAAGAATATGTATACAGGCAAAGAAAAACACATTTTCCCCATGGTAACCAGACGCCGAGTGCCATGCAGCTTGTACCCCCGCCCGTATAGAAGAACTGCGAAACCGCCCTGGGGGTTAGACTACATTTTCTCTCCCATCCTACTCTTAGTTCGTGTAAGAATCATGCGGTTTTGGTTTCTCGCCATTGATTTTTTATCTCTGTCGAAACGTCTTAGATCAAGTGTACTATCGATATCAAGCGCCAAAGAAATATAACGTACCTCCAACACAGTGCGGGCACAGAACATGCGCTCTCTTGGTCCTACCGCAGCCGGAACATGTACTGAGACTTTTAACATCTTTGAGGGCCTTGCCAGCCATTTGCCTATGACGCTTCTTCATATGAGAAGTCTTTTTCTTCGGTACGGCGCGAAGCACAGAATCCCAGAGATCAGATAGCCAGCCTCCAGTTATTCCCAAAGATATCGAAATGGGTACGATACTGTAAGAGACGCTAGAGGAAACCTGCGACACGGCTTGCGACGGCAGGAAGATGCGCGGAAGAATCTGTGATGAAACGGTGGACGGAAGCGCTCGTAGGGCCATGGCTGCGGTGACCGGGTCTTTCTCTCGATATGAAATAAAAGGCCGTGAGAGGCTATTATGCACTGATCGGGTAGGGAACGTGAACAAATGAAGGCAATGAAGCAGACTGGACACCCAAACCAGACAGCTGCACATACAATTATTGAGATTAGAAGCTGGACGAACGGTTACAGCTTACCGCAGTCGACGGTTGCCGCTAGCCCCAACTCGGCCTAGGCCCCTTCCCCTTGCTTTCCCCCTGAATCGGAATCGCCAACTCGAAGACAACATGGAATAAGGGGTCGATCAGCTCGTAACTCGAAGGCTCTGGAGCTGCTGGTTCTCTCTTTCCTGCGAACTACTTCGGTCGATGCTTTTTGACTCGTATTTTCTCTGATCCTGCCATAGCTTTTCCCGTCTTTCATCGTCCTCACAATGGCTACCGCTGCAGCGCCTCAAAGCACGGTCTTTCCCCGGAGCCATGTAGGCTTCGACAGCATCACTTCACAGATCGAGCGGAAGCTCTTGAAGCGTGGCTTTCAGTTCAATGTGATGTGTGTTGGTATGTCCGATGTTGATGCTAATTGTTATGGCCACCTATTTCTTAATTATCCGCTATTAACTTCCTGAACCTCAGGTCAAACCGGTCTCGGCAAATCTACTCTCATCAACACTATATTCGCTTCTCACTTGATTGATTCTAAAGGCCGTCTGACGCCCGACGAGCCTGTGCGCTCCACTACGGAAATTCAGACGGTATCCCACAGTATGCTTTCATCGTTGAGCCACGTGGTAAAGAAGGTGTTGCTAACTATTAGCAACAAGTCATTGAGGAAAATGGTGTGCGTCTCAGGTTGAACATCGTCGATACCCCTGGGTACGGTGACCAGGTCAACAACGATAGATGGTATTAATCTTCCCCCGTGTCAATGGAACGAGCTGACCACGGTTTAGTTGGGATCCGATTGTTAAGTACATCAAAGACCAGCATTCAGCGTACCTTCGGAAGGAACTCACAGCGCAACGCGAACGCTATATCCAAGATACCCGTATTCACTGCTGCTTATTCTTTATCCAACCCTCTGGACATGCGTAAGTGTCTTTACAAGCTCTTTCGATATTGGAGGTGCATATTGCTGATTCTTAGCCCCAGTCTCAAGCCAATTGACATCGTTGTGCTGAAGAAATTATCGGATGTTGTTAATGTTGTTCCAGTCATTGCCAAGGCCGATTCACTTACTCTCGAAGAGCGTCAAGCGTTTAAGGAGAGAATCAAGGAGGAGTTTGCTTTCCATAACTTGAAGATGTATCCCTATGATAATGACGAGTTTGATGACGAGGAGCGTGCCATGAACGCGCAGATCAAGGTATTTTCATCCTACTTCATAAAGCCATCAAATGGATCCTCTATGTAGACATCTCTAACATAACATTCGCATAGGATATTATTCCTTTCGCTGTGGTTGGCAGCGAAAAGACCATTGTTGTCAATGGAAAACACGTCCGCGGCAGGCAAAACCGCTGGGGTGTCATTAACGTCGAAGATGAATCCCATTGCGAGTTTGTCTCTTTGAGGAACTTCCTCACTCGCACTCATCTCCAAGACCTTATCGAAACGACAAGCCAGATCCATTACGAGACATTCCGTGCCAAGCAGCTTCTGGCTCTGAAGGAAAGCAGCGCTGCTGGCAGCCATACCGGTAGTCGTCCAATCAGCCCGTCCGCTGACAGAGAGATTAGCCGCAACTCCCAACGAGGAACTATGAACGGCTACTAGCTGTCTCGGAATTGAGCAGCCCAAGAGAGTTCTAGGAGTTCAAAGTCTCGGCATTTCAGAACGGGATCAGTTATTGAAAGCAGCCTCGGAGGATTCCCCCTTTTCTTAACCGCGAATTTCTTTTTGGTCAGCAGGCCCATACGGATATCCATTTTAACTATATTTTTACTTTGTCGCAAGCATTCTGTATATCTTAATTTGCCTCACCCAGTGGAGTTCAACTACTACTTTGCTTCCCAAGATTTGGCATTTGCAGGGAAGAGTTTGTTTTTCTGTATGACATAGTGGACCTTCCTAAAGAAGTTCCATGGGTCAGTTAATTCTTATAGAGAATAACAGACATTATTCTTGCGGGGCATATTGAAGAATTATAAAAGTGGCATTATGAATGGGTATATGTACGCTGTAGTCGCCTCGGGCTCAACTTCTATATAATATATATACCTTAGCTGTGGCCTAGATTAATCACCAGGTTAACATCTTTGCTGGAAGAGATTATAGCTGTGCCCCGAAATTCCCGCCATCAATAATCCAATCCTTCATTTCAGCATATGCCTTATCCAAATCATCGTTGACAATGATTTTATCATGGGAACCAGGCTGCTTGGAATATTCGAGCTCGTTTCTTGCCTGTGCTAGGCGCTTACTCAAGCTAGCTTCTGTCTCTGTTCCTCGAGTGCGCAGTCTCCTCTCCAATTCTTCCAATGAAGGGGGAGAAAGAAACAAAAAGCGAGCATTGAGATCAGTCCGCTTAACTTGCTTCACACCCTGTATTATTCATTAGACAAAAGACCATCTATTTTATCCACGCCCAGTTCCAGTTTGATTCTTTCCTTATGTCCCCAAAGACGCAAGGGGTATATTTACCTCCATCTCAATATCAAGGATGCAAATCTTGCTCTTTTCTGCAATGCTTTTCACCGCTTGCACACTGGTTCCATAGTAGTTACCACTGAACTGGGCATGCTCAATGAAGCCGTTTCGGCCAACTAGGTCTAGAAACGCCTCCTTCGTTGTGAAGTAGTATTCGCGACCATCTTGTTCTCCCTGCCGAGGGGCTCGAGTAGTGTCTGGATAGAAAAGGGCGATTAGGGTACACTACTGCCGGTATATTTTGCAGACATCACATTTTGGAACGTACGTGAGATAGAGAACCCAAATGTATCAGGGTGCTCAGTGAAGAGCCTCTTGAGTAAAGTGGACTTCCCCGTCCCAGAGGGACCTGACACCACTATTGGGCGGAACTTCTGGACTGAATGGAAATTTTTGATCAATTTCTGCTCGTTTGCATGCGAATTAAGAACAGGGAATCGCACCAGCTGCGTTGGTCATCTCCGATGTTAAATAATGGCTGTAGAAAGAATGACATCCGCGGGAAATACGGAGAATAAAGCGACTGCTCAGCAAGCCATTCATTGACTGACTGTGATGCTAACAAAATTTGTCGTTCCACACCCCGCATATCTAATTACCCCGTACGGTGGAATGAAAGGCGGTCAACCTACTAGGGCATAACAATTAACTCAATTTACAGGAATACACCCATCGGGGTTATATCTGATCTACAAGGTGACTTCTAGCTTTTCCAACTTCCATGGCAGCGGTTTGGGATCACACAATAACGCATCCCTAGAAGACAGAACCTATGATGTAGGAATATCAACTGGGTTTCTGAAACCCAATCTGACTCCCACGCCTCGAGGTATTCCGAGATCCAGCCTGAGCCTCCTGTTCGAGGAAATTAGACCAGAGTTCCGCCAGAGATTCTTTACTATTGCCGGAGGTCCCAGTATCTAGGAACTCGGTGACTAGGTTTGGGCTGCTAGGCGTACGGGCAACGGGCGTGCCAGGAACTTTGAGTTTGCTCCCAGCGGTACTCGAGGTTCCTGGGCGGGCCAGGCCTGCTTGCTCACGCTGCTCTGTTCATAACCGTCAGCTCAGTCCGTATTGTAGGAAGGGAAAGGCATCTAACAAATGCCGTTCTACTTACCATCTGTCCAGCCCAACAGGGCTGCAATAAGCTGCAAGATCTGAAACTTCTTGGGATCAGATCTGTCAAGTGCAAGGAAATGGAGTAGATGGTTGGTAACTATATGTCTGCACGATCTCAGTAAAATGCCAGGGTCATATAGAGAGATGGCAGTCAAATAAGCAAGCAAAGTGAAATTAAGCATACCTGTCTACATTGTCCTCTGGTTTCCCCTTTTTCAGGAATCTCAAAGCTTTTGTCAGATGATCGTTCAATGTCACTGCCTCGTGTCTTAATTTTCCTATAAGGAGGTTCTTCTCTTTGACCTCTTTTTCGAACGGCCTCACTCTCTCGAGCTCCTCCTCAGCGTTCTGAAGGGCGTTGTTGGCATCAGATGCTTTCTTTTCGGCATCACGGAGGGCTTGTCTCAGTTCCTCAAGTTGAGCGTCGGAACTCTCCACAAGTTCCCGAAGTTCTTGTTTACGCGCTAAATAGGTCAGATCTGGATATCAACATCTATCCAAGGAAGTTTACCTGTCTGGATTTCCTGCAAGGCCCGTTGTAGACCTTCTACCGTTGCTAGCTGACTATCACGTTCAGCTGCTGTCTTTTCGTAAACTTCCCTGAGACTGCCAAGCTGCTCCTCAAGGTCAATGACCTTCTCCCCAAGGTTCTCTCTAATAGAGCGCTCCTCCATAGCAAGAATCTCCCAATTATGCATAGCCTCTTTGGCTTGTTCAAACTCCGACTGGAGGTAAGATTCCTGTTCTAAAAGTTCTTGCTTCTCTTTCAGCCAGTTTTGTCGCGATAGATTTGTTCGATCTCGAATAGTGGAAAGTTCTTGTAATCTTCGCTCGACCTCTTCCGACGCCACTACCAATTCCGAGCTTTTAGAGTCTAGTTGCATCTTCATATGAGCATTTTCGTCTTCTAGTTCCTCGATCTTTGACTTCGCTTGGGCTAGTTCTTCCTACAGTATGTCAGTCTAAGTTCCGAACTCCTTGAACGGCAGAACATACAGCATCTTCTTTGAGCCTTTCCCCGAGCTGCGATTTAATGGTGTTTACCCTCTCTAAGAGTTTCTGAAACTGCAATTCTGCGTGCTCCTTCTTACTCTCCGCGTCCCCCAATTTCTCTTGGAGAGATTCCATATCGGCACGATGCTTGGACTGTATTTCCTCCAAAGATTTCCTCAAATCTACCACCTCAGCACGCAGGGAATCTCTATCTCGTACGAGAGCATCGAACAGGTCTTTAGATTCGAAAGAATCGGAAGTCGGCAGCTCTGGCTTCTTCTCTGGTACTGTACCTAGACCAACGAGAGGCTCTTCCGGCAAACTTTCATGAGTGTCATTGTTCATATCATTTTTGTCTGCTCCCTGGCCCAACGCCTTCACGTTTAATAAATCAGCGCGGTCACCCTGTCGTCCAACTTCAGCAGACGCTAACGAGATTCAGGTAAAGAACACGTACATTCGAGTTCGACAATTCAGCAAACCCAGGGCTTTCGCCCCCCATAACATCAGGAAGGTCTTTGTTTTCGTCATTTCCCTTTGCCTTCGCACCCTTACTCTTCTTGTTCTTCTTTGGCTTCAAGCCTAATCAAATCGTTAATGGACGATCCCATGATTAGAAGGGGATTCCAACCTTGTTGGAGAGCCGGTGAATTCTCTTCAGGCATCTCGAATGTGCTTTGTCGTAGTTAGTGAGCTAATATGCTTATGTGCTCGGTATGTTGGCGACAGCCAGAAATTGTCGCTGCGAATCCAGAACAGTATTATTATTATGGGGTATTAACTGTCAACATCAGTTAACAAAATTCACGTGATGAGGGCAGTTGGGATTTCTACTTGATAAGGATATAACGTAATCGGTAAGCGAACCGGCCACGTAAACGAACCGGCCACATCTCCCAAAAATAACTCTATATATTGATTTCAAATCCCAATTTCAAATCCACATACAAAATGTATACAAAAATCTAACTAGCATTACGATTAGGACATCTGTTAATTCGATGCCCAATAACTCCACAACCACTACACTGAAATTGGCGTCGTACAATTGTTTGAGAGGCTGGGAGCTCCGGCTCGGCCGGAGCAGTAGTAACAGCTTGAGATGCTTCAACCTGACCTTGTACGAGTGCTTGAGCTTCTTCTCTAGTAATCCCTTGCTCAGTAGATATCTGTTTCTTAGATCTTTGGCGTTTTTGCTTCTCTTTTTCATTCGCAGCTCGAAAATCATGGCTTTCTTTCCGTACGAGTAACAGATCATTCATTGTGATTTCATAGGCTTTTGACATCCGCGTAATTACTTGATCAATCACTTGATTTGGATTTCCTGTACATTCACTTATACGTCTCTTTAATGTAGTTGACTGGCGTAGGAATTGACGTATATTTTGAGGTGTCTGTAAACAGGATGATTGTGTATTGCTGGATTGACTTGGAGGGGGGGTTGGCGTTTTCAATTGAATATTAAGTTGTTGAATAACTCAATCCGGATTGAAAGGCACTAATCCAGTGGCTGTGAAGCTATTCCGGATAGTTTGAGCTTTATAGGCCATCGTACGAGCCTGTGGAAATGCTGTTAAAAAGTCAATTTTGTCAATATGGTTGAAGCCAAGCCTCATTCGCTGCTCAACAAGCTGCCCATAATGCCGTTTTAAAACAGCAAAACAGCCAACATCAAGAGGCTGTACGAGATGTGAAGAATGAGCTGGCATACAGACTGGAATAATACTATTCTCAGTACATGTACGGTCAAATTCTGGTGTTAAATGGCTTCCATGGCCATCAAGAATCAACATAGCATATGTTCCCAATGTATGAGCACGAACAAGAGGAATAAAATGGGTTTTAAGCCATTCTAATCCTATTTGATCTGTAGTCCAGCCATTTTCACTAATATTGATTCTCCAATCATCTGGGAGCTCATCAAACCAGCCTAATCGTACATTTTTTTTGGCTTTGAAGATAATGTACGAAGGCAGGGCCCATCCAGTTGAATTTGTTGCTTCAATTGCAGTCACCCATTCTCGATTTCCAGGTTGTAAAAGCTTTGGCTGAGCGTATCAATCGCTTCCAGTAATAACCTTTGCAGTTGCGCAGAGTCCCATAGCAAAGCCAGTCTCATCAAAATTGTAGATATCTTCTGGTAGGATTCCGTACGTAGATATAGTAGTTTGTACGCGGTCAAAATATTCTTGAATAATCTTCGGATCTTCACATTTCGCACGTTCATAATTGTATCTTCATGAGAACTTCGAACTGATCTCTGGGCGACGTTTAACAAGATTATATACCCATTTTTCTCCAACCCGTTGATCTCCAGATTGTGAGAGAAGATAATTGGCCATTTCTCGTACGAGAGAGTGCCGGGGGGGTAATCCACGTCGATCTAAATCGAGCACCCATTTGACAAGCGATTCCTCCTCAAATTGAGCTAATTTATGGTTGTTGGCGCGTATTAGCTGTCGATATTGTCTTCCCTTTAATCGATCCTGAAGAGTTGTACGAGGGATTGTATAGATTCGTGCAGCTTCACGAATACTGCGAATTTTTCCATTTTTCAAGTCGGAAATAGCTAATTCAATCTTTCCCTCTATTTGGGCTATTTGTAATGGATCTTTTTTGCGAATTTGTGGCATTTTGACGCGTTGAAATATAGTAAATCAATATATAGAGTTATTTTTGGGAGATGTGGCCGGTTCGTTTACGTGGCCGGTTCGCTTACCGATTACGTTACTATTTCGGACATGTGGATTATCTAATAATACGGCCCGGTATCCGGAGTATATATGTCCCGGGAGGAAAGATGACCATACCCGAGTATCCCGAATCCTGTAACTATATAAGAGGAAGCGAGCTCGAGCAAGCGATTGAGCATTAAGCATGTCAATTAGAGCTTCACGATGTACCAGAGATGGCAGTATATCAGTATAGAGCGTTCACCACGAACCTACGAATCCTACGGTATCCTTTAGTATTTGATATCCAGACGCCGCACTCCTGATCCACATTACTACTCCGAAGTCCGTACAGCACGTGTGTTTTTAGCTTTTGGCCATGGCGAAACTATCAACTCGGAACATGAAGCACGAAATTCAACCCTTGTTGGGTCATCTCTTCAATTTTTAGATGAAAATAGCATTTTCAATTATACCGAATAATAATTTTTGACACGAAAGAAATTGTGATGGTTGGCATTTTATTCTTTTGGTCTTTCAAGTCGCGCCATACTTTGAAGTTGGCCTATAGGTACTGTGGCCATGCTGCAGTTAAGGACTCCAAATAAAATCAAAAGGGATCCAGTCATGACACGGCTCTTTCTTGCCTGCTCATGTACGGAGTACATTGTGGAACCTGCTGTCAAGGGCCATATCTGCATGGTGCTTGCTGGAAAAACCGTGCAATTGTCTGGGGATAGTAATAGTCACAGTCCACCATGGAATATTTAAGCTCTCTTCTAGTCTCCATCTTGTAAGATCCAAGATCACATAAAGTCGTCGAGGAAATTTGGATCTCGGTCCTGGTTGCTGCTTTGCTGAACATTCTCCTCACTTAGCAGATCGTCGTATGCATGCTCCTTCTGCCATTTCAATTGTTCTCTTTCTCTCTTTTCCTGCTTCTCCCGTGCCTTTCTTTGTTCCAACCGCCTTCTTTCCTCCCTATTGACCTTCTTCACGTGCTCCTCCTTCTCTGCTCGGAGATCAGGGAACTTTTCGACTCGAGTTTTATTGAGACGATTGACAATTGCATTCTCACGTGTGCGGACAAACACCTTGCGCACCAACTTGGGGTTGTGGAAAGAAACCTGGCCAGTTGCCATGGATCCGTCTTTCATCAGGTTTAACCATGGGGTGTATATTACCGTTATGTTATCTTTCTTGTTTCCTGCCTCTTTGGTAAGTTTATCAAGTATATTGTACCTGCAATGAGCTAGCTGACCCTCTATCGAATTTGCTTTCGTGAGTTGAGCACAATCCTCCAAAAGTTTTTGGGGAATGTTCTCCCAGGTTTCACCATCACGTAGCCGTAGATAGACATGCGCACTGGAAAGATTATCAACGTGAAACTGGGCACTAGTCAGACCTAATTGGCCTCAGAATATCAGAATAATTTGTGAAGCTGGCGGAGACGAACCCTGCCAAGTTAAAGCCAATAGTGGTCAGTCGGTCTCCAGTAACAAAGAAGTTATCGTAACAGGCTGATAACGATCACAATACCAGACATCCATCTCTAGTCCATACTTTATGAGTTCCTCATCTGTCCACACAAAACATCAGACCATGTCATTAATGGCGGAGAACGTCCATCGTACTCTCAAACTTGTCTTTTCCAACATAAATTGATGCTGACGGTTGAACCACATTCGATGTAAAGTAATACACCATCTTTCACACAAGTTGTTCTATTGGAGTATTATCTCTATACATCAGAGATTCCAGGATTATTAAGAAAGTGAATGAAGTATTGATAGTACTACTTTTTTTCAATATTAGTCATCCGTTGTACATAGCGTTTTCAACGGGTGAGTGGTCCACACAGACGAGTGGTCCATTTTTCCCGCATATAGATAAGAATTCGATCTTTTCAACCACCAACACCATTAAAATTGACCAAATAAATATATGAAAATATAGCTATTTATTAGGGCAATTTAAAATTGTATGTCCAAATGTCCCACAGCCACTACAACATTGCGGAGCTCATTGATAAGGCACCAGAGTAGATTCCTCAGGTTGCTCATTAAGCTGTGTATCAAGCTGCTGAACATGATTTTGACCTTCCTGCATATTAAGAAGGCAGTCATTACCTATTTCAGCATGCTTTCTTGCCTTTTTCTGATATTTTTGTCCATTTTCAGCCTGTAGAGCCTTGATTTCTTGCTCTAAAATCAGCTTGATTTGCATTGTCAAGGTGCGGGCTCACAGGTGGTCAGAAACAGATAGATTAGGTAGTTGATACTCAGGCTAGCTACATGATCTCTATCTATCAGCTCCAGGTTGCAAGCAGGCTGTTACAGGTGGACTCGACAGACAGGACGTAGCTCAAAGAGCTACAAACAGGATTAAGGCAAGGAGTCAGAGATAACTTCGTTGTGGGTCACGTGGTCGGTCAGTGTAGGCAGAACAGGGCTCTAGCCGCAACTCTGTGGCCCTGCGCCAGCGGTTCTAGCTGCTATCCGCAGCAGCGCCGTGACAGCCATTCCATGCAGAAATTTGGGCTAAATTGAAAAACCTTGCTTGTCTGCATCTAATAATTGCTTCTGAAGTAACGTTTTCAACTACCGAACCGCACCTACCACCGAGCCGCGCCCTTTCCACCAAAACATCTGCTTTCTTCATTCAACGTGACTTTTCTCATCACCACAATTCAATATGCCTCTTTCTAAAGAATTGTGTATTCAGATAGCTATTTTAGCCTATCAAAAAGGCTAAGTTAGATCAGTTAAATGTGCTGTGGCCCTTTTTGCAGTTCCTGAAAGCACCCTATGTAACTAGCTTTATGGCATCAAATCACAATTGGAAACATGCACCAATGGTCATAAACTGACTAAATTTGAAGAGGAATTGCTTTTAAAGCAATTACTAGATGCAGATATATGAGGATTTCTAATTTAACCTAAATTTCTGCATGAAATGGCCCAAATATTATTTTGTAATTATTTGAAAGACCTTACTGCAGCTATTGGGATTAACTAGCCTTATAAATTTATTAAATGCCATCCTGAGCTTCATATATAATATATAAGATAAATGACTTATCAACATGCAAAGCAGGAAGATCCAAAAATTATAATATCTTAGTTTCAGACTACAAATTACAATTCAAGCATATAATATATATAAAGATAATATCTAGAATTCTGATAAAACTAGCTTTATAATAAGACTTTATTTTATTTCTAAAATAATTACTGCAGTTAAGCATAGTGAGTAATTATATAAAATTATTTAAAGTAATTATGAATAGATTACAATTATTAAAATAATTAGATCAAAAGGTGTTGTGCCGGGGGCACTGCGAAACCCCGGATCTCCCATATTTCCTATCTTGGAACACCGTAGAGCCGCGGTCTCCGACATACTAATGTATGGTGGAGCCCGCGGCCGGAGAGTACTTAATGGAGGGTTCCCTCCCAGATAGTTACAAGAAATAGAGCATTCTTTGGTTTCTAGGTTGCTTCACTAGTATCGTCGTCATTGTACAGAGCGGAGCGAGGCTCCTTCATCGTTGTGTTTCCTTTTATCGTTATATCGTCTTCTTGCTAAGATCGTTCGGTGCCGCGTGGTATAGCGGCATCGCCTTGGTATATCCATTCCTGAGATCCCTCGATCACAACCCGGTTCCTGTCGCAGGGAACAACGCACGTACGCCCCCCTTTACACTACTTGATCTAGAGCATGTTCTCTCTAAGCTTACCTTTTAACTATGTACACCTACACCACTATTAGTTGAAGGCTCAATTTCCTTTGCTTTTCAAACTCTGCAGAATACTCACTAATTAGATTAAAAGGTCCAAAGCCTATAAAATAGTCTTAATAAAAAATAACAGCTTTCTAGCAGTCCTATTACTTATATTGAATATCTTAAAAAGGCAGCATAAATAGCAATGCAAACCCAGCTGATTTTGGAGTAAGAAATTAGGGCTTTACATGTTGAAAATGGGTGACAATGTCAAAGAAAGGCAAGAAAGCATGCTGAGCTAGGTAATGATCACCTTCTTAATATACAAGAAGGTCAAAATCATATTCAGCAGCTTGATACGCAGCTTAATAAGCAATCTAATAAATCTACTCTAGTGCCTCATTAACAAGCTCCGCAATGCTGCAGTGGATGTGGAATAGTTGGACATATAATTTGAAATTGCCCTAGTAAATAGCTATATTTTCATCTATTTATTTGGTCAATTTTAATGGTGTTGGTGGTTGAAAAGCCTTCGAAAGCAGATGTTTTGGTGGAAAGGGCGCGGCTCGGTAGTTGAAAACGTTAATTCCTCTTCAAGTTCAGTAAGTTTGTGATTATTAGCATGTGTTTCTGATCATAATTTTGTTCTAGCTAGCTATTTGAGTAGTGTCAATTTAGGTATGCTAAATATTGCAGTAGCGCGTGTTTTTGATTGAATTTTTTTAATTGTAGGCAGAAATTGCCATCTGAATCCTATTCTCTTGAGAAAGAGGCTTTTTTTGATGAATTTGATGGAAAGAAGACGCGTCAAAAATGAAGCTTCGAATTAGATGGGTGACAGGAAAAATGGACCACTCGTCCGTGTGGACCACTCACCCGTTGAAAACGTTAGTTAACTAGCTAGTACATAAGATAATTATAATGAAGACTAGCCTTGTACAGCGCAATACAGACAGAGTAGACATATTATTATTGATCTTCATGCCTATAAACCAAGGTACGATTGCTAATATCTACATATATATATATACTCCCTACAGCATATTAATTACTGAGTACATTCATATACGCTGTTTGTTGTATAAGAGACGGTTGAGATGAAGATGATAATGCACCGTCCATTCGTTCTCCTTCTACTTTCCCTCGTCTACGGCGTAGCATGCATATCTACTAGCATGCCATGTACTCTGTTTCCCTTCGACTTGGCAAATGTCTATCGCCCGCGAGGAAGGGCCATGAATTAAGATTTCTAGTGAATGCTAAATTATGCGTCCGACTAGCTGCCAAGGCCCAGGAGAATCAGTGTTCTGAGTTCTCAAGCTCTCTACAGCAATGTAGACGTTGCATGACTCGTTTAATAACAGCATGGAGTAGGGAGTACAACAATTACACAACGTCCTGTCCTTTCCCAAGTAATTGTAATAGGGGGCACCTGCGAGATGGGTCTCAGTAAAGTATGCATACCCTTTTTTTTTCTCATGCTCCTCCAAGTTAATAATAATGGTAGTAATATCGGAGGAGCAAACATGCATGGTATGATGATGACGACGATGACAAGGCCGCTCGAACCTCCCTTGACGTTGATCAGTATTATTATTAGCCATGGGTGGTCTGTTTGTCTGTCATAATACCTGAGGATGCAAGCAGTTGGGAACTCCGAACTCTGTCTCGACCCCTTATCATCATTGTTGTGTTCCGTTACCATCATCATTCGATTCCAGTCTTCATAACTACCACCCCGAATTACCAAAGGCAAACAATTACAGTCCCCACCCAACTAATAATGCATTGGCCATCGCAGTCACTATGAGCTACGGTGCCAAACGGTACTGCCCTCTCCCTCTGCAGTACCGTACAGAAAGCTCTCTAATAATAAGGATGCCATTGTGCATGTGCTCGGCACGGAGAGCTGGAAAGTCAAAAACTCTGGAATCCACATCATGCATCCGGATAGCTGTCGGGAGAAGATCGATCATACGTCTCGATCCCTGCAAGTCTACTCGTCCGACGCATAGTACCAACCACGTCCGACCATGCCTCTGGGTCCTTTACAGTTTTATGGTACGCCATACAGTACCAACGGATGCTGTCTCACTGCAATCCGTATCATGTCATAGAATACGGAATGGTTTGCCGCACGTTCGCCAATCCCTGACCGCCGTTCCGCCCTGAGCAGCCGAAAACCCCTTACCATGGACTCAAGATATCTCTGATGCGATCCAATTTCTCAACCCCCGGAACATATCCGTTAACCGACCCCTACGGTAACCTTCGGGGTCGCGCGTATCGAATTGCGCTCCAATGAGCCAGAACACAGAACATAGACTCGAGACGCATGGAAGGTTGCGGTGACATGATGCGCTGCGGCAGCTGGGAAGGGGATACCATAGGAGAGCTTTGGGTGTAAGCGGTCCGAGAAGACTGGGCGAAGGGTCTCAGCCATGACGAGTCAGTTTCCAGTGGAGGCAGTGGTTACAGAAGATTGCTTCCAATGCACTGCGATCAGTAATTCTTCGCGACCCCGAAGGTTACCGTAGGGGTCGGTTACGTGCAGGGGGTTGACTGCCACAGCGGATGAGCCCGTGTGGAACCCCACCTGCCACATGGCTACGTATTTAAGTGGAATAGGTTCCTAGGCGTTTGCACGATGGAATTGCGCTTCTGCAAGAGGGCTGCAAATGCCTGTAAAAGGGACCTGAGGAATCCAATCGAAGCGACTACTGTCTGACAACCAAGGGAGTGGCGTTCAGGTCAACCTGTGGCATACCTTTCTGGCAGCACTTCTTCGGACGGAGACACGGTTTGATATTCTGCCAGCAAGAAAGCATTCGTGGGGATCTCACAATCTGCAATTGCACCAACCATACACGGACTGCATTAAGACTCGTGACTCCAGGAAGGTTACTGCGACCAACGTTTCATTTCCTGACCCTTGGGGTGGCCAAATTTCAGTACGACTGTTTTATCCCGTGAAACGCTCACCCGCTTTTTGAAGTTGCAACAGCACACGACCTTGTGCCGTCGTGAACCGATGACCTATGCTCCAAATGAGCAGGCCGGCGAACGATCGCCGCGTTCGGCAAGCATTAGAACGTGCCAGGACCAGTGACGATGGCCATGTCGACCCTCAGACAAACGCCATTCTCGAAAGCGCCATTCGAGATCTCTGGCGGAGGATACAGAGGCAACCGGACAGCTACGTGCTTAGTCGCGACGAGTTTGCTCTCTTCAATTACTTCCGCGAGCGTTTCCGGGGCTCGCCCGTCGCACAAAGAGCAGTCGAACGCTTTTGGAATAGCCACAGAGGAGATTCTACCAATATGGATAAATTCAGATAACGCACCACTCCGTTCTTGCAGTCCGAGTCTGCAACAAGGACATGTCCCGATCAGCCCTGTCCCCTGTGACGGCCAGCCTAACCCGTAGGCTTCGCCATTCCGAAGATCGGCGAAGCCCAGGCATATGTGGGGTACATCTCCCGTTCCTGGGCCCCAAGGCCTTTCCAGTCCGGTATTAAATTTGTGACTGGCAGATTCAAAAAAAGATCCAATTGATTAGTCATGGCGCTCGATAATGCTACAAACTTCGATCGCTACCAGTCCGGAGTAGGCCCCGACCGCCTGGCCAGGTACGTCTTCCGGAGAATTGGTTTGAAAAATCTTCCATCGCATTATATCAATACTATATCAGTTCGCCTGGCAGGACGCAATTTGGGTTATGGGCATCTTTAGTCGGTCCGGCAGTTGCAATTGATCGGTACTGTTTTGCTTCGCCAGATGATTCGGTAGTTTCCCCTCCGGATTGCGAGTGGCTACGAGGGTTTATCTCAATAATGAGGTCCGCACGACGTGCTTGATAGATGCGCTTTCTTCGTCATGTTCGGAAATATTGAATCGATGACAGTATGTACATAGTTGACGGTACAATAAATATTTCTTTGGTCCTAGTTCCCTTTCAACGTTTGTTGGGAGGCTCGTCTACCCACCTTACTCCCAGCTTAATGCCAATGCTCGTGGTCAGTAAGGACAGCCGGCCTAATTTCCTTCTCTGTAATCCAAATGGGAAGAAATGTGAATCCCACTGGTTAGCTCGCTTCTGTCAATGCGGCATTATACTTCAATGAAATGTCTGGTAACTGCGTACGCGCTGTAACATTGCCATGGTCTAAGGTTTGAAGTTAAGGTTTTCGTATGGATATTAGACCATGCCACGAAGCTAATAATAGTACCAATGTTCGTGATAGTACATCCGCTGTACTGTACGGCGTATAATTATCAACTCTCCTATGGCATATATTCCGTATGGGTTGTCCTCGTGCACTTCAGACAGAGTGCATCATTACATGCATACACAATCCATGCAAACGCCATTTACAGCAACAGTCTGCAGCAAAGCGAACGAGGCAATAATCTACAGATTAATAATTAAAAGTGGTCAAATGCCCTTTTTCTTCGATGGTATTTACGGCCCAAAAAAATAGAGCTATTATCTACTGTCATACGACCCTCCATACCCTTATCTATGGGGTATTCTCATCGTATGTCCGCGTTCAAAGTTTCTCCAAGCCGTCATTGTACGAAATTGGAACGAAGCATGAGGCCCATTGTAGCGTCTTAGCACTGCTATCATACTTTCAGCCGGCTATGGATAACCGGCTCTTCCGCTCAGTGACCTGCAACCTTCAAAAACACCAACCAACTCAAGCTATAAAGGAGGAACATAAGATTGTCTGGATAGTTATAACATATAACTTGCTAACAATCTTGACGATTATGAAAAACTGGACTGCTCCCCTGGTGCCTTGAGGTTCCATGAGTTCATATCCACATTAGGAGCCGGTTTAAGCTTGAGGATATATGTTTGCCTTTGCAGTAACCTGGAGGATGGACAGCTGGATCCCCATAGCTAGGAGCATTGCGAGGGCGGTATTATTGTGGGGAATGTCAACTCCTGCTGCAGCAGGTGTATGTAATTGGGTTCCTTATGAATTGGCAGGATTGATGAGCCACTTGACTGCTGCATTGGTTCTCCTGTTTTTGTCACAAAACAGCTAGCTCCCTGTACTGGGGTTGGAAGCAGGTCAGAGAGCTAAGAATGGGAGGGTAGGGAAGTGAGTACTAAATTCTAGTGCACATTTGTAATCACAGCAGCATCTGGCAGATTTCTGGTTGTCTAGTGCTGAATGAACCGAGAATATCTATTCCCCTAGCAAAATGAGGAGCTAAACCACAATGATAATGATGCATACCCTGTTCTTTTAAACCTTCATCGGTTCCCATTATTCCTAGCCTAGCAGTTCAACTGATCAAAATGACAGGCGGTTTTGTAATGATGCAAGGACAAACAGCAAGTCAAACAATTCGTACATAGGTATGTGGGGAAGGTATCGTGATCTGCAGGGAAGAAATAGTAGCCTCAAGGAGTAATCAACTATAATGCCATTTGACTGTGGATAAGATATATGTGTGTGTGTGTTCAGGAAGTAATGGCAGCCCAGCGTCCATAAGCCAAATCAATCCAAAAAGACGCTTCCCCGGCCTCCGGCCTATGATGACAGAGAACAGATATGTACAGCTCCAAAGGAGGTCAATCGCCTTTTTAAGTTACGGACTTGGTCAAAGCATCTTGCATAGTCTTGTAATGCATTCTGCGACCGGTCGGATACTTCAGAGGGCGAACTGTTTTCAACAGATGAGAGGGATGTCCAGGAATATGAACGAGGTTGGTTTTGCGTGGTGTGTCGAGGCATTGATACAGCGGAGAGGCCAGAATGTGGCGGCGTCGGCCACTCTTTTCTGTACATGGTGGTTGAGATTGTGGTTCTTCCTATGCCAGAGAGGAGGTCCATCTCAGTGAGTCGGCATGTTTGGGAGCAATAAGGACTGTCCAGAGTTTGCCAATCACAGACTAGACAGAAGTCCAGCGACCATTCATTCGTCATGATTGCCACGTATGTAATCTCAACATTCAAACGGGGGCAATGGCAGAAGAAGTGCGACAATGTAACCAGGCTTCTGGAATATTTCCACGGACATCGACCACTCAAATCCACTTGATTCTATGCCCAGCGCCATCCGCCAAGGAACATATACTAGAGTCTAGTATTGTTAAACGCTCAGAATGTATATGAGATAGACAGCTGTTAAAGAAGCAGGCCTGGCCAATCGTAATGTTAATGTCATAAGGGGGAAACTGGCATTCAAAGTGGGAGAGGGATGTTATATCAGTAGTCGGAGCTTGGGAGGTGTATGAGACGATAAATGGTACAATAATAATAAATGTAAAGCAGTACATAAAATGGATCAATTTTACTGAATAATAATCCCCACTCTGCTGTCACAAAAGCCATAATGTTGTATGTACTATCATGTTTCCTAATTATCAGCCTAGTAAAGAAGAAAACCTTATGTTTGGCTTGGGCGCTTCAGCAAGAAAACCAAAGAGGAAATACGATGGTCATGAGGAGATCATCAAAGACTAAAAAGTCCAATCCTCCTGGTATTACACTGTTCTATATTATATACAGAGTCTATGGAGTACCTAGGTAGACATATGATGCACATGATAATACTTATATCGATCAGGTAGTATTACAACACCTAGCTTGGAATTTTATTCTGCTAGAGTAAGTAGTAAATGTTCAGCCAGCCTATTTCCCCCTTCTTCTGGATCACTTCATGGCAGCTTCAGAGTTCCTTCCCTAGATGTGGCCGGTGGGCAGTGCATATATCATCCAACGTTGGCATGCACACTTCATCAAAGTCGCCCACCTAGGCTGTCTAGAATCTAGGGGTGTTTATCATGGCACCAAGTGATAGCAGGTAGGAATAACCTATGTAAATAACCCACCATATCTTGTGAAACACTAAAGCTACCTGTATGTATGACAATGTCTACCATCCCATTGTCTACCTATTATAATTGCTCTGCAGCAGGTATTCGGACGAGAGTGGCAGGAAGAGAAGAGTCTGTTGGGGTATCACTTTTGTCTCCAGAACAGAAAGGGGCATTTAAACTTGCTGTCTTTGCTAGATCATGAGAGAGGCAAGAAGTCAGTATCTGGGCTTAGATTACATGCATTAAGAGGCGGAGAGCATAGCAGAAGGAGTCTGTGAGAAGAAGTATAAAAGAATCAACATCAGACATACTGAATGCCATACTGATGGCTTGTAGGACATTCCCCCAATTTGACAGGACACAAGCAACAGCTATAGTGTCATCCAGTGAATTAGTACACAAGTACCCTTTTAGTAGAACAACATTTTCTCTCATTATGTGGTAATATTGTCAAGACAGTTACAAACCTTCAGTGCCATCCTTAAGTGTACTTATCCTATCTTCCAGGGCCTGCATCTTCATTGCCAATGCATTACTCAAATCTCGAAGCTGCATGAGGTTTTCAAGCTCCGCTCTTTTTGAAACGACTCGTGCTGCCAGGACTGGTGACTGTTGTTGGGGAGCATTATGGTTGCTTGGCTGGCGAAGGGATGTCCCTGGTGGGAAAGTTGATGTAGGCCGAGACATATATAAGCCTGGTCGTCGCAGCAAATGTGTTGTTAGGGTAGCAAATAATGTAAGCTGATGGAAAAGTATGGAGGAAGTTATATTTTGAAGGCTTTTAGTTCATGAGACAAACTGCAATCAGTTCAGGTCTTTTGCTGCTATAGCTTGCGGGAACAAGAAATAGATTAATGATATTTCTAGGCACGATTACATGCCAGGTCCGAGATCTACAGACGCACTCCATACTTCCCGAGCTCTGATAAACGAACCCCAGTATTGGGAAGGCGGTCTGCAAAAGCAAAATCCACATGACCTTTAAATACACAAACCGGCAGAGGACTAAGCCTCATTAGGGCAATTGTCAACAAAAGGTGTCCAACTGTTCACAACCTCATTGAATCAAACTATCACCACTTAGCTCAGCACTACAAAAGGTCATTCTCCTGGCATCAAACCACTAAATTCCCCTTCCTAATTATTGATTTGCCTTTTGTTGGACCCTTGACTTTCCAAATACGCACGGAGCCCATGCTATAAAGCAGCATGGCTAGGTTGAATGAATCAACTGCTGCCGCGGAATCTGTTGATGCCCGTAAGCCCCCAGCCTATGTTCACCTTTTTCTGCAGGAATTTCCTTTTCAGATTATGATTATTGACGTCTGTCCTGGTTTTAGTGAGGCGGCGGTTCGTGCGGCAAAACCGTGAGATCGCTAGAGTAAACTCAATCCAGTCCATTCGCATTCGAGGTCTAGAATCTGAGGTCTCCCGTCTGCTCTCCGAAAATGTGACGCTTCGTGAACAGGTAATATCTCTTAGTCAAGAAATTGAAAGATTCGAAGCAGCCAAGACCTTCAGCGAAGGTGTCTATGAAATCAAAGGAAAATTGGATGTCAAACTCGCGGAGATAAACGGTTTGCTAGTGGACCTGGGGAAACTGCCACGAAAATTTAATGGGGAATGTAACAAAGGGACAGCTACGACAAATTCCAAGCTCTCGAGGCAGTTGAGCTCTGGACTGCATCGCAGGGTCTATGGTTCCGAGTACGACCGAATTGCCGAAGATGGGCAGCTTCCAGCCATACTTGAAGACAAATGCTACCCGAGAAGGACATTAGAGTAAGCGTTGTCTGGCTTATAAACTCCATCAGTCTGTTACTAAGTGCATCAGATCAGCGGAAATACAGGATTTGTCAAATAGCGACTTAGATACTCCGGGATTCTCGCATACTGGACAATCTCAAGTTGGTCGACCTGGATCCCACGAAGATGATCTCAACATAGGCATCCTTGGAATTTCTAGCCACAGGAATGTGCTGGGAACTGATACCCAACATGATGACGCTTTTCTCCCCCCCACTCTCGAGACCAGGAAGAAAAAGAGATCCAGTCCCGATGCATCTGCTGAATCGGACTACACTATACCGTCCGCAGCACACAACTCAAATAACGATGATAGATATATCCTCAAGCCAGGATCGAAACGCAAATTCGGTTCAGGGGAGGATGATGGTAAAAAGGACGAGTTCGATTCTATCAATGGTGATGGGAGATTCCGATATAATAGAACTATTCCTCCATCGCATAATTCGACCACATCCTTCATGACGGTACCTCATTCTCCACTCGACCAAAGTCAGTCAGAAGCAAAGAAGGGACGAAAGGACCACGGACCGCCAAAGCGGAGAGTACTTCAGCCGAGTATGACACTTCTCTTTATCGGATCAAATGAACTATGCTGACCCCTCGACCAGAGAGTACAAATGCAAGTATACCTTCTCCGAAAAAGCATCAAGGGGGAGTGCAGTATCAGGAACATCACAAAGAGACAGACGTGGAGAATCAACATCAACCAATGGGCAAAACGTGCGGAATCAATGAACGTGAAGATTCGAGTGAAAAGCCCGGGTGCTATCACATCGACCAGTGCAGACCAGAAAAAAATGATGGAAATGTTACTACAACACAGAAATTGCCTGCGGGAAAGACACTGGACTCACCATATCTTGAAGAGTCAGTGGCGCAAGAACGACTCGATTCTGCAGGGACATTAGACCCTCAGAATTCACATTCTCGGCCCACGCGTCGTCAGAGAGCCGTTGTTAGCTACGCTGAGCCGAATTTGAGAGATAAAATGCGACGGTCAACGAACGAATTTATAGACGCAGTCGCGGGTGGCAACTCTCGAGCTTCCGGTTCTCGTGCAATTCAAGAGAATGAAAAGGCCGAGGGCAAGAAGTGTTCGAAAACAAAAACAAGCATAGACACTGCTGCTGAATCTGGTGATATCTTAGGTTCTGGATCGAACACAATAGGGGTCAAGGATGCTAGTTCTATGCCACGAGAAATTTTGGATTATCATGTTGAGATTCTCCGAAGGAAACGCGGATACTCCTCTGAAGATAAACATGATTCATCATTTCAAGATTATACGGTGGATATGAAGGGGGGAATTGCACCATCTGGATATATCCAACAAACAGGCGAACGACATGGAGATGGTGATGCATCTGATCTTGAGGAGCAAAGCGCTGAGGGCCGGACTATATCCCAAATTTCAACAAAAACATCAAAAACAGTATCGGCTACGAGAAAACGGTCTCGGCGACATTCCTCGAAACCCAAGTCAGCTGGACCAGGTTCTTTGCCTCGAGAGTCTTTACAGCTGCGTATTGAACCTCAACCTATCCCACCCGGAAAAGACTATTTAGGGTCTATTCTTGCAATTCCGTCAAAATCGGAGGAACATATACCTGAAGGTGAGCCCCTGGCACCATTTATTTACTGGTTCTGTTTCTGACGCCACCAGCTGCTTCCTTGCCAACTGAAGACAGTCAAGCCAAACACAACCAGCGGTGCGCGATGAGACGAAGAAGTATGATATTGTAATTTATTCCAGAGCAGCCGCCAACCCTAACTCATGGACCCTGCCCTGCGAAGCTATCGTTGAACTTGATATAGTCCCATTGCGCAGTATGCCGGTAACTTTTTTGTACAGTCTGTATTCACACTTTTGGAGTGATAGAATCCATGTTTGAGCCACGATAGGGACTTCAATTAGTTCAGTGATTAATGACTAGCTAGTGGTACCTCTCTCCCTCTTCTCTCTGCTTGCTGTCTTTATGCCTCAGAACTGCAAATATCCGTGTCCCATGTATCTAATTCATCATAATGCCGGCCCACTGGGGAGTTACCATGCGCAAGCGCGAAAGCCTTAGTAGATATTTGCTTTTATTTTCTCACTCCCTTCCCCTTTTTGCCTAGACGTCAGTTAAAGACGATCAATTAGGCTACCCGGCCAGGTGTCCCGATTGATCTTTTTGTTGCCTTCGGCATTTTCTCGTATGCATTCGGGCTTGGCTTTCTCTGCCTGGCCTTCTCGTTTGACCTTTGACGATGTGAGCATCGATCTGTCTCCAAATCTTGTTCACCCGGACGTGATGCCATGTTATGAGGACGGGTCAAATGCAAGCCCTCCCTATTCCCCTGCCAAACCGTTTCATTATCACTGTCTGATAAATCGTCGGAGTCGGAGTCGGAGGAATCAGATTCTGAACTACTTTCACCCACAGGGTGAGATTTGTGATAAATGCAGCACACTGCGTACAGTTAGGACCACTTATCAATATCAGGCTATGGGTGACCTTCAGTGGCATCTCACCTTTAGAGCTTTTCTTGCCCTTCCCTTCATTGTCGATAACATCCTCGCTCCATCTTATGTGTCTAGCGGATGCAATATCTTCATCGGCGTTGGGAGTGTCCTCCCCTCTGAGCCTCAGGAGTCCCGAAGAATGGCTATGCGAAGAGTCACTAGTAGTTTGAGAAGTAATTCGAGTTGAAGCAAACGCCGGGTTCGACGTGGCTTGCCGTGTTTGAGACATTGTCTTGTAGTTGAGACAGGTTAGGTGCGTATGGAGCGGTGGCAACTAGATAATGGAGGGGATCAGATGCTGCATAGTACCATAGTTCCCTAACACAATCTTCATGCTGCACCTCATGGATTTAGGCCATTCGGATACCATTATTACCAGATGCCTCTGTTGCATGAGGGGAAACAAGAAACTGGAGTTCCCTACGACCTACATCTATTCATAACCGCAGCCCTGGAGTACCTAGTATGAATACGAAAATGCAATAATAAATAGACTTCTAGGCTCTATGTGTAAAATTCGAAGTTACAGATCAAATTGGCTTTTTATTGCCGAATAAGCAGTCTCGTCAACGCCATCATCTTCTGGCCGTCAACTGTTATGCATTGGTTTCTATGCCTTTATTAGCTATTATTACCTTGTAGTAGATTGACTCCGGCATTAGTTCCTACCCTCTGAACAACCATGGCTAGCCATGTAATAGTGTGAGAAGATCAAATAAATGACTGATACTCCCACCCTTGGGAACAAAAGAAAATAAAATTGAGAATAAGAATTAATAAATTACTGTCTGCAGTTAAAAATGCATCCAGGACATTCCCAATAGTACCTGTTATCTTTGAAGACCTAGAAAGATATCAGCTATCACACTTGTCCTTCATCCAAGCTTCCCAAGGGATTTTTGGATGTTTCACAACGCTAGTTGACAGTAATAACAGGTGTTTAGTCTATATCTGCTCATAGCTCATCCTCCTGATCCATTTCAGATGGTTTGAGCAGGCCACCAACTCTCATTGCACGATCTCTTTCTGCAGCCTTGGCATCTTGTAAAGCCTGTTCTCTTTCTTCTGCATAGAGTTCAGCATTATCACCCGCAAACTCTTTCAATGAAATCAAGAAATCACGTAGATGGGTTTTAAATTTGTTGAAATCATCATTAAATGCAAACAGTCCAATCACAAACTGTTTAATTTGTATCCTATAGGACGAGTTAGCTTCATGCCATTACCTGCAGGGGGGAATCATGCAAGACATACTCCTGGAGATTTTTGAACGCATTCTGCAGAAGTGTGGCGACGTATTCTTGCAGAAAATTTCTATTGGACGTTCCCAGGGGCGCTTGGTCAGGGGAGTAGATAGGGTTTTGTATCCTGCCGGACTCAACAAAATAGAACATCCGCGACAATAACATGGCTTGAGATTTAAACCCTGTAGGGACAGTGTGAGCATGTATACTATAGGTGGATAGACAGATAGAGCAGATGTTGTACAGACCTGCTTTGTGATCGCTGTCGGTGAGAACGAAGAACACATCCTGTAGGATTGGAATATAAAACTGGTTGAAAAAAATACTCGACGTTTGTGTGTCCGTCTCGGCCATGTTGTTCATCAGCTCAAGACACATTGTAAGGCCAGTGTTTTCGACTTCGCGATTGTCATGTTTACTGGCCCACATGCATGAATCAATTACAAACTTGAACTGAGCAGCATCAAGCTTGAGTAGAGCTGGGAAACAATAGAGGTTGATCGCTTGAAGCAGCTTGAAGAATTGTACACGGTGTTCAGGATATTCATGGAAGTCTTTGTTGATCATCTCCAGCGTACATTCGAATACGCTTTCCATGATAGCAGGGACCTTGTCTTCCATCAAATTCTGAAAGGTAATGGGAGGAAAGTTAGCCGGGGATTATGATTGAACTTGCAACAGAGGAAAGCAGGCCTACATGGAGTTTATGGATGATCGTCGTCATGACATTCAAAACTTCTGCCTCCCGTGCATCAGGAACATTCCGGTTGTAGTCCACGAGGACTGCTTCAAGAAGCGGTGGGACCATGTTGGTATTAACCATTTCCAGGTCGTCCGCTTTTTGTACATATGTGTCGACTAGTTTAAGTATTTCCTTCTTGATGGTCCGGAGTCCTCGGACTCTTGGTGTCTTCGTGGCAATATTACCTAGGCCATGTTAGCTTCAATAGAAAATATCATGAAAATAATCACTACCTTCACCAGCAACAGCTTGGTTGATGAGTTGGCTAGAAGCTCGATACATATTTAACATATCATGGTAGATACGGCCAATTTGGGAATAGAAGTAGGTGCCGATAGAGGAGCATGCTGCAACGTTTGTCTTCATGATATTCCCGATGATTTTTATTGTTTCTCCATCCTGAAGAATTGACGGGTTCTGGTTTGCTTGGGTTATAATGGCATCCCATGCGGAGTTCGGCAAGGACATTAAGTTCTCAATTAATCGATCTTGGAGACCCTTTTGGCCTTGGGCTGAAATCATATAACCGCATGCTTCGTAGAAGGTGTGGACTTGCTGTGGAGAAAGATCGCACGTTATCTTCCTCATGTTTCGAACAATCTCCTCGATGAACGGCTCGCTTTCTCCGGGTTGTAGAGCAACAAAGTGTCGCCTACACTTGTTGGCAATCTTAATAAAAGTATCGCAGGCCATGTCCTGAACTCCTGGTCGAAATTAGTTATGGAAAATATCGCATCCAAGCAAGACAGCAGACCTTCATGTGTTTCGTGCATAAATTCAAATAACTTGTTCACAACTGTTTTCAAAAACTTCCAATGAGCTTTCAAAAACCGAGGATACTGTCCCACAATGTACATGATGTTACTGGCCACAACAGCTTTGTTGTCCTTCCCACGTTTCATTTCTGTTAGGCCAAGGAGATCCTTTATGACGGTGACAAGAAAGCGTTTTTCAGTCTCTTCGTTCATGGCTCCAGATATAGAGCCAATTGCCCAGCAAAGAGTGTTGCAATTCGCCCAGGACCATTCGGTGCCATTGACCTGGTTTGCCAGTTTCTCTATCATAATATTTTCCGTATCGACAACATCCAGGTGGGTTAGGTAAACTAGACACTCCCTTATTGTTTTGTAAAGTTGGATCGTATCGCTTTCTTTGACAAACTCGCGGACGATCTCGCCTTCGTCATTCTCAACAATTAGCACCTCTTCGGGCCGTACCATTTTTTCAATCATGACCGTGCGTAGACTTGACAGTACCTCCTCGTATTTATGTTTACGAAGGGGGTAGTTGGCCAAAGTACTTGGGTGCGGTGCGCCTCCGTTAGACAACCCACTAATACCCATGCTCACTAGTGGATTGATATCCGTAATTGGAAGCTGCTGCATCTCTTCGTAAAGTTCCTGCACCAGTTTTGTCCAATATTCCAAGCAGATCTTGAAAATTTCTCTATCATCAATCTGGCTTATGCGAATGAGATAGAAATGCGCATGAGTAAGGTAATCTCGATTAGGCAGCTTCTCAATCAGCTGTATAACGAACAGTTAGTATCGCCATAGTTTGATGAAGGTTAATGAGGATCAGGTATATAAACATACGTCAAGGTGAACACTGAAAAAGCTGCAAAGGAAGAGTGCTAGGTTAAGCACAAATTCTTGATCCCTTGAATTGCTGTGGGCATATGTTTGTTTTAAGTCCATTGACAGTGGGATGGTCTTTGAGACTGCAGTTAAGGTTTCCGTGAACATAAGCACCAGCCTCTCATCATAGTTGTAGGGAGCCCCAATTTGCAAGCCACCAATCTCTGTCAGGCATTTAAGTGTCACATTTCTGAAGTCCGGAATGTCCAAGAACCTTGTCAGAAGAGTATTGATGACGGGGGTTTCAAATATGTACCCCAGTGGGATCCAATTGAGGAAGCGAAGGAGAGTTTCTAGAGTGGCCTTGACCAGGGTGGGCTGATTTGCTGTATTCAGGACCTCTGAGCACAATTGAAAGATGGAGGAGAATTCATGCGTCATCGAAGTCTTCAGGTTCCTTGCCTTCACAGATGTCATCTGGTCTTGAGAAAAATCAAAAACTTCCTCAGACAACAGTCGAAGAATGACCATGTTGTTCTCGCAGATTGAAAGACTTGTATGAGAGGACGACACGATTTCGTTTATGAATGTTGGCCAGTTGTGTGGCCACTCCTGCTTCAAGATAGAGACAAGGACTAGATTGAGCTTGTTCACAAAAGTGCGTTCACTTTTGAGCTTCTCTTCTGACTTGGAATTTTCGATAATGAAGTTGACAACAAAATTTCGAATACCTGGGTCGGTTAAATTGATGAATGAGACTCATGTCTTGGGAACGGAGCTCACCCAGGCATTGGTCTCTCGGTAGGACTTTCCATCGAGTCATGATAACATCGTCGAGTACTTGAAGGGCGAGATCTACTATTGTCAGTCGAACAACATGAAAGCATATGCAGGGTGGCGACATGTGTTACGCACATTTGGTTTGCGAGTATGCAGATTCCTGCAGAATGTTTCCCACAATCAACCAAGCATCGGGGTTTTGTTTGAACTAGTCACCAATATCAGTTCTGCGACCGAGACTATCGCAGCAAGGGCTTCAGTGAACATACTTCCGTTAGAGTCTGCTGGGCCTGCTTTTGCTATACGATTGGGAGGGATATTAGTATGATGAACGACCACTGCTCTTTTATCAAGAACTCACCAAATCACCTTTGCCTTCGTAAAAGGCCTGGACAGTGTGGTCCAGTTCCTGTATGGAAACTGACATTCCGCAGCCAGGTAAACGATGATACTTTACACCGTTCAGCTTTGCACTGGTTCCTGTTTTGAATGATATATGTGTATGGTGCAAAAATGTGGTTTTCAGACAGCTGTTGGAAGTTGAATTGGCTTAGGAACCGGGTGAGGGGCTCTTCCGGGGTCTGCTAGGTTGACAATATAGACAAAACAAGCTAGCTCCCAGGGCAGAATTATTTGTCCTCACGCCAACTTGGAAAACTTTTTAAGATGCAGTAAGTTATTATGGTGCTAGAGGGGTTGGTGACAATTGGGAGCATTTGTTGACCTGGTTGCCTCGGTCCCGAGATGCTAGACAGGGTTGTCATTATGTGTTTGGCATAAGTATATGCATGCATAACGTAATCAGACACTGAGCTTGCCACTTCTCAACCCCCTGAATCTTTTAACTACCAAAGCAATTTCCTATATCACATGGCAACAATGCATCAAAACCAGCAGTTAAATTAAATGATCACATATATCTCCTACAGTCAAAGCATATAGAAACAATTGGTGTAAAAGTATACAAACTGCAGCAACAGTATATAGTGTTAGTATTATGTTCTATCTTTACTTATTAAGTTAGTGGTCAAAGAGTACAAATAGTCACTGTGCACTGGGCAGTCAGAAGCTTAACTGCTGCACTAAGCAAAAGACTAGGATGTAGATCCAGAGGCTCTACATTGCTGTCTCACATATATATCAGGCAGGACAGGACAGGACAGGATAGGATAGGCACTGTAACCCTGTAAAGGGGGGGCGTACGTGCGTTGTTCCCTGCGACAGGAACCGGGTTGTCATCGAGGGATCTCAGGGATGGACATACCAAGCTGGTGCCGCTATACCGCACGGCACTGAACGATCTAGTAATGAAACGATATAATAAAAGAAGAAAGACAATGACGATGGAGCCTCGCTCCTATATGACGATGACGACAAAAACGATACTAGTGAAGCAAACTAGAACCAAAAAGTATGCTCAGTTTCTCGTAACTATCTGGGAGGAAACCTCCTTAAGTACTCTCCGGACATGGGCTCCACCATACATTAGTATGTCGGAGACCGCGGCCCTACAGCATTCTAAGGTAGGAAATATGAGAGAGATCCAGGGTTTCACAGTGCCCCCGGCACAACACCATACATCTCCGATATCACCTAACCGATTTTATTACCTGACTCTCTACACTGTCTGTTCTCAACTTCTGTCTCTGTGACCTATATCATGTGACTCTTGCATTACAGATCCTATCCTATACCTAGCCAGCTAACTCAATTCCTTATCCTATTGGGGTAGGTAGACTATACATAGTCTTAGACTGAAAAATAGTCTCTAGGATGAATGTTATCATTATTATTACTTTGACTAGCCTTTATTATATTGCCTAGTATTAATAAGTATTTTAATATAGTCCACTATAATATTTCTTCTATAATAGGGCTGCTAGACATTTTCTTACAGGCTTTATCGGTTTATTCCTTCTAAGTAAGGGTTAGGTCATAGATCTAAGTCCCGTATAATTTCTCTGCTAAGAATATCAATGTTCATATAATCTAATCTATGCTTAGGAAGTTATCATTGTCTTAAATTAGCTTATAGGTTTTTTATCCTCGATATATTTATTCCATGATAGGGTTTATTTAACTACTTATATATTAGCTTTTATCATCAATTATGAACTCTATGCTATTTCTATCTTGCTCAGGCAGTATAGTGTATTGATATTTCGAAAGGAGCGAAACCCCTGCCTGCCTCATATAAATAGTTAGTTGAAGCAGTTCCGAGTCCCTGAACTCCATTCTCGAATCAACTATCTTCGTGGCTCTAAGGGTTGCTGGCCCATAGTAGCCTGACGGCGACTACTCTGTGTTGCCTTTTTTGTGCAGTAGCTTAGAGGCTTGGCCAGCGCGCTAAGTGCGCTGTCATTGCATCTAGTTGAGCCTCAGAGCAGAATAAACAGATGATTGATATCTGTTTATTCTGCTGAATTTGGAGTAAAAGGAGTACATATCTGACCTATTTCCCTTGTATAGAGGCGGCTGACATACTGGTGTTTCACTGTTTTCAGCATACTGTGGCAGTCCAGTCCATTTTCAAGGTGCCGTTTCTGGTGCTTGGTATTGTAGAGATGTGTTTTCCGGTCCTTTTTCTTCTTCTGTTGTTGATGTCTTTTCTGTGAGAGGCCTGAAAATGCCATTGCTAGAGTTGGCAAGGAAGCTGTTTAGGCCAGGCCTATTGCTGGCAATATGAATGAGACACTGTGATAGCCCTATGGGAAAAGAAAGATGTCTTCCCTTTAAATAATCCGAAGCTAAGCTATTATAGATGTGTTGAATAATCCTTATATAAAGTAGTTTAGAGTCTAGGACCTATTTTTTCTTGCAGAAATAGAGGGCACTATTGTTATCAATTAAATATTTTAAGATTGAGACCCTAAGATAAAGCTCTATAAGAAAATATATGACTTTATTAAATTACTCTAATAACTATTAGTAAATTCTTTTAAGTGGGTAAACACAGAGCTAGATGACTATTAGAAAACTTTATAACTTATTAAACTATAATAATATTACACACTAGTAAATATATCATTTATTATTGATTTTCGAGCATATCCTATTCTTTTCATAGATGTATATCTAGCTAGTTAAAGGCCCTCCTTTTCTAACCTATACTTAATTATAAAATTGAACCAAAATCTTATAACTAATAAATTTGGTGTTCTATTAGATAATATACTGTATAGGGTATATTAGATTCTAATAATTAATTAATACAATAAAAGAGTTATAATTTCTTAATTTAAAATCATATTTTTATAGATATTTATCAATTTCTAATAGCTCTTGATCATATATTTTATAGTTATATTTAGCTAGGGAGATTTTAATAAAAAATAAATATGAGGTTAAAAGACATTATATTTATTATATTATTAGAGTATACCTAGAAGAATTTATTTCTATTCAAATTTTATCATCTAGGTTAAGGTATTCCACTATCAATATCAAAATAAGTTTCCTTTTAAATATTTTAAAAGTGACACTTGCAGCTTTCTCTTATATAAATTTGATTATTTCTAATAAGATATATATGTGGTATAACTTTACTAAAGGGTCCTTAATAAAATATTAATAAAAAATTAGTAAATGTTAAAAATATATATAATGTATTCCACAAACGAGCGGCCACATCGCGTTTTGGCCCTGGTTGAAAACCTCACTCAACCATCCACTATGCCTCCCAGAAAGCATGTCAAAATTCAAGAAATTCAACCAAGAGGGAAGAATCATACCTGCTATCACTACCTTAAAAAAGCAGGAAATCTGTAATATTGCTGAAGCAGTGCATTATCTTAATATTTGATATATAACGCTTCAGATGAGGTTAAATAGACATATGTTTTTTAAGTAGAAATATATGCTAATAATCATAGACCCAATATAAAGAGGAATATCACTTGTATGATACATTTTATTATGATGATGATGTAAAGCGTCTTCCAGACCATTCTATATATATGAAATAATTAATATTCTTTTTGCTAAGTGTGGTACTATATTTACTTAACTAGTAAGAGAGATCTGTGTCTTTAATTTTATTAAATAAATGTCAACTTGAAATTAAAACCTACCATTCTTGATATATAATCATTAGCACACTAAATGCAAAGATCTTAAAATTATTAGAGAATGGCTTAACTATATATATAAATTATTATGATACAGTATGGTATAATTGGATGATATTTACAATTTTAATAACCTTAATTATAAAGAAGCCTTTTTAGTTTGATTGGATAATTAGGAATAGGTTACTTTTATTAAATATATTAACTCTACTGAATGGGTGCTTCCACTATATATTATCTTTAAAGGAAAGATATAATTATATAAGCTAATATAAAGATTAAATGCTCAATTAAAGAGTTAAAGTTAGGTTTAATAACTAGACTGTTAGTAAAATTAAACTTTATTAATTTCAAAATACTTCAATTATTTGGTAGGAAAATATTGTCTGCTTATTTTAAATATCCATAACAGCTATCTCACATAATTTAATTAAATATATAATAAAATTAATATTATTCTTATTTATGTATCTATATATTCCATTGATAAGCTCCAGCCTTCAATAAAAGCTTAATGAAAAGGTGAACATATTCAGAAATTGATTATATTGATAAGTTTAATTCGTTAGAGGCTTTTTCTGAAGCTTATAAAGATGCTTATAAAATAGAAACTATCTAAAATAGTTTTATGAATGCTGTTTTATTTAATTAAAGGTATTGGTCAGTTAAATATTTAATGTAATCGGTAAGCGGGCTGCGCACCCGCGCGTTTTGGTGATGCTCAAAAACTTGAGGCATTTCAACCACCCGCCATGCCTCCAAAAGCTCATAAAATGAAAAAAATTTAGCTAAGCAACAGCAAAAATCTTATTGGCAATTTCTGCTGTTAAAAAAGAAAAAGTCTTATCTGTATAGTAAGCAATATGTCACTAACGTAATTCACCACCGAGCGGGCCCTTAGACCATGGCCTAAAAGGACAGAAGACAGTGTCTCCCCCAAAGCACATATATTTATAAAAACTAGTTCCTATAGCGATCAGGACATTATGATAACTTATGTCCAATAATATGGCAATCACTACACCGTGGTGGTGCCTGTACATGCTGCTCAACTGCAGCTGGTGCTGGTTCAATAGATTGAGCATTTTAAGCTTTTTAGACCCCAGTCTCATGCTGTAGAAGCTGTTGGCCTTCCTCAATAGGTGGATCCCCTGTAGTAGCTATCTGCCACTTAGATAACTTCCTTTTTTAAAGCTGCTTCTCATGTGCAGCTCATAAATCTGGTTGTCTTTGGCAAGAATAATAGCATTATTTATAACTATCTCACACCCTTTGATAAGCTAGTTTAATGCCATATTAGTTGGACTTAGGGGGCTCTCTGTAAATTTCTTAGAAGTTTTTTTGATTGTAGTTGCTGTGAAGCTATTGCAAATAGATTTTGGCTTAAATATATCTGCATGGGCGTAGGGATATACCTCTAGAAAATCAAATTTGCCAATATGGTTGAAGCCAAGCCATATATTATTCTTAACCAACCTCCCATATATTCATTTCAATGGGAAAAAGCACGCAGTATCAAGAGGTTGTAAAAGATGTGATGAATATAGAGACATACAGATTAGTATGATATCGTTTTAGCTGCATATCTCATTAAATTTGAGAATTAGATAGCTTCCATGGCCATCTAAGATGAATAGGTGATATCTTCCGA